CCCCCCCCAACCCCCCTTGGGGGCGCAGACAGCATAGCAGCATATGACTCCGGCGTACCACATGGAACAGGACATTCCCTTCTATGAGGCCAACGACATGTCGAAACCCTTTTCATACAGGTCAGATCGCTTTACATTGTTTAATTTCCGCTTGCTAATCCGTATTCGAGTTGGCCTCTACGACGAGGTGTAACTAAACCAAGGCCAGTTCTCTCAGCATCCAAACGTGATGGTGCAACCAGTGAATCTAGCAGCTACGCCCGTGAGATGCAGACCTCCCAGGATGAAGCATCTGGAGACAAAGCCTAGGCCAGAAGTGATCGCCTTATGATGCCAAACCGGATTCGAACGACGCGTCCGCCCACCTTGCCATCGCCGCGGCCGACAACAATATGCTCCTGGATGTGCGCCGTGCCGATTGCAACGCAGCGCTCGTTGCTCCTGTGGATAACGTCCTCGACGCCTTGCTGAGAAATTCCGTGTGGCATGGGAAAAAGTGAACGGAAACAGTGGGTCTTTTTGGGCTGATGCTTCATAATGTTGCCACTCCACCGCATTTTGATGCCGCTTCCGCAGTGTCGTCGTTGATCTGAGTAGCGCTGCACATTCTGAAGTTGTCGGGCGCCATTTGGAGTTCTTTCTGTCACCAAGTCTCTTCGAATGAGTTCGCAGCCTCCGGAAGGACCTTTCCTGAAATACTAAGCTTGTATGCCGTCGCCTGGAGCACAATCCATCCTTTCCACCAGAATTATCTCGATCAGGTAATCAAAGTTGCCTAAAGTATGCATCCTTGCAACAATGCTGGGTTTGCCATGTTTTGTCGTTGAGTCTCTGAGCACACTGCATGAACGAAAAATAACCGAATCTCAGGTGGTGAAGAGGTACCAGACCGTCTTACTAACAAGTGTGGCAGTACACTCAACTTATTTGAACACCAATTACACGTCTTTCAAGCTCTGCGGCATGAACGGCTAGCGTACAAAATGCAGCAACCCTGACGCCCATCCATCTGTCGCATCGCATTCTTGAGTTTCGTGGGGTGGAATTTGTGTCTTGCAGAGTTACGCACGACTCTGTTGACATGCTAAGAATGTGGCCCACTCTCGCCCAGGTATTTGCTGTACATACAACATGATCAGCGAGCCCTGATCCAGGCCTTTCTCCTCTTGCTTTTTGTGCGCGCTGTTCATCTGACCAAAGTCGTTCCTTACCTGGTTTGTTATTGTTCATTCATTTCTTCGGGCAGTATGCGATCTCTCTTGATTTGCGGCCTTGTCGCCAGTGCAACGGCACAAGTGAGCATCAGCTACAGTGTTACTGCAACAGTCACGGCAACCGAGATCGTGACTGTCACCACATGCCCATGCTTGAGCTCGACGACTTCGTCAATATTGATACCGGATGGGACGATCACACCCTCAAGCACCATTGCCACCACAAGCACGACTACGACTCTAGCCCCATCGTCATCGCTGATGACCACCAGCAATCCTGTGGCGAGCTTCAGCCCAGTCACAAGTGCATCGTCGGCAAGCTCGATTCTCTCGACCACCTCTGGCACCCCGATCCCTACGTATGATGCATATATCAATGCCATCCTTGTGCATCACAACTACCATCGCCTGAATCACACTGCCCTACCATTGACTTGGTCAGTTTCTTTAGCTGCCACCGCACAGCAGATTGCGGAAACCTGTGTCTATGGCCACGTCACGTAAGCAGCTTGCCTGCCCCCTTTTTTGCTTGCCACTAACAGCACTGCAGTAATATTGATGGTGGCGGATACGGTCAGAATATCGGCGCCGGATACCCTGGGACGCCTTTGGGCATGGGTGCCTTCGTGACTGAAGGTCTCTACAACGGCGAGGTCAACAACTATATATACTACGGCCAAGAACCCGACCTCAACACGCTCAATGCATGGGGACATTTCACGCAGATCGTGTGGAAGAGCACCACGGCCGTGGGATGTTATACTGCCGATTGCTCCTCGAGCGGATTGCAGAACGTTGGAGGCAATGTGCAGCCATACTTTACGGTCTGTAACTATGCGCCGCCTGGGAACTTTATCGGTCAGTTCGCGCCGAACGTGGGTGTCTCAATTGGTCTGCCGAGCATAGACGCGAACTACGGACTTGCTTGAGCGTGTGAACTTGCACATGTATTCCGACTGCTAAGGCCAGTGAAGAGTTCGTGTTGGAATTTATGCTTCGCGTCTGCAATCGTGATGTGCTAGATCTGTCGAAGGATTGAATTGTAGCCGTAGACAGAACAGATTCAATTTTCCTGCTTCTTTCGTAGCGTCCTGATTGTGGACGCTTTCTGTTGCTTCAAAGACTGGGCACATTGCGGTCCTGCCTTGTCGATTATCCACAGCCATGAGTGAAGACATCATCGAGGAAATCAGAGGACTATTAGACAGCTCGCCAGGAGATCGGATGGCAATAAGCCCGAGCGCCGAAAGCCATAAGGCGGCATTGTGCTAAACCATATTTGGAGTGTACGGCACATCTCGAACTCTGATTTTGGGCGCAGCCTTTGCATTGCTTCGAGCCCCAGAATTTCTGCGGTAAAACCACTGTCTTTCTCCGCTTATTGTCACTGATCGCGCGCAAAGTGCTCTTATTATCTTCGAGTTCAATACGTTCAAGAGCTCTGCAACATGGCGTCCGCAGCCAAACCAACAAAGAATCAACTACGGCGAGCGAAGAAGAAGGTGCAGAAACAGCAGGTAGGTGTATTTCACGTGCTCTTAAAGCGAGAACTATCTGACGTCCCACAGTCGACAGCACAGCCCCAGCCGGAGCCCACGACACAGGATACCGCCCCGGAACCAACGAGTACAAGAACCGAGAAGAACGTGAAATCAGAAGATGAGCGCAATGGCGACGCACTTACAGACCCTCTCATTGTGGATGAGGGGAATCCACTTTATGACATGTACAAGGACATCATGGGAAAGTTCGAGGAACTCGACAAGGAAGACCCCTCGTTGAAAGAGCCCGAAAAGCCTGAAGTCTACTTCGATGACGACGACGATATCCCCGACGAAGAGGAAGAGAATGCGGCGCCAAAGCTCTCAAAAAAGAAGCGGAAGGAGATGTCCCAGCTGTCTGTGGCAGAATTGAAAGCACTTGTGAACAAGCCCGAAATGGTCGAATGGACAGATACATCTGCGCCGGATCCGAAGTTACTGGTCCACCTGAAATCATATCGCAATGTTGTTCCCGTCCCGACCCATTGGGCGTTGAAGAGAGAATATCTGTCATCGAAACGAGGTATCGAAAAGCCACCTTTTGCGCTCCCAAAATTTATTCAAGAGACTGGCATTGCGGAAATGAGAGATGCCACGTTGGAAAAGCAAGATCAGCAGACAATGAAGCAAAAACAGCGGGAACGCGTGCAGGGCAAGACTGGCAAGCTCGACATAGACTACCAGAAACTATACGAAGCTTTCTTTCGCTTTCAGACGAAACCAGAGTTGACAAGATATGGAGAGGTGTACTATGAGGGCAAGGAATTCGAGACCAACCTGCGCCACCTACGACCTGGTGAAATATCCGACGAACTGAAAGAAGCACTTAACATGCCAGCCGGCGCCCCTCCCCCCTGGCTCATCAATCAACAGAGATACGGTCCACCTCCATCATATCCTGCGCTCAAAGTGCCTGGTGTAAACGCGCCTCCGCCTCCCGGGGCAAGTTGGGGATTTGCGCCTGGCCAATGGGGCAAGCCTCCGGTGGACGAAGCAACGAACAGACCATTGTACGGTGGCGATATTTTTGGTGTATTGCAGCAACAGCAGAACACGCAGCAAGGCGAGCCTGTGGAGAGGGAGTTATGGGGCGAGCTTCAACCGCCTGAAGAGTCCGAAGATGAGGAGGAGGAAGACGAAGACGAAGAAGAGGAGCAAGATGGAGAAGAGGGCGGAGCTGGTCTGCAGTCCACGACAGGTCTCGAGACGCCCAGTGGCATGGCTTCATCTGTTCCTACCGAGATTGGAGGGACGGAGACAGTATCAGAATTCGATCTCAGGAAACGGCGCGGCACGGACACAGAAGACTCATCACATCCGAGATCGGCTTACCAGGTAATTCCTGAACGGCAAGCGCGTGTCGAGGGCTTCTTTGGTGGCGATCGTGTATACGACCTTAAATCGGCTCAAGCTCAAGGCAATCTTCCGATTCTCGGACAAGAAGAGACACGAAAACGAAAGAAGCCTGGTGATGTGGATGTGTCGATGGATCCGGATGCACTGGCGGCTCATGATGGCATGGACAAGGAAGATCTACAACGAGCATACGATCAGCAACGGAAAGCCGAGCAAAATCCCGAGTGGGATTTCCAGGAAGACTTGTCCGAGATGATAGCGACAGAACATAGGAAGAGACAAAAGAGGGATGAAGACAGGAGAAGTAAGCGGTGATGCATCATAAAGACCGAGGAGACTGTATTTTTACATCAAGAGAGAAGATGCAAGGGTGAAAGATGGAATGATGTGGGTAAGGCTGAACCTCAGCCTTGCGACTCTCTTAGAGCGGCTCTTTTCCTTTCGAGACACCGTTAGACCGCCTGCGGAACGGCCGATGATTGGCCCCCCAAATTTCACATTTCGGCCCAAATTTACTGTACGAGACAAAGTGAGCCTGGGATCGAGCTGCTGCATTTCGGGGCCAACCTTGCGCCAGTCTCTGTCATTCTTTCACCCTGTATCTGTCCTGCTACGGAGAGAAGTGCTCAAATCATCAATCTCACCCTCTTCTGTAGATGGTCCTTTCTCACTGCTCCTCATGGACCGCTACCGGGGGTATGTTTCCTCTCCTTCGAATTTCGAGACCGTCTGAGTGACTGACATCGAACATAGACCGCGACGATCACCTCCACCTCGAGACAGACCTCACCGGGAAAGAGACGACCACCCAAATGTCGAGTATTTCGGAGAAGGTGAAAGCTACCGACCTGGTGGCCAGACCGGCGACGGTCCTTATAGACCATTGAACCGAGATCGAGTAGGCGCAGATTCATGGTCGGGAGAGAGAAGAGACGGACGACGAGATGAGCGAAGAGAAGACATAGACTCATACATCCCCGTCACAAGCACACGAGCCTCCAGACCACGAAGCCGCTCTCCACCTCCTCCCTACCGACGAAGATCCCGCTCACGCACGCCACCGATCCGAGGCAGAGAAGACTTATTTGCAAACAGAAGATCACCTCCACGTCGTTACTCTCCACGAAGATCCCCTCCACGAAGAAGATCCAGATCAGCATTTGGCGCAAGACCTCGAAGTCCACCCGACGCGAAGAGATTCCGAGACTACTCCCCTGAACCGTCGAAGCGATCACCCAAACGAGAACGCAGAATATCTCCAGACAGAAATCGCTTTGACCGACGCTCACCGCCGAGGCGAGGCTTCTCACCCGACCGAGACGTTGCAAGAGGTGGAGAGAGCTACCGACCAAGATCGAGATCACCTCCGCGGCGCCGACCAGGAGAAGACAGCTGGCGAAGACGGTCACCCTCACCAAGGACTTCCGGACCTGCGTCGAATGACACCTCCCGAAGATCGTCACCTCCTATTCATCCTGATAGAGCAAGTCTAGCAGGATCACTTCCCAGATCGCCAGCATACCCTCCCAGAAGTCAGTATGACAAGGCAGACTCCACAAACTATCGAGACAGATCTGTCGACGGAGGACAACCAAGAGATGTGAGCACACCCCACGACGACGTTCGTTCGAATGGCGAGCCGCCTCAACCACCATCTGGTCCTAGTAGCTACCGCAATGGTGAATACAGCCGTCCACCACCGACCGGTCCATCGCGCAGTTTCAGCCAACCTCAGCACTCGCCGCCCACTGGTCCCGCGTTGTTAGTGTCAGCGCACAGTCGCGGGGGCGGCGGTCGTAATGCTCCAACAGGACCTCGCGGCGCCAGTGGCCGGTTCGACACCCCTTCTCGCGAATTCACCAGTCCACCTATGCGTGGCCGTGGTAGTCTAACGTATCGTGGCGGTCCACCTCCGTTCGGCCCTAGAGGAGGCGGGTACGGTCGTGGAGACTTCGGCGGCGGCAGAGGCGACTACGGTAGCAGTCGAGGAGATTTTGGAGGAGGGAGTTTCCGAGGCGGATTCGGACGAGGGGAATCCTCATTTGCTTTCCGTGGGAACAGCAGCAGCAGCGCGACTTATCCTCGCACTCAGCGCTTCAACACCGTCCAACAACACCTCACTACGAGCGAGAAGATCGTGCCTGGAGGGAAACTTCTTCCTTTCGGACTCCCACCGGACCAGGACAAACGGATCAAGATGCTCGAAGCCGAAGCCGAGCGAATGCGCACGGAGATCGCGGAGAAGCAGAAATCGAAACGTGAGATATTGAATGAGTGGGAGACGCGAGAGCGAGAGAGTGAGAGAGAGTCGCTTCGCAGCGAACTTGCGGATGCGCATTTACAGCAGCTGATGGAAGGAGATGATGGCATTGGTCGGGCGGCGTTCTAGTTGAACGACCTCCGCTTTTAAACCATGGCATTCATTCTCCCGCCGAGCAGCATAGAAGATCGCATACGTCGGTCTCGAAAGGGGAATGGCACAAGGACGATGGACATCAGAAGAAAGATCGAAAAGGCTGCCCAAAAAAATCAAAATTGTTTCCTTGTTCGAACCTGGCATAGCGAAGCGCTTGGGTAGAAAGCGTTGCCTCAAAGAGGCACACAGGGCATTGTCTTCACATACTGAGCGACCACTCCCAGAATCAAAACACGTCAAAGTCCATCTTGCATTCTTTTCGGTTTCCCCTGTCTGTACATCAACGTGAGGAAGCGAATATTGAGGGACGAAAAGCCGTTCTCGATACGACACAGACTTGATTCTCCTGACCAGCGGGCTCCGTCTCCGTCTCTCCTTCGTACGCAAATTTCCCTCTCATATTGCACGCAACCAATGATGGTGCTCCATCTACGCACCAACAGCCCTTCCACCATCGACCTCCAGATTCACACCGGTGATGAATTTACCCTCGTCACTCCCCAGGAATGCACACATGTTCGCAACATCGCCCGGATCTGTCAGTCTCCCCAGCGGCACGTTGAACAAGAACTTCTTCATGTTCTCCTCGTTGTAAGGCACGCCGACGAACTGCTCGAACAGGCCGGTCCCGGAGAGCAAAGGGCACAATGCGTTAACGCGGATCTGGTCCTTGCCGAACTCGGCGGCGAGACCTTTCGTTGCCTACCGTCGCCGTCAAATTTAGTTGGTGCTCTTCTTCTTCTTCTTTACCAGAGCGGGAATCATGCGCGTGTGTGTAACGTGTGTCAAAGTCAAGGGTGGGGGAGGAGGGGGACGTGGACATGTTCCAGCCTTACATTTGCCACGGCCGCCTTGCTAGCATTATACCAGACCAGGCCCGGACGAGGCCTCATCGCGCCAATGGATGCGATATTGATGATACTCCCACCACCTCGCTGTTTCATCGCGGGGATCGCGGCCGGTACACTCAGAAAGATACTCTTGACATTGACGCTCATGACCTTGTCGAATTCGGCCTCGGTGACCTCGAGCGTGGGCTTGTTCTTGTAACTCGTGCCTGCGTTGTTGACGAGGATGTCCAGTCCGCCGAACTTGCTCACCGCGGCGTCAACCATCTTCTCCCAGTCCCCTTGCACGGTGACGTTGGCCGTCAGAGTGTGCACGTGCTGGTCGTACTGCGAGTTGGAGGAGAAAGCCTTTTGCAAGCCCTCGGCGTTCATGTCGGCGGCGACGACCTTCGCGCCCTCTTCGACGAATTTCTTCGTGCAGGCAAGGCCGAAGCCTGAGGCGGCGCCTGTTTTGAGCAATGTCAGCAATCTGACAGTGAGTCGTGTATTGCAGAGGTGGTGGTGTCCTCCACGGGTGCCACGGGTGCCACGGGTGTGAGTTTCGTACCTGTCACGATGGCCACTTTACCAGCCAGGCGGCCGGAGCCGGTTTGTACTGCGTGAAGACCAGACATTTCGGCAAGTGCTGTGAAGACCAAGCGGGTATGGAATGATGGCAGAAGAGTCAATCTGTGTCAAGGTACAGAGGCGCAGGGTACAAGAAGTCGGGAGTAATGGCTAGCCACGGCCTCCATCCCATTCTCCATTCTCAGCATGTTTGACCTTCCCTGCTCCTCTTTGCCCCTCACTGACTCGTTCACGAAAATGATGAGGGGAGAAAGGATGATCACACCAGGGGGGTTCGAGCATTAAGGTCCTCCGGAGGAACCTGCGGCACGCATGAGGTGAAGTGAACTGCGGGGAAGAAGCAAACGAAGGACGACATCAAAGGAATTGGACCGGTTTGGACCGGCCTCTTCTGCCCTGGAATCTCGGAAAAGTTCATCGACAAATCAAGATCAATTGCAACAGCCACATTTTGAGACCGAGCATATAGCGAGTCAAGACGCATCAGTACGAGGATCACTTCTATATGACCACAGCGATCATTCCTGCCTCTATCAGTTGCGGCGAGCATGGTCATGAACGATGAGCAAGCTTGCTGCAGATGACAAATCTCGAGCAAGTCTCACTGGAAACCATGGACATGTGCGAAAATGACCTTCGAGGTTCTTTCAGGCCTACTGTTCTTGGTACTTTATGGTGCCTCTGTAGAGCCCATCATGCCCAGACTTCTGCACAAAATCACCAGGGACAGAAGTGTACTCTCCTTCGTACCGCCGAGATAAGAACCTCCTCTTTTCAAGGAAGCAACAGTTGTCAGCAACACAGCCTTTGGTGCGCATCCTCATGCAAGTCCGCCTATTCCGATATACGATTCTTCATTTTGTTGTAGTCTTTGAGGTGCATCGTCACGGCTTTGCGAAACGATTCCTCATGAAGGCATCCACAATAAACGAAACGGTATTCTTTCTGCCAGTCGATGCTCCAAGGAGTCCTTAAGTCGACCCAACAATCCTCTCGCAGTCGTTGTGAGTTCTTCATGAAGACCATGAGCTCCTCAGACTCTTCATCTCCCGACTGGCCTTCCTCTTGCTGCTTTGAGCGCGGGCGGCTTGCCGAGCGAAGCCTATGTGAACCAGTATCCATCTCTGGCTTAAGCTTCCTGTGGGTCCTCCAGAACTTCTGATCGATGGCCGCGGGCTCGCGCTGTACTATTTTAAGACACTTCATAACGGTGCCACTGATATCGACCACCAGGAACGTGCTCAGATGCAGCTCGGTGTTGGTGCGGTGCCATACCCTGTACAATTCTTCCGGTTCGAAATTGAAGTTATGATTGTTGTCATAATGGGCCTCAATGGGCTCAATCTCCTCTGGGTAAGCCTGCTTATTGCGGGATCGGACGTCGACTTGGTACGATACAGCGTCCCGGGCCAGCTCAGCGTTTCTTCGGTCGAGGATGGAGGCGAGTTCTCTTATCTCGTCTGAGTGAGCCTCGTCATGATGGGATTGCGAGGAAGGCTGGACCTGAGTGTCTGAGACGATAAAGATTTCAGTAAAAGACACCGATGTAAGGACAACCTTCATCATCGCGGTATATATACCTCTGCTTCCAGGTTCTTCATGGGTGCCTTCGATAGCGGCCGGTCTTCCCCTTGTATTATTCGAGGTGGTCATGTTGAACGATTCTTGTTGGTTGGCCTGTCCCTAGAAGAGACGAGCATTGCCGCTGGCTCGGTTGACAATGTGCGACTGTCCGTCGGTGAGATGAATGTGTTGGACAATCTGCGGCATGTGTCGCTTTACCACTTGTCTGTGGTCAGGCGCTACTGCAATTGTGCAACAAGCGCCTGCCGGTTCGACAACTCTTGGGTCTAAAAGATGTTGAAGAGGCTTGCAAGGCGAATGGATCGTCTCTGGGTTGAGGTTGCCTTGACCATTAACCGCGCCCTCTTCAGGCCTGCGCGCGGGCTTGATTGGTGTATTCAGCGCCCGACTCGCATGGCATGGGCAGGGAGGGTAGTTAAAGGCTGGCCCGCGGAGAGTGCCCCAATAGATTAGCGACAGCCGCCTCCTGCCTGCAAAGCCGCGGATGCAGGCTGCAACCAACGCAGCCTTTCGTGTCATCAGTGTCAAGGTTGAACATTCCCCACTGCCACCTTACGGTGCAGCCATGTTTCCTGGCAGTGCTTTGCTAATCACATATTTGAAGTTGGCTGTCCGGCTCGATGGCTGTCCAGCTATGAGCATTCATCGACATGTTCACCCTGGCGACGCGCGACGATGGCAGAAGCCGCTGGCCTTACTCTTGGTACCGTGGCTCTTGCTTCTCTATTTACGACTTGCATCGAATGCATCGAATATTTCGAGCTAAGCAAGAGCTATGAGTATGACTACGGTTTAGCATGCTTGAAGTTGTCTCTGCTCAAATCTCGTCTGGACAATTGGTGGTATGCAACGGGCCTATGTAGCAACGATCACGAGGGCAGACCGCCATCGACAGGATGGCCACGGAAACGGGACGTGATTCAGACAAGCCTGCAGGGTATCGTCGATATTATTAGCAACGCCGAACTTCTCAGAGATAAGTACAGGCTTCTACCCCGCAAGTCTCGAAAGATCAATGGCTGTCTTTGGCGAGGCGCTCAAAAACAGGCAGCAAGTGTCATTTCTGATAGCAGGCCTCGTTCCTCGGATTCGAGCCCTGGCAAGTCATTCTTGCGACGTTCCACTACGTGGGCGATACGACAAGCAGAGATTTGATGGTCTTATAAACGACCTCGAATTCCTCATATCGAACATCGAAGCTGCATCTCCACGAGAACCTCCTCTGACGATTACTCCACTAGAGATGGATTCTCGAACCCTGACCGAGGAGCACAAAGCAGAGGTGAAATGCCGCTCCACCGAGTCCTCCTCGACCGCACCCTTGGACAGTATGGCCAATCAGAGCGTCTGCAAGACCTCAATAGCAACGATGGCTCAACGTCAGCCACCTCAGCAAACAATAATCCAAGCATCCGCGTCAACCTCTGTGAAAGCACCCTCAAATACATGTATACACAGGGAGCAAGGCTACACCTGGAGCATCAATGAGATGAGAGACTCCTCGGCCGTATTCTACGGCAACGTCGGAGGTGCGCAGCTAGCGCCTGCCCCAGCAGGCCAAACCGTTCAGTTCAAAGTCGGAACGACCACTGGCCATGCAAGAGTTATGGGAGGAGCTATGAACGACAGAAACTTCGACACCTTCTTCAATGCTACAGCTCGGGACAGGAAATGACACGACCTAATTGCGAGACGGTCAAATCGAAACAACAACCGTGTGTAGGGGAGCTTTTCCGGATTATATATACCTATGAACACAATGCCGAAGTCTGGCCTTATACTATGTCGCACTATGCTGCTGGTCCAAGCATGAATTGTTCCTCCCAGTACGCCCCGGAGTCTACCTGACCACATATCGCTTTTCGGCCGTACCAAATGGACCGAGGCTGGAAACAGGGTAAACATCAGTCAGGGACGGCCAGTCCACGAGCATAGGAAAATCTATGTCGTTTTCGATATGGACGAGTACGATAATGACCCGTCAGAACATGGTGCTCCGTACGGCGCCGAAAGGGACAGAATTCGCGACCCGTCAGCCTAATGCACCAGACTGATGGATACTGGTCACAGTCTAGTCACGGCGAGCTGCTAGGAGGGTGACCATGTGCAGCGCCTGCTTTCTCATAGCCTGCCACGGTCTCTGATGGAATGGGAATCGTATATGTTGCATGTTGCCACCTCTCCCATAAATGTCTCTGTAAATGTAGATAATGCTACCACTTCCAGGGTCTGCACGATTCGCTGCAAGGCCACAATTCTAATGCTTAAACCCGTTCCGCTCTTCTTCGCCTCATCGTTGCAAGAAATACTTGCCCATGCGACAAGCTACAAGAACATAGCAGTTCGAGTTCATTCCCAGCCTCTCATCGGGAAACCCCTTCAGCCGCCTCACGGGTGTGGAATGCCAGTGGAGATGGTCTTTCCGTTCACGGAGTCACTAAAATGAACGGGTGGCATGTGGTGTTGGCGCCGTAGGCGCACAACAGGTAGCAAATGAAGCTGCCGATATGGATACCGAACAGAACTGTTTGGTCATGATTTGAGTATTCCTTCTTCACCTGGGTACCCTGGTATACATATCTTGAGAATCTCCCTGAACAATCTGCTACCTTTTGCCTTTGTTGGCCCGACTCTCGGCAGCCGTTCTCTTCTTCTTGGGAGCGCCCTTGCCTCTGAGTTTGGCGACCTGTATGTTTTCAAATCTGTGCTCCTCATCTTCATTGTATCCTTCCAAGCCGAACTTCTTGAATCGATTCAGCATGTCCTCCACTGTAGTTGACCTTCTTGGATAGTATGCGGCCAGTGCGGGGCCTCGTAATCTGGCACGGAGGATTTTGTTGCCCAATCGCTGTTGATTAGGGTTGAAAGTTGTAGAGAATATTGAGCATTGGAGCTTTAGGAGAAAGACTTGATCAGCCAGGTACATTGAGAAAGACACGGGGACGGGATGCGAATCAATGCGCGGCACTCTCTGTGCGCAGCACATGAAAGTACCAAACTTACCTTTGCAAGCTCTAGTAGTCGACCTCTCGATGCAGAAGCCATGGCAATGCTGTATACAAAGGATGAGTCGAATGTTGAGATGCTATTGTCCGCAGATGGAGAATTGACGGAAGAGCGAGACAATGCGCTCGGCTCAAGTTTCCTTTCTCAGAGACTCGCCTCTACTTTCCCCTCAGCTCTCAGCCACGACTTTTTGTCCGCCAACATCGAGGCCCAAGGTCGTGTGCAACAAGACCTGGACCAAAAGGTTCAAGACTGCCAATTCAAGAGATTATGCAGTAGCTTTCTGTTTCACATTCGAATTCGGCAGTATGTCCAATGTTGACAGGAAGAGAAAAGCGAACGGCGACCAAAATCTGACCCCTCGAAAAAAGTTTCAGAAAGATCAGGCTGGAGCCTTCAACGACAGACAATCCCATAATGCTATCTCGAGTAACCACTCCAGTCCTGGATCTCTTCCTCCATTACCGGACATCGACGAAAAGTACGTCGATGAGGTCTTCACTCACGTGACCGTCTCTGCAAACACCAACTACGACAGACTCGAATTCCTTGGAGATGCCTACATTGAAGTGATCGCTTCGCAATTGATCTATGAGAGGATTCCGACCCTTCCAGCAGGTCGTATGTCACAGCTCCGAGAGTCGCTCGTCAAGAACGAAACTCTAGGACAATACACAGTGCTCTATGGGCTCGACAAGCGACTCAAACAATTCAAGCGAATCCAGAACGAATCGAAACAAGCAGCATGGCTCAAAATTAAAGGTGACGTCTTCGAAGCCTACGTCGCAGCCGTGGTACTCTCAACGCCAGACGGCTTCTCTACCGTCAAGACGTTTTTGACGCAGCTGTGGGCACCCAAAGTGGATGCCGTGGTCGCTGAACCCAGAGCGTCATTGAAGAGCAAAGAAGAACTTGGAAGGAAACTCTTGGGGAAGGGTGTCACAATTAGCTATGTCGATGAACGAGAGCCTGTCATCCATTACGGCCAAGGAAAGGAGACCTATTATGTTGGAGTTTACTTGACTGGCTGGGGTTGGGAGAATCAGTATCTAGGCAGCGGCAAGGGGTTGAGCAAGGGTGTTGCAGGACAGGAAGCTGCGGCTGCGGCTCTGAAGAACCATCCTCTCATCGATGAGATTGTCGCCGTCAGGAACGCCTTCTATGAGCAGAAGAAGGAGGAGGATAGGCAAAAAGAAAACCTCGAGAAGGAATGAAAAAGCGAAACATCAAGCTGAGACGTCAGCATTTTGCGCTGTTAACGAAAGCCCGGACAATTGTTTGCGCGACTGCAAGCTTACATGTGCGACATCAAAGCTTGGAGGGTCGGAACAGAAGTAAGTAGTCGAACCATGTTCACACCATAGCTGCTCACCACTATCAGAACGCTCCAGATGCTCTCAGAACCCTCCAAAACGAATGCTCATATCGTGCTCCTAATCCACAAAAGCGCTTTTATCCGCAAATCCCTGGCCCTGGCCCAGGATCTCGCTAACCCATAACACTCTCCGTTTACCAACGAGCCGTCCATTCACAACTGAACATCGCAACGGCACGCCACCATCCATCGCCTTCATGCCTCGACACTCTCTGAACAATCACAAGACGGACAATCGAGGTGTATCCCCAATGTGGCGGAAGAAGACAGGGGTGTACTGCAGCAACACCTGTCCATGTCAGCATTTTCCAGAGGAAACAACTTCGAGCTCACCCACCTGAATGAGGAACTGATGCCTCGTCCATTCATCCAATTGATCATCCGAAAATATCGGACTCCTCACTCTCAGTGCTTTCTCTCCGGGTCGAAATCTTTGTCATGCGTGGTGGCGTGAAGAACTCTTTGTCTACCTCCTCATTCCGAAGATCTTGATCAGTTTCGAGAGCCAGCTGTTCTTTGACCGGACTTGGAGTCTTCATCTGCGCTTCTGACCGACGGACTTGATGGGGTGGAGTGAACGGTAAGGAGTTCTCAATGTTCAAATCACCAATGTCGACGGTATTGTCCTCCTTGCTGGCCGTCTTTTTGCGATGCACAATGCCAGAAACGAATTTGTCCTTTATCTTCTTCAATACTCGGCGACGCTTGCCAGTCTTTGTTTCGGGCTCGGTTGTGACGAGGTTTGCCGAGTCAGTTTGGGCGAGGGTCTTTGTTCCCATGAACGTCCAATTCTTCCGTGCAGCGTCGAAGTCGCAAGTCTTGTCTCCTGCCGCTCGGCCGCTTGTCAATGACACTTTCCCATTGTCGAATTCTGTGAAGCTGGATATGCTGTTGTACGAGTATGCCAATGACTCGGTACTTTCCCAAGTCTGATGGCTTCCCGCATCAGCATCATATGCCTCGCTGCTGCTCGGTGATGCATACTGATAGCTGACCAAACCTTCACCATCCCGGACGAGCTCGAAGACTCCACCACTACGACCAGCCACGATGCGACGTTGTCGACGTGCCTCTGCGTTCACTGAGGAGGTTTGATCCATGTTGATCGTTGTTGTTGATGGTTGTCGACCGGCGACGGACGGACCCTGCTCGACTAGTGGATCGTGACACTTCAAAGACTTGCTTAACTACGCGATTCCTGCGCGATCGATCCAGAGAGTTAACAAAAAGTTTCGAAAGGTGGCGAAGAGTACCAAAGGATCGAGCTACGATGTCCAGAAAAAGGAGATGTTGTGTCGGGACGGTGGTGCTGATACACGGACTTAACATCACGACATGTTGGGCAGTATCCTCTTTCACAACAACTGTTACAACACACGACATCACTTCCCAGAACGCGCAACAAAGTCTGGCCGGCGTGAATGCGTGTCGGCTGGGCGTTGCTATGGTTGCTGGTGACCGTATATTGAAGAGCGGCATGAATACTTGTCAAGCAGAATGGAAGTGCAGGCAAAGACATGGCGGACAAAAGGGGAACTATGCAGGTCTCTGCTTGAGGATCTGCAAGAACCCGTGAGGACGTGGATTCATGGCAGAAAGCTTGGATGCATGGCACTCGACGACTTCTGTGCTTGCGACGGCAAACCAAGCATTTGGAATCCGAAATTAGGAAGAGAGTTGATTACCTTCTCTGGTGCACCAGAGGGAATTCTGTTTCTGTGCTAGTCAACACATCTCTTCATACCGATTGATGCAATTCCATAGAAAGAGACCGTGCCTCTTATCTATGCAATTCAGCCCCTTGAAGCTTTACACGAGGCAGGTTTCTTGTAGCTACGCGAGAAGTCGAACCTGTGCATCATGAATAGAGCATTCATCACCGGTAACTATTAAGTAGTGGCACACAGGCTATCTTTATCCTGTCCGGGAACTCGGTATCGTTAATATCTATTTGCCCTCCTGTTTCGTCTTCATCGAGATCTTGCCCAGCGGATTCTTCGCTTTGAACCTCAAGAACGTCGCAAAGTACACGACAGCGTAATTGAACCCAATGAATGCACAAAAGATCCCAAAGTCGCGCCACTTGTGCGAGTAGAAGACACTGAAACCCCGGGCGAATTGGTCGCCGTTGGCATACTGGCAAAACTCACACAGTCCGTCGGATGCGACTTGCACGTACCCTCCGGCCTGGCGGATATATGGTTCGACGTAAGATTGGCATGTTTGGCCTGGTGGCGCTGGCTATAGACTTGTCAGCATGCTGCATGAGCTTTTCTTGGGTGCAGAGAGACTCACGAATCGTGCAAACTCGCCCTGATTGCATCGAACTGGTTGGTCGTGGATGATGACCTAGAGTTTTGGGTTAGCTTGACTTCGTCCTCCTGATAACAAGACTGATATAGGAATGGGAGACTTACACCAAGCATAGCCTCAAGAAGGTATGTAAAAGGAGTAAGGTGCCACATCCAACTTCGCCAAAAGGTCGGAAGCTGTGAAGGTGGCACGACCACGCCGCAGAAGCTCACCACGAACAAGAAGAAGATTGGTACAAGCAGACTGGCCAGCAACTCATTCGGCGCGAATGCCGCGATCGCCTGTCCGAAGCTCACATAGTACAGTTCAAACAGACATATGCACAGGTACAAGAAGCCCGATGCGAAGCTCGATGTGGAGGAGCGATACCCCTGGAAGCCGAACCACCAGCAGCAATAGTATATGCTGCCGGCCACAAGAGAGTAAGGTATTTCGGCGAGCACAGCGCCTGTAGTCCATGCAATCCAGCTGTAGATCTTGGCATTGTTCTCGCGCGACTGGAAGATATTCCGAGAATTTAGGAGGACTGGCTGGAGTTGTTGGATCAGGGGCGGAGAGATGGTCAGCGTCATGAAGACGGCAAACAGGCGTGATTGGAAGTCGATGGTAGCATAGCCGAGGTGGTAGAACGTGAAAGTCGTGAAGAGACCGGTGAGGATGTGAAGCATGAATTTCCCGATAATGTAGTTCGGGGTGCGCTGGGAGAAAGGGAGTCAGTATTGCCAACAACTCGCAACAAGAGACCGGGCGGAGAATAATAGACACAAGAGGGGATGCAGGACTCACCCAATACGACACAAAGGATCTTCTGACCACAGCTGCCACCTGAGTTGCCAGCGGCATTGCGTATTCCCTATCATCCCTGATGTTCCCACTGTGGTCAGCATCCTTCCTACGGTTGATCATCTCAGCAATCTCATCGGACCGAGCTTGGCGGTTCTTGCTTTGTTCCCAGACATCGCCCCAGTCTTTTCCTTTGTAGTTTGGATCGCCGGCGCCAATGACCTCAAGCATATATTCCGCGGGATTGGCATCGGGAGGACATTTTCGGCCCCCGTTCTCTTCGAAGTAACGGATAAGCTCTTGCGAATCGTTGCCTAGCGGTCCATGGTATACCACTCGACCACCAGATTTGAGCAGCAGCAGTTCGTCAAAATGCTCGAAAAGGACAGCCGACGGTTGATGGATCGTACAGAGGATGGCCTGTCCGGCGTCGGCTAGTTTCCGTAAGAATCTGACGATGTTGAAGGCGGCGCCCGAGTCAAGGCCGGAGGTGGGCTCGTCGAGGAACATAAGCAATTCAGGTTTACTTGCCAACTCGACGCCGATCGTGAGTCGTTTTCGTTGTTCTTGATTCAGACCTTCGCCGATTCTGCCGATTGTTGCACCAGCAATATCGCGCATTTCCAATAAATCGATGATGGTCTCACAGTAGGCATACTTCTCCTCCACAGGCACTTCTCGTGGCTGTCTGAGCAAGGCTGAGAAACGTAATGCTTCCCTTACGGTAGACGTTGGCTCATGCACGTCCATCTGCTCAGCAAAACCGGTGGCCCGCTGGAATGATTTGGGCAGTGGACGGCCGTCGACTAGAAAGTCGCCAGTCACAGTTCCAAAGTTGATGCGTTGGGCGAGGGCATTGAGAAGTGTCGTCTTGCCTGCCCCACTGGCACCCATCAATGCAGTGAGTCTGCCGGGACGAACATAGCCTTGGACATTCTGAAGGAGTTTCCGCTCGCCTTTCTCGTAAGGAATCACGTAGTTGACATCGCGAAATGTATAGACTGTTTCGTTCTTGGCCACTTGTTTCAGCGTCGTGTCTTCTTGCTTCGTGCTCGTTGTGTCGCTACCATCGTTGCTCGGACTGACCACCTTCTCACCCGCACTTGGCAGTCCGTTGGCGGCAGCCTCCTCATCACCATTTACATTCTTTTCTCGTCCTCCAGTCTCAATTGACTCTTCGACCTTCTTGGGTACCTGACCACGTTTGAAGACGGTGATCGCTCCGCCTCCAGCGTTGGGTTTCATTATTTCCATACCGAAGGCTGTCAGAGCGAGGAAAAATATGAAGAACGCCCAAAGGAAGCCAAAGTTCCGCCAAAGATGGCTTCGAGTATATCCGAATGATTCTTGAATATACCGAGCACCGTCAACGCTCGTGCGGCCAGGTTGGCTACCGGCCAGTGCGCATGACTGGTATTGAGGACTGGCATTTGGTCCTTGTGGGACCAAGTATGGGGGTTCGCATGCCATCGTGAGACCGGTGAATTCGTTCGCGATTAGACACTCGAAGCCGTATTGAATCCAGTTGATCCGTCTCAGCCAAGAAAACCACGGCTTCATCTGGCCGGGTGCTGTGGTCATGTTAGATTAGGTGTGACGGTGCGGGGCAGTATCAACTCACGTATTAAGTAGCCGGTGTAGACCACCAAGATTTGGATGGACAGGCCAGTAAATCTCGTGGCATCGTCAAGTGTTTTGCACAAAGCCGAGATCGACCGGAAGAAAGCGTAAGTGGTCATAGTCACTGTCCAAATGATCAAACAAGAAATGAAGAACTGGGACGCGGACGCGGCTAGCTGTAGCAGGAGTCAGCAGGGGCGAGAGCCAGGTTGTACAATTCTCAGCGACTTACTCCACCCATCCAGTATATGATAACATTGAACAAGAAAACTTGAACAGCGACCAGGGGAACATCGACGACTGTCTGGGCAATTGCGTAAGCTGCAGGTCGGTAGAACGAGAAAGACTTGTGCTTGAGCAGGATTGGCTTTGAAGAGAAGGCGGCGGTCATCTCTGCAAGGGCGAGTAGAGCGTTGAAAAGGAGGACGAAGAATATGGCGCCGCCACGTGGAAATGCTCCGCTAGCTGTTTTGGGCATCTGAAAGAACAGACTGCCGACGATGAGCCCCTGGCAAGCATTAGCATGGAGACCTCAAAAGGTGTTTCAGTGATTGCAATACCTGAAAGACGATTCCTCCCCATTTCCCATACAACGAGGCTTTGTCGCCCACGATAACCAAGAACTGACGCTGAGTGCAGGCGATGACCTGCTTGTGGAAAGGAATGGTGTAGTTCTTTTTCTTGTTCTTCTTCGACCTGTTCTCAAGCCGGGCCCTGCGCTGCTCTTCGAGCTGCGCTTCAAAATCTCTAATATCTTCAAGATTGCGTTGGTAAGCATCACTCTTGCGATACAAAGCGGCAAACTCGTCTGCATTACGCGGTATACGATCTTCCCAGCCCTTTTTGATTGATCGAGCATGTTCGTCGGTCACAGACGTCAGGAAATCAGCTGTGGTCCATCGCTCCGGACATTCAAATCCAAGATCGAGAAAGTATTGTTTAGCATTGTCTCCAGGTCCATAGTATAAGCATTTTCCATGGTCGATGAGGAGGACTTTGTCGACCAGCTCGTACAGAGACTCTCCAGCTTGATAGAGAGAGACGGCAGTCGATGTTTGGGCCATGTTGGTCAGAGTCCGAATAGATTGGACGTACTCCAGGGCAGTACTCGCATCCAGACCTCGACTCGAATTATCCCAGCCTTGGACTGACGCTCTTGTTATCATAGCTTCTGCAATGCTAACTCGCTTCTTTTCACCGCCAGACACTCCTCGAACAAATTCGTCTCCGACTTTGGTGCCCAGTGTATGCTCGATCCAGAAGAGTTTGGTGACCACACGTAGGAACTCTTTCATATAATCTGCACGGGATTCTCCTTCCAATCTGGATTCCTTTCCAGGAGTCCTGCACGTCAATGCAAACAGCAAAGTCCGTCGGACCGTTAAAGTCGCATAATGCAAGTCATCTTCAGGGTTGTAAATCACTTCGCCGCGAAAGTCTTTCTTCATCCGGTGCGCGTCCGTGCCGCCGTAAGTGACGTCTCCTTCCACCGACTTATAGCCTTCTCGCTGATTGCAGAAAGCCTTGAGAAACGTTGAACAGCCAGAGCCAGGGCGTCCCAGCACCAGGAGCATCTCACCAGGCCGAACACATCCGTCAAAATTGCTCAAGAGGTCGCGAACAGGCGGCTTACCGGATGCAGCTTTGGCACCCCTTCTGAATAGGGTCTTGATCGTGCGAGGTAGCCCAAGGAAGATGTCGCCAACTGTAGGTTGCAGACTTGCACCCAAGCCGACGCCCTTCACAGTCAGATTGCGGAAGACGACGCCACTGTGACGCGTCTTTTCCTCTTCGCTATTCTGCTGACGAGCTTGACCGAACATGCGGGACATCAAGCGTTCAATTTCGTCACTTTCCTCTTGCAGGTCGGCGTCAGACTTGCCTGAAGCACTTGTTCGCCGCTTGGACAAGACTCTGAACAGGTCTTCCTCGGTTTGAATACTTTTCCTCGTAGGGAAGTCTGGTCGTCCGTCTTGGGCTGTGGGTGCTGCCTTAAGAGGTTCATACCTCGATTCCGCCGTCTTTTCTGCTGGCGAGCGCTCGGTCGAAGCTGTACTGGAAGAGATGGTGGACATACTGCGGTGCGGCCCATGTCTAGCTTGTGGGCTATCAACGGCAGCCTCAGCGTTGGGCGCAGCCATTGGGCTCGTTGGCGTGTCGCTGGACGACGGCATGTCTTGATTGCGGATTCCATCTGCAGAAGCGGCGGGAAGGTATGAACCAGATTTAGCCAGTGATTGATGGGGAGTTGACACATCTGTCGTATCCTCGGCGGTTACCGCATCATAGAAAAGTGAAGGAAGTGCCGAAGTCGATGGTATGGGCTGACCTTGTGACGAAGCAGATGCCGTTGCAGGAGAGCCTCCGGCCACAGCTGTGTCGGATGGAATTGGTCTTTGCTCCATCTTGAGATAAGACTTGATTCTATGGAATGTGAGGTAAGAGTTAAAGAATACGATGCGCGAACAAGATGCCGTGAGCGGCCAATGAACTCTCTATTGAGCTTCACCGGGATAGAAATTGATGAGAATCCATGGTGGGTGATAAAGGACTAGGAAGAATGCAGGTTCAGCATGGTGGAAGTCGTTTCCGGCTGAGATAGAGCTCTGTGTTCAAGTAGTACGAGTACGATAGGGAATCAAAAGGCAAGCAGATGGATGGATACGAAGTAGCGAAACAAATGAAAAATGGATATCAACGGACTTAGCATAAGTGTCTAAAAGGAACACGACAGTTCCGAAGACGATGGAGATGTGGGAAGATGCATGTTTGGGTCTGTTGGATGATGGTTGGATGGATTTGGATCGAGGAAAGAGGTTCGTGCCTCAAACAAGCATTGTCTATGATGATATCAAATGATTATCACAGGATGGACTCGGAGATCAAATCTTCCGCTTCCGAAAAATGCCAAGATGAGTCGTCATCGATCCATTCAGTGTTTGTAATGTTATCACAATTACCTGACCTACCCTGTGGTTGAGGCATCCCAGCTACTGTGTTGGGCGTGCTTTGCCGATGCCGCCCTGCTCCGGCCGCCTGGAGCAAGTATACCCTGGACTCCACAGGCTGCCTGTTATCCTTGGAAGCGGACACCCTCTTCAAGCTGAGTCCGAACCCGACAGCCGTATGAGAAACGTCCGCGTAATCGCTGTCTCGATGCGCGCTGCGTTGCCTCTTCATGTTTGTCCTCGCATCAAGTTCGATCCGCTAGCGCTGAAGACCTGTGCTTTGCGGTGACCTCTTCTGCCACCAATCTGTAGAGTACCAGAACTGAACTCGTATTCCCCAGTCCATTGAGCACCTGAAGGACATCCTTCGAAGGACAGAGACCGAGCCAGACATGGCTACCATCTTGACAAGCGTTATCAATCGCACTTAGATATCCACCACGTGCTGGAACGTTGTTGGCATGTCATGCGCATCATATCTCATTCATTCATTCTCGTGTCTTCCTCCTGTTGGAAATCGATTGAGCGGGGATTCGATCTGGATTGACACTTGTTAACAGCCGTGTCCACCCGCTAATATCCCCTTCAACCCTTTGCTTTCGCAACAGGTTTCTTGGTGAAGAAATCGGACATTTTCTTCATACCAGAGACATTGACCTTCTTCAAGTCTCTTACGCCCCTGGACTCGCCCACCTTCGTCTTCCGCTGCTCTTCTTCTTGCTTCTGTTTCTTCTCGGCCCTCAGCTCTGCTGCTTCGTCGTCCTCCAGGCCTCGCTTTCGGCTAAAATCGCCAATCGATCTTGATGCCATTGCTTCGGCTCTGAGAACAGCAAGCGATCTCATGTGCTCTTCAAGCGGCGAGAAGTCGATGGGCGAATCCTTACCAGCAAATCGAGCTTGCAGTCGTTGTGCAATAGCTTCTGGTACATTGGAGGCCAGAATGAAGTCAAGGATAATGCTTTGCTTACGAAGGTCGAGCAACGTCTGCGATACCGTATCCGGGGCCATAGTGCTCAACGAGCTGGCGACGGATACTTCCGAAAAGACTGCTGACGGCGCAGAGCTCGCCGTAGTTGACTGCGAATCGAGGTTCTCGGAGATGGAGTCAGTGTCATCAAATGATGCAGATTCTGACTTAGTCGAGATAATCGTCTCTTCTCTCTTCACACTCAATACCGGAGCCTCAAGAGCCCTTGTCACAAATTTCTCTTCCAAGCTCGCAGGCAGTCCTTTTTCGATGACGGCGTTGACCTTTTCCATGATCATTTTTAAAGTCTTCTCTTCATTGGGCCTGTACATCTGCTCGTCGCCGGCCTCAATCGTGTCACAAAATCTGGACATGGCTTCTTCGACAACGTTTCGGCCGTTCTCCAGGATGTATCGTAGGTGCCTATCGTTCTCGATGTGTTGTTCAAGAATGTCGTCAAGTGGCTGAAAGAGCATCTTGGCGGTTTGCGCTTTTGCTGGTATGACAAAGGGGATGAGTAGGAAAGCCATATCAAAAGGCGTCGCCACGAACATCTCCGCACTCTTGCTAATGTACCCATCCTCGAACGTCAGCTGTCGGTCTTTCGACCCAGTTTCTCCACCATTCGTGTCTCTTGATGCCGGACCTTCGAAGAGCAGACTTCGCGGGTCCGGTGAAGGTGTGTTGATCTTCGTAAAGTGGAAAAGGCCATTTTCAGAGCAGAAGAGAAATCGTTGTACACTCGAGTCCCGTGGGTGCCGTAGTAACACAAATCGCGCGCGATCAGAAGTATCTTTAGGAAGGATAAAATGCTTCAAAGGCTCCCTTGAGTGCCTGCTCTCGTCGTTCGACTCTTTCGTCGCGGATTTCTTGACCGGGCTACTTGTTACAGAGCGAGTGATAGCCATTGTGGTTGAGGGTTACGATGCCGTAACACTGCCGCGTCTCTGCAACAGTATGGCTGATAGGAAACAGATTGTCTTGGACTCCGTACTCAATCGAAATCGCAGTCTGATGCCAAGGACAACGCGCTCCTTGAACGCGTCTTCCCTGGCCAATCGGAGAAGGAGTCTCTCCGCAATGCCACTTCATGCGGTTGTATTTTTTGTGTGTTTCAAGTGTAACAGCAACGTCTGCATTTACGACCTACTCGTGTGCCTTTGCGGTCGAAGGACACCATCTATCTTCGCCGTCACAGCAAGATATTGAATTTACACGGACAAGAACCATTGCGCGGGCGCAGGACTCTTGCACCGTTCAACCTTCTCTACTGCAGGACAGCCAGCAGAGATGTCGCATGATGTACCATGGCCCCCGAGATCACCTCATGCCGCTCTGCTCAGCTCTCCCAGCGGTCGCAAGAAGTACCAAGCCAAGGACAGTTCCCATTCGCCGATGAAACGATCACCCACGACACCGAGCCTGGTTGACAGATTGAGAGCTGTGCGGAAGGGCCATGACCTGCCCATGCAGGAGAACGACCTGCAAGAAGACCTCGAAGAAGACGAAGAGACGTTACAACTCAAGCTGGCGGCTATTGAGGCTAAGTTAAAGTTGAAGAGGTTGCAACAAAATAAGACCCGGGCTGGAACCACAGGTGACTCGTCACGGCCAAGCTCTTCTCATGGTCCAGGTTCTACCACTTCCAAGACGTTTCCTGCTGGTCCAGAAGCTATACCACAGCCTGCTCGAGTCGAAGTACAAAAGTCGCCAACGAGACGACCACAGCCGGTTTCACAGCCCAAATCTCCTTCACGAGTTCTCCTTGGAATCGATAAGGGCGTGAGAGCCGCTGATGTCTCACTCCGTCGAGCAAACACTACGGGAGGAAGCAGCCGACACAAACAGGAGACATCCCGGCACGCCAACAGACCAACTTCTCGATCTTCAGTGTTCAGCTCAGCACGATCAGGCGTTTCCACAGAAAGCAGAAAGACTTTCAGTGAACGCATGGCCGAAGCCCGAGAGCGTGAGCAATCACATGAACAACGACGCAACAGACACCGCAGCAAAGGCTTTGGGACCGACGAATCCGAGATCGAGAAATATCGTCTTCTCGCCAAAGACTCTATTCCTGCACCGTCCCGATCCCCAACCCGCCTCAACCCCCAACAAGCTTTCCCCCGCGATGAGATCATCCAAGGCAGAGTGGAAGCCGGAACCGGTAATGGTTATCTTGAGAAGAAACGCACAATGCCAGACCCCCAACGGTCTCCACCTTCACAAGACAACTCCGACCACTCTCACGCACAAGGAGACGCATCCCTCTTCGAGGGCTTTTCCGGTCTACACCTTTCCTCACGCATCCTTCCACACTCCTTCCTCAAGCGCACCCTTGCAACCGACCGCTTCACAATCTACCGCGTCCCTGATCTTCTGAAGAACATCACCTCGCCGTCCTTCGACCTTCCCGACGACGTTGTCGACTACGTCATCTTCGGCGTGATTGCATCCAAATCCTCACCAATGGACCAGAAAAAGCCACCACCGGACTCTGCCACCGCCGGGACGAACGACTGGGAACGTCAATGGGAAGACGGCTCCCAAAACCAGCGGCGCTTCATGGTCTTCACGCTCACGGACCTCAAATGGACCGTCGACGTATACCTTTTCGGTACAGCCTTGCCACGGTACCACCGCCTTGCGCCGGGTACTCTGGTAGCGATCCTCAACCCGGGAATCATGCCGCCTAAGCCGGGTAAGACAGATACAGGCGCGTTCAGCCTCAATCTGAACAATGGCGACGACACGATCCTTGAGATCGGGCAGGCCAGGGATCTGGGTTACTGCAAGACGCTGAAGAAAGATGGGCGAGAGTGCGGTGCCTGGCTCGACGCGTCAAAGACCGGGATCTGTGAGTGGCATCTCAACGCGCAGCTCGACAAGACCAGGGCGAAGCGGATGGGCGTGAACACGGGGACCAATGGCTTCAGTGGGACAAAACGACGCGGTATCTTTGACAAGATTGGCAACGCCAACGCCAAGGGCGAGGGAAATGGTCTGTTGGCTGCCGATGGGCATCGTTATGACAGATACACCGGCAACCACTTCTACATCGCCAAGTCGAATGGAGGAGGAGCTGCTACTGCCTCTGCCGCTGGTGGTGCTCTTCATGGAGGCTTGTACGACGGAGGACCATCGCTTCCTGAAGGCAATTTATCTCGGGACCGTGGTGAACGCGTCCGAAAGCACCTTGCCGCGCAGGTCAAAGAACGAGAAATCGCGGAGAAACTGGGCAGTGGCGGACACGGGCAGGGGTTTGGATTTGGCAGTGCAGGCGCCGAGTATCTCAAGCTACATGCTAGAGCCAAGGACTCCAAGGGACATGCCAAAGATGGTACTGCAGGCAAAGCCGACGGTCAGCAAGCGAATGCTGACGCCGAGTCTAGCGTGGGATCGCAGCGCTCGGCCAATATTCTTGCTGGTCCGCCTTCAAGTGCACTGGTCAACGGCCGTGGCAACGGAAATGGACGGAAACGGACGGCGGCAGATGTTCGTCTGTCTCCGGTAAAGAAGACGCGCTTCGTCACAGAGAAGGGCATTCGTGAGGCTGGAAGGGAGAGTCTAGGCGTCACGACGGCTAAGCATGCTGATGAGAGCGAGGATGACTTGGAGATCGTCTAATTTCAGCATCTCTATGATAGACTCCGACCTGAATATGAGATACGACTTTTGCAATGAACTCTGTTGCCTGTAGCAGGGAACGTCTTCTACAGTACTTCCGTTCCGGCTAAGTCTGCCCTCGCGGGGGTTCGAGGTGACATCGACATCCTCGTCTTGGAGAACAGTCGTAGACATACCAGCTTCGCCTGCATTGCAATCGGATGGCCAGTCTCCCAGTACCCAATCCACATTTTCCAAGGCTGACGAGCACATCAGCGCCAGCGAAGCGATCTGCCCATAGCCAACTACGCTCTCCATACAACCGCTCGTGGGCACCATCCACACCTATTCAAATCCTCTTCACACCTGCAAATGCTTTTTAAACCTCTTGCGTCGGCGCTTCGGCATGAAAGGACAATGATAACTATCTCATTCAGGCCTTACGCATCCATCGACCTCCGAGTCCTGCACCTCGGCTGGGACAATCGCAGCAACATCTCTGAATCAGACTCGTCGGTTCCAGAATCGTCCCCAGGATCGTCCGCAGAATCGTCCGCAGAATCGTCCGCAGAATCGTCGGCTCCAGATTCGTTGGCTTTAGAATCTTGATGGCTTCCGTTTTTGACTTTTGCACCTAATTGATTGTTAGTCAGACAGCTTCTTCACAATACGGAGACGTAATGATGAAAGCTCACCAGAGCCCTTAAAGCCCTTCATGCGACGTAGGGTGGTCATTGTCTTCTCTAGAACTTTGAGCTTCTTCGTGAGATCCTCGCGCTCGATCAGAGACTCTTCCGATTCGCCAGCGATTCTGGTGACTAGACCGTCTTCGAGTGCCATGATGCTCTGAGGTTTGAAGAGATTCGGAAGCTCTTTGAGAAGACACTCTTCAATAGCGTAGACGCCGAAGGAGTCGATGACGGATTTCATAGCAACCTGGGCCTGTTAGGGCAAGATCAGGATGACGATTCAGCGGTACCGTACCTTGTAATAAGCCTGCATAGCATTGGTTGCTTCTTTGCACGCAAACAACTCCATGTCCGCTTCAGTTTCTGTGAGCAGAGTGTCCAAAAGATCCAAGGAATCGAATGATGCATTGACAACGCGCCGATCAACTTCATCTTCAGCATCAGGATTTGCGCTAAAGAATTGTTTGATCTTCCCGGCCATGACACGTCGGGATTCTTGGTGCCGCATCTTCTGAAGATTGTCGATGAAGTAATGGTTGAAAGTGATCGGATGACCTCGTGTGTGCGGTCTAAGGACTTCTTCAACCTTCTCATGCAACTTGAGCAATATCGTTTCCATGTTAGGCCGAACGATATGTCGCATGACTGCATCCGCCGTCGTAGAGTCACAAGCGTGTTCGATCACAGTTGCTGTTGCTGTCTTTGCGGCAGAAACAAGCTTCTCTTCGGTATCGTTGAGTATGTGGTGCCATGGTTTCGACTGCTCAAAGAAAAGGTCACCAACAATGGCAGGGTTGAAAAGACCAGGTAACTCGCATCCTCGGCTACGGCGCATTCTGAGAAGGACGGTATCCAAGAACTCGTCTTTGGAGATAACCTTAGGATTGCTGGATATGGGTATTGGCTCCACTGATTCTTCGACAATCTTCTGAGCGTGACCTCTGCGTCTCATCTGGTCCGCAAAATCAGAGAGCATACATTGAGCAACTGCGCGGAGACGCTTATCGTAGCCTGCATCGGAGTCAGAATTACCGAAGAAAGCATCTGAGTAATTGCCGCCAACAGCATCTTTCATGAGGTCCACAAAAGTCTGACTGGCAGAGAGCAGATAGGTGCGTTGTTCCAGGATGGTGCTACGCGGACCTCCAAGAGCCTGCAGACGGTCTTTGCATGACTGCAGCTCGTTCTCGACGTCTCGGACCAAGTTGGGAAGTTCCGTGAGAATTTGGCCGAGTAGAACGCGACTCAGGCGTGGTCGAAGGTTATTGACTCCGAGTTGGCTCTTGGGAAGTGCGGACGACCACACCCGGCCCGAAAAGAAGTTGCGCTCAGAATCGTCTCGTTCAGCTCTGCTAGTATCTTTGGTATCATAGTCTCGGTTTTTGAGAACATGCCAGCCAAGTTTGAAGGCAATGTTCTCATTTTTGGCCAGTTTCACAAAGTTTGCCTCGCTGTCCGAGCCTTCATGGAGTAGATCGGGTTTGGTGATGATGCCAAGGGTCCGCAGGCCGGCCGGGTCGATTTCTCTTGCCAACTTGGTGATGACCTGCATCGCAAGGTCACTCTTGGCCGAAATGACCGCCAGTATAATGCTCCTGCTCTTTTCCATGTATGACTTGACCATAGACTGTACAAGTTGAGCGTCATCATCGGATTGTGATTTATCTCCAGCCCAGAAGATGCCCGGAAGGTCAACAAGAGTCAGATTAGGCTGATTTGCGCCACATAGCTCGACTCTGAGAACATCTTTCGAAAAGACTTTGGCGGAATTGTCCAAGCCCATGGCCCGCTCGGCCGATTTAACAATGTCTGCGAAGTCATCGAGGGAATCGGACGGGGACTCGAATTGTGACAGTTTCTCTGATTCTTGCTCTGAACGTTCATCATCTGGATGGATTGTGATGGTGACCTTGGTGGAAGGGCCCCGTCTGAGGATCAGTTCCGTGGCGAATCTGGTGCATAGGTTGTCCTTTGTGGGAAAGCGCAGTCCAGAGATAGCTTCAAGCACGCTCGACTTTCCAGAGCTCTGATCACCGCACACAATCAGCTGAGGGAGGTCAATGTACTGACTGATGCCGTGAGATCGCAAAGTATCAATGAGATTGAGGAGTTCCTCGTGCTCGGAAGTCTGGAGTTCAACCTGCGGCTGTTTGATCTCGCTTGCGTCGCCCATATTTGCGGCAAGAGTACAGAGATTGAGAGAATTTTGGGTAAGAATGAAAGGAGAGTTTACAGAAATTCAAGAAGTGATTTGAAGAAGAAATGATTTAAGGGTGAAATGAGGTTGACCAGGTCACTGTGAAGTCCACTGCCACCATCTTCACTCTTGTTTGCTGCCATTGTGAAGTGATAGATGTTTCGCCTTTGTCAGCCACTTTTGAAAGAGCTAAGCACAACTGAGAAGCCTGAGATAGTGTGTAATTCTTTGCTTTGTCCTTGCATCACGGTGTTGTACAGAGTATCATGTACGGAATGGGGTGGATGACCCATTCTGGTCCTGAAATCCATCACATCCGATCGCAACAACCGTGAACACAAAATCCCAGGAACGAGCAGGACCTGTAGCATCTGATCAAGGCGATGAGGATCAGTGCAATCGGCGGAGGCGGAGCCAGCTACGATTGGAATGAAAGAAACCACAGAGAACTTGGAAGAGCTCGGCAATGAGCACGACCGAGGCCAAGAACAATTTCTTGGGACTGAAGCCTGGTGTGATAAAAACCGGTAGCCTGACAGGGCATTGGGCATCGGCCTCGTCCATACATTATAACGGAATGTGTTATGTCAGACATATGCCATTTTTCTTCTCCTGCCTCGCCGACAGGCTATTAGGAAGTAGTATCGTCCTCATTGTACAACGAAGGAAAGCACTTTTTGTAGGGTACACCCAATCCAGTGTACAATATGCTGAGTCTCGACACGACCACTCAGCAAATTGTCTTCCAAACCTTCTTGTACCAGGGCCAGGTAGCCTGAACCTTGCGCTCTTCTTCCAGGATCTCCGCCAGATTCATCTCCCGTCTTCCACTTGTGATATCGATTTCATGAATCTTCCGAATCTTGGTTCTGCGTACGATTTTGTATCCGACGTACATCACGATTACGATGGGTGCCGCCAAATAATACTCGAAGAACCCCTTGACACGCTCTGAAGCCGTCATCTCGCCGTACCCGACAGGAGCGAAGCCAGTCCAGAATTGTGCGACCAGAATCAAGCAGTTCATGATCAACCCGAGCCATGACCCATAGACAGTAGCCTGGGACTTGAAGGCCAGCTCGTCGAGGGTGTGGCCAGCAAGACGCCAGGCCTTTCGGAACCGTATATGGCAGAGGCAAATAGTGCCCCATGTAAAAATCGCTGCAAGCCCGCTGATAGCTATCATCCAGTTGAAAGCTTCAGCAGTAGTGTCCGGACCCGCTGCGCAGATGTAGCAGAGGAATCCGAGAGATGAAGATACGATAATGGCAACGAGTGGGCGACCCGATCGGTCGATATAGCCGAGAATTTTTGGTGCCTGGCCCATGTCTGCCAGGGCGGCTAGGGTTCTGCTCGAGCCATAGACTGAGGAATTCCCAACGGACAGAACCGCGAGGAGAATGACGACGTTCATGATGGAGGGTACTGCCTGGATACCGGCATTTCGGACGGCGATAACGAAGGGTGAAGCATTGGCATCGGCTGAGCTGGTGCCATTGAGAAGGGCGGGATCGTTGTATGGCACGAGAACGCCGACAATGGTAAGTGAGACCATATAGAACTATCGTGAAGTTAGCGATGCCATACAAGAGACGAAGGATGTAGAGCTTACCAATGCAATTCGCCAGAAGACCTGCTTGACAGCAGTCGGCAAGGTCAGGCGCGGATTTTCAGTTTCAGCTGCGGCCAGACCGACGAGCTCCGTGCCTGAGAATGAGAAGGCGGCTGTCACAAAGACCGAGCAGAGTCCTTTAAATCCAGCGTTGAACGCACCAGGTTCCTGCCAGTAACGAGCTCCGATATAGCCTCGGTCGTCTCTGGGAACGCCGCCGGTGTCGATGATAATTCCGAGAATACAGAACCCGATGACTGCAATGACCTTGACGATGGACAAGACGAACTCGACCTCACCGTAGCCTCGGACGCCAAAGAAGTTGATGATAATGATAGCTACAAGGAAAATTGTGACCCACGCGGCGCTATTGACGCCTTGGCTGCCAGACCAAAACTGAAGGGTGAGGGATGCGGCCACAATTTCGAGAGGGAGTGTAACCATCCACCTACGAGAGTCAGTACCCGACACATTTTCCTCGGATGACAGGACTTACTGAAGGGCATAATTCCAGCCCATTGCAAAGCCCCAAGCCGGGTCCACGAAGCGACTAGCATAGACGGAGAATGCTCCGGCCACAGGAAAAGCCACAGCCAATTCGCCCAGCGCTTGGACAACACAAAACAACATTATACCGATCAGACCGTATGCGAGTATCAATGAGGCAGGACCACCAGTGGCCAGAGCAGATCCAGAACCAACAAACAAGCCCGTACCAATGGAACCTCCAATCGCTATCATCTGAAGATGTCGTCCCTTCAAGACCATCTGCAAAGCTGGCTCAGCGGGAGGCTGATCTTTGAGGAGGTTGCCATCGGCATCGATGGCTTTTGTGGTCATGCGGGCATTTGGATTTCTCTTGAAACTGTCGACGAAGCGGCCCCAAGTAGTAGGTGCCCTGGGGAACTCAATCTTGCCATGGTTTGCCGAATAGCTCGATCTCCCTGGATCCGACTCGACATCTTTCTCCTTCATGATGCTTGGGTCGGCCATGGTGAGTATATTTTACCAGGATGGGAGGTGGAAGTGAAAACGCTCATCGAGGAAATGTGCACGCGACACCATGGCAACTTCCAGGTTATAAGGGCCATCAACGGACGGGGCAACACGAGCTTTTCGGCGAGCTGCGAAGTGTAACCATGCCAATCAACGAACAGTATTGTAAGCGGCCACTTGTGGAGTGGAGTTTATTGGTAGAATTGACGAGGCTGAGGAAAAATTTGCTGATGGAAATCACGCAGAAAGCTTCTGGACGCAGGAAAAGACAGGGGTTCAATGCTTACCATCGGCATATCCACTTGCCCTTGACAATATGTCGGTCTGTTTGTGGAGAGCGAACGACGATGGGAACAAGGTCACAGGTGGCAACGTTGGTGTCAGACCAATAGCACACCACCGAGGTCCGCTGCCGTCAGGCTGGCGAGATGGAAGGCTCCGTGCAGGGATCATCTTCTCCATCATGTGTGCGAAATTGTCCAGGTGGAGTCACCGTAGACTGAAGGCGTATATCAGGATAATGAGGTTACGTTGATCAAGCACACGATGCGACCTGAAGAATCGTCGTGATGGCAGTAAACAGCGAGGAAAGTGGGCAATAAGGTAAACAACGAGACAGTTTGGCTATCGGAAGGGAAAAACTCTGCTCCTGAGGCAATAAAAACTCGGCCTCTTTCATGCTCTTGGCACCCAATGCTTGTTTCATCGGACCTCAACATCTCGCAAGATCCATTATGGTTCAGCCTCCTCCCTCGACATTCGGCACGACATCTTCCATCTCGACCGTCCTCGTCGCCGGCCTCCGAGAATGGCACGAGGAGTGGTGTTGGTAGTATTGCCGACAATGCGGACTTCGAAAGCAGAGTGGTCATCGTCTGCCGCCGCCATGATTGCTGCTTGTTTGCAGGCAGGTGATGATGGTTCTGATGAGGATTATCTTGTGAGTGCGACCTTCTTTTAACTGCCTTCAGCAGGTCATCTCTTGGCGACAAATGTGCCTGACTTGCGTCGAGGAGGCCTGCTGACATAGTGACAGGGCGTTGAGGATGTTCACAGTGTACTGAGACGTGTCTGTGTCTATCCTTGATCCAGCACTAGGCAGCCTGTTTTTGGGCGCTTTCATCACCTCCTCTGGACTATACGTTTGCTATCAGGCGCTATATCGCGATGTTAACTACTTCTTAACAACGGCGGCCATCTTACGATTAAGCGCCACGATACTCTTTATTCCATATCATGCACCCACCGCAGACACCGCCACTCTATCTGTTCCTTGACGTCGGCGACCAGCCTATGGTCAAGAGCTTTTTACTCGCTCTTTAGCCGTGGAGGCCGATCGACGCCATTGCGCTCGCGTCTTCCGGACGAGTATGGCGTACGACGCGGTGTTACAGGCACTTTCCTGATAACATCATCGAGTTACGTTCCCTTGGGGTACTGAAACCCTTCCCACCCGCGCCACCTTTTTAGCGCGCAAAGTCGAAGGTTCGAGTCTCGTTGGATGGCTTTTTTTTTGCTCTGGTCGAGTTACAGACTAAGGGTTTCGTGCACTATGCATTTGTGGTGCGCCGGTTCTGCAATCACCGCAAAAGCGCAACGATATGCAGCCTTTCCCCGGACTCTTTTGTTACTTCCACTGTGTTTGTACCTTAGCATGATGCTTTCATGGAGCCAAAGACAGAAGTGAGTTGCGAACAAAGCACCCCCTCCTGTTCCGGCCATCGACAAAGCGCTTTGAAGACACGTACAAAGACGATCAGAAGCACTTGAATGGGGCATAAAGAACAAAATAAGGAGGGTCGCGCACGCCGTTACAAAGCGATGCCATCTCTCTCGAACTCAACGTGAACGGAACTTACGAAATTGCTTCACTCTCTGCAAACCCAGCCAGGTCAAGGCAGACGACATATCGTGGTCAGCCAGACCTGACCAACTCAAAATGCGGGTCATTGCTTTATATATATATATACCCCATAAATGGACTGGCTACTCGTCTGAGGGAAGCTTCTGGGGGGCAGCCTTGCCTCCGACACTGCTGACGCCCTTTGCCACGGCTGTGAACCTGGAAATGGTGCACTCGCATAGCGAATAGGACTTGAAAAAGGAGCTCAAGTTTCAACTTCATACTGCAAGTAGTGTAAAGCGGACCATGGTTAGTGCGCTAAGTCCTTGAGGTCGTCGACTCGAACATAAACAATGACTGCAGATCATTCACAAAGCGCCAACCAGCGGTTGGTAGAGCGTTTGCCTGTAGTGAGAACGACAACTGAGGCAGCGTGGATCGCAAGAAAGGAGGCTGCTTCGTTTGTTGTCGCAGGCGGTGGTGACTTTGACGGCTTTGTCGTGTCAGGCGCTACACTCCGCCATGAGCAAGGCAATCATGCCGATTCGCATACTTAAGGTGCAACAGGTGCTGAGTCGGAAATATGATGATCATCAAGAGCTTGGAGCGACACCTGTGAGCGATAGCGCAACCCGACTTCCACGTCCAGCTTGTCAAGCCATACGTTGCTCTTGCCCGCCAGCATGAATGCTGATCACCTTTTTCCGGCCCTGCCGAAGTTCTTGTCCATCAATTCCTACTACATTTCGCGAGATAAGGAGGACGACGAGAAGTGGCTTCAAGAGCAAGCCTCTTGTGGAGGAAATGAACCGGCTTATGAACGATGCAAGGAATTGCTAGAGGGAAGAAGGTATGTTGACCGGCTAATTCGATTTGCAGATAAACGTCAACCAGAATTACCGACGGGAGTCGTCTTGCCAGGTGGACAGCTCACTCCAACCATAACAGGCGACAAGGCGCTCTCCCACATGTTCCACAATCGCGTGGTTCTTCTCGGATTGCTGCACTTACCAAATCTCCAACATCCCTCTGGTGGTCTGGAGGCCTATTATAACCTGGTTGATACACTCCACGAAGGCCCGATGAAAGGAAAGGAGTATGAGCTGGAACGAGTCAGTGGCGAATATCAGCTACGATCCGAGTTCCAGTGGCTTGTCCAATTCCAGCGATCCGTCGATGAATGCCTCGATATGCTTGTTGCCGCATACCGATTCGGCAAAGGCCAATTTGCCGATGCAGAACGGGTCTCCAAATTTGTCGAGCAGGCGGTCATGAGATTCCCTCCCATGACGAGACTTTTGATGGAGTTGCTCTTCGCGGAATGCGACTTTGAAAAGGAGTACGCAGAAGATCACATCTGCGACATCAAAATCGAGAAGCGAGTCAGAGTCCTCGATCGAGAGTCTGCAAATGGGAGGAGCCTGAACTACAACCGCCGATTGGTTGTCGACAGGATTACGGACCTGAAGCACTGCATGAGAAAATATTCCATCAGGATTCGGGGCATCTTCGCGCATCGATACCTGGTTGACTGGGGGCACGGCAGACTCTGGAAAAAGCTCTACCTCGTTACGGACAGCGAAGGTCCAGAAGGTATCCCGGCAAGCATCATCGATAAGTTCCTGAGATTTACCACGCTGACAACGCCTTTAGCCAGCAAGATCTTCAGCGTACATCCAATCCCCTCCCACCACATCAATCAAGAGGACCTGTGCGTCATCTGCCAGGAGCGTTATCAAGTAGACGACTTCCTAATGGAGCTGCGCAATTGTCCGCATCGAATGCATGCCTGGTGTGTCGTCGAGTACTGGGATAGATACCACTACTACGACAATGACTGTCCGGTTTGCAGGACAAGCAGCGGGCGCATACAGGAAATATTCCCATACTTTCCGATCCGCGCTGTAGACGTCTGCTACCACGCTGACGCCGACGCCTCACACGAAGAGATCTGGAGAGATCACTTCCTCCGACATCGGATGAGAAGGGATATACCGATCGAGGACTGGGAGGAGCACCTTCAGGAACATTTCTGGGAGCGCGAAACCATCGCATGGCTAGAAGGATGGACTGTTGAAGAACGGCTGCAGATGCCACAGTTCTTCCCTTCGAGACGTGTCGAATGGGATGAAAGCTCCGCAAGTTCCGATGGAGAATGCGCCATGGCAGGTCCGGAAGAAGACGAGGTTCGGGATGAAGACGCTGATGAAGACGATGATCAAGGCAACGATGATCGAGATTCAGGCGACGACAGGGATGGACCTGAAGATGGCGACGACGGCGAGGAGAGCAGCAACAAACTCAGCTCACACCTAAGGGCGTTGACCTCTCAACTAGAATTGCTATGATATTTCTTCTGGCATTGTCGTTACGGAAAATAGAGGGCTGGAATGATGTATGTGGATGCTTTGGCCATTTGAGAGCTTCGGAAGTGTCAATATCTGTGACGATGTGGGGAGCCGAGACTCTAGATTTGACAGTTGGCAGGTGATGACATTGGAGTAGTTGGAATTAGGATGTTGATCCGAGGCATTTCAGTCCTTATGGGTGTCTTTATGTGGGTGATTTTCTCGTTGCGGCCTAGAGTCTTGTTGTCAGCCAGTCTGCAGAGGAGTGATGAGAGGGACGATTGGCTACAGTGATGCACGAGTAGAAATGCAGTATGCCACAAATACCACCGTACTGTGATAGTACTCGTACATAATAGCTGAACACAAATCCCTTGCTTTTCGGACGCTGGCGTGACACTCGATCAGGCCATGTGAAGCACGTAAAAGACCTGTACATCCTCGCTTTCTGATACAAAGACTTCAAATTGATCGGGTGTGAACAAAATCATGCACCTTGTCGTCGTGTTAATTTCTTCTGAGACTCGGCAAAGTGAGGCGAAAGTCCTGCAAAGTATTGCACTAACCCCTGTCAGTCACTTACGAGTTAGGTGCCATCATGTGCCTACGGGTACTCGTAGCTCTCTGCAGTGAGCCTAGTGGCCTAGTGAGCCTGGTGACGCTGGTGACCGTCCCAAGCGGGAGGATACCCAGGATTCCAGGTTCTTCTGGATACTCTGGAGAAGGCCCAGTCAAAGTCAGCATACGACTCACATCCATCCGCGCCTATCAAGACCAGCAGCTAGGCACTACGGGGCCCCCATTCTCGCGTGGAAGCTCTTAGTCTCGGTGGTTGATGCCTATCACCAGCCCTGTCAATGCCTGTAGCCTCTTCTGTCGGTTCACTTCGGTTCCTGCCTCTCGACCAATCCGTCACCACCATTCCTGCCATTTGTTGCAGCTTGCAGCTTGGTCTTTTCCTTCTTTCACAACTGCCATTAGCATCCTCCCTCCAATACCAGTGCTTCCACCCACACTCTCTCTCACATCCGACCACCTGCGTCCACATACTCTTTGCTGAACATTTTCTCGGTTCCTTCCAAACTCTCACGTTCTTTCTGAAGCGTTCGCTACCAAAATCAAGAATCTACTATTGTTGCGCTCCAAAGTCCGGCCTTGTCCGACAGTTGCGCATCCACCATCCACGCAATCTACCTGCGCTGTTGGTCGCGTCGCATAAAGTCCCATTTGCCCGCGCCACGATCCCACGATTCTATCCTGTCGAGTCCACCGGAGATTGTATCGATTCCTGCTATGCAGCCTTCTGCGATGCCATGAAGCACTCCTACGCGACCGTCGTTCATTCTCGGTCGTCCCACGCGTGACCATGGTTGCGGACAACCACCCTATATACCTATCTTGATTCTCGACCGTCATGGTCGCCGAATCGTCCCTCAGCACGCGCTCTTCACTGATATCTCTCGATCCGGCCCTCGCAAGTCACATAACAGGCACCACCCGCGCCACGACCGTTCCCTCAGCCTCACACCATGGCTCCAGTCCGAGAAAGGCCACCAAGACTCCCACCTCGGAGCTGTCGCGCAGACATCTTAGGAATAACTCTGCGCCGAGTGTCAGTGGAAAGAAGAGAACTGGTTCTCTGAGACGAGTCAAGAACAGTACCGAGGTCTTGAGACAGCGTTCGACCAGATCATCCAAGAAAACAAAGCCACTGGAAACCATTCCCGATACAAGATCAGGTCGCAATTTCACCGTTGGCAATGTCGGGACCGGTGGCATCTTGTATCTCAAGCCTTCGGCTCAACAACGTCATCCACGCGCCGTCGTCTCTCCCATCACCTTGCCCACTACTGCTCCCGCTGCGCTCGGGCATGCCGCCCAGCTTGTATCCGGCACACAGTCTCTCTCAAACCCGTCCGTCTCTTCGTTGACACGATCTGCTTCTCCCAAACGAGTCGGACGAGCCGATGGCAGGATAGCAATACCCACCCATGGTCGATCACAGTCCTTCTCGACCCTGGGAGAACGTCGTCCGTCGAATTCTGCGTCAAAGTCTAAAACGGTCAGAATTGTGATTCATCGTCCCGAGGCCTCAAGACCCAAGACCGCTCGTGAGGAGACTGAAGAGAAGGAAGCTTTGCCAACGCTGGAAATCCCAATTCCACATTATCGGATCGGCACTTTCCGTTTCAGTTCCCATGGAACTCCCATGCTGCGCGGATCTTCTTATACCCTTGGGTCTGTCACTCCGTCCGAGGCAACCCCCACTCCAGCAAACTTCCAGGCTGAAAATTATTTCGGAGCTCCTCCGATGTCCAGTTTGAAAGCCTTTGCGAAGATTGATCCCGCGAAAACCACTCGAGGCGACACTCACACTCGTACAAAATCGCAAATAACGACGTCCTCTAATTCGACGTCGGGAACGACTTCCACCTCAGCCACTTCAATACAGCCCGAGGTATTCGATGAATTGACTCAGGTATATGACGACCCTTCTGTTGTTCGATATTGCCAGAATGTGAGAGAGATAACAGCTGCTACTCCGGCCCGCATCATTGCACAGATCTCGTCCGATTCGTTCATGGACTATGAGCTGGTGTCGGATTTCTTCTTGACATTCCGATCGTACATGTCCACGTATACTGTCTTGGATCTTCTGATGGCACGACTGCGGTGGGCTATTGCTCGGCTGGAAGATGATGGGCGAATCATCCGGGTTCGGACGTTTGCCGCTCTTCGACACTGGATCCTGAACTATTTTATGGATGATTTTTATGCCGACCGTCGACTTCGAGAACGGTTCTGCCACGAAGTCAACAAACTCCACGCCGATGTCAAAGCCAGTCCGGAGAATGGGCTTAGCGATCTCAAACTCCTGCGCGATCTCAAGCGCTGTTGGAATGGCCGTTGTTCGCTCTGTTGGGACCCCGAAGATTTCGACTTGGATGGTGATCAAGAGAATGAAATCCAGCCTGGGGGCCTCGACGAAACCGAAAGCGCGCGTACTCCTCAGATCGGACCTCCTCGCATTGTGCATCCGAGACCAGAATCACCACAAACTGAGGTCTTGCGGGGACCGTCGCACAGCTGGTTTGAGGCCGAAGCCGTCGTACAACAACCGCAGCATAGCCAGCCCTCGGACCCACTCGCAAGTTCTCTGATGAGCGACGGGAGTTTTCAGCCAAGCTCATGCTTTCCAAACAGAAATCTCCTGCGTCTGGGGCCTGATCGTGATTCGGTGTCCCGAGGGCCGCATCCAGTTTCCGTTCAACTAAGGCGCAAGAATGCTCCTTCTAATCTACAAGTGGTCACTCAGACGACTCTCGCGCCGAAGCCTCTAGGTCACAAGAGGGGAGCAAGCTCCATCGATAGTAATCGTGAGCATACTCCCCGTAAAACGGAACCTGAAACCCCGGCATTCCTTGCTGAGGATGGCGACATCATCCGAGGGCTCTTATATAGCCCTAGCGGTCCATTTGTACAGCTAGTGCCGTCGAACTCGACACAGTCACTGGACAGTACCCGGCCTGCAGGTTCCAAAGAAACTCCGAGGAGGGAGCCAGGGAGTCTGTCCGTCACGCAACCCATTGGAAGGAACATCTTTGGCTCTTTACGGAAGGTGTTGGGAAGCAAGCAAGGGCATGGCGACTCGACCATGGTAACAGTATCACAATCTGCCACAGATGTGCCAATACGAAGTCACAAATCACCTTTGCCTCTGAATGTCTCTAAATCACACGACGAACTACGAAATAAATCTGGACCTCTAATGGCGAGGAAAGGCGAAGTTCGCATCGACTTGTTGTGCGCCGCAGTTTGTCAAAACTACGAGACGAAATTTCCGACCAAACATCAAGTCCATTATAGTGCCTTGCTCGGCAAACACGCCCCTTTTGAAGCAACCGACATTCCTGAAACCGAGAGACAGCGGATGTACAGTCATGCAACTGCCCAGAGTGGTTCTATCTTGATCGTCGATGATACTGGACTTGATGTCCCCGCAATGACTGGCGCTCTGCAGGCAGAGAGTACCGGATCAAGTTCTCATGATCCGAGATTGATACCGTCGCCCCTGAATGTCCCTCTTGGTCAGGATGCCCCCAAGCGTGATGGCAGTATTGATGCTGTGGCAACCCAGCGGAGCTCCAATCTTCTTGGAGACCAATTGGGCTTAGCCCACGGAAGTAACGACACCTTGGAACAACTGACGAGTGCACGAATTGTACCCGAACCTGCTGAGGACGGCCTTGAGCAGATGACACGGGACAAACGCCCCCTCTCTCCCACCACTGCTAGTTCCGGAACCGTGCGCGAGGGGACTGGATCACTTGACATCCCTCGACCCTTGACAGAAGATACCGATACACAGGAAGCCATTGCCGACGCGAGCTGCGATGAAGGTGAATATCCCGAGGAATCAGGATCTACCTCGGAAAGCAAGTTTCCAGCGCATACATTAAGGAGACGTCCAGGAGGAGACTTGCGACGCGTTGAGAATGTGCAGCAGCTTGATCATACGATTCACCATGCTTCTATTGACACAGCTAGTGTCATCTCTGGTTCTCCTCATGAATCGCTACTTATCATGAAAACACAGACTCGCCGTGCTTCGGAGGGAGGACCACCACGCAAAAGGACAATCTCAATGATCAACACACATTCGTCACAACATCTCCGTCCTTCCTTCGAAGCAGCAGTGGCCGGTTTCTCAGCTATACCGGACGATGATGACGGAGGCCTTGAAGCTACGCTGATGAAGTTGGAAGGCAGATACGAGAAGAAGTCGCCTCCTATCGAGCACCATCCTCTCGATATGGCAGGGAGGCGGAGATCTCTCCCAGATCTCACCACGAGATCTCAGCTGGACCTTGAAGAGCCAGTTCGGGCAAGCACCGCAGCCAACCATCGATTTTTCGAGCGGCAAGTTCGTGAGACGGTTGATGAAGTGGCTTCCGATGAGTCTCGGGAGGAGTTGACAACCGCAAAACTCAAGGCTGTCGAACACAAGCCCTCCAATTCTCGAAGATCTTCGATCTATGGACTGCCGACCGAATCCGTTGTCGACTCGGAGGATTCCCACGGTTCCCTGCCGTTGTTGAAGCGGGAGACGGCTCATGAAAGCACCACAATACCTTTCCGAGTCGACGAGAGGCACAGACCTCCGCCAATTGCGCCTGGATATTTTCCACAAGATCCTCCTCAGTTGTTTCATCTGCCTAAAGGGCCTCCACCAAGTGCCAGCAAGGCCCGACATAGCATTCCCAGGCCTGGAACGGGCAATGAGAGCAACCGCTCTTTTCTGCTGGATGAAGATGAAAATCTGTCTGATCTTTCCTCGGAAATCTCGGTGGACATCATCAACTACGCGGAGGTTGCAGGTCGCTCGATTTCGCCCATGCTCGCCGCACCTGGGACGGCCATCTCTGGACTCGAGATACCTGCTCATCCATTGACATACGCTTCGGTGGTCAATCTGAATGTTCCAGAACCTCCTGCTAGAACATCAGATCCGCTTCCTCAGACTAGTAATATGCAGACGAACAACGTTCAACCTTCTGTCAACCGCCAGCCTCCGCAAGCTGCTGCTTCTTCATCTCAACCAATACCGCGTTTGCCGGCTGGTCCGGCCCACCTTCCCTTCGTCCTCGCATGCGATTCGCAACTGCTTGCACAGCAAATGACCTTGGTCGAGAAATCAGCTCTATGTGAAGTCGAGTGGTCCGATCTGGTGGAGATGAGATGGGACAATAAGGCTGCCGAGGTTCTGGATTGGGTTGAATGTCTCGCAAAGGGCACTATCAGAGGTATAGATCTGGTGATCACCCGCTTCAACCTTGTTGTCAAATGGGCCTTGTCCGAGATCGTTCTGACCCAGGACCTCCACGAACGCGCACGAGTCATCACGAAATACATCCACGTCGCAGCCCATGCACGAAGATTGCACAATTACGCTACCATGTTGCAACTCACTATCGCTCTTACCTCGACGGACTGCACACGGCTGTCACGGACCTGGGACATGGTATCTGGACCCGACAAGTCGTTACTCAAGCACATGGAGGCGCTCGTTCAACCCATCCGCAACTTTCATGATCTTCGTTTGGAGATGGAATCAGCTGATCTCAGTGATGGCTGTGTTCCTTTCATTGGTGAGTCTACAGCTTACAGGTCATCCGACCATACTGACAACTTCCAGGTCTATATGTGCATGACTTGACCTATAATGCCCAAAAACCTTCCCACATCCCTGGCGGACGTGGATCAGAGTCTTTGATTAACTTTGAGCGATATCGAACTACTGCAGTCATTGTCAAAGGACTTTTGAGATTAATTGATGCGAGCTCGCAATACAACTTTGAACCGGTGCAAGGTGTCATCGAAAGGTGTCTCTGGTTGGCCGCCTTAGGTGATGACCGAATCCGAAGCACGAGCAAAGCGTTAGAGCCATAGAGGGATGTACTGGATATGGCTAATGGAGGTGGCTTTGCTTTGCTGGAACACACAAATTCGTCCTGTTGTGGACGGATACCTGGCGGCCAAATCTCACGGCTTATCAATTCTGAGCGATTCAGCGATGGCGTTGTCAGTGGCGAGCTACCCAACTGACCAGACTCCGATTTGGAGTTTTACTTTGGATTACGAATGCCGGAAGAGGTAATCCCGCTCAGCCCTGGTATTGACGGATATGATATTGGAGATACACTGCATCATAATAGGGCTGCATGACGTTGGGTATTATAAAATCGTAATCTTGGTTAACGAACGGATATATTTACCTGAATATGAAGATTCAAGTCCAAACAACTATTGCTGTCTCGTCTGAAACGTGCGAGTACATGTGCACAAGTCGAACGAGAGGGATGCTTGTCAGGGATGGGTGATGGTCAGTCAGCAAGGCCCGTCCTAGAGTAGAACAAGCATGAGCAAGGCTCTGTGGTCCCTAGATCAATCCGACATGTGACCTGGATAGAACGCTCTGAGCGGCGAGCAGCTACAGTGAACCGTCAACGTGAAAAAGTTTGTGTATTGACTGGGAACAGGTCTGGACGATGAAAAGTCAAATCAGTTGACGAGGCTGTCACCCCTGAGTTTTCCATTCCACAGCACCGTAAAGATGTCGGCAACATGCCATTCGAACCAAACTCGGTGCATTGTGTTTGGACATTCATTAGCTGCATTTTGGTAGTAGATAGGAAAAAGCAGTACCCTGTTTCAACGTGGAGGTGCTAGTGGTTCGCCCTCAGACCGACATTCGTTATGGGCAGTCTTGCCATGGTAGCTCACGCTGCACCTAGTCTGTCCTTGATTATTTGCTCGCTGAGACTCCAAAGTCTCTCACCCAGTTCGTCGTCTTGAGCCTCCTTGCTCGGGTCCGTGACCTTTTTGTCCGGCACGATATACTTGCCAGTGATGCCTTGCTCTTCGACTTCCTTGCTTGTGGCTGCAAACAACGCCGGACGACAACCTTGAGAGACGGGATCCTTCATGAACGGCTTGATGAGTTTGTGGCCAATTACTCCGAGCATGCCATATGCCTCCTCTGCCTGCAGAGGCTGGTCCGTCTCGACACCGCCGGGGTGTACGGCGTTGACGTAGATTCTCGCACCTGGTTGGAAGCCCAGTTGGCCGGCGTCGATGCGGCGCTGGAGAGCGCGCACTGTCAGGATTTGAGCGAGTTTGGTTCGATTGTATAGTTTCGTGGGCCCAATGTCGCGATTGATCTCTGCTTCGTTTTCGAATTTGGTGTCGGCGTTGGAGCCGCGATGGAGTTCCGACGATTCCAGCACGATGCGGGAGTTGGGAGTGTCGCGCAGATTGGGGAGTAATTTGAGCATCAGATGGAATTGCGAGAGATGATTGACTTGGAAATGTGAGTCGAGACGATCCTTGGTTTCGTTGTAGACGCCTACGCCCAGCCCGGCATTGAGGATGAGCTACGCAACATTATATTAGTGGGAGATATACCAAGGCGGCGAAGGGCTGGTTTCAACGTACACCGTCGATCTTTTTCTGGGATTGCGCCAATTTATTGGCTACTTCGTCAACGAATTTCAGATCCTCCAGGTCACATTTTGTCCAGTGTACTCTGTTGGTGTCGCCGTATTCCTTGAGTTCTTCGAGGGCGGAGGTTGCGTGCTCTTCTTTGTTGGATAGGATGGTTATACTGTTTGCATTGTGCTGGAGCAGGTGGGCAGCAATGCCGAAGCCTATTCCTGCAGAGCCGCCTGTTACAATGTAATCCTGTCAAGTAGGGGCTGTGAGCTGCTGGGTCATTGCCATGTGGTAGGGGATGCTGGGGCATTTACCTTGCCAGTGAGATCAGGAATGTCCTTGTCAGGATCAAAACTGTTTCCGGTCAGAGATACCATGTTGGTGGTTTGAGAAGTTGATAATGGAATTCTAGACAGTATTACTCGATGCGGGGAGTGGTGTTGAGAGCGGAATACAGTAACTACGAGTATGAAAGGAGTGTTTGCGGAAGAATACTTGTACCTAAGACGAAGACTGGCAGCGTGTTTATCATGACGACAATGTTTCGATTATGCCTGCGACGCGCCGCATGGTGATGAGATGAAGTCGGACAGATGATCTTGATGATGTCGATGATCTCACCACAAGAGCTGCCAAGCCCCGGACAAACCATCCGACATAGTGACACGTGATGACGGCACGTGACTTGTTGATTCGAAAGAAATAGGCTTATGAATGCTCGCTCTTTCGATCCCTCTTCCCTTGATCATTGCTTGATAGAACAGACACTCACACCTCATATGGAGCATCCAGGATCACTCCCAAACCCGCTATTTGCTAATCATCACCTCAGCCCGTTTGTCAATGCTCCCAACGCTTTTGGTCTCCTCGTTGGTATTCACGGCGCCGAGTTCATTGGTGCCCACCGTGAATGGTTGCCCCAGCATGGCCGTGAACTCTTCTCTTCGTTTGCTGAGACATATTCGCGTTAGATGATGCACTATATCAAACCAACACAACATACCGTAAATATTTCCCATCGATGAAACGAAGCACACAGGTCATGATCATCGCAGTGGTCAGGAGAGCAATTGCAGCTTCCCAGCCATACTTGTCTGTTGACATTGTCAGTAAGCGCAGAGAGGGAGACAGGGGAAGAAAAGACAATGAGGTGCTTGCTTCGCCGGCCACATCAGAATGTTTGACCAGGCAGCAATGGCATAATCGCCAGTAATGGCAGCACCCACAACGAGTGGCCGAGCTTCAGCATCGTGGGGCAGACTGGATCGGTCAGCATTCTCGGTTCACATATGACTGAGTAAGAGAACGAGATAGAGAGACTGACATATCGGCAAGCCAAGCGAAGATAAGAGGCGCTGTTCCAAGCACCATATAGTTCAGGAAATAGCTGGCGTAAGCGGCAGACAATCCGACCGTCTGGGGATGTCGTGTCCAGATACTCATGATGATACCAGGGATGAGCGCGATCGATATCTGGACCATGATCAAAGGCCATCGAAGCTGCAGATAGTCTGAGATGAACGCCCAAACCCACACAAAGACAACCTGAATGGCACTGCCGCCAATAGGGATTGCATTGACTTGAGCAGTAGTCCAAGTCCGGTTGCCATTCGGATTTCTCAAGCTCTTCAAGAACAATCCGAAGAAGGTATACCCATAGTTGCCAATGACAGTGCAAATGTAGAGCACCGCAAAGAAATATGTGACCCAGGTAGAGAATGTACGCCTACTTCAGGTTAGTGATATGATCAGCCGGGCGAACATATGCCATACTTCGCACCGGCCCATGAGACGGATTCTGGCTCAGCGCGCCCATGTCGAGCCAACCTGCACATGGCAATCTCAGCATGGTCTTTGCAGAACCAGAAAGCCCTCGGATTGGGTCTGTTCGGGTAGTCGGGAAGCATGAAAAATCCTGCAAAGCCCCAAACGACAGTGATGATCGCATTGATAATGAAGAGCCACCTTTAGTGATCAGCAACTTGAAACTCGAATCTGAACAGTACCTTACCTCCATCCAGCAAGGCCACTATGACCTTCAAGCGTGGTACTGATGGCAGCCTGAATAGCACCAGACATCATGCTGCCAATGGCTTGACAGGAGTGATAAAAGCCCATGCGTTTGGCAAGTTCAAGTGGAGTATACCAATGCACTGGTGAAAGGGTCAGCAACACTGAAAGCGGCAACTCGAGTCTCATGCTACCTGGGTGGGGACACTTACTGAGAAGAGTCATCATGCCGGGCCAGGCACTGCTCTCGCAGAGACCAAGGAATGCACGAATAGCATACACTTGACGGGCACTGCTGGCTGTTGCAATGAGCCCGGTGAGTACGCCCCAAGCAATTTCCAAGCCAGGGAGCCAGTAGCTCGGTCGGACATACGTCAGGACGATTTGAGAAGGGATGAGCATAACGCAATAGCCAATATTGAAATAGGTGGTGAAGCTTGAAAGCCCGCGTCAACCACACTGCTGGTCACGCCTCGCAAAGCACTTACTAGTTGAGCTCATTTCCGTAGAGCTTGAGATCTTCTTTCATTCCAGATACATACGCATTGTTGATATTCGATTGATCAAGGAACCTTGATACATTAGGGTCAAAATCACAATCCCGACAGGACGGCATACTTGATCACTTCTCGAGTTGTTAGGTCATTACTTAAGAAGTTGACGAGAACTCACCTTGAGAGAGACAGCCAAACGTGAGCAGAAACATGTCGAGCCGCATCACTAGGCGGCGTTCCTCTGGGCTGGTGTCATGGTGGACACGGTTCGTGGGACGATGGAAGAATTTGGAAAACATGGCCACTTGGGCGTCGGGTAGTTCAGTGGGATAGCCATGGAGGCGACCAAGCGGGAATACATGGTTATATACCTTGCTCGAGGCCGATATCCCCCGCGGCTACTGATATCGCGTAAGTAGAGACGATGTCAAGGAGGAAGAAGTCGTCCAGCAGATGAAGAGGAACTGGTTGTCGTCTGATTCGCTGCGGTCTTCGCCGCTCGGAGACTCCTCCGCTCTTCAACTGTCTTCCTGTCAACAACTTCCTCGAGATCATCCTCTCCGCTTTCACAACCACACGATATCTATAGGTCTCGATACTGTCAGCGTGGCAATGTATGAAGGCTTCCTCAGCCCATCCGGGCGGCGTCGTCCGCCAGCCAATGTCGTGCCACAAACACCTCAACCCCGCCTTCGCATGGACGCCATCATGTCGGCCTAAACCGCCTACCCTTTGTACATATGTATTGCCAGCGTTACCTGGATCCTCTGGACTCTTGGCAAGCTGATGGCAAGACCATCTGAAGAGGCTTCGTTTGGTGATCAACCGCAATCAATACTGAGAGGTGCTCGCAGCATCGAAGCCACGATGTCGCCCCAGAAATCATTCTCGGCCAGGGTCATTGTTATCGGCGCTGGCGTGTTTGGGCTATCGACAGCATTTGCTATCGCCAAGAGATATCCTGCGACGAGCGTGACTGTCATCGATCGCTTGACACCTCCAGTACCCGATGGGACGAGTGTCGATACTACTCGGTGTATCCGTTCAGGTAAGATCAATCCTGTCGAAGGAGTCTCACTCGACGAAGCTGCGAGATTGAGTAGCACAAAAACTGACGCAAGGAACAGATTACACTGATCCGGTCTATGCCCGGCTGGCGAAATTAGCCCAGGAGAAAATTCAGGAAGACCCGGACCTGAGCTGTCACATGTATCAACAAGGCATGACATTCGTCTGCGATGGCGAGCCGAGTCGTTTCACAGATATTTACCAGATCACATTGGATCGAGCGAAGTCACTGTGTCGCTCGGAAGATATCATCGAGATGTCGACTCGAGAAGAGGTGTATCAAAGAATCCATGGCAAGATGTCCCAACCTCCTTCTGACGGGGTGCTTGGTAGCCGCCCGCGATGGAACAAGGCTTACTGCAACCTGGAAGCCGCATTCATCGACGCCAAGGAGGGCATACAGGTCTACTACGACAGGTGTCGGAAGCTGCCCTCAATCAGCTTCAGATGCGGATCCGCGGTTGACCATATCAATATCACCAACAGTCAATGCAAAGGAGTAACTCTGGACAACCAGACTACACTTTCAGCGGATATGGTCATCGTTGCAGCTGGTGCCTGGTCCAACAAGCTGGTTTACTTGGGAGGCCGCCAAGTTCCTGTTGGTCATGAAGTAGCTTGGATCAAGGTTACACCTGAGGAAGAAGCCCGCTGGAAGAACATGTCCATTACCACCAATCTCAGCACGGGGCTGAACATGTTTCCCCCTTATCAGGGCGAGATTAAGATCCTCCGTCGGTCTCCTGGCTATAAGAACACCGTCATGGTACCGCATCCTGAAGATCGCTCAAGGTACATACAGATATGTTTTCCTCGAACAATGGTCAGCAACCCTACAGACGTTATTCCAAAGGATGCGGAAGCTGCAATGCGAGAGAACCTGAGGGAGATCATGCCCGCTCTTGCTAATCGGCATTTTGACAGGACAAAGATATGCTGGTATGTTCCATATCCGTCCGTGCTGGAAGTCGGCTAACCATGCACTCTAGGATTAGCACAACCCCGACTGCGGACTTTCTGATTGCTCCTCATCCCTCGGTCGATGGTATCCACCTGGCAACCGGAGGGTCAGCGCATGCATGGAAGTTCTTGCCACTCATTGGCGACTACGTAGTGGATTCGATCGAGGGTACATTGCCTCAAGAGTTGGCAGAGAAATGGGCTTTCCACAAGGTGTCAACTGGCAAGGATCAGAGCAGTCCTCGAATGGACGGAGAGCCTCAGGAGTTATCAGGAGTAGTGCGCCATCACCTCTGATGACGGACTAACAAGAGCATTGTTCTAAGTAGTCGAGTAGCAGCACTCCAGATAGTACCAGTCCTGCATTGTGATCTCACATGCCCGACTCCCCTCTCGAAATCATCGTTGTAATCTTCACGCACCATTTCCGAGTAGACAAGATCACTTTGAAGAAGATACAAGATCGAGGAGGTCAACTCTTATCGACACATAAATGCCTAGACATCTTTTCCCCACTTTGCTTCTTACAATACTGAACATGGCCTGGTGCTGTTTCATGTTTCCTATTGTAATCTGCAAAACCTCGACCTAGTCTAAGTGGCTGCAACCATGAATTTTGTCACAGCTGCCGCCAATTCCAGAAAGCATGTCAGGCCGCCGTCCATGGTCAGGTCTAATATAACCGCTTGCCACCGGTGTCGATTGAAGAAGAAAAAATGTGACCAAAAACATCCCGTGAGTATTCTGCCCGACGCAATCTGCGCCGCCGCAAACTTTGCACTGTCGATTCTGATCTAGGGTCATAGAGATGCAGTCTCTGCGAGATTGCTGGGGTTGACTGTGTGGGCTACGATGCTGTCAGTAAGAGACAAGTGCCTAGAAGGTTGCATCACACACACCCTCTGGTGTTGAAGCGGAATTGACGCGTTCATGAACACAGTTATGTACAGAGTCTCGAGGAACGTGTTGCATATCTGGAGCTGAAACTTCAAGCTCATGGCATCGACCATGATGTTGATGCAACACCAAGGTCACCGATCTCATCAACGACAGCGAATCTATCTCAACCCGCGGCATCCTGGGTGCCGGGAGCAACAACCACTCAAACTGAACCGCTGGAAAATGACAACAGCCCTCGAGCGGCCGCAAAAGGCACCGTGAAACGCGCTGTTGGTATGACACAGCGGGGTCCTATGGCAGAGCCTACATTTTCCACCATTCTGTTGACAGAGCTCATAGGGTCCAAAACAGCGCAACCAGGAGCCAGAATGAGAGCCTCCGGACAGCAAATCGCAGAAAGTACGGTTCCATCGGAGATGATGGTAGACTTCGACACTTCCCCGGTGTCACTTCCTACCAAGCAAGGGGCCCATAGCCTTGTAAAGGCATACTTCCGCTTCGCCAACATGAGTATGCCTTTGTTGCACGAACCAACCTTGAGACACAAGCTCGACCTGCTGTACACTATGCCACAGGTGGTGGATCTCATCGTGACGCATACCAGCACTGATTCTAGACTGGCAGTATTCTTCGCATTTGAAGTTTTCGCGGTTGCGTTGTTGACGTTGCAAAAGCAAGACCCCTCAAGAATACCCACCTCTCTCGCAGACCGATATCATAAGACCGCACTCCGAGCACTGACGGAGGCTGGCTTACCAAGTGAAGTCGAGGGAGTGCAAGCTCTTCTTCTTGTTGCGCAATACTCATACCACCACCCCACCGTGTGGGCTGTATGGAAGACGGTGGGCGCTGCATTAAGACTCGCCGTGGAGTTGGGACTTCATCGAGAATCGCCTTCAGATGACATTGACTTTCTTACTCTCGACACCAGAAGGAGGACATTCTGGGTGGCTTACGCCATGGACAGGAACATCTCTATCGCATTGGGGTTGCCATCCTGCCTAGCGGATGGCGCCATCACGGCAAAGGTAAGCGAAAACTCCTCTTGGGGTTTTCGAGGTGCTGACGCCTTCCAAGTTCCCTAGCGTTGTGAACGATGAATCTATTACTGTGAACGGAATTGTCTCAAACGATGTCTCGGGCCCTCAACCCAAGCGCGTTAGCCGACACGTCTTCCGCTATCGACAGATTCAGTCGGAGATGCAGGCGACATTATACGAGAAACCCCCGGCGGTTTGCGCTCCTGAAGACATCCACGTATGGCAACAGCGGATGCATGACCAGATTCAGAGTTGGTATGATGACACACCTCGAAGTGCCAGCTTGACCGACAGCGAACGGAAGAACCTTGAAAACTTCGAACTCACATACCATCGAGCCATGTTCTACCTGTATCATCCATCGGCCAACGTCGCATCGCCTCCAGAATCGGCATTGTTGTCTCTCACCGAGGCTGCATCCCAAATGATTCGGCTTTACCGCCGATTCTTCACTGAACATAGGCTGACCATATTTTGGCAAGCGGTTGAGAATCTGTACTCTGCGGGAACGGGCTTGTTGTACAGTTATGTCAATTCGTCTCAGGTTCGAGAGCGCATCGCATTCCGGGAGCTCGAATCGCTCGTCCACACCTGTTCATCGGTTCTGTGGGGAATGGTTGAGCACTTTCCTGATTTCAAAGGCAAACGTGACGCTTTCGATCTGGTAGCTTCGAGCACACTGGCAGATCTTACCACCGAACCTATGGTTACTGGTCAAATAGGAAGATCTCCTGAGAAAACAGACAACGTTACAGGTCGCCAGAGAGAGCACTTCACAGCTGCCGAGTACGCCAATTCGACAGTTTCCCAAGGACAGCAACAACCAATATTCCAAGCAACACAAGCAGGTCAGCCTGGATTTGCTGCAACTGAATCTAGAGTTGGACGCTGGACACAAAGGCTCGAGTCTCAAGTACCGTTGGCGACATGCATGGAGTCAGACGAATATGAGCCTCATGCGGCATTTTCATTTTCGGATTTTGATGATGTTTCTTTCGATTGGGATGCATTTGAGAACAACAACGATTTTATCGCGCCGTCATGGCTGTGAGATTTACGATGGAGAAGGTAAAACCTCTGTCCAGGCATCAATTCTCTGTCCATAGCAGCAAATGAAGCGCATCAAGATAATGTTCTGTACGTGAGAATGAGATGTCGGCTGAGCTGCCAAACATGGACGGAAACCTGACGGGGGGCTGTTTTGGATGCGAGCGAGACACGAAGTCACGCACCTGACAGTTTTGATTCTTGACAGATTACGGAGTCCTGCGTACAAATTGCATCTACAGGGATAACATGGTCGTGAATAGCTAAGGCTTCGCAAGGATGACCTCCATGCCTGCCGAATATAACAACCCTCCGACATGAGACGAGTCCCTCCTCGAGCACACTCCCCGCGCAACCGATAGCATGGATTCTCTGGACCCAGCCTCGCCGACACTTGATTCCTCTCCTCGTACGCCTACGACGCCTACGTCGCGAAATGTTCCGAGTGACTTGCCTACTTCCTTAGACGACCGTCGCAACTTCTCAAGCTATGGAGGGGAAACCGAGATGTACGATGGCTGGCAAGGCAAGAAACCATTGTCTCGTGCTGCATCAGAGAGATACTCATATTTCGGACTTTTATAGGCTCCTCCCAGTATATTACTGCCCCTACTCCCGCGAGGCCTCTGGACTTCGACCTCCATCTTGATACACCGGCCTACGACGACGCCGAGACCTATGCACGAATCCAGGATAGCGATTCGAGGTTAATGGAGATGGTTGCAGCACAAGCCCAGCACAGGGAGGACGGAAGTCCTGGACAAGATGAAGATGCCATCGCAACAGACGACAGTCTATCACCAGATGAGAAGAAGGAGATACTTCAGAAGAGCCTCAACATGGCCGCGAGCAATGGAGATGTCGCTCGAATACGGAAACTCGTGGGAGGGACCGCGAAGGAGTTTGTGGACGTCAACCAGCCGGATGAGGAGGGCACAGTGCCGTTGATCTATGCCAGTTGTTTTGTAGGGCTCATTCAGACATGTCTTGGAAGTCCCAGGTACTGACAGGCACAGGGACACTACGAAGTTGTGGCAGCTCTGCTGGACGCAGGCGCTGTGGTCGACAAGCAAGACCGCAATCAGTGGAGTGCTTTAATGTGGGCTATGACCAACCGACACAAGCATATCGCCAAAATGTTGCTCGACCACGGGGCCGATCCCGACATCAAGTCTTCTTCAGGAGGCACAGCACTGGACTTTGTTCAGCCAGGGTCCGATTTTTCACACTATCTGCACGAGAATGGCTACCATTTCGGAGCTTCAAGCCTGGATGATGACTTTTATAATGCGGGCTTCTCGCAAGATCGCTTTGAGGAAGAAATGGCAGAGAATGAAATGAAGAGACGAATGCTGATGCAGGAAAGCGCGGCCAACTTGGAGGTAGACCTGTCTACTTTAGGTTTTGATGAACAACCAGAGGTGTGTGTGGTGACACCCTGAGGAGATCCAGCGCTGACATTTCTAGTCACCCACTGACATTGAGTCCGACGAGGAAGAATTCATATGGGATCGATGTATTGGTGACCAGATGTTTGTCTTCCAGACCGATAAGCTCGATGCTATTTTCGATCTCATCATCACCAACATGACGCCGCAACGATCTCCTTCACAGAAACCTGTACCTGCCAACTTGATTTTCCTAATGGCGAGGTATTCGCATTACCACATGACCGCGTCTTTGCTTGAAGATGTCTTGACAAAGGCAATGGACCTCATTAACGACGTGATTGAACGGTCACAATGGGACATGACCATGTTGGCGTTCTGGATGTCAAACGCCACTTTATTGCTGCATTATCTCAAGAAGGACGCTGGGCTGGTAGAGGCAACGTCAAAATATCAACTCGAACTTGCAGAGTTGATCAACGAAATCTTCATCTTGATCATTCGAGACGCCGAACGAAGGATGAACAAGGTCCTGGATACAGCACTGCTGGACCACGAGACGATACCCGGTCTGTCCGATGTGGCCTTTCAAGGAGAATGGAAGGTGTTCAAATCGAAGACCAAGACCAAAGAAGAAGATCCAGACAAACGATTTCGACCGCCTTCACCCAAGCGACGAGCTCAGACTTCACCTCGAAACATTACATCTCTGCTTGCTTCAACGCTCTTTGTGCTTGACCTATATGACGTCCATTCCGTTATCACTGCTCAGATATTGGCGCAGCTAATCTACTGGATCGGAGCAGAGCTTTTCAATCGTGTTATGACGACGAGAAAATATCTCTCGAGAACGAAAGCCATGCAAATCCGCATGAACGTCTCGGCGATCGAAGACTGGGCTCGCGCGAATAATCGTCAACCGGAGCACTACGAAAACGGGTCGACGACATCGACTGGTGAAAACACGGTCGATGCTGCCAGGCGACATCTCGCTCCTGTCATACAGCTACTTCAATGGCTTCAATGTTTTAGTTCTCTCGGGGACGACCATGAGTCATTGGTCGGGACACTTGTTCAACTGCAGCGTCTCACCCCGACGCAATTGATCCATGCTGTCAAGAACTACCGGGCAGAGGTGGGCGAGAAAAGCTTACCTAAAGCTCACATGAAGTTCTTGACACAATTGCAGAAAGGCGAACAGTCCTTGATCAAACGGCCGTTGACTCCGCAAGTCGATGCTACAGAATCCGGAGCTGCCACGCCTACAAAGCACGATGGTGATGATGCCCCAGCAGTAAAGACTCCTAGCACTCCGCAGAGTACCACTGGACCGACAGCGTCCTCACCTGTTGACCAAGACATTGATCCGGCACTCAGTCGCAATGCCTTGACGTTGGATCAATCTTTGATGCTTCCTTTCTCGCTACCTACCTCGACGGACATGCTGATCACTTATGGGGCTGGTATTGGCGGGGTCAATCGAGAACGAGCGAGAAAATATATCCCAACAGTTCCGACAGAGGTTTTGAGTAAGCTCAACCTCGACGGTGAGGGCATGCGCCGCGAAGGGAGTATTGGAACAGTAGGGACAACAGCACATGGCTGGCGGAATAGTGGGTTTTGAAAGACCAGTAGGCATAGTCCATATATACTCAGCAGACCACAGGCGAGGCGTTTTGTTTCGGATTATAAAGGGCACCAGGCCTTCTTGAGTCTGGTATGGAAAGCAGGGATACCACGTGGGCTGTGCAGTGAACATGGTGAAATTGGGCCTTTGCGCTATTCATCGCTTCTGGCTGATATTCTTATCTTTATGGGGGTTTAGAAGCGCCATGTTGCAGCCAACTCAAGCCTCCATCATCCTCCGTTCCGCTCTATTCCGTCTTGGGCGATCGCTGCGCGGGCCAGTCTCTCCATCATCTCCATCCTCTCCATCCTCTCACGCCTCTCCATCCTGGAACTTTGATGGTTATTTGACATGTTACACTCAACCGCAGCGCTTCCTTTTCTCGCAGACGGACGAGGAACACATTACTCTGGGTGGATAGCATTCAAAGAACGCGCCAGCCACGTCTTGATGTTTATTTTCTCGAGAAATCGCCGAGGTTCGTGATGTCCAGATGTTGATGTTTGAATGGCCCAACTCCACTTGTCAACACCGCAATCTCGCCAAATTCAACACCGTCGACCACTGTTTCGTTCCCTAGCAGTTTCTCGATCCCTCTCGGTCAATGCATGTCCCCTGGCAAGATGGACGTGATTCCCTGTTCTTCGGCTCACGGAAAAGTCTCGCTTTCAAGGCCTCCCTTGTCTGCACCTGACATGCATCATCGCCTTTTCGACACATCCTTTGTATCGAGACCACGCCCGCGAACCTGCGACAGACCCTTTGACAGATCTTGAGATTGCTGCTTTACAAGGGCCATGCCCGTGGTCGGTTTCAATAGCTGTGAAACTGTCGCAATCCTGCTTGAGTCGTCTGTTCGTCTCCCTTGATGTTCCCGAGAGATCTGGTTCATCATGCGAGGCATGCATTCAACTACCACACCCGCCCGGGTTTGGCCAACACCGAGGCAACTACAGTCACCGATGATTCCAGTACGGCGATGCACACTTCAACCGACTCGGAAAGGACGGCCTCCCCAACGAGCACCGTGACAGATGCAGACAACCCTCGCGCCGTCGTTCTATATCCAACTGGACAGCCAACGATAAACAATATAGACACTGTCGAGGTTACATACGATACAATATGGGGAAATGCCAAGTTCACATTGTTTTGTGCCATCGATGAAGGGGCAAATGAATGGGCGCTGGCCGAGATCAAGTTGGGTAGGATTAATGCAGGTTACAAGATGGACAAGTGCTAACAGAATACTTCAGCCCAGCCCAATGGGACATATACTATCTCACCGATCCAAGCAGGGATGAAGATACCTCAGTTTCCAGTATACTGCGGAATGTTGTTGTACAATGCGATGAATGTATCAGACTCGACGACAGGAGGTGGCTTCACGATGACCAGTACTATGGGGGCGGTCTCCACCTACGGCATGACAGTGACGACGGCAATGAGTAGTTCCACGACCGGATCGTCAATCTCCACGACTACAGGAAGCTCGACTGGAAGCATGACTGGAAGCAGGTCAGAGTCGGCGCCAACTTCACGCCTTACAGCAACGCCGTTGGTTTCTTCTTCTACAGCATCCGAGACAGGTGTTTCAGCGGCATCATCTTCTACTGCGCTAAGTGCTGGTGCCAAAGCAGGTATTGCTATTGGTATAATTCTTGGAGCCATAGCACTGCTCGCGGCGACATTCTTCTTCTTCCGACTACGGAAGCGAATCAACCGAGTGGAAGATATGGTGAAACTAGGAAGCACAGCATCTCCCGAGAGAGAGCCGTCTTCCGAGAAGCCTGTAACGCCAATGCCTGGTGGAACTACCAGTTTGACATCTCCGGCTGTATTCGCGATGGGCGGAAATCTCAATCGAAATTCAGAGGACTGGAGACGATTCTTTGGCAGTGCAAGCAACCCACGGTCACAAACACCGACATCCACCTAGATCCCACCAGTCAGTCCTCATCCACGATTCCCTCCGTCCCGTCAAGGCGGACACGAAAAGAAAGGAATTTTTGCTCTCGATATTAGCGCTGAACGAGTACGCCTTTATTGATACTTGGTTTATGACGATATATATACTAATTGACAGTGCCCTGGGTTGTTGGGCAAGGTCGCACATACCTTTATCTGTGTGTTTGCTCGAGGAATGCAGACACGTGATGAAGCTCCCACCACTCCTTCCCTCCCCGTCCACCATGAGCAACATCTTTTCATTCTTTTTCAACTTGATTCAGCCTGCAATCTCGAACTGCTCTTCACCGCCATACCTATCGGGCCATGGTTGATGTGTTCAGGTCAATGAACCATCACGAGAACCACACAATCCGTTTGCGGTTATTGTCTTTATTCCTCGATCGCAGCGTTCATTGTCCCTTCTGCCGCACCCTTTCCACCATGGCTGCAAACGTCCTATACACGTTTTCATCAAACCATTCTCATTATGTCAATGCGACTCCTTTGTTCCACCATGGTGGTCTCGCACACATATTCTCTGCCCTTGTCCAAGTCCCGTTTTCTTGTTCCAAATTCCCTTCACACATTCGATTCCTACCGCTGTTCGAACTAACTGCACAATATGGGGGTGACAACAAGGGCGAGGTCGAAGTCCCGAGAACCCAGTCCGGGCCCAGATCGGAGACGCAAACCCAACAAAGCAAAGCCTGCTGCCGAGAAACCCAGGAAGAGTAAGCGAGGCAAGAAGGACCAGGCAGACGGCCTCAGTACTATACGAGAGGAGTCCTCCTCATCTCCAGAGACTTCGAGCCAGGACCTGAAACGGCAGAGTCCAAGGCTTTCAGAGGGCCCAGAATTCACGCCGCCGTTCGTACCGCCTAAAGAAGCAATCACAGCAGCCAGACAAGAAGAATACCCAAGAGAGCCTCCAGGGTTCAAGAACACCACAGGGGATGTCTGCTATCGTAATGCGCTTGTGGCCCTGCTTTTATCCAGCAACAGAATAATCTCATGGATACAACATCGCTACGTCGCCAGACTTGAGGATGCAGGTGTTCAGGTGCAGACTCATATCGAGCAAAGCCAAAGCACTAAAAAGTCGACAACTTCGAATACCCATCATACCGATATTTGGTGCGAGCTGTACGATCTTCACAAGTTGTCCCGAGATCGAAGAACCACTCAGCATAATCTTGACGTGGCTATGAAAGCGTTCTGGGCGTTCTTGAAGAATGAGAGCAAGAGAGAGGTCAAGACCAAGCTCTTTTCAAAATGGGAAGGGAAGTTCAGGGGACATCAAGACAGCCACGAGTTGCTGGCGTGGTGGCTGGAGTTGAGTGGCGAGCAAACTCGTGCCATGACAGAACGCCGATCAGACGCCCTGCTGGATATTGAAGGGTAAGTCCCGAGCATTAGACATTGCAGACTCAAGCTGATAGATGTGCGCAGCGGTGAAGATCAGGTGGCAAAGCTGATGGACCTTTCAGCATACAGCATCAAAGAAATTGCAACGGTATCCCAGACGCACCGCCACGGCTGTGTTGAGTGTAAAAGAAATGTCCTCTTTCGCAAAGGCACGCTGGCTGAAGAGACATATTGGGAAATTCCACTCACCCAAGATCCTGAATCCCCAATGCCTAAAGGCAAGAAGGTCAAGACCAAGGAACTCGAGAACTTGATTTCGAAGTGCATGAAGAGTAAAATGGACGGAGTCCGGTGCAAGCAATGCTACGATAAATTTGAGAAATGGAGTCAAAACCTACGAGCAGATGTAAAAAAGGCCGGAACCAAACAAGCAAAGGCAGCGGCAGAAGCAGAGATCGACCGGGAGGTCAAAAAATGGGAGAACAAAACAACGGTTGAATGGCGGCGACTATGCTCATTGCCCGAAGTGCTCATTCTGCATCTCCTCCGCTTCAACAGCAAGGACGGCCAGATCCAGAAAGACGAGACGAAGGTCACTTTTGAAGAAACCCTTGATATGGCTCCTTTCCTGGAGCACCGGATGTCATTTGGATCGTCGACCAAATATCGCCTGGTGGCTATCTTAAGTCATAGTGGCACACTCAACGCCGGTCACGTTATCTCGGAGGTTTGCTCGGGAGGTATTTGGTATAGAGTCAACGATGACGATGTTTGGCAGACGACTTTTGACGATATCAAGAAGGAGAAACTGTTCACTCCTTACATTCTCTTGTACGAGAAGATTGTCGAAGACGACGGCAGTGACGACAACCATGCAGATAGGAATGTTAGCCCGGAGGGCGGCGATGGCGGCGGCAATGATGACAGCGAAGAGACCAATGCCGAGGCCCAACAGACTGGCATCGACAAGGACAACAACTCTGGAGAGAGAGACGACGACTCGACCCCCTTGAACCCTTGTCTTCCCACCTATTCTCCCGACAGCGACGACCAGGCACCTCTGCAAATGCAGCTTGCTGGAGACCGAACTCCCGAAGCAGGTCAGTACCTGGTTGAATGGTGGGCAACCATCAACAACTGCAAATTCAAATTGCCCAAGTTGCTCCTGGAGGCCTCGATCCCTCCACTGCAAATCAGCAAGGATGAGCAGGGCGGCCGATATGAGGCCAACCAATACTACCTCCAGGTGAACCTAACGATGGAGGACAGTCGGCGTCGGCTCACACAGGTGTCAGGGGCTGGATTGATTCACATGCCCTTGCCCGAAGACTGGACACCTCCTGGTACACCAGGGGCGAACGTCGGCGAGAAACGTAAGCGCGGCAACGATGAGCCTGTAGCCAGCCCTGGCGGCAACAAGAAGCCCAAAGGCAGTGGCGGGGAGGTGGGCAATGGGGACAAAAATGGCTCTCCTCGCTCTGGTAAGGGCAGGTCCCCAAGCGCAAAAAGCCCGAAGACTAGGTCTAGTCCGCGAGGAGGCAATGCGGACAAAGGCGGCTCTTCTCGCTCTGGGAAGAAAAAGTCCCCAAGCGCAAAAGGTCCCGAGGCCAGTCCACCAGGGAGCGGTGAGTCCTGGAAGAAGAAGGACATTGATGGAGGAGATTTGGACTACGAGCCAACTGTGTTGGAGGAGCCCGGCAATGACAAGGCGGTGTCCCCATCAGATTCGCTAGCTTCGCTGTTCTGACCTGAGTGATGGGGCGACGTGGTCGACAAGAGGTGGAACGTTGGATACTGGTAAGGATGAAGGCTCGATGCGTGTTGTTGGCATTGGGACAAGACAGTAGGCATTCATGACCTAGATGGAAGTGAGATTCAAGATGCCAGGATGGCACATAGGACCGCGACGTGTAGTTGAATAGATAGTAGGCGTTTACGATGTTTAATGTAATTGATGCTTTAGAAATATCCTCTCACGCTCGCCTGGATCCGTCTCTATGTTCATGGTGATGGCGACGATGGCGGTGATGATGCCTGTGCTTGTGCCGATATTCATGCTCGTTCTCCACAGCTTGTGGCTTCACATAGCCTTCATCCAAGTTGAAGTTGTCCAGGTCGTCCAGATCACCGTCGTTGACCTCGCGGCTTCTTCGTCGCCTTTCTTCTTTGTCTCTGCGTCTTTTCCGCCTCGCAAGTTCTTCAGCCTCTTGGAGGTCTCGCTCCCGCTGTTCCATCCATTCTGTTCTGTGTTTTTCCGCCTCTCTGAGCCGTTTGACGCCCTTCTTCATCGTAGTAAGAGGGTCATTTGCCGCGACTCGTGCGACTTCGCGATCGGTTCGTCGAGGAGCGTCATCGCCCCAGGATGGTCGAGACGCTGCATCGAGATCGCTATACCAGGGCTTTTCTTTGTTGTTCTTCCCTCGACCCGCAGCATGAGACAGGTAGACTGCGTATGGATCTTCATCTAGCCGGGGCTTTTTGTGGGATGAGGACGACTCTGGGACTGGAATGAGGGAGATGTTACCCTTGGAGTCGACGATGGAATCTTCGTTCTTGATACGAGTGGTGGAGGTCGATTGGGTCGATTGAGTCGAAAGGGCGAGTCGAAGGTCTCGATCTGTATCGTCCTCGCCTGGCAGTTTGCGCTTGTTGTGTCTTCGAGAGGAAAATGACTCTGTCTGCGACTCGGGCTGTCTCGTCACCGGACCCTCGCCACGTAGAAGTCGCAGTCGCTCCTGTGCCTCGTCGTCACGGTGTTGAGCCTCTTGCTCTTCTTCGAGGCGCTTCGCTTCGGCTTCATCTTGCCGCACCCTCTCGATGTTGCCAGGGTTGTATACGTTCCATGACTTCTTGCCGAGGAGATGGAGGGGCATATTGACGTGTGTGAGGATGCGGTGGCAAGCGCCCGGCAAGGCTGCGGGGAAGAAGAGGCGAAACAAGAATATGAGGCGAGGCTGCGACGTACATGAATCGTTAGTGGTCGTCTCGTTGTTATTGGGTGCCTGATTTGGAGGCGCAGCGGGCACCGGTGTCGTCTAAAGGAAGTCAGCAAAGAACACCTTCACAATGCTTCCCACACTTTTCTCACCCTCTTTGTATCTCTCACCTCGACCACTCTCCCTTGTAACGATGTCTTTCTTCAACAAGAACAACATCTTTGGAGGCAATTCCCCTCAGCCTCCTCCCCGTGACCAGTACGGCCAACCGCCCCCTCCGATGCGAGGTGGTCGCCCCGGATATGGCAGTCCTAGTCCTTACGATACCCCTATGAATGGCGGCTACGATGCTCCTCCTCCGCCTCCTAGGCAGTCCGGCGGGTTCCGCCTCTCCCCGCGACCTCATCAGAGAAAGTCAAGTAAAGGCGGTCCAAAAGGAGGCCATGTAATGACACTACAACCTGCGAAGAGCCCAGACAACTCCTACACATTCCGAAACCTCGTGGCGGTTTCTACGCAAGACCTGCCCCCTTCTCCCGATGGCACAGACATCTTCCTCCTCATTAATGGCGCGTTCGTCGTCTCGGCGCGGCCACTCGATGCTTTTCCACGTGGTCTCATCGGCTTGTCAGAACCCCAGCGGTCATGGATGGGCGTGGCTTTGACAGACCAGCTGCAAGCCGAAGTGTACGATCCCTTCAGCCAAGGTGGGCAGGCATATATTGGTTCGATGGATGTCGAGATTGGCTTCGCGAGCACAAGGAAGACCACAGAAGCACCTTATGACCAGGACGACCTCGCGAAGGAAATTACAAAGGTATGTTTTTGACACCGACGAGTCTCCAGCGACTTCTGAAGCTGACATGCGCAGTTGTTCAACAGTCAGATGTTCGCGCCTAGCCAGCGATTCCTGATGGATCTGAGGAGCATACCCTTGAACCTACAGGTCAAGACCGTTCAGTTGGCAGATTTTAGTGAGAAGGCCGCGCCGACCACATCCGACCCTCAAGCCAGAGGTATCCTCACACCGCAGACACAGATCAATTTCTTCAAGGACGGCAAAACATCTATTAACCTCAAGGCATCCTCGCGGAGGCCAGCGGCGAACTCGATTATTGCCCCGGACTTCAAGTTTGAAGATATGGGAATTGGCGGACTAGACAAAGAATTTGCCACAATATTTAGAAGAGCATTTGCGTCTCGTGTCTTCCCTCCTGGTTTGGTCGAGAAGCTGGGCATCCAGCATGTTAAGGGTATACTTCTATACGGCCCGCCTGGAACGGGAAAGACATTGATCGCCAGACAAATTGGCAAAATGCTGAACGCCAGAGAACCTAAAGTCATTAACGGTCCCGAAGTATTGAACAAATACGTGGGTCAGTCAGAAGAGAACATTCGGAAGCTGTTCGCAGATGCAGAAAAGGAGTACAAGGAGAAAGGTGATGAGTCTGGTCTGCACATTATCATCTTCGATGAACTGGATGCCGTCTGCAAACAGAGAGGAAGTGGTGCCGGTGGTGGTACCGGAGTGGGAGACAGTGTGGTCAATCAGCTGCTCTCGAAGCTGGACGGCGTGGACCAACTCAACAACATCTTGTTGATTGGTATGACCAACAGAAAAGACATGATTGATGATGCACTGCTACGACCCGGTCGTCTGGAAGTGCATTTGGAGATTGCCTTACCTGATGAAAGTGGCAGAGCGCAGATCCTCAAGATTCACACGCACAGAATGCAGGAGAACCAGGTATTGGAGCGTGATGTGGACATACTGGAGTTGGCTCACCGAACGAAGAACTTCTCTGGCGCCGAGTTGAACGGTCTGGTCAAGGCAGCCACATCCTTTGCCTTCAACCGACATATCAAAGTTGGGACCATGGCAGGCATTAGTGACGATGTGGCAGATATGAAAGTGAACCGGGAGGACTTTGAGCACGCATTGGAGGAAGTCAAGCCGGCATTTGGTGTGTCAGAGGAAGAACTGGCATACTGCCTAAGAGGTGGTGTCATACACTTCTCGCCGTATGTCAAGGACGTCCTAGAGGAAGGCAAGCTGTTTGTCGAGCAGGTCCGACAACCACAGTCGACGCCACTGTTTTCGGTCTGCTTGCACGGCCCTCCAGGAAGTGGAAAGACCGCCTTGGCCGCCAAAGTTGCTATCGATTCTGGCTATCCCTTCATCAAGCTGATCAGCACAAAAGACACGCTAGAGATGAACGAACCACAGAAGATCTCGTACCTGAGCAAAGTATTTATGGATGCCTACAAGAGTCCGATGAGCTGTGTGGTCATCGACGACATTGAGGAATACCTGGAATGGACGCCTATCGGACCACGCTTCAGCAATGCCATCTTGAAATCACTGGTGGCCTTATTACGCAAGGCACCTCCTCCAGGTCGAAGTTTGTTGATCATTGTCACGGCCACGGAGCGCAGTGTGCTTCAACAGCTCGATTTCTGGAGGCATTTCAACTCCGATATTCCTATTGCAAATGTACGCACGTACGAGGAGCTACGGCACGTGATGAAGGATACCAAGGTGTTCAGTAATGATGATATGGCCAAAGCCATCGCCGAGATCAAGGATATTACGAGGTCCGAGGAAGTCGGCGTGGGAATCAAGCATGTGCTTCAGGCCATTGAGACGGCGAAACATGATGTGGATCTCGTGACACGTTTTGCTGGGACGTTGTCCAGGGCGATTGCTGAGAGAGGGAGTGGGTTGAGATAGAACCTTACCTTTAGGGGGAGTGGTATGTTAGATATGAAGTTACGAATAGACCGGGGAGTTGGATGAAGTGAGCATTCTGCCTGTACCAATACGAATAGTACTAGTAAGAGCAAGATGAACGACTTACAGTACTACAGTACGGACCGGATGGCCCCATCATGCTCCGCGAGGCTGAACCTCCACAATCCCGCAGATGGGTATTGTCCATGCCACCCATTTGGTCTCGGCAATTGCAGAGCTATGCGGATGATAGCGGGGTGCAGTAGAGCATTTGTAGAGATTCGCCCACCTGATTACGGGGGCACCTTATATCTCGCTGGATAGTCCTCGTTACGTCTCATCTCTTCAATCTTGAAATACGCAGGGTTTTTAGGAAAGGCACAAGGAGATCATCCATAAGGTCAAGCACCTGAGTCAGCACCAGAGCACGAGCACGAGCACGAGGAAGGAACACGAGCACCAACACCACACCATAACCTGTTATATAGTACACCAACATGTCTCGACAAGACCAACAAAAATCGAAACCGACGCCCTTCCCGCACGGCGCCTTCCTGCCCAACGGCCTCAACACAGATCCTCCTCTGTCGGCCAACGACCCAACGGTAGGGTACAAATTGAACCACTTCATGATGCGCATTCGAGATCCGGAGAAGAGTATGAAATTCTATATTGAGCTCATGGGCATGAGGACTGTGTTTACGTATGTCTTGCTCTTTCTCTCTCCTTTTTGCTGTCCTTGCCGGCCGAATTCCAGCTAGCTACTCTCATGGCGTCGTGGCATGAACGACTACCTAGTATTTCATGTGAAGTCATTCCATTGACAGCGACCGCAATCGCAATCGTATAGTATGAATGTCGGCCCCTTCACAATCTACTACCTCGGCTACCCTCAAACGCCCGAGCATCGCGGCGACCTGGCGAAATTCGGCGGTGACACGGCGATGAACCTCCAGCACACACTGGGTCTGCTGGAATTATACCACGTGCACGGCTCCGAAACCCAAGCACCGGATTATTACTCGACGGGCAACACGCCGCCCAATCTGGGCTTTGGACATCTGGGCTTCACGGTGCCGAACGTGCCGGAAGCCCTGGCCAGATTGAAGGCGAACGGAGTCCAAGTCGTCAAGGACCTGGGCGTGTGTGACAGGGCGTCGATTCCGATCAGTGATTGGGAGAATGAGCGTGGGGTGGGTGTCGAGGTCAAGGGGACGGAGAGCGAGATTCATCCTGAGTATGCGAAGGTGTTTAACAAGATTGCTTTTGTGAGGGATCCGGTGAGTACAGTCTTTCTTTTTTACCTTGTTCCGCATGAGGTGATGCGAAAGCGTTCGGTCTCTTCTCTTCTTTTGGTGCTGCTGCTCATGGGTGGGATGAGATGAGCTGCTGAATTGAGCTGACTGTGGCCGCACCAGGACGGATATATCGTTGAACTGGTTCCGCAGAACGTGGACCCATTGGATCCTTAGATTTGTGACAAGTGGGAGTAGAAGGACGGGGGAGTTCGGCAGCTGGTCCTTTGTGGCAGGACTACAGTCAGAACGTTGGGTGGATGGTCATTGTCGGCCTGAAAGTAAGGAAAGAGATGGGTCACACAAGCGGATCTTAAGGGCAAGGCCTGTTGCGAGTGGTAAGGTATGGATCATGTTACAGACTGTGAAGGTTGGGACGTGGTTTTGGGTGAAAAACAGGAAGGATAGAGATGGTCATGTTGCCAAATCGGCCATGTTCCAGACACGACGACAAGTAGGTTGCCGTCATACTCCGTAGAGATGCTCAGATAAGGTAAGACTTCTTCCAGGAGGTCGTCAGAGGTCGAGCTGAGGTGCGACCAAAACCAACTAGACTCGCTCATGGGCGTCCAGTTGCACACTTATTACAAGTACAATGCTGGGCGCCGAAACATTCTTTCTTTAACTTGCATCCACCTCGATTGAATTTACTTGTACGGAGTACGGAGTACTGTTAGAGTCAACTACCCAGAACGGTCTACCCCAATGCTGTAATTGGCATCTCGCCAGCGTCCACTTGTTGTATCCGCAATTCATCTGACTCGGCGATATCGACACCGTCTCGAAAAGGGTTGCTCTGTCGGATCACCAGTATTCATGTCTCGACCGCATCTTCCTACTGGACGAGATCAGGCTGATTGATGATTGATTTGCGAGATTCCAGGCCCAACCGGTTAGATCGTCCGTTGGCAGACTGGCAGCAAGCCCCTTGTCTAGAGCCATTTTCTTATCTGTCCTTTTTATGGAGACTTCGCTAATGCAGGAACCCGAACACTTCTCCCTTGACATCAAGCCACCGCACACCATGTTTCTCCTCCAAATCGCAGTCAGGACGGGCAGGCGGTGGTTGGCTGTGTTGCGATTTCTGTCGGTGACGCGAGCGAAATACGACTTGTCGCCTTCTGCATGACGTTGATTTCTTCCATGAAATAAAACAAGCCATGTCAAGAACGAAATGACCTCGTGGTCGTGTAAGATGGCTATGACATCGTTGAGAAAGGGAGCGACTATGCGAGTCACCAGCCGAGCATTGGCTCAACTCGCTCATTAGGCTAAGCTCATCGCCCATGTTTCAGACAACTTCAACAGGCAAGGGGTTCGCGACTAGCATTTCTACCACGCGCGAGATAAGGTCGATTTTCATGCCGCCCGATGTTGCTTCTACCCTGGTTTGTCTACAATACGATATCAGTCTGGACTAGCCATACAGTATCTCAAATGTTCTCACAGCGAAGACCGAACTCACTTGCAGCATGCAATTTCCACCAGACCACCCAACATGGCTGTTCCGTTTGGACCACATCCTTGTCTTCTGGCCGTTGTGCTCTCACCCTTTGGGGCCCCCTTGCCAATGTACGGATACTTATCATGCACATCCTAACCCTTGCCACCCCTCCTTGTGTTCGGAACGCTTTGGCCCTCCTTGCTGAACGAGGCTGGAATCTCACCTGGAATGTCACTCGACTCTCTCCATGTCTGGCTTAAGCAGAACATCCCCATGGCTTCGCGCATGATGCCACATCCGATATAACAATTTCCAAGGCGCAGGACGACAGACTCAGAGTTCTTTCTGTTCTCGAAGGAGTATTGCGCGACGACAAGATGCCTCTTCCATTCTTTGAAAAGCTGTCCGCCCCGGCAAAAGTGCAGAGGTTGAGCATCTTTGCCCTGATCACGATTCTGCTCGTCATTCTCTTCGAATCATCGTCCTTGTCTAACGTCCAGGTACCAAAGCTGCGCAATGCTAAAGTATGCTTGTCTTCCTCGCAATGCCGGACTCAAGCTTATCGTCATCTAGGCTGAACGAGCACGGTCAGAATACTACCTTCAATGGGGTCCATTCGAGCCGCTGTCGATACCAGGTTTCGTCAACACTGGCCTGCCCGGGAAGAGATCATGCGACACTCTAAAACACAACTCGACGGTTGGTGTTCAAAAGAGCTTCTTCCTCAATGACAACGTTAAACAGATCGCCTTGTCCCTCGATTCTCATCCTGTTGTCGACTACCCCGACGATCTCATGCACGATCCGAATCTGACGGTCGAGGACATCATCGACAAGACTTGGACCAGAATGTCAGGGTCCAGCGTTTGGCTTCCAGATCAGAAGGTCTACCTAACTGTCACAAGGATCATCTTTTGTCCTAGTCAGACTTGGTCGGTCCCGAAAATGAGCTTCCTCAGAGGTCAGTTGTTCAACGAGGATTGGGAACACCTGGACAACTACAACATCACATGGAGCGACAAGAAGCTGAATTTTCCAATGGTCTTCGACATCCCCGCGCAATGGGAGGAAGATGGAGAATTGTTCGGACCGGAAGATCCTCGCGTCATCCTCGAGGACGGGGTTGAAGGTGCTGAGCCGGTTGTGACCTTTAACATGATCGCCAGAGGTTCCAGCTGGAAGCGTGCAATTTATATCTTCCGCCCCTTCAGTAACCATACCACCATTCTCACGATTCGAGACCAAGAACGACAGGACACGGAAAAGAATTGGGCACCCTTCTTTGTGCCCGAAGAGGAAGTGGTCCCAGCCAGCCTTGCCAACAAATTGCACCTGCCAACGTCCTCAGTCGTCCGCAAACCGAGCGAGTATATCCACTTCATTTACGCCTTCAAGCCTCTTCGCATCTTGAAATGCCACCTCCGCTGCGGAGACTGTGAGTTTGTTTACGAGCAGGTGTTGCCGGAGAATTTCTTGAATCATCACAAGGAAAATGGGGGCAGCCTGCGTGGTGGCACCAATTTTGTGCCGGTTCCCGTCCCACAGCACATGGGCTTGGACGAAAAGATGAATGTATATGCAGCATTCCCCCGGACAAATATCGAAGGCCATTGCGGTGGGAGCTTTTACCGGCCGGAGTTTGTCGTCCTAATCAACATAGGGACGCAGTTCCATCTCGCTTTTGCCAGCGAGTCGTTAGACTTTGGCAGTTCCCTCGTCGAACTGGGACCTCAGGATGATCGATGCGACAAAGGCCGTATCCTCATTCCCATGAGTATTGCCCATTGGGACACAAGTCATCGCCAGGACATCATGACCGTAACGTTCAGTGTTGACGATTCAACGGTTCAGGTGGCTCGCGTTCGGGGGTTGCTTGAGTTTGTTCTGAACTTGCCTCAGTTCAAGACTCTGTTGAAGAAGGATGGCGTGCTTAAGGGCGTACAATCCGATGTGATGAATATGCTGTCGTCCTGGGTCGGTGATGACGTTCGTGGCTGTCTTGTGGAGGCAGCTCTGAATTATACCGAGGCGGCGCAAGAGATTACGCACCCGAAGAGCCCGAAAGATGAGATCGATCCTTCGAAGGAACTGCTGCGCAAGATTTACGAAGAGCAAGAAAAGCAAGCAAATGGCCAAGAACACAACGACGGGGACCGTCAGGACGAAGGTGACCACCAGGGCGAAGGCGACCGCCAGGACGTAGGCGATACCGAAGACCCAGGTATCCCAGATCTCGAGCAGGGCGCGCTAGACCCAGACGTTTATGCAGCGTGGGAACAAGTCAATACTCAGCAGAAAGACTCGCCGGACCAGCATGGTGAGGCCAATTCGCCAACTGTGTGGTGGAATCAGGATGGGTCAACCGAGGGCAGGAATGATGCACACGATCCGGGCACGAGTGATGAACAGCATCCAAGACGGCACATGAACCGGCCCCAACATCACCATCGCAGATCGAGACGTTGAGAATTAAACCACTTCCTTGGAACCGAGGAATTTGGCGACATGGGCCTCGCAGTTCAACGAGTGCCTTGGACTGGCGCCAGGCTCGGATGTCTTCCGAATTCCCGACGAGGCTGTTTTACTATTGTATCGCTGTTGGCGATTTAGGGTATGAATCTGAGCGTTCTCGTTACTTTGTACAATTAATGAACAACATCGCAATCACGAAAATTCAGTATGAGAGCAGGATAAAAACCAAAAAGCATTGTACCTGTTCATAATGCTCATGCAGAGAACTGGCACCTGTAGACCTTGACTTGAGCTTTTGATGCCATCATGCCTGGGCTTTGATCATCCAAAGCTATCGACACCCTTGTCGCTTGGCTTCTTCTCCGGAAGATGCACCTGGAGCGTAACCTGGATTGCCTCGCTGGGTCATCCATTCGGGCTTCTACCGTCCCCGTCACCCCGCAAGCTGGATTTCCCGTGTGCGACTACCGTCAGATAGTGGCGTTCTGGGCAGTCTTGGGCTTCTCTGGGCATGCTTAAGTTTGGAAATCCTCGTTTCGTCGTTGGATCATTTCGAAATGAAGCCTGCATCCCAAGACTTCACTGCTAACCCAAACACGCCCAAATCCCTCAGCTGGCGTGCCAATGCCAAGCTACTTGCCAGGATCATCCTACCTTGATTAGGACTCTGCGCCGTGGCACAATGATTACCTTGTCCGTGGAATGTTGACAGCGGGGATCTGTGAAAGCCAGTGTTTGCAAAGGGTGTACGGTGCATCGATGCTGACAGAAAAGTCCGCAGGCGATCTCAAACAGGGTTGTGCAGCTCTGCCTTGGATGTCTTGCAAGCACTGTCCTTCTTCCGACACTCTGTGAGGTTCGATCCTTCGGAACACGTCCGACTCGTTGAACGGCAGGACTGGTCGGCATAGGCCAACAACTTCAAGCCAGCGCATCAATCAGCATCGAAACTATATCCCCACAAGCCCGCGAGGTTATCATGATCCTCCCCCGGCATACGTTTGGTTCTTTCTTCCTCAACCCCGGTCTCCACAGCGCACGGAAACCCTCCGGCCATCTTGTTCGTGTCTCCACGCGGCCAGGTGCAACATCCGGGGTGAGATTAAAGACCTCGATATGATGATTGGACACAGTGCAGCCGACTAGGCTTGCCGGAAGCTGGTGTTTCCCACGATCTCCACGACTCGCTTCGAGGACCCTGGAAGCCTGGCTGTGAAGGCCTGTGATCCTTGACAAAAGGCCAAGCGATCAAGAACCTGGCAGGTGAACCGGGCACAGGCGCGATCTACATAAAGCAGGGCTCCTTCCCGCATGACCATTCTACCTCACCTCTATACCTACACAGTAGGTGCGTTCCCAGCCAAAGCTCTGACCTTGTATCACGTTGTGCAATATGCCTTCCAAAGACAACAACGTTGAAGAGAGCAGGGTCGATCCCACACTCCGACAATCGCTTCATGACTCGATCGATGAAAAGCCTGCCGGCATGCATAGCGAAATTGCCCACGAAGCAGCCGAGAGAGGCCATGTGGCCACTGACAAGTAGGCTTGGGTGAAGTTCAATGAAGGCGCAGTGCTGACTTCTCTCCAGGTACGGTCATGCACTGGTAGAGTTTGACCCCAAAGCTGAATCCAAGCTGCGCTTGAAAATCGATTTGTACATTGTTCCGACCGTCGCGCTCCTTTATCTGTTTTGCTTCATTGATCGAGCAAATATCGGTAAGCTTTCAGTTGCGCCGTTGAGGAAAGGCGACTCAAGACTAACCTCACCAGGCAATGCGAAACTTGCTGGTCTAGAAAAGGAGCTTCATCTGAAAGGCTACGACTACAACATCGTCCTCACAGTCTTCTACGTTTCCTACATCGTCTTCGAAATCCCCGCCACCACAGCCTGCAAATTCTTCGGTCCGGGCTGGTTCATCCCCGTCACCTCGCTAGGCTTTGGAATCTGCTCTATCGGAACCGCTTTTGTTCACCACCGGGCTGCAGCATGCGGTGTACGGTTTCTTCTTGGCGTCTTTGAAGCCGGCATGCTACCAGGTATTGCATACTATATGTCCAGGTATTTTGACCCTCCCACCATCAACTGTGTCGGCCCTAATATTCTGCTAGATGGTACCGAAGAAGCGAACTGGCTTTCCGTCTTTCCCTCTACATTGTCATGGCTCCTCTTGCTGGAGCCTTCGGTGGCCTCCTGGCATCCGCCATTCTCAAGTTGTCTCACTTCGGAGGTCTTCACCAGTGGCGCATGATTTTTGCCATTGAAGGCATCATCACCTGTGGCCTGTCACTCATCTCTTTCTTTACCTTGACTGACCGCCCGGCAACAGCGAGATGGCTCACCCAGGAGGAAAAGGACCTAGCAATCGCCCGAGTCAAGTCGGAGCGTGTGGCCACCACCGAAGTCCTCGACAAATTGGATCTCCCCAAGATGCTTCGAGGAATCTTCAGCCCAGTAACGCTCTCAGTGTCGTTCATTTTCCTTCTCAACAACATTACCGTTCAAGGTCTTGCTTTCTTCCTGCCGACCATCGTCAAGACGATCTACCCGAAGAATTCGGTTGTATCTCAACAACTCCATACTGTGCCGCCGTACGTTGTTGGTGCTTTCTTCACAGTGTTAATCCCATGGTTGTCATGGCGGTACGACCGTCGAAATATCTTCTTCATCATTTCGGCACCGCTTATCATGGCTGGGTACATCATGTTTCTTGCCAGCGAAGCCGCTCACACCCGTTACGGAGCAACATTCCTTATTACGACTGGAGCTTTTTCGTTCGGTGCTCTTTGCAACGCACAAAGCTCGGCCAATGTTGTTTCAGACACTGCACGATCCGCCGCCATCGGCACCACGGTCATGTTTGGCAATATTGGCGGTCTGGTCTCAACTTGGTCATTCCTGCCGTTCGATGGTCCAAACTATCACATCGGCAATGGGTTGAATTTGGCAACTTCTTCCACAATCTTGCTCTGTTCCATTGGTCTGCTGTTTTGGATGAAGGCGGACAACAAGAGACGAGAAAATAAGGACGTGGATAGTGAGTTGGATGGTTTGTCTACCAAGCAAGTTCAAGATCTGGATTGGCGTCATCCTGCTTTTAGGTGGAGGCCGTGAACGAGCAAATTGTGCATTGATGAGCACTCGGAGACTGGAGTCATTGTTGATGGGAGGGTTTCTCGTACTGCAAGTTCAGTCTGGTGGGTTTGCAGTTGGCACCTGGTAAATGTAACAGTCACTTTCCATGAGAAGGCCGTCAAGTGGGTTCTTTCCAGAATGGCACTTTATTGTTGTAAACCGTAGTGGTCGTCAGACCTGTTCATGGAAAGTGACGTTTGCCTTTCGATTGCGATATCTGTATTTTGTCCACAGCCACAGTAACACTCGACGCGGTTTCTTAACAGGGAGACGCCTGTACATTGTCAAGGTCGATTAAACTTCATCAATGAACGATAGAGCAGCCACAGAAATATTCCACGAATGCCAGTAGTTGCATTTACACATTCTCACATGCTCTTGAACTTCAGTGACAAGAGATAGAGCAGCCCCAGAAACATTCCACCCATGCCCGGACACAAAACTCCGCGATCCCACACGTTAGTCTGACCCGCATCGTCGGCCGTCCTAATATTCAGCATGCAAAGCCTGGTGGAAGCGAAAGTCAACAGGGGAGAAACCATGACATGAACAACCCACCATCTCCACTGGGAGACAGTTTATAAAGGTAAAGCTCACGGATTACCTCGCAGACCGCAGCAGGAATCAGAGGGATCACCTCTATGAGAGCAGAAGGCATCTCGCCGATTGCTAGCACGCACTCGAGGACGGCGCATCTTATTATGTCCATTGTTGTTTCCGTTTCGTCGTGGCGACGACGCCTTTGGGTCTGGGATTGGGCCAGGGCAGCCGCGGCCGCGGCCTTTGGACAACTATTACCCTTGATGACAAAGCACAAAGGTTGCGGCGGGTTCTGCATACTGCGGCCGAGACGTTTCCGATCCCCCCTCCACTCCAGAAGCAACCGCGAGGCGGTGTCGGTTCGGGGTTCTGCGTAACGATCAGAGTCGGAGTCAGAGTCAATGTCAAAGCCAGCGTCAGAGTCGGCGTCGAAGTCGGGTTCCGATTCGGATTCGAGGGCAAGGGCGTCGACGCATTCTCGGTGCTGGCGCCTCTCGCGAAGAATGCGCTTGACTTCGGGGTTCGACACGAATGCCTCGTCGGATTTGAAGGACAGGCCCGTGTTGTTGGGGATGGGAAGGCCCAGGGAGGCGCGTCTCATGACCCATGCGATGCGTTGGTGGACGCTGGGTTGGCGGGTGTGGAGGAAGAGGGTGAACAGGCGTGGATGGCTGAGTTTGAGGGAGAGGAGGTCTGGGTATTCGAGGTTTGTGGCGATCTGGAGGTGGAGTTCGGCGGGGAGGGAGAAGAAGGGTGCTACGAGTGGTGGTGGTGGCTGGGGGAGGGAGGTGTATGGGTGGTTGTGGTCGTGGTCGTGGGCGTCGTATTTGGTGTCCCTTGGGGTTTCGGCGTCGGCCTGGCTTTCAGTCTGACTATCAGGTTTGGCTGTGAGGCTTTGTGAGTGTGACTGTGTTGGTGGCTGTGGCTGTGGCTGTTCTTGTGCGGATGCTGTGTCGGTTTCTGCCACATCTATCTTGACCTCTGGTATCGGCAGCTGTGGAGTTAATGCGTTGTATTGCGCCTTGCTCATCGTCGCGGCTGTGGAGTTGGACGGGAAGAAGGAGACAACAGCTGCGACGGCACTGCTGGTAGGTTACAGGTCGCTAGACTTCATTCGAGGGGGTCTGTGACAAAAGGTCAAGAAGATGAGGCTGTTATCCTAGCAACACATTTGGATTGCAGGTGAAGATTTTGTTGTGCCGAGAGGTTCTTCACCATGTGGGCATTATCATGTGTGCGCGATCTGTTCTGGTTCTCTTTCCATGGCTCGCGTTTGCTTTTTGTCTTCTTCACGGAAAAGTTCTGCCTGGTAAGGCTGACGAATGAAACGTTGTGCCATACTTGTCTTGGTGTGGACAAGTTGGCCTATTGTTGGGATCCAGGTGGACGCGCTTGAACTGTATGATGTGGGCGCATCGCAGCAAAGTTCAGAGCCTGACTCACCGTGTGTTCAGTGCGTGGCGTGTTGAAAAAATTGACAGTCCTTGCGGGAGACATACTAGGCACAGGAAGTCTGCCTACAGCGCAGGTCGGCATGATTTTCCTGGACAGTCTTGGTCATGGCTCCCTTTTACCAGTGGAAGTCTTGTACCGTAGCCGAAGTGCTTTGGCTCATCGCAAATGGTTTGTGGGCCACTTACTGTCTTCGCCGTACAGCAGTCCAAATGGACGGAAGCGGAATCGAAGTTGAGGTGGGAGAGAGGTTGGACTTTGGCTCTAAAAGAGATTTGTCTGACGCAAGAAGCAGCTGCTGAATGACCAGATATTGCGTGCTCAAAGGTGGCGTCAGATCTGTCATGTTCTGTCAGACTGTCTACATTTTCATAGGGTCTCGGGGTTCAACTGAAACTCTGCCTTTGTTTTCTTCCTCACTTTGATCACAACAATGAGTCCAGCCAAACTATGGGCAAACCCTCTTAAGATGAAGGGTATAGCCCAGGCAAGTGCAAGAAACATCAATAAGTCCGACTTACTACTAGCATCAACTTCGCCATTCTTCAGAGCATCATCTTCCAAGTCATGCGGAGGCCACGCTACCCATGCTGAAACCACGCACACGCAGAGCCTCACTTTGTTGCACTTTGCTGCAATACCCACTCGTGCTGGGGAGGTAAGTTCTACGGCTTGCGATGTCGATCATCCACTGGCGAATAATAGTGGGCGAGTATCGAAAGGATAGTCCAGTAGGGCAGCAGTGTGGTGGGCGTGCGAGGACCTTGCCTGAGGACCTCGATTTCTGACCATTATACATATATATATATATATATATTGTCCCCCTTCCCTCCTGCAATCAAATCAGCCTTCTACTTGCAATATCCTCCCATACAGTGCACTCTTGACAACAACTCAACACTCACGTCTAGGACATCACCATGCAAGTCAAGCTCTCCCTTCTGGCTGGCCTTCTGGCTGGCCTGCTGGCACTATCCACCGCCACTCCGATCCAAAACTATGCCATTCCCGACGAAGACAACATGTCAAACACCACCCGCGCTGACATGGAGACCACTTTCCCATCCAACGAAACCCTCAACGCCGAGTCATCAAGAGCTCTCACGAAAACAATCACTCTAGGTTGCCATGGCGAATGCCCAGCACAGCAAGTCAAAATCGACCCTGACATACCGGTCAAGCCTCACACCTGCGTCCGAGATGCACTTACAGCACTGGCCAACTGGCGAATCTACTGCGACGGGCCGGATCGTTGGCACCTCAAGAGTGCATTTTGGAAGGGAAACGACGACGGCTCCTATTTGAACCACCTGCGCCTATGCAGCCTCGAACCACCTAGCATAATGTTGTGCTGCGGAGTGTCGGCGGACCTGGAGGATCCCAACTACTTCAACTCTCCCAAGCTCATGCGCAGCAGACAGAAGTGGGGATTCGACGAGGAGGGCAAGACGTTCTTCTCATGGTACTCGTGGGTCGACACGCACTCCTTTGGCGGAAGACGTGGGCGATCAAAAAGGGATGGAATGAGTTCAACCACAACAACATCTGCAAGAAATGGAGAACGGAGAATGAGGACCAGTATGCGTATTTCATGCAGAACTTGAAGGGGCTGGGACTGGAGGATGCCGATGCCGACGGCAAAGTCTACGATACCTGCGCTGACCAGACTAAGCCTGGCAACCCCACTGATCCTTTGTGCATTGGTGGTACGCGCTATATGGCCGAGGGTCCGGGCTTGTTGGAGCGTCGTCCTGGATCTTGGCCACCCTAAGTCAGCTTAGGTACCTACTTACGAGGTAGGATGAGTCGGGAGGGGCAAGAACAAAGGGGTTCCAGTTGTGAGGGAGGGGGAGAAATCGGCAAGAACAAAGGGTCTCAGTTGTGAGAGAGGGGGAGAACTCTGCGGCCCAGGGCGATGTTGAGTGAGAACGTCGACGTTCTATCCACGCTTGCTTTAGTAGGATTCGTAAGCGGCATTCCAATAATGTACTACGTATCTCCAGGTTCGATCATGTCTCTCTCAGAATGTGTCGCAGCCTGACCTCCGGCACATCCCATACCACATCCCTCACACTCACACGCTGACGCGCAGGAATCTTCATGCCCAGATGCCCCGGACAGCCCACCCATTCTTCGTTGCGGACGAGTAAGATCTCACCTCCGCGTCCTTCAACCAGGACCACCGAATTTTGACCTGGGTCTCCTTCATCCTCCCGCCTAGAACTGGTCTCTGGCGTCGTATCGTGCGTGACGGGCGTGCTCAGCCCAATCGCCCTTCTCGCCCTCGTACTGACACACTCATACAGTTTCATTGCATCATCCTCGGTTCCAGCCTGGTACACCCCCACACCCAACGATGCTAGAGCCAATGGGTCTCCCGTGCCCCAGGGCGTGAACGCATTTCCGACATTATTGACCGACAGACAGGCATTCAGACCGTGGGCGTTGATCATGCTCAGAACCTGTAGAGTCCCTCGTGGCCGGTTTGCCGCCAGGGTCTTCGAGTCGTCTGACGCCGATGGCCGCCCCATCATGAATAAATCACTCGTAGGCAGACCCACGAAATGGACCGGCAGCTTCGACTCTTTGATTTCCCGCGCCAATTTCGCCATCTCAGCATCGTCGAAGAGTGTCAATCGCGTGCAGTGGCCCAGGACGATCGTCTTGTCCGGTCGCGCACGCTCGTTCCAATTTGCTTCTCTCAACAGACGAAGCACATCCCAGACCATGGCGGGCAGGTCGGGATCGAGATTGTAATCGAGATGGAAATCCAGATGTAGCGACTTTGCCAGCGCGGTATCGATGGCCCATTTGATATTGTCCAGAGCAGCGGCCCGGGACGTCTCGACGTACGGTGTTGACCCGAGGGCTTCGATGTGCTGCTCAGCACGACCACCACCACTACCATCACGGAATGCATACTCATCCAGGACCTTCTCCAAGAGCTGTCGGTTGCTCTCTCCCTTGTCCGTGCTGAAGATGGGATCTTGTGCGAAAGCGCAGATTTGCAGCTTGAATAAATAACCCCGTTGGGGCCCCTCCGTGAAGAACCTTTTCTTCAGCGAGATCGCCGCTGCGATGCACATGGCCCCTGTGACGTGGTCCACCTCTACGAAGGCCCGACATGATGTCACGCCTTGTGTGAGTGATGTACCTAGTAGTTGCGAGCCGCGTAGGTATAGGTCATCAGGCGTGTAGCGTTGTTTGGCTTGGGAAGTCTTGGTCAATGCTTCGCTGAAGGAGCCGGATTGGGGAGCTAGGTCGGTGTAGTCCGGACCGTGACCGTCATGCGAAACTGTGTGCGGGTTGTGATGGCTGTTGCAGGTTAGGATATATGCTTTGTCGAGGTGAATGTGCGGGTGGCATAGCGGCGGTAGAAGGAGTGATGACGGTGTGTCTGGAGTTGATGATAGAGAACTATTGTCAAACCAATCTTCGGTGGGCCTGATGGAAGTTATCGTGTCTGATTCCAAGAGGACATCCCAGCGAGACTTGGGGTCTCTTCCTGGGAGGATGACATTCTGGAGCTTCATGGTGAGTGGGAAGTTCAGATGTTCAAGATCCGTGGGATTCCGTGGCGGTACCAGGTTCTCCACCAATTTGATCCTAGATTCTATGATGCTGTTAAGGTGAAAAGTCGAGGCGGCGACAACCGCATAGCTTCCGACTTGATATAAGTATGTCAGGAATTGTTCACGTCCTGCAAGTTCGTCGCCAAGTACCATAATAATCGAATGGTTGAGGTGGGCTGATCGGGAAATATAATCAAGCGATCGTCCGGTGGATTCCGTCTCGAGTTACGAAAGAATGACACGGAGAATGCTCTTAATAAGGGTTAGGGATCACATATAGATGCTCGATTAGAGATACCAAAGGCCCACGCGAGTTATAATCAAAGAGAGGAGGAAAACTGCATTTATCATATCGTTGACGTGAAGTCAGCAACTTTTATGTCCGTCATCTGCTAACGTTCCGACTACAATCATCAGCTACACATTGATACCTCAATCAACCACTCCCTTGGGCAATACGGCAATATAGTCCAGCGGCGCCGGCTCGATACCATCAGGCGTACCCACGATCTTCAGCACATCCCCTTTGGCAATGGTCACATTTCGGAATGTGATCCTCGTCGCCGAATGCGCATCCAAATACGCTGATGGCGCATGTCCCAGTCTCCCTGTATCCACGTTATCGCCAATCCAACTCCCGATTGTGCGGTTGTTGATCGAGACTTGCCACCGCGACGTCCCACCTATCATGTCAAAATAATTGACAGCCAGATCGTACGTGCCATTTGGAAAATTCAGCATTGTCGACGCAGTACCGGTTGTTGAGTTTGAGCTCGTCACGATACCCGTAGCGTTACTCGCCGCTTCGAATGGGGACACTGTATATGGCACGTAGCCATCAAGCGTCATACTCTCGGCTTGGATGCGCCATGGATGCTTTCCAACGCGGCCTGCAGAGTCCGCAATGCCGGATAGGTTATGGTAGTAATTGGCGATGGCATCGCGCCAGACAATTGAGTGGCCAGCCTGGAATGTCAAGCGGAAAAGTGTCTCGTTGTACCTTTCCTCATCGACCTTGCCTTTTAGCTCTTCCCACTGCGTGACAAACGTCTGCGCAGTGTCGGCTCCGTCGTAATGCGCGTCATAGAAATGCTGGATAACCGTTTTTCCCGAGTGCAACTTATGTGTATAGTTGACGTGATGGAACCACAGGACCAAGTTGTCCGGTGTGGTGCTGATGTTCTCATAAACAGTTGCGACTTCTGCAGGATATTGACCTGAAAAGCCTGTACCGTTGCTGACAGTACGATCCATTCCGATAGTCGTATGATCTGCCCTAGTCCATTGACCCCATCCGTTGCCATCTTCTGTTTGCGGATTCGGCCCGAAGTGTGTGTACAGGATGTCCGTGAGAGTTTGGATGCCCAAATTGCCAGAATAGTTCTCGTACGCGGGCCATGAGGCCATAGAGAGGCTGGTGATTGTCTTCATGACCGCGGGATCTGGACCAAAAGTCAATCGGATCCAGTCCTGAAGCATGATTTGCGGGTCATCGGCTGGGTTCCATGCAAGCCGGCCGTAAGCGTATAGGTTTGACATTGAGAGATGGCTTCCTAGCCATGTGTTGTTGGTGCCAACGTTGACAACGGCTGCGGACCCACCTAAAGGTCGACCGAACCGTTTGCCGCTAATTATGTCGCGGACAAGGGAAGGTTTGTGGTTGACGCGCATGTCGAAATCGAGGACCGTCTTCCATAATGGGGGAAGGTATACCAAATGGCACTGTTGGCCGAGATATTCCTGTGTCACTTCCAATTCAATCGCCGTGCTGGTATTCTGAAGATGTGCGAAAAGAGGAGAAGCTGGCTCGCGGACTTGGAAGTCGATTGGACCATATTTGATCTGCACAATCACATTGTCGGCGAACTTCCCATCTAACCCTTGGAAGAAATCCACGGCTGCATTTGCACGGTCGGCTTTCCAGTCCGACTCATTGATATGATTGTCGTACACAAAGGCTCTGAACATCAGTATCCCGCCATGTGGTTTCAGCGTATTGGCAAACAGGTTGGCTCCCTGAGCAAGTGTCCGGTTGTATGTCAACGGTCCAGGCTGACCCTCAGAATTGGCTTTGACCAAATAGCCCGCCATATCAGGAACACGTCGGTAGATTGTGTCTGTGACATTGGTCCACCAAGATATGACGCCTTTGTCGAGCGGGTCGAAGGTGCTGAGATTACCGTAGGTAAGATTGGCTGTTGGCGAGGCGAAGTTTAGGGAGATGCCCACTTGGACACCATAAGGTCGCATTGCATCAGCCAGTCTTCCGAGGCCTTCCACGTTGGCTGGGCTCAACAGCGATGCATTAGCATTGACATTGTTGACGACAACAGCATTGATCCGGATTGAGGCCAGCAAACGGGCATATTCGGATACCCGGTCAAGATTGTCGACAACAAGGCCGTTCTCGAAGAAAATGGAGGGTCCACCATACCCTCGCTCGATGGAACCATCCAGATTGTCCCACTGATTGACCCATCGTACTGGCGCGCTTGGATTTGATGCATAGGCGACCTTTGAGAAGTTGCCCTGAGCAAGCATGGACAGGTATTCGAATGCGCCATAGAGAGCCCCTCGTTCGTTCTGACCAAGGATCTGCACGGCCTCACCGGTCGTGTTCAACCAGAAGCCGTCAGGTTCGAGAGATGGAGTCTTCGCAGGATGACCAAACGCGACAGCATAGTCGCTGACGGTTCCCACGATAATAGATGAGGCGGCCTGTTGACTCTGGCTGGCAACGCTCAGGTTCTTGCCGAAGATGCTTGCAATGCCTTTCTGTATTTCCACGCCCGCAATGTGGACCGGATTGTTCATTGAGGTGTTCAGAGCTACGATATGCGAAGGTAGGGCAGGGTGAGAGCTGGAAGATGGCAGCGGAGCATATCGAAGCCAGGCATCGATGCCGCTTTCCGCGACGGCCACGCCGACGGTGAGAAGAAGCTGGAGGCAAAGCATCGTGACAGCCTTAGCATTCTTCGTAGGATGGAGTGAGGCGAACCATACCTTATATACCGGCTTGAGTGTGACGTTTCTGCAATGGACCCCCTCAAGCAACCTTCAACTTGCTTGCTGTTGGGACTTGGATTTATCCCCAGACCCCAGGAACCGACATAGTCAACACCAGCCTAGATTCAATCGAGTTCCTCCACATCCAACGTAGCATCTCTGGTTGGCCATCGGCTATAGCTTTGCCATTGATCGACCTGTAAATGGAAGTGATGTTCTGCTCGGTGCATCATTACCGACATTGACAATTCAGGCGTTGCTCCGGTTGAGGTGCATCATCGGCTAAAGCCCCTCGAGGATGTATTCAGCCTATTTTGCTGGTTCCAATCACGATATCGTCGAGATTCTGCTCGGCACATAAACGACCTCACTTGTGCAGTTTGGAGATAGTGTCCAATTCCTTATTCATAGTACTACTAGTACGGAGATATTACATGAACCGATGCTTGGATTACTGCGTACCTGAGTGCCGTTGCTTTACTACTACGGAGGAGTTAAAGCCGTAATCTGACGTCACCAGAAGCTCGCCTAAAACACATTCCACTACAACTTCAACTTGAATACCATCAACCCTTCTCAGCTCATCACCTTCTCAGCAATGTCGCGGTGTATTCATCTTGCATCTCCGCCCATCATATCTATCCGTCGTCCTGGACAGGATGGATGATTGGAGAAGGGTATGGGCAGAGCAGTCATAGACTCTTTTTGCTTGACTTCATGCCTTGGGGTCTTTCGCCGAATTGGGAACTTGTCTCCATCGTCTTCATGGCCTTCCACTTGGACTTCCACTGCTTCCGCGGCGTTAGCCGGTTGCTTCAGCAAAACCTCTTCGTTGACGACGATGCGATTCCCTGCAATGGCTGGATTGAGTGTGAAGTACCCCTCCATTCCAAGCTCTTGTTCGACCTCCGGGATGTCGTTGTCATTACCGATGAATACCCCTTCAATGTTGGGGTCTTCTTCGTCTCTACCGTTCTCATTGGCGCTTGTGCCTGCCAGTTGTTCGATCTCCAGACCCTCCATGCTCCCAACGACGGTTTCCTGCTCCAATGACAGCTGGTATTGTTCCTCTTGCAGCTTGGCTCGGGCGAGCGAATTTCGAGCATCCTTCTCGGTTTCAGCGTACTCCGCAAACCAGAAAGGGCGCTTGCCGGGATGTTCCTCTTCTTGGAGCTCCATGATAAGGCGAAGCGCTTCAGCTGCGAATCTGGACTTGTCAGGGTAGTCATGTATGGGAGCGACGTCGGCCATGGTCAGGTTTACAAGGGCCCGCGTCCAGAAGGCAAGGTCGGTCTTCAGTAACAGTTCCAGCTATTTGGGTAGGTCAGCATAGTTTCCAGTCAGCGTTCTGAGGCGGCAACCGGAGTGCTCACACAGATATCGACGCAGTCGTCAATGTTGCCATGCAACCCGCATTCGGACGCCACTTCGAGCCGCTGCAGGTAGAATCTCTGAAGGTTATCGATCATGTTGATGATGATGATAATCCTGTTGCTGTCGAAACAATCCTCAAGGGCAAGTAGATGTTGCTGATCGTCTTACCCAGGTCGTTTGCGGAGGCAAGCTCGCTCAGCAATATCGTCAAGACGACCCTTATTCCAAAGCTGACTTCAGTTATGGTTTAGGGAACAACACACAAAGAGTACAAAGCATGTAGGTGAATCTGGGATATCTTCGCTGCCTGCTAGTGTCACTGTCACTGCCTCAGCAAATTCAAGAGCATTCACTACACCTGCTTGCCCAAGTTTGGCTTGGCAAACAACAACCACTGCCTTTGGCCTTCATTCACTGCAAGCAATTTGGCAGTTGTTTCATGGTCCCACCTTTGTGTTCTGTTTTGATTGCACAAACTTGAGGACAACTAACAGATCTGCCTATCGGCAGTGTACACTGCCTCATAAAAGCCATCCACACCATGGGAGTCAATCGCTGAGAGTGCCGCGAGCACGTCTGATTTTCCAGTCGAGATCAGTCGTCAGCATCCTCCGGGAACAGAACCGCTATATATAAATTAGTACCTCGAGGGCCGCCGGCAAATCCAAAGATAAAGCGTCGGAAGGCAGCTCGCCGCTGGTGCAGTGCCATCAGACATCGAAATGGAGGAAGCTGAAGAAACACCTCTAGATCCAGTGGAGGATCCGAAGGTGTACATCAAGAATGACCTTACGCAAATCGTTGCACAAGCTGTCACCGAAGCACGTCCGGAAGAACAAGCGAAAGCCCAACGTCAGCTTGTGGAAGCTCTTGCGGAAGTCCGGCGTCAGTACAAAGAGGAAACTGCGGCCACGAACAAAGCACGTATGGAGAACATGCGGTGGCAGGAACAGCAAATGCAGCAGGTGGAAGCGGATAATCAACGACTCAGAGAACGAGATTCTGTATCTGCTCAAAATGCATTCGCTCAGCCACTGAACCAAGCAGCAATCAGTGCTCTCAGTGAACAGCAGGTTGTCGAGCTCTATCGCCAGTTTTCCGAGCTTTCTCGCCTGATCAGCCCACGAGTTGAAAATGCTCTCCAGCAATACGCTCGCCGTGAGCTTATCGACAGCGCAACAGATGACGAAACGCACGAGGCCGATAACGAGGCACCACCCTCGAGATTCGGAACCATTCGGAAGAAGCCCGGCAAAAAGCTTCTGGAAGGGTTGAAAATCCTTGGAAGAAGTGGTACGCAGAAAGGCAAAGAAAAGAGAGGAAGCTCAATCGGTGACACATTTGCACGGTTCAAGAGCATAATCAAGAGTACTCTGGGCTCGGACAAGAGCACTGATGATACGGACACCGCAGTGACAGATGAATCATCAGCGGCATCCCCATTCAAGTCAACACACATGCCCTCGCATGACACGCAGGAGCCGCCAACTACACCAATCCACCGACCTTCGACGGACGTGAACACAATGCGCGCTCGAAGAAAGCTGAGTAAAAAGTCATTGAAAATGTCGGGCCTGTTGAAGCCAGAGAACCAGAAGAGGAGGGTTCGACAACTGAAACCAGCTTGACGGACGCCACTGCGGGCGCGTCTCCTACGCCAGCGAGGCGGAGATTTATGCCGCCAGTGGAGAGACTTCTCACTGACACTATGGCTCATCCTCGTCGCGATGCTGGTCTTGCACGAGGTTCACAAGACGCTATTAGTCTTCCTCCGACTCCAGACAGAGGCCTGCAGCCATAACGCAGCCATGCTGTCCTGGGATCGCGTCGGGATGGAAGTCAACAACAGTCACGTAAGCGCGCCCTGTCAGATGCAAGATCTTCCTTTGGAGCGCTGGCAAGCGATCCATTTCGGCCGTCCTATACGCCGTCGAGAGCAACTCAGGCATCCCTGCACAGAACCTCTGCTCACCGCGACCTTTCGGCTGAATATCGACAACCGGTACAGACAATTGGGGTTAAGACCGCCGTGCCAGGAGGAAGAGCGACCGAGGTCTCCGACAGCGAGGAGGATCGATACGCCTCAGCTATTTCTAGCAGCCCGCCCCGCTCATCAGAGGATGATACAGAGATTGACTGATTGATGTGGTGAAAGGATTTCATGGGTGGGGTGGAAGGATATTGGTGAAGCTATGGAGTGCATGAAGAATGAAATTGTGTGGATTTTTGGAGTCATCAGGAGTACTCAAGAGAAGGCGTGGGATGTGCTGTGCATGATTCGTTCTTTTTACTTTCTTCTATGGCATAGCCTGAATCAATGGAAAGATTTGATGTCGAACCCGCGAAGCACCGCACCATGATCTTGTTGCATGTCCGGTTTGGTGGGCGTACATTGAAGTAAAACCGAAAATCGATCGCAAGTTCCAAGCGTAGAACCACGCACGCCATTGTGACTCTTTCTTTGCTGGGATCCTGCACTTCTTCTCAATTCATGAGGCACTATCCTTGTATACCTACTTGTACTGCAGGGAAATCCGCCTTCGGTTTAGGCGGTGCTTCCGCTCCGGGTATAGTCGCATGCTGGTGAGGCTAGGCACGCCGCTGCTTTTAATGTTTATCAGAACCTCGTCTCTTCCGATTCTCAGCAATCCAGTTCAACAGATCTAGATCTCACTTCAACACTCTTAGCCCACGTACGCCGGCAAGCGTAATGCCCATTAGCCTTGCTTCCGCCTTGTCCACCTCCGCTATTCGTCGGTCCTACACCGAGTCCAATAGCTGCCTACTTTAAAGCGCTCAGGTGTTGACCACCGCAAGCGGCGACATGTATGGGACAGTCTTCCGCACAATTCCTTGAAAATTCAATCTAACTTGTATTGGAAGACCTTTCCTTTCTCTGGGTTTGCCATTGTATTTCTGCTGACGCTTGGTCAACACTCCGGAGCGGCGACATCCAATTTTTGTCCTTCGCTCTCCATGAGAACGTTATAAATGTTATAGTAGTGATTGACGCAGATTCATTTGCAGCGGTCTAAGCAAGTTGAAGACCTTGTTGATAGGCCGACAATGTCGATGGGGTTCCTATTTGATCCAGAAAGCGGCCTGGTTAGGAAGTTCTCCTCGACCACTGCCAATTCAAAAGTCTGGGCGCAACGAAGGGTCGAGACTGACTATCGCAATCGACGGCCTGAGACGCGGAAAGGCCCCAGCATTCGATATAGTGTCGTTTAGCGTGCTTACCTCCCACTGCAAAAGCATTGTAGGAGGGATAGCGCTATCACAGGAGAACGGAAATGACCAAGGGTAGCACCCTCGGGGGGAAATAGATTATAAATACCCCCATCCCATCTGAGCATCAATCAAGTTCGACACCAAACTATCTCCTCACCGCATGGTTGATTTGGCAACAGAACATCCCCAAATTCCTTCTCTCCACGCCACGAATCTAGCATTCCATTTTTGATAGCTGCACTGCAATCAATCATTCTACTCCTTTTTGTCAATCGATCATGTCGACGTGGCAAGACCAGAACCAGCGGTTGAAAAACTACCTTCGGCCATGGCCTATAATCACGATGGGTATTGGCTGTAAGTTGGAAAAATAAACACCTTCATACTGGGAGAGACGTCGAGGTACTAAAAGAGAATCACAGTTCTATTCAACACACGTCCAACGTGGCTCGGAGGTTCATCCAGACCAGAAAATATAAGCACAAGAGACTATGTAAGCGGGCAGGTGTTTCAAAAATTTGGTTCGTCCGAGAATAATATTGACGTCCTTTGACTTTGCAGCTGCTGATGAATGGAAATCACAGGTAGTGCTTTTAAAGCTTTCGAGGGATCATCAACGTCAGTACCGTCGCTTGTTGCGTCGGCTCACGGCGTCGTGCTTGAGGTGGGGCCGGGCATAGGAACCCAGCTAGACCGCTTCGACCAGTCGAGGATTGACCATGTCTACGGTGTCGAGCTTAACCCCGCCTTCGTTCAACCTCTGCTTGCAGAAGTAGAAACGGCTAAGCTGCAAGGCAAGTACACGGTGATCGTGGGAGCGGTGGAGGACGAGCGCCTGTTGGCAGAATATGGCCTCCGAGCAGGGTCGGTGGACTCGATTGTGTGTATCGGGACATTATGCTCGGTCAGCGATCCTGAACAAACGATGCGTTGGATGTACAAACTGCTTAAGCCCGGTGGCGTTTTCATTTTCTGGGAGCATCGGCGCAGTCATGATTTCTTGACGCGACTTGTCCAAGGTACAACTTGACCCGCATATTATGCTCCACGCGTTGCTGTGTGCTGACCTGCTTAGGATTCTGGAATCCCCTTTGGCAAATTTTCATGGGGGGCTGTAGCTTGACTCGATCGACCGGAGATATCATACGCACCGCTGGCGATTGGGATCCTCAGGATTCAGAGATGGAGGTGCAGAAGAGTCTGGCTTCAGAGTGGTCAATCATGCCAAGGGTTGAAGGGAGACTGGTCAAGACAGCGTAGCCGTAGCAAGTCCAGAGAAAGGCGCCCATCATTTTGAAGAGTTGGATGGATCCTTCTCTATTTCTGACTGGGGACCGTTTCTGGTCCCCAGTGGTGTACGGAGGGCGAGCGGGTAAGTGTAATCCTCGAGACAACAGAGGGAAGGTAGACCGAGAAGGCGAGAAACGTGTGAACTGACGTAGGAGCTGACCAGGGGAGCGGTCTTAGCATCGAGGAAGAAATCCTCCAAAAGGGGCAGCGGATAAGTTCAGCAGGAAATTTCCCTGCAACCTATGTTGAACGGTCCTCGTAGACGAAGGCTTTTGTCGATGCACAATCTCCGTAGGTGCAGTAAAGATCGACAGCCGTAGGGCATCCTCTTTGTGCTGTGATTGGTTTCTGTCACAACCGTGCTCGTAAAGCTCCGGCTAGGACAAGCCTTCACAGACTGCACAGCCCCGTAGTTCCCGGCCACCTAAGGTTGCTTTGGCTGTCGCTTGCTGGCTTGTCTGCCGCCACTTCCGTTGGACTTCCACCACCTTTTTTGCGTGCTTCATATATCAAACATCTCGAATTTCTTACCAAATCAACATACACACATGGGATTCATATATTGCCTATCCCATGCTTCTTACCATGGGGCTTGTAACTCAGGGGTAGAGTGCTCGCTTTGCAGGACGTCGTCGTCTACAAGCATGCGAGAAGTCCGGCGTTCAAATCGCCGCTGGTCCAGGTCATCCTTGAAGGATGAAATCTTTTTGCGCCCGATTTGGGTGGTAGCTGCGTTTTTGGGCTTCGAATGTGGGCGGCTGGCAAAGTCTTGGCGTTGCCAATTGTCTGAATGCTTCGCAGTACTGTGGAAGGTCAGGAAGAGCATCAGTGCGGTGGTGGCGTCGGAAAGCTGTGGTAGGACGTGGGTTGTAGAGGAGCTTGGTGGAGAGAAAAGTGACAGGGGTATTCAGCCTCGGCACATGTGACGGACTTGACGTCAAAAAACGCCGATAATTAGGGTGGTTCATAGTGCTACCACATGCTTGCTCCACCCTACGGTGGCACATTTATGCCAAATCTGACAAAGTCTATTTTTGCAATTTTGTCAGGCCTTGGACTTGATATTCGTCTAGAGCCGTACAAACCAATTCCTCGTATCATTCAGTCCTCATCCTGATATCTGAGCATTTCAGAAATCTGAGAACATGAACGGAGCAAAAGCGACACCTACCGTCGCCGACTTGGCCGCGATGACGACCGAGGAGCGCATGGCAGGCATGGAACATTCTGAAGTTCGCTACTTTACAAGGTGAGGAGGCCCATGAAAACGCTGAAGGCGCAGTATTGACAAGATCCAGCTACGATCACCATGGCATTCACGAGGAGATGCTGGTATGATTCTCATTCTGTCTCTCATTCCACACTGACTCGAGACTAGAAAGATGAAGTCCGTACTCGATCCTACCGCGATGCCATCTACCAAAATTCCCACATCTTCAAAGACAAGGTTGTCCTCGACGTGGGCTGTGGAACAGGCATCCTGAGCATGTACGGTACCTTCACAGAAGAGAGAGTTGCGCTCACATGAACAGGTTCGCTGCGAGAGCGGGAGCAAAACATGTAATCGGCGTCGACATGTCCAGCATCATCAACAAAGCCAAAGAGATTGTCGAAGTCAACGGGCTGTCGAAAAAGATCACTCTACTACAAGGCAAGATGGAAGAGGTGGAAATGCCCACGCAACACCTGAATGGTGGAAAAGTCGACATTATAATATCAGAATGGATGGGCTACTTTTTGCTCTACGAGAGCATGCTTGACACTGTCTTGTATGCTCGGGACAAGTACCTGGTTCAAGGGGGCAAGATCTTCCCAGACAAAGCCACCATCTACATGGCCGCTATCGAGGATGGCGAGTACAAGGATGATAAGATTGGATGTGAGTACGAGATCCCTTCAGCGAACGCGGGCTAACCTTCTTAGTCTGGGATAACATCTACGGATTCGATTACAAACCCATGAAAGATAGCGCATTGAGCGAGCCGCTCGTCGATACGGTAGAAATGAAGGCCCTTGTCACCGACCCTTGCCCTGTCTTCACCATCGACCTCAACACAGTCACAACAGCACAACTAGCATTCTCCGAACCATTCCAATTGCGATGCCAACGAAATGACTTCATCCATGCACTGATCGCGTGGTTCGATATCGACTTCACCGCATGCCACAAGCCCATCCGATTTTCCACCGGCCCTCACACGAAATACACCCACTGGAAGCAAACAGTCTTTTACCTCCGAGAGGTACTTAGGGTTGAGGAAGGCGAAACGGTGACTGGGTTCCTGTCCAGCAAGCCCAACAATAAGAACAAGCGAGACCTGGACATCAAGATCGATTACGAGCTCGACACGACGGACGGGATGCGGTTTGCTCGAGGTTCTTGCGATTACAAGATGTAAGACTCGCTTACCCTGCTTTCAGGCTGTATGCTCACCTCTTCTAGGTGCTGATCTCAGATTTTCCCCTTGTCTTATTCTCTGCATAGCACTGGGCGTGGTCATGATCGCATGCACGGGTTGGTTGGCGTGGTAGAAAAAGGAGCATACTGCGATGGTTTTAATGACTGAAATGATCTTCGAGACGATTTCAAGCTCCTCGTTATTTGACCTAGATACCCCACGAGTTGAAGCTGAATTTTGATGGCTGATCGTCACGGATGTTTCAACACTCCTCAATCCTCAACCTTTCTCATTTCATATCATTCCATGAGTGATTGTCAATTGCGCCATAGTTATGGAGACATGGGTGGGATAGATGGCTCACCCGAAAGAGCCTATCCAATAATGAGAGTCCATCTCTTCGCCGGTCAGCCTTCGAAAAGCGAATATCGTGATTAGTTGATGGGAACGGACGATGGATAGCCGATCGAACCTCGGCATGTTTTCCCCCGCAAGTCATCTCCAGAGATCCAGAGTCTCGCAGCTCGCCGCATCTTTTTGATTTCTTGCGGAGTATATACCTAGGAACATATCCAAAACATTACCCTTGCTGGTGACACTTGTGCTTGTTTGCAGTTGTGATTGTTCTGCCTCGACATCTTGGAAAGCGATACCGAAGAAACTATGTCCGGTCCAGGCGTCGGTTACGAGTACCCGTCCACCGAAGTATCATGGCTGAAGCGAGACGTCCTTTTGTTCGCAGTCAGCATTGGCTGCACCGTTGACGAACTACACTTTATCTATGTAACTCTACTCCGTACACTCTCGCTACCTTAGGAGGGACTCGAAAGGAACTGACCCAAAGGCCTAGGAACTCCATCCCAAGTTCGCCGTCTTCCCGACATACTCAATCATCCTACGTTCGTGCCCTCTCTCCCATTGTTACGCTTTGGCTCGTCTTAACTTAGACCTCCCCAACATTATGCCGCCTCGTCTCCGGCCCTCCCAGGACCCTCGACGTTGTCCCGCCTCGTTCCCCGATTCTTATTGCCCGTTCCAGACCCGTTCCAGACCCGACCCGACCAGACTGACTGATCCTGCTGTGTATAGCATTCAAAAAAACAACGCAAGAAGTAATAGATTTCTACGCCGCCCAAGCCTCCAACCCAATCCCCGGCGTCCCCAAACTCGACAGCCGCCGCGTCGTCGACGGCCAGCGCCTCCTACAATTCCTCAAACCGCTCCCCGTGACTTCCGAGGGCCGCCGATTCGAACTCCGCTCCAAAGTCCTCGGCGTCTACGACAAGGGGAAGCCCGGCACCGTGGTCGAGACCGAGCAGACCATCGTCGACAAGGACACGGGCGAAGTCTACACCCGCGCCGTCGGATCGGGTTTCTTCGTCGGCCAGGGCGGATGGGGAGGGCCCAAGGGTCCGTCAACGATAAACTATCCCCCACCAAAGGGTCGAGAGGGCAGTCCAGATAAAGTCAGCGAGACGCAACTGACCCCCGAGAGTGCGCATTTATACCGGTACGCATAATATATGTCCAATCGTGACACGGGTGGCACGGTGCTGTTCAGAGGCGTACTAACAAAAATATGCAAATCTAGATTGAACGGCGACTACAACCCACTCCATGCAACGCCCGAACCAGGCCAGAAAATGGGCTTCGGCGGCCCCATCATGCACGGCCTATTCAGCTGGAACACGGCAGCGCATGCCCTGCTCAAGGAGCTCGGTGGCAGTGACCCGGCAAATATGAAAGAATTCCAGGCCCGGTTCGCAGCGCCAGTGAAACCAGCCCAAAAGCTCGTCACCAAGATGTGGAGGACGGGTGACATCAAAGATGGCTGGGAGGAGGTCAGGTTTGTGACCGAAGTCAACGGCAAGGTCGTGTTGAGTAATGGGCGAGCTTTGATGAAATGTGTCGAGGGAAAGAGCAAGCTTTGAATACTAGTATCCATGTCCAGAAACTTTTCTAGTATACCAGCCAATAACTAACAAAAAGTTGGCCTCAGCACCTATTTGACCTGCAAGATGCAATGCCCGAGATCCCATATCGTTGCATTTGTAGCCGCTTACCTCGTCCATCAGCTGATGTCAAGTCTGATCCCGTTACTCCAAGACGACTCTCACCGGGAACTTCATCACTAGACTCCATATTTCCGAACAACCTCTGCAACTTGTTGAGCAAGCTTCTCGGCCTCGGTCTTGGAGTGAGCTTCTGCATACACTCTCACGGCATCTTCTGTACCAGAAGCTCTTGCAAATGCCCGGCCTTTGACATACATCTGACAAAACTTGTCAATTTCATCTTGTGCGCCCTTTGGTGACTCCAGTCTCCGCTCTGCATCTGTAGTCTTGAAGATTGAACGATCGCGGACCTCGACTCGAACAAGACGGTTGGGAAGATCGATATACGTGTTGCGCCAATTTTCCAGGGTCCAACATTTATGAGCAAGAACAACCTCGGCAAAAAGCATGTCTGAGATAGCATCACCCACTGCTTGATTGATCAAATCAACACAAGCACGAAGTGAGTCTAACGCATGTTTTTGTCCTGGGGATTTGGGTTCGGACTCTCGGATGACCTTGATAGCGTTGTCCGAGAACAAGACGGTACCATGACCATTGGCCTCAAAATAAACACCAATATCATACCTGGCGGCAGCATGATGCAGGTGCTTAACACCAGTAGGCGTGACAGTCACGGGAAGTTTCAAGACCTTTTCGACATATTCGGTAGCAGCACCATTGGCGTAGGCGGTCTGGACCAGACCAATCTTGATCTTACTGTCGATCCCAGCAACTCGAGTCATGTCGGCCAAAAACACCGCTCCAAGAGTGGCGATTCGATCACCATCGAGGAGGTGGAACGTCTTCTGCTCGTCGGTGTAATAGAAGACAATCCGATCTGCATCACCGTCAAGTGAGCAGCAGCGATCGCCAGGCTGCGCCGTCGAACTGGGGGGAGCTCGCTGTTTGGTCTTGACATAATCTGCACCGCACTAGAACAGTCAGCATCATCCGCGAACAAACAGGCATTACCCACCTCAAAATTGAGCGCTTCAGGACGCACGACATCATCGTTGACAACCTTAATGTCAATACCTCCTTCTTTCCCGCTCGGAAGGTATTTGATCAATTCCTTCAACTTAGGACCACCCACGCCATTCGCGCAGTCCACGGTGACCGAGCCTTGTATAGTCCGTCCATACATGAGCGTCTTGAATGCTTTGGCCATCTTCTCGTAATATCCCTGCTCTGTGGGCTCGCCAAAAGCATAGGGAGAGTCCATGGTGTTGACGCAACGAACGATATAATGTAGTTGAGGGGTTGTCATGATGCCATGGTCGGTGTATTCGACCTTGACTGCGTCCAAAGCGGCCTTGAGGGCAGTAACCAAGTATGGACCCGAAGCACGGGTATCGCGCGCAAATACAACCTTGGCAGGTCTTTCATGGAGTTGACGGATCTCATCCACCAGGGTCTCGTTTACCAGCTCTTCATACGTCTTTGCAAGCTTGTCGTTGGACGTGTTGGCCAGGGTCGTCGCATAATGTTCCCATGATTGCTTTTCGTCGTCAGTGGAATAATCTGAGAAACGGAAGAGAGGGTTATACCTCAAGCATGTCCCCCTACAATTGAGCAGTCAGCCTAGCGCCAGCAACTCCTGAAAACTCAACCTACCATAGGATCAACCAGTTTGACTCCATTGTCCTCTGCAGGATTGTGACTGGCCGTGATCATGATACCGATCGTGGCATTGCGCTTTTTCGACCGACAAGCAGCCGTGAGACCAACTGTGTAGATGACATGATCCAATCCAGCATTGCTATAGCCAACTCTTTGTCAGTGATGTATTGCGTGAGGGTAGACTCGTGTCAGGTGCGGCTGAGGATGGAAAGACGTACGCCTTCATTCGAAACTAGATACGTTCAGCGGAGTGAGAACATGGGAGGAGCCAGACATACACCTGCGGTTCCATATTCATATTTCCTTCCCTCTGGGATAGGATACGGTTCAACTGAGTTGGTGATTGCATCGAGGAGATCGTGAGGGAGGTGAACGACGGGTTTGGGCTGGTTGAGGACGGATTCTCGAGGGTTATAGGAGGACATGATGGCAGTGGCAGCGCGCACGAAGCGCCCGCTTTTGAGAGAAGATGTGATCGAGTACTGTGAGGTAGAAGGATTTGATAGGTGAGACAGAGTCGCAGAGAGAGGATGTCAGTGTCCTAGGTGAATGTTGCAATTGCGGCCACGGACCTGTTGACAGGAAAATGCGGCGGTGTCTGACAAAGGTTCCACTACTCAATTCAAGGGGGTTAAGCACTGTCAGACTGCCATTTATCTCAACTGTCCCGCATCTGCCAACAACGTGCCGTCAAGGCCCGTGGATTGTGTCATTGATGGCCTGCGACTCCAAAAGGTGCCTGACTAGTGAGGCTTTCGGCCAATGGCGCCCGGCCCGTTAAGTGGCGTGGGGGAGGCATTTTGGCGACCTAAAGCCCAGCAAGCCTAGCAATATGCCTAGCCGTGGCTAATAAGCCCATGATGGCCCCAAAAACAGAATATCAACCCCTCCCAACCCTCGTCGCTGCACATCATCAAGACTAGAAGCGATCCCCGTATTCTTGATTTCGGGGCTATCCAACCATCATGCAATCCTGCAGCCACCAACTTGCTTTTTGTCCAGACTTCTGGGGTTTGCGATCGGTAGATTCGGATTGCTTATCTCGACCAATGTCACGCCTTCATCCGTTGAGTGGAAAGGTCTTCCTGCGCGTCCTTAATCAAGAAGCTGACAGCACATAAGCGACAACAATTTAGCGAGAGTGACATCTCTTACCTATACCACCAGATAGTGGGAATGACCGTTCCCAAATGCCACAGACTGTGCGCATCGATCATCCCCCACAACGGCGGGAAATCGAACAGTTCCAAACTCATCGCCATGATGATCCAAGCCACGATTAAACCGGGCCATGCTGCCCATCCCTTCTGCAGCTTGCGGAACCTTACGATACTGAACCCACTCCAAAGCACGTTCTGGACAATGCCCACCGCAACGTTGGCGGCCATGTTATAGGTATAATCCCAACTCCACGCGGTCAGGTAGGTTACGTGAGCCACGTAGAGCAAAATGCAGACAAGTGTCCAAAGCCGTAGTATACTCTGCTTGATTGGGGTCTTCTCATCTAGGCGAAACACTCGGATAGGTGTGTAGTACATGCCGTAGAGCACGCTCGCTCCAGCCGCGAAATAATCGAGCTTCTCGGTCACATTGAAGTCTCGCGTGTGGAAGATCATGCTGAAGATCCAGCTTGCAAGTCCAAAATAGCCGAAACCGAGATAGTAGGGCCGCAGAGGATATCGAGCAGGAATGGCTTCACGGACCCTCTGCATGCCTTTTCGATGTGCCAGAAAGTTCATCAAGGAGAAGAGAACCGAAAAGGGCTCCTGGATGCCCAAGAAGCGATAAAAGGGCCATTTCCCATGAAACTGAACCACAGGCTCAATCATTGGCGGATTTCTAGCCACGCGTCGATCGGTAATGACATGCTGGCAGGTGTAGTCGCACTCTGATGGACAGTTCCAGAGCAAGAGGCGCAGATGAAATGGCAGCTTCGCTTTCCCGGTATGGCAATTCTCTTCTATGCATACCTGGAGTTGTCAAATGATTGAGTTGACACGACGGAATGTCGCTCACCTGAACACATTCACGAAACTCAGGCAGACGATCTCCCAGCGAGGCTTGCGAAAGACCCGCGAATGAAAGCAGGACAACAAAGAGCAACACGCTCCATTTGTACCCTGGAGGCAAGCTCATCGTCGACTCCTCTGGGCCTGTCCCTCGTGTGGTAAGTTGAACACCAGTGATAGATAAATTCTCCGTGGCGCGAAATAGGGGAGATTGCTCACGCCAGTGTTACGATCCTTGGTCTAGTCGAAATTGGGTTTAGTGTCATTGTTGGTTTGCCTGACAATTTTCGACCCTGCGACGAACTTCTCTTTACTGTGTACCTACTCTCCTCATCAACAGCCCGACCTTGTCTGATTCTCTAGATACAGATCAGGACTGCTTCACTGCCTTGCCAAGCCCGTGACGCATTTGGACAATAGTGGCCACATCTCGTCCGCGTCTACGGAGTGCCTGTCCACATTCTAAGCCCTAGTTCCGGATGACTATCCACGGTAATGAAGTTGCGAACCATTTCACCGCCTTGACGCTTTCCCCCGCTGTCATGCCCGACCTCTGCGCAACCAACTACGGAATAACAGCTCTTTGCTCTTGAACTAGAGCTGCGAACACCTTCATTATGACCTAATCTCTTACGTAATCCTCAGCCCCTTTTCTCCCACAGCCTCGAATTCCACACATCGAGAAAAGCAACAGTATTTATGACTGCTGGAGTTCTAGATAGTGTACCTAAGGTCGGATAAGTAACGCTCTCAAAAAGTGAACGCCCCAAGACACTTACCGAAAGCTGGGATGGCGATGGCCGAGCAGGTCCACGCGTTCCTCACTCAGTCGATGGTTTCTTTCACCATTCTCTCGCCGTGCGTTTTCCCATCGACAATACCCCATGCCGAGCAGCGCTGTAATGCCGCAAAGACCAAGTCCACCAATACAGATGCTATGCCCAAGGACAAATCTAGGCCTAAATTCGCTGTCAGCATGGCGCCAGCGACACTCGCGGTTATTACCTACGCGTCCTTGGATAAATACGCAAATGTGGCGATAAAGGCGGCGCAGTTGGCGATGGTGACTTGAAAGCCTATCCCCGTGGCCCGAACATAATGTGGTGCTAGGTTGTTCGCCAGCCAGCCCTGGACACTGCTCCGCGTTAGTACTTTTTATGGTAGCTGAAGGGAGAAAGAAGCCCAGACATTGGAGTTCCAGGATAGACGCCAATCGCTATCAAAAACGTTCCACCATATTTGACTGCTGGACTCTCCGCAACCAGAAGCATGATGTACCCGGCGATCGCAAGAATACAACCCCCAACAAGGAACGGGCCCCGGGCCTTGACCTTATCAGACCAGGCCGAGAGGACCAAGATGGCGACGAAGCCGCAGATGTTTGGCGGAACTATTATGACGTCTCAGATTTGTACTGCAATGTAAAAGTTGAGCAACCCACCGGTAAGCAGCTGGGCGTGAATCGCGGAATAGCCAAGTTCATGAATGATGGTTGGCAGAAAAAGCGCATAACTCTTGCAAAATCGTCAGTGAAATATTCCGTCGGAGAGAGGACCAGGACATGTACATAGATTGGGATAAGCAAGAAAAACCATGCTAGGGAGCAAATAATGGTGTTTGGGCTTTTCAGCGCCATGCGAACCCAATGCCATTTGAAATGCTCATCGCGCGCTTCATCAGCCGCCATCGCACCATCAGCATCCTCTTTCATCCGGCGAACGGCTATGTCGCGATCCTGCGCGTTGAGGAATTTTGCCTGAGCAGGTGTATGTGGCAAGAAAAATAGCGTAAGGATGCCGTAGGCTACTGTGATTGCTCCCTCCACAAAGAAGATCCATGGCCAACCTGCGCCAGGATTAGCGAAGACTTTCAACGACATCACTCCCTCCCCACGTCTCTAGCATTGGCATACCGTTGTATCCTCCACGAGATATTTTGGACAACCCCGTTGCCAATAGTCCACCGAAGGCAATCGCAAGTGGGGCGGCACATGCGAAGAGTCCGATCCTGGTCAGCAATTGCTGTCGCCGGTAGAACAAGGCAAGATAGACTAGTATCCCGCCAATGAGTCCACCTTCACACATGCCCAGAATCGCGCGACCGGCGATAAGACCTCCATAAGATTTGACAAATCCCATGCTTGTACAGGTGAGTCCCTGTACCAGAGCGTTAGATCGAGCTGATAGTGACGGATCCCGAGACTGACCCAGACAATGACAAGAGCTGGGAGATAGTAGCCCGCTTGAAAATGTTTGATAAGCATGTTCTTCGTCCCGGAAGCTCGTGTGAACTCCAGCGTCTCCAAGATGAAAGTTCGACGGTATGTCAACGACGACGTAAGGGATGTAGAAAACCAAGAGCGCCACGTTGAATTGGACATTTTCCAATTTCAAGTCCTTGGAAAGACCAGCAATGCTGGCATTGCCAATGTTCGCTCGATCTAGGGATCCGAAGAACCTGCACAAGGTATTAGGTTATCTCGGACACTGTTTAGCCTTTGACAAGTTGGTCAGAGCATACCACATGAAGAATAACCATGGAATAATGTGGAGGTCCAGTTTCCGGCTAATACGCTTCTCTGTTGTTATATCTATTGGGTGCTGCACGTCACTCGAGGTAATTGCCTCAACTTCCTGTGGGAGGCATGACTTCGATTGAGTGGGGTACAATGTGTGCATTTCGGTCGTTGCCATCGTTGCCTCTGTATGCAAAGCTGCTCTGGAATGGACCAAAGATGGTGTTCTGGCTAGGATTCAGTCGAGATACTACAGAAGCCCGAAGACTGCGTCCCTTGGTCTTATTCCTGGAGCTTGATGTGCCATGGCCATGGAAGCTTGGGCGCTCCGTGACTGGTAAAGCGCGGTCATCTCATAAGGGGGCGGTACGCGTGGGACGAACAAGGCTATGTCGGGACGTGCGGACCGCACGAGATTCGATGAGTTGTGCTTCAAGTCCCGCTTCTCCGGGACACAACTTCCCTTGTTCCTCAAAAGGGGACCTAGGAAACTCTCTCCGCCGCCGGGGTCTCCTTTCGAACCTTTTATGTCTCGGTACTCAGATCACCCTTTTATCGAAATGCCAGCCAAAGTAGCTCTCGTCACAGGCTCGTCGGCCGGGCTTGGCGCTGCTATTGCCAAAGCGCTGTCTCGCGACTATCGGATAGTCGTCAACTACCACTCCGACCTGTCAAAAGCACAGAAGGTCGTTGAGGAATGTACACGAGCACTCGAAGAAGATGGCACTAGCATGACCCCACGATCCCATATCGTAAAGGCAGATATCTCCGTCAGGTCCGATATTATCAAGCTGGTCGAGGAGGTCATGACAGTCATGGGCAGATTGGATGTGGTGGTCAGCAATGTGGGATGGACACGCATCGTCAAGTTTTCTGACCTTGAGCAAAACATGAACGATGAAGACTGGGACAGATGTTTTTCCCTCAACGTGAAGTCACACCTGTGGTTATTTCACGCCGCTCGACCTTACGTGCAAGCAAACTCAGATGGAGGGAGCTTTCTTGTGGTGGCTAGCCTGGCTGGAGTCGTTCCAGCTGGCAGCTCCATACCTTATTCGGTCTCCAAAGCAGCTGCTATACATCTATCGAAATGCCTTGCATCGGTCTGTGGACCCAAGGTTCGGTGTAATAGCTTGAGCCCAGGATTGATGATGACCGACTGGGGACAGCAGTTCCCGGAACAGGTGGTAGAGTCTATGAGAGACAAAACCATCCTGAAAAGAGTCGTTGATCTTGACGATGTGGCCAACCTCGCCAAAACCGTTGTGCTCAACGGGAGCTTGACAGGACAAAACTTTACCATAGACTGTGGGATTGCGCTATAGTTATAGCCAGGTTTGGCGGACTCAGCCAGAAATCCGAATGTTTTAACAGGGCTATGAGGCTAAAGAAGGCTGATTGTCCAACAGATCCAGCTCCTGAGCCCCAGTGTGATTTCTCGCGAGTAGCTGTTCGGGTCCTGAAAAGGGCACTGTCCATTGGATGATTCATGATTTATAGCGCTCACAGGGACTCGCTGTCCGTTATACCTGATTTCCCATGGTTCCGTCAAATCTTGGGGCATTTCCAGCCCAATAGACGTTGGCATCCCGAGGACGGCAACAAGAGATACAGTTGACTGTCGCCTTACCAATCGAATAACGTGACAGAGAATGAGCACAAATCTCTTTCAACATCTTCAAGAACCTTCCTCATGCTCCCTTATTGACCCATCAACAGATCCGACGACATCCAATCTAGATCCTCGAAGGTGAATTGAAAATCATCCAAGATTGGTTCCGGAGACATGCGCTCGGCAGGGATTGGAATATCAGGTTTGGCGTTCATAGGACCTTCCCAAATGCCTCCCCAGTTGAGGCAGTCTATTTCACTTTGCTTTTTTTGCCTCAAAGCTCCAATCAATGTATTCAAAGTTGCTACAGCTTCTGCGCTGTCCTCCCCTGGGTAGTAGCCGCGGACCAAGTTGATCGTCGATATTACAGAATTTAGATCAGCAAGACTATCAGTGGAGTCCATGGAGATCAAGGTACAGCAGAACTGGAACAGTGTGCTGAGGATATTCCACCATGGTTTCCTCTCTTGTACAAGCTGCCTAGCGGCGTGGACAGCTTCTCTACCCACGGCAACCACTTGCTGTACTTCCTGCTTCGTAATATGCTGGTTGGCGCTCACCCTAATTCGTCTGTACAGGATGAAACAGACATCTGCCGTGATGAGCTTCAGGAACGGTTGGTCAATGCGTATGGATGTTATCTTCCCTAATGATTCTGAGAAGTGCATATGCTCGTCATCCGAGTTCTCGGGATTCGTCACCAGTGGCAAAAGATGAGCAACTCGACAGAATGTGGCAATGGTACTCGTGTCGGATGCCGAGAAAGGGAATACCCTGGTGACACCCTGCAGGACAACAGGCGTTCGACCTAGTTCATGAGATGAGAGGCGATTACCTGCTGAGATCAGCCAGAATAGGAGTGACCGAGTGTCGTCGTTCCAGCCACTCATCGAGTATTGGTCTCTGTCTGCGCCGGGACTGTACTGCTTATGGAGGCCAAAGGATTCAGCCATATGCATCGTCGTGCAGATAACCAGCCACGTAGCTTGAGGTGTCGCTGTTGCACGAAGGTATAGATATCGCAACACTAGTGCTACCAAAACCTCGATGGTCGCTTCCCCGAGGACGGCCGGATCATTCAATATCTTTTCTGCGTGCTCGACAATAAAGGTCTCTTGTCTCGAGCTCAATGTGTGCCCAAGGACGGCAGTCAGGCCTATAAGGCCCGAGACCACAGCTTCGAAAGTCAAACCTTGGTTGTGTCCCTGCCAGTGACTTTCGCAACGAGCAAGCAGAACGTCGAGATTCAGACAGGCAGAGGCAGGAAAGTCCAGCAGGAAAAAGGAACGGATTTGGTGCTGTGCTGCGTCTAGGGTAATCAAGGAACGGATCGCTCCTTTCACCCCCGGTGATGGCTTTGGTCTTTCATTCAAATTCCATGCAAAGGGTTGTAGTTTTGGAAGAAGTTGAGTTTGCATTTGCAAGGCCAGGAACCTTGGAAACGCTTCAGCGGAATATCGTCCCAGGTACCGAGACGAAGACACCACAAGAAGGCCATTGTTACTCTCATGAACCCGTTCTGTCATGGCGGTAGAACTAGAGGCGGCGTTCATGGGGGTCCAGGTCCCCTCGACATCTCCACTCGACCTCTCAGCTCCAGTGCTGCCGTAGCGACCGGACTGGAAACGGGACTGGGGACGATGGGGACGCGTGTAGGTCTGACTGGTTCCTGGTCGGTAACCACATTCGTAGCCGTATCCTACACACACGTCGCAGGGAAAGTCTCCGTTGCACTTTCGCTTCCGCCTTGAGCAGGGCAAACACGCTTTTCTTGTGCGTACCCGCCTGCTGCCGTGGTTCGTGGGTTCCATTCTGCAGCTCAATGTCCTCCTTATTGGCAGATCCTTATCTCTGGCGCAGGGCGATGTTCAGTAATATCGACTCTTCGAACGTTTGACAACAGCGTGAGAGAAGGAAGGACGTGGCTGGCTGCGGGGTTGGATCCCAAATTTGTTCAGTGGTCCTCGCGGCCCATGCGGTTTCTGCGGCTGCCGCGGCTCCTGCGGCATCCTGCGGCATGTATTGAAGTGTGCTTATCCATCCTAGAATGCCATCTCAGCTATTTCCAGAGTCCGCTTTGAGATTCTATCATTGCTGTCACTCGGGAACTTGCACATCGAATCCGTTTAGAATCGTGGCTATATACCGGTACCATCCGATGTATTGCACCAACACCATTGCGCCATTCTTCCCGAGCACTCCGACAGCCCGTTGCCAAACATCTTCACGTAAGGGACCTGGACGCTCCAGCAACTCGGTCGCAACATCGAAAGCGATCATTTCGTCGTCACCAAGATCTGCTGGACAGACACCGGATTCGATTTCGTCGAGCTGTGCCTTCGAAAACCCCAAAGTCAGTGCCACCCGAGCATGAGCGGCGTGTTCGTAGGCAGCTTTTGTGTGTGCGCCCACAACATTGATTGCCACTTCGCGGGCTCGGGCTGAGAGGCCAGAAACAGCTAGCAAGGTCTTCCCGATGCCAACAAAATGCTGTGCTATCCCAGGTAGGTGTAATTGAACGCCGAAAGGGCCGAGAAGGCAACCATCTTCACGTTTTATCGTCGGGCTAGAAACGCCGTCAGAAATTGATCTGTGCGATCATGTAGCTAGGGTAGAGTCGTGCAAAAGACCTAGGTCGTGCAAAATGTTGGGACAAGGAACTTACGACTCTCCGTATCGGTGGGTGGTGTACCCTTCCATGATATCGTATGCTTCTTTTTGCTCGGCGCTCAGTGACGCCGGGTCAACGAGCCCTAGACGACTGCTCATTTCGTCAGGTATAACTAAGCAGGCGCCAATGAATGGATCAGGTTGATGGATATCTCCAAAGATCTCAAGGTCGTACCTCAAAAGCCACGGGCAGATGCAGATGGCGGCAATGAACACTTGTTGGTGGTTATACTCCTCAGAGTGCGTAACAGACTCTGTTCGGACTGGCTTCGTTCCGCAGCTACCGTCAGTGGTCCGCAGCAACCGTCCCGACAGCCTGAAAGCCAGCCGCGAGAGATGTAACACTAGCATAGTAGCCGAGGCGTGAAGTGAGGTCGAGCCGATCTCTTTCTCCCCGTACCGTGGATGAAGGAGGACAATCCACGGAAGAACAGACCATAAACGTCAAACACTCAGCCTGAGTTTGTCACACTGTTCTGTGACTGCAAAAATTCAAGCTTTGCAAACACCGGTAGACCATATGCTGAAGATGAAAGAAGCGCAGGTCTCTGTCGCGGCGTCCTTTCCTCCCGGTTTCTTCCTCGAGAACATTGCTGGATCTACCCAGACGGGGTTTTACATCACTTGCCTCAACCGGCAGGAGCTCTACTGGCTACCCCCTTGTCTAGAGTCTGGGTACTCAGTATCTCCTCTTCTTGTCGCAACATTCGAGGAGGGCCAGCGGCCTATGGGCATCGTAAATGCTCCTCACAACCCAAATGTGCGATATCTTGTGACCAGCGAACTCTCAGGGTCGTCTGGGGCCAAATCATACCTACGCATGCTCGACAATGCTGCATCCGCGGTCCGCCTACGGCCAAGGACGATTATGGAATTTCCTCCAAGTGCCCGGGTCTTGAATGGGCTTTGTGCCTTATCAGACTCAGTACTTCTCGCCGCCGACAGTTTTGCTTCGTGTATATGGCGTATCGACCTCGACCTGTCGGCCTTGCCTCATCCTACAGCAAAGGCCGAAGTTTGGTACTCTCACTGTACAATGGCTGGGAAGTTGGACCTGTCGGACATTCAGCCCGGCACGAATGGATTGAAATACTCGGCCAAGACGAAATGTGTATACTACACAAGCACACAGCAAAAGCTTCTCTGTCGAGTGCAGGTCGGTGCGTGTACCCTCAACCCAGTAGGCGAAGCGGAAGTGCTTGGAAGGGGCTGGCAGTGGGACGACTTGATTCTAGACGACCGTGACGGTAAACCGGCGGTTGCATACGTGACAACCCACCGAGACAATGCAATAGTGAAAGTAAACCTAGAGTTGGGAGATGACAAGGTGACGAACCATGATATGGAGGCAGTTGTCCAGGGACGGGATTGCTCAGATTGTATTGGTCCGACTGCGGGAGTATGGCTAGATGGCCGTGTTGGACAATCGGCTTTGTTCCTCACCGACGGTGGAATCAAGTGTCCACCTCCAGATGGGATATTGCGATGTGCAAAAGTCATCCGAGTCGACTTTTGCGACGGATCATGACATTTCCACTCAACTGATCTTGGGTCCATTAGTATTGCCAATACAATTTATGTCTATCTCGCATATTGCCAACAACGGCCAGCCTCCCAGAGCAGTGTATGCGTTTCTCAAATTTGCTTCAAGAATCCCACCTCAATCACTCTGTCCATAGGAACGTTAAGATTGGCCATCTTGGTCCTTGTGTTGTCCCTGATCCACAGAAAAGCCCAAAGTAAGACCCTCCTGAAGTAATTTGTCTTGGGCTTGATCTTCATCTGCTCCTTGCCGATGATGTAGATGATCTTATGTGCAAAAGCGGCATCAAGCGTGGCGAGTTCGGCATTGTACGACTCTTCACCGACCTTCTCGGCTGCCGGGGTGGTTTCGTCACTCGACTTGTCCTCCTTTCCGTCAGGCATGAGGTTCGACTTCGAGTCTCCACTCAAAACGTAGAGCCGGATCTGCTCATACACGACCGCAGCAAGATCTGGCGTGATGACTTCGTCGTTATACCCATATCGAACAACAAGTCTGTAACAGTGTGGGATGGCGAGTCGCGAGATTGAATGCCGTTCGGAGGCAGGGACCGAGGGAATTTCCAATGGACGCAAATGGAAGAACACCATGACCTCCGGAACAGCCGTGAGCTTGATAGCGAACTGGCTGAAGATGATGGGTGTCGTTTCGCCGGCTTTGTCGAAGAAGATGCCGAACCCCTTGATCGTGCTCAGGCGGTCACCGTCAAAACGCTTCGACAATTGCAACTGATTGTCACGGCCGATCTGGACAAAGTGCGAGGTCGGGAAGCGGTCCTCAGCTTCGGCAAACCACTGCTGTTCCTTGCCGAAGCGCCAGAGTAGGAATATAGACGCGAGGATTATCGCTAGAGTGATGGTGAACCAAGCGCCGTCCGGGACTTTTGTTAGAGCCGAAGAAAGGAATGTGCCGTCAAGGCAGGCGATAATCAGCCATGGGAAGAAGACCAGGTACGGAGAAAAGCGCCAGACGAAAATGGCCGTCAGGGCGACCATGCAGGTGTCGAAAAAGGTGACGAACATGACGCAGACACCGTAGGCGTTACCGAGGGATGTGGTCTGACGATAGTTAGCGGGAAGATGAACAGCAAGAGAAGAGAAGTCGGGTAGAAGATGTGGCTTACGTTGTTGTAAATTGAGGCAATGAGGATCGTGCCGATCATGAGGAGCCAGTTGGCGAGAGGGATGTAGAGTTGGCCGTGGAAGATCTTGGATGTATGGATGACTTTGAGTTGTGGGAAATAGGAGAGTTTCATCACTTGGTGGAGGAGCTATTGCGAGTCAGATGTGGAAACCTGATTCCGAGGAATGAATTTCACCTGGAATGTAGCTGTAATGATGGCCTGTGATGCCACGATGGCCGCGAGAACGGCGATGATCAGTGCTGGATAGATTGTGCCCGGCGGAGCGGCATTGAAGAAGGGGTTCGAGTATGCTTCCGGATGTTCACTGATGTAAGCTGCCTGGCCGATGTATGCCAGCAGGAGACATGGAAAAGTGTAGCAAAGCCAGCTGAACTGCACGGCTCGCCTGCTGAATGCCCCCAAGTCGGCGAAGAGTGCCTCAACGCCGGTAAAAGCGAGCAAAATGCCACCTAGCTGTCTCCAACCATGTTCGCCATGGCGGATCAAAAACTTGAATGCATATCCTGGATTAAAAGCTTTGAACACCGATGCGTCATATTTGGCGAGGTTGTAGATGCCAAAGACGGCGTTGAATGCCAGCCAGATGATAACGATCGGCGCGAACGCGACAGTGATCTTGGTGATACCTAGTGGCTGGACCAGGAACAGGACGATCAGAATGGCATCTGTGATGCCAATGATCGTGCCTTTCGAGAGACTCGGGTTGACCACTTCTGCGCCCTGGACAGCGCCGAGGACGGATTGAGCGGGGGTGAGGACGCCATCAGCGATGACCATAGCCACGGCCAGGACGCCCATGACTTTCAGTAGCCCCCGAAAAAATTTGTGCGATTCGATGCCTTGACGCATGACACGGCCCGCAGCTTCGAGGTCACCAGATGCGTGGCGGCGCATGCGGACAAGGGAGGCTTCACGCGGGTCGCGGTTCGTTATGTTCAACTTGTCCAATTGTCAGTATTTCCACCATGGAAGTCACAAACCCGCGTCCCGGTCTGCCATAACACTGTAAGGAGCAAGTGGGATGGCAGAGGGGTTCCAGACGCCTGCTCTTACGTACATAGCGACTCAAAAGTGAGTAAGTACTGAAAGTTCCTCCTTCGCCGTCGTTGTCGGCGCGCAAAATGATAAACACATATTTCACTGTAACCATCATGGTGAGAGACCAGATAATAATAGACAGGACACCAATCAGATCATTGTATGATGGTGCAGAGGAGAATGTAGAAGAGTAAACGTAGAGAGGGCTGGTGCCGATATCGCCGTAGATGACACCAATTGACTGGTATGCTAGCCACAGCAGCATTTTTCCTTTGAACACCTAGGAAGCGACCAAGTTAGAAACGTTCATAAAGCGCGGTTAAGCGGTTGTCATTTCGTACCTGCACCTGCTTGAAATCTCCTTCTTTGCGTAGTCCTGGGTCATCGTCTGGTTTGTAATCGCCAGAAGGAGCGCGAGATGGCTGGCGAGAGCGAGAGCGGATATTGTAGATGCCATCGTCGCCAATGCTGCCCCGTCTGGCATTCCTCGATGTCTGTGTATCCGTCCTAGTGAACTCTACACCAGTTTTTGGGTGGACTTCGTCGGCGATGCGGATAGTGGTAGCCATGTTGACTTCAGCAGCAGAAGTCACACAGCTTCTGCGAGGAACTGAGAAGAAATTCCCTGCGAACCTGGCTGAGGCGGTATACTTGGCTGAGTCGTGGTCGACAGGGGGAATTTATGTCGTGGGAGCACCAGAAAGACGAAAAAAAGCATCCCACCGAAACGTGGCGGTAAACGCAAGGGGATGAATACCATTCCGCTTTCAGGGCTAAGATATACGCACCTGCAGACCCGTGTAGAGATGTCGAATCGAACTGGCATGTGAACTCACGATAGGCAATGCATGTACACAGGCCGAAAATGGAAATTCCGTCTTGCCGGAGGACGTTCCGTCTTACCGTTGGTATGCCTGGAGCCAATCCTGGGTTGGCAGCTCGTCTACATGCACTGCCACTTCAGCGTTGGGAACGCCTTGATATGAGCGATTTAATTCGCATCCCGATTCATCACCTTGACGTACTGGGATGCTTGCCAGCCCACCCTGGTTCGCCAGTGGGCAATAGGTGCGAAGTTCTGCAGAATATGGAAATCATGGCGATATGCAGCTGGATTGCTCGGGTTGCAGAGGTCATCCTTGTCATGTCGCTCTTGTTGCATCAATGATACGTAGAATTCTAGCACAGGCATCGTCGAGATGGGCATATTCATCGGTTGCCAAAGCTGTTCTGCTGGATCGAGAAGGGCAACACATAAAAATGGTCCAGTTTTTGATTAAGAAGATTGTGTCAGCGGAGGGTTTGCCCGGAAGCCAAGCAGTTTCGGGGCAACTTTATTGCAGCGTCTGGAGAGCATTTCATTGGTCTGGGAGAAAGTACTTACACCACGAGCCTAGGTACCAGTTAGACCCAACTCCTGAACAGCACACCCACGCACACCATAGCATGGTACTAAACCATTCCTGCAGGGGCTTTCATTCCATCTCTTGCGCTTCCCCGGTTGCTGTTGATCGAGGCAGTGCCCACTCCACATCTCTCAGGAGGAAAATGCCTCATACACGATTCGCTTCTTGCACGACCCATGTCCTTAATAGGCAGTCTGCAGCGGATAATTTCCAGATATCAGTGAACAAGCAGTTTGATCATGGAATTCCAGTTCATAAATATCCACGCTAGGGCAATGGGCCTGATATAACAGGGTCCGTACTCCCGTTGCCAAGTTGGAAGCAGCACACAATACTATGGCGTCTCAACCAGTCAGTGCAAATGCTGCTGCCAACGTCACCCCCAAGAACAGAACCGTTGTCACGGTATCTGTGCTGGTTGGTATGCTATTCCTGATTGTCCTTATAGCTTGGTGCACTGGCTGGAAACGGCCACCTCAGCCTGAACCCACGATCTTGGTATATCGGCATATAATCAAAGAGCAAAGAGACACTGGAGTCTCGAAGTCATTCGTGGATTCGATACCTTTAGTAAAATACAAGACTGTGGTCAGAGTTGCGCGGTTGGACAATGCTACGGATGAAGAGGCAAACATCTCTGTCGGCGGCCAAGTCGATAAGAATGTCTCTACAAAAGGCAAGCTCAGTGTTTGGGGTTGTCCCCAAGCTTCTTACACTGACAACATGGCCAGATGATTGTCCCGTCTGTGTCGAAACATTCGCCTCTTCTGATGAAGTACGCATACTTTCTTGCGGGCACATATACCATCATCGTTGTATTGATCCTTGGTTGTTGAGGGTTTCTGGTACTTGTCCAATCTGGTATGTTACCTCCCAGGGAGAACTCGCCATGTGATGAGTACTGTTTCACTAACACTCGCATAGCAGAACAGATCTCGCAAAAGCTATTTCATCGACAAAGGCGCAGCCGACTGCTCCCAGGCCAGCTCATCTTGCACAATAGCCTATACCAAATCAAGGCGCAAAGTCCATTGCCCTTGCGCGAATTGTGGTTACCAACTTTCCATCGTCGCGCCATCTTTCCTTGACTCAAAGATCGGACGCTTCTAGGCAAATTTTCACTCTCGTTGCCCATCTTCAATATCCGCTGTTCATGTGTTCCCAAATACTTGCTAGCTCCATACTGTCTACTTTACAAAAATCCGCCGCAGGATGTGCACACAATATCAAAATTAGTCAGGGCAAGCGCATACATGATCTCGAAGCAATGACGCAGGTCTACCGTGGCCTAATTCTAAGAGAATAGTATCGAGCACGTCGTGAGCAGCGGATCTCAACATCTCAGTGAGCAAAATGCTCCATGGAAGCTTCCCTACGTGAAGAAGATGATCTTTCATATGACGCTGCCAGACGATTCACATCTTCAAAAGCCTGTTTCTTCACAAGACGTAATCAGATTCATTTCAAGCATCTTGTATACGATCTTGTATACCATCAGAAAGGTAGGCATTAGATCTAAGCCACGATAGAAGGGGTCCGGGAGGACGGAACAAGTATTTTGCACGTTTCTCGTATCTCATTGGCTAATGCTTCTGTTCGGCAGCACCCTCCTTACCCGGGAACGTTAGGCCGCAAGGATGATCCGCAGATCAAGGGGGGCTTTGCAGTCCAGTAAGAAAGTGGCAGGTCCGCTGAAGGACTCGAGATACAAATGCGCAGGAAGAAAGGGTTGAAGCATAGGTGGAGGCGCGAAAACTGTTCCATTTGAAAACCATTTGTACACCATTTGTACTGTTCAGCTGGTCACTACCACCAGGACCTCTGTCAACGCAGAATTGCCATCTCGACCACCACCTTCTGCGTATCTCTTGCATGTTGGGCCGCTACTCGCCCCTCCTCCTAGCAGCCTCCTTGCCAATCCACTCTGCCGCCTCATCCTTCACATTGTCGTCCCACCTGCTCAAGGCGCTCCTCCCCTCCGTGACATCGCCCGCACCCCACGTCATCCTGGCTTGATCCAACGCCTCATCAACGTCCGTGTCGGGACAAATGATATAAAACTGGCCGTCGGCCATCTTCTTGACGCCGTAGTCGCACACCTGGCTGGCCAACCACGCGCCGCGGGGCTTCTTGCTCAGCGCCTCCTCGTCCGGCACCGGGCCTTGGTTTCCACTTAGTCCGGTGAACGTCCATCCCGGCACGAGCAAGTGGACAGAAACTTGTGGGGAGTACACGGGCGATGACTTGGTCCGGAGATCATAGGCGAGTTGTTCAGCCACCGTCTTCACAGCGGATTTGGTGGCATTGTACGCCGGGTTGCCGGGCGGGTTGGTGATGCCCTGCTTTGAGCCTGTGAGGATGACGGCGGAAGGACCGGTGGACTTCTGAACCATGGGCAGGAAAGTCGCCAGGCCGTGCACCATGCCGAAGAAGTTGACGCTGAAGGTCTTGTGGAAGTATTCTGCATCGGTCCAGGGGTTGGATGTCTTGATGGACATTCCCGCGTTGAGCATGAGGAGGTCGATCGTGGAGAATTTGGACGATAGGTCGCTGTGGACTTTGCTCCAGGCGGAGAGGTCGGAAACATCCATCTCATAAGTCAAGGTTTGCGGTTTCTCGGTGCCAGAGGATGTGGATGACTGGAGGGCTTGGGAGGCTTTTTGGAGGGATGCGCTGTTGTTGTCAATCAAAGCGAGGTGCATACCCTGGCGACGGCAGTGCTGCGCAAATGCGAAGCCTACTCCGGAGGCGGAGCCGGTGATCAGGGCGAGGGCCCCAGGACGAAAGACGGATGCCATAGGGAGTTCTGTAGCTGTTTTATGGGGGACGAGGTCGGGATCCTCGGGTGGTCAAGGACGAGTAGGATAGTTTCAAGTCGTGATGAAATGTTGTGAGCCAGGTCAACACAGGGTACTAGCTATCTGAGTAGCTTTGACGGAACAGAATCTGGGATACCGGGCAGCAACGAAGAGAAGAAGAGAGTAAGAAAATGTTTTTGTGAATTGTATCGGCACCTCGTCGACTCTTGTCCAATGACGTCGAGATACGCGGATTTAATGGAGATAAAGAATTTGCCTGATGACAGCTGCTTCTCTGGCACATCCAGGGCATATAGGGGCATAAAGGTCATGCTAGTAATTCTCATTCTTCATCTGTAAAGATGCATCTCGTTTTCAATGGCAAGAATATCGAGACTCTCCGGTTGTAGGCAATATCCATGCATATATGGATGTTCAAGCAGCACTGGAAGCTTCGGCACCAGTACCGTCAGCGGCACCATTCACCTCCAGTTTCTCGATCTCCTTTCTCGCCTTCTCGATGTTCTTTTCCGTCTGGCTTTTCTGGTCTTTCTTCCAGCCCTCTGCCTTTGCCTTCAATTTCTCTACAACCCCAGGAACGTCGGCTTGAGTGCTTGGGGGATCGACGCCCACCTTGGCCAATTGCTCGATGATACCAATGTTCATGTTGAGTTTGCCAGATTCAGCAGTCGCGGCACCACCTTTCTTGGCCCCCTTGCCCTTCTTCTTGCCTCCGCTACCGACGAAGAAGTCCTCGTCTTCCTTCTTCATCACCTTCATACCCTTGAAGCCAGACTCATCAACAGTACGTTGGGCGGTAGCGGCGTACTGACTAGATTCCTTTTCGCCACCTTCGTTGTTGTAGGATGGATCAAAGTGACGGATAAGAGCTTCTGCAGTACGGATCTCATCCATGAACGCCGGTTCACTCGCCTCCTCGAGTTTCTGCTCGGCAATACGGCGGCGCTTTTCCTTCTCGTACGCATCTCGTTCAGCCTTCTGGCGTTCACGTCTCTGCTGGTAGAGCTGATCTTCGTACTCCTTGTAAGCCTTGCGCTGAGTGTGATAGTCGTCCTTGACCTTTCTGATGGCAGCATAGGTGGCCTGTTGTTCCTGGTACAGTTTCTCCCGTTCCGCCTTCAAAGCATCAAAGTTCTTGTTAGTGCCCTCACGAGCAGCCTTGATCTCGTCGAGTTCCTTCTGGTTGTTCTCGTACTTCTGCGACAGATCCCGAGTCTCCTGGTTATCGAAGGATTTTCTGAGTTCGGCGTTCTCAACCTTCCTCTCGTCGATCTTCTGCTGCAACTCGTCCAAACCAGCAAACGTCTTCTTTTGTCGCTTCAAGGCAGAGATCTCGGCCAGAGCCTTTTTCTCGTCCACCAGTTTCATGGTGCCAGAGTCGACCTGCTTCGTGATGCTGTCGATCTTGGCGTCGATCTCGTCGGCGCTCTTGAAGCCAGCCCGTGTGCGGACGTCTTTTTGTTCGGCAATCCATTTCTTGATCTCGGATTCATTCTTGTTGAACTTCTCTTGTAAGCCTGCCTTGCCCGCCTTGTGTTCCTGCTGCTTTTGACGGATGGACTTTTGTTCCTCAACAAGTTCCTTGAATCGATCATTGGCAGGGGAGGACTTTCCAGGACGAGCGCTGTCGATCTTGGCACGGCTGGCGTTCTAAAAGGAGTCAGTATCTTCTTCAACAAGTTGGACTCACAACTTCATACGAATCTAGCCTGCGCAGCTTCGTGGTCCTTCTCAGCCTTGGCTAGCTCGGCCTTGTACTTGGCTTCATCTGGCTTCTCAGGTCGGACCTTCTGAGCGCCAGTATCGGCAGGTGCCGGGGAGGTTTCAGCGTCGGCCATGGCTGGGGCTGACGGTTGGAATCCAGAGTCGAGTTACCGGTGGACGAATCGATGTAGTGGTAAATGGTATAGGGAATAGCTACTCCATGCTAGAATCGCATTAGGCGAAGGAATGTGTCGATATCAAAATAAGAGGAGTGATAGGAAAGTGACAGCCCGAGTCTCAGTGAAGAGTCGAGTGTCTAGATCGGTGAGGACCTCGAGATCTTCGGTGTTCACTCTCATTTCGGTGTGGAGAAAACGAAATTCGAAAAGTTGTGCCAAGGATCAGGCGAGCTGGGAGATCCGGTCGCGATGATCCCAATTGGGGAGGAAGGTCTTGCCGCCCTATTCCCTATCCTTACTCCTGAATAACGGCGGCTGACCTAGTTTATCTCTTGTCTTGAACACCATGATGGCCATATTCGTTGCGTCGGAAGAAATTAAACTGTATCAGTTCTAATAGCTCTATCTGCCTAGTACCTAGGTATGTGGTGTTCTTCAAGCCGAGCTGATGGCATTTTTCTCGTTCCCCAGGTACTCCATGCTGAATGGATAGTCCAGATAGCCCACGGGTGACTGACTGATGTAGAAAGTCTTACGATTGTACGCACTGAGCTCCACCCCCTTCTTGATCCTATACACCAGATCTGGGTTTGCAATGAAGTATCTCCCAAACATGACCACGATATCCTTGTCCGGATGCTCTTCATCGACTAGCTTCTGTGCCTCCACAGGCTTGAAACCCCCGGCAACAAGGATGGGTCTCTTCCAGAGCTCGTATGCAAAGTCTAGACGGTCGTTGCTATCGGAATCTTCGGCACCGGAAATCCGTGATTCGACCAAATGGAGGTACGCGAGATTCAGTTGGCTGGCATTGCTGATGATGTCCGTAAATTGCGGGATGGGATCCTCCATTCTCATGCCCTGGAATGTACTCCAAGGGCTTAGACGGAGCCCAACACGCTCTGGGCCGACTGCATCGACCATAGCCTTCATGACATCGTTGGCAAAGCGGGACCTGTTCTCCACGCTACCACCATACTCATCGTCGCGCCTGTTACTGACATCTTGAATGAATTGATCGATGAGGTAACCGTTCGCGCCGTGGCACTCGACACCGTCGAACCCTGCGCTAATTGCATTCTCTGAGGCGGTGGCAAAGTCTCGGATCATTTGCTTGATTTCTTCGATGGTCATGGCTTTTGGCATCGGGGAGTTTTCGTCGATTGGAAGGGCGCTAGGTGCTGCAATGCTGATTCCCTCTGCCTTAGCTACCTCAACATCAGCAGCACGGCCCATTGCAAAGAGCTGACAGAATATGAAGGAACCTTTGCTGTGAACCTCGTTGGTGATCGCTTTCCATGCAGCGACTTGGTCTTTACTCCAAATCCCTGGCGCGTTAGGGAAGGCTCCACAGGCTGATGGAGATACTAAGGTGCCCTCTGTGATGATCAAGGTGCCGGGGACAGAGGCCCGCTGCCCGTAATAGTCCTTCATCAAAGTCGTTGGCACACGGTCGTCACCTGCTCGGAGGCGTGTGAGTGACGGCATCCCAATGCGATGCTTCAACTCCACGTTGCCTATTTTCAAAGGGTTGAAAAGACGTGATTCAACCATACTCATGGGATCTCGGGTGTTCGTCAGGATACTAGTAACGTTATATACTATCTCAACCTCTTGTGTTAGGGCACTCTCCTGAGTATCAAGGAGAGAAACATCTCAACAGCAAGGACTGTGGTGCTTTTATACTACTTGGCCCCGCCACTCAAAAAACACAGCTTGGTCCAAGTAATATTTCTGGAAGCAAGGATCTAGTTCCGATGGTCCTCAGACGATATATGCTCAGTTGTTACCAACCAAGGAGAAGAGGTAATTCCAATCAAGGAGTGAAGATACTCCCAGTCATGGAAAGGAGATGATTCCCAATGAGGAAAATGGGTACTTCCATTTAGGGAACAATGTACTCCGCAAAGGTCCTACGCCACTGGCTGATCTAGCATCGGGCTCGGTCGTGCATCCCCGTACACGAGAACGTCAGTATTCAGAATGCCGTTACATTATAATCACGGCTACGACCATAACGGAGTGAAAGAGGTCATGAACCATTTTAAACTGACACTTCTTCCCAAAGCTCCCTGGCATGAGGCGTGAATGCGCTATCTGACCATATAAATTGCTTCAAGATTCCCAGCAGTTCCGGCCATGAGCTGGACAAGCCCTCACGCCTGGAAGTCATATTCCAGCGCAGGAGGACGACATATTCAGAGCGTATATTACCCCTTGGGGCAAATGCGCCGCCGACGAAAAGAAGCCAGAGTAGCAAATCAAGTTGATCATCCCACAAAGGATCGCCGTTCACTTGTTGCAGTTTGCGGAGTAGCTGTACGGAAACATTGGACTACGATTTGCAGAGTCAGCATACGGTCAACTTATTAGTAGACAAGTTAACAATTGGGGCCAATCTTCCGGCATGTTTGCATCCAAATCTTCTCAAAAGGAGTGAGAAAAGTGATTGATCAAGAAAGCAATCCGTAGTATGGTCGACTTACCGGGATGACTAAAGCGCACCAAACCTTGCAGCACAGCATACTTGAGCATAGATATGCCGCAAGGCAACAACAATCCAAGATCGAAGAGAGACCTACTAATCTTTCTAGCCGGGATTGGATAGATGCTTGGTGATTATTGATAGATGCCATCAGTAGTATATCCCGGCTTGTGGAACGAGAAAAGTCTCGAATGCACTGCAATGCATGTATATCTTCAAGCACTTCAATAAACTCTTCGGTTAGTAGATGAGACCGTGCCTGGAATCCTGGTGACAGCCGGAAATAGCTTGGGGAGAAGGGGTCCCTTCTCCATTGCAGCTCCGCGAAAGTCGTGTGATCAACTATGCGGCTAGAACCTGTCATGACTGAGGAATTCAAGTCTTGCCTATTTGACAATAAGTATAAGAGCAAGACATTGAACCCTTCGCCTTATGGCTTACCAAAATATGGCCCGTTTGATGCCGCCAGGGAGATGTATTCCCTCTACCCGACAGATATCAAGCAGCTTGTGTATCGCCCTCATGTGAAGTTGAACTTGGAATTGCATCCCAAGCCGAGCCTAGATCATCAAGTTATCAGTCACTCGTAGCTCTAAGTTTGACACGGTTGGAAAATGCAACAAAAAGGTCCACAGACCTCCACACCGGCTAGTAGCAAGATGGCCCCGATGGTGGATGCCGAGGTAGCCCTGTCCAGTGAACTCATTCTTTGACGAATATAGCTCATTGCCTGACTTTGGTAGCCGAGACACTCTCGATCGATGCTTCCCTCCGTCACCGCAAATGCAAATGTGAGCATGATAGCATTCAGAAGAGCAGGATCATCCAGCCCAGTTTCGAAAACTGAGCCAAAGCTGTGAAATGCAAGCTCGTCCGCAACGCTGAAGACAGGCTCCGCAGCCTGCCTAGCTCTATCTACAACAATTAATGAAAGTTCGTTCAGCCCAGCATCCAAGGGGCATGGGGATCTCACTGTCGCCAAGCAATACCTGCAATCTCGATGAACATACAGCGAGCGTCTGGAATGGATCAAGCCTGCCTCCAGACAGAGAGGACGGCGGCGCGACACGAGTTTGGGTTCGTGGCTTTTTGCCCGCGAATCTCTCAGCGTAATCTTTCGAAGATGATATACGGAAGTTCTCCTGGGACTGTCGCTGAAGTTTTCGCTTGTTCGAGAGTGCTTGCTTCACCGCGTGCGATCGAGCCTTTCGCCTCATTCGCCGGTCCTTCGCATCATCCGGACTGTGGATCGAGATGAACTGATATTTTCCATCTGAGCAGAGTCAGGAGCCAGACTACGGTAGATTTTCTGAGTATTCTTAGGCCTACTTGCAACAAGTTCGCCGTCCACTTCCGCGGATGGAAGGCTCGTTGACACCATGATACATTGGTACAGATCCACTAGTGTCCAAGTGTCTGCGCGATGGTAATGAGATCGGATTTCCACTGAAAACGCGTAGCTGTAAGCCTTTGTCGCAGTGGAAACAGCTTTTTTCTTCCGCTGATTCTCGTTCACCACGAGACTTCGCCGAGCAGGTCGTATTCCGAGTGAACAGAAAACGAGGGCCAACACATGGGCTTCGGGTCACGCTGACAAATCCACGGGCCCGGCGGTTTTATAGCGGCAAGTGCTTAGAGCGCCACGTGAGCTCTGATCGGATTTAGCCGTGGTTGAGCCGCCTCTCCGCCAAGACTGGTCACATTTTCTTTCGGAGAACAGACTGCCTGCGCTTGTGCATCGCGACTGAACCCTCATCTATTGTCACTTTGTCGTCGGTTCCGGATATTGGTATTTCTTATTTGCAGGGCATACTGAAAAATGGATTACGAGGATCGCCCAAAGCTGTCGGTCGACGCGGAGAAAGAAATCACCAGATTATGGCGGACCTGGAGGACGGTTCTCGAGATGCTCGTTGACAGAGTATGCGCCTAGGACGCAATAAGGAGCAGTAAGCATACTGACAGCTTGCCAGGGATATGCGATCTCTGCGGATGAACTCACAATCTCCCGAGACAAGTTTCAGCACGACTATTGCGATAAACAGACTGGTATCGCAGAGTGAGTCCAGAAAGCGACAATTGAGCACGACTATGCTAATTCTGCTTACCACAGTCGGAGAATGATGAGATTGCAAGCTGTGCCCACTCCAGAAATGATCAAACGCGATACACCTCGACCAACCAAGCAGAATCCGGAACCTTTAACCACCGCAGGTACGATCTGGGTAGAATTCAGTCCTGAGACCACAATCGGCATCAAACATTTGCGAGCATTTGCTCAGCATCTCGACCAGCACAAATTCACTACCGGAATCTTCATCACCATCGGACCGGTGACGGCCGCCGCCCTTCGTGCATTTGAACCACTCTCCGAACGAGGAATCACCGCGGAATGGTTTCAAGAGCAGGATCTGCTTGTAAACATTACTAGACATGAGTTGGTACCAAAGCACGTCTTGCTTAGTGCGGAAGAGAAAAAGGTCCTGCTTGATCGATATCGACTGAAGGAGACGCAATTACCTCGCATCCAATACAGCGACCCTGTAGCGAGATATTTGGGCCTCAAGAGAGGAAATGTGGTCAAGATCATCCGAAAGAGTGAAACTGCTGGTCGGTATGCCAGCTACCGATGGGTGTTTTGATGTCGGAAATTGCTTTACAGCGTGGAGTTGGGGGTCTCAAAATACTGGCATTGCTTGGAGCTCAGGATGGGATGGAAGCATATTGACTCCTGGCAGATGGACTGTCGGCCTTACTGGCTCAGGCAATACTACATTGGGGGTGGGATCAGGGAAATGATAGCCAACGCTCGAAATAAAGACTTCTGGCTCAATAGATCGTGCTGATATCTCTCGCGCCTTCTTCTGAGAACGAGTGCAATCTCTTCCTGTCTGTCCATGTGCTGAATAAGTTACATTGAGAGAATCGACCTGATCTTTGTCGTCTGCCTCCACAGCGAAAAGTTTGGGCCCATTCTCGCCATGGACAACAGATGCATTCTTTGAGAGGGTTAGGCAACTTTGCCGAAGGGACGTCCAACGGGACCCCCATTCCTCGACCAATTCAATCAACATCAAAAGCCTAACATTGGGATGGAAAACGATGCGAAACAGCCCGGCTCAAGTCAAGCACCGTCCCAGCGCCCGGCCTTCATATTAACCACTAACCCCACACGAGCGGATGCAGAGATTGTGACAAAACCACTCTCGTAGGAGCAGTCTCGCACTTTTGGCCAAAGTTACTCAAAACCCTGCCAAAGCGCCCTTCCGGCGCGCCGTCCATATACCCTATGACAATAGTGGGGTCGTCTTCTCGAGGCCTCGGGGCTGTCGGATCTCAATGTATGGGATGGTGAAGCGGGTTCGCCCAGCTAAATCTCGTCCAGATTTATAATTGAGTCCTACCTTTCCATAGAGTTTCCTTTCTCGGCAGAAGCACGACTTTTGTTGAAGTCGAAAATTCACAGTGTCGCTCGCGGCACAATAACAGCACAGCGATGCCGTCAGCTATCAAGGCCTTGAAGATATTCGTGACTGGAGCCACTGGTATGGAAGCAAGCTCCCTCCATACCAACACAGATAGAACGACCTGACATCACAACAGGCTATATCGGTGGCGACGCGCTCAAAGCAATTGCGAATACCTATTCCGAACAAGTTGCGAACATCACTGTCCTCGTTCGCGACGTCAAGCGAGGAGCTTCCTTGACCGCTGCATACCCGAAGGTCAATGTCGTTTATGGCACCTTAGATGATACGCATCTGATCCAAAGCGAATCGACCAAAGCCGACATCATCATCAATCTGGCCAATGCTGACCATGTCCCCGCCGCTAACGCCATCGTCGCTGGGTTGAAACAACGAGCTGCTGAGGGCAGTCAGTCCTTCTTGATTCACGTCAGCGGCACTGGGATCCTCATGTTTCAAGACGTTGAAACCAATACATTCGGAGAGGCTTCGGACAAGATTTTTGACGACTGGGACAATATCAACGAGGTCACTTCACTTCCTGACTCTGCATTTCACCGTGATGTTGACAAGATTGTCTTGGCCGCGGGGGAAGATGAACTTATCAAGACTGCTATCGTATGCCCACCAACAATCTATGGCATTGGACGGGGAACTGGCAACCAACGTAGCGCACAAATCCCTATGCTTGCTGAGGCAATACTGAAGACCGGTAAAGGATTCCAAGTAGGCGAAGGAAAGGCCGAGTGGACCAATGTGCATGTATATGATCTCAGTGACCTCTTCGTCAAGCTGCTCGGCCAAGCGTTGGTAGGCGGAGGTAAAGCGTCTTGGGGCCCTGAAGGGTATTACTTTGCACAAAATGGCGAGCACGTAAGTCCTCCTAACCTTCCGATACAGGCTCGTCGATTGCGGAGAAGAAGCTGACATGACTATAGGTCTGGGGGGAAATATGCCAGAGGATCACGAGCATTGCATTTTCCAAGGGCTTAATCAAAAGTGCTGAAGTTAAGAAGTTCTCTCCTGAGGAGACGGAGCAGGTGCAACCTTTCGGGTCCAGAATTTGGGGTCAGAATAGCAGATGCAAGGCAATTCGGGCGAGAAGTCTCCTCGGTTGGGCACCATGTTGCATAAGTCTGGAAGATGAGCTCCCTACCGCTGTCGAGTACGAAGCCCAGAGGCTCGCTGCTTGAAGAGCAAGCCTACTGGCACGATTGGCCGCAGATATCAAAGTATTCCCCTCGAGGAGGGCAGCCTAAACACACGCACGTCTCTTTCACGAACGTCCTTGACGAACCCAGGGTCGCCCATCAGCTGTCATGTCCAAATGCTCCCTTGGGGTGCCTGGTCAGACCACTGCTCAGGCCCATCGCTAACGAAATTAAACAGTACTCGTCACTACCTGTAACTCTTTCTCCCTAATCGTCTGGATTGCCAGTCAAGCTGATACGGTCATCCAGAAGAAAAGATTGCGTCAAATTAAACTTGCCACCACTATCGCTTCTAGACTATCGGCGACCAGTATCTTGCTCACAACGCTTCAAGTCACAGTGAGAACGTCCGTAAGTGGCGAGTTATGGTATCCCGATCTGAGCTTGCTTGTTATCAAGGGTCTTGCTCCAACCCATGGATAGTAATTCCACCAACCCACAATCCATCCAGTCAGCCAGTATCTCCGCCGACGTCTATCATATTGCAACTCTTGTACAACACAAGGTGTAAGTCACAGATAAGGAGCGGTGAGGCTGATTACAGACAGGGCGGCCGGCAGTGGCTTGAGTCTAGAAAGGCGATACACTGATGTTCCATGAGTGGGGGTTCGGTAGATATGAGACTTATCTCTTACGCCTTTGAGCTGGTGAGCCACGGCTCAGCAATAACATTTATACCATCACGCAGTCGACATGTCGAGATCTCTGGTTTGCATCTCACACCTCGCTCTGGAACATCGCCCTTGCTGACCTCGAGTATCTTGCAGAAATCCATGACCATGTCGAGCACCGAGTTGAAAGGCGACCTAATTACCGTCGGGGCGCCGACTGACTCCGACATCCAAGAGACCTCACTTGGCAAAATCTATACAGACGAAGTTTTCAAGAAAACTGACGACGGTGTCGACTTTCGAACCGTCGGATGGAAACGCACCTCTGTCATTTTCATGAAGCTCCAATTTGCCCTTGGTGTTCTTAACATACCAAGTGCTATATACGTTCTTGGTGCCGTTGGTGGCGCTTTCAACGTTGTTGGCTGGGGACTTCTCAACACCTGTAAGACTCCTTCTTATGACATAGGTATCCGGTTCACTCATACTTTGTCCAGATGGGGGCTATGTCCTTGGTAACTTCCGCAAACGTCACCCTGAATGTCACGGCATTTCCGACATGGCCTTTGTGTGTGGCGGGCCCATTGCAAGAGAGGCGGTTGAAGTGCTCTTCGTTTTCACCTACGTCCTCTGTGCAGGTGCCAGTATTCTTGGAGTTACTATCGCGATTAATGCACTCTCGGAGCACGCCGCATGCACAGTATGGTGGTCCCTTCTTTCGACCGTGGTTGTGATAGCAGCAGCCAGCTTGCGGAAGTTCGAAAAGATCGGCTGGCTTAGCTGGGCTGGCTTCATTTCCATCTTTACCGCCGTGTTTATCGTTGTGTAAGTGCCGAAGCCTTCCATGTCACAAGCAATATCAGTCTGACTATACGTAGCATAGGCGTTACCACGATCGACCGACCTGCCGCTGCTCCCCAGACCGGGCCGTACGATTTGGGCTATCATGCTATTGCTTACCCCGACTTTGTCAACGGCATCGTCGCTGTCGTGATTATCTTTGTCTCCTCTTCTGCTACATCGGCAATGGTCCCCGTCATCTCGGAGATGAAGAACCCGGCCGACTACAACAAAGCCTTGTTTACGAGCCAAGGCTTGATCAACAGCTCTTACTTGACCTTTGGACTAATCGTCTACGCTTACTGTGGTAAATGGGTGGCATCCCCTTCTCTCGGTGTAAGTGATGGTATCCTTGCGTGATGGATTACGAAGCCCCTGACAGTATTACAGAGCGCTGGCCCTACAGTCAAGAAGGTTGCATACGGCATTGGGTTGATTGGACTTGTTGTCAGCGGACTACTATGGCTCCATGTAAGTGGCTACTCACAGCACTCGTGCTTTTTGTCGAACTCACATTGACGCTGGACTTTTTAGGTTCCGGCAAAAATCGTCTTCGTACGCATTCTACGCAACTCGAAACACCTGCAAGCAAACACCATGATCCATTGGGGCACATGGTTGTAAGTCGATGAAGAACCCGCCGCAAAGCTTTTGTTCCTGCGTCTGACATAAATCCTCCATCTAGCGGCTGCACTATTGTGCTTGGAATCATCGCCTTCATTCTAGCAGAAGCGATTCCGGTCTTCTACAGCATCGTGGCGCTTTCCGGGGCCATCTGCTTCGCGCCTATGGCTATATGCTTGCCAGCATGGTTCTGGCTTCACGATCACGCCGAGTACCGTTCCAACACCGTCCCACGCAGGGCGCTTTATTACCTCCACTGCTTCTTCCTGCTTCTCGGCACTTTTCTCACTGTGGGTGGCACATACGGCACCGTGCAGCAGATCGTTGATGAGTACGCGAACGGTGGGACTGGTACGTTAACAACCTTTTTTCAATTTACTCGACTGGATGCTAACTGCTTTGAAGGTGGGGTTTTCAGTTGCGCAGATAATTCCGGGTCAACGTGAACAGCACAGCAGCTACGCTGTCGGGGTTGCACACGCCTTGAGAGATATAGTGGCGAGACTATTTAGTATTTAGTCCTACAATCTAACCCACGAATGTCGCTTATGTAGTAACACCTGCATAAAGTACCTTTGTCGTGAGGGATTATAGCTTAAGTAGTGCACGGTCCTTCTGGTCTTACGTGGTGGTATGTCTAGTGCTGACGTGGCACAAGTAGAAACAGATCGGAACACAGGACTTTGTTGTGGTGAACATTCTCCCTTCATTTGGTTTTGAATGTCTAGAAGATACAAACGAATGTGTGTATGGTCGCTACAGGCAAATAAATATGGAGTATTGCTTTGTGCTGACCACTCTCAGGCGGCCAGGCTCGTCTGCAACATTCTGGGGCACTCTTGAGTCATTCAATCATCTTAGCATCCTTGTGACGCTGAGGTTCTGGGAGGCTGTGATGTTCTTGAATTGTTTCCGATGCAGATCAGCGAGCTTCTCAATTCATGTATCAGAAAGGGATACCGTCTGGTGCAACCCAGCTGCTGTTGGTTGATTTCTCCACAGTCGCGTAAGGTCGAGTCCTCGCCAGAGGTCGGCGTACGAGACAGGCTCATTCTCACATGCATTTCGATCGGAATTCTTGCGTCATGTCGTCCATTTTCTTGAACATCAAGAATGCTCGGTAGACCTCAACAAGCCAGATCCAAATCGTCCCATCCTGTTCTTTTGGTCAGGTCGCAAATCAATCCGTCCTGCTGCACAAACCAGTGGTTCTTGATGCGCCATTCTTCCTCTGGGTGGCTTAGCTCGATCTTGTACTCCCTGAACAGCTGCGGTAGGACTTTCTGCAATTCGATGACCGAGATATTCCTTCCAATACACTTTCTGCTCCCAGCGCCGAAGTTGTACTCAACGACACTCTCCATCACTTTTAGCCGTGATTCCGGTGTCTCTAGCCATCGCTCAGGCATAAATTTGTCGGGGTCAGGGAAGATTGAAGCATCTCGATTAGTCACCCAGGGATTGATGCCGACGATCGTACCACCAGGTATGAAATGTCCGCAGATGACAGCACCCTCTGGCGGTACGTGTCGTTCGAGAAGGAATCCGACGGATGGATGTATCCGCATTGCCTCTTTGATCGCAGCATGGAAATAGCGAAGCTCGGTGTTGGATTCTTTGTAGGTGATTATAGTGCTCAGTTTTCCAGCTTTCTCGGCGGCCGCAAGTTCCTTAAGCACTTTCTTCATGCAGCCTGGACTTCGACATAGGTAGTAAATTACTGCTCGGAGGGCTATGGCGGTAGTGTCGCTTCCTTTTTACAAGTCAATACTCATTCCTTCCACAACAAGTACTAGTACTGGAACGTCGAATAGTAATCGTACCTGCGAAAACATTGGTCGAAGTATGTACCATAACGTCTTTGGTGTCCATCTTGGTAGGGTCGGATGATTTGACATGTGCCCATTTGGAAAGCATATCTCTTCCTCCTGTGTCTGCGCTGATCAGTTCACCGTTTTTAACCAGGGCCCGTTCATTGATCGTCTTCAAGGTGAAGAGTAGTACTTGATTGTAAGTCTCCATGGCGGGCGTTAACAGCGACAACAGGGGGTTCCCTCGAAGTAGTTTATGATATTCGGGGACTTGGCCGCACAAGGCCACATAGGCGAGGGTTCCCTCGATACCTTTGATCATTCCGTCAACGTCCTTACCCTGGTCCAGAAAGCCGAGCTTTCGAGCAAAAGTAAACTCGCCCACGACGTCGAAAGCAAAGTATTGTAGCCAGGCTCCCAAATCGATAGGATGGCCTTTTTCGACAAGTCCGTCTAGACGTTGTGTGAACAGACGGATACAGGAGTCTATAGCTCCTTCCGACTGCAGTAGATTCGGTAGCGTAAAGGCAGCTCCAATCTTTCGCTTCTGAGATCTGTGCTCGTCAGGGTTTTGGGTGGAGAAGATGTTCATCACGATCTTCTTCTTCCAGGTAATGTACTGAAGAGGATAGAAATCACTCTTAGTGTAGTTCTCCTTGATATTGTAGATGATTTGAATATAGGAGTAATCCCCCACAGATATGACATTCGGTGCAATACGCACGAGGGGGCCATGCTTCCGGTGCAAGTCTATTGCTGTTTGATGTGCCTGACCATTCCAGACATTATAGACCCTCCAGAACTTGGAATATGCCGCAAGAGTAGGCCCTGGTATGCTAACAAGATGGAACTGGAACTTGTTGCGAAGCAGGTGGAAGACGATCAGCGCAGTGACAATATGCAAGGGATATGTAAGAGCGAAATTCTGAACCCGCGAGAGGTACGATGTATCATCAAGCCCTATCTCGTGGGCCATGTTGATTTCTCAGAACCTCGGAGAGGATATTGAACAGATCATGGAGACAAACACCAGGTGATGACCTGAAGTTGGCACAACAACGTCTATCGCACTATCGGCCATAGGGCGTCCTTACAAGATGGAACAGCACGAGATACAAAAGATGCCCGTCGTCAAAGAATGTGGAGCCGAACACGGCGCGGGAAGTCCCACTTTCGGTCAAGACAGGATTAGTCAACCATGTCAACGAACGCAGAGACCCCCACCCCTTGCTAGGAACCAAGTCACAAGTCTGAAGATAACGATCCGACAGGAGTTCGGAAACGACACAGCGAACAAACTGCCATGCTCCTTGGTAGTGAGCTGTGACGCTTATGACCCTTAACATTGCCTAGAACATGTAAGATCCCAAACGTGGCTTTGGATTCTCCTTACCGTGTGTTCAAGCTTCATGGTTTTTACGGGAGCCACCCAGGGAGCCTTACGTCACTACAGTGCTACTCGAAAAGATGTAACAACTTGCCATTTAGACTGAGTCTACGAGGGCGACCGTACCGAGGGGCATACGCGTGCGAGTAACAATTCGCCATTGAGCACAGTTGCAGAGGTCTGGCTTTTGTCTACCAATCAAATGATGGACAGCCTGTTCCCAGGCGTCGCTCTTGTCATTGGCGCGGCTTCCGGTGCGTGCATCAACTTACTGCGAAAGCAAAGTCAGAGGACTGACCCAAGTCATACAGGCATTGGGAGGCAGGTGGCGCTCTCCTTTGCGCAGGAGGGCTGTTTACGCATCATATTGGTGGATCGCGACTCGGCGAAGTTGGCAGGGTCAGCTCAGATGATCCGCGGACTTGACCTCACTGCTGCACCGGATCTTCTTAGCCTGACCGTTGACATATCGAACGAGGACGACATCATCAACATGATGGATTGCACAGTAAGGAAGTTTGGTAGAATAGACTATGCTGTGAATGCTGCAGGTGAGTGCGAATACTAATGCTATTCGCTTCCGGGAGAGCTCTTTTCTTTGGCGGTACGCTTTATCATGGCTGACTGTAAACTTTCCCCCTAGGAATATTGGGAAACAGTCAGAGCTCGGTCTTGACTTCGTCAGGTCAATTTGACCAGATCAATGGTGTCAATTACCGTGGTTGCTGGCTGTGTTCACGAGCTGAAATTGCACAAATGTTGAAGCAAGATCCACTTCCCACACACGACGGTCGACCAGGAAACCGAGGCAGTGTGGTTAATATCTCCAGTCAGCTGGGCGTCGTTGGAAGAGAAAAATCCTGTCAGTGCAGACCACTTCTCTTGAAATGACTGTCAATGACTCTGACACCATGCTGTGTTCCATTCTCTGCTATACTAGTTCTTTCGGGACGCACGAACTGATGATCTTACTTATAGCTGTATATTGTGCAGCTAAAGCTGCTGTAATAGGGATGACCCGAGCAGACGCTATTGACTATTCTCCATCACAAATCCGCGTCAACTGTGTATGTCCTGGGCTCGTCGACACGCCCATGCTGGAAACGTTCGAGAAACATGTTCTCCAACGAGATATTGCAGTGGCACCAATGAATCGAATGGGCACTCCTCAGGAGATTGCAGATGTTGTTCTGTTTTTGGCTAGCTCTAAGGCAAGCTTTATACAAGGAGCTACTTTTGTAGTAGATGGAGGTTATACCATCAATTAGCTAGCGAAAGGTATGGTGGCATTAATGAAGACTGTCTAACACATGAAATGGCCCAATAGACGATTTCATTAAGAGAGGAGGCAAGTAAGCATGCTTCATCATTGTGAACAACGCATTCACGGCTTCATGTCCCCAAATAATCCTGGCTCGAAATCGAGCGCCTGAACACTCTCTACGTGTTCGTCTAAGCTGTTTGCAAAGGCTAGGTGGATCGGGTCGTCGTGCAAGTAATAGTGTATGTCATCGTCGTTATCAAATTCCATGACAAAGGCATGAGTGTATCTTCCCTTCCACAGGTGTTGGTATACAATATGCCTGTTGTTCCAGAAGGTCGACTTACTATATGTGGTCCACCCACCGCTATATCTTTGCCTCCCACAGCACGTCTAATGTAGTTCTGTCCTGTCACAGGATGGATACATTTCTGCTGTAGAGCAAGCATCCGCTGACATATATCACCTATTGTGGTCCCGCTTGTCCTATTTCTGAACTCGAAAAGAACCTGTGCTAGCTGTCAACCTTCTGCTCCTAAGTACAAGCAGGACTGCTTACCAAATGGATGACAGGCATCATCAGAACTTCGATTCAACGCCCAAAGTTTGTGTGATACTTAAAGCAGACCCCGATGTTTGGGAAAAGCTACGGTGGAGGCGGACACATTACATAGTACTGGTATCTTCATTGTATCTGGGTGACTCCCGTCATATTATAGGCCAAAATGGTGGAGTATTTCCTGCTTAGTCAACGATACTTCGAGAATGACCATGCTTTTTGCAAGCTTCACTTGTGATGGCATTACGGTCTATATTGTCTGTTTCAATGCAAGACCTATCTAAAAACCCTATGTCCGCCTAGAGAAAGGTTCCGTTCGTGCAAGGCGCCCCATGGAGAAACAATGCAGAGGACCTAAACTTTGCCATACAGGTCCATTTGATTCAGCCCAAAGCATTCAATTCGACAGTAAGTGGCAGCCAGTTGTTACCAGACTGACTCTTGGGCGCATATTTGACTCGGTGATCGCCTTGTACAGACAGTAGATAGCGTCCTCTTGGCTGCGGTCTGTCTTGTTGAGCAACACTGATAAAGGCGGAGAAACCTCCGCCCGACGGTCTAGGTGTTGAACCCCCAGCGTACGTTTACTTTTGAGCGCTTGTAGTCCGATTTGAGAGACCTCATCGATTTCTAAGCAGAACGTCTATCTAGATGACACCTGAACCAAACGATCGGCTCGTTACTTTGTACACAGCATTGCCTGCGGTCGCCGTCCACCAGTGTTAGCTACCCCGAAGACAGCACTGTACAAAAGTGGAGCCATATCAAAGATAACCGATATCAGAAGATACGGTTGTGTCCCCAGGTGACGAGACGGTGTCCAAAGTGGCGGTCGTCTAACTCCTAGGAGTGGGGTTCCTCCCCTGTATCTTTCCGGCGCGCAACCCCGGCTTGTGTCTGGATACCTTGACACCCTGGAGATAACATACCCCATTCTAACACAAGATGTCGTCGAGCCCGAATATCTCGGTGACCGTATATTTCTCTCCTCTGGTGTGCATACTGATCCTGGATTCGTTCAAGCAGCTCCGGTAATTCGTCTCATTACTACGATTTCCACGATGGCATTCCTCGCTATCAGTGAGTTGGCAGCACCTTTGCCACTAATAGCCGTGGGGCTGGTAATACTTGTTATTGCTCTAGTGGTAGGTGTGCTGAGCTATAAGAACAGGGGAACAAAGCTAACTTGTCTGAAAGAGGGAGGCATACAGAACTGACATTCCCAAAGTCAAAGGCTTGCCAGAGCCAGCAGGAGCTCTTCCATTTATCGGTCATCTCCTTCCCCTGGGAGGTCGAGAGAAAAGGAATGACACTGTTATATTCTCGCGATGGCAAGAGGAGCTGAACGCCGATATCTACCAGGTCCGTCTCGGCAGTCAACGGGCTGTCATCGTCCAAGGATGGCAAGCGATCAAGGATCTATGGCTCGGAAACTCCAATGCACTCATCGATCGCCCATGGCAGCCAGGATTCATTGACAAACTTGGTGTGGACATTTCGAGCTCCCCCATGACCCCTCAGATCAAGAGATGTAGAGGAGCGGCACTCCGAGCGCTCGGCAAGCCCCTGTGGCCGGAATACTACCATCTCCTTGAACCATCGTCAGTCACCATGTTGCAACGGCTGTATCATATTGGAAACAATGGACAAGTGCCTATTGACCTGTATCTCCACTTTCAACAAGTGGTATACGATCTGATCCTTCACCTCACATACGGCGCTCGCATGGGGGATATCGACGATGCCTTCGGCAAGGAACTCTTGGAATCTGTCCAGACACTTACACCAATCCGGTCCTCTACGGCAGACTTCTCGCATTACGTCCCCTTGCTTCGACTGCTGCCCCGTGGCCCGACCAAAGTCGAGAAAACTGAACGGCGGAGACGAGGACAGCTTGACCAGCTCTACAACCAGTACCTGAAGAAAGTCGAAAAAGGCGAGGTTGTTAACTGTATTGTCTCCTCTTTGGGAAAGGACAAGCTGTCCCTTGAAGAAATCCGAGGAACATGTGTGTCGCTACTGCAAGCTGCTCCAGAGACCGTAGCTTCGGGGATGTATCAAGCTTCTGGCTGGCTGGCGTCTCCGGAAGGTCAGAAATTTCAGCCAGCGGCTTTGAAAGCCATCTTGGACCACTATGGCGGAGATCGAGATCTCGCATGGGACATGGCATTCCGAGAAGAAAAGATACCCCTGATTGTAGCCCTCTACAAAGAGACACTTCGATGCTGGGCCCCGACTCCCTTCGCTCAAGGACGCGCGACGGTCAAGGATATCGACTACAACGGTATCCATATTCCAAAGGGTATCACGATCATCATGAACGGCCAGGGTGCAAATCTAGACCCGGCGTATTATGGCCCGGACGCAGGCGTGTTCAAGCCAACCAGATTCATCGGAGACGACAGTAGCCTGCCACATCTGGCGTTCGGAGCTGGAAGTCGGCAATGTCCAGCAATGAACATTTCGAACCGGATGATGTATGGCTTGCTTGTCAGGACTATCCTGGCTTTCGAGTTGAAGGAGACGACTGGCCCTGGCGCACGGAAGCCGCATCTTGATATGCGGGACTTTTCAGACTACTACGGATTGGTCAACGTTCCACGGGGATGGGACTGCTTGTTGACAGCACGCGATCCCGAGTGGCTATTGAATAGGCCAACGGAAAGTAAGAAAGCAGTGGTATGATGTTTGGAGTTGTCCGATCAGGTCGAATCAAGATGGCATTTAGACCAAGAAATGAGTACTTGTGTTATCGATTTTTACGTTAAAAGCTCGAGTCTTTCCGGCTCCGTCTCCTTTCGGTGACGGGAGGCTCTAGTTGTTGACGAGACCAGCATCCGTCCATAGCCGTTGCTGAACAACCTATCATAAGCTTGGTGCTCATCAAGGCTCATTGTTTGAACTATGATTAGCCAATACCGTTGATCGTGAGATATGGCTGAACTCGTACCGCTCTGTGTTTCCTAGGAAGCGACGCTTGAGAACAGACCGCAATGCTCGGGTTGCCTTTGCGCTCGGGGGCTCGCCCATCTCCGTCCATCTCGACGATTTGGTTGTAGCAGCTCTACTGCCGGGCTCCAACTTGGCACCCCGGCTCCTTTGGCGGCTGGCCAATGTCCGCTGGATCTAGAATCAATGGACCAGCGCCGATATAGCCTCCTTTGCCGGTTGCTTGATTCCGCAAGCCGTGTGCCTGGTGGATCATAGGCTCCACCCCCATCTTTGGCACCTTATCTTCACAGAACGAGGAGCATATTCTCAGTCACAACCTTCCTGGTCAAAAGTTGCCTACAGGACTGGTCTGGTCCCTAAGCAGTTGTCTTTGCCAGGGTACGTTCAATATTAACGACTCTTGGTACAAGGAGAACAAACTCGATTTATGCGAATACTACTGACTTTCTGTCGGAAACCAGTGCTTTGATTGGAGACTACGAAGAAATACAAGCACCAATGGTGATGAGCAGTTCCCCTACAGCTTTGTCATCCGTCTCCGGAGCCTTGAAGAGTTTCACCTGTAAGTCCACTGGTTGTGGCAAAAGGTAAGTCGAGATAAGTGGAGCATTGAATTGCAAAATTGACCTTGGCACATAGTTTCACCAGAGCAGAACATCTACGGAGGCATGCCCTCAACCATGGTAAAGGGCAGGACACATGTCCAAGGTGTGCGGTAGTCTTTACTAGACCGGATTTACTTGCCAGACATATGGCTCGACATGCAAAGAAAGACGAAGAAGCTGGAGGCCCTGGCCTGGGCAATCTTGAGACTCGAAAAAGGTCGACAAGAGAAGCCGATGGCACAGTCGTGACAAGGCCGCGGAAACGAGCACCTAGAAACAATACCAGATCGACATCTCCGAGACCATCCCATCGTAACACCATGAATGACGATATAAGTTGCAGCACTGGGACCGACCACGGACACCCAATCTCGCCACCACCATCACTTCATGATACACCGCCGCAAGGCTTTGCAGTTGATCAGACCTCGCTAGTGGATCCGCAACTCGATGCTGCGCCAGGACATGATACATCATGGTTCCTTGGAGACGACAGCACTGTGCAGACCTATACTGGCGATCCATCCCAATGGTCGAGTCAGACATATACTGCCACCACCATTTCAGATCAAATGTCCTTCGACGACCTCTTCTATACAGATACAGGTTAGTCACAAGCTCTAGTCCGATCATTTAGAAATGGTAGCATGTGCTAATCTATCTGACAGCAAGTTCATTCAACATTATGCCGTTCAGCACCAATGTCAACTGGCTCTTGGACTTCACTACCTCCGCCGAACCTGTGGATGAAAGTATGGACAATATGATGGCTGTTGACCCAGCCGACACGCAACTACAGCAAAGCTCGACCAATGCCTTCCAAAGCTCTAAGATATCACCTACCGCTGTGGCGCCGGTGCACGAAGGTCAATCACACAGGTCTGCGACTCCCCTGCAGACCAGCTCCCTCAATGGTTGCAGTGCCGGCAATGTGGTCCATAGTGGGGATCTGGAAGACGACTCATCCTCCGAAATGGGGTTTGTCTTTCACCAAAGCGCCAATTCGGTGGGCATGACAAGTCAAGAAGACGGATTGAGCTCCTACGACTCCATTACGAGACTGACCAGAAGGTCAAGGCAGCTTCCAGTCATCGACGAGACCTCCCGAGAACGTGTCTTGGAACTTATCGCCCAAGCTCGACCGAAGACCATTGACGGCCTTGTTATTGACACCTCGTCCTGCCTACTCTCGCCTGCCGCCTTCCAGCAATACTCTGACCTTTTCTTCACCCGGTTCAACGTCTCGTACCCTCTCATTCATCAAGCCACATTTGAACCCTCCAGCACGGAGGCTTTGTTACTGACGGCCATTCTTCTGCTCGGCGCTACCTACGACGGCAAAGAGGCCCACCAGATGGCGGTGGGAGTTCATGACGTTCTGCGAGCTCGGATCATCCAGCATCCTCTGTTCAATGAGCAACCTGAACTCTGGATCCTGCAAACCATTCTGTTAGTCGATTGTTTTGGCACCTCAAGAGCAGGCCAGAAACAGCACGCCATGTCCAATATGTTCCATGGCCTGCTGATCAACCTCCTCCGCAGGGCGGACTGCCAGAATGTACGAAACTCGCCCATCGAGGCCAGCCATGACAGTAGTGATCTTGACGCGCAGTGGAGGCAAGCGATGGATTCGGAGCAGCGAAAGAGGCTTGCCCTGCTGTGCTTCGTTTGGGACACTCAACATGCGGTTCTCTTCTCACAAGCATCATGCCTCTCGGCTATTGAGTTGCGATTATCATTGCCATACGACTCTGATACCTGGGAAGCAGCTACAGCCGAAGCCTGGCGCGAGAGTTGCGAAAGAAACCCTACGAGCCTATTATTCTTGACCGTCCTGAAGGCGTATCTAAATCCCGACGTCAAAGCACGACCCCGACATCTCGATGGCTTCTCTAGAATTCTAATCCTCCACGGGCTAATGTCTGTCTCATCCGACTTGAAGCGTAGAGACCAGATTTCTCTTGGTATGCAACCCCCTGCCCACTTGATTCGTGCCTGTCGTAACTTGAGCTGACAGCAATGCCTGTCCAGGTATCGAGACCGAAGCTGAATCTCCGCAAGAGCGCGTCAGGCGAGCCTACGACCGTTGGAAAGCGGACTTTGACACTTTCTCACTGGACATGAAGCTTTCCAAAGGCTATGATGCCAAGAAGTTCATCCCCTTCAAGACCGCAACACTGGCCATGTACCGTGCTGCACATATCGCTCTGAACGTCGAGGTTCTCGACCTCCAGATCTTCGCTGGGGCTCGGCAGATCCTGGGTAAGCCGGTAACACCGCTGGACTACGAACGTAGCCGGAAGATCATCCACAACTGGTTGACCTCAGAGGCAACCAGGACCATTGTTGGACGGGCAGCGTGGCACGCATGCCGAGTTCTGCGTGACGCCATCATCGACCTCGACGAAGGCGATCTCACAGATCTGTTCCACTACCCCTGGTGTCTTTATCTAGCGACTTTGATCTGCTGGGCGTTCCATCATTGCGATGGTGGTCCCAATGTTGTCGCCAATGCCAAGCAGCCTGCATGGCAGGCCAGGAATCTAGATGCCAAAAGCGAGATGACCGCCCTGATCAGCGGGATGGGATCTTGTACGAGTATTGAGGATCTGAACAAGGCCGCCGGATCTTACAGGACACAAGGCATGATTGCGCTGATGGTCAAGCAGCTGGCCTCAGTGAGATGGGCGGCCATGCATGAAGGGACCAAAGTCCTCAAGGCATTGGGTCGGAGCTATTGTACCAACAGTAAGAGGGATTTTTGACACTACTACGGAGTATCGTCTGTCGTCTGGGCTGATCATCTGAAGCACCGATGGCGTGCGGGACAAAGTAGGGTTTTGCTTCAGAACAACCATCTAGGATTCAAAAGAATCTACACAAAAGAGGGCTACAAGAAGGCTCTGTATCGCGGACGCTGAAGTACTAGTAGGATGTGCAATCTTCGACTCTATTCGTAGCAAACACTGTCTCGACTGAGATCAAGGTCACCTGAATACATCTCGGTCGGATTGCCGTCCATGGAGACAAAAGGAGGCGGCGGGATACCCCGAGACCCGCAGGGATGAGTCATGGAGGCCTGAGAAATACGCAACCCACTTCCGACGGCGTCAAGCTCTCGTCTTCCCTTCTAGACAGACCATGGCAATGATCAAGCAAGAGTTCTTTTAACCCTCCTCAGAGGCCAGTATCAAGTCTTCTACGGTGTAGAGGCGACGCTCATCCTGGAACACGAGCCGCTGCTCCCCCATTTCCGATCAATAAACTCCCTTTGTATCCAGCTTCCCAAGATGGCAGTACCGGACCAGACCATCATTTACAAGAGGCTCGGCTCTCTCGAGATCCCTATGGATCTCTACCTGCCAAAGAATGCACACAAGGCGCCTATCTTGCTATGGTTCCATGGTGGCGGGCTGCTGTAGGGCCTCTTCCATCACCTCTGGATTTCCTTCTCCAAGAAATAATTGCAGAACTCAGCTGACCGAGCTTCTTAGGCTGGGACGACGCGATCTCCTCGCGCCGCACATGCGCAATGGTGTCCACACCCACGGCTATGCCTGCGTCTCGGCCGACTACCGTCTCTGTCCGCAGGTCAGCGTCGAGGAAGTCTTCAAAGATGTCCAAGACTGCATCAAGTTCATCCGGACGGAGCTTCCCTCACACGTTCCCGAAGGCGCCTTGGACGTGTCTCGGCTAGCAGTCTCCGGCAGCTCTGCGGGCGGCTTTCTGACCCTCCTGGCGGGCCTCTACGTGGAGCCGAAGCCTCAGGTCCTCATACCGATCTACCCGATCACAGACCCTCTGGGCGTCTTTTTCACCAATCCCCAACCTGCACCACCGGGCCGCTATGCTGCTTCGAAGGAGGAAATGGCGGAGTTCCTTGATACCACAGCCGAGCCGGTCACCAGCGCCGCCAAAGTCCCCCACCCTCGAGCCCACATGTATGTCTACATGCTACGAGCGGCGAATTTGGCCGAGCTATGGGGGATTCCGGACGCCAAAAGTGCCGCCCCGTACAGGATCTCGCGCAACATCCAGAAGCACCGTTTACCGCCGGCTTACGTGATACACGGAGACATGGATACCGCGGTAGGTGTCGAGCAGGCGGATGAAGTTGTTGGCGCCATGCTGGGCTGCGGGTTGACTGTAGAGTACGAACGTCCGCATGGAAAGGACCATTTTCTGGACAACGGAGACGACTATGAAAACTCGGCGATGTATGCTTTCATGAAGAAATACCTATGAGTACTAGGATTCGCAAGTAGGGCCGATGGAATTCACATAAACTGGCTAGTATTTTGAAGAGAGTCCCATTTTATGGTGTCGGTTTTGGGCTCTTGTCTTTACTGTCGGTCCTGTCAACATGACGTGCCTTATTCCATATCTGGCGTTATGATGTTGCTGTCGAGCTTGTCTATCAGCACATCTCTGATCGTCTGGCACGATTTCTCTCGGATGTCCACAAAGCTCCCTGGACTGTAGAACGCCGTGTGACATGTCAGCGCCATACCTGCATTACCGTCAGTCAAATTGTCTCATGAAGGAGCCACACGGAAAACACTCACGGCCCGTCAACCACTCTTCCTTGTTCCTGTACGCTTGGATCAGAGGATGAGCAGGCTCGGGTATAGGCTCTTGAGGTAGCACATCAAGACCGGCGCCAGAGATGATGCCTTCTCGCAAGCACCGTTCGACGGCGTCGAGGTCGACCACTTCGCCACGACCCGTGTTGACGAAGACGGCCCCACGGGGCAGCAAGCTCAGTAGCTCGTATCCGACCATGTTCCGCGTCTCTCGGGTACAGGGACAATGAATGCTCAGTGTCGTTGACCGTCGGAAAAGCTCTTTGATGTCCTTGGTCCGCTCGATGTCTAGCGATTTATCCGTACCGTTGGGCTTGTACGGGTCGTAAAACAGTACCTTCCAGCCAAAAGCCTTCGCCCTCAGAGCCGCGGCCGTGCCGATGCGGCCTAGACCCAAGATGCCGAACGTGGCTCCCTGGATGCGTGCAACAAGTGGAGAGTCGATATACGCCCATGGTGCGGGATTAGGTCCGCGTTGATGCTCGTGGTGCAGAAGGACTCCTCTCCGGAGTGACAATGCTAGTGCCAGCGCGTGGTCTGCGATCTCCGCCGTGCCGTAGTCTGTGAAGTATGTAAGTATGAGAAAGGGTATTCGTGGGGGGTTTGGTAAAGGGGTTTGGTTTTCTCGGTGAGAAGAGTGGGGGTGGGTTTGGCAAGAGACCGTACCTGGAACATTGCACACGGTGACTCCTCGAGCTGCAAGGGCTACTCGGTCGAGACGATCATAGCCCACGCCCATGCGGACAATACTAGACAGACAGGCTGGTGAGTTCTTGGTTCAAAAGCTTGTTCCGTGGTCGTGCGAGTGGGCTTACACTTTTAGTTTGGGGAAGAGTGCTAAGTCTTTGGCCGTGAATGGCATTTTCAACACCAGAATACCGTCGACTTGGTCGCGGAGCTCCTTGTCGATTGCCGACCATGGCTTTGCTAGGGGCTCACCCGGCGGCCATAAAAAGGTCTGCGCATATCGAACTTTGTACTCGTGCGTGGGGGTTTCGGTCAACATCTTTTGCTCGACCACATCGTCCTAGTTTGACGTGGTCAGTATTGCGGCCAAGATGATTTGCGACTCGGGCGGCATCATAGTACCGGATAGAGACCGTCGGCTTGGATAATGGTATATGTAGGTATCGAAGTGCTCGTAGAGGCCATTGTTTTTTACTTCCTAAGGCGAGGCTGGGCCGAGGTAATTGAATGCTCTGTCAGGGAGAGTGGACAATGCGATCAGTTGACAAGGTCAATTCAATTGCTACAAAGACAAGCAGGGACTGTTATTCTCCTGGTCGAAGGATCTACTTGTAGAAAGAGCCGTCGATCAAGCGAGAGTCAAGAAATTGCAAATACTTGAACTTGTCGAGGACTTCGATCCGAACATCGAACTGGGGAACGGGGAAGCATCGCTCAGCATGCCGTACGGGCACACTAAGCCGAATAGGATAAGCTTGTCATTTTACACCTGTCATTTAAAAGGGCGTATTTCATCCCTCCGCTCCGTATCTGAGATTCTACCAGAGACACATGCGCATCAAACACTTCCAGGTTCAGTTGGCAATTTCCAACTCGACTCCTTCTGTACCAGGTCTGTTCTGATTGTAGCGCCGGAACGCAGTTCAAGATTCTGTCCTTAGAGACAGTGTGGCTGGGCATCGTCTGGCTTCGCCGCATAACTGATCCGTCCAGCAGGAAGAAAGAATAGTGCGACCAAGGCCCCTCCTCTGACTTCCGGGTAATGGTGCGTCCCTGGCCCGGGACACGTCCATCCAGCTCCCTGCCAGCCTTGCATGCCCTTCAACTCGGCGGTCTCGTCGATCTGAACCACACAGTTGATCTCACCGTACGGATGCGCATGGTACTGGCCCCTGAACACCTCCTGCGATTCCATATAAACTGTCGTGATGCTGATAAAGTGCGTGTCGGCGGACGGCGCGGCGATTCGTGACCGTCGATATTTGGGCCCGTCGAGTTCGGCAGTGGCGGCCCAGCCTTCTTTCAGGCCGGCCCTGATGTATCGACAGAAGTCTTCGTAGTAAGCATTGCCGGGGCCATAGTCGCGGTTCAACCGCGCTTCGAGAGCGGCGCCTGGTGTCCTGCAATAATTGTTATTCGACTGACTTGAAACAGAGAGTTATGAAGGAGGCTGGGAACCGCAAAACGGGAAGCTGAATGACAGAGCGAGATGACAGGCGTACAAGTCCTTGACTTCATCGAAAAACTCGGTGCATCGCGCGACGAAAGCCTGCGCCTGAGGGTAATTGGAGAGGTCGAGCAGTGGTGCGGCGCCGACCTTGCTCGGTTCCATTGCAAGTGTCAGCGCTATATGGCAAAGGACGAACTGTTTTGATTTGATAGGATGGTTCTTTGAACCTCAAGTGCAACTTGCGGCTCGGATGGTTCTGGACGATACGATAGCTTGAAATCAACGGCTTGCAGGCCTATCTAAAATCCTCCAGTATGGCCGTAGACTCGCCGCCTGCAATGCTTGAGTTGTCTGGATCTAGGACGAAGCGCTGCAGAGTCGAAGTTGGGGTCGTACAAGCGAGCGAGGTTCGAGAACATATCCGGGTTTGAGATACTAACCGGCAATCAGTTGCGGGATGCGTGGACTTGGCGGCAGTGGTGGTGGTCATCAGAATGCGGAGAACAGCAACCAGTATGGTGCCTCAGACTATCCATCTCCTATCCTGAGTGGTTGAATCATTTGACGGCAGCTCCTGCCATACTACGAAATCCGCTGCTGCTACGCAATGGTTGCACGCACGACACCCCTGCTAGAGCAGAAAGCCATACATTCGGTTGGCAGGAGATAGCATGGTCGCTAGCTTTCTCACTCGATTCTCAACACTATCAGATTAATCTGGGGCTTCACCCGGGTATTTGTCCAGCTGAGGACTTGATCTGAGGAGAGGAGATGCACGCTATTTCTGAGCCCAAAGGGACCTAGCCAGTACGTATCCCTGCAAGCGGGGTCAATCTCACCAACCTGCTTCTGCCGGGCCACAGGTGCAACCCAAGATGTGATCGAAGCTCCGAGAATCTGTGTTTCCCCCAAGAAAGATTGCCGACATGAGCCCAAACGCTGAAAGCGTGGGTTCGATGTCGAGCGCGGCGGACCTCATCGATGCTATCCATGGTAATGATAAGCGACCAACGCTCTCCTCCAATACCATCTGCATGAAGGCAGAAGCATTCGAGACGACTCGCTGAGTTGTTAGCTCCATGTCCCGCGTGGCCGGCGTTACAGTGCGATAAGCATGTCTCGGAAGGTTGACCTACTCATTGTGGGCGCAGGTTTGTGGTCCTGAGCAAAGTCTGTCGTTGGATGGCCCAATGGACTGACAGGCGCATTTTTAGGCCTGCATGGTCTAGCTATGGCGAAGACATACCTCGAAGTCCGTCCTCAAGCTAAAATCATTGTCATCGACAAAGCACAGACCATCGGCGGCTCTTGGTCTGAGGAGAGACTGTATCCGAGGCTCAAAACGAACAATATTCTTGGTTCTTACGAATTCAGCGACTTTCCCATGACTGCTGAGCGATACGGAGCAACCCCTGGTGCTCATATTCCAGGACGTGTAGTCCACAACTATCTGTGCGATGTCGCCGCTCATTATGGTATCGACGCTATGTTTCAACCAGGCACGAACGTCGAGACGGCCACACACGGAGAGGATGGCCAGTGGCAGATCAAATTACACAAAGAGGGCCAGGACGGGCAGACAACGAGCGTCATCATAGCCGACAAGATCGTTATTGCGACTGGACTGACCTCCGAACCACAAGTTCCTACGTTCCAGGGGCAAGACGATTTCGGAGGCTTGCTCATCCATGCGAAGCAGCTGAAAGAGCGAGCCCCAGAACTAGCAGTTTGCAAGAATGTTGTCGTGCTTGGTGGCAACAAATCCGCTTTTGACGTCTGCTATGATGCAGCAAGATCTGGCTCACGCGTCCATATGGTGATCAGACCCTCTGGAGGTGGACCTAGCTATGTGTGGCCTAAATCATTCACATATGGTCCGCTGTCCCTATCCTTAGCTCGGATGTCTGCGACAAGGTTCTTCATGGCTTTTGACCCAACCCCTTTCGCCACGAAGGGCCCATTCTCCTGGTGGTCACGTTTCCTCCACCAAACCTCCATTGGCAATAAGATTTGCGACTATTTCTGGACTCGACTGGATCGACATGTCAAGTGGCTGAATGGCTATGACACACACCCAGAGCTACAAAAGCTCAAACCCTGGACAACGCCGTTCTGGATGGGCAATTCGCTGAGCATCCATAACTACGAAACGAATTGGTTTGACCTTGTTCGGGATGGAAAGATCGCCATTCACATTGCAGAAATTGCCTCACTATCCAAGGGCTGCGTCGGTCTTTCGAGTGGAGAGGACCTGGACGCTGATGCCCTGGTCTGCTGCACAGGATGGAAACCGAGGTCTACCATAATGTTCGAATCGGCAGTTGTCGAAGATCCACTCCTGAAGTATCAAGAGACTGTACCGAACACTCAAAAGGCAGAGGCAGACATATCAAGCCGGTTAGGGTATCTCCAAAACCTTCCACGAAGGACACCGAATGCGCCCTCTGTGCAAAAACGGCCTGCCACTCCTCCTGTGTCGCTATCGGACCATCTTTACCGCTTCATGGTGCCCTCTGAACGCCGTGTCCTAGAGAGCAGGAGTCTTGCATTCATCGGAGCCCACTCTTCAATTCATGCCGTGGTAGTTGCTCAGGCTCAAGCTTTATGGATCACGGCCTTCTTTCTCGGCAGGCTAGATCATCTTACTGCCTCGAGACTTGACCTCGAAGCAGTCACATATGAAACGATTCTGCATGGCGTATATGGCACTATGAGACGACCTAGAGAGTGTGGCGGGGCTGCTGAAAAGTATCCAGATCTTGTCTTCGACAGCATCCCGTATGTGGATTGCTTGCTGAAAGATCTGGGTCTCAGTGTGCAAAGGAAGCGGAGCCTCTGGGATGACGTCTTCCAACCGCATCGTCCAGGCGACTACCAAGGTTTGGTTATGGAATGGAAGAGCAAACACGAGATGAAGGAGTCAGAGGACAGGAAGGACTTGGGTAATGGAGCTGATAATGTTGCCTCTGAAGCGCGCAAGGATAGCCTGAGGTAGCCAGTCTTGCAAGGGTTGCAACGCAGCTCCGACAGTCGCCTGCATGTACCTCATGACTTCAGATAAATATTGCAGCTGATGAGGTGAAAGCACTATATTTCCCGAAAGATGCACATTCATTCTCCCTGCCTCGGTGTACCTTCCATGCCTGCTACTTCACATACTCTTGCGAGGCTGTCATTTCAAAGGATGATTTGTCGGCATACAGTCCGGCTCGCCGCACGCCAAGAGATCGTAACTCCGCATCTGGGAAGGAAAGTTTGCCGAGTTCTCAAAAATTTCCCCACGTCCAGATCTGCAGGCTTTACAATGGTGTGAATGGTGCACAGTATGCGACCAACTTTTGCTTCTGACATCTCTCCCTATAATAATGGGTAAACGAGGTGGGAGAAAGGTAAGACGCCTCCGGTATATCTAGATCCTATACTGACAAGCCTCAGGGTGGCCGTGGCCGAGGAGGTGGCGGCGGTGGTCCTCGACAGGATAACCGGACAAACAAAGCAGACATCAATCGACACAATGACAAGTTCGAAGAATACTACGACCAACTTGGTGTGGTACCGAATGAAGAGCGGGAACAGTTCTGGTCGACCATGAGAAGAGACTTGCCCAACAGTTTCCGATTTACAGGTTCAAAGGCGCATGCTCTAGCCGTACAGCAACGCCTGCGAGAATACTACATCCCCGAGATCACATCCATCACATACGAAGATCGATATGTCGACGCTCCTCTACCGGTTGAGTGGTATCCAGACCAGTTGGCCTGGTTCATGACCACTCCCAAAAATGTTGTCCGCCGATTCCCACCGTTTGCAAATTTCCAGAAGTTCCTGGTCGCGGAGACGGATGTTGGCAATATCACACGTCAAGAAGTCGTTAGCATGATACCCCCTTTACTTATGGATCTCAAGCCTGGTATGACAGTTCTCGACATGTGTGCTGCTCCTGGCAGCAAATCGGGGCAGCTGATTGAGCTGATCCATGCTGGAGAAGAAGAAAGAAGCAAACAGGTTGCTTCGGCTACTGCTAATGGTCAGGAGAAGCCGGAGGGCGAGGATTTCGCAGACGATGGCCGGTCCACGGGGCTGCTCATAGCGAATGATGTTGACTATAAACGAGCGCACATGTTAGTCCACCAGGTGAAGCGATTGAGCTCGCCGAACATTATCGTCACGAACCACGACGCGACGGTTTTTCCTTCCATCAAGATACCTTCTCCACCGGACCCGACAGGCAAGCTCGTTCAGAACAAATACCTCAAGTTTGACCGCATCCTAGCAGATGTCCCTTGCTCCGGAGACGGCACAGCGCGAAAGAACATGGACGTTTGGAAGAACTGGACACCCAGCAATGGACTTGGTCTGCATGCTACTCAGGTCCGCATTCTGATCAGAGCACTGCAGATGCTCAAAGTGGGTGGGAGAGTGGTCTACTCGACATGCAGTATGAATCCGGTTGAGGATGAAGCAGTACTGGCGGAAGCTATTACCCGCTGTGGAGGTCCGAAATTCGTGGAGTTGCTGGAAACGAAAGACTATCTTCCGGGACTCAAACGTTCGCCAGGTTTGAAGACGTGGAATGTCATGGACAAGGCTGGGCGTATCTGGAACGACTATGACTCTGTGCTCAAGCACAAGGCAGATGCGGGTGAAGATGTGAAAATGGGACGGTTATCAGAAAGCTGCTTCCCACTGACCGAGGATCTGCACCTTGACCGGGCCATGCGAGTATTTCCTCATGTACACGATACCGGAGCCTTCTTCATCGCCATACTAGAGAAGAAATCAGAAATCAAAGCCAAGGTGGAGGAGAAGCCCGCCGCTACGTCAAAACTTGAAAAGTTGGAAGCGGCAGACTCCACAGGGACTTCGGTGCAGCTTGAAACAGCAGCCGATGGAACGGTAGAGTCTGTTAATGGCTCAACTCCCTCTGAGGCCGACTCCACAGGAAAGAGGAAGCGCACTGAAGAAGACGACGAGACTGGGCCTATGAAGCGAGTTAGAAGCCAGCAATCCCAGGATTCTCCCGCAAATGGAGTGAAACCGTCATCCACTACGCCGACACAAAACGGTCAGGCTGTCACGCCGAGGCCCACGACACAATCCTCACAACCTCCGAAAAGAAAGAACCGAGATCAACCATTCGAAGAACCCTTCAAATACCTCTCGCCGACGATCCCCGAACTCGCCCAGATCAAGGAATTCTACAACCTCTCCCCACGCTTCCCGCAGGATAGATACATGGTGCGTAATGCCCAAGGTACTCCAGCCAAGAACATCTACTACACGAGTTCTCTTGCCAAAGACATCCTGCAGGAAAACGAAGGCAAGGGCATCAAATTCGTCCATGCCGGTGTCAAGATGTTCGTCAAGCAGGATGTACCGTCCCCGGAAGTCTGTCCATGGCGCATACAAACCGACGGTCTCCGTCTCCTCGAGACGTGGGTTGGTCCGGAGCGTGTTGTCAAACTCCACAAGAAAGAGACACTGCGCAAATTGCTGATCGAAATGTTCCCACGGTTCAACGGCGAAGAGTACAAGAATCTTGGCGAAGTCGGCAAACAGATCCTCGATATGCCTATGGGATGCTGCGTGCTGATCATCGAGCCTAGCGATAGTGAGGAAGGGCTGAGTGAGCGCATGGTCTTTCCGTTATGGAAGTCCCTGCAGAGTGTGAATCTGATGCTGCCCAAGGAGGAGCGAAAAGCGATGCTTCTGCGGCTGTTCAATGATGACACCCCACTGGTCAATTTGAGTAAAGGATGGGTCGGACAGCAGAAGCAGAATGGTGCTGCAAAGGGTGGTGATGATACGATCGATGTGCTTGACAAGAAGGTCGACGAACAGCTCGAAGGGAGTGCGGAGCCGTTGAAGCGGCGAAACAGTAGCTCGCCTGAGCCACGGCAAGAGGCGGATGACGACGAGGACGGCGGCGTTGATATTGCTGCTGAATGAAGCACGACGTTGATATTTGACGGACGTGCTTCATCTCTGTCGATGTCATAGTTGAGCCAGGCAGGTCATGGGGGATCCGACCAGCCCTGGAAACATCTCAGAACAGCCAAAGTGGCAATCGGCGTCCACACCATGTTGCATGACGAGATGGATGGATGTAGAAACGATCTGCGGGTGAACTTGAACTTTGACCTTGACGAGCTTCCATCCTCATTCCAGATTCTAGGGGAGAGAAAGCATCCAAGCTCGTAAACCACAACTTCCTGCCCAAAAAGGGAAAAGAAGATAATGAATGAGATCTGTTCGCATCTAGTTCCCAGCCCGTGATACTCGTAGATCTACCAAGCCGATGATGCCGAGTCAAAGTCAAAAGTCAAGGCTCAAGACCACTTCGCTTCCACCCTGACCGCGTCCGGGAACAAAGCCATCATCCCAGTTCTCTTACTCCACAGCGCCAATTCAGGCGCCGTCATGTCATTGTCGTCCCGCACACTCGGGTCGGCGCCCGCATCGAGCAAGATCTTCAGGATTTCGGCCCGTTGGCGCCATACGGCAGCATGCATCGCCGTGCCACCGTACCGGCCCGCGCGGGCGTTCAGATCAACATCGGCGTTGGCGCCCGAAGAGCTGACAGAGCTGACAGAACTGTTGACCAGCGCGCGCACCGTCTCGACGAGCCCGTAGCTCGCGGCGTAGTACAGCGGCGTGGCGCGCGCGAGGTCGGCATCTGGCGCGATGTATCCGTGCCGGCTGTCGGAGAGGACGATTTGTAGCCAGAACAGGAAGCGCTGGTTTTGGGTTTTGTTGTTGTTTCCATATCCGTTTTCTTGATGGGGCGCCATGAGCCGGAGGATGAGTGGTAGCAATTCTCTTTCGGTCTGCCGTTCGGTTTCCCTTTCGGTGGTTCCGGCGTTGGAGCTTTTACTGGAGCTGGTGCTGGGGCTTTTGCTAGCCATCGACACGTGAAATGGCCAGTTCGTCGCGGCGTATCGGAGGAGCGGGTACGAGCGCAGTGCCCGCGTGAAGTCGGCCGGGTACAGTGGGCCAGACGCGAAGTCGTCGAGCAAGAGGTACGAAAGACATGACTCGGCGATGGTCCGGTGGGACGGGCCCGTGGGGGTGTAAAACTCGGAAGTGTTGTCCAGACGCTGCGTTAGGAATTCGCGGACAGAATGGTGCGCCAGCCTCGCCGTGCCGGAGAGGGCGTTGAAAGACACCAGGCTGCCGCAAATTTCGAGGATGTCGGCCGGATCGTTCAGGGCAAGGTCCGGATCGAGAGTGCCTGCGTCCAGGAGGCCCGGCTCAAGGACGACGGCCGTGGCGAGTTCGGGGAGCGTTAGTGGTGTCGCGGCGTGGGCGAGCCAGAGCAGGGCGCGTTGTGCGAAGATGACGTCTTCGGGGGCTATCGTGCGAAGGATCCTGCTGTAGGCGCCCTCGAGGCTCGACGGGAGTGTGTTGAGGGCTTGTTTGATCGCGGCGTCGGTGCGCAGGCCCGAGATGGCGTCGAGTTGGCATTGGACCCAGCGGAACCTTGAGTATCATATCAGTCTTACGGTGAGAAAGAGACGTTCGTGGAAAGGGAGGTTCCTTACATCCCGTGGCAATCGGCACGGAGGCTGAACTCGACGCGCCGCTTCATTTTGTCGCTCATGTGGCGGAGCCTGTGGTCGTGATTGATTCGAGACTGCACGTACACGCTGATGTCGTCTTCGGTGGCTGATTCCTGGACAGCGATCTCCTGGAAGCGGCCAAGACGTCGTCGCAAGTCAACCTCCGGCCGGCTACTGATGAATACGCGTAGTGGACAGTGTCCGGATGTGACGATCGACGTGAGAAAGTCGCAGACAATGCCACAGTCAGGTGTTTCGTCCAGACCGTCAATGACAATGATTGCCGCCCTGGCCTCTCGCAGGAGCTCGAGAAGGAAACGCTGAAGTTCAATTTGACTGGCTTGCTTGGGTGTCCCCACTCGATTTGCGGCTTTCTTGTAGGCGTCCGCCACGTCGTCAGGGATATGTGGAAGTTGGGCGCAAAATTGCTTGACGACTGCTCCGAAGAAAGTCTCAGGCGTGAGGCTCTCAATGGTACTAGCATCGTAGTAGAAATATGCCAACAAGTGCCGCTCAGCAGTGAGATGGTGTCTCAAGTGGTGGATTAGATAACTCGTTGTAACGGTCTTGCCGGATCCTGCTTGACCGTGCATCCAGAGCAGAGATGATCTGCGTTGAGACCATTTGATGAATTCAGGATGCTCGAGCAACCACCTACAAGTCTTGAAGCAATGTAATTGGTATCCTCGGCGATATTGTGCCTCATACGGATATTCAGAGAGCCAGTCCAGTATCCGTTGGCGCTGATCGTTGGCATGGTTGGTTCTGACTTCAATCGATAAGTCTGACAACGTATCCGAGACGTATTCCAATGTGGTGCTCTGATGCATGAGAGCCTCACTAACACTGTCAGTATATCTACGCTGGTCGTAGTATTCACTCACGCAGAGAAGGTGTCCAAGGCCAATGACAGAGACCTCTTGTTCCTCTCCAAGGCTACGATGAGATGCTCGGAATCGGTCTTGCGGAGTGGCCAGAGCAAACGCCTCAATACCTGCTCCTTGGAAGACTTGGTTGGTTGCGGAGCGTGTTTCTGTAGCTTTGTAGACAGTGACTGTAGTGAAGCCCTGCATTCCTGTAGCACAGGCTGAATGTTTCGGGTCGGAAACTCATGATGTTTGGCCAGGTTTTGTATACCTACTAGAAGTCCGCTTAGGCTTGTCACCTCGAATGCGAGTTTCTTTGCTTCCTCCGGAGCGTCGGCTACACCGCACCCATAATGATAGCATTGATTGATGACATTTCCAGCAAGAGACAGTAAGCCGGCGACGCCTGTCGCGATTGATAGAGGGTCGGTCATGGCCTGTGCTCTACCTTTTGAAGCTGAACGATATCGTGCACTCCGCCAATTCCACTGGCGGAATCTTCACAACACAGTGTCAGTGATCTTCGAGGAAGGGTCGCATCGACTGAGGTCTCATGCCCTGCAAATATCAATGTTAACATGTCATGGGCGGTCTGCAAAGTGATGCCCGCCTCAGAAAGTCGTTGCTGCTTGTGATCGCTCAACCCGGAATTCCATGGCTTTAGCAGCCGAAGAAGCGCTAGCAAATAATTCAGCTTATGTCAAAGTGTGGCAGTGGTAAGAAACAAGAAGTATTCCAAGTACAGGAGAACTGGCGATGCTCCGTAACAAGACCTGCTCCATCCGCCAAGATCGAAGTCACACCATCGTCGCCCGACACCATGACTTCGTTTCCAAGTATTATAGACATGAACTTAGCAGGCTACTCCAGTGAAGAGGACATCACAGTCGCTGGACTGGATGGACTATTCGGCATGACTCGTCTTGGATTAGATATGGAGTGAGTGGTACAGAAGGGTATCATTTTCGTATCTACAAACCGGTGTCCCAAGCACCCCAGATCCTTCGAAAGCCTCTGACGCAGCTAACTGTCGCGGGCTTGCGATTGTGTTAATACAGTGGGCATTTCACCAGGCGCCAGCTGCCATGCCATATTAATGGCTCCTTCAGGATCACCCTTATTGTACAAGAACAGTCCTTGCAATGCCGCCATGCTGGTTCGGCTGACTCTCGCATTCGGTTCTGACAAGGCTCCAACTTCGACCAGTTTTTTACAGAATTGTTGCTTGAATTTGCCGTCGGGATCATCCTCGCTGTAGAATCGCTCCCAAAGCTGACAGATTTGGTATGTCGTCGCTTCACCGAGGCGTACAGTCATGTCGACGCGGCCCGGCCGGACCAATGCTTCGTCAAGGCGCTCGACATGGTTCGTGGTGAGGAAGATGATGCGTTCTTCGGCACTTGCAACGCCATCGAGAGCGTTCAAGAGCCCGGAGAAGGTGACATTCGCGCCTGCATAACCGTCTGCTTCCACCTGGCGCCGGTTGGCGAACGCGGCGTCGACATCTTCCAGCAAGATCAATGTTCTCTGAGGAATGACAGTCAAGAGGTGATTAAGTCGGTCATCCGTGAGACCGCGTTCGCTAAGATTCAGCATAGCAATGTCATAATTTAGGTAGCCTGCCAACGCCTGGATGAACGAAGACTTGCCCGTCCCCGGAGGCCCGTATAGGAGATAACCTCGACGATACGGAATGCCTCGCTCATAGTACCATTTGGAGGATGAGAGAAAGTCTTGCACGTCCTCCACAATTCTTTCCTTGACACCCTCGTCCAGAATGACAGACTCGAGAGGGCGCTTGCTTCGTGGGTGACCGAATTTATCCCATCTGGTGCCCCACGCAGTATATATGACTGTCTTGCCCTCGACAGCCTGTGTGGCCAGATCGGACGCCTCTTGGAAAAGGGACTCGAAGACGTGTCGGTGTGCGTATAACGTCGTCAAGGTGACGGTCTCCCAGGGCTTCCCATCCATCGAGACTTGTTTGGCTTCTCTTTGTCTGTTCACCCATATCCACGCATTTCTGTAGCGAAGGACATGCCTACCAGGGCCGGGTATCAGGTAAAAGTTGGTGTGCAGGGCACCATTGGGCAGTTCCTGCTTCTCCGTCTTGATGGATAGATGGTGTATGCCCGGTGTGACACGCTCCAGGATAGACTGAAAGACACCCCTCTTCAGCCCCGAGGCCCTTGCTGTCAATCTCCCTTGCTCATGAAATGTCATCCAATCTAGGAACCAGGGGTAGGAATCATCGCGGACGTTGATTTCGACATCGACAAGAAGACGGCGTCGCAGGAGGTGAGCTCCCAGCTTTACACCTCTTCGGGCAGTTGCCGCGAGCGCACCAAGACTGGCAAGGGCAAACCCCTGTATGAGAGTCAGAGGAGATCAACAGCAAGATCGGGGGAACATACGCCTGTGAAAAGAGGGTTACTCGACAACTGCGCGAACAATCCTGCTTCAGTGCTGCTCCCTGCGCTCGTCAACTGACGCACGAGGTCAGCTTTCTGCGCGGCGCCATCGTGTGCGTTCAGAGCATTCGCAGGCTGATTCGAGGCGACGGTGACCAGTCCATTGTCACCCTGCATCACCTATTGTGTGTGTCTCCTTCGATATGAACATCCGATCCGAGAACGAACAAAGAACAGGGCTCAAATTATGAACGCATCAACGGCGCGGGACATTTTTCATCCGATTGATCATTGACACCCAAATTGGTGTCATTCCCCGGAGTTAAGAAAAGAAAATCAATCGTTCCGTCACTACATCAACACCAGCCATTAGCGACAGTATATATTTCTTCTAGGCGCCAGGCAATTAGGCGAGGATCTGGTCGCATAATACGGGGGGACATTCGTCCTCTCCCTCTCCCTACTCTCCTCCATGCGATCCTTCCTCCGCCGTCTCTTCAGCAAGAGATTCTCAGCACCACCACCCCTCCATTCCCACAAAATGACTTACTCATCTTCCACCTCAGCGCTGGTCTACGCCGCGACCGTCGCTGTGCCCTCCATCGCTAGCACTCGCCCCGAAGACGATATCACAAAGTCCAAAGCATGGCACAATAAATCGGGCGGCTTCAACAACCCATGGCCCTCATGGAAAATGCATTCCGTCACCACCATCATCGGCGGCATGCTTATGCGCAGATTCTCAGGCAGAGCGAACCACCCCGACACCACTCCCCCGACCGTCCCTGTCCACACACCTACCTTTCTCCCTTCTCGCACGTCGAACTCAACGGCTCTGAGGGCAACCTGGCTCGGCCATGCATGCTACTACGTCGAATTCCCGTCTGGCCTGCGTGTACTCTTCGATCCAGTCTTTACAGACCGCTGCTCCCCCTTCAGTTGGCTCGGTCCTAAACGCTACACTGAAATGCCCTGCAAGATCAAGGACATCCCTACAATCGACGCCGTGGTCATCTCGCACAACCACTACGACCACCTCTCACACCCAACAATCATGGAGATCCTGAAGCTGCACCCCGAGTGCCACTTCTTCGTCCCGCTCGGCAATAAGAAATGGTTCGAGGCATGCGGCATCAAGAACAAGTGCACCGAGATGGACTGGTGGGATGAAGTCGATTTCACACTCGCGCCCTCAGCTAGTTCAGCAGTAGCAGACAAAATGAGCGTAACCTCAACGGACACATCTACACCCAAGCCCACCGCAGACACGATCACAAGCCGGATTACCTGCCTTCCGTGTCAGCATATGTCTGCGCGAGGCATCCACGACCGATGCGCAACACTCTGGGCTTCGTGGTCTGTCTCATCGGGCGGGAAGTCCGTCTACTTCGGCGGCGACACAGGGTATCGCAGCGTGCCCAAAGACGCGGATGGCAAGGACGATTGGGCGGAAGAATATTCGAGTTTACCCCACTGTCCCGCTTTCAAGGACATAGGTCGGTTACGCGGGCCATTCGATCTTGGTCTCATCCCTATCGGGGCCTACATGCCTAGATGGATCATGAGTCCTATGCATGCGGACCCGCGGGATGCTGTTGAGATCTTCAGAGACACGCAGTGCAAGAAAGCGCTAGGGATCCATTGGGGAACATGGGTCTTGACGGAAGAAGATGTACTCGAACCGCCGAGGTTGTTGAAGAAGGCGCTCGCTCATCACTCGATGCCTGAGACGGGCGTGTTCGACGTGTGTGAGATTGGCGAGAGTCTCGAGTTCTAGGTTCTGGACGAGATGCTTTGTACATGTACTGTTCTGCACTCTTTACGCCTGGTGTTCAATTAGAAAATCTCCGGGAGCGTATTTCTGTGTCTACGAGATGGGGAACCAAAGGGTCACGGCTACCAAAGGAGTTCGACATCGGTTCTGTAGGAGTAGGATGCACCAAGATGTTATATGCTACCTGACATGCTACGATGACGATCGATACTTTCTGGCGATCGGTCCATCGTTTGAGGCAGCACCTCCTTCGATGAAGCCAGCCCAACAGTCCAGTGTAGCAGAGTTCTCAGATAAAATACTAATCGTACAGGGGATCTCAAGCATCATCAACAAACTCCGTACCACCAACTCAACTCGGTGCATTCCCAGTCACATCCCTCAGAACGCCATCGAAATGGACTGCTCGCTCTTGGACGCCCACAAACAGCTTCTTCAAACAAGCATGTTTCGAGACATGTCCTTGAGTATGACAAGACCTTGTTAAGATCACTTCTTGCCCTTCGCTTTGCCGCCTCGCTTCTTCTTAGGTGGCTCTATCTCGTCTTCTGCGGCCTCATTTTTGACATTATCAGCCACAGGCTCAGCCAACATCTCACCCATACCGTCCTCATCTTCTTCGGCTTCAGGCTCGGCCTTGACTTTCTTCGCTTTCAATTTCGTAGCCTTGGTTTTGGGGGCAACTGGAGCTTCATCATCCTCAGCCAACTCTTCTTGCTTGACCTTCTTTGGGCGCCCTCTCTTCTTTGCGGGTTCTGCTGGGACATTCAGCGGAGCGTCTGAATCCATATCATCTTGTTCTTCGGCCTTGACTTTCTTAGCGCGCGACTTCCTCTTTGGCTTCTCAGCAGGTTCGTGTTCCACTTTAGCAGCTGCTTTGCGTTTGCGACCAGTTGTCTTCTTTGGGGGCGGAGATACTGGAATGTCAATTTCTTCATCTGACTCCGCTTTGACCTTCTTGGCTCGACTCTTCTTTGCTTTCGGCTTTGTTGGTGTTTCAGCAGCTTCAGCAGCTTCCTGATCGCCTTCTTCCTCAACATCGACGGCCTTCTTTTTCGGAGTTCGTTTGTTGATGCCCTTCATTCCAGGCCGATTGAATTCAGGGTCCTGAGTGGATATGTCAGCCAGGTTAGGCCAGCTACAAAGACGCAACTTACTCCTTTCCAGTCTTCGTCCGCAACATGGCCGTTCTGCAAGGCATACTTGACCTTTTCTTGAGCTTCGGGGGTGAGGTCTTCATAGCCGTCGAGAATGGCCGAGAGGTCGGCATCAAGATCATCGAAATCTTCAAGAGGGCCAACTTGAGACTGTAGATTTGCTATTTGGAGAGGTGTGACACAACCCCTGATATCGCGTCAGCGATCTGTCAAGATAACAGGACTTAGAGTACTCACCAGTGCTTCCACAGCCAACAGAAATGTTCCTTGATAAATGCCTGAGTTCCAAATCTGAATTCGCCTTTTTCGATTTTGACGCCCTCATATTTGCATTTCGAGTTCTGGCAGCCAGCGCGACCGGTCTTGGCCATTTCTGTCCACGAATTAGAACATGTATGGAATGAAGCGAGTAGCAGTCGGGCGGAAGAATCGATCCCACCGTAGCCACAATGTCATCCAGACAACTTGGTGGCATCGACGACAATGAAAAAGCTTCAAGGGTGGCTTACCAAGGCGATAGACTGCGTTCGACATGCCGGGCGACAGTACAAGTAAACAATCGGAGTGCAGAGGATGTTTTGAGAGGAAAGTGATAAATCAGCACAGACAGCTCTGGACCCCAGCAATATGGGGAGGGATTGAGTTCGCTGAGGAAGGATTAGGAAGAGTGAGATGAATTTATGGAAGTCATGTTGGCAGCTAGGCAACGTACAGTGAATAATGAGGCCGAAGGAAGGCTGAAGCGTCGCGTGAGGGAAGCAACCGCTTTGTCTAAATCCCCTTGTCTGACAGGTGCTGACTAGGTCTGATTGTTGGTATTCCACGGTATTCTCGGTGGATTTGCTGCAGAAAATCACGTCAGACAATCAGCGTGTAAAGCTACTGACATCACAGTCTCTCGGCCTCACGCCTGCCTCTTTATTTCATCTCGGTTTGGTGGTTTTTCATTGATCATTGATCAAACATATTATGAAGACTGCAATCTGAAGAAAGCTGCTCTTCTTCACCTATGGCAGCAGCTGGAACTGGCCATCAGGTCCGAAAGACGCCCGGTATTCTTCGCCCAAGCAGCTCGCAACCACGGACAATGGCTTCCAACTCCAACTCGGTATGCATACTGTCATTCTTAAATACAACAGACGAATGCCGACCTATGCTTGTTTGTCAAGTTTCTTGCTGACGCCAGCTTGTCCCCCGGCTCCCTCCTCGCTGCTAATATCTCTACCGGTATCCATGCCTTCAAGTATACCCTGAGCTTTCTCAGGATCAGGCTGTCCGTATTTGGCACTAAAAGAATGTCCAGTCAGCATCGTTCCGAAATTTGAAGTCAAGAAGAACGGTACAAAGCATATGGCCACTTACTCATAATCATGGAGACCATCATGGAAGAACGCGTATGGGAGCTCGCCATGGACCTCTCCATCTCCAATCAAGAGTTGCTCCTCATTGTACCTCAATGGGATTCTCATCACATATTTGATGAAGAGACAAATTGCACTCGTCCAGAAAACGTTCCAGCCAATGATGAAGAGGAATCCCACTATTTGAACCCAAACCTGTCGACCATTGCCATCGATGGCGCCTCCATCAGGCGCAAGTGCAAAAGCCGCCGTGCCTTCGCTTGTTGCGAAAAGTCCGGTCAGAAACCCACCAACAATACCACCGACTAAATGTGTGTGGAAGTCGCCAACAACATCATCAGCAAATTCCAGAAACCATCGCTGCTTGCCCAAGATGTTCATAGATATCCATGGAATGATGCCGGAGCACACGCCGATGATGATTGCACCCCACCCTGCAACGAAGCCTGCAGCAGGAGTAATGGCGACCAGTCCGGTGATAATGCCCTGCACAGCACCAATCACAGCAGGCTTCTTGAAGAAGATCAGGTCCATGACTGTCCAGGTCAACATGCTCATCGCAGTGCAGATGTTGGTGTTTAAAACAGCAGCGCCTGCGTCAGGCGAAGCGGTATAAGGATCACCACCGTTGAAGCCGTTCCAACCAAGCCAAAGAAGGCCAACGCCCACCAATGCCAGAAGAACGTTATTCGGGTGGAACTCTGTACGGTCACGAGGGTGTCGCGGTCCTACCCAGTAAGACATGACAAAGCCTGCCGTGCCGGACGAGACATGGATGACGTATCCACCGGAATAGTCCAAGACACCCATTTGGTACAAGAAGCCGCCGCCCCAGATACTGAAAGCGCCCACGGTATAACTGAGTGTTATCCAAAGTGGCACAAATGCCATCCAGGCCAGAAAATTCATCCTTGCAAGGCCGGCACCCGCGATGAGCACCACAGTGATGGCTGCGAAGACGAACTGGAAATACACCATTGTGCTCATAGGATATGCCGCAGAGAGTTCGGCAGCCGGCAGATATGCTTGTTCCAATTCATAGTTCATTGTCAATGCCGGGCCTGGAACACCGACAAAAGGCAACATTTTCTTTCCAAACGCCGCTTTATACGCCCAGATCACCCAGCAGATGAGCACGGCGGCGAAGGCATAGAGCACCATGAAGGCGGAGTTGATGGCCCACTTCTTCTTCACCAATCCAGCATACATGACCATAAGTCCTGGAACCGATTGCAGTCCGACGAGCGTTGCTGCTGTCAATTGCCACGCATTGTCACCGTTGTTGAGCCAGTCTGGTGCGACTAGGGTGTCTGCATCCCATCGTCTGACGGGCATATTCGGCCGGCCACGCATGTTGGCAGTGTCACGGAGGAAGTCGCAGGCGCCTGGAAGCAGTGTCGGTGCGCTGTGGGGATACCGTGGAAGTGTACTGGGTGTACTGAGGGATGTGCAAGGGCGCAAAGACGTGTCGTACAACAGGATGGCAACGAAGAGCTTATAAACTGTGACAAGCAACGCACGCGACGAAGAAGAAAAGACAGAGCTCTACCCTCCTAGCTCTAAGGCAGACCCTTAGTTACCCTCCTTGCCTGCGAGATGGGCAGGGTTGCAAGCGATATCAAGAGTGAAAGAGCGATCTAATTTGCTAGATTCAACTCATCCCCCAAAAACTTGTGGTTTAATAGGGCATCTTCCCATGTTAACCACCGATCCAGGCACAAACGTGGCAGCGGGAAGTCGCCTGTGTCTCCAATGATAGGACAAACTCCCTCTTCTGCTTATCATCGAGGCAAACGAACCCTGCGATTGGATGTGCAGCAATTCCAAAGGACGAGGGAGTGAAGCGTGTTCCGAAGCCTCCCTCCCAGGATCTGGAACATGAGCCAATCCTGGGGAAGATGCTTATCAGTGCTTGGCATGGACAGCCCGATGCTTAACGCTACTAAACTCTGCAAGCGTCTTCAACTCCCCACGGGTCACGACTTGGCAAGGTTGGCTACATCACTGGCACCCGGTCGTGGCATTTAATTGCCCGACGGATCAGTCACGGCCAGTCACGGTGTCGGTCATACGCCAGCAGTCCTTATCTTGCGATACTGGAGCAGTCCACGTAAATCGAAAAGCATACGAACGGTGGTGAGAGCACGTTGCGGTGGCCTGAGGGCTTGGAGACGAAGAACGGTCTCCATGTCCTTGGTCGTTCATGGTCCTGATCAGCCGGCAGGCCGTGCAGGTACTGTATGTGTGGTGGCTGCTAATCTGTTGATACCTAGGCTTTCGACCTAGGCAGATTACCATGCTTTTCGAAACAAAGACAAATACAATCTTGTGTCCTCTCTGCCTTAGACCGATGCCTCGATTTGACCTGCTTAGAGAAGGTAAGTCTACTGCTCGCCACTCGGACTGTGCTTCAGTAGTTCGTAATCGACATGTTGACGCAGCACTCCGTCCGACTCTTCGCGATAAGTTGTCTCTGTCCATTGGCAAAGCTGGTAGTACGGCCTTCGCCACGACACCCTCCCACAGCTCGCACCCGGCTCATGTCATCTCTAAGGAACTTCAGTGGAACTCACCATAGCGACACTTGAGGCTTTTGCTGGGCCACATTTTGCCGCAATGGAGCTTATGCTACAATTCCGAAGTGAGCTCGGTGTGCGCTCGGACCTTTGAGCTAGTTGTCGAACCCGTGCAAGGGCAAGAGCAACAAGCTCAAAAGTGGCATTCGACTTTTCAGTGATTGCCCTTGGTTTCTTTTAGTTCACTGTGGAAGAGCGCACATGCTGTATGTGGAGCTAATGGGCCTCAGCCAGCGTCGATTAATGAAGATTACATCGTAAGGTAAGAAGAGAATGGCGGGGCGAGACCGTGCTGTTGTGATATTGAAGGAGCCATTGGAGCAATTCGAAGGCAGAGGTACGGTAGGAAATAAATGTGTTGTGCTTATGCTCGTATTGGTCAAAATCATACATGATACCATTCGGACATTTTGCCTTCCTAGAACTTGTCCTCTGGCAACACTTTCTCTTGCGTTTTATGCTCATTTTTCGGTAAAGATCTGTGCTGTCGAAAGTCGACGGGACTGGTTAAGCATGCTCGCATGGAAGCAGCCGGGACAACCCAAAACATCATGGACATCGGACGGGGAATGGACCTGCAAACTCAACTCAACTTTTATGTTGATCCATGATAGGATCAACATTCACAAGTGATGACAGTCTTTGTCTTTGTGTTTGTTGTTCGCTACCTAGGCCGCCTAACCGACTTCAGTTGCGTTTCATGAAAGATACTTCTTAAACCACTCAATGCCTTGCTTCTCGGCATCATCCATGGCTTTCTTATCCTCGTCACTGCTCCAATCACTCCGTAGCGCGAAACCGTGCACTTGATCCTTGTACACTTTGACCTCGGTTGGCACGCCGGTCTTGTCCAAGACCTCCTTCATCTGGTCCACGGATTTCATGTCCAGCAGGGAATCCTTCTCGCCAACGGCAACACTAAGAGGTTTCGCCACGGGCTCGATGTCAGCTGGAATGCTCAGCAACGACGGGTGACACGCATAAGCCGCGTCGACGCCGCCTATTTGACCCTCGCTGCGCTTGTGGGCTTGCAAGATGGCGTAGCGGCCGCCCCAGCAGAACCCGATCGCGCCGATCTTGTCGGTGCCCGGGATGTTGCGCACGGTATTGATGAAGCCCGATATGATGGGCTCGGATACGGCTTCGCGGTGCTTGGCGAGCCAGGGACCGAGAGTGGCCATCACGTCGACCGTCTCTTTGGCCTTGTCGAGCATGCCTTCTTGTTCCTTCTTTTTCAGGGGGGGTTCGACGGATTGGAGGAATTCGATCGGCAGGCTATCGCCCTCGTGCACGTCGGGGATGTAGCATTTGAAGCCGGCGCGGGCGTAGTTGTCGGCGAGGAGGCGGACGTTTTTGAACTTCCAGCCAAAGATGTCGACTAGGAAGACGATGGCGGCGGATTTGGAGTGGTCAGACGAAGACGAAGACGAAGAGTCCGGTTCAGAGACGTAGCATGGGAGCCCGCCGATGGTGTCTTCGCGGCCTGAGGGCGTGCCGCTGTGGACGGAGCCGGAGAGGCAGCAGGCGGACATGCCGGACATGGTGACAATACCAGGTAGGTTTGGTGGAGGTGGGAATGAGACGAGAGTTGTTCGAGCAAGATGATCCTAAAGTAGAGAGAGACTGGCGGGAGGAGAGAAAGGAAAGGATCAGGAGCTGAAAATTGAGAAGCTGCTGTTTCTTGTATGCGTACGGAGTATTGAGGACAGCACCCAGGTAAAGAGCCGAAAAGATACTTTACCTCAAAAAGCTCATTCTACCCACCGAGGCCACTACGTCGGGCTTGGGAGGGTGTTTCGGTCCAATAGAGATGGCTCAGACATCCTGATGCCCGTATTGAGGGTCTTGTCAGTCAGGACGGTGACCTCACGCCCGCTGAAAATGAGAGAGCTTTGGATGCGATCATCATCAATGACATCGACAGCTCCTCGTAAACGGGCCGGTGCGGGGTAGATTTTTCCTGCACATCAATCCGACTTTGACCGTATTACTCAGCAATCCGCAACTGGCGAAGCAGCTTCAGTGATAAACGTTCGAAAGGCCGTGGATCATTTTCTTCTGGGACGTACTTGTACACTGCCGCGACTGGAAATTTGGTTGTGCGCGTATGGCTTGTGAGGACCACGGATCAATGGCAGACACTGTAATGCTTGCAGGCCACAACACTGGCACTCGCTTTCCACAGGTGAAGTATGCCGTGGATAGCAAGTGAAGAATAGTCCGTATGGGGTTCAAGTCCCATCCCATATTGCGGTTGGACTGATGTTGCGCATGGTTTTTCTGGCTTGAAAGATTGTAGACCTCTGAATCATGGATGCTCCCCACAAAGAGACGCAGGATTGCAAGGAGCTGTTGATGTCCACCTCTCGTAATCAGATCATCAACGTCGTGGGCCAACGTAAGCTGACCTAGCGATCCTCTGGACTTTAAAGCGACTCGGGCGCTCATTGTTGAATCTCCTCAACTTCACCCCCCGTTATATTGACAAAGCCATCCATGTGACATCGAGCTGTCCTAATTAATTTGGCGCTCTGAATCCTTCCGTCGTCAATGGCTGCTCCGACCTCGAGAGTACCAGAAGGGTGCCCAATTACTGTGTTCGCCTCATGTAGATGCTTTGATAATTGATTTGGGATGGTCCCCTCCATTTTGCAGGCGACACCCAAGTTGAGCGCCAGTGTTACTGGCACAGCTTTATGGGCTTGTTCCATGGAGAGTGCCTGACAGGATATGTCCATCCCATCTGCTTTCGCAGGGAAGAGAAGCACGATCTTCGGGATACTGCTGATGTTTGGATCCAGGCCCATCTTCTTTGTCCCTTCTTTGCGGATCCTTTCGAGCTTCTCCAGGAGCTCTTGGTTTGCGTTCAGTTTCTCAGGGTCTGCATCTGCGTTCCAGCCAACGTCCCTACCGTCGATGAAGATGCCTGGGTTGCTGACGTCGATGAGCGATGCTCGGATAGGTTGACCGCCCACTTTCAGCTCATCCACAGCATTCCCGGTAGGTAGAGCTTTGGACGTTTTCGATCCCTCTGGGTCGAGGAAAGATAAAATGATAGTGGAAGCAGTACTGGGAACGCCATCGATTGAGCAATTGCCTAGTTCAAGATACTGCCAGGCACCGTTGTCTCTGAACACTTCGAAGGTCGACTCGATGATCTTCTTGGTATTGGTATTTCTCGTTCTCATTGTCACAGACGCTGCCTCCACGCCGTGGGTGCGACTGCCGTTATGCGGCTGACCTCGAAAAAGCCCTGTATTCAACGCAAAGGGTCCAACAGCTGAGCTCAAGTTCCCACAGTTGCCTGCCATGTCAAGCTTGCCGTCTTTGACCCCAATCTGGAAGAATGTGTAGTCAACGTCCACATCTGCGCGACTAGATGGACCGACCACCATGGCTTTGCTGAGTGAGGAGATGCCGCCACCCATGCCGTTGAGCTGTCTACCATACGGATCAGGCGATCCCATCACCGCGGCAAAGAATCCTTCCATTCGCCGAAATTGGGCATTGTCCGGCTGCTTCTCAGAGTTCAAGATCGATTGAAACCATTCTGGGAGATCCGAAATCTTGAAGAAGACGCCCTTTGAGGTGCCACCTCGCCAGAAGGATGCTTTCACGGCATATGGAAATGCCATTGTGGACATGGTTCTTCCCGCTTGCACACCATCATTTATCCACAAGAGGTCTAGACATACTCGGACCGATCTTTGTATGTGTCCAAGGGTCGACGTGTTTGCCCACAGGGGGCCCCGAAGCATCCTTGTGCTTACTTTATTGAGCGGTTGGAGTGGCCGACCTGGAAATGCAGTCCATCAACTTCGAGATGAGGGTGATGTGTTGCGGCGATAGCGTCTGTGCTCGCTGTAAGGCCACCCAAAGGCTGCCAATTAGAGGGCAGCCAATTGTGAAGACATACATCTCCGCAATGTTGCACACGCTGTACTCCGTCAACAACATATATCACAATGTAACCACCGCTCCTCGCCCCTATGGTCTGCTCTTTTTCTCCCAGACGAACATCTTGATTTCAGAATCATGGGTTCCATCGCTCCTCCAGCCGGCCCGCCGCAGTTCCTCGTTATAGGTGCTGGTTCTCGAGGCCATGCATATGCCCGCGCAGTCGAAGCCTCAACCTCAGGGTGCATTGCCGCTGTAGCTGAAATCGACCCTTTCAAGAGACAAGAGTTCGGGAAGAGATATATCTGGGGACAAGAAGGCAGGGCTGCTGAGCATCAGTGTTTTGCTGGTTGGGAAGAATGGGTGGCATGGGAGACACGGCGCAGGCAGAACGCAGACAAGCCTGGAGGTGCTGAGCCTGGCTACTTTCCCATCACCGGTGTTTTCATATGCACCTTGGACGAGACACACGCTCCCATCATTCGAGCAATTGCTCCTTTCACTTTGCATATCTTGTGTGAGAAACCACTAGCACTGTCATTGTCTGACTGTCTCTCCATTTCCTCGGCTTTGTCGCAGTACCCTCCAAAGGTGGTCTCTATTGGTCATGTCCTACGCTACTCGCCGCATAATATACTGCTTCGCAAGCTCTTAACTTCAGATCAAGTCATTGGCGAGATTGTCTCCATCGAGCATACCGAGCCCATCGGCTGGTGGCATTTCTCTCACTCTTATGTGCGTGGGAACTGGCGAAGGCCGACACCAGAAGGGGTTGGCTCCTTGCTCACCAAATCATGCCATGATATCGACTTTTTGATGTGGCTCCTATGCTCTCCAAGTCCATTGACCGGAGATGAACCCCATTTGCCTTCCACGATCTCAAGTACTGGCGCCATCACCCATTTCCGACGAGCAAGAAAGCCAAGGGATGCAGGCGGCTCGACAAATTGCCTCTCCTGTCCCGCTGAACCCAACTGTATATATTCCGCAAAGAAGATCTACCGCGATAGGTGGCTGCGGAAAGAGAAGGATACCGGCTGGCCACTGAAGATTGTTGTCCCTGAGATGGAAGACATTGTCACGGCCCAAGGCTGGGATGCAGGTGAAGAGAAGCTAATGGAACGACTTGGCGATGACTACGACAAGAATACAACGCCTGACGACGTGGTTGCCAGCAGGAGCTGGTACGGCCGATGTGTCTATGAGGCAGACAACGATGTCGTGGATGATCAGACTGTCACGATGGAATGGGAAGAGGATTGCCTTCGTGGACATGAACTTGGCCGCGGCCCTAAGAGAGCACTCTTTCATATGACCTACCCCACTCAAGCACAATGCGAAAGGCGAGGCTGGATATATGGCACGCTTGGAGAAATCCATTACGACTCGCACAAGATCACGGTGCATACGTTCAGCGATAATGGGACAATCGTGCATGATATCCCCAAGCAAGCACCAGAGGTAGAGAAGAGCCACGGTGGAGGTGACTGGGGTCTTGCAGGAGCCTTCGTTCAAGCGGTTCAGAATGTTGAAGAGGGCTCAATGAACGTTGCACAGGCGCAGCGAGAGCTCGTTGGCTGTGACTTGGAAGAAATCATCCGGAGTCATGCTGTCGTGTTTGCCGCAGAGGAGGCAAGACGAGAGAAGAAGGTCCTTCACTGGACCGATTGGGCGGACAGCCATTGCCAGACAACGCTTTGATTCCAATTAATCTCAGATTCTGGACCAAGAGGTGCGGAATGGGTGTTTCTGCTGTAACGAAAGCTTACGAATGGATGAATGATGACCTTGGAATGAAAACTCTCTTGAGCGAGCAATTGCCTCGCCAACTGCTTGAATGCTACTTAGAATCAAGCCCTCTTTTGACGGTCCTGGTTCTCTTGGCAGTTCCACGACTCGACATGCGCATGAATGGAGGTTGTTGCTTGGGCAAAGTTGCACATTCCAGTCCATTGCCTTTTTGGGCCACGTCTACAAAGTGATGGTCGAATGGAAGGTTTTAATATGTCATACAAGCTTCCTGGGTCGGTTTCGGAAGCCATCATTCATTCTTACAGACCTCGCAAACTGCACTGGATCGCACCTTGTGGAACTTTCGAGGAGAACACGAACCGACTCACAATCATGACTCAAGGAAGAACAATTATCCTCTGGGGCCTGCTGAGCACTTTCTATGGTACGTCGGCGCAACAGCCTTTGGAATTAGCCCGTCACCACTACTTTTCAATGCAGAAATTGCAGCTGTATGCTAACATAACCTCACAGTCACTGGCAGCTTCGCAAGTCCTACGAACACCTATAATGTGGAGTCTTCTACCAAGTCTATCAGCTCGCCAGATTGGAACGTGGTGCATGGTCCATCCGTTTTGCTGAGGCGGGCGGATGGCTCGAACTATTACACCAATTGGCCTACGCAGTCAGGCTCTTCTTACACCAGTTGGCCTTCAGACTCCAGTTGGGCTGGAGTTCCCGAATGGCCTGCAGCTTGGGGCACCAGACCGTCAAACTATAAGACGGTCAGAATCGTCCACGCCGTGCTAGCAGCGAGCGCATTCTTGATATTCTTCCCTGTGGGTGGAATCATCATGCGTGTTTCCAGACATCCGAATGCCATATGGATTCATGCTGCTGTGCAGACCTTTGGATATGTCGTCTTTGTGACGGCTGCCGGCCTAGGCATATGGATGGCAAAGAAAGTCCATGCTGTACGTCTACCACGCAAATCTAATCTCCTCGTGCCGAGGCCTTGCAAGGCCAACTCGTTTGCGCTTTCGTGAATGCGATAGACTGACTGAATCACACTGCTGCAGCTCGACGACTATCATCCGATGATCGGCCTTGTGCTGCTGTGTTTTATCAGCCTGCAGCCACTCAGCAGTCTTGTGAACCACTTCTACCGCGTTCGCTATCCACGCATTGGCATCCTTGGGCAAGTACATCTGTGGTCTGGTCGGCTCTTGATAACACTCGGCATCATCAACGGCGGCCTGGGATTCCAATTCGCATCGACACTCCCCGTGTTTCAATGGCCGAAAGGACCAAAGATCCTTTATGGCGCTGTCGCGACGCTCATATGGATCATCTATGTGGGCGTGGTCCTTGTGTGGGCAGAACTGAAGAGGACACCTAATACCAGTGCGGGTGACCGGGAGCAACTGACACCCGCAATTGACGGCAGAGGGAGAAATGTGGCCGATAGACCGTCGACGGCGGTGACGGCTGAGGATGCAGACAGCAATATCTTGTCACTGCCCGGGCCGGAGAAAGACAATCCCGGAGCAGCACACGACCACGTCAGGACGAGCACTGTCTAAGTTCAACAGTTGTTTCAGAACTTCTGCAACACCAAACATTCAAGCTTCAACTCTGATGGTACAGTGCAATAGCAGCGTGCCTGCAAATGTGTGCCTGTACGATCAAAGCTGAGATTTGTATATTCATATTCTACTCAGGAAGAAGTCAGACTAATACTATCTCACCGGCTTCATTGTCTATGCTCCAAGTCACTTTTTCTCCATTCATCGCGTCTTCGAAATACGCCTGGCCGATCAATTGATATGTGGTTCCATGTCCGTCTGCCCCAGAGAATTTCCTCAGTACCACGGGTACTCGGCTCCCGTTCAAGATGGCAACTTCATCCCCGGGCTTGACCGCCGCTGGCGCCAACCCCAGAGCACCTGTTGTGCCCACAAACATCATCTTGCGCACACAGATCAGCGACTGCTTGCGGAGCTTGGCGTATGCCTCCTTTTCCGCGCGTAATCCGAAGCCCTTGCTTTGTCTAATCATATTATCCTTGTCGTATGCGTCAAGCAAGGAAGCCAGATCGAAGACGGGTTTCTTCGGAGTCACTGGTTCCTTGTCGAAGATGTGGCGCGAGTATTCGAATGCCCCCTCTGCTAGTAGGACCTTAAGGACTCGTTCGCGATTGCAAGGTACAGCAGATTTTGAGTTTTTCTTGACGAATTCCAGATGGGCCTGAAGGCGGATGAAGTTCTCGATCCCGAGCGTGTTTCGCTCGGCATACTTGAACTCGATCCCGCTGACCGCAGCAACAGTGTCGATGACTTTACCGTAAGTGACAAGCTGGCAAGGGTCGTTCTCCTTCGAAGTGGGTCGGAACCGCATATCCTTGCTTGCGTTGAAAAGGGGCTCAATACCGCCTTGGTGAATCGGCTGGCCTTGTGGAAGTCGAATGGTCCAATTTGGCGCCCACGAGGCAAGATCGTCCAACTTCTCTTGTCCGCCACAAATGGCGAAGAGATCAAGAGTTTTGTTTTGTTCCATCAGCGACCGAGCGGCGATGTTGTATGCGCTCCCAACTGATATCTCGTAGTCGATCTTGATGGGAGCCGCACCGCCTTGGAATCCGAGGAACGCATAAACCAGGTCATGGTCGCGCCTCGCTTTGACGCTTCCGGCTACTCGACAGAGCACGGTCTGGAGATAGTTGGTGCCAAGTGGTTTGTTGCCTTGGAGTTCGGCCCGTCCTTGTCGAATGGCTTGCAGAGTGTTGCATCCATGGGCGACAATCTGCAAAGGGTTTCCCAAGGATATGTCGGACCTGCGCATCTTGTCCCCCTCAGCCGCGCAATAAGCTTCGACAGCATCGCAGAGTCTATCGAAATTGAGTTCCTGTTTGCCGATGAGGACAACGATCTCCTTGGACGCAGCAGCCTCCTGGTAGATCCAGGCTCTTTCGAAGTATTTGCGGTTCAGCAACTTTGCAATTGCAGTTCGCTGTAAGCTGGCCGCTGACTTTCGATCGCGAAACCCTTCGCTGACCAGGCTTCTCGCCTTGTCCGCGCGGAGGTCCGCTGAAGTGTGGCCCTCCCCGTTGAGCGGACATATTTCATCCAGTGTTTTCAACGCGAGGTCCGAGTCCGTGTCACCCTCTCCAAGCCACAGGTACGTCCTCTTTGCTCCTTGGAAGATTTCCTTCATAAGTGCAACCTGGCACGCGATCTCTCTCGCGTCCGTCTGTTTGACGCAGATATTGTCCCACCAGAGAATGAGCTTGTCTTGCTTCCGCAAAAGGTGCTGAAGGCATGCAATCAGGCTCGGGTTGACGCGCAATTCCTCCCTTTCGTTGACCAACAGTGGAACCTCTGCCTCCATATCAAGCCACGAATAGGAGACTGCCTCGTAGCTATCTTTTGGCAATGTGGCAAGGTCTTTCTCGTGGATCTTGCATCTGACAAGTGGAACAGCAGAACTCGTCTCTAGAAGCTCGCATTCCCTTAGCTTGCAATCCGAGGGGATGCTGTTCATGCTCTCAATCGTTACGAGCCGGATCATCTTTCGGCCTTCAGGCGACAATGTACTCCACTCATAGCGTGTAGGAGCCGCTGGAAATTCAATGGACGACTTCTTCAGGCCTGGCGGTGTCGGTCGCAACTCGTCTGGGGTAGATTCAAAGGCATCGAACGCGTCCTGAAACACGGTAGTCGCGTCTTCAACCTGCTGCGCAAGGACCTGACCAAAGCCAAAGAGACCACCGGCGGCACCAGTCATTGGGAAGCCGAACATGACGTAGGTCGACAATGAGACGAGGACCACGACTGTTTCTGCTCCAGGTCAATGGTCGGAGGAGATGAAGAACTTGAGGAGAAAATCTAGCAGCCCGGCTGAAATCGAGCTCGAGCTCCTTTTTCGGTTTTTATAGTCGAGGGGCGGAGAAGGTCGACCTCGTATTCACTCAAGGCAGCCATCACGCCTGTTTGGCCAACCTCACTGCGAATACGAGGAGCTGAAAGATTTAATGATCAGTCACATGGTATTGCAACTGAGCCTAAGCGGGGCAGTCCAAGGGTTAGGGCAACTTGTGTTTATTGACTTCGGTCTCTCGTTCAAATTGATTCCAGGCCATGTGTCGTCTCTGTCGCTGCCCAGATACTAGTATACATACTGTATATCCGGTTGGGCGTTGAGGTTGTCACTAGTGACTGCGGAAAACATGCGCTGGCAACCTCTTCCCGCTAGCATCATACCTCTGCTTCAACACCGTATCAAACGCACCATCTATGTCCCTGGGCTCATGATCCAGCCCTGCTGCACCCAGCGTAAGCACGTCCAGCCCGTAATTCTCCTTGATCCAGTGCGCAAACATGTCCATACCTGCCACTGCACCGCTCCCCGTCCAGATGTTCCCGTCGACAACCCACTTTTTGTCTTTGGTCCAGTTGACCTTGGGATATGCTCTCACGGTGTAAGCGTATTCGAAATTGTTGATCGTGGCGGCCTTGCCGTCCAAGACACCGGTCGATGCCAGCACGCCGGACCCCGTGCAAGTTGAGAAGATCAATTTCCCGGCCGCGACGTGTCGGCGGATGAAGTCGGCATATTTGGGCGAGAGCTCGAAGTGGGCTATGTCGGGCCCACCGATCAAGAGGGCGTCCAGCTCTGGACAGTCCTCCAGCGTTGTGGTGGGCACGATGGTGATGGAGCTGGACAGGAGGTGGACGGGCTCGAGAGTTTCGCCGATATGGTGGAATATAAATTCCGGCGCGTGCGAGAGTAGCTTCTCATCGATAGCCGGCGTGTAGAGTCTCAGCGCACTCAAGAGGGCCTTGCCGCTCGAGTTGAGGAGGTCGAAAGGTCCAATCACGTCAATGGCTTGGTAGTTGTAGACCAGTGCGCCGAAGTGGAAGGGAGCCATCTTGTTCGAAGTTGGAATGTGGCAGTGTAAGAGTGCTGAGTGCTGAGTGCTGAGTACTGAGTGCTTTGGAAGGTTGGGGGTGTCAGCGTCAGTTTTGCGTAGAAGGTTGGGTAGGTCTTGCTTGAGTGAGAGGCGATACAGTCTGATTTTGCCAACGAAAGATTATTTAAGTACCTTTAGGTATATACTACGAGTACCCTTCTTTAATGGTATTTGTCAGCTTATGGCTGTGAAAATGATGAACTTGCTCAGTGTGTGGACCGGTGGATCGAATATATTCACGAGGCTATCCTTGATAAGGCGACGTTGCCCTTTTAGGCAATGAGGCCAAATCGGGAAGTGTGGGACTTTAAGTACAGTCTTCAAAGCGTGTTCACCACGTCGGCGACTTACAGTAGTGATCTCCAGGTGATCGGGTAAATTGTCACACCGTGTTCACATCGATCTATTCAAACAAGGGCCTTTTTTGATTTGTAAAAGCTGATGGTGAGGTTATGGTAAGTCCGGATTTTTGCTGAACTATCCAGTCGTCAACGAGTCCGGACTGAACAGACCGGTGTGTTGGCTCCGTTCGTTGCCTACTCAACGAGAATCGAGACACGCTAGCTCTCACGGAGACATTACTCCATGTCTGCCTAACTAGAACTCGAGGACATCCCCTTTTGCCCGGAGCAATCGTTCAATTCCACCAGCCTCGTGCTCACCAGAGGGCTTCTGCGGCCAACATTTGGCCGTGCATGAGATTATCATTGACTTGTGAGAGCATTCTACACGGATGAATGGCTTTGACGATGCTGACGACGGGCATGACCGTGTTCTCCAGTGATTGTATTACTAGTACTAGTACTATAATCTCACGGGTAAATCAGGTAATGGAACTCGCTTGACTGGGGGTGGAAAACCAGCTGCCGCCTGACTCGTCAAGCAACATTTGGCCTCTCACTGAAGAGGAGGCCCTTCTACTACGTAAACTGTCATTGCTGCTTGTTTGTCATTGCATGGCATCCTGGCGCCAAATTACACAATTTGCCCATGAGATCGGACATCATTGAGACATCTCCCTGTCTTGCGTCGGTTGGCTTTGAGATGAATCCGAAACCATAGAAGTGGAATGAATCTCTTTGCTTACTCTTTCTTTGTGGATGAACACCGACGCCCCGAAAGGGTTTCCCCGAAGCGATTCGCTGTTTGGTATTATTGAGGATCTATGCCGAAGTGGTGCGGCATACTGGACGCATTGACAGTGATCGTCTTGAATGTGACAACACGGGGAGAACAGCAGATACGGACAGTCCCAGCACGTAGCCTGACTGAGGTATACCGTCTCGTCTTTCACACGATCCGGGTTCCAGCGCTTGTTTAAGTGTTGGACGCATGGCATTGTTGTCGTCAATAAGTTGAGTTGAGGTGGGATGGCAGGCCAGTAACAGTTCTCGGCCTGAATACGTGCTGCCAATGCTTCAGATGGCTCTATCACTTCTGCCGAGAACCCTTCGTAGAACACGATCGGAACAAACCCATCTAGAAATCGGACCCAGCCCGCCGGGATGAGTCCTACTTGGTGTTCCTTTAGAATGAACGGTTCCTCTTGTGTGGCGATGCTCATGAAATCGCGCCCTCGAATTTGTGGAAAGAGACCGGTATTCCTGGAGCGATCCTCATCTCTGAAAGAAAACGCCAGCCAGAGATGCTCAATATATTCCTGCAATGTTTGCTCCTCTCCTCGATGACAGGTGCATCCTTCTGCTGGAGAATTGTTTTCAGAGCAGACGTTGCACCGGATGGCTCAGACTGACAAAAAGGAATCCTATATTTCAGGCCAACACCATACTTGCGGGCTTTGGCCGACAAATAAGCCGCTCTAGCGTGAGCTAGATGGAGTAGAACAGTAACCATTGGTACCATCCATGCCTTCTTCTCGTTGGAGCTGTAAAGAATAACAGGTTCTTCAGAGCTCGACACCAGTCTTTCGATAAAAGACTTGGGTTTCTGCGCAGGGCTTACCCTTGTGCGGCCAATTTTGAAAGAACGTGAAGCTGTAAGCGTTCCAAAGCCCTTGAGACCTAGACCAATCGAGAAAGATGTACCGTCTTTCCGCGAGATTTCAGTTTTCTCATCGTTGCTGGACCACTGGATCTTCGAGTACTTGTGCTTCCTGGTACCAAGGGTAATCTGCGCTTCAGGCCAAAGACCGACAAAGTGGCGGGAAGCTTTTGGAAGATCCTCCACGGCAACGATGCTAACTGGCATCCCTTGATCTTCCGGCTCGACGTCAAACTCAGATATACCATCATTCATGTCATTTTTCATGTCATCCGCAACGTTATCAGGATTGTCAGGTCGTGTTTTGGCAAGAAATTTCAAGTGCCATTGCACGCTTCCGCCTTGGGCATAGATTGGATAAAGTGCGGTGAGCTCGCCTCTCAGCACGAAGTTGTCGCCATGGAATGCTGAGTACTCGAGGCCGCAGATGTGAGATAAAACTGCAAATGACACTTCCAATCCCTGCAGATCGAGCCCTACGGCGATCGTCAAGTCCTTCCTTTTCCGAGGCCTTCCAGGGATAGGGAAACCGGCGGCGACCCTAGCCCTTGGAAAAAGGGGGTACCAACAACAGCCCGCGTTCCGTTGTGGTGTCAAATCTGCCTCATGCCGCGCTGATGGGTTGAATCGCGACAATAGTTCTTGTCGGATCTCACGCGGATTTGTGGAAGACTTGGCCAGCCTCACGACGAACTCGTCGTCATCCTTCAAGATCTCCACCACGGATGGACCGGGTACTCGTTGATCTGGAGGTCCTTAAAGCAGCAGTAAACCACGAGAGAGCTTCCAGAACGTCAGCAAGAATCAGTGGATCACCATTAATGCGTATTCTCCTCCCACCAAAAACATAGAATTCCACGCGCGAGGCTCCGGGGGTAAGCAAGGTGTGGTCGGGATTTGTTCGCAGGGCCCTATCAAACTCCTTCAAAGCGGAGTGCGGGCCTTTGATGATGGTATCAATAAGCTCCAACACGCACTCTGATATCAGTGGCCACCTCCATGACGTGTATTCTTGACAAGTGGCAGCCCAAACGTTGGGCAGATCACCAGTGAGTGTCACAATGTCGCGAACAGACTCGATTTGTTCGAATTCTTGCATAACGAATCTCCGCAAAGAGGGAGCGTCGTCGAGCGTTACATAGTACGTGGGAAGTTCCCAGGTTGCCCCTGGAGAAACACGACCCAGGCACATCTGCTCTATGCTGTACCGGATACTCTGGGATCCTTTCGTCGAAGAAGCAGTGTCCTGATATATGTATTCTCTTTTCGCTGTTCCGCGTTGAAGAAACTCAATACGAGCGGAAGATGGCATCTGGAAACGCTCGAAACATAGACCGACTCGTCGCGCCAAAGGCGCGCCAATGACACACTGGAAGGGAAGCATGAATCCAACGACTGTGAATTTGGCTTCAGCCAGGCTCTTTTCAGCTGAGCGAAGAGGAGGGGTAAAGGCAACTGCTCCCATTGTGAGCCGCAAGATGACGTGGCATGCATGATTTGGGTCTTCATGCAGCAAGTCCTTCCTCGTGATCACAACAACTGCAGCCTGATCATGGTCCTCTGCAAGCAATCATGCCTCAACCCTTGCTGGCAAGACACTTGGCGCCAGCAGGGGATGGCAGCGCTGCGCGACCAGGCGCGGTGATCGGGTATCAATAAGTTATCTGGAATTTAAGCAGGAAGGGACTGATGGGCTGATGGGACCATGAGGTGGTACCTGGAGGTAGGTGAGGTAGTTACCGCAGTCAATTCGAGGTCAGGCTGAGCCAAGTTGAGCCGGGTCATATATTACCTACCTTAGGTATTCAACTTCATTTTTCACAGCGAGACAGGTGCGATATTGAATCTGTTTCAGATTGAAAGGTGTCCCCGTGAACTTGTTATACTTCAGGCAACTCTAGGAATGTGATCGGACTGTACGGTCCTCCTGCGGCTTGTCTTGACAGTCCACGGTCTTCGACTTCAGAATATTCAAGAATTCCTCCTTGCCCACCGAGACCGGTGCAATGGGATCATCGGTGTATCCGTTTGGCTGATCAGCGCTTGGCGTCCGATGTTTACCACCAAGCTGGTGTTATTGCGGAGTCGATTCACTCGTTCCGCGAGTCTGAGCATGGCAAAGCCAATGCCCATGTGGGATTATTTGAAATCCACGATGTGCCGGCCACTGCGCATCCGCCGTCGTGGTGGCCAGGAGAGAGCTCAGCGGAGCGCCCGCTTGCAGGACGGAAGGTCGTGGATTTGACGAGGGTTATCGCCGCACCGGCCGTCACGCGCGGGTTGGCAGAGCTGGGTGCCTCTGTCATGCGTGTGACAAGTCCGAATATTGTTGACTATTCGAGTCTGCACGTCGACCTGAGTTGGGGCAAGTGGAATGCGAGCCTGGATTTGAAGACGGAGGAAGGGAGGGGGAGCTTGCGGGAACTGATTTTGGATGCGGATGTCGTTGTCCAAGGGTACCGGCCCGGCGTCCTGGATAAGTATGGATTCGGACAGCAGGGGATCATTGACTTGATCGCAAATTCTGGCAGGGAGAGAGGGATCATCTCGGCGAGAGAGAATTGCTATGGCTGGAATGGGCCGTGGAGTTATCGGAGCGGGTGGCAGCAGATCTCTGATGCGTGTACGGGCGTTTCGTGGGCATTTGGTAGGGCTATGGGCTTGGAGAACGGGGAACCGGTCACACCGGTGTTTCCGAACAGCGATTATATGACTGGCATTGCCGGCACCGTTGCGATATTGACTGCATTACTACGCAGAGCCGAGAAGGGTGGAAGTTACAAGGTTGATTTGGCGCTGAACTATTACAATCAATGGCTGGTGGAAAGTGTGGGCGAATATCCCTCTCAGGTCTGGGACGATCTGTGGTCGCGGAATGAGAGGAAGGTGTTCAGGTGTGTGGAAATGCTTCGCTAGCTGTGTCTTTGGCAGTTTCTGACCGTGGCTTGTGATTCAGGTGTTACCATAATATGCCTCAAACGGTGCCGGCGTATATGGAGATGCTTCAGCAGAACTCCCCTCACATCTTTGATCCGAAATTCTTTGAGGTCAGGCCTAGTGATGCAATCGACGCGGTGATTCGCACCGTCAGGCCCGTCAACCAGTTCGACAAGGACGAGGTAGAGCTGAGGTACAATGTTGGGACTCGAGGGAATGGCAAGGACCAGCCGAGATGGCCAGATAACTTGCCGGCAGAAGTTGTGTCCTAAGAAACAGTTGCATGTATTGCAGATTGTAAACGAAGAGACTGATCTGTAGGTTCACTTACGGACCGAATAGGCTACAAGCTGCACTGCTGGTGAAATGCATTCGGTCAGTAATATCAGCCAGTGATGCGCCCAACCAGCCCAATCTGCCGATTCATCTTGTGACAACCCCAGGGCTAAGCCTGTTGAGCCAATACCCAAGCTTCCGGCTCCCTTTTCGCTGCCTCCAGCAGGATCTGTCTAAAGTCGTCCTGAACCTGTTGCAGTGTCTTGCTATAGTCTGGTTGCAGCTGGTGATACTCGTCCGACCCCCTGATTACAGCAAGTCCCAGTATGCCGTACAGCCTATCCCTAGGATCTACACACTGCTTCCCCTTGACCTCGTAGGCAATGTCCAATAAATCCGGTTCTAGGCCTGCCCTGTTAAGACCTTTGCTCCTGACGGACTGCTGCAATTGTTGCCCAAGGAGATCGATGATACCCGTAAGATCAACGCCGGTCAATCCAAGATCGTCGGAACCAGCGAGGCCATTCTCGGTCCAGTCTGCGGTTACCGCAGCGAACTTAAGGCCCCGGATGAACAAAGACACACAATGTGGTGCGGCAGACCACTCACAGAACGAGCCATCGCTACAAATCATGACCGTCTTACGGCTTGAGAGCGCAGCTTCCTGCACAGTCCAGATGCGCCTGAACCAGTTACGGCTGAGTATGTCGGTGAGGCCTTTTTGGATAACTTCTGGAGGGTTGTCTTTCCACGGTGGGTTTTCTTCGAACGCCTTCCCCTCCGCGATGAATTGAAGCGTCTGTATGCCGGATTTGGAGTGCTCAGTAGCCTCGCCCAGCCAGATGATAACTTGTGCAGCGCTTGCGAAAATGGTGCCCATTATGCGCACTTGATGGTTTCGCTCTAGGATATTATGTTGGTCTATGCAGAGGGCATCGACCCAGATGAAGCGTGATGTGTCTGGTCGGCGCAACTCGGTGAGCGCAGCGTGCACACTTGCGCTGATACGCTCTCTCTTGAAAGAATCGTCCCCAAGGATTATCGTGTCTTGGACTTCTCGATTGCCCCATACATAAGAAAGTGCGTCGAAGGCAGGCGAGCTAACGAGATCGACAGAGTGTAGTATTGCCCGCAAGCCTTCACCACGTGCACCTGGGAAAAGTTCGATGAGCCTGATTTGGGTCTCCGCCAACGGTTCACGGGTGAACGAGAATGGTACTGGTCGATGAAGCCCTTTGTCTTTGACAGATACGAAGGCAGTGGTAAGCTGACCTTCCTCTCGCGGGCGATCAGTGCGGACTTTTAGCCAGATACCGCATGAGACGAGATCGATTTTGCCCTCTTGGCTACTCGGGAGACGCAATTGTGACATAGCAGCATCGCGAGTGTTGATGACCTGCTCTACAATGTCTGCTGTGCTAGCTTTACCTTCGATTGGCCACGAGTCCTGATAGAAGGCGACTTGGTAATCCATAGTTGCGGAGAATGATTTTTGCTGTATGGGTAGTTGTTGCCACTGTCATTTAGAGGGTGCGGTACCTAATCTGAGAAGAACCTGGCGTTTTCATATATCCGCACGCCATAACAGAGAGGTGGTGAAGAAAGATCGAGGCAGTTGGAGGAGCAGCATCGGTGCTAATCATGCATGCAAGCTGAGCCTCGACGTTGTCAGCCCCAAGGTGGGGCTTTGGGAGCTTGACACATGTAGCGATCTCAGAACGTCGATACCAGCTGCACAAACTATTGCAAAAGACATGAGAAGAAAGATTTGTTCTCTGTCCAAGGGTCGTGATGGATCGTAAGGAGAGCGCAGCGCGCTGGCTATAGTCCATGATGTCCCCACATCTCATGCCTAAAGCAGGGGCTCACCAGGGTTTAGGTGGCTGGCGATGCCTAGATCTGACGGTGCTCCAGTAATTCCCATAGCCACACTGAACCTGGTGAGCCACCCCCGAGCTACCATCCCGGTCGTCATGATGATGTGATGCCGGTCATACCTGGTCCATTCTTCATTTGGCCGCCTGCAACTCCTTCTCTTCACCCTGGATCTCCATGTCCACGCCAACAGCCACTCCGCCCTGCATGCCTCCGGCACCGACCATCTTGACGGAGCTCGCCGCTTCAACGGTGATACTCGTATTAGTGACACGCTTGAGCACCAAAGGCAACAAGACCAGAAGAGACCCGGCCGTCAGACCCCAGTATGATCCGAACATGGTGACATACGATTTCTTGTCCTCGTCAAGGCTTGCCACAATGGCACTTCCAGCCGCACCGAAGACCTTGTAGAAGGCGCCGTACATGCTGAGCACTAAAGGGTCGTTGGACAGTGTGCCCATAATCCAGTAAGCATAGCATTGCCTGAGCAGGTTAGTCAAAGGTGGACGCCAGTCCCAGAATAATGGAAACCCACCAAGCGCCATCGAGAAACCCATAGAAGAAGTACAGGGCAATATATCCTCCTGCCTCGCTGTCTTTGACGTCGAGAACCTTCGTCACAGGATGATCTCGGCTCGATTTTCGGAGAGGAAAGATACCGCCAATGAGGACAGCATTGAAGATGACGAACATGAGCAACCACCCCTAAATTATCAACGTTAGCTGTATCCCTGCAGATCGAGCATACGGATGCTCCTCTTACCAACAAGGCTCTACTGCGTCTGTTGAAGTACTTGATATCAAGGAAGAGACCCAGCAGACCCGCCGAAACCATCTGAGCGACATTGTACCAGATGGAGTTGAACGATCTGGTGCGCACGTCGAAGAAGTAGGCGTTGTAGTCGTTACTCTGATATACGCCATACCAGAGTCCTGCAAAAGCGTACGGGAAGAAGAGGATGATCCACGGCTCAACCTTAACCGACTTGACCACGTTCTTCAGTTCGGTCCATAGTGATGCGTGCTTAACCACATACACCTTCGTCCCGTCGTCTCGGACAATCTTGCTTGGATGGACCAGGAACATTGCGAGGACGGAACCCCCCAGCATCAGCACAAAAAGGGCAATGTAAGTGCCATCGTTGACCCTGCCAGCTGAGGTGTTGGACCAATTCTGCGCTGTGGGAATGATGCTACCGATAACGGCGCCCATACTCCAGATGGTCCAGAAGAGACTGATGTAGCGGCCCTTCTGATCTTCGGTCGGGTAGGACATCAACATCGTTCCTTCGGCGGTCCTGGACGAGGAAGAATCAGCACAGTCTCATGGGCCCAAGGCTACTGCACTTACCAGAGGAAAGCTGCAGAGAAACCGCAAGCTGCTCCTGCGAACAGGACAAAGCCATCGTTTGAGGTGTGATTGTAACACCAAAAGGACGCTGCGTACAAGGCATATCCCACACCACCAATCGCCAGAGTGATCTTAGGACCCAGGTAGTTGCAAACGGACCCAGAGACCAGGGCTAAACCGGCGAAGATCGAGTACAGAATGATGTTGGATTTGTTGGAAAGATCGGCGGTCAACTGTCCTGCACCACCAAGGGATGCTAGGACATTGAACATGCCTTTGACTTGGTCAGTCGCTGAAACAATAACATACACCGCTCTGACTTACCGACAACGAGAAAACACACGAAGCCGATGACGATGGTCTGAGCAAGCGGCGACCTGTACGCCGGCAAGACGACGGGCCCGATCTTGTATCCTCTTGCGACAACACCATGGGACGCGCTGAGCGTAGAGCCGGTCTCGACGTCCATCATTGTTCCTGCCCCTCGGACGTCAAGTTGTGCTTTGCCTGCGGTCGCCTGCATCATTTGTTCGCGCAGCAATTTGCTTGCACGACGGATAGCTGAGAAGTACCACTACACGATCGGCTTTCAGACGGTACATATCTTCATGAAGTCTCCTCGTCACCTGAGAGGTCCCAAGACCCACGTACGGCTATACTTTGTCGTCCATCCCTGAAATTGTTACTTGGGTCCGGGCATGGCGGCCCGGATCAGTCACACGACAAGTCTGGAGGGTTATCAACGCTAGCATCAAGATCAAGGTAAAATGCGTGAAGGTGCAGAAAGGATACGTCCCTATGCAGTAACTATTGACTTCGCCAAAGCACGGGCACATTGGTGTCCACTCACCTGCCCACGCAAAAAGGAAGCGCTGACCGCATATCCCACGCATGCCCACGAAACGTGGGTCGATGCCATAATTTATGCCCGCCCAACTCCACGGACAAACTTTGCTGCAGTAACTACCAGCGTTCCTTCACTAAACATCAAATCATGGCTCTGACAGCCACTCTGGTCACATGATGCATGATACTCGACGTTGGAACGAGATGGCCAAGCCTGTACTCTCGAGTATCGAAGCACACAGAAGAAAGGGTCAAATGGGCATATACCGAATGCAACAGGAAACGGGACAGCGATGACTCCGACACGTATCATCCTCCTGGGTGCACACCATCCCCATTTCTACGTGCGCGTCGGCATCCTCCAAGCACGAACAGACATCGAGATCATCGGTTTCTGGGAACAAGATGTAGTTCTCGCCGCAAAGATCGAAAAGCGCCTTCGAATCCCCCGGTTCCCATCTGAACATGAGCTCGTCAGCACAGTTTTCGACATAGCATTCGTCCACCCCCTGGACCACGACAACCCACGCCTCGCTCTCCTCGCAGCATCAAATGGCGCCAAGGGCTTACTGCTCGAAAAGCCCGGCGCCACGCACCCGGAGCATCTCTTCAAACTAGTCGAGCAGCTGAAGCAATGGCCGGATCTTGTCGTTGAATGGGGCTGGGAAATGCACTACGCCGAGACGATGGACTTTGTGCGCAACCTGGTCCGACGCAACGCCCTCGGCCAGATCACGACGTCACGCTGGCACGGAGGCACACCGTCCGGCGGCGCCATGGAAATCTGGCAGCGCCAGAAGAACACCTTGGGCGGCTTCTTGTACATGGACGCGAGCCACACTCTCGAGGTGATCGTCGATGTCTTCGGCCTGCCGCAAAGCGTGTCGGCGAGTATACGAAAACTGCCCAAGGGCGAGAAACACCCGATAGTTAGCTGCTGGTATGACATGCACCAAGAAGAACTGGACCCGGCGACGACGGAATTTGCTGTTGGAGACCTGCCGTACGAAGACATCGGCAGCGTTATCCTCGAGTACGAGACGCACAATGTCGTCGCCGACTTCACGGCCTGGGAGCCGACGGATTGGTGTGCGGACTGGGGAATTGACATCTATGGCACGAACGGGGCGTTTCATGGCGTGCTGAATGCTCCGAGGGGCGAGGTGGTGCTCCGCTCGAGTAAAGCCGGGTATGCACGGGGCGTGACGAAGATGTCCACCGAGAAGCCACAGGGTGCGTCTAATCAAGTTGGATACTACACGCGGCAGATCGAGTTGTTCTTGCAAAGGGTCAACAGCCGGGCGATGACAGAATGTGCCGATGCTGATAATCAGGTGAAGCTGATGAAGGTTTTGGATGCGATTTACAAATCGGCCAAGGAGCGTCGATTCATAGATGTCTTATAAACTGTAGACAATAGACTGGTGCCAGCCGTCCCGGGCATTGATACTTTACCCTCTCATCCTTGCGTACTCAAGCCACTCGCAACTATCTGCTGGGAGTCAACCCCGGAGAGTCACACTTCCGCCCAAAACCACTCGGTCACCAAGCACACAGATCAATAGGCTGGTCTAACACCAGCTTCAGCCTCCTGGACCATACCATGAAAACGCCTCCGTTCCGGCATTCGATGATCCCTTTCATCGTACTACCATCCAGTCCGACATCGAGACCGCCATTGTAGCACCCAATGGCATGGTCACCTCCGAAACCCCATATGACCATGCAACTCTCTCTCAAGCTCTCAAGCTCACAGCCTCGCCTCGCATCGCAACGTCGAAATGTTCATTTCAGCACGGCCACACACTTGATCTCCACATCCGTGTTCAACGGCAGCGTCTTGACAGCGACACACCTTTCAACCGAGTATTGACGTTAGCATTTGTTTGCCGACGTCTGCCCGCCCCATTCCCCCATTCCATTCCGTCGAGAACCACAAAGAGGTTTGAGAAAAGGAAAATAGAGCGAGAAAGAGGGAAAGAAAAAAAGACACTCACGTTCTCGCAGGCTTCACATCACCCCAGTACGTCGTATACACCTCATTCATCTTGGCAAAGTCTTCCATATCCGCCAGAAAGACATTGACCTCGACGACGTGCTCGAGACTCGATCCTGCCGCTTCGAGAATGGTGCCCAAGTTCTTGATGCATTGGTGCTGTCAATAACGAAAAACCCCATTAGTATATTGTTCATCCCGCTATTCGTGCGCCCGCTGTCCAACCACAGTGACAGCAAGGGCAAGGGCAAGGGCAAGGGCTACCCACAGTATGAGCCTGGATATCGCCATCGATCAACTTCATCGTCTTGGCGTCCATGGGCACGCAGCCCGAACAATACACAAAGCCATTGGCCACGATGGCCTGGCTGTAGATGCCCGGTAGAGCCTTGGGCGCGTTCTCCGTGACGACTGGCGTTCTTGACATGATGTGTCTTCGACAGACGGTCGGCCAAATATACACTATTCGTGCCCTTTTGTTGAGCTCGCGCGTACCTGGGTATTGTATGGTCGTGAGAGAGATAGAGGGAATGTTAGCTTCGTCGACCCGACAGAATTACACACGGTAGATCTATTTTGACACTGTCTCCTTGACCCGGCAGATCAGATTACTGTAGTTTCCCCTGGTTGCTGGCTGCGACAGACCAGCAACCGTGATGGCACCATCAGTCGGATTCAATTACGCGGGCAAGTCAAACCCCCACAGCCCACGTCTATACGCCGTCTCCGCTGAGTGCATGCCCACAGCCGTCTCAGATCTCCCACGCAGCATCACCCTACACTTGGCCCAGATAATCCCAATGAACCTCAAGCCTCCGCATTGGGCCCTTGCAGATGCAGAGATATCAATTGGACGCTACTTGATCCGTTTCAGGCTGATCAAAAGCCTTCGAAAAGGAGGACGAAGATCGCATCCTCGAAAAACCGTGAGCTTACTTAAATCGCTTTCGGAAAACTTGAAATTCGAAAGTATCAAAAGGCAGCAGATAAAAGAATCGATAACGCTCAGCTCAAGCTCGCCCGTGACCCAAGCAAGTCTACTGGTGACAATGTCGTTAACACACCCTCAACCACCGTACCCACTCCACGATTCTGTCAAGGACAAACTCCATCCAGAGTATGTCAAGTTTTACAATGAACACATAATCAACTCCCAACAGGTGCACTACCAGCCAGTCTCGGCATCTCGAGTGGGAGGCAAGATCATTCCCGGTGGCGGAGATCCCCTCCCCGTCGGCAGGACCCAAGATATTGCACTCAAGCGCCAGCAAACCGAAGGACCCGATGTCCAGATCAGATGCTTCACTCCCGAGGGCGAGCCACCGGCGAATGGCTGGCCCGTCATGATATACTACCATGGTGGTGGCTGGGTGTTAGGCAACATCTCCACCGAGAACACGGTCTGCACGAACATGTGTGCTCGATCCAGATACGTGGTCATCACCACTGATTATCGACTCGCTCCCGAACACCCATGGCCGGCGGCTGTCCACGATTCTTGGGAAACTGTTCTGTGGGTCTTCGGAGAGGGCAAATCGACCCTTTCGCTAGATCTGTCCAACGTCGCCATTGGAGGTTCCTCGGCGGGCGGCAATCTTGCGGCCATCATGACTCAGAAAGCGCTTTCATATCCCAGCATCAAGTTCACTCTTCAACTCTTGATTGTTCCCGTCACCGACAACACGGCGACTGTCGAGTCCAATCCGACATACAAGAGCAACGAATTCACCGCGGCCCTTCCAGCGGAGAAGATGCTCTGGTACAGGAGGCATTACCTGCCCAACGAGAAGGACTGGAGCAATCCAGAGGCTTCGCCGATATTGTACCCTGCAGAGAACTTTTCCAAGCTTCCGGCAGCAGTAGTCGTGGTTGGAGAACTCGATGTGTTGAAATTCGAAGGCGAAGCTTATGCCCGAAAGCTGAGAGAAGCTGGTGTGGAAGCGACTGTACATGTCATGGAGGGCATGCCTCACCCATTCTTGGCCATGGATGCAGTGCTCGAGGCAGGAAGGGCCGCTATCACTATCTTATGTGACAGCCTGACCAAGGCTATATCGTAGATAGCAACTGATTCCTGTGAATATCCCAGCAATGATACCAGTCTGATGTAGTTCAAAATGCGACAGCATCACTACCCGAGCCCTTCCTTATTTGAAGTAAGCAGTGTCAAAGGTCTCGTATCTCCATCATGGAACTGATAGCTCGATCAACTTTCCAAGAGTTGTGCACGCCTCTTGTAACAACTCCCACCGACAATCCGAAAGCGACTCCTTGACCACGGTCAACAGTCCGAGTGTCCTGTTTGTCCCTTTCAATTCGCTGTGATGATCCATCAGGCCGCTCAGCATATGAACCAGATAGTCCTCTGCGCTGATCTTCTCGGCAGATTTGCCCTCCGTGAGTATACCAAAGGCCCACAGTATCAGGGTAGCATGGTACAAGCACCAAGGGCGCAAAGCGATGTTATCTTCGGGTGCTCGATAACGCTTCCGTGTGAACATGGTCTCTTGAATGAGCAGAATGCAATGTGATAGTGTGCGTTTTGCTGATGGTCTTTCACACCAGACTTGGATTCTCCGTTTCGCCTTGGCATATTCATGCCTCGTTGTGCTGCCAGTAAGTGAGGGCGCGCCAGCGAAGGTATGAAAGTCGATCAAGTTGACGTAGATGGTGACGTGAGCCATGCGGTGTAGCGGTCTCCCAGCTTCGAGACACAAAGACGGTCTTTGAGACATCAAAGAGAATGACCAAGTATCGATAGCCCGGTCCAGGATCTCTTTCCAGTTGTCGTCGCCTATGGTCGAGGGTGGTGTCGACTCAGCGCCATGATCCGAGGCTCTTCCGGTCTCAATATCCATGGCCATCAAGTCCCGCGCCTGCATATGTTTCGTGACATTGAACAAGCCATGTAACAAGACGAACCGTGCGAATGGGCTGCAGCTTGAGGGTATCGGACGACGTGACAGTAAAGACCGCAACGTAGGCAAGAATTGTACCGCTTGTGCAGACTCAGACAGCCTCTTTTTCCATGACGAAGGAGTCGAGCTGTCCCACACTTCATCTGCACAAGGTAGTGCAAGACGTACGTCGCTGACAGAGAGTGCAGGAGTATGGCCGAAAATTGAGGAATGTTGGGCGTCCATAATAAATGCAAAATATGCAACTCGCTTAAAAGATTCTTGTTCGACCCATGAGTGCCACGCTCTCTCTGCCGAGGACGCTTTCGTCGCATCGTCAGTGGAATCGGACGAATATGAACCTCCTCTTCGCATGAGGGTGATAACAGCGCCGTGGAATATGTGTGCCATCTCATGATGCCTTCGAGTTGAGAACATCTTCTCGTATGCCTGGACAAGGAGCAATGCTTGCAGACACCACAGAGGTGCGGGCGGCTGAAAACTCCCGCTGCTGAATATTAGCCATCTCAAGCTTTCGTGAATCCTTTCCGCCGTCCGATAGTGGGCAGATTCAGGCGACAGGGTAGCACCCAGGGTGAGAAGTGCGGCAAGGAGTAGAGGTGGGGTGTCATCCAAATTAAAAGAAGCCTGATGCAGGATTGGAAAGTGAGCATTGTAGTTTGCGAAGTAAATGTCGAAAAAGGATTTGAGGTTGCTAGGTTCAAAGAACGGGTCTCCCAGCAGATCCTGCGGCATTGTGCGAAGGGCATCTAGAAGTCGTGTCCGTGCGGTAAACCACGGACTGGACGCCAATGATGGTGTATCTATGCTGGGTTGATGAGATAGTGTACTGTTGGGGGAAGCGAAGGAGACATCGTTCGGAATGGTGATGTCTAATGAGGGATCCAGCGCAAAATCGTCTGGGAGAGCGACATTCCCAAAGAGCCAGTCCAGGTCTTCGGCAAGGCCATGCGCACCATCTGAGGCATCGAATATGACATGGTGGCCAGTGCCCATTTGCGGCCCCTGCAGAAAATCTGGGTAGTCAATGGTCTCGAATGTTAGAGCCGTGTTCAATGGGACAGGAAGCGGTGAAGACACAGCGTCAGCATGCTGCTGTTGCGGTGCGACCTCTTCAGCGGGCAAATTCATATCGACTTCTGCAGCAGGAGCGTCGGATACATGGGTTGCCGAAGGTGAAGTCGGGGTATCAGGCACATAACCGCCAGAGTTTCGATAAGACATGCCGCGCTCATGGCGTCTTTGGTGCCTTTGCAGCAAATCGAGTCTAACGAAGTCTTTGTGGCATGTCTCGCATGTGTAGATCTTCTTGGGTCGATCTGTCTCGTCATCAGTGACCTAGTGCCTTGACATTGAGGGAAATAGCCTACGATTCAGGCGATGTCGGCTCAAGTGCTCTGGACGTTTGAAGGTCTTGCCACAAGCCGGGATGGAGCAAACATGTCTGGCAGACATTGTACTTTCGATCGATAACAGATTCTGGAGCCTCTGTGGGCGCGTTCATGCGTCCTACAGTCATTGATGCATTCGCGTACTCCGAGTCATTGTCCTGTGTCATGGAACGAGAAGAAATAAGGTCAAGAACGTGACAAAGTCTCGAGGATGAGGAAGTTCCGGGTCTCGTAGAGATTCAAGCAAGTCACTTCTGGAGGATCTTGGCGCTAGAAGCACCTGGACTTTAGAAGCTGAGTGCCGCCTGGACGTCATTCCTTGGGCTCATTAATACTTAACTTAGGCCTAGTGAGCCCTAATCAAGGGCTATCATGGGCTTTGTTGGGGCCCATAAGCCGAGGCACCTATCAACGGGCTTCTCACAACCTTGTCAGCTACTAGTACCGTATAACACCATACCAAGTTTTCGGTTGCCCAAGAATAGATATATTCCATCTTTGATCCTACCTCTCATTTCTATATGGAAAAGCTGATGCTAAGGTGGCAGAATCTCCGAAACACATGCCATAAGATCATGGCGACCAGCTACTGTAGGAAGAAGCAATACCTCATGGCTTACCTCATCCATCAAACTCATACTTCTGTATCCCCTTCACTCCCTCTGGCTTGAATCTAAACATATGCCCTCCCTCATCATCAGGCTTTGCGTCTGGACTTTTGTCTCTTCCCGTCGCGATATAAAGGATATCAGAGTTCTTCCCACCCCAAGTCGTACAAGCCATGTTGTTCGCCGAGAAGACAATATCCTTCAGGTGCTTGCCCGACGGACTGAACACCATGACTCGGTAAGAAGCAAACATTGCAATCCAGAGATTTCCCTCCGTACTAGCGAAGCATATCAGCTACCAACCCTGGGACTTTGCTCCTACATCTTCCCAGGAACCCAGAGAGAGGAGGGTATGCAACTTACTCAACTACCATTCCATCCGGCTCGCCAAAAGAGCTTCTCCGATCAATGAGCAATCGCTTGTTCGAAATGCTCCCACTCTCCAGGTCGAAGTCATAAGCCCATACCAGCATGGCGACCGAGTCGTTGAAATACACTGCGCGTGCGGCAACGGTCATCAGCAAAAAGAAGCCCTCTCCCAATTCTCAAAACCGCGCACACTCAAAAACACTCACTCGTCTTGTTATCCGGACTCCAGGCCAGTCCATTCCCACAAATGATGCCCTTCTCCATAAGATGGAGACTGCCATCAGGATCGTACCGCCACAACCGTCCTATCGGTTCGCCATGGCTAGCAGGGCACTGATTCGGCCCGTAAGCCATAGCCACCCTGTCGATTTCCGCCAGCCAGAACCGCCCCTTCGCATCGACGCCTCCGTCATTGAACCGCCTTATGCCACGATCACTCGTCGGTATGATCTCCTTGACCACTTCGAGCTTGCCTGTAGCTTCGTTCATGAATGCCACGCCCTGGAAGTACGCGCAGATGTAGCTTCCGGGCTTGTTCTTGCGGAAGAACGCGACCGTCACGCTGTCTTCCAACTTGACCACCCTGACCTCGCCCTCTGCGTCGCCGGTCTCCGGGTCGACCTTGACGATCTGCAGCTCCGGCGGCTCACACAGGCAGTCCACCCAGTGAAGCGACGAGTCACTTGGCCGGTAGATGGGCGCCTCTCCCAAGTTCATGCCATTTCCACACCGAAGCCAGGCCTTCCCACCTTCGACCACTTCAAGCGGACCTGAGGACATCTTCGTGCTGTTCTCGCTAGAGTCGTTTCTCAAAAAGACAGCATGCGATCCGCTGAACAAGCGTGCCCATAAAAGCTTCACCACAAGCCGAAGGACCTCTTCACTGGGTGGACCTCAACATTGGCTACAGGAGCTGAAGCCAGGTCAGTGGCAGCATTGTATTGGTCCACTGGCGCATCAGTCAACCAACCGACAGTTGGCGATTGTAAGTTAACCACAACAGATTGTCTGCGTGGGCAACCAATGTTTGCTGCCATCCTGGCGGGTGTTGCATAGGGTTGAGGTTGCACAGGTGGGTGGGCAGCATCAAGCGACCAAGAATGGGAGAAAATGCCCGCGCAAGAAGCCCCCATCATCCCCTCGTCTGAAGACCCATGCACGATATCCACATAGATAGGAGTAAACCGTGCCTTAACTTAGTCATAGGGCCACGATTATCAATCCGGTCACTCGGCCTGGACTTTGCTTCTTGGCTTCTAGAATGTCGTGGTACTAGGCCGTCGCAAGTGGATAAGAATCACCATAGCTTTCTGACCTAGCGCCGTGTGCGGCATTGCTGATGACAGCTTGCACACATCTACATCTACATCTACATCTAACAAGCGCATCACTGCGTCTTTAGGGAACAGAATTCAAACACCAAGTGCGACCTATATTCTCGGACGCACGCAAAATGCCACCCTCCACCGCCGTCACCATCACTAACGCTATGCACCTGCTGTGCTGCAACAACATGAAGCCTGACCACCAGTACTGCTTGGGCCGGGGACTTCCAAAGGTATCGTTCATTTTCGTCCCTAAAACAACCAGCCTCCCAATGTTCCGCCTAAGGAATTTCATCGCTCGTGTATTCTTTTCTGCTTGTCTCTCTCATGCACCCACCTCCCTTGCTTTTGTAATATCGTACAACTATACTCCAGGATATATGCGCTCAAACTCCCACGCGCTCTGTAATGGACCATTCCTGCTTCACCCGAATCGTATTCGGCGCCTGCGTGGTATCAAAGCTGATCCTCTCTTCCTGACTGGTCGTGTCACTGCGCGGCATTTTGTTGACATGCGACAACTCAACGACACTGTCGTTACGATAGTAGGATGCGCCTCGCGGGTAAGGGTCCGACGTATGGTCGCGCCGTGTACTCGACAGCAGACGTGGGAAGATAAGACTGATCACAGGGCGCATCGCAGGTATACATGCGCACATGATACCGACGTTCAGCTCGGCGGCCGACCAGGTCGCGGCGTCGACATTATCGTAGGTAAGATCGGTCGACACGCTCGTGATATAAAGGGCATGGAGTCGCAGGATCGAAGTAATGCAGCCACTACAGTATCGCAATGTCAGCCGAATCAACAAAACCGGCCCCAGGAGAGTCTTACAATCCGCCCAGAGCGAATACCGCAATCAAGCTGATTTTCTGCTTCCGGGGAAGCTGAAGGTTCTTCAAAACCGGCATCGGCAGAAACCAAACGGCCAAGTCGGTGATGATATTAAAGGCCGAAAGGCTGAACCAGAAAGCCAACAAGTCGACGCAGTGGCCGCCCTCGATACTTTTGTCCCAGTAATATCGAATAGGCCAGCATGAGAAGCACGAGGTGAGGATGAATGCGGATCCTCCAATGCCGATGGTGCCGATAAGCCACCAAGCTGCGAGGCGATAATTCCTTTGTACGAAGAAGCGAAGATACTGGTACAAGATCGAGACCTTCACGAGGAAGAGTGCAATGTTGTACACGATGACGCTGGCGTACAGCAGCTGGAAAGTGGTCAGCAATGCGCTTCCCATTCGGCATCAGAAATTACCTGGGCCAACGTCTCATTGTCTGCTTTACTGACAGTATCTGCGTGTCGACCCAAGCCATGCTCCTTTTCTGCGATACAACAGTCAGTTGCTGCGTGTCCAGGGTTATGGGAATTGTACTCACGCAGGGCTATGGTCGCGGTGAGACCGATGGACAGAATAAAAGCAAATATGATCAGGTAATCTTCTGGGCCCGCTTGCTTGATGACAACGAAACGAGACACGCAACGGATGAGGATGAAAACGAATGCCAGAACATTGAAGACAACCGTCGTCACGACGGCCTGCATCCCACGCTCCAAACCCATATTGCCCGGAGGGAGCGGTTGCGCCGCACAAAAGTATCAATGGCCAAAGTATATCATGGAGGTAAGTTGCTGGAGACTTCAAATATGTCAAGTCCAGAGCAGGAGCAAGCATGGAACATATGGGGTTTCCCGCTTCCCTTGGCTGGCCCCGATAGTGCCAGGGGCACAGATACCGTGGAATTTCGATGGCGTTTCTCGACCACGTCGGGCGTTGAGAGGCTAAAAGCAGAAAGAGCCAGGGTGAGCTGGAGAATTGATCAACCCCCGAAGCCTGGCAACACGTTGTTCAGAAGCGAGGACCCAACGCAATCTGGGGTAAGGGGGTGCCATCACGGGCTGTCGGGAGCATGCCGAGCACTTTGGTGCCGGCGAAAACTGCTCTAAAACACTGGCGAGCATGTTGTGGCTTGTATAGTGCGAGTTAGTGAAAGAAGAATGGACGCTAGAGACATTCCCCGGCATGGCCCTGCGCATGGAGAGCAGCAGTCGATCCTGACGAGGACAGTCGTGCGCACAGTGGCCGCCCGTAACAGAACCAAAGGTTTTCATGCCGTAACAGCCGTACTTAGAGCACCAAGTAAAAGACTGGCGTGACTGGCTAGGGATTGGCAACACGATGTGCCGTGAAAAATGTGGCAGACCAATTTTGAGGACGCAGTGGAAATAGTAGTCGAAACACCTTAACCTGAAAGCCGTTGTCTTTGCCTTCCCGAAGCCCTGGTTTGACCAGATATTCGTAGGCGAGACAGCATTTGCTCCAGGTCAATAGCGTACGAGTAGCTGGCTATGACTCCGGGGGTGTTGGGGAGCTTGCTCGCCTATCCCAGGACGAACGGAATGTGGAAGTCTCTGGATTTTGTGGAGTGTGGGAGCAGGCCACTGATTCGGGAGAAACGGTGGAGCCCTGTTTCGCCCCAAGCGAGTTCTTCCAGATGATGGAGGCCAGTCATGCCAGTGCAGTGACAGGCGTGGAGCCCCGTCAAACCATTGTCAATCGAGGCCCGCAAGCTTCCAGATGCTTCCCCTCCAGTGGCCAGGCTCCTGTTCGTGCCACCAAGTTCGCGCCGCTCATGCATTTTAGTAAACATGGATGCAGAAACTGCTGCGTCCCGAGCAGTATCAGTGTTAGGAAAAGCCATGAGCCGTGCCGCGATCTCAATTTCTACTGACCTTAGGCAGAAATGGTTCGGTAGCTATCACGGGCGCACCCATCCTCCCTTGAGCACCAGTACAGACTTGGTGGTGTAAAGTCTTCACTCAAAAGAGGAAAGCCCTGACCAGGCGGTAGCTTGGTAAAGAGAACACGAGGACAAGCAGCTTGCAGAGCCCATGTATCTGGCTTGTCGCGACGACCGTTCGACCGTGCTTCATATACAACATTCAGCTTCTTCTGCAGCTTCCAGCTTAGAGCATTGGACACCGGGGCATATCCTCTCCTCAAAGATCCCGCATGTTCCAAAGAGATACCCTTTGGGCTTTGTCTTCCTTCAAAAATCTGTTGTGCATTGATAGCCATGCAAGCTAAAGACAGCTCGTGATTCACCCTGAACCCAGGCAGAAAATAATTTGTCCTCGTGTCCAGAAAATTGACGAGGCCATTCTCGGAACATGGGCCGAAATTTGAGACCGCTTGCACGAGGTGGTGGGGATAATGCCAGAGTTAAGCGACAAGTATATGGTCGAACATGGTCGTCGGAAAACACCCTTTCGCTTGAAAGGAATAATGGGTGAAGAACCCGTGTTCCTGGAGACCTCGTCTTTTGGTCCTCGGGTGTTTAAGCACAATAGGCTAGACATCGTTTAGCAATGGTCCAGAGGGAAGCAGGAGCAAGATACCGCTGGCCAGGAAATTCAGCCTGGTGGGTGCCTGGTGAGTCTCGGCCTGCATACTAAGGGCGTTGTCTCCTGCGCAAACGAGGAAGTATCGACGGTGCCCGAGTAGTGATAGGTGGCCGGTGTGTCCGTGTCTTGAACGTTCTATTCTTTTTGTACTCGTTATCGTATCACATGAACGCTTGCCCTGTCTGCAGCCTTTCCGAAGGCCGTTCTCAGCGTGCCCTAGCTGCCACATGAAGCAACAACATCCAAGATCCCCACATCAATGAACAGGCATCACGACGTCAAACGATCCAGTCCCGATATTGCCTCTCCGTCCAGCAACTATCCTAGCACTCGGTCCCAGTAAAGGATCCGTCTCGCCGTACAGAACTGCATCCTTCAAGAAGCCCATAACTGTTTCGAAGCTCATCTTCGCAAGCACACTACCTCCTTCCTTGACCAGACCATGGCGGCTGAATGGCTGGTACGAGCCAGACTGCGTCATGGCATCTGCGATCAGATTCAAATGCCGTGGATCAACTGAGATACCGTGACCCTTGAAGACACCGTCTATCTCCTTGATAATGGTCATTCGCGCCGCCTCGACGCCATATAGTTTCAGCATATCGTGTACCGAGTTCGTGTATAGCGAGTGCGGCTTGATCTGGTCTTGGTAGTCGCGCATGGCAAGCAGGTTGACACCTTCGGTCGTGATAACAGGCTCTTTCTTGGTCTCCTCTTTGCCAGTCTCGGGATTGATTTGCTTTACAGGCTTGCCATTAGGGCCGTGAACTTCTTCCATGAACTGCGTGCATACGCCGAGGCCAGGGATAGACTGTATGACAGCAATATGTGCACACTTCTCGAGCAACGGAAGGAGGAGGAGCTTTGGCGTCTTGGTATCGTAACTCAGTACAATGCGACATGATTTGCCTTGGCCTTTGGCAAAGTTGAATCGTGTGACGTGAGGCAAGCTAGCCTTTAGTTGGTCTTGTCTTGCTTCCTCCTCCGAGTCTTCGGCATCGTCAGTGTCACTCTCATCCGGATTTTGCTCTCGGAGTGTCTGAGACTCCTTCTGTTTTCGTGGCTTCTTGGCTGGAGCAGCGTCCGGCGACTCGTCGTCGTCGTCACTGGTCATCACCTCATCACCTGATTCATTGATAATGGCCCGCTCATCGTCATCGGGCTCATCAAAGGTATCCTCCCTTCTGCTTCTTGCGGCAGCATCTTTGGCATCATCGGGATCAGCATCCTCGTCAATGTCATCCTCGCCGCCTTCGCGCTCAGTTGTTCTTGTGCCTGTGGGCCGGGCTTCTTCAACAACACCGACGGAGACGCCAACAGCTGGTACTGCGGCAGTAGTTTCTGAAAGAGATGCTTCGCGAGCTTTCTTTTTGAACTCATCCTTGATCATCTTGTCCAAACGAGGGAGGAATCTCTTTTCCAAGCAACGCCGGACGTCCTCTCGCTGAATGGCATACTCGCTTTCGTATTCTTCTGGGTCGTACAGCTCGATTCGAATGTCATAGAGCTTCTCAGATTGTCGTCCAGCTCCAGCGCCCAATCGTTCAGTAACCGAGAGCTTGTCAATGACATGCGCGAGAGGCAGACGACTGATGCTTTTCGCAAAGGTCTCCCCCTCGACAGGGGTCAGTTCTTCAATGGGGTTTAGTGTCATTGTTGGAGTCATGATATTTGGCGAGGCCGTCATGATGATCTCTCGAAGACGAGGAATACCAAGAGTCACGTTCTTCGCCGAGTGACCTGCCAAATGAAAGGTATTTAGAGTCATTTGAGTGGACGGTTCACCGACTGACTGTGCTGCGACAACTCCAACTGCCTCACCAGGCTCCACAATAGATCGCATATATTTCAGATCCATGATAGATTGGAATGTCTTTTTGCTGACGATGCCGTTGGGATTGGTCTCCTTGTGTCTGATCAATTTGCTGGGATTCTCCTTGATATAAGTGCTCAAAGCGGTAGCGAAGAATTCAGATGTGCTGCCGAAATTGCTTCCAGGGTTGAAAAGCCCCGTCAGAGGATCTCGAGGCTTGTTCTTCCTGACTGATTTCAAAATGGCCTTCTGTTCATCAGCCAGTCCTTTATTCGAAATCTTCGACAACACCTCTTCAGCTCGCATCAGCTTGGCGACAGATTGATTGTTCTCGGCCAAAAATGTGAACTCGTGCAAGTGTTTCTGCTTAGTGACTTCAAGGCCATCCTCGCCATAGAGGAATTGAAGGACGTTACCATTGGAGCTCTCACGGACAGAAGTATCGTATTCTGTGCGGGCTCCTTCGAGACCTTTGACAATGCAGCGCTGGAGGTAGCCGGACTTGGCTGTCTTGACCGCAGTATCAATCAACCCTTCTCTGCCAGACATAGCGTGGAAGAAGTACTCTTGAGGTTTGATACCAGTCAAGAATCGTCCAGATACATATCCACCAGCGACTGGATCGGTTTCAAAGGCGCGAAATGAGGGCAAGGTCTTGCCGCTGACCATAGTAGGTACTCGTCTACCTTCCAAGACCTGTTGCCCCAGATTGCATGAGATCAGATTTGCATTGACACTCGAACCCTTGGCACCCGATATGGTCATTGCCTGCATTTGATTTCGAGGGAAGGGTTTTCGAAGACCAGCCGGTAGACAGTGTTTAGAGACGTTGTCTGTTATCGACTTGACTTTGGCTTTGTAGAGCTGGTCTAGTCCGTTGAGCTGATCGTCGTTTCGAAGGACATTTTCGAGCCTGCTAAGGAGTTCCGAACTCTCTTGATCGACTTTGTCTTTGTCGAGCGTAACGTACTCGGCAGAGGTCTCAAGACCAATGCGTTTTCCCCTAATCAATTCACTCCGACGCAGGTTATCGCCTTCATTGGTTAAGTAGAGGTCGTCCATTCCGCAAGACCAAGCGCGCTCGTTCAAAACTCGCGTCAAGAGTCTGCCGAGAATGCTGAGCAGTTTTCCCGCTGTGATGTGCCCATAGAGCTCATGGACCGAATGAACTAGCCCTCCAGCACTGGGACCTAGTTGACTTTTATCTAAGATCCCTGACAAGTGTTCTCCGTCTTTGAAGATTACTATTTGCTCAGTATCGCGGAACACAATGCTGTCATTAGTGACATTCCATTTCGAGATATCGTCGGAAGTCTTCTCGCCCCACGACTCTGACGAGGTGGATGATTTGCTTGTAAGATTCAGACCATGGAATCTGTCGGGCGTGATGTTCTTCAAGACGGTTGTGATGACTTGCTTCCCAGTCCACAGCATTTTCGGTTTGAGGATAGCAGGCGGCACCATTTGAATCCTTTCAAAGACTGTGTTGAAGTCTTCGGGCCTCAGGCAGCTGTAGAGTAATTGGTGGTATTGATCTCGGTCAAGGAAGACATCTCGGCTAGTGAATTGCACGCCCATGGATATGTGATCCTGAATTAGACCACGCAATGGCTTTCCCGCAGTCGAGGAGAGGTATTGATGATCAGTATCGGCGATCTGAAGTGCTTCAGTACGAGCTAACTCATTCTGTGGAAAGTGCATGTTCATCTCGTCACCATCAAAGTCAGCGTTATAGGTGTTGCAATTCGCGTAATGCATTCGAATCGTCTTCTGGCCCGTCAATACGCGGGCACGGTGACCCATCATGGATGGTTTATGCAGCGTAGGTTGGCGGTTCATGATGACCACGTCACCGGTCTGAAGATGCCGATAGACCTTTTTACCTGTCTCACCTTTTGACCCGGGTGTCGTGGAAGTCATGAGCTGCTTGGCAATGGCTTTCCGTTGATCAAGGGTTTTCCGTTTGAGACTCAGTACCTGGCCATTCTCATTTTCCACGGCGGCAGCACCTGGGTATTTATCCGCACCATTGATCACGGCCTTACTCAACTCTTCGAAGTTGTGGCTTGTCACAGGTTCCGGATAAGTGAGCTTCTTCGCGAAAACGAGAGGCACACCAATCTCATTCGTCTCGATGTTTGGATCGGGAGAGATGACGCTGCGAGCTGCGAAATTTACGCGCTTGCCCATCATGTGCATTCGGAAAAGACCTTCCTTCTTTTCCAGGACTTGCTTGACACCTTGATCACTTGGTTTCCCGGATGCTGGCGGTGGTGAGTCTATCATTGCGTTGACCGTCTCCTGAAGCGCAATCATTGCCTGGATACTCTCATTCAAGGTTCGTGGGCGTACCGACTTGTCGGTCCGGGCTCTCCTGATTTCTCGAGAGATATGTCGAACATCATTAGCTGCTTTGATGATCCGATTAAGGGCTCCGTTTGCTTGCGCCTCCGTCATCTGGTCAGCGCCTTGTCGGGCGAGAGGTCGATACTTATTCGGAGGAACCAGTACAGCTGTCATAAAGAACATATCCGGCGATACACTTGCTTGTATGCGACCTGGCTGTGAGCTGTACAAAAGTTTGAGAACTTCCGATTCACGGTCGAAAAGCAGTGTGAGCGCGGCCAGTACCTCTCTTGGTGTCATGTAGTGTTGTACGTCGTCCTCGTCCTCCAAGTCTGCGTTTTTCGATACGGCTGTTGTCTCCAGGGCATTTCGCATTGCGATTTCCTCTTCAGCGCCATGGGTTTCCGTGGCAGGGACCTGATCGGCGTCGTCCATTTCCACATCCTCGTCGTGCACGCCGTTAGTCAAAGGCTTCTTCACAGCTGTTTCTTTCTGTTTCCTCTCGGATTCGAGATAGAGCAACGGATTCGGGACCTTCATTCCCATGACTCGCATCATTTCTTTTTGTCTCATTGCCAACGGCTTCCTGAAGATCTTGACATTGCGATCCTTCCTATACGTCACGCTGGCCCCGCCACAATTCGCGCATTTCTTGAGCAGGGGAAGGTCTCTTAAGAATTCGGTGATGACCTGTTTCCGTGCATCAATCGCAACATGATTTCGGATCAGAGCCTGGGTGTCAAGCTGATTTCTCTTGCGCGCCCGTTTGATCGCCTTGTCTGTCGCTCGTGTTCTTCGCTCTATCAAATCATCAATCTCTTCAATTTCATCGGCTTCGAGGATATCCTCCACAATATCGTCTGTCTTGGGTCTTTTCGGTCGCCTTCCACCGAGATGCATAGCTTTGATATTCTGATAGTCCTCAACGAGACCGAATTGGAGTAGCTGCAGAGCGCAGACTGTCTGATTGATGACGTTCGGAGGCGCTTTGAATCGATGACAGTAAGCGCACTTCGCTCGAAGGAGACGTAAAGCCATGTCCATGTACTGGGGATGATAGCAAGGAACCGGTAGCTCGATATGGCCACAATGGCCGGCACAATGGATCGCGTTCATGCGACATGTTGAGCAGCTGCCCCCGGTTAGCTTACACTGCGGGAGCAATGAATTTTCAGACTTACTTCGCATCCAAAGCTGAGATTGCGCCCAAGGCTAGATCATGCACACCGCCTGGTATGGGACCAAACATGGAATCCAATGCTGGAGTGACATGGATTTGCTTGACTGAGATCTTTTTGATCTCGTCGGAAGGCAGTCGAGAAAAGGCCAGGCCGCCGGTGGCCGAGGGAAGTGGCTTTTGATGTGCTGCCATGGTGCAACAAGGCCATAACCTAGCAGACTGGGAGCACTGACGACAATCGCGCGGTCGCGAAGCCTGGAAAGGTTGCTTAAGATCTTTGAGCCCGCAACACTTTTTTCGAGCCTGCGGAGAACAACCTTTTTTCAGACTGATTTGGAGTAGTCGACGAGGTCGGCACCGGTGAAAATAATCTCCGCCACGGCGGAGTGTATGAACACAGATGACATCTATCCACGGCGAGTCTTTCAACCTTATGTGCAGTTTCCATCGCCATTCTCTGTTCTTCACCCTATTTGCGGAGTACATATGTCTGTGTCCAAAGGACTCCTTCTAGCATCCATAAATAGGCGGATTACGGAGTACAACATCATGGTATTCCCTCTAGGTTAAAATGCAACCTGATGCCGTCGTCGCGTTCGGCTGCTCAAAAGACAATCTTCAGTCCTAGCCCGTCCCGCTGCAGCACGACGTGCCAACATCTAGCGAGGTCGTTTCTGAAGGTATACTGTATGTCCGGTATGTTACACAGTAGTCTCCCTCATAAAAAGCGGCCATGCGTGTGGGTGCTGTTTCTGGGCCGTGTCGCAATTCCATGGTCTCTTTATACAGTTTTTGTCAAGGCATCATAAAGCCACCTCAATACTGCTGCTTGCCCTTGCTAGCATCCTGGTCCCCAGTGCCTCTTGCGTCCATATACGCCAGCATTCGGTTTCTGTCGCGGACCTCCCTCATGTATTGGAGCTGCTCTTCGGAAGGTTTCCGGAGTTTATTCTCTTCTCCGCTGAATCTGAAGAATAGTCTGTGGACCGAATATCCCAGGACAACGGTTACTGCGGCGCTCACAATGCATATAAGAATGATTCCTTCTTGCGAAACCATTGCGGCACAGTCGGAGAAGCTGAGTAGCAAGCAGGAATCTCGCAGCTAGTGATCTTGTTGGCCCTGTCCCAGCCACAAAAAGGTTTGGTTCTGTCACACAGAGGATGGAAGATCGTCGTGTCGCTGGAGTCCCAACAGGCAAAAAGCTCGGGCTCAGTTGAGCTACCAGTGCAATGGAAGGCTGGGGCAATATGAGCAGTGAAGTGATGAGGCCTTTCCTATGGAGTAACGAAAGTAAAAGCCACAGGAGGAATGGGAAGCAATACCACAATATCATCAGCCCCCGGCGTCCTTATATGGCAATGGCCTGCCCACTGGCAGCAAACAGCGCCATGGTGTCTGATGGCGGAGACCGCTCGAAAGTGAGCAACGCGTCAAGGGGGCTTACCCAGGCGCAACTTGATTTTCCCGTGGAACCCCATCTCAAAAGGGACTCAATCATACATCGGGAAGGGCTCGAGCGTGACTGAATGTGCTGGAGTGTCAAGGAATAGTACCCATGGCTGCCCCAAGAGTGAAAAGGCATTAAACTGCTTTCCTCGCTGTTAAGCGGCACAGCCAATCAGGAAACAGATTGAAAGAACAACAAAAATAGTCAGGTCCCACAGGATTTGATAGCGATGTTTCAGTTGGCTTGTGGACGACGTCTCGCCCTTCACTCACCTCACGAGTGATTCATGTCATTGTGCTGGGGCAAAATGCGGTTTCTTGGCCCTGTTAGATCACGGTGCTCTCTCAAGGTCGATCCTGGATGGTCGCGATGGAAGATTCCGCGGTGCTCTGACCCTGCTATCAGCTGCTGGGTGACGTCGTCTAGTCGCTTTAGCGGGAACTGAAGGACAAGTACGAAGTGGTAGCAGCCTGCCATTCAACCAGTACACCGTCTCCTCTGCCTTCGATGTAAGCGTGTTAACAGATATTGTTGAAGTCGAAATAGGTACGTGCCGCTTTAGTGACCGTCGGCAAAATTGTTCCGCCACCACGCACCCATGTAACTATGTCACGTGCTCTGTAGAAGCGGCGCAGCGACTCGCCGCTTCTGGATCTGTAGCCAAATCTTTACGAGATCTCCGCACCATAGGCTTAGGCATAGTCGACAATCTTTTCTTCCTCAGCATCTTCAACAACGTCTTCTATGCGAGCTGACTTGCAACAGTACATGCCGACGAAGGTGCAGACCCAGCTGGTGTGATATCTACCTTCTCAGTGAGTTCACCTCCTCACCGGCACAAGATGGCGGAAAGGTCGAGCAATGTGCTGAAAAGGCTGCACCCGGAAGAAGATGATGTCGACGGTCAAAAACGAGCCAGATCCAACGATGGCTCCCCGCGGCCTACTACCCCGGCCGCTACTACGCCGGGTTCGAGACCTGATATGACCCAGGCAATTGCTGCGGCCAAAGCAAGAGCGGCGGAATTGAAAGCCAGATTGAACAAACAGGGTGCAGCCCCGACTCCCGCATCTGCCAGTGCCTCACCGACCCCTCCTGCATCCGCTGCCACCGACAGGATATCCCAGCTCAAGGCACGAATTGCGGCAGCAACCAGTCGATCAGCGGCGTTGAGTCAACAGAGAACGCCTTCGACTTCGACTTCGACTTCGACTTACACCCCACCAGTCTACAATGATGACACTTCAAGAGCGCGTGGTGGCCTGGACATTGGTCTACATCCTGCGCTACTAGCCGATGCGCAGCCAGACACACAGAGAAACAAGACAAAAACACCGCAGCCGAGGTTTACACCGGGTTTTGGGAACAGAAGAGTCGAATCGCCAGCTCCAGAAAAGGCGCATCTAGATTTGTCCAGGCCATCGTTGGAAGAGCTTAAGGAAAATCCATATTTTGATCCAAGTCTTGGGCCACGGAACGTCCTCGCCAAAGGCCGACAATCCCGCCAGCTGGTCTTCAATCAAAAGGGTAAATATATCGCACAAGCGGCTGCTCTTCGACGACAGGCGCAGCTCGAGGAGACCAAGAGAAAGATCGCCGAGCGCACCCGTCTCGCCGGTCTTGAAGAAGATCTGAACGCAGAAAGAGCTTTCCTTGTCCCTGCGCCTCCAGATGTTGAGTGGTGGGACGAGGGTCTGATAGACGGCAAGTCCTACGATGTTATCGACGACCCGTCGAAACTCAAAATCGACACTCCCGACTCCATAATCACAATCTATGTTCAGCACCCCGTTCTGATTGAACCACCTCAAGAGAAGAACAATCCCGCCCCAAAGCCCATGTACCTGACTCAAAAGGAGCAGGCCAAGCTGCGCCGTCAACGCCGCCAGGCCGATTTGAAGGAAATTCAAGCCAAAATCCGTTTGGGGCTCGAACCCCCACCACCTCCAAAGGTCAAGAAGAGCAACCTCATGCGCGTGTTGGGCGAAGAAGCGGTCAAAGATCCCACGGCCGTCGAAGCCCGCGTGAACCGCGAAATCGCCGACCGCCAGCACAAACACGAAGAGATCAACCAAGAGCGCAAGCTCACCAAGGAGCAGCGCGCCGAGAAACTCGCCCAGCAACAGGCAGAAGATGCCGCCCGCGGCATTCACGTGCGCGTGTACAAGATCGACAGCTTGGCCAACGGCAAGCACCGATTCCTCATCGCTAAGAATGCTGAACAGCAGGCACTGACCGGGGTGGTCATCATGCACCCGAAACTCAATCTCGTCGTGGTCGAGGGCGGCGAACACTCGATTCGCTTCTACGACAAGCTCATGCAGAATCGGATCAAGTGGCAGGAGATGGAGGCGCCGCGCGCCGTCGAGAGCGGGAACCGCGATGTGTTGGCCAAATGGCTCGAGGCCGAGGATGAGAATGGCGAATTGAAGGATCTCAGCATGAACAAGTGCGAGCTGATTTTCAAGGGCGAGGCGAAGCAGCGCAGCTTTAAGAGATGGGTCGGCGCGCGGCCGTGCGAGACCGACACCCATGCGAAGGATGTGCTGAGTCGTGCGAAGATGGAGAACTTTTGGAATCTGGCCAAGAGCTTCAAGCCGGATTTCTAGTCGCTCGTGATGCACTTCCCATGCTCAAGGAATGACAATGCAGCAGCTCAGGTCATCAGTGGCCTATGCATGACTTTGAAAAAGCAGCTTTAGCGTCCTTCGCTGAAGCCATAGGCAGGTAACTCGTTACCAAAAGAGCACTTGTCCTGCCACTGTATAGAATAGCATCAAAGAAACAGGTCAAAATTCGCTGGGATCAGAGAAGACATTGAACTCGTTGACTTCGCATGTACAAATCTTTCCAGTACGCCGTGCTCGAGTTCCCGAAGATGACATGATATATGGACATGGAGAAATATGTAAAGAAACTCGGTGCATTTCCACACCTGTGATCTAATTCTGAGCGGCGCGTCAAATCAGCAATCCCGCATCAAGCCTTTAAAGCCTTTCAAGCGTTCAACTTCTTCGCCGCAGCCTCCAGTATGCCAGAGACCTTCTCGACCTGATGCTGCGCCTCGCGCCAATCGCCCGCCTCGATTGCATCGCGTATCCCAGGAAAGTAAGCCTCATCGTACCCCGACCAAGCCTGGGGCGCGAAGATGACGTGCTTGAACTGCGTCCGATTGACTAGACCACCACCCTCGCTGAGATCAAGCAGATCGGTCTCGAAATGGATCAAGCGATCGTTATGTTCCGCCCTGGCCGTAGCCATAGCCGCACTCTCAAACCCGCCCGACCCAAATACAAAGTTTCGCCAGTGCTCATCGAAGTCATGGAAAGTCTTCGCCTGCTCGGTAAAGTATTCCGACGACTTGCGCAGTGGTCCCAAGTCGACCACATTACTCTCGTCCGCTCCTGGTGCAGCTCTTGCATAGCTGTCTAAATCGTCAATGTACTTGCCCACAGCCTGCGCGTACGCATTCATATCGAACGGCAGAAGCGGCTTATCCGCCAATTCGAGAATCATCAGCGCCCATATCTCTCCCATGGCCTGGTGGTACTTCCAATCCGGATCTCCGAACTTGGACATCCATTCGAAATTGTCGTAGCAGCTATGGTACGGAAATTTCTGGCCCTTGAAGAACATATCGATCGACGACGTGCCGACGATATCCTGAAAGGCGACGAAATCGCTCCCTGCGCCGAGTCCTTCTAGTCCTCGTCCGCTCGTGCTCCAGATTTCGCCAAGCGATTTGCCTTGAGACGGGTCGCCAACACGATCTAACACGTGGAGAAGCATGCGCTGGTACAAGGGCGATGCAGCGGCGTGGAAGTCGGTCCCTGAGACGCCGACGTCAACATTGAGATACGCGACGCCCTCTGCACGAAGTTCGGCTTCGCGGTTCTCGACGTGCTCGGTGCTGCCGATCAGATTGTACTCTTCGCCATCCCAGCTGGCGAATTCGATGGTGCGAAGCGGACGCCAGCCGAGTCGGCGCAGTTCGCCAAAAATCCTGATGACTTCCAGCATGATTGCTGTTCCGCTGCCTGGGTCAGCCGCGCCTGTGCACCAAGCGTCGCGGTGATTGCCGACAATGACTCGTTTCTCGGGTCGTTCCCAGCCACTGATCTTGCCCAGGACGTTGTATATCGGTTGCTTGGCCTCCTCGTCTTGCAGGTTTTTGAGATTGACTTTTGGAGACTTCTGATCTCCTGTCCAGTAGTCTGTGTCGGGAGTTCCTTTCCAGACGTCCGTCATTTGCGATCCATGGCCGCTGATGGCGCCAAGTAAGTGCTTCGCATCATTCCACGATATCGGAATGGAAGGGATTTTGTTGAGGCCGGGGCTGTCCTCAGCCTTGAGGGCTTGCTTGTTGGAGGGGGTGGACGCCCAGCCTGGGGTAAGAACGTCTCCGACCACCCAGGACATCAGACTCACGGCGCCTCGTTGCACACCATCATTAGGCATCCACCGACCATCGGGAAATGTCGGTCCTTGGACAAATCCATCCTGACTGGGGTCAGAGTAGATGATGCAGCCTGCAGCACCTGCAAGTTCGGCAGCCTTGACTTTTAAAGCCCTGTCGCCTTGAGAGCCATAGTAGCGAACCAGAACGATCGCATCTTTGACTGAAATGCCATTGTCCTCCAGCGTTTTGAAATCTTCCTTCGAGCCAAAATTTGCGTAGACAAGGGGCCCTGTCACGTCACCCGACTTAGAGTGACCATGAAAGACGAAAGACCGCTCTTGATCTTCTTCAATTCGGGCCTCCCATTTCAGATTTTCCGGTTCGACTATCGCAACTCGCCTGCCGTCTTTCCGGGGATAATTTAGATAGACATCGAATCTTTCCATGTTCACGTCCTCAAGCTCTGATGACTTGAACAACTCCATTACCCACTCTCCAAGTACATAGTTGCCTTCCGTCCCGGCAATGTGTGGGAAGTCGGTTATGTGCTCCAGGTATTTCTGCATATGTCCATGATCGTTCATGTGGTTTTGTATGAATATTCGTATTGACTCTGGGTCATACATCTGGCCCATTCCCATCCTATTCTTCGTAAATGATAAGACATCAGACGCAATAAGTATATACAGAACTCCCATGATCAAGAAGACACCCAACAATCGCCCGATGATCACCACTCGGTTCGTATCGAGGGACTGGTAATTGATGCGCGGCCAAGAGATATTGGACAAGTATGAACGAAAGGAAGGCAAGGTTAAGGAGGAGAAGGAGTTTGTGAAGGTCGAGAAGCGCTTCGATAGACGGTAGCCTAGGAGGGATCGGTTCGAGGAGGAGTCGCTTTGAGGGTCTTCAATGTCCATCTGCTGCATCTCTCGTCGAACCTCTTCCTCGTCGTCGTGTTCAATACCATCCAGCGAGTCGAGACTCGGCCGCGCAGACTCGACCGTTGGAGGGCGATAGTTGCCACTGCCTCCACCGAGGAGACCTTGCCTTTCCGCATCATCGCTAATCTCTTGAGGACCGAGTCGGGATTGTGAGGAAGCAGGACGGGATGAAGTGGCCTCCTCGTAGGTCGGAATGGGCAGAGGTTCATAGCGGCTCTTGCTGTCCATGGTTGCTGTCGAGTTCGAGTGATGTCCCGAAGGACACACTCACTGTTGGATTATTGACAGTGCATCCGGGCTGCAGTTAGCCTGCATGAAACCTTTGATACGTAGGAACGACAACATCAGAAGATGATCCCTGTATGATGAGTCCAGACTCCATGGACGGCGATTGCATGAAACGAGAGAGGGTGAGCGCAGGGTGCAGGTGGTGTGCTGCGCCTCAGTGATTTCCGGCTGCTCGGCGGAACAGACTGTGACGGACCTACCAGGTAGGCTCGCTCGAGTTCCGGGTACCAAGACCACCCAAGACTTCTACCAGACTTCCCGGTCAAGACATGCTATGCCCGTTCTGATCATCCGATTTCAATATTTCATCAATGTGTCTATCTTTGTCAATGGACCTGCGCTGGGAGCTGGTGGTGTCAGGACATGACATGCGTCCTGGCAAGACGCAACGCTGCGGTTCGAGCAGGCAGCATAGCCCATATTTTGCAACCATCTACCGAGCTACCAGACGAAATCATACCGATGATACAGTACTGAGCTTGCCATGTTAAGTCTTTCAAGGTATCGCGTCTCCGTTACAAGGAATACGCTTACGAATATGCTACATCCCACCAGGCTGTATGAGCAGATCAGCCTGATGCCCGATATGTTTTTCATGGAGCCTTCTTGTTCACTTTCCGCTCGTCAAGACCGTGAGGAAAACCTGGCTTAACTACCTAGGTATCTATGGAAGGCACAGATGCTCCCCTGAATCATCGCTTATGCCTCCAACGACATGGGATACCCACCTGGTGACCGTCCACATGAACTCAGTCTTTAGGCAAATACAGAGCGCCTCAGAGCACTCAAATGTGCAGTACTCGCATCAGTTTGTCACGGTGCGACACTCATCAGCACAGATTAGACCTTCGAAATCATGATTTCCGGTACAACCTCTAGGGTATGGTTTATTCTGACGATCACTGCTCTAAGCCCTCGCGCTGCTGGCTTTGATCAACCAGATTGAAGATATCCAGAGGGCCGTTTCTAGAAGACTAAAGACACTTACCACTCAGAGGCCTTAATGCCTCGAGACTCAACGTAGCATGTGCCTTCATTAGAAGTGTTGCATGACAGTCATGCTAACGCCAGAAAACGCCTTTATCCAGCTCCAAATGTCTGTGCTGTGGAAATCAGGGAGAAAATTCCAGCCATGAATCTCGCTCTGCATAAATCAAGTTGACGCCCTCATAAGTCACAAAGCCTTGCCGACGCTGGGAGGTAGCGTTGGGGTGCACAAGGATGATGATAGCCATCGATGATTGACCAAGAATCACAACGATATAAGAGCTAACAACACAGCCGCCGATTGTGTTGGATCAACCGCAATACAAGGGCCAGGATAGGTGCCTGTGGCTTGAGTGAGAGTCCCGAAGTCCACGGTACTTCTAAGAAGACATCAGGGATGACGTCTCCATGCCGCCGATCAGGGACATCTGGGATATTCATACACCCAATTGTTAACACGGCTCTTCCCAGTTATTCTACCGAGGACCATAACAATGAAGACAAGGCCCCCGATGTTCACTATTGGAGCATTCGACGCACAAACGATGTCCTTGAACGGAGGTCGACGACGCTTTGGACCCACAACATTGCCGTTGCTGCCGTCAAGAACGTTACTGTTTTAAAGCGGCATCACGACGGGAGCCTCTCCAATGACTCTGATAGGGCGTAGATAACAGACTCAAAGCGAGTGTCTGTCCAAGTCAAGCAGCCTTGAAGAAAGGAAGTTGTTCTGACGAGATATCTCAGGGAAACATTGACAGCTTGAGGACATATCGAGTCTTGCCATCAACACATTCGACCAATACCATAGGCAATGTCTCCGTCAGCACCTGCGGACGGCGCGGATGTCTCCGACAACAAGAACCACAACATTGCGCCTCCTACCATCAAATACGATGATGTCCACATATTATTCGACAAGCTGCAGCAAGCACACGCCACTAAATATCCTCCCAGGCCACGTCTCGAGGTCCCAGAATATACTCCAGATGCCAACCCAGATGATGTGGCCGACGGCCTGAAGCGCGTTGGCGGAGTCATCGTCCGTGGAATCTTGTCGCAAGAAGCCATAGCGCAGATCGAGTGTGACATGCGTCCTCACTTGGAATCAGACATTCCATGGACAGCCGGCAACGATTTCTTTCCACCATCGACTCGACGTGCTTTTGGGCTGATCGGTAAATCGCGAACAGCAGCCCTCGAGCTGATCGGCAATGATTTGTACCAAGCCGTGTGCAAACAATTCCTAACCACCAAAGCATATGCCTGGTACGGTGACAGGAACGAGGTTAGTATCTCGCCTCCTCAAGTCAACAACACGATTGTCTTTTCCGTCCGTCCAGGCGATTCATTTGACCAGCCACTCCATCGCGATGATGACATCCACTACGCCAACCGTCTTAGAGTTGACAAGTATCCTGAGCTCCAAACTCACGAGAGTACGGGATTGGTTTCTTCGTCGCGGGGACCAAGACAACCAAAGCCAACGGCGCGACGAGGTTCATCCCAGGAAGCCATCTCGAAGACACGGCCCAGCCACCAGACGAGAAGGACGCTGTACATGCTGAGCTCAACCCGGGTGATGGATTTATCATGCTCTCCAGCTGCTACCATGGTGGCAGCAAGAACACGACAATGAATGAGGAACGGCTCGTGTTCAGCTGCTTCATGACAAGGGGCTATCTGCGCCAGGAGGAGAATCAGTACCTTTGTGTTCCTTTGGACGTCGCCAAGTCGCTACCTCTGAGGATTCAGAAATTGATGGGCTATGCTGTAAGCGAGGTGAGTTTGTCCAATATTACAGCCTCTGCCGTTCGCTTATGCTGATGCTGTTTAGCCCATGCTTGGATGGGTCGATTTCAAGGACCCACGGGTAATTCTGGATCCAAAGGCAGGAAGAGTCGCTCACAAGTACTGACGCCTTTGTGCCCCTGCACCTGGATACGAAGCAACTTTACTTCCAGCAGAGATCTTTACCAGCGAGTTACAAGGCATGCTAGCCTCATCGTCTGTCCTACCTGTTCTTTACTTGCTGACCAACTCCATCCACGTCAGCCTTCAGCGAGAATAATGTCCATGCTTTCCACAGACCGTAGGTTCTGGAACAGGAAATCATAAGCTCTCACAACATCTTCAAACCCGACGACGACAAGTCAATACTTCGTTTGTTGACTGTTTGTGTCATGACAGTGAATCCCTCGGGCGGCTGTTGTGTCCTTGTTGTGTTTGGAGCATTGCGAAGTACATCCTGAAGGAGAATGTAAAGAATTGGGACTTGCCGGACTATGTGGAGTTGATGCAGCAGCACGAGTGACGTGCTCCTTAGCTTGGTACTTGTAAGTCCTGAAACAACCCAAAGCTACTTGTTCGGCTCGTTGCCCGGGCAGCCCTGTTTCGAATCTATCATATCCCGCTCCGACTAGAGCATTTTGCTTTGTTCATAATCGGATCAGGAACGGACCCGCGGCAATCAGCTGCAAGATGCCCGCGACCGCTTCGCTGCGGTGCCTGGATGATTTCGTGTCGTCCGCTCTTTCAAACCGGATCAAGGCCGTTGTGCCGAGCATTATGGCGCAAGATCTCAGGTGGTGGGATGTCATCGGCATCTCCTATCGAAGATCACCTCGGTTTTGAGTAGGCTCCAGGGAAACTCCCTGCGAGGATCGGCAGGGGTCAAACCAGCCTAGTGACAAAAGGCCCAGTAGCCGAGTACTTAAAAAATTAAGGCATGTCTGGGCGCATGCTGGGCCTTCGAGTTTGTCAGACTCTAACGGTGCAAGAAGCTCTTCTGGGCTTTCATGCTGCGTGAGATTGTAAGCATTCGAGGCTGTCACCATGGCGTGATATTTCGCCAGAGAAGCGCAGACATCCATTTTCGGACGAGGTCAAAGTTATACGAAGAATAGCAAGTCGAGCACGGTGCTGTGAGCGGCGCTCTAATCTTCTGGGTCCTCTTTACTGTAACGTCTGAGGAGATCTTTTCCATCCCCGGCTATTCGGGGTTACCAATGCGCCCGGCTGTGTACTTTTTATGTTGCAGCAGAGTCAGTCGTTCAGCTGGGTGGTGACCCGAACATCGAGGATAGCTTGGAGCTTGGGGATGACCTGCAGCTGCTGAAGCCAATCACTACCCCGGCTCAGCTGGAATGCTATCAGTACACGCAAGTCCGGCTTTTTGATTGGCAGTCATATCCGCAACCCTTGTATCAGAATTGCACGAGTTCTACTGGATTTACAAGGGTACTGCCTCAGCCACAGGGTTCTCTGCTCGCACGGTCAAGATTCATCCATACCATACCTGGCAGCCGTATTTACTACGTACACAGAGAGCATCACATCCGAGGAGCTTGGCCGTCAGCTCCCTGTGCGAAGATGCTCAGCCCGGGTCAGCGAGGCCCGCTCTGAATTGGTTTGACAGCTACTTCTTGACCGGAACATTATCATCTCCGTTAGGGGATATCCATTGGGGTTTGACTGTTTTGTCGAAAGTATTCCCTAACCATCCGGCCCTCCCAGCACGCGAGATGCTTTTCTTTGGAAAGAAAAAAGCCTCGAGTCCCATGGCCTGATGATTCGGCTGTTCCTGGGGCCCTGATCCTTATTCTTTCAGGATGGATACCGAATGGCTAATCACAGGCCTCACCTGGTGGCCTCGCACGATCCACGGTGGTCTGGAACATCAAAGGCCCTCCGCCTGCCGCGACGCCCCCGGGCTAAATGTTACCCACCTGGGCACTGAGCCACCTACGGCTGCTCCACCAGGCAAATGTTCTCTGCATGCATGTCGAACGTCTGTGCCTAACTCTCTCTTTCAGCGCTCCGCTGGGTCTGCCTGTGCCTGCCTGTGCCTATAGCCGGGTGCTCCCAAGGCCTTCGTTATTATCTCTCAAAGCTCGGGAATCTCTGCCTCCGTTACAACCTCGAATATCGGTGGTTCTCCATCACCTGAGCCTAACCTGGATGTATCCTCCGCCCCATTGAGCCCATGTAAAGCCTAGTCGTCGAACTTCATTTTCACCGGTTTTACGATTCTGTTTGCTTCTCCCCCCACAATTCTTTCGTTTGGTCTTTGATTTCTCAGCCCGCTTGATCTTTTGCTTCTTGATAGCCCTTTGAGGAGGTTTGAGTCGGGTCAGTGCTGTTCTTCATGGTCAAATCCGATCTCCGGCCTTCGCTATACTTCACGACCAGCTAAGCTGCCGTAGTGTCAGCCGCTATCTCTGGCGTTGCCTCCGCATTGTTTGATAGCAATCCTTCCTGCGTTCCTCACAGCGCTCCTCTGGCAGAATTTGTTCGGCACAGAGCCTCTGTCGCCAATGAACCCTCAGCCTTTGTCGCTGGATGACGGTTTCTGTGCAATACCAAAAAGGCATTCGGTCGTTCAGATCAATGAGGTTCCTTTGGCATCACCTGTCGAGGAGGACAAGGACGGGGATATGCACAGACAGCTAGGGATCGTAGAGGTGGTCGAAGAGTGCGCCTGGGATCAAGCAAGAGACGTATTGTTGCGAGGGCTTGGTTCAAAGAGACCACAAAGTAGTGGTGTATACGCCAGCAAAAACATTTCAAAATTTGACCGCACGAGGAGATCATCAGAGGAATCAGTCGACGCCGAGAATTGGAGGAATGATGCGATGCGACCAACAATGAAGCTCCATGATCTCCCGCACATCAGCCCAGGAGAGCCGTTCACAGAGGATCCTCACCCGAGACGACACTCGACGATAACGACGCACCCAAGTTCCCTCGATTCCAGTCTCTTTCATTCGACTTCCTTACCTTTGCAACCGCGACCTGTTGCGCAGTCCTGGCCTCTCCATTCTCGCCTTAACTTAGCTTCCCTGAACGGGCCTTGTGGCATTGTTGGGCCTCTCACACCTCCAGAAGATCTTGACTCGTTCAAATGGGAGAGCTCTGAGGAGATCCAGTCTTCTGAAGGCGTACGGACGGTATCAGACGTCGACCAAGGCCGTCCTAATCGACAATCCCATAGCGAATCGCGCCCCCGATCTACCTCCCGGCCGTCAGAGATACAGATGCCAGATCGATCAAACCTTGCGCAAGACGCTCCCAGTCGGTCTGACTGGCTGGGTCGCGCTTGCCAACATCTCGGTATGGAACTCAATATAATCTGAAGGCTTAACTGACATGATTTTATAGCATCCAGCTTGGGAGATGCGGGAAACCAACACCAAATCCAAATGGTGGTTCAAGCGTTGCCTTCTCAATCCAAATCCACCGAGGTGCAACCAGTCTTCGAAAAAGTGGTTGAAGCAATTCAAAACCACTGCACAATTGCGCCATACATTACCATCACTCATGCCGTTTCTCAAGTGATGAGTATGGACGAGGTTCCAGCGTCACCACCCGCGACGCCGAATGCGAACAACTCGGGCGATGATTACTTTCACGACCAGACCATCTTCACTCATGCGGCCGTGGTACCGGCATACCATTCTCAGTCCAATCCTCCAATGACCATGGGCTCCCGGCCGACCAACATAATCGCGGCTCCGAGCAGTATCCACGTCTCCATTCTCGAAAGATACATCCCTCCGACAACGGCACAAGAAGTCAATGACTTCTTCACCCTTAGCAGACGTTCCTACCTCGCCGACCGGCTCCTCGAACTCTCCTCCAACAATGGCACCTTGCTGCTCGTCTATCCGACCAGAAGAGGAGGATCGACCTTTGCCGACCGATATGTTGGTCCAGTCATCGAGCCCTTTCTTCGTCAATTCATACTTCTCAATGGACTGTATACGCAGGTTGCGACGACATTGGGTCAAATGGCTGCAGTGGGGGCGATGAAGAGTTTTGAAGAGATTCAAGAAGCAGTGACGGCCATGTGCCAGGCACTGAGTCAACGCGCTCCATCCCGTGGGCTGCCAAGTCGATATACCATTGTGCAATCCGAGACCGCCGATGTCGTCCTGGACCGGGCCGTGTGGAAGGATTGGTACATCGAACAAGAGCAGCCGCGTCTGCGTCAAAACATGGTGGATTACCACAAGTCTGGCGGTCGCATGCCTGCTCCACGCGGTCAAATCGAAGTCACGCCGGGAATGCTGGCACGTGAGGTAGTAGAGGGCGTCCGCCAGAGTCGAGCAACGGCTGGCAATACGGGATTGGAGGTTGGTGTGTTTGTCATACGCCGCACGACCACGACCGTGTGATGTTTTGGCTGCACAAAGACGTGTCTTCGTTCTTGCATGGCGCCGGAGATCTAAGAGAGAGAAAGTGATGATTCATGTGTCGAGTGAGCAAGGCGTTGTGGAATAAAATCATGCACAAATGGTAATTCAAGGAAATGGCACATGGTGACGAGAAATGAAAAGCCCTACGGATAATATAGGGGTGTGCCTTTTAATTGAGCTGGGTTTCTAACTTCGGGGTTATGGCCTGCTGAGTTGGATGGGACATTTGTTGGGCTGGTGAGGAATGCCACTCTAGAACAGCTGTTGGAGAGACAGACATAATGCATCAAGCACGATCAAGCCATTCATCTGAAGAACAAACTCTCATCTCTCTCGTCCGACCTCTTTTGTAACACAGTGTACCCCAGTAAAAGACAGCCGAAGCCTGGCACAATTATTGGCTGGACGGGGCCCGTCGCAATGGAGATCAAGGGGCTTCTAAGGGAACTTAGGCTCGTTCCTCGGGGCTTTTCTACCAACCGCGCCTTGTGATCCCGGGCGGTGGTGCCCACTACGGACTTCCCTATCTTGATGTCGTTTCCCAGCATAGATAAGCCCCCAACGCCCCGAAATTTCCGTCCATTTCTGATCCTAGCTTGACTTTTTCTTCCCATCGCCGCCGGGATGAACTCATCGATATCAAGATGGGTATCGGCATGGCAAACACGGGAAAAACCTGTTCTACAACGCCCGCTATCGCCCAAACCCGCATCGCGTCTTTTCCATCCTTGATTGCCATTTGATTGACTCCGGGAAGACTGCAGCGGGAGGCCACCTGAGTCTGGGTGATTGGATCTTGCTGCATCTCTTCTTTGACAATCGCGCGACGGGCTGAGCTAGACTGCGTCTACCAATGTTGAAAGATCCGTCTTGCTTGCACTGTCAATGGCAGAGGTGAAGTCTCCTGTTCATTCACCTCTGGGTCTTGTTCAGGTTCGCTTCACTGCACACTATTGATGTCTTTCGTTGTTGAATGAGCAGTGACTTTTTGTTGACTGTTTTATCGGTGCTTGCTTGCTTGCGGTGCGCAGCGCTTTCCTCCTCTACCGAGCAATCGCGCCTGCCCACCAGACCGTTCGTTACGCACCTGCGTCCTTGAACTAATTACTTACCTTTGAAACGACTTTCTCTTCTGACAAACTCGATTCTTCAAACTTATTCCAGAATTCTAATTCCTACGAGGCAGAAAAAGAGCACAGGCTTGTGCGGTTGGACTTCATACATCTAATACTCATCCATTTACCTTCGAAGAACACCAGCTCAAGATTCTCATCGGGAGGAAGTCACGATGATTCCCTTGCTGGCCTTCGTGGCCTTCATCTTCTCCATCCTCTGTGCCGGCGTCAATGCCATTCCCACCATCACGGCCGTCGGGTCCAAATTCTTCACAAGCGAGGGTAACCAGTTCTACATCAAAGGTAAGAGCCTGGCTCCTATCGAGATCTGGAAGTTCACTGACACGTCTGCTCTATGTAGGTGTTGCCTACCAATTGGTCGAAGACGATCCGCTCGTGAACAAGACGCAATGCCAACTCGACGCCTCCCTCATGAAACAGCTTGGAGCCAACTCGATTCGAGTCTACCACGTAGACCCTTCCGGGGACCATTCCGGTTGCATGAACGCCTTTGCTCAAAACAACATATACGTTTGGGTTGATATGGACAGCTTCAAGACGTATATCCAGTTGGTAAGAGAACCACATTTCTGTGGAAAGAGACAGGCAGGCTTACAAGACGCAGGATGGCGTTCCTTCGTGGACAAAGAACAAATCCGACTCGTATCGAGCTGTCATGGACAACTTCCAGCAGTACGACAACACTGCCGGCTTTTTCGTGGGCAACGAGGTGCTCAACTCCAGTAAGAGACTAGTCCCACTGCGACGGACACTGGCTGACCGTTGACAGATGCTGACTCGGCTGCTGCTCCTTACCTACTGTCTGCTGCTGTTGACCTCAAGAACTACCGTGATGCCAAGGGTTACCGCAAGATCCCCATTGGCTACTCTGCCACCGACACTGCTATTCTTCGGCCGATGCTACAGAACTATGTTGTCTGCCGTCCTAACGCGACGGAGCGTCTAGATTTCTACGCACTGAACAGCTATGAGTGGTGTGGATCGAGCCCAGACTACAATACTTCTGGATATGTTGGCTTGCAAGAGAGTGCTGAAGGGTACCCTATACCGATCTTCTTTTCCGAGGATGGTTGCAACACAGTACCGCCAAGAACCTTCAATGACCAGGCTGCAATCTTTGGTCCTGAAATGGTTGATACATGGTCGGGTGCCATTATCTATGAGTGGATTCAAGAGACAAACAACTACGGTCTTGTCACCTACGGTGCGGCTGGTGGTGCCAACCAGGGCTCGGTTGTTGTTGATGGGTAAATATGCCAGGCTGGCAAACTGGGACTTGATGTGAACAAGCCCGTGCTGACTGATGCAGGTTCACGCGTCAGGGGATGCCTACGCCAGTCCAGCCCGATTTCAGCAATCTCGCGGCTCAATGGTCGACATTGACCCCCACCGGAGTCAAGTCCGCGGCGTACACACCAAGCGCATCTGCGCCAGCTTGCCCAACTTCGACCGCAGGAGGATGGACCGTGGATCCCAGCTCGCCGCTGCCTACCCTTGGAGCGGTAGGCGTCACCCCAGGTATGCCCAGTGGTGTTCCGCAAGGCAGCATCACAACAATCTCGACGTCTTCGGCGTCCTCCGCTTCGCAGAACAGTAGTACTTACAGTTCGACAGTTTACCCCTCGTCCGCGACTGGTGCAGCAAGCAGCACGTCGGGCGCTGCTACTTCTGCAACTTCTCAAGGCGCAGCTGGCAGGGTCGGCCCAGGCCCTTTCCTTGCAAACAATGCAGGCTTGATGAGCACTGTCATTGCACTGCTTGCAGTTGGTGCAGGAGTCGCGTTCTGGCTGTGAGATTTCTCATAGGAGAAATGTGTAATTTCATGAATGATGATGGAGAGAATTGCGAGAAGTGTTGATCCGGGAATAACTGCGATCACAAAAGAAATAATATGTGGATAGCGAAGCATGATAGAAGAAAAGCTGCACATTCTCGCCAGAAGAAGTCGTATCTTATGTATCGGCTGTGGTGCAATAGAGTTCTATGAAGAGACTTCAATCGATACCAAAGGAAAATCATCTTGGTAATCTCTCGGCTCTAGTGCACTCTGCACTGTGCACCCACTGTGGACTTTTTGCATGATTCAGATCTCGCCATCTCGACCTCAATTCTGATTCAGACTGGCGTGTGCTCATCGGATCGCCTACAGAAACATCCGCTGAGTCATCTCGCAGGCCAAACTTCCAACACAGACGTCTCAGAACAGCCGCTTGTTCATTACTGGCGGCGTGATGAATTGTGTCAAACGTCCGAGCACATCCGGCAAGTGATGGAAGACGATTTACGCGTTGACCATACGTTCGTATGGTCAAACTGCAGGCGCAATATCACCTGGTCTAGGCATGCAGAAGATCGTTGAAGGTGTTACCCATTTGCAGGCGCCAAAAAAGTGCTAGGTGCTGCGTTCCAATGGTAGACAGATACAGCTAAGAGCCGCCTATAGCTGTGGAAGTTCAATGTCAGAGGCGAGGCTGCGAGGCTGACGTACGCCACAGCATAGCGTATGGGTAGGCCAGCAACATACACAGTAGGTCAGGAGGGTAGAAATCAATGAATTGACGGGGCATTTGAGCCTCTAGGAAACATTGTTAGGTGACATCGAAGTCGCTCGGATGCAGTCCCTCTACAGACCCGATAATAGTACGAGTTAACGAGATTTCCTTTATGCAGCCGCCAAGGATCCGTCTTCCGACGCATAAATCGGCACCCGTGTCGGAGTTTAAGCCTTGGCGGTCTTTATGCAGTGTCCGCCATGCCCCTCTTGGCGATTTGTGCGCCTCAGGTGGATCTTTCCGCGTTATGGGTAGCGGCCACTTGGCGCCCAGTTCTTAAAAGTGGTGTGCTTGGGATTCGTACTTCGCCATGCTCAATATCGAACACGCCGTGCTCTTTTTACTTGTACATAGTATGTCCTTTTTCTTCGACCGCTTTCTTTCGTCTGCTTTTATACTCCGTAATGAAATCTTAAACCTTGTTCTCCTTCTTGTCTCGGTCTCTTTGCATCCGGAAGCATTAGTTTTGTGAAGCGGGCCTACCAAGGCTGCCACCATACTATTCTGTCGATCATTCATTTCTACTTGTATATATGTGCTTGGCCTTGTTCTTGCCAGTATTCTTGTGCGTATATTTTCACGACCATCGAGCTCTAACCTGCTACCTTTCTGTACATCGACCCGTCCTTTGCCGTCATCTGGACCATAATACTACAGCCCTCCACATCCTACATTCGATACTCTCATGACATACACCTGCTTTTGAAGAACCACGGATACTGAGCATAAGCCTAAAACACATCCCCACCAGCGAGGCATTCGCGACATGTCTCTCGTGGGGAACTTTACCTCGAATTACGACCATAGCGTCGACACCCAAGGCCCTGGGATTCTAAGTCATCGCAGGAGAAACAGCGAGGTTGAACAGACATACAATCCCTTCCACCACCATCATACAGCCAACGACGACGATGCTGAAGCAATATCAGAGGGGAAATTGGGCTCCTCCAGCAGCTCCGATGACGAAGGTGCTGAACGGATAAGAGACCTCGCTCGACAGCTCACTCGTGACTCTGCCCGATCCTACGGAGGTGTCAACCCATTCGATGCGGAGCCTGACTCCGCCCTCGACCCCAGCTCAGATAACTTCAAACCTCGAGCTTGGACAAAGGCCATGTTCCAGCTGCAGTCATCCAACGATCGCTTTCTTGGAAGGACTGCGGGCGTTGCCTTCCGCAACCTGAGTGCCCACGGCTTCGGTGCTGCAACCGATTACCAAAAATCCGTCGGCAATGTCTTCTTTGAGGCCGTTGGCATCGCTCGCAAATGGATGGGGGTCGGACAACGCAGAATAGACATCCTCCGCAACTTTGACGGTCTCATCAAGCCCGGAGAGATGTTGGTTGTCCTGGGTCCTCCAGGTTCCGGCTGCTCAACCTTCCTCAAGACCATCGCAGGCGAAACTCATGGGTTCAATGTGGACAAAGATTCGTACATCAACTACCAAGGCATCAGCTTTGAGCAGATGCACAGGCACTTTCGAGGCGAAGCGATCTGTAGGTGTTCCCCATCCTAAAAGCTGGACCACACAAGGATGAGTTCTACGCTCTGCTTCAGTCTATGATTGGACGACACTCTGACCTTTATAGATACCGCTGAACAGGATGTCCACTTCCCTCAAATGACGGTCGGGGAAACGTTGTACTTCGCCGCTCGCGCGAGGGCACCCAGACATGTACCGGGAAACGTTCCCAAGAATACATACGCCGAACACATGCGAGATGTCATCATGGCCACTTTCGGTATCCGACACACCTTCAACACAAGAGTCGGCAACGACTATGTCCGAGGCGTTAGTGGTGGAGAACGCAAGCGTGTCAGCATTGCTGAAGCTGCTTTGAACCTGTCTCCACTGCAATGCTGGGACAACAGTACTCGTGGCCTAGACAGTGCCAACGCCATCGAGTTCTGTAAAAGTCTACGCATCTCGACCGACATCCTGAACTGCACGGCCGCCGTTGCTATCTATCAGGCACCACAGTCCGCTTACGATATCTTTGACAAAGCGATTGTACTGTACGAAGGACGGCAAATATACTTTGGCAAGAAGGAGCATGCGAAAGACTATTTCGTCCGGATGGGCTTCGCTTGCCCAGATCGTCAAACCACAGCTGATTTTCTGACGTCTATGACGAGTCCGGCGGAAAGAGTTGTTCGCAAAGGATTTGAGAACAAGGTTCCTCGTACGCCTGACGACTTTGCACAAGCATGGAAGGATAGTCCGGAACGTGCTCAATTGCTCCGGGAAATCGAAGAATTCGACCGGGAGCATCCGATCGGAGGACCAGATTTGGAGGCTTTCAAGCAATCTCGAAAATTACAACAGGCAAAACGGCAACGAGTGTCCTCTCCCTACACACTCTCTTACGGTCAACAAATACGGCTTTGCCTGTGGCGAGGTTATCGTCGATTGATAGCAGATCCGAGCCTGACCTTTACGCAAGTCTTTGGCAACACCATCTTGGCTTTGATCATCGGTTCTATCTTCTACAATCTCGATCACACCACTAACTCGTTCTACTCTCGAGGCGCTTTACTGTTCTTCGCTATTCTCATGAACGCTTTCGGATCGGCTCTGGAAATCTTGACCCTGTACGCGCAACGTCCGATCGTCGAGAAACACGCCCGATACGCATTGTACCATCCGTCTGCAGAAGCATTCGCGTCAATGTTGATGGACATGCCGTACAAAATCTTCAACACGATTGTCTTCAACGTCACTTTATATTTCCTAACCAACTTGCGAAGAGAGCCTGGAGCATTCTTTTTCTTCCTGCTCATATCGTTCTTCCTGACCCTGGTCATGAGTATGCTCTTCCGAACGATCGCTTCCGTCTCACGAACACTCAGTCAAGCTCTTGCTCCAGCGGCTGTTCTTATTCTGGCCATTGTCATCTATACAGGCTTCGCCATTCCTGTCAACTACATGCTGGGATGGGCGCGGTGGATCAACTACCTGGATCCCGTGGCCTATGGCTTCGAGGCATTAATGATCAATGAATTCTCTGGGCAAAACTACGACTGTGCGAATTTTGTACCTACAGGTGCTGGCTATGGGAACGGCGTCGCTCACCGTGTCTGCTCGACTGTTGGATCTCGGCCGGGTCAATCATTCGTCAATGGTGACGACTACATCAACAGCAGCTACAGGTACTACGCATCGCACCGGTGGAGAAACTTCGGGATACTCATCGCCTTCCTGTTCGGCCTCATGTGCACGTACCTGGTTGCAGCAGAATTTGTCGCGGCAAAGAAATCCAAAGGTGAAGTTTTGGTCTTTCGACGTGGTCACAAACCAGCCGCACTGAGGAAGAATTTCCCCTCAGATGCCGAGGGCGGCAGTCCTGGCACGATTGTTGCAGCAGAAAAGGACCACAACGAGCTTCAACCCATCTCCAGCATCATCCAGAAACAGACCGCCATCTTCCAGTGGAAAGATGTCTGCTACGATATCAAGGTCAAAGGAGGCGAACGACGAATACTGGATCATGTCGACGGCTGGGTTAAACCTGGCACCCTTACAGCTCTCATGGGCGTGTCCGGGGCAGGCAAGACCACCCTTCTGGACGTTCTCGCCACACGTGTGACCATGGGAGTTATTACCGGGGAAATGCTCGTCGACGGCCTCCAACGCGACGATTCCTTCCAGCGCAAAACCGGATACGTACAACAACAAGATCTACACTTAGAGTCATCCACTGTCCGCGAGGCATTGAACTTTAGTGCCCTCCTCCGCCAGCCAGCACATATCCCCCGTAAAGAGAAGATTGCCTACGTCGATGAGATTATCAAACTCCTGGAAATGACCGACTATGCTGACGCCGTCGTCGGTGTGCCCGGCGAAGGTCTAAATGTCGAACAGCGTAAACGCCTTACGATAGGCGTCGAGCTCGCCGCGAAGCCTCAACTCTTGCTCTTCCTCGACGAACCCACATCCGGTCTAGACTCGCAAACATCCTGGTCCATTCTCGACCTACTCGAGAAACTCAAGAACAACGGCCAAGCTATCCTATGTACGATCCACCAGCCTTCCGCCATGCTCTTCCAGCGCTTCGACCGGCTGCTTTTCCTAGCCAAGGGTGGCAGGACAGTCTACTTCGGCCCCGTCGGTGAATCATCACGGACTCTGACGAGCTATTTTGAACGCAACGGCGCGCACCCTTGTCCCGCGGACGCGAATCCAGCTGAGTGGATGCTCGAAGTCATTGGTGCCGCTCCAGGTTCGCACACGGACATCGACTGGGTCGAGACGTGGCGCAATTCTCCTGAGATCAGGGAGGTGCACGCTGAGCTCAAGACGATGAAACACGACCGGTGCAGATTGGCTCGAGCGACGTCCGATCCGGCGGATAAGACGAGCTACCGCGAATTTGCGGCCCCGTTTTACCAGCAGATGTTCGAAGTCCAGAAACGTGTTTTCCAGCAGTATTGGCGGACCCCGTCCTATATTTACAGCAAGTTGTCGTTATGTACCGCTTCGGTGAGTCTCTCATTTCTCATCCCTCAACCCCTTTGGGCATGAACAAGACGACCTCATCAGAGAAGATGTCGAATCCTAACCTAGAAGTGCCAACGCTTGTTCTGGTATTGTGCCTGCCAGGCTACGTCAATTGTATTGCAGGAGAATATCGATCTCGCTAACGCTCAACGCAGGGCTTGTTCATAGGACTCTCCTTCTTACACGCCCGCAACTCTATCCAGGGCCTTCAAAACCAAATGTTTGGTATATTCATGCTGATGACAATCTTTGGTCAACTGGTCCAACAAATCATGCCACTGTTCGTCACCCAGCGCGCCTTATACGAAGTCCGCGAACGGCCCAGCAAAGCATACTCCTGGAAAGCATTTATGATGAGCAACATTATTGTCGAATTGCCTTGGTCCGTTCTCTGCGCCATCCTGATCTTCGTGACGTGGTACTACCCTATCGGGCTGTACGCAAACGCGGAACCAACGAATGCCGTGCACGAAAGAGGCGCACTGATGTTCTTGTACATCCTGGAGTTCTTGCTGTTTACGAGCACATTTGCGCACATGGCCATCGCAGGGATCGCGGATGCAGAGACTGGGGGCAACATTGCGCAGCTGGCCTTCTCGTTGACACTGGTGTTCTGTGGTGTGCTCGTCGGCCCGAAGGCCCTACCTGGGTTCTGGATTTTCATGTACGTCTCCCCCTCTCCCTCACTCCTAAGCATGGTCCGTATGAGTATGATATGTGAGACTGGTACTAATGGGAAGCTCAGGTACCGCGTCTCCCCATTCACCTACTTGATAGACGGCATGCTGTCCACCGCAGTCGCCCACACGACCGTCACCTGCGCCTCGAACGAGTATCTACACTTCACGCCCCCTTCAGGACAGACCTGCGCGCAATACATGGCATCCTACATCGACAGGAGTGGCGGCTACCTGCAGAACCCGGCCTCCACCGGAAACTGCAGCTACTGCCCTATAAGTGAGACTGACACGTTCCTGGTCGGTGCCTCGGCGCATCCACAATACATGTGGCGCAATTGGGGGATCATGTGGGCTTTTATCCTGTTCAACGTTGCCGGTGCGGTGGCGCTGTATTGGCTGGTGCGGGTGCCGAAGAAGAAAAGGGGAGAGAAGGGGAAGAAGGAGGTTGTTGGCACGAGTGCGGACGCGACGAGGGAGGGCAGCGTCTTGGAGAAACCGCCACCGGTCGACGGCACTCCTGGTCTGACGGAGAAAGAGACGGCGAGGGGCGCGGACGTTGATGCTGAGGCGTCGTCCACGACGTTAGGCACAGCAAGACAGAATGAAACGGAACGGCCGCTCTATCACGACAGTGTCACGAAGCCACGAGATCACCCTGGTCCGGCGCAACCTCCGCACATTATTGCATGATCGGTTTGGAGCGGACAAGCTTTCAACGTACAGCACCTGCATTTTTCCTTCCGGCGTCAATTCGATCGAGGACCGACGAGGTGGACAGCGTGTATATACACCTGATCCACGGAGCCCTCGTTCGTTGGAATTTGCTCAGCCACTCCTTCTTAGCATCCACTGCCACCTACATCAAACATTTGCGGTGTGCGGTTGCAGGTGCATTCCAGCATTGATGGCGTTTCGACCATACTTTTGTACTCGCACACTTCCCTTTCAGGACTTCCGGCGTTTCGATCGACAAATACATAATTGTTGTACTTGTACTTGTACACACCACTCTTGCCATTCCCGGGCCGGTTAATTTTATTTTCGACTGCAACACTCGACTGGACTGTACTCACTGGTTCATACGATGGACGTGGCTTGGCACCAGCCAGATGCATTATACAACATACGACACACAGTATTATAACACTGTTGTCAATACCTAGGTATTCACACAATTACCCCGACCTTTGTCAACAAGACCACGAGATCGAACCAGTACAGTAACACGGGACAGGGCAGGACATGATAGAGAAAAAACGCGACCGGCACGGTGTAGGATGTGATATGCGACGATATAGAAGGATATACTAGTAACTAGACAATTCCCACGAAAGGGAGACACGGGATCTAGAGAGATATAGATACCATAGACTACGGAGTACTACTCATCTAATAGGACCATCATGATACGACTCCCCCTCCCTTTTCCTCTGGCATCAATGAACCTCTGTACGTCTTACTAGTAGATGCATATTCCATTGGTATCTTCATTTTCACACAGCGCGTTGGTCGACGCCAGACTCACTACGTAGAAGAAGTAAACAACAGACTGTCTTCCAAGACTCGCCTTTCAGGCGAGAGTTTGCTCAAGACAGGCCGAGTGTTTGACATTATGTCGATATGACCCCATAACATTCGAACGCTGAGACAGAGGTACCTCACATTCCCTTTAGCTGAAGGCACGTGACATTACTCAGCCTTGTCAACGAGGCTGTCCTTCCTTCGGCTGACCTTCCCTGCCTATTCCCGCAGGCGAGATCATACAACAACCCACAGTAAATGGTACAAGATCTGCGAAAGATGCCGTGTCATGCTGTACATCCATCCTAGTCCGGCCATTATCTATGCCGTAGGCGAGCGAGGAGGAGCACATCATGGTTGAAGTTGGCAGGTCGGCGTCCTTGTTGTCCTTGCAGAAATCGAGGATTCCGCATCTCGCTTTCTCTCTGCTTTCGAAAGGTGCAGGCGGGCATTTGAGGTTTCCGCAATCACATCGACTAAGGCCAACTTGCTGCAATGTACACGCTAGATCGAAACATGCGAGGCCTTACAGCTATAGTTCCCGCAGGTTCGCCTCCGCAACTACTCCTCCACCTACCTCCCGACCTCAACGACCACTGCGCTCTACGTCTCGAACGCCGACTACAGTACAAAATGCTCCTCCGACACCACCATCACAAGGAAGCCTTTCGTCCAGAAGAACCAATCGCTCCTTCAACATGTATTTCTACCCCGTCTGCGCCTTGGGCTTTGTGCTCTCAACCTACTTGATGTACATGTACCAGTCCTACCGCCGTGCTGTCAAGGAATCCGAGCTTCTCGATCTACCTCAGAACGCCGATGTGTCGTCCCGGTGGATGGACCTCTCGCGCAACTTTGACGACGAAGTCGACTTCTCCGAGAAATTCATGCTCTTGGGCCGCCGGCGGAAGGACCTCTGCCAGCAAGCAGTCGGAAATGTTCTTGAAGTGTCTGCGGGCACAGGGCGGAATCTGGACTATTACAATCTCGACCCAATACGCACGCCGAGGGCCAAGAGGATCAAGAGCTTGGTGTTTAACGATCTAAGCGAGATCATGGTATATCAGGCGCAGAAGAAGTTCGACAAGTTGCAAGAAAACACCCTGCCTATCGCGCAATTCCGTGGACCGGTGCGGTTCGTGGTCGGGGACGCGAGTGACAAGAGACTGATTGCCCGGCCGGATGGCGGTTTTGATACAATCGTGCAGACTATGGGGGTTTGCAGTATGGCTAATCCGGTAGCGTTCTTGAAACGGCTGGGCGAACTTGTAAGACAGCCTGGCGAGGAGAGCACGGGGTTGGATATGAAAGCTCTGGCGGAGGAGGAGAGTAACCGGAATGACTATGGTGCGGAAGAGGGCGAGCAGTCAGCCGGAATGGACAAAGGGGGCAAGATTCTCCTGCTTGAGCACGGCAGGTCGTACCACGAGTTTGTCAATCGGTTCCTGGATAACAATGCGAAACTGCATGCGCATCGGTACGGGTGCTGGAACAACAAAGATATCGACCAGGTCATCAAGGACAGTGGGTTGATGATCGAGAGTAAGAGGAGGTATCATCTCGGCACGACATATGAATATGTTCTCAGGCCGAAGCCGAGGCCGAAGGTGGTGGAGGCGGAGGAGGCTCAGAAGCCACGCGTTGATGCGAGCAGCTCGATTGAGACTGAGCCCGCGGCTGGAAAGAGGCAGTCATCTTGGTGGAAACCTTGGTGATGGTATTATTGATACTGTGCGGGTGGCCGAACGAGGCTGGCTCGAGATAGGGGTATCATGTCATTGATAATGTGTACAGTATGAATATATGGAGACGAGGCATAATTCAGACTGCCGGTGTACTTCCAGTCGATCTTCTGATAACCCTGCGCGGAGCTACCATGTTCCGTGGTGTGAGAGAAACAACACGCATACTAGTATACTAGTATGAAGGTATGATTACCTTAGGTATTCTTCGAGACTGACACCGATGTATGTAAGTTGGTGGTTCGAGTACAGTTGTCAAGGTAAACTGAACGTACGAGAGGCAGGCTTCGACTCTGCAGCGTCTCATCCTATCTACACAATATTTACAAATCCTAGACTACTCGTTCCTGTTTCTCACAAGTGTACTACTACTAGTATGTCCGTCCTCCACAAGAGCGGGTTAAGCATTTCTAAAAGAAGCTTACCTAGGGAGGCACACGAGTCGTCCCAAGCGAGAGTCACGGCCCCCCCCCGTTATTCTCCATTTGTCCGGGGGGTGCCATGAAGCGAGCTAGATGCAGGACTTGCAAGGGATGCCGTGAGACGGCCGAGACGGGAGAATGATGTAATATTTTTCGAGAAACCCGAGGAAGTTGACCTAAAGCAGATCCCTGGGCGATTGACAAACGCAAGTCAAGGCAAGACAGGGCAACATGCAGAAAGTTCGGGCGAGGAATGGATACCTATAGACAGTGTGACAGTAAGAGCGAAAAACAAGAGCGAGCCACTGGACCCATGATGGACCCGAACCGACTCCGAAGTGATCAACTAGTATTATGGGAATCTACCTCTCCAGTACTCGTAGAAAAGAGGAGCGGAAGTCCACCGTATGATCGGCATTGAATGATCACCTCACGAGGGAAAAAGCCTGGAACTCACCGGGGATGAGCTGAAAGCAGAGCCGCATACTCGTAGGCGCAGTTGGTAGTGCCAGAAGGGTGCCAGGAATATTCTTGGTGCCACCTCAGTGCACTCAGTGCATCCTCCCAGGAACTCGCGCAGCACTCTTTTGACTTCTCTCACGAAGATGTTCGGACACCGCTATCTCTACTGCACTGCACAACGGACGAGCAAGATAAGCCCCAGGCTTACTCAACATACAGAGAGAGTGAGAGAGACTACTGAGTCGTGATGCAAATGTGCTTGGCCATGGCCTGTCAAGGGAAAGTAAATTCGCTGAACCACCAGGTCTTGCAGATTCTCCAAGACGGTACGAGTAGTTGGCCTTGGGCTTGCAGTGGTATGAGTTGGGGTGTTGCCCATCAGACGACGTTGACTTTGGCACCAAGGGAAGGTGGGTAGGGGGAAAGATGGGTGAGTGGTGCACCTCACGCTTCAAGCGAACGGTTCCTCCATGCACCAATGCGTGGAAATGAATGGTTCTCCGCAGAATTACATCATGGTGGTGGTCTTGCTCGCAGTGGCGGAAATAATCCTAGGATCAGTCGCTTGCAGCAAAAGGAAAAGGTCACCGGCGGAGATAGACGAACTCGGTCCCCTCTGAAATCTTCTGATACGAGGGAATCTTTGGTAGCTCGTGCGCGCTCGGTTAAGCGAGTCTGCACCGGCAAAAGCATGTAGGCCAATGTTGAAGCAGGTCGTGTCTCGCTTGGAGAGTTTCCCAGAACTTCACGGATTCGCCGTTCGCAAGTGCTCAGCCAATGATTGATCAGGCTCCTAGAAAACTGTTGCAACGCATTGACTCTTCGAGAGAGGGCAAGTAGCGGCCGGTTGATACGAGGAGTGCTGTGTACATACTTGTAAGAGCGATCAGGGTTGAGCGTTGAATAACACGGATACTGTACTGATACCTAGGTACATAAGGGACTCGTACTCGTAGGTAGGAGCTTGATAGGGTGTGAGGAAGATAAGGAAGTCGTTGTCTCGAGCGAGGCAAGGCATCAACAAATATGCCAGAGAGCTCGGAGGACCATAGTATCATCATGTATGAGAGTGTCTGTGGGTACCTGAACGAGGATCAGAACAACTTCATCGTCGATTGCTGATCGCTTGTCTGAAAAGTGGTCTTTTCGGATGGAGAACAAGTACTGTATGCTGTTGATTAAGAAGACGATCTTCGGATCGAATGTGGACTTCCTAACAAGTCGACATGTGTCACCGAAAACGTATGTTTTGACAGCCGTGTTAGGACAGCATGGACGCTGGACGGCAGTGTGAGTACTGTATTGCTCCAAGGACAGTCTGAATTTGGACACTGTTGGATGATCTGCACATCCGCATTGATTCGAGAAGGTTGATAGTTCATCGGCTCGAGGCGCAAACGATAGGCGATAGTATGTGCACGGCCATCAATAATAGTGCATCGCCTCGCAGCTGGTAGAGATGTCTGCTTCTCGACACTCCTACTCTGGGTTGACTACTCGTACCAAGTCACGTGCAAGGGCACGCAAAGGTTGGGCGAGGCGAGACTGATTCATCACGTGAGTGTGACTTTCGGAATGGCATCTGCGGATGCCACGGAACGTCGGATAGTGGGCGAGTGGGCGAGTGGTCTCTGATGTCAAGCCAAACTTTGGCGCTTCATCTTTGACAGCCACTTGAGTCAACTGAGACGATTACGACGATTCGAGTCGAGTCGCAGAGCCAGCCTGGGTGCCAGCTACTCGTAAGATGAGCAGAGGCTGAAGGAGGCTTGAACGGCTTGCACATGCACATGTTTCGAAATTCGAATCCAACCCCGTGGCTGCACGTCAACGGCTCACAGTTACACAAGTCACTTTCCTGGTAGTGGTCTCCCAGAGCAACGGCAGTGTGATAGTGGAAGCTGCATAAAGCTGAGCTGCAAGAGCTTCAATGGCAGCTGCTTGATGGGTCACCGCAATTACAACTACCTACCTTAGGTATGTACTCGTAGCTGATGTGGCCCTGGGTGTCTCTGGTGCTCCAGGAGGGGCAATAATCCTGTCTGGGTGCCTGTCTGGTCGGAGGAAAAAAAAGAATAAGAATTTTTTGTGATTTTCCGATCTGTGGATGGTGGAGTGTCGAGAGGCCCACGAGACCATAGCGATTGGGCCAAAGATGCAGCAGGAACAGTTACTGTGCAGTAGCTGGTCACGGCTGGTGTCATTGAGGAGCCACCTGGGTGCCACCTGGGTGCCACCCCCTGGAGGGTACAGCTGCAGCTAAACCTTGACGAGGAGACGAGGGATGCGGTTGCACACTCACCAGTCACCACACTCTGCCGTCATCAACCAAACCACACCACCATCATTCGATTCAAGTTCCTTCAAACACCGCAAGCGCTTACTCTTACTAGATGTTGCATGGAGAATACTTGGCTCTTGACCATTCTACAGGAATTGCGACAATGGAGTTGGGCTTGCAAGCACCGTCGGGTAATGCTTCCAACGAGATCCGGGGCGACGCCTACTACTATGTACTCGTATATGAGTTGTGTCCGAGCATGGACTGCGGTCTTCGGCTGGATATATAATCGGCGCCTGCTGAATGGTTGCCTTTCCCGTGCGATATACCGTCCCTGAGCCTTTTTGTGCCTACGAGGATACCTGGGCTGGAGCTAAATGGCAGAGTACAGACGTAACAGGTTGATGCCAGGCGAATCAGGTGTCAAATGGTGAGGTCGCAAAATGTCTGGCGATACATCCGTTGATGAACTTTTTAGCTCGTTAGCTACTGAGTCATGACCGTTTAGGCGTTGGACTTTGACCCAAAGCAGCCTAGAGGACGGGCTAGTGAGCCCGCGAGTCTAGCGGTTGGCGCCTAGTCGACTCTCGGATCTCAGAGCCTTCGATCCTGGCTTCTACTCGTCTGGGCTCTGGGCTCTTTTTCAGGTGGCAGTCAGCAATACCCAGGCAGTGCCAGGTGCCCCGGGTGGATATCCATCTTCATCCGGCGTCCACGAGTTTTTTTGTTGCGTTCCCTGCCAGTGTCCGCCACTGCTACTCGTACCCTCTAGCAGTGTTGCTCCATACCAACGTAACCTGTCTGTTGTTTTCCCTGGGTGTGCCCATAACTTTTCGTCTTCTCTTCTATCTCCATCTCTCGAGCTTTGTACAACAGACCTTACGCACCTCTAGAACTTCTTCATCACTGAGGAGGGAGTAATCAAGAAAATACTTGCCCGTCTTCCAGATACCTAGTAATAGCCCCTGGTGCCTCCTCACACGACCCTCCCAAGCAAACAATTGGACCCTGAACCGACCCGAATCGAGCAGGCTCCCATTTACTGTGCAGTACACCGGTTCGGCCACCTTCTTCTTTGGTTGCCACCTCTCACGATCCTGCGCAAACCTGCATTGTCACAAACAACATCGAGAACCACTTCTCGTCCTTCTGCTTACCGCTGTTTGACCAACTTCACCAGTCAGGTGGTTAGCGAGATCTTGGACGCAAGGGAGGCGAGACCACCAGCCAGTCGACCTCATCCCTGCACCCTGGTTTGCAGAATTTGAAGCATCCCTATTGCTCCATCTTACACTTCTCCGGCACCCTTGCATCGCGGACACGCATTCCAGCTGCACTCGCCATCCAATCACTCAACGCTTGTCGCTGTCACACTTGACGACTCTCCCTTTGTCCAACTTGACCGCAGCCTGAATCAGCACACGCCCCCCGTCCTAAATATCTCCCCTACCAGAATACTTCGCCATACTCCGATTCCGACATTGTGTCTCTCCTTCTGGCCATCCTCAGCGTCGTTATACAGCCGTCCAACGACGACAACACCCTCCTCTCTGACCGCCGACACATGACACTGCCTCACCATGCCTTACAACACTCGCCGGAAATCTCTCTCCTTGCCCTCGCTCGGCATCCATCTGCCTAGTGGCTCTCGTGTACACCGCCTGAGCCTCAAGGCTACACCAACCTCCGAGACCACTCAAACTCCTCCTGCAAAGAAATTGAAACGTTCGCATGATGGGGACGAGCCTCTCTCACCAGTCTCGTCGCCTCGATCTAAAACCGGATCTCCTGCGATCGATCTCCCCGAGCCCACACCGTTGTCACGACGAGCCGCAGCCGAACAGACCCCTCCGCCTTCTCCTAAACTTCATGCGCTCCCGGTTCGCAAGATCGATACTGAAGGGATAAACGACGACATAGTCATCGCTGTCATCGCACAGTTGGAGAAGACTGGCAATCGTCCTCATCTCATCAAAGACTTGGCCACCATACTCGCCTCTACGAATGCTAGCATTGCACAGTAAGTGGATGGTCATCCTACTACAGGGGCCTGTCGCTGACCCTTTTCATAGTTCTGCAAATCCAGCCGCACTCTTGTCATCCCGTCTCAGCCTGTACCTGAAACGACCATGGACTGCCTTGTCGCCGTGTCCTCTGGCCAAGGAGCTGATACCGGTCCACCCAAGGAAAGTCTTCTTCTTCCTCACGACTCAACCGAGGTTGCCTCTACCTACCTCCTCCGACGATATCCTCCCTCCGTCGATGATCAAGGCCAAGATCCTCACGCCCAGTGTGTCAGAACACAGCCAAAACGATGACGAGTTGGAACTGGACCAGCGACAAAGAGCAAGGTTTTCTCCCAGCCCGGAAGTAGAGCTCTACTCTCCGGAACTTGACCAGGAAGATCCCATGCAACCACCTTCACCTGGGGAGCCTTTCAGCAACAGGAGTAGCCTGAATCCCGACGGTACGCCTGAGGTCCGGCGCAGACCTAATCGGGCACCCAGCCCACCATTGGAGGCAGATGAAAAAGGCTTCACCGAGACGGCCACAGCGGTACGTGCTCGTGGTATGAGTCTACACAATCTCACTGTTCAGCCATCAGTCGAGGTGGACGAGAAGATTGTCGAAGTGATAGAAGAGACTCCCGAACAGCGACAAAAGCGTGACCGCGAACTCGGCATGGAGCTGTTCGGCCAGTCTCACCCGGGACTGCATGTGCCGGAACAGAAATTGTTCTCCAGTAGTCCGATGATTCAGGCCAGACACGATCACTCCTCCGCAACAGCAAGAATGGACCTGACGCTGCGGCTGGATGACATGGACATGGGCGAAGCCGCCTGGTCCATGACAAGTCCCGAGCAGATCGAAGTAGACGAGCTTGACGTGCTGTTTACGGGATTCTGAATGAACAAGACTTTTCTCACCTCGACCACTCTAGCCTGCTCTCCACTTACCTGCACATGGCCTGACCAGCGTTTTCAACCATCTATTCACGATCTGCGCAATATCTCAGCACCCTTTGATTTATGTGCCTGTTGTATTTGGGCTCCTTGGACCGGGATGTTAGGGCCAGGATTGACAACATAAATATTGTATTGGGAGGTGGCTAAGCACGCTCATGTTTGAAGAATGATGAGAGGATGAGACTATATGTAGGATTAGCAATCGGATGCTCCTTTCGAGCAGCACCTTTTTACCTTTTTACCTTTTTAACAAGACGTCTTGATTGCTACTTGGAAAGAGGATTAATGCATAGCTAAGTATTGCTAAGCCTCGTTTGTGCAGTGGCTGAATATCACTTGTCCTGCCACCTACTTACTATACTATGTATGTACTTAGTACTCGTCTTGTCGTATCTTTCGCTCGGCAGGACCTGGCCCGACGGCGATGGTGGATGATGGTGGGTGTTTTTGCTTGTTTGGTTGAGCGGCTGCGTTTCCACTATTGGCAAAGCTTCGACCACTCGGGAATATTGACGTCGGAGGAATTTCAGAACTGTCCTTCGCCCTTTCCAATCCGAATTTTTTCTTCTATGATGCGAGGCTCTGGTGTCTCCCCCTCCAGCCTGTTGATACCCATCGCTTCAGCTTAGAAATCCATTTCCCTAGACCCTCCTTGTCTCTTCCCTCCTCCGTGGACTAATTCATATCTGTTGAAGTCCGCAAACTCCGATCTGCCCGTGTCATTGTTGGTCTCCCGCCATCACATCACCGTTTCACACCGTACAATTCGTTCCAGCGTATCTCTTTCTTTGTCAACCACTTTTATTTCGTTGTTTCTTTCGTGCCCTGCTACTGATTCTTCCGTTTTTCATTGGTGTCATTTCTCGTCGACGGAGGTACCAGGCGCGACAGCTGTCCATCTGTGCTAGTGCCTCTGTGATTGTGCAGCCCGCAGACTGCCCGCTCTAATAGCCCGTTGAGGGGCCGTCCCGTCATATCACACCAGTCCTCGAGAAAAGACCAAAGAAGCCAGCCAAGATGTTTAACACGCATTCTGGAGAAATGTTTGGACGCAGCTTCCGCCGCGAGCGTAAGCATTCCCCGACTCTCATTCAGAATCTCGAGCCATGCTAACTGTGGAAGCCCCGGTGACAACTCTACACAACGTAGCTTTCTCGGGTCAATTATCCCAAGATACAAGCGCAGTACAATCTCCCCATGACTCCCATGATCCCTCAAGGAGTCCCAGTCAAGACAGAGGGGGTACCTGGGGCGAACATGACGTCGGTGGACCCGTCAGTCGCGAGGAGGCTATGGCCGACTACCTGGAGATGAGAAAAGAACTTACCAGACTTAGCTTGCAACGGACGAGAACGCGAGACTCCGCGGCTACAAGGCCCAAAAGCCGGATCTCAAGACTGCGGACAGCACCTTCACTCGCCAGGACAATTTCCAGATCTTCAAGAGCTGACAGCCTAGCAACTGTTTCAACTGCGGACGAGGAGGCAGCCCCTGAACCAGTGGGAGAAGATGACCTAGACCTGGGCGCCTTCCTGAAAGATGGGCATTTCGAAAAGAGGACAGATGCTGGAGAGTCGGCCAAGAAAGTTGGCGTCGTGTACGAGCATTTGACCGTGAAAGGCGTGGGTGCCCAGGCAACTTTCACAAAGACGCTGCCCGAAGCCATCATGGGGACCTTTGGGCCTGATCTGTACCGTATCGTCACCAGATTTGTCCCGGCGCTGAGGTTTGGCAACCACCCACCTACACGAGACCTCATCCATGATTTTACCGGAGTCGTTCGTGATGGCGAGATGATGCTGGTGCTCGGTCGGCCTGGGTCGGGATGCTCGACGTTTCTCAAAGCCATTGCGAACCAGCGGGATAGTTTCGCGGCAGTCGAGGGCAAAATCAGCTATGGTGGCATCTCGGCCGAAGAACAGAGGAAGCATTATCTTGGAGAGGTCAACTACAATCCGGAGGACGATCAGCACCTGCCCAACTTGACCGTGTGGCAAACACTGAGGTTCGCATTGATGAACAAGACCACGAAACATGAAGCTGGCTCCATACCTGTCATCATCGAAGCACTACTCCGAATGTTCGGCATTTCCCACACGAGAGACACGCTGGTCGGAAATGAGTACGTTCGGGGTGTCTCTGGCGGCGAACGGAAACGAGTGGGTATTGCTGAGACATTGGCGACAAAGTCGACCGTCGTCTGCTGGGATAACTCGACGCGTGGTCTCGACGCGTCCACCGCTTTAGACTATGCAAAATCTCTGCGAGTCATGACCGACATTTCCAACCGGACGACCATTGTAACTCTGTATCAGGCTGGTGAAGGTATTTACGAGCTGATGGACAAGGTCTTGGTCATCGAGGAAGGTCGAATGCTCTACCAGGGCCCTGCTAAACTGGCGCGACAATACTTCATTGATCTCGGCTTTCAAGCGCCCGACCGTCAGACCACTGCCGATTTCTTGACATCCGTGGGTGATCCGAATGAGCGTCAGTTTCAGCCTGGCAAGGAGGCATCCACGCCCAAAAGTGCCGAGGAGCTCGAGGCTGCCTTCCGCAAATCCGAGATTTACAAGCAGACAATTGCCGATGTCCAAGAATATGAGAACCACCTTCAACGCACCGATTGCGCAAATACCAGGCGCTTTCAAGAGGCCGTCGAGGAGTCGAAAAGCAACAGCAAACTCGTGTCACCCCGGTCCAGCTATACTGTTTCTTTCTGGAAACAGGTGTTGGCTTGCACCCTCCGTGAATTCTGGCTTCTCTGGGGTGACAAAACGTCACTTTACACGAAGGCATTTATTATCGTTGCCAATGCTCTTATCGTCGGCTCGTTGTTCTACGGCGAGAGTCTTGACACGTCCGGCGCCTTTTCCCGCGGTGGTGCCCTGTTCTTTTCGGTCCTCTTCCTTGGCTGGCTACAACTGACCGAATTGATGAGGGCTGTGAGTGGTCGTGTCGTGGTTGCTCGACACCGAGAATATGCATTCTATCGACCCAGCGCAGTCGTTATCGCACGAGTACTCCTGGATCTACCCGTCATCGCCGTTCAGGCCGTGGTATTCACTATCATACTGTACTTCATGGCCAGCCTTGACGTCGATGCTGGCAAATTTTTCATCAACCTACTCTTCGTCTACATCAGCACGATCTGTATCACAGCTCTATATCGGATGTTTGCGGCCTTGAGTCCGACGATCGACGATGCAGTGCGCTTTTCAGGAACTGCACTCAATCTGCTGCTCATCTTTGTTGGATATACAATTCCCAAACGCACATTGACTAGCGATGTCATTTGGTTCGGGTGGCTCTATTATGTCAATCCAGTGGCCTACAGTTATGAGGCTGTGCTCACCAATGAATTCTCAGATCGAACCATGCAATGTGCACCTGCTAATTTGGTCCCTCAAGGCCCTAACGTCGACCCGGCATATCAGGGCTGTTCGTTAACGGGTGCTACTGTGGGAAGCAACACTGTCAGTGGTGCTGCCTATGTCGGACAGTCTTTTGGGTACTCTCGGTCGCATCTGTGGCGCAATTTCGGCGTCGTCGTTGCCTTCACAGTCTTGTACATTCTAATCACTGCTGTTGCATCTGAAATGTTCTCCTTCACTCACGAAGGCGGCGGTGCATTGGTCTTCAAGAAGACGCGGAAAGCTAAGAAGTTGGTCAGCGCTGAAGCCAAGGTCTCTGACGAGGAGAAAGGAGCGGTTCCACCCGAACCAGTGTCAAGCGGGTCCTCAGAAACAGTGCAGGATGAGAAAGACAACATTGTGAACAATATTGCCCAGAGCAAAAGCGTCTTTACCTGGGAAAATGTCAAGTATGAAGTCCCATATCAAGGTGGAAAGAAACAACTGCTCAACGGAGTCAATGGCTACGTCAAGCCAGGACTCATGATAGCACTGATGGGTGCAAGTGGCGCAGGAAAAACCACACTCCTGAACACGCTTTCCCAGCGACAGACTACGGGCACCGTCTCTGGTGACATGCTTGTGGATGGCCGACCACTCGGGATTGAGTTCCAAAGAGGGACAGGCTTCTGCGAGCAGATGGACTTGCATGACGAGACAGCCACCATTCGCGAAGCACTTGAATTTTCGGCTATATTACGACAAGATCGCGAGGTCCCAAAACAGGAGAAACTCGACTATGTCGACAAGATCATCAACCTACTGGAATTGAACAGTATTCAAGACGCCATCGTTGCTTCGTTGGGTGTTGAACAGCGTAAAAGACTGACCATTGGCGTCGAATTAGCGGCCAAACCAGAATTGCTCTTGTTCTTGGATGAGCCGACGAGCGGCTTGGACTCGCAATCGGCGTTTTCGATCGTCCGCTTCTTGAAAAAGCTCTCCCATGCTGGCCAGGCCATCATCTGCACAATCCATCAACCTTCGTCAATGTTGATTCAGCAATTCGACATGGTTTTGGCACTAAACCCAGGCGGCAACCCGTTCTACTTTGGTCCGATCGGCGAAAACGGTTCGGCGGTTATCGATTACTTCGCAAAGCGCGGTACGCAATGCCCACCGCACAAGAATGTGGCTGAGTTTATCCTCGAGACTGCCGCGAAAGGTGGCAAGAGAAGAGCTGACGGCAAACGAGTCAACTGGAACAAAGAGTGGCTGGAGTCTGAGGAGAATGCCCAAATGCTCAAAGAGATTCAGCGGCTCAAGGAAGAACGATCCAGAGAGCCCGTCAAGGAAACAAAAGCTCGCGCGTTTGCTGCACCCGTCACATTGCAAACGATCGAGCTCACCAAGCGAACGTTTCGGAACTATTGGCGCGATCCGTCGTACCTGTATGCCAAACTCTTCGTAAGCGTCGTTATCGGCATCTTCAACGGCTTCACATTCTGGAATCTAGAGAACTCGGTCGCATCACTCCAGTCACGCCTCTTCTCTCCGTTCCTGGTCCTGCTCATTCCGCCTACCATCGTCAACGGCGTGGTTCCCAAATTCTACCAGAGTCGATCGCTCTGGGAAGCCCGCGAATACCCATCCCGAATCTACGGCTGGGTCGCTTTCTGCACGGCCCAAGTTGTCGCTGAGATCCCCATGGCTATCGTTTCGTCGGTCGTCTACTGGGTGATATGGTACTACCCGGCCAATCTACCCCGCGACAGCAGCGCAGCGGGCTACGTCTTCCTGATGACCATGCTCTTCTATCTATTTATGTCGAGTTGGGGTCAATGGATCTGCGCCTTCGCCCCGAGTTTTACTGTCATCAGCAACATCCTGCCCTTCTTCTTCGTCGTGTTAGGCATCTTCAACGGTGTTGTCAGGCCGTGGCCCCAAATGCCTGTCTTCTGGAAGTATTTTGTATATTGGCTGAACCCTTCGACATGGTGGATTTCCGGCGTCCTTGCCGCGACGTTGAAGAACCTCCCGATCCGATGCCGTCAAGGTGAGAGTACGCTGTTCAACGCCCCTCCGGGACAGACATGTCAAGGATATGCCGGTGAATTCGTCAGGTCCGTGGGCCAGGGATACGTACAAGCGACGGCCAACGGGACGTGTGCGTACTGTCCATACGCGAGTGGGGATGAATACCTAGTCACGCTGAACATCAGGCCCGATCAGAAGTGGAGGGATTTTGGGATTTTCTTGGTCTTTGTCTTCACGAATTGGTTGCTCGTGTACTTCTTCGTATACACGGTCAGGGTGAAGAAGTGGGGATTCGGCATGGGCTATCTGTTCGGTGGAACGGGAAAGTTAATGAACTCTGTTGGCAAAATGTTCAGGAGAAAGTGAAGAAATCATGAATGGTGGGTCAGAAAGGGTTTCGACATGTTTTGAAACAGTTTGTCTGTGTTGGAGATACGAACAATTGAGGGACGAAAATATGATCTGATACCAAAAAGCACGGTGTTGGGGCGCGTTCAAAGACTGGGGTGCGCTTTGGTTTCTCATGATCCAGCTCGGAGTCAGGTTAGCTAGCTGCTACAGTAGTTAGATTAGTTGCGCAAGATCAAGTTCAAGTTCAAGTTCGCAAGCGGAATTGGCCAGACTGGGCTAGAGATGAATTGTTTTGAAATTTCCAAAATCAGAATCGCGGGAACGAGTCAAAAGTCCAGAAATTCTTCTACAACAGTAAAGACAGTCCGTTGTTCACTTCTTCTACATGGTGAGTCAGGGGTATGTAACACGTGATCATGGCAGCGGCCTCCCGATTCCTTCGCTCCGCCGTAGTCGACGAGATGTGGACTACAGATAACCCCTTCACCCCATCAAGCCCACGCTTCTCCTAGCTAGGGAAATGTTCTGTGCAAACGACTCTAAATTGCGATACTATAATGAGCCTCGACGCTCTCCCAACCAAGCAATATTGCCAAAGCACGGCACGGCCCTCCTTACTGTAGGTCAAGCCAACTCGGTGTCAGAATTCTCCGGCCAGCCGAACGCAAGTTCTACGTATCACCACCCTTATTTGCACGAACACAGGCCGGGGCCAAATCCCCTCAACTGCGGCTCGACAAAATCAATAAGACAGTGTACAATCAAGGCACTCGGAGATATATATCGGAAATTTAGTCTATAAATCATGCCACCTTATCAGTCAAGCATCTCGTGTCTGTTGAGCTAGGCCATGAGTATATTCAACATATCGCGAAGACCAGGATTTTCGGGAGGCCGGAGGAATTCTTATGCCGACTCGGTGTGTCAGGCCATGCACGAACCGGATACACAACACCACAGGGAAAGCTGGACGCCTACAGACCGTGGTGATCAGATTACAAATGTACGAATGACTTGACCTGACACGAATCTCTCTTAAAAGGTGCATCCCTCATCTCCCTCCCCTTTCGCCTTGACCAAGAAAAAGACCGGCCATCGACACCAAAGACAAAAGACACCAAACAGTTGTTAACAATCACGAACATGGTTTCCCTTCAGGCCATCCGCAAATCCAACGCTCGCGTTGCAGAGCTACCGGAGGGCCTTGTTGCGCTGTTCCTTGGCGCCACCAGCGGAATTGGCCAGAGTGCCCTGATCCAGTTCGCACAGTACGCCGTCCGGCCTCGCATCTACATCGTCGCCCGCCGCGCTTCCGCCACGAAGCCGTTACTGGCGGAGCTCCGCGCGAAGAACCCAGGCGCCACCTACACGGTCATCGAGAAGGACGTCTCGCTCATCTGCGAGACCAACGATGTCGTCGAGTTTGTCAAGGCTCGGGAAACCAAGCTCGACCGGCTGTTTGAGTCGGTCGGCTTCATCTCTTTCACCGGTCGCCAGGAGACGGCCGAGGGTCTCGAGCCGTCCATGACGACGCGCTACTACAGCCGGCTGCGCGCTGTGCAGGGCCTGCTGCCGCTCCTCAACGCCGCCGCGAGCCCGCGCGTGGTGTCGATCCTGGCCGGCGGGATGGAGGCCAAGATGAACGAGACGGACCTGGACCTTCGCAAGCCCGGCAACTACTCGATCGCCGGCGCAGCCGTCCACTCGGCCACTATGCTCACACTGGCCTATGAGCATCTCGCCAGGGAGAATCCGCGCATCAGCTTCGTACACGCCTACCCGGGGTTGGTTGCCACGCCTATCCTCTCCAGGGGATCCACTGGCCTTCTGCGTCTGCTAATGACGTGGATTGTCATACCACTAGCCACCTTGTTTGCTACGTCTGTGGAAGACGCAGGAGCGAGGGCTTTGTTCTATTTGACCAGTGACCGGTACTCGGTCGGCAATGGCACGGTGCCGTTGCCCGAGGGGATTGAGAAGTCACCCAGGACTCAGGGTGGTATCTTTCTAAGCAACGCGAAGAGCGAGAGTGTGGGTAACGAGAAGTTGTTGGCAGACTTTCGAGCGAGAGGGGTCGATGAGCAGGTCTGGAGACACACGATGGAAATATTTGATGCCTGCGCTGCAAACGCTCCGAATCAAGCAACTAAAGGCTCGCAGAGGTCACAAACGTGAATGACAACTGAAATACCTATCCCACTGACAAGCATCTACCTCCTTCGGAGTAACACACGATTGTCCATCAAAACCCAATCGTTAGTTCAACCAAAGCTCATCATCATCATCATCTTGAGTACACAGGCACCCATAGATAGCTGACCATTCTCGTACCTTTCGAAGACGGTCCCTACCTCTCTTTACGTTCTCAATTCGTTTCAGACCATTGATTTGCTTCTGAGGTGCTCCTTTCTTTAACCCGCCTGAGACGTCCAGAGGGTCTTAGCAATCCAGGAAATGAGTAGATCATGCCTGGTTGGTTCCCTCAACATGTTCGGGGTGAGAGCCACTCCTATGCCCTTCTCGCTGTCTCTTCTCTTGGTCTTTGACGTCTGCAACGACGCCAGTATCGAAGTGGTACAGAGGCTTGAGCTCAGCATTTTTGTTCCAGAAGATATAGCGCTTGATGAACCAAGGCAGCCAGGTCCCCATGTTATATGAGATGAATCTGCGAGTAGGCACAGCGAAGATGTAGTCGAGCTCTTCAAGTGACCGTTGCTGGGGAGGACCGTCAGCAAAGGAACTTCGGTGGTCAAAGAAGGACTAGACTTACCTTCGTCTCTGGCACCCAGAGGAAGATCATGACAAGCGCAACGATGTTCATTCCGGCAAAGAATCCGAAGGCGCCAGTCGGAGTGAAAGCCTCGAGGATCTTGGGGAAGGTGAGGCTCAGAACTGCAGCCCAGAACAGACAAGTGGCAACAGCCCACCCCATTCCTACTTCGCGGTGAGAGAGGGGAAAGACCTCCGCAGAATAGGTGAAAGGAACAGGGCCTTCACCAGGTGAATAAAATGCAGCGTAGAGATAGATAAACAGTGCGATGACTCCCAACCGCGCACTTTGATTGGTTTCGGGAATGTAGAATGCCAGACCCGCAGCCAGCAAAGTCCACGCCATCTGTGGGAACGTGAAAAGAAGTAAGGATCGTCTTCCAAAGGTGTCAATGGTGAAAAAAGCTGGTATGGCGAAGAGGAAATTGATGCCACCGAATCCAAACGAACCGAGGAGAGCTTCGATGTCGGAGGCTCCTGACGTCGCAAAAATCGTACTGGAGTAGAAAGCCATGATGTTAATGCCGCACATCTGTTGAGCAATCATGACCACGAATGAAGCCAAGGTCGCACGCCGCAACCGAGGGATCGTGAAGAGTTGGATGAAGCGAGTGACGTAGCCTGAATCGCCCACAATTTCCCGCTCGATTTCGATCTGAGTGGAAATGTAGTATAGGTCTCTGGCAGCCAGAAGCGGATGGTTGCGGAGCCTCAGTAATGACCTGTATGCTTGCCCGTACTTGTTGTGCTTGATACACCAACGAGGACTCTCGGGACACATGTAGACCAACACCGCCAAGGGGACAGCAGGTATAAAGGCGGAGCCAATCTGGAGGCGCCAGCCGATACTACCGGCATTGTACACGGCCAGATTGAATGCAGTGCCCATAAAGATACCAAAGGCTGTCCAGAACTGCCATGTCATGACTAGAGCGCCGCGAATGGCAGCTGGGGAGTTTTCCGCTGCGAAGATGGGTGTGGTAGCTCCCTTGAGACCCATGCCGATACCCATAACGATCCGCGTAGCCAACAGCTGTTCCCAGGTCTGGCAGAATGCACCACCAAGTGGCGTGGCGATCAAGAGCATAGCAGAGGCAAAAATGGTGCCCCGTCGTCCGAGATACCAGTTGAAGGGATCGGAAAGCCAGCAACCAAGGAAAGCACTACCAAGGTAGGGAGCTGCATTGACGAGACCGATGATCCAGAAGTCTCTCTCGTAGCCAGGTTGGCCCTCGGGAGTGTCTAGGCCAAACACCTGGGGAAATGAGAGGTTGGCACCATTGGTACCAGTTTGATCCCATCCCTGTACAGCTGCGCCAATGGAGCAGACGGCGACTGTGATGTAGAGCTGCTTAGGGTGGCGCCACTTCTTTGTGACTTCGATCCGCAAGGCATCCTTTTCCTCCTCGTCGAGGTCCGCCACGTTTTCGTAGTCAGCTGGATTTTGAGCAACCAGCGCGCCTTTCTTGAGCAATTCGATTTGGTCAGTCATTCCAGTTCGATTCGCAAATTCCTCGACCTTGTCGAGATTGGTCAGTTGTAGTATACCAACAGGCCGCAGAATCACTCACATCGAGCAATAGTTGTTCGCGGGGAATGTCTGCCAAAGGATTTGAAATTCTTCAAGCTTAGCCAAGAACACCGCCCAAGAGGGCCGAAAGAGCTTACTTTGCATCAAGATTCCTGTCTCTGTTCAAGTCCGCCACAGACGAGCGTCGACGACCACCTTCCGTGGTCGTGGTATTTTCATAATGGATGTCCTTGTTGTCAGACATGATGGGTGATGTAGGGCAGTGTGAAGATAACAAACAGAGAGAAACAGGTCCAGAGGATGTCGCGAGGGGAGCTACCTATATGGCCAACTTCACCTTATCAAGGCTCTCCACGCTCTCCTAGCATCATGGCTTGCCTTGTCTTGTCTGCACATCCGCCCAGACTGCCCAAGGTAACATCGTGGCTTGGGTTCCCCATACTGCCAATGTCATCTGGTGAGGGAGTGATGGGGTGCTCCAGGATCAGCGCTGTACCGCAGCGTCTATGATTATTCCATGGAGCGCAATGGAGCCGTGGCAAGGGAGGTTGGCACGAGACGTTTGACCCATAAAGCCAAAATGAGCGGCCCAGAGTGACAGCCAAGAACAATGAGGACGGCCAAGAGTGCGAAGCTGAGCGTACGTGAGGTATGTCGACGGCAGCAAGCCCCAGTCGGGGGCATTGGCGGAGCTTGGCGCATCTTACCGGGGCGCGGCATGCTGTGTGCTACGTAGGACGTGGTGGACGTGGTAGTACTTTTTCAAGTCAGGTGGGAAGGCCGCCGCAGCGGAGTGTCGATCATGCTCGGCTTGGATGAAATCTGCCGCAATGCTAAGACCGTCGACTTCCAGGGTCAGTGCCGTCATTCATCATTTCACAGCATTGACAGCTGTTCGAGTCGATAGCTGCTTACAGACGTGCTCAATGTATAAAGGCTTGAGCAACGCTCAGTAAGAGGTGATGGTTGTGGACTGGTAAGAGATGGCCTAAGCCTAACTTCATCGACAAGGCAGATTTAAGTGTAAGCGATGAAGAGAGCTCCACCACCGTCTCGCTCACTAGCAATCTGGCAAGGCACACAGACTCGCATTGTAGCAAAAGGCAGAACGGAGGGGGCAACAAGGATCGTTTTTGCTCATACAGAATACGTGGACTTGGTAGGTGCTAACTTAGTTGCTGTCAAGGCTGGTGAGGCTACTGTATGTTGTGTTCACCGAATAAGCGGAGGAAGGTTCACCGAGGTGCCCATGGTGGACGAGGGGTTCACTCCCGATCACGCCTCGGGGCACACGACAGCGCCCCCCCATAGGTGGGTGCCCTGAGATTGTCGTCGGTAGTAGCATACAATTATTGTCCCATCCAAAAACTCGAGGCGGAGAACAAGGTCTCTCGGCCGCAAACTATAACTATCACCCACTGTTGACCACATTATTTATCTCCCACCATGCAAGGACGATCGTATCTCAAGTAGGTCGAAGCACTTGGAGGAGGCGCCCACTACGATGGTTGAAGCTGATTCTAAGGTTCCCCAGCACATCCTTGTGATCGGCGCCGGCGCATTCGGCTTGGGCACGACGCTTTCGCTCCTCTCCAAGCCAGCTTACAATGCGACCCGAATCACCATCGTTGACTCCTCCACGCAACTTCCGAACCCCTCGGGCTCGTCCGTCGACGCCAACCGGATCGTCCGCGCCGATTATGCCTACGTGCACTACTCCCGCTTAGCCATCGAGGCGCAGAAACTCTGTCGCGACACAAGTGCCCAAGGATGCGGTGGGGAAGGACGGTACCATGAGCCCGGCTTCGTGCTCACCGCGGACGCGGGCCAAGGCGCATATGTGAGCCAGGCCCTGGATTCTGTGCTCAGTCTTGCTGCGGCGGATGGCGGGCTGGATCTAAGCAAGATAAAAGAGTTGCATTCTCAAAACGACATCCGGAAAGCTACAGGCTATGAGGAGGTCAGTGGAAGCTATGGCTATGCGAACTACAACTCTGGCTGGGCTGATGCAGAATCCTGTGTAGCGTATGCTTTGAAGAGGATACAGAAAGAAGGCGGTGATCGAGTGACTATCAAAAGTGGTGCAAGAGTTGAGAGGCTATCGTTCTCAGGGGATGAGTGCACCGGCGTCGAGTTGGCCGACGGCGAGAGCATAAAGGCAGATTTGGTTATCCTGGCAGCAGGAGCATGGAGTCCGACTCTGATCGACCTTCAAGGCAGGTGTCTAGCAACCGGTCAAACGCTCGCGTTCATCGACATCACCGACGAAGAGCAAGCGGCTATGGCAGACAGACCAACAATCATGAATCTGAGCCGCGGCATGTTCATCATTCCACCTCGAGACAACAAGCTGAAAATCGCGAGGCACGGGTTTGGATATATAAACCCTGTACAAATCCCGAGACGAAATATCCAACCGCGTCTAGCAAATGGAGAAATCACCCCAGAACGATATGAATATGTCGACGTGAGCGTACCAAAGGCCGGGGTTCCGGTACCCCTGGAAGGACAAGAAGCCTTACGAGAAGCACTACATGAACTAGTCCCGCACATGGCAGATCGGCCGTTCACCCGGACGAGGATATGTTGGTATTGCGACACGTAAGTTACCAGTCCTTTACTCTCTACTTCGTGACGTATCACTCATAAAGACACACCCCAGACCGACCGGCGATTTCCTCATAACATATCATCCACGGCATAAATCGCTCTTTTTGGCCACAGGAGGCAGCGGACACGGCTTCAAATTCTTCCCCGTAATAGGAGACAAGATCGTCGACGCGATCGAGGGCAACTTAGACCCCTTATACGCCCGAGAATGGCGCTGGCGGTGCGACGAGGAATTGCAGAAGATATACGGACCAGAAGGGTTCATAGGATGTGAGGATGGCAGTCGAGCGGGTCCGAAAGGCATGGTGCTTGAGGACGAGATGGCCCGGACTCGGTAGCAATCCGCTCTGCTGGCTCGCAGTCTTTGATCAGACTGACTTGCCGCGAGGTACGATCGATCGAATAAAATCAAGGCCGAGCCGTGACCTAGCTATGACCCAGCTGCGACTATGGTGCCTTCTAGCACGAAATATACTGCTGCTGCTCAAAGAACTCTGCAAGGATAGTAAGATTCACTGCAGCGTGCCGGCTCTGTCCGTCATCGTCTTGGAATGACTATGTGCTTGTTGAACACGTCCACGCACGTTCCAGCTATCCATCCACTCATTCATCCATGGATACGTGTCGCAGATCTGAGACGGGCATCGATTCACCATCCAACGGTAGGTATATCTGCCGCCGATCGGATGCATGAGACCCGAAGTACTGGAACAATACGGGAGTACCTACTACCTGGTAGGTAACCAAAAGGTGTGACTTGTTTGCCTGGAAGTTCAACCCTCCGAGAAACCCACCTAGGTCACATCAAACGGAACGGAAGTCGAAGTCGAAGTTCATTTAATCCTTCATTTCACCCTCCTTTCAATCAACATCCAGAATCTTTGTATTCCTCCTACTCGTACTAACGTTAGCTTCCATCCCGGCTGTCAGGACAAATTAACACGCGCCCGACACGGGCCAGCGACGCGAGGGGGAAATATCACCCTTTCTGTCTTTCCATCTTTCTGCATGCATGTGCAAGCAAACCCTTTATCTTTCTTTTCTCCTTCTTTTCCCCTTCAGCTTTCCATCCGTTGTAAAACGGGAAAATCCAACTTCCTCGGGAGTTGAGGCCAGTTACACTCCGTATGGAAAATGAGAATGCCACGGGGACTCTCTGCAGAAAGTGCTGACTCGCGAGAATGCAACCCCCTCAACCCCTTACATATCATACAAACGGGGCCCTCCCGCCTACCATCAACACAAACGCGTCTTCCCTCATCCTCTACTCTGCTGACTCGCACACAAAACAAATCCGAGTTGATCAATCGGCGATCCCCCTCGAGGACAGGAAAAGGAGAAAGAAGAGTCACCGATCTGATCCGCCCCATGTTCCTAATCCTAAACATCATCAAGCGTCAGCCGGGGTGCAATCGGGGTCAGCAATTACAGTCAGCAGCCCACCGCGTACGGCTCCCTGGAATCAATATTTGAAGCTGCACTCTCATCTTCATTAAAACCCCAGTCTCCTTTCGCTCGCCAGCAGGAAGGAGTTCGGCCTACTTCAAGCATACATACAGGAACGGACAAAGAAAAGAGGTAAGCCCTTGCAGCGACTGAACACATTTTGCAGGAACAACGCCTTTCTAGCCCAACAGTATGGCATCCTCAGCCAAAACAGCCACGGACAAAGTACCATCATGAAGCGGCGACCAAAGGTTCGAGGCAGTACCGTCAAGCGAAACACAGTAGAAAGACATTTTGGGAGGACCAAGAATAATATTTGGACGATTAATGCCATGCCGCCAGGTTTCAACCTCAGCAATAAGCGGCACCATACTACGATACCCAGCACCTCCTCAGCATCGACCGTTTGTTCCAAACACTTCTCCCGCTTTTCTTTTCGCCAATACAATCTGATGGACGATACCCCACGCCCGTGACGGCTTTCGAAACCCAGCCGTGGAAAACCAAGCTCTCAATTTCAGGACAATGTCCCTCCCATACCCGAACGACCTGAAAATCGCCGGAAGATGATCAACGATGACCCAAGTGGACGATCGTGACACATCTAGAACCGAAGATGGGAAACAGTTGTGTGATGAGAAGCTGCGAAGACGGTAAACGAGAATTCGACCAGCGCGCCGAATACCGCCCCAATGATGCCCTTTATGTCGATGAAGACCCATGTCTAATTTGGTGTACAGGCTCTGCACCCCACCTTTTTGGGTGCTCAAGCCCGGAAAGAGAAAGGTAAAGATTTCGCTCAAGAACGCCTTGCAATGCTCATAGATAGTCGTAACACGGGCAAAAAGCAAGATGGTAGGAGTGTGATGTGGTGGTAAGTGTGATGGCCACCCGTTCTTGACGATGTGACAATTGTTGGAGAACGGGGGCTGGTGGTTATGTTGATACACGGCGAAAATAGAAGATCACCAACATCTAGACTTTACGGAAGTCTGGATCGGTGGTCAGCAAGAGCCAATTACAGTGACCTGAATTTCTGCTTACCTGAAAGTGTCGGGTAGATCTGCTCGAACGCCTGATAGATTTCCTCACGGACCTTGGCACCAGTGAGCACAATCTTGCCGCTGACGAAGATCAATAGCACAATCTTCGGCTTGATCATGCGATAGATGAGACCAGGGAACAGTTCAGGTTCATACGAGCTGAAGGGGTGATGCTTGGATGCAAGACCCTCCAGTCGAATGGGAAACTTGATGTCGCAAGAGCCGACAATGTTCTGAATCTTGAAGTCGGTAAACTTGGCATTGAAACCAAGTTTCTGGATGATTCGAGCATACTTGCGGCTTGCAAGCTTCGAATCATCTTCCGACTTTGCACCCGTGACGACCATCTTGCCTGATGCGAAGATCAGAGCGGTTGTCTTGGGGTCTCGAATACGCATAATGACAGCGGCGAAACGCTGAGACAGTCAGTACGGAACAGACACCAGGGTGTCAAGCACAACTCACTTTTGGGTTGTACTCAGCATTGCGGGCATGGAGTGCGATGGTCTTGAGATCAAGACGGCAGTCAAGATTGACCGTAGCCACAATGTTTCTTTGGCAGAGATGTTAACCTCTGCTGACCAATAATGGGCAACAAAGGGTGGTTACTCACTGCAAAGTAGGCACAATACCACTCACTCCAGCACCAGGGGTCGCAGTAGGAGTTTGAGGAGCTTGTAGAGCATTCCCTCCTTGTTGTAAACCATTCATCTTCCCATCCGCATATGAGCCACCATTGAGGTTATGTCCATCTTTCTCAGAGGAGGGCGGTGTCAAGTCTCCAGCACCACCAGGAAACGAGAGAGACGCGGGAGAGGTGAAGGCTTTGGCCTGTTGCGCGGTGGAAGGATGAGTGGTAAGGGAATCCATGATTGCAATGTGTGAGGTTCGCGGAACTGCGGCGCAATCAAGCGGTAGCAGTTTGATGTCCTTGTCGATGAGGAAGATCGAAGGGACGGTGAGAGCAGTCTGAGAGAAAGGTTAGGACTCTGCGATGACGGGTGGCGGTGGAAAAGATTTTCGTCGGGGTCGATCGATCTGAGGCTCGACTGAGGCAAGGCAGTGAACTCGCTTTCACTTCACTTGTCTCGCAGATAACGCTCCGTGCCAGTCGACGACGGCGGCGACCTCGAACGATAGGAGGGTGGAGATGGTATTCGTACCGAGATGTGGGAGATGAACAACTCAATGTCTCCCCTACAAACAACAACTGCCTAAATCCGATGTGACCGCCGACTTGAATATTTTGTCCTGAGTCGACAGTGACCACAAGTACCAGGTCTCGTGTGATTGAGTGATGATGAGGTGTGCGCGAAAGAGGAACAAGAAGAAGCAAGGTCTTTTGCGAATTACTATTGCGGAAAGTGCAGACTGTCTAATGTTTCTTTGTCCCTTTAGCTCTTTGTAGAGAACGGCAGGCGCTCGCGACGGGTTTTTCCTTTTGAGGTTTGTGATCCGAAGCGAGAGCGCCCAAGGATACGGGAGGCACGATCAGAGGGGAACCGAAACGTGGCCGATGAGAGAGGAGGTTCGCAGGCAGATATGCGACAAGAATGCGCAGATTGGAATGCCCGACGATGGATGAGTATGGAGATGGCAAGGGTGATGGTGTGGCGCCAAGCCAAGAAAAAATGTCAGAAAATCGAGAGGTCGGGTACGTTCGCGCGTGCGGGAGGGCAAGGCGGTATTTATACTGCTGCCTGCGAGCAGACACCCCGCCATCAGAGGCGACGCTAAAAGTGACCAACGTCAAACTAGAGCCAAACAAGTCTAGCTGGGTCATCATTTACCCCCAACCTCGCCTGTCGCTCCATGCACCTTATCTGCCCCTTTTTGCTGGTTCATGTACCTTTCATGCACCTTTCCAGCCTGCGCCTTTGTCCTGCCCCTAAATCATGCATCATGACTTTTCCATCCTCCCATTTTTCTGTCTTGAGTCTGCCACATCGGAAAAGGGCCGCAAAAGACCAGAAGATGCGGTGAGCTGATTTGAGCATATTTAGTGGTCTGTCGCAGGGTTACATGGCCCGAGCACGTGCTTCAGAATTTTCTGCTCGAGCATTGAATGAAAAAGACAAGGTGGCCAAAAAGGGTGTCGGACTAGCCGCCCCAGATGAAGGAAAACAGGGACCTAGGAGGATCTCTCATCCACAGATCAGCGCGTCTGTCTCCGAACACACTGCTCATTGAGGGTGCTGCTATTCGCAAGAACACTCCCTTTCTCGCCGAATGAAGTTGCTGGCGATAGGAAATCCATTCTCATTGCAAGATACTCGTTCAATGTGGTGGTTGAGACGAAAAGGAGAATGAGTCACAGCCCCAAACGAAAAGACGAGGGGTTTTTTGTTTCACATGCCGCGCAAGCAACGTCTTGGCAAACATCCACCGGCGCCCAAACGACACTTCAGCCCGAGCGCCACCAAAAATCGGTTTGCCTGTCATGACCCAATCATGATGCGGCCACCAGCGTCAAAATGATTGCAAAACCGGTGACGATGGACCACTCAGCTTCGTTGAATTTTGAATGGTTTGTTGTTATCTTTCAATCAAAAGCATTGGTCATTCAGCCTTGTCAAGAATCAATATAGGTGCTGTGGTACTCTGTAAGGCTGCAGATATAGGTCATGGCACCAGCAAGCACGTTTGCTCCCACAATCTACACAGTACTGTACTCGTACATTTTTCCTGGTTTTGGTCTCAGGTAATGGAATAACTCGGCCCTTCACCTCCTTGCGGCGTCTGCCAATTGATATCCTGACTTGGGTCCTTGATATCACACGTCTTGCAATGTATACAACTATTGCCATACAGTCAGTACGACAGTTCACCTTCATCAGCCCAGGAGGGGGGGGAGAACTTACTTCTGCGCATTGATCTGGAACCGCACTCCCAAATCCTTCGTCTCGTCCTCGACGTATTCATACACACCGGCCGGACAAAACCTGTTTTCCACACCTTTGTACTTGGGATAATCCATCTGCGCATGTGCATCCCAGTCCTTAACCTGCAGATGTACAGGCTGGTCCTCCTCGTGATTGGTATTCGTCCTGGATACACTCGTCAAGATATCAAACGTGATCTCGCCATCCGGTTTGGGATACTCGATCTTGGGCATCTCATCTGCCGGTTTGGTGTTTGCCCAGTCAGGTTTCTTGTGCTTTAGCGTCCAGGGCATCATCCCGCGAAACACGTACGCCTCAAGGCCTGAATACATGATCCCTCCATAGATGCCCAGGGGAGTGTGGAATGACGGGCGCATGTTCCTTACCGCCTTGAGTTCCGGCCATATCCAGCTCGACCGTAGCGCATCTTCGTAGCTGTACAAGAACACCGTGCTGTCCCCTTTACTTGAAGTGAGAGCTTCGAAGGTGGCTTCAGCAGCCAACATGCCGGACTTCATCGAAGTGTGAGTGCCCTTGATCTTGGGTACGTTGAGGAAGCCCGCAGTGTCGCCGATCAAAGCGCCACCGGGGAATGCGCATTTCGGTATTGATTGGTAGCCCCCCTCATTCAAGGCGCGGGCACCATACGCGATACACTTGCCACCTTCAAGCACGGATTTGTAGAATGGATGGAGCTTCATGCGATTGAATTCGCCGTACGGTGAGATCCACGGGTTGGAGTAGTCGAGCCCAACGACCAGTCCCAAACTCACCAGGTTGTCGCCAAAGTGGTACATCCAGCCGCCGCCGTACGTGTCTTTAGTCAGGGGATATCCCATTGTATGGGATATTTCACCCTTCTTGAACTTCTCGGGCTGAATCTCCCAGACTTCCTTGACGCCAAGTCCATAAGTCTGAGGCTGGCAGTCTCTTCGCAGCTCGTACTTTTTCGAGACTTTCTTGGTCAGACTACCGTGGCAGCCCTCAGCAAGGAGTGTAACTCGTGCGTGGAACTCCATGCCCCGCTCGAAGTTGGCTTTGGCCTTGCCATTGCGTCCCACGCCTTGATCGTTGGTGGCGATGCCTTTGACAGCACCCTCGTGATTGTATAATATCTCCGCCGCAGAGAACCCAGGGTATACTTCCACACCCACCTCTTCAGCTCTTTCGCCCAGCCACTTGACGAACTGACTCAGACTTATAATGTAATTGCCCTTGTTGTGCATCTGTGGAGGGGCAGGTATAGGAATGGCACCAGATTTTGTCAGGAATCGCATCTTGTCAGAGCCAGCAGGAGTGGCACCCGTGAATCTGTTCTCATTGTCCTCCGCTAGCCAATCTGGAATCAATTCATTGATCGCCCGTGGTTCAAGGACATTGCCAGAGAGCATATGTGCGCCAACCTCGCCAGCTTTTTCAAGCACAACCACTCTGAACTCTTCATTTCCAGCTTCATTTGCAAGCTGTTTTAATCGAATGGCAGCACTCAAGCCTGCGGGGCCAGCACCAACAATGCACACGTCCACTTCGTCGCATTCTCGGTCCACTGTAGCAGGATCAAAGGCCTCATCGACATCGGCGTATCTCCGTTGTAAGCTCGCAGATATCGACCGTCTCTGACCAGCAACGAAAACTGGTCTCGTGGCTCGTAAGGTAGCTCTTCGTTGTGCGGGGAAGGTCTTGATCAACGACGCCGAAGGACGGGAGAAGGAACGACATTGTTGAGCTGGGGTCGCGAGCCTCAACAGAGGTCGCGTTACGTGCTTGGAGGCCATCCTGTTGTTGCGGTGGACGGTGTCAAGGAGTCTTCAAAGGATCCTAATCTCGTTGAGGACAATTGGAGTATTGAACGTCACCAAGCAGTTCGGCAGGCTAGCCTCGGTCCACGAAAATACTGTGATACAGCTACGAGAATCGTCCACCAATCGGCTGCAACCTATACCAAAGCAGTCCGAAGCTGCGAAATATTGGTGTGCAGTGCACGGCGCAGGAATATCGTCGAGCCTTGCCAGACTGATGAAGCTTCCTGAGGGTCGATGGTGAAGACTTCAGCTCCTGTGTCGCGCTGTAGACACGAGTGTGATCCTCCTCAGTTCGAAGCGTATCGAGGCAAAGAAGCAACGCAAGTCGATGACATCGTCACTCTTACCTTGCCGCCATCTGATAATTCGTGGTAAGCTCCAAAGGTGCATGCCTTCTGACCAAGGTGAATATCTAGACTCCCCCACCCTTCCTTTGAGAAACCCCCCATCCTTGAGAAAATGACTGCCTACACACGTGTAGGAGCTGTGACTGGTGCGAACAAAGGAGTTGGCCTGGCCATAGTTCGCCAGCTAGCCTTGCAATACCCAAAATCTGCCTACAATAATGGGCCTTTACTCATCTATTTAACGGCACGAAATGAAGAGCGAGGGAAAGCCGCGTTGGCAACCATCAAAGAAGACCCACAATTGAAGAAAGCAAAAGCCTTGCAAAAAGATGGAGGACTTGCTGATGTCGAATATCTCGCGTTGGACATTGACAGCAAGCAGAGCATTGACGACTTTGCGAAGGCATTGAAGAAGAGGCATCCAGATGGCATTGACTTCCTCATCAACAACGCAGGAGTTGCTTTGCAGGGTTTTGATGAAAATGTCGTTAAGGATACGCTCCATTGCAACTACTACGGTACACTCGACGCAACTCGACAACTGCTGCCGCACATCAAAGACGGAGGGCGTTTGGTCAATGTAGCGAGCATGTCAGGCCAAATGAGTTCCAAATACTCAGACGGTATCAAGTCCCGTTTCCTGAATGCAAAGAAGCCGGAAGAAATATCTCAGTTGATGGAGGAGTACACTTCCGCTGTTGCGAAAGGCACATATCAGAATGACTGGCCTGGCAATGCTTATGCAGTCTCCAAGGCTGGTGTCATTGGCATGACAAAGACCTTTGCTCAGCTCAATGCTGAGACTGGGAGCAAGACATTGATCAATAGTTGTTGTCCCGGCTATGTCAACACAGACATGACGAAACATCGAGGTGTCAAGACGCCAGACGAAGGAGCCCAGACTCCAGTGCTACTCGCGTTGGGCGATATCAAAGGTTCAAATGGAGAGTTTTGGCAGGATGAGAAGATCATTAAGTGGTGATATCATGGTCGCCGGCATCAGTAGCCATCGGAAAGAGCGCTGAATGCTGAATACTTGGATTGTTGCCGAGGCGAAAGGACATCATAGATACCAGGTAGCGCTTGTTGTCCAATTTGATCGGTTGCTCCATGAAAATGTCAACAACTCTTGGACAACGAGTCTCGGATTTTGTTGCGTGTTGAACGGTGATAAGGCTGGAGCGAAATATTTATGCTTGGTCCGCGTTCGTCCGTCTTGTTCACAACCAGCCATCTCTGGCGCCACCTCCCACCCTGCGTTGCGTGAGGTGGTGCAGAATGGCCATCATTCCTTCCCACTTGAAGAGAGACTGCGAGCACGCCGCGCAGCGATTCATACAGTACCATGGAATTATGAACGGAGTTACTCAATCGGGTTCTGCTTGGCGGTTGGTAAGTGCGCATAAGCGACCTGCAGATGGGAAACTCTCGTTCTTACTCGTCCGCCAACGTATCAGCCTTGCACTCGTGATTGATCCTACAGGATCCTACACCAAGTTTTTGCACTGCCCCAGCCTTAGTCAAGACGCGATGTCCTGAGCAATGCTCGGGATTAAGTGCGAAGATTTTCAAAATCGTGCCTAAGTCCAATACATTGCAGGGCCACGCTTTTTAGTGTGTGGAAGGATTGCAGGCTACACTCTGCGCCGGAATAAGGAAAGGATGGAAGGAGATATAAAGATGGCACCAGGATGGTGCAACAAAGTCACTTACAACCAATCTTCACAACCTGAGTCCAACCTGTAACCTCGAACCAGCCTCAGTCCTCACTCTCGACTGCCAACATGACAACTCGCTATGCTCAAGCTCATCTGCCATCCTCCCTGGCTGGGCCTGGTGATGCCCGCCCAACAGCTCTACAGATCATCAAGGACAACAATCTCGAGAATTCCCTCACTGACAAAGTCATGCTCGTCACTGGAACTTCATCAGGGATTGGCATTGAAACAGTCCGCGCACTGAAGGCTACCGGTGCAAAGATCTATGCTACAGCACGCGACTTAGAGAAGGGTCGCAAAGCGCTTGCTGGTATCTTGGAACCTGGAAAAGTCGAGCTCCTTCAGCTTGATACCGCCTCATTCGACAGTGTGCGTAGCTGTGCAAAGGAATTCCTGGCCAAAGAGTCCAAATTAAACGTCTTGATCAACAATGCCGGCATCATGGCCCTCCTGGAACACACACTGACCAAAGACGGATACGAAGCCCAACTCCAAACGAACCATCTGGGTCATTTTTTGCTATTCCAGTTGCTGAAGCCTACCTTGCTTGCCTCAGCGACACGGTCATCTGCTTCGCGTGTCGTCAATGTTTCGAGCAGTGGACACCGTCAGTCGCCCATCCGGTTTGAGGATCTCAACTTTAACGAGCCCGGGTCATATGCTCCATTTGCCAGCTATGGACAGTCCAAGACGGCCAATATCTACATGGCAAACGAAATCGAGCGTCGCTACGGCGCTCAGGGCTTGCATGCTTGGTCATTGCACCCTGGTGGCATCACCAGCACGGGCTTGGGGGTGCACTTGGATTTCTCGGCGCTCCAGGCTAATGCCGAAATGATGCGAGGTATGAAGTCGGCCGAGCAGGGGGCTGCGACGACCGTGCTGGCCGCCGTGGACAAGGAGCTTGAAGGCAAAGGAGGAAAGTATCTGGATGACACCGCTGTGTCGCCACCTGTGGAACCTTCATTGGCCAATGAATTGACTGCTCAAGGACATGCGGCGTGGGCATACGATGAGGAGGCAGCGAAGAAGTTGTGGACTGTCAGTAATCAAATCGTTGGTGTGGATGAGGAGTGAACAGAACAAGTACGAACAAGGTCATCGTTAAAAAGGATTATTTTCGGTTTGCTGCTCCTGAGCTCTTTTTTGAAATTGTGTGGGTTCATCTTCCATGCGTCTGGTTGAACTCATCAATCACCTCTTTCGTCGTCTTGATAATACCCAAACAACCCGGGGAGTCAGAGTGACAACATATTGAAATCGGATACTCTTTGACGGGTAGTTGCACAGTGGCCCCATCGACCGCCGTCACTGACTGCGTGTTGAGTTGCTGGCTGACATGCTTCCGGACATCTTCCAGAGCCCAAGGTTTCTTCTTCCTGTCGATTACCAAACTGCCATCGCTGTTGTACTTCACGTCGCCGTACAGTTCGGCCCAGAAGGTTATACCTAGGTCGTTCGCCGCTTTCTCCATATTCGTCCCGGCAAGGCCGAATACCGGGATGCCCTTGGGGATTCCTTCCATGACCGCCTTTGCGACCTCGTAATCCCTGCACATCATGCCGTAAAGGATACCATGCGGCTTGACGTGGTGCAGCGGTACCCCTTCCTTGTCAAGGAAGCCTTTCAAGGCTCCGACTTGATACACCGTGATTGCCGTCAATTCTTCTGGAGACATCTTGATCTCACGACGGCCGAAGCCTTGGCATTGTCAGGACGAGGCTACGAACTCAGGAGGACCACCTAATTAATAGGTTACCGCCTACCTTGAATGTCTGGAAGACCTGGATGAGCTCCAACTTTGATGTTGTACTTCTTGCAATTTCGGACCGTCTCTTGCATGATCAATGGGTCTCCCGCATGAAACCCACATGCAACATTTGCATGATCGATCAGTGGCAGTAGTTCGAGATCTGGACCGCAGACATAGTTCCCATACTAAGGCGTCGTCAAATAGGCTCTCTGTAGAGTCAAGGCGTGATGAACTCACAGCTTCTCCTAAGTCTACGTTCAGCAAAGCTTTGTGCTTGATCGGTGGAGGCGTCATAGCTTGATGAGACTGAAGCAAATCGTTCGGGGATCGGTTGCAACCTTTCTAGATGTGCCTTCTGGACCAGCTGAGCGTTGTTTTATTCAATATGATACTCTCTCCCTGCATTACTGTATATCCAGAACCACCTACGACGCACCACTACGAAGTCATTTATAAATACGTCAGTGTGCTGGCGGAGAAGCACGATCTGTGGGGAAACAGCTCGACAGCTCGCAAAGATAAGAGCGGACACCCCCTCATCCGTATTGAGGAGGAGATGCTCCTTTCTTCCAATCATGGCACCTCCCAGACGACGTCTCCGAATGCCCGAGCCACGCCAACACAACTATTAGATAATGCCATGGTAGCCCCCAGATGTGACAGGATGGTCTTACTCGTGTTCTCGTCTGCTCTTGCCTTCAGGGACGACAGCATCTGATCATAAAACATCTTGTGCTATCGACCTGACTTGACAAGACAAAGATGGAGAAGTTGAAGACCCTTCTTGTCGCCAACCGCGGGGAGATCGCAGTGCGGATATGCAAAACTGCCCGCAAGCTGGGCATTCGGACGATATCGATATACACCAGCGCAGACGCCGCGTCTTCGCACGTCGGCGCGGCGGATGAGGCCGTCCTGCTCTCTGGGCCCGATTCCAAAGGATACATCGACGCAGAGCAGATTGTCGAAATCGCAAAGTCAAAGGGCGCCAATGGCGTAATCCCCGGGTATGGCTTCTTGTCCGAGAACACGGACTTTGCGCACCAGGTCACACAGGCTGGTATGGTGTTCGTGGGGCCGAGCTCGAAATGCATCGAGGACTTTGGGATCAAGCATACCGCACGAGAGTTGGCCGCAAAGGCAAATGTCCCCATCGTGCCAGGTACCAAGGGTCTTGTCAATTCCGAAGACGAAGCTGTGGAGGAGGCGAAGAAACTGGGTTTCCCGGTGAGTGTCTGCTCGACGAGCTGATAAGATGGTGTTTACTGACGGTTCTACCGTAGGTCATGCTTAAAGCCACTGCAGGCGGAGGAGGAATGGGCTTACTGACATGTGCGAATGAAGACGACGTACGAAAATCGTTCAAGACGGTACAGTCTCGTGGTGAGACACTGTTTAAGAACGCCGGACTGTTCATTGAACGGTACTACGCATCGTCCCATCATATCGAAGTGCAAGTTTTCGGCAACGGTCAGGGGCAGGCTGTGCATTTCGGCGAGCGTGAATGCTCGATCCAACGCCGACATCAGAAGGTCGTTGAAGAGTGTCCGAGTCCGTTCGTCGTGAAACATCCTGAACTGCGTGAGAAGTTGGGCTCTGCTGCCGTCCGATTAGCCGAGTCGATTAATTATGGCTCGGCCGGCACGATTGAGTACCTCGTGGATGACGAGTCAGGGGACTTCTTCTTCCTCGAGATGAACACCCGCCTACAGGTGGAGCACGGTATCACCGAGCTGTGCTACGGCGTCGATCTCGTCGAATTGATGCTCAAGCAAGCAGACGCGGAGTTATGTGGCAAAGGAGGTCTTCCGGGAGGCTATCTCAAGGGCCTCCAACCAAAAGAACCCAATGGTGCGGCGATTGAGGTTCGCCTGTACGCTGAGAATCCTGCGAAAAATTACGCTCCATCACCGGGAACCCTGCAACATGTGTCCTGGATGGACGTGCCTGGCTCTAGAATTGACGGCTGGGTACACACAGGGACCAAAGTCACATCCTTTTACGACCCACTGCTGGCCAAAGTCATGATGCACGCTCCCAAGCGGGACGAAGCGATCAACAAGCTCATCGAAATGCTCCAGGGGTCGAAGATCCTCGGACCGCCGACGAATATCGAATTCTTAACTGAAATCCTCCAAGACGACACTTTCAGGTCCGGCCGCACCATGACCAAGTTCCTCGAATCGTTCGATTACAAGCCTCACGCCATCGACGTCCTGCAAGGCGGAGCGTACACCCTTGTGGAGGACTGGCCAGGACGACCAACGATTGGAAAGGGCTTCTCGCATTCTGGACCCATGGACCCTGTCGCATTCCGGATCGCAAATGCCCTCGTCGGGAATCCGACAGGCAAGGAAGGTATCGAGATTACCCTGAGTGGTCCTGATCTCAGATTCCTCGGTCCAGCTATTATCGCCGTTTGCGGCGCGCCCATGGAAGTCAAACTCGACGGGCAATCTGTGCCGATGTGGACTCGTCTGAAAATCGAAGCTGGTCAACGCTTGACAGTGGGGAAAACGACTGGAGGAGGTTGCCGATCCTATCTGGCCATCTATGGCGGCCTGCCCAGTATCGCGACATGGTTCGGATCGAAATCCACAGCACCCATGACAGCCGTTGGAGGGTATCAAGGCCGAGCTCTCGCGGCTGGCGATCTGCTTACTATAACGAGTGAATTGCCCGAAATAAAAGGCGAACTGAAACTTCCAGAACACTTGATCCCGACATATCCGGAGGAATGGGATCTTTTCTCCATGCCCGGGCCGTATGATGAGGGGTTCATCACGGAGGACTCGATCGAGGAGTTTTATGGCAGCACATATACCGTCTCGCACAATGCCTCGCGTGGAGGGATTCGCCTTCTGGGGACGAAACCGAAATGGGCGCGGTCGGATGGTGGAGAAGGCGGTGCTCATCCATCAAACGTCATCGAGTACGGATATCCTGTCGGCACGCTGAATTGGACGGGCGATGATCCGTGCTTGTTCCCGGTCGATGCGCCTGACTATGGTGGCTTCGTGTCTGCCACTACTATTGTGAAGGCGGATTACTGGCGGATGGGCCAGATGAAAGCCGGCAACAAGCTGCGGTTCAAGCGAGTTTCGTACGCGGACGCCATCGCCAAGAGGAACGAGGTCGAGACGTTCCTTGCGAAGATCCACGACGTGTGCAATGGGAAGGGTAGCTTCGGGGACGTTTCGCCGTTGAAATATGAAGGCTTCCCGCCATCCACGGAGAACAAAGGTTGGGAGAAAGCACTGATTCACCAGATCAAAGAGGAACCGAGCAAGCATCAGCCGCTGGTCTCGTATCGCCAGGGCGGCGATGATTTCATCCTGATTGACTACGGTCATGGGTCATTCGATCTGAATTACCGATGCCGCGCGGTCGCTTTGTACCAGAAGCTGCGCGAGTCGAAGGGTGACATATCTTTTGCGAACGGCGCTATGCTGACAGGCATGGCCTGCGGGAACTCACTGATGCTGTACTACGACTCACTGAAGGTCAGTCGGCCGAAGATGTTGGATTACTTGCTCAAGCTCGAGAATGAGCTGGGCGACTTGAGTGAGGCGAAGTATCCGAGTAGGAAGTACAAAATGCCCATCACGTTTGAGAGTAAGAGACAAAAGGAGAGTCTGCAGAGGTACATGGAGACGCAGAGACCTTACGCGGTATATTTGCCGGATCCGGCAGATTTCGTGGCCAAGAACAACGGCTTCACTGAGCAACAGGTAAGCATGAATCGTCGTATTTGGTCTTGTGGTTGACTTTGAAATAGCTGCGTGATATCCTGACAAAATCGTCGCTAATGGTTGTTGCTGTGGGTTTCTTCGTCGCCTTGCCAATCTGCTTGCCAATCGACCCACGTCAGCGGATGCAGTGCCCGAAGATGAACCCGTCAAGGGTGCATACTCCAGAAGGTCAAGTCGGTTGGGGAGGGTCATGCATGGCGATTTATAATGTCGAGTCTCCAGGCGGGTATATGAACCTCGGGCTCTCGATTCCAGGTGCCGATATTCTCGGGTACAAGAAGGGGTATACCTCCGACAGGCCGTGGCTGTTTGAGGACTTTGATCAGATCACCTTCTATGAAGTGTCTGAGGAGAAATATGAAAGTATGATGGCGACTTTCCGAAGTGGACGGTATGAGTACGAGTATGAGGATACTGTCTTCGACATGAAGGAGCACAACAAGCTGCTAAAAGATACCAAAGAGGAAGTTGAGCAGATCCGGGCCAAGCAGCGTAAGGCCCAGGCAGAGATGGACAAGATCGAAAAGGAACTTCTGCAGAAGTGGAACAAAGAGAAGGAGGCTGGGAAGATCAGCATAGATACAGTGCATGACTTGATGCATGGTAAGTGCGCTCGATGTCGGCCAGAATGTCCCCAAACTAACAGATCAGATCCGGATATCATCGCGATCGAGGCGCCTCTGAATGCTAATGTTTGGAAAATCGAGGTTAAGGAAGGCGATACTGTCAAGGACGAGCAGATTGTGTCCATACTGGAAGCTATGAAGCTCGAGATCCCGGTCAAGACTGAGGAGAGTATGGCAGGGGCCAAGGTCGAGAAGATGCTCGTCAAGCCGAATGATGTGGTTCAGGCTGGAGATCCGCTGATGCTGCTGCGCAAGGCCAAATAGGTGGCTTGTGCAGCGATATTGTGATCGTGGGACGAAGTTATTATCCAAAGTAGCCTGATATATTTGGCACCGTACAATTGTAACATGAGAATTGCTTGCTGATGATAGCTGCTCAACAATATGTCCCATACTACGGTCTCATAGGTAAATCGTGTAATCTGGCGCCAGGGTGCCATTCGACGACAAACAGCAGCGAGGGCAATTTGTGTGGCAGGAGGGTCTCCTGTTCAAAGCGATGCCAACTGCTGCTTCGCCGATTCAAGCGGAAGCTGTTTGGCACCCCGGTTAAGCGAGTTTCATTACACGATTTATCCATTAGACCGTAGTAAATACCTTTGTTGGGCTTCACCACCAGTTTTGGTGATGGCTTGGCAATACAGGTGTTGGGCAGGCATGGCATGGCATCGTCTCACTACTCTGCACACCAAGCCTAGATCCTTTGGACACGATGACTCAATATACTGATCAACATATGTGCTGTTACTTGTTCCAGCTTGTCGAGATGTAGAGAGGTGAGTGACTGGCAGGTGCAGCATGGCGGCCGCTTTAGGCTTGCAACCCCTAGACTGCCAGCCTCGTCGCGAAGAAGTACCAACCAGCATCTCAACCACAAGACTCTTTGAGCCCATGTCAAAGATTAATACCAGCTTGAAGAGGCGAATCTATGGATTTTCATGATTGCATTCCTGGCAAACAAGTCTTTGCAAAAAGTAGAAAAAAATGGTGGTCAATGAGTCGATACATATAAATATAGAGTATGCAGACACTTGACACCGACAGTCATCCAGTCGATGCTACCGGGCTGTCGACGATATGCACGGTCTATCCAAGTTGACACTGTGCTCGGTATCTGAATCCGTGTGCAGAACGCTGGATCTACCCTCCATAACCCAAATTCTGCCTCATGATGTCTCCAACGTCTCCCGGGCCAGCAGATATGAATGGAGACACAATCGACCGTCAAATCGTTGCAGGCCAAGCTAAATCTAATGCACTTGAAGTTCTCGCTGGGCTTTTATCGACCTATCCCGTGGATATCCGAGCGCCCACACCCCCAAATGCAACCACACACCCACAGTGTCTCAAGATCCCACTTTTCTTCATGCACGTTCACCGAGTGTCTAAATGTTGAATTATATATTAAAGAGTTCGAATTCCGCTCAACAATCCACGATGGTAAGCACAGAATTCATCAATCATTCAATCATCACATCTAACAGTCGATTGACAGGTGTAACGGTAACATCAGTCGCTCTCAGCTTCTCTCCGAGATTTTCGATCCGACTAGCTCGGGGTTCGATTCCCCGTCGTGGAAGCTTTCTTTTTTGCTCTTTTGAAGAGTTGTAGAGGTTGGTTTGGTGTTGTGGTGGAAAGAATGGCCTCAAGGGAGTGGTGGTGGGTTTGGGCTGAGGACCCACAACCACACATTTTTACATGTCCAGACCAAATTTTCTGGACTTGGCACGGCTCAAGCAATCTGGGCAGATTTTTTCCGTCATTTTTGGGCTTCATTTGGGCTTGCTCTTCTGCGATATGTCCCGTCCTTCGTTTTTCGGGCAGCGGTTTTTGTATAGGGATATGATGCCCCAACCCAACGCATGCATCTAATCAAAAGTGTATCACCTTACTCTTCTCGAAAAGGGCTTTCTTGTGATACTACTCTTGGGCTTATCGGGCCCAGCGATCTTTGGGGGTGGTTCACGGATTGTGCTGCTCTTGATCTTGTGCGGTGGGTCACGTGATTAAGATTTTCTATTCCACCTCAGGCGCAGCCTCGTCCATATTGCGCCTCATCCATACTACTGGTCCCTGCAAGGCCACATGGCGAGCATAATAGTTTCTCGTGACATTGTCGACATGGAGAAGAGCAATACGATATATGGGACGCGTCCTGGTGTCACTGGCGCAACACCTCCCTAGCGACCATTCTTTCCACCACAACACCAAAACAACCCCTACAACTCTTCAAAAGAGCAAAAAAGAAAGCTTCCACGACGGAGAATCGCCCCTCTCGCGCCAGGCTTGCACTACAGTATCATGGGTAAGTCGTATAATCCTCGCTCGTCTGGCTGCAAAACAGCTGCTGGTTTCGAGCAGCAGTTGGGCCTCGCATTGAACATGAGGCTCTCCTGGCTCATAAATTGCCCCCGCCGCTGTTCGTCGTCGAATGGCACCCTAGCGACAATCTACACGATTACCCAGGGTACCGTAGTAAACAGCAACTTGAAAATCGATACTGAGTGGATTTCGTAGCCACCACTATAAGCCGGAAGCATGTTTAGAAGGCAAATAGGAGAATTGTTTCTTTGCGCGCTGAATGATGAGAACTGTGTCTTGCGGATTTATCCCAGATTTACCTCAAACTGACACATTCTTAGATTGCGGCGTTCTTCACAGCTCGAGGTACCTGAATAAGCGATCTACATAGGAAAAATCTGGAATTAGTCCTCTTCAAGACCCGAGTCTACCATAGCATTCGCCGATGATGTGTCAGCGTCACGAAAGTTGCATACAGTAATCAGCAAGGGATCCAACGAGACCTCCCAAGTCAATCTCTCGATGCGCCAGCGTCGTAATTTTGGAGTCTCCCCCAAATCTTTAGAGCCCCTCCAGCTCCAGGCATCGATGTCGGTTGAAGGTTCAGTTCTTTAGGCAAGACGCATCCGAAGACGCAGTTCACCATGTAATGCTCATGGCATTGCATTTACTGCCAAACAACCGCGTTGGGCATGTTTGTCAGCCTGCATCCGACCCTAAGCACTCAAAAGCAGAATGATTGGCGATAGATTTGGATGGCCTGTCTATCTTTTAACGCTCTGCCCAATGTCGTGCCCTTGTTCAGGCGTCCTGGCTTGCTCGTGTGACGAATACTATGACAAGAATTTTGAGCGAACCCCACAAGCCAGAGCCGATCTGCTTGAGCGGTTTTCTGGAAGCTGCCACTGCAGGCCTGGGGCAGCCCACTGTCACCGTAAGCGGGCACTAACGAGAGGTTTTGATGGATGCTGGTGGTATTAGCGTACTCGGAGATCCCCACCATGCGCCAAACGGCCATGTCAATGTCGAACGAAGGGCGTGCATAGCCAAGTCTTGTCCACACCTAAACATACGCCAGGCAAAGAGTCATACCATTCGAACCGACGTTGGATCCCCGTATTCGCTTTCCGACGGACATTGAAAGGCTGAATACCCCAGATGTCCTTCCATTGACATTCACACTTCATCTTTTCTATCAACTCGTTGCTGAGAGGGCCATTGGTGTCCAGCCCAACAAAATGGAGTACTTCAATTTCGAGGATGCGTCCCACATCATTCCAAACCTAGAACTCGACGAATGCTCTTCTTTGATGGGCGAAACTACCCAAGATGATGCCAATGACTGCTACGACTCGCTATTCTTCGAAAAGTCGTTCAATCTCGTACCCAGCAGACCTGCGGAACCAAGCACTGTTATGATCAAACTAATCAACAATGTCGAAGTCGAGGCCATTCCACATACGTCTGATCTCGGCATGGACTACCCCATGTTTCGTGCCAAAGAACCATGTGAGCTCTGCGCGAGGATGGGCTTGGATTGCTTCTTGGCTACACGAGGGGCATTAGTCACAGGATGCACCTGCTGCATCTCCCTGTACCGAGAATGCAGTTTCGTTCATTCTAAGATCCCCAAGGGATTTGTCAGTACTTTCCCTGGCATCTCAGAAGATCAACAAGTATGCGAAGGGACAATGACGGAACGGCGAAGAGCGATGAGATCAATGGAAGAAGGACGCGGCCGAAAGACTGGTGCTCGCTTCCCAAGAGACGCTGTCAAGATTCTGAAGCAATGGCTAGCGGAACATGCTGATCATCCATACCCTAATGAACGAGAAAAGGATGAACTCAAGCAAATCACCGGTCTCAAAAGGAGCCAAATCTCGAACTGGCTCGCCAACGCACGGAGACGAGGCAAAGTCCGACCTGCTTCGGGACCATCCTCACCTATGCTCGGTGCGATTGATATCCCTCAGCGACAGGAAAATCCAGATATTGCAAACCTGAACCCGCTAGACAGATGGAAAGCTTCGCCCCCGGAACACGAACCTGCTTCGATGACTGCCATCGCCCAAGCCGTTACTGCCACACCTCTTCCCGTTCGCAACCAATCCTATTCCAGTGCACATGGCTCTCGAGCTGGGTCTAGGACCAGCTCGAGAAAAGCCTCGAGTGAGGAAGATTCTTCTTTCTCGATGTTCCGTGCACCATCAGTCAGCAGTTTTGGCACCAAAGAATCAACCAACAGCGACATGACCTTCGCATCTTCGAGGTCGAACCGATCAAAAGGATCATTTGCTTCGTCGCAAGATAGACGCAGGCGCAGGAGGGCTCCAGTAACACAACGGACCGTCGCGCAACAGGCCAAATCTCGGAGTGCAAGGATTTTCCAATGCACCTTTTGTACGGATTCTTTCCCTGCCAAATATGACTGGCAAAGGCACGAGAAGTCACTGCATCTGGCTTTGGAGCGGTGGTCATGCTGTCCCACTGGCGGAACCATGATCGATGCTCTGACACAGACGGAAATGTGTGTCTTTTGCCGGGAACCAAACCCAACTGCAGAACATTTGGAGTTGCACAACTTCACGGCTTGCCAGGAAAAGACGATGCAAGAACGTACCTTCTATCGCAAGGACCACTTGAGCCAGCACCTCAAGCTGATGCACAATGCAAAAGTGCAGTCTCACATGGACTCGTGGAAGAGCACTACCAACGAGATCAAATCATCCTGTGGCTTCTGCCCGTCCAAGTTCACGGCCTGGCAACAGCGTGCTGACCATCTTGCCGCACACTTCCGCAATGGGGCGGACATGAGCATGTGGGCCAACGGTTGGGGCTTCGAGCCATATGTCGAAAGACTGGTCGAGAATGCCATTCCACCCTACCTCATCGCGCATGAGCGGATGACCATGGATCCTTATGTTGCTCGAGCAGCCCAGACGACGCCATCGGCCGGTACAGATGCTGGTCTGACGACCGGCACTTCCGCCGAGAGTGCAGAACCTGACCAAATGACCAAGGACTCCAACTGCTGGGGCAGACTGGAGCAGGAACTGACCAAGTTCGTCTCCCAGCAGAAATCGGCAGGCAGGATGCCCACGGACAAGGACATCCAAGACCAGGCGCGCATGATCATATATGAGGACAACGACCCGTGGAATTGGACCTGCGCGGATAATCAGCAATGGCTGGATACGTTCAAGTACCAGCAAGGTATCAGTGGGCTTACCGACGCCATGGTGACCCAGAATCTGGCCGAAGTACCGATCATGGCGCCATATGTGATCAAAGGCGGCTTGAAGCTCAAGACACCAGCGCCCACCAGGAAGAGTATGTCCACTGATTCCACCTCTTGTCCAGCCATGACTGCAGATTATGGCAGCATGCCCAACTCCGCCACAGCTGCCACATTCGATCAGAACATGGAGTTCGACTTCGACAGCATTGACTTCAGCGGTCTTGACCTGGGCATGGTGGACGATATGAACTTCGAGATGGGTCTGGACAGTCAGGCGGGCAGCATGCCTGCAACGGCTGCGACCACGATGCCTTTCTCCTCGAGCATCCCCGGTGAGTCCTTATACGGCTCTTTCGGCGTGAGTCCGATGATGGATATGGGATTGAACAATATGAACTCAGCTGCGCCGGTGCAGCAGAAGCAGCCCCAGAACAACTTCATGAACGAGCAGGATATCAATCAGTTGACTGGATATATGGCCGGCTTGAATTGAGACAAAGCAAAGAACATACGCATGAAGACCAAAAGAATGACTATATGGCATGTATGCTGACGATTGAGGAGTTGGCCTGCTGGTATGCTTACCCTCATATATATACACCCACAAAAAGGCGTACTCACGCAAGAGATCTTACGATGGTCGGGCACAGGGCGTGGGCTTCTGGGGCGGCGTCAGTATTACAGGCTTACGATTAGAAAAATACAAATTTAGTACCGAGACCACGAATCAATTGCTCTCTGTGTCGACGGCGGTGCTGTACTATTCGTTTTTCATCCCCCTCAGAGCCAGTCTCGTGGCACGCCCTGCGGATGATTCCTCTAGATGCCTGCTCCGCATTATTGTTTTGGCATCGATGACACTTACCAGTCATATCTGGTTGCTTTCGTGCTTACCTCGCGCCTTGCGAACGACATATTTCGAAAAGAGTGAGAGCTATCAGCATCAAGAATTGACGACATGCTGCCTATGGTTCACGGAGGATCAGAAGTCCGGGCAAAAGTTGATCCGAATCCGGGCTCTGGGAAAATTTGCAAGTATTCCGTCGTGTCCGTTCTGACTCGAAACATCTACAAGCACAATCGAATAGCCTCGCTGGGTGCTAGGTTGCGAATGAGCGAACCTGCCAGTCTCCTACGATGGTTCTGGGCCTCATTCCTATCTGCCCCGATCTCCGAGCATCCCTGGAAGGCGAAGTCCCTACTCTTTCCTGGGCGAAAATGACCCAATAAGAGCCAGCTGCGACGAGCATGTGAAAGAGGCGAGCCCTCTCCCCTACGCCTACTATCAAAGCACATACCCCCCTGGCCCGCTCCTCCTCAACAAAATAACAACCGTGCTGCGAACTAATCACACCCGTCAAAACGTGGTCATCTGTCGGTATGTTGTGCATTCGACCCTGTGCATGTGAAAAGCGACCCCGTGGAGAGCACTGATAACAGTATTTCCCCCCTCTGCTTCGCACGGTAGAGGAGTCCTTTGCACCACTGTCCATCCGAGTATCCCTTCACTTGAACACCTTCCTGCGACGTGTCAGTCATCGTATTATAGGAATAAGTGCCGCAGGAGACGAACCTCTTCGCTTCACGCACTCAGCGTTGCCCGCATTGGTGATGGGCCCTCCCGTCGTGAGATGCGAAAACATGTCCCACTCGAGCTTCTATACAATGATCCCATCTGCTGTACGGTCACGCATTCCCGTATTGGCCTCTCTACGGCGATCCGCGAGAGCCATTGTTCTCCAGTCCTCGAGCCCCGAGCGGAACGCCCGCACCCTCTCATGCGTCAATGCAACGAACGAGAAAGAATTCTATGGCTTTGCTGTTACTGTCCCCTCAAGCGGTGCCAGCACGCCAATGATAAGACCAGAGACTCCGAACGAACAACTATCCACGCAAGAATTGAGTCTGAGAACGCTTCCGCAGCCAGAGACGAGCACTGGCATCGATTGGGATGTTGCTGCGACAGGCATAAGGCTGTGGGTGACTGCCAAAACGCAAGCCGAACAAGGCGGAGATCGCATTGCTCTTCGCAGCATGCATATCGATGCTTTGCGGTACATGCATATGGCCTTGCCTGAGACTTTGACACCCTTTGAGGTTGAGTCTTTGCGGTCCAGCATGTCTCCGCAACTGCTGTCTCAATCGTCAGAAACACCACCAGCCTCACGCCGGCAGCATCCTAGCCTACTCCGACAAGGAGTCGCTAGGCTTGTCTGCTGGCTTATTGCTGGCGTCCTGCTAATTCTTCCCATCATCATGGCTTTTCTGAACCGCATAATGCAATATGAGCGACAACACCAAGTCACAGAAAGAGTCCTTGCGAATGGGCTCGACTTGACTTCAGCACTAGGCGAACGCAGCATTGAGTTACAGAAGGCATTGACGCGGTTCAAAGATGGCCGGCTGGGCGGCGCATGTGTGGATGCTGGATCATGGCTGGTTGAAGGCATTCTTGGAGGTGTTAATGATGGTGTTGATGCTGTTGCTCAGAGTCGAAGAAGAGCACCTTAAGGAGTTAGGTGCCAGTCCCGCCTGAATCATGGCTGCAAGGTTGTTTCGCTCCTTGATAGCTCTTTCATGACCTTGAATGACAAACATCTTGTTCGGATCTTTTGCTTGTCCACCATGCTTTGCGCTCTGTGCCATAATAGCCTCTTGCACCTGGAGACGACCAGGTCCTTCAATCCAGGGTTCCGAAGACGATTCTCCATGCAAGTCGATACTTCCTTTCCGCTTGAGCGACAACGCCGTATGTCCTGTGGCTTCTCCTTTTTGTCGTGTTTCCTACATGCCTTCGTGCGCGATGCCCAACCATTGCAGTCGCTTAGTCGTCCAGACATTCCCCCAGGCCAATCATCCGCCAGTACCCATCACCAGCCGCGCCTTGTCCCGATAGGCTGTGGGCACGCGGCTGAGACTGTCAGGGGTCCATCAAGGCCCTTGTACGCCTGTGGCTTGTCCCTATCGTTTGTTTTCTCGGCGTCCGTGGGGTTCAACTCCACCTATAAACTTCCCTCTGCAACCACATCTTCTCTTCGATAAACATGTCCACTCCTTTGCTCCCATCTTTCCGTCGACAACAGCTTGTTCTTGACTTGTGAGTAAGTTGTCTGCACGCTGACACTCCTTGCTGACATTGTTCAAGCTCATCTCTCAAGGACAGCTGTCCAGAGGGTGTTTATCTTTCGCTCACTCCGGGCACCCCTTCAGTTTGGGCTGCGGTGCTCTTTGTCCGCGAAGGTAGCTTACGATTTCCCTTTCCAGCACCGTGAGGTGATTCAAGCTGACTCTGAGCTTGCAGGGCCATATGCAGGGGCGGTCCTTCGATTCGATATATCATTCCCCGACTCCTATCCTGAGGATCCTCCTCTCGTAACATTCTCAAGCGACATCTTCCACCCTCTAGTGGTTCCACTGACTACCTATACCTTCAGCGCCAGTGGTGTCGACGCGTCCAGTACGATCAGCGCCTCTGATACCGATAGGCTTCCGCCCGGCGCATTTTCCTTGCGCTATGGTTTTCGGCACTGGTTTCGACGGCGGAGTCCCGCTACGGGCGACGAAGTTCACAGTGGCGCTGTGACCGAAGAAGATGACACAACCGCTCTGGCGCCTGGTGCTGTTGATGCTGTCAACTCGACAGCGCCTCGGCAGGTAGGGCAGGAGATCCATGATCGCAAGGGCCTCTTACTGAAGATGTTGTCCCACATCAAGAGCGCGTTTGAGGACGCCGACATGTTGGACAGCATGCCGCTCGATGTGGCCGGCGATCCCAGCGCATGGCATGCCTGGCGCGCTCACCGAGGCCTTACCAGGAAGGATGCCCGTCCAAAAAGTCCGACAATTGGCAGTGACGGCGCACCATCTTCACCAAAATATCCCAGTGAATGGAAATGGGACGGCGTCTGGGAATCGCGTGTCACCAACGGTATTGAGGCGAGCATCAATGAAGCCACTCTTTTCGGCAGTGCTGCTGGCGGCCGTGCCGGCCTGGGTTCTGTAGACTTGACAACCGTGGATGCGCGACAGAAGATGTTCGCAAATGCAACCCGGCAAATCCGTTTCTCGAAGCTGGACGAAGAGCTCTTCGACAAGGTGAGAAGCGAGGTCTCAAGTATGACAATGTGATGCCGACGCGACGCCCCAGGCCCGTCTGCAGCTTCTCCGGCTGGCCCAGTGGGTTGGCCTTGCTGTTCTGGTTGGCCTACGGCGCCTGCCATCTCTAAAGCTCGGAAGTGCAAGAGCAATGAGACGCCGCTGCAGTTATGACTTGGGGGAGCCACAATTTCCGCTGGTCGATTCTCAAGCCTTCCTCTTCGACTTACACCCATGTATGCTGCAGTATATGCCTCAGGCTTTGTCTCAAGTATCGGCACGCATTGTGTAGAGCTTGCATGACATTTGAAACAGCCAGTAATCTTGGACAACGACGCAATCGACACCTCTTGGCCAGCATCATATCTGGCATTCTTTCTCTTGAATCCGACGTCTTTCTCTGCCATTGGCTCCCAGACCCGACCAGGAAGGATTGGAAGCTTCAGCGGTTTTGGACAGTCCGATTGACGCTGCAGAAGTCTTGGTTGTTAGCTTGCAGACTGCTTGGGTGTCTTCGAATCATTGGTCTTTTGGTGGGCTGTTTTGAACTGCCTGCACCCGAGGTTCCATTTCTTTGCGGCAGGAAACTGAGCCATCGTTGTTGGAAAAGGCCTTGAATACATCGGAGGTCGACACTATCTTTTGGGGACAGTGACTTGGAAACAAGATTGACGTGTTCTGGCTTCAGTAGAGAGTTGGATCGGTACTTGAGCGAAGACTGTAAAGAGCCTGGTCCGGTCAAAAAGGATACCCTGGAAGTCGAACCCTTCGTCTATCGACGGAGACTGCTTTTGGCTCAGAGCGGTGAAAGAGCAGTAGGAGGATACACTCACACGGAATACTGCCAGTACCCTACCGAGCCAGCGAGGATCTGGTATTGGGTCAGGATGGTGTGGAAGGATCTCGACGCGACCCCGAGGGTTCTTAGGGTCCGTAATCCCGATCTCAGTGAGGCCGAAGCAAGCGTTTCTTCTCGAAATACCTCAGCAAAGACCCGGAGTTTTTCAATTCGATCAATTTCGGGTTCATGGTCTTCGATTTGGGGCAGAGAAAGCACATCTCGCTCGCACACCGATTTCAGCCAAGGCTCAGCTTCATACGGTTGCGTCCCCTTTCCATCTCTTCTCTCAAATCATCACACAGCCATCCAACATCCCCACAAGAGGTTTCCCATTGACGGAGAAAGCAAGGTAAGAAGCTCTTATCCCTTCTCTGATGTCTCGAGACGCTTGCTAACCATCACGTCTCAGCCTCTTACTTCGCGCAGCGACGCGTCCTCAATTTCTCGCCTTCCCTCAACTCATCACACAATTCACAATCACAAGACGGCTTGCCGCCCAATTTCTTCAATCCACAGACCTGACAAGGTAATGATTCTTCTCTCCGTCCATTGTCCTCGCTCGGACTCGAGCTAACAATCGCACAGCGTCTTGCAAAGCCTCTAGCCTTGCTGGAGCAGTCTGAACCATCTCTACGCATTCGCAAGACCTCACTTTCAAAACCCAACCCAAAAGGCATCTTCCGCCGCGTTTTCTCTCGAGTTATGGCTTCCAACACCAATCTTCCTGCCGATCTTCCTCACGATGATGAACTCCCCATCACTGAACCCTTGCCGAGTCAGCCCTTGATGCGTCCGGTGATGGCAAACTACCCCTCTATCAATGGGATGCTGGGCTCTCACCGCCTCGAGACCGGAGAATCGAGCACATACGCGGCTTGTCGCCCGCCCTTGAACAATGCTACGACCGAGATTTTGTCAGGAAGGACGAGTCCTAACACGGTGATGAGTAACAGGACGCAAGCGACTTCTTACTCCGGCATGTTTCGAAACCCTGGTCCACAGTTCTACGAACTTCTGAATCCAAATCCTTTGCTCGTACCACCACCCTCTATCTATTCTGGACCTCCATCGATCTCGGCTTCCAAGGCGTCGTTGATTCGCCAGGAGCTTACCAAATTCAATGGCGCACGCCTACCCAGCATTGGCGCTCTCAACGTAGAGACCTACTCTTTCGCAGTCCTTGAGAATGCTTCGAGATACAGAGCCACGGCATATGCCATCTTCGATATCGCGGCTTACGAGCAGAACGCTTTTCATTATCACAGCAGTGTCAATCCCCACATCCCCGGTCCACCATACAGCGTTGTCCAGAACTATCCAGGCTTTCTTCGCGACCTCAGCATCGACATATCTGTCATTGGTCCTGCCGTGAAAGTTACTCACATTGGCCTACCTAGCCTTTCCTACTTGAACAATCTTGATCGCTGGGTCGTGGTCGTGTATCTGAAAATCAATGATACGAGCCTCTCTTCCCGGCTGTCGACATCTATGCGGTCAAAGGAACAGTCTGTGAGCAGAAGCGAAAGATCTCCCGCAATGGCTCTTGTTGATCACTTTCTTGATGTCCTTAAAACGGACAAAGAAGATGAACCTGTGGTGGTTTCGGCTGTGATCAAGTATCGACATGCTTTCCTCCCAACAGACACCAAGCTGGAGACTCGCGCCGCCATGGCAATCGACGTCCGAGCCGAAGTTGAGACCGGCGCCATGAAACAGGCCGTTTGTGCGGATTATAACGAGGTTGCAACTGCTATCCTTTCCGTGCTTGATCCTGGCCTCGACGACCTTGTGCTGTCCACAGTACGCCCATCGAGCCATCAGCAGTACCCTGTCATCGCTGCCGCCGATGGTCTGAGGCTCTTGCAGGACTTCCATGGTCTTTTCGGCTTTGGCAACGCCGGATACGTGAACCTGGACCTCGGCGCGTTGGAGGGATACTACCTCGACGCTGTAAAAGACGAGCCTAGCGCTCGCAAGTCGGCCTCTCTCGTCCGCTCTCTGCGCCTCGGCGCCAGAACCGTGGTCAAGAAGCTGTCGCCAAAGAAGAACTAGGAATCTGAGGCGGGCGGAGACGAGGCGGCGCGCGTGTGGAGGCGCATGAGGGAGAATTCGGGGCTGGGCGACGACGAGGACGACGACGATGAGGGGCTGGCTGGGGGTGGCTTCTGGGGGCCACCATGGCTCTAGATAGATGTATTGATTCATTTCACAAAATTGCATTTCCGTCCGTTCTTGTGAATCGAGTGACCGCCTTCCCTAAAGGAGGGTATGGCAGATATCATTTCGTGGTCTGTATTCCCTCACAAAGGGTGCTCTTTTCGTGGCCCACTTGAACCCCAGGCGTCCATTCTTCATAAGACGGGCCTTCTCTCTGTTATTGTACGGCGTCCACCCAGACCAGAAATGCCCTTATTATGCTCTTATGGTTCTGTTGCCCACCCTCCTCAACCTATGACTCCTTTAAGATCGTTCTCAGGAAGGACCCCCGTGCCATAGTAGTGCCATTCGACAATGTTATGGGAGGATTCCCCACTTACAACTCTGCTGGCTCGGCTGGCGGTCGTCTAGACGTTATACCGAGGTTATGTTCCCTTAGCCAGGAAGAACATCAGTCAGGCAAACGTATCCTTGAACTTGGTATAGTTTGCGTTACAGGGACATTTCATATCCTCATCAGCCCGTGGCAATAGTTAATCGCTGACCAGTTGGCACCATGAGTTCCAAGAACCGTCCGGCTTCTGCCGTGACCGCAGATTCGTCGGCTACAGAACGTCTTTCACAAGTCGCGCGCCATATATCTGGAAGCCAGGATGAGTCTACTTCACCATCAAGTACTGGTCGACGGACCCGTCGCTCGAAAGGGTCGCGAGACACTGGCCCACCAGCTGACTATTCCGATGTGCTCTCGAATCTGCAAAAGCTCAATACCATGGCACATACGCCGGATCTATCGAACCGCGGGTATGTGAGGCAGAAGCGTGAAGGCAAACTATGGGTGCGAGAGCGCCTGGAACAGCTGGTCGACAAGGATAGTTTCAAGGAGATTGGCAGCGCCAGTGGGCGGGTGGAGTGGAAGCAGACCGGCCGCAGGGACGAGGAACCCGTGTCATTCACTCCGACTAATAACCTCCAAGGTGAGAAACGTGGTCGATGTGGAAGCGATCAATGCTTACAGTGATCCTAACCAGGGTTCGGCATGTTGGGAGGTAGGAAAGTGATCATCACTGCAGACGACTACTCGATTCGAGCTGGACACGCTGATGGAGCCATTTCTGACAAGACCGTATGTATTCTCCCAGGCGTCCGTCGCTCGGTCATGATGTACCTATTCAACCTCTTGTACGTCGCACACTGACCAATCCCAAAGATCTACTCGGAGAAGCTTGCCGTGTCCCTGAACTTGCCCATCATCAAACTTACGGACGGATCTTCTGGTGGTGGATCTGTGAGTACAATCAAAACACAGGGCTGGTCTTATGTCCCGGGCGTGCCAGGCTTTATCGAAGCCGTCAAGGGCATCAACATGGGCATTCCAAATCTAGCGGCTGTGCTGGGTCCGGCGGTAGGTGTTTCCCAACTGTACTTGCGCACCGGGCAAGGCCGCTGACAAATGTCGCAGATTGGAATTGGCGCCGCTCGTGCAGTCATCTCCCATTTCTCGGTCATGGCAGGGGATATAGGGAGCCTGTTCAACGCGGGACCGCGGGTGGTCGAAGGGGCGACGTTCGAAGAGGGACTCACGCTACGAGAACTGGGTGGTCCAGGCATTCATTGCTTGAATGGGACCATAGACAATCTCGCAGCGAACGAGGCCGAGTGCTTCGAGCAGATCAGGAGAGTTCTTTCGTACTTGCCGAACTGCGGACAGTCAAAGCTGCCCCCTGTGATCCCCGCCATCGATCCGATTGCGAGGGTCAGTGAGGAGTTGAGGACCATCATCCCTCGGAGGAAGGAACGTATGTACGATGCTCGAGCGATTGTTGTCACTGTTTTCGACGCAGGCTCGTGGTTTGAGATCGGAGCATTATGGGGAAGGACGGCGATTGTTGGCCTTGCCAGGCTAGGAGGACGCCCGGTCGGGGTGATTTCGCTCAACTGCGAAGTCAACGCCGGTGCACTCGACGCCGGAGGATCTCAGAAAATCACGCGTCATCTGAAGTTGTGCGACGTGATGAACCTTCCGATTGTCCAATTTATTGATGTTCCGGGTTATGCCATCGGGACCGTGGCTGAAAAACAAGGTAAGAAGTGGAAGACGCCCACATTGATCTCGAGGTGGTGATTAATTTGTGGTCACTGACATTGTGGTCGAACACCAGCAACGATGCGTTGGGGAGTCGAACTTGGGAAGGCTTATATCTCCACCACGATCCCGATCTTCAGTGTCTTGACGCGCCGAGTCTTTGGCGTCGCCGGTGGCATCATGGTCGCTTGTCGCGATCCAATGATGCGAGTGGCCTGGCCTAGTGGTGAATGGGGAAGCCTGCCTCTCGACGGCGGCATTGAGGTCGGGCACAGATGGGAGCTGAAACAAGCGGAGGCCGAAGGTAAGAAGAAGGAGCTGTATACCCAGCTCGACGATGAGTATCGTCGGCTCATGAATCCCATCCGCACCGCCAATGCCTTTGGAGTTGAAGAGATCATCGACCCGGCACACACGAGGCGGGTGGCTGGGGAATGGGCTATGCATATGTAAGTTGCTTTCTTTCGCGAGGAGCCTCCCGTCTTTCTACCTGTAGGAGGCCTTGGGTTTTGGTCCACTGCTTACCTTTCTCGCCAGATATGACGAGGTACTGCCACAACGCCTGCTGGATAGGGCCGCAGGCCGGATACACCCATCGTTTGCTTGAGTCCGCATCCCCACAACCAGCGAGGTGGTTGATGCTCGTTGGGCGTCAGAGCACGGACGGGTCATGGTGTCTGTAGACACGGAAAATTGGAATTCAATTCGTGCAATCATCCTCTAGGCTATACGCGATCCCGGGGGTGGACGGATAGATGGATGTTTCATGCAGCGCGGGTCTGCGCAAGATGCATCTAAGCATGGGAGTGCTGAACCGCGAGATATGGTCTAGAGAGATTCGTACATAGACTCTCACACCCATGTGCTGTGCTGGGTTGTGAGCATGTATATGTTTTGAGGTGAAGCTGGCATTTGAGCCCACCGGTGCATCGCCTTAGCTTCTCCCAGTGGCGGATTGGCCAGTTGACTGGCTACGAGTTTGCTCTCAGACTGTGAAGGCGCTTGATCCATCGAAGGCACCAAGTACCGAGGCAGAAAGAGCGGTTGTCTACTCCATACTCTCCAACCTTTTCATAACCACGGCTACTTTTCCCCGCAATATCAACGCATCCGAAATAGGTCCCCCGAGCTACTATACCACCCAGGAGACGATTTGTTTTGGATACTGTCTTTATCTGAATCTTCCGAACATTGGACTGAAAGCATAAGCACAAGTGTCGATACTGACTTGAAATGTCCCTCCGCACGGCGGCCGCGGTGGCGGCTGTCTCTGCTGCTGTTGGCCTTTACTTGGACGCCAAATACTCCATAAGGAGCGACATTGCCCAGATCCGTGGAGCTTGGAGGCTGCAGAGATACGCCCAAGACCTCTACGAGATTCATGGAGAGGATGACTGGTCCTTCTATCATGTCCTTCATAGCACGTACGGCTTGAACGACAACGAGGAAGCGTTCGTGTTTGAAGGCCGCAGTTGGACGTACAAGCGTCTGAGAGAGGAAATCGGCCGCTGGGCGGAAGCACTCAAGCGTCTGGGGGTCAGGAACCGCATGGTGGTTGGCTTGTTCATTAACAATTCGCCCGAGTTCATGTTCACTTGGTGGGCGCTGTACAAATTGGGCGCAATTCCAGCTCCAATCAACACTTCCATTACCGGAGCCAATATCAAGCACTGCCTGAGAGTCAGCGAAGCTGAGATGTTGATCACCACGTTCGAGTTGTCCAGCATAGTCGCGCAGACCTTTGACCTTGGCGATGGAACAAGGGATTTCGGGTGCAGCGACCCTTCGTGTCCCCGACTCGGACATATTGTACTGTATGACCATGGCACGTACCCTTCTGTGGGACACTGGTCGTCCAAGACGCGTATAACTGTGATGAGGCATTCCATGTTGCCTCCAGCAACGCCGGAAATGGGCGACTTCCCAAAGTCCTCGAGACCGAAAGTACTGCACACCGATGCCTCTCAGTATCTGTTCACATCAGGCACCACTGGCCTGCCCAAGGCTTTGATCTGGCCGGCTGGGTACAGTCTGGCTGGCTCGTGTCCGGACAGATATCCCAGCATGCATGACAAGCGACGAAGGTTCTACATCTGCTTGCCCATGTTTCACGGCACAGCGACGTAAGCAAGACACCCCATACTGTTTCCAGTCATTTTCCGAAGGGTACGTGCTAACTTCTCGTGCGGAAAAAGCTTTGCAGGTATGCCAGCCACCTTTTCGACATCTGGGACAGTGATTCTGGCACGACGGTTTTCGCGGCGGGAGTTTTGGGCAGATGTGCGTCGCTCGAGGGCGAATGCTATCCTTTATATTGGGGAAATGCTTCGATATCTCGTGCAATCTCCTCCTGATCCTCGATTCCCGGACGAGAAGGATCACGAAGTGGATCTGGCTTTTGGACTTGGGCTGGCGCCCACTGTGTGGCGCGCCGTCAGAGAAAGATTCGGCATTCCGTGGATTGTCGAGTACTACTCAGCAAGCGAGGCGACGATATCGATACTCAACTCGAACAAGAACGACCTCGGTGTCGGCAAGGTTGCGCATTACGGGCCTCTTATGCGCAGCAGCATCTTTCAAGATAAGTTTTACATCGTGCGAACCGACCTGGAGACCGGGGAGATCCTGCGTAATCCCAAGACAGGGTTTTGTATGAAAGCACGAGCCGGTGAGGTTGGTGAGGCGATATGCAGGATCTCTCCCCCTGTACAGCGACGGCACGATTATGTGGGTGAAGGGGGAACAGAGGCAACGGAGAAGAAAGTCCTCAGGAACGTCTTCGCTAAAGGTGATGAGTTCTTCAGGCTGGGAGATGCAATGGCCAGAGTAAGTCGCTGTTCCTCTTCCTCCGGGGGCCTTGTTAGTGCGGGGACAAGATAGCCGTTTCGTTGTCTTTTAGCGTAACGATTGACCACCCGCGATGTGCTCGTAACTGACGGTGTTACCTCTCTTGACAGGATAAAGACGGATATGTATCGTTCCACGATCGATTGGGCGATACCTATCGTGCAAAAGGGCACAATATCTCGACGACCGAAGTCGAGGGTTGTATCAGTAGACATCCCAACATCGCCTCCGTCAACGTCTACGCGATCCCGATGAACCGCTACGGATACGACGGACAGTTGGGCTGCGCGGCTATCACGTTCACCAGTAGCGGCAGAAGTGGCTCCGACTCTGGGGAGGTGGACGCCCAGGAACAGCAGACTGTCAGAGAGCTTGAAAAGTGGACGACGACGAATGCGAGTGCTTTGCCTGCATATGCCGTTCCACGGTTTTTGCGGGTGCTGGTGACTGATCGACGAGAGCTGAACGGCGGCGGTAACGATACTGGCGCCGATAGAGTGTCTCTGATCATGAAGAAGCTCAAGACGGGACTACGGCAAGACGGTGAGTTGCCCGCCTTGCAGCGCTGCATGTTGGTGATTACGCTTAACTGATATGTTCCGGGCAGGCTTTTCATTACCTCAGGGCAGCAGAGACAGAATGTATTGGATCGAAAAGGAAGGTTCCGGTTATGTTCCTCTGACGAACGAGGCAGTACAGCTTCTTCTCTCCGGTAAAGCTCGACTATGAAAGAATGGCTGTGAAACAATAAGACATAGAAGGCGGGCCATACTCCGTACACTGCAGCTGGTCGTCGAATCTGTTACGGAGTAATGTACATGATGGAGTGGAAACAAAGGAGCAGTCTTGTACTCCGTATATTGATCGTGGTCGAACATCCGCCTGAGGTGCGAGGTCAAGTCGGAGAATGCTGAACGACTGGCGGACCAAGACCCCTGACAAGAGCGGCTCGTTAAACGCCAGCCTCGTCCTATTCAGCCAATCACAATACACGAATCTAGCCAACGTGCTCCTCACACTCGAACATTAATACGGATCGGTCTCCTTTCAACCTCGCTTCACTATCACAGTGGAAAGCCACTGCTCCATAAACCACCATCCCTGCTACGGAGTCCTTTAAGTGTCTTCCTGCTTTTGTCTTTTTCAGGCATGATAAGAACAAAGTGTACTCCGTACAGGGTATACCTCCGTACGGAGTACCCAAAATTGGATCATTCGATCATTCCCTATCTCGACAACATGGGCTTGTGGAGATTGTTGATATCGCCGAAGTGAGTGTTTCTCCCTTTGAGTATTTACGCAGTAGAATTGCATGTGAACCAGCCGGGCCTTGTTAGGTTGCCTGGCTCGCATCTATGTTCCTTCTCCGTACATCCCCTTCGGTTTGTTTTCCCCCCTCGAGCTTTACTGCTCTACATGGCATTCAGGCATGACTGCCACTTTTACTAATGTCTGATGGGACCTACTATGCCTGCGTGATGGCAGACGTTTCCTGACAGCAACTGCCAGGGTCATGGCAGGACCCAGTCCCGGCGTCACCATCATCATCGTGGCCTTTGGTCTGGTCCTTCTCATCTTCGCCATCTGGGCCATCTGCACTAAGCTCGTCCCACACCTCCGACACCCAGAATCCGAGCCCGTGATTACACTGCCCCAAACCACGCAGACCACGGACCCGAAGAACCATCAAGCCGGGCTGAGGAGGTCGCTATATGGGACGCAAAAAAGTCTTTTCCAAGAGCCTAGGAACAATATATCAGACTATGACTTGAAGAACTCGAGATTCTCCACATGTGCGCTGGACTTTTCCAGACCAGCTTCACCAACAAATCGGTCAAGAGCACAGTCACAATCTCGACACGGCCGCGGACGTTCCCGGTCAAGATCTCTCTCTCACTCTCGTTCTCGCTCTCGACATCATAGTACGGCAGACCTAAGGACGGCCTTGTACTCGGAACCGGGACTTTTGCAAAACGATGCACGAAGTTCCACCCTCAACCTTATCATCGACCAGCCGGATGCCATCACGAATGGCCGACCGAGATCTCAATACTACGACTCGTCCACGAGCGTCAGAAGCAAGTCAATCCACAGCCTGAACAGAAGGTCAGTCCCGCTGTTGGTCACTGAACTGTCGAACATTGTACTTCCACTTCCACATCCACGTTCCTCCGACACCTCTTCTGTCGAATTGATGACCGCCCCCGGTGCGTCTCCATCTCCGTACAAGCATCTCTCAGCAACGAGTTTCAACAACAGCTCTCGACATTCCCTGCCGAATATTGACGGGTACTTCTCCGCGGCTCCAAGACGCTCCCCTTTTGCTAGTACCGGCAGCAACACTCCAAGCGGCTGTACCACTCCAGCTGAGGCTACTATGATACCGCCGGAATGGCCGTTGACAACGACCATATCGCCACGACCAGAAGGAAAATCGGGAGTCCCGCCTATACCAACGATCTCGGAGAAAGTGCACAACCGGAAGACAAGCACTCCCACAGAGCACGGTGTTGGTGGCTATGCTGGAGAAACGACACGAGAAGCGACAATCAAGACGCCGCTTTCTGCAACTGTGGAAGTTAAGATCGCCCAAGTTGCATGATCGGATGATGCTGCTTCGACGGGCACGGTTGTCTTCAACTACCGGGTAGACCATACGGAGTACACGACTTGAAGATTCCAAGTGAAGCTTGTGCCCCGAATTTTCTACCGGCTGCTTTGAATCTCCTTTCTGTCTACCAATGGCTGGTGCAAAAATTCGTCAAAGTGTTGGCACCGCTTCGTGACAATTCTTCGATCTGAAATGTTTCTGCGGAAGGCTAGACTGTCCTTCCCACTGACGGGATAGAACGTAATGAGTAGTGAGGCATCTGGTCCCTACAATGTAAATTAGATAGAGCACAGGCCGTACGCGGACACGACATGTTAGAGCACATAGATTGTACAACAATAGTGGCGTAGTGGCTCTCAAGATTCATATCCTTTCATAATTCATTCCACACATCAGTCGTGCCATCGTTCCTCAGCGCCTTCGCTTCGCCTATATCGCGGTCAGGCTTTCGGGGCACCCGCAGCGTTCTCAGCACCGCATTCAGACGTTCTTGACTTTGCATCCTTTTCATCTCGAGTTCCCTCTCTAGACTCGACATCCTCTTTCGCTTTCTCTGGTCCCTTCCAGCCCACGGGCACCCCGTCATCTGTAAACCTCGCCCACTCGAACCACCCACAGCCCTCGCCAGCGCCAGGCTTACTCCCGACCTGACACATCCACATATACCGTCCACGATTGACCTTCTGCTTCTGCACCGTCTTCAGCACACACGGCACGCCGCACCGACATTTGGGCGTATACTTGGGGCGAAACTCCTCCCGGTACCAGCGGTACGTGATGTTGATCCTCTTGTTGCCGGCGAGGGGATGCGGCGTGACCGTCTGCGCCGGCGCGATGCTGTGTTTCCACTCCTCCTGCATCTCGGCGTGCATGACCAGCAGCGAGTTGTGAGGCAGGTGGATCGCAATTTGACCGGACACGTCGGAGGCGGTGGCGGCGGCGGCATCTCCTCTCGAGTCGTCGTCGTCTTTCGGCACGATCTTGCGCACGCGAAATTCCCTTTCCACGCCGAGACTCAGACTGCCTATCACGGCTCGCGGGCCCAGATACGAGAGCTGGTCGGAGTGGTAGCCTACGTGCTGCGCGCCACCGTCGTAGCAGTTGACGAACGCCGCGTTGGGTTGCCACGTTTGAGGGGATTGATATTTCAGTTTCTTGCCTTCGGGGTAGAAATCTTGGATGCGCGTGGCGATTTCGAGGTTGACGGCATTTCGGACGAGAGTGCTGACTTGCCGCATGACGGGGAGGATCTGTCGGATGTCGCCCAAATCGTTACCGTTGTAGTAGTACTCGGAGCGTTGGCGGGCAAGGTCGGACAAGGAGTCGACGTAGAAGCAGGCTGTGTGTGGGGATTTGACGACCTGGTCAAAGATCTTGAAGGAGATGGATTCGTAGCTGGGTACTTCGGCTAGGAGTTCTTGCAGGAGGGACTCCGCGAGGTTGGGTGGGAGGAAGTTGTGGATGATGGAACAGGGTGTGTGCTGGGCAATGTCGGCAGGGCTGTAAAGGTGTAGGGTTTTGCCTTTTCTCGTCAAGGGGTGTTTGGATGGGCTTTTGTTCGTTGTAGCTGAGAAGGGCAGGGCGCTTTGCTGGCCAGCTGTGGTGAGTCTGCGCTTTGGTGGAGGGGAGGAGTACGAGGACAGAGATTCGAGGGCGAGGCAGACGGAGCCGTCGTGGCTGAGCAGGACCTCGAGAAGATCATCTTGACATCGTTCAGGATGGAGGGAGGAGAGGATCGCGAGCTTGACGTCTGTTGATTCGTCCTCGTCGGTAGACGTGAACGGCGGTGTTGACGAGGTTATAGCCACAGTCTCAGGCTTGCGTGGCGGCGAGACGCGCAGTCTTTTGCGAGATATAAATGCGTCCATAGTGGAAGAGGCTCGAATTGAAGGATTTGCCCCTGCTTGGAGCCATCATCAACTGTCCGAGTAACGACGAGGTGGAAATTCCAGTTGCTGGCAAAATGGTGAATATACGAGAAGCCTTAATAATGAATAATGAACAGATGTCGATATACGCGGGGAGAAAGCCTCGGCATCCTCGAACATCGATCTTTGCCTGCGATATCATCCACTTCCACATCCACATCCACTGGCGCTCGACTTGACCGATGCAAGTCAAGCTCGCACAGCCACTTGATGTCTACTAGCAGAGGGAGTTGCTTACATGATGTGTGACTGCTTTAGAAAGTCACCATACTACAAGCGCCTCGACATCGCGTCGCCGCAATGCTAGAGTTTCGAACGCAGGGCTTTCAAGGCTACGCGGTGAAGTATTCTCCTTTCTTCGACAATCGCATCGCCGTCGCGGCGTCAGCAAACTATGGCTTGGTGGGAAATGGACGGCTTTTTGTCTTGGAGTTGACACCGCATGGCATCGTGCCTTTGAAGACGTAAGCCGTTTCTCTTGTCACGAGCGGGTCAAAATGCTGACCAGCCCCAGCTATCCCACCCAAGACGCCCTCTACGACGTAACACATTCCGAAGCGCATTCATTTCATGTCCTGACTTCCTCCGGAGACGGTTCGTTACGACTTTACGACGTTTCTCTGGCCCCTGAATTCCCGATAGCCACATTCCAAGAACATTCGCGAGAAGCCTTCTCATGCAGTTGGAATCTCACCTCGAAAGCCACATTTGCCTCCTCGTCGTGGGATGGCTCCGTCAAGATATGGAATCCTGAACGGCAGCAGAGTCTGCTGACACTACCGACGCACTCGTGTACATACAGTACGCAATGGAGCCCGCACACAGACGGAATGTTGAGCGCTGTGTGTTCAGACAGCCATTTACGAGTATGGGATCTGAGAACACCGGCGAGCGCCAGCAATCACCTCACTATGCAGATCCCGATCCATTCACCTCCTTTGTCAGTGGGTGTAGGGAAGCTCCAACCAACGTTCCCGCCGGCAGAAGCACTTACTCATGACTGGAACAAATATCGAAGCACGATCGTGGCTACAGCTGGAGTTGACAGAATCATTCGAACATTTGACATTCGGCAACCGAAGGGGCCCTTGCAGTTGTTGCAAGGCCACGGGTACGCGGTGCGGAAGGTCGCATGGAGTCCACACCTCCCAGATCTCTTACTGAGTGCCAGCTACGACATGACTTGTCGGGTGTGGACAGATGGTGGTGACCAGGGCGGTCCGGCTCGAGAGCTCGGGCAGATGGGACGACATACCGAATTTGTGACGGGAGTGGATTGGTGTCTGTTTGGCAGTGAAGGATGGGCGGCGAGTTGTGGTTGGGACGAAAGGCTCTGTGTGTGGGATGTACGATCAGTCATGCACCCATAATACAACCCAAGAGGTGTATGAGTGCTCGGATGGAAGGAATTGATTGGATATAGTTGCGATCTGAGTGCCAGCATCGGATAGCCAGGAGCATGATAGCGTCCAACCTTGGTGTTAATGCAGTGACAGATTTGAAGGTTTCAAGTCTGTCTGCGTCAAGGCTGATCTGGGTCGGAAACAAGGCTCTTCGCCGTGTTATGTTACATCCTCCCAAGAGAGGCAGCTGATATCTGGGAAGCCGCAGTCCTGGCGTAAATTATATGTATCCGTAACGAGCCAATCAGACTGTATAGAAGCTCTCGTAGAAGGAGTGGAGATGGAGATCATCAAGACATCAATGACTTTCCTTCTTCTGTCGTGCTTCGTCTCTTCGCCTTGATAGGCCCTTTATCGATAGCCTTGAGCTTTTCGCGACACCGAACAAGCTTGTTGTTCGCCCTGACATCCTTGATCGAGAGCTATCCGCAAGCGCCAGTCTGGGGAAATCTGTCGAGACGAGCCACTCATATTGCGAACGTCGCGACTTGTCTCTCGAGTACGGGTACCTGCTTGTACGACCATTGATGATCTTTGCCAGGTAGGACCATGCAGCTGTGTTGAAGTGCATGCTTTTGGAAGAAGGATGTTTCTCTCGGCCACATCGAAGGGCCTCGTGGGTTGGTCGTGGACAACGGTACGCTCCGAGGACGAGAGTGCTCGCAGTATAAGAAGACCGGTGCCTCCCAATGCTGGACAATGTTGTTCAGGCCAAGAATCCTCATCAGCAACAGCCTCTGAAAGGGTATTCACCAGGAATCTGCCGATATACCTATCCCTTCCCCTTGTTCAATAGGTAGAAGAGCTGTAACTCAGTCCTCCACTCCTCCAGCACAATGTATATCCCACAGGTCCGTCTTCTTTGCCTGACTCTGTCATTACACAGTCCACTAACCATCATGAAGCTCCTCACAACGTCTCTGTTCCTCCTCCTCACACCTGTCTTTGCCATGCCAAAAGCCATTCTCCACCGCAGCGCCTCACCTTCTCTCTATCCTAGGGACTTCACGCCGGGTCTGGCCGCACGCCAAAGCTGCGTCGACACATGTGGCTCCGTATGCTATTGGCAGTCCGACATCGACGCGGCCGTGCAGAAGGGGTATTCGCTGTACCAATCCGGCGACACTGTTGGCGACAATGACTATCCTCATGAGTTTGACGATAGAGAGGGGTTTGATATCACCGTCTCGGGTCCGTGGTATGAGTTTCCCATCCTGAGTAGCTACGAGGTGTATGATGGTGGCGCACCCGGTGCGGATAGGGTTGTGTTCAATGATGAGGGGACACTGGCGCTTGTGGTCACGCATACAGGCGCAAGCGGTGACAATTTCGTCGAGTGTTCTGGGGAGCAGCCTTAGGACTCGGATTGCAGAGATCCGTACAGAAAACAAGGACGAGAGCGTCATGATTAAAGAGTCCTTACCATAGACATGCGATCGGTAGGATGAAGCGTCGGGACCAGGCAAAATTGTCCCAGCACGGGAGGTAATAGGGATGTATCGAGCAGAAGGCGAGGTGAGAACACAATGGCATCAGGGTTGCGATGTGGATGCAAATTAAGATGAAAATGCTCATTAGATGACAATATTGCGATACGTGCTTTCCCCTCCCCATTCCATCTGCCTTCGAGAGGATCGTGCCGGCAACACGTTCACTAGCATTGGAAAGTCGTTTCCCAGGCCCTAACGTAACTTCACCAGCGCAAAGCCATGTGCCATGAGTGGCAGCTGCTTTGCGCCGTTGGCCCGTAGTCATGCTGATTGAGCTCTCTCGCTCTCACGGCTCAAAATTCTTTCATCCGAGCATCGTGAGGCTGCGGCGGAATAGCGGTGGGACAGCGTTGTCACCGAAGAATCAGGTGTCCTTGTTTGTCATCTATTCTTTTTGCTCATGAATAGTAACGAGTATAGTCCAGTTCGTCCAACAAATCCCACTTTCATTCACTTCTGGGCCAATCTGTTCTCCACACCCTCACGGATCTGCTTCTTCTTATCCGCCAGTTCGTCTTTCCTCGCGTCATATTTGACATTGCCGACCTGATTGAACGGGTTCTCCTCACTCCGTTCAAATTCTTTTCGTATAATATCAATACGCTGCTGTTTTCGTAGCCCGGGATGCTCAACCGCAACCTCAGGCAGTCGTCGTTCCTCGTAGGCCTTATAAGCCGCCGCGAACCGTCGCTCGGGGTGCCGGTCGAGTTTCTGCTCGTTCGCTGCACCCGTCAAACTGAGCGCATCCAACGCGTTATCGATTCCAGACGCATTCAACGCTGCGGTTGTGCCGCTTGCTTCGCCATCGAGCTGGCCCAGGTCCAATGTGCCCCGGGTCTTCTTCTCAGCCGTCTTCTTGTTCGCGCCCTTGGCCGTGGCGCGCTGTGACTTTTCCTCTTCAGCTAGTAGGGCGTCTCGCTCGGCCTTTTTCGCTTTCGCTTCTGCAGCCTTGCGCTCAGCATCTTCTTTCTTCTTGCTGTCCTTGGCGCCTTTGGACCATTTATCCTCCTCGGCCGCGGAGACTTTGGCTTCTACGGCGGCTTGTTTTGCGGCGGCGGCTTCAGCCTTGCGGGCGTTGCCCGCTACTTTCTTGGTGTTCTCGGCGCCCTTTTTGCCCCCCATCGTGCTCCAGCGGTTGGGCGTTGGAGTTGCTGTGGTTCAGGCAGGCGTTGACTGTAATATAAGTCGTGAGATTGACTATGACGAAGATCCGGATGAATTGGGCTGTCGAGAAGACTCGGCGGGAGTTTAAGGGCATGCAACTGGAAGACGGAGGTGGAAATATGAGAAAGGAAGTTTCCAAGATGGCTCCGAACATGCGATTCACATGAAATCCAAGTTGTCGGTCTCGCTGCCTGCGGTGTCGGTGGCGCGGTGTGCGTGGGGTCACTGCTGCGGTTGAGTCATGCGGCCTTATCCATCTTATCGGATGACTCGAGTAACGAAGGGTGCGAATGATAGCAACAGCAAGCAGCGTGTCTTTCGAATAACGACGAATTGTGAGCATCTCTGCGCTTCTCGTATCATACATAAATAGAACTCAAACATGATGCAAACGGGTATCTTTGGACTGCCCCTCGGCCACTCCTCCCCTGAAAATCTCAGCGCCTGCTCGACAGTATCCATCATATCAGCCTCAAGGGCGTCCTCATTCCTGCAAAGCCCTGTCTCATGAACTTGTAGCGGTTTGGCACGGCCTGCAGTCTTCGAAAGCCCTCTCTGACATGCTTCGGCTCGACAGGTGTCCTTCCTTCCTCGGGCATCTCGAACAGACTGCAACCTTCTCGCTTTCTCTTCTTCATTGAATCTTGATCGCCGCGTCCACCATTGGCCTTTTTGTTCGCAAGGTCCTCAGCAGCCTTCACTTTGAGTGCTTCTTCAGTCAACGTTTGCACAATCTCGAACGTCAAGAAGCCGAGAATATCGACCACATCGTCGTTCGGTTTGCTGTCAAGTATTGTGCCAAATCCTGCCCATTCTCGGAATCTCTTGCCTTTGCGGAAGGTGAAACTCGCTTGCCGACAATCGGACCAGTAGACATATTCATCCTTGGTCATATTCTTCGTGCGCTCATCGGCTGAAGCTAGACGCGCAAGTGTGGCTTCGTTCTGTTCCTCCTCTTCTTCGTCTTCCTCATCCTCTCGTTCGGGGACTTGTTCTGAGTAAAAAGATTGGACTTCCCAAGGCAACAGGAGCTTCGCTTTCTTGTTGCCACTTGTTTTTTGTGGAGCAGAAGGATTGACACCGCCAGCCGCCTGAGAAGTAGTCAGATACGAAAGAAGTAGCTCAGGAATGACAGGTGCATTCTACCTCATCGAAGTCACCAACATCTCCAGCATCTCCACCACCTTTGTCGTCCGAATCTTTGACATTCTTACGTACATCCTTCCAGGAGAGAAAGGTCTTGAGCCTGGATACTTTTGCTCTATCGTGGCGGATTTGGAAAATGAGATCGACAATGGCGATAGATTTAGAACCACGTCGGTTTGCAAGCACAGTGGCTTGAGTGAGCTCATCATCCGTTAGCAGTGGCCAAAGCATCATTTCGCACTACTTACCATTTCTACCACTTGTTCTCGTACTATCTCTTCGATCATCCATGTTGTCTCTGCACTTGGTTCGGCTGTCTCGCCACTAACGAACATCATCTGTTGAAGCCAGTAAATCAGTCTTTGCATGAACTCTTCTTTGGTTTCGGTATCATCTGCATCTTTCATGTCATGAGGACCACTGGCAGTCGAATCAGTATCGGGCAACTCGCCCGACTCATTTCCCATGATGGTGACGGTGGAGCTCAGAAGCGTGTGATGCGTGTGGCAATTGGACTGATCAAGCGAAGGAAGTGAGGCGGCTATCCTTGCAGCATCCCAAGCCTCCGTAAAGCCACCAGTAGGTGCAGGTGAGTCTGGGATTTTGTCTTCTTCCATTGTTACCACTCCTGTGCATTTTCATGATAGCACAAGGTGAGATGGCCAGAGGTTGACATGTTTCTTCCACCGAGCCCTGTGTGTCTTAGCGCAGTATGGTTTGTGCCGTACCCTATGCTGAGTGTCACACTTTGTTGCCTCCGGTACAGTGGTGTTTGCTGTATAAGGCAATCTGCGCGGGGCGGTGATTCCGTGCAAGATTCCTTGACCAATTTCCACAACTTTCTGAGCGCATCATTTCGCATTGTTGATATGCAAGAGGTGTTGAGGCCATACAACAGGTTCTCTTTTGCGCCACAGCTGCTGGTTCCTTTTTCGCTTGAACGGTTGGAGGACCTCATCGAAAGAGATGGACATGATGATGAACAACCAGAGCGCATTGGCTTACCTGCTGGATCTCCTGCCTATACTTTGCAGGCCTCTCGCCAGCCATCTTGACCCCTCCGTGACTTCAGACACTTGACAAGAAAATCCCCCAGTAATCTACTCGTCAGACACCACACCACATTCACCGAGCCTTGAAACTACACTTTATGATGCATTTACAGGTTTTGAAGTGAGTATCGATGAATTTAATGGCTATGAGTGTCTCTACTGTTGACTTCCTGCCTCGCCGCCCGGACTGGGCCTCGATTGCTGTTACCGAAGTTCTTCCGCGGTACTTTCGTCCCACTTTGTTTTTTGATGCCATTTTGTTTTGGGCCCACGAATCTTGCTTTGGATGCAGAGAGACACTTAATCTTTGCGAAAAGAAAACCTCGAGCCTTGGACCATTCATCATGTTGTACCTCGTCGGTCTCGGCCTGGCTGATGAGACGGATATCACGGTCAAAGGTCTCGAAGTTGTAAAACGGGCAGAACGTGTTTACCTTGAAGCCTACACGAGCATACTGCACGTAGGCAAGGAGAAATTGGTAGGTTTCAATCCCTGCGCCCATGGACGACGCTGACGACGACGGCATCTAACAGTTCCGGTAGGAGTCCTTTTATGGTAGACCCGTGATCGTTGCGGACCGTGAGATGGTCGAATCCTCTAGCGATGAAATCCTTGAAGACGCAGACAAATCAGACATAGCCTTCCTGGTTGTCGGCGATCCATTCGGAGCCACGACACATACTGACCTCGTCCTTCGAGCTAAAGAGCTTTCCATACCCACGAAATCGATCCCCAACGCCTCCATTCTGAACGCAATCGGCGCCACGGGACTGCAATTGTACAATTTCGGCCAAACAGTATCGATGGTCTTTTTCACCGACAATTGGAGACCAGCCAGCTTTTATGATCGCATTCGTGAAAATGCTTCCATTGGTCTGCACACATTAATGCTGTTGGACATCAAGGTTAAAGAGCAGTCACTGGAAAACATGGCAAGAGGAAGGAAAATCTACGAACCACCCAGGTACATGACCGTAGCTCAATGCGCTCAGCAGATGCTTGAGATTGAGGAAGAGAAGGGGGGGAAAGTCTACAACGAAGACAGTCTGGCCATTGGATGTGCTCGAGTCGGCGCAGAGGATCAGAGATTTGCCTGTGGTACGCTTAAAGAGCTCTGTGATATTGAACTTGGCCCTCCACTTCATAGCCTGGTGCTACTTGGTAAGAGAGCGCATGAGCTCGAGAGGGACTATATCAGACTATTCGCTGTCAACGAAGGGACATTCGACCGGAGCTGGAAGAAATATCACGACACGAAATAATGTAGGGCAGGACACATCAACAACAGTGCCTGCTCCCAAAATTCCCTCCAAGACTCGCGCCGACGCCGTCTCCACACGCCTTGCAGATTGAGCCTGCCACTTCAGAAGTTACCTCGATGGATCTAGGAGCGAGGCGTATCTAGACGGTAACCCACGGCCAGCTGAGGGCTTGGATTGAAATTGGCACGGATTCGCCTGAGTTCTACCGCTGTTCGCTCAGGCTCAAGTTCCAGCATTGAAATTGGGGCTCCTGACTTTGTGTAATGGCCACTTCTGCCAAACAACGGAATGCATAGCAAGGTGCGCACCTTGCAGCTCTCATGCAGACCATGAGTGAGCCCGCAGGATATGCTCCTGTTCATCCCTCCGATCATCGAGGCTGGGACCGCTGTTTGGTAGTCGACGCAATCCGGGGGTACACTGCCGAACAGTACCCAGTATCTCTTAACAAACTGAATGAGCTCAAGTCTGCTATCGTTCTCAAACATCAACTGATTGATTATGTCCCAAGTCTCTTCTGAATCCCACAATATTGTATTTTAGCCTTGGGACAGGGGCCTGACCTCTCTCTGCGGCATATGGCGGGAATAGCCTGCTTCCGGCCTCGTGGCTTGCGAGGCTGAGAGCAGCGCACATTACTCGTACCTGATAGGTAGTCAGCTCTGGACAGCCAACCGCCTGGAAGGAAACGTGGGAACCCCCCGAGGCCCCCTGAATACGAGTATCCGATAGGCATCATGATCTTCAATCGACCCCACTGCGGACTCTGTGCCCAGTGACTGCGCTCTTTTTTGGTTGTTCCATGCTGAGCACTTGCTCTCAGTGGGGAGGGGCGCAGGGGCCTCTGCCCGCCAGCATCCAGCTGAGCTCCCTCGTCAAAGTCGCACAGAGCACAGAGATTCGTGACACCTGTGATTCTGTTTTTCCGTTTTGGCGCGAGAAGCAAAGAAGCGGTCGACGCGAAGAAACCCAGACCGCTCGCCAGACACAGGAGCAATCGAAATTCAGCAAACAACCGACCAACGAACCAATCCACACCCGCACTGGTCACATACTGGCTCAATCGAACAATGTTTGCCTATCCTCAATCCACAGCGCTGAAAAGCTCTGATCCGAGAGATACTACTATATGAGCAGAGAGTAGCCAACGTCCCCAAAAGGGAGCAAGACAACAACCCGCGGACCAGTACGGGACCAGCGTACCAGCGTACCAGCATCTACCTGCTTCGACGGGTCCGAACCTGTGTCCCTTCCTTCCCTGCTGCCTCTTCCCACCTCTGGGTGTTAGACCTGGGGCCGCGTAGCCTCGCCTCCGCATTCACTCCATAGCTTGCTTGCGAAAAAGATGCCCGTATACCTCGTCCACGGCTTCCGCTGGCCGCGCGAAGGCTTCGCGGGCATCCGCGTCCATGCCATCGTCCACAACCTCGAAGACACGAGCGTCGAGTACATCCAGAACGAGAACTCGCGGTCCGAGATCCTAGCCTCCTTCCGCAAAGCATACCCAGAGATCATGAAGGAACTCGAAGGGCCCGGCCGCAAACAACTCGAATTCATAGAGCAGTACAACCCGGAAGACCTCGACGGGCCGACCGCCGTCAGCCAGCCGTACGCGTTCGTGGGCGATAAAGTGGTCATGATCGCGGCGAGTCCGGGGCTCGGGCTGGGCCTGAATGGGCGGGCACAACAGTACACAGAGGCAGACGAGCGACAAGCACAAGCACAAGTGTCATCAGCAACAGCAACAACAACAACGACATCGCCCACGACGTCACCGAGCAAGAAAGCCCGTGCCACCACACAGCCCATGAGCAAATCCGCGCCGTTCAATTCACCTGCAGACGTGACGGCGCTGAGCGTCAACGTCGAAGAAGTCATTGCCGACGGCCCCGGGCTGACGAACAAGGCGTGGGAAGCCCTAGCCGATCTGCGCGACAAGATTGCCGAAGGCGAGAAGATAGGCTGGTGGGTGGTGTACAACGGCGACCCCGAGCGCTCGTACGATGAGGTCGACGAGGACGAAGAGGATGAGGAGGAGGAGGAATACTACGATGAATACTACGAACAAGAAGACCAGCAGCAGGTGCCTCAGCAACAGCAACAGCAACTGCAGCAGCAGAGACCAGTGACAAGTGGCGGCAGCAGTGCAGGACGGCCGAGGACAGCACCTACAAGTGACAGTGGTAGGGCAGAGAGTCAAAGCCATCCTCCCTTGCCGCTCCCCATATCTGCCTCGTCGCCGCGTATACCGCAACAGCAACCAGGATTGACAGCACTGCCGATTCGTCCGAATATGGCTGAACAGCAGAGGGAACCGGTAGCGTCGACAGGAAAGCCTGGCAAAGGTAAACAGAAAGAGAGCATTCCGGAGCCGGCAAAGTTGAAAGAAACCGCCAAATCTCAAGGGTTGAGGAAGAAGTTCTTTGGTAGACGAGCTTGATTTACGCTATCTATCTTACTTAGCCAGCAGTCAACTTCCTGCTGTCTACGTGTTTGACGAGAGTTACGAAGTATGATAGACCATCAATATGGTCATCTATATGAAGGAACGACATGCAAATAGTCACCAGAGCTTGGTACGTCCATGGAGCGGTTTGTCGTTGACTTACGCGAGAGAGCGCCACGAAGGACTACAGCACAATGGATATATGCTCACGCATGGGCATCTACGTCGCCGAAGGAATGACATGATTAAGTGAGAAGAGCTCACCAGATTCCCCAGCGGCATTTCAGATGCAGTCAAGCCACGGCCAGCGGCCTGGGATGAACGGATTTGGGAAAGGGGAAATACCCGCCTTTATGGATTGGAGGAGTCGCCACAAGCCTTTCGGTAGTCTGCTGATTTCAATTTCACACGGGACCAGGGGAGAGATGGAAGCCCGTTTTCCAAGATATATAGGCAGATGCCATGCGAGTAAGCCAGCCAAGAAGATGGGATGTAAATGCTTGGTCCTTTTATTGGCCCCAATAGAGAGATCCAGGCCGTCAATCATTGTACAAAATCCATTCGACAATCATGAGCGTGCGTATACGTTGAAGCTTGATTTTCGATCCGTGACCAGAAGAAATGTCCACTACAGGTACAGAGAAAGTCCACAAACTGGAGCCGAACCAATCCGTTGTCGCAGGTGACTCCATGATAAAAGACCTTGGTATTGTCGGTCCTCTGCTCAAACAAAATACCGCAAGGGGTTCCCCTGAATGCCCAGGACAATCTGGCCGGGACGGGAACAATTCGAGAGCAACATCCCGACTTTTGGAACTGGGCGGATGCCCGTCAACATCATAAGCCCGTACCATTCGCAATTGAGAGGTAAGGACCCTTTGGATTCACTAGTATCGGCGGTCGTCATAGCCTCCATAGCCTCCACCATAGCCATAGCCTCGAGGAGGGCTCCTTGGGCGGGCGTAGGGATCTCCATTCCGCGCATAGGGGTCACCGTAGCCTCTAGCTGGCGGTGGCGGTGGAGGTCCGCGAGCGTCGTACGGATCAGCATCGTATCGTCTTGGAGGTGGCGGGCCATAATCTCTTGGTGGGGTTCGTCTTCCATAACCACGGTCGTAATAGTCATCCATGGGAGGTCGGCGTCCTGGCGAGCGCTCGCGATAGCCTCGTGGACTCCAGCCGCGCGGAGGTGGTCCTCGACGGTCATAGTAGTCATCTGTGGGATGTCGACCTCGAGGTGGAGATCTTTGTCGATAGCTTCGAGCATCAGGACGTTCGTCTTGAATCTGCAACACATGTTAGAAGGAGTGGATGAAATCCCGCAGAAGGAAGCTCACATCAGCAATACAGTGGACTGTTGCGCCTTTGAACGTTTGTCCATCTAGCTTCTCCACGGCAGTCTTGAGGTCGGCTTGAGTTTCGAACTCGACAAAACTAAAAGAATGTGAGTGATGGCTAAAATTGAGAAAGAGGCGACTTACCCTTTACCATCGCGCTCGCGACCAGTTTCGGAGTAGACAACGTCAAGCTGACCCGAATTTCTGGCAAAGTCTTTGAGATCCTGAAGCACAGGTGAGAACATGTCCAAGAAACAAATGAGATAAAGTTGAGTAAATCCAAGTGGCGGGAACAAATAAACGACGCCGTGTGCCATGAATGCGCAGAATCAGTCCAATGGAATACGAGATGATACCAAAACGCGTAGAAAGGAAAGGCGCCGACCACGGATTTCCCGATCCCCGGAAGACCCTCAAAACAATGTAAAGTATCCGGGGGTATGGTAGAATGGGCTGTCTAACCTGCCAACTGGTGTCTGGCTGCAAGCCTGTGATCTGCATACGGTAGACAGTACGACGTGGTCGTGGTACGTTGCGATCGGGAGGGCCAGAAAAATCATCCTTGCGGCGAGGGCCACGGGCAAATTGGACAGTGAGTCGTTCGCCCTTGAATTCCGTTCCATCTATTTTTTAGGTCAGATCACAGCAGTCGACGGGAGAAGGGAGAAGGAGTGGGTTCCTCGTACGGAAAGCTGGGACACGGTTAGACCGTCATACACAATAACACGGGAGATCTTACCTGGTACGACATCACGAGCGTCCATGGCATCTTCATACTCGATGAAGCCAAAGCCATTCATGAGTTTGATCTCTTTGATGGAGCCAGCGCCATGAGTTCCAAAGTGCTCCTCGATGTCCTGTTTTGTGACTGGAACGGTAAGGATAGTCAGCGACTGGTGGTATCCCGACAGAGCAGTGGGAAGCGCATCCCAGTATCATGGTACAGATAATCCTTTCAAGGTGCAACATCATCCCGGGAAACCAAAGGAGCGCAGTGGATGAAGGTGAGCATACTGTTTCGCGGAAGGTTGCCCAGATAGAGCCGCGTGGAAGAGACGTCGGCCATGGTGGCCTGTCGGAAGACCAGATGAGGACTCGAACAGGTCAAGGTCCCAGAGCGTGAGGCGAACCGTGGAGAATGGGATCCAAGGACAGTAGTTTGAAAGCTTCCGCAGCCTAAGGATGATGGGGACGGATTGTGACCAAGGTTGGAGGCCGGAGTGATGAGTTGCAAATGAGGTCAAGATGGCTGTCGCAGTTGCGCCTCACTTTCAAAGATTCAGAAGGAAAGGCGACGAGCCCGGCATCATTCAGCCAAGCCTCGCTTCTCCAGGTCTTGGCGGCGAAAGAACTTTTGACCGCAGTGACCGCTTCACCCACGACGGGTGACAACACCCACACTCAGTCTATGCAAGCATGTACTCCTGATCAGGGCTCCAGGCGCATATCTATTGTCTAAACATGTCCAAGAACATCGGTGTTGCTTCGTCCCGCCATGGTCCTTCTCCGCCAGGATCTATTTTCGGTTGAGACGCGACAAGAGGTCTCTCCCTCTCTACCTGCGTTTAAGAACAATCCTATGCTGCACTGGGAATTATTCTGCCTCAAGGCATCAAGAAAGAATAAATTCTCGTTGGGTATCTGGATGTTTCAGACGAGCTGCTATGTCCATGAGATGTGGCATTCCAGAGTCGTCTCTTTTGGCTGGTCCGTACGACATACACCAGTCCAGTCTCGTAACCCAGTCATGGAGTCTGGTCCTATGGGGAAGGTAGGGCCCGATTGGAAGATCCTCGAACCAACAAGCCCCGATGAATAGAAGTTTATCGCCACGGGTTGGTCGCAATATGAACGGCAGAACACCACCAGCAGCGACAACTACCCAGTCTCCGTCCTCTGCCCAGTGTGGTGCGCAAACGTCGAAGGGGCCAGGCGCTCCATCGAATTGAAACCCTCGGACAAGATAGGTACCAGACTGAACGAGTTGCTGCAACTGTTCATCTACCCCCTGGAGATAGGTCCCTCTGGTATATGCTGACTGGATCTCGGACGCTTTACGAGGGGAGGAACCCAAGGTGCCTAGCTTTGAAGCTTTCAATACGAGCTCATCAAGACGATCCAAGTCTTGAACACAAGCAGCTCCTACCCAGCTGAAGATAGGAGCCTCAATTGTTCTGGCGTTTCGACGCTCCCAGTCGTCACCATTGGCAGCTCCTGTCCAAAACAAATACTCTTCTGGCATCTCCTCTCTGATGCCCGTTTCGCCAATGCCGATGCAGACAGCATCTGTGTCTTGCCGCCAATCTATGGCCCACGTAGGAAGATCGCCCCGGGGTGCCCGCTGGCGTAACATCTCAAGACATCCCAGGCTCTGGGAAACGTTGATAAGATGTTTCGTGAGGTCTCTGCGAAAAGTTTAGTGATGGAGCAGGATGGTGCTGTGTCTCGAGTGATGTTGTGACCTGGATTCAGCAGAACAATATGAACTTACTGGTATACCTCGCTAACACCTTGGGTATAGTCGATTCTCAAATTATCAAAATGCCCTCCGGCGGTATTTTGTCCCATGCCGATCAGAGCATACACTCTGTCTCTTTGATCCGAGCAATTGAATACCTTGTTCCCCAGTAGTACAGCCAGGATCGAGTTCATGGTATCCCTAGTTAGCTTCCTTCGTTCCCAGACCTCCAATGAAGACATCTTTTCCTTCGACGCTGACATTGCGCTAATGTTGAAGGCGGAATACGTTCGTTGAAAAGCCTCAATTCGAGTCCGAACGACCAGTGAGTCGTGTTTCTTGGCCACATTCATGAACGCATGGAAGGGATATTGAAATGCGCCGGACTGAAACATGACCTCATGAGCAGCGAAGATCTCTTGCCTGATCCAGGTCCGTTCGAAGAATGGAACCTGCGCAAGGGCGAGTATGACGGTGTTCTGCGCACTTTGCGATTGATGTTTGGCCTCGACATCGACTTGGAAACCTTGTGGTACGGTCGTCATGCCAGTGGGCGGCATGCCCAGCCACGCAACTACTCGGCGAGCCTTTGAGAAAATGAGCATCATGACCTGGACCTGATTTGACTTCTCCGCGGCGTTCTCCTGATCGATGGACAGAGCGTCACACCATAGCCATCTCGGCTCAGCCGTTTGACGAAGGTATTGCAATGCATCCGCCATTGACGGTGGTATGTATGCTACCTTGCCATTGACTTCGACTTCCGCCGTTCGAGCCGGATATCCCCACGAGTAAGACAAAGCCTCGTACTGTTGATATCGTGCTTCTCTATGAATACCCAGGCCCTCGAAAGGAGTCAGATCCGCGATGAACATCTCTGCAACCAGGCGGTCTCCAAGGCTGCCCGGGCAGAGTTTGATGAGCCGAGTCTGCCATGGTAATAACGGGCCGGAGAGCGCAGCGTACATAGAGTCTGAATTCGGCTGTCCATTCTCGATGCTGCCGGCCATCATGGTGATGATGAACTGAAATCTTACTGATGAGGACTTGAAGAGCCTAGATCCAGCCTGCTGTCATGCGTGCTGCAAGAGGCGCCATGATAATAAGCACTAGCATATGAATGCGGTATGTCGGCATTTCAAGCTTGGGCTGCTGTCTCATGGGGTTGGTTTGAGAGAGCCAATTCCGTATCATCCCGTGGCGCTAATATCCTTCTGTTACACCCATGATCCTGCCTGCTCGAATGGATGCGGAGTGTCTGTCGTAAAATCGAGGATCGACCGGATACTATTGTTGTACAAGTCTGATTATCTGGACTGTCTCGATGACTCCAGTTTCAAGTAGTCATATATGAGTTGATTGTCCCTCCTTGCAGCGCAATCAAGCGGCGTGTGACCATGTTGTTCTCTGATCTTCAGATCGAACTGATTCTCCATCAAAAGCTTGATCATATTCACATCTCCATTGTTGACTGCATAGTGCATCCCAGTACTTCCAAACTTGTCCACAGAGTTGACATCTGCTCCGCAATCCAACAAAAATTGCACCTGCGATATCCTCCTTTGCTCCGCCGCCAATATAAGATACGTCTTGTTGTAATCGCAGATTGGACTCCTAGTTTTTGCAAACTCGAGGCTGTTGTCAATTTCCTTACGGAATTTAAGTAGTTGCTGGCAAATCTCTACGCTGGATTCCCAGGTTTCGTGGTCTGTATAATCAAACGCCGTCATGGCTTTCAGCGCAACCTCAAAAGCTGCGTTTCCGATCTCGTTGCGGTTTGGTGATTGTTGTTCCTCCATGTAGTCGACTAATATTTTGGCAAGTTGAACGTTGCTGCTGGCTATGCAATGGTCCCAAATTGTGCTTCCATCTTCATCCTTCTGTTCCATATCATGGCCCTCAGCTAACAGTCTACACACATGAGCGTGATTTCGCGACCATGCAGCATAATGAAGAGGGGGCATGTGTTCCACTTGCTCAAGAATCTCAGCTGGGATAACATCTGGCTTGGAACTGAACAAGCCTTTTTCTCGCAGGAGCTGGATTGCTGATTTTCCAGCCTTGTTTCGGACGTTGATGTTTACTCCTCTTTCCAATAGACAGATCATCAAATCTTGGTGCCCACCTAGGATAGCCATATGCAAAGGAGTATTGCCCGTCATTGTAGATTGCATGTTTATATTGGCGCCTCGGTCAAGGAGAAGGTTGACTCGTTCAAGAGCTCTGGTGAATACGTGAGCGTTGAACACCGCAAAATGAAGACTCGTCATGAATGTTTCGGGGTAGACAGGAGATTTCCCGGGGAAATCAACCTTTGCGCCATAGTCAAGAAGGAGTCTTGTCATGTTAGTGTCTGTGCTTGCCGCAATATGTAACGGAAAGGTGAGATGCTTCGGATCGTAGGTGTTGATGCTGATGCCATGATTGAGGAACACTAGAACCGCATCGCTCTGTCGACACAGCGTTGCCAGTATAAGAACATTCGCATCATTGAGGTAATGTTGTGGGACTTTTGCATGCAAATCTGCCCCGTGCGCCAAAAGGACATCGATGGATCGACGTTTACCAGTCTGTGCGGCTCTGTGGAGAGGAGTTTCTCCAAAGTTATTGACCGTATCTGTTTTATAACCTTTATTGTCCAACAGAAAGCGCAGAGTCTTGCTCAATCCATACGAGGCAGTTGCATGGACTGGAGGGTCTCGCCTCTCAATTGAATTCCTGTTCCAATCCGTCCACGGGACGGCGTGGTCACAGCCCCATGCGCTGTAGCGGTGCCTTGCCATCAACTCGTCCGCACTTTGTCGGTGAGGACTTTCAAGGAAACTGATGATCGATTCTCGGAAGGTCGACTCGAGGTCGCCCTGAAGGACATGCTGTGTCCAGTTTTTTGCTGCATAGTTGTAAAACGGATATTTGCTGGCTCTTTCATCAACTCTTATTTGTTGAACACCTAGGTGTGAGAAATAAGACAACGACATGTAAGCCAAACAAGCTTCCAGAGCAATTGCATGGCCAGCAGGGAAATGCTCAGATTGGACATTCTTGAGGTAAGTGCTGGTTGTCTCATGCAAGAGGCTAGCGGATTGAGTGCGAATGTTGTTATCTTCCACAGTTTCGATAATGACCAGGCCATCGCAGAGAGACTTGAGTCCATCCGCAGTCCACTGCTTGTCGTCATTGAGCTCCAAATCTCCAGGCTGAACCGAAACGGCCTGTTGTAAAGCGTCAACACTCAATGGTTCCAAGGCATGAGACAGTAATGCCAAAATTCTCATCGCCTTGTCCCTCTGGACAGGGTCTTGCATTTCAATCTGTTTGAGACAGAGTTCATAATATCCGTCATAAGTTTTTGGCAAGCATTTAAGCCTTGCCTCCACTTCTTGCACGGAGTTAATATGCTCGAGCTTATTAAGAACAAGTTCAGCTGTAAGAAACCTGCCTGAACGTTAGCTGTTGCAATCTCCATCAATCCAGTGGCAGTTTACATTCTATCGTTTGCTTGAGTAAGTTTGTCGACGAGAAGATCTAGAAGCGCTCCATTCTGTTCAATATGTTCCCATAGTCCGAAGCCGCTTGTCAAGCGACATTTGACATAGGAGATCACGTCGGCTATTTGGGGTCGTATTTCTATTTCCCTCGCGTCGTCCGAATATCTTCGGATCTCTGGAAATGGTCTTGATGTAACAAGAAGATGAATCGGAGGCTGCAGCTGCCGGAGTTCACGAATGAGCTGTTCACGAAGACCTTCGGTCGGCAGCTCGTCCAGGGCGTCAATAATTACAGTCGTGCGACTGAATTTCCTTGTCTCTTCTTGAAGCCACGATCGATATTGAAGCAGGGTTGGCTTTGCTTCTCGCCAATTGACTCCCCAAGATTTCATGGTTGATTGTGATATCTCGCCGTGCTGCTTGAATAACTGAGCAAGGAGATTTGAAAAGAGATTCTCCATCGTCAGTTTACTGCGCTCTCGATAGTCGACGTATATCCATGCGAGCGCCTCGTTTTCCTTCCTGAGCGTCGATAAATGTTTGATAATGATCGACGAAAGAATGGTTTTGCCGACACCAGGCTCGCCGTAACACCAGAGAAGTCCACCTCCCCCAGCGAGCCACGATTTGAAATTTGGCTCATGTAGGATCCATTCTCCGGTTCCCTCTTGTGCCCGTTCAAGGAGGTTGTCCTGTCTCCCCCAGAAATTCACGCCTGAAAGCCAGGTCATCATTTTGTATTGCTTTTCGGCACGGATCGCTTCCGTGATTTGAGACACATCAACCACATCAACCAACTTCAGCTCCCTCTCTATTGCATGAGAAGGTATGACCCTCAATAAGTCTTTCATGTATGCAGCGGCTGCAGCTGCAGCGTAAGGCTGCCAGACTTTACTCTTATGCGAGTCGGCGTAGTCACAAATGCCTCGGATGACAAGGCATGGAAACGCGTCCATCAACCCCGCGGCTTCCATATCCACACAGATAATACCATCTTTTTGAAGCTTATTGCGAGTAGCAGCGTCCTTAACGACGAGATTTCCAGACCCAATCGTGCCGTAGTGGATGACCGGCTTGTTGTGGGAACGGCTTCGGCGCGGTACACTCTCGGAGCGATCGCAGTGCTGGCAGTCTGTGGCTCTGAGGTGCCAGTATGTAGACTTGAAGAGAATGTCTTGATCCGATCCGGGTCTTCTATATATCGGATGTCTGCTTTCCAGTCCGGACAAGTAGTCTTGACTCTTGCTTCGGTCTTGTAAGCGCTCCGCTTCAAGGCTTTCAATGGCTGCAAGCAAGACGGTAGGAGGTTTCGCCAATGAACCCGTCCGGCAAAACCCCTCGGATGGACTGAGCTTTCCCAAATCGTATTGTATGACACCACCTTTTGTGCCAGTAGGCTTGCTCACAACGATATCTCCGAGGTGTATGTCTAGTTTTCCTTCTTCGTCGGGAAGACCCCCTCCTATGCCTACCAACAAGCCGAACCGGACATAGGGAAAGTCGTTCATCAGCTGCATGCCGACCTGTGCGGCCCGATTGGTACCAATTTCTGGCATAGTTGTAACCACAATATTATGTTCTCCAATTCGTCCGAGTGTGTAACAATTCTGTGCACGCTTCATGGGAAGGGAAGGATGCCTCTCGTCGAGCATTTCGAGGACTGGAGCAAGTTCTTTCCCCATTGGGCAGATACAAGCGACGGTATAGTCGCCATGAGAAAGAGAACGAGGCGACATATTGTATGACAAGGACCATTGACCTCGACGGAACAACAACTATGATAGAGAGGGGAGATGCCAACCTGAAGAGCGCAGAAGAAGCAGTTCCTGCCCCAGCCTTACCGTGTAAACGCAGTTTCAGCCGCAATATGCTGAAAGCACGAAAGCGGTTCGGAATAGCGAGGTGCTTTTGCCAGCGCGAGGTTCCGCTAAGGCAGCTGCTAGTCTTAGTTAGGCTCGATATTCTGAAGTACATAGCGAGCCAGTTAGTCAGTGTAGTCAATTGCGGTCAGATGATAACAAAGGCATATGGAACGCATCCGACGGGCGGGTGTGCTATGTTAATTCAACGAGAGGTTGTTATCTGCCTTGAGTACTTTTGGTTACCGAAGTCTTGGGGCACTGAGTTAGAGAACAGGCGGGTGATGTGATGGCGGCATCACCCTCGTCCCGATCCGGGGCGAGGCGCGAGCAAGTTTTACTCATCTTGGCGGCAGTTACGATCAAACGTCACTTCTTCAGTATTTCTTCTCAATCACCACTCGCAGCTTCATGACTTGTTGACTTTCGCATCAGCATGAGCCATCTAACGACGCTCAATTTCAACAATACTTTCTGGCAAACGGTAGTAGATCGACTGCAGGAAGACACGCCCGGCGACGTTATCTGCGAGTGCTCCAGTGACGGATTCGCCAGCCTCTTCTCTCAGGCTGACGAACAGCTCAGCCTCGCCTACGAAAAATTGCATACCTTCCCTTTTAAAGACGTCAAACCATGTTGGTTCCGGTTGTACACCGACGCCAGTCTTGCCAAAGCCTTGAAGATCATCATGGCTGTTGAGAACGGCTCTAAGAATGCCTTTTCCGGCGAGTCTCTCTCTGACTGTCTCGATGAAGTCGTAACCATTCTAGACATGGCCCTCATCATGGCTGGGGGCCTTGGAAGAGAGGAAATCATACACCAAATGCTAACGGAATTGAAGTCATCATCCGACGCTGGGGAAGATGTTATGGAGCCTCCTTCAAAGAGAAGCCGGCTCGAGAAACTCGGCCGTGACGAGCGCTGCTTACCAGAGACGTTTCCCAACGATGAGATCTCAATCCCTAAGCTCCAATTCCCTGTTCAGCACATGAAGCAACCGTCAATGACAGCCTTTGCAAGATCCATGCAGGAAGATCGCACACCCGTAATTCTGACAGGTGTTTTGGATCATTGGCCAGCCCTTGAAAGATGGAAACATGTTTCGTACTGGCTGGACCAGACATTTGACGGTCGTCGTCTTGTTCCCATTGAAGTTGGCCGAAGCTACACGGATGAAGATTGGGGTCAGAGAATTGTGCCTTTTCGCGATTTTCTCAAAACTTTCATATTGCAACAGCCAGACAGTCCGGCCCATGCTATAGGCATGGAACACACCGAGACTGGGTACCTCGCTCAACACGATCTGCTCAGACAGATACCTGCTCTGCGTGGTGATATCGCTACCCCTGACTATTGCTACCTAGATGCGCCGCCGCCTGACCCTGGCACGCCCCTAGCTTTGAGCAAGGCAAATAAAGGTCTTGCTGACAAAACCAGTCATCCCAGCCTGATCCCGTCCACCACTTCTTCCTCGCACCACCGGAACGACGACGAAGACGACGACGACGACCAAGAGGTGCAGACCAATATATGGTATGGGCCGGCTTGGACCATCTCGCCCCTACACCACGATCCTTACCACAATATTCTCTGCCAGGTCGTCGGCAAGAAGTATGTCAGACTATACTCGCCTCGACATAGTGCGTCCCTCTTCCCACGGCGACAAGACGAGCCTGCTCCGCATCTCGTTCAGTCCAATCGCGACAAGCCCAAAAATGGAGATACGTATAAGCAAGACGTTGAGCGAAAGAGTACTGTTGCAGATGTTCATGGGGAGACGATCGATATGTCAAACACTTCAACAATTGATGTTGCTGCGATGGAGCTCTCTCCGCACGAAGATTGGGATGAGATCTACCCTGATCTCAGTAAAGTGCCTTACGTGGAATGCATACTAGAGGCCGGGCAGGCGCTGTATATACCAATTGGGTGGTGGCATTATGTTCGAAGCTGCTCAGTTGGCATCAGTGTCAGCTTCTGGTGGTAGCTTCAGGGCGTTCTCGATGTCAAAACACTCACAAACTAAAATTTCTTCACCTCTCCGGCTTCATTTTCATGATGGACGTCTTCGAATGGCGCGAGCGGTAGCACTGGGATATACTGCGTTTACCATCCAGTCATCGTTGGACAATGCCAGATCTTTGGCTGCATGAGCTGAATGCCAATTGGTCGCTTAGCCACAGACAGGATCGGGCTTGCACCTCAATCCCCAGTCTGCTTACAGCGGTTGTGTGACTCGGCATCACGCGACAACGCACTCTGACATGCGTGGGGGAGCGTACAGAGAGTGCCATGTGCCTCGAGCGCGACTTGACCTGGGAAGATACGGGCGTTGGTTGGTTGGATCATGGTGATCATGTCGACTTCCATGCTTCCATGCCTCGGTTGCAAATCCCTAAGAAGGAAACGCTCGACCGGCGCTCGACAGGGGTCGTAGTCGTTATCTTTGGCCCTATTAGCTCTTTGTAACATCGTTATCACAGCTATCAGCAGTTTTGCTTTGCCTGGAGTATCTAGTGGTCAAGCCACTGTGCGAAAAGGATGATTATAAAGCCCAGGCTTTGGCCTCGCAGGCGTCAAGACTTTCTCGACCTTTTCTTGAGCTTGTTCGCGGCACAAGCCTTTGCTAAGAGACCTTGATTCACGCCGCCCCGCATTCTGCTCGCTCCGCTGCACGAATCATCCGCGCGCTTCTTGCCAACCATCACTAACAATCTCAGATCATCCAGTATGGTCGATACCGAAAATGCGGGCACTGCAACTCGCAGTATGTCCAAAGATGAGGGCAGGTTGCGGGAGTTGGGATATAAGCAGGAACTTAAGCGCGATTGGTCGCTCATCCACAACTTTGGCGTCTCGTTCAGCATCATCTCGGTCATTACTGGTATTACTACACTCTTCGAGTATGGCTTGACGACGGGTACGACAACCCTTATCAACGATATTTAGCCACCTGGCTCACTGATAATACCTCCAGGCGGACCGGCCGTTATGGCATCAGGCTGGTAAGTCGTGTTGGCAATTGTATTTCAAGCCTCAGGCACTCGGAAGTACTTTTTGAGTCGCTATTGGTGGTTGTGACCTGTCGGCGGTGGCAATGAGAATCACGTAGTCTCGTCCGCGGTCGCCCACAAGTCAAAGGGAACGTATCTTGCACCTCATTGCTCCTGCAACGACTTATTCCTGCGCCATTGTCTTGGAACGTCTTGGACAACATTGCTGACCACCGCACTCGAAGGCTAGTTGTCAGTTTCTTCACGATGTTCGTCGGCCTTGGAATGGCTGAGATCGTGAGCGCCATACCTTCTGCGGGCGGTCCGTACTTTTGGGCAGCGATTTTGGCTCCCAAGAAATGGGCGCCTTTTGCTTCATGGGTGACAGGCATGCGGCTCCTGTCCAAGGCCTAAGCAGTCTATCTAACACTTTTTCTAGGCTGGTTCAATCTCCTTGGGCAGGTTGCTGTGACCACGGGTATTACTTTTGGTTGTGCTGGATTGATCTCAACATTAGCCACCGTCAACGGATATGAGCCGTCTGCCGGGAAGACTCTAGGCATCTATGCCGCACTATTGTTCTCGCACGGCATCGTTAACTCGTTCGGTGTTCACATCTTGCGCTACTTGAACAACACCTCGATCACGCTCCATTCGCTTGGAGTGTTTTCATTTGCGGTGGCAGTCGTGGCGAAAGCTCCTCACCATCAATCTGCCCACGACGTCTTTGCCAAGTTCTACGATGGAACCGGTGATCCAGGCTGGTCTGTCCGAGCTTCTCCTGCCTACGTGGCTTGCATCGGCATCTTGGTAAGTATCTCCACCTCGAAACTGGCCATTCCTGGCTCCACGGCAAGCATTCTCTGACGCCCTACAGATGAGTCAATACACGATTACAGGCTTCGACGCAAGGTATATTGCATTCTAATCACAAGTCGACTTTGCTGGCTAATACTTCTCCAGTGCCCATCTTTCGGAAGAAACTCAAAATGCGTCATGGTCCGCTCCTCTAGGTGTGCTCATGTCAATAGGCTGCTCCGCGTTATTCGGCTGGTTCCTCATCCTCTGCCTCCTGTTCAGCATTCAAGACTTCGATCGAACCGTCGATTCAACCTATGGTCAACCGGTCCTGCAAATTCTGGTCGACATCTTCGGCAAGACAGGCGCTATAGTGCTCTTCACGCTCGTCATCATCTGTGTGTGGCACTGCGGCCTGTTTAGCTTGACCTCCAACTCGCGCATGATGTTTAGCTTCGCACGAGACGGCGGTATCCCCCACTTCTTCCACAAAGTCGACGCCCGATTCAGGAGCCCAATCCGTACCATCTGGCTCGCTGCATTCCTGGCATTCCTCCTGGCCATCCCCAGCGTTGGGTCTTCAGTGGCCTTTGCAGCCGCAACATCCATTGCGACCATCGGTCTCTACATATCCTATGGTCTACCAATCCTAATCGGCATGATCAATCCCGAAGGCTTCATCCACGGTCCATTCAACTTGAAACGGTTTTCGCGGCCTGTTGCTTTGATTGCCTGTGGTTGGATCGGTTTCATCACCATTATTTTCTGCCTGCCGGAGCTCAACCCTGTAGACAGCCAGACACTGAACTATACACCTGTTGCAGTCGGCATCATTGGAGTGTGGTGTCTCGCAAGCTGGGCTTTGTGGGCTCGCAAATGGTTTCGAGGACCCATTCGCCAGATTGAAGCGGAAGTTTCTGGTGTCAATGTCGATGACCCTGCAGCCATGGCACAAGCCGAGCAAGAAGGCCGGATTCCACAAATCGAAGCACTGGAGGAGAGCAAAGAGAAGAGTATGCTGGCTGCTATGAAGCATAACTTCAATTAAGGCCCGTGGAGGCATGCTCAACGCGAATGAGTGCTTGGAGAGATACGTGCCTGGGACTGGTCGATATGCAGATATCCCTGAAGGGAGCAATACTATTGGAAATCAGCACTTTTCACAATGGCAAGCAACTGATTTGCTTTTCCGGAGTCTATTGAGGCCGGACACCTGCTTTCATTGAGTTGCTTTTACTCTACCATCTCACGGTAACCACAGGTGAGAGGCCTAGACTGGCGAACGTTTGGCGCGTCGATTGCTTGCCGGACTTTCTGGAGAGCTGTCGTTACTGCTACCCGCATGTTTGCTCTCAAGAAGTGACGATACGGCCCAGGTTAACTTATCTCCAAGCGACACGACACTCTACTTCTCGCCTGCTTTTCCACGCGGCCTGCGCTACGGCTTACGACTCATGGCTCGCGGAATAGCTCTTATTAAACCCCGACACCTTCCCATTCCAACGTCTCATAGTACTCCTTGCCACCGTCCAGGCCGGTCGAATTGCCAGCCCAGAGCGGATCCGCCAGGTTCCTCGCCTTCGGCCGTGGGCCATTGAGTTTATACCTAACCACGCACTTCCGATCGGGCACGAATGAAATGTCAAGCAACTTGAAGTCCACGAGTGCCTCCGGTCCATACTTGTCCGCAATGAGAGTCTGAATGTCGAGAATACGCTCGCTTAGCCGCGCCGCAACGTCGGAGTCCCAGAATCCTTCGCGCCGCTTGCATCGCTTGAGAAGGTCGATCGCACGCTGACGCAAGGGCATGTTGCTCCCGCGCGTGGCCAGCAGGAACAGCATCGGGACGACACCCAGGGCCAGGGAGTATGTTGGACGGACGACCATCTGTTGCCGTTGCTGGGTGAGGATGCCAGTAGCAAGGGGGCTGTGTGCGGGTGTCGACACGGGTGTGACGAGTTGAGAGGTTTGCTGGATAAACTCCTCGCACGCCTCCAGGCAAGCCCAGAGGCTCGACATGTGTTCATCCAGGACGGCCTCGTCGTTGACTTCGACACGGCGGAGGAAACCCACGAGCACAGCCTGGTAGGCTCTAAGCAGCAGCGCGGAAGGTGGTGTCGTCGACTTAGTCAAAGGCACTGACGGGCCCGCTCCGCCAGCAGAGGAACTCATAGACTCCGGCGTTGATGACGTCGAGCTCTGCGCCTGCTCGGACATGAGCAGCTCAAGTCCTTCACTCCATTTCGTTGCGTACTCCTTGATGCCCGTGAATTCGAGCATAAGGTCATGTCCGACATCTTCAGGTATCGGACCCTGATCGGCAAGCTTATCAGTGCTCTCGGCAAAATCGAACAGCTTAGTCAGAAGGACTTCGATGTGCAGCAAGGCTTCCTCGAACGAGGCAAACCGCTCGGGCATCGAGGGCGCGCCCCATATCACAGCCGGCCGGGGACCCTGAAAATTCGGATCTCCAATCTCGAGCATCTGGCGACCGATGGCGGTGAAGAAGCGCGTCAATTCGTCGCGGGAGATGCGCACGCGCGCTGCTCGACTTGTTGGACCGGACTGGGTCTGATGCTGCTCCTCGGCAAGCATCTTCAAGCCGGAGATCGCATGTTTGCACGCGGTGTGGTAGTTGCCCTGCAGGGACTCGAACGATGAGAACAAGGCGCATGTGACCAAAGCGTAGTCGAAGCTGTGCTCCGCTTGCGTCGGGTTGTTGTTGAGCCGCACCACCTCTCGTATAGCCTTGCCGTAGTGGTCTAGCGCGAAGTCGATTCCCCGCGCAGGCGCGAAGTGATCCACTGCCGCAAAATGTTCGTGCATGCTACTTAGGGCAATCAAGGCATGGCGGACGGACGGATCTTGCTGAGCAAGCGGGAGAATGGTGCCGAGCCAGAAATCCGTTTGGAAGGCACCGGCCAGTTCGAGCGCGGTGCGGTCCTGGAAGAAGCTGAGGGACCGGCGCTCTGACCAGTCGAGGTCAGGATTATGCGAGAGATGATGCTGTCCCTGAGTAGGTGTGTAGACTACGAATTTGAACGCCTCGCCGGGACCGGGTCGGCCAGGGACGTTGGCGTAGCCCTCGCATGCACGGCCGGCTTTGGTACAGCGCGCACAGCGAGGGTGCCCTTCGTCGCACTTTACTCTGCGTCGTCTGGTCTCACTTAGTAAGGACGTAAAATATGTGGGTTGCGACAGAAATAAACGACGTTGTTGAATAAGAACATCAAGCTTCCGTGTGTTGTACAGCGTAAGAGAAGGCAGTGAACACTTACTTGCATGTTATGCATCCAGTACGGACCTTTTCTGTTCCTATTCGGATCATGATGATTTGTATGTATTCATGTATTCAGACGAGAATGCACGTCGGACCAGATGGGACTTGACTTTTCTCGCTGCTCTTGAAAGATCGGAGTCTTCAGCTAAGGCCTTCCATCTGGTTGCGGGACTCTTTAGACAGAGGAGGCACAAGAGCCACTGCGCAATCGTAGTACAGCTCGAAAAGACTCGTTCAACTTCGGCCTTCGTCCTGCAATCATTTCCCCGTGCCTGAGCGCTGTGCAGGGGTTGAAGTCAGTCCGTCTTTGGGGGCTGTTACCGGGAGCTATACCATGTTGAAGATAAACGTCTGCTGTACCTCGCAAAGTCATTTCCCAGAACGGAGGGGTCTGAACCCTGAGAGGCTTGGAAAGCTTGCCTCCCTGGTCGTGGTTAGTCTGCCGTTGTCTGGCTTCATCTACCGTCGCACTGTGGTAAGGTCCATGCCGCAGAAGAGGGCTGCCTGGCTGACTCAGCTTTGAGGTTCCTAAGGCCACCCGCGCCAACCTCAATTCGGTTAGAGCATACGAGATCCTGAGCCAGCGGAGGACTACTGTGGTCACGTGTGTTACAGGCGGCGGGCAGGAACACAGCCCTTCGACAGCTTCGCCCACAAATTCTCCCATCCCCTCATCGAAAGACGAACGAATCTCCTTCCTCCAAGTAAATGGCTTGCATTATAGCTACCATACCACAGAGTCAAGTCAAGGAATCGGGGGTTAGCTATCCCTGCTAGTAGGTATCAACCATGTCTGATCTCCGACTCCGCAGAGTCGCTACTTACTATGTGGATTATCCGTAAATCTGCTGGAGTTGAGGTTGGCGGCAGACCTGCGCCACGTTCATCTCGTAGGGACTAACCTGAAGTTATCGGATGAGTACGTCACTATACGAACGGCTCCAATCTACTTGTAAGTGCGGACCAGTTACCACAAGGCTTTGCTCCTATGGTAGGGATCCTCTACACACCCCAGACACTACCCAAGCAAAAAGGCTCGTATTGACTAACCTGCAATTAATCGATTCTGCCTGCCATGTACGGATATGGAGTACACAATATGGTACCTCAATACCTCCCAGCCCACACGAGTTCGGCGTACCCACAACGCCTCGTACCGTCTACGCCGTATGGAGTAAAGTAAACACTTCTCTGACCTTTCGAATTCGGTCGATTGCTTCAGGCAAATGCGTCTCTGCAGGCGCACCGCCTCGCCGTGACGCATTTCATGCTGTCGAAAACACCAAAACGGTAAGATTGGTACGAGTCAGGAGCAGGTATCTATTTACAGGTACCCGGAACACATTGTGAAGGTGTATATCAACATGCTCTATTCCGGTGCTTTTGACGGATGGTCAATCCCTCCGACAGGAAACACTCATCCATACAAAAGGATTTCCTTTCTTCCAGAATACGTCGAAGCACCCATTCCCAAGACCTCACCTACGAGACATTGACTCGCCCTTCCACTCACTTCCACTTTCTTTTCATTTCGAGTCTCTCACACACACATCCTATCTCATCAACCAAAATGCCCCAGATCGTCTGCCACGCCGGCCTCGGCGAGGACTTCTACTTCGCCTACTGCCCGTCCCTAGTTGCCGCCATCCTGTTCTCCGTCCTCTTCGGCCTAACCACGCTCCTCCACACCGCGCAGGCCATCCACTACCGCAAACGTTTCGCCTTCATCCTCATTATGGGCGGCACGTGGGAAGCGGCAGGCTACATTGTCCGGATCCTGTCCATCTACCGCCAACTCAACAGCACCCTCTACACCATACAAACGCTCCTGATCCTCCTCGCGCCCTTGTGGATCAACGCCTACATCTACATGCTCTTGGGCCGTATGATCCATTTCTTCCTCTCGTCCGACAGCGTCTTCAAGATCAAAGCACGCAGTATCACGCGTATGTTCGTCCTGTTCGACATCACGGCCTTTCTCATCCAGGCCACCGGCGGGACGATGGCGGGCCCGAGTTCGAGCGCGCAAACCCAGAAAATCGGAATGGACGTCTACGTCGGCGGCGTCGGCGTGCAGTTGGGATTTCTCGTTATTTTTGTCAGCCTCGCCGTGCGATTCCAATTGAACCTGAAGAAGCAGTCGCAGTCGCGAAACAGATCCTCCATCACCACGACCTCGAACGTCGCCGGTAGCGGAGAATATGCAGCAGTCGCGAGCGATGCATACAGCTACTACCCAGCTACCGACGAGGAACAAGCGGGACATGAGCCGGGCCTTCAGGGCCCGCACAAAGAAGAAGGCGGCTATCCATACCCCGACCCACGCATCGCCAAGGGGCTGTTGATCACTCTCTACGTCGTAATGACGCTAGTGATCATCCGCAACACGTACCGTCTGGCCGAGTACGCGACGGGCCAGGACAGCGTGACCATCACACACGAGTGGTTCGCGTACGTCTTTGACGCCGTGCCCATGTTCGCGGCAAGCGTCGTTCTCAACGTTTTCAATCCGGGAAAGGTCCTGCAGGGCCCGCGAAGCGATTTCGGAGAGCAAGACAGGGAACGGAAGCAAGTGAAAAAGGATATGAAAGCCGCCAAGAAAGACGCGAAGAAAGCCGGCAAAGGGAAGCAGAAGGGTGATGGGCCGGCTTACGCGCCATTGGAAGGGCGCTGAAGATTTTGCATTCTGACCGTGGAGGAGTCGATGGGTAATGGGTCGGATCTATTGCGAAGCACTTCAGCGAGCATGTGATTGGGATTGGGATTAGAATTGAGAATTGCGCCGAAATGGATCTAGAGAGATACTTGTTCGAACAGCTTCACCTTATGTTCAACGAGCACTCAGCGCGTGTATAGTATATGTGGTTTTCTGTCTCGCGAGATTGTTTTGAAGCAGATTGTGAACGCAATTGGAGTCAGCATCAGGCTGAGAGGATTATGAAGTTTCTGAATAGGTATCCAAGTTTGTACTCGCAGCACCAGTCCATATTTCTTGCATTTCTAAGGCCCCTAGTCGTGTCCAGTTCCGAGATCCCTAGCTCGTCACAGCCATCCAACGTTCCCGTCGAGTATGAACCCGGTCGCGGGTAACCATCCCCACTCATCCTCATCAGGGAGTCCATTTGGAATTTCGCAAGTTGAACCACTGCTGCTTGTTGCGACTGTCCTTGTAGCCTGGAAGACGCTCGCACATACTCTCGTGCCAGGCTCGAACGGCATCGTCATAAGCTTCGAACAACTCCCGACCAGGATTTGCAGGCCGAATTACTCTGGTATGCAAGTTCGTCGGTGCAGCAGGCTCCTTTTTGAGTCGTAACTTCAGTGCTCTCAGAATTCCTCTTGCGACCCCGTGTCGACAGACCGTCCCACTCTCAATCTTTTTGACGTGCTTCTTGCGTCTCTTCTCGGCCTTCTCGGAAGCCCAGGCCGACAGCGACGCTGAGACAGGGACACCGCCATCACCGCCACCGTAGAGGGTCATAGTCGTGAAGGTGGGTTGCTCCTCCGCACTCCCACGCACCAATGTCCTCCTCGTGTGTTTGAGGACTTCCAGGCGAGTGTCCTGCCCTGCCAAATGCTGATGGATAGCAGAGAGCTTTTCATCTCCGACTTCGTCGTCGATATGACCATGCATGACAGGATGCTTTTGCCGAGTTTTGTCGAAATAGTCTTGCTGCACGGTGTTCCGAAGATGTTCAGGCACAACGCAATCGTTGATCAATGGTGCAGTACGCCGTTTTGGTGTCTTCGACGATGAGTTAATATCAGACGGACTTGGCGTGGCTGGTCTCTTGCGAGTCGCGCAGACTTCTTCTGCTTTCCCGTGTCCAGCTTGCGCTTTCCGGGCGGGTGGCAAGAGAGGCTTCTTGAAGACACTCATGCTTGAGGTGAGGTGAGGCGTGCGTCATGGTCAAGATGTAGAATGGCAAGACGAGCCCCGGATAACTATGGCAAGAGGGTGATATGGCGACAGTCTCGAATCCTTTTCGTGTCGTTTGCAGAGTGGAATGAGTCAGAAAAACGTGGCCAGAAGCTGCCATTTATTAGAGAAGTGACTGTGAACTCCTGAAGTAGGCCCTCATGCCGGTTCTCAGGTCCCATTCAAACCGGAAATCTACCAGACTCGAACGCCTTGCTATTCACATAATTGACAAGGGATTTCGCGGACAACAGTATCTTAAAAGACGCTGATGTAATTGCCTATCCTTTCTTTTTGGTTCTGGGCAATGCATTCGGCGATCCAGGTGATGTTGCGGATTTCCTAGTGAAAATGTTAGCTCACAGTCACTGCATTCGTCAATATAGACCAACCTGTTCTCTCAACTTCACCCACGCGTATATGACTGCGTGAGTGAACTGTCGTGTGAATACCATCTTTGACAGCTCCATCTCCTTCTGGTAGAACATGTCTTCCAGTGACTTGGATTCGTTTCCCATCCCTCCAGACATGTTGCCGCCACCAACGCCACCTTGGTTGAAGCCGACCTCATCGAAAAATCGCTTGTAATCACCAACGCCACTAACAGCAAGGCCGACACCCTCCAAATCTTCGGCTCGTGAGAGCATTAGCATGCCTTCTGGGTAGAGCTTGCCGAACTCAGGATACAGCTTTCTACGTTGTTCCTTCGTCAGCTCGGTGCCGAAAGAATTGATGGTGATGTTGATGGCTCGTCTATCTGCTTCGAATTCTAGGATTTCTGACATGATCTCGCCGGTCGGTGTGAAGGCCATCTCCGGGTCATTGTTGACAAAATTGTAGAAGTCTTCAAGGTAATTCTTGTACAGGGTGTTTCGTACGATCTCGATGTTGAGCTCATCCAAATCCTGATGGCTCAGACTGCCTTTGAAGTACGGAGCTAAGGGGGTCTCGATTAGGACCGAGTTATACAGCTCTTCAATGTTGGTGGCCACGCAAAGTACAGGCATCGTCTCGAACCAGCCCAGCGGGTGACACCTCTCCAGCAACTCTTTGGTATCTCGTTCGTGTAGTGTTCCTGTGATTAGAAGTGCGACGTTGTCGATCATGTACGAGTATGTGAGGTATTCCATAAACTTTGCTAATGAGCCCGTTGCTTGGCCTTGAAGGTATCTGAAGTCTGCGACAAGCTTCTCCGTCGTCTTGGATGCAAGAGCGGATGTAGAAGGATTCGGGGGTAGCGACGAGAGAGCCTCGCCATAAGCTGGGCCGAGTTGTGTCTTGACGTCGTCGATGGTTTCGCATTGCGTGAGCTAGAGCGAGTCAATACTATGCACGTTGCTGATGTTCCGAGACCGTACATTGCCATAATTTGTGTTCGTCAGAAGGGTGTTTCGGTATCCGCGCACGATACCCTCCAAATAACCACCATTGACGTTGAACAATAAGCCTGCAGTGGCTCGTTAGATGTATGATTTCCTCGAATCCTAAGGTCGACGTACCCTCCATCTTGCCTGTGCAACTTGTTCCAAAAGCCTTCTTCCAGAGACTTGTACTTAAGATCCGAGCTGAAACAGGGCTGTGTGATATCGACGATGGTGTAGACCTCCTGGTGTATGAAGTGGTGTCGATGAATAGGCAGGCGAATAGACATGATCGGTCATACCAGCTGTCCACCTGTCGCAGCTGCGCCCGCCCGCTATAGTTGCCCTATTGGGAGCTTGGCGCATAGTGGGTTCAGAAAATTGCAGCTTTCACGATTTTTTGGAGACGAGATGAAAGAAGTTCGCTCACAAGACCATTTATTGTCTATCTCTTACCCTCATTACCTGCGTGTAGGGCGCAATATCGAAAATGACACTCCTCATCCTTACCGAGACCGCCGCCGGCTATGCACTGCTCAAAGCAAAAGACAAGAAATTACTCAAGCGAGATGATCTTGCGTCCGAGCTGGAAGGTGTCGAAAATGTTACCTCCGCCCTCAAGCTGAAAGAATTCCAGAAATTTGACAGCGCTGCGGCTGCACTCGAAGAGGCGGCGGCTATTGTGGAAGGAAAAGTCACACCCAAGCTGTCTTCTTTGTTGGACACTTTGAAAGATGAGAAGAAAATTTCTCTGGCCGTCGCAGACCCGAAGTTGGGAAATGCGATCGGAAAGCTTCCTGGTCTTGACATCAAGGCCATTGCCGACTCAGCGACCGCCGACCTCTATCGAGCCATTCGAGAACACCTCCCCTCCCTCATTCCTGGGTTAATGCCGGACGACGTCAAGACCATGTCACTGGGTCTGTCACATTCGCTCGCCCGACACAAGCTGAAGTTCTCTCCTGACAAGATCGACGTGATGATCGTTCAGGCCATTGGACTGCTAGACGATCTGGACAAGGAGCTGAACACATATGCGATGAGAGTCAAAGAGTGGTACGGGTGGCATTTCCCAGAAATGGCTAAGATATTGAACGACAACCTGGCCTACGCAAAAGTCGTGCTGAAGATGGGCATGCGCACGAATTGGGAGAACTGCGATTTAGCCGAGATCCTGCCTGAAGAAATTGAGGCAGCGGTCAAGGCGGCTGCAGACAGGTCTATGGGCACAGAAATCACAGAAGAAGATCTCGAGAACATTCAAAGTCTTGCGGAGCAAGTGGTGCAATTCACCGAATACCGGACACAACTGGCCAGCTACCTGTCTGCACGTATGACAGCCATCGCACCCAACCTTACGACCCTGGTCGGCGAGCTCGTGGGAGCACGATTGATTGCCCATGCAGGCAGCTTACTCAACTTGTCCAAGAGCCCAGCTAGCACGCTACAGATCCTTGGAGCCGAAAAGGCACTTTTCCGGGCACTGAAAACAAAACACGACACTCCTAAATACGGTCTGATTTATCACGCTTCTCTGATCGGACAGGCGTCAGGCAAGAACAAGGGTAAAATGGCCAGAATTCTCGCTGCCAAAGCCGCCCTTGGTCTCAGAGTTGATGCTCTGCAAGAGTGGGGTGAGGATGAGGCCAACATTCCTGAAGACGAGAAAGCGCAGCTTGGTATCGAAGCACGCGCAAATCTCGAGCGGAAGCTGGCCGCCATGGAAGGCAAGCCTCTTAAGCCTAGAGGAGTTGCTATTGGCCCTAATGGAGTTCCGGGCACGACTCAGCCGCAGAAGTGGGAGATCAAGGAAGCTCGAAAGTACAATCCCGATGCAGATGGCCTTGCTGGGGATGAGGCACCAGCCAAACAAGAGAAGAAGTCCAAGAAGGACAAGAAACTCGTCCAAGAGATCCCCGAGGACACAATTATGGAAGACGGCGAAGTTGATGACGAAGAGGACGAGTCCCAGCCCGACGAGCCCATAGATGCTGCCGAAGCTGCCGCCATCAATGGTGTCAACGGCGAGAAGTCTGCAAAGAAGGCCGTCAAGGAGAGGAGGCGTGCGGAAAAGGCAGCTCGGAAAACGGCCAAGAAAGAGAAGAAGGAAGGAAAAGCGGAAACAACTGACGAGACCAAGATTGAGACGTTAGCCGCTCTGTGTGGTCTCAGTGTCGAGAGATACAAGCGAAAGCTTGAGCGAGGAGAGATCGAGTTCACAGAGGACGGCAAGCCAGTTTCAATCTCGAAGAAGGATATTAAGAAGGCGAAGAAGGCCAGTGAGAAGGCAGCAGCTGCTTCGGCCAATGGCGAGGTTGATGGCTCCAAGAAGCGGAAACGGGTAGAGGAAGAGATCGAGCCGGTCAAGTCAGAGAAGAAGAAGAAGAGGAAAGAGAAAGCATGAGCGACTGATCCGACAACTGCTTCTCCTTCTTGACTGTTCGCATCGTTCAATTGCATGGCGTCTGGGGCGGAGTCTGATGGTGGTGGACCAAGGTCTATGAGAAAATGTACAATTTATGGGGGTGCTGAATGGCATAGTGTTGGTTCAGTGTCATCCATGTGCGGCATAATAGTTGCATAGCTGGCAGATATTGCTTGAAACCTACCTTCAAAGGTTCATCTGAAGAAATGTACTCTTTAGTTGCTCAACGTGCACAGCCACGACAGCCTACTGAAGCTGACTGATGTTCCCTTTTCACCGCCTTTCACTATCCGCCCGCGATGTCCGGCAGAATTAATTTTCTGAGTACTCCGCACCCGACTCACCGACAGACTTAGGATCTCGTGTTTACTCACGATTAACCTCGCAATCAAGCACAATGTCTGGACTGCTTATGCTCGTCTACATCTCCAACAGTGCTATTGTCGTCTGCGCATAGTGGATGCCCTGGTGACTTGAGGAAGGCTTGCGACTTGCAGGCGGAAGCTATCCGCAGCATACTCTCCCGAGTTCATCAAGATGAAGGTTAGAATTCCTAGTGGACCGACTCAGGAATGGTCTTTGAAGCCAGAAATACAGAAGCGCTGACTGCCTAACGAATATAGGTTCTTGATCCTCAAGCAGCTCTCCTTACTACTTCGGAAGTGCATCGCTTCTTAGCCAAGAATCCACCACGGCCGTCGCCAAAGAACATTGGGTCTTACCAGTCAGTAAACTTGAAGAACTACGAACGTGTCCGGGAAGATGTATGGAGTGACCTCACCACCGAACGTCTCGGACGGGACTGACTGTCAGGCGTAGTTCCAGCATTATGTGGCGAGCACCGTACCCTACATCGAGAACTTCCCACCTCCCGAGACCTTCGTCAAAGCGGTAGTACCTAAGCTGCGGAACTTTGGTCTGACCAAAGCTGAAGTATTCAACTTGATCAACCTCGGAGTTGGCCTGCCTAGGAATCAATCTGCGTCGAAGTCCGATGCACCCGACGGCGAAATGGATGTCGACGAGGAACAAGCGGCTGAAGATGCCGGAGAGCCAGATGATCGACAGTTATTATCTTTGATCATTGAAGAGCTGGAAGAAAGATTCTCGGGCGAAGAGGGGGAAGCCAAAATTGAGAAAATACTCGCCACCATGCGAACAGAATATGACCGCGCCCAGGTAACGGCCGCAGCCAACGGAGCCAATGGCACGAAACGAACATGAAGCGTTTAGCAGCATACTTCTTTGCTATTCACACAGACACCCAGCTTCCGAGCGTCAACAGCATCCGCCGGTCACTTTCAGACATCCAAGTTCACAGCGACCAGGAACAGGGCAACTGCAAAGGGCCAGCGAAATGGTCCAAGAAAACTCATACCTGGCTGCATTCCAGACACTCATGTGTCACAGAGCTGCGACCAAAGCTGCATTCAGGAGGATGTACTGCATGGTTACCTGGTACCTAAGGTCTTTTTCGAATTTCAGGAGATCGACTGTTTACCGATTGTGAAAGGGGTTAACCTCTTTTGGCTCTAAGAGAGCAAGACAGATCTGTTGGAGAGTGCTGTTGCAGATTTGGAATACTCAGCAGGAGTGCTGCCGTCAATCCTCCAGGAATTATTGCGTCTGAAGCTTCTCGGAAGTGGTGTGCTTGGAGATTGTCAGTCGGCTTGATCTCGACAATCGCTACTGATACGGAGTAGGGGGACTAGTAGGATCGCACTTGGGTGCGGTGCCCTCTCGACTGATGAGAGGGATCTGCATTAGGTCTGGGATATTCCGTACAGGATTGCTGGTTCTTCGCGCCTTTTCAGCCGCAGATTGGGGTCCAAATTAGACAACAAAGGCTTGAGCCCCTGGCCGAGCCTGCAGTGCCCTGCCAATATTTGCTACTGTAGCTTGAAGCACGACATGGTCCTAAGATGTGATGGAATACGAGCGCGTTTAAATTGATCACATGCTAGTCAAACAAAGTCTTTTTCAGGAGGATTCCGTAAGTCTTACCCGGATTCTGCAGCACGAAGTAGCATGTTACACAGCACGGAATCTACTTGCAATGATGACTTGCTTACCTGGTAGTCCTAACATTAAGATACACCTAGGAAACCTTTTTGCATGAAAAGTGCCATACTTTATGCGTTGCTGTACCTCCGTACGGAGTACATACATAGTAGTACCTAGGTACTGTGCACAGTAGTATCAAAGAACGCCAGCCCGGTCGTGATTATAGGATTCAGCTCGGACCAAGGCGTAGTATCTCACCGTGCTCACACCATTCATCAATCTCCACAGCAGCAAAGTCAAGCCACCGCGGTGGTTTCAAGTTGGTGGAATGCTCTCGACTTCCTCATACGAGGTGCTTTGTACTAACTCCTTCGTGTTCCTTCGTGTCCATTCCCATTCATCTTGGCAAGGGTCCAGGACTTTTCCTTTTCTCGCTTATCTGCTTCGTCCGCTCACCTCGTTCACAATACTCCGCAGTCTTCAAAGTATTGGGTCTGTGCCACAAGCCTTGCAAGGCACAGGGCTGAGAGCTGAAGGACCCGGCTCGTGTTTCACAGTATCGGCTCAGGCGATACGCCTCCCGATGAGCACAGAAAGCGTTACGACCTGGAGCTCCCAATGAGAACAGAGCATGCGAGTGATGAGCCTGATGAGACCGACATGCTCCTTCCCGTGGAAGGATCAGACCTTCAAACACATCCCCCCGACCATTTAGGTAAGCTTGGATCAGCGACCGAAAGGGATTGTGCTTGTGCGCCCTCGATATCACCGCACAGACTCTCCGTTCGCGTTTCCTTAAAATAGCATTTCCCATACTCAGTACCATCGTTTTCCTTTCGACTCGTCCTTCTCGTTGGCTTCTCACATTCCTTCATTGCGCATATCTTACCTGTCTCTATTCTGCCATCTCACCTTCTTACAACGCAACACAATGAATCAACAACCACACACCCAAGGTCCAATGGTGGCAGAAAAGCAGTCAGTTGCCGGAGCCCAGGCCTATCCGAACGGCGTACCCTCAAATGGAGCTCCTCACCCGCACTCTCATGGCGCTGGAAAACGCGGAGAATGGTCCTTCGGCCTGTTCGACTGTTGCTCTCCCTTCGGAACATGTAAGGAACTCACCTCAAAGGAGTACTCCACGACGTAATCCTGATCTCTCGCTAGGCTGTCTGTCATTTTGGTGTCCTTGTATTCTCTACGGCAAGACGCACGCCCGGGAGCATGGTGACCCAGATTCAAGCGGCGTTAACTCATCGGTATGTCCTCCAGAATTTGTGCCCGGCTCTTCCATGTTGGACCAATAAGGTCCGCTAACCTCGGCGTAGTGCTGCGCTTGGTACATGTTGTCGTGCTTTGCTGCTCAGGGTATCCTCCAGTGCATGACCCGAGGTTCGATGCGTGAGAGGCATGGTATCGAAGGTGGTGGTTGCGGCGACTTCTGGACATCGTGCTGCTGCACTTGCTGTACATTGATCCAGGAGGAGAAGGAATCGATTGTCCGGAACACTGGGATTGATCCCAAGACAGAACAGCCGTACGTATCTCCAGGGCAGATGAACTACCCTTGAGAGGTGTCTTGGGCGAAGAGACACGTTGTGATGGTGATGGTGATTCTGAAGGAGGAGTTGGTTTCAACGCGTATTTTCATGGATGGCAGCGCGACAAAGGGTCGAAAGGTGATTTCTCTCAAACGTCGCTCGATTTCCAGATTTCGAAATATTTGCCTCTGACTTGAATTGGAAATGATGCTGAACCCTTGAGCTATCGCTATGCATCGTCTCAGCTGCGCTTGCTCTCCTCGAGTTCTTGCACTTTCACATTTCAAAGTTTCGTGGCAGCTTATGCCGCAACAAATTTCGGAATCTACTGTAGTATGTCCCTCGTATGCCCAGCCGCGAGTTTCTGAAATCCTTATTCAAAGACATACATTTGCTACGAGCTGAAGTCCCGGATTTATCTTGTTGGTCACGAAGTACCAGAATCTACTCCGTACAACTCCTCGTATTTCATGCCGTTGCAACACCATTCAACGGCCCTATCAGATATGGGCATCTTGATTCGTCCTGTCCGGCGTAGTCTCCATTACACTCGAAAGGCGACACCGTTGAAGCTTGGAGCAGGTGGTGGAAGTCTATGAGCAAGTCATGTGGAAGAGCGAGAATCGATTGGCAAAAGCTTTCTGACAGACATTGAATTGATCTTCTTCTTTCTTTGTCTCTTTTCCTGAACGTATACACATATCGCCCATCTACTGCTCCTCATCTCCTCATTGACAAGCTATGCCATAATACTTCTCCACTTGATCTCATCCTTCGCCATGCTCATGCCATGAATTGTGAGTAAACTAAAGGCACACGCCCTAAAAAGCGGTCCGATAAACAAAGGCCCAGCTGATGAAGGCGGAAAGATATGATGAGAGAGATATCCGCCTTCTGATGGGGGTATGAACGGCCCATACGAGAGATGACAACAGTGTGCACTGTCCTGCCTTGAGACAATCTCTTCACACTCGTCGAGGCTTATCCACTGGAACTGCCTTCATCCTCGCGCTGCTTTACACATGGATATTGTGTACGTCTCGTTGATGGGATATAAGCTTCGTCTGTGTCTGGGGCTGGCCAGATTGCGTCCTGTTCCTGGTCAGGGCTGGCAGCCTACCCTCATGCGTGTATCCATGGCCCATGCCCTGCGCTCAAGGCTAGTCGGACTCCTCGCTCAAGCTGCCCGATCATGTCATCTGTAGGCGATTCTGGTAGCCACTTTCTACTCTGCTTATGTGATCTGAGGCATCTATTCCGAAAAAGGACCAGGGAAGGAAATGAGGACGTGAGATTCTGTTAGGCTTGTCGCTTCCGTATCGTCGCATCGTGCTCATCTCCATGTCATATCCAGTTCGCGTTTTCCTGCTGCTGGCTCTCCTGTTGGCCAGCAGGCTTTCGTCTTGCTTTTGCGGGATTTTGTTTCACTTTCGAGACAGTGCTGTTGGCCTGACTCTGACTAGCCATAATAGCATCGCCATCGCCATCAGCAAGCTCGTCCTCGGCATCCTCATCCTCCTGCTCTCCAGGAGTCTCCTCCGCCTCTTCATCTGGATCGCCGTCCACCGTTCCCCCATATCTTTCATGCCATAACCTTGCCTCATCTAGCTCGTTAATGTCTGCAGGTTTCGATCGTACCCACTTCATTCTTGGACCACTCTTAGCCCGCTCCGAAACTCGAAAGCCGTAAATCTTCGTTTCGTAAATCTTGCCTTTCCCTAGACCGGGCGCAAGATTATTTGTTGCAATTCCATTGATTGTCGCGGGCTGAGGTGGCAGGGCTGGCTGAGGGTTCGTCACCACGTGTTTATCATCTTTTGCCGGCGTGATTCCTGGAATAGCAGGAGGTTGCGGTAACGTAAGACTCGAGCTTCGACTGGCCGTGATACCTCCACGCGTCGCGTTTGGCTCATTGGGACTTACTACGCTTTCCACGTCATCAATTCCTTGATTCGTTGAGTCTCGTGCTCTCTGTTTTTTGACGGGGGCAATTTCCAGATCTGGATAAGACATCAAAAACAAGTAAGGGAATGTCGTCCCGAAGAATGCTCCGTCAACCGCCTGGAATCGGGAGTTTGGAGGAGTGTAAGCGTCCAAACAACTTGGACAGAACAGCTTGACTGTCTGTTGACCAGGAGTATCTGTCAAGCCCACTGGTAACACTTTCGCGCCAGCACAGTAAACTCGCGGGCAAAACCCAAAATGCGACAGTTCGTACTTTTCCATCATCTGCTGAATACCCGGTCTTGATGTGATGTACCGAGCGTGAATCAGGCCATACAGAAGTTCTGCAGAGGACTCGATTACCGATGTGTCAGAGGACGAGCGACCATGCCGTCTACCGCCAGCTGGAACACCTGATTGTCGCCTTGCACCACCATTCGCAGCTGGCTCGTCCAGTTCGTCCCCCAATAAGCCGTCATCCTCCTCTTCTTCCTCTTCGTCCTCCTCTTCGGACAGCGCCGAGGAATTTGTATCTGAAGGTTCAACATCAAGAATCATTTCCAGGGCATCCTTGTACATTGGTACTTGTGCTTGAAGACCTGTGAGGTTGAAATCATCTTCAATAAAGTCCTCGCTAACTTCCGCAAAGTACTCGTGACCCACAAGGCTGCAAAATTGGCCGATCCAGCTGTCTGGACTTTGAGACGAGGATTGCGACATGTCTGAGATCGTGGCAGAGGAACTGGTAAATTGCTGGTAGTAAAGAGATTCAGAGTACTCGGAATCGATTTCGAGCCTGTCCAGGCCGGCGGCCAGAACGGAGATTGGTTCTGCAGACAGATTGGCAGAGCTGTTACCTGCGCAATGTCGAGGCGCAGTTGTTCGCTGAAAGAGGTATTATCGTACCAGCAAGGTGGGCGGACAGAGATGTGGATGGCGCGGGGTGGAGGGGTTTAGAGTAGGTGTTGAATCGTAGCAGTGCGCTCAAGGCATACAGCCGTTCAACACTTTTCTTCTGACGAAAATTGAAGTAGGTCTCGGTAGCAGAACGCTGCGAGATCGAGGGGACTCTCGGGCCAGGAGGGGAATTGGACGCTTGGGTACTGTAGGCTGCACTTGGACAGTCACCGTGGGTCGACGGGCTATGAACTGAGCAGCACTACCAATAAAGACCCCGTGGCAGTTTCACTCAGGGAGCGAGGTCTCTTGGGAGGAGAACGCGGATCGGGTGCGTATGAGTGAAGAGATAAGTGTATTCAATTGAACATCTGAGACCCAGCGAAACTGACGATACTGGCGGTCGCAGGCGCAAGGCGCGATTCATTCTTGGCACAGATCACGTGTACCATCATATATGTCGAGAATTGATGCCATAGACACCATAGAGTACCTACCTAGCTGCGTCTTCACAACCACTGTATCAACACCATCTCTAGCTACCCATATTTCCGTCAAAAAGGCGTCTGACTGCTTCTAGATCAAAAGTGATGTCCGTCCAAGCATGTACACGTATTTTTCATTGCTCGTCAGCAGGCTAACCAACTGGCTCAATGCTCTTCCAACTCGCAAATTGCAGGCCTAGAACAACTCATTCATTATCCTCGACAATTCAGGCTCGTTTCCAAACACATTGAACCCTTCTCCAAGGCTCATATCGCCATTTGCACCCACAAAGCTGAACACATCAGGCCCAGGTGTCGTCGCGCCATATCCACCAGCAAGTTCAAACAGACTCGACAACTCATTCGTGATCTGCAACGCATCATTAGGGCTCACTCCGAGCTCTGCGCCTTGCTGAGTCGGGTTCTGATTCCCGTAGGCGGCATACTCGACCTTATGTCCAGCCAACCCAGCCATAGCCACGGCCGCATCGGAATGAGCATCTTGCTCGGAATCATTCGCGGCACTGCCTCCTCGCGCTAGCAGGCCAATCTTATCACCCATCTCTTTTAGACCACGAATAGTCCTCCATAACCGCTTAGACACATGGGACTTGGTGCTAAAGCCCTTGACCATTTCGATCGCAGCATAGAACTCCGATCTGGTCTGTGAACAGAACACCGCGGGAGCATGTGCTACAGACAGGAAGAGCACCGCCAACGCCTGCACCAAGAAGTAATTGTACATGACTTGTTGTGTTTTGTAGATGTCTGAGATCTGGTTGACGCCGGTCAGAGTGTTGACAGTGTCTTTGGCAACGTCAACAACGTTCTGAGAGTAGTGTCTGTTCTCGATGATACTGGTTGCAGAGTGAAGAATCGGTCGGTAAATCGATATCCGTGCTTGATTCTTGCGCAGATACATCAGCAGCCGGAGTCGGCGCATACCGCGTCCAGGGATTTCGTTCTCGGCAGCGAGGTCTCGGCTGTTGAATTGCAATGAATCAGGAAGTTGCTGATACCACTGCAGGATCTGATAATCGAGAAAGCCGATCTCGTCTTTCTTGGTGTTCTGTCCGGCTTCGTATGCGAGATTGTGGTACCATACTTTAGTTGCTATCTGGTTATATTTGGTGATGTGCTTCAGATAGACATGGTTCTCGTCCTGTTACGCAACGTCAGTCAGACACCGATGAAAGCCACAGGACAGTACACACAGGTTCAGGCAAGTTGGGATCAATATCAGCATCCTGCAACGCAAATGGCATTCCAGTACCAAAGCTCCACCGTCGGTCGAGAGCATACACTGTCCAGAAAATCCGAACAGTCTGCTGGTATTCGGCTTCATTGGTGAAGGATTTGAGTAGAGAATCTTTTCGGTGCAGTCCCATTTCAATGCACATACGCGCGGCGATACCAATAAACCGCCACGCTTGTGCCTCCTCGTCTTTCTGGAAATAGAAGGTAGCCTGGAGACTGGGTCAGCGGCCGGAAGGCTATCGTTCCTGTCCATCAAGGAGATACACTTACCGTCAAGACGACCAAGACGACCGACTTCGTATCAAGCGCCGTCACCAACTTCAAATCAACCGCGGGTTTCGCCGCATCGAAGAACCTTTGCCCAAACTCACTCCGGCCATGGCCCTCAACCGTCAGTGTGATAGCAAGTATCATCTTCAACACAGTAGTCTCCTCGTCATCAATTGCATCTGCGCCAGGCAACGTCGGTTGGCCGAAACCCACTCGCAATGACGCCTGGATGAACTTGTACAGTGAATTGGCATGCTTCATGACCTTCTCAATATCCACTACGGGATACACAATCCCGATCTCCTCCTCATACACTCTCAACAGGCGAATGACCTCTGAATGTTCGATCAACCACAAGGGGTCCTTACTAGGGTGCGGTGTGGGCGCCATGGCGACTGGTGACGCGGCACGGCTGCGTTCGCGCGATACCAACCCATCGTCGGGCGCATTTTGTGTTATACCCATCGTTTGCAGCGAGGACCGTGCAACGTCCAAGCCATACAGCGTACTCGTGGGCCCGTGAAACTGAGGCAGAGGCTTTGAGGGCTGTCTCTTCGGCGAGATGAGTGGAGGGAGGGTGCGCGACATGGACATCGACAGCGAACGGTTTGAGGCATCTTGTGTAAATTGAGGGTCGATGGGAGCAGAGTAGATGGCGTCAGGTCTGTTTCGGAGTTCATCCAGACTGGTGTAGAGATCGTTGACTTGTTCTTGGAGCACAGTGATGTGGTCCTGCATCTGCTTGAATTCCCTGGTTCTGTCAGTAAAGGACTATGCGGACTATGGAGCACGTACGCCGAGTCCTTGAGAGAATTGGTGCAGCAGTTAGGCGCATAAACGCAGTCGAGCGAGAGGTTGCCGCATCGCTGACACGGCGTCTGGCCATTGCATTTGATCTTCCGCCGTTTGCATTCATTGCTACACCAGGAGCTGCGCGTCAGCAAATAGGGTAGTCGAGCGCAGCAGTCAATGTAAAGAAGTGAGGATTTACCAAGCGATTGAGATATATCTATTCCTCTTTGATCGAGTATGGGTTTGCCTGTCGCTGCCCAGATCACCATCGACCTTGCGCTTCTCCCCATGGGCACTGCCATTGAGCTGAGGCGAGCCATCGGAGCCAGTCACGCTGGAGACCATATTGTGAGAATCCTGAATTAGGCAGTCTGGAGTAGGCCGTGGCAGACGTGGAGTGATTTTGCGGAGGGAATGGAATATTTCCGCAAGACGAGCGATAGAAGAGAGAGCGTGGGCAGCGGAACTGGAGGAGGAGGGGAAGTCACTACTAGTAATTGGTGCGAACTACCTAACTACGAGTAGGCTGATGACCGGAACCCAGACATGGGGATTGGTCACACCCCAGGCGAGCCAGGCTATGAGTACGGGGTACTTGGTGCACCATCCAGGCATCGCCGAGGAACATACCTGCTACTATCGTTACGCAGGTCCAGGTACCTCAGGTAAGACAGTCAATACCTCTTCCGCGATTTTCCGTCCCGAGGACTACCATCTCGGGAACTTGTGGGCCACCGTACAACATACACAGTCCTTGTGCATTTGTACCTAGGTAAGGAAGCAGTACAAGACATATCCACGAAATACTATCCTTTACGTCCAGCCACACTTTCGAGAAGGATTGTTGCACCTGAAGACAGATACGGGCATAAAGTACAAACCTTGGCTCAAACAGGAGAGACTCGGATAGTGAAAGAACCTTGGTATCCTACTCGTCTTACAGCGACCCTGTCTGTCTCAGAAGAAGTTGTCTCCAATCCTTCTTGCAATGCCGTAGTGGCAATGCGGCGCTCGTCTACCGCTCCGAAACAAGGAGGTATCTGGGTGATTTTGTTTCCGCTCCCAAGGAGTACATTGACTTAAAATATGGCCAACGAATACCCCAGTAGCGAGGGCATTAGCGAGGACATTGCCGCTGCAGTGATTAGGAGATTGTGTGAACATCAACCTCTTTTGTGTTGGCAGATTTCCAAGATCCTGAAGGACCTAGGAGTTGTTCCGGAGAGTCTGGACCATGACAACCAGGGTCGGGCATCCAGGCCAAGCTGCAAGGAAGTCTCGTCGAGTGTCGAGCCGTGAAGCCACCCGTGTAGATCATGGAAAACACACGTGTCCACGCGGCTAGTCGACGTGACTTCTTGCATTGACGAGAATGCAGGATCCATCCCAACGCTGGCTGCAGAATGGATGTGGATCGTCAGACACCTTCGCAGTCCAGAGGTCACATCATTTCACAGACACATTGGCAGATTGAAATTCTAGGGCCACCAGCGTGAAGACCTTCAGAAGATCTTCAGCCTGAGTTTCCAACCTCCTTCCAAGTCCGGGCAATGCGTTTCTCCGTCTCGAGTTCGTATTTGCGGACCTCAGTGCTCATCTCCTTCGACTGTTGCGTCCAAATGACGGATAAGGGCATTCATGATCGGAGTGTGTGCGTGTTCGCTTCGTGTTCCCACCCTGTCCAAGGGACGCGGGTCCGCTCTGTTGAGTCTCGAACAGAGAGGAGTATGGACTGTGCTGATCCCTTCAGGCTCCGTACGGCCGGGTCAAGTCAACCTCGCTATTGCTTGTCGAAGGATCATTTCACATATGACAGGGCAGTTGTGGATGCACCTCCCTGCCTTTGCAGCAGCCCTAGCCTTACCAGCAGGTGCAGGGGCCAAGATCCAGGCTTCTACATCTGTGTCAAGTCAGCAGTCGGCCATAGGTTCCTAATGGTGGTGGTGGGAGCCCGCCGGAGGTTGTAGGCAATAGCCATCCAGATTCGATGCCGTGCTCTCGAGCTGATTATTATGTCAGACAGAGACAAGCATTATCTCGCTCAAAGGGTCAGCCCCCGGTATATTGGAGCCCCGAAGTAATCCAAGGTACTGTGTGCGGTGGTTGCAATTCGTTGATCAGGCTACTGTGACCACCCATCCCTGGCAATAGTAGACCCAGAATCCTTCAAAGCATAGATACAAGCTCCCCAGAACCCGAAACAGGCAGTGGGTGCAATAAATCTTCCGGACACGAGGTGAGATGCCTTCGCAAAGATATCCATGCTGATACGAGGGTGCAAAGCAGCAAGAAGAACCTCGTATCGAAGTCCTACTCACCGACATCATCACGATGGGGTCTCATTGCGAGTATGAACTTCCCTTGATGTTGACCGTCGTAATAGCCGCCCCAACCCGAATGTGAAGCCCATACAATCTCGTGTCGTCCCCACTGGTGATAATGAGTCGTGATGCTTGTAGCTGGCAGTCCAAGCCAGCTGGACCAGTGGTCTTCGGTGGTTTTGCGGTGTGGTTTCGATGCGAACTGGCCTGACAGTTCACACGGGCCGGTATCGACCCAATGCTAGCATTCCCAGACCCATGATGCTGTGGAATCAGCTCCAGACGCGAAACACGATTTCCATAGTGTCGTACGCCAGTGTCACTGCTCCGGGCACGTCGCCGAAGCAGACTCAACTTCGTCGAGGTTAGAAATTGCCAAATTAGTTATGTCAGCTAGCAGGCATCTGGCGTTTGCGATGTCGATGCCATAATAAATCGGGAATGATCTTAGGCACATAATACTAGGGGCTGAGCCACGTCGGAACACAAGAAGCTCGGGCGCAAGATGACGGGAAAGAGCAGGGCTGACTGGAGGACACCATATCACTGTAGTGATTAGGAAGCCATGCTGGCCCTTGCTGGAAATCAGTGCACAATTCCGAGTATACATCATGTCTGTCTGCCCAATTAGAGTTGAAGTTGTTTTGCAAAAGTCGTTACGCACAGTTTCTGGTGGTGAAAATGGTCACGACCAGGGTCCAGGGTATTAGAAATTCGGCCCTTGTGCCGGAGATCTTCTTAATGGAGCCTTGACCAGGGGCGCAAGGCACAGTTCTTGCTGTGTGGGCTACGCTAAAGAACGAACAAATTAGGAGCTTGCAGCCTGCTGCCCAAAAGGAGATAGACTGTGCTTGACGATAATGGGAAGGTGGTGCGTGGGTGTTTGTGTATGGCGTAGCTGGCAAGCTGGGAACCGACAGAAGGACCGACATTCAGTAGCGACGTAACAGGGGGCCTTAATCAAAGTGGAAATAGCTACTGTATTCGAAACGAGTGACTGAGGCTTCCAAATTCCGGAGTCATCAAGCAGTGCCCGTCAAGTATTCCACGGCCATGAAAGTTGCTCTATATGCAGAGCTATTGAGAGAGATGTACTATGACAGAAACCTTTATTGTTTGGAATCCAGACACAGTACTGCTGCGTGTGCTGCCCAATTGATTGCATCTGTACAGGGAAATAACGGTTCGGTTGACTGATAGATCGAGCATGGGTCAAGAAGGGAGCGGAAATGGTGATATTTTTGGCGAAAGTTCTTTGTAAGCTGTGTGGAAACGGCGCTGCAGGGCTGGGCAATCTTGGCCACTGGCTACCAACGGTAGGACGAACCTCTCCATAGCTGGTCCTCCGCTGAGTGGCCGATATTAGCCTAGTGGGCTCGCTGGCAAAATGCCATAAACATGCTGGTGCATTTCTAGTGCGACAACTCCCATCTGCGCTTATTGATCCTACCGTCCTTTTGTGCGCTGGCTTGCTCTTAGGGCTGAACGGGATACTGGCGTCACAATTGGCGGAAAAGGCCCTGGCGCGGTGGCACCAGGATGGTGCCGCTTTCCCAGAATTGGAAAATGGGAATGCAGAAGCGAGATCGGGGCCAGGATCCAAGGGTATGTTTTTTCTGGCCTCGTTCGATGATCCATCATGCGTTATTAGCATTGATAGCCAATGACAATTCCCAGGGGCCCAGGTCGGGGACCTTTGGTACGTCGTAGTATGTACTATGGTACTTGTATAAGCCACACCTGTCACCGGAACATTAGCTGCGGCTGGGGCGTATGCACAGAACGAGCACGACCTTCTTTTCGAGTCTCTCTTGGCTTCACCTGACGACATCCTGGCCAAAGCCAATAGTAGTAATGCAGCATAGGCGCTGGTGGCCTACGGCCGAATTCTGTGTCCTGTTGTGATTCTCGTGTTGATGTTCCCGGATTATTTGAGAGCTACCACAAGGTGACACATCTCGCCAGCGCAGCTTGTCCGGAGACCATTACCGAAAACTGTACCTAGCACAGGAGGTGGGATGAGTGAGAAAGCAACTGAAAGATTGAAACTCCACAGGTTCTGACCACCTCGACTATCACCATATGACAGGTCGACTCTCTGAAGCTGTCGACAACTCTTCAAAGCCTGACTACTATCGTCTCAGATGTTGTCCTTTTGGTGAGGGTGCATACAGCGGGCCCACACTAACTTACCTACAATATGGTCCCCAGCTTATGGGAAACTAGTCAGTCGGTGGCCAAGATGCTCGTGTTCTTGATGGGTGGTTCCATCTCTAGAATGGGAAGCCTGGTTCTGGGCACCGCAACAGCGTGACCTGCCTACCGCCGGAGGCGGTTGTGAAATGTGTTGGCGCTTTCCTTGCCAGCAAATTTTAGCCAGTGAAGCGTGGCTCAGGGGCAGGAGGAATGTCTTGGAACCTCGAATTTGAAATCGCGGCTCTGGGCAAAACATTCTGGAATATAGCTGCATTGCAGCCCTACGGGCGCAGCCACAAGTCTTCCAAACATGGCACGGAAGGATGCCGTAGACCAACTAGAGTGGCTGGCCTATTAGTGCGGATCCTTGCCTAGATTCTGGGTTTCCGCTTCTCGAAGGGGATGAGAACAGCCATGACACGAGTGCCAGGGATCCAATGTTCACCGAAACAACCGCCCAAGATGTGACCTGATTATGCAATGCAATACTACCAGACATCAGATTCCAGATCGTGGGTGGCCGGAGAAAGTTGAAACTGCATAAAGATGATAAAAGATGAGGTAGACTAGTTTGGGAGAATTTTTGCGAGCGACCCGAATTGGGATATTCACAGTGCACAGCCGCAGCGAAACTCTACACAGTTAGTATAGCTGTATCCATAAAGTGAGGGGGGGAGATCATGAGTATCATGGGTACCTCTGGGGGCCGAAATAGAACCCGTAGCGGTGGTATGGCGTGCTGACATAAGTTTGACAGATGGCGTAGTGCAATGATCTCCATTGTCTCCATCCCAAGCTTCCAAGGGCTTGATCCCGAGGAAGTGGAGGAGTCCATTACTCATGCTTGGGTTCAGGCATACCATCAAGACATGCAGAATCGTCGTCATGGCAGGACTTTACATCGGCGCAGACCACCTAGGTACCAGTGGTGCTCAAGGTTTCTAAGCACCGAGCATGACCAAGACGGCGATCTTAAATCAGAAATTGTAATCGCCGGTAGAGGCACATCAAGGCATCCAGAACGGCGGCCATAAGGTTCTGCCGAGGCTGCGGACTTTGCCGGATATGGTGCTCAACTGGGTTGCTAGACAGATCATGAGGCATATTGGCAATTGGCGGAGACAGAATCTCGTTCCTTTGCAGCCTGTACACCCTGTATTGGTTCCGATGGAGATACGCACGAAACACTTTCGAGCTTATCGTCCTCGCTTGGGGGAGAGGTCATCACCTTGGGACTACCTTCTCACAAGCACATTCATGTCCTTTTGCCGAGTAGCCATTTTGTCCCCGATATGTCATCAAGGGGGCCGGACATGAACGATGGAGGAACCGTAGGCTTTGATGTATGGAGTACCACAAAATGATATCCATGATTACGGAATACCCGCGTGGTAGGATGGGTGACCTGAAGAGGGTCTGCTGGGCGAGCTGGGTGGCTTCTGCTTAGGGCTGTGGATGCCAAGCTCGTTCTCTAGCGCCTCGTTGGCGTTTCAAATCATACCAAACAAGCAAGAGGTGGACGAGGGAAAGACGTAGAGGCTGGCAGTGAGGACGAATCGAGGAACGTTATCGAGAGATTGGGCTAGGAAGGGCGGGAACTGAGCGAGTTGAATGAATCCGTGGCCGAGTCAGGACGAGTTGATGCGATGGGGTGGATAGATGACAATGACGATGATGGATAGCAGAAGAGCACGGAGTAAATGGTAATGTCTAATGTCTAATGTCGGTTATGCAAGACGACAAAGTGATGGTACTACTGTACACAGTATGGAGTGGGAGCAACAGAGAGGCGGACGGACACTTGCGGGATGAGTCGAGTCGCTGCTTGATGCAGCGATCAGACCGCCCTTCGGTTCAGGGCAGCAAGCCACTAAATTGTATGGGGTTAGGCAGTTGGCAGGGGCGCAGCGCCTTACGACGTTACAGTGCCCTCTGGGTGCCTCTGTTGTTCGTGATTTCACGCCCAAAATGCATCCTCCCACCACTATTTCCGTCCTTACCCGGCTCCTCGTTCGCAGGCCCCCTGTTCATCCTTCGACCTGGACCCGCTGTTACCGTCTGCCAGGGCCGCCGTCTCTGTCCCTTGTCCGCTGCTGGGGCGGTCAACAACGTTCCCTGCCTCTGCTCGAATCCACTTCGTATTCCCCTTGTGCTTCCCCCGCCGGCCGCGTCGCAGGGCGATGATGGAGGGTCTGAGTTTGGACATGTGGTCCAACGCTCGTGGTTACCACCCCGGTTGGCCTTTTGCATTCGGGTTCCTTCATGCCTCCGAGCCCACGGCTGTTTCTGCCTATCACTCATTGGGACAAGCGGTATTCGTCTTTCCAGGCAGTTACCTGACTTATATATCTAGGCACTTCACGTTCGGCCTCCCGTTGACCTGTTCCTCTGTGATTCGACTACAATTTTCTTGGACCAAGGAATCCTCTTAAGGCCCTGAACCACCCTCGTCTGCCCTTCGTCTGGAACATCCTTCTGTTCTCCTCAACATCCATCGCCCTGACCACCCCATTATATCACCAGCGCCTTTAGTAAATCTTGATATCCCTCTCGCCGTCGCCATGCAAAGGAGTCAGAGTTACTCCTATCCTCAGACCATGGTTGGACATTCTAGATATGCTTCTACGCATGCCACCAGCTCTGCCTTCAGCGCATCTGCCAACCCCAATGAAGACTGGACCAAAATCTCCGATCTAGCAGAGAGAAGACGGATCCAGAACCGGATCGCTCAGGTATGTACTGTGGGACCTTTCAGCATTCGAGTTCTGACGGGTGCTACAGCGAAACTACCGCAAGAAGCTCAAGAGGAGACTTGAAGACCTGGAGCGTCGTGCGGGCTCTTCCTCGGCTTCTCCTGAGCAATCCCATGCAGAGCTGGCGACGACCGCTCCCGCCAAAGAGTCCAAGCAGTCTCCAAGTATGGCACGTCAGGCATCGCGCTCTAGTACTTCGCACGAGACACAGCGAGCATCGCCGGACATTCTACCTTTAGACGACCCTTCTTCATTATTTGACACCCCTGCCGCTCGACATCTCTCGGTCAACTCGGCCTCAGCGTTTACATTCTCCAGCTACCCTCCTACGACGGCATATCTGCAGTACGAACAGCAGCAGCAATCCCTCTACGACGGCACGCCCAGCTACTACTCCACCTATCAATACCCTGTCGATGTCACGGCTTCCAGCTTGCCTCCGACGCTTCCAGCGATGCTGCCTTCCTCCTACGGAAAGCAAGACCACATTTTCGGAGACGACGACCTCCTGAGTCCATTCAGCATGAACTATGCCTCTCTAGCGGGTCTAGAGATGCCCTCTCATCAGGCATATACGGGGGCCAATTCTCATGTAAATCCCACCGCTTTCTTCTCCCGTTCATATTCCAGCCCGCACTTTTGAGCAACAGCAAGAAAGAGCGCCCGGAATCCTCCCCAACCTCGACTTTCACTTCGCAGCTCAAATGCTGACCTCTTCTGGCCAGACTCCGCCGCTCACAGATCCATACTCTATCGACTCGGCACATAATTCGCCCAACTACTTTGATGTGCCGCTTACTCCGATATCAAGGACGGCAAGCCCAAACTTTCAGTTGTTCGACATCAGCTGCTTATGATACTTCGACATCGCGGCCGTTGGCCCAGTTTTCTCATGTATCACCGACGTCTTCAGAGCAGCTACTAGTAGGCAGCGTGTACAGCCGGCACCTCCTAGGAAGTTGACGAGACTGTCTCGAAGCATGCGTGTCGGACCAAGCAAAAAGTTGCATTCTTACGATTTGTTATGACTGGAAAGGCTGGACGTTGGGAAGGGATCCCTTAGACTGGCAAGCGAGCTCTTCATTGAGCAATGAGATGTATTTTCCAAGGCCCACGAAGTGCCTGCTATCTGATGCATTGGGACCATACCGATTTAGCGATGGACACGGGAGGACAAGCGTTGCTGATTTCATTTATTGGCTTGCAAAGGGAGTCGCTTCTGGACTCAGTTCGCTGGGAGGGATTGATGGGATTCGTTAGAAGTCCAGTTCCAATCAAACAATGAAATGCGTATTTGCAGCAGTCAAAAGAATCTTGCCCCTGTCCTTGAATGTAACTCTGATAGATGGCTCGAAGTCCGTTGCATCTCACGCCGCCACCTGTAGCAGCCTGCATTTCAGCTGGTAGGGCTGAAGAACGGGTGTGAACGAGGCGGCTTTCAGAGTTGCAGCAGCCACCCGTCAACTTGGCTGCTTGAGGATTAGCTTATACCGTGCGTAGAAAGAGCTGTCACCAGTGGCAGTGGCAGTGGCTCCTCAACATCGCGAATCGTCATCACTCTACCGTCTACCGCAAGGTAACTACTGGTTAGCCTCTATCGATAATTCCAATTTGATTACTCCGTAAGAAGCCTGCCAGGTATGCATTTGGACTTCCATCTGGAGTCCGTTGCGCGCTTCTCACAAACGTCTGGTGCGACAGGGAGGAAGAGAAGGAGTGTCTAGAATCAAGGGCTATTCCAGGGACTGCAGGTGGACCAGCAGTAAGATCAAATCGAATTCCCAATTCCCTAATTGCGGCTACTAGGCTATGGACTACATGGCTCAGCGTCAAGTGCTTTTTGGCTTGGATATGTAAGCTGTTGTTATTTTCGATCCTGGGCCAGCCACTGCCAGCCTCGGCCTTGGTAATACTGGATTCACTGGATTGACTGGACTATCCCGTGGCGCAATCTCCCCCATTAGCAACACTCGTCCACACCCTGACTGACGGCGTTAGGGGCTGGGACGTCGACCGATGGACTTCGAGTGATGATAGAGTGAGAGGTGGGAAATCACAGGTACCTACAGACATCTTTCCTGGTTCTCACAGCTGATGGAGAGTCCCCGGCCTCTCAGAGCTGCACGACCACTTGTTCTGTGGCTAATCTGATTGACTTTGTCTCACAGTCCTATCTTCAATCGAGCGGTTCCGGCATATCTTTCCATGGTCATCTCGACATCGACACTCTGGGCGGGGCTGGCTTTGCCTCCCAACGAACTGCTGGTGATGATCGACGCTGGGACCTTTCCTCTTTTGCAGGCATTGAGCTCTCGATCGACCCCTTGCAGTCCGACAACAACCTCTACACTTTGATCTTCAAAGATCACACTTTGCCTCCCAATCCAGAAAACGGTCGTGAACAGTCTACTGTCTCATGGGAGTACGACTTCTCCAAGTCAAATTGCCATGTCCAGCCAGGTGCCGGTTCCTCCTCTGCCTCCGTCTTCATACCTTGGGACCACTTCAGGCCCACCTACCGTGGCAATCCGTGCAGCGATACGAGGTATTTGAACTTGAGCGGCATCAAGAGAATCAGCATCATGATCCGAAGGTGCGCTGGTTGGGCCGGTTGAAATTATTGGCAAGAGCTGACAGAACACGGTAGTTTCTTCGGCTCCCAACAAGGGGATTTCGACCTGCACATCAACTCCCTCGCTGCCTGCTCCCTGCCGGACACCACGGAGTTGTCCACACAGTCACCTACCACAAAGTCTGAACTCCATCGTGACGCCACACACGACGAAAGAGCAGGAAGCGAACAAGGAGAGCTACGGGAAACTGGGCTGACAGCAATATGGAAATGGCTCTGCGGCAAGCTGTGACTCGAGCGGTGGATCGTACCTCCACTATCACGCCCTCGAATTCCTTCCCCAGCAGAACATGCGGCGAGCACGTTTGCCTCCTCCTTCGGAGTTCCCCATCGAGTCGCCCACTTGGACTACGAGCAACGGTGACGCCAGTCAACCAGCGAGACCTCTCAGGCACCCAGTTCCACGGTGGCGAAGCGACTCTGTCAATCAGAATCGTGGAAGAACAAGCGAACACACCACAACCGCTTCTTACCCAATGGGACTGGCGGTCAAGGCAGTCTTGAACATCGAATACGACGTGGCTGAGTAAGGTCATCATCCTCCGTTTGCGAAGATATGGCAGCAAAAGGACATACCAGTCTCAACACCGTTCGAAATGTGGCATGAGAACATGGAAGTCGATTCGGTGAACCATGATATGAAGTTAACTAAGGTTTTTCCAGAGTTGCATGCGATATTCAGCCTTCCACGGGTGTCACAGGGGCTTCGTTCCACGATACCGAGAAGGGAATTTAGCAGCGAACACTCATAGGCTGGGCATATCAGGTTACACATGCAGGACATACGCTTGTGGCTTTGCGACCGTGCTTATTTGAAAAGCACAATCCTTTGGAGTGGCTGTGATCTTGTCAAGAAGTGACATTAGTAATAGCTCCCAAATAAGCGGTTCGCTAGCGAGCCACTGTCTTGAAGTCCTCGACCTCGAAGGTATTATCACACTTATGTCCGCCGCTGCGGAGGAACCTGGAGATAGGCCACTATGATACAAGAAAGGGGCACCATGCAGATGCATATAAATGCCTCAAGGCTCTCGGCTGAGAGATATGATGACAAACGTGGACACCAATGCGCAGGCAACACAGGAAGCTGCGTGCATAACGTCGCAATCTTCCATCACTGCGGACCAGAGTCGACAATGTCGAGTCATGGCCGATCTAGGGCCTAAGGACGCTCGCATTCTGAATTCCCTTCTTCGGAAGTCGACGGCAGGCTGCGTATATCAGGAAGGTGAAGTGACTTCAAGATCCGATGCATAACTCATAAGGCCAACCTTCTGCCTCGGTCTAGACATGATTCGCTCAGCAACTCATGTAATCACACGGTGCGACCGACCTAGTATCATTACAGTACGAAACACATACGACACCACGAGAAACGACAGGGATCATCGGCCACACAAACCCGGTGCTTGGAAATGCCAATGCTCGCCTTTGATCAAGGGCTTTCCATTTATTGTGTGCACTCTTCGGCGCAAGGGACACGCGAGACCTGGAAGGCTATATCGGCATCGACGTCACACCTAAATCCGCAGCACAAGGCCGATTGCTCGATGACTACCAGGTATGCAGTATCTCCTCAGGTGACTCTCGACCGAGACCTCGAAAGCTTTCCAACGGAGCCTCATTCGACTAGCCGCCGCCTGAAAGGGTTTGATTTCTGCTCTCGTTCAAGCAACATTTGTCACTGGCGAGTTTCCTGGCGAAGCGACGCTAAAGCCGCTAAATTCGCGAAACCTGCGGAAATTCGTGGCGTATAGATCGATCGACTTGATCGCTAAGTGCTACCATCACCTTTATTTTCTTTTTTTTCTTCGCCCGTCTTCTCGTCTCGCTGTCTGTGTCACGCGCAGACTTCAAATCCAGAAGCTCTCCGGCAATCCGCCTGGAGAGGCGCAAACTTCGGACCTTCTGGAAGACGCTCCCAACTTTTGGGCCTAACCCTGGGCTGAGATGCAGCCAAGTGCACCAACCGGGCTCTGCTCGATCTAGGGCACCCGGAATACGACGAATGCGCACGTATTGGATAAAATGGTCTCTTGCAGGTGGCCTCGAGGCCCGCTTCACACGCCGGATCGAAATGCTCAGTCGGTCATGAAATGAACGACCATACTACGTATGCGGTGTCTTATTATCCGAGCGCGGAGGAATGACGCCTCCGATGGCCCAGGGCTCCTATTTGTACATTTCCGGGGCCCCCTAAAACAGCCAGTGACATTCTCAATCCGACCGCCAATTGCAAGTCGACTTTTCCAGACGATCCTCTCACAGCATCTGTCATCCAGGTGGCCTTAGCGTCGGGGCGTTCTCTCAAGCATCTGACGTGTGCACTATGAATCGACGTCCTCGCACAAGAACCGGTCGAACATATAAGCCAAAAATTGATTTCTTGCCGAAAACGAGAACGTCCGTCGAGGAAATGCTCAACGCTACGGCCACTCATTTTCCCGTGGTATTTTCCCGGGGTTTTCTGCTTGTCGAAACTGTTGCCAGAAATGGTTTCCTGATAAGGTTACTGTCGCGACGGCTGAAACAAGGCCCTCGTTCCGCAGAATTGCCCCATCGGAGCGCGGCGGGTAGGATGTCGTGGATGTCACAGCAAAAATCGCAATGGTTCCCCAGAAGGGGACGCACGCTGAGGCGTGCCACTTGTTACTGGTGACATCCAATCGCTCATGGTGGCACAGCGAGAGAGACACGTCACAGCGACCATTTCAGTGCTGCCGTCTCGTCTCGGCACAGGTCAAGCAGTATTGCTCGCGAAGATGTTGGCCTCGTTCGCGTCGCGTCCCCAGTGATGCCGAAGGGCGGGCGGGGGGCCTTTTCTGTTGCGATGGTTTGTGCTTCTCGCGGCTTCCTCCCTCAAAAGCAGCCTGACACCAAAGTCGATTGGGTAATTCACGCTTCTTTGGGATAGGTTCCGGCTGCCGGACAGTGCCGGCCGGCTACAATGGAATCTTTGGAGCGCCGATGATCGATCCAAGTACTCCATAGGTAAGTTGAAACAAATGCCCGATATAGCGAGTCAACGCCTGTCACCCAGCCTGTCTTCATCTGGTTCCTCTCGCGTGACCTCCTAGTACCATCGTACTATGCGACTACGGAGTATAGTAGATCAAGACAATACTATTTCTTGCTGCCTAGCACAAACTCTTCTTCGTTTTCGGCCGCCCCATTCTTCCATGGACCGAGTCCTCGTAAAACGGTTGGAAGATCGAGATCGGAACGGGAAATGGTGAAGGCCTGACCACACCTCGAGTTACTGTGCTGGGGGATTTGGAATATCCTCGTACCCGAAGCCTTGGCCGACATGGCGTCAGTCACCCATCAATGGTCAGTGGTCGGTTGTCCGCCAAGGTCCGGGTACTACTATGCCCAGTAGTACTGTATGCCTTCTGGGTGCCTTCCAAAGGCTTGCCCATTTAGCGTCAGTTATGTGGTCCGGTCGCAACCATGGTCTTCTCTGGGCTGCAAATGCGCCAGCCAGCCCTAAGGCCTCCGGGTGCATGCATGCATGCAGCTCGCAGGGCTCTTCTATTCTGTTTTCCGCCTTTTCGTGTTGTGTGTTGTTCAGCTCAGCCCATGTTCCTCCGTTTCCGTGGGCTTCCAGAAATACCACTGGAACAGCAACATGAATCGACAACCATGACTACGTATGCTCAGCTACTTCGTATGCCGGAGAAGGCTTGCTTGAGTTTCGGTGCGGCGTCGTGCCCAGAGCTGAATAACTACCTTACTAGTAGGCCGTAGTTTGTCTTGACCACGCATGACCCCTCCCAAAAGACGAATATTAAGCCTGATGGCAAGTCGATGCCTAACCGAGCGGCCAAAAACACGGGGACCGACAACCCATTTGATGATTGAATCTAAGGCAAGAGTACTGCACATACCTACTGCACAGTACTCCTGTCGATCGGCACCTCGGAAAGCTCTGTCTGTGTTTGTCTCTGTTTGACCTTGTGGCTCGAACTTGACTTTCGGCAGCTACTACAAGCAGGTAGACTGACTCGATATACTTACGTCGCATCTTTCAGGTAGGTGCTCGTCGCCAAAAGCTCGGCAGCCATCCGAACACCATGTCTAGACTGCAACAGCTGCATTTGACAAGCCATTGGCAAGGCAAACAAAACACGACATTGCGACAGTGAGACGTCGCTAGCTCATGATGCACTGGCCTTATTGCTAATTCGTACCCGTTGATTGCTAGTCCGACCTGAAAGCTATTGGCCAGACTCTTCACCAGGCAACAATCCAACAATCCAAGAGAATAATGGCGACACCTTTTCGAAGACCACAGTCCACGACGTCCTTCAAATGGGCTCCCTCCCGCTTAGGTATAATCATGTCCGATCTAAGCTTTCGAGTCCATTCCACTGCAAAACACTCCTAGCACGCGCTATCAAGCAGTATCGCACTCGAAAGCTATGGAGCAGAACGCTTCTATTTCTCCAGCTTCGTCAGATTTCCCATAAAGGTGGAGCCCTACCTAACTACCACGGGACTACTATTATCTACTCTCCCATACATCATTGGCAAACAAGGATTCTGCGCCTCTACCCAGGCACTTTCGAAGAGCCGCTGAAGTGCGACATAAAAGTCGCTACTTTGATCCAGGCAGAGGGTGTTGTGCTTGATGAGAGCACAGAGAATGTGGCGGATCACGCCTTATCTTATAGTTGGGGACAAGGTGCCCTCGTCAAAGCCATCCAATGTGGGAATACTACAGTTGCGATCTCTTTCGATCTCTTTCGATCTCTACTCAGCCCTACGCCGTCTACGGCATACCACGACACCTCGCGACCTATGGGTCGACGCACTATGCACCTATTCGTGTCGAACCGCAATGAAACACCTCAGAATTCTGAGGGTTGCACCTCTGTTTTGTGAGGGGGTTAATTTACTGAGCATCACACAAAGGCGGCATAATCTGGCCCCTTGTAGGATCTGTTAAACCTGCCTCTTAAGCAGATATCTGTTTCTGATAAACGTCCGTGAACTTGCTGATCCATGCTAGAACGCTGCTGCCCAAAAGATTGATAGCTTCGGAGGGCTCCGCGCTGCCCGCCTTATCGGCCCGGACGGCTGTCAGCCAAAGGGAACGTGCTCAACCTCCCTTATGCATGACGAATCAGGGATCGTTTGCTGCGTTCTACTTGGTAAGTCTTTGTGTTCTGGTGTCAGCCCGCACGTCGTTAGTACGTTCGTGGCTGTAAAGCTGTGGGTGAAGCTTTATGCGAGGGTTGTGTGTCACGGCAATTGCCGCATTTGCTCAATGCTGGGATGTTACTGCCGCGAAAACGGACCAATATGGTGCGAAGCAGAAAGAGTTGCTTAGCGCCCGGTAGCGATGGTGCATGGCGACAAGGGTGACATTTGTGTAGGTATCGTCAGGATAGATCCCCATGATTGTAACGCACATTTCATGGGATGCAAAAGTCTGCTTGCGTTGGATATGCTCCCAATACTGGCCGAAACTGGGAATGTTTGACGGCTATCGATGATGCAGTGCGATTCGGTAAGTTTGAGAGTCGGTATGTCAAGAATCTTTCAGGACTTGTGTTAGTGGCGGCGTAGATGAAATGGCTGAACGTACAAGATTGATCGGGTGGATGACCAAACTTCACCAAAGTTTGCCGCCAGTTAGGCCGTGTCATCACTAGCAGTCGTTATCATATCAAAACGCTCGACAGATCCTCGAGTTGAGTGGCAATGGGCCCTCTGTTTGGAGCTGGTGTAAGGTTTGTTGCATCGGCCAGTCTGTCCTGTTTGTTCTATCGGGAGAATGCCATCCGCGATATATACCATGACCCTGTGGTGGTGGCGGCGGCGGCGGCGTCGTCGTCCTGACACCACTGAGACGCAAAACGAGACAAGGAAAGGAGCGTTCCGACACTGACCACGCGCCGGGAGCAACAGGGATGTCTCAAGAGTCGGTGAGGTGCTTCGAGGAGACTCTTTGCGTAAAACAGCTGATGTTTTGCGGTGCTCCGCAAATACACTGGTGGTATGGTGTATAGAAATTCACCCTCGAGAATTTGATGATCATACATGCGCCCACCCGTTCGATACAAGAACTTGCATTTCGTTGATCAAGCAATGGGCGCCCGGTTCTTGGTGTTTTGGTGTTTCTCGTTCCCAGGCGTGAAGTCTATCAAGAACAATCCTCTTCTTGAACCAGGTCGTAGTAGTATATCGCAATAAACGATTCTTCCATATTCCCCAGCTAAATTCACTCATTGTCAGCCAAGAAAAGTCTCTATGTACGGCTTCATATGCAGGCTCGCTATAGCCAACTCGCACATCAGGATTAAGCCATACACCTTTGGAGGCGGTAAGCGGATTATCTGCGTGAACAAGGCAACACTCGGAGCCCTCGACGTGTCTCTCTGCAAGGCCGTCCGAGATGCCTCTGAATTCGAGGGGGGAGTCTAGATCATAGAAAGGAGTCGCGTCCATCATGACCATACCATTCCAGCAACTACTCAAAGGTACAGGGCGGTTCTCGATGACCGCCTGTCGCGACGCGCGAGATCTGAAGTAGGGCCATGTTTGCATCACAGGCTCCTCGCCATCAGAATCACGAAGCGCAAACGTATCATAATAGTGAGGAGGCTTCGCAAAGTCTAGGGCGCAAGCAGCTGCATAGCTACCACCATTCGTGTTCAGGAGTTTTCGATAGTCATCAATCTGAATCGCATCAATGTCCGCAAGATAGTGAGGAAAATCTGCTTGGCCGACCTTAAAGACGACATCATTGAGGAAGAGAACATAAGCAAACTTTATGCCAGACTTCTCCAAATTGTGAAGCGGTTTCAGCGACAAATTCCGCAATTTCGACAGGTATGGAATTCTCTTCAATTCTTTCTTGCCACGGGGTGTGTCAATCCAACCAGATGCTGTAGGGGGTTTCCCTATCTCATCGATGTGCGTTGTCTCATCCAAGATGATTGTTTTAGATACCCCAAGTCGTCCCAACTCAAAGTCGAGCTCTCTCAACGCACCCTTGGTGTCATCCCAGCTGCCGCTCTCATATATGGATATGTAGATGTTTTCAACGCCAATTTCTTGCACAAGTTCGAGTACAGCCGCGTTCCAATGACCCCTTATGATAGCCTCATTGTTCCAGTGCGTACTGGCAAGGAAGATCTGTTGTCGTCCGAATTGAGGCGAGAGGCTCGAATCAAGAGAGGAAAGGAAAGTCTGGTGGAGGTAGAATATTTCCAAGAGGCTCGCCAACGCGCAGAAGGCGAGGAACAACTTTAGGCGCAGCCTGGACATGCGGCGGAACCGCAACAGCATACTGTTCTCTTTGAGCGTATCCTGGGAAACCTTGCCTCATTATCACCGAGAACAAGTGAAGAAACTTCAACCCCAACTGTTGGCACAGGCTGCAGAAGGATAACCGTACGAACAGAATACCGTGGGATACAACAATAAAGTTTGAATAGCCCATGTGACTGCCAAGATATAACTTTTGCGGACAAAGGATTCGCCGCCGAGGCCGACATTAACTTGACCTAGCCCGCTCTTTCGTCAACATCATGTCGATGTGCAATAATCAGATGGATGCTGACGAGAAAAGCATCCAAATACGGCATATGATGACGATTTTTGAGAAGGCAGAAACAGTTGTGGCGTGGATTGGCGAGTCAACCCCTCAGAATCAGCGTGCCTTTAGCCTGATGCAGACAGTTGCGAAAGGGGAGGAGTCCGATGCGAGGGCACTACTATCCAGTGAATAATCGGCTCAGTTACTGAGCATCGAGCTCAGGCGGCTCTATTTGTCCGTTTGGCTCACCAGGACATGGGTGCGACAGGAAATCTTCGCTGCACGGAAGCTTCTTGTTGTTTGTGGAGCCAGCATCATCGACTGGGACGGCTTCAGAACATCAGCCGTTGGTATCAAACCCTTCTTGCCATTATTGTCAACAAATTCGACAACGAAACTACCTGTCTGGCACTATGCTAGCCAACCCAAAAGGCCGGCGCCTTCTGAGCCGTCCCAAAGTTAATGTGCTTGAGGTGCTACGGGACTCTTCTCGTTTCGACGTCACGGATGAGAGAGATCGGCTATATGGAGTTATCGGTTTGCGGATTGGGCAGATTATGCAAACCCCGGCAAACTTGTTCAGACTAGAGTTTAACAAGAGACTTGTGGAACTGGTAGATGAGTCGACGAGCGAGAGCATCTCGATTAAAGAGAAATATCTAACAAGTGAAAAGACTTGGTGTAATGCCTTGCAGACAGTTCCCAATCTGCAGGAGAATGACGTCTGTGTCCATCTCGCAGGATCGTATTGCCAGCATATCCTTCGTCCGCTACTCGCACCCGCACCCGAAGGCAAATTTATGCTACCTTCCACGATCGAAATTCTCCACTCTACGACGCAGAATCTTGACCTGATTGTTTCTGAAGAGAAAGGTCCCTTGGAGGAATTCATTCTTGTATGACCAAGTCAAAGTCGATCTATCCCAGCACGGGACTCTGACTGCAAACTGCAAACCCGGCATACTCGCCAGGCGCTGGCGAGGACTGAGGGAAACACGAACGGACACCCGGTGGAAGGAGCTGCTACAAGTTGTAAGTAGTACTGTCCTGAAGAGTAGGTGCTAGTAGGTACTTGTTCGGTTCGTGTCCACCGTCTGTGGCTACCCTTACTATTAGTAATAGGCTCCTTGAGCTTGAGCTTGAACATTAGGACCGCGCAGCAGCGCAGCGTTGCGTGCCATGTCCGGTCCCCTTGCAACACAGGGGGTTACGATGCATAAGGCATGAGGCCCGGCATTCCTTCAATCGTTGGACCCTGGACCCCTGGTGTGGAAGCAAGGCAGACCGGTAAAGGTAAGGTAAGGGAAGCGGAGCAACAGCACAGCACAGCCTAACTCGACGCGTCGCTCCGAAGAAGGCCTGATATACACTACAGGAAGGTGCCTAGCGTTCGAGCGAGTTGTGAAATGTGGAATCGGCGTGCCCTGGTAAGATCTTCACTGGGGGGTTGGGCGGAAGCAAGATGACTGTTTACCTAGCTACATACCTGAGAAGGCTGGCACGGCTGGGCCGGTATGATCGAGAGTGGAAGGGGACACTACCTAGGTATCCTTGGGTAAGGCGAGTCGAAGATGATGAACATGGACTTGCTACTGGCGGAATGGCACCTGTAAGTAGTAGTACTGAGCGGGGAACCACTATACAGTACCAGTCTCCATGGATGACATGCTTCTCCTAAGGAGAAGAAGGAACTGTGAAAGTGGCACGGATGATACAAGAGAAATCGAAGTTCACGGCACAAACCTGTCTTCAGAGACATTCGAAGAGCATATTTCAACACTCGTTTTGAGGCTTCTTTGTCCTTCAAACAGGAGGCAAGTCTATCGGCCGCCTATATGCAACGCGTGTAATACACCGAATTCTGCTTCATGCTCAAATATGCAATTCTGACATTGTTCCTTCACCATCTCTTCTGTCTATCAACAATAGTAGCTGTTCAAGGAATCTTCACACTCCAAGGATGAGCCTCATCACCGTACTGAATGGCTTCAATCCATCCTTTCATTTTGGAGGCGACCTCGCCCGCCTCTTCGGTGGGCTTGAGTCCACAATCCAGCATGCGGTCTTTCCACGCAATCTTCCTTACTGGCGCGACAATGGCAGCCGTGCCAGCCCCAAAGACCTCAATCAGTCGTCCTTCCGCCTCTGCATCTGCGAGCTCCTGCATCTTGACATAGCGCTCAATGACCTTCCACCCTTCAGGCTCGAGTCTCTCTCGTGCAAGGGCAAGCACAGAATCTCGCGTCACACCTTCCAAAATGGTACCATCGAGGGGCGCTGTAAGCAGCTCTTTCTGCCCTGTCTCTTTGTTCTTTATGCACACAAACAAATTCATGGTACCGACCTCAGTGATTAACTGCTCCGGCCCGAACAGCCATAAATTCTGATGTAGACCTTTTTTTGCAGCTTTCAGTTGCGGTACAATGCACGGCGCGTAGTTTGCGCCGAGTTTCTTGTCGCCAACACCTCCAGGCCAGGCACGGACAGCGTAGTCGGTGGCTTCCAGCGAAATCGCCTTGAACCCTGTGGGGTAGTATGGGCCGACTGGCGATGCGATCACGTATAGCAGAGCTGAACCTGGCGGACCGACACCTAGCGTTCGCTGCGTACCAATAAGTGTAGGTCGGAGGTACAATGAGTAACCCTTTTCTGACGAGATGAACCGCTCGTCTAGCCGGCACAGTTTGCCGATCAAATCTATCAATTTCTGGCCGTCAAATGTGGGTAGGGCGATGCGTGCGGCGGATTTGTTCATGCGTGCCATGTTTTTGTCCGGTCGGAAGAGGCGCAGAGAATTGTCCTTTTCGCACTTGTAAGCTTTCATGCCTTCAAAGCACTCGAACGCGTAGTGGAAGACGCAGGTCGCGGGATCGAGGGAGAGGTTTTGATAGGGTGTCATTCGAGGGGCAAGCCAGCCTTGTGCGGCCGTCCATTCGATCGAGAGCATGTGGTCTGCGTGCACTCGTTAGTATGACGGCTCTCGGACATCGGTGGGTGGTACTCACCGGTAAATGTTCTCCCAAAGACAAGATCTTGATTCGACACGAGGGCTTTGGGAGTAATTGTTTCGGTGACTTCAAGGCGGGACGGGTCAATTCCCGGGAGTTTAGAGTGCAGGTCATCGTCGATAGTGAGCTCTTCTAGCCTTGCGCGGGATGTTGAGAAAGTCTTGTATACGGGTAGGAGCCGTAATGAAGCTGGGGAGAGTGTTGATTTTGTGAGACTGCGTGCGCAGGGCGTGCGCAATAGCCGAGGAAGAGACATTGTGATTATCTCTGGAGCATAAAGGAAGGAAGAGAGGAGATGGCTGTGGTATGCTGGAGCAGGGTGAGTTATTGTAAGTACCAGCCGAGTCACTGCAGGGACATTGTCAGTAGAAGGGCGCCAGTAACATGCAAGACCAAGTTGATTGTCAGCGATTGATATCTCGAGAGTCGAAGGGAGATACCTCACAAAATCGTCCCCGGAAATCGGAGGTCGGCGCTTGGCAGGAACGACCGAGAATAACCGTCATTGACCTTTATTAAGCACGATCAATGTACCTCGGAGTCCTTCAGCTGTCCCCGGACTGACTCCCTTTGAACTTTTGATATACAGTATGACAGCGGCCGAAGCACTTTGAAGCTCTCGCGCCGGCAAACAGAAGCAGCTGATCGTCCCGCTCTTGTGAGTATATGGACGTCGATAGATTACAAACACAGTATCGTAAGAGAATGGCGCAGACAGTTCAAGATCAATTAACATTATACACTTGTCGTGTTATGTGGATATCCTGTACAGTGAGGCGAATTGAAGCCGCTGTTTGTCCTCAATCCTGCAGACTTTTAGAGCTTTTCCCGCCGTCTTGGCTGTTGAACTGCCTTCTTTGGCTATTCGTGTCGGAGCGGATGACCAGCTTCCAATTGGGCATCTTGACAGTGGAGAAAGAGTCAGCTATCGATCACTTATCTTGTGTGCAATGAAAACAACGAAGGACTCGGTGCGAATTACACGGACTTACCAGTCAACTCATTCCTCGCCTTGACCTTCATCTTGGCATCAGGGTCCTCAAAAGCAACAGTTGGCGTCAATGCGATTCGAATGGCGGCTTGGTCATGACCAAGAGGAGCGTCATAATCAATGGTGAACACGGACACCGAGCCGTAGCAGCCTTTGTCTACGACATCAGTCTCGCCGGGTAAGGCACAGTTGCCGTTGATACAGCGATTGATTGCGTCGGTCAGCTTGTTCCCATACGTGAAGAGGCCAGATGTCGCATTGTACACAGCGTTGTCAGTGAAAGCGCCTCCGTTGAGTCGGGTCTGGATAAGTGGTGGTGCCACGCACGATGTGTTGGTTAAGGAAGTGATGAACGGGGTGTTCACGCTGCAAGTTGCTGATCAGTATCTGATAGTGGCGCTTCCAGAATGAAACAGAACTCACCTGAGCCCATAGCCAAGCGGCATCAACCGCTGCCCGGGTGCCGAGCCGTTGATCAAGGCATTGACAACATTGACAGCCAGTTGAGCTTGGATTGTTGCAGGATCGGGATAGCCAGAGGGAGTGGTCGCGTTGATCCAAGTGTACGAGCGCTGTTCGCTGTTGCCTCCAGAAAAGGCGATTGCAGGTAAATTTCGTCCGACAGCTGAATACGTCCCACCCATCGTTCCTGACAGAGTGTAGAGAAACGGTCCCAGATTCGTACCGAAGTTCGGTCCACCAACATAGAGATCAACGCTTCTGTTGGCGTAGTAATTGGGAATGACATAATCTAGGCCAACGAATGTGCATGCTGCTGGAGTACCATTGTAGTACCAGACATCTGGGTCGCTTGGGTCACGCCCAAGCGAGGGAGCACCGGCTGGAATAATGCCAAACTCCGATGGTTCCTGCAGGGTGTTGGAGCTCGTAAACACCGATCGACCACCTTGACCACTTTCATTGTCGACTGGGCCGACGACCACGACTTGGTGGCCTTCAGCCTTCAACAGGCGGTAGAACTCGCGCAATTGAGCACTTGCGAAGCCGTCATCGTTGCCCATCAGGATATTGAGGGCCGACGAGTTGCCAATACAGCTGCAGGCCGCGAAAGCTGCGGACAGTACTGAGTATCTCATTTTGCTTCGAACTGTGGCCGTAGACCTTCGGGGTCTCGGCTTCTGTGAACAAGCGGGTGCCTCTTCGAAAGGTTGGAGAAGTGAAAATAAGCTAGAGGCTCACATAGCTTTATGTCTTTAAGGGACACGAAGCTTTGCGGCCGTTGCCAGAAGTCTTGGTAGACAGGGATTGAGCTCTCCGGAGGCTGCATATCTCGTCATACTGGTCGCTGGCCAAGATTATACAGTGGTATCCGAGGCGTCGTCTTGCCTATCACATGCCCAAAGTAGGGTTAGCCTTACCCAGCACAAAGCGAAGCACGCGGGTAGATGATTGGCTTTGATAAGCAATTCGACCAATTGAGACGGGAACAAGCAGGTCCTCAAATCCAGGAACAGGAATAATCTGCTGCGGACAATTTGCCGGTAGCCCGCATCTCCAGGCACGTCGTCGATGCAATCTCGTGGCATTCGTTGTGTCACTAATCACCGTCCTAAGCTCGACACACGGCTACTTGGTAGGCGAGTCTTGCAATATGCGAGCATCGAGTAAGTATCTGCATTGAAGATCAACCGGACGCGAAACCGATACATCGGCGGCTAGTCTAAAGTAACGACTCGTATTTGTCCAGCCCGGTCTTCGTCGGTTGCGATGGTGATTGCAGATTGGGTTGTGGTTGTAAGACATTCATCGGTGCGCCAAACGCAGGAGGCGAGGTCATTCCAATATTGTAGTTTGGCTGTTGCCTCTGTTGCCAGCTCTGTGGGCTAGTCTGTGGCGGAGGGGCTATGCCTGGTGTGAAAGCCGTGTTCTGGCCGCTTCTCGAACCTGGTGGGGGTGGGAGCTGCCAGGAACTGTTCGAAGATGCTGGTGGCGGAGATATGGGATTCGCAGGCCTTGACACATAGCTAGATGCTTGCAAGACTTGCGACTGGCTCTGCATGCTCATGGGAGGTTGCGAAGCAGCTGCCCAGGCGGAGGCGGAAGATTGTTGCTGGGGTTGCAAGCTTGGAAAAGCTGGCATGCCAACATCTGGTGTGATCGAGCGAGACGTGGGTTGTGGTTGCAATGCTGGTAGTGACGAAATAGTCTGGTGGAATGTAGGACCCTTACTCTGTGCAGACGATGAAGACCATGAGAAGGATGGTGGGTTTGGGGTCAGTCTCTCCCCTTCGGATAAAGCACCAGCGAAGACGTCGTTCTTTCCAGCATTCTTGTTTCCGAGCACTAGCTTTTCGAAATCCTCTTCAGGACCGTTTACCTGACCGCCACGTTGAGTCCCATTACTAGTGGTTGTATGTGGTATTGATGCTGCGCGAGTCTCTACCGGTCGGCTGGAGGACAGCTCCTGCAGTTTGCGAATTTGCTCACGTTCGATCTTAGCTGATAGCTCCTTAATGACATCCATGAACGCCTTGAACTGAGACAGCTCCAGCAAAGGACCAAGGCAGAAGCTCCACAGGATTGGCAGTACCTCGATGGCCAAGAAATCGGTGTCAGCAACGGTACCAATCTGCCGAAAGACCTTCAGAGCAGCCATCATGACACCTGGCTCTTTTGTCTTGATAGCCTTCAGCAAAGGCACCACCTTTTCTTGCATGGTGAATTTGTCGAGACTCGAAACGTTCTTGTCAGGCTTTTCTAGTTGCGTCGAGCCACTGAAATCATCGTCATTTGCGTTCATATTGCGAGGGGAGACCCCACACAGGACTCCCAGCGCTTCAAGGCCACGGACCTTGATGGCGAGACTACTTGTTTTGCTGAAGACGCTCGCCACCACTGGGAAGAGGTCGTGCTTGACTGTTGAGAAGTCAATCAACGGCAACACAACTGATAAACTCTGTAGAGCGGCATCGGTAATAGAATGCGTCGAAGACTCCATTGCAACATGAATGATCGGGAGGACGTCATCTTTAAACTGCCTGGCAGAACAATTGTCGGCTATGAGCTGGATATTGTTCAGCACTGCCAGCAATGCGGCCTCCTTGCTGCTATCGCGCTCCTCGGACTTGGATTTCGAGAGGAAGATCTCTCTCATGCGTGGAAGAATCTTGTCCGACACAACTTCTTTGCTAGAGGGAATGACCTTGATTATCTGGAAGATATTCTGCATGATCAAGGGCAGCAGGTCCCTGTCCTTCATCTCGTCCAAGAGGACGCTCAGAATCTTTTTGCCTAGGACGGATGGGGGAAATTGAGGCATCACTCGACCGAGTCCTTTCATGAATTGTGACTTCTCTGCAGGCGTTTTCGCTGGGAAGGCATCCAAGAATCTCATGGTGTTGACCAGTATATTATCGAAATATTCAGATTGCTGAAACTCGGCTGCGGTAAGCCGCTGAGTAGGCCTTCTGGCCAACATCCTTGGCAGGGTAACGTTGAGTTCTCTGGGTAATGCTCCTTCTGAAAGATAATTGTTGGCGCTTGAGGGAACGTTAGAAGCATTGCTGAAGATCTTCTTGTAGGTTGACTGGTTTCCATGAACCTCAATTGGCGAACGATGAGGCTTTCTATAGCAGGCCAAGATTACAAGGCCCAGGGAGAAGATGTCCGCTGAGAAGTTGATGTTTGAATCGAGCACGAAATCAGGAGAAGTGTAGTCGAGATCGAGCTGGACGATTCGAGGTATCCGAGAATCATGGTAGAGGACCTCCGAAAGGGAGATTTGAGGCACTGTCTGGTGTCCTACTGCTCCGTCTGGCGGGCCTGCAAACCCTAGCCCAGAGATCTTCCAATCAGACTTTGCGTTGATCATGATCGTGTCAGGAGTCAAGTTCCCATGCACTAATTTCGCCGAGTCGTGTAAAAATTCCAGGCCCTTGGCGACTTGCAGAAGTCCCTTCTGAACCTCCAGCTCATCGAGCTCGACATCCTGAGAAGCCCGGGAAGCAATTACATCATCAGACGGAGATCTTGAGAAGCCGCGGCCACTTCTGCCTTCACCCCGATCCTTCTGGGCCAGAGCAGCAGACAGGGAGCACAAGATGGGTTCAGTCGCAAACATGAGACCACCACTCCGCGTTTCTTCCAATGGCTCCACGAGTTGCAGAACCGAAGGATGTCGCAGACGTGCAAGGCTGCTAGCCTCCTTCTTCAGGCGCTCTACCACTTCATCCTGGATTTTGCGGATGGAGGTAGAACTGGTAGCACGCGCTCCGAATCCACCACTGTTGACATCTAGGGATTTTCGGTCAAAGACAAATACGGACGCCGGAGCGCCTGTACTCTTCTTCTTAGCATCGAAGACGGTCCATGTTCCGACAGTGGCCGAGGATTGCTTGGAGATTTCGTAGTTTGAGCTGATGTTGGATGTGAAGGACTTGAAAGCGGATGAAAACATTGCCGCCTAGTTTATCGTCTTCAAGTCCGGAAGCATGAGGGTCAGTCAGAACTCTTGGATGGTCATCAATGACACTATCAGATGGGAATGGTGGGCTCTTTCAGCCGTTCAGCTCTCAGTGTCGATGAGTAGGGAGATATCGAAACGCTGATAATCTTTAACATAGGCTTGGAAGAGCCATTTTGCTCAACATGCCAAGTACTTCGCCGCAGGCCGCTCGTCATACCTGCCAATTTCGAACCGCAGCCTCGCGACCTCGTAGCCTCGTGGTGTAGTCACTATACCGTAGTAGTCACCGAGGGTGGTACTTGTCCTGTGCCTGATACTCTTCTCTTCCGCATGCCACCTTCATTGCAGCCAAGTCTATCCCTTCAAAAGTTCGCTCGTAGGCTTTCTCAGCTTGCTTCACAAGTGACGACGACCGAAGCTTCGCTCACCAGCATGGACCCCTCCCTGCGTTCACACTACCTCGCCGATAACCCTCCTACCGTCGTGCAATTGGAAATTGCTCCTCACTTCGCTGCCCTCTCGCCGAAACAGAAACGCTATGCACATCACTTGAGTCGAGCCTCATTCCTTGGTACTCGAGTGACTTTGGCTCAGGTGTCCCCCGAGTCTGCGATCATTTACGATCTCATCCTAGCACTACATCGTGCCTGCAGCGGTGACTATGAAAAGCTGTCCAATGCCACCTCGGTCCCTTCCAGCGACATCACATTATGGTTAGAGTACTCTGCACAGTTTCTGGGTAACTGTGGCAACTACAAGGGTTTCGGTGACTCCAAGTTCATTCCGAGATTGCAACCAGAAACACTCGAGAAACTCTGCATGGTGAACGACGAGTGCAAGAAACTACATGACACGGCCATGAAAACAGGAGGAGGCATCTATGAGAGCAAAGATGTGGCTTTGATGCACTTTGGATATCCAGAGGCAGGGCACATGACAACGTACTATCCAGACTCGCCTACGATTACCAAAGAGGAAATCTCGACTGTAGGAGACGTCTTGGAAGAGAAGAAGCTCCTCATAGAGAACACTAGGTTGCGAAAACTAGATTCAGGAGATTTCGAGCTGCTGATCGCCTCTGGCATCCAGAACCCGCCAGCTGCAGAAAGAGATCTGGGCGATGTATCAACCATTGACCTACCCGGCAAGCTGTCGGGAAAAAAGCTACATCTTGTGTTCGGCGACTACCTGAATGAGATGGCGAAGATTGCTGTCGAAATCAAGAAAGCGAGGAAGGAGGCTGCCAACGACACCGAGGAAAAGATGCTGAACGAGTATGCAAGGTCCTTTGGCACAGGCAGTATCCAAGGTTTTGTTGAGTCTCAACGATATTGGATCAAAAACAAAAAGCCAGTGGTCGAAACAGATCTTGGTTTTGTCGAAACATATAGGGACCCTCACGGAGTGCGAGGTGAATGGGAAGGATTCGTCGCTATGGTCAATCAAGAACGGACACGAGCATTTGGCAAGCTTGTGGATGCAGCACCAAGCATGATTCCGAAATTACCATGGGGCAAGGAATTCGAGAAAGACAAGTTTCTAAGTCCTGATTTTACGTCACTGGAAGTGTTGAGCTTCGCTGGGAGCGGCATTCCTGCAGGCATCAACATTCCCAACTACGACTTCATCAGGCAGAACGAAGGCTTCAAGAACGTCTCCCTTGGCAATGTCCTTAGTGCGAAGGCGCCGAAAGAGCCAATTCCTTTCATTCGAAAAGAGGATGACGAACTGTACCGCAGATACCGAGACGGCGCGTTTGAGGTTCAAGTTGGCATCCATGAGCTTCTTGGACATGGCTGCGGCAAGTTGTTGCAAGAAACTGCTCCAGGAGAATACAACTTCGATGTCGAGAATCCTCCTACCAGCCCTGTGAGTAAGCAACCGGTCACGTCATGGTACAAGCCAGGCCAAACCTGGTCCAGTGTCTTCGGCTCCATTGCCTCATCATACGAGGAGTGCAGAGCGGAATGTGTTGCTATGGCCATTTCGTGCGATTTTGAGCTACTGGAGATCTTCGGTTTCGGCAATGGCAAGGGTGACATGAGCAACGAGGCAGGTGACGTTCTCTATGTCGCTTACCTTCAGATGGCCCGAGCTGGCGTTGCTGCTCTTGAATATTGGGATCCCAAGGCGCGTAAGTGGGGCCAGATTCACATGCAAGCTAGATTTGCTATTCTACGAACCTTCATGGAAGCTGGCGGGAACTTCTGTGAGATCAAAGCGCCGAATGGAGACGTGAGCAACCCCAATGACCTTGAGATTTTTCTGGACAGAAGCAAGATCCTGTCACATGGTCGACCAGCTGTTGAGGACCTCCTTCAGAAGCTACACATTTACAAAGCTACGGCCGACTTTGACGCTGGCAAGAAATTATACGACGATATTACGAGCGTTGACGAATGGTGGGCTGAGAAAGCCAGACCCATTGTCTTGAACAAGAAGACTCCAAGAAAGGTATTTGTGCAGGCCAATACAGTGCTTGACGCGGAGACCGGTGAAGTCAAGTTGTTTGAATATGAGCCTACACTTCAGGGCATGGTGCAGAGTTATTTCGAACGAGACGTCTGAGCGAATCGGCCCCTCGTCATACCGCGAAGCATGAGATAGCTGATGGTTATGGCGGTGGAAGCATAGCAAATGTCAGTCTACGAACTGTGGTACAGGGGGCGTGGAAGGAAAGTGGTAAGGTATGCACTTCCCCGCAAACTCGGGCAGTTTACAACACGACGGAAAGAATTGCCCTCTCGAGCATGTACGAGCAGGGCATGTAACATTGCTCTTTCAACCTGACTACTCGGCATTAACTTGACCGAAAGCTGCACAAAAGGCATTTGACAATGTTGATTTGTCCGGCATGACGCTGTACTTCAGCTGACCTTACCGTGTATGTCGCCGCTGCAGGTATATACAAGCTCGTGCAAGCTCCAGCTGCATATGTCTTGCAGATCCAACTCCACCAGTGCGGAGGTCATCTCTCCGTGTCACATCATCATTGATTTCACCTTCCTCAAAGGGCGCCGCGAACCACTTCATTTGACTCAGACTTATAAGAGTCGATCTGGCGGTAAGTAGGAAAATGGATTACCCCCAGCCTCACATCATATCCTCTATGGACGCGGCCATGTTGCGTTGGCTGGGAGCATGCATTGCTCTAACGTTCTCGTTTGCCCTTGCTCAAAATCCATACCTCGGTGTCAATGATTCTAATTACCATCGACTGCCAAATTATTCCCCTGCCAGACCACCAGCTGTTCCTTTGGCTGTCCGCTCCCCATATACAAGCGCTTGGCAGTCGACTGCAGCAAACAGCACACTCAATTCGGAAGGGGTTGAATTTTGGACAGGGGGCGCCCTTGGGTGGGAGGGAATTGTCACTGTTGATGGTATCTCATATGAATATCTCGGGGTTGCTACTCAAACCTTGCCTGCAATACCAATGCTCAAACCAGCTGTTCCGCGAGATGTTTCTTACGACTCTCAATTCTCCAATTATACCTTTGAAGCTGGTCCGGTCTTGATCACTGCTAGCTTTTTCTCGCCTGTCATTCCCAAAGATGTGTGCCGAACAAGTATTCCGCTGAGCTACCTGGCCGCTTCAGTCGAGTCGTTGGATGGTGCAAGTCACGATGTGCAGTTCTACAGCGACGTCAATGGCAATTGGGTGGCACCTGAAGGCAACAAGACCCTAAATTGGGATCTGTACCGAAATACTATGCCCATCAACGGAAGTGGAAATGCCACTGACTCATCGAGCGTCATCTATACGTGGCTCTTCAACTTGTCGTCGCAATATGAATTTGCTGAAGAAAGCCAATTACCCTTGTGGGGCAATTTCACCTATACTACGAGCCCTGGCCAGGCAAGCAACTTCAGCTTCCAAAGCGGGTATTCTGCGACTTTGAGGTTCAACTACATCATGCAGCATTATCTTGCCGACGTGGTTGACAGCAAGTATCGAGGCGCCCAAGAAATGGAACCTGTATTTGCCTTTGCCCATGACTTCGGTTCTACCAATTCTGCTTCGGTCCGCTACACTCTGGGCTCTTCAGAGACCCCGATCATGCGGTATATTACTTCGGTTGGAGTGGTCCCTCTGCAACCATGGTGGACGCGATGCTACGGCGATCTTTTCTCCATGATTCAGTACCACTACAACGATTATGACAACGCAGCTGCGCTGGGTAATGCATTCGAAGCCAAGTTGAAGTCAGACATCGACGCATACTATGCCCCTGTATACGCAAACACGATGGTCTATAGCAACAGCAGTCCTTCAGCACCACCAGTGTATCCCGACGAAGATATAGGAATAGACCAGTATGGACAACAATACTACTTCGACCCGAGCTCAGGATACGGCTTCCTCGACCCAAACAATCTCACAGGCATAGCCGTTCCAGGAGTTTCCGAGCCAGAAGCATACTACTCCATCGTCGCTCTTGCCGCGCGCCAGATCATGGGGGCATATGTCCTGACCATCCCACCCGACCTGTCCGACAATACCAACAAACCCGACGAACCGCTCATGTTTCAAAAGGAAATATCCTCTGACGGCAACGTCAACACTGTCGATGTCATGTATCCGGCCATGCCGTTCTTCCTGTACGCCAATCCGGACCTGCTCCGGTACAACCTCAACCCGCTTTTCTACAACCAAGAAAACAATTTCTACCCGAACCAATACTCCATGCACGACTTAGGGTCCAACTTCCCCAACGCGACCGGCCACGTCGAGGGCAACGACGAGTACATGCCTGTCGAAGAGTCCGGCAACATGATAATCATGACCTACGCATACTACCATTTCACCGGCGATGTAGCGTATTTGTCTCAACATTACCCCATCCTACAACAATGGTCCGAGTACTTGATTCAATACTCGCTGCTTCCTGGCCAGCAATTGTCCACAGACGACTTCGCCGGGCAACTCGCGAACCAGACGAACCTCGCGATCAAGGGTATCGTCGGACTCAGTTGCATGGCCAACGTTGCGGACGCAGTCGGCCAAGCGCCCAATGCGAGCAATTACTCGACAATCGCGACAGAATATTTCAACAACTGGACCACGCTCGCAATCGACCCTTCCGGGCGGCACACCATGCTCGGATACCAATGGCGCTCGTCCTGGGGGTTGTTGTATAATATTTTTCCTGCGCGCTTGCTCTCGCTCCCGATCATACCGGAGTTCATATATACCATGCAATGCGCCTGGTATCCGACCGTGAGCCAGATCTTTGGTGTGCCCTTGGACAACCGCCACGCGCTGACGAAGAGTGATTGGGAACTTTGGACGGCCGCGACGTGCGGCTCCAGTACGAGGAGATTGTTCGTGAATGCACTGGCGTACTGGCTCAACCAGACGAGTACGGCCTTTCCGTTCACCGATTTGTATCTGACGACGGATGATGGTGGGTATCCGAACAGTGATACGAGTATGAATCCGATTGAGTTCATCGCCCGGCCCGTGCAAGGTGGGTTGTTCAGTTTGCTAGCGATGTATGCTGCTGGTGGCAGTGCGGTCAGTTTTCCGGGTGAGAACGGAAATGGAACGACCGTTGGAGGTGGCGGGGGCGGCGGTGGTGGGACGACGACGACGACGACGAAGAACGCAACAACGACGGCGGTGACGGCCAGTACGAGTACGAGTAGCAGTAGCTACGAGTATAGTCTGCCGATGAACTCGAGTTGGACGAGCAGTCCCGTGACGACGTATGCTTTTCCCACCGTGGCGAGTACTAGTACCGGGAATGCGAATACCATGTCGCTGTCGCTGTCGGCCCCGAGTGTGAGTGTGGTGAGTGTGACGGAGAGTCTGCTGTCAACGTTCTACGTGAGTCCCAACTATTTGACTTACACCATGACCGGGCCGCCGACCTTTTCAACGAGCGCTTCGACCACAACGACAACGGGCTTTACTAGTAGTACGAGCTACGGGAATTAATACGCTTTCTACTCTGTGACGACCTTTCGGAATATATGTGTACTTCCGGCAACACTTAACAGCATTGGCGTATCTGTCCGATTTGCCCCAATGAGGCGCTCCTGAATTTAGTCAATACACGTGAATAGCCTTGCTAGTAATAATAATTGTCTCTGACATAAGGACACCAGAGTTGATCATGGACTTCAGACCACGTGTGGGAAGGGACATGAGTTTTGAATTCATTTATTCACTGAATGGCTACCGACCGACTCTAACTATGAATCGTAGAAGGCATATTTGTTTATTGTTGTTTTCGCTTCAATAATCATGCTTGATGGATTGCTCACAGTCTGGCGCTGGCCTTTCCTGGTTGCATACCCATATGGACGTCAAACCGGTCGGACATCATGACCTTGTCCCAGGCAGCAACAAAGTCCTTGGCAAACTTGTCGGCGCCATCTTCTTGAGCATAGATTTCCGCAATGGCGCGGAGTTCGGCTTGAGAACCGAAGACGAGGTCATTGCGGGTGGCGATCCACTTCTTCTGGCCAGACTTGCGGTCGACACCCTCGAAGTACTCGCCATCAGGGCTAGTGGACTTCCAGGCAGTGTTGTTGTCGAGCAGGTTGACGAAGAAGTCGTTGGTCAATTGACCAGGACGGTTGGTAAAGACACCGTACTTGGATCCATCCCAGTTGGCGTTCAGAGCACGCATACCTCCAACGAGGACTGTCATTTCGGGTGGAGTGAGGTTGAGGAGGTGGGCCTTGTCGACGAGGAACTGCTCGGTGCTGACACGGGAGGTCGATTTGCCGTAGTTGCGGAAGCCATCGTGGTGAGGCTTGAGATGGTCGAATGATTGCTCGTCGGTTTGTTCCTGTGATGCGTCTGTACGACCGGGTGTGAATGGAACTGAAAGACCAGAGGCTTTCTCGACTGCAGCGCAACCAGCGAGAACAATCAAATCGGCCAATGAAACCTTCTTTCCACCAGTTGCTGAGCTGTTGAACTTCTGTTGGACGTTGTCAAGAGCGCCGAGAACTTGTTGCAGCGATGACTTGTCGTTGATCTCCCAGTCCTTCTGAGGAGCAAGGCGGATACGGGCACCATTGGCACCACCACGCTTATCGCTGTTGCGGTAGGTGGAGGCTGCACCCCAAGCGGCGGTGATGAATTTGGTGTTGTCAATGCCGGTGGCGAGGATCTCCTTCTTCAAGGAAGCAATGTCACTCTCATCGACGAGTGGGTGGTCGACAGGAGGAACAGGGTCTTCCCAGATGAGGACCTCTGAAGGAATTTCCGGACCTAGCCAACGGGATCGTGGACCCATGTCACGGTGCAGCAGCTTGAACCAGGCACGAGCGAATGCATCGTGGAACTTGTCTGGGTGCGCGAGGAAATCACGAGAGATCTTCTCGTAGGTAGGGTCGAAGCGGAGGGACAAATCGGTGGTCAACATTCTCGCCCTGTGCTTCTTGTTGGGATCGTAGGCATCTGGGATGATTTCACCAGAGTTCTTGGCCACCCACTGGTTGGCACCAGCAGGAGACTTCTCGAGCTCCCAGTCAAATTGGAAGAGGTACTCGAGGTACTGGTTGCTGAATTTGTTGGGAGTCTTGGTCCAGATGACTTCCAAACCAGATGTGATTGTGTCTGGGCCCTTTCCGGAGCCGTGCTTGTTTTGCCAGCCCAGGCCTTGGTTCTCCATGGCGGTGGCTTCTGGCTCTGGGCCGACATTGTCTGAGGGAGCAGCACCGTGGGTCTTGCCGAAGCTGTGACCACCAGCGATCAGAGCGACAGTCTCTTCGTCGTCCATGGCCATACGACCAAAAGTGGTTCTGATGTCGCGGGCAGCAGCGACTGGGTCAGGAATGCCGTCGGGGCCTTCAGGGTTGACGTAGATCAGACCCATGTGAGCGGCAGCAACAGGAGTCTCGAGATCCCGGGAGTGAATGTCCTTGTGGTCCTTTCTGTGTTCATCCCCGTCAACGACACCGTGGGCTCCCTCGGGGACACCGGGCCTGCCGTCCGAGTAACGGACGTCGTTACCGAGCCAAGTAGTCTCGCCACCCCAGTAGACAGCCTCGTCGGCCTCGAAGGTGTCTGGACGACCACCAGCAAAACCGAAAGTCTTGCAACCCATCGATTCAAGAGCCACGTTGCCGGTGAGCAGCATCAAATCGGCCCACGAGATCTTGTTACCATACTTCTGCTTGATGGGCCACAGCAGACGACGAGCCTTGTCGAGAGAAACGTTGTCGGGCCAGCTGTTAAGAGGAGCAAATCTTTGTTGGCCTTGACCACCGCCACCACGGCCGTCAGAGACACGATAAGTGCCAGCACTGTGCCACGCCATTCGGATGAAGAGACCACCATAGTGACCGTGGTCAGCAGGCCACCACTCTTGCGAGTCGGTCATGAGAGCATGTAGATCCTTCTTGACGGCATCGTAGTCCAAGCTCTTGAAGGCCGAGGTATAGTCAAAGTCCTTGCCTAGAGGTGTAGAGACGGCGTTGTGCTGTCGGAGGATGTTGAGTCTGAGACCCTCGGGCCACCAGTCTCGATTTCTCTGGCCACCGCCGCCAACGTTGGCCACTCTGGTATCGTGTTTGACTGGGCACTCTGCCATTATGATTGCTTCTCGTGTTACTTGTTGGGATCGACTTGCAGAGGAGGTGATCTGAGGGAGAAGAGAAGAGCAAACAAGTAGCAGGAAGGACTACCCCGCGCCTTATTTGTAGGTGCCCTGAGCCCCTCGGCAGCATCCAATGGACAGGATCTGATTTGTTTGCAGAAGGAGGACTGTGGTCTGATAGCCCACTCGCTCCCACTGAACGGCTCGCTGTTGATTGCTCTACCTGGAAATAGAGGGCGACCGAGGGGAGAGGTCTCGCTGTGTCTAGCTGAGAGAGGAATAGAGCGCGGCAATGGCAGGACCGTGTGGTGGAGGTGTCGATGCGGCGACGAAGTAGGGTCCTCCAATAGTAGAGACTTGCCCAGTTGTCTGAGGAATTGTTAGTACGTCGATTGGTTGTTCCAGCGAAGAGCTAGAACGTTTCTCTGTCAACAGACGCACCAGGAGTTTGATATGGGGATGGCGTTGGAAGGTACTCGATGTCCATCCACAGGTCTCAACGAGTCCAGTTGATGGAAGAATGGGAGTGGTGATGGAATGAGAGGCAGAACAGAAAAGAAGAGGTACAATGTGAGAAGGTACCGAGAGCCCCTCTCGCCTGCGACTCACCAAGCAACCCCCTCTCCTCCTCCTCGGCTGCTTCATCGTTGCTGCTTGCACTCCACCAGACACCCGGATCACGCAACTCAATCGGAGAAATTGTGACACTTCACCTGATGATGTTTGCCGTGCTCGCTCAGTGACACAAGCGGGATTCTGCGGGTATCTCCATCACGGTTCTCCGCTTGCCGTCGTCTCGTAACTGGCACTATTCTTCAAGAGGTACGGAGTACAGCAAGTCATGTCGAAAACCTCGGCATCGTGCCCGACAGTCTAGAACGCAGTGCCGTGACAGGGATCAGCTTGTCCATTTCCAAACAACTTAGTTACCTATATAGGCAACAAGATGCTGACTTGGCCAACGGAATTTTGTTCATGGCCTCCTTCGCGGTGGGCCCATATTGAAGAATCTCGCAACGGTAAGGACCATGGAATGAATGGCATGCTTTTCCACAACCCAACCATTCGGTTATTCGGCTCTACTTTCGTGAATCGAGCCACCAAATCAAAGTAATAACCCAGATCATCCAACAGCATCATCGCTTGGACGGGCATTCCTTATGAGAACATGTTGTTATTGACAAGAAGTATGCGCATCGAGGTATAGATTATTTTTGGATTCTCTTGTTGGCCGCAATTCTTTTGGGTTGTCAGAAATGAGTCAATCGTTCATCGCGAATGACTCCTACCAGCGTTGCCCCAAGCCCTCATTCGCCCAGCAGGATGCAACCATGAAACACCAAGTCCACGCGCAATGCCCGCCTCCATGACACCGTCGCCAACCCATGCGACACAAGCATCATGACAGTGACCACCGCTGACTCCTCAGTGACATGTTGCCTACATCGACAAGCTCGCGAGGCTGAACCCTACGCTTCAGCTGACATAGATCTGTCTATTCCCGCCGTACTTTGACCAGGCTGAAGGACAATACTTGAATCTCAGCTACGAACAAGCGGTTGAGGATAGCTCGAGCGAGCTCGCTCCCACCAAGATCGTTTCCCGCTGTCATCTGCTCATTCCGAAGCCAACATGCTTATCTTGGACGGCTCCACCCTTGAAGGCGGCGGGCAGCTTGTCCGCGTCGCCCTGTCGCTATCATCAATCTGCTCGATACCAGTCCGAATCACCAACATCCGTGCAAACCGGGCATCGAAGTCATCCAGGCCTTCACACAAATCTCGCGCCCGCACCGGCAACGCCAAATCCGCCCCTTCGGGCTCCTCTCCAGGTGGTGGACTTAAGGAAAGCCATCTAGCCGCCTTGAATTGGCTTGCAGACCAATGCGGTGCAGATATCGAAGGTAATGAAGTCGGTTGTCGAGAAGTCGTCTTTCGTCCTGGGCGCCGAAAAGTCCAACCGGCTGAACCTGCTGTTCCACGGCCAGAGGTCATCGAGCTCCGAAAGCCAGGCAGTGTCTGGTTGATATGGCAGGCCATATTCCCATACATAGTACACTCCATATGCGCTTCAGCACCATCTCTCTCCTCGCTCTCGAGCAGACCACTCTGCATAACCCTCCGCGGCGGCACCAACGTCCCGAAATCCCCATCAAGCGAATATATGCAGCAAGTCTTCCTCCCTCTCTGCCATAGAATCGGCTTGCCAAAAGTCGACATTCACGTAATCCAGCGAGGATGGGCAGGTCATACTCCTGAGATTGGTGAAGTGGAGATATCTGTCTACTCTCCCACCGTTTCTCTGCGTCCGCTTGATCCGTCACTCACTGCGAGCACGCCCAGGCTTGTCCAGCCGTTCCATCTACATGACCGCGGCAATATCACACATATCAGCATGACCATCATCGCCGGTAGTCACGCCACACACTCTCTGCTCGAAAGCGAGCTTCGAGAATCATTGGCCGCCAAACCGATCTTCTCGTCCGTTGCGGTCACAGTACATGCCTCTTCGGCGCTCTCCCATGATGAACGACGCCTGTACACACTCCTCGTCGCACACACCTCGAACGACTACCGGCTCGGTCGCGACCATCTAGGGTCTGGACGCAAAATCACCTCCGAAGCCGATCGAGCAGGTGTGGTGAGAGAAGTCGTCAGCACCGTCGTGCGAGATTTTGTGCGTGAATGCGAACGAGGCAGCTGCGTCGATGAATTCGCGGAGGATCAGCTTGTGATTTTCCAGGCTCTGAGTCAGGGGAGCACAAGGATCCACGCTGATGGCGTAGCATTGGAAGGAGAGCAGCGTCAGAGGCGGGATGGATATGAGCGAAACAGACCGGAGTCTGGGAGCCTGCATACACATACGGTAAGGTGGGTGTGCAAGGAGATGTTAGGTACAAAGTTTGATGGACTGGGTGGATGTGAAGGAATGTCGCCACGGAGAGACGGGGAGGTGGAAGAAGTCAGCAAGGGGCTGGCGAGCGTGATAATCGATGAGCCAGGGAGCCGAAGGGGAACAGGAAAGGAAGAGGGTATGCATGAGTAAAGCGATCGTTCGACAGTCTTGATGTTGTCGGCTATCAGAGTCATACAGGGATGTCACGGTCATTCGTCACGTCTCGATATGCCCAGCTCGCTACCTAGGTAGATAATGATAGCACACAAGCCCAGAGCTCCATCGTAGAAATACCAGAGCCTGCACCTGCTTGCAAAAAGACTTTTCCACTTTAGCGCATGGCTCACAGAATGCCCTGCACACCACACACACCAGTCTCCCCTGCACTCACTACAGACGCCATCTTCTTCCTGACCTCCTGTCAGAGCCGAGACTTTTCTCATACCAGACTTACTAGGACGACTCGCCGCTCACACGGCGTCTACCGCCGCCGCCACGCCTAGCCAGCATCGCCTTCTTCAACTCCTTATGCGCATCACGCTTAGCCTTGTCATACTTGCCTTTGCCCAGCAGCGGCAGGCCACCCTTGCCCGTAGAAGTGAGGTCGGGCTTCGACTTTTGCGAAGTAGGAAGGAGATTCGACTTGGGTCCTCTGGCTTTGACCAGGTTCTTGCGGTCTTTCTTCTTCTTTTCCTTTTTGTATGATTTGAGGACCTTCTTGCTCGACGTCGCTGGCTTGTCTTCTGAAGCGTCGGCAAATTCGCCTAGAGAAACGAAGTCAGCTCCCGCTTGGATCGGCTCAGCTGGCTCCGATGATGCAGCGGCCGGGATCTCGACAGTCTCTACGGTAGCGACTTCAACAACAGAGGCAGCAGGAGCTACGGCAGATGCTTCTCCAATGCTCTCTCGTGCTTTCTTCGAAGACTTCTTTTCTTTCTTGGATACTTTGGGTTCGGCAATTGCCGCATCGACCTTTACCGTCGCCTCGACTGCGGCAGGTGCATCCTGCACAGATTCGGCCGCTGTTGGGGCGACAATGGAGTCGGCATCAACGTCGGATTTCCTGTTCCCCTTTTTGATCTTCTGGGCTGTTTTGACCTCGGTGTCTTCGGCTGCAGGTGCCTCATCTTGGACGGAAACGATAGAAGTGTCAGGATCAGCTGCGCCTGCACTGACTCTCTTCGCCTTCTTCTTGTCTTTTTTCGCCGATTTGACATCAGCTTGCTCGGTGACAGGTGCTTCTTGGACAAGTTCGGCTGTGGCCACGTTGTCGGCAGCCTTGGACTCGGTCTTATTCTTCTTCTTATCTTTTTTTGCCTTCTGAGCCTGCTTCACTGCAACGTCGTCCTTGGGGATATTCGCTGGTGGCTCAAGCATTCCAGTGGGACCCGAGTCTGTGCTCTCAATCTGTGCTGGTTCTTCCTGGGCGGCCAGTCTCTCCTGCAAGGCCTTTGCAGGGCTAGTTAAGGTGGACACTGGCATCTCAAGGCCGATTGCTTGCAGCTTCTTTGCCTTCTGGTCTCGCCGACGTTGCTCCTTGTCAACTTTCTTTTGCCACTGTCCCTCAGTCTTGGGGGCCGCCAGTTTCTCTCGTTCAAGCTTCTCGTGTGGAATTTTTCTGAACTTTTTGTCTGCGCCTTTCCAGACATCAGGGTGCAGTGAGCCAGGCTCGGCGTACTTGCACTTCAGAATGTGGCCAAAGAGCAGGTAGTTGTCCATGGAGCTGGCCACAATTTTGGCAACTTCATTGGACTTGAATTCAATGAAGGCGAAGTGCTTGGAGGCGCCAGTGCGTTTGTTACGAGAGAGTCTCAGACGGCTGATATCACCGAACTGGGAGAAATATTCTTTCATCTGCTGTTCGTAGAATCCGTGGGGTATGCGGCCAACGTAGACTGTACCCGGCTCGTCGTCCTGGTTCGCAGCCTTTTTGATCTTTTTCAGCTTGCTTTGAGTCTGCTTGTCTGCCGGTAGACGCGGGAGTTTGGTGAGATCTAAGCCCTTGTCTTGCTGATTGTCTTCCGAGTCACTGTCAAAGCCGGCTAAGAGAACAGCAGCATTGTCATCCTCTTCAACTTCGTCCTCGTCCACGTCGTCATCGCTTCCGAATTCGTCTTCCAGCTCATGGTCCAGTGTATGCTCAGCTTCGGCCTGCATGGAGGTTGTGACTGGCTTGTGTGCTGTCGCTGTTCCAACCTCCTCCTCACCGTTATGTTCTATCACACCATTGACCCCATCAGCGGTGAGAAGTTCATCATGCTTGCTCTTCTTGGACTTGGATCCTTTCTTGGATTTCTTCGCAGTAGGTTCTTCTGTACCGGTGGTGGCTGGAGCTTTATGCTTTTTTGTGGTCACCGCTGAACTGGCAGGTTCACCTTCGCCATCATCCATGAAGTCAGCGGCTCGTTTGCGAGATGCCTTGGCTGATACTGCAGCGGCGGCGGCCATATTCGATGGGGTAGACTTCGATTTAGCGGCTGCATCATCAGCGGTAGGCATGCTTGTTGCGGCAATAGTCTCTTGGTCCACGATCTTGGAACCATCGGCGGACTTTGACTTCTTGCTCTTCTTGCGCGGTGCATCACCAGCGCCGGATGACTCTGCAACAGAGTCAGTCGGGGTGTCAAAGTACGTGGTGGCTCAAATTACTCACCCTTACGCTTTTTGTCCCCCATTTTGCAGAGTCAAAAGTGGGCTGTAAAGACCACAAGTTACTGTGTGGTGTGAGTTTTTGATCTTCGAGGCCGATTGAGATGCAGCCTTCAAAACGTACCATAAAAAAATTCTCCAAGTCTGTGACAGAAGTTGGAGCACAACAGGGAAACTTAGCCGATCCACTCTTTAATGCGCCTAGGCAGCTGGTGCGCTCCTCCTTTACAAAAACAAACTTGTCTGCCACCTACCTGCTGTGACCTGACGAGGCTGGGGTTCTTTGTCAAGTACGCTACGGAGTACCTGTAAATTCCAGACGTGATCGAGTTGAGGAGCGGCTCCGCCAGCAGCAAGCGGGGGAGCTCGTCTTCCCGCTCCCAAGTGTACCGTATTCACAGACATAGTCTCCTCTCTATTTGTTCTGGCCCTTCGCCTTTGCTCGATGACCGGCGCTTCGACATGCAAGATTAGGTGATGATCATCTCTTATCTTCTCGTGCTTGGAGCTCCGAGACCGATAAGATTTCTAAAAGCTCGCACAAGCTTTTCGACGTCACCGTCTCGGCGAGGCCAAGGCGGTATATGGAGAATATGCTGACTGCTTCAGCGGCATTGTATCCGTACTACGGTCTCAGCGGTAAATCGTGTAATGAAACTCGCTTAACCGGGGTGCAAAACAGCTGCCGCTTGAATCGCCGAAGCAGAGGTTGGCACCGCATTGAAGAGGAGGCCCGCTTGCCTCACAAATCGTCCTCGCTGCTGTTTATCGTCGAATGGCACGCTAGCGCCAGATTACACGATTTACCGCTGAGACCGTAGTAGATACGAGTAAGCGACTGCTGAGGAATCGAGTAGACTGCATGTTCTGTGTGGTATTGCCGTCCGGCAAGCCGGGCAGCAAATTACGTGTGCCTTCTCCATCATGAGATGGCATGTTGAATGGCTGGGTCTCGACGACGATTGGTATTTCGCGCTCAACCCATGGTGATGAGAGAAGATCCCCGTAGGTCGGGCTGCTGAAACAACCTTACTACGTACGTCGAGCCAATCGTGCCCGCCACCTAGGTGCCCGCGGCCATGGGCACCCGTATAAGTTATATGCAACCTTGCAGAAAAGCATCTTATGTTGGTATCTATGGGTGCCTAAGCAATATCCGCACATACAACTCCTCGCATCGGCCAGCCATGAGTCCACGAAGATCTTCTCAACTTGGTGCAAGCGGTAAGAAGTCCAACCCTCTGCAAAACCAAGTCATCGTGGTCATCTCTCAACTCCCTGTCGATTGATCGCCTCGCTCGCGTTCGCCCCACGAATTTAAGCCCGAAGAAGTCGCCCATCATGCGTCATACCTATGCATCTAAAACACCTCACATGAGCTTCGACCTCTGTCCAGCAAGATCTCTCTATGCAGTGCTTGCAAATCCGGACCCTAGCCCTGACTGAACCAGCTGACAAGCCCTGATCAGGCTGACTTAGTCCCAATCAACGCTGCTCAACACGGCCCATCCCTTGCTGGGAGGGCGGATCAGCCGGCATTGTTCGAAAAGGTCAAATATGACATATCCCACTCGTACTCGATAACGCTTTTCCGCCCTCGGACACTGCCCTGCCGTGGGAAGGGCAAGTTTTATGGCGCATTAGGCTCACTCGGATCATACTACAGGGGACCACGGCGCGTGGGCGATTACTGTTGGGCTCATCAACCCTGAATGATGCTTATGTGGTTTGGCCAGTGGCTTGTCTGCTTTTAATGTCCTCTTAGCCTTTCCCCGTCAGCGTCTGAACTTCGAAAGCCTTGTTGTCCGCTGTCTTTGATTTCCTGCTAAGGCCCCTTGTGATTTCCCGGTTCAAGCATTGTCAGACCACCACTTCTTTTCAGTCACGGCAAAGTTGGATTGCATTAGACCCGGACTTACCTGAGGTACAGCAGATTTGATACTTGACATTGGGAACCTTTTTCCTGTCTGCATTCTCGATAACACAAAATGGCTGTGATATGGGGTCTCGATCTCAAGGATATGCAATGGGGGAAATTCAAGAGCTCCTATATGTTCGGTAACAAGGATTACCATCTACGACGGACGAAGTTCGTCGTCTACCAGATCGCTATGATCTTTTGCGTTGTTTCTGAATCTGTCGGTACTGCAGCTCTATCAGGTGATTACCACTTCTCTCCTCATTCCTTTGAGCATCTGACTGACTTCACACCGCAGACTACGTCGAGCAACAATCACGGATAGAAAAGCTACACTCATCAGCAGCCGTCCATAATGACGACTTCGTCGGCATTGCCTCCTACAACATATTTGTGGGTATTGCCGTGGCTACCATCTTCGGAGCCGCCTTCTTCTTCGACCTCTTCTTCCCAGAGCGATACGAACCTCGCAATATCCGGTGGGCATGGAGAATCAGTGCCCTTGTGATCACGCTGATGACATTCGCCGATGCATTGGCATTGACAGTCATCGTGGCTACTGGCAACGCCTGGATCTCTGCGAGCTCGGAGGATGCCGAAGAGATTGCGCGGGAGAAGATCAACCCTCCTCTGAGATACCGTGACAATGGCCGGGCGATTGCAAGCGTTGTATTTTTATGGGTTGGACTCTGCGGGACCATTGCTAGGTAGGTGGACTATTTTGTTTCGCGTTGCACGGGGATGGTACTAATCGTGCATTCAGCTGTATTATTCTCTGGCTATACTACCAGCACCTCGACACCTATGGTCCAAAATCCCATACTGCTCGGATGCGAGATGATGTCGACAAGAGCATTCTCAAAACCGAGCGAGTCACCTCGGACATGACCACCAGAGACCAAGCGTCCAAATACCAGGCCTAGACTTTCCCAGGGGGGACGATGCGATACTGTCTACGTCTTGAAGAGATACATGCTTGTGGAGGGCTTCCACCTCTGGAATATCTAATTCCAGCTTACTCCTGCTGGTCCAGATAGCGAGGAATTGGACTCCCAGTATGGGTCTTACTAGATTCGCCACGAGAAGGCCCTAGGACGTCCGTGTCCCCTACAGGGACATGACCGCCATCTTGCCCTCCCCAGCTGTTGTTGGGTGAAGAATGCGCTGTTTCCAGATACATGTGAGCATGGCCAGCAATGATAATGTTCGGCGTCAGGCGTCTTGAAGCATCGGGGTTTGGAGAATGGATGGATCTGTTGTAATACAGTTTGCATGAGCCGGGCTTTCGGGTGCACCAGAAGAACATGCGTCTGCTGCGGCAGTGTATAAAAATGGTTGACAATGAAGTATATCATGTTCGTCTCACTGTTGGATATGACCTGCTTGCCCTAGAGTACCTGGTAACTATCATTCTAGTATGCATGCCACCAAAAGTGACCCGCAAGCTGTGCGTCGGCATTGTTTGGCCAAGGAGCGCCTCTTTGGTTGCAAGCGCATACAATACAAGTATAGGTACTGTCGAGAGGGCAGGCCTACAACTGGCGAGTTTTGCAACACTCGTAACCGAGATATCATGGCATTGGGCGGACATTTGATGGGAATTCTAGGTCTGCACGTTCTCCAAATCACACGTTTGGGTGCACGTCCCGGCCGCCTCTGTGCGTTTGATGATTGGCGGTTTTCGTTGACGTTCCTGCATGGCGTCTTGGATTCATCACTCCAACAAGTTCGCACCTTTATCGTTTCATCTCGTCATGAACACTTACATTTCTTAGAGTCTCACCACCTGCGCAACCTGGGCCTCGCCCTAACACACTGCTCGTCTTGATGACCTGAGCGTGCTCACGAGAGCCTTCAGACGGCTCATCATGTCTTCCCGACAGTCATCTCCTCATGCCTCAGAGCGCACGCCTCTCCTCTCCAGAGTCGAAAACTCCGAGTCTGGCTCTGTCAATCAGCCTAATGGTGCGGTAGATCATCCAAATGACGCCGCATCGATCTCCGAATCGTTAGAGTCGACACAGAGCAAGAAGCAAAAGAGGTGGCCGACAGTCATAGCGTTGACAACACTGTGCCTCGCGGTGCTGATTTCCTGCTTCGGGTTTGCTCTTCCTTCAGTCGTCGAAGAATATGCAAAGGAAGCAGTGGTATTTGAACCTACGAACCTGTCCATCGACTCCTTCGCATCCTTTGGGGTCCGTGCCAGGGTTCAAGGGACACTCTACCTAGATGCGAAAAGAGTAAGCAACAAAGTCACAAGAGACCTCGGGAGGTTTGGAACATGGATCGCAAGAGAAGTACAAAGTGGAGAGTCAGAAGTCAAGGTCTACCTACCAGAATACGACAATGTCCTGCTGGGGACAGCGACTATTCCTCCTGTCAAAGTGAACATTCGGAACCATCACGAGAATCATGTTGATATCCTGGCGGACCTGGAACCGGGTGATATGGACGGGGTTCGGAGGATAGTTAAGAACTTTATGGACCGCAAGCTAAAAGAGCTGACCGTCAACGCTGTCGCTACCCTTCCATTACGCAGTGGTTTAATCAGATTGCCCAAACAGACAGTTTCACAACTTCTGCAGTTCCAGGGCCACGATGTACCGACTGTCCCAAATGCTGAAATTCGGAAAATTCGATTTGCCGAGTATGGTATGCCAGGACACCCTGAAGGTCTGAAAGCAATGGCAGTCGTCTCAGCCATGAATGATTTTCCTCTCAGATTCGATGTGCCGGCACTAGCTTTTGAAATACTACTGCCAGATTGTTACGATGACTACCTGTTGTTCGCAACTGCAAAGACTGATGTCATCCACATCCTACCGAAGCAAAATATTACCGCAAGCGTGGTCGGATTGGTACAACAACTACCCACGTCTTTGACAGCGGCCTGTCCAGGTACAAAGACCTCACCCTTGGATAGTCTGGTTGCAGATTATCTGGCTGGAAAGAACACGACTGTCTACATTCGTGGAGGAGAACAAGACCCTGACACGCCTGGCTGGATCGGAAAGTTGTTCCACGAAACAACCCTGCCATTTTCACTGCCAGGACATCCGTTCGACAATCTGATCAAGAATTTTTCTTTGACCGATGTTCATGTATCCTTGCCAGATCCATTGACCGAATCTCGACCAAAACTCTCTGCAAACGTCAAAGTCCTCGTAGGACTACCTCCTGAAGTTAATGTCAACTTGGATGTCGATAGAGTCCGAGCCGATGCGGATGTGTTTTACAAAGGTGATCTACTGGGAAAGTTGGATTTGAGCAAATGGCAAAAGGCCAATGCATCACAAATAGACAGTGACTTACTGGTTCAGTCGGTCGTGGAAGAAGCACCCTTGGAAATCAAGGATGATTCGGTATTTTCCAAAGTTGTCCAACAACTGCTTTTTGGCAAGGGCGCTGCACTTTCGGTTCGCGCAACCGTCGACGTCAATACTCTTACGGCTCTGGGTGAATTCGTGGTTCGGGGAGTTCCAGCACAGGGGGACATTTTCCTCAAACCGATGACTGGAAATTTCAAGATGCCAGAAATAAAGGGTATGGAAGTCGTCGATACATCGGAAACCTCATTGACTCTGCAGGCAAGGGTTAATGTGACTAATCCTACCGACTATTCGGCCTCGATACCGTATTGCAATGTCAGCATCTGGGTCAACGACACCCGAGTCGGTTATGCTTGGACATCATCGGTCAATATCGTGCCTGGCCCGAATAACGTTGTGGCCAGAGCTGCGTGGGAAGTTGGAGCTGTCGGAAGAGAGTGGCTTTCACAGTTTATCTCTGGCTATAACACGACATTGACAGTCAAAAGCCATGCTAGGTCAATACCCAACTTTCCCGATCCGAAGCTGGAAATGACAATACCAACGCCACATATGTTTGGCCATTTTTTAAGGGAAACCACGGTATGTCCGCATCCTGGCTGCGGATTTGGCGGCTGACAATGTAGATGCATATATTATCATCTACCGCGACGTTTGTTCTAATGTCTCCCTTCGCTATGTACATCAATGACATCTCGGCGTCTGCTTTTTATAATGGTTCAGAAGTCGGCACGATAGATTGGGATTACCCCTTCGCGATCGAAGCAGGCGAAAATGTCACACCCAGGCTACCTGTGGCATGGGGTAGCAATGCATTGGGAACGATTCGAGAAGCTTTAGGTGGAACCCTGAAACTGGATGCCAATGCTGACGTCGGGGTCAGAATCGGTCAATGGCAGGAACGAATATGGTATGAGGGTCACGGATTGGGAGCGAAGATAAGACTATGAAGGTTCTCTAAGCTGACTGAAGTAAGTTGACTTGGTGTGCCAGTGTGTGCTTGATGAAGCTGATCCAGATCAACATGTGCTAATGTTTATGTCAAGCCGTCATCATCCGGACGTGAGTACCGGATACTATCCAGCCTCGCGTATAAATACTCCACGATACTCCTGGGACAAGTCTACCCGCCATCATGACCTATCACCTGGGTGATCATGGCCTATTGCCCAGTGGCATGATAGAATTTTCCCTCGGTCAAAATTCGGCGGGTCTGGCGGTCACTTCATCGGTCACGTGCTGTCGACCAAATCCACCAAACAAGGCAAATATATAAAAGTCAAGGCAGCCACCCAGCAGCATTGCATAGCTGGCCCCTCTCTTTTGGTCTGTCAAGTCAAACATGCCTGCAAAGACGAAGTCCCTCAATACCCAGCTCCGCAAGAAGGGCCTGGAAATGGTCCAGGAATCAGTCGACCCGGAGTTCGGCCCAGTTTACACAATAAGTTCCACAAAGCCTGGGATCACCAACAGCGATCTTGCCTATCGACTATATTACTGGGGAGAGACTGCGAAATGGAGCGCTAGCAGGAGGAAAGCTATTGAGAAAGCTACTAACCGTATCAATCGTATCAAAGCGCAAGAGGCAGCGTCGAAGACGGATTCATCTGAGAGTGCCAGTGAATGAAGTCGAACAGTCGTGGACCTACGACAATGTCGTACCTGCAACAGATTTGGACCCCAGCAGCTCCAGCTCGTTACCCCCCGGACACATTTCTCGTACAGACCATCCTTGTCGCCCCTTCAGGACGGCTAGAGCACCGTGTGGATCGGTCCCATTTTGCAAAACATCTCTCTGCCGCAAGTGCAAGCCACAAGTGCACCAAACATTGACATTCCAGAAGTCAGCACCAGAGCAGCCGCAAAACCTGTGCTCTCTGTGTCTCAAACTCAAACCCCTACCATTATCTGTGCCAGGCACGAAGCTAGAACCCTGCAAGGAATACGCTCTAGTTTGCAACACCCTCGAACTAAATCACCGAAGATATGAATCACGGCTTCGATATCGACAAATCACGATGGAAAGTGTATCCGAACTCAAAAGCTAAATAACAATCGAGTCCATACCCACCACGGTCGAGCAACCTACTCGACGTTCTGTCCATCTTGAGGATTGTCGAATTGTATGTCGACTCAGACTTCGGTCGTCTAGCCAACCAAAACGCTCAGCTTACGCCCACTTCGTTAACAAAGATCCACAGCGAGTCCCTGGCTGTTTGGGCGCGAATCCGTCCAGGCCGTGAGTCACGATTACGTCCAGAGTGTTGCTGGTTCAATGATGTATGTCAAGCGGATAAGTACTCCTGGAGAGCATTTGGCAGCGGTGGGATTGGTGGTAGTCCTGGGCCACTGAACAGTCCATCCTCAATATCAGATTCGATAAACTTGTCGTGTTAGATAGTGCTTCCCGGCATGGAAAAAGACAAGATGGCAGACGGAGGAGCATAGGAGAAGAAGAATCAGTTTGTAAGTGATGCTAGATGTCTCTTCATACCTCACATAGGGCAGGTGCCTTCTAGGTGGGAAATATGACAAGCCTGCCGCCCGTGCGATGGAAGCAAAGCTCGATCACTATCAAATCTGTTGCACAACTGGAGCACGGTTTCCTGGCGTTCTTACGTTCGAGCGCCTTTCAGTGATTGTCTTCATCATAATGCCCGGATGGATCATCTTTCAGAGAAGGGTCAAGGACGACTCGTGGATCATCGCTTTCTACCCAGCCGCAGAACGGTTGACTCAACTTGTAACCCATCAGTTGCTGTATGTGGACCGGCATCTTCAGCACGACTTCACGTGGTATAGCCAGGTATTGGTTCTCTTCCTGCCGCAGGAAGCCTTTGGTCATGAAGCAACTAAAAAGCAATCGTTCCTGGTTGGTAGTCTTATTTGCAGAGCCGCCATGGTAGCAGGAACTCAACATCATGAAAGCATCCTGCAACACTATTAGCTTGATGGTTCCTGGCCGGAAGAAATTTAGCTTACACCTGGCTCCATTTCTGCATGTACAGCAAGCTCCTCCTGAGGCGGTCGATCTTTGGACCAGAGGTGGCTTCCGGGGATGAATCTTGTGGCACCATTCTCCTTGGTGGCTGGCTTTCCTGCCACAAACCAACCAATACCGACGTCTCTGTCATAGTTATCCGGGTACACTGCTACCTCCGTCTCGTACGTTTGATGACACCAACTGTCTCGGTGCAGTGGTTGATTCCATGCTCCTGGTCCGATGGAGAAGCATATGGAGTTGTTCAATTGAGGATCGGACCTGGCGAATATCTTCTTGTCACCACTCCAGTACCAATTCTTTCTGGTCAGAAACTCCTTGCATACGGCCTGATAAAGCGGATGATTGATGATATGCTCGGCACAGATGGGACTCTTGCCAATCATGCCCTCGACTCTCCGTGTCTGGATTGGAAAGAAGTCTCCTTCCCACACGACATCGGCTTCGATGTGAGGACGAAGGTCCTTCTCAACTTGAGCAAGAATATCCTTGCTGACTGCTCCTTTGATCTTGCAGCCACCACTGATCTTCAGTGCCTTAATGACCTCTTCTGGGTTGGCATCAGCCGCGAACGTCTGGACTGAAGGCACTGCGTCAGCCTTGATCGGGATGAATTGTCTCTCGGCTTCCGCGATCTCGGTGACGGTCGTGGTTGCCATTGTTGAGACGGGTATTTGCAAGCGCCGCCTACGCCATCACCAACAGTCCTCCGCCCTTTATATAACCCCATACTTTCCAGCGGGTAGGAAGGTAACTCCCTTGCCCAAATAGGCAACAAAGAGTTTCTGGGGATCTTATCGGGCACGGAACTCAGCGCTCCTAGGCGGCTAATCACTCGCCTACCCGATCAATCGCTATCAGGCGCGAAAGTACCTTAGCTGGATTTAGCGTCAACTGCCTGACGGTTGACCGATCGAAATCCCATGTTCCCATGTCGTGCCATGTGCATTCCATGTCGCTGGAGCTTGCAATAGCTTGTCCGAGCTTATCGTTACTCTAGGCCTGGACACATTATCTCTCATGCCCAAATGGGCAAGACTCCAGCAGCGCTTATCATATTAACGTCTACGGCTTCGTGTTCCCAGGGATAAATAACATGGAGCACGAACTCCCACTTGAACAGAGGTCAAACTTGTCTCCAAACCCACCTCTACGGAGTCACAGAGTCAATCGCAATGACCTCTGACAGCAGCACCGCCACGCCTCCGCAAGGGGGCAAGGCCAATACTCAGATCGATATCGATGACATCGAACTCCAAGCGCAAGGTTATACCAGGGCTATGCCTAGGCGGTTTTCGCTACTGTCCCTGCTGTCAATGTCCTATGCGCTTTTGGCAACCTGGAATGGATTCGGCAGTGCCTTTGGAACCGGTTTCATTGAAGCATCCTCAGCTGGATCGATATGGACCCTTACAATCGCTGGTGTCATGACTGCTGTTACTGGCATCGGCATGGCCGAGTTGTCGTCTGCCTACCCAGTGGCAGGAGCTCAATACTACTGGTCGTTCGTCGTCTCCAGTCCAGAGTGGGCTCCGTTCGCTTCCTACATGTAGGTGGTGGACTTACCATTTCCGTCGCCTGTGCTAAGACTTCCCAGATCAGCAGGCATCAGCACACTTGGTTGGTGGCTTGGTCTTGCCAGCGTGACGAACTTCATCTCAGCGATGATTGTTGGGATTGCCCAGCTCAACCATCCAGACTACGTGATCGAAAGATGGCACATTTACCTTGTCTTCGTCGCCGTGACGTGGGCGGCGATAGGGATGAACGTCTTCTTTACTAAATGGTTGCCTGCATGGAACAAATTCATCCGTGAGTCTCACCACATACAATTGAGAGGGTCAGGTACTCACGAGATTCCAGTGTATTTCTCAGCAACATCGATGGTTGTCACCATGATTACGATTCTTGCCTGTGCTGCTCCCAATTTCCAATCGGCCAGTTTCGTGTTTGCTGACACGACCAATTCAACTGGTTGGTCCAATGACGGCCTTGCTTTCCTTCTGTGCACCGTCAACGCTTTGTACGGCTTCCTGGGCGTTGATTGCGGTGCCCATCTCTGCGAAGAGATTCCGAACCCAACAATCAACGTCCCGAAAGTTATCGTAAGTTTCCAGACTTTCAGATTCCTTTGTCAATGCTGATGCTTCACCGTAGATGTATCCAGTCTTGATGGGATTCGTGACAGGTGATTGACCCTTTTCTTAGTGCGAGGCGTCTTCTAACGAGTCTTTAGCATTTCCGTTCGCGATCTCACTGTCTTTTGTGATTACAGATTTTAACAGCGTCATTGCCACTCCAACCGGACTGCCCCTTATCGAGGTCTATTATCAGGCCACGGGCAGCAAAGCAGGGACGTCGATCCTCATGGTTGCGTTTGCGATATGCTTCTTCGGATGTGCCACGGCCAACATCACCAGCTCAAGCCGACAGATGTGGTCCGCATCCCGGGATGACTGCTTTCCCTTGTCGAGATACTGGAAGCAAGTTCATCCGCGCTGGGAAATGCCTTTCAATGCTGCATGTCTTTCCGGCGTCCTTGTAACAGTAAGTTCGGTACCACTTCATTAACACTGGCGCCACTTACATTGGTGCAGCTGTACGGTTTGATATTCATCGGGTCATCGGCTGCATTCGCGTCCATGGTTGGAGCCACCATCGTTTTCATGACGACTTCCTACGTACTACCTCAGGGAATCCTCGCGTGGCGTGGTCGTGACAAAATCCTACCCCCTCGAGCTTTGAACTTGGGCAAATGGGGCTTACCGTTGAACGTGTTGGCATGCGTCTGGGTGGTTTTCATCGACGTCATCTATTGCATTCCAACCGCCTATCCGGTGACTCTGGAGAACATGAACTGGATCAGGTATGTACCGAGTCTTACAAAAAAAGGTCCGAAAGCTGATCAGCCCGTAGTGTAGTTACTGTTGGATTGGTATCATTCCTCTTGATTGCCTGGTACGTCAGCCAGAGACATGTTTTCAAAGGCCCAAATATCAACTACGAGATGCTTCAAGCTGCTCGACAAGATGAGCTTGCCGGGCATCGGACCATTGAGGGTTTGGCTGTCGGAGCAGGAGATGATGCTGTCATTGAGGCGCTGCGGAAGCATTCTGTGGCTTCGGGGAAGAAGGATTGAGTAGAACGCGTGTATTCGGACGTCGATGGATCTCTGAAATGCAATACTAGTATCCTAGACCTCAATATCTAACCACGGAGTTGAATGACGGTAGGATTCCTTTCCTGTTGCGGTAGATAAACCAAACAGCACTGTTCGCCACTGGCACTGTCCGCTGAGGGTGACCAAGTACTATGCAAACAAACCCACTGCGCAACCGACGAGTCCAGGAGATGCTTGCTTACCGGATATCTCTCCAATCTTCGTCTCTGTCACCATGCCACGCATGCCCAACGATGCGGGGGGATTGCCACTTGATAGAATACCTGATTAACTAACTAGTGCTAGTTCGAGTGTATTTCGGAGTCGGGAGATAAGGCCATTTACAAGTACCAGTCGGGCCTTGATAACCACTTCTCCTCCTGGCTCAGCTTCTTTCCCTCGAGCGTAGACAACTGTCCGCTTGCGATTTGAATTTGGAGTCCTGGAAACCAACTAAGTTGGCGCACCAAGGACGGAAGCGTCGGGGCTTTTGCAACGACTATGGCAGCTACTACTCGTTCATACTCAGCGCGGGAATCGGCTGCCGGTGTGCCAGACGTGAAGTATCGGCGAACGAACTCGTTGGCTTTCGCGAAGTCGGATTGCCATACTTGCTCATCTCTGGGTGCTCGCTGTGATCGCCAGCGGCCGAGATGTACGCCATGTCAGGACTCCGGCATTCTGTGTCAGGGTTACTCGATGAAATTGACCTGGCACCGGAGTCATTCCGTGGCCAACAAGCCGCCTAAGGTGGTCAAATCGGCGATAATTCACGAGGCGGCAGGCGACTTATTACCCAGCTGCGACGACCGTGGGGATATCAGTGATGCACAGCAGTCGACGTCAGCTTGTAACGTTATCGGTGATGCACAACAGTCGACGTCAGCTTGTAACGAGAGCTTTGTAGACCTCGGTCGGGCCAAGCGGCACAAGAAATTCATGTTCGTGGCGGCACGTCCACCCAAGCGACGAAAGAAGAGTCACAGTGACCAATCCATCAAGGGTGATGTTAGTGCGATTAGCACGAGGCGGTCGTCGACCATGGCCTTACCTAAAGCCTCGGTGCAGGTGGTGGATGATAAAGCAGATCCGCAAATGCCGTTGCAGGTGCAGCAGAGTCAACGGCAAAGTTCAAACACCGCAGAAGATCGGCCAGTTTTGACTAGCCACGAAGAGGGAGTACAAATGCATTTGCTTGCTCCATCCACCGATGTTGGTGACCTGGACATGCCGCCGTTGAGCGAATGCGATCCTTCCAGCAGAAGCGTTACATGGCAGCAACAAGACCTCAACTGGGTTTCTCCTCCATGTCAGCAACCCTCTGAAAACATCGATCTCGAAAGCCTGGAACAATGCCTGGAGATTCAACGGCGGCCTCTCAACACGCCGTCTCCTAGCTTCGCCACCGATATCAGCCTCGGGTTTTCTCAGAACTTGTGGGATGAAGATCTAGACGAACAATCTCCTTCGTCGGCAGCGCATTCGACGACCTCGGACTTATTCGCCCAGGACATGATGATGTCCATACCTCAAATGTGCTACTCGACCCTAACGGACAAGTTCTATGGTCTGTTGGATATGTGTAAGTGAAGTGGCCCTCCTTCGCTTTGACGAGGGCTGGACTCAGCTGACCTTGGAAAAGACGACCAAGAATTCTGCAAATACCCGATCACAAACGACTTCTCCGTGAACCCGTATCGTTACCGGCCAGAGACGACGAGAGGCTCACAGCACCTGCTCCATGCGATCGTGGCTCTTTCATGCCACTTCACTCTGCGATCTTCCACCCAACCTCAGCCTCCTGCAGACGCTGTCGACCACAAGAACACTGCGCTGGTCCTTTACCAAGGAGCGCTGTCCAAAAAGGACATCCACATCCACGGGTTGAGTCTGCTGGACACGGCCATGGCATTGTGGCAATTCGAGGTGAGTCGAATAAGCCTTGACAAGTTCTGCGTAGAAAGGGCGAGCTGACACGTCCTGTCTTGCATAGGCAACTCTCTCAGCCCTGAACATCTGGCGCACCCACCTCGGCGATGCGTACAGCCTGCTCGAACTCTGTGGCGGCATACCCCGCTGGTCGACTGGAATCAAAGCCAACATCCAAGTTGCCATGTTTCTCTGGTATCCAACTTCCCTTGTCTCCCTTCCTTTTCCTTCGCAATTGACTGATCTGGTCTTAGGTGGGACGCTATGGTGTCTCTCCTCTGCCGCGAAGAATGCGTCTTCCCCTATTCATACTTCGAAGCCGTGCTCAAAGCCGAAGGCCGCCAGCACTGGACGTTCTACGAACTCAACGGGTGTCCGCGCGAGCTCCTGGTGCCGATGATGCAGCTGTCCAATCTAGCCGCTCGTGAAGCGAGAGATACTAGTCCTACATCCAGCGAGACCGTGGCAGGACTTGTCGCGGAGATCGAGCTTTCGATCCGTCGGTACGAATACCAAGGTGGAGGTCTGAGTGATCTTGTCTTCGAGGGGATGGACGCGGACGAGGAGGCCCTGCATATCGAGCGCGACCGGTACCATTGCTGTGAGGCATTTCGGTACTCCCTGCTCATCTATATCCTACGCATCTTCACGATCCGCGGGGCGGATGTCAGGGGTGACGCTGCTGAGCGGAAGCGCGTCCGCGCGAGACTTTCGTTCCTCTCGCGCATGGCGCTGGAGCACGTCCATGCCTGTCGGGCCAGCCATCTGATTCAGAAACAGGTGCTGTTTCCGGTGTTCGTTGCCGGCGCCGAGTCTAGGGATCCAGTGCACCGTGGGCTTGTTCGCGACTTTTGTGAGCGATGGTATGGCAGGTTCGGATACCAGATGTACACGACTGTGCATGACGTGTTGAGGGCGGTGTGGGCGGAACAGGATGCAGGGAACGAAGACTACTGGTGGGGAGACGAGCTGGATTCAAGACGGGCCGTCGAAGGCGTTTTTGTGCAGTTCTGCTTTGGATAGCTCCCCCAGCTAACGCTTCCGCCGCTACCGCTGGCGTGCCTTGGAGACGGGCCAACGCTGGGAGTGTGAGAGTCTCTGGTAACCACCGAGCCTTGGTTCTCCTTCCTCGCTTGTGTGTGATGTTGCGTTGGGATATATGGGATATATGGGGGATACTCCGTACTAGCTAGTAGCTCGATAGCTCTTTTCTTCAAGTTTCTGCCACCAGTTCCCGTACGGTCTTCATGGCCTTGTCGTTGTTTTCACCGACATCCAGGGGCACGAGGATTCTGCTGACGGCATTATACCCGGCCACCACGGTGACCAGCTCGAGGATCTCGCGGTCGTCGAAGTGGATTTTTAGGTGCTCGAAGGTGGTGTGGTGGACTCGGACATCGAGCGTGGCCTCGTCGGTGTATCTGAGCACGGCGGCCTCCTTTTCACTCAGTGTTTCCGACCCTGACCTAACCTCTGAGCTTGAGCCTTTCAAATTTTGGTTTGATTCTTCTACTACTGCACCTGTACCTGTACCTGTACTAGCAGCGGTAAGGCCTCTCGGTGGTGCGCTTCTGGCCGTCTCCAGGGCCTCGGGGGACAGACCGGCCTTCAGCGCCAGAGCCGCGTGGATATTCCATTCGTAGACGGCCGTGGTGAGGATGGCGACGCGGCAGACGGCCAGCTCGAGGAGCGAGGCGGGGACGATGGTCTCGGTGCGCAGGGCGCTGACGAAGGCGTTGTAGCCGTTCGCAACCGGCGGCGAGTGCAGAAGCGTTAGGTCGAGAGGGATCAAGGGCCGTGGGCGGCGGCGTGCGGCGATGCGGGCGTAGATGTCGGCCACGGACGGCGGGGAGTCGGCGGGTGGGCTTGACGGGGCGTAGGGGAGACGCATGGTTTGATCGATAGCTCTTAGAGGGGGAAGAAAGAGGAAATGTGTGTCAGAAGGGAGAAGGCAGTGACCGACAAAGTACGAGCTAATAAGCACCTCATTAGGTGATGTCGATGCAAGTGAGATACTACTACTACTACCATTACAAAAAAGGTGTGCCGTGCGCGATCCGATATGTTATGGCGCTGTTCTGTTCTGGCAATGCGGGGTCGGATCTTGTAGCTGTCTCGCTGGTGTAGGGGCTAGTGAGGCGTCCACCCGCTAATCGGAGTTTCTGTAGGCCTCATAGAGAGACCACGGAAATTCTAGGCGAAATGAACTATGCATGAATTTGGGGTGCTCATCAATCATGGGATATTTCATTGTTCACACAGGCTAAATCAAAAGAAGCGTGATTGTTTCGCCTCTTTTCGGACGTTGCATCGCAGTCCTCGAGGCGTCAAAAGTCCTGTCTTTGCCGCCACCCAGTCAAGCGGGCAGATTGCAAAACGAGGAATAACGCCCTCAAAAGACGAAAGCCCAGAAGATACATTAAGGACGCTCAGAAAACAGTGTGTACCCAACCCGCCTTTTGGCCGGGCTTCAAGGGAGCCAGAGTAACGTTGTACTCCAGGTCCAGCTCGGCCTTGGGGTCCTTGGATGGCTTGAAGTCGAGCAATAAATCGTCCTTGACAGCGCACACCGAGTCGCTGGTCACGTAGGGGTCATCGCGCGGATAAAGCTGGGTGGTGAGAGACTTGTAGCCATCGGCGCTGACCATCAGGTGGATGTGGGCGGGTCTCATGGGATGGCGGTCCATTAGTCTCAGCAGGACGCCCGCCGGACCATCGGTGGGTAGCGAGTATGCGGTCGGGTGGTAACAATAATAGTAGTATTCGCCCTTTTCGTTGGTCTTGAACTTGCCGCGCAGGTTGTTGACGGACTGCTCGTCGTCCTGGAAATCGTACTTGCCGTTGGCTGAGGCCTGCCAGATGTCCACGACGGCGTTGGGGATGGGTTTGCCCGTCTTATAGTCGCTTACAACGCCGTGCATCAGGGTAACTCTACCGGTCGGGTACGGGTCTTGTACGATGCTGTCGCCGAGCTCGCGGAAAGGTGCATGAGGACTCCAGAAGGGGCCTAGAATGGTGGAAGACGTTGGCGTTTCGTCGCTCTCCAGCATGATTTTGTTGGCGACTTCATCGACCAGACTGGAATCCGTTGTGGTTAGCTAGTCGGCCCGCCTTTGACGTAGGGAGAATCTCTACTAGTAGTACTTACGATTCGATGCCGAGAACATCGCAGATTCGCTGGCCTTCGTTTCTCTTGGAGTCGCTGATCTGGCCGATGGCGTTTGTGAACTGGACTCCCTTCATCCATTCCTCGGGCGTGAGTTCCGTCTCGCGGATGAAATCGTGAAGATGTCGGATCAGACTGCCTAGGACAAATCTCGCTCGGTCGGGAGTCTTGGGGCCCATGGCCTGGATGAGGCTGTCGGTGAAGTTGGGATCGTACTTGTGTGTCGCGTGTCCATTTGTTGCGTTGCCGTTCGTCGCGCCATTGAGGTTGACTGACGTCGAATTTTCAACCACGTTTTGGAACGACATGATGACGATTGATATGTCAAGAATCCGGCCTCAGCGAAGGGATAGAAAATAGACACCGAAGAAGGGGATATTGTTGAAGACGTTGGACTGTTCCAAGAGACATCGACATCTTCGTGGGCCATTGTCCAGGTATATATGCTCACTTGCCGTCGTAGCTAGAACAGGCCGGCAGTGAAAGTCGGCTCATGACATCGAGTACGCTCAATCTCGATTCTGGGGAAACTGGGCCCTCGGAACAAACCCTTCACGACCCTCTTGATGGTTCGTCCAATGGCGAGCATGCTAAGTCCAAGCACGGCACCAATCGTCCGAAAGCTGTGCCGTTTCTCGCTGCCGTCTCAAGAACCCCCAACAGCCCTGAACAAGGCCCCCTGGAAAATCTCACGGGCTACTCCCCCATGCCCCGCACAGGCGCCCACGCCGCTTAAAGTCGGTAGTTAAGCTCTGGCGGCCCCTAGACAGAACCGCCGAATCGAACAACCGTTTCTCACTGGACACGTATCGGGGTTGTCGGCAAGTCAACTCGGCATCTCCAGTTTTCTTGCATAGCGTCGAAGAGGAATCGACTTGTTAAAGCCATGTGACATATTCCTCACTGTATGTTAACTCATTGGTGCTGAAAATGAAGCACCATCTGATGATAGGGACATGGACACCTCCGGGAGCAATTTTCACGGTTGAATTCGACGACGAAGCCTCGACTCTGAAGCTGGTGAAAAGGACAAGCATTCCGGAAGATGAGCCGATATCATGGATGACATTCGACGTGAGTACATGCCAGATTATGTCCAAAATGCCTTGCGAGCAGACAACGCTCATACCGTCGGTCTGATAGCATCGACGGAAAAACATCTATGGAGCTTCCATGAAGAAGTGGTCAAGTCATGCCGTCGAGTCACCAGATACTATTTCGCACGAGATCTCGCACCCAATGAACCATGATCGTATGTAAATCCAGGCCCCAGAGATGCACATCAATGCTGACGGACGACCAGCTCGAGCCCAGGGTACCGACACCAGGACCAGAGCAATATTTGTTCTAGCAGCCAAACAGCCGCCCTATTGCGTCTATGGCAACCCATTCTACGAGCATGCGGGCTACGGCAACGTCTTTTCCGTCGATCAGAACGGCAAACTCGACAAGAATATTCAAAACTACGAATACAGCGAACAGTCGGCCATCCATGGTATGGTATTCGACCCGAGCGAAGAATACCTTTATTCGGCCGACATGTGGGCGGATAAGATCTGGACGCATAAGAAGGCCAGCGACGGCACCCTCACCCTTGTTGGCAGCGTCGATGCACCCTCGGCCGGCGATCATCCTCGATGGGTCGAAATGCATCCCAGCGGACATTACCTGTATGTGTTGATGGAGGCCGGAAACAGATTGGGTGTCTACGTGATCGATGAGAAGACTCATCTACCAGTCTTCACGCAGAACCTCTATCCTCTTGTTCCTCCAGGTACGTCTGATGTCGCTCGAGCGTTTGATGTTGGTGGAGATTCTAACGCGAAGCAGGTGTCCGAGATCTGAAGAAGATGTATAGATCTGACGTCGTATTTTGTTCTCAGAGTGGGAAATACCTCTTCGCAACGGCCAGGTCCAACTCATTCAACGTGACGGGGTATATCAGCGCGTTCAAACTTGGACCACACGGTCAGGTCGAGCGGCAACTGTGCATCAGTCCCACACCCAACAGCGGTGGCCACTCGAATGCTGTGAGTCCTTGTCCATGGACGGACGAGTGGTTAGCTCTGACCGATGACCAAGACGGATGGGTCGAGATCTACCGGTGGCAAGACGAGTACCTTTCGAGAGCCGCTCACTTGGATATCAAAGAGCCTGGCTTCGGTATGAATGCTATCTGGTATGACTAGTAGGGTTGTGCGGACATAGAGCGAGTACAACAGGAGACTCCTTAGCTGTACCTCCAATTTTGAAAAGCACATCACGTTGCGGATAAAGTCTTTTCCGCCTCCCGTCGAGGCCGTTTATACGTCACCGAGTGTGGGCAGCTACTGTAGGTGTGAGGCTAGGTGGTAGGCTCGCGGGGCTTGTTCCGATGCAAATTCTAGGCATCTGAGCACGGCAGATGCACCCAGAGTCTTCTTCCTCATCATTGGCTTGTCGCTCGAGACCAATGAGTGCATGTCGTTAGCTTGACGAAAACCCATTACCGGCCTTCTTCTGAAAGCTCACAACGTCCTCCTTACTAGTAGACAACCACTTGCTTGATTGTATTCGTGGTACCACTTCTGATACCAGGAGGTCAAGCAACGGTAAGGCGGTGCTTACCTTCCTATCTAGAAGACGACGCGACGCCTACACCAGATCAACCCGAGTCAACGTACCTCATTTCTGCTTTCCGGAAAACGACCGGCGTCCAAATCTGAGTTCTGTGGTGTCATCATGCCTTCTTCAAGTCCAACTCGCGGGTTGCTCTTTGTAACCATGCAGCCCAAAGAGACGTTATCACTAGACCTATTCCATGACTGGTACAACAATGAACATGGACCCAACCGAACACGTCTGTCATTCATGCCCAATGGTTTTCGCTATCGAGCGGCCGACCTCCCAGGACCTAACGCTGGAACACAGTCCAAGCCGGAGTTCCTAGCCATCTATGATGCCACTGACATGGACCAATTCAACGAGCAGCCATATCAGTACTTGCGCGCCCCGCCCGGCAAAACCCAACGTGAGATCGATGTGATGGCCCAGATCTGGGTCGATCGACTTATGTTGGATTTCGTGGGTGAACGAATCAACGACAAGACCTTTGTGAGACTTGAATCACCGGAGCATTTCGAGGAGAACAGGAAGGGGAACGTCCTGACTACATCGCGATACCTGCTGGCACCGAGTCAAGTGTCGAATATCGTGGACTGGATCCAGAACTCTCTCCTGCCAAAAGTGGCAGAGATCCCTGGCTGGAGGAGGACATCCTGGTTCAGGACTTCGTATCTTGAACCTCGCGAAGACGGGAAAGTCGACGTTGTCGTGATCAATGAGTTCACCCCATCAACCGAACCCAAGTCTGTGCCCATATTCGAAGCTCCACCCGTGGAAGTTTCGGACAGCAAGGTCCGCACATACGAACTCTTTTACACCTTTGGAGGAGCGGCCCGGCACCTGGGAATTGTAGCTCCCTGGACCTCGCCCGACGGGCTCACCAAGACCATCCCCAACGTTTCACCTTTTGGCTCAGCAGTAGAGTCCACGGTCACGACACGCGATGGCGCAGTCCTACCTTTCCGCCTCGAAGGCAATCCTTCTGATCCTGACGCACCCGTGCTTGTATTGGTCAACTCGGTCCTCGTGACCTGGGGCATCTGGGACAGCTTCTTGAAGCATTTCTTCTCTCGGCCACAGAACCAACAATATCGCGTCCTTCGGTTTTTGTCCCGTGGTCGGACCATGCCCAGCGGCACGACGAGCCCCGTGACCGTCGACGTTCAAGCTTCGGACATCATCCAGCTCTTGGACTCACTTCGCATACCCCAGGCTGCGGGCTTGGTTGGCGTTTCCATGGGCGGAGTGACGGCGCTGGCGACAGCACTCAAATACCCCTCGCGGATCAAGTGCTTCGTCGCCTGCGACACCTCGGCCAAATCCCCGGCCGGGAACAAGGACACATGGAGCCAACGCATTGCTGTGGCCGAGAAGGGAGGCATGACGCTGCAGCTCTCGTCACTGTTTGGCGACGAGTCCCCCGACGCCAGTCCGCAGCCGGTGGTGGGCGAAGAACTTGCCGAGATGACGGTCCGGCGCTGGTTCGTGCCCGAATCCTACGACAATCCCGACCTTGTGCCTGAAATCGCCAGGGTCAAGCGGATGGTCCTCACCAACTCGCTGCCCGAATTCCGCCGCGGCGTCGAGTCTCTGTTCAATTACGATTACACCGATCTCATGCCCGAGTACAAGGGTAGAGGCGCCTTTCTGGTCGGTGCTGGAGATGGGGTGTTACCTAAAGGAATGGAAAAGATGTCAAAAGAGTTGGGATCGGCTGACGGACGGTCTGCTACGTTCAAGATTGTCGAGGGTGCTGGACACCTCCCGATGGTTGAGAAGCCTCGGGAAGTGGCAGACTTTGTGGGCGATTTTTTGGATGGTAGTAGTACTACTACTTAGAGGCTTTATGCAAAGCACAAGTAGCGAATACGTCAGTACAAGCATGTGGTGCTGACTATATACCAGTACTTATATTCTAGCTGTTACAGCCCCTGGTAACCCTCGCTTCTATCGACTTCTATACCAGGTACCCCATCGACATGCCGATCAACCGCCCATACTCCTTTTTGGAATTCGAACCTTTTGTCGTCCGCCTCTTCTCCGAGATTCTCAATCGGCTAAGCCCATTCGCCAACTTTCACCGGGAAGAATCCTGGTGCCGCCCGTTGTATTAACAACAACGACACTTGCTGGGTCTTGGGAAGTGCCGCCGGACAAAAACCTTCTTCCTTCTGATGTTGTGATCTGACAGTGTTGGGAAAACCCGTCGCACGTTCAAGAGTTGTCGCCCCAGTGGCGAGGAAACTCTCCTGTATACTACCTAGTACTAAGTATCGCTGGAACATCGGGGGTTCTAAGCTGGGTGGATTGGCTGATTGAAGAATGTTTTCGCACCGGTTTTCGTGCTCAAAATATTGTAAATGTAGAATCCTTCAATGCCGAGTGCAACCAGTTTTAGAATCCTTCTGAGCTGTTTTCACTTTATCTTCAGTGTATTCTCACTACTACTTTACTATAGTACCTAGTACCGAAGGGACTTTTTAAGAATTTGGCAAACTGAACTTGGGCGAGTGGATTGAGTGAGTCTGAGCATGCCCTGAACCGATTGCGAGTCGTATCTTGACCGGTTCCAAGTAGAATCTAATGCGAATGTGAATGTGGTCTGCACTTGATGCCTCAGACTATCCTAGGGAGAGCGTAGACGCAGGGGAAATGCTTAAAATAGCAGCCGCGGCTAAACTTCTTTGCGTAAAATAGCAGGTACGATTTGAGCTGGCCGTGCCTACCTTATCGTTCTTTAATTTTTTAATTTTTGAAAAGACTAACGTTAGAATTTTTTATAATTTCTAATTTATAAAGCAACGACGCTACTACCTCAATTAAAAGGACTTTGATACTGATCTATAACATAGTTCTATCGTTAAAATATCTTATAAAAGACCTCGTTACTAATATTTAAATTTTAAATTTCAATATATTTAATTTTTTTACTCAAGCTAAATTAAGATATATATAGTATAGTATCAATATCTATAGAATTAATGTAGAATATAGGGAATCAACTGAAATATTTTAAATCGAGTTAGCGAGCTTACTTTTCTCTAGTACTCTATAGCGCTAGTTTAACTTAGGATCGACTTAATCCTAGCTCGATCTATTATCCCTAAGATACTAATACTTATATTCGTCTATAAGTAATAGTATTATAACCTTTTAAATAAGGTTATTGATTAACGCTTATATATCATAAGAGTTAATTTTTTATAGTAGACTAGAAGGGAAGGCGAGATAATATATCGATAGAACTCTTTATTTATATACTACTCTACTTATAGATGTATTTTAAAACCGATTAACTCGATTTCAACCGATTTAGACTAATTTATAATAATATAGTACTTAAGTATAGAATGATATTTTCTAATTTTCTCGCTCTCTTCGAGTTTTTCTAATAGAAGTTATAGGAGATATAATCCAAAGTAAGTCAGTACTAATTAATTATCTATCAATGTATTGACTTGAATTCTATCTGCATATCTTACAAAGGTTATTGGCTTCGTGATGTTCAAAAACATCGACTTTTGACCCATTTTTGGCGAGAATTGGGGTGGAGGTCCTTACCGCAAGATTCAGTGTCTAAAATTGACTCAATAGTAGGCCTAAACTTTCATTTTCCTACCACAGAAACCCAGATTCAACCGCCAGCCGCAGGACCAAGTTCGGTTCCTTTCTCACTAAACAGCCACATGCGCGAAGGACTTGAAAGTCTCGACTCTTCCCTGCCTCCTTCTTGACGAGTTCATCCTGGTCTGCATCGAAACAGACGCCCTCAGTCCCGTCTTCGCACACAGATGCAGCTGCTTGGATCCCCATATCGCAGTACAACTTCTCAGCCAGACTGAGAAAGTTCGGTGGTAATATTGCTCGTGATCAGTCTCGAGCCGAAGTCCACGTCCTTCATTCACGTTTGACTCTTGACGCTTGTGAGTCGGCTCCTGCTTATGCATGGTGAGATAAGGAGAACTGCAGAGTTCCTCGTCCTAGGTCACATGGTGGGCGTTCCCATTTCTCATCCGGCGATACCAAGTTGAGAGTGATGCCTGGGATACTGATGCCGCTAAGAACGTTGCGATCGCTTTGGAGTGGTTGAGAAGTTGCGATAGAGACGATCCTCGTAATCTCTTAGGAGCGGAGTGTTGAAGCCCCTCTCGTTCTCTTCCGGCCAGCCTCCCCGACCGTTGACTACCGTGACCCATGGATACAACTAAACCCATGGTTGCTGTAGACCAGAGGAGCGATGCTAGCACTGTTGGTTGACTTCAAGTCTAGGGGAGGGAAGAAGATGGCATGGATCTTGACTTATGAGTGAGAGGAGACTGCTATCAGTAGTAGTTGTCGGCAGAAATTTGTTGAGAACGACTGAATTCTTTTCAACAAGCCGGTGGGCATTTCTGAGACGACTGTGAACTCATGTGCGGCCACGTGTAGGTTGTAAGTATATACAAGCGTTGACCACAAAATGCCGTAGTTTGATGAACAAGGAGGATCGCCCTCTTGCTGTTGCGGGCAGAGGGATTCTACTTCTTTGATTCGGCGAGCCTCGTCTTCGTTGGGCAGCCTGGGGTCAGTATGTCAGTAGGATCGCAGCTCGATTGAAACAGTAGTCAATAAGGGTGTCGTCTTGTGCACGTGTATCTGTGTGTTTGGTTCTGTCGCGCACTTTCCTTTGTCGGTTTCAGTTCAGGGCATCCTTACTTGCGAACTGGAAAATCTGGAGCCCACCACGCAAGGAAAGGTCCCCAACATCAAGCTCTTCAGCACTGTTCGTAGCATGTAGACGGTGGACCACTCAGAATCAGGAAAGCTTCATGATGAACAGGCACATATGTCTGTGTTTGGGTGTGGCCTGCTGCTGCGGTTGAATACTTTGTCCTTTGTGCGCAGATCAGATTCATGCAACTTTATCTCCTAACTTTAACTTTATCTCGCATGTCCACCACAGTAAACCCGTCGATGCACATTCGAGTAGACCAACGCTAGGTGAGGACTGCGTGGGACTGCTGAGGAGACCTTCGGCGAAGTCGGGGACAGAGAAATGCCCGCATAAGTCCATCGCCCACGTGAAGCAGCGAATATCTTGAGTGGCAGGCACCGCACTGGCTCATCAGTAGGATGTCCCCCAGAGAACGTCCGCAGGCACAGAAAGGCACAGCTAGCTCGACGGAAATGTGCTGCCTGTTCTCCTTTCCAGTCACAAGACACCGCACTGTTGCCTGTCTGGTCAGCAGGTGTGTGCCTCATGTTGCCCGTGCCATGGATGCTTTCCTCATCCGGACGTTGGCGACTGCGGTACTCCTCACAAGCCATCTCGACGCGCCTGTCATCAGTACCTACCTTAGGTGGCTAAGCATGGACCTGTTCTCAATCGGCTTGGTCCAACTTTATGAGCCGATCGATGGTCAGGTCATCCACACACGTACTCGAGACTCGTATTCCTCACCAGTTTTGACACTCGACGCCTCGATGCCTCGACGCTCTCTGTCCAAGCCACAATCCACGAACGAGAAAAAGTCCTAATTAAGTAGCGTACCCGAAGAAGCAATCGCATCGAGTCTCCAGCCAACTGCACTTGCGACAGTCCAGCCACCGAGGATCGTAAACTACAACTAATCCAGTTAGTCACTGGGAGAAGGACCCCCGAAAAACACCGCAGATGACATCATCCTTTCTTACGCGAGCATCACAGCAGCATCGCTCGCTCGGCAGTGTTTTGCGGCCGCAACGGACTTAGATTTCGCCATGTACGGAGTACTGCCAGCACAACTTGCATGCCGGGCATTTCTTACCTTATGCTTCAAAGTCTAGCTAGCCAGGCAGCTCCGCGATGGTTGGGTGGACCACTTCCCAAGTGAGACGACCGGCGACCGAGGACGACTGGACCAACATAATCTCCGGATCCAGCGAACAAAATTACACTTCGGCGGATTTTGGACGCATCAGTTTTACAATCTTGCTGGAAATATCGCGAGCGACGCGTGTCCGGCGCCGTGAGACTCGCCGGCTGAGGCCACGCAACTGCTTGCTGAGATTGAAGCAGCGTTGCTACCACGATGCTGCCGCAGACTCCCTAGCAGGTGGCGGATGCGGGAAGGAGTAGCTTCTACATCTGCCTTGTGCAGACTATGTCCATGCAACGGAAATTCTGTTGCCTAGAGATGACTCGGAATCCTGCGGGATGCTCTGGATGGATTTCAAATGATCTTGTTGTGGCGCGGAGGCTCGGTTCTGAAGCAACTTCCAGGCTGACCAGATGCTTCATCAGGTAGGTCACATTCTTGCATCGGGAGTACCCCTTGACATCGACCATCGCACACGAAACATTGGTCGTTGCAGCGTTTCATCGCTCATCAGACCCTTTTGCAGCAGGTTCTTGGATTGAGAGGAACTACTAGCATACTTCACTTGCTCCGTCGTTGTGAGTGTCGGGTGCACCGCAGACAGTTCGGTTCTCCTGGCACACGCCTTCCTATCCAAGAAGACTGCTTACCGGACGTAGGTACTTGTGAGCAGGGGTCCATGAGTTGCTGAACCCAAATCACAAGCATCGCTAGACTTGAGGACGGGTGAGGAGTGCTGCAGCACCGTGTCTGGCTGTCTCGTAAGCAGCGGCTTCCTACTACTATAAGTGACGAGCTAGCAAAGGTAGCTCATCGTAGCAGCAATACATACTTCACATCATTCGGTTCTAGTTCGTGATGTTGAGGCTGTGGCTATCTGCTGTTGATGCTGGGAATCTCGGACCCCGGAATATAAAATTAAAATAAAATCATCGAGTTATGTCAGCCACACTTTCAATGCTTCGAAACTCCAGCCTCAACCCAGGATTCAACACTCCGGAAAACGTTACCACACCTCACATCACTCGCTATGTCATGTCATGTCAGAAGAATTCCAGTACCGGTAGGATCATGATGCTGTATACAATACTCGCCCCCACAAAGTACGCCGTCCGTGGCGGTCCTTTAGATGCGGCCCCCGAGGCTGACTGACCCCAACTCCAACGCCAACGCCAACACCAACACCAACATCCAAAATACATTGCCCGGACACGATCTCAGTAGTACCAGTATTCGCAAGTACTCTCAGCGACCAAAATTTGCCTGGTATAATAGCATTTACTTCGACAGTTTACTGTGTACTGTGTATGCGGTGCATCCGTTCCAACCTATGACTGCACCACCCACGCCAGCCCGATACCCCCGCGTTCGATTCGAGAGTAGGGGTCCGACCAATGCCTATCGAGAAAGGAAAAAAGAAGATCGCAGACGAAAAATGCAGATCGTGACGAAGACCGAGAACACTAATTCCCACATAGGTAAGTAGTATGATGCAAACAAAAACGTCGTCGTATCGTCAACACTCGACGTCCCCTCCACTTAATCACACAGATCAAAGATCCAAGTCTGGCTTCCCATCCACGGCTCCAGTCATGCCCTGCCGAATCCCGAAGTTGACGTCCTGGCGCTGTTCTGCTCCAACTACAAGCATGTTGTGTTACTTCATTCATTTCATCCATGCAATCAGGCCCGAGCTACAACAAGTCCAGCAATCCCGGTAAACCGACAATCCGCTCCACTCCGGCCATCCCACCCTCGATCGAAGCATCGTGCTGTGGCGTTGTATGATAATCATGCAAAGGACACAAGATCACGAGAAAATCATCATTGTATCGACAATGGGAAAATCAATACCATCTGTATTCACAATTGAAACCAATATGTACCATGTCCGACCACAAAAATCTGCAGCATCATCCTCGATTTGCGCTCTCCCAATCGACTGCCATGCTGAAACCCAATTGCCAATGCCAGTAGTGATACAGTCTATCATCGATATGGTGATCGTTGTGAGTGTCATCCTTTTTCCCCCTGTGCCTGCCTAGAAAGAAACCGAAACATCAACCGCAATTTGCTGTAATAAAATGTCCATTCTAAATTCTCTTGCGCCATGCCGTGCCATTCCAATGCTCCACCATGGAGGTTCCTCGAATGGAATTCCTCAAACATGTCATTGTTCGCCATTCATTTCATCATCATCAGTGCTGAGGTAAGCCGTGTGCAACAGGCAAGAAAAACCGCCTCGCGAAGAAAAACAAAATTAGTCGTACAGAATAATCCGAGGCCGCTGGGCCCCGACGTCAGAATTGGAGAAGGTTGTATCCAATTGATTTCATCACTTCTGGCCCTTGCGCTTTTGCTTGCCCACCCAGTCAACGTCTGGATGTACAACACGCATGTGCCTCGTGAGCGCATCGTTACGTGAGAATGTCTTCTCTTCCGTACACAGATGACATCGGACCTTTTGCTTCCGGGCATTGTGGATTGTATCCTCGTGTCGGGTCAGATCATAAGGTCGAGAGAAAACCGAGTTGCAGGGCTTGCCGGTGCTGGGGTTGATGCGATCGCACCGGTGCGGGCCAGCCTGAGAGTTCCGCAATGCTAGATTAGGCGATGCTGATGCAGCTGGTGATGTCTGCCTGTGACCATCTCTTTTGTGCTTCTGAAGTTTGGCCGGTGTATCGAACCGTAAATGACAACCATGGTAAGTGCATGAGTAAGTCCCAGAGTCGGAGGACGTGTCCTCCGGCCGCTGTACTGGCTGTTGCTGAGGCGCAGGCCGTGGCTGCGCCTGCACTCTGATCCTTTGCGACTGTTGGCTCGAGGGCTCAGATGGTCCCTCCTCATTCGTCGACTCCATGGAGAGCATATGTGCTGGGAACTCCGGCGTAACGTCTTGCAAACCCGTGCTTTGTTGTCCTGACTGGCTGACGAATGGATACTGTTGAGGAATTTGCATGGAAGACTCGTTTGTCATCACGGGGGTGTAGAAACTCGCCAGGTTCGACGATGTTCTACGGTTCCCGAACATAGCATTTGACTGGTCCGGCGCAAACAGAGGTGTCGCGTGATCATCAACGTCATGCTCGTCCAACATCAGATCCTTGGGAGATATCGATGTCCGCTCCTTCTGGAGGACAGGTGGCTGTCGTGGTCGCTGTGCTGGCGCAGGCATGCTGTAAGGCGAATTCTGTCGGAACGGTGACTTATCGCGGGGATCGGATGTAGGTGAATTCGTCCTCAGGTGATCTTGTGTCGCGGCCTGTAGTCTATCGGCCATCATGTTCTGTCGGTGCGACGAGAGGTTCATCCTCTGCATGTTCTGCTGGGCTTGAGGATATGCCATGGCAAAGTGCTGGTCTGGGAAGACATCTTGCAAGGATTGCTGGTATGCGGCCGTGGGGTATGCTGCTTGAAACTGTAAGTATTCGAACATGGTGTCTTCTTCCTCCAGGGCATGCTCACCATAGACATGCTTCTCATCGTACTCTGGCTCATAATTTGTATGCGGCGTCGCGGGAGAATTGTGACTCATTGTCGACACTGACTGAGGCGCGGACAAGTTGTATGACGCACGCTCGTCGGCGCCTTGTGATTGTATCCTCCTCATGTCAACTGCGCCAAAATTCTGGGGGTACATCATGGCCGAATCTGATTTGGCCGTATGTGGAGTTTGAGAGTAGTCGAAGTCGTAAGAGGAGGGAAAGTTCGAGTCGGTGGTGGCGACAATGTGAGGATATATGTTGTTGTGGGTGAGAGGCGAAGGAGGCCCGAGAGATGCGACCGATGACCCGGACGAATCCCTCTTGTGAAATTTCTGAAAGTTCTTGGGCAGCGCACTGAGATACCCGCCTGTATGATATCCGTCGTTCCACCCACCTACCAACGGACTCTGAGCAAGCATGGGTGGTTGTGTTGCAGGAGTCGGGGTAGGTGTCGGGCTCGAATGTTGGATGCGAACGCTGGGGCTACTTGGCTGTTTCGCCGACTGCTTGTTCATCAAGATAATGTAGTATGTGTGAGGCTCGAGCGGGAGTGGCGAAGAGAAGGTACTCTTGTATGAACCTCAGATATGGTAGGATGCGTTGTTTGTTATGTCTTGGTAATGGAGGACGTGGAGGTAACTCGGACGAGTGTAAGTGGGCTGTAGCGGAGAAGGACAGTCAGAAATGAGCAGGTGGCAAATGTAGGAATATAGAGAAGAGGTATTTGAATAGCCGGAGCACGACGGGGGCTGACGACAGACAAGATTGGAAGTCGGTGGAATGATGGTCTGTCGATTGGAAAGCAGAGACCGAGACGGGGGGATTGGGTGGTGGGAGCGGAACGGACCTGATATTGGATGGGGGTTTCTCCTTTTGATCCTTGGAGGTGCAAATTTCGATATTGATGCAGCGTTACCGGGTTGCAGAAAAGAGGCAGTGGTAGTGTTGTCAGGTTGCGTTGAAAGTCCAGGTTTGTTGAGTGCATTCGGCCGGAACCAGGACCCTGGCTGCAGGAAGCGAAAAAGAGAGGGTCAGCGAAGCGATGACGTCGACGAGTGACAAGGATGTGATCATGGCGCACCAGCGGTGATGGGCACCCAGAATGGGTGAAGGGGTCTTTTTTAGGGTTCGCTCGGCGATACCTGTACGTAGTAGCCCGTAATACTCGTGTGTTAAGCTGGCCGCGGCTTTCTTGCGGGCTTTTCAGGCAGCGCAGAGGCCTACGAGTAGTGAGCCTGCCCACGGACGCCTGGGGTGACAGGTTTTCGCTTGACATGGGTGTCATGGGTGTGCTCGGCGTGTTGCACCTGCCGTGACCTGCCACTCCTGCCTAAGAAGTGAATCTCTGCCGGCGTTCATCTTGGAGACACTACTGTGTATAGGTCCGGGGTCGCCGTTCACTGCAATGGTACTCACCACAGGCAGTCGCATTGATTTCGGTTGTGCCATAATTGCCGGGTGTAGGCGATGCTTGCGAGGGCAGGGCCAGCGAGGGCCGCGGCCATGGAAAACAGAGAAGGGACAAAATTGGTGCTGATCGGATTTTCTCTTCCATCATCTCGCTCTTGGCAAACACTCCTCCAGCCAATCAGACACGAACAGAGGTGTGGCTGTGCGAGTCGCAGCCAATGATTGTCTTTGGCTGACGACACCTTTACTCGAGCCGAATCCACCCGAGAGCCCGGCCAAATTTTGTACGAGCCAGAAGGTGCCTGAGCACCTGAGTAATGCCTCAACCGACGAGTCAACTGTAGCTGAGTAACACCCAGAACGGGCACTGTAGATTCTAGATTCTGCCTGCAAGATCCCGCCCTTTCCATGACTGCGTTCCGGGTACGCTTACCTTGTCCATTTCCACCTTTCTCCATGCAGACTCTGCATGCCGCTTATGGTGTGCGACCGCTCGCGTTGAGCGTTGAATCCGAATGCAAACGCCGATCGGGCTTCGACGGGGTGCGGCGTTGACTCATCAACCAAGAGAGCTGAGTAAATAAAGTGGACAAGGACCGTGTTGGGAGCCTCTGTCTTAGTTTACCCCAATGCACGACCATGCTGATTATGTGGCAGCCTTGTCGTGAGGTGAGAAGTCACTCCCAGTCCTTGAATTGGTGTACTATTGTCCTTGATTGTGTTTGATCCAGCTGGCTTCGGTCCTAGATCGGCGAGCAGATCCTCGTATAGGTTGACGCCCTTTTGCAACCATGTTAAGACAAAGTCTGAGACCAGTGTTGCCGTGAAGCCGAATGGCTATGTGCTGAGCATCGCATTCAGGCGGAATCTTGAGTGACCAGACTCCACCCTCACGAGGAAGAGGAAGACTTCTAGAACTCGATTTTCCTCGTCTAACTGCAGGAACGCGCCGAGGGTTGCCGTTGCATTGGAACCAGCACTGAACCAGCAATATTAGGCTGATCTAACCTGGGCACCCTGGGATGGTAGTGGATGGTGCTGGTAGGGCTGATGCGCAATATGATTCTAGACGCCCGACGTGCAGCTGAAGGAAAACTTTGTTCAAGGCCCGCTCACCAAAATGATTGGACTCCCGACACCATCCCGCGCAGCAGACAGCACACTATCGGCTATGATCGGAGGCCCTCCGTTCCAGGCGCACGTCGTTGCAGATCTGACAAGACTGCTAGCCTGAAGTGGTATGTGAAGCCGACAATTCTCGATTTTGGGGGTTGGACAACTTGAGGTCTGAGCCAAAGCATACTGTTCTGCATATGCGTGTTGATTCTTTCTGTGTGCCATTGCTTGAAAAAGTATGCCCGAGGAATGGCACAGATGCTCGGCAGTTCCGTCGTGGTCGATACGACTGTTGGGTAGGTGGTTGTTCTGTCCAACCTGTCCTTGAATGGCCCGGACCACATTCCGTATGGTACACACCTATCCAGCTGATTACGAGTACTTCCTGTTTACAACCAGGACCTCGGTTCCGAGGTGTGCCATGTAAAATAGATGCACGCGTGTTATGGTCTTCGCTTGACAATTATTGGTCCGGTCTTAGATGCACCGCCACATCTGTCTCATGTCTGGGGAAGTGATGCGCACTGTATGGTCGTACACAGCATCTTTGGTTCTGGGTAGCCTCGCGTGGCCCTCGCTTCCGTGTTGACTGAGGGACCCATTACAGCTGATCTTGTCAATGCCATTATTGCTGCGTTGCTCAGCTCTGCATGGTTGCCAGCCCAGCTATCGGTCAACCCTACAAAGCTTTCTACACCGGAGGCTTGCTTCTCGGATTTTCGTCGTATCCCATACTGGGCAAAGTACCTTCCGGGTGGCCATATGGAGAAAGTACATCCAGACGCCACAGCCTTGCGCCAGAGGTCAACATACGGACATTTGCAGGTTCTCCATTCCTATCCCACGCTGCATGTCTGTGTGGCTGTCTCTCTTCAGCTGGGATGAGATTTGGCCAGTGGTGCTACAGTGGCCAGCCCGACTTTTGTTAGCTGAGCAGTCCGTCTGCCGACAGGATCGTCCAATATGTTCTGTTGTGCTTTCGGAATCTTGCTTGCCGGGCTCGTATTGGCCAGCGTGTCGCAGTTTTGTCGACTGCTGATCACTTTGCACATCATGCTGTTAATGGCAAGTTGCTCCCAGGACCGTCACCACAAGACTTGTTTTCCTGTTTTAGGCTGCGACTCATAACGTGAACGGATTCGTAACATGGTAGCTCGGCTGTTTTGTTGATTAGCCACCAGCGTCATCTTGTTTGGGACAACTCGCAGTGTTTACAAGCTCGTTGATGTCAATCACTCTGCTCGTTGAAGTGCCGACGAGCAACATCCTTAGGCGTGTAGGACGTGGCGAGGTAGTAGGCTCCCTGATTTGTACGGTTATTGAATCCCAGTGGCTGGAATGTCGACCTCAGATGTTGCTCTGATACCTGTGTCTAACATGGGTGCCGCGCTTCGTAGATCAGCCATCTCAGTCTGCAGAGCTTTCATCACTGTTGTTAATCGGTGACCATCGAGTCGTGCCAATACCCTCATCTGTAACTCATCGGCATTTGTTCACATGTAGTGATGTTGTGTTTGAACGTTGAGTTTCCGACGAGTTGGGTGCACTCCGCCAAGATTAAAAAAATAATCCATGCCGAACGAGCCAACTTATCTTATGCCGGTATCACGATCAAACTCAGCACATACACAAAGTTGGGACACGATGTGGCTTGAGCTGATTGAGCCCGAACACTCGTAGTTCACAGTCTGCACCTTTTCATACAATGCTCCTCAAAACCGTCTTTACAGAGTGAGCCATAGACAAGAACACCCTCAACAATGCATTCAGCTAGAAGGTACAAGAACCTACAAACGACCATGATGGCTCTCAAGCGCTGAACCCATCTGCCAGCAGAGGGATGTCTAGTATGTTGGTCAAAGGCCAAAGTCAGGGAAGGCCAAGATCACGACGCCTTACAACGACATGGCCTGATGTGGTATGCCATCCACGAATACGACAGCCTCGGAAATATGGGAAGCACAGATTGTCCAGCCTGGCAAGCGACCCAGATGTGAACGTTTCTCGAGATCTGGCTCTTTCCCGTCGGGTACTTATCAATGGTACTGCAGGAGACTGCAGTATTCCTGTGCACGAGTCGAGTCGACCCACTGACCGGCGGCCAGAGGCGTCGCTTCTTGATGTGATCTTTGGAACAACTCTCTCAAGGAACTACCTCCGAAGTGCCCGGCGTCGACAGAGCTTGCTCCGCGTGCATGATTTAGGAACGCTTCTGCCCGTAGGATCGACCGTCCAGATATTGCGAGCACGGCGGTACTGATACAGATCGAGCCGTGCCATCGATCCATCCATGTGGCAGTCAGACAACCATGAGCAGTGCAACAACAACACCCGGATACACACCACCAATCAGGCCACCACGAAAAGACATACATGCCTAATTTCTGCCGCTGGCCCCGAGTCCTCCTAGCACCACGGTCAGTGAGCAGAGAAAGACGTGAATCCTGGCCTACTTGCTTTCCAAAGTCGCTCACCATACTGCATGCAAGACTGAAAGTTGGTGAGATCGGATGCCTTCCAGCGGACAGCAGGCTCAGGCTGACGGACATGTCATTGCCGAAGTATCAATGTCGCACGCGTCTCTGCGTCTGCTCTAGGTAGACTACGCTGGTATGAGTCGAAGTGATCTTGATCATGCAAGCCTCCAAGACAGACCGAATGGGAGGGAAAGCACTACAACCATTCAAAGACTAAGCCAAGCTGGGCTCGATGCCTCTCTACAAGCCAGGGCTAGCTAGCAGTCCGTCACTGAAGCAATGTTTTGAAGACCCATGCGGTTTGGCAGACACGAAGTGACGCGTCGCAGCCGGACCAACGCGATTCGATGGCACGGACGAGGCGGAAAAGGTAGGGAAACAAGTGTGCTTTGAAATGTTATTTCATGCTGGTGCTGATGCATTTGTCATGGCTCAGCCCATCTCTCAACGCCGAAGCAGGCTGTATTCATGTTGTGCCTGCTATTGATACATCAAAGCACATCATTGGATTTGCCATCCCATCATAACCATGACCCTTTGCAACCCCAGTGAGAACCCATTTGCATGACCAACCACTCCGAAACTCAAAGCAAAAAAGGATTAGGCAACTATGCCATGGAAGATGGCAGGCACAGTAAGCCAGAATAGTGATGTCGTGGTGCTGGTGTGAAGAGCAAGATGTTTAACCACCAAAACCTGGGCCCTGTTAGTTTGGTTCTGGGAGAAACAGTGAGCAAGTACGAACCGTAGAGGGTACGGCCTTGTCTCTTGAGAGCATAGACGACGTCCAGAGATGTGACAGTCTTTCGCTTGGCGCTAAGGAACAGATCAGTACATGTACAGATGAAAGCAGGATGGAAGAGCTCACTGTTCAGTGTATGTGACGGCATCACGGATGACACCCTCAAGGAAGGTCTTCAAGACACCACGGGTCTCCTCATAGATCATGGCGGAGATACGCTTGACACCACCACGACGAGCGAGACGTCGGATGGCAGGCTTGGTGATACCTTGGATGTTGTCGCGAAGAATCTTTCGGTGACGCTTAGCACCACCCTTGCCGAGGCCCTTGCCACCTTTGCCGCGTCCAGTCATGTTGATAGATTGGGATTGAAGTTGAAGGTTTGAAAGAGATGAAGTGGTATGAAGATGGTGGATGGAAGTCTTGTTTGCTTTGAGATGGAATAGTGGGAAGGGAACTTGATTGGGGAGAGGCGGCGGGGAGGAGCACTTATGCACCCCGGCAGCGCGTCTCAGATCAACTTGCGACTGCCAGATCAGAGCCAATCAGAATTAAGCAGCCACCACGCCTGACGCTGGATCATTGGCCTTCACCCAGCCTTGGTAACAGCATCGATTTGGTGATCTCTCTACCAAAACCACTTGGAAATTTTGATCCTGATGATAGAACAGACAATAGACTCATGCGATCATTCCTACAGTGAAATAACAAAATTATTGAGTGTAGCGATATGCTCATGCTGGGGTTGAGAGGTGTCCCTTGGTAGTGTAGATCTTTGATGTGGTACGCCAAGCGCGGGATCACGGGTTCTGGCAAGTCAATTTTGGGTGCAATTCGAAATCACAGCCAATTCGCCCTGCCAGAAATTGATCATTCTGCACTCCTGATCTGAGTCGATTATTCTGGGTTGATTTCTCTGCCGCGCAACTGCCATCACACACATCAGTCGATCTGAGTCACTGCCCTGATTCCGGATCAACCGCCAAGCTGCCGCCTGCACTTCTGCCTTCCTACAAATACCTGCACCTCCCCCACCTCCACCACTCAACTTCTTTCCCTCATTCAGCCTCAATCATCATCTCCATTCAACCAATTTCATCATCAACACCATCAATCTTCATCGAACAATCCATCGCTATGGCTCGTACCAAGCAAACCGCTCGCAAGTCCACTGGTATGATCCACCAATACAACCTCATCGTCACTTGACATCGTCGCTGACTTCAATTTCAGGTGGCAAGGCCCCAAGAAAGCAGCTCGCCTCCAAGGCCGCTCGCAAGTCTGCACCATCCACCGGAGGTGTCAAGAAGCCTCACAGATACAAGCCTGGTACCGTCGCTCTCCGTGAGATCCGTCGCTACCAGAAGTCCACCGAGCTCTTGATCAGGTTCGTCAATCACCTCGCTGTCATTACTTGAAAATGAACTGACAACCAAAACAGAAAGCTTCCCTTCCAGCGTCTGGTCCGTGAAATCGCCCAAGACTTCAAGTCCGACCTTCGCTTCCAGTCCTCTGCCATCGGCGCTCTTCAAGAGTCCGTTGAGGCCTACCTCGTCTCTCTCTTTGAGGACACCAACCTGTGCGCCATCCACGCCAAGCGTGTCACCATCCAGTCCAAGGACATCCAGCTTGCTCGTCGTCTCCGTGGCGAACGATCCTAGATGATGACATGACTTCTCAACTTGCCAACAATACTTCAGTCATCATGACTCTTCACACCATTGGGAAGTTGGGTTGAACGAACGTGCTTATGGGGGGTTTCATGAGTTGCACCGGCGAAACGGAATGATATTTTATGGGCTGTGGTGTTTTTCAAGAAACACGATCATGGTGATCATGGGGCTTTGGCGTTTTCTGCTTGTAAATCAGACATCGATTCAGTCATACAGACATGACATGAACAGAGCAGAAAGCGCAACAGAAGATAGACGCTGAATACAATCACGTCAAACCATCACATTCGTATTCTTTTCTTGATTTTGTTCTAGACGTCTCTGTTTTGAGAAAGAGGCCTGGCTTTCCCTTACCAGAACCTAGCTATTCTGAAAGCCGCCGAGGCCTGGTGAGCTCATATTTGGATTGCTGGATTGTCCCTAGAACTGCAACTCTCAGCGCTGACGACTGCCGATCTTAGGGGCCAGCGCCACCTAAACTTTCCGAACTACAAGGCCGCAGAGGCGCCATCTCGGCATCTCACCTGCAGCTGAAAAGGGGATCTAAGCTTCGGCAACCTGCATTACCGATCATCGGGTTGAGTTTCTGTGACCAACATCTGTGCAAAAAATGCTAATTGTCTTTCAGAGGACGCAGCTGCTGATGTTCGAGATGGCAGACACACGACGATGATACGACTGCACAGGGCGCCGCTCAAATTTGGTGCCCAAAATCCATGGCTACGGGCCCCTCGATCCCGCCCTCAGCATGCCCAACAGCGTAAATCCACCAATTCTTCCGCGCCCAAGGAGTCCAAGTCTGTCAGCGAAAGTCAGCTTCCTCCACATACGCCGAATGAAGTGACGATCGAGAGCACGAAGACTGAGCCGGTCGATATCCCCATCCAGCTATGGTACCACCGACTAGGACCGGTGTCGACGTTCTTTAACTGGTTTCACCGTAGCCAGGTGAAGAGGCCGTATACGGTACAAGTGTGCACGACTTTGGTCACGTACCTGTGTGGTGATCTGGGAGCCCAAGAGATCGGAGGAGAACGCTACGATGGGATCAGGACATTGCGCATGCTCACGATTGGGGCGCTCGCGAGCATACCGGGGTACAAATGGTGAGTTGACTTTGGGGCAACGGGCAACTCAGAGAGATGGCATGAGACGAGAGGGACGAGAACTGACATAAGATACTAGGTTTCTGTTTCTGGGCCGTAACTTCAATTTCCAGTCCAAGATCGCGTCGATCGCAACGAAAGTCGCAGTCAACCAGGCTGTTTTCACGCCAATATTCAACACGTATTTCTTCGGCATGCAGGCTTTCCTGACTGGAGAGTCACTTTCAGGCGTCGTCACAAGGGTGAAAGCTACGGTGCCGACGAGCATTGTCAACTCATTGAAATTGTGGCCAGCAGTCACGGCGTTTACATTCTACTTCATTGCGCCGAGTTACAGGTTTATGTTCAGTGGGATATTTGCAATCGCCTGGCAGACATATCTCAGTTTCCTGAACAGGAAGGAAGAGAAGATCGAGTTCAGCACCGATTCCATGATTAGGCCTGCTGTGCCGGAAGGGTTGGTTGTCAAATGAGCACGTTCGCTGGACAGCCCTTCAAACAGTTAAAGGTCGCAGTGTGAGTTGAAGGGATGTCCATTTCAATCGAATCACTTTGGCGGTTGGATTACTGGGATTCTGAATGCTCGCAGTTGAGGATAGACATTGCATCAAGGGAAGAGCAGCAGTTTGCCTCGAGTCGACGGTGGACAGGGCACAACAGCACACTGGGTAATAAGCCCCGCATACAGGTGTCCAGCATATCGGGATATACAGCGAGCACGTCTGGAGCAGAGTCAGGGCGCTAGAACATAGACCGTAGAATGTAGACAAGAATGGTAACGATATCAATGTATTGGATCTCGTTCGCGTTCAGGCGGCGCACTACTTCGCTCCAGGCGCGAAAGACCCCCGCGACACGTCCACAGTGACCGTCATAACTAGGCAGAAGGACCTAAACACGGCAGCTTCAAGCACGATGCAGACCGACATGATGGACCAAGGTGTATATATCGCGTTGCTCTCTCACTATGAGTTCCAGGTCCTTGCCGGACTCAGTTTGTGCTTTGGGCGTCGTGGTCGTCGTTCAGTGAATAATGACGCTTACAACGCCTCCATCAATCCTCGATCTCTCCTTGACCATGCCAGAACATCGGTATCAACCGCATGATGATGAAGACACGCGTATGCAGACTGAGGCAATTGAATCGCACGTAGCAGATGATCTGCAGCAGGATGGGGATGAATACAGCGACTTTGCAGAGGATCCCGAAGAACTCGAGATAATAGATCGACTCCTCCTTGAAGTCGCCGCAGGGCAATCTTCCGACCTGAGAGCGCCTTTACAGGTCACAGACATCGAAGACTATGAAGCACCACCAGGCGTTCGTCTGCCTAAGGTGTTTGGCTACGAAGCAACGCGTCAATGGCACGTCGAGACTCAACCTACAGAGATTCTCGTCGAGCAGAACATATGCGACCAGAGTGGTGAGTTGTCGTCTTCGCCCTTCCCTCTTTCTCGCTGACAAGCTGACTAGCGGCTAGCGGAATCGAGACCCAAGAATGGCGAGAACGGACAGCTGAAGCTGGAAAGAGAAGAGACATCTTCAGAGCAGCCGTCTGAACTTGACAAGCGATCTCCGCTTGAACGATTTAGAAAGCCGCCGAAGAAACCACTCTCGGTCACCGATCTGATATCTCCCTCCTGGTGCGAGTTACAATATTTCTACGTGCTGAGCAAGCATGGGCGCAAGAGGAGGACCCCGGCTATGAAACAAGGCAGCGCAGTCCACCAGGCTCTTGAAGATGAAGTACACGTTACTGTGCCTGTGAGGATCGTAACGAAAGAAGATAGCTGGGGTCTGCGGATCTGGAACGTCATTCAAGGCTTGAGGACGTTACGTGAGACAGGTCGGACTCGAGAACTGGAAATCTGGGGTTCCGTGGGTGGTGAGTTCGTCAATGGCGTCGTGGACGAGCTTAGTTACGAGTGTCCGGACCTGAAACTCGAGGAGCAGAGCCTCAAGTTCGCGTTGAACCAGGAGTCAGGGCCCCTACCGCCAGAGTATCAAGCCAGTATTCGGGATTATCTGGTCACCAGCGAAAGCAGAGAGCAGGGCCAGTCGATTGAGACAGCGCTCAGCAGTCACGCCACCGAGCCTTCACAATCACGGCGGCCGACACGGTCCATTGACCAGACACGCGTATACATTACGGATGTCAAAACGAGAGGGTCATCAACTCTGCCTACAGGGTCGAGCATCCGACCAACTGTCATTCAACTGCATCTGTACCATTACATGCTCGAGAATCTCGCACAAGGGAATTTCTCGCTCACTGAAGTTGCCATGCGGTATGGGCTTGACGTTCACGCGACCTTCTCAGACGAATTCATTGCGCAGATCGGGAATTTGAACCAAGAAGTCTACGACCTGGCTAGCTCACAGCATCGAGAAATCGACAGTGAAGACGTTTGGCCCTCAACGCAGGACTCGATGGAGATTTTGCTCCAACACAACAATCTCGAAAAGCTCTGGCAATTCATGATGTGGCAGTTCCGAGAAACATTCCTACTCCCTTCGCCGAGCCTCGGTGCCACGCTCACTTCCACGCCAGATACCCAGGAAATACCCTCCTCAACACCACAATCTGTTTCGCAACTTCCAAGTCCACCGTCTCTACCAACACGCCTTTCCTCTCTCTTGACCGCCCGGTATGTCTCGGCAACTCGGGAGTCAGCTGATGGCGAGCCGGAGCTACTGGGCAGCAAGTCCATCATTTTCAATCCGAATTTTCTAAAGTCCTACCTCTATGATGCTCTGGCGTTCTGGCGAGGAGAACGGGATCCCAAGGGCGTGGAAGTGCGAGATGCCTGGAAGTGTCGTATTTGTGAGTTCCGCGATGAGTGTTCGTGGATTCATGAGCGGGATCAGCTTGCCAAAAGCGAGGCGGAGGAGCGAAGAAGAATGAGGGAGGTTGCTGGCTTGGAAAATGGCGCGAACGGAGCCAGGAGGAGCCAAGTGTAGGTAGTAGTTTCGTGGTTCTGATTTCGGTCATGTCATTTGGAAGTGCTGGACGCACAATGACCAGCACAACGAATCTGGAGCATGGTCATTTTGGTCAGCTCAACGCACTTTAGGCGACGCCTTGAGAGGTTTGTTGACGCCTTTACCTCAAGAGGTACATGATGGTATGAATTTGATATGACGAGCAACGCTGAGCTTTGCTAGAGAGCTTGACGACTTGTCCTTTGCTGCAGCGTTTTAGATCTACCAAACGAAGCCATAAGTTGGCGGATTCATATCTGCATGCAAAACGATCAAATTTCATTTCATGGTCTCTTCAAGGTCGGTCTTTTACTGAATTGCCCTTACATGGCGGCAACTATCATTCTTGCAAGGCGATCTAACATTCGCACCCAGCGAAGCCGTTCCATCTACCAGAGGGAATCCATGAACACCTCTCTCCCTTAGAAAGGATAAGCCCTCTTCTCGTCTTCCTCCTCCAGCTTCAAACCCCGGTCGAGCTGCTCCTTGTGCTTGGCGTCCAGATACTCCAGCAGCACGTCCTGATACTTCTCCTTGCCCTTGTACCGACTAACATCGTCTCCCCAGCTTCGGACCGCGCTCGCCAGTCTCCCGGGCACATAATCCTCCTGGGCAACCTCGGTGATGGGATGGAAATACGTGCGAATGGTGAAGACGACGCCTCCGCTCTTCGGCAGGCGGCGCAACGTCTGCCTCTCGCTGCGGAAATAGTGGTGCTCAAGCGCCCGGTTCTTCTCCGCCGTGTTCCAACTGATGCCGTCACTGTCCTCGGACCCGATGGAGTTGCTCCAGGCCAGGTCTTCGTCGACCTGGAGGAAGTAGTTGTTCCGGGCGACGAGTTCCTCGGGCTTCAGGCGGCGGAAGAAGTTCATCATGCCCTTTTCGAGTTTCTCGCGGAATTGCGGCACGTCGCCGGACGTGTGGATCTCGGACAGCACCATGCCGTACTTGTCCTCGAGCCGCCAGAAGCCGGCCAGCAGGACCGCGCCGGCGAGGAGGTAGTACTGCCCGTCGGGCCGCTCGATCATGATGGCGAGGTCGTCCTGTGTGAGGCGCGCGCAGGACTGCATGGGGTCTTCGGGCAAGGGGCGGGATGTCGTGTCGATGTGCTCGCCGGACCAGAGATTGAGGATGCCTGTTTCGGTGCGCTGGTAGAGTGTCGGGTAGCGGTCCGTTAGGTAGCTGCGCAGTTCGTCGAGGAGTTCGTAAGCGGCGGGGAGTGCTTCGGGATGGGTTCTGCAGCACTTAGACCCGCGCTCCTTGATGCGCCGCGCTTTGTCGGCGTGGTAGCGCGGGTAGTGGTTGTCTAGTTCGATCCAGTCGTCGAATTTGATGTTGCGCAGGCCCATGGTTACGAAGTACTTGGGGCCGTAACGGAAGGGCCGGTAGGGTAGGGGCTTTGTGGTGGTGATGGACCAATCTGGGTACGGTGGTGGTTTGGGACGCGTGAAGGAGGACGGTGTCCATGTTCCTGGTTTGCGGGCGGCGGGGCTGGCCTTTTCGATGGTCGGTGTTGATGGGCGTGTACTGGTGGACTTGGAGTGGCGGCGGGAGAGGTATGAGGACAGGACGAGCGTGAGGAAGACTAATAGAGTGATGGCCGGGAGGAGTTCTTTGGCGTGAGGTTTGTCGAGGAGTGTGTGGAATTGTTGCTGGCCGGATTTTAGTAATGATGAGCAGTGGTGTCGAGATTTCTGAAGTTGTGTGTTGGCTTGCTCGACGTATGGCTGGGAGCGGGTGATGAGGTCTGCGAGTGACCGTTTGACCGCTTGTGAGTCCATGACGAACTGAACGTCCCTGGGAGTTCCGTGGGTGGAATGAAGTGGGCAGCTCCGTTAGGGGACGCAATGGAAGATATCCTCGACGAAGAGTATACTGGCATATATGAAGGAAGACCCTCCGGACTTGATGTCTACATTCGACCTCTCCTGCACGCCGAACGGATTGATCTCCAACCCTTCGACGTCTGGCCCTTTCCGAGTCCCCAAGCTGGGACCGGTTACCACGCCTGCCACCCTCACCTTAGGGGCGGTTGCTTATCATTGACCACTGATGTAAAGCGTGGTTCCAGATTATCCAATCATGTGGTCCGAGATGTGGCTGGAAAGGATTGCCATATTGAGGATCGTAGTGGATTTCTCCGCAAATGCTGGTAGCACATGTGGAAGGCTACCGCGAGGCCGGTCCGGCAGATTAGTGTGCACAGAGTCGCATAGATAAGACCGTGTGAGAGGATGATGCTCGATGTTGGGATCGCGGTCATTTTCCTTTTAATTCGCGTTCGGTGTCTCATGACATTTTCCAACATCAGGAATTCCTCCGTCGCAGGAGACAGTGCTCTCCCCAGTGTCGACGGTACTTTGGAGGGATGAAGGGAAGATCAGGGATCCACAGGGTTCTAGCAACCGTTCCTGTGTGAGATGCATCCAAGAACGGTACACATGAAATTCGCTCCCATTTCTCATCTCGAAGGTATAGCGGCTCATGCTCTGTTGCCCGCATACCAGGCATATATGAGTCCACTAGGTAGGTGCAATGTTGGACGTCGGTGTACTTTCCAGGGTCTTCTTCATTGCGATCATTCATTCCGGATGGGATTAGCCATGTACCAGGAAACAATCCAAACCCGGTGTTGCCTTCATGAAATTCGCCGGGAAGGAGGCCGTCAAATTCACTCTTGATGAACTTTGCGTGCACGCCGTTGGGGAGAAAGTGAGATGACGGGAAGCGATACCAATCTTTGCCGAAGCATACTGTGTCACCACTTTCAGTGGCGTTTGGAACCTGGAGGGTGCCGTATATCTGCAGTGGTGCCCGATATGCAGTAACACTTCCAACAATTCGGAGCAAGCCGACATTGATGGCCAGGAAGATGATCGGAAGAACGGCTGCCAGCTTGAGTTTGGCTGGGATCTTGCCAAAGACAAACGAGTTTGGTGACCCGATCCATGCTAGAAATGAATGAAATGCTATCGCTGCATTGAGTGCCAGGAGCGGATAGGCAGGGAACATGAATCTCTCTTCTTTGTGGGGTTGGAGGGTGAAGATACAAAGCCACAAGTAGAAGGGTATGAGAAACGTGAGCGTCCTGAAGGATGGCTGATTCGTCGTCTTTTGCTTGAAGATGACCGATTGCAGCAGGAAGAGAGGCCCGGAGGCCACGGCCAGGACAAACCACAAGTTGAAGTTGAGAAGCAGGTTGCGAACATAATAATCCCAGGGCTCCGTCCCAAAAATGTCTGGTCCTCGATCCTTCCCACCGAAAACGTTGTATGCCACAATGCGCCACGGGACCACAACTGGTGCGTGGTAGAAGAAGGCATCAATACCGACCTGGATAGCGAGAACAATGAGACAGCGAACGACACCATCCAGGTAGCGCCGGAAAGTCTCGAACATGTCGGCTTGACCTATCAAGGTGATCAACCATTCCTCGATGACGAAGGGTATTATAAGCGCTCCTGCAAAGGGCCAGCCCAGCAGAGCTCCTATCCCAAACCACATAATGCCCGTCGCTGTTTTCGGTCCGCCATGCCAGTCCATAAACGAAGTGAGTCCGAGAGCAGAGGTGTACATGGTGAAGCTGGACGGCAGAAATGCAGAAGACGCGTAGAAGAAGCCAGGGCTGAAGGCAACAATCATCAAGAATATGACCCCTATCCTTGGGTTAAGGACTCGAGATATGGCCGAGTACAGTCGAATCTCGGTTGCTGCACAAATGAAGGCCAAGATGACCCGCAACGCATAAAATTCCAGAATTTTGCTGCGTCCGAGAAGGCCAGCAATTTTGGCTGGAATGGCGTGGATGAGAACGTACGCCCAGCTTCGGATGCTGTACTCTGGCGAGTATTCCCACGTTTGGAGACCGTACCCATGGGTGAGATAATGCAAGGGTTCCCAGTAATTGAAAGTCTCGTCGCAGTCTTGAATGGGGGCATAGAGAGCTGCTAGCAGATGCGAAGCGAAACACAGGTAGAAAGCCACATTCAATGGTAGATAGAACCTCGCTGGTGCCGGCTTCGGAGTGGTCTGTAACTGAACTCTGTGTGTGTCAGCATCGGCTCTCAACTCTCCTGTAGCCAGCAAACTTACCCCGTAGGCATACTGATCGGCTTCCGACGCTGCTTAGACTGCTCGTTGCTGGGATCCATTTTGCTGATTGCTGTTCCTGAGTTGGTAGAATCAGGGAAGTGAATTCGAAGGAGACAGATATGCCAAGATTGATCGATTGATCGCTTCGTACTGTGTTACACCGACAGACTGCTGCTGGTCTACTACGTATAGGGGTCAAAGCCTGTGCCGGGTGCTTACTGCATAGATCATAAAGTCCACGTCCATTCGCTATAGCCCACCAGCCTTTGGCCTACAGACTACAACGGCTACAAGAGCTCCCTCGAACTCAACCTGGCAAGTCCTGGGCAAGCTCCAGAACGGCCGCATGCCGAAACTTAACGGGGGGCTTGGCGAAAACTATTCGGATTATATCATTTGGAGAAGCCTATTTTTGAGGTAACTTCTTGTCCGGGAGGATGGCCGAGCGGTTATGGCGTGTGACTCAAGTATCTAAGATCTTGGCTTCTGAATACAGAAGTTTGTTTTCTCATGGGGAAACCCGCGTGGGTTCGAATCCCACTCCTCTCATCTCAGTTTTCGAGGTCATGTTTTTTTTGTTTTACCACCGCGGTGGGTGGGATTTGGAAGCATGAGATACACGAAGTTATCATGGCCTTCGAAGAAGGCCCCCATTTTTTCGCCTGGGCGGGACGACGTGGAGCGAAAAGAGAAGGGGGAGACACACTTCGAGAATCGGTTCTAGCAGTTGGCAGACACCCCTTTTGCCCACGATCACACGCTCGAGCGAATTGATACCCAGCTTATACTCATCATGTTGTTAAGGCGAAACGGCGAACTCCAAAGACATGCACTTGAGTGCCACCAATGCCGCAAAAACGCAGGACAGTACTATGACCTCAAGATCCCACGACGAGCCCATTCGGCAGCTCCAGTCCTATTGGCAAACCGTCAAGCCACTTATCCTTGTAGGTCTCGCCTCTTCTCGCAGCCAATTTCTGCTCGATGTCTCGGTACATATCATACCTTTTATCCCCATTAGTAAGGCAGATCTTAGAAGTGGATGCTGTCCCACGTACGCGTTCATCTCCTCTATCGTCAACTTCTTCTTTTCGTCCTCGACTTTATACGTTGCAATGTTCTTGTTGTTGGAGAAGCCTGCGACCTTCTTCAGCGCCTACCTCATACTAAAGCCAAAGAGCTGCTTACCGATGCGTTCATTGATGTTATAAGCAGCCTTCGCGGCAGCTGCCTGTACCCTCGTCGCTCGTGGCAGTCGGATTTGGTCGTAAACAGCAAGCGCCTCGTCAATGTCGCCCCTGAAATACCGCTTGTTGAAGAGAATTCCTAGGGCTGCGGCGTCTTCGATCGCCATGCAAGCGCCCTGAGATTGATGAGGCATCATCTGCGCGTTGTTAGTCTACTCTCGTGTATTGGGGCCAGGGGAAAAGGGAGATCATACCGGATGTCCAGCGTCTCCTAAGAGGCAGACGATACTCTTGTGAATATAGGGATAAGGCTTGCTGGAAAAGCTGGATTAGTGCGAGCCGCGGCAATCCTGACAGCGGAGGAAAGACATACTGCACCCATAACCGCCATGGACGTATCTCCTCTCCGATCTTGAGATGGTTCAGCACCTGTGAATCCAACTCTGGATACGGCTCCAACAGTTGTTCCACGGGTAGATCCTCACCACCCCACGTATGGCTGCTGTAGTCGCCCTTGTCTCGGGAGAAGAAGCAGTAATATGACAACAGTTTCCCGCCGTTACAAGGGGAGAGCACAATCTTATCCCACTTGCCCTCTTGACCACCCCAGTATTCCAGAGCATTGTGTTGGGAATAGTCGACAAGTCCCAGTTTCACTGCGTGTTCGGTCGAAACATTCGCATGTAAACAACTCTGCTCTGATGGCGTCTTGTTCGGCTGGATGCCTATGATTGCGCGGACCACAGATCCAATCCCGTCAGCGCCGATGATCAAGTCGTGCCGTGCTATTTCGCCGTTCTTAAAGGTAATTGTGCCGCTCTCTAAGTCAATGTCTTGACACTAGAGCTTCTCGTCAACTTAACCACCTCAACAATAGAATGCAACTTTGACGTGCTTACCGCATGATTAACCATAAGCTTTGCCGGTGTGCCCTCGCCGTTCTGTTGCAGTGCTGTGTCTTTCAACATCGCATGCATGTACTGTCTGTGGAACATATTGTATACATAACCCCATCGTTCCTCGTAGTCGTCCAGGTCGTACACACTGACAGGTTCGCCAGTCTTCCAGTCACGGTTGATGAGCTTCTTGAGCACAACAGGGTCTCCCTTGGCGACGTCGACGTCCCATTCGTGCAGCCACCGGGTGCCGTTGGCAGCGCAGGATACTGAAGCGCCGACCTCGCCGGCAAAGTCGTGTTTCTCGTATATCGCTACATCGTGGCCAGCCCGGCGGAGCGCGATGGCAGCAGACATGCCGCCAATGCCACCACCTATCACGCCGACATTGAGTCTTCTCCAGTCACATGAGATTGAGCCCATCCTGGAAGGTTATCGCCTGGAGCTAGCCTGTCACTATGTTGCCGAAAGATCAAATGAGGAAATGAGTGTTCAGCGCTTAGCAATGAAGACTGAGGGAGTGTCTACCTGGAACACCAAGACGTATATGAAGCCATGCTGTGATGGAAGGATCGCCTTGTCGAACCGACAGTATCCGTACGTCTCGTGGACCTGACTGGCGGTTGGCGGGATGCCTCATGGTTGCCGATCGATCTGTGCATTATCCGCCAGATGGCGGCTAGAGTACTATCGGGCGATGAACATTTACCCGCATAGAGACGACTGACCGTTCTCAGCTGTCTACCTGGGGCTTCGCTAATCATATCGTCAGAAGCACAAATGTATCGACTTTCGTAAACCGAAGACCAAGCACGGCTGGATTAGAGGGTTGACGTGTAGAAAAAATGCTGTGAACGACATATCGGAGCCGAGGGTCAGTCACGTGAGAGCACTCATCCAAAGGGGCATCACGGCAAAGAATTGAACTTCTCACTCAGGTGGTAATGCCGTCAATATACGGTGCTTCTTGCTGCTTGAGTCTGGACTCTTGCATGAAAAGGCGCGCCCAGCGGCGACCTCAATCGACAGGCCAAACGTGCTTCACAAAATCCTCCCCATTGCCATCAACGTGGAGTTACGGGATAATGATGGACCTGAGCTGAGAGTGTAGCCTGGTAGCCAGGGAACAATGACCTGGAGAGGGAGCTCTTCTGGTTCGTATCGCTTGCGGCATTGATCCATGACACCAAGAACTTCTCGAGGTGGCTACCTGGCCAGCCATGAAGAAAGAGTAATGGGATAGCGTCTCGGTTCGGGGATAACAGAGCCGCGAATTGAATTCTGAAAGCTTTCGCCATCATCGTCTTTGGTCTCGACAGCGAAGTTCGAGAATGAATTTATTCGGGCCTCCCTATCACGCCTAGCCAACTCGTGAGGGTTGTTGTATTGACGAGAGCTTGCCCTACAGGAGGATTGGCAACGACCTACCAGTCGTACGTGTTCTCCCAGTGGTCTTTCGCCTTGGAAATCCATTCGTACGTCACCCCGAATCGTCCACCGTTTTGAGATGGAGCTCGGGGGTACAAGCGCAAGAGATTTTTGAACTGACTCAATTGCTCGTCTGAGACTGTCAACTTGAAGGGTTCTGGACGCTGCCGGGCCGCTTGAGGGATTGCATCATATCCTGCCATATCTCATGCATGACGCTAAAGAGCATAATGCGGAGGAGGCTGGCAAGGGGAGAGGAAATACCCTGAGGGCGTCATGCTGGTCTTGTTGGCTTTCATGATGATTAAACTAGCCTCGAGGTCCCTGCACCTCAAGCAGGACCCGAGGAAGTTTCCGTACTCTGGTCTCATGGGTAAATCCGTGTAATTTGGAGCTAGGGTGCCATCCGACGACAAACAGCAGCGAGGACAATTTGTGTGGCAGGGGGTCCTCCTGTTCAATGCGGTGCCAACTGCTGCTTCGACGATTCAAGCGGCAGCTGTTTGCACCCCGGTTAAGCGAGTTTAATTACACGATTTACCCATGAGACCGCAGTACAGGCTCGTCGAGTGCGTCAGGGAGGATGATGATGTTGCGATGAAGAAGCTTCATGGCGGACCGGTGCCCGGAATGACTCCTACAGCAAGGGCCACTAGGCTCCTTTGGATGACTAACTTAGGCTCGCCAGGCCATCACGTGGGCGGTTGGTCGCTGCGGAGAAAAAAGTCCGTCATTTGAATCTTCTCCGCATCCAGGATATTTTTTCTCAGACATTCGAAGAATACTCCGTACTGCGCTTAACATTGGGCATTCTGTGCTAGAGTGCTCTGAGTGTCCTTGATATCGCCGCAGTTTTGTCAATGGACATGGATATCGACGACTTTCCCATATCTCCGGCCAAGCGCCAAAGGACGAATTCACCGGAGGAAGACCGTCACGCCCCTCCTCTGCATGCGTACCCTGAGGACGAAATCAATGGCTCGCTGAACGAAACGTCGCAAGTGGATGTCCCTTCTTCCAAAATCCCTGGACTGGGTGGACTAGAAGAGCAGATCGCTGAAATTCCGCCGATGAAGGAGGCGCACGACAGTCAGGACCCGAACTCCTTGTTGGACGCATTGATGCTGCAGGTTGAAGCCGAGTCCTCTGCGATTGCGCCAGCGCAGCCGCCGTTAACAGACCCCGTGCTCCCAACAGCATCGGCACTCGAAGTGCAGTATGCAGAACAAACACAAGAGGTGGAAAACCATGAGTCCAGTACACATGGAGGTCAGAAGGACAGCGAGACGGTGCCAGCTGCGGAAGTCTCTGCTGCACCGATTGAAGTGTCTATTGCGGTAACACAAGATGCCGCCGTAGATGATGTTGGGGAAAACAACACTATGCAGGGAGCCATGGTAGACGTCAAGTCAGACACTGATGGTGCCATACCGATGGTAGGAGATACAACCGGGGCACCAGCTGCTCCTGCCTATCTTGAACGCTCCATGGACGTGATCCCAAGCGAGGAATCGCGAGCGCCTGGGGCAGATGCCGAGGGTGCTGAGTGGGAAATTGACTCCTCACCGTACGATTCCTCTTCAGACTCCGATTCTTCCGACGATACCACGTCCTCGGACGAAGATAGCGACGAGGATGCCGATGGTGAATATTCGATGCTTGATCCGGAAGAGACGGCTCGGCTCCTCATGCAGGAAGATGGCGGGTCTGACGACGAAGGAGGAAGATCACGAGATAAGACAGATCGTGCTCCTCTTCGGACAGCAAATGAGCGACAAGAGGAGGTAATACCTAAACCTGATATTGTTGTCACAGAGGATATGAAGATAGAAGAGCTAGGCAACGTTGAAGTCGTGGTCGAGAGCACTGTTGTTATCAAGGCGAAGACTTCAGGGGAATACCAGGTTTTGGAATCAGGGTCATTGATCTGCCTTCAGGATCGATCAGTTGTCGGGGTCGTTGCAGACTTGATCGGACGAGTCGAAGAACCCCGATATACGATTCGATTCACGAACGACGAAGCCATTGCAGATGCTGGTCTATCTCAGACCGGTACGACCGTTTTTTACGTTCCTCAGCATTCAACTTTTGTCTTTACTCAGCCGCTCAAGAACGTCAAAGGCAGTGACGCATCCAACTTCCATGATGAGGAAGTGGCTGAGGACGAGATGGAATTCTCAGATGATGAAGCCGAGGCAGAACACAAGCGTCAGGTGAAAGCCAAAAGGCAAGGAAGGTCAGGAGATACTGGACGAGGCCGCGGTGGTTCGAAGTTTGGAAGAGGCTCCCAACGCGGAGGGCGTGGTGAACCTCATGGCCATCATGCCGATAACAACGGCTATGGCAGTGGCTCTTTGAAAATGAACTATGACGATGTCGCAGACGGCGGTGATGAAGGCTACACTCCCTTGCAAAGACCAGACAACATGACGAACGTTTTGGCGAAAGGGGACCAACCTCAAGAACGGAGCCTAGGCCATCCGCTTCCACCACCGTCCACATTCAATGCTGGTAGAGGTGGTTTTGGTGGACGTGGAAGAGGCCAGGGCAGAGGAAGGGGAGGATCTCGTGGTAATCGTGGTGGAGGTGGCTTCAACCAGCCTCGAGGTGGTGGCTTTCACCGGCAACAGCACAATGCCAACAGTTCTCAGACTGGCTATGTTCCTGCCGGGCCTGAGCTCAATCTTCCTACAACACCCTCGATCACGCCTCACAACATAAGCTATCCTCCTACGACACCCTCGCCAATGACACCTTTACCGAATGGTTCCTTCAATTTCGGGAGCTTTCAAACCCCTCCCAATTTTCCGTTCATGCCGCAATTGGCGCCAGGATTTCCACCGTCCTTTACCCCAAACTTCCAGCACCAACAACCACAACAACAATATCAGCAGCCTTATCAGCAGCAGTTTCACCAGCCATACCAACCTCCACCAGGTCAGCAGAGTCATGCTCCAGGAACGGATCCCAGGATAACAGCTCAGCAAAGCTTTTCTTCGGGGCCCTGGTCAAGTAATCCTGCTATAGCCGCAGCTCTGAGGCGGCACGCGGAGGAGCAGAGGAGGAACCAAGGATTGTGAGCTGGCACGCAAGACTAATATTCAAGCTGTATGGGGCGTTAGTCTTCAGGATCAAGCGGTGTTCGGGATGACTTTAGGAAACGTTCGTCAGTGGACCCATGACTTGTACCATATTGACGAGCCAACAAAAAGTAGGGTCGTCGTGTTATGGAAGCCGAGTGTCAGTAATTGAGATACCCCGTCTAGAAGAAAAGGCGCCCCCGGAACAAAGAACTCATGCCTTGAGGTGCACTTATTGTCTCAAAGCCACTACTGTATTTCTAGTATCAGACTTCGATCCCCACCGTCCTATGCTCCATTTTCTTTTTTCGTAGTATCTACCAACACTTACTTTTGATTCACGACAGGAATGATTGATGCTAAAACGACGACACTGCAAAACGATACGGCGGACTTGAGAGCTGGAAGGATTCCAGTCCCACCTCATGCATTAGCACCGAGGACAACTTCCTGCAATACAAAAGTCAGAGAGTACAACATCAGCATGGTAGCAGACTTACCCTAGTAATCCTCGAACCCAAGCCTCTCACTTTGATCCCGGTCCAGTATTCGAACTGCCACTCTCCCTGGGTGACCAGCGTCTCCAGTCCTTGAATGGTCTTCCAGCCTCCACCTGCACTACTCTCTGCCATCTTCATGACGTCCGTATGCGCAGGCTTGTACGCCAGCTCGAGCAATATTCTACTGGGCGCACTTGACCCTTGACCCTTGGGCATCGACGCCGCAGGCACGGGCGTCGAGAAGATCTTCTTCAATGCGCCACCGAGCGACGCGTCGATGGGTATGTTCGCTGGGATCGTCGCAATAGCCACAGTCGGCGGCGTGGTGATCTTCTTCTCCAGTCCATCGGCCGCGGTGTCCAGAACGACGAGCTCATAGACTGGCGGGAAGGCCTTGGCCAACTCCACGATCTTCGCCACGTCCCGCCCCACGAGATAAATAGGCTTGTACCCCATCGTGTGCAGCGTGTGGATGGCGGCGCGCGCGGTGCCTCCTCCACCGATAACCAAGCCCGACTGCTCCGCGTCGCCCAGCGCCGTGCTCGCGCCAGCGGCTCGCAGACAGCCCATCATGCCCAAGTAATCCGTATTGCGTCCGACGAGTTTCACCTTTTTCTCTCCAGCCACGGAAACAGGGACAGGTACGATCGTATTCACCGCGCCAATCAACCTCGCCGACTCATCAACCTCATCCAACAACGCCATGACGTCGAGTTTGAGTGGGATCGTCACGCTCGCGCCTCCGAAGTCGTCGGCGCGGATCTTACTCTTGACCACATCAACGCTCGTCGTCTCGCACGCATCGTAATGATGCGGTAGTCCAGTCTCTTTGAAGAGCGTATTGTGCAGAGCTGGACTCTTACTCGCGGCGATCGGACTGCCAAATAGATAGAACTGCTTGGGCACGATTTCGCCCATGAGGCTCAAACCCTGACGGATCTCTGCGGCCGAGAGCTGTCCTGGCGCCGCCTTGAACGGCAGGGCGGGATGGCTCACGGGAGTCATGAACCCGTTGAGTATGCGCGACGCCTGTCCCGCGCGGCCCATGTTGATCGCGATGAGCGGCAGATCGGGATGCTGCGAGGCGGACCAGGCCTTGAATTTGCGCAGGGAAAAATTGTCGTCGAGCGTGTCTGCGACGCCGATGAGCTTGACCACGTCGCCATACTGCAGGCAGCGATTGTATATGGGGATCCATGAGCCAGGTTTGTTCCAGGACAAGCGCGCCTGCGGGTCGTGGTGCGAGGCGATGATGCACGACTGTGAGCTGTTCTTGAGGGTGAAGATCGACGATAGGATAGACTCGGGCAGTGTGGCGACTTCGAGGTCGACGAATTCGCAGCCCATGCGGATCGCGAGCGTGCACAGGGTGTGATAGGCCTCGAATGCGTCGTCGGGAAATTGCCCGCCCTGGGCGCTTGTGCGGATCGTGAAGACCACGGGTAGGGACACGCTCGCGCGGAGGAGAGACAGCTGAGACTTGACGTACTCGGGAGAGGGGACGGCAGAGGGTGCGGCCGGGTCTTTGAGCAAGTCGACGCGTAGTTCGACGGCGTCAGAACCCAAGCAGACTTCGGGCAGGATCTGGAGGTGTGGGCGCAAGTCGGGGAATGTCAGCGCGACGAAGAATGATTCCCGTTTCTGCTTGAGCTGCGACAGAACGTTGGTCTTGCCGGTGACCATGTGCAGGAAACGGTCGAAGTCGGCCGCTGCTTCGGACATTTTTTCGTTCGGGATGTCCTGGCTGTAGTAGAGGATGTTGCTGCATGCTTCGAACCACGGTTTGCGCCGGAGCCAGACGCCCATCATGTCTTCGACGTAGGCCGGGCGAGTCTTGTCGATTTGTAGAAAGTCCATGACCTGGTTGATGTCCCGTTCGACCAGGAGGACGTGGCCTTTCGTTTGGTGCCAATTTATGAGGAGTTGTCGAGCTTCTGCCGACTCGACGATTCCTCCTCCGCAGGCGAAGATGTAATTGTCAGGCATTTCCTTCATGACTGTTTTAAGGATCGCCAGTTCGCGCCCACGGAAATGTTCCCACCCGTGGTCCTTGATGATTTCTGGGATGGTTTTGCCTTCGCGGTTCTCGAGCTCTGTGTCGAGGTCGATAAGTTTCTTGCCCAGTGACCTTGCTGCCCATCGGCCAGAGGTCGTCTTACCGGCACCTCTCATGCCGATAATGAACATGGATGCAGAACCTCGGTCGAGCTTCTTCCTTGACGACTGCACAGAAGACTCTAACTCCACTCCTTGTAACTTGACACTGAATTGTCGGGCCATTGTGTCCCACCAGCCAGGCCATGTCTTTCCAGTGCACTCCTTTTCGAGAATGAGAGTGGGATGAGGAGCAGCTAGTGCCAGGACGCTGAAGCTCATGGCGACTCGGTGGTCATCGTAGCAATGAACGCCACCTTCTGGCTGCCTGAGCTGAGCTCGGCTGATACCATCCACTTCGATGCCGTCGTCGAATTGGCGACATGTCACACCGAACTTGGCTAGCTCGTCTTCCATTGCTTGTATCCGGTTACATTCTTTCACCCTTTGGTTCGCAATGCCGTAGATGCGCGTCGTGCGGGATTTTCCGCCTTGAGCTACAGCGGCCAGGACTGAAGCCGTGAGAAAGGCGTCGGTCATTGGTTCCATGTCGATGTTCGGGAGTGATTTTAAATTTCCATTATGTGGCCCAGTCACTGTAGTTGATGTGGCCGTTTGTTTGACCTCACAACCCATTGGTTGCAGGACATCAGTGGCAAATTGAGAATCTCCCTGAAGAGAGGCTGATCCAATATTGGGAATCGTGCATGTAGTCCCGGTGATTGCTGCGATCGCTAGTGGATAGGTTGCGGAGCTTGCATCGCTTTCGACCACGTATTCCGAAGGGTTTCGGTATATTCCTTGAGGAATGTGATAGGTATGTTCTTCCGTCTTTGATTTCTCAACTTGGACACCAAACGAGGCCATCATGGCAATGGTCATGTCAATGTACGGCTGCGAGACCGGCTTTCCACCCACGAGCTTCAGCGTGACTGGTTCTTTTGCGTATGGTGCGCACATCAGCAATGAAGACACATATTGCGACGAAACTTTGGCTGCTAGCTTGATTTCACCGCCGTTGAAGCCGCCTGATGCTGCAATGTTCAGCGGAAGGCAGCCTTGGCTCTCTAGGTAGTCGACTTCTGCTCCATTCGCCCTCAATGCATCAACCAAGTCTCCAATCGGTCTTTGCTTCATGCGGGCGTTTCCAGTGAGCACCGTGGACGCTACGTGGCTCTGTCGAGTCAATGTGACCACTGTCGTCAAGAACCTTGCAGCTGTGCCGGCGTTGCCCAGGTACAGCTCTTGATGGCTGGCCTGTAGTTGCCCACCATTTCCATTCACAACCAAGACTTCGCCATCATCTTCCCAAGAGAAAGTGGCAGCGCCTAGCCGAGTCAGCGCTTCTAGCATGACTTCTGTGTCGGCGGACGTGAGCAAATTCTTGATACGGCAGACTCCACGACCAAGAGCGGCAAGGACCAGCGCTCTGTTGGATATGCTTTTCGAACCTGGAGGTGCGCATACCACATTGAGATCTTTTGGTGTGCCTGGAAGGACCTCAATACTTGGTGAAAGAACCACACGAAGGTCAGAATCAGACACTACGCTAGCCTTCTGTTCAAACGTGCGTCCAATGGCGGATAGAAGAACAGCCTTCTTCTTTGCTCCGTCATTCTTCTTGTCCACACCCATTTTCTTGAGCATTCCGTCAACGGTACACTTCTTGCCGCCTGACAGTTTCCGCACCTTCTCATCATCGAGCCTCGTTGGTAGACCGTACGCAGTTATGCATTTCTGTAGACGCCCAACTGCAACACTACTAAGGACACCCAGATGTCGAGCAAGTTCAGCTTCCTTCACCATGCCAATAGCGACGCATTCACCGTGAAGCACCTGCGGTGTCAAAAAAGCCTCCATAGCATGACCGATGGAATGTCCGAAATTTAGTAGGTTGCGCAACCCGGTTTCTCTCTCGTCGATCGTGACCACGTGTGCTTTGAACTTGGCTGATGCGGATATGATTCTTATCAAGATAGGCTCAATGTCCTTAAATCTAGCCGCGCCCTTTTTGACGTCGTCGTTGACTGCTGCCATGATTCGGTCGGCATTATGTTCAAGGGCGATAAATTCCTGCTCCTCGGAAATCGCTGCGGTCTTGATGACCTCAGCCATGCCATTGATGAGCTCCCTTCGCGGCAGCGTCCCGAGGAAATCGAGGTCAATGTATATCCGCTGTGGTTGCCAGATAGCTCCTACAAGGTTCTTGCCGAGAGGGGTGTCGATGGCCGTCTTCCCACCAATTGACGAGTCGACCATGGCAAGAAGTGTTGTCGGCACTTGAACAAACCTGATTCCTCGCATATAAGTAGCAGCGACAAAGCCCGTCAAGTCACCAACAACACCACCTCCAAGGGCTATTATCACAGTGTCGCGACCACATGGTGGGCTCTGGCTGAGGAGCCAGTCCTCGATGTCATCCTTGGTTTGTCGAGATTTGGAACTCTCTCCAGGAGGAATTTCGTAAACCAGTAATCGCGATGAGCTCCCTTTCTCTCTAACTGCATTTGTGAAAGCTTCTTGGAATGATTTCGTGTACAGAGAGCCAAGATTGGTGTCGGTAATCAGGACATAAGTTGATGACTCAAGGCTTGTAAGAAGGTCGGATGCGACGTAATTACGCCAGAGTCCGAAGTTGATGATGATACTCTCTTTGCCGAGCAAGCTCACTCGCACCTCCTTCGCCGTACCATTGACTATCGTCATCGTCGCGCATGGAAATTCAGCTTGATCTCATTTCAGGGACAAGGGCAGTGACCAGAGATTATTTTTATGTCTTTGCAGGTTCTGTTGCTTGGCGGCGCTAGTGTAGCCTTGCATTGAAATAAGAGCTCTAGATTGGGGGAAAGGAGTCGCTTAAGTGACGCTAGTCTGTAGCACGAGGCTGGAGACATCCTCGCGAGGGTCCTCTAAGTTACGTCGTCTGGGCCCGGCTGTTCGACATGTTTATTACAATCTTCACAAATTCCCACTGACTATATAACCAACTCATTTGGAGTGTAAGAGCCAGCTTGTCGCTAAGGCATCACCTCCATAACCTAAACGGCGCCTGAAATAGAAGCGCGTCAACTCATCTCTTGCTAAAATGCCACATAGCTCAAATCCGACTACTGTAGAATGCAAAATCCTTTCGCGACAAAATCACGCCCCTAAACTTATGACTTCAATCCTCTTTGAAACCATCATCAGATCGACGGACACGTGAGGGAAGGGCTGATGCAGCAGCATCGTCATCCAGGGAACTTGGTATGCCCGCTGCTGTTACCTCGACCGGCGACTGAATAATGGCACCTCCACCCTCATCAGTAATAATCTGCGAATGCTCATGATCGCTGATGGCCGGAAATGCAGAGCTGTTTGTGACTCCACTGCTTTCCTTGCGCGCTTGGACACGTCTTCGATCCGACGCGTCGCTCACAAAGTTCCCTGTGTCGGTTCTGCCCTTCGGGAAGATTGACTTTGGCAAATCTTCTTTATCTTTCTTGCCAGGTGCCATTGGTCGTTCGAGCTGTGGTCCAAAGTGCTCGTTACGCTTTAGGCAGTTCTTCTTCTTTTTATATGTTTCCCACCATACCTTGTTATCGTTGCGGATGTGAGGGAAGAGGTCCCACTTGTCCATGCTCTCTTCCTCATCCTGACTGAGAGCTAGCCAGGCGTACAGATCTTGTCGTTTCTTGGAGCGTTCTTTTCCTGGGTCGAGAGGCCCGCTAGTCCAGGTCGAATCCTTGCCCCCGGCAAATTCGTACGACTGGGGCCATTCGTAGATTTCGGCCTTTAAGCGCGAACCAATCCAGCACTCCCGCAACTTGATGGGCTCAGCTGCTGGAGCATTCTCATCTGCTTGTTGATGCTGCTTATATTCCTTGGTACCCGAGCCACTAAGAAAGCTCCTTCTCCAACGCTGAAGCGTCTGCACCCATTCCGAGTCATCACAGGAAAATTTCAGTACCAGCAAAATTGTGGGCAGCACGATAAGGACAACAGTGTACAGTTGGCTGACCAGAGCGGCCATGCCAATCGCCACAATGTGCACCGCGAATGCAAGCCAACCAATGGATCTGACCACAAAGTATGTTTGCGGATGCAGGACCTTTGGACCCTCAATGAAGAGAGATGGTGGAGCAAGTAACTCGTGTGGCATCCAAAAAGTTACTGCCTTCGAATCCGTCTGGATAATGAGAACTTTGGTACTTTTGCCAGTCCATGCATAATCGGGATCTTCGAATTTCTTCGGATCGAACTTTGGACGCTGAGGCATTGTGTCAGAGTCCATCAGTCTGGTTCGCTGCTCTGGACGCTTTGATGAGGCAAAATCCTGGGTAGAGACATTGTCTCGTCCTGATATGCCACCATCCAGGTCTCCATTGGAGGCAAGGCTACGCCTTCTCCTCTTCGATTCTCGCTTTCCCTCCTTTTGCATCTTCCTTGCGTCCAGCTCGTGTAACCATTTAACCCTTGCCGCTTCATACGTGCCTTCTGGTGGTGCTGGCGTTGCATTTTTGACAACTTCGTCCACTCTAGCATCCACGGCAGCGCGTTGCTGACCCACCACATAGACTCGAACAATGATAGAGATATCCATCGCCAAAGCATTGGCGAAGCCGTACCAATCCCTTGACAGAATCGTCAGAGCTATAAGGAAGCCGTTGAAGATGAAGCTGATGATGAATGAGATGATGATATCATTCCGCCGAGATTTGGGAGGAGTGACCTTCCAGACAACGAAGCTCCGAGTGGCTTCGAAGTCCTGCGACAACATCCATCTTGTCAACCAGGCGGATAAGTCGGTTGTATGGATACCCTGTGAAATATTGTAGAGGTTGAAACCAGCTTCTTTGCAGGTAATCTGGTTGCCGGCAATGACAAAAGCACCAAGGATCGGCAGGTACTCGAGATACGCGCTCCTGACTAGACGCCCCACGGCGCCATTGACTTCTTCAGCTCCTAGGAGCGTGACAAGACCAAGGGCATCTATCTTAAATGGTGACCAGTTGTGCACCACTCCCCACGGTGCCCAAGTCATAATGGGAATCCCCTGTCTGCCTCGGTTCCTTCGATTTGGGTACGGCTAGAAGCTGAGCTCGGGGAACGGGCCGTGCGTGCTCAACAGATCGATCAGGCTGGGGCGGGGATGGACAAGACCATCGCGGCGCGAAGCCCTAAAGGAAGAATAAGTGGCCCCAGAACAATCAAGGTTTCTTTGATTCGATACAGAAGCATCTTCAGCTGGCGAGAGATGCTGATGAAGCTCAAGGGAGCTGCTTTGGAATAAAGAGCGAGCTGAGGCGGTTATGAAGGCCAGAGTCTGGACTTCGGTTTCAGCCCCAGATGCCTAGAGGCTAAGACAAGGGTCTAGTGGTTATGAAGTGAGCCTGCCACCCAGCCTGCACCCTGGGAGTTTCAAAAGCCATATTACTCGTATAAGGCCGCCCATCGACCGTTTGTTGGCAACAGCCGGAAATAGGGGCCTACAGAATGCCATGCCCGATTCACCCTATCGTTCTGGAGCTGCTCAGCTGCCGTTTTCGATCATGGTAATTCCTCAGCCTCACATCATAGGTCCGCTCCTCGTATCGCTCTAATTAAGGATGTTGGTAAACTATGGTCGACTCAGAAAGGCTTGTCGTGACCGGCCGCGAAGATTGCGCGCGAATGCGTGTCTCAGCCTGGTAACACAGAAATACGGCGCTCTTTCGCCAGGCCCTGTTAAATGCTTCAGTCTTGGACGTGGTCTCGATAAACCTTGATGCTGACCTGCTTTGGCTTCTAGATAGGACTCTGCTACACTTCTTGGCATGCAGGGCGGGAAAAGCAAAGGTACTCAATGAGAAAGTGTATGCAGTGCAGGTTTTGCTGTGTTTTTGTTCTATCTTATTCTTTTGGACTTGTGCTCGATGAAACTCAGGTCACAAGACTCATCTTCCACAAGGCTGGGCAACGATCAAGTACAATCCCTTCATCTCCAGCACAGGGCTTTCCCTCTTCCAGGAAGAACGAATGATCCCAGTTGAGTATCTTTCCCTCATGAGTGCCGTTGACTTTCGACCTTGCGAGATTTCTCTGAAGATAGCAGGTGGATGTCGGAGAATGTTTTCTTCTGGTGGTTGTTGATGAAGCTGTAGATTGTGCATAGTACTTTTTCGATTGATGGCTTTGATGCCTCTTTACCAGCCGCTGGCACTGGTAGCGGCGACAGCAGCAGCAGCGGTGGCGCCAGCAGTAGTCTCTTGGGCCCAGTCACCACCACCGGTGCCGGGGTCGTTCCAGTTGGCATCAGCCTGGGGAGCGCCCTCGATACCTGGCGCAGTACCCGACTCTCCAGCCCAATCCGCATTGTCTGTGAAGCCACGGTCAACCGCAGCTGGGCCAGCTTCTTCAACACCTGGCACTTTCTCCTCCTCTTTCTGTTCCTCAGCCTCAGGATCACGGTAGAAGTAGAGATCGACCACAACATCCCACTCGACCTCACGGTTAGCGAGAGTGCCTCGAAGACGGAGAACCTCACGAGCCAACAACCACCAGATCAAACCAATGGCATGACGACCCTTGTTGTTGGTGGGGATGGCAACGTCGACGAACTCGGTAGGAGAGTCAGTGTCGCAGAGAGCGATGACTGGGATGTTGACGTAGGAAGCTTCCTTGATAGCTTGGGCGTCGGTGCGAGGGTCGGTAACGATGATCAAGCGAGGTTCCTTGAAGGAGCGGGTGATGTAGTTGGTGAAGTTACCGGGGGTGAAACGACCAGCAATGGCGACGGCTCCAGTGTGTGCAGCAAACTTGAGCACGGCACGTTGACCGTAGGGACGAGCAGAGATGACACAGATGTCGGCCGGGTTGTCAATTGCGGCGATGATGCGGGCTGCGAGGACAATTTTCTCCCTGCGCGCGCGGAAATTAGCAATTGATATCTTTCTTCCTTGTTGGTTATGTTAATACCAGGTCTTTGAGATGTTGATCACATTGACACCGTCAGGTCGAGTCTTCCAGAGGTATGGTTCCATGTGCACCTGCAAGTTCTTAGATCCCAAATGACATTGTGCCGCCAGGAGCATTTCAATGTCCTGAGACGTGGGATTGAAGATAGCAGGAAGGTTTGCTGGGCTCGCCATGTTTGCGACTGAGGATGCGATTCAGTCAAGAAGCGAGTTCTAGAGAATTGGGAAGCTGAAGAGGTGTGAGAGTTGGAGTTGAACGAATGTAGATCGTCCCTTCCGCAGGGAAATTTCGTTCGTGCGCCAAACCGCATGCCAAGATTTAGAATTATTTAACCTCATTAGGCCTAGTCAAACTCGGCTCCGGAAATACGTTTCGACGGGACGAGATTCGAGTTTGGGCAGCATTTATTTGAGAAAGTCGAGGAGACTGCGCTGCGCTGCCCATCAAACATCGACACAACAATGCCTCCACGCGCATTGCCTGCACTAGCAAGCAGTATCTTCAATTGTGAGTTGCATATTGGCCTTCAGGGAGAATTACATTGACAAGGCTTTTAGTGACAAGCCTTCTTCAGAGCTTGCCTTCGGCATCACGCGGTCAAGCCTTTACGAAATGTTCAACATGTCTCTTCTCTACTACGGCTCCTCTAGAAGCGAAGCGCGCCAAAAAGCGGAAAGCCAAAAAGCATAGAGATCCGTACCGCTTGGCCCAGGCTCGACAGCGGAAATCTGCCAATTTGGCTCGACAAAAAGTATTGCAAGAAGAACGCAAACTTGCGCTGGGCGACCCTGTCCGATCACAACCGACTCCTTTTGTCAGGTCACTGCGCGCACACGCCCCTATCGAGACAATCAGAGACTCTTATCTGAACTACTTTCTGAAGAAGGAGGACGTGGACAAGTCCTTGGAGTACTCGAAATGGCTTACCGAGCCTCTACCTCAAGCGAACCCTGTACCGGGACAACCTGACGACTTGGAGAAGAAGATTCAGGAGCATGCTGCTTCTCATGATAATGCATCCAAGGCTTTGCTGGCAATAGCATCTCTGGACAACGCCAGCAGCAAAGACCGTGTCCGCATCAACATCCAAAGGTGCATTGAAGAATTTGGCCGCCACAGAACTGATGACATCCTCCCTCCACGACTACAAAGCAAACAGCTGCCTGGAACGAGCGATCCAGAGTCAGAAACGAGCGCAATCGAGGTTCCCAAGAGAATCGGTGCAGATACAGGCTCTCCGGAAGTACAAATAGCGATTCTGACGGCCAAGATCAACGTGCTGGCAGACAACTTGCACAAGAAAGACAAGAGCAACAAGCGAGGGCTAAGGCTAATGGTACACAAGAGACAGAAGCTGATGGCCTATCTGAGGCGTCAGGACAGAGGTGGCCCAAGGTGGCAGAATGTCGTTGAAAAGCTTGGTCTGAGCGACGCCATGTGGAAAGAAGAAATCAGCTTGTAACATATTGGTAGGGCCCGGAGCTTTGTACAACCACGTACTGAATACACTACAAACGTTCGGTCAGCTTGTTTTTGACCTGACTAGCTTAATCTCTCAGCTAACACCTCTTCCGCCATCGACGTCAAATGCTGCGCCAGTGATATAGCTAGCCTCATCCGATGCTAGAAAGCATACCATATTTGCGACGTCGGCCGGCTGACAGACACGACCTAGTGGGATCGTTCCGAGCACTTTCTTGCGACCTTCTGGCGTATCGTTACCACCCAAGACCTTGGGAAGCCTGCCAAAGCTCAGCTTGATTCCATGACGATGTAGCAGGACAAATGACTCACATTGCCGTCTCTCCGACTGCAGGCCGGATGCAGTTGTATCGGATCTGGTCGACGGCGTACTCGGCGGCCAGGCCTTTCGTCGCCTAATCAAACGGCCTTCAGCATATAGGTTTGTATGCGGCCCACACCGCAGGTCAGAACTTACAACAGTAACAGCGCCTTTACTCGCTGCGTACCAGACCAAATTCGGCCTGGGTCTGGGCTCACTTATACTGCTCAGGTTGATGAACAAGCCCGGCATCTTGTTCTCCTTCCACCACGGCACGATCACTTTTGTGCTCAGATACAGTGGTTTGACGTTCACCTTAAACACGAGGTCGAATTGCTCCTCTGCAACTTCGTGCGACGGCGCAGCATAGTGGACGACACCTGCACAGTTTACCACTACGTCGAGGCGGTTGTTGAATTTCGACAAGGCTGTCTGAAGGATATCACGCCAGGAGGACTCGAGCGTTATGTCCGCGGTGAATGGGTGGACCAATCCACTGGAACACATCGAAACGGTCTTGGAGTTCTCTTCCGCATTGATATCGACGGCTAGAACTGACGCGCCTTCGGCCGTGAGTTTTTGAACGATCTGGGCAGTCTTTTGTCAGCGAAGACGGTCTCAATTTCCACTACAACGCCAGCTGAGGTTCCTCTCCCTCCTGCCTCAGGCTTTATACGGAGGTCTGGGCACCTCCCGCAGGCATTCTGGAACTTACACCGCGTCCGAACCCTGCGGCTGCACCGCTCACTATGATGGATTTCCCGTCGAGTCGACCCATAGCTTCGACAGCTAAGCTCAAGGATATGTATATGTATGCTTGCAAGGCGCTAACGAAAGCAAATCTTTTACTATAAGGCATCCATCTGGACTCTCGCACGAAGGACATTACCGACATTAAATGCTTCGTATTACTCCGCCTTCGCGGACATCATTACAGTTTGCGGAGAACACTCTGCGGGGACCCAGAGATGGCAGCTTCACTTATTGGTCATTGATGGCTGACCTCGGTTGTTGACTTGCGCAGGAAAATCACGATGGGAGTAAAGCCTCAAGCAAGCCGGAGTGGGCGTCCTTTTTTGCACAGATGATACAAGGCGTCCCCTGACGGACCTGCTTCGTACAAAGAGACCGGGACACCTCCTCAATCAGTACTGACTTGGCGATGCGCCTTGAAGAGAGAATCGCCGCAGTCTATGCGCAATGGGCTCTGGCTTGACTCCTTCGCCTTCATTGCAAGTCGCAGAGTTGGGAACTTTTATGTCTCGCGAACTCTTCATGTCGAGCGAATTGCTGGCAGGGGATACAGCGTCCATCCATGCGCCGCCTCTTTCCGCGCTATTTAGCCTTGCGCATGACCGCCAGGACAAATTCCCCGCCCATGCCCCAGTCACTGCAGTCCACCTTAGTGTCTTGAATGTGCTCGAATCCATGGCGCTTGTAAGTCGACACAGCCGAAGGTACAGCTTCAAGGTATGCCGGTGCACCGTCCCTTGCGGCCTGTTGTATGCCCCATTGCAAGAGCATGCCGCCTGCGCCTTGTCTCCGCCATCTAGCTCTGGTGATCAACGTTGTCAAGACTGAACACGTCAGCTCGTCGCCCAGCACGATCATGTTGCGCTAGCTCACTCCAGGAAACACCAGGGTTGACATAGTCCGCCCGCCTTTTGCAGGCAGCTCCCAGAAGCCCAGCGTGCAGCGGTCCGTTTAGGCCTTCTGCAAAATTCGCTCGAGTGCCAGGTGGCGCGAAGACATCGATTTCAGTGTAGATGTCGGCCTGCGGATACCCATTGGTGTATCTGTGCCACCGGGCCAAAGACACAATCTCCCGTGTCGAAGCGTCCTCGACTTTCATGAATCGGGCTGATGGATCGTTGCGGAATTGCCATTTCTGCTGCTCCATGCTCCAAGCATTTCGACGTGCTGTTGCAACTGGGTCTTGAGCTGGCCATGTTGCAAAGAGAAGAGGCGCTGCTAGTGTCCCTCCAGCTTCGTCAGTATACTTGAGCATCCGATCAAAGTCAGCCTCAACGACAGGAGCCAGAACAAAGGAGGACATGGTGAACTGGTGGTAGGAATCCGCCAAAGACAGTCCAGCACCTCAGGCATCGCCCTTGTATACCTTGTCGCCCAAGGTCTGCCGGGTGTGCATGGAATAGTCCACTGTCACGTGTTTCGTTCATAGGCGCACTCACGGTTTCTTGCAAGGGAAAGTCCAGGGAGCACCACCTCTGCTTTGTGCTGCATTCCTGGTTGATTGGTGGGATGGACTCGGGCGGGAAGATCAGAATGATACAGGTAGAGTGCTTAGAACTCAGGGCCCAACCGCGTGTACAGGCGATCTGAAGTACCAGTTCGCCGCATGGAAGCCACTGCCATTCCGAAAGGCTTGTGGATCGGGGAGGCTGCATTTCGTTATGAGACTCTGAACGAGGGTTTTACAGGAGGAAAAGGACAACGAGTGAGGCATTGCGGGCTTGATGTCGTACAATGATGAGGTTCCGTGCATGACATGGCAGAACGAATTCTCGGGTCAGTGGTCCAGATGCCCGGTGGTTGCAAAATTCCTTCCCTGTCACAGACCCCAGCCGCACGAGTAATGTCTTGTCTCATAGTTTACATTCAGGCAATTGGAAATCATAGAAGAATATGAGATGGTTGAAGGATCATGCTAAAGGGCGTCCCACTCAAGTTGACTCACAAAAGCCTGGTCCGAGACTGCCACCTCGCAACATAAAGACTGTTTCATTGACAACGTATTCTAATGTTCTCTGGTTTCGAGTGCATGTAGGAAGGGATGGGACTTCCACTTGGACGTTCCATCCTTGTGCGAGAGATTCGAAAACGACTCGGAGTTGTATGAACGACCAGACAGTGCGTCATCGTGTGCCTCTTGTCTTGCTGTACCCGGATGTTCCTGATGGTCCTGTAAGACGCGTCTCCAGCAGCCAATCGCTTTGTCTTTTAGGCGTCCCATCACCTACGTCCAACCTCATTCTCACGTTTGTCATGCGAGATTACCACCACTGCACTCTGCTTCTCTACAGCGACAACGCTGTGCTCGCAGCTGAGCTAGCTCTCCGCTATTGATGCTTCACCGCGTGCGAAAGCAGTGTGTATTCAAGAACCTGTTGGTGGCATATATGAGATGATCAGAATGTCCGAGTATACCATGCTGGGAACAGAAGCTACTAGGCCTCGATGAAGCCCCTGGTGAACCGCCTGCCGGTGGCGTGTAAGCATGCCAATCCACCAGCGTATGAAGGGATTTTCCCGAAAAGTGAGGACAGGATGTGTATTCTGCAAACAAGCACGAGTTAAGTGCTCCGAATGCAAACCCGCGTGTAAGAGATGCGTGAAGCGGAAGCTGGAATGTTACTATCGAGTACCCGTGGCCTGGATCTTCCAACCCTCAGATGCAGCATCGTGTGCGCCTGGGACCGACAGCAACAAGACTTCTACGAGAATCGAAGCGCGGCATGGAGCTGTGAATACTCATCTCCAAGAAGCGGCCTCAAGGCCTTGCGATATAGTGCAATCGTCTTCACCTTGTGGGACAAGCACGCCCGCAGCTGCTGATACTGGCCTACTCTCCTATCAAACAAAACAGCCAGCACATCCAGCAGACGGTTTCCATACGTCGCCACCACTCCCCTGCTGCGAAAAAGGCACGTTACAGCATCTCGAGCTTGCAACTTCTTCCTCTGTGACCGACGTTGTCCCTGTTTATGCTGATACGAAACACGCCGCGGCCCTGCAATATTTTCTGGAAATTCGCGCCCCTCGAGTCGCATACAACAAGGAGAATTACTTCTTCGCCATCACGCTGCCTCAAGCTGTGTGGACGCACCCAGCCATCATGGAGGCCATGATCGCCCTAGCTACACTCAGTGCCTCTCTGCATGGTACGAGCACGGCATTGTGGACAGATCGTCCTCCTTCATGTCATTACAGCCAGGCTGTTCGAACTTTGGTACGCTCGGCGTCCGCAAGACATGTCACGCTTCTCGTCTGCTTGTTGCTGTGGCTCTACGAGCAATTCGGGAATCAGCATACTCGAGCACTCTTTCACCGGCAAAATGCTGCCAAGTTGTTGGCAGAGTGGCGAACTTGTGAGTTCGGCAGGGATCGTGCAATGGATGATTACATCGGATCATCCATCGAGCCGGCACTCTTAACAGGCTTGAAGATAACAGCTCCGGTGAAGCTGTGCCGTGAGGTGCTTGCCGCTCTCAGCTTGCTCACCAATAGGCCTATTGCTTGTGGCAAACGATGCACATACGGCGAAACACTGAAGAGCCTTGATGTCTGCATCCATAATTTCCTCGCCCAATGCGTACGAGAAATCCCTACAAGCGATGACCTGATGGTACGAACCGTCTTTACGGGTCTTCAGATGTGGAACTATCAATTTGAGTGTTACAGTGGTTCTCAGTGGGCGGTAGAGGGCCCCATGTTGTTATCATATGCCACAACTGTGGCTATGCTGGCGCAGACCACAAATCTTGTGGAGATCAAAAGGGACGCAGACTGTCAAAGGGCCGGCGAATTTCTACTTGAAGAAGCTTCGAAACTCCGCCGCGCTCAGGTGAATGGAGTGGCCTACCATTGTCTCTTGAAGGGTATAACACTCATTACCGGCGGCTAAGCGATTCAAGGTCTTATGAGACAAGCATCCTCTGCGATCCCGTCTTTGTCGGCCTCCGCGTCAGTGGCTTCAGCACTTCTTATCCACACAAGTATCATGACAAGGACAAGATGTCAAACTCAACTCAGATTCTGCATGACAACAGGTGTATTCGCAGTGCTTGCAATAATGGAACTGGATGCAGTCTGGAATCACTACGGAGAAAGAAGCCGCGCGTCACTTACTCAACGTTGAACGACTGGCGCTTCATTGACCATTTGCAGAGCCCGAATCTTGGGAGCTTTGTCCACTGAAATGAGGTTTGATGTTGTAGTGTCCGAAGCGGTCAAAAACACCGTTCCTGAACAGTGCGATTGATGCCTCTTCCTGGGGAGTTTGTGGACCAAACCTTGCGGAATGTACGGAAGTCAAACTTTCAAAACGAGCCGTCAGCCTTGTGAACAAGAAAACTTCTGGCCTTCCTGTTGGGATCCAAAGAGATGCAGGTTGCCGAAGGTACCAACCAACTTGCCATCATTGTCCTACCTTTTGTTCCATGCAATCTCGGCAGACGCGTCCACGTCTTCTTTATCTCTCCGCCTGGAAACAACACGCTTCATTTTGATTTACGTGCTAATCATCAGTCCACACAATTCCCTCCTCGCTCTTCCAGGCCTCTTCCAACAGAATTGACAGACTTCAGCTTGCAGATGAGCCGACTTTCGTCGGGTTGAGATGACAGCCGCCATGTTTTTCTGTCTTCTTCATGACGATCACCCCAGACGGCAACACTTCCGAGCAGCCAACGTGATCATCGCGCGCGTCCATCTTGGCCCGTCATGGCTTCAATGATGCCGCTGAAGCAGGTAGTCAAAGGTCGTAGCGAGGACAACATCAGGTCCAAGAACTACGACTCTCTTCAATCGGAGACACTTTGAGACTTTCGCTCAAAAGGCAGAGAAAGATTGGCCGAGTCCGCCTTCATGGGCTGACTCTTCATGGGCTGATGGCCTGGTCAAGCAGAAAGTACCTCAACTTTGCTCGATATCTTTTGCTTGCCAGGAGTCTGAAGGGCAACAAACCGTCGCGGGCAAGTTGGCATTTTCAACAAATGGCAGCAACCCGCACTATGGCCTTCACACAAGATATTCCCGTCGCAAGCTCCACGAATGCACACTGCAGCAGGATCTGGAGCCCTCTGCACTCGCATTCGGCATATGCGAGTGCTAAATTTCTGGCAGCGAGCATTATGGCAACGTAAAATTCGACTCGGAATACCCTAGACCAGGTGCGTTGATTCAAGGCATGCGACACTGCCTACCATGAAGTGGAAGTACTAATGTCTGATAAGGCTTTGTCGTCACAAAGGGCACGTCAACACACCATATATATATATATATATATATATACATACAAAGAGAGGCTGCGTTCGTCGAGGCGATGGGATGGAGCGCTCAGACAGTCACTGTGGCAATGAGGCTGCAGCTGGCGCCTTACTCTATGGTTTCCAAGAGCAGGTTGAGACGTCTTCTCTGATCAGCGGGATCCTACCAAAAGTCCCACTAGACGAGCACGGCACCGCGAACGCTACTCAACGGGAGCGTCAAGCGGAGTTAGACGACCTCATGCGGTTATTCGCCATACTCTTCAACAAGCGCCGAGGTTTGGGAGTGCGAAGATGAAAATCGAGACAATGAAGACGTCCAGCGCCCAAGCACAGCCGCTTCAGCGCGTCGACCAAGCTATATCGCACATGCCAGCGTTGCAGGGACACCCAGAATACTTGGCTAATGAGTCTGGTTACCACGACGAATTCCTTCAGACTGCTCAAAATCTTGACAACCTTCAATATCCTCTTGAACCGGATGAAGACACTCTACCACCTCGAATTCCTCTTGGCCTAGAGGACTATCTTCGACAACATCATCTTCGACCAGATTACGACACTCTACCGCCTCCTCGAATAACATCGACTTAGACAACAACGTGCATAGAAGCTTCTCACACGACCAATGCCGTGGCGACACCAGCGCAACAGCTCGATAGACTGTCATCTGAACAGATCCACCGACTACAGATGCGTCAAAAGCGTTGGGAGAGCAAGAGCTTGGGACGCCTATACCGCGATCGTCGGGAAAGAGCCAGCTCACGCATTGCGCAGGGTCTAGACTACAGTCTCGATCTATCCCAAGAGGTAGCAATGAACAACCTACTGGAGGTGATCTTGCACCGAGTTGGTCGGCACTATTTCCAAGCACCTCTCGGACAAGGAGACCCAGTGGAAGGCCACCGAGAAGAACGTCAATGAAGGGCATTGACGCGTTGCTGGCAGAATTGGACGTTGCAAAAGCCGTTGTTGCGCAGTGGAATCAGGACGAGAGCAAGGTGAAGAACCACAAGAACTCATCCTAGGTTTGAACCAGAGGAAGGTCGGATGGACATTTTCCTTCGAACCTGCGAGAAAGACAGATAGATGGAAGGCTCAGTCGCTCGTACGGCTGGACGTAAGACACGTTCAACGTCGATGGAAAAGGCAGAACAAGGCGGGAGATCCGGATGGGAGTGAGGTCATTATGTAGGATGGACAACATGTCGATATAGGAATGAGTGAGAAGAATGGGTGTACTCGTGTCATTTACTCTATCTTCTAGGATAAGCTTCTGTCCAAGGAACTGGTTAGAGCATATCCTCCAACCGCAATGCATTGAGTAACACCAAGTTGATACTGAAGATAGGCATCTGGATCGCTTAGTCGTGTCGATATCTCACGGAGTCGGCTTGCACCTGACTTACATTGTACGACGTATCGGGACTACTCGCGGACTGGAACACCATTCGCTCCTCGAGGGTAGAGATTGAGATACTTATGTCCGAAGCATGACAAGGAGCAAGGCTCGAAACGCCTGATGCAAAAACCGGCCGCAACCCGATCCGCGACCGACCAGCGCGCAAGACTAACCTATTCTCGTATCAAGGCTGCAGGACTATGCTTTCCACCGTGGACTGAGATGGTCCTAACTCGCCAATCAGAAGATGACCTCAAAAGGACTTAAGGGTTGTTACAGCCGGACATAAACAAAGTATACGGAGTGTCGTATGTCGGAATGGCCCATGTGTGGGTAACTTGGTCGTGGACATTTGAATAGTATAAATGGGACGTTCGACTCGGGCCCTTCCTAACCCTTGTCTCGTCAAAGCAGTCCAGCAAGGCGCCACCGCACTTCTGAGAGCAGCGAAAGCAGCAGCGTACGTGCCTCACCACACAGAACACCCCACCAAGATGGCACAGCAATATGCCAAAGATCAGCCGCAGGGCTACAAGAACTACGTCGAGAATATCGCGGTAGTCGGTGTAAGTAGCTGCCCCAGACCAAACCAGACCAGACCATCCCAGCTGGCGGCCGCTCAAATTTAAATGCCTGACAACTAATCCAGGCCGGAGGCCAAATGGGCGGCTATATCGTCAAGCATCTCCTCGAGACCGGCAAGCACAATATCACGGCCATCACGCGAGCCGATAGCAGCAGCAAAATGCCTGAGGGCGTCAAAGTCGCCAAAGTCGACTACAACAACCGTGCATCGCTCGTCGAGGCTCTCCGCGGCCACGATGCGCTCATCATCACCTTGGGCGTGATGGCGCCGGAGGAGACACAGAGCAAACTGATTGAAGCCGCCATCGAGGCGGACGTCCCGTGGATCATGCCAAATGACTGGGGCACGGACTCGACCAACGTGAGCCTTGCGACGGATACCATGCTTGGCGGGAGTCGCTGGAAAGCGCGTGATCTGATCGAAGGCGGCGGCAAGGGCCGCATCTCGATTTGTTGCGGGTTCTGGTATGAGTATAGCCTGGCGGGCGCGTCGGTCCGGTATGGCTTCGACTTCCACAACCGCAGCGTAACCTTCTATGACGATGGTACCACCAAGATCAACACTAGTACGTGGGACCAGTGTGGTCGTGCTGTGGCCAAGTTGTTCAGCCTCAAAGTCTTGCCTGAGGACGCGGGTGACAAGAGTGTCACACTGTCGCAGTTCAAAGATCAGTTCGTGTCCATCTCGTCGTTCTTGGTCAGCCAGAAAGATATGTTTGATTCCGTTCTTCGTGTGACCGGGACGACTGAGAAGGACTGGAACATCAAGTATGAGGACGTCCACGAACGGTACAAGAATGGTGTCTCGGAATTGCAGAGTGGCAATAGGGATGGATATCCGAAGTTGTTGTATGCGCGAGTTTTCTTCCGCGATGGTGGTGGAGACTTTGAATCGAAGAAGGGATTGAGTAATGACGTGTTGGGATTGCCAAAGGAAGACATTGACGAGCGGACGAGGGCTGCCATCGCGATGGCCGAAGAAGGCTCGAGGATGACTCGTAGCACTGCTTGAGATGGCGTGAGTCCAGGTTGATAGTGGGCGCACCGAAACAGTTCACTTCCGAGTGTGATTCTTGTCGTAGACCAAGAGCAAGAACAGCTTCGATAAACAACGTCATGGTTGGCATATGCTCTCCAGGCGCTCACTCCTCATGCTTGTCCAGTTGCAACCCTGGTTGCCCTCCTTCTCTTTCGCGCCTCCCAATGCTCTTCTCTGCGCTTCTCTTGCTCGATCCTTTCCAATTCCCACTTCGTCTGCAGATCATTGACCGCAGTTTCGAGCTTCGCATATAACTCACCCACTCCGACCGTGGTACTCTGCATATCATGTAGCGTCTGCAGCCATTCCTCCAACTGTTTTGTGAGATAGGTTTTGCAAAAGTCGCGGTCCTATCTAGATTGAAATCAGAAGTTCTTTTCCTTTCATCCGCAAATGCAAAACCGTCGACCATGACGACATTCAGGTAAACAAGGCCAACCGTCGCCACAAATGCGATGAAGATGTTGCGAAATCATCTCGCCCGCCGTCACGTTCAGCATGATATATCCAAGAATATAGTAGGTATATGCCAAATCCAATAGTGTAAAGCAGCACAGCAAGATTGAGTAGCACTTTTGGCATGTAGAGCAAATTCATAGCTGCCACAGAACTCTCCAATGGAAGATGGGAGAATGGTCTGCGATAGTGTCGTTTGTCCAGTTCGGTTTTGCCTCGACTTAGCCACATGCGGATGTCGAAGGCTTTATTAAGGACTGCAATATGTTGTTGCTGGGACGCAGCGGAGACGACGGACAGCACTCCGAGTATCATCGAGCATGATAGCAAGGCTCTAGAACTCCAATGCGTAGAGTCCATGTTGGGCAATTGAAGCGCAGTAAGGCCGACGCTGGCGAAGATGGCGCCCTTAGAAGGTCATCAGATCAAGTTCCGGTCGGTTCCCAGGAGCATGGACACTTACAGCAACTGTAACAGCTGTACAGGTTGAGATGTAGGATTGTTTCCAAGCCATCACTTCATCATCTGTCCAGGTGTTGATGTCCCAATGCAATTGCCCGACAGCCTTAGTGTCGATGATTCTGGTCAACCCAAGAAGACGTTCCCACGAACCCCATCTCTGCCTCTCATAGTATGAATTCCTACCGTATATGAAGAGGGCGACCCTCCAGAGGGTCGAGACCACTTTCGTAACTTTCATCCTACAAAAGTGCTGTGTTGGCCGTTGACTTTGTTCACATCGTAGAGGTCCAGTCCGCAAAGAGACATACCAGCCAGAGACCGTCACTGGAGCGATGTTTCGCTTCTTGCAAGATGGACAGCTCCTTTTTGTTCTTCATCTGCAGGAGGCCGGCCTCACCAGCATCAAGGTATGAGTATGTCCGGAAGTGTACAGAAGTGCATGGAAGTGATACAAGGGGAGTGGCTCCGGACGGATTCTGCCAAGACGGATTCTTATCGCAGCGTGCATGAAGGTAGGTAAACCTAGGTAGGTAAGGTACCCTAGGTACAGACGCCCAGAGTCGACGCGATGACACTTGAGAAGGAACCACTCGTCAATCCTACTGGCATCGATAGAACACTATTATATGATTCGACTTTCCTCTTCACACAAGAGGAAATCGTGAATGAAAATTATATAAATTAAGAGTCGACATCGACGGCTCTGGATTTCGCGCCACTACAATCACTGAGTCACCTGCTATCAGCAGCAACGATTACGCCGCGACCTCCCCGTCACCATTATCGACACGGCCCTCATGCTGGCCATCGTTTCTTTCCTCTATGCCAAATTCAGTATTGTTCTCCGTCCGCATCGGGACCTTGTTTTCCAGCAACACCAGAAGCAGGCCAAGGCCGGCAAAAGCCACCAAGACATAGAAGACGACGTGAATAGCGTGTTCGAAGATGGAAATAACTTGTTCTCGGACCAAGTTATCCGAAGGCTGCATGGAATCGAGGAAGGCTCTAGTCGCGAGCTGGTAGGCCTCACCGTCGGGGGGCGTGCGGTCAAACTTGGGTTCGTGGCAAAAGCCGAGTCATTGGTCGTAACTCGATGCTTTACGACGTTATTAAAGAGAGCTGATGGAATGGTGAAGCCCCAGATGGCGCCAAATCCCCGGGCAAAGCTGTAAATGCCCACAGAAGTCGCGGCATGGCGCTCCTCGAGTGGCGCTTGCAGAGCTGGTAGTAGTGATATGGATAGCGAGCCCAGACCCGTGGCACCCAAGATTTCAAAGCATGCCCACGCTGCGGTCGAGGAATGACGATTGAGAGTACTGCATAGACCAACGGCGACAAGCATGGCAGACCAGCCGAAAATATGGATCGGTCGATATTTGCTTACCTTAGATAGCAGGATGCCAGAAACAACCGCAAAAGGAACAACCGCGGCGGAGATGGGAGCAAGAGCAATCCCGGAATCCAGTGGGGATCTCGCAAGCACGCCTTGAAAGTAGACAGGTAAGAAGTAGAAGGGGGCGTACATGGCTTCCAGTTGACCAGTGTCATAGTAAGGACCGCTGATGAGGTGCGATTGGAAACGATTGCGCGCGGAAACGAAGGCTCTGGAGCAAGTCGAGGAGTCACTCAAAAGCGATGAAGGCCAAGAGGCCCAATAGACCGAGCATAAGGGGTACAAGGATCTGGGCGCTGTTCCAATAATACACAGGTCCGCCCCAGGTCAGCGCCAGCAGCACGGCAACAACGGCGCCGATAAAGATGGCGTTGCCGCCGAAATCAATCCGCTTGACGCTGGAAAACATGACACGTCGGTGCTTGACGTGAAGAAAGAAGAAAAACATAACGAATGCAACGCCGCCGAGGATGGCATTGAGATAGAAGACCCAGGGCCAGCCTATCTTCACAACGATCAGCCCACCTAGGAAGGGTCCTCCAACGTAGCCGAGGGTAGTGCCAATAGACACGTACGACAGATACTTTGCTCGGTCGCGCAGCGGCACCAGGTCCAGAATGGTGGTCTCGGTCAGTGTGTCGAGTCCCCCACTGCCCACCCCTCGGAGGGTGCGGGCAGTGATGAGCATAACCATCGATTTGCTGGCACCGTCTAGGGCGCAGGCGAGGACGAATAGCGAGACCGCACCCAGCAGCACATTCCGGCGGCCAAAGATGTCGCTTGAATGGGCATACAGCGGGAGTCCTGCAATGGAAGCCGGGAAGAAACCATTTGGCACCCAAAGGTACAGGTTACCACCGGCCAAGGCTGCGACGATCGTGGGCAAGGCGTTGACCACGATAGTGCCCTCAACAGACCCGCAAAGAGACATGGCCGAAATGGACAGCATAAGCAGCCAGAAGCGCCGAGTGGGCTTGAAGGGTTTAGTTTCGGCGGGAGGAGAAAGGGTGTCGTCTTCTAGCAGTGCCAAACGGGAGACATTGCCGCCGACTTCCCTTGGGAAGACGCGCTGGTTTTGGTGTCGGTGTTGCTGATGCCGTTGTGCGTTGGCGGAGTTGTCCAGGTCAATGCTGCTGCTGACTCTGCTACTATGGATCGATGGGTCTATGGTGACAGTCGTGGTAGGCATATAGTCGACAACAGGAGAGATCGGAATGATTCTGAAGATGGGAGGCGAAGTTAAGGAGAAGAGGAGCGGCTGAAATGGAGTAAAGGAGGTGGTTCTGCCCTACGTATCGAACCCAGACTCTTTCATCTTCTTGCATCCCTTTAAGCTGGAACTTCCAGCTTTCAAGTTGTGGGAAACCGAAACCATCTTGCTTCAATCCATCGATTATTATTGTAGTTCCTTTTTTGTGATGGACCGTGAGCGATAGTAACAGACAGACCCTTTCTGGAGACCATCCGAATTACGCGACCTCTTGGTGCGGAAAATCTGGGCTATTTCGCGGTCCGAAACGGTAATCGGCGTTGACGTGAAGCGTTTGACTATATCTCTCTGCGGCCCGGTATCGCGTGGCTTTAAAAGGAATGAGTTCATGAAGCCGCAGTTATGGGTCTCGTATCAACTCCTCGACTGTCCAGCTGAGCCTTGACATCTTCAAAGGTCTTCACGCTGGGGGTCTCCGAGGTCTCAAAGTTTTCATCTCGACTTCGATTCAGGGATGGCCTAGTTGAAGCAGACCGAGGGAATGGTCGATGTCTGAATGGTTGAGACCACTGAACAGAATCAGAACGACCAAGTCGACGCCTATGATTCAACATTAGGCTACTGGACAATTCGAGGATGAATCACCTACCGAGATTGTTCCATCTTGTGAAAAGATCTTCAACCCAGTCAAATGGTCATACAGAGCAATCCAGTGTGGAATTCAGTACTCTGCATAGGACTGTGACCCTCGCATTTGCCTGGGAGATGATTTGGGGCAGGAGATGGTTTCGCAGGACACAGTCACATTTCACGAAGTGAATGCGAGGAGTGAATGGCAATATTTTAACAACAGTCATGACACCCATGGTGAAAATGTCACACGATTAACTGTCTCTTCCCTTACCTAATCTATAGAGTTGGTGCTTCTTGTGATGTTACTATGGATCTCAATGAAGTTTCGGACCATGCAAAAAGAATGACAGTTCTCATGTTTCGTCTAATGAAGCCTTGCCATGATCTCTACTAGTATTAATGTATCAAAAAGAAAACATAAAAAGAAAGGATGAAGAGAGTGGGATTCGAACCCACGCCTAGGATTGTTAGGACATGCAAGAATCAGAGGAGGAGAAGATAGAACGTACGGGATTACTCCCATCAGGAAACGTCTATCCATTGCTGGATACTGAGGAGCTAAGACTTCAAAGCCTTAACCTGACGCCATAACCAACTCGGCCATCTCTCCAGGCGTATTTGTTGGATGAATTTGCATGATTAAAACTATACTAGTTGAATGTGCGGGGAGTCTTTGGCCGATAGTTAGTCCCCAAGGACGTTCACGGTGGGCAAATTTACCCTGCATCTCTGGCCAATTCTCATGCCTGACTCGCTGAGCATGCGGCTTCACTCACAACTCCCTCCTTGAGTACCTGGTAAAACAGTGCTGCTGTTACAGATGTCGGCACAAGTCTTGGAGGGCAGGCCTATCCCAGAAGTTGACATTCTCTTCCTCGGCAGTCCAGGGGTTGGCAAAGCGACCTTCCTGTCGTATGGCTTTCCACGCGTGGCATCAGCCTTGCCTCTGCATACTGACATATCTCTAGAAGACTAGAAAACGTTCGCCATGGCAAGCTCGATTTATCTGTCCCCAGGAAACGCGTCTTTGCGCCCACAGAAGCGGTAGCGTTCGATGTTACCTTGTTCAATCGTCCCTACAAATTTCGAATTCACCCCTCTACATCCACACTATTCATCGATGCATTTCCCCCACGGCCTGCGTTTACCATTATCGCCTTCTCCATATCCTCGCGTGAATCTCTGTACAATGCGCAATACTACTGGCGCAAGCAACTGTCCCTACACTACAACGACCTTGAGCACGAGATGCCCGTGATGCTACTGGGGCTCAAGAGAGACGAACGCAATGAAGATAGACTGCAGGATGGAACGTTCGAGTGTGTAATGCCGCAGGAAGGCCTGCGTGCCGCTCAAGAGATGCGCTGTGACCGGTATGCTGAATGCAGTGCTCTCACCGGAGAGTTGATGTGGGAAGTGCTCGAGGATATCACAAGGACTGCGGCATTGACGACCACAGAAAGCGGCGGGCTGACCCAGACGAATGGGTGTTGCTTGATGTGATGAATCAAGCACTGAGAGTTTCCAGCTGTCTACGAGTGGCTGTGCTGGAGATCATGGCCTCACATTGCTGCAGAAGCAAACGCTGAACCACCAAATATTCATACTGGTATGGTAAAAATGATGGTTCATTATACCTGTCAAAGGCCGACCTCTCCAGGACGCTGTCACCCGACGAGAGTTCCTACTGAGTCTTGGACATGGCCCTTTTGGCTTGCCATGTTGAGGCTAGCGGCAATCTTGCTATCGAGACCACGATCCAAGCCATCTCACTGACCAGAAGCTCCCGTGCTTCAAATAGGACGGGAATGAACAGACTGGAGCTTTCTCAGTACTCTACTAGGCTGCACAGGACCATATCATCGGACAATCGTTCGGCTGTGGGCTTCTACGGAGAATTGCTGCCTGCTGGACCTGACACTGCCTATTCGCAGTCCATCTGAACAGAACACATGTGCGAAAAGTCCATGTCCCAAGGTCACTCAGCGGACCTCACGAACCCCACGATGCTTTTACATACGCTCGAGAGCCTCCAGTCAGCGTATAGGTTCCAAACGAGATCGTGCGCTGGGGTTCTACAAGCCACAGGGCACATTGAGACTGACTCGAAGATGATCATGGAAATCATGTGGACAATGCGACACCTTCGCAAGCCGTCGATGTCCGGTGTGTGCGGCATTGCTCGAGGGAGACTTCCACGAGCTCGGTTCAGTGGACCAGGAATGCCTCCACAGATTGTGTGGATGGTCAAGCTGATGCAATGGTATTCCGTGCCGGATCTGCCCCTGCCTTGGGCACCCAATAGGGACCGTGGCGTTGCCATTCTACTCAGATTTAAGTGACTTGGCTCAACTTTCGGCAGGAATTCGAAACTTATTCAGAAGCCGCTGATCTCGCTCTTTCCTCCAGATCAGCATGAGCATGAAGGGCATCCAGACCATCTGCATCAGGTTCATCCTCCGAATATTCATGGTAGAGCTCGATTGCTCGGCCTTGTGCTTGATAGTCCTGAGAGTATTCGTGATCACGGTCCAGGTCATCGATAGCTTCGTCAAAGTCGTCGTCGTCCTCACTGGAAGAACCGCGTAGGTCATCCCAGTCGCTGCGGCTTGCCATGGTTATGACGGAGCCTGTTACGCTGCACGGCGGACGCGAGTGAATGGGTACGTGGTAGAGGGTTGGGCTTGATGGGACTGGCGAAGGATGAACGTGAGGATAAGTTGTCAATGCCCACAATCTATTGTTTTCCGTTGCATTCGACCCGTATTCGGTTAAATGAGGCTCATGTGTGTTCGTAGCTCGAAGGGACTGGCCGCCCTGTTTGTTCGCATTGGCATCGTGCAGCCTGGCGATGATGCAGGGATGACGAGCGTGAGGTTGACAGGCGTCCTCATACACAAAGAGGCCAAAATTCCAAGAACCCAAACCAGTCACTATGAAGCACAACGTCGCTAGTATCTACATCTTACGGACACTTCTCGAACGCTATACTAGTAGCAGTAGTGTACATCTGAGAACGACAAGCACACGGCGCAGCACCTTCGAAGCCTCGTCTACCCCGGCGCATGCTTCACTCAGCCTTGCGAGGCCAACTTGCGCCGGACTTCATCACTGTAACAGAATCGCTGCTCATTGCGCCCACTGTAACCCCCGCGTTGGAAAGCAGCGACTTGCAAAGGGGCCCAAGGCATGACCGCCAGCCCTGATGTTGCTTTGTATGAGGCTGAGTGCATGACTGCGGAACCAAGCTTGCGTTTGGCGACTGGTGCTGCCCGCCCGGCCATGCTGACAACGTCCTGACGCCTAGGGGGAACCGATTTCCCGCTTCGATAACTACTGTAGTAAAACCCACTTCAACTCAAGAGCGTTGAGTGAAACCTTTGTTCTGTCTTTTTTAGCTCGAGCTCGCCAAGACACACGCAGTCTCTCTCTCTCTCTCTCTCTCTTAGAACAAACAGTCCAAACAACAACAACACGCCAACCCGGCCAACAGCCCGGCGCAGATGCCACCTCCAGCGCCGCCTCCTCTGTCGCGCTCGTAGATGACATTCGGCTGCTGCTGGTAGCCATACCCACCATACCCAGGTCCGCCACCTGGAGGACCGTAGCCAGGACCGTAGCCACCGGGCTCAGCGTACCCGGGACCGGGAGGACCATAGTATCCTTGCTGCGCCTGCCCCGGAGGCGGGCCGTATTGGCTCATGTTCATGTTCTGGTCTTGACCGTAGACCATGCCGCCGGGAGGAGGGGATTGGAAACCTTGACCTGGACCTTGACCTTGGCCACCCGACCCATAGGCAGGCGCCGGGTATGATGGGGGAGGGTATTTGTTTTCTGCCATAACTCCCAGTAGCGACAGACACCTGATGAGATTGGAAACCGAGATTGAGACTGAGATTGAATTTCGACGCGCAGTAAGATTTGGGACTGGACTCTTGTTGCCTGTGCGTGCAGATTACGTGCCCCCAGGAGTCAAGAAAAAAGCAATCTCGAATGGCAATTTGCTTGCTTCGCGGCTCTGGTGGGTGGAACGTTCCCACTCTGTTTCTTTCTCTCCTTGCGAATATCGAATATCGCGTGTCAAAGAAAAATGATATTAACGATCTCTTCCCGCCGCGTCTTGAATGAATTCGAAGGTATTGAAGTGGCGCACAGGGAATCTCCGGGAATGTCGCAAGATCCGCGAGGACCAAAGCAACCCCTTCACCTGCCGAATGGGAGGCGTGTAACGGGAAAGTTTTTCGCTATTCTTTCGCGTCTCTTCCGACGGACTGTTTCGAACGCGGCGAGGGTGCAGGCCGTAAAAGTGACCGAAGCTGCCAGGTCTCTGTAAAGGGAAGGGGATAATTTGATCCAAGGCTCACGGCGTAATCGACAAAAAATGATCTATAGACAGAAGTGACAGTTGACCTCTGCCTACGCAGTTGAACACGCAACAAAGGCGGCGCAATTAAAGTCAGCAGGGAGAAAGGCGCGGCAGGGGCAACGAGAAGGTGGTGCGAACGCGTAATTGTACATCTTGGAAGCCTTGGAAAGGGCTTGGTATTGCTATTCACGCATTGGGGTCCTTGGGGACTTGAGCCGCCTTGTCCGGATTGCTTTTGGAGCAAATGAATGTAACCACATGGACCCTCATACGAGTGTAGGTGGACGAATTCTGCCAGAGTACAACATCCACACATTATTGTCGACGTAGCAATGATTAGTTTCGAGACAAGCAGTCTCTTGATTCGGTGGTCACAGAAAGGTCAAAGGTTGACTGACGAGTTTCAGCTCGCATCGCCTGACGAACCAATAATAGCCATTCCATTCTTGCCACGACCATGCCGATTGGGACAGTTTCTTGCGAAGCGAGATGGCGCAGTTGCTGACTTGTCCACTCATCAGAAGTCAGGACTGTTCATCCGTGGCGTCCACCATTATTGTGGCTTGGACAGAAAAGGTACGTACCTTTTCGACGCTTGTTGCTCATGTTGTTGGGCCAAGCGCTGCTGCAATGCGAGCGCGACGTTGGCCTACGACGCACCGTGCACGCTCTGACCACAGCGTGGTACTTGTCCTCGTAGTCAGGAACGCTCAGGGTACCCTCGTACCTGACGGCAATGTCACTTTTGAGCCTCATGCACGTTATGTGCTCACAGATCAATGCGCGACCACGGCGAGTACGATGTTGAAGATCCCCCTATTCTTGTCATCAGAACCGCGTGACCCACCCCTTTTGGCTGTCTTGAAGGTATCTGTGCTCAGCTACTCCGTATGTCAAGGCACCCACAAAGGAGCTTTGACGCCTGAAGTCAGTGTTGGAAATCCCAAATACCACAGCAACACCAGAGCAGAAATAAGGATTATTGAAGTATGCCTTTCAATAATGGACTCAGAAGCTCTAGTATGGCCGTCTTCGGAACCTTTCAATGCATCAACAAGGTTCGGCGCCACATAGTGCTGCATAGATGACGAAAAAATAGCCGCTGATCAGCATATCAGCATATCAGCATGGTAACCCAGGAAGAGTTGATGTTAGTGTATACGTCCAGTGTGCGTGCAAAGACATACTGTTAAGCTGTGTAGGCCCTTCACGGCACTAGCCAGCAAGCAGTATATGCCTTGGCCTGCCCTCGATCATGCTGACTCTACTTGTCTGTGTGGCCTACGGAGCCTTGCACTGCAAGTTCGAAGGGCCTAGTCCACGTGATCGACTAGCACTACTTTGAGGATACTGTGCACATACACCTGTGAACCACTGCTGAGCAGTGACTGTAATTCGATAGCCGACTGGAAACGTGTTGGGCACTCAAGGCCGTGTCATTCGGGGAAATTCACTAGCCGTCAACGGCATCCGAGTGATGATTGGACATGTTCAGACATGGCCACCCAATGGCCATATCAATGCATGCACCCAGCATGCAGTAGTCGAGTTCCTTGGACTCATGCGACAATCCTTCGCTGGAAAGTTGTGGTTGCGGCATTTTTGCCATGTGCCAGTCCTTGTGAGGATGACTGCCGGTGAATCATGGGGGTTGGCAGCATCTTCCCGCTACTGCAGCAGTCCCATATCATTGTGTCCAACTCGTATGCCCAAGCACCGAGCACAAAGAAAATGAAGACTAAGTGGACTGTGTAGCTTCGGGTGTGGCAACCGGAGCGGCAGCCGAAGTTGAGAGTCCGGAGTAAGCCTGATGTATACTAACACAAGGTCTCGTCCATTGACTGTCCCGATAAGAAGCTTTCAGACTGTCAGGTGAGTGGCCGATTCTCACTCCGAGTACGAGCTATAAAAGAGACCTGATAAAGCACACATTGATTGGTCACACACCAACTTTGACAGTCCGTTTCCAACATAGCGCACTTCGATTAGAACGAGACGTGCCGTGGATTGGGCATACACAGTAGGGCACAGGCGGATGCCTCGTAAAGGGTAATCCCTAAAGACCATTGGCCTTACCGTGCCAAGTTCCGGATGTTCTTCAAGTAATTCTTGAAAACAGATAGTCTGAGCAGCGACAGCGGCACGCATGTTCGTAGCATGCACCTGCAGCATGTGAGATTTTGGAAACAACAGGAGCATTGCATGACATAATTGGACGTAGTAGACTAGGTAGACTGGACATTGGATGGTTTTCGATGTCATTGTTGACTGATCTGCTTGCAATGATGGATGGCCTGGGGCGCGAACTTTCGCGACGATGTGAAGTGTGTCTGTCAGCAGCCAAGGAACAAGTGGTTCCTCTGGACGAGGACTAGCTGCATTTGAAACACGATCAATAGTCCTGAATAGGATTTGTCTGTTGCACGTTGGCATTCTGACTTCTGGCAGGACTCATCCAAGGACAATATCATTGGGCCTGAACCTTATCGATGACACCATCTGGCACGGCTTATCGATTAACGGAGGGGCGGCATTGTCACTGATTGTCTGGTAGTCGTATCCAAAGCTGCGACAAGGGGGCTGTCAGCAGTCCTCAGGCTGGCCAGTGACGGTTTGCATGGGAGGCAGCATTGGTGTCTTTCTCTCAGGTTGAACAAGCCTGGGTCGCTCCTGGTCTGAGAACAAATGACAAGTCTGTGCCACAGACTACGCATGACCACGTTCCTTGCAACAAGGGGGATGTCCATCCAGCAAATGCGATGATCAAAGTGGGAAATTCTGCCGCTGACTGTCAAGGTCCATCGTTAGTACCTCTCAAGCACCTGCATAAGCCCGTCAAGATGGAGGGCTGCTTAGGAATGTGACGGGTCTGATCTGCTGCATGGGCGGTGCAAAAACTTCGGAGTGCAAAACAAGCGATCCTCAGATGGCGGGGCTTCGTCGTCGATAGAGTTGGGTTCCATGGCTTCTTGAGCCTGTCATCTCCTGTAGTCGAGGCCTGGGAACGGCACTTCTCCAGGAAATCTCGACGGCTCGTGTAGCCCAAGGAGCGGGAGCCAAGCCAACCCAAAGAAGGCGTCACAAGTTTTGGGGGGAAAGAGGGCCACTGTATGCAGGTGAGTTGCAGTAGTCGGTGGCGAAGACTTGGAAAGAACGAACGGCAAGAGGAGGATATGCAAAGCGTGGTGGGGCAAAAGGCAGAATAAGGCAGCCAATGCATCCTGCACACCCTGGCAACAACGGCTGGCTGACGCATGTGCTGTCAACCTCGAGGGCTGGAACCAAAATGAAAAGGAGGCTTGCATTAGTTTCAATGTAGGCGGCAGAATCGAGGGGGGCGAAGGAGTGACAGCGATCCAGTCGACTTTGCCCTCGAGAATAGTAGCACGCAAAAGAGGCTGCCACGAGTTTGTGCCAGCTGAATGGTCGATGATTGATGGTTGGGTAGGATTGGAATCGAATGATGAAAGAACAGCGGGATCGAAAATCATTCCTTGAGCAGGTACCTAGGTAGATAACTATTCAGGAAGGCTAGCCGAGAGGGGTTTCACGTGACCAAGGTTGACATTGAGGGCAGCACGAAGATCGCTGCCAGCGAGTAACAGCCAGAGTCTGCGAGGATCAAGTCTTCTAATCACGTCCATAACGGCGGTCGTCAAATGATGCTCCGTGTAAAGTTCCTTGATTGTTTACAACAGAATACCAGCGAAGGATCCGCGAACCAGAATTGGATGACTGGATGACCGTCTCATCCAGAGGAGCAAAAAATCCTTGGTCCGAGAAGAACAGCTTGGAAAGCCAAACAGTGTTCTTTTAGGTGTACAAAATATACCTGTGCTCGACAGATTCCAAATCAACAGAAGCCTCTCCACTTCCTATGTCACCTCTCGCCAGCACTTGGGTTGAGAGACATAGCAAGTCCGCTTTTGCGCCACTTTCTCCATACATTTTCTTTTTACCAAGTCGTCGAACGCTAACAACAACGTCCCCTCCGCACATGAAAGACAACTCGCTGTCTAAAAGAAGACTCCGACAAATGCTTCCACAATCTCTCAACAAGCGAAAAACCTTAGGCCAGGGGGTTTTCCAGCAGAAATCCAATCCAATCCAGTCATGTGGGAAAGATATCGTAGACCGCCTGGGTATCCAGAAGAAACAAGACAAAACTCCGATCGATCGTAATACCGTGACATCGTAATAGCACCAACAGGTTGCTGCCGAACGTATAATTTTGAGGTCACAATGATCAAAAAGCGGCAACCGCTGGGACAAAGTTCGGTGGACAATAGTATGGCTTTTCAGTGTCGTTCAAGGGAATAACATTTCCATAGAAGTTGAAAACGGGAGGATGCAGAGCATCGGCAAAAGGAGCCTCGGACTCGTAACCGGAATCCGTGGAAACAGAGGAACAGGACGAACCAGATTTGGAAGTTGGTTCGAACAGAGACCATTCGGAGGGATGAGTTTGGAAGGGGTGTTGAGGAGACGGAGATGCTGGTGGAGAGGGTGGCAGAGCCATGTTGGCGCAGTCCATTGGATCAACGTAGTGGTAAGGTGACTGAGGCGGCGAAGGAGGAAGAGTGTTGTAAGAATTAATGGTCAACCTGGGGCAATTGATGATCAACTCCCGGAGCTCCTGGAGGGTAATCCGCTTGTGTGGGTCACACTCGAAGATGCGTCGCAAGATCATGTTCAACTCGGCAGTGATAGGCAAGATCGAGCTCAAAAACTTGGGATCCTTTAGGAATGCCCTGAACGTGGAATCATCGGGAGAGGCCTTCTTCCAAGGATTGCGACCACAGGTCAAGTTCACCAGAATGACGCCAAGGCTCCAAACATCGTTGGGGGCAGCGGCGTAACGAGCATATGGCCTGGTTGGAGCTTGCTGACACTCTGCGAAAAGATTAGTACACCGTAATTCTGGTAGGTGTGTCATCGACAGTGGACGTACCTGGGGACATGTAGAATGTCGAACCGCATCCGAAGTCGGACGTGATGGAGTCCGTCGTGGCGAGTCCAAAATCGGCCAACTTGACAGTGCTTCCATGGTTGGTAACCAGGATGTTCTCCGGCTTTAGATCGCGATGGTAGATCCCAATGGAATGACAATATTGGACGGCATCCAAAATCTGCAAGAAGGCATGCTTGGCCAATTGATCGTCGCCCACGAACCGGCCTTGCTCGGTGATATTGGAGAACAAGTCACCCTCGGGACAGAACTCAATCACGACGAAAGTGCAATCCGGGCTGTCCAGAATGCGGACCAGAGACACAACATTGGGGTGTTGGCTGGCTTGGTGGTGCAGCGCGATCTCTCGTCGTTGAAAGCGTCGTTGTCTGGAATCCAATCCGACCTTTGGCAGGGCCTTGACCGCAAATGGGACATGGGTCAGGATGTCGACGGCCTGGTAAACGACTCCATAAGCACCGATTCCAAGGACAGAGACAAGTTCCAATCGTCCGGCTAGTACGCACCCCAATCTGTCCTCTGGCGCAAGACAGGTCGTGAGTTGAGGAGATGGTGGTGGCGTCAATAGCATTATTGGGAGAGCCCAAAAGTACCAAGTACTTGCTCTAGGAAAAGGAGCAGTCGTTAAGACCGAAAAAGACAACAACTGGCTCAAAACATGGGTCCAAGAAAGCACTCCCGGAGACTGTGGTTGTGAAGACAGGAATAGGAAAAAAGTGGCCTGGTCCTTCGGGATATAATGTCCAGACGGATGTTCGAGTAGTTGTTGGGAGGTTGGTGAGCAAAGGAAGGACTCGAAAGCGAATACAAGTAGTAAATAGGATAGAGAGATGTGAGATATATGAGGCTGAAGTCCGTGGAGAGAGGGTTTGGTGGTTGGTATTGATGTTGGTTGTGATATGGAAGAGGTTCTGTAGAGGTATAGAGGCAATATAATGTTCTTTTAGGTATGACGGTAGATGGATACCTTCTCAAGAGACTCACGATCACGGCAAGCGTCGACGCACGGACGTCCAATGCCCCCCATGGCATCCATGCTGGTGGAGCAGGACGCTGTCAGAACCTGGTAAGAGAGATGCTGCGAATAGAGCGCCAGGAAAAGAAGAGATCCACCTCAGTGCGTCAAGGTTCGCAAACCCTGGCTGTGGTCTGACGCTGGATGACGAGTCGGCCATCAGCGGTTTCGTTTTGGAGTGGGCCAGACAAAGCAAGACGAGGCGGGCACGGCCTGGCAGGGAGAAGACGGTGGTGGGTTGCATGCCTCCCTGACACCAAGGGCAAGGCGACGGGATCACCTGGTGGCTGGGCGCATTTCTGATCACGACAGATCAACGTTCCCTCGCGAGACCGAGCGCCAGCGCTAGCATTCGACCAATGGCTAGCTAGCTTGACTGATCTCCCAGGACGAGCATGCCTTGGTGCGTCAATCACCACGCTGGCACTCACACCAAATGGAAAATGCTTGCTGCTGCAGCACCGGAGAGAATGAAATTCGAGATGGATCGTGCCCGGAGCACAACGCGTTTTCGTCGTTGGCTGGCAAGCCCGCCGCCTCGCCGTTACTCAATTCGCCGCTACTCTTCGGTTGTTTACTTTGTCGGTGCATAGCGCCCATGGATCATTGCAGGAGAAATTGCCTCTGTTTCGCCGCAGGTAGCCAGCAGGAACCCTAAGCCGTCTGCTGTGTCTCTGTAAAGCCCTGTCTCCAAAACTCGATTTCCAGACTATGGCGAATTTGTTCGTGCACGGCCACGACTATTGGTTGCTGCTGCCGCCAGCACAGACAGCATCGGACACGACTGATGAGACGAGTGGACGATCGACTGTCGGTAGGTCGGCCAGTGTCCCAAGCGGCGAATCTGCTCAGAGCCGTATTGCTTTTGCGCCTGGCGCCTGGCAGGTGAGTAATGATGGTCCCGACCCAATTGCCTGCCGCTGCTATTCGTTCGTGTTTCAAGCAAGTTGGTGGGTGGAGGACTAGACATTGCAATGGCAGGACGCAGGGCACTGCGGCCTGTCGGTCTGAGAAGTACGCCTGTTAGTGCCTAAGGCACTAAACTTGATCTGACTGTTGCATTTCTGCTCGCTGGAATCTTCGCTTTTCCAATCTGACCGTCGGGCCAATCAGACGTATCGTGCTACTGCCCCCGCCCCGTGCTAGAGGTGTGGTTCGAAGCCTGGCAGAGGCCCTTCCATTCCTGCCCAATTGCTCCTCTCAGGGGCCATTCTGAGAAGTTTACTGTGGTAGCCGTCTCTGCACAGGACTCGTACTCCGCACAGTAGTTGACTCCTTTGAACTTGGGAGAGTTTGTGAGAGTTCTATCTTTGACGAAGGCCACATTGTGGTCAGCGCTACAGTGCAGGTGCCTGCTTCAACAGGAGACAGTCCACACTTCCGTCTGTTACCAAGATCCTTGGGATGTTCCCAACTTGACCCCTAACTTAGTACCAGCAGAATTGGCTTTGAAAATCCAGTCTTCAGCCACCGAGTCTGAACGGACGAGGCGATATAGCGTATAGCCAGGCGAATTTGAGAAACCCAACAACTGGCCGCATGCTTCTAGGATCCTGCCCCCGAGGCAGTAGTGCTGTAGTGGTGTGCCTCCAGCCCGCCGCACCAAATTTGCCTCAGGTGCTGGCGTCACGCAGTGCCAGTCGTGCCAGTCTTTGCCGGAAGTGTCGGCTACCGATTCTGGTGTGGCTTACAAAAATTATTTATTGACACAGCCTTCATTCGCCACAAACAATTAGCAGCATGGCGGGCCGAGCTGTTTCAAGAGATGCTTGACTGAAAACGATCCGCAGGGACAATTTAGCGGTCGAAGATGAGTGTCCGCTCTCTTGTTGCGCATGTGACCCCGCTTTAGCTCGTTGCGCATGCGAGTTGAGGTTCAGGACCATCCTCAATGGCCAAAACTGTAAAATAGTGTATTGAATAGCGCAAGCACCACAAGCCTTGCCGAAATTGATAGCCCATTGATAGCGGGTAGGCCACTGGGGAGCCAGAGACTAACCACTCGCGTGTCTCAGAGTGGCCATCGACGATCATGACCAAAGGTTCGTTCTCTGGCAGGGCAGTTTGGGTCTTTGACATCCTGGGACTTGAAGTCCCTGAGCGGCCTGAGGCAGAACCAGGACAGGGTTTGGCGATGAGGGAAGACAGGGGTAGAGAGACCTTGAGGTTCGCATGGACGCGAGAGGTGCAAGTCTAGTCGAGCGCCTCGCCCTTTTCGTGACAAGTCGATTACGTAGGAGATTATCTCCCGTGCGAGGATTTGGTCCTTCCCTTTTTTGCCTCTGCCTTGGGGGATGGAAAGCTGACCTTCACTTGACACATTCAGGCCACGTTGCCTAACGACTCAACGTCGAGAGTGGCGAGACAGGCCCCAGTGAGGGGCAGCCCTTGCCCTTGACAGTTGACACACGAGGATGCTGGGCATGCACCTGCATGCACTGCATGCTGGGAACTGTCAAACAAAGGGCGATCACGAGGCTGTTAGCGCCGTGTCTGATGCTAGTGTGTGAATCTGGCCACGATGATCTGCAGGCAAAAGCTGCCTTTGAAACCCAGTCGTGCCGGTGGAAGCAAGGAGATGACAAGCGGTGTGATGGCAAAATGGATGGCAAAATCGGGCAAAGACGATAAGTGCTTCCCCATAGCATTTTGCACACATGGCTTTATACTTCACCGGCGACCTTATCTCACTCCTGCCAAGAATCACGTGTGACAAATGTGTCTCATTTTTGCCTCAGTGATGCAGCATAACACCACTCTCAACATCATGCTACTGTACTCAAGCCGTTTGTACTTCTATGGCGGGACAATGATTGTGTGACGATCTATTCACGGCAAACACCATGGTGGGGGCATGAATTCCGCCCCTTGCGATACGGTATTCATGTCGGTAAGCGGTGGGCGGACCAGTTCGTCTTCGTTGGGGCCATCTGAGCATTACAGATGACTTCAATTCACGCACTGGAGATGTGTTGTTGAACCGGAACTCCAGCAGGGCTGGGTTCCGCCTACTCGTTGCACACTCTTTCCGTTCGGGAAAACGACCTTGCAGACCAACGCCAATTGTCCGACAGGCACAAGTCTCGTGTAGCCCGGAGCAATCATCTGAAGCCAATGTCCATATCCATGCTCGACTAGTTAATCGCGCCACCATCAGAGCAACTTTCGACGCCTGCAGAATCGACGGGCTTTTGCCAACACAGTTCTGAAGCAAGTCTACTGGGCTCTTCGGTGTCCCTCGTCAGAGCTCGCGCCGCCGGCTCCTCCCCTTCGTGCCGGTGATTACTTGCGCTGCACGCTGAACGCTGCAGCTAGTTTGTCACATTTGCGGTGATAAGGTGACACAGAGATGGTTGCCTGAGGTATCTTCTGACGCCTTCAGTTTGAGAATCGGCCGGCAACGGGGAGCATGTGCAACGTCCATTCCGTAATTTTCTAAGACGATTCTTGTTCACCCAACGTCTGTTCCCGGATCTGTCATGCGTGGAGATTCTCCCGCTGTTCGGCAACTATCGAATCCTGTGCTCTGCAATATGAGCGTTGCGTGACTAAGTTCGACGATTCCAGCTGGACTACTTTTGCTGCAGCACGTGCCACAGCCTAAGTTGCCTTTCTCGAAGACTTCTAGAAGGCTTCTGGAAACCTTCAACTCGCTAACTTTACAGCCCGGGCCACTTGACGACCATACTTCAATCTTGTTTCCATGTTCGTAAATATGTGTGAAGCGAGTTTCGAGAGGTTCCAGACCTCTGCAAAGCAACCGTGCAACCTTTTATCGAAGCCTCAGCATTGACTGTGGCTGGATTACCTGCCAACGACGATCGAGGCTACGCCACAAGATTCCACACAAGTTCATCACGGCAACTGCCACGAGGCTTCAACACCTCTATGCTACCTGAACGCACGAGCTTGTCAGTGGGCCGTCAACATATCGACCATTCTGCACCGATGCCGCTCTGCAAAAACGTGGAACAGTGCTACGAAATGCGCAACCGCTTCCGCGACCGCTCCAACGGACTTGACTTCACCGGTACATCATATGGGTGCATGCAAGCCTGGTGGCTTCTATTCGCTCGGTCCAGACTACGCCTCTTTTACAGGACTACAGTATCGTCCAGAAGCTCACAAGTCACTGCGCTGAAAGGGTTCCAAAAGACCTGGGACAATGCTTTCTACAATTTCAAGTCTCCCTCGACTTGGTCTGTAGTACGGCCCTGGACAGAGCTGCTTCCTTCCCCCTAGACCTCATCCTGGAAGGATCGGACTTGCTGACCGTTGCATGAAGGGACGTCGCTTGCTCATGATGCTCTAGAGCCTTATGTCGGCTCAACTACTTCTTGAGGACCCAATCCGCCTACGCAGCGACAGCTTCGGGCAAATACGCTAGGCCTTCTCTACGTCTCTATCAATTCCCCTTTGGCGAGCTGTCGCTATTGCAGTCACATTACTTCTTCTCTCTTCTGCTTTCTCACCCGCCGCAATCGTGAATGAATTCCTATTTTCGGTCTCGACTGCGACGACGTACTGTCGCTAATTCCAGGAGTATTACCAAGTCCTTGCCCAAATTGCCATACAAAGTCGTCATGCTGAGCAGACGGAGCTCATGGGTCATTATCGAGTCGTGGCTACATACCCCCAGCTCCTAGTGCAGCTCAAGCCAGCATTCAGTCTCTGTTGAACAGCCTCACCTCTGATATATATAAGTTGCTTGTCACCCAATCGGAGAAACTTCGTTCTATATCACATTTTCTCCTTCCGCTTCTGGTCGCAGATATGACGATCTCCTCGCTTACTTGAACTATCATGCCTACCACATACTACCTCCCTTACCGCTTCTTTCTCATGTTTATGGACCATTCTCTTGAACTTGTTACGATCATTCTGCACACAGTACTATTACCACCTGAAGAACGGCTTTACTTACGTGAACAGCAGTGTTTCGACTTGTTAACGCCCCTGGCCCCGTGAAGCGCCTTCTGATGAATTCCATCCACCGCATTCTCAACACTTGCACAGCAGCTATCGTAGCATCGGCGACCTTCCAGTACGCTCGTTTGACAACAATAGTGCTCAGCCGACGACGGTCCAGTTGTCAAGATCAAGATCAGACCCAAGCAACATCATCTCGAGTCATTATTCCACCATGACTCGAAGACAAGTGATATGTTCTCCTGCTTTTCCAAGTACCCCAACCTCTATCAACCGAACTTCACATGCGATTACATCTTCGCCTGACTCCCTCTGCCAACGTGAACCGCATGAGCGGTTCAAGGACCACCAGATCGCACCGCAAGACATGTCCATCCCCCCATTTCCATCCGACAAATCCAAAATGCACCTCATATCAACGGCTTTGCTCATTCCTGGTCGCGGCACACCCCAGCAAGACATGACGATTGTGATCCACGACAATCTTATCCACAACATCCACTCGACATCGACACTCCCGGCCTGCCTCCTCTCCCTCCCCCATGCTCATGTCCCTGTCCTCCTTCCTGGCCTCTGGGACTGCCACACCCACCTACTCGGCACCAAATCCTTCAACTTCGCCGAACTCCTAACCACACACCCTGCCACGGCCGGCGCCCGCCTCGTCCGCAACGTCCGCGACATTCTCCTCTCCGGTTTCACCTCCGTCCGCGATCTAGGTGGCTACGCCATCGAACTCTCCCGTGCCATCTCCGAAGACTCCCTACCAGGCCCGCACATCTACTCTGCCGGGTCCGCTATATCCCAAACGTACGAAATACCCCCCTCCCGCCTCCCCTTTTCCGCAAGACCCAACGTGGTGTATTCAAGCACGAAGTTCTTACGCTTTGTCGTTTTCGTTCCTGTTCTTGATACGATCCAGCCTCTCTAACTCTCTAACTCATTGTTGATCTTAAACAGCTGCGGACACGGAGATATCTTCGACCTGCCCTCCGACATTGTCAGCTCCCGGCTCGGCGTCGTGCACTCTCTCAACCCGGCATCGGCACCGGCACAGCACCCTCTCCTCCTCGCCGACGGCCCATCCGAGTGCCGCAAGGCGGTCCGACTCCTCATCCGGCGCGGCGCAACATGCATCAAAGTCCTCGCGTCCGGCGGCGTGCTGAGCATCTCCGACGACCCTCTGCGCCCACAATTCTCCCCGTCCGAACTGGAAACGATCGTCGACGAGGCGACACGTGCCGGCCGAATCGTCGCCGCCCACTGTCACGGCAAACCGGGCATCCTCGCTGCTCTCCACGCGGGATGCCACACCATCGAGCACGGCACGTACCTCGACCAGGACTGCGTTGAGCTCATGAAAGCCAAAGCCGCCATCTACGTCCCCACACGGACGATCGTCAAGGTCGGCGTGGACCATCCCGAGTTGATGTCTCCCGAGTCCTATGCGAAAATGCTCGAGACAGCAAAACACCATCGTGCCGCGTACAGGCTAGCAGTCAAATCGGGCGTCAAGATCGCGCTCGGCACGGATCTGGGCATCAGCACGCCGGCGAGCCATCCCTTGGCGCTAGGCCGGAGCGGTGGCGAATTGAGTTACGCCGTGACCGACGGCGGCATGACCCCCCTGCAGGCGATCGAGGCGGCGACGGCCATGGGCCCGGAAACTTTAGGTCGGCTAGGAATGGCACCCAAGAGCGGCCAGATCAAGGAGGGCTATGATGCGGATCTGATTGCGTTGCGTACGAATCCGCTTGAGGACTTGGATATTTTCATGGATCCGGCGAATATTACGCACGTGTGGAAAGCCGGTCGGTGTTTCAAGAGTTCTGATGCAGGTGAGAAGGACTTCTGAGCATGCGAGAATGTGAGCATCCCAACATGCAACGGGATCAGATCAGCCTTCAGTACCAGGCGCTTCAGCACCAAAGACAGGACGTACATCACTGATCATAAGTTGGGATTTTGGCAACATAACTAGTAGTACCTACCTTACCTAACGTTGAAGCCACACCAGTATTATCCGGTTATACGGTTGAACGTGACCATTCGGCCATGCAACACTATGGTCCATCAATTTGGAATCTTGTCATTCTTCAAAACGCCGCTTCCATGCTCTCTAGGCTCTAGTAGTATGATCTATGGTCCAGCACAGCTCCATTCCATCCATTCATGTCGTCGTTAGGTTTGGTCGTTCAATCAATCATGCCCCAAGATGAGCGTCCATCTTTTCAAAAATGCTTTCTCCACTTTCTTTCTGTCAACGTTACTCTCCCACCCCCTGAACTGACAGCATCAAGCTCACCGAGGAAGCCTCTCATCTTCGGTATCCTCAACCTCACCTCCTTCCTCTGCCCAGAACAGCCATCCCATAACGATGAGCATCTTCAACCCTGCGGCGGTCCACAAAGCTCCAGCCATGCCCGCCGAAGACTTGTACATCTCTCCACCTGTTATCCCACCAGTACACAGCGCAATGATACACAACAATCTCTGTCCCTGCCGTTTTTGCTGCACGCTCGCAAATTCCCATAGACTCGAGCTCTTCCTCCACGCCTGTCGAAGCGAGTATAAGTCGGCGGTGAAGTCAAAATAAAGCGCACTCAGCACGATCGTGGGCATATCTAGCACGGCGAGTAGGCGCGACAGGGTCGTTTGGCCAGCCGCCTGGAAGGAAAGCAAGGCTACCGGACACAGGTCGAGGAAATTGGTCAACGTGCCAGAACCACTGTTGTTGTTGCTGCTCCCGGAAGAGAAAGAGCCGGGGACGAAAGGTTGATTCGAAACCAGATTGAGAGTGACCAGGATGGCGGGGATGATCATCAAGGCTGTCTGGAGAGAGAAGGAGACGATGAAGATCCACCGACGGCGAGAGCATGGCTGTTCTGAGAGGCCGGTCGGGTAACGGTGCAAGGCGCTGAAAAATAGTGCTCCGAGGCAGAAGGAGCCTATTGCAGTGAGAGATTTGTAGTATTGCTGACCATGGCTGGCTTTGGGTAGCCCACCCAGACCGAGGGCGGCGAAGACGGTATTTCCTGAGCAAGGAAGACTGGTTAGTTCCTGACCACCATATGATAAAAAGGTCGGGAAGATGGAGTCATACCGGTCTGCATATTGACGAAGCAACTCCACGAGTTGAAAGCGACGCTATCGACGAGTCCAGAGATGAAAAAGCAAATAGTAATCACTAGGCCCATATATGAGGCCCTAAGTTCACGGGAGAGGTATTTTTGTATCGTTCCTTGTCGATGGGGGTTGTCGGTACAACCCATGTTTGCTCGCTTCTGTCTGTCAAGGCTTCCTGCTCTCGAGGACGATCCGGAGGCTTGAGGAGCGGGATACGTCGAGGTGTTGGTGAGAGTGAGGGACGACTCAATACGGCGGAGGTGATTTTCAACATCTTCAGGAAACGAAATGTTAGGCATAGTGGCCAGGTGAGGAAAGATCGAGTTACGGATGGCGGTCAGTCAGAGGGTACGTAGTAATGTACACTTTCGGCAAGAACAGTCTTCCTCGAGTCCTTTGTATGACTTCTTCGAGGGAAGCTGCATACATGTAAAGAAACAAGGACATCAAACCTCGCTCCTTTGGGCTGCTCGTCCAGATAAGAAAGGAGCAGACTTCAATGTCTGCACGGCCAGGAGGACAAGCCAAGCAGACAGATGATGTGGGTATAGCCCACATTATGTTTGTTGCAGTGTCACAGCTTCACTGAGGTGCGAGGATAGCTGTGCTCGGCTGTCTGTGGTTTCAACAATATGTGGGCACCCGGGCCACCCAGCTCCCATCATGAGGCTTCGTGATAGGATGAGTTGTACCTGATATTCTACGACTCACCGGGGGCTGAGGACAGTGACTTCCCTAAGCTTCAGCGGTCCGACGTCTCGGCAGGCAAGCACTGCAAATAGTCCGATGCCCAGTGTCTGTTCATTTCATAGTCCAATTTCCGGAGCGTCAATTGAATCAATCATTCGTGCGTCCCCTCTCAGTATCTGATAAGGGATTGTAGGAGGAAGACCACATTATCTCCCCAAGTAGGACAAGATGTAACTGATCTATCCGGCCAAGGCTGGGCGTGTCCTTTGCTTCCTAGATCCTGGCGTAGATCGGGCCCAATCAAGTATGGTGGCATAGTTTAACTGGACCATCAACTGCCTTTGACCACCTTTGACCAATCCACTTTCTCCTCTGCCAAGGGCGAGGCTGTGTCACTCTGAAGATCGGCAAAGACAAGTCAACATGGTGGATCGAGAGGTCGTCAGCATTTGTTGAGACCTGCGGCCAAGCTAGCACCCAGTTCTTGATCAGATTGGCGAAAGAGTATTGTTTCGGATAGTGGTCAAGGTTTATCTGAACTCCGAGGCTGTGCCCTGCTGATCGTCAGATTTGGCCAGAGAAACTTGGCCTGGAAAGGAGACGAAGGCATGTTGCGACATAGTCAAAGGTTGCATCATATTTTGGCATCTCTTGCTGCCTACCTCTATTTACAATTCTGCAGAACCCTGCTCTGTGTGGGTGAAATGGAAGCTGGGCCCCAAAAGTGAGATCGGACAAGAAGTCGGCCGCGCTTAGGTCTTGACATCTGGTTCCGTTCTGCCAATGAACTTCTGGAGTTGCAGTAGGTCGATTGCGAGTCCGACAGCACCCTTCAAGTAAGTCTGTGTATCTTGGTCGACTTTGCTCTTGTCTTCTTCGAGCTTCTCAACATAGAGTCGAATGGTTGCCCCACTGCTACCTGTACCCGACAAGCGGACGACGACTCTGGTACCGTCATCAAACTTGAAGTAGATACCTTGGTTTTTCGATACAGAGCCATCGAGATCAGTATACGAAAAGTTGCCGGCTTCGGTGATTTTGCGACCGGAGAGCTCAGAGCCAACGGTACCCTTGTCTGCAATCCTCTCTTCCAGCAACTTGATCATATCGCCGGCGCCTTCACTGCTGACATTCTCGTAGTCGTAGCGGGTGAAGTACACACGGCCATACTCCTGCCAGAATTCCTTTTGAATCTCACCAATGGAGGGGAACACGCCAGTCTCCTTGCCAACCCCCGCAATGATGTTCAACCAAGCCGTGATGGCCCAAACACCATCCTTCTCTCGAATGTGGTTTGAACCAGTGCCGAATGACTCTTCACCACAGATGGACATTTTGTTGGCATCAAACAAGGCACAGAAGAATTTCCAGCCGGTAGGCACCACGTAGAGTGGCAAGTTCCGCTTCTTAGCCACCAGGTCCAAAGCTGCGGAAGTTGGGAAGGATCGTGCGAGACCGTAAACACCTTGCTTCTTGAAGTACGGGATATACTTCTCGGCGTAGTGAGCAATGATGGCCAACGAATCACCCGGCGAGACGAAAGCATTCTTGCCATAGATCATGTTTCTGTCACCATCTCCGTCCGAGGCTGCACCAAAATGGATACCTTCCTTGTCCACTCTTGCAACCAGATCATGGGCGTAGGTCAGGTTGGGATCTGGGTGGCCACCGTTGAAGTCTGGGCTAGGTGAGCAGTTTTGAGTGCTGTTGGGTCCTAGACCAAGCTCTTTCTGGAAGATTGCAACGCCATACGGACCAGTGACACCCGACATGCCATCGAACAGGACCTTGAAATCGGGCTGGGACTTGAAGAAAGAACGAATGAGGTCGAAATCGAAGATGTCCTTCAGCATGGTAATATAGTCGGCAGTAGAGTCAATGATCTCAACCTCGAGGTCTCCATACTTCTTGGTGCCAATTTGATCGAGATCGATGTCAGGGATGTCGGCAATCTTGTAGGAGGTGAGAGACTTGGACTTTTCGAAGATGCTATTTGTGACGGTTTCTGGCGCCGGAGCTCCATTGGACAGGTTGTATTTCATGCCAAAGTCGGCCTTGGGACCTAAGTGTGGTCAGTCAGGGTTCGAAGCTGGGCCTCGGCGAACTTACCACCTGGATTGTGGCTGGCGGTCAGGAGGATGCCGCCGGTGGCTTTGCGGATGCGGATGACATGGCTGGCAGCAGGTGTGCTAAGAATGCCATTTTGTCCGATGACCAACTTCTTGACGCCATATGCAGCACCGATCTTTGCAATCAGTTGCATAACCTCCGGGTTCCAATATCGTCCATCACCGCCAATGACAAGGAAAGCACCTTCTACACCTTCGGGTATGGACAAGAGGATTGAGGTAATGAAGGACTCGCTGTAGTGAGGCTGCTGGAAGACGGTGACCTTCTTTCGAAGACCTGATGTGCCAGGCCTTTTGGGGCGGTCAGAGAATGTCATTCATTGGGAGAGCAGTATGGACGTACTTCTGGTCGGTGAACGGCTTGAATTCGACCTCCTTGACGTTGGCCATTCTGATGACTTTCTTGAGGAAATGAGAGACGTAAACGCCTTGAATTGATCACAAGAGCCTCTATGTGAAGTGAAGAAGAGGACAGATTTGGGTTCTGAGGTATGGTGGGAGAGAATAGTATCCGTTGAATTGAAAAAGAAGCGCAGCTTCAACGCGGGGTGAAGTGGAAAATGAGGGCAGCAGCAAGCAATTCGACAACAATACGTCATGCCCGGCGGAAAATGTAGCGACTCTTCTAATTGGCTGAATGGGCTCATCTAAGCATTTGGCAGCGACATGTTGCAACCCTCAGACCACTTCAGTAGGTAGTCTTCGCACTGCAAAATGCGACATGTTTTGTCCTCGACACGACCTGACAGCGCCATACCTAGGTATATATCATTCAGCGCCAGCCAGGATGATCCCTTTGGAGAGGCACAAAATAGTCTCTGAACGAAGACCTGTCATGCCAAAGTCCAGGGACACAATCACCAGGTTCATCTTGTAGCGTCAATCATACTACTATGTAATAGCTAATCCACCCCGAAGCATCCGCTCTCAACTGCCTATTTCAATCCGGGCAGTGAACGAACCAATCAATATCGTGCAAGACAGGCTCAGACTATAGCTTCATGAGCATTGTTTCGAGCCTGTCAAGTATAGTAGTCCAAAGAACCCAACCAGGAGAGTCTGCGGCTAGAGCACACTCAATCACTTTTCGAAAGGGATGTTCCATCAGGTAGCTAAAGGTCGATCAGCACCCGTGACTGGAGATGTCGCCGTATCATGCCTTCAGTAAAACGCCGAGAAGCTCTGTTGCCCTGCTTGAGGTTCATCCAGTCCTGCATAATGCTCATATATTGCTGGATGAGGGGTTAATCGCAGCGTCATCGTGAGAAGCCTTTTACTTCTTCGGAACCGTTCGTTGATCATTGATCCAAGCAAGCAGTCCACTTCCGGCCATTACAGTGTCATGCCGAACATTGCTGGACCTGTAGAGAATGATGGGAGTTAGCTGTTCGACAGGAACATACCTAGGGCAGCATAGCATTGCAACAACGATTGGCCGGACCCTGATCACGGACCCTTGAAGGAGCTCGCTTACCGTTTCTCATCAATTGAGACGAGAAGAGCAGAGGACTGGAGGACTGGAGGACTGGTCCGAGAGGATCTTCTCTCCGCAAAAACTAAGGGAAGACTTGGCCGTGCCGTGCCTGGAGCGCGTGACTCAAAAGGGTTAAGGCACAGCTGTGGCTAGTGTGGCATCTCTTGGCGGATTGTAGGAGTGTCTGCACTGTTCTGTCTGCCTCGTTGGAGTATGGGCTCTGGCCTCGTAGATTCACCTTGATCAACTCTAGACATAATTTCCCTCAACACTGTCTTCTCCCCATCATTTTCTGCTACGATCAAATCCATCGCTATCCGCTGGCAGCCGCCTATGGTGACTCTGTGAATCGACTTCTCATTCCTTTATCCCAGTACTGCTCCAGTCACGATTTCGTCTCCACCGACAGCTCACCGGTTCCCGACCCTTTCAACTCACCGGTCCCGACATTTCCAACACCCGACAGCCGCGTGACCTCCTCTCTTTGAGTCGAACCGGATGTGCTCTGTTCATGGTCATTGCTGAGCAGAAAGAGTTGGGAAATACAATCAGCCCAAAGTTGCAGGACTTCATCCTGTATCTCGGAGACCCTCTCCGCATCTGCCTCTGCGCGCGCAGAGAGCGGAGAATCAACAACCCAGCTAGACAAATTTTCGGGATCCCATCTTCATCATGCCTTGCTTCAAAGGTCTCGCCGTGAGCATACATACTCCAAATGGACCACTGCCAGAATACTCGGTGCAGAAAGCCTCGCGCTTATCCAGGATCAGCACCTTCATCCCTGTACCACCCGCGAAAGTCCCGGCCGACTCAGTGACGGGCAAACCTGAACAATCTACTTTTGCAATTTCTATCACACTACTGACTCCCAGTCAAGAAGTCCCTTACTCTACCCCGAAACCTACACCGGAGAACCCAGACCCCAAGCCCAAATTGGTTGGAGGGTTACCCGGCATTGGTAGCGAACGCGGAAAGTACACTGGCACGATCGGGCCCTATGTCCCTTTGACCACCTCTCCAAACGAGACGATCGCAGCCTACATCTACTTTGATGGCCGAGCAAAGGAGGAGGTTGCAACACTGCTTAGGAAGGGCGAGGAGACGTGGGTCAATAGTCGATGGGTCAGTGTGCCTGACAAAGAAGGTGGTGGTCTGGCAGAGCGAGAGTTCTTGTTTCGTGAAGTCGGCCTTGAGCGATGGCTGAATGGTTTGGACCTTGACGGCAAAGATGCCGCCGCGACGATCGAAAGACGACGACAAAAACTAGAAAAGAAGATGGAAAAGAGAAGAAGAAAGCGGAAAGAGACCGTCGGTAGTGACGACGAGGCCAATGGAGATTCCAAAGATTCACGGCGAAAGAGCACCCTGCGATACGGCGAGAATGGCGAAGTGCAGGATGTCTCCGACGACGAAGGATCCTTCAGTGACAGTGGATCATCCGAAGAGGATGACGATCCCATCCCAGAAGCAGCAGGTCAGATCAAGGTCGCCCTCTTCCGCGTGTTGGCTTCTGGAGAGATCAAGCGGGGAGAATACTCGCCTCAATTTGACGCGCATGACGATTCCGAAGAGTCAGGCGGTGAAGGCGCAGCCGCCAATGGTGAGGGCAAGAATCGAGCCGATGTTGACCATACAACTAGTTTTGCGAAGCCCAAGACTTTGGATCCTAAGACGATCTCGACTCAAACTGTTACCGGCATCGATCCCACGGACAAACCTTATGCTGTTTTCACCTTCCTATACCGAGGAGAGCGTCAACTACAGAAGATGGGTATTTTACCGACACCGAAATCCGAGAAAGCACCTTCGAGCGCAAAGCGACGCAGCATAGCCGCCGAGTTGCCCAAGCTGGGACCTCTGAAGAAAGAAGGCGCGGCCGGCTTTTCAGGCTTCCGAGATGCCGGAGCACGACGGGCCCGGAAAAACAAGCGAGGCAGCGATGACGAGATGGACAGCGATAGTGGCGATGAGCATGGTGGCATCATTGGCAAAATGGAAGATATCAACGATGCAGACGTGAAGCGTGATCCCAACATGCTCGGTCCAGAAGATGCTGAGCGCGCAGGTCAAGTTGCAGAAGGGATCCGCAAGATGAAGGTAAGAGACCCCTGGATGTTGAAGTTTCGGCATGGGCTAAAGTATTGTCAGCTCAAAAGACAGCATTCGGCAGAACCGCTGAACAGTAACGGCATCACTGAAGCCCGCAAGAGCTCCAAATCTGGCAGTCCCTCGACAGCATCGACGCCAAAGATTGGTGGCGACGAGCTGGGAACTTCACCCGGCACCTCCAATCTCGGCAACTCAGCAGGTCCAAATTCGAAGCAGGAAGAAGATGAAAGCTTCATGGTCGGAAGTCCGATGAAGAGACAACGAGCCAGTGTCGCGGAATTCGACGCTGACATTCAAAGCCGCTTGACCGGCGCTATGCCGACATCTGCAGGAGCCATCAGCGAGGTCCTGGGAACTTCAGGACAATCTCAAGCAGCTAGCACGAGCGCCGCTCCCTCCGGCTTACAGTTCGGTGGCACATTACAGAAACAGCCGGCTGCTGATGACGACGAGGAACTATGACGAGCGTGCCATCAGCGTTACTCGAGTCAAGTTATGAACATCGACGACCTCTCCCTGGGTGTTCTCTTCACTACAATTCAAAAGCTGACTTGCTCAGAAGTCGGGCATATTCAAGCACTTTTGCCAGCATTGGAGGTTGGAAATTCGAGCATATCAAGTTGTTTTTATGGAAGCACACCTGGCGCTTACCATGAGCCTGGGTGTTTGTCACAGGTTGTTGAGCAGAGCTTGTTGGCCGAAATCAGAGGGCAGATGTCTCCGACGGACGAAAGGTTTCTCGAGCGGATGTGCCTGAGAAGGCTCTCGAAGCCACGGGAGGTCGTCTGATGCCCTGTCGTCGGCAAGAAATGGTATGGTAGGAGCACGAAGGAACCGACCAAACCCAGAGTCCGAAGGCATGGAATAGTGTCTCAGGAGCCTCCGTTGCTGGCTCAATTGCAGGGTTTCTGTACCACTAGATGCCAATTGTTGAGGACGAAAAGAAATACGAGACAACTCGATCCAAACTATGAATTGCACATTGTTCACGACTGTTCAATCAGTGAAGCCTGTGCCACTGTGATTTGGCACAGTAGACTTTTCTCTCCTAGATTCCATTTTTGTTGGCCGTTCGAGGACACTACAATGTTCTATGATCTCTGCTTCGCAAGTGCCTCTTAGTAACCAAAAAGTGGCTTCTAGGGACACCTACGCGCTATTCACCTTCAGCGTCAGCGGACGTAGAATGGATGACTTCCGTCGTGCATGCTAACGCAAGCCATCGACCTCTCATTCTGCCTGCGGCAGTTGTTCAGTTGCTCCAGAACGTACTCGCGTCAAGCTTGCCCTGCCTGGAGTCTCGCATTCGATCCAGAGTGCTGTTAAACGTCACCTCAAAAGGGGAACCACGCACCCCACATTATTCGCTTATCTAAAGCACTCTCTATGGCGCGCATAACGCGCAAATCAGGGTTAGCTAAAGCTGCTATCTAGCCCTCAGTCTTGGTCATGCCACAATCTGGAAACGGTACGCATTCTACAAGAGTCTGGCGCGCTTTGCGCCTCAAAAAGGAGATGAGCCTGATGGCTGAGGATACTCGCACACTACTTGCGTGCAAGGCCACGACCGGGTATCTTCAAGCGCAGCTACAGTCCAATGTACATGCTCTTCATTGTTGCCGACACAATCTGTGCACTGAACATTTCAGTTGGGGGAGGTGGCTATGTGGCAGGATCGTGGTCATCTCTAGCACCGGCCGTACAAAGTGGATATGCCGCTGTTTCGACAGATGCTGGCCACAGATCAAACGATTCAGGAGATGCCACCTCCTGGGCTTTGGTCAGCGACGGGAACGTCAACCAATACCTGCTTCTGGACTTTGCATCGAGGTCCATTCATGACATGACCATCTTGGGGAAGGCGGTAACCACAAGCTTCTACGGATCTGCGCCAAAGTTCTCGTACCTGGCAGGGCTGTTCCACTGGAGGAAGACAAGGCATGATGGAAGCCCAAAGGTACCCTGACGATTATGACGGGATTGTAGCTGCGGCGCCTGCCATCAACTGGAACGACTTCACTCCGGCGCAACAGTGGCCGTTCGTAAGTAATTCCCATGCCCCTCCAGGAACTGTAGTATTGAGACGCGAGTCTTTGCCGATTATCACCCCTGTTCAGCGATGAAGCTTTTTGACGGTTTGCAGACGGTCATGAACAACGAAGATTATGCACCACCGCAATGTGAGTTCGACGCCGTCAACGCCGCAGCCATTGCCGCATGTGACGCCTTAGATGGATTGGAAGATGGCATCATTGCGGCTCCTGGACTCTGCAGCTTTGATCCGGCAAGTCTCATCGGGAACACATACTCATGTGAGAGCGACGGGAGCCAGAGACGGTTCTCGAACAAAACTGCGACTGTTGTCAAGAAAATCTGGCAAGGTCCAGTCACAGCTAATGGCAGCAGCGCCTGGTATGGCATCCTACCTGGAACCAATTTCAGCTCGCTTGCGCCGACGGAGACATTTGGTAACGGCACCACCGTCCCGCAACCTTTCGAGATCTCGGACAGCTGGTATCGGAATTTCTTGTTCAAAGACCCCAACTATAAGACTGCGAATATCAGTTACGCGCAGTTCCAAGCATTAACTCTCACCAGTCTCACCAGGAGTACGACTCGGTTATGGGTACAGCGGATCCGGACCTCTCGGCCTTCAAGGCTCGTGGTGGGAAGATGTTGACATGGCAGGGCTTGGCTGATAATCTCATCATGCCGAACGGAACGATGCATTACTATGACCAGGTCGCGGCGCTCGATCCCGCGGTTGGCGATTTCTATCGCGTCTTCTTCACCCCTGGGGTGGGACACTGTGGAGGCGGCAGTGGCCCGGTGCCTGTGGACATCTTGATGGCTCTGAGACGTTGGGTGGAAAATGGCACAGCTCCTGGGCTGCTGGAAGCGGCGAGTACTTACCCCATCAATGGGACCATTCGGAGACAGAACCTGTGTCCCTACCCGTCAATATCGAAGTATGCTGGATATGGTGACCCGGCAAAAGCGGCCAGCTTTGCTTGTGACAGCAGTTTCTGACAGAACTCGAGGCATGCAGAATCGAAGTGGCATCGCGGCTGTTGAGAATCGTATCATAGCGGGAGTAGATTTTATCCTCGTGTCATTCTAATTCGTGTGGGAGGGTCACGTGACTGTGTCACGTGGTTGTATCACGTGGGTGTCTGGATATCAGTCCCGTCCCTCACGAAGGTCACAAGTCTTGACGCAGCCTTCGTGCCAAGATGAGTTCTGACTGGCGGAGAAGGAACGTCCACTTCCGTTGGGAGAGCGACATCGACTTTTCTAATTGCCGTCGTCATATCTAGTCATTTCGATGATTTCGATGACTTCGATGAATTTCGATCATCCCTCCCCCTCTCAAGCCTGACCATGAACCGTCTTCATGCCCGTGTTCCTGCGACGTGAAATCTGCTCCATCTGGCAATGATCGGAAGCCTCACTCGGTTTCTTCCATGGTATTGGGCGTTTGTTTTAATGGCTTCTTCGGGCCCAGATTGAAAGCTAACGGCACGAACGGTAGGTCTCCAGCTGAAGACTGTCTTCGTCATACCCATCGCCTTAATTTCCTCTTTGTAGTCTTGTATAGACTGGCCACTTTTATCCCTAGTACACCTTGTCCTTCAGACGATCCCATCCAAACCGCTACAACTGTCGACATATATCCTCCTATCACAAGCCTCTGTTCCTACTCCAGGCTCGACGAGGACAACTCTGGCAAAGCATCATCGATCTGAGGTTCCGAAGAACACGACACAAAAGTCCAGGCGCCTTGTCGCTCACCCTTCAGCTCCAGCTCAAAGTCAAAGTCGCGCAACAGCACCATGGCATTGACGCGATCTACGGATCCACTGGTCTGGATCGACTGTGAGGTAGGTACAGTGTTTCTATCTGCAGATTACAAGCACAAGTGAAAGACACCATGCATAGAATGTCGTCCGACATCCGCCAGTCATCGTTCACCATCCCATCCTCCCATGAAAGCACTTGAAAGCAATACCCTCGACGGGCACGTTTTCCAGATCCCATTCGCGCCGACGGCAGAAGATAAGTCCCCAACAAGGCCATATCTCATGCTGACACTGAGCAAGATGACAGGCCTTGACCCGTCGACGGATACGATAATGAGCATATCATGCATTCTTACAACATCCGACTTACTACCACTAGATAACGGAGGTTTCGATGCTGTCATTCAGCACACGCCCTCCCAATTAGCCAACATGTCAGAATGGTGCGTCCGCACACACGGCGCTTCGGGCTTAACACAAGCATGCATCAACTCCACCACGACTGCCATTATCGCGGCGCAGGCCTTGCTTCAGTATATCAAGCAGTATATCCCAGAACCACGGCGCGCCTTGTTAGCGGGCAACAGCATCCACGCCGACAAGATGTTTCTCCTGGTTCCACCCTGGAAACCCATTCTCGAGCATCTGCATTACCGGTTATTCGATGTCAGTGCCACGAAAGAAATGATCAGACGGTGGGCGTGTGCAGAAATTTTGGAAAACGCACCTGTCAAGCAGCTCAAGCACACGGCTCGAGAGGATATCCTTGAAAGTCTGACAGAGGCCAGGTACTACAAGCAGTTGATTGGGGGGATGTTTCCTTCTGGGACTGCATCAGGAACTCGAATTGTTTCCAGACAATCGATAAACCCCGGCTCGACTACATGGGGCTATGGGGTCGACACTGGTGGTACGCCGAGTATAACTATGTCCACGGGTGCTCCTGGCGTGACCATGCCAGCAGGGCAAGTAGCTGGCCACGCAAATGCCGAAGCTGGATCGCATGGCATGGTCGGCTCTCCCCAGGACTCCGTTGCCCATCCCAAAATTGGACCTCCTCTCGTACCGGGCAACACGATCGGACTGAAACAAGCGCAGGAGGAATGGAACGTCAGAAGAAATAATGGAACGCGAGCAGGTGACGTTGGTGACTTGGGTGAAGGATTCCGGACAGACGTGCCATAGGACGGTTACGAAAACCAGACCCGAAAAGAAGGCTGTCAAAGACGGCGGAAAGGACCGAAAGCACTATGCACCACTAGCCGCCCTACCGACCCAATTTCGCGTGAGAAGAAAATTTTTATCCATGGTATAAGCCCAGGCACAGTGTAACGCGGAACCCAGTCATTGTTTTACGATGCGTTTCTTCGGAGCTCGTCAACAACCGTACCAGAATCAGGAAAATAACAGGCTATCGGGCCTTGGCGCCCTCCTACAATATTGCGAGCGAGCTTTGGAAACAATGCACAACTTTCAAAGGGCAACTCAGGGACTCACCGCACGCAGCAGCAAGGTTTCGACGTCCCAAGTCACTGATAGCAATGGATAAAGCCATGGGACATTCGGGGGCCAAGTCGCTGATAGCAATGAATAAAGCCCTAGGACATTCGGGGTCAAGTGGCAGATCATGGCGTTCTAAAAAGAACAAGACACTCCATGACAATACAAGGGCAGGCCATGTCAAAGTGGACGGCCAGGAGCTGACTTCCATATCCAGGGCAAGGCAACACCTCGCCGGAAGAAACACAGAAGCAAAAACAAACCTCTTCTCGTTTCCCCAGCACCGCACGTCTGACGATGCCACACCTTCCAAAATAGGTTCTTTGTTCTCTCCTCCAAGGAAGAATGTGGTAGGATATTATGGGGAGGACCTCGAAAGGACAATTTATACAGAGGCCAGAAGAAGTTGATACGGGACCTTCAATTGTGCTATAAGCCATAAAGCAATTCAATGTTGTCCGTGTGGCTACTTTCAAAAATTGTTCTGACGTCGTCTCGAGGACCACGAGAGTGACAAAGACAGCCACAGAGAGGGCCTTTCCTCAACCCGAAGCCAGTCCCTAATGCTATTAAACGTGATGGAAAACGGTGAGCACCCTAGACAGATACAAAGCTCTCATAAAAAGCAAGAGCTAGTCTTTCACAGCCAACGCTCGCACTCACAACACCCTGCTCTGTTCACAGTGCCTTTAGTTCGCCGACATGCTGCGTCGAAATGCCAATGGTACAGCCACAGCGTGATGACGCCGATGGTCTTCTCGAGGCTTGGTCCGTGGAGGAGTCAGCCACTAGAAACTCCTACCGGGTGGTCCGAAACTGCTTGCACCAATGCCCCCGAATGGACTGGTCTGGATATGCTGGCTGTGGCCCATGACGGGACTACCAATCTCGCCGACACTACCTCTTTGGGGGGCAGGCCCCTCATCAACAAATTTGATCACTTGTCCTCTGGCTTTATCGATGACAACCTCAAATGAACCACCGCCATTTTGCGGATTGCCTTCTGTATCACAAATACCCAGCATTTCATCCATCGAGACAGGCGGTTCGCCCGGTGCTTTGAGCGTCTCCAACTGTCGGAGAACTGTCTGTGCTGGATGATAGCCGTCGGCACTAGCTCCGGGAATCTGCGACAACTGTCGACATGCCTGAACAAGCATCAATCTGACCGCAATTGGCCGAGGAAAGTGTGATCTGGGAACGGGTTGAGGTCCACCACCGATGGCACCAAATGGAGGCTGAGACCAACCTGGGCTCGGACGTTGTGGCCCTGGCGGTCCCCAGCTAGGTGTCGGACTCATCGCAGAATGGAACCCACCCCAGCCATGGTTCATTGGTGCAAACGGTTCTTGCTTGTGCTCTGGAAAACTGCTTGCAAAGGGCAATCTTGTCGACCCAGGCGGACCAACAGGTGGCATATTCATTCGGGAGTCTGTGTTTTCCAGGAACGGTGCGTCGGAGTCATCCAGCAATGCTTTGCTGCCAAGCTGAGTCGTAAGCTGTTCAACCTCGACATCGGGCGATTTTCGCATTGGTTTCTGCTTGTCTGGCGTGGTGCTAGATGGGCGAGCGATTGGTCCTGGCCGGGATATTGGAGTCGGCTGCGAGCTAGTTTCCGTAGAGGGCTGCCTCGAGTGACCTGATGGCTTTGAGACTGGCTGCTGGCTAACCATAGGCCCCACCTGCCCTGGAGGTTGCGGCACGAAAGGCATTTGTTGACCCGGCTGAAACGGTCGGGGAATCCCAGGAGGATACTGCATTCCGTTCATGGCGAAGCGTTGATGGTTGCCCATAGGAGGAGGCCCTTGGTACATTGGCATAGGAGGCATCATGTTGGGCATCATCCCCTGACCACCCATTGGCAGACCATTGACTCCCATGGATGGTAGCCCATTCATGTTGAAAGGATATTGTCCACGGCCATTGTTGTTCAAAGGCGATCTTGGAGCGGACGGCTGGGGATGATGCAGGACAGGCGGTTGACCGTGAACCTTTGCGGGCTGCCCTGGCGCAGGGGTTTGGGCCATGGCCACTGTTGCAGGCGATCCAGAACCCCCAGAAACATCCGTACTCGCTTTTTGGGACTTTGGAGAAGAGCCATGAGAGTGCTGACTTGGCTGAGAAGGTTGTCGATTTCGAGCCGGTGTAGGAATTTTGGGAGGCACAGCTGGCGTAGCAACCTGGAAATGGGGCGACTGGACGCTAGAACCCCGTGAAGGAGGATGTAGACCAGGCGGAAGGGCCACAGGCTGTTGCTTCATAGTAGGCGGGTGAGGTTTGGCGTCCTTTTCCGCTTTCTGGACGGCCTCTCTCTCTCTCCTCGCTTGCTCATCTTTGGCCTTTTTCTCCTGTTCCTCCTTGGCCTTCCGTTCCTTGGCCTCTCGCTCTTCCCGCTCCTTCTTCTTCGCCTCGTCACGCTTCAGCCGCTCTCGTTCTTTGGCTTCGCGTTGTTTGCGCTCGATTTCGGCTTGTTTCTCACGCTGTTCTTGCTGTTTCCGATGCCTCTCGGCCTCTTTTCGCAGGCGTTCTTCCTCTGCAGCCTTCTTCTCAGCTTCGCGCTTCTTACGTTGCTCTTCCCGTCGTTTGCGTTGTTCCTCTTGCCGCTTCTCTTCCAACTCTCGGGCAGCAGCTTCCATGGCGGCCTTTTCGGCTTCTTTCTTGGCCTTCTCCTCATCTTTGGCCTGTTTCTGGAGGCGCTTCTTCTCCTTCTTCTTAGCCGCTTCTCTCGCCTTCTTCGCTTCTCGTTGACTGTCGAGGCGAGTCTCTTCGTCGAGTTCTTCTAGCAGTTTTCTTTGACGTTCCGCTGCTACCTTCTCTCGATATGCTGTTAAGACCCGTTGTTCGAACATTCGGGCTGCAAATATCTGGAACATGCGTCGGCCTTCTTCCATTCGCTGTTCTTCAGTCATGGAGTCCTAAGCAAATTGTCAGACCCGTAATCCGCCATCGTAAGCTCTGGACCAACCATTTCATCTCCTTCGAAATCGTCTTCCTCTTGACTGTCATAGTCCTCATCATCTTCATCGTCGTCATAATCATCGTCATCATCTATGGGAGGATGATTGTGACCTTGATGGTAACCTTGATGAGCATATGAAGAAGAAGGGTAACGAATTTCTTCCTCACGTTGCATTCGTCTTTCGGCCAACTGCTCCATCATATCTATGAAGTGTTTTCCATCGTTCTTTAGCAGGTCGTCCGCAACCGTGAGTATGCCATCTGTAGAAGTGTTAGTCGATGCAGCCAATTCTCAAAAGGAGTACCGTCCAGACCCTTGACAGTCAGACTATTGCCAAACTGGAAGAAATCAGGGGGACCAGGAGGAAGACCATGATCGTCGTATTCATCGTCGTCACTGTAGGCTTCCTCGTCCTCGTCGTCATATTCATCCTCATCTTCAAGGTCCTCGTCATCCCCATCGACCTCATGTACACGACCTCGAGAAGGATACGAGCCTGCCATGGGATGTGCGAGTCTCTTGAAGGATGGACGTGGTGGCGCCATCATCGGCGGTACGCTGGGAAGATCGGTGTTATGATTGGCGAATTGCTCAAGCTCTTCGTAGTAAGCGTCGTATAGCACTTCCAGCTCTTCCTCGATTGCCGTCCGCTTTCTCCCACACACCGAACAACTGCAGGAATGTTTTTGCTGCTCCTTCATCTTGCGCAACACCGCCTCCTTCTCCACCTTGACCAGAGATCGTCGTTCTTCTTCGCCAAGTTCCAGCCAGAATTGCTTGATATTTTCTCGTTCGGCTTGGGTGGAAGTATTCCAAATGTGGTCGCTACTCGACAGCTTATGAGATGCCCGCATGGCTGCATTCGACAAGGTCGGAATGTGTGTCCTCGACAGCATGGTGGACGACCTTGATAAAGAGTCGTTTTCGGGCAGATGAGACCTCCCGCTTTTGGACTTCTTCCGCTTGCTCGTATTCAGCCATGAGCTGTCCGGAATGGTGTCTGCACCTTCAGCATACCGGGGATCCTCGTCACCGCTATAAAAGGCTTCTTCTGGACTTCCTAGATCGGCGTAGGAGGGATCTGAAGGATCGGGGTAATCAGGTTCCTCGGTGAAGTAGCCTTTTACCGGTCCTCGCCCTTGCTTGACTGGCGGCAATTGTCCATTGGGCTTTGGGCTTGCATGATCATCACCATTCAGATGGATTTGTTCCGCGGCTCGTCTTGCAGCCTCCTTCTCCCGTCTCTTCTGCTTTTTCCGATTCACAGCCGGAGCGGGTGTACGCTCTCCTGCGGACTCAGTAGTGTCTCCTGTCTTCGAGTCCTCATCTTCCTTGTCGGCAGAGCTTTGCATATCCGTGGGTTTCGTGGAAAGTGCGACTGGATTGGACTTGGGCTGAGAAGAGGGAGGTGTAGGCGCATTCTTCGAGGAGTCTTTTGCTGGTTGTGGCTTAGCCGCGTTGACCTGTGTGCTTGCATTTCTCTTTGCGGGCATCGTGATGCGTGAGTGCCGATGCCAGTCTCAAGACTAAGAATATGTTGCGAGGCCTGAAGCCGTTATCGATCCGATCAGGTTGACATCTAAGGTATGGTTCTCTTTTGCAGCTGGCGGGGTATGACAAATCGAGGGTCAATGAAGGCAGGAAAATTAGGAAGAGGTGGATCGAGGACAAAGGAAGGGATATTCGAGGGTATCGAGGGAAGTCAATCGCGACGTTGTGGTGATTTTTGGCGGAAAGAAGGTGGTTGTTCTGCAGTGAAGGGAAGTTCGATGTCAGTCACGAAGCCAGTTTCGTGGGGCGGCGATGCGGCGTTGCGTACAGGCTGCGCTTGAGTACCTAAAGGGTAAAGTCATGCCTGAACAAACTGCGTTTGAGGCTCTGACAGGGAACTGCCGCCGAGTAGAGACACCCAGAGCGCAGTTACAACTTGGTTCGCTTGGTAAGTACGTACTTACTCCGTACCACGGAATCGACTTCACCTCTCGGGACCCAGCCAATTCACCACCCATCCTCATCCTCGTCACTTTCAGCCCTTTTCTCTACACCTTCACACACGTCGCAACCGAACCCTTCGACTCCGATATACCATCTCAGCAGTCGCCAATCGTATCACACACATCCCGATCGCTACCGTCACGTCGCCCGCCTTCGCATCTCCACCACCTACGAGATCTATTTGTGGCTGCGCCTCTTTCCTTCCGGTATCCGTTGTCCTCTCGTTGTTGGACCCCACGAACAACATCCACCACGTCTTGCAGCTAGTCTCAGACTCTACGACATCGCTCGCATCGGATAGCTGAGCAGGACCATCTATCTCAGACCTGCAGTGGAAACCACAAAAGGCGCAAGGTTGCAGTTCACAATCTGTCGCCTTATGCGACTATCCGCTCCTCTTGATTTCATCCAGTTACACCACTAAAGCGACCACGCTCGGCTCAGCCTAATCACCATAGCTCGACACGAATTTCTTTTCCCTCCCTTCTTCACCGCTTCCGACTTCGAGTCTTCGTTTTCAAAGCTGCGAAACCCGTTCGTCGCTCCTCTTAAGCTCTATCGACCCCTGCTCCTGTCGTCCGTCTACTAGGTGGACGGGTTGACAAGACAGATACAACAATGGCACAGAATCAGACACAACAAAATGTTATGAGAAGGTTAGTCGAGGACGGCATACCGGTTGCGCTTGACGCGCCTCTATCGAGATGTGCACAAGCCATGGTCAGATAGGCTAATAGATACTCAGGAAACTCGTTATAATAGGAGACGGAGCTTGCGGCAAGACATCATTACTATCGGTATTCACTCTCGGTTATTTTCCAACACATTACGTGCCGACAGTCTTTGAGAACTACGTCACGGATTGTCGAGTTGATGGGAGATCCGTACAACTGGCACTCTGGGATACAGCCGGACAAGAAGACTACGAAAGACTGAGGCCGCTCGCATACGCAAAATCACATGTTATTCTGATTGGATTCAGTGTGGACAGTCCGGACAGTCTGGAGAATGTACGGCATAAATGGATCGAAGAAGCGAGAGAAAGATGCCCAACAGTCCCCATCATTCTCGTCGGCTTGAAAAAGGATCTTAGAGAGGATCCCATGGCCATCGAGGAGATGCGGAAAAAGAGCCTGAAGTTTGTGACTCCACGAGAAGGTGCCGAGATGGCCCAACAATGCGGAGCTCGAAAATATCTGGAATGCTCCAGTTTGACTGGCGAGGGGGTAGACGATGTCTTCGAGGCGGCCACAAGAGCGGCGCTTTTGACGTTCAATGGCAAGCAGGGTGGAGGAGGATGCTGTGTTATCTTGTGATCGAAAAGAACGTGTCAACACAACCGCCAACCATGCTGGACGAATCTACGAAACAGTAAGGCCGCTGTCTTTTTGCCAATTCTTTTCTGGCATTTGGAGTTGGTCTAGGACGGTTCCAAAAGCTCTATGGGAATGGCTATACCATATCAGTAATTGGGATTGGATGATTGGCATTTTCTGGAGTCTTCTCCTTGCGCCACGCAACGAACAATCTTCTTTTGTTTCTGTTGGACTTTAGCGAATTAGCAAATGACGGATCTTCTTCTTTCTCAAAAGCCTCAAAACAGTTGGATTTTCTTCGTAGACAAGATTTAGCCGTCCTGCTCGACTGCTCAAGAAGGTGTTTCCTTTCCACGTCGTCGGAGTTCAAGTAGACCCAGCGGGAGCTGGGAGAGGACTGTGTTCTATTTCAGCCTCGTTCAAGCCGAAAGGGCAGATGAAATCGATAGTCTCATCAGCCGTCCGCCGGACGTTGAGTCTCTGAACTACTTTCGTGTCTTTTCCCACCTGTTCAGAGCAAGAACAGGAACAGGAACAGGAACGGGAACAGGAACAGGAACAAGAACGAGCGTCGCATTTACATTCCGTATCCAAAAAGCGGATCATTTCACCTTTTTGGGGATGGCTCCTTCATCTTCCATGTCAGAATGCTGGATGCTTGATGCCTTTGGTCGATGTATCGACGGAGATTCTGGACCACCATCCAATAATAACCATTTCCTTGTCCTACGACCCGACTGAGCCGATGTTATACAGTATTCTGCCACAATATACAGCAGTCAAATCCCTGTGTTCTGGGTTCTGGGTTCTCTAACCTCCCCCGGTCTTAGGGTTGCATGAAGTGCTTTGTTCGCTGCCGTGTCTCTGTCTTTGCGCCGAGCCTCGTCCCTGATAATCATGCAGTACTCCCCGTCTTGACTTGCAGGCAACATGACATTTAGCACCCGGATCCCTTCGTCTGCGGTACCCCCAAGTAAGGGGTTGATAACGTTTCTGCCCTGGCCGTTACTATCGTTTCCACCCCTCGTCCCAGACCTTCGCCTTCGCGCCCAGTCCCGTACCACTGCTCCCCAACCCGCCCGTGCTGCCCATGTACTCTACCATGCCCCGGGCGTACTCAATCGGCACACCACCTCCTCTTTCTGGTATACTCCACACGCCAGTCTTCATCTGGGCCTTCCTGAATAACCGGCCGCCATCGCCCGCGCCAACGCGCAACTCCTCATTCGCCTCGCGCATGGCGTTATATTGCCTTTCAAGTTCCAATTGGCGCTGTTGCCGGACTTTCGAGCGATACAATTGCCAAGCGCGGTGGATCGTCCAATGGCGCAAGTACCGGTTTCGAGAGAAGCGGAGTGGCCGTGGTGTGAGTGTTGTGGGGTGGTACAGGAAGAAGCGTATTAGGGCTGCGACGAGCGTTAGCACATGGACTCTGGGTGGGAGGTAGAAGCAGAAAAGGATAAGGAGATGAGCGCAAATCGGATGTGAAGCTAGAGGAGAGGAGTGGAGGGGAGGGAAGCAACCAAGAGGTGATAAGCACAGAGGGAGGACCAGCGATTCGAATCAAATGATAGTGAGAGGTAAAGATAGAATGGAGGAAAGGGCAGAGAAAATTGTGCATCGTGAGGGCAGGCCTACTGATTCTTCGGTCGACCCTAGCTTTACCCCCCTTCTTTGCTGCATGAGGTGGACTAGTCGAAAACGAGGCGCTACTCGTCCTGGCGCTGCTTGTTGAGGTTGACGAAGCTGGAGCTGCGATAGCATTGCGTACTGTCGGACGAAGAGAGATCTGGAAGACTTTCGCCAGAGCGGCGCGGATGGAGGAGCCGTGCATGGCCGGATGTTGTTATCCCTAGAAGACCTTGCTAGGGAGAGATGGTGATGCGTGTTCTATTGGGTTACTTATGTCTGATAGCAAGATGGCAGGGGAATAAGAAGATCGAAGGTCTAATTGAGGTTCAAAAAAGTATAGAAAGAAGGTTTGGCGACGCGAGGCTGAGGAAGGGCTTGGCAAGCTTCGCAAGGCTGCCAAACTGCATTGGTTTGTTAACGAAAATAAGGGTATCGTCCCACCGTTGTCTACGCTCAGACCACAGCTCCTGAAGATGGCTCCGGCCGCCCCGGCAATATTTGTCTACTAATTCCAGACGTCTTCCAGAGGCTCTCCAGACGGTACGTGGATTATACAGGAATTTCAGGCGAGGTGTGGCCTGGCTAGCCCTCATGCCTGGTGGAATTTGTGCGCGATTGATGTTCAGCATCAACCTCGGGCAGAAACGACGTATTGAAGAAGCGAGACACAAAGCGCTTGCGGCAGGTCGTCATTGCTGGGTATCTATCACTGAGGGGAAGGCATTTGTCTTCTGCTTTATCATGAGGATTAAGCTCGTCGGAGTCTTCTTTCCGTCCAAGTCTGGCTAGTCGTTGTTCGGTTTCAATTCATCAGACGGAATATTTCTGTGTCTTCTTGTCGTAGTTCATGATCCTTCTCAAGCGGTGGGTCTGTGCCAACTTCCATCTGCAGTACAGAATCAAAGCGTCTTTAAGCACAACGAACAGGCAACCTCCCACGACGCTTCTACCCCATTTGGATCGCAGTAGCCCTGGCCGGCCATTCATGTAGTTGGCATTGCTAAGCCATGAGGAGGGTAGCGCATAACTCAGCAACTGACCCATGCCTGCTGCCACGGCTGGAAATGCCAATGCTCCAATAATTGTTTGCATGATTGAGGATGTGCCATCAATCCATTGGTCTCCGCGCTCTCCTAGGATTTGATGAACATGGCCTTCTGGTTGATCGTCGATATCTTGTCCGAGTTGAACTTCGAGAACGACTCCTGGTTCTAGCTCCCCTTCTTCCATGTCTTGCAGGGGACCTTCGTCGCCAGCACCGGGTATCGCTTGTGCCTGCGCTGCGTCTGCTCCATCTTCTTGCGCTTCCTCTGCTGGCTGCCCATGCCTAGGCCGTACCTCCTCCAGCCACTTCTTATTCAGATCACAGAAAGCTTTGTGATAGCACCAATTGTACATTGTCTTCACGGCGGGTAGGCATGCGAAGACAGTACTTGGTCGAGGCGGCCATATTGTCATGTCGAGTTCGAACTTGTCGCTGAGCTGCGTAGAAAGAAGAAACAACGTGCCCCCAGGTAGAATGAATTCAGCGTAATGAGTTCGGGCGAATATGAGGTTGATAGGGATGAGGGCATATGCGAAAAGCCAGCCGGGCTTCCTAGATGCGCGGTCGAAGATTTGAGCAGCATCTTCCGGGCCGAACACCACATAGACTGATTGAAACCCATGAATCCATGCGCCCGCGTAGAAAGTACCCAGAGCGGCGACTCCTAGACCGGGCAAGACCATTCTCCCCAGAGCGCGATCTACTGTCCGATAACCATCCACAACATAGCTCTTTGGTCTTGAGATCCTGATTTCACTCTTGCATTGCGGACACTGAATCTGAGGCTTCTTTCGCTTGCTGTTGTTCTTAGGATGTTCTAGGTCAGCCACCCAGTCCAGCAGGCAAGACTCGTGTGCGGTTAGACTGCATTTGCACGGCGAACGCCATATAGGAGGGTTATTAGGGTCGTCTTCGGAGGCGTCGCTCATGCATATCCAGCATTTCTTGCCGAATGTGGAGGTGCGAGAAAGTGTGGGAGGTCGCGTGTCGGCATTCGATTCATCAGGATTTCGAGTATTAGATGGCGACTGCTCCACCGGAAGGTTGTCTGCGCTGCTTTCTGAGCGTTCCGAATCCATCTTCTGGCCAGAGGTGCAAGGCTGTGAGTATGGATTGTGGGAAGATCGACAGATGCAGCCTGGTGTTTTGTCTTGATGGCGGCAATGTGCACGTGAACGAAACAAGGATGACAAGGCTCCACCGAGAGGAACTACTCCATGGCAGGATGAGATGTCCGTCGGCCAGTGCCTTTCAATGAGCAAGGCAAGGAAAGAGATAATGTTTGCTTGTCTTGAGATGTTGGGACGATCACAGATGCCGACCGGAGATGCAGAAGGATGAACAGTCCACAGTCTCGCGAAATGACGCAGCTTCGGCAATGACGTTTTTCCGGTCCGGAAGCAACATAAGTCCACCGTCAATACCACATACTGTTCATCTTGCTGTAACACTGAGGGAAATCCAAAACTTGTCCTTGCTCAATCATTTGTGTAGCAGCTTCTTGTCGAGTTGCTAAATATTGCTCTGCAGCATTGTCATCGAATCTGACACAAATAGCAGAGCCTGAATTCGGAGTCGAAAGCAAACCATATCGAGCGGCAGTCAAAGGGACCAAGCAAGGGATTTCCATTTGACGGCTCAATCTGTTAGTCGCCGAAGTTCCTTTGGTAGCCAGGCTTTGCATTATTCCTTCTGCTAGGTAGTCGACATGAGTAAACTAGTACCAAGAGTCGACAGCTTGGCCGACGTGTACGTGGGAGCAGCAGGGGATGAAGCAGTGCCGGTTGACCTCCGTCGTCGATTCGATAATCTGATCAAATCTTTTCAGCGTCAGTACAGCCAAACGCCCGACTTTGTGTCTCGGAGTCCAGGCAGAGTCAACATTATTGGCGAACATGTCGACTATTCGCTGTACGATGTTTTGCCAATGGCGGTGACGGTCGACGTGCTTATTGCGACTCGCGTGGTCAAAAACAACAGCGCAGAACCTAGCATCAAGATTGCCAACATAAATTCAGCGAAATACCCTCCCAGAGAATACACTATCCCCAGCTCCGGCACGGTCGAGGTCGATAAGAAGACCCATTCTTGGAGTAATTACTTCTTGGCCGGGTTGAAAGGCAGCTTGCCCTATCTCCGTCAAAAGCTGGGTGAATCATTCAAACCCAACAGCATGGAACTGCTGATTGATGGAAATGTCCCTGCTGGCGGTGGTTTGTCGAGCAGCGCTGCTTTTGTCTGTGCTTCCGCTTTGGCTATCATGGCCGCCAACGACTATGAGATCTCCAAGCAGGATTTGTTGGATCTCTGCATCGTCTCAGAGCGTGCCGTTGGCGTCTTCTCCGGAGGCATGGACCAAGCTGCATCTATCTTTTCCGAGAGGGGATATCTTCTCTATTGCAGTTTCTTCCCGAGCTTTTCTGCAGAGCATGTTCCCATGCCAGTTTCGGATCCTGAAGTCACATTCTTAGTCGCACAATCCTTCGTCACATCCGATAAGGCAGTCACAGCTCCGATCCACTACAATCTGAGGGTCGTTGAAGTCACCCTCGCCACCGTAGTGCTAGCAAAGCTACACGATATTGCCTTGAATCCGGACGATAGCTCTCTGGGATTCTGCTTGCGCAACTTTCAGGAGGAGATTATGAAAAAGGAAGGCCGCAGAAATGAGTCCATGCACAGTCAAGTACAGTCTGTGATCGAAATCATCAAAACAAAGCTCGACAGGGACAACTATACCAGGGACGACATCGCCAAGCTACTGGGAGTATCTGTCGAAGAACTGGAGAAGCAGTATATGTCCAAATTCCCGATCCGAGCCGATTCTTTCAAGCTCAGACAGCGCGCGTTACATGTCTTGCAGGAGGCTGAACGTGTCCATCAATTTCGAGACGTACTCACGAGATCTGGCAAACTCGATGGGGAGAAGCTTCAATACCTTGGTGATCTGATGAACAAGACCCAAGTGTCTTGCAAAGACGTGTATGAATGTTCTTGTCCTGAAATCGATGAGATCTGCTCGATCGCGCGAAAAGCAGGGACATATGGCAGCCGGCTTACGGGTGCTGGCTGGGGCGGCTGTACTGTACATCTGGTGCCTCAAGACAAGGTTGCTGCTGTGACTGAAGCCTTCAAGAAGGAGTATTATTTGAAGAAGTTCCCCGATATTAGCGAAGAAAAGCTCCAGGAAGCCATCGTTATCTCTAAGCCCAGCCAGGGTTCATCATTGATCGTTGGCCTCGCTCTTGATGTCTAAGCAAACATCTATTACCACCTCAGAATCTGGTAATTTCACCTTCTCGATCTGTACCGCATCTTTTCCAGCTCTTGCCGCCTCAGCTTGAGTGTTTGCAGGTCTGCTTTCAGGCGGACTGGGTGCAGACGCTCGCTCTACGCGAGGCTGGTATGTTGGCTCCTTTGAACCGGAGGATGACATGGTGAGATGAAGGAATTGGGATGTGGGAAGGCTTGTTGGTGTCGTCGGTCTCGCGAGAACAGGCAGTCAGAGAAGGTGAAGATGCCCAGGATGGGAAGCTTACAGGTGCAATGACAAAGATCGTGTGTTTCTCTGTCCGTTCTACGTGGTTATGTTGTTTGATTACTGGGCAGGAGGGGAGAGACAGAGGGAGAGGAGTCGAAATATCTATGCCTATTGTCCGCGCTGCGTCCTGAGGTATTGCAACATTCTCCCTCTGATCGCGGGCTACTGAATGGACATGAATTGGCTGTCGCGCCGCAAAGCAGACCGCACTTTTGAACAACATGATGGTTCAAATGCGGTGTCGTCAGCACAGTCTGTCGACAACTGGTTTGCCAAAGCTTGTGTTTGCTACATTGTTTTATCAACAACACCATCACGTGCCAAAGCAGTCGAGATCACCTATTTCAGACTCTTACAGAGTTTCTGGAGATAGACCACGAGGCTGGGAAATAAGGGGCATTGTGTGATAAGGGAACAGGGCCCATCAGGTCTGTAAGCATAGAGATGGAAGCAGTTGACTTCATGTGAGCGCTGAAAGTGAGCAGGCCGTTGACAAGGAGAGTCTCTCTAGCTCTACCATACATGCCATGGGTTCTTCTGACGAGGGTACTCCGGGATCTCATTCTACTACTTACAGATGAATGAACACGCCGGCCTCCTTGCCTCCAAAGGCATCCATTACCGCGAGAAAATGCGGCCTGTATTTTCTACTTGAACTCTCTGGGTACACTCTTCTCTTTGCTATCTTGTAGGCCACGTCCTTCTACCTCGTACACTAGACTTTACTAATCATAGGCCGCGGCGATCTCTACCGAGCCATCTACACACGTGATATAATACGAACAGAGGGCGCGTACGAGCCAACCGTCACCATCCAAGATCTCAATTTTCAGCTTCAGCCAGGTTCGTGACCGCGCCTTCGCCAAAGTCATGCGAACATGGTCATCAGAACCGACGGTGGCTGCCAGAATGTTAAAGCCTCTTCGTATCTGCTCCCGTGTCAGTTCGAGCCTTTACAATGCCGCGCCACGAAATTCGAAATTGAGCTGACATCCAGCTGATGAACTGCGACGGAAGGGAAAATGCTACCAGCTCCACCAGATGGACATCCCTGCTTACGTGCGTTACATCCTTCTTACTAGATACTAGATACGCTAGAACGTGTGGGTATCATAAAGACTTGAGCTGTCTCACATCTGGCGCCGCGGGCCTTCATTCTCAATAACCACCGTCCTGTGCTCGTTCACCCTTGCTTCTGCTTTGGCCAACCTTCTGCAAGCTTGATTCGGGCCAGCATGCCTTCAAAGATCTACCGTTCTTCCTATCCGCCAATTGAACCCATCAATTCCGATTTACTGACCTACCTCTTCTCGAACCCTAAGCGAACACCGGACGACAAACCGATCTACATCGATGCGAACACATCGGCCACCCGGACCTATGGCGAGATCAAGCGAAGGACTCGATCATTAGCTCACGGGCTGCGTGAGCTGGGAGTCAAGCCTCGCGATGTCGTGGCCTTCATGAGTCCAAATAGCATCGACTATCCCATCACCTGTTATGCCATCCTGGGCTGTGCCGCCACCGTGTCCCCCGTTAGCGCTGCACACACGTCTATGGAATTGCAAGGCCAGCTCGAAACGAATGAAGCCAAGTATCTTATCGTCCATTCCTCCCTTCTGGACATTGCGGACAAGGCAGTCAAACGGAACTCCAATGTCCGCGTCATCCAGGCGGACGGCGATCGCGATATGCGTGGCAATCCTACTGCAGAATCACTGGCCAGCTCATGCCCACCTGCACCGCTGGTAAGTATCGAGCCCGACGAAGCCGACGAACGGCTGAGCTTCATGTGCTTCTCGTCGGGCACGACAGGTCGAGCCAAGGGCGTCATGACCTCGCACAAGAATATGGTTTCCAACGCGCAACAATGGCAGGAGCATATGCCTCTGGAAGTTACGGGCAACCTGACGACAGTGACATTCCTCCCATTCAGCCACATCTACGGCCTGACGGCTTACGTCATCACAAACATGCTCGTCGGCAACACAGCGGTCATACTGAGCCGTTTCGAGCCCGTATTGTTCCTCAGCTGTATTCAGAAATATCGCGCGGAATCCGTCTGCCTCGTGCCGCCGGTGATGCTGTTGCTGGCGAAACATCCGCTGGTCGAAAAGTACGACCTGAGTAGCCTGAAGAGAATTGTCTGCGCCGCAGCACCCCTGAGTGTAGAACTACGCGAAGCTGTTGAAGCAAGATTTCAGAAATTGTACGGCACTACTGTGCTAGGCCTGCAGGCGTGGGGTATGACCGAGACGAGTCCGATAGGTTCGGCCATCCCAGCAGATCGACTCGACAAACGGCACACTGTCGGCAATATCACACCGAGTATGGAGTTCAGAGTCGTGGATCCGGTGACGATGCAGGATGTTGAGAGCGAAGCTGACGGATCGTCGAAGCAGGGCGAGCTGTGGTGCCGTGGACCGAATGTGACAAAGGGGTACTACCGGAATGAAGAGGCGACGCAGAGCGGGTTTGCAAGTGACGAAGATGGGAAGCTGTGGTTCCGGACAGGAGATATTGGACTGATTGACAAGGATGGGTTCATTATCATCGTCGATAGGATAAAAGAGATGATCAAGTACAAAGGTCTGCAAGTCATTCCGAGCGAGCTGGAAGGTAAGCTGCTCGAACACCCGGATGTCGAGGATGCTTGTGTGGTTGGACGCTGGGTCGAAGAGCAAGCGACTGAACTTCCAGTTGGGTTCATTGCGGTCACATCAAAAGCAAAGGCCAAGGAAGAGAAGGTCATCGTGGACGAGGTCAATCAGTGGTTGAACGGCAAAGTCGCGAACCACAAGAAGCTCAGAGGTGGGCTGTATATTGTTGAAGCTGTCCCCAAGAGTCCAACCGGGAAGATCCTGAGAAGGCAGTTGAAGGATGTGCTCAAGGCGAAGAGTGCGAAGGCTGGATCGAGGCTGTAAAGGGTCATTTCTTGTCCATAGAGATGCCTTCCCTTGTCTGTTCATCAGCGGTAAGCTTAGCGAGATAGATACCCGTCACGTGGATAGACATCACGTGGATAGACATCACGTGGATAGACATCACGTGCCCAGTCTCTCTCGCTTCAAATGACGTTGTTCAAGGCCCAAGACTTGTCTTTTTGCCGACGCCTTTTTCTGAATCTCATCCATCACTCGAGGACATCCATTATTCCATAACGACTCTGGATATACTCTCCTAGGTACTTATCTATCAAACCAAGAGAGCGCATTCTCGGAATTTGACAGAAGATACCGAGCCGACGGCACATCCGCCTCTCATCTGCACCGTCGCTTCTCTCCCGTCGACACAGGGCGGAGGAAAAGCTTTCTGCTCAGTGTACCTAGGTAAGTCAGGGCAATTCTCTCCTCATGATTGGACAAGTCGGATTTCGGCAACCCTTCGACCCAATCAGAAAATCTCGAAATTGCAGGACGGAAAATGCCCGAGATCGGACAGGCGATAAATGGCGGAAGCCTTTCGAGTATCCGTAAGGTATCTTTTCTGCTAGATTCCCATGGAAGCAAATGCCCTATGACACGCTTCGTTCAAGGGTTCAAGTTGGGAGCATGGCCTGAATCAGTTAAGTGTTGATCATTTATTTGCATGTGTTACGGTGAAGGCAACTTGAACCTCCATTTGAGTCATTTTTTCCGTCTCTCTCTTTGCATCCTTTTCACTCGTTGCAGTGTCGACATCGATATATGTTTATCTGAATGCCCGCTCGTTCTTTGCACGCCTCCGACTCCAACGCCGAGCCGATTGAGGTCAACTTTCTCCGACTTCCAGCATCGACTTGACCAGATCGGACTTGACTTGACTTGACATCATTTGCTCGCTCTTTCCTTTTGGCGTTCGAGAGAGACATGAACACCACCCAAGGACTACTTCAACTCAAGACATCAACATGACAGGCGAACTGCATCTCGACCTCGACAATGTCGAAGCCCAGAACACCGAGATCCGGCCCGTCCAATCACGAGCCACCGCCGCTCCCCCTTCCTCCCTCGACCTGGAGAAAACACCCACATGTGCCGCCGAGGACTCCCAACACGACGACAACAGAGACAAAGACCGGCCAACAGCCGACCTAACACGCATCCGATCCCACGCCTCACACCACGACATCCACGCCATCCCCAGTCACACGTCCTCATACATTGAGATCAACGCCGCCCAGTACGAACGCTTCACACCCCGACGCAAACTCCTCATCACATGTGTCCTGTCACTATGCGGCTTTCTGGCGCCCATCTCCAGCACGACGATTCTCGCCGCCATCCCCGAAGTCGCGACCACGTACCACACGAGCGGCAGTGTGATCAACGTCTCCAACGCTCTGTATCTCGTCTTCATGGGCCTGTCACCGTGCCTCTGGGGCCCACTGTCCACGATCTACGGCCGCCGCTGGATCTGCATCGTGACCGCGTGGTTGTTCTTCGCCTTCAGCATCGGCACCGCGCTCGCGCCGAACCTCGCCTCGTACTTCATCTTTCGCATGTTGACCGCGTATCAGGGCACCAGCTTCCTGATCGTCGGGACCAGTTGTCTGGGCGACATCTACACGCCGACCGCGCGCGCCACCGCCCTGGGCTGGTTCCTGTCCGGCACGCTGATCGGCCCGGCGTTTGGACCGTTCATCGGCGGCATCATCGTCACGTTCCGCAGCTGGCGCGACATCTTCTGGCTGCAAGCCGCGCTGGGCGGACTGGCCGCCGTGCTGGTCGTCTTTGTCCTGCCCGAAACGATCCCGGACAAAAAAATCGACGAGCTGCGCGAGTTGTCCCGCAAGGACAGACTGGGCAGGATCGCCCACTGGGTCAGCCCGTTGCGTGTCGGCGTCTTGTTGTTCTCGTACCCGAACCTGATCGTCGCGGGCGTCGCGAGCAGCAGCCTCGTCTGGAACATGTACAGCCTCCTCACGCCCATCCGCTACGTGTTGAACCCGCGCTTCCACCTGACGAGTCCGATCCAGAGCGGCTTGTTCTACATCGCCCCGGGCTGTGGGTATCTGCTGGGCACCTTTTTCGGAGGCAGGTGGGCCGATCACATTGTCAAGAAGTGGATTCGGAAGAAGGGCAGGCGCGTGCCGGAAGATCGGCTGCGCAGTTGCTATGTTTTCGTCGGAGGCGTCATCCCGGCGTGCATGCTGATCTACGGCTGGAGCGTCGAAAAGGAGGTCGGCGGCGTCCCGTTGCCCGTGGCCGCCATGTTCGTCCAGGGTGTCGCGCAATTGTTTGCCTTTCCGAGCTTGAACACGTATTGTCTGGATGTCATGCAGGCCAAAGGCCGGAGCTCCGAGGTCGTCGCGGGGAACTATATGATCCGCTATGTCTTTGCGGCCGCGGGGAGCGCCGTCTGTTTGCCGGCCATCGAAGCCATCGGCGTGGGTTGGTTTAGCACGATATCTGCCGGTTTCTTGGTCGTGAGTGCTTTTAGTCTCTGGGCCACGACGGTATGGGGAGAGGGATGGCGACGGGCCGTGGACCAGAAAAAGAGGAGGAAGAGGGAGGCTAGGGAAAATGAGAAGCACGAGGCCAAGGGTGGTCAGGTCGGCGTTTGAGAAATCCTCTGCGACGTACGGAGTAGTCTTATCGATGATGGAATGGAATTGCTCGTTTTTCGGGAATCTGGCACGTGTCTGGGTGGTTGGGGGTGCATCAGGTGTCTCTCAAAAGGATGAGGTTTCAGTCCTCAGGAGAATGTTGACCTGAGTTTGGATACCACGTGAAGTCTGAAGATAAAACGGACTGGGCAGATCCGCCGCTTGATAGAATTGAGCGGATTGCAAAGGTCAATGACGAGCAACGAGACTCATGAGTATAGATAGACATAGATTCAGTCATGCGCGTCTTTGACCACGCAAACATGGCATTTTCATGAAGAAAAGAATCCCGAGACCACGACATTCCTGTCCATTCTGAGGGCAGGTCTCTGTGTGTGATAGCTGCTGATATCAAGAAGTGCGATCACTGGAGCTGGATAGCTGCGTATGGCTCTCCAAACTGTCGACGAACAGCATGGCACAGCACAGCACAGCACAGCACAGCACTGATCTGAAGGAGAAATCAAGGCGAAGGGACAGAACTCGTGTCTTGGTTCGAGAGTAAAATGCTTTGATTCAGCTTGATTGACCAGCTATAATCTCGACCGACCTGAAATGAAGGAAGTGCAGAAACTCCCGCATATAACAACTTCTCATGCACACCGCCTGAAACTTTTGCACACTTTTGCTTTCCAAAACCGGATCACGGCAAAGGCCTAGCTAGACTAAGCTCAAATTCCTTGCCGAAGCTTTTGAATTATCGTGAATGCGTACGTCGCCTATACAAATCGTCCTCCTAATTCGGGGTATTAGAAAAGAAAGCATGGTGTTTGTCATGGTCAATGGCCGGTCCTTTGCTTCATGACAGCTCGTCGCTGCTTCTCTTTGGCTGCCAGAAATGTCAGTACAGGCGCAAGGTCAATTGTTGGGTTAAACGCATACCTTCATCGTACACCAAGAACTCGTGCAAAGCCTTACCACCGGGCACCATGGGCAAGACAGGCACCTTCTTGTCGGTAACGACTTCCAGAAGAGCCGGCCCATCGCCACTACCACTAATCAACCACTGTAAACTCTCTTCGACATCGGCAGGCTTGATGCATCTTCGTGCCTGTACGCCCATGGCCTCCGCAAGTTTGACAAAATCAGGGTTCTTTTGGTGAGTATGGGCGAATCGATCCTCGTAGAACAGACTCTGCCACTGCGTGACCATGCCCTGTTCCTCGTTGTTCAGAACGATGACCTTCACACCAATATTGAACTGATTGGCTGTGCTCAACTCGGTCAAGGTCATGTTAAACGACGCGTCTCCATCAATATCCACGACAAGGCAGTCTGGTCTAGCGACTTTGGCACCAATGGCAGCGGGAAGGCCGAATCCCATCGTGCCCAAGCCGCCAGAGGTGACCATAGTTCGAGGATGTCGCCATCGGAAGTGCTGAGCAGCCCACATTTGATGTTGGCCAACACCAGTTGCAATGATGGTTTGCTCCTTCATGTTGGCTGTCAGATCTGAAAGCTTTTCGATCAATTCCTGGGGCTTGATCAACCCATCAGGTGTTCCCCGCTCAAAGGAGTTCATTGGGAACCTCTTCTTCCAGTCACTGATCTGCGCGAACCATTCAGGTCGGTCATTAACAGCCTTGACCTTGGGGATGAGCTCCGCTAGATTGGCCGTCACATCTCCCTCTACGGCTTCGGTAGCCTGTACAACTTTGTTGATGTTCTTCGGCATAATTTCAAAGTGCACAATACCACCACGGTTTTCAGCTGCGGCGGCCTTGGCCTGAGGCGCGAACTTAGCAATAAGGCCCGTTACACGGTCGTCGAATCGAGCACCCAATGCAATTACCAGGTCGGCCTCCTGCATAGCCATGTTGGCGTACGCAGAGCCGTGCATGCCAAGCATATGTAAGGACTTGGGATCGAGTTCATCGTAACCACCAAGACCTTGCAAAGTCGTCGTGACTGGTATCGCAGCTTTATCGGACAACTCCTTCAGGAGCTTCGGACCCTCGGGACTGCCCAGAATACCCGCACCTGCGTAGATGACAGGCTTCTTCGACACATTAACAAGATCGGCCACGCGGGAGATGGTGCCGTCCAAACGTCTTTTGGATAATTCTCTGGCAGCCAAGGTTGCGGCCGAAGGATGTGCTGGAAGGGTGGACTGCATCGGAATGGGTCTCCTCAGGATGCCACCAGTCACGTCGCTGGGCAGATCAACAAGGACAGGACCAGGCCGTCCTGAAGTGGCGATCTCAAAAGCTTCCTTTATCCTCTTTGGCAGCTCGGCCACATTCTTGACCATGACATTCCACTTTGTGCAAGCTCTTGAGATGCCGACAACGTCAGCTTCCTGGAAAGCATCCGTGCCAATTTTGGTTGTGGGTACCTGGCCGCAAAACACGACCATGGGTGTGCCATCCGACAAGGCATCTTGCATAGGTGTAATGACATTGGTCGCACCAGGACCAGAAGTCACAAGAACGACACCGGGTTTCCCAGAAGCTCTTGCGTAACCCTCTGCCATATGTCCTGCACCTTGTTCATGTTTAGGGAGGATGAAATCGAAATGTTTCGAATTGTAGATGGCATCGAAGACTGGGAGAATAGCACCACCAGGGTAGCCAAAAATGTGCTTGACGCCTAACCGGAGCATCATCTCGTGGAAGATCTGCCCGCCGCTGAGGCCAACGAAAGAGTCATCGAGCTCCGGTTGTTGTCGATTGACCAAAGGCGAGGGTTCGTTTCGTCGGAAGTCATTGTTAAAGGCAGGACTAGGGAGTGGTCGAGCTGATCTGGGTGACTGTTAGCTCGAGTTTGAATGTTTTCTTCCCGCTTGACATACTGTGATTGGGCTGCAGCAGTGGTAGCAGGTCTTCTCGTCTGCTCCGTAGTAGACTTTTGGGATTTTCGGTAAGGCGAAAGAGCTGCCGCCGAAGCGGTGGAGGAGAAAGGTTGTGAGCACGAGGGTCTTCGTTTGGAGATGGAGCGAATGGCACTGGAGCCAGGCCTCATGGGCATCATTTTCGTCGCCATGGTTTTTGGCGGAGGTGTGAGTATAGAGACTGGTCAACTGGAGAGGGGAAGTGGGTGAGAAATGGAGGAATGAGGAATAAGGAATTATGAGTCAACGCCACCCTGGGTGTGGTGGTGTGTGCAATTCCGCAGTCAATCTAGAAGATCGCGGGCGGAAGCGAGAGAGCAGAGACAATGGGAAGAGTGCAAGCAATTTTTTGCGGAGAAGTTCACAAGTGCCACTTGACCGGCCGAAATCGGTCTTGGCACGACCATCGAGTTCGAGACTCGACTCTTGACTGGCCACGACTGGCTTGACTTTCTTCAGAAGGTCAGGCTAGAAAATCCCTGTAGCCACCCACCAGTCTTCCTTAACCAAGCCATCTTAGCTAGGTACTGTACCGCGGCTACTAGGCACCGAGGGCACCTAACCTAAGGTACCTGGCACCTACCTGGTAGGTATCGTCGTTGAGACCAGCTACTACCTACCTAGGTAGTATAACTTGGTGTCCAACGAAGTCGATCTCGTGCGAGTATGGTTTCGGGAAGATGGAACCACTCCTCCTATGCTCTTCTCCCAAAGATTCGTAACCTCTTCACGCCGCCATCTGGGATAATCGTCATCTTGGCATGCGTCCAGACATGGCCATCTGGGGCGTCGGTGGCGACGAGGTCTCCTCCTTCGAAGATATGCTCGATATCAGCTCTACAAGGCTGTTCACCCTTAGTCAACGGCACCCATCCGGCATCGTCAGCCTTTGGCTCGGGCTCCGTCCCTAAAGCTGCTTTAGCAACTTCCATTGACCAACCTTCCACCTTGACTGCCCTAGGGAAATTTCCACGGAAGTCTTTGGTGTCAACCACCACCTTCTCAATCTTTTTGCCCTTCAATCCCAACCTGGCAATCACCCAGTCGACGTGTCCTTTCGTCCTGCTGCGCTTTGTCTCCCAACCATCACCCATGTCTTTTCCCCGACCTGGTAGGAGCAGATACGACTTGCCGCCAAAATGCTGGTCGGAACACTCGATCGCGACACCGCCGTTCAATGCACTGGCAAGATCTTCCACTGGTCTTTCGCCCATGGCTGCACTTGTCGGTAATGGTGGGGGCACGACTTTCCCATACACTCTCAACCGGGCAATGCCGCCGTCTGGATATTGTTTTAACCTCAGGTGAGTGAACTGCTTCCCGGTCACTCCTGGCCCATAGACCTTCCAAGCCTGCCGCTGGCTAGGTCCACATTTGGAAGGAGGGAGCACCTCCGTCCATCCAGCGAAATCCTCTTTGTCGACACCACTGCCCTCCTCTTGTTCAGATGTCACGAAGCAACCATCTAAGCCTGCATATGGTGCCTCATTGCCATTGAAGTAAGCCGTGTCCACTTCCACGGCATCTATTACTCCAACGCAGCCCAGCTTTATCACCACCCAATCATACTCTTTAGGATTATGTCTTCTTGTCTCCCAACCATCATACCATGCTCCTGAGTGCACGAAAACTCCCGGCCTGCGAATTGGAGGGCCTACTGTGAGCAGATTCTCTGCAGAGGCAAACCATTCGTCGGAGAAGGAGACAATCTTAGCCCCTAACACTGAAGTCGCGAGGCTCGTAGATGACGAGAAGGTAGTGTCTATGAGGGTCGCAGGCACAGGTATCGTAGCCACGTCTGAGCTGGCTGCAGGTGGAGATTCGCCCTTGTCCACAGCAGCGTCAGAAATGATCTGTGGTACAATATTGACTTCCATCGTGGTAGGTGATCTGCTGCGTCGACAGTCTGGGAGAGTCGACTTGATCTCGAGCACTAAAACAGGTATTGTATCGATGCCAGCTGGACGGAATGAGCTTTGATAATTGGGCCAAGTCCAGTAGATATTTGTAAGTTAGGAGATTTTCCCTAAGTTCCAAGCCAAAGAATCAACAGCAGAGGGTTCCAAAGCACAAAACATTTCGCCGTTTGCTTCGGACAGATACGAGGCGATCGCGGAGACCGCCGAAGCACGACTTAGCGACAAGAACGACTCTGGATGCTACCCCTCTCTCACGTGCTTTTATCTAGTCTTCTCAAATTGTCTGCGGGGAGATAATCAACACGATATCCGCAGGGCAAAATCAATCCAAACGCTTTTTAGAGGAATACTCAGTACTTTCCCCACGATATTCCTCTCCATAATCCGCCAATTCCAACAGTACGGTGTCTAACAAAATCGGTGTACCCTATCCACCGCACACGAAGACAGCTGCGCCACTTGCTGCTACAGGGAAAGTTACGTCAGTGTTGTCACCCCTTGATTCCGCACGCGCCAGTGGAAGCACAGTCGTGCCGGCCGCTGTCGCTGCATGCAGAACCGGACGGGCGCGATGAACTCGACCAGGACAGCAATCGAGGAACATTGGCGGGCATCGGAAGAAGGTGATACAGAAGCCGAACACGTCATCTACGCCTTGGACGCGATTCTCGACTATCCCCAATCAGGCGAGCGATTCCGTGGTCGCACGACGATTGCTGCGCAACGTGGCGGCCACCCAGCAGAGCGGCACTTCACGGTGCAACGGATCTCAGGCAACGGCAATCTGTGGGTGAGCGAGTGTATCATCACCTACGACGACGTGCCAACTTACTCATTTTCCATCATGGAATTTGCTAGCGAGTTGGTAGTGCACGAGACGCAGTACTTCGCTGACTCCTTCAGTGCGCCTGCGTGGCGGGCAGCACTCGCGGAGCCGATGCCGGGCAGGCACATCGACAGGGCATGATCGCACCAAAGAACTTCTTCACATAGTTCGTCATTTTGAGCATTGATCTCTTTGAGGCTCGGTCTGTTGTCGAGAAAGGCGTCTCGCTCAGATGCGTGACGAGCCGTCTGACCCCATCGAGCTTCGCGTCCTGCTGGTCAGGCACGTTCGATGGACTCTTCGCGGCTTTCGTCTTCCACTGATCTCAAGGTGCTTGTGGTACAACCTCAAATTCATCTAGGTATAAAGAGCCTTAGCGCTCGGCTTTAGCGTTCCACCTCCTCGTCCACGAGTACTGTCCCTATTGGCCACGCATCAACTTCCATACAAAGCTGCATTAATTGCGTGCATTTATTTATATTATGGCCGGACACCAAAATACTGAGTTACAAATTAGTTGAAGGAATAGTCGACGACCTTCAAATTCAAGACATTCATAACGCTCCGAATGTTTCGAACTCATGTCATGACTGTCCCGGCCTGGTCAGCAGTGCTGACGCGCCACACCAGTCCTTGAATGCTTGTGATTTATTCTCTACGGTCCTCTCTTCCTCGTGAGTCGTAAAGTCAACGACGACTAGGCTTTTAACGAGGAGTGCACCGTATAGCCTCCGGCATTGCCTAACTCCCAGTCGACTTGAATTTTATTTTTGCTTATAAATTCTAAACTTGGGTTTTATAATTACTTAAGCTACTCCGTATTGAGGAGATTAATAGCGCCTTGTTACAAAACGCCTTATGATCGCTTAGGCGCAGGACCAGGAAGGGAAGGAAAGCTGGATCACCGAGCAGGGAGAGACATGCGTCTTTCTACGTCTAGAACCATTCACCATGCGGAGAACGAAGCCTTACGAAATGCAAGGCTAGATCACGTGGTCTGGGCCAGTGCGATCAATCTGGTTGAGTCGGATCAGGGTGCATCAGCGATTGCAGTACACTGATTAGGACTGATCTCTCCTGATGATACTAAGCTAGGCTATACTCGTGCTCTCATTGCCATACCTCTGATACTTCCACTTGCCAAGGGACCCAAGCTCCGCAGCCGTGTTCACGTGAGAGTAGAGACATACTCGAGAGCATCTGGGGTGTCTGGCTGCTTCTTGTTCCTTGTTGGGACTAGCCAGAAGCTCAACACGACACCGGCGTGGTCGAGAGGCTGGCGGAGCCCCACTCCGTCAACGTCGGAGTCAAGCCGAACGCACAGGATCCGAATTACCTTGCAGAATTTCAGATCTGGCTAATTGTCAATCAAACCCATCTTGGGATTCCTGCCACGCGGCGGAGTGTCGAAGGCCACAATCCGATGAGCCTTGCTTTATCGGAGTCCTACCGCGGTGTTCAGCGGCAGCCACATTCTCGAGACCAGCAATCTAGTGTCCCATGGGGAAGGCCTAGCGCGGGGTTCCAAGGCGGAGTTTGTTCCAGGTGACGACTTTTTGGCCAGAAGCCAGAGCCTCGACAGGACAATCCACTCCCATACTCGGCCATACCTGCACAAACTGGTCGTGTATTGAAGTCTGGTGGTCCAATCATCGTCTAAATTCTCCTGCATCTGTCCAGTCGACAAGACGCCTATACCCCAGAGGGGCAGTTTACCCCAAGCCTTTGCCACTTGCTGTCCGAGCAATATCTTCAGGGCATAAGGATATTATAGCAAGAGGATCCTGGCTCGAATCTACACCTTGAAATATCTTCACATCAGTCAGACCACTGCATCACGCAATGTCCAAGGCTGAAGAAACTACCACAGTCACCATGGCAGACGAGGCGAACCCACAAGAATCTGTGCCGCTCAAGGACAAATTCTTCCGCCACTATCGGTCATTCCTCTACTGTGGGATAACTTGTATTGGCGGCTTCCAACTCGGTGAGTCCTGCCTGCTATTGCCTTTCTCGATGCCTTCTGACAAGACAAAGGGCTCGATCTTGGGGCCATCGCAGGCTTCCAGGCCATGCCTGGTTTCCTTATGAAGTTCGGCTTTCCTCAAGAGGGCGCGACCTTCGGCTGGGGAATCGACCCAACCGTGCAACAGCTCATCAGCTCACTGATGTTGGTTGGTGCTTTTGTCGCCTGCTTAGCTATCGGTCCCTCCGGCAAAGTCCTGAGCAGGAAATGGATGTTATTCATCGGCTGCAATATCAACCACTTGGGCGTCATACTCATGATGGTTGCGAACAACCTGGCCACTCTGTATGCAGGGCGGATCATCATTGGTATCTCGGTTGGGATTCTCGACGTGCTCCCACAGTTGTACATTCACGAATGCGCTCCTGCGGCGCAGCGAGGGTCACTCCTGGGGGCTTTCAACGTGCTTGTCAGCATAGGCCTACTCATCGGCTCGATTGTCGACAACTACACTTTCACCATTATGAACTCCAACGCCTACATAATCCCGCTTGGCATTTTCTTCATCTCCCCGGTCTTCATCACGGTCGCCTTGCCCTTCATCCCAGAGACTCCGAGATGGCTCGTCGAACACAACAAGCCAGAAAAGGCAAAAAGGGCGTTGAGCAAACTCCGTCACAAGGATACACCGCCACAAATCCTCGAGGCCGAGCTACAAGAGATCAAATCTGCGTTTGAAATGGAGCAAACAATGACCCAAGGCGTTGCGATCCTGGATTGCTTCCGGAAAACCAACCTTCGCCGCACGCTGCTCTCAGTGGCCCTGATGAGCTGTCTCACCGGCTCAGGTGCCGTCTTCATCCTCGTCTACGGAACTTACTTCTTTGCTATTGCCGGTCAAACCAACGCCTTTGCAGAAAGTGTTGGCATGACTGCTGCCGGTCTGGCTGCCACAATCTTCTCGATGTGGTTGATCACAAGGATCGGACGACGAACAATCTTGATGATCGGTTTTGCCACCCAGGCAGCCGCTATGCTCATCGTGGCAACGGTCTGTCAGTACAAGTCGACAAGCGCCACTGGAGGGAGAGTGCTCGTCACCTTCACGATCATCTACCTCTTCTTCTACAATATGTGTATCGCACCCTATCTCTACCTGTGCGCCGGTGAGATTCCGACTCAGCGCCTACGTGGTTATACCTTGGGTCTGTCGATCGGCGTCTCATTCGCTTGGAACTGGGTCGCCTCATATACCGCGCCGTACTTCTTGAATCCATTGGAATTGAACTGGGTAAGTGAACTCCAAAGAAAAGATTGCGCAGGTCCAAATGGCTGACTTTTATTCGTAGGGCGGCAAGTATGGATACATTTGGGCCGTTTCGAATGTTATCATTCTCGTCTTTGTGTTCTTCTTTGTCCCCGAGACCAAGGACCGGACTCTTGAAGAGATCGACGAGATGTTTGAGGAGAAGGTTGCAGCCCAGAAGTTCAAGAACTACAAGTGTACGCGCGTTGAAACTGCTCGAGTCATTGGCATGCACATCATTGAGGATCAGCAAAAGGAGGGCCATGATCATGTCGAGTCGGTGCGTGGAAGTCAATGAAGGAGATGGAATATACTGGCAATTTCTTGACGGAAAGGGCCTCGCGGGTTGAGGCGAGTGTGCTCAGAGCTGCGTTAGGAAGGGTTTGTTGACTACTGGTCCAACTCATGCTAAGTGTTAAGCATGTGCGAATAAGTGCCATACTAGTAGCTAGTCCTCACGCCGGTCAATTGTGAATGTTCTCTGTCCTCTTCCATGACCTCAGACTAAGAGATTGCCTTGTGGTATAGAAAGTAACCGGTGCGGCTTCAAAGTGCTGCTCGAACTCCATACGGGCTGGTGCCAGTTAAACATTCTCAGCTCTCGGAATCGGGATGCTCGAGGACGAAAACGCTTCTTCTGTAGCGGAGGCGTTCTCCGTGGGCAGGGAGGGCAAATTGTTCAGTGGCTAATCATGCCATAAAATAAAGGAGCGTCTCTTGAGTCGACTCTGGAGCTCCATTGCCGAAGCTCAACTGAAGCAAAAGTGGCTCAAGGTATAATTACACGTTACAATTTCGGGCAAAGCGACACACCAGTGCTCTTCTTCATGACGAGACTCGGGATTTTCAGGGTAGGAAGCTGAAAGCCGAAATCTATAGGCTATACACATGATACAAATACTGCTCAAGCTGACAGCATTCGTCTATAGCTTGGGTTGCAAAGCAGCACTGCCATTGTACAGCTTCTTTGCTTCGTCCTCCTTGTAGTCGCTGATCCTGTGATTGATCTCCGGAGGCGGGACATTGGTCGGTACATAGTTCATACCAGTCTCTACCGCGTGCGCAGCGAAATCGAACTCATCGTAGGCGTATTGTTGCGGGCTGTGGGCGAAGAGCCAAGCTGGGTTTGGCATTGATACAGTCTCGGGCTGGCTCTTGACAAGTTCCCAGTTGGTCTTGTGCCACATCTCGCGTGTTTCGATGCCCATCTTCTGAGCCAAAGACGACCTGGCATGTCTGGGAGTTGTCAGTGTCAGCTTCACTAATGCTGTACCTGTATCTGTGCTGGAATACTAAACGTACCTCAACCTCTCGCAAACTTGCAATCCGAGCGGGACTCGCTTTTTGCCTGCCAATTCTAGGCAAATGGCAACCGTCGCGCAGTCTTCGATCGCTTGGCCGGCTCCTTGACCTGAAGTTGGTAGAAAAGGGTGTGCGGCGTCTCCGAGTACTATCATTCGATTGTGCTTCGATGTCCATCGTGGTAGAGGATCTCGCCAGGCTAGTTTGTGATCGAAAACCTGGTTGGGAGGCGTATGTTTGATGACTTCATGAAGCCGGGAGTCCCAGCCTTTGATGTAGTTGAGGGCGTCTTCTATCTTTCCAGGCTGAGTCCACGATTCCTTGACGTCGAAGGTGTCCTTGTGTGTAATTGTCCAGGTCACGAGCTTCTGCTGTGAGCATGTTCCGTATATGGCGTGCATGTTGGGCCCGATGTAGACTTCCATCTTATCGTAGTCTCCCTCAAACAGAAACTGGAGTTTTGGGTTGTCGCGAATCAGGCTGGAGTCATACCAAGCCCGATAGGCAGCATATCCCGTCGGGTACGGGCGGTCCTGCCAGCCAGTGATGAGGCCACGAGCCTTGGAATGCACTCCATCGCACGCAAGGACACAGTCTGCGGACACTTTGGTATTGTCTTGAAGCTTTATCCCTGCTTCGTCCTCGGTCTCGAAGACTTCTACCACCCGTTTGCCGAAGAAGATTGGAATGCCCAGCTTGCGACAATATTCGGCGAACAGCTTCAGAAGCAACGGCCGGGGCGCGAGATAACCTTCGAAATTCGAATAGCCTGACATAGGTTGACTGAAGAGAATCTCGCCGGTGTCGTGCTTGTGAACGTTGTTCTCGACATATTGACCGGCATGGGGTATTATCTTTTCGTGGATCTTGCCATCGTCCCATTTCGCAATGATTTTTGCAGAGTTCGGAGACAGCCCGATCACATCACCTGTAGGATATATTGTCAGAGGAGCCCCCAAGCAGAGATTCGCAAGTAATACTAACCTAGCGTTGAGACGCCTGGAGTTTGCTCATATATCGCAACTTTGTGGCCTTTTCGAGCACATTCAATCGCTGCAGTGGCCCCGGCATAACCTAGACCGATGATAATAACGTTGATGCCACTTGAACCAGGATATGCGATGCCGTCTGGTCCACTTCCTTGCCCAGTATACTTCATGGTGATGGTGCTTTCTAATTGTGTCTCCTCTGTTGCTGGTTGGAGATTGAGTTATGTATTGACGTCTTTGGCTGCAGGAGGCCGATCAAGAAGAAGGATCGCCTGGAAGCTCAATGTGGACAGTACAGCACGTTCGTGTGTCCGACCGAGAGAGACAGTGTTAGCGCAGATGAGGGATCAGTATCGACGCCTTCGGATTGCCCTCTGCACTACTCTATTGGTGTGGAAATTCAGCCAGGCCCATGGGGTACCAGAGTGATAGTCGAGGGCATGTAGCACTTCCCCAAGGTCTACTATCAGCGGATCAGTCCAGACTGGCCTACCTCCGGTTTCAGCGCCGCTCACCCAGGACGATCGAAATACAATGCTCAGTGTCTGCACCAACTAGCTTCCCCGACAGCCCTCGAGCTTTTACTCCAACAGGCACTGCCTGTCGCCGTGCAAGATACGTGTTCAGGGCCTCAAATCTATTCCCGATATGTCTGAACCCGAGCCGAAGGACACTGCTGGCGATTTTTGAGTCTCCGACCGAAAGCCTGGTAAGCCCCGTGGGGAAAACTGATATCCTTGCACCCTGCATCGGGGGAGCCACACCGGGACTCCCTACATTTCACTAGCCTGTGGCTAGCGTCGGGTCTCCACTCCGGACAACATACTCAAACTCCTGTGGCAGAGCGGGAAGCAAAGGGTCCCGCCCGGGTGTGTCTCCAACAGCAGGCTCACTTTTGACCATGTGGTTGGTTCTGCGGAGTAGATTGCGCCGCGCTGAAGCCATTGTGGTAGAAGTCGAAGTCTGGCCAGGCGTTGGGCTGACCCAGCAACAGAAGGTTTCTCAGAGTATTTTCTATCTTGAACATTTCAAGGTGGTCGCTCACCAGAGAGGTACTAACGACTTTGATACCAAACATACGAACGTCAATATGCCCCAAGAGACAGTGCCTTGGGATGTCTTTCCGCCGACACCAAAATTGGACTTATCCAAGGCCCATCAACAAGGACTGCTGAAAACAGCAAGAGGCATACGACTCTGGCATGCAGTATTTGGCATTCCCCTCGAAAAGTCCCTGCGGGCCGGCCGAGTGCCCATTCTGTTGATGCACGGAGGAGTAGTCAGCTCCGACTGGAATGCACTGCAAGTCGACTTCCTAGCACCCAATTACACAGTGATTGTGCTGGATCTTCCTGGCCACGGACGGTCACCTTTCGATGACCGCGAACTATCCTACCCAAAGCTGGCAGGTGATGTTGCTGGCGTGCTCGACGTCCTGAAAGTCCCGAAAGCTGCAATTGTATCTTGGTCGGAAGGGACCATGCTTGCCTGGTCTATGCTGGCATACGGCCATCACGACCGAGTTGATCGCATGTTTGCGTACTCTGTTCTTGATGACTACCGCAAGGCAGACGCCGAGAAGGTGATGGGAATCTGGATGGTGGGCGAGTTCTTTACTCGAGCGCAGCGAGAATGGGAAGAGGCCCATCCTGGGGAGAAATGGGATGACTTTCTGGGCGCCTGGATGAAAATGTGGTTGCGGGAGCCGATCTGGACAGCTGAGACTTTCAAGCATCTTCCCATCAGAGGCGAGAGCAAGGACGCTCCCATCGTTTGGGTAGTCACCGGAGATCACGATGAATGGATCCCACCGGAGACGCATGATCGAGTGGCCAAATTCATTCCCAACTCGAGCTATCTCAAGATGCCGAGTGCTGGCCATCTAACTTTCATGCAACAGCCTGCGATGTACAACCGGATGATTGAATGCTTTTTGGAAGATACAAATGTTGTGTCAACGCTGAAAGCCTCGCTGTAGTGCCATCATGGCACGGCGGCCTGAGTTGCCATGTCGTTTCAGCGGGTGACAGAGATGCTGTAGTCTTGGATAGCTTGGAAACGAACAGTGACTCTAAGCATCGCAAGAGACCTGGTCTCCGGAGCCTGTCATGAACAGGGTATACTGTAATCCATCTCTCCCTACGGAGATATCAGAAGGGATTGTAAGCAGGTGATTTGGGGGCCTCGAGGGGCGTCTGGACTGCCCCGAAAGCCCCGCAAACTGGAGAGCTTCGGCGACGATGGATCTAACCATCTAGGCCGCACCAGCCTCTGACTCGTGCCTAGTAGCCCCTCTGTCTGCCCGCTCTCACCGTAACCTGCCCTTTTCCCAACGGCAAGCCAGCCGTGCCAGCAGATTGATTCGATCAGACGGAAGACTGGCCTTGCCATTTACGACTATGGTCAACAAAGGTTGCAAACCTGCAACAAGATTCTGACCCTTTACCCTGCCTTTATGCTCAGACAGACTCCATAGTATCAATCATCATTACGCTGGTCGGACTGACTTGAGATATTAAGACATGGGTGCCCTGAAATGCCAGCTGTGCGATCGCACATATTCCAAGACTGAACATCTGAAGCGACACCAACGTTCCCGTCAGTCTCTTGTCCCAATATCGTAACCTTTGCACACCAGCTTACCCAGATGGACAGACACAAAAGAGCGCCCGTATCAATGTCCCGTGTGTAAGAAGTACTTTTCAAGAAGGTCTGTCTTGGTGCCGATCCGAGCTGTCACCAATATGGACTGATCCTTAACTACAGCGACGTTCTACGGCGGCATCAGAAAAATCACGAAAACCTCAACGAAACAGCAGAGAACTTCACAAAGCGACCAACTAAGCGGAGGAAAGACAATTCGAGACATGGCATCGTATCCGCGTCCAACAACAATGCTCCTGCCTCAACCGATCAGATTCAGCAGCAGGAGCAACTTTCTCCTTCGCACGCAATCGAGAGAGAGCTTTCAGATCACAACCCGGACCTTGAAGCGGTGTTTCAGGGTCTCGACAATGGGGTGCACGACGGCGTTGTTGTCACTGCCACAGATGTCATTGACCAGTCACACGGTGACCTACGGGTGCAGAGCCCTACTGAACCTGACCCTTCGCATGATGCCACCACGCAAGAGGACCAGGTACCCACCAGCAATGCCGTGGCTATCGACGCTTCAGCTGGTGCAGAGATTCCATCACTCAACACTCCATCACTAAACCCCGAAATCAACATTAGCTCATTTGCATTTGCCTCTCCTGCCCCTACCAACGTAGCTCCGGCTTTTGGCAAAGACTCGGAGTTCAATTACAACTTCCCAACAGCCCCTTCCCTGGATGACCTGCAGCTGGGTGACCCGACAGACATGCTGGACTCGTGGCTGTTCCAGTACGATCCTAGCTCGCTGATGAACCCTCTTCCCGACTTTTTGCCCGGCCTGTTATTACCAACTTGGAATTGTGGATCACAGCTCGGCATATTCAGTGAAGACCATGTGGCTCCGAAAATCGTGGACGGGAGCCTCGCCCCAACCACTCGATTCATGAACCGAGTTTCACGCCAGCGCTTTCAGAAAATCTCAAGCCATTGGCAGTCGCGTTCGAACAGAACAACTCGACTCATGCCAAGTCTGTGGCACGACCTTTCATCCTCTGAGAGAAGGAATATATACTGCAAGAATGTATCACCTGGCACAAACGAGGACGCTCGTCAAAGTAGGATTTCGCGATGGGGGTTTGACGACGAATGCCGTCAACAAATGCAACTTACTCTCAACAGCCTGACTCAAGCCGGCAGCGTCTGCTCACCACTGTCGACCGAGTCGGTCGTGCCCGATGACGCTTCTCGGTCAAATAGCACAACAAGCTATCACGTTGGTGAAGTTGTGCTTCCGTCAACAGAGACTTGTGAAGTAGCCCTGGAGATCTACTTCCATCAATTTCATCCGACGTTGCCGGTTATTCACCTACCCACCTTCTCGGCCAAGGGGGCACCATTTGCTATGCTTTTCGTGCTTTGTCTGCTTGGGTTCAGTATTTTGGGCACTCCAAGCGCTACGAAGCTTGTGTCGGACACTTTCCCCGTGCGTACCTCGAAACACTGCATCCATCTCTTCTTACCAGCAGCTGACGGGTGGTAGATGGTAATCCAACTTGTATCCACGGAATTACAATCTAGTACTGCTAGAAAAGGTTCCCCTGCTGAGCAAGCAACCTTGTTGGTCACCGCACTCCTGACACTAAGTTTGGCTTCGATTACAGGAGTAAGCAGTTCGATAACCTTCTCTCCGAAAGCCACGCTGACAGCATGCTAGCAAAATTCAAGGCGCATGGCGCAAGCGGAGATGCTCTACGTAAACCTGATATCGGTGAGTGCTAGTCGTCGGGAAGTTGCCCTTGCTGACAACTGGTGCGTTCACAGATAGCTCAATGGCATGGCTTGTTCTCTGTGAATGGAGATCTTTCCGTTACTGAGGAATTGGATGCAATCCGTGACAATGAGAAGAAATGGTATGCCTGGAGCAAGATTGAATGTGTAAAAAGGTACGAACTTAGTTATACTTGCAAGAACAATCCTAACATCATGTGAAGGTTGATAATTGGGCTCGTGGAGATCGATGACTGGTTTGCAAGCTACTTTTCGACGAGTCCCATGATCCGTCCAGAGACCCTACAGATCCTTCCACCTTCCGAAAACAAAATCTTTCACGCAAACACGGCTTCGCTTTGGATGCAATACATAAAGAACAACGGCGGTGTGCATACGCCTTCCATCGCCACTTCTGTTGACTCATCACTCGATCAATTACGACCTACAGTGTTACCAGCACTGTTGACTCTACTTCAACATCAGATATACGACGCAAATTACCGTTTGCTACTGTCCAATGAAGGACTCAACCCAGAGCGGCTTCTTGAGCCATGGCAGCTGTATACAAAAGAGGCTAGTGATTTGATGCTAATCTCTCGCATTGCCACCTTGCCAGCAACAGGTGCCAATCCCCTGACAAAGGCGGACATCAACGGGCTCATTTCATGGCATATGTCCTGCATGATGCTATCATCGAACATACGACTGTTTGAAGATGCTGCAGGCAGATCCGGACCTGCAGCGGTATCCGTGGCAATGAGCCAAATTGCAAGGTGGTCTTCCACGTCTACAGCTCGACGCGCCGTGTTGCATTCTGCGCAGGTTTTCAAACTCCTTTTTCATAGGAGAATCTCCGACGTCATCAGTGTGCATGCAGTGGCCGCGTTGTTCAAGTCGGCACTTATACTCAGCTTTTATCTCTTGACGGCTCCAACGAACCCACAGTCAAGCTCAGAAAGTCCATTGGAACTATTTGATGAAATCGACTGGTCACACATCGGGACTTGCGGTTTGGTTGATGTGGTGGACTCAAGTATCAGGCCTTGTCAAGCTACCACGCCGGACAGTCATGCCATGCAGTTCATCAAACAGGGCCGCCCGTTCAGTATCACGGGGATTGTGCATCCACCAGGTTATTCATCTTGTGGAAGGGTATTGCTTCACGCCGCTGATCTAATGCAAACATTGGGCAAATGGAAGTCGCGGACATTCTCACAGATTTTACACCTCCTCACGGATGATTTGATGGATATCGACGGCACGTGCGGTGAGGACGAAGACTAGAAGCTTATGAGGAATGTAAATGATGAAATGACTACACTGTTCGAAGGGTCTACAAAACAATAAACAGAATCCCTGGCTGAACCTATGCCTTGAAATTGATCCCTTTTGCCTGTGCCTCGTCGTATGCCTCACGAATAACCTTCTCGTGCTGGGGACTTCGAACAGTTATATTAGCCTTGAATGGCTTAGGCACGCTGAGGAATCCCGGAGCCATTTCTGTCTCAGGTTCCACCACGTTCCCAGCCTTGTCTCTTGCTTTTTCGATGTTGAACCCCCAGAGTGTCCGAACGATGTTGATGAAGAGTGAGCGTTCGGCAACGTGAACACCCGGGCACACTCGACGACCTGCTCCGTAGGTGAAGTGGTCTCGCTGATATGGGTCGTTCACATTGATATACTCGGCTGCCGACAACGGTTTGTCGAGATATCTGGACGGGTTGAACGCTGTTGGATCGTCGTGTATACTCGCATCCATGTGGATGGCCCTATGTGCACCGGATCAGCATCTGAAGCCGTGTGTGTGACGGAAGCAAAAGACTATACTAGTACTTACCACCAGTTCAACATGATTACCGAGCCCTTGGGAATGAAGTAACCCTGGTACCAGTCGTCCTCGCTTGTAGCATGAGGCATCCCAAATTTGTTGACCGGTCTCCAACGAAGCACTTCCTTCACCAGGGCTCGGACATAAGGGAGATCCTTCTCGTCTTCCCACGTAGGAAGCCTGCCTGGTCCAATCACCTTGTCGATCTCATTCTGAGCCGCCTTGACTGCCGTGGGATGTAGTACCATGCAGAGCAGGAAATTGTTCAACGTGGTTCCTGTCGTCTCCGAGCCGGCTTCGATCAGTCCCCCACAAGTGTAGGCCGCTTGTAGGTCGTCAATGCCTGCTTTTGCCGGATCATTCACGTAGAAGTCCTTGCAGAAGCACTCCTCGGCCGTGCCGTTTTGGACCTCCTTCTTCAGCGTCTCCCACAGATCCAGATATACCTTGCTGTCGTGTTCGAACATCTTCTGTCCCTTGGTTCTCCAATTGCCGAAGAGGCTCTGGGGCAGAGCAGCGAGCGAGGGAAAGCTGTCCACGACAAAGGCTCCCGGTGCGGATACATTGGTGAAGTTGTCCAGCACTTGATAGATCCGTTTCACCATCGGATGGTCCCAAGTCGGGAGGCGGTGTCCATAGGTCAACTTCATGATAACAGAGGCGCTGTATCGTCTGTTGTGCATGTAAAAGTTCTCGGGGGTCTCCAACAGCTCGGCCATCAGTTGCTTGGATTCAAAGTCCTGGATTGGCTGATACTTGATGGCAGAACTGGCATTGAGCAGCGCATGGCTATACTTTCGAAGTTGCCGCCACTCCGGACCGTACACCATAAAGAGTTGTCGCTGCTTGCCGCTAACGGTGTCTGCTGCCATGGGCTGCGGCGCCCTGGAGGAATATATCGACGACTTCTTGTCCATGAGCTCCTTCACGACGCGAGGCGAAGAGAGCCAGACATAGTCTGCGCCGCCGATTTTGGTGTAGAAGATCTCCCCGTACTTCTGGTGCCATTCTATGGCCTTCTCACGCACCTTTTCGGTGTCTGCGAGATCGAGAAGATTACCGATGAACGGAAGTCCTTTGGGTCCTGGTGGTAGATGGCGTCTGCGAGAGTCCTGCGAATGTTGCAAGTCAGCCATTGCTCTGTGGAGCCTGTGCCTCATAGAGCTTTGTGCCAAATACCTTGAGAGTGGAAGGCGTGTAATAGATGTATAGAGTCAACAGCCCTAAGAGAGGGAGGAGCAGGATAGTCGCAGATATGGTCAGAACCAGATTGGAGTCTGCCAGCCTTGGGCTGATTGCCGCTACATTGAATACCATCGTCGTGACTCAGGAGTCGAGAACGATGGTGAGCCACCACACAGAGATATAGTACGAAAGAACTTGAAACAACGTTCTGAAGCCCGACGCTGGTAGTCTTCACGGCACTGTCTCAAGTTGGTCGGGCACCGGGTACCAGATGTGTTAGAGGTTTCCTTTTTGGAAAATTCGATGATATGGATGATGCTAGTAGCACTCTCAAAAACGATCGCAATGGACCAGATACAATTTGTCAAAGCCACCGTTGATTGTATCGTGGCTACCTCAAATCTGGTGAGCGTCCACCCCATCCAAGGTATCGGTGCGAGCCACCAGACGCAAGGTGGCAGAGTGGCGCCTACGTCCACCCTTTTTGTCATCCACCTACGCATCAGTGTAGCATGTGCATGCCAAAGAATCGAAGCTTTGAGACTTCCAGAGGTTGGATAATTCCCACATCACACTTCAGCGGACGTTTGTGGGAGAGCCACTTTTACTCCACATTGGTACTGGCAACCCCAGGCCCACGGGCAGATGCGTTCGTGGGGGCCTAGTCAGCATTCCCGGATCGCTCACTGCACGTCCGTAGACGGCCAGGCTGAGTCAGGCCCCTTAAGGGATACTGCGAGTATCAAGATATTCTTCTTGAACGCGTAAATATGCAGGTAGCCGCTCGATACGGGTTCTCAGGTAAGCAGGAAATTTTGTCTCTGATGCACTTGCTTTGGCCTCATCATGGGCCCGCACTCCGATCCCCCAGGCACAAGATGACGTGCCAATTGTACTATAGATATAACCCGGCTCTTAAGCTCGTGTAGCGAATTCCTCTTTGACGAGTGCAGTGAAATTCGATATTTATTTCCTGTCAAACTACTATCCCGCTACCTAAGTCGGCTTGCCTGAAGTTCCCGTGCCACAGGTCCAGTCGCTCTTTGCGCTTTCCAGATCAGCAGGGAACGAAACATGCTCATGAATCCACTTCCATTGGCCATTGATCTTCCTGAGCAAGCTGGTCATGCGGAAAGTGAAGGAGAACTCCTTCCCATCTGTCCCGGTGCCCCAATACCTTTGGATCGTAGTGGCATATCCGAAATCCTTTGAGACGGCAACAATCTCCAGGTCTTTGATGGCGAGGTGAGAATCATCGTAATATGCATCGATGCTGTCGTAGTGAGCCCCGAAGCCTCCACGGGGGATCTGCTTCATCAGATCATAGAACATGGTCTCGGGCAGATCGTAGAAGGATTTGGCCCTTTCCTTGTTGCCGAAATCGGTGTGGTTGAAGTGAATCCACTCCTTGTAGTGTTCCAGTATCTCCTGTTCTTCGGTGGCGAGTTCAGGATCGTGAAACTACGCATGTGGTGGGAGTTATTAGTTTGTGGATGCACGTTGGACGTAATAGTCTTAGGACATTGTGGCGCCAGGAGGCTCTTGTTGCCTGTTTACACTTACCTTGCTTGGTGGCATGCTCAACTTCTCTTGCAGAGCCTTGACCGTCGTGAGCGTTTTCTGGAGCATCCAGTGAGTGCCATGTACGTCCATGAAAGCGGTGGGTTTACCTCGTCCATCCATGATGATTCGACATTGCTGCCCATGATTGTCGTGAGTTTACACCGTGACTGATAAATTTTTGTTGAACTGTTCGAAGTCAAATGTTGTCGGAGTGGTGAGACAGAAACACGACGGTATGGAAGGCCAGAAGCTTTAACTTGGAGAAAAGGAGTATAGTACTATTGTATTCGTTCTGGTCCCGCGAGGAGTGCTTTTACCGTCTTTTGGCGGGACGGGGTCGATTCTCCACATGGAACTATCCAAGTTTGGATCAGCCACATCGTGACCCTCGTCGTTTGACTAGTTGCTTAGCCTTGTCGTATTAGTTACCTAGAGCACGTTGACAATCGCAGATCAAGGCAAGTCGAGTATACATTGGCGGTGCAAAATTATCTAGCTTCGCCGCTACCGTTGTCTAATCCGAATGGTCTCTACGGTCACACAGACATCCGTGCCGTGTCCCATTGTATTGCACTGTACGGCGCGTAGTACGGGTTCACGAGTTCAAGACAGTTGACCAATCCTGCTCCTTAATCCACTCTTCCACTGACCCCAAATGGGGCGGTGACTTGAGCTACCATGTGTCAGTACGTACGATGTCGTATGGAAAAATAGCAGGACTTACACCATGAGGCTGCGTCAATACAGGATCCTCTCTCAACTTGTATCCAAACTCGGTCATGTTCGCCATACCCTCTGCCAGCATCTCTCTTACGTCGGGATCCATATCACCTGGCATGCCATCCAGAATATCTTGGATGGGGAGAGTAGTTACTTGTGCTTTGACGTTGAGAATCCTGCTCCAAGTTTCGACGAATGTGCCGAACGTCATCCACGCACGATATCCCATAAGTTTCGTCCCGGCCGGTTCCTCGAGCAAGGCCCTTACAAGGGGTCCTGTATCTTTATCCGCGGCTATCAAGGGGAGAGGCGTGTGGGCGTGAAATTGATTGACAAAATTGTAAGAGCCGTCCGCTTCCTGCAAAGTGGGTTAGCCAACATTGGCTGATTCTGCATGATGTTCTCACCTTCTTAGGCATCTCGGTGGAGAGCTCTGCGAAATTTGAAAGGTACACACCGACTTGTATCGTACTCGTCTTCCTCCAGAGTTCAGGATATTGCTGCTTGCCATACTGCTCTGCGTGGGCCTTTGTGTCGGCATGGTAAGCCCTTGTGTACTTTCCCTCACTATGCTCCGCCACATCGGCAATGGTGGAAAAGATCAATCGTTCCAATGTGTTGATCTTGGCTGCTGCATCAAAGATGTTCTTTCCCTGTTGTAACTCGTATTCGTAAGCCCAACGACTGAGACTTTGACCTGGTTTGCGGGTTTTGGTAAGAGAGGGATCACTCAAGGGCTTCCAGAAGTCTGTGACCCCGTAGACAACAGTGGCCCCCTGGAAGGCGCAACTAAGCGAGTCGACGTCGTCGAGATCCGCTTCAACCATTTCCACACCAAGCGTTGACAGACGTTTGGCCCTTGACGCGGATACATTTCTTGTAATTCCTCGAATCTTCCATGTTGGCTCGCCACGGAAAGCATCCACGACTGATCCGCCTTGCGTTCCAGTCGCACCAATTACCACGAGCAAGTTCTGTTTTGCCATGTCTATATCTCGAATTTGACTGTGAGGATCCGACGGAAGCTTAGGGCAAGCCCGTGTCACAGTATTGGTCCTGATTATGTCCAGGGCCTTTGTTGGTTTGAATTTGTGGCCGTGGTGGTACACAACGACTCACCCCACTTATTGTTTATACCTCCGCAAAAAGCTGTGGCCTTCCTCCCACAGCATCCGTCGATACGCATATTCGCTACTGACACTGATTTAGTCAATTACACTCATCCAGAGTCTGGGCTAGATTTATGGTTACTGTCACTCAAGCGATACTGCCACAAATTACCGGCCTCATAATTCGAAGCCTTCGCAGCCACACGGCTAGACTTTCAAAGGCATCAGGGCCCCCCATCAGCTGGTCAAACCACAAGACAATCTGAGTGTTTTCGTCCAAACTGACAGAATAAAATCGGGGATATGGGAAAGCTCCAGGACATCAAGGTGATTGTGGTCGGTGCTGGCTACGGTGGGCTGACTGCCGCCATCGAGTTAAGGAGAAAAGGGGCCAATGTTTTAGTTTTCGAAAGCACCAAAACCCTTACTGAGCAAGGTCAGTAAGCTTGGATCATGGTCAACATGATCAGCGCACTGTGCTGACTGATTGTATATAGGCGACACCATTCAGATGCCCTCCAATGTCACCAAAACTCTGTCGAAATGGGGCAACGTCCTAGAGAAGGTGGCTGAAGATTCAGCTCGCCCAAGTTTCTTGGAGTGCCAGGACTCACAAGGCCGACTTCTCTACAAGCAACCGTTGCCTCTCGACTTCGATGGCTTTCCAATCTTGTACCCTAGCCGTGGTAGGGCACACAAGATCATGTATGATTATGCTGTGTCCATTGGCGTACAGGTTCGATTCGGGGTCCGCATATCCCAATTCTTCGAGGACGAGAATGAAGCTGGTGTCTATGCTGGAGACGAAAGAGTCACCGCGGATGCCGTTATCGCGGCAGATGGAGTTCACAGCAAAGCCAGATCTTTGATCATCAAGAATCCGGAAAACTCCCGATCTAGCGGATTTGCGGCGTATCGTTGCTGGTTTCCTGTGGAAGCCTTGCCGAAGACACCTCTCCTTGACGATATAATCAACGCAAAGAAGGATCGCTACTGGGTTTGGATAGGTCCAGATGTACATGCCCTGGTCATGACCAATGTCAAGATGCAATGGTTGGCATGTTTCTGTACGCACAAGGTAAGTCTCCAGCTGAGCCATCCGGGTTTATTTCAAAGCTTTGCATCATGTCGAGGAGTATCGACTAATAATTTGTTAGGATACTTACACGGTCGAAGAGTCGTGGAGCTATCCTGGTAAGAAAGAAGATTTACTCAAAGTAGTGGAAGGCTGGGACGAAAAGCTGCGTGCCATTTTCGAGGCGATTCCGGACGACAAATTGATCGACTGGAAACTGCTCTGGAGGGACCCTGCATCGAACTGGATTTCAGAGCATGGAAGGATTGCGCTCGTTGGCGACGCCGCACATCCTCATTTACCAAGTTCTGGTCAGGGTAAGCTACGAGCCCATGTCCCTGTTACTCCTCAATACTCGGTATCAGGAGTGCTATAACTACATTTCGTGCTAATAACTGGTACCATAGGTGCTGCTCAGGCAATCGAAGATGGTGCTGTGCTAGGAGCTGTCCTGGACAGAGCAGGTAAGAAGGACATTTCTCTCGGTCTACGGGCTTATGAGAAGATACGGTGAGCTCCATCTGACCTTAAACGATCAGCAATAGCTGACCAAATCTAGTTTTGTACGCGTAAATCTGACACAGCGAATGGGATGGGAGCTGCGACATCTCTGGCATAACACCGACTGGGAAGCTGCTAAGAAGGATCCGAAGTCCCTGGAATTCAAGCAGCCTTACTGGCTCTTTGGCCATGATCCAGAAGCATATGCGTATGAGGCCTATGATGAAGTGGTTGACTGCCTACAAAGTGGGAGGGAGTTTGTTCCCAAGAATATCCCGGAAGGATATCGTCACAAGCCTTGGACGATGGAGGATATGCTGGTACGGAACGGCGATACTTTCGTGGTCTACAGCTGAATGCATCACAATACGGACAGTCACACATTCCTATTTCAAGACTGTATTTCCTGGCTCAGATACTACTGTTGCCCATAAAGTCGTTCTCTTCGATCAAGAATGGTCTGGTTTCTCGCTACGTACACATGTAGAGACTTATTCTCTATGTATGTTCCATTCCCCAGGCCTGATTAAACCATTAAAAGCGTTCCACAGAAATTGGGGACCATCGCCTCACAGCTTCGGACTTGACGGCAGCTCAAACTCGGCAACACCTGTGAACATTCTGAATCTGTGATACTTGACGAACCTCAAGCCTGCCATCTCGCCAATGTTCTTGATCTCTTCGAACGTTCTTTCTTTCCCACTAAAGAGCTGTTGGCCCCCCAGTTGCTGCATCTGCGTGATCAATGGCCAACCGGACTGTTGTCTTGAGATCTGCTGAGAGGCGGCCTCATTGGCCATGTTCTTCGACGTGATGAGTCTTGGAACGAAGAGCTCATTCACAAAAACTCTTGCTTTCGGATTCTTTTTCAGAGCAGGCTTGAGGTTCGCCAGAACCTTCGCTGCCACATCATCCTCATATTCTCGTCTGGCGAACATAAGTCAGTATCTAGGTCGTCGAGACAGGCACGGGATGTACTCACATGACACCACGTAGCCAGTATGCATCCGCTACTGTCTCCTGCGGAGTGAAGTAATCGTGAACTTCGAGCTTTATTTCTCCGTTGGCCATCTGCTGCTCATGACCTTCGAAAGTCTGCAAGCGTTAGGGTCCTGTGCTAACTAGCAGTCGCATGTCTCATACCTTCTGCATGACTGGGATCATGTGTTCCAACTCTTGACAGATGACATTCATGGTAGGATACGTCTTCTTGACTTCAAGCATGACACTGCCTAGACCAGCTCCAACATCACATATTGTTGAACCGTAACTGTCCCAGGGGAGGTCGGACCGCGTTGCAGCTACCGTGATGGTTGACATCCAAGGGACCCCGACCGTCATGTTTGTCATACAAGTTGCACCTTCCGGAGTGAAGATGTATTCCAGTACCCCTTTCCCAAAGACTTCAGCGAAGGCACCGTCTTTGGCGTCAATACTGTTCATTCGTTTTGGGTCTTTCATCACGGTGAGCCATGCTGGGCCAGCTTTGTACGCATCCTCGGTCCTGGAACAAGTATTCAGATAAGAAGTGGCTGCGCTTCTTGATGGACATACTCTAGCAAACAGCACTCCCGAGCACCATTTCCACTTATCAGCTCTGAGCTATGTCGGTTATTCCGAAACACGTCTTGAGCAATCTCCGAGAAGATGTGACGATGGCTCAATAGACGCATGGTGCATCCTTGAGGTGATCTGTCAGTAATGTTGTCGAAGTCTTCTTGAAAGTACCATCTTTACCAAGTTTATGCTCGCTGGTGCCGCAATCTCGAGCCAGTTGAGCTAAAGTTATCTCTCCACCGTTTCCCGCTATTTTATCGGCAACTTTGAGATCACAGGCGACATCCAATGCCACTGCTGCATTGTTGGAAATACTCTCGTACATCAACTTCAGCTTTCTGGGCATGAGCAGGGCAATGAGTTGCTGGCAGTCAGCCAGCAACATCTGGGAAGCCTCCCAGGCCTCGCGGGGTAGAAGCTCTTCATCGTACTTCCAAGCAGCAGTCTCATACAGAGAAGGTGAGTCTTTGTCGAGAAAATCTTCCAAGTTTTTGCCCTGGACAGCAATATTGCTCAGCAAACTTGATAGCAGCGACATTGTGATTGACGCAGGGTGTTGCAAAGTCGATGGTGGGCTTAGTCAGCGATTGTTGAGTATCCAGAAGAAGAGAGCAGCTCGTTCGATCTGAGGCCAAGGCCAGCGCAGAGAAGTTACTGTCGATGCGTTTGAGACCACGGCTGAGGCTGCCTAGCTGGCCATGTCGTGTCTGCTTGAGCTCTCTGGCTGTCGACTTGACTGCCTGTGATTGGTGATTCCTTTCAAAGCCAGGGTCTAGCCTTTCGGCCTGCTACCGTCGACAGACCCCAACATGCCGGAGTGGGGTTCCGACACTAAGAGTCCGGCCTCTCGACACCCGGTCGGCTGGTCTTTTCCTCCTCCTCGCATGCCGTCGCAGCGATCTGGGCTCTGAATACTGAATGATGCCGACGTTGTACACCGTCCCGGAGATGGAACCTCATCCACCATCTACGGGCAGGTTCTGGCCCTCCACAGATGCGCGGAGGAAGGCTGGGGAAGGTAGGAGCTTAACTCGAAATGGCCGAAAACGGCCATCCTGTCATCAAGGCCTATACCGCCTGTCCCTTGCAGTACCTCGAGCATTTTGCCAAAATTGTAGCACAAATTTTCAAACATTTCCCCTTTCATCATGGTTCGGGCAAGGCAGGGCGCAGGACCGGACGGTGTCGCAAAACCTCGCTCCAGCGGTATCAAAGTCATTATTGTCGGACTCGGGTATTCTGGAGCTGCAGCTGCTATTGAATGTCACCGGAAGGGACATGATGTGGTGGTGTACGAGCAATGGCCGGGCATTTCTCAACTGGGAGACATCATTGGCATCAGCGGCAATGCTGCACAGATAGTCGCGAAATGGGGGGACGGTAGCGTCCATCGCAGGCTGGAACCTTTACTCTCCTACTGGCGAGCAAACAACATCAGAAGATACGACACAGGGGAGATCCTTTATCCGCAGCCGATGGTGGGGTACAATGCTGGCTCTGGATACACTGCTCCTCGAGGACCGATGGCCATTATCATGACGAACCATCTGCGAGATCTTGGTGTGCCTGTCCACTTTGGCAAACGCATCGTCGACTATTTCGAGACCGAGACCGGGGCCGGCATCGTTGTTGATGGTCAAAGAGTTACAGCAGATTGTGTTATAGCGTGCGACGGTGTCCACTCCAAAGCACGCACTTTCGTCGTCGGCCTTGACGATCGACCATATCCTACAGGCTATGCCACGTACAGGGCATGGTTCAGCGCGGATGAAGCGAAGAAGAACCCCAAACTGAAATGGATGTTTGAGGGAGATTGTGATAAGATGGAGACCTATATCGGGCAGGACATGCATTGTATCCTGGGCACTTGCTCTGGGATGAGAGGGGTGGTATGGAACATTACTCACAAAGATGAGTACGACAACGTCGCAGAATCGTGGTCCTTCCCTGGCAAGCATGAGGATGTCCTGGCGTATGTCAAAGGATGGAACGAACGTATTCATGACGTTGTTATGGCGACCCCCAAGTCGCAATTAGTCGATTACAAACTTGTCTGGCGCGATCCGCTTCCGACTTGGGTCTCAAAGCATGCTCGAATTATCCTGATTGGCGACTCTGCGCATCCTTTCCTGCCCACCTCCGCACAAGGGGCAGGTCAGGCCGTCGAGGATGGTGCCACAGTTGCAATTTGTCTCGAGCTTGCCGGCAAGGACAACGTGCCGCTTGCCCTGAAGACCTGCGAAAGACTGAGGTATTTGACAGCCCTCCACTCTCACCTTGTAGTACTGATACTGACGAAACCTTAGGTATGCTCGAGCCTCGCTAGCTCAACAAATTGGAAAAGAAACCCGCGAGATTTGGCACAAGACGGATTTCGAGGAGGCCAAAAAGAACCCACAATCTCTCTCGATGCCACTTCCCCAATGGCTATTTGGCCATGAAGCCCAGAAATACGCCTACGACGAGTTTGGCGCCGCGGCAAGCTCAATCGAGGACGGAACTGAATATACACCAAAGAACATTCCTCCACCGGGACAGAACCATCGCGTATATGATTTCAAGGTTGAGGACGCAAGTCCATGGGTCAAGGGAGAGGTTGCGCCCCGTGCCCGGCTGTAGTATGGATCATGGATGGTGGGCGAACAGCATGCATTGCTTGCGGGTGGACTTCTCTTCTCAGAATACAATTATGGAGCTCTGGCTAGGCATGACAAGTTTATTGTAGAATCTCATCAATTGAAGAAAACAATGTCGAACTTGAGTTGCGTCAAATCAGTAGCTAGACAGGTCGGACAGGTCTGGTTTAGGGCTAGTAGGCTCGAGCAGCACCCCGGGCTCACTAACTGGCCAGTTAAGCCATGATGGGCCCATCATGGCCACTAGGCGGTCCTCCAGGCTGGCACACTATACCAGCATAGCTGAATCAACCCACTAAACCCACCATTTCAACCCCGCAGTCTGCCTGTCACTTTCCTTAAGTATCGTAAGTATGGCTTGGCCAACGCAAGTAGCGCCCACGGACTCTTCAAGTTGCTCCTGCCTCGGTCGCCACACAACCACCTCTTCTTACAACGACATGTCCTCCAATCTTGACCATATAAATGGAGTATCCCTATTCTCAACTCTATGATGGCGGCGTGGACCGTCTGCGGTCCGGACAGGCTTGTCTCACCTGTAGGAAGCGCAAGAACAAATGCGACGGCTCCCGTCCGGCATGCGCTTTCTGCAACAAGAAAGGCTTGAGATGCATTTACAGTAATGCTGGAAAGCACACTGCCATCGACCGAGGGTAAGCGCCGCATGCATATAAACACACAGACAACTCTAAGGGATCATGTGATGCTGCAGATATGTTGAAACGCTGGAAACAACGGTCCGCTTGCTCGAACAAGAACTCCGAAAAGCTGGAGGACAGTCAAGCGTGGATGTTCTCACAATCCGTCCACAAAATGATGAAGCGCTGGTTCAGGACTTCCATCGCCAAAACCCCCAACCGCGGGCAAGGCCGACTCGAGTAGAAACTGCACAACCCATTGCGCCCGATGTCGACAGAACGTCACTCGAGAAAGATCACGATCTCATTAAGATCATCAAATACGGTAAGTGTGAACAGGTCGGTTCGTGACTCGACGCTCACGAGGACAATAGGAGAGGTCTCAATCCATTCAGCACTGGCAGACTTTGGCGTGGCTCCCTCGGGGACGTCGCCCTCGGATACCACTACAGAAATGCCAAACAGCGATATGTCCTTCAGGGATGCCGACGCGGACATAAGGGAGGAGAACTTCCCTTTAGACGACAACAGCTTTGCTCTGCCACCTCGGACGCTTGCCTATCGCCTGGTCGACCTGTTCTTTGACAACGTGGCTCCAATTCTACCTCTTGTGCATGAACCAACCTTCCGAAAAGATTTGGATGCATTGTACGAGCACGATAAATCAGGAAGCATAGCATTCCGCAGTCTGATCAACGTTGTATTTGCCTATGGCTGTGACTACCTCGATCTGGAATTGACACGGACTTACGAACTGTCCCAAGACTTTCACGAGCGAGCAACAGACCTCATCCTCTTGGTTTGCTACGAGTTGGCATCACTCGAGGTCGTACAGGCCCTTCTCCTTGTGACTTTGCATCTCAACAGCAGCATGCAATTTCATCGTATGTGGATAAATACAGGCTTGCTGGTAAGAACTGCTCAGGCATTGAACCTACACCTCGATCCTTCGGACTGGAATATCAGCATGATCGAAAAGGAACTCCGCAAGCGACTTTGGTGGTCAATCTACTCGCTTGACAGGTGACGTGCCATACCAGACGGAACGGAAATTTCAGCTAATGATTTCTAGGTTCATCTCACTCAAGCATTGCCGTCCACCAGCTTTGAACATTGAGGCGGGCCATTCAGTCACACCTGCAGTGGCGGACGACGATCAAATATTACCCACACATATCGCAAAGTCCACCGATCCCAAGCGACCGCCTTCCCAACTACATTTCTTCAATTGTCTAATGCAGCTCATTCAGATATCCGAGACGGCGCTCTCGTCCAAATCTGCAAATAATCCATGGGTGCTGCCCAAGAAGAAGGATAATAACCTCACGAAGACTGATCCGCGGAACGTCATCTACACCCAAATGGCGGTCGCTCTTGACCAGGAAAGCAAGCTGGCCGTCTGGCTCGAACAGCTTCCAGAACATCTCCATTTCGATTTCGAAAATACTGATCCAAAACTTCGGAGACAGCAACGGAGTCTCCAGGCTCGTTATCTCCATACCAGACTGATGATTCATAGGATGAACATGCTAGCAGCTGCTGGACCCGGCAAAGGACAGGTTCTCACTCAATTCAACGATAGCTTCTTGCAATCCATATTGACCGCTAGCATTCAGCAATGCATTGACTGCTCTTGCGAGCTGGCAAGCCTTGTTAAGGAATACTATGTACAGAACAGCCTGGGTCCATGGTGGCTGCTTCTTCAATGTAAGCGTCCCGGACCATCTTTTGCTGCCCGCTAAGCTAAGAAAAATTGACACAGTCATATTTACCACACTTGCGACCCTCTTTGCAGTCCGGGCGAGGAGTCATTTGGTGCAGGATCTTGACGACAATAAGATTGGGAATGCCATCAACCAGGCAATGAGTCTTTTGCAATCTTTCGGCGACATCAACCCAACGTTGACTCAATGTCGTCGATATTTCGAGTCCATGATGCCATGGGCCATGGATCGGAGTGGAAATTTGGGTTCGCAGAATTTGCGCGCATCTAGACCACCTATTGAAATTCCTTTCCAACAACCGCCATTCGCTCATCCAAGAATGGTCACTCAAGCAATGCAGCAGAGACCGAGCTCCTCGGTGCCCAGTTCGATGGAGTTCCAAGCCCGCGACGTGAGCCTGTTCAATATGGATCAGGCAATGACAGACTATTCCGCAGAACTCTTCTCCGACTCGACATTCGGCAGCTTCAACTTTGGAGCATTGGATCCTATTTTCCAGTTGTGAATGCAAGCAAAGGCGCCTGTATTTTGCTGGTCACTTTTCAATTGGAGGGCGAGAAGGTAGAGACTTTCGAGCAGAAACCAGGCGATCCCACTCGCGTCGCCGGGTCTTGCTTTCGCGGGGAATCTCATAGCACGTGGGGCAAGAATGGACAAGCATAGACTGGACTGGACTCGGCATGGTTCCCCCACATTTTCGGTCTCGGTCCTGGTGAGATGCGTAAGGTCTAACTCCATCGACAACGCGGCGTCAACCTGTCGCGAATCACAAAGAGTCATCTTATCGTCCTCAGTGACTTTCACAAAAGCCGTCACTCTGGAGATTGCATCGTCAAGCACTCAACATCTTTACCGCCCACCTCCACCTGCTGAACAACATGGCTGGGCAAGACCTACCCCAAACGATGAAAGCATATGTCCTCGAGCAGTTCAAGACACCATACGCATTTCGCGATGTTCCGGTACCCGCGATCGAAGATCCTCGGGACATACTCATTCGTGTTGACGCGGCTTCGTACTGCCACACCGATGCTGTACTGGCATCAGGCGACATGCGCCCGCCGCCTCTTCCACTGATAGGAGGTCACGAGTTTGCAGGAACCATCGTCGCACTGCCTTCGGAATACTCGCCTTCTCGTAACTTGAAGGTCGGTGACCGCGTCGCCGTGCCTGGACGAGGGCACCATGTCTGCGGGAAATGCCTGGAGTGTCAGCACCCATCGGGTTCGGATCCCGATGAGCCAGGATACTCCGTGTACTGCCCTTATGCGGGCGGCGGCCTCGGCATCGGCAAAGACGGTGGCTTTCGGGAGTATGCACTTGTCGATTCGAGACAGGTAGAGACGATCCCAGACAGCATGACGGCCGTGGAAATCGCGCCACTGATGTGTGCGGGACTGACCATTTACTCGGCACTGAAGAAGTGCGAACTCCAACCTGGACAAAGAGTCGGCATCATGGGATGTGGAGGAGGGCTCGGGCATTTGGGCTTGCAGTTTGCCACCAAGATGGGCTTGAAGACCACCGGCGTTGATGTCGCGCCCCGGGCGCTTGAGCTCGCTCGCAGTCTAGAGACCGGCGCGGACATTGTCGATGCCTCGAAGGAGACCGCGGAAACTGTCAGGCAGAAGATGGGCAAGGAGGATGGAAGAGAGCATATCTCTGAGATGGGACTTGATGCGGTCTTGATCTTACCGGAAAGTCAGAAGTCGTTCAACTACGGCGTAGACCTGGTCAGGAATGGCGGTCTTGTCGTAGTCGTCTCGTTCCCGGCTGAAGGATTCCAAGTCTCGGCGGCAGATCTGGTCTTTCGGCGCATAAGAGTGGAGGGCAGTCTGATTGGTTCGAACAGGGCTATGAGGGATATGTTCGCATTCTGTGTCGAACATGGTGTCAGGGCTAAGGTCAAGACGTACCCCTTCTCGAAGCTCAATGAGCTTGTGGAAGACTACCATTCTGGCACGGTGGGGAAACTGGTCCTTGATATGTCAATGAAGAACTGAATTGCAGTTACCTTACTAATTACTAAGTCATGCCAAATATGGTCGTGCCTTAGGGGCCTGCTCAAGTAAGTGTAGGTGTATTTCTGGACTTTGTCATAATATAGTACTAGTAGTAGCCAAAGTCTAGGTTCTAGCATCTATGGCCCCATTCTTTTCACAAAATCCAAAAATGCAGCTATACAGTCATCTGCCGCTTCGATGTAAATCTCATGACCCGGCCCATCCACTTCGACCAACTTGCAATTGCTGCCGATCTGCTGTTGAATCTCCTTCTGCGCGGCGATGGTGGTGGCAGCACTCCTTGTGGGAGCCAAGATCAGCATGGGAACTCTGATCTGATCCAGAATCGGCCTGGAATCGATCGTGCATAGGAACTCTGCATAACTCGCCAACCCTTCGCCGCTGCTGACCGAGACCTGGTCGAGCCACCACTTCCGATATGCCGGGTCATTCGAGGCCATGGTCCCCGGACGTTCCGAGAGTGCCTGCGCCCAGCCCCGAGAGCCCAAGCGACGGCACGCTTCAGGCCATGATAACGCCGAGGACGTCTGGTTCTGGTTCTGGTCCTGGTCCAGGTCCTGGTCCAGGCCTTTGGTGGCCTTGATGCCCATGGCCAGGAAATCCTGCGTGGCCTGGGGGAGGTGCGTGGGACTCGAGCATACGGTCAAACTGAGCAGGCGTTCTGGATGTCGGGCGGCGAAGATCTCGCCGAGGATTCCGGACGTGCTTTCGCCGAAGAAGTGAACCTTTTGGAGGTTGAGTTGGTCGAGCGTGTCCAGGATCTCGGACAGGATGGTGTCGAGTGTGTAGGCGTCTGGCTTCTGCCGGATCGAGGGGGCGCTGGACAGGCCGTGGCCGCGCAGGTCGCGCCGGATGACGCGGTAGTGCCGAGACAAGGCGGGCACCCAGTGGTAGAAGAAGGCTGAGTGTCGGGCGAAGCCGCCTTGCAGGAGGACCGTTTCTGTGTCGTGTGGCTTCCAGGGGTCGGCGTGGCAGTCGGCGATGTAGTGTGTCGTTTCGCCGGACGGGTGAGTGATGAATTGGCTGTGCGGGTCCATGATTCGGGTTTCTGGTTTTTGTTTGGGGTAGGTGTTGAGATCAGAAAGCGAGCAGGGTGGAGGGTGGCAGGGTGGGTGGTATTGGTTTGATCGATATTCACAATTGTGGTGGCCTCGCGACAAGGTCAATGGAGCATGATCAAGATTCGTGACATAGCAGTTATACCGTATATGCCATCTGCTCGAACACCTGAGCTGATTCTGCCTTCTAACGTTAGACCCTCGAGCCAGGAACCTTCCCAAGGATCTGAATCTCTGGAGTTGCTGGGGTGAAGTCGTCGGATTATGTGGGGTAAACATCTCCACGCTCCCACATTTTTATTTTTCAGGGACAGCCGAGGATCATGCCGTTCCATGATGGCAGAATAGTCGAGGGCGACAATCGTGTGTGAGTTGCTTTGTGGACTATTGCTTTTCCCCTATCGATAGAGCCGACTGGAATGCCTCCCTGACGGCTTCGCTTACAAAGGAAATCAACGTCTCATCCGTAGAGCCGTGTAACATCCAGGTGGCATCATGAGCAAGACACACCTTTGCGCCGTATGCACCTTCAAATGCTTTGATCCGCTTTAGCGTGTCCTTGGCTGCTGGTATGTCTGCCTGTAAGCAAGCCTTGTGCCCACCTGGCAGAGTGAACACAGCGAAATCGCCGAGACCCTCGTAAATTTGCCTGGATTCTGGTCAGCAAAACATATCTTCCACGTTTGGTAGTTGTTTCCAACCTTGCATGACAGCAGTCCCCGGCCATGATGACCCAGATACCCGTAGACAGCCTCGCGGCTGCTATGAGGTTGCCCGGCATATGTCCCGGAGCCTGTATCACCCAGAAACTGCCATTTCCGAAGAAGTCCATGGCGTGCTCGAATGGTCCGAATGGGACCCACGGTCCTTGGAGCTCCTGGCATTTTTCAAGTCCTGCAGGAACATCGAAGATCCTACCATCCCACTGAGCAGACGGATCTTTCAGATGTCCAGGCTGACAGTGCTCAAATGTCCCAGGACCAAAGAAGGCCGTAGCTCGGGAAAAGTCTTTCCAGAATGGCCGACAATGGTCCCAGTGCGCATGGCTCGTTCCATCAGCGTTGTGCTACTGGAGCTGGAAGCGTTCATACCTGAAGATGATGGTGCCAAGTTCGTCCAATGCCAGAGCGTTACGTTCGACGATCTGTTGAGCTACTGATTTTGGCGGAGAGCATGGCCGCAGCTCACCGAACAAGTTCTGTTGGACAAATGGTGTAAATTCTTCCTTGTCCTGAGCAAACCCAAAGTCAGCATTGTCAATTTGGATGATATATTTTAGAGGTGAATACTTCGGAGAGCCCATAGTCCCAGAGCAATTGGCGACCGGATTCATGGTCCTTTACAAAGAATGCCCAGTCAGGAACGCAATGCTCCTTGTCCTTCGCTCCCTCAACGACCTTGCTCTCATTCGCTGTAAAGCTTCCACCGTCCAGTATTTGCAGATCGACATGTGCGCTCGTGTGAGGTAGAGGAAGACACTGCATCTCGAGACCGGATTCTGTGTCGCTAGAAATGAGATTTGAGAGCGAGTTGACCATGTCAATTGGCCCTTCTGAGACGACGCCGAGAAACCGTAAAACGGGAAGCGATGCCGGAAGCTTGGAGATGCGTCAAAGGCATTTGCAGACCATTTTGGAGTGTACAAACCCCTTCAAACACCATTACCGTGGAGCAGGCTGATGGGAGCAGGCTCCAAAAGACCAAAATGTGGGGGGCAGTGCTGCTCCCGATTAAGCGACCCCAGATCGAAGGTGCGCCACACCAGCGACGTCCAACCTGGCCTGCCACTGAATTAATTGACACAATGGCTTGACTCTTTTCGGTAGCAGTCGTGCAGTATTACTCGGATCTCGTTACATTCTTGAGAAGTGTTGGGCCAGTAGTCCTTTCAGCAGTATCAGCCGGGAAGACATCATGGACGGAAATTATGCTTTCGTAGGTACGTGCAATGGCTTTTCTGTCGCTCGCCGGGCCAGCAATGACACATACTAGGTCTCGGTGCCATGGGATTCGCAATGGCAGGCAACATTCGAAAGAAAATGTCTTCAAAGTCGACGCTGTACATCTATGATGTACATCGTCCGTCGTGCGAACGATTCGTCTCTGAGTACAATGGGGCAGGGCCTATTGAGATCAGTCAGTCTGTCAAGGACGCGGCATCCGATTCGAAAGTTGTCATCTCAATTGTACCGACGGCCGACAACGTCCGTCAAGTCTACCTGGATCAGCAAAGTGGCCTGATCGCAGCGCCAGCTGATGCGGACCGTTTGATTCTGGAGTGCAGCACCATAGATTCGGCTTCAACGCGAAAAGTTGGAGAGGCGCTGAGATCATCTGGACATGGTCACTATGTCGATTCCCCCGTCTCGGTGAGTTTGCCCGAGCCATCATTGTCCCTCCGGGCGTTGACTAGATAGGGTGGCGTCCCCGCAGCAGAAGCAGGCACACTTTCGTTCATGATAGGAAGTAAGGGGCCATCAGAAGAAGATACAGCGGAGATTATGGCCGCCCGTATCAACGACGTCTTAGTCATGATGGGTCAGCCAAAGAAATTCTTCTGGTGTGGCAAACTGGGAGCAGGCCTTGCAGCCAAGATCAGCAACAATTATATCTCCTGCACTTTCCTGTTGGTGATAGCGGAGGCTATGGCCATGGGCATCAGGAACGGAATCGAACCGAAATTGCTGCAGGATGTCATTCACAATTCTTCGGGACAAAGTTTCATGGGAGACCACGTCAACCCTGTTCCAGGGGTAGTACCACATGCACCGAGCAGTAACAACTGGAGGTTGGGATTCAAGACTCAGATGATGATCAAAGACATCGGGCTAGGTGTAGATGCGGCGAAGCAGGTTGGCATTCAACCGACTATGGCCGAGGCAGCGATTGAGGTGTGGAAGAAGGCTGCTGAGGATCCAAGGTGTGTCGATCGAGACGGTTCTTCGATATGGCTACACATCAATGATATTCGGGACGAATGAACCTGTGCGTCGCGTATCACTCTCGCAACGATGGTTTCGGGGTCTGGGACAGCAATTGATGATGACTCCTTAGAGTCACCACGTTCAAGCACAAGGCATGCCACGGAGAATTGCAGGCGATACCCAAGAATGAGACCAGAGAAACGGGCCAGCAATAGATCAAATCCAATTCGGTACACAGTATCCGTAGACTCGAGTAGACCGACTGACCGCATGAAAGTGAACTGTTGGTGTGGTCCAGCCATTAGTTAGGCAGGGTACGGAGATGGTTTCCACATATTGAATTTTCTCTGCCATTGAAGTACAGCAGGCGGAGCGTCTGGTCGAATGTTTCAGTTCGCATCCGAGGGCTTAGGCAAAGCACAAATAACATATATCATGCGATCTGGGGCTGTAACATGTCGATCTTGAGACCGTTAGGGCCTGGATTCCGCGTCTATCTGCGCTCGAGACGAAAACAGGAGGTCAGCACGAGGCGAGGAGGAGACTTTCGGCGTCCGTGCTAGGATGACGGCTGCGAGATGACTGCGTACAACTTGCTCCCTAGGTTTGGTACACGGGACACTTATGCGCATGCTGCGGCCTTGAGAAGTTGCCGGTGCCGAAGGACGTGTGTCATGGAGTCAGAGATCACAGAGATGAGTGTTAAGTGTTGAAACCAATAGCAGCCTTGTAGGAGATTATTCAAGATTATTGGCTGTCACGTGGCGCTCTCGCAGTTTTGAGCCAGCTACGCTTTTGGGTTTAGCGGCTCGGCAGCTGCTAATTTTGGTTCAGGCTTCCACTTCCACTTCCACTACGCAGGTTTCTTCATATCAGGACTCAGCCGCATTGATCATACTCCGTATTCGTGACACCACCTGGTGGATGCAATACAGTTACAAACAGTGTGCTGGTGCGCAGGATCCTCGGAGATGCTGGGCACCTGGCAAATGATGAACGGTCAGAAACCAAAACAGCATTAACTGGGGTCGATCGAGGTCACTGTGCCACCATGATTCCTCCACGCTCACTCTGTCCATATTGATTCAAGGCTCAAGGCCTACGAGTATAACAAGGCCCGAAAGGTATCAATCTCCTATTTTGTCCCCAGTCTCTCTTTCTTTTCACCACCACTATGGCTACAGTATATCCTTCTTTCATTCCCTCGCTTTCGAACTCAACTTCTTACGTATCCCATTCGGCTTGGGCTGGAGACAACGTTCTTGTGAAATACAGATGGACCGTCCTTGCATTACTTCTCATCACTCCCGGTTTCATCGGGTTCCTTCAATATCTGTTGTTCAAGGACAAGCCTCCCAAGGGCCTAAAACTTGTGCCTGGCCCTCCCAGCACCATTCCTTACATCGGTCGGGTTGATATCGACGCCAAAGCGCCATGGAACTCGATGCGAAAATGGGCCGACGAGTACGACGGCCTTTTCAGACTGACAACCTGTGGCGAAATGCACATCTGGCTGGGGAAAGGCGAGATCGCTCAGGAGCTCTTTTGCAAACGAGCATCTCGTTATTCCTCCCGTCCAGAAGTCGCGGCTGTCCCTGGCAGTCATAATCAAGCACAATATCTGCCATTGATGGAGTACGGAGGTAAGTCTGCTGATCCACCACTGAGAGATGTAGGCTGACACCGACAAGACCATTGGCGCATGCAAAGGAAATTCGCGCACACCTCATTGAACGTCGCCTACAACACCCAATATTACGGCTATATTCCCTTGGAAGCGAAACGCTTCTTGTACAACCTTGTCAAAGATCCTCTTGATCACTTCTCTCAAACCGATCGCTTTTGCGGACGCATTTCAGCAAGATTGTGCTATGGATCCCCAAATTCGGCAGCAGCCCATTGCAAGAACGCCGCCGAGTTCATTCCTCAGATCTCTCCTTCCGCAAGCGGGCCCCTCACCAATATCTTTCCTTTCCTCGGCGTCCTTCCCGAATGGATCAACACGTCCAAGAAGGCTTGCAGACAAAGAAGAGAACGAGAAGAGCGACTGTGGAAAGGTCTGATGGCAGAAGTGCGCAACGAGATCGAGGCCGGCAAAGCTGAGGTTTCGTTCGCACGGTCGTACTTCGAGCGAAGAGAAGCAGCTGGTGGAGGTGATGGCAGAGACTTTGGCTTCGATGAACATGAAGCTGCCTATGCAGTTGGCATGCTGTGCACCGTCGCCATCTTCACCATTGGGGGACCACTGTACTGCTTCTTCCTGACGATGGTCCTTCATCCGGAATGGCAAGAGAAAGCCCGTGCCGAGATCGATGCGGTGGTCGGCAGTGACCGAATTGTCGAACTACGCGACTCTCCCAACCTGCCTATCCTACGAGCATGCATCAAGGAAACTATACGCTGGGGCCCACCTGTTCCACTGGGTGTTCCGCGACTGGTGACCGAGGATGATGACTACGAAGGCTACTTTATTCCGAAAGGAGCTGTTGTGCATGCCGTTGACATATCGATGGCCCGCAACCCGGCCGAATATCCGGATCCCGAGGTTTACAATCCTGGCCGCTGGCTTGAGCCGGAGTATCCAACTTACCAGGAACCTCTTACGGTCTACCCTCGTTTACTCGGTTTTCACGGATTTGGTCGTGGTCGGCGGATGTGTCCTGGAATCGAGCTCACCGAGGCGGAGTTGTTGGTTGCTTGTGGCTCTCTTCTATGGGCATTCACGATGAAGCCTAACACTGGCATGGACGGGCAGCCACAGTGGCCTGATCCTAAGGCCCGGACGAGTAATGTCATTGGAGGTCCGTTGCCCTTCAAATTCGACTTGAAGGTTAGGAATGAGCAAAGGAGGGCTAAGATTGAGGCGCTGTATGAGCTTGACAGGCACTTGTTGGAGTAGAGGTGTTTGGAATAGTCTGACGCATGCAGTACGGCGTCTGTACAGCGTCTTTTACTGCTATCTGTATCGGCAGAGCACTAATCAAATTATCGGAAGAGCATTACTCAGTACTCAGCAAGTTACTCCGTACGTACCTTGGTAATTGAAACACCGTCGTGATTATGTACGCTAGGGTCTGTCGTTGCCGTGGGAACAGAGCCCGGTCCAAAACGGGAACAATGCGTACAGCAAGTGCCAAGACATAGTCACCAACTGCGGAGGATTGAATGGGCTGGCCACCGCAACACGACCGTGACCGCGTTCTTGACCTACGAAGACCTCAGATGTTCGCATCCCAAGCACTTTGCAACATGGAAAGCTCAAACAAGATGCCGTCACAGACTTCGCTCTTCCAAGTCTACTTGCGCTTGCGACCACCTATTCAACCTCAGCAGCCGAAGCAGAAATGTGAACCATGGCTCATTGTCGAACCTGCAGTTCGCCAGTCCGAAGACGCAGACAATTCTTTCCCTACGCACATCACCCTTCAGCCTCCAAATGACTCGAGGAAGCGTGCCATAGAGAGGTTCGGTTTCACCAAGATCTTTGAAGAAGAGGCGTCGCAACTTGCTGTGTTTGAGGAGACAGGAGCGGCAGAAACAATCAGAAGCATGTTACAGTCTGGAAGAGACGGCCTTATTGCCACACTCGGAGTCACTGGGAGTGGGAAGGTGATACACATTGCGATGCTACAGTGATCATGGCTGATTTGTGGCAGAGCCATACCATTCTCGGATCGAAGTCTCAGCGAGGCCTGACGCAGATGACGCTCGACGTGCTCTTCAGATCAATTGGCGCGAACATTCGACGACCACATCACCCAGACCTTCCCACAGACACGATGCTGCTATCGTCTCTTCAGGCCTCGGACGTTTCCGAAGCGCAGATTCTGTCAGCAACAACCTTTTTAGAGTCGATTTATGGCGATAGCGACAGAGGAAGGCTATCAAGAGCCCAGACACCCATGTCAAGAGCACAAACACCCATGATGGTAGGCGATCACAAATCCGAGCTTCCCGGCTCTTTTCCCATTTCACCATTGCATGCTACATCCACATCAACCCGACCATCCGTGGTGCATTTTGTCCCAGACCACTTTACGCCAAATCAAACTAGCATTCGGATGTGCCCCGATGTCCCAGAGTCCGGTTCTTCACCCGAGAAGGAACCATGGCAGCCCCCTTCTAAGCTCCCATTCATGACCCGTTTGAAAAACTTGCGAAGCTCCCCTGCTAAAGTTCAAATTGTGAAGGACTCCCACACTGTTCGAAGACCACTCTTACCCCGACCGAGTACATTCCCACAACTACCAGACGTCTCGTCATATTCGATTGAAATTGAGCCTCAAGCAGAGTATGTGGTTCTTGTTTCAATGTATGAGGTGTACAACGATCGTATTTTCGACCTCCTTTCCTCCCTCACATCCTCCACTGCTCCAGCGATGTCCACAAGACAAGGAGCAGCTTTACAGAAGGGTCTTCTCCGACGGCCATTGTTGTTCAAGAACACGGAGACGTCACCGGACCGAAAGGTGGTGGCAGGACTTCGCAAAATCATATGTGGCAGCTATGACGAAGCAATGTTAGTACTCGAGACAGGTCTCACCGAAAGAAGAGTTGCAGGAACAGGCAGCAACAGTGTCAGCTCGAGAAGTCATGGCTTCTTCTGCATTGAGGTCAAGAAGAAGACTCAGATGCAAGGACATGCTGCCTATGTGATGCCGGCATGGACTGGCGGCGCCATGTCCATCGTTGACCTTGCGGGATCTGAACGTGCCAGGAATGCCAAAACCACCGGATCGACCCTTGCCGAAGCTGGAAAGATCAACGAAAGTTTGATGTACCTGGGTCAGTGCTTGCAAGTTCAGAGCGACTGTCAGCAAGAGGGCAGCAAACCAATTGTGCCGTTTAGACAATGCAAGCTGACCGAGCTGCTGTTCTCAAATTCGTTCCCCTCATCAAGCCATCCTAGCACCTATCGTCCACCACAAAAGGCGGTCATGATAGTGACAGCCGATCCTTCAGGAGACTTCAATGCAACCAGTCAGATCTTGAGATATTCCGCCTTGGCTCGCGAAGTGACGGTCCCAAGAGTACCGAGTGTGACGAGCGCGATCCTCGGCGCTCCCGGCCACGGGAAGGGAACTCACAGTGGTCGGACTACGCCGCACGAGATTCACAATAGTTACTTCAGTGCTCAAGAATTGGAGCAGGCAACAAACGAAGCCACCAGACTTGCAGAGGAGTGCGATGCATTGGCGATCAGAGTGGCCGAGGAAGAGATCAAAAGAACCGAGGCAGAACTGAAGCTACAGGCAGCAGAGGAGAAACTGGTGGCTATGGAACAGGAAGTGCGAGAGGAATGCTGGACAGAAATGGAGCAGCACTTGGAAGACGAGAAAGAGAGATGGAGACAGGCTTGGGAGAAGGAGAAGGTCCAAACTGAGACGTTCGTGGATGGCAAGCTGGAGATTCTGGAAAAGACCACAAAGATCACCATCCACGAAGACGTCTCAAATGGGAGAGTCGAGGAACTCGAAAGAGAAAACGACTCGCTTCGAGCCAAACTTCGAGCATTGGAGCAAGAAATGCAGACGAGAAGTCCGACGAAGAAGTCTCGTGCAATAGCGACATCACCTGTCAGAGGATTGATTTTGCAAGAGACGTCGAACAGCAATATTGCGACGAATCCGTTCTTGGCTTCGTTGAGAGCTCGGGACAGCGAGGCGACGATCAAGCCGAAATCCAGCGAGGACGATTTGCGAGTGTCTGAGATATCGCCCAAGAAACTGTCATTGAGGAGTTCGAGTGTTACGCGTGCAACGGCGGAAGCGCAGCCACCTGCCACAGTGAAGAAACAGCGCAAATTGACGACGAGAAAATGGGATTTGGGCGACCCTGAGGGTTTTTGAGCGAGTCGCTTTGCTCTCGGGTCGTGTGTGAATGTCTGTCTGATGCAAATATCAACTGAAATGCATAGCGTTGGATGAAGATGTTTGGGTGTTGGGTGTCTTGGTGTTGGGTGTCTTGGTAGACTCTGCGATTGTGACGGGGTTTTGTAGTGGATCTCATAGGATGTCAATGATCCAATCTTTCGACCTGGTGCAGATCTCGCTTAAGACTTGTCGTCGTGAAGCTCTCGTCTGCAAACCTTCGCATAGAAGAGCGCAAGGAATATGGGGACCTGAGCAATACTTTCTTGACAGAGCCTCATCGTGCCGGTTGAATCACGGATCTTGATGACGTGGATCAAGCATGATGAGATGGACCGTGAAACCAACCACCGGGATTTATGGACTTCGGGTCGGGAAGTTGCGTGGTGGAACTGGACTACTGTACAGTACCTGGTAGGTAGCGAATAGGTGTGAGAGTATGCTACTCTAGGTGCTACTCTAGGTGCTACTCCGTACTGAGTAAAAGAAAAGTGGCATGCATCTGACGTGGCTGGGGATTCGGCTGCAGATGATCCATCACCTCACACACCTCAATCCTCTCCTCCCACCTTCCTGCGCTTCTATCTTTCTCTCTCTCTCTCTCTCACACACACATTTCCTGCGTCGCAAGAGTCGTCGGCCAAGATAGTCTTCGTATTCTTGTGAATCATCATTTCGAGTCTTTCGTTTTCCAAATCTTACAAGCTCTATACCTTTTGCCCTCGGCATATCCCTTGCCTGCGATTCTCCATTTATCGACGCACCTACCTCTTCAAAAGTACAAAAGCACAGATCAAAAAGAAAGAGACGCAAGAGTTGCATATTCCACGTATAAAGACCAAGAGAGAAGAGCACGGGCTTGTCTGGAATACTGCCCAAAGTACGGTGCTCGCCATGGCACCGACCATCGCTGCCCGCATCGCCTCGAGCGAGCACCTCAAGACGGTCATTTCTCGCACGACATCCTCCGTCTTCAGATCACTCTCCGTTCGAGACTCGTCTTCGTCACCCACACCACTAGCTTCTGTGTTCGCTCTGATCATCCGCGGCTCCATAAGCCTATCCACCCGCGGCCTTTCGGGCTTTCCCAATGCAGCAGCAGCAGCAGCAGCAGCAGCAGCAGATCGTACAACACCTCGATCGCAGCTTGTCGAACCTATATTCCTACACCCGCGCGGCGATACCCTCGCCAAGCGACAACAGAATGTCATCCTCGCCATCCCCACAACCTACGCGGGCTTGAACTCGGGCCCTGCTCCCGGCGCGCTTGTGGGTATCGTCCTGGGCTCGATCGCCGGCTTCATTCTCATTCTCTACATCATTCTCAGCGCCTTCCGCTTCGGCGCCTTTGGCAACAGGCAGACCGTGGTCGAAGAGGAAGTCGTTCGGCACCATCATCATCAGACCAGACGGAGTCGTAGCCGATCTCGGGCCATGACGGAGGCGAGTCACCATTCGCCGAGACGCGAGCGGGTGACCAGGCAGCGCGAAGAAACGGTCGTGGTGGAAGAGCACGTCGAGCCGAGTCTCAGCGCCGAGGATGATATCGTCGAAGTCATTGAGGAGCATAGCCCGGAGAGGAGGCCCCCAAAACGAGAGTCCACGAGGCGGAGTGGTTATAGGACGGTCGATCCGGCAGAATTGGGAGGCGGGAATAGACCGATTAGGAAGGTCAGTAGGCGGTGAAAGGATTATCAAGGCCTCGATGGTCTGGTAGGAGAGTCCAAGGGTTAGGTTTTGTGGAGGAGGATATATGTGTTCTGTGTCTGTTTTTCTTTTGAGCGAAGGAGTTGGGGAGAATCTTGACATTACCAAATATGTGCTTCATCTAGTGATGTGAGGAGATATGTATCACCGTCGTCCAGTGTGAATGGTACAAGGAAATACTGCGTATTGCAAGAATGAATACTAGTATCTATCTACAATCTATCTATCTGCAACCTAAGTCCCGGCTTGAGAATTTGTTTCCTTTGCTTTTTTTCTTTTTGGACTGTAGCTCCTCGTGGCGAGCGTGTCTCGAGTGGTATCAGTGATAAGGCGGCTATGTACTCCGTACGGTGTATGGAGTACGGAGTCAAGATGTCCAACCCTGATACCTGATATTTACAGGTATCAATTGCTCGAGGGAAATCGGGGAAGGGTCTACTCCGTACTGGTACATGATTTATGTGGGCTCCTGAATTCCTCATTTCCGTGTGATCGTGGCGTAAGGGAGTCCGTTACTTTGCGAATGGAGGCCTCCTGTGACGGGAGGGCAGGTCAGGGATAGGGTAGGGCAGGGCAAGTCTTTCGCCTGGTGCCTGGAGCAGCAGCAGCAGCAGCAGTGTTCGAGACCGGATGCATAGCGTCCTACTTTCCCCCGTCCCTCAGGTCTGGCAGTTCTAGTCTTCCAGTGTTGTCACGGGTAATCCGTATGCGCATCCGTATTCGCATCCGCTGTAGTATCTCTGTTTGGAGACACCAGGCTGAAGTAGGGAGCAAGGTAAGGTATCCAATTGAAACCTCCAGCTCAGTTAGTCCGGCGTTTCCTTTTGGGGGCTTGACCGTGTGTGGTGCCATATTGTGAGTGGGAGGCTGGGAATAGGAACGATCAGTTCTGGTCGGGAGTTAGTCTGCAGGTGGTGAACGGGCCTTAGTACGCGAAGCACACATATTACACATCCGCCAGAAAAGGAGTGACAACCTACCTTACTGCGAGGCTTATCCTTGCGACCGGATTGTCAGCCTTGCACCCCGTGTCCCCTATTCAAACGTCTTAGTAGCCTTGACTCCCAACAGCGCCTCGGCATTCTTGTGCGCAATCATCTCCAGCTCCTCCTCCGTAACAAGGCCACTCTTCTGCAAGTCGCTCATGAACTCCAAACCATCCTCGTTCCTGGCGAATGGATAGTCGACGCTATACAAAATATGACCGACTTTCGTGTTCCGCAGTATCGTCGCCATCGGATCGACGCTCCAGTTCCCACTGGTGGTGATCCAGATGTTCGTGTCCCACACCTCCTTGAAGGGCCGTTGATGCTTGGCCCAGCGCGGCGAGAGCTGCACGATCCTGGCCAACATGAACGGGAGCATCTCGCCCATGTGACCGATGATGATTTTGAGGGTGGGTAGTTTGTCGAACAGCCCGCTCGCGACAAGGCGCAGGACGTGCGTTGCGACGTCCGAGTGCCAGCCAAAGCCACTGGCGGAGATGGATTTGGATGCGGAGGTGGGGAAGTTGCCGGTATAGCAGGTCGAGAGTTGGGTTTCCGTGGGCCATGTCGGGTGCAAGTAGATCGGGACGTCGAGTTGAGCGGCGGCGGACCATAGCGGGAAGTAGTCGTCGCCGTCGAAGTAGGTGCCCTGGGCCGTGTGGTTGTCAATCAGGGCGCCGACGAAGCGTAGCTCCTTGATGCAGCGGGTTAGTTCGGACGCGCAGGCCGAAGGGTCGGAGACGGGAAGGACGGCGAAGCCCGCGAATCGTTTGGGCTGCTGGGTCTGGTGTTGTTGGTGTTGGATGGCGGAGTGGAGTTGGTCGTTTGCTTTGCGGCATTCCTGGGGTGTGAGGGAGCCTGGTGCGTGTGATATGATCTGGAAAGAGACCTGGCCGGCGTCCATGGATGAGAGCCGGAGTGTTGATAGGTCGCTGAGCTTTTGGGATAGGCTGGGAATGTGTTTGAATTGTTCAGAGTATTGGGATTGCATGGTGGCCGAGGAGGAGGCGGCGGTGGAGAAGAAGTGTTCCTCGAGAGTGATCAAGGGTGGGAGCATGATGGTGGATTAGGGCGATGCTTGTAGACTGTTGAGAGATACTAAGGTGGTAGAGAAGCGACGGTGCTCGACGGTGGATGGGAGAGTTAAGATGCGAGACAGCACCTTCGATAGCTAGAGGAGAGATGCAAAGGGCACGTAGAGTGTCGATGAAGTGTCGCTTACCAATGATCAGGACTGAACATGAATATGAAGCAGGTCTATATATTGCAGTTCAAGGCGGGAGAAGTCGATATTGCAGCAACACCAATGGATGATGCTGTAGCTGATGCAGTATCACTCCGGACATTCAGAAGCCGATGACCGGAGGCGGGGCACGAAAGGACCATCACGTACCATATTACTGTCTTGGGTAGCTGACTCTCTTTGATTGTGATCTGGATCTGACCTTCAGAATCTTACAGTTCTTTCGTATATACTCTGTAAACATGCCATCCCGGAGTTGCTGATCCTGAAGATTGAGAATGACCGCCGGGGCACGTGGTGACCGGGTGGCTGGAAAGAAGTCGAGAGGCTGGTCACGTTGGTTTACACAGTACTCCGTACGGAGTAGAAATGTTGAGGTCATCGCCCGTGCCTCTCGATCTTCCTGTCTGCAACCTGGCGGAGATATCGGATTTGATTTGCATACTAACTAGCAGCTCGGCGAGCGCGATGCCTGGCCATTCCACTTTCTCTTCACTAACAAGGTACTAACGTAGTCAATATCCTTCAGAGACCATGGTGAGCGTAAAAGCATTGCCTTCCTTGTTACCCGACGAGCCCAAGACTCACCATGTCGGCAACCCCCCAAAAAGCTTTCAGAATCCCTGGCCTTCACATAATCCCACCCACGGCGGTCCAATTAGTGCGCTCAAATGTCGATTCGCCAGAGACCGACCTGAATTTGTGCCTGTACCGGCTGATCGATCAGGACTTGTGCCAGTCCAAAAGGTCGATTTCTCAAACTCGGACCCTGGCTTCAAAGTGACGTGGATTGGCCATGCAAGCTTCTTATTACAGACCAGCAGACGAGAAGGCGCAACCAGAGGAATCAACATCCTCTGCGATCCTGTCTTCTCCGAAAGAACCTCCCCGTTCACCTGGCTTGGGCCGAAGAGGTACACGCCAACCCCGTGCACCCTGAAGGATCTTCTGGACGCCGTCGATATTGATGTCGTGCTGATCAGCCACAACCATTATGACCACGCCGACGAGGAGACGTTGAAGGCTATCTATGCCAAGCGGAAATCCAATGTGCACTTCCTAGCTGGCCTGCACAACGCGCGCTGGCTTAGTGCTTTTGGCGTCGACCGCTCGCATATCACAGAGCTCGACTGGTGGGACGGAGTTGAGATTCAGGTAGAGAACGCTGGAATTGTCCGTATCACCTGCACCCCGACCCAACACTTTTCGTCTCGATGGATCAATGACCGAGATCATGATTTGTGGTGCTCATACGCCATCCACGACCTCAACGAGACAGGCAAGAAATTGTACTTTGCCGGCGACACGGCTTATCGAAGAATACCTGCCAAGAACATGTCTCGAGAAGAGGAGGATGCGCAACCTGTCTGCCCAACATTCAAACAGGTCGGTGATTTGCTTGGCCCGTTCGATCTGGCGTTGTTACCGATCGGCTTGTGTGAGCCACGAGAGTGGATGTCGAATGTTCACGCAAACTCTTGGGATTCAATCCGCATCCATCAAGACGTTCGAAGCAAGAAGTCCATCGGTATGCATTGGGGCACCGTGCGCGGAGGTCTGTCTCAACAATATGAAGACGTGAGGACGCCGCCGAAGAACTGGAGGAGAGCGGCTGAGGAGGCTGGCTTGAAATGGAGTGAAGAAATTGGATTGATGGATGTTGGAGAGACTTTGATCATAGGCCGATGATACGAGTATCTCTTATGACAATATCAATCCCCCGCTCCAACCCTGGTCGGCGCACTGGACCTCTTTGACCATTTTCCGTATGTTGCCATGGCACAATCCCCAGTGACGAGCCTCCTGGGAGTTACCGTGCCTGGCCTGTAAACTTACTTCCTACTGATCCCTCCTGCTCATTTTCAGCCAGGGCTGTTCCGAATCTGACTCTGGGGGTTGCCAGTCGTGACCTGACGCCCATTCACGAATATTCAACAGCAATCCCACAACAACGATGCCGTAATAACGAGGTCGTAGCGACGATGTATGACACAGCGTAAGTGGACAATAGTACCTTACTCATAATGTGAAATCCTAACAAGCTGAGGTAGTCCAGTCCTTAATACTCTCTCAGGATCGCAAGATGATAGCGAGGGGGAACTGAGATGATCTCGAGTACTACGTTACTTCAGAATATATGGGCTATACCATATAAAGCAAGGTAGACTCGGTTAGGGAGAGACCTTATCGGACACAAGATAAGCGAAAGAGCCGAGTCTCTAGCACACCGTGGGAGTCGGGATCGAGATTGTCAGATTCGACAACCCTGGAGTCGCATTGCAAGCCCTGCATTCAGCCGATTGCTGCACGATTCTCCATGACGACTGTGATGGGATTCTAAAGCCCGAGGGCATGCATAAGAGGGGATGTCTCATGTCTTCGCCCCACCAGCCACTCATGTCTTGTCGAAGATGTCAACCCCTGGTCACCGTCGGTCAGGCTGAGGCTGAGAGAGAGGCTGAGAAAGGGGCTCAGGTTCAGCCCGATGTCTTCCCACATTCTGGTTAACGTACAGAAAACAGTGAGGTACCCTCCATCTCAACCAGACCAGTGGCAGAGCGTTGGGGGTCGTGTAACGTTGAAGAATACTATGTATAGTATAGAGCAGTTGGTGTTGAGTTATGTTTTCGAGCATGTGAAGAATGGGCATTCGTTAATGATTCATAATGTATATAGGTAGGACCTTCGCTGAAGTCCCTCCCTCACAACGGAGATTGTTTTCCATCTCTCATACTGTGAGCAATAACAAGAGTCCCTTGGGCCACAGTCAAGCAAACGACTCTTATCGAAGTGTTTCCCGACCCTGCCGTATATCATTCCAATACTCAGTAGCAACATGCGTGTGCTCAATACTACGACTTTTGAGCTCGAAGAAATACCTACAGCTCCGACCAAGGCGGAACGATTGCAGGCGCTCCAGGCCAAGGCGGAACCTAAGAAAGCCCCAGAGTACGCGATTTTGTCTCACAGGTGGATTACATCGAAACCAAAATCAGACTCGGACTTGGATTCAGGAGCCAAAGAAGAGGCAGCTACGGGAACGAAACAACAAGCGAAATCAGAATCAGAATCAGAAGTGACCTTTGACGTGCTGTCTAAATGGCTGGAATCTGCTCATCTCAGACGGTCGATCAGAAAGATCAAGAAGGCATGTCATATCACAGGCGTCAAAAATATCAACGACCCGTTTGCGGGACATGAACATGATAAGCGGTTCGGACGGTCGACTGAGAAAATCAAAACTGCATGTCGTATTGCACGCACCGCAAACATCAAGTGGCTCTGGATCGACACCTGCTGCATCGATAAGAGCAGCGATGCGGAGATGGCAGAGTCGCTACGCTCCATGTACAGATGGTATCGAAATGCCAAAATTTGCTATGCCTATCTCTACGACGTTGACAGTACTGGTACCGTTGGTGTCTTTGATCTTTTCCAAGCATCAAAGACACTCAGGAATGGGGAAGATCAACAGAGTCGCAGCTCTAATTCGGTTTGGTTCGAGCGCGGCTGGACTTTACAGGAGCTTTTGGCGCCCAAGGAGGTTTGCTTTTACGACTTCAAATGGCGAGTAATCGGAACTAAGACAGAACTTGCAAAGGACATCGCTGCAGTTACCGGAATCGACGCAAAGTATCTCGGCCACGATCGAGCCTTCAGGAAAGCATGCATTGCCACCAAGATGAGCTGGCTAGCCAACAGGACTACAACACGGAGCGAGGATATTGCTTACAGCACCCTCGGCATTTTCAGCATCAGCGACTTCACTCCGCTGTACGGAGAGGGCATGAGTGCCTTTTTGCGGCTTCAGAAGGCCCTTGTTCCAAGGCAGGATGAGTCTTTATACGCATGGGAGATGCCCGACTCAAAAAATCGTCTATGTTCTGGCTGGGCGACCCATGAATGGGGTCTTCTAGCACCCTGGCCGGCCTGCTTCAGAGGCTCGGCCCACATCAATGTCGATGGGGAAAAGAGTGAACGATATTTGGGGGGGTTCAATATCTTGGGCCCAGGTGTAAATGTTCATGTCGGGCGTAGTGAACTGGGGGGCGAGTTGATCAACCGGAAGACGGCCAGGACTCTGACACTCAATTGCTGGACGAGCGACAAGAAAGCTGTACGGATCCCCATCAAGAGGGCATCGAAAAATTCCCAGCTTTGGAGGCGACAGGAGTGTCACAAGTTGGATACTAGTGGCTCGAGTGATGTTCCTAAAACGAACCTCAAGTCGATTGCAACTGGTACTATGACCGTTCCAGTTCTCGTTGTACAGCCAAGTGTTGCTGATGATTCGGATGATGACAGGTGCTGACATACTATGTATGGGTCGTCTAGGGTGTAAAGTACATATGAGTCGTTTCTATAGACTGAATCCAATAGATCTTGTCTCGAAGAACCATAAGAGTGGAACTCTACATGTCCTCGCCTGATCAGCCACTTATGCCTCGTCGAAGAAGTCCACCTCGGCCGATCAAGCTGCGAAGCTAATGCAGGTCACTGACAACCATGATATCATTGGTGCTCCTACACTCTGGCTAACGGGCGTCACGGGCAATCTCACTACCTGTACGGAGTAGAGGAGGAAAATAATGAGATACGCTTCCCCCCGACTTGCAGAGCGCATGAAGGTCTGGGACGCAATCAGAATGTTGCTTCCTGCCTATTCTTCGACAAGGGCCGTTCGAACATGGTCAAAGCTCAGGTCTTCAGGGCAGGGGTTCGAACAAGGGTCCATGCAGCTTTTGGAAACTGTAAAGTGTATCTCCGAGAGGTGCGTAACGTTTCCAAAAAATCTTCGCTATATAAATTGATGCCGCTCAACTACCTACACACTTACGAGTACGGACTGTTGACTACTGAGACAAGCCTTCCAAGAATCTCATCTTCCACCAAAGCAGACTGGAAGTTGTGACATACCATCTCTTCATCGATCAAACACCGGAAGCCCTTCGTCCGGGCTCGGCCGGCTTCGGCCATCGACTGCAACAGACAACGTGGGCTTTTATATTCTCTACCATCTCCCCCCCTGAGGGTATTGGATACCGACAATTCACATTGACAATCCCCATTGACAATCCGATTCAAGATGTTCCACAATCTCTGCACGTTCTGGAACCAGTCCTTCCGCATCCCTCCACCGCCTCTCACCGAGAAAACCCTCGCCGACCAAACCAGCAAAGTCTACCTCATCACGGGTGCCAACACAGGCATAGGCTACCACCTCTCGGCCATTCTGTACTCACACAATGCCAAAGTCTACATCGCCGCCCGCTCCGAGTCCAAAGCCAAAGACGCAATCGCCTCGATCCAGCAACTCCATCCTCACTCCAAGGGTAGCCTCGAGTACTTGCACCTCAATCTGTCGGACCTGACCAGCATCAAAGCCACGGCCGAAGACTTTATGCGTCGCGAGACGAAATTGCACTGGCTGAACAACAACGCCGGCGTCATGGTCCCGCCTGCGGGGTCCAAAGGCTCGCAGGGCATGGATCTGCAGTTCCAGACGAACATCCTCGGCCCGTTCTTGCTGACCAAGTTGCTCCTCCCCGTGCTCAGGCGGACGGCCGAGAGCGAGCCAAACAACTCGAAGGGCACAGTCCGGGTAAGTTGGGCGGGCAGTTCGGCCGTGGACCTGTTGAGCCCGAAAGGCGGAGTGGCCTGGAAGAAGAGTGGCGACGAGCAGACCTTGGATGACAGCTTGGGAAGTACGGCGTCTTATGGAATTAGTAAGGCTGCAAATTACTTCCTTGCGCATGAATTTGGGAAGAGGTTCGGGACGAGGGATGGGGTGTTGCACAATGTGAGTTTTTGAATCTTCTGCTATGACGGGGAGCTCCTTGCTGGGAGCTCTCACGGTGGCCACGTCTACCACACTGATTGATGCTGTCATTATTCAACGATCTTTCTCCAAGCATTGCCGATGCTAACACTGCCTTTCGCGCAGTCATACAACCCAGGAAACCTCCAGTCCGACCTCCAGCGCCATGCACAATCCCAGTATCCAGCTTTTGCCATGTGGATATTGTACAAGCTCCTGCTGTACCCGACTGTCTACGGGGCGTACACGGAACTGTACGCGGGCTTGTCGCAGGACTTGACGATCAATGACCAAGGTGTTTATATCGTGCCGTGGGGCCGCAGGGCTGGCGTCAAGAAAGATGTGCAGGTCGAGGTTGAAAAAGAAGGAGGAAACGCGGACAAGTTGTACGAGTGGTGCGATAGAGTTACGAGGGAGTATGCATAAGGTGCAAATGCATTTTTCGAAAAGCTAGCCCTTTGAATGCAGCTTGGACTTTGCAGGTGGTCTCATTCTAGCTGTTCATGTTCACCACTGGCCATGCAACGGCTCCCACAGGCGTTCTTCAAGTTGTCGATTGCTTGACAAGGCATCTTTTCGTTTTCAGCCTGAGTTCGGAGTCAGATATGCAAAGTAGCCTGACGTCATCCGACTTGTCGCTTGCAGAAGTGCAAGTGCTTCCCTGTCGTTCAGAGATACAACCTTGTCTTCTCAATCTTGGGTTTCCAGTGCTGTTGGTTGTTGGCAATTGCGAGCCAAAGTGCCCGCATGCCACTAACGTACCTAGCATCAGGCTGACCGGAAGGCAGATCCCGCTCGTCGGCTGTCATCCAATGAACCTGAGCCACGCCTCTACTCGACATTACCTTACTCACAAGGATGCCGGAATATTACTTGGTTACTCTTCACCACACCTGGTTCGGCCTTACCTGTGGCCAAAAGCATATAGGATGCATCTTCGGCCTCAGACGACGTGGGTGCCGCTCTCCGGTTCCATATTCCCTACAACAGCGTCAACGGCGCTCCTTGAAGGATCCTTCTTGTGCAGATGGAGTCAATCTACGAGAAATTCAACTTAGGCGAAAGAGGTAATATCAGGTTACTGGAACTTCAGCCCGGCCGCGAGAATGATCTTATACGATGTGGACTCAGGTGCGAGCGGCTGGGAACGAACCCCTCGTATACATGCCTGTCTTATATGTGGGAACCGAAGTTGCTTCCTGGAAAAGTCACCATAATCTGCGAAAATGTGTCTATCGAAGTGACCTCGAATCTCCATGCCGCCCTGAAAGCTCTTCGGCATTCTAAGAAGACACGAGCCCTTTGGGTCGATGCAGTATGTATCAATCAAGGCGATGGTCACGAAAAGAGTACGCAAATTCCTCTCATGAAACAGATATATAGGAAGGCAGAGCGCGTCATCTTGTGGCTCGGTCCTTCGGACCCAATGACAAGGTCTGCGTTTGAAAAATTCAAACTGCTGGCTGTTTTGTGGTCCTGGCGAGCGGCAAAGGGTGCAAAGGAGGAATGTTCGGAAAAAGAGTTCAGAAGATTCATGATCCACGATAGCTCAGAGCTGGATGACAAGACCATTTTTGACTTACGTGACAAATGCACGTGGACATCGGGCCCCTCTGCCATGCAAAGAGGAGCGATGGAGTATTGCGACCTGTCCCCAACGAACGACCTACATGGCTCGAAAGCCTTCGAATTTGGACGCTTTCAGCTTTGGCGGGCAATCGACGACATGTTTGCTAATCCTTTCTTCTCTCGCGCATGGATCATACAAGAGGTATCAGTCGCTCGCATTGCACATGTCCAGTGTGGCCCCTTCTTGCTCCCTTGGGAGCTATTTCGAAGTGCCTTCAACGCGCGACAGCTCCTGCGCTGTCAGCCACTCCAGTACAGCGATCCTCTGGCTACTCCGAATGCTGTAAGCACTGTCAGGGATGCACGTAAGCGTTTCTGGAACGATGGTTTCTGCACGGATCTGGCTGGGGCGATGCCCCTTTTCTCTTTCTCGAAAGCAAAGGATCCTCGAGACTACATCTATGCCGCCCTGGGTCTGATCAAGCATACGTCGAGACCCGGTCGTTTCAACCGTATTGTGCCTGACTACACCAAGGACGTGTCTGAGGTCTATCTGGAAGCAGCAAGCCATATGATAATTGAACGAAAAGATTTATATATCTGGGGCCTTAATGATCCACCGCGAACAAAAACCGTCACCAATCTTCCAACTTGGGTGCCTGATTGGTCAATGGAATCCGAAGAGGGCAACCCATATCATTGCAAACTGTTGTTCTCGAGAGCCTTTCCCGGTGATCTCGTTATCGACCGTCGACACCTGCGAGTCAACGCTCATCTGCTTGACACAGTATGTCTTGTTGTAGATATCGTGGAAGTGTACGATTTACGAGACCTCCTTGCTAAGACCATTCTGCTATTTAGAGAGTTCGGCTTAGGGCTTTTCGAACCGTATCAAGCAGAAAGCCTCAACATGAAATTCTCAGCAACAGTCGATGGTGATGGTGGTTCCACCTCCCACAAGCACCCAAGCCCATACTTACAACGACTCGGCCATGCATTTTCAGTGCTCACGAAGTTGAAGCACGTACCAAACCTCGTTCTGAAAGTACTATCAGATCTTCTTCTCGCAAGGGACCGGCCCAATGAGGATAGAACGCTCGCTATTGAGGCGCTATGGGCTTGTCTATGCAATGGCGACAAGGATAGGAAGACCGGTTTCCAGCTTTTCCTTGCCCATTTGTACTTCGAGGTATTGACGTCAATTCCCGGAATTCAAACTCTTGATAAGGGAATATCCAACAAAGCTTACAAGACCTGGTTGATGGCGGCATGCATTCTTTCAGCTCAACAGCCTCAAGATACCTTCTGGAGCACGCTCTGCCATGAGAAACTTTCGCAAATTATGCCGGATGAGGAGCGAGTCATGTCACCTGAAGCACTATTTATAACCAGAGCGGGCTACTTTGGTCGCTGTCCCAAGGATGTGGCAAAGATCGGGCATCACGTCGCCATCCTGGGCGGGGCTTTTCGCCCTTACCTGCTGGAGAAACAGCCCGAGGGGTTTTATCATTTTGTGTCCTACGCATACGTGGAAGGCATTATGAACATGACAGCACTCGGTCCAGACATGACATTGACGAGGATAGAGATCCGGTAACGCAGGGTGACTGCTACAACGTACCATCGTTGCTGTAGTGCGAAGCAGCCATCTATGAAAGTTCTACCGTGGTATGACGAGCGCTCAGGTCAGTCGACAGTCCTATTTCTGCCGACTACACGGTGCTGTTTCCAAACTACAGTTCAGTTCATCAGTACCGCAGTACCGCCCAGAAACATCCCATCATACCCTCTTCCTATGCTCACGCTCCATCCCGGGTCCTACCACTCCAGTATCCTTTGCGGTGTCGTCGTCACCATATCTGGTGACATCCAGCACATCTTCCTCCCCAGCCTGACTGACCAGTTCCCTCAACATGGACTCCTCCGTCCTCAAATACGAGCTGCGTCCCTGCACGAACCAGAACCCCACGGCGATGACCAACATGACACCAAACACGGCGATTGCCCAATTCATATCCGCCGGCGCCGGGTTCGGATCGCTCGGGAAGAAGAAAAACACCGTTGTTATGGCACAGTAGATCAGACTGACCACATTCGCTGCAAAGCCCCATCGCCCGAGACGGAACTCACCCTGCATGGGTAGTAACTTGTCCCGGCCAACGACTAATAACACTGCAATCGGGATGCCGTATGAGATTGTCAGAGCGATCGTGCTCACGCTCAATATAGCTTGCAGCACGGTGTTGGCGAACAGATATAACAAGCCGACGAGGGCGATGAGAACCCCCTGGACCCATAGCGCACGCACAGGGACGTGCCAATATCCGTTCACCATGGCAAGATAGCTGTGCCAAGGTAGCCCGCCATCGCGCGCGAAACCCCACGTCAATCGACTCGCCGTGGTCATGATGCTGATGTTCTGACCCACTCCGTTCACCACGAAGAGAGCAAGTAGGACTGCAGCCCCGGTCAGCCCCATTGTCGAAAGGCACAGTTCGACGAATGGGAGATCGGCGTTGGTCAGATCGCCTATGTCCTGTACGCAGAACAAGCAGACCATCATGAAAAGAAAGCCAGAGACTGCACCGATCATGACGGACAGCCATATCACCTTGGGACCGTTCCTGGATGGCGCTGGCAGTTCTTCGACCATATGGATGCACGCATCGAACGCCGTCAGGCCGTAGGCGGACTGAATCAGGCCTGTGAACCAGATCACACCGTTCGGCCAGCCGGTCGTGTTGATCCAGGTGCCGAAGACGAACGAACCGGACTGGTAGGCGAGATGGGCCTTGACGCCCACGGAGATGAGCAATGCCAGCGCGAAAGCGAGAAATAGCAGAGTGAACTGGGCGCCAACGACGTTGTTGATCCAAGGCAGGACGCGGTCTTTGCGGCAGGCTATGATGTTGATCAGCGTCAGCAAAAGTGTGAGGCCGATGTAGATCAAGAACTCGAGCCACCCGTATCCGGCTGCTGGCCAGTTGGGCTCGAATATCGTCTTCATGGACAAGATGAAGTTTGTCATGAAGGCTGTTTGGGAAGCCGTGAGTGTCCACCATCCGAAGGTGTTGATCCAAGCACACATGTATGAGAGGAAGCGGCCAAAGGGCGTTGGCTGGATGCGGAAGATCCAGTAGGCTTGGCCGAGGGCCGTGGGCATGGCGCTGGTCAATTCACCCAAGGAGACGGCAACGCAGAGATTGCAGAACGTGACGAGGGCTAGGCCCCAGAGAATACTGACTGGACCGCCAGCAGAGAGGCCGCTTGCGAGGTTCTGTGCCAAGGTCGACCATGTGCCCAGCACAGTGAAGGCCAGCGCGAGCATGCTCCATAGGTTGAATTGACGGGCGAGTTCTTGGGGGTGGCCCAGTGTTGCGAGGACGTCGGCATCGTGTGAGACTTGGTCATCGCGGCGTGATGTTTCTGCGGACCCAGAAAGGTGGTTGGAGATGGTCATATCTTTTGTCATAGGAGTATTTCAGAGACGGCATTCACGAGAGGAGGAGCAGAGTTGTGCTCGAGAAGGAATTCTTTGACCGCACACACCAGAAAGAAAATCGCACTGCCTTTTGAAGATATGTGCGCAGGAGGCTGTCTGATATATGTAAAGAGAATGCCTCACAAGAGTTCAGGCCAAGACAGATTACCCCAGACTGCCCCAACTCTGATCTGGTACAGCATCGGCCATTGAAGATGGGCGGTTGTCGTCAAAGGCGTGGAAGGTCCCCTGAGGAAGCAAATTTCATAGACCGGAAAGCACGCTCACTGGCTGAGCTGTGGCCAGTGGTCCGTGTGGAGAGCGTGTAGAGCTTCCTGTTTGGGCGATCCGGGCTCTATTGGCCCTATATATGGGTACGTCAGGGTGGTCAGGGAGGAGCTTGTGCCTGGAAATGGTCGGTATAAGGGCCTCACTAACCCGATGTTTCATCAACATGACAGAACCCTTTATGCACCGACCGTTATCGCGCGGTGGAGTGGTTGCTTCGAAGCCAATTCTCTCCTTGCAGGTGGAAAAGCTTGTCGCCTCTCCGGACCGTTTCGCCAATAATCGCAATCGTTCCGCTTTGCCCGAACCCGGGGGATTTGGACCTGGAATTCCTTTTGTCATCGAAGCACATAAAATACATACTTTGTTGGAGTTCAGCGTGGCCTTTTGGACATCATATGGTTCGAGTTGTACACGGACATCTCCTCCTGGGGAAATTTGTCTGTTCTCCAGAGCTTGGACTCGCCAAACATGCGACGCGAATACGAAGACCGTCTCAACCACGGGTTATGGTCTCTCTCAAACGCCTCCGGAAGACAACCATCATCTTCCACAATGGTAAGATGGGCTTCCATTGTCGTAGCCCGTCTGCGAGCACAATCATTCGGCCGCACCCAAGTCCGCAGCCACATCGGGGCGTGCGAGACGAGCGATAAGTGACCGTGGCAATCGCTACTCATGGAGATTCCGCAGTAGGAACAAGTCTGTGGGTATTTTGATGACAGCAACATTCAAGGACAGTCAGATAGTACCTCATAGGTCTTCAGCAAGAGTCCAATGAAACGAGCTGGACAAAGCAGTCCTCGAACAGGTCAGGAGAGATTAGGAGTCAACGAATCACAGCACTTTCCGATTCGATCTATACCATATTCGGCAGGTATAAGCGTTCCACTGACCAGACAGCCTCGATGATATTTGATATAAAGCCACCATCCCGGAGAACTTCTACTCTTCAGGGTTTCTGCTCTACGGACTTGTATCTTGGTCAATTTCCCTCATACTGTAACCATGGAACTCGACACTTTGTCTATCCCCGGCTACACGATTTATCGAGAGGAGTCCGATGCCTCAGCCGCACCTGTCGACTACTCACAATATAATCCCCATCCTCTAGGTCAGTCATAATGAGATAGGTGAACCGGAAGTACCCAACTGACAAACTTAGATCAACTTTCGATACAAGAGATTCCAGTCACCGCCAAACTCATCCGCGAGTTTGTGTGGCCCAAGAAAGTCAAATTCAATTGCATCACCCTTCGCGAGCCTAGAAAGAATGAATATGCGGCTTTCAAGTCAAGAAGAGGCCCTCGACCAGATCGTAGGGCGTTCGCTATTGTCATAGAGCAAGGCGACGCCTGCAATGTCGCCGAAGTCGTCGTCAACCTGACCACATCAAAAGTCGAGGACTGGAAGCCAGTCAGCGATGTCATGCCAACCTTGACTCTCGAGGATCTTGACGTTATGGAACGCATTGCTCGCAAAGATTCTCGAGTCATCGAGGCTTGCCGAGGCCTAGGAATCACCGAAATGTCGAAGGTGTTCTTCGACGCTTGGGCTATTGGAATTGACGAGCGATTTGGATTCGAGCGTCGGTTGCAACAAGGCTTGGCTTACTATCGGAATTCTGCGCTTGACAATCAATATGCTCATCCCCTGGACTTCTCGGTGGTGGCGGACACAGAACGGGAAGAAGTCTTGCAGGTAGATATCCGGCTCGTGAACGGCGAAAGGACTCCCATCCCGCTCGAAGAACATCAATATGCACCGACCTTCTTGAAGAACGGCTACAGGCCGGACGTACTGAAGCCTATCAACATCACGCAGCCTCAAGGTGTCTCCTTCCACATGAGAGGTAACGAACTGACCTGGGCTGGCTATAAGATGCACATCGGCTTCAACTATCGCGAAGGTATCTGCATTTCGGATGTCAGCGTCTTCGATCACCACGAACAGCGACAACGCACGCTGTTCAACCGCATCAGCGTCGTCGAAATGGTTGTGCCCTACGGTTCTCCCGAGAAGCCTCACCACAAGAAGCACGCGTTCGATGTAGGCGAGTACGGCTCCGGTCTCATGACGAACTCGCTCAAACTGGGATGTGACTGTAAGGGCGCGATCCACTACCTAGACGGCATCGTCAACACGAGCAAAGGTGAAGCTGCCGTAATCAAGAACGCAATCTGCATCCACGAGGAGGACAACGGCCTCTTGTACAAGCACACCGACTTCCGCGACGGGAGCGTCGTCTCAGCGCGCGACCGCAAACTCATCATCTCGCAGATTATCACTGCCGCGAATTACGAATACGGCTTCTACCACACGTTCACCCTCGACGGCACGTACAAGCTCGAAGTCAAGCTGACGGGCATGCTCAACACATACTGCATGCACCCGACCGAACAGGCCGCACCATGGGGCACGCAGATCGCGCCTCACCTCAACGCCCAGAACCATCAACATATCTTCTCACTGCGCGTGGACCCGGAGGTCGACGGCTCCAACAACAGCGTCATCCAAAGCGACGCGGTGCCCTCGGAGGAGCCCGTCGGGTCCGAAGGCAATTTCTACGGCAACGGCTTCTACTGCAAGAAGACGCCGCTCCGGACCGCGCAAGAGGGCGCGGCGGACTACTGCCACGAAACGAGTCGAGCGTGGGACATTATCAACTCGAGCCGGATCAACGAAGCCTGCAACAAGCCCGTCTCGTACAAGATCATCAACAACTCCTGTCCCCAGCTGCTCGCGAAGCCCGGCAGCGTCGTGTGGAAGCGCGCCGCCTTTGCCCGCAAGACGCTGTGGGTCGTGCCATATCGAGACTACGAGCTCTTCCCGGCCGGAGATTATGTCTGCCAGTCCACGGGCCAGGAAGGCCATCCGCACAATCAGACCGTGGCCGACTGGGCCGCGCGAAACGAGTCGATCGAGAACACCGACATCGTGTGCTACGTGCAATTTGGTCTCACCCATTTCCCCCGGACCGAGGACTTCCCGATCATGCCCGCCGAGCCCGTCAGCGTCATGTTGCGCGCCTCGAATTTCTTCAAGAAGAACCCCGGCTTGTGGGTCGCCCCGTCGGCACTGTGTGTCGACACGGCGTCGAGAGATGCCTTTGACGAGTCCTGTTGTGCGGTGAAGCAGATCAAGCTGTAGGACGACACCGCATCACACGCGCTCGTCGATCCCACTGGGGTCAAAGTTATGCACACCGCAATGATCCGAATAGGACACCATATCTGACCGTCTGACCGTTGACCTACTGTAAGAAGCAGACTTTACGCATTATGTATCGACGCCCTTTTATATATAGGACTAAGGAGTAGAGGTAGAGAGGCGATATTGATCTATACTCTACTTATCCCTCTAGAAAGGCCCACCTCTCAGCAAATTACCCTTACATTAGTCGCAGAGTCCACCACCTCCGCTCACACCCTGCCATTCTTTTCGTTCTTTTCTACCCACCGAGAGGCACGATATTTCCGCCTCGACAGTTCCGTCTCGGTAGTCCTGTATCAATAGTTCCGGTTCGATAATTCCGCCTCGGTTTGACTTGGACTAGACCATGGCGACAATGACCTCCCACGGCCTCAGCTTGATCGAGCCCTGCCCGTCGCTCTCTTTCCTGACATTGTTCTCCTTCTCCCCATTCTCGACATAATTTCTCAAATCATCCAGTATCGCTTCTTTCCTCAACCTCCCCATCCCAGCAGCCTCGTCGATCAGCATATCCTTCGCGGGAAAAGGGACCGTCCACCACAGGTCCTTGCCCGAGACGTTCGTCACGACCAAACACTTCCTCTTCGTGTGCTCTTCTTTGTGCACCGAGTCGTCCATCCTGAGATACGCGACGACACACTCATGCTCATCGTCGAGCATCTTGAAATCCCCATACACAAAGACATCCTTGAAGTCCTTCCTCAACTTGAACACCCGCCGCCAATAATTGAACGCGCTATTTTCATCGGCGACCTGGTTCTCGGCATTCCACACCTTGAAGTCCTCATGCACTCTCATCCAGGGCTTGGCGTCCTTTGGCGCATCATCCGGCAGAAACCCACCGGACGTCTGCTCGTCAGCGTTCCACTGCATCGGCGTGCGCGCGTTGTCCCGGCCAATCCTTCGATACTGCTCGCGGAACTTCCTCTGCATCTCCAGATCGTCCGGGTACTCCTGCTGCACCATCTTCCAATGATTAAGCACCTCGATGTCCTTGTACTCGTCCATGCCCCACTCCCTGGGCACATTGATCTGCCCGAGCTCCTGGCCCTGATACACGAAGACGGTCCCGCTCTGAAAGCCCAGATGCGCGGCCAACATCTTGGCGCTCTTTAACCTATACCTCTCACTCTCGTCAGCATACCTGCTGATCGACCGTCCCTGGTCGTGGTTCTCCATGAACACGGCATTCCAGCCTCCGTTTTCGATCATGAAGGTATTCCACTTGCTCACGATACCTTTCAGTTCACGCGGCTGAAAGGGCCGGTGGTACCATTTTGACCCCTTGCTGCCGTCGACGTCCATATTCACAATCTCGAACTGGAACGCCATGGCCAATTCGCCACGGTCCTGGCCGACCCCTTTCAGGATCTCCCGGGTGTCGTACACGCCGGGCATCTCGCCCACGGAAAACGCGTTGTACTCTATCAATATCTTTCCGATGCCCTGCAGATATTCATGCAGTCGCGGCCCGCACGCGTAGCGATGTAAGCCCGGCTGCAAGAATCCAGGCTTGACGATGTCCGCGTCCGGCAAGCCCGGTTCCTTGCTGATGAAGTTGATCACGTCCATCCGGAACCCGTCGACGCCTTTGTCGAGCCAGAAGCGGATCATCTCGTGGATCGCGGTTCGGACACCGAGATTGTCCCAGTTGAGGTCCGGTTGGTCCTGCGCGAAGAGATGCAGGTAGTACTCGCCCGTGGCTTCGTCGAATGTCCACGCAGACCCACTGAACACGGATTCCCAGTTGTTCGGGGGCATGCGTTCGCCGGTGTCCGGGTGGTAGCGTGGTGGACGCCAGTAGTACCAGTCCCGCTTTGGGGACGACTTGGAGGAGCGGGATTCGCGGAACCATTCGTGCTCTTTGGACGTGTGGTTGACGACCAGGTCCATGACGTACTTCATCCCGCGGCCGTGCAGCGCGGAAATCAGTTCGTCGTGGTCGGCCATGGTGCCGTACAGGCGGTCGATGCGGCGGTAGTCGGATATGTCGTAGCCCATGTCGACTTGTGGGGAAGCGAGGATCGGGGAGAGCCAGACCATATCGACGCCGAGACGCGAGAGGTAGTCGACACGGGAGATGATGCCGCGGAGATCGCCTTTGATCTCGTGAGAGTCGGGAGAAGAGGTGATGGAGCACGCGGATTTGAAGGATGCTGGGTAGATCTGGTACACTGTGCTTTCTTTCCACCACGCATGGCGGAGGGGAGCTTTGATTTTGGTGACGTGCGTTATGTTCGGCATACTGTCCGCGGGGAGTTTCGAGATAGATTTCGTGGATGACAGATCTCGTCTCTGGACACGGGCTGAAAGTGTGCTTGCTGGATAATCGACAGGCAGTCAGAACTTGAGAACTGTCGGTGGAGGGGGCGTGTTGCTTCTGGGAAGAGACTTCTGCTTCCGAATTCGGGGAGTTAGGAATTACCTCGATAGCAATGAGATGAAGGAGAACGAGGGAGTAGTCGACCCGTGAGACCTTCTATATGTTTGCGGCCCCCGGAGATAATAAATCTATCACGACAACAGATCGTAAGAGCGGAGAGATTGCTGAGAAGGTTGGTGCGCGCAGGCTGCATCACTTGTGAAAGGATGAAGCATTCTCACGATTAAATGCGAATTCGATGCCTGTCTTTTACGTCGTAGACATGACAGTCGTCTGCTGCATGCACGCTGCGTCATGGCCGACATATACTGAAGTCGAGTATCTTCATACCCCGGGTATTTCTCCGTGTGTAGGGTCGATGGCAGGATAAAAGTTGGTCCGAGCGATCAACTGTCAGAATAGATGTTTGGCTAGTCTGGTTCGGTTGGTATTTGCATCTGACCGCTGTCCCCATGATTTCATAGCCAGGGGTTCATTTCGCAAGAGCTCGTCAAACATCCAACCAGTAGAGCGATCCTTCGCAAACACAGGTCCGAAAAAGGAATCCCGCCATCAAACGTCGCCGCGCCTCGGCACGCAAGTCCAATCCGACGCTTGCTGATGCAATCCAAGTACAAATAACATCATCTGTCCGACGTGCCATCAAGCTGGACGCAGTTTCTTCTTAGCGACCTCTCTGATACGTCCCAAATCTTCCAAACACTGTAGGTGCTTCTCATTAGCATGATCCCACCACTGTCTGCATTGAGCATCGTCCTTCAACCACTGCATATAAGCGGCATATCCTGCTTTTTGTGTAACATCTTCTTCCAGCTTATCGGCATCGGGACCATCCCCGAGCATACTCACCCAACTTTGTGACATGGTCCCACATACCCGATCTTGTCTACCTCGGAAATGTTCGATCATCTTGGCGTTGAAAACATTCCAATCGCGCATATAGGTATTCATATTGTCCACGTACTGCAAAAAGTTGGCTTGATCCAATCGGTCTGCTGCTGGCGGTACAACCACCTTCGGTGGTTTTGGTAGATTGAGTGCTCGTAGTCTCGCTGAAGGCTTGTCGACTTTCTCTTCTGCCTTTGATTCAAAAGGTAAATGTGCTGCGAGGTCGTCGAGACCTTTCAGTCCGCTAGCAGTGGGAACGAAAGGTGCGTGTTGAGTGAAGTCTCGCAAATCCACTCCTCCATCTGGTGATGACCGACGGGGCGTGGGATGTGCAGCCTTTGCAGTGGTCGGATGAATCCCATTCGGAGTCGTCTCGACAGGCGGGCTATCGTCAACGTCCATGATATCCTCTTCCACAACCACGTATCGATCTCTCGAATCGTCCGTCGAGTGCGAGCCATGACTTGTCCGATCACTTGCTGATCGTGCTTCAGCTTGAGTCGAAGGAGTTTTCACTTTTGACGCCCAGTCTGCAGGCAGCTTCCCCTTTTGGAATGCGGCTGCCTTATCTTGCGCCTCTTCTACGCGATCAGTGGACGAGCTGCTTTCTTGCTCCAAACCTCTAGACATGCCTCTACCCCGGCTTGTCGGTTTGCTTCCATTGCGGCTCAGCTTGGAGGGCGACTTTCGCATCTGAGAATCTGTCGGTCGAAAGATGTCATCAGCACTCAGCTTGTCATGCCAGTCTTCTGCTGAGAACTTGGTGGGAGCCTTCGGCTCATGACTACCAACTGGGTTAGCTTGATCCCCACGGGAGTGAAAAGCAGGCTTTGGGAGAAGAGGCCGTAGAGAACCTAGGTAGTCTCGTGTCTCCTCACGAGACGGTGTCATCTGTGGGAAGACACTCGATGGAACTGCCCAAGACGGAAGCCCATTGAATGAGACACCTCTGCTGGGAGTAATACGTGCAGACTTCGCACTCCGAGACCATGGGTAAGAAAATGTGCGGGAGCGTGCATACTTGGGACCATCTAAGTTCTCTTCGTGTCCACCATGTCCATACCCATCACTCGTTTTCGGCTCATCAGCATCAGACGAAGGCGTATCGGCAAATGCTTTGCGAGTCGGCTCTGTCGCTTCGGGAGCAGGGAACTGATATTTGCTGTCATCCACAATTCTAGTGTAGTTAGTACTAGGGAATGAACCGGTAAGACCGGGGTTGTCGGCAAATGCGGGCACTTTTGGCTTGGGTCGACTTCGTGGCGTTGCCTTGGGTCTCGCAGCCATTCTCGGGCCCTCATCCTCACTTGATGACGACTCGGAAGAGAATGCAGCATGTGTCCCAGCGTTTCTCAAGCCTGGACTTGCACTACGATGTCGAGGAACATGTTCAAAGTGGGATGCTGGTTTGCCGAAATGTCCCCGTTCATCCCAGTGAGGATCGATTGGAGAGTTTCGGACGCTGGCTGACCGGTGAATGCCGTCGCCATGTATATCAGTCCTCTCGCCACCAGCCCCAGCATATCTTGACGACGGTCGGGAGCCATCTGCGGATTCGTGTCTCATATCATAGTCGGAAGAACGTGTCTGCCGCAGAGGGCTGACACCGGGCCTCGCTCTTGATACTGGAGGTGACTGCATGGGGTGTGTGTCCTGAGCATACGCGTGAGACGAAGTTGGCGGGGGTCCACGATTTCCTCTGACGTATGAATATGCTGACCGTGGTACTTGTTGGTCGTCGATTCCAAAACCGCCGGGCGCATATCCTTGCTTCCGAGGGCTTGCCGTCCTCGACAACCCGGGAAAGGTTGTGGGAGGAACATTGGGCGCATGTGGAATATCTGTGGTCGCGGACGGTTTAGGTGCCGTAGGAGCGTGACGAGTTGCTCGTGGCGGCATCTGCTGGTGGGACGGTGTAGTCCGCATGTTTGGGAAGACACGGGCTGCTTCTGCTCTGGCATCATCAAATCTTGCTCTGTCCCATGACTGAGGCGCACCCCGGGCGAAGGCATTGAATTTATCTGCTCCGCGCGAGGCTTGCTGCTTCTGTGATTGGGGCGAGGCTCGCGACGCGGCTTTAGGAGGCGGAGGGAACGGGAATTGTGGTGTCGCTGCCGCCTTCGTAGTCGTAGATCTTGAAAAGCCGTAGGGATCGGTGTAGTTTGCGGCGGTCGCGGCTGCGTTTCGAGCCGTCAGCTTCGCACGAGCAGCATCGTATCTGGCCTTCTCAACCGGGTCACTCAAGATCTCATGTGCAGCTTGGACCGCTTGAAATCTTGGGACCATCTCCACCTCATGACCAGGGTTCCTGTCGGGATGATATTGTTTTGCTGCACCCGTTAGCCGTCTGTGTGCCTCATGTTGCGCCGATCTCTTTGCCTACCCAAATATCGGAACTGCTTCTTTATCTCCTCTCCGTCAGCGGTGGAAGGCAAGTCCAAGTCCGCGTAGTAGTCTCGTTTCACATCCGCTTTGACCATGGTGGACGTTGAGTTGCCTCAGGCACTCTCGGGAAATGACGATATTAGCAATTTGTTTGGTCTATGATGAGCCGCCTCTTTATTTCCATTAACATGGTTCCGTGGAGAAAACCCCGAGGATTGCAGCCGAGATCAGGCTAGGGATGAGGTAGGTTATAAGATCCTGGCATGCGAGATGAAGAACTCCGACTGGCTCCGTTGAGAACTGGACCACAGAAAGAGCACAAACTTGCAGAAGCTCTCCCGCCAAAGTAGTACAAAGTGCTTGGAATCGAAAGCTTTGTCGACAGATTGACTGCGAAAGTGATAGGAGGTTGCGCAGAACAGGTGATGAAATTAATCAGAGGTCAATGACTGGTTCAGCCTGCGCAGAGCGATTATTCATTCGCTCGATTTTGCTGATGACGGACCAACCCAAGGGCGTAGGTATCATGAGAGGTGTAAGTTGTGAGCTTCGTCGGGAATGCTCGAGAATGAATGGAGGAGAAATCGGTTCTGGTTGTTCCTGCGCAAAGCTGGAGGCTGTAGGTGACTAGATCTGCAGGGCTCCTGAGCCGAGGAGTAAGGTGAAAGTCTAGCAGAGGTTAGTGAGGACCGAAGCAAACAATGTGTGCTGGTGTTGTTGTGCTCTCACGAATGAAGGCTTCTTCCCAGGCGAAGAAAGTGATATGATGATGAGTTGGCAAGCCTGGACACGGGTTGTTTCTTTACATGTAGCGGTTTTGGGAATAGAGCGAGAAGTGGACATGATTCACCTCAGCGAAAATCCGGTCATTTGCTTAGGCTCTAACTTAGGCTGCTCCCGGCGGATCATCTGGATCTTTAATTAAAGCCTGCTAGCCTCCTAGCCTGTTTTCCTGCCTACCGTGCCTGGACCTGCCTCACTGGCCAAAACCCACACCCGGTTCATGCCCATTCTCCATTGCCCTGCCGATGTACTTGTGCTTTTGTGAGGGCAGTGTGAGATCACACTCTCCACCATTTGCAGGGTATAAGTCGAGCTGTTCACTGCATAGCCAGCAGATGCGGTATAGATAGTAGGGAGCACCGTTCCTGACTGCCTTTATGTACTCTTCTTGTACTGCTTGAATGATAAGAGTCGAGGACAGTCACCCAGACAGTGAAGGCGCATCGGATAAACCCCGGAAATGTCGTGAGTTGTAAACTGCGGCCACCTGTCTTTCGTTTTGTGAGGACTCAACATACCTTTTATTGATATGCCTTTTTCTAATCCATAGCCCTTGAATTCAAAAGCTCAAGCCCAGTTCCAAGAGACAGTCTGCGACCATGTTGCCATTCCTAGCACCGTACCTTTCGAACCCGCGCCAAACTCTCTCCCAAGTCCTCAACTTTGCCCTAGTTCTATCGACGGCTTTCATGCTATGGAAATCTCTCTCGGTCATTGCAGACTCTCCCTCACCGATAGTCGTGGTGCTTAGTGGTTCTATGGAACCGGCTTTCCAGCGAGGTGATTTGCTTTTCCTGTGGAATCGAGACACGACTGCGGAAGTGGGAGAAATCGTGGTATACAATGTGAAGGGCAAGGACATTCCAATCGTCCATCGTGTCGTTAGGAGTCATGCCCCTGCAGCCGCTGTCCAAGCCGATAAGAGGTAACTGGCTGTTCTACATTGAACGGCTGCAATACTAACCGAAGTCTCCAGTGGCCACCTGTCTCCCTCTTCTCCAAAGCTCCTGACGAAAGGTGACAACAACATCGCCGATGACACTGAACTCTACGCGCGCGGACAGGTCTATCTGGATAGAAAAGAAGATATCATTGGTAGCGTCCGCGGATATGTGCCGGCGGTCGGGTATGTTACCATCATGCTCAGCGAGCATCCGTGGTTGAAGTCTGTCATGCTTGGAATCATGGGCGTGATGGTCATTTTGCAGAGAGAATGACATCTGGAACAATATGTTGTATCCTCCTTCACAACTGGGCGGACTCTGTGGACCTCGCTCCATGGAGGAGACACCGATGGCAAGGTTCGTGCTCCGAAGCTCGAGCAACCGAAAACAAGCCATCAAGCTACGGAAGTCTCTGCTCATTTTTGGCCTCACGCAGATGGACATGGTGGATGTGTTCGCGCGTAAGGAGATCTTGTCTCCTCGGACAGCCACCGCTGCTCAACTCCAAAACGTTCCAGCCCCGACTTTTGAGCTACCAAACTTGGAAAACGGTGATGGGCAGGTTGCAGTGACTGAGGTTGGGATGTTTAACGAACCAAACATTTCTCATCGCGGTCATGAGAAGAGCGGTGCTGACATGATAGGCGATGATGGACGGGTGAATGCCAGAAGCAACCATCCTGATTGGCGGTCGAAAGATACGAGAAGATTGTCAGCTGTAGGGCTAGAAAGGCTCCAACATCAGGCCTTCCACCGCATCAAATAGCCCCAGCTGGCCTTTGATGGCCCAATTAAGGTCATGGGCAATATCTGCTCCGTCCAGAGGCTGCTGTACAGCGGCGTGGTACCCGCAATAATGCCTTGAAGGAGAAACTCCCCCTGTTCTTTTGTACGGTTCTACAGTATTCAGCCGAGTTGGCGGGTTCCAGACATTTGGTTGGCGCCGGATGTCGTGTGGTTCCTCTTTCCTATTTACACAAATGGGAGGGCCGGATGCCTCGTAAGCTGCAGCTGGGCTAGCCAGCTGAAGAGGCCCGCCCAACGTCTGACCTGGCCTGTCTCAAGCTCGTTTCTCCTCGACTTCTAGATCTGAAAGAATCATTGTCTCTTCTTGATCGCAGAGAACAAGCATTTCACATTCCACAGGCTTGCTGCAGTCAGAATCCTGGTGCATCAGTAATCGGCTTTTCACATCACATCTTGCGCAAAGCTTCCTCCACGGCCTTACGAGACCGAGTCTAGCGCCTGCTCTATCGGGGCGCGACCTAATCTCCTTGAACCATCGCTTATCCGTTGCGTTGTGACCCCTCGTCGCAAACGACTTTTCACATCATATTTTGAGTGTCTAGAAGCTCGTGGACTTCAAAGCTATAACGACGGCTATAACGGCGCATTGTCAACATTGTCGCGGCCCAAGTGCGACATTGATCGACTTGAGGACTTGGTGGCTTGTATCCCCAAATCCTGCCTTGACGCCTAAAGCACCGTACGACGACCGTTACTAAATCACTACGAAATCGGGACCAGCATGTTCAATTCCAATTTTGTCATCAAGCCGCCAGTCCTGAGCAAGAGCATGAGGTGACATTGCTCTATTCGACTCGTGCACGATCAACCAGAGATCCGAGGTCATCATCATGGACAACCACCACAATGCCTCCTTATCGAGGCCGTCGCCCAGCGCGGCTAATGGAGACAACGTTGGACTAATCAGTAACAGAGATCCCCCCGGCATGAGAATAGCCACCACTGCCACAGAGCCACCATCGTATTATCGAGGCCGGCACTCGAGAGGGAGTTCCAGAGAGGAGCGATTGCACTCCATCGATGAGGGTGAGAGCTCTTACGAACTGGTAGAGCCGACGACTCCAACCAAAGCTCGCCGGTTGAGTTCAGGCCCGTCTAGTGCGTCATCCATGCTTCGACGGTTGACGACCAAATATGCGCCCATGGGACGTCCTCATCTCCGTTCCACGAAAAAATCAAAAGGTCGACAGTACGCAACCCTAGATGACGATGATGCCGAGCAAACAGGGACGGTAGACATCACTTCCCTCGAAGGCCTTGGCTGGGAGCTGACCGACATGTCACGACCTAATTCGGCGAACCTTGGACAAGATACAGCGTACGTTCCTCGGAATGGCGCGGGAAGAAAACCAGATTTCCGCAGCTTTGTCGACAAACGCCGGTCAGTTGGCGAAGGGATGAAAGATATCGGGGTCCAGTTGAGGCGTGATCCTACAAAGGTGGTAAGAAGGTCAACAGGCGATTCCCGCAATGGAGCAAGTACTGGATTAGATCGAGCCAAAACTGTGCGACAATTGGGACAGAACCTTGCACAGGAGAAAAAGATGATCGTCGAAATCGAGGAGGCGGTCGACTTGAGTTCGCTGGAGGGCGGTCAGCCGGACAATCGGGCAAGTCGAGCTTTCGAAACCATGTCCATGAGACAAAGCATTATGCCGCAAGAGACGAAAAGTTATTACTTTCCTGAGGATCCAGACATCCCGAACTGGAAACCTTTTTCCATGAGCAGCGTCTACATCCTGTTCTTGATGGCGCTCGCTATCACCTTGGCGGGAGTCCAAGAGTATTTGTGTCAGAAATCCATCCAGCGTGCGAAAGAAAACAGCGGACTTGTTGCTTTCGACCATGTTTCGGAGATATCAACATGGGATTTCTTCGCATGGAAATGTAAGCGTCCAACTTCTAATAGTAGCACAGCATTTTACTGACCGAAACAGACCTCCCGACCATGGTATGTATCGTCTACGCGGTCTTGTTCTCCATTATGGATTTCGACATTCGACGGCTTGAACCATTCTATCAATTGTCACGACCTGGAGGTGCTTTGGCATCGGCTAGTCTGAACTTGGATCACCTCACCATGTTTCAATATTTTGTGCCGTTCAAGGCTTTTCGACTGAAGCAGTACGCCGTTCTCTTCTCCACGACGGGGAACATCATCGCATCTATGGTCGGACCGTCCTTGCAAAATCCCTCGCTCAACATGGATACCAATCAAAATCCTAAATGTGGGCGTTTGGGTTGTGGTGATTCGGGCGAAAAGCACTATTGGGTTCGAGTGGATCCTGTGTGGTCGCGACTGCTGTCGGCTAGCTACCTGATCGTAGCTCTCGTCCTGGTGGTCTTGTTCTTCCAACTTCGGCGCAAATCTGGCCTCCTTAGTGATCCCAAAGGCATTGCTGGAATCGCATCCATGGCCACCAAATCACATATTTTGCAAGACTTCTCGGGCTTGGACATGGCGACTAGGGGCAGGATCCACCGACGGCTCCAGCACCGACGATATGTGCTGTACAAATCATCCGTCTGGCAGGGCGAATGGAGTCCGACGAGCGACCCTCCGCATGACAGTGAGAAGAAATTGACCAGTCCGCATCCTATCATGCTTCGCCTGGAGTTCGGGATACCATTTCTCCTCTTCATGGTTTTCTGTATGACGGCAGTGCCGGTCATTACCCTGACAAAGGCTAGGGTGGTCCCGAATGCTGTTCCATGGCTACCCATTGTTATTGCGACCGCTTTGAAATTGATCTTCAGCACGTTTGAAGCCGATGTTCGACTCGTCGAACCATTCTACCAATTGTCCAAGGGAAACGCAAGACCTGAAAACAGCTTGACTCTCGATTACCAGGCGACCGTGTACGGTTGGATCACATTCAAAGCACTTTGGAACCGACACTACATTGTGGCGCTGGTGGGGTTCTCGTCGGTGATTCTGGATATCTTGACCGTGACTGTGAGTTCCTTTTCGGTCAACTCGGAGGTCTTTTTGAAGTTGAAGGACAAGGACGACTCCAGCGGCGACGAAACCTTTGCATCTTTCTGGGCCTCGCTCATTCTGTCGGTGACCATTCTCATGGTCGTCATTTGCACGACGTCGATTGTGTACTGGCGGCGAAGGCATCCATTCCTACCACGAGAGCCGTCGACCATTGCAGCCATATTGGCCTTTATTTACGCGAGCAATATGCTTACCGATTTTATCGACACCGAGACCTTGAACAACAAACAGATGGAGCAAAGACTGATGGGGCTGGGCAAGCGTTACGGTCTGGGCTGGTTCCGTGGCCGAGATGGGCAGATCCATTGCGCGATTGATGAAGAGCCGATGAAGAGCAGGTACGTGCACGGAAAACCGTATACCATGGCACAGGCAGGGCCATTGCAGGATCATGAGACATATTATTCTGTATAGAGATGGGAGTTTTGATGGGTGGATGGGTAAGACACACCCAAAGCGAGATATTGGACGTCTCGATCTAATGAAAGATACCTATATAGTGGGGTTATGGACAAGGTCTTATTTATGTGACTTACAGGAACATATCTGTCCAGCTTTGACATGAGCAAGGACCTCAGGTTAAAAGGTTGTCGTCATCCACGAGAGCCCATTAGTGCCCATTTCAGCTGAGTTGAAGCCGACTTACGCAAGCAACCCTGGTCAAGGCTCGCTAGATCACTCGCGATCCCTGTCCTCCACAGCCGAACTTGGACAGTGGCTTTCCAGGCATGTGAATCAGACTGGGCGAGTGGGAAATAATTGATGATCGCATCGACCGGAGATTGGCGACCACAGACGATTGGTGGCGACGGTGGTGGTGATGGGGGCGGATCGCGAAGCTGGATACATGGCGAGAGGGCCGTGGATGGCTCACTAGGCTCATCAAGAGGCAATAATAGGCGTGATAGGCTCACTAACATAGGCGGCATACTGCCCACTACTGCCACCTACCAAGTAAGTATCGTAGTGGCTCATCGTGGGTCAAGTCAACAACGCCAGTGACGTCAAGGGTTTCGGTGAAATGAATCAAGCAATGCGCAGCATGTTTGCTGCTGGCACACCTACCTGGTATTCTTCTTTCTTTGTCTGCCAAACACCACACATTCTCTGCAAAATCTTCTCCGACTTCTCACCTCTTCGCCTTCTCTCCATCTTCCTGACCTCCTCTGCAAATCCCATTCAAAATGCCCCCGCCGGGCTACGTGTTTCGCGATGGTGGAGCGACTCCTCCAGCAGAAGAGATGCCAGACTCTGAATTCCGTCAACGAGTTACTGCAGCCACAAAACCAGTGACCGCAACTGCACAGGCTCCCCTGGGTCAAAATACCACTACAAGCCACCAACTGGCCACCGGTGCGGGTGATCATGAAGTCCTGGGGACGGCTCAAAAGGCTGGTAAGGAGGACCGCACCACTAATCTGGGATGGCAAGCCAACGCTGTGGGTGTAGATACTTTGGTGGGTGGACTGCCCAATGAAGACCTGTGGACGTTGGTGAGGAGGTTCAACAAGGCAAGTATAATAAGAGACAACTGTCAGCGGACAAAGCTGATCGCGCGACTAGCAAATGTACCATGTTAAAGCCATCCCTCAAGCTCCGCCCGGTGGACTGGATCTGAACATCGCAGATGAGGACGACTTCTCGCCCGACAAACTGCGTGCCAGCATCGAGCGGCTGTACATGACTGTCATTGTGGGCTTCATTGCGTTTGGCAAACACATTGCAAGACTGAGATCATGGCGGGAACCTCGTCGGACAATTGCCTTCGCGACCGTCTATTTTCTGGCTTGGATCTTTGACTTTATTGTTCCCGTGATGTTGACCACAATCATCGTCCTCATCACAGTACCGCGGTCTCGCTCCATCCTCTTTCCTCCTGCACCAATCGCCCTGGTCAACCACAAGACAGGGGGTGTTCAGAAACCCAAAGCCGGAGTGCTTGGTAGCACCGACAGTGTGACTGGCGCACCTGAGAAATACAAGGGCGAAGCGGTTGAGCAAGAAGCTAGCAACCTTGTCAACGGTATTGCTTCGGTCGCCATTTCGAGTGCTGCAGGTCGCCATGACCAATCCAACCCGGACGAGGAGGGAGGTAGTAAGACTCTGGATAAGAACATGCCTGACCCGACTCAAATTGCTACTTCAACAGCCGATGCTTCTTCAGCGGCGCAGGGCGGAACTCCGGAAAAGGCTCATGACAAGACGAAGCAACCCATGGAGGAGGCCGTCTGGGCAAAGATGCGTCCTGCAATGCACGCCATTGGGGATATCGCGGATGTGTGGGAACGTTTTGCCAATGCCTTGTCACCTACACCACCATTTGAGCAGAACAAGCGCTTGCAATTGGGGGCCATCTTTGTTCCTGTGCTGCTTCTGTCGTTGTTCGTCAAATCACAATGGGTCGTCAAGGGTACGACGTTCTTCACTGGCTTCGCGTTCTTCTCGGATCCACTGATGCAACGAGGCATTCAGCTGTTGAACGAAAAGGTCCCCGACTGGCCGAAATACCTCGAGCTTCGGAACACACTCCTCAAAGGTGTACCTACCAATGCCCAACTTACCATTACCTTGCTCCGCATTGGCGAAGCCAATCGGGCTCCCTTGCCACCTCCACCGAGATCAGATCAACCTCCCCCAGATAAGCCGGCGGAGGACGTTGACAAGCACGCAATCACCGAGAACGGGCTTGATGCGTCACACGCTGAGATTGAAGATGCCATTACTGTCGACCAACCAAGTAGCGAAGAAGCTGTACATGGTGAAGAACAAACGAAGAAGAAAGGAGGCTTCGGCGCCAAGATACTGTCTGCCTTCAAGCATACTACTGCTGGGGGCGTCGAGACCAAGCTTACAGTAGACTCTGCTAAAGCTGCACTTGGTTCTCATCATGCCAAGGAGAAGCTGGGCGTGTTGCCCACTCGTGCTGAGATGCAGAAGAAACCGGTCGAAGGACCAGTCGAATTCCGAGGACGGTACAACGGTCGCAAGGGTGCCGTGTATGTCGACAGTTCGGTATCTCCTGCCAACGGCAGGAGACCTGCCTCGCCGTGTGTCTACTTCACGACACATCTTGATGGGCACGAGGTGGTCGAGAGCATGCCCCGAGATCCGGACTTTGCGGTGTCGATTGCTGATATCGCGGAGATCAAGAAGGTCGGTGGTCTGGGATGGAAGGGGAAGATCGTGGTTGGGTGGGCGACGAGCAGAGAGGTCAAGGATGGGATTGAGATTGTGACGAAAGATGGGAGGAGATACCGTGCTATGGCTCTTGCGGAGAGAGATGAGCTGTTCAATCGTCTGGTGGCGATGGGCCAGCAGGTTTGGGAGAGTTATTGATTTGATGGAGGTTGAGAACAAGACATCTATTACGATCAGTCCAACAGTACGGAGTATGAGCACATCAATGATTGATACGAGACTCGAATCATTCATTTCGCTTTGCTCTGTGGCTTATCAGAAGAATGAATACCCCGTGGTCGATCCCAAGTCGTCGCTACCCCTTTGTACTTGTACTGTATGGCCCATGCTCATTGATGGCCCATGATGACCCATGATGACCCTTGATGGTCCCCACTATCGGTGTGTGTTGCTCAACAAAGACAAGCGCAATCTGGTGGCTCGGCTTGATCATCATCTCATCAAACCCCTGGGTGTTTCAAAACATCGACCACTTTTTTCTCTCACTTGCCTCCATCTCAAAGCATTCTCCTAGGGCCGCGTGTATCTCCATGCACGTACGCAGTACTCGTAGTAGAGTGGCATTTCTGGGGGACCAGTCTCAAAGCTTGAAAATCAGCTTTGTCGATTCGCCGAGTCCAGTCTCCAGCTTGACTACGGACTACGGAGTACCGAAGAGAACAATCGATTTCACGATTGCTATTTTACTTGTACACTAGCAATCGCTGGCTCAACTCGGTTCTGGCGATTCGAAATCACCACTTCTACTACTTGTATGATACGGCCAGGCCAAAGCCGCCTTCGATACCGAAAATGATGTCCCCTGGGCCATACTCGTATCAGGTTCGACTGGACCCATGCCGACCTAGGTACTAATCCATGCACAGTGGATCTTCTCGTCTCCCCTTCCAGATTTCTTGGTCCTCGTATCAGAGACTCTGGAAGCACATGTTCATGGAGATGGAAGACGTACGCAACCACGCTCTCACGTACTCGACCACGTACACCACCTTTCGTGTTGCTTTTTGCTTGTTGCTTGCTGCCCAGCAGGTGCCCAGAACAACCTTGGAAGGTGGGAAATGATCTTGTCCTATCCATATCCATTCTCATCGCCATTATTGCTCGGGAGGATGACCTGTTGAAGTGTGTGCCTTTTCTCCCTTCTGCCATTTTATCGGCGTCCCTGTTGTTTTTTGTTAGTGTTGTCGTCCAGATCTGATTCCCACGTCTCCTGTCCTCTTTTCATATGCGCTTGCTCTTTGCCACTCCAGCCACCTCCCTCGCTGCCGCAACTGCAATCGCAACCGCAAGCCCTGTGTACAGTCCTCTACCTCTACAGCAGTCATTGACCACAGAACCATGTGCCCGAGTGAGCGCCTCGAGCGCCTCCTACCTGGCCGCCACGCCTACAGGTATTTTGTTCCTTCTTTCGCCCGCCTCCGAATCCCCTATGCGATTAAGTAACGTGCTTACCAAGACACAACCAGCAACCGCCGCCATCGTCGATGGAGCCCTCTTTCACGAATGCCTCCAGTCCATCCCACTCAACCAATCCGCAGCCTTGGACCTGGTGCACTCTCTAGAACCATACGTCGAACTCCAAACAACACTTGACTACCTGGCCGATCCACCTCATAACTGGCCCCATCCACCTGTCGACATCAAAGCACGTCTACAAACGCTGGTCGACGATGTGACATGCGGAAATGGAAACTACACCACAGAATACGACTTTCAAGCCGCCCTGTACAGAATCTTCCTCTCGGCCCGTGACGGCCATTTCTCCTTCATCCCAGACCTCTTCGATGTAGCAGCGTTCAAGATCCCAGGCGTGAGCCTTGTGTCCATATCACCGGACGGAAACGCACCACCGCATGTGTACTTTCAATCCGACATCGTCGAACACACCGTCACGGATGACGGGTTTCCCGCTCTGACATTGATCGGCAATGAGGAGGATCCGGCATACTATGCACCGTCGCCGATAATCAGCATCAACGGCATCGATACTGCTGCTTACCTGTCCGCCGCACTCGACGAACTACCAATTCCTTTCCATGACGCAGATGCAGCGTATAATTTCCTCTTCTTCGAGATCGCACAGACCGTCCAGTTCGGCGACCAGGCCGGGCAGGGCGCGTTTCCGAACCCCATATTCTACCCCGGTCCGGAAAGGATCTTTGGACTGGCTAATGGAAGCACAACCAGCATTCGGACGGTGGCAGAAATTCACGCGCATGCCGACTTTGACGGTGTCAAGGACGGTATTTCTGCGTACAGGAAGTTCTGCGTCCGTGATAAACCTGTGTCCAGAATGGAGGGTGTCTCATCGCCATCACCGTCGCTGCCAACATCAACAGCCCAGATAGCAGATATGGAGTTGGGGCGTGACAGTCCACAGGCGACACCGAATCTGATACCCTTAGCCTTCCCGCTGTACCCATCGTTGCCGACCGTGATGGACAAGGCGGGCCGCGTCGCTGGATACCATCTCAACGACACAGCGGTGCTGGTCATACTTGATTTTGCCGTGCAAGACGAGAGCGAGGACGACCCATCCGACTTCCAAGACACGATCGCTCGATTCCTGGAACTGTGCAAAAGAAAAGGCCAAAAAAGACTGATCATCGACCTTTTTGCCAACGGCGGCGGGACGCTCGAGTTAGGTATCGACACGGCTGTGCAGATATTTCCGGCCATCGAGCCGGTCGTGTACGGCAACATGCGTGCCTCACAGGTCCTCTATGATCTCGGACGACGGGGAAATTCTCGATTCGATGACGACTACCAGCCTGCGTCGAGGGGGTTGTTTGATGTCAGATCATTATTAAACGCGGACGGTCAGGGTTGGACGGACTGGCACGAACTTTTCGAGCAGCCGGGCTTCTTATCGCTATACAACGAGCGCGGCAAGAACGAGCGCCAGTACATACAGGAGCGCAACCACACTCACATACACGAGCACGAGCACGAACACGAGCATGGCAATTTCGACTCCGAGTTCGAGTGCGAGTCCGCCTCCAACCCGGAACGACAAAGAAACCTGAAGCTCCTAACGCAGACATTCCAATTCAACCTCACGGCGACATCTCCCCCTGGCCTGCACATGCACATGGCGCGAAAAGCCGACAACGGTCTAGCCCAACCCGAATCCGTACGCGAACCCGTCGCCGTCTTCGCCCCCGAGAATGTCGTCCTCGTCACCGACGGCTACTGCGCGAGTACATGCGCCGTCTTCGTCGAGCTGTTGACGACGATGACGACGGCACGACGAGAACAGCAACAACAACACGTTCGTGATGGTCATGGTCATGGTCATACTCGTGGCCGGGTACGGACCTTGGCCGTCGGTGGACGATCACGACGGCAGCCGAAGGGTCATGACGACGACAAGATGGAAATGGAAATGGAAATGGAAAAGCTGCTGGGGGAGCAAATGCAGGACCGGATGCAAAGCAAAATGCAAATAGTAGGAGCAACAAAAGGAGCGGCGTTCTGGAGTTTTGGCGAAATTTTAAACGGCGCGGAAAATGCGATGCGAGACCGAGGCCAGATTGCAAATGCAAAACAAAACTTTACAGACCTCCCACTTCGACGAACAATGTCCCCCGGCGCCGCGGGTGTGAACGGTGTAAATCACATCCGTAGTCCTCTTGCCCTTTCCACGGTGGCCCCGGACAGACTTCATGGACTTCACAGTCCACAACGACGCCAGGGCGACGGTGGCGACGGTGACGAGCAGGCACAAGAAGAAGAAGAAGAAGAACCTGAAACGACAGCCAAGGTCAAGGTTAAAGTCAAGGCTAAGATCAAAGAAGAAGGAAGTGTGCCTGCACATCTACCGCTGCAATTTACCAGAAAGGATGCGGATTTCCACCTCTTTCACACAAGGGAGACGTTGGTCAGGAAGGACGTGCTCTGGAAAAGAGTGAGGGATGTTGTCTTTGGAGACAACTCGTGACGTGACAAGACAACTGTCACCATCCAAGGGTACCTTTATGGCGAACCCTGAAAAGGGAAAAGGGAAAAGGGAAAAGGGAACACCAAGAAAATAGCAGTACTCCGTGTAGAAAGGACATGATAAAGGGCCATAACCCGCAATCACTAAACGTTAGAATGATACAGTACAACCACATCCAAACAGGCTTCCCTTACTGTACTACCTAGGTACTCAGCCTTCTCAGAAGCCAAAATTATCCAACAAACTATTCGCACTCGGTTCCACAAACTGGGTAGGTGGAGGCGGCGGCTTCTTCTCCGGCTGGACCTTTGGCCTGTTCTCCTCGTCTTCCTCTTTCTCGAGCTCGAAAAATGTCTTTCGCCTCTGCAATTGCAACTTTGGCGAACCGGGTCCCCCGGGAGCAGGTTCTTCCGACCGCACAGGCCCAAAGTCCCGACTCTCCTGCACAAACTCCCAGTCTCGAACCAATGCCAGAGCAAGCACGTCGCAGCCCATACGCATATACTGGCGCACGCAGCGCATGACAAAGGACCATTCACTTTTGCCGCTGACGACGTTACGCCATTTGTTCTGCTTGACGAACTGCGCGCGCAGTTGCTGATACAAAACCGCCAGCAAAGGGTCATTGGCTGTGTAACTGAGCGATCCAACCATAGTTCCCTCGACTTTGTCCAGTGGCATTCCCACCACTGTGTGAACAGGATGAACGAGGACCTGGATCGCCTCTTCCGGGCGACTGAGGATTGAATATGCCCAACTAGCCATCCATCTACCCTGTTCGCTTTCCACGGCTCGTGGCAGGATGGCCTGCTCTACTAATCTGGTCAAGATTGACGAACCTGATTCTGCGTTGTATACCCGTGCAATGGCGATGGCGAGCTGGACATCCTTTAGCTGGTGAATACACACGTTCACCGCATCCCAGAGGCTGTCAGCAAGCAAGAAGAATGCTGCAGCATAATGGAAGCGCCGCTTACTGAGAAGGGCGTAAGCGTTCTTCAATGCCGTCGACTTCCATCTTGGCTCGTGGAAGTTGTTGGCCAAAAGCTTGAGTGTGTTTTCTCTTTCTCGGACTCCAACCGTCATCCGCCAAAGACCTTGAAGGACGTTCTTCTTTTTCAGCGCCAGATAGTACAGTGAGCAGTCGGCCGGATTGCGATCTTCACGCTTGGTGAATTCAGCGCGGCCAACGTTTTCCATCTGCAGGCGCAGAGATTCTAGGTCGGATAGCCAGTAGAAGAGACCTGACTTTTGTGCAGCCTCCCATGTCAATTTCCCACCGTGGAATCGTGTTACAATGTCTACCAGGACCTCCTGCGACGTGCTCAGAGATGCAAACACGATGGCGCTCCAGGACACCTGCGTGTCATCGGAAGTAAATAACGCCTGAAGATAGCGCTGACCATTAATATCGACAGAGTGCTCTTGTTTCTCCAAGCAGCAGCATGCCTCGATTTGCTTGATGAGTCGGGTCTGCTCTGTTGGATTCAGCTGCCGCAGCTCCTGCTTCTTCAGATTCTCGAGCAAGTTGTCAGAAATTTCCGAGATAGATTGTTCTTCGACATTGCCATTGACCCCGTTTGATAGACGGTTTGAGTTGCCATAGGGTTGATCTAATGAGTCTTTGTTCATGATGTTGTCCAGTGGAAGATCCAGGAAGCTCGGCAAGCTGTCACCTTCGCTGAAGAATTTCAGTTTGCGCTGCAGGCGAAGGATGATATGTCTGCAAGTTATCAATCCTCCAATAGCAGTCAACAAAGAGATAATCGTCGGATGAAATATGGGCAATACCGCGTTGACCAGCGACATCACATCAAATGCAGAATCAGTCGAAATTCGCCTTTCAACATCTTTTAGGGGTTCGGCGTTCTCGTTGTGATGACTCTTTGCGTAGCCTTTGAAGACCAATAGCTGGATACCCGAACCTACGACCAGGTCACCGCTTCTAAGCCAGCACAAGTCACCGACCCGATGGGTTGTAAAGTCTCTTATTCGAATATGTCGCAGGTCCACCCATGCATTTTCGAGCCTCGGATAGGGATATCTGATCTGACAAAGGACAACGATATGATAGTCGAAGCACACAGCCAGGAGGGCTTGACCCTGAGGCGAGACGGCCCACGCAAATGTTTTGATGGTGTCGGTCCCATCTAACTCATGCTGGTACTCCCAGGAGCCTGTTTTGGCGTCCCAGATGCTAAGGCTCGTACTATCATCGTTGACCACCACGATCTTGCCGTATCCGCTGGCGCTCATGGCCGTAGGCTTCTCTATGTTGGTGTCAAATAGGGCTCCGGAGAACAAAAAAGGCTTGTTCGAATCAGGCTCTTCCTGAGATTTGACCATTTCGAGCGAACGATTTTTGGCTAAGGCTGCAGTAAAACCCAATGCATTGGTTGCGCGAGGATCAGCAGGACGGTCATTCGTGCTCATGTTGTCGCATATCGAAACTCTGGAGTTGAACCGATTCTGGACATGCAGTTTCACATCTCCAAGGGGCCGTATCATCTCGTGAAAGCCATTGCTCACGTTCGACGCACCATCTTTCACTGGCAAGAGGAATTCCCAAGCTTCTGCCATTCCGTCCGGGACATAGCCAACAATTACACGACTCGTCAGTGCTCGTTCACTCGAAACCCGACTTTGAGTGATACGCTCTGGTATGCGCCGTGTATCGAGTTCCAACGTACCAAGTCGGTTGGCCTTGGCATGTCGGACATCCCACAGTTCGAGGCTATGTGTGGTCAAGACCGCCGCATATCTTCCCCGGGATAGCACAATGGCATCCTTGATATCAGCCCCGACCGCCAAGGAGCTCCGGCGAAGTAGCGCCGCGGTGTTGTCGTCTCCAGAATGCTGCCAAACGCTCGCTTGGCCTTCATCCGTTGCAGAAAGCATGATATTGCCTGCAAGATTGCGGACGATCCGGTGTATGGGAGCGCTATGGCCGGCCAGGGATGATATTAATCGTGTGCGATCTTTTCTGATGGCGGTATCGAATAGGTGTGTGATCTGACTGTCGTACCAGTCGATGTCGCCAGCAAAGGAGTGTAGTAATATCGACAAAGACGAACGGGTTGCGCCGCCCGCAAAAATGCAGAACTGGACATAGTCTTCCAGAGGATCACTCAATTGCGGAACGTGGATATTCAGCCCGTCCACATGGCTGACGTGAAAGACAGACGAGATTTTATTTTTGTAGCCAGCGTTCTCTAGGCCCCATACTGACATATGGCCAAGTCCGTCAAGAACGATACAGATCTCGGGGCTCCGGTTGGCAATTTCGATTAGATGCTCGAGTGCATGATCTCGAGTGCCAGGGCTGGATGTTTGTACGGCCTGTTCGGTGGCTATCGAGAAGTCTCGACTGTCGATGATGAATGCATAGCGTTTAGTGCTCATGGAGTTCACACTCAACCTCCGTGGTTGTATGGATGCATTCATGTCAATGTCGCCCACTTGTTGCAAAAATGATAGTGCGTGAGGATCAAACGTCGTCCATGCCCGGATGTGGTTGTCCGAGCAGAAGGTATATAGAAGGTTATCCAGATTCTGTTCTAGATACCATGGTTTTCGCCAGTGTAAGTTCGTGACCGCCGCTGGATGTGGTAGGTAGGAGACATCGAACCTGGCACTTTCGGCCTCGTACGAAAGCCTCCTCCAGATCTTGACGAGTCTGTCATACTGTCCGACTGAAGCAATGAGGCTGCTGTCCGGTGACAGAGATGCAAGGGCAGTCGGATAGGCAAGGTCTTCTTCCCAGGTGATTCTGGGAGAGCCTGTTTCCGGGATGAACCAGAGAACCAGCCTTGTGCCGCCAACCAGCAGTTCCTCTGACGAGCCCCAAGACAACGAAGTCACTTGGATGTCGTTTATGTGCGTCAATTCATGTATTTGTACCCATCTGATAACACCCTCTTCTCGCCCGACGGGCCTGTAGATGTATACGTGTTCGGCATCGCAGAGGGTTATTCGGCCGGTCGCCTCATCAATGGCTATCGCAGCGAGGGACTCGACAGTATCGACGTAGATTGTTTGGAGGATGGTCTGGGGCCCGCTGAGGACGACGGCGGCATTGCCGGAGACGTAGGCCTGTATTTCCGGTTGGAATTGGACTTGAGACAACACAGGGAGGGACACTCACAACAAGACGGAGGCCATCCCAATGCGCAGTACTGAGAGCCTGCCGCTTCGACTGGGGTCGGCCAGGCAGGATGGCTCGCATATGAGGAAAGGAAACGGTGGAGTGGTCAAGAGCTCATTGACATGCTCAGAGGATGAAGCTCCTTGGATCAGGCATCGATGGAGGATTTTCACTCAGTCCGCAGAGGATGATGAATGTATTTGCGTCGACACCGTGATCCGTAGAAGCCTTGAGAAAGTGAATCTAAAGCATCTGATATGCAGCTTGTATCACATGTTTTGCGTTGCGAATAATTCTCCGCGTCAGAGGAAATGTGACAGGGATGTGAGGGATCCTGGCGGTTAGCCTGGTGAGCCTCGATTGGGCTGCGTCACGCAAGGCAGCCTTGCCGGACGACCTCGACTACCTGATGCACGAAAGCACTGCCATCGACGAGGTTACCACTCGTCTCATTCAATACTACCAGAAGACACTGCTGCAATCTTACTTTCCCTACAATGGCTCAGAAGACGTATATTCCCCTTGGTAAGGAGCCTCAATCACCTGTAGGTGTGCCTTTTGCTACACAAACCACTGACTCCCCATCCAGAGAATAACCCTGAAGTTATGACCAAGTTGGCACATGAACTAGGTCTCTCATCAACGCTTGCTTTTCAAGATGCATATAGCCTGACGGAACCGGATTTGGTGGCAATCCTCCCCAGACCGGCAAATGCCCTTCTATTCATCTACCCATGTACAGAGCACAGTGAGGCATACTATGCCCGAGTGAATGAGGCAGAACCAGACTATCAAGGCTCAGGACCTGATGAGCCCGTCATGTTCTACTATCAGACGATTCACCATGCTTGTGGGCTAATAGGACTCTTGCATTGCATTACCAATGGAACTGCCGCCGATCTCATTCAGCGCGACAGTGACCTCGATAAGTTTGTAAAGGAAGCACTACCCCTCCCACCAACAGAGAGGGCCCAATATCTTCATGACTCAGATGTTTTGGAGAAAGCTCACGCCACCGCTGCACAGGCAGGCGACAGCACGGCTCCTCCTTTGGGCGAGGATCCTGGCCATGCTTTCATTGCTTTCGTCAAGGGTAAGGATGGCCATCTATGGGAATTGGAAGGTAGAAGGAAAGGCCCGGTCGATCTTGGACAGCTCGGAGAGGATGAAGATGTGTTGAGTGAGAAAGCACTGAATATGGGACCACTTCCGTTCATCAAGCGCGAAGAGGCAGCCGGAAGCGGCGTGCTGCGGTTCAGCTGCACCGTCCTTGGACCCAGCATAGACGCTTGATTTTGGCCTCTGAAAGCCATGGTTACCGCCGTTCAGGTCGTCAGGAGAAATTCTGGGCTCTTCAGGTCCACCCAGCCCAGGTTTGGCTCACTCTGCTTCCAGCCAAGGCGTTCTTGCACAATTTTCGAATAGGTCTTCACCTCCTCAATCGGGTAGGACAAGAATGAAATTTCTTCCTGTCTATGCACTCCGGTGCATGAAAACATGGCATGGACGGTCCTGCTTTCTCGTTGCCCTTCCTTCGCAGTGCCTAGCGGCTTGTCGTATGCGCCGCCACCGTGGTATAGTGAGCCCAACATGATGAATGCTTCACCCATCTGCATCTCAGCATCTACTACGCCTTGGCTACCGTCGGCACCAAAGTCTGGCATATCGTCACCCCATAGGTGGCTACCTGGCACAACTCTTGTGGCGCCATTCGCTTTTGATGTGTTGCACGCTGGTACAAACAGGCCCAGCAGCATGTCTCGACCATTTTCGTAGGACTTTACTCTGGTGTGACGTGCGTGATGGTTCTTGTCGTCCCGATGGAGGCCTTGAGCGGATGTTCCAGGTGGGATGTCAAAGGTAATTGAGATTGACAGCAGTGGATGGCTGGTCGTCGTCAAGGGTTTATCTCCGTACCAGTGCGTTGTATTCAGTGCCAGGAAACGCTCGCAGAGGTTTTGGTAGATCGGGTCGGCGAAGAACTTTTCACGCACGGTTGGACTCCGGCCAATGAGCCGTGTTACTGTCTTGGTCTTGCCTTGCAAGGCTGGGACTATGTCAGAGATCGGAACGCATGCTAGAAAAAGGAAAACCTACCACCAACTACTGCGCCTTCGTCCTCGTCTCCCAGGAAAGGTCTGACTTCTTCATCTGCTTGCCTCAACGTGGCCTCATCCGTAAAATCCTTGATAATCACACAGCCATCCTGTTCTAAGGCTTCAATAAAGAGTGACAGTGGAGCTGAGCGGGATAGTCGCTTGACACGAGCCGCTGGTAGATGCTCGGTCGGTTTCTTTGACTCGAATGCAAGTCGCCTTGCTTGCTGCAAAACGTACGCCATCAGTCAACTATGCTCCAAACCGAGTTGGACACTGGCTGTGAGGTTTCCTCATACACCGCCTTCCAGATTTGGGAAGCAGACATTGATATAAACACGGGAAACGCCCAAACATTCGCCTAAAAAGATCCTTGGTACTTACCACTATAAATTCTCCCATATTTTACGAGATATATTCCTCGGTATCACAGGTGTTGGTGGTTGTGCGAAGTCGACGTGGTACTATCGCTGGTGCGATTGTTTGGCTGTTCTCACACCACACGGTTCTTAGAAATTCTCTCTCAGCAAGGTAGGGAGGTCGAGGAGGGATAACTAAGACTTTATCCCCAGACAAGTATAGCGGGCTCTTCCGTGTCACTTGGCGTCCGCCAGCACTGACCGGAGTGGTGCGCGCTGACTGTTGCTTGAATCCATCCCGTCCTTTTGCATAGGCGGCGACTATATTCAGACCTTGGTTCCCGGCACCGGCTAGTTCGGACATGATGGTCCTTGTAAGAATATGGATGGTCTGAACTGTTCGCTTGGGAGTATTCGGAGAGCCTGACCGACAGGACCCATATGGACGGGGAACTCCGTGGGCAAGCATGATCGAGATAAGTTGCCGCGAAGGTTGTGATCTTTCAAAAAGCACGGGCATTTCGACCCGCTGCACCGTCGTTGTTCTGTAGGACTGAGCGTGCAAGGCTGAAACATCATGTAGGCTGCTGTTGAATCGTTGTCGGGAAGGAGTCAGCGAACCGTCCTCGATATGTTATCTGCTTCGGAATTTTCCGTCGTTACTTGTAAGGTCGCGGGGAGAGACACCGTTGACCATTCTAAGCCGTCACTCTTGAACCGATAACCGGACATCAACAAGAAATCGTCTGGCTCGTCGACGTAAGTCATGACACGAGACCAAGGACTTTGCCAGCCACTCGATCCCACTCAGAATCCCACCGGTGCTTGCTTTCGAGTCTTGCACCCTCTCGAAGGAGCACGAGTTGCTTGGAGTCGGGATCGAGTACTTCGCGCAGGATATCAGCCAGTCCCTCAGCACTGTCGAAACCCCTGCCGTTCACGTTCTCGGTGACCAGTTCTGGCCATGCTGGAAATTTGCTCCAGCCTGCCACAGGAAGACCGGCTCCAAACATGTCGACCACTTTCATCGGCAGATCAACTCCGCTGCTACTTGTGTGCAAGGACACACCCAGATCTGCCGATCCTAGTAGGAGAGCATAATCTTCGAATGAGAGCCAGTCGGTGTAGATGTTGACCATCTCCAGGGCGTCACCACTGCGTAGCTTCTGAATCTTATCCAGGTAATGCTGTTTGAGCGGACCTTTACCAGTGATGACCACGGCAAGTTCTGGTAGCTGAGGATGAGAAGATGTAGCGCTCGCCGAGTAGCTGCAAAGGGCGTCCAGGAAAAGTCCAAAATCTTCGTCTGCCGTCCAAGACGTTGACGAGACAACGAGCCTTACTTTTCTGTCGATGATGGCATTAAAATGTTCTGACAAAGGTGTATATCTCTGCAGGAACGCGATGCGCTCTGAATCCGCAAGAGGCTGATACAGATTCGCTGGCCGGTCATGAAGAGTCAGAATTGGTGCTCCGATTGCCATGTCCGACTTGAGGACTGTAGCCATGGCGTTCGTGACGGTGAAGTTGGCATTGGCGGCTCTTGCAAGGACGGTCTCGTACAATTTCGACGCTTTAACCATGGGATGACCGAATCCCAGTTTAAGGGCTAAGATGGAATAGCCAAAGTTGTGCCAGTCTACGACTAGTCTTGTGTTTCGGAAAAAGCAAATGATCGTGACAACCAGGAGGGTGGGAATAGAAGGTGGATTCTATGAGCCATATCATGTCAGTGCAAGTATTGAAGAGATTACTAGTTGCCTACCTGGACCAGCATCCACTTCGAGGCTGGAACGGAGTAACCCAAGGTACGCCAGAGATGCCATGTCTGCAGTAGTACCTTTACCGGCCCAAAGGCCAGAAACAGAAGCTTGTTGCTTGTTTGTAGTACGCGTGGTGCAGGTGGTAGTGGCACGATAGTCACATTGGAATGTGCAACCAGCTCTGGCAATGGTTCTGTGTCTACGCTTTTGTCAGAGTCTTCTAATATGTCACCATTTCAACAGAAATACCTCGATAGCCGACGAGATGGACAGATCCTCCATGATCAGCTATGCTTAGAGCATGATACTGCATCCGGGGACTTCGGCCCAGATCGCCAAGGACCACGACTTGGACGGTGCATTTTTGATCGGCCGGATCTCGTTGAGAGGGAGCAAGCAACAAGACCACTGTGATTAAGGTGGAAATGATCACCAGCAGGGTCAACAGCATTATGGTGTCTGTCGATTGTGCCCAAAGGAGCCTCGTTGGCGTCTATCTTCGCGAGATGTGGTGGGCATAGAAGACACCTTTCACAGCCACGACCTTTCACATGAAGACCAGCGATTCAGTGACGTCTAAGAGACGGATTCGGTTAGGCGCCGGATCTCGAAAAAAGGGGCTTCACTAGGCGCGACTCAGGCACCAACAGGCACCACACAGGGCACCACACAGGCACCGCACCCCCTTGGCTCTGGCGCTCGCTGATCCGCAAACACATGCGCCATGCAGCTGGACCTGTGTTCCACTTCCACCACTTCCCACCAGAGAAAAACGTCTGTGCCGGGTGGGTGCAACTTGAACTCTCGGACTCTCGGTATGCTGTCAACTCTTAGCGAGGCCAAGGGGTTCATCGAACCTCACTAGGCTAAAGGAACATGCCTGTCGTGATCAATTCTAGCTAATCTTCCCCAGACACTCACCTCAACTCAACTCCCGCCTGCGCCTCGTCCAGTCTTCCAATTTACAGTACTACTTAGGACACCAGTGAGGTCTCATCGGAAGCCTCTGGGTAGCACGGACCACCGGCGCCCTTCTAACAAGCTTTGCAACTTCACCCATCCTCCGTTTTCGAGGACTTTACCAGCCCGAGATCGTTGTACCAGAGGTACCAACGCGCCTTTTCAACCACGGAGCTGAATGTCGAATCGGACGGACAAGTGCCTCTTCCTTCGCAATCGCCTGAAAGGAACATGAGTGCGACGTTTACTCTGCCTGTGGCTGCGACAGACAACTGCAATCATGGCCATTCACATGCACCTTCTCACTCCCACTCACATTCGCGCTCGCACCAAAGAAATCGAGCAGGAAGCCGCCTGACTGCGCCTTTCCCTCTGGCGCGAATACCCTCAGAATCGGTCATGAACACGAGCGACATGCACCGCCCTCCTCCGGTCGACACGCAGCTTCATCAGCGTGTCAGCCCTGCTCCCAGCCTCGATCTCTCCGGCTCGCAGTTTGTGTCAAAGAGGAGGGATTCAGAGCAGATTGCATACACATCTCCTACAGGCACATCAAGACCTACATTCCAGCGGAATTTCTCCAAGGGTACGCAGCTGCTGTTACATTCAACCGAAAGATACTCTCTCCTGCATGGCATCCTCGCAGACAGCGATTCGCGGAGGATCTTTTATTTCATGATTCTCAATTTGTGCTTCATGGTGGTCCAATCCACTTATGGTGTCTTGACAGGATCTCTGGGATTGATCAGTGACAGCATACACATGTTCTTCGACTGCGTGGCTTTGCTGGTCGGTGTTTGTGCTGCTGTCATGAGCAAATGGCCTCCTAGCCTTAAATTTCCCTATGGCTATGGGAAAGTCGATACTCTTGCTGGCCTGGGAAATGGCATCTTTCTCATGCTCATCAGCGTCGAGATTATTTACGAAGCGATCGAGCGGTTGTTCACTGGTGCAGATGTCAGCAGAACGACGGAGCTTCTACTTGTCAGTACTCTCGGTCTTTTTGTAAACCTGGTCGGTATTTTCGCGTTCCATGGTCTGCACGATCATGGACACGACCATGGTCATGGGGACAGCCATGTGAGCCACGACCACGACCATGATCATGACCACAAGCATACACATAGCCATACTGACTCGGATACTCCATTGACCGCCTCAGCTTCCCCAATGAAGGGCAAGAAAGCTGCAGGCGGGCACCATCACGGAAGCGAGAACATGCAAGGCATTTATCTCCATATCATGGCCGACGCACTCGGTTCGCTAGCCGTGGTCGGATCGACCCTTCTCGTCCGATGGACTGGGTGGAGCGGATGGGACCCGCTAGCATCGTGTCTCATCGCCATTCTTATCTTCGCGTCCACGATTCCCTTGGTCACGACGACGACAAAAACTTTGCTGTTATCATTGAATTCAGACATCGAGTACAATCTCCGTGGCATACTCAGTGGGGTAGCCGAACTTCGAGGCGTTGTGGGCTATACGGTGCCGAAATTCTGGCTCGAGGATATCAAGAAGGAACCTGGCCATCATCATGGTCATTCTCATGGTCATGGTCACCATCACCACGGCCACTCTCACAAAGATAGCGACAGCAAATGTGGGCATGGAGGTGAAGACCCTACAGTGGTGGGTGTGATACATGTCATCGCCTCACAGACGGCCGATCTTGATGATGTTAGGGAGAGAGTAGGCATGTACCTGCGCTCTCGGAAGATGGACGTGGTCGTTCAATTAGAGCGAGAAGGAGAGCATAAGTGTTGGTGTGGTGGAGGACAGAAATCTTAGCTGACACCTACTACTCTCAGCTATCCAACATGCCTGTGACGAAAATGTTCGAGTATCTTACCTATGTACCTGTATTCTCGGGCTGTGCTTTACGATACACGAAATGATATGGGATGTCAGTTGTTATACTTCGTAGATCAACCAGGGCTTGCAATTAGTGACCCGGGATTTGGCAAATCTGGTACCTCGTAAATCTTGGTATCCGACTCCTGACTAGGCCACAGATTCGGCTGTTTCGCTTACTACGTACAGTAATTGTCGCCAATCGGGTCTCTCCCTAACCGAGGTTACCTTGCTGTATCGAGTAGTAGTGAGGCTTCACAAGAAAGATGGAAGTCATTGCGAGCGTGTATTTGTACTCGCCATCTACCAGCATAAAACTGAGTTCACCACTATAGTGCTGGTATTCTAGAGGTACTAGTAGTTGTTCCTGTGCTCCCGTCGGTGTCTCCCCCAGCTATTTGTTGTCACCGCCCACAGCGAAACCTTTCATTTGCTTTTTTCATACCAGTAGTACTGCGTATATCCCGTTGTAATGCTTGCTTAATGCTTGCTTAGTGCTTCTGCTCAGCCTCCTTCGCTTTGTTTGCCGCTTTGTTGCCCGTGGTGTTTTGGACCTCGTCAGGGTTGCCGGACAACTTGTTCTCGGCCGCGGTACCTTCGGCCGATGTTCCCTTGACGGTGTGTGCGTCTGGTGCATCTTGCACGGTCATGGCGCCGTCCTTTGTCATGGCTGGCTTGTCGTATGCGTCGCCCGTGATCGCAGACTGGATTTTGTCCATTGCGAAGTAATATACTAGTACCCAACCTGGGTGTATGTATGGCCTTGTATGGGAAGAGTGTTTTCTGTCGGTGTAGGTGGCGTAGAGTTGATTTACGGAGTACCTGGTAGGTACCTGCAGTGATTTGGTGGCTGTAGTACGGGTTACGGAGGATTTCACACCTCCAATGTAGAGAAGCGACTGCCAGTGGTCCTATAAGTCAATACTGACCTCAGGACAAATACTGACCTCAGGACAGGGCACACGTCAGGACAAGACAAGACAAGACAAACGTCACATAACCAAGGAATGCTCCGAACCTTAGTACGTCATGTTCAGCTCGGACGGGCACAGAGGTGTGTCGTCATTAAGGTACAGTCACGAAGGATACTCGCGTATCTAGGTATAGACGACAGGAACCAAATGTCAATACTAGTAGTAGGTAGGTAGTGCATTATTGGCACCTGCTCGTCATTATATCGCATGCCCGCCCACGAGCGTGAAGCCTTCCAAAAGTAACCCATAGCGAGGCTACCAACAGCAAACCCCACGGGGACAACCACGGTATACGCACCTCAGGTAGGTACGGTCAAATAAGAACCCAACTCGCCCAAACCCAAACCGCCTCACCGACCAATCCCAACAACAAAACCACAATGCCCATAACCAGTCCAACGCCCACACGACTCTGCGCATCGCGTTTCCAACTCAATGTGTAGGGTCTTCCTTCCACAACGGTGGTGCCATTGCCCTGATCGGCACCTCTCCCGGGAAGGCCAAAGAGAATCCACATCAAGCTCGTGAAGACGGCCATGAATAACACCAGACCCAACATGCCGACGATCTTGCGCAGTGAGAAGGTGTAGTGTAGATAGAGCGTCGGTGGACCAGTACCAGCACCACCACCAGCTTCACCACCTCGAGGAGAGGACAAAGCACTTCGGTACGACAATGGTTGGAAGGGCATGCGTGGGATCTTGATGCTCGGTTGATGAGCAAAAACTCTGAGACTTCCCATTCCGGAGCCACTGAAGGTAGCTGGAAGGGAGACGGAAGTCAGTGGCGCCGCCATCGGATTCGAAAGGACCTGGTCCAACTCGCCACCACCACTGTTGTTGCGTGAGTGGATGAAACTGAACACGGGACTAGTCTGGCTGTCCGGGCTGCTTTCATTGTTGTTCGCCGTGGCGGTTGCCATGGCCATGGCTCGCGACATGGCCATCCTGGAACGTCTTGTGACTGGGGACTCGGTGGACTGAATGTTGCGTAGCCAGAGGAGCCACATCTTCCGACGGCGGCCGCTGCGTGGGTGTAAGAGGTGGCGGATGAAATCAGCGCCGTCGATCTCGAATCCCAAGCCCGACGACGATGGTCCAACACCTCTTCCAGCGGTGGCGTCAGCGTCAGTGAGGCCCACATAAGACAACGAGCGTGCACAGAATAACTGGCGCGTAATACCCAGCAGTTTCTCGTTGTATGCGGCTCGGATGGCGGTGAAGAGTTGCTCGTCGTCGAAGGTTGTTTTGTCAGTGACTTCGACTTCGATGGTCACTCTTGCGGACGGGTGGCGGGCTAGGCGCAGGTCTAGAAACAAGATCTCGGGTGCCACGGGCGATGGGAAGCGGTCTGACTTGGCCGTCGGTGGAACTGGGACGACTGGCTTGGTGGACAATGGGACCTCTGGTGGCTGCTGGCCATGGCCTTCCTTGGTGGTTTGGACGGTGGTAGGGTCCTTTTCGTCGAGAGCATCGTGCTCGTCGGGTGTGAGGGTCGAGGGTGCTGGGTTCTCGTTCTGCTCCGAGGTGGACTTCTTCCGGGTCGAGAGAAGGCGAGCTGTATGACGCAGACTCTTGCTACTCTTGACAGGCTTGTTGTCCTTTTCTTTGTCTTTCTTGATTGAGAGAGGAGCGACTTCGTCAATCTCGCCGATACTGCTATGTCGAGCCGGGTAGGGTGTGCTCACAATATTCTCGCGGAAGAGTTGGTGGTTGTTGTTGCCGCGGTTGATGACCAGGTCTGCCGGGCGAATCGTCACGCGGCGTGAGTTGCGAACAGGGGCTGAGATGGCGCGGGAGAGTTGCTTGTCCAATTCTGTAGGAGGGTTGGAGCGCAGGCCGTCAATGGACGGTGGTGAGACGTACGTCCCGCTTGAAGTTGTTGTGCCGGTTGCTGTTCGAGGCATGCGGACCGAGCCAAAGCCACCCAGGGGCGTAGGCAAGGTGGAAAGGGCCGAGATCCGGCCTGGGGTGTTAGGGTATTCGATCACGGTCTCTTTCATAGTGTCGTTCTGTTCGGCCCTCGATTCTGTGGGCGAGCCTTCGAGAGCTTTGAGTGCGTCGGCCGGCCCACCTAGGCTCACGGGCTTGTCTGCGTCTTGATCAGGCGCTGTCAATGCTGAAATATCACTCATTCCAGGAATATTGTTCGAAACCTGGGAAATCTTGAAAGCGGAGGATTCGCCATCTATCGCTGTAGAGTGAGGAGCATATAGCTTTGGGACAGAGCCACCAGAGTTATTGCTGTGTTGGACAATCTGAGGTCTGGCCACACGAACACTGCTTGCCCGCTGGACTACAGGTGAAGCCTCGCTTGAGTCGTCAGAAGCAGAGTCGTAGAAAGATTTCGGCTCTTTAGGACCAGTGACGGCCATTGGAGGCATCTCCATGTCTCCGGTGGTCAAAAACTTCTTCGTGACTGGATCGTAAGACCGGTCAACAGGACTCGAGTTTGTGGTATCCTTGGATTGTCTGTTCTGCTTCATCTTCTTCTTGAGAACGTTCGCCTTCTTAGAGGGCAGTTGTCCGACGGCCTCAGAGGCTTCCGATTCTGTCGTCGTCTTTGACCAACGGCTGACCTCCCGCGCCGTAGGATCTCGATCGCGCATCGGGTGTATCAATCGTGACATTCCTTCTCGCCAATTCGTCCCCATAGCTAGAGGAGAAGGTGCTCGCGGTGGAAGTGCAGGTGCCATTGTCGATGTAGATGTCGATGCAACGCCGGTGACAGCAGGTGAAGCGGGTCGATCGAGGTTAGCAACTCTACGGCCCAGGCCTCGTATTGGACTTGTCGGATTGAACACCATTGATATGAACGCCCGTGACGCATATCGAGAGGTTTAAAAACGGTGACACTGCCGACTGATCTTTTAAGCATCGCCATCGTGGTAATCGCTTGCGGCGTGGATGTTGATGAAAGAACATTTCCGTTTGCGGCAATGCTGCTTCGAGATGGACGTTGACAGCAGCTCTCAGGATGATAAGTCTGGATAGGATGACCGTTTCGGACAGAAAACAAAGAAGCTCTGCAAACGACGCATATGAGATGGCCGATTCATCGCAACTTCTAAATATGTTGGTGACACAAAGTCCATCTCGAGCCGCATTCCAATCTCACCCACGAAACTTGCCTTGGCAATACGGGCAAATATCGAACTTGTCGAATAGAGCTTGACTCAAGCTTGGACCATCAGGTATTTTCAGTTTGCCGACATCCAGGAATTGCCTACCACATTTGGCACAATACTTTGAGATACCAGGCTCCTGGATAGCCACGAAGGAAATATTGCACCGACTGAACTGGTGGCCGTTGATGCACTTCACTGATGTCGATGCTGAGGAAGGAATCCTTGCGTCACAAATTTCGCACTTCTCTTGTTTCGCCGTTGTCAGGGCGGCATTCCCATGGCCGGATTCGGTAGCATTTGCTACTTCTTTGTCCAAGTCCATCTTATCATCATTGGAGTTCTCTTTTCCTGCACCTCCTTCATTGGTCAATGCTGCCGAGAAGCGAGGGTTTGAGAACTGCTGTGATATCGAGTTTGCCCAGTCCGTCAAGAATTGAGAGGACTGAAAATCTTTGTGAATTAGTGCCACAGCATTCCTGGCAATGCTTCTATCCAAATCTGACCGAAGCAAGTCTGGATCAGTCGCTGCAACAAATGTGAGCACCTCCTCATGCACAACTGGATCGTCCTTTATAGAGTCCACGACCTTTGCCTTCGCTCGAATTCTCGTAAACACAATGAGTGCATGCCGATGGGCAGGTATGACAGCCTCGATCATGTCGGACGGATGGAAAGAGATACAGGCCGCAGCCTGGCTCTTGTCAGGAGAAAGGGCAATGCCGTAAAAATGAGTACGCACTCTGCCTCCTAAGCTGAATTTTGCATCGAATTCTGAACGTGGCTTCCGGATGGCTGTTGCAAAATCACTTTCCGAGAGTTGGCCAACCCGAGACGATTTGATTGGTTCCTCAGACTTCCTTATGAAGAGCTCAATACCAGGGCTCGAAAGAGGATCGTCGGTTTTCTCTCTATCTCCTTTCTGAAATTGAAGGGAAAGCATTGCAGGGGAACGACCATAAGCCCAGGTCACCTTCAGGGTAAAGGTTTGCTTCTGAGAGAATGTGTTTCCCCTTTCGTCGCGAAGGCATTCGGAGGCCTCCATCTTGACAATAGGCGAAGACTGGGAAAGAACTGACCGTAATTGACCTCTCATTGTATGTTCAGGGCTCGCGTGCTTCATGTCATGCTGTCCTATCAATTCGAACCGCCAATTGCCAATATTTGTGCTCTTGCTTTTCGAGATTCGCCAGAGGGTGATCCTATCCAAACCGTCGGCGACCGCCAACACATGGTCACCCCAGTTCGAAGATGCTGAAAGCTTGACTGGCGGTAACCAGCAAAATGCACGGACTCTTCTCCTTCTTCGGTCTGACTCGCGTGAACCATCCAGGTCTGCTCCAATTGACAAATACTGATTGACAACGCCTGTCCGCTTCCATATGCCTGATATTCCATTAGTTTCCCAGATTGAAAAGATCAGATTTGAGGTCAAAATCGCGAGCACACTCCTTCGGTGGACACCCAGGCCAGGGGGGGACCACTCGAGCGCGACAATCGTTGAATCTGATAGTTCCTCTCCGATTGAAAAGTGCTTGATAGTGGACATGTCCGCAAACGGCCACTCCGAAGCCTCGAACTGGTTGACTGGGAGCGTAAATTTGTGCCATTGCTGACCACCGGACAACTCTTGCGAGCTTTTCACATCAACAGGCGTCAAGATCTGTACGACCTCACCTGCGGCAACAGCCAGATCTTCTGAGGACCAGCTCAGTGCACTTTCACATGTTGGCCAGTAGCGGAGATCGACGGGCTCAAGGTGACCAGCAGAGTTAGTCATGATTGCGCAGGAAGGCGTGGAACAGGGAGAGCGCGACAGATGGTGACAGCTTCATCCCAGAAGGCTCACAGAAAAACGTGATTGCTGCCTTATTCGATGGTTTGGGCGGGCGTATTCCTGTACGTTTGCAACTGGCTTCTCCGTGGGAGTGTATGCAACCTAGAGGTGAGATCTACTCTCGATTACGAGACAGCAGATTGTCGCCTTTTCAGACATTGGGAAAATGTCAATCCTCAATCCCTCAATCCCTCAATTTCGTGGCTCGAAATCCACAGCCTGACGCCAAGCCATGCCAAGCCCGTGGATTAATAGTATCACGTGATGAGCAGGCTGCACAAGGCGATACGAGTTCTGATTGGTTTACATGCCATGATTGAGGCTCTAAGCTCGGTATCCGTTGCGAGTACAACAGAATTCGGTGCGACGCTCTGGGCATCAACATCGTCAGCACCGTTTCGTTTCTTGTCTCTCACCTTGCAAAGTAACCAGAGGAACCACTTGGCTTGTGCGACACTGCATGACGAGCAACTTGATCGGCTCTTCCCACAAGTGGACTTTATCCCTGAGGAGTCAGCAAACATGCAAGTCAGCATCATAGCCCATCCGTGGCACAGGGACTCCGTAGGTACGAAGTATCCGTACTATCCTTGCACGGGGCGCGTCAACAAAAAGACCACTCTCAAGGCGTGACATGCGATTGAGGTCGGGAATCCCTCTATATGCAATTCTATATCATGTGAGCGGGCATTTATCATCTACACTAGGTCAGGAAAATCCCCTCTTCATTTGGCTTGCTTTGCGTTGGTTTGATGTTTTCGTCACCGAGAATTGTTTGTTTTCAGAGCCTCCACCCCTGTCTCAGCCTATGTCTGTGGGCAACCCATTAGCTTCGGACGCCGAACCTGAAAAATTACAGTCACATGACAGCAGTTCTCGCAGCGCCACCTCAATGGTATCAAGCAAAACAGAAGCGCGACATTTCCACGCTACGGACATGCCAATCTCAGTCAAGTGGCCCCTGTGGCTGTATCAGGGGAACTGTGCGGAGAGCCAGTGGCTGTATCTTGAATGTCCCAAATTTGGAACACATGGCTGGGATCCAACCATTAATCCGGTTAGTAGGCGTCATCCACGACTCAAGCTAACGCACGTCTGGTGTACCGCTAAGGTATCGAGTTGTCAGATTCAATTCTAATTCTGGGGCTGAGGATCAAGAAGTTGCCAGACAGCACCCTAGCCTTAGCCAGCGGACACTCTTACGGCTTGTCCTCCCACTCATAGCATTTTCATTTCAACTGCGCCCTCTGTTTTGCGCCTATCAGGTCAGTTGGTTCACTAAACCCGGGAACTGCCCAGCCCAAATCTATTCCTTGCGCCCAGGTCACGTCAAGCCCTCATATTACCACCTGGATCCTTCCACCCCCGTCTCCTTTTGTTTTGCCCTTCCATAATATACCCCATCCCTTCGTTAGGTTTTCTTGCTTCTTTGCAATTATCATTGCGAAGGAGTCGTCAATCATGGCGGCCTCTATCTCGCCGTCGGTCATCATGACCCAAATTCACAATTATCTCAACACCAATGAGACCTCCGACGCTCTTTTCCAATCCCAGAACGCATTCAACGCCATTGGAACCTACAAATGGTTCATTGGCACGGGCATTTTCGTTCTCGTCACCACCATCCAGATCATAAGATATATGATGAGAGATCGACCACCGCCGGGTCTCAAGCTCCTCCCCGGTCCAACCAGCACGATCCCCTATATCGGACGGGTGCATGATGTCGACCCCAACGCGCCTTGGTTCGCTATGAAAAAGTTTTGTGATGAATACAATGGTATATTCCGTTCCACCATTTGCGGTGAGATGCACATCTGGGTTGGTGATGCGAACATCGCCTACGATTTGCTCTGCAAGAAGGCCAGAATCTACTCGTCTCGCCCGATGGTGCCTGCTGTCCCAGGGAGCGACTCTCAGGGTCAATATCTCCCGCTTCTGGCTCATGATGGTAAGTTTGGAACCGGAACCGGTCTGCTTCGACTGATAGCTGACCTTTTCAGACCATTGGCGCAACCAGCGCAAGTTCGCCCACACCGTCCTGACTGCAGGCTTCAACTCCAAGTATTACGGCTATGTCAGCCACGAGGCCAAGAGATTCATGTACAAGCTGATGCTCGACCCGAAGGACCACTATGCCTTGACCGATCGGTTCTGCGGTCGTATCAGCGCCCGTCTCGGTTACGGCAGCCCAGCATCTGCTGCTGCGCACTGCAAGAATGCTGGTGAATTTATTCCCCAGATCTCTCCTTCTGGTCCAATCACCAACCTTCTGCCCTTCCTTGGCGGTCTTCCTGAATGGATCAACCCCTCAATCCGCAAGGTCCGCGAGCGACGTGAGAAGGAAGAGAAGTTGTGGAAGGGTCTCATGAAGCAAGTCCGCGCTGAGATGGACCAAGGCACTGCTCCCATCAGCTACGCCAGAACCTACTTCGAGCGCAAGGAAGCCGAAGCTGGCTCTCGATCCTTTGGTTTCGATGACCACGAGGCCGCCTATGCTGTTGGTATGTTGGTGACGGTCGCCATCTTCACGATTGGTGGTCCTCTCTACTGCTTCTTCCTCGCCATGGTGCTCCACCCGGAATGGCAACAGAAGATCCGCGACGAATACGACGCAGTCATTGGCGACCGCGTTGTCGAGGTCTCTGATGCGCCTAACCTACCAATCCTCCGAGCTTGTATCAAAGAGTGCGTCAGATGGCGACCACCAGTCCCGCTTGGTGTGCCCCGTCTCCTCGAAGAAGATGATGAATGGAACGGCTACTATCTCCCCAAGGGCGCTGTCATCCACGCCGTCGATCTCGCTCTTGCCCGCAACCCCGAACTCTACCCAGACGCCGAGTCCTTCCGACCAGAACGATGGCTCGAGAAGGAATTCCCAACATACAAGGAGCCACTCACCGAGCACCCCAGGCTTATGGGTCACCACGGTTTCGGCATGGGTCGCCGCATGTGCCCTGGTATCGAAGTCACTGAGGCTGAGCTGCTTGTCGCCTGCGGCAGCATCGTTGGCTGCTTCGAGCTCAACCCGGTCAAGGATGCCAACGGTCAACCTAAGTGGCCCGACAGCTACAACTTTACACCCAACTTAATTGGAGGCCCTCTTCCCTTCGAGATGGATGTCAAGGTCCGAAGCCCAGAGAAGGCCGCTCGCATCAAGGTCTGGTATGAGGAGAGCGTGGCTGATGAGGCTGCTGGCAAGATTGCCGCTGGCTTGTAAAGAGATGGAAATAATTTGATTAGCTACATTTCTGATCTCAAGTTTGGATAGGCACTGATTGTTGGAACTGCATGGCGTTGTTGGGAGACCCGAGATTTTAAACAGCTTCCAATCTAATGTTGTGTGTGTATGAAGACGGAGTTTTTGATGTCAATGCTGGGTTGGATAATGTACATAGTCTTTTGAAGATGCATGTATGAATCTGCACCAAAAGCCTATGCTTTCCTTTTATACCTCTTCCTCCAGGAGGAGCCTTGAATTCCTCCTCGATATCTCTCGACCTTGCTCTATGAATGCGCACCCCAACTTGGTATGATATCTGGCGTCGTCATATTCCTTAACCTCATATCTGATTGGTCAGTCACTCTACATGATCTGTTGATAAGGGGACGTCGAATCCCGAGTCTCGTCGCTCTTCTCTTTTTTTGTCACGCTACTCCGTACGAGCTCTGCCATATCCGATATCTTGTTCAACTCCAGTCAAATTTGGGGCAGCAGTAGTAAAGGTCTCCCCGAGTCGAGTCAGGATGCCAGTGGATGCCCAACTCCAATCAACTTTTCCACAGCATGGCAAGTACAACAACCCCTGTGTTTACCGTGCAAATGCTGCAGCTTGCCCAGATGTGCAGGTCAACCACGAACACAGACGCCATTGGATCTCGCTTTGGATTTGACCGTTCGATGTCGAATTCGGCAGGTGCTTCAGATGTCCCTCGCACTTACTTACTGCTTTTGATGCCCAATGCAATGTCTTTTCTTCTTTGAAACGATCTTCCTCTGATTGGATCTTGAGTCGACATACGGCATTTACCTTCTGCATAGATTTGTGTTATCCTTGTGTTCTTTATCTATTTGCCTCGTGTACTACTTTGTCAAGTACTTATCGCGACCTCTTCGAGAGTCACTGCGCCCGAACAAGATAATCGACTTCAGTCGCGACGCAACTCCCAAGAGAGTCAGTATGGCCTCTGAGAGCAATACAGGTTCTTCCAACGACTTTGGCGATACTAAGAATGTGTTCATCCAAGATACGGGAGATACGCGCGTACTCAGCGCTCAAGACGAAGAACCTGCGATCGAAAACGACATCCAGGATGTGTTCGAGGGCATCCATGGCGATACTTCAAACGACATCAAGGATATGCTTCGTCTCGGAAAGAAGCAAGAATTCAAGCGGGATTTCTCCTTATCTCGACTCTGGGATTCATATCCATTTATATGGCCACTTGGGAATTCGTGCTCGTCTCACTAGCCTCTGGACTTATCAATGGAGGATTTGCCGGACTCTTCTGGACTTTCCTTGGTACTGTACTGTGCTACAGTAGCATTGTCGCAAGCCTGGCAGGAATGGAATCAATGGCGCCTACAAGCGGAGGCCAGTACCACTGGGTTAGCGAGTTCGCACCGGAATCATCTCAGAAGTTTCTCAGCTATGCCGCGGGATGGATGAGCACGCTGGGATGGCTTGCCAGCGTCGCTAGTTCAGTCTTCGTTTGCAGCACCCTGGTCCAGAGTTTGGTCGAGATTACGGACGAGGAGTGGGTCTTTCCAAATGGGAAATATACTCTGCTGAGTATCGCCTTCCTTGTGATAACTATTTTCTTCAATACATGGGGGGCAAGGAGCCTTCCTATGATCGAGACTATATCTCTTTTTGGTCACATCCTCTGCTTTGTGGTGACAATTGTCCCACTTTGGGTCATGTGTCCAAAGAACAGCGCGAAAGATGTCTTCACAATTTTCGTTGACAGTGGAGGCTGGGAAAATATAGGGGCAGTCCTACCTCGTCTCGCAGGTGTCTGTCCCATACTGCAATCTGGGTGAGATTTACCAGGTGCATGCTTCAAGTTTTGCTGACACTACATACAGGCTCGGACTCCGCATGCCATATTTCTGAAGAAGTTTCGGACGCCGGCTTGACTGTGCCACGAGTGATGTGGTGGTCATTTGTCCTGAATGTCCTTCTTGGTATACTCATGCTGATCACCATGCTCTTTTGTATCGGTACCCTGGACGAAGCTGTCAATGCTGAGGTGCCTTACCTGCAACTCTTTGTCAACACCGGCAGCAACGCTGTCGCCTTCGCTCTTACGATCATCCGCTTGATCCTCATCTTCAGCGGGAATATTACGGCCCTGGCGACCACCAGCCGCGAAGTTTTCGCCTTTTCTCGAGATCGAGGGTTTCCATTCTCGAAATGGCTGAGCAAGATGGAAAGAAAGCGAAACATCCCATTCAACTCCGTATATGCTACTGCCTTCTGGTCAGCAGTTCTTTGCGTGATTAATATTGGCAGTACCACGGCGTTCAACATCATCATCTCACTTACGTTGCTCGCCTTACTCAGCACATACATGTTATCAATTGGATGTGTGTGTCTGAAGCGGATCAGAGGAGAGCCACTCCCACCAGCAAGATGGAGTCTGGGTCGATATGGAATGGCGATCAATTTATTTGCATTCATTTACTCCGCCTTCGCCATAATCTTCAGCTGTTTCCCGGGAAGCTTGCCAGTCGATACAAGCACGGCAAATTGGGCGCCAGCTGTGTGGGTAGGTGTGATGCTCCTCAGTTTCGTCACATATCTACTTCACGGGAAGAAACATTTCACTGCGCCTGTGACGTTTGTCGAGGGGATCAGAACGGGAGCCTTGCAAGGTACTGAGTGAAAAGGTAGCCACTGGCATTGAATTCATGAAGTATACGAGGTTACAATTTCTGTAACTGTTGCTGCCCGCCTGTCAACAATTACACGATTCACCTTCTCGTTCCCCGCCACGACTACCTATCAGACTGTTCAGACCGGCCAACAAGGGACGTTGCAGAGTAACAGCAGACTTCATCACTATCATGTTGATGGAGTTCCCAATTTCAGGCAAGACTATGTTGACGCACGGAGAACAACACTTCCCTGACTGCCAGACGCTTGCTGCCTCCTTTGCTATTTCATCCTCTGTTTTGGAAGCTACAATTTGATCCATCCAAGTACTGCTCACGTCCACACTATTAAGTCCATCAACCGTTCATTCGAAGAGTACTCGCAGATACTACCTTCAGACAGCAATGGCTAACTCGGTCGATATTTCTTCTGGGCCGAAGTCATGGTCTGAGCTACCTCAACCACTTCCGGAGCATGATATGGTGGAACTTGAACACAAAGTACACTCGTGCGAGGAGGTCATCGGATACAATTTCAAGAACAAATACCTATGCTTTGAAGCACTCCTAACATACAGCGCGACTGTAATTCACGATGGAGCTGAGCTTATCGTTCGAAAGAACGACTCGCTTGCTATCCACGGCGACGCAGTTCTAGACGTCCATTTGTCCTCTCTTTGGCTGAAGACCGGACGGTCGAAAGGTAAGCCGAGCCCCATGACCGTCGGCTTCGTCCGGGGGTAAGCGTACTAATGCAAGCGAGTAGAGGAGTATACCACTGTACGACTCGAAGTCGCTGGCATCAAGAACTTAGCAGCGATCTGCCTGGATCGCGGCCTCGACGAGTGTGCTTTTCTCGAGGAGAGAACTTGGAATTTGAAGAGTTCTCACCGTGCGAGAGCGACGTTGCTTAAGGCGGTGATCGGAGCGGTGGCTCAGGATACGAAGCTAGATACCAATGTACTCGGAGGGCTCTTGTTTCGACTGGGGTTCCGGCATGAACTCTTGGAATCGAGAGCAGAATGAACTGCAACAACGTGTCGATATGTTGCTCGGGGTGTACGTCGCTTGCGACTACCCACCGGATACCTCTTTCGAAAAGTTCTCGCAAGGCATCTTATTTCGACTAAAAGGATACCTCCTTTCATCTCCAGTGTGCCGCGGCGGGCATGACTGTAGAACAGCTTGTGAATGGATTCGGACGACATGGGTTTGTTGACCAAGGTGTGCGTCGGGAATTGTTGTTGATATGGTTGTGCTTTACATTCAGCAAGGAAAGGAGTCAAGGGCATGGCTAGGATTCTGTCATGAGGTGCTTGCGATTGGGATGGTTGTTGATTTGAATATCAGTTGCGCTTTGCTGAAGCCTGGGACAGGATAAGGGATATGGGTCCATGACTTGCCTTTGCCTTGCCGGGTCACCAAACCCTTGAAGTGCAATTTGTCCTTGAGAGGCGAGTACTGAGATTGTGCTGAAGGTTACAGTGGTGTTTATCGGCTTATGCCAGGGCTCTCCCTTTCTTTTTGTCTCTCTTCTTCGGAAAATTGGTGTGGTTGATCTTCTCGAGATGTCTGTTCTTGGGTTTGGATCGAGCGCAGAACATCACAGCTTAAATGCTGGTTACTAGTAAACACGTTCAAGTTAGCTAGACTGCGAATTTGATGTTGATTTCGAAAACTATGTATCAGGTTCACACTCCATGGTTTTGTAAGAATGGTTCTCAGGTGGAAACGCTTGAAGGAGGAGACGTGAAAAGCCTCAACCACGACAGGATAGCCTTACCGTATACATAGTAAGATGGGTAGTAGATATGGGACGCGGGCCGAGTCAGCACGTGCCTACTAACTAGGAATTTGCATTCCTATGACATCGCAATCTCAACCCACTCTTCACTACCATCATTCTTGGATATTTGCTATGGAGAGACTCGTCCAAGCAAGCCTTACGCTCCATACGGTGAGCCAGTGACCGGCGCCGCCGCCGCTCTTTGTCAAAGCTCTCGAAGCTCTCGAAGCTCTTCATGCTCGCCGGGTAGCCCTGCATGCCCAGTCACGGGTAGGCGGAAAGCACAACCCCTGTACTCGTGGGGGACCTTTCGTCTAACGATCTTGGCATCACGTCAGTTGAGGCAAGACACGGCCCTTCTGCGGCATCCCGCAAGCCTCCCTACTGGTAAGTTGCCAGGGCTAGTGAGGCTTGGGGGACGGGTGAAGAAGGAAAACACAATTGCAGGCCAGATCGACAAGGCAAAGCAATTCAACTTGCCTAGCGCTGCAACACAAGTCTGTGGACCCTGGATTGATGACCTCCTCGGTGCTCCTCCTTCCAGCACCTGACCAGTAGGTGCCAGTCCTATGTACGACTAGGGGCTACATGGTAACAGCGGTGCACACCGTCCAACAAGGAATCCCATGGTGGAGAGGCCGGTTACATAGTACGCACGAGGTCGTTTGCTTTTTCGCCGTGTATCCGATCTACCATCTCTGGGCAGGTGAACGGATCGGCTTTGCTTTTGGAGTTTCGTCCTCTTCCGATTGTCCTCGATCTCCTCTCTTGACTTAACCTCCAGTGGGCTTTTCTCCAGAGGCCGTTCTCCCCTACTACTACTACTACTACTACTACTACTACTACTGTACAGCAAAAGCTCCTGAGCACTCCGAGCAACCCGAGCACCGAGCACCGCGCAGAAAAGGGATTCTATTCCACACACACCCCCAAAAAGCAACAATGGGACTCTTCGGCCGCGACGACAATGAAAAGGCCACCGACGTCTCGCCCGGGCCGGATTTCACGGTCGACGCTGGCGCGCGCAATAATGACTTCGAGGAAGGCTCCGTCTCCGACAACGCAGACCAGCTGCAGCGGCACCTCGCCAATCGCCAGATCCAACTTATCGCCATTGGGGGATCGATTGGAACGGCGCTCTTCGTGAGCATCGGAACGGGACTCTACAATGGCGGTGCCGGCAACCTTTTGCTAGCGTACACCATTCAAAGCTGCGTCCTGGCCATGGTCAACAACTGCATCGCAGAGATGAGCACCGCCTACCCCGTCAGTGGTGGCTTCATTCGCTTGGCCGGCCACTGGGTGGACGATGCTCTTGGTTTCATGGTGGGCTGGAACTTCTTGTACAGCAATCCCCCCCTTCCCCGTGTCGTTGTGCGTTTTGTATCGTAATGCTTCGCCCCGTGGTGGCTAACTTCTTCCGCCCCCCTTCAGCTTTTACGAGGCTCTTCTCATTCCGTTCGAGATTTCCGCCTTCACTCTGGTCCTGTCCTTCTGGAGCGAAGATGTTACGAAGCCTGGCGCCGTTGCCGGTGTCGTGGCCGGTGTTATCATCTGCTATGCGTGAGTGCTCCCCTTTGCGTCTCCTTAGACCAACGAAAACCGTTTTTTTTTTCTCGCTTTTCTCTCTCGCTCCCTGAGAAACAACGAAAACCCCACTTGGATTGCGCAGCAGCATTCTCGAGTCCAAGTCCCGACACTAATTACCGTTTTGTTACCGCAGCGCGATCAATATCCTGGCTGTTCGAGCATATGGTGAAGCCGAATTCTGGCTGTCGGGCGGCAAGGTCATCCTGATCTTCGCCCTTTTCTTCTTCACCTTCATCACCATGGTCGGAGGGAACCCGCGCGGTGACGCCTACGGGTTTCGAAATTTCGACAACGGCGCGGCTTTTCGCGAATACATCGCCACTGGGAACCTGGGACGCTTCGAAGGCTTTCTGGCCGCCCTGTCGTCTGCCTTGTTCACCGTCGTCGGGCCCGAGTATATCTCCATGGTCGCCGCCGAGGCCAAACGCCCACGAGTCTATATCAAAGCCGCCTTCAAGATGGTGTACCTGCGGTTCGGCATCTTCTTCATCGGCGGAGCCCTGGCCGTGGGCATCGTTTGTAACTCCCGAGACCCGAAACTGGCGGATGTCGTGCTGGGTGGAAGTTCGGGTTCGGCCGCCGCGTCGCCGTATGTGATTGCCATGCAGAACATGGGCATCGACGTCTTTCCGTCTATTGTCAACGCGTAAGTTCTTTTCCTTCCTCCCAGGGGGGGTTTCTCGTGTCTGGATGTCCGAGTCCCGATTTGTCGCAAGGGCTGGCTGGCTGACATCTTTTTTGCTTTTTAGACTTATGCTGACATCGATCTTCTCTGCTGGGAACACGTACACGTACTGCGCCGTTCGAAACTTGTACGGCCTCTCGCTCGAAGGGAGGGCTCCAAAGTTCCTCAGAAAATGTACCCGCAGCGGTGTACCGATCTACTGCTTTTGCGTGGTCATGATCTTCCCAATACTCTCATTCTTGTCGGTTTCCAACGACTCGTCGGTCGTGATCGGATGGTTTGCTAGCCTGGTGACTGCTGGCGGTACGTTATCCTCTTCGAGTTCCTCTGCTAAGGCCCTCCTCTCTCTTCCTTTTCCCCTTCCAGAATTTCTTGGTGGAGTCTTTTTGGTATCCCCCCCCTTTTTTCCCCACGGAAAAAAAAGACCAGAAAACAAAACATTCTTCAAATGTGTCTCTCTGCACCCGGGGCACAAATATTTGCTGACCTCTCCCGATTCGCACACGCAGGACTCATCGACTACCTCGTCATGTGCGTGACGTACATCTTCTTCTACCGCGCGTGCAAAGCGCAGGGCGTGGACCGCAGCAAACTGCCCTACACGGGCTGGTTCCAACCGTACTGCGCCTACGTGGCGGCCGTGTGGCTGTTCGTGGTGACCTGCATGTACGGGTACACGTGCTACCTGCCGTGGTCGGTGTCGAGCTTCTTCTCGCAATACTCGATGCAGCTTTTCATCCCGCCCTTGTTTGTCATCTGGAAGCTGTTGAAGAGGACGAAGATGGTCAAGCCCCACGAGGCCGATCTCGTGTGGCAGAGGCCCATCATCGACGCTTACGAGGCCACGTTCATCGACCCGCCCAGCGGCTTTTGGAAGGAGATGGTCCAATTGGTCGGGTTCAAGAGGACCAAGGGAGGTCAGGATAGGCGACGACGGGGGAGTAGTGTTGTCGTCGTGTAGTCGGAGCCACTCTGGGTCATCACATTTCACGAGCATTGCACCCTTTCTAAGTTTCTTGGAGCGGAGGGCCAGGGGGGCTATGGGGGGGCCCCAAAGGGAGGGGGACGGGGAGCACAAGTTCGAGTAACCTAGGTATTTTTAAGGGGGTTACCCTCTGTACCAATAGGTACCTTAGCTACCTCGGTAGGCGGGCAGTGAATGACAGAAGGGACGTGAAGGGACCCTTCATATCGAAAGGCTCTGGGCATTTTTGTTTTTCGTTCTGGACATGGCAAACTGCTGGTCATTCTGTGTACAGAAATTGGGATAACCTGGATCAATGACTACCTAACACCTATCCGTACCCGATACTAGTATCTGATCCGCCCTGGAGCTGGTACCTTGTTTTTTCATCCTGACTTCCCACTTGGATATCACTATGATATATCACCCCACCATCCCCTGCCTCCGTGGCCCCGTCCGTCACTTCATGCCCGCGCTGAATGTGAGTACGTATTATCACCCAGCTCCGCGGCCTCGGAATGCCCACTATTCACCGCCGTCACCGATTCCGTGCCTTGACTCCTCGTATCGCTCACGCTCATACCCTGCGACGGCCCTGTACTCACCCTATTGTTCATCTGCTGCGGCGCGACATGCCCGCCATCGACTTCCGCCGGCGGCGCTACCACCACCCCACCACCATCTTTGTTCTGCCCGGCGTAGAACCCGTACCCCGGCGGCGGCGGCGACTGTGACATGGGCGGTGAATAGAACGCACCACCGCCACCGCCAGGATGCTGTAATCCCATCCCATAGGCCCCACCGTACGGATCCTGCGGCATCTGCATCATGCCCGGGTGCTGCTGCTGCTGCGGCTGGACGTAGCCAAAGGCAGGGCCGTACCCGTGGGGCTGGCCATAGCCGCCCATCATCGGTTGCTGCTGCTGCATGCCAGGGCTACCTGGCGGGCCTGCGATCGTGGTCGCCATGGACATGTGCTTCGCTTCGTTGCCTGCACCGACTGCGGCAGCATACGCACCTGTGTCGGGCCCTGCGCCAGGCCGGATCGGCCCACCGGCAGCGTTGGCCGCGGCTTCGAGGGCGCGCATCTTCTTCCTTCGGCGGTGGCGGATGGCAAGGCACGCCCAAAGGCCGAGAATGACCAAGAGCACGGCCACGCCGATGCCGGCGCCGATTCCTGCTTTTGCGCCGGTGCTGAGATGTGTATGGTCGCCGTGGTCTGCCTCCACATTATCGGCGCAGGGGAGACCGAGGGCAAAAACCCTGTCCGAAACTTCATGTCAGCAATGGGGTCGGACCACGATCAGCAAGGGCTTGGGCGAATGCCAGGGGCAAATCGAAGAGAATGAATGGAAGAGTAGACTGACTGATTAATGATGACGCTCACGGTGGGCGTGGACGTGGTAGATGCAGCTACCATGGATGCTGATATCACGGATGTGATTGACGAGAGGACCGAAGGGTCGGGTGAATACACTGTCGTCGTGAGGGTGCTGACGCAGGGTAGGTTGCCGATGATGCTTTGGCCGTATTGGGAGAAGCCAATTGGACTAAGTTAGATAAGACGGGTTAATCGGTGTAAGGCATACGGCGTCTTAGAAGGTTCAACATACCAGCACACCGGATCTAGATCGACCATGTCACTGTCAATGCAGGTTAGTATCAACAGGCCGTCAATCCCACCCATAAAGTCGATGGTTGACTGAGGTGACATACCTAGGACAAACCGTGAGCGGAGCTTTGCTCAGCATCGACACCACACCAGTGGGTGTGGGACTAGGTGTTGTGCCTGTCCACGAAGTTGTCTCGCCGGATTCTGATTCTGATGCTGATTCGGACGCCGTCCCCGAAGACTCCGATGCCTCAGCATCTCCTGTCTTTGACGGTTCGGAGCTGGTGAAATTCAACGACGGACAGCATTCAGGCCGATCATCCGAGCATCCGACCAGAGGGACTTCGAGGGAGCCGCCATCAGGGAAAGTGATGATCGTGAACTGCGCAATACCGCACCTGCCACAAGATTAACATCGTCAACCAGTTCTCCAGGTCTGGGCGGACATACGTCCCGACAAGCAACGCCTGACCAGTGTATGGAACAGTCTGGATGGCTGGAAGACTTGTCGATGTAGTACTTGGGGTGGTAGTAGCTCCAATATACGTGCTGCCCGTCGTACATGAGCTGGAGAATGTTGTGCTGCTGGTATAGGCTGCAGAGGAAGCAGTGGAAGTAATAACAACTGACGACGAACTAGCGGCGCCAGAAGTGGTATCATAAACAGTTGAAGCGTAGACATTGCCGGAGGCGTCAGTGCTGTATTCGACGCTTTGGGCCAGCGTCAATGAGATCGAGGCCAGCAACAACAAGATGCAGCCTGTCGACGACCGCATCTTGTTCAGGATGACGTCTAATCGGTCTCCTTGCGTATGGCGATGCGGCTCAAGAGCAATTGGCACAGAGCCGGAACCAGAGGAAAAGAGGAAAAGGATATCTTTCAGCCCTGCGGCGGCCATGCTCCTCGATTATTATAACTCACAACTTAATCCCACCCCGTGCCGCACCTCTTCGCGGGCTGAACATTTCCAATCGCAGTGACCAGTAGCAGTCGATAAAGAGCAGCGGGCCAAATCCACAGGGCACAGCCATTTCCTTCGAGACACGTCTTGAACACGAGGTGACCACCCTTGTCGAACGTCGGCATTCGTGCAAAACAACGTCTTGAACACGAGCGACAGCAGCAAGCTTTCGGCTGTGAGGCTGTCCAAGACTGGCATATTAGGGCTGGACGCCTGCTTTGATTCGTGGGGTCCACGGTGGCTGCATTGGGATGAGCTTTTTCATGCAATGATTGGTGAGGCTGAAGCCGGACCCCATAAAGGATACGAATTGTCAACACGAGAATATTCTCAACCAGAAAGCTGATGGCTTGAGTTTAGCTCTGACACCTCTTTGACATCTGATTGGAGTGTACGCAAGGTTGGACAGAACTGCCCAGACGGTTAGGGCCTAGGATTCCTTGTCTCTCAAAGCTTTTCCGAGCTTGAGAATCTTTTATTGATGAGGAGTCCAAGATAACAAATCCAGACAAAGCCGTACCTCGAGAACGATCTGGCAGAACCGAGCATGTCGAGTCGAGACAAGCAGCTTCAAGACGAACTGGCACATCGAGCGATATCGAGATAGTCCACAGCCATATCTAGACCTGAAGGATTCAGCGGAGAGGGGAAGTGAAGAGTTCGACAAGCTCGAGATGATGGAGCCAAACAGGCCGAGCAGGCATCTCAGATGGGTGGCAGAAGCAAGTGTGGGCAAGAGTGGCAAGATACGTGGTGATGCTGGGGTTCAGCTGCCAAGCCTGGGCGTTCTTGGCACTGGTCTGGGCGCAGCCTGGTTCTTTTGCAGCCCCCGTCGACATCATCACCACCATCATCCTTCCCGCTCCAAGTTGGTTAGAGGTGCTGACACGGGCATCATGCTGGAAGGAATCGATGGAATAGATCTTCGGACTTGATGCGTCGACGGAAAATCATGGTTCGACCCTACATAATGCGCTATACATCGACTTATCCCGCTAAACAACTCTGATCTTTCAATGTGCCGCTTCGCTAAATGATCTCTAATCCAACCAACCCTAACAAACTCACTCGCATACGCCAATTCTCTCATTAACGCGCCCGACTTTCTCACTACTGTAGTTTGGTATGTGATATAGGCTGTATACATCCTTATCAGGCATCGGTCAACCGAACATCATGGAGCCAGATATGCAGGCTTAGAGAGCCATGACTTCAGCAAGCCATTTCTGATCCTTCGGGTTAGAAGGATCAAGACCGCGGATGTCCTCCCTGGTGGAAAGTAGGCTCTGCTCGCGAATTGGAAGTTTTTCATCAATCGTAGTAAGATCTCTCCCCGTGGCGCCTGCGTCGGACATTTGCATACTTGTTGACCGTGCCAGGACAAAGTCCTTCAGCGAGGCGCTGTTTCGAGCGAAAGTCGGTCCAAACGATGGTTCTGGCAAAGGGAGCAATATGTTTCCTTGATCTGTTGGAGCTTCCTCCTTTTCCTTTTCCTTTCCCTTCCCGGACTTGATACTCTCAACTGCTGGTGTTGGACTGCGCAAAGGGGTGAAAAATTTCTCAGACTCAGACTCCACGTTTGAGGTTCTTCGCGATAGTTCCGTCGCAGAATCCGGAGCCAGAGTCTGGCTGGCAACATTCTCTTCGTCTGGTGCATGATTGATGTCGCTTTCGACACCAGTGGGACTTTGCGCAACTTCGTCGTGCAGCGCAAAATCAATGGGTTTTACCTCTCCCAGCTGAGAGTTGGCGCCGCTCATTAAAGGTGCATGCTCCGCGACCTCAATTTCGTCTTCCTCATCTATGACAGTAGTATCATTTCGTCGGCCGTGGAGGCTGGCGAAACGCACAAACTTTGGGGGATCGGAAATGCGCTTCATTCTCCTTGGGCTTGTATCCATGTGCTGCGTCACTTGTCGTACTGGGCTTGTTGGTCCTGACGGTGATTCGATAATTGCCTGTCGCGTCTCACTCTCGCCCACTTTCATCGGAATGATTGGGGTGAATTTTCCTCGACTGCTTTCTGAAGTTCGTCTATCCATGTTCCCCGACGTCCGCTCAATCTCGAAACTGAAGTTCGTTCGGAGGTGCTCGTTTTCGAGAACTGGACTGAGTTCGTTGGCATACCCAGGTGGACGCTTCACTTTCCCGCAACATGCACACCTGGCATAAACCGGAGCGGAGTAAATCTCCTTTTCCTTGCCTTTGAACTCGCTGGGAACGATGAGTGAGAGCGGTCGTACGGCTGGATGCGCCGAAAAGTCGCCATCTTCGATCACTGCGCCATCTACCTTGGTCTGCTCATTCGATGCAGGCGACTGTTCCTCAGCTGGCGATTTCGCTTCTTCGACGCTCTCCTTGTCGGTACTTTTGCCAAGGGACAAAGTCCGTCTTCGGCCTTTCTTGAGTTTCTTCACACTTTCCGCCCCGTCTTGATTGTTCTTTCCAGTACCGAAAAGAGCACCACTGAGAGTAAATCTTTTCTTGATGTCTTTTCTAGGCGATTCCAGGGGTGCATCGATTTTGTGCTCGCCCACCGCTTGTGCTGGTATCTCTCCGGATGCTTCTTCGACTTGTGGTTTGTCGTCCGTAGGCTGCTCATCATCGCTGTAGACCTTCGGCTGGTTGTGTGGGTCCTCAGCTGGGTCTAAAACAGGAAACTTCTCAGTAGTAGCCTCGTCGACAAGCATCGACACAGGAGAATCTGTGGCCCTGGGCGGGCTTGGAGCTCTGGACGACACTGCACTAACATTGGAAACCGAGTTATTGTGCAGACTCTGCGGTCGTTGGATCGGTATCTCTTGAGAAGCACGAGACCGTTCTGGTGATGTACTCACAACGCTTTGCCGTGGTCTTGAAAAATAGGAAAGTGGATTTGCTACAATGTCAGCAGCTGGCCGCTGAAGCATGTTCATTGACCCATGGCGAGTGACTTCCGGGCCTCGGTAAGTGGGAAGTCCGCGATAGGACGAGGATCCAGAACTTGATGGTCGAGAGGACCATCCATTAGCGGCCATGAAGGCGGCATGGCCAGACACTCGTGGCCGAGGAGCATGAATGATACCATTGGCATGACCTTGAACCGGGGTATGACTGTGACCGCGCGTGCTGGACTGCGACGATCTCCGATGCCCGATGGGTGTATGGGGAGGCGTTGGAATATCGACAGTCGATCTGCGAGAGATGGAGTTCCGATGACTTTGTGCTTGATGTGCAGAAGTATGATCATCGGGTGTCGTTGGTGGTGTGACGGTGGTTGAGCGTCGCGACGTTGAAGGTGAAGGTCTGTTTGAGCTGGATTGACTGCCAGTTTTCGATGAGAGGGAATTATTGTTAAGCGAACGGATTTCGGCGGGCGTCAGCTTTGCGACATTTCCACTGTTTCGAACTGCATGGCGTTGTCTTTGCTTCAGACTTTTCTGCAACTTGGCCATGTCGAAATCATCTGGTTGAGAAGAAAATTGTCCATGTTAGTGATGTTCACCAAGATGTAACAGTCAGGCATGCATGGCAGGGCTGTGGGAGGCATATCGAGAGAATGGAGTAAGCCGGGGTGGAATGTCAGCTTGCCAGGCGGTACTCCGTACTCCTTAGTACCGCGATACCAAGGATGGAAATGTCTGCTCCGTACTACAGTACAGCAATTGACATCTGCAAGCTAAGGTTTTTGCAAGGTGAGACAAATAGAACTCACCTGCCGCACGGGCCGCAGTCATGGCTGGCATGGCTGGGAGACGTCTCTCCAGTCCGTTTGGTAATAGAGTGGATTGATGCCGTCAGCGTTCCGGCCTGGAAGATCCTGTATGCTGGAGGTGGTGAAAGAACGGTACGTGGTGATCAGGCTGGCAAGGCGTGATGCAGAATGGCCCCGGTGTCAGCCTCAGCGGTGGGCTGGAATAGTTTTTTGACGGCGACGAGGCGCGAGAGACGATCATTCAACACCGTTCAACGAGAGAGGTCGGGCTTTTGGCGATCGTCAGGCCCAATCGGCTATCCGTTGCATTGGGAATCAAAAAGACGGACAAGGGTGAGGAAACCGACGGTCGCATGGATTCGTGGACTGCGCACTACACTCGATGCATAGCGCAATGGTCGGACAGCGATGATTTTGAGAGATGGTACTCCGTGTGGCCCAAAAGAGATGAAGAAAGCAAGAGAGAGATAAGTAAGTATGCAACGATAAATGTTCGTGGTTAATGACGGCCGCGATTGTGAGAAAGAAGCGAGGGTGGCAGGAGGGGCGGCAGCGAGCGACAGGAGGCTTGCCTAGGCTGGTGTCCGGAGGAGGGAGAAGCTACAGCAGACGTCTGGAACCTCGACGCCGCCTCTTCTTGTCGCGTGATAGAGGTCCTCTTTCATCACCACTGGTACATGCATTTATCCACGGCACTGAAGGGCTCCGTATCTAGGCTTTGTGGCTTCATCTCGCGTCTCTTCCCTGCTCTTCCCCATCTGTTGCCATACTACTCCGTAGTATTGATTCTTTGCCAACCCTGTCCTTCGATGCTCCATCTTCTTTTTCTGGTGGATGACGGGTGCCACCTGCGGCAGAGTAGCCGAAGAGGGGATGGAGCGATCAGGTGGAGGCATTCGTCGTTGGCTGGGTTTTGGCCGGTGTCTGAGTCTAGAGAGCCACGTCTCCAATCAAAGCGAAACGAGACAACAGTGGCTGCGATGTCAAGCGCCAAAACGAACCTCAAAATCTCTGGGCTTAACCAAATGTCAACTAGAAGAAGACTTGAGGATGCTAGTCAAGGGCTTGAGAAGGGAGTGGAAGGGATACCCGTGGCGTGCCTAGTGAGCCGTGGTCATCACCCAGAATGAGCCTGGTCGCCGGTAGTCGATCTGTTGGCCTCCGAGGCTGCTGCCAATTCACCATGGAGTTATTAGTCCATCGTCATCAACTAGAACTTGGAAGAAGCCCATCGTCTGAAGAGAAGATATAAGCAAAGTTCAAAGTGCTCAGTCTGTTGCTGGATGGAAGCTGCACGCAAGAGTACGAGTCCGAGTCTGCTCACTTTCAAACTTCGGCCATTCTCCGAGAGGTCCAAGTCCTGGGGAGTACTCGTACTTCTCCTTTATCTCATGGGCACGTAGTTCGATATCTCTGGCTGCACCAGGCTGGTGAGGCTTAACTGAGACCCTGGCTTTCGCCACAAACACATCCCCAGCAAGTTCTCAATAGGTCAACACTACGCGTCGAGGGCGTATACGAGATCAGCAGAGTCCTATCAAGCCCGCTAGGTGCCTGATCCTCTTATCGAAATGTTCCACCCAAGCATCCACTCGGCTCCAACAACAATTTCAGTTCTGGAGCAGTCTGGATGTCTCGAATCCTCGAATCCACGATTTTTGATACAGTACATGAAATGCCTTATGTACCACGTTTGGTTTTCCATCCGGCCCAATTATGCGCCATCGTTGATCTCGTATGTAGTCCAGCCTCGTTATTAAACCTCGTAACAGTCATCCATCAACATGCCAGCGAGTGTGCCGTGGGATATCATATATACATTAATTCACAAAGCAAGGCCTGTACCGTCTCCTGTCCATCTGTACAAGGCAAGCACTTCACGCCTCCAATGTTGCTGTTCAGCTAGATCTTCCGGGATACGCCCACGAACTTGCTGCAGTGCAGACCGCATCACCTTCCTGAAGTTTCGCTACCATTGTTGTCAGCTCCCTGTCGGAAGAGAATTTATTGGGAACGCATTGGGAATGAAAATGCTTACCTGGTACTGGGTATCCAACGTCGCGACACAAGCTTCATGAGCTCGCACGATGGTTTCACAAGCCTTGACCACATCAGGGCTGACATCTCCTTGCAGCTTGTCTGCGAACAAGAGAAGCAAGAAGCTCCCTTGAAGCAAATAAACTCCGAAGAAGAATGGCATGAAACTCAGGTCGGGATCAACCTCGATGATCTCGGCGACTGCTTCGGCTGCACTGACCGCATGTCCAGTGGCCGTCACGAATGACTGCGAGGAGATCCAGAGATCATTGTCATCGAGCAGAGCAATGGGATCCCATTTGCCCGTCAACAGAATATGCAACACGTGCATGATATGCGTTCCATACGCCACCACCGTCTTGGTCTGCAACGCCAGCTCCGAAGCACTGTGGGACTCGGACGTACTTGCAGACACCACAGACGGCGTGAGGACATCATTATGGCTTGTATCTGGAAGATGACCTCCAGATGCTTCGAAATCCTTCAAGCTCTGCCCGTACGTTTCGAGCTGCTGAACGATTTCCTCGGTATGATCGTCCCAGTTCTTCGCTTTCTTGGCTCGGGGGCCGAAGCGAGGACGGTTGCGTGCATGGTTCAGGTCGAGGATCTCTCCCAAGATGACCATCAGAGGTAAGAAATAACCAAACACACTATGTGACGTGCATTCGATATTCAATCCCCGTCTTCGGTTCGCTGGGTCAGAAGTTCTGTCGAATTTTCCGGCTTGGAAGGCGTCATCATCCAAAGGCTGCAGCAAGTTTTCGCACTCTTTGTTGAGAAAGAACATGGGACGATTATAACACAAGGCCAGATGCCGATCTTGCATGTACAGTAACCACCAGGTCCGTCGTCGTTCCTCCCTCGCCTCCTCGGACAGATAGCCTGTTGGCTTCCGCCGATTGTCATCCATCGAGTTCTTGCGAGTTTCACCCGAATGACCGTCCGTCGGTTTATTGTCTTCGCCGTCCTCCTCGGGCGGATTGGGCGGAAGTTCGCGTCCGAGTCTGATTTCTCGGGCGAGCGACCATGCAGCGTTCCACCATCTCAAACTGGCTGCCTTGCGTTCACTTGCCGACACTACTGTAGCGAGATGGATGTAGGTAGCCAGATTGTCAATCTGTGCTCGGTCGACTCCACTGCCGCTGGTCTGGGTTGGCACCACGAGAGCCCCAAGACCTGCATCATTCGGCGGCAGTTGCGGGTAGTTTGGATTAGGTGTTGGCGCAGAGGTGTTCGGGTGACTATGGACCAATGGCTTCAGCATGTTGATTGTAAGCTCCAGTAATCGCTGACAGATTCTCGCTCGAGCGTCCAGTTGGGTCGTTAGAAAGGCTGCGTCACTGGTCTGAGCCGCAGTCCAGAGCATGCTGGCTAGCAAAGCAGGAGTACATGGCCGCGGATCGGTGGGGTGCAAGATGGACTTCTTGCGGAAGATATAGCCAAGTACATAAGGATTTGCGGGTCGTAAATATGCTGAAGTAGTACTGGTAAAATATTGCTCCAATAGGTCGCATGCCAGAGCTTGAGGAATTATGGGCTCGATATGTGGGAGCAGAGGACGCAATACAGGATATCTCAGTGCGTCGGTAATTCGAGGTTGCGCAGGCATGGGCTCGTTGATGAACATGGGAGAAGTCAGAGCCAACCAGTCCGGTGATTCCACCATGGGTGCTTTGCCCATGAAGGCTACAGAATAGTCATCTCCCAGCGGGAAGCCGAAGCCTTGTGTAGTGCCTTGGACGTGCATTGAATCCAGTGTAGGTGCGGCGTAGGCCTGGTTAGGGACAGCAAAATCGATGGCGCGAGTCTGTGCCATTTGTGGTACCAGTGACTGATCGATCTCATGAAGCTGGCCGCCATTCGCCATGGTCATGCCGGTGGAAGGATCGAAGGCTCCGAAGAAGCTGTTCTGATGGTGGCCACTTTCAAATGTTGCGCTCGGAGGGGTGTTGTTGGAGGGCAAGCCGTTGGTATCGACCAGACCACCTGGTCCTGCGTAAGATGTGCTCGAATATTTCCTGCTACCAAGATCTTGCCTCATACCAGAGGTACTAGGGCCCGACGGAGCATTTGTAAGGTTGGATTCTTCGTTTATTTCCGCCTCTTTTTTAGGAGCACGTCCGCGTTTCTTGTGAGCTCGAGCATACTCGCAGACCAAAGAATTTTCGGTACAGTGTGCACATGGCTGTTTACCATCGCACTTGGTACGCAGTTGGTTGCACTGGTCGCAAGCCCGACTGATTCGGCGCCGGACCGCAGAGGATTCACTAGAGCCATTCCCGTCCACTTCAGACTCCCTCCTCTTGCGGCCGGCTTGCAGATTACCATCTCCATCGTAAGAGTGCGGGGTCGGCTGGAGGATGGAGGAGAGATGAGTTTGAGAAGCGATCATATCGGGCCTGTGGCCATAGTCGTGGTACTCGGAGTAGCTATTGTGGGATTGTGGGGGAATGCGGGATAGCATGATGGCCAGCTTGAACAGAGACAGCAGCGAAAAGTGCTGCTGTCATGACTCGATGGACATAAGGTCGTCTACCAGCTGCTGAACGGTGTCTGCAAAGGTAAGCGTATACCAGCGTCGTATCTGAGCAAAGCCAGCAGGAGGAATGGAGGAAGTGCAAGTTGTAGCGGCGTCGATGGTGGTGGAGCTCTCTTTTGTTCACATGAGTTGGAGTAGAGAAGAGCATGCGGCAAAGTCGCGCCGGGGCCCGGCGAAAAGGTCTTGCGCAAGGATGGAAGAAATTACAGTATGAGGGCGGTGGAGGGCCAAATCGAAGACTCACTAGACCGAAGAAAAAGCATGTCAGTGCGCCGAATGGTAGAAAAAAGCGAGGAGGAGAAGGAGGGAGCACGACGAGGCACCCACGGAGGAGGGTCTCAATCAGGGTTGCATGCCTGTGCCTCGTGGTTCGTCTAGAGAAGAGCGAGACTGGGGGCGTCATGGGGACCGAGTCCAATCATGCAAGTGCCTGGGGTTGAAAGGTGTGTTCGTGACCTTTCTAACTTAGGCACGGACAGGGATTACCACCGGGCGTCGCCTGCAGAGAGCCACGCCTACCACAGAGCCACAGTACAGTAGGCTGCACCAACCTCTAGGCGTCCCCATACTACCGTACCTAGGTAGGTAGTGTGTATATGTTTCGATGGGTTAGCCGGCAACGATCCAGGATGGGGGCGGGTACTACTGTAGCTCTACTCTTGCTCCTGCTCTTACTGCTGCTATCCACCGGGAGAGTCCTTCCCTCTTCCCTCTTCTCTACTACTACCACGTACTACTCAACTGCCATCTGTGGAGATGAAAGGCTGCAGATGCGGGGTGGGGCTAGTAGCAATTCTACTTGTAGGAAATGCAGCCGTCACCAAATCATCGTGGGTGACTCGTACTGACCGCCTCTCAGCTTCCAGTGGTCCGGCTCGTCTATTCGCCTCCGTTCCAGTCCACGATCATTATGATGTTGGTGAGCATTACATTATTAGTAGCTTGGGAAAGGTGACTGCAAGGCCGTATGCGCGGCCCAGAGCCAGGTCACTCTTTATTCTGGATGCTGTTTGCCACGGGCTAGTAGGCTCAACGCAGCCTTCTTACACCTTCTTACCATCTTGATCTCGTAAAAACACCGGTGTCGGGCTGCCGCCGGAGTCTGAGGCCAGGTTCAAGGCACGAGGTGTGATTGGACTTGACTCATGAACCGCTATTCCTTAGTGACCTACACTATCAAGTAACTCACTGCAGGCAGAGCATCCTCTCTATGTACGGTGCATCCTTGATTGTGTCAAGCCCTGTGCGACGGCGGGCGGGAAGGCTTCATCTGGCCTCATATCCAACTCAAGTGGCATCAAGTTACTGATCGAGGTAATAGCTGATGCTGTAATTCAACCACGCGCACTGGGGTACATCCACAAACTTCCCCGTATATGCGGGATAATCAAGGTGCTTGATCGGCCCCGTGGCGCTGCTGACCTTCTGCCATGGCCCAGACTCCTGGACGCCTTGCAAAGTCTTCGTATATCCTCTCGCCCTGAGGTATTCGATCGGAGGGTTCGGCTGTCCGCTCTTAACGAATTCCGCGAAATAGCCGCTGACCAGCTGGACCGAGTACAGGTCGTTCGCATCACGCAGCGGGACGTAGAAGTTACCAAACAGCCAGTCCATATCCGCGCCATGAAGCTTGAAGTACGGCAGATTTGGGTTTCCATATGGATACCCTGGTGTGACAGGTGCCCCGGCCACGTTCTCGGGATTATATCCATTGATGGTCCGCTCGAACTGGTAGTAATATGTGGCGGGAAATGTACCGGTCTTCGCACCAGCGTAGACGGTGGCTTGATCGATGCATCGGAACGTATTGTCCGTCGCGACGCGTTGAGTGACGTTGAACGCATCAAATGTCACGTTGCCGGTATCATGGTACGGAAAGAGACCGGACTGGATGATGGCTTGGGCGTACGATGCGTTGATGCCCAGTCCGTACATAAGACCTGCCGTTTCGTTGTTGATCGGTGTAGGCGAGATGTTGGAGAAGGAGGCCCCATCATTTGCTGCAATGCCAAAGATGATGGGCACGTATGCCGCGCTTCCATTGCGGTTGACCACGTCAAGCTCTGGTGTGTTGACGATAGTGCCATCTTGGACCACGTATCGAGCCACAGTCTCGAGTGAGACCAGGTCGGTAGCGTTGAGCTTCTCCAGACACGTAATGTTGCCGCTCAAGGTCGGTTGTGTACAGTTGGAGCCATTAAAGATCTGGGGACCGGCTAGGGTGTATGATTCGTTGATCGTCAAGTAGGAAGAGTATGTGGTACCATAGTTGCTTTCGAGACCCAAGTCCACACCACCTCCGAGGTTGGACAGAGCGACGGCGCCTTGAAACAAGGGAATTGCAGGTGGGCTACCAAGCAGAGTTCTCACGGAGCCTGCACCTGCAGACTCGCCCATTATCGTTATTTTCTTTGGGTCGCCTCCGAAGCTGGCGATATTCTGGACGGTCCAGTTCAGGGCCACAATCTGATCGCCTATGCCAAAGTTGCCTTTGATATCTGTGCCGGGAATTGCAAGGAACCCCAATGTCGAGAGACGGTAGTTGATGGTAACAACCACAATGTCTTCTCTTGACGCTAGATTCCCGCCATCGCTCAAAGGATCGGCTCCAGTGCCACCAGTAAAGCCGCCTCCATGAATCCAGAATAGGACAGGTCGTAAGCCCTTTGTAGATCCCGCTACTGGAAGATAAGGGGTTTGAATGTTCAGGAAGAGACAGTCTTCGCTTCCACCTCCAACTCGAACACATTCAGAGCCGTAAGCCGTGGCATTCACCGTCTTGCCAGTCCCAGTATATTTCTGAGAGTACTGGAATCTTTGTGGTGGATTGGCATATCTGATGCCCAGGAATCGGAATGACTTCTGGTTCCGATATCCGACGTAAACGTTGCCTGCTGCTGCTACAGCAAGTTCATTTGACGTACTGGCCGTGGAGTCCGGTGGTTCACTGGCTCTGCTGGACTGTGTGCAGAGGACAGGAAGCGCCGAGTTGTTCTGTGCCGAAGCTTGGAAGACCAATTGTGACTGCTGCGCAACTTGCACATTTCCTCCTGCAATATGGTACGCTTGGTTGGGCGATACTCTGCCGGAGAATGCTAGGTAGGACAGCGCAGAAGCGAAGTCGGAACTGTAATTCTGGATGGTAGCTTGGGTCAAAAGAGTCTCACTCAAGGCTCCGCAAGCCGCCGACCCAGCACTCGCTGTCATAGGATCAAGGAGAATTGCGCCGACATGATTGACGTCGTCGGAGGCATTGAGATTGTTTTGGTAAACGAAAGTCAACGAGCTTTGAGTGTTGGATACAGTCACTCCGGTTCTAGCCCTGAGGTCATAAGGATGACTATGAGCTGCAGTGAACAGCAGCACCAACGGCAATGCGACTCGTAACGGGGACATCACGTTCATTCGCATTCGATTCCACTCAAAGAGGAACTGGAGGAGAAAGGGATATGATCACAGTGACCACAGACAGGAGGACGCAATGTTCTTACCATGATCATGGTGAGCTCAATCAAACCCTTTGCAAACCATAACGGCGAGGTTGTTTCCATCCACCCGTGGCCACCTTCCATCATCTTTTGAGTGCCTTGTACACTAGCAGGGCAGTCCGGCTGTATGACCAGCGAGTATTATAGACTGTCATGCCTAGATTGGCAGGACGTTGGTCCTGGTCATCGTCTACCGCCTTGAGAATGCGGAGTCAATTGCACCCATACCCATCGATATCAGGCTGTGAACAAGAAAAGTCGGCATCATTGAAGCATTGTGTCCAGTCCCCCGCCTGGCGCGAAGATCACAATTGCCGAGGAAGGGTTAATTGAACCTGCATGATGCTGCCCTCACGGCAACACGTTGATGAGGTCAACCGGTGCGTCGCTTTGATCAAGATAGGAAGGTCGTGTAAGGTGTTGAAGCTCGTATGATGGTCCTTGACGTATCTCCATGATCCTCCTTTCAGGCTAAATTGGCAGTCGGCAGTCTTTCGCAGTCCCATTATTCCATCTCGCTAACTTCGTCTCAAGATCATTCCATTTGCCATAACGAGACCTGATCTGCATCATCCATAGCATGAATTGAGAGCCCTGTCATTTCTGCTGCTCTCCAGGTTTTTTGCCGTTTCTCCGCAAACTGCCTCTGCGATGTTTTCTGCGGCTAATATTTGTGGACTCGTGACTTGCAGAATCCACGACCTCTATGGTGTCCAGCCTCGAGGCGAAGCTGCGCTCCCAGCAGAGGCTCGGTGTCCGCATTCTCTAGGGCCGGTTCAATGTGACCTTGCAGTCAATGCAGGTCCGCTCAGCCAAGCGCACCAAGAGCTCCACAGGAGAGAGATGGTCTTGAAAGGTAAGCTCAGCCATATTAACAGTATATGAGGCGGTGAGAACATCCACGTGCACGATGCACGATTGATTCGGAGCGTGTTGTGGTGCGTGCAAAATGGCGGCCTTGATCGTGTTGTTCGCAGTGCTCTGCTCTTGCTGGCAGGTATATGCGCAGCAGCCTCTGATAACGTTCAATCAGTCGGCTGGCGCTCTCCTTCTCGCCGATGGTTCAACCGCACCGACTATACTCGTGAGCAACGATGAATGGGCTGGCGTGAGAAGGGCGGCAGAAGACTTTGCACAAGATGTCGGACGAGTCACTGGGGTAAATGGCACGGTGACATCTTTCAATTCCAGCTTTGCCACGAGTTCTTCATCACCTGTTGTCATTGCAGGCACAGTAGGGAAATCGAGTCTCATTAGCCAGTTGGTGCAACAAGGGAAGATCAACGTCGACGCCACACGAGGACAATGGGAAGCGTACCAGATCCAAGTGGTAACAAGTCCAATCAAGGGCGTCCAGAGTGCCGTCGTCATCGCTGGCGCAGACAAAAGGGGCACCATCTATGGCATTTATGATTTGTCTGAGCAGATGGGTGTGTCACCTTGGTATTGGTGGGCCGATGTGGCCGCCATGCCTCAGCATTCGGTCTACATCATGAACACCACTAAGATTCAACCTTCACCATCAGTCAGATATCGGGGATTCTTCTTGAACGACGAACAGCCGGCTCTGACCAATTGGATCAATACTCGATACGCCCCAGGCAAGTATGGACCTGGTTTCAACCACCTATTCTATTCTACGGTCTTTGAGCTGCTGCTTCGTCTACGAGCAAATTACCTCTGGCCGGCTCAGTGGGGTAAGAGCAACACGTCAATCCAGGTAACAACAGCTAACAGCTCGGTGCAGGCTCGATGTTCGACGTTGACGACCCTCTTAATCCAGCCACTGCTGACGAATATGGTATCGTAATGGGAACTAGCCACACTGAACCCATGATGAGGGCAACCAATGAACAGAGCAAATTCATGAACGGCACATGGGCATGGGCTACAAATCGTGCCAACGTTACAGAGTTCATGCGACAGGGCGCAGAAAGAGCAAAGCCGTACGAGTCATTGTATACAATGGGTATGCGCGGTCTTGGAGACGTCGCCTCCCCTACGCTCAATTCCAGCAGCCTGGAGACGATCGTCAACGTCCAACAAGGTCTCCTTCGCGAAGTTTACAATATCTCCAATGTTTCCGCCATTCCTCAGATGTGGTGTCTCTACAAAGAGGTGGGAGGGTATTTTGCGGACGGTATGGATGTGCCAGAGGATATAACACTATTGTGGTCCGATGACAATTGGGCAAATATGCAGAGACTGCCACTGTCAAACGAGACTGGGCGGTCTGGTGGTGCCGGAATTTATTATCATGCTGACTATGTTGGCGACCCAAGAGACTACAAATGGATTGACACAAATTCCTTGCAAAAGTACTGGAGTGAACTGCAGCAGGCATACGACCGACAGGCACGCACAATTTGGATACTAAATGTCGGAGATTTGAAGCCTATGGAGGTGCCCATCGGCTACTTCTTGTCCGCAGCATACGATGCTCCATCTCTGGCTTCTCCAAACAGCACCTATACTTGGCTCAGTCAATGGGTGGCCCGCCAATTTGGATCAGAAATCGCAGACACAACAGCCACCATCCTGCTCAATTATTCAATGTATGCAGCAAGGAGGAAGTATGAGCTCGTTGACCCAACGACTTACAGCATCATCAACTACAACGAAGCCGGCAATGTACTGCAGCAATGGACAGACCTGGTCAACGCCGCTTCGAAGATCTACAATCAGCTCGATACGTCTCTTCAGCCATCATACTTCGAGTTAGTCCTTCACAAGTGCATGGCTGGGTACATTGTGTACTCAATCCACGTCAATGCGGCGAGAAACAATCTTTATGAGGAGCAAGGAAGATCAAGCACGAACGCACTGGCTCAGACAGTGCTCAATAACTTTGCTCAGGACCATGCCCTGACGCAGAGGTACCATCAGCAGCTGAATGGTAAATGGAACCACATGATGGACCAGACACATCTGGGTTATTACTACTGGCAGCAGCCGATGCGTAACAGTCTCCCTCCACTTGGGTATGTCCAGCAGCAAGAGATCGCTGCATCGGGTCAATTGGGCGTGACCTGCGACGGTAACAACGGCACAGTCCCCGGCGACGACGTGTACCACACCCTTTCGAGCAACGTCCTTACTCTGCCACCCATGGATCCCTATGGGCCTTCACGATGGATTGAACTGTTCTCTCGCGGCACGGACGCCGTCAACTTCAAAGTTTCAAGTGAGCCGCACATCACGGTTACTCCATCGAGCGGCGTCCTCCAAGCCAACGGCAACAGCACTGACATCCGCTTGACTGTGTCTGTCGACTGGACCCATGCGCCAAATGGGTCTACAATTTCGACCATCAACATCACCACCACGACACCCACGGGCAAATACTTGAACGGCACCTACCCATACGGCAACTTCAACATGCCACAGCTCAGCGTCCCGGTCAATAAGACCTCGGTCCCAACCTCCTTCCACGGCTTTGTCGAGTCTGACCGCACCATCTCGATAGAGCCAGAACATTTCTCGGCCAACGTCTCTGCTAATGGCAATGGCAATGGCACCGGCTCGGCATACTACCAGGTCATCCCGAGCTACGGACGGACATTATCAGGTGTAGGCCTCCTCCCGTTCACAGCACCGTCTCAGCACGCGACAACATCGACCTCTCCGAAGCTGGTCTACAACTTCTACACTTTCACACCAAACGTGACAAACGCAAATCTCACCCTCTATGCCGGTACGGCTATGAACACGGACCCTTCGCGCCCGCTGAAATACGCCGTGAGCATTGACGATGCAGCTCCGAAGACCATACAGCCAAATCCACTCACGCACCTCTGGCCATTGCCAGATATGTGGGATGGCATGGTCGCCAATGCCGCCATGACCAACACTACAACCCATGACCTCGGCAAGCCGGGTGCCCACACCCTGAATCTGTGGCTACTGGAGCCAGGACTCATTGTGCAGAAACTGGTCCTTGATCTAGGAGGTGTGAGGGAGAGCTATCTAGGTCCTCCTGAGAGCAGGATTGTCTGATGTTGCTGTGCTGCCCGGCGGTGCAACCAAGGGACAGCTTTTCCCGTCTCCTTTTGGTGGGCATATAACGGAAGACTAAGCACTGTTCAGCTAATATCAAAAAATATCCTCCTCTGTTTGAGACTCAATACGGAGTATCCAAAAAGAAAACGTCCAGCTCTAAGGACCAACACAGGTCCTTCGGACTCAAACGTCCCCCTGATCTCCAGAGGTCATGATCGCTCTGAGTTCTGAATTTGACCAGTCATCCGTCTAAGCCGACCCCCTGGTCGGATAAATCAGTCTATCCCGTCCTCCCTGGTGATGAAGCATTGACCTATTCCTGACAACCCCGGACGGCCTGCCTGCCCTTTTCGATATCCGGCTGAATTCAAAGTTCTGCTGCCCTGATGGCCCCCACTTTCGTAGCTTGACGGTTTTTGGGCAGCCACCTGCATACTTCACAGTGCTTTCTCTCGAGTTGGGTTTATCGGAGCTTCATAAGATGGTGCGCCATTTTCGCGCTTGAGAAGCATACAGTGCCTGAATACGAGAAGCTTGAAAGACTGTCGCACTACTTAGGTGGCCCTGGTGGCCAACTAAGAGCTTGCACCGGATAAACTCCGTAGCCTTGTTCGTGGAAGGCATAATAGCTACTGGTACTCCCTGCTCCAATCGAGCTACTAGTAGTAGCATCTGCATGGCGAGGCAGCCTTTTTTATTTATTTTTTGAGTACTAGTAGCGCATCGCTTTCCCCGTGTAGGAACAGGCACAGGCAAAATAACCACCCTAAGCATTGTAGCTCGCGCTAGAAGTGCAATAAACATGTACATACGGGTGCATACGATGAATAAGACCCCCGACAGCGTCGAGGGCGGTTGAATATCGGCCTCGAGTATGACTTAGTTAGGAGTATCAAGGCTGGAATCACAGAGCGCAAAAGAGGGCGACAGCAATCAAGCTCGAGGGGCTAGCGTGTTCGGAGAGATCCTGGCATTACTTGTACTTGCAACACTTGTAGCTGTAACTGTAAGTTTGACCATGCCGAGTCGCTAGGACTGCCGCCAACTACTAGTATGTACTCGTAATATCACATGAACACCGTGAAGACGGTGGAGAACAGGAAAGTACTCAAGGGCAGAAGAACTGCACGGAGTACTAGTACACAATCGAGTACACGTCGAAAATTTTGATTAAAGGTGGCTAATATCATGACCCTCCAAGATCTGGTCGCAACAGAAAACCTCCACGATGCCCCTAACCTTCTCGACCATCACGTTCGGCCTAGAGTGCCCTCGGGGGCGAACACATAGTCCCCAGCATGTCTGCAGGACGGTCAAGCGGAGCAAACAGAGCACGGGACGCCCTGCAGGGCCTCGCCAACGGCATAATAGGCTGGCTTCCGGGTAAAATCTGCATTGTACAGATCGGCCGCACCCTGGCCTGGAAACGAGCTGGGGATCCAGGAGTACTGATCGTCAAAGTCCCAGACCGTGATGCCGACGCAGCCACCGACCTGGACGCAGCTGGCCACACTGTCGTAATAGTTCTGGGCCTGCAGCGCGAACCCCGTGGCATTGGTCGCGTTGGCCTCGACGAACCGAATGTCCAGCTCTGTGACCGCCACCTCCAGGCCCAGGGCGATGTAGCCTTGTTTAGCCGCGGTCTGCACTTCCAGGCTCGGGGTGCCGCCCACTTCGAAGTGAGATTCCAGACCCACTCCATCGATCCTGATGCCGCGGGCTTGCACCTCCTTAATCAGTGCGTACGTCGCTTGCGTCTTGTTGCCGGTGTCTTCGATGCCGTAGTCGTTGTAGTACAGTTTGATATCCTTGCCTGTGGCCTCGACGGCTTCCTGCGCGAATTGATATGCCAGGAAGAAGTATTCTGGGCCAATCACGTCGTACTGCCGTCCCGATGAGAGTAAATATTGTGCATGTCGAGGGGAGAAACAAGGATGACTTACCCAAATGCTCGAAGAGAAGCTACCGTTTGAGGCGAGCGCTTCATTCACGACGTCCCAAGAGTAGCAGACGTCTTGCCAATGCGTGATCAGGGTTTGGATGTGGTTCTTCATCACGGCAGTCAGGGTTTCATTGGTCCAGGTACCGTTGATCACCCAGTCGCTAAGTTGCGAATTCCAGACAAGATTGTGGCAGCGCAGATACTTGCCATGGTCTTTGGCGATGTCGACAGCGACCTGGCCACCAGTGAAATTGAAGACGCCTTGCTCAGGCTCGGTGGCAAAGAATTTCATATAGTTGGCCGGAGTGATTTGGCCGAAGATATGGGTGTCATTCAGAATCTCTTGGTACAGGATGTTGGTATCCTCGCCTGTGCCCTGGTTCGCAATGTCAGACACCGGCTCTACTTGACTATCGGAAGTCGAAACCTTACCGGCTGGTCAGTTGCACTGCCGAACCATAGCTTCCCAGCGGCCTGTGCCAGATCATTGAGATATGGGGGCGCCAAGGGCTCAAAGTAGCCAGAGCAAGTAGGTGAGGCGGGAGCCGTGGAACCAGATGAACTTGATGCCGATGTTGTCGACATAGGTGCTGTCGCAGATGCGCTGGTTGCCGATGTCGATGCGGTTGGGCCGATCGTGCCAGTCCCAGGCTGAGGCCATGGGAATCCGCTTGGCTTCTGAGGAGGTCCCCAAGGGTGCACGGGATTAGCAGTGGTCAGGGTTGCAAAAGCCCCGACCACCGCGGGAAGAACGAGATAAGAATGCATACTGGACAAAAAATCGATAAAGGAAGGGACGAAGTATAGCTTCGATTTGCTGGGTGTTCCTGAACTTGCAGTACCTGCAGCATGCGCTTCCTCATATACTTCTTACCGGCAAAATGTGGCTTTCTTCAAATCAGGATCCAGAATTGCATTCATTTTACTCCCAAACACGCCTGCCGAAGACGTTCATGGTCACAGGTTAGGCGAGAAACAGTGAAATCTCAGATATCAACCGGGACCCCGCAACCTGAGATTTGCGCTGCATGGAAGATGAAGTCGACGATACCTACCTTCCATCTCTGGTGTAGAATGAGTGCAGCACACGTGGCCGGCAGAAATCAAGCTGGAGATCTACTGGTGGTAGAAGACCCCATGTATTTGCCCAGAAAATCCAGGGACTCGCGACGTGTGGAGGTGGAGTACTGAAGTCCTTCTGGATACATAGTATATTGATATGCGGCTCAAGTGCCACATCTTCGATCCTGGTGCCTGATGACGGCGCAGCCATGGTCCAGTCGAGGCTTCATCAAGCTGCCTTTCGACCGAGGGCTATTTTTCGTGTAGGTGTGGCGGTGGACTGACCATGATATCCAAACGGACATCTGCCGAAACAGGAAGCTTGACAGCCTCGCGCCGTGGGAGCCACAGAAGCTTGTATCGGATGAGATTCCCAGGACAATGGCCCTAGCGTGTCGATCGACGTGGAAGAGAGATCAAAAGAAGTCTGCTCCGTGCTTCAAAGCAACGGGTAAGAGTATGTGGCAAGCTTGTTCATCCCGGTTAATAGGATAAATATCATACAGGGCAATACACCAATACTAGCCGCATGAGGCCCCCTCCGCGCAAGGATTGCCGGCATTCAGCCAAGTCGACATGTGGTGTCTCCCCAGGGGGCCAGCACACCACTCCCGCTTCCTCTCCCACTCCCACACTTCTCCTTCATCCTCCACACCTCCGGATCAGGTGCAACTTCTCAGCGGATTCCAGAGCTACAGCCAATCATCACAGACGTCGACCGGGATACCCTCCTAAGCGAGATGGTTGTCTGGTCCTTGTGTTGCGCCACGCGATCATGATCAGAAGAGCCACCAGGCAAAACTAGCCGTTGACTTGAGCCATGTCCGGTCCTGGGACGATCTGTCTGTCCGCATCCTCCATCACACGTCCATTCAAGCTAAAATCAAGCTCCGCGACCAAGAGGGATCAATTGTCTTATTGGCGGGGCCCGACTTTTACCCAGCCTTTCGCTTCGGCTGTCGCCTTCTGATCTAGGCCTTTTGTGACCCTTTTCTCTCTGGCTAAAATGTACAGTCAGTGAGAAGGAATGGCCCTATTGGCCGCTGCTATCCCATGTCAGCTTCGGAGCAGGGTTTCTAGATCAGACTCAGAAGAACCAGGCGGGCACAGCGGACTATCCAGAGAGATGCTCGGGCAAGATAAGTCTACATTGTCAATACCACCTTGTATATAATCACCCTCGTGCTCCCTGCTGATCCAGCTTCTTTCTTACATCAAGCTGTTCAAACATCGCTTCTTCTCACCATTCAGACCTGCACGCAAGTTCTCTTGGGTCATCAGTGATCAAAGCAACCATGGGGAAAGACTACTTTGAGTTGGGAGGTCGCCAGTTCCCGTCAAAGACATGGTACAGAGATCCTGCTCTGAGAAGGACCTACATCATCCTCATGTTCGTGGTCCTGACCAGCGCCACCAACGGGTAAGCCAAAGTCATGACTCTGAAGCAAGGACTCGAGACTGATCCACTCCTTTGCAGATACGACGGCTCAATGATGAACGGCCTTCAAACGCTTCCTGCCTGGAAAGATCATTTCGGCCACCCTTCGAAGGGAAGACTTGGTATCTTGAACGCTATCATGGCTGCCGGTTCCATTTCCGCCATCCCTTTCGTGCCTTACGCTGCGGACTTCCTCGGCCGTCGCATGGGTATCCTCGTCGGCTGCATCATCATGCTCATCGGAGTCGTTTTGCAATCCATTGGTGCGAACTACAACATGTTCTTGGGCGCCAGATTCATGATCGGTTTCGGTGTTGCCATTGCCCACGGAGCTTCGCCACTGCTCATTACTGAGCTGGTCCACCCTCAGCACCGTGCTATCTTCACCACCATCTACAACACTACCTGGTACGCCGGTTCAATCGTTGCCGCCTGGCTCACCTACGGAACCGACCATATTTCCAACAACTGGTCATGGCGAATCCCCACCATCGTCCAAGCTGCTCCCAGTTTGATTCAGATTGCCTTTATCTGGTTCGTCCCAGAATCGCCCAGATGGTACATCGCCCACGGCAAGGAACAGAAAGGCCTCGACATTCTCGGCAAAGTTCATGCCAATGGCGACAATAACGATGAATTGGTCCAAGTCGAATTCGTCGAGATCCGTGACACCATCCGACTCGAGAAGGAGCTTGAATCCAATGGCTGGAAGGAGCTCATCAAGACTAAGGGTAACCGCCGCCGACTTATCATCCTCCTGAGCGCTGGTCTCTTCTCCCAATGGTCCGGCAATGGTCTCGTCTCATACTACATCACCACGGTTCTTGACCAGATTGGCTACACTGATACCTTGACTCAGAACTTGATCAATGGTGTCCTCCAAATCTTCAACCTCTTCATTGCAGTTTTGTCCTGCTTCTTTGTCGACAAGATCGGTCGTCGCAAACTCTTCCTCTTCTCCACCACCGGCATGCTCCTCACCTTCATCGCCTGGACTATCTGCTCGGCCCGATTCGCTATTGACGGCAGCAAGTCTGCTGCCAACGCGGTTGTTGGCTTCATCTACATCTACTACTTCTTCTATAACTGGGCCTGGTCTGGTATGCTTGTCGGCTACACTGTCGAGATTCTTCCTTACAACATCCGTGCCAAGGGTATGACTGTCATGTTCCTCATGGTCGATTGCGCGCTCTTCTTCAACCAATACGTCAACCCCATTGCGCTCGCAAACATTAAGTGGAAGTACTATATCGTGTACTGTGTTTGGCTCGCGGTTGAACTTGCCGTGGTCTACGTCTTCTACGTGGAGACCAGGAACACCCCTCTCGAGGAAATTGCCAAGCACTTCGACGGAGATGACGCTCTTCTCGCTGGTGGTGCCGCTTCGCACAAGGGTCTCGCATTGGCTACCGAGATGGGACTCGAGGCCACTGTCATCCAGGCAACAGATGAGAAGAAGGCTGCTGCTGGAGCGGAAGTCGAACACGTCCAACGCAAAGGATCTGTCTAAGAGAGCAAGGTTCGACTGAGGAAGTCTTCAATAATATACTGACTCATACGGGTAGCATGGAAGTCTTTCGGTGGGAAGTGAGATAGAGTTTATATTTGATACCTATTCATCAAACTTTGTAAGCTTTATAACTTCTGAATGTGTTTTCCTCGCCGACAAGTCAATCAAGATCAACAAAGCTTAGCTCGTCCCGCAATCCAGGACTTCTTTGGAAGGGAGTGCCCAGGTCACATAGTCTTGATCTTCTGGGGTCAGCTGTAGCTAGATACTCTGCAGCTAGGTACTCTGCAGTGGAGATGCGAGCTTTCAAAGAACGATGTCCGCTTCGACAGGGTTGGGTCATCGGATACGATAGGATGCCTCCGGACTCGAGATAGTAGAATGTAAAATGTCATACTAGCGAAAATGGCCTGTGTTTGGACGTAGAGCCGAATGTCACTGGGATGATAAATGGAACCGACCAGGAAGGAAGTGTCCGTGCCTCGAGATGGCTCCATCCTCTGCAGGACAAGGACTTCGAACGTGCTCAGCCTTGTTGGTGGCGCAAGGCTGAATTTCACGTGAGGATAAGACTCTTATCTTCACAACCCAAAATTTATTTTCCAAACTGCGACTTTCCGCTACAATCTTCTGTCATTGCATGCGCCCATCCAAATACTCACGATGCCGCCGCTCAAAAAGAGGAAAACCAGCCATGGCTCCAATGTGGACAAGCCCAAAAAGGCAGACACGCCGTCTGAACCTTCAGATTCCGGCAGCGATGCAGCTGATGTCGACGAAGCAGATATCGACGAGGAGTCCGCGCCCCGTCCGACCACATTCAAAGAGTTGGGAATAATTGACTCACTTTGCGAAGCGTGCGAATCACTCGGATACAAAGCTCCCACACCGATCCAGGCCGAGTCAATACCTCTAGCTTTGCAGGGTCGAGATCTTATTGGGTTGGCCGAGACTGGCAGCGGCAAGACGGCTGCGTTCGTGCTTCCCATCCTGCAAGCACTGATGGAGAAGCCGCAACAACTACATTCCTTGATTCTGGCTCCGACAAGAGAATTGGCATACCAGATCTCACAGGCGGTGGAGGCTCTCGGATCGCTAATAGCAGTCCGATGCGCAGTATTAGTAGGTGGCATGGACATGATCCCTCAATCCATCGCCCTAGGAAAGAAACCTCATGTCATCGTTGCCACACCCGGGCGCTTGCTGGATCACCTTGAAAACACCAAGGGCTTCTCCCTGCGACAATTGAAATACCTAGTCATGGACGAAGCCGACCGTTTGCTCGACCTTGACTTTGGCCCGATTCTTGACAAGATTCTGAAAATCATCCCAAGGGAAGGCAGAAAAACGTATCTCTTCTCAGCAACCATGTCAAGTAAAGTGGAATCTCTACAGCGAGCGTCTCTGTCGAATCCGCTACGAGTCGCCGTCTCTCAAGACAAGTATCAGACGGTTTCAACCCTGATACAAACCTACCTCTTCATTCCCCACAAGCATAAGGATCTCTATCTGGTACACACGTTGAATGAACTCGCCGGTCAGACGGGAATCATATTCACAAGAACAGTCAACGAGGCACAACGGCTTTCAATATTACTAAAGACACTTGGATTCTCCGCTGTCCCGATTCACGGTCAGCTATCACAACAGGCTCGATTGGCAGCATTGAATAAATTCCGTGCGAGGTCTCGGAATATCCTGGTCGCTTCGGATGTCGCAGCACGAGGTCTTGATATTCCCTCCGTTGATCTCGTGGTGAATTTCGATCTCCCTCATGACAGCAAGACATACATTCACCGGGTGGGCCGCACGGCGAGAGCAGGGAAGAGTGGCAAAGCCATCTCATTTGTCACTCAGTATGACGTTGAGCTTTGGATGAGAATAGAAGGAGCACTCGGGAAAAAGCTCAAAGAACATGAGACGGTCAAGGAAGAAGTAATGGTTCTAGCAGAGAGAGTTGGAGACGCCCAAAGAGCTGCTGCGATGGAGATGAAGGAGCTGCACGAGAACAGGGGCAAAAAGGGCGCCACGCTGCGACATAAGCGGACCGGTAAAGGCGCAGGGCCCGGTGGAAAACGTGGTCGCGATGACATGGATCAAGATGAGGGTTAATGTTCAAAGGATGGTTCCGATTCGGTGAGCCAGAATGATGCCCGCATACGAAAACGAAATCTCTTCAAGCACCAAATTCAATCCGACCCGTTCTTCCTGAGTTGTTTCAATTCCTTGTCTCTAAGACTGACTCACCTTTGCTCGTGGTATTGACAGCACAGGCGGTTCAGTTATGCTGCTCTTCAGCCGAAGTCTGCACCATGACAAGTATAAGTAGGTCCTTCTATCCTCCTCTTTGTACAACCCGTCCAGTTCTCATCGATGCAAATGTCGTCAAGTCCACTGGCGGTCGTTTCTATATATATGAACTCATCCAGATTTGAGAGGGCACGTCTTACCAGCGGCGCCTTTGCCCTATCGCATTCCCACTCTGTGTGCCACCAGACACCTCGATGATACCCTCTACCGACCAACAGCGAGAAAAGCCTTGTTCCATCTTCTAATTGCTTCACAAGAAGGCTTAGATCTGCAAGGGGCATGCTCGACTTTGACAAATGCACTGAAGTCGATTTCGACTCGTGCTCATTGTCGGGAGAGTGTGTTGATGATACGTTGCCAACTGTCTACTCTTCGTGCATGCATTGCCGTAGCAGGACGGCTCCCAGGACTCCACGACTCCTCCTGGTTCTCATCAGGACACATCACATTGCGGCACGTCTTGATGCCAATCCCATTCTGTACGGTCTAATCTTTCGGCTCTCGAGGGATCCCTCGCTGACTGCTTCAAAATTAGCATTTCACGCTGCATCCTCAATCTGCACATCAACTTTTCGTTGGTGCCTATCAGTGGATGTTCAAAAGAACAGATTGTGGAGATCAGACACGACAAGGACTGTCACGGACTGGGATCCAGAAGGACAAAATACCAGTAAATCGCAAGACACGAGAATTTCGAGTCGACAAATACGGCGCGCCCTCAATGACAGTCCGTCCACGTTTGTCGTTCAGGTTGCCGCTCTTGCTTCGACCATACTGCAAAACGTCAAGGTTGGCAGAGTCGATCTTCTACGTACCTTTGGGTACGGGATCGCGACCGATAAATTCTCGACCGAAGAAGAGAAGAAGGTCCTCTATAACCTTACACTGACACTTTACGTGCACCCTTTTAACCTAGGCGTGCAGCCCGAATCAACAGCCCTGGTCTCGATACCAGAAGGGGTCGAACGTTGTGTCACAGAAGCCAGGAGTGCCAGGAGTGCCTGGGAAGCACGGAATGCCTCTGGACGATTTCCGAGACCTCTCCGAACCGCATGCCTCGACAATCCCAGGAGATCCAATGCTGATGACTTTTGTACTGGCTGCCGCTGGCGCCCGACCACCAAGAGTCAAGTATCGTGAAGCTTTCGACGAGCCCGACATCTGTCATGGTCACTCGAAGCAGTCATCTCAGCTATCTCATTCTTTTGGTGTGGTTCAATCTTCTCCTGTTCCCTCACCTTAACAATCGTTTAAATAGGTTTGCACTCCTCCGGATCATCAGCAAGGGCAGTGCAATCTGTCACCCCCCTGCTCAGCCTATTCCCGGTTTCCATGGCATGGAGAAGAGATGAAGGTAGTGGGCGAGCGGAAATGTGCAACAAGCGTCGCATCGGTCGCGTCAGGTCGATGAGCCAGTCCTCCGAGGATCAGCAGGGCTACAGGCAAAACGGGAGTGAATATGCAAGAGGACCTGTATCTTCCAGCCTTCTGATGTCCATCAAGTCATCTGTATGGCCGACACTCTTATGCTTGCGGACGATGCTCGCGATCGTCGCGCTTGACCCGGTGCCAAAGATGTTCTAACCAACAACAATGAATCCCTAATCATGTCCACAGAAGTCGCCGTTGGGCGGGCCCTTGTTTGGGTCAACTGGATTTGGCTTGCACGCGTCCTTGTTCTCTTCTTCTTTTCTCTTCTCCCATACAAACACAGTATTTCGACAATAAATTTTGTCGAACAACATCTTGGTCTTTTCGGCCTTTGGGCCACCTTTGGCTACGCCGTTGGGCCCAGCTAGGCCAATCGCTCTTTGTCTCAGTACCACCGAGGCTCAAAAGTCGCTCAAGGTTCGCGCGATCCTCTTTCAGTCCTATACTGCATAGTTGGAAGACATTCAATTGGGATGAACCCTTTTGGAGCACCAGGCTTACCCTCCTCGACCAGTTGCTGTCTTCTTCCGCGGCACGCATTCTTCCGAAGGTTTGCTGAGCTTGGAGAGCTTTGGAGAAACGCTCGGTTCAAGGATATTTTGAGCGGCTATATCCCAGCACCTGATGAGGAATCTCCACTGCCGCATCCGGAGCTGGGGCAACTTTTGGCCATTATCTCGATGACGACTTCTCAAGGACGGCGAATTTCGAAGAGCTGTATGACTACACTACATCCACGGTACCTTCCTAGGACTGCATGGCCAAGAATATCGCTGAACCCACAACAATGTAGGTTCTTCTGCTCAAGTGTGGTGATCCTAGGCCACAACTGGCCGCCCCAGCGTGGGGGCCTTTTTTGGACGACTGCTGGCAGAACAAGACCAATATTGGGCTTCTGTCTTTTACCTTCGCGACAGGACACGCCATGCTCCGCCAGGAGGGGCGGTAAGGACAAGAGAACAGTCGATATGCTCAATTCTGAAGAGAAATCTGGTATGTCATGATCGTCACCCATTCCTTGCACTCAAAGGACAAGTCTAGCAATTGCCAAAAACGTTCACCACGCCATTCGGAAGATACGGAAACACCTTGATCCTACATACCCAACTCGTCAAGCTTTGGATGGTCGCCTCCAACGGTTGCTGACAAACATCGGCTGGAACTATCTGTTCTTTGCCGGCATTCGACTAAGTTGCATCAAGAGACGGATTAGAAGGGATATAACAGGTCTTTGCTCCAGAACGAGACCGTGAAAATCATTATTCTCCAGTCACAATCGGTTGTTATACTCCTCATCATGGATATTCATAGTGCTGACATGTCACGAAAGTCGATTACAATGCCGATCTCAACGAGGACTTTGATGAAGACTAACTTGCAGATGGCGGCCCAATAATCACAAGTCGAAGCGGATGTGGACTCACAACATTGGAACGACAAGGTATCTGCACCCACGAACTTGCATACCAGTACCCGCGAATGGTCCGGATGATGGTTCGGAAGTCAAATCTTCCAAGAGCACTGGGATAGCCCGTTGCTGAGTCGGACGTCCCAGAGGGCTACAAGGCAACTCCCCAAGATTGTGCACGCTTTTCCGGTCGAGAGAGGCGCTCCTGTCCTGCTGGCCAAAGTGCCATACCTCTTGCAGCATGTTCCTACTGGCTCTTCCGTCGCCGACGGTATTGTCCATGACCGAAGCCCCGAGCAGGTACGCATACGACATCCAGGGAAGTCTATCACGCCATGCCTTTAGATTATTCATCCTATAGCGCCAGCTAGAAAGAACCCGGAAAAAACGTAACCTTAAAATCCTCATACCCTTCCCCCCGCTTTGATTGCCATAGCTAGAAGTATGCTTGGCCTTCAATGACCTATCGAGGGTTGGGAGACAGCTGTCAGACAGGTCGATGTCCTGATATTTGTCGTTGGCAAAATATTATATATATGAAAGAGTGGGCAAAAAGGCTTGGTCTTTGACTCCCACTCCTGGCCAGGTGGTCCCATCCTCGTGTCTTGGGCTATGCGTCCCGAAACGATGTGGGTATTCACATCAAGCCTGCAAATCCACGCAGTCCAAGTCGAAAACAAACGACAGAGAAGGTGGTGTTGCGTGGTTCGAGTATTGCGTGAAGCGGCTTGAGCTGAAGATTTTATCCTGGAAGGATGACAAAAAGCGGTCGGACTTGGCTGTTAAGCTGGTCGTCTTCGCCGCTTCTTTCTTGACCAACGGTGGTTGGAATTCTCCAGAGGCTGCAACGTTCCAGTATCGAGTGCCCTCTGAGTCTCGTTCGGACGAGGTGATGTCCGATGCTCCAGACGAGACCCCAACGAAGCAGTCTCGGTCGTCGCCAATGGCGTGAAAAAGGTCTCGGTCGCACGGAGCCTCCCCGGTTCCGGGAGGGATACCAGATGACAGTTGAAGACAAGCTTCGGTAAGAGCTCCATCCTGATATCCAGCCGGTGCAGACTCACCTGACTCTCTTGGTACAGCGAACGCTCTTGGCGTACATCGGTCAAGGGTGGAACCAGAACTCGCTGCTGGACCTGCTATCGTGGCAACAAGGTACATCTCCACGAAACCCTACGAGCCCTAGCTCTAAACTAACACTGCGCGTGCCAGCAATTTCCTTCTGGTGACCAAGCCGTCCACGGCGCCGAAAAATTCGTGCTCTCGCCTGCGGCAAGGCCGAACCATCTGAACAACCACCAAGCCCTCTTGCTGTTGGAGGCGTGGCTGGAATGCCTGCTTTTCCTGGCTTCTATGTCCACAGCTAAAGAGATGGTCTGATCGAATTTGCTGCTACGGTGACTCGATTCGGCGACTCGATTCGGCGACTTCTGGAAGTTCACACTCTGGAACCTAAACCTGCCTCTCACACGGCGTTGGGGCCGAAGCTACAGATGCAGACATTCTCCTGCGGCCGACATGATCTCTCACCAGCCCCTAACACTTGATCGAACTGCAAAAGGCCATTGATGCTGCTACTGCAAATCTACCTCAACTCCTCGAACCGCCTTTAGACTCAAGAAAGGAGTTGAAACATGCCTTGGAGCCTCTACTGAGTGCAAGAGACTACAGACTGCCACGCCTGGCATCGAATCGGAATAGGAGTGACCTGGTCGGAAGATCGCTTGGGGAGTTTCTGGGAAACTGAATCCGCTTGGTGAGTTGCGTTCAGCCCAAGGGGCGTCCGAGAATGCAGCAAATGACTCGGTCATTGTTGATAGCGCAAGAATATTCAAGGATGGATCCCTTTCTCGCGGAAACACGTGAGAATCAACCGCAATGCAACATGGGGCCACTTGACAGAGAAACTCGACTTCGGCACCTCTTTCGACGTCCACTTCTCTGCTCAAGGCCTTGTTTCGGGGACTTGTATCCTCGAACCGCCTATCGTCAGCGAGTGCAGTCTCAGTATCCTCGATCTTGCGGATTGCGCCTCCGAACTCCCTTGCACTGCACTTCGAAACAGGAAGGCAAAGATCCGAACATTCAACGTTCATCTTCGCTCAATCGGATTTTTTAGCTTTGGAGAGCAATTCAAGGACGATCCAAGAGCGTGGCAGCTAAAAGGGAAGGGCCAACGAGGCTTGAGACTCGGTTGGAGAACAATCGACCCGTCATTGATCTATGTACGAGTTCTACGTAGGTACTTTCAGAGCGGCACCTACACGGCATGCCCTCAGCAGCGTAAGAAGTTCGTCAACGACTTTGAAAGACACCTGAAGAAAGGTTTCCCGGCAGCAAGGTGTCATCAAGCAACCTTAGCTATAAATCCTATCCCAGCGCGCCTCACCGTCAACAATCCGACTGGAAATCCGACTGAATCAAAGGCAAGAAGAAGCCCACGAGGTGCGGGCTCTGTCTAGATGAAGGAGAGGCAACCTGATCCGCAGATCGACCATAGTACGAACCAATCCAAAAGCTTCTGAGTATCCGTGAGGAGTGTCTGTTTAGGACTCCTCTTCGTCTACTTCCGGAGTCTGAACCCTCGGCAGGAGATCAAGTCTCTCTTTCGCCGTCGAAGCCCACCAAGGCAATGAAGTAAGTCTGAGAGACTGCTTCCGTGCCGGTCTATCAACTGACGAGCGAAGTAGTTACTCTCCAAGTACTCATCAACGAGTCTCCCCCAACCAGCCTAGCCGAACAACGTCACCAACAGCCCGTGTTGCACTGGAACGACAGCCTTGTGGATGATGCAGCCAAGTCGGACGGCAGAAGTTCATATGTGGGTTCAAAGGACAAGGCAATGCTCAACCGAGATCGAGAGCTCCAGATAGCCAGGTCTTAGGCTGCACGAGCCATCGAAGGGGTCGAGAAGACTATGCGATGGAGCCGTTCGAACCAAACCGAGAAGATTAAGGCCGCACGACTCCTGAAGGGCGAATAATTTCGTGATCCTTCCGAGGATAATGTCCGTTCCGAACTTCGTCGTCACAAGACGGGCAAGTCTGTGAGTATATTGATTACTGTTAGTCAATAACTTGTCCAATCCGAATACGACTATCGGAAAATTTATCTGAACGGTCTACACGAAATCAAATCTGTGACCCCTCAAGCATCTGACCAGAGAGAGAATACATGGGAGTTGATGAAGCCTCTAGCTATGGAATCCAGCTAACGTTCACTTGGAACACCTTTACATCAACTTTGTAGAGGTGTGGTTGCCACGGGTCCAGCAATACGCAAAGCGAATGGTGGAATATACCAAGGATCTTCGGTTGCACCATGCCCAAGCTCTTCAGACAACAAGCAGCACACCTGCATTTTGGTGAGTTTCCTTACTTACACCTTCATTTACTACGCCGATCTCAACAACAAACATCTACATCGTCGAGTTCAAATTTCGAACGTCCGAGCACGATCATTTGGGTACTGAGCTTGCCGATATCGTCGAGCGTATAGTGACGGAGCAAGAAAGTTCTGCAGATCAACTGAGCCAGCCACGATACACCTGGTTGGCAAGGCTGGACCGAGGGACATCGATGACATCGATGTATCATGGTCGAAAAAAATCTGCGGGAAGAAGCTCAAGAATTCGTCAAGAAGCCGCAATACCTCTGACGGTGATGGCATTAGCTGGAACAACGGCAATAGCTGCACGCACGCCTACACCGCTCGATACCTTCGCGCTTTTAGGTTTCAGAATCACGCAACAAGCACTGACTTATTATACTAGATGCCTAGAAACAACAATGGCGGCAATGGCGGTCGGCGGGGTGGCGGCTTTGGGGCCACCAGGGAGGCCACACGCCACCGTGCGCTGGCCGTAAGTATTATACACTTACAGTTGTCCTTTCTCGTGGTCTTCGATATACTGACATTATTTGTTGATAGATGCGATTGACAAGGTCGCTCGGTACGAGCAGGGCCTGGAGGTATGAACCATCGAGTCTCTTTGAATCTTCAACCAATATATTCTAAAGATGCTCGTGCTGATTTGGCCGAGCTGGGTAATTACCCAAGGACCTACTCTTTTTCGTCTGCTAATTCCTCGAAGAGGAAGGACAGGCCGAGGATGCGGCGGAAGTGCTCAGTTTCCGCCGTACTCAGAAGAGAAATACCGGCCAGCACTACGAGACGCTCCGAACGATCCAGAAGCCAATAATCCAGAAGCCAGTAATCCAGAAGTCAGTCAAGTCCACGAAATCTTGGCTTCTCACCGGGTTCGCATAAAGCAGCTTGAAGTTGACCAGGTCCGAATCAAACGCCAGCTTGACGAAGTCGACGACAGGGATAAAGTCAACAACTCTGGGCTCATGAGACATTCCCCCGGGTTCTGCTGTTGGTTCTGCTTATACCCGGAGACACAGTTTCATAATTTGAGTACGGGCCGGGAGTTTGTCGAGGTTTGCAACGGATCGGTCCCCTCTGTCTATGGCACGACCAGTTTTGAAGATAACAGTATGCCTCAAGATGATGAGGACAAAGGCAATCTACTATTTTCGATGGACTTGTCGGATATACACAGTACGATACCACTCGCTCTGGATGGAGAGCTAGCCTCAGAAGGCTAGGATAATCATGGCCACTTAGAAGAGCAGCCTGGTGAGACGCATGGCACATTGGAACGAGCTTCATACGACAATTTCAGAGGCGGCATGGAGCTTGTCCCAGACGTATACCCACTATTCAGCCAACCGCCAGAGACATGGCGAATCTACTGACAACGAGGAAGCGAATGCTGAAGAATTGATGGTTCGGGCGGCGTGCTCTGATCAACGCTGGGACGCAAATGTCGATAACGGAGAGGAAGCTAGTGATTTAGCATACACGAAGTCAGAGGACAAGTTCAGTATACTGACTATTAAATAGCTTATTCTGCACCACAAACAACACCCAATACCCTTGCCGTGGATAGGGTCGCGAGCACCCCACTCGTGGACTATACTGAGAGGACTCTAAAAGAGCTAGGGATCAGCCCTTCTGAAAACCGGATGATGCCCGAAGCACCCGGAAACCGACCCCCTTGAAGGGGCCGGGTTTGCCGTGAACGAGGTGAAACAGTATAAGAAGGACGGAGGGTCCTCAATGAATTATACAGCACCTGTACTTGATATCTCGAAATCGTTGTATCATACATGGGAGTCAGTAATCAGGGGGCTCGGCTCCCTGGGGAGTACCTTGACACAGCACCTTGACACAGCACCTTGATACAGCACCTTGATACAGGATTCGAAGTCAACAAACCTTCGAAAACGGAAAGAACGTAAAACGTGGTAACGAGACATTCAGCGACTTGAGAAGAAGCCTTTTAGTCATCGGTGAGTCTGCGGATGACTGGAGATCCTCAATCACCTGTGTCGTCTAGGACCATTTCTATGTTCACTGGTCGGAAATCGCTTTCTATTCATGAAGAAGAGCAAGAAGTCCAAAAAAGACTATATTCCCAACAGCACCACCTGGCTCGATCGTCAAATATTTCCTGGACAGATGTCGTACACCTAGGGGGCTTGCGGTCAGGGATGGTCATGAGAGGAGAAGCAGCGAAGACTCATGCCGGTATGAGCTACGCCTTAAGTCGATCCTCGAGAGCCTTCAACATTCAGCTCAGGCAATCTCTTGGGAGAAGATCCGGACAAGGACACTACAGAATGGTAGCAACGATTCTCCCTGCTGTTCTTTCGACAGAATAAAAGCAGTTTCCAACCTCCTCCAGGTCATTACGATTTGAAGAAGCCCTCACCACACCTCACTTTCGAATCCGCACCCGCGTCCGCCTTGTCCTTGCCAGACAACCTGATAACCACGACCTCACTACACGCCCGTAGCGAGCCTGTTGGACCTGGGCCTCTAGCACCGGTGGTGGCTAGGGAAGACCAGTCGTACGCGACATTAACACAATTGGCATTCTATACTAAACATACATTACACTACAACGTACATCCGGGTTGTCTCTCAAACTACACTACAATTCATCGGGAGGAAAACCGGATGACTCTGGGATGGTGGCATTTTCTCTTGTCACAGGTCGGTCCCGATCCAGATCGCGGACCGTTTTGTCGAAAATTGATAACATCAAAGAGGCGAGGTCTGAGGTCTCGGTGCAATGATGCTTCTTCTGCAGCGAAATGTTGAGCATGCAAGCTGGCACGCATGACACCATTGGAACGAGCTTCCACCATATATACATATACATACCTGTAAGGGGGTACGGATGATGCAACTTGTACTATTTTGATGGTACTGTACATCCACGATATTCTCATGCTCAGTAAAATTATATCTGAGAACCAAGTTCAGGACAGAATTGACCAAGAATTACTCCCGTAAAGTTTTCGAATGACATTCCATAAAGTAGTAATCATCCCTCCGTACGGAGTACAAAATAGTCGAGATCCGTGTCCGGAAATAGTATAAGTATATCAAGAAGTAATAGAATAAGGCGCCACATTCGGATCCAGCGCCTGCCACACAAACGGCATGCCCTGGGACAAGCCATTCTCATCGAACGTCCGCGCCGCGACCTGCTTGCTGAAGGCCTGCATACTGGCCAAGAACGTGGCCGCGGCGCCTTGCGTGACGTTGTTCATCCGGCCCAGCATCGCGGCGTCGTCAAACATGTGCATCAGCGTACGATCCGTGCCGACGAAGAACGGGCGCGCGAAAAGGGTCGCGAAAGAGAATTGCTCCTCGACCTTGACGAGCGGCGGCAGATACTGCGCCAAGTCCGTGGCCCCCTTGGACGTGGGCGGTGGCTGGTACAACGACGGCGGGTGGAACGGCAGGGTCGAACTGACCGAGATCAGCTCGTTGGTGTTGATGGTATGGTGCGATGTCGAGGCGAGATGGGCCTGCGAGGTGGGAATCGGTGGTTAGCTTAGCAAGGCAAAGCAAGACAAGGCAAGGTATTGCGTGGGCGGAAAATTTGGGGTGGCCGGGGGGATCATGTTACTACTCACCATGTGCGTCAAAGCATCAACAAGGGCGCTCTTCGTCGTGATGGAAGGGAAGTCGATGCATTCAGCTGGGCCTTGGGCCTCCTTCACCCACGCTTGAATTTCCTTGTCGGCCACAACATCCGAGTCTTTGGAGTAGTATGAATCGACGAAAGATGTCATGAAGGCATGGATGGCCTTGTAGATCGTTGAAGCATCTTCGTAGAAAGGGAAGCTCGTCAACGCAGGGCCGAAGTCGGAATTGACCAGTCCACGAGTCTCGAGGTCGGTCATGAAGTAATTCGACTCGAAGCGGCCGCTGCCGCCGTTCTTGTATAAATCGGTGGAGTACTCTTGGGCCGAGATGCCCGTGTACGCGAAGACCTGATCGACAACTGCGCCGGGGAGGAACAGAAGAGTTGCGGCCAGTGGCTGGATGGCGTAGACCTCGTACATGATACGATTCAGCAAAGCAAGGACGGGGTGTTCATCGCTCAGAGTGCGGATGGCGGCCAGGTAGGCAATCTGCACGACTTCGTGGGTGCTGGCAAGATGGTTCCATTGCGCATACCAGAAGTCGTTGACATTGTACATGATCTTGGCGAGCAGCCAGTCGTCCGGCTCGTCGTTTGGCGTGTAGATGAGGTTTGATCCTACGTTGGTGCGGATGGCCAGCGGCAAGAAGTCGCTGGACGTCTGATTGATGTAGAAGAAGGCATCACATGCGGCCGAATGTCGATCGGTCGGTGTGAGGTTCTTCTGATCTCGATAGTCGGCATAGAAGAGACGGCCGGCGTCGAGCAGTTCTTGGAGCGTCATGCCCGTGATGTTTGTCGCAACATCGTCGTCGATGGTGAACTGCAACGTATCCGAGGACGGATTGAGCCTTCTCACCTGGTACGGGCTCAGCGACAGGCGCTCCATGGAGAACAGCAGGTCTTGGGTGTAGTTCGTCAGGATCCCCGGGACCGGGCCATGCGGGAGGAAGGTCTTCCAATGGCCGTCGTACAGCAGAGTGTAGTCGTCCAAGGTCTTCAAGCCCTTGTACTGGAGAACGGATAGCGTACTATCTGCCGCATCAACAGCAGTGGCCGCAAGTACAGGCGCCTCGTCGAGCTGAATCTCTACCTGGTCGGCCGCAACCTTGGCCAGGCCCAAGACACCGGTAGGAAAGTAAGGTCCGCCGGCGACGGGTGGACCATACAGATAGCCCAGCTGTTTCGTCGTGATGTCCAGTGACCTCGTCAGGGAGCTGGAGTCGTTCTGCGGTAATGTGTATGGATCGAGTGCCCGGTCATGCAAAGTCGGTGATCTGCGTATGGCAACAGCAGTGACCTCATGGCTGCGGAGTGCAAGCAGGTATAGCAGACATGACGAGAGCGACAGGCGCTTCATGATCAATATCCGGCTACCCTCGCTTGTGTAGAGGTCCCTGGAAGATCGAGGAACGGGCGCCGCCACGTCCAAAAGCTCGTTCTGCACAGTGCGCAGCCTTTTGTAGCGCGGGGCCCCATCATTTGTAGTACTCTGGGCTTTGGCATGAATTTCGGTATGGTACAGGTTCCGTTGCACTACTGCCTGAGTCCTGTGACGATCTCCCGGCAATCGGCCTCCTGGATTGACGAGGACATGCTCGCGAAACCCTGCGTGGGCTTGAAATGTTGACTAGCTGTGTGTGTTGATTGTGATGCTGACAGTCGGCTAAACACAAAAGGGGGAAGATGAAGGATTCCTCATGATCGGAGATTGCGTTTTGAGAGTGAAGGGCGGCTTGAGATGGCCTTGATGGATCCCTCTATCCCTCTTGTGGCACAAACCCAGCGATCCTAATCAAAAGGGACGACGCCGTGGTTTTGAAGCACCAAATTCAGGAACTCTCCCTTTTCGTCAGTCTTTTTTCAGCACGAGGCGTAAGTCTGGGATTTATGGAGAATCGTGTACTTGTGTCCATAGGTATGCTTGCGTCGCCGATGACTACCGAGCAGAAGCTTGACTGCCTCGAAGTCCAGGACCCAGCAGCCAGGTGGCCAGAGTGGATCAACCCATATGGGGGGTGCTCAGGGTGATGGGAGTATCCCGTGACATACAGTAGTACGGACGCCTTTCTTCATTGCTTTGTACTATTCTGTACCACCCTTACTGCTGCCAGATTCAGCCATTGTTCAGCCATTGTACCATAGTAGTACATTGAACTACCCAGGTCCTATTATATCACACTCGGAGTCCTCCTCCTCTTTCGACGAGATCGAAATAACATCGAAGTCGCGTTCCGATATCATGGTAAAACCCAGTCCCTCAAGGACCTCGTCCTCATCGAGATCGATACCATTAACCAAGTCAAGTGACTGAGGTCCACGCTCAGGCGCATCGACGATAGCACCTTCAGCTACCTCCTCACCACCAGCCGCTTCCTCATCCTTGTCCAACCGACCGGGGCCATCACCACCATAAGACTGCTCCTCCATATAATAAGGATACGGTACATGAACCTCCGACTGCCCATCCTCAACCTCAACCTCATCGTGCACAGCCCTCGCCTTGACTTTCATCCCCCTGCCCAACCCTCTCAGCTCCCACTTTGCGCTTCTCTTCTCACGGATTTTCTTCCCTCTGTGGTGCCGTCGGTCGAGAGGCCATATATCGGTCTCGCAGTCCAGAAACATATCGCGCTTCGTCCAGATGGACACTTTCAAGTGCCTCGGCACAGATACAAGTGGTCCACAGGCGGGATAGATTGCCGAGAAGGGGCCATATGTTTCCTCGAGAGCAGTGTGCGAAGTGGGTGTGGATGCGAGTGAATGATAAGGCTGACCAATCCAACTTGGATGCACGCCGCGATAGCCGTAGTATTTGGCCGACTGTTTGGCACAACGGTTTTGGGCGTGTCTCCTAGAGCGCAGGTCGCGATGCGTCTCTGCTCCATCTGGAGGGTGAGTCTCGGAAATTTCGAGATCTTGGGCTTCCATGGTAAGCGCTGGACAATGTGTGCCTTTGGAAAGCACAGTGGCGGTTGCGACAGGCTCTGACGAATTTATGCCTCCAAGGTGTTCTGATCTCAGGTTACCAAGTTGAGTAAGATGTTGCGGGAAGAAATGTCCCCACTATACTCCGTATACCAGGAAGATCTCTAGGAAAGGTAGTAGCAGAACCAGGAGATGATATAGCAATTACCCATTCAAGGGGTCGACGACTTGTTTCTGGACCAAGGAATGTAAAAGTCGTGCAACCAGTCTTTATGTGCCAGAATACTCCGTACGCGTGAGTTACTGAGATGAAGTCATTTGGTTTGTAGGCCACACGAGCACAGCCTGCGAAACTGGAAGAACTAGGATGCTCATTGGTGCTGGCCGGATGCAGCTGCGGGAAGGGCCAGGCGGAGTTTCCCAGGGCTAGGGCTTAAACAATAGGCGTAGCCGAAGGCGCCCACAGCGCCCAATGTCAGGTACTGTAAGTCGTCTTTTCCAACCAGCATCCAATCTGCGATTTTAGCTAAGTACAAGTCGACAATAGTGTCGTGAGTATGGTTGAGTCACCGAAGCGTATGGCTTGCGCCTCGACGTTCCAATCCTCAACAGGTCTCGATCCAATCGTCTAGGTTGATGTTCTTCAGGATGGTCGAGAAGCCACCCTCAGCGCTGTTCTCACAAAACTTCTTCATCGTCTTGCTGCTCACCGGCTTATTGTTGCTAGTCTCGGTGCCCTTGGGATACTCGACATGAAAGACCGGCTTGTCGTGCTGTATGAACGTGGCATACGTGTCGCATTCGTCATATGCTACACACTGCTCATTGACACTCCATTCCATGCAATCGATAACACCGTCGATAATACCGCCAGCATTCTTCAGTCCGATAGAAAGCTTGCGACTATGCGCTTGGTTGGCGAGGAATATCATATAATTGATCGAGTCCACGTCCGTCAACCCCAGACCGTTGTCGTTGTCGTAGCCATCCACGTTGTCTGGGTCAACGCCGTCGCAGCCCTTCTTCACAGCCAGGTCGAGACGAGATTCCATGATATCTCGGACTTTCTGAGATCCGATATCCAACCACTTTTCGCCAGGCCAGTCATCGAGATCGTTACCTAGATCTGAAGCACTAAAGTTTGACGCATCCGGCCTCCAGTCCTCGTAGCTGCCCGCGGAGAAATAGCAAATGACCTTATGACCTTTACTTTTCATGACCTTGATGCTGGCTGCAGTGTTGTCGAATAGGTCAATGTCCCACACCTCAGCAGTTGAGGGGATGTTGGCTGGTGTTGTTACAGGATGAAGTAATTGGTAGTTCCATGATACCCCAACAACAGGTTGCCAGAGGCCTTTCGGACGTGATGAGCAGGTGTTTCTTTCCACGAGACTGTGTATGTGTTCAGACTTCGAAGGTCGTTCGGGAAATTCAGCAGCACAAGTTGCTGCAACAAGCAGGGTAACTAGGCAAATGGAGAACATTATATTCTTCTGGCAGTTGATTGTCCAGACCCAGAGACAGCAAGCAAAGTTCGTGTTATATTATAGGCAGAGCTCAATAGACTTCTCTCCTAATGTTGCTGCTGTCTGTAAACTTATGAGAGATAGCATGGTAGGTCGATATTATACTGTCACATCTTCGAGATAATAGTTCGTGCACGAGCCCCAGAGACACACCCCGCTTGCCCGTATGTAGACGTCCCGGCACAGGCGCAGTAGAAATGGAAATATATTCTTGAAATGTGGTCCGCGCTCAGAATAGTTTCTTCCGGGCCTGGACTGGGCGTTTTTGGGGCCATTTGCAGGCACCAACGAAATGTCCCAGCCTTGAAAATAGCCAATGTTCAGCCACTCGGAACTTTCATGATCGTGTTGAGGGCGAGAAATTGTGACTGTGCTCTCATCTCACAAACTCAAAGTCCATTGCGTAATCCCCTGAAGAAAAAGAAGAGCGCCTAGAACTGGCAATGAATGGTGCTTTTCAAACGTCGGAAGAAGCGAAAAAGACCATGCTGGTCAACTGGCCATTGTATTTTCAACCTAGAGAGTGCGGAATTGCACCAAAACGGGCTCTCATGAGATAACGGTTGGGAACAGGAGCGTCTTGTGTGGCAGTCCTCAGGGCTGGGTCAGAAGAGACCTGAGGTTGGTACTTAGAATGGTTCCAGTATTCAAGGTGGATTTTGACCACATTGTAGATTGTGAAGATGTGCTCGCCGCAACGTCCAGTGGGGTTGGCTTGCAGTGCTGGATAGCAGCATGCCCACGATGAATATGCTGCAGAAGTCGAATGAAGTGCTGCTGGTTGCCGTTTCCAGGGTAGGGGACCCGTTGCATGGAAGAAACTCTTAAAAAGTAACGGTTCTCTCGGCGGGTTCTGGTAGCACTGCGGCAAGTCTGGGTTCGAGCACTGCTTGGACGGTGTGGACGTCGTGTCTGGCTTCAATGGTGCACAGCTCGGCCGCACGCCTGGTCCTCAACACGCATTACCCATTCAGAGGTCGTCTAAAGATGTCTTGAATCGTGAATCGTAGGACTAGTCTCTCGTGCGTCCGCCAATTCAGAAATCGTCATGGAATCTAATCTGATTGCTCAACTCTGGGAAATGAGCTAGAACAGATTTGTGCAGACTCCAATTTTCAGGATTGTCGATATGTGTCGTGAATGCGGGTGTAAGGCGACTTTTTTCACCCAGGTCGGCGCCCCCTATGCCTTCCACACATGCTTCATCGCCGAAAGGCCAGTTGGGGTTGAATGTATCGTACCTGAGGATATGGGCAAAATCTCGGTTGTACTTCAGGAAGGATTTCCTGAGTTGTGGAATATGACAGAGGTCAACGAACAGCTTGTGGTGCGGTACAACCATTTGATCGACCATAGGCCTCATGAGTTCAGGCATTAGCAGCCAAGTGTCGCGACATGGCAGGATCATCCACCTCATGAAGCAGGCTACCATATGAAGGGTGGTATATAAGCATGTTTGAGGCAACATGCCCTTCCAAGATTTGGTGAATTCACAGGCCCATGTCGAAACAGTCTGCAGGTCTTCGGGGCCTCGGTCGCGGAAGAAGAGCTCGGTTTGTAGTCCATCCATGCTAAGAATGGTCCTGACTGGTTGTCCTTGAGCCATAAGTGATCGGGCGTCCTCAATGAAACCCAGGGCTGCTTGCGATAAAGGATCTGCGATGCTCCCTTCGTCTAGTAGCAAAGGCGAACAAGCATACAGAGGTTTTTGTAACATGCTCAGCTGCTGTTGTTGTACATCCGCGCCCCAGCCGTTAGCTCTAATAGCGCTTGACATTGGAAGATTCCCAAAGGACTTGACAGCGCCAGGCTCCACGTAATTGTCCTGGTCCGACAGAGGACGCGGTTGTTGCTGAGAAGAGCTAGATCTGTCGGGAACATTTCCACCCGGGGGATTTCTTACGAACGCCAGATGATCAGCTTCTGGTAGGCGAATCCTTGGCCGGACAAGCTCGGTAATCTGAGAAATTTGCGCTTGCGGACTTGCAGGGTTCAATAGTGCACTCAACGAAGTCAAGCGCGACGTTGATGATTGAGCCGGATTAGCCAGAGCATCTGGAAGGCTTTCCAATGGTTCGTCCTCGAGGACCAAGGTGTCTGCAGCTGATTGTGCGAGGTGAGCTTCGATAGCTGCGACTGGGGCATCTTCGCTGATCAAATCCAGCAATGTCTGCGCTCTAGAATCCGAGCGTTGCCGCAACGTAGTGAGAACCTGGTGAAGAAGTCGCTGATCCTTTCGAGCCTTTTCGCGATGCATCTTCCGTCTCATATCAGTGTTTGCATCAAGAATGCATTCGAAACTATGCTTGATGCATTCTGAACATTTGCCGCCGCCCTGGTCCCCATCGCACTAATGGGGACGTTAGCAACAAATAGCAAACCAGTGGGAGGGGAGGGGGGAAAGCAGCATACCTTGCGCCTTCTTCGTCGGCAAGACGTGCAGGCTCGAGACGTGTGCTTGGTCGCTGTGCGTGTCGCTCGCATTGTAGGAGCAGTCTGGTTTCCTTGCGACGAGAGGTCAGGCAATGCAGCAGTCGTGGTTAAGTCATCGTGCGTTTGCACCTCGGGTTGTGGCCAAGGAGTCGTAGTCGGCTGCCGCGGTCCGGACGACGGCACATTCATATTGGAATATCCTGCCATCTTGCAGAGGGATTGATCTTCATGGCCTGTCCGATGGGCCAAGTAAAGGCGGGTTCATAATTCCGATGATACCAAGTAAGCGTGGACAGATGACCAGTGATGAAGCACAGCTGAAACTATGATCGAGGCCTGATGCCGGCAGTCGCCAAGTGTACGTTGGTGAGTGGGAGAGTTGGTGAACCCACCGCGGACAAACCCCCCAAGAAATCTCCCCGGCAGCTCCTGAGAGCCTTATGATCCGCCGTACCTCCTTATCGCGATAAGAAAAATTTATGGAAGTGGACTTGTTGGTTCACTCCGTCTGCGCCCCAGTCGACCTACGCGATATCTGCTTGACCTTCCCGTCAAATTCAAAGAACATGGCGAAAGCAAGGAAGAAGAAGAGGACTCATGCCCCCAATGACGACGCTCCAGGAAAGCCTGGACAAGGCAATCGCAGGCCAAAAAGCATGGTCATTCGCATGGGCGCCGGTGACATTGGTCCCAGCGTTACTCAACTGGCTAAAGACTTCCGAGCCGTGATGGAACCAGACACTGCGAGTAGGCTGAAGGTAGGTCAATCACTTATCTCGTGGCTTTGTGGCAGACGTCTAACTCAGGCACAGGAACGAAGAGCAAACAAGCTGAAAGACTACACAGCCATGGCAGGCCCTCTCGGAGTCACACATCTTTTCCTGTTCTCGCGCTCGAAAGCCGGCAATGTCCACCTCAGAGTCGCTACCACCCCTCGTGGCCCGACGCTGACGTTTCGGGTCCAACGGTACGCCCTAAGTAAAGACATAGCAAAAGCGCAGAGACACCCAAGAGGAGGGGGAAAGGAATTTCTGAATGCGCCTCTGCTCGTCATGAATAACTTCACATCACAGCCTACAGGAGATGCGAACGCAGACCCAATCAAAAAGCAGCTCGAGTCGTTGACGACCACGATTTTCCAGTCCATGTTTCCGCCCATAAGCCCGCAGGCCACACCTCTCAACTCCATAAAACGAATACTTCTACTCAATCGCGAGACACAGACAGATGGATCATACATCATTAGTCTCCGACATTATGCGATCACTACTCGACGGACAGGCGTTTCAAGACGAGTGCGCAGGTTTGATCCGAGCGAGCAACGACACAGAGAGAAGAAGACGGGCGCTCTACCGAATCTAGGGAAGCTGGAGGATGTGGCTGATTATATTCTCGATCCTGCTTCTGGCGGATATACCTCGGCAAGCGAGACTGAGCTCGACACGGATGCGGAAGTCGAAGTGACGCAGACAACCACACAACGAGTCTTGAGTAAGCGCGAACAACAGAAACAGCAGAATGGAGAAAAGGACAAGAAAAAGGATTTAGAACAAGGCTCGGGCGTGGAGAAGAGAGCCGTCAAATTGGTGGAGCTCGGCCCACGCCTGCGCCTGCGCTTGGTCAAAGTGGAGGAAGGCGTCTGTGAAGGACGCGTGATGTGGAACGAGTTTGTGACGAAGACCAAAGGCGAGGAGAAAGAGCTGGAAGAGAAGTGGGAGAAGAGGCGTAAGGAGAAAGAAGAGCGCAAGAAAGAGCAACGTGAGAATGTCGAGCGTAAGAGGCAGCTGAAGAAGAACACCAAAGCAAATGCTGGCCAGGCGGGAGAAGGAGAGGACGAGGACGAAGAAGAGGAGTGGGATAGTGATGAGCTAGAAGCCTGGGATGATCTGGATGATGTCAACGGTTCACAGGGCAATGCAGGTGAAGACATGGACGAGGACGAGGACGAAGACATGGAGGATTGAAACCCGCCATATCTCGATTGAAAGAGTCTCCTTCATGAGACAACTCCGCTATACTGAAAATCGAGAAAAAGGGCCACCTTTAGACTTCCACCCACAGAAGTCAGCTTCAGCGGTGATTACGGCTACTAGCACCGGGCTCAAGCCCGCTTGGGTCACACTTGACCATGACCGAGCTAACATTGCGAGGCAGCTCCGTTCTGGAAGGCTTTCAGGGTCACTGCCTGGAAATGATTACCTGATGAAGAGCAGCCTTCCTTCTGAATACGACACGGCGATCGCATGCGCAGCTCGCGTCTTATGTATATCTTCCAAGATGAAGAGGCTATGCTAATGGTCAGGAGAAAGTTTTGAAAATGCCATTACGGTCAGCAATAGTTGAGCGACCATCATGTCTTTCATTCATGATTATCTCTCGTCTTGCAGACGATGAGGTGCCGTCTATCTGTTTGATCCAGTTGATAGACCAGCATCTTTCACACCATCAGTCCACCTCAACCGATCCATCATGAATGGTATCAGACTGTCTCGGCAGTGCTCTGATAGTTTCGCTGGAGACCAGTTGAATCGACAGTCTTCTTCATTTCTTCATTTGCACAAATGCCGTATGATGGGCTGCCTTCTTTCATCGGATTCAATGCCTTGCTCAGTGTGGCCGCACAGTCAACTTCCATCTCCTGGCGTGCAGTAGTCATGGTTCGACCCGTTGGAAGAAAAGTGTCTGCACTGTCGTTCATTGTTGATGACATTTCTTCAAGCCATGTCGGTATCCTCAGGCTCCAACTCAGGCTCGAGCTCAGGTTCCTTTGCGGCCAGAAACGACAAGAGATCCTATTTCTTGCCACTGGCATAGCGCTTGACCCACTCTTTCGCCTCCTTCTCGTAACCAGCGCGGTCGTCACGGTACTGTTCGGCAATCTTGGCTTCGACAGCGTCGTCTGGGTTCGGTTCTGTATGCATAAACTCAACACTTTATTCTCGCGTTTTTTGAAACGGCTTGTACCGGGCGAGACACAGGGCGCAGGGTCAGGTCGTAGTGAAAGTAGTAGACGAAGAGGAAACATGCGTAACATACCTTTCAACAACTGTCTGGCAAACTCCAAGACGGCGGCCATCTTGGTGCTGGGCTTCCACTCGCTATCCTTGAGCATGCCGAGACACATGGTTCCACTGTTCGGGGGGGAGTCATTGCTGATGTTGGGGTGGTAGATCTTCGTGGCGAATGTGACGATTGGTGGTTTGAATGGGTAGGTTTGTGGGAGGGTAATGGAGAGGTCGAACTTGCCGCCCTGTGTGAGAGTAGCAGACGTTAGTAGATAGTTCTTGCTTCCATCTTTCGTTTTGGCGTTCACATCGGTATGATCGTGAAGTAGGGCCAGTTGGCAAGATGACAAATTTCTTTGAAGTAAGGTGGGACTGAAGAGCATGAACAAGGGCGAGGAAGAGGAAAAGGATGAGGGACATGAACACACAGCATAAGGAGAGCCCGCAGGTCCTTCCATAGTGACTTTCCATTGGAACAAGTTCGACTCGTCGGCCAGGGCAACTGAGATTCCTGCTGGCGGCGATGTCGTGAGTTCACCTAGTTCCTGCGCAGCCATGCATTGTTAGACACTGAACGTTTCCCATTGTCCGCGCGGATTCCCACCTTTGTGATCCGCTTCTGGCTCGACATGATGGGCTAAGTCTTTAGAACGCGCGATCGTGATTGATGATGATGATTTCACTTGATCAGTTTGCGGAGAAAGAAAAGATTGATTTGTGAAATGTCAAGACGGCCTGCCGTTGAAGTGAAAGACGGATTAGTATATGTATTGAGACTCGGTCAAGGCGGTGTTATGAACTGGGACTCTTATGCCAAGTCGACGAAGGCAGTGAGTTCTAAGCCACCAGGATATGAGGGCCTTCACTCTCGAGACCTCGGTAATGTGCGATATCAAGTTATACTCTGCCGGAGTCAGAAAGTACGGTCGAGGTGTAAGTGACAATGTGCAGTGGTGGACAGAATAAAATTGACGATCAATCCACACCGTTGTGACTGTCTCAACAACATGTCCATTAGTCGCAGGGGACACTTCCATAGAGAGGAAGTAAGACTTAAAGGGTACCAGGTATGGAATCGTTGTTGAAATCATTCAGGCTCTATTGAGCGTTTCTAAGGGGGACCCAGGGTACTTTTACCACAATTATCTTGTCTCGTCAATAGAGGAACGCCATCGCTCGAAGACCCTAGTCTCAAACATAACGCGGATCCAGCCCATATCACCCTGCCAAAGTATGTATTCCGCTTGCTCTCATCTGTTGCTGCTTATCCCTCGGTCCCACTACTTCTGAACGCAACACAGAGCTGACAGTACCCGTGGGTGAGATCAAGTACATGCTGTGGTAAATTTGTCGACTGAACGATGCTGCGGACTTTGACGGCACCTTCTTCTTCGATCAACTTTCGTATCGAGTAGAAAAGCTCGGGCGAGAACTAAGGAATCAGTCAACACCTGGCCACAGAAGCTTGCAGTCAACCACTTACCTCTGAGTACCACCTATATTGCCAGGTGATTAGGCGGATCAAGCATGCGAGTACATTCCTCGTGTCGCCCTTCTTCTCGTACATACGAAGAATACCCCTCATCGATTTGGGCGAAAATCTGATGTTCAGACATTGTTGGTAAGCCTCTAGTGCTTCGTTCGTGTGGTGCAGTCGTTCCGCAAGGTCCCCCAAAATCTCCCATTCCGCGGCTGATTTCTTGTACTGCATTTGTTGCTGGCGGTATTGTCCCATTTCAGTTCGCCAGATGGTATAGATCCGAAGATCTTCATATAGAACCATGAACAAATTGTCAAGCCATCGTTCACAGAGGCGTTTGTTCTGGAAGCCGGGATAATGTGAGTGGGAGGCATCGGCGTCCTCGCTGCCTGATTTGACTTCTTCTGCTGCGACTGTCGGCACAGGCTTCTCCATGGACTGGTCTGCTTTTATCTCAGCATTCTCTTTTGAGCTGCCATTGACTGAAGAACCATTCGGGCCCTCAGCAAGGGTTTTGTCGTCATCCACGGCTGACCCGTCATCTGACTCGTCCCCTCCGGATTCTTCAGCATTGGCAGGGTTTGTGTGTCCATTGGGTGTCCCAGACAACGCGACCGTGCTAGCATTCTTGCTCGACGGGGCTTTGGGTGTGACTGGATGATGCCTTTCGGACCGATATTCTTCCTCCATGACAAAAACATGGCTCCGTGTCTTCAGCAGGGCATCCCATCCTATGGAGGCGGCAATTCTGGTAAGCAAGCTATAAGCTTTCAGGAATGTCCCTTGGTAAGTGGCAGCCTGTAGCTTCCGCAATGATACGTGAACCTGATCGAAAGGCTCGCCTTGTCTGGGTTGCCCCTCATCAATCTCGTCCAGCGCGCTTTCTGGCAGAATAGGGAGGAGGACACGACTAGGTTCGGGCATTCTAGGTGAGTCCTTGTCTTGATATGAGAACATCGGGCAAGAATTGAGCGTCAGAAGAGCCAGGTCCCATTGCTCGAGATCGACATAAACTTCAGCCAAACGAGCCCATGTACTGAACTCGCTGGGGGCAGCCGTGACACCTTGCTTGGCCAGCTCAAGAGCCATCTCACCTTCCCCCTTGCTCTGGCAGAAAGCTGCCTGGCAGTCAAGGAGTGCATAATCCATAGGGACATCTTGCAATGAATCATGCAGCAGCCGAACAGCCTGAATTTCTTCGTCGCCTTCCAGGAGCACCCGAGCGAGGAGGGAGGATACTTCCACATCCTTTGTCCGCAATTTCTCGAAGAGATTGACCCCCGAAGCATGTCGTCCGGTAGTCTTGATGTATTTCAAGAGGCCTGCGGTGAGGTGATTCGTCACGACATTGGGGATTTGGATCTCCGGATCTGAGCCCAGCTGTCGTCCGCTGAAAAACAAGCTCTCCGCAGCTTCGAAGAAACGGTGTTCCTGCTCTGTGCTTGTGACAGGATTGAATCTCCTCACGCCGATGATCTTCTTTATCGTGTCTCCACTGCCGTCATCCGAGTAAGAGTAGGCTCGTAGGACTGCGCACAGGAACGTCTCCAACCAGAGACTGTCCGTCGCGACTCGCCTGTCTCCTCTTTCATCCACACAGTAGCTCTCCACACTGCCCGGAATCTTGACCTCCACTCTCATATCCAGGTGTGAGAACGCATTGTAGCAGCAGTACAACCCTGAAACCACCTTGTGTGTTTTGTCCGACGGATTAAAGGTCAGTGTGTTGACATAGGCTGCGAGGCTTGCGGAAGAAGAGGCGTCGACTCCGGTGACATGGTGATACACGCCGGTCTGTTTTGCGCCGGCTTTCACACTCTGCTTGACAAGATGTACAAGATCAGGAGGTCCCAGTTCGCGCAGGGCAGGTAAGCTTTCTGTTCGAGCGTCTACTGCCAGTCCAATTTCGTCATCTTCGATGATCCTGAAAGAGATGGTTAAAACGGCCACGGTTAACTCATTGCAGTGTCAGGGACTTACTCTGGGACCGCAGGCGCAAGCATGTCGGCGCACGCCTCTGGGCGGACTCGATGGCTTCAGGACAGATTGACAGAGCTTGTAGAAGGGACAACGTAGGAATATAACAACTTCTTGTGGACAAAAGGTGTCTTGTGAGGCACAGAACTTATTAACGACTGCACCAACACCTCCGTCGTTTACACTTGCCTGAGATATGGGTTCCAGCACCAGCATTGAGGGATCGCTGGAAGATTAAACGGCGCTCGCTAAGCCTGCCGTGTTGGGACATTTCCAGATTCGCGTTCTGGTGACTGTGTTAGCGCGTGAATGTCCTCGATGTCTACCGTTATTCCACTCCTTCATCCATTGAACTCTGAACACACGATTCATTGGGCAATTCCTTTCTATTTCCGCGACAAGATCGATACTCTAGGATGATAGTACGGGATCTAGCCTGATGTCAGAGGGGGTCTATTCTCCGCGACATGAGTTGGCGAAGACTCTAGAAGAACGCCAGACTAAGCCATATTCACAACAACACGAATCATGTCAGGCTTCACCGCACTCAACGTTGAGCCTGAGGATGCCTTCGAAGAGGAGATCGATGATACGAAGGAGATTCAACTCGAAGAAGCCTTCAAGCTCTATCAGAATGCCTTGAAGCTCCATTCGCAAGGCCCGGAATACTTCGAAGAGGCTCTTGCTGCCTACAAAGAATTACTACAGTCCGAAATATTCAAATTACCAGAAATCATCTCCGAATACACCCACGATGAAAATGAGGACGACCAGGCAACAGAGGTTGCTCAGCCCGATGCTGCTACAGTGCCACTTCTCCCGAGTAGCGCTGCCGAAAGTTCCGCGAGTTCTATACCTCAGCTACTCTATCTCGCCTACAAGAACAGGGGCCAGTTTGTTTTGGATGTGGCCCATCATGAACTTCCTGCCAAGAGAGGCTCCAGGGCTGAATTGTGCCGATATTACGCCAAGCCATGCAGTGAAAGCATCGCAGATTTTGCCAGGGCTCTTGAACGCGACGACGCCGATCTAGATCTGTGGAAGCGGTCTGCGCGTGTTGCGGACGTTCTGTCATCACAAAGAATAGCTCGCTTCTGCCTGGAGAGTGTCCTGGCAGGTGATGATGAAGACGCCGAGCAAACCATTGATGTGTCGGGTCTGGATGAAGCGTTCGCAGCTGGTGAGCTCGAGAAAGTGGTCGAAGTCTTAGAAGATGACCTCAGCCGCTTGCGAAGCTCAAATGTCAAGGTCAAGGATCCCCTGTTGGCTGCACTGCGGAAGACGAATGACCCTTATTCCTTCCTTCCCAAGCGTGCGCAGAGCCTCGAGTACCTTGACGACCGGTACAGACCCCTAAGCTTCGGAGTAGCCGCAGTTCCTTTGCGCCCAATTGCAGGCGATTTTTTCCCTCTTGGACGTGCGATCCAGCAGGTGATTTCGGACATTCTAGACGGCCCTACCACTCTTGGGTCAGCAACAACCGTCACAGTCTCCTTACCAGACACGCAACTGGACCATCACGACATAGAGATGAGCTTCCCAAATGCAGAGACGAGCAATGAACAAGGTCACGCGCTATCGGGCAAAAACTTGGAGATTAAGGGTGCTCCGGAAGCTGTTGCCAACGACGTGGCCATGGTTGAATCTCCTCATCAAGAGAGTCCAGCGGATGCGAATGCGCAGATCGGGGAACATGATCACGATGGAGCTGACGAGGCCGTTGATGAGAGCACGATTGAAGTTCGCACTGCTCCTTCCCGGCTGCCAGAAGACACACTTCAAATACCTAGGAAGCGATCTGCAACTGCAGCTGGAAACGAAGAACTAGAAGGCCGTACAAAGAGCAAGAGACTACGCGCAAGAGAATCTTTGGCTGAAATAACCGCACATGAAGATGAAGTGCAACCTGAAGACCCACAACATTTCCAGGACCAATTGGTGACGTACGAACAGGCCGACCAGGCGGCTTTTGATGTTGCCAACTCTTTGCTTGCAAAGTTCAATCTGAAGATCTACCTTTCTGCCGTGGAAGCCAGACAAGTATTCTGGCAAGGCAGCCAAGACAACGACGCTGAGGGTGGAAATCGCATGCCCGAAGATGACCTGATTTTGCTTGGGGATCTCAAAATGGCCTTGAAAAACTGGTCAGATGAGAAAAGTCAGGCTCTTATCCAGGGGCACGGCAATCAAGACTTTCCTGAAGGCTCGACAGGCATGTCTTTGTTTCTTCAGCACTCAAAAGCTACCAGCGCGAGGCGAGCTTTACCCCCGGCAGGTTCCAACGAATACGCGTTCTCCTCGACAGTCAAGTATATCAACGCACAACCAACGAACATCTACGATGCTGCTTATCAATGGTTGTTCTCGGCGTTGGTCACTGGGGAAGACTCCGACTGCCGCTTTGTGTCTTCCTACATGAGAGAATCATGGTCTGAAGAATTGAAACAGACAGTGGTCCAATTGGCCATGGCTATAGATTCCTATCTATTAGAGACTTTGCGCCAGAGTCATTCATCTCTCGCTGCGGACAAGCTGGTAGAAGCCGGTGTGAAGAACCCCTGCATTACGCGGTTCTTCGAGTTCGTGCAGACTCTTTTCGAGATACACATAGAAGTCCACTCAGCAATCAACAGTCCCGGTGGTACAGCAAAGGACGAAGTTCGAATTGCGCAGGGCGACCGCCTGCGAAGATGGGCAAACCTTGCTGACGACTTCATGCAATTATACCTCGACCGCGCTGAGAAGCCGGAATTGACTGATACTTTGATCTTACGCTTTATCTGGGCATCCACGACCCACGCCACTTTGGCGGAAGAAGTTGATAAGAATCACGTTGCGTTGTGCTTGGAGGATCTGAAAGCAATCTTGGAAAGAGCTGGCGCAAATCCAATCTATCTGCCCAACAACAACGCCATGCCTGTGATCTCAACGGCAGCTATTGACCAAGAAATCTCGCGGTTGAGCACCCTGGACTTCTTCACAAGTGTGTTTGACAGTGACAACAGTGACCCTGTGGCGGTGATAGAGAAATTGGAACCAATCCTTGAGCCACCGTCGGGAGTGTTCGACACCCATACTTCGGGGCCCGGCACTTCTAGTGGACATACTGCACAGGCCCAGCAATTGATGAAGTTCTTGGAGTCTGGCAACGCTGGTCTGAAACTGTTCCTCTGGAAACGCCTTCAAACCGCCTACACTGCAATATCATATCCGCCAAAAGTGGTTTCCTGCCTTCTCCGAGGAATTGAGACGAGCTTCAACGAGTTGTGCACAACCCGGCATCTAGAACTCGATGAACCCGACCGTCACATCTCAATGCTCAAGTGGCTACGGGATATTGACGAGCTCATGCTGAAGGTGGTTATCAAGCTGGTCAACGAATCTAATGCTTTCGAATGTGTCGATGAAGCGCACTTGCTTTCAGCGCTAAGTGCTGTCACTGGCATTGTCAGACTGCTTCATGGATTTGTCGTCTATGAAGACTCCGTAAGAGTCGGACAAACAACTGGACCACAACTCAAAGGTGCGGCGTCGTTCAAGCTATACGACAAGAGCAAGGATCGCTTCAAGGAAATGTTGGTCCGTGCGTGGACATTGCAGTATCTCCTTCTGAAAGAAGCAACAGAGCAGGATCCGGCTGCATACTCAAGAGCAACTGACGACTTAGCAGAGTACCTCGGAAGTGTCCATCATATGCTCGGCATAAGGCATTATTGCAAATATGGCAACAAGTCCTTCCTCAAGCTCGCAAAGAGTGAGTTGGGCGCTCTCAAAACCCAGCAGGATTATTCGGCAGACATGTCTCAAGTACTTTTTGACCTCTACCAGCTGCACTTCATCACAGGTATCGGAGATCGCAACCATGGATGTCCCACTGAAAATATGGACAAGAAGACTGCAGCGGCGCTGATACCGATCATCATGCAATATGTGGGTCAGCTTAACATGAAAGATATACTCAAGAGTGAGCTCAAGGGCACCATTGAGAAGATACAGTCAGCGTTAGGAGTGGTGAAGAGTACTCCGGCAGTTTCTCACAATAAGCGAATCATCTCGGCGTACCTGAAGTCAACCATCAACGCAAATGATCTTTATCAGTCTGTCCGCGGCATTGGTGATCTTCAGACACGACCTGTACAGAATGACACACAGAGTGCTGCCAGCCAGGGATGGTACTTTCTACTTGGCTACTTGGCTCTCGCGAAATACAAATCAATCAAACGGGTTCAGCCCACCCCCACGGATGATCTAGATGTCGCCGCCGCCTTCTTCCGGCAGGACTTGGATCATGACATCGATAAATGGGAGACCTGGTACCGACTTGCTCAAGTGTATGAGGCTAAGATTGAGGACGATCTGATCTGGAACTCAACGAAACTCAACGACTCGAGAGGCGACATTGCACTTCTTGAGCGTCAAACGGTACACTGTTATATCATGGCGACCGCTTTGGCGTTACGGATCGCCGACGACAAGACACAAACAGCACAGAAAGTAGAAGAGATGTTTGCAGAATTCGGAACTCGCTTGTATGCATCTTCCAGACCTCCTTTAAACATGGAAGCTTTTAGGACCGACAAAAATGTGCGACATATGAGCAGCATCGTCGATCAAACAATGTCGAAGCAGCCATACTACAAGCCTATCAGCCAATATACACTTTGGCATTTTGCGGAATATCTTCTTAGCAGGAAGTTCACTGACAAGCCAAAGCCGTGGATGACCCACTATACGCGCGCCAAATGCTTGTGGAAGATGTTTCAGAGTCCAGAAAATCGCGACCGCATTTCTCCGGAAGATGTCGTGGATACCATAGTTGAGGCACTCGGTGCTCTGCCGAAGAAAGAAAAGTCAAACGAGCCGGTGTTGGAGCCGCACTACAAGATCGTTTCGATTGTTCACAAGATGGTGAAACGCCGTGTCATCACACCAACCCTGGGCCGGGAGTATCTGCAAGCGACCCGCTATGCCCATGGAATCCATCTCTCTGATGATGAAGAAGGGGTCGAGTGGGAGTCCTACGTGCTCGACATCTTACACAAGCTGGAACATGCTGATAAGTCGAATTGGCATCATAGAATCACGGCTCGTGCTGCCCATGTGTTATACGACGAAGACCCTACCGTTGCGAATGCTCTAGGGGCCAAGTACGAGTTCACAAAACAGATCTTTACCAAGACCATGACCATACAAGTCTGGAAGCCGGAGTTTGAACGCCCTGGAAGACATTATGTCTACACCAGTCGGTACGTAACATTCTTCGCTCATCTACTCGAGCAATTGGGTGACCGCGTTAATCTGGATCAATTGGTTCGTCGCATTCGCCGGAAGACGACCGATTTCCTCGATCATGCCAAAATCTGGGAAGAAGTCGTAACAGCATTTGTCCGATCTCTGCGACGCCTTGGCAAGATCCCAGAAGGGAAGGAGAGATTGGTGTTTGACGGCATGAATCACGAGGAGTTCACCAAAAAATCCGAGCAACTGGAGAAATGGTCGCACGAACCTGATACGTCCTCGGTATATCTAGACATCATGAAAGATGGGATTGACCTGAAGCGGCTGAACAACAGCTTGATGAAAGGACCTACGATTGACGACCTGATCGGTGACTCGTACGCGTGCCTTTATGAGGAGTATGTGAGGCAACTGCCCGCAGAAGAACAACCACAACCACAGCCGCCTGTCCTACCTCAAGGTACCTTCATCAACATGACCACCGACGTCGCGCAGCCCGCTGAGGACGACGCCGAGCGGGCTCGTCTGAACGATCTCCTTCGAGCTCAAGGTGATGGCGCTGCCGACGGGCCTCTGTCAGTCTCGATTTCGGCACCGGTTGGCCTCGGTCTGCAAAATCCTCCCCAACAGTTGCAAAGTGCCGCTGTACAGCTCGATGCTGCACCTCGCGCTCCTGCTAGGCCTGGACGTGTAAAGACTGTCACTAGGCGTGAAATCCAGCGCAAGGCCGAAGCAGCGATAGTCAAGCCGCCACCCATTAAGACGCCAATCTTGGGCAAAAGACCGATTGTGGAGATACCTTTGAGGGTTGGACAGGATTCGCCCCTCGACAAGCGTCTCTTGGAAGCTAGAGACGGCGATGCGAATGGAAGCAAGGCTAGTTCGCGAAGAGGCAGCATCCAAGATAGTGCGGATGGCGAAGCTGACGAGGAGGAAGATTCTGGCAGCGATCTTTCTGAGCTCGGGGAGATGGATAATGAGAAGAAGCAGCTGATGACCGAGCTTCAGAAGGCCAGCGAGCGGGCTGAAGAAGAAGAAGAAGCTGATGACGCCGGCGATGATCAGGACGACGCTGCTGGGGATGATGGTGAGGATGGTAGCGGCGAGGATGATGATCAGCAGGAAGAAGAAGAAGAAGAAGAAGCGGAAGAGGAAGATGTTGATGACGACGATGCTGGTGGTGGTGGTGATGACGATGAAGAAATGGTCGATGCAGGAGACCAGATCGAAATCAAAGACTCGCAAGAAAATGCCGGCGAAGGAGAGGTTCAGGATTAACGTCGTCATACTACTGGGTTCACTGGTGGGAAGGCTGATTGTATATGTCTGCTCAGGCCCTGAATCTCGCACGGCGTTCACAGTTTCAATGTCCACACATTAAAGACAGCTTCATACCAGGTTAAATTCCTCCTAGAATATACATCTTCGCCGCCGCCTAACAAAGGTCGTATCTCACAGCTAATCCCATCCCCCATGGGCGAGGGAGGCGGCATTGTACAGTATTCACCGACCAATCGACTGTAACAAGGCTGCGAGGCTACGAGGCTGAGCGACATGAAACTTCTTCCGAATATCTGCCGGCGCATTTAAATTTATTCCTCGAAGACCATCGACTACGGAATACGGAGTACCTACCTGGTAGAGGTATGCTTTCGACAATCGACGCAGGCTGGTTGTTTCGTTGGTCTTGTACTTTTTCATGACTCTCTGTTCTGTCCGGTTAGGGTTATTCACGAGCGGGCTCGTGACTCGTCGCTGTCCTTCACATTCCTTTCTCTCCAGCTCTTCAGTCTCCCACCGCAACACATCACGTTCGGCCATGCCTCCTCAAGACCCTCCCTCGTCCCCCTCCGCTTCCACCACCGACCATATCGCCTCTGCAACGACGGGCTATACCACCTACACCAATGCCGACCTCATCTCTCGCATCTCACACCTCGAATCCCAGCTGCTTGAGCAGACAGCGCGCCTCGCAGCGCTCACCTCGTCCTCTTCGTCTCAGCAGCCCGCCAGCGGTACCTCGCACAAGCCTCTACGCCTCCAGTCACCGTCCCCGTCTCGGCGTGCCCGCCCCTTCGACCCCTCGCTGTACGCAACGCGGCACATCGCGTTGAAATTCGCCTACCTGGGCTCTCGGTACAACGGCTACGAGCACGCGAACGGCAACGTCATGCCCAAGCCCACGATCGAGGAAGTGTTATGGAAAGCACTGCGCAAGGCGCGGTTGATCAGTCCCAGTATCCCAGACGGCGCGGATGACAGCATGGAAGTTCTCTGGCCCGCACAGGCGAGGATGCGGCGATACACGAGAGGGGACAAGCCAGAAGACTATGAGAACGAGAAGGTCCGATTGGATCTAGTCTGGGATGGGTGCCAGTACAGCAAGTGCGGACGGACCGACAAAGGGGTCAGCGCGTTCGGACAGGTTATCGGTGTGAGGGTCCGGAGTAACAGGTCTATCACACCGACAACCAAAGCAGCCTCATCGACGGAGGAGGAGGTAGAGCAGGGCGGACACGGCGGGCAGAGAGATGAAGAGGAGATTGTGCAAGGAGAAGAAGAAGGAGAAATGCCTGCCATTGACGCTGAGGACCTGGAGGCGGAAAGCTACGCGAAACCATTTGATCCGGTCAAAGACGAACTGCCATACGTGTCTATCCTGAACGCCATACTCCCGCCAGACATTCGAGTATTAGCATGGTGTCCGAACCCGCCGCCGACGTTTGACGCGCGCTTCTCCTGCCGTGAGCGCCGGTACAAGTACTTCTTCACTAACCCTGCGTTCTGTCCGACACCAGGAGCGCCCGGGTTGAAAGGCTCGGAAGGCATGCGGGAAGGGTGGCTTGACATTGACAAGATGCGGCAGGCGGCGAAGAAGTTGGAGGGACACCATGATTTTAGAAATCTCTGCAAAATCGATCCGAGTAAGCAGATGCCCAGCTGTGAGAGGAGGATCACGTTCGCCGATGTCGTCGAGTTCGGGGACGTCGGCAGGGTGTTTGGTGACGATGCGCTAAACCAACAAGGGTCGAAGTCGCTTGTTGATTCGCTGCTGGGGAGCAAGACGGTAGCCATGAACGGTGGCCCGAAAGTGTATACCTTCTGCGTTCATGGGACGGCGTTCCTGTGGCATCAGGTGCGGTGTATGGTGGCGATGTTATTCCTTGTGGGCCAAGGCTTGGAGGAGCCAAGTCTTATTGATGAATTGCTTGACGTGGAAAAGAACCCGAGAAGACCTATGTACGAGATGGCGGACGATGCGCCTTTGGTTTTGTGGGATTGTATTTTTCCGGATGACGACAAGGATATGGTCGACTCGTTGAACTGGCTTTATGCCGGCGATGAGGCGACACTAACCACGTTGTCGACCAAGGGTGATGGGAAGTTTGGTCCTGGTGGCGTCGTGAATGAGCTGTGGAGCGTATGGCGAGAGGCTAAGATGAAAGAGATCCTGGCGGGGAGTCTGCTTGATTTGGCCATTGGTCAGGGAGACGGCAGTGCGCTCCAGGGAGGCTCGCAAAGGGATCCGAAGCGTCCACCGGCCCGCAGTCAGAAGGTGTTCCAGGGCGCCGACAATGCGAGGATCCGTGGACGGTATATACCTGTGATGGAGAAGCCCAAGATGGATCCGTTGCATCAGCTCAATGCGAAGTGGGCGAATGGGAGGCAAGCAAGGCGCGATGCTAATTCCAGGGGCCTAGAAGACGGTGGTGGGGATTGAAGACGGCGTTCCTGCGGGCTCAATGGATGCCAGAATATAAGCATTTACGAGCCCCTCGCCAGACTTCTTCGAGAATCTCGCGTCGTGGCAGGAGCGTCTGTGGACGGGTGTCAGTGATACCGCCTCGAAAGATATTTGCGATATAACTCACCGGGAAAACTACTACCACTTCCGTACCTCCTTCCACGATGACCGCCAGGTAGAATCTGACTCCAAGGCCTTTGAACGCTTCGTGAATCACTATGTCCTGAATCTGTGCCGTTGGGATGAATGTTGTGGTCGGCGCTGTGAAGAAATAGCCTGAGCTTGTACTCGTTTGGATGCCTAGACCTTGGAGGACGAGGAGCGATTCTTCTGTCAAAGTCCAGTGAGGTCAATTTTTGTGTGAGGCAAAGAATGATTTTGCCGCGGGCGGTAGAGGCGTAGAATAAAACGACCTACCGACATAATCCCTCCTTAGGCACAAATACACCACTATCAAGCTCAGCGGCGCAAGGATCCACCATTCGATGCGTTGAGCGAAAGGTTCGATCAAGCTGGTGCCGGGACTGAGTTTGAGGCAAGTATTCAAGTAATGCTGCACGGTTCCGAGGCTGACAATGTCTCGAGCTTTGGCGATGTTGACGGCCAGTACAAAATAGACGAGTACCATCCGAAAAGCATGCCGGAGCAATGTGCCCACTCTGAATCTGAGCTTTGATGATTGTGGTCGACGCGTCGTGACGGTGAAGGAGACGGTCGTTGGGCTCGGGAGGTAGACTTCCAGATACTGCATGGGGCCGCTGAACATGATTGATTCAGTTCCTCGACATGAGATGCCTACGGAAGACGTACCGCGACGAAGATGGCAGAAGGGTACAGGAGGAATATGCGAGAGGATCTCACTTCTAGTCACTGGCAAGGCTGAATAATCTTATGAGGAAAGTTAAGCGAGATGTAGTTAAAGGGTCATCATGAGCGAGATTTCTTTGGACTCGGTGACAATATCGAGACATTTTCTTGTTGGCGCAACAATTCTGTGTTCCTCTTGCTATCAGTTATCCAACAGTCCTCCTGCCATCCGACTGGGACATATCGCTTCGCAGTGCCACGGTCAGGCAATCGTCCGAGTCTATCGTTGTGTGAAGACAGTTTTCGGCAAGGTGTGCCAGACCCTACAGCATACTACGGTCTCAGCGGTAAATCGTGTAATGAAACTCGCTTAACCGGGGGTCAAAACAGCTGCCGCTTGAATGGCCGAAGCAGAAGTTGGCACCGCATTGAAGAGGAGGCCCGCTTGCCTCACAAATTGTCCTCGCTGCTGTTTGTCGTCGAATGGTACGCTAGCGACGGATTACACGATTTACCGCTGAGACCGTAGTACACGAATTTACTCAATAGCTGAGCTCTCACGAGGAGAACACCATGCGAAAGTCAGAAGGAGAGGCCCCCTGGGCCTTGAATCCAACCAGAGACGGGAATCAAGCGTGGTAGTACGGAAGAATCGGCGCCGGCGACAGGAACTGTTTCCTTCGCGAGTTGCTAAGCTTCATCTCCTTTTACCATTTCTTTTTCTGCTCTTCACACCACTTCGAGTATCACCACCGCGCAATTAGTACACAGTACTTGTATCGACCTAGTCAAATCTGAGAGCACGATCCACAGGAACCCCGAAGAGCATGTTTTCACGGCATACTGTGGGTCCAGATGGCGATCACCCCATTCGTGGCTTCACGCCACCTCCCTAAGAAATACTTGCTCGAGCAAGTTACCAACCCCCAGCTGGACAGATACGAGATCTTGAGCTGCTAGACTGCTGATGTCAAGCTTCTGACGCCCGACAGCTGGACCAGTGATCATTGCTTTATTACCTATTATTACTTCTTCTCGCTAGTGTCCTGGACCACAGCCGCAATGTCCTCGCGATGGTACATCAGCCATGCTTAGGCAGTCATTGTCCGAGTGCAATCTCCCTCGCCTTTATTCGACAGTCTGGTTACGAAACAAACTTGCTCTGGCCAGAGAAGTGGTAGTTTCAGGCCAGTCCCCGTCAGCATGGTCGGTTGCGCAGCCTCGCCTAGCTTGGCGGACAATATATTCCCTTCCCATGCCACAGGTCTCATACGCTCACCACGGTTTTTTCCTTTCCTTGTCAAGAATCTGAATAATCACACAGCATTTAGCTAACAGCCATTCGTTTTCGTTTTACATCCATTTCCAGTCTGTCCTTTCCTTATCGATTCATTCGTTTATCCGTTCATTCGCTCGTTCAGGAGATTTAGGCTCTGCAATTCATTCGGGATTCCAACGACTACCATCGAGATGTTGATGTGTATGACGAAGCTCTCATTTCTAGCTCTGGGCTTATGCTTCATCGACACCGCCGCGTCTGTCGCTACCTGGCCCTCTCCCACCTACGATGAGCTCGAAGACCTTATGATGTTGAACGACGGATACAATGCTCGAGATTTTCCCTTCCCACTGGTTCCATGTACTTTCGCGCGAGCTCCGGGATTCTCAATCGCAGGAGGCTTCTTACGGACAGCCTTTCACGATATGGCACCAGCTGATATTCATACGGGCATAGGAGGCCTTGATGCCTCGGTCGGGTTCGAGTTGGACAGCACCGTCTACATCGAGAACGCGGGGGTTGCTTTCAACAACTCCTTGACGTACTATTCAAAGTTCTTCAACGGCCGAGCAAGCATGTCGGACCTCATTGGTCTGGGTGTCTATGCCTCAGTCAGAGCCTGCGGAGGTCCTGTTGTCCCGTTGAGGGCTGGCCGCATTGACGCTACTCAGGCTGGTGCTGTCGGAGTCCCCGATCCTAAGGACAATCGTCAGAAAATGGTCGCTCAGTTTGCACGCATGGGCTTTAATCAACAAGAAATGATCCAAGTTGTTGCTTGCGGTCATACGCTGGGCGGGGTGCACTCAGCCCAGCATCCGACCGTCGTACCAAACGGCACCACTCCACTCGGAACAGGCGATTTTGATACTACAGACAGTACTTACGACAACAAAGTCATTACACAATACCTCGATGGAAGCACGAAAAACCCGCTATGCATAGGGCCCGATGTCGACTCGAGGTCTGACCTAAGGGTATTCTCCATGGATGGCAACAAGACTGTCTCTGTAATGGCCGACTCCGCATCGTATTCGACCACATGCTCCAGGATCCTTCAGAAGATGATCGAAACCGTGCCTGCTGGGGTCCAACTGACGGATAGTATTACCCCGTACGACGTCAAACCGTACAATCTTCAGCTCAATGTCATCGAAGACGAAAGTCTGCTGTTTTCCGGCGAGATCCGATTCAGGACCCATGCCGTGCCCAAATCGACCATCTCGAGCATTCAGCTTCATTACCTAGACAGGAACGGGGCTAGCGCTGGCACAATTGACACCATTGTGCTCGGTGATGCCTCAGGGTTTGACGACACTTTCACGGTAAGATGGCTCGCCACCAATTCCAGCCACAGCCAGTACTGACCGAGACGGTAGTTCTTTGGTTTCAACACAACCATTTCTGCGAAGACGTCCATATCGTCCTTTGTTGTGATCGCCACACTTGCATCAGGTACCGTAACCTATGACAACAATGGTGAGGGCTTTCCTGTCCAGGACACCATTTTTGCGCAGACCTTGAACTCGACGCTGGGCCCGCTTGAGGACACAGGGACCCAGAAGGCCACGATAATTGCAGCAGTATGCTATGCCCCTCGGTTTTGCTGTTGCGTACACCCTGCTGATGAGACTTCCCAGGTCCGATCCGGCACCGGTGGCGAACCGGACATGTCTATATCTCTTATTAACCCCATGACTTACAACCATCTCCCAACCATCTCCAAGTCGACGAGCCCAATGACGAAGGTCTGCCAATCCAAATACTACACCTTCTATTCTGGCGGCTATGATGTCCCGGTAGCGGCAGTGAATGGCACGAAGTACGATGTGAGCGTGGGCTCGTTCTCGGACAGCTTCAAGAACCTTGACCTCCCAGGGATCGCCGGTGCTCTTACTTGTAGTGGCAGTGGAGGGTCTGGCGCAGCCACAACGTCAGCCACTTGGAGCATCTCGACGACATCCTCGTCGTCAACTCCCGCCAACGGCAGCTCTGCCAAGACTACTACAACTCAGGATTCGAACATATGGACGACGACGGTCGTCACTGCTTTCACAACGTACTGCCCCGGTGCAACCACCTTCAGCCAGAACGGAAAGACGTACATTGCCACGGAAGCAACCACACTGACCATCGTTGACTGTCCTTGCACAGTCTCGTGGACTCGATCAGTCTCGGAGTCGTCAAGTAGTACCACTAGTATCTCCACCACGACCACTGCTTGGGTGCTTTCAGCAACGACGACAACCTCGTCTGCAACTTCAGACTTGCTAGTCCGGCCAGTGAGCGACGCAGTTACCAGTGCTACTAGCTCTTCATCTACCACAAATGCCGGCCTTGGATCATTGTCGGCCTCAGAAGGAGTAACGTCGAGCCCAGTGTCGCCTGCAATTGCTACTTTCACAGGCGGTGCCAGCAGCTTTGCTTCTGGTGGGAATGTGATAGCCTGGCTTGGCTCCACTTTCGTAGCCGCGGTCTATCTATTGTGAAAGCCTGACAGCCCGAATGGCTCGTCGTTGCACTCTCTGTCGACGGGAAACAAGTCTTTGCTATGTTCGATGGAACGGACAGGCTTGTGGAAGAGTCACTGCTTTCCTTCTTGGGCTTCGGAGTATCCGGGACCTTTTGTATTAATAATCGGTATCGCATTGCATGGTGACCCTACGATTGTCAATTATCCGTGCCGATGCAAAACAAGGGTTTTCAGCCTTGTACTCCTTCCAAGTAGCTCCTACGGTCTCATACATCAAGCTCAGCTCAACAGCTGAGAATGCCCCAACTTGGAAGTCACTTTCCCACTTAGTAAGTTTGTTGAGACTTGCGAGTGGTCGAAAGCTATGCAGTGGCAGCTTACAAAGAGGGAATCCATCAAGTAATATAACATGCGTACGATTGGCTCCCCTGACTAAGTGCCAGACCAGGGGGCTTACCATAGAGTACTACGTGGTAGACGCAGACGCGTCGTTGATTGGTGAGTCGATTTCGTCCGCTTTCGTACAAAAATCTGTACGTAGACGCCATAGGAGTCTTATGCTACGTGCCTGCAACAGCGTCAATGATCTTGTGTCTCTCCCCTTACCTGGTTAACGGTTACACCGTATATCTCGTACTCATGGGCCAAGGGGGAGACGATGTTCGAGGAATGTTAACTGTATTACAAATCCATCATCGGGACTGCCAGAGGCAATGACTTGTTGTGAGCTTCAGCCGTTGCGCAGGGCGTTATACATAAATAGGCGGATGCCTACTTGGTAGGTAACGGTTGCTCACTTCTAACTTAGCATACAACCTCTCAACCGATTGCTTTCACCTCAATAAAGAGATCGTCCATTCTACTTACTCTAGTACTTCTCGCGGCCAGTTGCTCTTCAAGTTCTGTCTCTTGACAGCGAAGATGTCTTCTCCACTGCATGTCGCTCTCGTCGGCGCAACAGGCAACCTGAGCCCGGCGATCCTCACGCAACTCCTCGCCGCGGGCTCTGGCTTCAAAGTCACCATCCTCGCTCGTGTCGGCAGTGGCTCGAAAGTCAAAGCCGTGCCCCCCACAACCAGCGCCACCTCCACCTCCACTGCCAGCGCAAACACTGTTAGTAAAACTACTGGTACTGCTAGTGATAGCGTCACAATCAAGGAAGTCGACTACGCCTCGCACTCCTCTCTCGTGCAGGCCTTGTCGTCGCCGCCGGTGGACGTGGTCGTGTGCACGCTTGGCTGGTTTCCAGGATTCTTCGAGACCCAGAAAGCGCTCATCGACGCCTCTATAGAAGCCGGCTGTGTCAAACGGTTCCTTCCGTCGGAATTCGGGAACGGTGCGAATGCCAACGTGCGGAAATTGCCACTTCTGTTCAACGACAAGAGCAGGACGCAGGAGTATCTCGTCGAGACAGTCGAGAAAGCCGCCGCCACAGTCCAGAAGAACAATAACAAGACAGACCCCGGTTCAGAGGTACTAGTACCATTCAGCTATACCATCATCAACACGGGCTCGTTTCTGGACTGGCAGCTCGAGCTCGGGTTCATGGTCAATCTCAAGGACCACACGGCCACGCTCTACGACGGCGGAGACGTGCGTTGCTCCGCGACGCGGATGGTGACGATCGGAGAAGCGGTCGTCAGAGTCCTGCACAATCTCGACGCCACGAAGGATAGACATGTTTTCGTCCACGACGCTGCGATCACGCAGAACCAGCTGATTGGGATGGCGAAGAAGATCGACGGCAACGACAAAGAGTGGACCACGACGAGCATGTCGACGGCGGATGTCGAGAGAAATGCGTACAAGGCGTTGGAAGAGGGCGATTTCATGAGCGCCACGCTCGGATTCATTTCTCGCGCGTGCTGGGGACAAGGCTTTGGGCAAGACTTTAGCGACAAGTTGGATAACGATCTGCTGGGGATCCCGGTGACGAGCGAGGAAGAGATTGAGAGTATGATGAGAGATATCATGGCGAAGCTTCTCTGAGCCTTTTCTCAACCATAGGATATCTAGTCTAGTATGAGACGCATTCAATTCGTCGGCCAAAAAGACACGTTGGCCCACATCTATAGTCCGTACAGCTTGAAACCCACGGCGGTAGAAGAAGCCGATCTATTTCTATTTTCTTTGTTATATTCCACCTAAGCACCCCGTGGCACCCTTATCATGCAGGCCGGAACTCCTCGGTAACTCGCTTAGGCTCGTAGTATGGCGTACCCAGCGGGATAAAGTCCATATCGTATCCAAACTCCTTAGGTCCACCGGTCCTTATTCCCACGGGCGTATACCTAAGGACAGGCGCGTCAGAAGAGTTTTTCGGGTTGGGAAACAACAAAGATCAAACGGCGTTGATGGGAAAACTTACCAATGCGGATGCGCGACGAAAGCCACCACGCTGACTCGGACACCGTATCGGAGATCCTGAGTTCCCAGAGCGTACCCGTCCGTTCCGACCAGGGATATCAGATCGGGCACCGTGCAGAGAATTTCGCCCTTGGTGCCCTTTTCGGCATCGGGATCGATCAGCTCGGCATAGAGATATTCGTTCTGGAAGGGCAGGATCATGTCTCTCGTCTCCGTGGTCACGCTGTCGCCGTATTCTTGTTCGTCGCTGCCGATCGGCTTCAGACGCACCGTACCCTCGGTGTAGCCGCCATCCGAGATGTAGCGGTTCACGGACACGATCTTGCCGGTGTAGAGAACGCGGCCGGACGGGTTGGCTTCGACCTGTTGCACATACATGTGTTAGCTAACAAGTTTGAAGTCTGAGAGAGGTGGTAGCCTGGTAGGAGAATGGGGGGGTAGGATCTTACAATGGCTTTCATAATATCCGTCTTTTCTTGACGAGCCAGATAGACGGCGTGGCCGAGATACCAGGCCAGTGAAGTCGTCCCGAGCGTGCCGATTTTCTTGGCGTCCTTGATGGTGATGGGAGGGAGGACCAGCTGGCTGAACAAACCGAGCTCGTGGCCGGCCTTGCGATGGATCTTTTCTAGTTTCTTGGGGTCCGAAGCCTTGTGCACTGTCACGACGTTGCCGTTCCCGTCACTCTGCGTGCAAGGATTGAGAGGGATATCAAATACTATATCCAGTTATTAGCAAGCCTTGTAGATACAACCGGAAGTGCCAGGGACACTCACGGTAGGGAGTCATGATGTAGACTCTGGGATATGCTCTTCCCATAAAATCACCATCGATCGTGGGGACTTGTCCATATTGAGCGCTGACGAGCATAGGACGGATGCCATTCATTCCTCCGATCTCGACCTGTACGGAAATGTGAGTCTAGATGTCAGAATACGTTGAGGAGGTCATGTCTTACCGCAATTTGAGCATCCATCTTGACACCGGGATACATGCTCAACAAGGCTGTGGTGGCATCAACTGATTCCGTGCCACTGGGTATCCGTTCAAGGGTAACAGTGGGGGCTCTGAAGTCGGGATTGTCAGCCTGAAGTAGATTTGAGACGGAGGAAGATTCATCACACGCACCCGTATGAAATGCTTCCAAACACGTGTCCCTCATCAGGCAGAGTGTTAATGTCCACGACGGGTAAGCGATGTCCAGCTTTGAGTGCAGCTCTCGCGGCCATGTAGCACATGTACCCTGGACCACCACCGCCGCAAGCCAGTATACTACAACCTGTGGCCAGGAATTCCAAATCAATTTCCGACACCCACCAAGTACCGTCTTTGTCCACCTCGGGCTTGTATTGGCGGATGTCGATCAGTGCTGAAGGGCTGACCAAGAAGTCCTTGGGATCTTTCTCTGCGTTGGTGGTTTTGGAGACTCGTTGTCCCTCTTCCTGGACGACAAGGAGTTCTTCAGTGGTTTCTGAGGGCACATACTGCATAAGTGCCTTTTGATTCAGTACGCCGGCCTGTTGTCGAATCGATCAGTATTGCCGGTCGTGGCATAGGAGGACAGATTTTCAACTTACAGCTCTGATGATCAGCCTTGTTGCTCGCATCTGGACATACTGCAGAGGCATGTTCTCGATTGTGACGATCCTGACGGACTCGGGATCGGCGCCTGCATCGATCGCCAGTTTCTTTGTCTCTTCGCAAACCTCCTCAACGACTTGGTCCTCATCCCGACCTTCCAGTACTTTGACGATGTCTATTTGTCCGGAGATCTTCGCGATGGCTGCTCCAACTGCATTCGCACAGTCGTGAAATCTGACGTGGTCAGTAGAAGTCGCGCGTACTCTGAGAAGAAAGAAAAAACTTACGGTGGGCGTATGATTTGTCCGACGCCGGCGAGGTCGTCCATGTGCACGATGCTGCCACCTCCAACAAGGATAACAACAGCATCATCGGCACTCAATTTCATCGCGTCCACGGCGTTCTCCAGCAGTCTCTTCATGCGGTATCTCGCTTTAGTGATGACATCTTTAGGTACATCCTTCACCTTAGAAGCGTCGCCGATGTCTGCATGGCCGCTTGCGACGACAATGTCGGTCGTTGTCAACGTATTGCCGCCAAAGACAAGACCCTCCTGTAGTAGTCTGTGTCCCACTGACTCGGGACCGACAGCCACCTTACCGTCTCGTTCCTCAACCTTCGTGCCACCCCCGAGTGCGACGGATAGCACTTCGGGCATGGGAAAGGCACTTCTAACACCACCGATCTCTATCCATGTGCCGGCTTGACGCGGGAAACCAGAAGGTAACAGTGCGCAAACATCGGTTGTTGTGCCTCCGACGTCGGCCACAATCACTTGGGAGTTCTGTATACGCCCCTTCTTCGTATCGAGTCCAGCTAAATAAGCCGCTCCAGACATGGAGTTGGTTGGGCCACTTGAGAAGGTCTTGATAGGGCATTTCTCTGCTGAGTCAGCATCGATGATTGTGCCGTCGTTCTGCGTCAGGAACAGTGGACAGGAAAGACCCAAGGTTCGGATTGCCAGCTTGAAGCCACGAATGGTTTTTCTAGCAAACTTGAGAATTGATGTGTTGAGAATGGTGGCATTTTCTCTCTCGAGATACCCCAACTGGCCAACTGCCCTGGATGTCAGCATCAACCGGGGTAATAGAGCGTTGACAATCGGACTTACTTTCGCGAGACAAGACCACGTCTGCCTCGGGCATCTCCTCGAGGATGATTTCTCTTACTCTCGCCTCCTGCTTTCCAGCAATGTCGAGAGGAGAGAAGACTCCAATTACAGCAATATCCGTGATGCCCTTCTCCTTTAGGATCTGGCATTCTTTGCGGATTTGCGCCTCGTTAAGAGGCATGATTTCTCGAGTGTCGACTGTCATTTCGTCAGCGATTTCGTGTGCCCATTCCCCAGGACCTAGACTGACACTCGAGACCGCCATCCAAGTACGCTACGTGACCATTCATGATCCTCCCAAGGATAGGAGGGAAATCCATGAATGCCGGGTTCTCCTTTGTGTAAGGCCCACAAACCCGGAGGACACCGACTTTCCTCAAGTTTCTGTCGTCTGCTTGGACAACGGCATTGATGAAGTGCTGAGGACTTGTTAGCTCTGTACCCATGCCGTGGCCACGAAATCACTCACTGTGGTGCCGATCATGACGGCCGACACGGCGTGCAGAGGAATACCGCATTGCGATATAGCTCCTTCGATTGCTTTCGTGATGCCCTCCGTCACATTTGCTGTTGTTGGAGTCTTGAATGCAGAGCGAATGCCTCGATCGGGTAGATCTGCCTCGCCAGGGTCTTTTGGTCTTCACGTCAGTCTCCGCTTCCCTTGCCGGTGATTGGGTAACACAAGAACTCACGAAGGATAACACAATCTGTATTGGTTCCTCCGACGTCGACGCCGATTCTGTACACTTTTTGTATAGCCATGGTGGTCCTTGAGAGCTCGATCGTCTAGCTAGTATCGAGCATATGATCTTCAAGGTCGATACTTATGCGACAAAAGTCAAACACTTTATTTAGACTCTTGAAATATATGCGTTAGCTCTCAACAGAATGTCAAGCCTGGAGATCCACTGTCACTTGCATTGTGCTTGGCTTCTGATAATGGCAATAGCGGGACAAATCCGTTGTTCTTAAGGTCCCACCATTTATGCCGCGCATATGCGAGAAGACCAGGTCCACAATACAGTACTAGTTAGTAGTTCCGGCACCAGCTATCATGAGCTTGATAAGCGCGTTCGGCGAGGCCTTCCACTTCTCTGGTCTTATCTCAATTGCCCTATGCGGGTCGGCTGGTGGACATTGGTGGATGTACAGTGGATGTACCACCAGAGCGGTGATCCGCGCCCTGGAGACCCATCCAATGCCATCCGTAATCGGCGAGGCATTCCTTGACAAGGCTACTCACGGTACTGTCAAATGAGCCAGATGGTCTGCTCGTCTGATAACCTGAAGGCGTTCTAGAACCTTATCTTATCGACATCGTTCAGGTGGGCTATCAGACGATCCCTGACCTAGAACGTCCAACTGGGTATATAGTGAGCGGACTATTCGGTTCGTCTTCGATGCGGCACTGAAAACTTATCATACCTGAAGAGTCTCTTCTTGCTCAAGGCCACCATCTCAAAATGTCTGTTGTCAGGCGCGCACTGCGCAGGATCGAGCTCCCAGAAAATGAGCGTGGGGACCGCTGGAGCAATGAGGACATTCGGCCAGTACCGCTGGAGCGCCAAACTTGGGGTGAGGCTTGGACACATTATCAAGTTATCCTTTGGTGATGAAGCTGACCGCCGTTCCCACAGGACCCCTCCAGTTTGTCGAATTATGGTTTCTCATCAACCTGAACATGAGTACTTATCAGACGGGATCTTCGTTGCTGGCTTCTGGCATGACTTATTGGCAAGCCATCATTGTCATTCTGATCGGAAACGTCCTGGCAAGCACGTTCGCCGTGCTCAATTCGGTGTCAGGTGCTCAAAGCCATATCGGCTTCCCCATCGTTTGCAGAAGTGTTTGGGGTACGTGATGATTGCTTCCCTGCTGCAAATCCCATCTGACAATCCGTTGCAGGAATGTGGGGAGCATATTTCCCAATCCTCAATCGAATCCTGACATCAGTCACTTGGTATGGCGTCCAGGCAGTCATCGGAGGCAAGATGATATACATTTGCCTCCGCTCGATCTGGATGGATTTGGACACAAGAATCCCCAACACCCTGCCCGTGGGTATCGGTATCACGACTGCACAGTTTGTCGGATATGTGCTCTTCAACTTGCTCTGCTGCATATTCATCTGGTTCAGGCCTCAACAGCTCCGGCCATACTTCCATGGCGCTTCAGTCGTGGTAGGCATCACTCTGTTCTGCCTCCTTGGATGGGCAGTCGGTACAAGCAAAGGATACGGAAGCGTGTTTGATGCAAAGACCACCATCTCGTCCTCTGAATTGGGCTGGCAAATGAGTGCAGGTGTCATGTCTGTCATCGGCAGCATTGCATCAGGCATTCTTAACCAGAACGACTTCACCAGATTTGCCAAGCGCCCAAGCCATGTCACCTACACTCAGGCAGGTTCATTCATGATCACCAGCTCGCTTAATGCCATCATCGGTGTCATTGTCACCGCAGCCACACAGAAGCGTAAGTGTTGGGCTTTATACGTTTGAGCGGCCGAAGCTAACTGCGCTCCAGAATATGGAAATGGAACCGCTCTTTGGGATCCCAGCACATTGTTCATGGCAATGCAAGACCAGAACGGTTCAAGGGGCCGAGCTGCTGCGTTCTTCCTGGGTGTTGTCTTCATCCTCTCACAGCTTTCGATTAACGTCGTTGGCAACGTGTTGGCTGGTGGTCTTGATGTTGCGAGCGTATTCCCCAAGTATATCAACCTGCGACGGGGAGCGTACGTTCTCGCGGCAGCCAGTGTCCTTCCAAACCCTTGGCAGCAAATGTCTTCCGGAGGAACGTAAGTCAAGTCGCCAGCCCAGTGTTGAGGCGTATGCTGATATTTCAACCTAGCTTTTTGGCCGTCCTTTCAGCATATGCCGTCTTCTTGGGCCCTATGATCGGTCTCCTCTGCGTCCACTTCTACATCATCCAAAGCAGGCGCTTCCACATCCCCGACTTGTACGTGGGCTCAAAGAAGTCGTTGTACTGGTACTACTATGGCACCAACTGGCGGACAGTCGTGGCTTGGGTCTGCGCAGTTGTTCCTAGCATGCCTGGATTCGTCCACTCAGTCAACCCGTCGCTCAAGGTCGCAAAGGGTGCAACCCGCATATTTAGCCTGAGTTTCGTTTTTGGATTCGTCGTTGGTAAGTCTAGTTGCGTCCTAACGTCAGGCCTCTGCTAATGCGTCTCCTCCAGCTGCCCTCATTGCTTATTTGCTCCACTGGGCGTTCCCCTATCAATATCCTGATACCTCGATCATTGAAGGTGAAGAAGAACATGCAAGCTCTGAGTCGGACCAAGTCGATGCTGTCATTGAGGAGACTAAGAACAAATGAGGCTAAACAGTTTAGCGATACTCACGATATGATCAGTGTATGAAGGCAGGCGCGGAGATATAGCAATTTTGGACAAGATGGGCAAAGAATATGTTCGATAGCCGCCTGGTTGCAGTTCGATGAGAAATGCCTAGAATGAGAAGTGTTGCTGAGTCATGGGGCAAGCTTTTCTGCCATTCAATTGCTTCACAGATACTCGTGTTGATGCAGCCATTGCCGTACTTCCGGAACCGCTCTGGCAGTGTATGCTGCGTTCCTTTTGATGTTGTCTCTGGCAACTCGGAGTGGGTGAGCCAGGTCAGGTATCATTCTCGTTGCAAAGAACGCGGTAATGTCTTTCTCAATGGCCGGCTCGTCAAAACTGCTCAGACTGTTCTCAATGAACCAGTTGAGAGCGACGCTGTTGACGGACAGCCTCTCGTACACCGTCTCCCAATTTTGCTTCACATAATCCCAAAGTGCCGAGCCACACGGCCCGTTAGCCAATGCCATTCCGACGAAGTGGATGTTTTGCAGTGCGATATGACGGTCGGATAAGAAGGTGAAATCGAGCAGGTCCCGTGCCATTTCACGATGTGAGGTCCTTCCCATCGCTGCAATGCATATTTCACGGCCGTCGATCGAGTGATTCTCGATGTATTCGGCTTTGACATCCTGATATTCTTGTTCACCTCCTTTCTCGACTGACACTCCAAAGATTGGTGTCTGGAGATTGCGATTGATGGAGTTACGATTGTCGTTCTTCCAGTCGCGGAACCTTTGATTGATCTGACATAGGACGCTCTCGTCGTCTGCCATACTAGCGACTTGGATTAGGATCTTCTCAAGTTCTCCTTTGACGTAGCTGTCGGGACATCCTGTCCAGCTAATCTCGTGTTTAACTTCGTCAACTAGATTGCGAATGTAGGCCTTGATGGCCGCCGCGGTCTCGACATCCTTAGAAACTGCTGACAGCACCATCGACATGGACTTCTTGATCTGAGACCAGACAAAACAGTCCCTCTCATGCTTGAAGACAAGAAGCAAAGACAGTAGCTCTCCCGAAGACTTCAACCCCACGAGAACGAGGAAGCGCATGTCGCTGATGATTCCAACTTTGTCCTCTGTTGATAATTTTGAATGCACTGGACGAAGCGACACAAGGTACTCCAAAGGATATTGAGTGCGGTAAAAGCCAGCGTGGTTGTGGTTGACCTTTGAAACAGCGCCAGTCTGCTTGATTGAGCCAGACTTTGTAGCTAGCATGTTGCATGTAGCTGCAGAGAGAGTCGTCTCCAGGCCGAGCGGTATATACCAAAGTGTATCTGCTGGGTGTTGCATCTCACTTGTGCAGGGCCTCTGGGCCAATTTGAGTCCGTCCGGCGTTGGGTCGACATTCAATAATGGAAATCCTGCTTGATGTATCCAAGAACCCATCATTTCCTCCACCCCCAGGCCAGATGCCTGCGACAAGGCAGACCAAAGGTCGTCAGAAGTTGCGTTCCCGTACAAGCGGCTCCCGAGGTAGGCTTTGATGCCCTTCAGAAATGTGCTTTCGCCCAGGTGGCTTACCAACATCCGGATGACAGAGCTACCTTTACAATAACTGATGCTGTCGAACATCTGGTGTACTTCAGCGTCATTCTTGACGTCTGTCTGAATTGGATGAGAGGCCTCCAAGCTGTCAAGCGCGAATGCATCTTCCATGGCTTCGTCCTACTTCTAGTCAGCGAATCTTGGGTGAAGCTGAGAGACCCTCGTGCTTACCACAAACTGACCCCAGATATTCCATTCTGCAAATGTCAGTTGGGCTTGCCAAAGGGAGTGCTAATATCAACTTACCTGGATGAAGGTGATCCACGGCGAAAAATCCTGCCCATGTAGCAAACCCTTCATTCAACCACAGTTCAGTCCAACCGCTCATCGTGACGAGATTTCCGAACCATTGGTGTGCAAGTTCATGTGCGATCACATAAGAAGCTTTAGACATGAGTCTGTTGTCCGACGTGAGCGGGTCAAATAGTATTTTCGTAGCTTTATACGTAATAAGGCCCCAATTTTCCATGGCCCCGGATATGAACTCGTGGACAACAAGGTGATCGCACTTCGGCAACGGGTAATCTACCCCGAAGCGCTCGCTGAAGAAGTCGAGAGCATCACAAGCATCTCGCAGGGCAAATTGGGCGTACTGTGTAAGTCCTTTAGTAGTATAGATTCTCACTGGAATCTTCTTGCCACTGTAAGTCCTTTCGGTGAGGGCTTCGATGTATTCGAAATCTCCCACAGCCCATGCCAGAAGCTGAAACGAAAGGCGGATTAGTTGAATAACCACATGTAGAGATGGGGAGACTTACATAAGTGCTCATCACCGGGGACTTCTCGAAGCATACTACTTTCAGTCCCTTCTTTGATCCTGGACGCCGAGACTTTTCAGGCATGTTGCTCAGCGCGGTCAATCCATCAGGCACTTCAAGTTCCAGCTCAAAGGTCGCTTTCAAGTGAGGCTCATCGAAACATGGGAAAGCCTTCCTCGCGTCACAGGGCTCGAAATGAGTCGTCAATAGATAGCAATCGGCTCCAAATCGCACTGACGCTGCGTCTATATCGTCGTGAGGCGAATATTTGGCCCTGTAAAAGCCGGTCATGGACCGATCGATCTTGCCTTTGAACGAGACCAGCAACTGAACATGGCCTTTTGGGAGAAATTCTGGAAAGCTGATCTTAACATTCTTGTCATCCTGGTTCAATGCTATAGACGAGGCACTGCAGGTCACTAGTAGGCTGGTCAGCGTTTATAGAGACGGAGAAGAAGAAGGAGCCTTGATTGAGCATACCGAGAGGGCTGTCACAGCGCAGCCTGATCTCAGCATGGAAGATCTCGAGCTCGTCACAATGCAGAACAATAGTGTCTGCTGAGAGCGATATGTCTGCATCGATAATCACCTGTCCTCCATAAGTCCATCCACCTCCGAATTCGATATCGAAAATGGAGACATGGTAGTTGGACGGTGTTATGCTGAAAGGTTCCAATCAGTGTCAGGGACTGTTCACAATATCCAGAGTCCACTCACGTCTGAGCCAGCTGTTTGGAGATCTTGTTGGTATCCCATTCCTGCAACATGGTGCTCTGACATCAATCGACGTGCTGAGGGCTCAGGGCTGGTTTGCTATTGCCACAAGGAATCGAAGGCGCCCATGAGGAGCACTCCTTAGCTCCCGTGGAATCGGACCCATTATTGTCATGAGAGTCGGCCAAGTATACTCGGCCAAGGTTGCCATCCTGGAGAAGTCAAATATGGCCCACTGTTGTCGCGTAGAAGTCGTGCCGTAATCATGTTCGGAAGATAAGAGTTGCTAGACGACAAAACGGGTTCTATGCATTCTCCGGTTATCGACGGCTGCCCAAGCTTGGCGCCATCAGGCGCTATCAGGCGCTATCAGGCGCTGCGAGTTCACCTTTCCAGCCCCATTATGGGCCCATCATGCCCCCAGTCCAGCTACTTCGGCAATCCGGTAGGCAGGACTAAGCCTGGCGGGCCTGGAAGCCCGTGGTCACTAGCCTGTCTTCTGGGCCGTTAAGCTCTGGGTCTGATGGGCTCTTTGCCGATAAGAAGCCGCTTAGTGACTCCCGCAAAGCCCCCCGACGCCGTTGATAAGGATGTCCTGATTCTCCGTCGCCGACGCCTTCCAGGCCTCGGCATTTCATCCTGTTATCCTGCACCTGCACCTGCACCTGCACCTTTCACAGCACAAATGTGATGAGAGCAAGACGTCCTCCTAATGCCCGCTGTGAGGCAGCCAAAGGCGCGGTCCCGGACTTTCACCGCGTGCCTTACATGTCGTGCGCGCAAAGTCAAATGTGATCTCGAGAGTCCAAGTTGCCGAAACTGTCTCAAATTGGGCATTTCGTGCCCGGGTTATGGAATTCAGCTACAGTGGTTAACGCCGTGGCAGCCAGCGGGACATCAGCAGCCCAATACTGTGATCGATGGTCTCGAAGTCCGCCGTGCTCGAACAAACATCTTTGGTGGTATGTAATATCCAGGCCTCTCGCGACCTGAACACTGCCTAAAGATCGTTGTAGCTCGGACCGGGCTCCAATTCTCCAATGACCTGATTCGGCAACTGGCAGAATCAAGCTGTTCCACGCAGCTTGACCAGTTGCTTGAGGGACTCGACGAACGGGCTGTAGCAGATGAAAGCTGCTTCGACAATGGACAAGACTGGCATCTAATCGATGGTCCATTTTCAGTCTTTTATCTTGTCCCAGTGGTGGAAACCGGCGGGCACGGCTCAAACATGCGAAGGCCCTCGGCGTTGTGTTCGCCCAGCATCGACTACAACGCAGCAGAATGGCCTATAAGCGACGACTGGTTCTCCTTGGTGCCGAGCGATGCCTTCCAGGCACAGGTGTCGGTTTCTGAATCTCCTATGGTCAGCTCTGCTTATGGATTTACCAACGGCGATGGTGCTTCATTCCTCGGACCAAAAGACTCCTTCGTGTCTCCAATGGACTTTCACATCGGGCTTACGCCGCTTGGTGAGCTTCCCGATTTCAATGCTACATTTGGCAATCTCACTACGCCGAAGCCAATTTTCACATCGACTTACCCCTACGGACATCCCACGGCCGCTTCCTTGCCCAATGGTTCACCCTATCTACCTTCTAACGTGCGATTCCTGTTGTCTCACTATACGAACCACGTCATCGACTCGTTGTCACCCTTGCCCCAAATGAAGGCTCCTTGGAGAGGTATTCATGTCCCGTGCGCGTTGACCGCATACGGGGAACTCGACATTGCCGGTCAGTCAGGTTTGGCACGTGTGTCTCTGTTGTACAGTCTGCTTTCTCTAACGTGCTACCATCTGAGCTCCCTCCATGAGCTGTCCTCGTCATACAAACAAGCTGTGGATCAGACGACAAGCTCGATGGAACAAGCGCCGAATGCACAACATTGGAGCTCTCAGGGTTCCAAATTCCGGGACATAGCTCGTACTGCGTTCCGTAAATGCCTACAGACAATGGGTTCCGACCCAGCAGTGAAGGTGAAATACAAGGAGCTGTTCGTTAGCGCAATGAGTCTGATATGCACCGGAGTATGCCGCCGCCGTCTGACTTCGTATTCGCAACACTTCAGATGCTGACAGTTGCCATAGATCATTAGTGGAGACCCGTGGGATTCACGCTTCTTCATTCTCCAATGCGAAGACATTGTCAACAAGATTGGGCGAACTAAACAGCGATTCTCAAATAAGGCTTTATCACTCCATCGGATTTTTTCGTACATCCGTATCATTGAACAAACTACCTTCGTCCAGACAAGGGATCAGTACCTGGAAACACTGGACAAGCATGCTCTGTTCCCAGAACAGCTCGAGCTGGTCAAGCAGATTCCAGAGCACGCTTTCTCTCACTCAGCGACAGAGGCCTCAAATCTTCAGACCATGTCCGATCTCGGATTGACCGGACCTGAGGAAGAAACCTTCTACGAGCTCTACGGCATGCCGGGCTCACTGTTGCGGCTCATTGCAAGGACAAACAATGTCATTGCTGAACTTGACCCTCCTGGGCTGCACGGGACCTCCCAGCCAGCCATGCCATCTCACCTGATGGCAGCTGCTTCAATGCTGGAAAGTGATATTTGCAGATTCGAGTTTAGAAGCACCAATGGTGCGAGCACGGCGTCTATGGATACGAGCACTGATATCACCAAAGTCGTCGACGCTCCTCGGGCTATGCGCTCCCACATTGCGACTGCAATGCACCACGCGTTATTGGTGTACTTCTTCAGATTTGTGCGAGGCACCAATCCTATTATATTGCAACACTACGTCGAGAAAATCCTGAGCAACCTCGAATACCACCAAGAGAGCAAGGGCCGTTATTTCTCGGGGGCACGACTGGGAACAACTGTATGGCCGAGCTTCATCGCTGCCTGCGAGGCACTGGGTGAGAATCTACGTCGTCGTGCTGTAGTCTGCATGAGGCATGCCGCTTGGGCCGGATTTAAAAATGCTGAAGCCGCCGAAGTGGTTGCACGCGAGGTCTGGCGGAGGCGCGATGCGGGAGAGAATGATGTCTCGTGGAGCACCGTTCTTCGCGAAAGTCGGACAATTCTGCTATTGACTTGATATGCAACGGCCAGCCTGAATGGCACGTTTGTTGGCTGTTTGGCTCGATTACAATCTTAGTTTGTAGTCTTGCAAGCGCTTTCGTAAATCAAGATCAACAACTTATGTTAGCCAGTTGACAAGCTGTGTTCTGTGTTGTAGAAAACATAGAGGTCAACCGAGGCTTTACAGTAAAGACATATCACCTGGTTGACTTGTTATCATGGTAATATCAAGTACCTTACGGAGTAGCTAGTGAGGCTGACGAGGCCAATAAGGCTGGTGTCTTCGCCGCCGACGTTCTCCCGATCCCTCCCACCCTCTTCAGTTTTCCGGTTTGGCTTCTGCTTGCTGTTTGGGGTTTGCTTTATGCAGACACAAACCCCAGGAGATCCGCCATCTTGCTTGCTCATAATAAACAACTGCTACACCTCTTCATTATGGCCGACGATCAGCGTGAGACTGCCACCTCATCACCTCCCACCACCAATACTGACAGGAAAGAGCGAGAAGCATCTCGTGGCGAAGGCCGCCATAGAAGCAGGTCACCCCGCGGAGACCGAGACAGACGTGAGGACCGATCTCGGCGTAAAGACGCTGGTTTCAAGTGGAAAGAGAAGCGCCGCGACGATGACGAGAGTAGACGAGACCGCGATGCGGGCTTGCAGCGAGGCTACAGAGACCATTACCGACCACGGTCCAGGTCCAGATCACCACCTGCGAGAAGGTCATCTCCGAGAAGATCATCTCCGAGAAGATCATCTCCGAGAAGAGACGAGAGGGATAGCTATAAGGTTGAAGATCGCAGGGACCGACCACGTGAGGACAAGGATAGAAAAGAGAAGAAGGAGAAGAAACCTGCGCCTGCTGTGCCTACACAACCCATGATCATCGTCTATGTGAATGACAGACTTGGAACGAAAAAGGCAATCCCTTGTTACCCCACGGATCCTATCAGTGAGTTGACGAGATGCATGGACATAGTTGAGATGCTGACACTTGTCACAGAGGACTTCAAAGTCATCGTGGCCTCAATGATCGGACGACAGCCCCACGAAATCCTTCTCAAGAGACAAGGCGAACGGCCGTTCAAGGACCAGCTGACTCTACAAGACTATGGAGTGAGCAACAACGTCCAGCTGGATCTTGAGGTTGATACCGGCGACTGAAGGGAAGGCGACAGGCCGGAAACTAATACTGCTGAAAAACAAAACGGGCAGTACCTCGTACTGGTGCTGGTGTTCTGAGCAGACACTTCGCAGGATACATGATGAGATGCTATGAGGTATATTCCTGCCTTCGCTGCGTCTTGATCCGGCATTGCTACGAGGAACCTATGTTCGTCTCTTGGGTTGCCCGACTGCCACAGGCTGCCACAGGCTAACTCACCTGTTGATCAGGTACATGAGAGACGGTGGATGATTCTGTTTCACTTCAAGTTCTCACGAATCACCAAATCACAGGCTGTGACGCAATTTTGCCTGTGTGGAATTTTTAGAGCCACTACCTTACCAATATTTCTGAATGAGGAAGGTGGGGCGAATCAAAAGATTCTCGAGCGCAACTGTTCTGCATCTTGTAGTCTCACTTTCACTTCATCATGTCGACAAAAGCGACTAGGGTCTCATGCCCGTTCAAGGCACTGACTATACATCTCTCAGAATATGAACGTCTAGGTCGACTTTCCTGACTTTATTCCCTTCGAAGCCTCCCTTGCGAAACCCCCGAACCAACCATTCCTCTACCTTTCCTCTACCTTTCCTCTACCTCGTGCACAGTCACAACTCTACCTGACTACCTCACTACCTCCCAACCTCACGCCGATCGACACCATGGTCAGAAACATCGTCGTTCTTGGTGGCTCCGCCCATCCAACTTTGACAGAGACAATCTGCGAAGTCCTCGGCATAGAGCAAGGCCAAGCTCTTTTCTCGAAATTCTCTGTCGGAGAAACCCGAGTTGAGATCGGCGAGTCTGTCAGAGGAAAAGATGTATATATCATACAGTCGGGTGGTGGAAAAGTGAATGACCACTTCATCGAACTGCTCATCGCCATCTCGGCATGTAAGACTGCTTCGGCTAAGAAAGTCACCGCCGTCCTTCCGCTGTTCCCCTACTCTCGACAATCCGATGTGCCCTACAACAAGAGCGGTGCACCTCTGGTCAAGGCCGCAAACATGACAAACAAGCTGGTGCCAGACGGAAATGGCTATACCTTTGACAGTATTCCACCAACTCCTCATCCGGACAAACCCGAGAGTAATGGCCTTCCCAACGGGCATTCACTGCACAAAGCGGCCTCCAAAACAGAACTGGACAGCAATGTGGAAAACAGCCCTACATATCAAGCTCGCTTCAGTCACTACCGCGATTCAAGCTCGCAGTCAAAGACTGGACCCGAGTACTTCTTAAGCCCTCGAAAACGCGGAGACTCGAATGCTTCCATGACCAATGGTGTTGCCAACCACGATTTTGCAACAACCTCCAACAAAACCGAGAACAAGATCGACGCGCCGGAGAACTTCAAGCCTCGCCCCGGCTATCGACAATGGGTTGCACAAGCCGGTACTCTCGTGGCAGATCTTCTTACCTGCGCCGGCGCTGACCACATCATCACAATGGACTTGCACGATCCTCAGTACCAGGGCTTTTTCGACATTCCGGTTGACAATCTCTACGGCCGGCCATTGCTCAAAAAATATATTCAGCAGAACATCCCTGACTACAAGAACGGTGTTGTTGTCAGTCCCGATGCTGGCGGTGCCAAACGAGCCACTGCCATTGCCGACGCCCTGGGTATGGAGTTCGCGCTTATTCACAAGGAAAGACGACCCACCAAGATTACAGATCGACAAAACGCTACCATGATGTTGGTTGGCGATGTCACCAACAGGGTTGCCATTCTCATCGATGACTTAGCAGACACCAGCAACACAATCACTCGAGCAGCTAAGCTGCTGAAGAAGGAAGGCGCCAGCAAAGTCTACGCACTGGTCACCCACGGAGTGCTCAGCGGTGATGCCATCGATAGAATCAACGCTAGTGCTCTTGACACGGTCATTGTCACAAATACAGTTGATCAACAAGATCATTGTAAGCGGTGTCCCAAGCTTGAAGTGCTTGAGGTTGGGCATGTCTTTGCCGAGGTGAGTTTTCGTCAACTTCCAAGCTGTTTCGAGGAATGTCCACTGACGCAGTCTTGTAGGCTATTCGACGAGTTCACTATGGCGAGAGTATCAGTGTGCTTTTCCAGTACGACTAGAAGAGAGGTTGAAGACTAGATCGACGAATGGAGTTTCGACATTTCCGAAGCCGTGTTTCCAGATGCCAGAAGCCGATCTCGTTGCAAACCAAAGAACCCGAAATCATCCGAGATCGACCCCGTCAGCCATGTTCGAGTGCCATATCCACGACCTTCCGGCTTGCCTCAGCTGCAACACCTATTTCGTTCGACTTTGCAGATTAGTCGAATGCCATATATTGCAAGAGGCAGAGGCAGTCACGAACACGACAAAACACCAAAAACAGCATCAAAACCCCAGAACCCAACAAAGAAGTGCCTTGGACCAAGTGCTGGAGAGGTCTTCCATCCACGAACGGCGTTACAAGGAAAGGACCTTTTGCATTTGCCATCGAAAAGATCTTACCAGAAATCTTGCATCCTGGGAGGTTCAACTGTTTGATTTCTTCGATACACTGCTTGCTGCCATTCCGAGGGCGACGCGCCCGCTACATACCGCTGCCGTTGATTACATCTGGTACAGAACGATGACAGTCGGATTGCAGGGTGTCTACGAGATATAGATCAGTCTCAGGTAGAACTAATACAAGATATCGCCTGAAGCTCCTCGTGGTTTCCCCACACGCATCTACCCACAGCACTTGCTGTGCTCGAGGTGTACTTCGGCTCATAACAAGCTGACCATGTCAACATGACGGTGTACTAACTACTGCTGCATACTTGACCGGAGCCTCAGCCACTGGGTCAGTGAGGCGTGCATTAACCGACAAGCACCATTTTCGGACATCAGCATCCAGGATTCCCCATGTGTTTCTGTTTGCTACATGAATACGAATTGAGGTCACACAGTCCCCCGATCCTTGTGAAACTCTTTCTCCAGGTGGTGGGGTCGGAACTGGTAGTGGGGTCAAACTCCTGCGTCGTAGTATTGCTGACCAACCGTCGTGGTGGAGTTACCGGTGTCAGGGCAGAACGTGCATCTGGGTGCTGACATGAGGCCGTTGCATGATGATCGTGAACTACTCTGCAATTCCATGAATGTGTAGCGATGCTAGTAGTGGTGTCACTCTCGCAGTGCTGATATCGATTACAATAAGCCCGCTCTTGGCTTGCTGGCCTCACTGTCGCCGAGGCGCTACCTAAGGTAGGTACTATCAGACCGACCCCAATTGGGGTTGCTAGGCATATCTCACCTTTTATCCCGTAGTGCTTTCGTCTTTGCTTTGCAGACGGACGTCTTCACCGAAAAGTCTACGGTAAAGCCTACGGTATCTCACAGCAAGGAAGCAGCACAAATACTAGTATGGGCTCCCTATCACCCTCGCCCAAGGGCAGCATAACTCCATCTGATATCGACACCCTCCGCTCCCTGCTGTCAGGCACCTCGGCCACGCTCCTCACCCCCAACGACGGGGCGTCGTACGAAGCGAGCATACGCCGCTGGTCCAGAGCCGCCGAGAAACCCGCTGGCCTCGTCCTTGTCCCTGCGAGTGCCGAGGAAGTGTCCATCGCGCTCAAGTATGCTGGTGCCCAGAACCTCGACCTCGCGGTCAAAGGTGGCGGGCATTCGACGGCCGGTGTGAGCAGTACGAACGGAGGTTTACTTGTTGACCTCAATGCGAAGATGCGCAATGTCGAGGTCGACCTGGATCGGAAGTTGTTCAAGGTCCAGGGCGGTGCGACGTGGGGGGATGTCGACCAGGCGGGAGTAAAGCACGGGCTTGCGACGGTTGGAGGGACCGTGGCTGATACGTAAGTTTTCCTTTGCCTTTATCGAGATTTCCCATGCGAAAAGAGAAAGACCGAGCGTTTATGGCGGCGAGGCTGCGAGATGGTGTTTGTGAGCGTCGGCTTCAGCTTTTCTGAAAATGAAATGAAACGATGTAGCTTTTCTGTTCGGTTCGGTTCGGTCTGGGGTTCTGTGGGCTGACACAACATCATCAACATAACAGAGGCGTGGGCGGATTGGTTCTGGGTGGCGGGTACGGATGGCTCAGTGGACAACATGGCTTGTCGATTGACTGCCTTGTGGAGGCCACGGTCGTTCTTGCGACTGGAGAGATTGTCAAGGCCAGTGAAACGGAGAATCCGGATCTTTTCTGGGCGCTGCGAGGGGCTGGACAGAATTTCGGCGCGGTCACGGAATTCGTCCTGAAGGCGTTCGACCAGGGTGATGTTTGGGCCGGGTTGCTGATCTTCCCGCCCGTTCCGGAGTTGATTGAGAAGATTGTCGACGCTACGAACGAGTTGTACACGCCCGATGAGGTTTCTGGGAAGGGGGAGGGGAAGGGGAAAACGAAAGTCGCGGGCCATGGTGCTGGGGGCATTGCCATCGCCCGGCCTCCCCCGGCGGGTGGGCAGGTCATGATACTCGTGTCGATTATCTATTTCGGAACGGCAGAGGAGGCGAAGAGCATATACAAACCCCTTTATGATCTCGAGCCGGTCGTGGATACGACGGCCATGGTGCCGTATCCGACGGTCAACACGATCCTGGCGCCGCCGATCGGTCTGAGAGCGAGCATGAAGGGCGCGGCGTTCTCGATGCCGATCAGGACCGGGTTTGTGATGGAGGTGCTAGATAACTATGTCAAGTTCACCGAAGGGAATGACGATACGCATGTCAGTTTGATCTTGTGGGAGATTTATGATCCGGCGCAAGTGGTCGCGAGGGAGGAAGAGGGACAGGGTGGCAGTTTCGCGAATCGAGGGTGGCATCTTAACGGGTTGATCTGTCCGCTTTGGACTAAGACGGAGAATGATCAGGTCTGTCGGCAGTGGGCCAGGGAGATCAACGAGATGTTCAAGAAGGAGTTGGAGGCGCAGGGGAAGGAGACGGGGAGAGGTGTGGACGGTGGTGTTGGGTTGAGAGGGAAGAAGGGAGCTGTTTTGCTCTATGGGAATTATGATCGTAAGTGTTCCTGTCCTGTCCTGCTGGTCGTGAATTCAAGGGACGGCTCTTAACGAAGGTTAACAACGCATGACACAGAGTATGATGAGAGATCGAGAGATATCTTTGGCGAGAACTATGCTCGGCTTCAGGCGTTGAAGGCCCGGTACGATCCGACGAACATGTTCGACAAATTGTTTGCTATCGTGCCACAGGCTTGATGGTGATGGTACGGAGGTCGCTGCATTGGACGTAGAGTGGTCAGTGGGAATTGACGAAGACTTGATCGATGTTTATAGTATCACAGCATTTCAGGTTGTAGATGAGAGGTGTGTCTGCCTGCAACAAAGTCCATCGTCCCTTCAGTCCGATCGATGCTTTTATCTCCGTTCGCACGTCGATATTCGGCCCCGAAGCTACAGAAGTAGTACAATGCTCGAGATCAGTTTACAGCCTGAATAGCGGTGGTGACTCCTACACGACGTTTACAATGAAAGAATGCTCCCTTGGCCGATATATCCGAACTGGCCGCCTTCGCTCGGTCGAAGCAGGTCGGGTTGTTGTCCAGGCAGACACGTTTTCTCGCGCTTCGAGAGGTAGACCGGACAGTCCGTGGGCGTTGTGGACCACAGGGACTATGGGTCGACATGACATATATAAAGAACAGTAGAGACACAAATAAAACAGTCGTTCTTGTTGTTATACTATTACTCTCGGCCTTGCATCTTCTCGAGCCTACTAGTAGTCTGATCTGGCAGGCCGACCAGGATGGACTCCATCATCTCTCAAATCCGTTCGTTAGCAGAAGCCGCCGACGAGGCTGGCAGGCATAGCATCCTCGATGCTCTTCAACTCCTCCAATCTCAACTGGAGACACCGATGGACGTCCTCATGAAGTTGTACAATTCGGTAAGCCGAAATTTCCGTGGAAGCGGAAAATGGCATTCGTGCCAGCGCTGGTATACCATCTACAGTTTAGAACCCCTCGCTAATCGGTTTACACCACTTGTTCCAGCACGTTCAAACGGCCGTTATCTACGTGGCAGTCCAACTCGGCTTGTTCAAGCACCTCGCCGCAGACCCTTCATCGACCATTACCGTTGCTCAACTCGCCGATAAAACAGGCGCATCCCCACAACTGCTTCGTGAGTCTGATTTGAACTTCTTACGGCGTGCCCCCTGCCGCGTGCCCCTGCCTTGGGTGTCTAACTTCAACTCCTCCTCGTTCTAGAGCGAATCCTCCGTTACCTGTCTTCCACGGCATTCATCTCCAACCCTTCGCCGGACCATTACCAAGCCACCCAAGCAACACAATTTGTTGCTAGCCCCGTGGCTGATGCCGGTATGATTCATGCGTAAGTTCGTTGGCTTCCTTGTTTGCTCTCTGGCCGTTTCCATTGCACGCCTTGTTGAAATGGCCTAACCATGTCAGCTTCGACACATGCGGCCCCGCCACCAACGCTCTCCCGTCCTTCCTCGCCGACAACAACTATTCAGACATCACGTCTAACACGCACACTCCCTTCCAGAAGGGCCACAATACCGACCTGAGCGCGTTCCAATGGCTGGCGCAGCATCCCAAGAACTTCCACGCCTTGCAGGTAGTCATGACGGCATTGCAGTCTGCGGACTGGCTCAATGATTTGGACGTCCTCGACCAAGCCGCCACCAAAGTCGTGCAAGGATCGGAGAAAAAGCCATTCTTTGTCGACGTTGGTGGCGGCCATGGCCATCAGTGCAAGCAAGTGCTCGAAAAATTCCCGAATCTGCACGGGAGTCTTGTCCTGCAAGACCTGGCCCAGGCAGTCGATAAATTGCCGCCCATCGACGGTGTCAAGGTCATGGCGCAGAATTTCTTCGAGAAGCAAGCTGTGCAGGGTAAGTCTTTCGTCTCCGTCTCTGTCTTACCTTTTGGTTTCGCCTGTCCTAAGGCGCATACGTATAGCAAGACTGACGGGGCGTCGTAGGCGCCAAATTTTACTACCTCCGTCGGATAATGCACGACTGGCCTGATGCCGAGTGCCTCACGATCCTGTCCCAGCTGGCCGAAGCGATGGACGGGGACTCGCGGATATTAATGGATGAAGTGGTCCTTCCAGACGCGAATGTGCCGTGGCAAGCGGCGATGCAGGATATATCGATGAACATCCAGTTCGGCGGCAAGGAGCGCACGCGGAGCGAGTGGCATAGTTTGATTGAGAAGTCGGGATTGGAGGTGGCTGATGTAAGGACATATAACGTTTCGTCGTGTGCTTCGGTGATTGTGCTGGAGAAGTAAGTAGAGATCAAACGCCAGTCGAGGGGTCTCGCTGTTGATTGATGTTGTTGGTTAGATAGATACCCACCTCACTTGTGGCCGTGCTGTTCTCGGTGACGGCGGCGTGTACTTCGTACTAGAGCAGTAGTTATCCCATCTCAACATGGAATGTGACTGGAGCGAAGAGTTCAAGCTGAATTCGGTGGTACATGAATGAATTCCTTACCTACCGGGTATCATATCATGTCATGGATAGCTGGATGCTTTGGGAGTGTACGAGTATCGTCAAGCGAGTCTGGTCGTACAGAGTCCGGACATTGAATTGCCAAGGTGAAGCTTGATGACAAAGACAGCTGGGTTCTGTGTGCACGTGACAAGGGTGCGCGCGTCGAGGGCTTCTGGAAATTGACATGGGTCTTTAGGTGGTCACGGGTGGTTCCTGGGTGGTCCTTGGGGTGGTCTTGGGGGTTCTTGCTTTAGCCCTGATAGGCGCTAAGCTGTAATTGGTGCCGCTTGATGATTGATTGTCTTAGGCATGGCGCGTCACGTTCCGCCGCCGGAAACTACAGAGACAGAAGCGATTTGGCACCCGCTGCCAGTTTCCTGCGCGTGCACCGTCCACCACCATCTGCGTCTGCATGTTGTGCTACATCAACTTTGCATACACAACCCCTATACCCTGTCAAAATTCTTCGAACTCGACAGTCGATTCAGACCTCAATATTGTCGCCAACACTGCAGCTCATGATCCGTTCCCACTCCGCCAATCGATCGCAAACCTTCGTCTGAGACCGCAATTTGTTCTGTTTACCACCCGCGCAGCCGGGTCAACACCCTCGACACTGATGCTTTCCTCCTGGCCCGATTGACAATCCTCGTCGAGATTTAAACATGGCGTTCGTCCTGACATTCCAAACCTCCACAACACAGCTAATCATGGATTCCAGTTCCGCCGCAGGCAGTAGCGGAGGGGGCAACAACATCAAAGGTGCGCACGAGTCGGCCAATCAATTAGACAGTCCTGTTAACGTACTCTCCAGTCGTTGCCCGCTTCCGGCCTCAGAACAAAGTCGAAGTCGCAAATGGAGGACAGCCGATTGTCCAGTTCATGGGCGAGGACACCTGCCAGGTCCAGGTTAGTCTGTCGTCCACCGAGCAAGCCAGGTACTGACCCTCTGCAGTCCTCCGAAACGAATGCTCCTTTCACCTTTGATCGGGTCTTCGACATGTCCTCTCAACAAGCCGACATTTTTGATTTCTCTATAAGATCTACTGTGGAAGATGTTATGAATGGTTACAATGGAACGGTCTTCGCCTACGGCCAGACGGGTGCGGGAAAGTCTTATACAATGATGGGTGACATGGACGACTCTCACAAGAAAGGTATAATACCGCGAATCACCGAGCAAATATTCGACGCTATCCTCGTCCACGGCTCCGCTCAGATCGAATACACGGTGGGAATATCCTATCTGGAAATCTACATGGAACGAATACGCGACTTGTTGAATCCAGTGATGGACAATCTGCCGATCAATGAAGGACCCAAAGGACCGTACGTCAAGGGTCTCCGGGAAATTTACGTCAACACGGTAGACGAGGTGTACACGGCGATGCATCTGGGTCAAAGAGCGAGAGTCACCGCGTCGACCAACATGAACTTGGAGTCTTCCCGGTCACACTCGATATTCTTGGTCACGATCAATCAGAAAGACGTCAACACGGGCTCACAGAAGAGTGGTATGCTTTATCTCGTGGATTTGGCGGGCTCAGAAAAGGTTGGCAAGACTGGTGCGAGTGGCCAAACGCTGGAAGAGGCGAAGAAGATCAACAAGAGTTTGAGCGCGCTCGGAATGGTCATCAATGCCTTGACGGACGGCAAATCCACCCATGTGCCGTACCGAGATTCCAAGTTGACCCGAATATTACAAGAAAGTTTGGGAGGTAATTCAAGGACGACTCTGATTATAAACTGTTCGCCTAGCAGTTACAATGATGCGGAAACTGTCAGCACCCTCCGGTTTGGTATGCGAGCGAAGACGATCAAGAATAAGGCAAAGATCAATGCAGAATTGAGCCCTGCCGAGCTGAAACGTCAACTCAAGATCGCCCAGAACCAAGCCATGTCATTCGAGAAGTACATTGCTTCACTGGATTCGGAACTGGCGTTGTGGAGAAAGGGAGAGACCGTCCCAAAAGAAAGATGGGTTCCGCCTTTAGCAGGCTCAAAAGGCGAATCGAGGACGCGACCAGAAACCCCGTCTCGTGCACCTTCAGACTTTCTCAGGTCAGAAACGCCCAGTCGGCCAGATTCTCGGATGGGTGAAAGATCCAGCACGCCCAGCATCATTCTTGAAAAAGACGAGCGTGAGGAGTTTCTACGAAGAGAGAATGAGTTGCAAGATCAACTTACGGAGAAGGAGACTCAAGCAGCGAATGCCGAGCGCAGTCTTCAAGAATTGCGGGAAGAACTCAAGTCATATAAAGAAGGAGCCCTACGGACCACCAAAGACAATGAAGCGATGGCTGATAGACTCAACAAGACAGAACTGGATCTGCAGAAACTGAGCTATCAGAGCAAGGAAGATGCAATCACGATGGAGGGCTTGAAAGATGCAAATGCCGAACTGGAGGCCGAGCTCATCTCCGTCAAACAACAATTGTTGGAGCTCAAGATGAGTGCCAAAGAGACCACCGCAGCACTTGACGAGAAAGACCGAAAGAAGAAAGAGAAGATGGCCAAAATGATGGCCGGCTTTGATCTCGGAGACAATGCCTTTTCTGAGAATGAGGCTCGTATGCGAGATATGTTGGATCAAGTCGAGTCGCTGCACGCCGCCAGCTTGAGCGGCGAGAAGGTGTCTTCAGAGGTACTCGACGATTTGAGGACCAAATTGCTGGAGTCCAGGGACCTGGTCCGGCAAGCCGAGACATCTTTGAACGACCGTGCAGAACACGAGCACGGGGAGCGAACAATTGCTCTCGAGGACAGATTGACAGCTGTTCAACAAGACTACGAGGACTTGTTAACTCGCAACCTGAGTCCAGAAGATGTGGAGGATGTCAAGGCCCGGCTAGAGCAACTATACTCCGACCGCAAAGAGACACAAACGGAATTAGTGCATGATCTGAAGGACCAATTAGCTCACAAATCGCAAGAGATTGAAAAACTGGAAAAATCAATCGCCGATCTCCAGGCTCGAGGAGTCGCAAATGGGGCGCCAAATGGAGTTGCCAACAAGGGCATACAGCAGCAGATGGCCGAGTTTGATCAGATGAAGAAGAACCTGATGCGAGACCTACAGAACCGATGCGAGCGGGTTGTGGAGCTTGAAATCTCGCTCGACGAGACCCGAGAACAATACAACAATGTCCTGAGGTCCAGCAACAACCGCCAACAGCAGAAGAAGATGGCCTTTTTGGAGCGCAATCTCGAGCAGCTCACCGTCGTGCAGAGACAGCTTGTGGACCAGAATACGAGCCTGAAGAAGGAAGTCGCCATTGCAGAGCGAAAGCTGATTGCGAGGAATGAGCGAATCTTGAGTCTGGAGAGTTTGCTGAGCGATAGCCAGGATAAGTTGACAGCAGCAAACCACCGGTACGTATTGATCACGGCTGTATCCATATCTGGTGCTGACCATTGTTATTTCAGGTTCGAACAACAACTTGCTGCAGTCAAGGAACGTCTGGAAGCCGCAAAGGTGTCCTCGAGAAATATGGCGGCGGGCGGACCAGGCGCGACAGGTGGCTTCAACTCACTTATGAACGCTGGAGCTAGGATAGCGAAACCCCTCCGCGGAGGAGGTGGCGCACCAACAAATCTAGATGGTGCCAACGGTGCCGCTACGCTGCCCATCATCTCTAGCTTGACGGGCTCGGATGGTGGGAACAAGCGAAGCAGCTGGTTCTTCAACACGGGTCGATGATGAGGTGCTCAGATTCCCACGACGTATTGATTGCTGAGGAGGCCAACACCAGTCGGTCATTGCTTTGCCATTAGAATCTGAGTTGGTCTCAAGCGCATATTAGACCGAAGCGGGAGTGGATGTTTGATAAAGCCTGAATGATTGACTGACTTGAAGCCGATTTATGCATAATGAGCGATGGATACCACTTTCTGGAGTTTCGGTTTGAAGCTGACAGGATAGATAGGTAGCTGCATCAGACATTCCAGAGACCTCCCTCCTCTACTGTGTATACCTAGACTTGGATCCATATATCTGGTGTACCCTGGGCAGGATATCGACATGAATGATTACATACATAGTAACCAGCAACCTCGGCACTCCTTGTCCTTCTCCGCATCCACCCACCAGACGGATACGCGTGTATCTATCACGACATCCTGCCAAAGGAGTTGACTAATGCAGCAACGCTTGACCCAGGTAAGACTACCAACTGTGCTTTATAAGTAAAAGAGAAATCCTCCGGTGGCACTACCTTTGAGTGTCTTTACTCTATCAATCACTCCATCCTACACAGCAACTTCTCACAATGGCGGCTGCTCAGACGACCCGATCGCTCTACAGCTCCCTGGGCTTGACACACCACGTCAGCAAGACGTCCTCGGGGTCCGAAGTCCACAGCTACATCTCGGATCTGGGCCCAGATGTGCCTATATTGACCTTGATCCACGGATATCCTCAATCTGCATATGAGTAAGTGTGCATCACATCACCTACTACATACAAAGTCCGGATCGTGTTTCCAAGCCGCTCTCTAACCTTCAACCGTGATCAACAGATGGCGTCGAGTGAGTGTGGTTTGCCAGATGGAAAATACCCTTTTTTCATGGATTTCAGCCTCGTCTTCGGTGATGACCATTGATGATGGAGACTCACTTTCTGATACGATTGGCGATCAATAGGTTGTCCCTGCGCTGAAGGACAGAGTCTCGCTCTTTGTGCCAGAGGTAGGTAGTCTCTGCCGAATACCAACTCGAGACGCACTCAAGACTGATGTCTGTAGCTCCCCGGCTACGGCATCTCAACGCCCATCAAAGACAAAGACGCCAACACGAAACGGTCCGTCGGCGGTGCTCTGCTCGAAGCACTCTCTTCAGCCTTCGAGACGAACACGAACACGAACACGAGTTCGACTGCTTCTTCCACAGCAGCCGCAGCCGCAGCGCCCCGAAAAGTCATCCTAGGCGGCCACGACCGCGGCGCACGGATCTGTCACCGTCTTGCCGTCGACTTTTTGCACCCTTCCGAGGCGTCGTCCGTCTCCATCTACTCAAAGCTCAATCTCACCGTGATCGGCACCGTGCTGCTGGACATCATCCCCACGCTCGAGCAATGGCGCGCCTTCGCGGACCCGGCCATCTGTCAGGGGTATTTTCACTGGCCATTACTCGCCAACGCCGACGTCGCGGTGGACATGATCTCCGCGTACGGGGGCGCGAAATGGTGCCGGGCGGCGCACTTGCGTATTGGAGGACCCAACCCGTCTTCCATCGCCCGGATTTGCGCGGATAATGCCCTGGACGTGTACGCCGAGCTCTTCGACGCACCTGACACCTTGTACTACACGGCGCTGGACTATGCGGCTGGCGCGGCGCCGGAAGCGAACGAGCAAGAAGACGATCAAAAAGCGGATAGAAAAGTGGCGGTGCCGATTCTCGTCATGTTTTCGACGGCGAGACTCGGAGCGCGCATTGATGTCCAGGGCATCTGGAGGGGGTGGGTGGCGGAGGGCATCTTGACGGCGCAGGATTATGAAGGGTACGGCGTGGGCGAGGGGTATGGACATTATCTGCCGGAAGAGGCGTATGAGATTGTGTGTCCGAAGATTGAAGAGTTTATCAAGACCGTTTCAAAGAAGAAGGTGGATTGAAATAACGTAGTATACGTCAGGTAGGTACGCATGTACGTAGTACATCGGCCGCGTCCTGCTTGGTGGGCATTTGGAATATTCGTCAATACTATGTTATGTACCTTAGATAAATACCGACGTACCTCGGTCGTCCTGGTAGACAGGTCACGAAAAGTTGATGCTAGTATAACTGCTTCGTTGCGCTCATCAGGCGTCATACAATGCCCAACTTCTCAAGCACCTTGGCAACACCGACAGCCTTCTCCTCGCCAAACCGGCCCGTGACGATCTGGATGTTCACGGGCAACCCCTGCACCAGTCCGTCGTCCCAGAGCTCCTTGTACATGTTATAATTGAACTCATCCGGATACCCTCTGGTACTGCCCGCATGGCTCTTCCAGTCTTCATCCGTGTTGGGATCGTCGAGCACCTTATCCACATTGCCGACGGGCATGGTGAGCACACTGTAATCCAACAGGTTCCACAGCGCCGTGTATCCGACGTACTGCTGACTCTTGACCCAGACCTTGGGCCGCATGCCGACCCAGGGGGTCACGGGCATGATGAGCGCGTCGATCCCGCTCTCCCTCCACTTGTCCAGGTACTGCCTCTTGTACTCCCAGATGGCGTCGGCCAGGTCCATCCTCTCTTGGTGGTCGAGCAGGGTCTCGTGCGTGCCGACCAGCATGCCCTGGATAAGCGGCTCGTCGACCATCTTGCACAACGACTCGAACCGTTTGCCGCCGTCCGCCAGCACGGCCCGCACCCACAGCTCATAGTACGCCTGCACATGGCCCGAGGCATCCCACTGCACGACGTCGTGGCCGCTCTGTCTCAGCCGCTCCACGACATCGTGTACGGCGCGCTGGATCGGCGGGTGCGGCTTGACACCGCCGTCGTCCACGATGTAACCGATGCGCAAGCACTCCTTCTCTTGGATCTGTTCGTCGAGCCACCGGCGCCAGGGGAGGGGCAGGATCGTCGGGTCCGTGGTCCAGGGCTCCAGACTCGCATACGCCTCCATGAACAGCTCCACCGAGCCGAGACTGTTGCTCATGGGCCCCGCGACGGGCCTGACGATGTACTTCTGGTCGCGCGCGGACTCTCGATACGGCACGCGGCCCACGCTCGGACACAAGCCGTACAGGCCCTGCAAGGCCGCGGGGATGCGTATGCTCCCGCCAATGTCCGTGCCTATGCCGAGCACACTGCCCCTGGCGCCGACGAGCGCGCCCTCGCCACCGGAACTGCCCCCGGAAATGAGCTCCCTGCGCAGCGCGTTGACGCTTTGCCCCCACACGTGGTTGTAGCTGTCGCTCATCATGAGGCTCTGCGGGATGTTGGTTTTGCAGTACACTATGGCTCCCAGGGAGCGGTATTGCTGGACGGTGAGTTCGTCGTCGGGTGCGGGCCGGCCGATGTTGCCGACCCAGCCGACCGTCGTGTCGTGGCCGCGGACTTGGTGCGTGTCTTTGAGGCTGAGGGGGATGCCATGTCTGATGAGACGAAGTCGTCGTTAGCCATTGGCAAAGAAGGAAGGTAAAGGAGAAGGTGTGTCGTGGAAGAGGGACAAAGACCCGAATGAACTTGGTCTCGAGACTTACAAAGGCCCGACGAACTCGCCGGTGTCGGCGTACCATCTGTCCAGATCGCGGGCCTGAGAAAGCGCCTCTTCGAACATGAGCTCCGTGCAGCAGTTGATAAGCTGTGTGGCGAGGGCGGCGCGCTTGCAGAAGGCGCGGACGACGGCTTCGCACGTCCAAGAGCCGTCTTCGTAGCGCCGGAGCTGTAAATCATCTCGGTTGTCAGTCTTGTGTGTCAGAGTTAAGCCAGGGCGAAGAGTAGATGGGGCACGAGGAAACGAAAGCAAGGACTGTACCCAGAGTCCAGGAAGTTTATGAAACCCTTGTATATCGTTTGCGCGCGTTTCATGAAGAAAAGGAAGGAAATTCAAGACTTCACCAGGACAATGCAAGGGTTTAAACAGTTCAACAAAGGGTCTGTGACATGTCTCGGTTGACGGTGACCGCTCGAAAGGCAGATACCAGAGATTCAACCACCGGGTGAGAGTAGCTTACAATTTTGCGGGCGCCGATTGTCGAGGTGATTTCAAGTTCGGGTGGCGTGAGTAGACCGGAGCGCTCAATTACGTACCTGCTGTCCTGTGGGACGACCGTATTAGTATTAAAGATCTCGATACTGAAGGGTATGTGGAGGGTAGTTGAGAAAATGAGCTGGCTTCCATTCCAGGGGAATGGGTGTGTTTGAGCAATGGTAGGTAAACACCGCTCCTCGAGGACACACATCGTGAGTCGAGTCTAGGCTGAGATCGCATAATGTATTGATTTGTCCTCGACAGAGACGTCATGAGGATTCCGAGCAGCCAGAGACCAAGTCGGACAGAATTGAGGAGCGCAGTCAGCGTACCTTGAAGTCCGGCGGGATGGATTTCAATCGCCATTCCTCGGGGATCGCGGAAAGTTGCGCCTGGCGACGGCGCTGAGCCGTTTCTTTCCAGTGCGGGATGGAGCCCATGGCGTCTCGTCTCGACTCACGCGCGGCTTTTTTTGAGGAATAGCTGGTACAGAAATATAGATGGCTGTGGTGGTGGTGGTGGTGATTGTTCTCGCTAGCTTGGAGATAGCGATGCAAGGCAACGCTGTGCACGACGACGAGCTAGAACAGTTGTGAACCTCGTGGCACGACTGACGTGGGACGGCCGTCGGCAACAGGAAGCCTTGGGCGGGGCCGTGACGACAGTGTCCAGATCGTGGGTGTGTGCACTGTGCGTACAGTAATTCGTGAAGATCTTCGACCGAGGACAAGCTGTCAAAAGGACTAGAGTAGATATATCTGGATAGAGGTGGGTCTTGTTCAATGGCCAAGATGGACAATGGATTGACTCCACGTAAGATCTTATCTTTGCATGCCATACATGCGTGGTACTCCATCTGTGACTCGATGATCGATGCAGGTATCAGACCACCGGGCCTAGACATGCATACAACGAATGCTTGGTCTCAAGATATATATGTACATATATACGGGACACCCCGTTCGACTATTATTGCTGAGAAACACTCGGTAATCTCTGGCATATTCGGTGTTCGCCTTCACTCTCCTGGTCTGGTGCGTTCATCGTGACGAGCAAGTCCAGCAAAAACAGAGAGGAGTATATCATCAATCATTATGTGAAACCGTCACAGATGTCTCTATCAGCCCAGGAGGGTTGTGCTGGTCCTTTTCTCCTCGCGCTACATGACTTCAAGGCGACCTCTCCACGGCAGTCCATCTTCTTTTGCCAGGACTTCGTGCCCTGTTAATAGACTCACCACCCCAAAGTCCACGTTGACTGGCACTTCGAACAGGAAGCTTGTCGGCTTGCCAATTCTCTTCTGGAGTACTCTCCGAAGTGCTGCCAGTCTGCACACTAAGGCTTATACCGGTATCGCTGGAATCAGCGGTCTCGTCTCTGGAATAACGACTCCCTCGTCGCCACAAGCCCGTCGGAGCTTCATCATTGGTCCCGCCATCAGCGACATGTGATCTCTGACTTTGACTTCTAGCCAGAGCCGAAGCACTGGAGCCACGATGATGAGACAGCGACTCTCCGAGGGTCAGACCCTCTGGTGAATCTGCTCCTACCGCACGACGATTCGCAAATGCTGGTGACTTGCCGAGTCGTGGCGAATTCAGACCCAATGGATTCGACCCAGCACGGAGGTGTTCAGTGGAGGCAACGATTCTCATCTCGTACTCATCGGAGACGCTGAGGTCCAGAGATCCTCGCCGTCTGGTGGGAGATATAGGAGACCGTTCTTTCTCTGGACTTTGAGACCTTACCGCCATGGTCAATGAAGCAGTGGCGACATCATGCAGAGCAGGAGCCCCAGTAAGGATCCTGATGAGCGCATTGCAGCCTGCTTGATGGGTGACTAGGACGAGAACCAAGTCTTCTTCGTCTTTGTCGGAACTGTTACGCTCCTTAGCTGCTGCTTGTGATTCATAAAATTCGATCATTTTCTGCAGGCCGTTGCGAAATCGTCGATGCATACTTCCCCATTCTTCGTCAAAAGGACCACCGTCACCCCATTCGAGAGGTTTGCCCTCACTATCCCAATCCTGATCGATGATCACACATCCATCCCGGGCATGAGCAACATACCCAGGGGGAATCTTGTCGGAGGGGCCCATGGCATACGTCGGCGCAGGTGGACTATAACCCAAAGGCTGTCTTTGGAGATTCCTGTTTAGTAACTTGGCGCCGTTTGCAAGTTCTGTACCAAAGGAGATGTTGCGTGGTCGTTTGGGGAAGGAATGGCCCGCAGCTGCCATCGCCCTCAATCCTGTCTTCTCATGGACAGGCACAGACGCAACCTCGTTTTCTTTCTCCTCCCAGTCCATTGACGGCAGATCGTAGGTCATTGACGGAGACAGGTCGGCTCCCTTGATCTCTTCTTGTGGCAATTGCAACTCCATCTTGGCTTGTGAGACCAGGACTGCCGAAGGCGGAGGCAGCTCCGACTCGAAGTATGTTCGAGACTGCCATTCTCCCAGGAATGCGTCGATTCTCAAGAGACACGTATTATGCCCTAAGCGATTTGTTTGTGGCGGCTCACGACTGACGGTGCGCTGCAGGGAGGAGTTTTCGGGTTCATGAGGGTCGGTTAGTGCGCTGGGGGCCTCATCTGTGGTTGAAAGACTTGTTCGAGAGGAATGCTGCCGCGGCCTCGGACGAGGACGTGTATGATTCTGTGGATGCTGTATACCTGCACTGATAGCGATGGCAGTCTGGACGCACCGGAGGTAGGGAGAGGAATGGATAATTATCTTGCGTCTCTTGCGGGGAGACTCCTGGGTCGAATCGTCCTTGTTCTCTGCGCTTTGCTTGTACGGTGTATCTAGATTATGTAGCTCATTATTGATCCTCGCTCCCAGCGTTTGCGACTGAATCCATCCGCCATAAGATAGAGGAGTATCGTAGGGTTTCTCTGCTGTCGTGAGCCAGTTTCGGTCGGCTTGATCGAGACGTGCGCCATGCCTGTAGAGTAGAGTTAGTTGCGGATGGGCTTGTGGAGCCGTGGGAGAGCGCACCTAGTAATGATGATGACCGCAGGCTGTTTTCCCATGGTTCAGGATATGTCACTTTGTGCAGTCGCAAGAGTTCATATACCGCCAAAGATGTCCAGCACAGTATGAAGTACTCCGTATGCGGGGGGATATTGGTCGCAAGCGCACACTTCGGGCACATCTACAAGAAAAGGTCATGGAATGCGACAGGTGAGACACCGAGAAGGGCGCATCTTGTACAGGGGATCTGGCAACAAGTGTTTCTGGACAGCATACACAAAGCAGCCTGTGGTTAAGGCCGGTCAGCGTTGTTCTGGAAAAATGAAGTCAGTGACGGTCAGTGCAACGGGACCCCATAAAATCTTGGGTGACGATGGTGGATGGTGAATGGTGAGCAAGTGAGCGCAGGTTGTCGTCGGTCCGCATGCCCATTTCGTCGTTGGGCCGCTTAACTGAAGCACTTGAAAGTCCCTATCACCCACCGAGCCACCTATAAGTGCGTCTATCTTCCTTCAACCCTTAGGTACGGTTAGTGAGATTCATGTGGGCGGTTCACAGCTCAACGTTCTCATCCAGATTGATGGCTTGCTCTTCAGGATGAAGAAGTGCGTGCGCCGACTGCACACCAGAATAACTCGAGATCTACCAAGTGTGATACCGCTGGCTTTATACTATATACTCCGTACGCCCATAGATGCTACGACCGCCGAGAATGCTATCATCAGCCAGTGCCGCTGCGATTGAGCTATTCCAGAGAAAGAGTCTGGAATTCTGTGTGCTGGTCGAGAGAACAAATGGACAGAGGAGAGTATCACGCGATGTCTCACAACATTCATAACTCTTGAGTCTGGCAATCCATGAATCCATGAACACTGTGCAGGCGTGCACAATTGCCAACGCGGCCTCAGATGTCGGGATCCCAAGTATTATCTCGACGTGCAGGCTATGAGTCAGGTTTCAACCCATCCACAATCATGATATCAGTCGGCGCATTTTCCGCTTTTGAAGTGTCCGTCACCGGCAATCTCGTTTCAAGATTTGATCCCCAAAACAACCTTGGAAGGATCTGTGCAATAAGGCGAACGGTACTCCGCAGTCAAGGCCTGATGACCAATTCAGCTGGACTGGAAGGGTGGACTTTCAATCAAAGCATCAATGAATCGCGGATTCAAGGCAAATATAGCCGATGAATTGCGGTCAGAGAAATCCGGTATCGTTCACAGCGAGGAAAGAGGAGAACAAGATTGGATGGTGAGGTGGTAGCGTGCCTTTACAGTTCCTAGGTAAGGACTGGTGGACCGAAGCTGCGCCATGTCCATGTGCCTCTTGGGCTGTTTCATGCTCAAAGATCTCTACCCCAGTCTTCCCAAGGTACAAGTGCTTGTACTACTACATGGTAGGCGAGGAGGGATCAACCGCACGGCCACTTGATCAACCAATGGTCAGCCGATGGTCAATCCCGATTCCCCATGCTGGCTTCCACCCTCGAACCTCACCGTCTTCAGGCGTGTCCTCGAGGCATACACAAAGGACGAGGGTTTGCCAAAGACTTCCACAGCAGCAAGCCAATCACCTGCTACAATCAGCTGTTACACGAAAGCATTCTCGCGACCATGATGACAGTCGCGTTTCCCCTCGAACTGTCTTTTTGTTCGCTGTCGTTTCAGCCACCCCTGGTTCGACGCTCCACTAGCCCCGTCAACAGCAATGCACGCCAGTTCCTGACTATCGTCGCCATGATGGGCGGTGGCTTGTCGCCTCTGGCCAATTGTACCCGTCCATCTCAATCTGCCCCTTGCAGGCTGCCTTTCTTTGTCTCGTTTCAGGACTGCCCAAGTCTCCCGAGGCCCGTCTCCGCCTAGCCTCGCTCCTCGTAACGGGCTTTTGGGTGTCCATCTTGAACACTTGTTCCTCGCTCATCGTTGATGTCGTTATTCGTGCCGTCGGGATCTCTGTGCTATCGAAGAACATTGTACCGCCATCTGTTGACCACACCTTTGCGACAGGTGATGGTCACCGGGACTCGACTATCGAGGTCTTTCCGGTCTCTCGAGTGACCGTCATGCAGACAGCTTCACAAACACGATGCAGCCATCAAATGCGATCCTATGACGCTGCTTCATACGAACCATTACTATATCCGGATGTGCAGCCAGGTTGTTTCTATCTCCCCTGCAAGCCATTCCACCATCCTACATTTTTAGGCTGAGAGCTAGCAGTATTCAGACCTTCCATTAACGTTGTCTGGTCCGTCAGTCCACGATTCGACTTGTGACTGGCCCCCAGCATCCAGCCTGGAGGGCACAAAGATCCCAATCAGGATCCACCTGCTAACAACCATCGTCGAAACTCTCTCTTTCTGCATCCCTCACGATCCCCTCCACCTTCTGGGAGCTGGCCAGCTTGTCCAGCATCTTCCCTGTTGCCACTTGCTCTTTTTCCTTTCTTTTCCTTCTGTGCGTCCACTTCAACACCATCTACTCCGTACCGACCCTGCTTGTCGTTTGTCGTTCTTTTCGGTGTTTCCCCGACTGCAGCAAGCCCTGCACTTCGATTTGTCCCTCCTTATACTCGCATTTCGTCCTCAACATCTGACACATCCCTTACTTCGGCCGGCTTCCAAATACATTCAACAATCACAGCCACCTTCCTGGTCCTGACCGCCGGATTGAGACGTACCAAGATACAAGAAACTGAGTTTGCTCGTGGTGTCTCGGAATATCGACCGCTCCAAGTCAGCACCCATCAAAAAAGCTGTCAACCGGCCGTCAAAGCTTTTCGCGCCCGACACGAAAAACTTGTACCACTGCCTGTCTCCATACTTGCCTTCGTGCTTGACGGCCGTCGATGCAACACGTTCGGGGTATATCTCCTCAGCATTGACCATCCGGCAGACTCTTCCGTACTCTCTTCTCGACACCCTTCTTTATCAGCACAAGCCACTTCCCGAGCGACTCGATGCTGCTCAGATCCATCTCTTAGCATCTTTCTTCATGACGACGCTTTTTGACAACACTGGTCTACCGCTTTGGGTGTACATCGTCCTCATCGTTGTCGGTTCAACCCTCTTGCTTGTCATTGTTGCCCTGCTTTTACGATGGTGGTACCTACGACGGCGAAGGGTGCCACACCGCGGCCTCGACAATCTTACAGGCGCCACCCGCAGAGTTACGCTCCGGAGAGGACGGGTGGTGCCGACCTCTCAACATCTGTCTCTCACCGGGTCCAAATTCGGTGTCAGACAATTTGGACTGCTCGGTGACAATGAATCTGCCATGACTGGAAGGAGGAGTCCTTTCGAGTGGTGGAACACCATCATGGCGGAGAGGTCGCACTCTCGGCTGGACCAGATGTCGCAAATAGAGACCGGTTCTCTAATGAGTCGCTCCGCGTCCAGAGGTACTACAAGACGAGAACTCCGTTCAACAACACCTAATCAAACTCCGGAAAAGAACAAGGAAGCCGCGTCAAGTACGTGGGAAGTCACACCACCTTCGCCGTCGCTCAGTCCATCACCTTCGACGCGGAGGACGACCGTCAACTTCTCCAGAGCCTTTTTGTCTCAGACGCCTTCCTCGCCATTGACACAGCGATCACAACACACTCTTTCACGAATCTCAGAGAGATCCCCTCATCAATCAATGATTAGCATGAATCCTCGAGAATCATTGACGACCCGATATTCACATCAAGCCGCCCTCAATCCTCTTGACAGCACACCTCGGCACGGCCATGCCCAATCTAGCCCTACCACTGCTCGACGACCATCCCATCTTGCCCTACCATCATCCAACGTTCCGTCTACTCCCAGATCTCCAACCTTTTCTGCGTATCGTTCCAGTCCGCTATCAACGCCGCCCCTCGCGCAGGACGCCGACACATTTCGTACTTCAGCGACCTTGACGCGACCAATCACGTCCACGCAAACAGCAATACCGCCTCGACCACGTACTGCCGACGCCGCGACATCGAGGCGGTTTGACCTCCTACCGACTCGTCAGCATGCCGTTCTAACGCCGGACATCCCTGCGCCGAAGCCGGTGGTATATCCTGCCTTCAACTCAATATCTGGCAAACAACCACAGCCATTCTTGTACCGACAGCCGAGCAAGTCCCAACCAGATCTCACCACACGCAGGTCCGTAGTATACACAGCGCGGGGTGATAATGGTACGCCGTCTCCCTCGACACCGAACTCGACCTCTGCAGTCGGTCCGAGCGGGATCGTGTACGACTCGCAAGTTTCCAGCTATTGGCCCACACCGCTCGACGTGCAGGATCTTTCTTCAACGCTCGGCTATGACGATTACAAGGGCTCCAATCATGCCGACCGCACCACCCGTGGTGGTGAACGGGAGAGCATCATGGGTATCGTGACGGTCCCTGGAAAGCATGACACCAGGGTTCTCAGGAAGAAGTCTCTGAAGCGACTGCCCAAGGCCACCTCGATGGCTGTGTGAGATCTATGATTGGGTTGAACAAAAGTGCAGCGCACTTACGAACGAATTTATTACGACAAGACTGGAAAGCGATACATGCTGCGAGGAATCATTTGATCCTTGACAGCAGTAGCGACAACGGCATACGACGAGATTTTTTGATTGTACCGAATGCAACACAACAAAGGGTCTGTGACTCTTACTCACTTTTTTTAATTGTGCTTGGAACATAGGAAGTCCAGACGCGCAATTTTTTGCTTGTTCTTCAACTATAGTACATACTTGCCAAAGGAGCGAGCGCTCTATTTTTATTTATTCTCACTTGAACGGCTTGTCTTGTTTCCTCTACATCGATAGAGGGGCCAGCGGTTAGGTGCGACGTGGGATACAGCCTGTCTCACCCCGCAACCCCTCGGAGAGCTCGGGATGTGATAGGAGAGGAGGCTTTCAATGTGGAAGACAGATTTGACGACTGCGGTCGCAGATGAGAGAAATGCTACAAGACTAGCTGGGAAGGAGACCTACTGCATAGTAGATACCTCATCACACATAGCCCAATGGAGAATAATATTCCCTAAAATACCGGTACGAGAAGAGTCTTTGGCTTCGTCTTGATGCAGTACTGCCATTGTTGTTTTCATAAAGCAGGCCCGAATGTGAGAGCCGTACAGTCGATTCTCTCAAAATGTGGAGCTTTGCTGTTCGAGATATTCATACAACGCCGTCGCTATGCTCCCACGTCTCCCATTCCCCGCCTAGTGAGTTCACTCCTCTTGCTGTTCCTCATCGCAGACGACCTCCGCAGGGCCTGCTTTTCATAGACAAGCATCCGCCACTTCTTCCGCCTTCTTCACCGTCCTTTTGACCCTCCAGACATTCATTTTTGGTTATTCGTTTCACTTGCCTCTCTCTGTTGGCACATGTGGTTGATTTGGCCGACCTCCGACCTTGGATAGCTTTACTCGACACTCGCGATCCTTTGCACGACCATCGCCGTAGCCGCACCGCCGCCATTGCAAATGGCTGCAACGCCATACTCGCCCGGCTTCAACTGATGCAACAAAGTCGTCAAGATCCGTGAGCCAGAACTGCCCAGAGCATGGCCCAAGGAGATGGCACCGCCGAGCAGATTGACCTTTGCGTTTTCGAGGCCGAGAATCTGTCAACCCCTCGATTAGCCATGACCAGTCCGTGTTCAACCTCTCTGGGTGTCGACTTACCTGTTCATTGGCTTTGATGACGGCCGCAAAGGCCTCATTGAACTCCCAAATCGCGATGTCCTCTTTCTTCAGCCCGGCCCTTTCCAGCGCAATCGGCACAGCCTTCGCCGGAGCCACGGGGAAATCGACCGGATCAATGGCCGCGTCGGCGCTGCTCACGATCCTCGCGAGGACCCTGCTCTCCTTACCGTATTGCATGGCGAGCTCCTTGTTCGCCAGAACCAAAGCGCTCGCCCCGTCATTGAACGTGCTGCTGTTGGCCGCCGTCACCGAACCGCCTTCCTTCACGAACGCCGGCTTCAGTGTGCCGACCTTATCTTTCCTGAGGTTATTATAGCCCTCGTCCTCCTTGACAACGGTATCCCCCTTCTTGGACTTCACTGTGACAGGCACGATCTCGTCGTCGAACTTGCCCTCTTTCCAGGCCGCCTGTGCGCGCTCGAAGCTGCGGATCGCATACTCGTCCTGCGCCTGCCTCGAGACGTTGTACTTCTTCGCCGTGTTCTCCGCACAGTTGCCCATGTGGAACTGGTTGTACACGTCCCACAGCCCGTCCTCGATCAAGCCGTCCTTCATGCTCACGTGGCCGAACGGAGGCTGTTGTGCAGCACGCGACAGGTAGTACGGCACGCGCGACATGCTCTCCATGCCGCCTGCAACTTGGGCCTCGGCGAGGCCGAGCTGGATGTTCTGTGCGGCGAGGACGACGGCCTTGAGCCCCGAAGCACAGACTTTGTTGACCGTCACGGCCTCGACGGTCGGAGACAGGCCCGCGAAAATGGTGGCCTGACGGGCCGGGGCCTGGCCCATGCCTGCGCTGAGCACGTTGCCCATGTAAACGTCTGTGATCTTCTCAGTGGGGATGCGGGACTTTTCAATGGCGGACTTGATGGCCGCGGCGCCGAGTTGAGGCGCGGAGACGGTCAGGAAGGCGCCGTTGAATTTGGCCGTGGGCGTTCGTGCGGCGGAGAGAATGTATGCGTCCTGGACGCTCTGGCGGGCTGGCGAGATTGTGCTGAAATGGCTGCGCATCTGGGACAGACGGGCAGCGGAGGTAGAAGAGGCGCTGGTGGCGCGGGTGGCTGCGCGAGCAGCTGAGGAGGTCAGGGAAGGCATCTTGTTGTTGTTGTTGTCGTCGTCGTCGTCGGCGGTGGAGGAGGAGGAGGATGAAATAGAAGAAAGAGAACAGGAAGGAGTGGAAAGGGCAGAAGAAGGCCTGGAGGTTGAGGAAGCCAGCTTGAAGAACTGTCCGTCTGTCGGAAGCGAGGCCAAGGGTCTTTGTATTAGTATTAGTAGGGGCGGAATTTATGGCGAGGCCGAGCACATGCAGGGACCGGCTAGAAGCGGGGAATTGAAAGACGGAGAAGAGGATTGAGATGAGTATTCAAGGATAGAGAGAGATTCAGTCTGAGTGTCGAGTAGTCACGGAGACAGATACTATATGAGCTCTGATATGGACGCAATTGTCCTATATAAACACAGGCCCTATTCCCCCATGATGGAGTTCCGTAGAGAGACTGAGAAAAGAATCTCCCACGGAATGGGACGAAGAAATTCACATCCTCGGCTCCATGAATTTCGAAGTCGGAGAAGACCCGGGTCTCTTTAACTCGGACTGTGTAGACAACCTCTAACCTGAAAGGGCTAGCCCAAGTTCTCTCGCTGCTCTAACCACAATCAGAAACAATCGTCATTAAGTAAGGCAAAAAGCGGCAATGCTGCTTCATTCTGTCTTTGCGTGATTTCAAAACTGCGGCGAATCACTCGAACCTCGCGTGAGGTCAAGCAACTTCCCTTCCTTCTACCGACACAACTCTGCACTCATTGACATCTTTCTCTCTACCACGACACAACTACACGACCAAACATGTCGACTTCAGCAAGACGTCGCTTGATGCGAGACTTCAAGGTAAGTCGAGCCCACCAGCGTCTGCCCTCCGATAACACCCTCCACCTCCCGGAACCGAGTTTGCCCCCAACGGAACCGATACTGACACGCACACAATCCCTCACAGCGCATGCAGACAGACCCTCCAGCGGGTGTCTCTGCCTCTCCGATCGCAGACAATGTCATGACATGGTGAGCCTCTCCCACACTGACAACACACACACTCTCTCCCCAGGTTTCTCTCTTTTTGGGCAGGAGTGGTGTCTGATAACCCCGGCCCCATGCAGGAACGCAGTCATAATCGGCCCTGCCGATACACCTTTCGAAGACGGCACCTTCAGACTAGTCATGCAATTCGAAGAAGCATACCCTAACAAACCGCCGGGCGTCAAGTTTGTGTCACAGATGTTCCACCCCAACGTCTACGGCACGGGCGAGCTTTGTCTGGACATCCTGCAAAACCGATGGTCTCCCACGTACGACGTCGCAGCGATCTTGACAAGTATTCAGTCCCTACTGAACGATCCGAACACATCATCCCCCGCGAACGTCGAAGCAAGTAACTTGTACAAGGACAATCGGAAAGAGTACACCAAGAGAGTGAGGGAGACGGTGGAGAAGAGCTGGGAAGATTAAGCAGGAGCCGATTACCGATACATGTTACGGCCTGATATGACCACAATGACCGAAATTCAGCGATTGCATGGTATTGCGGGCTTGGTTGGCGTTTGGTTAGGACAGGATATCTTCCAAAGGCAGGACAGGGGAGTTTGGACTCTGTCATTTTGTGCTGTTGAGAAACCAGTTAAGGGGATTCAGTCGCCGTGGGGAAGTTGTCGAGCAAACGCCCTTCCATAGTATGGGTCTGCGATTCGATGCTAGGCGGAGTCAAGCATCTACGTGTTCCACGGACGATGAGAGGCATACTCAGAACAGCGAGTACGTTGCCGCAATATATGCCCTTATCTGAGCTCTATCTCAACGACAATTCGTCAATAACCGGTGAATGATGTATCAGTTTCCCTACCTAGTGATGATTTGACTTCGTGATAGACGCACACTTCTGGGCGATGGTCGAATCATCTGCAAAGGACCGAAACAGTGAATCGGAGCATTGGCATGAAGATCCATGGATCTGAACGAGTTTAATATTCCCACGACTGTGCAGAGACACCAACTGTGACTTGAAGGAGGAACGGTCGCTGATATTCATGAAATCGCCATCTCAGATCTGACCACGGACGCATTACCGCCATCTACACAGTATATCTCGCTAAATTGAGTCATCCTCACAACCCAGACGGTATTTCAGTTCGAGGTGGGGGAGCCTGCCCACCAACACACCATCCCATAGCATGACATATCACATGGCCGATGTCCAAGTCATGCTTTCCAGAGCAAAGCTGGACAAATGGGGCAAATGGAACATAGGTATCCAGTCCAGTCCAGTCCAGTCCAGTCCAGTTCAGTCCAGTTCAGGTCTAAGCCAACGCGCCCATAGGATCCCACAGCGGCAGTACCTTCGCCTTCCCACCCAGCACGTCTTTAACCTCCTTGCCCACGAACCCGGGGTCAACAACGACTTGATAAACAAACTCATCCATCCAACTGTCCGTCATGACGAAATACCCTTTCTCCCCCGCCGCCTCACCCCAAGAGTTCATAACCCTCCACCTCACGCTCTTCCCGCTCTCCGGATCAACCTGCACGCCCGTGAGGACCATGGCATGGGTCATGGCGCTCTCCCTCGCGCGTAGGCGTTGACTCTTACTCATGCCCAAGGTGATATTGAACGCGAGCCCATAGTCATACAGATTCGGGTCCATGACGCCACTGCCCGAGTTCGAGAACTTGCCCACATCACTGCCAAAGAAGACGGGCAAGCCGGCCTTGAGCATTTTGATGGCAGCCTTCTTCATCGTGTCCATGTCGACGTTGACATACGTCACGCCTCTCCCGCCGACGACGTTGCCCAGCCTCTCCACCGTCAACAACTGGTTATAACTGTTGCGCGGATCGTTGACCAGACTGAACAGTTCCGCCACGTCGGCATTGCCCAAACCGCGCACGACGCCCGGACTCGACATGTCACCCGCAAACTCCAGCGGCGTCTTGACCATCTTGTGATACTTGTCGTTCGCGTCGTAATACTCCCATGTGAACGTCTCATCCGGCTTCGGCGGCGGGCCGAGCATGAGCGTCAAGATCGTCTGCACTTCTTGCATCATCTTGGCCTTGACGCCTGCCAGATCCATTTCCTTCTTGCTCTTCTCCTTCTCGACCGAAGAAGAAGAACCACTGTTATCTTTAAGGGCATTCTTTCTCACAATATCCCTCAGTATCAGCCCGTCCTCGCGCAGCTTCGTCGTCAAGATACTCCCCATCGCCGAGCTGTTCATCGCATTGTAACTATCCGGGTACAACTTCTGCGGGACCAATCCGTACTTATCCACCAGGTTGGCCGCCATGTCCCACTGTCCACCGTCATTCACCGGCGCACTCAACAACTCCTGCACGATACGACTGTCCAACTCCTCTCCTTGCCGCGCGGTATCGATCATCTGCTCCAGGAACCAGTTCGCCTTCTCGAGCTTGTCCCAGAAAAACAGGTACGCCTGGGACAATTCAAAGTCTTTCAAGTTATATTTCTTCATGAGCGGCACGCGCAAGACGTTCGTCGTCGCGAAGAGCCAGCATCGACCCGAAGATCGTTGGTTCGTCACGGGAGACCCTTCAAAGGGAATCTTGATGTTGAACGTCTGTGTGTCTGGCAGGGTCAAGACTTTATTGGCAATCACGCTACGCACGTCGTTGGACAGCAGGGCGTTCAGGGCGAGTCGGTTCTTTGGGTCTGAGAGCAGGTGCTTCTCCCATTGCGTGGTCGTGGAGAGGGAGAGGCGTGGGTCGGTCGAATAGGTATGTGGGATGCCTTTTGCGGAGGAGACGTGGATGTACTCGGAGTCTTGCTCGAGGTCGAGTTGGCGGAGGTTCTGGATCTGTTGGACCAGGAGCTTCTCGACGGCCGGATCGGGCTTGCAGGCGGGGACTTGCCGGGGAGAAGACTGCGAGTTACCCATAATGGCGAGTGTCTGTAGAGATGACAATGGCAATAGCGATGCGGCAGGAGACACAGTTAAAGACAGGGAAGGCAACGCAGAACGGATTGAGAGATGCCTGATATGCGTTGGAATACCAGGTCGTGATGCTGGCCGATGCGGAGGAGTCCAAGTTCAAGTCCATCGATAAGGGATAAGGGCGCGTATCAGATGATCTCCACAGATACGGATTCCACTAGTTCTTCTTTCGGAAGCGAGGCCGTGGTCCTCAATATCACATTCAGCCTCGGCACGCAACGAGGCTCCGGTCTTCGGAGAGACGAATGAATTCCATATCAACCATTGGCATTTTCATTCATTCTTGCTACGAAGATCAAGTCTCTCTGTGACCAGGATGCGCAAGCTGTTTACCTTTCCAGATCTCTGCAATACCACTTTTGGCTTCAAAAACACACAAAAAAGGACCCCGCCCCGTCATTGTCAACTCCATGCTCCAATGCGCTTGAGATTTAGCAACGGTTTCTCAAGTCTCGCAAACTTCTGTCTGGTCTCCAAACCTCACTTCAATCAACAGCAGCATTGCTCTCCAAAGGTTGAGCTCCTCAGTCCCAGCCGCATCCTCTAGGTGTAGGTGTAGCCGAGTAACCACCACAGGAAGCGTCATCTCCACCCGCGTACTAGCCGTCGCTGTAATTACTGATGCTGCTTGAAACCCAGCCCTGGTTTGCTTTGGCATTGCCATTTCCCGAGAAGCCGTTGTTGCTTCCCGCAGCACCACCCAAACCAGACGCAGTTGGCTTGACTTCCTGATTGTTGTAGGGCCGGTCCGCGCATCCATCACACGAGCCCCAGCCACCGCAAGGACAATTCTTGTCTTCCTTTGCTCCAGCTGATGCGCCCCATGCGTTATCTTCCTTCTTCAATGCCTTCTGCTTGATATCCGTCCCAAGCTGCTCATGCCCCAACGCTGTTGTGGTCCAGGTATTGAGTTTCTCCTTGTCCGCTCGCTCGGTACCGTATACAGTATCAATGAGGGGCGGTATGCTAGACTTGATCTGAGACCAGTTCTCTTGGTAGAACGGCGCCGAAGACGGCACGGGTGATCCAGGGGACTTGACAGTTTGGAGACCATTGTACCATGTGGGTGCAGTGGCGGCAGCTGTGATACGTGGCCAATGAGTGTATGCCTGTCCGAGTCTTGCATTTTGAACAGCAAGCTGAGGTGGTCCAGCGAAGGCAGATGGTACAGCAAAAGGCGGCTGAGCTACAGCTGGGACAGCGCCGGCAAATGGAGCCTGCGTGGGGATATGACCTGGAACCTGGCCTGGAATGTGGAAGTGCCGGGCAGCATGAATCTGAGCGTTCTGTGCTGCAGCTTGTGACACACCCCATACAACGTGTGCTGCGTTGCTTGGCGGCGCGGCATCTGATGGAAAAGCCTGACCTGGAGCTTGGTCGATGCTCAAGCCATCGAATTTACCGCTGAGGTCTGGAGTCTGAATATGGCCGGTTGATTGATAGCACAACTGATTGTTTGGTGGCTGCTCGGTATGCCGGTCTTCTGGTGGAGTCCAGCCAGACGCTGGAGTTTGTGCACCTGGACCAGAAGACGTGAAGCTGGTTGAGTAATCGTAGTCCTTTGGAGAGGCCATTCTGCCTGGTCCTGGCATGTTGCTGAACCCTGAACATGGTGGTGGAAAGCCGACACGACTTGGAGGGCGACTTGCATCGTCCAACCCCAGTGGCTCAGGTGGCCCAACGAAGTCATTTGGAAGTCCAAGATTGGCACGAGTTGCATGGTTTTGAGTCTGCAGTCTAGACTTACTGAGGTTGGCGTGATTGACACCATGGGCTTCATCCCCATCACCCTGCACAGCGCAATCACTGACAGCATCGGCATCCGCATCCCAAACCCAGCTTGACTTATCACCGTCAACATGCCCTGTTCCATATCAGTAACACATTCTTCAACGCATATTCCAAGGACTTACGATGGCCCCATGGAGCGTCTGACACATTACAGGGGTCCGATGTTTCGTTCTCATTGCGCTCAAGGAGCTGAATGTGAGGACAACCCTGCCTACAAAACCAACCAGAACGAAAGCCATAATTCGGGTAGCAATCCACCATGCTGACGTTTCCAAGCAATGCACGCGCTACTTCGCTCAGGAAGAATTCATGGCGCATCTCGGAAAGCTCTTTGAAAGCACTGCAGTCGACAGACATCTCGAAGCAGTATGCAAAATGTGCAATGACTTGATGCTGCAAGCACTCCCAAGGGCTGCCGGCCTCATCGAACAGACATCCAATGAACTGTATGCTCGGGAGAGTTAGGCGTCTCATTGCGAAAAGCTCCTCGAATTTGCGCAGAGCAATGTGAATGAGTTGCGTGATTTCGAGTCGGTCAGCCATGCGGAGGACGTCCAACCAGAAGGTATCAGTGTACCGAGGGAAACGGCCTAACTTGAGAACAGTGTCGTCGGCAGGGATACGGCCGGAGTAAAGCCAATCATAGAAGATTTTGAAGATACTGGGATCCTCTGAGTGCAAGGTGATAGTGTGGCCAGGTTCCCAGTCGGAGTCGATCTCCACTTTCGTGTTGTTCGACTCGTATCCGACTCGGCTAAAGACACATCGGCGGAAGACGGGTGAGGTTGAGGCCAACAGGGCGCTATGGATACTGAACTCTTCGTGGTATCTGCCAACAACGACTGTGACCATTCCAGTGCCATGAGACACTGCTGGTGGCTGGATTGGAGCAATGTCGCCGAAGGCCATCTTGAAAAAGCCTGATGGTGAGGCGTTGGGGCAAAGAAGGGGAAAGAGGGAGGAGATATGTGGTGGGAAGGAAGAGATCGAGATTGGAATCATATAGGAGAGATGTGGTCATTTATATAGAAGGGAGATGCAGCACATGGCAGTAACAGAGTGATGGCAGTGAAAGAGTGACATGCGCAGACCCGGAGGTGAAGTGAAGATAGATACCAGTGAGAGCTATAGCGAGGTGAAGGGGACAGGATGTGACAGTGGAATTGAAGGTGGAACTGAAGGAAGAGTTGAAGGAAGGATACGTACATGTGCTTTTATTTGAGTGTCCATTGCAGTCAGCATGTGACATGCTATTCACAACCAACGGCAAGTCCATACAGAGCTTCATCAAACGATGTTGTTTGCCAGGAGATACAAGATGCACAGTGTGGTACCAACAGCCACTGTGCCAGAAGTACAACGTCCCTGTCCTGACCGATAACATCTACTTTGAGGTACTGACTGCCTCAACAACTGAATATCCCTTCCCACTCTCAGATTTGAGCATGGCTTCCATCATGAAAGTCGGAACCTTCACTCCCGGTTTGACTCCTTGCTCCAGGAGCAGTACATAACAGCCAGATAGGCACACGGCCTAGTTGCTTTATTCGTTACAGACCTGTCAAGTTTGTTCTGATAATGTCTGATTCCTGTGTCTTTGCAACACCATTCGGTTGATAAACTACCTCAAGTCTTCGCGTCGTTGATGTCGACCTTGTCGTAGGCATGACGCGCCCTTCCCATGACCTTGACCTCCTCTGGTGTTTGATTTCGCTCCTTGCCGTTGCAGAAAGCCTCAAATTACTGCACCAAGCCAAGAGCTTCATAACATCGAGGGCACCACTTCGTTTCGGGGTTATGGTGGTGGAGAAAGAGGAGGTAGACAAAGCTGGACTTGCTTGCTAGCTCGCTCGCTGGCAGGCATATACTGCGTATTATTCGCATTACGAGGACGAATACGTACACTGACCGAGCAGAGGCAGTCGTATTATCGTCTGTGATATCCGTATGAAGCGGAATGAAAGCGTTATATCTCAAGAGCTGAGTATGGGTACACAGCTCCGGGATGACAGGTGGGGGCGAGCGGAATTCGTGACTACTCTGGAAACTATTCCTGCGGATCGTGTCCTCGAGAAGTACGGATAGTGTGGTGCAGAGATGGAAGAGACACCTTGTGGCCTTGGACCTGGGATGCCGTTCTTCTAACCAAGTAACGGGCGCGATTTGTTCGGCTCATCACGCAGTCGGCGGGATGAATGGTGTCGAAATCGGCAGCAGGCAGCGTAGCGTGCCCGATCCGAGGATTGGTTGGCAGTTTGTCAACCAAGAAATCGACGGTCGGCTCCATTGCTCGACGTTGGAGAGTGGTACCATTATTCCTGGTTGGACCGGTTGATATACTGGAGCTGAGGCCGTCAGCGCCGGAAGGAAGGGTCGGAGGAGAGACCGTCTTCAGAACGGATCTCAATCAAACCCTTCGAACACGTCGTTCTTGTCATTCGTCCTCGACTGCTGCTGGCGGATCTTCTCAACCATCATGGCGGTCTCTGCTTCACGCTCCTTCTCATCCTCGGTCATCTTAACAATTCTGTCATGTTCTCGTCTCGCAGCTTTCTTGGATCGTTTGACTTCTTTGTTCGCCTTGCGCTCGACCTTCTCGGACCAAGCCACCGTTGTACCTCGTTTCTTGCTGTCAACCTTTGTATCGGACCGCACATCTTTCGCACCTTCGTGGAGAGCCTGCTTCCGTTGCTTTTCTCGCTGTTTGTCCTTGTACGCATAAGTCTCCCAATCCACGGTGGGAGGCTGATAGCTTTTCCGGTCCCAATTCTTGAGTTCAGGCATCTTTGGCATCTTCAGCAATGCCCACGCGGATGCATGATCCTTCCAGTCAATGTCGCTTAGTCGGAAGATAGAGGACGCTTGGTGCTTGGAATAACTCCGAACCCAACTCACGAAGGCTTTCTGAGCTTTCTCATACAGTCCTCTGTCCCTTAGTACGACCTTTCGGAAGGCTTCTTGGGTTCCGAGGCATTCCTCCGGGGTAACTGACAGGTCCGGCTCAGTCAAGGGCTCGATTGGAGTCTGTCGGACATTCAGAAATGAGACATAATCTTCTTCCCGACCTGGAAGTAGGAAAACCACACTCAAACCTTTCCGCCCAGCTCGGCCAGCTCTTCCGCACCGATGGAGGAAGGCTTTGGGGTCCGAAGGGGGATCGATCTGCACGACTAAATCCACGGAGGGTATGTCCAGACCTCGTGCCGCCACATCTGTTGTCAGCAAAATGGCTGGAGACGCCGAATTTGTGAACCGAATGAAGTTCTTCTGACGGACACTGGCGGGATGCTTGCCGTGCAAAGGCACGAGAATCGCTTCAGATGGGAGTATTGCTGGCAGCAGAGCTTGGAAGTAGTCCACGGCTGCACAGGTAGACAAATACACGATCGTGCGCAGCGGCAAAGTGTCCAGACCTTTGAGTAATGCCACCAACGCGGGGAACTTGCAGGAAGCTGGAGTTACTGCGTAGGTCATCCTGAGACTGGCGGGTGTGCGCTTGTCTTCGACACCGTTCGCGCCTTTGACCTTCACCGCAATTTTGACTGGATTCCGCAGTCCGACACGTATGATCTGATCAACAGCCTCGCTCACACTGGCACTGAATAGTCCCGTTCGTCGCTGCTTCGGAAGAAGGTTTAGGATTTTGGTAAGATCATCCTTGAATCCAAGATCCAGTAGGCGGTCCGCCTCGTCGAGAACCAGAACTTCGAAGGATGACTGAGGGCAGTGGACATACGGGGAGGAGAGGATTTCGAGGAGTCGGCCGGGCGTCGATATTAGCACATTGGGCGATGTTTTTAGAAATGTACTCAAGTCTTGCGCTGGCGTGGTCGAGCCCCCAAGAAGCAATTGCGGAACAATCTTTAGGGTGGACGATGGGAAAACTTCTGCTTCACCTTCGGGACTCGAGCGTTCCGGTGCGTCGAAAGCCCTGCGCGCTGCCGCAGATGGAGGATGAAAGTCCAGCAACGAGACTAGGACATTGAATATCTGCGACGCCAATTCCCTCGTGGGCGAAATAATGATGGCTCCAATGTGATGTTTCTTGACGGGTTCTTCTAACCGCAGCAACTTTTCCACCACTGGTATAAGAAAAGCCAACGTCTTTCCACTTCCTGTGACTGCTTCGACCACCACATCTTTGTGGCCCATGAACAGAGGAACCGTGGAGGCTTGGACGGGCGTCATGCGAGAAAAGTCCATGGACGCGACGGCGTCAAGGATCCATGGTGAGAGTGGTGGACTCAACGACTCCCACACTCGGGATTTCGAGTATCGTTCTCCTCCTCTATCGGGAGCCATGTTTACCAGAACTGCAACTGCGGTGAGTTGCGGATTTACAATACAAACAAAAGTTCACGACGAAGCGCAGACCAAGAAAAAAAGTCATGCCCGCATTTGCTTCGCTAAGGTATGACGCTAAAAAATAGTCTAACTCGTTACGGAGCGCTAACAATCATAGGCGGGTGGTGCCGCTTTTCATCCGCTGCGATCTCGTAGTTAGCTTGTGGTTTCGCTTTCCTCCTCCTACTACCTGTACAGAGTGATCAAGAAAAGCAAAGAGAAAAACTTCTATCACGGAGAGGTGCAGTTCTGCCCATGAATTCCCCCAGCGGCGACATACTCGCAAGTTGTACTTGCCGTTTCTGTCATGTTCGTTTTCGAGGCAACATTGAAATTCTTGAAATCAATGTTGTAGCATGGATGCCTTTCTGAGCAAGAAATGTCGATGATACGCGCGGAGCTCGCCGTCGATGTGTTCGTCCAACCGGTGAAATTCTCGAAAGCAATGTTTGACACCTACAGCGTCGTCAGCGAAGACACCCGCAACCGTGTTGATCGTCCCATGCTTACCAGCATGTTCGAAGTCCCGGAAAAGCTGCCATTGTTCCCGCTACTTTGCGTGATGGCCGCGGCCAGGTTAGCACCCTGAATATCAAAATGGCTGAAAAGAACATTCCGAACATTTCCCCAGCCACCACCTCTGGGGAGACCGGCACTTTCATAGCTTGACTGGGGGGCTTGCTCGCCGATCCATGTCTTGATGTATGCACCGTTCTCCATGTCTTCGTTGTACCGGATGATTTTCACATTCTCGACCACAACATTTTCAACCGAAGAGTCCTCTAGATACTGTCCAAGGCTTCCTATGGCGATGCCATTCCCACCTCGACAGGTCACATTGGACACGGTCACCCCGTAGCTCCGAGGTTTGATGGCTATACAGTCCTGCCATGGTTAGCCTGTGCGCTAGAGACGCGGATATGAAGAAAGTACGTCTCCACCCTGGTATACCAAGTTCGACAAGTATACGTTCTTGACATCCATCGTATCTAGGCTAATGTCAGCAAGCTGAAGCACAATTACCAGGAGTCTTACCAAACCCATCCGTGTTCTGCACCCAGTTCTCGCCCCAGGGAGCCTTTGTTGCTGTCGCATTGCAGTACAGATGATCGACCGCAATGTTCGTCCCATTCATAATGTTGAACGACCAGAGCTGTGGCTGCACAATCGAAAATCGACTGACTGTTACATCCGACACATTCCACAGAACGAATGGCATTGGCCTCCCAGGTTGTGTGTGGCCTGCCTCCGCCGTGTACCACAGATCACCATTGCCATGGACTCCGCCTGTGCCATAGCCATTTATGTGAATGCCGTCGCCGGTCAGGATAAAACCGGCTTGGTGGTTCTGGAAGGCGATAGGGTAAGAGTTATTCCTCCAATAATCGAGGTCGTCCGAATATTGCCAGAGTCCGCGCCATTCTATCACCACATCGCTTAGAACCAGATTCAATTTGCTTGCTATCCAGTATGTCTGGTTCTCTGGAAAGATGACCAACCCTCCATTTCCGCAATCGTTGAATGCCTGCACAATTTGAGGTACATCGTCTTGCTGTTGGCCTTTGGCAATTACAGTACATGTTTTTCGACCTGTCGTGGAGGGCGCTCGAGGCTTGAAAGCTTCCACTGTGAATGGCAAAAGGCAAAGTACGAACTTCAGTAGCTGAAACGCCATTTTGAACAGAATGCGTTGGTGAGTTCTGGAGTCTACATTTCTCTTCAGCCTACCACTACAAACCTGCATTTATCTGTTGCAGGACACCTCTTTTCCCCTGCCGGAGTTTTCAAGGCATCGGTCAAGATTTATACCGACCTTCCTAAATTGAACGATCCAGATGTCTTGCTCTCCATGCATCGCAGAGAGGTCCGAGCAGGGACATATGCATCATCATCATCCCCGCATGCGTATACCCCATGTTTTCTGCAGGTGCTGCAGATCATAAGCTTCATTGAGCTTGATGAACATGCCAATGCAAGGGCAACCTCGGACTAAGATGGACCGAATGCTTAACATCGACCAACTTCGAGGCGGAGAATCACCAGGAGTGGCCAAATCGCGGTGATGGCAAATTCACATAAACCTTCCGGCAGTTGGGCTCGATACGTACTGTCCTCGAAGCTCAATTTCGCAAGAGCCTGGCATCTGAACAATGATGTTCTCAGCGCTGTTGGTCATCTCCCTTCATCTGACTACTGCTGTGGCCGGTCAATGCTGGAGAGATTATCCATGCGATGGTCCCGATCAGCCCTCATTTCCTGGAGCCTGGGATGCCAACATCTACGCTCCATCAACGAGAGTTGTGTCACCTGCGGCGGTCCTTGTCTGGCCAGGTTTGACGCCAGTCTCGTACGGACAAACTCAAACAATTGTTGGGAATGGATCACTTGTCACCTATGATTTTGGTAAAGAGGTGGGTGGCATCGTCCGCTTCGACTACAACAGCACGGACTCCGGCACGTTAGGCATCGCTTTTGCTGAATCCAAGAAATTTGTCGGCTACCGGTCAGACTCTTCGAATGGTCTCTTCACAGGAGCCGATCTATGGCTCAATGTCACTCTGACCGACGGCTCGGGCTACTATGTCATGCCGGATGAGAAGCTTCGAGGAGGGTTTCGATATATGACTCTCTGGCTGACGACAAACTCAAGCACAACCGCCTTTTCTGCCTGGAATGTAACTGTCGAGCTCGATTTTCAGCCCACATGGCCCAACCTCCGGGCATATCAAGGCTACTTCCACAGTAATGACGAACTCCTTAACCGTATCTGGTACGCGGGGGCATACACCTTGCAGAGCAACTCCGTTCCTACCAACACAGGCCGACAGGTTCCAATGCTTGCATGGGGCTGGGCAAATAACGCCACTCTTAGCCCAGGGTATTCTGTCATTGTTGACGGCGCGAAGAGAGACAGAGCCGTCTGGCCTGGAGACATGGGCATCGCGGTACCTTCAGCCTTCGTCTCCACGGGTGACCTCGAGTCTGTGAGGAATGCATTGCAAGTCATGTACGACTACCAAAACACCACAACAGGCGCCTTTGACGAGTCGGGTCCGCCTCTCAGTCAGAAGAACAGCGACACATACCACATGTGGACCATGATCGGGACGTACAATTACGTCTTGTACACAAATGACACAGCTTGGCTGGCGCCTTTATGGGACAAGTACAAACTCGCAATGCAATTTGTGGTCGACAAGATAGACGAGTCGGGCTTGATGAACGTGACCGGCACAAGGGATTGGGCACGCTGGCAGCAAGGATTTCATAACACCGAAGCTAACATGATTCTTTTTCAAACATTGTCAACAGGGAGCAAGCTTGCTTCATGGCTGGGCGACCCCGCCGTTTCTGCGAACTGGACATCTACAGCCACCGATCTTTCCAAGTCTATCAACAGTCTCACCTACGATGTCTCTGCCGACGCGTACCGCGACAACGACACCACAACAACCCTCCATCCGCAAGACGCCAACAGTATGTCGCTGTTGTTCTCCGTAGCACCTGACTCGAACGTACCCGGCATTGCCACGTCTCTGACGAAGAACTGGACACCGATCGGCCCTGTAACGCCGGAGCTTCCCTACAACATTTCCCCCTTCATCTCCAGCTTCGAACTCCTGGGCCGCCTGGCCGTGCGCGACACCAAAAGCGCGCTTGAACTCATCCGCACGACCTGGGGATGGATCATCAACAACCCTAATTCGACCGAATCCACGCTTCTCGAAGGCTACCTGTACAATGGTAGCTTCAGCTACCGGTCCGACCGGGGATATAGTTACGACGAGAGCTACGTGAGCCATGCGCACGGATGGAGTTCAGGGCCGACCTCGGCGCTGACGCATTACGTGCTCGGATTGGATGTGCTTAGTCCCGCTGGCAGCGAGTGGAGGCTGGCGCCACAGTTGGGAGATTTGGAATTCGCAGAGGGAGGCTTTACGACGGTGCTGGGGAAATTCAGCGCAAAATGGGCCCTCCAAGGTCAAGGGGTGAGGGTGAGCTGGAATACACCTGTTGACACAACGGGCACTCTTGTCCTGCCGCTTCCCGCAGGAGTGGAGAGCATGATCGTGGAAATCGAGGTCGGGGGACAGCAAATGAACGAAAGTCTGATTGCGAATGCCACGAGCGCTTTTGGCGAGAAGACTGCCCAGCTCAATGTCCCTGGTGGTCGAGGGCTGATCTGGTTCCCGCTTTGACAGACATGACCATTTCACGACCTTGGTTAGAGCAGTACCATGAATTGCAGTTTTTAAAGCGTTAGCAATTCTGCTCTACAAGACGGTCCTGGGCCAGGATCGAATTTGCAAGTTTGTGGGCAATAAAGACCGAACGCTCACTACGCCTAACTAAGTATCATCTAATCTCGAAGCACATCCCACACATACTGCTCGAGGGCTATCTGAATATGCTACCAAAGAGGAGAATAAATCACGCACTCGACTGCCAAAGTATGTCATCTAGTATCAAGGAGCCCGAGACAAATTTCGAATCTTGTCGGCCTGCCTCTCAACATTTGACAATCCTACTCCCGCGGAATCTCGCCCTGCACATGCATCGGCAATTCTCCATGCGAAGCCTTAATCACATCTTCGAACCTACAGCAAGCCTTCATTAGCAAAGGAGTTCGCAAACGTGCACCAAGAGCACGCATGCTATAACTCACGCAGACTGGAACATGATGTAGACCATCTCGTCATTATACGTGTTCCTCGTATACGACGCCTCCTCGTGGCCGACTTTGACCGTCTTGGTGCCACGACCCGCGCACGCCGCGTCCGCGAGCAACTGAGCCTGTATGCACCTGTCCATTGCGCCGAACAAGAATGCAGCACCGTCCACGGTCTTGGCCACGGTCAAGTGCCCATGATTCTGCAGAATGACACCTTTCGTGTTCCCTAGGGCCTGGGCGATATGTTTCCCCTCGTCGGCCTTGAACGCGATGCCTCCAAAGCCAGAGTATATGCCGTGGTCGTTATAGAACCTACGCGGTATCAGTATCAAAGATGGTTCGCAATCGCAAGGGCGTCCTCAGAAAAGAAGGGACGCCGAGGGGATAACCGTTACATACCGACAAGCGTCCTGGTTGATTGGCTCGAGCTTACAACCGATCGCAGAAAATGCCTTGCTTGGTACACTATGGCAATGGACCGCGGCGACTACGTCTGGCCTTGCTTCGTGGACTGCGGCGTGGATGATATACCCGGCTGGATTGATGGAATGCATGTTGCCACCTTCCTTGACCTCGCCGTCTTTGCTCACGAGGACGAGATCTTCCGGTCTCATGTGGCTGAACGACTTCCCGTGCGGGTTGATCCAAAAATGATCGGGCATGATCGGGTCGCGGACTGTGACATGACCCCCAGCGCCTTCATTGTTGTATCCTTGGTAGCCGAGCCATCGCAGGGCGGCAGCGTGGTGGAGTTTGCGGAAAGCGCGCTCGGCTTCGAGAGATTCGAATTTGGGAATGCGAATTCGATACACGGATTTGGCATTCGGGCCACCGACCTTCTGGTACGCGCCGTATGTGAAGGCTGTGGGAGGAGGCGGAGTTTGCTTGGTGGGATTCTCCGCAACGATGGCTGCTGGAGCTGTAGCTGATGTCGATATTGATCGTGTCGATATCGTGTTCGGGCGGAAAAGTGGCTTGGGTCTTGTGAGGTATTGGAGCCGGCTTGATGCATTTAGACCGACTCTCCGGAGAAGCGCAGGCTTACTGGCACGCATAGTGGATAATAGACCCTTTGGCACCGGGTTCAGATCCTTTGTTGGATGAGTGAAAAGGTCCTTGATACCGGCGAAATGCTTGTCGGACGATCAGGTATGATGACTGAAATATTCAAACATGGTGTTAGGGCAGTGATACCTCGATATCCGCCTCCGCACAGTTGGAGTCTCTTGTTGAGGGGTTGTGCTGTGCCGTGTGTGCCGCGAGGACAGCAGGGATCGTAGGCGTGAATGCAGAATTAATACCCCTCATGATGCCCTCGTACGAGTAGAAACAGGACACAATAGTTTCTTTCATGTCGCGGCAGCATATGCTGCTGGCTGGATATCGGGCCATGTTTGCTGTGGGGTGGTTCGGCATTGACAAGGCTGAAGCAATAGGGGTCCATCATGGGGCGGTGGGTTACCCTTCAGAATGTCACTTCCGAGATCTAGGTTCTTGCCGAACGAAACTCCAGCTGAAAGAGATCCATCTTATTTCTGGGGAAGGTCTCACTTGTCACTGCAGCGGCGTAGGCTTTGAATAAAACCCATGGCGCACGTCTTATCCGGCTGCAACACTGGAGCAACCTCAGGAGTTGCAGGTGCAAGGCAATGTCGTCGCAGTGTGGTGGCATTTTGGTCGCAGTGTCCTCATGTGGGTGGTCTCGGTAGCTTGGAAGCACGATGTTCAGATATGCGAAGGCGCAACAAACACAAAGTGCAAGCATAGCTGTTGGGAAGCCAGCTGGTATTGACAGTTTTGGAATATACCAACACCTAGAATAATCATTGCAATGACATCACGCTTTGCGGGAAACGAAAGAAAGGTAGATGAGAGCAGAAGATGGCGCTGTGGTATCCTTCAGCCAAAGACCTTCAAAAAGGCCCAGAGACCCGCACTGCTCAACAGTGGTATCGTCAAGTTGTCGTCCCAACCCCACAGGTCTATCAACTCCGAGAAACTGGCAATGATGCCGGTACAGAAACTCATCACAGCAAGCGCTGTGTTGCCGACGATGACACCCTGGCCAGGTTGCCACCCAAGCAGCTCTTTGGCTCGGCTAGGCATTGACAAGCGACCCTGGAACATGTTTCCGTTTATTGGATCGTCTGGGAATGGACCAGTCCGCGGTGCAAGGTAACCCCAAAAGAAGACTGCCACAAGGGCACCTGTAACGAATGCAGCTAATGACCCAGCCAAGGACTTCCCTCGGCGTAAACGAATTGTGTAGCGACCGTAGAGTCGGCCAAATGTGCTCGCTGCAGTATCACACCAAGACAACAACAAAATGGAAACCACGCTGATGTCTTTCGGGTAGAATTTCAGAGCGATATAGGCACCGACAAGGTACCATATCACACCATTGTAGCCATCAACCTCGGTCTCGCGCATCAAAGCGCCCAGTACTTTGATGTAGAATCTGTTGAATCGTTCGGAGTGATGCCTCAGTACATCCGTGGGGGCAATGATGGCCAGAGCACCAACTAGCCATGGTGTAATGGATGGGGATTGCGTGCCCGTCACATAAAGTCGAAGCGTGAAGAAGCCTATCGAGACATGTAGTAATTTTCTGGGTATTTCGTGCTTGTGTATAAGATTTCGATAGTGTCGGTGTAGAGGGATCAGACCCAGTGGTGACGGTGATCTCGAGAATTCTCGCCAGGATTTCTTGACTCGATCGTAAGGGGAGAGATGTCCGTTTGGTTGTGGTAGTGGACTCGCACCGTTTGTCAATGGCTCCGATTTTTTGACCGGTGTTTTCGTAGTGAGGCCGCTCATGCGTCGTCTCTTGGACCCGGCACCAGCGCTACCATTCATATGGGTAGCTGCCGACAGTATGGGGCTTCTGGACCGCGTCCTTGCACGCTTGTCGACACTGGAATCTGATCCCGAACCATCCTTCTCTTCATTTATGGGCTCTGGTTGGGGAGATCTCTGTCGCTGCGCTTTGGCAGCAGATCGTGTGACCGGGGCGAAATAGGAGTCTTGACGGTCGGAGGTCTCGGAAGGAGTGGGAGAGGGCGAGATGACTCTAGGAGTCGCCGGAATAGGATATTGGTAAGACATCTGAGAGGATTCTAGTGGACCGAGAGGATAAAGCGACGAAAAGGTGGTCCGAGGAGTCGAATTAGAGAAATTCAGGCCCGCGTTGGGGTGCGTGATAGGGAGAGAGCGCTGGCTCGTCAGATATCAATCGAGCAGCATCATGGAGAGGTTATAGCAATTGTTCATGCATGATATTCTGGAACCTGCTCGAGCAAGCCAAAAATCCAGATCTTGACGGGCGATATGACGCGTGGGGAGGCAGGCAGTTTTCGGCGAGGAAGTGTCACTTGTGCCTTGAATAAAGAAACTCGACATGATGGCACATGCAAGGATTATTCACCACTGAATGCGCCAGACACAGTACACACCAACGAGTAGTCTGCCTGGCTGCTCGCTTATCGGTGCCAAGATCTACTTAAAGAAGCAGAATGACTCTGCCGGATTTGGGGGGAACATCATCGCCGCTTTATTCCACATAGTGACCGAGGTGACCAACAGTAAACTCATTCACACTTGTTCTATCCATACAACACGCCTTCATCTCAGCTATTGAAGCCTTAGCGAATCATGCACTCCGAACCTATTGCCCCCCATTGTTGCCGAGAACATTCCAACTGCTCCAGGGAACATTCTTTAATCCATGTCGTCTTCACGCCTCACTCGCATTCTCGCTGACCTGACTGAGTAGGCCAGTATGGATGTCAAACTTCAGGCCAATGATCTGCGTACTTTTGTTGATCAATTGAGACGATTTCAGAATCGCAATGTCCTGCCTAATACTGTCCTCAACCCTGTCAACGGTTGTCAGCATCTGAATGTCGAGAAATGATCACATCAACAGTGACATGCTCAATGTTGTCCACTCACCCGTTGGTAATCTCGCCGAACTTGAGAGAATGTATCAAGTCTTTCGAATGCGGACTGAGTTCGATGAGGGCATTCTGTATGTCCTTATCGTGGTAATGGGTAAGTCCACAGTCTAGAGTGAGTCAGTGACATGAACGCTAGTTTATGACAAGAGTTAAGCCTACCGGTGTGGTGCATGACGACGATTGTGCCAGGGTTTCCGATAGTCTGGAGAACGGCTAGTGTCCGAATAGCATCGAAGGCTCTACCGCCAGCATTTCGGACCATGGTGGCCTCTGGGGTATTCGTCAGCCAATGCTAACACGGCAGCAACAATAAGGTAAACCAAGAGGAGCATATTGAGGTCTCTACTTCATAGTGACCATCGGGTGAAAGGTGATGCATGAATTGGGGACGGGCAAGGAAGGAAGATGCACTTACTGAGAGTAGAGTCAATCCCCAGGATTTGATATGGGTTCAGGCGTGGATCAGAGCACGACAAGACCACAACACCGGCTCCAGATGCCCTCATGACTCCAGCCATCTGTTTCAAGTCTGGCGGTGGTTGATAAGTCTGGGCGAGTTTGCTGGCAACTCTGGTCAGCGATCTACCCTATGATAGCTGCCGGGTACAGGCTCCACCGGGCATACCTGTTTCGAGCCAGCATCTCTGCTAGGGACTTGGAAAGCATTTTGTAAGACGTAATACAAGACGAGTGAGTCGATCAAATCCTCCCTTTGCGGTAGACGGACCTAGTGATGGAACGGCTGCCTTTGAATCGATGTTTCAATCCGGAAATGCACTGGCAGGAACACGACTTTTATGTGAACATGCCCAGATGACCTTCGTGTAGGCCAACAGCCATCTGGGTGTCGGGAGGGTCGAGGCATGCTGACACACCACCTACATTCGCACAAGTACGTGCGAGAAGCTTAGATATTTGCTGGTGATTAATCATTCACGAGCGACAATTGTCTTCGTGCCAATCGCGTGCCCAAAGCGTCAGAAAAGACTTGCTGCTATTCAAACGCCGTTTGAGAATGTGACTGCAATGTAATCGCTCGTGTTTCCAAGGTTGGGACCGAGGAATGAGAGGCCATGATCTCAGAGGTCAGTGCGGACAGCGTGCAGACTAACTTAGGCGAGGATTTACTGGCTATCGAGGCCCAGGATTTGCGTCCGTATCTTGCAGGCTAGTGCATGCAGACGAGGACTAGTTCCTGTGGAATGTTTAATAAACTGATCACTCTTCAACATCTTTCGTGCGTTGCACCATAGTACTTGACAATTGACGGTCGATATCAATGCCGTTGAGCCACAGTATTCGCCAATTTGTGTTGCATCATGATCATGCTACGCCAGGAGTGTCCTGGGCTAGGTGTAGCCGATATGCTGATTAACGCGCTGGACATCTAATCAGCTAACGTCTATTCCTCGCAGTGTCTAAGAGGCGGAATCACTCATCATGACAGTCCGACTGCTACTCCAGACGGGCAGCTCAAGCAGGAATTTCCCTATATATTCCTTGCTTGATCCCCAGCTTCAATGGAAACCTGCTTCAAACAACATTAGTACAGTGCTCCACAGACTCCTAGCATACTTAGGTCAAACTCAACGATCATGACGGACAACAGCAAGGTTATCTTGGTGATTGGCGGAACAGGCGCTCAAGGTGTACCAGTCGTCAAAGGTGGATGTCCCCCATCCTATTCCACCAACGCTGTTACTGACGAAGGCCGACAGCTATGTCTTCTGACTCCAAGTATACCGTACGCGTCTTAACTCGCAATGCGCTCTCGAACGAAGCGAAAGCTCTGGAGGCGATTCCTGGAGTCAAAATCATGGAGGGTGATGCTTACCATGAGCCCACGCTTCGGGAGGCATTCAAAGGCGTCGACTTTGTCTTCGCTAACACGAACGGTTTCGCCATTGGGGAGATGGCCGAGATCTACTGGGGGATCCGCCTGTATGAGCTGGCACGAGAGTTCAAGGTCAAACATTTCATCTACGCAGGTCTCGAATATGCCTCAAAGCTGGGAAACTTTGACGCCAAATATCGCACAGGCCATCTCGACGGCAAAGGCAAGGTTGTGGACTACCTTCAGGCACAGCCTACAGAGCCTATGGCCTGGTCGGTTCTGACTTCTTGCCTGTACCTCGAGGGGCTTTCAGAGGTCCTACAACCCTTTCCGGACCCTGAGGATCCGGACACAATGGTCTTTGCAGTTCCCTTAGGTGAAGCAAGATGCCCTCTCATCCATCTGGACGACTACGGAGCCTATGCAAGGTGGCTTCTCGACCATCCAGAACGTAGCAATGGCCTCGAGTTGCACGTTGCGACGGAAGACATTGCATGGAAAGATGTTGCTGCTGCATTCACTGCGGTCACGGGCCGCAGAGCAGTCTATCGAGATGTCACCCTGGACGAATATTTCAAGCTCCCAATCTTTCCGGAGCCTGATAGGAAAATAGGGCATTCAGCATCCAAAGACAATCCCACGTTGTTCACGATCCGGGAGAATTTTTCGGGCTTCTGGAATACTTGGAAGGATGAGTTGACGACGCGGGATTACAGACTGTTGGATGAGATCCTGCCCACTCGGGTTAAAAGTGTCAGAGAGTGGATGGAGAAGACAAACTACACCGGCAAGCCGTCGTCAGTACTCAAAGACTACCGAGATGGCGTAGGTGCTCGAGGTCCTGGCGGTAGCTAAGAGAGAACCGTAGCCTGACTCATCTCACACCTGTAGCACGTTTAATGAAATATCACAAATGGTGCTTTTCTCCAAGTATCCTCTTGTCTTCCCCAGCGGGCGCTGTGAGGGAGGGATACCACTTTCGCAAGTTCTGCGAAATTATTGTCGCATTCATTCACCATGCTGGTTGCTTTGCGAGACTGACATCGAACTCATCAATACTGTCAAGCGTTGCCGGGCCACGGGAATTGTGGCTACATGCCTATGGGTATAACTGAGCAGTTCTTGGTCGGGTTGTAGCCCGCTTGATGGCTTGCGTCTATATACACAGTCATATCGGTGACAAAGTTCGAGGTTGATATGTCAGCCTTGGCTCGTGTGTCAAGATGACCGATTAAGCATGATGACGCCCCCAAATGACAACCTGTTGGCTTCAAAGATTCAAGCAGGGCCATACCTTTCGAGAGCAGAGCCCTGTGAAGAACGCTGGGACAGGTGCACTTAACAATACGAGGCGGGCGTAGCCTCGGTGTGAAACTGCCTCGAGCTAGACATTTCAATGTGAAGATGCTGCGTCAAGCAACGGACAGCATGATCTCAACCGGTAGCCACAAGGCTGCGACGGGTGTGAGAAGGAACAGCATGGTCCCGAAATCGTGGAAAAACATCCTGTCAACGTGGACCGATCTTCTCCATGCCGCCCATATACCCCCTAAGCACCTCAGGTATGACCACACAGCCTTCCTGTTCGCGCCAACCGTTCTCCAGAATAGCAGCAAGGACTCTCGGGACGGCTACAGCCGTCCCATTCACAGTGTGAGGAAATTTTTGCCTCGAGCCGCTTGCCTCCTGGATCTTCGTATCCAGTCTCCGACTCTGATAGTCAGTACAGATTGAGACGGAAGTAACTTCGCCCCATCCTTCATCCCTCTTCTTCCGCGAAGGAAACATGGCCTCGATATCGATCTTGCGATATGCGCTGGCACCAAGATCCGAAGAGGGCATCTCGAGGACTCGACATGGCAGACCTAAAGAAGACAATATCTCCGTCTGAATATCGACCATTTCAGAAAAGATTTTGCTCGAGTGCTCTGTCCATGCTTCTTCGTTCGGCAATTCATCCCCAGTAGAAGGACAGTCGGTCCATGCAAACATTTCTACTTTCGTGAACTCATGGACACGATACAGGCCTTTCGTATCCACCCCGCGAGCACCTGCTTCGGCACGGAAACACCTGCTTGACCCAACGAGCTTAATGGGAAGGTCCTCCTTACGGATCGACTTTCCAGCGTACAAGGCCGCCAAGGGGATCTCCGCTGTTGCCGCCAAACTCCTGGTTGGTTTTCCACCATCTCGTTCCGGTTGTGCGACTTGCCATATTTGTTGCTCGTCATTCTGGTCGCGTGGTCGGAAGCCACATGCCGCAGCCATATGAGAGTATACAAGAGAAGGCGGAGCAACGGCTGACCAGCCGTGCTTCCTCGCAACCGAGAAGGCGTACTGAACCAGGGCTTGCTCCAGCAGAGCTGCTTCATTCAAGAGGTAGTAGAAACCCCATCCCGAAGCCATAGACGCTGATGCAAAGTCAAGTAGTCGGAGTTTCTCGCCAATGACAGAATGATCCGCAGAAGTGCTGTATGTGGGAGGGTACTTGGGATCGTAGTTGATATACGAGCGCAGACGAGGCTCATTGTTGGTGGGAGTTTCAACAGAAGTCAAGTTGGGCAACAACAGAGCCATTTCGGACGCCGCAGACTTCAGATCTCTATAATCCACCTCGAACTCCTCAATTTCCTGCTTGAGCGACTTCATTTGAGCGACAATCTCAACTCTATCCCCTCCGGTAGAATTCATTTGTCTTTGCAGCTCTTTCAATCTTCGCCGCGGCCCGTTCATGCGCTGGTCAAGCTCCGCCATCCGTATGACATTGTTTGCAATTTTTCGCGGCGCATCTTGGTGGCTGCGGTAATTTCGCACCAGTGTATTGTGTTCGTAGAGCTCAACATTGTTTTGGATCTGACCGACCTGGGGTCGCTGTCTAGGAGCGGTGGCAGGTCGTGATTGATCAATAGGCGGGGAGGTAGCGTAACCCCTTCTACAACGCAAGAGAAAAGCTCTTGGATTGAGCAAAGACTTGGACATTGGAATATATTAATGCCGGAGCACTCTGCGCAGTTGCATGAAGGCTCGAGAAGCAAAGAGCGCGTTGTGCGCGACAGAGATGTCTCCGCACGAGGCGATCCCGGTGAGGAGAATCCACCCTCCAAAAAGATCGTATCATATTCTCCATACGCCGAAAACTAGTCTGATTTGGTCCACGGATTGCACACGAAAATGCGATCTTCTGAACACCTAAAAAAGGAGGTGGCGTGGCCTAATGGTAAGGCGTTGCTTTCCGGTTTTGCCTGGCAAAGACTGTGGGTTCGAGTCCCATCGCCATCGTGATGTTTTTTGATTTTTTTTGGTTCGATTGAGAAATGAGTTTAGTTGGATAGTAGAATTGTTGGCAGTCAAAGGCAAGGATATCTATATGTCGGCAGAGTCCATAGTATTTCGTACGCTTTGAATCATTCTGCACGCGCTCTTGCTGTTGAAGAAAGACTGATGATTGATGTTTCCACAAATTGAGAAGCAAGACGAACTTCTGCAAATACTGAACTGCAGCCTAAAGAACGCAATTACTTTTAACCCCCTGGTAGCGCCTTCCAGCGTGCAATTGGGAATCATCTCATGCCGGCTCCATGGTCTCACAGCACTACTTAACATAATTGCTCTCCTGATACACACATCCCAGGGCGATCAAGGGCCGTTAAGTAGACTGGGGGACTATCTCCGGCCATAACCCTGGTTGTGATTGCCACCTCTTTGACCATAGCTTTGACCCTGATAATAACTGTCACTGACAGATCGGCCTCCATTTTGCTGATATGGTCGGTTGTCACGCTGGTACTGATTTTGAGCTTGGTTTCCGTAAGAGTACTGATCCTGGCCACCACGGCCCTGGTTTTGGTAGTTATTGTAACCTGCCTGCCCGCCTCCGTACCCGCCATCGCTAGGTGCTTGGTACCGATCATAGCCGTTTTGGCCTCCATATCTTGATGGCGGAGGAGGTGGAGGTGGCCCACCGCGTCCCTGTGGCGGCATGCCAGGAGCAAAACGGGGATCAAGGAAAGCAGCGAATGGATTGTCGCCAGGATTGCCCGCTTGACCCGGCATCATTGGTGGCCGATCCACGGCATAGCTGATACGTCCTCCTCTGTTCTGGTGATCCTGCGGATCGCGTCGGGTATTGTCATAAAGTGGTGCGCCACCAAAATCGCGACCGGAAGATCTGGATTTGGACTTCAGGATAGCTATATCGCTTTTGTCCAGCACAGGAGGTGGAAGCACAACTCCAGGGAATAACATCGATTTGTGCACATGTGTAGCAGGGGGTGCTGTGTAATGGACCATCAAAGAATGGTCATCGTCAACAATAGGTTCCATCTTGATGTCATCCTCTGGACCAACAAGATCCATGTGCGGAAGGAAATCCTCATTTTTCATGACTGTCCCTGCCAAACGCCCCTTACGCATAGAAAGCTTGGCGGTGTTCTTGCCGTCCTTGGACTTCTTGGAATAGAATTGTAGAGCCAGCTCTTCATACAGGGGGTGCCTGTGCGAGATGATTAGAGCATCTTTCCCGAGCTCGTTTCTCGCTCGCTCATCATCTGTCAACAGGGGATATTTGGTGTCCATTGCTGCAAGCAGTCGCTTTTCATCGATGAATGGGAGGAGGACGACTGCTTTCCACGACTGCTTCTTGCCATTCATGTCAAGATCAAATTCTTCCGGATAGAAATCAACAATGTCGGAATCCTCTTCGGTCATGAGCGGGTGGAATGCTGTTGGGATTGCATGATTCGAAGAGGCAGGCAGGACACCCATGAGTTGTTCATAGGGCTTGAACGGCTTGCCTTTGTCGAATTTGACAGTCATTTGGTCAATGTCGACAAAATCTGCCGCAAATGGTGCATAATGATAAGGATAGTACCAAGTCCAGGACGGGCAACCCTGAAAGTAGTAAAGCAGGACCCAACACAAGCCTTCTACATAAGACCTTGCGACCTTGTGGCGAAACTCGAAATCGTCTGGAGCTACATGAAACTTTTGCTCGTAGTACCGCTCGGCATAGCCGGCCTCCCATAGTCGCACAGTGTCCGGCGGTGGTTCATTCGGATCAGTACCATTCTGGGGCTTCTCAACAGGAGTGTTCCGGCCAGGTGTGCCGCTGTCATCAGACTCGGCCTCCATCAACTCAGCCTTGCGTTTACCTAATGCAGAGGTAGGTGTTTTGGCAGCGGCATCAGGACTGTCTGTAACGCCATTAGCGCCGTTCTTGACCGGAGTTTCGGCTGCCTTTTTGGCGAGCATTTGCTCCTTGAGCACAGCAGCGGCGCTTTTGTTGGAAGCAAGCGCTCTATCGACATTGTTCCTGTTGACGATTGCATTGTAGTCCAATGTGGGAAAGTTTGTGGCCTCAAACTTTTCAATCGGCCCCGTCGGGACGCGTGCATCTGCCCGTACAGGGACACGGCCACCCAAACTATAGTCCGGCGAGCTGCGCCGCTGTTTTGGGTTGCGCGCAGCTTCCCGGGCCTCTCGGGCTTTGTTATCCTGGTCTCGGCGTCGTTGATTGCGCTCTCTTCTGTCTTCGTTTTCTTTTCTGCGCTTGAAAATAGCATCCTCTTGTTTGGCCAGTCCTTGCAAGATGATCTGGGCACGGGCAAGATCGACGTTTCCGTCGCAAGTCAAGTAACCACCCATTATAGGGATATTATCTCTCCAGATAGCAATGAGCTTGTCAATACCGTCTTCGTGAATATCCAGGCTGGGAAGATGAGGTAGAAAGTCGTTGCCGACAAAGAAGCACATAAATACCCAGTCATCAAGGGCGCGTTCAAGGTCGAAACGAAATGACTGACCAGGAACAAACATCTCCGCAGCCAGATACTCACGCAAGATGGGCACGTTCAACCAGACAAATGGCTTCAATTCCTCTGTGGAACCTTTCTCGTCGTACTCGCCCGACTTGGCTTTTGCATTGCCTCTGCAGTTCTCTGCATAATGTCCCTGTTGGCCGCAGAGCTTGCAAGTTTTGGCTTTGGCATCTCTGACGTTGACATCTTCTCGAAGAACTCGGAAATGTGGTTCATGAGTGGCCAGCCCGAGCATGATCAAGTCTGCATCGAGACCATACATAACGTGCCGAGTATTGGGATCATACTCAGGATCAGAGCGTTGGGAACGGATGAACTGCATGATCTTATGCTCACCTTCACCTGGTACACTAGCGTCTGAAATGATGACCTTCAGTTCAGCCCAGGCAGGATCAGTGTTGAGTTTCCATTGAACCCAGTAGCGAATAGACTGCGCAAGGATGAACATGAAAGGCGTGCCAGGTGTGATGACATTACTATCCCATGTTTTCTTGATTATGTCCTCAGCTGTTGAGTCTTCATCATCGTCGTCTTCATCTCTCTCCTGTTTCTGTTGGCGAAGGAGTGTCTGAAATTCTGCTTTCTTTTCATCCGCCTCTTTTGCGTCCCTGGCTGATCTGAAACGACGAGCACGTTGCTGGTTCATCTTCGCTCGAGGAGCAACTCCATCTGCACTTGTATCAGCTGCATTGGATCCTGTAGAGTTCCGGATGAGGCAGAGGACTTACCAATTGCGATCATGAGCAGTCTCCGTGGGCGTACCATGTTAACTACTCTCTCAGTGTATTTGAAAATCTCCATCATCATTTCGCTCTCATTTGCTGGAGGCGCTTTGTTCTCAGGATGAGAACAAGGGTGAACAATACCATTGAAATCGAGATAGAGATTATGCATCTCCTCCCCATTTGGATTGGGCTTTGTGGTGTCGACGGGGTATTGCACGCCATCGATTTCATAGGGCTGCTCCTCTATCACAGGTGTAATGATCTTGGGATATTTCTTGGTGAGCCATCTAAAGAGGGCCGGGACACCCATGATGCTTCAAGTCGCGCAATGCGCTCAAAGGATTGGAAATTGTGGAAATGGAGGTTGAGGAAAGGATCTCAGGGAAGATAGTACAGTTGTTGTTGGCGTTGCTGAAACAAGTTCGAAAGAACCGACGCTGCCAACACGGCAAGAAGGATGCTGCTGTTGCGATACTTTGCACGGGGACAGCTATGTCTGAGAGTCGCACGGGGACAGCTATGTCTGAGAGTCCATCTCGACTCGAGAGTGGTGGGAGTGAGGATGGGCGTCGATGAAGTGACGGATGCCTTGAAATCTGCGAGCCTCGACTTCTTCACCCGGAAGCGCAGACGAAGGGCTTAGGACAGGCTTGGCGGCTCGAGGCAGACCGTAGGGGGACCGGACTCCGAGCATGGTAGCCTCATCACGTGAGAGGGTCACAAGGCTGTATCGTTTGCGAATATAGTTAGGCTCGGTGTGGTTTTCCCGACTTCGCGCCAACGCGAATGTTCCCTTACCGGCGAGTCGGCTGCAAACCCAAAAAGACACTTCGATTATTCCCACGGGCCCAATGCATTGGGAAGAAGTTGGCAATTGGAGATTGGACTCGTAATAGATCCCGTCGAGCTTGTCATGTACATATTCATGATCTCAAAAAGAAGGTCAATACCGCAATCATGAACCCTCCTTCAAGATGATGCGAATACTGGAAGCGCAGGCCCCTGCGCGGCAGACGGCCACAGACACCATTCAGACATTGAGTAACCGACTTTCCAGTGCGACGTTACTGGAAGACAGACGTGCTGCAATACTCGGTCTACGCAGTTTCGCCAAGCTCTATCCTGCTTCTGTTGCGTCTGGAGCCCTCCGGGATCTTATTGCAGGTCTGAGAAGAGATGGGGAAGACTCGGACACAATCAAAGTGGTGTTGGAGACGCTGTTGATGCTATTCGAGCCAGATGAGAAGTCCCCAGAGGCCTCCGAGGAGATAACGTTGTGGCTGGCCGACGAGTTTACACAACACCAAGACAACGTTACCGCATTATTAGACCTTCTCGAACCCGGCGATTTCTACTTACGACTATATGCCCTCCAAATCCTCTCGCACATATCTACTGCAAGGCCGCAGCGAACGCAGGAAGCTATCTTTGCTGCGCCACTGGGCGTCTCAAGGATCACGAATGTGTTGAATGACAAGAGAGAGGCAGTTCGGAACGAGGCGTTGGTGCTCCTAGTAGCCCTCACACCTACATCGGCGGAGCTGCAGAAGGTTGTGGCCTTCGAGAATGCCTTCGATCGTATCTTTGCGCTGACTGAAGGCGACGGCGGCCTTTCACATGGTTCCACAACAGTGCAGGACTGTTTGTCGCTTCTGGCCAATTTACTGAACCTGAATACTTCAAACCAATCATATTTCAGGGAGATTGGCGGTATACTCAATATCAAGAAATTGTTTTCGGCAGCATTGGAGCAGGAAGACTCCCAAGATGGGGTTTCGGACTGGATGAAGCCACAACGAGACATGAATGTTTGGGGTCTGCTTGGTGTGGTACAACTGTTCCTTGCTCCAGGCTCCCCAGGCACTGGGGTGAATCAGCAGGCCTTCTGGCAGGCTGGGGTCCTGCAAATTATTCTACGGCTTGCATTCCATCCAGCCTTCAGCACCGGGATCCGGGCAAAGTCTCTGCAAGCTTGCGGAGATATCATTCGAGGAAATGCTGGCCTCCAAGAACGCTTTGGTGATCTTGCTGTGCAGGTTAAACAACAAGATACCACTTCTAATGGACATGTGTCTCCAGCCGCTTCCGAGAAGCAATCTAAGTCCCACCAGGCGATCTACCGAGACCAGAACGTCATTGAATCCCTCCTGGAGCTAGCTCTGGAGTCTGCACCACTTGCTATCTTCGACGTTCGGCTTGCAGCAACTTCCTGCCTCAAAGCATTTGTTGATGGCCATGCTGGGATCAAGGCTCACGTTCTACGTAGAGCCATCGAAGGGCACAAAAGTGGAGACGACACCATTCCAAACATGCTCACTGTGTTGCTTGAACCCCCCGGAACTCGAAGCAATTCCGACCCTTACCAACAGTGGTTTGCTGCTGTGCTCGTTCTGCACCTTCTTTATGACACTCCGGAAACCAAAGAGCTGGCATCTACTGTCACGGAAGGCGACGCTGAGAGTGGCGAAGAGGTGGTCACTTTCGTTCAAAGCATCGCGAGCAATGTGGTCGCGGGCGTACAGCATGTCGAAGATGAGCGTGCGCTGATTGGCTGTTTGATGTTGCTGTCGATCTGGCTATTCGAAGCTCCAGAAGCAGTCAATGACCTTCTCGGCGAGGGAAGCAATGTTCAAGGCCTCGTAGCCGCTGTGAAGATTGCCAACAGCTCCATGCCACTGGTGGCAGGCCTCTGTGCTTTCCTGTTGGGAGTGATCTATGAGTTTTCAACCAAAGATTCTCCTATCCCTCGTACGACGCTGCATGGCCTGCTGATGTCCAGCCTCGGGCGGGAGACTTATGTGGACAGACTGACAAAACTTCGAGAGAACGTCTTCGTACGTGACTTCGAGGTCCTTCCACAAAGCGGAAACGGGGGACTCCCAGAAGTTTTCTTTGATAAGACTTTCATCGATTTTCTGAAGGACAACTTCAGCCGATTCTTGCGGGCTATTGATCGGGATCCTAAATTCGAGATATCAATTGTGAGCAACGGCGTACAGAAAGGAGTATCGAGAGACCTAGTGGACAGTCTGAGGGCTGAGGTGCAGGAACAAAAGCAGGCTCTGGAGGCTGCCAATACCGAACTACTGCAACTCAAGAGAAGGCTGGAGCAGGAGGAACTCGACCACCGTCGAACCCGCGAATCTGCTGCCGTGGAGGTCTCGAGAATCAAGCAGATCAACCAAAGTCTGCATGAGAATCACGAAGACGAGTTGAAAAAGTTGCAACAGGAGTCCGCTCGAGAACGAGGTCTGTTAGTGAAGAGCCATGAGGATGAGATCCAACGACGCCACACCGAGCACGTGGCCACAGTTGAAACCGCCAGAAAACAACATCAGGCCGACATGCACAAGTTTGAGCAGCGGCTCAAATTAATCGAACAGGAAGCCTCGAGGGAAAAGACAGCCTTGATTGAACAGCACGGGCGTGAGATGAGTGAGGCGGACGCCAGAGCCCAAAAAGCTCGCGACAGAGAGGCAGCAGAGATCAGCGATCTGAAGGGCACCATAGCAGAGCTTGAGAGGCAGTTGAAAAGATCTCAGGAGGAACATGCTCAAGATCTTCAGACTGCGCACGAAGAATACACGTCCAAGGAGAAGGATCTCGAGGCTCGCCTAAAGCGTGCAGAAAGTCGACTACAGGATGCAGAGACTCGTGCTCAACACTTACATGACGAAGTCGACAAGGAAAAGGCTGCTCGAAAGGACGTCCAGACGGAACTTGATGATCTTCTTGTTGTTTTTGGAGATCTTGAGGCAAAGAGGTCGGCGGATAAACAAAAACTCAAAAACCTGGGACAGGAGGTGTCTGAAGACGAAGATGAAGAGGCCGATGCCGAGGAGGACAATGATGGTGATAATGATGTTGAATAACAAAAAGCTCTTGATGATACCCTATCGTATTACCAGTGACTGATGTGGCTCATTAACGATCCCATGTACCTGTACATTACTGCCGGCCGTAAACATTGAAAGATTGGGATTCTGAGATGACTGCTGGATTGTGGCCGCGCCCATGTAGTGCGTGACCCAGCGCAGCATGCAAAGGGCCTCCCCTGTAGTGCCGAGCTCGAAGGCTCGCTACCTACCTAGCGATGCAACCAGGGTACTCCGTACGGTGATGAGTCATTCGCCATATTGTTTGTCGCTTGATCATTGAACATTCGAACGAGGCTGTCAGAGCCTTATGAGGTACGTCCAATCGGAGTACTGAGTCTCCGTACCTGCCAAGACTTCGAGATGATCTGCGGTCTTGCCATCCTGACTCACGCTTCAGTACAAAATTCCTGCAGCAAGCCCAGTCCTGAAGATTCGACAGTTCAAACATGGCGGTCGATTTCGCTGCAGAAGAGGCCGCCACTCTTAAGCGCTGGCGGGAGATTGAGGCTTTCCAAACCCAACTGCGGCTGTCGAAGGACAACAAGCCTTACACTTTCTACGATGGCCCGCCGTTTGCGACCGGTCTTCCTCACTATGGCCACTTGCTGGCTTCGACCATAAAAGACATTATACCGAGGTACTGGTCCATGAAGGGTTATTATGTTGAGCGGAGATTTGGCTGGGACACTCATGGCTTGCCAATTGAGTACGAGATTGACAAGAAATTCAATATTTCCGGGCCGGCTGCGGTAAAAGAAATGGGAATTGCAAAATACAATGCGGAATGCAAGGCTATCGTCATGAGATTTGCGACAGATTGGAGAGAGACTATTGATCGCCTAGGGCGTTGGATCGACTTTGACAACGACTACAAGACCATGGATCCTACCTTCATGGAGTCTGTGTGGTGGGTTTTCAAGCAGTTGTTCGATCAGGGACAGGTGTATCGCAGCTACAGAGTCATGCCATTCTCGACCGCGTTGAGCACACCTCTGAGTCAGCACGAAGCACAGTCAAACTACAAAGATACCCAGGACCCGGCCGTGGTCGTTGCGTTTCCCTTGGAGGATGATCCCAAGACAAGTCTCCTGGCCTGGACGACTACGCCATGGACGTTACCATCCAATCTCGCTTTGGCCGTCAACCCCAAGTTCGAGTATATCAAATTTCTGGACAAAGATTCTGGTCAGCAGTTCATCATGCTCGAACAACTACTTCGTACGCTGTACAAGGACCCAAAGAAGGCCAAGTTCACTATCTTGGAAAAGATCAAAGCCACCGATCTCCAAGGAAAGCGCTATCTGCCACCTTTCGACTACTTCTATGAAGATTTCAAAGACCGTGCCTTCAAGGTCTTGCTCGCCGATTATGTAACGGACGACGACGGTACTGGAGTGGTCCATCAAGCCCCAGCTTTTGGTGAGGACGATTTTCGAGTTGGTTTCGAAAATGGTATTGTCAGCCACCAAAAACTTCCACCCAACCCTGTCGACAACACAGGCCGTTTCACGAATGAGGTCACAGACTTTGCCGGTCAGCATGTGAAGGAAGCTGACAAGCACATCATCAAGCACTTGAAGGCCTCTGGCAGACTCATTCGAGAAAGTCAATTGACCCATCCGTACCCTTTCTGCTGGCGGTCGGACACACCTCTGATCTACCGTGCTATTTCCGGCTGGTTTGTGAATATTGCTGGGAACGATAACGTGCCTAGCATCATCCCCGATATGCTAGATGGAATTGCAAAGTCCCACTGGGTTCCGAATTTTGTGAAAGAGAAACGCTTTGCTGAGTGGATCAAGAATGCTCGCGATTGGAACATTTCCAGGAATCGGTATTGGGGAACACCTATTCCGCTCTGGGCGAACGATGACTATTCCGAGGTCATTGCTATTGGGAGTATCGAAGAGCTGAAGAAGTTCAGCGGCTACACAGGAGAGATCAATGATCTCCATCGAGACGCCATTGATGATATCACAATTCCAAGTCAGAAGGGCAATGGCGTTCTGAGACGTGTCGAGGAAGTCTTCGACTGCTGGTTCGAATCTGGAAGCATGCCTTATGCTTCTTCGCACTACCCATTCGAAAACTCCGACCGCTTCGAACAAACTTTCCCTGGCGACTTCATTGCTGAGGGTCTTGACCAGACTCGAGGATGGTTTTACACCCTAGTCATCTTAGGTATCCACCTAAAGAAGATGTTGCCATTCAAGAACTGCGTGGTTAACGGCATCGTGCTTGCCGAAGACGGGAAGAAGATGTCGAAACGACTCAAAAACTATCCAGATCCTACCACGGTCATCGATAAATATGGCGCCGACGCCCTCCGTTTGTACATGATCAATTCGCCTGTCGTTCGAGCCGAGCCTTTGAGATTCAAGGAAACCGGCGTGAAGGAAATTGTGGCAAAGGTGCTTCTGCCGTTCTGGAATAGCTACAAATTCTTCGAGGGTCAAGTGGAGCTGTTGAAGAAAGTCGAAAATGTTGACTACGTTTTCGACCCGAAAGCGGAAAGAACCAATACCAACGTGATGGACAAATGGATTCTAGCCAGCTGCCAGAGTCTGCTCAAATACATCAACGAGGAAATGGCAGCCTACAGACTGTATACAGTTGTTCCTGGCCTGTTGAACTTGATTGATGAAACCACAAACTGGTACATTCGGTTCAATCGCAAACGTTTGAAGGGCGAGTTGGGTTTAGATGACACGATCCACGCTTTGAACACCTTGTTTGATGTCCTCTTCACCCTCGTCCGAGGACTGGCACCTTTTACGCCTTTCATCACCGACCTCATCTACAGCAAACTGCTACCATACATCCCTAAATCTCTGTACAGCGAAGACATGCGAAGCGTACATTTCCTTCCATTCCCAGAAGTCCGAGAAGAGCTCTTCAACGAGGACGTCGAAAGACGAGTGGGACGTATGCAGAAAGTCATTGAGCTTGCACGACAATCAAGAGAGCGGAGAGCACTGGGTTTGAAGACGCCCCTGAAAACTCTTGTGGTCATCCACAAGGACCAGCAGTATCTCGATGATGTCAAGTCGTTAGAAGGATACATTACTGAGGAGCTGAATGTTCGAGACCTGGTTCTGTCCTCGGACGAGGAGAAGTACAATGTCCAGTATAGTGTCACGGCAGATTGGCCTGTTCTGGGCAAGAAGCTGAAGAAGGAGGTGCAGAAAGTGAAAAAGGCCCTTCCAGATGTCACAAGCAGCGAGTGTAAGGCATATCTCTCAGAAGGAAAAATCACGGTCGCCGGCATCGAATTGGTCGAAGGAGACCTGGTAGTGAGAAGAGCTCTCAGAGAAGACGAAAGCTCCAAGGACCAGGAGACCAACACAGACAACGACGTTCTGACCATTCTCGATGCTGCTTTACATCCAGAGCTGGCACAGGAGGGGCTTGCCCGTGAGATCATCAATCGTGTACAACAGCTTCGGAAGAAAGCGAATCTCAAGCCCACTGACGATGTCAAGATGGAATACAAGGTGCAAGAAGATCCAGACAATATCGGATTGGAGCAAGTCTTTGAGCAGCAGGGTGCGTACATTGAGAAGGCGCTGAGACGGCCTGTGGACAAGCATGTCGTTACAGAGTTTGACGGGCAGGTTCCAAATGGAGTCAAGCAAGATTTCATCCTTGAGGAGGTGCAAGAAGTGCAAAAAGCGACGTTTTTGTTGAGGCTGCTCAAGCTGTGAAGAGCACAAACACATGTAGGATGAAAACGCTTTGATTATGAGGGTAGAATTAGAGCGAGTTAAGGCAGCCTAGGCCTTCCAGAGAACTCTTATGATCTCTTCGCGTTTTTCTAGGGAAGATGTCAGCTAGAAGTATCAGAAAAGAGACGAATGATGAAACATAGCAAGGCCGAGCCGAGCGCTGAGATGACCATGGCGCTGCCCTCCCTGTTTTGCGAGCGTGGAATATCGCCCCAGCGCACTCAGTCCAGGTGATAGAATTAACGGATCGACCTACCAAATAGCAGTCCTTCAGACGCATAAACTCCTTCGCGCACATATCTTGGTATGTTGACTGGTAGTCTGCTAGTATACATTTGCCATACGCCGTAGCCTGTATTGGTAGGTACAGATGTTAGCTTGAATTTCTTGTTGCTCATGGCAGGATGTTTCAAAGTACAACAGCCTTGAGAAGGGGGGGGGGGGTTTTTGAACGTACCTCCACAGAACACTTCGCAGCGGCTTCCGCGAGTTTCTCGATGGGCCGCGCGCGGCCGGACATCGTCGGCATCTTTCGAATGGTCCGAAGGATGTGTCAACAGGAGGGAATGTCGTTTGGATGTAGATGTAGATATGATGTCTAGGAAAATATTTATCCAGAGGAAGTCCTCAAAATCCTCAGGTCAACCACATCGACCTCCGAAATTGGAGTTTTCTTCCCTTGTTTATTTCCTAGTCTGGGTATGTGCACAAGTCCTATACGACCCGTCTGTAAGAGAGTGCATGTCCATGTGATAATGTGTGGTGGCGCCGGAAGTCGTTGACGACGGGCATCAAAGACTACGTCGGAGCATGCTGTCACGAGTTTGAGAGTCGCTCATTGGTCCCGGCGGGACTGCGCTCAGAGATGCATATACTCCGCTGAGATCCATCCGGCGTCATGCCTACGTCATCGGCATTTATGCTGGAATGACCGCAACCGCGTAAGTGCAGTGTAATGTTTGAGCAGGCAAACAATTCGAGAGATGTTGCAATTGAGGCGAGTCTACACGATAAAGCAACCAAAAATCTGAATCAAACCATCAGCCATCATCACCATCATCATTCTTAGCCAGCATAACTACCTCAACACGCCTCTGTCAACCCGTCCGACCCGCAATCAACAACATGTCCTCCCGCACCCACGCTCACGGCCACACTCCCGGCCACCCAACAACACACGCCAAAGCCGTCGACCCGTCGGCCGCCAGTCACCAACACCTGACCAACCATCCAACGCACTCCGACCCTCCCAATCCAGCAGACAACACCACTAATTTCCAATCCTCCGATCCAAGCACGAACGCCCACGCCAAACCCACGAGCAAAGTCATGGGCGACCTCAAGGGCATGGCTCACGGCGTGACCGGCAGTATGGAAGCCGCCACCGGCACACTCCTGCGGAATAAGAACATGCAAGAAAAAGGGTTCGAGAAAATGAGCGAAGAGGACCAACGCCTGGCCGCGAAGAGTGGGAAAGCACCCGTAGGCACGACGGCTGTCGATGAGAGCAGCCCTCAGGCCGCGAGTTATGGGCCAGGACGGACGACAACCGAGTTGTCGAAGTAAGCTGGCCCTTGACCATCGCGTCCAAGGTGTGGCGGAGAGCATGGCGAGACGAGGCTTGCAGAAAGACAGCATGGAGACGGGCAGGACAAGCTAATGACCGGAGCATTGATGCGTACGAAACCCTCACGTCGAAGGGGGCCTTGGTGCTCCTGCGACTGCTTTGTCAATGGCCATTCCTTACGCTAGACTAAGGCGAGGGCAGCAAGCAATAGTACAAACTAAGCTGGGAGAAGGCTGTGCTGGAGTCAACTGAGATACCACTATTTGCCTTGCACTAGCGAAGTATTCACGACATATCGTGCAACAATTCAGAATTGTTCAACTCATCTGGTTCAAGACATATGATGCTGATGATACGTTTTAGTAGTTCGGCGCAAAGATCAATACGACTAGAGCAACTTGGTGCTGTAGTACACTTTTCGTCCCGTCTCCTTGGAACCCATCCTACAGCCTTCGGCACAGGGACCTCATTGCTGGCTCAATCCAGCCCAGCATGGCTCGATCTTGCAAGCTCGGTCTGTGATGTGAGCACAAGACATGACTTCGGTGAACATGACAACCATCCAAGAACAATAAACCCAATTTCATTGACCAGCAAGTCGCTTTTTTGGTGATTGGGACGCCTCCATCATTAGACAAGGGTCGGCTATGGACATGACATGATTAGAACGTATGACAGACAGGTAACACTGCCCGGATGCAGCATTATCGACATTTCCGGCACGCAGCTGTGCGTGTGGTAACAAATTTTTAGAGTATCCAAAATCCCAGCCTATTCATTCCTGCTCGAAGAAGAACCCATCATCCCCAGTTTTCTGGACCCCACTCATCCGATGCTCATGCGTCCTTGAGCGTGCCAAACCGTTTTCATCAACTCGGTCATCGTCGCCATCTCTCGAACCGCCAAAGCGCTCTTCCATGGTACTCTCATCGACAAACGTGAAACCTCTGAAAGCATTCTGCATGGTTGGCGACAAAGGCGTCGAAGCAGGGTTAGCACCAGCTGCCAGAGCGGCGGCGCGAGCATTCAAAGAAGATGAAGTGTTCAAGGCGTTGGTGAACTCGGGATCGAAATTTGAGGTGTCGGCGACCGAGGACAACTTCGGCTTGAACGGCGGCACAAGGTTCTTCTTGCCTAGAGCATCCCACTGGACGTCGGCGAAGAATGGGTGCGCCATCAATTCGTCGGCATCACCATTGGCACCTAGTCTGTGCCTGGGATTGCGGTTCAACAATCCCTTGACGAAATTGCGGCCTTCAGTGCTCAATGCGTCTCTCGGGAAGCGTACTTTGCCGAACGCAATGTTCTTATACATCTGCTGGGTGTCCTCGGCATAGAAAGGACTCCAGCCGCAGCACATCTCAAAGACTAGAACGCCAAGTGACCAGAAGTCAACCATTTTGGTGTAGCCTTGCTCGTCGAGTAAGACCTCAGGAGCCAAGTATTCGGTGGTGCCACAGAAGGTATTGGTAGTGTCATCTTGAGTTAGATTGGCCTTGGAAAGTCCGAAGTCGCATAAGGCAATATGACCATTGGCATCCAGAAGGATGTTCTCTGGCTTAAGATCCCTGTAGACTATGTTATGTTCATGGAGGTGCTTTAGCGCCAAAATGAGCTCAGCAATGTAAAATTTGGCGCGGTCCTCCTTGAACCGGCCTTCCTTTTGAAGGTGCCAGAATAACTCGCCTCCGGACATGAAATCTGTGACCAAGTAAAGATCGGTGGGCGTCTGGAACGAGAATTTCAGGCCAACGATGAAAGGTGATTCGGTGGTGGCCGTCCGTACCAGGATATTTCTCTCTCCAATGGTGTGTTGAATTTCCTTCTTTTGGATGATAACCTTCTTCGAAAGGACCTTCATTGCATAAATACGTCCGGTGTCCTTCTTGCGGACTTGGTAAACTTGGCCAAACGTACCCTTCCCGATCAACTTTAGAATCTGGAAATCATTAGGGCCGAAATGCTTCTTGTCGACCTTGGTAAAATGCATGCGGATATGGATCTCGCCAGTTATGTCTTGGTCTTCTGGGCTTCTTGGCCCGAGCTGGAAGAATCCCTCCAGATCAGGTTGTTGTTCCGAAAGATTCAGACACAAGCGGACATGGCCCAAGAAAGCTTCGGTCTGACGGTCATACACTGTCACGTCCAGCTCTGACTGGTGACTGACGACGTCGCTAGAAGAATGTTAGCGCTTCGAATGGTTAGGACACACAGGCTGGACTTACAATGTGGCGTCGTGGTCCCACTGGGGGTCAGTCACCTTGCTGAGCCCCCGTTCGTCGCCAGTCCCATTTGTACTGCTCTGGCGACTACGCATCGGGATAGCCATTGGCTTCCCCATATCGCTGTCTGTTCGTCGGATTGGGATAGATTGTAGTGCACCCACAGGTCCCTTTCGGTCATCGCCATCCACGTCCATCCTGTCGTGCTTGGGGCCTTTAGACACATATTCATTCCATTCAAATTGACAGACGACATAAGGATCATAGGAGGGCTTCAGATTCCGGCCCTCCGCAATCTTGATAGACAACTTGCCTCGAGGAGCAGTCGTAGGTGGTATGTCCTCTTTCGGCAAAGCTTTCTCCGTCGTCTCGGCACTACTGTCCCCAGCGGCCGTGCTCGTGCTGGACAATGGTGAACGTGTTTCAATCCGTCGTCCTTCTTGGGACAAGGCTCGAGGAGTGAGAGGTGGTGTAGACTTTTTACGCGGCCGATCGGCCACGTCTGAAGTTAGCTCTTGTGTCTCTTGTAAAATCTCAGATGACGGTGGCTTAGCAGAACTTGGAGATGGATGTTTGGGGCTTTGTGGTCGTGAGGAGTGGGTGGACGATGTAGGGTTGGAGATATGTGCCGCAGAAACATTGCTTTTGGTAACGCTAGAGACGGGTAAGGACTGGTGCCGACGCTCTTTCACCGCAGATGCACTCTTGGGGAGTACAAAATTCCTCAGAGCCTGCGTGATGGAAGCTAGACCACCGTCCAGCATTGATGAGCCATTCTCTGCAGCCTCTCCATCTCGGTGCACCACTGAAGCGGCGGACGAGACTGGTGTAGGCGGCATTTGAGGGGTGTCAGTCTGTGTGACCGGCTGCGTAGACTCAGTCTGTGGCTCATCAGGTGGCGGCGTCGGCGCCGGTGCTTGTTCCCGCTCCACCATCACCATCGAGCCTAGAGATGCAGACGACACCCGGCGGTCCTCGTGTTTCTCCGGACTCTTCAACAAGGAATGTGCAGACTCTTCATTATCTTCGGGGGTGGTGGCAGCTTGAGATGACCGTGACGGGGTATCTTGAGAAGGATCTCTACCCACCTGGCCAAAGTAGCTGTGCATGATTCCAGGTAGTCGCTTATCGTGGAGGTCTGGCCGTGGCGTCGCAACGCCTGAAGGGGTGGGCGAGCCCGAGCCGATCTGATCGTGGAGATCATCTCGTAACTCTTGTCTAGCACTGCTGTCCGCAGGGTCAGCGATGAACTTGAGAGAAGATACAGCAGCAGCAGACAAAGGTCCTCTCATGCCACCACCAGTGCCCAGTCCAAGTGGGCTACACATGATGATCGCCTTGCAAGAACGCTAGTTGTATATCCAGAAGCGGGCTTTCACCCAGGACCCAAATATTGACGGACTCGGAACTAATTCGTAGGGACCATGGTGAAAGGAGGCCAAGTGAAGAAGTTGGCGCTCCTTGCAACCGAGGCCAAGGAAAGAATAGCCCCGCGGTGTATAGCCAACCATTCCCGAGTTCGTCGAATACGAAGCACTTTGGTAAAGAAAATTTGTACGTACTTCTGTGCCATGGCTTGTCTTAACAGGTCTGCAGCTGCCTGTGGGTTGACACCAGTCTGCGCCATGACGGCGTCACACTTCTAATGGTCCTCCTCTTCGCAAATCCAACACCGTTGGTTGGGGTTTAAGTATCTCGTTGATATCGCAGCTTCCCGCCTACGGAGTGGGAGGGTTCCTGAATTTCCGGTTACAGGCTCAAAGGGAGTGACGAAAGTGGTGCAGAATTTGGAGATTCTCGGAAGCTTGTCGGCAGGGATCGTAGGTAGTTCTCGGAGACACTCCCAGGTCTGACTCAAAATGAAGGCCCCGGAGGCTGGAAAATGGCAAGGGTTTGGTTGAGGATGTAAGTGGCGAGTAGATCGGTAACGACAGCGAGTTCGACGGGAGCGGATGGTGATGGTGATATAATCGAGCTACAGGTAGCGAAAAATTATAACCTTTGAGATTCTGGCGGGCTTATGGTACACCGGGAGTAGAGGAACCACAAGGAACCCTGTGTGGGATGGGGTAAAAGAGTGGTTCGACAATGGCAAAGGGCGAGCGGGCAGGCGCAAGGGCAAGGGTAAGGGCGAGAGAAAATAATCGAACACGCAGGACCGATGTCATAGGACAGACCCGGGCAAGAAAAACAGGATGCTTCGGGATACCGTAGGCGAGCCAAAGAACATGGCCCTGTCAATTGCTACCTACCTTACCTACTCAGTACCTACGGAGTATTCCAGTAGTGGTGGGATACAGTGGTGGCTAGGCTATTTAGGTTGGCCCGATGGAAAATCGATAAAGTTATTTGAGCCACCCCTTCGCTGCGTTGCCTCCCACGATCCAGCTCAAAGGAGTCAGCAAGCCAGATCTCTTGTCCAGCTGGACAGGCAAGCACCTGGTAGGTAACGGCAGGGGCACAAACCAGGAATATCTCCGAAGGCCAGACATCTCGAATCGACTGGCAGTACTCGAATCTAGCCTGACCGTGCTGAAGGATGGGCTGTGCTTCAGGCAGACTATTGCGCGGCAAAGATTGACAGGTAACGAAAACAGACACTGATGTGTTCTCCATTCGTTCTGTTCGTAATTGTGCCCTTTACGAGACTGGCATTCGAAACTGCTGGACGATTTACGCATCCAAGACGACGTCATCCATTTGAAACCTTTCCCTTGTCGTGCTGGGCCACTATGTTGCATTTCTGATACATCCTGGCCGGACCAGGCCTCTGAGATCCTGGACAAGAAAAGCAAGCGAATCCCCGTCCTTCAGGCTCTCTTCCAAGGCGATTTCCATCCCTCGATGGAGAAGGGGTGTACGAGTCAGTGTTTGCCAGAGCCGCGACTTGCATGTGCGTTTTGGCAAATGTCTGGCCTTGATTCGACCCGACAAAATCTCGGAGCAAGCAGAAAACCTCAGCACATGCAACGTCGTCTCGGCGTGCCCGCAAGGCTAATAAGGAGGCCATGTTTTGTCCTACCTAACATGACCTAGAATAGATTCTGGTACTGCTCACCACTTGCCTGGCAGACACTGGACAGACGCCTTGTATAGACGCCTGATCGGCTATTCACTGTTTGTCGCGTATCTCCTTACTCCGACAAGAAGACTCGAGGTCGAATATCATGCATCATCTATGGAGGATGCCCATCAAACGGACAAGTGCGTAGGTTTGAAGCCGATCAGATCACGGTTACCTGTTTGGGCTGTGTTTGATACCCTGATGTTGGATACGTGATAAGCCTGAGCTGCCAGTCTTGTCTGTGTTACTCAGCGAGGATCGCCCGTGCGACCTACTATAGTAGCAAGTGGGTTAGACGACGTCGAGATGGGCCTTCAATGGTTTGGCTGGCCTTGAGCTGTATGGAGTCTCCAATGACGACTATCATTATACTCGCAGCATCCAAAGCAAATTTAGGGCTGTGCGTGGGCTTGTCTTCGCTCCCTGTGGGAGGTTTGAGCGAGGGCCGAATAGCAGTTTTCTGTGATATCTGTTCAAAGATCGAAAGTCATGTACTCGAGAGTCTGCTAAAAATTGCATATGCATCGTTAATGGAAGAATAAGTCACAGATCGGTAGTTTTGCTTGACCGTTGAAAGTTGCGGCTATTGTCTCAGTGCCTGAACCTACTCGAGCCAGATCTGGGGCAAACTTAGCCTCGCTGCGACTAAGGAGCAAGTTTTGTCGGCAAGGCTGCGACCGCGTTTGCGCGTGTCTTGAAATTGTTACACCCATCTGCAACCAGAGGATTTTGGTAATCAACCCGCCCATCCTTTCTCATGGCGAGACGCCCTCGTCTTGCGGCGCAAGTCGCCCAAGCTTCCATGCGTGTGTTTCCATCAATGAACTCGACTGCAACGATCCTTACTAAGTCGTGTCAGGAACCCCAATCCCAAACATTTCCGACAACGAAGACGATGAGATGCCAGACGCTACACCTGCAGATCCGACAACGCCGCAAGCAGATGAAGATGATGGAATTAATGAAGATGATGAAGACACGAACGAGGCGGAAGAGGCTCCCACACCTTCAAGAGGTTCAGAACAGCCCTCTCGCTCGGCCACTCCTCGTCGGGGTCCAGGGCGGCCATCTCTACCTTTCAGCAGGCGAAAACGTCTAGGACGACCGCCGAAGCATCGACCCCCTGTTTCTGATGATGACAATAACGATGTCGGATCCGAAATCAGCACACCCAAGAGGAGAGGTGGCTTCCGTGGCCACAGAGGAGGACGATGGGGAAAGGCCAGAGGCGGCGCGACAAGAGCAGCAGCCCCTCTCGACGCGGACGGAAACCCAATGGAGATCGTGAATGACGAGGTCGAATTACCCGAAGATCCAGAAGGAGAGACAAAAGTGGACAAAAGTGGCCATCTCCTGGGTGGTAGAGAATATCGGGTCCGTACATTCACCATTTTGGGAAGAGAAGATCGACTCTACATGCTTTCGACGGAGCCAGCACGCTGTATTGGGTTCCGCGACTCGTATTTGTTCTTTCAGAAGCATCCGCATCTCTACAAGATCATCATCGACGACGACGAGAAACGAGACCTCATTGAACGGGATGTCATACCCCATTCTTACAAAGGCCGGGCTATTGGTGTTGTGACTGCACGCTCTGTCTTCCGTGAATTCGGGGCGAGGATTGTCATTGGGGGAAAGAAGGTTACCGACGACTACGAAACACAGAAAGCACGAGAACGGGGGGATGTCGAAGACGAGCTGGCTGTTCCTGAAGATCGGCTTCCTCCACCCGGGGAACCGTACAACCGCAATCAGTATGTGGCATGGCACGGTGCCAGTGCAGTATACCACACCAATGCACCAAGCGTACCGAACCAGGCAGTTAAAGCCCAGGAAGGGAAGAGACGGAAGATTGTCGTTACGAGCGATAATTGGATGTTTGAACATGCGCGAGAAGCCAGGTAAGGAGTTTGCTTGTTTCAAAAGTCCGATACTAAACCATCTCTCACAGTCGGTTCAACTCTACGCTGGCAGCAGGCCGTCTAGAAAATCTGAATGGGGTCTACGACATTCACACCAACGCCATGCATTGGCCAAGTCATATGCAACCAACGCGTGCCCGATGGGAAGTTGTCAATGACGAAAATGGTGCTGAGCTTCAGAAGGAGACATACAAACTTCCTCCTCTTGATCCGGTCTATGCCAGGAATTTTCGGATACATGACCTTTGTCTGGAATCAGCACCAGAATCATGGCTAGGAAGGCCTGGTCCTGATGGAGACAGTGAAGGGCTTTCGTCAATACCACCAGAAATTCTGGAAGAGCTTCCAGCCCATTGCTTACAGGCCTTTGAAGAAGCCAAGGCACGTGAAGTCGATTGGCGAGGCAAGTGGCATTCAGAACGAGTCGATGGTCTGCGGGCACGCTTTCTCACATCCATTGACTGGTACCCGAAATGAATATGAAGCTCTCCACCTGAGAATCTGCCCCTGATGCCGCGCATTTACGGTACTCGACGGGCACTCTGGGCCGATGATTAACTTCAGTGGAAGGAGGCTGCTACAACAGTTGTTTGACCCCCAACTACATCTTGCACTGACAAGCTGAACAGAAGTCAAGCTCCAACTCCAGCTTGTCAGAGGCTTGCCCTCCTGCCGCTGCAGCTCGGCCAACTGATTTGGCCGTCTCCTTGCCGGAATCTTGTGTCGATGATTTTCTCCAGTTTCGTCCGTTCAGGACACGAGAAGAGCGAGGTTCGTGCAGGAACGTCCAGCCCACATTTCAGCCCAGTTCTGCCGTTGAAGCGGAGTAGAGGTGGCATTTGACATCCTCTGGGCCATAATTTCGACCTTTGTGGGAATTCAGACTTGCAAACCCGGTGGAACCCGACATGGCTGCATGCAGCAAAAAGTCCAAGCGTGACTTCAAGGAGTCGAACAAACCGAACCTCGGCGGATTTCGTGGAGAAGGAGCTGTCTCATTCTCCATGATTGGTTTGGCAGTTTCTGTCTCCTCCAGCAGCATTCTACGAAGCCAATGAAATATTACAGCACCACTCCTTCAAGTCAATCGTGACAACGTAGAATTTTCTTCCAGTGGAGTTGCTCGTATCGATTCTGCATATTCATGGACCGGCGGCAGAAGAGACGAGACTTGTTAAGACAACCCGTGAGGGGTTGCAGAGCGGACGTATTCTGTGATCTCTAGAGTCCATGGTGGGCATTCGAGGACGAGTGAGATGGAGCCTTTTCATCCGCGTGGATATGGCCATGTGCTCACGCTGTTCAGGAGGTAAACCCACGTTGGAGGCACTGTCTGTATACCTGGTAGTTTCCCAACCGCCTTGCACGTGAGAGAGAACAATGATGTCGTTGTGCTGGAGAAAACTCCGAGGCAGTGTCGGATCGTTCTAAGCGCAGAGCAATACAGGTAAGCAGTGCCCAAAACGCTGCAGCTAAAGGAAAGGCACCCGGTGAGAAGACTGACACTAGCACTTACGAGCTGGCATTACGAAATCCAAGGGGGCGAATCAATCTATAATGGACAAGTAGCAATAACGTCTCGATCAATATGCAGAATGATGGCAGAGCAAGCACATTCGCAGTATTCTAGTAGGCGGCATTCAATTGTTTGTGAGACAGGGTTTCTGTCATTCTTCAAAGTGATGGAAGTGGCTTTTTCGGAAGCCCACGTCTGCATAGAAACTGAGTCTAGGCAGCCGGATAGTGGTCGAGCGTTCGTCACAATGAGTGGCGGATGCGAATGGATAGTTAGCCGGTGGCAAGAGGCAAGAAGGCGAAGACGAGGGAAGACAGGTCTCGGAAATATGGGGACAACCAGAATGACTTTCGAGGGTTGCTGGATGCATTTCATCATACTCCGTAGTGCTCCCCAAGTTGCATGTATAGTATTGATCTTCGTTAGGGGGCGAGGGGCGCAGACACCGACACTGCCAGGCAAAGCGAATAATAATGGCCAGCAAGAAGATGATAACTTAGTGTAAGTCAACAGCCATCACGGCGTCCTCGCGGTTTGTTAGTAGTTAGATGGCCAAGGCGGCAGCCGGGCGGACCGGAGAAAGCCAGGCGCACACATTGGCTGAACATTACTAAATCACGCGGTCACATTGATTCTCTCAGAACCTACGCGAATTCATCACAGCGAATGCGATCTTGTGAGCGAAGTGTCTGCATGGAGTGAGCGCAAAATGACTGTGATTGAAGTGATGGACAGAATGACACATTCTCCTGGGCACCTAACAGTCTTTCATCGCCTCTTCAAGAGTCAGCCCACCCACCCATGTTATTCACTATTCCCTCAGCTTCATTCTCACTGGGCCCCAAATGCGCTCGTCAACCAGTCAGTCGTCTGGAGCCCAGAAGCAATGGTTGGGCTGGCTCCCTTCACTCTGTTAGCTAAAAAATCTTACCCTGCGACTACTCCTTTTTTCACTGGCTCCTGTTGGCTGGCTGGTCTGTTCGTTTCCGAACCGTCGTCTTAATGCTGCAGCCACTTTATCCTCCTGCCTCCGCTTCGCTTTCGCAGCCCCCGATTCCCAAGCCCGGCCGTCCTGTCGCTCTCACCCTTTTGCCCTCCACTGCCCTCTCGCCATCGAACCCTGCCGTGCCCAGCCCAGTCCACCCGCTAAAACCTCGAGTGACTGGCACACTGGCAACCCGCACATCGATGTGCACAATTCTCGTCCCTTCCCCTCCCAATCCCGTGTCTTCAACCTCATCATCCTTTTTTCTCATCTCCCCATCACCTCACCTGTTTTTTGATCATTTCTTCTCAAACCTCTCACCTCCTCCTTCACCTCACCTCTCTCCTCTCAAAGCCGGTGTTTGTTTGTCGTTGTTTGTTGGTGCAGCCACCGTTGCTATTCCTGGCCGACGATTGAAGGATTTTCACCCAGCCAATTTCGGACCCGGGCCCACGCCTGCCTCTTGAGTGACGACTCCTTGCGGTCAGCTTGATTGCCACAATTTCCCACGCACCACCGTCGCCAGGCTACCGATTTTGGGCCTTGCTTCGCCCATACCAGTTCCGCCTTCTTGTCGCCCAGGCAGCCCTCGAATAGTCTTGGTGGCCAAATTGAGGTTTCTTCTGACGAAGCCACCTGCGCGTCACGAGCCGGTCAGAGCCTTCTCACTGCAGACGTTTCTCGCCTTGCTAGTGGCTGTGTCTCCCCGTCCACACTTCTGTCCTTCGCCCGGCGTTGCAGGGTCTCAAACCTCCATCACCACACCTTTTTCGCTTGCTCTCATCCGAACAACAAACGCGCACCCGTTTCTCTATCTCAAGTCACCAGGAACGTTGGTTGTCTTGAGAGTGAGTGCGCTTTTGGGTGACACCACTTGGTATGTTCTCTGCCGTCCCCTCGACCTGATCTATCTTCTACCAGCTCAAGCTCGGTAATTGGCGAAACATGTGCCCTTGTACCAGTTCTTTGAAGACATCGTCCTAACTTCAATCGCGTCTGCAGGCTGCCAGATTCAATAAACGTCTTCCTTACACTGCCGCATCCCTCAAAAAGCGACTACCCTTACTGTTTCGACGAGCTTTTCACTAAGTCTTGTCCGCCAAAATTTAATACTGCTCTTCCAACCTCCAGAGGAGATATCTGTACACGATCTGTCGTTTGTCGGTCTATCCGTCGAACCACACCAATAACACCTACGCCCTTAACGAAGACCAGTACTTTCGGCATCGCTTCGAACTCAGCGTTTGGCCGCGAACGATTGTCATCTCCATGCTCGGCTTCTGAGGTTGCTTTACACAACACCTTCAAAAGCTTCGGCTTGAACGCCGAGTGCGTTGACGTAGTCAGCGCTTGCAGACAGTGAGTACATTGCGGCTTCAAGGGTACCAACAAGTTACTAACCTTTATCAGGGCTTCTGGGGCTGTCTGCTTCCCATCATCCCATTGAGCATGCCTTCTTACCACTCCTGGGGGCCAAATGGCCAGCACTCCAGACTCCCTCCCACTCCTCCAGAGTATCAGAACGACTACCTAACACCGATGAGCGCTGTCTCGGAGCGAGCCTACTATCAGTCACAAAATTACCACCCTCGCCGCTCACTGTCTACTAGAGACTACAATGACAGATACCAGGCCCCACCCGCATATACTGCCCAGCAGCCTCTTGCAAGCCAGGTAGCAAGTCTCGGCCATGCTTCAGTATCCCAGGAATATCCATATCCTCAACCATACCCGCAAGCGGGTGGACAATATGGATATCCTGCTGTCGGTGCGCCCATCTTGCCTCCGATCCGTGTCACCGATGGGATGGGCTTCTCTGCCCACTATGCTCAGCAACCCACTGAGTCCAAACCAAAGGAGGAGAAACCAACCGGAGGCGTGGCGCAACATTTGGACTATGATATGGATTTGATGTCGAATTTTGTGGCTGAGATGTCCCAGAAACTGTACGTTGACTGAATACAATGGACTGCGCGCTGAAGCTAACTATCGGCACAGTGTCACACCGGATTCATCTCCATCCTCCCAGTTCCGGAAATACGTCTCTCAAATCCTCTCATCTACTCGCTTACCGAGCTCGACAATCATGCTCGGTTTGTTCTATTTGGCATCGCGCATGCGACAGTTGAACGAGCGAGGCCAATCGACTTCGTCGTCCGGTACCGTGTATCGTATGCTCACTACGTGTCTCCTCCTCGGCAGCAAATTTCTCGATGACAACACCTTCCAAAATCGATCTTGGGCCGAGGTCAGCAGCATCCCTGTCAAGGAGCTGAACATGATGGAAATACAATGGTTGACAGACTTCAACTGGGAAATCCACGGCATGATGTACGACGAAGAGGAAGGCTTCTTCATGTGGGTCGAGCACTGGCATGCCTATGAAGAGAAAGCTCAACTGGCCAAAGTGAAGGAGATGCAGAAGTTGGCACCGATTGAGACTAGCATCCGTCGCAGTCATTCTCTTCATCAACAACCTCTCATGTCCCCTGAAGGCCCAATTCCCCCTCAATATCAACAAGGCTCGCAGTACGACACTCGCTGGGTTCAGCCATACATCTCGGAGTACTCGCCGCCATCCGCGCCTCACAGTGGTCCTGCCACGCCAGACTACTACACCCCGACATGGTCTTACACGCCCACGGGTCCGTCATTTGGCCGCCAGTCTTATCATTCTAGCAATACTTCGGCCTATGCTGCTCAGCGTAACCAGCTTCCCACTCACGGGCACAATTATGGGTATCCCCAAAACATCACACCTAGTTGGATGGCTCACGCTCCCAACTGCGGCTGCGCTCTGCATGCCAAACAGTCGGACTACTACTTCAGTCATGCTGGATATCCTATGCAAACTGTCGTCGGTTAAATCATTTCATACCGTCCAGCGTTCAGCGAGCTCGAGTTGGTCGAAAAAGTCATCGAATCGCACCGTTTCTTGGGTTCCCCTGTTTTACCATCGGCAATCTTGCCCTCATGGGCTACCCAGACGACATCGAAGAAAGCCACTTCGACACCATCAGGTCACGTCCCGGCGCTTCTTGATGAGTCGAAATCTTCGCTAATTGACCTTTCATCTAACGACCTTTTACGAAATTGTACCTTCCAGTCCTTCATTCTTCGGCATTTAAACAGCGAGCAACCTTTTTTTTCAATGATAGAGCAAGGGTCCGTTCTTTCTTACATACATTCACGACGAGGTGGGTGATTTCAGGAGCTTCATGGGGAAGGCAAAAGTCACAAAAAAGTTCAGCGCTCCAGAATGGGTGGTCGGCGTTATGGGTAGTGTTGGTACATGGGGATCTTTTCGAACACAGGGCACGCTTCAAATACTTGCTTTACGGTGTCCTCTCGGACAGTGAGGCAAGATGTGCATTCATACTGAGGGGCCAACTCGGTGGTGGTTGTGCCTAAGGTTTGCCGGTTCCGTCAAACTTGTAATTAGCTATGTGAAACGAGGCGGTCGGTGCAATGAAGGGAGGTTTCAAAGGTGCAACAAGAATCGACTCATGCTCCCAAGGGTTTTTAATGGATGTCGAGGTCTGCATGATGACAAGAACAAGGCGCACACCTAGAACGGCGGTGTTAGCAAGCACCGGGGACATGTTGGCCATTGTTATTAACGGACCCTCTGTTGGGTCTTGATGCATTCAGATGGGCATATACCTCTCGATAGATTGATTATTGCTATGACTTTTTGCTGCACGAACCCGGAGATAAGAAGACTATCAAAGGACGACTTTCCTAAGAAGTGATGGATCCTCAAGTTTCTACTTCGTAGAATGCAAAGGCCCTATGAACCGCCCGTTGGTGGATGATGGTGGCAAGCAGAGGGCGTGCAGAAGGCTAGTGAGGCTCAGGCTGCGCTGTGACGCGGCGAAGTAGGGTATGTGCCAAGACCGGACTGGTCTCGCCGCGCCGCATCGTCCTGCTCACTGCGAGCTACGGATCAGTACCGAACGTATACCATTCCGAACACCATAGCAATCCAGCATTTTACGATCTCCAGATTGTTCGTTGGAACTTCCAATTCCCGTCAAGCCTTGATTCGGGTTGGACTTTACCTGCACCATTCCTCCCCGTCCCTGACCCATCGCACTCGCCAGCCGGTCCGCAATATGTCGACACTAGAGGATCTCGATGATTTGGAGCGTGATCAGAAGGAGGAGAAGAAGGATGGTGATGACAAGGACAAGAAGTCTCCCACTGACGGAGAATCTAAAGATGCCGAGATGAAAGACGCAGACGCTGGAAAGAAAGAAGAAGAAGAAGATTACATCGACACCGAGATCCTTCAATCCAGTACCAGAGACATCATCAACCGGCGGCGGTTATTGGAGAACGAATTGAAAATCTTGAAGAGCGAGTTTCAGCGGCTGAAGCATGAAGAGACCACAATGAAGGACAAAATCAAGGACAACCTAGACAAGATCGAGAACAATAGGTGAGCAAGGCTACACGACTGCGTGGAGATCTGGGTGACTAATATCTCTACGATAGACAATTACCGTACCTCGTTGGCAACGTCGTCGAACTTCTTGACCTGGATGTTGAGGCCGAAGCAGCGGAAGAGGGAGCAAACATTGATCTGGACGCCACCCGGGTCGGCAAGTCAGCAGTGATCAAGACAAGTACCCGACAAACAATATTCTTACCGCTGATCGGGTTGGTGGACCACAACAAGCTCAAACCCGCCGACCTTATCGGTGTCAACAAGGACTCGTACCTCGTTCTCGACACTCTTCCTGCCGAATATGACTCAAGAGTCAAGGCTATGGAAGTCGATGAAAAGCCCACTGAGAAGTACACGGATGTTGGTGGTCTCGACAAACAAATCGAGGAACTTGTCGAAGCAGTGGTATGGCCCATGAAGGAGGCAGAGAGATTCAAGAAAATTGGTATCAAGGCTCCAAAGGGTATGTTGCCACCTGCGTAGGTACGCCAATATGCTTACCAACGTCGTTAGGTGCTTTGATGTATGGCCCTCCGGGAACTGGCAAGACTCTCCTTGCTCGTGCGTGCGCAGCTCAAACGAACGCCACTTTCCTTAAGCTCGCCGGTCCCCAGCTTGTCCAAATGTTTATTGGTGATGGTGCCAAACTTGTTCGAGATTGCTTCGCGTTAGCCAAGGAGAAGGCGCCATCAATCATCTTCATCGACGAACTCGACGCCGTTGGCACGAAGCGTTTCGATTCAGAAAAGAGCGGTGACCGAGAAGTCCAGCGAACCATGTTGGAATTGCTCAACCAGCTGGACGGTTTCGCTTCGGACGAAAGAATCAAGGTTCTGGCTGCCACCAACAGAGTTGACGTGCTCGACCCTGCCTTACTCCGCTCTGGTCGACTAGACAGGAAGATTGAATTCCCGCTTCCCAATGAGGAGTCGCGTGCGCAGATCCTTCGTATCCATTCCAGGAAGATGACCGTGGATGAGGGCAACATCAACTGGAACGAACTTGCCAGATCTACCGACGAAATGGGAGGAGCCCAGTTGAAAGCTGTTTGCGTCGAAGCTGGTATGATCGCTCTTCGAAAAGGACAAAGCAAGCTGGTCCACGAAAACTATGTGGACGCGATCGCCGAGGTCATGGCGAAGAAGAAGGATACGTGAGTATACCCGTCACCGGGATCTGATAGCAAGAAGCTAACGTCTTACAGTGTCAACTTCTACGCATAGCCGCACCCGCAAGTTAGCATGCAAGCTTTCCAGATTGGCCAGATACTGGCATGTACAGATTAGCGAATCATGGTACGGTGATGGGATAGAAAGTCATCGCCACAAGACTATCAGCCATGGCGATGCCCATAAAATCTTGGATGGGCCAAATATGGTAGCAGCAGTTTATCCTGCCATGTAACTTTGAAGGCCAGCATATAAGATAGCTGGCTCAGGTATCCAATCGCTTGACTTCCGTCAGCAATGCGTAGATCTGTCGCCTGCTCGCGTGTTTTCTGACCCTGGTTAGGTTGCTTTTACTACGTATCAAGCCCGAAGCGACTGTTGGAGCAATCGCCTGTTTGCAGCCACACGATCTCAAAATGTTGGTAGGGGCAAGGGTTCTTTCTGCATGCTAGAACAAGGTTGGTATTGTCAATCGTGGTCGATGGTCGAGAAACGTCCGTCTTTATTGGCCATGGCTAAACGCCACAGGAGCCGCAGTGCCACTTCCAAGTCTTTGCTATGCTCTTTCCAACTCTTCAGATACTGCCCTTCTCAACACGTCTAGTCCTGGCGAGAACCATGTCTAGCTGGCGTCTAGGCCGTCGTTCGTGGTCTGCGTCCGCTGATGACCCCTGCAGGTCTTCCCTTATCAACTTCGGTTCCACAATGTGAGCTTACACAAACTCTCTCCCGCTCCCTTTAATGCAAGAGCCAGCGAGCGAGGGGCGTGTTTCGAGGTCATTGAACCATTCAATGGCAAATGTGTCTCTTCTTCAACTATCTCGATAATATTTCAGAGACAACGAAGTGGAATTCAATTGGCAATGATCTGATCAAATAATCTGCTCCAGACTGTCACGTCCTGTGACCTTTCCCGGGAAACATGGGGCTTCGCACAGTATCTTCTTACCAAGATCAACAGGCTCAACCTTTCTTCTCTGCTGGAGTGACTCAGCCTCCGCTGCTACGTCATGTCGCCAGCTTGAACGGAAGAATTGGAACGAACGCCAGTCGAATACAATCCCTACCTGCTAAGGTCCCGTCGGAGGGTCCAGGAGAAAGGTTCAATGCAGCTCTCGCCACCGTGAGGACTAGGCGCCGTTGGAGGCGGTTACCTGCCTCAATATTTGAACTTGTGCTGCAACAGCTCAGAGAACTACATGTCATTTCAGGATCGTCTTCGTGTACAACCTGCTACATTAGGGACCTCTGTTCTTTGCAGCTGACATGCAAGGCATGGTTCTCGGATGCTCAGAGGATACTGTAGTTTTCTCTCTCGACTCACGTAACATATCGGATGCTAAAGGACGCAGGTATACGAATATCGAAATTGTGGGACAAGACGATCCTCGCATGCTACGGAAATGGAGACTATCTCGAGGCGCGCGACTTGTTCGCCTCAGAACAACCCTGCGGTCAAAGCCTCTGATTGCGGCCCTCGTCAAGACCTTGCACGTACCAGATCCTCACATCTCTTTGTACCTTCCTAACGACAATCCGAATCCTGAGTATGACGCCTACCTCTGCACATTGGCGTCTGTGGTCATGGCCTGCCCCAATCTCGAAGCGTTTACAGGCTTCACGTCCTTCTATAACCACACATTCGATCGACTATCACACGCACTCTCGACGAGAGCAAAGCTCCGAGAACATGCCTGGGTCATTGCAGAGAATGACGAGGTCAGAGAACGGAGTCAGAAACAGCTATCTCCAGGGCTGCTGGACGGACACCAGACCTTCCAATTCATGTTGTACCATGAGCGCTGGAATTTGCTTGAAACTCTGGGGCTTTGCTCGCCTGGAAGTCTCGGCGTCATCGAGCATCAGCTCTTTGTGGACGTCCTCAATGGGTTACCTTCACTGAAGAATCTTTGCGTCTCCTCGTTCGATGCAGATGATTTCCATGACAGGACACTCCTTTCCTTTCCGCCGCTCACCTCGTTGAGACTAGAGGAATGCGCAGGAATTACAGATGCCGGACTCACTCGATGGGCGGCGAGCCCCAGAGCTGCCAGGATCGAACGGCTTGCATTGGTACACCAGAATATTTCAAGCTTGCTTACACTGGCCAAGGTACTTACCAGCCTTGATCGGTTGAGAAAGCTCACTATTGTCCAGACGGACACGGCACTATCAGTGCCAGCCAAATTGGGCTCAGTTGTCTTCCAACCGATCATGGCTTCAAAGTCGCTGAAATTCCTCCACTGGGATATCCTTTGCGACCAACGGCAATTGCCGGGAGAGGCAAACCAGAGCATCGATGAATCTTCTCACTGCTTTGCTTCTCGCTTGAACGGGGACCCCAATCTCACACCGAATGACCACTTAGCACTATCAATATCTCACAACGGCTTCCCGGCATTGACAAAGCTCCGAGCACCGCGCGATGCATCGCCCAATGGAATTCTTCAGTCTGTCTGTCGGCTAGTGTTGGATGATCCAGACGCTACTTCACACAGCCTTTCGATGTCACAACAGATCACGGAGGATCCGTGCTCCAATTCCCTTCAACTGGCAAGGCTTCGAGCCAGAGCTATCGCCGGGCGATCTTCAGAGCAAAGGAATGTAGCCGAGCTTCATTCGACTAGCATTCTGCTGCGTGCTAACCCTGACAATAAGCATGAGGCCATGCCACAAACAGAAAGCGAAAACTCACTTGGCTCACTAAACACTATCCAGTCTTTCTTAACGGATAAGAGCACAAATACTGATGCTACAGAGCCGCTGCGTCTTCTCAGTCCAGTGTCTCCTCTTTCAGAACAGGATCTGGCCTACATGTCAGGGGGAGATTCAGACAAAGAAGTAGTGCGAAGAAGAGAATCCGGTGATGGAAGCGGGATATTGGCTTCAAGGCGTGACAGTATCTGCCAGTGCGAGTCCAATCCAGGGAGTATTTGTGTTTGCGGCCCGCAGACTCGGCCACATCTCGATCATAGCGGACCTCCTACACCACCGCCGAGGAGCCACCTCAGGACCAGATTTGGTTCCTTGAATCGACCTCCGCAACCACCCGAGGAACTGTCCTCCGCTGCATCAGCGGAGCCTGCGAGTGGAGCGCGACGTCGTTCCCAGTCCTCAAGCGCTGCGGCATCAACGATTAAGCCAAGGCACCCTATGTTCTATCTCGAGCCAGATGTGGTAGGCCATGACGAAAACGGTGGCCTGGTCGGGTGGGCCGAGCTTCTTGGAATCCGCGAGAAGGCAAAGAAGGGCTGTCACTGTACTGAAACAACGCATGAACGCGACGCCGCACAAGGAGAGGAAGGTGTTCAGGATATGTGTACAGGAAGCTGGAATCCGTGGCTAAAGGACAACAGCACAGGCAGTGGTGACCTTGTCGTAGTCGATGGAACCCCAATTTCCACCTCCGGGGTGGCGAGCTTAGGACAAAAGTGGAAGCTGAAGTCAAAGGGGAAGTCAGCTTCGAGTTTGTCTTTCTCTTCCGATCTGAAAGCTGAATTGCAACAGAGACAATATAACAGACGGAGACATGTCGCTCGGCCAAAAGGGGGACGAGGCGGGTGTATTCAACTTGGTGACTTCTTCTGACTTGGATTATAGTCTGGACTTTGGTCTATCTATGTCGGATTCCAGCCCGGCAGTTTATCACATGTCGGGACGCAGTCTGCGATGACCGGGAATAATTAAGGCATCATGTACATCCATCAGCCCTGCATATTTTCAATCCTCCCAAACTCGGCCATGGTATACTCGTACACCTCGTGCCCGGCATTCATTCCCCTCAGCTTGGGGAGGTCCGCATTGCCTCCACCACCGATGACACTTGAATCAGCATTGACCGTGTACACACCACTGCCCTGAATTCCATCACTCCCCTGTTGAATCAGGGTTCCCTCCGCGCTCGTTCCAGGCGGTAGTCGTCGGAAGCGTCCATTCGTCGCAGCGAACAGGACCCTCTCACCGGCCTCACTGGAGCTGTAGGCTACCATGCTCATGATCGGCTTGGCGACATACTCCCATAGAAAGCGCACCCAGACGCTTGACCCTTGCACCTTGAGCCCCGTGCCAGCGACCAGTCCGGGAAACAGGTGGATGAAGACGATCTTCTCGTTGCCCGGCCGCTTGGACAACTCCTCGAGAAATAACGTGTTCATAGATCCCGCGGCGCCGGCGGCGTATAGCGGGCCATATGTACCCGGCCTTGTCATACCGAGGTCCGAGAGGTCGAGCGGGCCTTCCTTGCCGCCGCCTAGGATGCTGAGGACTCTCGGTGATGGGCTGCGGCGGAGTAAGGGGAGGAGCGTGACGAGAATGCGCATGCGAGAATGGTACCGGATCGACGTGATGCGATCGAGACCTTCGGGAGAGAAGTCTGGCGTGGGATTGAATGACAGGAAGCCCTGGGACATGATGAGGATGTCGAGCCGTGGAGTTTGCGAGGCGATTCGTTCGGCGGCATGTTGGGCGTCGCGCACGAGTGTGAGGTCGTCCGCGACGATGGGGTGCAGTGTGGCGGAGGGGTTGAGAGGTTGGACTTGCGTGATAAGGGAGGTCAGACGTGATGAGTCCCGCCCAACGAGGTAGATGGTGGGCGAGGACGTGTGTTTGAGGAGTGCGTGTAGAGTGGAAAGGCCGATGCCCGATGTGCAGCCGACCAGTGCGACGATGGGGCCGGAGCCAGGGGTGTGGAGGGAGGTGTTGTTGAGGAGTATGTCCGAGCGGGAAACCATGGTTGTGAGTGTGGGTTGGTCTGTTGTCAGTGGGACTGGAGTGTTACTAATACGTCCAGCAGGTGTTGGGTGGGTGTTAAGGACTGGAGTGAGATGGATGAGCGCGCCTGTCCAGACGATAGGTTCAATATACGAATCGTTTCCCTGGTAGAGACTGTTGATCTCGAAGTCGCTGCTCGTTGCGCGTGCGGTAGTGCAGTAGTGACGGCCCTTGAAGGCCAGGGCCTTGCATTTATATTGACGAGGTGGCACAGGTGTGTCGATGATGTTGGGATCAGTGTCGAAGCTTACCAACCTGGCTACCGACCCAGTGAGTACCTAGGTACTCTACAGTCGGAAGTCGGAGCACTGGAGCCCGAGTGCGTCTCTGCACTTTGCGTAAGCAACCATTTTCATGCGATCGTGTAGAAGATCAGGTAGAGACTCAGGTAGTCCCAGCGGGTATCATGAGAAGCGAAGCGAGAGAGCAAACCAAGGAATGACAGATTATGTCATCCAAAGTGCCCAGGACCAGGAGTGGTACTAACTAGGCTCGCTCGCGGTCAGGAAAGGCCGAGGGACAGTCAGATTACCTAAGGTACTGGGTAAGGTAGAATATCAAAACCAAGTATCGTTGGTCATGGTTGATCATGCCGGCTACACATCGCCATATGATGAGTCTTTTCTTTTATGTCCGTTGAACATGTGCATCTAAGATGCTGGGTGAGAAACGCGTGTTGCTTCTGATGCCGGAACCTGAGTGGGATCAAAAACTCTTGGTCTGACTGATAGTATTTTTGGACGTTCTGGTGAGAGGATCGTGGGACACATGGAGAAATCTTGCTGGTGACCAATCAGCGTTATTGGAAGATTTGCGTCAGACTTGATTGAATTCTCCCGCACAATGAGCTTCAGGTCATCATCAGTTAACACAACTTTTCTCGACTATCATCAAGTTGCATCGTCGACTTTCTCTCGAAACATAACAAACTCGACAAGCCTCACACTGAGTACGTCACGTCACGCCTTGAGACTCCTGCACTCGCTCGTTCCAAGCATCGCCGCCGCTCCAAGTTGTGACATCTACCACATCCTCGCCCACGTTCTTTTGAAAGTGTTCATCTTAGCGAGCCTTCTCTTCTCATTTTCCACAATCCCACCATCTTCCCAGATTCGACAATCGGCATCGATCTCGGCTTTGCCACTGTATATGTCACACGTCTTCGGATCCACGAGCTTCGTCCGCTTGAAGATCTTCCAGGCGAAGAAACAGACGAGACCGAATGCCAGCCCAAAGTAGGATGTGACGAAGCCCTCGGTGCTGAATGGCACAAAGGTGTCAAACCCGATGAAGATCATCGTCAACCAGCCAATGACAAGCGCGAAGTAAGCCGAGTACGGAGCAAAGGGTGATTTGTACGGCAGATTGTTGCGGTCAACACCCTGCGCCTTGAGTGCCCGGAACCAGCCGAGGAACGTCCACAGCATGCCGGTGTACGTGAGGATCAAGGCACAAGTCGTCAGCGAGACGAACCAATAGAATACCGTGACGGACGAGTCCGAAGCGACCAAGAAGGTGATGCAACTGATCAGACTGACCATCGAGACCGCGTAGATCGGAACACCACTTTTGGTGCATTTCATGAAGATCTTTGGCGCCTGACCGTCCCGGGCAAGGGAGTATAAGGTACGGCTGCTGGAGTAGAGGTAAGCGTTACCGCAGGACCAGCCGGACAGAAGGATGAGGAAATTGATGAAGCCCGGAAGACCGTGGATGCCTAGGTTTTCAATGCCAATGACCCAGGGCGATGCCGCTGCACCTGCTGCACCGCTCTCAATGGCGCCCAACAGACGGGTGTCGCGAGAAGAGCAGAGAATTCCGACACAGAAGACTCCAAGCACATAAAAGCCCACGAGTCGATAGAAGACGAGACGAGCGACCCGAGGGATGGTCCGTCGAGGGTTTTGGATCTCTCCCGCGGCCAACTGTTTGTGTGTTGTCAGCACTGAAGAAAGCTTTGTCGGTAAACCCGGTAAGTATCCCAAAGGTCCAGCAGGTAGCACTTACTGATATCAAGTCCGGTCCTGCCACTGTAAAGGCGGCGTATCTGACAACAGACCACCAGCCCAGAAATCGTCCGGTCGTGCCGGTCGTATAGTACGGATGCATGGCGAGTCCACGCTTCCAGTAGCGAAACCCGTATGCCTCCCCAGTTGGATTTCCCCCGACCATGGTAATAAAAGTGAGCAAACACAATCCGATCAACAGCAGAATTTTGGTCGAGGCCATGAAGAATTCGGATTCACCGTACCATCTGTTTTTTGGTCAGTCTCTGTGGGCCGATCCATCCCTTACATTGCGGTTGAAGCTCACCTGACAGCGACGATGTTCAACAAGAAGCAAACCACCATACACATCGCCACCCAGACAGCTGGGTTGACCTGGTCTGTTGGTGTCCAGTATTGCATGACCGTGGCTACAGCCGCATACTCGGTGCAAACAAGCATCTGGCCTCCGAAGTAGTATGTCCAACCCTTGTCATACGTCAGTCCCCCGCAATGTGATGAAACCGTGTGCCGGGCCTCTTTCTTACCATGCCAAAGCCTAGCGCAGGGTCGACGTATCTGGCCGCCAGTTCAAAGATGTTGCCCCGAACAGGTAGCCAGGCGACCATCTCGGCAACACACAGATAGCATGGCCAAACGAACAGAAGACCCCAGACTAATTGGCCAACGTCAGTATCAGTATCAACACGAGCACCTGAGGGTCTTCTTGTCATAGAGCCCAAATGCATAACGGAGGACGGGAGAGAAAAGTGACTTACAAAGATAGCCAAGGAGCAGACTCAACGGTCCAGCCCTGGACAGACTGCCACCGATACCTACAAAGAGGCCTGTCCCGATACTCCCGCCTATTGCCATAACCTGGACATGGCGGGGAGTGAGACCTCTTTTGATCCGTCCGTATTCCTCATTCTCGGCGCTGGAAAGGTGTCTCTCGTATATGTCCCCTTGCTCTTGTGAACCGGTTTCGGCAACGGGGTCACCCCCAATTTCGGCCATCTTGATATCACGATCGTCGCTCATGGTGTCGACGTCCTCAGTTGAGGAGCAAGCGGGGAGTGAGAGTATGAAGTCTAGGTTGGGATGAATAGGAGACTGAGCAAGCCATAAATAACCATGTCGGACGTTGTCGTGCTGGGATGGTTCGAGGGATATATATATCTCGCACGGTGTCGGCTATGCAAAGTGCAATAGGGCAAGCAAGACTCAAGATAAGGAAATGGAAGTCTATACTGCCACGGGAGCTCACAGCGATGTCAGAGCATGTACAAGTAGCCCATGTTCCTTACCGGGAAACGACCATATCAGCTCTATGGCAGGTCAATGATCGCGGCCAAGGATTCCAGGCCCACCATAGGCATAGATAACACTCAACCCGGCCACTCTGGGAGCCGTACATTAAACAAGTTTCCAATTGAATGGTATAGTCGTCACACCGGAGAAGATAACAAGGCCGTCAACGCGCAACCAGGCGAGTCAGTCTAGGTCGTCCATTGGCAATTCATGCTTGATGCTATCTCTTTGCCCAGATCTTGGCACAGCATATGGTCCGGCTAGGCATAAACAAGGGGCGTCAGGATCAACGCCCCACCGGGAGAAAGGGAAGCAGTCAGCGAAGCACCCTGGAGGCCAGGCTTCTCACAGACCGAGTCGCAAGGCCGTCGTTGAGATACTAGTAATTGATAAAGTCAGCACTCCTTTCGAGTCCCAGGCGGTGATCAAATTACATTCGACTCATGAGCCGTCCGTCTTCCTGACGACGACAGTGGCTCCATTTGATGGCAGATTATGCCTCAGGTCTGTTCGTTCCTCAGAAAGGATGCGCCGTCCGCGCCGTTCGAGATCAGACTATATGTGTCGACAACACCGTCCACACCACTTCGTTTTCATCTCTTTGGCGGAACTGGAAAGGAGGCGGCTGGTTGATCCTTGCTCGAGCCTGCCTGCGAGTTCCCAGAGGGCCTCACAGTCTCCTGTCCATTTCCATCCACAAAACCCTCATCGGCCGCACCAACTATCCCCGTCGTTCCAGTATGGAGTCCGATAGACGTTCACGGCTTGTCCCATCAGCAACCGCGCTTGCTTTGTCGGGAAGTTCTTTGTCGGTGCATGCGGTGCACGGCGCCTATGGCGGTACACTTCCTCGAGTTCAGTGAAAGGAAACAAAGGCAAGTTCTTCACGGCTTTGCTTTCACTGCCAAAATCAACAATGCCTTTCACTGCCAACACAACAATGCCTTTTACCTTAGTCTCGCAGTCAAATTTCATGACCTCGACATGATCCAACATTCCTTCGCTCGAGGCACACAATCTGACCTTCCTGGGTAATCCGATCTCGACACTCGCTCAATATGTCCTCGTCTCAGTTCATCGATCTTTTCCGTGGCTGGCCCGCGCAGAGCCTTCTTCCCGTCTCGGTCCTCCAAGAGGCATCACGAGAGTTCCTCGCAGACGCTGACCGAGCCACTGAGGCCCTCCTCTATGGTCCAGCATCCGGTGAGACTTCTCTGAAGGAAGCTCTTACAACGTATCTGACCCAATTCTATTCTTCTCCATGGACAAAACCGTCACGTCTGACCGTCACCGCTGGCGCAAGCGCAGGCCTCGCAAACATCCTTCAAGTGTACACAGATCCCGGGTACACGAAGAATGTCATCATGGTGACTCCAACATATTTCCTTGCAGCGCGCATCTTCGAAGACAATGGTTTCGTTGGACGATTGAAGGGCGTACCGGAGGACGAGGAGGGGCTTGACATCGGCCGCTTGAGAGCGCTATTGGCTGTTGCCGAGATGGAAGGACCACCTAAGGGACCTCGTACAAAACGACCACTTGGAGGGCAGAAATTGTATCGGTACATCATTTACTGCGTGCCGACTTTCGCAAATCCTTCCGGCAAAGTCATGTCCCTGCGCCGCCGCCAACAACTCGTCGACCTTGCTCGAGTACACGATGCTTTGATCATCACAGACGATGTGTACGACATGCTCCACTGGAACCCATCGTTCCCCGGGAAGGCCGTCATGCCTCGCCTCGTGGATATCGACCACGCGTTTGATGGAGGAGTGGCTTCGCACTTCGGTCATGTCGTCAGCAACGGCACGTTCTCGAAATTGCTCGGTCCTGGTTTGCGTACAGGATGGACAGAGTCGACAGCTCAATTCGCGAGAGGTCTATCGCGGTGTGGATCTCTGAGCAGCGGGGGATCTCCTAGTCAATTTACCGCGGCGATCATTGCTGAAGCACTCACTTCTGGCAGCCTTCAAGCACACTTGGAGGACGTGCTTCTTCCATCGTACCGAGGTCGAGCTATCTCTGCCGTCAAAGCTGTGAATGAGTACCTCGTCCCGCACGGAGCCGTCCTCGATGCGGAGGATCCCGAGTTCCAGTCAGAACAGGAGGACCAGAAGGAACAGCCAGCGATCAAGGGCGGATACTTTCTGTATGTCCATCTGCCACAGGAGCTTGACGCGTCTAAGTTTGTTGCGACAGTGGCGCGAGAGGAGCACGTGAGTGTTGCAAAAGGCGAGATCTTTGAAGTGTCCAGAAACGAAAAGAAGGCCGTCTCCCATAGCCTGCGCATCTGCTTCGCTTGGGAGGAAGATGAAGATACAATCGTCGAAGGTATTAGGCGTCTGGGTTCAGTGCTGGAGAGTATGATGGCTGAAACTTAGATTTGGCAACAAGCCAGTGTAAGCCACAACAAGTACATCCACACTAAGGGTTTCGATCGTTGAGGAGATCGATATTCGAGTAACGACGGCCATTCCAGAATAAGATGTACTGCTCTTCACACAGCTAATATTCGCTGACAACTTCGCCGAAGGACCGGCACCCAGGCAGGGATTTCCTTGAGACCTTCATTATCCCTTATTGCCCAAGCCTGTTGAACGACTTTCCATAACTCTGCAATGTTTCCGATGCCGTACTGCAGCATCCCATGCCACCACTGGTACCACACCTCCCGGCAATAACCTCGTTCTGCCTCGCACGAAGCAATGAAGCCAGGCCAGGTGATTGTCGCGGAGATGTTGTGGTCGTAGCCAGCCCGTGACTTGATCTCTTCAATCTCAACAAGATGCCTCGCCACGCGGTCGATGTGCTCCCGCATTTCGGACGATCTGCAAGGAAGAATTCGTATGTGGTAGTAGACGCGGAGACCGTGCGCAAAAGCGAGGATATGATGTTTGCCCAGTTGGTGAGCGAAGTCTGTGCCCGAGCTCAGGAAGAGTTCAGCAATGGCTTCTGAGTCGATCGACCAGGACGAAAGAGTATCCGAGAGCTTTCTGCAAGCTGAAATCAATGTCGGGGGAAATGGGTCGGATGTAGCAGTGTAATAGGAGATATGGCGAGAAAGGGTATGGATTTGTTGCATGATGTTGGCCAGAGTCGGGGTAATGCCATAAGCATATTCCAGCCCATAGCCTGTGCCGGTCGTGCTGTAATGCAATTCAGGAGTGTCATAGTATTCGCCTGTCCAAGGAATCGGGGCCAATTCCAGTGAAGTGGTGCTGGCCAATGTTGAAAGAAAGGTAGAAATGGTTGTCAAACGAGCCATTTTTGGCGACGCATGCTCCTCTCTCTGTAGCTGAGTCGAAAGGCGATCCATTCCCTCGAGATGTATCCAGTACTCCGACATGGAACCCTCCATAATGTCCATGGTGACCAAAGTGAGCATTGCCGACATGATGGCCTCAAGGTGCGTAGTCGACTGGGTGGACAGGTCTAGCACGGCTTCATCTCCGATGCTTTCCAGCGGTTCTTGCAATGCCTTCTGCAGGGACTCGAATGCTTTGGCACGGAATCCTCTTGCAAGGACATCAAATCTCAGGCCACTTTCAGCATTGGTCGAGCGTAAATGGAAGGCAGAAGTGGCCAAGACGGCATAGAAGATAGCAATGTTGCTGGACGGTACTTCGGACGCTGCACAGTTCAGGCCAAACAAGACATTTGAGGCGCCAGCCATCGCCTTGGGGACGTAGATCGTGGCATATGGGTTCTCCGGATGCGGCAGAGGTGGAAGAACTTTAGCACAGACCCCGACGTAGTTGTCCATAAGCTGATGGATGACAGGATCTTGAAAGAGTTCTGGGTTCAGCTCAAACCAGGAGGAAGGGCTTTCCCCTCTTACAGATGATGTGGAAGGCTGCATTCCCGGGTTTCCAGGTGGGTATACAGCGCTCAAGGGTATTGGTCCTGCGTTGGCCTCCAGCAGTTGGGCGCTACTCATGATACTGTCGAAGTCCATGTCGCTAGCTCCTGATCTCCTGGGACGTGGTTCTGCTTCGGGATTATTTAGTGTTGGAAAGACGCTGAATGGGCCCCTGGAAATGTAGGCAAGATTCGAGTGATTGTCCTCGCAGGCGTCGATACCTGCAATCTGTTGATCCACCTCATCCAGTGTGAACGACCACGTCTTCAATCCTAAACTCGGGTCAGCATCATTCGACACGTAGAAGTAGAAGGGGGTGCCCGAGGATCACAACGCCTCGGATATGTTTAGACGTGCCTTCCAATGTCATGGCCTGGCGTTTGATCGCCGAAGGTGCAACGGTGTCGTCATCGGTTATCCAGTACAATCGCAACTCGTAGCCTTCGCAATGCAAGCCGGCTTTCAAGCATCGAGCACATTGAGGGCGAGTAGCATCGCACTTGACCTTCCTTCCTCGACAGGTCCAACACCTGCCGCAGACATCGTTTGTTAGTCCTGGAGATGGTAGAGGGAAAGGAGGCGGGAATGGATGCGGGTGAGGTCGTACCCGGAGAAAGTCTTTGTCTTGGTCTTAATCTCGCGTATTCGCTTCTTCCCTGGAGGCATGATTCATGATTTCACATTCTGGAAAGGCAGTCATTCTCAGATTCTGGGCATGTGGAGGTAGCTCGAGAACAAGGGCTGCTTCCGCGGTGCAGCAAGATAAGAAATTTTCACGGTCGAGACTGCTTGAAATTGTTCGCAGCTGTGTTGGGCAGAGTCACTGATTAGTCTGGGATGATTCGAGATCTTCGGCTTTCTTATAAAGTGTTGTTCAACGGATAAAATCCAAAACGGTGGATGTAGAAGGAGTGAATAATTGGAAGCGAAGATAAAGCCAAAGTCGAAGCCGCATCTCGAATCCACCATCGGCTCGTCGGGAAATCTTCGGACACCATTGAGTGGTGGACATTCCCAACCATGTCTCAGTATCTTAAGCAGCTTGAGGAGAAGGTATTCTGGGTCGCTTCATTGCTACTCATCTACGGGACTAATGGTACATGAAATTGGCTACCCTCGATCCGCCTGATCAAACATGAGCACCCCGAACTTGAGTCTTGCATGGGCTAGATGCGGAAACACATCTTTACCATGCGCCAACCCTCTCAGGATTATGCCTTGACCGGCTGCGAGTGTCGATTTGAGAAAGCCCTAAGCCCCTCGCATGCCGCATTATGTCGTGATAGTCGTCATCTTCATCATCCACCATAGTGGGCAGGCTTTCTTTTCGCAAGGGATATCTCCCTCTAACCATACCAGGCGGTGTCTTTCGCTTGTCGACGTCCTCGCGAACAGATTTAGGACATCTCACGGTCTTGACAGGCATGGTCTCCGGCGGGATCGGTGGGACAGGCGGTAAAGATCGATTGGGAGGCGCTTTTGTAGGAGGACCCGATGGTGACCGCAGCGAGAAGTACTTGGTTCCTTCATCCGATGAAGCACTGGTGCTGTAGTTAAGGTACGTGAATGCTCCCGTGTCGACGGATTCGCCAAAGGACAGTCGTGGGTCTACCTGACTATCATTCTGGTGCCACGTGTAAGACGACTTCTTCGGCCCATCTTGCTCGGCGGACCACCGGTCATGTTGCGAGGGCTTTGATTCGTTTCGACGGCTGGATTTGCGCCTCAATGACTGTTCGCGCGAGCGTGGGCTATCGGCCACTATTGTGTCCGACAACCCATCGAAATTAAAGGATGCAAGAGAACTTGCAGACGTGGTTACCGGAGTGGTGGCTGTACTCTTCGGAATATGGATGAAAGGTGGTTGAAGACTGAGAGGGTTTCGTGCAATTTCTTGCGATGTCGGGACCTGCTGCTGCTGTCGTTGTTCCCTTGTCAAGATGCGCAGATTGTTCGAGGCCTGGCGAAATCGCTCTGTAGATCTACTGTCACTGCGCGTCTCACGACCAGATAGGTTCTGCGAAGTCGCAACGCTGGAGCTTCGCTCATTGCCTTCCTTAAGGACTCTGCCTGTGCAATGAAGATGAGAAATACTTGCAGAGCGACGGATGTGCTCGGCTAGCTTCTCTTCCAGAGTTTCGCTTGATAATCTAGCAGCAGGATCTCTTGCCAGGCATTGTAGTGCAAGCTGTACGATTGGCCCAACTGCATGGTAAGCCTTGCTTTCATCCTTCTTCGCCTTTTTCTCTGCATCGTTCTGCAAGGACTGCGCCCATGCGAAGACTTGACCAAGGTTGGCATGAAAGCTAGCATCCGCTAAACCTCCACCACGACCAGCCATTCGGTTCTTGGAGGCACGGTGCCGAGAAAAGGCGCTGGAAGTGCGCTTACAGAGAACGGTGACAATATCCACCATCACAGCACCGAGCGAAAACATGTCAGAAGCGAACATGTCATCCTCCATAGATTGCCATGTCTGGACCACGGCACTGCGAGCCTCTGGTGCGGCGACAAACATGGGACCATTAAAGATCGAAGCGAGTTTGTTGCCATTAGATGATGTGGAAGATTGAATTGAAGGTGCCCGTTTGGGGGTTGCAGCCATCCTCTCTGGACGTGGTGTATCTTGCGTGGAAATCGAGTTGTTGTCTGTGGGTGTCTGCGGTGCACGCATACTACGCCCTCGGACCGTCGGCCGTGAGTCCGACTTTGTGGTAGCGCTCAAGCGCAGTCGTGCATAGTCGCCTCTGGAGGTAGGTTGAAAAGAATAAGTCGGAGCCACTGAACTTGATCTCCTTACACTGTTCCTGCCATCCGAAGAATTCTCCTTGTCCTTTCGGCCAATTCGTCGGCCAGTGCGTCCCCCTGATGGAAGTGATATCGCAGCTGACCCGGTGCTGCGGACAGTCACAGCCCTTTTGTATCTCTCGGGTGGACCATACTGATATGCCTCAATATCCTGCGAGCGAACTCTGTAGCAGAGTATACCGTCACCCTCCAAGGCACCAAGGCAAATATGGAAGGACTCTGTAATATGGATGTTGGATGGTCTTATAGCTCCGTGGTATTGCCCGTTGCTGTGGAGCCAATTCACGGCATTGGCGAGACAGTGAGGCCAATTGATGAACGAGTGGCGACGATGCGTCTTGGAAAGATTCGAGAAAGATTTTGGTGTGTCGGAGAGGAAGGCCTTGAGGTTCCACTCTGGGCCAGGAAGAGATAGTACATTGCAAGAGCCTTGGTGCGTGTAAGAGGCGAAAACTGAGACAATATGTTCATGGCGTAGTCTCCTGCTGGTGGCGATCTCGTTCAGGAGGTCCGCTTCAGTAGACTTTTGGTCCAAGGCAATGCGGCGGCGAAGGTATACCTCTGAGGTCTTGCCGGGTAGCCGGACTCTATCAGTGCCCTCTTGTCCGAGATAACCAACAACAGTCTTCAAGCTGGGAAGAATGACAGGTACCGTCTCCTCGTCAGCATATCTGATATGTTCGCCTTCGCCGACAACACGACTCAGAAAGCGGAATTGTGTTTTGTAGAAACGCCGGTCAAGAGAGCGATTACGTTCGTACGACAAGCGAAGGTCAGGTACAGCATGTTCAGCAATAGGTAAGTCGTCGTCGTCGTAAGAGTCGTCGACAATCCCAAAGATCTGATCGGGCACTCGCGCGGCGACCAGTATCAGGAAGAAGCGTTTGGCTCGGGTCAAGATCCAGTCGAGATAGGTATCATCCGTCAAGCCCGCGCCGAAATACAGGGGACGTTGTAGTAGTTCCTGTTCATCCGGACGCAAATGTGAATGGACATACGCCGACGTGACCGTGCCGTTCACGCATTCGTCTGTCCAGTATGCCTGGGAGGCTGGTGACATAGTCGATCGGCTCCAGACCAGTGCTTTCGTCAAGGACGAACGATGGGATGTAGGCTGACAACAAAAGTCCCATCAATCAACGGTGAGTAGTAGTAGGTGGAGCTAGCGAATCCACGACACAGCCACGTGGAACACGGGAAGGACTCATGCCTGCTACGGAGAAGGTCGAGTCATGTCAATCCAACCCATATGTGGCATCAGTCGGGCTCAATTGCAACGAGCAGAGAGCAACGGGAACTGCGGGTGTTTTTATCGACCCTGATCGAGATGGTGCTCGCCTGGCCTAGACGCGAGATGAGAGGTCTTACTGTAAGCGACGGGATCAGGAAAGGTCTCAGGGGACTAGGGATATGACAAGTGAAGTGAGAGTGATGGCGTTCTCCGGAGTGGGGGGATGGCAGGAATGAACCAGATAACAGAATATAATGGAGATGCTCTTATCTCGACCAACGAGGCCAACAGGACAAATAATATGGTTTGGACTGATCACTGCTCAACCCCTGGTGATGGTGAATCTTGGGGGATCACAATGTGGCTGCAACGACCTGTCTGTCACTTTCCAAGCCAGTTCTCGTGTCCCTACCTTGTCCTGGTGGCATTATTGTCGAGGTGAGACCACTGAGAGCTGCAGGGCAAGCCATGTGAAACGAGACTGCATGAGAAGGCTGACATGCTGATCTTTCCAACCAGGATCTCGCGTTGGCACGAGTACCAAGTGCTTGGGGCTTGATGGACTTGCAATTCGAGACTGGCAAAACGAAAGAGAAGACATGAGTATCCCAGCAGCCGTTGGAGTTGTGCGATTTCACTATTGGGCGAAATCCCGGCCTGTGAAGCCTAACGAGGATGGCTCGATGGGCGGCAGTAGCGGCAGTTTGTCGAGAAGTGAGACGCTGATTAGGTGACAAGTCTCCGTACACGAGAGTGATACGAGTAGAGACACCGAGGACACCAGCTCGGATTTGTGGGCAACAGCATTATTTGTCGAAAAATCCAACAACCCAATCTTTGTTATTTCTCTCGCCTGCACATCTGACTGGTCGAGAAACAGCCTTATCACAACCCTTCAGCCATCTACCTCATAACGGTTCGGGGAGGCCTCACTAGCCTTTAAATGCCGGTTGCCCGTACAGACCTGTGGAGCTGCATCTCGCAAAAGGAAAAAAAATGGCTACCTAGTCCAAACCACACAAAAAGTTCTCCTATTGTTATTGTTCATTTGGCCCGTCTACGGATTACAGAGTAGATGCAGGGGCGACCTGATCGGCCAGTGGCGGCTTGGATACGACCGGCTGCAAGGTGTCAGATCGCCTTTGAACCCGAGTCGCGGCGTGAACTCTGCGATGTACTGTACTGCGTACTTGCAAGACATTGCCCCTGCAGGAAATTGATTTAACCGAGATTCTCGGATCTGTAGGCGTAAGCCATCTCTGTCTCTTCGCTTCTCTTGCGGGACATCATCACCTACTGAAAACAGCAACTGCCGCTCACATTCGCGCGCCATAACATACGAGCGGTCAAGACGCTTGCCGTTTCACTCCCGCGATCTGGCCCCTTATTGTACTGCATATACGTTTTGACCGATGTAAGTTCCCGGTAGCGTTGAGCCTGTTTGATCTGGATGACTGCGTGGACTGCATTCATCTCTATATGCCTGCTTGATGGCCCATCACGTCTACACTTCTCTGCTCCCGTGGCATTCTTCGTGAGCACATGGCTTTTGCACAACTCCGCAACTGGTGGCGAGTCTGCGAGAAACGGGAGATATGGTTTGTGCTCTCGGCACCCGCCACTTGATGTGTGACAGAATCCCTGCTCATGGTCGCACAATCAACGGCCTTGAACGACATAACAAAGTAGAACTTGCTGGTCTTCTATGCCATGCCGAACATCTCTCCTGTTGGGCGAGTGTTGAAAGACTTCGTTTGCCCAGTTCTGCGTACTGCTCTTCGTTGTACTGTCGCAATTTGGAACTATTGCATTCAACAACAATTCCAAATGAAGTCGCTCCTTCAGGTCTCCAGCTCATTCCTTGGGCTCTTGTGGTCCACCACTGCATCGGCTCCTTTGACTTCTAACAAATTCGTGGACTCATCCAATGCTACAGGCACTGAGTCCGGATATTCCGTCCACGTCTGTCAAAATTTGTGATTGCTCCTTGCGGTCCGTTTGTATGATGAGGCCCGATACTAACAATGCTTCAGTGGCTGGGTACCACCATGTATCGACGTTCCTGTCCCTACGACTCATGAGGCGGGTCAAAGTCTCTTCTGGAATGTACGTCGTCCATTTTCCTTGCTCGGTGATGTCGAATGTCGCAATGTTCGTATCATGAATCTTTCAAGATACCCTCCTTGAACAACCGTTTCGGCTTGAATGGGATGAACGCATACTGATCTATACAGGCGCCGGCGCCATTAGGACCAGGACCCTTCCGGACTTACAACTATACCATTGGGAGTTGGGGCCCGAGTCAAGGATTATTCACCTTCTGGGAGGACAACGAGGGCATAACGTCGGACGTTCTCGCTTTCCCTGGAACAGGACGGGTAGATCCATACTGGGCTTCGAATGTATGGACATGGACAGCATGGTGGTTGAGTGAAACGGACAGCTTTCAGGAAGATGGTCCATGAGCAAGCGTACGGTAGTTGCAGCATCTGTCAAAAATTGCCCGAGCTCGAGCATTGGTCACGTTCTTAGAGATATCCGTCGTCGATTCCAAACTTCTAGATGCTGAGAGGCTACATGTTGAGAGGATTATCTGCAATGAAAGGCGATATTGCTCTGTCGGACCCGGCGTACGTCGAGGACATGATGAAAAATCAAATGCGCCTTTGTTGCACCAATTTGGAGGGAGAAGTTTTTGTCAGACGTGTCATTCCGTCCATATTCATCGCCTTGCTTCGACTTCACTTCTCACGCTCCATCACCTGCCAACATATCTTCTCTTCGCTGTTGACCTCTTCCAATTCGACTGAGCTCAAGCTTGGTAGAGTCGTTCACAATGTCCCAAGACCAAGACGTTGATGATGGTGCCGATGCCGCCATGCGAGAAATGATGGGATTCGACTCCTTTTCAGCTCGCCGGCCAAAGAATCAATCTGGTCAGTGAATTTTTGTTTCTTTTCGCCTTTGCACGTCCCCTCCTCTCTTTCAACAGTGAATACCTAGAGCCATAGTCGGCGCTGTACCAGATAAATGATGTACCTGGCCTAAAGTGGACCGAGGGAGAGTAAATCTCAGAGATATTGGTTCTCGGTTTCCCTTTCATTCGACCTGTTTCGGGCCAGCATGGCCGATATGTAGCCCTTCAAATGCCACTCTTTCTTTCACACTGAACACCCTTCCCTTTCCTTCTATGCTGGACCCAACTCTGTCCGCTATCCCAAACCATTTCTGACCTCGCTCCAGATACTTCAGTGCCAGCAATAGCGGCAAACCAAGCAGGAAACTCGTCAATCAAGCCAGCGTCTTCCGACAGGAGTCTCGCAACCAATCAAGCCTCATCCACTGCAACTCAACCGCATATCGACTTAGACCAAACGCCCATCTACGCGTTCACATCTCCAATCAGCAACACATACTACACCAGATCGGACCTTGACGAATGGGCACGTGGTAAAATCAACGCGAACGGTGACACGGTTTACTTCAAACCCGGCTTCGTCTCCGACGATCCCTGGGCGAGACACCGGGACAAAGATGGATACAGCATGGGCAAAGCGAAGTCGTGACTGGACGACGTCTGCAACACCAACCCAGTTTGCCGCCATGTGCACGCAAAACCCCTTTCATTGCGTGGAATCTTCTGCCTCAAGCAGGGGCTCAGGCCATGCTGCGCTCAACATTATTGGGACAACCTCCATGCACGTCGGATGGACTTTGAGCACTGCCGGAGCGAGGTATCGGGACCCCAACACGTCCAACGTGGTCACATAAGACGTTGGATCGGATCATACGCCTTGTGGACGTCAAACATAGGTCCTCCTGTCTGACCGAGGCAGGTCATGGCGACCGCTTTGAGGGCAACTTCCTCCTTATCATGGGCAATGCAACCGTCATAGGAGGACTCTTGCTCAAGAAATTCGCTGGAGGCACCGCAATGATCTTCTTCTTGACGAGAAAATTGGGGGACAGGACTCGTCAAGCTTGACATTGGTTGAACCGTCCAAGCAATGATGTCAAAGACGAGGCATTCGACCTCAGCCTCCGATTGTCCACACCTTTGGTATTCTTTCTAGGCAAATTGCAGCACTTTCCCAGTCCCTCTATGTCGGAAGGCCTTCTTGGGGCAATATTCATTTTGACGCTGTCTTTCCACGTCCGTCTCCCTCCCTTCGCCTCGCCATCCGTCACCCTTTGATTGTCATTTGCCACTACATTTGGGCTTGACACATGAAATGCAGTACGATTTCCGAGCATCCAGTGACTCTAGCCCTCCAACCCCTCTACGCATTCCTATTTCTTCACACCAACTCCGGCATGAATTCGGTTCGTACTATTTCCAACGATTCATGCCCATCGACCAACGCCGGAAGTGACAGGTCTCAAGTACAGCACCGACATCCCAGCCACGAACAAAAGGTCCCAACATGACCCGGCAACCCAGGTCACACCCTCAATGAGATTCCATGGATCGCATATGAGTCCGAGTGGTGAAGATCACCACACAGTCTCAGACTCAGCAGACAGCAGAGTCTATTCATGAACGAGAATTGAACCATGGAGGATACCCACACAACGTACATAGGAAAGAAGGGACGTGCCAGATAGCCCCAGGACTTTGGAGTAGCCGTCTGGGCGCCAGAACAGAACACGCAGGAAACGAGGATGAAAAGGAATGACTTCAGGACTGGGCCCGAGTGAAATGATACCGCTGGGAAATCATTGGAGGCGTGTAACCTCTCGGCCAGGCTCGCGCCATCCGGGTACACATGAGGCATCACTATGGTATGCTTTACATGCCTACTACGTTACAAGATATCCTCCTTACTATAATATGAACCGTGCACTATTATTACCGTAGCATGACATCAAGCCAACAAGCACACAGTTAGCTACCCAGGAGTCTCAGATATCAATGCCTAGATGGGCGCGATATGGCGCCTTGAAAGGTCCCATTCCATAAAGGGGCTTCAGGCGATCCCCCAGGGAGCCTCGGAACATAGGCATGCCACCAATCCTGGCAGTCTTAGGGTCTAGATATCTTGTTGAGCAAGGCTTGATCTACGCCGGCTCCAAGGCCCGAAGCCCCTAATGCAGCGAAGCGATGCTCCTGGACAGCCCTGAAGCGTTACTTTGTTCGGGCCTGAAGGCCAGATCACAACCCCTATGGGAGGTTTCAGTCCAGGGTGGAATAACACCCGCTAATCTCCTCATCGCTAGAGTCCAGTGCCGGGCCCGGCCAAGGTTCAGATGGAGTTTTGATTGTAACAAGGAAATTTACCTGCGCAATACGAATACAAGAGGTGAAATCCGGTCGTCTCGAGCCACCACGGAATCCGGAGCAGGACATCCTCCCACCATTCCTAGGACCCTGGAAGCATGGCTTCAGGCTCAAAACAGCCATGCTCCTGCTCATCTTCAGAGCTTCAGAACCCCAGTCCAAAGCCAAATTTGGCCTAGCCAGCACACCAAGAGCTCCACACCATCTGCAGCTTTTGGGGCTTCATCACCTGCAGATTGCAAGGTCTGGTGACCGGTAGAGCGTGCCAAAACCGAGGAGAAAAGGACCAGCAGGGAAGGCACCCAATCAAACCATAGAGAAGGTCGTACCAAACGAGTGAAAATGGCAAGCGTACCTGCATGGGCCTTCGTGTGGCACCCACGCCGGTCGCCCTCTCCGCCACCTGCGAAGGGCGATCCCTGCAGTGCTATTTGACCGTGTCATTTTCTGGGGCAAAATGGGACTGGCGTCATGCACGCCATCTGCCTGCAAGCTGCGGGGCAAAAGCAGCGATCGACTTGGCCAGATTCGTGGGGTGGAGCGGAACTTAAACCAACTGCCACGTCAACGACACTGGCGGAATGCCGCCAAGGCTGCATCTGGCGGTCCTAACGAATGGATGTTCGATGTTCATGGTGGATTCCGATTTGCTGCTGTTCAACGTCGCTCAAAAATTGCTGTGCTGCTTGGGATATGGTTGGAAACATGGTCGCCCAAGCGAGACCACCCCCAGCAAGGAGTCAAGTGGGAGAAGATCAAGAGATAAGAAATTCGTCCAGACAGTAGAACAAAGAAACTCGTTGCTTCGTAAAGATTGTTGAATCTTGCAGCCTTAAACATGTCGGCTGCGGCTGGCTTTTGCATATGCTTCAGGGTGTTTCTTTTCAGCCTTGGATTTCATGGATCTAGCACCATAAATGTCAGCGAGCACGGGTGGAAGGCTTTCGGAATGACTTACGCCATCTTCTTTGAGGAGTATTCGATATCTCGTCGCACTTCGCGTGCGGTTTCCACTCCTTCCGCAAAGTTGACCCTGGCGCTCTTCAGCCGCCTTTTAGCGAGGGCTTGCAATTCCTGCAATTCTCGCTGTTTGGCGTTGAGCTCGCCAGACCTGTTGGGCTGTTAACGCCGAATGTCATCGCCAGGCACTTGATCAACTCACGTTTGCGCTTGGTTCACAAGTGAACGGTCCATGCGAATGGGGTCAAAGGCAGTGTTCATTTTTTCGCTCAGCACGTCCATGACATCGACGCCGGGATGCGAGGCATAGGAATCATAATCACTGCCGCTATGGCTAGGAGCGTAGCTCGATCTTGCAGAGTAGGAGCCCGCAGATGTGCGACTCCCAGCATAAGAGGTGCTGGTGTCAGACATTTCAGGAGGGGACATAGCCCTTGAGAAAGGAGTGCTGTAAGTGGGAGTCTTGGGCGGCATGGTGATGGGGAGGGTTTTGTGGGGAGTGGCATAGCTGGTAGGGTGACGAGACACATGGGTAGCCATGTTGGTAGGCAGTAAGATGGATTGGAGAGCTAAAGGTAGGGCAAGGCACAAGTCAAAGTATGTGAAGAGGGTTGGAGTGTGGGCTGAGAAGTCTTCGAGTCTCTGGGATGAGTGATAAGAAAGGAAGAAGGAGGAATGAGGGCCTCCAGGACAAAAGAGCTGCTTTTTATAGGCAAATCCGGGCGGGCTCAACCTCACAGGGGGTCGGATTGCCAGCTCACACCTCCATCAGAGGAGCCAATGTGATTGCAAGTCGACAAGGACCGTGGTGTCATGGAGGGCCACCAACCCCGCTCCTGAAGCAAGAGAAGGAAAACCATAGGACAAATGTGAAGAAGATTGCCAGGCTGGGTCGGCACTGTCCGTGACCTTCCGCCCGGCAGGTCGAGGAAGAAATCAGAGATGACAAGGATCAAAGAGCGGAGAGTAACCCACCATCAGCAAGCGGCAGTAGCAGCACGCATGGTGGGATGATAGTCTCAACTGGGTCCTTGTCAGGAAGGAAACGGGAAGCAGAGGTTGATCATTGGACCGATGAGCCATTTTGCCATGTCTGTTGGTGCTTAGTCGCGGGATCTAGAAACCAAGCGGCGGACGGGAGTGGCTGCTGAGGGAACGAGGACGGAGTAAGTTGAGAGGAAGGTGAACAGGGGGGCAATTCGGGAGGCGGTGATTTGGTGGAGGCCCATTGCGACGTGATAGAGGTCTCGCCGCAGGATACGAAGGCCAGATGAAGGATGGAAGGGATACGGATGGAAATTGCGCAGGCCAATCCACAGTTATCGTGACCGCTGTGAGCTGGGTATTTGTGATTGCGTCCAGCAAGCCGTGGTCAACCCTTAATTTTTTGTGCTCGGCGCGCGGAATGATGCTCGGGAGACGTGTAGGTTGAAAGGAGGATCGGAGGGCTGAAGCAGCAAGGAGCGAGGTCAGGAAAGGGTCAAGCGTGGGCATCAGCATGCAGCAGGTCGCTGAGCATGGCGTAAGTGGTGTGGAACGTGGAACGTGGAACGCGAGTGTCATGGGTGGTGGCTTCGGCTGGCCCCAAATGACTCGGCACTGGTCTGGTACGGGGATCGTATTGTAGGGATCAAGGTCAAGGGGTTTTGGAACGATGTCGGCGTTGAAGATGTGGCCGGCCGCTGGCTTGAAACGCTCTAGAACAAGTGCAAATGGTCAGCAACAATGACATGCACGAGCAAACGAGCATTGGATTTGTGACAGCGGCGCCTGGCCTATTGGGAGGGAATCTTGCACAACGAGCGCAGCGCAGCCAGTGATGAGAATCTAGAGTCGAAAGTTGCGAGACGCCGAGCCAGTCGAGCCAGTGGGTGAGTGCGAGGAAAGAGGAAACCAACGGCTTCAGGGCTTCGTTGGGGGCACGAGGCTTGGCATGGTCGAGTAGAATCCTGGCTCTTTGGTTACTAACCCTCCGTACCATCCCTTCGATGATGGCGGGTGAGGCTTTCCTGATCATTCATACATTACGTACGGAGGTCAGTTGTGCGTCTATCTCGACAGCAATAGATACATTGCAATTTTCCCTTCGCCCAGGGCCACTCTCACACAATCTTCATCTTTGCGCCCATGCCAGTGTCATTGTAAGTCGTTGCTCATCAAGTGATGTTTATCACCCCTTTGTCCTTTTCATAGAGAATCCAGGTCAAAAACACTGTACCCGTACTTTGCACCCCTACCATGATCCCAATACATTATCACATTTCAGCCCGGAGCTCCTGGTGTTCATGCGCCGACCTTCCCGGAAGACTATCAAAAGCCAAACCACCCTTCCATCCTACCTACCCATGACAACAATGCAATGCAAAAGCAGCATCGAACTTGACAACACAACAGCGTCCCCCATGACTCAATCATGCCACCCCGCTAAAAGCGCTCGACGCAGATCTGCTGCATATCTTGTCATCCGCCATTTGTGGCGAAGCCAACTGGCCCCGTGTCAATCTTTTGCTCTTCAGCCGTCGAGAGGCCTATCACGTAAGAACACGTGTGGCACGCTTGGGTCTAGTAGCATCATCATCATGGTTCCCAGCACATTGAAATCCACCGGCTTCGTGAGATAGTCGGTGAAACCAGCATTTGCGGCTGCCGCTCGTTCTTCAGGCATGGCGTTGGCTGTCAAAGCCATGATTGGAGACGGGGTGTACCCGTGCATCTTCTCCCATTCTCGGATCTCCTTGCACGCCTCATACCCGTTCTTGATTGGCATTTGAATGTCACAGATGATCAGAGAGTAATATCCGCGGCCTTTGCCCTTGATCATGTCGACGCATTCTTGGCCATTTTTGGCGCAGTCGTTGGCTAGTGCCGTCTTCAAGAAGTAACGTTGGATCACCATTCGGTTCACGTCGCTATCTTCCACAAGCAGGACACGATTATCTCGGCCACCAATCCTCTCCTTAACCAGCTTCACTATATGCTGGAAATCATCCGAGCTCGATTGTGCAACCTCGCGTGCTCGATCCTTGCTCAAGTTCCTTAATTGGGCAGGATCGAAGATCATCGCGAAAACCGAAGGCTTCACTGGCTTGTGGATGAGGTAGGCTTTGCGTCCCGTGGCCGTTAGCGCGGTAAAATCCTCCAAGATATCTCTCTTCTGATAATGGTCGGTTATGACCACCAGCGCAGGGATCACGGCTGCGGTGTATGTAGCCATCTGTCTCATGAATAGCATGATATCGGACGTCGCAGGAATATCCAAAACGATGTGCGTGAAAGTCGGCGGCGAAGGGCCATTCATGAGGTCCAGGAAAGCCCCGATGTCTGGGATGGTGGTCACATTGGCCGCAATCTGATGCGGTACCACGTGCTCAATGTGTTGCTTGATGGCCGTCCGGGCATGTTCTGACGGGCAGATGATGATGATCGAATATGTCTGTGGGTGCGCAAGGTCCGGTGCAAGTCCGCTTGCGTCTTTATCGCTTTTACTCCGTCGAAAAATAGGATGAGCAGTTATTGTCTTCTCGGTGACGGTTTGCTGCTCATTCGAGCGCGATACAGAGTCACGGGAATGTGCCGATTCAGGCGTGGGCAGCAAAGAAGTTATGGTAGAAGCATTCACCATTGGGCCCGAGTTTGTCGTGACCGATGCTGATACCCCAGAGCTTTCAGATGGAACAACAGGCGGCGAGGCAACGGGCGGAGAAGACATGGCTGGCGACGGTAGCGCTGGGGAGGCATGCTCGGGAGAAGTGACGTATCGTGAGAGACCTGGCGTCTGAATAATTCCTTCCGATGGGAGTCTGATAGAAGCCATGGTAGGTGTCTTGCTGTCTGAGCGGGATCGGGGACTCGCGCCAAGCACTGACATATTTCTTTGGCCAGACCTGATCGACGCTGGAGGCGAGGTGATGGTCTCAGCACCTGGCGGCTCAATTTCGACCCTGACGTGAAAGCTGAAGGTCGAACCTTCGCCCGCTTTACTCTGTACTGAAAGCTCTCCACCATGCATCTCCACCAGCTGTTTAGAAAGGAACAATCCCAATCCCGAGCCTGCTTCGTGATTGTTGCCGCCTCCAATTTGACCGAATTGCTTGAAGAGTCGTTGAAATTCATTCTCATTGAATCCGCGTCCCGTGTCGACGACGTCAAAATTCAGCAAGATTGTCCTGGTAGCATCCTCCTTTGGACTTTTGGGAGGTGCATCGCGGAGAGAACATCTCATGTAAACTTCACCTTGCTCGGTAAATTTCACTGAGTTTCCGAGAAGATTAAGCAGGACTTGTCGCACCCTGAACGCATCGCCCTTGACCATAGCCGGAACGTTGGCTTCGAGAGAATAGTTGAGCTCCAAGCCACGCTCGATGGCCCTGGAAGACACGGTATCCACCACTTCTTCGCACAAGCTGCGCACATGGAACCATTTTGGAAATAGTGTCATTTTGCCCGCCTCGACCTTGGTAACGTCAAGAATGTTGTCGACGAGCTCCCTTAGGTTGTTGGCGCTGTTCTGAATGGTGTCAACCGTTCGTCTCTGATCGTGATCTAGAGATGAATCCACTAGCCAAGGCATACTTCCGATGATACCGTTCAATGGTGTTCGAATTTCGTGAGACATGTTGGCAAAGAACTTGGTCTTAGACTCCATTTCTGAATGCACCTTCTCGTTGGCCTCGTTCAATTTGCGTTCGAGGGCTTTTCGCGTCTCAATATCGGTGCATGTGCCATACCACGATGCTTTGCCACTTTGACTCTGCCACAATCCTGTATCGACTCGTACCAACCGCACCAGGAACCATCTGTATTCGCCACCTTTGGACCTCAAGCGTATTTCAGTTAGGTAGGACAGCCGTCCGTTTTCATCCTTCTCGACCATGACCGACCCTAGCTTGATCATTCGATCGAGTGACGACAGATCAGGAGAAAAAAGGTTCTTCTGCGTGGGAAGGGGGGGACCGGCCGTCCTATTCGAGTCGCTGGACGAGTCGGTGCGGCTACTGGCCGCAGAGTATCGTGCAATGGCGGCAACGTCCATAGGGGACAGTATCCCACATTTGTGAAGATCTTCACGATACACGTGCTTCGCAAATCCCAGCCCTCTGGCCTCCTCCAGGGTCTGGCCAGAGTACGAGTGCCACTGCTGGTTGACAGCCACGATACCTTCACCCTCAATAGCTTCAAACAGGATCTGTGGAATCGCATCCGCCAAAGCTCGGATTTTGGTTTCTCGAGCCATGATCGCTTCTTTTTCGCTCGCTTCCAAGTTTTTGATGTATTGCTCATGCACGTCAAGAAACGAACCAATCCAGTATAGTAGCCGGCCATTGTTGCTCAGTAACGTACTAGCTCGGAAAACGAACCATCGAAAATCACTGTCGCTGTTGAATCGCTTTACTCGGATATAATGCGTGAATTGGCTTCCAGTTCGTAGCGCGTCGTTCCACAGCTTCACCAAACCATTCCTGTCCGCCGCATGTACATTTTTCCAAGGATCACGGACTCGACCTTCTCCTTGACTCCTGAAAGCATCAAACTTGCGGTTTGTCCACACCAAGTCACCAGTGGTGGGCTTGGCAAGAAACAGCTGAAGAGGCACGGCATTTAGCATCAGCGACGAAATCAGCTCCGGTAATGGCTTTTCCTCGTCCTTTGACTGACTTTCACGTCGCATTGTCTGACGCCGAGAAGAAGGTTCAAGCCGTTCATAGAGTTGATCGCTGATCTCGCTTGCGGAAGCATTGCTTCCTGACCGTAGTGCAATGGGACTTTGTGCCTGTGCTTCAAATTGGGTCTTGCTTGCAGCTGGCTTCTTTGACGTCGTCTTTGAACTAGAAGCAGACTTCTCGGCAGATCGTTTGGCCGGCTCACCTTCGTCCCTGCTGGCGCGAGGACCTGGAGTCAGAGGGTGCTCTTTCCCACGCTGCCTACGCGAAGAGAAATAGCTGTCGACCATGTCCGAACCCGATCTTCCTGGAGTGGGTGGCAGACCTGGGCTTAACCCATAATGATCCATTTGAGGAGTACTCGAGACAGAACTAGTCGGGCTTTCCTTAAACGCTCCAGGACTGACGCCTTCATTCCATCCTCTAGGTTTGTCTTTGTCCTGCGCGACTTGTTCACTGAGCTCTGCCACCAATTCCAGTTCCGATCCCTCATCTGAGAACGTGCCACCGAGTCCGAACGCGGCTTCATGCCGGCTTCCAGGGCTGCCTCTCAGGCGATCTTGAAGTGCGCTGTATTGCTGTGCAAGAGAAAAGGAGCTCGCAAAATGGGGCAATAAGGTCTCCAAAGACCTGCGCCAGCTGAGTGGAAACGGGTTTATAGGCGAAAGGAAAGATAGGATGGCAATCGGAAAGCGCAGGTTGGACGCCAATGTACCTCGTGCTAGATGAGGCTGGATCAACGGTATGTGGACCAGAGTCTTAGACATATCTGCGCCTATGGCATTTAGGGACTGATTTGCCGTGGTTGCATAGTCGTATGGCGGAGGGTTCTGTTCGAAAGCCATCTCATCTATAGACGCAGTCGGTTGAACGAAGAATGGTGATTCTTCTGGATCAGGTCGTGCAGCAGGCGAGGGCGAAGGGCTTTGGGACCAAGGTGAAGGCTCTGGCTGCTCGTACTCGTCAAAAGCTCGGATTGTGGAATACGTTGGCTCTTCCACCTTGTGGGACTTTTGTTTCTCTGCAGCCGTAGCTGATGGCGTCTGAGCAGGGCCACGTTCATCTTCCCGTCCATTTTGCAGTGACGTCGGTCGTGGAGCATCTTCTGAATACGCTCTTGTAAGAATGACAGGTTTTCTCTTACCGAACAAAGATGTCACACCAGTCCGGATAAGCAAAGGATCCGGCTCCGCCTCCAGTGGCTGAATTGAACGATGGACATGACACCTCAAAGTGGAGGATGTCGAAGCTGAAGGATTGTATGGCATTTTGAATGCCAAAGCATCTTCGGCGGTAGACGAGGCCCGAGGAGTAGCAGGCTGCTTGGTCAACCTGGGCAGTACCGATGAAATCAATGGCGAAGCCTGCTCATCTTGCTCTTTGGGTGCGGTGCTATAAGCCCGGACCGGTCCAGCTGGTCTTTGACGCGAGCCTCGGCCGCTAGGGTCTGGCATTGGACCTGCAATTGAATGCCTTGACACAAGCGGAGGTCGGTGGGGAGTCAAGGTGGATACGTCGCTAGGTATTCTGCTCGAGGGCTCTGGCCGTCTGCCAATCGAGGTGTTGTCATTTTCCGAAGCGAACAACGAGTCCAACTGTGAGGGAGGCACTCCGTCACTGCCATATATATTAAATGTGGCTTTCTGGCCCCACGGTACATTTTCAAGATCGGTAATGTCCCCAGGAATTGCCAGAGAAGCTCTCTCAGCACCGTATTCGGTCAGGATTTCAGTAGCATTGGCCCACCACATATCCAAACCTGGCTCAGAATTCAGGTATAATATCGATTCGAATAGATCGGGCACCGGAAAGTTGGGATCTTCAGGGAATCCAGCACTCATTGGTGTCTGACCCAGAGGCGTGCTCAAATCGGAAGACGAGGGATGACGCTGAGGTTGCGGGGGTGGTGGTACGACGTCTGCGTTTGACGGGTGCTCGTTGGTTGGGGAGAGTAGAGTGAAAGGTTTGTGCGACGGGCCGGAGCGTTGGCTAATACCACGGTTGAGTCTGAAAGCCATACGGGGAAAGGGATACGAAGGCGTCCTAATAGCACCGGGTGTGGCATCGAAGACTGCTCTGACGGTTTTGGCCGAGTCGGTTGAGAGTGTGCCAGTATTGACGGACTCATCGGAGCTTGATTCGGTGTGTAAAAGAGGCGGTGGTGCTTCGGGTGCTTCGCGCTGTTTTGCGGCATCGGGAGAGGTGTCCGCAGTAGCAGTAGCAGCAGCGCGCATCTGCTGTTTCTGAGCCAGAGCTAGACTCATCCTACGTCGCATAGCCTCAAGACCGCCAGACGGTTCGCGTGCCAGAGCCTGAGTTACCTGATGGTGTACAAAGGGTGAGGTACCAGCTGTCGCGGTCTGTGCATTTCTGTTCTCGCTCATTGTCTCTTGTCCTCCGGTAGTAGACCTTGTCGGAGAACTCGACGACCCATGACTTTCTACCGAGCGCGAGGAGCGACCTCGCGCAGGCACTCCGGGGTGTGAGGACTTTGACGACTTCATCGCGGTGGCAGACACTCGCTAGTCCAACTGAGTGTCTGCGACCTCGCTAGGTTTGGGGTAGATTCATGGACCCAGTATGTTCACTATTGACTGCGTCTTGCGTGTTATCCTCTCGCGTATGTTGTCACTCCATTTGTCCAATCTCTTATCGTGACAGTAGTTGATGACAGGACCCGAGTCGTTCGTGACGCTGTCATCCAGAAATCGAGAGCCAATGGTGCTGCATGAACAAGGCCTATCCGTAAAACGCACTTAAGGAGGTACTCGTGACGAAGGGTCAGGGCGAAGTGAAGGAAACGGTTGACTAAGCGAAAGGCGCCCAACGATCAAGTCCTGGTAGTCGACCGTGTTGGTAGAGGATGGTTGGCAAACAGTAGGCCTGGCGTGGCAATGGCAAACACTGAACAGTCAAGGCACTGGCGAGGTTGATGGAGAAGGCACGGGCGACCTACCGAGAGGCGGTTGCAGGTGGATTCGATTTCTCATGCAAAATGACGTAGCCCCCAACTTAGACATTTTGCCGTTACTTCAGCCTTCCCTTGCCACAAAAATCAATTATCACCAGCCTCACTAGCCTTTTAAGATAAAAGCACTCTTCTTTGTATCATTAAGGACGGCTTCATGCTTTCTGTCCAGCCATATACCACCCAGTCAATCACCTCTACCTCCTGAAGGTATCTCTTTAGTGCTACACTACCTGATGCTTGGCTTCACTGGGGTTCCTGTTACTCGTACTCCGTACTCATGTAGGTATGCCGAGCCAGAAAATATGGGGTCTGACCGAGACGGACCCTCCGCCGAAGAAACTCACACCATTGTATACCATAAACGTGGGTTACAGCGGTATTAAGATGAGCAAAGGGATGACTGTCTCAAGTTAACTCTCCAGGTGCACGTACGCCCATAAGAAGCCTACCTAGGTACTCGTCACAATTTGAGACAGGTTCACGAAGAATATTTGTAACTTAGCAGATAGAGATACCTAGGTGTGTGTGCTGTGGGTTAGACAATGCCACCTTTGTCGACGCCTCTTACGCAGCACAACCAGAGCCTACTACCCGTAGTTTCCGTTCACTGGCGAGCCACTCACACTGATTCTTTGAATCTATTCACTGTCAACATGCTCACTCGTAATCATCATCACTCGATCCATTTCACGTTTCCAGCGACCGCAACGACAACAAATAAAATCCTCTCCTCCTCCCAGTGTTTTTGCCCCCTGCGCTGAACCATCACAAGTCAAAAATCGGGCTGATCATCAATATGACACCACCACCTTGCATATGCGAAATGAATCCAATGACGATCACCAACTTGCCTTGTCTTGCCTTGTGTTGATCGCTTCTTTTCGCGTCGTCCGGCCCGTCCAATTAACCCACTTTAAATGGAACTCAATCATTACAACCTCTTGCCCGGTGCTCTTTGGCATGAGAGATGGATAGCCCCAAAGTACAAATCGGACCTGTCACCCACATGCTTTTTACAAGCTGGTACTCGTAAGTCATGATACGTTCGGCTTCAAAATCCGCAATGAGCTTGGGGTACGGAGTATCGTCCGGAATTTCGTTCCAGAGTGTTCAACTTTGTTTGTACCTGCATCTCCCGACCTCCAAGCCACGAAAGCTCGAATTGTTGTCTTTGTCCACCCTTGTTCTAACTCATGTAGGATAGTGACCACATCCAGCATACTTTTGGTGTTTATTGTACATGTACAGTGTCTGCTCATCATTATCTATGGGCCCAACTCCTCTCTGAATTTTTGGCATATTGCCCCAACCCAGGCCATGCTATTCGTCAGAACCCGGTCAAGATCTCAGTCGACCTTGATGGAGCCGTAAATGCGATGAACAAATGCGTAGGCTGCGAAGAAACCAATAGTGCCTGTCATCTGGTCAGTAATCTTGATTTTCATGGGCCGGGTGAAACTCACCGGTCAATACAGACACCAGGAAGCTGATGAGTGCAGAGTATCCGACATAAAGGACAGCTCCAGTCAACCCGCCAAAACTGACCCGAGTGACCCAAAACCCTAGCGCATTTAAGAACACATATCCACCAGTCATGCCTGCACCCAAGAATGCCCGCCATTGCCATCGATAGTCCTCCGCACATAGCAAGAAGTACACCAGCAAGATCGTAGTGCACGCGGACGTCAGGACCATCAAGGCATAGCAAATGAACAAAAACCCAAACATGTAGTAGATCTTGCTTGTCCACAACGACGTCATGATGAAGTACAGTTCCACGAAGATAGCGCAGAAAGGCAGGATTCCTGTCAGTAGCAACGACGGCAAAGGTCGGAGTGACTGTGTGACTGGCGGTATTTGCCGAGGAATCTGATTAATGCGTGTAGGAGCTTCGAATGCTGGCTGCTTGAATCCATACCATGCGCCAGCAACACTGAGAGGGACACTGATCACAAACCAGATTGCGATGATTGCCAGCATTGTCGAGAATGGTACCGCGCCACTTGATCCTTTGGCCCAGACGAAGAGATTGAGTAGGAAGAAGGTTGCGAACACAATGCCAGGTACAAACATCGGAGTGGCTGCTATGTTAAGTTTCCAGTTCTCTCCACCAAAACTCTTGTACACACGGGCAGAGACATAGCCACCGATGCAGCCGAATAGCGTGTACAAAAGAAGCCCGATTGAGGTAAGCCAACCTCGATTTGATGGCGACAAGAACCCCAGCATGGCAAATGCGACCGTCACGCCAGTCATGACGAAAAGCTGAGCTCCATTGCCAAGTAAAACACTCAACATTAGGCTGTATCGAGGGCTGCGAAAGACGTCGCCGTGCACCAGCTTCCATCCCGAATCTTCTTGGACATCGTCGTCCACGGCGGAAGTGCCCGAAAGATCATCGAGGTTGATATTGTCTAATCGATTGTACCGAGCAATGTCCTTGCGCAAAGCCCTCACCAGGATGCTGCTCACCATCCCAACCAAGAAGATGACGAAGATGGTGGAATTGATAAGCGAAAACCAGTGGATTTTGGGGTCGATGATGTGCAGGTATTTGTCCCATCTGGTCGCCCAGGCAGTGTCTGAAGGGCGCCAATAGACACTGTATGTATATGTGATCGGTGTCGTTGCTCCCTCTTTCAGCATTAATGGTCCTGAGTTCGTGGCGCATTCCGCCTTTCCCTCGCCCAGTGCTTTGGACTCCGAATATGACTGCGGCTGGACCAAGACACCCACCACACGGTACTTGGTGCCTCGGAGGCCAGCCCGGTGGTAGTCGATGATAATGTCCCAGTGGTTATTCAGGATGATCGCCCCATCCTCTCTTACTTTGCCCAGCGGAAAGCCAGGGCTAGAGAATCGTTCATGTGTAAGTGGATCTTCTCTCAGTTCGGCCGCAGGTAAGCCATCGACAAGCAAGTTGACATTGTATGCTTCGGTGATCCTGGATCTCACAAAATTGACCGACTTCTCATCGAAATTCCCACTGTCACAAATCATCTTGCATGTTTCGTTCTGTGCCATATGCAGTTCAAACGGCGAAGTTTGGATCCGATCTCCAAATATTATGCTTCCCAGTGACTCTCGGACCCGTTGTGGCCCTTTCTCTGGTCGACAGAACCGAAATGCAGGGTGGTAGTAATCGTAGGAGACAACGGCATGGATCTGCTCATCATGACGTGAAATTGAGGGAGTAAGTGCGTTGACTGTCAAAGGTACTAGATCGCCCTCGGAATAGGAGGAGGGTGCAACTCCAGGAAGGTAGAACGCTGCTACCCCCTTTAACAAGAGACAGCACAGAAGCGCTGAGGGGAGTAAGGGCGCCATAGTCTAGATGTGTCCGGGGAAACCGCAGGCTGGAGTCGTGGAAGCGCAAGAGATTCAGTGGCCTGAATGCGTAACGTACAAAGCCACTTGTCACCTCCCATTCATGGTCGTTACGGTGAAGTGTCGTCGTTCCCGTGTGGAGCTACGCAAAGCTTCTTGTCGTAAGTCTGATGTCTCTCGTCATCAACATAGACGGATTGTAGGGTTTCTTTTCGACATTGTGGAAAAGGTGTCTTGTAGAACTTGTTCGTATGCACTTGAGGAAGTGACAGGTATCGGCAAACCTGCCCCGGGACAGGCCGCAACTCGTTCAATCACAACAGTCTCATTCTTCACTTCGAGGCCTTACCATGAGTTACTCCGTACCGTGGTGAGATATGTTTCCGATAGTCACCTGTGGCGCATGAGGGGTCCATACCCGCGCTCTTAAAGCGAGTTGGAGTTGCAATCTGCAATCAGCATCATGGTGAGTTTCCTGGTCGCCATCTCGCGTCTCATTCGGACAGAAACCTTGAATGTCGCCCATACGAGTCTCTGGGGTGCTCCTATGTATCAGAAAGTCGGAAGAGTACTTGATCTACTATATGAAGCTAACGAGCACTGCCTTTCCATTGAGTAGCAATAAAGATCATCCTGTGAAGTCGAGAGATTGTTGTATGAGAAAGCTTAAGTCATCCTCTGCCGCCCACCGAGACACGGCAATCCAAGGAACATGTCAACGTACACATTAGCAAGTGACAGCCTCGGCCAGGAACGTGCGATACTTTTTTGCACAGACTCCGCCATGACTTATTCCATATTTTCAATGGGAGCCCCCGGCGCGCCATCGACCCAAGCACAAGGGAACCGAAAGAAGTGAAAGCTCGACCATAGTTGATGGCATCGATCAGAGGCTGCACAGTGAAAGACAAGGCGAAGTTGATGCGGGGGGAGAAGGTAGTAAGAACCACAACCAGCTCTCTGGAGATCTGGCCCGCTGCATGAGTGCTGCGTGGCACTCGCCTCAACTCCGCCAAAAGCACAGTTGAGATACCACTGAGCAATTCCATAGATGTAAGCATTCCATAAGCGGCCTCCGTGTTGATCAACATGCTGGAGAGGTTGACGAACCCTTCGTCCAATCTTCATCGCAGTCAGTATCCAGAGCATGGGTTTGGGCACAAGTGAATATCATCTTGTATGGCACCGTGCGCAGCGGCAGTTTCTGGGGGTCAAATGCGTGTTCTTTGAGGAACACTTATCATTCACAAGGTCGGCTGTTAACAGAGAATGTCGGTCGCTACGACCGTCATGACCGAAGCATGCAGTGTGCAGGAGTGGTTGGATCACTCATCCTGCTAACCCTTCTGATTGCCTTCTGCTTGGGTTTCCGTGGATTTCTTAAGAAGAGGAGGAGATACATACCTCTTGAAGCCATTGATCCGTACAAGTATATCCTCCACTCACTGTTACCTCTGGTGCTATGAAATGTGATATGCTCCACAAGTCCAACATCAATTCCAGAGAGACGCCGCCTCCGCCATACAGAAAAACAATGTCCAGGCGATCCATTCCGTTCAACGTGGAGCAGCAGTGGTGGCGGCGACAATAAGGTTGAACAAGCAACCTACGTAGCAGGGGCGAGTCAAATCAACCAGTTCGACTCCACAGAGAAAGGACAGAAGGTCGAAGCGGCCGAATGAGATCGTGATGCGCTTCAGAGGACAGCACCCAATTACTTAAATCCCTTTTGGAGGGAAGAGTTGTCGGTGAGACCAATCACAAGTACTAAACAGATCCCATAACGCAGGTAGATACTGCGCTTGATTGTCAACGAACAACACATCCTGCCCAAGACCTTGACCCCTCAGCCGGCATTGCTGCTTCTAGAGCGCTATAACGGGAAGCACATCTCTCGAGCAGAACGGAAAGAGGCCTCCAGACGGTGATCAGACCATTGCCACGACGGAAAGACTGGCGGAAGGGGTTCTCACGAGCAATCTCCTGTCTGGATTCAACTAATCCGTCCTCAATCCCAAGCCTAACAGCACGCAAACCATGTCCCACCTCACGCACGACTCGTCAATCCTAATCATTGGTGGCGGAACATGGGGTTGCGCAACAGCTTTACAGCTCGCCCGTCGAGGGTACAAGAGCATCACCGTCCTTGACGCACATCCCATTCCCTCACCGATATCAGCAGGCAACGATGTGAACAAGATTATGGAGGAAGGTAAGGCACCTCAATCCAAGCTCGATCTCTCAGCAGAACAATCACTGAATCTTTTCCAAAGGATCCCCTTCCCCCGAAGACGACGACACATCATACGTCTGGAACCGCCTCTTCCAACTCGCCACTGAAGCATGGCGAACTGACCCCGTCTATGCGCCTTTCTACCACGCCACAGGGTTCATCATGGCCGCATCCAGTCCTGAAGCTGGCAAACACGTAGATGACTACGTACAGTCTTGCAAATCGCCCCTCCGCCTGCTCAACACGCCCGAAGATTTCCGCTCCGCCATGGCACCGGGTATCCTTACCGGCACGTTTCCTAACTGGAAAGGCTTCGTCCGTGAATCCGGTGCAGGGTGGGTGTTTGCTCGCGGCGCGATGGAAGCCGCATACTATGAAGCCAGCCGCCTCGGTGTGCGTTTTGTTACGGGCGAATCCGCCGGCAAGGTTGTGAAGCTCATTTACTCTTCCCCTTCCGCAACCTCATCATCCGATGTTGATGTTCTGGGCGCGACAACGGCTGGCGGCACCGAACACCGCGCGGATAGGACGATACTGTGCGCCGGCGCGAATAGCGACCGCCTATTCGACTTCGAGCGGCAACTCCGTCCAACGGCCTGGACCTTAGCGCATATTCAGATGAGTGACGCAGAGCGGGCGAAATGGAAGGATCTGCCTGTGCTGTTCAATGTTGAACGCGGATTTTTTATGGTATGAACTTCCCCGTTCGCTTCCGCATGCAAGCCGGCCCCCTTTCCGGATGATTGTTCTGATCCTGACACGGCGTAGGAACCAACAACCGGAACTGGGGAGCTCAAATTTGTCGATGAGCACCCCGGCTACTGCAACTTCCTTGACGACCCCGAAACGAACAGCGAGCGCTCTGTCCCATTTGCACGCCAACAAATCCCACTCGAAGCCGAGGCCCGGGCGCGGCAATTCCTGCGTGAAACCGTGCCACAAATCGCAGACCGCCCGTTCAGTTTCGCCAGGATATGCTGGGACGCGGATACACCGGATCGAGTGTTCCTTATTGATCGGCACCCTAGGTATTCGAGCCTGGTGGTGGCCGTGGGCGGATCCGGCATGGGATTCATGACGATGCCAGCCGTGGGAATTCAGGTTGTGGACGCGCTCGAGGGACGCATGGAGCCGAGGATGAAGAAGGGGTTTCGATGGAGGCCGGAGACGGCGGTGGAGAGGGACTGGAGGGATACGCAGGATAGATTTGGAGGGGATGGGAAGGTTATGGATTTCCAGAAGGTGGAAGGGTGGACAAACGTGCAGGGACAGAGGCAGAAGAAACTGTGAGGGCCATGAGGAGGGATTGCAGAATCGATCTGTTAATGTGGCATTAGTCGTAATAGATATCCATAGCAAATCATGTCTTGTGCGCACCATGTCCACGCTGAAGCAAAAATCAGCTCAGGCCCTGCGTGAGTGACGAGCTGATGAATTGAAGCACAACCGATATACGGCATACTTCGCAGACGTGTATCTGCCCTTCTCAAACCTCCTCATTCCTCCAGGAAAGGTATCAGTCCCTTGCCACTGCCCATCTGACGCGACATTGTCTCTGCCTGTTCGACACTAGACATCCTTTGAGCCCATTCAAAACGCCTGAGGAGCGACACCTCTAATGGCTCCATTGCAGATCAGGGCCTTCAATGGCGATTGCTCGTCGCGTTCTTACGTTCGGTACAGCATTGACGGTTCGCTATACCTTGCTGGCACTTCCCGGACTAAGGAGACTGTGCATGTGTATCCTGCCTTGGGGAAAGTGGATGTATCTAGCGGCTAGTGATGTCGAAATTCTCCGACATTTGAGTGAGTAGCTGTTGAACGTCCAGGGCGCCTCACTTCTCGGTGCCGAGAACCATTTTTTCTCTCTCGCTCTGACGAGGCATACTCCCTTTCTTACTGTGCTTACGCACATTCTCTTCTTTCCTCTTGATAGACTTAACTTCTTCTCCTTTGATCTCGCCTGCCTTCTTGACAGTCTTGGGCAGATGTCGGTGTCTCTTGATACGTCGAATTTCCGGCATATGGGAATACCGCTTGATCAAAGCCTGGTCGTACTCCATTTTCTGTCGTTGTCGTGCTGACTTGATGCCACCGCGACTTGAAGCGTTTGTTCGCCATAGTCTCACATTGCCATCGTCCGACCCCGACAGAACATAGTTGTTGTCGGCCGTGAACCTTGCTGAGAAGACTCGTTGCATTCGTTTGGTGTGATAGACATCCCTGGAATGCCCTCTATCCCTATTCCACAGACGAATTGTACGATCATAGGATGCGCTGACCAATTCTTCACCTGTTGGACTGAACTCCACGTCCATCACAGCAGCTACATGGTCTTTCAGGACGTTCAGAGCTCTATCAAGCTTTCGCATGTCGAATATGTAGATATTGTGATCCTCGTTTGCGGCAGCGAAGTTGAAAGCCTCCATGGGATTCCACGAAATTGCGTTCGATGCTAGTCTGAGGACAACCTTTGAGACGGGCGAGGAGGTCCGGAGGTCATAGAGGACAATCGCTCTATCCAGGGCGGCGGATGCGAGTATTGATGTTTCCGTTTGGTTGAAAGAGACGGCTGTGACAGTGTCGGTAGAGGTTGGCCACTGTAGGACCTGGCTCGGTCCTGACGACGGTCGCGAAAGGTCGTAGATGGAAATTGAACTGGAGGAAGCTGCGAAAGATGAATGGTCCCGATGGTGTGAGATGTCTGTGAATGCGCCTTGCCCAAGGTAGGTGGCCAACGGCAGGCCATTCTTCTCTCCGTTGTAGGGATCCCACACCTTGACGGTCCTGTCGGTGGCACAAGAAAGCAGTTTTCGGTCTGGCGTCCAACACATGCCTCTGACCACATTTTCATGTGCTCTGGCATGCCACACCTCTTCACGGCTGGCTAAGTCCCAGACTTTGACCACACCATCGCCACTGCCGCTTGCGAATCTCTCAAGAGAGCCCGGATCTTTCGCCATAGAATACACTCCGTCAACATGACCTCCGCCTAGTTGACCAACGAAGGGAGCGGCAAACATGCGCTCCATTTTGACCGCATTGAGGGCTCGTGTATATTCTCTTGCTCGTTCGAACGGATGATGAGAAGGATCGAGGTTTCGAGGTTGTCGCATCGCACCGTCGCCCGGAGGCGGCGGCGCCCTGGTGAGAGATTTGATTTTCTGGAGATAGTCAGCACACAATCAGTAGCAGGGCATAGAGTATTCACCATCTCGAGGGCAACATCATCGCATTTTGTGTGGTAGCCTTCGTCGGAAAGGGACGAAGAGAAATTATAACCAGCGGTCGAGTGCCTGGAGCGCAGCGAACTTTTTTGTGGAGAAGGAGGCTGCCGCCCGCAGATAGGATTGGAGACCAAATCGGCGTCATCCACGGTGCCTGCAGAAGATCCAAGCCTGGCGCTATGCATTTTGGTGCTTGTCCTCGCCTGACCGTGTTCTTCACAGCCTTGAGTCGTGCATTAATCAGTCTGCAACCACTGGTCTTCCGCAGCCCAGAATAATCTCCTTACCCACACTCTGACATCTATCTCTCATCGTCAAAATGGCTCCTCCACCTGCTGATGACGCGAAGATTGCGGAAGCAACCAAATTGGCCAAAACGGAACCGGCAAAGGCAGAGAGCATTTACAAGGAAGTGCTGGCAAAATCACCTGGCTCGAATCAAGCTGCTCTTCAAAACTATGAGAATGCTCTGGTTGGATTAGGAGTACTCTACAGAGACCATAGGCGGTCGGAAGATCTGGCCCAACTGGTAAAGACAAGTAGGTCAACGTTGTCCTCGTTTGCCAAAGCGAAGACAGCCAAGCTTGGTATGTCGAATCATGCTACACTCCCTCTCATACTAACCACGGCGTTCAGTCCGTCAACTCCTCGACTTCATTGCAGAGATCCCAGACACCCTCGAGCTCCAAGTTGCGACGACCAAGTCCTGTATCGACTGGGCCAATTCCGAAAAGAGATCATTCCTTCGCCAGAACCTCGAAACAAGACTGGTTGGCCTTTACATGCAGAAACAATCATATTACGACGCACTCACTCTGATAAATGGTCTGCTGCGAGAGCTGAAGAGACTGGATGATAAGCTTGTCCTTGTGGAGGTGCAACTGCTGGAATCAAGGGTCTACCATGCTCTCACAAACCAGCCTAAAGCAAGAGCTGCTTTAACGTCCGCGAGGACGTCTGCCGCTTCAGTCTACACGCCCCCTCTTCTACAGGCTGGACTAGATATGCAGAGTGGCATGCTGCACGCCGAAGATCAAGACTTCAACACCGCCTTCTCTTACTTCATCGAAGCGTTGGAAGGATATCACAGCCAAGAGGACACTGCTCGAGCGACCTCTGCTTTGCAATACATGTTGCTTTGCAAGATTATGCTAAATCTTGTGGACGATGTCAACTCTCTTTTGTCGTCAAAACAGGCACAGAAATATGCCGGCACAAATCTGGAAGCGATGAAAGCTGTGGCACGAGCACACTCGAATCGATCACTGGAAGAGTACGAACAAGCACTGTCCAATTATCGCTACGAACTTGGAAGCGATGTCTTCATTCGGAATCACCTCCGACGGCTGTACGATGCCATGCTGGAACAAAACCTGATCAAGGTCATCGAGCCCTTCAGTCGGGTGGAGATTGGCCACATTGCAAAGATGGTTGGGCTTGACACACAACAAGTCGAGAGAAAGCTGTCACAGATGATCCTAGACAAAGTCATTGTAGGCGTTCTGGATCAGGGGGAGGGTTGCTTGATTGTGTACGACGAAGTCGAAAGAGATGCCGGCTACGATGCAGCCCTGGAGACTATCGAAAAGCTCAGTAATGTGGTCGACGTTCTCTACACGAACCAGGCGGCACTGCTAGAATAGACAAAGCATGGAGTTTGGGCACCGGGAAATCTGACAGCAACCACCATAGCGAGAAGCGTATCAACGCTGACTAGGTGCTCTCGTACTTGATTCAGGCAAGGCACTAATAAGCGTCCAGGTTCTAGACCAAGTGATCCCTGTTAAGAATAAGCAGCTCAGGCTGGGAGTTGGCAGAAGGTTAATCAACGTAGTTTCAAGTTCCGTGCCGATGCGGGCTTTGTCATTTGGTGGTTTCGCTCCGCGCCCATGTAACTTGGCCAAAGAAAATCCAGGCGCCAAAGGACTCGATCAACTGTTTCCGGCGAACATAGCGAGGCTCTGAGTCTCCTGCTTTCTTTCAACTCTGGACAGAACTTTTGTGATCGCAGACACTTAGTACTGTGAGCGCAAATTGACTCTTCACGACTTCACGAATATCTTTCCAGCCTTTGACAAACCTGCGTCGCATCTAATAACTGCGTTTTCACCCCGCAGGAACATAGCGCAGGCCCATCCACCACAGCTTATCCAGGGTGACGTCGCTGCTGGCACAACTGAATCTCGCTCCCGCTTGATTCCTGAGATATTTGGCCGTCAGGCCTCAGGTGGGCTACCAAGATGGGTCAGAAGTGAGCACACCCTGGAATCGAGCTCGCCCTTTTTTTTGTTTGGACGCGCAGTTAAGGCTGACACTGTAACCCAGACAGTCCAAGCTGTCGCCGCAACAACTCGAGGAACTCCAGAGGTCGACGCATTTTGACAAAAAGGAACTGCAACAATGGTACAAGGGTACGTCTTTGACGCCCTGGGCGGTGGTGGTTTTCTGACGGCTGAACATTATTCCCAGGCTTCCTGAAGGACTGCCCCTCCGGCACATTAACCAAGGAGGAGTTCCAGAAGATATACCGACAATTCTTTCCCTTCGGCGACCCAAGTTCCTTTGCAGATTACGTCTTCAAGGTGTTCGACTCGGATAAGAGCGGGACGATTGACTTTAAGGAGTTCATATGCGCGCTGAGCGTGACAAGTCGGGGCAAGATGGAGGACAAACTGGACTGGGCATTCCAGCTGTATGATATCGATGGCGATGGGAAGATCAGCTATGATGAGATGCTGGCAATTGTGGAGGCCATATATAAAATGGTAAGTCTGAGTATTTCTGTATGAAGCTGGATGAAAAGGCTGACATGTAGGGCGTAATAGGTCGGTTCGATGGTCAAACTGCCTGAAGATGAGGATACTCCAGAGAAACGGGTAAGGAAGATCTTTCGAATGATGGACAAGGACGAGAACGGAAGCCTGGACATGGCTGAGTTCAAAGAGGGCAGCAAGCGGGATGAGACTATCGTGTCGGCGCTGTCGCTATACGATGGATTGGTATGATCGAGCAATGACTTTCCTTGACGGACTATGTGTTGGGCCGGGAATGCATACAGAGGCCAGGCGTTGTTGGAAGAATCATCTCATGACTAGCGGTTGGCTGTTTTGCTGAGCTTGGAGCGAGAGAAAACGTGTGTGATGGCTATCAAACCCGACGCGAACACGGCCGTATGCTCTGGAAGTGGCGGCGGGGAAGGGCACCGATCTTGATATACTATTACGCGCAACGGGCAGGATATCTTTACAGACCACATTAGCAGGCTTGAAAGAAGCTCATGAATCGAGGCATCCTCGTTTAATTCACGAATGAGCATATCGACCTGATACTACTCTCTCTCTCTCTCTCTCTCTCTCTCTCTCTCTCTCTCGCGTCTCCTAAACGGGTATGAGGAATATTTTGTCAGGTATATGGCTGGTGTCCCTAAATTAGGATGTTTGCTTTCCTGAAGCTCGAGGAAGGATATCAATCTCGTCTGACAAGACACTCCTGGCGAAGGCTTGGGCCACCACCTGCGGCTTCAAGCTTAATTCGATTGTCATGACGATTTGATTTGAAGTGTCACAGCCAACCTCTTCCCAAAAATAACTGAGAAGAGCGACCCACTACTTGCAGTATCTCGCTGTAGTTGAGACTTCGGTGCTTGAGAAGGACCTATCTGCTTCGCAGGATGTACTGCTGAACGATGCGACACTTTAGCTCTTTTACAGCAGTGAGGATCCTCAAAGAAAAAGTGAACGTACAAACCCGGTGAACATGACCGGGTTTCTAAGACACATCTGATCAAACCAAGTGTCCTGCGGAAGGCTTCCAGAGGCAGTGAATTTGGAAACATAATGCCGGCTTTTGGGCCCAACACTCCGGTTCTGGACTCCTTTTTGGCTGTTATCGTCGACAGCATACGAAGCAAGAACGGCCAGCGAATCACCGAACTTATCCAACTGGATTTCGATAGTCTACCGCCAGAGCAACGAACACTATACGCCGATTTGAATGGAGAGCTGAACCGCACGTACCCTCCAGAGAAGGATGGAGAGCTCTCCGCGCGATGTCAGCGAGATCTGTCCCAGGATGAGTTTGGGCTCTTCAGCATTACCTTCTCGGACAGCATCGTGCAGTACTTTCGCTACCTCAGGGACTTCACTTCAGCCGACAATCAAGCCAAAGCCTCAAAAATCAGGCAGCTTACGAGGTTCGTGGACCTACTGCTGCAAGTGAGGCTCGACTGACGAGTTTCTTAGTCAATGCGTTATCGCTCTGGGAGATTCCAAGTATGGAGTCATCATGATACCTATCGTCTTGTCCTTTTCACGGACACTAGCAACCATTGCCACAAATTTGGACCGGAATCCTTCTCTGGTCAGGAGTAACGACCTCCTGACGACTCAAAACACAGAGGGTGCCCCCGGGAAAGTCAGCTTCGTTGAGGATGCCGCCAATGTCTTGCGCGACGCGTTCATCAAGTGTCTCGCAGGTAGTCCAGGAGTCCCGCGGATTTCGAGACCAGCTGCGGAGGACAAGCGTGTGGGCATCTATCTGACGGCAGACTCTTGTTTGAAATTGCTCACACAATGCCGTAAGCTGCGGAATGCACAACAGATGTTCTCCAGCATTGACGCACAATCACCACCACTGGCGTACTATCCAGCCGCTCAACGAGTGACATACCTCTACTACCTCGGACGATATCACTTCGCCAACAATCATTTCATGCGCGCTCAGACAGCACTTCAGGCAGCATATGAGCAATGTCACCGCCAGGCTGTCAAACATAAAAGGTCAATCCTCACTTACCTGATTTCGGCCAATTTATGCCTAGGTCGCTTCCCTTCCTCGACGCTGCTGGCACGCCCAGAGGCCGCAGAGCTCGGACCTAGGTTTCTCCCTCTTTGCCAGATAATGAGAAGTGGCAACCTCGGGCAGTTCTACCAGTATCTTGCCCTGGACAGCGAATCTGGGCAATGGTTCGTAAGACGTTCCATTCTACTCCAATTACGAAACAGGTGCGAGATCATAGTGTGGAGGAGCCTGATTCGTAAAACGTTTCTTTTCAGCGGGTATATGGGCGAAGAGAAGAAAGTCCCGTTCCTGAGGCTTCATTACGTCCGTCACGCTGCCGCCTGGGCCATCAAGCAGCAAACAGCTCGGTCCAGAGCAAATGGGTTTGGATCTCACACGATGAATGCAGCAGAATCATACGTTGATCCTGAATTCGCTGACATGGATGGCGCAATCAACGAAACAGGGTTTGACATGGAAAGTGGGGAGTATCTTGATGACTATATCGGGCAGCATGAGCCTGCTGGCGAGGATGATTCTGAAGAGTCGCCGACTATGACGGAAGTCGAATCCGTGGTGCTCAGTCTTATACAGCAGGGGTTTCTCAGAGGGTTTGCGCTGCATACCAATCCACGGTTTGCTATACCGGGAAGTCAGAAGGCAGGAGGACCCATGAGAGCAGGGTTTCCTGAAGTGTGGAAGGTCATTAAGAGCAAGGAGGGCGGTGAGCCGGTGCCTGGATGGGTTGAGGAGGGAAATCTGGGCTCAGGAGGTAGCAATGTTGTTCGAATTTCTGGCGCTCGGCCAGCAGGAGCGTGATCTGGCAGATCTGGCAGACCCTCGGAGTCATCCAGAACGCCTTGCAAGGATGATGGACTTGTATAAAAGGCTCAATTTTGACGGGGATTGTTAAAGGCTCGAAACCAGATTTCGAGGGGTGCAGCAAAGCGAGGCTGAGCAAGAATAGCAAATGCTTGGCTGCATGCGGTGGTCTTAGTGCTCATCTTGCCGAACAGATCGTCATGGTCCTCGTGGTCGTCGCAGCGGAGGGGGCCGATCGCTTCAATCGTTATGAGTCCGAGCTCTTCTTCCAAAGCGTCCGAAGCATCCAAGTGTCAGGCGGGCCGGTGTGCATCAAGAAAGGGTTAGAGATTGCCTCACTGAATGGACGACTGCGCCTCGGTACTGCAGGCAAATAGTCCTTGGGGGCAGCCACATGCTCTCTCCATTGGCTGCCCTTTCCTCAAGCATCAGCTCTTTCTTGTTCCCGGTGCCGCGCGCGAGCAACGGGCTGTCTTGTCCCTCAAACACTCTGTCGCAGAGTCCTGCAGGGCGTACGCCGCCAGAAACAGGCAGTGACTCCAGGGCTTTGTTTAAAGCGTCAATGGACCTCTCCTTGCCTTCCAAATCGTATTGATTTCTGCCTGCACTGTGCAACTTGCTGTTCTTGACCTGCGAGCACCCGTTGTCCTCAACATGCTCGTTCTACTTGTTGACCCCGGCGCGTGCCAGTAAAGCAATGGCTTCTCTTCCCCAGACCTAACCCAATGGTGAACTAATCACGCGACTGCACTTGGATTTACACGACCAGATTCAATATGTCCGGAATCGAGATTGGTATCGCAGTTGTTGGAGCGGTAGCAGCTCTCATCACAGCATACAAAGATGCCGGCGGCATCGTGGGAAACATCAAAGAGCGTCGCAGGGCCAAGGGCGCTCTACCGCCCAGCATTGCCTTGGAACAATCACTCCAGGAAGGACAAGAAGAGATCGAACGAATTACAGCAAAGGGAATCCAACGGTTTGGGACAGAATTCGAGCAGGGCGATGGTAAGTAGCCTGATCCAGCGAGCAACACTGCACCGCTAACACTAGGCAGATATCGCACATCGAGCTCTACAAGCCCTGACAATCGAGGTGCAGGCAACATTCCTGCATCATCTTGTGATGGCAAGCAAGGACGATAATGTCACCGACTTTGAGTTATGCATCGACTCCGCCATTGAAGCCAGACTCAAGGCTGTCACCATCCTCAATGAATTATACCTCCGCCAGCAGAAACGATCCAGTCTCAGCATCGAACCTGACTTCCAGATCCCCCTACGGGGTCAAAGAGAGGACAATAGGCGCGATGAAGTAAAAGAGCTCAAAGATCTGAAGAAACGCAGCGATACGCGGACAACAGAACCGGAGACACCACCTAGCCCTTCAAGGTCTCGAAAGTCGTCCTGGAACCCCTTCAAGAACCTACATCGCGCAGGCTCAGCAGAGCACTCGAGAGAAGACTCGTCGGCTCCTCCTATTTCAAGGTCGTCAACCGCCAACATTGCCTCTCCCATACTGTCCGGACGACCGGTGATGTCGACTTCTCCCGGCTCTATGACCACGCGGGATCCTCGCAGGACAACCCTCATGACTCCGCCAATCAGCCCAGCGTCCACATTTTCACCAGTCGAAGCAATCGCCGCTGCCGGGTTCTGCAAGGGCGCCTACTATGTCCAACAGGGCGCATACGATAAGTCGGTTCAAGTCTCTATGAAGAATATGGAATGGGCCTGTCATTGTCGCAAGTGCTCGTTCGCAACGCCAGCTGATAGAGACGAGCGGGGGCGACCGCGCTTTGACGACGACGTCTACGAAGCATCGAAACTTCGATTTCGGCCACTACTGCTATTCAAGTCTCACCTGTCATCAAAGGAGAAGAAACCACGAGTCTACAAGTGCCTGATCTGCATCCTAGGCGGTGATTCGTCGTCCACTTTACAAGGCGAAGAGCATCTTCTGGAGCACCTTTCCCACCATCAAGGCGCAGCTATCAGTGGTGTAGAGCTGGTTGGACCCATATGCATCGAACCTACCGGCGTCCGAGTAGGCTCAGAGAGAACATTTGACGTCTGCTTCTCGAATTCATCTAGATTTTCTTTGCCTCCCAGCGCCATCGAGCTGGATGACACTGGAATTGCTGAGGCGGACAGCTTGGAAGTGGGTGAGGACGACGAAGTATTCAAGAACCAGTGGGTGAATGAGGGAAGAAGATGAAACCAGGGGTACTTTTGTACGGGACCGGTCTACCTGGAATGGCGACTCTCGTGCTGCAGATGCTGAAACAGCCGATCATTGTGTAACTCGGAGTACTACGGTAGATGATTCGGCCATTTGGACAAAACTAATGATAGCAGGAGTACTCCGTACAGGACCATAGCATTGTCAGGAAGACGCCGCAGTATCTTTAGCTTCTAGGAAAATACCAGCCAGGAGATATCTAAATTGAGTTGGGCGTGGTTGGGTTGTTCAGATCTTATCCAAGAGAGAGGAGTTGGACATGTGCCTCGGGCCACAGTTGCCGAGTATCGAGTCGGTTCTGCTCAGGCTACGAGATAGTAAGCGAGGTGAAGCAGGAGACAGTGGTTATGGCCGACCTTCCACCTGGAATGTCTTTCGTGAGGGCGGAGATTGAGTACACATCGACCAGTTCTGTTCCTTATCTGTGGATGAGAAACAGCAGAAGGAAACAGACGCCAATCCAGAATCCAGAGTCGTGTTAGAGTTTCCTTCCGCCTCCTGAACCTGGTCGGCGTCGACGGGAAACGGCCAGCTGGAAGTTGAATCCACTGGGCTGATCGTCATTGGCACGATTTGCGCACCCTGAGTCGTGGTAATGCCCCCATCTGTGCCCATTCACGCCATTTCCACGAGCTGGCACCCCCCCGAAGGCCTGGGTGATAACCACGAATGCAAGTACCGTACGGGCTGGTTGTTGACCGATCCACCTTATCCATCGCCTGACTTGCATCAACTCCTCTCGTGTCCTCTCTAGCCAGTCGCTGCTCCCCTGCTTCGCTAAGTGGTTCGTTCGCCTCCATCCTTCTCCCAATTGTCCAGTTGAAATTCCCGCCTCTATCAGTGACGGGGCCACTTCAGTCGGCCCTCTCCTACTCCCCCAAAATCCACAATTGCATGACCAGGCCATCCAGGACTCGAGGCACCTATCACTCATTTCTAGCCCTACCTCGTCATGGCTCTCCAATCTGCTTCACCTTCACCATCACATCTACCTACCTGCTATTGGTATCTGTCCACCAGTTCACCGCCGTCCACTGCTTCTCCGTTCACCTCCTGTACCCGACATATCCGCTTCGGCGCGACGAGCAAAGTGAAGAGCAAGAGAGGGAAACTGACTTATCTGCATCTGTGACGGCGCACCCGAGTCCCTCTTCCATGCCCATGGCACTTTCGCGCAGCCACGAGCTCAATCGACCCTGCCCAACACGGTCGAGGCTATGAAGCCAATATCACCTACCTCCTTCCACGAGCGCATATCCAAATGATATGGCGGGACACAGTATGGTCGTCTCCCATCTGTACCACAATGAACCACCGGATCTACAGTCCAGGTTGGAGATGAACCCGACCCTGATACTGTCCTGGTGGTGCACATTGTTCTCCCTCACGGTCATCCTCATAAGATTATTCGGCCGATGGATCCGTACAGAGCGATTGTTCCGGGAAGACTGGATCATGTTTTACAGCGTAATACCGCTCATGCTGCGCATGGCCTTTGTCCATGTCATCCTGATCTGGGGCACGAACAACACGAAAACCACAGGATTGACAGAGACGGAAATCCACCATCGCGAGACCGGAAGCAGGTTAGTCCTGGCTGCACGCATATTCTACGCCGCGTACATATGGGTGGCCAAGTGGACAGTGCTCGAATTCCTCAAGCGCCTGATCGGTAAATCATGGGCCAAGTCCTACGAGGTCGGTCTGCGATTTATCTATGGCTTCCTCATTATCACATATCTGGGGGTAGTCATTGGTACACTTAGCGAATGCCAGCCTTTCAGCCATTACTGGCAAGTGGTACCAGACCCGGGCCCGAAATGTCGAGAGGGACTGGTCCAGCTAATTGTCATGGGGGTATGTGACATGGTCACTGACGTGGTGCTTATCGTCTTCCCCATCCCGCTCGTCTGGCAGTCCTCGATGCGATTTACCAAGAAAATATCGTTGATCCTCCTGTTTTTATTATCCATCATCCTGATCGCCATCACCGCATACCGAATACCTTCGACCATCATGCGCCGGTCTTCGCAACAATATCGATCATTGTTGGCGTCACTTGAAATTCTCGCTGCGGCTGGCGTGTCTAATGCTATTGCCATTGGTAGTTTCATCCGCGACAAGGGCGTCAAGAAGGCGAAGTTCCGTGTTGCATCGGTCGACGAGACGAGTTCGATTGGTCGCAGCGTGACACGAACCCGGACGCGCTCTATAACGCATCATCACTGGGGCTCGGATGAAGATCTCGCCAAAGGTGTTGGCGTCTCACTACCCGGCCCGCTGAGACACGGTAGCAACAAGGAACTACGCCTCGCAGAGGCCGCTACACCTCGCGACGGCTCTACTGACCTTGAGGCCGGTCTACACCACCGGCACGGCTCAGCGTTCGGTTCGAATTGGAACTTCGCATCGGCATCCCGTGGTCGACGGCGCAACTCCCTAGAGAGCATCAGCAGCACATCGACTGACATCAAATTGCGCGATCTGAAGGCTCAACTACATGAGCCTGTGAGCCCATCCGCCGAGCCCGATACGCCGAGTAAGATGGGCTTCTTCGACGTTGGTGGTCTAGTCGCCAACCCGGAATCACCGAGTTCCTTGTCGCGGCAGACCTCCATCCACGATGCACGTCGAGTATCCCTGCCGAACCCTGCAGCGTCGAGGTCGGGCTCGAAAGCTTTCTTATCTGATATTGGTGGCCTCTTATCACGGCACGCTCATATTCGCGAGGAAGACGAGACTCATTCTGGTTCGACGTCCTCACCCACGAGGAAGGGCAGGAGCCCAGGTCGATCACCGATGCGTTTGGGAGGGGACAGAAAGATCTCGCGAAGTAACCGCCTGCCGTCCCAAAAGGAAGAGGATGAAGAGCCTATACGGCCGCGCCCAAGTGGGCCTGATGATTTGACTTTTGTCGATGTAGGTGGACTGCTTCGATGATGACGACCCTTTTCAGGAGGAGATGCCATGGCGTTACAGTCTGCTGGACATCCTGTTTTCAATGTATTGCAGCAGCGAAGCTCGAAAAGCAAGTTGGCAGGCGATCTGATGTGATTATCGATTGGACCTGTCCCCATGTTTGTATCATTCTAGCGACGGCGTTTGGAGGCACTTTGCTTTTGGCTCGAGATATCCCCACTTATAGCCATACCATATGGTGGCTATACTTTTGGATGCGTTGGAAACTTGAAGAGGAGATTACGATCTTGGCTGATGACTGGGATGACACGTAGTGATTTCGACGATACCTGTGTGATATGTGATATTGTTTGTGTCTTTGCTGCTGATGACCCTGCTTTCAGGACAGGAGAGGCCACCAGAAATGTAATATTTGAATCATTATCTTCGAGGGCTACTAAACATATCAAGTATACCTCTGCAATGTCTTTTGTGGTATCGACACCGGCGGCTGCAAATGAAGTGAGGCCTGAGTCGGCACTCGGAAAGCGATCCTGATCCCGTCAATTATCAGCGATGACGTCGGCGTCGGGAGTCCCAACCGTTGCAAGATCATGACAACACCTCGACCTTTCATTTACAGAGACTTCCTTGTTCAAGGTATATGGACTTGACCAGACATTCGCATCTCAAGAGCTTTCACCACTGACCATTCTGCTGAGATGGCTGTCCCTGGCGAACGTGAAGCCTTTCGGGCGTATCCCTCGACAGGCTCGACATTGGGCATCGTTCAAACATGGCTGCCTCCTTCTCTAACATTCCATAGCTCCCTCTCGCTACTCACTTATGCTGCTGCTCGCGCTACCGATCGTGTCGAGCTCAAAGACTGGCTATGGCCATCAGGCATGGTCCTGAACACCTGGGCCGCCTTTCTCTCTCACAAAGCTTCCGAGACTCCAAACTCTTCAGTCACCGATGCTTTTATCCGCCTTCCATGGCCTCACAAGCTTCTCTTGACGGGAGTCACCGCTTGGGGAGGTCGTCTGTTCTACCGTATTGCCACACGTAGCTGGAAGCGGCAAGCCGATGACCCAAGGTACGCGGAAGCCAAGAAGACAGATGGCTTTTGGAACAAGGCACTTTTCTCGCTTTTCTTGCCAGAAGCTGTCTTCCAGTCTCTCATCACGCTGCCTTTCATCTTGCCATTCCGGCTTGGCGCAACCGCTGTCGAAGGACGTGGCGTTGCCTACCAAGCAGGTCCAGAACCACAACAGGCCGAGCTGTTCAGAGGGCTTGCTGTAGGTCTTTTCTGCACAGGCTTTGCTCTGGAAGTCCTTGCCGACCACGAGCTTGAGAAGTACAAGAAAGAAAAAGGTCAGCACGGTATCAACAGGCGTGGTGTCTGGAGCATTGTGCGACATCCAAAGTAAGCATCCCTCCCGACGGAAAGATTGACCTCCGTTGACCATGAAGCAGCTACCTTGGCGATGCTCTCATTCATCTGGCTTTCCCATTTCTGTTACTGTCTTCGTCAGCAACCAACCAAATCCACCCATTGTTGACATTTTTGGGACCCCTGGCGAACTACGTTTTCTTGCGATATGTGGGCGGTGATCGCGAGAATGAAGAGTCTCAGAAAGAACGGTACAACGCTGCGGCTCTGCGTGATAATACCGACGCCGCGGTTAAATTGGGCGAGTTTGAGGCGTACAAGCAACAAGAAAACAGTTTTTGGCCAAAGCTCGATCAAGTCCGCAACAAATGGACCTGGATCGTCGTGGCCTGTGGTGCGGCTGGAGCCCTGCTTGAACAGGCCAGCAGAGGCCATTTCTAGAGCGACAACTCCGGCGATCTCAGCCCGGAAGTGTTCCTCTACGAGTCTTCGCTCTCTCGCCAAACTCCTGTCCAATTAATCAATTGAACCACTTTCATCTCTCATGGCAAATTTGGAGGGAGCTACACGTTTAGAGTAGTCCGATCTCAAGAAACACCACTCTGTCGTTCTTGCTAATCCTTCAGAGCAATAGCTCGAGCACATGCGGAAGCGGTCCTCGTGGTAGATCGGGAATGGGTTTCAGCTTTTTCAACACAATGCATATATAGCTATTGCTCCATCGCTTCAGGACGCTACCAAAACAATATTCTCAAACAATCCTGGTCTACTAGCGCTCAGGCTGAGGTTGCTTTTCCCATGTTGTCTTATTGCCTATGCTGTCAGGATCTTTATTTCTGATGCCCTGCGAGAAAGGCTCCACCTTGAACGGGATAATGAAAAAAAGGCCTCCAGGTTGGAAATTACTCTCTCCTTGAATAGTCTGGCACAGTTAGGCTAGCCACATCTTCGCAAGCTATATCTGACAACACCATCACACCGACACAACCCCTTATCAAGCGGCAAGGCCACCGGCGTCAATCCTTCTTCAAAATACATCATCCTTCCGAACACCATTCGCATTCGGGGTCTGTCGGCTGGCGAAACAAGAAACCCGCTCGTCATGAGGACTTCGGGGAGGAAGCAGCCGTCGTAAGCACGGCGGTCTGCTCCCAGAACAACGGCTCGCTCTAGGTTGAAGCTGAGATGGCCACCGTTGTCATCGTGGGGTCCGCCTCGGGAGGTCCCGTCACGTCGGGCATCTTCGTAGGAGGCAAATCGGTCCACGTCAGAGTGGGGCCAGGCATGCTGGTCTGTATCGACAGCGCTGGGTCTGTATCGACAGCGCTGGGTCTGTCGACGCGGTCGGGACCGACGGAGGCATGGGTGGCATGCTCGTTTGTATCGACAACCGTGTCTCAGTCTTAAGCCCCGTCAAGGCTGAGACTACATCTGAGATTGCCATCGTCGTCATAACAGGGTCGGTTTTGGTCGGAGACGGTGGAGGCATGCTGGTTTGTATGGACAGCGGTGGCTCGGTTTCCGACCCGGTCAAGGGTGAGGTTGATTCTGAGGATGCCTTCGTCGGCATCGAAGCAGGCGTAGCGAGTAAGCCGTCGACATCGGAAATGGTGTACCACACATCGCTGACCTCGACGATCGTCTTCGACGACGGTGTCACTTCCGGCGCAGTCGAGGTAACGGCCGAGTTGATGTCGGAGCCCACCGAGGGGACAAAGGGCTGGGAGCCAGTGACGGGAGCGGGAGCGGCGAAGGCCCTGGTTGCCCATGACCAGAGGATCAGCATGACGATGAACAGCATGTTGTCCATCTTATCCGTTGGTGTTGGTGGTGTTGGTGTTGGTGCTGTTGGTGTTGGTGGTGTTGGTGTTGGTGGTGTTGGTGTTGGTGATGTTGTTGTTCTCTTTGCGTGATGGAGGCAAGGACGGCTTCAAGGGTCTTCGAGACTAAGCAGGGCAACAGCGAGGGAGGGTCAGTAGAATGCAATGGCCATAGAAATCCTTGCAGTACTGGATACAAGGAAGAATGCAGCGGAGAAGAGAAGGAGAAAGAGAAAGGCGGCAGGCTCTTATACCCTTTCTTCTTCTGCTCAAAGAGATTGCCCGACAAAGATCTAAAACCCTCTCGTATCTCCATGAAAGGCGACATATGTTTGGTATGGCCAGTCAGACCGCTCGGGTTAGCCTCGAAAGATGGGTGTGCCTACTTCTTCTCAAACATGGAGAATCATCGTCTGGCAGTATAAGGTACGTTGGGCATGATAGACGGAGCAGAGCCGAACATTGAATAATGGAAGTTCGAGTGTAAAATCTGGATCGGGTAGCAACATCAAGAACGAAAATGCATTTTTGAGTTTTTTCCCATCCTGTCTCCAGACTGTATTTGCAGTGCAGACTCGAAGCCGATTTGTTTGGCCGACAAAAAAGGACTATTTAGATTGGCCAAGTCTTTGATGACCACCAGAGCAGCTAGGTGTTGTGGCCTGAGAAGAAGCCACGTTCGCGACCGAGACAGAGTGAAATCCACTGCTGCCATCATGCTTTTTCCAAAAGTCTCATGACCACACAATATCGCTGCGCTTGGAAGTGGTGAAAAGAAGATCAATGTTTCTGTTGCTGATACTCCGAACAGGCCACTCCCTTGTAGTATCAAGATCCGTGCTTATTCGTCAAAGGGAGGAGGACGGGGAAGAGGCTTCCTGTCGTTTCCGGACTCGCACACATGTCAAAAAGTCATGTGCTTCATGTTACATCGCAACCGTGAGGCAGCGCAGTTGTAAGCCCAAATCCAGTTGCCACGCGCTCAAAGTCAACAAGTCCGACCAAAGCTCCCATTAACCTTCTCCCACTCTTGGATCATCCCCTTCACACTCTCTTGAGACATCTTCGAGCTGTGCGCAACCTCCTGATCCTTCGACATCTCCATATAGTCGAGATCACGCTCATGCGCCGTTCCCTCATTCTCACTGTAAATGATCACCGAGCCCGGAGTGAGTGGACGTACAGGTAGATGTGGATACGGCTCGTCGGGCATGAAGGCTTCGTGATGATCTCTCAAGTTCGATGCTGCCATGCGGCTCTGCCTAGACTGATCTCCACTGTGCAAAGCGATCCGCTCGAAATTCGGATCATAGTACGCATCGCGCGAGATATCTTCGATGCCAGCGTTGATTGTAATCTTCGAGTTGTGCATTTCCGACTCAATGCGACGTCTCTTTTTCTCCAGCTCGACATCGCTGGGCTGGTACTCATGCCTCAACGGGCTTCGAATTAAATCACGCTGCACCAGCTGCGGAAGCAAGAGCGACGGGTACTGCGGCAGGCCTGTCCGGTTGGACTGGTACGACCCTCTTGCTGAAGGCGGAGCCAGACGACTTAGTCGATGTTGACTGGAGGGCGCATATGGATCGTCGGTATTGTAGAAGTGTGCGGCGCCTGTGCAGTCATCAGCTTCCTTACCCACACCCTACATCGATAAAGTCAGCACTCGTTCTAGTGCACATGAGGCATCCGATGCCTACATGTCTTCCACTCCCAGAGCTGCTTTCGCCAGTGCCGATGCTACTCCACTCATCCCAGTTGCGCTCTTGACCGGGCCGGCCAAGGAGCAAGGTCGTTGGTCTGACTTCGCCAACCTCTTTTTTCGCGTTCCTGGCTCGTTCCCAGGCGTACATGTTGTTGACCCATCTGACCTCTTTCATGCGCGCATTCTGTCCTGCGGGACGTGGTCGATTCGGGTTGAATATATTTCCACCCTCAGCGCTTTCAGCGTCATCCGAAGCAGCCCGGCTGTGACGACAATATCCGAAGATGCTGGCAATGGCGATGGTGACGGCAAAGGAGCTGAGGATCACTATTCCTACAATCAGGGACGGCGAGATTGGCAGGGATGGCGGCGCGGCCTGATCGCCTGGTTGGGGGGACATGGTTCAAGGCTAGGAAACGTCGGTGATGTTGGCGCAGAGTTCGTCCTTTGAAGACACGGACAGCAGAGTGCGGTTGAGCAGCCGCCAATATCAGCCTGCGAATTGAAAGGGATAATTTGTGCCTCTCGTCGCAGTCATGCCGGACCACAGCTTGAGACGGCAATAACGTGTGATACTTTGGGAGCAACAACGTGGGACGGTAAAGGGCGAATTGCAACTGTATGAGAACGATGCTTTCTGGTTGCTCGAGGGCGAGTGACAGATTTCGTGAAGAGTGAATGTTGTCGTAAACAAACCTGACTCCATGTTTACCAGGTGCGGCAGTGTGCATGTTGTAGTTTGCTAGCGGGCACCCGCTATCCGTCCTTTTCAGTTGCTACAGTGGTGCAGTGAATACCGGCCGATACTTGAAATTTTGTGATCTGCCTCACCTATGGTTGTCGATAGCATCGTTGAAGATACAACTCCAACCTCATCCCAGGAAGCCTCCGCAGCCTTTCACGACGGCTGCTCAGACAGTAAAGAGATTGATTCAAAGCCCTCTGGCGCAGATGGCCGGTTTCACAAGGTGCTCAGTCACGATCCAAATGTGTGCAGTGTCGCAAGGCCATTGCCGCTTTTTTTTCCGTGGCAAACACCTCATCGTCTCAGAAGAGTGCTTTGGAGACAGGAGTTTAGCTACACCTTTCAAGGCGTCTCTTTTGGTAACGAGACGCAGCATCGAACTTGGGCAAGCTCTGTTCGACGAGGGACGAGTGCCGATAGAAGCAGAAAATGACAGGTGTAGTTGTTACCTCGGATCTGGCCGGCTATTCCTGCCATCTGCCATTCATTGGCCTTGGGGCTACTAGGCACGATGTGTCGCACCCTTCCTCAACAAAACAGGCAGTGTCTGACCGAGGAATCAGGAAATCACCATCAGAGCTAGAAACTCGCACTTGTAGCAATGCAGGATACCGGCACTGGCCAGAGAACTCCAATTGCTCCTCCTTGTCAAGAAAGACCACTGGCATCCTCTCCAAAAAGTCTCGTTTCCAATGAGGTCACCCTCTGTATCCTGGAGACAATGTTCTTTTGGTGGTAGTAATTCTCCGTCAGACTTGATTGATGTTGTCGCTTGCCCCCTGCCAGTGTTCAGCCTTGTCATCTACTAGTGGTTTCACCGGCGAGAGGTAGCACATTGGACAGTCCTGCGACGAGGAGAAGCATAGCATAGCATTGGTCACCCTCCTATGGACTAGTAATGACACCTCTATCATCTGCTAACCATACACCATGTGGACCAGCAGTGGTGTCGTCCTGCCCGCTATTCCGTCTGTAATGCGACTCAACAAGCATCCCTATCAACAATGAATAAGCACGATTTCATGACAGACGGCGTAAATTCTCACGCTCTGCCATCTTTCCCCTCGCCGAGCAGCACGACTGCACTGTCGATTTCAGCTGCGCCATCTCTGCTGCCGTCAAACACCTTGTTCATGAAATTGCTGAGTTTTTGCAGACTCATCATCATCTGGTCGTCGTCGAACTTGTCGTAATGTGCATCGAACAACGCCTTCATAGTGGACTGGCAAGTATTCATGCTCTTTCGTGCGTCATCCAGCTTGGTCTTGACTAGGAGCAGCTGCTTAGTGATTTCGGTTTCCGTAGTGAGAGGTGCCGGGCGTGTTGTCTGTCGAGCGGATAGAGCAGTCTGCTGGGAGGCACTTCGCTTCGAGCCGGACGTTATGGCAGCTTGAGCCGTGTTTGGAAACCCTTTGCGATTTTGCCTGGTACTCAGACGGACGCTGCCGGGTCCTGGCTCCTTTGTACCACCGCCAGCCCCTGAAGTCTTCTGTCTCTTGACGATACTATTTGGCAAGCTGGATAGGTCAGCCGGGCTGAAATCATCCGAAGAAATGGTCAAGTCAATGAGGATATCTTCCTTCCCGTTTTGGTGTGGACGTTTCCGCATCAAAGGCTCGATCGGATGGTACTTCAGTTCGATATTATGGTTCGGTGGTGGCTTTTTTGTTCTCGGCTTTCTTCTCTTCTTCGAGTTGTTCGCACTGCCCTTCGGACGATATCTATCAGGGTAAAGGGGGCCTTGAGGAATGGAGACAGGACCGGTTCGGTTGGTGCGTGCAGTCATTGCTGCCTGTTTCGCTGCCCAAATGAGATCGAACAGTGCTTCGTGGTTGAAGGTGTCGAAACCAGCTTTGTTAGCTGCGTTTGCAATTCGTAGCTCCGGACCACCAAGTTCAATCGCTGTACTCCATCAGTCTAATTGAACCTCGATATGGATGGTAAACGTACTTCCTTGGTACAATCCATCCACTCCCGTGTGTCGATGCTCGTACCAGCAGCCAGGCCCCCTTCCACAGTAACCAAAGCATTTCCAGGGTATGCAGGTACCATGTTGCTGGAAAGGGCTTGCCAGTCGACCAGTGTCCCAATGAGCGTGAGGACATATATTCGTGCCAAAAGCATCGACATTGGGACAACCTGGACCAAGTGCCCAATAGCGGCAGGTGGACAGCTGCTGAGGCATGATACCCGCAGACAAAGACAGTGCTCGGCAATACCGAGAAAGGCGGTGCAAAGTGAATTGAGATGAATCCGTTAAAATCAAAAGGGCAACTAAAGTCCTCGACACAGGAAAAAGATGTAAATAGGTATTCTACAACAGAAACAAGAGCAGAACACGAATTGAAAAGGTCGTCCGATCGTGGTAAGGAAATATGATGGGATGGAAGAGGATGAATGACGAGAGTGAAGGACGGTAGAAGACCAAAAGTAGGTAGATGGGAAGGGAGAAGTTCCGATGTGAGCTGGCAGGAAGGTGCGCAGGCTGCAACATGATCGTAGTAAGGAAGAAAGAGACTATCAAGCTCAACATACTCTTTTCGCAAGCAAACAAATGGTTAATTTCTGGCTGCAACATGGCCATTTCAAGTAGCACTTATTGTGCCGTCCCCACGACTTTCAAGCTGAAGCTCTCCGCTTAAGGGACTTCAACCCTTCCTGGACGTTGTTCTTCCCTGTGGCTGCCAGCTTCAACAACACATATGCAGCTCTTGTCTCTGTGAATGTATGCGATGATTTCTTCCTGCTGTTCTCTCCTCTGTGAACCTCTGAGTCATCTGACCCAGCATCGTAGTCTTCATCGCTACCCATGAATCGGGCTCGGGATCTTGGGGATATGCCAGTCGTAGGAGTGACAATAGGGGTTGGTGGTGCGGTTGGTGCCTGAACTGCCATGATGTCAATGGTAGGGTACAATGGCTTGCGTGGTGGAGGCATGAGATCAAGAGGCGTATGAGAACGAGGGATGTTCGCAGTTCTCCGTCCTCTGCGGGAGGTGCCTGAAGGGGAATCCGACCGAGTCGTGGTGGCAGGTGACCATGGGTTGGTAAAGGCTACTTTGGGGGAAGGTGACCGAGGAGAGTTGATTGCGGACCACGCATTGGTGAAGCCAACCTGTGGGGAAGGAGAAGACAGAGCATACTTGTCCTCCGGACCAGTGTCAGAAGTGTAGTCGCTTGTGTAGTCTGTGGTCCTGACCGGCTTTGGCAGAATTCTCTTGTATTGCTGGCCAATCTTGGGTGTCAATGGTGTCTGCGAACTTGGTGTTCCAGGTGCTTGTGCTGGGATGTGCCGTCCTTCCATCTCCCGATAGTGCTGAGCTTGCATAGTACACCGCTTGGTAATTTCTGGGTCAATCTGCATAGAGCCGAAGTTCTCAGACTCTGTAGGAACGCACATGCTCGGGAAGTCTGTGCCAAACACCGGTGTCAATGCATAGCGAATGTTCCAACAGAAAGTAGCAGCCACAGCTTTTGCAGCTTCGTATGGAATCCAGTAGCCTTGATAGGTCAGCAATGGGACAAGGATAGCCTGAGAGGATGGATCTACCTTGTGCAACGAGAGCGCCTCCAGTGATGCTGTGACAGATGTCTTTCAGTCCCTCATTCCGAGCCAGCATTTTAGCTGGAGTTGTCTGGTGCCGGTCAGATATTTCAGTGCGACAGGTGAGTGACTTTGCCTACCTTCGAGTAGTGGCCACACTTGAATAGTGGGGTAGTGCGTACAAGTCCAATGTTGTAGTCCCATAGCATGGTGTAAGTGGTCGGCTCTCCCGGGATCTTGAATTGATATTGGAATACTAAAACGCATGAATTAACACACAGTGAACCGTCAGGGGTTTTGGAGCGTTGCACCTTCGAAGCTTTCTCTTCCTGTCTTCTCCCAGAACACTTTCTTGCCACCATTGTATGGTATGTGGCGAGGGTAGTCAGCAATGCTCCCCATGGGATACACCTCGTGCATCTGATGGTGCACAGCGAGAGTTTCGTTCTGGTCTTCGTGAGGTGGATATCGGCACGGTTCTCGAATAGTACCAAGCTTGAAGACTGCGGCATCCTTGACGACCTTCTGCTTCTTCCGCATTGGCTGGTCGTGGCCACGTACGCGCTTGTCGGATTCTGTCGAGGTTTGACTGTCGTGAGTGGACACCTCGTCCTTGCTGTCGTAATCGTTGTCGTCCATGGTAGGATTGAGGAGTGATTGGATTTGAGCCATTGCGTATTTGCAGGTAAGAAGATGAAGAGAGATGGCAGAGAATGATCGGCTCCAGAGGGGCTCAAATACCTTCCTGCCTGAATCAAGTCTCATGCTTGATCCAGTTGACAAACAGCAATCAACACATCTGTTGAGACAAAGCTTGGATTTCACAAACCACAACACGCCCCATACAAGGGGCATTATGGCTCCACCTGCATTTCCAGTTCTGAACAGCTTCAGCAAAGAGAAAGGAAGTTCTTTGACCGCATACATCAAAGACTGATGCTAAGGCAGGCATCCAGTCTGGCCAATGTGGAAGGCAAGCTCTCACTCATCCAGATCGTCACTCATCGACGAATCAAAGTGCCTTCGGCATGAAACTCGCCCACACAAGGGAGAAGCGGTGAAGCAGTTCATTCTGGGCAGTCGGATTGACGCAGTCTGGAGCCTCAAGATCTCGACGACAGTCGGGTTTGCAACCATTTATTCGGTTTTGGGGAAATCGCTGGTCAATGTCTTTGAATCAATGCTTCTGATCGCTACGAGAAATGTGGAAGAAAATCGCAATTCGTTAGCTTGAAGGAGGGTGTATCTGGAATTGTGGTTCATTAGTATTAAAGGTACTAGTAATGGTGGGCAGGACTCGTACTTCGCAATCTTCAAACCTTAGCGAAGCCATCTTATACAGTGCCGTCGGGTCCGTAGCCGTACACTTTTTACACTGGACCAATCAGTCGGACCGTTTGCAGAATATGTCCGAGTTCTTGCTGTTTCCAGGCCAGTCTGGGACTGGTCAGCCTCTTCCAGTGTTGCTCGCGGATTCCTGCATTGATAGGTGTCACAACGACGCCGCAGAGTGGCTAGCCTTGCCGAACAGACAAAGAACTGTTCTGTATCAGACCATGCACGAAGGATAGATACACGCTCCAAGCATTCACCATCCTCGTGATTCAAAGTAGAGTTGGCAGGGTGAATGGTGCTGTCAAGGTCGAACGGACATTGCAGGTGAAGGCAGGGGGAGGCCATAATCTGGTTTCGTCTCAAAATCGTAATAGCTAACACGGGGCAGCCATTGACGCAAGACATCAAGAACGCCAATATCGAGTATCAACTGTCCTTGCTAAGTTATGGACACATCTATGCAACAGTAGCAAAGTGACTCACACAGCCCAGCTTATCCTATGTCCAGGGACGCTCGACACTATCATGTTGAGACCCTCACCAAATTGGTTCATGCTCACTCCAGATTGCTCAAACTCGCGGACCCGTCCTTCACTCGCTCTCCGAGAACGCCGCAGAAGATCCATCGTCTTGAAAGCCTCCGTCGTCTTCTTCGTCGTCATCCTCAAATGTGTATTGGGTAGTTTTCTTCGTGGCGACTGCTCGTCTTGCTGGTCGTGCTGCTGGCTTGCGGGACACAGGCTCGTCCGACTCGGATGGCGAAGGAGATTTCAAAATATCATCCGCAAGTGCATCCATCTCATCATCTGAATCAATCACCTTCTTCTTTGCCAATCGCTTCGCGTAGGCTTTAGCCACTGGAGACTGTTGGACTTTCTTTGGAGCTGGTGCCTTCTTCGCAGCAGGCTTCTTAGCATCCTTGGGTGCCTTCTTGGCAGCTGCGGGCTTGGTCTTCTTTGGCGGAGCTACGTCGCTGTCACTGTCCATGTCCATGACATCCTTCTCTTTCTTTGGAACTGCCTTCTTGACTGCTTTCGCCGGAACAATTTCATCATCGGTTTCTTCAGCCCCGGTAGTCCCTTCCTTGGTTGTGACGATAATGGACCGTCTTGGAGACGATTGTGGTGCCAACATCTTGTAGTCAGTCTCATCGGCCGAGAGATCATCCTTTGGAGCAGGTTTCGTTGGGAGTTTGTAGCCATGGCTGCTCGTCGGTCTTGAGGTAGACGCAGAAAACAATGCTCTGGACTCGCTTCCACTGTCAGTGCTTGTCTTGCTAGGAAGTCCTTTGACCATATCACCCAGATCCGCTAGCAGGCCATCTCCATTGTCACTTTCTGAGTCGCTGAGCAGAGCATAGTTAGTCGGCTTCTTTGTGACTGCTCGAGATTGCCGGTTGGCAGGCTTTGACACGACCTCTTCAACGGCAGGTTCTTCTTTGACAGGAACCTCGCCCGTGGCGCCGACCTTGGCATCTTCTAGCTCTTCAATAGGGTCGCTATTTCCATCTGTATACAGTTTCCGCTGCTCCATTGCATTCTTCAACGCATTGGTCTTCGGGGCAGCATAAGCAGTAATAGGCCGCTGCTTCTGTACTGGCTTCGGCGCGGGCACACTCTTCTTTGCCTTTGGTGCAGATGCTTCGAAATCTGATTCATCAGAAGAATCGCCCAATGCCTTCCGCTTCTTCGCCTTTGGCTTTGAGGCGGCGGTGGCAAACTTTTTGGACACTCGTCGCCCTTTTCGAACGTTCCGCTTGCGTGCATGCTCCTCTTCTAGTTGCAATCTCCATTCTGCAATAAATTCATCAAGGTCATGTTTCCACAAGTCCTCTTTCGATTTCTTCATCAGTGCATCGACCTCCATTTCTTTGTCGCCAATCTGTCGCAGCAGTCTCTCAACCCGTTCCTGGGTCAACGACCACAAAGGCATACCCAGAAGATAGTCATAAGCACTTGCGTCAGTGGTGTCCTCTTCGGCTTCTTCGTCTTGGGCCACTTGGAGGATCTCTTCTTCCTTGGTGGCATCTTTGGTCTTGGGAATCGGGTCGAAATTGAGCTTCTGGAGCTCTGCAATGAGCACGGCCTTCTTTTTCTTCGAGATGTAAAGCTTGCCGTCAATGATCATCTGGATAAAACGGGCTTGGTTCGAGAGGCGCCTCAAATCCTTCTGCATATCTTGCAACAGCCATTCCTTGCGCTTCGCGTACAATTGGAGACGGTAGCTGTAGAATTCATCCATGATGGCTTCGACATTGGCATACTTGGTAATGCGACCCTCTGGGTCAAATGCGACAAGGTTGGATGTGGCTATGGATTTGTTCAATTTGAACTTTTCCAGGAAGCCCTCCTCGCGAGCCTTGTCCATGTGTTTCTCGTCCATCTGCACGATGAAATGAACTTGGTCATGGGTATTGTAGTCCTTGTAGTCTTTGATGAATGATGGCACCTTCTCGGCCTTGATGATCTCTTCAAGCTTGTCTTTGAAGTCCTGCGTCCAGGTGCGGATAGGCAACTCGGTGATCTCGACCTCGGTCGGCCCGCTCTCATGGACAATACCGCTGAACTGGAACCGATCAGGCGCCGTTTCTTTGACTTCACCTTTGAAGCCACGGAACCATGGCTGCATTTGCTTCCATTCTTCACCTGCCATTCGTCTCTTGAGGTTCTCGACGATGTCTTCCGGGTTATAGTTGGGGATAGACGAACTCCAACCCGTCCCAATACCATCAGCACCGTTGACGAGAATCATGGGGATGACAGGGACATAAACTTGAGGCTCGATCTTCCGGTCGTCGTCGGTATTGTATGTTAAAAGCGGCTCGTCAGCCTGGTTGAAGAGTTTCCGAGCGAATGGAGAGAGGCGAGTGAAGATGTAACGAGCGCTAGCGCAGTCGCTGCCTCCTTGATTTCGTGTACCGAACTGTCCGGAAGGAACCAGCAAGTTGACATTGTTTGACCCCACAAATGTCTGAGCTAACCCAACGATAGTCTGTTGGAGAGAGGTTTCACCGTGATGGTAAGCAGTCATACCGCCGACTAGACCTGCGAGTTCGGCAACCTTCATATCTTTCTTCAAATTGCGTTTGAAGCAGGTATACATCACCTTGCGTTGGCCAGGCTTCAGGCCATCCACAACAGAAGGGATAGATCGAATGTTGTCAGCCATACTGAAGAGAATCAACTCCTTGTTGACAAAATCACTGTAGGTGATCTTCTTGATGTTGTGATCGAGATACGTTCCTGGTCTGAATTGACGCAACCATTCCTTTCGTTCATCTGCTTTCTTCTTCGAAAAGGCGAGTTCGATCAAAGCCGGCTCTTCATCTTTCATGGTGTCAAACTCCTTGTGGTGAGTATCCAAGTCATTGAAGTATTGCTGCGCTTCTTCTGTGGTGCTCGTACCCAGACCCTTGTAATACTTGTTTTCCCATCCGCGTTCGTGTTTATGCGCTTCTTTCCAGGCCTCATATTCGGGCATGGTGTAGAAGGCGCGCGACTGCGAGGGGTTCTGCGGGTCGCCCTTCCACACTTTGACAATGGGAGTGATGAACTCTACCAAGAAATCCGGAATTCTAAGCAGACTTGGGAACTGGACTTGCAGAAAGTTGATCAACAAGCCCTTGATGTGGCTACCGTCATGATCCTGATCGGTCATGATCATTAAGCGACCATATCGAAGGCCTTGTCTGTCAGTATAGACTTTCTTGTGCTGAAGACCGAGGAAGTTCTTGATGTTCTGAATCTCAGCATTCTTCGAGATTTGGTCAATTGACGCGTCTCGCACGTTCAAGAGTTTGCCTCGAAGAGGAAACACCCCCCACAAGTCGGGACCCACGACTGATCGACCTGCCATAGCAAGACCTTTGGCCGAATCACCTTCAGTCAGGATCAGTGTGCACTTGTGGCCCTCTCTGGTGCCGGCCTTGTTTGCATCAGTCAGTTTGGGATTGTTCATCCGACTTCGCTTACTGCCGTCAGACTTCTTCAGGATCTGGTCGGCCTTTTGTTGGGCGAAATGGAGGATGTTGTTGATGACTTCAGTCTTTGTTACCTTCTTCATGAATTCTTCCGAGACCTGGCATTTGCTTCCGAACTGACTAGATTTGGTGGTAAGCTGCTCCTTGGTCTGTGACGTGAAGGCTGGATTGACGATCAGCGCATTCACAAAGATGAAGATATGGTTGCGAATCTGATTGGGCTTTAGGGTTGCACCACCCTTGTTCCTCTTCTTGACAACGTCCATTAGTTTGTTGACAATTTGATCGGCGATATAGTTGACGTGAGTGCCACCTGATGTGGTAGCAACAGAGTTAACAAACGAAACCTGCTGGAAGGAGCCGTCCGACACTGTGAAGCCGATCTCCCAGTGAGGATCTGAAGACTCGGTGATGATTTCCGAAGTGTCGTTTGCAGCCTCTTCGCCTCGCTCTTTTTTGATTGCTTTGGTGTACATCTCGATGTACTTTTTGAAGTTGCGAGTTTGCAATCGGGTGCCATTCAATTTGACAGCCACGCCTCTGCAGGTACCGGCCAGATCGTACACTCTACGCTTGAAAAGCGCTTCGAGATCATCGTCCATACCTTCCATGCCAAACTTGGCAAAGTCGGGTTTGAACGTGACCTTGGTAAAGTCCTCGCCTTTGCAGTCTGTGATTTTAGCTTTGCCCATCTCAGACATGTTGTTGGTCCAGGTCTGCTTATACTTCTTCTTCTGTCTCGCATCGGCAGTCTCCACTGTGAATTCTGTGCTGAAGATGTTGCAAAGTTTTGCGCCGTAACCATTCCGGCCACCTGTGACCTTTTGCTCGTTGTCATCATAGTTGGAACCCGTAAGTAGGTGACCAAAGATCATCTCCGGGATGTAGATCTTCTCCTTGGAATGAATCTCTATGGGAATACCGCGACCATTGTTGTAGACACTAATCTCTCCCTTTTCCCGATCAATGGTGACCTTGAGCTCATCCATATTCTTGTCATTTTGCTTGTTGTCTGCGGCATTGACCAGGATTTCATCGAAGATTTTGAAGATACCAGGGACATAAGATACCTCTCGGAACTCCATGCTGTCGAGTTCGGTGTTGTAGACCCACATTTGTTTCTCTGTGCGTTCCACAGAGCCAATATAGGTATCAGGGCGCTTGATGATGTGTTCTAGCTGAGTGAGTTTCTGGTATTGCTCAGAGACACGCTTCTTCTTCTGTGGTAGCGGAGAGTCCTTTGCGCCGTCGACGCCTATGGCTTCGTTGACCAGGTCGCCTAGAGGCTTCTTGTGGCTGCCTTTGACTGGATTGGGCTTGACTTTCTTCGCTTTAGGAGGAGTGTCTGCGAGAAGTGATTCGTCGTCGAAAACATCGGCCGATCCATCGTCAGAGCCTTCATCCTCGGAGTCTTTCTTAGAGCGCTTCTTTGGTACGGTAGTCTTGGGTTTCGGTCCGGGTTTCGCTTTAGACGCAGTGGTCTTTGCGGGTTTGGAGGCTGGTGCTTTCTTTGGCGCGGCTTTGGACTTTGCTTTCTGCACATTGTTGTTAACACCACCCTTCGGAACGGCGTCAACACCTCGGGAACTCACAGGAGCCGGCTCAAAGTCTGAGGTGCCGCCATCAACGTCAAACACTGAGGTATCCATGTTGGCTGAGTATCCGAATGGATTCGTGCTTCAAGAATTTCCCTGGAAGGAGCGACTAATGACTCTCGCCACGCGCATCAAGTAGGTCGGTCGTGGGAGAGAGTGAGGAGGGGTTGAAATCAAATTAAAAGGTAGTCGTCGAGGAACTGTGCATTGTAAACACAGAGTGGCGCCAAACAACAACAAACCGCAGGTCAGCCGGCAGTCGGGAGAAGCCTTGTCGCGAAATCTTGGCGCGACGGACGCTAGTCCTTGTTGGTACAGTTTGGAGCTAGCCTTGTTTGGTCAGTTTCCGTCCCATTGAAGTTCAAGCAACGGAGATATCGAGGTATGGACGTGTGCTGCATGAGTGACGAAGGCCAGCAAGGAGTCTATGCTAAGCAGGAAGTTCAAGGCATCTCGGCGTCGAGAATATTCTGCGCGTTAGCTGCGGATTTGGCGTTGACGAGAATGCAACAAAGAGGAAAGCAATCTAAGCATCAACATTGCCTGCCCCTGACCCATGGCTCTGGGTCATCGTCCATATCCAAAGCCTGGATCATTGCAGATCTTGTCAACATCTCAGACGTATGTCTATGGCAACCTCATAATAAGGAATCTTAGACATCAACCTTTGGCCGAAGACACACGGAGCATACACTGCTTCAGCTATGTCTCGTTCCTTTCTTTGCTCAATCTGCCCCCACATTGTTTGGGGTCTTACATCGACGCGTCCCAAGCCATAGCCCGTTACTATGCAGCAAACACCATTCAATCAGGTGTTGGAGACATCTTTCGCTCGGCCACGACAGAACAAAATAGATATAGAAGACCTCAGAGATAGTTAAAGCACCTCTACAGTCAACCGAAATTACACCTATAGCGGTCGATCAGTATTGGATGGTCGAAGATGACGGGCTAGTGTCAAATGAGGAGTTTCAATCACCAACCCCTGGCCCACTCGACACTCGAACATTCATTCCATTCTGCGAACTGTGCTTCCACCAAGGACCACTCTTCTCTCCTCTGCCGCCTGTCGCTTTGATCGTCTCTGACGACGTCCTTTCCTTACCTCCCGCGGCCTCCTCTGGCGCTCCCCTCGCACGGTCGCTGGACGAACTTCTGCGAGCAGCCTTTCTTTTGATCATTGCTGCCGTTTCCAACCTCCAGAGGGCTCACTCCTTTTGCCCTTCGTCATTCCTTACCTTTCCCGCCTCTCTCGTCGCCGCTCCTTATAAGCAAGGTCATCATCGACGATGGAACAAACTATGGTGGAGGAAATCGTTCTCGAGCCACAGCAAGAGCTTCCTTCCGCACCCAATACCGACGTCAAGCCAGAAGACATTCCTCTTCCAAGAAGCTCAATGATCACCGTCCGACTGTCCGACATTCAGGTGCACCCAGATGTCGATGAGGAGTTGGGACAAGATGCTTCACCTCAACCATCGATCCACCAAAGCAGTCCTTCTTCTACAAGATCGAGTCGGTCTTCTTCCAGAACATCCGAGAGTTCTATCTCCTTGATATCCGTAGATTGGGAGGGCTTGGAGAAGACTGAAGAACAGGAGAAAGATGATGCTACAGACGAGGTGAGATCCGGCATAGAGATGGTACGGACGAGCGTTAACAGTTCTAGTCTACGGCTCTTCTACTTGCTCGGCTCGAGAAAGAGAATGCTGCGCTAGCTACCGATCCAAAATCCGGAATTGCAAATGCATCTCGCCCTCGGAAGAACACACGACCACCATCGATCCAACAACTAAAGCGGATGATTGATGGCCCTGTACGACAATCCCTGAGATATTCCATATTGCCAGCTCCAGGATTTACAGAGTTGGAATTCTGGGCAGCACTGGTTCAGGACTACACCCAGACAGCCCAGCGACTTCCCACCCTCACGTCCAACAAAATCCGAGGCGGCGTCCCACCAATGTTTAGAGAACATGTATGGCCCAGCATCGCACGCGCTCGGGACCCTTTCCTGCAATCCGAATACCACAGACTTTCTGTCGAGCCCAGCCCATACGATGCTCTGATTGGCAAAGATGTGGGAAGAAGCTTTCCAAACGTCGATATGTTCCGAGAAAAGGATGGCCAAGGTCAACGAATGCTCGGAAATGTCTTGAAGGCATTCAGTCTGTACGACGAAAAGATTGGGTACTGCCAGGGTCTGGGCTTTGTCGTGGGACCGCTGTTGATGCATATGGGCGAGGCCGAAGCATTTTGCATCCTCGTGAGGTAAGTCCAGCACCAACAGTCTCTAACCAGATCTAACCAAGTCGTAGATTGATGGAACACTATGACCTGAGATCGTGCTATCTACCCGATCTTTCCGGCTTACATCTCCGTATCTACCAGTTTCAACAGCTCCTAACACGCCATCTTCCGGACTTGGCTGCTCACCTCGACACACTCAAGATTGAACCACTATACGTCTCTCAGTGGTTTCTGTCATTCTTCGCCGTAACCTGTCCACTACCGATGTTGCTCCGGATATACGATGTCATTCTGTCCGAGGGTGCCACCGAAACCTTGATGCGGGTTGCTCTTTCTTTAATGCAGCGCAATCAGAAGAAGCTCATGGCATACACAGAGTTTGAGGACGCCATGCAATTTCTCCTCTCAAGACGTCTGTGGGATACGTACGCACAGCAGGCGGATGATATGGTCTCTGATTTCGTGTCTTTGACCGGTCTCGTCAGCCAGGAAGCTCTTCAGTCTTTGGAGACTAGCTTCAGGCATTCGCAGAATCTCACTGCTGCCCCGTCACTTAAGAGTGCTGCTGCATCTTTCCTTGGCCGATTCTGGGCAGGTTCATCGCATACTCCTTCAAAATCTGCGAACCTCAGTCTACTAATTCCTGGAAACAACACGTCGGTCCGTAAATCTTCTTCTGGCCAGAGCATTACATCGACGCTCAACTCGGTGGACACTTCTATCTCCGATGCCAGCACACTGGCCACCGAGATATCTGAAGAGCTATCACTTAAGCCAGTTGCTTCGAATTCCGTCGTGAATGAAACTGCAATATCACTTCCAAACTCAAGCGACCGAGATCTCCATCACCAAATTGAAGAGTTGCTGACCGAATTGTCCAGAGTTCAACGTCAGCATGTTGAGCTCGCTCGCGAATTGCAACGAGAGCGAGAGGAAAGAGAAGAAGATCGTCAAATGGGCCGGACCCTTCTCGACCACCTACGACAACAGACAGCTGATATCAAGGAGCTTGCTGGTAAAGAACCCACGGAGGATGATGCCGAATTGGATGCTCTGCTGGAACAAGCCAACCAACGATTCGGCGAAGACAAATCCAAGCGGCTTTCTATTGCGCAGTCAAAACACCAACTTCGTGATTCTGTGGCTGAGTGGAAGGAGAGGCACGAAGCTGAAGCTCAGAAATGCCGCGTACTTATGAGACAACTTGACGAACGTGAAGCCGAATACAACTCGGTCAAAGAAAACTTGCGCGAAGCTAGGACACGGATACAAGATTCTCACCGAGAAAAGCAACGCCTGGAACGCACAATCTCGGATTTGAAATCGCGGAACAGTTCGGTCCCTGACTCGCCTGCAGACCTTTACACGCCTGTTGACGAGTTCCCAGACCTCAAATTGCCCGCACCAAAGTCAGGACTTCGAGAGCTGAGACTGGGAAGACCAGAACAACCGTCTCGATCATCCAGTGTTGGGCCTTTCTCCAAAAGATCAAGTAGCCTCAACACTCAAGCTGTTCTTGCGACAGAAAACCACGAACTTGTATCGAACGACGCCCTATTGATCGAGTTGGCCAATGCAAAGACAGCCGAGGCAGTGGCTAGACAGGAGCTGGACGAGACTAAGGGCAAGCTGGATGCTCTTCGAAAGATCTTGAGTGGGACGACCTCATCTCCAACTGCACGAGCATCTGAGTCGCCAACGTCGGCGAACTCCGCAAGCATCAGCCCGGGTATAAAGGAAACACCGAAAGCGTCTCATACCGCGTCTGCGAGTACTGGTGGATTCTTCAGTGGATGGGGGAAAAGAGGTTGATGTCGAGCCAGAGCTCTCCTCCCACCTGCCTATGTTCGGTTAATTACTTTTTAATTCATGACATCTAGATAGCCATATACGACCATCTTCTTCGCATCTTAGCGACAGAGGAGATGAAGTGAGACTTCCAATCAGAATTGACCTCCCTTCTCAAACAGGTTACATCGTGGACGTGCTTCGTTTACTACATGGTTCAACAACAGGAGAGCAAGTCTATAGAGGTATGCAAGCAACACCATCCCTTCGCCGGAGCCTGAGGGCAACGCAGTTACGGTGATACTAGTATCTATCCCAATTTTTGAGCGTCTTCGTCCAACTGAATTGTCTAGACACAACACCGTACAAGCCTGCCTCCACAAACCATAATCAGCGATCTATAGCGATATTTTCCGAGAGGAATCTGGTGATTAGCCTCAACTCCCGGCCTCGCCTTTGTTGTCCGTCTACATTTCCGACTCTAACATAAGCGCCTCCGGTCAAGCTGAATTTTGCCGTAAAGTCTCATAGAGGCCAGGCCGTCCAGTCGCCCAAGTCATATCCAAGAGAAAAGAGATGAGACAATCACGAGATGATACCGCTGGCTTCGGCTTCCCGCTTATCCTCATTTCCGTCGCGGGCCCCAGTTCCATTGACTTGTGAAGGTGTTGATCGTCTCGCTCTGCCGTGCGCTTCCTGCAGCACCGCGCTCAACTCCTCCAGGAACCGGTCGACTTCTTTCTCCGTGCCTACCGTGATCCTGAGACAGCCTTTGCACCCATACTCCTTTCCGCGGAACCTGACCACAACACCACGTTGGCCAGCCATCGTCTCGTACACATGTAGTGCCGTAACATTATCAGGTTGCCCACCCTCCTCTCTCGGCTTGTCTAAGATCTCGACAAGTAGGAAGTTCGAGTCCGTTCCGCCTCTGAAGCGCCCTACGCCTGGGATCGTGGGCAATTCCTTCAGTAGTCTATCCCTTTGCTCGAGTATCTTTGCGCGATTGTTTCGCATGATGGTTAAGCTCTGATCCTTCAGCGCTGCAGTCGCGATGGCGCTTGTTGGACTGGATATGTTATATGGCGCTTTCATATTGTTCAAAAGCCCTGCTATGTCGGGAGCCGCGAACGCCACGCCCAATCGTATCCCGGCGAGGCCGAACGCTTTACTGAGAGTCTGCATGACGACCAGATTCGGCCACTCAAGCACCCACTCGGCTAAGCTGGAGTTGTCGGGCGCGAAGTCGATGTACGCTTCGTCCACAACAACGATGCCGTTCCATGTGGGATGCTCTAGTATTCGTTGAATGTCAGATTTACTGATTAAGCTAGCGGTCGGATTGCCTGGGGAGCATATGTAGACTAGTTTTATAGAAGGGTCTTCGGAGAGTTTGGACAGGATGGCGTCGGGCTGTAGGGAGAAATTGTCGTCGGGGTTCAAGGGCACGTGTACGATTGCAATGTCGTTGACGTCGGCGGACACAGCGTACATGCCATACGTGGGTGGGCATGTGAGGATCTTGTCCTTGCCAGGCGTGCAGAAACACCGAAGGAGCGCGTCGATGGCTTCGTCAGACCCAACGCCGCAGAAAAGGTTGGACGGTGTGAGGGTCTTGGAAGTGTGTGTATGGGTGTTCCGCAGCTGGCAGAAGAGGGACTTCAGGTCGTGCTGGTGAGGATCTGGGTAACGGTTTAGGCCGAGGAAGTCGACTTGCGGTTTCACTAAGGGTGAGTTGGAAGGAGGGTGGATGCCATTGCTGTCCAGAGCCAGGCCGGGACCGTAGGCGTTCTCGTTGGCGTCGAGCAGGATGTTGTGCCCGTCATCTTTGTAGTCACTATGGATATGAGTCAATAGGTTGACTGCGGGGAGGAAAGGTTTCTTACTCTCGCGCACAGCGATAGGGCTGGAGCTTGAGAATATTAGGTCGTGCGCATTTAGAGAGATCGAAAGGTGATCTCTTAGACATCTTGAAACAATTATGATGCGCAACGAATGAGTGTGGTGTTGCTAGAAAAAGTTGTCGACTGAACTTAGAGGATTCTACAAAAAGTTCTCCGCATTCGGACTTGATTGTGCATGATATGACGCCAGATGCAGGCACCGCGCATGAAATTCGTGCCATCCTCTTCGATCCTCCCCGAACAATCCCATCGTGCACTCTCGATCCCGCGTGCCTACGCATCAACCTGAGAGGTATATTTCGACATGCCTGACCCGAAATCCGCCTACGGCACAGCCGCAGCCTCCGACACAGACTTCCGCAGGACATGGGATCGATCAGAATACGAGGCAAAGGCCAAAAAGGAACAGGAAGAACGGCGAGAAGACGCGAAGGCCCGGTATGAAGCCAAACTCGAAGGCAAGAAATGGCACAAGCCCGTCGACCTCTCCGCGCTCGATGCGACATCGGCGCGAGGCTCGCGGTTAGACGTGGCCAGCATGGTCGGCAAAAGCACTCTCGTACCAGCTGGAGCGGGCGTCGGCAAACGAGGAAAGGGCGCTGGTTTCTACTGCGAAGCCTGCGATCTCACATACAAAGACAACGTGCAGTATATCGAGCATCTGAATTCCAAGCAGCATCTTGTCAACACCGGTCACTCCTGGGAGGTCAAGAGGGCGACGTTACAGGATGTGCATGAGCGGCTGGAGATGCTGAAGGCGCGCAAGAGGCAGCAAGAAGAAGAGGATAAGAGGCTTGGAGAAGTTGATATTCAGGCTAGGATCAAGAAGGCTGAAGAGGTTGAGGAAGCCGAACGGGAGGAGAAGAGGCGCAAGAGGAATGAGAAGCGGAGGAAGGGCGGAGATGGCATCAAGAAGGAGGATCCATGGGAGGGAAGACTGGGCATTATTGCATGAAGATATGGACTTGACGAAGGAAATCGTATTGCCGTCATCAAGCAACAACCCTCAACGACCAGAGACACGGCCACTGCCTCTCAGGTCTTTAGGAAGCCATGAATCCTCTTCTCTTCGACCGGATAACGTCAACAAAGGCTATGGAAGAGGCATGCCGAATCACCTGGGCACTATCCTGCTTTCGCGATCACATCCACCCCTCAGCTCTACGTTGACAGTAGCCCTGAGATAGACCATCTAACGGTGGGGACTCCGAACAGCATGCGGCAGTCCAATCCTCATGCTTTCTCTGGCTTTTGGGATCTTTCCTCACGGTCTCTATCCGAACGGACGAGCGGTTCGGTCAGCTCTAACTACTGACGCCCGCATACTCTGACCAGACTGGGAACTTGGAGGGTTGCAGCGCTGAAGATGTCCGGGTACAACTTCCCGAGCAGCGGGCATATACAGCTCCCGCGCCTTTCACTGAGCGAATATAGTCATCTTAGCTGACGCCTTCCCATGTGGAAGATTGTTTCACAAAGTGTATCAGTGTATACCCAAGATGATCTATGGGTACCAACCTAGTCATTTCTTGGAGTCTTGAGTTTTCCAAAGAAACCTCGGTCAAAATTTGGGTTTATATTTTAAAGAGCTACAATTGCTTCCGCAATCGACCATAGGATGCGTACAAACAGGGCTTCCCGTCCGCTCAGCCGTACTTAAGCCGCATGCCGATGAGTTAGTAGTTGCGTCGGTGACGAGCAGCGAATCCTCATTGTTGATTGTTTTTTGCCTTTTTGATTGTTTCGACTGGTTTCCCTCGCAGTATTTTTGCTACTTACGGTATTCAGACAGTCGCTGGATAGGTAGAGCGACAGGGGCCGAGGGAGGTTAGCTCGAGTCAAACATGTTACCAGCGGAGCCAGAGCAATGGGACTACTGTAGAAGATCAACGAGAAGATGGTCAAATGCAGGTAGCATGACAAGAGGCAGTTCTTCAGAGAGGACACAAGAGACCTGAATGACAGAGCTCGTAGAGATACCTCAGTTTGGTCAGCGAGAAGGAAGACCATGGTAATCCTTCTACAGTTTGTCTCATTACCTCATTAGCTTCATGATACATCGGGAGAGACATAAATTTATTCCATAGATCATGTTCAATCCTCGACCTGTCTCCCTTCCGGGATGCCGTTGACACTGATCCAGATCATGGAGACGCAGGATTGCCAGAAGAAGGTCTGCTGTCCATATCATCCCTTCCTTCGAGCTTTCTTCTCCGCCCTCTGCTGCACAACTTTCCTCCTCTTCTCAAAGCTCTCGCCTATGCCTACTCCGTCACCTCTAGGCCCATCTTGCGGATCTCTGCGGCGCTTCTCCCGTCTTTCAAGAACATTTCCACCTTCCCCTCGCGACCGTCCAGCCACAGTCCTATTTATGCGATCACCAAGACCTCCAAGACCAGTCCAGTCCTCGCCACCGAACAAGTCTCTTGGATCGCGTTGGCCTTGTAACCTGCCCTTCTTTTTCTCCGCTTTGCTTAGTGCCGGTAGTCGCACAAAGTTACGTTCTTCGTATTCGTTCCTCTCTCGTTCCCTTTCACGATCTCTCGACGACATTGCACCACGGCCATGCTTAACAATGGTGCTGTTTGATCCGATTGATGGCTGCGCTCGTGGTGCGGCGGAAAGTTCTTCGTCAATGTATTCATCTAGAAGCTGGGATCGGCGTTTCCGTGCAGGTCCATCGCGTTCTCGGGTTGATGGGGGTTCTGGCATTGCAGTAGGCGTAATGCGAGGCGGTTTGTAGGCGCCTGTGGAAGTCGCCCGAGATCTGGTAGACGATGGGTCTTTCTTTGAGGTGTCCAAGTTTCGCAAGAGGGCGGCAGGCCGCGGTGCAGCAGAGATATCCCCGTCCATCTCCCTGTCCAGCTCCTCCTCTGACTCGAGCTCTTCGGAGTCTGTACCTGATACGTCTGAGCCCTTGTTGAGTGTCTTCGTCGTCGGTGTCTTCCTCGGCTCTCGGTCTGTCGATGGTTTTTGAGAAGCGCGGCGGTCGGCTTCCTCGGCAGCTCGGACGACCTTGTCGATTTGGTATTTCAATTTGTTCTCAAGTGGGCGCACGCCTCTTTCTAGGTAGACTTTAAGGTCGACCAATTTTCCGACCACGTCCGACTCGAGACCATCCGACCCAAGCACGCTGTCGTCGTGCCTCAGTCTAAATAAGACAAGGAAAGCCAGGTTTTGTAGGTAGGACAGAAGTAAATCGTTCTTGATGTCGAGCAGGGAAATGCCGTCGGCTGGTGGCAGAGATTGTTGTCCATCATCTGGCAAAGCGGATGATGCAGACTCTAAGGCGAAAGCCAATGTAGTCAAGAGGCCAGTGGTTGAGTCGTCCACCGCCATTTCGAGGGGAGTCAGCAGCACTTGCGAGGATGGGTTCTTGTCGTTCGGTGAAGGTTTGCAGAGCGTCAGAAAATATTTCTAGATTGTAAATTTCTCCGCAAGAAATCCTTATCGATAAGAGAAAGAATCAGATTTAGTCTGACGTCATAATAGTGGTTCAACAAGCCTAAATTAAGCGCGAAGACTATCACAATCCCAATGTCAGACTTGATGATTATGTTGGGCCCCTCGTGACCCCTTTCTTCAACGTTCACCTCAAGGTAGGCCTCTTCTTACTACAAGCTTGCAGACTCTGACGAGGGCATGTCATGGAAGGTCTACAGTCTTTGAATGCTACGCCTTTAGTCAAGATCGTTGGAACAGGTGCAGTCACAGCTCCTAGTGCGACATCTGTTCGCTCCCGGTGTGCGGTGGTACCTGATTGAACAGGCCGGGCTTTCCAGTATGAAAAGGCATAAGAGAATGAATGTGGAAGAACGTGAACGGACTATGGTCAGCCCGAGACGGTTGTCTTTTAGCGCAAAAGACAGCTTGCTGCCCAGCATAAGTTCCGTTCTCCCATCACTCAACGGTCGTATGTTCGGATCTGTTCGCGTGGCCCAACCTTGACATGGGCGTAGTATGGACAACACGATGGCGAAGTCTATGTCATCAATCAGTCTGATGTTGTGGCGACAGGATGACTGACTGTGGTGCAAAGTATCAGACTTCTCTTTCATGGCAAAATGAAGCTATGCAGTGAGATGTGCATGGCTGCCGCTGTTACAGGTTTCACTTCAGACGCCATGGGTAGTTGTACCGCTTACAGTATGTTGGTTCGCTCACAAGCCCGGCACGAGTTGTTTGGGGTCTTTTGTCTGTATCAAAAGTGTGCAAGGTTCTGCGTTCTGTCTTGAGTTGTATACCTGCTGTTTTCCAGCTCGCAACGCAGCAGAGCGCAAAACCATACCCGCTATACGCACCATGTGTCTTAACGCTCCCATGAACAGCATCATGAGCTTGTCCTTGGCACCGATGAACCCACACACTGTTGTCGTCGCCATGGGTTGCAGATTCTTGAACCTGGTGGGATATCTCAGTGAGCAAGTCATCACTCAAACAACCTCTACTACCACCATCCACAATACCACGAAGACCACAATCATGTCTATCCCGCCTCCTCCACCACCTACGCCGTTGCTTCCCCTTTGGGACAGAAGACAAAGAGTTTGGAGACTTTCGAGATGGACTCAAGAAGCTGGAAGTGACCTTTGTGATGACTCCGAGCCATTTCTTGATATTGGAACGGGAGCTCCGTTGTACGCGACCTACTTCCGCCTCGAGCAATTCGTCCGAGAGAAGAAACACAATCCTACTTTACCCCCGATCCTCTATCGCGTCACCAATGACAGGAGCATGGGCATCAACAACGAGGAAGAAGGCTTCAAGTCTCGGCATATGAAAATTACAGGGCAAGCTATGGATCTGGAGAGCATGGAGGGTGAAGAGATTCAACGCATTGCCCTCATTCATATCAGGAATGTTCAACATTTCCGGGGCCAGGCTTTCCAGAGTCCTTGGATCTCTTTCAGCTGCTCGCTGTTGGCGACTCTTCAACGGGCAATGTGGCAAGTGAAACGAGGATACAGCAATGTAACCATCACTACAGTGGATACAAGCACACTGATCTCCAACGAGCTCATATGTACAGCAACCGAGTTGGCGACCTATGTCAAGAGTATCGAGGACAGGCGTTTCATTGAGTACGACTGTCACGAAGAGTATCTGGTGTTCAACCAACTTCAGGGACAGTGCTCGCGAGTTCCTTTCTTGAGACTCTATGGCGACGGCATCAACGTGCTTCTCCCAGAGCTAAATGCGTCCAACGTGCACACTTTTCTCTCGGTAGGGTTGGCGCGCCTGAGAACAGCAGCTTTCAACAACGAATACCCGCTATCGACCACCGAGATTGATAGGTGCGCACGGCTCACCAATCATCTTTTCACCGGACAACGCCGCATGTTGGTATTCTTTGCATTGCTTGCGCTTCGTCGCCGACCAGCCCGGGACCCGGCCATTGTTACCTATGCATGGGAGAAGATGAAGGAATGGCGGACTGGCGCTGCATATGACAGTAAAGGAAGCGTTCGACTTGAAAATCTATTCTACCTACACTGGGGCTGGAACTTCTCTCGCGTGGACGCGTCGCAGCACATGGAGATCAAGCAGTTCGCCAATATCGGAGCGGAACTGACAATGCTTGCCAAAGCATACGAGGAAGAGATTACCGCAGCCGTCATGAAGACGTTCTGGTTTGAATATGACTGGATCATGGATCAGATGGCCAGGAAGCTAGGTGGAGATACAAGACTGCGCCAGCTGTATCAGGCCTTGGAGAGGAACCGGCTTGCATATAGGAAGCACACCTTGCTTATGCTCAAGGGGGATGCGAAAGCGAAGGAGCGTGTTGTCTCGGGCCTCCGTGTGGCCAGGAAGTGGTTGTGCGAGGCTAAGATGTAGACGGAGGTCGTCAAGATAGGAATGAGATAATCTGTGCTCCTAATGCTCTTCCACACACTGTCCGACGTCAGCAGTATAGCAGTGCGATGTGTATGGCGACCGTCTCCGTGCCAATGTTCGACCAATAAAGGATAGAGGCCTAGGCGTCGTCCGGTACAAGATGCATTCTGAAAGCCACGTCGACCACTGTCACAAGAGGTCACATAAGACGACCTAAAGTGCTGCCTGTCTTTGTGTCCTCCATTCATCTCTACTAACTGAATCGATATCAGTGGCGTCCGTCTCACAGTCAAACATCTTCGGTCACTGCGATACCCTCAGCAAAGTCTTCACAATCAGTGTCTTTGACTCTGTTTCTAGAGTACGCATGATGTGAGAACCATTCGAGCAAAATCTCCGAGATTGGAATAGGGGAATGAGCTTCCTAGTAGATCAAGTTCGCTTCGCTTCACTTTAGGCCATGACGTCGATTTCGTCGATTTCTCCTTTTCCCTGTGCGAAATTTGAACCGCATTTATGGAGGACACGGGGACAATCATAAAGAAATCTTTTCATACCAATCGCAGTCCTTGGGACAGGAGGACGACAAGAAAACACGCAGTATATCAAAAAGAAGGATCGACCTTAGTTTGGCCCGTCAATGAAACTCTGCTGGTTTACTACGTACTACGGTCCTCGATCCCCCCAATCGCACCGCCTCCTTCAAGCCCATGCCGACCCTCTCGCCCGTGCTCAAACCCGCACCACCATCTCACCCGCCCAGACGGCTTCGCAGGCAGGATAATGGGCGGTTCCGCTGCCTCATCCAACAAGTCTCCGACCTCCGAGTTCAGATATAGCCTACACGGCTTGCCTTACAGCCAGACTGTGGCATCGCAACCACCCATCAAAGTTACGAGTTCGACATCGTTACATCGCATCCTTGACGACGAGCATAACGTACCTCTTCCTTCTCCGCAAACAGGGGACAACGCGTCGACATTGTCCAATCGGAAATACCTCACAGACGCGTCGCCACACGATGGAGACGGCCCTCGAATTACGGGCGCAGGTTCAATTTCCGCACGAGACAGTCAGACAAGTCTCAATACAAAGGCCCCGACAGTAAGCAGCTTGACGTCCGCCGCAGCCAGCGTCCCCCAGATCCGTGTGAACGACGCGCCCGATCGGATCAGTGACGGTAGCATTGAAGAGAAGAGGAAATGGTCAACGCTGAACCTACTTCGATCAACTCCGATGGTAACTGGGGAAGAGACAGTCCGGGGCACAAATCATGCGAGTTCGGGCTTCGAGGGGGTATCATTGGACATAAGTATCCCTTCGGGCGGCTTTGGCGACGAGTTATCCACAAAAAGCATTGAATTCTCAAAGAGGGGGAGCATGCTGATTGATGGACGAAGGGTGAACCCGTCCAACAATCGCAGGTCTTCACCCATGCTTGCTTCAATTATGGACGAAGAGAAGAAACAAGATGGCCCACAAACTGTGCTGTCTGCGAACAGCAATGTCCGAAAAACCTCCATGTCAACTTCTACCCCTGCTAGACATACCATCAAGGAGCGGCCCTCGGCAAAAGTTCTCTCGGCCGACGAGGAGATGTTGTCTGAAAAAGTACGGGCTTTTTATGCCGCTGGCACAGACAGTCAACAGGAAACTGAGTCGACCACCAATCTTGCTACTCGCATGGGAGCGCGTTGGCAAGTTTCGCTGGGCGCGGACACACAGAGCGTCAGTATACCATCATTGTCGCGCGCAACTTCCACGACAGATATCAATGAGGACATGGATAGCTCGCGACACCCCAGCATGACTGCGTCGGCTTCACAAACTTACATTATACCCGAGAGAGAGGAAACCGAACTAGCCGGTGGTCTGGAGGATTGGAAAGACGTCGACAACGCCGATGTCGACCGATACGGCTTCATCTTAGCTCGGGCGCCAACAGTCGATGGCGCGGATGAATCTAAGCCTCAACGTATTACAAGAGTGTCGACAAGCTTACAGCAAGCTTCAGAGACGCCGCGACGAAGAGTAACAATACGGCGCACGCCCAGCAGCGCTCAAGGCTCTATAAGATCTGGTCACAGTAGACACAGCCCTGCAGATCAGACTCCCCCGCGTCCAACAAGTTCACAGAGTGGCTATGCCCGGACACCAAGTCGCAGAAGCGGATCGACACGAATTCTAGGTCCAGTGTCGAAAGATCGACGTCTTATGGATTCAGCAATGGACATGCTCACGCTTCCACGATCTGCGAAATCTGTCGTGGAGAATGGGCATGTACACATCGATGATGCACGAGCTCGACGCAAGGAGCTTGCCCGGGAAGAAAAGTGGCGGAAAATGGCACGGGAAAAGGCTCCTGCTATAGACGCGAAAACTGGGTTGCCAGTCGTAGGCGGTGGATCCGAAACAGGATACACGTTCAATACCACCTCTTCCAAGCTCATAGAGCGGACATGGAAGGGCATTCCAGATAAATGGCGAGCAACCGCGTGGCACAGTTTCCTCAGCACATCGGCATTGCGGCGGCAGGATTGCCTAAGCGATGGGGAACTGGTTGATTTGTTTCATCACTATCAGACACGATCATCGCCCGACGACGTGCAAATCGATATTGATGTTCCTCGCACGATATCTGCACATATCATGTTTCGAAGGCGGTACCGTGGTGGGCAGCGTCTACTTTTCCGCGTATTGCATGCAATGTCGCTGCACTGTCCGGAAACCGGCTATGTGCAAGGTATGGCAGCGCTGGCAGTCACGCTTTTGGCGTACTATGACGAGGAAAAGGCCTTCGTTATGCTCGTCCGCATGTGGGAACTCAGGGGGCTGGGTGAGTTGTACAAGTCCGGCTTCGGAGGTCTGATGGCGGCGCTGAATGAATTTGAACGAGGCTGGCTAGGCCAGGGCGAAGTTGCCCGGAAGCTGGTACGTATGCGATTTTCTTTCACCTTGCTTTGCTGCGTTGTTCTCCAGAACCGACTGCGGTCGACATGACTTCCAAGTCTCTATCATGACCAGCCTTCTTCCTGCCTCGCGTGTAAGGATTGTTATCTTCAAATTTTCAAACCTCCCGCGACGTCAACGACCAATGCTGACTCGTTGCTCTACAGGAAGATCTCAACATCGGCCCAACCGCCTACGGCACGCGCTGGTACCTGACCTTGTTCAACTATACCATCCCCTTCCCCGCGCAACTCCGAGTCTGGGATGTCTTCATGCTGCTTGGTGACGACACTTCACCCAACACAGCAACCACAACCGCATCTCACACTTCTGCTAGCCGTTCACCGTCCGTCAGCCACAGCCAGATTCAAAGTCCGACCACAGATGCCGAGCCTCACTTCGGAACGACACTTGATATCCTACATGCGTCGTCCGCAGCCTTGATCGACGGTATGCGCGATATCCTGCTCGAGTCGGACTTTGAGAATGCCATGAAAGTCCTCACGTCGTGGATTCCGATCCAGGATGAGGATTTGTTCATGCGCATCGCCAGGGCCGAGTGGAAGATGCATTTGAAGCATGATGCAGCAAAGAGTGCGAGGAAGGCTGCGAAGTGAAAACACCCAACAGCATAGCGTGCATTGCACAGGCGCCCCAGCCGGATTGAGGAAGTAATTGAGCCCTGAGCCTACCGGCTTTGACTGCACCTTATCAGATTCGACATTCCGCCATTTCGCCGCAAGGAATCCATGAACGCAGACGAAATGTTGAAAAGCGCAGAGCCAGGATTATTAGGATTGGGAACGCCCTACATGTGCTGTGATCGTTATTCATTGGGCTGAATAATAACACCCTTGAGGGAAAAATTTCTATCAAAAAGTCACGAATAAGTTATATATACCCTTATAATGCAAGTTAATTCAGAATCACATCAGTCTTCCTCGCGGTAGAGTATCCAATGTCATCAGAATATAGATATACGTTAAGTCATTCTGCCTGCGATCGTTCCAGGCTCGTACCGTCAGCTTCTTTAACAAACTGAATCTCCTAAACAAGTCGAGCCACATATAATTGTATCGAAGTCAAGATCCGCTCTGTACATGCATACAGACCTCTGTGTCCTTCCCGGCCCCTGTGAAGGTCTGGATATCTTATCTATTCCGTTACAGAGGAAGATACCTTCCAAGTCACGGTGCTCGAGGGTCTGGCTCCAAGTCCGATATCGACGTGGCGTTGCGCCTCGGGAAAGGGTCGGCTAGCATAGTAAAGCATGAACCGTCGCAGCCGGCGGAATGGTAATGGGACATACTCTAGGGTTCCACATCTACTTATGCCGAAACCGTCGCCTGGTGAAGGGCAAGGCATGCCTTAGACTTGGTGCTGCGGCGAAGGTCGGCAAGCACTTTGCGAATTCAACCATATAGCGACGGTCTTGCTCTGCCCTGAGAACCTGGGGGTATCGACCTACTCGATTGTGACCTCCAGAGGTATCAGCAGGCCGGAAGAAAGCATGTTGAAAGCATGGATGAGGCATTTCGGCGCTCAGCATCTGCCGGGACATGCCCAAATTGAGCTTGACTTCCTGAAGCTAGCTGCAACATTGCTGAAACGAGATGACTTTCTTCTGCCGTCGACCACTTCTACCATCCACCCTTGGGCTCATTTGCTCATTTGGTCGGCAAGAGAAGCAGAACACGACTTCCTGCAAGGGCTGGGCTGGATACTGAGAACCCTGGACTTAAGCGGCCAACGCCGTCAAGACCAACTTTTCATCACAAGTTCTCCCCAAATGTAAGACGACGCCCTGTCTGGATGAGGCCTCCGCCGCCGCCTGACAGTGCCGCTGACGACGATATGCCGGCTTTTTCTGCGGGATTGCAACATCAGCAAGGGCAGTCAAGCAGTGTCAAAGTCGACAACGAGGCCAGGTCGGGACCAGCTCGTATTGAGATTTCGAAGTCGACAATATCCCTGTAGCTCGGTTGCAGCTGACCGCCATAGATACCCAAAGCAGTAGGAGCCCCGTCTTGTAAGTACGAGTATCTCTTGTGGTGATTTACGTACAGGATTTTCTGGATCGAGTATGATCGACCTGCTTATCCATCTCTGGATCCTTGTAAAACGTGTCGCTGATCATCTTGACTCATTTCTGTCAGAAATTGGTTTGCAAGGACAGTCCAGATCCTCGAAATATGCAGCCATGTTGTAGCCGAGCTGATAGCTCACCGCCTGCCCGACGTTCACCGCCTCAACAAATGAGAGCAAGCTTTGAATTTGCCTTGGGGACCGTCAGGATCATCATGTTCTTTCGAACGTGGTAGCTGTCATCGAAATCATCCTGGCACTCAACCCGGTAGGGACAGCCAACGACACTGCAGTCCTGCATTGGCGATGGAGGAGACCTCCCGCCAAATGCTCACCTCTGCCGTCATCGACAAGCCACAGACATTTACTTGAGATTTTTGACGACTCCTGTGCCTGAACCCCGGGTGCCACAAACGGTCTAAGGGGCTAAGGATCCAGAATGGTGAAGTCAGTGGCTGCAAGTTTGAAGGCCGGTTGCACTTTTAGCGCCTTGAACAAACACCGTGGAATTTTCCATTGGGTGGAATTGAAGTGTGTGTAAAGTAATTTTTCTCAATTGGAAGTAGGATCCGAAATAAGGCCTAGAAACAGTTGCAACTCTTCGGACGGGAAACTCGCGACATCTCTGATTTTTGATACGTAGGACGACCAGACGTACGGTACTTGGAAGAGCCTGTTCCCAAAACACCATGAATGCCAAGGCACTGTCGATCTACAAGTAATTGCAAGCGACACCAGACAGTCTTAAGACAGTCTTAGGCCAGCTAGCCACAGACGGAAAAATGTGCATACCCATCGGCAATCAAAAGGCTGGGGGATCATCACATTGGGTTGTGAGACAAAGCGTTGAGATAGAGATAAAGACAGCCGATGCTGATCAGCGCTCGCTTAGGAGGATCGCGTGCTGATATGCTTGTAGCCTCGTGGAGCCGATCAGTGTCATCAATCACATGGCTTGCGAGGATACCCAGGCGGTTTGGCTATGCTACACGTGTGCCTTTGTGTGACTGTCCCACATATCTTTGCTAAAACAGTCGTCCAGGTTGGTCGGAGGACTGCTTGTGGCTACGTCAACCGAGCACGTTTTCGTAAGTCCGCGATGATCTCATGCATCATGGACATCCGAATTCGGACGTGATATTGTTACATCAAAACGTGCCCTTTGTCGATCTGTTGCCGTCTTGGTAACTTCTTTGACACATTCGTGCACAAGGGAAATGCCTGTAGCTTAATTTGGCCTGAAAACCCTACTGGGAGTCGAGAGGCTTGCTGCAGGGTGATACTAGACCAAGCCAAGATGGGGCTTCGGCGAACAGCGATGGCAGCAATGCTCGAGAACAAGGAATGTCCAATAAATCTGCCACCACTGAGCCAGTCATGGGGTCGAGTCTCGACTGCGTGAACTGCCATGATCCTTAGACTGCGGCGACGCTGATAGAGCCTGTGCTGCACCAGAAGTCACTGTGTAAAATCCGTGATTCTCCTTGTGGCTCTTCCAGATCGATCTAAATTGGAGGGACAGGTATGGAGTAGACTTGAAAGACTTGCAAGACTTGAAGGAGCTTGTGTGCGTGTCGGCCTCGCTTACCCTGTATCACAGTAGAGGAACCATGGACAGATACGGTGATCAGGATTGTTTTGGGAAGTTGTTTGGAAGCACGCAGGCGAATTTCGACCTCTCACACGCATGAATGAATGACGCCACCGGAGGCTCACCGGGTCGCTTGAGGAGTTAGATCCTTTAGCCGCATATATGGACCGAAGCGATCTCGGTAGACAGCCTGCAGGGAAAGGCGATTTCAGCCACAGAAGTCTGATTGCGCGAATGCGTCTGGCCTTACGAAACCAAGGCTGACGTCGATTCGTCCACTCGGCCTCTGAGAAGCGAGACACCCAGTTCCCTATCAAGTCAAGTTCGCTCCCTGCGTTCGCCTAGTTCCGGCAACCCTCCCTCAAGTTGCTAGACAAAAACGTGAGATGTGACCTTGCCGACTTGGGACATTTCATTGTGTTCTGATGGACGTGACGCGAGGCATCGAAACGGTTGACATTTTCCCTACTTGCACTTCGCTGTGACAGGTTCTGACCGTGATCCGCACTGTCTGGCTATTGGAGGCGTAATCCGGAGGATTTCCTCTCCAAGGGTTGGCTAGGTTGGACCCTGAGGCGCTACGGGAATGCAAGATGCGAGGAATCAATCCATTGATGCGCATGCAGCCTTCCAGTCTGTGGTTGAGGACTTGTGCGCGGTTTGGCCAGCGTCAACGCAGGCGTCTTGTCATTCCCAAGGAAGACTCGTCTCATTTATGGGCTCGCTTGACTCCGGGAGGTACCGGAGGTTAGAGGCAGGACTAATAATGGCCAACTTCATTTGCTGACTCGCAAACCGTTAGAAGATCTGTGTCGGGTTCACCGACCTCTCACCTTTGCCTTTTGCTGGAAGGGAACCAAAATGGCAACCATCAGTTGCCCGGGTGGCAATCCAGAGTTCAGCTTGGCATTCTTGAAGTAGGCTTTTGTGACATGCCGACTTCTAAGTCGAGGTTAAATAACATTCATAAGTATAGATCCTTCTTCCTAAAACCAAAGTGGGCGGAATGTTTGCCTGGTGCCCAGAGCTTGCCCGCCAGCGTTTCGCATTTTGCGGAAGCTGAGGAGCGTTCAGGTCCTTGATGATTGCGAGGCAAGCAATCAGAGTTCAAGTTTGAGATTCGACCACAAGCAGCTCCGTGCACTGCAAAAGTGGTAACCCATCGACTACTTCAGATGCATCCAGATCTGACTGATGTCCAAGTGTACCATAGTATGCTCGCAGCCATTGATGGCTCTGTGCACGTTTCATGTTTTCGTGGTTCAGTGTCCGTGCGATGAGCAGATGTCCGGGCAGCGAGCATTTTCTGCGATTGTGCATATTCGACTCTTACAGGGCAAGGTGACTCGGGCGCTGATTGATGGAAAGCCACTTCCAGGGTATTGCACCGAGTTAAGGAAAGGTGCCGCGCCTCATGATCGTGAGGGCCAGTGAAAGAGCCAGGTCGGGCATATGCGGTGCGCCGATGGCCGAAGCCGACCACCATCTGCACACAACTTTGAATGACGAAAGTCCTTTCGTGCGGCCGCGAAGAGCAAAGATCGGCGAACTCGTGGCATTCCTCGCGGGCCGCATGGCAAAAAAGGTGTGGCCGCCATGTGCATCGTACTGGCCAAGATCACAACCTCTGTAGGCTTTGTACCACCTAGCATATTGGGGAAAGATGGGCGGATTAGGGCCCATCATGGCCCCTTTGGTGTCAAAAGATGTGCATCATAGGCACGGCGCAGCGCCTGTAGGGCCCGTCATCAGCATGGTGATCTTCCCTTTCCCGAGCCATGATGAGCACACGATAGGCGTGCCGTTGCGTATAGCTCCCCCGACGGTCCTCTGAACTAGTCCCTCAGGCCACGAGCTGTTTGTGGCCCAAGCAAGTCAAAGCCAGTTGTGGGTTGCATGCCCACAGTCGGTCTCGAGAGCCGACAATCGAGTAAGGGACTAGACGGGACTGGACTAGGGCAGCGCCACTGGGGGCAAGTGTAATCGACAGGCCATCGTCGTTCGTCTCTTGTAACATTCGTCTGACTGACTGATGGGCACGGGCACGCATCGGGACCGGCACACACGAGGTACGAAGACTGTTTTGGGACAGAGGAGGGTCGCAGATAGGATCGATGGATGTATGGATTTCCATCGTTTTGTAGCCCCCTCTTCCTGGTGGCATGTCTGTCTACCGCTTTCGAGATGGAGTGTAGGAAAGGCGTGTGGTCTTTAGAGTTGCATTGCCGTGAACCGAGATAAAGTCTCGATCACGATGGCCAGAAAGAAAGGTTCTCGAAGGTCGGCCATGGGATGGTGACGGATGATGACTTGTGTGGCTGGGTGATGAAGACTTGGAGTCGGGACTGGGACTGGTTCGCCCAGAGGCAAAACGAAAGGCGTAGTTTGTCCTATCATCAGTCAAGATGCTTGTGGTGGGAGAAGGAGCCACGGCAGACTTGACGACAGCGTACGACAGTCATGCTTCTCTCTGAGAGGTTTAGAGGTTTGCTGGACACTGTGACCTGCGGCCTGCTTCCCTGGTCCCTGTTCGGTTGTTAGGTTGTTGCCGTGTTCAATGCCACTGTCACACCCTGCTGTGTTGCTTGTCAAAGTCGTTCAACCGTCCGAACTTTCTTTGTCGTTTCGAGCCACTTTTGACACTCGGGCTTTTTCCTTTCCAACGGTATGACGCCTTAGGACATTTTCTAACGGCCGTTTTCCTGCTGGGCCACTAAGCCACTGATCTCGTCGACCTGGGCGACAAAGAAAACACCACCGCCTTGCTGCTCCTGCTTCATCTCCGTCAGTACTATGGCTGCTCCAGCGTGTGAGTGCCAGTGCTAGCTGGCTTCTCCTAGCAGACGAGGCAGACCAACTCTATCCTACTTGGCTCTGCCACCCACACCAATACTCGTACCACTATGGTAATAGTCTAGTACTGGTACATTCCTCTCGTGCTCCAACCATGACAACAAGCACCCTGTTGTCCATAATGGCGTCTGATCCGCCTCTTCTTGCCCGATACGCCCATCGACCTCTTACACCCCGGCTTCTCTAGACTGGGCCGGTGCTATCAGACTCCGCTCTCTCGCTTGCGTGGGACGGACCACAAAGCAAGCCCACCACGACGACTCCACCAACAACATCACCGCTTCCCTCATTCCTGCTCCATGAAACAAACCCTGGGTTACCCTCTATACCCCTACCGTACCCTACTTTCCTCTGCCTAACCGCTTTTTATTTCTCCGATCCACTGCCCTCTCCTGTAACTGCTAGTCAACTAGTATCGTTCCAACTCGGTTCGGGCAACGCTGCCTATGACCTGGCCCTTTCTTATTATCCGCAAGTCTAGTCGGGACCCTGGTCGACCCTGGTCGACACTGTCTTTGTCCCTGCTTCTGTACGACAAATGGTCCAGCTCACAAAAAAGTCTCTGCTCCAGAAACAGCGTAACCTCTCCATTCAGGTACCCAGTTTACCGATCTGGATTACCCTCGGTGGCTCTGTTCCTGGCTTGACTTGTTGTTGGCTTAACCGACCAGACTCATCTCAGTTTGAAGATCTGGTGAAAGCCACGCTTCAAAAGATCCTGGTAGACGCCGCCTCTCGCTTCGACCCATAACTACCTGGCTAATTCCTTCCATCGCTCGGACACTGGGACACTTGGACTCTCTCTCTCTCTGACTGGGCATTCTTGTCAAAGCACAATTGCGACCGTCGACGCTCGTACCGCACGTCATTGACAGCACCCTCAATCAACCTTGTTCCCTCCGGAATCTATACAAAGACCCTCGAGGTTCCGGCCCTCGAGATATCAACCCTTTGAGCACAGGCACACACACCATCCTCTCGCATGTACTTCAACATACCGACTCGTTGCTCCCCCCGACCACCTCAACAACCGCACTCATGTTATTAGTACCAGGCCCTCCGACACCCATGCACAACGATTTCAAAACTCATGAATATCCAACCTATCACAAACCACCCCCGACAAGAACCTATTCTCCTCCCGAGTCCCCTCGCACCCTATCCTCCTTCTTCGAGGATACGAGGGATACGAGGATGAACAACTCTCATCGCGGGCTGCCGTTACCTGCTGGTCTCAGTCTACCTCCTCCGGATCGTGGCCATTCTACGGCTCCTCCTCCTCCTCTGGGACATTTGCCCGCTCCTCCGTCTCAATGGGCTGGACAGGATGAGTCGATGCGGGGTTGGCTCCACGCAAAGGCCGAGGAGGATCGTCGGAAGCAAGAGGAGGAGAAGACCCGTCAAGAGAGTCTACGCCTGGACCAGAGACGCGTCGAGCAAACCATGCTACGTGAATCACTTCAAGGCGGCATTCCTCCTCCCATGGTCCCCCTCATCTTTGCTGGTATCGGTGGAGGCAGCCTACCCAGTCACACGTTGGAATGGGCACAGCAATATCTAGCCAGCTTGAGCATTCAGAACCAACAGCAGCAGCACCAGATCCAGGCCCAGCAGCAACAACTTCAGCAGCAACAACAACAGCTCCAACAACAACAGCAGCCACAGGTATCCCCCGACCTACATCGTGACAGCCGAATGATTCCTCCCAACCCTTACGGGTCGATCCAACCTTCACAACCACCACAGCAGGCACAGGGGCACCTCCCGGCACAATCAGGACAGGCACCTAATCAACGTAACAATTCAATATCCAGCGTCCAGGGTCCCTCGTCCGCCCTGTCACGTTTGAACACTACAGAATTTATTGCTGGCACCACCACAGGTCAGGCAAACCGGCAAGCTCTTCATCCGCTACAGAGCACACAGACAGCCTCCTCTGAGCAATCTTCGGGGCCGGGACTGTTCTTTCATCACTGGACGCCGCCTAATCCTTCTTCCGGGGGCCAACCTCCGACGCCGTCGGCCAAAAGCACTCAAAGTTCTCCTTTCTCCCAACACACGGCGTCTCATCTACGGTCAGACTATCAAAGTTCGCCCAAGAAGCGCAAAGGAGCAGGAGGTCAACCAGTTCCAGCACCGACGTCGGATCCATTGCAGGCCATGTCGGCTCGATCTTCGCGAGAGCGGGAAATTTCACCAGGGCATCGCAACCGCCCAAGTCGGCACTCTCGTCAAGACAGTGATGTGTCAGTCCGGGATCACGAGCTTGGCAGTCGTCACGTTGCCCGTCCTAGCAGTCGACAACAACGTCGAGACGAACTCAGTGGCGGTGCGCCAGGCCCAAGGAGGCAATTGACTAGCTCGTCGACCAGTGGGTCCAGCGATGACCACTCCGTTCGGTATGAGGGGTTAAAATCTGAAACGCGGTAGCTGAGCCATCTGGCTGGTCCGGAGATGAAGCGCAGGAGCAGGGGTGGGGCGTGGGTACTTTTGGCGAGGTCAGATGTTGCTCGGACTGTGGTCGCTATGCAAGGCTGTGCATGTGTGTCATTATTTTCCTTGAGGCTCGGTCGGCTGGCAAAACCCATGTTAATACGACGCTTATTCGTCCCTGTATCTCTACCAGGTTGGAAGGGCTCTCTGGCTTTGGGAGCAGATGGAGTGGACTTTACTATCCCACCTTGGAAGTGCGCCAGGTTGCAGGTCAACATAGGCCATGTTCACGGCCTGTCACGAATTCAACCCGTACTCCCTTACGACTTGGATTTGTTTTGACTTTCGCATCTTCAAACGACCGACTGAAATGATCGATTAGTGCCGCTTTGGGACGGGGACCACTGTTTTTGGACCAGAGTTAGCGAGCTGACGAAGGGCTTTGCGCGAGTCATCTCGAACTGTCCCAAAGCTGGCAAGACGCGGTGGAGATGGCGTCAACGAAGGTTTGGGAGGCACTGTGGTCGTGATTTCAGGACGGTCGCGGCCAGATGGGTAAGAGCTCGGATGGAGTAAGCGAGAGTAAGGCGACATGGGTGGATGGATGGAGTTGATGGAGTCGAGCTCCAGCCTTCGATGCACCTTGTCGGAAGTTGCGCCAGGCGACTTCGACGAAGGTTCGAACATCTGAAACTCGAATGGCATGATGGGCAGGGGAAATTGGCTCCGCAAAGCCACTGAATTGGGCTCAAGCCACCGGGGTACGCCATCGACGAGCACAGACACACCACTAACCACCTGAAACATGACACCACCACCACCAGAAGTCGGTTTGATCAACATGGATTGCTGTCAGAAGTCCTCGTGGCCCCAGCTGTGTGATTGCGCACCGGGCCGCGCTACCATTGTAATTGTACGAACCCTCCGTACGGAGTATTTGCTCGCAATCTTGGGGTGGATCCATCACGCATTACCACAATAGGGATATTGTTGTGACCGAACTCCTCGGTCAGTCGGGTTGCTATAGACGGGATGCATTTGTTTACTTTGGAGTGTACATAGTTTGGGAATGAAGGGGCATTCTTCAGAATGTTGAGCGATTTATTACTCCTCACCATCCTCCGTTCCTAGGTACCTAGAGTATCGTATGAATGAACGCGAAACATGCTCAAGAATGCCACGTTTCACGAAGTAGCCCAGTCATATGATTGGCTGATTGAAGATGTCACTGCTTACATAATACACCGGTTCGATTGTGCCGTACGTCACCAATCAAACCCGCCAGAAGCCGTGAAACCAGCTGCATCCATGCATGTCTACCAGCTCTTCCATTGGTACATAATTACTGTAGTATTATGACTCGTACAACTACATTGCGCCAGACCGTAAAGGCATTGTTGCATTCATTTCGAAGACTTGACAGTATCATGTGTGGAAACCCCCCGCGAGACCTCGGCACTTCCTGGTGATACTTGCAAAGGCAGCCCCGACTGCCTCAGGCAGATCGGCGACTCCGAGCTGAAATCCAAGACCATTAACCCGCACGAGCTGAACTTTTCGCAACGTCAGTCTCACGAGCCACCAATCACCACTGGGAGACTGAGTCTATTGGGCTCTTCAAAACAGGCTCTCGTGATGTGCGAAGGTATCGAAGCAGAGTGATATCCACCATTCGACGCAATGAACAGCAACAGCTGGGCTATGCGGTCACTGTGGTCAGATAGGCTATCCTCTCACACGACTGCCCGACCGTAGACCACACCGCCGTTAGTCTCACACATTTCGTCCGCCGTACCTGACCCTCAGCCATCACCCATCGAGCCTGAAGGACTGGACTCTAGCCCTCCTCGTACCTTCCATCGATCGCACCTCTGCCGCGTGTTCGGGCTGAGAGATATTTGAAGCACCAATAGCCGCTCCCAATCACTACCTAGGTATATCTTGGCACAAGGCCTCTTGCTATCCAGCAACTTTCGGCCAATCAGTACCAACCCACCTCCTACACTTCCAACCCGGAACCTCGAACAAGGAAGATTCATAGCAAACATCTAGCCATCAGGCTCTCGGTTCTCCACCTTTCCGCCTTGGTGGCACCAAGTCATCCCGTCCTTCCATTTTCCTGCCCCCCGGTCATCTCGGAGTCCTGAACAGGGACGGCAAGAGGAGGACAAGTCTTTCAGCTGACTGTTGGAGTCGACTCCGGTTCGAAGAAAACACATTCTGCGTCAGTTGGGGCTGCTATGACGACGAGGTACTCCAAAATATCACCACCGAGAGGGAGATCCTGCCAGTCATGATTGCTCATCCAAGTTTTGCGAGCCTCAGCCGTGGCTGGCTGCTCGGTTGGTAAAGGCTTACCGGAATGTGCATCTCGGAGGGCTCCAATGCATTGTCGTGTTGTCGAAAGTCCACCGAAGTGGTCCTGGATCACGTCCTGCCAGACTCCACGACACTTTCTCGCACAAGGCCTAGACCTTTCATTACCCTTGAACAGCTGAAGAAGTAGGCTCAACTGCCTTATGTCGCCGGGTAACGGACTAGCGAGCACTCGCCTGTCAATATCTGGACTGCCTGGAGAACATCAGAGTCTGTTTCGTCATGTATGGTCGCTTCACCAGGCGTAACGATGCTTCCACATGCTTAATTCTGAGTGCCGATCTTCCTGACTGACACAGCTCATGATGGCTCCTATTCAGATCAGTGTCAGTCCACTCATAAGACCCTTGCGTCTGATGTTCGCTCATCGAGGCACCAAATCATGCATCCTATTGCGGTATTGTCAAGCCAGGACTATACGGAGTGGACCGTGCTTGAAGCTTTGAAGTCTCAGACCTGTGGGCGCTTATAAGGGCTGCAAACATCAAAAACATTTCAGGGGCTGGGTAATAATTTTGTCGGATTGGCCTGCACTTGGCTGTCGTCAGCTGGCAACAAATCATAAGGCTCTGTCATTCCGACGAATAGGAGCGCCAAAAGTCCTGCATCAGCTGTCATCTCCCCTGAAGATCTCGATGGCGACAGGGTAGTTGATTTCGTGCATGATATGCAAGTGTCATCTGCTTGTCGAGCCACACCCCCGGAAGCTCAGCCGCTGCCCTGAGATCCACCGAGGAGCTAGCTCGCACATGTATGTCGGGGTAGATCATGGCTGGCTGAAGAAGGCTGAGATCTACCGTGCAAAAGGGCTGAAGCTCAGCTGCTCTTGTCCAACAATCGCCAGGAACGAGGAGTGAAGCACTGCGTACGAACCAGATTATCTTTGACCAGTCCTTCTTCACGCGGAAAATTGGTTGGGCTTCTAGAGTGGAATCGGTCGATGAGAACCCGGAATTTTCCTTTGGTTTGGTGCAACATAAACGGACAGCAACTCTACGCGCGACATCTCCATATTTGATCATGTCGATCACCACTGTTCCTGCTCAACGGTCCGGCAGCGTTTGCCTTATAGGCTGCGGAATTGGCAGGCTCGGCCGGAAAGGGGCACCCTACCCTATCTGCGTGCTCCCAATGAGGCTGAAGACCAGCCCTACTCGCCCAGCGACTCTCCACTGCTGAGCGGTTTCTTCAGCACTTGGTTACCCTTTCAGCCCAACAAATGCCAGGTGAGATGCCTTATCGGAGTCATTTAATCGTACAATCCACAAAAAAAAGACGAACTGTGAAAGTGGAATATCCAAGCCAGAGCGATGGGGACCGCGCTTCCTTTTCAATAGCCTACCTCCAGGCGCCACGAAGATATCCAGGTTGCATGTTGAGGATGATGCGCGCAATTTATGTCAGAATCCCCGTCTGTCAGTCTTACGTAGCACAGGCGCCAATTGAACCCTGAGGATCATGGGTTAGAGCAACAACACGTTCAACACAGCTCCACAGTGACCCAGCCACCTTGTCCGCTGTACGAATACTCTGCACAGCACATAAGTATGCCCTGTACTGGTCCCTCGGTCTGTGTGACCGCATGCAGGATCTGTTCCTTTCAAGAATGGAAAAGTGTTCCCAATGCTGCCGCCTTTTCAAGTTGTCCTTCCTCCCATTTCGACCTCCTTCTCTCTCTGCCTTGCAGACGTTGCACAGTCATGAGACGTGATATTCAGCATGACGTCGATGACCAGCACAACGCCTGGATCCAGTCGTGCTCTGCGGTTCTTCTAGTCCAGAAGACAGAGACCACTTGAGCCCTCCTTTGCACATATCCTATCACTCTTCTATCAATATTTGGGTCTCCAAGCGTCAAGAAAAGCACCACGGATTCGGAACTTAGCGTATGACGGGCCATCTAGCGTCCGGTTGCCGAAGCCTCATCGCTCACCGAACGGCAAGGTCCCCTTGTCTGCATGAGACTGGAAGTCAAAGCGCGCAAAGAGCAAGACATCCGCACATCACAGACGACCGGAACAACGCCATGGACCTCTACCCATGTTGCTGGCCGCGGATGCAAGGTCGAACCAGGGTGTCTGCAATTAGTCTCGACATGGGGGGGAGTCCTACTAGTAGTTGCGCAGCATGTTTACACAACGTGCATGGCTGCTATATGCCTGCATGCAAAAAGAATCGGACCAAGATGAGGCAAACATGATGTCGCAGCTTCGATCACACGAGCTGCACGGTGTTCCATCCTGCTCTCTTGACAGCACCGAGCTGCATTCAGCCCTATCCCTGATCATGGCCGTCGCGACAAATACGTCCGGAACAACGATGGGTGCTTGGACTCATTCACGACACATCCTTTCCCTCCCACTACGATCTTCCTCGAAGCGTTTAGTATCTTACAGGAACCCGTGCTGGCATGATGACGCGCCTCCTCAGTCATTATGGTAGGATTTGAGAAAAGCGTCCGAGAAGAGCAGATACAAAACAAGGCACAAAGTCTTTTCCGTCGATGACTACTAGGATGCGCATAATGTGGTTAACAGTCCTCTAGACACCGTGCGCCATGTCTTATCCCTGCCAACTCAGCCGTTGATGTTCCCTGTCAACCTTTCGCATGCCAGAGCAAAGAACGTTTGGTTCAGACTTATCATACTCAGACGTCTCTCAACGGAACCAGTCTCCGCTGCAGAGGATGGCTTTGTTGGCGAACGCACCAGTGGCCCTTCACTTCTTTTCGTGCGACCTGAAGAGGGCAAGACCGCAACAGATGACCGGAGCGATGACTGCCTCCTTGATCGTAGAGGGGAGAAAAGCTGTATGTTGAGACCAAGTGGAAACACTCCGAGTAATATCATGGCGACGACGTTACCCGCTTCGAATCCCTCAATGTACGCGATATGGATTGCCTTCATACATCTTTTCGAGCGCTTTGATCTCGAGTGCTTTGTTCTTACGCTCATATTTGTCGCTGCTCTAGTCTCCTGGCCAGTTGCATTACCCCGGCGTGTTGTGACTTTCATCGTCAGAATCTTTCCTGGCATTAAAATACCCGGAATTGGACCAGTCGAAGGGAAGTTGCTGCTTAGCTGCAGGTTCATCCCATTCCACCCACGAAGGGTGATGCCAGTCCGGTTGACACTTGACCAGCTCGGGAGGCGCTGACCTCCAGTCGATATTGGTGGAGTTGCCCGATATTTTCTCGGCGTGGCGGATATTGTCCGTTGTATAACCTTGAACTGCTTTCACGATGCGTCCCTGCTCGTCGCTATAGCCGAGGTTGACGCTCGAAATCACTGCAATGCGAGTGTACCCGAGCTTCCACATGTCTTTGCAGAACAATGTCGGCTCGCCCGAGTAGCACTCGTTTTGGTATGACGCCCGGAATCTAATGTTGTGCTTGAAAAGAGGCGCAGCGTTGAAGGCGACGGCGCCATTCCAGCACGCGTAGACTTGTACGGGCAGCTTTGCCTCGAGTCGTGCCTTCGAAGCCGGGTCGTTCCAGAAGACGTTTCTGACAAAGTCCCAGGCCCCGGATTGAGGGATCTCCACGAACAAGTCGCCATTGAGCCCTCGGGCGACCCAAGAGTCGTAGAAGACGTGGCCATCATCCTTCCAGTCCATGGCGCAGGCCATGTCGGCTTGCAGCGCCTTGGTCCTCTGATAGACTAGCTCGAGAATGTCGTCGACGCAAATCGCCACGTCGTTAAGGAAGACGACCGTCGTATTGTCGGCGGAGTACAATTCGGGTTGTTGAACGAGGGGGTCGAGCGCTAGGTTGCGTAGACGAGCGAGTTCGGTGACGCGGTCGTGTCCAGGTTCCAGGGGGTCGATGTCGCTTGTGCTGAAGTAGTAGCTTACGCCGAGTGCTTCGATTTGGTCTCTGATGGCGCCGAGGATCTCCGTTGTCCCATCGTTCGAGCGGCCGCCGACTATCGACAGAACGCAGTCTTCTGGGTCGAGGAACTCGAGTGCTTGCACAACGGAGCTGAGTAAGCGTGGAAGGATATGTGCGCTTTGATACAGATTCAGGGCAAAGAAGTAATGCTTGACGGACATATCGTCCGAGTCTTGTGTCTTTTTTGAGGTGCGGGATTGATGTAGGGCTTCGTACCTGTCCGGGACGAACATCGGACAAGAGAGGCGGTCGATAGATGTATTGTCGGGGTTCATGATGGCCAGAATATACGGGTCGAGATTTCGCACCCTGGATTCGTCCAAGTCTGTCGCATCGGGAGGAACCCATGGCTGCCGGCCGTTCTCGGGGGAGGAGGAAGACGTCGCATCCTTGCTGCTGGCTGTGTTCCATGTCTCACCGTCATTGCCTGTAGACTTGTAACGAAACCTGTCGATCCAATCGAACTTCGGTCGGCCTGGCGCCGGTAGAGCGAAGATGTAGATGAGACAAATCAACAAAGAGGCGGCATAGAGTACGTGCACTCGTGTCATGGATGTTTGGATAAGTGGCAACATGTTCGGGCTGCCCTCGCTGCCTCTCTTCCGATATTCACGACATAAGTAGGCTAGCTTCTATGTGTTGAGCACAATTACTCAACAAGGCCAGCATTTGATGTCTGGAAGTCGAGCCCAACTAGAACCCCTTCACGACAGCCTAGTGATCACCACAGAATGAAGGCCTGTGAAGTTCCGGCTGGGGAGGTCGTTCGAAACCGTGAACCCGCGGGGATGAACTTCCAGGCGTACACAGTACGAGTATTCTTCTTTTCGGCCTTGGCGGGATCGTCAAATCCAGGAGTCGTGGATGGATACACTGAGTATGCATAATGCATATCTGTGGAGTTGTGTGGACCGAAATGTTGGAGCCAATGTTATAGCGATATTGGCTTTGCCGAAACCCACGACAATAGCATTTGGTCCTTCTCGGCACGGTCACTGGCACCTGCATCATGCAAGAGCAGGGTGATGTCCGTAGAGTCTGCGAGTCGACAACCGGCGGATGAACAGTTGAGAGCAAAACATGTCGACGACAGGAGTCGTACTCCGATGAGGCAAGGGGAAATTGCCGACCTTGCGCTTAGTGGAAGTGGTATAGTTGGTCCGCCTGCTTCCGTGGCTTGGGTCATTGAGTTTCTTCCACTTTGTTTCAAAACAAAATTTGGATCTGCCCACCGCTTCATTGGCACTGCACAAGTGATAGACTCGTCTATTTTTGTATGCACCACTGTGGTAAGCCGAGATCTTCGCGCAACGCGTCCGATGTCAAAAGGGAATGACTTTGAAGCGATCGTGGTTTTGTCGAATGAAGTTGGATATGCCCTAGGCATTGCAGGTCTTTCGCCGCCTCGTCAATTCTTCTCTTCTCTTTGAGAGTTGCCGATATTGCGCGTCAGCGGGTTCTTCCAGCGCGAGGACTTCCGGCATGATGCAGGATTTTCACAAAATGTCCATCAGGAGGCCGAGTATCACGAGAAGAACCCATTTGCTGAGAGACTGCCCTGAACTTTATATTTCTCGGCCCATTAGTGAAGACCAGTACGAAAATACCTTGGGCTCGATTGTCCCAGAGAAGGCGGAGGTTCCCGTGGTCTCTGGCTGGGACCAATCCCGTGTCGTAGCCTCGATTGACAAGACAACCTTTTTCGCAAGTCTCAATGCTGGAGGTGAGGCCGCTTTGAGCTGATGGGATTCGATAACTTGTCCGATATATGATGTCGTCTCCATCGCTTTGGTTTCTGTCACAGATGCCGAGTCTGCGTCAATCGCGGTGAGGAAACGATTTGCTAAAGCCACATATACCAGGTATCTTGTGGTTGTCGACTTATAGTGCCTACGAGCATAGTGGGTGCGGAAGGTGCCATCTTCCGACCGAAGGTGAGCGCCCCAAGCTGTCAGGTCTTCGAGCAAGATGTGAAGACGCGCCATCAATGCAATCTTTTCTTCAAGACGTTGCTGCATGACTGCTTCGGTGACTCTCCTGAACAACTCTGGAACAGAAGCCAAAATCATCCATAGCTTCACGGTCGACTCGGAACGATGTCTGAGCTGGGCGGAATGATCTATGGCCGATTGAAGGGCCTTTTGCCATTCGGGTCTGTTCAAGTAACAGCCGATGTTGGCGAAGGTGGCTTCCATGATCTATCATGTTGTTAGTCTTGCTTTTATGGCACCATGATCCACCCTTACCATGCCACCAGCCTGCGTTATGAACATATCTTTCTCAATTTCCGTGCGGATGTTGTCCGGACCTAATGCAAGCAAGATGTCGAATGCTCCACGAGCATGCATGATCCAGCCATGTCGACTGCTTTCGTCCAATACCTGATATTGTTAGTGGCTTTCGGATGACCATAGCCAGCTTTCATACCTCGGACAGAAGCAAAGTCAGTGTCGCATACCACATGGTCCAGTCAATCCGGTCGGAGGAGGTAAGGGCGGCATTCAGGCTCCTCAAGGCGCGGCCATACAATCTGGCCACCTGCAACTGGCTTGTATGACCTTGGCCATTGCCTGCCAGACATAGCTGGAGACGTGCAGCGACACAATTGATGGCATCGTCCAGGCACTTGCTATGACCATAGCACAGAGGTAGAAACCGGAGCACGGATTGTCGACTCAGGCGAAAGGCCTTAACCCAACGTAGAGGATTTGTCAGCACATCCTGGCCCGTTGCATAGTCGAGCAGTCTTGTAGTGAGGTCAGGCAGCATGAAAACAGACATGGATGACGGAAAGGGCCGGCCATTGGAGGAGAGTGCCAACGAGGCAGGAACGCTGGTTGTTAAGCAGTGATGCTTTCGCTCGCGATTCGATAGCTCTCGAGAATGCCCCAGCGGCTTTTGTGGCTTCACTTTGACGAGGCATCCGGGTTCTTGAGAGTAGCCAGCTGACTGTTGCGCACTGGCAACACTCTCAGCGTCTGCAGTTAGAAAATCCGGGATTTGTAGAACATTGACCTTCTTCCCGTTGTCCTTCGCTTTCCGTGTTGCGGCTCCCACCTGCCTGGAGATTTTCCGTATCGTGCTCCGGTCTGCGTCACTCAAGCTCCGATGGTTCGTGCCATGATTGATGAATGACAGCTCCATTGCTGCTCACTGGTTGCATGAGAGGGAGGCAATCGCTGGACTCTCGCGAAGTGCGGGTGACTTTCAACTTTGGGACACAAGAGGACGCCGGTACCAGGGAACAATTGCCCCTAGAGGTGTTTGATATCAGTCTTCGTCCTTACACTGACGTAGTCGTTGCTGCACAGTAAGATCAGATTACTCATCTGAGTCTGATGGAGTCAAACTGGTTGTTTCGAGAAGTAGTAGGACGCCCGAAGCGGGAGGAGACAAGGGTACAACTGCCCCAAATAAGCGTAGTGCCAGGGTTAGTGGGAGGCTGCCTCGGTGGCCAACTACACGACTCGACGACCAGGATAGTACCAGGAATATCAAGCTTGATTCATCTGAAATTCCTCAACGTCTGCTTTTGGTATTTGTTCATTTCCAGAAACTGATCAAATGCCTTTTCTCGTGATGCAGCTGCGGCCACAAGGCTCCAAATGTTGACCCCCTTATATCGAGCATGTTGGCATATAAAAAGGTGAGCAAGTTACAGCAACAAAAGGATCTCCTCGTCTCAAAGCTCAACGCGCATACCTTAAATCCGTTCGAAAAAGACCCAGCGCTACTGCATCTCTCTCCACTGAATTGTCTATGAACACTGAGTAACAATGACCTTGACCAGCCAAGAACTGCTTCAACGCCATGAGTATGTCGGCTGCGTGTTTCATGGCGAACTGTCCCAACTGATATGCTACCGACAGAGCCACCCTCGGAGCCTTCAAGCCTATTCCCTACTTCTCCGAGCTTGATCTCGACACCATGCCCCGATTCCTGATCAGTGAGCGTTCATGAAATGCTCAAAACACCCATTGGAAGGCTGACGGATTCGTAGTCACATGTGCGGATCCTCGATGCATCCCAGAGAACATCTTCAATCTCCACACAGGAGGTAAAGCAGAATTGCCTTTGTCACATTGGACAATAACGGCTGACGTGGCGGTTGCAGAGGCGGTTGTTCTCCGAGTCGCCGGAGGCAATGCTCAATTCGTTCTAGAACATATACTCTCCATCGACTCACTGGTGCACTTCACCGAGTGTCTGATCGTTCAGCACACAGGTAGGCAGAGAGATTCCGATGAAGCATTATGGTGGCTCACTCAACCTGATCGATAGATTGCGGCGCCACCCACTTCCGAGATGCGACAGTCAAAGGGGGCCTCAAAGAGAGGGCTCCAGCCCTGCAACAAGACATTGAAGGTATGAAGTTTGGCGAAATTACAGGGTACGTCAACCATACTATCGCAGATGCAAACTGTCCAGGCGTGGACTAAGACCTTGTGAACAGATCCCTGCAAGACAATGTCAAGGCAAGCATCGATTTCTTGCGGGCCTCGCCATTGGTGCCGAAAGAGCTCAAGTCGAATATCCGAGGCTTTATTTTTGATCTTAAGACAGGCGGTCTCGAGGAGGTGACGGCATAAGATTCAAGACGTTATCAACGTGAGCTGGAGTTATTGAGATAGAGTAACGGAATCTGTCTACTCAGGACGTACAAATGCTGAGCACCCTTTCATGTGCATTTTCGTACATGCAACTTACTTTGTACCAGTGGCACTTGCAGCAAGGCTTGATATTTTGGTCCGAAGCATCAGTCCTTCGTTAGCCGCCAGTCTGCTGGAAGGTCAAGATCATTGAGCATTTGGTGCCATATCAAACATCCAAGTGCATATACCGGCACACAGCTAGCGGCAATCTGGGCAGATGAGCAGCTATAAGCCGTGTGTCGAATCTCAAACACTTTCCGGAACCGGGCTAAGATCATCGGCTCAGGCGCGCCGCCGGCAGCACATGCCCAGGTTGATCGAGGCTCTGTCCATTCGACCTTATCGAGACGTACTTATTTAGCTGTGACCATCACACCAATCGCCTAGCTTTGAGATACCGTGTCTGGTCAGCATTAGTCGCCGTTGGATCCACATCAACACGTCAGGTTGGCCGAGAATCGGTAGGGAATTCAAGCTCGTGAACGCGTCTAAACTTTCAAGCTCCGGCGTGGTCCAGTCGACCGTGTGGCTGGCTGACACAACACCGTGGCAGAAACAGAAGGAGCAGTACTAGCAGTGCTGTCGCAACATATGTCTCTTGCACTCCTTGGAGTCTCAGTACCGACTCTAGGGCGAGTAGATGTAACAGAGGTCATGAATGGGAGTGAATGATAGCAGGAGTGACCTTTTACAGCGAGTCTAAGCGAGCTGCTTCTGCTTCTCGCCTATCTCAGCGCTTAACCATTTCTGACAACGCTTTCCTGCTTGGGTTTGGCAACTCCTTAAATGAGCGAAAAATGAGCCAACACATGCCAAACCTCAGCCGTCCAAGTCAATTTGACTTGGCAACATACTACGAGTGCAAAGCATGAACGCATCGTCCTCGAACAGATTCCACCGACAAACTCACTGGACGGGCCCAGTAAGAGCCCAGACAATGCCGCGCTCATCTTCAGCTGAGGCGCAGACGCCACGAGACTCAAACTCGACCGATGTTGGCTCCTGCCGAGACTGTGGACTATGCTCCTTATTGCAACAACGATATTACCTCTCTTCTACACCTCGACATATATCTTACGGCAACCGAACAGCCTACACGCACATCTGGGGGTCATCGCGGGGTCAACCGGCGTTTTTGTTTGCCAGGCTCTTTTATCCTTAACAGCCACCGATATCATTTCGACGCGCGGTAACCACGAAATATCAACACTATCCACGTCCGGGCAGAGAACTGAGCCAGAACCGACCCTGAACCTGGACCTGAACCCATCCTGAACCCATCCTGACCTATCTCGACGCTATCCTAGGATCTTTGCGCTGTTTGTATGGTGCCTCACACCAGCAGTCTCGCGCGACTTGCAATCTTTCCCTGTGTCTAGCAGCTCTACACACCCACTACAATCCAGTACGCGCTCTTTTACTCTGCAGGCTTTCAGCTCCCTGCGGTATTCTCTATGGAGGTGGCATGATCATTTCTCACCTGTCGGAGAGTTACTAGCCCAACCCTTACGATTGGATGCTCGAGGGTAGGTGGCGCGAAAGATCCTCCAGCTGAATCCAGCTCAACTCAGTTCCGGCTCTACCAAGTCGGTACCTTCTTGTGACCTACGGCATCGGAGCATAGTCTTTCAGCGGCTTGCTACGTTATTACGAGGTCGTCCTGCCGGCAGGACGATTAAAGGTCCATGGCTCGCCTGGAGGAAAAAGAGTCTCCCAGCTTAACCGCGCTTCAATCAATCAGTCCTGGACGAGATTCAGCCATGGACAGCATCCAGCCCCATAGCAGTCCGGGGCAGACGGACAAGGCTGGAAACCTACGATGGTCTCTTTTGCCAACGAATATTTATTTGCGAGATTTGACAGTTGCTGTACACTGGAGCGAGCCGGCTAAGCAGAGCACGGGTGTCTTTTCTCTTGTGTCACGCCAGCTCGCGCGCACGCGACTTGCTTCCAAAACCATCCTCGATGGTGTATCTGCAGATATCGTTGCTGGGAGCCTTACAGCTATCGTCGGCAGCTCCGGTTCTGGCAAGACAACCCTTCTCGACACAATTTCCCGACGGGTCAAAACAAGTCGAATCGATGTTTCTGGCTCTGTGTACTACAACACATCACTTCTAAGCTTCGATAAGGGTAGCAATGCTCACATAGCCGTGCCATACGCCTTGCAAGACGATGTACTCTTGCCACAGTTGACGGTTCGCGAGACCCTTACGTACGCTGCCGCTTTGAGGCTGCCGTCTTCGGTGACACACAAAGAGAGATCTCAGCGGGTCGACCATGTCCTCGAAGATCTCGGCCTTACACAGTGTACCAACACGAGGATCGGGGACAGTCTGCACAAAGGTTGTAGCGGTGGTGAAAGACGACGAATTACAGTTGCCATACAATTGCTCACAGACTCCTCGGTTCTGTTCCTGGACGAGCCTACAACCGGCTTGGATGCTGCTGCTGCTTTTCAGCTTGTGAAGGTGCTAAGGCGCCTGGCCCATATGGGCAGGACCATCGTTATGACCAGTAAGTCTATCAAGAGCTTTGGACAAACGAAACTCCGCTGATTCAGTCTGGTAGTACACCAACCTCGCTCGGAGATGTGGGAGTTGATAGACAATTTAATTGTTTTGACTCAGGGAAGAACCGCCTACTCAGGTTCTAGGGCTACGTGCCTCCAATATTTCGAGCAGGCTGGCCATGAAATTCCTTCGTTTGTCAATCCCTTCGAGTTTGTCATGGACATAACTGCAATCGACAGCCGATCGCATCAGCTTGAGTCCGTGTCAAGTGCACGTGCTGATGCTCTGACACGTCTGTGGAAGCGGAAATCTGCGCAGTTGTATGCTTCCGAGCCTCAAGGGATACTCGGCCAACCTGCGTGCGATGCGACGGCTCTTCTCGAACGCTCCGATCATCGTGTTTCAATCATGCAACGGACAATGGTCCTTACAATCCGCACATGGAAAGTGACTTGCCGCGACCGGCTAGGCGTCTTTGCGAGCATCATCGAGGCCATAACCATGGGAGTCGTGACGGGCTGGATTTTCTATGACGTCGGAAGCGATCTTTCCGGGATTCGTTCCAGAGAAGGAGCCATGTGGTCAGCCGTCGGCCTTCAGGGCTACCTGGTGCTGATCTTTGAGACATATCGACTTGCGAACGACATCAAGGTGTTCGACCGAGAACGTCGGGAAGGTGTGTCTTCCGCAGCTGTATTTGTAGCCAGCAGACGAATGGCTCGAGCTCTTCTGGAGGATATTCCGGTTCCCTTGATCTACTCAATACTCCTGTACTTCATGGCGGGTTTCCGCCACGATGCAGATCAATTCTTGGTCTTCTTTGCCATCGTCGTGATGTTGCACTACGCCGCAGTCAATGTGGCCACGATATGTGTTGCGTGTAGCCGCAATTTCCAGATATCGTCGCTCATTGCGAACATGATCTACACCGCCCAGTCGATGGCTTGCGGCTTTTTCATCAACACTTTGGAGATCTCTATCTGGTTGCGGTGGACGAAATGGATATCTTACTTGGTATTTTCCCCTCGTGGCTGGAAGTCCCACTTGATAGCTAACGAATTTCCAAAGTTCTATGCATTCGGTGCCTTGTGCGTCAATGAGTTTGCAGGCCACGTTTACGAATGCCCAAGCTCTGTCGGTGCATTAGACTCTGCTGCCTGCAAGGAGTACGATGGCGACTTCATTTTACGGTCGCTGAATATACCTCAAACCTGGCTTAGGAGGAAGATCCTTTGGAGGCCCATCCTGGCTACGTTCGCTTATACGGTGCTGTTTTTGTTCATAGCAATCCTTATCCTCCACTCCAAACCCAACGAAGTCCAGGTTTCCCGAAAGGTCGGCACAGACAACGATTACCTGGCGGAAAGAGTCCAGCTTGGTGACAAGCAGGCGAAGCGAATGACCACCGTGACGTTGCAGCAGATATCGCTCGGTCTCGAGCAGACCCGGATCTGGCGAAAGAATACGTATCGGCCGGTCTTGTCCAATGCCTCAGCGGTTTTCCGACCGGGCGCTTTGAACGTCATTCTCGGTCCTTCTGGGAGTGGGAAAAGCAGTTTGCTGAACTATATATCCCGAAGAGTGCACGATACAGCAACTACGAAATGGCACCGAAGCGGAAAGATGCTCTTCAATGGTGCCATTGTTTCGGGTGCCGCGCTCCGATCTGCTTCCTCCTACGTCGTTCAGGACGATGAAGGATTGCTGGCTTCCCTGACCGTTCGCGAAACACTCCATTATGCCGCGCGTATGCGACTCCCGAAGTGGATGTCTGCAACAAAGCAAATCGACCGTGCCGAATCGCTCATGGAAGACCTCGGTCTCAAGGACTGCGCCGATACGATGGTCGGTAACGAATTGCGTCGAGGTATAAGCGGCGGCGAGAGGAGGAGGCTGTCTATCGCGATCCAAATCCTTGCCGATCCTCTTGTCCTGTTTCTGGATGAGCCGACTTCCGGACTAGACACGGTCAGCGCAGCCTCCACGATTGACGTACTGCAAGGCCTCGCCAACGCAGGCCGCACTGTTATTTTCACCATTCACCAGCCTCGGTCGGAATGGCTGAAACAATTCGAAACGGTGCTTTTACTTGGGAAAGGAGGAGACGTCGCGTATGTAGGACCGACGTCGTCCATGCTGGACCACTTCCGGCAAATGGGTCACGAATGTCCTCAACATCAGAATCCAGCTGATTTCGTACTTGACCTCGTCAGTCAAGAATGTCCTCGCTCTGACGCCCAAGCCTCTAAGACATCCACTCAGCCAAAGTCGATGGCCGACATTCAGACGGACCCCTGCGCACGTGCATCGCCGACAAAAGCCCCAAACCCCTTGTTGACACAGATTGAGACAGACCTGCCTTCGGTCCTGCTACCAGCCCACCTTGGCACATATGCCCGCGAGCCGCTCGGATTCGGCCCTGCACTCTCTCTGCTTGTACGCAGGGAGCTCACCAACATCACACGCCAACCGGTTCTAGCCATGGGCCGAGTCTCACTCTTCGTCGGCGTCGCCCTCATCCTCATCTGCTACGGCACCCCACTCAAGCACGACTACTACTCCGTGCAATCGCGCATGGGCTGCGTCCAACAAGTCACGGCGCTGTACTTCGTCGGCATGTTGAACGCCATTGCACTGTACCCTCCCCAACGTGAACTGTTCTACCGCGAAGACGAGGACGACCTGTACTCTCTTGAAGCATTTTTCGTCTCGTATTCGATCCTCGAGATCCCGATAGAGGTCTTGTCGGCCTTGTTTTTTGGAGTCATCACCGTGCTAGGCGTCGGCTTTCCACGAACGCCGTCTCTGGTCTTCATCTTCGCGTTCAACGCCTTCTGCGTCGTCAACTGTGGTGAGAGTCTGGCCATCATCCTGCTGACGTTCATATCGCATGCCGGCCTGGCGGTCTCGCTGTGCTGCATCTTGATTTCCATCAGCGTCCATCTTACGGGCATAATCGCCATAACGATCCCCGGTTTTCTGGGTGGTCTGAATTACATCTCGCCACTCAAATGGTTGATCGGAAATCTTACGCCTTACAGTCTTCATGGAGTCACCTTCACTTGCACAGAGGCGCAGCGGTCGCCGAACGGTCGATGTCCAATCGAGACCGCGCAGCAGGTTCTGGAACTGTACCAGCAAGACCACAATGCATCCATGTTTCTGGCAATTCTGGCCGGCGTCACTGTGGGCTACAGGCTGTTGGCTTATGTGGTGCTCAAAGCGCGGCGGACACGTTGGCGCGAGTTGTTTCACGATCTAAGGCTGACTTCCGCGTACAGGACACTTTCGGCCTTGGTGATGATGAAACGTCCTGAGAAATAGATACTATATATTACTTGTGCAATAAAATCAATGACCTCTAGTTTCCTCGGTAGGACCGGGTCATCTATTGAGGCTTTTGACGATGGAGCACATGCCTCGTTTTACTATCTCTTCAAGTATGTATTTATGACTGATCTAACAAGAGCCTACTCCTCCCTAAGATGCGAGTGGGATGTGTCTCCCCGGAAGCACTCTCGCCATTCGCCCGATGGCTGCTAGTAACTTGAATTTGGCAACAGCACAAGCCTGCCTGCCGTGAATGCCGGAACAAGACTCTACGGACAAATCCCAAAGTACCAAAAACGCCCAGCCAAATGATCAACAACGTAGAAGCGGTCTTCAAGACGTTCCATAATATACCAAATGACCATCATCCAATAAGTGCTTATGCCTGCACGAATTTCCTGAAATGTTCGACTGCAGCTTCGAGGAGTCTTGGTTCGTAGCCGTGGCTCTTCGCATGCTTGACGAGAGCAACCTAAAAGGAAGCGTTAACAGATTATATCTCATAAGCCAACGAACTCTAAGCGAGTAGGTCATACCGTTTTATCCAAGGCACCGCCGAATTTGTCCTTTGCATATTTCTTGAACGCAGCCTCAGCGCCCTCTGGGTCCTCAAAAGCTCTGGGAATCACTTCCGAGAAAATTGTGGTGCCGCCTGCGGCACCGGAGATCATAGTGAACCATCGTTTTCTCTGCTCCGGGCCCATGAGGTCCAGCGCTTTGGCGAAGCTGATTGTTTCGTATGCCGAAACGAGATGGATGATCCCGTGTGCTGTGGCCAGATCTTGGATCAGGCTCTCTTGTTCGCTGGCTGCAACGGTAGGCTTTCCGGCCAGTTCAACCACACGGTTCATTCTGTCCGACCCGAAACCGAGGTAATACTGGACAATGCAGCTGTCATCCGCTGTGGCATGTGTCTTCATGACTTCCTTCAAAATGTCGCTCGCCTCGTTCAGCAGAGGCAATTCGACGTTCAGTCTGGCCTCTTCGTCCCGAATGATACCGACGTCTTTGTTGATGATTAGGGTGGCTGAAGCCATAGGTGGGTCGGAGCTCAAGATTCTCGGCCCACGATTGTCAAGCATCCAGCTCCATCCGACAGGGGTGTTGCCAGAAGCATCCTTCGCGGTTACGGTGTCGTAGAACTTCTTGGTGTCAACACCATTGATGGCAGCCAGGCCCATGATCTCAGAAGCCGCGGGAATATGGATGCCAGCCAGGACTTGATTCAGGGCTTTGGCAGACTGTCCGGCACCAAGAGAGCCAGGAATGATGAAGAGCGTCTTTCCTTTGCTAGCCACATTGTCCAGAACAATCCTTGCATCCGGCTGCTCCAGGTTCTTGGGACTGTCAGAGGCAGCCATAATGGTCAGTGTGCCGTTGACGGACCGGGCGGCGCCCCCAGAGACAGGTGCATCGATCAATTTGACGTCAGTCCGTTTGAATTCCTCCGTCAGCCGTGAGCGTACCGCTGATGGCTCGGTCGGCGGAATAGTGGCATGAATGATCACTGTGCAATCCTTGGGCAGGCCATGTACAGCCCCGACTTTCGCGTCGAAAAGAGCTGAATGTACATGGTGGTGGTTTGCGACCATCAAGCACACAACCGAAGCATCCTTGACAGCTTCGAGCGGAGATTTCGCTGTGTTCGCTTTTGAGCCTGGGATATCGTTGCAAGTAGACTGCCATCGATCCAACGTTGGACCGTAGATGTCGTAGCCAATGACGGGAAATCCTGTTCGGACGAGATGAGTGGACATGGCAAAACCCATCGCTCCAAGGCCAATGAAGGCCACTTTGGGATAGGAATCGGTTGAATGTGTGATCGCCATGGTGGTTCGAAGCTAAGTTGTACTTAGACTAAGGGAGTAGTGACAACGATGAGACGACTACAACTTGCACGGCAAGCGGTAGGGATATCAAGCACAGGACTGAATTGTACAGAGAATCTTCAAGCGGACCTCTAGAGGATGAAGAAGTTGAATATAAACAAACCTTCGCCAGAAAGCCAACATACCTAGGTATGGGTTCCATTCCGATCGTCGATATGGCTGAATGGCCACTCACCCACTCCGCGGCATGGGGCCGGCCGAGGAAGCCGATGCTGAAAAGTTTGCGGAGACGGACATATTATCTTGGTTGGTGTTGATGATGGAAACGATTGATTTGGGAGGAGATTTCAACTGCCGGCGGGGACGGCGTAGTCGGCCGTTTTGCCCGGTCGGGAAAGGCGGAGAAGAAGAGTCTGCTCACCTTCCACGTGACTATTTCACGTGATGAGAGGACGATGAGCCAATGATCAACTCAGTGTCGTCTGACAGCCATTTTTTCGTGGTTTCGGAGGGAAGTCAAGGTTATTCGACGTTGCCAGGCATAACATTTTCAAGCGCGTCGCTCTTTCGGCTCATTTGGTGTCTAGTCATTGTTCTCAATCAGAAGTACTCGTTCTGTGTGAGCATCAAAACACCAAGGATCAGAGATCCTCCTCTTCCAACCACACCTCTCCGGAAGCATGGAAATGCGCAGTCACACCACGATTGCCAGGACATCTCGTACCGGGCAAGAGAAAGCCTGCACGCCAAAGACAGCGCGCTGGTAGACGCCAATGAAAGCAGGGCACGCAGGGCAGAATGAGGCTCTGACTGCCACTTCATCCATCTTTCTGTAATCGATTTTCAATCCTTGGCGTCCTTCGAGACCGGCCATTCGCGCTGAAGACCCTTGCAGTAGCCAAACCGGTAAGGCAACAACAGGTTTGCCTAATTCTGCCCAAAGCTCAATACGAGGCTCTAAAGGCAACCTTACAGTTGCCGGCTGACATTCAGGATTAACTAGCAACTCATCGGCAGCAAGGATTGTGCATGCAAAAGGTGGTGCTGCATGGACCTATTTCTCTGCATCATGCAAACGTGGAGGTTTTCGCTGTGCCTCGCGTCCATGGTGTGCGAACATAGTGTTCGGGCGTCAATGAGCTGACAACACATAAACCTCCACTGCCCCCCCCCTTTCTCGCTCAGCCTAATGAACCATAAGTCCGTCCTGAGGAAGTCAAATTGACAGCAGATGCCGCCGTTCTTTCCAAACGCAAGAAACAGACGTCGCAGCCCTACTCCTGTTGGCAGAACATTCGACAAGGCCGTTAACTTGCCTAAGAAAATCCCAAAAAGATCTACAAGCAGGTGGGATAACGACTCAATCATAACCGGCTTCTCTTCCCAAGCTCCAACAGAAGTTCCTCGAGAACAGGTGGTACCCAAGTATACCAACGAAAGCCTTTACGAGTCCGAAATGAACAACCGAGAAAGAGAGGGTGGCCGTGCTAAAAACGTACGCAGAGCACCAAGAGATCCACAGGAACCCGATGAATTGGAGGTCCCCATGCCACCGATGAATCAGCTGCCAGAGGTTTCTCTCTTACATATCTACGATCTTGTCTTGCTTCTACAACAACGTGGGATATCAGTGAAACTCACTGCTGCCGCCGTCAGAGAGGCGTCGGCCCAAGGTCTAATTAACAGACCACAAATCACTACCGATCGGGTCGGGACAGACGTCTACAGCACTTCCACCAGAGATATTCTTGTCATCAACCAAGCGCTGACATTCCTGCTGAACTGTGGGGCGGACATTGATTTTGTGTCTCTCCATCGCGAGCAACGAACCTCACCGTTCCGATGCAACAGCTGCTCCGAGAACTTCATGAGTCCACGGGACAGAGAGGAACATCGCAGTGGATTTCCCCGGACTTGTGAGCACTGTGATGATGAAGATCTAACTTTTGAATGCCGGACGCTCTTTGATGAACACATGCGAAAGGTGCATAGGATGAACAGGGGGAGCTATGGTTCTGCTGTCGACACCCGAAGCGAACATGTTTATGGAGGGGGCTCAAGGATTTGAAGGGGTTGTGGTTCCATCCGACAGCTCTCTTTCCAGCGGTGCTTTCAATGGCGTGGGCACGATGCCAATGGCTATGGCTCGAAAAGGGCATGTCGTAGAGCCGACACGGCAGTCCAACATTTCAATTCATGTACGACTTTTCTTAGTGTATAACTGTGTCGAGTTGCTCTCTGGACTGCCATATTTGTTTGGGGACCTTGTACTTTGGCGCGGGTATTGATTGACTGGTAGAACCTGGTCATTCTCTGACTGGCGTACGGAGGACCGATGTCGGATTGAGATCTTGGTTTTGGCAACAACAAGTTTGCTCATATGATCTAATCTCCCTTCTACGAGTGTCTGAACATCTCATACCAGGAACATTCATTTGTATCCAGCAAGCGTTCTGCTGGTCGATGCTCAGGTTCAGCCTGGCCCCGATCCTCAGATCCCTGCCATGCATCCAGGATTATCCCTTCAACGTACGTCATCGGACACTCAGTCTCTACGTATTGCGTGTCGCTCGTTCTGACTGTCCTTCTTCTCCAGTCCAAATCCTGGAAATTGAACATGCCGCGAAGCATGATTCGTTGCAGTTTCGACTTTCACAATGTCTTGTGCAAAGCCACTTCCTTGTAACCTGTGGCCAAGTCGTGCCCATGTCGACCTCAACAACGTGAGTGACTGACGTACCAGCCACATTCTGGACATCTAGTCTGCCACATGTTCCCGTGTCCGCATGATGCCATCATGCCCATCCCTTCTTAAAGACCCTGCAACATGCGGTTAGTTCCCTCTGATCTATTTACCCTCTAGTAGACGACCAGAAGTCGCCCTTTTACTCTAGACAATCCATCTGCCAGACGAATCCCACTTTCCTTGCCTCCAAACCTCTGAGTACTGCGTCATGGAAGGCACAAAGAACTGGTACAACAAGCAATACGAGGCCTGGGTGCCGTGGATCGAAGACAAAGTCCTGGGTTGGTGGGGTGAGAACAAGACCAGTTATGTCGCCAAAGGTACGCTCTCTTTATTGGGTCTTCCAGAGTTTGCTCTTCTTGAGACTTACGATTCTAGACAAACTCGGGCAGACCAAGATCACTGGAGACAAGAACGTTGATGCTATCCAAGACGGCGTGAATGAGGGTGTCGGTGGACAATTCGGCAAAGGCGGCGTCCTGGAGGGCGTGGGCAACTTGACATCAAAAGAAGTCTTCACGCGCTCGGAGCGGCAAGGGAAGGACGACAAGGGCGGATACATCTAAAGAGATCAAGAGTCCACACCCAACGATTTCGGTATGATAGCTCGAAACCTCCAAATGGAGGCACGAGCATTTGTCGCTTTGGAGCACAATACATGCGGACGGACAAGAGGCCAGCCAGCCCGGCTACGAAGATACTGAAGGATCATTGCTGTCGTTATTTCCCCAACATCAAGGGTTTACAAGAGCTTATTGGTTTGCTTACGACTTTTCAGCGATTGATGATGTGATGAAGGTAGTATGGATTTGGCAGCGGTGCCTACATAGAAGAGGCAAACTTCGTTTTGCTTACTACGTGTCGTAATGATATCGACTCCCTGGATGTGCACTCGTTCTATCAATCGCTTATGGGCCTCGAGAAGTGTCTCCATGTTCCTCTGCTTCGCTGTTGCCTTGGACACAGTTTCATTCAAGGCCTGCTGCAAGAGGAATTACCGCCCTACTGCCTATGACGTAGAAATCTTCTGCGAAGCCATCGTATCTTCAAAGGAAGGCCGCAAGAACTCCATCGAAGAAACATCTTCACTCCGATAAAGTCTTCCAGTCCGCTTCCCTTGCACGTTTCCTTATGTGTCTCAACGGCGAAAGCCACAACGGAAGAATCGTGCCGCTTAAACAAGTGGTAACAACGATCATCAGAAGGCCCATTCTCCTTTGCTCCACCACGCAAAGTCAGACAGCCTTCCTTAACGTTATGGTCCTTCAAGGCCGTCTCTATCCCATGTCTGCCACTCAATGCACCCTCAAATGGCTCGCATAACGCGAGGAATAAGGTAGGCCACCAGTCATTGTCCTGCCTGGGGGCATATAAAGGTAAGGACCTCTCCGTACGGATCTATGACTCTCTCGTCAATGCTGCAAACAAACTACATCTCAAGTCCGTCTATCGACAACTACAACCACAACCACAGTCCGCTCCCCATCTCTCAATCGACGATCATGTCTTCACCATCCAAACCAACGACTTACTCCCCTTCTCCTCGTACCACTTCTACTCCGTTGCCATACTTCTCCTCCTACGCCTTCGCCTTGCATTCTATCCCACTATCTTACGCCCTCGCATACCCCCCGCACTTATACTTCTTCACCAAATTCATGAAGGCCTCCAACTACGCATATACGAACATGGTCCCTCGTGCCAACTTGGAGCGTCTCGGCCCGAGTCTTCCCAAGGAGACCGCGGATATGCTATGGCGAGCACGAGGGTGCCATTTGAATGCGCTCGAGGGCTTTCCGTTGTTTGCTGCGGCTATGGTACGCCCCCATACTGACTCTTTCACTCCCAAACTCCACTCTATGTGTCCTTGGCCTGCTCTCATAGCCACCGGAACTTCCTGGTTGCTGTCAATTTTCCACCTAGCTTCTCATTCCCAAAACCCATCCCACATCCCCTTGACTTGGATAATCCCCCTCCATCCCAGACCACGAACAGCTGGACCGGACTCATACTAACTCCAATTCAATCGACGTATAGTTGGCAGGCACATACACAAACATCTCGCCTCGCGAATTGAACATCTGCGCGGCCGAGTACCTCGCGGCCCGGGTGCTGTATAGTGTTTTGTACATGACTGTCCGGAGCGAATCGGCCAGCTATCTCAGGTCAGCCATGTACTTTTACAGCGTCGGCATTCCGTTCTATGTCCTGTGGAAGGCTGGATGGAAAGTCGCTGCTGCGAGCGAGAGGGACAAGATTTGAAGGGCGCCGTTCATCAGCGTGAGGGCAAGTGTCACTACGTATATACCCAGTGACACGTATGCCAATGATGGCAACTCCGCTCAGCATTTGGGTTTCATTACGTATATTCCAAAGGAAGGAGAATTCAGGTAGAAATAAACTAGGCTGGATAATAATCTCCACATCCAAAAGGAAGGTCATCGACTCGGTCACAAGCGTACTGTGCTGGGGGTCCATCGTGGCCATCCCACCAACATCATTCGAATTTTTGTCATATAATCTGGAGAGGCAGGAAAGTAGCTGCGTCTCATCCAGTCTGCTATAGATATACACAAGAAATGTTATGCGTCACCCAGCCCTACCCAAGCACTGATTCTTCCGCTCAATCAGTCTTCTTCTCCTTGGCCTCTTCCTCCTGTCTCGCGAGCGCCCCCTTTTTTGCCTTTTCCCTTTTCTCCTTCGCATACCGCCAACTCCGTGCGAAGCCAGCCGTAATCGGACCTTTGAGGCTTTGCGTGAACGAAGGCCAACGGATCGTAGACTCGATCACTTGGCGAACTTCCTCGCGTAGCCCTCCACCCTCCGTATCAGAAGCGATCCGCTGCTCGAATGGTCCGCCTTCGCGTTTTCGGATGCGGTCCGGATCCTCGTCTCTGGTCTGTTCGAGCATCTTCATGAACTCTGCTCGGGGGATGTTGAACTTCGACTGGTATTCAAAGTACAGTTTGTGCCGGAAAGAGCTGGGCAGACGGCGGACCATATGGCCCCGCGTGACAGGGTCCATGTTTTGAGCTAGCTTTGCATTGACCGTCGGGTCGTCTAGCCAGTCTTGGTTCGAGCATGCCGAGTCGACGAATGAGATGTTTGGTAGGTTATCGATGAGGGGCGCGTAAAGACGGCGGAAATTGGAGAGTTGGTGCTTGACAATGTTCTCGACCTTGCGAGGGTCGTCTCCGCCGATGGTCATTCGAGGGTCACCCATATAGGAGATGCCAGCGATCGTGGTGTAGAGCTCTCGCTCGGTGAACTCCTGGGGGAGTAGAAGGAGAGCGGTGCGGACAGCAGCGATCAGGTTGACCTGGTTCGCCAGGCGTACTGCAGGGTTGTCGCGTAAAATCTTAACCGGCTTTTGCAGTCGGCCTGCAAGGTATAACGTATTCCATTCTGACAAGTCTTTGCACAATGTGTCCAAATTGACCACACCGTACTTAATCAAAGTACCATTGACGGTGACATAAGGATTAAAGTAGACGCCCGCTCCGAAAGAGTCTTGGATTTTGGAAACAGCATAGGATCCGAGAGAGCCAACAGCCGAGTAGTGGTTACGGTGCTCCTGCAAATTCAAAGAATGCCAATGTTGAGAGTAAGATACCCCAAATATGAAGTCAATCATCTTTTGGTTACCATCCTGCATCTTCACTATCGCTTCAGGAGGAGAAGGATGAAGCTGGGAATCTCCAGAGGTCTTTCCAGAGCTTTGGGGGAACACACCCGATCCATATGCGAAGGCATAGCGAATAGGGGCACGAAATTTCCAAAGTATTTGTCTTAGAGCTTCCTTGAACTCCTCGTTGATGATGATGTGTTGGTTGACACCAAAGTCTCTGCTCGGTAGTTCGGAGAACTTTGATATGCTTAGATCAGGGTGGTCTTCCCAATCGGAGGGTCCTTCTGTGGATGGTGATGGCCTGGCGGACCCGCCAGAAGAAGGACTGGGATTCTCGGAGGAGCTGGAGTTGCTCGTTGCAGACTGCGGCTTCGTTGAGGCAGAGGAGTCGGATGATTGTTTGGCCTTTGAGGCGTTAAATCCCGGTGGGGGACCGCTGTCACCTCCATGCTCTTCTTGTAGAGTAGCATAATGGCGGAAATAAACGTGAGGTAAGCGTCTGGAGGCTGCGAGTAGTGGGAGTCGAGGGCCACGCGCGCAGAGCTCTTGAAACCCTCTCTTACCCAGGACGCTGGGCACTACTCGAAGCGTCATCCTTCAGGTGGTAACAAAGTATATTGAGCAGGATGGTTCATCGCCAATGCTATCGCTTGCTGGAGGTCCGCATGTTGTGTTGGTGAACGGGGTCGTGTGCAGGCTGGAATCGGTGTGAAGTTCAACGTGGAGGTTTCTGTTGTCCATTAAGTTCAGGCTTACCTCAAGCCTTGCGTCATTGGCAAGCAACCCCTTGATGACTAAGACGTGCCAAGCAAGGAGCTGGAGTCGGCAAAGTTTCCCAGGCGCCGACCCGGTTTCCATTTGCGTCGCGACAACAAACACTCGTGCCTGCAGTGGACGAGCGCTTCTCAACTGCAACTCACGACTCAGAACAAGCTCGCAATGGAGTATGCGACATACGAATCGCGACTTGCTACCTTTGAACCTCCATCCAAACGCTCAAAACTAGGATGGCCTCACAAAACACCCACCCCAGAAGAATTAGCCAAAGCAGGCTTCTACTACAAACCCTCGAGCGAAAGCAATGATAACACCATCTGCTTCTTGTGCGGAAGATTTCTGGACGGGTGGGAAGCAGACGATGATCCAATCCAAGAACATGTGAAACACTCAAGTGACTGCGCGTGGGCGATATTAATGGATGCTGGTCAGAACACCAGCTGGGATGTCAATAATATGGAAGATCCCACTGGACAACACTCCGCTGATGCAAGAAGAGGTACATTTGCAATCGGCTGGCCTCATGAGTCGAAACGTGGCTGGACATGCAAGACCGAAAAAATGGTAGAAGCAGGTTGGTATTATGTGCCTACACCCGAAAGCGACGACTTCGTGAGCTGCACATACTGCAAGCTATCACTGGACGGCTGGGAACCCAAAGATAACCCTTTCAACGAGCACTACCGCAGATCGCCTGATTGTCCCTTCTTCCACTTTGCAGGCACGACTGCGCCTTCAAAACGCCCGAAAGCAAAGAAAGGCCGCGCATCAAGATCCTCTCGAACATCGAAAGCTTCAACACGTTTATCTACGCAATCGAATAACACAACTATGCTCTCAGAAGCCCCTAGTATGGACGAGATACCCGATCTCGACGAGTCAATAGACACGAGTACAACATCAGTAATGTCAACAATGTCCACCGCATCAACAGCCACAACAAAGGGCAAGCGGAATCGCACAGGGAGAGCAACGAAGGCAACCAAGAAACGAGCAAAGACAACGCGAGCGACTAGAACGAAGAAAGCTGAGCCAGTACCAGAGCCCTACCCCGTCGAAGAACAGGTCGAACAGCAGGAAACAGAAGCGATAGAGACACCGAGACAGGCTCAGCCAGGGCCTCAGATCGATCCCGAACCAGAAGGTCTCCCAGAACAACATTCTCTCCCCAGTCCCGAATCCAGCCCAGAGCCTGACGTCGAATACCCAACCATCGCGAATATTCCTGGCATACCTAGCTCGCCCAGACACCTGGGCCCTGTCGGCGTCCCACCACAGCCTTCGCCCACGCCGATTAAGACGCGAGCACCTCCTTCCGCGACACGACCATCGGTGACTCCAAGAACAGCTACAAAATCCCATTCACAACCGCAAGCACAGACGCAGCCACAACTTCAAGCGCACCAGGTCCCCGAGCAAACAAGCCCATCGCCGCCCTCAGACATCGAGAACGCCCCTCCAAGCGCTCGCCCCGCCTCAGTTCGACAGCTACTTGCCAGTCAAACACAGACAATCCCTCTCGCCACGTCATCACCCGGCGAACGCATCCCAACATGGAACCCAGCGGACATCGAGCTTATTTTCCAGCCTAGTACGCCTCAACCAGCCGATCTATTGGGCCTTACGGGCGGCAAACTGTCTGCCGAGGAACAGTCCATGACGGTGCAGGAGTGGATTGAGCATGTCGCGGGTCAGGCGGAGACTAGTCTGCGCATGGAGGCGGAGCGTGTGGTGGGTGTTTTCGAACGCGAGGGACAGAGGGCGATGGGTGTATTGGAGGCAATCAAGTGTGTTTGAGCGGTTCTTCTTTTGGTCAGGCTGCGTTTCTGCATGCCCGATTCCAGCGAAGGGATGTAACACTTGTTCGCGCTGTGATCGCACTTGAGTATGCATTATGAGCGAGTATGGAGTTTTGAGAGCTTTTAACATCAATCAGGGTAGCGTGGGATATGCCGTTCAAAGGAGTGCCTTTGTACTGCACTTGGCAGCCTTGTCAATGGACACGACATCTTCGTCTTGGATCGAGGGTATACAAATATTTTGATCGTGATGTACGCTGCTATGACAGGACATATCTCGTCGCTGCTGTTATCCCGTTGTTCTTCTACGTGTGAATAGCAACCTGGGTTGTCCATCTTGATCTTCTGCCAAAGCAGCACGTTCAATCTCCGGGCTTATACGGCTCAAGTCGAAACGCATAAGAGTTCTCAGGTAAGATAAGCATGGGGAACCTCTGTCCCGGCATCTCCTTTCTCCTTATCTGAGTATGCCATGTTAGGCCTGGCTCACGGACTTTGCTGCCAGCAGGTGAACCACCCCAACTCGGATGTAGCATACCTAAACCGCTCGCTCATACAGCGATATCTGCCCCGACGATATCCACCTCCTCCACTGGCTGTCCCTTCTTACCCTTCGAGCCCGTCAACGCGGCGTCGAGACTGCGAAACTGTTCGATCTCGTGCATTTTCTCTGTTTTCGGGACGTCAGCCACTGTGACCGTTCTTCTTGAACGCGGGGGGCGATTTTGCTTACCATCCGTGACAGGACTCGTCGAGAAGATGGCCTTCTCCCGCTCCCCGAGACTGGGGTAAATGCCCTCGTTGATCAATTGCTCGGCGAGCGCGCGTTTGTTGCCTTCTGTGCCTCTGCCCTGGGCATCCAGCTCCTCCCGCGCCTTGTCAAGACACTCGTGGTAGTAAGATGCGTGGTTGATGTTGCACACCTGGTCCCACGACTCGGACCTATGGATCGGGCAGAAATTCCGTGAGCACAACAGGCATGTCTCGAGGAATTTGGTCGTGGGCGAGAAGTCGCCTGGGTTCTGCTCGTCGCAGAGGTAGCACGTCTTGACGAGGACGGGCTTCTGTGGGCGCGCTGATGTGGGCGGGGAGCTGATTGCGGTGACGGGTGTGCTGCCGAGGGCTGAGGAGGGCGCCGGCGCAGGTACGGCGGACGCGTTGATGGTGATGGTGGGGGGTGCGGGTGCGCCGTGGGACATTCTGGACTTTCTTTTGCTATAAGGATGGGATGGATGGGTAGACTGGCTTTTCGCGGTAGGCTTCGTGTGACGAAACGCAAGAGAGAGGTGTATGGGATCGGTGGTAGTGGTGTGAAATGTAGATGTGTATACCAATATCAATGGAGGGCCTGAAGCATGTGAAGACTGGTGATTGAGTAGCAGAGTCTGAGAGATTACTCTTTGGTTTCGAAGGGTATGAGTAGACTGCGATGCAAATACGAGGAGATGTCAGCTTGAGCGTCTTTTATTTGTTCTTTGGACAATTCTCCAGCCCAGGTTGAGGCCCTCGTCTTTTAGAGACGTTCGTCTTCAGCTTTACGCAGGGTCAGGGCCGCAGGGACTAGGACCATGCCTGACGAATCCTAGCCCCTCATTTTGCTCACTGGGTGACTGGGCTTTGTTACGAGAGTGGCTTGCCAAGTGGTTTGGTCTTTGCTCGTCGCACAGGGCCAGCATGTCTACGCGCGGGAGCCCAGTGATGCGGCCGACACCAGACATTGGTTGTTCGGCGGCCGAAAAGGGTTCAGAAGATTTAGGCGTTCCGGGTGATGAAGGCCGTTTGGCAGCCACTCGTACAATTGGCCAGATGAAAACGATAGACAAGGGGGCCCCGAAACGAACGATTCAAGCGTCGACGTAAGAGCTCGTGGAGCTCAAGCGATCAGGGACAAAAGAGGTGAAACAGACCAGAACACCGCCGGCAAAAGGATGAACTGGACACATTGGAGCACGGAGAGTCGGCGACCGACTGCCCGTCAGATCGAAAGCTTCGTTTGACCCTGTTCTGTACGACTCGACGAGTGCTCACATAAAATTACATTGTTTGAGGCCAAATATCTAGCCTTATGACGTCGATGGCATGGTGATCAACAAAAGATCAACAGCCTATCTGAATGATACTGACGCTCGATCATTGGTGATATGCACGTCAGAGCCTTGGACAACGATATCCGAAGCCATGTTCGTCATATGGGAGACTGCGAGACTGCTTTCCTTTCGGTAGAATTCAGGGCCATCAACGGTGTCCGGCAAGTACACGCCAGTGCAATTAGATTGATACATGAAACTGGACAATGCTGGAACCATTGAGCATGGTCTGTTCTCGAGACACCAGTCTTCATACCTTCTCACCCACGCTAATGAACGGAGACAACCGGTTTCGTTGAGAATACTCCAATGGTGGCACTGGCGGCCACAACCTCATTATCGAGCAACTCCCTTGAGATAGAGTCCACAGAAGCACGGTCATTGATCAACCACAACTTGATCTCTGATCCGTCCCCAGACGAGTTTCCTGTCATGACCACGCCGTGGATAGGTCCATCATCATGAACGCCTGAGAAGCCTGGCTAAATATCACCCCCAGAACTGCTCGGGCTATCAATGGCCATTGCTACGGACCTGATTGTTCAAATCGCGACCAGACGCATTAACTACCTTAGTCAAGGGCTTTACCGAGCTAACGTGGATAACCGAATCTGCACATGCAATTCACAATGACCATTTGGATTGAAGGGCATAACAATTTTGGTTTCACAAGAACTATCTTACCTCACCGCATAGCATCAATTCATAAAAGAGCTCGAAATCTCGCATCTGAGGAAAGTCTCATTACGAGCTTACTTTACTGCAGATACTCATCTCCACACTCCCTGGCCATGACATCAAACATGGGCTTCGCGCTGAACCAGCCTGCCCTCGGCGTTCCAACGCTCTTGTAGGTGAATGCGGCATCCTCATCATCGATCTTGACGGTCTCGCCGCCACGACCAGCAGCCGCTGCATCTGCCATGAGTTGCGCACGACAGCACTTCTCGAGACTCACAAACCAGAACGTCGCAGCTTCGATGGTCTGACCGCACGTCAGGAGGCCGTGATTCTGTAGGAGACACGCCTTCTTGGGCCCGATGGCCTTTGCGATGTTCTCACCCTCCTCTTTCGCCAGCACGATACCCTTGAACTGCGTATACACGGCATGATCGTTGTAGAAAGCGCAGCTGTCCTGGGTGATGATGTCGATGGGTCGGCCGAGGGCGCAGAAACTCCGCCCATAGATACTATGCGAGTGTGCTGCACAGAGGACGTCTGGTCTGGCTTTGTGGATCGCCGCGTGGATCATGTACGCCGCTGTGTTGAGTAAGCGGCAGGGTCCACCGTCGATGACCTTACCCTCGTGGTCGACGAGGATGAGGTCGGAACGCTTGATGTGGGAAAAGGCCACGCCAAAGGGGTTTACCCAGAACGTGTGAGGGTCGACCGGATCGCGGAGGGTGATATGCCCAGCCACGCCCTCGTCGAAGCCATACTTGCCGAAGATGCGGAAGGCCAGGGCGAGGCGGCCCTTGAGGTATTCGCGCTCTTCGTATTTGTCGGTGAAGCGTGGTGGGCTGGGGAATTTCTGCAGTTGAATCTCGGCGGCACCTTGTTTCAGTTTGGGTTCGTTGGGTGCGGTGCCTTCAGGTTGGCCGTCAGGCGTGTCGAAGCCCATGGGTGGGGTAAATGTTTCTGTAGAAGTCGCTGTGGGAGGTGCCATGATGAGATGCGGTGTAATTTTGATGGACAAATGTTGGGTTGTTGACAGAGGAGATGCCTTCTAACCGCGGGTAATAAGTCGAGAGATGAGCACAGTAAGACTGCCACTTTTTGAAAGGATACGAGTACACAGATCAATGCTGGAGAAAGACGAGGGGAAGTGGCAAGAAAGTCGAGGGCCTCGGAGTTGACAGCCAACTCCACAGCGAGATAGCGAATCGTGGCTCCCTCTTGTCCAATGCCGTTGACCAGGCCGATGCTACAAACAATCTTTGATTGCGAATCAGTGGCTAGATGGCGACCTTTCGGGTGGGTTTTGCTGCGGGGACAGGCGATCGATTACTTATTGCTCAATGTTCGACTGGGTCTTCCACCGGACACGGTGCCGTTTCTGCCGCATGCACAGTCCCTCGCAATCACCATTCACCATAAGCTTATTTGCCGTCTTACTGGCTCTCATGCGGGACTGGTGAAAACGGGATTGTGAAAGGTTGGACTCGGTAAATGGCTGGCCCTCCGATTGATAGCCTACACCAGGCTGATAGCGTATCCAGCGAGTCAGGCGGGACCCACTCAATTCAATCAAGTCATGTACCACAGTACATATTTGTATCTTTTGAAGGGTCTTCTTTGACACCAACCGAGTCCTGCCTCAGACGATGCGTGGTCAAGAACGCAGACCCTTACTAGCGAAAGATGTATTGTGTCGAATGTAACCTTCAAGTCCAATCTCGTCAACATCAACCAAATAGAACACCATCTACAGCTTTTCCGATGGCCGTACGAAGATATCGTCAGCTGAGACTACCATCATGCAGCCTCTGGGTCACACAGTCCTTCGTGAACCTGCTTGTTTTCTATGCCTTGCTGGGGACCTCTTGATTCTTTTGGCAAGGTGGGTGCGGAATGCAAACAGATATTCCGCTTGGTTAAGCACTAATTGTCTGCTCATACGGGAGTACCTTTAGATTTTGAAAGAGCCATAGCCAGGTTACTGGTCGCACCCCTTCCTAGACACATGAGTCTTAACAACGTGGACCTCCACAATCATCGAGAACCGTGGTGAAGTCCAGGCTAAGTATGGGCATCAGGAGCTTGCTGGGATTCACTATCCAAGCTCCTTCTTACAATCTCTAGCTTCCCCATAGCAATCCCTTCTTCCATATGCCGTCAATATGATTGCTTTCTGGGAAGATGGACAGAGTCATTCATGCGAGATGAAAAGCAGCGAAGGAGATTTTAAAAGAGTCCAACTGTTATCTTATCATCCTAAAAAGGCTAGCGGACCATGAAGCGTGATAATTGGCTGCGGGAGAATGGCGCTTGTGCTTCTCTTTCTGAAAGTCCCGAGAACTTTTTGTCCGCGTGGAAATTTTGGACTCGCGACAGTCTCCTAGGGATTCTTTCCTGGTCCTCCTTCTACTTTTCCATCTTCATCTTCATTTAGTTCGTTCGTTCCTTCTCTGAAGCCGTATTTTCATCCATATCGGCTCTTTCTTCATCGCTTTGGATTACAGGTTTCCGATCGAGCTCAAGATGTACGGCGCAGCCCGGCAGGGGCGTCTCGCCTTCAGAGCACTCCGATGCATTCAATCGACATCCGTTGTCTCCCCCCTTCCACGCTTCACTCCCTTCTCTCAAAGAAAGATACCTTCCACCTCCATTCGCACCAGCCAGTTCTCATCAATTTCCCAAAGCCGGCAACATGCAGTCGCCGAAGATATGGGCGCCGAGGACATCTCGAATGTCGACCGAGAATACTCCACCTTTGAAGAGCTGGCCGACGCAGGCATTGTTGATCGAAGGATCACTAACAACCTGACTAAGAAGAGGAATATTGTCAACATGACTGAAGTCCAACGTATGACCATCAATGAATGTCTGGACGGTGCCGATGTCGTTGCTCAAGCTCGTACCGGTACTGGAAAGACTTTGGCCTTCTTAATGCCAATTGTGCAGCGCATGCTCAGAGATCCGAACCTTGAGGCCTCGAGACCTCAGATCAGTGATACTAGAGCTCTGATCATCTCCCCAACCCGAGAACTCGCCGAACAAATTGCTGATGAGGCACGAAAGCTTGTCCAAGGAACCAGAATTCAAGTACAGACTGCGGTTGGAGGCACTCAGAAAGCATATCACCTCAAACTCATGCAGCGTATGGGTTGTCACATTCTGGTCGGAACACCCGGCAGAGTCAACGATCTCTTATCAGATCAGTACAGCGGTGTCAGACTCGACAACATTGAAACTTTCGTGCTGGACGAAGCAGATCGCCTGCTAAATATCGGATTTGCAGAGGCCATTGCCGAGATACAATCCCACATGCCACCATTGCGGGAAAAAGACCGTCAAACCCTCATGTTCTCTGCCACGATGCCCAAGTCTGTGGTAGGCTTGGTGAGACAGACTATGAAACCGGACTTCAAGTTTGTCAGGACCGTCGATCCAAACGAAGCTGCTACTCACGAATCTGTCCCCCAAAACGTTGTGTACTTGCCCGGTCTCCAGAATCAAATTCCTGCCATTACCGAAATCGCCTACACAGCCACCCAGGCACACCAGCAAGACCCCGAAAACAATCCGCCATTCAAAGCAATGATTTTCTATAGCTCCGTGAACGAAGTCAGGCTTGCTTATGAGATTCTAAAGAACCTCCGCGATCCTGCTCAGAGAGGCGGATTCTTCGCCCCGCATCCACTGGCACCCTGCAAGGTTCTCGAAATGTCTTCTCAATTGACCCAAAGTATTCGAGAAAGAAATACCCAAGAGTTCCGCAACTCTTCGAGTGCCATTATGGTGGCCTCTGATGTTGCGGCTCGTGGTATGGACTTCCCCGATGTCTCACATGTCATCCAAGTGGGCCTTCCGAGAACAAGTGAAGACTATATTCATCGGCTCGGTCGAACTGGACGCGCCGGCAAGTCTGGCCAGGGCTGGCTACTTTTGCAGGATGACGAGCGGCACGAATTCAGAAGACTCATCAGCGACATCCACGCTCACAACATCAATGAGAACGAGAACCTGGAGACGGCTAAGCTCGACATGACTCAGCCCTCACAACTGTCGGCAGAGGCTGGAAAAATCATGCAATATGTTGAGACGGGTATCAAAGCAACTTCGATGGTTGATAAGTCAAAAGCTTACGTGACTATCCTGGGCGGTATGATTCAGAGCCCGGCGAGCAGGAGCAAGCAGAGCATAGTCGACATGGCAAACGACCTCGCCAAATTTGGCTGGGGTCTTCAGACACCTCCTCATGTATCCAGCCACTGGATTGACAAGATGGGATTCAGAGGGACAAGGGGTCTCGAGGTTGGCCCGGACTCCTCGGATCGAGGTGGGAATATGCGACGCATAAGAGGAGGGGATCGTGATGGAGATGATCCGTTTGGTCAGGGGTTCAGCGGCAAAGGTGTGTTTAGAGGCCGATCTTCCAGCAGTGGCTTCGGCGGTAGATCTTCCGGCGGCGGCTTCGGTGGCAGATCTTCTGGCGGTGGCGGCTTCGGTGGCAGGTCTTCTGGCGGCAGTGGCTATGGAGGCCGATCTTCTGGTGGCGGCGGTTATGGAAGCAGATCAACTGATGGCGGTTCCGGGGACCGGAGATCAAGTTGGTAATCGACCTTCTGGTCCAGCCTGCGGCCCACGGAGGCAATCGGTGCATTCATGCGGGAAGTTCTACGGCGGCCGCTTTTGAGAGGGACAAAGAGCTGTCCCGCGCCACGTTCGGTGGCTCCAACCATGGCTTCGACTGAGTGGCGAGCATCGGTCGCGCAGCCTACTCGACAATTTGGTCGGGTTCCATTCTGCTCATCAAGATCTCAGCCCGTATTTCTGCCGAGGAAGGGTTTCACCTCCCGGAGGCATTGTATTAACACTTTCGGCCATCATCTTGCCAGACCGAACGAGTTGAGCAACAGAGGGCAATTCTCGATCCCTCGTCTTGCTGGAAAACGCTGGATATTACTGAGGGGTGTTCCTGGTGTCTCAGGAGCGTGTTGGTGCGTTGTATGTATATAGAATTGGTGCGCGTGAGAGCATGATACCATTGTGTGAATCTAGTGATGACCATAGTGAGGAGTACGGATGGGCAAGAATGGGCAAGGGAAATCACAATCTCCTCTAATGCAATATGTGTACACTACTGTACGGAGTATGGGTTCAGCGTATTAGTGGCCATACTGCTAGATTGTTTCGAATTGCGAGATATTTCTTCTGGTCACGATCAAGCATGGGACGTGGAAGAGGGGTTTGAAGTATGATACTGTACATTGCCCTGGTATTGTCAACCTGGGAGCAGGCGTGCTACTGCTTTCTGTGGCATTGAGCGCAGAGGGAAAGCTATTATGTTCTCATTCTGCTCGTGGTGTGTCACTCGTAGACAGGGGCTCTGCAGCAGACATGCTCAACAAAGTTCCAAGTGTCAGCATGCTTTTGAACGTGGGATGACCCTCAAGAGTGTGAAGATCTCCACTGCTGGATCTCCTGCTCGTTAATCTCACGGAGAGCATTGACTTGTGCCGCCTCGCCCGTGATCGCACCCTTGACCATCTCGACGCCCCTGCCAATGAAAGTGCCCTGGGACACAGCATATGTTGCAGTCAGGGCCTTCACCTTGATGATGCCGATACGGGGGTCATTCTCACTGCCGTCGTGTGTGCCGTCGCCCAGGTCACCGAGCCAAGTCTTGAGGGATGGAGTGTAGTATTTCTTGACAAAGTCGCGGTCGGAGATGACGCTCGCGGTGCCGGAGATGCTGGCCCAACTGCCGTTAGAGGCGCAGAAGGAGATGTTGATGTGGGAGTCGGATTCGAGGTCGTGGGTCTTGCCCGATTCGGTGTTTGTGTGGAAGAGGAGGTCGACACCACCGCTCTCCTATTTTAAGCCAGTTGTGTTAGTTTTTGTGAGCTGATCGATGATGTGGGGTGCGGTGTGGGAAGTGACAGGAGCTGTACCTGAGCAGCCAGAGCCATGCATCTGGAGACGAGAAGGCCGGAGTCGGCGACGCGGGTGGTCATCATTCCATATTTCTGGGATTGGATGAAGCTGTTGAGCTCGTTGATCTTGGTCTCGACGCCGGGCTCATCTTTGTTCTTGGCCTTGTATCTATCGGGCGTCAGCTTCGACCCGGGGGGTTTCGGGAGGAGGTGAGAAGAGAGACGAACGGGTCAAGAGGTTGTCCAGAAGCCATGGTGGATGTTTGTGTGAAATTGGTTGGTTATTTCTAATTTGAATAGGCGGGAGTTTGGTGGTAAGATTGAGAATTCGGTACGGAGGTCTGGAAGATGAAGAAGACTGCTGAGTATATGAGAACGAGAATGAGGGACTGGGACAGTGTCATACAGGGGTGACGTCGTTCTTCAGGGACGGCAGGTATGGCACAGGTCACGCAACATGCCACTACGTAGAAAGCTCGATGAGGGGGAACTCAGGCGTGTCAGGGCACACAATGGACGACCGTGACGACCCCATTGTTTCCCGAAATGAATCATGACCAGTCACTTACAATGAGGTGGAGGAGTTCACTCAGATCACAGTTCATTGGAGTTTTGCAATGCGGGAAGATGAAGTGCGTCACTGATGATGATGCCCCCCATGACACAAGATCTTTCGCCTAGTGGGACTCGCTCGTGCCGCGATCGATCTGTGTTTATTCCGCTTCCGGATGTGGTACATTGTTGTACGGATCGAAGCTGTACTTCCCTCCACTTGTAGAAATTGCAGAATTCTGTATACGATTTGTCAGTCGATGAGAGGTGTTGGTGGGTTGTTGATACATCGACGAGGCTGTGACGTGGGAAATTTTAATGACGTCAATATATCGACCACCGAATAACTATCAAAAACGTTCTTCAACCTCACAGACTCTCAATCTGGGGGAAGGGGGGGGGGGGATTTGTACTTGTGTCTCTACTCTTTCGCTTCGCTTCGAGATGTTCGCTATGATTCCTTCGCTACTTGATGTGAAGTTGTTCCGCCCCAACGAACGCTAGGCCATGCGTGCCAGGATGCGAATCGAAGTAGACGGGAATTGACTCGGCTGGCGCCAAGCATCTCGAAAACCTCCGCCGATTTTGAATGTCGTTCTCGACAATGCTTAATCCAGTTTTTGAGCACCATTTAGCTACCGATGCTGCTAGATCCTTGACCGTGCGGAGAATAAGGTAGGGAAAGCTGGGTCGACATGCTATGTCCCCCTCTCTCCCCACTGCTTCGAACGCCCGTCCAACCTCATCCTTCTTCGAGGTCCGTACCACAGCAACGTCAGGACGCGGTGTTTTCGCCTTGATCGACATCCCACGAGACACGTTACTGCTCGAAACATCCCTCGTCGCAGCCAGTGCTATCTACAAGCCCTACGCCAAAGAAGTCTGCGCGCAATGCTTCTCCTACGACCGCGGCGTCTTGTGGAAAATCCGCGACAACGCCCGTAGCGTCGTGTTCTGCAGCGAGTCATGCCAGACCAATTGGACAACGGACATGCCACCCGCAGCGCTCGTCGCTCGTGAAGAAGTCCAGAATCTACTTGCTCGTAAGCAGAAGCTATGGGACACGGAGATCGAGGACTTCTCCAAACCCTCCCCAGAGGCCATCGACAAGGCTTGGACAGCCGCCGAGGACAAAGCCACCCTCATCCGCGCCGCTCGCTCAATCCCATCGCCGACGAAGGCGCAGCTCAAAGCTCTCCGGCAAGCTCAATCACTTCACCCGGACCCAGATACGATATGGTTCCTTCTCGACGCCGTTATCCAGTCCATCCGCCAACACGACATCGTCGAGGTGACGGCCGATCTCGCCGCCGATTCTCAAGCGTTCATCAACGCCGACGATCTCAATCTCCATGTCGACGCATATCTGTCTTTGCTCTCCATCATCCCCCACAAGCTCCTTCCACACATTCAGCCATCATTGTTGCGCACGATCCAATCACGCACAACGCACAATTCCTTCGGCTTGCGCTCGCTCGACGAGGGCGGCGAGCTTGGAACGGCGGGAAGCGAGTGTTTCGGCTTCGGCGTCTGGCCGGCCGCAAGCTACTGGAATCATAGCTGCAAGCCGAACTTGACCAAGCAGCGGAACGGGAGGACGTGGAAGTTCTGGACAAGTCGGGACATCCGGGCCGGCGAGGAGTTGTGTATAAGTTACCTCGGTGGCGATGAGAGGGATATGGACACGGCTGAACGGAGAGAAAAATTGACGAGGATATGGGGATTTGAGTGTCAATGTGAGAGGTGTTCTCGTTCTGCTACTGTCGGTCAGAGCTGAAGCAACGGGAGAGCTTGAGTATTGAACCTGCATGTGAACCCAGACCACCTCATGATTTCCAATGTTCACCCAGTCCTTTTTAGAATGGTCCTGGAGGAACAGCTCGTCCAAGTAATTCACTCAATCTTCCGACGGGCTGGCTATGTTTTCTGGCCTCATGGCCTGGAAGATGCAGAGTACTGCGCAAGCCACTCTGAAACAAATCTGCTTGCTTACTCGATACCACGGGTGCTACACACTACCTACCTATGTACCAGACAGTTGTACTGTTTTGTTTGTTTGAGACGGTCGGGGTCATTTCTAGGAGAATGCTCATCGCAGCGTGGCGTGCAACGCAAAGCTTCCCTCTCTCGTGCGGCGTTCCGCACTCACAGCCCTTCACACTCCCTTCCCGAAGAGGGAATATTCTCTTTATGTATCCGCCACCACGCTACCCCCCTTCACGCTACTAAGCAGTAATGCGGGCACACGAGGAAGGTGAGATTGGCGGAGACAGCTTTGGCTACGGCATGTTGAGTAATCAGCCGTTGTCTGGCCACCTCACTTCATCTCACAAGCCTCTGGACAAGCGGTGTGGATAAATACGAAGTAGTTGAAGACGGAGCAATACACAAGTCAGGAAGCTTACTGTTTCGTCGTCAAATATAGGGCGCCGAGAGGCAGAGTATCAAATACGGCTCTGTGCTGACCGTCCAATCTCGCAAGATACAGCAATACGCCCGGAAGGAGGCTTATATAAGACTAGACATTCCCGAGTCAAGTCGCCCGGAATTCTGATAATTCGCGAAAACTCGAACGACTTTGGCCTCAAGCCTCCCTCGCCATTGCGCCCAGCCCGTAGGGTCAGCCCATCTTCATTCTTCACCACCGAAACCGCCAACATGCCTCTCTGGCGCATCTTCTCCCACCCTCAGACCTTCTCTAAAGATCAACGTGTCGGTATCGCCCAGAAGGTCACTGAGTTGTACGTTTCCCGTGGCCTGCCAGCGTTCTATGTCAACGTAATCTTCATCGACATCGACGAGAACGGGATCTTCATCGGTGGAGAGCCGAAGAAGAATTTTGTCCGAGTTGTCATCGAGCAGATTGCCAGAACCATGTCTTCGCCCGATACCGACGAGGGCAAGAAAAGCAGAAGAATGTGGATGGACATGATCAACGACGTAAGAATTCCTTCCTTGTATCTTTCCATCCTCGCTGTGCTCCCCGACTCGACGAATTCGAGATGTCGTGAAAAGACTTGCTGATGTCCATCTCACAGACACTGAAACCATACATTATCGACCGTGTGGAGCTGGATTGGGAACTGCATATCTCCGAGACCCCTCGTGATCTCTGGCGTACAAAGGGCATTGATCCGCCTCCGGCACACTCTGATGCCGAGAAAATGTGGGTGGAGAAGAACAAGCCGGTACCGTACATTTGACGGCGGAGCACTCTCCTGAGAAGGCAACATCGTTCTGTGAACGATGTAGGCAGATAGCGACTCACACCAACTTTGGAGCAAAATACCACAATGCTGCAAGCCCCGAGAGAACCGTCGCACCAGCGACCTGCCGTGCCCAATGTGCATTCTCTGACAGCTTCAATTTCCCAACTGTGTGCTGCTGCTTCGGTTGAATCTTCCCACTGGAGACAGCCTCGGGATTTCTCCGTTGCAGAACATCAGACATCTCAGTCTCGTTGCTCTCCTGGGCGGCTGCGAATGCTTCGTAGTCTTGGACCAAGCGCTTCAAGCCTTCAAGGTCCTCCTTCAGCGACTCGACTCTAGTCTGGTTGCCCTGAATCTCGACATTCTGAACATTGCCGAAGAAATCAACCACTCTTCGACTCCTGCCCGCTTGTTCACCTCCAGGAAACAAGTCCCATCTGACTCCAGGATTGGAGTGGATCTTGCCAACGTCGTAGCTATCAAACAGATCGCCGAGCGTCTTGTCTGACGTTGGACCCGTGACCCGAGTTTCCAGAAATTCCAGCACGTAATATGTCCAGCGGTCAATCACCGCTACACCGACGTCATTGTCCGCATGATGTGAGTAAGAGCTCTCATCTTCTTCGGACGAGCCTGTAGCAATGACTCCAGGAGCGTAGAACTGTCGATACAGCGTGTTGGCCTGACACGTATCGATCATGAACAGCATCTCATTGTACCTCTTTTTCTCCCTCATCTGTGAGAATGCGTCTGCTAGATCCCAGCTGGAAATCTCTTCGCTGTCCTGGAACTTGAGGAACTCGCTCCCACCGTGCCCCGTCATGTAAATCAATATGTTGCTCCCTTCGTCTGTTTGTAGTCTTTTGCTCGCTGGCACTCCTTCTTCCCATCTGTCCGTCAAAAGGCGGATGAAGTTCTCGACTGTGACTTCGTAGCCCCGGTAGTCTACCTCGACATTCTCGCCGTAGAGGTCCATCCGTCGGTCGGCGTTCGAATAGACGGTTCCGGAGAAGGCGTTTCGCGGGTTACAGGCCATGTCATCAGGGAGGAGGAGCAGGATCTGAGAATCAGGGATGCCGAGGCGCTTGACCGTCCGATAGAGAGACAGAGTGTTTGCTAGATGCCGGTAGTTGAACCAGAATCGAGACGTCGATACAAGAACTGCCCAGTTGGAAGTGTGGGCAGCGCAGGCGATTGAGACCAGGGCCAGAAATGCCCATAATGAGTTGAGGGTCTTCATTGTTGCTGGAGGACAGATGCGGAGAGAATTGAGGTGTTGTCGGGGGACACAGAGACAGACTCGGCTCAAGGCAGTCTTTGTGATTCCATTCCCACGGCAAGCTTTCGAGTAGTATACATGAACACCTGCACTGCAGGATATTGGTAAGCATGAAATGCGTGCGGCGCGATGGATATTGAATGAATGTGGAAGATAATATTACCGAGCCGGAATTGGGTGGAGTATAGAGCTCAAGTGGCCGCCATCTCTAGGAGGCCTGCTCGAACCGAGGCGTCTATCTACCACAAAGCACGACCAATGAAAAATTCTATAGTTGGCGCAGAGAATGACCTCAGAGATATCGCTCGTGCTCGTATCTCTAGAATTGCGGCGGGCGCCAGGCTTATCTTGAGGAGTCGCTTAATTAAGGCTGGAATCCTCCTACGGAATAGTTAGAGCATTGGCTCCGGCGGACTACACCGACCGCATAATGTATTCTACCCCTTTTTCATGGATGTGACCCTGAACATCAACTTCATGTCCTTTGCTATTTCATATTCTGGAGTTGCTGCGTATGCCATCTACAAGTCTGTCCACAACCCACGATGTGTCTGGTGCCCTCCAGGAATTCAAGCGTGCCATGATGCACGCGTGCATTCTCATTACCTAATCAATCTATCTACAGCTTGTGAAGTCCCAACTGGCAGTAAAACGCCCTCTCTTCCGCCATGACATTTTGTGCCTTTGGCACACGGCTCCCACCACACAGCTGCTCTTGCAGCATGCTGCAAAAGACGTCGAACTCGCCAAAGCCGACTCTAACCATGCCAAAGCGTTCGTGCATCGCTGTCTCATCTCCTCCCCAGTTGTTGCTCCGACTCTCCCCGTCCACAAAGACCTTCAGATTCAGATTTCGAGAGCGAAGGCGCCAACGGGCCAAGGGCCCCATGAGAGGGTTGACAATGTCTCTCACAGTCGGGACGATGGCCTCGCCGATTGTCTGTGACGGGTTGTTGCGGTGAAGGCATTTTCTCAGTATGCCAGGTGGGTACGAGCCTCGCTCTCTGATAAAGTCTGGGTACCGCCGCGAAAAGTATTCCTGGTACACCTTCAAGGCGTCGAAATGGACTTTGATGACAATGTCGAGCGACGACAAATGCGACAGGTTGCCAGAAGCCGACCACAGCAACTCTCCAATCTTCTGGCACCACAATTCCTGCTTGGCGATGTCTGAGCTTCCCGTGCGAGATATGAAATCTGCCAGGAAGAACTCTGGCTTCGAAACCTTCAACACAGGGGTGTCTAGGTCGATGTTGATGGTGAGGTGTTTGATTCTCGACAACATATTGGCGAGACTGGTGAAAGCGACATTGCCTGGTATTTGAGCGAGTGGCATGATACCCAGTGTGTGCGTGTTTGTGTCCTTGTTCACCATGATCCATTCTCCTGGTACCGCAGTTGTGTACGATTGTTGTGGTTCTTCGGAGCGAATTCCTTCGAAGGCCATATAGTCATAGCAGATGGAAACGACAAAGTGTCTGACTGGAGGGATGCTACGGGCTGAGTTGCCGATCAATTTGCAGGTGCCCGCAAAGCTGGCAAGGTCGTTGACAACGAGAGGTTGTTGTCCGGTAGGTTGTCGTGCGCTCCTGTTGACCATCAGAGGAAAGAGATTTTCAGGTCTGCGTCGGCCTTGCAGTCGAGAACGCCGCGTTTCCCGGTCGAGCTCCTCATGTGCTTCTTCGGTGTAGTCCTCAATCGGATACAAGCCGTCGCCGGAGGAGGGCGGTCCAGACCATGTGGTTGGAACTGGGATGTGGTCCCAGGAGGGGACTGCTTTGCCTGGCCGGTTCACAGATCGGTCTGGGAGGAGCATTTCGCAGATGCGGCGGAGCACTTCGGGTGGCATATCGGTGAGCTTCAAGTGTCCTTCCCAGCCGATGACTTCTGGGTTGTCCTCAACAGTGCCGGCATTGATGGCGAAGTCTCTGACTGCCACGCCTGAAGGGAAAGGTTGCTGTTCTTGCCGCGAAATTTCGAGCTCCGTCGGCTGCACTGGCTCGGATGTCGGCTCACTGGACTCGGTTTCCTTCTGTGTTGTGCGAAGGCTCTTGAGCTTGGTGGAAGATGTTTGCCGAACGCCAGATGACTGCTCACTTCCTCTTCTCGCCATTTTCGACTCAGTGTGCCCCATCTTTGTCGCTGGGGCTGCAAGAGGGTCTAGGTTTGTGAAAAAGAGGTTGCTGGAATGTTCACAGGATGTTTGAGACAGGACAGTCTGTCAGGGAGGTGAGCTGTGAAGTCGCCTGTTGCTGATGAGCCTGAGAGGAGAGGAGAGGAGAGGATGGCGGTTGCGCCGGTGCATGAACGATATGATCGAAACAATGCAGGGAAGTAATTGCCGACTGCAAGCGCACCCTGGGCCCAGGGCAACTCTACCCGATGAGTTGAAGTCCATTTATATGACATATTGTTGTGCGAAGGAGCAAACCTGCCAAGGGTATGTCTATAGCTTCGTTGTCATTGAGGTAGCTCAGCCGAAGACGTAGGAAAGTTCCTTTGTTTATTCGGAAAGTGACTCTTCTGGGAGCAAACAGTCAAACTTCAAAGCCTACGTCTGTCTGCACCCTTCCCCTGTGATCTGGCTGTACTGCAAGGATCTCTCTTACCAGGAACATATCATCTGAAACAACTCAAGTAGTTGTCCTGAAGTGTGCAGAGCATGCGAAGTCTGCAAGATAAGAAAAAAGGAGTGCAGCCTTGTGCGAGCTTGGCACGAGGCTGAACATTGCACAGCATGTAGGAGGCATTGTCCGACATGTAGGACTCCTGTGTATCGCTCAGTGACATGAGTTTTGCACTCAGCGGCATTGCAGAGCACAAACAATTGGAATCTTCTTCTGAGCCTGACGGTCCCCATTGTACTATAGGGAACTGCTAAAACATGTGTTTACGACCTGTATTTCTCCACAAAGTGGCTCTATTGTATGTGCCAATGCCCAAGACGTGCGCCTCGATCACATTGGGCCATTTGATGTTGGAGAGCTCCCCATGTCTCATTTTTGGATGTACAAGTATTGTACCTACCCCGTGACTTGGTCGTACTTTCTGTTTTGCGCACCAACGTTCTCCTCGCATAGATCATCCTGTATCCAAGAGACCCTAGTAAACGTCCGCCCCGTGGTCAACACTCCAGCCGTCTCGCGTTTGAACACTTCGCTGAACTTTGCCACATGTTCCCTCAAAGTGAGTGCTTTCTCCAGCTTGCCTGCTTCGAGGCTGTAACTTGGTGCGCAGGTAAACTTGGTTGTCCATTCGATCTCCAGCGGTCGCTGGAGGAATCCCTCGGACTCTGGTCGACAATCGCATCGTTCTTTAAGCTGAGAAAGCTTCATAGCCATGTACCTGCACGTGGCTGCAGCTCGATCGGCGTCTTGCTTTCCAGGCTCCTTGGTCTGATTCAGAATCGGGTGACCAAAATGCAAGTTGACTCCTACTTCGATCTTGCGAAAGTGCGGGTCTGGAAACATTACCAGGCAATGGCAGATTTGCTCAGCGTAGAACCGCGCTTTGCATTGGTCGCCGAATCGCCGAGTGCGTTCGGAAACGTCGAGTTTGATGCTCAATCTTCTTATGACAGGCAACATCTGCACGAATTTGCCGAATGCGAGGTTTCCGGGAACAGTGCCTCGGGGAATCCCAACTCCCCATTGAATGGCATCCCTTGAAGGCAGAAACGGCAGCTCCCCCAGGCCTTGGGTCCACCAAATGTCGTGTTCCTCTAGCTTCGTGGGCCCCATATCCCCAAGGACTCCGTCACGATAACCTTCGAAAGCCACACCATAGGGGCTGATCGAGAGCTCGAAGGTATGGTTTCTAGCAACGCTGCGTGCGTGGTCGGAGAAGAGCTTGCAGGTGCGTGCAAAATTGCCCAGGTGGTTGATACGATCGCGGGGCATGTGCTCTGCGTCGTCGTTGTAACGGATATAGATCATCTTTTCATCGACCATCCGGACATGTTGCTCTAAATCTTCGTAGTAGGGGTCACTCTTAACAGTGACTCCCATGGGCGCCTGCTTGCATAGTGCCGGAGCGTCCTGTCTGGCCTCGTCGGCGCGTGGTTCATGGAAGAGTCGTTGGATTCGGACTGACCCGGCGTATTTTCTGCCGGACATTGCAGCTAGCTTGTACTTTGTATAACTAGTCTCGTTGGGTTGCATCGGACCTTTGTGCGTCGGCATGAGATTATGGCAGATACCCTCGATAATCGTGGGAGGAAGGGCCTCAAGGCCTGGTGAAGGGCCCTGTAAGGCAGCAGGTGTGATCCTGCTCATTGTGGTCCGTTTACTTGATCTGTTTGACGGGAGCTCAGTAGATCAAAGATATGTTGGTTCTGCTGACGGAAGCCAGCACTGTAAGATTGCCTGCACAGTTGAAGACGAAGAGAAGCGGAAAATACATCTTTCAAATAAGGGAATTGCTCGTCCACACCGAAAGGCTTAAGGGATGTTGAGGACCTGCGAACGATGAGTGGCAATGAGCACATTATGGTCTTGTAGGGTTCAGCCATGGGTGGCCATGAGTGAGTCACCAAACTGGCAGCTTGGTTGAAACTTGAAAAGGGACTTTTCTTTGTGGCCTTGGACCTCTAAGGAACAGGCTGAAGCTGAATAAACTTTCTTGTACAATATGCTGGTACAGCTTTGTGCAGGTCCTCAAATAGACCCACCGACCTCCCACCAACGCCGAACAGGGTAGAAGAATGTTCATTATCTGGGACGTCAACATCAAAGCACCGGGAGTCTAACAAACTGTCCTCGTAATTCGAGGGCCTTTTCCTCCGTCAGTGCGTATGGGCATGTATATGAGAATCGTCATCAGTATCGTGCTTGGAAGCCCAGATGTCGTGGAGGACTGCCTTGAATCGTGATACTGATCCGACTTCTTTCTGTGCCATCGATCTCCAGTGGTGAGGGCGGCTTCGGAGGATGATGAACTTCGAAGACGTGTGTGGTGGTACCACCTCCACCACCATTCCTACCGCCATCTCGACCTCCACGTATTGACTTTGTATCAAGTTCGTATGTTGGGGGAGGTTCACTGGGATCGGAACGATATACAACGCGCTCTCGAGACTCGCCGTCGAGCATCTGCCTTTCGCCCATTTGTCCTCGTCGACGACGCTTTGTCCGTATGTACAGGGCTGTCGCAAGGGCACCGCCAAGAACGACGGCACCGATGGCGATGCCAATTCCTGCTCCAGCAGTAGCGCTGAGCCCGCTGGATCCGCCGCTCGAAACGGAAGGGAGAGAGGCTGGGCGTTGACCGGTGGTGTTGGGGTTCAAGGGACTGTCAAGCCGGGTAAGCTGTTACGTCGTGAAGAAGAGCAAAAACTCGTACCTGTCAAGAATTTGCAGCACGCCATTGGAGACAAGATAGTCTGAGGTTGTGATTTTGGAAGTGTCGACGTAGAACGCACCACTTGTGTTTGTCATTGTCAAAGATAGTTTGTCCAGGGTCAGAAGCTCAGAATTGTTTTTGAAATCTGATGAATAAACGACCTGTCCTTGAGTGATACTGTACTCGAATATCTCAAGTTTGTCGGCGTTGGACAGACCGTCCCAGCCAGTGAATGATGCGCCAAACTGGGGATTGTTTGGGCCCCATACTGTAAGGTCGGAAAGGGTATTTACTGTGTAGGGCCCGCATCAGTACGAGGTGTTCCTGTGCATATGAAGAGGGATTTTCAAGGGTGAAAAGCTCGAGGACCTACCGATAGTCACGGCTGGCGAGTCTGGTGTCAAATATCCTCCCTTGTTCAACAAGGCAATGAGATCGGTTAGCCCGGCTTTCGTGATTGTTGCTGGTAACGAAAGTGGTATGGTCAACACCGCATCGATAATATGGATGAGTCCGCCGAGGTAGAAGATATCCTATTTGAATCAGTGTCCGGTTCGCTTTGTTTCCCGCAAATCACTTACAGCTTCGACGAGATGCGACGCAGCCTTGACTCCGGTCAGAATTGTGGGTGTGCCATCTTGCGACGTTATGTCCACCACTTGTCCTCCCGTCACGTTGGTATAGCTTGAGTTGGTGAGAAGGGTTGGGGCAAATAGCGGCTGAAGACCGAAACCAGCTGAGGGGTGGGTGCCATTGACACAGTGATATTGCAACAAGGCTAGTACCGCGTCTTCTTGCGAGGTCACATAAGGATTGGCATCTGCGAAGGCCGCTATCGCTTTATCGTTCGGTGCGAGGACTTCCAACTGTCAGTATCTTCCCACTGTCGCCTCAAGAACGATCCTTACCACTGAAAGACCCTCCATTCAATGTATCGACCAAATCAGGAAATTGTTCGAGCAGGGAAATAAACGTTGATACGCCGCTCTGTTGGTTGAGGATCGTAAGGATGTCCTGATCTGCGGCGAAGCAGCCAACAATAAAGCTGAGGAAGGCAAATGCTACCGCGCACGACAACATGGTGACTGCTCGTTAGGCACGAATAGGACCAGAGACATGGCTTTGTGAGTAGGGAGGATATAACGAGTGGGCTCGAATGAGGATGAAAACCTGCCTTATGAAATGGAGTTCCTCGCAAGTCTACCCTGGACTGGAGTGATCGATAATCCTTGTCCTTTGGTGAGACGCGTTTTTCAGGAGACACTTTCGCTTGTAGTGCCGTCCACCCCAGGATATTGAGCTAGACGTGGTATGGTGTCTTCGCTTAAAAATCTCGTAAGGATTCAAGCCGCTTCCAGCCCGCGAAGGGCACAATTTCATGAGTGGAGTCTTTGGGATGAAGGAGGATACGATGGTAGATTCTTCTTTGCCAAAGGCTATGCATGACTGGTGCTTGGCTTGGTTGGTGATGATGATATGCACTTTCGATCGAAACTCAAGACTGTTGTAATCCCTCCTGGCAAAATATGGCCGGAACGTGGTTAGGTGTTTCATGTTCCTGCCACGCTGCGGGAGGCGTTGATTATGCAAGGGACCATCACGGACGGTCCATACAGATGGGACTTTTGCCGTCTCCGCCGCGCCAGTCGAGTTGGTGGCGCTTTGGACGCCTTACCACGAATTGGGAAGGCCATTCAACAAAACTTGACGGGTTACACTTGCCACAGGTAAGGTACAGACGGCTGTTGTCTCCTGTGAGCCATTGGGTGTGTCAAGATAGGAGTCCCCTGCACACAGTGAAGCGGTTTGTGTTTTGTTGCCGAATGGATGAAGTCGTTGGCATGGAAGTGAATTCCTGGAAGAGAATGATGAATGTGTCCGATCGATAGATTTGTTGACCTCTGCTCTCGACCCCCGTGATGTTTGTTTGGTTCAATCTCCGCCAAAACTGGCCCCCAATGGTTAGTGATTTGTATCAATGTTCGGGCATGCCAACGGCGTTTGGACGCATTCCGACAGCTTTGCGCCAGATCTTCGGATTGTGTTCAGAAGGAGAGCATACCCCGGAAGTCGCTCGAAGTGGTGGGTAGTACGAGGGTACTACCGCCTACAGCTAGAGACTCGCCTTCCGGTGTGAAGTTGCGAAGATGCTCCTTCTCCCGGGAGACTGCTTGTGCCAACATGGGTCTTTGAGATGGACATCAGAAAGGACGACAACAAACACCTGGAAAAGAATAGAGGTATTATTTCCGTGCAAGGTTACTCCATACATCCATGTACGAGTAGTATAGCTGCGGATCTCGCGTGAGCAGCAGCCTTACAGCCGTAAGAGGTATCTCATCGGACGTCTTCCCTTTTCGGTCTATGCCTCCGTCCATATCGATCTTTATTTGGACGACACCGCCGGATGAGCCTGGCACTTCGACGACGGACATAAAGCCCGTCTGAGAGACGTTGACCGTCTCGAGGATGACATAGGCCGCTAAAATGCGCATATCTCGACCGCAAGATGCCGGACCTTCATCATCACTTGTTTAACCTTCTTGATGTCAAGCCACCGAGCGGATCATATCTTCTAACCCGTTGTATGTCATCACCGGCCCTTTCGAAGAGCGACGCCTAGTCTACTGTACGGGCGGACCCCAGACTCAGTGGAGGACACCGAGCAGCCAAATCCTGACAGTACCGCTTTCATATTCTCCGAGCCCTTCAAGCTGAGAAAGCAGCATTCATCTTGGATCATGCCGGTCCGCAACGTATCATGAAGGCCAGGCTTATACGGAGTATGCTCATGCTAATGCCCATTTAACACCGTCCATGTCGATCAATCCATCGTTGCTTGCCAGGCCACGATAGTCGTAATGGCTGTACATTCGCAGAAATGCTCCATGCCGCAACCAACGAAACCAAAACCCAAGCATATGCAAATGGAAAACGTAAGCGCTTTGCGTAAACAGACTCATCAAGACACCATTCTCCACCATCACCATCACCATCACAATCACTCCCCTCAAACCACAGTCCATCACATCATCTCCCCACAACAGCCTTCAAACTCAACCCCTCCAAGAACCCTCCAAGATCTTCCTTCTTCACCTCGACAATGCAATGGTCGAAACTGTCAATCTTGACTCTCGCGTTCGTCTCTTCCACAACCTCTTGGAATGCAATGCCAAATCGATTATGCCCGTACCCACGTTTGTTCCGCCTTGTCATCTCTTCTTCATCCTCATCTTCGCTTTCCTCGTCGCTTTCTTCTTCCTCTGACTCGCTCTCACTATCATCAAAATCACTATCATCTCCATTCAACTCCCGCTGCGCCTTCCTCGCCGCCCGCTTCTCCTCTCTGACCTTCCTTTTGGCCTCTCGCTCCGTTTCTTTCTTCGCCTTTCGCTCCGCCTTCTCCTTCCGTGCATCGAGATCCTCGCCTCCACCAATACCCCCACCTGTCCCCACGACGACGTATGTCCCCCTCACCTCATCGAGGGCTGCGAGAACCAATGGCGTCGCACCCTCAGAACCTTTTTTGTCCCGCTCGTTCACAGCAACAGCTTCGCCGACCCACAATGCCAGTTTGACCAACGCGCCGGGACTATTCGCGAACAGCGCGAGATCAGGCCCGTCCTTGACCACGCCCATCCTGAACGCACGCAGATGGCGGATCTGATGCTTCATCAGCAGTGACGAGCCCGTCCGTAAGACGGACCGGAGCAGATGCTGGGCTACAGGGATTGCAGCCAGGAGATGACGCGGTTGATTTGGAGCGAGGGCGTCGTATGCGGCGAAGAACCGCGGCAATAGGGCTTGGGACCGCTCGGGCACGTCGTCGGCGGTATTTGTCCGCTGGGAAGATTCAGAAAAGCTTGAATATGAGATGGATGGCGTGGCTGGGATATGCGTTGTCCCAACGTCAAGTATGGCGCCGAGTATAACGCCGACATCGACGGCGGAGAGTTGTGCTTTCCAACCCCAAGACCGGATGAAGCCCCATCCTTCTTGGTCATAGGATGCGCGGCCCGAGCCAGATGGGACGAGGTCATCCAGGCCGTACACGCCAGCATATTTGAGGAGTCGTTGGCGGAGCGATTTCTTCAGGTCCATGTCCATATGCGTATAGGTCTGCTTGCACTGGGTGAGTGATACGCCCATCTTGGCAAGGAGCTTGTGCAGCCTTTTGACCCCAGACTCGTTCCAGACATGTAGTCGTGACGCCAGGTAAGGTGAGTGGAGCATGCTGTCGTAGAGGGACCAGTGTCGGAGAAGGAGGAAGCGAGGATCTGGGGAAAGTCGGATGGAGGTGTCGCTGGGCGAGCTTGTGCCGCCGGCGCCGGGTGATATGGTGGGTGACTGATCGGCTGGTGGAGGGTTGAGACGACGCACTTCGTCTCGTAAGAGGGCGTATGTCTGCGAGGAGCGCGTTGAGCGCCATGATCTGTGGTGCTCGTGCGTGTTCGTCGTAGAGACGGAGGTCCCTAGACCAGTAGAGGTATGGCCGTAGAGTTCTAGAGATGTGACGCCGATGATGGCAAGCCATAGGAGATCGTTATCTTCCCGGCCCAGGGCTGAGGCCAGGGAGTAGGCCAGAGTTGATATGGGCTCCGAGTAAGACGTCCCCATACTGTTGTACTGTTGAAGGACTAATTCGTGTTTTTCTCGTATTTTCCGTAATCGCTTTCGAAGTTGTTTCGCTGTTGGTGGTTTTGGCGAGGGAGGCTTTGAGGCTGGTGAGGTCGGCTGAGAGGAAGAAGGAGTTCTGCTTCGAGGCGTGGAGGCAATGGAGGAGCCTGAATTACTCCTCCGCCGTTGACGTGGCCGTTCTTCGTCTAGGTCAATGTCGGCGTCCTCTCCATCTCTGTCGGACCAAGACTTTCGTTTCCTTGAGGAGGTATTTTGGCTGTCCTCGTCCTCCAAATCATTATCATCGTCATCACTCTCAGTTTCTTCCACCTGGGGCATCTCCACCAACGCGCAGTATGCTTCTCTTTCCGCTTCTAGTTCAGCATCGATGTCTCCATCGTCGAAGACAATTATGCCACCCTTGCCTGATTTGTATGACTTTTGAATGCAGCCCTTTTCCACCCCCCGGGTCCTCCTTGTGTTGGTGTCGGTTTCCACAACCTGTGGTTCCGAGGGCAGTCCACCAAAAATATTGGACAAGTTCCAGGGGCGTCTGGCATCTAGAACCCATACCTCCACGCCGCCCATCACTTCTGGAATGTCTTCATCTTCCAGACCCAGCAGGCTTCCTAGGTCAACAAGACCACCTACTCCGAGGCAGATGACAACACCTCCGCTACCGCCTGCTGTGGTTTTCATAGGCCGCACCAACTCTTCTCCGGCTCTTGCAAGGTCTGCATACCCGGAGACTGGCTGGATCTTGTGTGGGACATAGTCGCGTTTGAGTAATGAGGTGAGGATACGGCAGGCACATAATGAGTCCGGTTCGAGAGCGACCAGAAGAAGGACAGGCGGCGAAAGAGGATGATGTGAACGGACGAGATTCGTGTAAAGCTGAGATATCAATAGACGTGGCAAGTACATGGCTGGACTGAGCAAGCGAACAAGACGGCCGGTTGTAGGGTTGTGGGCATCGCATTGAGATGCAGGTTAGTAGCGCATGATGGAACTTGCTGGCAGCGCGCGAATCGTGGATGTAGGTAACAGCGTCGTTGTGAAGTCTTCTGAGCCTTCCGCCAGGCAATCTTTTGCTGTATCAGTGTTGCAGGTGGATAGTTTGGTACGGGGATGTGTAGTGCTTGGAAAATGGAAGTGGGAATGGGAATGGGAATGTGAACGATCGGTCCGTCGCGTGTTCGATTGTGAGCGACGCGTCCTCCACCGGCCAATCAGATGCAGGGAAAATCTACGTCATCAAGTTACTCCCAGAATCTCTCACTGCCAGTGGACACCTTTTGGCGTTGATTTGTTCTTCCATCAACATCCCTTGAACAGACCCAAGGTGCCGCTTGAAATGCAAAGTCGCGAACATTATTTCCCACCAGCGGTACGCGCAAGAACTTCATCCATGATCACCATCGCGATGCCCTTGTGCCCGAGGCTTGTGGGATGGAACACCCTCCAAGTTTCAATGTTTGGGAAATCCCCGTTCGGCAACCTATTGATCCCTCCATGTGCCTGCAGATTCTGATTTTGAACACGCAACATCTGCTCGCTCACATGCATGCTTGTTTCCGCTGACGGTAGGTTGAAGAACCATGTCTCGTGTCTTCTGAGATCGGGCTCTTGCACCTCCTCCTCGCAGAAGCGATGCCCTTCGAATGCTGCATCAATATCCACGTACACAGCGCCATGCACCTCCGCGGTCGCTCGAATAACGTCATTCAACATCATGACCAGCTGGTTTAAGGTCTTCCTCTTAGCCTTAGTGAGGTAGTCCAAGGGCCGCGTCCGGCTGAATGTGACATGATCACATATATTGGTGTGATCGTTGAAGAACCTGGCGTAGCCTGTTACCAGCAACAGGGCATCAGGCTGTAATTTCTCTCCAGCTCCCCGAACCAGTGCCTGGAAATTGTCCCATAACACATGAGACTCTATCAGCCCTCTGGCCTTAGCGAGCTCTGCTTCACAGGTCGAAGATGGCCACCAGTGATAGACACATTCATTGAGCACAACGAAGAAATCGACTTCGTTTCCGCTGACTGTGACAGTTACAACATCCGATCCACCAATATGAGGCACTTGATCACGCAGCACTGTGACACTGGTCATTCCACCACAAGCGAGGTTCTTGAAATTCTCAATGTCCAAGTTGGTGCTGTTTGCAACTTGCACAGGGTAAGCGTCCGAATAGTGTCCACAACCAAGGCCCCCACTAGGTGTGAATATCAGATGTCCAGCACCCGCGCCGGCAGCGTACGAGTCGCCGAGGGCAGCATAAGTGCGTGCAGCGAAAGGTCTAAGGGGAACAGCCGTACAATCTGAATTTGCGACAAGCAAGAATAGGAGAAGGAGTATCACTGACTCTTCTGCTGCCATGTTGATAGACATTTATGATGGCTTCAGCCCATCTTTCAGACTGATTGATAGAATATGCTACATACTGCGACAATAGTAAGGAGGAGGTGGAGGAGTCTCTTCGATGGATTTAAGGGCATCATAATCATACATTAAGCAGCGCTTGTCAGACATTGAATTTGTCGAATACACCTCTCTGACAGTGCTGACCCTCGCTCAACGAGCCCTTGGTCACCACGTCTGACAGACGCCAGTTAAGAAACAGACGTCATCATTCACGCTATCTCTTCTCGGGCTTTCAGGCCTTTCTCCTTATACTTTGTGCCTCTCTATGCTAACAACTATAAGGCTGTGCCGCACAGCTATTCCAAGTGCCTGCCGGACTCCTCTCACAGCATTACTGTCGCCTGATATTCGACCCTTGCTGCTAAACTTCATACCCTTACCTCACGCTAATGGCTCAAGAGGCATGAAGCGGACCACCACTGCAAAACCTCGCCCAAAGGTTCCCGACTACTGTGATGTCGAGCCAAAACGGGACGAGAATGGGAAAGCAATATGGCCGGCTCCAGAAGAGGCTATGGAGAAAGCCAGAGCACTAATAAAAGAATGGTACTCCGATAGAAACCTCTGTGGATTCGATTTGCGATGACTAACGACTACAGTGCAGCGAGTGGCAAGAAGACTTTGATCGTGCCGGACAAAGATGCTGACGGCCTTTCATCTGGCGTCACATTATATCGAACTCTGACGGCTCTCGGCCTTGACAAGTCGCTGATTGACGTGCATCTGGTTCAGAAAGGATTAAACATCCACGTCCAGTCCGAACGAGAAGCTATGGCGGCAAAGAACCCATCTTATATCTTCGTGTTGGATCAGGGCTCCGTAGCAGGACCTCCTGTCATTGATTCCTCCAGCACAAAGTCCCTCATAATCGACCATCACTTGAGCGATCACTTTCCGGAGAGAGCTGAAGTCGTGTCTGCGTGCCATTATCCACCAGTCTCGACAACATCCCTGCTCACGTATGAGATATGCAAAACTCTTGATGCCAGTATCGAATCTTCTTGCGCATATCTCGCTTGTATTGGAACACACGGTGATCTGGGGAATACACTGAAATGGCAGCCACCTTTTCCTGACATGAAGGAGGCTTTCAAAATCCACACCAAAAAGTCCATCAATGATGCAGTTTCCCTCGTCAACGCTCCTCGTCGTACATCAAAATACGATGTCATAACTGCTTGGACGGCACTGCTTGATTCTACCGATCCCAAGGATCTATTGAGCAACGGTCGACTTCAGGGTGCCCGTGCTGAGATCAACGAGGAAGTCGAGATCAACACGCATACTCCGCCCAAATTCAGCGCTGATGGCCGGATCGCAGTCCTGCGCATCAACACTCCAGCACAGGTCCACCCTGTCATCGCGACACGGTGGGCTGGCTATCTCAATTCAAAGGCCTTGGAAATAGTGGTGTGCGCAAATTCTGGTTATTTGCCTGGCATGGTCAACTTCTCTTGTCGAATCGCTCGCTGTGCGCGATTACGGGACCCACCTGTGAATATCATTGAGAGTCTGAAAGCTGCGGCAGACCTCTCAACTGATGGGCTTAAAGACAGGCTCGGCGAGAGCTTCGCTAGAGGTCACAAAGAGGCGAGCGGTGGTGTGGTACCTGCCGAAGCATTCGAGGAGTTGATGCAGCTCCTCAAAATCGGCGAGAAGCCGGAGAAGAAAGACGGCGAAGACGAGCCTAAATCCAAGAAGCTCAAAACGGTCGAGAAAAGTCCGCAGAAGAACACCATTGGAAACTATTTCCGTAAAACTTGAGATTGCCACCGATATCTATCTCAACATTCTGGACGAGAGTCTGTTGTGCGGATTGTCGTACGGCCTGCCACCTGAGTTTCCGTCAATATCTGGAATTGACGACGTATCTCGGCAAGTACAGTCGGTAGCGACTCTTCAAGGACCTGATTTAACCACCATTGGTGCTCCCCTTGGTTACCGACACCGAAAATGTGTACTCCCATCGTCTCAGCGAGTCTTCGAGGCGCTTCATGTTCTACGAAATTTGTGAATTCACCAACAATTCGGCCTATCATCAAAGTCTCGGTACATTCGACGTAGGGGTTGTCGGGCAAAGGAGCACCGGGAAACAGAATTGCGAAGATTGCGAACCAAGATGCGACGCAGTCTTGGCCCACCTGCCTTCGCTTGACCGCTCTGTATTGGTCTGGATTCATCTTTTCTTCAAAGGGGCATTCCAAGATTCCACACGATCTCGTCCGTTCGTGACTGGTCCGGCTTTGCGCGTTCTCGAAACACGCAAAGCACGAAGAGCAGGTATACTCAGGCCGCTTGTGAACGCGATAAAGATGTTGCTTCAACCGAGGAATATCGGTGAGAATTTTGCTGGCGCATTTATGATAAGCCGTCTCACTTCGGTTTGTGTTCCTCTCGGAATACCTTTCGGGGTCGTGCTTCGCGTACGGACATGCTAGGAGTTTTTTTGACGACGGGGGGTCCGGCTCAACTTCGACGAATCGAGGCCTCTTGTGTTGTCTGTGCTCATCTCCGATATCATCGTCGTCACTGCGGCGGGATCCATTGACTTGTGAAATACTCGTCAGAGATGTTGTGCCACTTGTAGACGTAGGGCTCGTGAGTCTATGGGAAGCAGTACCAGAGGATGTGGATGGATGCTGCGAATGCTCTGGAGAATCAGTAGCAAGGGCTTTCAAAAGCAGCAGGAAGTCCTTTACAAGCCCCTGCACAATCTCCGCCATTGCCTTGTCCAGATTGTTATCGTGCTCGAAATTAACTTCCGGTGGTGACGATGGGTCCAGAACGAAAGATTCTTCCCCCTCAGAGTAGAAGGTGGACTCTGATTGTATGGCTGCCGCAGGCTCCTCTCGATATCCCACGGATTTGGTGCCGCTACCTTGCTGAACCGAAGTGGTCTTTCGATTCATGCTGCTATTCCACCAATTCTTTACGCCATCGCGCTTTCGATTCCCAAGTGGCCGAGCAATCTCAACCCAACGCTTTCCCCCCTCTCCCACAAGCTGCTCGATGAGCTCTCCTTCCTGTGGCGAGATGGGTTCATGGTTGAGGCTCGGCTTAAGATTTTGGTGATACCGTTCTCTGCACTGCTTGGGAGACCGGTGTCGCATGTGGTGGGAAATACGAGCCCAGTTGTTAGGGCCCTGTGTTCTCACGAGATGTAGCAGTGTGGCATCTTCATCGGGAAACCAAGGTCCGCGTCGGGCAGATCTGCTTCCGCTTTTGTTGAGCAAAGCTGAATCAAAGGGCCCACGTGGGGAGATTTCACTTAATAGGTCCTCGCTTGAGCTCTGGGAAGCTGGAACACTACGTTGTATCTTCATGGAAAGGGCTTGTTCACGGCTTTCACGGGTTGAGTGCTTCGTACTGCTCAACGACGATGATAGATTCTCAAGGCTTGGGCTTCTTGACCTGGCATTGACAGACCGACTCTGCGTGACCAAGAGATTTGAGCTTTGAAGATCGTGGCTGCGACGATCCTGGCTGTCTCGTCGGCTAGGTCCATGTGGGCGGTACGTTTTCCCTGCCTGTATTTCCCAGTCGAGATCATGGGCCGGAGAAGAGGCATAGCTGGTAGGGTGGTCGGACCTGTACAATTGATGAGTTTCACTTTTAGAAGATGAACGGGGAAACATGGTCGTACTTCTGAGATACTTGGTCCGGAGTTGATAACCATTGCGTATAATGCGCATGCTCCGCATTTTCTGCTCGACTCCGGTGGTCGACGAGAAACGCTGGGAATTGCTCAAGCCGAGGAGACTGAAATGGCGATATTGGAGCCACGGGCTCGGGATTGGTGCCTCCATCGGCGTTCATGACAATTTCGTTCTGTTGGCGCGTCATTTCGGGAAGCATAACAGTCTTTTTGGTGGTCAGATGCGAGATCGGGTTTTTGTGAATGCGCGAGTGTCGGATCAGCTCGTCGGATCTGCTGAAGCGCTTACTACAGCCAAGGAACTGGCACATATGTGGCTTTTCTCCTGTATGAGTGCGAATGTGTCTTGCTTGATGTTCCAGACGGTGGAAGGCTTGATCGCATAAGGGGCATCTGTATGGGCGAGGAAGATCCTGCTTATCGTCGACATTGTTGATCTGAGGAGCTCTTGTAGTAGGTAATAGATTGACGACGGTAGCTATATTAGCGTCGGTCTGAGTCGTCGATGAGGAAGTATTCGTGGTTTGTGTCCCACTGTTGTGCAATTTTGCCTGGAAGTTCTGCGGCGTGTCAAGGGCAGCTGGGTTATTGACTGGGTCTTGAACAATTCTCGCCCAGTGGTCCGGGCAGTTGAATGCCACTAAGATCGTCTTTTCGGTGGTAGGATGACCTTTTGCTCCATATCGCTGACAGTGATCAAGAGAGTGCTTGTGGTAGAGGCAGCGACAACCCGCGTATCTTTCAATGATCTGGCAGCACATGGTTGCCAGAACTCTACCCGCTTCGGAGTGGGAGTTTAGTCGAGAGTCTACCAGATAGCGTTCAGGACTCTTTTTCTGAGGTCGTCACTGTACTAAGTAGTGACAACAAAGCGGAAATTTGGGGTGACACTCCTGGCAATTCACATTTGTGAGAAGCCCCTTGGCCGCATGGTTTGTAGGGGTTATCATTGGACGACCTGACCTGCATAAGCCAACGCAAGCCACGAACCGAGCTCCTTCATGCAATAACCAAGGCGTAGCAGAACATCCTATCAATTGTGACCTCCCGCATGGTTGTCCAGTGCTCGATGGACTCGACCGGTTAGGCCAGAGATATCGACTTACAGGAGTCGTCGCTCGATCGTTTCTCCTCTCATACAATCGTAGCAGACCAGTGCTAATCTGTTCATGGCTATTGTGCAGGTTGATAGTAAAGATCTATCAGGCTGACGCTTTTAGTGGAGGAGATGGATTAATACCTATGTATGTGATATGAGCGACGTGAGTGATGGAGCCTCAACCACCCCCCCGGGGACGCGCCTGCCAAGGCTTCCCCCGACCTTGAGAACTCTCCGCAGATGGGCAGGAGATAATTCGTACTCCTTAGAAATTGATCATCGTGCGAGACTAGACGCCCGAAGCTTCAGATAGATCAGTCCTCGCATGATTTCAGCATGGAATCACTCGTCCTCGATCCTCTCAACTCCATCGAAACCCATCTCGACTCCCTCATAACATCCCTCGCGCAAACCAACACCTTCGCCAGTGCTCCTCAGATTGCAAAGGACCTGGTCACGGACGACGACAACCTTACAACATCTCTGACCCTCCTTCAGCGACACCAACAGAACTACGCACGAATCCTCGAGCTCCGTACCGAGGTGGAAGAACTACGGTCTCAGCTCAAAGACACGATCCGTGGGTGCGTCTCATTCAGACAAGAGATTGTCAAAGTCCACCCTTCTATCCTTGACGAGTCGGACGACGAAGAGGAGGGCCAAGATACCAAGGTCTCAGAGATAGACTACCATACCCTCCTAGCCTTTGCCGCACGAATAGGCAAACACAATGCCGCAGCCGCACGAGAGGCAGAAGCCGAAGCAGTCCGGAGGAAAGTCGCTGCTAAGAACAACACGGCCAATGGAGTCAGAGATGGCGGTGCCGAGAACGCCACGGCAGAGACGGAAGCTGAATTGGAGCGGATCAACAACACAGTCGCGCAGACACGAGCACAAATGGGCATGGCATTTCCAGATGCGAATATCCTACGTATAGGCGCGTTAGGGCAGCTACAGTTATTGCAAGAGAAGCAGGCTGGCACAGGTGCTAACGTAAAAGAGATGGTCGACCGGGAGGTTGAGAGGCTTGTCAGGGAAAGCGAGAATATTGCTGACGCGGTGGTCGAAAGAGTTGAAGAAACGACGACAGAGAGCGCGACTTGGACGAGTCCGGAGATGGCAAAGCAATCGTTACCGGGAGCTCTTCACCAAGCTGGACCACAAATTGGACAGCCCTCGAGTTCGCAGCTCGCCCAGAGACCAGGTGGTCTGCCGCCTGGACAGCGTAAGAAGAAGGTGGGTCTAGATTTTCCGAGCAGCGATGATGAAGATGAAGATTGAGCAAATATACCGCGACGTCTGCTGGACCCTTCTGCTTCCTCCGTTCCACTGATTGTATTCCCATGGACCTACAGCTGCTCACCCGTAGCCCATCTCAAAGCAGCCTCGTCGTGGCTCTGTGGAATCCGCGCATCCAGCCCTCACTCGACCTTCCTTCTGCCGCCGAAGCGGTCTGTAACTCGGCGGATCCTCCCTCCAGATATGCAAACCGCATGTGGTCCGGGGCACCAGTAGCGATGCGCCATTGAACAGTTAGAAAAGACATCTGATGTGCCGCTAACTGAGATGTCCGGGTCGCTCTCCAATAGGAGACCCTTCCTCGATGTACTCTGTGAACCGATCTGCTACCACTGACTGATGGACACGCAACGGAAATCTGTGGAGGTGTACTTTTCTTCCCTATTCGAAAATTGGGCGAACCGCTCTTTCCTCTGCTTGAGGCACAACGATATACCGACAAGGACGATTTGCGGCCATTCAAATTCATATCATGGTGCAGACGCGGCGTCAAAGCCCAGCAGATTCTATACTTCTATCAACCCACAAATACAACACACGTCTACTATACTTCTATTTAGGAGATACCACCTCCATTGGAAGTTTCACATCAATCTCCTTCTTGGTTGCATCTTGCAACCATGTAATCACGAAGCGGAAATGACTTTCTGCCGCGCATCCGGAAAGTCCTCATAGAACGGATAGTCTGTGTAGCCATGCGCCTGCTTCACAGCATAAAAAGTTCCTCTGTCATAGGGTGATAGCTCGAGACCGTGCTTCAGCCGATAAGGCAAGTCGGGATTCGAGATCCAATGTCTGCCAAAGACAATTGCCACCTGCCGATCTTTATAATCGTGTTCGACAGCTCGTTTCGCTCGTTCGCCGTCGTAGCCTCCCGCCAGTAGCAGGGGCCTGGACTTGTCCCATTCTTGCACCGCAAATCCCAGGTTCTGCGTCGTTCTGGGGTGCACGTCCTGGTTTCCAGCGACCCGCGGCTCAACGAGGTGTAGGTATGCCAGCTGGAACGGCTTCAAGCCTCGAATGAGGTTGGTGAACTGTGGGATCGGATCCGCCATGCCCATCCCCGCGAAGGGACTGAACGGAGAGAGACGGATCCCCGTCCTGGCCGGGCCAATCTGTCTGACGACTTCTTCGACGACACGCAGGCAGAACCGCGATCTGTTCTCAACACTGCCTCCCCAGCTGTCAGTGCGCCTGTTGCACGTATCCTGCAGGAACTGGTCGATCAGATATCCATTGGCGGCGTGGATCTCGACGCCGTCGAACCCGGCTGCTCCGACGGCATTCCGTGCCGCCGTCCCAAAGTCCTTGATGCACTGCTCGATTTCCTCCTCGGTCATGGGCCGCGGGGCCACGCCTCCCTCCTCGATCGGGATATCGCTACTGCTGACCATCGGAATGCCCTTCGCTTGTAGTGCTGTTTGTCGCGCCGCCCGGCCCACGTGCCACAGTTGCAGAAACACAAACGACTGCTTGGAATGCACGGCGCTGGTGACCTGCTTCCAGCCTTCGATCTGCTCTTCGGTCCAGATGCCAGGAGCATTGACGTCTCTCCCTGCGGCGGCGAGGGAAATAGCAGTGGCTTCCGCGATGAGCAGGGTCCCCGGGACACCGGCGCGCTGACTGTAGTATTCCGCGACCATGGGCAGCGGCACATTGTCTTCAGCTGCACGGAGCCGTGTCAGCGGCGCCATCACCAGACGGTGGCTCAAGTGGCAGTGGCCGATGCTCATTGGACTGAACAAGGAAGCCATGATGATGGCTGTAGGGTACTAGACTCGTAAGAAGATTCAATCGCGCTGTAACGTGGATTCATGTCACAAACTGTCCTTAGTCTTTTTAAGACCTCATGTATCGCCCAGAGCGCAACCTATTTTGCATGTGTATACGCAGAAGTTCAATTTCACCATCGAAAATAAGTTTGAATGAGTGGCAAGGCAAATTGGGGTCTGGTCGTGAAGTCGTCTCCGCATATAATGAACCCTCGGCTTTGCCAACCACCCAACGCAACTAATTACTATATGCGAACTCCAACAGCACGATAAGTACGTCCTACGTAGGCAGTAGTAGTAAGCAGATCTCATGGCCGCGATGATGCGAATATTCACCACAGTCTGTACCCGGTTCCCACGCAAATGATTTGATCGTTGATGCCTCGCATCCGCCCCCCGCCACTTCAGTAGTCCAGAGCCTGCTGCACATACTGTAGAGCAACTGCCTCATAGCTGAATCCAGGACTTCTAAACCAACCCTAGTGACCCTTGGGCATGGACACGCCCTTGAAGTAATCTGCATCGCTCTTCTCCCATGGATATTTTACCTCGATCTGCCGTATCAATCTTTCACGTTGGCTATCGCGCACTCTGATCTTTGCTTGGAAAGGTTCCGGATGACTGATAACGCCAGCGGTGAACTTAGGGCTAGGATTGTCAGCCCCGTCAGGCTTCGAGAAGTTGAAAACAGCCAGCGTTTGGGCAATGGTGAGGTATATAGACTGGTCGGCCAGCGCGCGTCCAGGACAGATCCTTCGTCCAAACCCAAAGATATACCTGGTCGGGTCTTGTTCTGCAGCGTGTTCCTCAGTCGGCAAGAACCGATCGGGATTAAACCGCATTGGATCTTGATATCTCTCCGGGTCATGCGTAAAGACCCAGGTGTTCGGCATCAAGATGGATCCTTTGGGTATGAGATGGCCGTTGTATTCGTCATCCTGAGTCGAGGCATGCGGAAGACCCATGGGTCCAATGGGGTGCCACCTGTAAGTTTCCTTGATAACAGCTTCGATGTAAGGCAGATTGGAGCGGTCACGGAATGTCGGCAGCCGTTGGTCTCCAATAACGTGGTCGATCTCTTCTTGAGCTTTCTTCTGAACCTCTGGGTACATGGTCATGGCAAGACAAAATATGGAAAGCGAAGCCACGGTCGTATCAGCGCCGCCTGTGTAGAGAGATGCTGCTGTATATTTGGCTTCGACCCGCTGCTGGGCGCTAAGCTTCTCGTCTTTGAGAGAGTCGCCGAGGAATGAGTCTGGAGCTGTCCCGTCGGTAATTTGATGTTCGACAAACCTGTAAGGTGCCTCGACTACCGCGTGCAGTGTCCGACTCCATTCCTTCGCCGTACGCTTGAACCCGGCTCCAGGAAACCAGTCCGGCATATGCTTCAAGGCCGGCAGGGTGTCGACCAACCATTTTCCTGGGACGGTCGCTTGCGAGAACTGGTCGAGAGCTTCGTCTGCCAGCACGACAAGCGGATCCGGACGATGTGCGTCGATGGTATATCCGTAAGCGATTTTGAGAATGATAGCGCCTGCTTCGGTCCGGAGGTGGTCCACGAAATCCTGCGGTTTCTGAAGGATCCGGAGAAGGCAGCGTCCAACTTCTTGTTCTTGGACTTGGCCGAATTTGTCAAGGAGGTGCAATCCTCCCATGAGACTGTGGACGTGCTTTCGATAAGCTCGGAAACGCTCACCGTACGGTTGACCTCCCATCAAGTTGAGCCATCCGCACATCTCAAATGCAAAGGTCAATGTTGGTCGCGAGGAGTAGAGAGCAGATCTCTTGTCGAGGAGCTCAGTTGCGGACCGCGCATCGTTCAAGATGATAATCGTCTGACCCATGACTGTGATAGAACTGATAGGACCGTATAGGTCCTTGTGCTTGGACCAGTGTACCCATTCTTGCTCGCCATGTGGAGGTAAGTCTCGTAGGTTGCCAATGAGTGGTATCGGTCTCGGCCCTGGAGGTAAAGGTCTGGCGCTGCTGTTGGTAGATCGTCCCTTGAGGATTTTCAGAAGGAGTAGGCCAATAGTCAATGCCACGCCAGCCTGGATCACGGAAAGTGCCATAGAGTTAACCAACAGATGCCTCCGTTGTGTTTAATGCTTTGCTGCGCAGGTGTGAATATAGCCAAGTGAATGTCCAGCAGGACATCCGTCACAAGGGGTATAGGCGGTATCGACTCATCTTGTAGGGTCCACGCGTGAGAACAAGCCTTGCCACTGTAGAAGTGAGACCTCGTCAGCTTCTTTGTCCGTCTGTGATAGGACACTTTCATGGCAATATTGCTCCATGATCTGTCATAGTGATCCGTAGGTCAGAGCTAGCAATAGCGCTGATAGGTGCGCTTGCATATATATCTGAGACCAGGCAGGGGTCTTTGCATGCTGACATGGCCGGACATTTACCCGGAATTGCCGACAACTAAATCATTCTGATGGAGTATTTTCGTAGAAAGAGGTGAATGGGTAATCATTTTCATGTGAGAAGGAACTCGACACTTCTAAAGCGACGCCAGTCACGTCGAAAAGTGTGTAAGCACTAACTTAGAGGCAGGGAATGGAAGAGTGGGAACAGCAACCCAGGGCAGTTTTCCCCTGGTTCTGTCAGCCTCGCCTGCAACATGACCATCAGCACGGGGACTTACCAGGAGATTTAGAACTTTTCTCTCGACAGCACAACTGGGAATCATCGATTCGGCGGTAATCGACTGCACCACCTTGCTCGATGTCTATTGTGCAGGAAGTCTGCACGCTACTTCGTACACCTGACTCAACTCGGATATGTTCAGTAGCAGGAAGTTGAGACTCACTCCAGACAAAAGCTTCTCTGGTGGGTGCAGAGACATGGATGCGATGTATATGTAATGGTTAAGTCCCAGAGACCTGGCTAATCGACATGACCTTGGTGGTGAGCAGGGAGTGAGTCAGAGAACAGATCGCATTCACTACCCCTCTCCTACCTCTGGTTGCAAGACTTCTCTCTTTGCAAAGACGTCTGCCAGAAACTGTGCGGCGCGGAATACCTTGGATTCCTCATATCTCGATCCGACAACGCTGAGCCCGAGCGGAAGACCGCCTTTTCCCTTGAGTCCGGGGACGCTGATGACGGGAGCATGGAGCAATGTCCACATGGAGTTGAAGCACTATCAATCGTGATCAGTAAATCTTGGGGCTCTTCCTGAAAAGTAGATGGGAGAGATTGTATGGGGGATGTACCGAATCTCCCGTATATTCAAGGCCATGGGGTGCTTCACCGGTTACACTTGGCGTGATAATGATATCGTAGTTCCGTGCGAATTCGTCCCACTCGGATCGTAACCCAACACAGCCGTTGTATCTCTGAAGAATTATATCTGCACTGACATCTTTCTTCTCCAGACGGTGAACTATTGTTGGATCAAGTATGTCTTTTGACGTCAAATACACTGATGCGAACATCATTGATCAGGCGGATGTCGGCAGAAGTAGTGGAAGAAGTCCAGACTTACTACCAAGAAAGGTCCTTTGAGCCTCGAATGTAAGGATATCGTCGTGCCACCCTTCAAGTTGAAGATTTGTGAACTCTTGTGGGAGCTCAACATCTGCGTAGCTAACACCGAGTCTGCCGAAGCTCGTTTTACAATCCTCCCACACCTCTTGTAATGAAGGTTCTGCCTTTTCCCAAGCAGCCGTTTTCAGAAAGGCTACCCGAGGATCGCCATTAGCAGCCCATACCTGCCTTTTTTGCAGGGGAAGCCGAAACACGGGTGCCAATAGCTCCAGGTCCTGCACGGTGCGAGCAAAGAAGCCCAGCGTATCGCAGGTTGGAGAAAATTGGGACATTCCTTGAGTTGCTACAGCACCCCATGTAGGCTAGGAGATCAGCTTCGGATATCATGTCAACAGGCCAGGCGTACCTTGAATCCATAGACGCCAGTGTAAGCAGCGGGCCTAGCTATACTCCCGCCAGTCTGAGAACCGATGGCGATTGGGATCTGAAAGTCAGCAACCGCAGCTGCTGAACCTGAAGATGAACCGCCGGGGGTGTGGTCGGTGTTGTGCGGATTCCTGCAGCTTCCTCCGCGGTGTGTGGCGGCGAACTCGGTGGTGCTGGTCTTGCCAAAGATCAGGGCACCGGCTGAGCGCAGGATGAGGACAGCTGTGGCGTCCACTGACGTGCGTTTGTCATCTTGAAAGATGGGCGAGCCATATCGCGTCGGCATATCTGTGCTTTGTCATCAGCAAGAGGGGTCGGCCGCGAATCCAGAGCCTACCTCGTGTCGTGAGGACATCTTTGATGCCTACAGCGACTCCGTGAAGAGGACCTCGTTCATTCGCTGGGATGGCATCCAGTCTTTTGGCCTGTTCCATCACGAGATGCGGGTCCAAGTATGCCCAGGCATTGACCGTATCATTTCGCTCAGAAACCCGTGACAGAAGACGCTCAGCATAGTCAGAGACGGTCAGGTACCCCTTTCGCAGCATTGTCACCGTTTCCGAAGCCGATAGACGGTGCATCTGAGTTTGGCGAAGCTCGAAACCGGGCGTAACAGATCCCATGCTGTCAGGTGGAATTCCCGGTATCTTCTTCGACACCCACGACCCGAGTTATTTGGAGAAACAGTCGTTTTCTAAGTGAGAGCTCTTCGTTCTCTAACAGCGTGCCTTAGATGCCGGCAAGGCGAATCAGTCAATATATATCACGAGGCTAAACCAAATGCAGGGCCTTTCGGCGACCAGAATGACTACCTTTAGCGGATAAGTCCACGGCTCATCGCACGCACTTACTATTGGTACATGATGGTACGGAGTTATTACCGGTGGTGATCTCGCCTTATATCGGCTGAACGCAGTGACATGCTGTGCTCCAATATTTACAATTCAAGCTATGAGAGTTAGGCCATGGTCTCTCATTACCGAGGTTATCGAGACATGACGATTGTCAGCTCTCCGACGCGACCAAATCTCTTTCAATGCGTCGCGAACCTAGCCCATGTTTGGACCCCAGATGAGGAAGCCTGCTAATAAATCCAAAATCCAGTCTTGATAGATCTCGTCCTCGATTTCGATACCTGCAATGAAAATGGCAAGGGGCGACCATATTGTATGCGGGTTATGAAGAAGATTCGCATTCTTCAACTTGAGGATGATCTTCAAAGTCTCTTTGGCTGCATGGGCGGATTCCAAATCGATGCTTCTGTCTGCCTTTATAAACCGGTTGAGCAAGATAGGGAACAGTTGTGTGCCATTCTCAGATTGAGCCAGTGATAGGAGGATCGGCTAACCACGATGGTTCCTCCATCCTCATAGCTCTGCAAAGAAAGCTCACAGTCCTATGTGACACGGTCAACCCATTGGTATTATGTCTGTGGGGGAAATCATCGTACCTCATTTATCTCAGCCAGATCCGCCTGTAGCTCGCGAACAGCCCTCTCATCAACAACTTCGATCATGGAACCATTGCAGTCTTTGGCCTCCCCGTTCCACTTCAGAGACGCGATACGGCTCGTGAGCAACATCAGATCGAGCCATTTGGAGTTGGCCGCATCCTGGAGCATATCATCCCTGAGTTCGGAGCTGGGATAATCTGCACCAAACGCTTCCCTTAGGTACGATCGGCTCTTGCGGTATAGTTGGTGAAGATTCTCGTTCCTACCTAGGAATTCAATGATGCTAGGGTGCTTCGGCTCATTGAAAAGCTCAGACGGGGTCCATATTAAAGCTCGAACTTCCAGATAAGAAAGCCAGAGTAGAATTCTCAGTCCAACACTGTTGAGGCTTTCCCGAAATTTCCGCCAATGGTCGAAGATGAGGTTTCTCAACGCTAACATGTGGCGGCGAAACATCTTGCAATCGCAAGTCATGATGTCCCTCTGACACAAGGAAAAGAACGAAAGCAAGACCATGGTCATCATATCTGAACGACGTGCAGTCATGCCTTTCGTTACCATCGATCCCTTGGTGAGCGTATCAGCTGTCATTGTTAGCACTTGTTTAGAGGCGGCGACATAATGGTCCTGGACCACTTGCGCAATACTGCTGTCCGTGAGGCCAATATGTGTACCCGCCCACGCGAGCACACTGTTCCTCAAGGGGGAGGTAGGAGTCCGCTCCACCAAGCGTGTCATATACGAGAAAAAGCTCCATTGAGACTTTTTAACCGTCAAAGTTGAGGATAAACAGGTGGTATAATGATCAAGTATGCGCCATTGGACGCAAGTGGCGGAAGAGGAGTAGGGAAGGAATAGTTCCCGGATCTGTGGAGGCTCCCAGACTTGTGAAGTTGTCGCAAAGTTAAGCAAAGACTTCTCAGGCGTAACAGACGGCACCGTCGGCTCGCTCTTATCCTCACATTCAGGAGTTTGCGTTGGGTATGCCGGAACTGTTTGGGTCTCCCAAGGCAGTAGTACTGCGGGCATTTCTGGAGCAGTGTTTTGGAGATCATCCCACCAATCTTGATATGCGTTTCCTCGTAGGCTGGGGGCATCGGTCACCATGGCAGCAGAGGCGATGTCGAAATCGCCCCATGAAACTGGATCTTGTAACCCAAACGGCGCCCGTAGCAGAGACGCGCTCCGAGAAGGCAAAGTCAACCCCTTCCCACTCCTCGTGCTGATTCGGTGCAGGGAACAGGGGATCCGGCTCCTCAACTTGTAGTATTAGACTTGAATCGTACGAGAATAATGGCGGCATTTCGGAGTGGCTGGGAAATCCAGTACTAATACTGGTTGTTTGATCGAGACATTCCCTTGAATGGCCTGCTGATGTTGGAGAGAGGTCTGGCCTGCTTCCCGCCTTTCCCTCATGTTCATTATTGAACTTGAACTCGCTGTGGCGAAGATTCTGGGTGAAAGGCGAGATGCACTCCAACCCAAGCCGACGACAATCGGCGCAGGGAAACGGCGGACTGTTAAATTTCACTTTCCTCCGTCGACAGGTGATACAACCCGTGAAGGTGCGAGCGCGACGGCGGGCTTGCTTCTGATGTCCTTGGACCATGTGGTCTGATGATGACTACCAGTATCTTCGGGGAGGCCGGACTGACCGCTTTAGCTCAGGAAAGGAAGGCCATAGACGTGTCAAAGGTATAGGCGTGAAGCACATCTAGTCAAAGTCGGAAAGATTCTTCATCAGTGACAGATGGTGAGCTATTCCAAAAGAGCGGCTCTAGTGGGTGTCGATAGGAAACATGAACTTTTGGCGAAGGGTCGCTTGAGGAAATTGAAGCGATATCTTCTAAGTTGGTGGGTCTTTTCAACATGCAGTCCTTGTGGCGTTGATCGGGGGTGACGCTTTCCTTAACATGGTCACCATGCCGACCTCGTTGCACCTGACAAGAGCTACGAGTACCCTACTGGGCCCGTAAACTTAACTCCTTTTAGGTATCACGGCGAGTTCATACGAGCAGGAGAATGCTCCTCCATATCCCAGGCACCGGCCAGGTCCCTTATGGCGGTCTTTTGCGCGACGCATTACGACCGTGTCTACGCCATCAAAGGACTATGTATTCGTTCTCTACCGCCCATCAGCATATAAGTACCACCATGAGGTCCGGCGGCGTTCCTCGACATCTTACAATATTTTGTCCATCGCGGATTGCAAGCTATGGCAGGAGGAAAGCTTATGAACGTGTTCAAACTCTCCAGGGCTGACGAGCCTAAAGAAGTACTCAACTGGCGCCTCTGGCTGGCAGTTCTCACTTTTGGATTATGCGGCGCGGCTAGAGGAATCGACGAGGGCCTTGTGAGCGGAGTCTTCAGCTTCCAGGACTTTCAGCGACGACTGCATATCAATGAGCTCGGTCAATCTGCATTTGCCAACATTAAAGGCAATGTCACGGCCATGGTCAATCTTGGGAGCATTGGAGGTACGCTTGTGTAAGTAACAAGGTGAGAGACAGATACTGCAGCCCGCTAACGGTTAGTAGAGCCTTTCTGGTATGTGACAGGCTTGGGAGGGTGTGGGCGACACGAATCCTCTGCATGCTTTGATCCTTGGTATCGCAATCTTCATGGCCAACGGCGGCCACTTGGGCGCGGTCTATGCTGGCCGCTTCATCGCGGGGCTTGGAATCGGTCAGACAACCGTTGTTGCTCCAGTTTACCTGGCTGAAGTCGCGCCGCCATCTGTGAGAGGTCTTTGTACCTGTGCCTTTACCGGGGCCGTTTACCTTGGTATTATGCTTGCATATTTTGCCAACTGGGCTTGTTCTATCCATATGAGGGATGGGCTTGCCAGATGGGTATGTGATCCTTAACTCCTCTTACGGCCCTAGACAGCCACTGACTCGCAGAAGGAGGTGCCCACGACTCTTCACCTGATGTTCGCCACCATAATCCTAGCATTGTCTTTCCTCGTTTACGAATCACCACGATACCTGATCAAGTCTGGCCAAGACGAACGCGCACAGGTGATTTTGCACAAAATTCGACAATCCTCCCCCCGCGACCATCCTTTCGTTCAAAGGGAGCCTGCAGCGATCCGCCTGGGTCTCAGCGAGGAGCAAGAGGCTACGCGCGGAACGGGATTCTTCGGTCTGGTGAAAGAGATGTTCCTCATACCGGGCAACCTCTATCGCGTCTACATTGGTCTCGGGGGTCAGCTCCTATCACAATGGTCCGGAGGCCCATCAATCACGATCTACGCCGTCAATCTATTTGCGATCCTCGGTGTCACCGGCTCTAATGAATCCCTCTTTGCCACAGCCATCTTTGGCGTCGTCAAACTCGTATCAGCAATTATCTGTGCGCTATTCCTGGTGGACATCGTCGGTCGAAAACGATCGCTCTTGATCGGTATTCTTTTGCAGTCAATCTCGATGATCTACGTTGCCGTCTTTTTGACGGCAGTGTCGAACATCGCAGACAAAAACCAACTCCCTCTGAGGCCCAAGCCGCTACAGGGGCAATTGTGATGATTTTCCTCTCGGGGTTTGGATGGGCCATGGGGTGGAATAGCATGCAGTATCTACTCACAGCTGAGCTCTTCCCTCTTCGGATCCGAGCCGCAGCGACCTCGTTGGTGATGTGTGCACATTTTGCGAACTCCTATGGGAACAGTCGAGCGGTTCCTAACATGCTGCTCCCAGTCTCTGATGGAGGCCTGTCTCCGATGGGGACCTTCTGGATGTTTTCCGCGGTCACTATACTGGGCGGAATTTGGGTGTGGGTGACCATACCTGAAACCAAGGGCAGGTCACTCGAGAGCATGGACGTTCTTTTCACCTTGCCATGGTACAAAATTGGACTCTACGGAAATAAGCATGCAGTTTCAGGAGAGACTTACGCACAGCCGGAGAAGAAGCGGGAGGACGATGTTGCTGAGCAGGAAGTAGTGGAACACAAGAATTGACTTGGGCTCTGAAAACTGAGTGAGGGAGTTTTAAGGATTATGACGGCCTTCAATCTTGTTAGTCTTCTCTTGTTCAACGATACAATCGTGCAGGGCGAAATGCTTACTAAAGTTAAGGAGACACAGATGCCGCGGATGGCTGATGCTTATCGGCCTCGGTGTTCAGCGCATCACCCAGCGGTCATAGGCGATTGCTCTCCACTGGAGTTGGCTCGAGCCGCTCCCACCGGAAAATACCAGACTAGAAGGCATGCTTCAAGTTCTGTCGTGCTCAATCTTGCACACATGTGACTTGAGACTTTCGATCTCGAGACAGGACTTTGTTTAGAATACTAGTATGGAGAGATTCGTCGCCGAATCAGATGCTTACCGACAGCAATCTGTCCAAGATCTCCTCACTCTCAAGGGCAAAACAGTGGTGGTCACAGGTACGACGACGCAATCCATGTTCTGATGGCCAGGCTGGAAGCCATATCGGCTGATCTTGCAGTTGTTAGGCGGTGCGCGTGGTCTCGGCCTAGCTATTGCTCGTGGTTGTGCAGAATTAGGAGCGAACGTCGCCGCACTCGATGTCCTCACTGAACCCGCCGCCGATTTTCCAGATATCGGTAACGACCTGAGTGTCAAGGCCCAGTATTACAGGTGCGTCCTGTCTGAACACCTTGTGCTTTTGGACACCCCCCCGAGGGATTGACTTGTTGTGGTCGATAGCGTCGATGTAAGTGACCATGATGCCTTGCGATCGACGTTCGAAGCCGTCACACGCCAGTTTGGTAGCATCGACTGTCTAGTCACAGCGGCAGGTATTGGGATGGGTGGACCGCTGGTAAGCTACGAGAAAGCTGCCATCGACAAGATCATTGCTATCAATGTAAGCTTATCCCAGGGTCTGCCGGGGTCCGGCACTCCCTACTAGTATCTATGGCTGATTTTCCCGCGACGCAGGTTACCGGGACGATCTTGAGTTCTCAGCTCGCCGTCCAACAGATGATGAAGCAAGGTACAGGTGGTGCAATTGTGCATATCTCATCGATTGGGGGCCATGGAGGAATCCCAGGACAGACCAACTCCATATACTGCGCGTCGAAAGGCGCCGTGCTGGCCTTCACCAAATCACTGGCAGTCGAACTTGCCGAAAGCAACATCCGTGTCAACAGCGTCAGTCCCGGATTCTTTTTGACCAACATGACCCCTGGGTATCTCAAACAAGATGTCGCATTGCTGGAAAAGTTTGAGAAGTCGATGCCTATGAAACGATTTGCAGACCGGTCTGAGCTGAAGAGCACAGTGGCATTCCTGCTGAGTCCCGCTAGTTCCTATGTCACCGGCCAGGATCTAGCCGTCGATGGTGGGATATTGGCATGCTAGGTTGCAGTCCTGATCGTGCATTTGCCGAGGCATTTGCCGTTTCACGACATTGAATGCAAGAAGGCTCTCGACAAACAACGTTTCGGCATGCCTTTTCGCACGCTTTCGTCAATGACTCGGACAACACCATCACTGGCTGGAGAATCCCGGCCGTTGGAGGCCTTATCACAAAGTCCTGGCATGTTTGCGGGGACTTTCAGTGCGCTTCAGCAACACTTCTTTGGTGTTTGACACACTATGCCGTCTCAAATACCTTATCTGAGCTGCTTCCATGTGTTTCTGTGGTAGAGAGACCATGGCAAGATGGTAACAAATCCAAATAAGCGAACTTTCAGACATTGCAATTGACATCGGTGGCGCATTTAGTCAGCGGTCAAACACTTCCTACATGTTGATTTGCTGATTTCGACAATCCACGCCATCTCGGTCTTTACGGAGCCAGGACCTTCCCAAAGGAGGTGCTCTGCGTGGAAAAAGCATGGGAGAGCAAGCCTCTTCGCCGAGAAGGCGTGTAACTCCGTCCATTGAAGTTCAGCGCATGTTATTACTCCCATACCGTCTAAAACATCCTTTCATAGTATCTGAGTTTGTCGGACATCCCTATCTCCTGCACGGAGGACCATCTGATGCGAGAAGATCGCGTCTATCTTGGGGACTTTAGATGCGACAGCGTGCCATAGACATGCCGTTTGCGGCTGGAATGGAAGGAACATGTCGCTCCATCGCAAAGTCCGGCCAGAATGAGAAGCATAAGGTGAGGTATACCTCGTACAAATCAAGGTCTGCCCGTTTTCAATCCACATCAAAGTCCACGAAACGTTATCTCGACAATCTAATTGTATCACACAAACCGAGCCATCTAACAGCCAAAGCCAAACCGCATCCCACCCGATACATCATAACAGTAACCATGTCTTCAGCCGCTCTCTCCGGCAAAGTCGCCATCATCACCGGCGGTTCCAAGGGCATCGGCGCCAGCACCGCAACTGCACTGGTCAAACTCGGAGCAAAGGTCGTCATCAACTACGGGCATGACTCCGCCGCCGCAGAGAGCCTAGTCTCCCGCCTGGGCGGCGCTGACCACGCCATCGCCGTGCAAGCCGACGCCGGTAGCATCACAGGCGTCGAAACGCTCGTCAAATGCGCCGTCGACAAGTTCGGCAAAATCGACATCCTGATCCCCAACGCGGGAATCCTGCCCATGAAGACCGTCGAAGCCACCACAGAAGCGGACTTCGACCGGGCGTTCAACCTGAACGTCAAAGGCCCGTACTTCCTCGTCCAAAAGGCTCTGCCGTACATGGCTCGCGGCAGCAGGATCGTCCTGCTCTCGACGACGCAGTGCCACGCGTCAACGGTCACGCCGCCCTACACGTTGTACTGCGCGACCAAGGGTGCAATCGAGCAAATGGTTCGGACGATGAGTAAAGACCTCCAAGCCAGCAAGGGGATCAGTGTGAATGCCGTCGCGCCGGGGCCGACTGGGACGGACTTGTTCATGGAAGGGAAGAGCGAGCAGCTCCTCAAAATGATCGCAAGCATGAACCCGAATAATCGCATAGGAACACCCGAGGAAGTGGCGGATGCCATCGTGCTCATTTGCCGGCACGAGGCAAGATGGGTCAGCGGACAGACTATCAAGGTGAATGGTGGTCAGGCATAAGCCAGCCAGAGTGCGCCAAATAGCTCCAGCAGATATGTGTGATGGTACAATTGTTGTTCCGTAGATCTTCTGCAACATGCCATGCAAGTCAGCCTGATCATACACACTGGCTACTGTGAACCAATTGCATCCTGTGCCATGACCTACCGTGTCTTGCACGCAACTTGTCTCATAACAGTCCCCATGTAGAATCGGCTGCAACAGCGTTTACATTCAGGAATGATATACTGTCGACACAACATCAACAACCCGAAGAAAACTAGTCTCATAACCTCATCGACGCATGTCGTCGCCCATTCAGCGCTTGGCCGCCTGCTCCAGCAGCTTCTTCCGGATCTTGGCAGCCTGAGCCGCCTTTTCAGCCTCATACTGCTTCTGGCGTATCTCGGCCTGCTTTCTTCGCTCTTGTTCCGCCCCTGAGTCTCGACGCGGTGGGACCGTCATGTACGGAAAAGCATTTGCGGGCCCATCCGCCGGGCTCGGTTCGACGCCCGTACGGAGGATGGCGTCCCATTCCCCGGCATTGGGCCCGGGCCGTGGAAGCTTGTCCACAATGTAGAACGTCTCCTTGAACGTCTGCAGGCCGTCATCGTAGTACCAACGAAGCGAGATGGTAGCGCTCGAACTGTGCGTCTGGCCAGTGTGGTCGGCTAGTATGACCAAAGGACTCGCTCGGATGGAGCCAGACGTTGCCACAGCTTTGGCTTTCGAGATCAGGCTCTTCTGTAAGGTGCCATCGTAGAGCGTATTGGACAGCTTGACAGCATCTTCCTGGTCATCTGCAATGACGGAGATCCGAACTTGGGTGTTGGCGGGCTGTAGCATCGCCGTTAGCAAGTATGATCCCAGGGAGAGCCGACCTCGTAAACTCGAACAGGAAGGAGAAGTGACGTACCATTCTGACAACCGAGCCTGATTGATGGAACAGTTGTGGTCGACGACTTTGCCAGGAGCGAAATGAAGAATCCAGCTGGCCATCCTGCATAAAAGCATTCGCATTCGGGGGCGGGTGGTTGCGCCCCGTTGCCATTCCCACAACGATGGAGCAATGAGAAAGCAGCAAATGCACAGTCTTGCAACTGTATTACTGGACAGCCTCTGTGCCCAAGGCCGAATCCAAATCTAAATGTGCTGGCGAAATCGCATTGGAGGATTCGCTGCTCCTCATATATTCGTGTCAGAGTTTTCCAGAATTCGCCATGCTTCAACAGTACATCCCTGTCCAGAGCAACATCAAGAGCTCGATGGATGCTGCTTTCCGATGTTCGATGAGACCCGGGTCACCTTTATATCTTGATTTGTCACTGAGATACGGCAACTGGAACAAATTGACAACCAGAGATGGACGGGTGGAACAGATGTTGGTAGAGGTACAAGAGTGAAGAGTCTCCTTTTCTGCGATCATTGCGGCTCAAAAATGTTCAGATGACCTCTTTCCCAGAGTCAGTCCCATGAACCACTTCGAGGGTTCCTCTTGAACCTGGGATCTTGCCACAGCTTTTTGTGTAACACAGTGCCCAAAAACCGCTTCAGTCTTTTTCAGTTGGGTGAGCCTCTCACCACTTCGGTTCAAATCCAGATTTTGGCGAGCTCTGTCACACGCCTCCCGCATCACCGTAATTCTGGCAAGTACCTCGTTCGAGCCTGTCTGTGTTTCGAATTAAGTCGTACATTGGAAAATTCCAGATTTCCATAAGTTGACTGCCCGCGCTTGGGTGAGATACTCTGGCAAATACCCGTCACGAAAACCGCCCGTGGTGCGCCGCTGTTGCTGAATACTTTTTCGAAAGGAAAATTCAAGCTTTTAGGTTGTCATCCTGTCCCATTTGCTTCTTTCGGTTGTCCTCGACCAGAGCGAGGAATTCCGTCCAGTTTTCCAGGATCCATGGACGGCCGATAATACAGTCGAATTTGGCATCAGAGCCTTTCTGCAGTATGTGGAATGGGGCATTATGTTCAGATGACCGAACAGACTTCGAGCCGGGAACCCGGAAATGCCAGCGGAGAAAAACGGTGCTTTCCAGCTCGCTATATCCTCCAATGGAGTGTACGAGGCCCTGGTAGGGTCTCTTCTCCACATTGAGCTGAGCATAAGCATCATGAGAGACCAGATTGAAGTCGGCCCCGGTGTCGAGAAGCACACGTCGTGGTGTCGTCGTTGGACGCTTGTGGCTCTCGACCCGAGCGCTATCATTCTCCAGATGTATGAACATGAGGACAATGAAAGGGTTGAGTTGTGGCCTTCTCCAATTCACCACCATGACTTTGCCGATGCAGTGTGAGTCGGTACATTTTCCCGCGACGTCTTCCTTCTTCGGACATCTTCGTTGGGAAAGGCGGACGGACTCGCCTTCTTGCAGGACATGGGTCTGAGGCGCCGAACGCCTTGGACTTCGATTATGGGCTTTTCGAAAGGATCTCGTCATGTCTCCGGCATGAAATATTTCATTCAATGAAATTAAGACAACTAAGCTGCTCCGATTCTGAATTGTTCAGGATAGGGCTGCCTCCAGTATTTCCTCACAACCGAAGGCTCGGTTATCTTCACTTGCAGAGCGGACTTTGATCAACGATTCGACGACAGGTTAAGACCCTTCGATGTTCTTCATCACCAGCAATCGGGTCGCCTAGGCAGAGTGCTGTTGCTACCTCTTATATGCGAAGAGGTGTTATCACTCCACTTTTTACACCTTGAGAGCCTCTGCTTCTCGCAGATATGCAGAGTGTCGTACAAGCTAAGTGTCGTCCTTCAAGGCAATGCAGCATGGCGGCAAGTTGCAAACTCCTGCAAGCATAGGGTGAACTATGCGCTCGTAACAGCTGTGGCTCTCCGGTTTTGAGACATGGTCCATGAATTGTTGCAGAAGAGGGGCCTTTCATCATTTTCCGGGGCTTGTAGTGCACCCCGAAGCACCTCCCAATATTCTGGATCAGCGTTACCGAGATGACCACTGTTTTGCAACTTGCAGTAAAGCTGGTTTGACACGGAACAACTCAGATGCTCTCAGGCTTGTAGCTGTGTCTATTTCAAGCACGAGAATAGCAAGGAAAGTTGCCACAGCCAGTCCCGAGACAAATGCAAAACTTGTCGTAATCGTAGAGTCTGAGTAGTCCTCCCGAATATGTGACTGGATAAACCATATGCCGACTTATCACATATTCTAAATTGTCTCCCAAGATGCAACAATCTGTGAGCGATAGCAAGCCGTCTCAACCCACTCGCGCGAATCATTGTTTGGCCTCGCAACAAACAGGTGTTTCGGGAGAAGACACGGCTGATGTTGACGTGACAGCACTCAGATTTGAGTGTGGCGTGCGGGAGTCCAGGAAACTAGACAGGGACCTTCGAAGGGGGTCTAGGGGTGGATCGAGCGATCCTGCCAGCATGAAGACGAGAACGTGCTTGCATAGGCTACTCCCGTCCTTTCATGCTTGATGGCGAGGCCCGCTGGCCAGTTCGGGTATCCGTGCAGCAAGCTGCTGCAATTGGCCGAAAGATGCAGTCGAGTTGGACAAGTGCACAGTGGCCCGCCATATAAGCAGACAGCCGCTCATTGTACACCCACGTTGACAGAGGTCCCTGACTTTGTAAGTTGCAAGTGAGACTGTTGCCTTTTCGCCTTCCAAAATGACAGGTTACGGAGCTCTAGCATCGATGATAGCAAGCCACCAGAATGCCGAAGCTTTCAGGAAGTTCTCGAGCATGAACATGGAGAACATATTGCACATGCAAGCTGAGTTGCAACATCTAGAAGTGGTGATCAATGAAGTTAGGAAGATCCCGGCGTTGAACAGCTTCGACAGGATCTGGATCGAATGCCCTGAACACATGTCAGAAGGCGATATACGTAAAATATTTGAGCGGTCAAGGGCCCTGCTGGACGAGTATTGTAGGGGGCCTTTTCTCAAACCACTGATCGAGAAACATGCGCTGACGGGAACACAAAGATCGAACCCTCTTGCAGACGGCGAGAATCAACGCCATGCATGGTCCCCAAAAGAACAATTTGGAGCTGCGGCGGCAGTGGTACGACGAAGAAAGTGGTGGCAACCAATTCTTATACGGCGTGGAAGCCGGCATCTTTCGTGACCATGATAACGATGCGGACTTGATGACACTGAAAGAGAACCTGGAGAGCAAAGACGCATTGGCCAGATTCTTGAGCCGAAGAATAGTGCCGCTGTATCATCGTGTCGTTGGGCACAGGATTCACCGGACGATGGCAGAGAAAGCATTCGAACGAACGTGCTATTATACGCCCGAGACATTGGTGCAAGTGGGCAATACCATTTGCATGCTCCTGTCCGCAGTCATACCGGCTCTGTCAATACTGGTATTGTTCAGTGTGCAGAGCATTGGAGGTCGATTAATCGCCATTAGCCTCATGAGCCTGGTCTTTTCATTGGTGATGAATGTGATTGCTCAAAGACGAGCTGACGTGTTTATGTCTACCACGGCCTTTGCTGCGGTTCTCGTGGTATTTGTTGGGAGTGCAAACGTGATGGACAATTGAGCACCATGGTATGGCAAGAATTCCCCGGCCGGCATGGATGGTGACACCTTCGGAAGACAGGGGGTGGTGTTCGGCTGATGAGCGCGATGGTCGGTACTACCCGCGCCCACCTGCTGCGAGGGCAAGTTCGCAGTGCAGCTATCTTTGGCTGGAGGCGGCAAAGGAAGTGGATTGCTCGCCGGTGTGTGAATGCCTACCGACAGCTAGCTGGATTCAAATTGCAACCCCTTGCTTGCCGAGCAGCGAGTGATGGGACAGGACCATTGGGCAAACGGGATTGACGAAGTGGTCCAACGCTATACAGAGTCAATCGAGACAAGTCTCATTCTTCACGTCAGCAATCCCGAGCTATGCCAGAAAAAGACAACAGAGACGAAAGAAGATGGAAAATGGAAATTCAGTCCAAGAGAAGATGATGACGTTGATGGAACAAACGAGGAAGATGGAGGGAAAGACACAGAGAGGACACAGAGGAGGGAAAGCGCATGGGAGCTCCTTCACTACTCGACTCCCTCAGCATTTGGGTCAGCAGAAGGGATCACGTGAGCTTGGCGAAGAAGGAGCCCAAATCACGCCAAACCTGTTCTAGAGTGTCTAGGTGCGGATAAGAAGTGAGGGGCAAGTCTGTCCATCTGGCAACTTCGGCTCAAGCTTCAAGCATCGGACGCAATGATGGAAGGGGGCCAAAGCTCTCAGCAACCCAGCTCGTGCCAGCTCCCAGCTCCCAGACCCCCTCCCCCAATCAACCAGACCTCAGAGATCTCCCACTCCCCTTCCTCAGCCGCTGGCTCTCTCTCTCCCTCCCTTTTCCTGACCCAGCCTCTCCCACCAGCTTCGATTGACGCCCAGTAGCTTGGACATGCTCGCACCATACCCGGGCTCAAACCCGAACCGCGCGCCCACTGCATCATCATCATGCCCTTTCTAACGGAGTACCCTCACCTCCCTTCTCCTACTCGCTCCTCCTGCTTGCTTTCTGTGCCTTTTCTCCTGAAGTCCCACTAGTCTTACCTGCCCTGCGCCCTGACGTTTGCCAGAAGCTCCTCCCCAGGTGTCTCTCAGCCGTACTCACGTTCTCCCTCGACCTACCTCTCCTGTCTTTGTTCTTGACTTTCCTCCTTCCAAATTCTGTCCACCTTGTCATCCCGTGAACGCTTTTGTGCCTCTTCCAGCTGCCTCTATTTTCACATCACCCCAACTTGGTCAATATCAACCTTCAGAATGCCTCGAAGAAGACGCCAAGACGACGAGGAGGAGGAAGAGGAGGAAGAGCTCCAAGCTCTGCCTAGCGACGAAGAGGAAGAGGAAGAAGAGTAAGCGATCCTCCTCACTGATTTGTTTACCGCTCTCTGTTGCTTCGGATTCTCACCGGGGGTGCGCCTTATTGAGATTGATACAATAATCCTCGAGTGGTCTGCAGCCGCATCCTGGGCTAATGTGTACCCCATTCTCTGTTTCATCGAGTGTACTTTGTAGATGCTGTGCCTGATCTTCCTTGTTCTTCTCCCAGCTCGCAGTTTTGAGACAGCATGGACGTTCGCAGCATGCTGACATGACTCTTCTCAGATATGAAGACTCTGAGGTCGATGACGACGAAGAAGGAGACGAGGAGGAAGAAGAAGAGGAGGTAGAGGGCGAAGAGGAAGAGGAAGTCGAGGAAGTGGAAGGTAAGACATCACCTCAATCCACCATGTGACCCAATACTAACCACTACCTCAACTTAGCCGCACCTCCAAAGAAGCGCAAAGCTGATACCGATGCTACCGAACCGGTTGCCAAGAAGACCAAGAAAACTGAAGAGAACGGCGAAGAAGACGAGGACAAGGATGAGGAGGCTGAGAACGAGGCTCCCGAAGATGACGCTGACGAGCAAGAGCAGGAGGAAGATGAGCCTGCGGTCAAGACGAAGGTCGTCAAAGGCTCAGAGAGCAAGACAGCCGCTGCCGAAGCCGAGACTGAACATCTTGACGACGAAGACTAGTCAGGCTTCACCAAGGGTCTTGATCAGGGTGGCTATTTTCGGCTTGATCTTGGAAAAATCCTCGTGCAGATAGAGAAAAGAGAGAATCACAGTGTTCTGGCATGGACGAACAAAATCTGTTGCCTATTTGCATTCAACTGTAAAGGATCGTGGGTTCACCTCGCGACCCTTTCGATATTGACCTCTCTTCGTTCACAAAATTGTACAAGACGAGCACTCTTAAGTTAGATGCATTCAAAACCTGGAATACCGTGCCTGCCGCCAAGACATTCGAGGATTTCTGTTGCAGTTACAGTTGCATAAGGTAATTGGCCTCGCTCTCGCGCTTTCTGTCGTGGCTGATATCGACGACATACATCGATTGGAATGCCACAAGTCATTGGATACTTCCCTTTGGTCGATTCAACCGTCCGTGCTCCAGAGGCATCACAACAGAGAAGTCCCCGATATCTTAGTTATCCCACTCGTTGAACGTTGATTCGGTTCTAAGGCCCTACCCGTACAGTCGTTCTCATCAGGCATCGCCGTATGGCTGATTACTCGACCATTGCTGATTCATAATGAGTCAAAGGAGGACGGACGATGCTGCCGCAAGGCTCCCAAGATGCGCGACTGGTCCATACTAGTAGCATTTTGCTATGCAACTCAATTCCATGATCGTGATAGGGGAGCGCACCGGCCTGATAGCGCTCTAGATCACACCTGGGGTCTACAGGTGCTTGAACCAGTCATCCCGACCGCATTCAATGATTCTACGAGCCACTGCTGAAGAAACAATATCCGAAGGCGACATCTTCCAGTTCTTCTGGTTTCGGGATGATCCAATCCATCACGCCCCATCGCACGTCGCACCGGACCTATCTTCAAGCAAGTGTTGGATCGACTTCCATTGATATGGCAAATTCAAAGCATGATCCGTTGATGGCTGTTCGTCTGGCCTCCTCGAGGTGTTCAGCCATGGCGACCCAGTCATTGCCTCGGCGTGAAACGTCAGCGAGCTTGAAGACCTTAGGAAGGCGGGTGCTGATACCATGAGCCTGGACGTCCTCACTTCACGCCTGCAAGAGCTCGAAGAACTCGCATCAGAGACGCACAACCACACGGGAAGCTCGGTTGCAGCAGATGTGTCTAAATCACCAGGTTGCCGATGCAGAGTTGCCCGCGAACGCTTTCATCAGCAAGTGTCAAGGAAGCTGGCTGCTTGACAGGTCGACTGGGACCAGCTTCGAAAGTGTTTCCCGGACATGCTGAAGAAGCAAGCCAAGACAGCTTCCTCCTGCATGATTGATCTGTGCTGGATTCGGGCCTGCCCCTCGGACGCCATGCCGGGCACTCCTTTACAAGCGCAGAACCTCAAGCCTGGTGTCACTCTCATACAACCGCCTATTCTTCACGAATCCGGATAAACGTTGCCCAACGTTTCAAGAAACCAGGTCTGCCTTGCCATCTTTTGCGTGCTGACCTACACCTACCTTGTTCTCCCCCGTCCCCATATGCTGACCATTACATAAACACATGTTGATGGGCCCAACCCTGACTTCACGAGCTCTGCGCCCCAAGCTCGTGTTCCATCCCCTTACGGCCTCCATCTCCATGATAGTCCGGTACGCCTGGGACCCCATGCGGTTTTTGTCTACCTGCCTCTTCCGTCAATCTCAGTCTTCGATGGTATACCGTATCCTGGGCTTGCTTGTTTCTATTCTTGTCCCACAGTCCACCTTGCCTTGCAGGACATATCCACGGCGGTACTACTCACCAGATGCATGGCCCCTTCTGATCTTCCTGGGCCCTGCGCCTCCCACAGGCCACGCTTACCAAATATAGATATTCGCCGCAGAAACGTACTGACAACGGTCTGGAACTATACGTAAGCGACGAGGCTGAAGCGTCTCTCGGCGGTGGCGGCCCTCTCACTTGATATGTAATCCTTCCCTCTCCCCCGTACCCAACCACGGCGTCTTCCCGTGGGTTGGCCCTTTTCTCGGCCTTCGTCCTGGAGCTTTCGGCCGCTGGTACAGTAAGGTAGTTTGGGATGCTACGATAGTGCTAGTCATCTCTAAGCCAATCCCCCGGGGTGGCACATTCATGGTATAACCCGGTCTCCAAAACACTAACAGTCGTGAACAAGTCACCGCGCGTCTTTCAGATCTGGCCCACTAGCTACATACTCCTTCCTATGACACCATCTCACATGCAGCCGACGCATGCCGTGCATCAGAAGAATTCCAAATGTCCATGTCTACCGGGTAGGTATCTATATCCAGTACCACCACCGCAGAGCTTTGCGGAAAGGCTGCGGTTTCTTGCGTCCTCGCGTCCTGTGGCCGGGATGTGTCTGCAAGGCTTCGCTCCCCTACTACCTACTAGACTTGGGTTCTGTATCGAGAGAGGGATGACTCGGCAGGACACAGCGATGTTGTACTAGACCTCTTTTCATGATGCTCTAGTCAAAACTCCCCCCGGCCCCCCGCGACCTTCTGAAAGACGCCATGCCTCGTATACTTCGTATCCGTGTCCCCCATCAACGTATCAGTACCTTTTCCCCGAAAGTCGGCCCAGAGGTTGTTATTTTTGTAACCCGCAGCTTTGTTTTATGATGCTCTCCTGTACGTAATCACGAGACACATGTCCCTGTTCATCCAGTGCTACTAGTAGTACTATTCTTGATCGTACACGCTAGTAGGACGTGCGTTGCTAGATTTGTTAACGGTTCGCAGAGCTACTTCCTCACCTCGAACATCAGCCGGGTCTGATAGTCTCCCGGCCGGCTATGGAGGGAAGATGCGTTGGGATTGTTATTATTGTATTCTATGATGCTCTGCCAGACCGCGCTTTGCAAGTTGTTCCCGTCCAAGTCCAAGGAAACGCCAAACGCTTCGAAGCAGATCATACATGATGTTGCAGTAATGACAGTGTACCGTTCAAGCGTGAAATGCCGACTCTCCTACTCCGTTGCTTGGTAGAAACTTGTGCTTCCCTGCTTTTCCGTAGCATTTTCCTCCATTCATGGTCACATTAAATCCGTTGTAGAACCTTTCTCGTGTGTTGTTTTTTTGTAAAATCGCTAAATTGCAGCTCGCACGGACTCATGCGAAAGACGCCCTGCGCCCCTTTAGAGCCAAATTTGGGAAACATCCCAGAACAATGGCGATCATAGACGGCCCGTGTTGTTGTTTTCGAACGCGTCCACAAAATGCCAGTCGATGTCGCCCGAATTGAGTCGCGGATGCGGATCCAGGTTGTAGCCCAACAATGCTGTTCGCGCGTGTGAATCGACCTCGTTACTTCCAAAACTGTGCTCGGAGCCGACTGGGAATTGCTGTCCTGGAAAAGCAGGCAGAAAGTCGTCCGGTACATGTGTGTGCTCCGAGTAAATACTGCTTCTGATACCCGATTGCCAGGACATGGGAGCTATGAACGATCCAGGCGTATCTGATCCCGAGTAACCTGAATGACCTAGGGCTGGGTTAGAGAGTGCTTGGAAGGCGGTTGGTTGTGCAAGGTCCATCTGGTGACTTGTTGGAGTCGGAATGTTGAACTTGGGTGGTGTCGAACCATTCGAATAGCTGGGTCGGACATGTGCCTTTTGTCGGTCCAGAACCGCCTTCATCCGCTTCCTGATGATGGCGTTGCTTCGTTCGAGTGCTGGCATGGCATTTGCTGTCTTCTGTAGCACTTCCAACAGGAAACCGAGTCCATTTTTCTGGACAGCTGCTGCTTGATCCTCCCCTGGTCGATACTCTCGCTCAAACCGTGAGACCGCGATTGTGGCGGCAATGTACACGCTGTAAGCATTCAAATACGAGATATGTGACAGACCGAAGGTGTTGGCCTGTAACATGATCAAATCGTGGATTGCTGCTGTCGCCTGTATGCACATTTGATATGATCGAGCAGGTCCAGGTGCATTCATGTCGCGTGCTCCAAGGATAACAGGTCGATGCAAGAGAATGATTGTCGTGTGATATAACAGGTTCAGAGACATGATATGAACCGGCGGTGCCAAAGATGGCATCTGGTCAGGATTTATCCTCAGATGAGGAGGTAAGGATATCAGCCAGTCACGCAGATCCCGAGAGATGCGGACGAAAATTGCTTCATTGGTTGCTTTGGCTTCTGTTGAGTGGTCTTCTTCCTCCATGTCATGCCTAGCCGCAGCTTCAGGGGAATAAATGTTGTGCATAACATCATTCAATATGACGCAGATCTTGCACAGCTGACGGAAGCATGAAACCACGTAGCCGGGGCACGGTGGGTAATTGGGTGCGTCGAGGATCTCAGGCCTTGGTGTTTCACCATAGTATGGCACCCAGAGGTCGCTATCGCTGTAATCGTCCATAAAGTTCAGAGGCACCTCATCTGTATTCAGAGTGAAGCCAGGCATTCTGCCGAGATATAGAGATAATATTTTATCCCAGGTGTAACAGCCCCAGAAGAGCCGCTTTCGAACCTCAATGTCCTCTGCAGTCAGACTTTTCACGAACGATTGAAGTCGGTCGCTGGGCAAATGGATTCCCATGTCCAAGGCCATACGAAACGCTATGCCTGCGAAAGTCCACGATTGCGAGGCATTCCCAAACATAACGTCACGAGCCGACTGTTGAAGTAGAGCCTGGATTGTCGGAATGGTTGGCTTTTTCAGTATGTCCATACCCAGGCCAAAGCGAGCTTCGTCGGTCATTTTCTGCATGAAATCTGCCGCGCTCATTGAACCACCAATGGAAGACTGCTGATTGAAGACGCTATGGTATTGGTCTTGATATACATCATGATTCAGGAATCTGGCGCAATGACCATGAATGACCTAGTGACTTGTTAGACGTCAATTGTACCGTTCACTAAGATAATATACTCGCCTTCAGGAGTGTCTCCGAGAAGTACGGTGGATCTTGTGCTCCGGGCGTATTCAGATCGACCATAGCCATTCCCCTTGTGAAAGCTGGTCTGTAAACAAACAAAAATAGGGGATGCTGCCAGCACCAGTGATACTTGAGCATCTCATGGGAGATTTCCTTGGGCACATTTGCCTTGGCCGCCCCATTGGCAATGGCAAAAGGTTCGATTTGTCTTTGGTGGTTTGCATTGAGGATAAGGTCTCGTCTCATTCGCTGATCATCCTGGCCGCTTCCTGTAGCCCGGGTTTGTGCGGATGGTAGTGGAGAATGCTGGTGTTGAGCCGAAGGTGGTTGATAGATGGGAGAGGTCGAGTTATGGAAGGCGACAGTGCCAGTCTCGTCCATACTAATATCTGTCTCCCATTTCACTTGGCGATTGCGATGCGCGAGGCCACTCGAGCCTTGCGAGCCTGCGGTCTCACTTACTGGCGACGCGCCTGGTAGTTTCTTTTCTTCTTGAGGACCGGCCTGAAACGTGTTAGCATACGTCCAAGACAGTGCTCCATCGTCGTCGCCGCGTACCCTTGATAACCAAACTTGAGTTTTGACTTGCCGTAGTTGGGCTTTCAACTCTTGTATTTCCTCCTCGAGCGACCTTACGTACGCAAGCGACGGCGGCTTATCATAGTGGCAATCGTCTTTGTACGCTATACACCTAAGCAAAGGGTCAGTAAGGGAGCAAAAGTGGTTGGCTCGGTTCCAATGCTCACGTTGTACATTTGGGCGTCTTTCCGTCGCATTTTGACTATCAAGCAGTCAGCCATCTGAGGTCGTTTGTCAAAGAGGTCGTCTCGCGGCGGTGGATTGGAGAAGGCGAGCCTCAACAGATACGTGGGACACGGAATGAAATACCTTTCTTCTACGACAGCCGGCGCATGTAGATTTGCGATGCTTGGACTTTGTTTTCACCTCGACATCCGCAGGCATCTTGACGAGACTACCTTTGTGTGCAGATTGAGACACCCTAAGGTTGAATCAGAACGTGATCGAGCCTCGTCGGGCACGAGCAGCATTTGTTCAATTTCTCCTCACTGGCGATTAGAATTGGAGTTGTCAGCGGAGTCCTAGACCCCTGTGACCCCTGTAGAGCCCTGTATCTTTACGGGGATGGCGTCCCCGTGTCACAGACACGACGCAGGTTTAGCCTTATGATGATGAAGCGATATGCAACAACACACTCTCTAGTAGACCAGGAGCGAAGTCAGAGTCAAATGCAAAAAGAAGCCATCTCATACAGGATTAGTCTAGCAGGGACGGAAATAGCATGTAGGAAAAGCCTACTAGCTGCTCGAATCCCTGGACCCAACCTCGGGGGTGGTGCACAAATGACGAAGTGGTGATCCCGGACCACGAGAAGGATGTAGGGACTTCAGCCAGTCAATTCAGCAAGAGACCTGCAAAATATGTCATCGCAGCCAAGTGCCAAAGCCGCCGAAGCACGTAGAGTCTCCTAGCCTGATGACCCTACCGTGCACTGAATCGCAAGAGGCGTCGGCTCAAAGACTAGGATTTTCGAGACTTGGGCCTTTCGATCGCTTGCCCTCGGAGTCTCCCATTAGCGTCATCGAAGATTCCAATGTCGACTAAATTGGTGGACTGAGGTCGATCATTATTGATGAGAAAATGCGCTTACAAAACGACATTTTGGAGAGGTCGGGGTAAGTCGACAGAGGTGGCATAGGCCGTAAGACCCAGCAAGTAGTTAGTGGTCTAAGGCCTGTCGTCTCGCTCGACAAAGCCTACTGAATGGAGCTGGAGAAGTTCGTAGTTGACTACCCTAAAAGCGCATCCGTCGTGGCGCTGTCGTATTGTCAAGATATTGCCGGCATCCAAACGGGTACCGCAGAAGGAGGGCGAGGAAGGGGGATCACTCTAATCGAAAGGGCAGGTGGTCCCCCTGCGATGACCGGCATCGGCATGAACGGCGGCCATGGCGATTGCAGGCATCATGAGGCTATTGCAAAACTACAGCAAGCGCTGACCATCGCAACAACGACGACCTCCTCGTATTGTAGTGCCACCAGGTCTGGTGCATCTGTTTTGTCCATTGTTCAAGGCAAACACGGTCGCTTGGTTCACATCAATACTATGGTCTTCTTTTCATTCTCTCGCCTATCTGACTCCGTAACGCTGAGCAAACTTGGAAGATCCGGAATGGCGGTGACGAGGAAGAGCTTTGGCCCTCACCAACAGCATAAGGACCTTACACCGACTGACACCGTCTAAGCTCCCGTGTACGGAGCAGCTGGGATGCTTACAACTGGGGATCAAGGGCGTCCATTTGTATTGGCCTAAACTACTTGTAGTTGGCGCAATGCACTTGCCCTGGACACACATACATACACCCATGGCTGTTTTTGAACTGTCCCCAGGACCATGCTGCGGCTGTCAAAAACAGTCCAGCTCGAGGTCGAACAGCCCCTCTTCATCAAGGAGCGGATCCGCATCTCTGGCGAACACGAGGTCCTTACGCACGTCCATTTTCGTCCTAACCACCGTCAGCTCCTTAACGAATATGCACCAGCGATGCCGGACGGACGAAACCACTCACAGTTCCCTGCTGCCACGAGGATTCGGTAAACGTCCCATCCACCGCCTCCTTATTGATTCAGCAAAATAATCCCGTCAAAGTCTGGAGCGTCCCGGTCGCTCTCGAAATAGTGTCTCGTCAGCAGTCCTCTCATTTGACGCCTCGATGTAGACCTTTGTCACAGGCAAAACCATTTACCAGCATGAGCCGGGACGCATCATCCAGGATGTACATTCAGCAACAGTGTCTCCAACTTGACGCCGCTCATATCCGACCCCTGCGTGGTGGTTCACTCTTACATCCAGAGCCTTGCTGAACGATTCACCATTCTGTTGTGGGCGACGCGCGGTTCCGGTCATCAGCAGACGCGCCGAACCGGCGCTTCCACAGGCTTACAATCGCATAGAGATTCCCCGTCACACATTGCATGGTACGATTTGGTGGATTTAGAAACGAAGGATGATTGACAAGGGGAATGCCATGCTTAGTCCTGACAAATGCAAGTTTCCCTAGTGCAGAACATGATTGTCCTGGTTTAGGCTCAGCCTCTACGATTGCGAATGCATCCTCTGCGGCCAAGTGTATGCTTGAGAGTATCAGTCCTCTGGAAAATCGATTGACCAAGTCGTCATCGAATGCTATCCTGGAATCTCATTCTCTAGCTGCTTAGAGCTCGCTGACCTCAGGTCCGCACAACTAGGGATTCTCATCGACCAGCGACCGTGGCTGTCCATCGATGCTAAGATCATTCAATGGCCCTACCAAGCCTGCACGGGGACTTTCAAGTTGACGCTGGAATCATCAGCCTTGGTCACAGCCGAGATCCGGGGTCCTTGGGGAAGGAAGCAGAGGATCTAGCGCCGTGATTGCTCCTACAGAGCTAACTCCCCTCTACCCGTACTGGAGGTATATTGCAGATTTTCAAATCATATCCGGCGGCATGATATGCATCCATCGATGGTGGGGAAGTAAGGTGCCTCCCAAAATGCCCGAGTACTTGATTGCTGAAGAGAAAGTATCCTTGAAATCGAGGAAATGGCCGGAGAGTGGCCGGTGAGGCGTGTTTGATAGTCTGTAGTGCAGATGGACAGCGTTCGAGAGATGATCAGGTACATATTCGAGCAGGGCCCCTCAAGTCCTGAGATCTCATCCTCATCTCGTGCAGAAGTTTTCATGCCTTTCAATTTGCAGGAGAAGAGTTGATTCCAGGCGAAACGATCTTAAACCTGAACAGCTCCGTAATGTCATTCCACCGCGCTTTGAATTGCGACACACTGGGCGGACTACATGAGTTCCGGTGCTCTTGAGCCGGCACATGCCTATTAGCCTTGCTCTTCGGAAATCTAACTGAGAGATTCCCTGCTTAGGGTCATGATGGGGTCTTTTGGGGCTTACGAGAACTTACCAGATGACCACGGCACTGCAATTACAATTCAGGGCAAGGAGGGACAGGTATTATTTCTAGTTGTGAATCATTCAATATCTCATACCGTTTCTGCGATCTGCTGACACGGGATTGCTTTGCTGCTTGTCGCGTACAAGGGTTTGAGACATCTTTCTCTGCCGCACATCAGCACCATCATGCACCTTTTATATGCAATAGTAAGATACGGGGAAAATGGTTAGTTCAAGAGGGATTGCTCGCAGGCCACGGCACTAGCCTCCCTACTCGCTTGCTCGCCTACATTTACCACCCCACGGGTGTACGCCACGCATGAGAGGCCCACTCAGCAATTGAAGTTCTAGCCTGAGAATTAGCGGCCTTCATGATTTTCGTCGACAGCAAGCTAAGATGCATTTACAGACAACCGCTGCATCCCGAGACAGTCTGACCGCCGCCGTCTTTCTGATCATATTTCTTTGCTGTTGCATCTCAGTTAGTAGTCTCACAAGGGGAGCGAATGCTCATGGCGAGCGGGAATGATCAGTGATGAGACTTCCATAGGGGAAGATTCGAGGATGAAAAGCGATCAGCACACAACGTCGCACAGTCGTGGTACAGACGACCAACTCACCAACCCCGTGCCTTCCCAAGATGCACAAGATCCTATAAATTGGCCATTATGGCTCAAGGCAAGCATTCGAGCAACGTCCTCTGAGCGGCTGCTGATTTTGTTGAGATTGTAATACTTACACAAGCTTCTCTTCTCGCAGCTATCGGAGGCTTGAACACTGCCGCCATCAACCCGGCTTATGCGCTGCTTGCTGAGGAGTTTGGTATCAGCACCGTCAGAGCATCATATCAGACGTAAGGCCGATTGGTCTGACGAACCGATCATCCAGCATTGACGATGCGTTAGGACGGTCTGCATTGCGCTCAATGGCATTGCGCCGTGGCTCTGGATCCCTCTCTCCAACAAATACGGCAGACGGCCTGTCTACCTCGGAACCACCTTCCTGGGCTTTATTTCAGCCTTGGGCTGCTCGTACACCCAGTCCTTCGGTCAACTTATCGTCGCAAGAGTGTTCAATGGCTTGTTCCCTGTGGCTTTTGCCTTAGGCGCAGCTACCATCACTGATATGTTCTTCTACGACCAGCGGGGAAAAGCTATGGGCTTCTTTACTGTGACTATGGTCAACGGCAGCCACCTGGCACCCATCGTCGGAGGTCTCCTGGGTCACTATTGTGGATGGCGATGGATTTTCAAGTTCGTCGCAATCGTCGATGCAGTCATGTTGATCACTGCCTTCTTCTGCTTACCGGAGACACTCTACATCAGAAAGGGACCAGGCTCTCCTGCTAGCTTCGATGCTACAAAGTCCTCAACTACATTCTCTCCGCAACAGTCCCAGTTCAATAGATCGGTCTATCTCTCACGATTACGGCTGTGCTCGCGTTTTCCTCAACTGACACTCCGGCTGGATCAATTCGTCATACCGGCTCTGAAGATGGCTAAGTACCCGTCTGTACTATTTCCTGCCATATACTATGCTACCATGTACGGCTTCGCCTCTATCCTCCCTGCGGTTACGGTCGCGGCGATCTTCACAGAGTTTTTCCATTGGAACACGCTCACCATTGGCCTCACTTATGGAGCTTCGCTCACCCTGGGTGGCATATTCGGCGAATGCGTCTCGGGCTGGGTCGTCGATCGCATTGTCAAACGCGAGAGAAAGCGCCTTGGCCGTGATCCGGAACCCGAAGTCCGACTCAAAGCCATCTGGATGGGCGAGATCATTGTCCCCGCTGGCCTTCTGATCTATGGCTTTTGCCTGCAATACCATACAGCTTGGATCGCGCCTATACTGGGCATGGGGGTCGCATGCTTCGGTCTGCAAATCATCACCACGACCACGTACACTTATGCCATCGACTGCTACAGGACCGAGAGCAGTGAAGTGGCGCAGCTTTTCAACTTCATCCGTCAGGAGATCGGTATGACCTTTGCCTTTTACGTGGTCAGACTCGGAGACAAGATTGGCTATCAATGGACATTTCTCATGTTCGCCCTCATCGGCGGTGTTTTGGCTTTCATTCCCATGCTACTCATCATCTTCAGAGGCGAGCAGTGGAGGAAAAGGCTGGGTAAACCGGTAGATGTGAATGTATTTGACAGCATGGCTCGCCCCAGCAAAGTAACAGAACAGCCCTACACCGCAGTCTAACCTTAGCAATCTTCGAACGGCACACGAGCACACCAGCATGTGGCGTTTCTGAAAACCCGACTCACGATGGGGAACGTTGTCACCACTTTTAACGCTGAGAATCGAGCTAATGCATGCTCCTCACTTCGCTACACTTCCGGGTCCTTCCCAGATCTCAGATCGACCTTCAAGGCTAATCGAAGGATTTCTCTCTGCCACGGTCGATCGATCGATCGCCATACATTGGCGCTACATGGGCAACCCTACCCTACATGTGCACCACAGATACGAGATGTCAGGAACCGCAAAAAAGCCACAAGCGCGCAGAGGGGAACGATGTGAGATGGGCGCGCCAGCTTACCGCGATGCACGGTCTTGGTTGCATGGCCGGACATATCACTGGTCGCGGAGTTTTTATTCTGCGTTCGCGTTCGCATTCGCGCTCCCATACACCCACCTCCCAGGGCCGGGAAGACTCCGGCCCACCAATGTCCACCACGGTATCTAACACGTACGCAAGCAGCCAGTGGTACTAGTCAGTCAGAGTGCTAGGTTGTTGTAACTGCCAGCAAGCACGGGGCACGAACAAGCCAAGGTGTGGACCTGGCCTGATCTGATCTGATCTGATCTGTGTGCTGTATGTTGTCTCCCTTGATCCTTGGGGTTGATAGCAGTAGTAGTACTTGCTCGAATTCGTCAGAGTCACCTACCGAGTACACCATGTAGAGCTGAGACGAAATATAAGCGAACAGCGGTCCTTGAGGCTCTGAACAATGACACAATCTGAGAGCGAGAAATATAGCCATGGCCGGCCATATGATTCAATCTGGCGCCTTGCCATATACTTCGGGCTTCATTCTCGTTTGCCTTGCATCCAAGCTGTATTGCTGCAGACGGAGACTTTCCGGAAGGACGAGACAAGGCAAGCCCCTCCATCTTAGCTCGATGGCCACCGACAAAGGGCCTCCAATCAAGCAATCAAAAGGCAAGGACAAAGGCAGATTGGAGCACGCAAACAAGTCTCATCTTCGTTAAGCAAGCCAAGGGTCGTAGACAGACTGGCTCAAGGTAGTTGCAAGACCTCAAGAGCGCTGACTTGGTATTCGGTCTATTTGGTGACCTGTGCTTTATGTACGACGATACCATTACTTTCTAAAAAATATAACCCAACGGCACTCGTAAGCCATGATCATCACTTCTCGGGGGTTCTTTGGTATTCAGACCTTCACTCCTCTACGAAGTTCCAGCCCGATAGTCAATCTTCTCAGTCATCAATCCTCGCGTTGCCGCTGACGACCCTCATCGGTCGAGGGCGACTTGGTCCGACCTCCATTTCGAAGTTCTCCTCGCCGACCCGGTCCGCATCATGATCATCTCTCCAGGCATCCTGGAACACCTCCGCTGTTGCCCGAGCTGCCTCATCGTTCCCACCGTCACCGCCGATATCATTGGTTGTAGTTTGACGCTGAGTAAACATAGCTTCGTCCCTCAATCTCAGTCTCTGCAGCCGAATGCCTTCGGCTCGGACGCTTCTCTGCAATTCTCGGTTTCGTCTCTCACGTAGGCTAATCGCTCGAGCTGTTGGAGTCTGCTCCCCTGCGTTCCGCTCCCAGCGACTTCCGTCAAGATCAGAGCCGTTAGGGGGACCGGTACGAACCATTCCTGGAGGTGCCGTGTAGGCAGCGTCACGCTCGGTAACGAATGGTCCTCTGGACAGATCGGCGGGTGTCTGTGGCTGAGAGCTTGCAGGAAGAGAGTCATTGTATATGGAGAACGCATTGCCATCTAGGTACTGGTGCCTATAATAACGAGGCTCGCTGCGAGGAAATGAGGCTGCATTCCGGATAGGTGTTGGAGTTGCAGGCAACTCAGGAGATGTCGAGGCAGCTTGAATTGTGGAAGGAGTCTCGATCGGCGATGCGTTCAAGACAGGAGGTGAGCTTGGGAGACTCGTCGACGAACCTGCTTGACCGAGAAGGCTGCTACTTCGTCGGGGTGTGCCGGAATCCGTAGAAAGAAGTTGACCGGGAGGCATCTCCGAGGTCTGGCTGTCTGGCAGGTCATTTGCGAAACTGTGGTTGCCGAAAGTATATGCTCTTGAAGTGGCTGTGAATGACGGAGGGAGGACGAACGGCATGCTTTCAGCCAAATCATCACTTTGTCGGCTTGGGCTTTCCAATGACAATCGATCCATGTCGCCGGTGAGTAAAGTCTGCAATGAAAGCTCTGCATCCGACTCTTCTGGGTCAGATGTCTTGTATGAATAGGTGAGGCTTCTTCGTCTGTAGCCTTTGGTAGCAGTGAGGTTAGATGAGCTACCAACACCGCACTCGTCTTCAGGATGTAGTGGGGGTCGTTCAGGGGACATTCCTCTTGAGAATCGAAGAAGTGAGCTTTTACGTGGAGCATGCTTATTGACTTGCATTGCTGGGACAGAGGACTCGGGCGAGGGCGATCTTTCATTTCGGCCATCGGCGGTGTCTGCAGCATCTTGGTGCTTCCCGAAGTCGTAGTCATCAGAAGAGACTTTCGAGGCATGTTTGGAGGACGTCTGAAGATTGCCGAAGGATTTAACCTGCTTCTTGGGCTCTTGTTTGTCGGTGTCCTCATCCATCGAGGGCCCAAAAGGCCGCCGGCAGGCTAGCTCAAACGTAGTTGGAGCAGACAGATTGAAGTCAGTGTGACTCGGTCCACTTGTTTCCGCCTGAGCTTTCCGATAGTCGTCGAGATATCGAGCGATGTCATTCTTCTTGTATCCCTGTCTAAGTAAGCCATAGTAGATATCAGCCTGCCGTAGGTTGAACTCGATATCGGCTTCGGAAAGGGAGATACTGGTCGGTGGCAAGCGGATCATCTTCGAGCCTGCTCAGCCACCAGCGTCCGCTTGAGTGCTCTACAATTCCTGGTCATAAAGAATGGTGATGAGTTGGAGCGTTAGGATATCGATCTCGGACGCCATGTTGACCCTTGTCGTAAGAAGTTCGTTCCTGCACCTTGACTCCGCCATCAAGGTGGACAAAATGAGCAGGCACGAGGATGTGAAAAGGAGCCTTGTAACCAGCATTGCATTCAGACAGCTCGCCTTGAAAAAGTCGCACAGTATACCTACCTCATAAACTACTTGTAGTTACTCACCGACTTGCAGAACTGTCATTTCTCTGGACCCTTCACGCCTTCTTGACGCTCCCAAAGCATAGAGGCTGTCTTGACTCCTCACCCGCCGGTGCAATGCATGAGAATATACTCCGTACTCCGTGCTAAAGAAGAAAAAGAACTGGAGTTGGTGGACCTGATTTTGCAAAGTCATATCACAGCACATACATACTCCACAGCAATCTCGAATTAATCTGGGCCAACTCCCTCTGTTCGACCGAAGAGGGATAGTTCTCAGTTGCATAGACTGAAAGCTATCCTTCACTGAGCAAGCTGCGTGTGTGGTGGCTTGCGAAGGTTTACGACAGGACGACAAAGCCATCTCCATTGCATCGGCATCGAACGAGGTTGCTGAATTGTTCTGATGGGATCGGGCTGCGCAAGACGGTGACTGCGCCGCTCGACAACCAAAGTAACAAGTTAACTACTAGTGGGAAGCGAAGGCCTGAGCCTGCATCTGCATCTGTATCTGGCGAGCTGCGGCTTTCTCGATCATTGCCCCAAACACCATCTTACATTCTCGCTTCTTCTCTTCCTCGTACGACACTCTATCCTCTCCTTCAACATACATCTACGCTCGCTAAATCGCTCTTCTGGCCGCCTTTCGCCGTCACCGACATCCTCCTTCGCGCTTTCTCCGACGGTCTCTGTCTTCCCCCGATACCTAGTCGAGACTCCTGAAACGAAATCGAGTTCGCTACGGTCCAGACCCATTCTTGCGCAGGTCCTCGAGACTCAATTGCACAATTACACCGCTCGGGTTCCATGCCGCAGCAATGAAGAGACGGACATATCTGTTCTGAACCAATACTCCGTCACAAGACATTCTCTTGAGGCCTGAGGACGGACGTCATTGCATGCCACATCGGTCCTCCAAGCCACTCCGTCCACGACGCAAACCCCTACAACAAGGATGGCCGACCTCTCTCTTGGTCCATTAAGGATTGCGAATCCCGATGATGCCTCTCCAGACACTCCCTTACAGCAACACGCTCCTCCGTCCTCGTTCCCAAAAGTGTCTCCTCTCTACGATGCCAATGGGAGAAATGATTATCTCTCCGCCGGCGCTGCACGACCTGGAAGTCCCGTATCTCCCGTGGACACGCCCTTGGAAGGCCTCCCATCTCAACCTCCGCCAGAAACATCTTCATCCGCGCCATCAACAATTAACCAGAATAATCACCCAGCGGACCGAACCGCTCAGAGGTCAAATCTCCCCCATACCTATCAAGATCAGCAACAAGCACAATTTCCCCAATACCCTACCATGATACCTCAAAACCTGCACGATCCTCGGGCGAACTCGAACTCGAACCGACCCGGCTCTGCATACTATACCCAAATGCCTGCCAACGGTGTTGCTAGTAACGGAGTATCGAGGCAAGGGTCGTATAGGGTACGCAGCGACGGTTCTGGCACTTCCGGATTTCCAGTAAGAACATCATCGAAACGCTCGGGCATGGGCGAAGTGGCCGGGGTGCCGTCAAGAGACGACTCACATACAGAAAGAGCGTATGGCCAGGGACAATATACCTTGGGCAACGCACCTCTCCCTCCGCGAAAAGCATCTCGCGGCATGGGCTCTGCTCGCCTGGGCACTACCCCGACTGGCAATACACCTCTGTCCACGACTCCGATCTCGATACAAACTCCATTGTCGAGCTCTCCCTACAACCTCGAAGATCGTCCGTTGACCACCGCGGCTGACGACTGGCAAGAACGAGGAGCAGCTGTGGGGGTCAAGAAAGAGTATGATGCAGACGGTCGAGTGTCCCTCAAACCGGTCAAGAAGGGGGTCAAGGATTTCAACTTTGGAAGGACGTTGGGAGAAGGCTCTTACAGTACGGTGCTTGCAGCTACGGATCGATCGAATGGGAAAGATTATGCCATCAAGGTCCTGGACAAGAGACATATCATCAAAGAGAAGAAGGTGAAGTATGTCAACATTGAGCGAGACACACTCAATCGCTTGACAGATCACCCGGGTGTGGTTCGGCTCTACTACACTTTTCAAGATGAGAGGTCGCTATACTTCGTTCTGGACCTATGTCCCGGCGGTGAATTGCTAGGCGTCCTGAAGCGGATGTCCACGTTCGATGAGGAGTGCACTCGATTTTATGGCGCACAAATACTTGATAGCGTCGAGTATATGCATAGCCGCGGAGTCATCCATCGAGACTTGAAACCGGAGAATCTATTACTGGACGAGAACAAATACATCAAGGTGACCGACTTCGGAACCGCCAAACTACTGCCAGAGCGGAAAGATCTTGATGGACGGGTTGATTTTGAGCCGGATTCGACCAGTTCTTCGGAGAATAGAGCCAACTCATTTGTCGGCACTGCAGAATATGTGAGTCCGGAATTATTGACGGACAAGAACGCCTGCAAAGCCAGCGATTTGTGGGCATTTGGCTGTATTCTCTATCAGCTGCTTGCTGGTAGGCCACCATTCAAGGCTGCCAACGACTATCAGACCTTCCAGAAGATTGTCAACCTCGACTACGATTTTCCGCGAGGCTTCCCAGATCTTGCTCGAGACCTTGTGGAGAGATTGCTCGTCCTTGACCCACAAAGGCGATTGTCGCTGGAACATGCCAAAAACCACCCATTCTTTGCGGGCATACAATGGGGGAAGGCGTTATGGCAACAGAAAGCACCACGCTTAAAGGCGTACATGCCTCCGCCGCAACCTCCCATCAAGCTCAACGGAGGTGGCGGTCAAGACAGCTATCCCCCAGACATTGGGCCCACTCATAGCACGCAATCGACCATGCTCCCTCCGAACAATCAAAAACCACAACCAAGGGTGATCACTGAATTACCACCACCGAGTCAACTCGATATTGAATGGTCTCCTGTTCTGACGAGAAACAACGAGAGGATACTGAAGTTGGGCAATCTGTCTGTGGTATCGTCGCCCAACCCTCACAGTCCTCACGGTAGCGAAGGGGGGAATAAATTATCCAGGCTGTTTGGCAGCAGAGATACCAAGAAGCGACAGAGACTTGTCATGGTCACATCGAGCGCTCGAATTATTATAGCCGCAGCTGGGGGCGAGGAGAAGAAGTCCAAGTCAGAGATCTCGCTACTCTCTCCCGGGGTCGAATTTTCCAGTGCCACTGATTCGAAGGGGATTACACAATGGATCGTCAACACGGTAAGTTCGTGGAACAGTGGTTGTAATGTGGCAGGGCTGACATGAAAGCAGAGAGATCGACACTTTGTCTTTGAAGACCCGAAACCACCTTCGAACGAACCGATGGCGACAGCCATATCTGCGCAGGAGTGGCTTGATGCCTTGGCTCGTGCCCGTGAAATTGCAATCTCGTTGCAAACCTCGAACAACAACTATTCGAATGACGACTCCCTCAATCTGTCATCCTCGGCATTGTCGAGTCATGCGAGCACCATGGATCGGACGACCGACCTCAGTCCACACGCTGCGGGGCATGGCCATTCTGGTCGCTCAATACTGCACAAACAACAGTCTGGAGGCGATGCCGAATCACTTAAGGGGAGAAAGCGCTTCAGCAAGCGGCAGTCGAAGAGTGGATTGACCGCGGTTTTCTGAGGAGCTCATTGCATCCTCGTGCGTTGATCTACTTCTTGAACCAATTCTTAGCATAGCGTTGCGATTGTCGGGGTTTAGTGTGTATGGCGATACTGCGTGGGCAGGGCATAATGAGTACATCTGAAGCGCATTTGGCTTCACTTCCCTGGGGTGCATTTTGTACGGCAGACTTGATGGTCATGGGATAGCAGCCCTCTCGAAAGATCTATACAAGATATATTGGCCTGAAGAAAAAGATCACCAAACGGCCGATGGATCGAATCAACGTGTTTAATTTCAGACGAGGACTGATTGTAAGTGCTCACGTATTCATCTACTCATGTACTCATGTAAACACTTTGCGAGAGAAATGTACGATATCCGTTTTGCGAGTTTGTCTTTAGCGCTCTGTGTCTCCCGCGAATGGCATGTCGATCTCTGTGGGATACACCCTTGTCCTCCTTGTGCCTTGATTCAGCTTTGTCCACGACTGGCTGACATGACTCGGACCTGCATGCAAGCTATCTCGTAAATGGCATGAATCGCCTGCATCTTCATTGCCACACTCGTCCCACGGCGCCAGCCGCGCTCAAACTGCACTTTGATGTCTGAGCCTCCGCACATGGCACCAGACCGAGCAGCCTCTCGAAGGCTGTACGCAAAATCGAGTCGGCCTCGCACCGGAAACGAATCTTAACGTCACAGCCGCCATCAATCCTGCCCAGGTGCGAAGGTTGCCATACCTGCGCCTCCGAGGCAGAGGAATTGCCAACAGCAAGACACCCCACTCCTGCGCCCGATCTGTGTGCACAACCAAACGAAGGCGACCGTTCAAGAAAGGCGACGCCGTCGCCGGTAAATCGAGGCGGCAGCAAACATACGACGGAGAACCGCCTACGGGCTGTGAAGAAAGTCGATTTGTTATGAGCGCAGTCTCGAAGGCAGCGCCGCATAAGGATTCTTTTGGATACGGAAGACCGCGAGGACTGCGATGACATGGTTTGACAGCAAGACAGAAGAGGCTCAAAGAATACAAGTCCAATGGTTTCGCGTGCCGAAGTCGCTGAGCGCTCTCAAGGCCCGGCCTCAGTCGCTTCTCGAACTTCCCGATCCAGACACCATCACCATCGAGGCAGGTCACACCAGGGCGGCCTTGCGCAAGCTCCTCTCAATGAGTTCCCATTTTTCACGCAATCCGGCGACGTCGAGATAGTAATAGCATGTGACGGACAAGAGAAAAAGTATCTCCTCCACAGATTCACACTTGCACAGTTCTCAGGCTTCTTCGAGGCAAGCACTAGTGAAGAATGGTCGCGCGCACAGGTCGTTCCACATACGCGACCAGACCATGCGCTCAGCGCCATCGGCGAGGAATCTTCACAGGTTAGTGCCACACCGGCGGCACCGTCTACGTTGATCAATCCTCCACGACGGCGATGGCGGTACGAACTAGACTGGGAGAACCTCGAAGACAATGATGACGAGCCTATCCTCGCGCAGAGGACCCCAGAAGGCGCGTTATTCTTACCATCTCAACCACCTCCACCACCTTACCAAGCAGAGCCACAGCGCCGGCCTCGCCCACAACCAACACATACCTCGTTTTTCAGATCCATGGCAAATCTCGCCCTTTCACATCATGGCCCAGCCTCGCAATCTACAGCCCAATTCCCCGTCAGTCCAGATCCAGTCCTGACGAATCCCCTGCTGCGCGATTACGATAACCTCTTTCGCATCTTCTACAATTACCCGCCTCTCCTGAATGCCACGAACATTGCATCCGCCTACTCGGAGTGCAAAGCCCTCCTCGCCCTGGCGGACATGTACGACGCGCTCCCCGTCGTCGGGTCCCGGATCGACCACCACCTTCTACGCTTCTCGAGTCGCCTGTTCAAGCAGATCGCAAAGTATCCTCCTTCATACCTGAAACTCGGCTACCTTGCGCGCAGTCGGACTATCTTCTCCGAAGCGTTGGCACACGTCGTTGGTCAATGGCCCGTGGCTTTGCCCTATATTAAGTCTCCCGACCCGAGCGGTGGAGGCTACGAGGTACCGCAGAGTGTGATCGACTTGATCGAGGATAAAGTGGATGAGTTGGAAGAGTTGAAGTTACGGGTTGAGACTAAGCTATTTAGACTGACACTTACCACGAGCCGTGGTGAACGGGTGAATCCGGTGAATGATTACCTCGGGTGGCTGGCGATGAGCCTGTGGAGGCAGTGGCTTGCAGAGAACACGACGCCCGAGGTTAGGGGGATTCTGAAAAACTTGGCGAGTTCCAGGCCGGGAAGCGCAAATACAGGCAGTCATACACAGTCGGGAAGACCGTCTGTTGGAGCGGCGGGTGGTGCAGGAGGGCAGACTGCGACGGCAATGGCCAACCAACCGCCACCACCTATGAATACAGGCCGAATATTTAGGATGATTGGATCAACAAACCAGGAAGCATTTTTGCCGCGGGACGAGTTGAAGAGATTCCTCAAGCTACAGCCGCCGGGCCACCCTAGTTCTTCGGCGGTGTATACAAGAGACAACTTGAGACGGTTTGAGAGGAAGATTGACGAGATCAAGAATGTCGCACGGGATCTTGTGAAGCCGTTGACAAGGAATTGTTTGGAACTTGATCTCAGGAGTTTGAGCGACGGCCAAGGTGGAGGGTTGGGCTATTTGACCTGCATGAAGTGTGAAGAGGGGGATATTCCTTGGGAGATCTGCTGATGGAACCGAGCGGAGACTCTACTGGGCCGCAATCCCCACGACGAAGGGACATAGAGGCCTCATTCAAGACTCAGGCGTGAGCTGTGCGAGGATATCGTGAACGTGTCCACCAGCGATAGGGGCCAGCAACTGCGGGCAGGCCCTGGCAACGATGTCCCTGGTCTCGAGTCTACGGAAAGTGGCGGATCAGTCGGCTTGAGCATTCTTATCCCCCTCTCCGCCAGAGTATTGCGGTCTGGGAGATGCCACGAGTGACACTTGGCAATGTCGGGATCGAAAAGGCCATTTGTCTGCGACAAATTGGATGGAAGACAAACGAGCCTTCTTCATTCAAGGCTCGATTGTCTTTGACTCCTTCCACCCCAGGAACCGAGAAAATCCGCCTTGTCCTATGGAACGCCATCGATTTCGTTCTCTACTCCCTTTTGTCAATTCGTCTACTCAGGGATATCGACAGTGGCCTGGCGTTCTTCCAAACACATGTAATCCACCACCACAAGATAACAGTCCTGTCTCTGCCACTGAACTGGCAAGATTTGCTAAGGCACTTCGGCTACTTACTTCTCCATCACCCTCTCCCATCATCTAAACTACCGCCGGAAGCTCAACGCCGCGAACGTTACAGAAACCCTTGTCTCACAAACCTACGTACGACATGACAGCCGATCTTTTCAAGCTGCTCCGGCCCCGATGAATTTGGACATTTCCGAATGAATGCATTAACGTTTGACGTTGACGACTTACGAATCTCATTTTCATTCTCCCCTTGTCTCTACCGTCTATGCAGGATTTTCAACTTGCAGCTAGGCGTAGCGAATCAGAAGCATTCATGTCAATCATATGTTCTATTTGTATCCTGTTTGTTGTCCGAAATGTCAGGAAGGTCTTTTATGGGTATACCACCGTCCAGCGACTTTTAGCGCCCTGCAAATAAAAAAAACCATGTCTCATTGTCTATTTTCCACTTCTCATTGACTTCTACCACGCCTGACCGTGCTGGGATACTGGGACATGGAACTTTCAGTCTGAGGCGGGCGACGAATTGATATGGATTGGAATGGACTGGAATGGGGATCGAAACAATTGAAACAACAGTCCTTCCTGTGTCCTTTGGCGACGGCAGCCTCTTCGTCTGCAAACCTGTCTCCTCATACGTTGTAGCAGACAGCCTCTTCAGCTCCAAGGCGCCCTTGCCCAACGACTTGATAATGGCTGCCTCTCGGACCTCCAAAACCTCCTTTGTCAATGAATCTCGCAACGGAACTGCAAACCCCCAATCTCATCCTGCTGCCCTTCCTTTGCCTTTTGGGTCCAATTCCATGTTGCGGCAACACTCACAAGCCACCGGCGCCGTCTTTCCCCTGCCTGTCTCGCTTCCCCGGCCAGCCTTGTGAGCTTGGGGGCTTCATTGCTGTTGCTGACGACGTGCAGCCCGTCTGAATTGACGCGCCCAGGCCTGGAGGGCAGTCGAGCTCCGTCGTGGGGGAGTCGAACTGTCGAATCGGGTGGGGATGTTGGTATAGTCCCAAGCCAGTCGGCGCCCATGTTGGTCGGTGTGGACATAGCGGTATTGGACCGGTTCTGCTTCTTCGTCTTGTCCTAGGTTGTCACCTCCTTCGCCGCCATCTTCAGAATCAGAGTCAGAGTCAGAGCCAGAGCCAGAATCTTGTTCTTCGTCATCAGCGTCGTAGTTTTTGTCCTGGCCATCATCTCCGCCATCTTCATCTCCATTTCCCGTTCCATTTCCATTGCCTGATCCATCCCCCTCACCAACTTCTTGGTTATCATCTGGCGCTTCCAGGCTCTCATGCGCCTCCTGCCCAGCAGGGGCAGATGGGCCGCGCTGTTCCGTACGCGATTGTCCATGGTCTGCAGATTCGGAGTTCGTGTCTTGTTCTGGCTTTTCGGCGAGGCTGTCGGTGGAGCTGCCGTATCCTGAGTCCGAGCCAACGAATTGCTGGTCGCAATGGGAAGGGTGTGTAAAAGCATTCATGAGGCTTCGGCTCTGGTGCAGCAGGTTGAAGTCGACGAGGTGAGGAAGACTGCGATGTCCGAGTCCGACAGTCTGCTGCGTTGCGACATTAATCCCTTCTAAAGAGGTGTAGTGGCTTCCATTTCCATCGTTTGCCTGAGGGCTGTTGTTGTCGATTGGAAACGAACCAGGAAGGCTCGACAAACGGTGGTCTTCTTGAAGTCCTTGAGGCATGTCCGCTAGAAAGGATCCAGGCAAGTTTGGAGCACTGTTGTCTTTGTTTTCGGCCAGGAAATAGCTGCAGGTGGCTTCCCAGAACGAAGCCTCGGCGCTATGGTACAGCTGCCAAATCAAGAGTCCGTAATTCAGCATAGCTGTGAAGACTACAGTCGTGTAGAAGTACCAGGAAGCTGTAACCAACATCCAATTGGTGTGCGCGAAGGTGGTCAAGAGGAGGTTGATATTGAATCCGAGGACGAGACAGGCGATCAGATCGTTCATGGGAAGCGGCTTTGGTGTCAGGAATAGCAATTGGAAATTCATCTTGACGTTGCCTAACCAAGGCTGTAGTATTTGTGCCGTCTCAAACAGTTTAAAGCCTTCTGGGATTGGTGAGGGTGATTGAAAGGACAGGACATCGCTGTAGATTGACCGATGGCTGGCTTAAATGGTTTTCTTTTCTGTCGAAAGTCTTCTGTCGTGGCCTATCCTCAGTCGCCAAGGGCATTCTCAGACGCGGCAGCGTGGGTGAACAAAGACATTGTAAGTCATGATCGTGCTGCCCGAGAATGCTGATGTCTGAGCCGTCATGTCACGGAGCATTGTCGTTGATCGTGAGCACTGCCCGCAGTCAACGAGTGGCCGCGGGCAAGGCAACGGAAGGGAACCGGCGAATACAACCAGCACAGCATATTCCCCCTTTGTTGAGTATAAACTTGCCAGAAGCTTCCGTTCAGCCTTGAGCGAGGACTGACACATGGCGAAATGAGATGTCTCGGATCAACGCTGTTGAGGAAGTGCTACTAGTATCGTGGAGCGTAGCAAAGGCAAAGATGGTTGTAAAGGGGGTCATTAGCTAAGCTCAGCCTCGTCAACACAATGCCTTTTTTTTACCGCGCATGTCAGGATCAGATCTGACACAAAGGGCGCTTTGTCTTCCGTCATCCTGAGGGATTGAAGAAAGCTGACACACACTTTGTGACCTCCGGGTACCTGTGTAAGACTGTCTTTAGCAGAGCCCATCCATTAGTCGGGATAGAGTCGTCATCATTCGTGCTATGGTTTTTGTTTCCCTTTTCCTTCCTATTCTCAATTCCAGCCAATGGACTCGCCTGAGAAGCGATTTCTCAAAATCCTCTCCCGACCCATAACAGACTTCAGAGCGACCGTGGTCCTAAAAGTGTACAACCACCCTGACGGACAAGACGGAAAGCTGACGCTACCGAGAAGTGCTTTGATTGCCGGGCTTCTTAGCAGTCGGAGTCATGCGGCGAAATCTGCATCGCCCTTTCTCAGAAGCTTGACCCTGCTAAGCCTCTGAAAAGTCCGGCCAAGGCTTTTGCTACTGATGCTACCTTTGGCGGACCACTATCTGTGACACTGGGAGCGACGTTGGAATATGTCGTTGGAAGGCCCAATCAGGGGTTGGGAAACCTTTCCGGATGCCGGCATGGCTTCGACCTTCACCTCTTGGAGATCTGCATATGACTTCAGGGTCTGCAACCATTACTAGTATGAGGTCCAGCGCGGATGAGAACATTCTGCCACTATGGGGAGCTTATGATGCTTGTTCCCGTGCTCTCCCCGACCTTGCTACGGGTAGAAAGGCATCGTTGATCCTTGTCACTATCGGCGATCATACAAGTGCCTCGTGTACTGACTCTGGCCTCGTAACAGTCATTCGAGAACTACCCGGCAGCCCCCGCCAGTAGATACTCGTTACTCCTGCCTTGCCTGTGGTAGCGACACCACAGGCCCGTAACTTTCTGCGGTCGATTTCTCGCTTACATCATGCAGTCCTGGGCGTGTCGCCGTTTTTGCATCACTGCCGGTTGCGCCAAACAAGATAAGCGAAACCCCCATAAATACAGGCCTGATAGGAGAGGCACGCAAGTCGCGAGCGAAGTCCAAATCCTGGTAGCTGTCGTTGAACAACTGTCGCAACTTCCAAGCTCACAGAGAGGGCTCACCTGACTACCTTATGCCACAAGGCTGCTTCATACCCAGCCACGGATCACTACTAGTATTGCATGCGCAAGCAACACTGCAAAACTTCGGACCTCGCATTCGACCAACACACTGTAATGGCTGGAGGCGCGATAAGCTTACTGCTGCCCTTCGCGGGTGCCATACAGGCTTCCATCTGCGTACTATTGACGATATTCTACGGCTTGCTGGCCTCACAGTGTAACCTCATGGAGCTCTCGGCTGCGAGACAGATCAGCAGAACCTCGGTGAACATGTTCATGCCAGCATTGCTGATCACCAATTTGGGATCTCAATTGCACTTGAGCAACATCCTCACCTATATCCCGGTCCTCGGTACGTGGATAGACCCGTCCGTCCCCAATCCGCGTCCTTACCAATGAATGTCGACCACATACAAGCATAGAGGTAGAACCAACAACAAATCTAACTAGTCTGGGCACTTATTCACCAGCTGTTCTCCCTGGCAGTCGCCCGTGCTGTGACTCATGTATGCAGGATGCCACGCTGGGTCGTGGGAGCAATCACTTTCAATAACACCTCTGCATTCCCTTTGCTGCTCGTCCAGTCTCTGGCCACGACGGGCGTGCTCGCGCCTCTTTTGGCAGGTCCCAACGACACGGAGTCCGACGCGCTGGACAGGGCGAAATCTTACTTCCTGATCTCTGCGGTGGTGTCCAACACAATGACCTTCGGAGCCGGTCCATCCCAACTCAAAGGGCATGAAGAAGACGCGCCGAATCAAGCGCCGAATGTTCATTGGCAAGACGAGGCGCATTCCGGAAATCAAGACGATCCGGAAGATCAGACTCAGGGTGATGGACAGGAGGACCAAGCACCAGACTCGGGAAGCAACCGTACGTCACTGCTTCCAGACCACATCAATCACCAAGTATATCGCATCCGCAACAGCATCAGCAGTTTCAGTCGACGCATGGTTCGCAGCTTACCGGAGCCGTTAAGGCGAGTTATCATGTCTATCTATCGGTTCCTTACTCCACCTCTGGTGGGAGGCATTATAGGTGCTATTATTGGCTTGATACCACCGCTGCACCGGTTGTTCTTCGCAGAGACAGATCACGGCGGCTATTTCACTGCCTGGATCACGGAGAGTGTCAAGCGCATGGGTCAGCTGTTCGTGTCTTTGCAAATGGTGATCGTCGGAGTAAAATTGAGTGTGAGCTTGAGGAAGGAGAAAAGACACGAAGACACAGGAAGCCTGTCGTGGGGTCCACTGCTCTTGACAGCAATCTTTCGTTTCATTCTGTGGCCAGCGTAAGTCCCATCGGCGATAGTGGGTGTTTTCTGCTAAGGGAGGTCGATATAGGATCAGCATTCCTCTCATTTGGGTGGTTGCAACGAGAACCACCCTTCTGGCAAAGGATCCAATGCTCTGGTTCACGATGATGCTCATGCCTGTCGGTTCAACTGCATTGAAGTTGATGGCTCTGGCCGACGTGTCGAGGACAGAAGCAAACGAGAAGATGGTCATTGCAAGATTTCTCGCAGTAGGTATTCACAGTGCGTGGATCATGGCGAATGAGGTGGTCGCTAATGGGTTTCACTTGCATAGGGCATATATGGGATGACGCCTCTGATCTCTTTGGCCGTCGTTCTGCGCTGAAGGCAGCGCAAGCAGCGAAATCCGGAGTCAGCTAAATGATGAAGGGCAGAAGACCACAACCACTGTGCTTTTTCGGGTTCGATTTCAAGGTGTTGCTAGCGACGACTTCGGCATAGAAATCGATGTTCCTAACCCCCGACTTTCTCATCTCAGCCTCAGCCATCATGCGCTCATGAATGCGGCTAAAGATATGGAACAACTTGAACGCTGGCAAGGTAGATCAGCTTCCGCAAGACGACTAGACGTCTCGAATTGCATTGCTTCTATTCCTGACACACCTCTTGGATTCCCCTATATTCTGACGCTGACCAGCAGCGTGTTTCGCCCCGATCAGACTCGACCTAACATTCGTCTGCAGCTTGGCTCTTCAACTTGGACCATCCGCCTGGTCTACGACGCACGCTCAACAGATCCTTTGCAGCAGACTTAGCATGGTTGACTCGTCCACGCGCTATGTCGACATTCCGGCAGAATCGTGACTTCTGCAGCGCTTGATACTTATATTCTCTTTCGGATCTCAGCGAAGAAGTTGAACTCGGACCCTCGGGTAAGAGAGCCATCTCTTCGCCGTCCTCCACGTCTGTCAAGGACTCGGTCTCCAACCCGGAATCATTCTCTTTCTGTTTGACATGCGGGCCCGCTTGGAGGAGATGTGACGAAATCTTCGGACTGACTGGCCTCGGCGAATTTCGCTGGCTGAGGCCACCACTGCGGCGGAGAGAAAGCAGCGTCGACATCCTTCCTCCCACGGTCTGAAGTCCAGCCAGAGCGTCCTTCGTCTTCGTCGACGCCGCAAGGACCATACTCTCGCGCTGCTTGGCTCCCTTGGCCTTGAGTCCAGACATCGCGTTCTTGGTTCGAGTCGACACAACGAGGAGGACACTCTCGCGCTTGCTCTCTGTGTTGCCCTTGCTGTCCAATCCAGCTTCCGCCTTGTCCTCTTCTTGCTCGCGCGTTTCGATCGTCTCCTCCTGCAATCGCTCGCCTTGCGACTTGATGGCATCTCTTATCTTGGCGACATACTCGAGGACCTGCTCGGACTGTTGTCCAGGTGCCACTTCTGGCTGAAGGGCACATGTTCCGCCACAGGGAGGATCATCGTCTGGTTCCAGTTCCAGTTTCAGTGGCTCGGCACTTTCCACAGGCTCTTCTGGAATGCTCTGCATTCGCTTGAGTTTCGCTGGTGAGGCTGCTCGGGAACGGACGCCAGCGTCCTTGCGTGCGGGATGGAAGACTTCGATTTCTGCTGTCATGGGAGATGCTGAGGTCGACACGCTCATGTTTGAGTACAAAATACTAGTAGAACAGTTCTTTCTGCAGTGCTCAGGGTCACTTGTTTTCAAATGCGATCATATATCATGCATTGTTATGGTCACGCTGCATTGGATTTGGACCTTTCTGGTATTAATAGCAACCGCTGCCTATCTTGAGCTGAACAAAGAATCTTCAACGTTCGAACAATGGCACTGTCTGCCAAAAAAACGTACATCATGGCCAATCGAATGGGGATCCCTTTATCCCTAGGCGATCAGACAAAGAGATCCCCATTCGATCGGCCATGATGGCGGAACAAGACATGTCGATAGTCTTCTCGAATCAGTGTGATTGACGGCCGTGGGATTTGAAAGAGCCTGAAGCCAGACAAGCAAGTGGAAAGGGGCAGCAATATGCATTGAGGTTTTCGAGAGTAACTCGACGACAGGTTTTGTACAATGGCCTGGATTCTTTCACTTCGTCGGCATTGCGTCCCCGAGACGGCCCTCTCTCGTCCTTCTATCTTGGTTGCCTCCTTACTTATCAGCAGCATCCAATGGCGTCTGTCCCTCCTTTTCGACCTCCTTTCTCTTCTGCTCAGCAGGCTTGCTGGGGTCTCTCTTGACTGGAGCATCTCCTTCCTCGTCCCATCCTTCCGATTTTTGGCTCACGGGCTGCGCAACGCTGCTGCCGCTCTCCTGTCCTTGAGGCCTATCTGTAGCTCTCTTCGACTTGATACTGCCTTCAGCCTGGCTATCGCTAGGCTTGGGGGATGGAGTGCCGAGGCTTGTGGCGGATTGAGTGTCGCCTTTCGTGGTTGTAGCGTATGTTTGGCGATAGAGAGGTGCCCGAGCAAGGGCGAAGGTGGACGGACGTAGGGCTAGGCGACGGAACAGCAGTGAAGAAGACATTGTGCTGGGTCGTTGTGTGAGTTGATTAGGGACTAGTATTACCAGGTTTTGTGAAGGTTCAAGTGTTCGGTTGGTGGATCACGATGATGGACAGCTGAGAGTGGTACGAGGTAATTGAGGAGTGAAGCTCTCAAAGACGCAGCTTGACTTGCGAGAGACATAAAGGATGATGCATGGCGACATCATAGCTGTTCAATGGCCCAGTATGCATGATGTAATGATGAAGCTGGATATTACTTGCGAGTGGGCAGTGACCTGCAGTGACCTTTACCCAAGGTAGGTACCCGCTGTTTCAGTACTTCTGGCACCTTCAACAGGCGTATCTCCGGCGTCTTCTTGATCTCTTGGAGATATCTGACATTTTTTGAGGAGATGGATATGTTATCGCTTCATGGAGAAAGGTATCCGGAACAGACCTCCGCATCCTGGAATGGCGAGGCTGAGGACCGAGGCTGAACAAGGCTGAACAAACCTGAAGGCGCAAGGGTCTGGATAAGGTAGATACCTGGTAAGAACTACTTCCTTGCACCACCAGGACTTTCAAGGACATTCTGCTACGTACGGCTTGTGTTTACCTCGAAACAAGACATGACCAGTCGTCGATATCAGTCCAATGAAATGCAGATATATCCAACGCCCCTTTGACGGTTCCAATGCCCCATTCCCGATTTTCCACGCCATCAAGTTGCTGTTGCTGAATCACCGGCATATACGGTCCAAAATAGTCGTCACCCATTGACAGATCAGATTGCTCGTTCGGTGAGAGCCCCAACTGCCACGTGATTGCGTGGTCGCTGTTCCAAAGAAGATCATTCTGCGTTTCGAGACATCTCAGCTGTTCCTCTGCTGCTTCATAAGAGGCAACAGAGGTGTAGAAATCGAGATTGGTATCGGCGTCTGCTTGCAGAACATCGCTGTCCTCGGACCGGCCGGCCCAGTCATTCCCAGAAAGACTGCAATTGGAGATGATACCAAATGATTGAGGGCTTTGTTCTTGGGATGTGGCCTCGGGACCTCCTTCGAGGCCTTCGCTCTTGATCCTGGCCGCATACACTGCAGGCGTCAACCCAGTTATATCTTTGAATATCCCATGCAGATATCTGGCCGAAATACCAACATTCCCAGCAATCTCCTTGAGCGTGGTATTGCCGTTGGTCTTCTTGATATAATCGCAGGCCTTCTTCACGATTTCCTTCTGCGGTTTGGTAATGACGCTACCCTCAAGGTGGACTTGATCAGGCATGCAGCGCTTGCAGGGTCTGAAACCGGCTGCAGTCGCTTTGATCGAGGTGTCATAGAACTTGACGTTCGCTCGGCGAGCCAGGCGTGCCGGACATGTCGGCCTGCAGAATATCCTGGTGGTGGTGACGGCGTATACGAATGCCGAGTCTGCGGACTTTGACCGTGTCTGCACCGCTTGCCAACGACCATGTTCAGTCTCGAACATGGTGCATTCACGTCCTGTTCTAACAGGGACAATAACAAGAGATGATATGATGTTTCCTGGCGGTCTTGAGATCGATCAAGTAGACTGCGCTGAGGAATGGAAGGATCTTAAGCTTTCGCGACTCAGCTACATATGAGAGCGCGGGAGTCGACTAATAACAGTCCAGTGGCTTACACCTCGTCCGAGGAAATCGACGTTCCCGCGTCGATGAGTCAAGGTGAATGATGGTGATATTGCTATCGAAGTGGCCAATCAGACATGGCGAGATGGCTCTGATACGAGGGTCACGCGGAGGGTGCCATTTCCCCGCACGAGGCTGGGCAGAGAGCACGTGAAAAGACAAGGCTGTCAATCTTGTTATATGATTGGACAGTAAGTCAAATCTTGGCCGATACCCTTATTCTCCGAACTCGCTCGAAGGCCTTGCAGCAACCATCTTCTCTTTCACTAGGTATGCTCCTCCAGCACAATCCCATTAACAGCAAATCAGAATACGCACAGTGCTAGAGGACTGCGAACATCTGGCGACTACACTTGGATCCAGTACAACAAGTTGGTCATTCTGCCATTGCTTTATTCCAAGGAAATGAAGCTCCGAACATCTACAACTCCTCTCCGAGTCCCCCATAAAGCCCGTTCACGCTGCGATGTACAGGGCTTCAGATACTTCGCCAGTCAAGCACAAACGCCCCTACAAAGATCTTCAAGAGACCTCACTGCTAGGCGGAGCACGAGTGTGCAGCCATACGCACCGCGAGGAATCCATCCATCATGGCGCCGCTCACCGCTTTCCCCATCCCAATCTCAATCCCGCCACCTCTCATCAGCAATGTCCTCGACACCACGGGCCTTGGTCAACGACATGGCCAACCAAGAAGTCCTGATCGACTTCAACGGGACCGCCATGCGCTATCCATCTTTCTGGCTGCGTGACCACTGCCCCTGCGCCGAATGCCAACATCCCAGCACCCACCAGCGCCAACTCGATACATTTACCATCGACCCGGAAATCAAAGTGTCCAACATCGAAACGACGCCCGACGGTCTTCAAATCACCTGGCCAGCGCCAGCCCAACACACCAGCCTATACTCCTGGTCTTGGCTCGAGACGCACCCACCATTCACCCAATTCAAGCCCTCCTCAAATACCACCAGCCGTGGCAACACGCCATCCCGCCGCTGGACCGCTACCACTCCCTCCGACCCCGTCCCGCGCGTCCCTTACGAGGCCATCATGTCCACTTCTTCTGATGAGACGACGACAGGCTCGGGTGCAGGTCTGAAATCCTTCCTCTCCGCCATCCACACATCAGGCCTATGCTTCATCCCGTCCACGCCGTCCGACCCCTCCGCAACCCAATCACTCATAGAACGCATCTCGCACATCCGCGCCACCCACTACGGCGGCTTCTGGGACTTCACCAGCGAAGTCAACCCCATAGACACCGCATACACAAACGACCCGCTCCCTCCCCACACCGACACAACCTACTTCACCGACCCAGCGGGCCTGCAACTCTTCCACCTCCTCTCACACACCTCGCTTGCCAATCCCACTGAACCGGGACAAGGAGGTGAATCCACATTCGTCGACGGCTTCGCGGCCGCCTCGTACCTGTACACCCATCATCCGCAACACTACCGGTCTCTGGCAACCTACCCCGTCACGTCCGCCGCGCTCGGCGCCCCCGAAGGCTCCTTCTTCAACACTGCATCCAGCCTGCAGGGCTACCCTGTTCTCAACCACTCTTCGCCAAACCCGTCCATCACCTCTCCATCCCCCTCGACACTCGTGCAGATCCGCTGGAACAACCTCGACCGCATGGCGCCGAGCACGCCGAGTTTCCCCAACCACACGGCGCTAAAGAATTGGTATGCCGCAGCCCGCGAGTGGGCCAGGATCCTGGAAAGTCCGGAGTTCTTGATCACAGTGAAGCTGCAGCCTGGTGAGCCGGTGATTTTCGATAATTGGCGCGTCCTGCATGGCCGACTGGGCTTCGAGGGCAAGCGCAGGGTTTGTGGGGCATATGTTGGTATGGATGATTTCAGAGCGAGATGCAGGAGTTTGGGCATCGAGGCGTAGCAGTTTATAACAGAAACGTGGCAACTTCAGCTCATCATGACGAAACGGTGTTCATCAGTGATCAAGTAATTAGCCTACTGCTCGGATCAGTGTTCCACAAGTCTAGTCATCTTAAAAAAGTATCGTGTTAGAAGTCGGATGACACTTGGTTGTCCAGAAGCTCGGCATGTAAGGGTTGCATCGCAGGGATTCTTACATCCTTGAATCGAACGAGGCTGATGGAGGGTTGTTGTGATTTGGAAGCTTCGATCAACGAGAGTGATGGCCACCTCAATGCGAAGGAGCCTCTGAAGCTCCGAGTGCCCAGTGACATCTCTGGTCTCAAGATGTTCAGGTCTGATTTACCAGTCTGATATCTTCGTGTGCAAAATTCAGTACCAATCATTTCCTGACCTAGAAATGCTGATATCCAGGATCAATCACACCAATGATCCGCCACGTCAGGAGCCCAATGATCACCATATCAAGAGTCCAATGGTCACCATACCAAGAGTCCAATGATCGCCACGTCAAGAATCACTCTCACTTTCCACGCTTCCATTCACAATCGCCATATGATTCGATCCCATCAGAGCAACTGCATCCTTGGCTTTTGTCTAATAGGAAAATGCTTTCAACCATTCAACATGCTTGATGCGACCGAGGTACGAATGGTAAACGGTACACTCCTGGCCCTGGCTCTTGTCCAAGTCTGCTCTTTCATCGGCAATGCGTTGGATTTGGTCGTGATGGTATCCGACGATGGGGACATCTGTAATCGAAGGTGTCAGCGCTGTCCGCAGAGACGAGTACATGAGGCAAAGAAAGGAGTCCAGGGCAAGAAGCCCAACAACGAAGGCGGAAGGTGTCAAACTTACAAGTGTTGCGACATCCACGAAGGAACTCGATCTCCGTCTGCAGGTGACCTAGCAAGACAGGATCTTCACGGTGCAGACGTCTCTTAGCAGCCAATTGCCCATCCAACCCTTGAATTTCGTTATTCAACAGCCCAACGACGCGACGAATACGATCGAGCTGGCCAAGATGACGATTGAGCTGACCCTCGAGGCCGTTCTTGGTTTTGACATGGTCGCTAACCGCACTTTGCTGACTCTGTGAACGAGAGACTGTTTCGACATCAAATGCCTTTCCCTTGCCTTTGGGGTCAGCCGGAGTATTCTTCACGGACGATGAGCCGTCATTGTCTTGTGGAGGTTTGACAACGCCATCCGAGATTTCCTCTCTCCAAGTGGAGATAGCAGTTTGAGCAGCTTCTTCCACATTATCCGGCTCGTTCATGGGTGTAGATGAGTTAGTCTCTTCCTGGACAGGTTTGTCTTTGTTTGGTTCTTCTGGAGCAACGGAGGTGTCTTTGGGCGCAATTTCTGGTGTTTGCGTGCTTGAGGATGGACCAGGAGTGATTTGGGACTGTTGTGAAAGTCGTGGCACGGTGCAAGCAGCAGAGGTAGGGTTTTGATGTTCAACCGCGCTAGCATATGATCGATCACTCTATTCACTCATTGTCAGCAAGGTTCAACAGGTAAGGCGGTGTTCAGGGACCACTGACCTCGGAAGATTCATGCTCTTCGTAGATCGTCTCTAGGAGAGCAGTCCGCCTTGCTGGAGGCCCTTTCTTTCCCCGTCGACGTAGGAGGAGTCGTCCGTTCTTCTTGGTCCTCTGATCCGACTTGTCACCATTATCCTTGAACCATCGCCAGTTGGTTGCCGTGAAGAGTCCGACAACGGCCCGCACACAGCCACATCCCCTGTCCAGTATGGTCGCCATCTGATGCTGGACGAAACGAGTTCTATGACATACAATAAGATGCAGGTTGTTTGCTGTTCTGTTTGATGATATTCCAAGATGTGAATAAGAACCAAAATTTGGATAAAGCGAACGGATTGTGATACTCAAATCATATGTAATCCTGGAAGAGGTGAAGTCAATCAGACTGATCGCGATCGCCAGGTTGACAAGAAGAACGAGGGGCGACTTCTCCTCGCGGAAAGCGAGCTCCTGGATATCAATGATATGGCAAGGGCCATTCTAAAAGAAGGCGCCTATCATGCCCATCCTGCCAAAGTCCAGCTGGTCCTTTCACTACTTTTCGCAGTCGTCAATCGTTGGGAAGTGACATTGATGTCGAGATCACGGTGTGCCCCTGCCAGTCCGTGCGAGAGGAACCTCTCTCTGTCAATTTCGACTAATGACTTCGCTTTCAGACTGGATACAAGACTTGCACCTGCCCAAGGTCCTAGAGATTCCACTTGTCGAAGAGCGACAGGCACAAAAGGTGATGCATCCTTTGACTTCTGTTTGTACAAACGTTCCTCCACGAAGTCTTCAACAACCGGCGTCGTGGCATCATGTCGAGCATCGGCCGGTAAAGCTCTACCCTGAGCGAGCTCTGTCAACCCACTTCTCTTCGCATTGAAATGTGTACCCCTGACAGCCGTCCAACCATGCTGTTTGATGATGGAATTGGTGGCATCGAGTATGGTCTTGGTTAGGCCAGCCACTCTCGAGCCGCGCCCGGTAAAGACTACCCTGGGCATGCAAATGCTGCGCACATCTGCGGACAGAGAAAGGAGTGTTCGATACAGAAGCTGGCTAATCGATTGTTCATGGTCGTCCGGATGATCCTCGTTTTGCAATCCGACCAAACGTTCCAAGCACGCCTGATGAAGTGCCGCTCGGGATATCGAAACGGGCGAATATGACATATCTGTAGGCCAATCGATCACAAGGTCCGTATCAAAGTCGCTGCCTGAATTGGTCGTGGGTTTGTCTTCGAAGCCCAATGCGTCCGTTCTCGCAGTCCGGTCGCTATCCACGTCTCGCATCAGCGCATGGCATGCACCAGCACGTTCGACAAACTCCTCAACGAAGTCGAAATCCAGCAAAAGAGTTCCCCGAACCGAGTCGCTCTGTTCTTTCCTGATCGTATCTAGCAATGCCCCGATCTTGACTGTGAGATCCTTCATAGCACGGACAGTCCGACGGACTCGCACTTCCCGGTACTCATAGATGGCCGTGATGACCGTTTCCTCCCAACCAATATCGACGATCAGACCCGAACGTAAGCCAGCCGCAGCGATGGTCATGGTGGGCTCAGGGAGAAGAGTGATGGAGGAATACTTCCAGCGTTCAAACAACAGGGTGAGCACTGTCGATAGAACAGGATGTGGAACAAGAGACGGCAGAACCAGGACCAGTCGCGCGTTACCAGCACCGACGAGGAGATGCTTGTTGTATGCTTCTCTGACTGCCCGTTCTAGCTTGTCCTCCAGCAAACCCAAGTCTACGTCTTGGAGATCGCTCCTCCACAGCTCATAGTCCTTGCTTGTTGTTTGTATATCCTTCTCCTTCCTCCTGTAGTCTGGCAAGTATGTACGATAGTCTCCTACTCGCCGAGAATTCTGAGGTGTGAACTGGATCGTACATTGCGGGCCACTCTCGCCTTGGAAGCCTGCACTCAATTCGCGAGGGTTGAGCTCGATGATGACAGGGTCCTCTTCGGCGCGGAAAAACGAAGAACCTGGAGAGGACTGGACGGAGGAGATGTAGCGGCTCGGAGTATGAGGTGAACCGGATTGCTGTCTGTCGCGCAGGCCAGGTCGAATGGCGGAGGCGACTGCTGATGCCATGGTGGTCCTTCTTGTCCGTCTTTGCCACCTCCACCGACCATGCTGGCCAATCTGTCGATTTATCTATGTCGTAACAATCGCAGGCATTATGGTGTTGTCATTCACAAAGTGCTTGCGACACGGTTTGAGAGTTCACTGAAAGTGCCCAAGTTGCGGAAGAATAATTCTCCGCGGCTTATTATTATAGCAACGACAACGTCTTTTCCAGGCATCAAATTCCTACTTCTACTTCATACCACCATGTCGACATCCCCTGATATGCTACAGCAAGGTTGAGCGATCAAATAGGGTACAGTATACGAAGGAGCTTCTGCTGCGTTTCGATTGTGGTAGAAATGGATTGCTTCTTTAACCAACTATCAAATCAGGCTTCCTGTCCAGCATCCCTTCATCATCAAAGCGAGAAAAATTGCTTCGCGGAACTCATCTGCAGAATTTGTATCCACATGTCCATCTCGCCCCTTTGCGGGTAAATTCATCAATCAGAATCATATCAGAGGACATATCTGAAGTTCGGGTTCTAGTGGAAAGAGTGAGATCAGTTTAGGCTAGTGACAAATGGCCACCTGGTCAACATACCTCGAAGTCCGTCAGATCAGCGGCTATCTCATCGGTTGCGTCCTGTGTGACTCCCATACCATTTGTGGCAACGGTAGCAGCATCACGTTGTTTGTTTCGATGGATCAAAAGCATTCTCAAAGCGAAAGCCACGACGGCTTGCGTTGCTGAGCATGCCAGGATCACTTTACAACCTGTAGGATATGTTGGGGCTTCCTCTGACAGAAAAGCGTGAGGTCCTATGATGTTGCCGGCGCAATAAGCCAAAAAGACAACAGCCGTTCCAGTTGCTCGCTTGGTGTAACCACCGAGGTTTGCGCCAGGCATCTGCAGTGCGACGACAAGAGATGCGACATATGACGCGACCATATAGTAGCCGAACAGGACACCAACGAGGTGTTGGTCACGGTTCAATTTCCAGATGAGACATATTCCCAGGATGGTCGGGATCAGATAAAGCGCCATGACGATGGTCCGGAAATTGCGGACTTTGGAGGCAAGGTAAGTGCCTGAAAGGATCCAGAAGACCTGAAACGCTCCTTGAGGAATACCCAACGCGGTGGTCTTGAGCGGATCATGCACGAGTCCTTTAATGATGAGTTTTCCGAAATTCGCGATACCGCCGTTCATCACTTCGTTTAGCAGCATGAACAGCGTCAATAACAACACCTGTGGGTCCAGAAGTGCTTCACGAATCTGATACCATTTCACGTGCCTGTTGAGGATGCCGGTTCGACTCTGCTTGCCTCGAGCGACAAGGACTGCTTTGTCTTGGATAGAGAATTTTTTGGCCGACAGGATAGTGTCAGGGAGGAGGAAGAGAACGAGTATTCCCCAGAGTACGGTGATCCCGCCACAGATCAAGAAGACGGCCTTCCATACTGGAAAGGTATCGATTTGACCAATTGCATAGCTGAAAATCCCACCCAGCATGGATCCCACGCCGTTGCAGCAGTAGAAAACGCCCGCGCGAAACGGTTGCTCTTGCCGAGTGTACCTGCACAGACATGTGGTTTTAGCCAATGTTCTTCCCGCACCAGGATGTGTGCTAAGCGACGTCGACATACCACATTGAGACAATGAGCATGAAGCAAGGAGTGATTGGAGCTTCAAAGACACCCAACAGGAAACGACAGATAGCGAGGCCAGTGAAATTGTGGCTAGCAGCTGTAATCATGAGGATGGCTCCCCATGAGATGATGCAACCTGCGACCACCTTGGCCATTCGAGTCTTCTGGGCCAGAAATGTCCATGGGTACTCAGCAACGAGGTACGCGAAGTAAAAGATGCTGGCAAGCCAGCTGTATTCATCCTGCGTGGTGCCGGTATCGGTGAAGAGATCAAAGACGGCCGAGTACGAAAGCGCCTGCTTGTCAATATATTGGAGGACGTAGGTGCCTGCCAACAGTGGCAGCAGGATGCGGTCGATCTTTCGCACCAGTTGTCTGTTCAGTCTTTTGTCTGCGAGGAGTTCTTTGATATAGCCACTCGAGAAGTTGTTATCTCTGAGGAAGATCTCGGCCTCGTCAAGGTCTACGACCTCGCCTGTGGCAATGTCATCTTTCGTCGCACAATGCACCGAGAAGTCCTCAGGCTTGGTCGATGCCATGCTCTTGTCCATGTCACGGCTCTCTTGACTGGGTTCCAACAGTAACCTGGTCAGATGGGACTTGAGAAGGAAGGATGGGTCTGGCCTGGCTGAGTCGAGTTACGTAAACGACTATGGAAGGAAATGTATCTTCAGACAGTGCTTGGATGGGTCCGCCGAAGGGATCATATACTCAATGAAGGGCGGCTTAGTCTCCCCTATGCAGATGCCCACGACGGCCAATTTAACGAGAAACGACAGAGATAAGATATCGCAGACAGCGAATATCATCGCACCTGATAGTCGATAACCCCCATACATTGGGCTCTTATGCAACAATGTGGAATGGCTGGGGCAGTCAAAAAACGCCCAGAAATGTCGCTCTTTGCTGTTGGGCGGGCCCCTGTTATCGGAAATCTTGGGAGACTGATCTGTTTCCCGATCGGAGGCCTAGACGATATCCTGGGATGTCCTTGAATCTGGCGTTGACTAGTCTACCTAGGATACAGCTTCTGGCCCACACACCCACGCTGGCTTGTCTCCCACAGTAGAGTTATGGTTGTTGGCCGGGTGTTCATGGACCGGCTGTCGGTGAAGCTGGGACATCTCGGTGTTTCCCGCTCCGCCGCCATTTGTCCGCAATCATGCAGAGGAGGCAACTCAATGCACCTAACCTATAATTCTGTGTCCTTGCACAAGTTTTGACCTTGTTGATAATGGCTTCACCTTTCTTACAGCATCAGCAATGAGTCAAATGAACGGAAATACCAGCTCCGCGCTGCAGCTGCCAGAGCCATTTGCCAGTATCCCTCGAGAGTCTCTTCTTTTCGGCCCGTCTCCGATTCAGGCGCTGCCACGGATATCACAAGCACTGGGTGGGGAAGTCAACGTCTATGCAAAGAGAGAAGATTGCAATTCCGGCCTGGCTTTTGGCGGCAACAAGACGCGTAAACTCGAGTACTTTGCGCCAGAGGCCATGTCCCAAGGCTGCACCACGCTCGCCAGTATTGGGGGTGTCCAGTCCAATCACACTCGACAAGTCACTGCTGTAGCTGCGAAACTAGGCCTTAAAGCTGCTACAGTCCAGGAAAAGTGGGTGGACTGGAATGATCCTGCGTACACGGAGGTCGGCAATATCCAGCTATCACGTTTGATGGGAGGCAACTGCCATCTCGACCCATCTCCATTCGGAATTGAGCACAAGAACACTCTTGCAAATCTGATAAAAGATATCACCGCCAGGGGAGAGAAACCATACTATATTCCTGCTGGGGCCTCCGACCACCCTCTAGGAGGCTTGGGGTTCGCCCGCTGGGCGTTCGAGGTTGAGCAGCAGGAGAAGGAGCTCGGAGTCTTCTTTGACACCATCATCGTATGTGCGGTTACCGGTTCGACCATGGCCGGAATGGTGGCGGGCTTCAAGCTCGCACAGAAGCACGGGTCGAAGCCACGGAAAATCATTGGGATTGATGCATCGGCCAAGGTTCAGCAGACGTTCGACCAAGTCCTCCGTATCGCAAAGGCCACAGGCGTGAAGATTGGGCTCGAAGAAGGCGACATTACTGAAGAGGACATTATTTTGGACGACAGGTATCATGCCGGCTGCTACGGTATCCCCGACAAACAGACTGTCGATGCCATCAAGTTTGGTGCATCGACGGAAGCCTTTATCACCGACCCAGTGTATGAGGGCAAGAGTCTGGCAGGCATGATGGACATGATTCGAAACAAAGAAATACCCGCCGGCAGTAACGTTTTGTATGCGCATCTCGGAGGACAGTTGGCGTTGAATGCATATTCTTCAATGTAACAGTCGCCCGAAGCAGGCTTGAACCTCACTAGGAATTGTATTTCCCCCGGGTTTCGCTCTCTATCTCTCAATCTCTGTCTGCGGGGGAACGAATAGTCTACAGCCGTGTAGGTGCCAATCTCGTTCCGGCACCCGCAAAACCGGACTTGTCCGTGCTCCGTCCAAGCCAAGAACTGAAGTTGTCCCTTTCGGACTTCGGGAAAATTGTATATAGCAGATAGGATCTTGCCCGATATCCCACTGAGAATGGGACCTTACGAGGCCAGCGACTGACCGATACCAGTATCCGAATCATGGCCACACCACCAGATGGCGGTCAGGGCCAGACACCAGACGGGCAAGGATCGCGACCATACCGGTCACATCGCTATCCCGCTTGCGAGGTTTGCCGACGACGGAAAACCCGCTGCATCCGAAATATCGACGATCAAGCGTGCAGGTTCTGCCGGCGACATGGGCTTGAATGCAAGCTGACTAGTAATGGTGCGAAGGAAGTTGCCACTGGAGCTCGTCCACCTCGTCGCTCACGGCGGTCAGCTCAACCACAACCTCGGCGGCGAGGGATAGGGCAAGCACCTGCGTCGCCCAAGCGCCCAAACTTCGTCTTCGATGACACGCAGATGGATATGGGCCCGCAAAGGGGCAGCTCAGCACATCACGACGATGCTGGCTTGAGCGAGAACGATGACGCCTTTCCTCGTCGATCTGCTCAGACTCACTCTGGACATATAATCGGCCCTGTGGCAGCTCCGGATGTCCAGATCCTGGAGCAGTACATGTCCCCTTCGGCGGGGATGCCAGTATCCCATGCCAGGCCCAATCCTTACAGTGTGTACTCAAGCGATTGGCGAAATCCCATCGTCTACCTGAAAGTTCCCCGGCAGCGTGTACGCAGCTCGAGAGGGAATGGATCCGCGGGCTTCCAACAGTACGAGTCGGTTGAAAAAGTGCTTGAACCCGTTGGCGGTGATGTTGTTGATCTGTGAGCCACCCAGCATGCAAAGCAAGAGATATAATCTGCTAACTCCTGACTCATCGCTAGCTTTTTCCAGGTTTTCCATCCTGCCTTTCCCATTCTAGACGAGAGGACGGTGCTGGAGTCTTACCGAAAGAAAGAATTGCCCCATGTCCTTGTCTGTGAGATATATGCCTGTGCCATGATATCTTGGCCGGTTTCGAAGGAGCTTGCAACCACTCGACCACATCGGCCTGACGTCCGATATATATGGAACAAGACTGTTGAAGCGTTGAATGAAGAATTCCTCGCCGCAGGATTCTCGACAGTCTTATCTTGCATATTGGACCTGACAGGTCGACCCACGACGTCGATGACATATAATGCTAACAACATTGGTCGAGCCGTCGCCTTATCTCAGAGTCTGGGACTGAACCGGGATCCCAGTGCATGGAATTTGGACCAGCGGCAGAAGGCGCTTCGAATACGGACCTGGTGGGGAGTGTTGATCCATGACTGGTGGTATGTGAATGGTTCCCTTGACCACAACGCGATGCTCGACATGCAAGATTTGCTGATCTATTCCACCAGGGCGAGCCTTGCACATGGAACTCCACCACATGTAAACCCGAGACAGTTCGATGTCGCCGTCCCAGACTTGGCTGCTCTGCTCATAGGAAGTGTTGCTGTCGAGGGAGACTCCAGTCGCATCTCTAGCCCGCGCACCATGGGTGCCCAGAGTTTTCGAGCTCTATGTCAATTGACCGAAATTCTAGGAAATATCTTGCCTTTCATCTACGACATCAAGCGCAACAATGGAGAAGTCCAAGCTCGATCTCTGAAGCGGATAGAAGCGTCATTGGAGGACTGGGAGGATAGCCTGCCACGCTCGTTGAACATGAAGAGCCTCGAGTTCCAGAGGGACCAGCCCGGCGCCTTGAATTTGTACCTGTCATTTCTGGCCATCAAAATGTGTATCTGTCGGGTGTTGTTGCTAGAATCGGTCAAGTCGGATGATTACAGTAACCCGGAGACCTTCCGATACGTTCAGCTACAGTGCCGTCGAGCCTCCCAGGGCATTGTCGATTTCACCTTGTCCCTGCGCGGGAACGACTTGCACGCGTTCTGGATGCCGTACACTGCGTACCATTTCACCTCTGCGGCAATCTTATTACTCCGCTGTGGTCTTGAAGCAGCGAACGCCGACACGGCGAGTGAATGCATATCAGGGGCTCAGAGCCTCGTCGACCACCTGCGGAAAGCCAAAGCTGAGGCCCAGTGGGACTTGGGCGATACCTGTCTCTCCCAGTGCGACCGGATGATTCAGCAACTCAGTGACAGAGGTTACCTTTCGGTCCGGCAACAGAGACAACCGCGCGATGGAAGGACACCCGCGACAGCCAGTCAGCGCTTCGAGCCTCCCAGGACATCAGAAGCAGGTCAGTCGCAAGCCATGGACATCGATCGGCAGACCTCAACGAGTGCAGTCATGGCTGCTCAGGCGCCGCCGTCGTCCAGTGAGCCTCTTGGCATTGGTGTGGCACTGGACGGTCTGGCTGGAGGCTTTCAGGATGGTGTTGGCATGTGGGATCCATGGGATCCGTTCGCGCAATTGACAATCCCAGATCTTTGGGACGCAACCGAGTTGAATGATTATAACGGGTCCATACAGTGACAGGCTTTCCAACTATGCTGGAGTTTTGCGGATTAATATTGTCTGTTGCGCCTGGATCTCGTGGTAGTGAGATACATGCCATGTTCAAGTCCTGCATGGGGTATCTGTACCGTACGACCCTTCTTACATCATAGCTCACGATGACCACAACGGCCCCATCTCAGGATGATCACCTAAGATTCAGTGCTTTCGGGGGTCCACGACTCCTAGTGTCACAGTCTCAAATATCGCATGCAGTGACGTGGTGACCATGGTGGTCGTGGGTTGTGCCTCCTCGGCTGGGGCACCACGGCCTCCTCAGTCTTAACTAGACCGAGTACTCAGGCACTACCCCGAGTATCGGATCAGGCGCACACGGCCTCTCAACAAGGGTGAAGAGATGCAGGGTCCATGACCAAAGTCGTCATTGTCCATGAGCAAATGCAAATGCAGACGCAGGAGGTCGAGGACGCACGAAGTGATCTGGATGTCGATGATGATCCGAGCTCCTTGCAAGTGTCTCCTCACGTCTATGCCTGAAGACTCGGAGTCAACATGTCCACTTTATCTTGGGGATCTACAGGAGGTGGTCCTGCTTGCAAAAAATGCCTATTTAAGGTGTAAGGACGAAGTACAGTAGGCAGAATGCCTGCGCTCGCGCCCACAACCAATCAGATCTCCCCGACGGTTTTGAGCTCTCTTTCTCGCTGTTGGTTGATGGGAACCTTGGATTATTGCTTAATCAAGAAGTATTAGCTACCATTTTAGGCAATATTTTATTCCTGTATGCCCCTGACCGTCGGCTAGATCTGATTGGTTATGACAGAAACTCGCTGACCGATTGTTGTTCCGCCACAATCTTCGGGAAAACATATCTTTGTTACAGTAATCTACAGTTTTCCGAGATCGACGTCCAAGCCCCGTTGTGTGGGAACACCATTGGTGCCCGAGATGGTATCAGACTTTCGATATTACACATACTTTCCACGATGAAGGTATGCCCATGCAACGTTGCTGTAAGCCAGCTCTGTCTTCTCAACAGCCTGCCTGCTCAAGAAGGGCTGCGGACGGGTGACGCTGGTCCGTCGCCAACCTATATCTGTTGATAGGTTGTAGCTTGATGTGGGCTTTGCCATCAAAGCACATTGCGAATTTGTCCGCAACACCTCTCCAAGACCAAGATCCATTCCAATGGGGTCAGAGTCAACAAATACGCAACGGCCGTCAGCGAGACTCCGACAAGGAAATGTGATCGGTATCACGCAATGTGATCCGGGCGCAGAATCTGTTCAGGCATTTCTAGGCATCCCATATGCCTTCCCGCCAACAGGTGACCTGCGATTTCGTCCGCCTGTGAAGGTGAAGGATTCATCGGAGGACATTGACGCGTCTCATTACGGACCTGCGGCCCCGGGGAGGCCTCTCTTGATTGCTGGACCGAAGCTGGAGTACAGTGAAGATTGCCTCACTGTGAATGTGTTCCGTCAGACACCAGGGACGGCCAATGACCGCCTTCTACCCGTGGCAATCTACGTTCATGGCGGAGCCTTCAACAGAGGAAGCGCTTCCATGCACGACACGGCGTCGATGGTGGCATGGTCGGAGCAACCTTTTGTTGCCGTCTCGTTCAACTACCGAATTGGTGCTCTTGGGTTTCTACCATCGAGCCTGACTGCAAGAGAAGGGGTTCTCAATCTGGGCCTTAGGGATCAAATCTTACTGTTCGAATGGGTTCAGGAAAATATTTCATCCTTCGGAGGAGACAAGAACGATGTCACTCTCATCGGCCTCTCTGCTGGAGCTCATTCAGTAAGTGCTCGAAGACCAGATCCAGTGAGTTTGTCGACCACCTATGCTGAACTCGGGAATAGATAGGCCATCATCTCATGAGGCACAGCACTGACAATCCCGGTCCATTCCACCGAGTGGTTATGGAATCTGGTGCGCCCACCTCCCGCGCGGTGCGTGTTTTCGACGCAGAGATCCACGAGCAACAATTCCGCGATTTGCTGAACGAGGTCGGCTGTCCGAGTGACTTGGCACAAGAGAAAGTGTTTCCTTTTCTGCGCTCATTGCCGCTATCTGTCATCACCGATGCCCAGAATTCTGTCTTTGGCAAATACAACCCGTCGCTATGCTGGGCTTTCCAGCCCGTCATTGACGGCGATATCATTCTACGTCGGCCGATCGACAGCTGGCGGTCAGGAAACTATTACCAAGTGCCCATCATGACCGGTTTCAACGGCAACGAAGGGTCGCTATACGTCGACAAACAAATGGCGACAGGTGAGCAATTCGAGCAGTTCTTCAGGACGCTCCTGCCGCACTTGCCCGCCTCAGACATCGAGACGATCGCCGACAAACTCTACCCCAACCCGACTCAGTCCACAGACCTATCCTACCGGGAAACGCGAATGTGCCCGGAGATTGGACCGCAGTACAAACGCATCGAGGCCTCTTACGGACAATACGCCTACGTCGCTCCGGTTCGTCAAACTGCGAATCTAGCCTCACAAACGCAAGCTGCACCAGTGTTTCTTTATCACTGGGCCCTGCCTACGACCGTGATCGGCGGCGCTAGTCATGGTGACAACATGCGTTATGAGACGTACAGCTCTACAGTTCGGTCTCTGTCTGAGACCCAGAGGGAGATTTCGGGCATGTTGCACGCATACGTGACCAGCTTCATCTGCAACAAGGGCGACCCGAACGCCGTGGCTGGGAAGTGGGCGAAGAGGCCGAATTGGCAGCCTTATGCAGCTGGAGAAGAGAGGCCCAAAACCATGGTCTTTGGGAAGGGGATTCACGAGCTCATTGGCGGTGAGAATCGTGGCGATTCGGCCGAGTGTGTCTTTGATGATTGGGCGTTGGAACAGTGTCGTTTCTGGTGGGAACGGGTAGAATTGACCCAGCAGTGAACGAATTTCTTTATTCAATAGAGCAAAGGCGATGCAGAAGACTCAGCTCAGTGTCTACTTGATGCTTCCTCCCTAAAGATCGAGAACGAGGAGTCAAAGAGAGTCTTGCTGTTCGAAATCCGACACGTGACTTCGTGAATGACCGAAGTGCCGCCGGCGAACTTCCTCGCGTCAACAAACAATAATCGTGACACTCGTGGACGCTCTACTCCGTAATTTTCATTGTTGTTTCAATAGTCGGTGGCGAACCATCATCGACGATGGAATCCCGACCGCAAATAAGGTCGAAAGAATATTCAAAGGAGCGATAGCGATGGGTATACCTGGGTAGGTGGTGCCCATTTACTTCCGACATCACCGCACCCTGGCAACTAATGAATCCCCGGTGAAGCATACTCAAAGAAATCGGCAAAGGCGAGCGAGTAGCCCTGGCACGGCTTGCCGTCGAACATCTCGAGCGATCTAAGCGACCACTCAGAATTGCCATCGATGCAGCAATTTGGAATTTTCAGACTCAAGCCGGTCAAGGTGGCAAGAACCCTGCACTAAGGACGTTGTTCTATCGCCTTGTTAAACTACTTGCTCTACCTATCGATCCGGTCTTCGTGTACGATGGCAAGAATAAACCTCTCACCAAGCGAGGCCGGACTGTCTCGCGGTATGGCTCCTGTATCTCAAATGAGATGTCCAAGAAACTCATCCAGGCCTTCCGTTTCCCCTACCACACAGCCCCTGGTGAAGCCGAGGCCGAGTGTGCTAGGTTACAGAGCAAGGGGCTGGTTGACGCCGTCATGAGCCAGGATGTTGACGCTATTATGTTTGGCTCGACTCTCACGTTAAGGGACTGGTCCAAAGAAGCCTCCAAGCACAACAAGTCGCCTACTCATGTCAATGTGCTTGATCTGCCTAGGATAAAGTCCCTGTCTGGGCTGGATCCGGAGGGAATGATCCTGGTGGCTTTGTTGAGTGGTGGCGACTATGATGAGGCTGGTGTTGCTGGGATTGGGTCGACGCTTGCATGCGAAATCGCACGAGCCGGCTTTGGAAGTGACCTGCTGGAACTGGTACGAAAGAGCGATGAAGATGGCATACGAGAGTGGAGAGAAAGGCTTCAATTCGAGCTTGAGACGAATGAAAGCGGCTATTTCAAGGTAAAGCGGAAATCAATCCAAGTACCAGATACCTTCCCTGATCGCAAGATCCTGGGATACTACTTGAACCCTGCAGTCACACCTGACGACGAACTGCCGAAGCTGGAAAAGACGTGGACAGAGGCATGGGAGTCTGAAATATGTATTGCAGACATGCGAGCATATGTCCGCGAGACATTCGAATGGGACTACAAGCCTGGAGCTTGGAAGTTTGTCCGGGTCATGGCACCAGCATTGCTAGCCAACCGATTACTCCGGAAAAGGCAGTCTCCTGTGGGCTCGGCGGATCAGATCACTGAGCGAAGGAAACACTTCGTTAGCGATGGGATTCCTGAGCTTAGGATTACTATGATCCCAGCAGAGATCGTCGGTTTGGACTTGGACGCAGAGGAAGACAGCCCAGAATATCTGGAGAGGCTTGCTGCAGAGGAAGAGGCTCAGGATGTCGCCGAGGACGGCGACGAAGAAAGCGTCGAGAATGCGCCTGCCAGTCCTTCGAAGAAGCGGAAGACTGCTCCATGGCTACCGGATGCCCCAGAGAAGGTATGGATCGCTGAGACGATAGTAGAGATCGGCGCTCGATATCACCTTGACAAGTGGCGGCGGATACAAGAAGAGACTGCAAACGATCCGAAAAAGTTCGCAACTCGGAAATGTCGGAAGCAAAATGAGACACGAAAGGGCAAAGATACAACAGGTGGCATGACAAAAGGTGCACTGTTGAATTACGTGGTGACGTCGAAACCATCTAGCCATGCAGCTCCGGCACGGAAGATCAGGGGTGATCGATCGCCTTCCTGCGTCAATGATGCCGCTGCTTCGAGAGAAGTGCCCAGAACTCCCACAAAGCCGAGTTCAAGTAGGTCGGGAATTACAAGCTCACCTACTATGCGCGCCTTTCTCCAAGTCAGCAAAAGTCGCGATCCAACGAAGATTGCAGATGACCCTTTTCTTGGGCCTTTGGTGCCAGTGGTACAGAAAAATTCCATGGAGGAACCCATAGTCATCGATTCATCCCCAGTGCATCCGACACTCGAGCTTACACGAGAAGTGCCCGCCGCTCTTGAGGCAATTTCCCAGACTGCAGAGGTCCCAGACACGGTGACGCAACGCCGGACTAGGAAGCCGGCGAAGATATCGCGCACTTTGGTACAGCCTGATTCAGCAAATAGTTTGCGTGAATCAGTCAACAACAGTCCAACCAGACCCAAGCAGTCGATCAAAAGTTTCTTTGCCCCATATATTTCTGCAACTCAGCAAGAGCACAAGTTAGCAGAAGACTCGTCAGAAGAAAAGCCGACCGATTTGATTGTCATACCTCCGGAACTGACCACGGGCCTGAAGACGAGCTTTTCTTCGAGACATGTCCGTGCTATGCCTCGCGACAGCCTGCCAGGGTCGTGGAAAGAAGTTGGCAGCGGAGCGACCCCGAAAGCAGCAGCGGACCCTTCGAGGATGTCACGTCCACGAGTCAGCATAGTCGATTTGACTGGTGACTGAAAGACGTCGGGACCTGTTAAGGCCTCTTGACTTTCCAGAAGTCTTTGTTTTCGAAGAAAGTTTTGCTGCGAGTGATCTCGATGGCCGCAGCCTCGATGGTGGCAATGGCGCTCGGCTTCTCGATGCGGACTTTGGCGACAGTATGGCTGTAGTTCATGGTGACAATCTGTGCTACTGCAGATGCGAGTGCCTCGATTGTATGATATGACGAGCCTTTTACTCTCTATGTGTATCAAAGGCGTCAGTGACTGGAACCGGAGGGAATTGGAACATTGGACTTACGTCGATAACTTCTTCGACCATATCATGTAGCTCAGCAGTATAATGCTCCTCCGTAGGCTCAGGACCAAGGGCGGTGGTTATGACCGGGATGCTGATATCAATGGATAATGATTGTTTGTAGAGCCGCTCATGTGGGTTGACGCCAATAATGCAACTGCAAGCGATTCCCTTGATATCAAGAGTCAAATTGGGCGTGATGAGTCCTGGAGTCGAGTTGTCGACTTGCAGACGATACAAGACACCTCCGTTGACCTGCAGAAGTGCTTTGGGGAAGAGAATGTCCATGTCAAGAAAGGCATATTCTGGCACAAATTGAGCAAGCTGAGAGATCAGGACGTGGATCGTAGGATATGCTCCAGAGTTCGTTAGACTGCCAGAGATGCTCTTGTACAATTTGCCGTAGTCTAGAGAAAGATTGACATCGTCTTGAGCGGCGGCAGCCTCGAGATTGGATCTTGGATGAATTTCGACTGTGATGGAGACGGGTTGTGGTTTGCCGTACCGTCGCCAGGCGTCAAAACCGACGGCGAGGTCGAACTTGAGATTCTTGAGTATGACCTTGTCCATTTCTAGTGGTGAATTTGTGAGTCGAGAGGGAGAGCAAGCCGAGTGCCCAAGAGTTGCTGAACTAGAGGGACAAATAAGATGGTCTGATGCTCGAATGTCTAGGAACGGCGAAGACCTTGACGGACAGCTATGCACGTGACCATGCACGTGACCATAACACCCGGACGCAGTTCGAGTTGCCTGCGTTGTTTGTATGGCCAAGAAAGACATACATATAAATATCTGGAGTCTATAGTGTTTCAAATACATACTGAGTCAAGCTGAGAGACGGTAGGACTGTGAATATATCTAACTAGAGATTTGAAGGCTGGGAAAGGTGCGAGAATTTGTAAGGGAAGAGAAAGTAGGCAACTTTGAGACATGGACAACCAATTCAGGCGCAAAGGTACGAGCAAAAGGTTGAAATTTCAAACTGGGCAGCAATCTTGACACTTCTTCCATCAGTAAACATTTTCAGGGAGCCAAATTGTCACTCCGTATGCGAGTTCAATGACCTTGATGGTACAGAGTACCTCTTAAGTCGAGCGTAACTCGTTGTGCACTATGTGGAAAATCGTTCTTCCGCAACCGGCCCAAATTGAAAGCGATTCCCCAGACGCACGTGATGAACCCACGTGATGAATCCGGGGCAATTCTCTGGTTGCGGCTTTGTGGCTGCGCTCTTTCGTTCCCAATTGAATTTAATTTTCCCGGATTTCAGGGTGCTGACCAACGTTTGCAATTCACGTCAACGACGACCTCTCCTTTTCCTTCCATCACTGTGTCAGATTCACTTGGTATCGAATATTCCCTGTCGCACTATATCACCTTCAATGGGTCGAACTGCAGCCACTACCGCATACATTATTCCACGACTTCCTGCTGTCGATGGCGTCGTCGCGCCTTCTCATGTGACTGAGACGCCCTTTGCATTGTCCTTCGAAACATATCGCCTGCTTTGGCTACTGGCGCAAAGTCCGCCTTGAAGAAGGGCGGACGGTAATCACTCCACTCGGGTCGAACATATTAGGGCACATCTATACTACAAGTGACAGAATTGCGAAACAGCAGAAACAAGTTCAGAAAATATGAGCCTTGGACACACACAGACCGTCATGGATAAGATCCAAGACGCGGAGGGAGGCGTTCGTCCGCTCAACGACGTGTCTACCAAATTGGAGGATGCTCTCAACTCAATCGCGCTTGGAAACAACGCTTCTGAGTCGACCGAGCCAGAAATCACGCCGATGCGCTCAAAGAGCCCGCCAGCCACCCCTCGCAAGGCCATACCGCTGCACGGGCGGCAAGAAAGTCCCCTAGCTGGAACCGAAGGTGAAAGAGGAAGACAAGAGGCCAAAGGCAGCGTCATCCTGTCTACAACCGCAGCGAAGAGGAAGAAAAAGAAGAACAAGGCAAGAACCGCAGAAGCTGCTCACGCGCTGAACACCGTCAAAGGCTTTATCCCGGTCGATTCAGGCGCCGAAGACTCGGATGCTTCCATCAGCAGCCCACGGGTTCTGTCGCCCATTCCACGGCTGCCTGCTTTAGCCGGTGCCAGTCCGGGGCTGAGACCACAGTCACCGGGAATCAGCAGCTTGAAAGCACAGCTTGACGCTCTGAACTCACGCAGCCAGAGTCGCTCTAGATCGCGTGTCCGAACCAACCGGGACTCAGAGGCAGAGGCAAATAGCAGTGCAGCCAGTGCAGCCTCGGATACCCAAGGCGACGAGACTCCCGAAGAAATGGTCAGCTACCATGTGCAGATTGACCAGGACTTCGTCAGCCACTCGTTGGTTGACACAGACGCCAGCTCGACTTCTGTCTCCACGCTGGATGCACTGGATGCCGATCAGCGGGCCACATCCATAATTGCGCGCAAGATGACGGCTGCAGATTTCACTCCCATCCGCTGCCTTGGGGATGGAGCATTTGGCACGGTACATCTCGTGCGTCAGAATGCAACGGGTCGTTTGTTCGCGCAGAAACAGCTTACCAAGGCATTCGTCAAGGTCCACAAGAGGCGCATCGAGTCGACCAAGTCGGAGCGGACCATTTTGGAATTGGTCAATCGTCATCCGTTCATTGTCAACCTCTACTACGCTTTTCAGGACCATGAGAAGCTGTACTTGATTCTCGAGTATGCTTCCGGTGGAGAGCTCTTTCGGCATTTGGAGCTGGAGAAATTCTTCTCCGAAGAGGTCGCGGCTTTCTACGTTGCCGAGATTGTTCTGGCGTTGGACTACCTTCACAATACTGTCGGTGTTATCTACCGCGATCTCAAACCTGAAAATTGCCTGCTCAACGCCGAAGGCCATCTTCTGCTGACAGACTTTGGTCTCAGCAAAGTGGCCGTTCCTGATCCCAGCACTCCGGGAGGCAGTCGTTGCAACAGTCTCGGCGTGGGGACCATCGAATACATGGCGCCAGAGATTATCAGGGGCTGGGATGAGTCCGATTGGGGGCCGGGATACGGCAAATCCTGCGACTGGTGGTCACTGGGAGCTATGGCGTGTGATCTTATGACGGGGAAGCCACCATTTGGGGGAGGGAACTGGACCAAGATCCAGCAGAACATCATGCACCAGAAATTGAGTCTGCCTTATTTCCTGTCTCCGGACGCGAAAGATCTTCTCACCAGGCTACTGCGCAAGGAGCCTAAGAAGCGACTTGGTGTCGGTCCTAACGATATCAACACGATCAAGAGGCATCGATTCTTCAAAAAGATTGACTGGAAGAAGCTGGAAGCACGAGAGCTTGAGCCGCCCATCAGACCCTTGGTCACGAATCCAGAATTGGCCGAGAACTTTTCCAAGGAATTCACGGAGCGCGCAGTTGATGCAGCACCTCGGCGACACAGCAGGACATTGAGTAAATCTGATCCCTTTGGCGGGTTCAGTTATGTTGCGAGTCACAGTCTGCTAGAAGAGTCCATGCTCTCGGAGTTGGATGAGGCGATCATTGACGATGGGGTTTAGAGGTTGTGGCAGCGAGGGTATGATAGAAAGGTCGGCATACAGCAGCTCATCCAGCGGCAAACGATAGGGGCTTGTCTGGTACCATTAGAGCGAGGCGTCGGGATTTAGGAGAGTTTGCATATCAGATGAGCATTTGTCGAACCGCGATCGCGAGGCATAGAGAATATGGACATGCTTCAGAGGGTTATTAGAACGGCATGAACATGAACAGTACGTACCTATAGGGTATGCTTGAATCTTGAGTAACAAGTACCTTTGATGGTAGAATCATCGCCATCATCACAATCATCACCTTCATCACGATCATCCATCCTCATGGAATCTCACGTCACGTGTCGCATCTCGGTTCGGTGTCTGCCTGAGTCGCTGAGTACCTGTACCTCATTCACTGAGTCACGTACCAGGGCCCCAAAGGTACCTGATACCCAAGGTACCTGATACCTTCCCTTGACCTCAACACTGCCACGCACTACTTGCCTATTGATTGACTGCTTCACCTTGCTGCCTGACTTTCACTTTCTCTCAGTTCAGCCTTGATTCTGCCTCACTGCGCCTTACCTTTTATTTGTTTTCTCCTCCTCTACGTCTTTGACCTTACCATGATACCTTTCTAGATCTCCCTCTCCATCCACCAACGCCTGTCTCTTCAATGGCAATGGCATCCTCCATCTGCATAACCGACCTCGAGGTAGAAATCCTTGCCGACATCTTCGAAATAGTGAACGACGAATCACCGCGGACTACACCATCTGTCGCTCAAGTCAACAGATATTTCAACTCGGCAGTCCGGCTTGTTCGATACCGCCGCGAGACACTGAAATGGAGCGCAACTCTTGGACGGTTCGTTAACCAGTTCGATCAAGCTCCAAAGGATTTGTTCTCGCCAGATCGTCTACGCGGTCTCCGCCATCTCACCATCGCCAAGGGAGGATCCTTTGAAGGGCTCGCTTCGTCCGCTGCAACCGCCGGTTTGAAGGAGCTGCTGTCCGCCGTCACCAACCTCAAGTCTTTGACCTACAAGACCGGACGATATCCTCAACCAGCCATCATCAGCGTTCTGCAAGAGAAACATCCACGGGCCGATCTCAGAGTCTATGACGTGGACAAGCCCCAAGCTCATTACAATCAACTTCCAAGTCCAGAGGCGAAGTATCTAGCACACTCCTGTGTGAGCGCGTTTGCCATGGAAGTGCCCTATCGCCACGACTACATCGACGGTGACCATCGAGACTTCGAGCACATCGTCTCGAATGCTACGAAGCTGAAGTCCGCCTCATTGACGTCTTTTGGGATCCAGACGAATCGCATCTGGAACTGGACAGCTGTCCCATTTCACGGAAAACCCAGCACTTCATTGCGCCAGTTCTCTCTGGATGGTTGGCCGGTATCGGCTCAGACTCTCGATTACTGGGCAAGATATGTCGATCTGGCCGGTCTAGAGACCTTCGCATGTACCAGAGGTCCGCTATCTGCTTCCTACTTCGTCATGGCAGCGGATGTCCTGAGAAACCTGAAGCACGTCAGTCTGAACCTGAGTCCCTTCACATGCACCAAGGATACAGCGAAAGCAGCCGAGCAATATATCGCCACATGTCCTTCTCTGTCCACACTGAGCCTATGGTCCTGGATGGAGAAGGTATCACTGTCGACCATCCTACGGCAGCACGGACCCACTCTCGAAGATCTACAGCTGCACATGCGCGAGGAAGAAGTGCAGACGGATTTCCGGACACTGACACTCAATGAAATCATGCTCGTCCGGACCTCTTGCCCGAAGTTGAGGCGGTTCACCTTCGACTTGGAGCGGCAGTCCAAGGATCTCAAGGTTGAAGACTACAGTGAGATCCTCGACGAGATCAAGCGATTCAATCTGGAATCCTTGCAAATCTATTTCGACAGTGGCCTGTCATATATGATGAGCAGACATTCGGACCATCTTGATCGTGAAGAGGAGGAGGACGACGACGACGACGCCTCGGACAACGAAGATTCCGTGCCGAATTGTTGTGGCGGTGGTCTGGACTCGAGCAGCATGGAATCTATCGACACCTGTTTCGGGACGCAAGAGGGCCGGACCCTAACGTTAGCTCTACACCCACCGTCGTCGACAAAGAACATCCAACGCTTCACACACGAGGTTTGGAAGCATATGTTTGGCGAGCGTACGACGGGCGCCCGGCAGCTCGATCTCAAGTTTGGCGAGTGGGAGAGAAAAGTCGTGCCTGTGCCGTATCGACCGGATGGGCAGGTGCAACAGGATTTGCGCGTCTGGTGCGTGGCCAAGCCTCATGACCGCGACGATCGGAAGGGTCAGTCTCAGGTGGTGTTGAAGTGTTGTCAAGGCAAGCATTGGGAGAAATCCACCACCGGTTGACTTTGACATTCTGGACTGGCAGCAGGAAATTCATCACTGGTTGACCTTGACCTTGTTGACTTTGACCTTTTCCAAGCCGTGGGTGGGCCCTTCTGGGACAGACACAGACACAGACGGGAATGGGCTGAAAGGCGGGAGTCGACGTCGAAGTCGGAGTTAAGAAAATTGGAGACTGGTGACACAGGATCGTGATTTTCCAAGGCATCGGCGCAAAGGAATTGAGCGTTTATTGGGAATGGCATCGGCGCAAAAGCAAAGGCGTTAGTGTTTATTGGGAAAGGCATCGGCGCAAAGGCATGGGTTGTCTGTTTAGTGCGGAAACGCAAGGCATGAATCACCATGAGCACTGGAGTCTTGCTATCGCTATCAACAGATGAACAGGCGTTCTTTTCGGAAGCTGAGGAGATCAACGACCGTTCGTCGAGCCTGGTGAATGATGTGATGTGATGTGATTAATGACCAAGATACTCCAGACGTGCTCTCTCTACAACTGGGGGGCATCGAGCAGAATGCATGAAATGATGAAATCAAATGCTGAATTGAAATGAATTCAAACGATGAATTGAGCATGGAACGAGGTACACCCCTCCTAACTTAGGCCACGCTAGGGGTTACCCTTTAGCCCATGAGGAACGACAACAAGAATCCAAAAGTCGTCAACGACGCCACAACCAAGCCTGATCCTAAGGCCGAAAGACCCGTCAATCTGGATACGGCCATGGGTGGAAGAAGAAGTCGTGTACCGCCCGAACGCGCAGGTTCTCCATTACCGTTACCGTTACCGTTACCGCTCGAGATCCTTGTCGTCGGCACGACACCGACATGCATGCTAGCATTGGCATTACCTTGCGCGTCGACCAGTGCTCCGGTGGATGAGTTTGTGCTAGTACTAGTAGTGTTGAAAGCGACGGGCGCGATGGTGAGTGTCAATGTCACCGTCGTCGATGGCGTTGGCGATGGCGATGGCGATGGCAGTGATGCCGGTGCCGGTGTCGCTGGTGGGGCTGCAGTCGTCATGGGGAAGGAGATGGGGAATGAGTATGGTTGGTAGGGGTGTGGTTGTTCTTGGTTTTGTCCTTGTCTTTGTCCTGGTCTTGGTCCTTGGCCTGCTGACTCTCCTGGACCCGGGACCGGGCCCGGACCCGCCACAGGATTGGGATTCGAATCGGACCCGGTATTATCGCCATTGGTTGGGGTTTGGCTGTCTGCGTTGGCATTGGGGATGGGAGTAGCAGTGGCAGCAGCAGCAGCAGCAGCAGCAGAAGCGGAAGCGGAAGCATACCATCTCTGCACGTCACTCGCCATCGAGGATATCGACTCTGTACAAGGGACGGTGAGAGTCGTCGTTGTCAGTGTCATGCTCACTGGCGGCACCTCCCCGGCGTCACCTTCACCTCCGGCCACATTAAGGTGAGGCGGATAAGGATACTCCTCGGAGGAGGGACACGGCACAAGCACGACGGTCGTGGTTATAGTCATGGGCACGCTTGGCCCCAGCATATCCTGACATCCGCAGTGCAATGCAACGACCGTGGTTGTGAGATGCGTTGCTGTGGGTGTGGGGCAAGTATACAGATGAGACGCACAGACGGTGGTGTATGTTGTTGAGATCGTCGTCGGCGAGAGTGTCAATCCTGCGTTTGATGAGCTCGTCAAAGGCAAGGTCGAACTCGAAATAATATGCGAACTTGCGGTTGGCGTTGTGGATGCTAATATCGGGCTGTCGATTTGCGTTGGAGCGGATGCTGTTGTTGAACTCGTCGATTCCATTGCTGCAGTGGACGTCGTAGACGGCGGCGGCAGCGGCGGCGAAGTCGAAGTTGAACTCGACAAAGACGGCGCCAGTGTTGTGGAAGAAGTCGACGCTGTACTCAAGCCGCCCGGATCGACATTAGCCAACGTGTTATTATACGTCGTGATCAATACCACGACATTGTCACCACCAGAGAATTGTCGTTTTGCAAAGCGCGAAGGTAGTTCGGCGATACCACCACATTTTTGGGCGGCGTCTCCTGGACAAGGAACGTTGCATGCCGAGTCGGGATACGTGACACAATCCGAATCAGATGGCGTGCCATTGAAAGAGGAGCAGAAGCATTCTCTGGGATTTTATTAGCTTCTCAGACTTGATCAGAGAGATTTGCGGTGGCGAAAGCAGGAGTTCGGCGTGCTGAGATGAGCCTAAAGAGAGTCTTGAGCAGTATCATGTCGGCCCAGAAGAACTGCAGAGGTGTAGGGTATGGTGAAACGGCATGAGGGGGGTTTTGGGTGATCGCAAGTACAGATACGAAAATTGGGATGAGACGTACGCATCGAAAAGACCTGCGTAATTCTGCCCGGAACAATCCGAGATACACTCCTCAATGGACATGCTCACCGAGGTTTCGACGAGGATAAACGAGTCTGCGAAAGGAGAGTCGGGGATGGGGCCGAGACAACCTGCGTACTCGAAAGAAGCGACATGCGTCGGACCTGGAAGGGCCGGGCTTGTCGTGGGAGACTCGAAAACAGACGTTGTGGGCGAAGAAGGTGGACGTGTCGAGATGATCTGAGACGTCGAGACGGAAGCTGTTGTAGGTTGCTGAGGAGATCGAGTCGTTATAGTGGTGCTGCCGCTGGCGTCCGTTGCTAAAGAAGTGGTCGTTGTTGATGGGGATATTAATCGAGTGGTCGTTGAACGGGCGACCAAAGACAGCGACGTCGAGGGAGTACCAAGGGTGGACGATGCAGTAACGCTGCTTGAACCGAATATCGGACCAATCGCCGACGTGGTACGGATACTCGAGGACTGTAGCGGACGCGAACTTGAAGTTTGCGTCGCCAGTGATGAAGAGGTCCCGCTTGAGGCTAGAATTGGAGCGGAAAGCGTTGTTGATGGAGCGGACGAATGCTGGGTCGAGGTTGGAGGCTGAGTGGAAGCTGCACTGCTCGTGCTGGAGTGGGCTGTCGTTTGTGACGATGTCAATGTGGTCTGACCAGGTGTCGTGGAGGAATGAGGCAGTCCTGACGTTGACGAGGAGGGGAAGACCGCAGATGTGGTTGTTGAACTAGCCATCATGGAAGTGGCAGGGCTTGATGTTATGGACAGGGACGTGGGATTACTCGGTTGGACCGTCGTAGTCGCTTGCGACCCGAGATTTGGCGTGGACACAATCGATGATTGACCTGGCGTGGGCGTAGACTGCGTTGATGAACTTCTGCTGGTCGTGCTCGTACTCGAACTCGTTGGTGAAGATTGACTGGCTGTGCTTCTGCTTGCTGATGACGATGTCGTGGTCGCGAAAGAGGTCGTAGTCAGACTGAGCGATGTTGTCGGAGTATTCGATGTAGTCGACGACCCTGTGCTCGGCGTGCTCGACATAGAACTCGAAATCGATGTTGAAGACGAGGGCAAGGAACTCGAAGTCGTCGTCCCATCACCGCCCATACCCACACCATCGGTCAACGACGATGCTGGAGTCTCACTTACCAACGAGTAGCTGGTAGTCGATGCGACCGAAGGATTGACGTATGTGTTCGCCGTCGCAACCGTCTGCACATAGGTTCCACTACTGCTCGTCGTAGTAGTCTGACTCCTTGGATCATCAGTAACCTGCGGATAGGCGTAGTAAATAAGTCGAGCACCATTAAACGCCGGGTTGAGAGGGGTACTTCCAGCAGATCGTTTCCAATAGCAAGCTTTATTGCTGATCTGGTATGCCACGGCGCCGCATATATTAGCAGTAACGTTGGCGTTCCAGTAGCTGCATCCGCCAACACAGTCCTCAAAGGAATTGACTGGGTATCCTGAGTACGGGGCACCAAGGTCAGACCCCCCAGGGTTGACACCGCATTCGATTTCGTACTTGAATGCGCCGGATTGGACGACGGTAAAGTTATATCCGGGGCAAAGTGATGTCGTGGGCGTCGGTGTTGGTGCCGAACTTGTACTACTAATCGTTGACGTGGGCTGTAAGCTGGCAATGTATGGAGACGAGGTAGCATTCGAACTTGAATCTGCAAGTTGATAGACTCGGACTGACTTGATGCTCCAGTATCTGCGGCAGTGTCAATAAGAACCACGAATCGGAAGCATTCGACGCACGCATTCTGAAAGGCAGCGGGTTGTCCAGCCACATAACCATTGCAAGTCGAATAATTGGTTGACGCAGCGCAAGAATTCGTAGAGGAATTCCACACACTTGCTGCTCCAGCATATTCGCCGCAAAATGCATTGTTCATGATAATCTTGTGCGCCTGGAATTTTTGATCGATCACACAAGAACCCTGGAATTCGGCAGCTGGCAGACCCCACGAGGAAGGGTTGGGCGCTTGGTTGGTGATGTCTGAAGGAATGGTGCCTCGAGCAAAGAACCAGACACGAATGTAGTCGGATGTCCATTGCATGGCATAAACACCACCGCCCTGCGCATTGAAGCTTGCACCGTAGCTGGGGCCCCGTCGATCACTTATGCTACAGCCAACGTTGTAGCCAGGCTATGGTTCCTTAGCGTCAGCAGCTTCAAGCAGGATGAGTACGAGACTCACATAGTATGCGCAGTTGTTAGTTTGTAGTTGTCCCGACATGGATCTGCTATCTCCCGCGATTGTGCAGTTCGGCGCGCTGGAAGTATTAGCATCATCCCTTCGTGGGCAAGGCTTAATTCTTACGCATGTAATGTCATCCCGTTGTACATATTCATGTTTGCGCCTTCCATGATATCAATTTCTCCATTGTATGGCCAATTCGGTCCGAGGGTCCAAACTGTTGTGCTTCAGCATCATGGTTCCGCGCACGATACGTGGCACTCACACGCTGGCCACGTTCCACAGATCCCAGCCGGGGAATGATTGAAATCTCCAATAAACAATCCATGGGTCCATGATCTTTTAGTTGAGATTCTCACGCTGGGTCTGCCTGCTGCTGAGGTAGAACCGATGAGAGTCGTATAGTCCGAGCCGATGTAGCTAGGTTGAGAGGCGCTAGAATTGATCATGCCAGCCTGTTGCGCAGACGAGCGGCTGTAGTACCTTCTGCGTGTCAGAGAGCCCGATAACCCCATAGCGGTCACCCAACTCACGTAACGAAACCTCCAGTGGGATCGCCTCCCTAAGGCCGTCAGCACTTGCAATTGCCTCTGGGCGATATTCCAAACCGTATAAAAGTCCCAGCCATCGAAGAAGTTTGTTCCCGAATATTCTGAGTCTAATTGATAGACCGAGCTTGTTTGAGCCGAAGCATATGGGAACCACAAAAGACATGCAAGAAGAAAAGAACAACCTGCGCATTTGAACCCATATGAATGAACAGCCATGATCGGCAAAACCCTGACAGACTAACAGTCATGAGTAGACGCGCAAAACAGTACAGTATATCCATCTCGAGGTGTGGTGTCAGCCATGGACCGTGGAATTCCAACGCGACCCGGTCAGGAATGCGGAAAGGCTGTGGGAAAACAATGCTTCAGAAAAGGGGCAAACTCCATTTTCGAATATCCGACCCCGATCTTTCCAGATATTCTGGGGCAACGTCGGTCAGTAACATGCGATTTCATTGTTCAGATGTAGTGAAAAAGCCACCAGGCCACCCTCCGACTTTGAAGATATGTTGATAAGACATGTGGTGGTGGCTTCCAGATGTGAGCCTGGGCCGGCCCCCTGGTTCAGTGGCTGCAGATGGCACGGTCATGCTGACGGCGACGGTGCTTTGTCCAGCGCATTCAGGGCCTCCGCGAGGCTCTATAAGTCGAGCTCCTGTGAAGCCCCATCACAGCCTGAAGTACTGCTGGCCAAGGTTCATTCCACGTCGAATAGGAGCGGACTTGTAAGGAGTGATGCTGGGCACCGTGACGGAGTTGCCGTTGGCTGAGGAAGAATCGCCAACAATTCGCCGTAACATCAACCCTTCCCTTCGTGTATATCCTGGCTGAGAGTCTGCTGCGAGGACGTCGCAGTATCCCCCTTCGCACCACCCTCCTTTTCTCCACCCAACTCGCCTTTCGTTTCTTCCTCTTTTGCGTGATCTTCTTCCTGAGCCATTGGCTGCGGCTGCGGCTGCTGCCCCGTCTCCTCGTCCTTCTTGACAGGCTTCTTCGGCACTATCCTTCTCATATCATACCCTCCTTTCCACCCAACCCAGCCTTTCTCATGCGGCCCCCTCAAAAAGCACACCACAAGTGCAATCGACACGAATCCTACACTCGCTGATCCAGACACAACCCATCCTCCCCGCGCATAAAGGTGATTCCCCACCGCCGTGCCTATCAACTGGCCCACGAAAACACTGACCATATATGCCGTATTGACCCTATTCCTCGCCTTGGGCGCCACAGCATAGATTGCGGTTCGATTTGCAATCTGACTCGTCTGCAACCCGATATCGATCCCAATCGCCTGGATAATCGGTCCGGCAACTGTGGTCTTGCCTGTATACGTGCCCACCACAACGCCGGTCAGACAGATCAACTCGCCAATGATCACCGACAACAACGGCTGGTGACTCTCCATGAAAGTCCGCGCGAAGATGGGCGCCCACGTCATGCTCCCGATGCCAATGAGCGCGAACAGCCCAATGACCAGCGAATTGTAGTGGTACGGCGACCCGGCGAGCAGGAATGTCAGTGTCGTCCAGAAGCTAGTGAATGTTGTCGCCGTGAAGAGGCCGACCAGGCATGCTTGGACAAGGACAGGGTATTTGGCGACAAGTTTGAGAATATCCCACAGTAGAAACGGGTATTTCTTGAGCACCTTCTCGTCGGGGTTCGTTGACGGATAGTCGGGCATGAAGAAATACAGCAGGATAAGAATGAGATATTGCAAGGCAAAAGATATCCAGTATATATACCGCCAGCCGATGAATTGCGCGACCACGCCGGCGAGGAGGCGAGCGCAGAGCATGCCGAGTAGCATACCGGAGACGACCACCGATAAGGCAGTCGCGCGTCGATGAGGAGGCGCCATCTCGCCGACCAGAGGGAGCATGAGTTGCGGGGTGACTGTGCTAACGCTTGTGATGAAGGTTATGGCTCCGAATGCGGCGAATGAGTTCGTCACGCAGAGCCCAACCCTAGCTTGAGTGTCAGTCTCACAATCTTGCCCGCGGAAAGCACAGATGTAGATACCATAACGTAGCTGTGAACCAGACGAGCCAGAGTGTAAACGGCCTCCTCTTGAGCAGATCCCCCAATGGACATAGAAACAACAGTCCTCCTGCGTACCCTGCCTGTGCGAGGGTCGGAATGTAAGAAGATTCTTCATCGGTAACGTGGAAGTCGTCTGCTAGGAGGTTGAGGATGGGGTGGTTGTAGTAAAGGTTGGCTACTGTAAAACAGCCTGCGAATGCTGGAGAACAGCTGTCAGAATAGTCCCGGTGTGATGGGAGTAGGCCGCCTCCTTACCAAATAGCAGATTCAAGCCCATGGAGAACTGGAAGGGTTTGTCTGGGTCATACCGACATCTTGGTGGCACGTAGGTTAGACAAGCGTACACCTTCTGCCATAAAGTCCTTTTCGGCTTCGAGTCGCCATCTTGACTAGCAGGGTCCTCCACTGGAGGTGCCAGCTCGATGGCTACCTTGTCAAGGTTCGCTGCTTCCTCGCCCGACAGCGCCATGAAGGAGTCTGGCTCCGTGTTGGACACTGACGAGCAGCGGAAAGGTGAAAAGGAACAGAAATCATCTTCTCTGCGTCCGACCGACTAGTGTTGTGTCTGGAATTGGAGATGAGGGTCCCGTTCCGTCTGTACAAAAAGTGGTTAATGGTAGCCGGTACGAAATGACGCGAAGAAGAAACGGATGATGGTCGTGCGATAGGCGGAAAGCGGCCGGTGAAGAGGTGGATGTAGGTGGATGTTGCGGAGAGACGACGATAGATGGAGATGAGCGGACACTTGACCGATAAGCATTCGCCTTCCAGGGAGCCCGGCTACGACAGCCCCGAACAGGCGACCTCGTCAACTCTCGTAACCTACCTAAGGTCAGGTACCTAGGTAGATACCCGTCAGCCTGAGAGGTGACCGAGAAATCTACATCATGTGGCTTATGGCTTCTTGCGCAGCTTTTGAGTATCAACAACCTAGTTGTCAATTCCGGACCTGGCGCCAAAATTCTAGGCCCATCCAAGACATCGAGAAGCGTCTGTCTGATCGAATCACGTCTGTAGCGCTCGCTCTGCCCAAACCGACCATCCAAAAATTCAAGCAAGAAACGGAGCTGAGAAGACACGTCAAGAACGAAACGCACAAAGGGTATCCAAGGACTAAGCCTCTCCACGCTGTGATCAATCATTAACCATTTTTCCGCCCCGTCGTCCTCGTCATTGGTCGTTTCAATCGTCAAGTCGTAAAAGACCTTGTTGTCGCTCATGGTGTTGCTCTGACACCCCGGTACTCGTCGCTAAAGTCTTCGATCGTTTTCACAAAGTCCTCGGCATCTGCGGCAGGTCAGCCAGGCCACATGTCTCAACCGGGTAGGACGTACCTCTGATTAACTCAAAATCAAGAAAGTGTTCCCCATTAGCCGCCACGTGAGGCGTATATTTTGAAGAAAAAACATGTCGCTGAAGTTGGGCCAGGTAAACAACAGAACTGTTCTTGGCCCGTCGAAGCCAGGTAGGAGAAGTAACGTGGTGCGTAATGAATGCTGTCCAGATGGGGCAGCTGCTGGGACAATTAGCTTGCCATGTTTGGGTACTTCACTCGACGTACTGCTGCATGTCGCCCTCCAAGACGGACGCCTCAAGTCGAAGCCCATCCGTTGCTTTGTCCCGATACAGCCGCAAAGCATGCTTGAAGCCGCTATCCCGAATTGCGCTATGTCCGGCCGTCAGCGTGAATAAATACCATCCACATACACATATCTCACCCGGCAAAATTGCTGGTCTCCCCTTTCAAACAATGGTCAAGAGCATTGTCAACATGCGTCGCGCTGTCATGGGATCGGAGCGAGAGGAAGGTACAGTGAAAAATCACCAGCCCTGAGCACATCAGCTTAGCTTCTCCGATCATCCCGTGATGGCTGCTCTTACACTCATACGAAGTGAACTTGAGACTAGTCCAGCAAGTACTTGGGGCAGTGACAGTGGGACGACAAAGATAGAGGAACGGCCCAGCTCGCCGAATATGCAATTCATTGAGCGGTAAGCACGACCATCGTATGCCTCGACGGCCATCTGGCCATTCACAGACGATCTTGCAACGGTAATCTCGTGGCCGCCAGTAAAACTTGGTTCGAAGTCCACCAGGGTATTTCCTATGCCATGTCAATTCAGCAGGCCCACAATGTCACCGACTGTATCTCCCTTACATCTGCAGGATCCGTTCGAATTCAGTATCTGGCAGGCTTCGGCTTTTCCCTGCGCTGTCTCCAAAGCAGCGCGACCTGCACCATACAATTTAGCGGCTGAGAACAGAAGAATGGGAGAACGCTACACTTCAGGATCATCTTCGAGCATTGTGGTGGGAAGGTCGTTGAAGATGGTGGTGGCCCAATGTCCAATGTCTGCATCCGCGCTAGACACATGGCTAATCGTGGAGAAGGTGGTGGTAGGAGACAAGGGCGGCGGACTGGGTACCGCCTGGTGCTGAAGGGTTTCGTAGCTATCGTGTGATGATGTAGGCGACATCGGTCTCACTCGTACTTGTGATTTGGGTTGTCGTATGACTACCGGACCATCAGCACCCCGATCACTTCTCTACCCAAACGGATAAATGTACCTGTCTGCTGGACTGGCACCAAAGAGAGGTTTGCGAATGTCTCTGTGGCCGCTATCAAACGTCTATTACTGCGCTGTAGCGATTGCAGGTCGTTGATCTCGTGGCGGAGGTCGTCAATTTGTCGTCGACTATAGGATTGTCTAACCAAAGATTGCTGAGCACGACGATACCGCATCAAAGGCACTGTCCTACCTCTTCAACACCCTGCATAACCCAAAGGTGAACAATTTATAGGTCGACAACCGCATGTCGAGGGTCTGTTGGCCCATGCCGTGACAATACCGTGTAACCTCTTTCCAGGCATTGCGGTAGTCGATCCTGGGCCCATCGGGAGGAATTTTGCCCAGTATGTGCCAGACATCCTGCAGTGTGAAAGCGATGCTGTTTTGAAGAAGTGCAAGGTCGTCCGCGAAAGATCGGGTGACAGCACTTCCAGCGAGGTCAATTTGGTCGTTGAGCTCTCGAAGCGCCCAGCTGAGATCATTCAGTCCCGTGATGGCCAAGGTAATGGGCTGCACATGGTCCTGGTCAAATTTCCTGACGGTGCTGAGGATTTCAGCAATATCCAGGGCCCGTCCGGCCTCCTCCGCGAGTAGTAGATCCATGCATAACGTATGATGATGTTGCGGTGAAGATGGGGACAATCCTGCTTGACCCGGAAATGTAATGGCGATGAGGCTCTTCTTTTGGTGCTGAGCTGGCTTCGGTCCAGGATCACGAGCGGCCGGTATTGGTGATTCTGTAATACGCGCGGAGGCGAACCCTTATGCGGGTGGTTTGACGTGTCAAGCAGACAACAGGTGAAATCGACGGTTGGCAGCGCTGCTGCATGGTCTAATAGGGCCCAAGACGACGCCGATTTGTCGCCGCTAACCCTTGACATGGAGCATTGCAACACAAGCTCACGACTCGTCCCGGTCACGATTTGTACCAGCTTTAAATGACGCTGGCCCCAAAAGAACAGATTTTTTGGACGAGAGCAGGCGTTGTCGAGAGAGATTGCCGACACGTACGGTTGGGTTGTTGGGATCAATAAGAGATAGCATAGCGTCATGCTGCAGGCCATTGCTGCCTGATCCTGGGCTCGTCTGGGCTTCCAGTGCTTACTGGAAATGACGCCCATGGAAGCGGAACCTCTGGAACACGTCGACGTGTTCTTCCACCTGGACAATGTCACCTACCTGGGCTGCATGGCAACTAACCGGCTGGTTTCGAGGCCGCCGTGCTGGAGACCAAGGAAATCATCATTGGAAACTGTGCAGGTACCTCGTGCAACATACTCTCTTGATGCGAGTTTCGACATCTTAGGCAGAATAGCGATTGCTGGATGCTGGCCGTTGTTGGCCACGAGACGAGTCGCCGCAGGCCTGCGCTGCAAGACGTTCAGATCGCGTCTGTGATAAAAGGAATCTAGGAGGAACAAAGAGGTTTGCGACCTTTAAAGGTTCAGAGGAACCCAGCCCTGCGCCTTGTTGATGCCTGAGGCAAGAGCGGCCAAGCCGAAGGCCAACGGGGGCCAGAAGTAATGAAGGATTCGGCTGTGACACGAACGCACCCGACTGTGTGACATGAGCGAAGCACTTCTAATGACGAGATATAGCTGGCCATGGGCTCCTAGGGGAGGATACAATATGTATCTGCCAGTCTTACCTAGGCACCTTCACACTTGGTTCGAGACGCGTCAAACACAACGCGTCGGCCAGCCTTTCGAGCAACTAGCTTGATCTCATCTACGTTGGCCAAGGTCGATGGCTCCTCACGCAAGGAATAAAGCAGGATTATGCGAGACATTGCATTGATAGAAGAGCTAGTATACAGCAAGTAGCATGTCATGCCAAGTCACATCTTGTGTTATTGCAGCTCAATTCACCGTGACATACAGGATAACTCTGTGGGCACGATGATGATGATTAGTTCGTTGAGCTGAAGCTCGTGCTCGATGCTATTCCCATGCATTGTCCGTGAAAGCCCATGATTCCTGTCGACACTGCAGACTCCAGAACCCCTGCCACCCATCCGTTCATTGCGAGTAAACACATAACCAGAGTAAAGAAAGATGACTGAAATCGGTCAACGTCCGGAGACGATGACTTGTTTAGTCCTCATCCTCATCACTGGCAGCGGCCTAGGAACCAGTCAATCCTCTGATGGGGAGGGTGATGAACAGCTACTCACATTGTACTTGGCCTTCTCGTCTTCGTAACGCTTCTTGTCGGTGGCAGCCTTCTTCTCGTATGGCTCACGCTGCTTCTCACTAAGAGCCTTCCACCTATCACCAAGGACTTTGCCGACTTGACCTGTGAAGGCGGATCAGTATGGCTGTGTTGTTTGATTGCAGAGAGAATGCGTACCGAAGCTGATGCCTGGGTTTTCCTCACGGACATTCTCACGTTGCTCATTGGCAAAGAACATGTATGCAGAGAGGCCGCGCTTGGGAGCGTTGGGGTCTATGATGGTCAGCTGAGATGTGCTGAGGAGATCTGGTGTGTCCACCAACCCTTCTTCTTCTTGTCACCTCGAGTACTCTTAGCCTTGGAGGTGGCTTTGGCGGTTGCTTTAGGCATTTTGATGGTGAGCTGATGTCGAGACGAGAAGCTGTATTTGTTCTGCGTTCCTTGAGGCTTGTTAGTTGAATGCTTGCTATGGTTGTTGGATGAACGGAGGCAGGTGATTGAGGTTTCGCGAAGAATGATGAAGCAATTGGAGGATGTGTAGAAGAGTGAAGGTGGGATTTGTTGCACAGAGACTTTGTGATGTCGCCAGTGAAAGCGCAGTGATGCCGTCGCTGATAGGACTGTTTGCGCAATGGAAAGGAACAGGCACAGTTGGAACAAGGATGCATTCACGCCTCAAAACGCGTGTTTTCGGATGACAGTGGAAGAGCGCAGGAGTGAATCGACCCACCTAGGAGAGGAAAACGCGTCAAAAAGGTGAGGTGAGTGGTGTCGACTGCGGTGGTGATTGTTAGCGAGTCGTGAGGATGCGGCGATGGCAACGGCGACGGCGACGCTGAGGTCGGGCAAGGCAGCCAACAGGGTAGATTGATGACGAGAAGGTCATTTTTGATCGGAGTTTGAAGAGAAACAACGGAGAAAGAGATGTGGTGGTGTCGAGGGAAAGGTGGGAAAAATGGTAGAGAGGAGAGTACTTACAGTATGTAGTGGTAACGCAGGCGACGAAAGACTGGCACTGTACAGTACAGCGCAAAATTGTATGGGAGGATTCTTTGGTGAGAGAAGCTGTAGTAGTAAAATGGGAGGGAGAGGAGAGCAGGCAGAGCAGGGCAAAAATGGCGGGCGGGCAGCTGAGCTCCCTTCTCCCATCATCTCCCCTTGGTCTTCCCTGCGGCGCCGGATCAACTACCAGGCATTGGGCAAAGCGACTTGATTGATCTGACTGTGGCATCAGTCACTTGCCGTCTGATCCTCATCGCTGAGTCGCTGAATCGGATGAGTCGTTGCGTGTTTGTTGCTTCCCCTTGCGCTTGTTGGTGCTCTTCTCTCTGGCTCCCTCTCTCGCTCTCCCTCTCTCGCTCTCTCCCTCTCTCCTCTCCTCCACCTCCTCTCCCTCTCCCTCTTCCTCTTCCTCTCACTCTCACTCTCTGCCCAATGCGCCCTCCTCCTTATCCTTCCCATCCTTCCCATCCTTCCCACACGCTTTTCTCTCTGCCATCTTCCTCCTCACCCACTCTTTTCCTCGCCTACAACCATTCACATCCCATCTTTCCTTCACACGCATCTCTCTCAATTCACCACCCATCATGAGTACCACCACAAACCTGCCAAGCGAGTCTTCAGCTGTCGCTTCCTTACATTTCCTTCTTCCACCCGCTTCAGCTTACCCTTCACTTCTCCTCTCGCTTCACTTGTGCAGCCACTCAGCTCGCATATTGTTACCATAGTGTGTAATGCCCACTCCATCATCAGCCATTAGCTCTGCACTGGGCCCTGTACTTGACCATTGACTCCTTCAGGCTTCTACTCCTACTGTGCTAGTAGTACACAACCCCGTCACCTCGTCCGCACCCATTCGAGTTCTTGCTCTGCCCCTGCTCACTAGTGCCTTCGTCAAAAGCCTACGAATCCCCTCTTATCATTTCCTCGTCGACCGCAATGGACCGAGCGTGCATCTCAACTCTATCTTCATACCTGCATGATCTTGTTGATATCTAGCCTATCACTTTCTGTATAGCTCTGACGCCATTGTGCCACATATCCACAATTTGTTGCAAGGTGCCTCGGTGCTGCGCAACGTCTCATGATCGCGCCCTTGCAGGCTTGCATTGAGGTCAGGACTTGCAGCCAATGCTGGCACGGCAGGTAACTAGCTCGCCATGTCCGTGCTACGTAACCACACTCGCCTTTGGACTTGGTCATTTTCCAGTGGTATCTCGCCTAGTACCTTTGCCACCATCTGCAAACTACTCCGTACAAAATTATGATTTCAGACGGTGTCAATAGGTACAGCAGCAAACTGTCACGTGAGTTACGGCAGAACTATGTGATGGCCGATTGTGCCCCACGTGTGCCCTTAAGCCTTCATCAACTGAAGGCTATGCGTATAATTGCTCCCGTTTGCATTGGTCTCTGGTCTTGACCTCTATGTCAATCAGCTGCGACGGTCAGGAGCGATATTCCACGTTGAACAGTTTATCCCAAGGCCTTCCCTTGCCCGGCGATGGCTTGCTCTTCGCTGGACTTGCAACTGGTGTCTGAGCTTTGTGCCTCAGGGGAGATTGCGATGCATTTCTCGAGATCGAAGGCGAATTTCCGGATGCTGTCCGTCTGGTCGCAGGTTGAACAGACGGGTTGACAGGCCGGGAATGCTGGACACATTCCAGGCCGGTCTCTGCATAGTCTGAAGGGATGGTTTTGATCGCTGGTGCAGATTGCCCAGCGCCAGTCTGTAACTTTGTCATCAGCCGACCTGTGCACGCCCATCACGGGCCAAGCAAGAGATCCCTCCTCACCACTTCAAAGACCTGTGCATCTTCCCTATCGGTTTGGCTTGCCGCAGTAGGCTGCCGAACGAAACTCGCCGTGCCAGTTGGGTCTCCTGATCCTGCACCTTGAGCTGGCCGCTCGTTTTCAACCTCATTCTCGTTCTCATTCTCGTCGTCGGCATCCGCATTCGTATCGTCCTTTCGCGGTTTTTGAGCTTGTTCGGCATCTGTGTCACTTGTAATGGGCGCAAGCGGTGCAGCTTTCGCAGGGATATCCTTAGTACTGCTTCCTCTGCCGCTTGAACCATCGTGCTTGCCCTTGATGTCGACACTTTTCTTGCTGCCCGAGCTTGATCGTCGACTGTCAAGACTCTTGGTCAACGTCTTAGTCACCATAGTGGCTGTGGCATGTCCTGTAGTTCCTCCTATGTTGAGCCCAGACTTATGGTCTTTCCGGCCCATGTGGCCTCTCACCTCGACATTGGTGGAAGTGACAGTCGACTTGCCCACAGTAGGTGTACCTGGAGCACCAAGCTTTTCCTCAGCGGCGTCAATCATGTACCATCTTAGCCCATCGGAAAGCTCAAATGGGTTTTCGTCATCAATCGACCTAGTAGAACCACCGTCATCTGCGGCTGCGCCTAACAAGCCATTGCCACGCAAGCCGCTCGAAAGACTGCGGGACAGATCAACCATGCGTTCTTCAATCTTGGTAATCCGAGCTAACAGCCAATCTCTTGCCTGAAGCTTATGCGCATCTTGCTCTCGGAGAAAGTAGTGCGGCGCCCCGACGTTGAAGGCCGCCCAGGGCCGGGTTGCTTGGTTGCGGGTAGGCAGGAACAAAGCTAGATCGCCTTCTTTGAAGCTCCGGTATGCAATCTTGTCATGCGCTTCTGCTTGGATCCGGTGCGTGCGCTCACGATAGGCGCGAGAGTCTTTTTGATACTTCTTGGCCAGGGTTTCGACGTCCTTGTATCTTTTCGTAATGAGGTCAATCGTGCTATCGATATCGAGGCGTTGCAGGGCTGCCAGAAAGCCACTATACTTTGTAGACTCAGAGCCGAGGTCGCTGTCGGACATCCAGTAGAGTGTTTCCAGATCAGCCGGGTCGGAATAGTGCTGTGCAGGGGTGGTTCCTGAACTGGTCCGTCTCATGGCGAAAGGGCTTGAGCCTTCGCCGCCGCTGAGCACGACGCTGGCATTCACTTTCGACGCTCGCTGAATATGCAACACGTCATCCTGTCGCGATACTGAGTAGCCAAACTGTTCGAGCATGCGGACAATGCGGTCGTGATAGTGAAAGAGTCGTTCCGACAACTGCTTGGCCACCTCGCCTCGCTTGTCGAAATGCTTCTTCAATTTTTCTTGTCGCTCGGCAGCTGTTTGCGAATCGTGCTTTAGACTCTCAATCTCATGCTTCAAACGTTGAATGGCACTTTCATCATCTGTCTTGCGGTCCATCAACTCAGCAACCTTTTCCTCCTCAGACTTGAGCTGTTGCTTCAGTGCATCAGACCCGGTCTCACCAGCAGCAAACTTCTCTCGCAAATTGTCCATTTCGGCCCGTTCGCCTGCTAGTTCAGAACGAAGGGCGGAAATTTTGCTTCTCTCATGCTTCAGATCTTCTCGTAGCTCGCCTGCTCGTGCTTCAGCAGCAGAAAGTTGTTCGGTCACTGTTTTTATTTGAGCTTCGGCATGCGATAGTTTATCTTCCAGTGCTTTGTTTTCTGCAGTTGCAAGTTGCAAGGAGTCATCAAGGCCGCGAGCGTGGATGGCCGCACCTTCGGACAATATCTCAAGGGCGTTCACAAGCCGACGAAGATCTTCTGGTGCAGAGCCAGCAGGTGAGAGGTTGGAGTGCGCTCCCTGCAAGATGGTAATGTGATCTTGCTGTTGGTCTTCCATAGCTCTCAACTGGTTGGCCAAGGTCATGTTGTGTCCTTGTGCAGCTGCTCGCTCGTCCTTTGCTTGATGCAGTTGACGCTCCAGCGTCGCTGCCCGCTCGCGTTGGGTAGAGGCATCTTTCTGAGCTGATTCAATTCTGCGCAGTGCTTGAGTCAAGTCATCTGCCGCGTCCTTCTTCAACTGCTCTACCTCATTACGCAAGTTCACCACTAGCTGATCTTGTTCCACTCTCAGATGATCTCTAGACTCGTTCAAACGATCGAGTTCGTCCTCGGCTTCTTCTAACTTCACCTTGAGTCTGTGGACTTCATCATCGAGCAGCTGTCGTTCTTCTTCGAATTCCTGCTTCTGTGCTTCGAAATTTGCCATCAAGTCTTGTTTGACTAGTTCAGCCTCTTGCATCTTGTCTCGACTCTCTGTGCTGGATCGTCTTTCTTCGTGGGCCTCGTCCTGCAACTTTTGTATCTGAGCTTCCAAGGCCACAATTTTCTGTGCAATAGACTTTTCGTCTTGATTGTTTGAGAGCCGGCGTGTCGATACAGACGATCTCCTTGACAAATCGCTTTGCCTATTGAACTGGGTGGGCGACGGCGCGAGTCTTTCGAAGTCCGCAGCACTTCCGGGTGCAAACATTCCACTTGTTGGTCGGCTGAGCTGACTCTGGCGATGAAGCAAATCTTCCAACTTGCGTACACGGCTGTCCGAGGCCCGTAGCTTCTCCTCTAGTCTCGTCTTCTCATCTTGCAAATTCTTCACCTCGTCTCCGTTGCGAAGAGCAGCACTCTGGGAGAGGTCCTGCACGCTTCCATTCTTGAACGGCTTCGGTTTTTGCTTGCGCACCGGAGCATCAAGATCTTTCAAACGTTGTGTGATACCTTGGACAGCATCATCGATGCCCAAAGCCCGCAGGTCATCTATCCAGGCAAAGACCTCATCGCGGTTCACAAAAGGCCACGAGTTGCGAGGCGCAGATGCTTTCAGATCAATCAAGGCGTCTTTGGCATTCATGTCTTCGTTCAGAAAGTCGCCATGTGCGGCAGCCCATTTCTTCCGCCGCCTTTGTTCTTCCTCTGTTTGTTGCGACAAGTCATCATGAAGCCCGTCAACTTCTGTCCTCATCCGCTCAGTCCATTCAGATCTTCGAGTCGCCTCAACTAAGGTAGTACCATAGAGTAGCGGCAATTGGAACAGGTGTTCGAGTTGTCGATAGTTGTCGTTATCTTTGAAGTCCAGACTTGTGACAGCGACCTGTAATTTTTGTAGGCGAGATTGCAAGCTTGATATCCTCTGCAACGTCGAGTACCAATCATGAGACACAGCACTTCTTGCCTCTGACGCTGACTTTAGATTTTGCACAATTTCGTCCACGAGGTTCTGCAGCCCTGGCAGTAGATCTCGAGTATGTACAGCGGCCTTTCTGGATGCCGAGACGACGGATTTGGGGTTGTCTTGCATCTGGATGACTTGTTCGTAATCGGCGCTTATACCCCTAGCCAAAGTCTCTGCTTCGTCCAAGAGAGCATTGGTGTCGAAATGTGGCACTTCCGACGAACCGGTGTCTGCGTTATTGGTATCGTTTTTTAGACTCTCCATGTCTGACCGTAGCTCTTGCAGACTTTCCTCGAACCCGATAGTACTCTGCTCCACGCTCTCAGCTGCTGCGTGTAGCCGAGCACGATCAATTAGCTCGGATAACGTGCCGCTAGGAGTCCCCGAATGAGTATGCCCGGGATTATTCGACCGCCGTAGGATTTTGGCGACATCTTCGCGTACTGGTAGCTCTGCAAGGGTGTCTGCACTTCCCTCCCAATCTCTGGCCGCATCTCGAAGTTCTTGGATATAGCTCTCTGCCCATTGACGTGTCTCATCGAATCTCTGCTCCAGGGTGTTGACATGATTCCGGAGATTGTCCAATGCCACATTCATGGACCGAGCAATTACCGTTGCCTCGTCTGTACATGTTTCGATGTCTTCTACACCGGTCCTGGCTATCTCAAAGGCCTCGAGCGCCCAGCCTCGTCTCGCCATGAATAGATCCTGCCATGCTTTCAGGCTATTCTCGTCTGCAAGGGAGGAAGGAGGCTCGGAGAGAGGTGGGAGTTCAATGCCGGCTCTCGAAGGTGGTCTCGCTTCGGAGGATAGGAATTGTTTATCGTATACATAGACTTGGGTCTCATTTGACAGATTCTTGACTATCTTGCCTCGAGGGGTCATCAAGATCTGGTGAGCGGCTGAAATAGTGGCATTTGATTCGATCCATGACCGCAGGCTCTCAACACGGGCGTTGATATCGTGGAAAGACAAAACTCGGCCGGTATGAGAAATGCAAACTTGCAAAGCCATCGGCCCCTTCCAACCCCACTGTCGCTGGCAATACAAGAAGAAACAATAACTTAGAGATCGAATAACTGATAGAGCATACAAGGCAATGTCGCAGATCAGGCAGTAGCGCGTCATTCAGAGAAGGCCTCGGCAGGGGCCGGCAGACACGTGCGCCTAAACTAATCCTTCTTTGTCGGCGCCTCTCAAGCCTGGAATGCCCACATCTCACTCCAAAATTCTAGGTGGGTGCTAGGCCACTAGGCGCCATACAACGTCCGGGTACTACAGTACCAGGCAGACTTGACAGGGCGGAGAAGAGCGGACGGTCCACCAGGCATATCTGGGATGTCTTGTCGTGATTCAGTATCGCTTCACCAGCTAATCGGGAATATGTCGTCGGGCGTGCGTGTACACCAAGATATGACCTATATTTGAGGGTTAGTCACTTGAAGGCAGTCACTGGATCACAACTACATGTCACTGGGCCACCCATCCAGGCCAGTGAAGAAATCAGACAAGAGCAGAGCACTCGGAGGCAGTTAACCGCCAGGCAAGATGCCAGACCACCTACCACACATCATGAAGCCCTCCTTCTTGTGGCATTGGAGGTCGTGGGATGATATCAAGCAGGCTTCCACGTTCACAAAGGCCAACTACACGAACATCATCCTCATCGTTGTGTTTCTCTTCCTTGCACTAAGACAAGTACGATCTAATCAGGTAAGTCCAGATGTATTCAAGCAGAAGGATGAATGATTCATATGTGGACTCAACTAAACCTCTACCACTTACAGGCTGCCAGCAAGAAGGCTGGCTATGAGAAGCGCTTCCTCAAATCACCAGACTTCCCGGACATCGAAGAACAAGAGGACTTCGACTGGAAGACCACGGAACCGTTACAATTCCGACCCTTCAAGCCCAAATATCACTTGACAATGGGTGAGTGTCTTTCTTTCCATCTCTTCAGCTCCCTTTTCCTTCTTTTTGCCTCTGTCTCGTCAGGGCAAAATGAAAAAGAAAGGCTGACAAAGCTATCCTTTTGAGCCGAATCTGACGACTCAGCCCTTGAGAACCTCAACCCGACCGAGCTCCTTGTTATAGACAAGACGTACGCCGACCGCATCGACTACCGCCGACGCATCATGGCCGAGCACGGCACGCACGTCGTCAATGTCCACGATGACATGCGCATCCGTCCAGCCGTTGTCGAATTGTACACGTTCCTAATGGGCACATATCTCCCCCTACGCTTTCCGCAGGTCTTCAAGCTCCACGAGACCGAGTACGAGCAAGGCAAAACGTTCATGCTCGAGAACAAAGTAACCGGCTCCCTATTTGCAGCGAGGCCGACCCCGTCAACGGCGACGATGCGATTACTAGAGATCCTTGGCCAGACTGTGGATGAAGACTTCCTGTTCCTCCTGCCCGAAGAAGACGGCGGCGACGATCCCAAATACGTCCTCGAAGCGTACGTGACGGTATGTCCATCGGGCTTTGACCCGGCCCAAAAGATCGGCAAGCGGCTCGCCGCAATCCATGATCCAGTGCCCGGGTACCGTTCCAAGCTGGAAAGCAGCATGGACCGGTTCTTCTCCAAGATCGAGGTCGGCAAGTACGTCAGGCGGGTCAACTGGGCCATCACAACGAACACGGAACTATATGCCGCCGGCAAGGGGACGACGCACGCCCACGAAGGTGACGAGGTGCAAGAGCTCAAGGAGATCGACGTCGACAAGACGTTCGTCCGGTGCGAGCGGCAGACACTGCATCGGCTGCCCAAGTCGAAGGCACTGGTGTTTGCTTTCCACACTTACCTCTACCCGATCCAGCAGATCAAGGAGGAAGGTGGAGGCGAGGAACTTGCCACTGCTATCGACGGCTTGAAACTAGGTAGCACGCCGCAGATGCATTTCTACAAGAGAGGTGCCGTCTGGGGCGAGGCTGTGAAGGAGTATCTACGCAGCTGACACAGACCTGGGTATACAAGCCACATCGCCTTCTGATATCCATGCACATGGATAGGCTCTATGCACATACTATACTTTCCGAACCCATTCACAACTTTTGAAGCCCTAATTCACACGTTTTGGACCCGCTTTCCTGTCTATCTCAATCGCTCGACGACCTTGATCAGATCGGCCGTGACCCCCATCGCCGTAACCTCACCACCTGCGCCTGCGCCCTGGATCACCAACGGATTCGCCCCGTAGCGCTTGGTATAAAAACAGATCAAATTGTCACTGCCCCTTAGACTCGCAATCGGCGTGCCCCGTTCCACCATCTCCAGCCCAACTTTCACCTTCCCAGCCCCAACATCGACACTGCCCACATATCTCACAACCTTGCCCTCTCGCGCCGCCTGGTCCTTGTACCCTTCCATCTCGCCATCAAACTCCGGCAGCCTCTTCATGAACTCGTCACTACTGCCCGCGCTCTCCAACTCTTTCGGAATCAAACTCTGCACCGGGAAACTCTCTGGGCCCTCGACTTTGAGCCCCGCCAGACGCGCCAGGATGGTCAATTTCCGCGCAACATCCATCCCATTCAAGTCGTCCCTAGGGTCGGGCTCCGTGTAGCCGGCCTCTTTCGCCTGCGTGACGATTTCGGACCATTTTGCTCCCTTCCCTGTTCCTGAACTTTCTGCAGGAGCGAACGAGTTAAAGAGAAACGACATCGTACCCGAGAATACGCCCTCGATCCGTGTGACTGTATCGCCCGTCGCGACCAGATCTTTCAGGGTGGAAATCACAGGCAACCCGGCGCCCACACTGCTCTCGTGGTACACCATCGCCCGTCCATCACTCTCCTCCACGGCACTAAAGATATCCGTCCACAGCTGCAGACTGCCCGAGAACGCCTTCTTGTTCGGCGTCACAACGCTAATGCCCTTGCGCAAGAAGCTCGGGTACGCATTGGCGACGTCCTGGTTCGAGGTGTTGTCAACAAGGATGGCTTTGCCGGGCGTACCGGAGAGGTAGGACGTCAGATCGGACAGGGAGAGGAGTTTCGACGATGAGGACTGCAAGTCTGAGGGCGAGATGGCATCGTAGTTCTGTGTGTAGAGTTGTTTCGCGGAGCGGGAGAGGAAGATCAGTGTTGGGCGTAGAGAGGTGGGCAAGTTGGAGAGTTGAGAGAGGAAGGCGGTACCGACACCGCCGACACCGACGACGGCGAGGTATAGTTTCGAGGATGACATTGCTACGATACCTGATTCAAGGGAAAGAAGAGCGTCAAGTACCTGGTAAAGTATGTAGAGTGACAAAGGTCAATAGGTACTTGGAAGCATTGGAAACTTTTTCAAGCCAGCGAACGCGGGGTAAAATGCAGGAACAGGACCAACACAATTGAGGGGAATCTGGCGAGGCTGTGCGATAGCCTTGTTGTGCGTGGCCTTCTTCGGATGGATGTAGCGACAAAGCACGACTATGATGTGCATGTTTACTGTTCAAGTTTCAAAGAGGAATGACTTCTTGGATATGCTTCATAAATAGCCTGTCGACTTTCAAGTCTGTGCCTCGAATCCGGGTAGACCAGCTTGACCACCTATATCTTCCCAAAACCTATCATAGTCCACCCCTTTCTTCGTCAAAAGCTGTTTCAACTGGTCGAGAGCTTCAGCTCGTCTTCCTTCCGTGAAACCTCCAGGTTGGGAGGTCTCATACTGGACGATCTCTATCCAGCGGAAGAAGACACTCTCGGCACCAAGATCCGCAAGCTTGCGTCTGAATTTCTCCAGGTCACTGTCTTGCTCAGCTTCCTTTATGGTCATCTCTGGAGCCTCATGTAGCCGCCAGACCAACCATCTCTTCTGATAGTAGACCAGTGCCAAGTTTTCGAGATCTTTCATTTGGATAGCACCCTTGTCCGCCAGTCTGTGAGCATCCAGCATCGCCTTGAAGTCTAGATCCCAATCCTTGTCAAGGAGCAGGTAGCCAGTCTTTTCCAGATAATTCAGTCGCATGGCCGCGTCAACCTTGACCCTGATAGTCAGCTCTTCCTCTACCCTCCACGTCTTAGTCTGCTCCGGCACTTCGCTCGTAAGCAGTGGCGTGTCCCACTTCCGTCCTCTTCGCACAATGATCTCGGTGTCTTTGAAGCCAAGCGTCCTTCTCCATGTCCACGGTCCCACAAATCTAGACCATTTGCTTCCAAACACGAACTCTTTCGGCCAGCTACCGACCAATCCGAAGATGGCATAATCGACCATTAACAGAAATGTCCGCGAACTGACTTCATTCATGAGTTTACCGGCGCTGGCGGTTTTGGTATCCACTTTGTAGGCAGTATCATATCCGAAGATCGTGATGATCTGCTCAAGATAGACGGGTAGGGCATAGTAGACACGCACGCACAGACCGATCGTGAGAAGTAGGTTTAGGAGGAGTGGAACGATAAAGACTCGCTTTTTGAGGCTCGGGGGCGTGCTGTCGAGGTGTACAAGGTAGATATGGTCTGTCGGGAGGGTGGAAAGGAAGGGTTGAAGAGAGGCTGGTGCATATTGAAACGGCGTGGGAGGGCCAGATGCAGGTGGGGGTTGAGGCTTTACGTTGACAGTGGAATTGGCTGTGGCTTTTGCAGCTCTCTTTCCTCCACCGCGAGCCATCTCTCGAACTCTGTGGACCACCTTTAACAACGCATGCTGGTGGTGGGTTGTGGTATTTCGACTTCAGAAAATCAATGAATGTAACTCCAATTTGGGGGGTACGCAGGGAATATTTTAATCCGAGTCAATGACGGCACGTGATCGCTATCATCCGAGTCATTGACATTTAGTTCGACAGGTCAGTTGAAAACAACAATGCTCCTTGCTATGTGTGTTTGATCATGATTGTTGTTTGCTACACTGAGGGTATTCTGGAATCTCTCCACAGGGCTATAAGAGAGTGCTCTTACCCTGAGATAGTTCAAAATGATCATCGTTGCATACACCACTGTTTTCAACTAGCTCACGTGCAGGTCAACATCAGGCCCCCATGGATTTCCAGCTTCAACCCATTCCTTAAAGACCGGCTCACTCTCTTCGCTTGCTTGTGGAAGGTAAGGCCCCGTCAGGATGACCGCCTGTGTCGTTCAGAATGGAGCGTCCTTCAGCTGCCTCGACGAAAACCAAGCCCGTTGGCGAGCAAAGCTTGCTGAAGCTTAAACCGGGCCTGAGTGGCGGAGGCTGACAAGCCGCTGGGGTCCAAGTCTGAAGAGATCAGCCAATCTGGCCTCGTCTCAATCTGCAACTGATGCTATATCAGGGACATCATGCTGACATGACCCTGTTCTCCGGTTGCTCTCAAGCCCCGGCGAAGCCTTTTCGGCAAGTGCTTATGCTGACCGGCGCCATGTACCTGGCTCACCTGGCTTCGGGGCCCTTGATCGCATACCGCGTTTAGGCTTGAGATGAAATACTTGCCAAAGCCATTCCCCTCCTCCAGAATGATCTGTCTGGATCTTTTTGCAAAGACATTGCGGTCGGATTTCGCCGTTGAGCTTTGGTGTCCTCTTTGAACAACGTGCTCTTGCAGTTCTCCCACAGCGATAAGGATTTCCAGCTGCCCTTTGTAACCCTCAAGTCCCGGTCCTGCAGTTATGGACTACATCCCAGATCGTCTCGTCAAGGGTCTGCGACAAGCGAGAGGCGCGACATCAACTGCTGCCAATACGGCGACAGCCACGATGAAGAACGGAAAGATCACACATGCCGTTGGGAAACTGGCACAAGCAGGAGTAGTCGACAACAGCGAAGGCACACTCGTCAGCACGGGCACCGCTACTACCAGTATCCACGCCGAGAAAATCACGCACTTGGCCACAAAGTTATCGCAGGCCGGCCTCAGCACCGACGACAGTACCACAAAGTCGAGCAGCCACAGTTTGGCAACCAAATACATCATCGTCATCGCGGTTGTTGGTGCAGTGGTGCTGCTGGCTCTTGCGCTAGGTGGCTGCTTATGCTGGAGAAGGTACAGAAGGAGGAGGGCGTATAATGTTGTCAGCAAAGGGGTGGACAACAAAGGCAAGGGACACACTCGGGACAAAGAGGATATGTTCAATGCAGACATGGCGGAAGCGGAAAGCTTCAACACAGAGAGTCAAAAGCTTACCGAGCGGAATTTCGAGAGCGGCTATGACAAGGTTGATACTGGATATGACGGGACCAGTTACGGAGCAGCCGAAGGACATGGTGACAAGAGGTCGAATTTTGAGGCATGATGAGGCCTAACAGCAGCGTGCGGACTATTGTTCAGTCTTGGACATGTGCGCAGGCAAGGTGTGCATGAAGTCAGTACCGCGCTGTCCCTGCCTTGCAACGGAGTCAGGCAAGGACGGAGTGCATGTCTAAGGGAGTTTTCGGTTTTCCACACTTTCACTTCACCTGTACCTCAATATCTTGTCATCTTCTTTCACCTCACGCCTCACTTGTACCTTCACACCATGTGCAGTCCCGGGCACGTGCCTGTCCAGAACTGCATTGTTTCTTCTATATATAGAGCCCTTGCACTCTGTCGCCGCCGCCATTACCTTCCCCCCTCATCATTTATCAAACGGTATCCTTTCGCATTCCTGATTTGCAGTCATGGCTCCAACATCGTCGATGCTCGGAAAGCGCGACGGGCCCGGCGGCACCTCAGAATCGAGTAAGCGCGCCAGAATTGTGATTGAGGTGGTACCAGACGGTGATGTTATCCTGAAGGTCGGCAAGGGAGACGAGGTTGTAGACTTAAGAGTCTCAGGAGCCATCATCGGCCTCGCTTCCGAGTATTTTGCAAAAGTGTTATCGTCATCTTTCGAGGAAGGCCTTTCAAAAGTAATCCAGCTTAGGGATGATGATCCAGAGGTCATTGAGGATTTCTGCTACATTGTTCACCACAGAATGGACAGTCTCAACCACTGCGATGGCCAACACCTCCTGAAGCTGTCCCTGACGGCAGACGCACGTTTCTGTACGAAGACATTGAAACCATGGGTTGCCACTAGGCTCTTTGATGTCATGAAGCTGGTGGAAAGAGCGTCAGACGAGCTTGGCACGTGCGAAGAGCCCAGTTACATACATAACCACAAGCTGCTTGGCCTCCAGATCGAGGAGGTTGTGGAGATCGCTGCAGTTTTTCGCATGGACGATCTGTTCTGGCAGGCAACGCGAATCGCTATCTACCAGTCTGATTGTCGTCCGAGTGATGGCGAGTCCAAGCAAACCATATCAACCATGCAGTCAGCAGGAGCCAATAACCTCGACCTCAATGGTAAGTCCTCTTTGTTGCTCAACAAACCTCACTTATCTGACATGTCATCCAAAGGTGCTCGATAAGACTCGCAAGGCCCTTGTGGAAAAGTTCCTCAATGCAATCATTGTGTGTGTTGGCGAGAAGTTCAACCGCAATGTTACATACCAACGAGTTAAGGCGAAGCGAGTCTGCCAGTTCAGCAGATACAGTGCACTGATGCTTTTTCTTATGTCAGTTGGGATTGAGCCTGGACAGACCAGCAATTACGGCGGTTCAATACAAGGTGCTATGGCCCAGATCAGATTGATCCCCAAGGATGTTGAGAGGTTCAAGTCTGAGAAAGCCATCTTGCGGGGAGAACCTTGTGTGGGTGGAGATCGATGCAAATACTGCAGCAGGAACATCTTGCAGGATATGCTGAAAACATGCAACGACCATGCCAGGAAATTGCCAGGTATTCGTCTTCGATGTTTTCTGGGGGACGAAGAGGACTACCTCACAACTCGCAAATGCAAAGAAACATTCGGCACACCTTGCTATACGGCCTACGCAGGGGGCTGGCGAAATGAATACTGAACAGTTGGAGGTTGGTCCATGTCCGTCAACGAAGAACAAGTCAAGTGGTATGTAGCGAATGCACGTCCCAATCTCATCGTCGCGCTGTTCGAAGACGTTCGTTGGGTATTGCATACGTCGATGCAGCCGCGGAGCACCTGGTCACGTACTGTGGCAGACCTTGGGATCATACATACCAAGGTACCAATGTATCAACAATGCATTGTTGTTCCATTCACGCCCCTTTCCACTGCTTCATGTGTTCTGTCTACCAAGATATGAGCCCTCCACCCACCCATACATCTAGGAATTTGTATTTACAATCTCGCCCAAAAGAGCGAACACCACATGTAAGGCTTCCTCCAAAGCCCCAGAATTAGTCCGACGTCAAAATCCCAGCTGGTGACGCTAGAGAATTGTCTCGCCGAGGCATATTGCCCGAAATCCAGTACGGTGCGTTTAGAGCACGTTACCCTTCGTCTGCGACATCTTCTTGACGTTCAGGTTCTTCATCATGCCAACCCAAACAAAACCCAGGACCATGATGGCGGAACCCGCTGCAAGCATTCTTGTCTGTGCATAGCCGTAAGACTTCTGGATTGCGAGTCGTTCAGGGCTTCCGACAGGATAGCTGAGCTGCGTGACCAGACTTCCATAGATGGTCGCCACGTCTGGCAAGGCGGATGCGGGTAGATTGCGCTCGAGAGCCTTTCTGAAGGTGTTGGTCCATATGGCGCCTGAGATGGCCTCGCCTATCGAGCCACCGATGCTACCGCTGACAAATACTGTCGACAGCACCGCAGCGACATACTGGTGGTCGACGGAGGCTAGAACGGCCAACTGGACGCAGAGAATGAAGACACTCCCAGCGACAGAGAAGAAGATCTCGCACATGACGATATACCCAATATACCCGTTGGGGGTCCGGAAGTGGATCATCAAACCAAGGGAGAAGATATACATAGGGACGCAAATCCAGAGGATCCATTTGAAGCGTCCTGTGATCCGGATAATGTAGCCCGTAATGAACAGGAACACAAACGCAACGGCGCTGAAGGTGTTTGCGACATATCCGGCCTCTTCCAGGGTCAGGTTATAGACAACCATCAGGAAGGACGTGAAGTAGCTGGCGTAGCAGTAATAAGAGATCTGGTAGGTAGCATCCAATAGACACGCGCCTATAACTGTTCGGTCGAGCAGGTAGTGAGGTTTGAGGAATGGCACCGGAGCCAGGTATATCTGATAGAGGGCGAAGAAGACCAGCACGACAGCGCCCACAACGATCATGGCAATGATGTAGCCGGACTGCCATCCCTGAGGCGCGGTACTGGCCAGAGCAAATGGTAGCAGGAACGTCACGAGGCCACCGGCAAATAGGATAATGCCCGGTACTGTGCATTTCGAGAAATTCATCAGCATCCCGAAACAGTCTGAGTGGGAGGTATTGTGGTTACTTACAGTCGAACTCTTTGATGATGTACCAGATCTGCTGCGACCAGGTTCGGCCGCTCTTTCCGCGGACGATGATGCCTTTCTTTTCTGCTTTACGAAGATTCCACTTCAACATCCCGTATAATGGCAAGGCCACACATGGGAAAACGATGGCCCAGCAGCCAATACCCCATTGCCAGCTGACATTGTTGTAGAAGGCTGCAGCAGCCTTTGATCCGGCGAACGCTGTGATCACAGCTGGGGAGGAGGTGAAAGCAAAGGCCAAGCCTCGATTTCTCAGATTCGTCACATCTGCGGCGAGCACATTCCAGCTGTAGGCGAGGCCTCCAAAGCCGATGGAATAGAACACCTGGGTCCATGTAAGTTTCAATCGTCGCTTGCAGGATGACGAATGTCTTAGACAGGAATCATCGATCCTAGCTTACCTGAGCAGCGCAATAGGTGGAGAGATTCGCAGACGCAGCCATGAGGACCAAGCCTAGAATGCAGAAGGCTAACATCAGGAGTAGACCTTCAGCCCTACCCCAGACATCCAACATCTTTGCCATTGGGATATAAACTGCTGCAGTCATGGCGTTGGCAACGATACCGATGACCGTCAAAAGCGAATGAGACTGCCATTCACTCGTGGCAAAGGGCGTCAAGCTGACGACAATGGTGGCCTTGAAATTGTTGACCAAGGTAAGAAGCCAGATACTGGGGGAAGAGCATGTCAGCTATATCGTCGCGCAGACATACGTAGCACGGTGAAACGTACAGTATCAGGACTCCAGCAAGCGATTTTTTCGACCAGGCCAGAGTGACGGCCTCGATCTTCTTGACACCGTTCTGCGCAGCTTCACTGGGCATTGCCTCTTCATGGCTCTTCAGCTCAGACGCTTCTTCAGGCGAGCCAGCCCTATGGATAGCTTCTTTGTCGTCTCTGGAACCGACGTCGCGGACCACTGGAGGGTGTTCCTGTGCCGGCAATGGACGACCTTCGATGTCGTTGAGCGCAGTACCGTCCGCATTATGATGGAAGTCGTCTGGGACTGCCATTGCTCTCCGCTGGTTTAGATGAGAATGTAGAGTTGTGTACGATAGGCCGTCCTCTGCTAAAGTGCGAAAGGCCCAAATATGAACAAATATGCAGAGGACCTCGAGGGACAGTAGCGCACATAGACTCACAGCTTGACTGGCCTAGGAAGCCCGCACCCGAGAGGCAATTGAGACTAGACCTCGTGGAAGTAACATGAGCCCGAGACCGGACACAGTCAAAGTACAGAGAACGAAGTGGGGTGACCATGTTGAGCAGGGGCTCAAAGGTCCGATAGTCGGTCAAAGTATGGTCTGCATGCGGGCAGTGGGTGTGATGCCACATGTTTTGGCACGGTTTGTATCGTATCACCGACGTCCAATCCTGTGCCCTTCCGGATGGGGGTAAATTCATAGATGAATGAGAGAGTTGTCTTGGAGGTGGTGTTGCACTTGATCTTCCACCCTCGTTCGCGGCCTGGGATTTCTTGTCCTGCAACAGCTAGATTTGACTGCTCGTAGCCTCCAGACTCCGGACTACTACGGTCGACCCAGTTTCTTTCAAATCAGCTGAGATAAAGAGTTTTCCGTCGCATGCATTGAGCGTGGTGGAACCCGGTGGGAAGGGGATGAGGATGGAACGGGACTCAGAGGTGCCAAGCTACTTTCATCTAATCTGATTGATCATTTGATTAGATATGATCCATACACGCTTCTGGGTGTTACGTTGATGGTTGGGGGTTGGGACGGTCGATCAGGTCCTACCGAGTGCTAGTACTGTACCTAGGCGGTCTGGGTACTTTGTGGGTGGCTCCAGTGGGCTCGGTGGGCGCCGCAGAGCCGGTCGGCTAGGGAGGGAGCCAGGCTTGCACCCAACCGGCAGTTCTTGTGGTATTTCTGCGCGCTTAGCAGGAACATGTCTCTTGCATTCCGGTTAATATTCTAGCTATGGTCCACCAGACCCTGACACAATATCGCTTCTCATTCCGCAGCCCAGCATTAGAATCGCCTGGCTACATGCTCCCTTGGGCGCGCCTTGTTCTTGCGGCCGTAGCTAATAGTGCAGAGCCTTGCGCTGCCTCACCCAATCATCCCTGGTAATCAGATATTCCACTTCGCCCTCCTCGATTCCTGGAGGAGGGTTGTCGTACTTGTTATAGAAGGTACGGACATGCTGCAATCCACAAGACGCCATTGCCGCCCGACAAGCCACGTTGACTGCCATGGTGTCGCCAACCACTTCGTTCAGACCCAGATCTTGGAAAGCATGCCTCAACAGCTCGCGCGAACCTTCTTTTGCGTACCCTTTCCTCCAAAATTTTGGCAAGAGTCGCCATCCACACTCTGCTCGCCGTTTGTTGTATTGTGGTGGTTCGTCTTGTCCTGGGTTGCTTTGGGATGGTGCCAGCACCCACCATCCAACAAACTGGTCACCGTCAAAGCCAACCCAGCAACCGAGCCCGGGAACAGGCGCTGCTGTATCAAGCAGCCACTTGTGTACCTCTATTGCCTCCTCTGGTGTCAATGGCCTGCCAAATAGAACGTACTTCATGACATCGGGGTCAAAGTCTAACTGCTTGGTAAGGTCGATGTGCTCAGGGCCTAGGGGTCGTAGCTCAAGGCGCTCAGTGCGCAGAAGTGCCTGAGAATGGGTCATGGTCATGGACGGTTGTAGGTGAGATTCGTGCTGTCCTCTTGCGCTTTGTTGTCCGAGTTGTCTCAGCTGCAGCAGGTCGGAGAGGCTCGACCTTCTTATACGTTGGTGATCCAACCTTCGGCAAGGTCGCTGATGAGCGATCATCATAGCTCATTTGCGTGGAGTCAACCTCATGGCACACAATCACTGGTTGCTCCAGGACCACCACGCCATCAGGCAGGAACCGTGGTCGGAGTGAATGCGGCTATAGAAGCAACCTGACCAGGTTATGGACCTCTGCTGCATGGATCGACACTGCTAGGGCGCATCCAAATACTGTGGACAGCCTAGAATGAACTGTCATTTGGTGAGCGAAGAAGTGGGAATGTATAGGCTCAATACCTTCTTACCGGTGGATGGTCAGCTCAAGGGTTTGTAGGAAGTAGCTGATGAGACAGGCCAGGTGTAAGCTCGGCTGACGCATTCCTACGTTTCCAAGGTATCTTGTTACCGTCAAACGTTGGAAGTCAGCCCAAAACATCCAAAGCAGCTGGCCTTTCCAGTACTGGAAATCACCTCGACCTCCATAATACATTATACCTGCGTCTTGAAGCGCAATTTTGTTTCTTCATGGACCACGAATTCCGGATATTTATGGTCCAGGAACGAAATATACCAATTGATGGTTGTCAAGAACTGCAGCTTCGACAGCCGGGGGCTTTTTCCTTTTCTTGACGTTACCCTTCAGATACCCCTGTAAAGACCCTTGTCTACTGGTGAAGTATCCCTGGCTTTGAGGGAGGTGGAATTAAGGTAAGGAAGAGCTCGTATTGGGCTTGCATGTGGCGCCGTCACCGGCGTCGGCCCCATATGCCCTGGAAAGGAACGCCGCTGCGATGGCCGGCTCCCCGGGAAGGCTGCTCTCCTTGTATAACGGAGGGCGTTTCACAGGGAGCTTTTTCTGCTCGTGCGAGCCAAGAACACGAAGAGGCACATGGGGATTTAAGAAGGTAGCACTTCCAGGTAGACCCATCCTCTGATGCAGCTAGCCTAGCTCCACGTAGATCCAGTAAATCCCACGCTATCGAGTGCCATGCAACGGCGATCTTTGGGTAATCTTATCATGTCCATCAATCATATCTTATCTTTGATGCCCGTCGCACCACGTATGTACGTAGTAGGATCGTAAGCTGCAGACTCCATTGAGCAACTTTCCAGACATGGCCACTGCTGGCTCCTCCTTTTCCTAAGTGCCATGGAGCCAAGCAGGGAAGGCTCTGCCCATCCCAAGCAAGAATATCACACATTCCGATATCGGTCTGGGAATCGCTGTCAGGGCCCTGGGATTGAGCGACAAGACCTCAGGAAAAATGTTGTTGTACTTACTAGGCGATCCACCAATGTCGGTGACCGTCATCGAGGTCAATTGCCTTGTCTTTGAAGATGGAGTGTGATACTTTTGAGGAAAGGCGAGGCTGATTGAGCTTTGCTTTGAGCTCTGCTAAATTGCTTCAGCCGGCAACAACACCACCACCACCAACCCAAGGTATCAAATCTATACCTAGAAAGCCCGCTGCAACCATGGCAGACGCACCGCCAGATCAGCAGGTTGTCAACCCAGGGAATACAACAAAGGTTGGTAACTTTGGTGATTCTACTCATGACGCTCGCGGTATTAACATGATACTCAGTTGTCCCCTTCGTCACGGCTAAAGAAAGCCTTCGGATACTTTGCTATCTTTGTCCAGACAGAGCCATCAAAACTTGACATTCTTCTCTTGGTCACTGGAATACTCAGCGCCATCGCTTCTGGAGTGCCTTTTCCGCTGCTGGGCATCATCTTCGGTCAGCTCCTCGATGATTTCAACAACCAAGGCTGCGCTTCCGAAGCATCGTCCGGCGTGCAAAGCTCCGCCAGTACTCAGCAATACCAGTCCGACGTCAACAGCAAGGTCCTATACGTGGTCTACCTCGCCATCGCCCAATTCGGCTTCATGTACATCCACCTCGTGAGCTGGTCATTGGGAGGCGCCAGGCTAGCACAACGTCTGCGTGAGCAGTACCTCCGTAGCTTGCTGCACAAGGAGCCTGCTTTCTTCGACAGCCGTCCTAGCGGGGAAGTGTCGTCCCGGCTCAACGGCGACATTTCCATGATACGCATGGGGACATCAGAGAAGGTCGGCATCTGCCTCTCGAGCATTTCTTTCTTCGTCACCGCCTACATCGTCACCTTCATCAAGATTCCGAAGCTGGCTGGTATATTGGTCTCGTTGGTGCCCGCCTACTTTTCCATGTCGCTGGTAGGCGGATACTTCATCAAGAAGTACTCGTCCCGTGTCTCGGACCGGTTTGCAGCAGCTTCGTCCGTGGCCTCGGAGGCACTGTCCAATGTTGCCGTTGTCCATGCCTTCAATGCGAACGATAAGCTGGAAAGGAACTTCTCATCGCACCTACGCTTGGCCAGGAAGGAAGGTATCAAAAAGGCTCTTGCTAGCGGTATTCAAGCCGGCTTCATCTACTTTATCGCCTACGCGGCGGATGCGCTGGCTTTCTGGCAGGGTAGCCACATGATTGCGGATGCAGTCGAAGGCGATGGCAGAGGAACCACCGTGGGTAGCGTTTTCACCGTAATTTTCCTTCTGGTGGATGGTGAGTTCCACTCTGGGCGCAACCATCGCCTTGCTTCGAACCAGACAAGAGCTGATATATTCCTTGGATAGCCAGCCTCATCCTCAGCCAGATGACGCCATTTCTGGCTATCTTTGCAGCAGCTTCTGCATCCTTCGCCAAACTGAAGCAAGACATCGACAGACCGTCTAGGATTGACGGGACTGCAGACACTGGACTTCGACTGCCCGCCAATACCACCGGCCAATTCAAGTTGCAAGACGTCTCCTTCTACTATCCGTCGCGACCGGGACAAAATGTGCTCGACAATGTGTCCATGGAATTCCCGGCAGGCCAAAATACGGCTATCGTCGGCTTCTCTGGTAGCGGCAAGTCCACTGTCGCAGCCCTGTTGCTCCGGCTGTACGACCCAACCGAGGGCTCAGTCGTCCTAGACGGCCACGACCTTCGTGAGCTCAATACGCGGCAGGTTCGAAGCTTGATTGGTATTGTCCAGCAAGAAGCCACCCTGCTCGATCGGTCAATTCTGGAGAATATCGCCCATGGGCTGGTGAACTCTACGGCATCGGAACATGAAGGTCTTCGTGACGCATTGTACGGGCCACATCTTCGATTGCTGGCTGCCGCTATTAGGGAAGGCCGTGGCGCAACAGAGGCAGCCAGAGAACAAGGCCCAGTAGTGGAAAGAATCCTCAATATGGTCCAGCACGCAGCCGAGATCGCCGACGCTGCGCGTTTTATCGACAAGATGCCAGAGGGCCTGGGAACGATCGTTGGATCTAGTGGCACACGGCTCAGCGGAGGGCAAAGGCAACGCATTGCCATTGCCAGGGCCGTTGTCAAAGACCCCAAGATCCTTATCCTTGACGAAGCCACGGCATCCCTCGACTCGCAGAGCGAAACGGAGATTCTTGAGGCCTTGGATCGTTGTTCAGAAGGCCGTACCGTTATCTCCGTTGCTCATCGTCTTTCCACAATCCAAAAGGCAGATAAGATTGTCGTCATGGAAAACGGCCGGATCTTGGAAGCAGGAACCCACGCAGAACTGATGAGCAAGCAAGGTTCATACGCTGGCCTTGTGAATCTGCAAAACCTGGACACCAAATCCACCGACCAGCGGACTGGTGAAGCAGTGTCATTAAGTGGTGTGACCGACGTTGAGAAACCAGACAGAGGCCTGGAGGGCATCAGCAAGGATGTCTCGATCGATGTGTCTAAGGAGGACTTTGAAAATGAAAAGTCCTTGAAGCCCGAGTCCTCCGTTGAGACAGACAAGACGCCGATGAGCCAGTCTCTCGGATACTTGATCAGCTCCATGTCGCACTTCATACGTCCACATGCGTTGGTGGCGGTCTTTGCTCTCGCGGGCGCCACCATTGTCGGCGGGGCGTACTGTGCCGATGCCGTGATCTTTGGCCATACCGTCAGTGGACTAAGTCCATGTGGCTCTCCCGACCACATCCGATGGAGTGGCCGCTTCTATGCGCTGCTATTCTTCGTACTGGCCATCATAGAGTTCTTTGCCAACGTTATAAGCTGGGTAGGCTTTGGCTGGGTCTCCGAGATGGCCATCTATGCTATCCGCGTGTCCCTCTTTCGCTCTCTTTTCGAGCAGGATGTGCAGTGGCATCAATCCAAGGGGCGTACTCCGTCCAGCCTACTCGCGCTCATCACCAGCGACGGCAATCAGATTGCTGGTCTGAGCGGGTCCATCATCGGCACGATATTGTCGATCTGCATTAATTTGGTCGCGGCCGTCATCATGACGCTTATCATAGCCTGGAAGATTGCCTTGGTATGTCTTGCCATTGTGCCGGTTCTCCTGGGGGTCGGACTCACGCAATTACGTGCCCTTGCGCGGTTTGCGGACAAACACGAGCACGCCTTCAACAAGTCGGTCGGGATCAGCGTCGAGGCCGTTAGCTCCATCAAGACCGTCGCGGCCCTGGCGCTCGAACATGAGATTCTAGGCACTTATCGCAGTACGCTCGACGCGCCAAAACGAGAAGTCACTGCCATCAGCTTCTACGCCAATCTCTGGCTTGCCCTGCAATACTTCGTCGGCAACCTGGCATTTGCGCTGGGGTTCTGGTGGGGATCCAAGCAGGTCTTCAGCGGGATGTACAGCCAGACGCAGTTCATCATGGTCGTCTTCTCTTTGCTGGTCAGCGCTCAGCTCTGGTCCCAGATGTTTGCGCTCGCTCCCGAGATCACCAATGCTCGAGGGGCCGTTGCGCGAATCACCAGTGTGATCGAAGTGGGATCCTCAGGTTCGGCCGCCCGAGGGCCACAAGGGTCCCGCAACAAGGATATTGAAGCCGTTGCGGAAACAAAAGCTGCATCGCCGAACAGACAAGGTGGTATGGAGGTGAAGTTTCAGAATGTCCATTTTGCCTACCCGGCTCGTCAAAGTGCGCCGGCTCTCCGCGGCTTGAGCCTTCATGTTCGGCCTGGCCAATTCGCCGGGCTTGTAGGGCCGAGCGGCGCGGGCAAATCAACGATAACATCACTCGTGGAGCGCATGTACGTGCCCAGCTCAGGAGAGATCCTGATCGACAGAATGGACATTACCAAGCAAGTTGGGACATCTTTCCGCAACGACATAGCCCTTGTGCCGCAAGATGGTGTGCTCTTCGATGGCACGATACGCTTCAATCTCTCACTGGGGGCACGGCCGGGGACATCGGTCTCAGACGATGACATGATCGAAGCGTGCAAGCTGTCCAGCATCCACGACACCATTGTCAAGCTGCCACAAGGCTACGACACTCTCTGCGGTGTCAACGGGAGCCAATTGTCGGGCGGGCAGAAGCATCGGTTGGCCATCGCTCGTGCATTGGTCCGCAAGCCCAGGCTGCTAATCCTCGACGAACCGACCAGCGCGCTGGACGCCGAGACCGAGAGGATCCTGCAAGATAACTTGAGGATCGCGACGCAAGGCATCACCGTCCTGGTCATAGCACATCGGCTGAACACCATCCGCCATGCCGATGTCATTTTCTTGATCGAGGCCGGGCAGTGTGTGGACGCGGGTACCCACGATGCGCTGTTTGAAAGGTCCGAGACCTACCGTGCAAACGTCCTCAGTCAAATGATCGCGACATGATGGGATGAAGAAAAGCCATAGAGTCATTCTGATCTAGAAAATCCTTGGGTTGAACAGGACTCGAAAAGTTGAATAGCATTTAGATTATCAGTGAGTACGGGGTCAGAAAGATCCCAAGTCTCATACACATAGAGGTATGCAAAACCCGTCTTGCGTGATTCTTTCAGCACGGCGGCCTCGATAAGTGGAAGTCCTGTACGCTCTTTCTCATTGAAGATGCTTCCACGTTGATACTACGTACCTCAGCGCTATGCGTCACTAGCCTAATCGAGGTAGGCTTCTTAAAAGCAGCAACGCTTAGGTAAGCAGATTTCACTTTGGACTGCGTCGCGAAGTTGCCTCGTAGTAAACAGTCGATGTAAACAGAAGACTAGACATTGAGAACACAGAACGTCGGCGCGAGTCCAGCCAGAACTCTCTGGGACTGCACACCGGGCGCCATGAGTTCTCCAGCATCGAAAAGGTTGCGCTTGTCGACGTCAAGGACCTCTATCTCGGGTAGACGACAAAGCGTCTCTGGGGTTCATTCGTCACTTCCACGCCCATCGTCCGCGGTACGTAGTTTGGAGATGGTCGCGAAATTTGCAGGCTAATAACAGGTAGGCTGGCAACAGAATAAGTAGCACGCAACCCAGCTACGATTTCATCTCTGGCGGAGCGACTGAGAATCCTCTACCACCTTTGCGACAATCCAGACTGCGCCAGCCCTCGGTTACCAGACAAGGTTAGCATAAGGTGGAAATATAAACAAGAATAGACTCCTGACTCATGGCAGACCACAGTCAAGATGAGAACCTGCGAGCCAAGATAAATTCGCTGGAATATGAACTCAAGAATCTCCAACAAGAACGCGGACTTCTGGCTCTGCAACACGACAAGGAACTTCGGGAACAGCAAGCTAGAGCAGAGGCAGACTTCAAAAAGTACCAGGTGCGTTTGCAGCCAGTTGGTCAGCGGGTATGTCGACTTACAATTGCAGAATGCGGAAAGCGCAGCTCAAAAAGCGACGCGGCGACAGGAAGAAATCGCTAGAGAACTACGTGAGGCGCAAGACCAATGGGTCAATGAGAGAACGACCTTGGAACGAAAGCTACGAGACCTCCACGATCAGACCTCATCCTTTAAGGAAGATGCGGAGGATGCGCAGGCACGATTAGCAGATGAAGAAAGACACCATAAACACCAGCTGGACGATGTCGAGGCGAAACGTGCGGCGTTGCAAGAGACGGTTGACAGCATGAAACAAGAGCTGGAAGATTTATCGAGCCAATTTGATGCGTCTCAGGCCCGTTTGTCAGAGCGAGATGCACGAGTCGAGAGTCTCGAAGCGGAGGTGTCTGCGCTGAAGTCGCACTCCGCAGACAGTGAGGCATTAACGGTCCTGCAGAACCAACTGTCAGACCAAGTGGCTCACATCCGGAAACTCGAGCAGATGAACAGAGAACAACTTAATGAGTTGAGGAGACTGCGAGAGACACAACGCAGCGTACAAGTGGTTGAAGAACAGAAACACGGGCTGGAAATCGAAATTCAAGTCTTGAAAGATGTTGAACGGCAACTGGGCGAAGCCCAAATCCAGAAGGAAATCCTCGAAGACGAGAAGCGGACGTGGACCAGTCTGCTGGAACGTGATGGCGAGAACGAATTCGGATCTCCAGAAGCGGTTGTCAAGGCGCTGATCCAGCAACGCATCGAATGTGCTTCGGTCATGGACAGATTAGGCACAATCGAGAGTGATCTAACCGAGAAAGACGAAATCATCAAAGCCTTAGATGCGGACAAAGCATCCCTCAAGGTCGAGTTGGAGAAAGTGAAATCCTTGCAAGCGGCACAAACCGAGCCTGCTAATGACAACAAAGCCTACAAGCGGCTCGAACGCCAGAGATTGCTGGCGGTCAAGGAGGTCGAGTATCTGCGCGCACAGCTGAAGACGTTTGATACCGAAGAGACAATATTAATGGACAACCAGAACTTTGATGCCCTACGGTCTGAGCAGATCAAGCAACTTGAAACCCTGGTTGATCAATATAAGACTGAAGTGCAGACCCTTCACTCTGATATGTCGAAGCTGGAGTCGGCTCCTCCTGCAGCTGCGCAGCCAGAGGAGGCCCGAGGCACCAAACGATCTGCAGAGTCGCAAGAGCCAGACGGCGAGAGTCACTCACAGCTCGGAGCTTTGCTGCGGAAAAACAAGAACCTACAGATCGCATTGCAGAAAACTGCACAGCAGTCTCAAATGCTGGCCACAGACTTGCAGGCTACCAAGGCACAGCTGAAGGCATTGCGAGAGACCTCCAAGACTCGGATGCTAGAGCTTCGAGACAACCCTACAGCCAGGGCCGAAGCCATTAAGATGTCCACCTTGCGAACATTGAAGGAAGAAAATGCAGGACTGCTGGCTCAATTACGAGGTGAAGACCTCCAGGGCGTGAAGGTCGTACCTGTCAGCACAGTCGATGCACTCAAGCTTGATCTGAAGGATATGGAGATGGTTGTGGCGGAGAAGGAGAAACGCATGAGACGACAACGGGAGATCTGGACACAGAAAGCCGCCGAATTCCGCGATGTTATTGCCAGTGTGCTTGGATACAAGGTCAACTTCCTACCCAACGGCAAAGCCAAAGTATCCAGCATGTACTACGGCCAGACCCAGGATGCCGACGAGGACAGTGATGAGGAAGACGAGCACTACATTGTTTTCGACGGGGACAATGGCACAATGAAGATCAGCGGCGGCCCAGACAGTGCCTTTGGCGAAGAGATCAGGGATCTGGTGAACTTCTGGGTCAAGGAGAAGAAGCAGATTCCCTGCTTTCTGGCAGCCATGACTCTCGAGTTCTATGAGAAGTTTGCGAACAACAGTGGGAAGCTGGACGGGTCCTGAAGCATGGAGGGATCTAGTATTTATTGTATAGTAATGAGACGATGTCATTCGGCATGAGCACGATCTTCGCCTAGAGTTCCCATCGTAAGCTGAGGTGCCTCTCGATGACTCTCGATCTATCGTCATGCAGATCAGCCTTTTCACCAGTGCCTGTACTCGTAAGACGGTACCCTGTGTGTACCAGGTAGTTTGATGTCAAGGGGGATGCAGCAATGCAACCCATCCCCATTATCCCGCATTTAAGGCCACCCATTGATCGTGCTCGAATTTCTGACAGCCGTTGGGTGGCCGTTGGGTGGCCGTTGGGATGGCGCGATGGATGTGATGGGAATCGGGATGAGAATGATTAGCGTGGCTGACGGACCTTACCGAGGCTAAAAAATGCCACCTCGTATTTTCGACTCGACCATCCATCACCTTCCTAACGTCTCACCCCAGATTTTCAACCATACGGAGTACCATCGCATCTATTCTGCGCCTCAATCATCATTTGGTCATTGTCATTTCCACATCCCTTATGCGCCTGGCTCAACTTTCGGCATTGGACTGGTGATGGAGACGAACAACGTTGATAATGAAGCCTTCCGGAGACTTCATCGTGACGCGTGATCATGGCGCCGCAATTCTTATTCGTCAACAAGGATGCCGACAGTGCGTCCTTGACGCGCAGTAATGCATCCGAACAATCCTCCATCAACTCTCACGTCCAACGTGGTCGCCGACACAAACGTTCCGGTCTCAGTAAAGGCCGCTCGGGAATTCAAGGCAGGCGTAACGCTAAATCAAGCAAGACTGCCGATACCAGCGACGATCTTCAGCCCGGCCCAAGCACCACGAAACCGACCTCTTCAGTATCACCTTCAAACGCTGAAGATGAGTCTGCTGAAAGCGGGGTGACAGCCCCGAAACCGCTCCCTGCTCGACCCAGCCCGAAATCCAAAACTGCTCGTCTTACAGCCTCCAGCAAAGCACGTCCGAAGGTGCATTTCAACAGACGCTCTCGGAGTCTGTCTCCTGGAGCTGTGAAAGCATCAAAAATCAACGAGAGAGCGAAACTACTGCTGAACCCTGATAGCCCTCTGAACTCTCCAAGAGATATTAGCCAGCTGACCTCCGATTCCATTGATCCCTTTGGCCTTTCCGTGGTCAAGATGGACCCTCACATTGCAGAATTATGTCGCTATTTCTGCGACAAGTTCCACCCCAGCGTCTGGCATGCGGAGAGCTGGACCCTTAAGGGGCAGTATACCTATCAGAGCTCCTCAACGGCCATTATACGACGAGCGATGCAGAATGAGGTCGAGATGAATGCAATATTGGCTTGTATGGCAGCCAGGATAGAAAATGTCGATATGATTCCCGGTCAACAAACCGACAGGTTTATGGGGAACGCTCTGATGGCGGTCAGACGACGATTCAGTTCGCTTAGTTCCGCTTCCAAGCATCAGCTCCTTCTGATTATCTTCCATCTCTACGCGGGAGAAGCGTACCGCCAAAACTGGGAAGCGGCCAGAATACACATGCGCGCTGCAAAGTCTTTGTTCGACTCGTGGGGTGGGCTGGCTCAGGTACCGGATCAGTCCATCCGAGAATCATTTATTATTGGCGATGGAAATGTGTCCGCATGTGTCATGGAACCATGTGAATTGCCTTGCGAGTATGATCCTGGCGGCTACTTTACGGTGACTCCACCTGAGATGTTGCTCGTCGCCCCACGAGATCTCAGCACCATTGCGCCGGCTTTGCAAGATGTATTGACCGACGGCTATCTGCCAGATGGGCTGGTTGAGAGCATTCTTGAGACTGTAGAGTGCGCTTGGGTCTTGCTTCATGCTCGCACAGGCTCATCGCCAGAGGCGACAAAGTATGCTGCGAGATGGCTTCTTTGGCGCAATTCAGCAGTCAGGTACCGACTCCTGGCTACTCGGTATTCTGACGCGGTTCATGAAGCGATACGGACTGCGTTGTTCATATGGATCTTGACCGCCATGGTGGTACCCTTGGGTGTGATGAGAATCGCAGGCCTGAATGCACCCCGGTTGCTCCGCACCCTTAAAGCTGCCGACTTGCCGACCCAACAATGGAGAGGTCTGTTGGAGGTCAAAATGTGGATCCTCGCCCTTGGTGCCATGAGCGCCGTCGTCGATAGTGACGAGGAGAAGTGGTATCTGGACCAGCTGTTCGAAGTTGGTATGCCTGAGAATATTCGACGATACCGGGAGTTCAACCCGGATGTCGAGACGGCGGACGTCTTGAAACGATTTCACGAGCGATTTTTCTACTATGAACCTATTCAGCGGCCCAGGCTGCAGAGGTTGGCTCAGCTTATTGGTGGTGCTATTGACTTTAGCTCCAATTCGGGGTCTCTAGGTACTCCGAGCGATAGGACTAGCAAGTCTCGATCTCCGCCTTGAATGAATTACTTGTCTATGGTGGCCTGGAATCTCCGCGAAATGGGGCCTGGGAGTGGGGAGGGCGGCATTTTCCTTCGCGTGTGCGAAGATCCCAAAGGACACAACCACTTCCCGTGGTATAGGACGGATTTTTGCTTTATATATGTGGAGACAGGGGTCGATTTCAGTGAACGACGCGTCACTGTCATTTGTCAATGGTGCACACCACGCAGACACCTACTGCTGTGAGAGAGGAAAGGCACTGATCGGAGGCAGTCCTACGCGGCACTGAATCATGGGAACCCACTGACTCGACGGTCGAAGAATGTCTCACGACATGCACACCTATACTGAATTCGGTCTTGTCAGATCTACAGGAACCTCAGAGCTAGGTGAGCGTATATGTATGATATTTGAGACCCCAGGATATGATCTGAAATGTGAACATCTACTACGTGTGATGGTGCCTTTCTCGGTTTCTTCGACAAGTGGTATTTGAGCAACGATCACCCAAGGCTACGCAGTTCACACTTTCACACCGAAATTCCCTACGCAGAAAGTGACTTGGTGCAGGACGCGATTGTCCTCGTCTCGTCCTGGGTCAAATTGCAAGTCTAATATTTGGGGCGATTCGTGTTCAATGCGGAATCCATCCAAAACGAAACGAAATGAGGTCGTGAACAGGGCGAAATGCTGGCCCGTGATCTTTTCGCCACGCAAGCGTAATTTCGTAAGCGTCGAGCTGTTCCAAACAGGAGACTCCACAGAACAAACAGAAGGTTCCGATCTGAGATTGGAGGTGCATTAGGGAGTTTACTACAGATTTCTGGAGTTCGGTGGCTGAGTAACCACACAGGCAAAGCTTCCTTTTTTCGCTGCTAATATTGGCGGAACGGAGAAACGATGTTGCGTGGGTTGCTCTTGCTCAGGCGTGGCAGGGCATTCAAAGCATACAACAAGGTGAACGAGCTGTTCCTGTCTAGTCCATTGCTTTCCAGGCTCAGAATGGCGAGACTGCGCTGTGGTCATCAGTGTGCCACGCGCAGATCCCAAGACTGTATTTCCTGACCGCTCCCAGCTGCTCAGCATTGCGGCATTGATCCGCAGAAAGTCTTGACGGTTGCCTCCCCTTGGTCTAGGGATCGATTCATCATGAAGAGCTCGAGCTAGAGAACTCCGCTCGCTCTCGTATCACTTCACTCGAAGGGAAAGGAAAACACAACCGTCCACGAGCACTCTGAATGGCAAAAGGCTTTCCCTCGGACAATCCACATCATGGCAGAATCCCCCAATCCTTCTTCCTTGGCTTCATCCGGTTCCGAGTCTGTCTGGCTATCCAGTACGTGCGTTGTATCCCTGGTCGGATCTCAATCCTGGAGGATGAAAAATTTCTTCAACTGCCTTTTCGCCTGATGAAGCGTATCCTTGAGAACAGAGGCAGAGTAACAGAGTGTGTTGTCCTCCCCACATTGATGCTGCTGCCCAACCAAGGATGTTTGGACGGTTCTCGTAAAAGGCGAAAACACAAGCCAGCGTATGAATGGGCTGGATCCAAGCCACCGACTACATCTTGCAGAGAAGGCAGTGAGTGCAGTTGTCATCATGCAAGGGACCCGAGACCTGCGGCGTCGAAGTGCATATGCAAGACTCCGGATTGGAAGCTTTTCCCTGCAGAGACTACCGTCTCGGGGACCATTACGCGGATGTCCTTGTCAAAAGTCTTTGCCGGTAACCTATCAACTTTCCAAGACGCTAGCACCGGAATTCAGTCTTGAACGTTTATAAGGGAGTGGTTATGCTTGCTGACTGGCTCACTGGTCGGGACTGTCAACTCGCAGATGGCGACCGAATGAGCCAACGGCCACTAAAGCTGGAAGCGCAAACTTCGGAAGATGGTGGTGATGGAGACAATCATGAATTTCTGTTTGCGCTCAGGATATCACTGGTCGACTGTCAACGCCGCCGAAGTGAAAACCGAACCCTTCCCGATGGGACTATCGAGCTATGCATGCTTTTTATCAAGGTTGCCGACGCCATGATAAGGAATACGCATATCATCTGCCTCCACTACATAAGGCACACCCAATAAGAGGATTTTCGTACCTGGCACAACCATGCACAGGTCACTCTGGGCCGAGCCTTGGCACTGAGGCGAACGCCTTCCGGAGAAAAAGACAGCACGCGAGTCTCTCAAGGCACAACCCGTCCACTCATATTCTTGCACATGGACGAAAACTCTCTTTCCCTGTTCCTCTCGCTTGCACAGATCTAAGTGGTCTCTGGCCGCTAGATGGAGCTTGAATGCAAAAATGCTCGGATACATCCACCTGAGTCTTGGAAGTCGAATCCACCAATCCGCAGTGCACGACACACGATTCCTTTTGGAGCGATTTGCGACAGAAAAGACATCTGTTCTGCGGCGCAGCAAACTCGTAAGCCTCACGGTTCGGTGGTCTATACCTCTGACGTTTTTGTTCCAAGTTTATGCCGGCTGGTAAAAAGATGTCAGCGATAACGCCCTCCGTGTGGTGTGTCTTTACTCGGAGTATCACGGTCGATTGGTGAACGCTGAAGCAGTCGACCGATAAGCCAACCTGTAGGTTGTGGAGGTTTACCGGCACCCCGTTACCCTTGCGCTGCACCTCGACGCTTTTGCGATAGACCCTCTTTGGATGCGGTTCATAGAATGCAAAACCCACATGGCATGCTCTCATACTCCGATACAGTCTGCGAAATCCTCAGAACATGTCCTACAAGGTTCTACGGAGTATGCTAGGGTCATCCCATCTTAATGCCGCTGCATTGGCAAACTTTTGCAGCTAAACTGAGGTGGTTGGTGAAAATCTAGATCGACTACATACTATTGGTGGGAATACCCACCAGGAATTCTCCATGCTGTTGGCTATTGTCGCTGCCTATGGCAGCAAGCTGCATACAATGTAGTCATGCATCCCGTATGACTGCCAGTGCAACGTCTGGTTCACGTATGGCAAGGTTATCCTTGGTGGACTGGGTCTTTGTCTTAGCATTCTCGGAGTTTTGCCTAGCCCACCAAGATGCTCGCCGCACAGGCCCAGGGGCACAGCATCTGGATCAGGCAGCGCATCTGAGCACCACGCGCCTCGAACAGCCTTGTGTCAACGCGCGCTCTGCCACATTCCAGGAGTTGACAAGACAGCAATCGAAGCGAAGTATTCCCTTTTGGGCCCCAGCCCCTTCTTTTCTGTCAAAGGGCCAGAGGGTGCCAGATGCCGAAATGAGCGCCAAATGGTCGAGTCCGATCTACAACGCCGCTTGACGTAGGCGACGGTTAAGCTCCAGTTGGCGCCAGGTACGCGAGAGAAACGACCAACACCATTCGCCAAGCGCCTGGAAATTGGCAGAAGCTAGAGCGTTTCACTCCAGCGGTGCCAGCGGACCCAAAGCCTAACAAGGCCCATTCACCTGGGCACTGACAGGGGAGCTCTGGGGCCGTCGAACGCCACGCCAATGGCTAGTTTTCGGGGGTCATCCCCGGCACAGCATGCCAATTGGTCCTGTTGCTCCGAAATGCTTTGTGTGTTGGGTCCGCTTCTCCCTGGACCTCTTTGTGTTGTTGCGTTTTTGTCTGTTCCTGTCTCTCTCTCTTCCCTTCCCGCCAAGTGTGCTGTCCAGACTATATTGCTCAGACGTCTCTCTTCGACGTCGTCCGTTCTTTCTCTCCCCAGCCGTACCAGTCTACGCTCGCGTCCACTCCTTTACGCGAAAAGCACGCTCGCTTTCGTCGCTCTCTTCCCTCGCACAGTCATTACAGAGACTCGATCTGGGATCGTCCATACCTCGCATCAGTCCAGCCACTCCTTCTCAGAAGTCGAACTTCTCAAACCACACACGAGTCAAACTCAACACATAGAAAAACAAAGACAGACAAGATGCATTTCGCAATCAACACCTTGGTGCTGGCCACCCTTGCAGCTAGCCAAGCATATGCTGCATCCATCAGCCACCAGCACTCGGCCTTCCACAGCCACGCACGCAAGCACAACCATGTCGAGCAGTAAGCCAAGCGCCCCGATGTATGCATGGTAACACAAGGCAAACTGACATGACCAAAAATAGGAAACGTGCCACAGCCTTGACCGATAGTGACGCCAGCAAGCTCTCCGCCCTCGGTATTGCAAGCTTGGGTGTCAACTCTGCCGTCTCCAACGGACAAGCCTGGTTGGCTGAGGACGGTCCTTACAAGGCCAACATGCAAAACAATGCCGGCGAAGACATCGTGCTCGTCTGCTGGGGCGTTGCAGGCTCTTGGATCAATGCCGTCCAGCCTACCATCACCGCATCGATCGCCGCTGGCTCTTCGCTCACCGTGTCCTTCGCCGACGGCGCATCCGGCGCTTGCACGGCTATTTACGGCGACACGAAGCTCGTCAATGGCCAAGCCTCGAACACATGGATGGAGTTCACCTTTGGCGACTACGGTGTCGTCGATGTCAGCCGTGAAGTCAACATGAACGGACACAGCCTCAGCGTCGTTGGGCCAAGTTGCACCACGGACATGGATACTTGCGTGTTCGTCTGCCCCTCCAGCGACGTCTGCACGACCGGATATGAGCTCCAGAACTGCGCCAACGGATCGCAGCCCGGTGCCAACTTTGGCACATACGCGGGTGCGCCCTCCGGTGGCTGTGGTGGTATGGGCTCCAGCGCCACGCTCGCCGTGACTTGGTCATAAAGTTGGTGGATGGCGAATCCGCTGCATATTGGGTCCAATACTACGACTATGCATCAAGGCAAAGAAGTTGTTTGCATCACTTTAACGACCAATGATTGTCATCTAGGGGGATCTACAGCACTGACACCAAGACATCGACATAGTGCTATTGTGCAATTTGCCATTTGGCCACCTTCTTGACCATTTCGTTTGTCATAGTTGCAGATGTGTTGGGGCACGTTCTTGTCTTCCCAACAGGAGCGCGTCCCAGGGGTTTTGAATACTATACCTTGAAAAATAATCGTCTTGGTTCTTTTCTGTTTCTTGCGGTTATTGTCGTAATGTTTCTCGTTACATGGCGAGGTGAGTACTCCGTATGGTGCACTGGCTGTTGTCGATGGACGATAGCTGAGTTCAAAAATGACCCTGCCGTTGAATGTCGTCCCTCAAGTCAACCTCGTTCCTGCTCAAGTTTCAGAAGAAGAAAAATGGTGCTCGTCCTAGAATGATGGATTGCATTACTAGTATTCGCACAACCCGAGTCGAGAACAAGCTCAGACTCGACTTCCCGGTTGGTTCAGGACGACTAAATACGAGTACATAGTATGCAAGATCCCGATCGCTCAATCGTGTCGTTCCACGGAGCCTACGAGCATCGACACGTTGGATTACTCCGTACCATGTGCTGTTCATGCCCCTTACCGCACATGCACGTTTTGCTTTGCTGGCGAGTATTAATACTAGTATCAGGTTAAGTAATACTGCTTGGTCAACCCGTCAGTTCATGGTGAGAAATGGACGGATGCTCTTCAACGTATGTTGCATGATCTCTCCGTGAGTCGCCACGATTTCTTGACGGTTCGCTGGGCTTTGGCCCCTTACTATGGGCTGCTGGATATTTTCAAGATTCAGGTGTTGCGTTCATGCCATACTGCCAGTGCGTGACGGTTTTTATTCCAGCCGTGTGGTGTTCCGGGCGGTTGCTAGCGCAAGGCTTGGGGGGGGGCGATGGCAAGGTTGCAAAATGTGTTCCGTCAGGTCGAGGCATGAACCATGACCGGTGGATGGAGTTGACCGCCGTCGTTCAGTCCCATCTCCTGCTCGCTGTTTGCTGGCGGTACTTACTAGGCTAGTATTTCTGCGCTCGCCCGTCGAAGACCACTGCTAGTAGCTTAGATGCACTAGGCGCCAGGGACAACATGTCATGCGGGTGCCCGTCCCAGGAGGTACTATTATAGAGCTTGTGTGACATACAGTAGATGGCATTCAGGTTTTGGCTGTGTGTGTACGGAAGATAATGCCAGCGCCCCGCCCTCGTTTCCAGACTTTTTTCAACGGTTGACTGCAGGTGGCTAGCCTATCACTAATACTCCGTATCCCAAGCTATGTCTCGTGAGCCGAATACTGGAGTACCGCAGTCGTCGAGGGATCAGGAGGATGCGTCTAGGTGTGCACTTCCAGAAGTACTTATAAAGGACTTTTCTGGGGCACGCTGGGGCTAAGTTAGTGAGGCTGACCTCGTACCGCCCACCCTGCATCGGAGCGCAACAACGCCGACACGGACGAATTCGACCAGGCTGAGAAATGATTCCTCGGATATCGCATACACCAAGCCTTTTAGGCAAGACAAGCACAGGTCAATTACACCTAGGTAGGGTAGAGTGCCTGAATGGTGACACTTATATATATGTGCCCTAATACCTGTCCCTCGATGGTGTCCTTACACCCGTGGCGACCCGTCGAGTCATCGATTTATACGCCTTCAGCCTGGCCTTGTCTAGACAGGGCTCATAGAAAAAAGGTACTTGGTAACAATGGAAAACCAGCACATCCTTCTTCTGGGAGCCACCGGTGCTTCTGGGTTGGCCTTCATTGACGCCGCCCTCGAGAAAACCCAGATGCCCAAACTTACGCTGTATGTTCGCCCAGGCTCGAAAGCCAAGTTGCCGGCATCGGCGACGAACAATCCCAATCCTGCCATGAGAATTGTGCAAGGGCAGCTCGACGACGTCCGGGCCCTGCGAGAGGCACTTTCAGGATCATCGACGGATCCGGCCTTCCCGCCCGTAACCACGGTCGTTTCGTTCCTTGGTGCCTACCTTTCGTTCAAGGCCGTCTTCACACGCGACCAGTCTCACCCCATCGCAGACGCTTTGCAGAGCGCCGTCTTACCCGCAGTGAAGACGTACAACATCTCCCGCATATTGGTCCTCAGCACACCAACGGCTTTCTGCCATGCCTCGGAGAGCAAGAATATGCCGTGGAAATGGTGGTTCTATACCTGGCTGCCGAGACTGCTCGCCCCGCAAGGCAATGCAGAAATGAAGGGCATTGCCGAGGCCGTGGTCAAAGCCGGAACTGGAACTGGATCTGGGGACGGAGACCAGGACCAGGACCACGCGCGCACCAGGCTCGACTGGACCGTGTTCCGCGTGCCGCATCTGACAGACGGGGATCCTCATGCCACGGTGATTGCAGGTAATTTAGACCAAGCTTTCGCGGGAAGCACGGAGCTTAGCAGAGGCAGCTTGGTCAGATGGGTGCTGGAAGAGATAGAAAAGAAGAGTTGGGTGCGACAGGCACCGCTGTTGGCAAATCCCTGACTGTTACGGAGTATCACAACGAAATGCCTTAGCAGAGCAGGGGCTTGGCTTGAACGGCGCGGCCTTGTGCCCTTGCTATGGTATGTCGGTTCTCATCTGGGGGTCAAGGGACAAAGGTTGGAAATTCGGTAGTTCAAGCTTTAGCCACAGCGTCATCATGGGCGCCTGGTCTGCCAGTCCGTCACTAGTCTTTAATGTTCCAGACGAGCCGTTGTTGTTTTGGGATCCGCCGAGGACAAAAACAAAAGATCAACAAACAAAGACGCGAAATTCAAAACCGATCACGTGATGCTCGCCAAGAGACCTCGCCATACTTTCCCCTTTAGCTGTCCAATTAGGTGTGCGGAATATTTGTGTATGTCACGTGGTAATGTGTTCTGCTCGTCTGCAAGAAGATCGGTTCGATGGCCGTTGTCCGTTCCTCTACCACACGTTACGGTATCTTGACAGGCGATGCTATCGCAATGGGAGAAGGATCCGGACCTCAATCGTCCCTGTGAAACCATTTATGAATATATTCTCCCAGTGACTCTGGAAGGATTTTTGTTGATATTTTCACGCGATCCGGTAGATCAGAGCCCCTTCATCCTACCATAACGGACTTCTACTCCGTGGAGATCTTTGAGCGATAGTTCGTTGGACGGCTTGGAAAATGATCCCGGTCCTGTGCATGTCAGAACTGGCGTGGTTCGTCGCCCACAGCGAACCTGACCACCGTTTCAGCCAATCACCAGAAACTGCAGTCTCCAGGAACCAATGACAGCCCAGGGAGTTAGACCCCGGCACGACAGGACGACAGGATATGCTCTTCCGGGGCCATACACACTCAGCCACTACTACGCGAACCTTGCTGTGCGACCTGCCTTCTCATCAGATCCATTGGAAAAATGACGTAGTTATGCGCTTAACAGGATTCTCAGCTACAAGGTTGCTCTGTCCTTGGTCTTTGAGAAAAACGACCTTATCGACTTCAACCTGTTAGCAATGAAAAGCGCACTTGCCATCAAGCTGAACCTCGACCAACAACTCCAGTCCCGTGTCGAGTAGAGAAAGAGTCGGTAGCCATGGCACCCGACAAGGTGGACCACAGCCTGGACCATGTCCTATCAGACCTCATCACAGCATTTCATATCCTTCACCAACATGAAGTGTTCGATGAACATGGTCAGATATCAGTGCGCAATCCTCAGGATCCCACGACATTCTTCACCAGCAACACGCCAGCGATCCTTGTCTCCTCGAAGAGTGATCTAAGTCAATGGCACGTCGCCGACTGCTCGCCAGTCGCAAGTCCCTATCCAGGATGCGAAATAAATCAGGAACTATCCTCAACAACGGAACTCTACGCGCACAGCTCCATGTATCACATGTACCCTGGTGTACAGAGCATTATCCACGCTCACTGTCTGAGTGCGATCGTGTACGGTCTATGCAATAGTTGGGGCAGCATGCTGCAACCGAGCTATCTAATGGCTGGATTCATAGGTACTTCGCCACCCATCTTCGACATTGCCAGATGTTACGACAATCTGCCAGACTCGCATCCGAAGAACCTGTTGATCAATACCGCATACATCGGCCATGAATTGGCGGCGAGATTTTGCAAGTCTCCCGACGAGGAGATGGAGCCGAGCGACACGCCGACCGATCTTCCGGAGCAAAAGGTTGTCTTCATGCGCGGTCATGGGTATACCACGTGGGCTGAGAGTATTGAGGACACCGTCTGGCGGGCCATCCATATACGCCGCGACGCAGATATCCAGACTGCCGCCATGGCCCAAAGAGACGCCACGGAGCTGGAGGTGGTTTACCTTTCAGAGCAGGAGGCCAAGGACTGTGAGAGAACAACAAACTTTGCAGATCAAAAACAATGGTTGGCCTGGACGGCGCAGGCAGATAGATCAGGAATGTATCGGAATGAGATGAGGTCGCTGTCGAGTGCCGGATAAGTGGCACAGAACTGTGGAGGAGCCCGTTTTCGGATGTATGATAGCGCAAATCATAGTCTGCCGCTGCGGAGGATAGTAATATAGCCGGTGTGCAATATCCATGGCTGGATGCTTAAACGCATGTCTTCGACCAAGAGACACGATCATAGATTTTCGGGAACAGTCATCCTCATGTCGCCCTTTCAATGACGCTGTTAATTCGGTCTGCAGAGGTCGTTCAGCCTAGCGGAGAGTCTTGTCGAGGCTACTCTTCGGCAGTCGTGTTCAGATCGATGGGACTCAAAGTCATGTCGCGGTAAACTAGTGATCAAACGACACTGCGAGGCTGCGCTCCATGTGATTCGGGTACCCCCTCCTCGTGATTCTCGGGTGTCTGTTCCGGGCCTGGTGGCTGGTCGTGAGCGGTTGACTGTCACATCTTCTCAAGACTAGTAGCTGTGGCACAAACCCAAGAAAGAGTGACCGTAGAGTCATCGGCTTGGACAGCTGCTTTTGGGCGTGAGGCTTCAGGCTAAGCTGACCCTCTCCGATGTCATTTTCAGCAAAGCCTTAAGGCACAAGTCTTACCTCACGGACGTACCTCTCACGATAGTTACGTGGAGCCTGGCAGTGGTGCCATCACGACAGTACGCGATGAAGCTGCTCGGGGAATACAAAAATACCGCGTGGAAGACGACGAATCAGTGGGCGGATGATGGCGGCTATTTCGGTACCAGGCTCGCTGGTTGGGTCACGTGTATCCGGGCTTCCCCTCACCGATGCGGGGAAATGTAAGCTTTTAGTGGCGCTTGATAAGGCGAGAAGAAGCTCAAGAAGTCGGCACGGGAGGTGCATGTGCCGAGGCTCCGTCCGTTGCTTAGTTTCGCCTGCAGCGAAGATCTCCTCCTCCTTCATGCCTTCTCCTGCATTATTCTCGTGTTCACTTTGTGGCGTCCTCCCCGTCTTTGTGCCACAAAAACTTGAAGCTTCAACGACATATGTGCCCTCTGCAGGTATCGCAATGAACAAAGCTCCCGGGTAGCTGCTCGATGACACACAAGCACAACCTTCGATGAGTTATCACGAGCATAGCTATCGTTACATCCTGGTCACTAGCTCTGAAGCTTACCGCTACCTGCTCCAACAGGTAAGGATTGACCACTTGCTCCACGCCGTCCTGGGGCGAATAAGCAACATCAAGCAATTCCTACGAGTCTCGCCTATTGATGGCCTGCCTCTTGTGCACAATCAAGATCCTGGCTCGCAATGCAACCTTCCTATCTGAATGCGCTATGTACGTCACTCGAGCAGGTAGCAAGTCGGGGAAAATGATAGCTTCAGAATCGTTGACCGGTCGACATTTAAAGGCTGCCCGTCGCTTGCGTGCTTCTTCTTTCCTGCTCACTTTGGCTGACTCGTTGACAAAATGCGCGTCGAAACACTCCTGGCAGCATGCTTTGCAGCCGGCGCTTTTGCTGTGTCAAACCCCCACAAGCGCGCGCCTAAGAAGGCAGTGGCCCGCAGCACACCAGAGACGCTGCCTTTGACAAAGCGTGAAACATCCAGCTATCTGACTCCGAAAACGAAGAGTAAGTTCACAACCTTTTTCCGGAAAAGCAGCGAACTAAAATCCATCTAGAATTCGCCGTCAATGGCACTGGAATTCCTCTCGTGAACTTCGACATTGGCGAGTCATATGCCGGCACGTTGTCAATCAACAACAATGCTTCCAACGAGAATCAGCTGTTCTTCTGGTTCTTCCCGTCTGATAACCCCGCGGCGTCTGACGAGATCACCATTTGGTTAAACGGAGGACCGGGCTGTAGCTCTCTGGATGGATTGCTTCAAGAGCATGGCCCCTTTCTCTGGCAGAGCGGCACTTACGCTCCTCAACCCAACCCGTTCTCGTGGACCAACCTCACCAATATGATCTACATTGATCAGCCGATCGGGACTGGTCTCTCACCGGCGGCAAAAGGTGCCCCGGCCAAGATCAAGAATGAGGCAGATGTCGCCAAACAATTTGCGGGCTTCTGGAAGAACTTCATGACGACTTTCAACATGACAGGAAGCAAGGTCTACATTACTGGCGAGTCCTACGCTGGCCAATATATTCCGTACATCGCAAGCTATATGCTGGACCAGAACGACACGGACTACTACAATGTCAAGGGTATCCAGATTAACGACCCGAGTATCGGACTCGATGAGGTCCTGATTTATGGTAAGATAGTATCCATGGTCAATCCGACGTGCTGACGCTGTTTGCTATAGCGCCGGCCGTGACGGCGCTGAACTACTTCGCCCCAGTCTTCGCCCTCAACGACACGTTCATGACGCAGATCAACCAACGGGCAGATCAGTGCGGCTACTTCGATTTCATGGAAGAAGCGTTGACGTTCCCACCCAAGGGCAAATTCACTGCGCCAAACGTGACTGCACCAGGTACGTCGCTCTGTCATTAGGATATCGGGACTATGAGCTTACACCCCTACAGGTTGCGAAGTCTGGGACGACATTGTCACGGCCGCGATCTATGTGAATCCGTGCTTCAACATCTACCACCTCACAGACTACTGCCCTTTCCTCTGGGATGAATTAGGCTTCCCGTCTTTGGGCGATGTACGTATTCTCCATCTTCTCCCTATATCTTCAATCCGTCCTAGTCCTCGATACTGACCTTTCAGGGACCAAACAACTACTTCAATCGCTCCGACGTGCAAAAGGCCCTCCACGCCCCTCCCACCGACTACACGATCTGCGGCGACCCAACCCTCTTCGAAGAAGGTGACCCCTCACCCCCTTCTAGTTTCGAAGCTCTTCCGTCTGTCATTGAACGCACCAACAACGTCATCGTCGGCAGCGGCCTACTCGACTACCTCCTTCTCACCAATGGAACGCTTATGGCGCTGAACAACATGACATGGAACGGCAAACAGGGCTTCTCCCAAGATCCCATGAACAGCGCCGACTTCTTTACCCCGTACAACCCGTCCATCGGATTCGTCATCGAGGAGACGGAGAATCAGCCCATCCCGGCAACGCCTGTCGGTCTGGTCGGCGGTGGTGGCCTGCTGGGCAAGACGCACACCGAGCGCGGTCTGACCTGGGTCACGGTGGATCTGGCCGGGCACGAGATTCCGCAGTATGTGCCCGGTGCTGCCTACAGACAGCTCGAGTTCCTCCTCGGTCGCATCAAGAGTCTCAGTCAAATAGGCGATTTCACGACGCAGCATGGCAACTATACCGGAACTGTGCCGCCGAATCCGTACTATGGACCGACGGCCACTGCCTCTGCGGCCAAGCAGTTCTGGGCTTGAGAGAGCAACTCGGGACCTACTACATAAGTACTATTATCCTGAGGTTAAATCACCTCGGTATGCTAAATATGAGTGGCCTGGCCTACAGTATAAATCAAGATAAATCTAATGATGAAAAGAACCACGACTTGGCAATTGTCAACCAGTCCTTCCTTTTGATAATGAGGCAATCCATCCTCTCTCTTCATCTTCACGTGCCTACTCGTCTGTCGTTAGTCGCCGTCAGCGCCATCATCCATTTTGCGAACGCGAACTGCTACCCGGGCCTCCCTATCCGGTGATCAATTCCGGCAGGCAACGGCCACTATAAAAACGACAACTACTAATACAATGCGCGTCAGGAGAATGCGTCACGGGGGCCCGGACTGTCCCCATCAAATGCAGCGCAGCACGACTTTCGGTACTGTGAATAGTTCCATCATATCATCGATTCATTACAATCCTTCATTACAATCCGAAAGGATAAGTCTCTGCTTCCGCCAGCGGTGTCTTGGGCTGGATCTTCTCCAGCGCGCCCACAGCATGCGTCTTGTCGAAGAACATATAGGCGTCGAACTGTTTCGAGAGCTTCGAGACACTGTAGTGGCTCCAACGCTCCGTCATGGGTCGGTAGATGACACCGATGAACCTCTCCAGTCGTGGTGCGGCGAGGTGTCTCCTGGTGGCGTTGTCGCAATGGTCTTTGCGCATGTCGATCAAGAACCGGTCCAGGCCCGTGTCGTGCGCGACGCGTTCCCAGCTGTCCTCTCGCGAAGGGTTGACTTTCATGACTTCCATGTCGCCGTCCCATTCATGCGCCGCTGCGACGGTGCCGTCGTGCGTGCCGGTGCCGACGACGGCCACGTCACTGACTCCGAGTCGTTCCCTGCACAGTTGGCCGAGATTGATCTCATCGCGTTGGGCTCCCATGTCGGTGTACCGGGCGTCGCCGAGGTGGCTGTTGTGCGCCCACACCACGACTTTGGACTGGCGGAAGTCGATCAGCCGCTTCAGCGTCTGGAACATGTGCAGGTCCCGCAGATTCCAGGTGATCTCGTCGCTGTAGTACATCTTCCGGTAGTACTCTTCGGCGTCGACGACCAGGACGGCGTTTTGCTCCGCGCTGTGGAAGCCTTCGCCGTCGCCGGCCTTGGCCGAGTACTCGAGCCGCTTCTTCAGCAGGTCGAGCAGCATGTGGACGACGTCCTTTTCACACGATTGCATCCCGGACATTTTCATCTTGAGGCCGTACTGGTGCTCTCGGCCCGCCCAGCGCATGAGCTGCGAATATCGCTCGCGGGCCTGCTTGGCCATCTCCGGGTCGACGTTCTGCAGGTATCGGATGACCGCGTGCATCGACGTGCCCATCGAGTACAGGTCGAGACCGTAGATGCCGGCCTTCTGGTCGGCAGGCAGGGTCTCATTGTAGTCACGCATCCAGTGAGCTAGGTCCTGCATTTCCCTGTTCCTCCACATCCAGGTGGGAAATCTTTTGAAGGGGACTTCGTGGGCTTCGGCTCGTCCGGCTTGTTTGGGCCATCGTCGGACGTAGTGGTCCATTGCTTCGGCGTCCGGCCAGTCGGCCTCCAGAGCCACCATTTTGAACCCATGCTCTTGGATCAGCCGTTTCGTGATCTCGGCGCGAGCTTCGTAGAATTCCGATGTGCCGTGGCTGGCGTCACCCAGTAAGACGACGTTGTATTGACCGAGCCAGTCAAAGTATTCGGGGAATGACTTGCTGTTGATTGGTGGTAGGGCTTTGGCCGCCTTTTTCATGAACTGTGAAAGCGAAGACATGATGGGGGGATTGGGTAGTACGAGATAGGCTAACGTGAGAAGGCTATGAAGAAAGATAAAATATTGTGTCTGGCTTGTGTCTGAAAGGGCGTCAGAAAGTAGTCTGGAGGTATTCCTGGTAGGTGCCTGTTATCCTGGTATCCTGGTATCCTTAAGTATATCAGAAGCCGGATATCGCCATCCGGGCGCCGTGACGTAAGCCGACAGGGGGTGATGGGGGGCATCATGGGGACGCAGTATCTTACGACCATCACCTGATTGACATTGCACCTTCACCTTTTGCCTTGTATCTCACGACCATTGACCACCTTAACACAGTAGGGTGACAAGTTGCTCCAACAGTACCAGAGCAGAAGGATTGTGGAATACCTGACCTGACTTGACCTGACTCCAAAACTACGTCCAATCCAGCATCGCCTGTCAACCGGATCACTCCATTCTTCACTCTGGCTTTGTCGCCTTCCCCAGACTCATTCCTACCTCTACATCCATCATGATCTGTTGGCGACTAACCTCAAGCAGATCATCGTCAAATTGGATGCGACCCTTCTCAAAGGCGACAATGATGCTGGAACCACCAAACTGAAAGAGACCGACCTCTTCGCCCTTCTCCACATGACTCCCTTCCTTCTGGCACTTCTCATTGATTTCCACGGTTCCGACATTTGTTGCGCCAATTGCCACGTACAGCACTTTGCCAAACCCCTTCGTGTCGAATACCACGCAGCACCGTGCGTTCTCAGTCAAGATATCCACATCGCTCTGCAAACACAAAGGGTCGACCTGGTAGTACTCGCCAGGGATTCTTTTATACCAACTGACCGTCCCAGCGACAGGTGAGTGATAGCGATGATAGTCTTGAGGACTTAGTCGGAAACTTGCAATAGCGCCATCACTCCAGAACTTGGCCAGTTCAGAATCTCTGATCAAATTTGCAATCGTAAAATTGTGCCCTTTGATCCACAACTCTTGGGTTTCTTTTACAGTCGGGTACACCACGAGCCTGCAATCTGCGACAACTACCGCTTTGGTCGGGTCGTCCTGCTCGAAAATCGGCCTTCGACCAGGCTTGTGTTTCCGCACGAAGAACTCTTCAAACGTCTTGTATTGGGAGATGTCGGAGGGCTCGAAATCGTCCATGTTGATGTTGTAAAAGTCCACGAACGGCTTGATCCGAGACGCGGAAGTGGTTGTTCCTTCCTCTTGGCCTGCCACCAGTCAGCATCGATAGCGGGTCTGAGGGACGCTGCAGCGGGAAACCCACCTTCTTTGATACTCTTCTCATGTATCCATAGTCGCATGGCCTTGGTCGTGTCAACCCATTCCACAAAGCGGCTGAACAAAATCAGCAGTTTCAGCTTCTTGAATATTGGCTGCTGTTCCCGGCCCGGTTGTCCATTCTTTCGATTGACCGTACGCCAGCCTATTTGGCGGTTCTGAACCAACTTGACCGTGGACAAGCAGTAGTCGAGCACTTGGTGGATGTAATCTGTCAACGCCATTTTGATCTCTCTCTTTGCATAAGACGACTATAAGACAAAGAACAAATTTTCACGAGGTCGATGCAAATAAGACCTGGTATTTAGGCGAGCGGATGTCTTCTCCGACAAGCTGAGAGACTGTGGCGAGGCCAAAGTTGATGCCACATGATATGACGCAGTGATCGACAGGGCATCAACCTGATTTTTGGGTCTTGATCAGCAAAAGTCCCAGACGCGGAAGATGCCAGAAACATGGACGGAAAACTCCTACTCGTATGCGGGCGGGGCGCAGGACCGTGTTATTGGTCGGTAGATGACCAATACTAGGACGAGTAGTGGTAGGGCGAGAGACGGCAGTTCAGTCGTGACGCAGATCATTCATCCACGCAGTCGATGGCTAGAGGCCGAGAGAACCAAAGCCATACAAGCAGCAGGGTAAGAGATAGCCCAAGCACCACGTCGAACAAGCGTTCAATCCCTGAAGTCTGCGCCACAACTCCAATGACAAACGGCGCACCAGCACCTCCAAGCTGCCCAATCGCACAAGTAAGAGCAACAGCTCGTACGTGAATGCTTTTCGGCAGCCTCTTTGTCATGGTTAGAATTCCAGAAGGGAAAATAGGTCCAGCGACAAAGCCAATTCCGGCTGCGAGACACAAGGATAATGCCAGGCTCGCCTGCAACCGGAAAAGAACCTGTAAGCCGACAGACGTGCAGACAAAGACGATTACTGTCAATCGAAGGCCTGCTAATCTGGCAAGAGGACCCAGAGAGAATCGGCCCAAGACCATCCCAACCCAGAATAGCGAAGTTGCGAGAGCAGCGATAGAGGGAGACATATGTCGATTGCGGATCATGTAGCTCGTGAGCCAGCCACTCAGGGATGCTGGAGGGGTTAGTGATTTGATAAGTCTGAATGGACAGGACCCTGTGGGAAGATGACCCTACCTTCAATGCCCACATAGACGAAGCAGTACAAACTGCACATGAAAATCGGTTTCCAGCTACCGGCAAATCCAATGTCGGAACTCTCCTTGGGGCAGGTACTAGCCCAGTGCTTAGCAGCATTCTCATGGCGAAAGGCGATCAATATGGCACCAGCCTCGACCGCAAATGCGACCAGCTTCGTCCATGGTCAGCAATGCCCTACAAGGGCTGTACTCAATCTTACCGTCACCAAGTAGAACGATCGCCATCCGAGTGCCGCCTTCTCAAGAGCAGCAACAATGATAGGGCCAGTCACGCATCCTAATGCGTATGAACCGTGGATGAGTCCTGAGATTTTGTCTGCTTCGCGAACACTGGCTGCCCAGGTGCAGAAGCTCGAGTCACAGAACCCCGTCCCAACGCCCACAAGGAGGTAAGCAGCCAATATTATTGCATAGGACGGCTGGCTCCACAGCACGACGCCGCCCGCAACATGAAAAATTCCTGCTAGAATGGAGACTCCTCTCCACCCAAAGTTGACGTGAGCAGTATGAACAAGGGAGGTGCCGACGAGGTATCCCGAAACCGCCACAAGAAATATGACCGCTGCAGCAGCATCTTTGATGTCATAGTATGTTTCGATCTGTTGACAGGAGCTTCCACGTTAAACCTGGACGGTCCCATCGACAATGATTAGAGAAAAACGAACCAGCGGCAGAAGGGCCTGAAAATCAATTGTCAGCGAGAACCTCGACGAATTGAGCTCTATGGTCTTTCTCCCCGATATGGCAGAGCAGGCTGGGGATTCTGAACGTACCCCGACAGAAGCGACATGCATCCCCGTGGTGAACCAAGAATACATAACCGCAACGACCTTGAGAGCTATGTGCTCAGCGGGTTTTGGTCGTAGCCCTGGACCGGAAAGCCCATCGCCCACGGTTCTCCTGTTTTGTCCATCTTGGAGGAGTGGTTGCTGCTCAGCGGCGGGCTCAGAAGATATGGCTGACTCGGACGACGAGGACTCGAAGAACATTGCCGTCGTTCAGATGCACAACTCGCAAACCTCCGATTGCACAGGGAGGAGACCTTATCGTATCATGACGCCAGCAGTTTGCCATTCCTCAAGATTTGATCAGATAGGGATCCCGGGCCGACGTCGGCTGTCGGTACGCCTGCCTAATTGGCGGACATAAAGGACGGAAAACGGCAGGGGCGCTCGCATACGGCTCACCCCGACCGTGCCGCTTCTAAAACCCCGTCGCTCGCGACTCACCCTCCCCTCATCCTCTTCTTACCTTTATTTATTTTCTTTATATACTTGTCGATTTATACTCGATCGGAAATACCAAGGGTATACGTCATCTTCCGCTGTCCGGGATTCATGTGATCGTGGTCCTCACTGTTGGATCGATCCAGACGGGAAGAAGCATTATAGGCTGTGAGCTCCACATTTCAGAAGCTTTCTCGAGTATGTCGCCAAGTACGGTCAATATTGCGATGAAGCCAATCGGAGTCAGCCCGCAACCTGGCCGAAGTCCATGCGGCACTGAGCAGGCGATCAGCAAGTCTGGCAACGAAAACCAGCACCTGCACGCCGTTTGTGGTCCGGTGGAGCAGACTCAGGTACACGAGCTGGAAGAGACCAGCTAGCGGTTGGAAGAGCCCATTGTTGTGGATACCGTCATCCAGAAATGTTCATGGGTGAGGGAGCGATAAATGCGCTCCATCATGCCATGGCCAAAGATAATTCATCTTAGGTTATGCTCTCTGGCTTCGATTTGGAACTCCTCGCTCCTTCAGGTGATGATCAGGACCTAAGCCTCACGGTGATCAACCTTCAACTTTGCAACGCCACCTCGCTGAGTATGCTGTTCTTGTTCGGAAGCACAGATAGGAAAACGCATCTATTACTCACACTGAACCTTAAGTTTTAAGATGATTGCATGCTTGGACCGGTTTGCCCTTTGTACTCACCGGGCCAACGCCTCACGTAGCTGTCGAGGGTGACCTCGCACTAACGTACAGGTAGCCGCGCCCATCCGGACCAGGCACTAAAGGTTCGGCAAATTGGATATCTCGTCCTGGGTCTAGCAACGTGCAGTGGCTTGAGATCGGCGCATGATTCGTTGACATAGTCTTGATGCAATAGAAATTGATCGAAGGCTTTCGCAGGCTGCGTCATTTGTGTACCGACATCCAGGACCAAGGTGTACGCAGCTTCGCCTTGCAACAAAACTGTCGATCAATAGGTCAGTAAACGGTATATAGCTTGTATAACTGTCTTTCAGGTTGTCTCAATCTGCTCTCTAAAAGTCCGCTGATATTCTCTACCAATCGTTTCGCATGATGTGGCCCCATATGAAGTGCGCAAGTGCACTCGTTCTCTTTTTCTTGGGCCTGAGCAGCCCTCAGAAAGCAAATTCAGTCCTCACAGAACCGCCTTATACTTTCATTCGTGATGATAGCTTCAACTATGAGCTTCTCGTACAGTTCGGTACAGTACGCTACCAGGGAGCCTCAGTGGCCGATTTGTTCTCGGCTGCGCAGGCGATCAAACCCAAGAATACGTCCAGCTACAATACAACGTTCTACCAACTGGCACAGCAAAGTGAAAAGCGTGCCGAGGCAACCAATGATCCGTCTGTCGCACAGGACAGCTACTTCTTTGCTTCAGGATATTATCGCGAAGCGGACTTCTACCTCCATGACAACTGGAGTGACCCTCTCATCAACTGTTACTGGGAAAGGCAAACAACGCTCTTCGACAAAGCCATCGCCTCTTTGCCAGTTCCGGGCGAGAGGGTTGTCATCCCGGCTGACGGTTTTGAGACGATTGGTATATTCTACAAGCCCGACAACTATTCCATAAAACGCCCGACCGTCCTCATTGGCAATGGATACGATCAGGCGCAGGAGCACTCGCTGCATGCAAACGGATTTGCCTTCTTGGAGAAAGGTTGGAATGTCCTGACATATGAAGGCCCAGGTCAACCAACAGTTCGTAGGCAACAGAACTTGGGCTTTATCTACGATTGGGAAAAGGTGGTCACCCCGGCCGTTGACTACCTTGCGAACAGGTCTGATGTAGACATGTCACGGCTTGTCCTGCAGGGAATCTCCATGGGAGGATACCTCGCAGCTCGGGCTGCAGCGTTCGAACCTCGAGTCAGGGCGCTGATCCTCAATGAGGGTGTGTTCAGTGTGTACGAAGGTTTCACCCAAGGGTTCCCCTCTAGCCTCCTCGAACTCTTGGCTGCTGGCAACACGACAGCTTTCGACAAGGTGGTGGAAGATGCGATTCTCTTCAATGACTCTGCGTCGACTGCAAGCCGATGGGGCATCGCTCAAGGACTCTGGTCTTTCAACACGCACTCGCCGTCCGAGTGGATCGAAAAGTCGAAAAACATGACCTTGGCCAATATCGCCCAACTGATCCAAGTTCCAGTCTGGGTTTCCAATCCGGTTAATGATACCACATTCCCAGGACAGGCGGTGAAAGCGGCTAAAGCGATCGGCGCCAAGGCGACGATACACAACTTTACAGGAGCAGCAAGTCTACACTGCTCGGCTGGAGCATACGAAGAAGCAAATTGGGCGATCCTTAGCTGGCTCGATGGTGTTTTTGGCAGCAACCACTCCTCCACCCGTGGTTAATGACCCAAGGTTGAGGTGATAGTCCCGGCAGTTAAATTGGTCACCGGCTCGATCTGGTCCAACAACAAAGACTCTTCGTGTCTATGGCTCGGGTCGTTTGTTTTTGTATACAGGTACAAAGCATGGTAGTATATGTCCGATGGCGGAATTTCAATATCTTTCAGACGGGGGAATTAATTCTTGCCTGAGGAGCTGGAAGAGTTCACCTCTAAGCTGCGACAGGCTGCAGTAAACTACATGGATACAAGTAAGCACTTTGGCTGCTGGGTTAAAAGGGTGAAGATGAAGCAAAAGATTGACGTTGGTGTGATGATCAGCTTCGGCACGATGGAGTTTGATATTTGGCCACCAAGGCTCAATCCACTGTGGGGTACTCCGTACATTCCATTCATGATTGGCTACCTCGCACAGCTTACCGCATCGAGTTAGACCAGAACTAGCCCGATCCGCTCCAAGCGCGACGAGGCCCAATCCGCCATGGTTCCGAACACTCATGTCCGGTTGCACGTCTCCGTCTATCTTCATGTCTACATGTACCTGATCAAATGCGCCGCATCTTCGCCATATCTTTGATGGATTGTTAGTGATATGGTGTACCGAGGCAAGCCATCCAGAGGTTGTGAAAATTGCCGGAAAAGGAAGATCCGGGTAAGTGCCACTCCCTCTCTACAGTAGCCTAACCAGATTTTGATCAAAAGAATATCAATTTGTAGTGCGATCGGGCTCCTGATGGGTGTTTGAACTGTTCTCTGGCTTCATTTCGGTGCCCCAGATACCGGAACGAGACCGACCTCCTTTTCCGCGATGAAAGAGAGCACACGATCAGAAGGGTTGAAGCCCACATTAAAAAAAAGGAAACGAACGGATCGTTCTCATCAACCAACCACGATGTGAGTCGCGTTTCATCAACCGAGTTGAGCTCGATTCCATTCGCATCTGGGCAATCCCAGTCGGTGGCCCAACATCCAAGGTCACTCCGATACTACGACTTCGGAGCCCGAGGAATGCCTTCAGGCTCGCCATATGACTCCTCCAGATTGATCCTTGAAATGTCAAATGACTTTTTCCATCTGCATTACACCATCCATACTCCAGACTCACACCAGTACGTCCCAGCGCGGTCAAATACCTCGAGGGTCACACCTGATGGAGTATTGACAGCTTGTATGCGATCAGTGGGAGGTATTGGACTCTCGAGTACTCATAACCATGTCGACTACGAAATGACCACACAGCAAATGTACGGCTCGTCTATAAGGATGGTGAATGTCCTGCTCCAGGACCCTAGATCTGCCAAGGACGACAAGACTCTACTTGCTGTACTGCTGTTGAGCTACTTCGAGGAAATGAATCTACGACTGCCCTGTGACATCGCTGCCAAAGAGGCCCACATCCTTGGGGGTTTGTCTTTGCTCAGGTATCGGGGCATAAAACAACTTCAAACGCCATCCGAGATAAGACTATTTGCGCAGTTGACATCCTGTTTGACTAACTACTGCGTCCAATATCGTGTACGCCTCCCACAAGAGATTGCTGAGCTCACCGAGTGCGCCACCCTTCATGTCGAACGAGACATATCGTGGCATGTATTCCAAACCAAAGTCAAATTTACCCACTTTTACGTGCAAACAATATCTACTCCCGTGGTGGATCCCCATACTGTGCTCGAGAGAGCCCTGGAATTCGACCGAGCTTTTGCGGACACCAAAAAATACATGAAGCCTGGATGGACATACAAAGCGATGCAAACAAGTGGAGAACGAGAGGTTATCATCGATGGCTGCTACCACATCTATGACAACTACTTCGCTGCCACGGTATGGAACGACATGCGAGGCTATCGCATGCTAGCAAACCGACTCGTCTTTGAGCTGACGAGACATCTCCTGGCCACAACCCACCACAATACGGACAAGCTGAGAAAGCAGTTCCATGGCGCGGAGACGTCGATCCAACAGTTGCAGCGCGAGATTCTCGCGACGGTCCCACAACATCTAGGAATGGTTTCGAAGTCCAGTCCGGAGGTGGGCGGGGCCCTGCAGTCCAAGCAATCCACAACACCCAGGTTCTTATGGACAGCCTTCAACAGTACCAACTACAACCCGGCAAAGGGTGCAGGGAATGTCAACACCATGCCTCTGACAAGGATTTTTGGTGGTTGTTTACTGCCATTTTCTCTCTATCTTGTCGACTTAGTAGATACCGGCGGCTCGAAGTCTTTGGCAGAGCCTACTATGCGAATTCTGAGAACAGTGGCCAACTACTTGGGCGTCCGTCAGGCAGCTTTCTACGCTGGTGAGATTCAGAAGAGGCAGGGAGGCAAATCAAATCTGTTGAAATTCGATGGAGATGACATTTGAGCTTTCATTTGCCGAGAACGCAGGCTGCTAGTGAAAGGTTTACACATCTGAGACCCCTCGATGCTGCCATGACATGACCTTTCGCGAAGCCTCGCATGTGTTCGCCCGGCTTCACAGTGACAAACGCCGTACAATATTTTTACATCGTGGGATAGAAGAGCTAAAGATCTGCCAAGGAAATACTTTTGACGGTTTGGAACCGGATAATTTGATTTGGCCAGAACTCAGGCCAATTGCAATCGTATCGCCGGGAAGGGTGAGGAGCCGCTGCAGAATTACCATTGCTTGATATGCCAAGGGACAGCCGCCCTAGGACAGTCTCCCCTCGCCAACGTTGTCTAAGACCTCGCTGAGTGGTGGAGACCCTCTTCAACAATAGAACCTGTCTTCAATCCCCGTGCTCGAGGTGCAAAAGCCCAGATCAATCACGCGGAGTGAATCACCCGAGACTTCTCCCAAAGCCTTCCTCTCCGAACCTCAAGTCCCCCGACCCTAGGCCCCCAAGCGAGCACTCTTTCCTCCGCATTATCTCCGCTCCAGTTCTCCTGAGGGAAGATTGTCGCTATCATTTGCGCAGCCTGGCAGACCCCAGGTGAAATATCCGTTATAGTGAACCCGGCCGAGTGTTACGATGACACGAGATCTTTGAGGGTGCGGGCATCCTCGCCAACGGTTGCAATCAATGCAACCCCGGAAGTGGACGAACTGGTCGACCGTAAGGGAGTGAAATATGGCTTGACAGGACCAGTGCGCCCTTTCGGTGACAGAATCAGTGGGAACATTGTCGTGCGGGACAGCACCGGTGCCAGCAGAGCATGAAAGGATTTTGGGAGTGCATTTCGTCGATCTCGGTCAACTGGTTCAAGATGGAACGTCTCCGCCAGTTGGGGCCGACTAGCTGGTGAAGGTAGAAGAGCTGATGGAACAGTTCATTAGAGAAGGCTCCAATGACTCGGCCGATGTGCCAGCAGGGAAGAGGGGGGGAGGGGAGGGGGAGAGGGGGCAGATCTGCCACTTTTATAAGCTGTTCTTGTCCAGGCTGCTTTGCTCGCCGTCAACAGTTCTTTTCGACATCTAGTCGGTGCAGTAATTGCGGTTAGTTCTTCCACAAAACAACCGATCGATACCTTGCGGAATCTAGATCCACAACTGCTCAAGGCTCGAAAGCTCTGCCAATGTATGCCAGTCCAGAGTGATCTCCGAGCTTGTCCTAACTGACGAGCTGAAAAGTGACCCATGTTGATTAATTGTCAGAAATCTCTGATCATCCCGTCCGCGTAGGCTTATTTCTTCCCCTTCAGTTCTTTGTTCATCATCAAGCTGAGTCCCTCTGGCTCAACGAAAGCACTCCCACGATCCATGCAAACTGCCCACTCCCAGCTTGTTACCACCACGAGCATGAGTCCTGCAATCCCTAAGAAGAGTAGAGCATCAATATTCCTAGTGGCGGGAACACAGAGTATCACAACGATGTACACTAGCCGTCCCCCAAGACGTATGTATCGATTGTTAATCCGAAGGGATCCGGGCTCGTCAAGCGACTTGTCCAAAAGCGCTAGACCCGTCATGCTAAAGATGATGATGGCGAGCGAAACCGCGCTAGTCCAGACTGCATTGTACATGTAGTGCGGTATCTCGCCGTCTGGGATTTGCTGCTCTCCCGAAACATCAAGTTGTTCGCTTGTCTCGTGGCGGACGATGAATATGACGCCGGATGCAAACGTCAATATTGAGGCGAAGAGGGGAATGTGGAAGGATACCCAGATCAATGTTTTCTTCCCCTCCTGCTTGATTGCCGGAATAAATCTTTTGCTTCCGTCGCGGTTAAAATATAGGAATGACAGCTCATAGTAGACAAGGAGGATCCAGACCATGATCCCAGTTGTCCCGTTCAAGCCTCGTCCTAATGGTCCATCTTTGACCAATTGCAGAACACCTTCACCGAGGGTAATGATGAAAAAATTGGCCATTCGGGATTGGAAGTGGTCGACATCGAGAGCTTTCTTGTACTCGCTCGGCGTGAGCCTGTCTGCAAGTCTTGAGCTGAAAATCATGGAGCAAATATACTCCCAAGCCACCGCAGCCACGACCGGGCCCACTGCATAGACATCATGTAAATAGATGGCGGCAATCCAGAGCCCAACCCCGGGCAATCTAAGCACGGATTGGATGAAGATAAGTCTTCGCAGCCATTTGATAAATATAGAATAGACCAGTTCGATAAGCAGGAAGCTGCCGAGGATAATAAGGTACGTCGAGATGACCCAGGTCTTCACTTTGTCGATATCTTCGGCCAGGTAGGCCAACTGGTTGCCATAAAAGACGGACAAGACCAAGATCCACAGTTTAAAGGTTTTCTGCACCATGTCGTCCATGTAATAATTATTGAGAAATTCCCGCATAGAATTCCAGATACGCCAGGAGGGCAAAAATAGCAGAACGAAGACTAGCTGCATCGAGTAATTCAGCCATGGGAACCCGTCTTGTCTGGGACCAGCATGATGCCTACCGTTGCTTTCCCCGTGGAGGGGTCTTCAGGTTTGAAGCCCAATGTCGAAAAGACTTCGGAAAGATTGCTGATGATACCCACCCATATCAGATCGACAAATAGATCCAGCCGCTCCCTGCCTCTCGCAACGTCCTCTGGCAGATGGCTAGAAGTGCTTGACTGGAGACCCGTCTCATTGGTTGTAGACGGAGCCAAGATTCCATGCTCATTGCCCACAGTGATTACCTTCGACCGATATAAATATTGAAGTGGGCGCGGACGCCTGACGACATAGCGATGTATCACTCGTGTCTCGACCTTGAGGCAATTCAGCAAGCAAATCCCAGCTGCACAGACCTACATTGAGGCCACTCCAGAACCTACATGCTGAGTTTGCCTCGAGTGGGCATCCAAACTTCTCCTTGAGTCGAATGAGCCCTGCTTCTCGAGCTTATGCCCGGACTCTCCTCCCGCACGGCCTTGCAGCTCATCCAGACTCTGAGAATGTTCCGCAAGGGATGATGCTTTTTGTTGGTCTTGCATCGTTGGCGGGGACGGAGTCGGGAGAGGTTTTGCGGATGTGCGGCCGGATTCTCTCGCGCGACCCAGGTTCAAGGCCGAAGTCGGGAACGTCTCGGTAAGCCGGCAGCCAGTGGTCTGCAATAGTCGTGGTGACTGAAGTCGAGATCCTTGGATGATGTTCTTGTCTCGTCTCCGCTAAGTACTGCCTAGCCGTCAAAATAGATTGAACTCTGCTTGGAGCTCATGTAGTGCTCGCCCAGACAGTGTGTAGTTTTGAGAATCAAAAGATCATTTATCATTCCAAGAACTACAGAGGGCTTCCTCATAAGTAGGGGGTAGTCATTGAACGTAAAATAACAGGTACCGCATTTCAAGCCACGTCACTCGCGACCCACCCTCCTCTCCCGCACTCGGACTCTCATCTTTACTCACCTGAGGAGACATGCTTGCAAGCTAGCCATACCCTGCTTACGTGACACTTCAATTTCCCGATTTCTCCTCAATGGTTTACTCGAGAGTTATAAGGTATAGCTCTGCTCCTGATCTACAAAGCCTGATTGGTGTGAATCGTAATAAATTACGCAGTTAAAAGAAGTGGCCAAAGACTTTGGAAAGAACATTCACGTGTTGTAGGATCGTCCAAGTGAGAAGCGTGAGTGACATCAGGATCGTCTCTTTAGCTTGACAGTATCTGATGGATAGCAGTCTGGCACAATCGAGAATTTATCTCCAACCCCCACCTACTATTACGAGTTGCACTCCATTGGCTGCTACCATTCGGCCTCCGTATCATGGGGGAGGCCTGAAAAAGGCGAAGTTTGCCTTCTTGCGATATGAATGCCTCTTATAGCCACGTTGATCTTTCCCGTCAAAAGATTTATGGACAGCCCACTTCTGAACTAATTCCTGGGACAGCGTCCCCTTAACCGAGTCGACCACAAAAGTTGCCGATGGTTAGCAGAAATTTCCATGCATGTGCCTAGCCACGGGTGGCCAGATGTATTCCCTCGATGCCGTCGAGTCGGAATTGCTCTCAGCTCTATGGGACGGTCTTTTCGAAGTTTCTGCGAACGCCGTCCAGCATGTCCGCTTTTTACTCAACATAGAGCTTGTTGGCACCCCGATGACCTTGAATCACTACTTCAACGACAATATCCAAAAATGGTGCCGTGACCTACTCTCACTTCTGATCGAAGTTGACTGACCAGACTCTAGCCGCCAGAAGAGAATGCGAACCCGGTTGTCTAAGTTATCTTTCGATGATTGTAGCCATGGTCAGGTTGTTCGATTGCAGGACACGCAACCAAAGTCATTGTTTCGGGTGGAAGGCGGTTTTGCAACAGCCTATATAGAGAATAGAGAGAAATTATGAAGACTATGGTCCGTCCAATTACTAAGGCGCGAGGCGTCGTAGCCCCTATAATAGATATGACACGGGTAATCGCTCACCCGACTCACCCTGACTCGCGCGCTCTCGGAGTGAGTATAGGTTGACATCACCCTAACCCTAACGTAGGGTGCGCCGCCCCTGTAGATTTCCCACATTATGGCGAGACGGTTGAAGATCTTAAGATCACGAACGCGCTGGATGGACGTCTGTACGAGATACCAGTAAGTTAATACTACTCCGTACTCACTATTAAGAACGGAAAGAAAGTTGTTCAGGCAAGGAATGAATGCCCATTCACAGGGATAACCTCACGGCTTGATAAGTAGGCTTACTGTTTTCGTGTCACTAATTCGTTGTCCGGGGCTACCACAAACATTCCACAAGTACTTATGTAGTAGCAAATCCGACAGGCTTGAGCTTGAACCGGAGTACAACATTGCGGTTTGATCGACATCTTATTTTATCATCTTTCAGGCGAACGCCATCTCACTTTCAAGGGCCTTGGAGCTAGTCTCTGCACTTCGCAAAGAGAATGCCGTGCTCGGACCCATGATCGTTGAGGTCCGTTTCCGGTGACCTTCCCACTTTATTTCCGCACCAGGCGAGATACTTCAAGTTGTACTCCGTACTTGGATGGGAACTTTGGCCACCTCGTCACCTCGACCACTTTGTCCTTGTCGAACAGTAGCGTGTACTAGTAGACGACGACGCCCCACCGTCCCATCCTTTTCTCGAGCAGGAAGAAGAGTCTGCAGCAGCCTCGTCGTCCATCCAGTCACTCGGCAGGGAATGATGGTTCACTTTTCATTTTGCTAGAACATGTCGTCCTTCTTGCTGGACTCGATGAATTCGTCCACTCGATCTTAAGACCAAGGTATTGCAATGTAGGCGTCGTCGTGGAACACATTGAGCGGTACTTCTCCCACTCCGCGGGCATCCACGGTACGTGGGCTACCTTACGCAAATCTCGCGGATTTTGAATCTTTGGCGCGAGTTCCGTATTTGTACTAGCAGAAGCAGAGAATTGATCAGTTCCTCGATGCACCGTTCTCCTTCCTGGGTTGCTTTTTCATCTGGACGTGTATGGTGGACGACGGAGGGTCAGATAGCATGATATAAGCAACAAGGACTGCCTAGAGGTACTATACTGTCTATCGCTAGGGTCCATGATATTCTTAAGAAGTGTTCGTTTTCTATATCCTAGGCGGTAAACTGCGAACACTAAATTCCGAGTCTAAGAACCCCTTTTGTGACGAGTAAGAGATTGGTTTTGAATTGCTGACGGGCCACCGAAGCTTCCTTCCGTACTGAAGTTCACTGTTAGTACAGTACTTCAATTTCTTTTCATTTTTTTTCTTTCAAGTTCCTCTCCTACACCATGGCAAAGATTTGAGGCATTTAGGTCATCCGACCTCGCGAAGGCTGGACGAGGATTCAATGATCTTTTTCACCAACTACTGGCCTCACCGTTCGACAACTTCTAGCGGTGCCCCAATACTTTGTTGACTCGCCAACTCGAAGTGCCCGGTTGCTGTGGGGTCTTGCGGGTCAGTCCGCGGGTGCGGGTTCCTTGCAGTTCCACGACAGGGCGCCTCAGCTAAGCCTTTCCAAGGCTATCTACTGCCGCGATTCAACGTTTTCACGAGGTTTTAAAAGTCATCGCAATGCGGGGCCTCAATCAACCTCGAGAGAACAAATAGGACGAAATCGAGATTTACAGTACCAGTACTGATCAGATACTGAACTCGTTGCGAGGCAAGTCAGCAGGGAATTCTGGTGTAGAAGTAAGCTCGAATCGAGCTGAGTCCGGGCTAAGATTGAGCTGGGGGCGGACTGGCTTCGAGGCAGTAGACTTCTAGGTTGCACCTCCTGCGGTTGAGTCAGGACCGAGTCGAATCCGAGCTAGATTCGGGCTGGCACTAGGGGGAGCCAGAGCTAGGCGCGAGCCAAGCCCGGGCTGTCTTCCTAGGTTTAGTAGAACAATGTAACGGTTCTTATTTTAGCTAAGGCCCTAGTGGCTCGAGCTAATTCTTTACTTAAAAAGATATAAAAAAAATAAAGCGTTTGAATCGCGCTTAAATCGTTTCTACTATAGTATCTACAAGTACCTTTATTACTAGAAATATAGTAATAAATTATATACTTAAATTCTAAAAAAATCAAATTAAAGAAATGTTGATATATTGAACATTTTAAGGTAAATATTAAAAAAACTAAGATCAATTTCAGATTCTGATCTCTTCTTTATATTTAGAGATTCTAAATCCAAATCTTTAAAGGGATTAAAACCTAAATGTTCTAGTGTTTTAGATAGATTTTTTAATATATCTAATAAATATATATATAAAGCTTCTAATAGTCCTCTACTAATTTACTTATATATTTACCTATATATTTTATATTCGAACTTTTCAATGTATCTAATATAATATTTATAAAGCTTCTGAGGGTCTTCTACTAAGTTAGCTAAGATTTCTCGAAGATAACGTAGATAATTATAAGTCCTTAGATCGCTAAAATTTTCAATAGTTTTCGATACTTTTTAGATAGTTCTCTAATACTTCTCTAATACTTCTCTAATACTTCTCTAATACTTCTCTAATACTTCTCTAATACTTCTCTAATACTTCTCTAATACTTCTCTAATATATTAGTATTAACTATTAAAGAACTTTTCGAGATAGTATTATTGATATAATCTAGAAAAAATTAAAAGTTCGAATCTCGCCTTCGTAATTTTCCTTCTTCTTTTTATCCTTAAAAATCTAACGCTAAAAAATTTAGAATCTAATTTACGAAAGAAAAGGCTATAACTATTAGACTATAAAGACTTTTATAGGCTTCTAAGTATATAAGTCTTAACCCTTAAGCGTTAAAAATTACTAATAATTATAAAGCCTTTAAATAACGATAATAATAAAGAATCGTTATAATCTAATTAGTGAGATAATAAAGACTACTTATTCTAAGGAGTACTATTATTAAGAAAATAATCACTAAAAGATATTAAGACTCGAATAATATAAAAACGTTATCAGTGTTAAGATTTAATACTACACTATTATTTAAGCCTTAATCGAGCGTTTAGAGATCGAGATAAATAGAAATCGAATCCTAATCTAAAAAGAAAATAGTTTCGCATTAATCTCAGCCAATTTTTTTAAGACTAATAAGAAATTTTTTATTTCTTAATTTAGAAAGGATTTATACAGAGAACTACTAGTATCCTAGTAATTACTATTAAAATATATAATATCCTAAAAAGCGATATCGTTATCGCCTAGATCTACTAATATAAGGTAGCTTTTTCGATATAAATAAATATTGAACTATTTACTAGCGATTTTCTATATAACTTTCTAGTACTTATTAATTCACTATTAATTCACTATTGATTAGGTATCGGTCCCTACCGGTCCCCTATCGATTAGGTAGGATAGAGTAGTTAGTTAAGGGTATATTAGTATCTTTCGTGTCCTGAGTATTCCGCCGCTTTTATGATCCCTTTATCCGCTCGACTCTAGTCCCTTCCGCCGTTTCAACGACTTTAGTGGTCTAACAATTACTAACTAAATGATATAGTCTCGGTTACTCGCGGACATTCTACGTGCCATCACAGACCTAACTACCACCATTACTTCGACCAGTATCTCACATTAGAAGGACAGCCCTCGATACTATTACTATTGGGAGAGGGTCAAGGAAGCACTATGTGCACCCAGGAAAACAACAATCTTTAACCAGACAGAACCGTGCAGTGGTGCGGCGAAAGTGGCCCATTCACCACGTCCTTCACGCCATAGAAAACCACATAGAAAATGGAACACGCATACAAGGAAAGGTTCTTGTTGGCTAGTATTCTTTAGTTCGCAACATGCTCGCTGTGCGTCGTCGTTGTTGTATCCCGCCATTTCCATGCCATTTTGCCGCTAGCGCGAGAACCCTCCCACGACAATGCAAGAAGAGGCACGCACCTACTGAGGGTTTATAAGGTATTGACTGGAAATTTCGTTTGTACTAACGAGGCGATAAATACTAGTACCACTTACCTAGGAGACAATGGATGACTAAGTTAACCTGCAAAGTATGCTTGACCTTTAGCTTGAGCTTGAACAGAATAAAGTACGAGGCTTGTATTATGCTATCTCTCTTTATTGGCTGCTATCAGCTGCGCCCCCGGATTCCAGCTACTGCATGTATGGTTCACGCTTGAAATCATTGGAGGCGACACCGACTGTTGACGTAACCCGCCCTGCACAGCCCGCTTACGGCAGTCCTACAAATGCATCTGCTGTTGCAACATTGTGCAAGTTGTCTCTCAACCAAATGGTACATGGGGAATTTTACGAACATGGAATCGAAACAAAGCAGCAACGGCTCTGAACAGAACAATGCCCTCAGTGCGGTACAACATGGGCCAGATCAGTACTTTTGCGTTCAATGCCACCAATCAATCGACTCGGACCGGAGGGATGAACATGAAGATTGGCATTTTGCAAAGCACTTAGAGGCGGAAGACCAAGCTGGCCATATGGTCGCAACGGGACAGTCCCAGATCGGGTCAAATGTTCCACAACTGGACTTCAAGCAAGGCGTGCCTCCAGATTATGCTCCACCAACATATCCGCCACCGAGGACTGCCCCCCGCGTGGCAGCAGCAATTCGCCACCATACCAATCAAGTTATCGAAGCTGCCCAAATTCGTGCCAGAGATGAGGTGCACTTCCTTTGGAGGCTCAAATGGCAATGGTAAACATTCACTGACGGTCTGACAGCAACAAATGCAAAATGCTCTACAGAATCTTCAGTTACAATATCAGATCTACAACAGCGAGATTGAGCCTGAACACGAGGCAGACTATTATTGTAATTGTCCAATCCACAATTATCAGCGGATGAAATTCCGTCGGTATGGAGTGCAGGAGATGTGGTCAAACGCAGTCATGTATCCTGGTTAGTACTATACCACTTCCACGCTCCTTCTGCTCCCCTTTTCAACTGACGCGTTTGGTCTTTTCAACCAGGTGAGAAGGCGTACAACGATAACAATCAGAGTATCGGGCTGTGGAGCAGAAATCCTTACAGGCTTCGAGTCGTGTCGCCATATGGTTACTATCAATCTGCCTGGGGGTTGCAACGACCACGACCAGGATACCACGCCCAATCCATCAATCAAACCATCGCCCTTAACAACAGTCTGAATATTGAGGCGCAAGCCAACATTGACGCCAAAGAACCGAAGATGAATATCTGGGACGATGAGGCTCTTGATGCCGCAATGTCCCGAGTCAGCATCGCAGCGTCCGATGATAAGAAGCGGCCAATCAAGGCTTCCGACACGAATGTTCCGGATGAGCAGAAGCAGTCCTCTTCGTCAGGGGATCGAAGTGCGGAGAAATCCGTTAGGGTCTCCAGGCTTTCAAGTTTCAGGCAAAGCATCGGCTTGAAGTCTTCCGAAGAGAAAGTTGCGGCGAAGACACAAAAGTTGACGCTCAAAGGCCGTGAATTACGCGACGCAATCATCGCCGAGGAGAACGGGAGGTGGCCTGATGAGCAGTGGCGACATATCGTCGCGACGTACCAGGACAAGGTTGGCATGACAAGAAAGATTGCTGACCTTCGAGCCCGCCATCCCATTCAATACCTCCATCTGCTCAGAAGTGGCTACTTTGAACCTATTCCGGTGGCATGGGCCAATCAAGCGTCTAACCCACTGAAATTCAGCATCGAGGCCGCTGCGGGTTGGAGAGGAATTACCCCTGCATGGCGAGGATACGAGGATACTGCCGAAGAACGGCTGTACTGGGTCTTGAACCACCGAGAAGGAAGCGTTGGGGTCAGGATGAAGCCAGACTTTATTTCCGAGATAAATATGGCTCGGGCTCGAATGGCCACTGCAGTCGAGCCGCCTCCCGAGTACTATTCCAGCACCGACACATGCCATCTCCAACACACCTCGACCGGATACTCGAAGCAAGTCATGCCCTCGCCCTTCTTGGCCTACGATCGACCAGAAGTATCGACTGACGACACAATGATTCTGTTGGATGTTTCCGGATCGATGGATTTTGACCCGTTGCGACCAAACTACAACCAGTATCTCATCACCGGATATTCTCGATCCACGCAACCAAAAAACAAGGGTGAGGTCACTGGCATGAGGGTTGTATCAATACTGACTCTACGTAGATGTCGCGAAAGCAATTATCCGACGCTTCAGCGATGCCATGGCCAATCACGACCATGACTTTCGCGGCTATGATCTGACTACTTTCTCGAGTTCAGCTAACTATATTGGCACCATCAACAACCAGAATTTCAATGAAATGTGGCGGAAAGTCAGGATAGGAGGCGGAACACGGGTCATGACAGGCTGGCAGAAAGTCAAGGAATTGCATTTCCAAAAGCACTCCGAGTCAGCAACGCATCACCCCGTGTACGGATGGCAAGCCGGGCCCGAGACGCCCATGCTGCGCTTGCTTCTTCTTCTCGATGGCGAAGCAACCGACATGGACGAGTTCGAGCTCGATCTCCTTGGGCTGTCGTGGGCCCATGTTACGATCTTCCTCATCGGTGTAGACGGATGTCCACATCACCATCGCCACGCCAACGAATTGCAACGTATCAGCGACGTCAACCACCATGTCTCGTTCGTCGATGCGCAGGGCAATACGCCCGAGCGTTTTGTTACCCACGAACTCCTCAAGAGACATTTGGGCTACGAGCTTTCCATGTCAGAGTTTGAGCAGATCGAGGAATTGCCGGGCTACACGGAATGATTGAGTTCAATACTGGCCGGCTCTGGAAGGCTAATCGACTGTTGAGAGGCTGTGCTGTGGTTCAAGCCATTAGAGCTGGTTTAGGTGCTTCGTACGTTCGCCAAACCATGAGCCTAGCGGGCTTTGTGAACCAGGACTTACTAGTTTTAAGTACTTCACGCTTCGTAAGTGTAAAATTGAAGCCATGTAACTGGTCAGGTATGACTTTGGAGATGTCCATGAACGAAATATGTCTTCCGCGCAAGTCCTAGAGCCAAACGATGATTAACGACGTCGGCCTTGGCATTCATATTACTCTGAACTAAGAGGAGTACTCCGTACCCTGCCTCGTAGCCTCTCATCTTGCGCCTGCAGTATTCCGAGGCGCTTACCATGCATGATCCTTACACTGATATCAAAATTTCATTCATTGCAAACTGAGTTCTAAGTCTTGACCAGATCCAAATGCTAGGTCGTCGTTCTCACCGTAAATCACGCACTGGTTGCCAAACATGCAAAAGCCGGAAAGTGAAGTGCGACGAGAAAGGCCCACCATGTGGCAGTTGTAACGCGACAAGTACTCCTTGTGAATATGCGAGCATTTCGACCGCGACATCATCCGCACCAGACTCCAGTGGTACTCATTCAGTCGACATACCTACGAACAGCAACTCCAAGTCTGGCCACCAGTTGTGGGCCCGCTGACGCGGGTACCACCTCTCAGTGAAGACTTCTCGAACTCGAATTGATCCGTTATTGAACCTCGAATGGTTTCAAGTGCATGGCAATGGAGTTCTCGGGAGATGGCTGTTACTGGCAGACGACAATGCCAAAATTGGCACTGAGACACGATTACTTACATGACGACATCTTCTAGATAGCTGCATTCAAGCTTGCTGACTCTAGTAAAGGGGACTGAGGACGTTATGCCCGAGCCGGACTCAAGTATCAAAGCCGTGCCGTGAATCGCTTGCGAAGTCAACTGATGAACGTCACCGAGCAGAGCCACGAAGCCGTCGTCTATTTCTCCTCCATGCTTCCGGTGGTCACGCTAGCAGCATGCCGTGTCCTAGGGCGCCGACGAAGAAACAAATGGTGGCATCAATCCTATGGGTGAGTTGCCTGCGTACGGCCCATGCGGCATTCATGTGAGGTTAGAATATCCTTGATAGCCCGAATTAGAATATCGTCGGCAGCCTGAGACAGATTGTTTAAGGTATATACTTGGATACGGAAACTACATGGCGACTTGGATCGATTTACGTGAAGAACACCCCGGTCAACGCCATGCCAACTTGCGTGGACTTTGTCAGCATGGAAAGTGCCCAACATTGAATGCATTGAGCGACAGATTCACTCTGCGCCATTCCAGCGGCATGAGGAGGTCCTGATACACAACAGACACGGCGTACTGTCTTTGTCAGTGATGGGTCATGGAGTGCTATAATAGCTTCGAGTGTTTTCGTCTCGACCGCTGCTTGTGGCACCATGTCGGTAAGTCTTTTCACTCTCTTCTTTGGCTTCAAAGCTGCAGCTTCTAGTGGATTCAGAAGTCAGTATCAGTAATCTGCACGGCTACAAATATTGCGAATACAACATACGAACCTCTTGTCTGAGGATGGATACATATCAGTCATCCTAATAAAAAGTCAACCCGCCAGCTGAGGACCCATTCTTCTCCCTCCGCAGCCTTCATTCATAAAGACAACCCTCACTGGGTACCAGACTATCAGCCCCTTCCCACTTTACTGGCAAACATCAACAAGTCACAACCCGCGTCCCATCGTAGGTATGCTCGAGCTCATTCGTCAAGCGCCTATCGGCCAGGCAATTCGCTATGTTACTCGGAACAAATACCTCCAATACCCTGAAGAGCGAGACGACTATGAACTCCCAATACTCATCCCTGTTGATAGGTGAAGAGAAGCTTAGTCTGACACAAAGGGAACACGCAGCCGATAACGTCGCAGATGAAGTCATGGCCCTGGAACACGGACAAGTCGATGCCGCCGGAGCGCGACTTGGAGATGCTGCGACGGATCAGGACGAACCCGAGTGTCCATAGCGTGGCTTATGACAACGACCGGTTCCACGCAGAACAGATCCTTGACATTCAGCGCACGAAATCACTGACCATTGCTCCTCAAAAAACCTCGGACGGTGTGATCCTCATCGACTGGTACACCACGGACGATCCTGCGAACCCTCAAAATTGGTCACGCGGCAAGAAGGCACTTGTCACCTCGGTCTTGTCCTTCTACACGTTCGCCGTCTATTGCGCTGGTCCCATTTGGTCGACCGCTTCATCGGGAATTCAGGAGAAATTTCACGTCAGCCCAGTCGCCGCATCGCTGGGTCTGTCCCTTTACATCCTTGCATACGGCGTGGGGGACCTTCTCTTCTCGCCTCTGACAGAAATTCCTGTCGTCGGACGAAATCCGGTCTATTGGCTCACTTTCACTGTGTTCTGGGTGTTGTCTTTTCCTGAGGCAGTCACGCAAAGTTTTGGAGGGCTTTTAACCCTGCGGTTCTGGCTGGGATTCTTTGGCAGCCCAGCGCTAGCCAATGGAGGCGCAACGACCGGCGACATGTTCCCTCTGATCTACATTCCCTACGGGCTCTCCTTCTGGGGTTTTTCTGCTTGGTCCGGTCCGGCATTTGGGCCCATGATCGGAGGCTTTGCCGCTCAAGCCAAGAGCTGGAGATAGCCATTCTGGGAAATAACGTGGATGGCTTCTCCGGTCCTGCTGAGCCTGTTGCTGTTCATGCCTGAGACTTCGGCACCGAACATCTTGCTGAGGCGAGCTCGTCGATTGCGAGAGCTCACGGGCGACTCCCGCCTCCAGTCTCAAAGTGAGATTGATCAACGCAGCCTGTCTGCTTGCGACATCCTCTTTTCCGCTCTCCTTCGACCCATGGAGATTATGTTCAAGGACCCGTCCATCTTCTTCGTTCACGTCTACACGGGATACTTTTACGGGGATTTCTACACATTCTTCGAAGTGTTCACCTTGGTCTTCCTACCCTTCTACGGTTTCAATCTGGGACAGACCGGACTCGCCTTTCTGTCATGCATGATTGGCGTAATGGTCGCTATCCTTGGCTATTTTGCCTACCTCTACTTCTACATGGTGCCGGACAACCTGAAAGAACGGCCTCCGAGAGCAAGAACATCGTCTTGTCCCGGCCATTGTTGGCTCGTTCCTGCTGCCAATTGGACTATTCCTTTTCGCATGGACGTCCGACTCCAAGATACACTGGTCAGTTCCTTTGGTTGGCGTGGGCATCTTCTGCATCGGACACTTCTGGACCATGCAGTCCATCTTCATCTACATCCCCTTCTCGTACCTACAGTATGCGGCCTCCCTATTTGCGGGAAACAGCGTGATGAGATCGGCGACCGCTTGCGCCAGTGCCATATTTGCGCGACCCCTCTTCATCAACTTGGGGGTGCACAGGGGCGTGAGCGTTCTGGCCGGCCTGAGTGTGATGGGGATTTTTGGAACGACGGTCATCTACATCTTTGGAAAGCAGCTTCGAGCTCGGTCCAAGTTTGCACAAAACTAGACTATTCGAACGGGTTGAATTGGTTCCACTTGCTGTTCGAACCACCTCTGGGGTGTTTGTAGGGGGTCTGTCATTCATCACGGTTGCGGTGAGGCACTTGTGGGAAGCCTGGCGGAGAGGGTACTTCCGTTGTGTTCCCTCTCTTTTGTTACTGTCCTTCTGTTTTGTCGAATGCCTATAGTACATTATAGATAATGAAGTTTGCCATGATCTCGGAAAGAAAGTGAAGGCAATAGAGACAGTCGCGAATTCCATCGGTAGCGTTCTCTTTCTGATCATTTCACCTTCGGCGCTCTGGGGGAAATACTTGGAGACCAAACCATCAATCGACCATCTCATTGTCCAGAAAAGTCTCGCTTCAACAGTATATCGCACACCACCAAGCGTCGTTTTCAGGCCACCCGGTCTGAACTTCAATTCTAAGCGAGAATTCTGGATGGCGGCTCATGTTACTGGATATTCATGATGAAAGCTGCCCTGGTTTGGCCCTTGTGGCTGCCGCCCCGCCACTAACGGCTACATACATACTTGGGGGGCGCGTGATTATATTCCGTGAATGGAAAATAAGTTGATGGCAATTCAATGTGACGACCAAAGATTGAAAGGGTACGTTGTTACAATGCTTGGCGAGATCAACATGTTTACAAGGCGCCCGATATAGAATATTCCACTTCGGGACTGGTATAACGTAATGTAGTTTCATTACTCATCCACACCAAGGTACAGTAGGTGGTACTCCACACGTGGGACCGTAAAAGGATACATGAATATTTCCATTAGTACTCCAATAACGAGGGTCTTCACGCCACGGCTTTGAATATAAGTCCCGCAGGCCGCGGGCGTTGCTTCTCCCGAAAGAAACATGGACAGTGGGGAGCTCCTTACGACCAACCCAGCTGCTACGAGGGCCATCAACCACAATGCCGACCTTCAAAGTATACAAAGGCACCCCCACCGGGATCCAGGAGTCCGAAACCACACGCCCCGACCTGAGGGGGGACCAGGTCCTCGTCAAAGTCACCGCCTCAGGCATCTGTGGCACCGACCTCCACTACAAGTCGGCCAACATGGCCCTTGGCCACGAAGGCGTAGGCGTAGTCCGTGAAGTTGGGCCTAGCGTGCAATGCCTCCGGCCCGGGGACCGTGTGGGATGGGGCTATCAGGCCGACTCTTGCGGTCTCTGCACGTACTGTCACGCGGGAAGCGAGGAGTATTGCGCCGAGCGGAAAATCTACGGAGAGGCGAATCTGGACCAAGGCATTTCGCCGAGGCCACGGTACATCGGAAGCATTCTTGTTCCTCATCCCGGACAATGTCAGCGACGCAGAGGCGGCGCCCATGATGTGCGGCGGCGCGACGGTATGGAATGCGCTGCGGAGATATGGGCTTTCGTCCTCGTCGACGGTCGGTGTTCTCGGGTTGGGCGGACTAGGTCACTTGGCCGTACAGTTTGCCGCTCGGTTGGGCATGAACGTCGTGCTGCTGTCGACAACCGACAGCAAACGTGACGAGGCGCTGAAGATGGGCGCGACAAGCTTCATCGTCGTCAAGGATCAGGAACCGGCTCCCCTGGCCATCGGCACCACTCTCGACGCTCTTGTGGTCACATCGTCCGTTCCACTCGACTACGACCGTTACCTGTCCATCCTCACTCCGCAGGCCGTCATCTTGCCTTTGACTGTACATTTCAGCGATTTCAAAATCTCCCAGTATCAACTGCTCGCCAAAGGGATCCGCATTCAAGGGACGGTCATCTCGTCCAGAGTCGAGATCAAGAAGATGTTGGCCTTCATGGCCCGCCAGGACGTGAAGCCGCAGGTAATGACTTTTGCGATGGATAGAGAAGGCATCGAGAGTGCAATAGAGGCTCTGGAAGAGGGCAAGATGAGGTACAGGGGCGTGTTGACGGCTCGATAATTAGCCGGAGTGCTATTTTTATGTTACTGGCCGAAAGAGTCTGGAGGAAATGGACTACAACATGCTGTGTAAAGTGGTGGATGGAAATGTGATCCTAAAAATTCATAGTATTCGGAAATATCGAAATGTCGACCGCAACCCCGTAGTCCAATCCGATTAGGACTCGATACAAGGGCCGCGCAAACTTCATCTGCCCGAGCTGGACTAGCAGCTTGACCACAAACCTCTCGATCGATCGGTCGCCACTTGCCATGGCCACCTGGTAATACCGCGCCGAGACCTCGACGTTGCGCGTCTGCTTAAGGGCCTAAACATCTCCTATGCGACCGACCTACTAAGCGAGGAAGGTTTTCTTGAATAGAAAAACGCAAGTTGACGATCATCCGATAGCCGGCACCGTCAGAGGCGGCAAGTTGTGAATAAGGAGCACCGTCGAATGGACCTTTCAAGTCATGGAGCTGCAGGTCAATCCTTCAAAGCTTCAATTGCTCGTAGCAAACAAAAGGCCTTGCTCCACCATCATTGCAGGGTGCTAGTTCGGTCACTGGCACTAGTACTGCATCTGATCACCCCATTCCCCGAACCCTCATGACGGTAACACGACGTGGAAACGCCTGACGGGGACGCGGTGCAAACCCACTGCCCACTCCGCCTCCTCAGGAGAAAACAGACGCCGATCAACGCTCCGAGAGACAACATAGAGACAACCACGAAGAGAAAAAGCGGAGCAACGTCGGAGCGTACGCTGTAGGGGCTGCAACCATTGCTGCTACCGGAGCCTACAGAACAATCCCGAGGAATCAGACCTATTGGGGCGCGGCTCCACCAGATACTACTACTCATACGGTCACTGTAACGCATCCACCACATACCCACCGCTGGACGTATACGGCCGCGATTTAATCCCGGCGCGGTGCATCCCGCAGATATATTGCCCGACCTTGCGCAACCGACTCAACGCACACATCCGAAGGAGCTGACTCCAGAAGAACTGGCGCAGCTTGGTCAACCTGGAGGGCAAGTGATCGAAGTGCCACATTCCAAACCAACCCCAGATCACGACCAACCCCCTCCCCTGCCTGACCACGAACTGCCTCCGCTACCTCCCCCGCCGCTGCCACCGCCACCGCTAGATAACCATTCTACCAGAATTAATGGCTTCAACGCAGAAGATCATGTAACCAGATTGTAGGACGTGAAAGGATTTGAGTCTCAAGGGTATTTTGCAACGTCCATCCCGCAGAGGAATTAAAGATTTTCCTCCGGGGTTTTCTTTTAGCATTAACCGATAGTTCTTATCATTTTAGTCTCTGATTATTGTATCCCTATATCCTCGAAGTTGGCGGTGGGATAAGCATTGCTTAGAAATCAGGGTCTTAAGGCTTTACCTAGTTAAGCCACTCCAAGGCTAATAAGACTCCGCCAAACTCCCATCGAGTTTTGAACCACTACTATACTATATGTTGTGCAGCATCCGCACTACTTCTTTATGCCACCTACCAATGCTACTTGTCAGTGCATTGCCATACTATTAGCGTCTTTATACAGCGTGGACATCCGCTCCATGATTAAGGAGTACTATCTGCACCACCGTCTTGTGCCCCAGACCCTAAATGCTGCTTGTAATGCTTTATTGTCAGCTGCAGAATGCACTAGAGGACGAATCGGACATCTACAAGATAGAAGGAGGAAAGCACACTGCTTCACTCCTTCGCACACCGCTGTGTTCATTCCCCCAGCTCTTCTCTCATGTCCACCCAGGCGGCACCCCAGCAGCTATTGAGCATGTTCGATTAGTACTTCCACCGTCCATTTACCATTTATCAGGGGCGCTGTTAGCATCGTAACCCGAAAGTCCATGATGCGGGTGTCGGGAATTTGCTTTTGTGCCAGGTGGCCGAGGGGAGTACTATATTCGCGGAGTACTTGATCTCCCAGTTTACCTTCTGCCATGTCCGTTTGTGAGAGAGACATCTTCTTGGTGTGGGCACTAGCACTTTTTTCTTGCCAGAGCCGATAGCTTATACTAGTAGTACCCATGGATGATTAACGAGTACTTATAGTATTCAACTATAATGCTAAGTATAGATTGGGAAACACCACCACTGATCATTCACTTTGCCATTTTCGATCCACCAGTCAATTCAATTGCTGTAGCAGACTTGCCTGCACCGTGAGAAAATTTGGCGCAGAAGCCGCAGGGCATCCTACACCCTCGGAAGTATCATCGAAATTTTGGAGCGTGACGATGCAGGCATTGACCCGATCGAGCTGGGTCGCCACCGACATGTCGTTGACATCGTCTGAGAAGGTGACAGGGATACCGAAAGCGTTCCCGGCAGAAGAAAATTGCTCGAGACGCTGAATGAATGCGCCCATATCCGGCGGGCATGAACATGGAATATTGACGTCGTTGGAACCCTGACAGCTACCTAGCTGTGAAGTGCTGGGGATGCCAGCGACGAGTCCAAAGGCAGGAACGAGGGTCGGATCGATGGTACTAGTAGTATCGCCAGCCTGAGGTCGCGGGAGGGCGAAGATAGGAGCTACCAGAGCGAGAACACCTGCTATCTTCATTGTTGGAGACTTTGGTATTTTGGGCGACGGAGGATGGATCGATCGATATTGCAACTTCTCGGGATGATTAAGTTGTTTGGGACTGGATCACTAATTGATGGGGATTTGTTGAAGTCTGAGGGACATCTAGATGACAGAGCATCGTTTATATATACCTTGGGAGAGCCGCCTGACTGAATATAGATCATACTTGGTATCACTCACCTACTGGATGCAAATGGGGCCCCTCGACCACGTCCCACTCTCGTTCTGTGTGATACGACATGGTCGCCGTGTTTTAACCCAAGTCTTGCAAAACAAAAGAAAGATCCGAACACGCTCGGGGAAGAACGCAGGATAGGAGCTTGCGGAAATCAATTCAATCTGGTCGTCTACAGCAACATCCCTAGTAGCGGAGAAAACGAAGAACCAATGCCAACATCTCCTCTGTGTTAATGAGGCAGCTGTGAATTATCCTTCTACCTTGCACGGCAACTTGGAAGCGCTTTGTGGCTCAAGGGAGGGAGACTTCGTTAACTCGATATAGGCAGATATACACCGTGGCCAATCACCAAAGTCCATTTCTATTTCCACACATGAGCATCCCGCCATTTGACCCAAAGCCCAAATAACCTATGTTAAGCCAGTCCAAGTCGTGGCTATACTTATAACCATAAGCGCGGTTTAGCGGGACTTAAGGCGCACTCTAAGATGTACCTCGAGGCGTACCCTAAGATGTACCCTCAGGCGTGCCCCGAGGCGTGCCCTGGGTTTGAAGCACAGCCCGCTCATCCGGCCGGTTTGCCTGTCAGCGTCGGATATACCAAAACCCAAGTTGACGATCATCTGATAGCCGGCACCATCAGAGGCGGTAAGTTGTGAATAAGGAAGCACCGTCTAATGGATCTTTCAAATCAGAGCCGCAGGTCGTTCCTTCAAAAGCCTGCTCGTATCAAACAAAGATACTCCTCCACCACTAGGGTTCGCTTTTCTCGAAACCCTACCTGATACTAGTATTACCTCGTGCGGAGCCTAGAGATAATAAATTGAAAAGTTTCATATATCTCTACTACTAGTACTAGTACTACTCAGTCACCTTCTCATCCATAACCTTTGTGTCCTCAGCATACCCAAGCTGCTTGACTTTGTCTTCCCCAATCGTCTCCTCCGGCAGGGAAACGCCCAGCTTCGCGGCCTCGTCGCTTGTGAAAGTGCCGTAGTAGTCGACGTCGTCGTACTCTCCTAGTCCGTTGGGCGGGAATGCTCGGTTGAGTCCGTAATAGAGCGTGAAGCTGATGGCAAGACCCAGGGGAAACGCGAGATAGAACATGTCGGTGCATGCTTTCGGAACCGTCACGCTGGGATTGACGTTGGCGACGAAGCCCGGCAGTTGAGGACCCCAGCCGCAGACCCATGCAGCGAAAGCCCGCGGGTTCACGCCATGGAAGTAATAATATATCCCCGTTTGCGAGGGTGTGTAGAGATCGGTCAGCTTCATCCGTCGCGACCGTACAAGGAAATAGTCGCAGATCTGGATACCACACATTGGACCTAGGAAGACCGAGTCTAGAAAGGACGGTGCTGTTAGCCATGTTTTCTCGGTAAGCAAGAGCCGGGACCACACTTACAGGCTCCCATGACACTGATGAAAGTCCCAGCTGAGGCGAGCAGTTCCCAAGGACACATGGCGATGGACAAAACGAGCGCAAGATAGGATCCCCTCCTGATGTTGAAGTACTTGGGGAAGAGACCGGACAAATCCATGCCAGCCGAAAACGCGTTGTCGATGGTGTTGATCGCGAGCTGGCAGACCACCAGGCCACAGCCAGCGAAGAATGCCGCAGCGCGGGATTTGGCGTTGTAGTCGTCATCGAGCCAGCGAAGCAAGAGGTCAGGTGGGTTCCAGTATGCTTCGCCATAGAGTTGAATAGATGCAGAGCTTGTGAGGCAGCCAAAAAGGGGCAAGATGGTGCCCAGGGTCAGGATCGAGAACCACTGGCCGAAGATCTGGTCGCCAGGTTTGCGGGCAAAGCGTGAATAATCCGTTTGGTTTGTCAATCCCACAGCGATGCCTCCAATGACGGTCGTTATACCCTGGACGATGGCCCAGCCCAGTTGACTCCCTGAGCGTGCCGTGGCTGGCGCGGAGAGCAATGGCCCTGCGCCACGGGCAGTGGAGAGAACATAGATCATCATCGAGACGAGGGTGACCACGGAGATGGTGTTCATGGCGAATAGTAGTTTGCGGGTCTTCTCTGGAGGAATGTAGAGCATTGGGATGGTAATGATGTTGTAAACGATCCATCCAACCAGCAACTTGGTAGTGGTGTTTGACGACGCAGGCAGAGTGTTTTCCATATGCTGGAAGGAGGAGAAGATTGAACTCAGTACCGCCGTGACGCAAATCCCTCCAGTCCATGACTGTACGCAGAACCAGGTCAAGCTGAGGGCAATGCGCTGGACAATGATGATATATGAACCCCAAACACCCCAGATACCACGCGACAGAACCGGGAAGCCAATGTGCCAGGTTGCACCGACCATGCCATTGCAGATCGCCACTGCAGCAATAATTATCTTTCCAATGATCACAGCAATCATCGTTTGCCAGACAGAAAGGCCGACGGCAACTAGAGAGGCGCCGATCTGCCAGTTGCTGAGGGCGATCTGATTGATGGCCCAGAAAGACAGATATGCCCAGGTGTCCCAGAGTCGGCGGGAAGGAGGCAGCGGTCGGATGTCATTGTTGATCCAGATTGAGACCTCGCCTTGGAGGGCGAGATGGAACGGGCGTGGCCTGAAATTGGGAATCTTCATCGTCTTCGAGTTCGGAATGCGGCGACAACGGAGAGGACCCTGGCAGGATGATGAGCGAGTACCAGACTGAATCACTGTTGAGTGACGCTGGAAGGGAAAGACCCCACGACTGTGCCAGTCTTATAGTTAACTTATGACTCGACAGCAATCAAGGAGACGTCCGACGCTTTCCTCGAGAAGCATGCAGAAGCCACCAGATAGGTGTTCCCCTCGAAGGTTGCGTGATTGAGGAACACTTGGATTGTCAAGTGTCTGAGAGCAATGATAAGCCGTCTGCAGAGACAGTCTGTATAGCCATCTGATGAGATAGGATTCCTGAACTAGACCCTGCGGAGCCAGGCCTCGACGCCCGGGACGAGACTGTCGGCCACAAGCCTTCGAATACAGCACCTATCAAACGCCTGCATCTACAGCCTTGCTCATGCGGTTCGGTAATGAGATCGACGGTTGTCCCTATCTGGAGTATGGCCAGCCAATGAAAAGACGCTGGAGAGTCAGATAAGAGCGACATGCCTATCTTCACCTATCTGTGGGGCTGTGGGCAGCCACTCAGACTTAGGATCCTGGCACCCGGGACGTCGCTTGAAAGGCTGAACGCCTTTGAGTATCCTAACAGAGTGGTAGTTCGGTCTGTGCAAGAGTTTCTGTTAGTCAAACATCCCAGGCACGTGATGAGGTGTCGAGTATAATGGTCGACACAGCCTGGGCGAGTCGGGGTTCACCACTCTCGAATATCCAAGGTGTATCCGAATATCATCCCAGGATTGTGAGGGACCGCTGGCCAGAAGGAAGACCAACATCGCCATTCTCGCAATCCCGATAACGGCTCAGAAATAGGACGACAAAGCAAGTCGGCAGCTTGACAGAGATGGGTTCTGTACGGTCCCGACGCGCACTCAGATTAGGTGTTGACGTGGGAGGAACCAACACTGATGCGGTGTTACTTGACTTGGACGCGGCCGACCAGCCTCACCGCGGCGTTTTGGCGTCCCACAAGACGCCGACAACCAGTCCAAATGTGACAGATGGGATCGAAGTAGCCGTCAGAAATGTCCTGGAACAAGCTGGAGACTGTGTCTCGGATATCGCATGTCTCATTATCGGCACGACACACTTTTTGAATGCTGTAATAGAACGCGACACGCGTCGACTGTCCAAGGTTGCCGTCATTAGACTGTCGAAGAGTTATACAAAGGATATTCCACCCTTTTCCGACTTTCCGCCCGCCCTAGCAACCCTCCTCCATGGATATCACGGCTTTGTTGACGGTGGTCTCCACATTGATGGCGCACAGGAATCGCCAATTCGAGAAGACCAAGTGCTGAGGGAGTGTGAAGTCATTGAGCAGAAAGGAATCAAAGCCGTGGTCATCTCCGGCATCTTCTCCCCTATTGACCAGCATTTCCATCAGGAGGAGCAAGTCCGAAGGATAATGCAGAAGCGTCTGCCTGACGTGGATATTGTTTGCTCGTCAGAGGTCTCGAACATCGGTCTTCTGGAACGGGAGAATGCTTCGATATTGAACGCATCGATACTGAAGTTTGCTCGACGCACCATTCGAGGCTTTCGTGCCGCCATGAAGCGGCTTGGACTGGATTGCACTCTGTTCATATCTCAAAACGACGGCACCGTGATAGACTCGGCCTCTGCTGCCAAGTTGCCTATCAAGACGTTCTCTTCGGGTCCTACGAACTCGATGAGAGGCGCTGCATATCTTGGCCTCGGACAAGGAGGTTCGCAAGGCGAGGAGCGGACGTCAACCATTGTCATCGACGTAGGTGGCACCACAACAGACTGTGGTGTTCTGCTGCCCTCAGGCTTTCCTCGAGCAGCATCTGCCTACGTCAGTGTGGCAGGAGTGACCATGAATTTCCCCATGCCTCACCTGGAATCGATTGGACTTGGTGGAGGATCCATCGTACGACAACGTGACAACGATGTCTCCATTGGTCCGGACTCCGTGGGATATCAACTGACTTCGAGATCGAAGGTTTTTGGAGGGGACACTTTGACGACAACTGATGTCGCTGTTGCGGGAGGTCTGGATATCGGTGATTCGAGCCTAGTAAGCGATGTCACTCCCGAAATGATCCAACGAGTCCGTGCAAGGACAAAGAAGATGCTTGAGCGCGTCATCGACCAACTCAAGCTGACGCCGGCACCGTTGCCGGTCATCCTGGTTGGTGGAGGCTCAATCGTCTGTCCGCTAGAGCTTGAGGGCGTCTCCAAGGTAGTGGTGCCCAGCTATCATTCAGTAGCAAATGCTGTTGGGGCTGCGATTGCGAGAGTCTGTGGGTCTGTGGATGCGATCTACAATATTGCAGACGTGCCACTATCGGAAGCTCTGGAGGACGCAAAAGCTCAGGCTGTCTCTAATGCAGTCAAATGCGGAGCTAACCCAATCACAGTGTCTATTGTCGAGATCGACACTCTGCCGATACCATATGTCTCTGGACAAATCCGGGTTGTTGTCAAGGCAGTAGGAGATTTGTCTCTGGATTATGTTTCTGATAGCAAGAACATGGAGTCGGAAAGTGACGCAGACGACATGCTCACAGATCATATGACGGATCTGGCGGTATCATCCAAAGAGGAACGCTCTAGTAGCAAGTTCGATTTTGACGCATATCGGCCCTTGGTGAAACGAAATCTCGACACTGGAGTCCATGAGTGGATTGTGTCAGAGACCGACATTGAATGGTTAAGCGTGGGATGCTACATCCTCGGATGTGCTGGCGGTGGATCACCGAAAGCTGAATTCCTCAAGCTTCGAGATCAAATTCGGGCTGGTTGCATTGTTCGAATTATCGATAGCTCTTCGCTACACGAGGACGCTCTGATATACTGTGAGTCCGAGTGGTCAATACGTTCGCCACCATCACTAACGGAGAGCTAGGGGGAGGCATGATGGGCTCACCGGCGGTGTCCATCGAGCGGCTTAACTCTTCGGAGTGTATAACTGCTGTGAAGGACCTCATGGAGTACATGGGACACGAGTCGTTCGACGCAGTCATGGGTCTAGAGATTGGTGGTGCCAATGGACTTGAGCCATTGCTTATCGGCTCTTCTCATGCTTTCGACAGACCGGTCATTGATGCCGACTGGATGGGTATGTGTCATAATTACGGTCCAGCAACGCCTCTGCTGACAATATTCAGGCCGAGCATACCCGACTTACTGGCAGACAACGTTAGCCGTTCACGAGTCTGGACAGCTAACCCCTTGCGCAATTGCTTCCGGAGATGGCAAGACAATCATAATGACAAAGTCGCCCGATGATGAAATCGTCGATCGTGCTCTGCGAGCTTCTTGCTCGGAAATGGGCTCGAAAGTCGGCATGGCGGCCCGACCGACAACGACAGATCGTGTGAGGAATTTTGGTGTCATCAACACCCTGTCGCTGGCCTGGAGAATCGGCAGGACCGTGGCTCGTGCCCAACAGGAAAGTACCATCCATACGGTTGCGGAACAAATCATCGACGAAGTAGGTGGCCCCACCACTGCGAAGATACTCTTCCGAGGCAAAATCACCGCCGTCGAACGGAGAATCTTCAAGGGCCACTCTTATGGAGAGGTCACCATCGCCCAGGCGCAAGATGACGAAGAAGAGCAGCGTCACGAGAGTGCGGCGATGGCAGAAGGTGGTGTTGTCAAGATCCCATTCAAAAACGAGAACATTTATGCGAAACATGTCGCTGAAGACGGTACCGAGACGTATCTCGCTACAGTTCCGGACCTCATTTCAGTCATCGACGCGCGATCTGGATGTGCTCTCGGAGTGCCTGAGTTCCGGTACGGTCTGATGGTGACAGTACTTGGGATAACTTGCTCCCCACGATGGTCATCGACGAAAAAAGGGCTAGAGTACGGCGGTCCGGAAGCTTTCGGGTACGATATTGAGTACAAGCCTCTAGGGGAGTTCATCGAGCCCAAGAGCGTTGTGCTAGAGTACGCGGACACGGCTGCATAGTGCAGGGCATCTGAGGGTTCGACCGGATTTTGAATGAGGACGTCTCAGCCGCAGTGGCACATGCGGAGAAGAGGAGGAGGCTCTCGCCATGCCCTGATCTAGCTTCGGCATGCTAGAGATTCATCCAAAGCAAGGTGATAACGTGAGGGTGTACATGCCATTATGTTACTATCTACCTTGGAGTGACGGAGTGGCCAGGCAGACGGTGGCAGACGTGGCACGTGACCCGAGCATGTTGCCAAGCTGCCAAGCCTCTTAGGGCACCCAGCTAGTCAAGATAGGCAGGTGCAGCGACGGGCCTAAAACCCTCGAGCCCTCTACTGTAGGATCTCATCAGTGGGGGAGACCATTCGTCGGACAATAGGATATTTCAGTAGAACACCATTTCTTCCGCAATATCAACTGACTATCCAGTCTATCCCACCGTCCGACGAATCGGCTCCATGGACTCCCCCCACTGTCATCCGAGGTCTAGATCTTTTACGCTAGTCTTTCCTTAGTTAGCCTGCCCCCTTCCAAGCCTCGTCACTGCACGCGACTTGCGATTTCGTCTCTCATTTCCACGAGGTACTTATCTCAACAGTCTTCAACGCTGCGATGCTTTCCTGGATCCCAACACTTGGGTCATGTCTCAAGTGCGAACAGCGCATGTGAGAAAGCCGCTCGATGGAACGTAGCGCGAGCATGTGGACCCCAGCGGCCTCACAAGTTCCTGTCCCACCGGTACAGTTACCACCGGTACAGTCCAACGGCGCACCCCATATATCAGCGCGAGAGCCGATCTATTACACGCCACGAAAGAAACAAGCGTGAGTCTGATCGTTCTTCGGATTACGCATGCATCTGTTGAATTGCTGGTCGGCTAACCCATGGGAGCAGCTGCTCGCGGTGTCACACCAAAAGGATCAAATGTCTAGGGGGTACGTCAAGCTCAGGAATCCATGCTTTGCAGAACTAACCGCCGTTTCACCCAGGTGTGCCATGCCGAAACTGTGCGCTTTCCAACTCTCCGTGCACTTTTCCGCCGCCACGAAAGAGCCGGAACTCAGTGAGCCAGCAGCGTCCAGGTGTCTTGGCCGGCAGTTTGCAGGATGATCAATCTTCACCTCCGGCAGCTCTTGACCTGAATGCAACCCCGATCCCGACAAAACTGGGGAGCTATCGACGTTGCGAGAAAGACTTCACCTCGAGCCGGTCCAGCCAGGACAATCAAGTCTCAAGGCCGAACTACCGCGGAAGTCCTTTATGCCGAACGTTTGTCGAGCAATTCGTAAGTCTGTGTGCCCTGCAGCGACTTCAACTTGATCCTTTTGGGGAGAACGCCTTTGATCCATCATGGGCCACGTTGGGCCACCCAGATCTCGACTTGTCCAATCCTGGCCTGGAGATCTCGGTTGACACGATCCTGTCTCGGCCTCCGATAAGACCGGAACATGCAAAGCCCGTCAAGATCCGCCTCCCGCCCTACAATCACAGCATATACTTGATCCAATGCGTTGAATCTGCAATTTGCCACGAACAACACTTCTTCCGACGACACCACCTTCGCTCCAAGGTTGCGCAGATGTACCAAAATCCTGAATCTCCTCAGAGCAAAGATCAGGGTTGGTTATGTCACTGGCTTGCCATTATCGCGCTTGGCGAATTATACAACAGCAGTGGTCAAGCAGGTCGTAGTGACCCACTTGAGTCCCGCAACTCCAGATCCCAGAGAGGCACCGAACCACCGGGATCAGACTATTATCAGCAGTCCGTTGCCTTTTTGCAACAGGTGGCCGAGAGCCCTGATGTACAATACATCTCCACCCTCAGCATGCTTGCTATCTACGCGTTCTCTATGGACAGGGTAAATACCGCCTACATGTACAGCGGACTAGCTCTGCGCGCTGCACTATCTCTCAACTTACATCGAAGCTCACTCGACTTCCCATCGGAAAGAACCAATCTTTCAGCTGCGGAACTTGAACATCGAAAACGATTATTCTGGACAGTCTACTATCAGGACCTGTATGTTGACTCCCCACAGTCCCTCTGCTCGTGGAAACGCTGATTTTCTCCCATTAGATTAACCACTTCCACCGCCGGGCGCCCGTGGGGAATTTTGGACGACGAGATTACCTTAGACTACGCGGATTCCAGTCGACTGTCAGGCGACGCCATGCTGGATTTCTTTGATTCAGAAGAACTTAATGCGCATCTGGAACTCATGCGCTTGCGAGGTCAGGCGCTTTCTTCATTGTACGGTTATGCCGGGACCGCAATCAATCCGCATTCACATATCTCTTTATTTGACTTCGATTTGGGTAACTCTTTGCCTCAACAGCATTTGGATAAGATGTTTGAATTTCACCAAGCGTTTATTGCATGGCAAGAGAGCCTTCCAACAAAGTTGAAGCTTGTCCAAGTCGCGGACGGAACCATGCTTAACCTGAGCCGCGTCAATGCAAGCCTCTACCTAATTTATCACCAGGTGAGACCAATCCAGATTGGAGGCCTGGGGCATGATCATTTACATCACACAGGCAATTCTGACATTACTTCGACCTGCCTTGGTCAATCTTCACAACGAATGGTACGCGTCGCAAACAGAGTCGCCTTCACAGGTGATTCATGCTCATCTGCAGGCTTGGGAATCGAGATCAATGCTCTCAATCTTCCATAATGCATGCCTGGAATCCGCATGCGAGATCTCCAACATTCTGCAGTGGCTACAATATCAAGGAGCACTCTGTAGGTCTCTATGTGTCCTTCTGGCGTGACAGCTACTGACCATACTCCGTTGCAGCAATGCATTCCTATTTTGATGCTAGCTACGCCTTCACTGCGGCCGTTGTGTTGTACATTGCCAGAAACATGCGATCATCTACAAATCCTGAATCGCGTCAGCTGCCATTTTCTGAGGAGCATCAGTCTGCCCTAGACACGACGGTTCGAATCCTCGGTCAGCAGAGCTCGGTTGGTAATGTCCCAGCAAGAGAGTTCGAGAGGCAGCTACGGGTACTCGAAAACAACTTGCAGGCCTTGAAGACAGGGCTGGACAATCACATTGGCTTGGACGATCTTGATTTCGACTACGTCGATGGAAATCTTACCCCTTTCCCACCAAGCACACATGCAGCCACGTTTTCAGGACCATAGGGACGGTACTGCACAAACCCCACTAGGACTGTCGACCTGGGACAATTTCGACGATCTTCACGTTATCTCACTTTGAAATGGGTTCAGAGGAGGTATCTTCATCCCACGGTCATCGATTTATGCCACTGATCACAATCTTGCCCTTGGCTCTCCCGGTCTTGAGCTTCTCGAATGCCTGCGGCGCCTGCTCGAAATCAAACACAGAGTCCAGCGTGACCTTCAGCTTGCCCTCGCCAATCCACCCGGCGACCTTCTTCTGGTCCTCCTCCTTGACCGAGCCGAGAGCCACCATCTTGAACTTCCTCGGCGTGCCGCCCAAGAATGTGGGCCATATCAGACTGGCAAGCAAGCTCATGTTCGCTTTCATATTGCTCGGATCGCCCGCAATCAAGACGAACACGCCATTCTTCTTGAGGAATTTGACCGACTGGCTGTGAAGGTCCAGTGGGTGGCCGACGTAATCGAGCACGGCATCGTACTTGAGCCCGTCCCTGGCCAGCGTCGTGACCAGGTCCTGCGTCTTGTAGTCCACCACCTCGTCGGCACCCAGGCTCTTGACCAGATCCGCGTTGGCACTCGAACAAGAAGCGACAACGCGACGACAGCCCAGCAACTTTGCGATCTGGATCCCGAACGTGCCGACACCGCCCGACCCGCCGTTGATGAAGACCGTGTCACCCTGCTTGACGTACGACGAGATCGTGGCGAAAGCAGTAAAGGCCGCGATGTAGATCCCGGCTCCCTGCTCCGGCGTCAGGCCTTTGGGCAGGGGCACGATGCTCGATTTGGGCACAGGTGCATACTGCGCCAGGACGCCGTGCTGCCCGGGGAACTTGGCCATGCCGAACACGAGCTCGTCGCCGCTGCCGGAGCCAGTGACTCGGCGGCCGCAGAAGTCGACGCACGGAACCGCCGGTCTTCTGACGGCCAGGGCGCCGAGGTATGGGATTTCGGGGATCTTGTAGTCTGCCGGGTTGAGACCTGCGCTGAGAACCTCTACGAGCACTTCATTTTTGCCGACTGGCGGCAAGGGAACGTCGGTCTCGAGCTTCAGGTTCTTCTCCATTCCGCCCACCACGGACGTATACCGCCATGCCTTCATCGCTGTTGGCGGACTCATTGCTGCCTGCATCTGTGTGTGTGTGTGTGTGTGTGTGTGTGTGTGTGTGTGTGTGTGTGGTGGGAAGTGGGACTCGTCCAGACCTCTCTGTGAACGGTCGGTCCCCGCTATGCATTAGGACGTCACCATTCGATGGGAACTCCAGAGTTTATAAGGGTCTCGCGACCCCCCTGGTCAGGTATCTGGGCATCGGCAATAGTTGCTGCCCCATCGACAACATGTTAAAGCAGGTGCCACCAGGTGCTCTACTACCTATGGTATCATGGGTAAATCGTGTAATGAAACCCGCTTCACCGGGGTGCGAAACAGCTGCCGGTTGAATCGTGGAAGCAGCGGTTGGGCCTCGCATTGAATAGTGGCCCCTCCATCCACATACATTGTCCGGGACTTTGGCCTTGATCAGGGGATGTTCCTACCATACCAATTGTCCTCGCTGCTGTTTGTCGTCGAATGGCACCTTGGCGCTAAACTACACGATTTACCCATGAGACAGTACTAGTAGTACTTGAAATGGGGATACTGAGAGTACCTGTCCAGCGCAGGATGCTGCATATCGCAGACAGTCACTGCTGCTTTCCACCAACCCGCCAGCCGACCTTCATCAACGTCTCACACTGATGCTCACAACTATTTCTCACCAGGTCTGCGTCAAGCACGACCTCACCTTTAGGATAAACCACTATGACAGAGCTACCACCATACTGGAAGGCGCCTTGACATTCACCTCTCTTCATTCCCTGGCCAGGCTCCTCCATCCCTGAATTCCATTTGATGCTTCCGACCAGCATGGCACCTACCGCGACGACAGCAACCTTGTTCCCAGTAGCGGTCCGGTTCATAACCATGACATCCCTCCTGTTTTCAGCAAAAACGTCCAGAGTGGTAGGCTCATTGATGGCTTGTGGATTTACTGTGTAGTAAGTGCCAGGAATCTTCTTGACGCTGTCGACCGTCCCCGTCACAGGTGAATGCCAGCGATGATAGTCCTGCGGTGCAAGTCGTGCGATCACAAGGCTGCCGTCATCAAAGTATTTCGCAAGTTCAGCATCATCGAAAAGCCTCTCGAGGGTGAAGCCAAAGCCTTTGATCCAGTACTTGGTTGCTAGGTCGATTGTTGGGAAAGCGGTCAAACGACAGTCTGCAGGAGATGACGTGACGTGCTCGTTGTCAGGCTCGTGGATAGGCCTGGCTTCGGGACGGATTTCGCGCGAGAAGAATTCATTGAAGTTGGCATAATCCTCTGGGTTCGGCTTGACCATTTCATGCATGGTATCCCACAGCTCAAAGCTGTCGAGAAACGGCTTGATGTGGTCTTTCGATTCGGGCGAGTCGTAGGATCGGCCCATTTTGACACTTTGCTGCTCGAGGAGCTCCTGGACTCTTTTCACATGGAGGAGTTCTGCCTGTTTCGACCCATAGTACAGAAAATGCTGCGACTGTGTCAGCTGCAAGCGAAGAAATGGGCATTCCCTCACTCCTGACGTACCATGCCTAAACGGACATATACACTGTCAAAAATTAGTTGTTGTCGTCCTGCTCGTGGAGTTCTGTATGCTCACCTCATCTGCTCGAACGACTTCTCGCCTGTCTTTCTGTCAATGACGTAGTTTCCCATTTGGTAACGCGATTCGTAATCGTTGAGAACTGAGTCTGGAATCCATCTTTGGATCCAGGCGTGAGATTTGTGATCAGCTGCACCTGCATGGATGTGTTCCAATGGCGGCACAGAGTGGTCCTGTGCCGCCGAGGTCAAGGAGTCCAGCGCTGTTGCCGACGCATGGATTTGGGATTCGTGAGTGGCGGAGTTTGCCATGTTAATATCGTAGTATCTTCAAGTCCTCAAACTCTGAGGGCGTCACTTAGAAGGCATATAAAATCACCAAGAGAAAGAGGGTCTGCTCAGTTGAAAAGCAATAACTAGGCCTCTCTTCGTTCGGTGCGGCTTTCGATAGAAGGAATATGAGAATGCAATCAAATCAGCATAGAAGCTGGCAATTGATTCATACTGTAGATTTGCAGGAATTTCGGAATGCGTCATAAACCACCAAAATCTTGGATAGAACGCTCGCTGACGTTGGCGATCGGACCCTCCGTCGGTCACTACGATTCTTGAAACCAGACAGGCCACTTCGAGATCTATTGCTTGTTCACAGCTCCTAGTGGCAGTCAATGGCCGTTTGGAGAAGTATGAGAAGGAACGCTGGTGACCAAGGGAAGGATGAAGTGATACGAGCACTACGAGGTACCATTCTGCAGGGAAAATAAGGTGGGCAGATAAGGTATGTGCCAAGAAGTTTAGGCGCTGCTTGGCCATGGAGCCTAACTTCTAGGGGCGCCGTTGGGGCTCTTGAGGCCATTAGGCTTACTAACCTTAGGCGCTTACAGCCTATTTGAATGACCTTAACTAGCCCTAAAGTTCGAGTCGTCTGCCCGTATCAGTCAAATGCCACCAGGCTCGGTGCCACCTCCTCTCCAGCAAGGATCTGGTATAGACTCAAGTCAGAGATCTTAACTCCCTCACATTTTGTCCACATTCGGCGTGCATCCTCGTCTCAGCCACTAACCGTAACTATGTACCTATTTTCTCATCCCACTCGGCATCATTTTTCAAGCCGTCGAAATCTGATGCCCAGATACCCACTTGGGACGGAGGCATGATCAACTCTTGGACCTATCGTATCTCTCTATCGCTATCAGGGGCCATATCAAACATGCAGTGCCCGCGGCCATGACAACACCGCCAAAGATCTGGCCATGAACAAAGTTTCCCGAAGCGACATCAACAAGAACCCCTGCAATAGGAGGGCCGATGACCGTGCCGACAGATGCCGCAGACCAGCTCATACCCAGCCGAGTTCCAACGACGTCCAATGACGGAGACAGGAGAGGATGTGCCACGATTGATGTGGGCGCCGTGACGAGTACGCCGGCGACAAATCCCCACAGCACACACCAGACGACAAAAGCAGCCCGGCTGTCAATGGCGATCCAGGCGAAGATGAGGACGGCCCCAAGCAAGCAGGAGAAGATAAGCGTGTAAATCGGTTTGACCTTTCGCCCTAGGATGTAGGGTACGATCCGCCCCAGAGTCGAGCTGCCATTGAGGATTGACAACATGTAGAAGGCGAAATTCTCGCTACTGCCCAACCCATATCGAGCATATGACACGATGAAGAACAATGGAACGTAGTATGCCAGGTAGACCAAGAATAAAGCCAAGGTCCACTGCACGAAGATCGGAGATCGAAAAGCCGAAATATCAATCAACGATCGCGCCTTCCGCGTTTGACCTGGATGCTGGCCGAGGATGACGCAGGCAACAACGGCGAATGCCAGATTGATGAAAGCCAGCGATCGGACTGTCCAGCCGAAACCTATTTGCGGCTGCAATTGTCGGAACATGATGGGAAAGACAACGCCGCCGACGCTGGAACCGACAGCCCCTACTCCGATGGCAATTGGCCTCTTTGACGTGAAGTACTTGGACACGATTGCAAGAGCTGGGACGTAGGTCAGACCAGAGCCGAGACCGACACAGACCCCTTGCGCTAGGAATACTTGGTAGTAAGTATGTGCAAGGCTGGTCATGAACATGCCGAAAACCGTCAAAAAGGATCCAACAAATGCCATCGGCCGGAGCCATCCCATGTCAAACAAGGGCCCGGCGAAGACGCCCACAAAAACGACGAGAAAAGCCTGGACGCTGCCAATCCAGGAGATGGCCGATGCCGACTGGTTCGAAAGAAGAGTGTGGAGGTAGAATGCTTGAAATGCACCGAATGTGCTTGTGGTACCCCTGGGTTCAGTCAGCGACCGCCGTCGAAGCAGCTCAAGGTGTGCGCTAGTACTTACCAGGTGTTCGCAAAAATAAGAAACAAGGCTAGAACCAGCAGCCATGCCTCGAGTCCGCCATTGGGCGGAGTGAAAACCTGTTCAGAATCCGGTCGTGGTCCTTGTTCAGGTTCGATCTTGCCCTGCTGGATGGCGACCGAGGTGTCTTCATTGTGGGTGTCGACTGGGTCGTTGACATTGTTCATGTCGTCCTTCGGCATCTTGAGGCCGAGCAGTTCGATCGAGGGCTCGATGACGGTTCAGTGTCTTTGCCGCTCAAACTGCCATCTTCATGCACTAAACATCCTCTTCGTACAACGTCCTGGGCCACAGTCACCGCGCGGAAGATCTTGAATTCCCGGACGTGAAGCTCTCAGTCGATCCCGTAAACAGCGAATACCGGAATTCGAGATCTATAATGCGAGGCCTTGAGGTGAATAACCTGGAGAAAATCAGAAAACTCTGGTGAATGCGGAGGTCCAAGCCTGAGGCTCGAGCCATCGACCCTTTCCGCGCCTTTCGTCAATATCTGCCGTGGTGATCTTCGTACATGATGTACGCCATTACCTAAGTTTTCGGACATCCACGATGCTCGCGTCCAGTCAGACTGCGAGGAGGAAGGAAGCGAACAAATGCAATAAAGGCGACAGAATATTGCGTGCTTAGAGTCAGGTCAGGTCAGCTCTGATATCAGCCGAAAGGCCATGCCCTACCTGTCAAGAGACTTCTCTGCTGGGAATGCCGCTTACTCGAAGCAAGCTCCTTATGGTTCGGATGCAAGCAGCAGGTCAATCTCTTCAGTGCCGCAGTAGGCGACCTCTGGCACGACTCCTCCCGTTACTCGAGCCTCATAAGACCTGGCGACTGCAGATTTTACAAGCACCTGGAGACGGCCTGCGATCTGGTGCCATCCATGAATTTTACGAGTTGTCGCGTTGGCTGGGTGCGACTGTTCGTGGATACGGGAGGTTTTTGACCAGCTTCGGGAGGGTCTACACAGTATATTGGGGACCAGCAAGCCTGATATGCAGTGGTCCTAGAGCAATCCGCCATCGTCTTCAAGCTGACAGGTCTACCGCTGGTGGCACCTAGGTGGGTGGTAGTGGTAAGCCATGGCTCAGTCATCTCTCCGAGTACTTGTCTACTATCCACTATGGGCACCTACGTTGATAAACTCCGCCGCCATATCAGTACTTTCCATGATTGGTCCAGCAGATTCTCAAGATCACGGTGCGCGGAGACGCCTCATCTCAGTGCCGCAGACTCTGCAGCTGGTGTACAGAGTACAGTACCTCGGCCATGCTCGGCTAAAACACTTATGAAGGCTTGAGATGCTCACCAGCAGCCACCAGTCCCCTCATTGCTCATCCGTGCTCGTCAGGCCTCCCCCCGCATTGTGGAGAGAAAGAGCTAGCAGGGATGCACCGTCACATCTCCCACATCTCCCACCTCTATCACCTGCACGAAGATACGACGGACTCGGATACTGCAGCCCATACTCAAGGAGCCTGGTGGACTGATCGCACTTATCAGTCTCTGGCCGACGAAGATCCTCGGCAGCATCCCAGAAGAAGTCGGGCCTTGCGAAGTGCGCTGACAAAGCCAAGAACGCAGCAGCCTTGCTCATCCTCTCATGCGGGTTAGTGGGGAGATTAAGTACCGTTATGTATCATCCTCAAAGTCCTGGTATCACCCTCACTCAGTTATCTGTGTTCTTTGCTGCCTGGTACCTTTCGTTTTGCATTCCACGTGTGGTCGTTTTGAGATCCCCGATTCGTGCGTGCCCTCTCCGGAAACATGCCAGACACCACGCCATCCACCGGCGCCACTGTCCATTATGATGTCCTAATCGTGGGTGCGGGCTTCAGTGGTGTATCCATGCTATATCGCTTACGCAAGCTGGGACTCAACACCAAGATCTTCGAGTCCGGAAATGACTTTGGAGGCGTCTGGTACTGGAACCGGTACCCAGGGGCCAGAGTCGACTCGGAATGGCCCTACTACCAACTGAACATACCGGAGGTTTACCGCGACTGGAAATTCGCCGAAAGATTCCCCGGCCACGAAGAAATCCGGTCCTACTTTGCACATGTTGATAAGGTTCTCAATCTGCGAAAGGACGTCCAGTTTAATGCACACGTAACTGATGCTCAATGGCATGATGGAGCATGGACGGTCAAGACGGACCAAGGTCATGTTGCCCAAGCCAAGTATCTCATCCTCTGCTCAGGGCTCTTACATCGACGACATGTCCCCGACTTCCCCGGCTTGAGCAGCTTCCGGGGGGAATTCCACCATACGGGCTTCTACCCCGAAGATCTCAGTGTCCAGGGCAAAAAGGTGGCCCTCGTCGGTGCCGGCGCTACCGCGGTCCAGGTCACTCAGGAGCTGGCCAAGGAAGCCGATCAACTAACGATCTTCATGCGTCGGCCGAGTCTCTGTCTGCCCATGGGTCAGCGACCGATCGGCGAGCAAGAACAAAGGGGATGGAAGACCTATTTTGCCGCCTTGTTCAACGAGGGTCGGAAGTCTAAGACTGGGTACCCAGGAACGGGCCAAGAATGTGGCGTCTTCGACGTGTCGGACGAGGAAAGAGAAAGGTTCTTCGAAGATCTCTGGTCCCGCGGGGGATTCAACTACATGCTGTCCAACTACAACGACTTTTTACTTGACAAAACCTCGAATCAAAAAGTCTACGAATTCTGGGCAAAGAAGATCAGACAGAGAATTAAAGACCCCAGGAAACGAGACTTGATGGCTCCGATCGAAGCTCCATACCACATTGGAACCAAACGCACACCTTTGGAACAGGATTACTACGAGTGCGTGGATCGCGACAATGTCGACGTCATCAACATGAACGACGAACCCCTCAAGACGTTCAACGCCCAGGGTATGCTGTTGGAGAATGGCAAACAGCTGGATTTTGACGTGGTCGTTTTGGCCACTGGCTTTGATTCGTTCTCCGGATCGTAAGTACTAGCAGCACGCTCACTCACTCACTCACCCACTCACCGGACTACTACCTCCCCAAACACATGAGCTCAAAGCTGACGGACTTGTTGCAAAGATTGACGCAAATGGGCCTCAAGAGCAAGGATGGACTTGACATCAAAGACGTCTGGAAAGACGGGATTCGAAAGTACCTGGGCATGACGATCAACGGCTTCCCCAACTGCTTCATGGTCTACACACCGCACGGTAAGACTCCCCACGTCCCATTGCGTTATGTTTAGTAGATCCTGTCTCTGTCCTAACGTCAACCTCTTGTAGCGCCCACCGCACTCTCCAACGGCCCAACCATCATCGAGATGCAATGCGACTTTGTCGCGTCGGCGATTGAGAAACTCGAGAAAGCAGGTGCAAAGTCCGTCGAACCAACCAGGGAGGCCGAGGATGGCTGGGACCACATGATCGAGGAGATGAACAAGCACACGCTTTTCCCATTGACCAACAGCTGGTGGACCGGTGCCAACATCCCCGGGAAGAGAGTCCAGCTTCTGACGCACGTCGGGGGCATCAATATGTACGAAGGACAGTGCAGGGAGACTCTGCAGGATTGGAAAGGCTTCAACGTCGTGTACTAAAAGTACTAGTAGCCGGTGGTGCGCCTGGATCGAAGTCACGCATTAGCGATTGATTGCTATGCAGGTAAGGTCGGCTACTCGTACGGGGGGAGCATAACTCTGGCACGTTCTGGCCTGGGTAACGTTAATGCGTCCATCCAACGTCAGAGCTGAGTCACACGGTAACTACCTAACTATGTACTTCAATGTAGAACCGATCACTGAAGAGATCTATCCTAGCTTAGGCCTGCCATTGTCGATGATGATGAAACTAAGTCAGCCTCCTCCGGTAGGGCGCCCTGCCCGTCTGCTACGAGTATTGTATGTTTCGGATATGCGTGGATATGCAGATCTCACCATACCACCTGGGTGCATACTATGCAAGGCTTTCGGAACTTAAGGTACTTCTACTACTCGTACGTATTCTGGCAGAACGCCCCGTCAGTTCCACAGGATGTAAGACTCGACAGACAAAACCCTCGTCCTCCTCACAGCACTCATTGAAGCTCTGCCTGTCAAGCCCGCACCACCCAAAAACCTACTTCCACATTGATACAAGTCCTACTTAGTCACTCCCCTACTAGTCCTACTTACAGTGCCTCGACACACTCAGACATGGCCAGTCCAGACGACCAGAAGCTCGCCGATCTCGTCAACAACCTCGCAAGCCTGATTGTTACATAGTAAGCATCCCTCCGGACACCACCGACCTCTGACCAACCCAACGCCAGCAGATCCTCCACATCAACCGGTCCATCTCAAAACACGTCCAAAACCCCGACGACCACATCCTGGCCACAGCCTTCTCAATCAACCTCTTCATCCCTGTCCGCACATGCACCGAACTAGGCGTCTTCACGCTGCTCTCTTCCGCGTCACCAAACCCGCTCACATCTGCGGCCATCGTGGAGGCGGTCCACGCCGAGGAATTGCTGATCGTGCGGTTCATGCGCGCCGTCTGCGCTCTGGATTTCGCCGACGAAGCCACTGGCAGCCCGGGCCACGTATATCGCTAACGAAGTCACGAGTCACCCACGCCATGGCGAACCCCGGCCTCGCCGCGTTCGTAGGGTTGTTGTTCGACAACGCCGCGCGACCCAAGAGCAATCTGTACGCGCACCTCGAAGATTTCCGCCAGTACGGGTTCAAAAGCCCGTCGGACGCAAGGAACGGACCGTACCAGCATGCCAACCACTATGTGGGCAGCACGACGTTCGGCCACTGGGAGACGATCCCAGGCGAGAGCGCACGGTTCAGCACGGCCATGAAGAACTACCGAGGTAGTCGGCCCAGCTGGTACGACTGGATGGACATGATGAGTGTCTTTGGCCACGCAGTACTAGTAGTGCGAATGCCGATGGCGATGACGATGAGAACGACGACAGTGATGTCCTCCTAGTCGAGGTCGCAGGTAGATTCGGGCATGATCTCGCGGGGTTTGTGCAGAGTCGACACGGTGACAAGCTCCGAGGCCGAATCATCCTGCAAGATCTGCCCGTCGTGATCGACGACCCTGTCACGAATGCTCTTCCGGCCAGGATCGAGAAGCAGAAGCACGACTTCTTCGTGCCGCAGCCGGTGAAAGGGGCCAAGTGCTATTTCATGCACATCATCCAGCATGACTGGCCGGACGAAGATTGCGTCAAGATCTTGAGCCACCTGAGAGACGTGATGACACCTGGGTACTCACAACTTCTTGTGAACGATGCGATTCTGCCGGAGACGGATTGTCCGTTGATGTAAGTTCTCCCCTTGCATGTCCCCAAAGAGAAGGGCCGCGGTGGCGGGTAGGTGAACGCCGAGAGAACAAATCTGACAAGATCCCCAGTGCGATGGCGTACGATATCACGATGATGGCTCATCACTGCGGGATCGAGAGAAGTGAGCTCATGTGGAGGAAGCTGGTTGACCAGGTCCTTGGGCTGGAGATCGTCAAGCTCTGGTATCCACCTGAAGGTGAAGGCCTCATTCAGATTGTGAGGACGGGGAAAGGGCCAGTGAACTAGTGTCTTTTTCCTTGAATGGAGTGTTTGATGGCCTGTTGCTGCAACATATCTTGGATTTTGGACTTGCACAGTACTAGTACTTCGATTGTAGAACACTTCAATCCGTTACCACCTTCACTGGCCCATCCGACGAGCCGGTGGCCGCTGTGGCTACTACCTTCCCGTCCTTGGACAAGAACGGAAGAATGCTCTTTATAGCCTCGTGTTTCTTGCTCGTCAAAGTAGCAGGTCCCCGTGGACCGGGATCATTGAGTAACGACACTTCTCGCCAGTTTCCAATATCGCAGACCTCCAGTATCGTCCCGGACTTGTACTTTCGATCCGTCAGCAGAGCAAACATGGCCTTGGCGATCTCCTCGGGAGGGAGGAGGAAATCTTTCTCCATGTCGAGAAACTTGCTGGCTTCCGGGTGGTCGGTGAAGAGTGGTGACCCGACAGTACTGTGCATCGACCGTTAGCAACTGCTGAAGCAGATCTCTTTGCCCCCGCTACTACTAGTAAGAGGCTATGGGAAGCTCACCCCGGCGCAACACCCGCAACCCTGATTCCAGCCAACTCCTCCAGCGGCGCCATGCCCCTGACGAAACTACTAATTCCATGCTTTGATGCAGTGTACAATGGCGTGACGATACTCGACCTCTGGGCCGCAATGCTCGACGTGTGAATGATTGCCCCGCCCTTGCCGGCCTCGACCATGTGCCGTATCGCCAGTCTGGAAGCCTTGATCGGATGTACGAGATTGACATCGAGGACCTTGTAGTGCGAGTCTCTGTCGACGTCGTCCCAGAAAGTGTTCGAGCTCGGCTCGTAGATGCCCGCACCAGGCACCACGATATCCGGAACAGCCCCGAATTTCTCCTGGCACACGTTGAACATGCGTTCCAGTTGACTCCAATCCGTCACGTCGGTCTGCTGGAACGCGATGGCGTCTGACTTAGGCCCCAGTGCCTCCAGCCACTTCTTCGCATCCGCATGAAGGCCGAGATCTGCTATGAGGACTTTGCAGCCGGCATTGTGCAGTAATTTGACGAAGGCGAGGTTGATACCTGATCCGCCTCCAGTGACCACGGCGACCTTGTCCGCTAGATGCTCCATTGGGGCTTGTGCCTGTAGTAGTCTTCAGTTGGTGCCGTGGAATCTGTCGTTCGGCAGTTCCACTCGCTTGCTCTATGCTTCATAAAGTCCAAGGGCAGGGGACTCGCCTCTGGAAAAGGTCCTTAATACGACTCCCATCATAGTACTAGAACGTGCGGGGATCAAAATCTTGGCCTGGTGAAGGCGCAATTGGTACTGTCTTGCTGTCGTTGACGTGAGGAGATGAGCTCGGTATGCTTCGGGCCATATGGGAAAACGTGGGGAAACCGGCACGTCGGTTGCAGGTCGTTTCTTCGAACTAGTCGCGACATTACGACGACCACCTATCACTAGAAGCATCCGAATCTCAAGTCCTTCATATCTGCAATCGACCAAACCTCTGTTCCAGGTCTGTCGCTGCTTGTACTCCCTCTGCAGGGCGATGATTCTGTCCGCCGACAGGGGCATTACACTGTGGACACCGGGTTGCTTCCATGGGCATCCCACACTCTCCAACCGTGAAAGGATGACCGTTCGCACAAGTGTACCAATGACCCGTGCCTCTGAACTCGGTGGCCATTGCTGCCATCACATGTCTCCATTCATCGTCTCTGACGACCGATGTGAACGATGAATCCTTCAGCATAGACTCGACGGCTTTGACGTCCCCAGCCACGCGGCCCGTCTGACCAGGATACTCGCGGGTCAATTCATCTGCTGCAGCAATGCATTTGCCGGCCTCTGACTTCAGACGGCCTGCTTCTTCATGCTCAATACTGAATCTCATTTCAGCAAGGCAGAACTGCGCATGGAAGACATGGGCCTCGACCTCGATAGCTGGCTGGTGTGCTTGCCTGGCGGCCTCTTCGAGAGTGATACAGTCAGCTCGGTTCGCCTTGAGGTCCAAGTTTCCCATATTCGGACCCAGCAGCTCCAGGAAATCGGACAAAATGGCGAGGTCACACCTCAAGAGAAGTGCTGTAGCCTGCAGAGTTTGGCTTGTCTGCAATACCGTAGGCTGATACTGCATATGACCGTCCGTCTTCTGGCGCTTTCGTGCGTGTTGGACCATGTCCCAAACCCGTTTGAAGGGTTGTTCCTGGATGTCAACCAATCTGAGGTACTTCCGGATATTGTGACGAATACGCATTGCTTGGGAATAACGGCCCTTGATCGGGGCTTTCGATATGACGTTCAGCTGTTGGTCACGGCCATCTGTCAATGCAAGTTTCCCAGCTTCTGTTGTCCTCATTTCTCTGCCAAATGCTTGCCTGGTGTTCATCAAGTCGGCATTCTGGCGATGAAATTTTTCGAATAGTTGCATGAACAATCGATTGGCCGAAACAATGAACTTCTTGGTGGCTTCGTCAATTGCTGCTCGTCGTACGATGCGGCCATAACGAGATAATTTTCTCAGGGAGCCTCGGCAAGTGCTGCAGACCTTTAGTTCGTTCACGGAAAATGGCTCGTTGTGCTCGAGGATGTCTACAATCTTCCCGTCCAGCCCGACGGTGTAGTATTTCGACATGGCCATGTGCCCATCCATGCTTGACGTGGTAATGATATGACCGCATGGAGGGATCAGGCAAGGATCCTCATCAAGATCGACCTCGACGAATGTTGCCATTTCAAGGAAATCGACCACCATGTCTTTGACATCCTGCGAAGCACAAACTTGACAGTATCTTGGGGGAGGGCATTCCTCGCCACACACGGTCGGACACTGATGTCCACACTCGAGCAATTTCGCGCAACGTCTTGAGCAGGGAAGCCAGTCACAGGGCGCTGCACAAGGCAGTGTGCAACTGCCATGCGGGCAGCTAGAAGCACAGTTATCCTCAGCACAGGGTGCACAAGGGTCGCAACATTGCCTGCTGCACGTCGAGTGGCTGCATGAGACTTCGCATGCCTTTCGGCAGGGTGGACAATTGCCGCCTCCATGGCAAGCAGCCTCGCATTGATGTTTGCAGGTAGTATAATTTCTGCCACAGATCTGGGGGCAGATGCCGTGCTCTTCCAGGACCACGTTGCCATCTCCTTTGGTCCTGCAGGAATTGCAAGGCTTCTGGCACACGTGCCCACATGGAAGATATGCCCCACAACGCACATGGCACTTGAAGCCCTCTGAGCTGACATCGACACAGCATTCAACTCGAATCTTGTGGTTGCAACCAGGGACAAGCTTCTCAGCCAGATCTCGACAGATTATAACCGAAGGATCCTGCGCTTGCCAACAAGGCAGACTGTGGCGCAAATGTCCGCATTGAAGGGTAATTGCAAGTTCATTTACACTCTCCAAGCATCTAGGCGGACATGGGTCACCACATCTGTTGGGGCAAGAGTGCTCACACCCTCTCAAGGATCGTGGACAATCTTCCAGGCACTTGACGGCGCTGTGTAACATCTCGGAATGGCATTTACTGAGACAAGAGTGACCACATGAAAGCCTCCATTGGCATGGCAGATTGCAACCGCCCTCAGGAGAGAAAATGTGGAAGTCATCGGGTTTCGAGACGTGAAACACATTCTCTGGGTGACGTGCACATTGGAGTTCAAGGGAAGGGCCGAAATTATCGCCTGATCGGAGCATTTGGATCACGGAAGACCACATTGGAACATGACCTGATGTACGGGAGTTGGCGAAGATGTACATGCCATGCTTCGCCCGAGAAAGCAAGACATTGATTCGGTTGAATGTCCGCAGAAACCCACATTTATTTTGATCGTTGCTTCTCACGAGGGAAATCACCACGACCTTGGCTTCTTCTCCTTGGAAGTTGTCAATCGTGGAAACTTTGAGAGCTTTCAGGAGGGATGTCTTCTGCAGCATGGGCGCCGGGCCTCGAATGGGAGTTTCCTCTTCATTGCCGATGGCTTGCTTCTCCAATTCCAGAGCGTCACCTTCGGACAATGAGATCTCAAAGGACGCCTGCAACACCCTCCGAATCTTTTGCAATTGTCCAAGATACGGCGTCAAGACCGCAATATCGTTGGCCTGGTATGTCCCCTGTCGCACAATGTGAGACACCATTGCGGTGACCATCTTGACTTCAAAAGCATTGGAGTGGGAGAAGGAGCTGGTAGCCTCGGTGACGGAGTCCTCTTGGTGCTCGTGATCCATCCAAAATAATCTCTTTTTCAGCCCAACAACCTCAGGATATCCCTGAACCGTAGGCGAGTCGGACAAATTCGGATACAGGGTGTTTCGGATGAGCTCGGAGATGGAAGGATGCATTCGCCGCTGAATTTCGAGGGAACTGAACGGTATCGTCGTGCGGGAAGAGCCTGCGGTCGAGACGAGTCTCTCGAAAAGCGAGACATCCAAAGAATATCGTTGGCCTGCTGGGTTCTCGCGGGAGAGTCCATAGCTCTGGATATGGGGAGGTAGTTGAAGGTGGTCCCCAATCAGGATCGCGTGCTCCAGAGTCGGGAGTAGTGCCGTGAGGATATGCGCTTCCAAGACCTCTCCAGCCTCCTCACAGACGAGTACTTTGACCTTGAGCTTTCTCAGGAGTGGCAACGATCTCGCAAGACCAGTGGTTGTGACGCCGATAATGTCAGCTTGTTGCAGGCAGCGAAGATCCACGCTTGCTCTCACCATCTCCCGATGCTGCTTGCTCCTACCGTACGCCGCGAGGGCATTGAACAACTGCTCATGAAGGACTTTTTCCATGGCTTCTTGCCAATAGCCATAGATCCGTTGTCTTTCACGATGGCTCATGTGATGGAGGGGGATGTCAATGAGCACTTCCTCTGGACGGAGTTGTTCTCCACGGGAACCGCCACGAAGCCAATTTCTCAACAAATTGCTCTCCGAGTATGAAACGGTTTGAAACCCTTCTTCATCCACAGAGTCACTGAAAAGAAAGTCATAGTGGTCTGGGTGGCAAACTTCAAGGTACTTCTTCAACGTCTCAACATTGCGGCCTTGTGAGATTGACTTGATGAGGGTTTGGACATCGTTCTCATCTCTGGACATGTCCTCCTTCGACAGCCAATTTTCCTGCTTCTCCGCTCTCGTGAGGTCCATAGCCTTGGCCAGTACACTCAGGTTACAATCTTTCAACAATTCGGACTTGGAGCGTGAACCCATACGGATGATTTTCTGACTGACATTCTGCCGCACAAGATCCTCGAGCAACTGGTCCAGAGCATGGTTTGTATAGCACACACATAGTATCGGGCCAAGTCGAGCGGCTTGATGATTCTTCAGGAGCACCTTAATCAAAGCCACTCCTGTGAAGCTCTTTCCAGTTCCGGGAGGACCCTGAATGAGCGCCATGGAGCGATTCAGCGAGGCGAGCAATGCGTGAGCCTGAGCTTTATCAAGCTCTGAGTTGGTCCGAAAGGCATCGTAGTTAGCCTCGTCGCCTGCAGTAAGGTGCATCTGTTGACCGCCTTTCATGATGCAACCCACATCAAAACGGAAATCGGGCTTAGTAGCGTAGTCGGGAGGCGCAACAGCTGAGAGATCGGTGTCCTCGTTGATTACCAGATACTCCGCAAAGGGCAAATCCTGTGATCGAAGCATAGACTGTAGGGCCTTTAGTGTCGGCTCGAAAGAAGGAAGCAAGACTCCTGGGAATTCAACAATCTCGTAGGTGGAAGGAGAGGCATTCTTGTACAATTTCAGAACTTCATCCACGTTTCTCCTGTTCGCGTCGACCAAGGAGACACTGACAAACCCGTGCTCAGCACTCGTGAACAAATCGAGCTTCCCAGGCTGCTGGCCGCCGTCCTGAACACCGGGACCAGCGGGCTCTGCAACCCCCGCCTTTCCAGCAGTGGCCGGGTTCCTCGGCTCAACCACTGAGCAAAATATCACTGAGCCACTGGTCGAGAGGAGACAGATCAGGGAGTCTGGCCGGAGGCGCTTCGATGATTCCCACCAATCCCTTCTTGCGTTGGCGGACAGTCTGCGCAGATGGGGTGGTTGCTCAAAGCGAATGGTGACAAGGAGGCCTTGCCACATGGAAAAAGACAGAGCCACAGCGAGAACATTTTCGTAGGTCAACTTTCTTGAACCTTCGGCATTTGCACCTCGCGAATGGCGGTAAGATGCGTCCAGCTCGTGACGGATAGCATCACGCAACTGGCCAACCGTATCTTCACGAAGCAGTCGAAAGTTTCGATCCAGCAGTCCAGCCACACCAGGAAGATGCCAGTCATGTTGATCAGCGGTTGGGAGATACTCGGAGCGCGACGCTCTGATTTCGTCGGAGGTCGGCATGATTTGAATGTTGCAAGCATCGGTATGATCATTGTCATGGCGCCTCCCTCCCTTGGACTGGTCACCCGGCAAATCCCGGTCCAGGGCAAATATAGCCCGCCCATGCGGCGCAGCCTTTGAAGGCTTTGGGGATGCCAGCTGTCGTCCAAGCCCTAGTCTGTGGTTGACCCGGTGCATGGTCTTCTGGACTTGACGTGCCTCACTGTCATTGATGCTCTGGACAAGGTCGAACAGTATGTGTGCAATTGGGGCGAGGTTTTCGTTCACCAAGGTATGAGTGTTGGAGTCAATGACATTTGAGAACGCAGACACAACTGACCCAACGTTCAACCCAGTAGCGTCATCATCTTCAGTGAGGTGCTGCTGAAGCATGGTGGCTGCACTGCCGAAGAATTTGACAGCACGCTGTCCTTGTTGCCCGTACAAGAAGTTGTTGATGGTGCCTATGGCAGTGTCTAGCAACGCGGATGCCAGGGCTTGTGGATGCGTAATTATCTTGAGTAGTGGCATGACCTGTTCATGAAAGTATTTTCGCCGTTGCTCCTGACCCAGGCTTTCGAGTGAGCGATCAGTGACTTGTTTGATGCGCTGGAGACCACCCTCTCTGGCGAGTAAAAGGACGGTCTCTTGCATAGTGGCCACATCTCCGTCAACGAAAGACAATGCTTCCAAGAAGAATCGTGCGGGTAGTGGTAAGGTTACTGAGCTGCTCCTGTCTTCGGCAATGAACGATCTCCAAACGCGGAATTTTGCTGAAGGATTGTTGTCTTGCTCGCGTGGATTTGGCATGTCTCTGGTCATATGATGCGTGTTGCCCGCTCCGCTAGAAGGGATCTCATGGGAGAATTTGCATCTACCGCCGTAGTGGCAGCCTTTTGCAGTTCTGAACCAATTGCAAGCCGCTAGAGGACGATTGGGACGGCCATGTGTTGGCGCCATTCTGAGCTTACAGTTAGTGCATTAACGCTTCACAAGGGCAGAAGCATACCTTCACACGTTGGACCGTTGCTCTGCAGTGGAACTCTGCAACACTGAATAGGAGTAGTAAGGAGTTGCGACGAAGAGCGAGAAGAGGATGAGACAGGTAGATGTTGAGCAACTGGCATGCAGTACGCACATGCTTGAGCTTAGCCATACTTGGTGTCTGATGATAGCCAAGTGCAGGACCAACAGCTGCGTTGGCTTGAGGCCAAACAAGGGCCCTTGCATGACTTCTAATGGGACAACACATGGCAATAAGCTCTTATCTGCAGGTGTCCATGTTCTCTTGCTCTCGTCCGTCAATTAGCAACTCCTGATGGAGAAGCAAATGTGTCTTGAGCACGAAGACATCTTGGCTGCTCTCGGTGATTCATCGAAGTGACAAGGAGTCCAGGCGCAAAGGACACAGACTAGCTAAATCGCCGTACGGCAAAATAGCGCGCCTCATGACCAGGGTAGGGGAGTTCGCCTCTGATTGGACTTCCACGCTGATGCATCCTGGCTAGCAGTGTTGGTCGTCGGCACATAATATCCAGCCAGGACTTGAACCTCTGAGGGAGAGGCCGTTGCCGTTGCGGATCTCGTATCGCTACTATGATAGTCATACCCCTGCCTCGCTGTGCATGGAACCGGTGAGCATTGAAGGCTGGGCCATTGGCTAATTGGAAATGGATCGTCCGATTTGCTTCTGGACTTGAATGGTACGTTTGCTGGCGGCTGGTCGTTGGAGCAAACATTTCAAGCTGAGGGAGAACAGTACAAGCTTCGGATTGCAAGAGGAAAGAGAGCATGACGCTGATATCGATGTTTTTCCGAGTTGTCTTGTTGAGTGCTGCAGGAGTGGTGATGTTGGGAGGCGAGTTATCAAGCAAGGCTGGTGAGGCCCTCTAGGCTTCTTTCTCTGTGCTGGGAGTCCCTAACTCACTTAAGTTAGAATGCCTAGAATGCCTAGAGCAGCCCCTAACTTGGTGTGGTAGGCCACACCAGCCTTGCCAGAACAACTAAGTTACTAGGTGGAAACCCTAATTAAAGCAGCATCAAGAAGGACTGCTGGCATCAATTTTATCTACGAGCAACCTAGCTTACAAGACGGCACATCCGTGGCACATATTTCTCTCTAGTCTTGTATCTCTGCCCTCGCCTCATCAATACTCGCCAATGTCTCCGCATGTAGCCGGACTTCACGCACCAGCAATGGACATGGTATGCACGATGTTGAGCTTCGAAGCCCAAAGGCGGAGGCACGATCAACTTAACAGCACGTCGATGTAATACGCTCAAGTGCCCAAGTGCTGCTTCATGACCCGCTGTACATCCTGCACCGTCGTGCTGGCATCCAACACCATCAGAATATGCTGATCGGGGCGGAGAAGGAGGCCTCCACCTTTTCTGCACCCTGCCGCCTCCAACCACTCTTCCCCTCCTGGCCGTACAAGCTCGAAATCACGTCCTGGTCGACATGTCTTGACCCCAGGTACCTCCAGGTCTCCTATCAGCGTAAACTTGTCGAAGTCGCACAAGTCCAGGGTGCTGTATTGACGAAGTTGAATATCCTCGGACGAAAATTCATCGACGTACGAGACGTCCACCGGTGCGAGCGTAGTTTGTGCCGGCCGTATCCACGCATGAGGCAGCCTCGCGCCCACTTTGAATTTCGGCACATACCTCGAAGCATTTGGTGGGATCGAATAGTCTCCATAGACATAACCAATGTGCAGTTCGAGCTGGAATGTGTGTCAGTAATCACCGGAAGAATATATGTGCGCGACGAAGGAGTAAGTACGTTGTCAAAATGCTCATGCTGGGCTTCAATGCCCTCGTCAATCACCTTCTTCTTCTCGGGGTTCCCAATAATTGCGTATAGGTTCCTCCTGGCTGCGACCGTGTCGTCGCCAATCCCTAATGTCTTCAGAAGTCCGAATATCTGCTTGCCGTTCTTGACACTCTGCATTGAGTTCACTACAGCAATATGGCGTCTCTCTGATTCGTACGTATCAAGTAGACTGTCGCCTGCCTGCCCCTTGAGGACAAATGCAATTTTGTATGCTAGGTTGTGCACATCCCCTAGTCCAGAGTTCAGGCCCAGGCCTCCGGTTGGTGGAAATGAGTGTGCCGCGTCTCCAGCCCTGCATGGTCAGTTGCTATCTGGACACACTTTTACGCCGGACTCACAAAAAGACATTCACCGCCCTGTATGACTTGGCGACTTTACGGCGCAGGAGCCAGGGTCGGTAGCTGAGGATGTCAAAGGGCACGTCAGTTCCTAATGCGCTCACTACAGTTTGCCGGCACAGTTCCTGATTCCAGCTCTCTATCGGACATTTAGTAGCCTAAGGTGGCTGGTTAGGCAGAATTGGAATAACCGTGATGGAGACTCACGTCGAAGTTGCTGATCAAGACTGCATTTCCTGATAAGTCATAGGCGATGATGAAACCGGAGGCCAAAGGATCGGCAATCCAATGGAGCATGCCAACTCGATCTCCTACGATCTTGCGCAAGTTTGCGTTAAAGTGGATGGTCATCATTGTTTCATCTGGAATGTAAGCATGGTGAACGTCCCATGACAGTGATGGCCTACAAGAATCTTCTCCGTCACTTTCAATTCCAAGTACATGACGCACTTTGCTCCTCGCCCCATCACACGCAATGAGATATCTGGAACGGATTTGGAATTGGTGACGAGTAGCACGCTCCTCGACAGTCGTGACAACTCCCTCAGAATCCTGATACTCAGCATCTGAACCTGACCTGGAACTGTACCGGCGCGTACCTGGGTTAATGACACAAATGAGACGCCCTTACGGATATCCACGTTTGGATCTTTTGCCAGCACGTCTGTCAAAAACTGTTCAAAAACAGGTTGAGGGATATTATGGATCATCTGCAGAATATCAGCTTCCGACTGAGACAGATGCGCTATACCTTTACATCGGGCGTGTCTTGCAGGACATCTACATCCATACGCTCGTAGGGGAGGACCCCAATGGTTTCACCACTTAGGTTGGTGACGAAATTCACCCAATAGGCATCAGATCTCTTAGTGCCTGAATGGCGGATCTTTTTGACGTCCAGGTGGAATTGACGACATATCTCCAATGACCTTGGTGACAGTGCATGAGCTTTTGGTGCGCCCAGTCGTTCTGGATATCTTTCGACGATCAAACATCTCACTATACGACATCAACACTCGTCAAGCAGACTTAGAGGACGACTAACCTCCGAGTTGAGATAAGAGATGAGCTTGGAAAAGTCCAGCAGGTCCTCCACCAATGATGACCACAGGCACATCTACACCAGTGGCACCGTGTACGTCGTGATCAACAGACTCGACTCGTCGAAATAGTCCGGCATCATTCTTCGAATCGAACATGGAGATACCCATCCTGAAGGGAGATTTGAGTGAGACTCCCCGGGCAGCCACACTTTGGTGGAATATGCAGGCGATATGCACCTTCTCAACCAACTGCTAACCCTGGGAAGCGAATGAAATAACTTTTGATGAACCTTTGCTACATGCGATGCAACATGGGTGGGAGAGCATCTCAAGTCTCAATAAGGGAGATCGTCAAAAGAGCGTGGCGGAGAACCTGGGCGGAGAAGGCCAAAATTTGGCGGAGAAGTTGGTGGGGAACGTTCCAGATGGCGGAGAAGCAGCAACCCTGGTGCTCTCGTCTGGCCGCCACCCGGCCGCTGCGACGGTCTCTGGCCTTAGATCCGCCGTTGTCTGCAATCTAATCATAGATTGAGGAGAGTTGCTCCAAGATTTTGTGCATATGAGTCGACACGCCCCATAGCTGACCAAGGTTCTTGAGGAACGTAGAAAAAAGACTAACATCATAGAGGATATTGTTCTGTCTCTGGGCGTTGCTGAAAGTGCCGTTGAGGTACTGTCGCGCCTGAGCATCTAGGTCGTCGGAGGTAGTATGGTCAGACATGTCGAGGTCCAGGAGCATCAAGCTTTCCCACGAGCAGTCTTCGGGGACGGCGATGGTTGAGATAGCGCCAAGCAGGAACCCGCAGTATATCATGCCGGCGGCAAAGACAGCCATTGGCACGTGAATCGTCTGGGCCTGGTTGAGTGGAAGTTCGTGTATCATGTGCCGAATAGTCGTTGCGTGAAGTAGCGCGAGACGGGCCTGTGGAGTTTGGACCCAGTATCGTAGGTCCAATGTAGGCGTCTTTCGTCCTCCGACCACTCGTTGTTCCACATTGTTTTGCCTGCATAGTGCCCGGCAGAACCAATTGAAGTCGGTGGCGGAGTCGATACCAATAGTATGCCATCTGAGAAGTATGACCTTCTTGGCAACCTCTGACATGGACAGGCTCTGCTCGATAAATGTGTGCAGCCTGCCGAGTCCCCTCGATATGTCCAATCTTGAAGGCACTCCTATAACATCCACACCCGCCTTACTCTGCTCTGCCACCAGGGACTTCAAACCTTCCAGGATAATACACGCCGTGAAAAGTGTCAAAGACGACCCGAGATGTCTCACATGGACATTTTGGGACATTACTGAATTGAACAGTTGTGCAAAGTTCGGCATTTTTTGACGTCCTGCAAGCATCTTCTCTTTCCAGGCGACGGCAGTCGGAGCTTCGAAAATCGAGTCACCGCATGGCATCGGTAATGAATGTGAAGTGTGTCGTTGACAGGTGGGACCGCCACTGTACGCCGAAATCTGACCATCAAGGATATAGTGTCCTAACAGCGCTCTCAATTTTGTCTCTTTGGCGGCCCAAACCTTCCATTTGTGCTCAAGAGACACCTGGCTATCAAAAGGATCGAAAGATGCTGTCTCCTCGACGTCTTCCAGATCGTACATGCCAGCCCAGCGTGCCCAGTAGAAACCAAGGCTATGAAAGACTTGCGCAGTAGTTCGAAGAGTGATATTCTTCATTGTCAGTGCAATCATAGATGCCACTATTGCGAGGTCACACTCACCTGGGACAAGGTGGCGTATGCTTGTCCAAGAAGCGCTGTCAGTACGAGCTGTATGCCATTGCAACTATCGTACGGACCCCGATGCTTGATTAGTGTATGCCACTGAGAAATGGTTTAGATCTTTATCGATAGACTGCCCATCATGCTCACCGAGGTTGCAACTGCCGTATGAGCGAGTCGCCACAAGATTTCGCCCTTGGAAAGTCAGCAGATTGATTTCTGACCTTGTGACAAATGTAACCTTCGTGATGTAATCGTTCTTGCCCATGAATAAAGAGCCCAGCGCAATTGCATTTAGCAGCAGTGGATGCGTCCAGTCTCTGAAAACGAAGGTTGGAGCGTGGACAATCGGGAAAGATGGGACGAACTGAGTAAAAAACATATGAAGACACCCATCGAGGAAGACACTCGTGAACCCAGTGGTCTGGGCTTCCAATGTGACGTCTGCGGACTTCTCTATCAGAGTCATGGTTTTCACAGGACTACTCGAGGCCATACCAAGGAATTGATCATCTGGCTCAGGTTCTGAACCGCATGATTCCCACCATGCAATTGACCCGGGCTTGTATCGGACGTAAGCCAGGGTGAGACAGGCGCTAGCTCTGAGCCACCTCGGACAATGGCATGGGATGGAAGGATTTCGACCGACGGGAGAGTGGTGAAGTCTGTGGAAAGGATAGAATTCAGCAGATCTGCGGAGTCTGGCCAATTGAGCGAGAATGTTTCATCGGTGTCGAGTAGCGTATCGTCTCGAACCTCTAGGACTGGTGCATATGCGGAGGAAGGAGGAGCGGTATGGATCATGGACTGTGGTATGGACGAAGCGCTGACTCCAGGAGCAGTGGCCGTCAGGGAGGCTTGTCGACTGTCGCGCGAACCACGGCGTTCGCGATGCTGATGACGCTTGAAATGGCGAGCGAGACTGTCAGGTCTTGTAAAACTCCTGTTGCACACATCGCAGGCATATGGTCGAGCACCTGTATCTGCATATTCTCAGCTGGTACGCCCCAGTTCTTTCGCCTGTGGTCCGTACGCGATCTCTCATGTCTCTAGAGGATGGCAAGTCAGCGTGGGATCCAAGCATCGTCAATATTAGGGAATCCATTCACAATCAAATGTTCCGCCTTGCCATAGCTCTTTTGGCAACGCGGACAGACATGTCTTTTGATACAAGGGCTAGAAGTCATTGATGGCACATTTTCCGTGGCATGGTGTATGATGGTGCTCTGGAAGCGGAGACAGAACGGAAAACCAGCTCCCGACTTTAACTACGGCCAAGCCTATAAGATCCGGTCCTTGGCTACTTTTCCAGCTTTGCTTGCCCCAAATTCAAGCCTAAGTATTTTACCTTACAGTTAAGCCTTCTCGCCCGTAAGTTCCTCATATTGCTGGCTGGTGAGGCTGCACCAGGCACATCAGGCTACTAACTACTCCGCTGTGCTACAGTAACTACGGTAGGTGACCCTTTCTTGCTCGTGTTCGCCGCTTCTCTTTATGTCATATTGACGATACATCTCACGCAGCTGCGAAGCCAGGATTGCCATCTCCTCTGCCGTGTCCTCTGACGCATGCTTCAGCAGACCGATCCCCATAAACTCGATCGATTTCTCCGCCGACTCTCCTGCAGAAGTGCCACCTCCTCTCCACCACCATCAACATCCAGGTGGCTTCTCCACCACTTCTCCTTCTCCGCCAGTTCTGCGTGATGTAGATGCCGGACAAGCGCCAACGGTCGTATTGCGCCCAGTATCTTCAGCATATCGGAAGAGTTGGATGATGGACAACATGCTGGAGGTTTCATAATCCTCTCTGTGGAATCCTTGACGCCGATCCTCCAGAAAGCGGATTCCTGTCCCACGCTTGGATGGCGATGCATCCATTCGCCTTCGTGCAACTGGAAAGAATAATGATGGCTCGCTTGAATGCCACCAAGTTACTCCACACGTCCCGAGATATGAGGTTCTATCCGAAAACGAAACCGAAACCGAATCGAAACGCTTTGTCAATGGCGTCAGGCCAACGTACACCAACATCTTTGCGGCATGGTCTACGAAGCCCGAAGCGAGCGCCTTCGGTTGAGTTGGCTTGCTCTACCTATTGAGATCCAGGATGCCCCTGCATCTCCGTCTCTTGTCTGCATAAATAGCACAAGACCTGCACAACCGCTCATTGTCTCCTTCGCATCGGCCCGCTTGGGTTTGGCCAGTTTCCCGAGGGATTACATCCATGCATCAATGCTTGACTGCTTCTCTTTCTCGTCAGTGTCCATCGTTACCCTGGAAATACCACGCACACTGGCCATGAGTTGACGTTCAGCACATATTGGGCATACGGACACCGCCCTATTGCGCGCTCAACATGGCCGACGGAGCCAAAAAGGTCGAGGAAGTTCCTGCAACCGACGACTTCGTTGTCGACTGGAACAGCGATGACGATCCAGCAAATCCCTTGAACTGGCCTTCTAAACGCAAGGGCATCAACATCGCTCTTTTGTCATGCCTGACATTCGTCACGTATGTTCTCTCCGATGACCTTGTCATGGCTACCAGCTGACTTTTCCGAGCCCCCTTGCTTCTTCGATGTTCGCGCCGGGCATCCCTCTGGTGATGGAGGACTTTCACAGCTCCAGCATATTCTATGCGACCTTCGCCGTCTCAATATACTTGGTGGGCTATTCTTTCGGGCCTTTGCTGTTCGCTCCACTATCTGAACTTTACGGCCGACTACCCATCTACCTCACTACGAATGTGCTCTTCATCATCTTCACAATTGCTTGTGCCGTTGCACCGTCGCTGGGCAGCTTGATTGGCTTTCGGTTCTTGGCAGGATCAGCTGGTGCGGCGCCCCTGGTGCTTGGTGGCGGCAGTGTGGCCGATTTGTACCCACGAGAAAAACGCGGTTCGAAGATGGCAATATTTTCTATCGGGCCATTGATTGGTCCTGTGGCGGGTACGGTCTCAACTCTCCGATGTGCGTTCAATAGACTTACCGTGGCCTAGGACCTGTCGCTGGCGCCTTTTTGGCAGAGGATGTTGGCTGGCGGTGGGTATTCTATGTCATTGCCATTGCAGTAAGAGCGCACAATCGAGCTCTGCTCCACTATTCACGGTTTTTCAGGGAGGTGTTGTTACGGTCGCATGCTTTTTGTTCATGAGGGAAACATATGCCCCGGTCATTCTTGAAAGAAAAGCTGCTTGTCTTCGAAAGTCTACCGGAAACCAGCAATATCGATCAAGAATGTCGACAGGAGACTCCCCACCCACAGCTATCGCAAAGGCATTCATCCGTCCGACCAAGATGTTTTTCATGTCACCCATTGTCTTCATCTTTGTGGTATGTCGATGCAGCAAGCTAGTGTCTTCAGGCTGACCAGAACAGGTGTACATATCCATCATCTATGGCTATCTCTACCTCCTTTTCACCACCATCACCGAAATCTACGAGAGTGTCTACCACTTCTCCACCGGATTAGCAGGTCTCTCATATCTCGGAATTGGTGTGGGGATGTTCATCGGATTGGGCCTGTTCGGTGCAACCAGCGACAAGCGGATTCAGAAGAAAAAAGCAAAAGGAGACGTGTCGCCGGAGATCAGATTGGAAGGGCTGATACCTGCCGCCATTTGTATCCCAATAGGCCTCTTCTGGTATGGATGGTCGGCGGAGAAACAAATTCACTGGGTTATGCCCATCATCGGAACAGGATGGGTGGGCCTCGGACTGCTTGGAATATTCGTAAGTTGAAACTATACATTCTCTGGCGCAAATCATGCTAACCATTGCCAAGCTCGCGGTTCAGACATACCTCGTTGACTGCTATCCCCTCTATGCCGCCTCGGTGACCGCTGCGAACACTGTGGTCAGGTCGCTGGTGGGAGCTTTCTTGCCGTTGGCGGGCCGTCCATTGTATTCAAACTTGGGCCTGGGATGGGGAAACTCGGTATTAGCATTTATCGCTCTCGCCATGGTCCCTTTGCCGTTCATCTTCATGCGATTTGGCGCTCGGCTCAGGACTCATCCTCGTTTCCAGGTCAATTTCTGATCGCTCAGACGATTCGACAATCAGTCGACGGATACAGCGCTATGCCGATGTACTGAAATCCCGAATATGGTCTTGACAGGTAGCGGAGACAGGCAGCGGTTAAGGGCCATCTACCAGTGAGTCTTCCTCGACGAAGACGGTGGTCACCAGGTTGACCTTTTGATCTGACAAACACAAGCACTCCTCACTTTACGCCCTACTACTCCTTCAGGAAGCCACCATCGTCACCGCCATGGATGTCTGAGAAAAGCTTTCCTCTTGGCCGAGCTTCGGCTTTCGGAAAGCCCAATCATCGATATCTCCAATGCTTAGTTGCGCAGATCATGCATGGTCACTGTTTGGCGTCAGACCAGACAGGGGTATGCATGGGTCAGGTGACATACAACACCCATCAACGCCCACAACGCCTTCATCGGCCTTTATGCCGGCGGACAACTCCCTGTCACCCCCTGCACAGTCGCACCATCTCCGCCATCTCGCTGTGATGATGACCCGGCGGCCGTTGTACCTTCTCATACGGACACGCATGTCTCTGCAGCTTGTCGTTCGCAGACTTTGCAACCTACGGGCTGCCCCAATGCATATGGCCCACCGGCAAAAGTCTGCAACAGGAAGTTTGCTTAGCTAACTAACCCTCAATAACCCTACTTGCAGATTTCATGCTGGGGAAGTTGATCATCTCCGAGCATAGGTAAGCCGATGCCGCTCGCACTGCCAATGGTACGACGTAGGTGAGTGGTATAAAGCAGGCAGAAAACCCCATGGTAGGCGGTCTCTCTGTTCCTGACGACATATTCGACAACAAGGCCAAATTCTGCCGGCATCATGGAGAAATTTCATGCCACCGTGAACAAGTACAATGTCGCCCACAGACTGCAGAAACGCTCACTGCTCATCGCCATCAATGCCGTGGCAGGCCTGTCTATCTTCTTCTTTGGATATGACCAGGGTGTGATGGTAAGTTTATGATGACTGTTCGCCGCAAAGCCTGTGATCATTCCATACCAACGGAATACTGTCTTGTTACTTTATATCGAAAGACCTCTGATAATGCTCTTCAGGGAGGTGTCAACACCACACGAAACTATGCCGAACTCATGGGCTTTGGCCATTGGGATGCCGAAGCAGGTCTGGTCAAGGTCGACAAGAGTCTCTTGCAGGGAGGAATTGTAGGACACATATTTTCGCCACCCCTGAACACCTGATACTGATAGAAATACCAGGTTTGCGTTTATTATCTTCCGGGTACGCTATTTGGGGCCTTCTTGGGTGGCTGGTTAGGCGACAGATTTGGCCGTATCACGACCATCCGTATTGCCTCAGCGTGGGCGATCGTCGGTGCGACCCTCCAATGCTCCGCACAAAGTGCAAATTGGATGTTCTGCGCTCGTGTGCTGAACGGCATCGGGACGGGCATCTTGAATGCCATCACCCCGGTCTGGGCTACCGAGACGGCGGCTTACACTTCGCGCGGCCAATTCGTATCGGTCGAGTTCACCTTGAACATTCTCGGTGTGGTCGTGGCGTACTGGATCGAGTACGGCACCTCGCATTACGGAGACGGAACTTCTCCGTTCATCTGGCGTTTCCCGATCGCGTTCCAGATCGTCCCATTGATCGGCCTGCTTACCGTCGTTTGGTTCATGCCAGAATCACCGCGCTGGCTTGTCAAGATGGGTCGAGAGAAAGAAGCGCGATACATTCTCGGTCGCCTCCGTGGTGATGATGAAGGTGAAGACCGGGAACAAGCTGAAGCCGAGTTCCAAGACATTCGCAACGTCAGCGCCCTGGAAGTGGAGACTTCGAAACAGAACAGCTATTTCAGCATGTTCTTCGGCATCGACTCCGGCAAACTGCACACTGCTCGTCGCGTGCAACTTGTAGTTTGGCTCCAGGTCATTCAAGAATGGGTGGGTATTGCCGGTATCACGATCTACGGGCCCGAAATCTTCACCATCGCGGGCATCAAAGCAAAAGATCGGCTATGGGTCAGCGGCCTCAACGATATCACGTACATGTTTGCAACACTTATCTGCGTCTTTACCCTTGACCGCATAGGCCGACGATGGACGTTATATTGGGGCGCCGTTGGTCAAGGAATCTGCTGCTTTGCCGCTGGAGGGCTTGCGCGAGCCACCACCAACGCATCCGATGGACATACCAAGACCAGTCTCGGCGCTGGAGCGACGTTCTTTGTGTTCCTGTACACGGCCATCTTCGGTGCGACGTGGCTAACTGTCCCTTGGCTGTATCCCGCAGAAATCTTTCCTCTTCAAATCAGAGCTCGCGGGAACGCCTGGGGAGTTGTGGGCTGGTCGATAGGTAAGTTGATGTTTTTACTCCTTCTTACTCACCTCCCTATTCTTCAAGGGCACATCTTGTTCTAATCATAATACCCAGGCAACGGCTGGTGTGTCTTACTTCTCCCAACGATCTTCAAACGTCTCAACGAGAAGACGCTGTACATCTTCGGCGCCGTCAATGCGCTGAGCATCATCGTCGTCTGGGCGCTATACCCGGAGACCAACCAACGCACCCTCGAGGAGATGGACCTGGTCTTCGCGTGCGACAGCATTTGGAACTGGGAAGCCGAGAAGAATTTCGCCCTCCTCAAGGAGGAGCATCCGGAGCTGGTTCAAGCTGCGAAAAGGGGAAATAGTGTCGTTGCCATTGACCAAGAAACAGGAGCTCCACGCTCCCGAAGGACGAGTATGGCGAGTACAGCAAAGGGAAGTGCCAGTCTTGCCGCAGTGCGTAGGCCTAGCAATACCGGAAGAACATCGAGTGTGGTTGACAAGGATGTGATGGAGCAGAAGTGAGCCCACCACGTTCAACATGATACATGTCCGACGAGGTGGGCCTACACGAAGAAGAAGTCTCGTGGACCTTGCTTCTCGAACCTGCATTCGTATTGCCGGTATGGACCACCGAGTTTAGGGTTGGAGATAGGGTCTGTATACCCTTTATGCAAGACCATCAGAATGGGCCTATCACACACTACAGATCTTGACAAAGTACTCTGGAAAGGCGAGGGGGGAAGAGGAGCATGATCAATTTGTGATTGGACAGCGAATTACGTCTCTATCCTTGCTTCTTGCTCGATCTCCGACGTGACAAGTGACAAGTGACAAGTGACAACAGCCACCGATACATGCTTCACTTCTTACCAATCTTTTTCATAGCCTCCAGGAATCTCTCCTCATTGGTCAACTGCTTCTCGGGCTCAGCAGGAGGTATAGGTTGAGCAGAGCCGATTCTTGTCCGCATTGCCGTGAGGAATCGATCTTCAAACAGGTGCTTCGAGGTCTTTTGATAGATCTCGCGGTCCGTCATTACCTTCCTTCCACATTCCGGACAACCCTTGGGAAAGGTCTTCGCCGAATACACATGCGACTTCGCACACACCTTCAAGGAGCCGACTTCGTGTTGGGCCCAGAGCTTCTCAATCTCGCGCACGCCACGAGTCTTGACCTTCGGGATACATAAGGTGTCTTCCATCGCATCTGCACGATCGATCGTCTGCATGAACTCGGTGGTGGTGTCGAGTAAAAGCTTGTGAGTGTCCGGATAGTGCTCGCATATTTCCACAAGTTTGTCCAACTTGCTCTTGATTGTCGTGTCATCAGTCGTTGAGACTCCTCCCCTTGCTGTAGCACCGAGGGCTGATAAGTTGCTTTTGGTGGCCTTTGCGAAGAGACTGAACTGAACTTGATGCAATCGGATTTCAGCGTGGATCAGAGGGCTGGTCTTGAGGCGGTCGTTGTTCAAAGCGTCTTGACAGTAGTCGAAACACGCCAAAGATTCTTTGTGCACGTACTCCAGCATCTTCATGCCTTGTCGCTGAACACCAAAGGATGGGTCTTGAAGACCCAGGAGATGATTTGCCATCCGTACTGTGTCTCGGATGCGAATTCCAATAAGACGATACTCCAAAGCATCAAAATGAGAGTGGAACATCAAGTCATAAGAACTGGCAATGTTGGGGAACGCATCATGCGCCTTTGCAATCTGAGACTGGATACAGTCGATGGTCTCATGACGGTGTTTGACAATGTCCTTCTGCACATCGAGAATCTCCCGATACCGACGAAGGATGAGATTGGTGTTCGTTTTTGTAGCCAAAGGATTTGGTCGAATGTCTTTAACAAGTGGATCAAAAGTCTCGTTCAGCTTATTTTCGACGACATCGATCGCAGTGGCATACTTGTGCATCTTGCGACCCATTTTTGCAACCAGTCGATCAAGAGTGTTTTGAAAGTCGACAAGTTTTGCAACATTCATGTAACGACGGGTCTTAGCGCAAGGTATGCCACAATGACATTTTGGTTCCTGGAGGTCAGCTGGCATGATGGTGGAGTTGATTGATAGGATGGAGCCATCCGGCGCAAGCTCATAGACTGATCTGAGATTGAGCCAGTCCAGCTTGTCAATATCCTCCAAATGGCCGCAGTCGGGAAGATAGAGCATGGCTTTATTTGGTGGACAGCCAGAAGCACAAGTTGGACATAGCTCCGATGGAGGGCAGACTTCGCCATGGGGAGAAGGGCAAGCATGACCGCACTTCAAGACTGGAGCTGTGTTAGCAAGTACTTTCGGAAAAAGAGACAAAGAGGCCTACCTTCAGGACAAGGCAAACAACAAGGTGGACATGTGTTAGGTAGACAGCACAATGTATCTGACGAACACTGATGACCACATCCAGGTTTCGCCAACTTGATGCAAGGATCGCAGATATCGGAACAACGATTCTTGCAAGGACCATGTTCGCAAGTCTCTGAACATGGCTCGGAACAAAATTGTGAACAAGGTTTGCCTTGGTGACAGAATTCTTTGCAGGGATGACCGCAAGCTTTTGGCTCACCACACTTTACCGAGCATGCTTTGTGGCTCTTTTTCAGCTTGCAGGCACCGCAAAGGGCTGGGCATTGATGACCACAGGGCAGAGTCTTCAGGCACGCATTTGCACAGGAAATCTTGCGTTCGGGATCCTCCCCACAAAGAACGTCAAGGGTATGGCCGCAGTCCAGCAGTCTGTGAGACACGACGACTTCGCATTTTGACGTTTCTCCTGAGCAAAGAGTCTGGCCTGGATGTCCGCACGCGAGGGTGATGCCATTAATGGAGAGTTGACAAGTTCCGCAGTCCTGATAGCATAGTCTGGAGCATGAGTGGCCACATGGGAAGACTTTGGTACACTTCTCTTGGCAGGTGATGCGCGAATGCAGCTGAGGAGGATGGCATGTCTCAGGACACTCATGACCACATGGCAACGTCTGGCCACAAATAGCTGAGCATACCGGTACGCTCTCAAAGTCAGACGGCTGCTCTACAGCGTGATGATGCTCGTGGTGAACACTGCAGCAAGTCTGGAGCGATGCCCCAATCCTGCCATTGAAAGCCAACATGACTTGTCTCCACATAGGAACTTGGGAGAGGGTTTGAGAGTTGCCAATGGTGTAGAAGCCGTCTCGAGCTCTGCTGCAGGCTACATTGATTCGATTGATGGTCTTCAGAAACCCTGCTGTGCCACCACTTCTCACACTGCTGAGGATGATGACTCTTGCTTCTTCACCCTGAAAATTGTCGACGGTGGTGATCCTTAGCATATCAGACATCGGAACTTCGTCCTTGGTGACTCTTCCCTCTGCACCCAAAGCCACCAATGACTCATCAAGGAGCAATTCGCGATCCTTCTCGCTAAGCCAGATATCACAGGTCGCCGACAGGCGCTCATGAAGCTTTGAGAGCTGACCACAGTATGGTGTCAAGATTGCAATGTCCCCTTGATCATACGCACCTCCACGCAATAGATAGTTCACAAGCCCAGCAACCATCTCGACTTCATAGAGATTGATATGGGACTTCAAATCATCGGCGCCCACCTCGGGAATCCGATGGTCCCACCAGAACATTCTGTGCACAAGCCCATGGGTTGGTGAACGATCCAGCGTCGACTCATGATCTTTTAAGTAAGGATATGTGATTCGGGTAATGTTGGCGATTTCCGGATGCATGCGACGCTGGATATTCAAGTGACTGACTGGCATTGCTGAGACTGATGGATCTCTGGGGAGCATCAGTCGCTCGAGCAGTGACTCATCCAAGCGGTACTCCATACCAACTCGTGTCTCAAGGGTAAGCATCTGCTCATTCGTTTCGGGCCGTAGTTGCAAAGGATCGCCGATCAAAATGGCGTGTTTGACGGTGGGAAGTAGTGAGCATAGGGTGTGCGCTTCCATGACTTCTGCAGCTTCTTCGCATATTGTTGTCTCAATGCCAACGGATAGCAGCTGCTCCCATCTCGCGGCACAGGCGGTAGTTGTCATGCCAATGATGTTGTGACTTTCCATGATGCTGATTTCACGCTCGCTGTTCAACGCCTTCATTGCACGAGCAGTGTCCCGAAACTCGAAGTACAGCGCAGTAAGCTTGGCTGCGAACAGCTCCCTGTCCACCTGTCCGTCCCATTGTCGTAGTAGGCTTTGGCGTTCTGGATATGCTAAACTCCAGAGACTGTTTTCACCAGCCTCGTGGCTCTGCTTCTTCGCGAAGTATGATATATCCATGAGTATGTCGTCGACGTCTTCAGAAGGGGTCTTGGCCCGTTCGAGTGATAGCTCGTTTAGTCTGGTGGCCAGTTCGACATGTAGATCACGAATACTTTCCAAGTCTCCACCACCCGACCAGTATTCAAATGTGAAAGCCTTTGCATGAACGGATGGGGCATTGGTCGAGAGCTGGGCGTGGTGCTCTGGATATTTTTCGAAGAGGACGTCTTCCACGAATTGCCAAGGTAGATTTCCAGTGTGATTTTTTGACGAAACCGCTTGAAACCGTCAGCTTACGTTCAGGGGATTCTTGGAACGAACGATACCTTTGCACATTATATCCAGGTCTGCGAACGTCTCCTTCTTGCGCGTAATGTAGGAACTCATGGTGAACGCATCGTCTTTGCTCAGCCTGGTCTTCCGCTTCAATGTCTTGAGATTGATGCTATTGGTCCACTCCTCTTTGCTGCCTCCCCCTATGCGCACCAGACCCGTCACCCCAGCATCACGAAGATCCTCAAGGAAGCTGTCGAGAGCATGATTCGTCAAGCACACCAGGAGGATAGGTTTTGGAATAGGTCGTGAGTGGAGTAGGGCTTTAGCTAGTTGGACTCCAAGGAACGTTTTGCCGCAGCCTGGGGGCCCTTGTGTGAAAGCAAACTCTCGGAGAAGACTGTCTCTGAAGGCAGTCGCTTGACCCTCGTCAAGTGTTGTTTCCCGCTGCAGAATGTCGATTGAAGACGGTCTAGACAATTCCTCAACCGACATGGACTGGACGCGGCTCGTAGGTGAGAAAACAGTGCTGAGATCGTACTTGAAATCAGCGACTCGCGCATATGCCGGAGGAGGGCAGTCGGCGATAGGTGGTTGTCCTTTCAGAAGGTTCTGCTGCATTGCGAGCAATGCTTCTTCCTGCTGCATCTCAGGTGCGATGTATGTTTGAAATGCGAAGTCCGTCTCTCTCATTTCCTGTAGTCGCTTTAGACAGTTGTAGAACCCAGCGAAGAGTACTTTTGGGAATTCGACAAGGGCCAATTGGCTCTCAGGACAAAGGCCGAGCGCATGACTGCTAAGTTGCAGGACTTCCTGGTGTGTGGCAGTTGGCAAGAAAGCCAGCTGGACAGCTGCACGTTGACCGCCGCCATTGGAACTGTCCATGGAGAACGTGGATTGAGACAAGCTGACTTCAAGAAAAAAGACAGACAACTCATTTGTCATGTGATTAAGTTGAAGTATGGCGACGAGCATGCCTTCTTGGAACCGACTAGAGTGGTAGAGCTTGTGTCCTCTCATGAAAGATGGGCAATGATAGCTTGTGCGAACCAGCATTGCCTTGCTCTCGTGAGCAAGGAGCTCTTCAACGTTGACATCGCGATACAGAAAGAATCTGTTGCCTGCCACCGTTTCATAGCGAGTCTGGGTACGGTCGATAGGATGAGACTGTCCGGTAGGGTTGGCATTCAGGAAAGTGAGCTGTGCTGCAGTGTAGCAGATATCACGTATGCTCTCAATGTTGTCGCAGCGCAGTTGACGGAAAAGTGAATCGAGATGTCGACCTGGCCCGTTCGGAAGAGGGTGCGCCCATTGCAAGTCTTTCTTTGGCATATAAACAGGACTGCCCACTGCCAGGATCTCATCAATGGTCGGTAGAATTTTTATTTCTCTGTAGTCTTCCTTGTCATTGTCGTGGCGTCGACCACCAACTGATGTTTCGTTTGGAGGCTCATCGGTGAAAGTGAGGCGAGGACGAGGACGATACTGGAGGGCGTGAAGATGATAATCGTACAACTCCTGGTCCATCGGACCGGATGGACGTCGACCTCTCAGCGTCGCCATGTTGAACGTTCGCAAGCGTCAGGAAATTGTGTGAAAAGGTTAGGAACAAGGTAAGTTCATCGCGACTTCTCAATGTGGCCTGTGAGTGATTTTGGACATGCTCCTTGGCATACAGAGGCGGGCAGACAAGGTCTGGCAGAAATCACTATTGAATACCTGAAGGTAGGCAGACTCATCATTATCACCCAGAATTCAAGCTCTTTGCACTGTCCACTTTGTGAAGCAAACACCCTCCAGAGTCGTTTTTCCCATCGCGAGAGCAAATTAACTGCAAACAGTTACTTCCGTACAGGTTATACACCAATGCATGAGTTGAAGCTCTTCCTTCTCGATGCTGATGCTCATCCTTGCTACATACCTCGACATGCGCCGTATCATCTTTCACGGCCATGATTTCTACTAGTTCACCTGTTATAACCTTGTTGGCCGTAGGCAAGGACCTTCCTTGATATTGGCATGATGGAATCATCGCTACACCGGCATTGTGAAGTGTGGTTACTTTCGTAACATTGAGATTAGCCAACAAACAACCAAGTGAATGATCATACAATATAGAGTCAACGAGGCATCTGTGCCGAGGAGCTGGAAAAACGATCATCCGACAATATGAATAGAGCTGACGACATGAACCTGGCCAACGTCCGGAGGGAATCGCAGTAATCGTATTTGTTGCCCATGTATTGAGGAGCACAATTCAGGCAAGTTGACGTCTGCGGCATCCGACCTCAGCGACGGGTTGGGATATTTCCACTCCCACTATATTCCTTTCCTGGCATTCCGCGAACCCAATGACTAAAAGTCCTGCTGGTTTTGCCTTCTAACAGCATGTGCAAGTCTTCTCTCTCCGGTGGCAGCTGTACTCCTTGCCCAGGCTTGGGGTACAAAGCCGCATGCTCGTCATAATGCCCGTCGTAGCCTTCATCAACTGCCTCACTGGTATCTGCCTCAAGAAAAGAGGGCGGGTGCGTGACAGGCGTGACATATGTGGAAGTAAACTGGGCCGGTGAAAGTTTTGGTGGCTGGGACGGTGCCACCAGTGTCTGGAATAGGGGAAGGTCCGGGGCAAGATCTGATGCTTGCATAAGGAGAGACACCATATTTTCTTTGGATAGAGTGTTCAAGTAGGCCAACTTCTGACTTGGAGACATGAATCGACCACCAACACGTGGGCCTGCGTAGACCGGTGCGACAGGGGCAACAGCCGCTGGCGGAGCTGCTTCCGACTTGTTAGGTTTCTTCGCTTTCTTCCCATGCAGAATCCGGTCACAGTCAGCACAGAACCAGTCGGCTTTTGTATCTGATACCGTCTGTTTCGATATTTGAGGATCATGACAACGTTGATGCCAGCATTTGTTGCACGCATCACAGAATACAATGACGTTCCCTGGCGGGCCGTGCCCACGTAAGCAATGCTCGCAGAGGGCAAATTGCTCTCGGCCACGGTAAGTTCGCCTTTTGATCTTGGGGTGCGTTCTGACGGTAGAGGACGGCGTGGAATTATGGTTCGATCCTGCTCGCGATGCTTTGCTCGGACTGGCGCTGGCAGTGTTGGTGTTTGTCAAGGGCAAAAGGGGCTTTTGTGTCTGTCGCCCCGACCTTGTCTGTCCAGTGGGGTTGTATTCTTCTGATGAACCCCGAGACTCGGCGGTAGCAGATCGGGAAGTTGACGACCGCGTCTTGATGATGTCTGAATCACCACTCTTGCGCTTCTTGCTCGGAGGCTTGACGATGTCATCGGAGGTATCCATAGCAGTCTGTTGGGAACCATCTTCGGCCATTTGATACTTTAGGTTTCTAGGTCCGCGTTTAACGCCCGGCCTCCCTCTTCCTAGTCCTTTGCCTGACACCACCGACCCGTCTGAGAGGAGGTATTCTTTGTTTCTTCGAGACGACGAGGGTTTGGAAGCAGTTTCTGGAGTGCTGGAGGAATTTGACTGATTGGCAGGGATAGGCCTCTGGCTTGCAACGGTAATGGTGGAATCATCGTTTTGGTTTTGTTCCGAGAGATTGGAGGCGCTGGTAGGTGCCATACTTGAGAAGCCTGTCGAATAACGAAAATCCGGGTCGCTATCGGTTTGCAAGTCGTCCTTATCGAGCTTGTATACCGGTGGCCCACTGATTTGTGCACCAGATGCTCCTCCGCTCAAGGCTGTCACTCTTGCGTCGATGAGAGGAGGTATAGTATGACCATGGGGTAGGATATCAGGGAAAGATCCTCTTCGCGGTCCGCCGCCTGACTGGGAATTCGAGGAGTCGTCTGACGACCTCCGATTGGAGTGGGGTTGCTGCACGCTTATTGATGCATTAGGGACGCTGTCGTCCGTTGTGCTGAAGGTAAGTGGAGGTGCAGCCGGAGGTATGTTGAAATGCGGTATCTCTGAGTTGCTAAGTTCTATGCTGTTGTTGTCGACCACATTGACATTGTCCCTGTAACGCGAAGTAGAACTTGCGTGTTCCGGTGGGGTAGCCATGACAGATTCCCGGCTCTTGAGGTTGTGGTTCGGAAGTATGATTGGGGGAACCAGGCACGAATGCCAATGTGCAGTGCTCCCACCGGCAGCCTTGTCAATCTTTCAGAGGATACAGGGTGGGTGACACAGCAGGAGATTTCTCATGATTCGTTAGGGTGATTGATGCATGCCATTTGGAGCAATCGGTGTGTGTTGCAGGAGCCGATATTGTTTGAAAATTGGATGATGCCGAACTGAATTGAGGAAGGAGGCCATGGCACGTGACTGGAGGGAAGCTTATGTCATCCGGAACTTGATCCCGTTGATGACAAACTCAAGCGAGTCGCCTCGCTTCCTCCTCATGGTGTCACTTTTCACGCACAAAGCGCGCATCGTCTGGACTCGGTATCAATCGCCACGATTCCATCTGCATTTGGTCTTATCAAATGAGAGAGTCTGTAGAGCGCTCTACGCACAAACTGCGCATCGTTTGGACTCGGTATCAATCGCCATGATTCCATCTGCATTTGGTCTTATCAAATGAGAGAGTCCGTAGAGCGCTCTACGCACAAACTGCGCAATCCTGAAGTTAAGAAATAGCGACGTGATTGTGTCCCATTTTCCAATTCTCTTCCTACATTCCTTCCGCTCTGACATCTGCAGTGCTTTCCAGGAGCCCAGAAATAAATAGAGCCTTGCTTGCCCTGCTATCTTTGGTCTCTTCGTATTCTCATCATTACCAGCGCCATGACCTTCACCTCGACATTCTTGGTGTCAAACATCCACTGCCCCTCTTGTGTTACCTATGCCCAAGATGTCCTACGGGACATTTCCGACGTCCAATCGGTTCAGGTTTCACTGATTGACCAGACAATTCGTGTTAAACACGCCCATGACAAAACGCAGGGCGTTGTCAACAAAGAACTGCTCAAGGCGGCTTTCGAAGTTCAGCATGTCAGCACTATGGGAGAAGGCGGTGTTGAAACCCATGCCTACGATGTGTCACCAACCCCAACGGACGCTTCAGTCTCACGATCGAGATGGTTCATGTCTCGAGCCCAACGCAAGCACATCGAGAATTGCAAAGCATGCCAAAGCAAAAGAGAGCGGAGTTCTGCGATAAAACGGTCCTGGGCTGCACTCAGCCGACAACGCCGCATGGACACCGGCAAGACCAAGCCGAAGGACAATGATACTGCAAGATCCGATGATACTCTGGGGCAAGATCAACCCGCCGTGATCAACATTGACGGTGCTGATGATGGTCAAGAGCATGGCAAGTACGTTGCAAAAGTGGCAATAGGAGGGATGACTTGCGCTTCATGCACCAGTACCATAACAAAAGAATTGACGAACCTTGACTTTGTCCAATCTGCCGATGTCAATCTGATGACCAATAATGCAAGGGTGGTATTTTTGGGGAACAAACACAACTCTGAAAGAATCGTCGAAGCTATTGAAGATGTGGGCTACGAAGCTTTCATTGATGATGTGGCTCCTTTAGTCCGGGACAAGACTACATCAACTACGGAAAGCGAAGAACACAAGGTCACCTTGAGCATTGAGGGTATGGTTTGTGGAAGCTGTGTTGGGACCATTACTCGAGGGGTCAAAGAGTTACCATTTGTGCGGTCCGTCAATGTTGACTTGGTCGGCAACCGTGGCGACATTGTCTTCGAGGACAAGCACAATCTCGATGCAATCTTGCAGAAGATTGATGATCTGGGCTACGATGCTACTGTAATGAAGCTGGAACCCACCAACGCTGCTGCCAGACCCAAAGTGTCCGAGAGAACCGTGCAGATCAGGATCGAGGGGATGTACTGCGAGCTTTGCCCCGGCAATGTTGTGTCTGCCTTGCATGCTGGGCTCTCCTCTGCGAGTGGCACGACGTACACCATCACTCAGACACCGACCCTTCGAGACCCCTTTATCACCATTGTCTATCGACCTTCGCCTCCCGACCTTACTATCCGCAGTTTCATCTCGACCATCAATGCCTCTGATGAAGCGTTGCAAGCCTGCGTGTACCATCCTCCCACATTAGAGGAACGTTCACGGCGAATGCAACGGCACGAGCAAAAGGGTATTCTACTCAGGCTGGTCTTCACTGGCGTGGTGGCAATTCCCACGTTCATCATCGGAGTAGTATATATGAGTCTTGTGCCGAAGTCCAATCCGACGAGGCAATGGTGGGAAGAACCCATACTTGCAGGGAATACAATGCGCATAGAATGGGCATTGTTCTTCATGACCACTCCAGTCATGTTTTTTGGTACGGACATTTTTCATACCAGGGCTGCGAAAGAAATTAGGTCTATCTGGAGACGCAAGAGCAAAGTGCCCATCCTACGTCGGTTCTACCGTTTTGGGAGCATGAACCTGCTGATCAGCGCCGGAGCTGCGGTGGCATACTTCTCATCTCTGGCTGTCCTTATCATGGATGCAACCAGTCCCAAAAACGTGCACCAGCACGATTCTTCCAACACCTACTTTGATACAGTTACCTTTCTGACCTTTTTCATCCTGATTGGCCGCTTTTTGGAAGCATACAGTAAAGCCAAAACTGGGAATGCTGTCGCCATGTTGAGCAAGCTACGACCTTCAGACGCGCTTCTCGTGGAGAACGCTACGCCAAACCATGAAGGACACTCACAGACCAATATGCGCGCAATTCCTGTTGACCAATTGGAAGCTGGTGACATTGTCCAAATTCCTCATGGAGCATCACCACCCACTGATGGAGTCATCCAGCAGCCGGGCACGTTTCTCTTCGACGAAAGTTCTCTGACCGGAGAATCCAAACCTGTCAAGAAGTCATACGGGGAACAAGTATACACTGGTTCCGTCAACGTTTCGGATCCAGTGCGGATCCAAGTCACAGAGGTTGGCGGCACATCTATGCTGGATCAGATTGTCAACGTCGTTCGCGAGGGTCAAGCTAAACGAGCACCCATCGAACGAATTGCCGATATCATCACAGGGTATTTTGTGCCTGTCATTACGCTGATTGCCATTGTAACTTGGGTTATCTGGTTGGGTTTGGGAGTATCTGGAAAATTGCCACGGGCCTGGATTGATGACCGAAAAGGAGGATGGCCATTCTGGTCTCTCGAATTTGCGATCGCTGTCTTCGTGGTCGCCTGTCCCTGTGGTATTGGTTTGGCCGCTCCTACTGCACTCTTTGTCGGTGGCGGACTTGCTGCCAAAGATGGTATTCTCGTGCAAGGAGGGGGAGAGGCATTCCAGGAAGCCTCGAAACTCGACGTGATTGTCTTTGATAAGACCGGTACATTGACGGAAGGCCAAATGAAGGTGACTGACTTTGAGCTGCTTCGCCAAAGGGAGAAGGACGAATCGAACGTGGATCAAAGCATAATCCTGGCTGCGTCTCGCATACTGGAAGAGTCGAGTACTCACCCGATTGCCAAAGCAGTTGCAGAATATTGTGCACAGGAAGCGGCCGGTTTGCAAATACAGACCGAGGAGATCAAGGAGATGCCCGGACAAGGCATGGCAGGGCGATTTACTGTCAAGACCGATACGTCCGTCAGACGATTCGAGGCTGCAATCGGCAATGAACGACTGCTGGAGTCCATTGATCTATCTCGGTCGTCCTCCGATGCGGCCTTGCCACCAGCAAAGGTGAAAAGTAAGGTTGTCACGCAAGATTACTACCTCGAACAGACCCTGCAAAAGCATCAATCTTCGGGTCGTTCGACTGCCATCTTTGCAATCAGTCCAATACAAGAGGACTCGGGACATGGCCCGACTTCTCAGTCGTCGTTTCAACCTGTGGCTGTCTTTGCCATTGCCGACCCAATCCGAGCCGAAGCACCAAGCATCCTGCAAGACCTCCGCCAATCTGGGCTTGACGTGCACATGTGTACTGGAGATAATCGAACCACCGCTCTGGCGATTGCATCTCAGCTTGGCATTCAGATCGCCAATGTCCGGGCCGGTGTACTTCCACAAGACAAGGCAGCCTATATCCGCGAATTGCAAGGCGTGTCTGAATCCGAGAAGTCGAGCAAGAAACCCACGCGGAAGATCGTTGCGTTCGTTGGTGACGGAACCAATGATACTCCTGCATTATCGGCCGCAGATGTGTCGATTGCCCTCTCTTCTGGATCGGATGTGGCCATCACTACTGCGTCCTTCATCTTGCTCAACTCGGACCTCAAGACTATCCTGTCGCTGGTCAGGCTGGCCAAACGAGTCTTCTTGCGAGTCAAGCTCAACTTTGCATGGGCTGCAGTCTACAATTTATGTCTAGTACCTGTGGCTGCGGGAGTGTTCTTCCCCATTGGAGCGAATCACAACCACGGTGGATGGAGACTGGGGCCGGTCTGGGCCAGTGTGGCCATGGCCGCAAGCAGTGTCAGTGTGGTGGCAAGCAGCCTGGCATTGAAGTTGCCTGAGGCGAGGTGGAGGAAGTAGGAGTGCGTTAAGATAGGAAGATGGATCTAGACCACGAACCGAATAATACACATTGCCTACTACTCCGTACTCCGTACTGACTGGTCGATGCTTGGAGTGCGCGTCAGCCATGATTTGGCCAAGATGCACGGGGGGTAGAAGCGAGATGTGAAAATCGAATCAGATGCGCTTGCGTCGACGCCTTTCAATTCCGATCTGGCAGAGAAGTTGAGATTGGTGTGCCGCGTGTGGCTCTGTGCGCGACGATCGACTCCATGATGGCCCAAATCAAGCCGAAGCTATGGGCAGACGGTGGCTGGTATAGGCGGTGTTGATTGGTTTTGTAGGGCCCCTACAGGGGCTCTACAGGCTGTAACCCGCTGGTGATGTCACTTTGTCCCAGCCTGGCAGGGATCCGACAGACCCAATCACTCCCCAATGGGCTGGCAGTCACAAAGTGGCTCGTCGTCACAGAGACAACAATCATTTTTCAGCTGTCGTCGCACTGCAATTTGACATCATTCTTGACAAGTTGCCAGCTGAAAAACATCTTGTAGGTAGCTGAGGTGCTGTGGCCATCCGCTGCCGCCAAGTCGATTTGCTAACATCTTCCACTCTGGTGACTCTGCCCATAATATCAAATTGGATTCCTGCCCGTAAAAACCGGGTTTCGTTTCGTTGCTTGGTCCTCAATCGTCATCGCAAGGAGGCCCTCGCTTGACAAGACAAGGGTGCGGCAAGCGAGTTTTTTGTTTGCTCGGGCTAGTAATAAACATCACCTCTCCAGATCCATTCCCTCGTCGCCCACGTTTGCGCACTCTCTTCTTCACCAAAGGGCGTCCCTAATAGAGAGACTTGCCCTGTTACTTTCCTCTCCATCTCTCCTGGTCAACAACGACCCTGACTAATATCAATCATGGAGCCGACTCTCACTCACATGCTGTACCCTCGCCAGGTAGGTACAACCACTCTCTTCAATGGGCCAATCGCTAATATTCCCTGTAGTCGGCGGGCAGCAATCGGAATGAGGGTTCCAACTCCTTGTCCGGCATCATCTCAACCTTGGTCCCAACCTTTGTCATCGCCATAATCGCCTTTACGCTTTTTCTCCTCCTCCGAACTCGTTTTTCGCGTGTCTATCGACCTCGAACGGACGAGATACTCTTCCAGGAAGGATGGCGGACTCCCAAGTCGAACACTGGCTTCTTCGGCCTAATAAGAAATTATGCGAACCTCCCTGACAGCCATGTCCTTCGACACAACTCTCTCGACGGATATCTTTGGCTCCGTTTCTTCAAAGTCCTCATCGTCATGTCTTTGGTCGGCTGTTGCATTACCTGGCCCGTCCTGTTCCCAGTCAATGCAACAGGCGGCGGCGGTCAGCAACAACTCGACATTCTCAGCATGTCCAACGTGGTAAACCCCAACCGGTACTTTGCCCACGCAGGTGTCGCGTGCATCTTTCTGGGCTTCGTCGTTCTCCTGGTCGCTAGAGAGAGAATCAACTTCATCGGTCTGCGAAGAGCATATTTCCTCTCCGCTGCCCATGCTCAACGACTTTCTTCACGCACCCTCATGGTCCTCGGACTACCGCTTGAATATCAGGATGAGAAGATGCTGCGCCAAATGTTTGGTCCACACGTGCGCAAGATCTGGATTGCCACCGACTGCAAGAAGCTCGAGGATGACGTCAAGAAACAAAACAAAACCGCGCTGAAGCTTGAAGGGGCCGAAATGAAGGTCATCAAGAACGCCAACAAACTGCGTATGAAGACGCTCAAGAAGCAATCTACCGACTCGCCTACCGAGCAGAATCCATTGCACTGGATTGATGCCAAAAAGCGACCCCACCACCGCCTGATGCCCCAGCTGTGGAAGAAGGTCGATACCATCAACTGGTCCCGTGGCACACTTACTGAACTTGACCGATTTGTCCAACAGCAGCAGAGCGAGCACCTAGACATGAAACATACCAAAGTGCCTGCTGCATTCATTGAGTTTTCAAACCAGTCTGCTGCACATTACGCCTATCAATCCATTGGTAAGGACTCCATGAACAAGTTCTCACCACGATATATCGGCGTGCAACCCGATGAGGTCGTTTGGAAGAACCTGGGTGTCAGCAACGCTTCTCGCAAGATCAAGTTGCTCATTGCAACGGCCATCATCTGGGTCATGATCATCTTTTGGGCCATTCCCGTCGCCTTCGTTGGTGCATTGTCCAACATCAACTATTTGACCAACAAGGTGCCCTTCCTCAGCTTCATCAATGATATTCCCAAGGTTATCCTCGGTGTTGTCACTGGTCTGTTGCCTGTCATCCTCCTTGCAGTTTTGATGGCTTTGGTTCCGATCATCTGCGGTCTTCTTGCCAAACTTGCGGGAGAGCCCACGTTGGCAGCTGTTGAGCTCCGAACGCAGACTTGGTACTTCAGCTTCCAAGTCGTGCAGGTCTTCCTGATCACGACCTTCACATCTGGTAAGAACATCACCACGCCTTTACAGGGAATTGTCAGACTAACTGCGTATAGCTGCTACATCCGTGACCACTCAAATTATACAAAACCCTGGCTCTGCGCCAACTCTGCTGGCCACTAACCTGCCAAAGGCGTCCAACTTCTATATCAGCTACTTTATTCTCTTTGGACTTGCTCAAGCCGCCCTGCAACTCCTCAACATTGTCCCGTTGTTGATGTACACGCTCCTTGGCAAGCTTCTCGACAAATCTCCACGGAAGAAGTACAACCGCTATGTCAACATCCCTGGTTTGGGTTGGGGCTCAGCTTACCCTAAATTCACTCTCCTTGGAGTCATTGCAATCACCTACGCTTGCATTGCGCCGCTGATCCTAGGCTTTGCCACTATCGGGTTCTGCTTGCTCTACCTTATGTTCAGATACAACTTCCTGTTCGTGCTCGGCAACAAGACCGACTTGAAAGGCGAGGGATATGCAAGAGCCCTAAAACAACTCTTGACTGGCGTCTACCTCTCCGCGCTCTGCCTTATTGGACTCTTCGCGATCGGCTGCAGCAAGAATGCCATTAGCGCTGGTCCACTAGCGATCATGATCGTATTTTTGGTCATCGTCATCATATTCCAATTTCTGCTGGACCGCGCTTTGGCGCCGCTCGAGCAAACGATGCCATTGGAGCTGTTGCAGGGCAACAAATACAGCACGACCGTCGTCGAGCAGATCATGGACGAGCACGAGATGAAGCAAGACCAGATGGAAGCTGGCTCATCGAACCGAGGCAACTCCGTCCCCGAATTTGTCAAGCATGAAGGAGACGCGCCTCAACCTAAGAAGAAGCCTTTCAATGCCTTGAGCCGAACAGTTGAACCAATGCTGCTCAAGTTCTACGAGGCCAATAAGAGCATTGCACCAGCAGAGGGCGACCACAACATCCCGGCATACACCTCTGAGGAGTACGAACAGGCTTATCTCAATCCTGCCATCACTTCTCCGGCACCTATTGTGTGGCTGGCCAAGGATCCTGCTGGTGTGAGCAAGATCTTGGTCCAGGAGAACAGAGAGGCGGGCATTGAAAGCACCGACGCGCATGCTGAGATGGATGAGAAAAACAAACTGGTCTGGCGTGAGGAAAAGGTGAGAGAGGCGCCATTGTGGCTGCGACCTGTACGATATTAATTGAAACGATGTCTCTTTTGCCGTCTTCGCGGCAAGGATACATTGAACGCGAAAGGCTTCCTTTTATGCATGAACTGGAATGAAAGGTTTCGGTAGAGGCATATCCGTAATACAAAGATACCCTGTTTTAGCAATTAATCATTAATCACACGACGTCGTTCATGTCTGCAGGGGTTATAGTTCTGGGTGATTGTTGTAGGTCGACCATGTGTATATCCTCTCCGAGATACTTCTTTAAAACCTTCACACACAATCAAGCCAAGTCCCGATCTGCTAGCACTACCGCTGAATGCGTTCCACACGAGTACATGGGGTGCAATATGGCTGTTGAACGTCCTCCAGGATCTATCGAACGGTCGATGGTGACAGCAAACAGCATCAAGTGATTCGATCGATGATACGTACGAGGGCTAGCGTGGCCACGCGTGGCTCAGGCAGCGCCAGCAGCCACAGTCAAAAGTGGCTTAGTCATGGCTCATGGTGCATGGTGACGCTGCCAGCTGCTCAGGTCCGGAAACACCAGAGAGCTAGGAAGTTTGGAGAGGTCAGTTTTGGCCAAAGTAAACATGGCAATTCGCAGATCATGGCAGACCAGATGACCTTCTTCGACGATGGCGAGCCACACGACTCGCTCCTCCAACGAGGCTGGGTATGCTCTTCAACACACCCGTGAGTGTTGCGAACTAATCCTGGCAGTCTCTCGCCCTTACACCCGTTCGCATCCTCACCTCCCGCACCGCGATCAAAGCCTACCTGAGCACGATCCTCTTCCTGGTAACCTCTACGATCCTCCTCACGATATCCTCGACGGCATTTGGCTTCTTCTATTACAAATATATCCCCCAGATCAACCTTGAGCGCGTCTTGTACTTGCAATATGGCGCTGGACTACACCCGTACGCGACGACTGCGCTGGATACGTCCGCCTTGATATCTCAGCAAGCATACGATGTGGAACTGATACTGGATATGCCCAGGACACCTACCAATCTCGAGGCCGGCAATTTCATGCTTGACCTCTCATTGCTGGGACCGGGGGTTAATGTGCGAAATGTCGTCGATCCGCTGTCGGCATGGCTGAGCAATATCACGACGGACAATGTCTACGAGCATTCACGAAGACCAGCCATTCTCCCGTATTCATCGCCAATGCTGTCGCTTAGCCATACACTTCTGCACTTGCCGTGGCATGCCCTTGGGTTCCGTGACCTGGATACTGTTCATCTAATTGTGCCAATGTTCGAGATGATCTCCTTCCCGCGTGGATCACGAAACCTACCGAGCCATGCAAGACTGGAGTTGCAATCGAGCAGTATCATGCAAGTCTATAATGTGAAGTTGGCCTTCCGCGCCAAGTTCCAGGGCATGCGGTATTGGATATATAATTACCGGGTGGTTGCTTTTGTCGTTTTCACCGTCTTGTTCTACGTGATCAGCGTGACGAGTATGGGTTTGGCTTGGGCTGCGATTACGGTCGTCTGGTCGAAGAGAGATGCCAGCGAAGAACGGAAAAGGATCAAGCACGAGGATGGTGGAGGTGCAATTAAGCAAGAAGGGGACGCAGAAGAGAAACCTAGAGTCAAAGAGGAAGACGAAATGGAGTCATCTACGCACGGCTTGTCGCTGTCGAATTTGTCAGATACCGCAGCACAGTTTCCGAGTCGGGCAGGGCAGATGCCGCTGAGGTTTCCTGGACGCCTTGCTACAGATGCGGCGCCGGATGAGGCTGTGGAACACCCCACACAACCCCTTGGACCTGACGAAGTAGCTGATGATGAAGATGAAGATGACGGAGCCGAAGAGATCCGCGGAAAACCCTTTGAGGGTGACTCTGGCCTTGGTACAAGCATGGAAAGTGAACACCGAAGTTCGGGCGTTGTAAGGAGGCGGAGCTCCAGGGGGTTGTCGAGCAGATGAGAGAGATTGTTTCGTTGGCATCATGGTTTCCATGGAGCTTCAACGCAAAAATGAAGGGCAGGGGCTCATCAAGCATGCAAAATGCTGTCAACAATTACCGCCATTACCGCCAGGCGCTCGTCCTCCTGCTTCATTCCCACGAGCTGAATCGTCGTTGGAGCATCCCTATAATCCTCCGGACCAGTATACATCGAGTATACTTTATCATCGTCCTCGCCGTACTTGGCTGCATGGTCGACAACGTCTCGTTCTTCGACTTTCCCGACTGGAATAATGCACGAAGGATAATCCACCAAGTTCCACAATGCCAGTCCGACTGCTGACCAACAATCAATTGGAGGTGCAGTGTATGGTGCAAGTGGATTGAGGATTGCGTCGAGTTTGCTCTCGAGCCAGAGATCTCGGTATGCAGTCTCGGCCTCTTCGCGGGCAACATTCCACGCGAACAAGTCATGCAATGATTTGGCTGGCATCGACACTAAACCGATACGCTTGACAGACTCCACGAGGGGTTCATCGGCCGCCGCGATGTAATCCAGGACAGTCTGTGATCGTCAGCTTCGATCAGGGAAATATTCGATCCTGACTAACCTTGCATCCTTCCAGAGAATAAGACGTCCAAGCTGTGCCAATGTCTCTTGCAACGTTCGGCAATCTGATGTCCACCAGCCTCATTCCTGCTTTCTCGAGCTTTTCCTTTGCTTCTGACAGTGCCCGTCTCATCGGTGGTGTCGCCGTCAGCATCCCATCGTCCTCGACAACACCAATCCTCAATCTTCCTTCGTTGGGCGCCTTGAGTCCTCGCCACGGAATATGCAAACAATTTACATCGAGCTTCCACGGGTCATGGCTCATGATCGTCTTCATGATCAACTCACAACTCCTCATACTCGTCGCCAACGGTCCCGCAACTGGCAAAATTCCCGCATGTCCCGGCGCCGCGGGGTTCTGTTGTCCAGCATACGGCACAATTCGCTCGGATGGCTTGAAACCATACACGCCACAACAATGGGCTGGGATACGGATACTCCCTGCGATATCGGTGCCAATCCCGACGATACTCCCACGCATTGCGATCAGCGCTGCTTCACCACCTGAACTTCCGCCGGCAGTGAGCCGCTTGTTATGGGGGTTCAGAGTTCGACCGAACGCATTGTTGTCCGAGTCAGCTGTCATCATGGTCTGCGGGACATTGGTCTTGCAGTAGAATACGGCACCCAGGTCGAGTAGGAGTTTGGGCAGGGCGGAATAGCTTTTGCATGGCTTCTCAGCGAAGTGAATCAGGCCGATCGTCGAATCCAAACCGGGGATCTGGAAACAGTCTTTCAAGGAAATTGGAAGACCCCAGAGTGGTGGGAGGGGAGTGTTGGGATCGGCAGCGCGGTCGACGTCCAGCTGTCGGGCACGTTGGATGGCGGGTGTGAAGAAGATTTCCGTTAGGCAGTTCGTCTGCATTAGGAGTGAGCAGGGGTGGGAAACAAGGGTTAGGCGGCTGGTGATGCCTTACGACTTGTTGAGCGATTGTGGCTCGCTTGCAGAATGCTGTGACCACTTCTTCGGCGGTGTAGCCGCCTTCAACGAGACCCTTCCTGAGCATGTCGAGCAGTGACACTGCGTCGTGGGTGCCGGTGATTTCGAGTTCACGAGCCGTCAGCATCCCACATTCAATGGGAATGTTGATGACGTTGGCTAAAGGACTGGAAGTATACAACTCGAGAACGGCTTGGGGGACGAGCCATTCTTTGGGAAGGAGATGTGATCGTGCGTCTTGTTTGCGTTGGGCGATGACTGGCCAGGGGTCCCGAGGGATGGTAGGTAATACGGCACTCGTGTTCGCCATGACTTCAGGGGTTCTAGAGAATGCTACCTTACTCTTAGAGATCGATTGACTCATGCAGTTGGCCTGGGATCATTGCAACATGTATATTCCTTATATTCCGTTATGATTTTTGAGGCTTCCAGCCAAGAAGTCCGTGATACTGTATGCTCGTGCTACTGATACCCCCTTGCCGCAGGGGGCCATGATCTCTCCACATAGAAGTCTTTTCTGGACCGAGTGGACTGCTTCGCCTCGACGGGACCTGCTAAGGTGGAATATGCTGAATTATCTTTGTTACTCGTACTCGTACTCGTACTAGGAGCCTCACGACCCCCGACACCGGCCGTCTGGTAGGCCTAGTGGTCTGGAGACCGGTCAGCAACGAGGCCTCGCAGATCAGGCATGTACTACTGTAGTACTGTAGGCTTCAGCCGCAAGATGACTGCAGGGAGTATTCTTTTTAGGGGGGCTTGCACTTTGCATAAATGGGTTATGGTTACGTCCGTAGACCGTACATTCAGACTTCACCCGGTTATGGGTCCTGCCCTTCGATGACCAGTAAGGGCCTGGATGGTACTGTAAGTAAGATCTGGTTCCGCCAGCCTTGCGCCTCTCGTTTCTGACGTTCCTGTCCGCTCGAGCTTTTGACTTATGATCTCGGAGCCGTTCCCAGCGCTATATAATTCCCTTTTCAGAGATCGGCCACCGCCCCCCCGATCCACACGGCTGCAGTCGGTGTTGACTCCATACATGTACTTAAGTAGTCTAGGTGGCTGACTAGCTCGCAGCTCGAAGTACCCACCTGAGGCAAGTAAACTCCCTCCGACCTGACAGCTCACGACGATGAAGCAACGCCCTGAGAGCTTTACCCTGTCGACCTGTTCCAGTAAGACAAGCCTTAGCTTCTGGAAAAGGTACAACTACTTAAATACACCAACCCATCGGTCGTCGACACACATATCCGATAAAGGACAGACAAGCAATACTAGTATGGCATCGCCTCCACCTCTCCATCGCCGAGATGCTAAGCCGATGCAAGGATACACAAGCAATATGGCAATACTGTGACCCTCCCCATGCTTATAATCGTGTACTAGTACGTGCAGTACCTGAAGGTGATCAACGAAGAACCGAACCGAAGTGACCGAGGCAACCTGCCCTGTATTTCTCCAACACTAGACAACGACAACCGTCCTCGCCATCTCGAAAGGGAGACCTTCTCCGCAGTAGATATCTACCTTTAGTTACCTAGCACTCCTATCCAAGGTAGAGTACGTTTCTCTTCTCAACACCGTCTATCACCATTCATTCTTGGTTTGCAAGTGCTTGTCCCTCCGTGAATACGCCATTTTCTTTTTTGATTGCTCGATACTGGTACTGCAGGATAGAATATAGACACAGGTACTACACAAGACCTAGACCTTTACCTTGACCCGGACGTGGAGACCACAACCTGGTTCACGTTGAACCGGCTCCAAGAACGAGCAAACGACAAGCCCCCGCCCGTCACCTCCAAGCCCACAATGGCATACAACGCCCTCGGCCTCCCTCTGGAGTACTGCTCCCCAGCATATCGAGACGAACTCGGGATCAAGAAAATGACCCCTTCGACCACAACCTCAACCTCACCGTCGTCGATGTCACCATCACCATCACCATCACCATCCTCCTCCTCCTCCTCCAATCCAACACCAATACCAACACCGACACCACTATGGACACCCTCCCACCCTGAAAACACACCAATATCGAACTACCGCGAACACATCAACACCAAATTCTCCGTCTCCCTCACCAACAGCCACGACCTACACACCTGGACCGTCCGCAACCCGCACGCCTTCTGGACCGACCTGTACTCATACTGCGACATCATCCCTGCTCTTCCCCCAGGCACAACGCTCGCATACGACCCTGCCGCCAGACTCCGCGATATTCCTGTTTTCTTCCCCGGCCTTGAGTTGAATTACGCCGAGAACGTGCTCGTCCCCAACACCAACACCAACACATCGCGCAATGGCAACGGCAACGGCAACACCGATACGGCACGCCGCAACCCTGAAGAAGCGGTCGCCTTGATCGGTCTGCGCGAGAACCGTCTCGACCAGCCCGAGGAGATCACTTGGTCGGAGCTGGCCGAGCTCGTGCGCATGACTCGGTCCGCGATGGTCAGGCAGGGTTTGTGTCGCGGGGACGTGGTTGCCGCGTTGATGGCCAACTCGGTCTGGATTGTCGTGCTGTTTTTGGCCACGGCCTCGATCGGGGCGATATTCACGTCCGTGTCGCCAGATGTAAGTTTGAGAAAAACATTTTCCTCTTCTCTTCTCTTGTGCTCCTTTTCCTCGTTCCCGTCTTCCGTCCTACCGTAGGGACCTATGCCAACGAGCGCGGCGGCAGTTCGAGGAGCTGGTGCTCTGCTGTGCTGTGCTGCGCCGCGCCGCTCACAGTAAAGCCCGGCTCGAGCTCTGCATTCTGGCCTATCCAAAAGTTTCTTCCCTGACAACGAGCAATCTTCTGACTTTTGGCCGATTCACCTTGTAGATGGGCATCCAAGGCTGCACCACGCGCTTTGCCCAAGTCTCACCGAGACTGCTCTTCGCCGACATCGACCTCGCTGTCCGCGGCGTGCGGAGATCAATGCTCGGCAAAGTCCAGAACATCTTACAATCTCTCGACGCCAATACTTCTTCAACATCCGCCCCCAGCTTGGTAAGACCGCGAGTGGTCTTCGTCCCAACCTGCCACCGACCCCATCGTGCCGCCAACATCGAGTACATCCGTCCTCTCGGCGGCGAGTCCGAGTCCGAGTCCGAGTCCTTGCACTCCTTCCTGCGCGCCTCGCAACCGTCCGATGCCATGACATACACCCGCGTGCCGACCAACCACCCTCTGGTCATAGTCTACAGCTCCGGCACGACGGGCGAACCGAAATGCATCGCCTCCCCACACATGAGTATCCTCAACTACAAGAAGATCGCACTTTTGCACAACTCCCTCACCCCGGACGACACAGTCTTCCAGTACTCCTCAACAAGCTGGATCCTGTGGAACGTGATGAACGGGCACCTGTCCGTAGGCGCACGGGTGATCTGCTACGACGGTGGAGCCCTCTACCCAAACCCGTCCACGTTGCTCAGCATCTGTTCCAAATACAAAGCCACCTACTGGGGCACATCGCCGCGCTACCTGTTGGAACTCGAACAGTCCGGTATCAAGCCGTCGGATTACGACCTGACATCTCTAAAGCTCGTCACGACGACCGGCGCGACACTGACGGGCGAACAATTCACCTGGTTTTACTCTAGTCATGCCTTTTCAAGACGGATCCATTTGTCCAGCGTAGCAGGGGGCACCGAGATTGCGAGCTCTTGGATCGCCACGGACCCCGCCGGCCCCGTGTATGCGAACGAGATGCAGATGTGGGCTCTCGGACATGACTGTGACATTCTGGACACCGAAAGTGAGACAGGCGAGTCAATCGCCCTGACGGGCCGGCCGGGAGAATTGGTCTGCAGGGCCCCGTTCCCGAGCATGCCATGCCGCTTCTGGGGAGACGACAAAGACAATAGAAAATACCGTGCGGCGTATTTTGAGAAATTCCCAATCCCGTCAACAGCAACAGCAACAGGCTCGCCAGGCTACCTCGACGTGTGGGCGCAACACGACTTCATCACGATGAACCCGCTCACAAAAGGCGTGCAGATCTTGGGCCGATCCGATGGCGTGCTGAACCCCAGTGGGATACGTTTCGGAAGTAGCGAGATTTATAACATCGTCGAAGGGCCTGCCTTCAACAGCGAGTTAGCAGACACCCTGTGTGTCGGCCGCCGGCGTCAAGGAGACCAGGACGAAACGGTCTTTTTGTTTGTGGTCATGGCGCCAGGTCAAGGCGATAAATTTGGTGAGGATCTAGTCAGGAGGATCAAGGAGAGTATAGCCACGGGCCTGAGTCCACGGCACGTGCCCAAGTTTGTGGAACGAGTGAGCGAGATCCCGTACACGGTCAATGGGAAGAAGGTTGAGATCGCGGTGAAGAAGGTGATTAGTGGGCAGGAGGTCAGGGTGAGTAGTACGGTGGTGAACCCGGGGTGTCTGAAGGAGTATGAGAGGTATGTCAGGCTTGAGAGGGAGGCCACGAAGAGAAAAAGTAGATTGTAAGGAAATGTGGTGGGAGCGCGGGTGAGTAAGGTAGAGAGTCGAACATACAGTGTTGTTTCGAAGAGAAGAGTCCCTGATGTCGCGATATCAACCAGGGCCATGCCAAGACCCACCTGACTCAACAAATCACGTGATTAGTAGCGGTCACGTGGGTATTAAGTGACTGATCACACTGACACGTGACTGATCTTTCCTCGTGTCTGATGTGATGGAATGTGAACGTCTGCGTTGAGCGTCGAGCGTGCAGCGTACAGCGTATAGTTGAGGGAATGGTGGTCAGTCAGATCAGTCAGACTACAAACGACAACACATCTGTATAATCTAAGTTCATTCAAAAGCCATCTATGGTACACAAAAAGGGCTTGTCAGCTACAATAAGCGAGAGTGAGTGGTTGCAACAAGTCCAGGTCTGGTCCATGTCTATACCAGGCCTGGCTTCCTTTTTCCACGTCTCCCTCGCCATCAAGAATTAATCAATAAGTTCTGACTTTTTACCTCTGGAAACTCCAATCGTCGCTCATGCTATAAATCAAGCCCTGATTCGTGCTTCTCCATCCGGTCCACCAGCACCAACCCAGGGATTCATCGCTCCATGATATGCATTCACATAGACAAGAACACGAAAATGCCAAGTTGCTTCGGCATTTCACATAGAAACTTGTGAGAAAATGTGTACAAGAAAGGAATTGTTCAATCCCAATCCAATGTTCCCTTCACTTTTCCTTTCCTTCACCATGCTGCTGAATTATGCACAACCGCATTGCTCTCTCGTCGACAGCTATTGTGCTGACGCTCTCGTCGTTCTCCAAGACAGTGGTGATTTCCGGTTATCCTAATGTCAATGAATGGTCCGCATCGCTTGCTGTAGACGTTGTTGCATGTTGGAGTCCGGTGCTACAGTCTCCCAGAACCCATAACTTAGGTTGTTCTGTAGCTCCAAGAACAGAATCGTCATGCCCCAGACGTGTGGTCGAGCAACCGCGAGGCGTTCATAGACGATACGTGAGATTTGTTCCCGAACTTCACCTTGCTGAGCATCAGCATTGCCCGATCCCCAAAGATGGAGCATGAGCTTGCAGAAGAAATCAGTATGTGTGTTGGGATAGCGGATCTGATCTGCAATCGCATTGAGCAGTTGATAACGACTTTCGGAGCCAAGGCTCGCAGCAAGCTTGGTCACGAAGTTGACGTGCACAGAGTTGGCATCAAATCTGCCCGGAGCATTGGTGAGTGCATCTTGTCCCACAAAAGGCACAAGGGCATTCATGATCTCCATCGTTTTCGGCGGCGCCATGACTGAAGATTGCCGCTCGGCATCTTGTAAAACAGGCTTGATTTGTTTCAAGGCCGCTTCCATATCGGTGCTCTTGCGCAAAAGATCGACGAGGGTGTCTTTGAGGAGATCTTGCTGCAATGGAACATCGAAGTCGGAAGCCAAAACGGGGTTGCGCTTGATCTCGTCCAGACGTTCGATCTTCAGGCCCGGAGTCATTGGGTCCGGCAGGTCGTGGTAGGCTGAAGGCTTTGCAGTGAGAATCAAGTTTCTCAATTGTGGCAGGCCGTACGAAATCCTTGAGCAAAAGTACGAGTGGTTCTCGCACAAAAACTCCGGATAGTCGTGAAGCAGGATCAATATATTTCTCAACGTGCCTTTGTACAGATCGAGGTTGAGTAGATCCAGGCCAGGTGTCTTGGACAGCTCCGAGATATACAGCAACAGCAAGCCTACAAGGTCGCGATAGGCGTCCCATCCCGCATGATTGTGCGGACGGAGCATACCGGCCACGAAGACCCGATGGACAATAAGACTGTACCATCCATAGCTGAAGCCTGGGAACCACAGAGGTTGAAGAGATCTGAAACACTTTGCAAAGGCGAGCATCAACTCGGCGTGCTCGGGAGTTTCGTCCAATCTGGCAGCCGAATACTCGTAGAGCATGGTGGCAAAGAGCCGATTGAAGAGTCGCTGATGAAAAGCCACGCCTCGCATGATTTGGTGGTGATTCAGAATCAGGACCAGCACCGTGAGGATGGTTTCCAGATATGGGGCTTTGCTGATCCGAACAGCGCCGTTGGTGTCGCCTTGGAATTTGACCAGCATGATCACCAACCGGCCAAGGGCATCGGCATGAGAGAAGGCAACCTCGACACTTCCGCGGACACTCTGTGCCTCACAATCATAACACTCGACACACGAGTCGATGCACAGTCGCAAGAATTCCGTCAGATCCTCGGTACTATTAATCGTCTGCTCCTTGTGCAACTCCTTGAGGAATGCGGCACATGTGCCTTCGTTGGGACCTAGGTTCTCGAAGATGCCGACCCACTCGTCGAAGACGTATCGCATCTGATCTTGCTTGGCTTTCGTCTTGTCTGTCACGTCCACACTGACAAACTGCGGCATGCCATGTGCTCGTAACTTCTGGTTAATTCTGGAAGCTAGAGGCAGATCCGGCGTTTCCTTGAGCCACGCCGACATGGCGATGAGGCTGTTAGCAAAGTCGGCTCGAAGTGCAACCGGCTCATCGGTAAACAAAGTTTGGTCGAGAATGTCGGACAGTACTTGGATACCGTGTGTGTCCCTGCTCATCAAGATCGAAGCAACGGCAACATCCACTCGGGCAAATTCCATCAAGCCAACAGTGACAAGTGCCACAACCACATTGGAGCTGGCGAGCAACAAGTCTTCATTTGCAGTCATCCATCTGAGGACATCCCGAATGATCAGCTCAGACAACTGGCAAAGCTTAGATAGCAAGAATGCGAGTACTTCGGCTTCAAGCGGGCTTTGCGGTGGTTTCGACACGAAAATGTTGCAGAGCTTCTCAGCGATTTGTCTTGCCAAAAGATCGGCTGCAGGACGGGTTGACGAGGTAAGGACGATGAGAATTTGCCGGAAATCCTGAAAGATAGAGCTGTTCTTCTCCAAATCTTTCAGCCGCAGGGCCTCCGAAGCTCTTGCCGCCTTCTGCACATCTTCGATGAGGATGGAAATCCGCTCTTGGGGAGGAAGAGTTTCTGCGAAGCCATTGACACGCGGTTGCTGCATTGCCGAAAGCATGCGATTCTCTTGTTGCACCAACGGACTTTGATGCGGAAGCGCGGGCTGTTCAGCAGGTGTCGCAAGATTCGGCATAGCCAGAGGATCTTGCAGTATGTCCGGAATCTGGCGTGCGGCATCGGCTGATAGGTTCGGGATGTGGTTGGAATTCATTCCGTGCACCCGACGATCGAATTCTTCGTAAACTGCTCGTTGGGCTTCATTGAGGCCACCAACGGTCTGCTTGTACGGCTCAGGAATCCAGGCTGACCAGCGACTGGTGTTTGCTGGGATGAAATCTCTGGTTCCACCATCGGCAGCGAATCGGCGACGCTCTTCAAGCTCGGTTTCGATGACTTGATCAATTTCAGGGACAGCACGCTGCTCCGCGGCTTGCTCGACAAAAGAACAAGCAGTATCAAGATTATCATTGACACACATTAAGATGGCGCCCTCGGGCAGCAAGTGCTCCGGCAGGTCGTCCTGGGCTGGTCGGCGGATATAGTTCGAAATGCTCATCCGGAGCGGCTCCTTACATGTCACAAGTGCTAGACTGCCAGCCAATGACTTGACCATCTGTCTAGCGGCAGTTCGATACTTCTCGACGTCTGGCTCCACGGCGTAGTCCTTCGCAATGAGCTGAGCTGTAGAAATTGAAGCGATGGTGATGGATCGCTCAACAACGGGTGCGATGATTTCCTGAATGGCTTGATCAAATGCACGATAAATAATGTTCTTGATCATAGCCTGGTCTGCCGGTGAGCCTGAGGTTGGAGGATATTTCAGCACCTCTTCCAGGTTAGGGAGCGATGCCATGATCTCTGCTGCCGAAAGGCGTTCACGTCGGTTCAGCCCACTGTTAAGTGACAACTCATCGAAATTCTCCAGGACGTCTGGGAGAGCAGAAACCGCCGTCATCTCATCGTCTGTTTGAGGACGCACTCGAATGACATTGGCGGGCTCGAGTTTCTTGAAGTCAAGCTTAAGGTCCTTGCAAAGAACTTCGATCTCGAATTTGAGGTTCAACTTGAGTTCGGCAAAGTGATACAATTCCACCAATACCGATACGATCTCCATGAGCCATGGATTGGGTGGCATGAAGACCAGCGAGTTGGCACCCTGAGCCAACACTTTGCAGGTGAAGGGGATGACCAATAGCAAACGCTGAGTCTCGAACCCCTCGACAAGCAAGTCCACGAAGTAAATGTTCTTGTGCTTGATGGGCTTGTCTTGAGCAAGAGTTAGTGACCCTAGCCAGCCACCAAGGTTCTTTAGATGACCCCTCTCCTGGGTGGAATTGATGGTCGACTCCGAGCTCATCAGTTTGACAATGCTAACGTAGGTCTCGCGAATAACCTCTGACATGAGGAGATCATCGCTCAGCATGTTGACAAGTTGGAAGTACATCTCTTGGTTGTTTGGTTCAACTCTGGCACGCTGCTCGACCAGATAGGACGCGAACCATTGATAGTGCTCCGGGTCGAATGACTCTTTCAGGTCGACGAGTTTGCTGGATATATTGTCCTTCGAGAGGTTGTTGATGACGAAAAGGATTTTCTCTTGCACTTTCTGATCGGGGTCCTTGAAGTGAGCGCCAGGAGGAGGAGGATCAGCTCGCAACGCTCGAAATCCGCGACCCTGCTCGGGTGGATCGCCATTGATAGCGGGGCCATCAATGCCGTTGGTGCCAGCTGCTTGCTGCGCTTGAAGTCCTTCTTCTGCACGTTGCAATATTTCCGGATGTTTGAGCTTGGGGATTTGCAATAGCAGGTTGCAGAGACCCGGCCAATCAGACAGCTGATCACTGATTTGTAGCAGTGCTTCAATACCAAAGCGATGCATGAGACTGTCCGAATCGTGGTCACGGACGGCTCGCAAGATCAAAGCCAGACCAAAGTCTCGTGGAATTGAAGGCAAGAGCTTGTACTTGATGATACTTCCGAAGAGCAGAGCCGTCTTTTCTAGGGCATCCTCTGGGTATTCGTTATAACAGACATACTCGTCAAACAACCCGTGTACGATGCAGCAGAAGAGATCCTGCTGATCCGGATCTGTCGAGGTTTTGTATCTTCGCATCTCGTTAACCATGTCGCGGATCGAGAGCTCAGAACGATACATCCGGCCAAACAACTCCGACATTTGCTTGTCGATGGCTTCGGGAAGCTTGTTACCCTTTTCTTGGCTGCTTCTTTCCAGGATGTCATCGAAGCCAGCCCCATAGTTCATGAGACGAGGGTACGTTTGCAGGCACGTGGTTTGGGCAGCCTCAACCATGCTTCGTTCTCCGAGATGATCTTCCAATTTCTCGAGCAGGGTGTGAACTGTGCGCAAACTGAGAGGAATGGATTGGGGCGCAGACTCGCCCCGCTGGACGCGAAATTCATCGTCTGCCTTGATGCGAAGATATTTGAAAAGGATCGTGCCGAAATTATCGTGACCTTCAGCGGCTTCGGAGATGTATTGGTCCAAATCGAACTCTGGCTCTACCTTGTTCCGGATGCAAGCAAGATCGAGTGCCAAAGGGTTCGACCAATGTCTGAGAAAGTCTTGTGTCCAGCCAAATTCCTCGGCCCGTTCATAGATGGTTTCCGTCTGCCGAGGATCGACTTGAAATACGAGATGGCAGAGATCGAAAAGGAAGTGTGGATTTTGTGAGGAGAGTGTTTCTAGAACCGCACGGTAGTCTGTTCGCTGCTTTTCGAGGAACAACCCGAAGCATTCAGCGATGAACTTTTCTTGGTCCGGAACCCATGGTTTTGCGCTGACCTTTGACAGATACAGCAAGAAAATTGCAGGATGATTCCGATAGACGTCGTTCAATATGTCGAGACGATCTTCGCCGTCAGGCGCAGTGCTAGGTCCTAAAGCGACCTCGAAGATGGCCTGGCATGCATCAGCGGACGCGTAGGGGGTTTGCAATTCTGCTTCAAGAAATCGCTTCATCTCGGCGGACGCATTCCTAAACTCATCCAACGTCAAGCTTGGCCGAAGACCTGGAATTTTTGAAGGCTCTACTTCCGCCGAAGAACTGGCAAGGAAGCCACCCAGGAGGGAGATCTGCGTGTCCGGGTTCTGCCATTGACCGCCCCATAACTTCTGGAGGTCAAATCCGCGATCGTCCAAGGCAACTTCTCGCAAGGTCTTGAATAGTCGTGGGAAGTAGTTTCTCCGTAGTCGCAAACCAGGGATATCAAACCCTTGAATGATCAGATTCCAGTCAAGTTGTCTCGGCACAAGGGCTGAGACAAAATTGCTTATGTCGTATGATTGATTCACAGAGAAGACCAGGAACAACAAAGCGTTGACTACTTCGGCCTCGGTAACGCTAGTTGGATTGAGTGATTCCAGGAAGTCTTGTGCAGCTTGCTTTGATGATGTCGTTTTCACACCGTGTCGTTGTAGACCGCGCGCCATCTCCCTGCGCGAGGTGTTAATGCGCAATAGCTGAGACGACGTCAAGACGGCAGTGAACTGATCATCTTTCATATTAACGCAGCGTGATGATAATGCAGTCCACAGGTCATTTTTCTGTTGCTGTGTTTTCGTCCCAGCCGCGAGGGCATAATATTCAATTACCGAGCACAGATTCTCGGGAGCCAATGCGTGCGTGCTACCACGACCTTCGGACAGTGTGTGAAGTGAATTCTGGCCGAAGTCGGTTAGGAAGCTCTCTGCCTTGGTGCTGAGATCGACTCGTGTACATTTGGTGAAAGCGACGGCTAGGATGACCTGAGGCAGAGTATCGGCGTAGAAATGTTGGATGAAAGCCACCAGGTCAAAGTCGCGGAAAATGTCTTCTTTCGAGGTATCGATGGCTTCTGCGATTTTAGAGGGCTGTTCTGGATCCCAGAATACTTTGTCCACCTCTTGCCGCAGCAACTTGTAGCTGCCTTGGTCAAAGTCTTTGGCCCCAGAGAAGATTGCGGCCACGTTGGACGTGACAGCGCGTCTGAAGTATGGTGCAAAGACCTCCATGCCGTTTGAGTCAAGTAATTTCCTGATCTTTTCGGCCTTGCTTTCCCACTTGGTCTTGCCTTCTCTTTCGCTGATAGTATCAAGAAGGAGGAGTATCTGAGTCGCCGATATTTTGGATAGGGACGAGGGACCAGTTGCGGTGGAACCGACGTTGGATGATATGCTGGGGGATCGTTCGAAGTTTGCACCGGTAGGAGAGCCTACACCAGGCCCGGTCAAAGAGGGAGAATATGCACCGCTCCTACTGTACACTCCTCCACCTCCGGCCCCAAGGCCAGACTGCGTGAAGGGACCCGCACTAGCAGTGGCGGATGATTGAGAAGGGGTAAGGGTTCTTGACCTGGGGGATGTGACGGAGCGGGACGAATATGCTTGCACTTGATGAGCGCCAGCTTGGAGAGCGTTGACGGGAGAATTTGAGTGAGAGGAGCCAGGTGGTGTCCCCCGCCTTGAACCTAGGCGAGTTTGACTGGTAAGGAGAGGAGGAAAATTGCCGGAGGAGGGAGAGATGGATGAGGTGTACAAGTCGGACTCAGATAGCGCCTGGTCCCTGCGCGTTCCCGTAGCCGAGGACGAGGACAAGTTCGAGATCGCAAGGGGGGTCAACCCACGTCTGGAGCTGGACAGGGAGGAGAGTTGTCCCCAAGGAGATTGGGCTGGTCGAGGCTGTCGAGGTTGAGACTGTTTGTCCGAAGCGGAAGTGATCGAGGACTGCCAGTGCGCGAAGGAGGAGGGGTTATCGAAGCTCATGCCAAACAATCATGACCTTCGACAGGCAAGTGGTACTGTTTTCGAAGGTAACTGACTGATCACGCGCGAGGGTGAATTTACAATCGAAAGTGCCAAGTGGCAGATGAAGGAAGAGGTGAAGTTTTCTGCACGCGTGTGCGAGAGAAGAGGAATTGATGATGGGTGGACTGAATGTGGCAGAATAATAACAGTAGAATGGATTTGATGGAAGAGCGTCTTCCTCCTCTCCACGTTTCCCTTCGAGCAGCAGCAGAAGGCAAGAGGCTGATTCGGCTGCTCTTCTGCGCAGGCTTGGCTCAGATACTTGGCTACGGTCACGTGACTACGGTTGTCCACCCACGAATTCCGTCTCCTTTTCTTCCAATACGGAGTACGGAATACAGACTTGGGAATTGGAAAAATCAATCCGTATTGGGAGGAGACACAAGTGAGAATCATTCCATTTTCAAGCTGGGTATCTTTTGATTTTGCCATCTAACATGTAACACCGAGAAAGCTCGCCGTCGTCGGATTAAAACCACCTAAACCATAACCAGCTCCGGCAAACACTTCCATTATCTGAATTGAAGCCAATTCACGCAGTTCTCAATGCAGGCGAACCATTGTATGTCCAAGACGGGCTTCGTATACAATACGGAATTTTCCAGGTCGAGTAGGAGTCTTGGAAAGGCCAGCTTTGATTCGGCATACCAAGTCTTCCTCGCTTCATTTGGTTGTAGAAACTTCGACACTGTCGTCAACAGCTTCAGCGGCAGCTCTTTTTCTTCCCTTTGTCGTTGATGACGATGCAGTGCGCGTTCCTGATTTGACGCGAGGCCATGTGTCGAATGGACTACCTTTCTTGCCGGGACGTACCGCAGAACCATCCTCTGAGTGCGGAGACGCCTTTGCAGCTGATCGTAGCGACCGGCCTGCCTTCGTAGGAGACTTTTCGCCTGGGCTTGCAGACTGATCACCACTACCGTCCGCCACCTCTTCAATGTCTGTCAAGGCTTCTTCTTCCTTCTCCAACTCTCGAGCTCGTTTTTCTTGCTCGGTTTGGAACAGGCGTGTTGGCTTGATCGAGCGTCGCGTGAGCGTCTTGAGCGACTTGACGTGTAATCCTCTGGGGGTACGCTCTAACAGACCGAGGTCTTCAGCGTCTTCGGCACTAATCTCTTCTTCCTCGTCCTCATCATCATTGAATCGTCTGTAGACCTTCTTGCCACGACTGCGCTTTTGTTAGTATTTGGGACCCAAAAGGAAAGCAGAACACTCACAATACGTAAACCATGCCTTCGTCCTTGTGAATGGCTTCTTCCACTTGAGGGTCCAGCTTCTTCTCGCCGCTGACCTTGCGTCGCTTGACGGTTCCAGCAACTTTGCGTGAGGAAGAAGCTTGGTTGTCCATGGCGCTCTCCACAAACGGGTTGGACTTGCTCTTGTCGATTTGCGGCACTCTGTCTCGAGAATCGGTGAAGATTTGAATCTGACCTCGACTGCCGTCGGCTTCGCCCGAAAAGCTCTCAAGTGAGAAACCGTTATACCGCTTGGTCTTGCGGTTTCGCCTCGGACCGGGTTCGATGTCTGCTAGGTCGGAAGAAACATGTGTGGGATCTTGAAAGAGGGCGCGAGCGGTGCCATTCACCTTCGAGACCATCTTCTTCCTGGGTGTCTTGACTGGTGTAGGTAGCATACCGTCAGATATCGTGGTTGAAGAGGATTCGAAAGGTTGAAGATGTGTCTTGGAGGGAGGAGGTTGCTTCCAGGACGAGGAAAGAGTGTCGGGGGAAGGAGGAGAAATGACATGCACGCGGCGCGTAGATTTGTTCTTAGGCGTCAATTGGGGTGAGTAAAGGCCGGGTGAGGCGGCGCTGGACTTCCTCGAAGACTTTGGTGTTGTCACTGACGCATTGTTCGAATCCTTCTGTCGTGAAGCGTCCGGAGTCGAGCGCAGGTCCCTGGCAGCGATTCTTGCACTGGATCGAGTGGCGCGTCTAGAATTGAATCTCTCGTATGCAGCCCCGTGAAGAGGAGTGGAAGGGGTTTCAGGAGTGCCAGTGATCTGTGCAGGCGGAGTTGCAGCCATGTCGCGCAGTTCTCATGGAAGTGAAGGGCAAGTGAGGTGAACTTAGACTGCCGCACCTGCGCGGTGTGGTGACTTTCACTGCAGTTCGAGTCGCAAAGTGCGCAGAAGATATCCAAAATTGAATCGATGCTGGTGCTAATACATTAGTGCATGAAAGCAAAAGTGTATAGCGACAGTTGAGGGGGTAATGGAGAGGCGACGGCAGCATTGAGGATAGAGGTGAGGAGTTGGATTTGAGAGGTTGGGCTCTGGGCTCTGGAACTTGAAGCGGTGGCTGGGCTGCATCAATTCAATTCTCCGGCAGCGCACATCGTCCCATCCATTGGGCGTGCTTAGCGAGAGCCACCCTTGCGCGTCAGGAATTCCCTACGCGTAAATGGGCTTTTGTTTTGGGTCTCAGGTGCGGCCATGGTTCAGAGTCGAACTTCATACACAGTACTACTAGGATCCCAACAACACCAGGGCTTCAAGGTCGACCTTCTGCGGTCTTCTTATCATCCTCCGCCATGGATCCCGAAGATTCCTTATTGAGAAGCGACGATGTGGACGAGAGTCTGTGGGATTCACCTGCTAAAGCTGCCGGCAACCCCGAAGGGACTCCCAAAGCCTCGACCAAAAACGCAAAACCTAGTCGGCCAACATATCAAGAACAACAAGAACGGGAAGAGAGTCTGCGTCGGGAATTAGAAGGCGTGCGGCAGGTCAATGAGACCATCGAAGACTTGATCCAGAGTCTGAACAAAGCAAAGGATAACATGAAGGTATGGACTGCTGTCTTCATGGGACGATTGCAATACTGATCACGGTCACAGACTGTCAACAATACCGTCGGCGCTGCATCTACACTACTCAATACCTGGACTCGAATACTGTCGCAAACAGAACACAATCAGCGATTGATCCTCGATCCCTCTTGGCACGGCGCCAGTCAAGATATTGCGGACATTGACGACGAAGCCCTAGAAAAACAACGTGCAGCTGAACGACAAGAGGCTGAAGAGCAGGAGAGAAAACTTATGGCAGCTAGACGTGCTGAAGAGGAAGAAAAGAGAAGAGCAGAGCTGGCTGCCAAACAGCCCAGACCCACCTCAAGCCGAGGAGCTAGAATGGGCGCTGGAGGAAGAGTCCCGAGCACCACGTCCACTTCATATGTGCAGATGGGTGGCAGCACCAAGCGAGGAACATCATCTAGCAGAAGAACAACATCCGGCATCGGGCGAGGGATTGCCGGGAGAGGGTCCCGAGGACGTGGTTGAGTGGATCTCTTTCCCATCGGCGGTATCTATTTCATGACCTTGCTGAGCGTCAGCTGTTGGACGACCATGAGAGTCCCTGCAATGGCTTCACCAAGCCGTTGACTTCTGTAACGACGCCGCTAGCTCATTCCATGCTCACCCTAGGGAACCTCCCGCAAAGTCAATGTTGCGAGCCCCAGGCCTTTCTTGACCAGGCAGTTGGCAACCCCTCGACACCACTCGATAATCTGTGCGCCAGCTTCAGCGGCCCGGAAAGCGCTCACTGTCTCATACACGATCCTGAGAGCGTAAAATGTCGAAGCTGGACCGTACAGCTTCATCTCATCCTGCATCAAATACTCCATACTCTGGCATATGTTGGTGGCAAGCGCAATGATATTTTTTCGAAGGGGTTCGTCATCTTGGTCTGAAGCTACGGACGTCCCCGGCACAGTTGAGTACCCTCGCAGCACATCAAGCTGCGTAAGACAAACAATCTGAAATGCCCAGAAGTGGACGTATGCATTTGCCGCAGAGACATCCGGAAAATACAAGGCCTTTGCAGGCAGTCGATGTTCTGACTTGCGCAACGGGGCTGATGGGACCTCCCAAAACAAAGGCCTCCCCTCTGCAGCGGCAATCAGCATTTGCTCCCACTGCCAAAGGCATGCCAAAACCCGCCTCAGCGAGTCATGGAGTGTCGAAACAGCAACTGGCAACTCGCTGTTCGCCACTGTCCTCAACGCATCAATGCTTTCGAGAAGGGACGGAATTACGGCAGCTTCGGACAATAAGGCTTGCATTGAGGTTGCTCCATGTCGCGAAAATGGCACTTTAATCCAGTCTTCTGAGGAAAGAAAGACGGATTTGCGGTCATTCAAGGCTTGCAAGATCTGTGTCGTGTCAGTACAGCCATTGCTACGACGGGGTTCTTCTCTCACAATCAGAGGCCGAAATCCAACAAAAAGGCTGTGATTGATACCATCGCAGAGCATATGAGGCTCACAGCGCCGAATCAGCTCACTGACACCTTTCACATGTGCCTGCCAGCCGCCTTCTGTGGTCGGGACCATCACCTAGGCGAATATGGGATCAAGACCATACTTGAGTAAGCGAGTGAAGAACAGTCATACCTCAGATAGTGTCAAACACATACTCGCTAGAGCCAAATCCGCCTCGAACACTTGGGAACTTTCCGTCAAGGCCTCTCTCAAGGCCATCAGCACATTGCAGTACGTCTGGACGTACTCTGTCTCCGCATATCGACCTATACCGCGCTCGACAAACGTCAGACACATGGCCCTCATCGCCGCCATAAGAACGGCATAATGTCTGCTTGGCCGCTTGATCTTGACCAGCCCGTCGACCCACGAACCACAAATCCTGGAATGTAGGGTCGGGGTGGTGCTTCTGCATGAGAGGAAGCGAATCTCGTTGGTGGGGATGTATGCCTCAATTATCAGGTCGGACAGTATAGAGTAACTGGCATTTGAGATGCTGGAGCCGTCCAGCCTGGGACGGCCTAGAGAGTTGTTGAACGGGGCGTTCGCGTCCACTTCAATCGAAGCAATCCAATTTCGAGACCGGGACTCATAATCTGTGGCTGATGCAGAAGCTGAAGAATTCTCTTCCGACTTATGGTGAATGATCGTCAGAATCTGCGCGTACCCCGGGCAGACCTTGCCGCTGAACGTGCACTGGGTGCATTGGGGTACTTTGCCATCGCACTATGATGCTCGCTCCGAGGGTCAGACAAGAGACACCTTCGATTGGCACGTCCATGTTCTAGCGAACGATGATTGAATGAACTTACTCCGAGCCGTCGTCTTCTGCAGGCCTGACAGACCGATTTGTGCTTACCTCTCATGAGGATGGTGTCGACGACGTGAGGTCAATTGGAAGGTTGCTTCGAGGTCTCGGCTTGTGGTGTATCACAACACCATATTCGTATCGGATTCGGGGAGCTCGACATTTGAATGCAGGATTGCTCGAAAGACAAAACACAGTTGGACGGTGGACTGAAGTTGATATCTTCCATGTTTCGTTCACGAGGACGAAGATTGTCTTCATTGCTAGCATCAAAATCTTAGTCAGCACGTTTAAGCATGAGCCCGACCATCGGCCGGCACCCTTACATTGTACTTGGCGGACAAAGCTGCCTCCTCCGGGTTAGTGGCCCTGGTAGCCCTTCTTCTCAGAGGTCAGCGACTTTACAACCACGAATGATATGAGGATGGAAGCAACGCAGTCATGTTTTGCTATGGCGTGGAGAGAAGAGGATATGCATTGACAAACATCCCTTGTCGATGTCCCAAAAACATCATCTTGCGAAATTGGTCAAGACACCTCAGATCCTCGAGACCCTTGTGGTTGTGAAGGAGGCTGTTGGCACTTGCATTGTCTTCCTCAGTCTGCTGTATGCCTTCAACATCGCCAGGATGCTCATACACATGTCCCCCGCTCCAGCTGTTTCGTGGATGCTTCTGTGCTCCTTTCGTGAAAAACGACAAGAGGAAAACTGGAATCCTTGCAAAAAGGTATTACGGACTAAATGAACCTATAACAGATCCCATATTAAAAGTCTATACCCTGCCCTCGTCAATCTGCAATCTTCGGAACTTGAGTCCAACACTTCCCACCTCATATCTCAACGCCAGCGTGCCAAACTCTTTCCCATCTTACAAAAGTGCAACGGCACCAGCTACGCCCATAAATGCAGCCACGATGCCGTGTCCAGCCTTTGCATTCACAGCCGCACCAGTGTAAACGGAAGCCGAAGGCCCTGCCATGGTGCTCATCATGCTAGTCGTAGAGCAGGAAGTATTCCACATGGTTGCCATCGTGGTCGGCACGGTCGAGACGGAAGTTGTCATGGCCACGCTCGTGCTGTCCATCGGGATACTGGTCATCGAGGTCACTGTAGCCGGCACCGTGGTGGTCGAAACGCCTCCAGCAACTGCGCTATCGGTTGGTGCGGCAGTCGTCGCGGCGTAAGAATCAGTGGGAGCGGCGCTGGCGAGCGACGAGCCGCAGATGGACTGCCCAAAAACGACGGCGGCTACGGACTTGAAGTCAGCATCATTTCTTTGAAAAGGGGAAAATCTGTTGTGTTGTACGTACCCTGAACATCGCTAGCCGAGCAGGACTGGAGGATTGTAGTGGTGATGGCGTCCTGGAAGGCCTGGGACTTGCAAATGCAGGCGGTATCGTTCAAGGCGCATCCAGCTGAGCCTAGAGCCGCAGCGGCGGCATCGCGCTGTTTGGGAATGGTGTTAGAAAGCATTGCTCTGGGTCCTGCACGGAGGGTGATGACTTACAGCACAAGGTGGGAGTCCACTCAACTGGCTGGAGTCGATTTGGGGCCTGGCGAGGGCGAGGCTCGCGATGAAAGACACGATGAAGGTTGTGCGGCGCATTTTGATGGTCTGCTCGCCTGTCTCGTCAGCTGTAGCAAGCAGTAGAAGCCAGACTGGGAAGATGCGATGGACAATATAAGTGAGAAATGAGGGTTCTGCGGTAGATGAGTATGATCCTGATATCAACAAAGAGATGCCTCCAGACAAAGAATGCATATGTATCCACCACAAATACTTGCAGAAGTTGCTGATCGCAGCAGGACTAGCAACCATCTGGTTGTTGCTGCCGCATGATTTGGAATGCGGGTTCCATTGAGCACATGCCAGCATCTGGACTACATGTAGACATCACAGCTAACTCAAAGGTTGTTCTGCAAATCTGTTGCTGCGACCCTAGGCGAGCAATAAAATAGAGGGCGGCGCCATGGTTGACAAAGGAGACCCGATACGGCGATACGGAAACCGTCAGTCAAACATCTCAAACGCAGACTTTGAAACTCTGGTCTTCGAATGATCGAGTGCTATAGCCATGATGAAGTTAGAGTGCTCGAGGAGAACGGAAGTGGAAAGCGTCGATGGCGTAGACGAGGCTGGACAAGGCTGCCGGTCGGACTCCTCCACGTGACTTCTGTCGGACCGACATCGGGTCGTAGCGGAACGGCAGAAATTGATCTAATCTGATAAGTGTGCAATCTATCATCTCCCTCACATCATTGACTGCAGTACCCTCTTCTTGAACGATATCAGGCGTCCATGCAATGGACAGCGTCCTACCCTCCGACTTTCAGAATGTCCTACGCCTATCCCTGAAGTCATCCGCTGACCTCATCGAGACGCTCGAAGCCCCTCAAGGACGAGGGCCGTCTCCGGACCATATTCGAAAGATTATCGCAGCCATACTATGGCACCGGAAGTTCATTTTGTCCTACTACGCCGTGATAGGCGTGGTCATCACGATATCATGCGCCCATGGCATATATGACAAGATTGAGAGGCGCTCGAGAAAGAAGAAGGAAAGTGGGACAGACACATCGACACCCTCGCCAACGGTATCGTCATCCTCCAGCACACTCAGAGGGACAATAACGCCCCGCGACAAGGACGATGACGGCGTGCTCGTCACAGAGAACACGCTTCTTCTGCCGCAACAGACGATCGCTTCCGTCCAGCGCCCTCGCCTGCTTCACCGGCTGAAGGCTTTCCTCTTGTACCAGCCTCGGCCTGTTCGCGCACTGACTTCCCCATCCAATGTCCTGCCAAACCATGGCACGTCTTTGTTGGTCATTCTCTTCCTTGCCATCAATATCTTCTATCTCATGTACCGAGCGCCACTATCGATCTCTTGGATATTCATTCTGGCGGACCGAGCTGGCCTTCTTTTCGTGGCCAACTTACCTGTTTTGTATATCCTTGCAGCGAAGACGAATCAGCCGATCAAATGGCTGACAGGATGGTCCTACGAAGGGCTGAACTTATTCCATCGGCGATTAGGCGAGTGGATGATAGTCGTCGCTGTCATCCATATGCTCGGCATGTTCGTCGTATGGTACACTATTCTCCGTTCACTTGGCTTCGATCTCATCCGCTATCTGACTGCCCCAACGGTCTTTCTGGGGATTGCAGCAATCGTTTCCTACTTCATCATATACATCACGAGTGTCGGTTGGTTCCGACACCTATACTATGAGACGTTCCTCGGTCTGCATATATTCTTCCAGGTGGCAGCACTTGCGTTTCTGTTCTTCCACTATCCCACAGCCCGGCTATATGTCCTGGCGACCTTTGCGATATGGGCTATCGATAGATTGCTCTGGCGGATTACTTTGTCTACTCGAAAATACATTGCCACTCTAGAGATCGCTCCGGACGGACAGACTGTTTTAATCCATTGCAACATAGATTTACGGCGCAGACTATTCGGCACACGCATGGGACTGCATCATGGCTGGCTTCCTGGTCAGCATGTGTTTCTAACAATACCATCAATGGGCTTCAAGTATGGTTTCCAGACGCATCCTTTCACCATTGCTTCACCTGCTCCACCGCGGGAGGCCAATGTCGGATTATGGCCGCTTCAGCTTGTCATTCGTTCCATCGATGGATTCTCCTTAGATTTGCTCAAATATGCTCGTCATCATCAGCACTGTCAAGTCTTTCTGGATGGACCCCACGGCGGCATCGAGGCTCTCGAAGCTGCTCAACATGCCGACCGTGTTTGCTTCATTGCTGGAGGAAGTGGCATTGCCGTTACCTATCCGCTAGCATGGGACGTCCGCGTTGACTATGCGATGCAACGTGAAGCACCAGTCAGCACCCGGGCCGTGTACAAAGACGGGGTGAAGTCAGTGTGTTCGGTTTCTGAATGCGGTCCTCTTATCGAATTTTCCCAATTCGCACATTTCTGGGTGCGACAGGAGTCCAGCCATTCAAGGTGGATTTCGATGTTCCCGAGAGCTGCTAGCGTTAGGCAAAACTCTATGAGCGAGTCCTGTCCCCACGATGTTGGTAAAGACGCGGATCAGGAGGATGTTGTTGCGACCATTGTTACCCACAGCTTTGACACTCGGAGTCCGCATTCTGACGGAGGTAGGCCAGATATCAGAAGTGAAGTCTGGAATTGGGTGACTTCGAGCCCTTCGACAAGAGCATCATCTTCCGCGCTTCTCGGATGTGACAATCCTCAGTCGCTGCCCCATTCATTGGTGAAGACCTCCAGCATATTACACCGCACACCGGGACGCGAGGCGAGACCACGCAAAGAACGGATATGTCTCATCGTCTCAGGGCCGGACGGACTCGTTCGCGACGTCAGGAATACCGCGGCTCATCTCATCCGAGAAGGGTGGGATATTCAAGTGTGGGTGGAAAAGTTTGGATGGTAAGGGACAACGACGACGGTACATGACGAGAATCATATAACGAAATATGCAGAATACATTCAACCACGAAAGTTCATCCCGATCCGAAGTTTGCCCCCAAGCTTGACTCATATCTGTATGTTGATCTGCTTGAGATGTTGATGACAGGAGTTGGCGTAGACTACAAAACCTGCGAACCATCTCGTACCAAACGATCTGGCCGGATGCTCTTGCCTCTTGACACCTTTCCGATGCTATTCCCAAGCTTCTCGTTTGCAGTGGCAAACGCGAAGACAGACCGGGTTGAGTTTTGCCGGCCTGTCTCATTTCCCTCTCCCATATCGACCTACCAAGTGCTCAACCTCAAATGTACTAACAAAACCTTCAATTGAAGCTCGTCTTACTAAACATACCTGACCGATATTCGCCAGTACCAACAACAAGGCCAAAACCACGCTTTCCCCCTCAAACATTTTCAAAGCAAGACAGGTCTACCTCCTCCCTCACAGCACAGAGCTGACCTTGCAAAAGAGATGTGTCATCGTATCAAGATTCGTTATCGCTGCCGCTGCGAGTCCATAACGCTGGTAACTTGTAGTCATGGACAACCTTGCAGGCGCCCAATGGTGAGTGATGTCAGTTGGCCCGAAGAGCCCTGCCAGGAGCAGGCACCGAATGGAAAGCGCATTTTCATCGAGATCCTGCTCTCGCGTTTAGCGCGTTAAGCTACAACCACTTCAGGGAATGTGTTCAGGGACTACTGCCGTTACCAGTCCAGCACCGAGGTTCCTGTTCCGAAATTCTTGGGAACGAGAGTGCTCAAGCTGAAGGTGCCATCAGTGCTGGTGCGCAGGACCATCACTTGTATGATTGTCTGCACCGATGTACATATTGCTGGACAATAACCGCAGGACGGTTTTAGGCAGTTGCTATCATGGCTTGACGTCAGGGAGGGCCTCGAGAACAATGCGAATAGGTTGCCCAGCCATCTATCCAAGTGCGTTGGGACAGCGAGTCGAGTACTGACAGACTCCTGGATTGCAACTACCGACCGCCTCGGTGCCCAGGCGTTCCCACGCGACCCAGGGGCTGCCCTGCCGGCCCTTTCATGACACTCGACATCTGCACTGCTCTGACCATGGGTGTATTCTGACAGTGAACAGCTATATATCACACGCGCCCTACGCGACATCTGCTCGATGCTCCACCTGGTTGACGTTCTTCTCGTCCAATTTCTCCTTTTGCGCATCAGAGCTGATAATAGCGAATTCTGTTCGACTTGGTTAGTTTGCCCACCACTCCGGGAGAGGGCATGACACTTACGGTCGACCTTGGTATGCTTGAATTTTCTGGCCGGTACATGATTCTCGAACATCAAGTCGATTTCGCCAAAGGTGCGATCCTTGGTCTCTGGCAGACGGAACCAACACCATATGTTACACAGGAGGTTCGTGCCGGCATAGAAGAGACCTGTCTTGGCTCCCCAATTCCATGCTATTGGACTGTTAGTTGATGCCACAGATGTGAGAAGTATGCCAAACTTACACAGAGAAGAAATCATGCGCGGTGTGACTGAGTTAGAAAAGATGCCGGTGAGGTTGTACACAAATCTGCCAATGACAATGGTCTTGTACCTCAGCCTGCCTGATGGAGTCTCGGCGACGATGGGATAACAGGCTGGTCCGATTGTGATCATGTTGCAGAGAGTCGAGATGACCAACAAGATGCCGATAGCCAACTGTGAGTCCTTGCTGTGAGCCCAGCCTAGTCCGCCGATTGCGATGAGGCAGAAGAACATGAACGTCAAGCCGCCCATGTAGATGGTAGATCTACCCAAATGCGGGAACATGAACCAGCAAATGATGCCGCCAATGATATAGCAAGCCGATAGCGAAATGTTGACGTCGAAAGCCTGAAGCTCTGAAAAGCCGGCTGCTTCCAGGAACACGACCGAGTATCCGAGGATAGCATTGCCACAGAGGATCTGGGCGGCCCAGACAACGCAGTTCTTCACGGAAAGAGAGTTAGTAAATAAATACCAGAGTTATGGAGTAGAAGAACCGGGAAGGAGGGATACTCACAATCTCAGTACGGCGCAAGTTGGTGCCCTTGAAGCACTCGAGGAAGCTGGCGCTTTCTGTCTCGGCCCTTTCCAGCTCTGTCGTGTACTTGATGTATGCCAGGGTAGCTTCCACTTCCGTCTCCTTGTCTGGTGTATCCTGTCTGAGCCGCATCAAACTCTTCTTGGCCAGTTCAAACTTGCCCCGTCGCACCGCGTTCCATGGTGACTCTGGCGCGAAATAGGCGCCAATGAACAGAGGAATAGGCCAGATGAATTGGAGGGCGAATGGCAGCCTCCAACCGAGGTCACCGTCGATCCCAGCCACTGCTCGGACGACCCCGGAGGACAGCAAAATACCGGCACCCCAGCACATGCAAACATAAGCGGTCACATATGGTCGAAGCACCGTTGGCACGACTTCGCAAGCATAGGTTGTCGAAAGTGTCTGTAAAAAAGTCAGCCCAGTGCCTTGGCTCGTGTCAGTACTGTATGCTCACCTGGAATACACCCCATGGGATACCGCACATTGATTCACCAAAGGCGAGCACGGACAGGGATGGGGCGAAGACAGGGATGAAAAGCACCACAGCCATCCATATCATGAAAGCCATCATGGTTGGACGACAGCCAAACCTGTCTTGGGTATAGGAGTTGATCAAAAGGCCTGCCAGTTGGCCAACAAGCGCCGAGTTGGATAGGCCGGACTGCCAGCTTGCAGGAATAGCCTTCTTGCCTGTGCTCGGATCTTCGACGCCGAAACGATTCTGGAACTGCGTCTGCCCGTAGAATGAGGTGATCTATGTCCAACCCAACTAGTCAGCAGGCCACTCTGCGTACATCAAAAAGCTGTGCAAAACACTCACAATGACGAGGTCATAACCCTCCATGATCAAACTGGTCGACAAGAACATCGCCCAGAAAACAGCTTTCTTGTATTTGTGAAGAGCTTGCCGGATGGTCAACAGCCTGTCTGCTGCGTCGCTCTCCTGGGCATGCCGGATGAGGTCGAAAGTATCATCATTGGCAATATCGAAACTCTGCCGCTCTCGCGCAGTTGGCACGACCTTTTCCGTTTCCATTTTTGGGGTTGTCAAATATATGAAACACAAGAATAGACTTCAATATGGAGCTCTGGAGTCAGAGAGTTGAGGATTGTAGACTCTGACGGCAAGTGGAAAGACGATCTCCATATATGAAGTCCCCTGATACCCCGTCTTTGTGGGATCGGCATACCTTGGTCAGGTCACGCGTGGGCGCCCATGGGGACCAAGGGTGGAAGTTACCACCCCCTCCGGAGGACTGACCTGGGCAACTCAGCTCTGCCACCGGCGTTGCGTGGACTCTTCCCTCCTGCCGGGACTCGGTTACTAACTAAGGTAATTTTGTATGGATCCTTGGCAGGGCTTGCACTCATACTGTGTACCAGTTATGCTCTCTAAGGTAGGCTAGTGCATCGTTCACAGAAACCGCCAACAATTACTAGCCCATGGATGAAAAGGGGCTCGGGGAACTTGTTTCCAAGAACAAAGCATGCCTCCACGACCGGATCCCGGCAAAGACGTGAATTAGACGGAGAAGTAGTAGTAGTCTGACCGGGACATCAGCGCTGTAGGCGAGGACGGCAACCAATACAGGATCGATCCAGAGCAGGGTCAGTTACTAGATGGTGTATACAAGATACTCACGGTCCATCTAATCCACTGCGCTACAATACCGGCTTCCTTATCCAGTCTAGCTGTCTTCGCCTCGTGGTCCATGGAAACAGGGTGTCGACACCAGTACTTCTCGCTGCTAAGCTACCCGAGAGAGATGTCCAGTCAATAATTCAACCTGGCCTCTGCAGAGTGCAGTGCACTGTGTATGGCCAGTATGATCTGGAGATCTCTTGTGCACATAGTGCACACTGCACAGCGGCGGTGTATCCGGATATCCCAACTGCCATCACCGATCGAGCCCTGCTACAAGTAACCTACCAGTAGTTGTCCACTCCTGAGGCTGGGGGATGTACTCCTTTCGATCCCTTACAGCCATACGGAGACGTATTACGGAGCACGATGTACTCGTAGATGGTCCAGCCTGCCCAGTGAAAGCAATCAATCATTGGTGTTTGGGTGTCAAAGAGACCCCGGTGGTCAAGTTCTGGGCTTTAGTGCCATCAACTGATAGTGCCCCCCGATTCTCGAACGCGGCAGATAATGCTTAGGATCTATGCCTATGGGCGTTGCTATCCTAACTGGTATCGCATGAATCAGTAGCAGTAGTGTTCGTCGTTCTTCAAGACGGGCACCACACGGGCTTACAGTATCGCCTGAGCCAACTCCGTTGGGGGTGGACGTTGCCATTGCCGGTGGGTTGTCCAATGATGCTCGTCTTCATGCCTCCTGTTCGCCTCCGAAACCACCGGGCTTTATCCTATCGAAGCCCTCCTCCGTAAAAGATGGGGGATTTGATAAGTACCGCCCAGCCTAGCTCGTCGGGTACATTCCGTACTGTGGGGGAACCAAGACCCCATGGCACCACGGATCGCCCACTTCGCCACACTATCGTGACTACTCACGGCCACAGTAGTACAGAGCACACTCACTCTCTACCCTAGGTACCGTTCATCCCGCCGCCGTTGGGGCTCTACACTCTAGGCATGCCGAGGCACCAGAGTCCTGTACAGTAGTTGTGCATGCATGATGTAAGAGGTGAAAATCCGACGCGGTCACGGTCAGTCTCGCGACTCACCTCCTTCTGGGAAGCATTCGCGAATATACACAATACCCCGAATCCGAGAGCAGTCGAAAAGAGAGAGAGAGAGAGCCTTCAGAAGCCGTGGACCAGGCAAGGAGGGGTATCCAAGGATAGATTTACTGTGCACCTACTGTGCTAGACTAACTAGACCTCTCCCGAGCCTTAATTGACGTCTCGCCTACAATATACCGAAGCAATGTCCTATCCGCAAGAGACATTCGTCCGAACGTCCCTGCTCCCAGACTCCCTCATCGCTCGACGGCGAGAAGTCGTCTGGTCCAACACCTTGCTGTACCAACTCGACGTCCTCAAGAAGACCGGCCGATACGATGCCTTCAAACTGACATGGCACCCCTCGTACTCGGACCCTCCAGACGTCTGGCCCATTCCGAACCATCTGTTCTGGTAAGTACCTATCGTCTTGCCGTTGCTGTTGCCCTGCTCCATCTGTTCCCCAGTCCCCCGGCATTCGCGGTATCTCGATTCCCCTGGAGTCCCGATTCTCCGCTGCCTAAGCGTATCTTGAATTTTCCCCCTTTGCTAAACCAAACACTCACACGGCTTGTGGCAGGGACTCGGACATAGGCAAATGGATCGAAGGAGCGTGCTACTTCCTGCGAACGCACAAGCAACAATCAGACGACACCAACAATGACAGCGCCATCGTCGTCATCCACAAGGCGATCGTCGAGCTCGTCCAGATGATCCGCTCCGCCCAGCAAGCCGACGGATACCTGAACATCCACTACACCGTCGTCGAGCCGGGCAAGCGCTTCACCAACCTGCGCGACTTCCACGAACTCTACAATGCGGGCCACCTGATCGAAGCCGCCCTCGCGCATAACGACTTGTACAGCAACAGCAACAGCAACACCAGCAACGACCTCCTCGAGCCGATGCTCAAATACGTCGACCTCCTGTGCCGCACGTTCGGCCCCGAGCAAAACCAGATCCATGGTTACCCGGGCCATCCGGAGATCGAGCTCGCGCTGCTGCGATTGTACCACCGCACGAACAATCCCAAACATCTCGCGCTGGCCAACTATTTCATCACGGAACGAGGGAATCCGACGGGAGGAGACGGCCAGAAGAAAAATTACTTCGTCGTCGAAGCAGAGCGCCGAGGCGAACCACCCTACGCCCGGATGTCGTACTGGGGCGAGGCAAATGCTCTATGGTACTACCAGGCCCACAAGCCCATCGTCGAGCAGCAGACCATCAAGGGACACTCGGTGCGAGCCATGTATCTTCTCACGGCCGCGTCGGATCTGGTGAACTCCTCAAAGAGAAAAAACGCCGGCGCCGGTAATGCAGATGCATATAGTGCACGGCTGGAAGACGCGGTTTACCGGCTGTGGGACAACATGGTCGAATGCAAGATGTACGTCACCGGCGGGATCGGCGCGATGAAGCAGTGGGAAGGCTTCGGTCTGGATTATTTCCTGCCCCAGGGTACCGATGAAGGAGGCTGCTATGCCGAGACATGTGCGGCGATTGGAGTCATGATGCTAGCCGAGCGGATACTGCAGTACGACCTTGACCGCCGCTTCAGCGATATCATGGAGTTGTGTCTGTACAACGCCGTGTTGACGGCTATGTCGCATGACGGCACGAAATTCACCTACGTCAACCAGCTCGCGTCCAGCGAGCAAGACCCATCGAAGCGGGAGGAGTGGTTCACATGTGCATGTTGTCCGCCCAACGTGCTGAGACTGATGGGGCAGATTGGTGGGTATATATACACGTTGGCAGACACTCTCGCAGACAGACCCGATTCACAAAAGCAGTCTGCGCAGATCAATGTCCATTTGTACATCTCGAGCCAGTACGAGTTCCAAGTCGATGGCGTGCCGGCCATTTTGACGCAGAAGGGCGACTGGCCGTGGGGCGGGAAGGTCGAGTTCGAGCTGCAGACCACATCGTCGAAGGTCAGCCTGGCCTTGAGGATACCTGGCTGGGCCAAGTCGTGGAAGGTATGCAGGCAATCGGCAAAACATTCTCTCAAGATGGCCAAAGCCGTGACTAACATGAGACCAGGTATCTCCGTCTCCACCAACGACGTCTCTCGATAAAGGATACCTGATCCTGCCTGCGGACTGGGTGTCAGGCAATCGAAGTTTCACCCTCGACATCGACGTATCCTTACGTCTCGTCTCGCCGCATCCATACACGAACCAAGATACGCTGGCCCTGGTCCGTGGGCCAATAGTGTATTGTGTCGAAGACGTGGACAATCCATGGGTCAAAGATCACTTCAAGAGTGTCCAGCTCGACCCTCCATGCTCGGTCCAGGAGGAGGTTGTAATGGACGACACTACAGGAGATACCTATGTAGCGCTCACAGTCGTGAAGGGGGCCAACATGCTCAAGCTGTCGGACATCCACGCTTGCCCTGGCGTTGAGGCCACGGAGTTGGACAAGGCGGTGCAGTCCGACGATGCGGTCATTGAGGAGTTGAAGTTTGTGCCCTACTACTTCAGAGCAAATCGTGGCGGGCGTGGGCATGCCCGAGTTGGCCTCAAAAGGTGGCATAGATAGACCGAGCCAACCTGACGTTAGGCCGAGATAGCTAACTTAGTCACATTGCTACGCTGTACCAGGAATATGCCAGACATCAAGCCTAGTGGTTTCTTCCTTCATCCGGCTGATACATTCTCCTCAGCAGGCGCAAGATTCACATCCGCTGCCGCAGTAACTTTTTCGAGTCTGTTGAGGACTCTCAGCCAGTGATTCGAGATTCCTCGCCAACTTCCCAGCGTGAGGAGTAATTTTTGTCCCTCCATAAGCACTCTCCGGGCGCCCTTGGGTCCAAAGAGGTCCCCGACGCCTGTGATGTTGACACGCATGTTGTTGCCTTGTCTTACGAATTGTTGCACAAGCTCGTCGTCAGTGGGGCGGTCAATGAGGATAATGTCGCAGACATCCGCTGAAGGGGAACTCTCGGACGAAGACGTTCCTCCTCCACGCCGGCTGCCTTTCGCCGGGGTCGTTTTCTTGGGCGAGAATGCGCTAAGCGCCCAGAACATCAAGGCTGCAAAGGCAACGGCAGTGGGCTCATAGAATCCATTGACTGAATACAGTCGGACATGCCAGAACACAACTCCGGCATGGATGGCGGCCAAACGCGCCTTGTACTGATCTTGGATGGCCCAGCGCTGAATCGACCGCCTGCGTTCTTCGGCTTCTGCGGAAGTCACGGCTGGGAAGAGGCGGCTGGATTCTTTGCTCGAGCGAATGAGGTAGTGGGAGAAGAGTATGATATCGTTGAGTGGGACGAGGAGTACGATTCGTGCAAGATGCAGATGAAGCACGGTCGGGTGCTCCATGCCGCTTGAGGCTCCAATCATCGCATTGGCACTCCAATGCAGTATGTCCAGACAGTCGCAAGCCGAATTCCTCCATCTATTGAAGAGGGGGTTAGCCGGTGGCCATATGGGTAGCTTGGATTGAATTTCATGGCTCGTTTGCTTTTGCGCAGAAGGCTCAAACAGCGAAAGGCTTTGGGTGGCCGTCGCCTTGATCTCCCAGGTCCGATGGAAGAGACCATGAATCAGTAGGATGCGGCTGAACTCCCCTAGATTCGGCAGGAGACGCTTGTCGACATAAAGATTCCGCAACGCTTCGAGTAGCGTTGGAACTGCGGTAGACACGCCGGCTCTTATTTGATTCCATTCCGAGCCATCTTCTGCCGCCCACAGACGATCAGGGCAAGGAAGAGTCATTGTAGCAGCGTCATCGAGACGCAGATGTGGTGGTGTCTGATACTGAAATGCCCACATGCAGTCTAAAAGCCAGATACAAAATCCAGTACGGAGTAATTCTTCGTTCCGCGTCCAGGCTTCCCAGCTCGGGCCGACATCATCATCGTGGCGATCACGAGCGGCAGCGATCTTTTGCCTGGTCCAGTGGTTGCGGCAATATCTAGTTGCTTCCTGCAGCGACCGATGTGCAGAAGCGCGCAGAGGTTCATACAAGGCGTACCCAGCACCCACGGCATGTAACAATTGGGTCTGCGCCAGCACCTCTGGGTTTGACGGACGCCAGTAGTTTTGTTCTTCGCTGAGTATCAGTACTCTCCGGACAAATTCATGCATGGACAGAGTGAATGTTTCCGTCTGCTCATTGTTGTCGGCAAAGCAGCTGCCGACGGCCATCATTGCCAGGAGTAATATGCAGTGCCTTGAGTCCGCACTGAAAGTCTGCGAGTGCAGGAACGGCATGGTTTGGTCGAAATTTGCGAAGTAGTTGGTGAGCAGCCCCTCCATCGCTTGCTTCGAGGGAAACATGAAAGGCATAAAGGGCCTAAAAATCATTGTTCCCAGGCATAGCTGCTGGTAGAGAGCCTGTAGCTGGCCATATGCCTTGTCCGAGAGACGGAGTCTCTCTTCTGATGATGGTGCTCCGGAGTCAATAGGGAATCGATATTCTAGGGAGAATTCTGGCTCGTCCGCATCTTCAAGACTCCGAGGCCGAGACGCAATCTTCCGGCGCTTCGACCTAGGTAACCTACCCACATCGCCGTCGACATAATATTCGCCGCTAGCTACAGTTGGCTTGTCAGCAGGAGTTGACAAGTCAGTAGATGGAGAGATCTTGTGGTGACTGAACAGCTCATGGGCCGATTGAGCTGGTGGTTGTTGATTAATTATGCTCGAGACTGGATTGTTTGGAGGATACTCGACGTCAAAGCCATGTTCCGGGCTTACGAGGTCGATGCTCGGCGAGAATATATAATCGCCCGGGAAAATTGGAAACAAACTATTGAGATCTTCGTCATTGAAGCTGATGGACTCGGGCTGAAGCCAGTTGATAGTCGACACCATGTTCGAGGTCCAGTCTAGGGCTGGTGTTGCAATCCCCTGCTCAAGGGGGTCTGGAATTGCGCTTCCCTGAGAGTATTGAAAATGCTGCTGGACTAAGCTTTCAACGTTGGGAGGATAGAGTACCGAGGAGTCTCCAGCACGTAGTGCTGCAGCGCTATTAGAATCAGGTTGTGCTGGATGAGACTCGTGTGGGTAGGCAGAGGCTCCAGAAGCTTGATCTGCCTCGGTCGATTGCACCTGTTGTGAGCTGGAGTTACTATGGATGTGGTAGCCGCCGGTTTGACTGGCAGCAACGGAGTCGACCGTGGCTGAGCGCCTCCCTCGCGGATAGACGCATTGCGTCCCTCTCGATTTGCATCTTGCGCATGGGACATCGCCAGTACAGCGAGATTTCATCGATGCGCAGGCCGAGCAAGCCCGAACACCTCTTTGCAGAAGCGAGGGGCCGGTGACCAGATGAGTCTGTTCATGCTTATTGAGTGCATCTTTCCGGTGGAAAGCTTTTGGGCATTGATAGCATCGGAATTCGGGAGCTTTGTGGCTCTGCTCATGGCGTCTTAGGTGCTCTTGTCTGCCAAAGACCTTTCCGCAGATCGAGCATTGATAGGCGTCCATTGCTGAGGACGATGGCCATATGGACCTTGAGCAAGACTTTAGAGGCAACGAAAAGTGCTCGATCGAGCTCTGTGTCCTGGATATCGCTTTCGGTCACTTGAAAACTACGTTTCGCAAGCAGTCAAGGCCGTGGGAAGAGGGAAGTCGATGCTTGGTGGAATGGCGACCGCGACTTCCTCCACATCTGCGCATGGCTTTTGCTATTACTCTCAAGCACATTAGCTATGTTGACCTGGAGCTTGAATGATAGAATGCTGTGGGCGTTACGACGGAATTGTGCGAATTTTGGGTCCCGATTTCAGGTCGTGGACAGTCCCGACACAAAGGAAAGGTGGAATCTGAGGCTACCAAGTTAGGCTGGTGAGGCTAACTTGGTGGGCTTGAATACAGCCTAGCGTGCCTAATATAGGAGCCTAAAGGAGCAAGATAGGCGAGGTTACGGATCAAGGCTCGGCATCTCCGGGCGTCTCGCTAGGCTCTCGATTGGCGTGCTTTAAGTTAGATATTCGCTAACTAGGGCGGACATGATGGGGCCTCGTTCATTTATGGATTCTTAGCCATATTGACCGCTGAGAACTTTTCATTCAACACGTCAAGATGATGCTACCAGTATACACAGTACTTCTTCGTCGGACCAGCAGCGACCATGCCCCTTTCTCCAGGGATTACACGCCGCATTGCGTGCATCAAGCCTTTCCTATGGGCAAGTCGGTGCAACGCTCCCATTGTATCCTGTCTTTACTGTCGATAACCTTGACCTATCTGCAGCCGGACTTCTTGCGCAAGGCTTTTCAACAAGATCGAAGCACTATCGAGACATCATGACCACTCGGTGCCTCTTTGCTCCGCAGCCTCCATTTTCACCCCGTTCTTGTCGACAGCCACGTCGTTACCTGTCAATACTGACTTCAGCATGGTTTGCTTCGCAAATTTCGATTCTGGTGTCAGAACTAGGAACTTCGTATGGGTTGCGCCGGCTCGGGTAGTATTTGGTGAGATCTTCCCGGTACCGTCAGGGAATTGGATGTCGGTAAGCGATTGAGCCGTGGCTGAAGCCGAGATATGGGCCGGTTTGTGTTCATCGGGAATCAGGCGGAGAAACGACATCGTGAAAGCAATGGAGGTATTTGTGGTGGGAGGATGCAGTTGAGTAAGTACTAGTAGTAGGAGCTGCTCGTGTGATCAAAGTCCGACAGTGGTACACATTCGTCGCGGTAAAGTGCTATAGCCATTTCTGACGATCTGAGCACAGTAGCGCTGGAAGATGGAAGAACCAAGATCGAGAGGGTTAGAACTTGAGCCCGACAGTGAATGCATTCCACAACAAGGCTCTAGCAGAGGCAGTCCAAGTGAAGTCGCGAGGCAATAACTGAATATGGTCATGTGAAAACGTGCTGCGGTGGTCGGTGAAATGAGGCAGTGGCTGTCGAAGGCAGCGCATCGGAGCGGATAGTGGTGGAGTGACAGGGTAAATCGGCACACCAGCTTCTACGGGCTGCTCACTGTCCCTCGTATCCTTGAGCATACATAGTCTCATCGTGTCAAGAAAGCTGCTGCAATACCTCCTGCAAACATCGACGCAACAGTAACAAAACTGCTGAGGCTCATTGTTGACATGCCGCTGATGCCGTGTCCGCTGGTACATCCGCCGGCTAACCTGGCCCCGAATATCATGGCGAAGCCTCCCGCAATCGCAGCTGGTGCACTGACTCCTGGACCCGTGTCACCTATGGTTGGAACGTACTGAGAGATGATTCTCGAGCCAGCCATGACACCACCAGCGAAGACGACATTCGAGAGACCCGCACCAGCCTTTCCCTCCAGGATGCTCCAGAAGTAATTCCCGATATCTTGGTAGGCGCTTGACACGCCGAGAGTCTTGCGAGTGAAGAGCACCGACGTTGCTTGGCCAACACCAATAAGAACTCCACCTAGAACTGGATTTAGCCAGTATTGTCTTGTAGGAGCCAGGTATGTGGCTGCTGCGATCATGATTAAGCAGAGAGTCTCGTAGAGCATGACGATGGATGTCGTGGAGAAGCCAGTTTTCTCCTGGAGAGTATGCTTTCCGGCGTCCGGTGTCGTTGCCTGCCGGCGCTTAAGACCCTGACCTATTCTGGCGAAGACGATGCCAGCAAGCACACCTCCGACTGCGACATTCCAGGCTGATCTGATTCCCAGAGCCATCTGAACTAGGACTGTACCAGGACATGCTCCAGTGATCGTCATGCCAATGCCTTGCAGCAAGCCCCCAACGATATTGGCGTCATATTTCATGAACCAGCCGTAGGACGAGTCGGTTCGGTGTGGCAACTTTGCATACCCCGAGCGATTGGCGCCAACAATGATGAGAGCGCTACATGCGCTGGCTGCGAGAAAAGACTTGAGCATATGAAAATTTGACAAGCCCATCTGCGAGACAATCACGGAAGGTGCGTAGACTCCAGATGCCGTCAAAGCCGATCCGAAGATGGCGCCAGACGCGGCGCTGGGAAGAAGAGACGCCATCGTGGGTATGGTCCAAGAGAGGATATTTCTGGCTGAAGAAAAGAAAAAGACGCCGAGGATAGTTCTGAATCTTTGATATTTTTGAGAAAGGTTCTAGAGGAGAGTCTTCAGAGATCATCCACCTCATTTGCAAGCTCCAGTTTCCAAATCGATCGCTTTCAGCCGAGGCCGAGTGCAGAATTTTGCTGTCACCCAAGCTGTGGTTCTGGAAGCCTGGACCAATCCCAGGAGCAGCGGGTGTTGCCATTTCTGGGGCCGGGCATGGCGTCAACGATCACCTTTCGGCTTGTATGCGTTTCGTCTTGCTTCGAGGGGTGATATAGACGGCAGAACGAGAGTATACCACATTGCCATGAAGCTTTAGATGTGCGTATGAGTAGAAGGCAGGTGCTGAGGTAGGATCTACTATGTACAGTGAACCCTTGCATGGCACAGTAGACATAACAGTGGTCCCAATCATGTCCCCAAGGACGAAAGCGTCCCCGATCTCCGCGCGACTTGTATGACTAGCTCTCCGGGAAGTGTCAGCCCGACTTCTACATTAGGTACACATGCTAGTCGTATAATCACGTCGTCATCAACAGACCTTCACATCAGATTCTCTAGTGGTTGCTTTTGTTTGCTTCAAGATGGCTGCAAAGGCGAAGTTGAACGTACAAAACTTCCCACGCCCTCCGTCATTGGAGCAGATTCCCAGGCATCTACAAATAAGATGGAATGGTCAAACACTGGCCGAGACTCAATCTTCGTTCTGGGTCTTGGAAACTACCCATCCGCCAACATACTACCTTCCACGTAACTCGATCTCAGACAATTTCAAGCTCAGTCAGATACCCAATAAAGCTTCGCTGTGCGAGTGGAAGGGTCGCGCAACATACTGGGATGTCATCAATCGATCCACGGGCGAAATAGTCAAGGGTAAAGTATGGAGTTATGAATCGCCGACCCCACCCTTCAAAGACATCAAGGGATATGTGTCCTTCTATGCCAATGATGTACCGTGGGTATGTTTCGTTGATGATGAGAAAGTGACACCTCAAGAAGGTAAAGAACCTGTTTGCGCGACGCTGAGCGACCAGCTGATTTCCGCAACAGGTGATTTTTATGGTGGATGGGTGACAAGCGAGCTGGAAGGTCCCATGAAGGGCGGACCAGGTACTTGGGGTTGGTAGAAGCCTCATGTGCCAGAGGAGCACTCACTGTTTCAAATGAACAAAACCGAAGGTTCGTTTCGGAGCCTCACAGGAATCCTCTGGTCTCAATCCTCGCACGACTGAATTGTCAATGGAGTCTGCTGGTACACAACGCAGCTTATTTGAAAGGCATTGGTCCAATCATCGACTCATGTTACCACACACCTTTTCAGTGAGATCGATCAAGATGCGCATTGCTCTGCGTGCCCGTCTCTTTCTTTGCTTGTATGATGCATATTTTCCAGGCACTCGTCCTTTGTGTGTGCGTCCGAGTATGACTCCGAATTCAAGTCTTAACCCTCAGCGGCGTAGAGCAGGTATGCAATACTCGTATTGCAAGCAAGTGAACTGGAGCTGGAAGGTATCACAGGCATAATATTCAAGAAATCTTTGAGCTCGCCACAATCTCAGCCAGGGTCGGCCGACTCTGAGGGTACCGTTTCCAATCGGTGGGAAACCGACTCGCTAATCTGCTGAAAGTATTTTTGGTGTCGAGTCAAGGCCATAGGACATGAAGTTCGTCAGTCCTGGGCATGTTCCTGCAAAGGATGCCATGTCTTCTGCGTTGCGCATATTGAGTTGAAGAGAGACACTATTCCTGTTCAGATCCGGGAGCTGGCATCTCCGAATGTGCTTTAGGTAACCGCCCCGGCATGATGGCCCCCCAAGGACCTCCTCCCCCATGCCCATTGGACTTCGTTCCTCGCCGTCAATCGTCATCTCCCGCAAAGAGCGTCTCCATGCCTCTTTTGCTATCTTCCGTGTCGCTCAATGAGGGTACTGGATCCAGGAGCAGTGTGTAGACTCTACGTGTTCCGACATCGCTTACAGCAATCAATGGTCCTCATATACCTTCTGCTCCCCATCCGCGGTCGATGGCGTGAATTACATGACAGACGGCAGGTGCAGCATTGATTTTACTTAGCGTTGGGGGTGGGTGAGCCGGTGTGATAAGTACTTGCATATGTGGTTTCTTTCCACGAATACCTCTTTCACTGCGTTTCTTCCTACCCTCGTGCTCTTCAAGCGACCTATTATCGAGCGATGGGCGACATCTCTGGGGATATGGCTCACCCCGCTCAAGTGAAGATTGTTGACCTTTCCCTTGGATGGTCTTTCAAGCAGACCGATGACGTCGGCGAAAATGCCTGGTCTCCTGTCAAGAGGATACCATCCACAGTGCATCAAGACCTCATCGACAGCAAAAGGTGAGTACAGCCATGACCGGAAACCAGGCTGATGCTGACCAAACTGATCCTTTCAGGTTGGAAGACCCTTTCATCGGCTTCAACGAGGTCAAGGCTGAATGGGTTGGTCTGAAATCGTGGACTTATCGGACTACCCTGACAAGACCAAATGTACCACTGTCGGCGAAAGTCATCTTGGTCTTTGACGGCCTGGACACTTTTGCTCACGTCAAGTTGGGTGGAAGGACCATTCTGGAAAGTGACAACATGTTCTTGCCTCACCGAGTAGATATTACTGAAGTTATAAAATCGAAGGCCAGCCATGATCTTCAGATCGAGTTTGAATCTGCTTTTCTCAAAGCCAGAGGAATCAAAGACCAGCATCCTGAACACAAATTCATCTGTTTCAATGGTGACTCCGCCCGGTTAGCGGTCAGGAAAGCTCAGTACCATTGGGGTTGGGATTGGGGTCCTGTATTGATGTGTGCGGGAATCTGGAGGCCTGCGCGACTGGAGATTTACACTATCAGAATATCCGACCTCAAAGTCGACATCAGTATCTCGGATGACCACAAACTTGCCACAATTCACGCGACAGCAGAGATTGAAGGACATGACGGTTCGCCTGCCCATCTTTTGGCCGACTTCAACATAAGTCTGGATGGTAAGACAATCTCTTCGGGTTGTGTCAAATTGGGCCAACACGGGAAAGCTTCTACTCATCTTGAGGTCCCAAATCCCGAGTTGTGGATGCCCCATGGATATGGAAAGCAAACACTGTATACGGTCAGTGTCACCGCAGTCAGCGACGGCATGCCGCTACATACAGTGTCTCGAAGAGTCGGGCTGCGCAAGATTCGGCTTGTTCAGGATAACGATTCCCATGGAAAATCGTTTTACTTTAGGGTCAACGATGTCGACATCTTCTGTGGTGGTTCGTGTTGGATACCAACAGATAGCTTCCTGACCAATGTGACGCCCGAAAGATACCGAGCGTGGATCGAACTAATGGTGCCTGCCAACCAGAAAATGATCAGGTAAGGCGTCCATTTCCTACGCTCCCTGTCTGCGCAGCTACGTCTTGCCAGACTTACTACTAACGATAGCACACAGGGTATGGGGCGGGGGAATTTATGAGCACGACGCGTTTTATGACGCATGCGATGAGTTGGGAATCCTGGTGTGGCAAGATTTCATGTTCGGTTGTGGCAACTATCCTTGCTTCCCTGCCATCCTCGATTCCATCGAGGCAGAAGCTGTGGCCAATGTCCGACGAATCCGTCATCATCCGTGTCTGGCAATATTGGCAGGTAACAACGAAGACTATCAGGTGCAAGAGTCGGTAGGCTTAACTTATGATTATGAGGACAAGAATGAAGAGCACTGGCTCAAGTCCGACTTCCCAGCCCGATACATTTACGAGTCACTGCTGCCTCGAGTCTCGGCCGCCGAAGCTCCCGGGATTCCATATTGGCCTGGATCGCCGTGGAGCCATGGTAAGGTCAGCTCGGACCCCACCGTTGGGGATATGCACCAGTGGAACGTATGGCACGGCACACAGGAGAAATACCAGATCTTCGATTCACTTGGTGGACGCTTCAACTCAGAATTCGGCATGGAGGCATTTCCCCATATTGCAACTATCAAGACCTTTGTGGAGAAGGAGGAAGACCTCTACCCTCAGAGCCATGTTCTCGACTTCCATAACAAAGCTGACGGACATGAACGACGAATCGCCACCTATCTGGTAGAGAACGTGAGGACTGCAACAAGGTTGGAGGCCTACATCCACTTGACACAGCTCATCCAATGCGAGGCGCTGATGTATGGTTATCGTGGATGGCGGAAGCAGTGGGGTGACGGGCGACACTGTGGTGGAGCATTGGTTTGGCAGCTTAACGACTGCTGGCCCACGACGAGCTGGTCAATCGTGGACTATTATCTGAGAAGGAAGCCTGCATATTACGCCATGGCGCGTGTCTTGGCCCCGGTGGCGGTAGGCATTCGCCGGGCTCATCATGACTGGAGTGTAACACATGCTCGCGAACCCAAGACACAGGACTGGGAATTGTGGGTGGTCAGTTCGCGCCTCACAGAAATCACTGCCGACGTGGAGGTAAGATTTGTCTCAGTTCGAACGGGCCGCGAGATCAAGGAGAAGGTCGTGAAGCAGGGCATCCGGCTAATCGCTAATGGTACGACACATGTGTCAAAGGGCAAGGTTGACAACGTGCAGGAAGAGCCCCATGTTCTGGCTGCGCGAATTTGGGTGGATGGGAAATTGGTGGGCCGCGACACCGATTGGCCGCAACCTCTCAAGTACCTACAGTTTCCAGATCGTAACGTCAAGGTTGAGGTTCTGGGAGACGAGATGCATGTTACGGCCGAGAGGCCCGTCAAGTGCCTTGTCTTTGAAGAACGTGAAGGATGCCATCTCAGCGACAGTGCCATTGATGTCGTGCCCAACGACAAGCAAATCATCCATGTCCGAGGTCTCAAGACTGGCGATCCTGCTTTGGACTGGACGTACCTAGGGGCTGGGGAGCAATGAGATGGACATAAGAGGTGAGGAGCATCCACGCATCATACCAAATGGTTGCAGCTTCACGCAGGGGCAGCGTTGCATTGTTATAAACGAGACCTTTGACAATACGACGAATGCCTGGCTTGGGGCGGGCCGAGGGAAGAGTGCGAGCATCCCAGATCCATGCAAGCATCAACCGATATTCTAGAAAACCAAAAGATAGCGTGATGGAAGCCGCAAGGGAGGAAAGATGGCGATGGCGAGATAGGGACTCTGACTCGTCTGGGAGCGTTGCAACTGTTGAGTCGGTAGAATACCGGAATGCGAGGTACCCGGAGTATCCCAACCACCCAACTACTCGAGAAGCTACCGGAGAGGTACAGGGGTCGAAGGACTCGTGGGATCCAAAGAAAGTCTGCTATCAGCGAACAACCGTCATGAGAGTGTACGAAGAGACGATAGCGAGCAAGGGCAAATATTCGGAAGCCACAAAAAGGTTGGCAAGCGGCTAAGTCTGAGTCTGTGAGCTGGAGGACTACGATGATACTCTACCGAGGCTCCCGAGGCTACCTCGATATGCTTCTTAGTACAGGTAAGCTTCGTTCGTCGGATGAATTTTGGGCCTTGGACCAGTTCCTGTCCCGCAGCCTGTCGGCTAAAAAGGTCAGGAAAAAGGCTGTTATCCAGGAGAGCAAAGAACAAGACAGGGGATGGTATGGGCCGGGACGAAAGGAACTCTTCCTGCCCTTGCAGCATCAAGTGAACAGCCCACTGTATACTTACATATGTGGCTGTATTGTGGAATATCCACAAGTAGTGTTGCCTTGCGCTCTTAGAGGCTGATCGCTCTGCTCTAGGGTGCTTGGTGGTGGTGGTGTTTCGTCAATTACTGGGCGTCCTCGCCTGACAAATTGTTCCCTGGTTGATTTTCGGGTGACAAGGGGGGGCGAGTTTCTACTATTGTATGTAGGCTTTGAAGCCAGGCATTCAAATGATGGCCCCGTCTCGTCACTGCCCGGCTAACTAACTCTCATCAATGGTAAGGACAAGCAGCTGCCGAATATATCTCAACATGGAGGGCCCCACCGAATGAGATGTCTAGCTTCGCTGCACATTGCTGGACTAGGGCATTGAGACACAGAACACGAGGGTGCAGACTCACCCTGCGCTGCCGGGTGTGCGAAGCAGCAAGCCGCTAATTACCTTGTCGCTTCTCTCCTTGAACGGCTTATCATAGAACGGCGCATGCCGTTGACGATGGGAAAATGCAGCTGTCACTGGCCAGAATTCCTTCCACCCTGTCCCAACTTTCCCTTCTACAGTATAGGAGACCTCCACCTTTTCGACCCTTCCATGCTTCTCGACGACGTCGTCTAGGCTAACGCAGGAAGATCACTTCAAGCAAGCTAACAAATGGGCCCTTGATGTAGAAATTACTGTATGTCAGTTTCCCCGGATTCTCCCATTTGCTAAATTACGCACCCTTTAAGACATCATGTTATACTGTCTTGGATGCACTATATGTCTGGCCTTATTCTAGGGTCTGCGGCGATGTTTGGCGTGTCAAAGAGATTGGTTCTCGAGCACCGCAGGGGGTCGTCGTCATCTTATTTGTCTCCGGCTGCCTGCTCTGTCGAATCCAAGTTATTTTCCCACATCACCTCAAGATCGTCAGAGGCCCAAAGGAAAACAAAACTACTATTATCCTCGAAAGCTGCCACTCCTGCGTTCACTGAGACCAACTGGCGCACGTGGAAGGCAACTCTTGATCAGATCTTGGAGAGGACTATTGGTGTGCGCTGGTCAATCGCGCAACAGACCGTCTCGTCCGGACTCTCATGAATCGAGCCGTTGGGCAGGAGAGGGCTATCTACTCTGCGACTGCGTTCGTTCCACAGCACAATCAGATTCCAAATCTGAGTGCGTGTCGAAATGTTTCATACTTTTGAAACTGCCCACTACACAAGCCCCGAGCTGCACGCGGATCAGCATGCCAGTCCTGCCGCAAAGAGAAGAACTTCGACGGTCAGAGCCTGTGAGCCATGTCGAAGACGGAAGATCCGTTGCAATGGCGAACATCCCTGTGAAACATGTCAATGGTATCGAAAAGCAGCTTCCTGTCATTACACGGAACCTCGCCAGAGACAAGTACCTTCAAGGAGGTAAGAGAGAAGCTCAGTTGCGCCCCTGCATCTACTTTTGTTCTGACTGTTGTATAGGTCCGTCGAGAAGATCTCACAGACACTTCAGGAATACAGAGGCATTCTTCAGAAGCTCTTTCCTGATGTTCACCCAGATCAGCTCAAGGACTTGTCACGAGAGAGGCTCGTTGAACTCAGTTCAAAGACGAGCCCTTGTCATCCACTTTCGCCACGGACACCCAGTGTGGACGAAAAGCCACCCCCAACCGACCCCGATGCTGGCAGCCTGGAACAACTGCAGCCCATGCCTGGAGAATACAGCGATGCCTTCGATCGAAAACCGGCCGCAATCAGAGGCATCACAGACGATGTGAACATGCTATCTTTACATGTAAATCAGAACCCATCGTACCTCGGCATATCATCGGTCATGGCCGTTTTGCGAGTCATTACCTGGTTGGATCCTGATTGCCTTTGCCTTTCCAGAAGTCCGGACAGAAGCGTTGTTGCGAGCCGAGAAGCCTCCTTCCCGCCTGAACATCAGACCGTGGACAATGAGACACTCCAAGGCGACGACGTCTCTAACTCGCCAGCTTGGGACGAGATCCCCTTAATCAACGCATATTTCACCTACGTCCACCCTTTTATTCCGCTGATTGAAGAGCAGTCATTCAGAGACACTTACATGTCTACAGAAAGGACCGACTCAAGGTGGCTGTTACTTCTGAACACCGTCCTGGCAATGGGATGCATTGCAAGTAGAAGCACGGAAGACACGGGTCATCAAGTATACTTCAACCGTCTGAAAACACACCTCACGATCGAGGTCCTGGACTCTGCGCATCTGGAGACAGTTCAAGCTTTAGCTATCTTAAGCGGCTTCTACCTACATTACATCCAGACTCCAAATCAAGCAAGCTCTCTGATGGGTGCCACCCTCAAAATCGCGACCATGCTGGGCCTGCACCGAGACTACTCTGAAGGTGTCGGACCGGCGAAGGCGGAGAAAGCATCCTACTCGATTGAAATGCGACGACGTGTTTGGTGGTCCGTATTCATGCTAGACACTTGGGCTGGCAACTCCTTGGGGAGGCCCAGCATGGGTCGGATGAGTCCTGCTATAACTGCAAGACTTCCTCTAGAACCCATCGGTCAGTCAACCGCGCTGCTGTCGCTGGTGCAGGACAACATACGCTTCTGCATGATTAGCACGCGGATGGAAGATACTCTGGCCGTGTCTCCTCTGCTTGATGAGATCGAGCGTCAAGCTCTGGAAGAGACCTACATTGAATGGTTCAAGCATTCCTCGGTATCACCCGCGTCACCGCGATCCTCCATGAACGAGTCTCCTGGCATAACGACACTCAAGAACGTCATGAGATGGCGATACTACACCAATCGCATCTTCCTGCACCGGCCAGTGCTGCTGTGGTACGCGATGCGCAAGATCACATGGGACAAGCTTCTTCCTGAAAAGAAAGCAGCCATTGAGCTTTGCCGCGAAGCCTGTGCCGACCTCATCAACGACATAGCAACAACTTGGCGGGGCCACAAACCGTGTCAAATGGCAGGCTGGAACGCGAATTGGCTAATGTACCAGGCGGTCATGGTGCCACTCCTGTCTCTTTACTCTGAGCCGTCAGACCCCAACGTTGTCCGAAGCTCTCGACAGCAGGTCGAAGTCGCCATGGCCACCATGCGGGACCTGCAGGCATGGTCCACGACAGCCAAACGATCTTTGGAGGTCGTCGCACGGCTATATGAGGCCAGCAAGCGTCACCATGCCACTGGTGCTAGTAGTACTACCCAGACGACGGAGCCACAGGACTTGTGTGTACCAAGCAACATGACTCCGACATCCACGTCGACTCCAGTCCCTCAACAGCAACATGCCCTGCCCACCTTCCGACCGTCGTACGTCGATGTCTCTCACGCCAATGCTTACGGGGCCACATCGCGGCCGCCACTAAGCACGGCCGGTCAGGAGATGTACATGGACAACATGTTTGACACCATCAAGTGGAGTACCAGTTGGGACAGTCCCATGGGCGGTCCTCAGATGATGAATGGCTGGGATTACAGTTCGATGCAGCATTGGGCGGGCATGCCTCACGCTGACGAGTACTTTGATGTCGGTTTCGCCGAAGACCCGAGTCAGGTCCTACCGGGGTTTGATCTGGACGATATGCACACGTCGGATCCAGGCGACTTGATGCGTGGGCAATATGGGCTAGGGAATATGGAGCAGCGCCATTCATTGTGATTGAATTGTAGATAGCAGTACTGGTAGTATCCTAAGAATACGAAAAGGCCTTTTGAACTTCTTCACGCTTGTGGCAGTCATGTCCCGAGCCAAGCAGACTTGCATGCATGCAGACAGGGAGCCTTAAGAACCGGAGGCCTTACATACTACGATAGTACTACTTAATTCTCCGTAATCTTGGACTCGCTTGATCTGGCCCTTCTGGATTACTTACACGTACGTGCGAATCAGCAACACCGTGAAAAGTCACTGAAGGGGGCTAAAATTTTTACCAATACTAATACTCGATTTACGGCCGTCCTATAGTTATTTCAAAGCCTGACACGAGATCTCTGTGCAAGCAGAATCAGAATTTTCGACATCATGTACAGTACCTAGGTGCTTCCCCCGTCTCGCAAGATGGTTCCGGATCTGGCTGGTGGGCCACATTCCTTCCTAGCTGTGAAGTTGGACTCCAATGGTAGGACGCCGGCGTGCGACATACTGTACTACCACATGTCGTGCAGCACGAGGCTGATTTAATCGGTACTACTAGTGCTGAGTAGTAGTCATTACTGTACACCGTGAGTCGAAAAAGAGTACTAATATATACTGTAGTCGCTCGGTCCGGGGACGCATCTTTCAGTTCTTTTCTTTTTTGTCTGGCTTCCCGGCAAGGGCAAGGCAAGGCTGTGGCTACGCTTAACGACGGTCGCTTAAGACGGATGGGATGATAAACATTCCGACCGCCTATCGTCTACGGTCGGTAACGTCTTGATCGGTATCTGTTCGACTGCTACGGAGATACTCCCTACTCTACACAGTGTATCTAGGAAGTAGTTAGTACTGGATTTGGAGTCTGTCATGGTTAAAGGGGGTGAGTTAGAATCACCTCCGGCCCTGATCTTTCGCTTTTAAACCTGGAAAGGAAATACACGCGGGCGTGCTCGGCCGCGAGTTGTCGTCCCTTAAATATTTTAGTATTTCGCAGCTTGAATTTCGTGACGTGAACCCTGGAATTGGCAATGCCATGGCCGAGTCACACTCAGCGTATCCTCAACCTGTCCATACAAAATGACACGGCTCCGCCATTATGAGGTCGGAAATCCCCTTTCATGCTCCACGACTATCGAAAACGGCAATGGAGCGGCCGAAGGCGCTTTATGTCCGGCGGGTCCCGGTAGAGATGCTGGGTACATAAGACTCAGCTTTGTGACCACTTGACATTCAGGCCACCCCAAGACCCTGACAAATTTACAACAAGACAAGAAAAGCGCAGCCATGACTTCCAAGGAAGTCCTTCTCATCACGGGTGCTAACACAGGTCTCGGCTACGAGACAGTCCGTTCGCTATGCCAGTCCTCGAAAGCATACACCATCCTGCTTGGGGGTCGTGATCTCGGAAAGGCAGAGGCAGCAACGAAACAATTACAGGAAGAGTTCTCGGGCAGCGCGAGCACAATCAAACCGATCCAGGTTGACATCGAGAACGACGAGTCCATCTCAAAAGCGTTCGAACAGGTCTCCAACGATTATGGCCACCTGGACGTTTTGATCAACAATGCAGGTAAGCGCGGAACCTGCGGCCCTTCTGATGATGCCGTAAACTGACCAGCCCCAGGAAGAATGTTTGACCAGGAGTACCATGCCGGCAAGATGAGCATGAGAGAAGCCTGGAACAAGTCTTGGGACGTCAATACCACGGGGACGCACATTATGACCTATACCTTTGCACCGCTGCTCTTAAAATCATCCAATCCAAGGCTGCTCTTCATCACCAGTGGGACATCCACGCTTGCAGAAGCCGAGAAAGGCTTGTTGTGGATCGACCAGCCGCCTGCAAAAGGATGGCCCAAGGAACCCATGCGGCTAGGAGTCGGGGCGTACCGATCCTCCAAGACGGGAATGAACATGATGATGAGAGAATGGGCGCGCATCTTCAAAGAAGATGGGGTCAAGGTGTGGTGCATTTCGCCCGGCATGTTGGTAACGGGCTTGGGCGGAAATCCAGAAAGGACCAAGCAAATGGGAGGATTGGATCCCTCGATAGGAGCGAATTTTGTACGGGATGTGGTCGAGGGAAAAAGAGATCAAGATGTTGGGAAGGTGATCAGGACGGACAATGTGCAGCCGTGGTAATGCTGGGATTAGTCGCATGTGTATGTACTGTATACTGTACCTTATAGTAGGTACTCCACAGATACTTGACAAAGCCTTGATGGCCTCTTCTTGTTAAGCCTGGCGCAAGCCGAGCACTTACGGTAACGCAGGGACCACCGTAGCAGGTAAGGTATTGAACGAAGCCTCGAACCCCACCTGTACGATTTACGATGTCTTGCCCCCGGGATGAAGAACTGGCAGCACTTAAGTCCGGGCGAGTAGGCTTCCCAGCTCATCTGCTTACAAACATTAACTAAGTTAGAACTCCATTCTCGACCTCCATAAAACCTGACCGTATCTGGTCAAACCACCACAAGTTGGAAGCAATGTGATGGCCGACTTTACAACGTTGACCGGCAAGTTTCGAGCTGATCCTTCGGCATGCAGAGTTACCAAGCGCCCCCGGGAGCCACTGGCTTGCAATCAGTGTCGGAAATCCAAGCTTCGATGCGACAAAGCCCAACCATGCAGCAGCTGTGTCAGAAGGGATGCCGCAACGACATGCTCTTACCTGCGACCTTCAGAGTCTGAGAGTCGAGCCGATGCTAGTACAACTCGGTCCTCTGTGGCGGAGGATAGGCTGATGCACTTGGAAGCCATGGTCAAAGAATTAATGCAGAACCAAAGTACTGGTACCGTCCACCCAGGCAATGTCACTGATCAGGCAAAGCCCACGACACCACCGACACTGCCTCATGACCCAGTCGACCTGACTGCACCCGAGCAACTCAGCAACGCTCGATATGTCGGCTCCACGCACTGGTCGGCTATACTCGACGACATCCAGGAATTGAAGGTGGTTCTTGCTGGGCCAACCGACCTCCAAGAAGTGACTGCACCTATTCCATCTGCAACTTCTCTAGCCAGTGACGATATCATATTCGGAGGGTCGAGCAATTTCTCCCTCCAGGAAATCATCGCCCAGCATCTACCTCCCAAAGTCGAAACCGATCGTGCACTGGCAGCTTATTTTCGAGGGGAGACATTCATCGTTCCATTCGTGCACGCATTTCAATTCCAGCGGCTGTATCGAGAGTTCTGGACCGATCCCACCAAGGTCAATCCTCTCTGGCTGTCTTTACTGTTTTCCATCTGTTACATGTCTTCATTAGTTGGAGGAGCCACCTGTGCCGATCTTCCACTGCAGGGCGATCTCATCAATCAGCGCTTTCGCTTGCATACCGCTGCTGCGAAATGCCTCATTGTGGGCAGATACCGGCGACCTCAGCCCTTTGCCATTGAGGCACTTGCTCTGTATGGGCACTGCAAGAACCTCGCAACTCTGGATCCCTCACGTGAAGCCGGCACCATTCTTGCCATCGTCGTCCGCATGGCGTATGAGATGGGTTACCACCGAGATCCCGATCATTTCGGATCGTTCACCATTTTTGAAGCTGAAATGCGCCGCCGGTTCTGGGCAGTTTGCAAGCAGTACGACACTATGGTCTCTTTTCAGCTTGGTCTACCCAGCAGCATTGTTGTGGAGAATAGTGACACCAAACCGCCCAGAAATCTCTTGGATTCAGACTTCAACGAGTACACACAAGAACTCCCGCCATCTCGATCTGAAAACGAACCCACCAAGCTGCTGTGGTTCATCGTCAAAGACAGAATGCTTGCCAGCTTCAGCAAGGTGTCGAAAGATGCTCTCTCGTTCAATGAGAAATCAGAGGCGGAGGTCTACCAACTCGATCAAGAGATACGTCAGGTCCATGCCACTACTCCTGACATACTCCGGACTCGTGCTCTAGGAGACTCACTTGCCGATTCGCCCTTTCTCATCATGACCAGATTGTACATCGAGTTCATTCACCTCAAAAGTGGCTTGGTTCTCCACCGTAAATACATGGTTCGTGGGAGTGTTTTCAGCACAGTGGCATGCGTGGAGGCTGGGAAGAGCCTAGTCAGACAGTTTGTTGACATGTACCACGAGCGTGCACCAGGCGGGCAGCTCCATCTGGGGAGCTGGATGCTCAATAACTTTACCATGAACGATTTCCTTCTCGGGGTGATGGTGCTCTGCCTCGTCGTTCATCTTCGTCGCAGACGGGGGGGCGGGCAAAATTTTCTTCCCTCGAACGGTGAGGCCGCTTCTGAGAAGGAGCTACTCTCCCTTCTCAAGCGCTCTCGCGATATATGTGTTGAGAAATCTCCCGCAAGCAGAGATGCATGGCGGGTTTCTCATGCCATTAGCCTCACCTTGGACTATGCGAAGTCTTCGGACGGTGCTTCGACGGGTGGCAGCACGCTTCCACAGCCGCATTCGCTGAATACCTGGACTGATACTTTCAACGCCGTGCACTCGACAGGAAGCGGCTTCCAGCCTACCGATCCGACTTCTTTGGTTTTGCTTTCGGGAGACGAACAGAGCAATCAATATGGCGACACAGGGATTGGAACGCTTGATTCCTTCAGTTTCATGTTCAATGGGCTTGACGGCGTCGATTGGATGACATTTGACCCCCAGATCTCGGGTCATGATGCTCCCATCCTGTGACATTTCATTTTCGAATCCAGCCAGATGGGAAGTGGTGTTTCGAGGCCACGCAACAGCCAGCATCTTTCGGCGCGACATTCCACCCGGACGCCTATATTCTGGACAAGAAGAGACAACACGATCTCATGCAGAATTACCTAGGTACGGTTCTCTACACACCTTAACGGCGAAGATCTTGCAATGGGCGGATCTTTGTTGTACGTAGGCAGACATCCCATCCATTCCTGCCGTTCCGAGACTTTACTATTGCAGCATCCTCAATGCTCTACCAACGCGGACGAGCACGTCCGGAGTTGGTCACTAAGCCCGAAGCTGAGATGTCGAACTTAGTGATCACAAACCCCCCAAACCTGCATGAACCATGGACAGACTCAACCTAGACCGTCGGGCGTGTCTACGCCATCTCTTCCAGACACATTCCAGGCTTTCGCAGAGTTTCTCCAGATCTGGTGTGCGTGGATCACGCCTCCTCCAGAACAACGTATCCCTAGCTCGGGCGTCCATATCAATACCGCAAGAACTTCCTTCCCATGAGAAACAGATATTGTCTTCATCTCGACTCTTGAGGGTATAAGAGAGTGGAAGTGCAATAACGAGCACAGTTCCAGATTTCTCCAAACAGTGGTGGTAGAGGCGGCCCTGGACTTCTCTTGCCCCGTTCCTTCAGGTTCAATCCTGAAAGCAGCAGCAGCAGCACCACCACCACCACCACCATCACCAAGACAACATCAAGTGTCCACAAAGACGACCATCCACCCGTCTCTGCTCGTCCGGCAACCAGCAGCAACGCAAACATGTCGAGTGAGCCACGCATCGTCCTCATCACCGGGGCAAACAGCGGCGTTGGCCTCGCCACCACCGAAGTCCTGACCACCATCCCCTCGACCTCGGCCTCGACCACGTTCCACGTAATAATGACGGACCGCTCACTAAGCAAACTCGACCAAGCCCGAAACCGACCTCATCGCCCGCCACGCAAACAACACCACCGACATCTCCTCCCGCCTGACGACCTGCCACCTCGACGTGCTCGACGACGCGTCCATCCACTCGGCCTCTTCACCACCATCTCCTCGCGCATCGGCCATCTCGACGCGCTGATCAACAACGCGGCCATTGGCAACAGCTCGGACGACGTCCGCGACCGCTTCACCCACCGCCTGTCTCGAGACCAACGTCACCGGCGCCGCCGTCGTGGCCGACAAATTCCGTCCTCTTCTTCTTCTCGGCAAAACCAAAACCCTTCGCAGCACCAAACCGTACAGCATCTACGTCTCCTCGGGCGCCCGGCAGCTTCGCTCGCACCGGCGACCCGTCTCGTCCGCCAGCGCATCCACACCCTCGCCCAAAAACCCGGACGCCTACCACGCCAGCAAGGCGGCGCTGAACATGGTCGCGCTCCTGGAGCATCGCGCCCACGGACACGAAATCAACGTCTTCGCCATGACGCCCGGCTTCGTCGTGAGTAATCTGCGCGGCACGGACGAGAACCTGCGCCCCTGGCACGGCATGGCAGGTGATCCCATGGTCGCGGGTAGGACGCTGTTGAGCATCCTGCAGGGTGAGAGGGATGCGGACGCCGGAGCCGGGCTTGTGCATAAGGATGGCGTGTTTGGATGGTGAGCTCATTGACCCACAGTGGTGTCCTCCTTGGGCATAAGTGGTGTACCAGGTATAGTACCCTAGGTACCTATATATCAAGGGATACTGGAGGACTTACGCAGTGCCCCTCCGGGCGTCAAAACCTGGTGAAAAAGAAAAGTCCTTGAACATCCAACACCTTCCCTGTCCACGTTCAACTGTATTGCTCCGAAAAAAAATCCAAGTTACTGTATGACATACGTTGTCGCCACCGGCAAGCGAGCCCTGGGTACTATGTATCTGGTATATACACAGACACCTGCTCCCGATGACTCCACATTTCCAACCGCAAACGTCAATGTGATGCTCCAGACTTCATGGTAAAAGCACATCGTCTCACATCCGACCCAAACATGCCAATCAGGAGCTCTTCATTCAAATGCGCTCCTTACCGTCAATAGCAATCAAACAGCTATTACTCGACCACACCGGACATCTCAAGTAATCAATCAGCACCGCTGGAGATAATTGCTGGGAACCAATCCAATACTGCCTCCTCTCGTGCCTTTCATGCTCTCGCGGACTTCTGCTTCCCACCATCCGTCGTCTTGTATTCTCAGCACGGCCAATATGTCGCCTTTGCTGAACGTAAGCTCTTCGGGTATCGCAGCTGTGTAGCTGTACATTGCACGAGCTATTACCAGTCAGTCATTGCTTGCTAGCGTGTTTAGTTAGGCTCACCATAATGCAAAGGTTGCGGTTGCGCTGGCCGGAATGGAATATTCGCCAGACTTTTACTTCTCTCTCTTCTCAACTCGATGTCTGCACCACCTCTTTGTCTAGAATCACGCCCATCATAACCTTGAGGCTGCTGGTAGCGATCGCCTCCGAAACTGGAGGTCGGCCTAGCCATGCTTTGTCGACCTCTGCCACTGCCGTTGCCAGATCCATCGTATCTCGTCACATCCGAGGAGCTGAGCTGCATTTCCATTCCACTTCCTTGTCGGGAGGCCGAGCCTTGCCCTCTCGGTCTCCCGCCTCCATGGGGATTGGGTGAAGCCGCTCGGTATTGTGGGCCACCCTGCTGCATCATTGCCGGACCGGGACTGCGCGACCTCATGTACGGATCTTGGCGTTGAGGCTGCGGACTAGTAGCACGAGGCATACCAGGAGCTGGACTCCTCGAACGCTGATATTGATTCTGTGGTTGCGGACTTGCTGCTCTTGGGATCATGCCTGGGCCCGGGCTTCTCGATCGTTGATATTGGCCTGGTGGCTGGGGGCTGGCTGCCCTCATTATACCAGGTCCTGGGCTTCTCCTTCCGTCTCTCGTCCCGGGTCTTTGTTGATTACTTCTAGGATTCGACGCGACAGAACCAGCACCCCAAGTCTCTGTCCGGTTCAGCATTTCCTTCTTAGTGTGAGCGGGTTGCGGCACACCCAGCGCACTCTGTCTTTCTGCCGCCGACTCGTACGTCGGCGGCGGTGTCCCTCGTTGGGCTGCCATTCGTGCTTGACTCTCGGCACTGATCAAGCCTGGCCGTGTGGTCGGGTCTTGGTCAGGAGCCGGAGTTGCAACGCCGTGATAGCGATCCACTGGAACGCGGGTACTGGACTGCTTCGCCATACCTGTCACACCATTGGAAGTGCGTTTGAGATCAGCCAGTGCCTGTGCGATTGGGTCATGCATAGCATCATCGCCCATGCTCGAAGGTGGAGGAAGAAATTGACTGCGGCGATTTGCAGAACTTGCTTTTGGCGTAGCAGTTTGACCATCGGGACTGGCCACATCGAAAACATTGTTGCCCACATTCAGCTGAAAATTTGCTCGAGGATCAGCAGGTTCTTCGCCTTCGGGTGCCATAGCTGCAGTGTTTCGGTTGAAGAAGCTTGCTGTGTGCTTGGTAGGCGACTTGGTAGGACTGGAATGCGAGCTGGACACAGTCGGGTTGAGGTTGATTCTACCACCAGTAGCTGAGCTTGAAGACCATGTATTGCCATTTGGAGGACTGGCTGCAGGATTGTCGTGCTCCTTCCTCGACTTCCGCCGGAAAGGGCTGTTCGAGAAGAAGCCTGATCGCTTCTTTTGCACCGATTTCTCGGGAGAACCCATGCCTGGCAGCTCGATGCCGTTTATAGGGGCCGTCTTGGTTGGTGAGGCCGCGGCCGACACCGGCTCAGCACTTGTGAACGAACTGGGTGCGGAGTATTGGCTCTCACTATCTCTGCTTTCAGGTCTGGTGTTTGAAGATAAGGCAGAACCAGATACCGAAGGAGGTGCATCTGTCCGGCAAAACATGGTCATGCCATCGGTGGGATACTGGTTGTGAGGTACTTGAGGTACATCACCGTGCTGGCTGGGTGAATAATTTGGAGGAACGTTGGGACCGGACTGTTTGTAGTTGAGAGGGGGCGGACGACCACTGTTGGAATTGGAAGGAGTCGGCATGTCGTCTTCATTAGGTATCATGGGCTCTTCTGACATGCGTTGAGGAGTGTCACGCGTACTTCTCGTGGCGTTTGAATGAGTTGGCGACGATGATCTGAAAGCAGGATTCGTGGTGCGTGAGAATTGTGCCACAGAGTAGTTGTCGTCTTCCGAGACCTCGGACTGAGTGTCAACATCTCCTCGACAGAAGTTGATGTATCGTGGAGGATCTGGAATTTCTTGACCCGTCCCGCAGGTCTTGATGAAATTGCTGATGTCTTTTTCCACTTCGCAGTTTTCCAGAGCAAGCCTGATCTTCTCGCAGGAAGCATCATCCGAGACGCAAACAGTCGACGCAATATTGGCGAACGCCCAGAGTGAAGACTTGGTGAAGTCCAGTCGTTCTTCCTCGAGGTCCTGGAATTTATCGCAGGCGGCCTTCCACTCTTTATTCCATCGTCCAGTGGTTTCTTCAAGCACCTTGACAGCAGCTTCGTATTCTTGCGAGTTCGAGGCCATGTTTATCTGCGTCTTTTCGAGCTTGGCCTTGTTCTTTCGCTCCTCTTGTCCCATAACCATGTGGCCTTGGGCCAAATAGCCTTTTATTCTCAGGCAATCTTGTTCGTACTTGTCTCGCGCTTTGTTGACGTGTGCGGTTTGTGCTTGCTTGGACCTGTGGAGCTTCTCTATGCCAGATTGTACAATCTTCCGACGTTCTTTCATGCCGCCCGAAAAAGCCGCCAGCGGTTCCTCGAGCTCCGACTTCATTTGCTGAGCGATTAGGGCATGTTGTTTCGCCATTGATTCTGTTTCTCCTCTTGCGACATCGAGACTCGCTCGCAACGTGCCTTGTTCGACGCTTCCGAGTGGCTTCCGCGACAGACTGTGTAGCTTCTTCGCATACTCTTCTTCCAAAGCGGCGCGCGCACTGTAGAAGGCTCTGAGTTCGTCGCAGGTAGTTTTGGCATTCTGCATGCGAGTAAGGAGAGGGTCGACTCCGGCATCATCTCGTCCCCAGAAATTGTTGGAAACTGTCACCATCAGCACGCTAGTCATCGCCGGTCCTCTGTTGTACTCACAGCTCAAAGGTACTGAAGGAGGGGCGCCTGCGTCGGAGGCAGTGCCTGCCGGCATTGTGCCTTCTTGATCTGACCTTATTGTTGTTGGGTTGATAGATAACTCGTCGAGATGCTGCCTGCGATCAACGGAGGTGCAAGTTCTGGCTTAGGTGATTGTACGTCTGTGCACTCTGGAGTTGTGAAAGTAACTGGCCTGCATTGACATTGCAGTCGAATGACGAGGACGGTGAATTTGTTTTGTAGCTCGTCGTCGGGGCAACGCCATTCGACTCCTCCGAATTCTACAGTACTGTGTACCTTATTATGCCACCATCACAGCCAGAGCCGGGATCAATCAAGAACAATGAGTGCACTCAAAGTCCCTCAGATATGGATCTCGGCTTGTGGCTCAAAGTATCATTTCTTGATAAACCTATACACAGAGGGATCTCTGGCTCTGAGCAGACTTCAGGCCCCAGGAATATGGGTGTACACCTCTCCTGCCTTTACTAAATGTCTGCGACACGTGCCAATCCCTTTCCCTGACAGCTCGCTGCCGTCCATTCCACAAAGCTTGAAGTCTTGAAGCGTATGGGTTTGCTAAGCGGAGAGCCTGGATAGCAGGATTCCTGAAACTCGAAGCCCAATTCGTACGCCTTTTAGAGGCTCTTTGTTCTGGGATAACAACGTGACTGGAGACCTACTCCTCGTCCACAAAAGAATTCGCCAGACGCCCAAAGAAAGGTACCTCGTAATGCTCCAAAGTCTCGACATCCCGATACGCATGCATGGCCAAAAACCCGATCAAAACCAAATCAACCGTAAATAACATCCACGACAGCACCCGCGACCAGACCAAGATCAGGTGCAGGACAAAGATGGCAGAAAACAACATGCTGGACTGCCACGCGTGAAATCTGACATAGTCGCTCTTGTGCTCGGCTATGAGGAGAAAGACACCTCCGGCAGGTGGAAGGAGGAGGTATGCCAGCATAGCTTCATAGTCCAACCTCATGAGCAGACTCGTCTCGAAAGCTTCCAGGCTCTGTCCCCTCTCTTGTTGCGCCGCCGCGAACGCATCATTGCCAAAACTTCTTGGTGCTTGCGACTGCACCTGCGATGTCGTACGGGGAGCTTGAGAAGGTCGATTCTGCGGAGGTGGTGAGCGTACTCGTTGGGAGTCCAGAGATGGTCTGCTCTTAGCAGGAGGAGGGGAAAGGGCGCGTTCTCTGCCATTGAAGAGATTAGCTATTTAATTCGACGAAACACGAGCGTATGAGTCGCGGTAAGGTTCTCACATCTCAGGAGATTCATCTTGGTATGGTGCGAAGTTCATTGTTTACTCTTCCTTGGGGAGCGCTTTCGTCTGGCCGTGACATGAATGAGGCGCAATTGCTGCAGGATCTCCTCTCGTTCGTCGTTAATGAGGGCGCTCCTCACATACAGTATCGTAGGAAAGGGCAAGAGGGCTGGTCGTAGTCGAGTTAGCTGAATACAATCTAGAAAGAAGGCTGATTGATTCCGGAACGAAGCCGCCTCGCTCAGAAAATGGCCGCTGATCATGCCTTAGAGCCGGCTGCACCAGGCCGAGATGTGGCAGGCTCTACAGGGCCTCTACACTTCGAGCGTACGAGATTTCACCGTCTTCTACCTTCCTAAGTCGCACCCCGTCGACGGGGCTTATCCCGTCAAGTGCTGTCAGCTTCGAATGGATACGTAAGACCTCTTCCACCTAGGCTTACATATAAGACTACTATATTTACGAAATTTGCCTGTAGAACGTGACCGCGTCCCCTACGAATTGTGCTGACTCATCAGGATTCTCAACTGGGCCGGACAAAGTCAGCTTAAAGCAATATACGCACATCGACCATAGGCTCGGCAGAAACTGTAATTATCTCCATCGGGATGCCGGACGTCGCATACTGTCCTGTTCCAATTTATCTATAATCCCGAACGCCTTCGATCGGCAACCCGACGAACTTTGTCTACCCGACATTCTATACATACTGGTAGGTAATCTGAGGAATTTCAGAAGATATGGAGAACGTGATTACCAGAAGGAAGAAGGGCGAACTCTGCAGGCACACACCGTATCACGGAGAATATCTGTGCTATCTTCACATATCGAGACAACATGACGATTTTAGCGGCAGGATGCGCAGCCATCGGTCAGATATACACTCTCCCTCTGATTATTCTGCTTGTGCTCTGCATCCGCTGGGTTAAGCAGTCTATCTCTCTCCGGTATCAATATCGGTTTCCAAACCCAGTCCCAGGGCTACCCATCATCGGCAACAGCCTTCAGATGCCCACTACCGGGCAGGGCCCCTATCTACAAGCTCTGGGAGAGAAGTACGGAGACATGTGAGTGGTTCTGCACAGCTTACTGCTACTCAGGCGTCACTCGTTTGGAGTTATACCAGGTTTACTATGAGAATTGGTACGACCCCTTGGGTCATCCTGAACTCCCGACGAGTAGTCACCGAGCTACTCGAGAAGCGTGCTGCAATCTATTCGACCCGACCAGTTTTGCCCATGGCACACGGTCTCGCTTCGGCGGGGAAGCGCATCCTTGTTATGCCATATGGCGACCTTTGGAGGAGAGAAAGAAAGATTATGCACCAGATCTTGAACAACACTAAAAGGCGCATATATGAACCGTTTCAAGACCTCGAGTCTCGTGCTCTCTTATATGAGTATCTACATCGACCCGATCTTTGGTACCAATCTCATCTTCGATACGCGAATTCCGTGCTTATGAGCGTCGTCTCTGGAAGAAGGACCAGTCGTACGGATCCGCATCTCCTGGAGTTGCTTCACACCTCCGAAGAATTCGTCCGGTATCTCATGCCGGGCCGATCCGTTGTCGATGTTTTTCCATTTCTGACCAGGATCCCATGGCTGAAGGAGTGGCAACCTTGGAGATGGTATGGTGATGGTCTGTACAGACGGACCCTGAAGTGAGAGACCTTGTATTCATGCGCGTCCAACAGCTCACATCGAATACTCAGGTCTACAAAAGGGAGGTGGATGAGCTTCGGCACCGACAGAAGCTGGGTATCCAGAAGCCTTGCTTCATGACAGAGTTCTTGGATGCTGGGAAGGACCGAGGGTTTTCCGACGAGGAGCTCTGCTTCATCTCCGGAACCTTGATGGAAGCAGGCTCGGACACCACCAGAATCTCCCTGCACGAAGTTGTGGCAGCGGCTGCTTTATATCCCGACTGGGTCGAACGCGCACGGATGCAGCTGGATCGGGTGTGCGGGGCCAATGGTGAGCGATTGCCAGTCGCACAAGATCTTGCTCAATGCCCTGTCATTAGAGGCGCAGTCAAGGAGAGCATGCGTTGGAAGTAAGTTGCGTCCCCGTGACCCTTAACCTCAACGACTGATCCACATTCAAGACCTACTATAGCAGAGACAGGCATTCCGCACTGCTTGCTCGAAGACGACAACTTCGAAGGCTACCGTGTTCCCCTCTGGATCTGTGTTCACCTGGAATCACTGGGGAATATCGAATTCGGCCTTGGAGTACGGACAGCCGGAGCGCTTTTGGCCGGAACGATTCATCAACGACGAGCTCGATATGGCTTTGAAAGGCCATCTGGGCTTCGGTGCCGGTGAGTTAGCCGGGTTTCTGGCCCTCCTTGGTGGCAATGACTACGGGCTGACTGTCCCCCCCTAAACAGGTCGAAGGGCTTGCGTCGGATACTCTGGTGGCGTAGACAACCTTGGCATCGCAATTGCGAGGATTGTTTACTGTTTCAACTTCGAACAGGATTCATCAGCTCCCATCGACACTTCGACACCATTTCACTCAAAGAATGACGGTCCATTCAAAGTTATCATTACGCCAAGGAGTGAATGACATCGAGATCTTATCGAGAGGCAATGTAGTGCCGCAACGATCATCAATTGAATGACGGCAGCATCTTGCTTGTGGGTTTGTAAAGTGGTGGCCTCGGTGACCACATGGTGTGGCATAATTTTGGTAAATACTACCAGTGCTGCTTAGTATTTTGATTCAGGATCTATTTATCTCCTCCGCGGTTAGATGGCAACGTTAAAGTCTTGGTATAGATTGGCCTGGAAACCCTACCAGATATGCTACATTTCGAGAGACAATTTCTTCACAACTGTTGAGGGTAATGAGCAGGTAATTGAATTGAAAGTCTCTCCGAAGGTGTCAAAGAGAACGACAACCTAAAAGGGTCTCAGAAGTTTCCGTAAATTATGGGAAAGAAATAGAATTTAGTTAAAGCCTTACCTAAAGCTCTTAACTAAGATCCTAACTAAATCAGTGTTTAGGCTATCCTTCTAGTTAGGCGTTAATTAAGAATTGATGCCAATCTATATCATCGGTAACTTATTGTGGCTGTATTCAAAGCTTCGTTTCGCCTTACGTGAAGAGCGCCGTCTTCAGATCCATAATCAAGACGGACAGCGGACGCAAGTAAATCCTCAGGTAGGCGTAGGGGGTTGCTGTCTGTGCTCATCCCCGCTCCAAGTTACGTCTTTGAGGCGCCAACAACAAGCAGAAGCGACCTTTACTGCAACTTCGAGCATCTCCAGACGGGATCTGCATGGTCACCGTCAAGGCCCAAGTCAAAGTGAGTGCCAAATGGCCAAGGAGGCGTTCTTTTCTCTTCTTTCGCCTCACCATGGTACGATATTCCGCTTCCTCGAAATCGTGGAACAACCCTTTTCCACCACGCAAGGAGACTGGCGTTGACGGCGGCTAAAGATTTTTCCGCCAGCAGTTGGGCGTTTCTGATCCATGCGGATCCACGATTCGAGCAGCCTTGTCGACTGGTCCAGAAGTGTATGTCTGGCTGTTGGATGTCATCCACGTTCTCGGCCGATGATTTGTATGGGCCTATCCGCCGGACTTCGCGTTCTTTCCTATGATTGTATATCATCAGTAAGTCGTTTGGCGGCTGAAGGTGACAGCCCTTTGTCCGATCTCTGACTGCTCCCTGTCCTGTGCTGCGAGTTTTGTTGGTACCATCGTGAGAGGTTACCGATATCCATCTACAGTGCTGTCCTCAACCTTTGACGTCTTCCGAGCCTCTGCACCGCTGTGTTTAGCAATACTCTTCCTACAGGCTGAACTAAGCCACGTCAGCGATGCGTGCCAAATATATCCCGACCATTGCTTCCCAGTCCTTGGGACGAGCCTGGTATCACAGTCTGGAACACAAACTCAGTCTATGCGAACAATATGGGTTCGAAAGCATAGAACTATTCTTTGAAGACCTCGACGGTGCTGCCAACTCATTACCAGCCTCACATCCCCCATCACCTCCAGGCACGTCCTTCGCCAGTTCGAGTCATGCCCAAGAAAAACAGTTGGCGGCTGCAAGATATATACACGAGCTTTGTATTCGACACAAGTTGGAGATCCTGTGTCTCCAGCCGTTTATGCACTACGAAGGACGCCTTGATGCTGCCTCTCATCAGGCTGCTATTCAGAATCTCCATTTCTGGATCAGGCTGGCCCACATCCTGGGAACAGATCTTATTCAGATACCCTCCAACTTTCTACCAGCCTCTGAAATCACTGATGACCGAGAGAAAATCGTCGCAGACCTGAGAGAAGCAGCACACATCGGCCTCCAATCTTCTCCTCCCGTTCGACTCGCTTATGAAGCCCTCTGTTGGGGCACACATATCGACACTTGGGACGCAGCATGGTCCATTGTCCTAGAAGTCAATCAACCAAACTTCGGAACATGTATCGATACATTCAACCTCGCTGGCCGGGTGTTTGCCGATCCAGCTTCAGCGACAGGATTGACAGCAAATGCATACCAAGAAACCCAAAAATCGATCGCAAAGCTGCGTTCAGAACTTCCTTTTGCCATAGAAAAGGTCTTCTACGTTGAGGTCTGCGATGGCGAACGATTGGACCAACCATTGTTACCTGGTCATGAATGGTACAATCCTGAACAGAAGCCTCGGATGTCTTGGTCACGAAATGCCAGACTATTTCCTTTCGAGAACCCTGGCTATCTACCCGCATTGGAGGTCCTTGAAGCAGTCTGCGAGGCTGGTTACACGGGTCATATCTCGTTTGAATTGTTCTCAAGAACGGCAAACATGCCGGACCAGGAGGTTCCCAAAGAACATGCCCAACGTGCAGCTACCGCCTGGAGGAGATTGGAACGATACATGAAGTGGAACCGCTCGGCGACTCCGTCCGAAGATGAAAGATCGTAAGTCTCCTCGCAAGGCTATACCAGGTGGTTTTCTCCATGCTGACACGTCAAAACATAGTTCGCCAGCCACCGTCACCACATCAGAATCTTCCTGCTGATGATGAAGCCTCTTTCGCGTATTTGATTCCGCCGCTTTGAGCCGCGTGCACCCGGCGTGTGCGCAGAATCATGCCTAAGGGCTGGTGTTCAGCACGCACGGCTCTTGCTTGAGGAGAAAAAGGAAACCATGCCCAGTACATCGGTCGTCGTTCAGATACCCATTTCCATGTTGCATATAGCATATATATAACGTACACAAGTGGACCTCGCCTACCCTTTTGCCGTTGATCAGGCTCCTGGTCTGTCATACTCCAAACGCCGCACTCTCTTCCAGACCTCTCTAACCACTCTCTCTTGCCCTTCGCGCCCCGTCTCACCTGGACTGTCCGCAGCGGGTCTGATTGCAAGATACAGTCTTCCACCCAACTTGGCATCTTCAATTTTTGCAGTTTCATAATCTTCAGGAGGATTCGCTGTCGTGATCAGCCCGCCGGCCTCTTGCAGCAAACAGATTCCAGCGGCAACGTCCCATTCCCAACAGCCCCCTTCCCACCAGATATCGAACGCTCCCATAGCGGTGTAGGCGAGATCCATGGTTGCACTCCCCAGGCTTCTCACGCCGTGGACCATGCCTCCTTTCCCATCTCTCCCGCCAATCTCGGCCGCCATGTTGACAAAACTATCCACCTTACGATACAGGTTCCCATCGGGCCGGTCTCTTCTGTCTTTGCCCCATTCACAGGAAAAAATACAATGTTTTGGAGCATTTTGCGGTATGGGACCGACGCCCACGTTTCCCAGCAACGGCAACCGCGTGGTCTCGTTCAACCAAGCTCCCGAGCCCCGACAGGCTGAGAACAACTGGTTCAACAGCGGAGCGTAGATGACGCCAATGACGGCTTTCTGATTCACTACCAGGGCGATGCTGACGCAGAACATGGCAAAGGAATGCGTGAAATTGACCGTCCCATCGAGAGGGTCCACGATCCACGTCGGTGCATTCGTGACCAGATATTCTTTCGACGAGTCTTTCGAGTACGTTTCCTCGCCGACGAACGCGTGCGAGGGGTATTGTTTCCGTATGCTCGAGTGGATGAATTCTTCGACTTCTGCGCATAATGCGTAAAAATGGGTCAGTACTCGAAGGAAACCCCGTGCAATTGTACAATGCGGACAAAAAAGATCGGGACAATACTAGTTACCGGTATCGGTCTTGGTCACGATGTCCACGGCATTCAACTTCTCCTCCATTACCAGCACTCCCTCCGTGGCGTCGTTCTGTCTCTGGTTCTCGCCATCAGCGGCATCTCGTCGCCTCTTCTGCACAGTATCGAGCAAGATAACCCCGGCGTCTTTGCCGAGCTGGATGGCGAAGGCGTAAATCTCGCTCAAATCGGCATCCGAGATGTCGTATCTCTGGCCCGCCTCCATCTTTGCCAGGTGCCGGATACTACTACTACTACTTGGAAAGTTGTCTGCACATATCGCGGGCCCGGGAAGAAAACAAAGTGTCGTTCGTATCTGGAGTCCAACAGTTGCCGATGTCGATGGCCGAAAAAGACTGAAGAAGTTACTCCATACGCAGTACTCCGTACAGCGTCGGTTATTCCCGGCCTCTTCGTCCAGTTGCCGATGCATCGTCGACATCATCGTGTCCGAGCTTCGGGCTAGTCTTCTCCCGATGGATCTGCCTAGTAGCCACACCCCTGCATGTGCGTGTTGGAGATGCGTAAACGCACACGGTGGTCATGGATGGTTCAGCTGTCTTCCCGTCGCCTCAGTGCGGGATGTCCAGTTTTCTTATGTCTTCCCTGGAATGTGTCACCAATCCCGGAGTACATACCGGGGCTTAGCAGCCCGGTCTTGTATTCGGAGGAGAGGGCAGGGAAGCCTCTGATTGTAGGGCCTCACGGGCCTGAACCGCTGTCTGGGTGCTAGTCCAGTCTTTGTCGCGACGGGATGCTTGACATATGCATCAGCCTTTCTCGACAACGACGGAATTTTCCCCATCCCCATTGTGATCTCAGGAACAGCCACACAGGGAAACAGGAATTCGAAGTCTCAGCTGAGCTGTACAGTACTACCACTATCTCACTTGCTCTTGTGCGACTACGAAGTATAAGTATTAGTACTACTCGCGACACCACCGTTACTACTCCTGGTAGTACTAGTAGGTACGTCGTGGTACATCGAATCCGACAACCATGTCCAAACCCAACCGAAAGATCCTGCTCGTCAACGGTCCCAACCTCAACCTCCTGGGAACCCGCGAACCAGGCATCTACGGCACCACCACGCTCCCCCAGGTTGTCGACGCCGTCACCAAGCGCGCCCACGACCTCGACATCACCATCGTCCCGTTCCAGTCGAACCACGAAGGCGCCATCATCGACTTTTTACATTCTCATTTTCTCGGCCCTACCAATACCAACACCGACAACGGCACCACGACGGCGACGACGACAACACCTTCCGAAGAAGAAAAAGAAGAAGCAAAAGCAAAAGCAAAAGCAGACCGAGTGGCCGTGATCATCAACCCGGCAGCCTACACGCACACCAGCGTGGCAATCCGCGACGCCCTTCTCGCCACAAACTTCCCCTTCGTCGAGGTGCACATCTCCAACGTCCACGCGCGCGAGACCTTCCGGGACCACAGCTACTTCAGCGACAAGGCCACGGGTGTCATCATGGGGTTGGGCACGTTCGGGTACATTGCCGCTCTGGAGTTTTGGGCCAATAAGTGGGATACAGAGCAGACAGAGAAACGGTGAACTCGAACCTCAAGTTTGGTGGTGGTGTGTAGTATGACATTTTGCTTCCTTCTTTGCCTTCCTTCTGGAAGGGTTCGATAGAGGCTACTAAGTAGTACTTCCGTGTGGGATCGAAGTGTCCCGACGGATCTCATGGCTCGAAAAGATACTTTATTAAATTAGTGACCGAGACTACTTCGCCGAGAACAACAATCTAGCATAGAAGCGAAGTTGCTGTTTACTAGTGGCCGGCGTTGGTCTTTCGCGCAAACTTGGGTTGCTTTCTGCAATTTTTCCGGATATATGTTCAACCTTCTTTGTGACAGAAAACGCTCAACCAGGGTTTGTTATGCATCGACTTCGGGAAGGCCCCCTACTAGTACTTAGGTAGGCCCTGTGAGGAAAGCAAAGATTCTAGCAGTGAGATACCGGCTGGAAACCCATGCAGTAAGTAGTAAACTCCAACGTCCTTTGTCGTAAAACAATCTTCGCTGCAGAAATCTGTAACCGTACTAGTATTCAGCGCATCATTTCGATAAGGCATATGCGAAATATAGGCCCTCAACAAGGCATCTTGTCATGCCCAAGTCTTGTGTCCTCCCATCAGGGACGCTCTCCGAACCGAGCCAAATTCTGTACATCACCAAAAACCCACTAATAGCAGGACGTGGCCTACACCTTCTCAAAGTGTTGCGAATCACGGGAAGTTGTCTCCCGCTGTTCGACATTTTCCTTCTCGTTGTTGACGCTCAAACGTCTGAAATCGCGATCCTCGGCACGAAGTTCATCAAGAATGACCTTGTGCGCCTTTCTAGCCGGGAATTCTTTGCTGCTGAAAAGACGATCCATCGCTTCGAGCGGGATTCCCTTGGTTTCGGGGATCAAGAACCAGACAAACACAACCGAGCACAGCATCATGGAGGCGAAGAAGAAGTAGACCCCGTAGGACATGGTGGCGAACATCTGGGGAGTGAAGCGGGCGATGATGAAGTTCTGCAAGGGGGGCCACTTGTTAGCACATGTGTTTTGTTTAAAGACGGAGAAACTCAAGGTAGGAGACGTAGACTTACCCAGAACCAATTGTTCGCTGCGGCAAAGGCTTGAGCCAGTGTTCGCACGTTTTGGTCGAACATCTCCGAGTTCAAGACCCACGGGGTTCCATTCCACGAGGGTGAGTATATTGCTGTCCAGAGGTAGAAGAACACCATGGCGCTAATGCCGCCCGAGGAGAGGCTACCGCCTGTCGTGGGTGCCAGCCATGGCTTCGCGACTGCGATATATCCGCCAATGTACCACATACATAACGAGCCGCCGATCGCACCCCAGATGAGCAGATTGCGACGGCCAAGCTTGTCGATAAGGAAGAAAAGCCAGATGATGGTCATGATGGTTTTAATGACGCCGAAGATACCAGTCGTTAGCAGAGAGGTGTTCGTCCCCGTAATGCCGATAGACTTGAACCTGCAGAATTTGTCAGAAAGTTGTACTTTTTGAGATAGTGATACCTACACAGTTGGAGAGTAATAGTTAATCGCATTAATGCCTGTGGCGTTTTGCCACAGAAAAAGAGCACCACCGAGGAGGAAGCGTTTTGTGACCCGAGGGTTGTTGATGACGGCCTTGAAAGGCTGCCAGAAGCCCATACCCACTGTGCTGCGTTGGTGTTCGATGGCATTGTCAATGGCCATGATCTCTTCCATCATGTAGACGTGGTCAGCAGGCAGTTGACGCAGCCAGCACAGGTTTTTGATGGCTTCCGCGCGACGAGCTCGAGTGAAAAGCCATCGGGGAGATTCTTTGATAACAAGCGCACCCACAAACAACAGTCCGGCGGGGATGAGCTGGATAGCGAATGGGATGAGCCACTGATGGTGCGAAGGTGCCATAGTCTCGGAGACGCCGTAGTTGATCCAGAAGCCAACCAAGCCACCGATTTGCCAGCTACTCACGTGAGTATGATAGAGGAGATTTCGGGCTAATAGAGTAACTCACCTCAGTTCATACAATCCCACCAACCTGCCACGGATTGCAGGGGGAGCGATCTCGGAGCAATAGATGGGAGAGAGGTTGGATGCACCGCCCACACCAAGACCTGCAAGCACTCTTCCGCCGTATATGAGGCCGAGGCCGCGGGAACCAGTAGCTCCAAGCATGATGCCTGCGCCGAGGCAGAACACGGTGCTGAAGATGAGCAGCCCGAATTTGCGACCGAGGAAATGGCCTGCAGGGTAGGCGAAGAAGGCTCCGAAGAAGGCGCCAGCTTGATAGCAGGACACGATGTTGGCGCTAAGGAGGTTGACCTGGGTTTTCGAGAGGTCGTCGAAGCCAAATTCATCCTTGAATGAACCCAGCGCGAGGGTTCCTCCGATGAAAGCACTGTCATAGCCAATCATCATGGCAGCTGAGGCCGCGACAAATGCTTGGAGATAAACTCGCCAGTTGTAGACACATTTTGGTGTTGGCCTGTCTTCGATCAAAGTGAGGAGACCCATTGTGCCAACCTGTGCTGATTATAAGCAACAATGAAAAGATTTAGGAGATAGTGATCTGGAGGAAGAACACAAGATCTGGGGAAGTGGCGGAGAAGCGTATTAAGTAGTAGTTACGAACAAAGTGATAGGCCGGGGAGTAGAATCCTCAATTCCACCGAGGAAGAAGAGTTGGCACAGCTTGAAAAGATTCTCCGCCCTTGAACTCCACAAGTAAGCCAAAGCAGGCCCATGGGGCCTCACCGCCAGCGACTGGCCGTGAGGATCGAGTCAGGCGTGGATCTTCCATGGGCTTGAAAGGTAGATCCAGGTGGCGGATAAAGACTTACCCACCACTGTCGGTGGCAAAGTGCGGCAGGACAAGGGTTCTTCGGCTACGAGGTGTCGGCGAGTCGGCTAGAACACATCCTGACGTCTCTTGCATCGGACATGTCCAGGGGAGGAGATTCCAAGAGCAAATCCTCGCATCCCCACAATCCGCATCGCCAACAACCTCGAAGTTATTATGGAGAGGCTAGCGACAGACTATGCTTGAAGAGAGCACTATCTTGCAGCATTGAAGATATCCAGGAGAAGCCCTGGAAACTGGAAGGCCGCATCTTCGAAGACCTGGCCAGCCATACCTACTACTGCAATAGTCAGCGACAGGTCAAGCTTGCTCGAGAATAACAACACACGGCAGAATTGAGGTATATTTCTCCACCCATGCCTCAAATCTCAGCGCCAGATACGGCTGCTTTCGATCGGGTAGCCTACCTGGTGGGCTTTCCTATTGCACACTCGAAGTCGCCGTTGCTCCATCGTGCGATCTATACAGCCACAGGGAGAAATTGGGCTCAGCTGCTCTGCGAGACAAATGACCTTCATGGGTTCATGAGCCATCTCAGAGGTGACGCAAAATGCATCGGCAGTGGCGTTACAATGCCTTTCAAGGTTGCAGTCATTCCTCAACTCGACGAGCTTACGGAGGAGGGAAAGGCTATTGGTGCTGTTAACACGATCTTTTTCAAGACTGGACCAGACGGGTCGAGATCATATTGCGGCACAAACACCGACTGCATAGGGATCCGGGACGCTTTCCTCACGAATGTCAGGGGTTCCCCATATCGAGGAAAACCAGGTCTCGTGGTCGGAGGAGGAGGTACCTGCAGGGCAGCGATTTATGCTTTGCAAAGATTGATGGGTTGCGTGCCCGTGTATATCATCAACCGAGACGGCAGTGAAGTCGAGGCTGTGTTACAGGAATTTCGGGAAAGAGGAAGAGGAGATGACTTGATCCATGTAACGACAACCGAGCAAGCCCGGCAGCTGCCGGCCCCAGGGGCTGTGGTCAGTGCGGTTCCAGACTTTCCACCCGTCACCGAAAACGAAAGAGCTGTACGGGAAATTCTTGAAACATTTTTGAGCACGACGGAGAAAGGTGCCTTGCTGGAAATGTGCTACCATCCGTCACCAGACACCGAAATTTCCAGGCTTGCTTTGAATGCAGGGTGGCAGCTCATTGGCGGCGTAGAAGCGATGATCGGGCAAGGGCTGGCCCAAGCAAGTCTGTGGACTGGTGTGGAGGCTGACAACACCCTGAGAAGCGTAGTCAGGGATGCGGTGCAGGGTCACATGAAGCCTCCGACTTGAAGGACTCTGCCCTGCCTCGGAATAAAGGTCGTATCTGAATTCTGGACATGTCGAACAGCTCGTAGTGCTCAAAAATGCTCATTCAGCTTCCATGGTTCTAGGAAAAGAACTCCTCACCATCTATCATGTACGAGACATTTTCCCTCAGTGAATTGTTGACAGCATCAGCCATACAACGCTTTGGTGCCTTTCTGCCCGTCATCGTCTCGAATTGAGTTACAGCTTGCTCGATCAAAGTTTCGATACCGTCAACCAGGACCCACGGTGTGCTAGTCATCTTCCTGTACTCTTTCATCTGCTTGATCAGAGGTGTCTCGTTTGTCATGTAGGCCATTTCAACGACCACTCCACCGGTCTGAGACTGAATCCATGAGGCCGGCAACTCAAAATCAGCACCAGGGTTTCCATCGAGAAGTTCATGTGTGACACAAGACACAACGATCGTGGGTAGAGAAAATGATGAAGGCCAGGGATCGGCAAGGCTATCAATGACCCTGACTGGATCTTGCGCGAACATTGGCCCTTGACCGCTAGACTGGGACCTAGCCCAGTCGTTGAAGTGGGCAACAATGGCTCTTGTATGCGCGATAGTCCGGTTGTATACAAAGATGTTCTTGCAGCCCAGTTGTAGCATCGCGTAGACTGCAGCTCTAGCCATTCCGCCGGCTCCAACAACGAGCGCTGTTGATCTTGGCTGAACAGCGTTACGAGGAGACAAACTCCTATTTACGCACGTCATGATGCCAATGTAATCCGTATTCTCTCCAAACCAGCCCACAATGCGACCTGCGCGATTCCTCTCCTGTGCTTGGATTTGTAAAGGAGGAACAGCACCAGCAAGATTTGCCCGGATTGGTACGACGGTGTTGACTGCTCCAATAGCACGAGCGTGGGCGGTCAAAGCGCCAATTTCAGGCACAATCTTCACTTTGTACGGTTGAACTATGCTCAAACCACCAAGTGTGTCTTTGTTCGCAAGCGCTTCGACGTCTGCCCAAGACTTTATATTCAAGGTACTGTAGCGATGGCGGAGACCGAGGAGGGCGTACGCTGCGTTGTGCATGGGGGGTGACAAAGAGCCAGAAACGTTCGCTCCGACAATATAGAAATCGAGGGAGTCGAAGACATAGCTATCGAAAAGAGCAGCAATGATGTCTCTGGAAGACAGCAGGGGCTGAAGATGATCCTCTCCGGTTGCCTGGCATTGTGGCAAGGAAGAATGGGTGACTGACGTTAAGACTGGGTTCATCATTTGTGAGGTTCGTCCGAGTGGGCCAAGGTTGAATGCAGAAATGACAGGGTGAGCTTCATGAAGATCTTCCAATTCCTCCAGGAACCAAGTTAGGGTCTGGTTGGCACGGCGAGATACTGGAGCGCTGAGAAATCGGACCACGTCTACTCGAGAGCTCAGAGCCCTTTTGTAGAGCAGATCCCATTTCGAATCTTTCCAGCCTTCGTCGTTTGGCGAATCTTCGATGTGAGTTCCAACAATCTTGGTGTTGCCCTTGGTAGCGATGAGTTTTGCGAGCTTGTGTTCATCAAGATCGAGGGCCACCGACACATACTCGACACCGAGACGAAGCGCTTGACTCAGAATGGCCAAGTAAGTCTCGTCGTGTGAAGCCAAAGAATTTGCGTTGCTTACCGAGAGCAAGATGGGCAGTTTGAGGGCTCTCCTTGCGACAGCGACCATTTTACTCAAGACATTCGGAGTCGTAGCGAGCCACTCGTCCACAAAGATCTCCAGGACATCACCGGTAGACTCCAATGCGGAAAAATCGATCCGACCAGCCACAAAATCAGACAACCTGACCAGAAGTGCATGGGTGTATGTACGACGCTCAACAGGAACGTCCATGGAGAATGGAGAAATGGTGTTTGACGGCGATGAGGTCGACCCGCTGATGAAGCGCACAAACCAAGAGAAATCGGCTTGGGCATTCTTAAGCTTAAAAGAGTAGTTGGGCGAGGTTCGATCCGTGATGTCGGTGTCGGACTGGGTGTCGGTCGACTCATCTTCAAGGTTGTAGTACTCAAAGTTCGAGCATTTCCTATGTGTATAATTTCCATTCTCGAGCAACTTCGCTGATCGGTCGTCAAGGCTGAGCAATGTCTTAATATGATCCATGTCCCTCAGCACAAATATGACTGGATTCGTCTGGCAGTAATGTCTGAGGTAGCCCTGAAGGCTGCTTGTTAAGCTGCCTAAGCCGCACTCTATGAGACATCTGTGCCGGTTGTCTTCAAGCATGCGCCTGGAGGTTTCAACGTCTTGTCTGTGAAATTGCTCACTGCCATGGACTTTCAGATAATCATGTCGAGAGAGTCCATTGACAGTCTGAAAGTAATGGTCTTCGGTGATGAACCTTCTCCCGAGGGCGGTGGCTGCAATGAGGCCCAAAGACCTCTTCCCGGATGCACGAATGCCCACCAAGACGATGGAGGCATCTGGGTGGAAGCGGCGTCCGGTAGAAGGCTCTTGTACAGGCGGGTTCATCACGTCGCTCGGAGTTCCCGAGCCAGGGTGACCATTGTGATTGAGGTCAACAGACCGATGCTCTGACGGCGTGTTGGCGGGTCGAAGAGGTGAGGATGTACCTGAAACTTCTGAGCTTGGCCGGTCACGTAACAAGCGCTCGCTGAAGGCGTTCAAGTTCGCCTGGCTGACTCTGTTTCCACCTTCCACATAGCTGCCGCTGACGCTCGGTGCCATTCAGATAGCGAACATCGTGAGCAGGTGGCACATATCTTAGGTGGGCAGTTGCTGACGATGTGATACGTCCTCAATAAGACGAACCTTTGACTGTCATCTTCCAGGGTTCTTGTTGATATCGTAAGGAAAGGAACCTTGTCTCGCTTGTCGGTGTGATTTCCGAATGACCAAGATCGCGCAGTCCCGTGATGCGCCTCGGCGGCTCGCGCTTGCCCCCCATCGCCCCCCATTTTTGCTCCGTTGTTCCCCTCACAAGGTGCGCCATCCGGTACGATTCTACCCAAGACCTGCCGTAAAACAAGCCGTTTGGCACTTAAGTTTAGGCACTGGTTAGGGCTGATGGGCCCATTAAGTTAGGATGCTATGACCGCACCAGGCTTTGGTCGCCCCCCACCGCCTCGATCGACGCGCCATTGACTGCATCTCATATCAACCTCGAAGCGTCCACCAACCTATACATCACCCTGCTCGAACCGCTCGATGCCTCTTAGAATGAGAATCCTGCACCATGGAGAGCATGCCATCACTGTGTTCTAATGGCTACAAGTAGCGTGGATGTGCCAGGAGGAGCAGCGCACATCAATGATATCGAGCAAGATGTTGCAAGGCGCGGACGCGCAAGAGTCTCTCGAGCGTGCACGAGATGTCGCACAAGAGTAAGTTCTGATGCTTGAAGACATGCCTAGGCCATTCCTGTGTCGTCTACCGCACGACGTTTGTTCCCTTGCCTGTATGGCTTGCTGGATGATCAGAACGTAGCATTCGCTATACCCGGACGGCATGCTAACGATACCTACAGAAAGACCGGTGCGACGGTGGACAACCTCAATGCTCCAATTGCCTGACTGCCGGGCAGCCATGCCTATATCTCACAGCGCACAAAAAAAGAGGCCTACCCGAGGGATATGTGCGAGGGATGGAAAAGCTGTGGGCGGTTATGGTGAGACAAATCCCCGGGTTAGACGATGCTGTTCGTAAGGTTGTGTCCGAGAATGAGGAGGAGCTCTCACGGATATGGAATCATCACAAGCACGGGGACGATCTCCATACGATTTGGAAGGAATCAAGCGTGCTGTCGGAGCTGGAAAGGTTGCTTTCGCGGCTCGAGCAGTCAACAACGCCGGACCACAAGAGAAAACGAGACAGAGAGAGCGATCAAGGAGCAGTCAATCCTCCGTCAGACGACGCGACTAACTTCAATGCCACAGTCTGTACGCCTGGATTTCGGATTACAGAGATCACAGATAATCTCATACCTACCGACTTCTACATGGTAGGATCAACGCCGGACCACGGAGCACAGCTCCCATCCCAGTTCTTGCCATCTAGGTCAGAAGCGAACTTGTTGGAATTTCCGTACTTGGCGTCCAGCTTGTTGAGTCACTATTTTACCTTCACTCATTGTTGGTTTCCCATCCTCGATAGACCTCATACCCTCAAAAAGTTTTACGAGCACACAAGGTCGCAAAATCGCATCCATTCAGAGAGCCCTGATCTTGCCTACTTGTGGGCCATCTTTGCCTATGTCACACAACAACGCATCTCTCAGTCTGCCCCAGATCTGGACGGCGCTCCGACCGTCCACAGTATGCGGGCCATGGCCCGACGATGCATTCCAGCCAATGATGGCCCTTTCTCTCTTGGCCATGTCCAAGCCATCCTCATACTCGTTTTGCTTGACATAGGCTTGGGGAAATGGACCTCTGCCTGGATGGCAGTAGGCCTCGCAATAAGAGGCTTGCTCGAGATCATCGATCTGAGTCATGACCTGCGTACACGCGGGATCGCCTCGAAGGATCTTGAAAAGACCTGGACAGGCACGTTACAAGGCTGCTTCATTCTGGAAACGCTCATTTCCATGCGCCTCAGGCGGCCACAACATTTGCAAAGAGAACTTCTGGAGCGGGTACAGCTTCTGGAGGAAGATGGGCTGGAAGAATGGGAGCCATGGAATGCTGTTGGCACCGAGATGGCCGATCACCGAGAGCCTGCATTCATCAGGAGCTGCTTTAATCGACTGACTCAAGTCTTTATGGTTGCGAACGATTCAACAAGGGGTAAACATGATCAAAGTGAGACTTTTAGAGTCCAGGATAGTCTGTGCGATCTGCAGCGCCTGGCAGATACGTATCCTTTCAAGGTCATGGAAATTGGGTCACGGCCAACTCATCAGCTACTGTTACAGGCGTCTCATTTCGTGATAGCTAGTGGCTGTTCTTCCCCCGAATTGTCAGCGGTACACGGATCGATGTTTCTGCAGACTCTGGAAAGCTTCGGGCAGAGTTGGAGCCATGACAAAACTCCGTCCATGTTGGCAGGCCTGTTCCGTTTACTGAACTCCGACACGTCTCCAATCTCTCCACGACAAGAGCATATCATTGCCAGACTGTCAGTCACATGGCCAGGCTTCAAGCCATATCAAATCTCTCCATGGTCAGGTCCGGAGCCGCCCATGTCGATGACCTTTCCAGGCCAATCGAGCATATCCCCATTACGCAGCGATACGTCTGACTTCCACGTCTCCCTGCCGTCATCCTTTACAAAGACGAACACACTGCCCGTTGCTGATCCACTGTTTACGTTCACCGGGATGCCACGCCCGTCAATCACAGCAGACGTGGAAGGTGGCGGCGTTACTGGCTATCACGATTTCTACGGAGTGCAGTCATCACAACAGCTTCAGGATGCTACTCTTGATTACCCGGTAACAGATATCGACCAGCCTCCACAGCAAGCTTTACCTGGCCTGAGTATTAGTTCGGGCAAACCACCCGGCACTAATGTTAGACCCTCGACATCTTCGAGCTTCGAAGGCGATGAGATAGATGCGTTGTTTCACGAGATGGCTCAACTTGATACAAACGAATGGTGCATTGGTAGGGCGCAAGGCCTTAAAGACTTTGGATTCATGGATGGTTCGACCTTCGAGGCATTTTGCAACGATCCGAACCGAGTCTGGCTGTCCGAGGGATTGTCGGACGCGGCTCCGCATTTGAATCAATTGCCTTACGAGACTCAGGCTTCGTCGTTAATGGGACGCAACCCTGCAATCACTGGTCACTTATCTCAAGCCGACAATTTTGGTTTTGATCACACCATATGACTCCGTCAAAATTCGCTCGATGCCATCGAACAGGAAAGTTGAGACGCTTGTCAACATGCCTGAGTTGCATGCGCATCATGATGTCACTGCTATCATTACTGATAGAACGGCGAGGTCGTTCTGTACGGGCTCGCGGCAAGCCTAATGTAAGACCACCAAACTTGCCTTTGGCCAATATCGACTCCGGGCCTCGTTTCCAACTGCATGGAAACCCTGCTGTACCAGTGTTGTTGCTTCCTACAAAGAAGCCTCGCCTGTGCTCCGGAACAACATTGTCTGTCAGACTGTCAAGCTGCCACTGGAGTAATCTTCGCTTTTGAATGTGGATCGAGATGCTCCGGCAAGAAGCAGTCGCGCCACTCCAACTCTTTTGGGCTACGAAAACCCGATTAGTATCCGTTCGGTCTAGGCTGTTGCTGCATTGCCTACCTTGAAGTGTAAATCTCGACCTTGAATTCTCGGTAGACATGCGCAAAAGTCAGTTATAGTTCTGCCCATGCGAGACTTCGAGGATTATCAGCCACAATCTAGGTTGAAAGGCAGAGGACAATGCTTACTTCAGACCATGACAGCTGCGAGGACCTCGAGAAAAGGTGACGAGCCATCTCTCGAGCTTCCTGCCATCCGCACCCAACCAGCACTCAGGTCGAAATTCGTCTGGATGTTCGAAGATATCGGCATTGCGGTGCGCAAAGTGGCTGCTCATTTCTGCAGTAGCCTGGAAGAAATCCTCAATAGCCAAGACACAGATTCGAGGATGAATACGACCAGCTTACATTACAGGAATGAGTTTTCGGTCTATCGTCGCGCCAGACTCTGGACATGTCTGGGAAGGGGTCATGCCACGCCTGGACCCATTCTGAGCGACTCTTTGATTACTGTCGTCTGGTTATGGAGTCAGCGTTCTCCAACGATCCGGCATGAACAGCTTGCCAGGTACGGTAGCTTTTCAAGTGCTGCTAAAGCGGTTGGTTGTTTCAGGTCTGGCCTTGCTTCATGAAGCTCCTCGGTGAGCTTCTTATGTACATCAGGCTTGGTCATGACGTAGAAGCTTCCATGCATCAATGTGGCACCCTGTCGTGTCTGCTCCTCCAAACATCAGAGCCTTGATATCGGTCAGGTCAGTACGTGCTGTTTCGCCCATTGTTCCGATGTCACCGGCCGGCGCAGCATGAATTATGAATTGAACTGCCCAACCCGATCCCTCGCATTGAAAGCTCGGCTTATTCTGAGGAGAGCAGCTGCACAACGGCGGTGTGGCCGCGTTCGACGGCTTTCTCCAGAGGGGTATGATTCCAGTAATCTCGAACATGCAAGTCGACCCTGCCTGTGTCCAACAGCAGCTGTACCACATTCCCATGGCCGCGCCACGCTGCCACACCCAGCGGTGAGGAGGAGTTCTCGTCCCGCGCATCGGGATCCACCCGGTTGGTTTGTAGGAGGATCCCGACAATGTCCTCAAAGCCTTCCTGGGCGGCGTAGAACAGAGGCGTCCGAAGGTGGTTCATGGCACTTCTGGAGTCTGGTTCCACCTGACCTGTTTCCAGGAGCATCCTCACAATAGCGGCGCATCCGTAGTCCGCTGCGTAGCTTAATGGCGTCCGATCGCGACCATCCACAGCGTCTGGCCGGACACGTCCCGATTGCAGGAGCACCTTTGCAATAGCCACTTCCCCCAGCTGCGCGGCATAGCTTAGCGGCGTCCGCCAGTCTCCATCCTCGACATCAGGATCGACCCCGTGTGTATCCAGGAGCAGCTTCACAACGCCAAGGTGGCCCCCTTGTACCGCGTAATAAAGCGGCGTCCGTCCCCAAACTGCTGCGCCTTGCGGATCTACGCGTCCACTCTGAAGCAGCCGCTGTGCAATATGCTCGTGCCCTTTCCCAGCGGCGAGGCTCAAGGCGGTCCTTGAGCAGTCGTCTTTCGCGCCAGGGTCTACCTGCATGTCCAACAGGAGTTCGACAATCCTTTCATGGCCGTTTTCCGCCGCGTGCATAAGCGCGGTGCGACCATGGTCGTCTTTTGCATCAGGTTCAAACATTTCCGACGACAGTAGTAGTCTCAGCACTGCTTCGTGGCCGAATAAAGCAGCCGCTGCCAACGCCGACAGGCCTCCCTGGACGACGTTGGGTTTAGTGGTTCTATGGTCCACTAGGATATCTCTGTGCTTGAGCGACAACTCCACCGTTGCCAAGTTCCCCAAGCTCGCCGCCAAAACCAGAGGCGTATATCCTCCTTCTTCATCTTGGGCGTTGATGCTGGCGGGCTCAGCAAGAGACGTAGCCAAGATATCGGTGACGTTAAATGCGGCAGCAATGTGGGCTTCCGACACTGATTCAGCGAACCGAGTCGGGTCGGGACTGGTCTCCACGTCCAGGTATCTTGCAAGCCTCGCCCAAAAGCACGCAAGGCTCCTGTACAGTTTGGGTCGTGGCAGAGCCAGATATTCCAGGCACGCTTTTTCTAGTTCTTTCGTCCTACGGGTTTCCTTTGCAACGTGGTGACCCCAATGACTTGCCGCGTATTGCAGAAATGTGAATTCTGGCGTCTCATCTTTCGGCGCGATGATCTTCACATTTGCTTCCAGATTGTATTTCCAGTATCTCCCGTTGTTTACCGTTTCTCTCATTTTGGTCATCTTCGCTTCATCCGGTGCAGCCGTGATAATATCAAACTGAAGGTAAGAAAGGCATGTTCTAGCCAATCGCTCGTGCCAGCCTTGCCAGAGATCATCACGCCTTTCGAGGTATTCGTGGAGAGAGTAATGGACTAGGCGTAGGGTATTTGACTCCGAGTCAACGACGACAAGGCCCATACAACCATTTAGCCACGTGTTAGCTGACGGGAAATTGTCCCAATCAATCGTGTTTTGGCTGACTTCAATGGAAAGTGCGTGCCGGGCCTCGTCTACAGTTAGGGGTCTTTGTGACAAGTACGTCCACATTAGTATAGCCATTGCTTGTTCGGCCGATGCAGTTGACTGGGTTTTGACACGCTCGATGGTCATTTCGAAGGCGCCATAGAGCCCTGTAGGCGAAACTTCGAGGGCCTGTCGCCGTTTCCTCTTGGTTCGCGCTTCCAAGATTGTCTGAATATGGAGTGTCGGCAACAAAAACCTATCACATACGTCAGAAAGAAATCGACGCGCCGAAACTGAGATGTTCAAAGCACCAACATTCCCATCGATGAAGCCATCAGCCTCTCCAAGATTTCCATTTTCAAAGTGTGATCCATAAGGTCGGGTTCCTCTTTCTGGTCCTCCTCGATCGCTTTCTCCACATAGCGTGCAATGTCGAGTGCATCTGCTTCGATAATGGTGGTTCGTGCCGCTGGGAAAATCCGCTGAACTGTGCTTTGGACGTGCTTCCTTGAGGTGATGAATAACTTGCAGTGAGCGGTAGATTCAGCGAGCAGTTCTAACAAGTCTCTGGGAGTATAGCACTCGTCAAGGGCATCGACACATATGTACGACTGATTGAACTGACGATAGACCTCGTGACTCCATTTCATTATATCTGAGAGCTCAACCGAGATCTGCCCTCGTTGATACTTTTTCTCATAAGTTTCAACCACATAATCGGGGACCTCGGAAAGCGCAGAGAGCAACTGTTGAAGAATAGCTCCCATTATGCTCTCAGGACATTGCTGAGCGTGGTCTCGGTAATCGCAGTACATGTAGACAATACCGCGAACCATCCCTTCTTCGTTACTACTGCCTTGGTTGAAGCGTAGATCATCGATGACGGAGGAACTTTCGGACATCAGACGAGGCGAGAGCATACAAAGATTTACTCACGTCATGATGGTCTTCCCAGCCCCAGGGATACCATAGCAGGCCAGCACGTCTTGTGGATTCGACGCCCCCCGCCAGGACGTATATTGCTCACTTTGCAGAAATCGCGTGCCAGTGCCGGTCAGGCGACTGGAGCGTATATCTTGATGTCTGCTTGACTGGTTTAGAGGAGAAAGCCATTCGAGGACATCCTTGTCTTTTTGCTCTGTGATAATGGTAAGCAAGGGGCACGAAGCAACCATCTGAAGGGGTTATAGACTTCGAGCGCCTCCTACGAGAGTGTTGAGGCTTGCGGAAGGGAACGGGAGCCCGTCCTGACAAATTTCTATTGCCAAAATAGTGTCTTTGACCTGATTTGACAAATTTGAAATCTCTGTTGGTACAGTCTCTAGCATGTTGGCTATTTGGTCCAACCGCCCCTGTTGGCTTTCCAGGAAAGATAAGACTTCGTCCTTTGCCTGGGACATTTGACGGCTATATTGTACACAGTCAGCTCTTCCGCTTGATACATCGCTAAGAGAGACGGGGTTTTGGTGTAGTGGATCGGAGGATGCGAACTACTAGGTTCCCACATACGCCCCGACACACCGAGTCTCTGGACGGAAGATGTGCCTAGCATAGGACCACCACTCGTGTTGTGGGCAATGAGAGGCAGGAACCACCAGACCCAGGTTACGGGACCTCAGGTCAGTATAGTTATTAAGTAGAGAGTTGGTCTCCATGACCGGCTCAATAGATCATTCCACTCCATCCCCTTTGCACCCACCAACTCGGATAATAGATTGACTGGGAAATGTAGGTTCACTCGCCAGTTCGAAATTGTCAGCGAGAAAAGGAATGCTTGTGAGCAACGATGAAGTCGTTCAGCAGCAGCGGAGCACTGCTGTTTCTGCAGGGGCCATTTGAGCCTTTCTCCTACAGAAACAGTGCAACCGTGACTTGCGGGCATGTGCACTGTTCGAAACTTGCGGCAGAGATACTCAAGCAATCTTTGGCAAGTTGCCATAACAGAGCAGAGGCCCGAGGTCGGCTTGAATCCAATATCTCGTACATGAGCGTCGTCCAGAAATGCTCGTAGCTGCTGCAGAGCGGTATTGACTGTCTCGATTTCAAGAGCCAGCTCTGTCACCTCTTCTGGGCACTCGCGTACTGAAGTGAGGTAGGATCTGGTGAATTTTCCCACTTCAGCACTGAGGCCGAGAAGGCCTGCCATGCCGGTGCTGAGTGTAAACGGATCAATCATCGCTCCTGAATTTTGCGAGGTGAATGGCGGAGATATTTTTGAGCCTCGTGTAGATGACTGTGTGGGATCAGGGAAACTTGATAGTGAGGGCAAAACCTGGTGTGAAAGCCTCTTGAGATGGAAAACTTTCGTACTTGCTTGCCCACCCAGGCAGTACTAGACTTCAGTCAGGCAAGGAGAACTCAGCAAGGGAAAGGTATCCAGCCCGGCGTCAAGTTCGACCCGCCCGGAGCAGTCTCGATTGGAGTTAACACTGCTCCGGTCTGCTAAGTCTGGACCTTGGATTCGCGAAGGCTTTTACAGGTTCCGCTTCCGGCACGTTGAACGTGTGAGTCGAACCTGGGAGTGCCGCTACTGAGTGTCCCTTTCACAATAACGACAGGGTCTCTCTAAGCGGCTGTTGCCATCTTGCGTAGTACGATGGTATAATTGTGGGCTTGATAAGTATCAGGCTACCGTATCCCCCTACCAATCAGCGCCAGGTCCGAGGAATACGAACAGAGGGATCAACAGACGCGAAATATCTGGGCGACGACGACCCTCCTCCTTATTCTAGTTAAGCTTCGTTGACCCTCTTGCTTATTCTAGTTAAGCCTGGTTGAGCACACTCCTCGTTGGCTCAAGTCAAGCCCCATCCACTTCTGCGCTCTGTGGGTCTCTGATGTGAAGGTCGACTACATCACGTCGGAATGTTACACTTTTGGAGAGTCCCCCGACCTCGCATAAGGCAAGCCTGCTTTCAAGTCCCGACGGGAATGGCGAGCAGCCAGTGTAGAATTTTTTGATATGGTTCGCCCCTCCAGGGCGAAATGCTTGCCTCACGGCCAAGTTATCTGCCCCAGAAATACGGTACCCAACAAATCTCGCGCCGAGTTTCATACTGAACGGGCAAGCTTTCCTGGGTGAGCTTAGATGACTTGAAGAAGACTTTCACGTTTCAAAGACGTTAGTCTATGATCTTGCACGGCCCGATCAAGCGGCTTTTGTCATACGGTTCGAAAGTGTACATGTTCAACCACAGAAATAGGGGGCTCAGGGCCTTGTCTTTTGTGTACAGGTCTACGGCGAACTTTCCAGAATATGAATAGTGAAGCAGTCTGATGTCGTAACAGGATTCTTCAAAGCGGTTCTCGAAACGTCCTAAATCATGACAGCATGCGGCGCCAATGCTGAGTTCTTCATCTTTGAAGAAACTCATCTGAGGTAGTGCTCAACATGCCAGGCAGAATTGCTACGAGCTCATTTCGAAAACTCTCGTTACTTGGGGCTTCTTTCCCCTTACCTTTTCCGGAATCGTCACTTCCTATGTCTGTTCTGATATAGATGTTGCATTGCTCACTACTAGTACCTTCATTTCTGACCAGTCCTCAGTTCGTGTTTGAAATTGCCTTTTGGTGCAGGTTGAGTCTAGAAGACAAGAAAATGTTGTACGGGGGCAGAAGTCGAATGTTGGCTAGAGCGGCGACGGTCCTGACTATGTCGGCACTCACCAAGGCTCAAGACATTTCCAATCTCCCTCCCTGCTCGGTGAGTATGCAGAGACGTAAAATGGGAGTTTGCATGCTCATGCAGTCAACCAGTTTACCTGTATTCTCGATGGCGTCGCAACAACAATTTGCAGTTCGACAGACTATTCCTGCATTTGCAGGGCCATGCCGTCATTTCAGGATACAATGGTGGCCTGCATTTCGGGCACCTGCAATGCATCTGACCTCAAAGGTAAGTTCGACAGCACATAATTACTCATGAATCAAAGTGCTGAGGTAGACTCACTAGCTTCTATCACCGTACTTGAAGGCATCTGCAAAAGGGCTCAGGTAGTCGTGTCTCTACCCACAATGTCGTTTGATGGTGCAACTTCCACCATGGCGGCCCCTTGGACGATGTCCACCTTGCTCCAAGCAACAATCACCGCTACCTCCGATCTCCCGGGCCCAACGGGGACGAACGTCAAGGCAGACAACAGCACCTGGACGAGCAAACAAGGTAGAGTTGGAATCGCCGTCGGAGTATGTGTAGGAGTCGCCTTCTTTGCAGGTATAATATGGCTATTCTGGGGCCGTAATCGGCAACGAATGTTTCGAAGAGGAAGGAGAACATGCAATGTCTCCCCTCCGTCAATGATCATGACACGGCATGGACCAGTTAGACGCCCAGCTCCCGCACCGTTTCTTTGCTGACAAAAGAAAATTTGCAGGACGTAGCGATTGATCGCCCGAGATCTTTGAATCCTCCACGGACAGGAACAATAGAGCTCCCTGCCGCAAACCCCGACTTGCGCTAGAACAGCACTGTTATTTGGGAGATCAAGGAAGAGCTCGGGAAGAGACCAAGGTTGTGTGACAATAGGGAGCGTTCGGAGTTGTATTCACCGTCTTCATGGCCGCCTCATCCTGCCTTTTCATGGTTTGTTGTATGTTGATACTTGACGGCGCGGTGGTTTTGGAAACCTGCGGCAAGTCGAGTGCAAAATGCTTGTTAGAGTCTCTCACCCACCCCCTCCCCGTCACATCACGATAGGGGGTAAAAATTCCATCGATGCCCGTCTTGTTTGAAGCTAGTCCGCACCGATAGACTCGTCCTTGCTGTATGAAGCGTGTCCGAAATTCAGAGATTGAAGAATGTTCACACATAGTGAGGAATATCGAGGATTGCCACAGTAGGTATACCATGCCGCGACAATGGGGCCTGAAATATCCAAAGGCATAACGTGACTGTAGTTGATTCTTCGGAGCCGGGTTGCAACTATGGGGTGCAGAACGTCCTGTTCACAGTGCTTCAGATTGACAACTGACCTCGAAAACAAGGTGATAGTAAATTGAGATTGCTAACCGCGCCGATTTCCGAAGACACTTACTGGTGGCCTCACATCATTGATCCATTTTGACCTTCACACTGACATCGCGTGCCAAAACCCACCATTCAGTTTCCATCCACGGGAAGTGACATTTTCCACCTCCATCCCAGTCTCTCCAACAGATGCCAGCTCTTCAGTCTTGTGTCTGCTCCGATGTCTGGACTAGCATCCACCAGTAGTTGTGGCGGCCTACAGGGTCGCGCCAATTTGTCCTCCAGCATTTTCTCGCCTTCTTCCATGACTGTTTTTATCTGTTCGTCCCTGGCGCTCAGTTGACGCCTTATCGCAGGACCCAGTATCTTTACTCTTTTCCGACACCACCAACACTGTCTTTCTGGAAGAAGCGACTCGATGGTCCGGTAATAGAAAAATAAGATCAGCAGCACGCAGGAATCATTTCGCTTGATAAGAGATCTGAACATGTTGGTGGAATGCGTAGGGAAGTAAAACAAATGGCGCGCCATGTCCGGCAAAGGCTGAAGTGCCGCTTCAGGACGTGCATCCGAGTCGACTGCGTCTGGACTGGGTGACCGTTCCCTAGGTTGGTGGGGACCGGTCATACTGGTGTTGAGAGGGAATTGCAACAACAGGGTATGGACGAGACCCATGAGGAACGATGTGTCCCAAGAACTCCTGCGCTGTGAAGTGTTCGCAGCCTCGCAAGTGCGCTCTCCTCTGTCCTGGCCGTCTACAGCCTTAAGGCCAAGATCATTTGTGGCAGCGGGAGTCTCACTTCCAGCGCTGATTGATCTTTCCAATTCTGTTGCTGATTGTACATCGGTATGGACACCCCGAGTGATGTTATGGCACCGCCTCTGATGTAGTGCAGATGTGAAAATGCTGTCGTTCGGGGCATTGTGCTTAAAGGCGACCATGATGATTTGGCGAAGGCCTTGAGAAAGTGGAAACAGAGGATCTACGCTGAGGTTGAGAAGGGGGTCTTCAACTGGCAGGTCCGGATTCGTGGACGGTATGGGGGACATATCAGGCGTGGCCCATGCATGATGGACTAGTAGTGCAGAGGTCGCTATCAGGGCGTCAGCGCCCAACGCTGTCAAGGGTTGAGCAAGAGCCCGTTGGAACGGGCGGAGTGTCTTGGAAAGATGTAACAAAGACGCTTGATGATATGACTGGTCGAATGGATCGAGAAAGGAGAGGTGCGTCGCAGAAACAAGGAGGATGGCATGCATGAGGAAGTCGTGCTAGTTTTGGCATCATCAGAGAAGCAACCAGCAGGAAAATCGGCTTGGGTGGATACCTTAAACGAGAGCATCATCACGTCCCTTTGCCAGATGTGCTCGCCAAAGATGAGGGTGTCGGCCGTGACGGTAATAAAATGGTGGATGAGCTTCATGTGGAGCAGGTTGACGTCGGCCGACGCGTTTTCGAGGCCGACGCCTAGTGAAGGGGTGAGCTCTGGACTCTTGGTCTGCATTCTTGATGATAGTCCCAGGCTGCAGGTTTCTTTTCTCTTGAGGCAGTTGTAACATGACGGGTGTCTCTCATCGCACTGCTCAACACGCCGTGTAAATCTTGTGAATGCTGTCTTCAGGAATCAGGTCTACATCTGCATACCTTCACTTTCCTCGTCCTGCAGGCCTCACATCCGTGTCTGGACTTCCTGTGGGAGCGTCGCTTTCGTGCACCTCCATCAGCGTCCACTTGCATCGATCCACCTGCAGGTTGCTCTACGAACGCGGGAACAAAGGGCTTATGGCGTAATGCAATGTTGGAAGACATTTTGCAAAGGACTCGAGCATGTGCACCTGGTAGCGTGGCTCGGATTGCTCGTAACCAGGAAGCCGAAATCAGAAGGTGTATTAGGAGACTAGGAAAGGAACAAAATCTACAGGCGACGGGATTTGGCGGTGAGGTACTTCTCAAGTTCCTTGCGTCTTTACAAGTCCTTGGCGTCATACGGGTCAGCAACGGAACAGGAGACTCATCGAATAAACATAAGTTTTTGGAAAGAAAAGACACTCAGATGAAGCAACTTTCGACTTTCCGATCACCCAGTGACGACCTGAGATATGCCAGGCTGAATTGCCTCGAGCTTCTCGAGCAGTTCGTCGTACACCCGAGATTGCGTCTTCGCACCTTCGTCGCTGAGGACAAATCTTGACGGACTGCATAACAGACAATTAGCGAGCGACAGCGTTTGTGGCAATACAAATACCTACCGCTCAATTCGGCAATTGCTCATGTACTGACCATGCGTCGCTTCGGACCCAGCCGCACCAAAGATGTGCGTGCGACTCCCCACCTCTGTACTTCTCGCCAGTACCAAGTGCAAGAGGCCGATGAGAGGACGTATCCACGTCGGTGCATGGCGTGAAAGGTCGGAGACACAGAAGCCGGGGTTCACACAATTGACTATCACACCCTGAACGTCCGGTTTCCCCATCCTCGTTGCGAGTTCACGTGTCAAAAGAACCCCCAACAGCTTCGTCACTCCGTACCGGCGCCTCATCCCCGTTGGAGACTTGTCCGCATTCAGTGCAGAGAAGATATTTGGCTGATGTCTTTCGGAGAGGCTCACCATCCCATGCACGTCCGAAACGATGAAGGACAGGTGCGTCTGGGTGTTGGTTGAGGCTGCGGTTCTGCGAAGGACAGGTAGAAGCAAGATGCCCAACAAAAAGGTGCTCACCACGTTGACAGTCAACACGGACTCGTTGTCTTCCATTGCAGTGTAGGAGTGAGATCCAATCGCAGCATTCTCAATGACACAATCAAGCCGTCCCACTTCTTTATCGCACCTTACAGCAAACACCTTGACCGACTCATAGCTCGAGAGATCCAGCTCCCATACCTGGAGGATAGAGCCGCCGTCGGTGGACTGTTCGATGCGCTGCTTGGCTTGTTCGCCCTTCTCGACGCTTCTGACAGCTAGTATCACCCGTTCCGCTCTGAGCCGGACGAGGTGTCGCGCTGCTTCAAATCCAAGTCCGGTGTTAGACCCTGTAACGATGAATGTCTTGCCCGTGAAGTCAAAATTTGGAGAGAGGAGAGACACAAATAGTTGGTTATATACGATTCCCGGCAAGGTCGTCATGATGAATGGGGAAGTGAAACAGATTTGTCGTCGGGGAAGTAGTTGGTTGTGAGGAACCGTCTTCTTTGTCCTTTTATACTCCATAGCTTGAAGATAAGACCTTCGCATCTACCCCATATGTGTGTACTCTTTCCAAATCTAGAATACGAGCAATACGAGTCTATCAGCCAGCAGCAGCGGCTGTACTGCGGCGGCCAAATCATGGCCCACTGAACCGCTTACTTCCACTGTCCGCCCATCATTGAGGAAGCGCCGAGGGATACGACCTGCTCAGGGCGGGCGAGCAAGAAGATGGTGGACCACTTGTGGAGCCTACTAAGCGGGGCGAAGCCTGGCATTGTCAAGCAGGCAGCTAAAGTCTGGCTTCAAAGCAAGGGGCAGTCTCCCAAAGCCGAAAAAGCTCTGGCCGACACCGACTAGAATATCTGTTACGGAATTGTTTCACCGAAGCATGAAGTTGTGGAGGAACAAGCAGTGGAAAGATTTGTGCGGCGTGTTTATGTCGTCCTGTACTTGAAGGACCACAGATATGATAGGCCTAGGCCGAGAAAGCTGTGCCGTCTGCTGTCGGCACGATTTGCTTTGTTTGTTACCGAGCAAACACGACTCCTAGAGGACGCTGTTCGGACCGTCTGGATCAATACCGACACCATAGAGAAGAGGCGTCAAGAAACAATCGAACTAAATCGAAGTTTGATTTCTCCGGACTGAGAGCGTGGCTCATCAGATGACCTTGGTACCTGACACAGTGACGCTCGTCCTGTGAAGCGTAAATGCTTGCCATTGTTGAGCTCAATCACTGTGCCCATCCATGACCTTTCGATATGCAGTGGTGTCTGATTACTCTGGCATATACCACTTGAATCGACCCACTTCAGTTCATTCTTCCCCGAGTCTCCGGTTGGCGTAGTCATTGGCAATACCGAGCGGTCGGACCGTATCGCTTGCTTCACTGTGGCGGCCTTGCTGTCGTTGCTTCTCCGCCGCTCCGATATTGTATGCTTTTCTCGCTTCAGCAATCCTTCTTTCCTCGTATTCATTCCAAGACGCAGATCGTTGTCCGGTGACTTTGTCTAGTCTCGCTTCTTTCGACTTCTCCACCTCTCTAGCCATCATGAACATCTTCATGGCATTATAACCCCTCCTGGAAGAAGAGAAGTCTTCCCAGAAGATCTTGACGGACTCTTCTGCAATTCTGCATGCTTGGGCTAGCATTCGGATCTCGGTTCGGTTCAGGCTAACGGCGGATTCGAACACGGAGCGCAAGAAGGATCTCGACTCAGGTGTCAAGCCGAGATAGTTGTCTTCGGAAGTCTCGAGAATGGTGGAGTACTGGCTCTCGACGTGCTGGGCAATGCCAACTCTGAAGACTGGTGATGGACCGTACTTGGAGATATGGTGGAATAGGCGGACGCGAGACTCGTGGTCGACAATGCTGAGGATTTGGTTGATTCTGCTGAGCAAGCCGCGCGGCCATTGGAGACTCCCTGGCCAACGCAGAACTGTGGCGATAGGGTCCCATGGCAGATTTGTGACATAGGGGATCGAGTCGGAGTCCACGATATGGAATTGATTGAATGTTGACTTTGGAGCATTCACTGTGTTGTGCACGCGAAGACCTCCATCGACATATTTTGGTTGATCGTCATCCGCGGTGTTGTTGATCATGAAGACTTCACCGAAGTGACCAGGGTCGGTGTTTGCCTTTTCAGCCTCTGCATCTTCGAATTCTAGTTTGCCGCCGTCGTCTCCGCGCTCAAGGAACTTTTCCAGTCCGACTTTAAGACGCGCCATTGAGCCATGTTGTTGGTAATCGTTGAACAGTTTTCTGGTGTCGACGGTGAATTGGACTTGAGTCGCTCGAGGCTGATGGGCAATGATTGTCTGCGCTTCGAGGGTCAATAGGTTGAAGTCAGACTCAAGGTCTTCGAGAATTTGCTCCTCTGGGCTCAGATCCTCATTTTCATCTTCGGAGGAGGTGAGGGATTCGGTGTCATCACCATCATCTGGTATTTTTTGCTCGAGGTCACCGAAGGGATCATCTGGGGTGGCGAGGTTGAATCGGTAGCTCATCCTGCAGGGATATCTTTAAGGGGTTTCGCAATTCTACGCTGTAGTAAGAGGGTAAAAGGCGGAATACTAGTAGACAAATGGTCAAGTGGGTCGCGGTTTGAACTGAGAAGTGGAAGATTCAAAGAAGGATTCACGTCTTACCAGGATCATGTTTGTGACAGAGACTGTATGGCACATTAGCATGTTGAATCAATGTTGTTTTTTCAATTCCTCTTCTCGGAAGAACAATATCAAGATCTGAAAGGGAAATCAATAAGGAAAAATCTCATTTTGAATAAAGGTGTGGCAGATCATTCACTGATATTGCGCATCACCATGAAATGATCAACCGGAGAAATGTACGGCGGGCTTTGGGCCACGATGCTGCAATGTCAACGCCTTTTGAATTGCATCTCACTGCTGCTGCCGACGATGAGGCTAAGCCGCACTACCCTTTTGAAGCGGAACTTTGGCAAAGGAGGTACTGCGGTCTCATGGGTAAGTCGTGTGATTTGGCGCTAGGGTGTCAATCGACGACAAACAGCAGCGAGGACAATTTGTGCGGTAGGAGGGTCTCTTGTTCAATGGAATGCTAACTGCTGCTTTGACCATTCAAGCGGCAGCTGTTTGGCAATCCCGGTTAAGCGAGTTTCATTACACGATTTACCCATGAGACCGTAGTACAATCGTTCTTGTACTAAACTCCAGCCTCAGCCTGACCGACATGAATCCTCAACGTGCGTCTTCCCCTCTTCTGCTCCAATTTCTATCGGTGCCTCCAAGATCTTATACCTATGATCCGTGTTGAATTCGAGAAGAAAGCTGGACGCGATGTGGCTCCTCGATACTACCACGCTTCAGCTCTGTGCATTTTTCTCCACACCTCCGCCCTATGCGATCCTGTCACACACTTGGGGAGTAGAAGAGGTCACCTTTCAAGAGATGGGAACTCCGGATGCAGAAAGGAAACGCGGCTTCAAGAAGATCACTCAATGCTGCGCTCAGGCCAAGCTGGACGGCTTGAAGTATGCATGGGTGGACACATGCTGTATCGACAAGCGCAGCAGCGCCGAGCTCTCTGAGGCGATCAATTCGATGTTCCGCTGGTACTCCGAAGCTCACATCTGCTATGCATACCTTGAGGACGTCGATATTCACTCACGCTGCTTTTGGGAGACTGCTTCCCGGCAATCTAGGTGGTTCAAGCGAGGCTGGACGCTTCAAGAACTGCTCGCCCCCAAGCATGTAACTTTTTTCGACAAGGACTGGTCCGAGATTGGCACCAAACTGAGCCTGTTGGATGACGTGAGCCAGATCACTGGCATCCCGCACGTTGCTCTGCTACATCCCTCAATAATATACGAGCACAGTGTGAGCGAGAGAATGTCCTGGGCTTCAAACCGGCAAACAACCAGATTAGAGGATGTTGCTTATTGTCTTCTGGGGATTTTCGGTGTTAATATGCCTTTGCTGTATGGCGAAGGCAAGAGAGCTTTCCGACGACTTCAATTGAAGATCCTATCTGGATCGGACGATCATTCCATTTTCGCTTGGACAAAAGTCCATGAATCTGGACGCTTGCCGGAGCCGGTTACCAAGAAGCCGGTTAGCATACTCGCTGACAGCCCGGCGTTCTTCGGTCGCGGAATTGTCGTTCTACGCCAGGAGGGGAACTTGCGCTTGTCGACGTCCTCGGACCGATGTCCGATTGCGGTAACCAACTTGGGGTTGTCAATGTCTAACCGATGTCTTACCCCGATTGTGGTAACCAACTTGGGGCTGTCAATGTCTTTACCAATTGCGAGCTTTCCTCATATGGCTGTTTCCGATCCGGACATGGAAACATCCAGAATTGATGGGTCTTTCATCGCCATCTTGAACTGCCTTTATCAAGGGCAGCGTGTTGGCATTCGCGTGTTACGCTACAATGGCCTATTCCAGCAATGGTCACGATACGGTCGCGATGCACTCGTATTCCTTGATCCCGAACACGTAAGCAGGATCAAAGCCGAGAACGTATTCATGTCTATCGAGGATCACGAACGTCCTACATTGGACGCAAATTGGAGAGTTGAACTATGCTACAAAGCAAACAACTTTCTTGCCAGTCCTTCTGATGCTGCGCACGTCAGACTATTTCGTGGCGAGGAAGTCGTACGTATCGAGGACGCAGTCACCGAGGATGGAGATGGAGCCCGTCTTGAATACGACAGTCACAGAACGGAGTACAGGCGTTCGATCTCGCTCCGTGATTCCCATTCCTGGCTGGCTGTCATGGTCAGAACCATGGATGGTCGTTCGCTCACCATAGCCTTGGGCCCGGCGGGTGATCACTTCTGGTCCTCCGGAGTCACCCATCAACAGCCGCAATCACTAGTTGATATAGCCATACCCTTATGGAAGAGGTTCAGGGAATCGTCTTCAGGCTCTGGGTTGTCTCACTGGCAGTACTTTCGGGATCGGGCTACTTACAAACTGAATGACTCGTTGCAATTTCGGATGACTATGAAGAGCATACCGGAGTACCCTTACTCGCCAGGGCTGCACAGGCTCGAAATATCGCAAGAGCTTATTCCCACCACCGTTAGACAAGCTGACATTCTGTTTCCAAAATAATGTCTGAGATCATCAGCTACCATACCAGGTAGTTCGCGGAAGCACATGCTTAAACGTCGCCAGGTACACCTCCTCCGGCCTTGCCCGCTGTTGCACCCCAAATGACGTCGTAGTTACCAAAGACACTCTCAACGTGGACATCTTGGCTATGATCAGCGTCGCCGAGAAGGACAAAGACCTTTAAATCTGGGAGTGACTCGGCGGCGACCTCTTCGCCATTTGACTGGCAGCAGCGGATTTTCGTTAGTTCCGGTTATCATGACGCATCATATATGCCAGCCCTAGGCTCACTGGCAAAACGAGAGAGAGAGGGGAGAGGGAGACAAAGAGTCTTACCGTGATAATCCTCCACTGTAGCTTTGCAGCCAGATATGTCTCGATGCTATGCTCGTCAAAGGGCCCGTCGCTTGGGAACTCATGGATGTGAATGTTCTGCCAATCTTTGAGCATGGCGCCGGTGATGGGAACTTGCCCTGTTGCAAGGCCTCCTTGCTGCTTTTCTTGCCGGCAGTTCCCGCAGCCCGTGACATCGATGGGAGAAGTGAAGTTGTACACGCTGCCCACGCGGTCCGGGTTGGTAAGGTAGTTCTCTGGCGCACCAACGTCTCCGACGAAGAAGTGGATCCAGTAAGCCTCACCGTTGTGAATAGCAAACCTGTTATAGCGCACATTGATGATCAAGTCGTTGTCGGTCTTCCGATCAACTGGAAGAAATTCGGCTGTTTCGGCTCTGGTCATACTGAGCTGGGTGTTGACCATTCGGCTCACTACCATCTTGGCCTGGGAATGGTTGGGCACGGCCGATGATCGCATGGAGGGCAAAGTCTTGTCGTACTTGTAGCCGAGCTGGGACACCCATTGTGTGTCATCGGAGGTGTAGACGTCTTTATCCGATGGGCCTTTGAAGAAAGGCTTTAAGGGATAGGTAGAAAATTCAGAGGGCTGTGCTTCTGTCTGGCCCTGGACGATGATGGGGTTCTTGGGATCAAACCACTTCTTGTGGCCAGTTGCGGTCTGCCAACTGTCAAAGACCATGTCAATGAAACTGAGAATATATTTTAGTGATGATTCTCAAGTACCTTTGTAAAGGATTCTTACCAATGATGATGCCAGAAAATGGGATCGAAAGCCGCGAGGTCTTGCCGCCCCATAAAACCACCAACCCACCCCTGAGTCCATGTCAGCCATTGTGTGGAGAGTTATCAAAGCCGCATACATGGATATAATTGTGGACTGCTTCTAGAGACAGCCACTCCGTCGCGCCAAGGTCTTGATTATACCTTGTGGACGCAAACTTGGAGTAGGTGTCGAAATACGTGTCGTTCATGAGGCGGGACACGTTCTCGCTAATCACACCCTCCGCTTTACCTGGACCGGCCTTTTGGCTATGCGGCATCGGATCATCTGCAGCCGTACCTGTAAGGTCGTTGTTGATCGAAGCGACAGTACCATGGAAGGTCGCTGATTTGTCGGCGTACTACAATCTGAATTTAGTAATGAACCGCATCCCATGTTTTGTAATAAACTCACGTCTCCGAGCTGCAGTTCCTCTGGCAATGAACCAAATTTCGCAACTTTACCGTTGGAATCCTTCAGCTGGTAGGACGCCATAGGATTGTGATCGAAGGTCTTTGTAGAGCCTTGTGGCGTAATGACCATGATGTTTGGTCTTGTGACAATGTCTGGCAAGAGCGGACGGGCGGCATAATTCCAATATGGTACTACACATAACCATTACTTAGTAGTCAGGCAGCCACACGACGGTAAGAGTGTGTGACTTACGGCGCCATTTCTTCGCAGCAGCGAGCCATTGAGACTTGGGAACAGTAGGTTTGTATTGGCTATCCGGAATAGCGTCAAGAAATTGCAGCATGTTCTTGTAGAGTACTTGCTGTCAACCTGGTTAATAATGTATCTTGAAATCCAGATATAGGCTGGCATACCTCATACAGAACCAGATAAGGCCTGTGCCAAGTTGGAAATGTTGACTGATTATGGGCACAGAAGAACGGGTGGTCCGTATCTTCATTAGTAGCACCGTCCCAAGGTAGGACGGGAGCACCGTGGATGCCGTTTGAACGATGAGTTCGATTCAGCTTAGCATTGGAACGTGACTACCTACCTGCGATCCGGAAGTATGATAGCTGCGCATCCTCTTCCTTGACATTGGGGCCAGGCACGAACTTGTCAGCCTGGAACCGATCCAACGCGTGGATAAACAGTGATAACTGGAGTGCGGCTTCGGTATTGGTGCCACTTGTCGCTTTCAGATACCAGTCTTGAAGCTCAACACGATTCGGGACATTGTTCACATCTTCCACCTTGATACCGGTAATGGGATAATGGACCATCGTTAGATCGTACCTGAAGCTGTTCAGAAGCTTGTGATAAACCGATTAATCTCAGAAGTCAGAAACAGGTCAAGCAACTCCAGGCAGCATGCTTAGCATTTCTAGACGTCGTTTCCGACTATCTCATCAGAGCATAGGCATGTTGATTCAGCTGATATCAGAGACAGCCACTCCATGGTCGACCAAAGGTTTCGCTTTCCGCAAGCTGAAAAGGCGCCATCAGGTCTTGACTGGTGGAAGGAAGATGGCAGTTACCGAAAGACGGAGTCTAGATCTATGTGCTTCCATTTTCAGTCGTCAACGATGCTGGGTCTCATTTCTTTTGTTTCTATCGGGACTGAGGCTGTCTGAGACCTTCCTTAGCTGTGTAACAATGTATCAATCTCGGATGCAGAAGCAGGCAGTTGGTTTCGTGTCGACACGTAAAGTGTATGCAGCGGCTAGATCACAATCTGCACATGTTGCTTGATCTGTACAAGCTTTCACGGCATGGACATGTGAAGAGAATTCTTCAGCATCCATTGAATTTGGCAGAGCTCCTCTACTTGGCTGCATGTCAGGGTAGGCAAAACAGCTTGTAGGTAGGTGTAGGGAGGTGGTAGGGAGGTGTGGGAGGCACTGGGAGGCAAAGGGGGTAGTTGCGATTCCAAAGCTGTCACATGTAACACTAGACCAACTTCGGAATAGCCCATTCGGGACACCTCTTCTCTTTCCCCGCGCGCTCTCCTGCACTTACTCTTCTTTTCTACTCGTATCTGGCCAGAGACAGCCATAACATCAATATACTATTGCAGCCACCAAATCCATTTTACCCTCTTCTTGCTTTGCCATCTCCTTACAATAATGACAGCAGCAATGTAAGCGAAATGGCGTGGATTTCAGGTGATATCAACTGCAGCGTGGCTCGCGGAGCTCCGTTCACTAGTGTCCTGACTCTTCTGAATTTCAGCCATCTTCTCTTCAGCCACCTGCACATCAACCATCTACGCTGCAAGCCATCTGCACATCAGCCGTAGCTGAACCCCCATCACTCCTGCATATCCGTATTGGCCTGCTGCTCGGTCTGCTTCTCCTTGACATCTAGGCCACCAGCATTCGGCTCTGGTCTGACTCAGGCTTATTCGTCACCTCGCACAGGATGGTTCGCTTTGCAAGTGTCAGAGCTCCGTGAGCTTCCCCCAGGTTGCTACTTCAGGCGACCGGCAGATATTGATGCAGATCACAATGCGGGAGCTGCAATCCGATCTCACGCTGAGCCCGAGCGACCAGGTAAGCTGTAAAAAAACATCTCTCCGCACCCCTTCAGCTGAACACACTCCTGCCTCTATGGGTGTTGCAAAAAGTTTGAGCCTTTCATATCATTCACATTTACTACCAAAGCTCAATTCCTAAGTCGAAGAAATCATGAAATTGTTCGCACGGTTCTGGACAGGCCTCGTCCAACTACTCACTTTGCAAGACTACAACCAGGTGCCTCTGCTGCCAACAGGACCTTCGAACCTCCCCAATGTACCTGGCCATGGCGAGATCTCCCCATCAGAGCCGAAGCCGCTCCGCAGAGGGCCAATCTTTCAGCCTCCAGGTATACGGCCAGGAAGCAAGTTCATATGTGATTATTCGAACATGATCGGGTGGGAATCTTGCTCGACTGAGACAGACAGGTCATGCTGGTTGAAGAATGCCGACATGGGTCAGTTCGATATCAACACAGACTACGAAGCACTGCGCCCGCACGGCATCGTGCGCAATTATACACTCAATGTGAAAGACGGGTGGTGGAATGCGGATGGTCAAAATTTCACCAATGCAAAACTGTTCAATGACACCTATCCTGGGCCTTGGATCCAAGCTTGCTGGGGAGACGTTCTCAACATCACCGTCGTGAACAACCTCCAATACAATGGGACAGCGATACACTGGCATGGACTCCGACAATTTCTTACTATGCATATGGATGGCGTTCCAGGGGTGACACAATGCCCGATAGCACCTAAGGACAGTTTCAGCTATATTATCAATACGACCCAGTACGGGAGCTCCTGGTACCACTCTCATTACTCACTGCAGTATGCTGATGGTCTGGCCGGTCCCATTGTAAGTTGTACCATATACTCGGACTGTACTGTATAGCAAATCGAGACTAATCGACACAATTGCAGACCATTCACGGCCCAACATCAGCTCCCTATGACGAGCCAGCTGAGATACCCTTGCTGTTGACAGACTGGAGTGCGTTTTAAGCTCTTCCTCTTTTTTTCTCTAACAGGCTTTAGGTCATTGGAGTATGTTCCAAAACGACAGCTTGATAAACGGAACAATCCTATTGAATGGTCGAGGAAATGTGACTCGATTCGGATGCGAGTCGCAGCCGAACAGATGCAGCAATTGGACGCAGATCCCCACGATAGAGACACTACACTTTGACCCGCTACCTCTTTACGATACGCCATCATCCAAGTCACGACCAAAGCGGTATCTGCTCCGTATCATCAACACCTCCTTCGAGACTCAATTTGTCTTCTCGATCGACAATCACAATCTAACGGTCGTCACTGCCGACTTCGTACCTATACAACCCTATTCCACGCATTCCATTCTCGTCGGTATCGGTCAACGCTACAACCTCATTGTCGAGGCAAACCCCATAGGCCCTAACCACGTGGGTCGCAAGGATTTCTGGATTCGAACTGGCATTGCCCACTGCTTCAAGCACTGGTCCGACAATGCGAAATACAACATCGAAGGATACAACGTCACTGGCATCTTAACGTACAGAAAGGGAGCCCCCGAGACACCTTCATCTACACCGTGGACAGACTTCTCACTTGAATGTGAAGATGAAAACGCGGGAAACCTGGTTCCAATCGTGCCTTGGCTGGTCGGCCCGGCGGCGAACAGCATCCCAGCTAGTAACAGCACCGGAGAGGAGCGTGACGTAAACCTCAATACCAAAAAACTCGATCCCAACATTACTTACCCATTGGCACTGTTCTCTCTGGAATTACCTGACCACACCACATTCAATCCCCTTCGCGTCGACTACGACAATCCTATGTTCTTCCAGCTGAATCAACCATTGAGCCATCGGTGGCCGACACCGTCGGTTGTGATCCCGGAGAATCTGAAGGAGACAGATTGGGTATGGAATATTCAGTTCCCCCTCTTTTTTCAAAGTTGTCGCGCACTAACTCCAACAAAGATCTATCTACTCATCCAAGGAAACAAGGCCACCGGGCATTCGACTAGTGGAGCACATCCGGTAAGTGCAAGATACGGTCAGAAGAAGAGACCATGGACTTGACTCATGCCAGATACACCTGCACGGTCACGATTTTGCAATACTCAACCAGAGTTATTCGGGATTTTTCAATCCTGGCGACCCGCTTAATACCTGCAACCCTGCTCGTCGGGATGTAGTGCTATTGCCCACGAACGGTTGGGTCATGATCGCATTCAAAGCCGACAATCCGGGTAATTGGTTGATGCATTGTCACATCGCCGGTCACGCCTCTTTTGGGCTTGGGGCGCAAATTCTTGAACGCCAATCTGATGCGAATGCTATCTGGCCTCATCCATCAGATGGCTCAACCAATTATTGTGGCAAGTATGCGCAGTCAAATGCACTCTGTCGGGCATCGCAGATCTGTGACAAGTGGAAAGCATGGCATAGTGATTGTCGCAATTGGTGGGCAGACAAGGGGCAGGATCCCTGCAAAAGCAAGACAGACCCATGGTACTTCTTGCCTGATTCTGGTATTTGAAGAAGAGCATGGGAAACATTGGAGACTGGAAGCCCGGGAGTCTCTGGCTGTGCGTCCCTATGCGAATGGACTTGGAGGAGGTCCAAAATTTCGAAGGAGTATTCCTCCGCATAGGTGGCATTCCTAGATCCAACCAGTGTCCATCCATGTATGATCAAGGCTGGTGGCCCTCCGCCCCAGCCTGCGCGCAGCACTGAACGATTATCTTATAGCCGTGATGGAAAAGTTGTGAGTGTGAGCGGAGATAGTTGAGAAAGCTCTCGTGCCTGATTGATTCACACTCTCCGGTATCTTTGGTCTTTTTGGGTAAAGCCTAGTGAACCTCATGAGCCTCTTCCAGGCTCCTTTAAATTATCCCAAGAGACTCAGACGCTTTCCACCCCCATGTGGAATCATTTCTTTGACGACACTCTCTTGCATGGTGGCAGACAAGTCGCATCTAGTCCTGACGAAGGAGTGCATGGCCTCTGGAGAACTCGTTCTGCGGCTTGATCTGTGCATTCTTAGTCTTGACCAATCTTCCTCTATTCTGACATTTTGCTATGTAAGTAGTGTTGCTAGGCGATTGCCATGATTCCATAGCGTACAATTACCGATTCCCATCATCCATACTGATACCACGGCCACGGCCACGGCGAACGGGAAGAAACTGTCCAGCCAACTTGCAGCACCACTACCAGTGTACCACGGTCGACCAAAACGCCGAATGCATCACGCCAAAAAGGGTCCATGCTTGTTATGCAAGGACTGTCAAGAAGAAAAAAAAAAAAGGAAAAGCCCCGCGCGCCCTTTGAGGGATACTAGGACGATCCTAGAACTTCTCGCTGGTCACGGCCCTCGAGAGATTCACCAGGATCCAAGCCAGAAGCTGCACGACCGTCGTCATCAACCAGACAAGCAACTTCAGCCCGGTGATGAGGAAACTCAAGGCCGAGCGCGTCAGCACAGGCAATTCCTCGCCCTTGCGGTCTCCCGACTGATAATGGCCGAGTTTCTCCAGATCAAACTCGGCCATGGTGATTTGCTTGGGTTTGCCCTTCTTGCCTGTCTTCTTTGCCGTCCGCTTCCCGCATGACGTGATGGTCTCCTCGTCGACTTCCTCAACATGACCCTTCTTCCAGCCGAACCACGCTCGACCCTTGGAGCCCGATCCGGTGTGGCGGCCGCCGCGCACATCATTTTCATGATCCTGGCGCATCAACTTGGCTTCTTCCTCTGCTTCTTCACGCTCTGCTATCGTGGCGTAGAACATACTCCCCGCGTGGCTCTTGACGCTTCCCGGTCGCGGCGTGCGCATGCCCATGCTCATGCTCGGAGCGTGGCCGAGACTTGATGCCGGCGCCGGCCGAGGTTTCCAGACCTCCATGCTGCCTAGAGCTGGGTTGGTGGTTGCATCGGCCACGGCAACGGCGAGCATGGCGCTGACGATACTGTCGATACTGAACAACGAGGGCATTAGCTCGAGCAGTCCATTGGCGTCGATGTACAGTGTTTGCACGGTCAAGTCCAGCGTGGCCAGGGGTGGGTGGTCCGGAGTCGCTGTTGCCGCCGTGTTGCCGTCCGTTTGTGGAAGCGTGGAGAGTCGCCGAATGCCTTGACCTGCGGATGATGCCATGGGTGTCGCTGGTCCCGTTAGACCGAGCGTGCGTCGTGCGGCATTAGGATCGATGACATGGATCGTGGGCAGGGCACCTTCCATCGAAATGGTGATATGCAGCACTGGTTTGCCTGTTATACTGCGTATCGTGGTCGGAGAGCTGGGCATGGGCGAGGTGGCCGCGAAATCACCACCCATCGCACCGCGGCCGATGGCGGGGTGCTCGAGCTCGTAGAACCCGCCTCGAGCGTTGAAGCGCAGATGGCATGCTTCTTGCTTGGCGGCGCGGCGAACGGCCTGGGCTTCGATCTCGTCGCGGTCGGTTGGTGCGAGATTGTTTTCCCGTGCGAGGGAGGCCGACTGGTGGATGGCTAACATGGCGGCCAGTTTGGGAAAGATGAATGCCACAAGGCCGTCGTTGGGCGGCTGTCGCCGAGAGGCAGGCTCAAGAGGGCACAGAACGACGTCCCGAGTCGACGTCGCTTTTCTGGGGCAGGTCTTGGTGACGGCAATTTCATTGGTGTCATAGGTCTGCAGAGTGTAGAATGGTAAAGATGGGTGGGAGCCGAATACGAATGTTGCTTCTTCTGTTCTATTGGGCATCAGCAGGGGCACGAAACAAAGGGGGAAAATTGAGGAAGCCTGATATACGTACCGTGCCATTTCGAGCGTGAAAGTTTTGATGGCGAAGTCCGGTTCGGTGCCGTGCGAAGCCTCCCAAAGTTTCTCGAGATCCCGCTGCGTGGAGATTCGACGGCCAACATTCACGCTCAGCACATCGGAGGGGAAGTTGAGGATGCTTGCTGGAGCTGTCCGCTGAGCGGAGGCTGCGAAGGGTAAGGAGAGATTGCTGCGGTAGTCTTCCCGAGAGAAGGCGCCGGGAGGTAGGAGGCATGACAAACGAGCTGGGACAGGCCGTTGAGGCGCGGAAGGCTGCTTTGTTAAATGAATGGACGGATCGTATCTTGGAAACATAGACCGAATGGGCACAATGGGTGAAGGCTCGACGGGAGACTTGGTTGAGATCGCTATTTGTGTCTGCGTATGCGAATGGGTCTGCACCTGCACGAGAGTCGTGGCGGATCCTGCACCTAGAGAGAATGACGGCTGTGGAGAGGAGTGGCTCATCTGAGGAGATTGATACAGGGAGGGCGTATACTTGGCGAGCGATGCTGAAGGGGCGACAGGCTGTGTAGGTGTCCTGCCATCGATCGGAGATGTGGTAGTAATGGCTCGTCCAATATCTTCTGGCGAAGGCGACGAATCTCTTCGCTCATTCAAGTGCGCCGGGAGTTGAGGTAAGGGAGGCTGCTCCTGCTCCATCTTGATAACGATTGATTCGCCGTTGGAAACGGTGCTCTGGGGCGATGCCACGATGCTGATGCTGTGCAGGCTAGGATTCTTTTTGTGAGGACTGGGAATAGCAATCTTGGGCACGGTCGTGGGAAACAGCGAGAAACCCTGACTTGAAGACATCTTGCAAGCCTGGTCTCTTGCTCGGAGAAGGGCAGGTTATGGTTATTAGGGGAAGAAAGAGCCAGAGTTGCAGGCCTGCTGCAGGAGGCGATGGCAGAACAACAAGAAGCACGAAAGAGAGAACACGACTGCAACGTTCAACCGTGGACCAGCCGCATGAAGATAGAAATGAAGGAAGGACAGAAGATGAGGATAGACAGCATTGTAGACAGTAAGTCACTCAAAGACCATGGCCAAGGGGATCCGGTTCTGGAGGAACGGCGCTCTCTGGGGAGTTGCTCCATAGGTGTGAGCGAAGGCCAATCAGCAAGAGAAGGGAGAAAAGCGGCCTTGGCTGGCGTTTAGAGCCTTAAGATAGCAGAAAAGGACAGTCGTTCAGATTCATCACATCTGCAAGGGCGGCTTGGACAGTCATTGGCGAGGAGCGAACCTATGAAGAGAGAGAGAAGAGAATGAAGAGGAGAAGGAGAAAGATGAAGAAGCAAGGATGAAGTCGATTCAGGCGCGTAAATTCGAACTTGATTGGTCGTCTATTTCGAGATGCCCTCGCTCGTTCTGATTGGTCTTGTCTGTATCTTGCTCTGATTGGTCCAGCACTTGCCTGCCATGGAACCAATGACGAGAAGACTCGAGGCTGTCTTGTGCCAGTAGACTGGTTAACGAGGCGTCGATTGAAGGCATGAAGGTATGATGCACGCCTCCGCAGGAGAATTGAAAGTCTCCATTCCTCGGTCTTAGAACAGCGTCGACGAACTACCAGCTTGACCCCAAGAAGGTCCCAGTGATAGCACTTGCATCCATGTCAGTAGTGAAACCCTCGGCCAACTTGACGGGTTTGTGGGATCGCTAGAAGGCTGGATTAGCTCACCTTCATCGCCTGATTGAATCAAGTTGCCCTCCAAGTGATTCTCATAATGACCAGACAAGAGGTACTGTATAGGATCCATCCAAGCCATCTGATTAAAATTGACCATGTTCGAAAATTGACCATCCACGCTTTCGAATCCCTTGTCAGAACCGGTCGAGAATGGATTAGAATGCTCTTCGACTAGTGGTGGAGGGTTCTCAGGGGGCTTCCATCCCATGTTGGTCAGGATCTGAATCACTTCCGTCGAGGGATTTCTCAGGAAGGCCTCCAGGCTCTGAGCATCAGCCTTATTGATGGAATTTCCCGATTGCCCGGTTTCATCCGTTGAGGAAGACGAGTTCCGAGTGCTTGGTTGAAGTCGTTCTGCCTTCATTCTAAGAAGGCTGTCCCTGCTATTGGTGGCAGCTGGCCAGTCTAGCTCCTGTAGTATCTCTAAACATTTGTCCAGTTTCGGAGAAGAAGGCGTTTTGGACGAGCGAGGTTCCCCCGTGGAGGCCTGGATCTCGGTCCTGACAATCTGCAACAGATATATCGTACCGACGGTGAAAATGATGTCGGAGAAGAGAAACGGTGCAAATTGAAGGGAGTCGCAAGAGTCGATAAACAGCTTGACGATGTTAAAGACCTCGTCACTGGCAAATATAAGCCAGATTCGCAACGTCTTGTGGGGGAGGGGGGTATTGGGCGGTGAAATAGTACTCACGCTGAGGTATCGCAAATCTCGACTGAGACAGGTACGTCGCTCTGCTGCCCGTCATCCTTAATACGATTGTACATCGGACGGTGCAGAAGGATACGGAGATAGTGGAACGTGGCGTGCATGGTGAGAATATGTGGCGGCACATGGAAATCGCCCCAAGCTTCCAGCCGTAGTGGAATAGGGAGATCCACGAGCCAAGCACCCAATTTTACACTGTTAGCAGCGGTTAGCTCTCGGGACCTCATCGTTACAAGCATGATTGCTCCCTCACTTCAATCTCGAGCTCTGGTCTCTGGTCTCCTCCATCCCAGTGGTTCGTGGACGAACTGTGTACCTACAACATGTCAATTTTGAAAATGTAGACTCCCGCACTCTTAGCTCACAGTAATTGATGGATCGAGTCTGCAAGACAAATGAGGCGGCAAGTCCAGTGGAAGGTGGAGCTCTTCCACCCAGGTCTTGTCGCCAACGCATTACCTCCAGATTGTGTACGGTCTCGGTGGCTCAGCCATGGCGCGCCATCTTGCTCCGCGTCAATGGTCGGAAGCGGGACGCCAAAATCCTCGACGTGAAAGCTCGCAGTGCGCCCGACGATGAAGCTCCACAAGCTACAGCACGTTCAGTATGATCGGGTTCCCAAACCACGAATTGACAACTTACATGTCCTGAATGTATACCGTGTAGAAAGTACGATCCCGGTAATTCTTGGTTGCCTGAGACATGCGCGCACTGCTAACCAAATCTTGGCAATCGATATGCAGACCAACTGAAAGCGTCAGCGAGAATGGCCACAGTCACGATGATTGGGGAACCTCATTCACGAATCTGCGCCGCCCTCGTTGCCATTCCTTCGCAAATCCAACCAAGATTGACGTGTCTATGTGCATTCTCGAACTGGACTGATCCCACTAGCATCAAACCCTTCACCGTTGTGGTCAGTGGTCTTCCCAATTCTCCTTCCATCATCTCCTTCGCTCGAGTGGTCAGTGACGACCGAATTGCCGTGACATCGACTTCCGGTGGAAAGATGGATTTAGAGTGGAGCGCAGTTACTGCCAGGATCGTGCAATGGAAGAACGGCGAGTAATCCGGCGATCGAAGGGGTTGAGACGTTTCTGCGCTCGCTCTAGGTAGAAAAACATCAATGCGAGAGCTTGATAGGATAGGGTAACTGAGGAGGGTACTCACTTCAGTCCGGCGACAAAAGCCGCTTCGTCACACCACAGACACCAATCCGCAAAGTAGCTGAAATAGACCCTCAATAGAGTTCGGTGAATCATCGGATCGAGCGGACGTGCAAGCTGTAACATCTGACTGCTCGCCTCCAGTACCTGTCTTGTCAGGGTTTCAATTCCTTGACCACGGTGTTGGGTCGTGAGCCGTTCTTCCGTGGTCACCATGAATACCGGAGGCAGGTGCCTGAGCGCCGAGGTAGGACCATAGTGAGTCGCAAACTCGTTTCCAGCCTAAACGAAGTGTCAATCAACCAGCGTCTTGTCCTTTCACACCGCCCCGCTGTGATTCCACCGTAGAGGCGGCGTTCCCAGGATATAGACAAATCATCATCAACTCACCGACGTGAACTCTCCTGAGAGTTGGTAGGACTTTTCATGCTGCACTGTGGTCGCTGTACTGTTCAAGGGTGATAGGTGACTTGTCTCTGTCAATGGGCAAGCAGTAGGCTCCACTGAGGACGTGGACCGTTCTCGTTCCAACTGTTTAATCCGACTCTCGAGCATCTCGACGTATCCCTTCGCTGCGGTCTTTCGACCGTCCGTATGGCCGACATACGTGCATTCCTCATTTCTGCGTACGCAATGGGAGCATCGGGGTTGACCATCACATCTTGTCCGCCTATGTGGATGGGCCGGTCCATCAGCTGAGACTCCACAGCAGGCGATGATGTGTGGCTTGATGAACGGACAGACTCACCGTTTTCGACAATTGCCACATGCTCGGGTCACATTAGAACCCTTTGATCTCCTCTTCTTGGGCGAAGTTTGGGATTCGCTCGGACATGGCTGCGGTTTGGAAGAGGCCCTGTCCCCTGTGACAAAGTTGTCCCAGATATCGTCCTCTGGGATGTTCACCTGGAAATTGATGAGCGGGTCCGTGGCTTTCCCCGAGGAATTCCTATTTAGGAATTCGGAGGATGACATTTGGGTGTATTCGGGATGCTGTTCATGTCGAGGAGCAGCAGATCGAACCTGTAAATCCAGATACCGAAGCGGGGAACGTATTTCGTAAATCTGATACGAAGGCTGAGAATATATATATCGAGGATATACCTCCGTGACGCAAAAGCGTCTGCGAGACCGAAGCTTGGAGCGCGTTTCCGAAGGTACCAGGATATCAGGATGAAAAAGGAAGGTACTGCCGGGCCTGCACCTCTTGGCACATGCCTTCGGCACGGTTGCCTAATCAGGACTGCGCCGCAGCTCGACATACATAGTACAGTATCTCTGACACTCGATCTGCCATCCTTGTTCATGGTCCCTCGTACTACAATTCCTATCAATTCAAGCGTTACAAACGTGATACAGGACACCATCACACATGCTTATTGACGGCCCGACTGAGCTCTATGGTGATTCCCGACAACATCTTTCACTAAATCTTCGCCAGTTTACCTAGGTATGCATTGGATCTGCATGCGAACGATGCTTCGTCTCTGAAAGGTTCACCAGGATGGATTTGTACCTGACTGGGTTTGCCTATGGACTACTAGTATTTACCTAGGTAAGCCTGTACACTTTTCAGGCCAGATCCTTTTGCAGTAATGCGATATAATCCCGAGTCTTGCTCTCCCATTCCGTAAACTGGGTCAACTTGCGACCTAATCTCTCCCACGTCACAGCGTCCTCCTGTATGCAGCCGTCCAAGACACCTGGCGCGAGATAGTTCGTAGATAAGGCCTGTTCGAGCCAATCGTTGTCGGCTCCAGTGGTCAACGGGTCGTGCTTGATAAGCTCGGCCATGCGTTTCTTACTGAGCTCGGTGGGAACCGGTTCCCAATCTTCCCACTCGAATTCGGCTTGTTCCATCTGTTGTCGCACCGGCACACGCCATAGTCCCTGTCGATACTTGGGTAGTCCCGAACCGCAAGTCAGGTCGTCCAGGAACAGCTTGATGGCTGTGATGTGATCCGCTCCGAGCTCCAGCACTGCCGCAACCTCTCGTCCGGATTGAAATCTTCGAGTTTGTTAGTCAATAGTCAATCGTCAACTCCCAGTCTGCCAAAGATGAGATGAGGGATGCATAGAAAGGAAATGGTAGAAGTGAAAAAGGAGACGGAAGCCTTTTAGAAACACTCACGCTGAAGTCTTGATCAGTGGCACCGTTCCCCCCTGTTTGGCGAGAAGATTGTAAACCTTCCGTATCCGAGCATGCCTACAAGCGAACGTATGCTGTGTCGCCGGATCGGGAACATCTGGCCACACGGCAGGGCCGGTGCTCGCGACGGGATCGTTGAAGTACAAGTGGATGGAGTGTAAGCCAGCCTGCTGGGCAGCGACTGCTTGGGCGACTGAGAAGACAGTGGTACCTGACACGGGTATTCCCTCCTTTGCCAATATGGCGGCCGCTGCTGCACCATTCCCCGTCAGGCTGATCTTGATGCACACTCGGTCTCTGCGAATGTCAACCTCGACCCTTTCGTGGAGGGTTTGCACCTAGTAGCCTCGACGACCTACAGAGGAATTCCCGCAGCTTTCCAGCCTTCAACAAACTGCCTCCCACACTTGACCAGCTTCTGGACATCTCCATTCATTGAAGTGTATGCCGAAGCAATCACTCTTCCAGAGATATGGGAGATGACTTTGGCATGGAAACGACCAAAGATCAACGGGTATAGCTGCTCGAACGATTTATCCCTGTTCTCCCTGATCGTTTCCTCTACCAAGTCCCTATTGACCGGATCAGTGATTGCGTCGTAGATGAAGCGTGGATTTGAGCTGCAGTCGGTAATTGTGATGGGGAGCGATTTGATAAAGTCGATGTCGGGGGTCTCTGCGTCTATACGGGCGAGTGTCGAAAGCTTTTCCAGAAGGGTACGTTCTGGGTCGGCCGCGGCCCCGTTGATGGCCTCAGCAACAACCGGGATAGTCATACTGTCTACCTTGACAAACAAAAAAGCGAGAAACTGGTGTCCGGCTCGACGACTGCATCATATGCTTTGATTTCCTTATCTACTACATGCCGAACAATCCGGAGCTCGTATCCTTCTTACGCACTTACGTTTCTCCAACGACCGGGGCAAATTTACGGCATCAGATCAGTGTGTTAATGACTTTTATACCACCCGAGTATTGGAGACACACGTACCAATCCTCTCCGATCTTCACTAGCAACAGTCACTGCTTGGGGCTGAGCCGGAAAGTTAATCGCGGATACCTACCTAGGTATCTGTTCTTCCCCGTCGAAGCAAGAAACCGGCTCACAGACACCATATGCCAATAACAGCCTGCCATGTGAGGCTCAATGTTTTCATGAATCAACTATTTTCACGTTGACCACCACCAGCCATGTTGTCTAGCTGTACTAGTCCTGCGTCCAGCTCTCTAGTCAGGACAATCTTCACTCTCATATTTCGCCTACTCTCAACATGCACCATTGTTGCAGTACATTTTTTGAGAAACCGCACCGAGGTCGCATTTTCACCCTACCCGTCCTCTCTTGAACTATGTTGGAAAGGTCGCTCAAAATGGTAAGGTCCACCATGAAATGCGTAGTATCACCCTGTTTCCACGTTGGAATTTTTCGTCCAACCCGTCAAAGAATCATTGTCTACTTGACCAACCATCCTAGGCCCTTTTTCCGGTGTGTGCAATAGCATCTTCCAGCTCGGGAACTGATGCAACTTTAACCGTATTGCCCTCTTCCGTCAGCTTGGTATTGGGTTCTTCGGGCTCGGAAACCACCAAACCCAAGGTCATCTGACCTTGATGAGTCTCCTCATATAGCTCCTGGGCAAGCCGGACGTTTCTGGGTCGAACAACCTTGATCTCGTAGTATCGAAGAACGGAGACTTCTACCAACACAAGTAGCCAACAGCCAAGGCTGATTTGCCAGGCGTGACTATAGTGCTGTTGACGAACTCAGCCTCCGATCTCATCAGCATAACATAGAGACTCACTGGGACTTCATAAGTCGGCCAAATGAGCACGTTCGACCACGACCCAACCGCGTACCAGAATGCGTTCACTAGATAGATAAGAATATGATGCACAGTTTCAGGGTAAGCAACCTACTGAAGCCAGATATGAATGCCCTCTGCTCCGGGTCGTGAGGAAGCATGTCAGAGATCCAAGTGTAGATCGGAGGAGCAGTACAGCTAGAGAAATAGGTCATGAAGACTGAATGACATTTGATGAGCGCATATCTTGCAAGACAGGTGGATCATGCTTACAGGCGAAATATTTGGCTCCCAAAGGAACGTCCCATACAATCATGATAATCGAGGGAATGAGGCCCAGAGTAGCCTGAATCATGATAGGGATCCAACGAGTCTGGTAATAGTCTGAAAGGAAGGAATACACCCAAAGCATGACGACTGCCTCTGTTCAGCCTTCCTTGTAGAGGTACAAAAAGAAGAGATCAGTGACACACCTGTGATTGCATTGCCGCCTATTGGAATCGCATTGACCTGTTGTACAGACCAAACGGGTGTTCCATCAGGGTTCTTGAGCGCCTTCAAGAACAGATTAAAGTCTGAGAGGGCGTTAACGGAAGTATCTTGAGTAGGGTTATTGGCGAGACTGACAGTTGTAACCTTGCTGAGCCATAACGCAGGCGGGAAAGAGTATCACAAAGAAGTAGAAGAGTGGTCCCTTCACCGCCCGCACCACAGCCGCAACGGTGAAGGGCTTGTTGTCTCGTCGTCTGAACTTCGCCATACGCAATTGACCCTCATTGACGTGGTGTGTCTTCAACCAGAAGCTTGCGCGAGGACTATGGTCGTCAGGGCCTGTGAAGAATCGCATTGATGGCGAACACTTACTTGGTTCGAGAGGGATAATCCGGAATTAGGATGTAACCGAACAACGCAACGACCATAGTCATGCTACCGTTTATCACAAACATCCAGCGCCATCCACTGAGCCCGGTGTGACCGTTGAGATTTGTGTAGATAGCAGCTTGAAGGGCGCCAGCCAGCTGAACGGGTCAGAGCAGTTCTAAAGGATACTAGTAGGCAGACACTTACCATGGTTCCTATGAATTGGCAACTAGCATAGAGGCCAATCCTAAATCCTAATTCCCTGGGTGTGTACTAGAAGTCGGTGTCAGAGAGGCAGCGCTCCTGTCTCTGTAAACGTACCCAAGCATATAGCAGCATGATGGCACCGGGATAGCACGATGACTCGAGAAGACCGATCTAAACTGATCAGACAAACTCCCTATAGGAGACCTGAGGGACGTACACAAAAGCGAAGACCGTATCTGCAGTCAAATTAGCGGAAATCGGTTAATCCATTGTAGGGGTACTCACAGAGTTTCGACGTTTTGGGCTTTGTACTGAGCAAGCGTAAGGATGCCCCAGATGAGCTCAAGGGATGGCAGCCAGGTCGAGGGTCGAACGCGAGTCATGATAATCTGCGAGGGCTGACGAGGCATTAGCTCCTATGTAGGTGACCATTACTGAAGTCCAGTGCTTACCACCAGGAAGATAGCATAACCGATGAAAAAGAAGCTGAACTTTGGTCAGTTGAATCGTCGGTGAATGGACGAGAGGAGGAACTTACGTGGAGAACAAGTTGTACTGGACTCCAACTACATTAAGCTCCTCTTTCATCCCAGACACGTAAGCGGCAGAGATGTCTTTGCAGAATAAGTCAGACTACTACTTGTAGTATTCCGCCACTGCTACGACTCTGGCTGAAGGGAACGGACTTACTCTGCTGATCGAGGAATTTGATGACTTGAGAAATACAGAGAAACGGTAAGAGGATAAAATCGAGTCGAGCCACAAATAGTCGCTCGGCTTTGCTCTTCTTACCAAAGACCGCACCGGTGGTAAGATCGACCCTGGCATTAGGATCGACGATGGTGCCATCTTCTAATGGAGAAGTTTGGTGAGACTGGGAATTGAGCGCCATTCCGGATTCGAGATGTCAAGCGTGTTTAGGGTGATGAGCAGCAGTCGTAGAAGGCGAAGCACTCTTTGATCCATCACACATTGAGAGTTATATATGTGTAATGGGGGACAAATCAGTGGATGGAGGATACTAGTAATTAGCTAGAGATAACCGATGTCGATTCGGCGCAAACTTGCGAACGTCTTCGTAGCGAGCCGGTTTCCAGAAAAAGCGGTATCGTCTGACTGGGAGCATTTAACTCCAGCTTGAGGATAGGGAGTCTGCTAACGGTAAATCACTGGAGTTATGATCATGGCACTATGGTACTGACGGCCTTCCGTGTGTCAACGACTTACCCTATAACATTGTATACGAAGGATTCCGGATAGACAACGAGTATCACGTCAAGGACGTTCAGGTTGAAGCCGACGAACTCCTGCCGTCAGACAGTGCCACCCTTTTTCGAAACCGGCTTGGTAGGTAAGTTTGCCCCGAGATCTCGTTGGCTTTATGATTGGGTGTCCGTCGTTTCCGGGATCCATAAAGTGGAGAGTATCTGTGAGAGTATCTATGCTCCGAAGGTCACCCCCTTAGGTCGTCCGCTACGACGCAACTCTTTCAAGCTGATAAGAACTGGGGTGCTGTGAGCATTCCTCTGACTGCTTCAGGTTCATAAAGTGCAAATCTCTCCTTCTTCACCAAATTTATCACTCAACTTACAAGCTCTGAGCGAATATATCCCCCCAACATGCCGGTTCCGATCACCACCGGGCCAGTCCATATTCCCCTCTCGGACGAAGAGCGTATCTCAGGCATATTGACCCCTCTTCATCTGTATGATGCGGTCGATGCCCTGCGGAGCGATGGGGTGGTCATTTTGGACAATGCGGTCGCCGTCGAGGTGTGCGACAAGCTGAACGAACGGATGACATCCGATGCGAAACTCATGTTGACGCGAAACAAAGATCTCAAATGGGGGTGAGTCGGGCATTCCACAAGGATCACAGCTGGCGTTTATCTTTTCATGACCGATTGAATCGCTGACACCTGGTAGACAAGGGAAAGGACATGGCAATCTTTTAGTTCCTCCACCACTATCGCAGGGTGAGTACTAGTAATGAGGTCGGGAAATGATCTCTTTCCAGATCCTTCCCGGAAAGATCTCTAAGACCTGTACCTTCAAGTTCTTTTCTTACTGTTGACTCGGCAGAGTTCCTGTTTCCCGACATCTACGGCAACAAGGCAGCGACCAGTGTCATTTCGCACGTCATCGGCCCCAACCCAGAAGTCCGGTTCTTGTTGTCCAACACTTCATTTCCGAAAGAAGGAGTCCGGCAGCCAGTACACAAAGACGGTCGACACCTTCATCCGACCCATCCATATTGCATTGCAATGAATGTCAACCTCATCGATGTCTCCCCAGAGAGCGGCTCTACTGAGCTTTGGTTGGGAACCAACAACGATAGTCCTCCCACGGATTGGATCGAGCCTGGTGTCTCGCATATCAACCCGGCTTTGCTCGAACCAAGGAGAGCTATCAGGCCGCCATTGCAGCCCACTGTGAAAAAGGGCGGAGTTGTTCTGCGAGATCTGCGATTATGGTAAGTCACCTCATCTAGCGGGAATTACTAGTACTACCTATTAGCTACCTTTCGTCCTTCGGATTTCTTGACACTGAATTATGGCAGGCATGCTGGGGTCCCTAATCCAAGCGACGACATCCGAGTAATGATCGTACTCCTCCACTTCGCTCAGTGAGTCCCTAATCTTTGAGTTCTATCTATCCTTTCGCTTCTTCTACATCTTATGGTGATCTAACAGACTCGATGAGAACAGGTGGTTCGGAAATGGCGAGTATATACAGATGCCAAGATCGTTGCAGCCAGCAATCGAAGCGACGAGCGCCAGGGCAGGCAACAAGTTCATCTGTCAATGGGTCGAGGACAAGAATTGGAACTACCTCGACTCGAGGTTTGCCCAGGATTTCAGTTCAAAGGTCCATCCCGAGTTCTGGGAGCCATACCGAGAGGCCAGCGAGGCTAAGTTGGCGAAAATGAACATGTAGCCCTCTGTCCTGGCCTTATTGAAGAAGACCGACCGAACTGTCGATCTCATACAGACGTTAGATATGCAGATCATTGGTGCATCAGGTGATAGCAGGGTGTTCTTTCCAGGCTTCATTAGATGTAGGATCTAGGTCAATACTTACGGAGTGCTCGTCTCACCAAGAAACAAAATGTACTTTCGAAACCATCGGAAGTCAAGCCCTATGTTGATGAGGTCTATAAAATATGATGGCTAAACAAGGAGCGGCAGGTGAGCCGAGGGTGAGCAAAGCGGCGGGGAGCTAATCAGAAAGAGAAGAATGCGGAAGAGAGATACCGGGACGATCCCGGATCCGGGCACCGCGGTGGGCTAGTGTAGGCTGCACCAGGCCAAGTGGGACCGGCTTTGGCACCCCGTGGCACCCATAAGGAATTTCCTATAGGCGTACTATACCATTAGGCTCGAACCCCTTTGCCTCGGCTTGATTGTCCCCTCATCTTCTCATCCACCCTGTGCCACCACAAGCAAGATCTCAACCCCTCAACTTCCCCATGATCCACCTCGTCCTTCGTCCTTTCGGTCCTCTCGCTTCTCCTGCTTAACATTTGAATTGGACCCCGTCGATCCTAATGATTATGATCCTGCGGTACAAGGCACGAGAGGGGACTTGTCATGGACTTCCCCAATCATTAAGTCGCCCTCGTCGGCCTCCCGCCCCAAGGACGAGTCAGACTGCTTGACATCGACACTTTTGCGATCCACATGCATGCACAGGCATCATGGACTTCCACAGGCATATCCAGCATGAGAGAACAGTCCGATCGTGCACCCCCTCTTTTAAATACCATTGTTGTGGGTATGAGCGTGTCAGGCCTGTGATGATCGATTGTTACATTCAAGTAGCTGACCTTCGTCCTCTGCTCTCTACCCTACACAGTTCGATTGTTGATATTCTTCTCAATATCGTCTCTTTGACTGCTATTGACGGTGCGACCTATCCATCATGTCTGATCCCTCCCCAACCTTCGATATTCCCAAAGAGTGCTGGGCCGGTGTTGTAGTACGTCTTCGGCAATTCACCACCCACACCGTCCTAGAAATCTGACCCAGTCAAACAGAAAAATGAAGGACCCGACTTCTACGTCGAAGTCGAGAAGATCCCAGTGCCTAAGATTGGTACGTCCCGCCGTCCTCCCAACCACCATCCCTACCATCCAGACACGTCGAACCATTGGGAGAGAATGCTGACGCCGCCAACGTATTGTAGGCCCCCAGGACGTCCTCATCAAATTGAACGCGACCGGCCTCTGTCTCAGTGACATCCACTACATGCTCAACGACTGGGCCATGCCCACGATGTCCCACTTCGGCACCAAATGTGCCGGCCACGAGGGCGCAGGCGTCATCGTCCAAGTCGGCGACCAGGTCAAGAACTTGAAAGTCGGACAACGGGCTGGGTTTAAACCCATTCAAGATGTCTGCCATTCTTGCGAGTATTGCAGGACAGGCAGGGAGACATACTGCACCAAGGCAGTTTTGACGGGGATTCACTGTGATGGTACGTACCACAACTTTTGTACCAGGAAGGACTGGATTGTTGACATGGCGCTAGGAACGTACAAGCAATATGTTGTTTCGCCGGAGAGCTATACAACTGTAAGTCATGCCGCCCGGCTTGAGGTTTTTCGACATGGATGACTGACCGCTCCGTTTAGCTGATACCTGACGTACGTCCACCACCAGTGTGCAGCGCCCCCAGGGCCCCTGCTAACGAGGACAGGGCGTGTCTGACTACATCGCCGGCCCCGTGATGTGCTCCGCCTCGACGATCTACTCATCTCTCAAGGAGTCCGAGTTGAAACCAGGGCAATGGGCCGTTTTCCCCGGCGGCGGTGGTGGCGTGGGTATCCAGGGCGTCCAACTTGCTGCGGCCATGGGTCTGCGACCGATTGTGGTCGATACCGGCGACGATCGGCGGAAGCTCGCCCTTAGTCTGGGGGCGGAGGAATTCGTCGATTTCAAGGAAGAAGGTGACCCGGTAAAGAAAGTGGTCGAACTGACAGACGGTGGAGCGCATGGTGTTTTTGTCACGGGTAGGTCAAAGCACCCCAAGTCCGTATCCGATCGATTGGGACAGTTGCTGACAGGAAGGCTCAAGCTGTGCAATCATACCCGATCTCGCTAGGCTATCTAGGAATGAGAGCTGGAGCAAAGGTCATGTGGTATGTATCGGGCGCACCCACCTCACTTTTTCTGGCCAGCGTTGGCAGCCAAAGCCATGAGGTGTTGCGGCGAGGATAGAAGCGAGTTTGCTGACGAGATGGCAGCATCGGTATTCCACCCGCCGGCAAATACCACATCGACCTGGACCCTACAGCTCTGGTTTTCCGTGGACAACAACTCCGGGGTACTCTGGTCAGCAGTATGGCTGATGTCGATGAGACGTTGGACTTTGCGAGACGGGGTAAGTTGTGTCATCACTTCTTCATCCGCGCGTCGGCAATCGATGCGGCCGTGGTGTTTGGGGAAGAAACCAGCTAACGACGCGCGAAGGCAAACTCCATCTCGAACCCACAGTTGTCGGCCTGAGCAAGTTCAACGAAGCGGTGCAGAAGCTGAAGAATGGACAGGTTGCTGGGTAAGTATTCCCCGGTCTCTGGGCTCAAGGGCAGCGAGTTTGGGAGTGACTAACGAGGACAGGCGCATGGTTGTGGATTTTAACATACCGTGATGAGGAGGGATGAGATGAAGCCAGGTCAATAGCCATGAGGCAAATGATAACTGGACGAGTTGCAGGAAAACATTTCGGCATCACCTATTGGCTTGAGAAAGAGGTGATCCTGATGAGTATGGCAGCTGACCACGGAGTACCATCCATACTGTAACGCCACTCGTATATTCGCCGCGTATCCCCTCGTCGTCGTCAACGTCTAGCAATGTCCACCAGCAGATCTCCAAGGAGATGGAAGCTCATATTATTGCTTGCTTCAGGTTGTTCTCTGCACCTCGCATTCATCGCAGTACCCAAAAGAGCTCAAATTCTGGAGAAGGACGCCTTTGTACAAGAGACAGCACCGTGCTGTGCCAGTGCGTGCCTAGGTAGTAGACCCGTCTTCAAGCGCCAAAAAGCCAAAAGCAACTCATGAAAACCAAGCCGTCGCTGACCGCACGAGCCCCTTTCTTCTCCCTTCGGATCATCAGACCTGAGCTCAGGGCTGGCTTGCCGCCGCCGCCGCGACAACAACAACAACAACAAGAACAACAACACCTCGCCCCGTTCTCTTCACTCATCGTCTTCAACCAGAACCACATCTCCCAACCTCTCGAGCATCTCCACTTTCCTCTGCAGGACCCTCTTCTCAAATTCTCTGCTCACACACGCGCCATGCTGCGCGATCTCAAAGAACAACTGCGCATGTCTCGTCATGACCGTCTGCAGCCTGGAGCTCAATTGGTCGATCAGCCACTCCTCAAGCACGTCCTTCTCGCCTCCTTGACTGCCCTCGTCGCCCTTGACCGTCGCCTTGTCTTTACCCTTACCCTTTCCCTTTCCTTCGCCGCCCATGACCCAACCACCCAGTCCCTGCGCCGCCTCGTTTTCGTTTTCGAGACTCCTCGCAAAAACCACCCTAGCCACCTCCAAAAGACATTTAACGCCGACCCCGACACGTACACCGACCCCGACACCGGTGCCCCTTGCTGAGCCTGGGTGTCTTCCTGGGCCACCAGCACCAGCACCGACGCCGGCATCCTGATACTCCTGGTACCCACACTCGACCAACTTCCTCACGACGAGTGCCGCCAATGTCCCCATGCCCAAGCGTCTGGCCAGAACATACAAGCTCGCTGCCTTGAGCGCTTCCCTGCGGTAATCGTCGACACTATCCAGCCCGTCCAATCGTTTCGGCCACACGTTTTCTCCTGTGGGATGACTCACGATCGCAGGCACGTATTCGTCCATGATCAGGAACTGCTGGACGGCGACGAAATGGTCCGCGTTGATCTTTGTGAGTTCCGGGTGCATGATGAACGACTCCGAGCCTGAGCCGGAGGTTATACCGTTACCGTTACCGTTGTTGTTATTGTTGTTGCTGCTATAACTTTTGCTGTTATAACTTTTGCTGTTGTTGTTCGACGATGTAGTACCACTAGTAGTAGTTGTATGGCGAGTCCGACTCACTAGCGCCTTTAGGACGGGTGACTTGTCCAGACTGTCCAGCGGCACGATGAAGATCCGGTTTCGTGGCCCAACGTAGGTCTTCACTTTCTCCTCTCTGGGAGTGGTGGATAGGTGAGACAGCAGGGCGCGCTCTTCCTCCGACTTGATCTGGACCTGGACATCTCCTCGGTCTCGGTCTGGTTGGGATTGATCGTGCGTCTGACGCGCTGGTGGTGGATGGACTTGTTGGTGTCGTCGGTTGTTGCCATTGCGGTTGTTGTTGTTGTTGTTGTTGTTAGTGCCGTTTCGATTGTCGTTGCCGGTGCCGTTCCGATTGCGCGGCATCATGTCGATTGATGGAGAGGAGAACAAGGGCGGTGTCACCACTGACGGGGTTTGACTGTTACTGCTGCTATTACTGCGAAACGACTGGCCGTTATTAGATCGTTGTCGTGCTGCTTGTTGGCTTCGTTGAGGTTCAGCATCCGATCTTCCGGAGTCGTCGGGCATGAACAGATGATAATCGTCGTCGGTAGAGAAGTCCATGAAGGAAGGGAATGGTGAAGAAGACGAGGATTCAGGTGTTGTGGTATAGTTTAATTCCTCTTGCTCTAGGGATGAATGATCGAAGTGCGAGTAGTTGGTCATCTTGGGATGAATGAGTGAATGAATCGGGTTTTGGACTCGAGTAAGAGTATAGTGAGGAGGGGTTCTGATGTCGTGGAAAGTAGACTCAAGAAGCGAAGCTAGTGATATATGAGCACTTTAATGGTAGATAGGATTGAAAGTAGGGGGTGAAAAGAAGTCAATGATGTAGAGATGGTGATCTGGGGCTCGACAGGAGTCAGAGCACGATATACTGGCAAGATATCATGGACCGTCGACGCAAAGTGAATACATGCAAGTGAAAGACGTTGTACAATCTCACGTGTGCTCGTAATGAAGATTCCTGTCAATGTCAATGTCACCGTCACCATGCACATGCTTCGTTTCTGCTTGCCCGTTAGCTTGTGACAATCATGCTGAACATGAAACAAAACAATAAGGCAAAAGATCAATAGAGGTGGCCGAATCTCTCATTTCCTATTTCTGTATCATAAGAGGTATTCCTCCCCAATCGTCAAGATCGGGTCGAAAAGCAGCTTCGCCATATGGGCAGATATGTCGACATCGAGTCGAGAAACCAAATCAATACAAACAAGAGAGCTGCGAATTGTAGTCGCGCACTGTGTGATGTTTGACCAATGTTCCCCGTAGCAGGAAAATAAAGGAGCGGAAAAGCCGAAATTGCGCCAGCCAAAAGGGGCCATTAGAAAGAGTAGGGTTTTCAATGAAACCAGTGCAAAGTTGTCGGCCAAAACCTCGAGAGAAGCGGAGTGTATAACTGCTATCAAAGCAGTTTTTGGACCCATGAACCTCGTTGCTGGGGGTTTTTGTCTTCCAACAACCTGGTAAACACATACTGTCCTACCTCACATAGCTCCAAACCGTCGAGTTCTGTAGGTGGTTGATGAATCATTAGATGACTTTGGGAGAACGGCTGTTGCTGTACAGAGCACAGAAAGTAAGCTGTTGATCCAGGGGACAGAGGACCCAAAAAAAGTCAGCGGCCGGAAAGCGAATCATGTCTTACCTGATCTCGACAATGTCATCGATGTGATTGCACATGGCCACAAACAGGTCGAAGAACAATTTGCCTCCATGCTCCATTTCCTTCTGCATGGTTCCACTCCTCTTAAAAGTCTTGCGACTTCGGATGATCAGAGCAAGGTAATGAGCGCGGAGTCGCGATTCCGTGTCCGGCGTGTTCTCGTACGCGTACCGAGCAGATCGCAAGATCACATCGACCTGGATTCCGGATTGGAGACCTTGTTTCCGAAGAGCCAGGCGCTTCAATTCCTCCAGGCCATACTTGTCGGCAGCGCAGTAGATGATGGTGTCCCGGAGAACATCACCACCCACGTCGGGGATGTAGATTGTCGAAGCGCTGTTTCCGCGGCCACCATTTTTTAGATCCTGCACCGCATCCTCCAGATCCCAAGTGTTTCGCCGCTTATTGTGCAACAAGCGTGGATAGTAGTCACCCTTGTATAGAAACTCGAGGACGCAGGACAGGATTTCCGGTTCTTCTTCGGGCAGTTCCACTCTCTTCGAACCGCTTTCCAGGAACTTGCCTTTCAAGGCGGCAGCGAAGAAGGGTGAGTGACAGAGGACGTCCTCGTGGGCAGCGAAAAGACGCTGCTCACGACCCACCACGAGGGTAGCGATGGGACTCGTCAATGTACTGTGGTTGCGATCAGTTCAATGTTGCCTGCGCTGAGCTGGTGGCTGCCTACCTGGCCACTGGCGAGCCTTCGTCCACCGTGTCCTGCATCTTTCTCTTCACATGTTCGGGATAAGTAGTCTTGATGGGCTTCGACTTGACGATGCGACCATCGCGGATATTGAATGATCGTTTGAACATCTCGTCGAAAGAGCGCATGGGGTAAATGATTGTCGAGTACTGGAATCAACGAACGAGTGCGAGAGAGGAAGAACGAACGGTTGAAGAACCTATGACTGTAGTAGAGAGCGTGATAGGTTTTCGGGATTGACGCTTGATTCACATAAAGGTACCATGTGATGTGGGAGCTGCGAAGTCCTCGAGGATGACTCCCTCGCCTGCCAGCCTCATTCGGGACGAAGAAGCCAACAGCCAATGAAGATCACTCTGGAGAACTTGACGGATTTGGACAACAGGTTGACCAAACACGTGTTAGATTTGCCTGCTCGGTGCGTGAAGAAGAAGGAAGAAGAAGAGGACGGGAGTTTGAAAGGGCGATATATACTTATCAAGCGTTGCGCAGGCGCTTGGAAGCCTTGGCGAAGGCAACCATACAGACGAGGATGCGTGGTCGAATCATGATGGACATCCTGCGCCCGTCTTCCAGGCACTTGTGCATCTTACCGAAGCCGTAGGAGCAATGGGGAGGGAGATGAAGAGACAAAAAGACCCTCCAGTTTTACGGAGTAGCTTGATGCGAGATCCATCATTGTTGACATGGTCAGATGACGACAATTGTTCTAGGACGCGTCGAATATCTCCGAAGACTGTCAACCATATTTTGAACCGCGGTCATCCTTTTTCGCATCTGTCGTCCTCCATGTTCATTTGTTTGACGACGTACGTACACAATATTGTTGCTCTCCCATAGCACTATATCGGCGAGTACCGGTACCCAACGATGGCCACTCGCTGTCCACTCAGCATTTAAAGCTCGTTTCCTTCTCGTCAGGCGCCGCCGATAACAAAGGTTTCCGGATCATGTGCCGCGAAGCACCCACCATCTGCATCTGTGTGTGACTACCAATCTTTGTTCCAAGCTCTTGCCCGCATATCGAGATCGACGTGACGGATCCATCTTAAGCATTGATAGCCAGGCCGACTTCATCCGTCTAGAAGTAGTGACGCTGACGGGAACTCCACGCATTGCCAGCGATGTTCGCCTGCTGGTCAGCCGGAGTATGTTGGTCTTTTGCAACTCGAGCCTCTTTGTCGATGCGGGACTGGACACGAGCAAGAACCTCTGGTGTCGGGTTCGGAATAGACTCTGGAGTCGGTTTGGCAGTGCCGTTCATAAGGGATTCGTATCGATCGCGGCATGCGTTCTGGGAGAAGTTGATCACGGGCTCAGGTATCGTCAGTTCCGGGCTCGTACATTTTTGGCAAGGATAACACCGCTCACCTTGAGATTCTTCATGCCATCGGCCACGATGCGCCATTTGCGGGTATCAATCTCAGCCTTGAGTCGGTCGACTTCGGCGTCGGCTTTGATGACAGCTTGGAGCAAGACATCATCCTAGGGCATATTAGTTTGTGCTGACCCAGAACAAAAGAGACTGCATACATCGCCGTCATGCCAATCAGTCAAGTCTGCATCGAGGAGGTCATCCTGTCTCTTCTGCAATTTGGCCTTGATACGTCTCCAGCGGGTGCCGATGGTCTTTGGATTGTATGCAATGCGACCTTGATCGATAAGAGCCTGCGCGATGTCTCTCTCCAAGAAACGTGCCTCTTTCATGCGAACGATCAGTTCATCGTCGGAGTCGAGATCTGCAGAGACCTTTTTGGCAATGGCAGGACGGCCACCACGCATCTTCATGTTCTTGACATCGGATGCTTCGAGGGCATTACCAATGAATCTGGACTTGCGACGAGCTTTCGACTTGCGGGTGGATCCCTGTCCGACTGTTAACAAGGAGTTTCGGGAGGTCATAGTAACGCTCGGTCACCTCAGGCACCATGTCATCGGCATCAGATTCGAGGTCAGCACCGTTATCGCTGTCGTCATCATCCCAAGCGGTGTCACCTTCTTCTCCCTTGGGTCCACCGACAGGGACGCCCATGTCTATGGATAAATTCAGCCTCCTCCCATGCCTCCTGTGAGTTGCTGACTTACCTTTTGGGAAGTAGGTTGGGTCGAGTTGTTGATGGGCGAAGTATGGGAGAGGGTGTTGGCTCTGCTTGTAGACGACAGCAGGAGCACCGCGTCTGCGTGGATAGACAACCAGGTTTGGCCTAATTCTCATGGGGATGATGGCTCGCGCACCCAGATCCATGCTGGGCAGATTATGACTGCTTATTCGGTGAACACGACCTGCAACCGGGTTGTGGGAGATAGTAATGGAGCAAGATGACAAAAGATTGGGTGAGAGAGGGGAGGGAGACAGGTTGATATGGACGCGCGAGATCAAAGTGGCTGTTGTTGGTGTGGGTGAGGCAGTACTGCTAAGTGAAGTCCAGGTGAGGAAACGGACGGTGACCTCTGGTCTGGTGAATTACTTGATGTTCTGCAGGCGCTCGTCTACAGCTTGGGACAATAGTAGCCATTGTCTGAAGGCCACGCTCTTCTCATTTTGATCCTCGTAGATACTATATGGTCGATATCTCTGCTATCGGGCAGGACCTAATTCCGTCGATATACAGCTCACACACACATTCAGATGAAGGTAATGTGCCCCGATCTATGTTCCATCCCTCCCGTCAGTTACCGTATATATCTCTATCCAAGAAAATTGGCAATGATGGCTTGATTGGTTATCTCTGTGCGGCCTTGCAGGGATGAGCCCTGTATTGGTGGCAGTGCGTGTACATACGAGGTAGTGAGTTGCTGCCCATGTGCCAGACACTGACAATGACGTTGTTGTGGCGCAAACCATCGTCTTTCCCTCTTCGTATTCTACACCATCACCATGCGCTTTCCCTAGGACCTCGTCCTCATTACAACAAACCTCTGTTCTCCTAATTTTATTCTTTTGTCTAAGTACCTGCTTCTAATAAGAGTCCTCTTTCTTCAAGACACCTTTTTGTGCAGCTCCTTTCGCAGTCTACATTCGATTGGCGATGGCGATGCAATATATCAATTACATCAAAGCCAAGGCACATTTGGCAACGTCCAAGCCGTCTGAAACTCCAGTCCTTTCCGAGGAAGATGAACAGTTTCTGGACCGAATCACATCCCAGGAAAATCCACCTCCCCTTCCTGCACGGCCAGATATAGTTGCACCCCTCAGAGATGCTCAGGTGGCTCTCATGGATGGCGCGCAGAACATTCCTCTGCCAGAAACGCCAAACGAGGTCACTGAGGAACCCACGATGATTCAGAATGCCGCTGAAGCCGGGACAATGGAATCTGCAGCAACCAAACCCAAGGCCACCTGGAGCTGGCTTCGACGCGACAGTCGCGAAATCCGTCAACAAGGGCGCGAGACAACGGCCGCCGGTCTGGATGATATCGTCGCAAACCTTAAGAAAGCTGAAGAGGAAGATAGCGATGAGGTCAAGGAAGCCAAGAGGGAAGAAGAAGACATGACCATTGTCCTCGAACGACTCAACTTGGCCGCCATCAACAATCGAGTGTTTTCCATCAGTGATGAGACCCAGGAACTTTTGCGACAGTTCAATCTCGTCTTCAAAGACCTTGTCAACGGTGTACCAACCGCCTACGATGACCTAGAGAAACTCCTGACCAATGGAGACAGACAGCTACAGAAGACCTTCAACTCTCTCCCGGGTTTCTTGCAGAAACTCATTGAGAGGCTGCCAGAGACCATGACCAAGGGTCTTGCACCAGAAATCATGGCCGCTGCGGCAGAACGAGCTTCCAAGAGTGGTATGAATATGGGGAACGCCGGAAAAGCTGCAGCTGCAGCCTCCAAGTTTGGATTCAAGACACCTTCATTGAAAGAATTGGTTGGAAAACCAGCGGCCGTCACTGGTATGTTGAGATCGATCCTTGGCTACCTGCGGGCAAGATTCCCAGCCTTCATGGGGGCCAATGTGCTGTGGTCACTGGCAATGTTCGGTAAGTGGCTTTATTTGTAACCCTGCTAGCAGTGTTGGAAGGTTTGATTCTGACGACTCAACAGTATTACTGTTTGTCTTCTGGTATTGTCACAAAAGAGGCAAGGAGGTCAGACTGGAGAAGGAACGCAAACTTACAGAAGACGAGATGGAAAAGCTTGACGCCGAATTTAAAGCTGAATATGGCGATGACATACCATCGACCACTGCAGAAGCTGGAGCGTCGATCGAAGAAGTCAAGGCTGGAGTCAAAGAGGCTGCGGCTCTGAAAGAAGCCGGCATGGAGGAGGATTCAGTGACAGAGAAGCCCGTGGATCCGGCCATTATCCCTCCAACCACAGTGCCATGATTTAGCGAGTGCAATACTCCGTATCTGGGCTACGACGATCACGATTACGATGAACGAGTGATGAAAACTGGTGAATCATACTCGGTAGGTGCCCGGTACCGTAGGTGGTAACCTGGAATGACGAACGAAGCGCCAATCTGTGGGGTATTGGGATTTTTTATTCGGATCAAGTTTGCGACTAGTGTTTTGGGAACATTCGGATTCTGTAGCGGGTGGGGGAGGATTCATTGGCGCGGTCCACCAATGCTGGCAATAACTGTTGAATGCTGATGGCTGCCTTCTGGGCCACCGAGACAACTACTAGTACACTCATTCCGCAAGCAGAGCAGAGGCAACATTGTGAGTCAGAGGTGTTTCTACGCCCAGTTGATGACATGAATAACGAATGAATTGATTTTGAGTGCCCAGTGTTCGTACGTTGCCCAGCAAGCCAGCTGTCAATGATCATCCAGCGGAGTCTAGTTAGTAGCCGTGGCTAATAAGTTTCTCTCTGACGAGGCGAGGGGTTGAACTGGCACAACTGGTCACCGTCATTACCTCTGGTCACCGAGACTCGTCTTCCGAGGCGCCTTGACTCATTTTGGTTTTTTGTGTACTCTGATTGGCGGAATGGCCGGATAGCACGTGATGTAGTTCCGCTCTCGATCTAGGAAACTTTTTTTTCTACAAAATTTTTGGGTGTCAGCAAGAACGGAATTGACCACGAAGGGCACGAAATACCTACCTAAGGAACCTCAAGAGTCAATCGTATGACACGGAATGTAGAACATACAGCCTCCTTGTAGATATGGAGCCAATTATAGTCGCCTCCCGGGCAAAATCATGGGCTGATTGACATTCAAAAATAGCGGTGTGAAAGGGTCCCGTCGCAAAAGCCCAAGTGGGGAGTTCAGACTACTAGTTCAATACATCTGCCTCTTTTTTCCTGTCCCTCCCTCTTCTCTTTTTCCCCCTCTACAAACTACAACAACCACCGTCCAGCCTGTCCATATCTCCAGATCAAGTGCACCAATATCAATATCACAAACATATCGTACGAGGATCATATTTTGCCATGGCCTCCGCTGCGTTCTAGACGGCTTGAGAGGCCCCTTCAAAGGGTCTCTCTTCCTCTTCTCACCAGGCAGCCCAAGCAAATCCTCGTTTACGATATCGATACTCTTTCGAGAGCTCTACCGCGTAGGAGCTCGTCATCACTTACTGCTCTCGAAATTGCCTTGCACTACATCTAAGAAAGCACCGACGAGTCCTCTGCGACTGGAGGTGTTTTGGACGACTTCTCACCTTCGGGACGGCTATCCGCTCACCCTCGACCTTCCTCCTCCCGCCTTCCCCTTCCCTTTTTACTCCTCCGCCCCAATACCTAGCAATATTTCCAAGTCAATATTTGCTCCTCTATCGTCATGTCTCGCCTTTACACCCGCAACAATCGTGGCCGCCAGTCTATGCTTGGATCTGTACCAAAATTTCCCAACCTCAAACAACGTCCGGTCGACACCCCCCGCCCACCCAACACGAACACGAACAAGAACAAGAACACTCGCAAGTATGGTGCGACGAATAAGACTGCTCCAAAACGCAAAAGAACTGTGAGCACATCCTCCGAGTCCTCGTTGACGGATCTTGGTACCGAGACGGGGGACGAAGCCTCAGATGAAGAAAGCGAAGAGGAGGATGCTGATGAAGAAGATGACCTGCCGGCTGTCTCCGCCCCGTCTCGTTCTCGTATCTTGAACGGGACGGGGCGCAAATTCCCCTATTTTGACAGAGACGACGTTTCCGTGGCCCCTAGTGTGGACAGCATGTTCGGAGACTACGAAAATTACTACGATGAAGATGATGACCCAACCCTGTCACCTGAGGAAAATCGCAAACGCTTTGAAAATCAGATCTTCGCTGACTCGGACGAAGAAATCGATGCCTATCAGGCAGTCGATGAGATTAGCGACTCTGACGACGGGCTGGATGAAGGGCGCATTGCGGAACAAGAACTGCTCGCAATGTTGTCTGAGGAGGCCAACAGTGATGCGGACCTCCTCCTCAACCAGATCGACGGCTTGTCCGCTTATGGATTTGGTGATGACAGTGATGCTAATAGCATCCAACGCTATCCATCGTCTCAAAGTGAAGGTGGCATCGATGCAGGTGTTGAGCGGCATGTGCATTTCGCTGTAGACAGTGACCCGTCTCTTTTCTTGCGCATGTCAGAGTCTCCGACCATTACTCGTGCATTGCTTCCATCAGCACTACCCGAGCCCAGCTCTTCAATTCACATGGCTGTTCAACGCTCTTTGGGCCTGGTCGACGACCTGGATGACTGTATGTCCCGTTCGATTGATGTATGTGTACAATGACTAACATGGTGCAGCCGACCTCACCGATGATTGCTTACCAGAGGAGGCGCATTCAAACATACCCCATGCTGCTGAACCAGAAAATGAACGATCTCCACCTGCCGCTACACCATCCAAAAAATCCGCGAAAAAGGCGCCTCAACGTCGAGGTCCGCCTCGTGGTATCTTCATCGACGATGGCAACAAGACGTCGGGCATTCTCGATCCCTCAGGCAAGATCATCCTCATGACCAACCCACACTTGCTTGGAGAAGAGTTTGCTCGTCGTTATGGAGCGTCTCAGACATCTAGTCCGGATGTAGGCTTCGCTGAACTCATTGACGATAGCGACGTTGGTGATCTTGATTCAGGTGCCGGAGTCTTTGGCGCTCCAGGTGCTGACATCATGTTGGCCAGCCTCAACTCTGCTATCAATGACCCATCCAACCCAGGCCAGGCCATCGGCCCTCTAGAAGCGTTCTATCCTTCCAGCAGCTTTGTGTTTGGAGCTTATGCGATTGATCCGGATGACCTGGAGGAGAACTTCCAACCGGATGAAGACATGGGAGAAGATGTTATCAATCTGCACGACGTCATCAAGTTCGACGATGAGACGGACGATAGTGACGCCCCGACATCACCTATCTTCATGCCTCCAACTCGTGAGCTCTCTGGCTTTGGCAATACGGACAACTCCTTTGCCTCATTCAACAACAATAACATCACGGCTTTCCGGCGCAACGCGGATCCGGCATTCGCTGCTCTCAACAATACGCCGTCATTCCGCGATGTTGAGCTCTTCAGCTCACCTTTTGCCACACCTGGAGCGAATCGGCGCAAACGGAAGAACCATGCATCTCCGTACACTTCTTCCCATTACAAGGGAGTGACACCAGTGCAACGAATGTGGGATCCAAGTCAACCCCAAACTCCCGAGGCAACAACTCCTTCTGCTGGCAAAAGGCGCAGGATAATGATTTGATGAGATTATGATGGACATGATCTTGTCTCAAACATGTCGACTTTTTCTATGGGCAGACCTAATTTCAGGCGAGCCATGTATGAACGTGGATCAAACATATGGCGTTTATCTATCCTGAGACGAGCTGTTCCTTTCCGTCATTCGTGTTTGCTTCTCGTTATCGCAGGAAGAGAAAAGGTCGAACGGAGCACGAGCTTATGAAAATGCCCAAGAGATGGGTTGCTCATGAGATACATGGCATCGGGGAAAAGGGTTTTCATTCAATCATTTGTTATGCGGTCTTGACGACAAGGGGGCCAAAGTGTTATTTTCAATGGGATTCACAGCGTCTTTAGATACCAGCAGCAATTGCTACGATCAATGATAAAGTATTTCGACGAATATGCGATCCCATTGATTGCCATCAAATATAGCACCCGCCCGTGCCGTTCTATCTTTATGTGTGCTCATGTTTTTCTGATTGCGATTTTGCGGGCATTATGCGGGTATGATGTCAGATGAGGCTACGAGGCTGAGATGCTGCGGCATGTTTGGCATGCGCTCTCGCCTGCGTGTCTCTTTACACCTTTACCCATTCGCTGTGCATCCCTCCAGAGCAGCGATTAAATACTCATCTTGCCTCTATTCTCAATATGCTCGTTCAGTGACCGCTTCTGGCCTGTGTCGCTGTACTCCATGATCCTTCCTTGTCTGTCGCACCACACGAGTCGAAATCGTCTACGTACCATCTTCTTGCTCCCTGCCATTACCTCTCCCATTCCACGACACGACATAGGAAACCAAAGCGAATCCATCAAGAAGAGGGGGGCGGGAAATACCAAGTCTACTAGTCGACGAGGCTAGCGGCCGGAAACATGGCATGGTACTCACTCCTCCCGACTCATTTGACCGCGTACGAGACATGGATCATTCGCGGCTTTGTACGTCTCTTCCTGTTTTACTTCTGCTGGCCTCATTCCCCTTTTGCACTTCGGGACTGTTTCTCTTTCGCTGCCTGTCCTGTCTTGTCCTTTGCGATGCCGATGGGCTAACCCTCGTCCTTGCGTCAAAGTTGTTATTGGCAGTGATAAATATCCTTCCCTGGATCCTTGCATTCCTCTACGATGCGCTCCTGTACCTCGGGCGAATGGTGTGGCATGAGATTCCCGTTTTCGGCGGGCGGGCCAGAGGTGAGAATAGGCCGAGAGCGCCGAGTCTGAGACAGAGGGCGGGGAGGAGGATGAGTTTCGCCGAGTTGGTCACGGCGACGACCGGTGCGAGTGGAGGTGGTGCTGCGCCGTCGACGCCGACGAGGGCGGGCACGAGACAAGAAAGGGGCCATGAGAAGAATTTGAGCAGGACGAGTATACCAGAGGAACAAGAACAGGAACAGGAGGAGAATCCGTGAAAACAATAAAGAAGAACAGGGCGTGGTTAAGAGAGTGTGGTGCCTGAATGTCACCCCAGAGCCGGCGTTGCGGAGGTTCTAGGGAGCAAGAACAACAACAGCAACAACAAGCAGCGAGCGTAGTGGAGGATGCGACACGAAACGACATATACTGCATATGATAACTGCCGCAAGACGCCGATTGTGAAAGGGACACGCGAAAGGAGACGGATTATTCGAGCCACAAGACCCGGTCCACAATGTGACTGTGACTATGGCTGTAGTGCGAGTGCGAGTGCCAGTGCGACTACAAGCAAGGAGAGCACTTTCAGCCTGCCCCCCTGCCTCATCGCGCCCTCTTGCCAGAAGCCCATTTTATAAGGCTGAGTAATCCCTTTCCCGGGGGGCAAACACGGGCCAGGCAGGGCACGAGCAGAAAGGGCCATGATATTCGGACCAAAACTATTGCAAAATGATGGCGCGACCCCCGGGGGGGGTGAAGAGAAGTACGGCCGTATGCAATGGCCGATTCTCTTCCTGCAGACTTTCCCCTGCAGACGTTTCACCGTCAAGAGTCGACGTCCATCGAGCATATGATTTTGACCCGACGACCGCCAGAAGGGAACCTCGATCTCTCCCCGGAGAACAAGCGGAGAGAGAGCGGAGCGAAACCGACGCGGTCATATGTGTCCCACCGTCGTCATCGCTGGCCATCCGAACTCTACTTCGACGCACTGAAAAAGGAAACGAAAGGAGAAAGGGACAATGGCCAGCCTTCACGCACGGTCTGGATTAAGCGTCTTGGAGATCTATGCCAGCAGCAGCCTGAACAGAAGCGAGCGGACGAAACCAACGACCGAAACAAAAAGAGAGATCTGGCAGGAATGGGAAAGGGGGCAAAACATTTGTGCGAAGGGTTTCCATTCAAAGGCGAATCCAGGTGTGCGTGGGAGGTGGACATCAACATCAAGAGGTCGCACGACTAGAGCTCCGACATATATCTACTGGTGATGGGAGGTCAAGGACATTTCTCGTCCTTCCAAGCGCGCGTGTATCAAGGTAGTGTCTACATAGTAGTCTCATGCCATTCGTTCTAATATTTAATTGTTCTGTGGACCGTGATTTGGCTCCCTTTGCCCGACCACATTGAGCATTGGCCACGCTGCAAAACGGCAGGAGTGCCTCCAATCAAGCGCATCTTGTCGCCTTACCCTCCCGCGAATGTCCGAGTATTCTGTCGTCTGCAAATGGCAGACGCTTCCCATTCGCAAGCAAGACCACATCTCAACGATCCGCTGCCTTGAGGACTGCCAGCAGTCTCGGCAAGCTCATTTACCCATTGCGCCTAACTTCGTGCTGTGGTCGAAACCTGACAACGCACCTATGCGGTCCCTTGCACAATTGGACACATGAATGAGACTCTTGTTCGCGTTCGCATTCCCATCTTGCCTTAGCTTTACCATTAGCTGTGCGCTGCGGTCGGCGTCTTCCTTAGAAAGCCTCTGAGGTAGTAGCGAGCAGTCGTGTTCAATAATCATCATCTTCGTCACCATACCGCCCATCGAAGGCGGCGTCGATGTCCTCATCCACATCGTCACGGACGTAGTCGTCTTCATCTGGGTCTTGCATGCTTTTGTCTTCGGCGTCGTCGTCATCATCTCCTGTATCTGCTTCACTTCCCTGATCTGGAGAGGATGCTGCGGCAAGGGGCGCTTTGGATTGTCCCGCAGTACCAGATACAGGATCGACAGCTTCTTCTTCGGGTAAGGCCATCTGATCTGACGAGTCTCGCATGGTTGCTGTTTCCAAAGAGGAGTTTATTGTCGGGACGCCGGTCGAAGGTTGCTGCTGTCGCGATCGTGGTTGCGCTGAGGACGCAACTGTCGGTATGCCACCTGAAGCGCGAACAGTTGGTGGGCCTTGGCTTTGCGTGGCGGGAGGCGTCGACTGCTGTGGAGAGCGTGACGAAGATGCCACTTTCGGTATCCCATCGCTGGTACGGATTGGCGGAGGTCCTTGACTCTGCGTCGCTGGGGGCGTCGGTTGTTGCTCCGGCTCCGGCTCAGGCTCAGCGGTTTCAGGGTCCGCACTCGTTCCGCTAGCTTTGGGTTGCGGCTCTGCTGTAGCTTCACGTTCATCTCGATCTCCTGCGGGTGTGCCGCTAGGACTCGTACTCCTACTCCCCTCCGCTGACGCGACACTTCCTTCTCGCTGATCTCGAGCTTGACTTTCGCGCTGCTCTTTTCGCTTCCTCTCTCTCCGCTCCGCCGCAACAGAAGCTCGGCTCCGTTCTCTTCCCGACCCTCGCCCGCCGTTTCCGCGGAAGATCGCCTCCGGCCCGAGGGAAGCAACTGTGCTTGCAACACTTCCCTCTCGGGCGTCCTGAGGCAGGTCACTAACCACGCTCTCACTTCGCGAATCACCACTGGTATCTCCCCCAGCAATTCCATAGATGGAGTCGAGAACATCGTAATTCACCCGTCTTGAGTACACGCCTCGAGTCTTGAACATCTCACGCACGGATTCGGCGGCACTTCTTTCGCGCTCGCCACGGCCAGCATCGCCTCCTTCGCCTCCTTTGTTCAAATAGCTCACATCACCTCTCCGTCCGGGCTTCTTGGTTCCATCCTTTCTTTTCCCCTTGGCCATTTTCTCTCTCAATGCTTCTTTCGCAGGATCAAGACCACGTGCACGCATGTCCGCTTCCTTGAGGTCTTGCTTGATGCGCTTGGCGTTGTTTTGTCGCAACCAGTCGGCGTTCATACTCACCCAAATCGTCTCCTTAATCTGGGACTCTTCATGACTCAGCAGACACATAGACACGTCCTCATCCGAGTCAAATTCGTCGGCTTTCAGGGTCGGGGAGAGCGAGACATAGCCCGTATTGCCAACATTCGTGTTCACGGCCGGTCCCGGCGTCTTGTCTTTGATACTGGGTCCGAGCGGGTTGATGCTGTCGCTAGTTGGCTGTGCAGGGGCTCCGTCATTGGATGGCCTTGCCTGTGAGTCTTCATCCAGACTGTGGTTTGGATTGAGTTCAGGATTTTCACGCAGTGTCGCTTGTATGTCTTGTTCAATCTCATTCTCAATGGCAATTTCGGCTTCTGATGGAGGAGGTGCTTTCCAAGGTAAAGCTCGCTGTCTGCGAGCGCCACTGGGAGAATCTGCGTTCCCCTCCTCAGGCAAGGTATCGGCCGAGGTAGTACCGTTATCAGCGGCAGTCAAAGCAGGGTCAATCGGGATCTGTCTTTGAGGTATGTCAGGGATCTTGTAGCCATCTGCATCGACCCGAATACGCTTAGCTGGATGTTCCGGGTTATTTGGGTCTTGCGTCCCTTGGGGCTCTGGGGTGGCCGAGCCCTCAATCTCGGCGGCAGTTTCCGGTAGAGGATGTTTCCTCGGTCGACCTCGTTTCCTCTTGACCGGTTTTGGGTTGAGGGCTTTTTGGTAGGAAGGTGGGTCTGAGGCGACCATTGCATCGAGGACTGAGTTGTTTCTGAATTGTGAGACTGAAAGCTTGCTGCTGGCAGTGTCCTGGAATTCCTCAAGGCGCTTGTTGATGGTAATCTCGGTGACTTTGGCTGTCAAGACAACTTCTCTGGTGGTACGACGGTAGTTGTTCATTCTAGCTGCGAGAATGACGGCAGCACCACAAACTCCAGAAGGACGTCTTCCAGTTGACATCCAATCGCGCTTCATCCTCTGGACGATCCTGATGGCATCCATTTTGATCTTGTCTCGATGTGCTTTGTCGAACTCAAGCTCGTCGACAAATCTGCTCACAAGCACTTCTGGGCCCATTGCCAGTAGATCAGAACTGACTTCTCCTTGGACGCTCCCATCAGCCTGGAGGAAGAGTTTGCGCACGAGATCAGTGTACATCTTGCCCAGAGCAAACACATCAACGTTGAGCTTTTCGGCAAAGTCGATCAGCATCAGGCTGTACATGGGACGTCGCTCATTCTGGATCTGTTCATGTTTTCGCCGACATGCAAGATAGAGACAGACGACAGCGACACTGTCAATCGTTCTGCCTTGAACGAAGGAGACACCCCAGGCCAGCTTGAACAGCTGCAGGCCTGCATCCACTTCGGCTTGTCGAACACCGAGGAGGGTCTGGTATGACTGCATGATCGTTCTGGCATGTGCTTCCGATCGCTCTCGATTGACAGTAGGTTCACGCCCAGCATTTCCTAGCGCACCTCCAGTGGCATAGGTTCGTTGATGGGTTTGGCCCTCCTGGACGCGTACTCCCAAAGCTGTGATAGCACCCGAATCTGTTTCGCCAAAGCCCTGTTCGCTGACAAGACCAGACTCCTCTAGGGCGACAGCACCACAGGTGTCGCAAATAAGTCCTTGCTCACTTTCAACAACATGGGGATTGGGACAGCTGGGATTAGTACATTTCAGAATTTTGGCTCCGGTAGGTCGTTGTATGCTTGGGGTAGATGAACGTCGGAAGGACGGTGTTGTTGCCCGGAATGACCCTGGCGCTGGACTGCCTAGACCCTCAATTCTCCCGCGAGGAATTGCTCTTCGGTGCTGTCCAGCACGAGGTTTGGGTGGAGGTGGCTTGAGCGCCGGCATGTTGAAGATCGGTTTCGAGGATGGTGAGAATGGTGACTAGAGGTTATAGATTGATCTCGGAGTGTTTGCTGAGATGGTATTGCATGTTCTGGCACGTGACCAGGAGTGGTAATGAGTAATGAGTTAGGAGTGAGGCTGTGAGTCGGCGTTGTATGACTCAGGCTCGACCAAGATCGAAAGGTGGCTGGGTGTGTTGAGGACGGCGATTCATTTGTTTTTGGACATTGTATCTGCTCGCTGCGCAGAGCTATGGTACCAGGTATTCGAGATGGTCAGAAGTGGCAAGGATGAGGACAATTGATTGGAGGAGAAGGGAGAGATTGTTGTTGGTGATGGATGAAAGTGAACTCGAAAAAGTGGTCGAGAATCTGGTGTTTTTGCACCCGCCACGTGACTGGCCTGTGAAGAGGTGGAGGCGGGGCAGCAGCGGCGGCTGGTCGACGACTTTTTGCCAAGACTGCACACTGTCCTTGATACAGTGAAGCAGAAACAGCAAACAATATTGCTGTCAGTCAGGACTTTGGTGATTCTATCATCAAATGAATGAGAGCTGCGGTCGGGGCTTGTTTGTACCTGCTTTCACAAAAATTCACTCTGATGTCGAACCTGTTTTTTCAAAAGTAGTGCGAGCGCGCAGAAAATGGGAGAATGATCACGTGATATAGGAGCTATACCTACTTTGAAGTAGCTTAAGCTGCGGCTTGGCGCTTTGCCCTGCAGCGAAATACTCCTCCGTACTACAGCCTCGCTTTCTAACTCTTCGATATTTCTCTCCTACGTGCCTATCCTAATCAGAAGTTATGAGACGATGCTGGCGGACGTGTCTGGCGATGACCTCTTCTATTACACATATACACTCGATCAAGGTTATATCAGCATCGAGGAAAATCTCATTTGTTTCATGCGAGTGCTCTCGGCTCGATCGTGGTTTGCATATCTTGATATGTGCCCTTCATTCCATCTGGAAGCCCCAAGCCCCAAATATTCTACATTGAAGTGCAGCTTAAGGTGGCAGAGTGTCCGGTCTACCTTTGCACGTCGGTGAGTTCCATCAGGTCTGATCGCAGGACCGTCGACACAGCCATGCGATACGCACTGGCCATCTGGTGAAACTTGAGCGGGTCCGTGTAATATCTCGCTCAATTCATGAGCTGCTAGTGGACTTTGCTAAATTTGCAGCCGAAGGGCTGGATGGCGAGATGGTCATTATGGTCCGTGCTTTCGGGGAACAGACTACCTACGCCTGCCAGTTGCTATCAACAACGATGGGGGTCACTATGATCATAACGTCTTCCTCTGCTTCTCAGGTTCAAGTTGGCTGTCTGCACAAAGCCAGAGATCTTGGCGAACTGACCTTTCCTGGCGGTTCTCTTCCGATACTAGGATTTGTTTTGTCCCCCTTTTTCCTTGAGACCTCGTCATGTCAGCAGATTACCCGAAACTCTCATGGCTTGAGAAACTTGACCTTGTACCAGCTTTTCTATCAATAGGTGAGCTTCAACAAGTCGTGATCTTAGCGACTGGCTAACAATTACAGGTTGGGCTGCTTCGTACGCAGCTTTAGAATGGCCCCTTCGACCTTCATCAGGAGCCGACACCTACTATCACCATGTCGTCCATGCACTGGTTAGGAGGGTATCTTCAGTAATGGCTCCGGCTCTGCTTCAAGGCTGACCCCCTCAGTTTTCTCAAAGGATGAGCTTGACACAAGCGCAGTATGTTGCATGTCCCATGGCTCAGGCTATCACTATGCTAACTTACAATCTCAGATGGATTGATCCCACCTTCATGGATGCCTACAAAAAGTGGTGCTCTAAACATCGAATTGTAATGAATGTCGCCATCATCTCCCAGTATACCAAGGGCTTATGGCTTGGTGATCCGACAGCAGACTATGTGATGGTCTACTTTCATGGTGCTCCCCCTCTCTCACCCTCGCTTGAGCGAATCTGACTCGAAAGTAGGTGGAGGATTTGCATTCGGTGGCAATGACGGCCATCTATCCTTTTGGAGCACGGTAATCGCCAAATTGGCCACTCGAGGGGTCTCTTTGAGCGTCCTGTTCGTGGCTTACCCAGTTATGCCGCAAGCTTTCTTTCCCCGACAGTTCCAGGAAGCGGTGAACGCAATACGCTACGTACTGGAAGATCTGAGTTGTTCCGCAAGTCGAGTCATGATTGCAGGTGACTCGGCTGGAGGCAATCTTGCTGCTGCTGCATTGCTACATGCGGCTCGGCCCTCCAATCTTGCTCCTACCTTACCAAAGATATCAGTCTCGCAGAAGCTCAGAGGACTCGTCTTAATCTCGCCATGGGTAAGCTTTGATGTGTCGTTGCACAGTTTCGAAAGAAACCGCAACAAGGACTACCTGAAAGCAGAGACGGAAAAGCGTTGGAGCGACATGTATCTCAACAAACAGTCACCATCACCCTACAACGAACCTGCTCTAGCATCGCCCGAAGATTGGAAAGACCTACCTGTACTAGGCGTGCTAGTGACTGCAGGATCGAATGAGGTCTTAATTGACGGAATCGATTATTGGGTCAAAGATCTACAGGTCAGTTTTCCCCTTCAACCTCGGCGATGGCATTGCTTACTCTGCAACCAGGTTCACAATCCAAATGTTACATACAAGGTGGCAAACCACGAGCCTCACGAGGCTCCACTTACCTGGCCCGTCTTTGGTGACCATCGAGAGACGGAAACGCACAGGAACGTGATCGAGTGGTTGGGCAGTAATCTGAAGGTGCAGAACGAATCGTCTACCGATCACAAAGTCCAGAAGACTATCTAGTTGAATGAAGCCTTTCCTAGGGCGTCGAGGCCCGATGGATCCGGATCACCATACCCTGCATATCTCCCAAAATCTGGAACCAGTGAAACGTTAAGTTCTTGACCGGATTGAGATGAACTCGACCTGTGGCTTTTTCACGACCTGCTGAACTGCAAACTACGAACCATTCGATGAAGATGCAAAAGTCCAATTACCATTGAAGTTGGGCCCACAATCTCCAAGTTCTGCTTGCACGGACCTGTTCCTTCAATATCGCCAAGAGAGATGTCTATACCAGGCAGTCGCATGCAGACCGCACAGACCTCTTCATACCTATTTATGGGAAGTCCGTGCTTAACCACGACTGAATAGCTCGAACAGTCCCAGGCTTGCGGAAAGTCTGGATTAAACATCAGCCACAATGCAGTAGTTATTTGGCCATGAGATTCTGCATTATTCTGGCTGCGAAATATTCGAACGACTATGGATTGTGACAAGACGGCCGCGCCTATATTGAAGCAGAGACTCACCAGCCTTATTTCAATCCAAGCGCCCGTTTTTGCTCGTCTCTTTCAATCCCGGATCAGTCTCCGCGATTTTGAAAACCTGCAAGCTTTTCGTTCCTTACCTGCTTGCCTAATGGCCAGCATGCTTGTTGACACAATGGCCAACCCTGAACCAGAAATAACGGCTGTGGAAGAGATCCTCACTGTCACTGTCGAGTCACCTTCCAGTGAAGGTCTCACAATCCACAAAGAAGCCATGATTTCGACCATTACCGAGACTACTGTTGATACGAAAGCGGTCACATCCGTACAGGTGCTCGAAGAGACAACAACTGTATCGAAAAACGCGGAAGCCGCTCCCACAAAGGTGAAGAAAGCAAAGAAGTCCAAGGACAGCAAGGAGAAAGCGCCACCTAAGCCGGCCGAGCTACCATTCTACCAGTCCTTGGGCCAGAAGCTATGTACTGAAAGCCAAGAGGAGACAGCATGCAACAAGCGTGCTCTAGAGGACACAAACATACAAGCCTCTTCAACCGGTTCGAAGTCTAGAGCCAGTACGTCTGACTTTCTGCATCCCAGCAGACCGACGCATCGACGAACAAACAGCCACCGATCAGAAGTCGACCTCAGCGATCGCGAGAACAGTGTCAGCACCGGGTCCATGTCCGACATTGAAGTTAAGGACCCGTCAGTCAATAGCAGTCTCAAAGGCAACCTGTACAATCTCGACGACTTCAAACGTCTCGAAGCGATCAACCAGCTCATTGCAGAATATGGCACGGTCTCTCACATGAGTGTCCGGGATCCCAGCTACTCGTTCTGGATCAATAGGACTCGGACTGCTGCTGTTCACTTCAAACTCCTCAACAAGGTCGCCGTGCTAGCTGGTGATCCACTCTGCCCAGCATCTGCCATGCCCTCAGTTCTTGAAGAGTTCGAGAGATACTGCAGGAAATCACGCTGGAAGACCTCCATCATCGGCGCTAGCGAGGACATGCTGGAGCTCGCCAAACTCCGGAAATGGCCCGTCATGCGCTTCGGCACAGAAAAGGTCTTGAACCCAATGACGAACGAAGTACTCCTGGGCAAGGGCGGAAAACGAACAGCCACACAATGCAAGCAACTCCTCGACCCTACCAAAGGCGGTCTGACGCTGCACGTCTACATCCCCTCCAGAGGACGCGACCTCAGCCTCGAGGCCGAATTGACCAAGATCTACGACGACTGGCGCGGCGACCGCAACACATCTCGCGACAACCAGGCTTTCATCACGGTCTTTGAAATGTTCTCCATGCCGCACCTCATGACCTTCATCTACACGACGAGCAAAGACGGCGCGGGCGCAGGCGCGATCAACGGCTTCGCCGCCCTCCGCAAAATGGGCTCGTCGGCGGCTGGGAAATACCACATCGACCCCTTCATCCAAGCAGCTTCCGCCCCCAGGGGGACATCGGACCTCCTCATCTTCGCGTCGCTGGCGTACCTCAACGCCCTCGGCTCCACGTATCTCGGCCTGGGCCACGAACCCGTCAGCGAGCCAGACGCCATGTGGAACATGAACTCGCTCATTGTCAAGTCCACGAGAAAGGTCTACCGCCATATCTTCGGGCGTCTGCCCGTGGGCGGCAAAGAGACGTTCAATTCGCGCTGGAAGCCCGACAGCGAGCAAGAGGCCGGCTTGTATCTCATCTTCATCGGCAAGAAGACACCCAGCCCGAAACATTTGCTTGCAATGACGCATTTCGCCAACATAAGTCTGCGCAACGTCCTCAAGGCAGACTGGAAGGATTTCAAACAGGAGCTGCGTGTGCCTGTTGCCAATCCGGGACTGATGCTTTATGCCGGTGCTGCGCCGTCGGTGCAGGCCCCCGGCGCGGATCGTGATCGTGATCCTGAACGTGTGAAGGTGGACCGTAGCGTCAGTGCACCAGCTACCACCACGCTATAATTTCTCGGATCTGAGTACTCTATACTGGATGGGATTTTTTTTAGCTCGTATGTGGTGCACTGTGGTGTTGGGAATGCGCATTTGTCAGCGTACAGGACGACTTCGGTCCAAAAAAGCCCCTGGCCTCGGGCGTTGGTAGTTCGTAATGATACTCCGTAATTGTCTCCACCGATTATTCCTGCTACTCAGTATTGTGTCCTCTGCTCTATTCAGTGAAACGTTGAGCGCAAATTGACGGACAAATCTCCCAACATTAGTAATCCTCAGCCGCCACCAACGTCCAAAGCCTTGCTTACGTGTTTGTTGCAGTGGCCCAAACAGTGCGAAAGCGGAGAATCTATACCTATCGAGCTTATACGGGCAACACGGGAAATTCTACTTGGGCCTCCCCTTATTTCGCATTCAGGCCCCTGTCATTGACATCGTCCAGACGGATATTAGACATATATCCGATTCGTGGAAACCTGGACGAGGGTTGTAGGATGCATCTCCAGGTACTTGGGGAAAGTTGGGCCTGACTGCGCATTAGGACCGGAGGCGAAGGTATAAATGGACCTTTGCCCGTGGCACCCAAACAACACTCTCCATCTTTCAAGACGTTCTGAATTGAAAAAACTTCCACTAAGCAATGTCCTCATATCTCATCACAGGCGCCGGCCGCGGCCTCGGCCTCGAACTCGTCACTCAACTTGTTCAAGCACCGGCCAGTCAAGTGTCCGTGGTCTTCGCAGCTTCTAGACGCGAACCGTCCTCTCCGCTTCAGAAACTCATCGACAGCTCGTCAGGCCGCGTCGTGCACGTTCCCATGGTCATCACCGAGCGCGCCAGCCTCGACAAAGCGGCAGCCGAAGTCGAGGCCAAGCTCGGCGACAAAGGCCTTGATGTCCTGATCAACAACGCAGGCGTCATGCCTCCCACTTTCGAAGGCATAGCAAAGATGGACAACCTGCGCTACGCCTTGGAAGTCAACGTCGAAGCCGTGCATGAGACGATTGCTGCTTTCTTGCCATTGTTGAAGAAAGGCACATTGAAGAAAGTGGTTAACATGTACGTTGCCATCCCAAGCTTTTGAAACCCCCCCCCCCCCAAGCTGGCAAATTCGAGGCGAGGCGGGGCAGACCAGATAAGTCGAGCTGCTGACGCGAAGCGAAATCTACAGAACAACGACTCTCGGGTCCATCACCCAAGCGCCGAAATATATATGGGCCCCGTTCCCTGCGTACAAGATCTCCAAAGCGGCAATGAATATGCTCACCGTTCAGTACGCTCTAGAGTATGCCAAGGAAGGGTTCACGATCTTTGGCATTTCCCCTGGTGTAAGTCTTCGCCCACTCGGTGTAGCCCTCGACCGCGCGCAGAGGCAATTTCGGGAATAAGTAGCTGACGTGTTCGTGGCATGCAGTGGCTCAAGACCGATATGGGCAGCCAACAGGCCGACCTGGAGGTGGATGTCGGAACGAAAGCGGTGCTCGACATCATCTTCCAGAGCAATCCGGAGAAGTACAATGGCACGTTTCAGAACGTTCTTGTCCCTGGGTGGGAGAACAAAGAAGGTCCAAATCAATATGACGGCAAGGTCGTACCGTGGTAGGCGCGGACCGACCAGTGAGAAGATACTCGGCCTGCCGATGCATGGCAGCCCAATATGTATGCTTCGGATGACGCAACGAAGAGTGACTGGACTTGACCGGACTCTGTCGTTTATAAAGACGCAGACCATGGGTGACAGGAAGAAGAGACGGGCAGGGCCTTGGATCTTAGCATGGCGCACCTCAACCTGGTGCCTGGCCAATCGAAGATTCTGCCCTGCAAGGCATTCGTGTCCCTTTCAGTCGCGTCTGCTCAAGTATCGTGCCAGGGCTCCAGGGTCTCATTCCAAGTCCGAAATCACATTGCACAGGCTCCTGGCTTTCCCATCTACGTGGTGGGTGAGAGTTCAGCCACTTCGAACCGCGCTTTGTCCCCGCGGCTCCAGCCCTCGTTATCGTCTTGAGTGGCAGCGATAGGCTCCACATGTTCCGATACTTCTGCCCAGAAAGCTTGTCCAGCTTGGTCACAATCTTGCTCGAACCATAGGAACTTTGAACACACGTTCTTGGCACTATCCCACGACTGCCATGTCCGTTCTCTGCAAATGCTGGCCGAAGCCTGGACGAACCATAGTCTCAAAGCTGTTTCCTCTGCGAGGATGCCGCCCAGTACCATCCCCCATAGTGACAGCTCAGGATACTGCTGCCACAGCCGAAAGATGAAGCAGCTGTCCAGCGCAGATTTGATACGTTGTGATAGAGTATAATGCAGCCCTGAGACCCCAGGCAAAGGGAATAAGACGAGCAGCATATAACTTAACGTACTTAGCCGACACATGTCATACAAGCAAGGGTCCGGATGGAGAGGATCATCGAAAGATTTGTCCGGTAAGCTAAGCAAATCATGCAACAAAGTGTTCCTTCCCCACACGATATGGATGTGTCGAGGGGCGGAGGGACTCTGCTCCAGGTAAAGGTCATACCCTATCGAGACATCACGGATCGCGTGAATGATTTGCATAAGAGGGTCGACTTGTATAGACTCCGGCAGTGCCCCGAAACCGGTAGCCAAGTCTTGCAATAATGGCCGTAGGGCTTTTGTGTCTGGGTAGGGCCAAATTGCCATCATCCGCGCTGTGGAGATACGCAACGGATAGGCTGGGGCACGGAGGTTTTTGAAGGCATCAATAACGTCGGCCCTGCAATGGATTAGTCCGGATGGCTGTGTTGTCAAGGTGAGAAAACCTACAAGGCGATGACATTAGACAGAAACTCCTGTTTTATCGTATGGAACCCTCCTCTCTGCTCAACCAGGATTCGCACCGCGTTTAAGTGTGCCGTTTCCCAATCCATGTGTCCGTAGTAATGAAAATTCTGGGCGGTGAGAAGAGACGAATCAGCCGTTCGATAAGGGCGAGGCAGGAGGGTTTCTCCCGACCCATGTGCGCCCAGAGTGACCATGCAAAGCAAAAGTTCATCTGGAATATCCGACTGCAGGCGGGAGATTTCCTGATTCAACGCCTTGATCGCATGCATTTTGTAGGTCAGACGAAGGATCTGGTTCTCTCGGGTTACTTGCATTCCTGTGTGGGCGAAGGCGTTATGGGTGGCGCCGGCGTAGACAATGGTGTAAAAAGCTGCAGGTGAACGCATCGCGCTCTCAAGAATGGTATGCTTGATATCGCTGATTGCCGTGGCAGCGATCGAGCAGGAAAAGACAGGCCATTGGTAGGAGACTGCATGGGCTAGCATTTCCTGCACATAATGAGGAACATCTCGACGCATGAGGACATTGAAGGGGTCCATTTGGCCAACCCCCACGTCGAGCGGTGATGGACAGACCGAATTCGAAGAAGCTTCAGTCCTAATTCGGAAAGCGTTCATGCCTGACAGTCTCTGGTGCTTTCCCTTGTCGAAGCAGTCATTTTGCGCATTCCCTTGAGGTCCCTGCCGGGCTGACTTGCGAAGCGCTTCCTGTGGGCCAGGTGGAGGTCTGCTACCTGCATATGCCTTGGCGAGGCGTTCTAGCTTGGCTTTCCTATGGTACTCGCGGGCAGCATGCTTCTGTAACGAAATCTCCGAGTCATCTGGGACTTGTTTGGACGAACGTGGCGGTCGATACGGTACGAAGAGGACTCTCGTCCCCACTCCTGATGTCGTCTCACCTGGATAAACCATGGTTATTTTGAGATGTTAAGAAGATGCTCAATGGAGACTTTGGGATTCTCTGTAAAAGATGAACCGAAGAGGTGGGAGAGCGATTGAGGAATGAAAATCTCTGTGGGGAAGATCCCGAATTCGAAGTGGGCGCCGCAGCCGATTCGTGGCTACCTACCAAGCAACACACGGTACGCATATCTTCAGCTATCTTCGAATACGGGTGCTCGAGGGAGCGAGGGAGGGGTTCTAACCAACTGAGATTGAAGAGCCCAGTGGGAAACCCCACCTCTGGACGTGTTTTTAACGGGCACGCGGGCAGGGGGTCTCACCCAGAGCTAGAACTCCCCGGGTAGTCCTAAGCGGGGCATCCGAGGTACCATGGTACAGAGTCAACCACAGAATCGGAAATTGCCTACCATTATACCTTAGGCCAGTGCTTACCTGGCACCCTTAAAATACCTTATTGTTCATCTGTCGGAAATGTGGTGTGGACATTGGAATAACTCCTCCTACGCTCCCACCGCTTCCCACCGCTTCCCACCGCTTCCCACCGCTTCCCACCGCTCCCTATTCTATCGATTGACACACCAAAGGTTGAGGCCGCTCAGTCCCTGGTTTTCATCCTTAACATCATCAGGAATGGTGGCGCCGACTCTTTCTGCCAACGAGCATGCGGTTCCAGACTGTCCCATGTGCGGCCTCCATAGCCTTGGGTTGTTTAGTCGTCCGCTCGCCAAGACTGAAGCGCGTAGGTCATATCATTTCTTTTGTCGCGCTTGATGGTGCAAGACTCAGCCACCGAAGAGTGCATTGCGGATTCGAGAATGAGAAAAATCAAATTCGACTGTATCACAGTACCGTGGTAAGCCTCGCACGTGGGTGGGTGCAACATCGGATTCCTTCAAGGCGATTGCCATGAAATTTCTCGAACAACTCGCACGTGGGTGGTTCAAGGCTTCCTATAGGCACCCCGGATCATGTCGCCAAGGGGCGGTCACTCTTGGCCGCAATGAAGTGCCATCAGTGCGTTCCGCCATCAGCCAAGACGTTGCGCTCTCCTATCCTCCACCACAACTCGTCTGACAGGGCGCAATTCTAACCTGCACCTAGCGAAAGCTTTGCCTTTTGCCGAGTCTGACCCCCGTTAGCTCAGCCGGATTAAGCTCTGACCAAGCTATCGTCTTCGTCTGACAAGAAAGGCCAAGCCCATAAGGCGCCTGGGCATCGGCGGGTGTTCCTCTCGCTATCACTTGGCGGAAAACTTACCACTGCTTTAGGGCCCAGACAGATCTTAGCGGGCCCCTCTGGATCTGGATGTCCGACTTTTACATCACTCATCTATACGGCTGGAAGTCGGGTTGGAGCGCACGGGGGCGCAGTTTCGCAGAATGCCGCAACGAGACGGAGGATAGAGGCTTCCTGGACTCGCACATAAAAGGCCAGAGACACCTCCGCTGGGCCTGTAGGGTTTCTTCTTTACCACCAGACTTCCACCAAATCTCATTGAACAATACACACCCGAAGCCAATAAGATGGCTCTCGATCAGTACACCTACGTGTTCGTTATCGGCACCTTCTTCGCATTGCTCGACGCGTGAGTCCCCCTTCCAGCCCAACGTGTGATCAGCGTGTCCAGAAAGAGCCACAACCAGAGCAACAACAGTCTCCTGTATTCGGAAGAAGTCGATAGAATCCTACGCGAATTGGGCATAGAGACATGCGCAAAAGATGGCAAAAACTGGACATTTGACTCACCTCTAAATTTGGTCGTTGGTCCCGAACTGTGCTAATACCGTCTTGGAATGCAGATACAACAACGGTGCCAATGATGTCGCCAATGCTTGGGCCACGAGTGTGTAAGTCCTTCTCTCCTCCAACGGCGATGCCAATACGCCCTGAGCACTGGGGTTCCGTTCGTCGTCCTTGGGTAGCCCTCTAACGGCCTGCAGGTCGTCGAGGTCTATCTCGTACCGGCAAGCCATGATCTGTGGTTTTGTCTTCGAGATGCTTGGAGCCATAACCGTGGGCGCTCGCACAGCCGACACCATCAAGAATAAGATCATCCCAACTGTGAGTCGTCTCCTCCTCGAAAAGAAGCCTTAATACACTTTGTCTTATTTCGATCCTCCTTCACTGATACACATGCTGACCATATGCAGACCGCCTTTCAAGACAATGCTGGTGTACAAATGCTTGCTTTCACCTGTGCACTTACCGCAGCCTCAACTTGGGTCATGTGGTGTACACGACATTCAGCCCACGTCTCTTCCACCTACTCACTCATCTCTGCCGTCGCCGGTGTCGGCGTGGCGACCGTGGGTGCTTCCAAGGTAGAATGGGGTTGGAACGGCGGCAAGGGCCTTGGCGCGATGTAAGTCTTCTTCTCAGTTCTGTCTTTCGCATCGTCTGGTCAGATCAATATACGATTCATTGAGACGGATACCTTGATTCTACCGTGCTAACTTTTCGGCTGCACAGTTTTGCTGGACTGGGCATGGCTCCAGCTATCTCTGCAGGGTTTGCGGCGAGCATCTTCATGCTTATCAAGGTCATTGTTCATATCCGCAAAAACCCCGTCCCCTGGGCCGTGTATACGTCGCCGTTTTTCTTCCTCATTGCAGGTACTATCTGCACACTCTCCATCGTCTACAAGGGTTCTCCCAACTTGGGTCTCAACAAAAAGCCAAGTTGGTACGTGGCTTCGGTCACCATGGGCACTGGGGGCGGCCTCTGTCTCCTTGCCATAATCTTCTTCGTTCCAGTGAGTTTTTCCGCGCGACCTTTGGCCATCTGGTCCGCAACAGGAGCGATAACTGACAATCTGCAGTGGCTCCGCGCGAAAATCATGAAGAAGGATTACACCGTCACTTGGTGGATGGTAATCTATGGACCTCTACTCTGGAACCGCCCAGCTCCCCCGGACGCCGAACAGGCAAAGGTACCCAACTACGCCGTTGTTCAGAAAGACCCTGAGCTCGACAGCGATGCCTCACAAAAGTCCGTCAGCGAATATGATGCAGGTGAAGGCGTCGCCATGGGCAACGAGAAGAACCTTGTCATAACCGAAGCCCACCAGGTTCCCTACAAGGAGCTCATGGCTCAGGGGCAAGCACGATTCCATGCCAAACTCCGCCGCAAGAGAGGACCTCTGGGCTGGGCTATGCGCACATTGCATGATAACCCCATGGGCGCAGGCGAGGTGAGCCAAGCGACATCATAACGGACGACTCAGATGCTGACAACGATGATACCAGATCTATGAATTCCGCAATATGAAGCTGCTTGCGAAACGTCTTCCTGCCATGGTCGTTGTTGGCCTTCTTTACGGTGTCAACTACGACATCCACGCTGCACAGACTGGTATCGAAGGTACGCCAGAAGGAGAGCGCATGAAAAGGGTGTATGCCGCTGCCAAAAAATACCCCAATGAGACCGAGCACACGTACTCTTTCATCCAAGTTCTCACCGCCTGTACTGCGTCATTCGCCCACGGCGCCAACGATGTCGGCAATTCGGTTGGCCCTTGGGCTGTCATCTACTCGGCATGGAGCACCGGTGATGCCGCAGCCTCCAAGGCTCCGGTGCCCGTTTGGCAGCTCGCTGTTCTCTCTGCAACGATATCCCTCGGTCTCGTCACATATGGATATAACATCATGAAAGGTCAGTCGTGACGATTCACTGCTTGGGCAGCGAGATTTTGGACTGACTCGTGCACCAGTCATGGGTAACAAGATTACCTACCATTCGCCCAGCAGAGGGTGCTCTATGGAGATGGGCGCCGCCATCACGGTGCTTCTCTTCTCACAGTACTCTCTTCCCGTGTCTACGAGCATGTGCATCACCGGCGCAACTGTAGGTGTCGGACTCTGCAACGGCACGCTGAAAGCCGTCAACTTCCAACGAGTACGAGAAGAAGCCCCCCTGTATATCTGATTTTCCAGTGCTCTAACGTCCTTCTAGGTCGGTCTCCTCCTACTGGCTTGGCTTCTTACCATCCCGATCGCCGGTACTCTCGGTGGAGTCCTCATGGGCTTGTTCCTCAACGCTCCTCACTTCCTTGGTTAGACGCAGCCAATCCTCAATTAATCGGTAGAACGTACTGTTTTTCGTCTCGCTCTTTTTGCTGGCGAGAAATCGAAAGGAACGACGCGATCATTTCACATCTTGGGCACTTGAGGGTCTCGCAGAATCGAAACGGTTGCCATGCCACGCGGGCAAGTCTGCCGCGAGCTTCAGGTGGATACTGTATTTGCAAACATCTTGTTGATCGGTGCCCTCTACATCAACTGCGTCAAATTATCATACTTCTATCATGCTCTTACCAGAACAATGTCCTAAGATTTATTTTGTTGTCGGCTTTACCATGACCGGCACCGTCCCGAACGACTTCACCGGCATCGTGTCCATGGCTTTCCATATACGCATGAAACTATCGATCTGCCTCTTCATGGCGTCCACATCGACCAACTGTCTCTCGTCAAAGTCCTCCGGCCACTCGGCAAGAAGGTACAATGGTGTCGTGATGAGCGCCATGTTCGGGATCTGCACATCGGTGAGCGGTTCTCCTTCACCCGACTGTACGCCCTTTGGAATTGGGTCGTTGATGCGCACGAAGCCCGGATACGCCCCGTTCCAGAATTGCTCCGTCATATTCACAAGCTCCGGGGTGTTGGCGTAGAGCAATTCCTCCGTCTGATTGCCCGCAGAGTAATATTTCCCACTCCCTAGGTCCTCAACCCAGTCCACTGCGCCGAGGTGCTCGACGCAGACGCTCACCACGGCTTTCATCTGACCCGCGCCGCCTTTCCAGTACTGCGGATTATCGTCCAACCAACGTGTCGTGGCTCGTCCTTTCGTACTGAATGCCGGTTGGTGCATGTGGCCAGTCACGAAGACCAAGACTGTCGTCCTTTCAGGCGGGTTGGCCACGAGGTCCTTTGCTTTGGCCAGCAGGGCGATGTGGCCGTTCTCCTCGACCGCGTTGACGCCGTCGGTGTGCGTGTTGATGATGATGGATTCGTTTTTGAACTTTGTGCCCTCGACAACGACCCATATCGTCCGGGTGGGCGTTTTGGGAACGAGGTCACCGCTGAGCGTGAGCAGTGCCTTTTTCTTCGCCTTCGTTGCTGCAAGGACCGTGTTCGCCGCGTCACCAGCGACGAAAACCGTGGGCACGCCCTGGTACAGTCGTTTGAAAGGGACGTACTGGCCTCGAGCATTTCCCGGCGTGATGTGCTGCCAGACGTATATTACACCCTTTACCCCGGCCTTGGCCGCCGCCGTGAGATTGGCGATCTTGGCATCAGCTGTCGCTGTTGGGAGGCCTGTCTCGACATACCACGGTGGTTGTCCCGGCCACAGGGCCAGCGCCGAACTCCAATTCGTCGGACTGTTGGTGACATTGAGCACGGCAATGTTGCCAGTAGCTTGAGTCCAATTCGGCTCTAGGGTCGGGCCAATGAGATCGACTAGGGTCCCTGATACACCTGTGTCGTTTGTCTTGCCGGAATAGGGAGCGTAAGATGAGATTTCGACCTCTTGACCTCCCACTTTCAGGATGGGTGGAGTCAATGGCTGGTCCATGTAGGTGAAGTTGAGTGTGTCAGTGTGGACTGTCAATCCGAGCAATTCGAGCTCAGACTGGAGGTGGTCGATCAGCTTGTTGTGGTTGGGACTTCCTGTCACACGACTCTTCAAGTCCGCCAGGAAGGCAACTTCGGCCTCATACAAGGCCGCATCACTGGTGTTCGCGGCAATGCTGAGGACGGGCAGAAGCGTACACACAGCTGCCGCGAGGAGTGATCTGAACTTGTCAAAGAACATCTTGTGCCACCCACCTTCAATTCATCGGCGTTGTAACTGTCGGGCGGGCTGCCGCGACATATTGGGATGTCGCCCTGTATTTATCCATGCAAGCGACGAGCTCCAGTCTCCGCATCGCACCATCACAAAGAACTTACGATACCCCGCATCGGGATGTTACATACTGCTTGTAGATGAGATCTGACAGGCCTCTCAAGCTTGCTACTAATTACCTGGGCCGCGGTGACCTCGGTAGGGAAATGCAGACGTAACAGGAAATAGAGATGCCGATCTTATATTGCGCAACAGAGTTAATAAGCATAACACGGTGATAGCAAATATCATAGTACAAAAGTCAACGAATAAATATGCTTCCTCCGTTGTTACCACATAGATCTGCTCGTAAGGCTGTCAACTCCTGCCACATGCGGTCGGTAGAGGTGAAAGAGAGTGCCGAGGTTAAGGAGCGACAGCCTTGTCACGTGCCACATGAGCCTTGCGCAGCCTTGTCTTGGCATCGAGATGGCGGCTACGGCTCAATCACGGCTAAATGTTAGCGAGTCACGTACTATGCGCACCCTACGAACCGCCCAGCATGTCCATTAATCTCTGAACGTAAATAGCGATACAACTCTCTTGGTCCAAGTCACGGGTATTTCCGCACCTCATGACGCTAGGCAATCCCGACCTGCCCTCCAAACTCGCCGCACCCACCAAGAAATCCGTGTTCGAACGACAAAAGGCCGAAGCTGAAGCCAAAAAGGCGCGGGAAAAGGCAGAGACTGCAGCTGTCCTTGAGGACTTTGTCAAGAGCTTCGACGATGACGACGGATATCGTAATACGTTCCCGTCAAGACGAGGTGGTTTAGGAGGAGGAAGTGCTCCGGCCAATAACTTCGGTGCTGGACCTGGAAAGAGACATTTCACGAGTTCGGGATTGAAGAGTGGTCCTGGCAGCCTGGGGCCTTCTCCATCTCTGTCCAAGAGTGGGCCGGGCAGTTTAGGACCGACTCCGAGTTTTGGCAAGAAAAGACACCATGATGACTACGCTGGAGGTCGGGATGGCGACCAGGACCGGGCACGAGACAGAGACCGCAGGGATAGGATCTTCTCGTACGATGACCGAGCCAGAGACCACAGAAAAGACGGCACTTTTGCTGCTGAAGACGATGAAGGCAAGGATGCTGATGAAATCAAGGCCGCGGCAAAACCCACGTTACATCTCTCGTCTATCCCACCGGGCACGTCTGTTGCGGTTATCAAGGGTTTGTTCGCTGCGTCTCCACTGACCGTGGACAATGTGCGTGTCCTTCCAGCACCGGCAGCATCGACGAGCGGCAGAAAATCCATTTCAGCAATCGTCACACTTGCCGCAGAAACACCAGCCACGGACATCGACACTGTCGTATCCCATCTCCAAAACCAATACCTGGGATTCGGTTTCAATCTGTCAATCTCACGCCACCTTTCTTCCGCTGCACTAGCAGCTTCCAATCCTCTCAACGCAACTTCTGCAAACCTGAACAACCTGCCCTTCGGTGCCAAGCCAATTCCGCAACATACATCTCTATCCCGAGCTCCTCCACCAGGCCAAGGACCAGGCCGCTTCGCTCCTCCGGCATCCTATACCTCGTCCACTCCTTACGGCCCCAGGTCAAACCTCCCACTCACCCAAGTAACGGTCCAAACACCGAACGACCTCAAACAACTCCGCCTCATCCACAAAACTCTTGAAGCCCTGCTAATTTACGGCCCGGAGTTTGAAGCCCTCCTCATGTCTCGGCCCGAAATCCAGCGTGACGAACAATGGTCCTGGCTCTGGGACTCCCGGTCGACAGGCGGCGTCTACTACCGCTGGCGTCTGTGGGAAATTCTCACGAATGCCAAATCCCGGAGACGGCGCCAGCCTTCAAGCTACGCCATCCGTCCGCAAGGCGACACCCTCTTTGAAGGACAAAGCACATGGATCCCTCCCGAAGAGAACCTCAAATTTGAATATACCACCAAACTCGAAGACTTTGTCAGCGACGAAGACTACAACTCGTCAGATGAGGAGGACGCCAATGAAGGCGGCGGTCTCGCACGACGATACCAGGACCACCAAAAGCTCGGTGGAAACGCACCGGATGTGACAGCGGATACAGACGGGGCAGGATACCTCAACCCACTTGCGAAGACCAAGCTCGTTCACTTGCTCAGTCGTCTACCCAGGTCGAACGCCACTCTCCGGAGAGGCGACGTCGCACGCGTGACTGGGTTTGCGATTGAGCATGCAGGTGCCGGCGCCGAGGAAGTTGCAGCACTTGTCACGCGGAATGTGATTAAACCATTCTGCTATAATGTCAAGAGACAAGACGGCCCAGCCAACTCCGCCTACGACGAAGACGGCCCTCATTCCGAACGTGATGCCGATGACCTCAAAGCTGCAGGAACAGGCACGCCTGCAGACCGTGAGGCCGAAAACGAGGAGCCGAGAGCCGGCGACGGATCATCCTTGAAAGACACCTCCCCGGCCTCTCTGTTGGGCTTGTACATCATTTCCGACATCCTCTCGTCGTCCGCGTCCGCCGGTGTCCGACACGCCTGGCGCTATCGGTCTCTCTTCGAGACAAAGCTACGCCTCCAGAACGTCTTCCCCATTCTAGGCCGTGTCCCGCGCGATCTGAACTGGGGCAAACTCAAGGCCGAGAAGTGGCGACGCAGTGTTCAGAATATTCTGGGCCTGTGGGAAGGCTGGTGCGTGTTTCCCGGGCCCGTTCACGAGGCCTTCGTCGAAGGGTTCTTGAACCCGCCACTCACTCCGAAAGAAATAGCCGAGAAAGAGGAGATGGAGAGAGCCGCCGAGAAAGAGCAGAGGGATCGCGAGAAGGTCAGTCGGTGGAGGAGTGTCGATCAACATGAGCCACCACCCAACAACAAGGATAGAGATCTAGACCTCGATGGCAGGCCACCAAGCAAGGCCGGTCGGGACCGAGATGCAGATGGCGATGTCGATATGGATGGACGGCCTATGGATGATGAGGATGATGACGAAGACGAAGCCGATCAGATCCTGCTCGATGACAATCTCGACGGCGTGCCGATGGTGGACAGCAGTGACGAAGAGGGCGACCAGGATGAACAGACAACGGGACAGGAACCTGCCGGTCATGAGCATGAACCGGAACCTGTGCCACACCCACGCCCGTCCGTAAAAGACGAAGACTACTCTGAAGCAACTACGGACACACCTGCTGCGCCGCTCAACACTCGGCATGATCCCGAGGCCCAATCTTCTCAAGCTCGCAGAGTCCGCCCCAGGGCTGCCGACTTTGATGATATGTTTGAATGAAAGTCGAGCTCCTCCTTCGGGTCTTGAAGCCACATAGCGGTCAAGTCGACAAATGGTCGTCATCACCGTCCCGGCATGACGAATATGAAACCCAAGGTTCTTCAGAGACTTACTGCCAGTAATTTCAGAGAGCTTATGTATCGAATAATGAGGAACGCCTTAGGATACTCTGGTCCAGGGATCTTTCACCCAACATATAGCGCCCAACTTGAAGCTGCCTGAAGTGTCTCAGTGTTTTGTTTGATCAAATTAATCATATGAGCAGTCCAAGAAGAAGTTCTCATTCTTGAATCAACATTGAGTGAATGGAACCAAGTATTTTTGTCTTCCTTTCATACCGTACCCGGAATTTATTGTTTTCTTATCTAGACCTACATGTTGACCTGTATTGGATGACCCTGTACGATGCGGCTCATAGCTTTTGCAGGGGAAGATATCCCCTGGCCTACACCTCCTGCGCACTAGCCTGACCTGGCTCGCCTTCGGGCAATCTGGTGGCACGAGGATCCTCTGGCTCATTGGAAGGCACCTTCTCCAACGGCGGTCCGTCTTCCTTTGAGCTTGCAGTAGTCTGCTTGCTAACAGGAATCGCATCAGTGGCTGGGTCAGGAATTTCCCTTTCCAATTCTGGGCCGTCTGCTTGACCACTGCTTGCTGTCGTCTCTTGGGACAGGCCGACGTTCTCATCTGAAACTTGGTGGCTCAAGGGGTTGGACTTTTCCTCGCTCGGTGATTCAAGCGTGGGTTCTGCCAGATCTCCTGCGGTGTTTACGGCCAGTCTTGTTGCGTGCGGAACCGGTTCATCCTTGACTTGAGAAGGATGCGAGGAGTCTACTTGGTCATTCGTGTCGATGGTTGGTGGCAGAGGCGCATCTGCTGGCGTGGAGTTGTCGATCTGCTCTGCTTTGGTATCCGAAGGTCCGACCGCAGCAGGGAGGCCCTCAACGCTTGTCGACTCAGGTACTGATGTGTCATAGGAAGAAACCGTCAGGTCATCACCCTCATCAATCGCCCACAACGACCGAGGGAGAGACATTGCAAACCCCATAGGCTTGGCGGCAGCTGCAGGCGACTTGGCCGGTGCTCTCCTTTGAGGACCTCGGGCTCTACCTTTACGCGCATCCTCCAAGGGTTTCGACTCTTCAGCCGGCTCTGGCTCTTTTTCTTTCTCCTTAGGTGGTCCAAGACCCAGTTTCTGATTGAGATCATTCATAAAGTTGCCTCGCAGGTTGGCAATCTTACTGCCTACGCCAGCAGGTCTAGCTGGGACCTGAGGCTTTGCTTTGACCACAGGAGGTGAGACCTTCTCTTGTTCTGTGGGAGCTCCAGTATCTGGTTTCTTGGCTGGTCGAGTTGGAATTTGAGGCTTCGGTCGGTCGGGTATGCTGGGGACCTTCTTCAGTTCGGTCGGTGATGTGCTTGCCTGCTTCTCAGGGCCTCCTTTCTGAGGCCGAGGAGGTATACTTGGTGCCACTTGTGCTTGTGCAGCTCCTTCGCCTAATCTGCTCTTGCCCAGAGGTCGCGGAGCCATGAAAGGCTTGATAGGCACGTCTTCGGGACTCTCGGCCTCATGGTCGATCGGAGGAGAGCTGACAGTGGTAACGAGCTGATGACTCTCAGGACTATCCTCCCAAATGTCAGAACTTGGAAATCTTGGCGTCATACCGGGTCTCGTAGGCATATCGTCGCGGAGATGAGGGGCGAATCGAGATTTGGCAAGCCGCTCTTCTTTAGGAATGAGTTTCTTTCTCTCTTCCTCCGACGGCTCCTCTTTGCGAGCGGCTTCTTGTTCGGGGCTTTCGAACTCTTTTGTGGCAGATTGCTCGACCTGAGCGGGAAGATCTGGTGTAGACACCTCGGCAGAATAGTATAGGCTGCTGGGAGTGTCTTCCCAAATGTCCTGGCTGGGAAACCGCTGCTTCAGAGCATTTGGTCTCTGCTTGAATCGTTCTACGTGGCTCATCGGCTTTGTCTTGTCGTCATCGTCGGGGAAGAGTGGCTCATACTCTTCGACATCTTCCAACGGTGTGTGCACATGTTCGCGTTCTTCATGATGCGACACAAACCTGGACAGAGAGTGCGAAGCGCCGTGCATTCCATACACGCTGCTCGGTCTGCTCGAAGGACGCGAAGATGGAGTGGCATCGCCGCTTCGGTATGCCTCTTCGTACAGAGACTCTCGCCGCTCAGCTCGAGGAGAAACAGCTGGCTGAAGATGCTCGAAACCCGCCTCCTTCGCAACTTCATCCTCGGCCAAGATAGGGACAGTGTAACCATGTTCGTTGGCGTAATCACCCTCATCATCGGTATGGGAAACATAGGGCTTGGCTGCGACCGTTTCATTCATGGTCTCTTCACCGCCTGTAATTTTATTATACTTGCGACGAGGCTGGATTTGCACCTCTTGTTCCGCCTCACTTTCAAGTGCGTCATGATTGTCCGATCCTCGAGAGACTGATAATCTTCCACGGCGGACTTCGGCGGGGATGGATTCATCGGCAGGGAAGCTTGCTTTCCTCAACGGCGACTCGGCAACAGGCTGGGAAGTGTTCGTCACTGTCTTTGCAAGGCTGTTTGGAGTGTTGGACTGAGAGCGCGAGACATAGACTTCGGATGCCGCATAACCAATTTGTTCATCTGGAACTCCATACGTGTCTCCGGAGGTGCCTGCAGAGATTAGCGGACTACACCATTGTCATGCACGGCACGACTCACCAAGCCCAGCACCACGGCTGGCTGTTTCGCGGACGATTTTGTTCAAGTCATCGCGACTCAAGGCGAAGGAGCCACGACCACTCCCGATACTCTCGTATACACCATGACCGGAGGTTTCCTCATGCTGAGCGGCTTCCGGATGCTTTGCGTACCAGTCTTTCTCGAACTTGTCCTGCGGCGGAAGACCATGGCCGTGGAGACCGTAGCTTCCAGGAGGGAGAAAATCCAAGGCACTTCTTGTTCTACCATGGACTGAACGCCTTCTGTCACCGTTGGTGCCGGTGTGGTGAGGACTCATTCCTGGCGCGGGAGAAGGAGCCTGCACATCTCCCAACAAAGGGTTAATGGGCACTCGGAGACCGAGTTCGGCTGGGCCGGTCTCTTCGGCTTGAAATGAAGGACGACGCTCACCGCCAGTAGTAGAACCAGGGCGGGAGAAACTTGACCGAGTTCCAACTCGGGAGATGCTCTCACCCTCCTCTTGAGCAGGTGTTGGAGGTTTGCCAAACCCATAGTGACCAGCTTGGGAAGAATCGGTCCGGGTGACCGCCTGCACCTGAGCTGCGGCACTTGATTTAGGCAGAGAAGGCTTCGGAGCATGTAGCTTCAGATCTTGAGCAATGTTTCTAGTCTGGGCAGCCGCATCCGCAGCCAGGGATGAGGATGGCGGCTGTAGACTTGTCTGCATGTTCATAATATCGGCATATTCCATCCCTTCTTGACCGACCGATGGCAGATTCTGGATACTCGGACGACGAGGGAGGGCTTCGACCTGCTCGTTGGTCTTTTGACGGGTGAGATTGCCGGACCATGGCTCATTGAGCGGGGAGCTGGGGAAGTTTGCCGGAGAGACGGAGCGCTCGAGACGTTTGTTTACGGGACGAGGAGGAATGTCCGGTAGTTTGTTGGCACCGCGAGCCCCAGCTGCTTGTTGGGCTCGAGTCGGGCGAGGAGGAATAGTAGGAGCTACCTGGGCCGACATGATGGGCAAGTCAATGCTTGACGTCGACTGCAAGGAATATTGTTAGCATCTCCAGAAGTAGCTATCCAGCATTATGAGGTTATGAGGTAAAGAAATGCCTCACCGCCCCCAGGACAACGGCGGGATAATGACGATGATGGTGATCTGCAACGATAAGGATATCGGGTGCCTTGGAGAAGCTACGTACCAGTTGGAGAAGGAGCGAGATAGATACAAAGGAAATCCAAGACGGAAACTGAAACTGCAGACAAAATATGGCCGAAGAGGTATGACTGAGATAATGTCGGTATGGGTTGTCGATGGGAGTGGAAAGAATCAAAAGGAGGAAAAGGAAAAAGGGCTTAGTGAGTCCAACTGATGTGTTTGAATTCTGGCGAGGAAGGAACTTGAATTTTGTTGGAGAACAAGGACTCACCGAAGAAGGCGTGCTTTGCAGTAATAAGTTGGACAGCAAAGACACTCACGGACAGCGCAGGAAGTGAGACGAGTGGACGAAACGATTCATGTGCAGCTTTCTTTTGGCAGCATCATCATTGCCCCTCAGCCTCTACCAACAACGAGTCAAGGGCGAGGAATTGACTGCGCTTAGGGACCGCGACCCAATTTGGGGGGCGGCTTATTGGCTGAACTGCCAGGCTTTCAGGAACCACAGGAACCACAAGAACCACAAAAACCACACCTGCGCCGCGTTTCCACTCATGTGACGTGATAATTGTCTTTTGTTGCTTGTGCTTGTGCTCGATCTACTTCTACCAACTGTCTCACTCGCGATCGACTGCGCCATTTAATCGGGAAGTTGAACACCATTACCATGGTAAAGGTACTGTGCCTTGTGTGGTAAATCACATTGCGCAATCGAGTCCCCCGCAATTCCTCGATATCTAGATCAAGCTACTACGGTCTCATGGGTAAATCGTGTAATGAAACTCGCTTAACCGAGGTGCAAAACAGCTGCCGCTTGAATCGTCGAAGCAGCAGTTGGCATCGCATTGAACAGGAGGCCCGCCTGCCACACAAATTGTCCTCGCTGCTGTTGGTCGTCGAATGACACCCTAGCGCCATATTACACGATTTACCCATGAGACCATAGTACTCGTATCAGGCTTGCTCGCTGGGTACTTTCCGAACGAAAACTTGTCCCCTCACGTGGCCCCTGGGTGGCCATGTCGCCTGTCATTTGCGTCCTCATGACACTGTCTTTGTCCTCTTCGGTCACGATTGAAATGTAATAGAATAATGAAAACAATAATAACCCGCTGCCGAGCGACCGCTCCAGCACGTCCTACCACCCGGTGACCATCAAACTTATCTTCTAGCCCTCAGTCAACACGGGGGACCTTTCTCGATCCTAGCTTGTCCCCCGCATTCTCGTAGCTGAAGCGTGGAGAAGGCGTCCTTGGGACTTCCAGTCTAGACCGTGACTTGTATTATCCACATCCACTTTATCAAACCGAGGGTCCAGGACGGCAGAGAGATGTCTTCTACCTTCTAATTCCTCTATCAACAGTGCCAGAAGCTCACGTCTTACAATCTATGTACGGACTCGTTGTCTTTCCCATATCTTGAAACGCAGACAGTTCTAGGATCCCGTGCTCCAGCTTTTCATCCCATTATGTGCATAGCTTCAACCAAATGCATCCCGGCCTCATCCCGAACTCACTGATTTCGATTCAACACTCGGGTGTTACCGTCCTTGACTGGATTTGCAGTGGTGGCACTGCCGTTCAGTCCATCTTTGCCGCTGGTCTCCATCCGTCCACCTAGTTCCGTCTTTCCGCCTGTCATTCGTCGTCCCACAACCACGTTAGGGGCTGTCTGCTTGCCGAACAATTGTGCTCCTTCCACCAGTCTTCGTTCCGTGTTCTGTCGTCCGTTGACAAAGTCGGGAGAGTTGAGTGTCAGCTCCACAGCACCGTTGACGATGTTGTCGACCGCTTCCACTCCGAGCATGAAGGAATGGTCCTGGTTACCAACTTCGTATCGCCATGAGCCAAATCGTCCTCGACTCCAGATCCCTTTCTCTTGAAGAGCGGGAAGCAGCTGCTTAAGGACTCCTTCACGTTCCAGGGTCGGGGTAGGGTACCCGTGATCAAAGCGTCGAACATATGTCGAGACAATCTCGTCGTCTGGCTTGAGCATCTCAGTATTGACCAACCCTTGAATACACTCTTTCAGTAGGGTCTCCTGGTTGACAGGTTTCATACTGGACTCGGACACTTCCAGCATGATTGACCAGTAGGGGCCTTCCTTTGCTTGCATGCTCTGTCGGCGAGAACCGTTGGCGAGTTGTAGCGTGGGCAGCTTGGCGTCCTTTTGCGGTTGGTTGTAGGGGGAATAGTTCGAAAAGATGGTGGCTCGATAGAACGGACAGTTGTCCTCGGGGAAGTACAGCCAACACTTGTCGCCTATCCGCTCCGGACGACTGCCACGAACACCCACTCCGATAACATGAGTGCTGCTGTAGAACAAGCCCTTGGACAAGTCCACCAGCTTCTGGTCTTCCATTGCGTCCGCCAGGGCATCCACGGCCATGGTGCTGACCAGTCTCTGGTAGTGTATGGTCGTCCCATCCTCCATCAGTACCTGTTTCTTGTCCGCGTTGACCTTCTTAACGGTGCCTTTCTTGCCAAAGCGCTTCTTCTCTTTCGGGATAGTATTGGCTACAGCGATCCAGATACCTCCAGTCCCATCGCGGGCTGGGAATCGGAAGGTGGCATTGGGGCCCCAGTTGCCAGCGGTCTTCTGCAGGATGACGTTCTTGGTCACAGCCTTGAGGTTGGGTGCTGCGACACGTTCTCCAAGCCATTGGCATTGCATCTGCACCTAAAGTCAAAATAAGGCATCCGGTGGTATCAGCAGCCGGCTTACCTTTGTGGTTGGAACAGCCCAGACTTTGAAGTTGTATGGTCTCATGAACAGGTCGGCGACGCCAACGCCTTGATTGCGCAGAATCCACTCGTCAAAATCTTGGGGTTTTGTGTTTGCGACTCTTGCTTCCAGCGCTGCATCAATCAGACCATCCATGCATTTGACTTGGTCTTCCTTGTCCAGCATGGAAATATTATTCTGGAAAGGATATGGCACCCATCTTCCCTTGCAACGAACGTAGGATATTCTTTGATGTGTGTACCAATCGTCCTCTTTGGGCAGAGCTTCGTCGATGCAGTCGTCAAAGTATTTGTAGTGCGAGAAGATGACATGGCCGCCGACATCGTAGAGCTGACGTAGTGTTAGCTCGTATTCACTGAGAGTGGTCTTCGCAGGCAGTGCGTACAAATCCTTCTTTGGTCACATCTGTCGAAGCAAGACCGCCAGGAATTTCGTTCGAGTCCACGATCAGCCATGACGGACCATTCTGCCACTTGTTAGATGACGGCTTCTACCAGCGCACAGATGGCGTACAATCTGATTGAGTCGCTTCGCAGCACCCAAACCAGTTGGGCCTGCTCCGATAACGAGGACATCGACTGAACTACATTGACAAGGTCAGTGGCGGGGCGACGAAGGGAAGGCTCTGTGAAGCACATACATGTCCGACATGGTGAAATCTGTATTGAACGAAAGTATTGTGTTGCAGGAAACAAAAGAACAGACTATCTCAACAAGTCTGTAGAGACGACAGTATGCTTGAGAGTCTCAAATGTTGCGCAGGGGAGAGAAGCTGTTTAGTACCTCCACTCCCGGCGGACCATCTACTGGTACAAAAGTTCACTTACGGGATGAAGCGACGCAGCGGCTTGGCAGGGGATGCAGTTCAGCAATCTGGCTCCAGCAGAATGGGCATTGATGGCGACACAATATTCCGTAGCCAGCTGTTTATCCCCGCCACGAAATTATCGAGCACCAGTCTCGAGGTATCATGCAGGCTCTTGATGTGTCCTTTTGGTTGAAGCGACTACAGTATTGCCAACAGTCTCAGAAGACAACCCTATGCTATCTGGAGCTCGAACTTTTCGCCGAAGAGGGAGGTCACTGGAGGTATCCCAGGGGTTACACCATGAAGATCGTCATGACCATATGATTGTTTGCTACCGGAATCGAATCGGAAATTTACGACAAAGATCCTTGCCTCGTGCTGCTAGTGATACTCGTCCAGAGATGCGGACATCCGTGCGACAACCAAGCCTTTACCGACAAGTGCCTCTTCTCTGCGAACGGCTATCTCGAGATCGGGCTATAAGTAGTCCTCTATTACAGCCGTATGTATCAGATTTTTCGGCGCAAGTCGTTTAGCTTATCGGCGTCGCGCCAGGTGTCATCATCGGAGGACTGGCCCTGGACGCGTGTCCCTTTGGGCTTAGGGTGGAAATGATGATGCCAACAAGCCAGCAGTAAATGGAGACTTTGGGGGGGAATGGGAGGTTTAGGGGAGGCGCCCCTGTGGTAATTGGTCGATGTCGTTTAATATCCGGCTAAGTTGCCGTAACGTTGGGACACAAGCTCGAACTTACAGTTGTCTGCGCCCCAATTTTTGGCAGCAGCAACGAAACTTGAACTTGCGGTCCATTTTTCCTCATCCCCCGTTTTCGCGGCTGATACCCGGTTCCCATTCTGCACACCTGTTCTTCATTGCCATCACTCGCCGTCGCGCGTTTGCCTTTCGCCCACGGTCTTCAGATCTTTTGGCATTCATCGGTCGATTTTCATGTTTGCTTAAATTCAGTCAACGTGTTGCAGCCACGAGCCTTCGCCAGGTCTCCCAGGCCGTTCTCTTTTCAAGAGTCCCTCATCCGCTCCCCAGCTCCCCTGCCCCCTATGGCCGACGGCGAGAAAAAGGCCCGCTTGTCGGGTGAACAACCCAGACTGGCAGAGCCAGCGACGATACTTCCTACCGTCAACCCAGCTGCCGAGAAATCTGCACCTCCTCCGCCGGCTCTCCATCCTGCAGTCTACGTTGTGTAGGTCGCGGTCAACCGTCAAGTTCGAATTCAGGCTAACGAGGACGTAACAGGACCTGGATTGGGTTCAGTGGTGGTGTGATTCTCTTTAACAAATGGTTACTGGACACCTTGGGATTCAGTATGCACCGTTCACTTCCTCGCCGAGCTGACACGAGTGCTGACACAAGACCAGAATTCCCCATCTCTTTGACAGCATGGTATAGAACAAAAGTCATGTCTGGCAGTGTGCAGCGAACTCATTGGAATACAGGCACATGATATTTGCGACCCTCATGACTCAGCTCCTGGCACGAACCACCACCCTTCTCGATGGACGCAAGACGGTCAAAATGACTGGTCGAGTCTACCTACGAGCCATTCTTCCCATTGGTTTTTTCTTCAGCTTAAGTTTGATCTGCGGGAATAAAGCATATCTGTATCTCAGTGTTGCCTTTATCCAGATGTTGAAGGTGAGCCGAATGATGAGAAGAGACCGGACGACAATTGACATATGACAAAGGCGTGTATGCCCGTTGCGGTCCTCCTAGCCACCTGGATTATGCGTGTCGATACTCCAAGTCTAAAGACTCTGGGCAATGTTTCGTTCATTGTGATCGGAGTTGTCATCGCATCATACGGCGAGATCGAGTTCAACTTGACCGGCTTCATCTACCAGGCAGGGGGTATCACTTTTGAGGCCACACGGTTGGTGTTGGTCCAACGCCTGCTCAGTTCGGCTGAGTACAAGATGGATCCCTTGGTGTCTCTTTACTATTTTGCACCTGTCTGCGCCCTCATGAACGGAGTGACCGCACTGTTCTTGGAAATACCCCAGATGAGCATGAACAACATCTATGATGTTGGTATCTTCATGCTTATCGCTAACGCCATGGTCGCATTTCTGCTCAATGTCTCGGTCGTGTTCCTGGTGAGTTCTGACCTGAATCAACCCCCACACGCTTCCTGACCGTTATAATAGATCGGAAAGACCTCGTCCCTAGTCCTCACCCTTTGCGGTATCCTCAAGGACATCCTTCTGGTTGCCTGTTCCATGATGATCTGGGGCACCCCAGTCACCAAGACTCAATTCTTCGGCTACGGCATTGCCCTTGGGGGCCTCTTGTACTACAGACTCGGAGCAGAGCAGATCAAGGGTCACATCAGCCAAATGGGTCGATCATGGTCCGAATTCGGTGTGCAGCGACCTGCGATGCGAAAGGCTCTTGTGTTTGGGCTCGTTTTGATCACATTGTTTCTTTTGCTGGGTGGACTGGCTCCCACATATGCTCCATCGCAGACCAAAAACCTGAAAGACATGCTGAGCACGGGGCTTGGGACCTAAGTCGAATCAAGAGAATGTGCACCGGATGAGAGGGTGACGTTTTGTTGAACTAATTTGTGAAGGGCTGATTACTTAATGGAGCATACGACAATAGACACGACGCGGCATCTTTGAGTTTCCAGTCGAGCTCATCAACATGCACCAACATGCCACGACTTGTACAGTACGAGATGCTGGGAACATTTGGCGTCTGGAAGGGCCAGAATAGATGGAAAAAGGGTTGCTCGCGTTGATTTTGCAGAAGTGTGACGGCATGTAGTGTACATCACAGCACCATGACAGCATGCTATCGCAGTTTAGAGTACAGACATGGCATTTGCTTACTATTAGCTACCTAATGACTGGGCGAGAAAGAAATCATTGAACAAATTTCGGGATGTGTTCTGATAAAGTCATCTCTCAGTGTTCAGATGGCAGTGCACAGGGCAGGGATGGGTTTTGGCCAGGCCTTGGGGGCTCACTAGGCTGTTCGGTGGCTGACCTAGGCTTGAGCTGGCCACGGCAGGCTTGACTCGGCTGCTACTCCCCCACAAAAGTCCTAACTCGTAAGGGCTGGTCCTCGCTTGAGGTACTTGGTGGGTGCTTGGACCATTGAGGGAGTGGTGGATGTGGTGGATCAATAAAACGGACCAACTATGAGCTGGAGCTGGACCCTGCGTTTCCGTGCTTTTTTCGCCATCTTCCTCCCGCCTGTATTCGTCGATTTGTGACTTCTGGTGGATCGTGTCTACCTGCTTATGCATGCCATGCAGCTGAGCGCTTCAATTGTTTGCTCCAATCGACTTGATCCGATCGCCTCTGGAGTCTGGCGTTCCTGGCAATCCAAGCCTCCCAAATGGCCATCCCAAAGAATTCATGTGCGTTGCCGTGATGTCGCTTGCCCTCAGACCTCTGGCACCAATCTGGTCTGCCTTTGCCTGTCTACCCTCTGAACGCCTCTTCTTTGCCTTTTCGATCCCCAGAGTCGATCAGGACCGCATTCGTCTTCTCGTCAATCAGCTTCCCATGCTCAGAAATGCGACCCTGCTTCTCTACCTCTGCTTCAACTTCTCGTTTCTCTTCTTCTTCCTCTTTCCTTCACCCTCCCTCCCATTGATTTCATGCACAGCGGCCACTCGGTCTTCACCCATCCTACACTTTGACCTTCCTTCACCTCGTCTTATACTTCGGTCTGCCTCCGCGCATACCTTAGCCTTGCTACTACAGCCTCACAAGCACAAGTATTCTGTACCAACACCCTGCTCGTCGAAGATCCTTCTTGCGCACCGGTACAAACATGTCCTCTGTCCCGCTCCTTGACCAGATCCAACTCCCCACTCCTACCGACACGCCCAGGGCCATGGAACAAGATGAACCATCGCCAGTCTCCTACGCCAATCACTCAACTACCTGGACGCCAGTCGACGGCATGACCCCGATCACTACCAATCCTTCCAAGAAACGGTCGCGAGACGACACAGCTTGCGATCATGGAGCAGACGGCTCCTATTTCACCTCTATTGAAACCCCGGCGCCTATTCCCGAAGAAGAGCCCATCTACGGTGAAGGCATGGTCCTCATCAACCCGAAGACTGGCGTGTCAATCTCTGCGGAGAGCCAGACGGGGACATGGTACGAAGAAAAGGTGGAGAGGAAGCAATTGGAAGAGGAAGTCGCTACAGCAAACTTCAGACCCAAAATGCCCACAAGTCGAAAGTCTGTCCGACTCTCTCAGACCTCCATCCGGCTCCCGATCGATACATCAGTGGCTTCGGCACCCGCCAGTCCGCCAAAAACAGCCGTAGATCGACCAGAATTTGACGAGGCTACCCTGGCTTTGGGCATCGGATGGACTAAGATGGCCTCTGAAGATGAAGCCTTCCAAGCCGCTGCCAGAGGCTGGGCGAGATATCTGGAGAACCATTATACAAGGCACATTCATGGCGCGCAGATTCTGCTCAAGAGTTCCGGACTCAATGCTTATCTTGTGGGCTGTCAAGAAGGCTTCTTCCTGTTCAGCGAGGATTTACTGGAGGGAAAGCTTGTTGGCCGCACTTGGGAGACATGCTTGCAGAACTTGAGATCGCAGCCGATCGTCTTTGAGTGTGAGGAGGTCTTGCGTGCTGAGAGAACTCCTGGACCAGAAGCCTCTGCCGGCCAATTACCTCAGCGCAATCTCATGGAGAATTGGGCTGATTACAATCGACTCAACAGTCCTCAACCCATCGCCGCCACTGGTAGTGGCATGGATTTGGATTGAGGCGACACCATCTAACTCATCTACAGCGCTGTCATCCTGCTGTCGCTTTGGGCTGCAAGCTGACGCCCTGTTGAAACATGGTAACGTCGGCACACCTAGGTGCAGAAGTTGAAGGCTGGCGAGGCATGACCCCGGGTGATCCCCGAATTCACCTATTCGCCGCTGCTTTCCGCCCTTGGGCGGTACACACGCCACACGCCATGTGGCATCACCCTCTCACAAGCATGTGAAGAGGGTAGGCGCTGAGCGCGGATGGCATCGAAGCGACTTCCATAACATCCTGCCTTAAGGTGCGCGATGAAATTTTGAAGTCTCGACGGAGCAACTTTTTTACTCTATGCTGAAGACTTCATGAACACGAAAAAGCCAAATATGTAACATAATGTTAGGCCTAGTCACGGTGACACCAAGGTCTGTCTTCACGCTGGGAGTGGACGAAACTGCTTTGCAGGACGGCTGAATTTAGGAGTCTGCGTACATCGATCCGACTTCCGGCTGGCCATCTATCCAATGAAATACTCAATTTCAACCGACTCTCCTTCAACTGTACTATTCTCCAAGAGCCTGCTGTCTGAATCGACCTTCTTTGTCGCATCCTCAATCCAGATCCAAGTCTTCACATCACTACTCCCATTTCCACCAAAAGCCGAAGCACTATTGGTTACCTCACCCATTTGCTTGAATGCTTTATGCTGTTTTTGCACTGCTGCACTTTCATCCCAGCCTCCGGCACCGTCTTTGGTGTTCCATTGTTCCTTCCAAGCATCGATGTTGGTACTGGCGCTGGGTACCTTATATGTCGTCACAACAATTCTCCGGGACCTGTTTACTCCCAGCAATGCGATATCCCCATCGATATGTCTCACGATATCGACCGTCATGGATTGGCCGATGGCTTTGGCGAGGTCGACGGCTTCAGAAGTCGACAAGAATGAGATATGATCATCGGCAGTCTGCCAGCCGCCAAGAAGGTAGAACAGTTGCGCGTCGGAGGTCGAGCGGTAGAGATGGAAGGGGATGCCCGAGGCGGAACCGGCGATCTTTAGGCACTTTGTCCAGAGTTCTGAAAAGGAAGATGGTGGTGGGCTAGAGGACAGCGATGGGTGCAGTCGGACGCTGGCGAGTTCGATCAGGGGCATGATGGACGGGGGATGCACGAGTTCCTACGGCCTGGCCTGGTCAGAGGGAGGCAGGTAGGAAATTGTACTAGTATTGACTTATGCTGGTGGTCCCGAGAGTTGCGAAAGATGACGGTGGTTTACTCATGTGCGCAGCTGAACTTTATATCTCTCATGCGGGATCTTTCCTCACTTGCAAGTTGAATCTATGTCCATTTTGGCCCCCCTGTGGTACTACTTACCCTACCGTCTGAGGTTCTGATGGAGGGAGTAAGGTGAGACCATCTGGACTCTGATTCTATGCTCTAGGAATGGTCACGTTGATGGTACTCAGCGGGTGGGTATTTACGAGACGGCATGAACGAGGATGATCAGCGTTGCAGTTTCCAAGTCCAGGTCAGCGAGACCAATGTACTCAATGTACTCGTACGAGTAGCAAGGGCGGATGGTATCTCGTTACGGATGAGTGGCGTCGCTGCTGACATTATATAGAAGAAGAATGTCAATCGCGTCATCCGCTCTAAGTTCTGCGCAGTAGCAATAGTAATAGATCTACCGGTTACTGATGTGATAAGCGCCTACGAGTAGTATTACTACTAGTAGTACTTAGGGCGCTCGAATACTATCGATGTCGAGTAGCCATACAGTAGTAGCTAGTACAGAACTCCTGGAATAACGGTTACCTTGCGAAGTCCTAGATGAACCCTTCACGAAGTCTTGGACGCCCTGGGCATCATCCGCGTAAGCACTTGCCAACTTCGCTGTCATGACAAGCACCAAAACTTGTACTCAACAATATCCCACTTCTCTCCTCAGCGAGTGAATCTGGGTCTTAACTTCAGATCATGGCCTCTTTGGCTGAATGTACCGGGACTCAGCCTGTACACCCTTCGAAAAAGAGTGGTTTTGGCGTCAACGGACAATTATTCTCCGAGTCTTAGTCGCCTGCTGTCGGTTTACAGCTGAGGCTGGCCAAAGCCACGGCACGATACGATAGGCTTGAGGCCTTTTCACCCTGGTCATGGGCCAGAGAAGCTGAACTGCGCTTGGCGTCTGCGGAAGGAATGGCCATCAGCTCGCAATTCAGAATCTCGCTGTTCTTGAAATGTTGGAATTGCAGTCGGGAATTCATATCCATGCATTGAACCAAACATCGATTGTTGGAATGGCTCCTATGAACTAGTAGCGGTCAGTGTGCTATTACTACTGTACTGGTCTTATCAGGCTGTGCATTACGAAGCCAGTGCCTCAGCCTAACGGTCGCCATTACAAGACGAGCCAGACCTATGGCGACCTCCCTTCCTTTCTGACAGCAGCACCGACTGGTACGTTGACCGTCAACGACAGAACCTCACGAGTCCGACCCCAAGACGACTCGGCAACCATTCAGCCCTACTGTACCCCGTTATCGGCCGTTGGGGTTCACCCGTCTCAGAGTTGCACACTGAAGGTTTTGTTGAGCAAGAGGAGTCGCGATACTACTAGTACTGGTAGTACTAGGCAACGGAGGGCAATGGGTAGCTGCTTTTCCGCGCCGCAGGGTGACCCAGCAGCTGCCGGTGGATCACAAACCCAAGACCCTCTCAGCCAGGGTCTTGCGGACGCCCAACAAGCCGTAGGCCTCATTGATGGTATCTACAAGATTGTTGAACCACATGTTCTCGAAGCAAAGCACAAAAGAGATGAGACGAAATATCTCAAGAAATTCATCGGACTTTGGTGGGAACAGGCTTTCGAGTATGGGGCCTGTATGGTACCAGTCCTGGACGTCGACAATTTTGAAAAGCATCTAAAAGGAAAGAATGGACGACTGCAGCCTCGGGGTGATTGCACGGCCAGTTCTCCATGGGGCCGCCTTTTACATGCTTTAGCAATCGATCCCGACGACCGTATACTAACCTGGAAACCAGCAAGCGGAGCTCGTTGGGAGATGCCTATGCCCAAAGGTGAGCTTGCAATGGATGTTCGCGGGGCAGCCTTCTGCCACCTGGTTAACCTCTACAAGGTAGAGGACCCAAGTGACGAAGGTTTCCTAGTCGAAGGCAAGCGACAAGAACGTGGTCGCTGTCGTCTCTCCTTTGGATGGCTCACCTGGACGAGTGTCGATGCAGGCCATATGCTCGCGACTTTTGAACCCGACACACTGCCAAAGCTCAATGGCCCTAAGGTGCCTCTCGGACGGGATTCCACAACCCTGCAGGAACAAGGTGATGTTGCCCTATGGACATCTTACAAGGCAGCTTTGGAAAAGGGCATCTCCGATGAAGAACTCATTTGGCCAGATCCGAATAAGACTCCACTCCCCGAAAGGCTGGAGCGCCTTGAGGTCAGTCTTCAGAAGATGCAACTCAGGTCGTCCGAGCTCATCCTCACGAGAATGTGGTTGGACCAGGCCAGCAGTATCAAGAGACGCGCCACGACAGACGGGGGTAAAGATGACACCTTCCTGCAGGATGCGTACAAGACATTGGCGCAGCACCCGAAGAGGTCACTCCTGAGGGAATATGAGTGCAGTGAGATACAGGACGAGCTGAGGAGCTGCTTCTTCTTCAAGGAAGATGAGTTTTGCATACAGGCAATTTCCCCAGAGTATGCCTCGCTGCCGTTCCGCGAGATCTCTTATCGTCAGGTACTGCGGGCTACCTTGGAGTCGTACAGTACCCAGCCTCCAACTTCATGGAAGGGTCGACTGTATGCATCGCGGGACCATGTTTACAAAGTCGTGACCCAGTCTCGGGTTTTGAGAGTTGATCCCGATCGTGTTCGGATCCTTGACTTCGTCCCCGCTATGGAGTGCACGCGTGCATCTTTAGCCGTGAATGGATTCTGTTGCCAACAATACCAGTGCGAGTAATGTGTTCATGTGCGTGCGTCAAGCTCAGTCCAGGCATGGTAGAACTCTTAAAAGATGGTGGCTAGTAGGGTAACGGTGCTGACATGTTGCGTTGATTCGGGCCATTCCGAAGACATCCTTTTGCGGGGTTCTGGGGGTTTGACCGGAATTGTATCGGCAAGAGAAGATGGCAAACACCGTATTCACTACTACGTTAGTCATGGTGCTCAATAATCAACCGCGGTCGCGTTCCGTATGCGTATGCTTATCCCAAGGGTTGGCGGCCTATATTAAGAGCCATGCGTGCGGGCGATGCTGATTTCTGATGATTCTCTGCTCGTACCATAGGAGTCTGAGCTCTCGACAGTGCCAGAACCAGATCCAAGAGGCAAGACACACTGCGCACGTCGTTGCAGAAAACCATGAGCGCGACGAAGAGCAAGCCCGAGGATCTCACGGCAGAGAATCTAACTCAGCACGTCATCAAGACTTGCACGGAGAATGTATCGCATGAAAGGACCGCGGTGTTGATCGCAGGATTGATCCAGCATCTGCACGACTATGTCAGGGAGGTCCAGCTGAGGCCTGGCGAGTGGGAGGCGGGATGGCAATATCTGACCGAGGTGCGTTTTCACATCCTCTCTTTGTTTTTATGTTACCTGAGCAGATGGAACATGTGCCCCCTTCCACCATGCATGGTATTGGAGCGAAGGTCCCCCATGGGATTTGATCTGCTTACATCGCTGAACTGACGCTCTGACCATTGGAAACCAGACTGGACAATTCTGCACACCGGACAGGCAGGAAATGGTGTTGTTGTCCGATGTGCTCGGCGTCTCCGCGCTCGTGGACACCATCAATTCGGCGCAGGCCAAGTCCAGCGTAGCCACCGAATCCTCGGTCCTGGGCCCATTCCACAACGATGCAGAGACCCTGGAGAACGGCGGGTCGATAGGGTCCGAAGGCGTGGTGGGCGAGCCGATGCTGATTCACGGGACCGTGACATCCACCGACGGCGAGCCGATCGAGGGAGCCACCGTCGACGTCTGGGAGACGAACGGCAATGGCTTTTATGACATGCAAGACCCCAACCGAGACGGACCCGACTGTCGTGGGATCTTCCGCACCGACAAGCAAGGGCGCTTTTATCTCCTGGGCGTGAAAAGCGTGGATTACAACATTCCAGACGAAGGACCGGTGGGGAAGCTGCTCAAGATCTTGGATCGTAATGTCACCCGTCCGGCGCATGTGGTAAGTTCTGTCCACTCCGTCCCCAGATGAATCAACCTAGCGAACTCTAGTTCCAGGGCCCCTTTTCCAAAAAAAAAAAAAAAAGAAAATGAGAAAAGGAAAATTGTTGACTGTGAGAGCCATGATATAGCACTTCCAACTCAGACATCCTACCTACATCGACCTCACGACCGCCCTGTATGCCGCGGACAGTGCGCATATAACCACCGATCCTGTCTTCGGAGTCAAAGCGTCGTTGGTCAAGGAGTTTCAGAGATTCGACAAACTACCCGAGAAAGCGCTGGACTATGACCTGCGCTATTCTCCCGCACAACAGGACCAGGTCGCCAAGGAGGGCATCTGGTCATTGGAGCATGACTTTATACTTGTGCGCAAATGATGATACACAACGAAAGGACTTGCCCTCGCGAGTCTACCCCTGGGCTGGCCTGAGCCGGGCCTCAAATCGAACCAGGCATCTTCTCACCGAAACTCTGCAAGGCAACCCTGATTAGCAGGTGGCCAGCCTCGAGGGTGGGCCGCCCATCTGACGAGGACCGGTTGAGCTCTTACCTTGGTCTTGTACTGCACCGCACCCTCTAGCGGTTTCTCCCAGGCCTGCCGCCTTTCAGCGAAACTCTCCCACTCGGGATGGGGGACTTTCGGATACTGTATCAAAATTTCCTTATGTCAGCCGTAATCTTCCGCAGAGACAGAGCAGGAGGTGTGTTTGCTCGTGCCCACTCAGGACGATGCACTGGTCAATTGGCCGAGTAGTCCGCTCCATCAAGGGCTTGCAAAAATTAAGGAGAACCTTACAATGCCCAATTTCAAGACAATCTTCCCCTTGTACAGTGGCGTTACGCTCATGATGGGCACCCCGCATGTTTGGCAGAAATACCTGTGTCGTTCGGCGTCAGATTGGCTCACTCCCGTTATCACGGATCAATTTTTCCATTGTGACAGGGGGTCAGTACCTTCCCACTGGTGTCCCACTCATCGTATCTGGATCCTGTCATGCGTATTTAGAATGACTCACTGCAAATGATAGCCAACGCAACGGCTGAGTACTAACATCATACTTCTTCAGGTTATCCTTCCCTTTAGGAAACTGGACCTTTTCTTCTTCGATCAGCAGATTGGCTCCGAACCTGATCAAGTAGTACATCTCGTCAACACAATGACGCGAATGAATGTGAGGCTCCCAAGGCAGCAAAATGCAGAGTGCACCCCTGACGAGGTCTGTCGGGAAGGGGGAAGGGGAAGGGGGGTTCTTGAAAAGCGTTTGAACCTACAATCCTCCAGCGACTTTACGACAATTGGCGCAGTGACAGAGGTGTCCTCGTCTTTGCTCTCCGAAGAGATTGTCGTCGGTGACTTTGACCTGAACGGCTGAAACAGGATATGTAGAGTCAGCCTCGCTCCTCGACGTGTCGAAAAGCCTTGAGAGTCAATCGCCAAGTATTCTGTACCTTTGCACAAGCATTCTCCTTCCATCTTGGCGTGGTCTTTTGCAGAATGTGTCCAAATAGTGCCAGAATCTGTTGCGGTGCTGATGTGAAGTAAATTTGCCAATGAGCCGTGTTAGATCGATGGTGCCTCCGTTGGATTTGATTGACGATAGCTGTTTCCGCCGACTTGTACAGGAGCTTCGACCGTGCGGGGGAGAATCGTGAGAGGATGTTCGGATACTAACTAGCGAGGCGGCTTCGTTCGTGAAAGTCGGCGTCGACGTCATCCTGAGGTGGAGGAAGTCGAACCACATGTGCCAAACCATAGCGGTGTGGGCAGGCCTTGACCTTACTCCCACTCGTACCCTCGGGTTCATGGAAGTGTCTGCTTGACATGGCCGAATGGCAGACAGTAGTCCTAGGCGTAAGACATGGTCGAGTCAGGGTCACCAAGTACGCAAGTGGTACGCCCTGTACGGTATCTCGGATTCGGTGGTGCCGAGAATCAAATGGCAACTTCGAGATCCATGTCTCCGAGAACCCCCAGGTCATTCTCGAAATCTCGCACTCGCACTTCTCGAAATCCCTCGGCTATATCTCACGGCCTTCAGTCTCGGCTTTGCGGGGTTGACAAATGAATGAGCTGATGCGGAGCTCATCAGTACGAGCTTGACTCCCTGGGCGAGCTTTGTAGCCTGCGGTAGCTGTTTCCCGACGCCCTGTAAGCGACCGATCAGCACTCATCTGAAGCGAAGGTCACCAGGCTTTCCTCTGCGGGGAACGTACTACTCGTAGCTTCCTGGCTGGCTTCAGCGTTGGTCCAGTCACCGAGCCATAACCCATGCTATGATATCAGATGTTATTCGTTGTCGCTTGCGGGGACGCACAGCAGGCTTTTCCCGGATGAGTCGGTTTTGAGGGGTCATGTACGTACCCTTGCAGTGGTAGGGAGGTATGAAAACGAGATGGAGACAGGTCAAGTCCAGTCCAGACCAAGTCCAGTCTTGACCTCTCTCTCTCTCGTCTCTATCGGAAAGCAGGCTCTTCAAAGTATTTGTTATCGTCCGAGTGGCCACATCGCGTTTACCATTTGACCATGTCTTTCGTGAGCGAAGTCGTCAGCAGCCTTACCGGCGCAAGCGCGGAGGTGTACGACCTCGTCGTTGTAGGCAGTGGTTTTGCGGTGTGTCCGCCTGCAACGCCAGTGTAAGAAAGTCGTGCTGATCATCAACAGGGTTCCATGACCACTCTGAATTTCCTGGAAGAATGCAAAAAGCTTGGCAAGAGAGGCAAAGTAGCCCTGATCGAGGCAGGCAAGGAGGGAGAACGATGTGGTGCAAGCAGGTCAGTTTTAGGGGTCTGGGCAAGAACAAGTTGACTGATTGACCGCGTACAGATGGACCATGGCATATCTCAGGCTCGATAAGGGTTCGTACTGAAGCACCCATAGAAGGCTATCGAAACTCATCCACGCAGACAACAACTTCGATTCAGACTGGAAGCATGAAATGAAGGCAAGTCAAGTATATGCTTGTCAAGGCGTGCTGGACTCACCTATTGCAGCGTGTCAGGTCAGAATCAAGGCGTACCAGTTAGGCAGTCGGATCTGACAGTATCAGCAATGGCCTGGCCGATCAGGAGTATTGCGCCCGGATGGAGCAAGAAGTGCCCATCACCGCACAGTACCTTATTGATCGTGAGTCACAAGGACGAGGCTGTGCTGTATGCATCCCGAGCTGATTTTTCGCATAGACGGTGTCAAGTTCAATCATCACGACGAGAAAAACGTTCTACTTGAGTTCAAAACCAGTAAGAGAACAAGTTTGCGCTGAAATGAGGTATCGTACTGACACTGTTGAAGACCAGCACTTCGTATTTCCCGAGGTCAGTTGGCTCAGCTTCTGTCTCGTTCCAACATGATAACCTTGCACACAGGGAGGCGGTCATGCCATCATCAATGCGTTGTTCGACCATATTAGGAAGTTTGAGGGTGTGACCATCATGTGGGAAACCCAGGCGGAGCACTTGTTGACTCAGGACGACGGTACTATCTGCGGAGTTAAGGTGCGGAAGTCTGACGGACGCATGACCAAGGTGCATGGCAAGAAAGTGATGCTGGCATGCGGAGGGTTCGAGGGAAATCGAGAAATGTGCGCTCATCAAGAGCTGAAGCGACTTGAGAGGCTGACGCATGGCAGGTTGGGCAAATATGTCGGACCCAGAACAGAGCACCTCGAGCTCATTGCTCCAGGCTTGAAGTACAATACTGGTTTCGGGCTAAAGATGGGCTTGGAAGTTGGCGCTGCAGGTGAGTGAAGCCTCTGGAAGGGAATGTTGATACTAGGCTCATACCGACCCTAGTTGCGGGATCGATGAGCGGCATGCATGTGAGTCGATTGTCCAACTCGAATGTATCAGGGCGTACGCTGATAAGGAATGAAAGTGCGAGCTCGTCGACACCAGAGCAACCAAGCCGGACGCTGTAATTTGGGGTCATAATTACGGTATTGTCGTCAACAAGTGAGTCAATGTGTTGTCCTTGTTCTGCTCAGGGGCGACGTAACAGACTGATTGCCGATAGGCATTGTAAGAGGTTCTACGACGAAGGAAAGCGACAGTATGGACGTTCATTCCTACTTCGGCCTCAGGCTAACACAAATCAGCCTTTTCGCGACTTTCGAGATGATTGCTCTCGAAACCTGGAGAGACCAGGATCAGCAATCATATTTGTATGTGAAATCCAGATGTGGAAGCAAGGTGCTCACTCGTCTCCAGCGTCACCGACAAGACTATCATGGATCGGTTCCGACCAGGTTGGGTGTATGATACCACTGACCAAGAACCAGAGCAAAGCGACACCCTCGAAGGTCTTGCTGAAAAGCTGGGCCTCGATCCTAAGGAGCTGAAGAAGACTGTGGATGAGTTCAACGGGGCGTTAGTGGGAAATGATTGTGCATGCAAGATGATTGTTGACAAATGCTAGGATCAATGAGAACGAATTCGACCTCATGAAGCTTGATGGCAAGCGCACCACAGGGTAGGAGGTGTCCGAGGCTTCTTCGATACTGGCATTGCTGACGGTGTGCCAGATTGTCACCCGACAAGACCAACTGGGCGCAGCCCATCAATACGCCTCCTTTCTATGGGTCAGTGACCACCGACTGATCAGGCTTGTTGAGCTGTTATTCCTGACCAAACACAGATATCCCATGAAGGCACAGCTGACTTTCACTTACGGCGGGCTCAAATGCGACCTCGATTCGCGGGTGTTGGCCACGACGGGCGTCCCAATTCCTGGTACGTGCGACGTTGCTGTCTCCCCTCCATCCACAGGCCGGAGCCAGCCAATGCCATAAAATGATCGCGGTAGTTGACAGCTCTGTAGGACTCTACGCCGCTGGTGAATTGAGTGGATTGTTTTATAACGAGGTAAGCCGGTAAAGCTGTCCAACTCAAACCGTGCTGACAATCGAACAGTGTAAGTACTGGTCCTTGGCGACGAATGCCTCTTGCGGGGAGACAAGGCAGATGCGAGTGGATAGGTGTCCCCTGGCATCATTACCACGTTGCTTTTGCTCGTTGGCAAACTAATATACTACCCAGATCCTCCTGCAACGAGCGTGCTCCGTTCTCTCACCTTCGGCCGAATTGCGGGTAAGGATGCGGCGCAGGCACTCTAAACGGAAGTATGTTGGTGGTCTTGATCAAGGAAGGGGAACTTGAATGAGCAATGACGTGTGAGCACGAAGGACGTGCAGCAGATAAGGTTCATATACAGCGAAATGAAATCAGAGGTCGTCGACGTGATAGAACTGTCTTGTTTGGCGCGTCGCTAAGGCCTGCGTGATTGATATCGGAATGTGTTAGCCTCGCGCATCTCAAGAGCCCGCCGTAGCTTCTGTCCATCATCAAGGCTGACATCAAGGCCGAGTCGTAAGACCGTGCGTGATACAGCTCTATCTGATACAACAAGTCATGTCTTCGCCATCGTCATTGGCCGACTTCAAGAACAGCCCAGCCAAAAAGTGATACCCGGAGGACAGCGAATTTGGCTCCAGCCAGAGACAACCGACCACATCTAAGCTTTGGTCCTCAAGACAAAAGGATGCTTCAAGGCCTCATTCGGGGTGATTCTCTTCTCGGGTCTCAGATCCAAGCATTTGTCGAGTAGATCAATGAACAATTCCAATTCCTTCCTTTCCTGCTCGTCCAGTCTTTTGTCCTTGGGAATCAATCTCGATCGCAAGTCTTTGACTGGTTTTGGTTTGATATCTATCATGCGCACCACGGTGCGGCCGGTAACCTTGTCGACTTCTTGAGCTCGAAAATTGAGGAGATCATCAAAGTAATCGTAGGCCAAGGTCCCTCGTCGCAATAGTTTGTGCGGAAACTTGCCTCGACATTCCATGATTGCCCGAAGCATACCATTGTTGTTCCGACCAGTGAACAAAATCTTGCCGGTGTACAGCTCATAAAGCGTGCAGCCGATCGACCACATATCGATGCCGTAGTCGTACGGAATACCAAGAATGACTTCTGGTGCTCTATAAAACCGAGATACGAGATATGGTGCGGTTGCATTTTCGGTGATCGGCGACGCCGAACCCAAATCACAGATCTTGAGAGTGCTCCTTGCTTCGTTGACAAGAATGTTGTCGGGCTTGAGATCGGCGTGAATATACTGGCATTTCTTCAACAAACTCAGTCCCAGAAACAACTGCTGGGCGTAGGCTCGAATTGCTTTAATATTGATCCCCACATCTCGGCCAAATTTCTTCAGCACTTCCCGTAGATTCATTGACAGATTTTCGAAAACCATACATAGATGGCCCTTGTGGTCGAACGACCGCTGAAGACGGATGACGTGTTTCTTGTCCTCTGGGTCATTGGCGGCAATGTCCTTCAGGATCTCGATTTCCTTGATACCAGCCTTTCGCATTGTCTCATTGTTACGCACGATTTTGACGGCCACGGGCTTGCCAGTGTGTCTATCAGTGGCTCGGACAACAGAGGAGAACATTCCTCGACCGAGATTTTGAGTCACATGGTAACGATCTTGAATCAGCTCACCAAGGATAGTGATGTAGTACCCTTCCGCATCGTCCCAGTTATCCATCAAGGTGACGTCCAGGGCTTGAGCAGTCTTGGTCTCTGCCCTTACTTGCATCGGGGCTTCTGCAAACATGTCATCATCGTCTTCGTCGGCAAACATGTCAAATTCATCAGCTTTCTTCGGGCCAGGCGCAGATGACTCCTTGATATGTTCAACAACCTGCTCTTCTGCCTGCTCTAAAGAGATATCATCCTCTTTGAACAAACGCTTGTCGTGACGCGCCCGCTCCTCTTCCATATCTACCGTGGGGTCATAGTCAGCCGCCGAGGTGCCATCTGTTGGTGGCGTGTCTCTAGGAGAATTGCTCATTTCGGCATCGGCCTCAAAGTTGAAGTCGGCAGGAGATTGTGGCACGGACACTTCTTTCGGTGTTCTAGGGGAGGACGAAGGTGGTGATTCTGACATAATCAGTAAATGACTAGGCGATGGTGCAAGTAGGAACTTACCGGAACGGCCTGGAGTGGTGGGATAACTTTCCGTGGCAGGGCTGCCGGTCCTCGAGTCTGTTCCCAGATGAAGTGCTTGGACTAAAAGTGGTGGAGCCTGGCCTCTGTACTTATTCTTGATGGCTTCTCGACGTCGGCGTCTTTCCTCGATCAAAGCCGCTTCATCGACTATTTTCGGGACTTCGTTAGTGGCGTCTTCTTTTGGCACAGTGTTAGAAACGTCGCGTGTATCTCTGCTCGCATCTGGATCGGCAGGCCCAGCTTGCGTTGCTGCTGCGGCAGAGTTCGAGACGTGGCCTGGTTGTCTGCTTGTCGAAGCGGCACTCGTTTCTGCCTGACGGCTTGCTTGCCGCAAATCTCCCTCGCTCTTGCCCGAGATACCAGTCACCGTCTTTGTCTTGGCTCTTTCAGCGTCATCAAGGCGCGAATGTCGATAAGGAGACCGACTTCTGCTCCTGCTTCGTGAATACGTTTTGGACCGTTTTGCGCCTTGTTCCTCGTACAAGCCATGCCCACGGCGCCGTCTATCGTCTTCGTATCTTACTGCAAAAGTGCGGGGATCGTTGTTCGACCTGTTTCGTGAATGGTCAAAGTCTCGCAGACGCTTCTCGCCCCTGGGAGCTCGATAGGGGGATCTCGAACGTGATCGATTTGCTCTAGGCGCAGTGCTATGCGACGTAGAATAGGGTCTAGTATGACGGTCAACCTTGCTGTTATTGTGGAAAGATGGTATGCTCTTTGCCTTCGCTTCCGAATCTGAGCTGAAAACTTCGCCGTCAGATTGGCTCGGTGATCTCGAAGCCATATTGAGGATGATATCAAGTCCTAGGCGAGGACTGACACCTAGTCTTCAGTCGATAAACTTGTTAGCGAAGGATTCTGAGATCAAAAGCACTTTGAAGTTGTAGAGCCCGACCAGTGTCGTCCTGCCTATTCTCCTTCTCAGCTTGCCATTCAGCCGAGGTCTGCGTATTCCAAACTCTTCGTTTGATCGTGCTGATTGCGAACCTCGGACGCTTCACAGCAGATGCAAAGAGATGAAATCCGAACTGACTGTCAAAATGGTAGGCAGACTCCCAAAAGCGGCGAGCCCTTTTCCGGTACATCCTCCGGGCAAAAATACCGTGCCGCTTTATCTCATTCCACTACGGCGGCGTGAATTGAAGCCTATTGCCTGACTACAGTCTAGAATGCGAACGGTCTTAGTCAATTCTCTCACTCTGACACGAGAATTTGCAAGGTCGTTACCGTGTGGCACTCAGTTTCTTCATATCACGCAAAAGCCAACATGGGTGGTCAAAGTCGAGAAGGTGCGTTGTTGCAGTGCGCATCTCAGCCTGCTGAAAATTGAAATTGACTAGAGAGCAGGCGGCAAAGTCAAGCCTTTGAAGGCTCCAAAGAAGGACAAGAAGGATATGGACGAAGACGAAATTGCATTCAAGGCTAAGCAAGCTGCGGGTATGGATGAGCGAGATTATACGTCCTCCCTGGAAATCGCTGACTGAGACGACCAGATGCCAAAGCCCGAAAAGAGATGGCCGACAAGGCGAAAGGCAAAGGTCCTCTGAATGCCGGTCAGCAAGGAATCAAGAAGAGTGGGAAGAAATAAAGCCATGGCAGCGTGATGACTGAGATAGACGATGAGGTTATGAGCAAGGCGTAAGGGAGGCGCAGATGGTATGCTTTTCTCAGGCCGAACGAGAATGACGATTACACCACGATACATGAACTCTTGATCTTTTCGGCTTCCACATGTCGTTGACTACTTGCTGGTGTTCTGTGACGGCTGAGATGCATTTGGCTGATGGAAAGAAAGATCAGCAAAATGTTTGCCTGCTCACAAAAACTCCAGGCTCTCTACTGGTCATTCCTGCCTCCGGAGCAAGCCAAGAGAGGACTTATAGTGTCTCAGCACAGGAATGAACAAGAAAGGTACCATTGCGTTCTGTCGGGACTTATTGATGTTTGCCACGATTGATTGTTTGATTGATCTTGTCCTCACAAACGTGAGCTTACCCGCATAACCATTCTTGCTTCCGGCTCCTTCCTTTAAATTCATTCTATTATTTCTCCAGGACCAGGCTTCCCTCAACACCAAATTCTCCCACTGCTTTCTGCGCATTGCCAGAAGCACTCAACCGCGTCGCCTTCTTCTTCGCTCTAGACCCAGATTGGCTTCTCAATCATCAATACCATATCATCATGGAGGACAACGGCACTCCTCCCGCTCCTCGCGAGGACCGCGGTCCGCGTATTCCTCCAGCCAAACTCTCAACCATCGAAGCCGATCCTACTATCTCCATCTTTTACAGACCAAACAAGTCCTCTCCCCTCCAACTTCTCGATGGCAGATTCTCTCGGGACGCGGCCATGATCTTCTGCGACCGTATCCGACGTGATCTCATGAACAACAACAGTAAATCTTTCACCATCAATGGTGGGGATTTGACTGGTATGAAGGAGGTCCTTCTCTGGATCAAACAGTGTGTTTCGGCGCAGAACATCGTCAAGTACAGAGAAGTAAGTGCTGCAAATTCCTGTCACCATCTAGTCACTGACAGCTTTCTCGGTAGCTCGAAGACGACACCTGTGAGCTCTTCAAGTCGTACGCCAATGTCATCATCTCAGCAACTTACTTGGGAATTCCTGCTCGCGATCTCGCCGATGGTCTCGTCAAGCGCATGCTAGGTATTGCTCGAAAGGTGCTTATGAGCTGGGAAGTTGTCGAATGGTTCTACAAATCCCCTGCCTTGGATGCCTGCACCGAGTCGGTCCGCGAAGTCGCCGCCGCGAGTGTCTTTTGGGGATGGTGGAACGGAAAACTGAATGAAGAGGAGACTTCGGAGGACTTGATGTTTCTCGACATGCTGAGAATTGAGATTCCCAAGCTCGATCAGGACTTGCATGATTGGTGTGAGCGCAACGAACGAAACGTGAGAGAAAAATGGGAAGAGAAGAGAAAAGCCAAACAGGAAGAACAAGCTGGTTTCGACAATGCCGGTGATGCTGGCGGCTTCTCGTCTGGAAGCGGAGGCGACGGCTGGGACAATGCGGGAGAAATTAGCACTGGTGGTAGCGGCTGGGATGCTGGCGACGGCTTCTTGTCTACCGAGCCACTCATTGCGACTGCAGGAAACCTTGCACCTGGTGGATGGGACGCTGCGCTTCAAGCACCTGAGAACGATGAGTTTGGCTTCGACTCTGGAATCAGTGTCAACACCGGTGCCAGCATGGAAAAGCAAGAGCATGGATTCGACGCCTACAAGCCACCACCAGGAGAACATGGAGCTAGGCACGACAAGAAGGGCAGCTTTGGTATGGAGAATGATGGCGGAGACTGGGCAGAGGAAGTCAACGATCATGTCCAGTACCAGAATCAGTCATGGTAGATCACCGTCTGATCTGGCTTAACGGCTTGGAGTGCTCAAGACTAGCATGGAAAGTCAGCATTGTTGAAAAGCGTCCTGGCAAGAGAGCAATCGAGCAGAGACGTGTTGAGTCTCCATGACGAGAGATCCTGTCAAAGAAAAGGCTCTCGTGAATCAGGCCTGGTACTGCTGCCGATACTCGGTATCTAGGTAGTCACAACCAGAAAAGGTGTGCTAACTAGCAGTTCTATGGTGTGCGCTGACACTATGCAAGAATGGAAAAATGAGATTAGAAAAGAGTTCGATTCGATCTCCATCCTCGAAGGATCATGGGCTCCTCAAGTGCAGTATCCTAGATCTCGTCAATCAGCGATAGTTTGTGGAGTAGATTGCTTCGTCCAACGGTGCAAATCATGGTGCATCTCCCCTGGACAAGCTACAAACGCCGTCTGACGAGATCCCGAAGACGAGTGAGGATGAAATTGCACGTACATACTAGCGTTGCTATGGCTGGATTTTGGGATCTCTACGGAGCGTACTCCGTACTGTATCGCACGTATCCAGGGGGATGATAGTGTACTCTACCTAGCTTGCTAGGCACATGGGGGAATTTGCTTTGCTCTGGCCATAGCGTAGTTAGTGCATGGGCACATTCGGGTTTCTGTGACTATAAGCTTGATGCAACCGTCACTCTTGCTGGGTGACAGTTCAATGCCGGTGTCGATCTCTGCCGAAGACGGGAAACTATTAGGAGGGACACGTCTTAGCTAGGGACTGGAGGAGAGGCAATGTGATGTTTTGGGCTTTGCAATTTAGAGTCAATATAGCACGGGAGAGCTCGTAAGCGCATTGATACAGCAAACGCAAAAAGATTTCACAATGTTCAAATATGCATTACTAGGGTATATCCAATCTCTGCCTGTCACAATAGAAACTTCATCTGGCATTAATCACCAACGCAGAATTTGGGTATTATCCTTTTCTCAAGCCCGTTGAACCCGGCCGCTGGAAATGCTAGACGAAGTTGCTCATCCCCATACAAAATGAATCCGTAAATCACCATGAAACCTAGTAATATAGGTCTTCACGGTCACCGTGATGGACTTCACCGAACGTGTCGATTGTAAGACTTGGGCATGGCTTCTACACGGATGATGTGGCGGTTGAAGCAAGACCGGTGAGGATGTTCAGGAGTTGCTGGGCGAGCGAAGTGACTTCTGAGAGGAGGCCGTCGACATCAACGCTGCTTGCAATACCTTCGACGTCGGTCAAGAGAGTCTGGACTTCGCTGATGGCTGCGTTGACGTCTCCAACAAGGCCGTCGAGTGTTCCAGTGAGGTCGACGCCGCTGATGACACCGTTGAGTTCGTCAACTGTGCTTTGGAGGGTGGACTTGATGGTGTTGAGGGCTCCATCAACGTCAGACTCGACTCCACTGACGATGCTGTTGACACTTGCGTCAAGACCAGAGACTGTGCTGATGATGGTGGGCAGCAAGCCGGTCAAGGTGCTGAGGACTTCGTCAACGAGGCCGGTGACGGAGCTCAGATCCAAGAGTTGACGCTTGTCAACAACCATGGTCTCGACTGTGGCGATGTCACGCTTGACTGCCTCAAGAGCGCTGCTGAGCTTGGCATCTACAGGACATGTGAGTATCTTGTGTAGGACATGGGGACAACTTGAGTCATACTGTTCAAAGGGATAGCCGAAGCATAGACGGCGAGGAGGAGAGAAGCAAGAACAGCTGCGGGACGCATGTTGACTGTTTGATAGGATGTCTCGGAGACTTGTGTTTGAAGAGGCTTTGAAAAGGAGTTTGGAGTTTTGAAAGAGTGGACGGTGGCTTGCTACCGGGTTCAAAGGAGTGACTGCTGAAGTTGTTGATGAATCGGAAGGGGAGGACAGGAGCAGACCATGATTTATATAGGATTTCAGATCGTGTATGAACGTCACGATGAAGATGTCGTGCTTTCCCGAGAACAGACCAAGGACTATGTCAGTCAAGCACTTGGATGGTGCACCACCGTGCCAACCTGGCTAGCATTGCGATTCGGTCCAGTTAGCGAAACAAGTCAGTCCACGCAGTCCTAGTATGGCAGGTCGTAGGATCTGTTGGGCTTGATGTCGAGTCGGCGGTTTGAAGTTTGCACATCAGCTGGAATTGGTATATGACGATCAGCAGTACTCTAATCCAAGATGACTTGGTGGCTTAATCTTAGAGGTGCCCAATGCGGTCGGATCTGCAGAGACCTACCCTCTCCTGCTATAACCTGATCGACACGGGTGGAGTACTGGAGCCCCAGACATTCAGGGGACTTGATGAGGCCAAGCGCCGGGCTAGGGTTCGGGCGTACATACTGTATCTGCAGAAGTTATGTGGTCGTGCGGGCTGCAGGATGACGAGGCTATGGTTGTGATTTCAGAAAGATGTCGGATTACCCTACGATATACGCAACTGAAGCCTCGTCAAATTGCCGAAGCGCGGGGTAGAGTGGTAGACGGGACGACATCAAATGATCTGAATCGTGACGAGCACGGAGCCCCAATAAGCAAATCCATAACATTGCGGAATCTGCAGCACTTACTGTGTAGAGGCAGTCCACAAGCAGGAGGGTCTCCTGCTCGTCGTTGTCTTGAGCACTGGCCTTTTTGCAGCCTCTGACGAACGCCGGCTCGTCCACGGTCAAGCAACATCCAAGAAAACTTGACACATGAGCATGGGCCCAGAAGATGGTGCCACCTAGGTGGGTGCGAGAGCTGGCTTGGTTTTGAGAGCAAGGGGTGCACCAATCCGCCAATACCGACTTTCGTATGGAGACAACTTGTCGCCATCATTGCCACATAAGAAAGAACCGGGCTTGAATATGGAGCTGGCGCTAATCTCGGAGGATTTTCGTCTTCATTTGGGTCGATGAAACAATCAGTTTGCTTGCCAATATCGCTTGGCAACCTTGGCCTTTGCAGGATGAACTGACTCCTGACTTCTTCATAGCTGTACCACTCGAGCAAAATTGCATCTCAAGGATCTACAAAGACCGTTCACGCCGTCTAACGTTGACGTGGAGTCTCAACCTCCGCTGGGGAGATTCCCGCACACTTGGAAACAAACACAGTGTCAACCTCATGACCAGTGATGCCGATCATCATAAACATGTTGCTGTAGAGGATGTTGGTAATGGTAACCCAGGGTTTGAGCGCCGGAAGAAAAACAAGCCAAGTGACATTTGGTCATGAGGCGTCGATCAAGAGTAACGGAGCCATCTGAGCCTCTCCCCTAGAAAGAGTTGAAAGGAAAGCAGCTTCAGATGGCTGAAGGGTGAGGAAGGCTTCCGATGTGGAAGTAAAAGTCTAAGCCGCTCCTTCTGCCTAGAGGGTGTTTGAACTCTTTCTCTCTTTCCTTCCTTTCTTTCTTCCTTTATTCCTCCCTCATACAAGTCACACTGCGACAATCACACAGTCTTTCCTCTATCACCACTTTGTCCTGGTTTATTGATGGCCATTGCTCTTCATCTGCTTCCGCTACTAAAATTCAGCTAAGTCAAAGTACTGCAGGCTTGTGGTTGACCGCGTAACGATGGACCCATTTGCCATCTTTCTGTTCCTTTCACTTTTCCTGTTGCGTCTCTCCTACACTGTTGCCCTTGATCCAGGTCAACCATGTAGCCCAGGCTACACACTCTGCTCACCCCAAGGTGCTTCCATACGAGATATACCTCCTATTGGACCCGGTCTTGCTAGGCTCTATCTGAATCTCATTGAAACTGTCAATCCTCAAGCCGCACCAGCTCAGGCCAATCGATCTGCAGGCCTTCATGAGCCAGCGCGCAGAACAGGACAAACTCCAGATACGCTTTGCTGTAAGTGGTTTCAGCACGTGGATATTTGACGTTGGGTGTCTGACAGGTAGCAGGTGCAGACAACACTGAGTGCATGCTTGTCCTCAGTTACAACATACCTTGCTGCTGGGTATTTACCCCTGTTCGGGTGTTCTCCTCCAAGCTGACCCGACGCATCAGGACCGGTTTACCACGAATTACTTCTTTGCAGACGGCTCCTACGGTTCGATCACGACAGGGAACTACACAACTCCTGCAGGAGACCACGCAAACTTGATCACGGGAGACTATGAATGTGCCAATGGACAATCGGGGAACATCTAACAGGGACAAACAATTGTTGAGCCCAACACAACAACGTTGACAGTGCCTACGCCCTGGACAAGCAGTGGTGTTGGCTCAGCCATACCCGCAAGTGCAGTCGGCAGCTACCTGTCCCTGACCTCATCCTCCTTGATAATAGCAACGTTGACATCGCCTCCTGCGTCTTACAGTGTGGTGAGTATCAATCCAGGCAGCTCGACTGAGAATGCAACCATTCCAGGGGTCGCCACAGGCACCGATAGATACAGCATTGGCTCCATGACGCCTGCGTCTCCGTCAACTGTTGTTCCGTCACAGTCTCAGATCACCCCACCGATCACGAGTGAGGCTTCACGAATCATTTCCAAAGGAGGTTTTCTCTCGAGGCTGATGGCATTTTCTGCTACTGCCATGTATCTGTGGATGCAGTGAAAAGACACAACTGGGATATTGATCATCATGCAAACCCTCAACTATGTTTGTCAGCTTCAAACACGTGTGAAACGCACGCAATCAATCAGCAATCATGTCACGGAAAAGTGCTAAAGAATCTGGATTCAGATGGGAGTATGGCTGGCTCAATGTCGCACGAAGCTATCGTACAGTATATCAAATATCGTAGGAGAAAAGACGAAACGGATGTATGTGAATGTGTATGAATGGGCGTGGCAATACTGCGTCTGTCGATAGTGCTGTCCGATAATGGTAACTACCTTGATCATGATGGAAATTAATATCGTTGGTGGAGCGTGAATCAGTGATAGAGTCTGTATCTTCTTTTGCCCTTTCGCACCTCTCGGGAGTCGGCGGGCATCTTTATCTTTATGTGGATAACGAGGGACAAGAACCCTAGGCGCATCGGTGAGTGGGGCGATGGAAGGACCCAAAAAGACCCTGCGGTGCGATGGCTCGTCCACCTCGTCTTCACCCAATGATTGGTGGCTGAAGGTTGACATCTCAGGCTGTAATGGAGCTTTACCAGTGGTGCCTGTGTCGTTGGCTGCTTACACAACGCCCAAAGGGATTTCAAACTGAGCACATGGAACTGCTGAATCATCAACCACGGTAAATCTCAACAGCCATCTGCCTGCACTGGCCTTCCATCTTGAGAATCGAGGCTCGATCTGCGGCCGAACCCTTTTCGCTCCGTACCCGGAACTCCTCATTCCTCCACTTCATTATTAGACGAGTTGCTTGAATCTATCCCATCGCCGTCGTGGATGCTACCTGCTGCCACTGCCGTTATCGTCCCTCAAATTTGATGCTGCAACATGACATGAGCAACCCGACGTCACCGACGTAGCAGGGTCAAGATGGACGACATCCTGGGGGAAGATCTCCCACTTCCACCCGCCAGACTCTACGAACGTCTTTCGCAGGTGCCCAACTACACCTGGGATCGTTCGGTAAGGCCAGAATGACCGAAGTCATAGGCTAGACGCTGATTTGAGTGTAGTTCCGACCATTCCATACGAGCTACGACCACTGGTGAGTCGCAAAACGCAGGCAAACTGCGCTTCTTCAAGTCCATATCTGCCAAACTAACATTTGTGCAGGCATGTCTACGGTATCCTCCATAATCCCGACGTCGGTAATCATCGGTCGTCCTTGAGTACCCTGACCAGCCTGTCCGCTCCGTCCGGTTCTAGCAAAAGTTCTCCCAAACTTGATACCCACCGTCCCTCCCTACGGCACCATCACTGGAGTAGCATGAGTGGTGCCTCCACAGACAGCGAAAATACATCGTCAAGAGATGAACCAGAAGCGACATGGCAGCCTGTCGTTGCCCGCATCAGTACACACGTGGTGCGCCTGGAGCGGGAATTTCAGTACAACCAGTGGATCATGAAAGAGTGCGATCCTGACTGTTTGCATACTATCCGACCTATCGAGATTTTCAAGTTGCCCACCACACCGGGCGATGAACAACCCATGATATGCTGCGTCTATGAGGCTCCTGGAAAGAACTATCTGCGCGAAGTAATCGACTTTGGGCCAGCCTTTTATGGAATACATGACGTTCGGCAGAATAGTGATGGATCCCCGGGTGAACGTATCCCGCTTCAAGCATTCCTTGACTTCGCCATAGGTGCGTCTGAGGCGCTCGAACTACTACACCACGGAGCTAAAATTGTGCACGGTGAAATCCGTGGTGACAGCTTCCACTGGAATCGTGAGACCGGCTCTGTCAAGATCGCCAACGGCGGGAACGGTCCGCGTGCCTTCGAAAACATTCTGTCGAGTGAAGGATGGGCTACGCTGAGCAGAGAAATCGGGGTGAAGAACAAATTGCAATTTATCGCTCCTGAACAGACTGGACGCCTTCCTGCGGATCCTGACAGTCGGACCGACATTTACGGGTTGGGGGTTCTATTCTGGATCCTTCTCACTGGCCAACCTGCATTCGACGCAGATACACCCATCGACATCATTCAAAAAGTTCTAACACACCGTTTGCCCCTGGTCACAGCCATCCGCATGGACATTCCAGACGTTATTTCTCACATCATTGCCAGAATGACCCAGAAACAGATGGACGAGCGATATCACTCTGTTAGTGGATTGAAGTACGATCTATTGCAAATTCAAAAATTCTTGGGCGAGGGTGATCTGGGAAAGATCAGAAATTACAAGGTTGGCCAGCGAGATGTATCTTCTTTCTTCATCCTCCCCTCGAAACAATTCGGGCGCCACTCAGAGATCGAAAGGATCAACAAGATAATTGAGAAAGCTCACAAGCGCCACAGCTCTACGGGGACGCGCCATTCACCGTCCCAACAGGGGCTCCTGAACGCTGCCTCTAATTCTTCGATTTCGGACAGTCGAGCAGATGTAGTGGAGCCGGGCGAAGGGTCCGATTCCTCCAGCTCTTTCGGCTTCAGAGAGTCTCGGAGCAACTCTACCACTATTGGACTGGATGGACCGTCATTCACGCCTGCCTTCGGTTCCAAGACCAATCTCCTCGGGAAACGTGCTCCAGGGCCGCGTGGTGGCCTTTTGGACTCGGTCTCCGATCGTGACAGCAATCTCTCTGGTGGCGTTCAGTCGACGCCAGAAGGTCTACCTGGAATGATGACGAGACGGAGGAATAGCCACAAATACAAGAGGCGAACTAAGACCGAGGTGATCACGATACTGGGACCGACGGGAGTGGGAAAGACTGCGCTCATCAAAGCTATCCAACCCTCGATTCGCCGTCACGGTTATTTTGCTCTGGGAAGATTCGACCGAGCTCGCCCGTCACCCTTCGAGCCAATGATCAAGGTCATGGCAAGCCTTTTCAGGCAGATATTCTCAGAGAAGGACGTAAATACCCCATACCATGAACATCTTCGAGCACATGTTACCCCTTTCTGGCCTGTCTTGAGTTCAATGCTGGACTTGCCCGCCACTCTTCTCGATGTCACAGTGCTTTCGAAAAAGCTCTTGACCAAAGGCGATGCTACCACGCAGAGCTTTAATACTGAGATCACGACTGTTGACAATGGCAACAAGACAGCGAATGGATTGACGAATCATGGTGCTTGGGATGCCAACGATTTTCTCCGAGGCCCGGCAAACACCAAGTCGATACGGCTTATCAACACGTATATGGATGTCTTGCGCACTATTTGTACAGGCAAGCTGATTTGTCTGTGCTTGGACGATTTGCAGGCGGCCGAAGGAGAATCGATAGATCTGCTGATGCATATCATCAAAGCCAAGGTCCCTGTCGTCTTGTTGCTGTCAAGCCGGACCGAGGATGGACAAATTCCGGAGTGCACAGCGAAGATCCTGGATCTCGATTCAACCAACAAGATTGAGCTCGGTAATCTTCGAGAAAAGCATGTATTCGAGTACGTTGCCGCCACCATGTCTCAGAGTGTGGAGAACGTTATACCTCTTGCTGCGGTTGTGTACGCCAAATCCGAGGGCAACCCCTTCTTGGTCAAGGATATCCTCCAGGCCTGTTATCAGCGTGAGTGTCTCTGGTACGACTGGAAAGCGTCAGGCTGGCAGTTTGATCTGGATAAGATCTTTGATGAGTTCAGCTCTGACGGAAGCTGTTCTGACAACGAGTATTTGTCAAGACGTCTTCAGGAACTAGCGCCCGCCGCAAGGTCCATCCTAGCGTGGGCGTCATTGATCGGAAGCACTTTCTCTTTCAAGTTGATTCAACAGATCATGTCGGGAGACTATTTTTACAGCAGCGGTAGGGACCAGGCACACGATGCAACATGTCCCAAACGTGCAAAATTGTTCAACCTGTCTGAGTCGGACTGCGTGAATGGACTTCAGCAGTTGGTCAATATGTACATCATTACTCCAGGACAAACTGACGACGAATTCCGGTGGACCCACGCACGGTACTTGAAGGCGGCAAATGAGATGCGCGAGTGTCAAAATACGACGAAGATGCACTTCATTATTGCCCAGACCATGATGACATATCTCAGCCAATGCAAGTATAACCTGTATCCTTTGGCACGTCACATTTGTCTCTCTGCAGACATCATCAAAGAGAGAGTTCCCACCCGCATGCGTTATCGAGATGTGTTGTGGCGAGGAGCCCAAAAAGCATTGGAGACCGGGGCACAGCCGACGGGTTTGTGGTATTACAAGAATGCGCTCAAACTGCTTCAAGACGACAAATGGAACAGCGATAATCCTGACGTCTTCTATGACGAAACTCTGCAACTACACGTTAACAGCGCCGAAATCATGTATTTGCAGCGTGAAGTGGAAGAGGCGTTGGCCCTTCTGGAAGAGACTTTCGAACATGCACGTTGTTCGGCCGACAAAACGAGATCGTATATCCTAAAAGGGCGAATTTTATCCTTCAAGGGTCAATTCCTGCCCGCTTTTGATGCGCAACGACAATGCTTAGCAGAGCTTGGCCTGCCAATGCCGGAAAAGAGCTGGGAGGAATGTGATATTGAATTCAAGAGGCTGGAATTCCGACTACGGGAGCTCAACAAGGAGGAGCTTTTGTCCAGACCCCTGAGTGAGGACAAAACTGTGATTGCCCTCGGCACTGTCTTGAGCGAGGCTTTGGGGGCACTCTATTGGTCTGATGCTTTGCGTTGGTACCAATTGAATCTTGCTTACATCACCGCCGTCCTTGATCGCGGTACATTCGTGCAGGCTGGGTTGGGGTTCACGATGTTGGGCGCCGCCGCCATCGGTCGGTTCAAAGACATTGAGCTGGGTTTGTTCTACGGCGAAATCGCCCAAGACTACTTCACGCTCTTTGATGACCCCTGGACTCGGGGCAGAGGGTGGACTCTGTTCACGCTTTTTATCGGCCATTTCCAGACTCCGGTCCGGAACCTCCTTCCCATCCTCGATAACGCTCTGGAATATTCGTTGTCTTCCGGGGACCGATTCGTCAGCATTCTCAATATTGGTGTGATGGCTCTATCGAGGTTCTGGGCAGGGCAGGACCTTTCAGAAGTGGAGGCATTCTGCAATTATGGCCCAGAAGAGTTCGATAGCTGGGAGAACGACCGTCGAGGTGGGACCCTCCTCACTGTGACTAGGCAAGTGTCCCGGGCTTTGCAAGGCAAGACCGGCATTCACGACGTAAATACCGTCCTCAACGATGAGCATCACGACAGTCAGAGATGGTTGGCCGAGTGCGATAAGTATGCCGCTAATGCCCGACGACCTCGAGATATCTATCAGGCAGTATCGTTGCTGGCGTATCATATTCTCGGATATCACGAATATGTGGTCGAGATAGGGTCGGAATTGCTAGGCACGACTCTTGATGAATTGTGGTCGAACAGACCTGCATGCGGCGCACGATTCGCTCTGGGATTATCTCTCATGACAATTGCTCGAGAGAAACCCGAGGAAGAGCGCAGTCCATATGTCGAAAAGGCGAAGATCCTAAAGCGTGATATTGACCAGTGGGGCAAAGCAAATGATGTCAATTATTTTGCCTGGTCCCATATGCTGGAGGCCGCCATTGCCGACGTCACGGGCAAGTACTCGGTGATAATCTCCAATTTGGAGGCCGCTGTCGACCACTGTCAAGTTCATGGCTTTGCTTTGGAGGAGGCTCTTGCTATCGAAATGCAGGCAGAATTTCTCCTCGCACGAGGAGCGAAGAGGGCCGGCAAGGTCATGATCCAAGAAGCTATCACCGCGTGGAACAGAATCAATGCGTCTGGCAAGGCAAAGCAGCTCTCAGACAAGCATGAATGGCTGATCAAAACTGCCACGACTTCAAGGACTATGGAAGCTGCCACGCAGACAGAAGACCTACATCTTCCAATGTCTGAAGAGGCCCAGGCACAGATCAAACGCGATTACACCAGCGCCTGGGTATCGCCCAAAACAGCCATCACAACTCAAGCACCGCCAGATGTACCAGGCCTTGGTCTGGACATTTTGGACCTTACATCCATCCTTGAATTCTCACGAGTTATCAGCTCTGAACTACAGATCAACAATCTCCTGTCCAAGATGATCTCGGTGATCCTCGAATCCGTGGGGGGCCAGGCCGAATTTTGCGCCATTGTCATAGATTCAGAGGACCAAGGGTGGTGTGTGGCGGCAAGTGCGGACCATGAGACCGGTGTTAAAACGTATCCAGACGGGATCCCATTCTCCGAGGTCGATGATCAAGCGGCTCAACAGATCACCCACTACTTGCTTCGAACTAAGGAAACCGTATTTGTTCAGAACGTACTCGAGGATGACCGTTTCTCCAATGTGGGCGATGCATACCTGGCGAGGAATCCGCATGGACGCTCCATCATTGCAATTCCGATCATACAGGCGGACCACTTGATGGGTGTGATCCATCTGGAAGGGCGACCGAATGCGTTTACACAACGGAACATGATTGTGCTGAATCTTCTCACCAACCAGGTGGCTATCTCTCTTGGCAATGCCCTCCTCTACCGGAAGGTTCGCAAGGTGAGCGCCTCGAATGCTAGCATGGTAGAATCTCAGAAGCGTGCTCTTGTTGCTGCACGAGAGGCCGAGGCCAAAGCCAAGAAGGCGGAAGCTGAGGCCATGCACAATGTCAAATTGAAAGAAGAAGCCGCCAAAGCAAAGTCAATCTTTCTTGCCAATGTCAGTCATGAACTGCGGACCCCACTCAATGGTGTCATTGGAATGTCAGAGCTGTTGAAAGGCACGCCTTTGAGCAAGGACCAAGAACAATATGCGGACAGCATCCGCGTCTGTGCTGACACATTGCTAACTGTCATCAACGACATTCTGGATTTCTCAAAGCTCGAAGCAGGCAAGATGCAGATGTTCGCAGTCCCCTTGAACTTGAAAGAGACCATCACAGAAGTAGTGAGAGCGCTGGCCTATACCAACCAGGAGCACGGCCTACAAACCATCGAAGACCTTCAGATTGACGATGGCCTGGTGCTCGGGGATCCTGTCCGACTTCACCAGATTTTCATGAACCTGCTGAGCAACGCTTACAAGTTCACGCCTAAGGGGTCGGTCACCGTCCGGGCGCGGAAGAATGCGGAAACCCGAGATAGGGTGAAGATTACATGCTCCGTGGCGGATACAGGTATTGGCATCACCAAGGAGCAACTCGCACGACTCTTCCAACCGTTCTCGCAGGCCGACTCGTCCACGGCCCGGTCGTATGGTGGCAGTGGTCTGGGTCTAAGCATTTGCAAAGCCATGATCGAAAATGTCCTTGGTGGTAAGATTTGGATCGAATCAACACCTGGAGTAGGTACCACTGTGTCTTTTACCCTCAACTACCAAAAAGCACCCAAGGACAGCAGTGTGCAGAATGACATGAAAATAGCAGCCAAGGATCCCGATCCTATGGCCAATTGGTCGCAGGCAGCCAGTCCTGATACAGAACAGAAGAACGCCAGCTTTTGCGATCTGACCAGGGTTCCTCGCGAGGAATTGCGCGTTTGCATCGCCGAAGACAATCAGATCAATAGAAAGATTGCCATTTCCTTTGTCAAGAAGATCGGCCTCAGTTGTGAGGCGTATGAGGATGGCAAGCAGGCATACGATGCACTCAAAGCCAAGAGCAAAGAAGGCAAGCCTTTCCACTTGGTACTTATGGATGTTCAGATGCCTGTCTTGGATGGCTATGAGGCAACTAAGGCGATCAGAGCCGACTCGGATCCCAACGTCAGCCAAGTTCTCATCATCGCCATGACGGCCTCGGCGATCCGTGGTGACAGGGAGAAATGTTTGGAAGCTGGTATGAACGACTACCTTGCAAAACCTGTGCGGCAGACGGCATTGAAAGCCATGCTGGACGACTACCTCAACAACCCCAAGTTGGCTGCAACTAATAATTCACCCACTGTGGCTACCCCCAGTGATAAGGCGAATGGGCTCGTGGGAGAAGACGCTTCAAAGCCTACCAAAACATTGGTGAATGGAGACTTACCATCTTCTACCGGAGAAAAGCCCAAAGCCAGACGACCGTTCGGAAGAGTGATGAAAAAGGTTGATACTAGCGTAGCGGAGGAGAAAGGAGAATCCAAGACGACCGACAGTCGACCGAGTGGAAAGAGGGAAACTGATGAATTGGGAAAGGTCACCAATGAGAATGTTCTTCCGAAAGACCAAGTGCTGGTGGAGATCTCTGCCGTTGACGGAAATGGTGAACTCAACGGACCCAAGCGTGAATCTGGAGACAGTGGGGAAACTTCTGTGTTGACTCAAAGTGCGCTACCTTTGAATGGGCGTGCTCAGGAAGGTGAATCAACTTGAACTACCGGTCACCTAGCCGGTAAGATATGGCGAGTCAAGTGAGGTGGTCCCGCCATATCAAGTTATGACTGGATGAAATGGGCTGGTCTGTGGAGTTAATGAAAATCTCATGGGAGCGGTTTGGCGTGCTCATGGTGTACTGTGAATACAGATGGCTTTGGAGTCGAGTGGTGCTGGCTGGCGTCAAGTCAGGATCCAGTTGCAGCAGTGCAGTGTGTATGTTGTCCATACACAAAGTCTTTTGCGCTTCAAGCCGCTGGATTAGGGATGGCATACAATATTTTGCACAGATTATTGAGCATCAAGATGGTCTTCTGCACATTCAAGCACAAAGACATGCGTTAAGCAGTCGCCGTTCTCGTCTACTACTCTCGTACAACTCTCGTACACAGTACTACTCCGGATTTACTACTTTGGACAGGACACCCGTAGGCGAGGATACTATCGTCACTGTGGTGCTATGGTAGACTGTAAGTACCTAGGCGAGAGGGGACTGTACCATAGTAGGCAGTGTGGTCCACAAGCAGCCAATCACAGTCGGTTCTGACCTCGGCTCAGTTCCAATGTCAAACGCGTGCAATTTGCGCCTCGAGCCGCGAAGGACTTCCACAGACACCACCGACCTCATCTCTGCCGCAAGAAGAGACAACTTGACTAAGATTGTGGTACAGCTATTCTTTCTATCTCGCCGACTCATCCAAGCGAAGAACAAACACTGCATCGATGGTGGACCTGACCGCATTCCCCGACCGACCTTTTCCTCATCTATCCACCAGCCGTGGGCTTCAACCGCTTTCTTTTGACGCCCCAGTCCAAGACAATTTCTCCTGATTCGGTCCCGTACCGTTTCAACAGCTGCATTCAGAGCCGGCCCAGGAGCTTCTTTCGACCGTCGCTACCCCTATTGGTCTTCATTGGTCTTCATTGGTGGTCGGTTTCGTGTTTCAGCCTTTTCTATCTTGAGCTTCTCCCTCACTCGACTTGATCGTTTTGACAACGACCATTGCTAATTCGGTCCTGTCCACAACTTCCAACCTCATACGGAGTATTGCGCGCGCGCCAGCTAGAACTTCGTCCTCATAATGTCTTGAATTTGGGCCCGCTACGGCAGTAGCGAGCCGTGACCAGTCGTTTGGTGGTGTGGTCCTTGACTTACCTCGCTCTACACACCTTCGTACGTCGAGGAGCTCTCCTCAGACTTTGCGACCTCCTCTACCGCCATACAAATAGTCACGAAGCTCGACTCGACAGGTTTGTTCTTCTTCTTCCATCCTCATCCCCCGCCACTATTCCCTCTTGTGCTTTCCGCTTGCTCCCTTTTCCTTTCAGTCCCTCGTTGAAGACACTCGCTTTATCAAAAGTCAATCGCTACTGCATAGCTCAGTTCATTCGTTCATCACGTCATTGTTTGTCAAATAATTGCCACCATGAAGTCCGCATTGACTGCTGGCCTTGTGGCCTCTGCCCTCCTCTTACAGCAGGCTGCTGGTATGGGCAGCTGGGGCGATGCACCAAGCTTTTCAAGTCCTTCCAACTGCAACAATACCTGTACTACCGATCAGAAGAGTGGGTTTGACTGGTCCAGTCTTCCTGCAGGTGGTTTCAACAGCTACGGTGGATTTGGCTTCAGTGGATTCACTTGTCAGAACTCCTTTCAAGGCAAGAGCAAGAGATCTCTTCAGACCCGATCTGATTTCCAGGTGAGCATGGCAGTATGCGATGAAGCCGGCTCATGTTGACTTGTTCTAGCCAAAATGCATTCAAGGCAGTGTTGGCAAATCGTCGAGCAGCGGTCCAAGCTTCTCTTGCGGAAAGGACGACGCCTTCTCAATCAGCCACATGCAAGTATCTGTCTCCTTCGACACCGAATTGGATTTCATTTTTTCCATGCCTGATGGCTCGACTTGCAAGCACACCGCTTCGTGCCAGTCTGCTGGTACGACAGTTGAGAACTCTCAGTGCGGTGGTGCCAAGTCAGTTACATTCCAATTGCCTCCTAGCAGCGGTAAGAGCTCGTGTGATGTCGGCATCCACTCGATCGGATTCGACTGCAGCTCTTCATCTCCGCCGACCCCACCGACCACTTCGACCACGACTACCACTACTACGCCTGTGAAGACGACTACTACTCCTGGTGTGGTGACCACTACTACGACAACGACTCCTGTTGTCTCGACCACAACTAGTCCAACGACCACCACTACTCCAGTTCTGGAGACTACCACCACAACCACGACGCCTGGCAAGGAGACCCCTACAACCACCACAACCACACCTGCTGTGTGGACTACAACCACGACCACCACTCCTGGAAAGGAGACCCCTACTAAAACCACGACCACTACTACATCGGGCCAAGAGACAACTCCAGGTGCGACAACCACGAGCACGACCACCTGGGGCAAGGAGACTCCTACAACCACCATCACCACAACTACACCGGGCAAACAGACTCCACCGGCCACTACAACGACCACAACTACTACTCCAGGCAAGGAGACTCCTGCCACCACGACCACTACGACCACTACTCCTGGTCAACAGACACCCGGCACTACTACCACCACTACACCCGGCAAAGAAACACCTCCCACCACCACCACCACCACCACCACCACCACCACCACAACTCCAGGCAAAGAAACTCCATCCACAACGACAACCACACCCGCAACAACGCTCTCCACGACCACCCCCAAAATCTCTCCACCAACAACCTCATCGTCGACAACGGTCCCCTCCGGTCCACCCCCACCCGAGTCCTCCGCACCCTGCCCGTCCGTTTTGCCCAGCTGTCTCAACACCTGGCTCAGCATGATGCCCAAGTGCTCATCAAACAGCGATACCAAATGTTTCTGTCCCAGCCCTGAGTTCATCGCCTCGGTGCAAGAGTGCGTGTCCGCATGGGCCGGAAGCGACGATGAAATCACGGCCGCTTTGTCTTATCTGGCGGGGATCTGTGCCGACTTTGTTCCGCAGAACCCGGGTATTTGCACGGGCATTCCGACCTCGATCACTTTGATCCCATCGGTGGCGCCTGTGACGGAGACGGTCACAGCCACTGCAACGCAGACAAATGGAATCGGACGCGGGTCACGACCTCCTGTGGGCCCGTCGACGCCGCCACCCGCCGTTCCAGTGACCACTGTGACGTTCACGCAGACTGCTGCCGGCGGTAGTGTGATTACGACCGCGGTCACGGTGCCGCAGGTCACGTTCGTCACGGCCAGTGCGACCGGCACGGCCGCGGCGGGAGGTGTCGGTTTGGTGCCCTGGGGTGCCGCTGCCACTGCCACCGGAGTGTCCGAGGGCAGCGGAGCTGGAAGTGGAAGTGGAAGTGGAAGTTCACCAGCAAGCGAAAGTGGTGCAGGTGCAGGTGCGGCGCCGGCGCCGGTCAGCACGGCTGCAGGACAGACGTTTGCGCCGGCCAGTAGTACGACGGGCGTGGCGCCGGCTCAGTTCACTGGCGCAGCGGTGAGGAATGGGTTCAGCAGCTTCACGTTTGGTGTGACGGTAGCTGCGGGTGTGTTGGGGGCTTTTGCGTTGATGGCTTGATCGGACCGTATCGGGTTTGAAGGTTATGTGGAGGTGGTATGTGTGGATGGATGATGGATGTTGCATATGGCAGTCAATGCCGAAGGGACATATAATGGAAAGGGGCGGAAAGATGTAATTTATTTTGGTCCAGATAACAGAACAGTACAATAGGAAAAAGCAAGGATGATATCCATGGATTGATATTGATATTGATGTACAACGTGTCCACAGAACAACATACTATGTAGTAAAAAGGGGAGAATGTATGATGGATGTAAATTACAGATTGAGTGAGCATAGTCCTGAAGAGCCTATGGTGTCATCGAGTTGTGTGGCGAGGATATGAAACGGTGCGACGGTCCCAAGTGAATAGTGCACTCCATACGTCGAATGTTTTGCGGAGATTGGAACGATATCACTCATCGAAGTAATGCAAATTATATGTTAGGGTTGTGTATATGTTACTATTCTCTTTCGACAAGTCTGAGTCTGCCTGTGAACCCTTAGGCATGGACAGCGAGGTTGGTATTCGTACTTGACCGACTCCGGGCGTTAAGAATTACGGGTTGCTTCCTTACTCTGTACACTGGGTTGGATGGCTCAAGTTGGGAAGCGGGTGAGCGAGCCAGGCGGTGACTATGGCTGAATCGGTGTTTGGGCTGGGTCCCGAGTGTCAGACAGTAGCAGATACCGATCCTCCAGCACCCAGTAGTGTCGATGGCCGTTTGCTGGTTGTGACAAAAGTAAGGAACTTTGCAGGCCGCAATACAATATCAACGCTTCCGATCGTGCGAGGCGTGGCTCTTGGACTAGGATTCGCAGTTTGTTGGACTGCCTCTGTTCGAATGCGGGCTCCAGAGCGTTTGGATGATATGATAGATGCTATGCCGCGACATTTTGGAACGTTGATATCTTCGCTTTCGCGAGCGAGACTATTCAGATGTTTGTCGATCGCGTGGGTGATGGAATCCAGATCTTGAACGGAACCCAGATGTTGGGAGACTGCATGAGCCTGGACTTGCGCCGTGGATGGTGCTTGCGGCTCTGTATTGGCGTAGCCCGAAAAGGTCCGGTCAAGTTCCCAGGGAAGCAGAAGTTGCCACTGTCGACGAGTCATGGATAATCACCTCGGTTCGTCGACCCGGGAGGCTATCGAGTCTCCGCTGGATGACACAAATTGTAGATTTCATGTTCTTGAGAGGAGCATCAGATTTCCCATGCATCGCCGTGGCGGGCTAGTAAGCGACAGTTATTGTCAGTCATAAGACGTCTCGATACCTCACACGCCTTCGATATCCAGGCTGTCCAAGAATTTGTCCGCCTGAGCTTTGGCTTTCTGCTCAGCAATCAGCTTGCGACGCTCTTCAATCTCCTTCCGCCGCTGTTCTTTCTTCTCTTCCCTCTCCTTTCGAACCTTCTCCGTTTCCAGTCTCTCCTTCTCCAGTGCATCCATTTCTTTCTGTCGTTCCTCTGCATCTTTGCTGAATGTGTAGAACCCGGTGCCTTTCGTTCTAATCTCAGCATTGGCGTCGTAATGAGTATCCGGGGGAGGCGTGGCAGATTTATCTCGTTTCTTCGCGAGATCTGCCATGCGGTCCGCAATGACTTGGTCAGGGTTAAATGCTGAGTGTTGAACGGTGTCGCCGTATATAACGTTGATCGGCATAGACGGTCTTGCAGATATGCGCTCCGCTTCTTCGGCAGCATTAGCCTGTACCCGCTTCCTCCTCTCTTCTCTCGCAGCCTGTGCCTTTGTGCCTTTTCGCAAGCGACCAAATTCGTCAAAGTACTCAACGACATCTTCGGCATCACTAGCAGAATCTTCCGAGTCCGAACTTCCGGATTCACTGGCTTGACCGGTTGCCTGCTTCTCTGCCCACTTGCGATCAAAGTCGATCAGACCGCGTTCGTCGTAGTCTTCTCTTCCGATATATTCGCCACGCTTCATAGCGTTGTAGAGGCGGACTTTGTCCTCCATCTTCCTCTTGGATCTATGCAGTTCTGCCGCATCGACTGACCCGATGTCGTCTCTTGTTTTGTGGCGCTGTTGGCCATCCTCGAGATCGGCCGCGGAGCGTTTCTTGACATTTTTGTTATGTGCGGTGAAGATGTCAGACTTGTCTTTGGAGGGTCGGGGACGGCCAGAGCTGGATTTGGTCTGGGAAGTCGAGGAACTGGAGATTAGTGACGCGAGGTTTGTGGAGAAAGCAAGGGAGGTAGAGGAGGAAATTTCTTTGGTCTTGGTCTTGGAGGCCTGCTTGACACCGTAAAGGCCGCCTGACATGATACCTACTGCTGCTGCTATTCAAGGTCTTCGGAGGCCTTCCGAGGGCATGAATGGTATCCGAGGTGGCTGAGAAAGGATGCGTCCAAACGTAAGTACGAGGCTGAAGACGCAGACAATACAAGGCTGCCAGGCTATTGCGCTTTGCCTCATTTGGTGGATCACGTGGATCACGTGGATGGTCCTACACCACCACCACTTCTCAGGAAGTGACCAACACCATAATCAACTACTTGACGTATTGTCATTCTGCACGCTATTCTCCGATCCTCGGTATCAACTGTCGCTCTACTATGAGTAGTATGGAGTCCATGAACAATGATATCGGTGCCCAGAGCTCGTCTAAGTCATCTAGCTGGAGCCAGGGTCACATCGGCGTCCGCTCCGCTCACCAATCACACAATGTCAATTGCCGGCTGCAGGAACTATTCCCTGTTATGGCCACTCTTATGCTGATCCTTTATCGTAAGAACAAACCATCCCCCGCATCTAAGTCCTTGAGGAACAAGAGACAAGGGATCTGCTAGATCCAGCTTTGGCATCCTTTTCCCAGCCCTTGACTCATAAGACTCTTGGTATGCATGGGCGGGAAGACTCCGAGATCTGGCAGATACTTGACAAGGCAGGAGGGCGTGTATGTCCAGAACTGCCCATTATAAAGAAAGATTAATACCTTGGAGCCAGAAGAGTTCGCATTCTTCTGCTTGACTGCACGTCTCAGAGCTATCGCACGGCCGTCGTCGATATGGGCGCTTCAGCATCAGTCCGGGCCTACCTGCGGTCCGACAAGTCATCTCAAGAGAGGAAGCTTGTCCGCAAGGTCGACTGGTTCATTCTATCCTTTTGTTGCTTGATGTACTTCTTCAATTACCTTGACCGGAGCAACTTGACACAAGCTTATGTCAGTGGCGCTAAGGAGGACCTCGACTTCAAAGGCAACCAGTTGACTCAGATTACCACCATCTTCACATGTGGCTATATCGTGTAAGGCTTGCCTTGTTGCAGTGTCTTGGATCGGACTGACATCCCTGCAGTGGTATGGTTCCTTGCAATCTGGCATTATACTACATCAAACCAAGGATATTCTTTCCTTCGATGATGGTGCTTTGGGCGGCTCTTACTATGGTCACTGCTGCAGCACAGAAACCCGAGCATATCATGGCAATCCGATTCTTCGTTGGCGTTGCCGAGTCCAGTACCTTTATAGGCACCCACTACATTCTGGGCTCCTGGTACACCGAGAAGGAATTAGGCAAAAGAAGCGGTATCTTTACCTCCTCTGGCCTTGCTGGAACAATGTTTGGAGGGTTTATTCAGGCCGGCATTTACAAAAGCATGAACGGCCTTCAAGGTCTGGCAGGGTGGAGATGGCTGTTCATAATTGACGGCTTGATTACTTTGCCAGTGGCTGTCTATGGCTTTTTGTTGTTCCCAGACACCCCATCGACGACGACAGCTCCTTATCTTTCGGCTGAAGAACGTGCCTTGGCGATGTCGAGAGTGCCCGAAGTGCCCGAACAAAAGCCTTTATCCCTGTCGTTCGTCAAGCGGGTCCTCAAATCATGGCAGTTCTATGGCTTCGTTATGCTATGGATCATTGCTGGCGAAACCGAGAGTTTCAGCTCGAACAGCTTGCTGGCGCTATATATGAAGGCAGACCCGGAAGAAGACTACACGGTCTCCCAATTGAACAACTATCCGACTGGCGTGCCTGCTGTTGGTATTGTATCGACGCTCTTCTGGGCAACCTTGACCGATTTTCTTGGTGGCAAAAGGTACCTGGTCGCATACTGGATTGCCATCACAGGCATTGTGACGTCGGCGATTATTCTTGCGCCCTCAACGTCTGTTGCTGGGCATTTCGGAGCCTACTACTGGGCAGGCTCCGTGTATGCTTGTCAAGCGACATTCTTTGCCTGGGCAAACGATGCCTTGAGATACGAGGAAGATTCCCTGCGAGCGATGGTCATTGCGTGCATGAATCTTGGAAGTAATGCTGTCAATGCGTGGTGGTCCATTGTGTTCTATTCCGCAGACTTCGCGCCCAAATTCACGGTAAGTTCGTGTCACTTTTAATCAAATCTCACGGGCTAACAACAACCCAAGCGTGGCATGTGGGCTATGATCGGCGTTAGCATCGCAATGGCGGCTTGGGCCTGTGGCTTGCAGATTGTCGAAAGCAAGTATAGGAAGGATAGACCTACGGCGGCAATGGGACGACCAGTGTCTGAGAACGTCGAGAAGGGTATGGTTAGTGACATGCAGAAAATATAGCTGGATTACCCCTATTAGGTGGGAAGATGGCGGGCGTAGTAGTGTCTGAGCTTTGGCGGGGAGGTGACTGGCTGTGCGCGTTGTTGCTACTATGGACCATCGAGTACAACAACGTAAAAACCAGTATTTGACCAAAGTGTCTCTTCGAAAGATATGGGAGCTTCACGTGGGAGGCGGCAATAGTGATGATGTCCATTAGGGGTGGAGATCGGAATCCTGGGTTAGATCAATATGGGTCAATATGGGTGGTCCCTGCCATCTCGGAGGGTTATCTAGCCGTTCTGGCCGCGGATGAATTCACGTCCATGGCCATGCGAACACCCATTCAAACTTAAGTAATCCCTTGTCCTAGATATTCTGGTCCACGCTTCTGAATGAACCACTACGTTGACGCGATGTCTTCATTGAGACACGTCAAAGCCAGTGATCACGGACAAAAGCACAGTTATGAATTCACCAGAGTCGCTGGAACCGGCGCCGCAATCGGCTTCTGTGGAGGACGTCAAGACTGCACGACGGCGTCGAGAAAAACCTCAATTGTCATGTAATTTGTGCAGGAAAAGGAAGTGAGATTTACCTTGTCCATTCGTGGCGTCACATCCTGCTTACAGGCGACACAGGTTGAGATGTGATCGCAGGCAGCCGTGCCACAATTGCGACCATCGTGGTCTTGCCGATACATGTGCATACGCGCATAGCAGTCTTCCGAAGTCTTCATCGTCGAGATCTCCGACGCAGCTGTCGGCGCCAACCGTACGCGACCGAGTCAGGCAGTTGGAGGGTCAAGTTGTCCGCTTGATGGGCGCATTGAACGACGCCTCCGAACATGCTCAAGCTGGCGCTGCAGCTGCGACATCCTCTTCAGAAATGTCCCCCGGTAACAGCCATGGAGACCCAACTATTTCAGATCCTCCAGGTGCATCATTCCCGGGAGAGCCGGGCCATATTGATTACTCACCTTCGAGCATTAACTACGTGGGCAACACTCACTGGCTTTCCATGTTAGAGAACGTAAGAGCTCTCTTCCGCAAGACAAATTGAATTCCAAGCTAACAACCGGGTAGATCCCTGAGCTGAACGAGGTCCTAAGAGAATGCAAGCAAGATTACGTCGCTGCGCAAAGCTCAATGTCACGGATCCCGAATCTCCTCTCAGGCTCATTCCAGCAGATCGGCCGAGCAGAAATCCTTACCGCCATCCCGTCCAGAAACATCGTGGATACTCTAGTATCAGAGGCTTTCGTGAACACCGACAATGAATGTAGTAAGTTATCGACAGCTGGTGAGATGTCCCCGACTGACTTTGGCAGTGATAGTCCACCCTCCGACCTTTCGCAAGGAGGTAAGTCACCCCTCGAGTTCTGGAAACCATCCTCATTAGGGCACAGTATATGCAATTCTGGGTTGATCCATCTTCTACGCCAATCATGTGGATCGGTCTTTTATTCGCCCTGATGTGCCTGGCGATTCAGTATCAGCAATTTTCGCCGGACGAGTCTCGCAGACTCCAGATTGCAGACGCCAATCCCGACCAGCTTATCGCGAGCTTTCACATGAAGGCCGCTCAATGCCTTTTCCTGGGCAAATATCTGGAAGCTCCGCAATACGCGGTGGAGACGCTACTGCTGCATCTTTTCGCGGAGAATCTCGAGGGCGACCATAACGAGACCACGAACAGCTGCTGGGCTCTGTGGGGCCTTGTTGTCCGCATTGCCCTGCGCTCTGGATATCACCGCGATGGCTCGTATTTCCCAAGCATCTCGCCGTTCGAGGCGGAATTGAGACGAAGGACGTGGACAATCATCGTGCAATGGGATAACTTTTTGTCTTTACAATTCTGTCTGCCGCGGATGGTCGTGCAGTCGCAGTCGGATACGGCGGAGCCTCGAAACCTGTTGGAAGAAGACTTTGATAATAACATGCTTGAGCTGCCTCCCGCGAGGCCAGCGTCGGTGAAGACGAATGCACGGTTCCACACGGACAAGAACAGATTACTCGCGGTCGGCGGTGCAATCGCCGACGTGTCTGGTGCACTTCGGCCGCCACCGATTGCGGAGGTGCTTAGACTGGACGATCTGCTCACAGAGACATACGAGTCAGTGGCACCGTTGTGGCAGTCAGATGCCGCCGTTTCGGCGACAGTGCGGTATACACAGCGTGCGAGTGGCAGTGTGCGAAGTATATTTCTGGCTAGCATATACTGCAGGTCGCAAATCACTCTGCACCAGCGGTATCTGGTCCCTGGCAAGACGATTACTCAATATGCCAGATCCAGGAAGACGTGTATCGAGGCGGCGCTGACCATGCTGCAACACCAGTGGACTTTATACCTCGAGACGCAGGTTGGAGGACCGCTATGTCGGCATGGCTGGAAGTTTTTGTCCTTGCTCACGCAAGATTTCCTCTTCGCGACGGCATTGTTGTGCGCCGAGCTCGCGCAGGATATGGGAGACGATGCGTCTGGGTCTTCTGGCGAAGAGTACACAAGACAATCCGAGGAGGATAAGGAAACGAGGAGCAGAGTGTTTCACTCACTGAGCAGTGCGTATATTGTCTGGCTGCAGTCAAGAAACTACGACTCCTCACGGGCAGTCAGAACAATGGTCGCTGCGTTGAAAGAGTTGTTGAGAAGAGCGCAGGGCGCTGGATATGCGGTCGCGAAGGCTCCATCATCTGCGACTGTTCGAAGTGTTCAGTCGCAAGAACATGCGCCTACAATAGCGACGCCTGACTCCGCGCCAGACTCTGGGCGATGGGGAGGTCCTCCAGGGATGTATCATAGCATTGCGCTGTTCCCGATATGAGGGTATGCGTTAGCTTAAATACTTTTCATCTCATGACACGCTCATGCTGTCTCCGCGATGGCTAGGACGGACCAGTTGGCACTCAGATCGTGTAGGTAGACATGGGTGATCTCAGAGTGATGCCCCTTGAAGACAAGCGTGCTCAGCAACGTGCCCAGGTGCGCGGCAGTTTCAAGCATCGGAGGCTTCTTCCGGGCCGCTCAACAGGGTTAGTCAGGCTAGTCAGTGGGCGGGACTTATGACGTCGAGCCCTGGAAAAGCTCCCGCACCTCCGGAGGTACATGACAACAGTGAATCTTCAAGTTCTATAACTATAACTTTGGTAGCTGCCAGGTCGCTATTTTACAGTAATTTCTATTCCTGCACCACACAATTATTCTTCCCTTGAAGAGTTCCACTTCCGCCGAGCCCACCGAAGCCGATCACATTCTCCCAGCCAGACATGTCCTCCGAATCGTTCGCCGCGCTGCGAAAGACCAGTGGTGATGAATTGGCGGGTCTGGCAGAGGAACATTTCAAGCATGAGTGAGCCAGAACTGCACATAACTTGCGGATCTCTAGTGCTAAGCTCACGACCTACAATAGTCTCCGCGAAGAAGACCGTGACGTTGTCAAAAAGGCCGCCCGCAAAGTCTCAACACACACCTTTGTCGGATCAATGCTGGGCGTAGGCCTAGGAGGATTCCTGGCGTACCGGCTCCGTGCGAATCGAAAAGCCTTCTACCAAGCGTTCCGGGCCACCGAGAAACCTACACATGTGAAGTTTGCAGATGGGAGGGAAGAGGCCATACCAGATGTCACGCCACTGCTCCAGCCAACGCCGCTTGGTGATGTGTTTACCTACACATTCTTTACTATTGCGGGACTCTTTCTGGGTGGTGAGACTGGTCTGCTGACGGGTACGTGGTCAGCGAGGAGAACGTTGGAGAGGAATGCAGACACCAAGGCTCGCGTCGAGAAAGCCTGGAGATCCTTCAGGGCAGACGTGTTGAGGAAGCAAATTGAAGAGCTGGAGGGCGGGAAGAAGGAGAACACGCTACTTTGGTAGATGGATCCCCAGTCGCAATGGGTCGATAATGAGGATGCGAGATGAGATATGGGAGATTGTACACCACACGGCACACGGGAAGGCGCAGGACAGGAGGTCAGTACAAAATTCCCCTCTCCTCCAGCAGGGAACGCAGGAGCGGACAGGCATCCAGAAGACGAGGTTTTGGATGACTTAATACTTGCTCAGCATTGAACTTTGAGATGGTGCAGACTGATACCGGCCAATACCACCAGAGGATCAGGTAGCAATATGACCCTTTCCTCATCGTTACTGACGTCCGTCAGGTACCCTCCGAGTACATTGCTGTTACCTTCAGCTCACTTGATCCTTCCTTCCCAGTTGGCGCCTGCCATGTGCTCTCCACCCTCTCTGTCCCTGCCCATCTCCTTGTCCATGTCATCCTTCTCGTCAACAGTTGCGCGCCACATCTCAAACTTCTCTTCCCCAACGACTGTACCCCCGGGACGGCCTTGCTCGCAACCATGGAGTCCTCGTCTCCCACCGAAGAAGTGGTCATGGTTGACCCGGATGGCGATTTGATCCTCGAAATTCGCCAGAAGCGATCTGACAACGATGAGCCATCGGAGTCTGGAAATCTGAAGCGGCTTCTAGTCTCCAGCAAAATCCTCACCATCTCTTCACCCGTCTTCAAAGCCAGGCTGTGCGGCCCTTTCCTTGAGGGGCAGCTTGCGCTGAGCAATGTCAACCCTCCTGTTCTTCCCTTGCCAGAAGACGACCCGGGAGCCATGGAAATGCTGACCAGGATACTCCACCATAGCTTTACTATAACCGATGTCCTACGGATTCCTGGCCTATGTCACATGGCTATGACAAGCGACAAATACGGCTGCAATGTGGTGATCAAGTCTTGGTTTCATGCCTACCTCTTCCGGAGGGCTAAGTCAGGGCCATTCGGCGCTTCAGAGCTTGCCAGATTACTCAGTGCTTCCTATATGCTGGATGACCACGAGTTCTTTTACCGCTGCACTGAGATCGCCATCTTAGAAATGGAACGGAATCAGAATGCCTTGTCACTGCAGTCTGATCGGACTGACCAGTCCTGCTGGCCTAACAGAGTTTGAGACTACTCTAAAAGACTGGATTCCAGAGAGAGTTTATGGTCAGTACGGAGATTATACAGATTGCAGGCCCGTGGACATATCGTACTGACTAACTCCTACAAACGCTATGAAAGCAGCATACAAAAAGAGAACGGTGGCATTGATGGACTGTTGCACAAATGCCATTGGTAAACTCTTCGAGGGCGAGGGCAGCATTGCCAGTATCACCACTTGTGGAGGCATCTGCACTAAATATGCAGAAGCAAAAGTCGGCGAGAACTGCAATGGTCAAGCGACGAGGATAACACACTTGTCTCTGAGTTGATTGCTTTCGGACTCTGGCCCGGCGATGCCTGCAGAGCGCAACATCGTCCACTGGCAGCGTTCATAGACATTGTTCGAGGAATCGGACGAAGTCACTTGAATGACACGCCGAGGTGCGAAAGTTGGCAGGATTGTGACTGTTGTGGGCTTGAGTGGAGCCTGGCGATTGAGGGTCTAGTCGAAGATTTCGAGCGAGAGGAGAGCTATGGCCTCTGTCTAACTTGTCTGAAAGCGGCAAAAGAAGATGCACGAGACAAGGACTTGGCCGAAAGATGCTCAAAATACCAAGTGGTCGGCGAGGGTGGAGAACAATGATGTTTGGAAGGCGCACTGGTGTGCTCTCAAGTGAGGCCAGCTGTGCAAAGTGCAAAGGATGTATCCTCGAGAATGGCTTTCTTCTATCACGGAGTGGTCGATGGGATGGCATCGGAAGACCAGAGTAGACGGGGTAAACTACAGCTGGAGACGATGATGGTAGTCGTAACGTAGCACAGAGACAGACCAAGACAGCTTGCCAATCACGTGTTCGTGCAGATCAAAGAGCTGTACCACAATCTTCTACTTGGTCTTCCATCGCTGCTCCTATCTTTGCTACGCTCAGATCACGTATCGGTAAAGGGGCGATTTGTCACCAAGGTCGAGTAGCTCCTCTGCGAAACAAAGTGTCAGTCCCCTGATTCCCGGAAAAAGTCATGCAGCAACGACTTACCCTCCGTATACTTGGCGCGAATCTCCTCCTCGCTCATCTGATCTCTCTTCTTGTTAAGCATGCCGTAGGCGATTCGGAGCACGAAGGTGGAGGCGATGGCCGCAGTGACCATACCCAGTGCCAGACCGTATCCGAGCCAGTAATGCGGCGCTTGCTGAGCAAGGAAGATGTTGGAGCCGATAGCGCCGCCCATCTGAAAACAACAACAATGTTAGCACTGGAGTCGCTTCTCGCTAGGGACTTTTCAAGTCGTCGACGCCGCATGTGCCGGAAGACACTGGGGACCACAAAAACAGCCCGGGTAGGAGCACGAATAGCTGGGTAGGAGGACTCACATTTCCGATGCTAATCAGCAATGCCATACCAACTGCTCGCTTCCAGGTCGGCGCAAGGTTGTTGCCAACCCACGACAAACAGCCGATGAGTGGCGGGTAGACACCACCTGGAATGGTGAACAAGAAGGCATATGTAAGTCCTGGTAGTTTTGGATGTGGGATCGACAGCAGGCCGATAAATCCAACGGCGGCGATGCTATAAGGGATGACAATGAAGGGCCAACGCGTCTGATGTCGATCGGCGAGCACGGAGAAGAATATCGTACTGCACACGCCCACGACGTAGATGGGGATAGTGAGTAATTGTGCGTTTGCAGCGGTGTAGCCTAGCTCGAGAATGATCGTGGGCGCGGAGTACGTGAAGCCGTACAAACAGATTGAGTTTCCCCAATAAATTATCACCGCAAAGTAGATCTTCCAGTCGCTCAGGGCGGCTCGGAGATAGCGCCATTGAAAGCCATCGTCAGTACGGACTTGGCCGGCCGATGTGCCTGCGTCTTGTCTCAATCGGCGGATGATGAAGTCCTTCTCACCAGCTGTCAGGAAGCTCGCTGTTTCCGGGGAGTCGGGAAGGGTCCAGTGTAGAGACAGGCCGATCACGACGGTGAATATGCCTTCCAGTATGAAAATCCAACGCCAACCGCCAAGGCCTGAAAGCAGTTAGAATGGATGGGGGATGACGAGGAAGGGGTAAGTGGGAGAGGATGGAAGTACCTGCAATGCCGTCCATCTTCTCGATGGCGAAGGCGAGGAGGCCGGAGAAGGCGCCGGCCATGGATGCAGCGGAGAAGAAAATCGATAGGCGGGTTTGGACTTCGAAGCGGCAGTACCAGCTGTGGTGATAGCAAGATCAGCATGATGAAATTTCCAGCAGATAGTAATGGCGTTTGGAGACCCGGTTGGCCGCCAACGCAACGGGGACACTTACGTTGTCAAGAGGTAAGTTGCGGCGGGGAAGAAGCCCGATTCAGTCAGACCCAAAAGTGTTCTGGTGACGATGAGGCCGTGGTAGTTCTGAACGATGCCTTGGAGAGTCATGACCTAGGAATGTCAGTGGAGGGGATGCCATGGGCTTCTCGGTGGACGTACAACGCCCCAAGAAAGCATGAGAATGGTGATCCACAAAGACGGCTGCATGAGTTTGAGTACGATATTGCTGGGCACTTCAAAGATGCTGTACGGGAAGAAGAAGACCTGAAGAAAGGTGCCATTAGTATAGGCGCGGAAGTGCGAGATCATGCCTTGCCTTACCGTCAAAGCGATGTTGTATTGAGTACCCGTGAGATTGAGCTCTTTGTTCATGCCAGCAACCTTTGCGTTGCCAATATTTCCACGATCCAAGAAGGCGAGAACATACAACAATGTCAGCATTGGTAGGAGCCGATAGTCGACCTTGCGCAGGATGCGCTTCGTCTCCTTGTCGTCATATCGAGGGAGCTATTCGAGGTCAGTCGGCCGGCGACTTTGTGTTAGGGATATAAAGGTACATTGGAGTCGTCAAGACCGGCGTGTTCACCCAACCCGGATTTCTCAAGATGAACTTGATCTCCAGTTTCGACATATTGGTCCTTCTCCTCGGCGACTGTCTTCTCCATCTTTGCCGACTGCTTTGAGATTTTGCAAAGGACTGACTTGCTCTGACGAGAAAGTCGAGAAGCTGGGGTATGGGGTCCTTTTGTAGCCACGGGCCATTGACCTGAGGAAGTGCTGGGCAATGGATAACGTGCGTCACCATGTGTCCTGAGGTTCCTGAGGCGAGCTTCCTGTGGCACGTTCCACAGGTGCATCGGTGGCCAAGCCCGACAAGTTGCAAGGTCACATACAACAGGTATAAACCGGGAGAAGGTCCGTCACCGGCGTGTAAGACCTTGAAGCAACACATGGAGACGGCTTTTTGACCGAAGATATGCAGGGCCACACATGCATGCCATGGCTGCTAGCAAGGATATAGCTAAGGCAAGAGGACTGATGCGTGTCTCCTGGATTCCTGCCTTGCTGCATGACGCCGATCAAGACAGCGTCATTCGCGGCGCCCCAAAGCTTGTGGGGAAAAAGAATTTACGCGGAGGTCGTATACTGGATGACGCTTGATGAAGTCGAGCGGCCAAGTCTTGTTGTGGAGGTCTGGAGAAACTAGGCCAGGCTATCGCTCACGGCAAATAACTGGCAACATACCATTCGACATCGTTGCATCCGCATTCCACCTTGCCGACGCTGAAAGACTGTCAGTTAGATGTAGACCTCGCCATGTGCAACATGTTAACCGAGCAGGTGCCTCGGCAGCATCGTGCGGTGAGCAAAGAAGCGAGAAATCGGCAGTCTCCGACGACGGATATGCCTATTGAAGAACGGTCCGACTTTGAAGGGGCCGATATTCATATTTCTGTAAGCACGTAGGGGCATTAGATGGAGGTAAAGCAGAGAAGAAGGTGGCATTTGGGTGGTGGTCAAGGTTCGCAAAAGAGGGCATTTGCTCGTCCGTATTATTATTTGTGGCTTTTTGATCTGCCGTACTCCAAGCGGAACAGAGGCCGCCACTGCCACTACTGTATCACTGTTTCTCTTGATACCAAGTCATAGGCCTGATCATGGATCTTTCCCAGTCAAAAAGCGACAGGTATGACTTCCTGCATGTAGATCCAATGCCTATTTATGGCAGCTGCCAGGTCGGTAGAGTTCAATTACTACTTTTCAGATATTCGATGACAGTCTTGCAAAACTGCTCGAAGCCATCGACGTAGCAGACATGACCTGCTTGCTGGATCACTTTCAGCTCCACCTTGATGGGTTTCCCCGAAGCATCGAACCCTTCTTGGATCTTACTTCGGAGCACACCCATCTCCTGAGGCAAGTTGGCGTCGAGCTCACCAACCACCAAAAGAGCGCTGTCAACCGAATCACCCATTTTCAGGGCCAGTGACTTCAGGTCGAAGCTGCTCGATTGCAGCGCCCGACAGCATGTCACGAACCCTTCAACTGTCGTGTCCATCATGATTTTGCGCAATTCCTGGACCTCTCGTGGGTTTGACTTGCGCCAGGCTTCCGAAAACCAACGGCCTATCGTTGCATCTACGAGAGAGTTCATATTTCCTTCTTTCTGAGCCAGCTCGGTCCTGGGCCCAAAAACGTCGGTAATGCCCGCCACTTTCGGTGACGAGGATATGGTATCACAGACGATGAGCTTTCCTATCATCCCGGGATTCCTCGCCGCGAAGACGACGCCTTTAGCGGCACCCATGGAAACACCAATCCAGGCGTAGAGTTTGCTGATTTTCAGACCCTGGATAAGGGACAAGACGTCGTCGGCCATGGACTCAAACGTCGTCGAGTCCAGATTCGATGGTGCCGAAGTCTTGCCATGTCCAGGCTGATCGTAACGGAGCACACCGTAACCTTCTGCCAGCAAGACCTCGACTACTCGATCCCACGATCGGTATGGAGCTGCCAGAGAATTCGAAAGAAGAACTACGGGCTCCGGAGTTGACTCTGGCTTCAGCGGTCGAGAAAGATCGTAAGAGATGATCCTTCCGTCGGGAAGTGTATGCTGTTGTGATGCCATCTTCGCTCTTGTAGTGCGGTACTTTGTGGTTGCTCAGTTGTGAAGAGCGACTCTGCTCTCGAGGTCTGAGTTTGTCTTGTTAATTCACTAGAAGCGGGTTCAGCTTGAAAGTTGTCATGGAAAGTTTAGAGCTGCCTCTTGGGTGTTTCTTCGGAAGCCTGGTGGCTGCCAAACTTCAAAGCATTCTATGACTCCATCTGGGCGAATTTCTTCACGTTCACCCAGATCGGTCTAGCTACAGCGGGCTGCTGGGGTCTACGGCAGCTGAATCTCGCCATGGAGAACGAACGCAGAGGGAGACACCTAGGACGACAGTGGAGGTGACGGCAGCTTTGACATTTCGGATGCATGCTTCCACCTGGTCCTCGGTTCCGCGGTCTCTCATCCCGCAATCCACTCCACTTTCCCCTCAATCCTTCTCGCGCTTGCACTGATCCTCGGGTTCATCTTCCCTTGTTCCACCGTTGCTCCTCTTGCATTCTGGACAGCCGGATAGCACACACCTGCTGCCGGTACACGATGCCACGACCGTCCGAAGTCGAATCCGCTGGCTCTCCTGTCGAGAGACCTAGGAAACGCCGTCGAGTTCCTGACGAACAGAGGAAGAGATCGCATCAAAGCTGTGATCTTTGTCGAAAGGTGAGTAGGACGCTGACTCGACCTGTTCTGCAAGTGCCTGCCACAACGCCTTTCTCACGAGCAAATTGGCTGACGCGCTGCATCTACTGTGGGTCATTCAGCGCCGCTGTAAATGCATTCCATCAGAGTCTGTCGAAGGCACCTGTACGACTTGCTTCGTCAATAAGGTGAAATGTTCTTATGAGTTGCCGCGAAAAACGAGGTTCTATGGAAGCTGGGATGATCTCAGCGACCGGTTTGTGGCCTTTGAGATGCTTACGAAAGGAAATTCAGACTGACTGTCTGCTATTCAGGTATCGCTGCCTCTGGGCACTCGTCAAGGGCGCGTTTCCCAATGATGACACGGACAGCGTTGCGGACCTGCTGGAGCTTGGGAAACGTTTGGGATATGACATGCCAGACTTGAATGCGGCTGATCCTCTTCCAAGTGATGATTTGGTCAAAGAAACATCGCATAACGTCGTCCCGAATAGCCAGAATGAGGCTGAGAGTGTGAGCGCACCCTCTTCGAGCTCTCGCCCCAGGGAAAATGACCAGAACAATGTGCTCGCACCCGATGTCTGGGGTTCTTCTGGTCCAAATGTCACCGCCCGCGAGTCACTTCGAAGAAGAGAACCCAGCGGTCTCATCAGGGATGATTCGGGACATGCGCACTTCATTGGACCTTCTGGGACGTTGTCCTTCTTTGCAGATTTGAGGCAGCTTGTTTTGTCGCGGGATAAAAGCTCGGGTCATGCCATCATCGAGCCGAGATCTCACTTCGTACACGATGACACAGCCAAAGCTCTGGAGGCGGATGACATCCACGAGCCTAACGAACAAGACAACACGGAGCTCCTTGCTGGACCATCGCCACAATCAATACTGTCAGAGCTCTCCAAGGAGTTTTCTGGACCAGCTCGCCCTGATCCTGCGGAATATCTCAAAAGTCTTCCTCCACAGGACGCCATTGATGAACTTTGTCACATTTATTTCACCGAAATCCACCGGGACTTTCCACTCTTCCACCGAGCAACTTTCGAAGATGAACTGGAAGCCTACGTCGTTAAATTTCGAGCCAGGGTGCTGTTAGGGGCGCGCAAAGCTTATGAGCCCACATGTAGTAATTACGGACCTGACTTCGGCTGGCTCGCTTGCTTGCACATGGTACTGTTGGTAGGCTCCGTTGGCCTGTCGCGCAGTGGACTTGATCTCGACCTGCGTCAATTGCGGCGCAACTGTCTATCTGAGGTTCGCTCCCTATTGCCACACCTCGTTACCAAATGCACGATCACAAGTGTCCAGGCTTTACTGTTGCAGTCCTTGTTCTTACATAACAACAATCACCGCAATGGCGCTTGGACCTTGTTAGGGACTGCGACTAGGATTTCTTTCGCTCTTGGTCTGCACAGACAAGACTTAGAGACCTCCTTTCGGCCTGTTGAACGAGAATTGCGGAAGCGAGTTTTCTGCACGCTGTACGGCTTCGAACAATTTCTGTCATCGAGCCTCGGTAGACCAAGTGGCCTAAACGAATTCGACGTCGAAGTCAAGGCTCCACGTGATGGTTTCCTAGATGACAGCGCTGGTGCAAGCTCTCAGTTTACAATTGCAAGCCTGCAACTGCAGAAGGTCCTGGGGCAGACAAGGTCTGCTATTGCAAAGTTGAAAGACAAGCTGAACTCCGATCCTTCATCGAACATCTCCTCGTCCGCGACATGTTCCCCTGACGAGGAGATACTGGATTACCTCGAGACATGGAAACAGAGTCTGCCACCGCATTTGCAAATGGCCAGCATCGCGAGTTTGGACGATATTCCCCTGCCTAGAAGCGCGACGGGAGAAACTGCAGACAGCTTGTCACTGAGTGATCTCCGTGCGTCCTTGTCACGTCAGACACCAACCCAACTTCGTGGCTTGGTGATGCTTCATGTTCAATACCATTACATCGCGCTGTTAGTGACTCGGCCGACCTTACTATGGGAGATATCCTCCTTCAGTTCATACAATACGAGTCGCAGGACCAGTTACCAAGCGGACAATGACGCTGACCATGGAGGCGACTTTTCCACACCGGAAGCTCCATCATCCATGGGTGCGGCATGTCATTATCATGCTGCCCAGCTAGTGGCCCTGATTGTCCTGCTGGACAAGTTTCAACTCGTCAATGGCGTTTCTGCTCTTGACGTATTCTATGCCTATTCTGCTGGATTGGTGCTTATTCTGGGTCTGCTGAAAGGCCCCCAATTATCAAGACACGAGAAGAGTTCTGATGCGTCAAATCGCAGGCGCCTCACAGGTCAAAGTGGCCGTTGCATCAACGATAGAAATACGCACGCATTGATTCGCGTCCTCAGGTCAACAATTGGGACTGTGCAAAAGTGTGCAACTATGAAGCGGATGGCCGGCGTCATGGACAAATTTGCTGACTCAGTCATCAAGGATGGGGAGCCTAGCGATAACAGCCATCAGCTTGAACCTATTCTTGCTCGAACGTCGTCGCTGAAGAAGTCTGATGGTCGGAACAGTGCCAGGTGGCCAAGGCGAAATGACAACCATCGCAGCGAACAAGCTGTAGAGTCCGCAAGGTCGCAGCACGCTGCAGATGGCGGAAGAGCTCCGGTACCGGCTGGACTGGAAGGTAACTCGACGAGTAATGCGCCATTCTGGCCTTCGGCCGATCAAGAAACCAATGCCGAACGTGGCCTGAACGGCTTGGTGCCAACAGCCAATGTTGCTATGTACGCGCCCTTTCGTCCCCAGGATTTCGGGCAGCATTCTCAAATGGACTCGGCGGAGGAGGGCTACATCTATATCCCAGGACAGCAATCCGTCACACACATGGAGAACCTCGCACAGCATGCTTCTTCGATGACCGGTGGCACATCATCCGCTCTTTCCTATCCCGCTTTTCATCATCCTTACGACGTCTCGAGGGCTTCGATCGCATTGGATCCATTCAGTAACTCATCTGGCATGCCAGCAGAAGGATCGTTCTTCCCAACGATGCAAGGGCAGTCGCAAAACGTGGATTACTTGCAGAGGTCTTCATTCTGGCATGATCCGTTTGGGACACTGGCCGACGGACAGATCCTTGACTGGGCGGATTTAGAGACGTTCTTAGCCACGTAGGACATTTTGTCTTGTGTATGCAATTTTGAAGAAATGTTCGAACCAAATTTTTGTGTTGCGGCAAGAGAGTTTCCTTCGAAAGTGTTGCTTGACAAGTAGAATCGATGGTCTTAAGAGTACCAGCAACTTTGTCCACAGAAGAGACATGAAGAGAGCACATCGCGTTCTTCCAGAACCATTGTCGCAAAGCCCGGAATCTTGCAGCCGAACAGTCCATGTAGGTCACTTTGGTGTGTCTCTGTACTGGCCAAAGCATCCACGGATGCTTGCTTCCGCTGGCTCTGCGCCTCTTCCTTTTCTGTTCGTCAACGATACACTGCATCTAGGAGTGTTACTCTGGAGTCCCAGGCCGTCGCGACCCAGTCATCTCATAAATCAGCATTCGAGTGTGGAGAGCCACATGATCTGCCAATTGCCACCCAGGAAGAACATCTACGCTGATCTGAGGAGTTGTCCTTTACCACAATCCAGACTTATTATATATTCTCTTACCTGCAAAGCCTTTTGCCAATTTTCGCAACATTCCACGATCTAGGAGACTCTTAGACCAGCATCACAACGCCGATCTCCCTAGACAAGCCAGTGGGTATCCTATCTCGTTCCCACCACCAAGATGCCAGAAGCGATGACAAAGCGCAACATCCTCATCGTGGGAGCCGGACTTGGCGGTCTGGCAGCAGCACTCGCCCTCCAGACCGATGGACACACAGTCACCATCGTTGACGCGGCCCCAGAGTTCGCCGAGGTAAGAAGTCCTTCATGCTTGTGATTTTGTAAAACTGACAAAGATAGGCCGGCGCTGGTATCCGGCTACCCCCCAACAGCTCGCGTTTACTCCTCAGATGGGGCGTCGACGTGAACAAGATGGAGAAGTCCGTGTCGAAGCGATATCACTTCTTGCGGTGGGAGGATGGTTCGACCATTGTCAAACTGCCATTCGACAACATCGTCGAGACTCACGGCGCTCCTTACTACTTGGTGCACCGAGCTGATTTGCACGCTGGTTTGATGGAAGCGGCGCAGAAAGCTGGTGTCGCGATCCACGCGAAGCAACGAATCGTCAGCTACGACTTCGATGCGCCGAGTGCCACGACAACAGATGGCACGGTATGGAAGGCCGACTTGATTGTTGCTGCTGACGGAATCAAATCGCTCGCTCGACCTCTGCTTACCGGACAACCTGACATCCCTCGCGACACTGGTGATGTTGCCTACCGAATTTTGATCCCAGGTGAACTTCTTCTCAAGGACCCAGACTTGGCGCCTCTGATCACCGACCCTTGCACTACTTCCTGGTGCGGACCCGATGCTCATCTGGTGGGCTACCCGATCCGAGACGGCGAGCTGTACAACATTGTGGTGTGTGCAACTTCTTACAACGAGACCAGCGACGAAGTCTGGGTTGTCAAGGGCGACACCACCGAGTTCTACAACCGCTTCCAGACATGGGAACCAAGGGTCCAGAAGCTATGCAAGTTGACGGGCGAATTCATGAAATGGCGACTATGCGATCTGCCTATCTTGAGCCGTTGGGTCCATCCATCCGGCAAGGTCTGTCTGTTGGGAGACTCCTGCCATCCAATGCTGCCGTACCTGGCACAAGGCGCGGCTCAAGCAGTCGAGGACGCTGCCGTCTTGCGCCAATGCCTGGCCTCTCCAGATTTCAAGACCCTGGGCGACGCACTTAAAAAATACGAATCGATCAGATTGCCCAGAGCGTCGTTGGTGCAACAGAAGACGCGCGAGCACCAGTATATCCTTCATATCGATGATGGCGAGGAGCAGAAGCAGCGAGACAGCAAAATGGTGGTTAACGGTGAGGAGAACCCTGTCTTCTGGGGATATGATGACAGGAGGAAGTGGTTGTTCAGCCACGATGCGGAAATCATTAGTGCTGAAGGTGCAAACTGGAACACGTCGAGTGCAAGCCCGCAGACAGGACGGGGAGATCTGAACAAAGTAGGGGATATGAAGGTCTCCGTTGCCGCCGTCGCGGCTCATTGAGTTGAAGACGACTTGGGAGTAGATTAGAGGGTGGCTCATGTTCGGAAATTGTTGAGGCGTTTTGAGATATACTAGTATTGCATACACATCGTTTCGGCAATGTTCTGGGCTTCTTCACTGGTAATAAACAGCTTGGTTGGTATCATCAGACGTTTCTGGGACTCGTAGGTTGGGGATACGTCGTATTTGTCTTGCATACGCTCCATCAGATCCCGCGATCATCAAAATAAAAGAGAAACCCCGGGTCAACCTGCTCTCGTAGTCTTAGTGTACTAAGCATTGGACATACTATATTGGCGTGATAGAGCCACTCAAGCCCATGTAAGTTGGTCCCATTATCATGTAGCCCGGCGCTCGAGGTCACGCCCAGAAGGACGCACCTCAATCATTTTGAAATACCAAACCCTCCCTGGCTGATGTCTATTCTATAGCTTGCTGGCCAGATTTGGCCTTTCACTACTCGACCCCAGCCTCCTATGGCTTGACCCCCAAGACACTTTCCTCGACATTTTCCGTCCCTCTTTTCTAATCTCGTCGATACTTCGCATGCCCGTCAACGCCATACAAGCGCGAAACTCCTCCTCGAGAATATCTAAAGCCAATTTCACGCCAATTTCACCGTCATACGCAAGTCCGCACAACACCGGACGGCCGACCCAACACATATCCGCGCCCAAGCAGAGGGCCTTAAGAATGTCCGAGCCGCGTCGAATACCGCCGTCAAAGTGCTGGGTATCACATCAGCATATTCCCCCAAACCCTAGAGAAGGAAGGTAAGGCCATTCCATTACCTCCCGCAAAGACTTACGACAGGTGTCCTCCCTTGCACAGCTTCCACAATCTCAGGCAAGACTTCCAACGTTGGCGGTGCACAATCGAGTTGTCGGCCACCATGGTTAGACACAATGATTCCATCGGCGCCGTTCTGCACGGCAAGCAGAGCGTCGTCCGCCGTTAAGATACCCTTAAGGAAAATCTTCATGCTCGTAATCGATTTGAGATATCTCACGACATCCCACTTCAGCGAAGGGTCGTTTTCGTTCGGTGGTGGGACTTTCTTGGGGTCTGTGGAAGCTGCAATCTGCTGGTCGAGATTCAGGGGTCTCTGCTCCGCTTTGACCTGGGCCATGGTGCTCTGTCGATCCTCGGTGCGCAGCTGAGATCCCGTCTTGACGCCGAGAGAGTCGTCGAAGTTGGCCATCTTCAGATGAGGAGGGACTTTAAACCCATTGCGCATCTCGGACAGCCGCCGACCGAAGTATGGCGTGTCCACGGTTAGCACGATAGCTCTGTAACCCGCTTCTACAGTAGTCAATATTGTTAGTTCGCGTATTTGTGTTTCTCTTTTGCTCCTCAGCTTTCGGGGCCTCGAAGAGAGAACGTACTCTCTGATCTCCTGATTAGATTATCGCTCACTTCCCGATTCTCGAACAAGTACATCTGGAGAACGCATTCGCTGGTCCTGGATCGTGAGGCCTTGTCACATTCACTCTTGACGACTTCCAGACTTGTCGTGGCGAAACTGCTCAACCCCATGAGTACGCCCTTTGACCCTGCAGCGCGTGCTGTCGCCTCTTCGCCGTCAGGGTGGGCCATTTTCTGCATCGCTGCTGGTGCCACGCAGCAGGGAAACGAGATTGCTGGTCGAATACTCTGGCTGTCGTGTCTATCCGCGAGACATCTCTTAGGACCCGGGGCATGATGTACCACCGTCGGTAGGCCTCGAGATTGGAAGCCAGCGTATAGGCGTTCATGCTGCCACCGTTGTAGTAGTCGCGGACCATCTTGGGCAGGTGCAGAGCGGCATATTCCTCGAGGTCGTCGATGGTCAAGATCTGAGGCTTTGCTGTTGCCGGCGCCATGATTGACGAAAGTGATGAGGAGCTTGTTGCCGGAAAGATGTAGCAGACCCAGCTTCTGTCATCTAATAGGAGGCTTTTATTCTTGTCTTTGTCCGTCTCGGTCGCTCTCTCTGTTCAATCGCTTGACTCGTAACGCGGCTGAATTTTCCGGAATTTATTTGTCTACCAGCATGAATCCGTTACTGAATGGTGACTTGCCAGCCTGGTCACAGACCACCGGTAACGCTGAACACCAGAAGGCGCGCGGAGCAGAATCCTAGCCTAAGAGCCCCAGAAGTCTAGCCCACTAGTGATGGAGGTAGAGTACGTTTGCAAGAAGGCACGGAAAAGGTGGTGCGGAATCTTGCGTCCAGTGGGTCTTCGGTTCAAGGCTAGTAGGCGTCCATAGGCGCCGATGGCGACGCGCCCACCGCCTGAGATCGCCTGGGTTGGACTCCTCGTAAACTCGGCGAGCTGAAGCTATGGCACTTTCATCGGGGAGCAGTTTTTAAAACGTAGTCTAGGAATGCAGGCCAGATCCTAAGGAAAGATTCAAGGGTCCATGATGGCCCCTTTTCACATGCAGTCCCAAAGCTGCAGCTGCCCCTATTCTGCCGAAGCCTTATCGCGACCTTGCCAGTTCTTACAGTATGTGCAAAATCCCTCCATTCCATCATGATTTCTCCACAAAGGTCATGAAGGAACACCTACGTCGAGCAAATGATCTTGCAGGTTTGCAGCATACCATTATATCTTGTCAATCACAACTTCCATGAGTGCGCATCTCTTTTCCTCCCCTACCACGCGGATGGCTTCTCGACATACCTCGTCCACCTGATTGGCCTCTGTGACAACTCTCCACCAAGCATCGCCGGCACCTTCTGCTATCTTCCCAAATGCTGGAGAAGGATCAAGTCCAACCATGAGACTTTCTGCCAAAGCACTCACCCTGGCTGCAGTCTTGACTCCATTGGCAGCACTGAACTGTCCTGCAAGCTCAGGATGTATCCGAAGACAAGCGTTCTTGGGGCTGGACCAGCCTCCGTTGTTCCATATGATGGTCAAGTACGGAGTCTGATATTCTTCGCCATCCAGTATGCACAGCTCGGAACCCCAAAGAGCCACGTTCCATCACCAGTAAATGCAACGATCAGGTCGTCCTCTCTGCCCACGGAACGAAGGGCGAGAGACGCACCAACTGCAGCACCAGAGTACCACCCCAGGCTTCCGCCTCCGCTACCTATCAGTGTGTGGGCCTCGGAGTGATGCAAATGATTCGCCACATTCCCAAGATTGGTAGTCGATTCGTTCAAACCCACTACTCGAATGCCGGAGCATGCGTCTCTCAGATGTGCCATGAAGTAAGGTACCGTGAGCCTTCCGGAATGCGCCAGAGATGTTTCAGCCTTTAATAGCCTTGATTGTCGCGCTGCAAATCTCTTCATGAGGCGGTCGGTTCTTGCTTTGATCCGCGTTTGTGTTTCCGAGGCAACTAGTTCTTGCTTGGAACGGATCGTCTCTGCCAGTTGTTGCAAAGCCAGACTCGAGTCGCACTTCCATCTCTTCTCACATGGAAGGGTCCACAGCGTAGTGCCTTCTTTGAGCGGATCCGAGTCTAGATGATATATTCTCGCGCTTTCGCTTGGCCTGGACTGAGCTGCAATCCACGGGACATCCGCGTCAATCACAAGGACGAGATCTGCCTCAGCAAGTGCTGGCAATTGGCCACCACCGTTCCATTGATGGCCCTGATGCAAGGATGATGTGGTGGGGAAATTGTTGTATATAGGAGCGTTTTCGTGAACTGGAATGGCAAGTAGGTTTGCCAGGTCTTTCAGTCCTTCAAACCCTTCAGCAGATCTGCCACAGTAACTAGTGACTATTAGCGGACTCATGGCCTTCAACAAAGCTTCAGCTAACTCGTCAAGTGCCTTAGGAGAAAGGCCCGTAAGCTCTAAACTGGTGGTCTTAGAGGGATCTTGTGAAGCCTTGACCGTGCTGTCTATAGGAATTTCTGCTTCCAATGTCTCGCGTGCCGCAATTAGATACACCGGGCCCTGGGGAGTTGAAGTCGCGAATTGCAACCCTCTGAGTACCAGTTGCTTAGCATTGTAAGGTGTCCGAATTTCATGCTCGTAACGCATATATTGCCGAACAATTGCCCTCTGGTCTGGAACATCCTGGATCCAGTGAATGTACCTTTCGTCAATGTCAGTCAATCAGTCATTTTATGACCACTGGTGCTTCTCAATAACATACTCATTCCTGCTGCCTCTAAGCTCTCCTTCTTGAGTAATGGGGACTGTTCCCGCCAGAATGACGACAGGTATCCGTCCTTTACTGACGTTGTGAACCGCTCCGGCAAGACCTTGAGTACCGCACTCGACGTGGACAAGCACAGCAGCTGGCCTCCCTGTGAGTTGTGCGAACCCAGATGCTGCTGATAACGCGTTCATCTCATTGGGAGACGTGAAAAGCTGAAGTTTGGGATGTGATCCTGAGGCGAAAGCTGACAGGAAAGCTGGGTGAGCTGATCCCAGGTTGACAAAGAGGTGAGTGACCCCTGCATATGGCTGCTGCCCCAGTCGTTGTTCGAGCCACGCCATCTTGTTTCGTGCCGTTCATCGTTGAGGTCGTCCTTGAATTCCAAATGTCAGTCAGGCCTGAGAAAATGTTGCAACTTTGTAGACCGACTCAGTCCAATGCTTTAGATGTGAATCAGCGTTTGGCAACTGACTCTTCGAGTTCTGTCGCAAAGCTGGAAACGGCAACCTGACCAAGATGCATAATATCGGTCATTGATCCGATCGCGGTGTATCCCCCACTGGCAACCCCATGCTAGCATCTGGAAAGACGGATTCCCTGGCCCCTAATCGACCCGGTTGAAGAGTGACCAGAATCCTTGCGGGGAGGTACGTGGATCCGAGGGGAAGGGCGCGCATCCAGGGTGCCGGGCGTACTTCATCGCCCGGATGCATGCTTCCAGACCCGCGACTCCAGCCTCGCCAGCGTGACCTTTTTGCCGCAGTAATTTTACAAAGGGTCTCGGCAATAGTCTCCAGTTTCCATGACCTGACGGTGATACCCCAGAGCCTATCCAAGTAGACTTGCTTTAAAGCCGTTTGGTCAGTTATGCTTGGTGAATGTTTTGGCACTTGGAAAGTCTTTGGATTATAGGACAGAGAGGGCCTCGAGACCACATCACCAAAAAGCCTCGCACCTAAGCTGTATCCATCCTCCTCAGCAAAGTCTCGTTCCTTTCTTTAGAAGAGTGCCGCCGAAATTCGAGACCAATCCCTACCAGCAGCCATGACTGCCGCTACCAATGGCATCAACGGCCACACAGTGCCTGGCATCCAGGAAGGACAACTGCTGTACATCGACGGGCAGTACAGACCAGCGGCCGGCTCCTCCACCTTTGATGTGATCAACCCTATGACAGGGAAGAAGATCTATCAAAGTGCATCAGCTGGAGTAGATGACTATGAAGCAGCCATACTCGGTGCTCACAATGCATATCAGACGTGGTCACGCACATCACCAACGGCAAGGCGGCTGATCATGCTCAAAGCGGCCGATATTATCGAAGGGTATATGCGGACCGATGGACCTGAAATCCTCTCATCCGAAGTTTCTGCAACTAAAGCCTGGGTCAAAGTGAACCTCATGGCTACGGCTGGGATCCTGAGAGAGACGGCCGGACTGGTGACGCATATGAAAGGAGAAATCGTGCCTGCGGACAGACCTGGGACTACCATTTTGGTCACCAGAGAGCCCGTTGGCGTGGTGTTTGCAATCAGTCCCTGGAATGCACCGGTGAGTTCTACCATATTTTCTTTCCTCACGTTGTACGACTGTTTGACTGACATTGTCGGATGTTGCCAGGTGAATTTGACAGCAAGAGCCATTGCAAGTCCTCTGATATGCGGAAATACCGTCGTGCTCAAGCCTTCTGAGTTCAGTCCCAAATCACAACATCTGGTTGTCCGAGCGTTCATCGAGGCTGGCCTCCCTGCTGGGTGTCTCAACTTCCTTCCGACTTCTCCCCAAGATGCTGCAGCGGTCACAGAGTACACAGTCAAGCACCGTAAAGTGCTGCGCGTCAATTTCACGGGGAGTGACAGAGTGGGCAAAATCATTGCCGGCTGGGCTGCCACGTGCATGAAGCAGTGCGTGCTGGAATGTGGTGGCAAAGCTCCGGTGTTGGTCCTGGAAGACGCCAACATTGAAGACGCTGTTGAATCCGTTGTGTTTGGAGCCCTATCTAACAGTGGTCAAATCTGCATGTCAACGGAACGGGTCATAGTCCATGACTCAATTGCCCAAGACTTCCAAGCTAGGCTCCTCGAGCGCGTCAGGAAAGTCAGCTACGGCAACCATCTAGAGTCACCTGACGTGTCCATGTCCGGACTGTACTCTTGCAAATCGGCAGAGAGAGTGCTGGGTATGGTGAAGACTGCAGTAGACGATGGTGCGAAGCTGTTGCTGGGAGACATGCAAACTACGGGCCCAAATAAAACCATCGTCGGCCCGCATGTGCTCGGAAATGTTACTCCCAGCATGAAAATCTTCCAGGAGGAGAGCTTTGGGCCTCTCATCTGCCTTTCAACAACCTCTTCAGACGACGAGGCTGTGGAGTTGGCGAACGACAGCGAGTTTTCACTTTGTGCCAGCGTCTTTTCAAAAGATGTGTTGAGGGCGATGGAGGTAGCGAGGCGAGTCCGCGCTGGTAGCTGTCATATCAATGGACCTACAGTATACATCGAAGCAACACTGCCGAACGGGGGCACGGGAGGTGCCAGCGGATACGGACGTTTTGGAGGAATTGCAGGTGTGGAAGAGTTTACAGAGCGCAAGATCGTCAGCCTAGTTAAGCCCGGCATGAAGTATGCATTCTAGGATAACAGAGCGTCATATCAACGTAACAATGAAGCCTGTACTGGATGCGACGATGATACTAGAGCAGCGAACGGTAGAGGCTTCGAGCCGGTGACATATTCATGTATTCTCCACTCTATATGCATCATTTCAGAAAGGAGCCCCCAGTCTTCGCCAGTTGCTCGTCATGGTAGCCTTGGAACGAAAGCCAGCCTTTGTCGTCTGTGGCAATCGATTTGTATGTGAATTCAGCCTCTTCATCGTTGATGATATTTTTCTTATGTCCCGATCCTTGTTCTGCAGCATCAACGAGGAGCTGGGCGTGGCAAGTCTTGTCCAGGCTGATTAACCAGAAGGCAGCGGCGTCGACAGAGTCTCCCACGGTTACGAGCCCAATCATTCTGGAGAATAACCGCCTTTCCATTCCCGAGCGCATTGGCAATTCTTTTACCCTCTTCCCTGTCGAGGACCACGCCGCCAAAGTTGTCGTACACAGCGTGGCTCTTGTAGAATCTGAGCGAATCTTGGGTGATCATATCAAGCTCGCGTCCAAAAGCAGCAAACGCTTTGCCGTAGACACTGTGGGCGTGACAAGCAGTATGCACATCACGGCGAGCCTTGTGGATCTCAGAATGAATGGCAAAGGCAGCCGCATTGATGGGCTCATCACCAATGACAACCTCTCCCTCTTCGTTAACCAGGATCAAGTCGGTTACGCAGATCTGCGAAAAGTGCATCGACAAAGGGTTAAGCCCTAAGGAAAAAGGTCAAAAACGTCAATTGCAGCTTTCCAGGACGAGGTTGAGTTCCCTTACAGAAGTGGTCGGTGAGAATGGGATCCCAGAGACTGATGTGGCCAGCCACGCCCTCATCGAACCCTCGGTCAGCGAATATGCGGAACGCAGCGGCCAGATGCTGCTTGCGGTATAGACGCTCTTCCTCCAGACTTTCAAACTTGGGGTATGTGCGGATTTTCAAAGTCCTTCCAGACTTGGTTTTGCCCAGTGCTTGGTTGTGGTAGTTCTCGGAACACGTGTCATCATACACGTCCAAAGCTGGTGCCATGATGAGATCTCTTCAATGAAGGGATGATATATGGTTCTGGAACGTGGTTTTGTAACGTTCGTAGAGACAAGACAATTGGTATGCCGGACCTGGCAGGAAGACACCCCGGTAGATGTTGATGCCTTTGGTCGATCCGTCTCTGCAATAAATAATCGAGTTGACATATCCAAGGCCCTCCTTTGAGCCCTACCTGATGCTTCCCATCCTCCTATCTCCGATCACGGTAATGGCGCAAGGTGCAAACAATGCTGGTGAGTGAGCACAAGAGCTGCCCCAGCATCATTGCCATCTAGAATCGCATGCATACTTCCAGAGGATTAGTGAGTTGATGCTTCCTCTCCGGATGCAAACCAAGCACTCGATGTCCGCCGCCATGACTCCGAAGTGAGTTCGTGCCTGTTCTATAGCTTTGTCACAAAATCAATTTTGGCGAGCCAAGCTATAGAGCTTCAGAGGCACGGTGCTGCGTCTACACCCCCAGCCGTCGATTTGGTGGAAAACGGGGAATGCTGGCCTTCCGGGGCTGCTCCGCCTGTGAGCCCCTAGAAGCCACTTTAGCCTAGCGAGCCCCAGTCCTGGCGGCCATAAGTCAGGGCCGCCAAAACTACTAGCTCGGCTTTAGGCGACTACGTACCTAACTCGGTACCTGGCGTACCTAAGTAGGAATCTGGCGGTAAGCTAACATCTGGCACTAAGTTCTCCGCCGATACTTTGACATAGGCAAAGCGACCAGCTAACCCAACTGGCCAACTCCAACAGTCACGGCGCGCCGAATATTCGAAATTACACTCGACTTTGTCGACACTACCAGCCGCGTTTAAGTCGTTCAGAAGGAAGCATGTTTCCGTCGGCGTACCCGTCTCTTCCGTATTAATGAACCCCGCAAGCCACATTCTCAGCCCATGGGGCGCCCAGCTCGTGGGAAGCGGCCAGTTTGTGGACGTCTCCAGAAAAGCCTACCCGTCGCGTGGCTAGACTACCAACACCTGCATTGCCTCAATAGCCTTATAAGTTGTGCTCGAGCCCTCCAGATTCAGCGCATGCCGTACCCTTGCAACAACCACTCTTCATCTTGCGCTTTTCCAATACCTGATCCTTTCCAGTTCATATGGCCGCGGACAAAAAGCCTCCGGCTCCTCCGATTGAGCTGGCTGAAGCCGAGCTCGCGAAAACCAGCTTCGACCATCATGAGGCCAATGCTGAAGCAGATGAGGCTGACGCTGCTATGATGAGGAGAATCACTTGGAAGATTGATCTAGGCATGCTTCCCATTGTGCATCTTCTTCTACTGTCTGACTTTTCTTGACCGAGTCAACGTTGGAAATGCAAAACTCTGGCATCTGGAAAGAGATCTCGGCATGAGAGGTATTGATTTCAACATCGTTACACTGGTGTTCTACATCCCTTATATCCTGTTCGAGGTCAGTGGCATCATAGTGCTTGAATTGTGGCAAACAAGTGCTAAATACTAACAGATCCCTGCAAACATGATTATCTCAAGAATCAAGCCAAGGTACTGGATTGCTGGCTTGACCTTTGGCTTGGGCTGTGAGTTGTCGTTTCTCTGCTTGAAGGGTGGTGGTAGCTCACACAAGCACAGTGACGGTCACCCTTGCTGGACTCTGCAAGAACTTCGGTGGTTTCCTTACTGCCAGACTATTCATAGGCGTCTTTGAGGCCGGGGTGTTTCCCGGGTTCCTCCTCCTGATAGGCTCATGGTACACCCGCCGCCAGGTCGGTGCACGCCTGACCTGGTTCTTGGTCGCCAATGACATTGCTGGCTCGATCTCGGGCCTTCTCGGCGCCGGTATAGGCTCTCTAGACGGTGCAAATGGCTACTCTGGCTGGTCATGGATCTTTTTCATCGAAGGGACCATGACCTGTCTGGCTGCGATCCTCGCTTTTCTCTTCATACTGCCCTTCCCTAAAGAATCGACCTTTTTGAAACCAGAGGAAAAGGAATATCTCCTACGCAAGCTTGCCATTGAAAACGCCCATAACGAGGAGGACAAAATGCATCTCAAGAGTGTCTGGAAAGCTCTTATGGACTGGAAACTACTCGCAACAGCCTTTGGAAGAATACCCCCTTCCGAAATGTAGCTAGCTTTCCTGACAGTTTCCAGATGTACTTGGCAGTCTGCACTTCGGCATATTCAGTCACTGTCTTCCAGCCTTCGATCCTGACCACATTTGGCTGGAGCAGTATGAAATCCAATCTCCTAACCTCGCCTGTCCGCATTGCCTCCGGTATCGTCTCGGTCTCCGTGGCTACTCTCTCCAACCATTTGAACAGACGCGGCATCTTCGTCGCCATCGGATTTCTCGTTTCGATATTCGGTCTCTTCTTCACCATGCTTTCCCACGACTACCGCTTAAGATACATGGACCTATGCTTTGCCGCCCTCGGCATATATATTGCACAACCATTGGTTATAGCTTGGGGGTAAGTCTAGCAATTTGCACTTGTTAGTGTACTGAATGATCGATTTGCTAACAACCATTCTCCGCTAGTGTGGCCCAAGTTGGTGGCGAACCAAAAGAGGAACACTCACTGCCTGCGCGTCTTCTCTGGGCCAAGTTGGGGGCATCATTTCTGCCTTGATCTTTCCGAATAGCGACAAACCGTACTATGTTCTGGAGTGTCTGTGTGCTTTGGCTTCTCCGCTGCTGGCTGTATTGTTTGTCTCGCCGTGTGGTTCTTCTTGAGACTTGAGAACAAAATGCGTGGTGCAGGCAAGCGAGATCACCTGCGGCAACTACCGCGGGATCAGCAATATCAGCTTGGTGAGGAGCACCCAGACTTCAGGTATACTATGTAAGAGAAGTTTGTAGAATGCAACATCACACGGGTTGAACAGGTTCGGATAAAGGTTCGAAAGGAATAAGTGCATGGATCATGAATGAATACACCACTTTAGAGGCATTGGGTCTACACTATTCCCTCGTACGAAGGGTAAGAAGCTCTCAATTTCAAGATGCCAAAGCAAGCAATCATGAACGGGACAAAGAATAATACTAGTAATTGTACTCTGTATTAGTCGGGTTTCTTGAAGCTCCTGAAAACAGAGCCTTGCCCAGCCTCGTCAAGTTAAGCCTCGCCACTCTCACCCTGTAGGGACTGACGCTCCATACTTGGTTGCCCCTGTCCAGCTACCTCTACATTTTCCTGCGAAACACCTTCCAGGTTACAATAGTTAAGGGCTCGCTTCATACCTTCTCGGAAATGATATATTATCAGATGTCGATTGATCGCCTATTTCGAAGAAGGGCACCAAGCATCACGCCAGGCGCCGTTGCCCAAATTCGCTTTCATGTTGGCCCAAAAAGACATCATGCTTGGAGCAGAGGCAGTCCAAAATGGCAGGGTTAGAGTCAAGTTCAGCGGCGATAATTAACATCTGAGGCAGTTCCCCAAAGTCACACAGGAGGTGAACAACTGCCTCACTTCCACCACCTCGACGTGAGGCAGTCATTCTACAAAGAAGCAATCCGAGATGCCTTCCTGGCCACTTTCTTTGTCGAAGACTGCTTCTGTAGTTGCAGGCACTGAGTTGAAGCCTTTCTCTGCCGTTCCAGGCAGACTTTAAACCTCTTCTTCCGTAATGTATCTCCCTCCTAACCATTCTTTGATTCCTGCGTGCTGGACATTTCAACTCAATCAGAGCCACCAGACACCCAATAGCTTCACACTTTGAGCAATCCCATCACTATGACTGACTCGGAGAATACCTCGGTTCTCGAACAAATGGTCAACCCTGGCAAATCTGATGGTGACGTGCTTGACATTGTGCACGACGGGGACATGGTCATTAAAGTCGGCAACGATGCAGACGCACGCCTTCTTCGCGTCTCAAGTCAGGCCCTGAAAAGACATTCAAAGTATTTCGAAGCTCTTCTCGGTGCGAACTGGGGGTTATCAGACAAGAAATTCACAGTGAGCTCTCCCTTGGCCGTCGATGAAGATTACGAACTCGGCTTCTTCGTCTTCATGCTTATCGTGCACGCGCAGATATTCAGCGACCCGCAAGTCGTGTCCAAGATAAGGCTCAAGCATCTCAAAACCCTGGCAATCCATGTGGACAAGTACATGTATCACGGCGGCATTCCAACATACATCATTGAACGCCTCGATGAACATATCGCAGAAAACCACGTCTCCGCGATTCCGAAGATAGAGTCATTGGGCACCATCTTTTCCATCTCATACCTGCTCAATCTCGATCCCCTTTTCACCAGAGCTTCAAGGCAGATGATGTGGTGGTTGGTAGCGAAGGATCTTCCGTACTTCATTTCCCCTGAAATGATACAACTACTGCCTGTCGACATCTTCGCGGAATTCGACAAGGAGAGTCACCGTCTACGCTCAGCCCTTCTCAAAAGCCTCCCGGCAGTCTTCTACCCTGAACCGCACAGTGGTTCAACCGAAGGAGACAAATGGTGGTGCGAGAAATGCGACGCCGTCCCGCACGATCAGCGATGGATGCAGGAAGTCATCAGCAAATCCGCAATGTGGAATGCCGAGCAAAAAACCCCCCTGATGACCTTTATCGGGAGGCTGTTCTCGTGCTACCTGTATGACATGGAGTCGATGGACAATTCGCGAGAGTCGATGCCAGACGGCCACTTGAGGGCGTGTGGTCATTTCAAGCCGAGATACATCGACGTGAATCATGCCGAGATGCTGCAAGATGTGTTCAAGGCCATGGGAGGGGTGTGCCTCCACTGCTTCAGAGCCGGTCGGTTCAAGTACGAGGTGTACTGCGAGCAGCATGGATTGTTGCTGACTTGATCAAAGTCGACCCATTGCCAGCGACACGCGATAACGTACAATGCTCAAAAGGAATGACCATGAGTATTGAAAGGACACTGAACTGAAAGCAGCGCGTCTGGGAATACCAGAAAAAGGGGAGGTAACTCTGCAGAGACGTGTTGTCGACAGCTGTAATGTATCAATGCTGTGGTGCTGGGCGCCTCGGCGAGGATGTTAAGGAGACATTTGAGGCCACTAAATTAGGCTCCCGGGGCCGGAGTGTGATGTCTACTATGGTCCCATGGGTAAATCGTGTATCTTGGCGCTAGGGTGCCATTCGACGACAAACAGCAGCGAGGACAATTTGTGTGGCAGGAGGGCCTCCTGTTCAATGCGATGCCAACTGCTGCTTCGACGATTCAAGCGGCCGCTGTTTTGCACCCCGGTTAAGCGAGTTTCATTACACGATTTACCCATCAGACCATAGTAAGATAGGTTGACAGGGCCGGAATGTGATATCTAGGGCAGGTTCTTGTCGAAACAGCATTTGGACAGCTTAACATAAATGAAACCGTGGTTTGGCAGTTGGAAGTCGAGTATTTCATCTTATCGTCATCATTCCGGTTTTTCATGTCATCGTAGACCCATTTCCTTTTCTATTGAACTCCGGAAAATGCATTGGCTCAGATCAGAGCACTTTCTCCACCTAGAACATATTTACAACCATCATCGCATGCCCCTAAAGTAATCATACCCCGAATTCAACTCGTCGGCCGGTGTATTCACACCTGTGCTATTTCTACTGGCGGCCGGCGTCCGCCAGCGATCCAAGGACATGAACTCTCCAGTCGGCGTCCGAACATCTCCAACACCGTGAAGCAAGTTTGTCCGGTCATCATACGGATCCGTGTAAGGCCCGTGCGGACGCATGCCCAAGTCTCCTTCTTCAGTTGACTTCCGACGAGGCTCGGTCCTGAACTGACTCGGCACATGGGACTGGTCGAACTGCTTACGGTGCGGTACGCCGCGGTACTCTTGAGGCGGATGAGGAGGAGCAGGTGGACTCGCCCCTCTGGAGTTTGGACGCGATTCGTAGTTTTCTTTGCCCATGAATGATATTGGCGTCTGACTCCGTTCAGACACCATGTCACCCGCCTCTTCGCGGAAGTCGGCTCGGTTCTTGTAGAATTGGAAATCTTGCTGTGCTTCGGGCACGATCTCGAAGGGTACATCTTGGGGCGGCTTGTTCTGAGCAATAGGCTGCATGGCAATGTCTGAGAAGGCAAAAGACTGCCCGCCTTCTGAATCCAGTCGGCCACGGTATATCTCGCCAAGCAGATGCTTCGCCTTCGCGTGGACCATCGGAGTCACCAGCGGTTTATAAAGAGCTGGATGTCCGAATTGAGACGAGATCTTCTCAGCCTTGTGCGTCTTGCCGTCGGTAGCGAGGCGTTCTTGATCCTGCATGCCACCACGAGCGTAGTACTTCAAGTCTAGATCGAATGTCTTCATGCAATACCACTTGAATGCGATCATGATGATAAGCAGTGGTGCGATTGCGGCGACGAGGGCCCAGGTTCCCCGGGCTTTGACCACAACTGCAATCACGACGTTCGACAGCATGACCGCAAAGACCATTCTGTTGAACAGAGTGACCCAGAACTGTCCTCCAGATTCGGTTTTCGTGACAAAGACATACATGAGAAGATACTTTTTGAGGAAGCAATCAATGGAGAAATACAGTGCCGTCACGACCAGCACGATCGGCTGAAGGGTAGAATAGCACAATGCAACCGTGCTGTAAAAGAGAAAGTAATTGTAATAGCTGGCATATTCGAAGGCTGGAGGTGCTGTCCATTCGATGTTTTGCCGTGGTGTTGGCGCCATGAAAGTTCGGGCGAACCAAACGTATGTGAGATGCCAAAGTTGAACCAAATCGATGGCAGCACCAAGATTGCGTTGAAGAAGCCAGGTGACCCAGAAAGGGGAAATTTGACATAGGGCGGTGGTGATAACCAAGAAGAAATTGCCCTTTCTAAGAGAAGTCCAGGTGTCGTTACCTTGCCTGTCGTACTCGATCACGATTGTTACATACTGCCACACAGCGGAGAAGATGGAGAAAATGATCAAGTTGTTGAATGTGAAGAAGGCGTACAGATTTCGAAGGACATGTCGTTCTCGGTCGGTCTTGGTAACATCTCCAGCACGAATTTGAAGGCGTCGAAAGATGATCGGAAGAACAAGGTAGACAAGCGAGGTGATGGCCGGAGAGGCGATACCTTGGACAAACGCCCAACCTGCGGGATGCGCGTTGAGTGAGTCTCTGAAACGTGGCCAGACGAGACCCAGATTCGATAAATTAGACAAGAAAATGGCAATACCGGCGTTAATAGGTGTCCAGATGACGGTCAAGACCGCGATCCAGATGCCGTTGACGAAACGCTTGCTGCGTCTTGATGCCCGAGACAACTTCAAATTATTCCAGATGAGGTCATTCGGCCGTGGTGCTAAGCGAATCTTGGTACCCTGAGGACGTTTGCCGCGTGCTGAGAAAGCGACTGTGTGGGCTTGAGAGATTTGATCCCAGGTGGCAAAGCCATACGGCAGAGCATCGCGACTATCCACACGCTCTCGTACGTCGTTAATCTCCATTTCAAGGGCTCGAATCCGATCCGTCAGATATTCAATAGCATCGACCTTGCCATTCACTGTCTGACCTTTGTATTTTCGAGGCGCCTTCATGGTTGGGCGCCGAGCAGGTAGTCGATCAGGGTTCTTCATGTACTTGGCGAGGACAGACTCGAGCTCCTTGACATTTTCTTCATACTCTTCGATCAATTCTGGCAGAACTTTAACATTCCGTTCGATTCGGGTTTTGGGTGTGATTCCTGTTGGGTTGACTTCGTCGGTAATGTGAGCTATGCCTTCATTGCTTCGAGCCTTGGTCGGAATGTCCCGGATCAAGATTGTTCGTGAGTGTAGGCTCTTTTGATATTCAGGACTCTCCAAATAGGCACGTCGCAATCGGTGAACACGGCGGTAGTTGTGCCAGAGGAAGTACATCACCACAATATCGATGAACCATGCGAGAACCACTTGAGCCCACAATCCGCGGCCCCAGATGAACAAGGGTGTCATGACCGTGAACGCGGAAGATCCGCTACTCGCACCTTTGCTCCCCAGGGTTACATTTACCGGTATCATAATGGCTATTCCGACCAGTCCAAGGACTAGGAAGATATTGCGGAGCATGCGGGTAAGCCTGAGGAAAATGACTGCGTCCATGCCAATCTTCTCCATCAGGAAACTTTCGCTGGCTTTATTGACGGGCTTGACCCAGCTGAACAGACCCTTCCCCAGCGGAGGAGGAGCATGGTCTTTATCGGCATTTTTCAATCGTGGGGCGTACACGATATTGTTCCTCGGTCGAACAAAACAGAATAGGAGGGCGAGGGCAGCACTGAATCCTAGAGAGGTAGCCAGGGAAGCCCAGAAGGCATTGTATTGAATCTGCAAAAGTTAGTGACAACAATGATACAGAAGCCTGACCAAGGACATACCGAAGCTTGAAATGGATTTGCAACCAACTGTAGGACTTGCTCTCCAGTTGACAGGTTGGGGTCTGGAGCAAAGGTCTGTCGAGGATAAACTGCTTTGGCTGCGGACATTGTGCTGGCTCTTGCATCTGCACTCTGACACCGAAGAAAGCTCCTTCACCAAGTCCTCCTCATAATATTTTAACAGTCCAGAAAAGAACGTGTGTGTACCACCTTGGTGCCACGAGAAATCTGAGGAGACCGCGTTCGAACGAGGACAAAGAGCGTAGCAGCGAGGGCTGGTTCTAGTCGGCTTTAGCGAGGGACAAAGGGACGTCAAAGAGATCTAAGAAAAGAAATCGGGCGGATTGTTGCTGTTATCAGATAGGAAAAATTCCATGTAGAAGTACGACAGAAGAAAAGGACAGGAGAAGAAGGTGTTTCATATTGGGCGCGTGGCTGCAGGGTTTATTCTCGAATGCTCCCATGCCATGAGGCTTTTTGCTTGTGTTGAAATTCCCCAATGCAGGCCAAAATGCAGGGACCAAGGACGGAATACGAGGACCAATGCACGACCATTTCATCGGCCTTGACCGTGCCTGAGCAGCAATCTACTATGGTACGAGCGTAGTTAGTGGCGCAGTTTCAGTCTTAAGCAGACCCTGCCCTCACCACTCGCTTCGTTTTCACCCGTCGTGCGATCTGGTCCTCCGATCCCTCCACATCCATCCTCGCCATCCAACTGGCGTTACATAAGGGAACGACTAAAGGGCTCAAGACTTCCCCCCCCCATCGACATTGCGTGATGCCGCATATTTTCCCGATCCACTGAGCCATGGGGCACCCATCGGTTGCCGCCTCATTCGCCAGGTGTCAATTCCTTCCCCCACTGTCGCTCCATCGCTCGCTCTCCTGCCCATTGAGACCAGCGTCATCGAGATCGCTCACTTTCGATTTTACAATGTCGTGACATGTCAGCACATGTCTTACAAAAGGCGGTTCTGGTCACTGAAGATGTACAGAAGGAACACAGACCCACACCTGAAGAGGTCATTGGAATTGAGCGAGCAGAGCGCATCTTCTACGAGCAGAAACTCCTGCTACGAATGAGGAAAAAGGACATACTCGAAATTTCAAGCAGGATACCTACGATGACCGCACAGCATCCACTCTCACACGACACAACATTTCCCAACAACTCTCCCCCACTGCATTTGTCCACAGTTTGGGGACGGTACGTAGTGCCCCAGTTCATACCATGAAGTCAATGCCACCGAGCAGACGGCCGTGGTCAAACTTGCTGAGAGCGAAAGAGGAGAATGTCTGCACAAGACATTTATGCTGCCGTATTCAACCGCCTTGCTTGCTCCCGTTCTTCGCTGCTGATGCCCGCCTTTTCCAACACCCATGCGAGAATGTCATTCTTAGCTTCACAATGTTCATCGACGCTTTCCCAGTCTCGTCTTGAAAGCTCCAATTTTGCTCTGCCATAGGCCTCCCGGACTTCGGGATCCTTGCGACAAATCACACGCACACCGATGTGGTTTCTGATGGACTGGTAGCCATTTAGAGAGACGTACAGATTTCGAGCAGGGAGTATTCCTGGCTTTCGGAATGCGTGTCGATACGGGATGCCCATTTCGCCCATATACGTATAGCCTCCTCTGGCTGTCAACGCTTCAATCGCTGCCGGTAAGTCTTCTGCTTCACTGACCACCGATAGGTCAATGATCGGTTTGGCGGCCAATCCGGGTACCGAAGTACTCCCCACATGTTCAATACTTATATACCGGACGTTTTTGAGAACCTCTTCCAATTCTCCTTTGATTTCTTGGTATTGAAGTGCAATTGTGGGTTATACTGTTCGACAACTACTTTCATGTCGGAGTGGAATACCCAAGCACCCAAGTAAAGGGGCTGATAGAGCCCTTCTTCATGAAAATTTCCCGCCGAATTTGGCGGTAGATGCCGCCGCTTTTGTACGCTCCTTCCCTCGATGCCTACCTCACTGGTCGGTCTTGGCCACGCTTACGCGGTGCAACGTCGTCCTGTACTTCCGCCTTTTAGAAGCCCAACGCCTCAATCAGTGCCTCTCGAACATGGGTCATCAACGGTCCTCGTGTGACCGCTGCAGAGGTCAGAAGCTGCGTTGTCCACGGAACACCCAGGCCGACGATAGTGAGCCATGCGCCAGATGTCTGAGAGTTGGGGTTCAATGCGTTACTAGCAGTTCTCGACCCCTGGGACGGCCTCGAACAACAGGCATGGCCCAACGAAGAACCAGATCCATCAGGACAAGAAACACGGCACCTAAAGTCATTCATATGGGTTCGACTTCTCCAGGTTTACCATCAATGACGGAGGGTCTGGAAGCATGCTTTGATCTGTGGACTCCTACGTGCTTAGATGCGTACCGGGACCATCTTCCAGATGCGTCCAACTTGACTACTACCGATTTCGAAAATCCGGCACTCAACTCGACATTCGAGACAAACGCAGAATGTGCCTTTGAGCTGCAACTGCCAGCTAACGATGGCCTCTTCGAAGTTGAACAGTTGATGGAACCTCCCCAACGCCCCCAGGACGACTTTAGTCAGCTGGCCATTGCCAAAGATCATGGACAAGGACCATCATCGGAGACGTCGGGACCTGCAGACACACTCACGGCGCTATCACGACTGAATGAAGACATCGCCAGGCAGATATCCAGCATCGATTCATACACCTGGGGACCTGTGAATGCACCGCAGCATTGTCTCGATCAGCTGCATGGAACTCACAGAACCCCCGTGGCCGGGATGCTAGAAACCACTTCCCGATTCGTTACTATTCTTGAAAACTTGCATTCGTTGTCATCACCGTCAAACGAATCTGCCAACAAGTTAGTGGCGGACCTGCCCTCTGTCTCGAACTCTGGAATCCCAGATTCAAACTTCGAGCAAAGGGGGACATTGCCGCCTATACATCCACCCTTCACAGACTTGAGGCCCTTGAGCACACCAGTCGTGCTGATGCTTCTGTCAAGCTACCTCCTGCTTCTGGAGCTCTACGACGCGATCTTTAGCCGTGTACATGATACTCTATCTAGGTTGGAAGACACCCGCGCCTTCTTTCAAGAAATACCTGGAATTCAAGTGGCTGGCCTTTCTTCAATAAAGGGACATTTGTACGCCAGAATCATCATCCAAATTATTGAGCATCATTTCGACCGTCTCGAACGCCTATTAGGCCTCCCGGTAGAATTTGGTCTCTCCGGACAGACCCCGCGCTCTAAGGGGTTATTAGACACTGCGGATCTATCTCATCTTCTACATGTTGCCATGACGCAGACGACAGGCGATCCTGGGACATCTGGCAGATTAACACTGAAGTCGTTCAGAGACAATTTGAAGTATCTCGAAGCTATGCTGCCCAGATAGAGATGCTGAGACTGTTCTCGCCCATTTTGAAACCATTATTGTCAGAAACGACCATGAGTGTCCGTTTGTCAAATTCAAGTCCTGTGAGAAAACGTTTCGAAAGGACGAAAGATAATCAAACTACGTCTTCCCTTTAGTCGCACACCTTGTCAACCATTTCGGAGTCGAGGGTCTCTAGAGAAGTTCCATACCATCCCGTTATCCGATCATCGCGAGGATCGAGGAAGGCCATACAGCGGCCACCGCTGAATCGGCCGGAATCCTTAGCAGCAAGTCTACTTAGCGACCCCTCCTCCTTCCAAGGTCCCTTTTTTGTTCTCCTCCTTTTCCATGCCGAACTCAGTTTCAAGCTCCTGACGGAGCGGACACTCTTTCTCCAAAAACACAAGCAGAAACCCCAGTGCTGCGAACCCGATCCCAACCTGCCATGTCCGGCGGAGGCTCTCAGTCAATACTGCAATAAACTGTCCGCGAGTGGAAGCAGAGAGTGTGTTGAGAAAATCAGCTGTTGCATGGCCGTATGCTTGGCCATTAACCAGTTGCGCTCTGATGACGGGATCTGTTATGACCGCCGTCGCAAGTTCGTCGAAGCGGCTGTTAAATATGGCTGCAGGAATTGCAGTGCCCCAGATCAGTCCAAAACTGCGCAAGAAGGCCCAGGTCGATGTGGCAAGTGCTGTGTCGCTTTCTGAGAGCGGCGCCATTACTGCAGGCAGCAAAGTTGCAATAATAAGGCCCGCCCCGGCAGCCCCTATGATTTGGTAGCCAACCCAAGCGCCTGTGGAGGTATTCTGATCGAGGAGGCCGAAGAGGCCGAAGCTTATCACCAGCAACGCAAATCCTGCGTTATGTACGGGTCGATAGCGGCCGAATTTGGACATTGCCATCCCTCCCATTGCAGCAAACGGGATCAGTACTAGAATAGTGGGCAGAAGTTGGACTCCCGAGTATGCGGGTGATGACCCGAGGACACCTTGAAAATAGACAGGGAGGAAATAGACTTGCCACATGGTGAGTATGCTGTGCATCAAGCTGAGCATGAATGCGGTGGCCGATGTACGGTTCGACATCAGATGCAGCGGCATGGTTGGCTGAGGAGCGAAACGAGAACCTTCAAATGCAAGAAAGCCTGCTAGGCCCACCAAGCCAACCAACAGAGGAACAAGAACATGGTATGATGACCAGGGATACACGGCGCCAGCCCAGGACAGCGCAACGAGGACCGTGCTGATGGCTGCGATGAAGATAATATTGCCAGCCCAGTCAATCGAGGTCAGTTTGGTGGCGAGGTTGGCGTCTTTGTTCCATCTCACCTTCAAGAAGGCAACGAGCAGTACCACGGCGACACCGCCGATAGGAAGATTGAGGTAAAAGACCCATCGCCATGAGGAATAATTGACAATGAGGCCACCGAAGAATGGTCCAAGAGCCGTACCGAGAGCAACCAGGCCCAAGACGATGGCCAAGTAGTTACCTCGTTGTCGCAAAGGGACCAAATCGCAGATAATCATCTCGATGAGCATGCCGATGCCGCCTGCGCCGGCTCCTTGGATCACACGACCAGCGATGAGCATTGCCATGTTGCTGGCTCCGCCGCAAATACCGCTACCCAAGACGAAAGCTGTTGTTGCGGCAATCGTTGGCCACCGACGTCCGAAGACATTCGCCAGCTGTCCGTAAAGGGGCTGCAATGACGTCCTAATATGGAGGTCAGTAACACCGTCTTCATGTAGCGGTGGGACAAGCTGACTGTAAGACAGACTTCTTGGACTTACATGGTTAGGAAGTATCCGTTGACGGCCCATATATACAAGTCGCCGCCGCCGAGCTCCGCGATGATTGAAGGCAAGGCTGTGGATGTGATGGTTGCTTCCAGCGCCGTAAGCAGACTTGTGAAGCTGAGCGCGACGATAATCATCCAGAACCGCAGCCCTTTCCTCGATCCAGTCGTTGTGGGCTTGGTCGAGGCCTGTACATCTTTTGATACAGCCGTGTCGGCCTCCTTGGTGACTGTGTCTTTGTCCATGTCGGGACTGGAGTTGAGCTCCGCCTTGTCACGGCAGAGGTCTATCTCCGAACGCGGATTTGACCCCGATTCCTGCCTCTCTTCTTCCGGTGTATCCATTCTCTTCTAGAGCGACGCTTTCAGCCTCTAGTAGGACGACAATGGGGGCAGGGCGTAGTGAACGATTCAGGTCCCGTTCTTACGAGGTTGATGGGCCGGCAGGGCGTCAAGGCAGTTCGCGGATTCTAACCTCAAAGCCGCGAGGTAAGGAAGCAATGAAAGTCAGAGATGCAGAAGGTCACACCTATCACAGTGGCATTAACGATTTCGAAAGAGATTCTACGGGTGCTGCAAATGCAGACAACAGTCACAATGTATATTCGGATGCCTTTTCGACCGGAGGCTTTCTTCCTTTTCGGTTCGGAGGCTTTCCACCATCTCGGATATCTTTGACTCCTGCAGGAGGTTGGCTTTGCTTTGTGTCCGCATTGACGAAGCCAACAATCTTGCGAAAACATCTCAAAGGCACATCCTGTGCCTAACAATGTTATAATCATGTTCGGAGGTCTCTTATTGACCTACTAAGTCGCGGAGGGTCTAGCGCCTAGCCCAAGAGGTCGCGAAAGTTACAACGCGCAATACTTAGGAGTAAGGTCGAGATGTAGATGGTAGAGGAGAGTTAGCCGAGTCTGCACGCTGTGCGATTAGTGAAGCCTAATATGCCATTAGGGTATTCGAGAACTGAAGCTGTGCCGTATGATACATGATGGATGGTCAGCGCGACAAAGGTAAGAGAGAAAACCAGTTGGAAGGTCCTGTCGAGATGGCGGCTCTGCCGATGACTGTGTGCACTGTGGGCGAGTGACTGTTAGCCTCGGCCTCGCTAACTAGGCCTGGCGAACCTTGGCCCTGTCGCTTAAGGCATCCATCAAAGGCGTTTGTTTCCATCAGACTGAGCTTGTCAGAGAAAGTACATCTTTTGCGACCCAGTTCCTCTCAAGTCAAACATTTGGTCGCAGACTGCGGCCTTCGAGTCCTCACCCTGTAGCGAAGCGTCGACAGAGTCCCCGGGACATGTCGTGACGGTGAAGCCCGTCGAGCACCATGGCTTTGGGCCTGCTATCCAGTATTACTCCGAATGCCTGACAAGCCTACAACCGTTGTCGCCTATGCGGCTGGCGCCTCACTTGCTGCAATCGCTGCCTTCTACGTCTTCGGGCCTACATTCTTCATCGATGGCGAGAACTCCTACCACACTAACGATGGGCGCAAAAGGACCATCATCGGTCTGTCCAACCCTGCGAATGACTGCTTCATCAACTCGGTTCTGCAAGCTTTAGCTGGTTTAGGCGACCTGAGAATATACCTGATAAAAGAACTGCATCGGAGACAGCTTGACGGACCAGAAATATACGAATCGGCCCCACCGGTCCTGCGGAAGGGTGAGAAAGCGGACAAGGTGGTGAACCTGCAAAAGGGTCCGATCACTAAGGCTTTGAAGGACATGCTTGATGCTCTGAATGAGCGTCCGATCTACAAGAAAACTATCAGCGCCCGGCCGATGATAGAAGCATTGGAAAGAGCATTCCAGACTCGAATCAGTCGAAACCAGCAAGATGCACAGGAGTTCCTACAGATTGTCCTCGAACGACTTTGCGATGAGTATCATGCTGCACAACGAGCACGCCTGCGATCTGCGGATACGCAGCAGACCGAAAATGGCGAGGCTACAGAGTCGAAGGCGGCAGACTCAAGGCCAGCATTGTCCGAAGTGTCTGTGGGCACCAACGAAGGATTTCCATTCGAGGGACGTATCGAGTCACAAATTCAGTGTATGCGGTGCGGATTCAGGACGAAACCCAGCGTTACCACTTTTGTTTCATTGACATTGAATGTACCACAGAAAAGTTCAACTTCACTAGATCATTGTTTCGACGTTCTCCTCAAGAGTGAGGAGATTGACGACTTCAAATGCGACAAATGCAGGCTAAAACATGCACTGGAATGGAAAAATAAGAAACTAAAATCGGCAACGGCAGATAAAGATCGAGCAGATCTAGAGAAAGATATTATTGAAATTGAGCGGGCTCTCGAGGAAGATCCCGAAAAAGCACCAGAAGGTGTCACTCTTCCAGATTCGAACCTGGCGCCAAAATGCAAGATTCGGAAGTCGACTCGTATTACGGTCTTTCCGAAGGTCATTGCAATCCATCTCTCCAGGTCGGTCTTCGATCCGGGGAGTTATTCGACCAAAAATATGGCCAAGGTCTCGTATACCCAGCGGCTGCGCCTCGGAGGGCTTATGAATGAAAAATGGTATAAACTGCTAGGTGTAGTCTGCCACAAAGGGAGCCACCACAGCGGGCACTACGAGTCATTTCGACGAAATCACCTATATCCTCCGTTTTCAACTCCTGATGCGTTCAGCGCCTATGCAACTAGGAGCCCCAGTGCCGTTCCCTCGACGACACCTAGCCCGAGTATCGACGCTATCCAGTCTAATGGGGCGAACACATCAGTCGGTCCTTCGCAAGCACAGTCCAGCATGTCCTCGATGACTTCTTTGTTGACAGGGAACAGCAGACCCAGTTCAAAAGGAGAGGAATATGGCGGGCCTCCTTCATCTCGCGCACCGACTGACGATGCAGGCATGTCGCCAGTCCAGAGAACCGAGACTCAAGCATCCAAGCCCCAGATCCGGACGCAAGAAGCATCCCCAGGCAAGTTTCGCCGACGAAAGAAGTCTAATGATCGATGGTGGCGTATCTCTGATGATAAGATCAAGGAGGCACGTACATCAGACGTCTTGTCCATGCAACGCGAGGTCTATCTTTTATTCTACGAGCTGGAAAGGCCTGGTGATGATGGAATGGCATGAAGTTCCTTCTGATGGCGGTGAATTGCTTCTGCTGTTGACGGGATGCGGCAGGTACATACAAAGCAAGATGTTTGAACATTAGCAGCTGTTTCTCTTGCTGTACTCCCGTGACAACTTGGGTAGCGAGTCAGCCTTACATGTGTAGATATGGCAGCAATATATTCGACTCCTGATACCTCATGTGTCCATCCACAGCTAGCTTGTTCGGACTAATGCTACCGAGGCTGGGAAAGCTCTCTGGGCTTGCGGAGTGGGACATTGCCACGGCTAGCTCTTCAATCGTGGGGATGATTCCGTGAATTCCCGCTTCATACTCCGTACAGCATTTCTGAGAGGATGGAGAAGCCAGTCAAAACCGACAAGAAACCAGGGAGAAACCGGAGGAATGGGCCATCAATGAGGGCATCGGAAAGTTGATGCTCGTTGCCGCCCTAATTAGTCCCTTATTCGGCGATCAACTCTAAAAAGCTGCCATGATGTGCCCCTCCATGTCTCCAATCCCACCGATATCCATTTGCTCTTCATGCTCAACCCCGGCAACCAAATTTCTTCTTTCTATTCATTACCTTGTCTTTCTGCGGTTTTCAACTTGGACTTGCAGTCGAAACATCTGATCTACTCTTCATCCATAGCTTAGCCTCTCCGTACGGCTTCTTCAACTTCCAGCCAACCCCCAGACCATACTCACTTTGTGAGCCCCACCAAGCAACAGTCAATATGGGTGTCAAGGACGTTCTGTCTCGCAAGGAGGGTGTCATTGTCGGTGACGATGTCCTGGCTCTGTTCAAGCACGCTCAAGAGAACAACTACGCCATTCCGGCCGTCGTGAGTATTCCGCAGCAAGCAGACTGCGAACAGCGTACTGACCTCGAACACCAGAACGTGACGTCCTCGTCAACCGTCGTTGCCTCTTTGGAGGCTGCCCGAGACGCCAATGCTCCGATTATCCTCCAGACATCCCAGGGAGGAGCTGCTTACTTCGCGGGCAAGGTTCGTGGACTGCGTTATTCTGCAAAAAGAGTGTGGACTGAGCTTCTGTACAGGGTGTCAAGAACGATAAGCAACAAGCCTCGATCGCCGGCGCTGTCGCCGCAGCTCACTACATCCGAAGTGTTGCTCCCGCCTACGGCATCCCAGTCGTTTTGCACACCGACCACTGCGCAAAGAAACTTCTGCCATGGCTTGACGGAATGATGGACGCCGATGAAGCATACTTCAAGCAACATGGCGAGCCTTTGTTCTCTTCTCATATGATCGACTTGTCTGAGGAGGCTGTTGACTGGAACGTTGAGACAACTGCCAAGTACCTCAAGCGGGCGGCTCCCATGAAACAATGGCTGGAGATGGTAAGAAGTGGAAAGCTTGGTGTGCCAGGATGTATACTAACAGTTTCCAGGAAATCGGTATTACGGGTGGTGAGGAAGACGGGGTCAACAACGAGTCCGTCGACAACAACTCCCTGTATACTCAACCCGAGGACATCCACATGATCTACACCACCTTGAAGAAGATCTCACCATACTTCTCCATTGCCGCTGGCTTCGGCAATGTCCACGGTGTCTACAAGCCTGGCAATGTTCGTCTCCATCCAGAACTTCTTGACAAACATCAGAAATATGTCAAGGAGAAGGAGGGCACCTCATCCGACAAACCTGTGTTCCTTGTCTTCCACGGCGGCTCCGGCTCTTCCAAGAAAGAATACACCGACGCCATCAGCTACGGTATTGTCAAAGTCAACCTCGACACTGACTTGCAATGGGCCTACCTCACGGGTATCCGCGACTACGTCATCAACAAGCACGACTACCTCAAGACGCAGGTTGGCAACCCTGAGGGCGAGGACAAGCCGAACAAGAAATACTATGATCCCCGGGTTTGGGTGCGAGAGGGTGAGAAAACCATGAGTGCACGTGTGGCTGAGGCACTCAAGGACTTCAACACTGCCAATCAATTGTAAGAAGGGAGATCTACGGCAGGCCGAGAAAAGTCTGTTTGCAACCTATGGAAGGGGTTGAGTGCGTGCTCTTTGGGAGAGATGGATGCTGTTCTCCGTTCTGGACGCGCGCATGCAAGGCAGTATGAGGTATAAGCGAGTATCAGCAGAGCAATAGCCCAATATATCACTAGGAAAAGCCCAACCCACGATGCTCATCCTGCCTTATGGTCGCTACTTTGTTCTCCCACGTCTCCTTGTAAACGCTTGAACTGTCTCGTGGCCCCGCACTGGGCAAGATCTCAAAAGGTGGCTCGATTCGGCAATACGTCACCGATTGACGAAATATTGGGAATTGCGCCTTCCACCAACCAAAAGCAAGTGTTGCAGTCATTGTTCATGGACGAACAGACTCGGATCTTGGATCTTGGTCTTGCTGCATTCTTTGCGTCCCATTTCATTTCGCTCGCTAGAAAACCAGACGATCATCGCCTTTTCTCATACCAACTTGTAGTTCCCGCAGCCTCAACCTCTGTATCCGAGCCAGTCTCGGTCCCTTCTCCTCTGTCCGCTCCATCAATCTGTAGTACGCGGCATCAATATGCCTGAAGTTGAGGGTGGCGCGGTGCCGAGCCAGAGTAAAGGGTCCTGGTCGTCTTTCCTCAAGGTCAGCCCAGCACAATCTATAGCAGTGGGTTATTACTGACGTCTGTAGTCCATTGCCTCCTTCAACGGTGATCTCTCCTCCTTGACTGCCCCTGCCTTCATCCTCTCGACTCAATCCCTGGTCGAGTTCTCCGCATACTGGGCTGAAAACACCTCGTTGTTCGTGGCGCCCACACAAGAGAGGGATCCTGCGAAACGCGCCTTACTGGTGCTGAAATGGCTCCTCAATACACTCAAACAACAATATTGCTCCAGATCAGAGAAGCTGGGCTCAGAGAAGAAACCGCTGAACCCTTTCCTGGGTGAACTGTTCCTGGGATCGTGGGACGATGAGTTTGGCCAGACTCGCCTGGTCTCCGAACAAGTCAGTCACCATCCTCCGGTCACCGCCTACTGCATCACCAATGACAAGTATCGCATACGGTTGCAAGGATACAATGGACAGAAGGCCAGTTTTAGTAGGACAATCCACGTCAAGCAGATTGGACACGCGCTGTTGACCCTCTATCCTCCTGGAAGCGACAAGCCTGAGACATACTTGATCACCTTGCCCGCATTGCATATCGAGAATCTCATTTACGGCGCGCCATTTGTCGAATTGGGCAAGTTCATCCATATCGTCTCAAGCAGTGGCTATATCTCCAAGATAGATTTCGCTGGCAGAGGTTGGCTATCAGGCAAGAAGAACAGCTTCACAGCGGCATTGTGGAAGGAAGGTGAAGGGTCCGAAAAGAATCCCATTTTTTCTGCAGATGGACAATGGTCTGAAACGTTCACACTGAAAGAGGGCGAGGGCAAGAGAGCGAAAGAAATTGCTACCTTCACACCGAGCGACGTCAAGTTGGCCAAGCTGAATGTTGCTCCAACTGAAGAGCAAGATGTCTTCGAGAGCAGAAGGGCGTGGAGTAATGTCGCGCGAAGTATCGAGAAAGGAGACATGGACGCCACATCGCACTTCAAGTCCAGGATTGAAAATGCACAACGAGCTCTGCGCAAGAAGGAACAAGACGAAAAGCGCGAGTGGGAGAGAGTCTTCTTCTCACAGGCCAACCCCAAGGACGAGCTGGAAGTCACCTTCCAGAATCTGGTCAAGGTGATTACCAACCAGGGTCTCAGTAGCTGGGAGGGTATTGCCCCCGACAAAACAGCTGGAGTTTGGAGATTTGATGACCAGAAGGCTGATCGGGCGAAGAAGCCGTTCCATCAGGAAGGACTTCTGGCATTGGGTGAGAATCCAGATGGTACGTCTGCACCGGTGAGCAGAGTCAGCACGAACCAAAATGCCAAAGCTGGTTGAGCTGGAGGACTGAGGACGCATCAATGACGACCTGCGCCATCGTGGTAGAAGCAAGCAAAGGGACTAGAAGAGCAGAGAACCACGGACCTTGGAGTTGTATTATTAGCTTTTGAGTGCTCCGAGATACGAACCGTATGATGTTTTATCGTTATGAGTTCGACCCATCATGTGTATACTGACGGCTTTCCCGAGGCGACTTCTGGGAAGGAAAGGCCATCCCTGATCATCAACTCGGAACCACAACTGCCCGGCTCCCAAAATTTCATCCGAAGTGCTTTTCTCATCGAGCTCAAGCACCGAATCACCATCGGAATCCTTCCAATGGAAGCCGATCGGAAGTAGCTGCCTGGCCGTCATCGTATTGCTTAATAAGCTGATTTCAGGGGAAGCTGCATCTAGCTAGCTGGAGTGCTGGAGCATTGTCCACTTCCCTTGTCGCGTTAAAACTTTTCGAGGCGTCCACAAGATTGGTTGAAGCATAGTGTTGTCTCCAATGGGGCTTCATGGTGAGCGTGAACGATGTCAGGGCTAGATAAGCAGGTCATCGTAAGGCTTGGATCACAGCCATCCAATATGGTCAGCACATCACAGCATAGTCCCTTGGTCGGTAGTTGAGGGCCGGTACGAGTACGCCAACCTAGGAAATTCCTGGGTTGGAGGTGAAGGGGGTAAAGGATACGAGCCACTTCACGAGTTGAATATGCAAGTTCCAAACGTCATTACTAATATTGGCCGTGGGTCGGCCTGTAGATATCAGGCATATGCAGGTGCTTCTCGCCCGAGAGCTGTGCTTTGCGGATCGTCCTGCACGGGACCTGGATTTAGATGGAATATAAAGTCCGGTGGGGTTGTCTCTAAGGCCAACTACAGTTCAACTTCATCACCAACCTCAGCTACACCTACAGCCACTCATACACCTTGCACAACACTCGGAGTTCGACGGTTCGAGGTTCAGACGCCGCGCAACATCCAGGGACATAGACGATACCTCCGACTCGATCCTACACCACAAACCGACAGAAGCAGAAGCAAACGCAAAAGCAAAATGGCACCGCCGTACAATGATTTGAAGTACTACACTGCTGGGACGCCGGTACGTCTTGCCTTCTCTCCCACCTGATTTCTGAGTTCGCCTGTATTTTTTGTTCGAGGTTCTTGAGAAGCTGGTTTGTCACTTATGCGCGGGTATTGCCCGCTAGCTTGTCATTGTACAATCAAAGTGCACGAGCGACGGCTGCACACTGCTCGATTCCACAGACAACTGCCTGCATCGTTTTCGGTTTTGGCCTGATCGGAGCGGCAATGCTAATGAGTGGGTAGAACGGCCTGAAACCCGCCATCCTTCTCGAAGAGCTCGGCTTGAAGTACGAGACTCATGCGATTAATATCATGTATGTGCCTCCCCATGCGTTCAATGGCTCACTAGGATCTGTGTTGTCGTGACAGGCGGGGGAACTGATGAGATGAGATGAACAGGAAAAACGAGCAAAAAGAGCCATGGTTCATCGAGATCAACCCGAACGGACGGATTCCGGCATTGAAGGATGGAGATCTGCGCGTTTTCGAGTCCGGGGCGATCATGTTGTATCTCACGGATATGTATGATAAGGAGAAGAACTTCACATACCAGTACGGGACGGACGAGTACTACGAGATGGTAAGCCACCTTCTCTTCTGGGTTCGCGGTGCATAATGATTGGGCGCTGACTTCTTGATCATAGATGAGTTGGTTGATGTTTCAGATGGGCGGCATCGGACCTATGCAAGGACAAGCCAACCATTTCCGCGCAATGGCACCAGTCTACTCGGCCTACGGAATCAAGCGGTACATTGATGAGACCAAGCGATTGATTTCGGTGCTCGAAATTCGCCTGTCCAAAGCAGATTGGTTGGCTGGGGACAAATACACCATCGCCGACATGGCGAGTTATTCCTGGGTGCAAGGGGCGCCGCTATTCTTGGACATTGACCTCAGTGAATTCCCTGGCGTCGACAAGTGGATCAAGAGGATTGGGGAGCGATCAGCTGTGCAGGCAGCTAAGAAGGTCGGCTCGTCTTGGTCTGATGAGCAGATGAAGGAGATGATTGGGGGAATGAAGGCCAAAATGGATGCGAAGAAGGGCACCGAGCAGGAAGAGGAATCGTCCAAGATCTGAGACAGTGAGTCATGGGTAATAAAGATGTTTGGTACCGTATGGATCAATATTGATACCCAGAATCAGACACCTACCAGACACGCCAGAACTGTCTTTTATGGACTGAAAGATCGGGATATCATTGATCCGCGCTATTTCATCTTGCCATCTTCGCGCCTTTACGGATAGGCACATCACCTTTGATATTCTGGCCGCTCACACTGAAGGAATAGATCGCAACAATAGTAAGTCTATTGATCGCATTCTCGTTATTAGACTTTCGCGAGGTGATGCCTTGCTGCTGGCAAGATTCAGTGAGTCTTGACCGCCTCCCCATGTTTTCAATCAATGAAGGACTGTGACTCAATGGTCCTCGTGAACAAGGTATATCAAAGAAAATGGGACCTTGGTATTGATCTGGTACAAGCAGCATTTTCAGTGGGAAAACAAGGCATTCCTAACCGTTTTCCCCTTCCTTCTTCTTTTCCTCATGAACCATCTCGACCTTTCCCACAACCGATCTTGATGCTCCCAGTCTTACGTTACATAGTCTCAGCTTCTGGAGAACTGTTTGCCAGGATATTCTGAACATCTTGCACTCTGACAGTCACACTAAAGCTCTGAACCAAACCCACATTCACCACATCTGAGGATTGACTGGAACCAACTCTGGTTACCAGAGTGTTTCACATCTTGACAACTTCAGCACAAATCTAAGCTCGATCTACAACACCAGCACCCATGTCTGCGGAACAACACCAGCGTATGAGACGCAGCTCCCGCGATACACCGTATCAAGCAACAATTGCCACCACCAAAAACGAAGAGATCGAACGTCTCGCTGCATCACTCCAAACGGCTGCCAAGGGTGCCCCTGGCTCTTCGCCTTCACCACGCTCTCACCGCCGACGTGGGTCCGACAGCTCTCACAGCTCGAATCGATCCCGTCGTAGTCGCAGAGGCCGCAATGCCTTTGAAACATCAAGCGCACGTGGCAATGAGAGAAACAACAAGCATCGCTCGAGTGGACGAAATATTAACATCAACACCAACACCACTACGAATACGAACAAGAGCAACAACAGTACGGCTGCGGGCCTGAAAGCCTGGCAGCGCTCAGCCGAATCAGCAGGTGGCCGACAGAACATCAAATCAGACAAGCGCGTCTACTCGCCATCAGCTTCTCCTGTCCGCGATGGTAGAGTCGAGAAACCTGCCCATTCCAGCCGCGGTGCGCGTGCCAACAACTACAACAACATCCGTCAGAACAACCAATACACCCACAACCTTGACCGAGCTCAAAGCTACAAAGAAGCAACACGAGTCCGCAGCACCCGCATCACACCAACACACATCCTCTTCTGGGGCGGCCCGCTATCGAATTGGAACGTCGGCGTCCCGTTCAGTGGTGGGCGCGCAATCGACCTGCTCATCCCGCAGCTCGATGATGCCAAGATCGCACACCCGAGCCGCAGCGCGCTGAGCACGCAGTTGATGAGTCGGCATGACTTTGTGTGCGGCGAGCAGTTCATGATGGCGTGTAAGGGATGGTTGTTTGAACGCATGATCCAAGGTTCCGAATTCGATACCTCCGATTTGGAAGCGAGTGTGGTTGATCAGTTTTGCAATGACATTCTCGAGTACGGCGGGTGGGGACAGAAACCGAGGGATGGAGAGAAAGATGGACAGAAGAAATTCAAAGTCAAGGTCACGACCAAGGACAAGGAGAAGGATCTGGATCAGGATGGGAACGACAAGGATGTGGATGTGGATGTGGAAGTCGAGATCGACATTGACTACGAGGGAATGAGTGCGGGCACAATCGCCTCCTGCATCCTTTCGCCGAACCCGAGAGATCAAAAGGCCATCGGTCGCCGAACGAGAGGATTCAACGACGCCATCTGGACACGCGCGAGTCTACACGTGGTCGTTGCAGCGAGTATCGCGCGTGCCGAGGCCGATCCGGAACTCAGGGAGGTGTATCACAAGCTAGGGCAGGGTAGGACGTTTGTCGAAGGCTCGCCCATGGACAAGATTTGGGGGGTCGGTCTGCGCTGGGATGATCCGCGCGCTGACGATGAGAAGAATTGGCGCGGTGGGAACAGGCTTGGACGGTGTCATGATATGGCGGCCGAGTGGATGAGGCTGGAGAAGCAGTGAACGTGACTGTGGAACCTGGATATGGGATATCTACACTCACTACCATGGCAATTGGAATGACATTTTGAAAGTGGGAAGGGCAGGGGAAGCTAGGATGCAAGGATGGCCACTGGAGTCAAGGTCATTATGGATAGGCGAGGTCGGAAACGGGATTGGGCAGGAGTCCTCAAGGCAAGATATGGTGCTATGAATGGTATGATCTGGACATTCTTCGAGACCGACAAAAGACTTGGGATGTTGACGTTAAGCATTGGGAGCCCGGCGAGGTCAAGGTTTCAACATGCTATTGTGGTGCCTTCGGGGGATGTCGTGAAAGATCCGCCTATCGGTATTGGATGACTCCTGGAATCAACTTGGGACATTTCATTGTACTATATGTGCATCAAACAGGGTATCATTATTATGGACTACGGATTCATTCATGCTGCAATTGGAATGGTCGACGACTGCAATGGTCGGCGAACCTCCAGCCTCCGTATTAGCATCGCTGCTTGTGCTAGTTCGAGTCGTTTCTTCGTATTTGTTTCTTTTTGACTGGATAGGAAGTCGGGGTATTCACGTTCTGCGCAGTCTAGAATATACCGAGCGTCTGCAGGCCGGTTCTGATCTAGTGAAATCTGTGCAGCGTCGAGTAGATTGACCAGGAATACCTTCCGGGCCGACTTCTTGAAAGATGACTTTCGCTGCCATTCGGAGAAGTCGCCGAGTGTGGAGGCTTGAAGTTTCGAGCAAAGCATTGATGCTACAGGCGACGTGGGGTGGTAGAGTCGAACAAAGGTGTGGTCCACGCCTGAGGAATGAAAAGACAGGCCATTTGCCAGTAATCCTTCATACAGACCGGCTGGGATACCGTGATTCTTACGCCGACCTAGGATGGCCATCGAAAGTCGCTGCCATGACCATTTCAATGGTCGTCCAGTCTGCCCATTTGCGTGACGGTATTTGCAGGCTTGAACGTAGAGCTCAGCCGCCTCCTGCAGAGATCCTCTGGCGATCGTCTCCGATATCATTGCCGCAACCAGTCTGTCTTCAGCTAGAAGGTAGACTCCAGCATCGGATACATCGTTCGTCCAAGGGAAAGTGTTTGAGGAGAATTGCCGTTCATAGAGAGCCTGCAGCCATTGCCATACCGCTGCCTCAAGACCATCTGCATACATCACGGATACCAAGGGTTTCAGCGATTTGTTATTGATCCAAAACTCATTTTTTTCTTGCTCGTCCATTGTAGTGAACCAGTTGGCGAGTCTAGGCCCGAGTCTGCCATCTTCTGGGATGTTTTCCTTCTTCTCCAAGCCTTCGAGATATTGTAAAGTACAAAACTGAACGAGATGACGATCCAGTCCCTTTCCAGTCAACGCCGCATCGAATGTTGCAACTGCAGTCGCTGATAGACTGTGTGGAGGGACGAACGAGGGGGACCTCCGTTTCAACAGAGGGTGACTGAGGATGCTGTCGAGATGCGAGTGAGTCGAATGGGTGAGTCGTTGTGCAGGTTCAGGTATCCAATCCTTGCCCTTGACCACCTTCGATTCAACCGCCCTCGGCGAAGGATGAGCATCGTCTAGGTGCTTTTGGAAGGCTGATTCGAGGACATTGAGGAGTTGTTTCGACTCGCGAGGAGATTGTGGAGGAAACGGCGGCTGGAATCGAGCGAGCAGTTTCCTCACTGAAAGTGCAGGCGTGAGCCTCATCTTGGCCTCAATGAAGCCTCACTCAAACATTCATCCGTTTGCGTTTGCGTTTGAGAGCTTGCTTCTTGACATTTCCGGCGACGATGTCATAGGCGCATCACAATGACTGTGTAGCCGCGGACATGGATGATGGAGTGACTTTGGGTTGAGCTGAGCTGCGAGGGACGCCACTTGTGACAAGCTTGGCGCCTTTCAGGCTCAGAGATTCTTGGTTTATTGCTGTCTGCGGCCTTCTTACAAGCCTTCACAATCCCCATGTCAACATAACACTCCTCGTCGTCTTCTTGCTTTCATCTTACTCTCAGTCCGCATTGAAGACGCTTCTTCACAGGGACTCAGCTCCTCTTGCTCGCAGGAGTCTAATTCATCCTCCTTTTCTCCCTTCCTGCCTGTCACATTACCTCACTGTCCTCTACTCCCTACCCTAACAGTCTCCCACATACTCGATCCACACGACAATGGCAGAAGTCCAAGTCCGCGGTAGCGGTACAAGAGGACGGGGCGGATTCAGAGGCGGTAGAGGCGGTTTCAGAGGGGGCAGAAATTCCGGCAGAACACATCAAAGAGCAGACAATGAGCAAGAGAACATTCCTCCAACATCGCTCGAAGACCAGGGTGAAACTGGTGAACTCAAGAGAAAGTTTGGCGACCAATTGCCCCTATTGAGAGAGATTTGCCCTGGCTGGAGTGATGAAGATCTTGTCTATGCGCTCAACGAGACAGATGGCGATGTGAATGCAGCTGTTGACCGGATCTCATCTGGTGAGAAGCTCTACGGCTAAACCTTGTGGACTACATCTGACTGTACATTACAGGTACGATCTCTCAGTGGGGTGAAGTGAAGAAGAAGCACCCAAAACCGAAGGAAGTCCCTACCGCAACAGCAGAAACTGGCGCTCGTGGTCGTAGTCGTGGTGGCTTTGAAGGTCGCGGAAGAGGTCGTGGCGCAGAACGCGGTGCTAGAGGCGGCCGCGGTGCCAAATCAGTGGCTCACACAAATGGTACTAAGGACACCAAAGCGACGGATGGATGGGACACTGGTGCACCGGCCCAAGGTGCGGAAACTGCTGCTGGCTGGAACACTGTGCCGACAAATGGTGACAATGCCGCTACCAACGACGATTGGGCAAATGAACCCGGCAAAGACTCATTGAACTCTCTACAAACCGAAGAGCCCAAGCCGGCCTCAGGTGCGGCACCTGCCACTGCAAAACCAGGCGGATGGGCTGGATTGTTTGCGAAACCACCTCCTGCGCCCAAGCAGGCTCCTGCACCACCACCACCTCCTGCCGCGAAACCCGAAGAGCCAGCAGCTGAACCCGAGCCTGCGCCTGTCGCTGAGATAGCCCAAACCGAGCCAGCTCTACCTCCTCCCATCGAATCAGCATCGAGCGAAGTTGGACCAAGCGAACTACCATCTGCGCCTCACTCCGACACAGGAAAGGAATTGACACCTGGAAAGGATGAACTTACAGAGAAGAACCTGGAGAAACTACCTGACACATCCCATCCGGTTGCATCGGGAACTGCTGCCAGCACAGTCGCAAGCACTCAAGATCCTCTGGCCGCCCACGATAACGCCAGACCAGCCATTCGACCTGGCATGTCCGGCTTTGCAGCCACGGCGCTGAAGGCAACTGCTGGAGGTAGCCGGACTTCCAGCTATGCAAGAAAAGTGATGGACCAACAAGAGGCCGTTGTGATGCCAGGTCACCAAGCAATCGAGAAGGCAGCAGTCCAGTTTGGCAAGTTGGGAATGAATGCACCGGATGACGTCGATGTGGACGAGGATAGAGAGGAGCCTGAGACTCGAACTCAGCTTCCAGATGACTCTCCTGTTGCTCCACGAGCCTCGCTGCCACCATCTCTTTCCGAGGCACAACAAACAACTCCTTCCGTCCAGGCTCAAGCACCTGCAGACACCCAACCAATGCTACAACGACAAGCACCAGGTCTGCCGCCAGCTCCTCAACAGGCGCAGCAACCATCGCCTCAATCCTCATCCGCTTACGCAGATCAATACAGATACGGACAAAGTCAGAAGTACGATCCATTTGGTCAGCAGACACAAACTGCACAGGTTCAAGCGCAAAATCAAGAACCATTCTCGAACCAGGTCCCTGGTCAACCAGGTGCAACTGCTTCGCAGAACGACTACGCCTCCTACTATGGCCGTGATGCATACAACTACTACGGAGGGTATGGTCAGGGCCAGGACGCTCATCGCACTGCCAATGCGTTTGGTACCTCAGCCCCGGATACTCAAGCCCAATATGCCACCTCACGCCCTCAACAAGGTATGGCACAGGACACGCCAGGAAGTGGTCAGAACACTCCCGCGCCTGGTATGCCCAGCCACCCCACTCAGCAGCACTCTGGCCATTTGCAGAGTCAAGGCCATGGTTATCCTGGATATGGCTATCCCAATGCTTACAATCAGCAATATCCTCAATATTCTGCAAACTACATGAACCAGATGACTCATCGCTACGGAGCCAACCGACCCATGTTTGATGATGCTCGTCGACAGGCACAGGCACAGGGACAACAGGACAGCGACTACTATGGCAGCCAGTACAACTATGGTCAAAATCACTACGGAGCTGCATACAATTCCAAAATGTATGGCCAGCCCCAGCAGGGTTACTCTTATGAACATTCCTCTTCCCCAGCCAATACTACCGGCTACGGTCGCGAAGCAGGATATGGGCGAACTGGTTCTGCTCAACCTGCTGATGCTCCACCAAGTGCTAGTGGTAGCGTCGCATTCGGGAGTGTCCCAGATCCTTTCGGCCGAACTTCTTCTGGTTTTGGACAGACTCAGCAACATGGTGCTCACTCCGGAAGTGATGATCCTACCAAGGCATCTGGTCCAAGCCCTTCGATGCAAGGTGGACGTCCAACATCTGCTGTCAACAGTCTACCTGGCCAACAAGGTGGACTGCCCCCACCGTCTCAGCCATCGGGTCAGCAGGCTTTCGGTGGCTATCCTCAATATGGCGGTGGTTTTGGCAGCCACCAAAGCGCTCACCAGAATACTGGATATGGCGGGTATGGTTCTAATACCGGATTCGGCACTTACGGTGGTTATGGTGGTGGCAGAGGTTGGAATGGTAGCTACGGCTCTGGCCATTAGACCCCTTGGTCTGCCTGAAGCATGCCGGTATCATATCTCTCCTCTGTTCTATTAGTGGAGTCGAAAGTTCTCTTCCTCGCAAAAAGGAATCATGGCGAATGCAGGAGCAAGATAGCGAAAAGTTTCTGTTGACCAGGTCTGTCTCCGTTTTGCGGGGAGAAGGGGTTTTCTGATTTCTCTTTTCTTTATCGACTTGTACTTGTACACAACACATCAAAATCGTCGGGTGAAAGTTGCGACTGGAACGGGGTCTTGGTCTGGTCAAGGGTGGACAAACCAAAATTGTCATCATGGGTTGTCGGTCGCTGCGATCGAAACGGAGCAAAAGTGGTCGAGTCAGTGACTGGATGGTCTGCTAAGTCACTGATCTACGAGTATTTCCCCAATGGATGGGCCGGGCGTCTCTTTGCCTTAGGTAGCATGAGAACTTGATCGAGTTCCAAGGTCACTGACAATGTATCACTTCAAACCCTCAAATCAAGGGCCACGCTCAAAAGGCAGCTACAGGTCCTTCAATCTGTAGACAAGATCCTTGCAAACTACTTGATACTCAAAACTGGGTGACCACCAGCAATGCTGTTTAAAGACATGCAGGAGGAGAACAACCTTCTAAAACATCATCGTCTAAGTGGATGAACTTAGACTATTGGTCCTTCAGTAGAGTACAGTACGGAGTAGTTGCCTAAAGATTGCTGCGCGGAATTTTTCGCGTCAGCTTAACGTTATAGACTTGCTGCTTGACAACGGTTCCTGCATTCACGCGGCCGACCACGCTGTACGGGCGAGCCACCAGAAAGATTTCATCGCCAGTAATTGTACCACAGTACTCCGTACCTCCGTACCCGCCATGTCCTTTTGATTTTGAAACAATCATACCCTACCCGGCGCATGCGACCGACCAACCCATAGAAAAATCCCTCCCTGCTGGTAAAAAAAGACATCTCGGATTACAATACAGGTCATATAAATTCATCACTCATCATACTCAGATCCGGACCCGGATCCTGGCCAGACACCAAACTCTTGGCCGCGCCCATTGCGACCTTCGTCGCGCTGGCGACGACCGATGATACACCACTGCTGCCAAAGGCGGAGCCGGAGAGAGGATCGTCGACAAAGCCATCCGTCAAGCCCAACGCCATTCCCACGACCCTCCAAATCGCGACAAAGACCTTTGCCAATATCGGTATGAAAGAGTCGAGATGAGTCCATCTGGCCAACATGGTCGGCAGGACGAACGGAAACTCAGGCTCCGGCACAGTCGGCCAGACGTACCGCTCCGCATACAGTGGGTGCGCGTACATCTCGGCGAAGGCGCACTCAGTTATATACCACGCCCAGAGGGCAAGCGTGACCCAGCCGAGCCAAGTGGGCCGCGGGAAGATCTCGCCGCGGTCTTTGCGGCGGGGGTAGAAGAGTAACGGGATCGGAATTGTGAAGGTGGAGTATGTCATTGGGAGGAATCCGTTCGTGCGTATTTGGTGTGTATTTGTGTGCAGGTGTGGTTGTTGTAAGTCGCTATGGCGTCCGCATACGACACAAGGCTGGGTGGGATCTTGTGCGACGAGTGCTTGCGATTGTATTTGCGCTTGCTTGCCTGTCGATGGTGGCGGCGAGGGCGAATGCGATACTCTCTGCTCAAGACGCGAAATGCCCTTTCGTGCTTCATGGAGGTTCGACATCAATCGTTCCATGCGCGAAGTCAGGTGTCCGATGAACGCGACTTCCGCGGTGGTGGAATCTCCATCGTATGCTTGTGCAAGTGCAAGCTGGCGCTGTTTAACTGCTTCATCTTCCGCATTAGTCTTGATGAGACTTGTGAGATCGGCTGTGATGTCTGCTGCGTCGGTGAGCAGATCTTCGAAGGATTGAATTGTCGCGTCACCTAGATTGAGCGTGTCGTCTCCCGTGTCGGCGATGTCTCGAGAGACTAGGCGCTTCTGCTTGGCTTCGTTCAGAACGTTGCTGAGTGCACTTTGGGGCAGAATAACTTGTTCCTCCGGGGAAGGCCGGGAGTCCGGCGCTGCTTCCCGATGGTTTGGTACATCAGAGGTGGTAGCCTCAGCTGGACGGTCCTCGATCGGTGATTCTTCTTGTGGGAAGTCGCCATTAGTAAGTTCTTCGGTGGCTTCTTCAATCGTCTCTGGCATTGAAGGAGCCGGGAGTAAACCATCACTCGGAAGAGGTGTGTCAATCCAGGCTCCAGCATTGACATGTGGCGTTTGCAAATGTTTAGATTGTCTCGGCATTGATTTTTGCGTCTTCACTGTGTCTGGTAATATCGTATCAGTCCATGCACCTGTGACTTTCGGTGTTGCCAGGACTCTGGGAGTAGGAAGCCCAAGCTTGTCGGTTTGATCGATCAGTGAAGGCTCATCAGTTGTCTCAACTTCCCCTTCATAAGCTGCAAGGATATCGTCTTGCGTCGCCTCTTCGTGCACTTCTTCCAGTGGTTGCTGAGGCGGTGGGCTGGCCCTCGGCGTGGTGCTTGCGGCCCGAGCAAGCCTTTGAAGGTGATCGAGTGACCTTTGCGACTCGGCCGCTGGTCGTTGTGAAAGGCTTGAGTTCTCACTGTTGGTACTCGATGACCTGTATACAACGACAGGTGTGTCAGGAATCCGCTCTCCTTCATCCAGCGGTCGCACACTCGGGTCGCTCGTATGAGTGACAGCCGGATCTGGAGGGCCCTGTCTTCGCTCTTCCGGAGTGAATGATCGAGATGTCTTACGAAGTATGACGTTGGGGTCCTTAACGCGTATCTCATCCAGCCTGTTTGTTGTAACTGCTTGTTTCGATAGATCTTCTATTTCCCTCTTTGTCAGAGAATAGTTAGGACGACTTCGAACTGGCGGACTTTCCGAGACTTGAAATGATAGGCCAGTAAAGTCATTGTCCCACTTCCGGAACCTGTCGATAGATCTTTGCTTCTGCACAGATGATTGCAATGCCTTTCGAGGAGGAGTGCCTTGAGGTGTTGAGCTTTTCTCAATAGATGGTAAAGGGACGTCTGCCGCGGCTACAGCCCAGGCTATTTGGGAACTGTCTCCCTCTGCAAGCTGGTTTTTCTTCTCCTCGCGCTTCTGTGCAGTTTCTTGACGCCATTTGGCAAGGAACAACCGAGCAGCCTGGAGCTTATCATCAGGCCGCAGCTTGGCCTTGTCATCAAGGGGCAGCGGCACGTCAGGAAGTGGTTCAGATGCTGTCGAGGTGACCGTGTCATTGGGTTCGCCATTGTCCTTCTGTTGTTCATCTGACTCTGAAGGCACCCCAAACGGACGTGGGACGCCGTTTGCGCGAGAAAATGCGACCAGTTTTGGTCCTTGATCAGGGTTCTGCGGTCTTTCATGTTCAGGTTGCTGACCTTTTCGTCGGCCGGCTTTGCTGAAGGCGACAATCTTCTCTCTGGCCCGGAGTTCGGGAGGCGTATCACTCCCATCATCGTCTTCCTTTTCAGCAGCCTTTCTGTAAGCTCGCGAGAAGGCTTTGACCTTTTTCTGAGTCGAGTCGATACTCGTGTCGGAATGAGCTTTCCCTGTTCCATTTGTCGTTGTTGCGGAAACATTCTCGAAGTTGATAGGGCCGCGGTTCGATATCCTCGCAAGATCGTTCCTTCTATGCTCGCCAGTAGACCCGTTGGACTGCCGCCGAAGGCTATTCCCGAAGTCAATAGGGACATGATTTTGTCGTAGCTTTGCAAGCCTGGCTCGATCCTTCACGCGATCCATTGCGTAAGGGGTTAGCTTTGCTGCGAGTACTCGATCCGTCATCTCATTCTGTATAAAGTCCAACGTGGGTGGTGCAGAGAGGCTCTCCGTCTGACCTTCCGCCATATTCTCCTTGTCGGTGTCTATTGTCAGCTGAACGGGCGTCGATGCTCTGGACGTCGCCTTTGGGGCGTTGCCTGTATCACTGGGCGGACCAGCATTCAGATATGAACCAAGAGTATCGTCTCCATCGTTCTCAATATCTTCATCACTGTCACCTTCTCTTTCTGTGGCAGCAAGATCTTCCTCGTCTGCTATCCTTTGATAGGTGTCCGTCATCTCGCGCGGAGGGCTGGAGAAGTCGGCCGGGGGACTCATCAAGGGAGGGCCATCTCTGGATTGCGGTGGAGTAGTTACATCGTTCGGTCGCCGCGGACTGGAACTTCGCCTGAGCGCGAGAGGTGACGATGGCTGTGGCAGTCCGCTTAGCCGGGAATTTGTGTATTCTGCCAGCGACGAGCGTTGTACTTTGTTCCCCACCTCTTTGGTTGCTTGAAGCGCTCTGCCTGTGCCTATGGCGCGTCGCGGTCGCACGGGTTTGATCTTCTGAGGGCTCGGAGTGGGTATGCGCGAGTCGCTGCTAATAATACTATCTGTGAAGAAATCTTCACTTGGTAGATTTTGGCCTAACGAGGCGGCCGCGCCATGGCGCTGGGTTGTGAAGAGTGGGTTGTTTTCTTTGTTTCGAGACATTGCGGCGGCGCGTGGAGTCGCATCCGTGGTATGGTTTTTCGTCGCATGCTACCGCATAGAATACCGTGAACATATGCGTTGTAACATCGTACAGCGTTATCTTCTGTATCTCTCGCGCTCGAGTGATTGAGGGCGCTTTCTTTGGCTGGTCGCATAACAAACCACCAAAAGTGGAACAGTTCGAATGCGAGTAAACGATGAGATCAGCATTCTATAACGCGCTGCTTTTACAAGAGTCTATGCCAAGTTTGCCTCGTCAAAGCAGCAAGCTTTTTCAAAGCCTCTAAGGAAGCCTTGGTAGCCACGCTGCCTCTTGCGAAGACCGCAACAGCACTCTGATAACCGTCCCAGCGTGAGTCTTGAAACTCAACTCCCCTGTGGCATTCGGGGCAGCTGTGAGGCTGTCGACAAGGTTGAAGATATGATCTTCGGATTCAAACAGAAACATTCCATACCCTTACCACGACCAATATTGTCGTCAAAGTCATCAAAAGTGCTGCACACGGCCAACCTGCCTCGACTCCTCCTCTTGAGCTCTTCACGTTCCTCGATCCAGCATCAAAGCGCGATCATCTGCTCTTGACTCTTCCCATCCCTCTCAACCGGCCTGCAAATGCCTCCACCGTTCCCTCGCCTCGCTCTCCCTCCTCTCCTTTTCTTCCTGACTAACCATCTCCAGCCCTGCTGCAATCCTCTCATCCTTGGCCTCCAACGCCCTCTTGACTCTCCACGCCATCGCCGACATGATAGCATACAATACCGCACTGACAAACTGCAAAGCCACCATCACGTCCCAAACAGTCTGGTTCCCACCGGTGCCAGAGGGACACTCGTTCCTCTGCACCGGGCCGTGCCCGTTGTTCCCCACACAAGCCCCCAAGAAGAAAATACTGCTAATGAACATGAGGACCGACATTGTGGTCGAGAACCATAGCGCCAGGCGAGGTGGGTTGACTCGCGCCAGAACGTGCAAGTGTAGCGAGGGGATGGCGTTGAAGAAGGATAACCCGGGCACGATCAACGGCTGGATGACTTGGGCACTAGATTCATGCATCAGCAATTCATCTAGCACAAGAGTCCCGCCTCGAGAGGAGAGGTAAGCGATGCGTAACATACAAATTCAGTTCGGTCTTGAGCGATGAGATCCATACTGCGCCAAACGCGATTTCGATCATACTGAGAATCCCAATGACAAGGACGACCCAAGGGCCGTAGCCTGTCCATTTCGCTGTTCTCGCCCATCGCGTGTCACCTTGAAAGGAAGCGTCGTTTAGCCCTTCGATGCCGAGCATATTGTCGTGCTGAGTTGTGTCCTTGATATCCTAAAACACAGTGATCTTACAGGGACAATTACGATTGAACAAGCTCGGTGATACGTGACAATATCGCTCTCCACTGTCCCGTCGGCTCTATGCTGCTCATATTCAGCACCATGTGGCAAGGTGCTATTTGTCCAACACTGGGCGAGATGTCTATTGAAAATCGACGTAGAAATTCCCAGGCCTCCTGGAAGAAAGTAAGCAAGAAAATCAAGAAGCTTGTCGAGGCTACAACAAAAGAACAGGGTTAAAGAATAACTCCATCCCCCCTCACCATGTCAGGAGGCCCAAGGTTACATGGTCTCATGCCGATCGATACCCCGGGTGCCCGGACACGTTCTTCTGAGGATTGTGGAGTCCCAGAAAGACGGGACAGAGAGCGCTAAGAAGACGAAAAGCAGTCGTTGCGAGCCTGATCCTCCGGCGTTCAAATGGTGTGATTCGCTACAATGGCACCCAGGGACCAAAATGCTTGCATGAGCTTGAGTGCGCCTTGACCGGTTAACGATGCCGAGTTATCCTTAAATTCTTGTCACGTATTGCTAGGAACACATATCCAGTATCTTACTGCTGGCTTGATGTTCTCATTAACATTATACCCATCCGGCCGTTTTCGTGACATAGGCCCAATTTTGCAACAATCTATACAGAATAAAACGCTAGATACCACCATGGACTCGTCATTCCTTTTCTCGTCAAGAATATCTCCAACAACGATGTCGTGGTTGCTTTGATCCAAGGTCTAGGCGACAGTATGCATGTCCCTTCTGTTCGGAGTCACTAACCCCAGACCGCGGCGATTTTGGCACTGAGCGCCTTTGCCACTTTTTTCTTCGGGATAGCATTTCCAAGCCTGTCACTTATCATGTTCTCCTTCTGCGGGCCTCTACTCAGCACCTCAAAGGCTTCCGCCAGTGCTCGAGGTGTAGGCCATATTTTCTGAATCTCGACGGCTTTCTCACCCGTCACGCCTCTTGTGCACATCAGCATTTTGAGGTAGACATCCCTTAGCGTCATACTGTCTGACTTGTCGCATATAGCACCAAACACAGAGAATGTTATTCCAAAAGTCTTTTCTGGTGATAACCTCCTCAGCCGCTCGAACGTCGTGGAAGCGCTTTCTGCTTCAAAGCTTCGTAAGGGGATAACGTGGATGTTTTGCTTTTCGTACAGACCTTTCAGTGTTTTGGTCATGCGAGCCAGATATGCAACGGTGTCGTCTAGCTTGGAGGTTTGCTTCACGAAGACGTCGTCAACGACTTGCATGCTCGCAATGGCGCTTTCAACTGCATCTCCATACTTCTCACTCTTCTCTGCTGATAGGGAATATGCTTCCACCAAGTATACCACATTCTTGATACCAGACTTGTGGAGACGGAACTTTTGCTCGCGGAAGCGGCCGTCCTTGATACTACTGATCAAGTCGTCAAGTCGTTTACGCTCGAGAATGTGCTCTAGAACAATCCACAACTCACCGGCTTGACCTTCTTCTGAGTGCACGTTTGCAGCTTTGAGTGTATTGGCATATGAAGAATTGACGACTGCAACCCACAGTACATCTCCCAAAGGGAGTGCAGCGAGGATAGGATTGACACCATGCTTCTTCAGTTCGGCGGAGATGTAGTCCCGATCGGTTGTTGATCGGATTTCGCGCATATCAAGGATCATTCTCACCTCGAAACTGTCAGGAGGAAGAAGGACGGCCCCGTCAAAGTCTGCGCCAGTGCCGACTGATCGTACGTCAAGATTTCGAGCACTGGCGCTGAAGGCTTCCACCTCTGGTGCGAAGGCAGGCGATCGCGGTTCAGGACTGGACAATAACTCCACAACATTGGAGGTTGCCCGTCCGCTCGTTGAGGCAATTTGCCGCGACTGTGTAATTGTTGTCTCGAACCGCCGCCTCTCTGGTGACTGCCTGGCGGCTATGCTAGGTCTCACAGTTGGCAGGATATGGGGGGAAAGTGATCTTGAAGGAGAAGGCAGGCGAGTGGCCGCCTGCTTCTTGCCTTTGGGCCTGGATGAAGGCACGCTATCTCCCTCCAGTGTTGCTTTCATACGCACCGCAACCTCCCAGCCTTCATCAGACAAGTAGTACCTCTTTGCTGGATGGCCCTTTGTGCATATCAGCTCTTTACTCTCAAGAGTCTTTATGGATTGCCATGCGGTGTAAAACTTTGTAGGGTCACTCGGTACATCGAAGGAGGAGTCGCAGTGAGGTTGCGCCAGTCTGGTTAGCTCGTCCTTTGGGATGGCCTGGTTGCTTTCCTGATCCAGAGTGGCCAACGCCATGATCAATGCGTAGGCGCCAGATCTCAGCTTCGGAACGTATGGTTGAGCCTTTCGCTTTTTCCGTTTTGGCGACTCTTGTTCCCCTTGAGGAGGCTCTTCTTGCTCAAGTCCTGACTGTTGTCTTCTCTTTTTGCCTTTAACAGGCATGGGCAATCCATTCTCTTCACAAAACTTCTTAAGCTGGTCTGTAAGACGATCGCATAGTTTTGGTCCAAGGCCGTTGAGTTGCTGAGCCTCTGAGGGATGATCGAAGCGCAGAGGACAAGCTATCATCGACTGGTAGGCTTTCTTGTACCTAAGGTCATCAGTAATGTTAGTTTCGCCTGCCATGGTCGACTTACACTGTGTAGCCTTTGGTATTCTGTTCCTTCGCTCTATCCATCCACTCCTTCAGCCATTTGGCCAGTAGCGGATTGGCGCAATCCTCTGGCATCTTGAAGACGGCCGCTCCAGCGCTCGAAGGTCAGCGGAGTAAGTCCACGTCCAGCATCACATCATTGCTGCGTGAAAGGTGTGTTGAGGAATTGGCAGCTTTCGTGCACTGGAACTGGCCACCGGACTCGTCAGACGCGGCAAATAACGCAGGAACGCGTGGTCACGTGACCAATGTCCTCGGCACTTCTAAGAACATGTCGTCTTCTGCACACAAGTACCTAGCGAGCCTAGGTAGCAGTTAACATACTCAGTACTCCGTACTTCCGTTTACAATTCCAGAAATCTTGACATCTCCACAAGCCATTGCATTTCCGGCGGCCTCAAATCAGAGTTAATCAAGCCCTCCCTTTTGGCTCATCCCAGACTTTCCGCCAGCGTCCCAAGCTCACAAATGACAGACCAATAGAACGCCTCCTGCAGCTTAGCCTTCTCAAGGTCGAAGCCCTGGCCAAAGTCGCAATGCAAGCATTTGCGGACTGTCTCTGCGTACTTCGGGCCCCACTTCGATGAGACTCTCTTCGACGGGCGATTTGCTGTACGATAGGGGACGTCTTGCTGCGCAGTGCCGACGCGGTCAATTTGATCGACCATAGCGGCTAGCGGCTTCTCGTACGCCAGCTCGAGCAAAACAACACCCAGACTGAACAGGAGACGGTTCCTGATGACCAGGGAATTGGAGGATGGCGAAACCAGAGCTTGCCTTGCTGCCGGGCTGTAGATTTTGGTGGTTGCGAATACTTCGGGCGGGGAATAGGCGCTGACTTCCGTGGCATGTGAGGAGTCCCTCCTTGCCACCAGAATAGTTCGACTGTCCCAGGAGTCCTGCAGCCAAGCGGTTTGATGGAAATGTAGGACTGCCTGCGCTAGCTGTTTTGCGAGGACGATGCGCCGAGTAATTGAGAATCCGTCGTGGGCGCTATTATCGCCGCTTTCTCCAAGGACATCTTGGAGGCTCTTGAGGCCCGGACTGACCGAAGTGGCTGTTGTCTTCGACTGTCGACAGTTGAGATAGATGAGGTGCTTCGCGCCTGACCGCTTTTCGAGATAGCCAACAGCCTGATCGCTTGGTAGAGTGAGGCCTTTGAATTTGGCTAAGTGATGACAGATCTTCCTGTGTCTACAGAGATTGATGGAGGTGCTGGCAGGTACAGCAAGTGAAGGAGGCAAGACTAGCATTGCTGATCCACCACTACTTCGTTGACTTTGTGGTGTCTTAAGTTTCTTCTCCTTTACCAAATCCTGATCGTACTCATCTTGGAAGCGGACATTTGGCCGCTTCAGCGTCATTGCCGTCTGGCGAAGGCCATGTGTCTCGCTGTCGGCAGCCTCGATTCTCCCGCAGACGCGTGACTCGACAGTGAGCCATAGAGGCTTTTCGTTGGCGTCAGGATCTGGTGGGCTCAACGTGAGTTGACTAAAGGCGAGGGTGAAACGGATCTGTCGGGAATCAGAACAGACTGGGCTGAGGCTGAGATAGGCTCGGTGGTTTTCATGGTCTGTACACGCTGATTCCAAGGCTAGATAGAGGTCTTTTGCAGTGCTCTTGACCGCAAAGACTCGCTGCATTTCCTTCCTTAGGCCGAAAGAGTTCATCCTGCTGCGTGGATCCTCGTGGTACGGCGTTTGTACTGTCATTAGATTAGTCAAGGCAACGAAATTCTGGGTTTTCTCGGTCAGATCTCGCAGCGAGTTTTGGATGCGTGACTGCTCAAAAGCGAAACGAAGCTGCTTCCTGGCTGCTTTGATGCTCGTTTTTGGAGATATCGCTAACTGCCCGAGATCTGTTCGAACAGCATCTAAAGTGTTGCAAATAAGAGCTATAGCAGCTTCGAAGCCATCTTGATCTCCACCAAGAAGAGCAATGTAGCGACTCAAGACATCCTGATCACGCCAGGCAGCGTGTTCAGCATCCCTAAGCATTTGCCTTGCCTCGTGGGTGTCAACACAGTGGCAGAGAATTTGCTCGTTCGCTTTCCGAAAGCACAGCTCTTGCATCCGTAGCGTTTGTATGGCTTCTCTGAGCTTTCGCGGATAGTTCTTGATGGCGCTGAAGAAGGCTGTAGCGCAACGGTAACTCTCAATAGCAGCAATAAGCAGCGAAGCAACTCCTAGCGCAAGGCCTGCGACTTCCGCCATATTTGTAGCTGATGAAGAACTCGTGGACAATCGATGCTTCTTGATCGAAGCGATCGGTAGAAGGATGAGGTAGGTCGAGTGGAACAACTTCCAGCCCCCGGCGTAATATTTACCTTGACGCTGAGTATCAACCTATGTCTGCCTTGGGCACGAGGAAGATCGCGAGTGTCGCCTTCAGCAGGCTTTCTGCACACCTCATTGGAGGCGTTTGCAGCCTAATGCAGCTGCGTGCATCATCTCATGGGCGCAGCCACCGTCCACTGTGCTGCAGAACATCATAGATAATGAAATCGACAATCGCCAGTCTGGCCTTATTTGATGAGCAATAGTTGGTTCCTCCTGCAGCATACTCCTCTCCTTTGCAATCGCAGCCTATGGCGGATAACGTAACCTCAACCGAGAGCTGGGTCCGGCGTCATGGCGCCTCGAGTGCTACGCACGATGCCACGACCGAACGCTTGCCCAGCGTGGGAGATAGGTCTGCGGAAGGGGGCTTTACTAGTGTGCTATATCGTGCATGTGTAGAGCGGCTCTCACAATTTGTCGAGAGTCTTAAGCAGCTTCCAGCGACCAAACATGTTGATGATGACAACTTTCGAGAAGTTGCGGTAAGATTTCGACTCTTTGGGGGAAGCTTCGAGCACGGAAAGTTGGATTCTTGTCTTGATGACGACGAATTGTTCGAAACGATTCTACATTTATTAGTCAAGATCGCTGTGATTCTGAAGGGATTCTCTACCACGTCGTCAGATCAGCCTCTGGACGATTTGATCGACCAGGCGAAGTCGATACTCAGCCTCAGCGAGGACGGCGAGGATTCCTTGGATTCTGAAGACGACGAGGATGCAGTCAACGCATCGCTATCGACAGAAAGGGCGGTTCAGCTTCGATGTCGTGCGAGGCTATCCCACAACATCAGCATGCTCATGGAGCTCCTTCCAACTCTCGAAGCAGCGTATCGCCTGAAACATACTCCTCGTGTCGACCGTAATGCGCATCGACACTTCCGGGTAACATCTACTGCGACACCATACGTGCGTCACATTCGGGACAAGTTTCCCCATGCCCATTCCCGTCTTGCTGATCGCTTGGGCGAAGCCAACTGGCAAAGACACGAACGCCTTAGAAATCCCGCCTGGAAAAGACCTGACGCGGACGATACTGAGCAAAATCCAGGACGATCAATCCAGAAAGCTCGGACTTTCTTCGATCCGGTTTCGATCTTCAAAGATTCGGCACTGGGGAGCTCATTGAACAATCGCACGGAGAAAGCAGCTTCTGTGGCATCGCACTCTTCTTTTCTTAGTAGTGCGCTGGGAGACCCGAAAACCAAGCTTAGGGTTCCCAAAATGCCCGAAGGCACGGAGTGGGGCAGTCCATTTGCATGCCCTTACTGCGCGAGTATGATCGACGTCCACAGTCGAGTTGATTGGAAGCTGCACGTCTACTCGGACCTTCAAGCTTATATTTGCACTCATGAAGCCTGTCCACAGCCATTTGTAACATACGACACGCGGGGATCCTGGGCGCAACATGAACTCGATCATCACCTATCACAGATCCTGTATCAGTGCTCCGTCTGTCTTGACCCCGTTGGTGATCAACAGGGGTATTTCCATCACGTGGACACTGCTCATGGAACGACCATAGCCCCTTGCCTACGTCAAGCCATGCTTGCTAACGCACAGCGCCGCGTACAGTGTGATTTGGGCGAAGTCGAATGCAGTTTATGCCTGAAACGTGGGTTCAACGACAAGAGGGACTATTCTAAGCATGTAGGCAGACACCTCGAGGATATTGCCCTCATCGCCCTACCTCCTACAGAACACGATGACTGGAGCGGAGGTGAGAGCGAAGTCGACAACGACCTGCCTGAATATCTTCCCGCTCGGCATTTTGAAGAGCACAATGTCAGCGATCTTGGCCGTGCTGCTAAGAAAGAATCATTGTTCCAGAGCAAGATGGATGCCCTAAATAATGCTGGTGGCTTGAAAGGGTCACCAAGTCTCATGGACCCGGCTCGATCTGATGAGGTGGCCGATGAGTACAGGGACGTTGATGTAGGCGCTGGGGTTTCCAAGAAGGATGGCTTGCATTCTGCATCATTGCGATCGTCGCGTCAGCCCTCGCAGGAGACTTCTCCTAAATGGCCGCCACTGGCCCTGACGTCCATCAAAGCGGTTATATCTATTGGAACTTTGCCAACTATCAAGGACCATGTCTCTGATGTGCTAGGGCAGGAAGGCGACGAATACATGCCTCGCGATTTCGACGAAGCTGGGGAAACAAAGATCGACAGTTTGGGCTTCCTCCGTGACGGTCGAGAGTATAACATTCGAACGTTTATCCTTCCTGGACGGGGTCAGAAACTCTTCATGCTCGCGACTGAGTGCGCACGGAAGCTTGAGTATCAAGATTTATACCTCCTCTTTTGGAAGAACAATTCGTTGTACAAGATAATTGCCAGTGCCGAAGAGAAGGAACATCTTGTCAGTCAGGAAATACTGCCCAACAGCTACCGTTCCCGCCAGATTGCGGTCGTCACAGCTAGGTCAATATTCCGCCAGTTTGGCAGTCGAGTTGTAAAAGATGGCCGCCGAGTGCGGGATGATTACTGGGAAGCGGAAGCCATAAAGCAAGGTTTCACAGAGTTCGATGCTGATGAAGAGGAAAGAACTGGAGAGAAAAGAGTTAGACACCCAGCTGGAGAGAAAAGAACTGGAGCACCGGGGCCCCTCTCACCCTGGAACTGACAGCTTCCTCGAACGCGATGTCGACTTTGTTCCTCAAACGTCCCAATATCTACACAATTGCATCGCAACTCACCAAATATAGTGCCTGGATCAAGGCGCCCGCCCCAACGAATTGATCCCATGGCCAGCGAGTCACTGATGGCGCCTGATTCAAGGACTGAGACGGACCTAACTCCATTCCCTCCAAAGCCAGTGTCTGATCACAGCCTTGATCACAGGACTGGAAAGCTGGACCAAGGCCCTGAAGAGGGAAGTTCAAGATCACGAACGAAGCGAAGCAATTGAAGTGGCCAAGGAAGTGCAGGAGACCTTGCAAGCGCTTCAGAAGCGCCATTAGAGTTCGAGAGACGCCCAGTCGACCAAAAAGCTCTCAGTCGTGCACAACAAACCCTGCAACGGTGCTCCTGTTAGTTGTCCATGACCTGGAAGCCACAGCGTGATAACTCTCATGGCCGTGCGGGACATTTCTTTACGTCCTCTGCGACAAAGTATATGGTCCACTGGCGTGGCTTGAGTTCTTCATAGCCACGACAAAGAACAACGCGAACCTTGGTTCCGCAAGGAGCGTCCCAGAACCATGGTACACGTGTACCTAAGCAGAAGGTTCTCTTTGTCTCCACTATCACTGCCTAACCTTCTGGTGAGGACCTTGCCGAGCCATCGCCATGGAGGAGATGGCACTTCATTTTCTCTCCTCGTTTGTACCCTGCGTGAAACAGAGAACAAGCGATCCATTTTCAAACCATCTCGCCCGTTGAAACCCGCTGCCCTGAAAGAACACAATTCTCTCCAGTCATCACAGTCAAGATGACGGCCGCTACATACTCCCACATGACGTACATGGCTCTCAAAGACCTCCGAACGTAAGTACCTCCTTTTTCCTTCCCTGCAAGGCCTGTATTGACCGTCCAAAGGGCCCATGAAACGTTCATCTCCCTCTTCGGACCTTCTTTCATCCAGAATGTTGCTCGTCCACTCCTCCAGCGCCACAAATGCCAGCAATTGTGGGGCTTTACGCTTCTATACCGTCCATTTGACCTCTCATCGTCCGAGAAGCTCACCAGATACGCGGATGCAGCCATAGTATGCGACACCGACCCGTACGACGCAGATGAGGGCCCTGATCCCTTTTCACAGAACTTGCGCCGCAAGCTCCTGATCACAGAAGCCGCCAAAGAGGGTGGAGTGGCCTACATGGCGTACGAATTCGAAGTGCGGCAGGAATCCAGCCAACCTCGCGAGGTAAACCCCGGAGGACCCAGCTCAGTCGACGTACTGAATTTCCTCGACGCCTTTGCTCAGGAGACACGACGGGCCGGCTTAGACGGCGTGTTAGGCCTATCAGGCTGGCCCTGGTGTGGCGCAAGGCGCGATGACAGGGGGCTATTGGAGCGCATTGAAGACGAGGCGGTCGTGTATTACCATTACGGCGAACACGGAATCGCGGAGCTGGTGGACGCCGTGCAGAGCGGGTGGTTCTGGTGGGAGCAGGACAGCGGCGCAAAGGAGGTCAACGTATGGGCGGTCGACAGAAGAGTCAAGAAGACGAGATCGAGAGAGTGGTAGTGCGCGTGTATATGTGAAAGTGCGAGGGAGTAGAGGGTGCGCGAATGGAGATCGGGCAGGCGCTGTCGTGAGGTAGAGAGATGAGAAATGGAGTGCTTCGAGGCGTCAAATCGAGAGATAGCAGAGCATGCTGGCACGGGAAATCCGGCGGACGCTGTAGCATTACTGCCTTGTTCGGCCCTTGGACTACGATGTGACATGACCTCCTATGTGCAGCTCATCCGAAATCATGTTCTTTGACTCCTTGTCCTCGAGCCAATGCCCTCGGTGGAACGAGGCGTTGGCTGTTTCTTCGCCTTCGCGGGCGCGCCTTCCGATGTCTTGGGTCGACCAGGTTTCTTCTTCTCGGTCACGGCTGGCTCGTCTTTCTTCTGCTTCTTAGCAGCAGGCTTGGCCTTGTCGGTCTTGCCGGCGGACCGGACAGTCTTGCCCTCGGCATTCTCCTTCAAACCGTCGTTTTTCTTCTCAGACTCATCATCATTCTTGTCTCCGTTTTCCTCGGCTTCGTCGCGTTTTCTCTTGTCCCCGGAGCCGTTGGCTTTCTCTTCAACGTTTAGCTCAGAGGCTTTCTTGACGACGTCGTTTCCTGATCGCTCGATCCTGACGGCAGGGTTGTCCGGTTCGGCGTTTTTCTTGACTTTGTTTCCCTTCTTAGAAGTGATGGAGACTTCCCCTTCGGTTTTCTTCTCGGCGACGGTGCCGCCGGGCGCGCCGCCTCCCCAATTCCATGAGACTATTAGGGAAGCATGTCAGCGCGGGGATCCACAACGACTTCTGGGGATGAGGTCAGGCATCTTCGAGCACTTGAACGCAGAGGATGAGGCGCGAGATGTGTCACCTTATGCGCTGAAGCGGTCGAAAGAGGCGCCGTCATATCTCGAAACTCATGCGCCGTCGGTGCGCGCAAGGCGAAAACGTACCTTTGTCTCCTTTCTCGGGTTCGTCAGAAGGCATGGTGACGTCAGCGAGGACTGGCTGGTAGGTTGATACAACTAAAGCGTTTGGAAGCTGAACTGAGATCGTAAGAGACAAATGGATCGCAATAGCTATGCGATCAAGATGAAAGGAATAAAGAAACTGAAATAGACTGATTGAAGATAGAAAACAAGAAAAAAGGAGCTCAGGCAAGAAAGAGCGCGACCCCTGGGGGTCAGCTTGAGGTCGCAGGTTGCGCACGTCGCGCAGGGCCTGTGATGCGCACACCATCTGTCGCGCCCGAGCCAGGGCGGTTGCTGTGACCTGCCGCGGCGGGCGGGCTCACTATTAAGGTACCTGGTAGGCTAAGGCTACTAGGGAGGCCACCGGAGTACCGCCCCACGCGCCCCCAGCCTCCCCCGTGAAATCCACTTTGAAGCACCAGGGCGAAAGCTTAAGGTTGTTAGGCACTCAGGCACTCGAAAGAACCATTCCTTCAAGCTGTGGTGTAGTGCGTCTTACCTTCATCCCGTTGCTGGGGCGATTTATTTCCGTTGTCGAGTGCCGCTGGGCTGACGAGAAAACATCTGCCTTTCTCTGAGTGCAGGTTCGAGCCCCTGAAGCCTCCGGGTGATAGCTCGACCGTTCCAGTTGGCAGAGTCTGCATACGGAGAGCTTCAGGGTTTGGAGATCGTGATCTGGGCACAATAGTGGCCGATTAACTTCATTTGTGATAGTCACATTGCCACGGCAACACGCCGACAGGACTTTAAGATGTTATCGGCAGGAACATACAATTAACTATCGCGTGTGGCATCGCGTGAGTGCAAACAGGTTGAACGTGTACAGAATGTTTCCAATGCAATGGACAGCCAATGTGCAAACATTTCTCATAACCAAAAGGTGAAAAACAGTCAGGTTAAAACACTGAATTAGAGATCATATCCGCACAATCCGAAAAATTGACATTGCAAATACCGTCTCATATCATATATTTTAATTCCCCATAACTAATCGTACATAGCTACTAGTCGGTAGCGAAAACATGAACTTGTCCATTAATAGGCCACAGCACTGGTTCCGTCATCCGGGCCAGGAAGACCTTCCTCGTCGCCAGGCTCTCTGTATGACTTGGATGCACCACGAGTACGCTCATCGATGATATTGCTCTGGTCAATGGCATCGGTGTCGTCGCGAGCTAGCACAAGGTTAGTGACAATCATAACAATTATCAGGGTTAGTGACACAGACCTAGTTGCTCGTCCGAGTCGGCAGTTTTGGCGTCGATGGGATCCTCAACCGGAACTTCATCTTTCTGGACAGGAATGGTGCTCTGTCCTGTTCGGGATTTGTAGTCGTTCTGGACGGTATCGGCACCACTGACTCCTTCGATCGCGTCGCTGCCGGGCTGGAATTCGTCTTGAGGAGCAGACATGTTTGATATGTTATGGTGTGGATATGGGTGAAGTGTTTTGGGAATGAATCTAACTTGGTAATTCGTGATTGAGCGGAAGTATGAAAATTCTCTCTCACCGTGAAGTATTGTCACGTTTATATAGCTCGCAACTCACCCCCACGCATGCTATGATGAGCATTGCTGGTATCGCAAACAATGGTTGCAAGGGACCGGGTGTCGTCATGACAGCACAAATCGGTCAAGAGCATCAGAACATCAGCCTGACAAGAGTCGAAGTCATCCAAGACCCAGGCACCCAGCCAGGTACAGGGTTGTGACGAAACGACAAGCGGATCAGGGCACATCCTCAACCTGCTTTCCGACCCAGAAGTACCCCAGTCGATCCAGAGCATCTGGTTTCCAGCCATAAGGCAGCTGGAGACGACCACGAGTTTGCCGAAAGGGACGTCAGGAAGCCCACGAAAGTGGTAGCAGGCCACAAGGCTGTGATGGTTGAACCCGGCGCGAGGATGAAATCTAAGACGTCAGGATTTCGAGCTGATCCCCCCCAACATCGACGGTTGGTGCTCCACCATGTGGATTGAGATCTTGCATCGGAAATGTAGTCATGCAACCACTTTAGATAGCCGGACAATCGAGATCTGGCACCGTCAGGAACACGATCCACGGAGGCGAGATCCGCACCATTTGTGGGAACTTGCGAGGATGGTTCTGGTAGCCGAACAACGGTTGAACCAAACAACTGCGATACGGCCGCCGTGAAGCCTATCTGGGTCATTCGAGATCGCTTCCTTCCAGGCAAATTTTGAGGTTGTCATGCATGGCGGTTTCGTCGAGTGGAATGCCAGTGAAAGAAGAATCAGCCAAGGCCTTTTGGTCAAGTCCAAAGGGTAAGACACGCCAAGAATTTTGTTGCCATAGTGGCCACGCGTGCCATGGTAAGGGATTTTTCGTCCAAGGCTCCGAACACAACAAGAATCATCGACTTTATGACGGCTCGCTGTTATGGTCTTTCATCCGCTTGGAAAGTGCTGGGGTGGATGATGGCTCTGTACCTAGCGATGACTGAGTCCTGCAAGCGAAGACGGATCCTTGGCCAGATAGCGCGGCACAGTCATGGCCACGACTCAGATTCTCCTCGTGCGAACGTGGAGAGGCAGTGGCACATTCATGTTCCAGCCTACCTGGCGATGCGGGCGATAGCGTCCTGGCAGCGTTCGACGAGTGCTTGTGGAAGTCGTCAAGCCAGTGCCGCTGTCCAGGGGACTCGATCTTAGAGACTAACCGTCGGCTCTAGGCTGGTAAGTGTGTAAATTGACGCCCGAGGGGTGTTAAAACTATTGTCAAAGTCAATATGAGAATTTCCCCGGAAGAATTCGAGTTAGTCGTGTTGGCGAAACGGTGAAATGGTTAAGAGAACTCGCTGCCATCGCATTCACTTCGATCAAGTCCTGGATATCGAAGGTAAGATCAAATTCACTGTTGTTGCACCCATCCCTATAAGTTCGTCCAACCACCGATATCACCACTTCCTCCGCTTATGGAGTAGTGGCCACCATTGTCGAGACGTGTCCATCGATACTGCAGTGTGAATCTGAAAGATGCTTCCACCTCCTCCTTCCTTTGATGGTCTCCGCCCGGCATCACCTGCTGACATTCTACGCATTGGCGTGATGGCGACTTGCAGCTTCGGATACTCGCCAATCTTTGACTGGGAGTGTCCGTACCTTGAGAACCATCCCGAAGACACAATTCTCTCGTATCGCCACGAATTCTCAGAGGCCATCAAAGTCAAGGAGTACATTGTACTCCTTGTCGAGGATAATTTCGAGATTGATGAAAGCGAGAAGTCAAAGGCCATAATCCCTCATGACGACGTTGCACCCCACTGCAACAAGTAATACGGATGCATGACTTTGAGCAAGGCAGCCAGTTAGGGCTGGCGAAGGCTGAATACGCGATGCGGTACTTTTACGAAGTTGGCATCTGCTGAACGCAGCCAGCACTGAACAGCTTCGGCCCATGTTGAAACACCTAACACGAGGTCAACTGGCGCAGTTGCAGGCCCGAGCAGAAAGCAGTCTCGATTTGATGCCAAGATACAGACATGAGCGACTGCAGGAGACGACGAAATACAGGCAGCAAGATGAAAAACTCAAGGATCCGGGGCTGAACAATGAGTCTCTTGCTCCGGTCCTCCCGACGCGTTTGTGTCGGCTTCCAAAGCATCAAGACAGCAAGATCCCACGAGGTATGCCGATGACGAATACTATTACACCTTTCGGCCATTCCCGAATCGTGATCAGTGGTACGGTCAAGATTTTCTTTATGGCAGAAGATAAGTACTATAAGGAACATCTGCTCGCCTTCACAATATTCCGACGCCATTTTCAGGCTATACTGAGCCTTACTCGCAGTGGGTCCCGAATACCACCATACTCACAAGGAATAATTAACCTTGCCAAAACCCGTCCCGTTTTCAGGCTTGAGGAAATCGCGCCAAGAAGGGAAATGCTGAGCAAGCAGCCTGACCAGGTTCCGAGCCGCCTGGAAGGTGTCCCATTTTTTGGCCTTCTGCGCCCACGACAGTGTCCGTTGCCTGCAGTCCAGCACCATTGCAGCAATGACAGTTTCTTCTAAGACAGATGGCGAGCACAGCCGCCTCAACGAGGAACGCCTGCTCCCAAGGGGCGTCAACATCATTCGTGGTCGAGAGGAGATGACGACAACCTACTCGCCCGCAAACAGCTGTTACTTCTCGCTGGCATGTGGGGTCCAAATCTGGGCAATTCGCACAGCTCTGACTGCGACTTAGGGGGATTATGGGCTGTGGACACCTTACAGACATGATCAACAACATGCAGAGACTCTAGCGGTATTGTACGCGGTAAGGAAACTGTATCAAACATCCCTGCCAGTCCACATTTGGCGCCACCGAATTGCCGATGCACATTCGATCCAATTACATTGTTCTGCTTCGCCCATTCCACCCATGGTTCCCTCAATTGTACATTATCTCATAGAACTACCGTGAGGCTGAGTGGCAAGACAGTCTCTGTGTTGCTTTGCCCTTTTCGGTCGTTCGCAGCTGCCTCTGCGATGCTACTCCCTCTGGCATTCTGCCCTGTTTGCGAGCAGCAGTCTTCTTGTACCCTGTTCAATATAAGCCTCTACACACAGCGCATTACCTTCGAGCGGGATTAGCTCAGCATTTTGTACCATGCATGCCGTCAGGTCGTAATATGGTCGAGTCTGCTGGTACAGTGTCCGCTCCCTACAGTTCAGTACGATTGCAACAAATGACAAGTATGAGGCTGGCTCCATGGCTGCCAACAATGCAGCAGTGGGACAGAGACGAGAAGCCCATGAACCAAAATCGGTCATGCGACGATTCCTAGAGGAGTCCGACACCTTCACATGGCCCGAGGAGCCAAATCAGAAGAGAGGGTCATATTTCACGTTCGTGGCCAAGGGTGGCTATCCTAGACCCGAGGTTCTCATGAAGGACGAGGTGGTGCTTGGGAAACCAACGTACTACGAACCGGATGGCAGGACACAGAGGGTGAAACAATGCCGGATCAAAAAATCTATGCAAGTGGAAATGAGGTTCACGGAATCGTTCGCCGTCAAAGCACTTACACGAGAGGCGGGCAATCAGAAGGACAATATAAAGGAGGCACTGGCCATGACTGGACTACGCCATCCGCATGTTGCCGCGCTGTTAGGCACATTTTTCTACTGGACACTCGACAACATCGTCATGTTTCCTGCGGGCGTCACGGATCTCGCTGATTTTCTCGGTTGTGTGTCGCAGAAAATCAGGGCGGAGCAGGTCGGTCCTGCAACTGATCTGAGGGCTGCAGACACTGTTCAACAGGCACATTTGGAATATCAGCCAAACTTCTCTTTGGACGAAAGTCTCGATAGGCAATTGGAGCGACTGCAGGGCTATTTTCTTTGCTTATGTGAAGGACTAAGTTACCTACATGGAGCTAACGTTCGGCACAAAGATATCAAGCCTGAGAACATCGTCATCGACCAAAGTGGGAATGTCGTATTCGTCGATTTTGGTACATCTGTTCGGTACGATCCCAGCCAGAAGACGGCGACTTTGAATCCTGATGCGCTGGTCACGGAAGAATATGCGACCCCGGAGAGGATCAAGCGGAAGCCCAGAGACAAGCGATCCGATGTCTGGTGTCTTGGATGTGTTTTTGTAAAGATGATAACACTGCTCTTCGGCAAAACACTTGAGAGCTTCAAGGACGAGATAAGCATCCAAAATCCGAAGACGAAATCTAAGGTGTGCGTCTTTCAGAAGAGTTTGCCCAACGTATGCTCGTGGCTCGAAAAGCTGCAAGATCTTCCCTTCAGGGGTCCCAAGAACAGAGATATGGTTCGAGACTCGATTCAGACCATACGTACAATGGTGGCCGAAGAGATGGAAGATCGCATCGACGCTGAAGATCTCTGGCCGGCATTCGACTTTGCTTCTTCGCCCTGTCGCGATTGCCATCCGCGGCACAAAACCTGGCGTGGTCCAACGGAAGCTCAACGGCGTGTCTATGACGAGGGCGTTGAAGCTCGTCGCGATAGAGCAGCTGAGGACAACAAGCTAGAGAAGCAAGAAGTCCAAAGGGATACTGAGGTCCAAGCCGAGTCATCGTCTGGTCTGCCAATCTCAACCGGCAGTCTAAAAAAACTTGCTCCTCCGGTGGATCATCGTTCTAAGCACAGAGCTGCCCTTTCCGAGCGGTCAGCTCGGCAGCCAGCATTCCGACAAAGAAGATTAAGTCAGCCTCGGCAGGTGCAGCGCAAAGCAGCGGAAACTCAGGCGCAGGACTTTGCGGTTCCTGGTGGTGAGATTGATGGCGTGAAGAGGGCAACATCTCCACCGAGAGTAGAAATCAGACCGCCGGTGCTGGAGGCTGAAGTTGATGGCGGTCAGCTCATCCGCACGACCTCGACGGCCAAAGAAGATGCTGAGAAAGAGCTTGGCCGAGTGGATGAACTCGAGGCCGAAGACAATAAAGAGAACATCAATGCTGACGAAATCTATGTTTCACCACCGTCCCCCCCGAGGCGTCGAGATCAAAGGGCTAAGAGCGCCCAGAGGTCCCCTCCGCCGACCCCAACAGCGTCACCGCGGACCACCCTTTATGGTCCTCTCCCATATGAACAGCGCCCACAATCACTCGACGGTACGCAGCTTTCGAACAAGCATGATGCACCGAGGGTACGAGTGGCCGCAAGACGGTCCCAGAAGTCGTTGCGAACACCGTCGGTTGCATCTCTAGGTAGGGGCCCCCCAACGCCACTTCGGTCACTCCCAACTGTGGTCGAAACAGTGGACCCTCGTGCATGTGTACCGACGGTTGGTGTGCTCAACCTGAAGCAAGGACAGGCGGCACAACTTAAAGTGGAGGCTGGTCACTGGAAAGAGTGGCACGGTAAGCTCTTGTGCTCTGTACGATGAGTCTGTGCAATCTAACGTGAGGGATAGGAAATGATCATTGTCGCTTCTTCAAGTTGGGCAAAGGTGTGCGAAAGTACGACGTTATGGGCAGCGGGACATCGGTAGGACAGTTCGATGTCCAGCCCGGGTTTTGGCCCTTGAGGTCAATTACTTCGCTCTTAAGACCAGAGCCGGACTACGTGTGCATTCACAACTGGAAAGTCGAGCCCGAGTACATTCAAGCTCGCGATCCCCCATTCGTGCCTATAATCCCGACCAGATTTGTGATCGCAGGACCTGAAGAGTCAGAAAATTCAAGCAAACCCGCCCAATGACAGGAAGCTCGACGAACAAGGGACCGCTTTCAGCAGCTTTCTACTCATACAGTAATGCCTACAGAAAAATGTTTAAATCAGGATTCGATTTCATCAGTCGCTACGTGTTCTGCCTTTCATGATCAATGGCTTGATTCGTGGGTCGTCATCAGAGTATTGCTGATCTTTCGTAAGATGCGCTTTGCGAAGATGCCCGGCCAGTTGAGCCCAGTCAAATAGCTCAGACTTCTGGGGGCAGCCCTCCTCCTTACATCGATAACGTATTCCAAAGGCGAAAGCCTCCCAACTCGTCGTGCGACTTCGTTGCCTTCGTAGGTCAACGAGAGTTTCGGCGCATTGCTTCAGGCTGTCGCGGACGTGATCCTGCTGCAGGTACGCTTTGGTTTGAGATGCGATTTTCTCTTGCAATACGTCGACTTCTTCCCGCCACGAGTGTACGGAAGCGTCGGTGTAGAGGTCTAAGTTGGCGTTCAGACGGACGTATTCCATGTTCGACTGGCACTCCAAAAGGTCCTCCATGTAGGCATGAACTTCTTCCGAGATCGCAAACAGAGCAGCATTGACTCGATACGTTGTTTTCTGCATCCTGATGTTGTGGTAATTCCAAGGATTGCTGTGTCTCTTGGGCGGCTTCCGTAGTTTTGAATCATATCCAGAACCAATGCTTAACATCAGACAAGGCGGCAAACCTCGACCCCATCTTTCGGACAATTCCCTGCACACTTCTCCGGTGGGGTTCGTCCAGCTGAGACCAGCGTCGCAAAACTTTCGGGAGCCCAGCTTGACAGGATTGAATGCGTAAGGACTGCATGCTGTGGCTCGCATCACATCAGTCACGGTGTACGCCTCTGACTTGCTCTTCATGTTTTGGACAACAAGATCCCCTTCGTAAGAGCGAAAAAGGTAGGGAATGCGACTTCCCTTGCGAGACGGCTGCTCGAAGGAGCACAAGATTGTCTTACAGCGAGTTGCATCCGAGCCTTGCCATGGCTTCGTCCCAAAACTGTCGGTCACAAGGTCCCTAACCTTGCTTTCCTGAGGATCTTTTGCGGGTAGTATCATGTGTCTCACTCTTCGTGCAAGTGTCCCATAACGTACACCATACACTTTCCGCGTCAATTCTTGGAATTCCAAAAGCGTTCGATCAGCCGACATAGACATTCTACCCAGCATAGTCGCAATGAGGCTGCCGGTGCTGGTTCCGGCGATGTAGTCGAAGTAGTGGCAAGGGAGGAATTCGCATTTTCTGACTGATTGAGCCTTGTAACCTTTTTTCGTTGAAATCTGATCTCTAAGCTCGCTCATTGCCTGCTGGACCTCGACAGAGCTGAGTTGTTCACAATCTCCGCTTGTTTGTGCAGACGGCCATGTGTTCTGCTCGACATCTGCAATTTGCGACATCAGCTCCTGTATTATGAGCAAAGTAGAGATGCCACGAATGCCACCTCCATCTAGAGACAGCACGGTCTGAACGGACCAAGCGCCTCCAATCCTCGCAGCCTGTTCAAGGACTTTCCGGCGACTGTCTTCACGTGGACTGATTTGCACATCAATGCCGTGGTACTCCGTCCTGTATACTCGTTCATATTCACTGGTTTTGGAAGTTTGTCGAGATATCGGATCTGAGTCCCCTCCGGAAGAGTGTGTAAGAGACGATGCTCGCGACAATAAGTCCGGAAAATATGTGGGTGAATTGGCGAAGGTCACCGATACAGGACTGGTAGCAGAAGCCATAAATGCTAAGAGACGAAGGTTGAAGCTGCGTGTTTGGAAATAGACCTGCTCCCTTGAAGAGGAAATGTTGGTGCTGGGAATAAATGGCATGGTAAAGTGCATGCGCAATGAGGCTCGAGTGTCTCGAGGACTGGGCTGTGAATCGGTCGCAAGAGCAATCGAGCGGATGCCAAAAAGGCCGCTTGGACTCTTCCTCGTGTCTGCATCAGCAGTTCAAAAGCACTGCCGCAGCAATCGTCCCGATTCACCCTTCAGTTGGGCGATGGGGCTAGCGCCCTCGATACCAGCCTGCATTAGCGGTATTGTCACGCATTAGCCCACACCACACCGGAAATACGAGAGCAACGGTCTCCCTTGTAACGCATATTGTGGCATGAATCACAAGGTATTTGTAGACTCGAGACTGTGACAGGCTCTTTCATTGGATCATTTGCCACCTGTGCGGTCTGGATACGATAGTTGTCTCAGCCCAGGCGCGCCCTTCTAATCTCCAAAGGAATTTGGCCAACGCAGGAGGCAAGCCGATACGGAGTCAGCCTGTGTGACCTCCTTGCGACGTGTTCAGCTGAGCTGTCGATCAGGCTGAGGAGTCTCGGACAGGCATCGATGACAGACTGATGGAAGGCGCCTCCTCGGAAGAGAGTCATAACCGGGTTCACGATCCCCCTTCTGTGCAAGCAGGCAGTCCAGCCTTTCTATCCCTTTGCTGCATTGACAACTATGGTTGACCCTGTTGGCGCAGTGCTGGGCGGAGTGTCGCTAGCTATCCAACTACTCGATGGCGCTGTGAAAGGTTAGCATCACCGATCAGCAGTTATTCTTGCCGGGCTCATATCAGAGGAGCTCAAATCGTACTCATTGTATCTTGCAGGTTACAACTTCTTCCTAGCAGTAGGAGATTTCCCAGCGAGGACTTTGCACCTGCGAACCCGGCTTGAAATCGAACAGAAGAGTATTCTAGATTTCTCAGAAACCGCTGAGATTCTAGGGATTTTCCAAGTTGACCAGGAAGAGAACATCCCACGTGTCTTGCGCAAAAACTATCTAGTGCTCGGGTCAGTCTTCAAGCAGATTGAGGCAAAACTTGACAAACTCGCCGAATTCACCAGCAGATACAAAGAAATACGGCATGGGGAAGTTGAGGACGATCAGGAGGTCACCGTGGCAGACCTGGACAAGAAGGAGCGAACACCGGTATTGCTGAAATGGGAAGGAGCTGCAGAAGAGCGTAAACACAGGCTGGGAACAGAACACATAGTGAAGTACTACCGTATTGGGAAGAGTATCGTCTGCCATCCTAAGAGACTGCGCTGGACTGGAGTTGATGAGAAGAAGTTCAAGGCTGTGCTGGACGAGCTTGCTGGATACAACAACTATCTTAAGGAGCTCCTCGATGGAGAGTACAGCAAACGTCTGGAGGAGAGGACTGTCAAGACTTACCAGGAAATGGTTCTCGTCAGGAACCAGATAGATGACCTCACATACCTGGTCACCAATGCAATCCTCCTCGGCCATTCCGGGCATCAGCTCGCGGTGTTAGCGGACACCAAACGTCGGAGCGTTGCTAATGACTTTGTGGGTAAAGACGATTCCGTCAACGAAGACAAGCCCCCACAGTATCACGAGCTTGTGGAAGTGGAGAAATTGGTGTACAAGGCTGAGGGCCGGATGATCAACATCGTTGACCCGCCTACCAGGGAGAAAGCTGCCCTCGAACGCGTTCGTTCAATTGGAACTTTCCAAAAACCGGGAACTTTGGAGCCAAAGGTCGCGGTATTTGTTGAATGGAAACGATATACCAGAAGGTTTGACGACCAGACAGAGGAGCCTGGGCCTCTTTCTGACGATACGAAGCGGGCGAAAGGACTTGTGACAATCCTCCAGAGTTCCAAGCTCAATGCATTCCATACACCCGAGTGTCTAGGTTATTTCGACCTTCGAGACGGCGAAGAGTCTGATGCTTCATCTCCGGCACCGAATCTTTTTGGAATTGTATACAAAATTCCGGGTGCAGTTTCTCAACCAGTTCTACCGACAACCCTGCGTTCTAAGCTTGGGACTCAGCCGTTGCCATCGCTGAGCGCTCGCATGAAGCTTGCTCATCAAATCAGTGATTCACTACTGTATTTTAACTCGGTGCAATGGTACCACAAGACTCTCAGGTCTGATGCAATCCTCTTTCAACCCCACCATGGGACCGGTCTAGTTGATGTGTCAACACCACTCCTTACAGGCTTCGAATATGCTAGACCAGGAGGTGCCACCAGCACCAAGATTCCCCCAGATCCAGCACGTCAGCTGTATGTGCACCCCTTTTATCAAATAGATCCGAATGCATCGTACCAGCGCAGCTACGATGTATACGCTCTTGGAATCATATTGCTTGAGATTGCCTACTGGGAACCGATCAACCATATCCTTGGGCCACTGCTGAAGGACAAAGACGGGCCAACGAGCACTGAGGCGGAAAATGTTCGTTCAAACCTTCTCAACCCGTCACCTGAGTCACGTATCTTGCCAGACCTGCGAGGTATGGTAGGAGATCGATATCACCTGGCGGTTGTCAGTTGCATTCGAGGTCTTGTTGCTGAAGATGAGGAAGAGGATAACATTGATGTGAGTATGAGGCTTCAAGAAGGCTTCATTCAGAACGTGGTGGACAATCTGGGGGCTCTGGTCGATCTGTAGATCTGGATCCAGACATTGTCTGTCAAAGGCACGATTCACACTGAGTTGCTTTTATTTTTCCTTCTGTCAATTGTGATGAATTGGCCGAGTCAATGTATGTTGTACGTTTTGAACATGGATCTAGCACAAGTAGCGGTCTCGTTAGACTTTTCGCTTGGAGTATCAGGCATGCGGACCGAAACAACCACATAATCCCCGGGCAAGTTAATACGGGCCGTGTAATTTGGTGTAAAATACGTCAAGCTCGCTTCGCCAGCGAACCTTTTCCTAGCGAGCAGAAATAACATTCGCACCTTCATCTCCCAGATCCACGACTATCAGATGTTATGGCTGGGACAATATGAACTCATCCCAGCCTCGATCTGAAATTTCTGTCGCTTCAGCAACCGCGGTTACATCCCCGATACCGCGAGCTTTTCGCATTCTTCGACAGTGCATTGCTCCTTTCCAGGGGTTCGCATACAAGCACATTGACTTCTGAATACGTCGAGATGCAGCCATTAATTACGGCAAATCCGAGGCAATATTGTTAGAAGAGTAGAAGCAAGCAAGATGGGTAAGCACACACATAAGCTCACCGTCAATTTGCCTCCTCTTATATCGCCAAGCCGGGGGCGGATCTATACCACAAGCTTGGTTGTGAACACATTGAAGACGTTGATATCAAGGGTAATGATATCATCCGCTCCGGGGTGAGCATATCGGTGATGGGATAGGTGGTCAGGGCCGGCACTGCAGGAGCGGCTGAATTGTAGGAATCAATGCAGAGAGCTCTTTAGGAGCATTCCACTAAAAAGGATCCGCGAGTCATTTGGTAAAAATAATCTGATACCTGCTAGGGAACATGTGCATGTCGGTTCCGTGAGGTGCAACAAAACAAGCATTGAGCGGCTTTTGCCCTCCAGGGTTCCTGGGGGCGTCTCACGACTGAAGAAGAAGCCGAAATATCGCATGTTCTAGGCCTCATTCTGCCTAGAAGATTCTCCTTGATCCCTAAATAATTTATTTCGTATTTTACTATTGGGCATCCCCAGCTAAGCATATTCTTACGAAAGGCATAGGCAACCCGATTGGTGGCATGATGGTGGCTAAGGACTAATCTTTCGACTACTCGGAGTCGACTACTATGTAAGGTACTTCCCGTAGTTCCCCGTCGTCACCGTCCTTGTCTCAACATCACATGTTTATGGGAAGAGTGATCATAGAACTTTTCTTCCCATCGGCACTCTCACTTCCTTGGCAAGGGATGTGACAATCATCATATGAAAGGCATATACTCCGTACGTTCGTCGTGGATATGATCGACATTCACATCGACACCAACACCAACAAACAAGACCTCAATACTTCCACCGGGACCAGAAATGTCCTTATCGTCCGCCCTTACACACGAGTGGTTTGAGCAGAATCAATTACTGTCATTACCTTGTGTCTATTGTTTTCGGAGACCATCGAACATAGAAATAGTCCACACCACAAACTTCAATGATCCAGGTATCAATCCTGAACCGACGCAATGAGGCGTCCGGTGCCAAGGACTCGGACGACGAAATATTCGATCCAAAAGAAAACCGCAACGTGCCTTTATCAGAGCAAGGACTCCAGCGCCTCAAACACTTGACTTGGGTAAGCAACACACGACATCCGAACACACACATGAAGATTCTCTAACAAGCAACGTCAAAGGCATGGTTCACCTTCCCCATGGCCACGGGCGGATTGGCACTGCTCCTCTCGCCCGAAAATCAGCCACATACATTCACGGGTCTCAAGACGATCGGAAAGGTCGTCTACATCATCGACCTGTGCATATTCACACTCACCATCGCCGGGATAACATACCGCTTCATCAAGTGGCCGGGCACCTTGAAAGCCAGTCTCGCACACCCCACAGAATCACTATTCTTCGGAACCAGCTTCCTCTCGCTCGCCAGCATCATCGCGTCCATCGCGCACTACGCCATCCCCGCATGCGGATACTGGCTGGTCGTCACCTACCGCGTCCTCTTCTGGATGTACTTCGGCGCCACGTTCCTGATCGCCGTGGGCGCGTATCTGGTCCTCTTCACGAACCCGCGCCTGAAGATCCAGGACATGACGCCCGCCTGGGATCTGCCCATGTTCCCGTTCATGCTGTGCGGGACGATCGCGAGCTCCGGCATCGCGTCTCAGCCGCGCATGTACGCGATGCCCATGCTCTTCGGCGGCTTGACGGCGCAGGGCCTGGGCATGCTGGTCTCGATGGGCATGTACGCCAGCTACGTCAGGCGCATGATCATGTACGGTCTGCCGTCCCCGGCGTCCCGTCCGGCAATGTTCATCGCGGTCGGTCCGCCCAGTTTCACGGCTTTGGCCATCATCGGCCTCGCCGACCACTGGCCCCGAGGGTCCGACTACTTCGGCCCAGACGCTGTCACGGCGCAGGTCGTCAGAATCCTCGCGGTCATGGTCGCCGTGTTCGTCTGGGGCCTATCGTTCTGGTTCTTCTGCATCGGCGTCGTTAGCTGCGTCGCCGCCCGTGGCAAGTATCGGTTCCACCTGAACTGGTGGGCATTCGTGTTTCCCAACGTCGGCTTCACCCTGGCGACCATCAACATCGGGAGAAGCCTGGAGAGTGAGGGAATTCAATGGGTCGGGTCCGTCATGACCGTCTGTCTCGTTGCCACGTACTTTTTCGTTCTGTTCCATCATGTTCGAGCAGTCTGGAACAACGATGTCCTCTATCTAGGCAAGGATGAGGACAACTATCATCCGGAGAAGATGGCCAAGGTGGAATCTAGAGGCGAGGATCCGGAAAAGTGTGTTTGTGTTAGAGGGAGTTGAGGGACGTCATGTCTTCCTCCCGTGTGCGTTGATAGACTGACTATCGTACCCGGATAGACTAAGAATTTATATGATCATCCATCAAACGTGCGATTGCACATATGAACAACGATACCATTATGCTGTAGACGGACCACTCAAGTGCCGTAGCTGTGCAATGCTATATATACAATCCCCATGCCCCATCCACGAGTGGACACGTCGGTACATCAAATATAAAAGGGGCCATCCTCAGAGTTCAACCCTCGTCCTTCGAGTTATCTAGAAGATATTAACCTTCGTATGGTCGGAGGCTTCGGTCTCAATGCCCCGCTGCTAAAGTAGGTTGACACATCCAGCGCTTTGTGTTTGTCCTTGAAAATCTGCCTCTTTCTGCTAAGACTTTTATATGGCGACAAAAAATGGTCATGGAATGCAGCTGGAATGTTGAGCTCTGCTTCGATGTCCCTCGAGGCTAAGCCCCAACCTTTTGCCACGCTCGCAGCCCATGCAAGGAGATTGTCCAGTTCAGTCTGCTTTTCTTTCGAAAGTCCATTTTCGGCCGCCTTTTCTGCCAACGCTGCGTTCACCAGGATTTGTAGAGTGTGGAGGTCAGGAACAACAATCGGACTTTCTGGTGAGCCATCCGCAGCAAGCCCATTCGGCAATGTTGACTCGAATGCAATGGCGGTCGTGTCGTCTTCGGCCACTCGACTGGATGGAGATAGATGTTCGTAGTCCCGTGGGTCTAAGGATGGTTCGCTAAAGCCAGTGAAAGGATTCTCAATAGGTCGATCCCGCAGAATTCCACCGGCAGTTGATAGAGGCGCACCGGACCAGTCGTCGGTTGGAGGATGGCCTGACGATGTCTGGTCGACCCTTTGGGGCGCAGTATCCTGCACGCTCACTTCAGGACTATGAGAGCCGCCTGACTGAGTACTCCTATTGGTGAGAGTATACTGATTTGACGGCGTACAGAAGATGTCCCATAAGCGATGGCCTTCTAAAGAACCTTTGGTCTCGACGACTGCAGAAAGGATGGTATTGAAAGCGTCTCTTTCTAAGTTCGGGCTATTGCTGACAGGAAATTTGGCCAGGTAACGAGCAGCAATCTCCTTGAGCCTGCTGTCCGGAATAGCATGCAGAAGACGTAGTATGAAGCTCACTTGTTGTTTGAAGAATCTCCTCTGAAGGATGGTAAAGTCTGACTTCGGAGCATCGTAGCGTCCAGACAAAATGTCAATCAGTAGATACTCGGCTTGTCGAAGGTCCTGGACAGCAACGTCCTTCTTCCGGCTGGCTGACTCTGCTTCAAGCCGCAACATAGTGGCTGCAAGGTTTGCGATTATACTCGGACTGTACCCACCTGCCTCGGAGACTCGCAATCTTCTGAGAAGAAACGAGACATCATCCCAAGCACGAAAATGTATTTGTGCATTGACCAATGCTCTCAGCAAGTTGACGGTTGGTTTTCTGTTTGACCCTGTGCATTGTTCTATCACAGACCTCAAGAGAAACAAATCGTCCTTGACAATCGCGTGGCGGCTTAGACCAATGGCAATAGAAGGTCGTCCACGTATTTCCGTTGGTATTAATGGTCCATCAACGTCAGGAGAGTGAAGAAGCCAATCGCTCAAACCAAATAACTTAGCGTTCGTTACCAGGCTAATGACCAGGGGTAGTTTGTACTCAGGAAGTTGGCCGTAAGAGTCGACATATTCTGTATGGCGTTTTGCAGGTCTGGAGGTAAAGAAGCCGTCTTCCGGTCGAACTGCACCAGATAGAAATTCGCCGATAGCTTCGAGTTTGCTTGCGTCGACTAGCTTTTGTATATGCGTAAGCGTGTCCACGCCCTTTGTGGCAAGATTGGCCTCAACGTAAGCCTGTAAAAGCTGGTGGAACAATCCGGCCTGAAGGCCCGTATGCTCCAGAATACATTCAAACAAAAGTCCAGGATTTCGAAAAGGTCGAGCCTTAACAGTCTGCAGGGAGCGTAAACGCGAGACAATTGACACCCAATGATCGAGCGCATGCGGGTTAGACCTCAGACGAAAGTTCTCAGTCTGAAGCAGGCGTACAGCTAGGTAGTCGACATACGCCGGTGTCAGTCCACGCGGTTCAAGAAACGCTAGGACTTCGCTAATTCTGGTTGCGACACCTGTGATTGTTCGTAGATTTACCGAGTCCACGGTGTTGATCAAACAGTCGACGAGAGCAAGAACGACCTCGACACTGATCGTCCTGGACGGTATCTCAACAGATGGCTTTTCTGTCCCGTAGCCTTCGGATCCACCTAGAGTACCTCCAGGCTGGCGCCGAATTCGCTCCCAGTCGATGGCGGGGATTAAGCTTTCTGTACCTTGTCTATATGTTGTCCAATGTATTGCATACCAAGGAAAGTCGACGTCTTTACGCAAGGCCCCGATGATACGAGCGCCTGCGGAGGGATATCCTCCTTCCACACAGCACCAGAGAATGAACTCAATCCAGACTTCGGGCCCAAGTTCACGGAGTTTGAGGCGAAATCGACCTCCTGGAAGAACTTCACTAGCGACAGGATTTTGACTTGAGATACCCTCACTGTTCGCTCGCGCAATTACTTCATCCTGATGTGCCTGCCAAACCGCGTCCGACAGCGTGGAGAGAATCCTCGACCTTAAAAGACTCAAGATCGGTGGGTATTGTATGGTCGTAGGAGCCTTTGGCACGGAATGCGTGTATACAGCTGCGGGGATCAAACCGACGTGATGAATTCGAGCAATGATTTGGTGTACTGTATACATAATCTGCTTTGCTTCTGCTGCCGACCGTCGAACAGAAGTAATGACAAGCTCCGCCAGAAATGGCCAGAGAAGCAGCATAACCCTCTCGTGACTTCTCTCCGTGTCCTGGTTATTGGAAGGCTGGACAAGTGTGGCCGCAGAAGGTCTATTGACATAAGGCTCAGCATCGAGCTCCACAGGCTCTTCCACGAGCTGCGACAGCGAAGATCTCGGCCATACAATGTTGGAAGGTAACTGCTCGTCTGTAGACTCTTCTCCCAGCGTCTGTGCCGGTTTTAACAAAGTATCTGCGAGATGAATGACAGCTTTGTATCGATGTTTGGTGAGAGCCAGATATGCCAGAAGGTCCACTCCTGCAAATGACTTTGCATCCTGTACAATTCGGAGGACATCCTCGAAATCTGTCCGCTCATCGAAAATGGTGCACGATTCTTGCTGGAAGGAGAGCCTCAAGTCTCTGGGTAAAAACTTCTCCAACTGGGATATATAGTGTTCGGGGTCCTCCTTTTGATGTTTGGCTGACTTGGTAGCGCCACCTCTTGTCACTGGGGGTGTAGGTTTTTCTGAGGCCACGGGAGAAACGAAGGGGATCCATGCTTGAGATGGCGCCGCATCCTGCTTCGAGATCCGTGCACAGGAAAGAGCTCGAGAGCTGAGAGGCGAGCCATTGTATACAGTAGTCGTATTTGAGAGGAGGGGCTCCCGGTAGCGCGGGACGCTCGTTGAAGGATATCGTGGTGCGTCTCCGAAGCAGTGCAGATGTCTTCCGAACTGGCCGTATTTAAACCATCTGCGCATGACCTGGGGGACCGGGACGGGAAGGCATCTGAACACGTTTGGAGACGTCAGGTGCCTTAGAAAGTCCAGATCAACTCAAAGGGCAGAAAAGTCGCCCCAGCCGTATGTGGGCGAAATGTACAACTTCGAGCAACAACTTAATGATGTCGACACTTTTTTCACGGCGCGCGACGACACAGAACTGTACGGTGGAGCATATAGCCGTATGTGATATGTTAGTGCGGATCATTTGTGTCTCAGTTGCAATAAAATCCGCGACCTGGTGAATGCAGTCGTGGGCCCTGCACTTCCTGAAAGGTAAGACAACAATACTACAGATATTCCGATACAACATGGGCCAGTAGGCTGATCTCGGATCGCGAATATCGTGACCATGAGGCACGAGTTACAAAGAACACTGCTTCACATTACACTTTGATAACTAATACAGTTGCTTTTCCAAGCTAAAGACCAGACACTTTTTGCGACCCTAAATATTGCTAGCTGTACATCATTTCGTATTTTTGGACATCGTGTCTGACGACACTTCCTCGACTGGATGCGTATCCAAACTTTCGTAGAGTTGCAAATAGCTACCAATCAAGAAGGCCCAAGATCCCCTGCAAGAAAGGTCAGTCCATTCAACATACTGATCTTGAATAAGAGCAAGACCGGACTTACCAGAAAGTAGACAAGGAAGCCTGGTACTGTGCTCCCGAATTGCCGTATGCCATACCCAATGCGCCGCAGAGCGTGAAACCGAGGGCTCCAATGAGGTTCCAGAACCCGATATGCCACCCGAGAACATGCAAAGCCGGCTTCCACCACTTCTGCTGCGTCTCAAGCATGTACAGTGTGCTGCTCACAACGAACCCGCTGCCGCCAATGACTTGAGGAATCCAGTATGCGCCATTCAGAACGCGCTGAGGCGTCAAGTGGTTGATGATGCCGGGTAAAGCGGTAAAGCCTGAAATTCCGAAGATAGTCGCTCCAAATAATTGAGCTGCACCGGCCAGAAAGCCCAGTTCGTGGATATAATGCGTGCGAAGATCGTGCCATGAAGGAAACCAGCGCCAACTTGGACCGTCCTTGGAAGTATGCGCTGCCAATTGCGCTCCATCTGCCAGGGTATGGGAAGCCTTGCCGACGAAGTTCCGCCGGTTCTGGTGGTGATGTCGACAGTGACGACGGCTAGCGCGAAACTGGTACATGGGGCCCTTGGAGGGGCCGTTGTCCTCGAGAAGCTGTTCGACCGCCCATCCGAAACAGCCAGTATTGTTGGTATTGACTGCTTCAATGATCAAGAGAATAGAGCCAACCTCAAAAAACAATATGGCTCCTATAAAGGCTGTCACACCGCCCCCCACATAAATTTCGTTGTGAAACTCGGTGGATGGCGCTACGAGGGGAAGCCACGCGAAGAAGCCCTGCATCAGGATAGTCAGCAAAGATCACCAGAAGATAAAAGGATGGCCCGTACGTTGATCACCCAAACCACACTTCCCAAGGTGAAAATCAATGCCACAAGGTAGGAGATATCCCAAACTGGAAAATACGTAAACGTCAACTTGATGTTCTTGAGGACTTCTTTGTAGTGATTTGTCCGCCGAGGCGTCAGGTACTGCGCCACCTCACCAGGCGCAGGTCTCTGAACAAGTAGAGCATGTCGGCCCTTCCGATTGTCTCGCGAGCGCCACAGAAATCGAACATTCTCAGCGGGAACTTCGTCTTCCTTCTTGGTGTTCTCGTGATTCTGGTCACCAATGCCATCACTGCCTTCGCTTTCGTCGTGTTTGGTAGGACTGCTCTTCGCTAGAGATTGAGTGGCTCCGTGGAGTTGGAAATGAGCTCTTGTCGGGTTGAGGAAACCCACTGGTCCCTCGGCATGTTCTAATTCATACTTCTCGTGCTTGAAAGGCTCTAGCCAGCGAAAATGCTCGTTTGTCCCAGGCATGACGGCGACTGTAACTGAAAGGTACATATGTTGCTGAACGTCTCGAAACACTGCACTCCATCTCACTTCATTAGTACCACGTGAAGTAGTGAAACAGGGTACAGGAGAAATGAGTCGGAAAATAGGGAAAAGGTGTGTCGGGAAGACAGGAAGCGATTGGTCATGACGCCACAAAAACAAGACAAGCACAAGGAACAGGGACATGCGTCGACTTCACCCTGGAGCCATGGAGCCACAGAGTCATCGACAAATTTGGCGTCACTAGATCATGTGCCAAGCTTTGGCATATTAACGGGCCGAAATGCTTGCATCTGGAGCCTATCATCTTTTCTTCTTTTGCACTCCTCCCAACTCCTTTGCCCATATACGACATCCCGCCCCGGTGATGAGTGAGCTTCACTCGATGCTGACTCTACAACACTCAGCTGCCAGGGCTCGCTAGCTTAGTTCTAGGGCATCCATCTTCTTCGTCCTTGCGTCCTAGACGAACATGTTGCCACTGCTTTAACCGGGGCCCAGCATGGCCAGGAAGCGAATCTCGACTTGTTATGCAGTCAAAGCCTTGTCTAAAACCGAATTCGTGGAAGTCATGTAATCAACGACGTCCTTCAGTTGTTGAGCGCTTGTTCGAATACTCGTCCATCAAAAGGGAGTGGCGACTACCCTCCATGTCTCCGGACTCTGCTTCATATTCTGAATGGACTATCCAGATTGAACTGAAACCCACAGCTCAATTGCGGTATCTGCGAATAATGCTCCTGGAGCAGCGCTCTCGCATTTTGCAGAATCTGGTCACGATTGATCTCAGTGCTGCGCTGCGCTGCGCGTGCTGTCTAGCCACAGAACATACCTGAACGTAGGAGAGGTTCCAATAGTTATCGGTCTTCATCGTTTCCAGAAACGCCCAGGACATTGCACCTATTTTTCTCGTCAGGTCTTTTGTTCTTCCTCCCTCACTGCTTTTGGTCGAACTTACCAACATGCCTCCCGTTAATAAATGCATCCGCACTCGTTCGCTCATCCTTGCACCCCGAGAACATAATCCTGGAAATCCTCAAGTCAGTCATCCACTCTGTCCCTGCCTTCCTAGCCTTGTATCTTGTCACGGGAGCGCTTACCTCCCCAATCAATTCGAACCCCTGTCTCAAGTTGTCCATTAAATCGACATTCCCATCATCATCCGTTCTGTACACGAACGGTAATTCGACTGCCGAACCACTACCGACAACTCGTCAGCTCATCCGCCTAATGTGTTGCAATGGATCTGTATCGATACAGCCCATGCCAGAGCAGCATGACAAGGCTTCGATCCTTTTCTTTTCACTAGTCATGCAAGCATACCAGGGCGCCAACCCGACTCATCTACTCGCCCGGGTTCATCTCTGTTTTACGTCCTCAATGGAATCACGGTCATTCCGGAAAGTAACATGAGATACTCACCTGTGACAGCAATCAAACAAGATACTCAAAACACAGCCCGGCGCCGACCCACTCACGAGAAACCGATGCAACACACCACTAGGAATCTGCCCGTTTCTCTCAAAGTCCACCGGCACAATCGTGTCGTCGAAGCCACTCGAACTTCTCCCATCGCCATTGTCCGGCACCTGGCCCCCGTGGCCCGAGTAATGTAGAAAGCACAGACATCCAGGCTCACTCACAAGCCAGCGCATCGCAGCAATAATATTGTGACCCGTCGGGAAATACGGTCCCCTCACGTCATTCGTGTCCGTTAGAACAACCATATCCCGCGTCGTAGGTGAATGGTTCCGCGACATGAGGAACTCCTGCATGTTGCGCACATCGTCGATACAGCCCGCCAATTGGTGCGAGGACCCGATGTAGTTGATCCCGATGAGGAGTGCTTTACGCCGGGGCCTTCCCATCGTGGAGATCGATCAACGATCGAGAAGCGGACAACTGATGAGGACTCAACCTGCGGCCCGACGACCAAATGGGCAGATGGGAAAAAGGGTAGATCAGATACGGCTCTTTCAGGAATACAAATGGGACTGGGCAAATGGTTAGAAGCGCGGATGCAGAATAAGGACCTCGAGACATGCATGCGTAAGCGAGTGTAAGCTTGCGAACAGCGCAGCTCGTGATGGTGGAAAAGGAAAGCAACAGGAACTAAGTTGGTGATCTCTCAATCACGCTACGAGTTGCATATATCAACCATTCGGTCCGTAAGTTAGAAGTCAGAATTCGCCGTGTGCCGAACGTTAAGAAGACTTGTAGGAAATGGTATTTCTATCATTTTCTCACATGATCTCCAGATTTTAGCTGTCACTAACTAACATGTACGGAATGCGACATGTTTTCCCGCATCCTTCTCCTTCTCCCAATAATGTGGAAAGAAACCAATATCTACCAGTATGTCCCTTTTCCCTCCTGTGATTCGCCATCCACATTTCCGACTGTGGACGACGCTCACAATCCAGATATATGTCAAACCCGTAGATACTTGCCAGGTTTCAAAACATTGTAACACCCGGACACCAGACAAGCCTGAAGACTTAACACGAAAAGCCACACTCATTACATCGTGAACACGTAAATAAGATAGATCCGCTTCCAGCTCATACGCTGAACCACTCGCAGATGCAATTCGATCCCAACTGCTCTGTCATATCTGATCGTGGACGAACCGCCCTTCTCGATGGAGAAGTCGACTGCGGCGCGTACTCGCTCTCATCGATCGTTACCGTCGGTACAGTTGGAATAGGCATGATTTGCCAGTTATTGAGAACCTGCATCTGTTGACAATATGGCGGCACATTGCTGCCGGGCTTGCGCTTCTGTACCATCTTGACCAGTTTGGGAAAATTTGATGAGCTGTCCGAGCCCCGACGTCGTACTTTTGAACCGTCCCAATAGCCATCCGACGTCTTCTCGCTAGGAGCGGACGTGGTTTGACTAGGGTAATTTTTGGACGATTGTGTTGCTGGCGGGGTATACATTGGAGAGCCATAGGGGCTACTGGAAGCGCCAGAAGAAGATTGTGGAGGTGGGCCCGTTTGCATGCTGGACGCAGCTGTGGTTGTCGCACTCGAAGCATTGTTGTCCATGTCTTGGCCTAGGAATATCCAAAACTCGCTGATGGTAGAGTTCCAGAAACAGAACCATGGCTGCTCCCCAATGCTGAGTAAAGTGGACATCCAGTCAGGTTCGTTCGCCTTGTCGGCGCCTCTCTTCGACAGCTGCGAGATAGACACCGACCTTTTCGTGCCCGCGTCAGAAGGACTGATCGCATCACTAGGAACTGAATATCTGTGTTAGTTCCTCAAATGGCCCGTTCTGATGACTCGAAGTACTCACAAATCACTATCTTATCGAATAGTGCACTGAAGAATAACGCGACACCAAGTTCATCATCATCCTTGTCCATGAAGGGTTTCAACCCAAAAGAGCTGCCATTGAAATCGGGTGGCTGCGGCCCATATCTGAACAGCTGAGGTCGTAGTGAATAATCGTCGAAAGCGACTGACAAGAGTGGACCTCCCTGGTCAATGCTTTCAAAAACACTAATTCCAAGCTTCGCTTTGTTCATGCAATCCCAGACGTTTGAAAGAGCGGGATTAACCACGCAAGTATCGACTTGATCAGTCTGATTCAGAGGTATCGTCCAGTGTCCGGTCGGACAAGGCGGCGTGGTTGGCCCGGTGGAAGCCGGATCGGCATCAAGCCAAACTGTCGTGGTCGCACTTGCAGCAGATCTAGGTCAAAGTCAGTCAAGTACAAGCAACAATCCGATGTCGAACATACGCAGCAGCTCGCTGTGCTCCTTTCTGGTTTCCTACTACTCCTCCAATGACACCGCCAAGGACTGCCGCTAGGCAGACAACCACCATCAGTATTATCCAAGTCCATACAGGCAAGCCGCAACATATTCGCCTCAATCTCTTTTGTACCAAACCCTCTTTCCGAGCCACTTCATCTGTAGATGCTCCAGCTCCAACGGCCGTCAGTTCCACGTCCGAGGCTGAAGTGGCCGCAGCGGGTGGAACGAGTGGAGCAGATCTTGAATCCTGACTGGGGCTAACCGCTTGTTGTTCAAGTGTTGCCATGTCGCCCTTGGCAATGACATTGTCGGCGTATCGGCTGTACGGGGGTAATTGTTCGACATGTCCGTCACTCCCTATTATATCCCCAACTTCGTCTCCTGATGAGCTCGAGCCGAGTACTGGAAAGCCTACGGCTACATGCGTATCTGCCATGTCTTCTTCCGGTACTGTATTTTGAGGGTACATGGAATATGGATGTTCGGGACCCCCATTGGATAACGGTCGTTCGATTGGTCTTATGGTTGATTCGCTTGCGATGCTCGAAGCGCGAGTCATCTGAGTGTACATGCCATATGGTTGGCTAGGAGCTGTTGGCCCTCGGTAAGGGCTCTGACTTCGAGGTATGGAGAATCTGGATGATGTCGATAGGGTTCTTCGGCTGTCTGCCATAGAACGCGAGGAGGTAGATACGGCTCGGTGAGGATCGGCGGATTGATCGGCAGTGGATTTTCTGTTGGAGACGAAGGGATAGTTGAGGCTGAGACGATGTCCTGGAAGTCCAGAGGGAAGATACTCCCGAGTGTGACCTCGTAGATTGCCGTTGAGGTCGAGGCTCAGCTCCTCGGGCCGGTTGTCAATTGAGTCGATTGAGTCAATTGGTCTGAGGTCAAATGAAAAGTCAGCAGGGTCGATGGCGTAGTCGTCACTGAAAACGTTTGGGTTTGGTATGTCGTTAGATGACCTCCTCAGCGTGTTTTCATCTCCCATTGATGAAGAACTGGTCAAGTTGGGAGGTCGGCGCGCCATCGAGGCGCAGCGCCACCCCTTTCAGCTTATGATGCCAGATATCGCGAGCAACGAGCCGTTCGGGGTTTGGATGAGGACACTCGCGTAAAAGATGTAGAATTCGAGGTTAGGGAGGTATCAGTGTGAATGAGGTACGGAACGCAGGAGGTGAAGTCTCTGAGGGTCGCCAGGTGATGATGGGTGGTTCACTTTAGCCTGGCTTAGTTCCTCACGAGCGAGCCTGGTTAACCCGGCGCAAAAGGCTTGGCACTAACCCGGGTGGCCCAGCGTGCCCAGGCCCAAACCGGTCCCATGTGCCGACAGAGTTTGGGGGTCGATCTTTTCCTGCTTGACACTTTGGCTAACTCATGAGACTTGATAAGCCCGAGCACGGCCTGAGCCGACGATTTTATGCCTGTTTGCATACCTAGTTGTGTGACTGGGAGGGAGGTATTGCTGCTTCCCTTTCATGATCGATTCTTGTAAGAATGGCGGCCGCCGCGGAGGTGCAAGCCCTGCTACGCTTTTTGACCAAAGATGCCAAAATTCCACTGGCTGAAGCAATGCCCAAGATCAACCTCCTTCGAAAACAGCAATTGAACACTCCAGAGAATATCTCAACAGCCAATCAAGCTGCTCTCAAATCTGTCTTTACTGATGATAAAGTGCTCAAGCAAGTTCTCGCTGCCGCCAAGAGGGTGTGTAATCCTAAGAAACGCACATTGGCGCAGGCAGGGTCTCTTAGTTCGAAACGCGTGAAAACAGGGTCAGATGTAGTAGACGATGAATCCGCTGTTGAATTGCCGGAGACCGCTCTTCCCCTCGACGAGATCGAACACATGACAGTCGAGACCAATCGAGCTCCTCTATTCCTAGCCTTTACGATTGCCGTCCTGGCCTACACTCATTCTGAGCAACCATTGTCAAGCCGATGGAGCCTGGCGCAGGCGGTTGTGAGTGCAGGCGCTCAAAGTAAGGCGAAATATCTTGGAATCACCCCCGGCCCAACGGCGGAGGAGGATGGGTGGGCCCAGGGCCAGCCAAAAGTGAAGATCATGGGCAGGGAGGTTGCGGTCATGCGAAGACATGTTGTGTCTCAGAGCGAAGAGGCGCCGAGCACTCCAGCCACTGCGTTCTGGGGCCTCGACCTCGAAGCGCTTCGCAGATCGAATGGTCCTTTGATCGGAGGTAAAGATGGCCATAGACAAGACGGTCCTCCCATCCATAAGCCTTCCGCAGCGCGAAATTACCTTTTGAAGTCAATGATTGTGGTTGATTCTGGGGAGTCAACGACTGAGAAAGAGGGGGAGAAGTCCAAACAGGCAAAGAAGTCCACCCCAAAAGACATGGCCAGCAAGAGAGAGGCGGCTGCGGCGATCATGCTCAAAGCTATCGACACTGTCTGCCAGAGTTGGGCTTCTTCACTAAGCAAGGAAGAGTTGGATCAAAGAGCTCAAACATGGTATGTACGTGTGAGGCCCGATGTTGAGTACGGCCAGGCAGGCTGGGGACAGAGAGGAAAGGTGCAGCTTAAAGACATACTGAAATTGAAGAAGGAGTGACAGGAAAATCAACGCGGTACACATTCGAATTTGTCGAGCTTGACTCGATTTCGATGTCATTTGCACGATGGTATAGTCAATCGACCATGAATCAACGCCAGCGCCCCAATTGGGTTTGCGCGGAGCAAAGTGGTGGGACAACCAAGAAGACCGCACACAACCCGACCCAGCTTATATCTGGTCGACTACTGCCCGCCAGCACTATTCTGATCCGTTTTCTTGCCCGCGTTCTTTGGCCCTACGTCGCCTGCAAGGGTCAGTCTCCGCAGCAGTCTCATGGAGGGATGAACTCACCACTCCAGAAGGATTTATCGACCTTGTTATCTTCCTCACTGAGCTGATTGACCGATCTCTCGTGTCTCTGCTCCATCTCCTCATTGTGCTTCCTCACTTCAGGGTCATCTTTCTCGGCTGCTGAATCGGGGCGATGAATAGCTGGGCTTCCGCCCTTGCTTGTGGTTTCAGAACTGCCTGATGATTGTGTCTGGGAAGAGTTCGAGGATGACGCAGTGCCCTTTTTGGCTGGAGCTTCTGGACCAGGATGCTCGAGATTGGCCTTAGGGTTCGGCTGGTCCTGTCCCTGCTGCATGCCTGATTGCTCATTGCCATAAGACTGATGTGCGAGTCTTCTCGGCTGGGTGGAAGAAGAGAGAAGAGGGACATGGCGTGAAGCTCGTGGAGCTCTGGAGGCCAGACGTAGAATTGGCTGCATTGCGGCAACTCTGATGGTATGTCTGGTGTGGTAATGATTTTATGACTGGGAGATCGCGAGTGCTACAGATTGGTTTGGAAGAAAGTCTTGTAGGAGTCTCGCAGTTTGCAATGTCCGCTCAGCTTCAGAATCAAACTGTCATACAAAGCGTCGGGATCTGAACCCATCGATGCAAGTTGCTATGACCTCACTTTATGCCAAGCCTAGAGGTACCCCTTCGGGACTAGCGTCTTACCTGTACTTTTCACAGTGACTTCATTCCAGCTCAGATTCCCCAATTTACACTGGGTGATTGATGCATTTATTTGGCGCTCATATTCTAGGAACAGACCTAAGGTTGTACTTTAGCTGCTGCATGGTGTTCTAAGTTCAGCCTGCACAAGATTTTGTAGCGTGAACGACTGAAAATTGACGGAATAGTCACTCCACGCTATGACGTACAAAAGACGTCTTCTAACGTGCTGTTTCCCCCGCAAATCGCGTCAGAGGACATCGTCACGGTGTTCCAGTCAAGAAATCTTTCGCCTCTCACCCTCTGCCTTGCCTCTTGCCTTTATGTTTCGCACGGACTTGATCTCCGTATGATTGACTGGCCATTTCGGAAGCTGGAGCCTTGAGAAACGAAAGACCACTTCACTCGCCTAGTACTGCCACTACTTGTCACTGCTTCCTTGCCTTGGGTCTGTCGCGCCGCACTTGCACGAGGCAGCTCCCCCGATCGTCAACAAAAAGTGAAGACTCTCTGACGTCAAGTGGTCGGCACAACCACATCTGTCCCTTCTTCCTTCTCTCGACCTTTTTGTTTTCTTCTACATTTCCACCATCAAACTCTCCCTTCTCTAACCTTTCCTCATCCATACCCTTAAGAGAACCATCAATCAGCCATGAAGTTCTCTTTCTCCAAATTCCTCGTCGTGGCACTTGCTTCGACCGAGGTCGCTGTAGCCAGCACTTGGTTTGGAAAGACAGGTATGCCCGCTCACTTTCATCTCTCACATTGACCGGAAGTTGACTTCATCACAGCCTACAACAAATGGCATGAGACCGAACTTGAGCGTTGGCTCTCCGACCACGATGTCCCCTACCCGACTCCCGCAGACAGAAAAGACCTCGAAAACCTCGTCAAAGAAAATTGGCAAGCTAAGGTTGTTGACCCGGTTGCTGCAACTGGTGACAAGGCCAACGAGCACTATGGCAGTGTCAAGGATTGGATCTTCGATAGGTGAGATTTCCTTTTTAGAGATCCATTCGAACCCTCCACTAATGAAAACAGCTGGAGCGAATCTTCTCTCAAGTCTTTCCTCGATCACCACGGCATTCCTGCTCCTCAGCCACGAACCAGAGATAGCCTTCTAGCCACTGTCCGTCACAACTACGAAGCCATCGCAAAGAAGGCTGGCGAATACTATCATTATCCCGGCGACTGGTTGTACTCCTCTTGGTCCGAATCTGATCTCAAGGAATACCTCGACGAGCGTGGCATCCCCGTCCCTCAACCATACACTCGTGACAAGCTTATTGCTCACGTCCGACGCAATGCTCGACTGGCTTCCCTCAAGAGTGCTTCGGCTGCTTCGGCTGCCAGCGCTTCCTACTCCAGCGGTGTCTCCCAAGCGAGCAAGTCTGCAGCAAGCGCTCAGGCCAGTCTTAGCGATGCTCTCTTCGACGCGTGGTCCGACAGCAAGTTGAAAGAATTCCTGGACAGCCACGGTGTTCCTGTTCCACAGGGCAGCAAGAAGAATGAGCTGGTCGCTTTGGCTCGTAAACATCGTGCTGAGCTTGAAGGCAAGGCCTCTTCCGCTTCTGGGTCTGCCGCTTCCGCCCTTGGTGCTGCCACATCCTCCGCAGGCAATGAATTCGCCAAAGCTACCGATGATGCCTCTCTTATGGCTGATGATGCCTTTGAAAAAGCAATCGGCACCTGGTCGGAGTCTCGTCTCAAGGCTTACCTCGACTCGCGTGGTGTTCCAGTTCCCCAGGGCAGCAAGCGTGACGAGCTTCTGGCGCAAGTCCGATTGAACAAGCACAAGGCTGCCACTGGCTGGTCTGCATGGACATTTGATACTTGGACTGTTGACAACCTCCGAAAGTACCTCGAATCCCATGGGAAGAAGGCCAAGAAGTACGCCAACGCCAACCGTGATGAACTCCTCAAGCAGGCTCAGGACCAATATGCTTCTGCCTCCAAGTCGGGCGGTAGCGGCTATGCTTCTGTCACTAGCTATCTTGCTCAACAGACCGATGCTGCCAAGGACACTGCTTTCGATACTTGGTCTGACAGTGACTTGAAGTCTTATCTCGACAGCTACGGCGTCCCCAACTACCAAGGCTCAACCACCAACGAACTCCGAGCACTAGCCAAGAAGCAAGCCAATTACTTCCGATACGGCACCACCTCTCCGACAGGATCCATCTTTGAACAAATCAAGAGCAGCTTCCAATGGCTCCTTGGTCAAGCCCGAGGTACAGCTGCCTCTGCAGGTGCACGTGCTGCTGCTACTGGTAGCTCTGCTGCTAGCCAGGCTTCCAAGAGTGCCACAGACAGTGCCTCTAGTGCCAGCTCTGCTGCCAGCCAGGCTTCCAAGAGTGCTACAAATAGTGCCTCTAGTGCCAGCTCAGCGGCTAGCCAGGCTTCCAAGAGTGCCAGCAAGAGTGCTTCCAGCGTCAAGAATGAATTGTAAGGCGGAAGGTGAAATGAGTGAATCTGGATTCTAAACTCGATACCCTGGTGATGGAGGTCATGGTCGACATGGGAAGACAAGGAGAGTCGGCGTGATTGATTGATCAACGATTACCGTATTTACGGACCGCGAAAGGGATTGGCTGGTAACGGTCTTATGCACTGTATCTCTAGAGCTGAATAGCTACGAATAGCAATACCACGAACAGAAAAGTATGTTGATTATTATCCCTAGTTTGTATTTTGCGCGTTTTCTCTATGTTGTCGATCTGCAGGATCCTTGTGGTAGATCTTTTAATGGAAATCCGTCTTCTTGAATGGCACCAATTTGCCCACTACGAGGTACTAAGTCAAAAAGCATGTCAGCATTGTCCGGAAAATTCATCTCACACGCTAACGGCACCTGTGGCATTGATTCTGTGCATGTGTAGCTGAAGGGTATGCGTGTGGTTCTGAAGGAGGAAGAGCGCATATATGGGTATTTTTGTGCTGGGGCCCTGCGTACCTTCTCGTCGAAACGCTCAATCCAGCCCTTCAGATTCTCCAGCTGCTCGGGGGGGAGATCATCGCAGGGATCCAAGGGTCCGTCGAGGTCCTTAGTCAACATATCCTCGTCGAAGGATTGGCATGCGAGGCCGCGTGTGGCATCGCGGCCGGCGAAGTTCTCGTACGGACCGCCAGGCCCGTAGAAGTTGCGCCCGGAAGTCACGTCGTAGACTTTGCCGCGCACGGCCAGGTACACGGGCGCAGAGTCTTTGCCATTGTTCTTGAGCAGGGTGCGCGGTGTGTAAGTCTGAAAGACGATGGGCGCGGGACCTTTGGGGAGCGAGGGCGGTGTAGAGGGTCGCAGGCGGAAGTAGAGCAGGGCCAGGAACGCGAGGAGGAGGGTGAGGTTCAGCGGCGTGGCCAGTGCGTAGCTAGAGGTATAGCAAAGCAGTTGTCAGTGAGGTGGTTTTCAATGGGAAGGAGGAAACGAGAAGAGGGCGAGGGTGGAGGGAGGCCCGCGATAGACACCAGCACCAGGGCTGGCTCTGCGCTGAGTAACGGGATTTTCGGGCTGGTTGCAAGTCTTGAGACGGAGAACAATTGAGGAGTTGACGCACAAGGACTCGCGCATTTCTTGGTTGTGAGCTTGGATTTCTGGGGGCACCGGTTAGCTGTGTGTGAGTGAGAGAGGTGAAGGTGGGGGGAAGGAGCGCATGAGATATACCTGGTGGGAGGTCCGTCATGTTGACCGCGTATGTGACGTGAAGATGAAAGAGGCTGTGATGTGCTGGAAATCCGTCTCGATAAATTTCGGCCTCTGTTTTAGACGGAGTGAGATGAGGACGTGAGATTTTGTCTGAAGAAGATGATGAGAAGTGCAGAGTAGTCCCGAGGATGGTGGAGGGAAACACATCGAAGGTGGTGGGGTACGTGGGTACTCTAACTTACTTCCCAGAGCCTTGGGAGGCACTGGGAGGCAACGGAGGGCTACCGAGGACTACTGTACTTCTGGGCCCGCAACATCGGGTCATCTTTTCAGGCTCTTTATGCAGCAGTGGCTTTGGGGCTACTAGGCCAGCATCAATGTCGGTCAAATCTCATGACGCAGGAGGACGCTGATGATGCTAAGCTCGGCCATGCAGGTTCTAGCGACTGGGCTTCGGTCGTCACAGCGAATGCGTCGGGCACACCGCAAGACGACTCAAAAAGGGCATGCGAGAAGTCAGTGCAGCCTTGTCCGCACTCGCACCACACTGGTTACGCCTGTTCGGGACCAGTGTACCGTCGACTTTGAGATCATGCAAAGGATAGGCATGGCTTGCATTTACAGCAATACATGCTCGCTGAGACTATGCTCAAGCATCTAAGATTCATTGAGATGATAACGTAATCCAATGTTAGACTCAACATGATCCATCGAGAATCATCTCACCCTGTTCACCAACCCTTTAACGCCTTCCAGGCTCCGTCTAAGCACTTGCGCAAGCACGTCTTTCGTACTTCGCACTCCATTTCTGGCTGTAAATATGGCGCCCCAGACCGCTACAATGAGACCGAACAGCTTCAAGATCCGGCCGAGTTGCAATTTGATGAGCCCTTTGCGAGTGTACTTCACGTTCCAATGATTCCATCTCGGAAACATACATCTCAGCGTGAAGTCGATCTGCGTGCGCGGGTAGACGGTCGAGTTCCACCCATCCTCGCCGACATACCAGGAGCGGCAACCACCAGACATGAAAACGCTGTTCTTGAGCTGGGCTTGCAGATCGGATGTCCATTTGCGCTCGGCCGACTCTTTGACCTCGTAAGTATCAATTTCGCCTCGGAGGATGGGACCGATGAATTTGAGTGAGTAATTGACCATGTTCTCGCTGGCGAGGATGACGCTGCTGTGACCGGTGGCAGTGTTGGGTCCGAAGATCATGAAGAAGTTGGGAAAGCCGTCCATGGCAGTGCCCATATACGCTTGGGCACCACCTCTTTCGGCCCAGGTCTTGTACAAAGATCGGCCATTGCGGCCGGTCACGTCGAGCGGGTGAAGCCATTGATTGGTATCGTACCCATTAGCCATAATAATCACGTCGGCTGGGACGGTGCGGGCTTCCGTGGGCACCTTCGACTCGGTTTTCGACATAGGTGGGTAGTACCGTCCAGGACCTAGCGTCACTGACCGAGGTTGAATCGAAGTGATTGGCAGACTGGTAATCTCAACATTCGGTTCGTGCAAGCTCTTGAACCATCCCTCATCCACGACACGACGCTTGCAGAAGACTTCGTAGTCTGGCGTGAGGAGCTCGTGGTATTCCTCTGGTACTGTCTTTCGAAGATAGCGGAGAAGTTCTTCAGCTTTCTTCTTCCGTCGTTGACGCGCCGCTTCAGATGGAGTGAACAGGCTGATGAATTCGGCCTCGATCATTGTGAAAAAGAGCTTGCGAAACCCGTTCTGGAAGCCAGGAACATGCTGGCATAGCCACGGAATCCATCTCGCGTAGAAGGCTCGGGCTTCTTCAGGCAGAAATGGGACTGCCCAGGGTGGAGATCGCATAAGTTGAGTGACATGCTTCGCACCAGATTCGGGCTTGATCAATTGTGGCATCACCTGGCCAGCACTGCAACCGGTGCCAATGACAATGACTTCTTTGCCCTGCAAGTTCAACCCGGGTTTCCAGCGGGCGGTGTGGACGATCTCGCCCTCGAAAGTCTCGATGCCAGGAACAGCCAGAGGGGGTTTGGGCTCGACGAGGCCTCCGACAGCGCTGACCACGACCTTTGCCCGAACGGTTTCTGTGTACAAGACTGACGAGTCTTCTCCCTTCTCTTTCTCTAGTGCTTTCCGCTCATACGTGGCCAAGTCCCCGATGCCCGGTGCTAGGTGTTCAAGGACGACTTCCCATTCTTCATCACCGTCTATCCAGCGCGCGGTCTTGACTGATGTGTCGAACTGGATCTTGTCCAGGATTCGGAACTTCTCGCACGTATCATAGAGGTAGCGGATGATTTCTCTGCCGGAAGGAAAGAAGGTCGTCCAGTAGGGGTTCTGGTTGAAGGAGTATGAATATAGAATAGCCGGTCTACATAGCAAACGTCAGAATAGCTGCACCGGGGACGGGTGGTGAGGCGTACACGTCGCAAGCAATACCGGGATATTGGTTCGCTTGCCAAGTGCCTCCTAATCCTGACTTCCGCTCAAAGATGCGGAACTGGTCAAAGCCAAGGACTGAACGTAATCTGGAGCCCATAGCGATGCCTGACTCTCCGGCCCCGATGATCAGGACCGGGTAGTAGGTGTATCCAGCTTTGTCTGCCTCTCCGACATGGCGGATATGGTCCATCCTGTTCGTCATGGCGCGTAGTGGTAATGAACAACAATGCGAGCGAGATGGTCGAGTATGGACTAGAGAAGCAAGGCCAAAAAGGAAGAGTATGAGGACGTGGGCGGCTTATACAATCAAAAGGACGACAGGAGCAGCAATATAAGGGTGGACGATGATACCATGTCTCCGTCTGAAGGCCTAACGATACCTGCTCGTATTTCGTACGACAACGCGAACCCCCCGGATTGACATGAGTGACATGGCATGGATAACAGCAAACAATGCACGAATCGCCGAGGTAGTTCTTAATGGTACTCGTACAGAGGGGAGAACATGTCGAGTCAGCAACCGAGTTGCAGATCAGGATATTATTGTATGACCGGTCAACCACAGCATTGTTCACCACTGTTCACTTAGTCCCGTAGGAAAATGCTCTTTGTCAGTCAATATAAATTTTTATCTTTCGGCCCTTCTCACGCCGACACCAGCAACCCGCTCCGTGATCCATCTCCTGATCTGCAATAGCAGGTGAATAACGCCGTCGGATGCTAAGCCTCTTACTGGCATCGTCACTCTAGGGAGAGTTAATACCTATACTCCGTACACCGCCTTGACCACCTCTCCCGACAAGGCTGAATCAATCAAGGAAGCATTACCAACCCCCCCAAGGAAGCCAATGCAATGTCTCGCAACACGAGGAAAGAGCATTAAAGCTCCCAGGATATGCTTGAATCGGCAGCTCTTCATCAGTACCTCTCGCCGGTTCACCACCCCATCACGTCCATTCCATCTCCAAGTCCCGCTCCTGTCATCATGGAATCCCGATGAATTCGAGACAGAGGCATTTGTGCCAGCCTCGCCAGCTCGACTTCCTCGTTCCGCAGCTCACCTTCCACCAGCCTGTTCCAAATGGTTCATCCATGACCACAGTATCGACTACGACCTCATCACCACTGGATGCGACAAGCTTTCAATCCCTCAATCTTCCGAACTGCGCACCTCATTCTGGTCCGACCACGAATCCACCATCGTCCCTCTCGAACTCACCTCTAAGGGCCCCGATGGCGAAGAAATCTTCCGTCGCGTCGAAGCGCCTCTGAAAGTCCTGCTGGCGCATTTATCCAGGCCTCAACGTGCGCCGTCCGAGCATTCAATCTACCTGGCTCAGTGCGACCTGACCTCGCTCCCCGAGTCCATCACTCACGACATTCCCAGTCCTCGACTCGTCACCCGTTCTTCCTCCGGCAGAATCAAAGGTGACGTCTACGCCTCGTCCCTGTGGCTTGGCCGACCACCAACATACACGCCTCTTCACCGTGACCCCAACCCGAACGTATTCATCCAGCTGGCAGGCCGCAAAGTTCTCCGCCTCCTCCCGCCCGAGGTTGGCGCCGCGATCTACGACGACGTCCAGAAGGAACTCAGCCATGATCATGGTTCCGCCACCATCAGAGGCGAGGAAATGATGGCTGGCCCGGAGAAATTAGCCCTTCACGCCGCGATTTGGCCCGATGACCACACGACCAGCCGCTACGCCCAAGTCCTCAGCACATATGGGCTCGAGACCGAGGTCAGCCTCGGCGACGCTCTCTTCATCCCAAGGGGCTGGTGGCACAGCGTCAAAGGTGTCGGTGAAGGTATAACTGCCAGTGTGAACTGGTGGTTTCGATGATCTCCAAACAGTCTGTCAGACTAGACAGCAACAGAGAACTCGTGAAAGCGACATTTAGAAGGGTCTCCAGCCACCAGAAGCATTCTCCGTGTCCGACCCAGAAGTCTGAAATGAGACAGCTTCCAGCGCCGTGCGCTCGTAACGAAGTTTGAGTGCTTGACCAAAACACTCCGGGGGATACTTCAGCATAGCAAAAGGACCGTGGAGCAACAGAAGGATCGGCAAGCGTACCAAAAGTCAATTGTCGGGCGAAGGATCTGCTTATATCTCCAATCAATGACCGAGACATATACAATTCATCAATTCATACGTCTTCAAGCTCCTGTGGGTATACAAAGGGATGGTGCAAACATCGTCATGATAGACACCTCAACCTCCAACATTCCCATTCCCATTCCCATTTCCTGCCCCATTAGTCCCGCCCAAGCCATTCCCAAAGAAAAAGCCATCGAACAGGTCATATTGCTGCCCATCGCTCCAATCATGCTGATAATCCAAGCCCATGCCGAACCCGAGACCTAACCCGTTCGCATCAAAGTCGAAGTCGTCAACACTCGGACCGACGCTGTTGAGAAAATCCATGCCGGGCAGTGACGACATAAAGTCTGGATTATACGTGTTTTGCATGTAGAAGGGTTGCTGGGGATTCGGCGGATGGCTCTGGTTGAAAAATGGTGTGTTGTTCGTGCTGCTGTGCGGACCCATGCCCATCCCGGTATTTACGTGAGGACTGACGCTTGACGTTGGGGATAGTTGTGCCTGGCGCGGCGATTGTTGCTGATGTTGAGGCTGGATCGGTTGCTGGTAAGCTGACGGTCTTTGGAGTCCCTGTAGAGGTTGGGGAAATGACTGAGAAGGACGGGCGCTCGGTTCAAGCTCCTCGGGAAACAGTTCTTGGAGGTCCATATCGAATTTCGGTGGCGGGCGTCTCGTTGCGGATTTTGGCGCAATGGGCTGGTGAAGGTATGAGTCGATCTGCATTGGAACTGTTGCGGTATGCTGGCTCGACTGCCGAGAGAGCTGTGGCCGCGGCTCCTCACGCTCGACGGAAAACCCGAATCCTGGTGTAGACATGCACATCTGTACAGTGGCTTTGCTCATTCGCTCGAATGCGTCGCGGCACGCTTCTGCTGGAGGGCATTTTTCCATGAGATCTCCAAGGACGGATGTGGCAGCAAGGACGGTGAAGTCAAAATCATCAAGGGTCTGTTTAATGTCAGATTGCAGTTGATACATGCAAAACGTTTGAGCCTTACCAAACGAGCTCTTACCGCGGGCGAATGCCAGACAGCGTAGAGAAATGAGATGCCAGCCATGAACAGGTGGTGCGTTGCAAGGTACGTGTAATTGACAAGTCGTAATCGGTGCAGCTGCCGGTATAGCTTCAAGGTCTTTTGACCCGCCTCGGCGCATTTCAGGAAGACGAGGTCTTCGTCCTCTTTCTCTTCGATTCTGATGCTAGACGGACTCGACACGTCTTCAGTCGGACTGAGCTCGTTTGCCAGTGGTGCCGGCACACTAAGGCTCTGCCGGTAGAGCATTATCACTGCCTGCCAGTAATTCAATTCCAAGAACTGGACAGAGAAGCCAACTCCGGTGTCAGAAGTCTCCGGCGCTGATTCCTTCCATTCGTACAGACGTTGGTCGACGTCTCGCCTCCAAGAGCGGAACGACTCAAACCTGCTCATGAAGGGTGAGGGTAGCTTCGTATGCATGAATTGATTACGGCGATTGGTACCGCTGAGGCGTGCCTGCTGCGCTTGCTGATATTGCAGCACTTGAAGGATCTCCGACTGTAACAGCCTGAGGCGCAGGTAGTGGTGAGCAACACGCTTGTAGGTCGGTTCGTTCTGAGACTGGGGTTGCAAGAAGCCGTTGGGTGTGATGTACTTGTCATCGAGCAGGGAAGGAAACTCCGTCGTGACAACCTGATCAGTGACACCAAAAGGCCGACCGACGCACGTACTGACCAACCTGTCAAAAGTGTAAGTACACCACCAAAGTCGCCGACGCAAATCTCGAATCCATTCCCGTCGCCCTTTCTCCTTCGCGTCCACAGCTCTAATGGGCTTTGTCTCCATGGCACTGATTCCGTTGCCCATGCTACCTCGACCTTCAACGCCTTCTTCGAGATCAGACCCATCCTCATAGTGGAGGCCAAGATCGACCGCCAATCTCATGGCCACGCCAACGATATACCAAAGACCCGGAGCAACGGGCCGCAGCAGGGCAAAGCCACAAAGGAGCAGAACCGCTTGAAGTTCTTCAAGATCACCATTGGGACGCTCGGCCGTATCTAATGACGAGCTGCCACCCAGGAAAGAGCCAAGATGTACTATGGCAGAGGCGTGGTACTCTTCAGGCTGAGCTTGTTGGCTCGTCAATCGAGGCCTTTTCGAGGTGTAGTCTCCATGATGGGAACCTGGCTGGGGATCTGAAGAACCCCATATAATTCCGGCGCCGATGGCGAAGACGATATTCAGCAGATAAAGTTCGCGGCTGGTCCGTTTGGAGGGTTCAAGTGAATACGTCCGCTCATATAGCTCCATGAATTCGCCTCGATGGAGAATGGGAATCTGGGGATTGGCATGTTCGAAATAGAGATGAACAAGCTTAGCACCCAGATCTTTGTCCGGGAAGGGAGCCTCCTTGATGGTAGGCTTCGTCTGTAAGCCGAAGTATGAATCCCTCATGGAACTACCGCCTGAACTCGCGACATTGGCCACCGGACGGCTCGGTCTGATCCCAGTTCTCTCCGAGTTGTTGCTCGACACCGAGCTCTTCACGGCGGCTAAGACCACTCGCGCGAATGATATTCCGGATGTTGAACCAAGGTATCTCGCATCTGAGGCCCCTTGGACCGACACCATGCCAATGTTTGATACCAACTTGTTCAGCTTTTCGGCATCATCTTGCTTCTTGTCCCATTCTTCTTGCTTGATGGTCTGCGGAGAGCCATTGCTCGGAGACTGCGGCCCCAACCATGAGGCTTTTGCGCTGGGCGGCGACTGACTCGCATCTCCTAGCTCTTTAGACTCGGCACTGTAGACTTCTCCTGCGTTGAAAGGTATGCTGTTGGACTTGAGCATTTGCTCAAAGTAGGCTAAGCGAGTTTCAAGATAGTAGACATAGCTCCGAGGGATCTCTCTCTTCGTGATAGGATCATAGCCTACACAGCGAACGTTGGCCTTCTCGCAAGTACTACAGGCGGGCAGTCGTTGGTCGCAACGATTCTTGCGAACGCGACAACGATTGCATGCAGAGACATTTCTGAAGGCTGAAGTTGCGGAAGCCGAACTGTGTGGAGGGGACTTTGTAGGACTGAGGACGTCTGGATGGGGTTGGTGGGAGAGTTCATCAGCCTGATACGCTCGCTTGAGGCCTGCGCTCTGAGGAGAGGCCGCGGTCGAGGTCATGGATCAAATGAGGGCAACACTGACATCTTCTGCCAGTGTGGAAGAGGAGCGCGATCACGGGCTATTGCACCTCAGAATGCACTTGCAACGAGACAGAGAGAGTAGTCTCGTTCATTGTTTTCTCGCCTTTGCTTCGATCAACATCCAGAGCGTGGGCGCAGCCTTCTATCGCAGTTGACGGCACCGCCGCCCGATCTCACTGGCTGCAGAAGAAAGCATGAGTGGCCAAATGACTGGCGCAGCGATAAGAGGTCGGTAGACAAGCCAATCAGCGAGCTCGGAGCAGACAGGGCCGATCCGACCACTTGCAGACACCGAGGCTGCCGCTTTAAGGTAAGCCCAGGACTGTGGATTGCTTTGGTTCGTTTCAAGCATCTTGTCAAGAATGAGTGGGCTTATCACCTCACACGCAACACTAGGACAAGGCCAGGAGAAGCGCTTCTGCTTCGCATCAAAGCTAACCAGGGACCCAACCTCTCAAGCTCTTCTTCTGGATCAAATGGATCTCCCAACCAGGCAATGCTCTCGACTGAGATCAGGAATGAGACTCCCTTCCATCGTCCGGGTTTGAAGAAGGATTAGAGAAGTCCAAGCGCTCACCACAATCATCCATGGCCCACCTCGAGGTCACCCATTGCACTGTGAACAGGGAGTCGTCCACGAAAGCCGAAGTCGCTTCTCAAGGGCCATAAGGAGCACCCGTGACCTTGTTGCCCGTTTTTTAGGCGCGATATGCGATCAACGCAGCTGGTTCGCAATTGGCAATTTGATGTTTCTGACGGTTCAGAGTGTGCTAACTGATCAACTGTGTTTGAGCCAGATCTTTCTAGGCTTTCCCGCAGCTGAAGCCGCGCAGACACTCCAAATTTCGGCGAGAAGAGACCCAGCGACGTTAGGGTGTCTTCTTTTGGGCATTTTGCGTGCTGCTACTTCCCACATATGTCGACATGAATGGTCGCCAGCGACCGTCCGACTGATCAGGGATCTGGTCAATACATGCCCCCAAAATTAATGCCACTTGTTGACGAAAGATGCTAGAAGTTCGACAACGTCTTAGCGTATCACACCTGATTAGATAGAGCTGCAGCACTAGCCTAATCCTCGGTTCGATGTTGTCGCGGAACAAGAGCAATAGGGGGTTGGGAGCTTTCCCTCGATCGTATCGTTGACCTCAAGAGAGCTGCCCAAGTTGCAATCAAATGGGATGACATCTTGTCCTCAAGATATCGCGACACCCTTACTGCCGTTACTCTGAGTCGTCACGCCAGCTAATAGGCACTAACTGCCACGGAGGGACACAGCAGCCCATGATCAGAGCTGCAGACTCCACCTGTTGAGGCCAATCAATATCGAAGCCATTGTGAAGTCGGGATGTGAAGAAGTTCGACTTGAAAGGCCACGAGGAAGGCCCGGAAATGCAGATGATGTAGATGGGATTTTCCGTCAATGTGTTTTTATGCAAGCAAGTCCTCAAGCTCCCGGAATTCATCTCCTGGTATTGGGCACTGTTCAGCACCAAAACTCACTAGAAGTGTTTGTAAACCAAGTGAGTCAACCTGGCGATTGGGCACCGGCAAACTGCATGAGATTGCTGAACGTCCAGCATGTGGTCTGCAATCACTCAAAGATGGCTTTATGACTGAAGCACTGGTCCGAACTTCAATCAAGCGCTACTTCGCCGATACCGCTTTCAGCAGTTGGGATACCACTGTTCCATGTTTGCTGGCCCTACTTTAGCCTCAACTCGTTCGAACACCTGCATGTGGCTAATGCGAACGCTTCTCGCTTATTTTAGAGGCAAACAGGCGTCACGCATCGAACAACCGAAAGGGAACCTCGCTATCTTTTGCGATTTTGATGTGCTTCCGCTGTCGGGTGCAACAACCGGTATATGCAGCTGATCTTGCTGTCCAGGGTTCGACCTTGTTCTACGCAAGGGCGTTCGGAACACCAGTCCATCCTCATACGCGTCCGCATTCAACCTGCACTGTACAACGCCGTGTGGAGATATGGGCAGCTCTGATGGAGACTCGAACAGGAACAGAAAATTGCCACGTTTCCTTCTTTCAGGCAGGTGGCCAGCAAGGTGACGGCGTTGCCTTGACGTTGGCGGCTGAATGCGGAATTTTTCCAGTAGATGCATCCTCCATTGAGCGTCTGTTAGTGACTTGCACTTGGAAAATATCGGCATAACCTTGGGAAGTTGGTCTGGACTGTCACCTTACGAGTATGCTTGTCGTTCGGTGGCGTTGGGCTGCTTTACTGGTCGTGACTGCACTACTAGCCAGTTACCGGCGATCATGTCATTCAAAATGTTTTGGACCACCATCCTTGAGCGACAAATTCAGATGAAGGTGAGTCTCAAGAGAGCTGTGGTAGCCAAAGAATCGGGATATGGCAGACGTTCTGACCACTCATTCGCGGGCACGGTTGATCATGTTAGCTTATCGATGACCACCTCCAAATTTTCTCAGCGTTAGACTAGAACTGCTTGGTCAGACGTTGAAAGGGATACCGACTTCCGGAATGAAAGACCGGTCTGCTGTGGCACAGTCTTGGTGTCAGGAGCCTGCCCACGCCTGCCGCAACATCGTTTGCCCATCGAGCGACCTGGCGAGAAACTTGAAGCAGGCAACTTCGGTCGAGACAGGAGCGTGGAGGGGTACTGGCATTCCGTCACACATACCGAAGTTGCTGAAGACGTTGAATTTCATCATTGGTAGCATTTTGGCGGTCAATGCCTCATCCTTGCTTAACCCGCATCCGACAATTCTGGAGAATTAGGTGCCGGACCTCGGATGGAAAAGAATTCACAGAGGATCGAGGCATCATTGGCAGCTGTCAACTTTAGGCATCTGCAACCTAATCTGACCGCTAGTTCGATTGATGGTCAAGAGTGTCGGGCCAGATAAGGAAAGAGCTGAGAGAACCGAAGTAAGAGCCCTGGTGACAGGTGCTAGACACGACGGAGCCCGTCGCACGAACCACGTAGGTGCGCAACTCACTTCCCGTCCAGACGATTTGCGATCCTGACATTTCCGGGAGTTCCGCCGACTCTGGTGGCGACGATGTCTAGAAAAGAATAGATCCGAGAGGGATGGGGCGCATGTAGGGGTTGGAAAATGCAGGTTGACGGCAGGATGGCGGCCTTTGAGCCTTGAGAGGTCGGCGACCAACATCATTGCATGTCGCGTAACAAGTAATGCAACGATGAAAGGTTGCTGACGACCAACGTGGCTTGGAACTATTAAGGCAGGAAGTCAGCTGCTCACAAAGATGATGAAGTCGGTGTGACCGGCAATGGGTGGGATGCTACGAATAGTAGTTCACAGCGCTGTTTCGCGACGATAGCGAGGACCATGTCAGAATGTCAAATCGAGGCAAATACTTAGCATTCTTGGGGCAAACACGGGCAAATACCTACGACGACATCATGCATATGCATATTCACACGGCAGCCGATATGCATGCGGCAGAAGATGCTCGTGACATCCCTCGCGCTACAGGCCTTTGGCCAACAAGCCGCAGGCGCGTCAGGCCGACCTTCGTTGGCATTTGCTGGGTGTGGAGATTTCATTTCTCATCGTGGTCCGAAGAATACGGTGTGCATTTTGGTTGATTTGGTAGAAGGGATCAGCAGATGGACCCCCAATGAGGCTGGGCATCGGAATGCCCTGAACCAGATGCTGGAACCTGACAGCGAACTTGACATGAACTACTAGATGCAAGGCAAACGCCCAAGGGCAACCCTGTCTGTGCTGCAATGCTGCTGTTGTGTACGCCTGCAGGAGGCCTCTACCGTTCGTTGAGCGGCCAAGGACGCTGTTACCGCCTCTGGGAAAACCGACATTTCAACGACATGAACGATCTTATGTGCCAAGTACGCGGACAGTCTTCTAACGCCTGACGTCTGTGATGAAACTCGGCAATCTCTGCCTACTACGTACTGACCTTGGGAGCCTTCAGAACTTCAAAAGTGCCGACGGGCCATAAGGAAGAGAGCCTAATGAGCCTCTAGCCCCCAACCCAGCTTCTACTAGTAACTACGCAGCATTATTATCCGAAGTCATGCCCAAAGACGTGCGCAAGTTTCTAATAATCCCTGCCCCTGGTCCAGAGTGTCAAAAGTTCGACTAGCCTGACCACGACTTGTCACAGTTGACCGCCATGATGAATGCCTCTATGAGGTCAAGCGTGATCAGACCTGTTTTAGACTACAGAGGCACAGATGGGAGGTACCCACAATGATATGGTACTCGTACTGTGTACTCGTAGGATACTGGCGCTTCACTCTGCCTAGTGAAGCCTAGAAGGCCACCAAAGTTGGCTACGATCAGCCCCGATCTAAAACCCCTTTCGCAGCCCCTTTAACCGATGCTATAGAAAGTCGATGGAAGTGATGGAAGCAAAGGTTTAACCGCTAGCCTCCCTTGCTAGGCTGGTGCCAGGCTGAAAATCCCGCCTAGCGAGCCTGATGTCCCACTAGTCTCGCTGAGAAACTCCATTGAAATGAGACGCCCCGTTACCCCCCCGTGTGACCCGTACGGATCCTGGATACGGAGTATCAACCATGTATTCCCCTAACTTTCGAGCCGCTGTCTCTTGGTCCCAATCATGGCGGTTGGGTTTCTCTACCTACGGCACGTATCTCCAGTGGTAAACCATTCTTCTTTGGTTATTCTGCCACACCACCTTGCTGTATTTCCGGTATCAATTACCTTAGACGGAAGTACAATGTACAGCGCTGTCATCATGCTTGGAAGGTCTGCTGCATGGCTACCAGGTAGTGCACTAATTTCAGAGACGGTACCCCGGTCAATCTCTCACCGTTCGCTACGAGGTCCTCGCGTACACGCTTCCTGCAAGGCAACGAGGCGACCACTGCGTCAGTAGTGGGCACGCTGAATGAGTCATGATCTTCCCCCGCGATATGCCGTTCTGCTGCATGCGACTCATCACGCTGGAGACTAGAATTTGATTTGTTTTGGGATATCATGGATATCACAATCACCACTCCATTATTGTGTCAGGTTAGTTTTGATGGAGTTGGCTTGTGGTCTCACAAGCAGAGCTAGAACGAGCCAGAAGATCCAGACTCGTTGGCTGTAGGAGACTTCAGCAGATGTCGGAATGCCCTCAAATCAAAGCCACGAATGGCAATCGAGGTTGTTTACGGCTTACACAGTATTCCGAAGTCTTGTAACATGCACGCTGATTTTCCGCAGCAGAAAGGCGCAGGTCATTGCCGAGCAGATGCTTGAGCATCACGCGACCGCCTTTGATGCCCAACTGATGACCGCTATTTTCACCGCCTGGCGATAAAACACATTTGACATTTCCAATTGTGCATATGCGATGTGCGATGACGAAGATCACTACATGATGAAAAAGTACTACCCGTACTTCGTATGTGCAACATTTACCTGCAGCAGTCCAAGCCGGTCACGAGGGCCCATTGATGACACTGGGACTGGGGCTTACGAGCTATTTCCAGCAGCCGAGCTATCCATCCACCAAATCAAACAACCGCCTCACATTGAAGTCGCGGACGCGGACTCACCTGGTAGGGCGAAAAAGCAAAGCTTCTGGGGCGCTCTAGCCTCCCACCCTGCTTGCACAACTCGTGCCCGACTGGCATAAGCTCCACCACTAAAGGCGGGATGCTTCTCGGTAAGCAGTGTCCCCGTTGTTCGGAAAACCAGGGTTGAGCTTCCTAGCCTGGCACTATCGAGCTGGTCAGGGGCAAGCCAAACCTTTGCACGAATCGCGGTGTCTGCCGTTTGCCTCAGAGTGATCCATGCCTTTCGATACTCCGAGTCGCGCGGACCAACGATGCGCCCAAGGTACCGCTGTCACGGTTCCTTGGCTTGCTGACCCTTGCTTGGTCGGTTTTCAGGCGAGAATTTCTCACACCAGCTCGTTCCTGATCATTGGGTACTGACTCGAACAAGGGGGCCCTGACCCTGGCTTTCATGTCGTCTGTTCTCTTGGATTGTTCTTTCTCTCCTCCCAACTCCTCATCATTCCTCTCAGGAATGCGGCCTTAGGCCAACACCATGGGAAACTTTTGGGCCTTTTGTCCCTCTGGCTATGATGCCAATCTCGGGATCCACACCGTCGCCGGGTCGCATGGCAGCCCTGGAAGCTGAAACACTACCTTCCTCCCGCGCCGGACAGGACCACCAGTGCACCACGCTCTCCCCCATCATCATTATTGGCATCATCGTGCCATCTTGACTTGCTGGCGTTTCCATTCCGGGAGCTCATCAGCCCACCGAGCAAAGTGCAACCCCTCCTGGATTACGAGTTCCATACGAGCCACTGTGTACACAGCAGTCCACATTCTCAACTTGCCCACGTACTGTGTCCATCGTACTGACCAAACCTCCACCCCAGCTCGGTGCGGACATTTAAATTCGGGTGACTTGGAGCTGGTGTGACGGCAGGTCCGGATCCTGGGTCTAGCGTTGGGAACGGGGCTTACCACGGCTTCCCACTTCGCTTGTGTGGACAGCCGCTCGCGGATGTCAGAGAGTTTCTTGACTACCTGCGCTTCCGCGCTTCCTCGCCCGTGTAACCGTGGCTCTATTTGGCCACTTGGCTGTGAAAAGGATCTCCATCTTCTGCTGCTCGCTGCCGTGTGCCTGTGATATCCCAACTGCCCAAAATGTCCACCGCCTCTTCCACGCGGCGGCGGATACAACATTCCGCCAGAATGAGGGAACAGAGGAGCCCCGCTCTCCGTTCAATCGTCGTTGTCAATCTTTCGACTCCTGGCAATCGCACTCCCTTATTATCCTCTCCCTGCGCCGGATGCTGATGCCTTTCTTTTCTCGCTCACCTTCCCTCCGCCCTTCCACGACGACCCGCCCCTTCCTTTCCTTTGGCGACGATGCCTAATCTCTTCGCCAAAGTCTTCCTCCGTGAGGATGGTTCGAAAGATCCTCATGGTAATTTTCCCGCCAAACAGTTGTTCATCTTGGGTACGTCATCTCGCAGCCACCCCAATCTGGTATGCTGTAGCGAGTTAACTAACGCACCCAACAGCACTATGTCGCCTCTGCGAGCCAATCGCCTTTATGTCGACATTTCCCTACGCCTATCGCATGGTCGAGTCCTTCAACATCACTCAAGATGAGACACGCATATCGGTTTATGCTGGCATGCTTATTACAGCCTTTGCCTTTGCCGAATTCTCGACGGGGACGCTCTGGGGCTCAATCAGCGACCGCGTTGGTCGAAAGCCAGTACTGATAATGGGTCTATTTGGAACGGCACTGAGTATGATATCCTTTGGCTTTGCCCGGTCATTACCAGCAGCCATCATGGCAAGGGCGCTCGGTGGGCTCTTGAATGGCAACTCCGGTGTCCTCCAGACCACGGTTGCAGAGTTGGTCACCAAGAAGGAGCATCAGCCGCGAGCATACTCCATCATGCCATTTGTTTGGAGTGTGGGCTCAATCATTGGGCCAGCCATGGGCGGAGCCTTGGCCATGCCCTGCGAATCTCATCCGTCTCTATTTCCAAGGGGCAGTCTCTGGGACACTTACCCCTTCCTATTGCCTAATATTGTCTGCGTTACCATACTTTGTGTCGGCATCGGGTTCGGGATTCTGTTCTTGGAAGAAACGCATGTGCAGTTGAAGGGCCGCCGTGATCTGGGGCTGGAACTCGGAAAGTTGTTGCTCAGGAAGCGCACATCAAGACGGAAGGATATCTTTGGCTGCCCTGCTCGGGAAGAAACTCAAGGCTTCACTGGCGACGACCCACCGCCAGGCTACCGCAGCACCGAGAGCTCCCCTCTACTTAAGTCTACATCAACGCTAGCCTTGGATTCAGACCTTGCTCTGCTGCAGGAGAAGGAGAAGCTTGGCACGGTCAAGAAGTACAACAAGCATGTGGTTCTCATCATACTGGGATATGCAATCCTCGCCTAGTAAGTGCATGGCACCTGTGGCCCTCTGCGATGCGACTGACCTTGTCCAGCCACAGCGTGTCTTTCGATGCCTTGATGCCTACGTTCCTCAGCGAGGAACGTATGCAGACCCAATCTGTGCTACCGTTCAAATTTTCCGGCGGCTTTGGACTCTCTACCCAGGCCATTGGTTTCATGCTGGCCGTTCAAGGCTGCTACGCAATGTTTGCACAAATATGGTTGTTCCCTTTAATCGTCCGAAGACTGGGGAACCTCCGCGCCTATCGACTCGTTCTGACGATATGGCCGCTCCTTTACTTTGCCGTTCCTTACCTTGTGCTCCTACCCGAGCACCTGCAGAAAGTAGGCATCTATTTCTGCCTCATGACGAAAATGACGTTTCACGTAATCTCCTTCCCCTCGAACGCCATTCTTCTGGCCAACGCTGTGCCTTCGAAATCAGTCCTGGGAAACATCAATGGATCAGCTGCATCAGCCGCCTGCTTTGCTCGTTCCTTTGGACCTATTGTGACTGGATCAATACACTCAGCTGGGCTGAAACTTGGATATAACGGACTCGCATGGTGGGCATGCGGAGTCGTCTGTGCCATTGGAGCTCTGGAAAGTTTCTGGATGGAAGAATCGGAGGGGCGACTGGATCGTGCCTCGGAGGAAGAAGAGCAAAACAGCTGCGAACCCTTGTTGCATTCCGCAGCCGTCGAGTCAACCGAAGATTGCCCCCAACGAGCGGACCGTATCCCCTTGATTGACGAACTGGATCTTACGAAGACATTGAAATCAGATGTCGATTTCGAAGTCAAGCAATAATTTTGCAGCTTCCACCATTTCGGGTTTGATATGCGTTATCATCTTTCAACCACCCCTCAAACGTTACTCATTGGCCACTCACCTTGAGTCCAACATCGAAACCCCTGCATTGGCTACATTTTCTCCGGTCGTGCTGAACTCCCCTGTTTGCAAAAAGAACTTATAAGCAGCGCGAGCTGCGACACCTGTATTATTGGATCATCTAGAGAGCATTGGGACGTTACCCCCAATCAGGAAAAGGGACTGGACAAGGATGTTTGGAAAGGCGCATTTGGAGGCAATCTGTTGTTTTTGTATTACGTTCGGGCATCCTTTTCATTTGTTCTGCATCATGCTTATCTGCTGTTACAATGATGGGAGGTCTTTTGGTTCGAGATACCTCGCGGAGGCTTTGTCCCCGGCTTGTTTGTGTTGCCATTTGCCAGGCTTTTACTGGCAGGGGCGCTGTTGTAACTCTAGCTTGTACGTTAGGTGGGAAATTTGGACGAATCCAATCCAGTACGAATGCATAAACGACGAGACAGAGACAGAGAGGTATTGAGCGGTCAGGACGATCCGCATTCAACATTGATCTCATTGATGGAATGTATCCACCGTGTGCGAGTCAGCCTCATCATTTGTACCACACTCAGGGTGCGACGAGCCTTGACCATTGCGTGATGGCCCGGCCGTCGCCACCCTCCTCATCGTTGAGAACATGATAGCTCTCTAGAACCCTCATGCGTTGCTTGAATTGAGCAAAGGAGAGAGTTGGATTGACCGCACCCTCTCCCTCCTCTCCCTTCTGGCCAACTGCCGAAGGTACGCCTCTCGACCCTCGATGTCTGTTCCGTACTGGTGATGGTCCAATTATGAATTGTGGTTCTCTGCTTGGGCTCCAGGATTGCACAAGTCACGTTGACGCCTTCAAGAAGGGGAGTGTAGCTTTTAACCGCCGAAGCAGCATGTTGCCGTCGAGTCGATACAACCTCGGTGCTTGGCAACTTTTCGGCAGGCGGCGCGTGTTCCGTTCCTGCTCACAAGAGTCAAGACACTCACTTTATATTGACGGAACTCCTTGCTTATTCTCCAGATCCAATGGTGCCTCTCTTCTTAACAATGGCACCTAGCAGGGCATTCAGCAATGCTTTGCGAAGCCAGAGAACGTGCGTACAAGCCACCTCCACACCGTCGCTCGCTCGGCGGAGATGCCTCGCTTCAGTTTCCTCATCGGCTGCCTCGCCGGGGAAGATAGCACCGTTGGAGGGAATCCGTGTGCTTGATATGACCAGAGTCTTGGCTGGAGTAAGTGGCCCGAAACCGGGAGGGATCTTGTGTCCAGCTGAGGAAGGTCGGCTGACTATGGTGTGCTGCATAGCCGTACTGTACACAGATATTAGGAGATCTAGGGTAGGTATGGTGAACCCAAGGATTGGACCACATGAGACGCTGTTACTGGTACTTTGCGAGCGGCACTAGCAAGCACAAGCAGTTGCCACGGCATGGTGCCCTCTCCGGTCATCGAAAGGGACGCTCACTGACTGGTGTCGAACTCTTCCAGGGCGGAAGTGATCAAAATCGAGCATCCGACTCGTGGAGATGACACCCGAGCTTGGGGACCACCTTTCGCCAAGTACAAAGCAGGAGGTAAGTCCAAAGCCTTGCTCGCGGCTTGCTATGGGATCTGTTGCTCAGAGCTATGCGTTCATAGCCACAGCGAAAGGAGGCGGAGCAGGAGAGAGCGCATATTTCATTGGTGTAAGTCTTTTCTTTTCTTTTGAAGCCCTTTCTTCCTATATCAGGTTCCTTTCAAGTCCCCGCCAGGTTTTGGATTGCAATCGCGGCCCTACCCACTTTCCGAATGTCATGCTCCAGGAGATCAATTCGTGGGCCCCTGGGAAGACCACTCACTCACAGCCAATTCGTAGGTCAACCGCAACAAGAAATCCGTCGGCCTCTCATTCCAACATCCAGACGGCGTCAAAATCCTACATGAACTAGCAAAGACGTCGGATGTGCTTGTGGAGAACTACATCCCAGGTGAGTACGATGGAAGCTCATCTTCTGCGGTAGCTTATCGCCAGGTTCTAACCGCATCCTATGCATCAGGCGCACTAAAGAAATATCAATTAGACTATGAATCACTTCGTAAGATCAATCCTCGGTAAGCCGGCGTCCCAGGCCTCTCAAGCATGTGGGACGATGATCTGAGGGAGCCCATTTGTATGCCCGTGACCGATTCTGATTGTTCCCACCTTTACAGCCTAATTTACGCCTCGATAACCGGCTATGGCCAGACCGGTCCCTACAGCTCCCGCGCAGGCTACGACGTTATGGTCGAAGCCGAAATGGGCCTCATGCACATCACTGGCGAACGCGGTGGGTCGCCCGTCAAAGTCGGCGTCGCCGTCACCGACCTCACAACCGGCCTATACACATGCAATGCGGTCATGGCATCCTTACTCGCGCGCCAGAAGACGAATCACGGCCAGCATCTCGACGTGGCCCTGTCGGACTGCCAGGTCGCCACGCTCGCCAACATCGCCAGCAGCGTGCTGATCAGTGGGGAGCGCGATGGCGGCCGCTGGGGCACGGCGCATCCGTCCATCGTGCCGTACAAGGGATTCAAGACGTCAGATGGCGATATCATGCTCGGAGGCGGGAACGATCGCTTGTTCGGCGTTATTTGCGACAAGATCGGGCGGCCCGAGTGGAAAAGTGACCCGCGGTTCGTCACGAACGATGTGCGCGTCAAGAACCGAGAGATTCTCGAGAACATGATCGAGGAAATCACCGTCCTGAAGACGACCAAGGAATGGCTGGACGTCTTGGAGGGTAGCGGCATGCCGTATGCGGCCATCAACGATGTCAAAGATACTTTGGAGCACGAGCATGTTCGGGCTCGAGGCATGGTCACACAGGTTGAGCACGAAGCGTGTGGGAGTATGAAGCTTGTCAGTCCGCCGGTCAAGTACTCAGAGAGCAAGACCGGCGTGAGGATGCCGCCGCCGACACTGGGCCAGCATACTGATCATGTGCTCAAGGAGGTGTTGGGGATGGGTGGAGAGGAGGTTGAGAAGTTGAGGACGTCGGGAGTCGTCGCTTGATGTTGCTGAGTTGCAAAGACATCAAGGCTCACCAGTGCCTAATAGCCTTTTCTTTCTAAAAGAAAAAAGTACAAAGGAAGGCTGTCACAGTTGATAGCACTAACAACGGCTTGCATTCACTATTGTTCACTAAGTATTCAACCGTAGCCTAGTCACAACACCGAGAGATCGGAGAGCCGGGCCAGCAACGATTCTTTCCAAGAGCAAAAGCCCGTAGTAGCCCGCAGCACAAGCATCATCATGTTGCTGGTGATGGTAATGGTCGTGAGTCGGCACGCACCCGTTAGTCGCCCATACCACATACGTGAACCATTATGCTCCTCAATTCGAATACGTCGGGTACTACGTAAGGTGCATGCTTCAGATATTTCCTCCCAACGGTATGTGCCGCAACTTGTCTTTCTCGGGCTTTGGAAATGCCTTGTATACTTGTTGCAATCAATTTTCCTCCAAAAAAAGTTCCGGTTCCGTCCAGCATTTCATAGTATTGCTCAAGGGGGGCTGGGCCGCGACGTTTGGCCCTCGCACCTGAACAGGAAGCTTGTGGGTGGCTGTGGCTGTGCCTTTAGAACGCGGGATGACTTCGATCCGTTGTCATTCTGGGATCGGTAGGCTCATTGCTTGGATGGTCGATCCGTCGTCGTTCTGGATCGGCATGGCTCATCGCCTGTATGGCTGGCCTTTGAAGAAAGTGCTGTTGCGGTCGAGTACGTCCAGCAGTGGGACGGCGTAGGTAGCGAAATCTTTTGGTCTGCCGAAGTGACTGAGCCTCCATTGATGGAGAAGAAGCCATGTCACTGAAACGCGAACCTCGGAAGCACCACTCCGTGTCCGTGAGCGGCTTTCCCCCAGAGGATCCCATCTTCGAAGTGATTTCCCGGCCCTGCGACAATGATGATAGGCGACACCTGCAGTCCAGACGTCTTTCAGCCCAGCCCCATGCCCTTGATCTTGTCCTCGACCAAGCGTCCGACTATCTTTTCCAACATCGCTGGCGCAGCCTGTCGCCCGACGGCGCCCTCAAAATAGCCCACGACGCTCTTCTCCACCAGCTTGCCCACAACATCGATCTCGACATTGACCTCTTCGCCGGCCTGCTTCTTGGCCAGAACCACGCGCTCCTGTGTGTACGCGATCAACATGACTTCGAACCATCCCTGCTCGCCATTGACGTTCGTTATCGTCAAACTCGCCCCGTCGAGCGTAATGTATCCCTTCTCCACGATGTACCTGAGCACGCCCTTCTCCCGTGGCTGCAATCGAAATGTCAACGCATTCCCGTCCGGTGTGACGGACACGACCGTGGCGACGGTGTCGACGTGGCCTTGCACAAAGTGGCCGCCCATGCGCGTACTCGCGGACACTGCCCGTTCGAGATTGACCTGGCTTCCTTCCCGTAGGCTGCCGAGGTTCGTGCGTCGAAGGGTCTCCGGAGCCACGCCCACTTTGAAGGACGAGGCGTCAAATTCGGTGACGGTCAGGCATGTACCGTTGACGGAGATCGAGTCGCCCAGTGCGGCGTCCGAGAGGATCGACGCGCAGTCTGAGATGGTGAGAGAGGTGCCGTTGCCGCCGGAGGTGGAGGGGTCGAGCGCCGTAAGAGACGTTACGGTGCCGATGGTCTCGACGAGTCCGGTGAACATTGTGATGGTGGTGGCCTGTACGTTTGAATCGTTGGTCGATGGTGGATAAGTGTAGGTGACTAGAGAGTCTGAGACGCAAGTTGGACCAGCGAACGTTCAGAAATGTACGGAGAAGTGCACCAAATGTAGTTGCCGCGCTAAATTTTAGTGCGGGCGGGGAATGCGGCTTGGCAGCTCTCAGAGTTGCGGTGTAAGGATTGCCTACCAATTTGTATGGCACTTTTCAGCACTCGCCTCGAGATTTTTGTACTTTGCATACAAAGCCCATGATAATCACATCTCTAGTATCTGTAATTGGCTTTGTTTTGTGCCCATTTCCCTCTAGAATAGCCCCTCGTTTACCTGATTTTGTCGATCCTGGAGGGTGCGCTGAGCGCGGAGACGGTGGTAGGCAAGAGGTACATCAATGGATGCTTGTCCTACCGACGATGATCTGGCAGACGGTTAGTTTTTGCCCTCATGCCTTCTTCTATCTCTCATCTTGCGGCAGAAGCAGCCAAAATCAGAGAAACCGAGCGGCCGCGGCGCAAGAATTCGCCTACCGTTAGACCTATAACCGAGTCGGCCTCGCAGAGAGACACTGGCACTAGGTATTCTATTGCTCAACGGTCCCAGGCTCTTACCCTGCATTCCATCGGTTGGAAAACTGCGCAAATTGCAGCCTATACCAAGATCCCTGAGCGATCTGTCCGAGCGATTGCGGAGAAGGCAAGGAAGAGAGGATTTACGCCGCAAGAGGATCCTCGAGTCCTCGACCATTTCGTTGAGGATGGATATAAACCAGGGCGTCCAAGAGAAGTGTTAGAAGTCAAGGAAGAGGAAGTTCTGAGTTCATTGAGAACAAATAGATCCACAAGAGAGAAATCCGCAGAAGTTCTAGCCTATGAGCATGGTGTTAGCACATCAACAGCCCTTCGCATTCTTCATAAACATGGCCTAAACAGCGTAAAACCAACGACAAAACCAGGCCTTAATCTGGAGCAACGTGCGGCGCGGCTTGCGTTTTGTCTTGCGCATCAAGATTGGACCCTCGAGGATTGGAAGAAGGTAATTTGGAGCGATGAAACGAGCGTTATCCTGGGGCATCGACGAGGTTCTATCCGGGTATGGCGGACACCTGAAGAGCCATTTGAGAAGTCTGTTATCCGTCGTCGCTGGAAAGGTTACTCAGAATTCATGTTTTGGGGTTGTTTTACTTACGACAAGATTGGTCCCTGTCATATCTATCGAGCAGAGACTGCCGCAGAGAAAGAGGCGTCTCAGAAAGAGATTAATGAGTTAAATGAGGCTCTCGAGTCAGAAAAACGTAAGGAGTGGGAATTATCAAATGGCGTAAGACGGCTAGGCCTCAGAAATCTCCCAGGACGCAAGCCAAAATGGCGCTTTACTAAAGAGACAGGTAAACTGGTAAGACGAGGTAAGGGAGGAATTGACTGGTGGCGCTATTACAAGGTCTGAAATCTATCCTCTCAAGATCTCTCTATCTAACAGGAATCAGGAGGTTGTTCTCCCAAAGCTGATTCCATTTGCTCGCGAGTGCGGCCCCGATGCTATCATCCAAGAGGACAATGCCTCACCACATGCCTATCACTTCATCGGACGAACTTACTCTATACAAGGCCTCAACAGGATGCTCTGGCCAGGCAACTCCCCTGATCTCTCTGCTATCGAAAAAGGCTGGCCATGGATGAAAAGAGTTACTACCTTTAAGGGAGCTCCGCGGACAAGAACTGACTTGGAAACCTCATGGATGAGCAAGTGGGGAACAATCCCACAGGACTCAATTCGAGGCTGGATTGAGGGCATCATGGAGAATATCAAAAAGGTCATTGCGTTAGAGGGCGGCAACGAGTACCCTGAGGGCCGCGAGAGCAAGAGATCATATAAAGGGCGCAGGCGCATTGGAGAGCTGTTTAAACACTCCTGGATCCAAGACGATTAGGATAGCGACAGCGAGGACAGCGAGAACAGCGATGACTATGAAGATATAGAGACAGAAGAGGAGGACGAGTTTGATGCGGACACTACCAACTGATTGAACAGCCGACCTTGCTTTCTATGGGAGTGCCATAGTAAAAGAGGCGGAGGGTTTGGACACAAGGACAGGCATGGACAGGTAGAAAAGGCATGGACAGACGGAATGCCTCCCAAATCAATAGGAATGCCTCAAAAATCAACACCATGGATCTCTATACCAACCCAGCCTTGCGCGCAAATAGCAAGGCTGCGGCGGCGGCATGTTGCTGCAACATGATGCCGTTGTGTTCATTCCATATCAACTGCTCACCTAATTTTGGTGAGGAGTCGATGACATCCGAATACCCTTGCAATGCCGAGAAGCTAAATTTTAGCGCGGCAACTACATTTGGTGCACGTCTCCGTAGGGGTTTTGAGAAGGAAACTTGTGGGAAGTAATCAACTGCGTAGTACACCACGACGCAGCTTGCAGGGAAATTTTCCCGCCGCTTTTGAAGGTAGGAAAAGATACGCGTTTACTATTCGGGCTCTATATCTTTTCGTAGGATGTCGTCGTCCAGTCCGTCCTCTGGGGTATCAATTGATCATCGTTCATCATCATCCGTCGTGCAATACTCATCCCACCTGGTCAGCTTTCACCCGCACCGTCACCCGCACCCTCTTTCCTCAGCTCTAACTGGTCCATCTGCACTTGCAAATCCTCGAGCAACCTCTTCAACATTACACCTGCTCCACGACTCAAAGGTCTCAGAAACACTCTCGTCGGATCATCCTTGTTACCAGCCGAGTCCAACAGGCTTTCATCCTTCTCGGTTCTCGCTTCTTCAGACTTCGTAATCAACACTCTGCCACGCTTGATAATCGTCCCTAGCAGACTGCCGCTGAGCTTTGTAAGATCGTGAGGCAAGTACAGCCAGGCCAGGACATCTATCAAACCCTTGGGTGGTCGCAGCAAGGCGTGCTTGATGAACCCTCGCGCCATGACGAAAGCCTTTTCGCCGTATTGCTCCGCCTCTAGCGTATACTTCGAGTCGTTTTCATACCCTTCGAATCCGGCTTCATTGTAGAACGGCTTCTTCACAAATACTAGACCTTGCAGTGATACTAGTAGCTGAAGAAGTGTAGCCCTATCACTCCACTTCTCAGTGTCGTGTTTTCCAGACCACGTTCCGAGCAGACTCAAACATATCTTGCCTTCCTCGTAGAGGTTGGGGTTGATCCGACCCAAGCCGCTGGTCCAGCTGTGGAAATGGGCCGTCGGCGGCTGATCGGGAAATCCTTGACCAAGATACAGGTCGATCACAAAGGGAGCATTTTCGTAAGGAGTGTCTCTTGGCCCGATAATTAGACATCGCATGAGGTCAAGCCTACTTTCATAAGTCCGTACGTAGATTTCTCCTTCAGGTAAGGATGATGCCAGGATATTGTGCTCCTTCATAATTCGTTTCAAAGGTGTCCCAGTGGTCGGGACGGAATGGAGTCCGAACTGGTCTGCAGGAGGTTCTTCTTCGAGAACGAGGAATTGGGGTGGCGCTTCGGTGGACAGCACCCATGCTGGAATGGTCTGTAGCCGGGTGGTGGAAGGATGGCTGTCGGGAGAAGCAGGTCTTGCGTCGGTCATCTCTACGTCTTCATCGTCTTGTAGCTCTTCGTCGTCGTCCTCAGATACCCAATTCTCGTCACCTGCATCTTCGTCGAGCCGTTCACCCCCTTCATATTCCACGCTCTCTGAGATCGGTTCAACAGTCCCTTCATCCGACCAGTCATCGTCATAGTTATCCCAAAAATCGACGTCCAGCATGTTCTCGTCGATGGAATCCGCATCGACGTCGTCATCGATGTATGTGAGGATGGCATCACGCTCAACTCGGATATCCCGACAATGTCGGGCGGCTCCCAGCCGGACAACGATTGTACCATCCAGTCCATGGGCCACGACCTGACCTGTCCAGTTAAGATCTTCCTCACCCTCGCGTCGCAATCGTTGGCGCGTGGCCAATCTCCTAGTAGACCCAGGAGGAAATGGGGCTATTTCTCCGTGTGCAACCGCTCGTACTGTAGCCGTTCGCCTCTCATCGAGTGCTGCGATATCGCCTCCTGCCTCATAAAGCTGCCGCAGTCTCCGAAATTCTTCCGGGTCTTCGAGAACACACATGTCTCTTCTTCGCCGGGCTAGGGCAGGAAACGACAAGATCTCGTACAAGGATACGTCTTCCACAACATTTCCGATCGGTCCGTAATGCGACCCCTGTGCGAGCATTTGCCCTGATGAACGGAGCTCGATCCTTGGTTCTTTGTACCAACGGACGCAAGCTACTCTCTCGTTGGGATCAACTGTCTGCACGACTCCTACCATCTGAGGTATCAGATCATGCGGCTGCTCGAAGAACGCCATCTCGTCAAAATCTGTTACACCAGTGTTTCCAGCGCCTCGAGATCCCACGGGTCTCTGCCGCATTCCTTCTCGCTTCACCACAATATCTGTAGGTTGCAATTCTGGTTCGAAGAGGCCATAGCCGTTCAACATAGCCGAATCGGTTGTTGTTGTTGAACCATCCTGCCACAGCACGGTGGCGTTTTGTTGTGCAGAGACGACTTTGAATTCGTCGAAATCCCAGCCAGGAAAGTCGCTAGAGGTCGCTCTCAAGAACTTTCCGTGCGAGCTGCCTTCACTGCCCTGATATTTGACTGCCGCTGCCGTGGTATCTCGAAACCTAACGTGGCACCCAACACTAAGGTCCTGTCCTGGAAAGACGTTCTGCGTGTCTTCTGACTCTGCATACGAGGAATTTCCAACTTGTGGCCCCGAAGACCAACCATGATTCACACTCCTGCCTGGCGTCCTACCACAGTCATAGATTTTCGCCTTCTTGTTGAGGACCAAGCTACTCTGGTCTCGAAAGTGGTTGATGTTCTCGTACATTGGCACTTCAGACCGAGGAGACGATTCCGAACGGTATAATGTTTCTCTTCCAAAATTGTTTGCGACCCATCCCACTAAGACGTCTCGCGCCCGGACGTCAAGGATGACTCCATGCGCAGCGCATTTGGGATCATATGTCCCACGGATCCATCTCCCACCTCGAAGTCGACTGCGGTCGATGATGACAAAATCTCCCGGACGTGGTGCCTGCACGGGAATAGTGGTTGCCCATCCCTGTGTAGCAACTACGAAGTCTGGTCTCTTGAAGTCCTCATATTCGGGCAGTGCAACCAGAGGTTTACCATAGTCGGGGACTGGAATATGCAAACCATGTGTGTCTGTCACCACCACGATTGATTTGTTTTCCAACGCGATCACCACGTCGATTTCAACGTCGTCGACTAACCCGACCCAGTTGTTACTTATGATGTATTCTCCTGTAACCACATCCGATGCTTTCTTGATGTCTCGGGAAGGGACATTATAAATGAGGGCGTGCGGGTTCGGGTGAGAGAAAGGCAGAGGATGCGACGCGCAGGCAGGTGAACAGGCCGGAAATTCTGTTTGGATGGAGAGAAGTCGGACTTGTTGGACGAGGTTCCTGTTGCTGGCAATATGTTCGAGCGTGTACTTCTCGTCCACGTCTACGACCGTCCCAATCATGTTGCTGCCATCTCGCTTCACCGTGTCACCGATCTGAAAGTCGCGACTTAGAAGGTCGAGATCCTCTTCGAGCACCAAGGAGCTGCCTGCCGCTTCATCGGCGAACTGGACAAAGGCATAGCCGGCGGGTGGCACGCCACTTGTGACAAACTCGTTGAGGGCATCTGCAGGCACTTCGGCATGTGCGATGATCAACTCTTCTTGGAGATCCTGTCCGGGGTCGTGGGTCGTGCGAGAGACTGTACCGTACAGACTTGGATTTGGCTTGAAGACGACATGATCGTAGACTTCTAGGGCTCGCATCTGTATAGTGGAAGAGATAAAATCGCGAGCCTGCCGATCGTCGCAGGGTAGAGAAACGGAGAAGATCAAGGCACGAGGCGAACTAACCTACAAGGCTACGGATAAATTCCGGCAAGTGTACTGTGTGCCTATCGTGCTACCTTACTACCTACTGATGCTGCCTCGCCGCCTGCCAGCGCATGTCTTCGCAAATGTGATTACTGATACTCCCCGTGGAAAAGCTCTGGATGTAAACATCGTCGACGGAAGAATAGAAGGGAGGAATCGAGTCAGATTTCTTAGCCGAAGATATCAAGATAACGACCGTCGAGTAGAGTTGCTTCTGAATCGCGGCCAGCCCTTCAAACATCGAACTTCTCGCCTACCAATTCCTCGCTCAATCTCCACAATCTCTCAGCATTTTCCGCATCTTCGGCGTACTCGTAGGTTGGCTCGCACTTCGCATCAGCCATGTACATGCCGCTCTGGCCTTCGATTCTAGGGTCTAAGGCAGCCACCAGTGTCGTAGTGATACCCTGCTCAACAGGCTTGGGTGGATCCTTATCCAGCGGAAAGTGGCGCCCAGTGTTCTTCTGAGCTATTGGCCCGATGCTTGCCAGAGAAGCTTGAACGTCCTCGATATGGGTGGCTAGGTTCGTAGTGAAGATAGCTCCTGGATGCACGCCATAGCTTTGGATCCCACGAGATTTAAGTCTATGGGTAAGGCCCAGGGAGAAGAGGATATTGGCGGTTTTTGCCTGGCCATAAGCCGACCAAGGATCGTATTCCTTGCCGTTGGAGAAGTTGTAGTCGTCGAAGCGGACAGGGCCAATTTTGTGGCCCAAACTGGTCAGATTCACAATTCTGGAGCCGGGACCCGCAGCGAGAATCTTGCGCATCAGTAGCTTTGTCAATAGGAAATGGCCCAGATGATTGGTGGCGAATTGGAGTTCAATACCATTCTTGTTCGTCTCGTATGTATTGAGTGCCATAATGCCAGCGTTGTTGATCAAGTAGTCGAGCTTGTCAATTGAATCATTGATGGTCGCAGCTGCAGTGCGCACAGAGTCAAAGTCATCCAGTGAGACGGGTACGAACGTGACTTTAATAGCTGGGTTGAGCTCTTTGATCCGAGCCATGACGGAGTCGACACGGGATTGGGAGCGAGCAAGGAGGATCAGGCGAGCCGGGTTGGCATGGGCCAGAGCAACAGCAGTCTCTGCTCCTAGACCTCTCTCGCTTGCTCCGGTGATGACAACTGGGACAAGGTCAGTAAGGTGTCTTTGCTTAAGTGTATGGAAGTGGCTGACAGGTCTTGCCATTGACCCGATCAGCGAGCTCATTGACGACCTCGACACCAGTGGTCTCTCGACTGAAAGTCTTCATAGTGGTGGGATGGTCAGCAGCTTCTACAAAACACCTTGAGACGGATGAAAGACAGAGGAAGTGCCGGTTGTTGGCCCTTCTTATCAAGCTTTCATGAATGATTGAAAAGAATTTTGCGCTGGGAAGCAGGCCCCTTTTAGTATTGTCAATATCATGCAGACCGCTGACGACATTGCGGCGACATGCATCTTAACTCCATTGATAACCAGGTGCACGCAGCGGAGCTTGCTGAATACTGCACTGGTGGATCGGCCGCATAGAGAAGCACAGTGACTATGATTGGGTGGCCTCCTTGAATAATGTGGCTCGTTCGGTGGTGTTGATGCCAATTGCCTCTGAAATGCGGCCGCTTGATGTCTTGGCCGCTTCGGAGTTATTGCGACTACGTGCGACCAATGTACGCAGCGAGGACTGGAAGCTTTCAGAGTCAAGACTCGTTGTCCAACAACGAAGGACTGAGATAGAGCACTGCGCAAGGTCAGCGGCGACACCAGTTGGCGAACAGATGAATCAATCATAAATGCAATGGCAAGAGAACTAGCAATGGAAGGCCTGTGCAGCCAACTTCAGTAATTGTACAAATGGTCAAGCGAATGCCATGATACTCATTGAAGGGGTATCTCAACAACAAAATCAGATGCGCTCAACCTCTCAGACCCGTTTTGATCCAGTCAAAGAAACATAAAGTGTGCACGGCAAGGCAAGTCGTACGAGCTTCGACCGTTATTCGGGCCTCAACCTGTCCACATCCGGTCATCAAGTTCAGATATTCTCAATGACCCTGGCATTCATAGCCTGCTGGAATCCATCATTGGCTCCCATACTGAAAGAATTTCCACCAGTGTTTTGTTTCGAGTTGTAACCACTCGGTTCTCCACCGGTGCTTGGCTGATGAACTGCATTCATCATTTCTGGAGAAACAGTCTGATTGTTGGCCGGTAAGAAAATGACTTTGCTGTTGGCAGTCTTGGCCATAGCTTGCATGGCTTCGAGATATCTGATTTGCATGGCTGGTGCAGAGCTCAAGATATCGGCAGCTTGTCTCATAAGTTTGGCTGATTCGACTTCGGCGCGAGCAGCAATGACCTTGGATTCACCAATTCTCTTGGACTGGGCGGCCATGGAGAGCGAGTCTTGTAGGTCGTTGCTGAAGATGATGTCTTTGATGAGCATCGACTCAACCTGGACACCCCAACCGGACGCCACATCCTCGATGATCTCACCGATGGACTGGGCAAGCTCCTCACGGCGTTCGATCACATCTTGCAAGACACGCGCACCGACGACGTGTCGCAAGGTGGTCTGGGTTCGTTCTACCAGCGCTTGACGGATATTGGAAATACCAAAGGCCGCCTTGTGAGGAGATGTGATATGATAGTAGATGACCGAGGTCAAGTTGAGTGTGACATTGTCTTTTGTCATGCAAACTTGACGAGGAACCTCGACGATCTGAATCTTGACATCGACTTGGATGAGTCTCTCAGACAGAGGGTTGATCTTGACCAAGCCAGGATCGACGGCGCGGGAGAAGCGACCAAACTTGGTGACCAGGCCCACATTGCCTTGCGACACAGGCTTGTAGGGGTTAGGGCAACAGACACAGCATGGAATAGCACCGAGGAAACCGATGCAGGAACCGAGGGAATTGACTGCGCGATTGATCAGAGTGGGGAAACGGACAGTGACAAGACCTTTACATACTCATCGATCCATACCAGCCTTGGACTGCGCCCTCCTCGTCGCCCTGGAGAGTTTGGGCGTACGAGGGTTGTAGATCTTCTCGTCGTGGTGGCTGCACCTTGATAATACCACCGTTCTGGGGGCGGAAGCCAACAGGTGGAGTTGGGGACTTGCCATTGTCCAAGTGTGAGCCTCTTGGAGAGTCCATTGTTGAGTGTTCGGTTTCAGGTATAAGGGGATGTGTGGACGACAGGATGGGCAACGATGAATGTTGTGTTGATGGAGGGCGCAGGTGGTGTTTGTTTGTGAGGAAATGGGTGGTATGCGCTCGCAATGGACGTGGCAAGCGACAATTAATATGCGACGTGGGGATAAGGGCGATACTCAGAATGACACGAGTAAAGACAGGGGAAGCGAAGTAGAGTAGCCAGATCTAAGGCGTCACCAAGTTGAATATATGTGTACGGGATGAAGATGGAGTGGAGTGAGACGAGAGGAGGCGATGGAGGAGTTGGAGGGGGAGGGAGATTTGGTGATTGGATGAAGCCTAAAGACGCCTGGTGAGCCTTTCCCTTGCCGTGTAGACGTGATCATGGGCGATCCCTCGACGACTTTCTCCCCCCAACTTTTAGCTAACTAGCTCACCCGTGCTCACCTAGCTGCAACCTGAGGGACGCTATTTCTGGAAGCATGGGCACGCTCCATCCCCTCATGCTGATCAGATCTTTCAATCGACGCTCGTTGTCCTCTCACCCTCTGTGCCCCTAGGCTCAAAAGGAGCACCTCTTCAAGTGCACCGAATGAGATGCATCCTTTGCCATGACGCGGCACACCTGATTGCTTGAGCGACAGGTAAGGATAGTTTCATCCCGTCGTATTCGAAAATGCGTATATTTCTCATGCGGGTTCTCGTTGGAGGTCTGCCTTGTGCGCCAGGACCCTGTCGGCATCGAATGGAGGAGCTTGGTCGCGAGTCGCTAGAGCGCAACCCGGTAACAGACGAAGGGGGCAGTGCTCCAGGCCTGTCCAGTGTCCACCAACAGAATTACACTTCTCGTTTCGTTCTCTGCCTGGGCGATGCTATGATTCGCTCCCTCAACGATCCTGGAGTAAAAAAGTCACGGCACACATGATCGATTCAGTGGCCCTTCTGCCCTTCCTGCCGCACTTCCGTGTTGCAGACAAGCGCGACATGCACCCAGAAGCCGTAAGCGGGTTCGGCAAGAAAGCTTGGTTCTTTGGGGACAGGGACATCCCTATCGAACTGGCATGTTCACGGCTGCTTCACACCACCGCTGCAGTTCACCTTATGCAGCTAGACAGCAAGGCTAATACAATAACGCACTGCAAGCCCCCTTCGCGGCCATGTGCCGTCGTGGGTATTACCTTACGAGACACTGCCAGCAGCGAGTGAGCCTTGTCTTGGCTAATCAAATCCTTTGGGGCTTGACATGAAACCAGCAACTTACTGCCTCCCTGTCCACTAAGCACTATCAAACGGGACATTGCGGCCCACGGGATTATTCATTCAAGTTCAATGGAATACATTGGCCTTTCCCCCATCACTGCGCCCATCCATCTTACACGGTCTTGCGCCGATTTGGGATCGTTGATTGTATCCAGCACTACGGAGTACTCAGAAGTCAGATGGCCTAAAAGGAGGAAGAGTTCAGGGTCCATTGTCAATACGTAGTATTAACAGTTCTCCACAGATCTACAGCCACGATGATGGATGCAAGACGGTCCTCCACCTCCCAGTGCCCTGGCACTCAGCTTGGCATTATTCCTTGGGACCCGGAAATCGGCAACACAAAACTCTTGGATACTACCGACCTTCGAGAACCTTTCCTCGACAAGTTAGCCTCCTATTCCGAGAATTTGTCCCGTGATCGCAACGCCATATCCTTACTATGGTGACTCCATACACAGCCTCCAAAAATAACAATCCACTCAAGAAATGCCGCGCTGCGCGGATAGACGGTCCCAATCCCGCATCCAACGGAACGATACTCCTCCTTACCACCCTCATTTGCTTTGGGGATCGCGTTGCTGCAGGAGTATTCATTGAGATGACCTGGGGACACTCAGAAAATGCTCGCTACAGGCTCTGGTAAGGTGAGATGGCCTGACATCATAGGTCCTCTGGACGTCACCTCTACCTCGCTTAAGCGGGAGCTCTCAAATCGTACTCGTAATTGAACCTTCTACAGAGTACACCCGCTTCACGTTCTAAATGTAGCATCAAACATTGATACAGTGTTACCCTCTGCCGATATAGCCGTTGCCAGCAAGCTTGGTTTCCCCGCGACAATGGTGCGAACACGTGCCCAAGAGAAGGCGGGCGACAAGGGTGATCAAGATGTCAAAGCAACCGCCAAAGAAACACCTAAGAAAAGACCCCACAGCAAGACAGAAGCGCCCAACACCTCGAAGAAGCTCGGTTCTAGCAAGAAGGCCAAGAAGGAGACCGACGATGAACCACCAGCTGAGAAACAACCCAACTCCGGGGCAAAGAAAAAGGACGAGGATGGAAAGAATAAACCCGCCGACTCAAAGCCTGAAGCATCGTCCCATCCCAAGATCAAATCGCTTATCGAAAAATATGGCTCAATCCCTCTTTCGGACACGGAACTGGAAGACCCCATGTCACCGAAGCCAGAGACCATTCTGGCCCTCTTACTGAATGCCATATTCTCTTCGGCCCGCATCTCCCATGAACTAGCCGCGAAGACAATCGCCACAGCCATCAAGGCAGACTATCACAAGATCGACACCCTCAGAAAGTCTTCGTGGGACGAGCGCACTCAAGTGCTCACTGAAGGTGGCTATACCAGGTACCGGGAGAAGACGGCCACGGCATTGGGCGAACTGGTCCAGCTGATTGACGAGAAATACAGTGAGTTGCCGTCTTCCATTCATCTTATTTTGGGCCTCCCCAAAACCAAATCGTCCATCTATCAAGGTCGCCGAAAATAGAAACCCTCAACCACTTCCTTCCTAATCCACTGATGCCCGCTGGCGCGAGACTGACCAGCAATTTTCCAGATGGCGACCTGAACAACTTGCTTCCAGGGTCCCGCACCGACTCATCACCGTCAGAGATACGCACTCGTCTCAAGGAAATCAAAGGCTTGGGCGATGTCGGCATTGACATCTTCATGGACACTGCCCAAGCTGTCTGGCCGTGCCTGGCTCCATTCCTCGATCCGCGCAGTGCAAAGACTGCTGGTGCCATCGGTGTTCCCGGGAATGCGCAGACTTTGTGGAGTACGAAGGATATCGACCAGGACCCTGGCAAGATGTGCAGTCTTGCTTCGGCGTTGACCAATGTAAGGCTGGACAAGCGCGAAAAGGAATTTCAGTAAGAGCACATGTGGATGCTCGATGCTAGAGGCTACTAGCTGCAATAGTATCAGCTGCATCTGGACCAATTAACTAGTGCTGTGGGCATCTTCATCATGAGATCGATTTCGTAAATGCTGTCTAGGAATAGTTGAAGGAGACATGAATTTGGATACATATGCAACTGTTATTGGAGCTACCACTGTCAGAGCCTTTCTTACGATGAATGCCTCGATACTGGCGCTTTCTACGCACAAGCATCACTTTCGCTTGGGCCCTGAGAAGACATTGACTTGTCTGCCCCCCCCAATCTTGTCCCGTACCATAAAAACGGCAGGAATGGAAAAACCGATAATGTGGCCGTTTTGAAACATGCGTTCTTCTCTCGGGTATCCAAATCTTCCCCTTCTATGAAGTCCTGCGGTGCAAGTGTCTACCATCTAATCCATCTTAAAACCCAACATGTGGCCTGTACTGCATTCAAATGGGCGCCCACGAGCTGCCTAGAAATGCTGCCCCAGATTATCTCGCACGATTGAAACCTCGTAGCAGGGTGATATCCAACATAGCTTTTTGAAGAATCTCTTCTCCCAAAATGCCCAATTTCGGGTACTTCCCATTACGCACGATGCCTCGTTCGTCTATCGTCCGTCCACCCACCCTTCCCAATAGATCTTGACACCACCGAGGTTGCAGACCGGTTTTCGTTCCAGGCCAAACACTCATAGTCATAGGCCAAAATCACTTCGGTCTCAATGATCGCCTGCACTCACCGAAAAAGGCTCGCTGATCTCACTCGCCATGCCCCTGTTGTGCCGTCAGAACTGCATATGCGTATCCGTGGGTTGAAGGTCCGAAAAAGGCTCCTGCTACCAGGCCAGAATTTGCTTTCGTGGGCGACTCACCTAATGCCCCTCTCCTCCTCCGGCATAAGGACAATACCAAACCACGTCCTCAACCCCATTATCCGCTCCTTTTCGCTTTTCGCATCGACGACAACCTCTTTGCCGCCCTTTCCGCCATACTCCTCGCCCAATCTCCTTTCGACCTTCTCCCCATTCAGCACAATCGTCCCAGTCGGCCGTGTCCTCGTCTCTTCATCGACCAATATTTTCGCCAGCACGAGCCGATGGGTAAACCAACTCGTCGGATCCTGGGACGTGCGGTAGTTGATTATCTCGAAGTCGCCCGGCAGCCATTCTAACTCGCTAAAGCAGTATCCGGCAGCCCACTCTGGTTTGGACGTGTTGCGCGTTTCGAACACCCATAGACGCTGGCTAGGGTCTGTGTTCGGCGCGATGGACCGGTAGACCAGCCTGCATTCGGCGCCCGGGACGGAGGGGTAGACTTTTGCTTCTGAATGAGCAGGAGAGGTGGTGCGAATGAGCGGGATGGCGTCGATGAGCGGCTGAGAGCCGAAGCCTACGTCGGCCTAGCCGCTCACGTGCGATTGATTAGTGGGTTTAAAGGCGACTATGGAATTGAAGACAAGAGGTGGAAAGGGATCGACGGGATTGGACGAAATGAGAAGCTGCGGTAAGGGGGAATGGAATACTCTGGGTAGTGGAAAGGGAACGGCAAGACGCTTACCAGATACTTCTGCCCGTCGATCGTGACGATTATGACTTCGTGCTGCCTTAACACTCACCAAAAGATGTTAGAGAGCGCCCTTTGTGCCAGGCAAGAACGCGAGGAAGGGAATGAGACCGGCATACCATCCGGCAAAACCGTGAGGGTTTGCGCCTTTCTCTAGAGCATTGCTTATCCTGGCGCCCGTCACGTAAAGTTGATAGCCCAGAGACCGCAGAATTGTCGAAAAGAAAGCGTTGTTCTCCATGCAATACCCGCCGAGTCTGCGCTCGACAATCTTGTGGAACAGGGCTTCGGAGTCGAGCGAGAGGGCGCGGTGCCAGGAGTACTGCACGGAGATCATCAGAACGAAGATCCCCGCCTTGATCACGCAAAGCTGCATGCAGTGTTGTGGGTTTCTGGACTTACGTGCAGTGCGACATTTCCCCAAGGATTGAAAGCCATTTGCCGCAGCTGAAGTCTTGACAAGGCTGCGAGGGGATCGGCTTTGATCTCGGCCTCAAGAGTCGCCAGAGTGTATGACGAGTCGGGAGCGATGCAGGAGACATACAGGGCCAGCTGGTCGCGGGTGTAGGTTGGCCGGTAGGATAGTGATGTTTCGTCGTATAGCATCTTGATTTTGTTTCCCACAGGTCAAGCTCGAGGGTCGTGAAATGAAAATGATTAAAGCTCGATGTGCCGACTTTTGCGGTGCAAGGATTCCAATGCCCGCTTGATATCCAAGATGACAAGCTCTGACTGTCAAAAAAAAAAGAACGTGTATAAAGAAAAGAGTGTTCTGCCTTGACTGCTGATATTCCTCACCTGCTCGCCTGATGACAACGACATTGAAGATGACGAAGGGCATGACATCGGATATCAACGACGGAAATTCCCCCAATTGATAAGTCAGCGTCAGCCCGATCTGAGTAGCCCTGCATATCACTCAGCTTGCCACGTCGAATAAATGGGATTCAATCGTCGTGCTCATCGTGGTGTAAGGGGATGGATTTGAGGTGTGGTAAGCATAATAATCGTACTGAGACAACGCGTTCATATGTGTATTTGTCGCAGTCAGTACTCTTGCGCTGAATACTCTGTAAGTAAAGTTGTTGGTGGGAAATCCGGCCCACCAGCCTTCGCTCGGCCCAAAGGCCATAGTTTGAAGAATTTTCTGTCCCCGAAAGTTGCTCCGTACGTTCTTTCTGCTGAACTTCACTCTAGCTCGAGCAAGGCCTGATCTTACCGTACACTACATCAATCTAGGGGATTCAAGCTTCCCTTGACCTTTTCGCCAGACTGGGGGTTAGAGCGACGAATGAGTAGCGGGTGCGAATGGCGGATGTCACTGCGAGTCACTGCCTAAAAATGTATCAGATGTGAGTTCAGCGGGCTGGTCTGGTTAGTGGCAGAGTTCAAGAAAATGATTTTTTGAGCCCATTCCTGAATCCGCGAGGAGAACGGGAAGACGATGACGGGTTTCTTGTTGGTGTGTGGCGCAAGTCCATATTCTTTGCTTATGTGTGCAGTAATATGATCAACGAAACTCACAAGACCTGCATGCGCCATGCCCAACAAGAAAGAATCGTAAGTACTGATCGATATAAGATCTGTCCTGTCATCGTCCACCGAGCCGTCCAAAGCAATTATGAACAGAATGTCCTGCGTCACCCCATGTCAATGAGCACAGCGATGAATCGGCCCACAGGCAACACGCTTCCTTGAGTCTTCCTGTCTGGATGGACACAACTGCGCCCCTGTTCTATTTCTCAGCTTCTTTCACGGTAACCCGAACTCCCTTTGAATCCAGACGTGCACTGGGCAGGAAGAAGTCGTGTGCAAGCTTCACGTCGGATACATCTGTCTCGAACAATTCGAAATCATACTTTCGGAACAGCGTCGCTAAGCCCAGATGAATCTCTGCCATTGCAAGATTGACGCCCAGACACGACCTGCTCCCCTTGCCGAACGGAAAAAACCACCGATCCATATGCTGATCCAATTGCCACAGTCCCTGCGCGTCCTGGGTAAGCCAGCGCTCCGGCTTGAAAGCGTGGCTATCCGGGAAGATCTCTTCTTGGTGGTTGTGGTCGACGATCGTCAAGCTCACCGGCGTCCGCGGGGGAATTGTCCAGCCTTGATACTGGAGCGGCTTGTCCCAGAGACGGGGGCTGCGCGCTGTAACGCCGTAGGATAGACGCAGACCTTCACGAGCGCAGGCGTTCAGATAGGGCAATCTCTCCACATCCGACCAGTTGAACGTGCTGGCGTCAGACTTGTGAGGGAGTGCACCGATCAGGTCTGCTCGAAGCTGGTCGTAGTAGGAGCGCGACTGGATGATGTGGAATGTGATCACGGACATGGCCCACGAAGAGGTGGTCAAGCCAGCGGCGATGAGGAGTTGGGCTTCTTCGTTCAGACGGTCGATCTGCTTCTCCTGGGGAGGCAAGTCGCTGCGGAGAAGTTCGTACAGGATCGTGGGATGTTCTGGGTTCTCTTTCGCTGTGCCCGATAATATGGCTTTGAGTTTGACGTCGAAGTCCTGCGGGAGACTGGTTAGCTGCCCATTTGTGACACTGGTACGCCGTCCTGACCTTCGCAAGCTGTAGGACGAGCAATATCTGTGGCTGCATCTTGAGAACAAGCCATTCTGGAAGAAACTGCATCAAGGGATATAGCCATTTGAATTGCAAAGCCACATGGCCTACTTCCGAGGCTGCCATGAACGGCTCCTGGAATGTCTCCTTAAAATCGGGGGATTCCAGGTGCTGGTAGGATTGACCGAAGACATAGGTGGTGATGACGTCTCCAGAGAAAGCAGTAAGAGCTCGATTGATGGCGAACGGATGGCCACCAGCGACATACTTGTCGATCTTGCTGCATAGGATGTCGAGCTTCTCCCGGATTACTGGCTGAAAATCCGAGATTCGCTTCTTGGAGAAGAGCGGAAGCAGCGGCGCCTTGCGAAGTTTGTGAAGATTGTAATCCGCTGTCGAAAAGATGGAGCGAGGAATGTTCAGTCGATTGGTGAAGTAATCGTATTTGTCGACTCTGCCAGGCCCGTAAAGGGTATCCCAGAATTCGGAATCCGAGACATGGAGCTCCTCCGGGTTGATTCTCACAATAGGCCCTGCGCATCGTCAAGCATCCGTCAAAGTACTTACTGCGAAGAATCTCACCATATTTCTTATGCAGCTCGGCGATGTGGAAGGTGAATTGACCACGTAGGATGACTTCGTAATAGAACTCGTACCACCGACTTAGAGCTGCGAGCTTGGGGCCGGGAAATTTGGCAATCGGGCTGAAATGAAGCCTGTAGACGGCAAGCGACACCAAATACGCAAAGAACACTGCAGCAAGCAAGAGGAAGGACATTTTGAAAACCGGCTGACAGTTCAGTGAGAGATAACTCAACTTCTTCCATTCTTCAATACAATGCCGAGCACATGAGGGAAGCGTGCTCGACGCACCGACCTCAAGATCTTGTGTTACAGCACCTCTCACCTACCTCTAGCCGAAATGCCCACGACGAGGTAGCGTGGTCGTGCGTGTTCAAGTGAAAGGTTGCAACAAACGTCCGGAAGTTTTAGGAAACATCCCCGCGGCTGGCGGCGTCGCGGCCCGTGGCCTAATGCAATGGGGATGCATGTGTTGAGCCAAATCTGGTTGAATTGATTGACCGACCGCATGAAACTAGATATCAAGTGGTGGCACCACGTATGATCAGCAGTGGAACGCTAACTGCCGGGCCATCCTTTGCGAACCTCAAGAGATATCGAGCCGCCAGTGCTGAAGAATCCCTGCTGCGTGGCATGTGGGTTGCTAACGTACTCCGCACTTGCTTTGTGCTTTTGTGCAGATAGCCGTGACGACCTCTGCTGCCTCGTGCACTAGGATGTCGGATGTGCTGCAAGTATACGTTACACTACGTGTCGGATGAGAATGAACTTCCAACATCCCGCCCAACCCCTCGCCTTGAATTTCTTCCCAGCCATGAACTAAAGCACACTATGGCGGACATTGAGGAACTGAGAGCAGACGACGATGTCGGTGACTCTGGAGTGGAAGATTCCTCCTCCCTTCAAAGTACTTCTGTCGCAAGCTCTGTGTGGAACTACACTTATGAAAATGGCCGGAGATACCATGCATACCGAGCAGGCAGTTATCCATTGCCCAACGATGAAACGGAACAGGACAGAATGGACCTATTGCACCATATCTGGCGGACTATGCTGGGAGGCGAGTTGCTTCTGAAGAAGCCCGTTACACCTCAACGCATACTTGATGTCGGCACAGGAACCGGTCTCTGGGCGATTGATATAGCGGATGAGTACCCGGAGGCCATTGTCATCGGCACAGACCTGTCGCCGATACAGCCTGGATGGGTTCCACCAAACTGCCGGTTCTATGTATGTCCACGGAAGATGGTGCAGCGGCATTCATATTGACCGAGTATAGGTCGATGATGCGGAGGCTGAATGGACCTACGCACCTTTCGATCTGATCCATGCCCGCAGCTTGGGAGGTTCAATATCTGACTGGCCACGATTCTATAAACAATGTTTCGACTCGCTCCATCCTAAAGGACTTCTCGAAATGCAAGAGCACGACGCTTGGATCAGCACCATAGAACAGGAGTTGCCACCTTGGACGGCCGACTGGAACGTTACCTTGAACGAGGCCAGTGCAGTATTCGGCAAATACCTCAATGTCGCCAACAAGCATATAGACTGGATGAGAGAAGCAGGGTTTGTGGAAGCGGAACAACAGACTCACAAAATCCCCATCGGTAGTTGGGCCAAAGACCCGAAGTTAAAGGAACTCGGCCGAATACATCTTGCTGAAATGCTTTCAGCTGTTGAGCCGTACACCCTGGCGCTGTACACCAAGGTGCTTGCAAAGAGCTTCGACGAGACAAAGCTCACGACTGAAATGGTCAAGAAGGAGTTTTGCACTAAAAGGTTTCACCTATATGTCAATTACCATTTTATCACTGCCAAGAAGCCCGGTGGTAATTCCGATACTTGATTTTGGCGGGTGCGACATCAAGTGGATGGACAAGGCGGTGACAAGGTCACCTTTCGACAAAACATCATTCACACTTCTGTTTGGTTCTTACTTCACGCTTCTGGCTTTTGTCCCAGACAGTGTGCCATTGAGCGTCAGCATGGTTTCTGACTCCCTGAGAGTTTGCGGTTCAGCTGACAGGTCATATATGCCTTGAATGGCCGGACTCTTGAAGTCATTTCTGACTTCCATGAGAACAAGGTTGAGGTCTTCTCTCTTCCAGGCCGCCTATGTCTGGTCCCAAGTGATGATCATATAGACGGCCGAGGAGGATGGGGGCTAATGTGAGAAGGGACCAGAGGAAGCAATGTAGAAAGTTAGGAAAAATTGTATTGTTGGCTACGTGGGGGTATAGTATTCGGTAACTATGGAAGAGAGAGAGTCTGAAGCTGTCCACAGTACCACAGGATGTCCATGTAGTGCCAAGGCACCGAAACCTGACAGCGATCTTGAACTTCATCTCCATCTCGGGAAGACACCCACCGACACCCTCCGTGACGCTCCAAAAGCGGCGAGAAATTTCCCTGCAACCTTACGTTGAACTGTTCGTGACTGTATTGTAAGAATGGCCGGGAAAGACCTCGCATCGAATTGCCTCTCGGATACGCGAACAATCGGTAGCGAAGGCAGATGAGGCGCCCATCATTGGCATGCCCCTTGTATCCGCCTCAACTCAGCACCTTCTCATCAATTACTACTCCATACACGCAACTCGAGTTCTAGAACTGGAAAACACTGTAGAACAATCTGCACGGCTTCTTTCCCTCTCTTCTAACCCAAATCTCGTCTCTTCAAGGCTTCACAAGTTCTCATTGTAGCTGTTGGATCCCGCGCTGCTGCGCCACTTTTGTCATTACTGGGCACCTACAACTACCTTGGAATTAACTACCTAGGTACAAATTTGCACCAGCGGTTACAACCTCCTTCTTCAGATTCTCAAGCCATGGTATGAGCATGGGCTCAAGAACTTCCGTCTGCCCTTTCAGCGCTATAGGATGAAAGACACTTTGCGAAAGAAGTCCGGCAAGTCGGACTCCAACAACGAATTCGACGTCCCCTCCAACTCCAGCGAAGCTCCCTCAAATCCATGGGCCAGCGAGACTTCTTCAGCCGTTAACGGAGACATCATTTCTCGCCAGGTCTCAAAGGCGTCCAAAAGTCCTGACACCAATTCGCCACAAAGACAGCCTACTCAAGAGCAGGCTTCCTCACCACCGCCATCTACGTCTAAACTCGAAGTTCCCAGCGGAGAGAACGGCACGGATGGAACAGAAACCTCAAAGCCAACCCGCCGACGAAAGACAATAACCAAAAACCCCCACACCTTCGAGCTGGAAGCTGACCTCAATCCCGTCAAGAAGGAGCAAGCACCTCCGCCGACTCCTGAACCACCAAAGACAGAGACTCCAGCTCCAACACCGGCCCCGAAGAAGAAAAAGCGAGTTTCTCAAGGCCCGCCTCCCGAAACACCCACCACCGTGACAGTCAACTCTGTACCATCGATACGACCGACGCCGGCGACTCCTACCTCTCCCAAAGCCATGCCTGCACCACCATCTACTCCCGCGGCTTCCGCACAATCGCCCATCCCTGCCACCTCTGGACCAACGTCACCAAAACCGCCTTCCGCAACGACCCCTGTCAACCCGTTCACAGCCGCGCACCGCCCCAAAAAATCCCTGTCATCTTCCACCACCTCTAACATAGCGACCTCTAGCAACCCATGCCGCTTCACCCCACCCCGGCTTCCTGACGAGACTTTTCACGGCAAAGTCATAGTCCTCACCAACGGCGCCTCGCAGACGGGCCAGGCCCTGATCCGCCAATTCCACGCCGCGGGCTGCCGCATCATTTTCGGCGACACATCCTCCGACCAGGCGCGCCGACTCATCTCCTCCCTTCCGCCACCGCATGTCGTACATTTCAACCGATGCGACATGACGAGCTACGCCGACATGCTCGACCTCTTCAAGCTCGCGACAACAATGTATGGGCGCGTCGACCACGCCATCTTCGGAGTCGGCGACGATGGCGGCCAGGCCCGTTCGGTCGGCGAGTCCGAAAGAGGCTGGTTCGACCACGACAGGCCGGGCGTGAACAAGACGTTCCGCATGGCCGTCGGTGAAATCGAGAAGGAACCTCTGGGTCTAGCCGACACCTTGACCGCGAGCATTCGATTCGCACGCATCGCTATGGCGTACCTCAAATACTCGCCCAAGTCGAAGCAGAAGAAGAAAATGCCGCTCAATCCGTACGCGAGTCTCCCGCGGCCCGAGGATGACACTTGGGCTTCGACTTCGCCGGGAAAAGATGACCGGAGTTTGACTTTTGTCACGAGCGTCGCGGCCTTCAAAGAGACGCCCGGCCTGCCGATTTACCAGGTCACGCAGCACGGCGTCTTGGGCCTTGTCAGGAGTCTGCGCAGCACCGTCGATCCTGACCCCGAAAGAGATGGCGTCCGGATCAATGCTGTCGTCACGAATGTCATGGTGCCGCGGGCGCTGGCGCAGACTGGTGGCCGGATGAGTGTGCAGTTGCCGCCTGACCGGCCAGAGGATGTGGCGAGGGTGATTGCCGGCGTCGTGGCGACGAGTAATGCGACTTCTGTGAGTACTACGACGAGCGAAGGGAGCGAGGGGGGGACGGGCATGACCAATGGGGGCGGAATATGGTATGAGAAAGGGTTTGAACGCGGTGTGAGGGAACGCTTTCTCCATGGACGCGTCATCTATAGTGTCGGCGCTGAGTGCTGGGATGTGCAGGAGGGCTTGGATAGAAGTGAGTCTGTTTGGATCGGGACGAAGCCAGCCGAGGCGCTGAACAAAGGGATTGGTGGGCTGAGTGGTGGCTTGGGAGCCGGTAGGATCGACGGAGAAGGTAGTAGTTGGATCTTGGATTTAGCGTAGCGTAGCGAAGAAATACACACGGGAATGGGAAGGCAACGAAAAGAGAGAAAAAGTATGTACAATGCCGGCTTCGGGTATATACAGTCTAAAAATGTACTCTTCCAGAGTGAGCATCATCCGTTCTAGGTACGATACGGTCGAAGACTTTTATGCTGGACTATTTCGACACCTGGCCGGTGATGTTCCACTGAACCCTACTAATGCCCTTATTGCCCATGAGCCAGAGTGATTTCAGGTCCGGCCCAGTGAATGCAAAATTAGACACAGTGTGGTTAACTTGCACTCGGATCAAGAGTTGACCCATATCGTCAATGACGTCTAGTCCATGGCCGGAAGCTGTCAAGACAAGCCCCTCGCGACTGACTTTGAGACCGTCCGGGATGTAGTCCTGCGCAAGGTAGAAAGCGCGCTTGTTGCTGATCCTCGTGCCGTTGTTCGCCACGTCAAATGCATAGATCGATCGTCTGCCTGTTGTGTTGTAGTGTTTCGTTCCCGGCCCGACCGCCGGGTCGATACTACCGGTCAATGCACCTGTTTCCGTGATATATAGTGTCTTCCCGTCCGGTGAAAAAGCGATGCCGTTGGGCTGCTCGATCGTATCGTCAACCAGGAACACAGCGCCTGTGGTCGGGTTGAAGCGGTATGTCGCGGTGGGTAACTGAGGAGCGGTGTCCACACGGCCGTTGAACCAGGGGTAATCGGGGTCGGTGAAGAATAGGTCTCCAGATGGCGGGTAGACGGTAACGTCATCCATGTTGTTGAAGTAATAGCCGAAGTAGTTGTTCAGGATGACTCGAGATTTATTGGTCATGGGGTCCACGGTATGAATAGAGATGCGCTGCTCAGTACCATTGATGTTGTCAAACCCACCGCTCGAAGCCCAGTATATTAGTCCGTTGTGGTAGACGCCGCCATTTGGTGCGAAGATCGGCGGATCCGGTAGGTACTCGCTCAATGTCGGCGGGGATATGTTGAGGTTGACCACGAGTTGTGAGAGATAGCCGTCTGGAGAGGCATTCACCGGTGGCAATTGGGACATGTACAGCAGATTGAGCTTAGGCACGTAGACTGGTGCTTCATGTACCGAGTCGCCTATTGGGAACATGAAGTCCCAGCGAGGTGAGCCACCGAGATAATCAAGGCCCCTTTGGCGGTCGAATACCACGAAGTTGGCTTGCTTGAGCAGGCTGAACGTTGGGGCGCTCGATACGGTAGTGTTTCGGAAGTCATAGTCTGCTTGGAGCGAGGTGATGGAGCGATTGAAATGGTATGGGAGTACTGCCGCCTAGTTGATGTCAGTATTGCGACCATGACATGGAGAAAAAGGATGGTGCTCCCATACATATTTGTTGACGCAGACAACTGAGCTGCTGAAGCCACCACATGCCTCCACAATGGGTTGGGTAACTCCGACTGGTTGGACCTGTGCCATGGTCGGAGCTGCTAGCAAGGCTGCCAGGCATATAGGAATAGTCTTCATGGTGTAGCAGTCTTCGTCATTCCATGGAACATGAATGGAAGAACCAGAACCCACGAGTTGAAAATGTGACCTTGCATGCCTACTTTATGCCCTAGAAAGGTTCAATTATCTCCAACATTCGTACCTTGAACCTGACGATCACTTTCCCGAGATCCATATCGTGAATAGCCTATGTAGTCAGGCACGCTGGATCTTGCTTACCTTGAACCTCGCCGAGCCGGCACAGACGAAGAGTCGTTGGAGAAGAATTGTCAATCATTGCTTGATTCAGGTATACGAGAGTCAAGCGGTCAGTCTCCGCGAGGACCCCAATTTGGATCGTTCAGCATTGTGTGAAGGAAGAGTTGGAGAAGGACTGCCTCGTTGTCGGTCTGTCGGAATTGAGGGATACCTTACGGAGTGGGCTGATGATGTTCGAGGGTGCTGTTCCAATGAATATCTAGGTAGGAGCGAGGAAGTGAAGTCGGCGAGAGCATGAGGAAGACAAGCAAGCCAAGGGATTCGAGTCACGACTTCTTCATCCGCAACAACTTCTTGGTCTCATTATTTTCGCTCATCACCTTTCAATCGACTTCGGGGGCTTGATGGTCTAAAGAGGCAGGTTTTATCAGACTTGCATAATGAAGGCCCGTGATGATTCGCTCAAGTTTGACCATGGCTTTCAGCTGGTGCAGGGGATGCGGACCATTTGTCCAGGGTCTAGTTTGTGGCTTGCGTCGAGCCTGACCAGCGTTCCAGCCATTACTAGGCCATATGCTCCTTTCTGATTTGGCCCTATGTCTTACTACTATCCCAGCTCGGATCATGAGCTTGTCTTAGATGCGCCGGGGAAGGAAGGTTGTCAGTGAACAATACAAACGCACCGTCATCTTGAGCGACTGCTCTCAGACTGAGGTATGCTTGTAGGCATCCTAACAACACCCCCCTGGTTATGGCATATTCGGGTCACAACTCGGCGATACTGTCGACCTTGACCGGCAGAAAATGAGCGAATCGACCGAGCCCATTCATGACGGCGTGGACGAGTTTGTCTACGATCCGATACGAGTGTCTCTGCTTGCTACTATCGACGATGAGGACTCTGCATATAATGACCTCGAAAAGGTCGATCGCTACTCCCTCTTCGAGACTCAAACGATTGATATATGGGAAACCAATACGCAAGGAGTTCGATTTGTCGACAGAAATTATCCCATTTCACGCCGGCTACCGGAAGACCTGTTCGAGGCATATCATCCTTCTGTGGCCGGAGGAGGTCGCTTGGCTCTACGACTCCTCTGCACACGGCCAGTCTTGAGTAGCAATCAGACAGCTCGGCATAATGACTTGGCCCGCGCAGACGAGAGACAACTCAATTATCTTCCGTTCCTTCCGAACGAAATGCAGGAACTCATCCAACAATGGGGTCTTCACCGAGAGTATACCTGGATGAGACTGATGTCCTGAGAGGTCGGCAATTTTCAGCAAAGACGGTTTGGGACGACAATTTCAATCCGCCACGAGCGATCAGGATGGGTACGCCCTTACACTATCTTCGCGTGTTTCTTATTGATCCAAAGGATGAAGATGAGAAGAACGACGGGCGTGCTAACATCAGATAGGAATCGTTATAAACTTTCCCTTTGTCCTCCGCCCAGCGAGGCAGGTCAAGTTTGTAGTCGATGCGAAATCTAATCGCAGCTTGAAACGCGTGCCACCACGTCGCACTCTTCGATCCAACTACGACCCTCGCCGGGATGACCCCTTTCTGTGGTCGTTCGCCATGTCGCATTCTCTACAGAAAGGGAAGAATAGAGGTATTCTCGACGGCATCACGGACTTTGCTTGCGGCGACTTGAAGCGGCGACTCCTCAAAGCTTCATCACGCTGGTACCTACACCCTTTACACGTTCCAGTAGTGCTGCTGGGTGTCTTCTTCGACCACGCCGCCTGGGAGGTCAACCGGCTCTGCAAAGTGGTTGCCCACTTCGAAAGTCTCTCTCGTGACGCAGGCATCGGATCGCTTGACAATTCGACACCATCACGACACAGTTACAGTACATCCGGCGGTCGCTCTACTTTCAACAATCCCTCACAAAATTCCTGCTTGAGACTATGACTTTTCTCGAGGACAAGGTCTTCATGCGCGACGTTTCCAGTCATGACGACGGCATGACCGACTCGTACAGGACTTACGTTTATCAGACGAATCCACATATGGAAGAGAAATTAAACAACATTCTGCACTTGATCGAGAACAACCTCTCTAGGTGTCAATATCTCCAGTCCAGGACAAGAGACGCACTAGACTTTATAAAAGGAAAGTTTGCCCTTGTCGACAACGACGCCAACAAGGAAGACGCCGACAGTAACAAGACGATGCAGTTTCTGCAAATGACGTTCCTGCCAGCAACGTTCGTCGCGGCGATTGTGTCGACGAATTTCTTCGATCTGACTGCGAGCCCGCCAACCGTGTCGTCGTATATATGGATCTTTTGGCTCGTGGCCATTGCGCTGACGATGCTCACGCTTGGTGTATACTTCTTCTGGAAATGGCGCAAGAAAGAGGAAAACAAGCGTAAGGAGCAGGAAGCTGAAGCGCGCAAGAACGAAGTCGGATGGGAGGAAGGCGGCTTCGAAATGGACACTGACGAAGAGGACGATGATAGTGGGAGGAGACGACGAGGGAGAAGAAGGAGGACGGCGACTGATGCTGAGAACGGCGGTGGGAATGGTGAGAAGAACAAAAAGGACAAGCCCGAGTTGGTGAAGTAACGGATGTATGAAGAGGCACTGTGGCACGATAGAAGGCTGCTTTCGACAGACCTCTGAATGCTGCGAGCGCAACTCTTTTCTACTAGCTGTAAGACGCATCCTCCTACTCACGAAAACTTTGAAAGTCTTGCCACTAAAGGCGAGCAACAGAAGGACTTCGACATATTAGCAGCAACAAATTGGTATCACAACGTAAGACGACAAATCCTTCGGTCCATCGGCATGGTATATCTCACACCAACATGGCAGACAAACTCCTCTACCTTAGATCAACTTCATAGACTCATTTCTCGCCAAATTGACAACATCCCGTCTTGCTCGTCTTGAAGTTAAGGCACCTATCCAGCGGGATCAGCACGATTGCTTAAGGCCGAAGTTTAGTTGTCAAAATCACTCACCCGCCGCCCGTGGCTTCCCATAGCATACATCCGTCTCGCGATTTGTAGTTGCAACTGTTAAAGGATGCGGTTAGTAAATGTGCCTTCTCTGCTGCCGACGGGCTTTTTGTCATAGTATCGGCGAACACAGCCGTGGGGCAGGAAAGAACCGCCGTTGGGCTCGGGCAGTATTCTCTCTTCCACCAAGCCATCAACAGAAACGTTAAGGAAAGGAAAACTGGAGCCGGCAAGGGAGACGTACCATCCATCGGTATAATCTCCGTAATTCAGACAGCCTTTATTGAATTCACCATGTCAGCGCATGTTCTCACACATATACATTTGAACTCAATCTCCATCTCGACTCTCACGGCTGGCCGTTTCTCTCCCCAACGTCAGTGGTCTGGAAATGGTATCTCTTACCATCGGCATGGTCCCCATAAGTCATACATCCCGACGCACCCTCGCCGAATGTAAGACATCCATCTGCCGCCTTTTTCTGGCCTTTTTGCTGCGTTGCGGGGCCTTGCATCTCTAGCGAATCTGATTGTGCTTCTGGTTGCGCTGGAGAGGGCTGTTGTTGATGTTGTTCTTGCGGCGAGCCCTCGCGCGGATGTGCCTGGAGTCGGTCATGGCTATGCGCGGAAGTGGAGCGGGAAGATGCGGACGCTTCGTAGGGAGGAGGAGGGTCCATGCGTGGGAAGGTGGTGGTGGGTGTTTCGGTGGCTCGTGTAGGAGGGGATGCGGGAGATCTGAGTTTGCCCATGTCGTTGTCGTTGGACAGATAATAGTGCGTGGTGATGGTCCAGGCTTGTAGATAAAGTCGCGCAGATGGTCGCAATAGTAGTAGTCGTGCAAGATCAGGTCAAGTAGCGGTCGGCGCAACAGATCAGTGGTCAACTGCGGCCGCTTGTGATGAGCAGGCGACGGGTTTGGGGGCTTTGGACTCGTATTGCGTTGCGACAATACTAGTATATGGGAGCAGCTTCTTCTATATGTAGTTGTCCTACCTTTGTCAATGGACCTGCGAGCTGAACCTGATCAACATGAGACCTGTAACATAGTGTGCTAAAGAGGTGCAGCTATAACCGGTTGGTGTTGAAAACGAATACGATTGGCTTGTATGCCGTCTGCCTGAGGATGCGAGCTTGGAGACGATGAGAGTGGTGGCTCGAGCCATACCCATTCAGGGGCCGGGAAAGCGATGAAATTGTGGTGCCTGGAATATCGGGTTTGCTCTCCACCAGTCTCGTGGCTTTCAGCTACCATGGCTCTCCTCCAAACATACCTTGTGGAGTGGATTGACGCGCGCGAGACCGGTCAGACTGTCGCTGCGACAAAAGGACAATTCATGAAAGAAATGATGATGCCTATCAACTTCCCCCGGAAACATGCGACGAGTAGCTTGAGGACTTGCGCGGCATGATACAATAGCTACAGCGACCACAAATCGACACCACGAGGGAATTTGATCTCTTACAGATCCAACTCGTAACGGGATAAGTTGGGTGCTCAGACTGATACTTTTTCACATTGCTTAGCATCAAGCCAGCAAGGTGTGTCCATACGGAGTAGGCAAGCAGCAAGATGATGGTATCCAAACAACCGAGTCGCATGCATGCGTGTGTATCTCAAGCATTAAACAAAGCAAGAACGAGATCGTTAAGTACAACTGATTGTAGCCTTTTCCCTAATTCAGGCCATTCCCTTCTGGTGTCTGGCTGCGGAGGCTCACCTCAACACAGTCAGGTAAGCATGCTGCCACTCAAAAATAGCATATGACGCAAAATAGGGAAGCAAACGGAAGAGTCGGGTTGGTTGACTCCCACACTCGATAATCATACGCCAGGATTGGACTCGGAGGACTTTTCTGACGACTGTGATGGTGTGGTCGTTGATATGGAGTAACCTCCAGGAGATTGGCAACAGCAGAGACATCAGACAGGTGGTGTGTCTCTTTAGAGTGTTTGACAGATGAACAGAACCACCTCAGGTGATGGTTCTTCTGCGAATCTGCAGAGAAAAAAGGAGAGTCCACAGACTCCAGACTGCGCCTTTTTTGTTACCCGCAATTGTTATCGATAATGTAATTTTAACGGGCACCATCTCATGATTGATGGCAGTGCACAGACACCGGAAAGAGGGGCTTCTAGAGGCTCTAGCGAGGCTCTCCAGGCTGTCCATTGGCCTGTATCTCTCACTCTCGGCACTACGTTTGCTTGGCATTTACTGCCCCTGATCCCTAACAGATCGTCGGGCGGGCGCAGCTGAGGCTTGAGCAGGTTTGCCATCGTCTTTCAAAAACACCACCCAATCCACCCAACACGCCCAACAACAACTTCTCTCTGTCCATCTTACAACCCTCTTTGATCATCACCACTCGCGGCAGCAGCAACCTTGCGCTCGTTTCTGTTGTTGTTCGCTTCCGACCTTTTCGCATTGATCTAGCGACGACTCCTCACCTCTTCCTCCCGCTCCCGATCTCATCGCTCATTACGTGCCCCGTCTTTTTCAATTCTTCCAGAAACTCGCCGAATCGCAATCATGGGCCTCAACGGTCACTATCGATCTGTCTCCGCCAACGACGAGTCCTTCCCTTTGGCTCCTCCTGATAAAGAAGGACACAAGAGGTCAGGCTGGGGAAAACAATCCATCCTCCTCTCACTTGCAACCGGCACGCTCTTCATTGCAGTCATTGCAGCCGTCCTTTCTACCGTCGGCTCCGCCGTCGTCTCATACAAGTCCAGCGGAACTTCGGATGCCGCATCGACTGCAACAAATACCGCCGCCGCGTCCACCGCCACTTCAGCACTGCTAGAAGACGTTTCCAAGGCGCAAGAAGCCGAGATCCAGGACTGCGGCGGCAACCCCGAGGAAGCCCGCGCGAAAGGATGCGTTTTTGACGTGATGATGCAGGACTGGATGCCTGCAGACTGCTACGACGAGGGCCTTTCAGAACGCTTCCTCGCGGAGGGCAACTGGACCTGGTACGCAGACACTTCGGCCGAAAATACCTACACTCTTGATGAAATGAGGAAAGGAGAACACGGTGCGGTCTATGTGGCTCAAGAATACCATATTACTCACTGCATCTACGCCTGGGAAACGCTGGTTCGTGCTATGAGAAATCAACGCCCCTTGATCACTGAACTGATCTCTTACGATCACGTCATTCACTGCCGTCACAAGACCCTCCAGAGAGCCGACGGTGGTTCAGCAATTCGTGGTGTCAGAGCCCCTGTCGCATATACGAAGTGCGCTCCGTATGACGTCTGGAAGAACCACCTCCCTGAGAATTCCCATTCAACGACGGATTAAAGCCGACAACTCGTAAATTTTCCGGATGTGACATTGTGTTGAAGAATCGGTCCCGAAACATTCAGATCATTGAACAAAGCTCTTTCGGTCTTTCTCAATGCTTCGATCACTACTCCCTCCTGAGCTACTGTCACTTATTGCTCGATCATTGCTCAGATATTGTCTGCAAGAGCTTTTCGCAGGACCTGTCGATTGGGCAAATTAATATATCTGTGGACGCCGCTTCGAGAGTTCATGCGTAGCACGTCCGGAAGCCACGCCGACAGACCAGTCCGCTAGGTGAAGCAGAGTCAGGAATTGCGAGAAGCAGCTTCAAAGGGGAGGCCACTTCAACGGGAGGCCGCTGAGACCAGGCCCCATGACGAAAATTTCTATTCAACCTTTTTTATATATCACTTTCATCTTACAGGGCGTTTTATGTATGATCTGGGGCTCTTTTAGTGGAGGACTACTTTCGTTCGATAGCGAAAAGGAATCGTCAATGAAAATAATATGGCTCAAAGCAATCGCTGCAAAGCATTTCCAATCAAACCGATGTCCTCTCCCCTCAAACAAGAGCATGAAACCAGTTTCCGGTGGTGGAGTTATCTGCTATGATTACTGACAGCATCACACTCAAGTGTATCTTTCTCTCTGCTCCGCCCCGCTGACCTGCTGGACCCAAGCTGGCCTGTACTTCACATTGAGCTCAACATCAGGCGTTTTGTCTAGCAGATCTCCGTCGTCCAGAACGCCGACTTGAATGATCTTGACGCCCGGCCGTGCCTGGGGTACGGCATAGATCGGACTGCCGCAGCCCTCACAGAACGACAGCGAAAATTCGAATCCTTCGTCGACGTGTCTGGTCGTGACGGTCTTGAGGGTGCCGCTGTCCAAAACGAAGTGGGTCGACGGCACTGTCAAGTTGACCGAGGTGGTGCCTCCGGTAATTTTGCGGCATGCTCGACAGTGACAGAGTGATGTTTGTCCCTAATTCTTGCCTGATCAGCACAGACTACTATAGTACTTTGTACCTCAGTGTGTCGTCGGTGGTGGTGGAGGAAGACCCGGTGAAGCGTAAGGTAAGGTACGTACGTTCTTGTCCGTCCTAGTGCTTGTAACATTGACATCAGGATCTATGGCCAGGCTGAATTTCACGTCTCCGCAGAGGCAGCTTCCGTGCGTCATCACGACCGATGAACCGGTACCAGGGAGTGACCTAGGTAAGTGCCTTAGTTTGGGGGCTTGTCAACGAGCGGGGCAAAGTTCTTCTTTCAGGTCTCGTTCACCCTCGTTGTACAGAGTAGTGGTTGAGCGAGCAGGGGATGACAATGCGACCAGACTCAAGCCCATGACTGGATATCTCATGCTTCCGGTGCACTTACTGGTTGCAAGTACAAGTACTTTATTGAGGTTTGCTACTCGTAAGAGTTACAGCTGTATGGAGTACCTTACTTCCGGGTCAGACGGAGACACTCAAGCTCGTTCGGTAGAAGCATTCAGGTCGATTTGTTCCCGGACGTGCCTGAATACGTAAGTCCACGATTACATGATTAGTCAGCCGGCGCCGCAGCTGGTGCAAAAGGACCATTGAGCCAGCCGAGGATCAGAATGGACAGCACCGCAAACAGTCGAAACCCCTATATGACGTCCCAAGGCGCCGGCGGGAGGTAAGTCATGCTCGGCATGCAAAGCTAAACATGTAAGCACACTTATCGCAGAATATCTCTACGATTGGCGCCGCATTCGTATTGCTGTGCAACCATTAGGATGAGAGGTCAGAGCAGGTTCAATGCCAGGTACTATGGGGCACCCTTAGCGCAATGACCTCGGAGGGCTGATGTCGAGGTAAGGATGATCGAGGGGCTCTCGTGAAGCACTGTGTGCTCACTACAGGAGGGACATACAAAAAGAAGAAAGGACTGCCAATCTCACACTCACACCGAGTTCCCTGACTGTCGCCCGTGAGAGTCTTCAAACATCAGACACTCCGCCAGCGACCACATCCTTATCAAACGCGATGACTTCGTACGACTACATCATTGTAGGCGGCGGTGTCGCCGGGCTCACGCTCGCAGCCCGACTATCCAAGCTCCTTCCGCCGTCTAGCGAGAAGAAGATCCTCGTGCTTGAAGCTGGCACCGACCCATCTCAGACAGAAAGCATCCTCTCATCCGTGTACGCCCACGAGGCCCGAGAGTCCGAGCACAGTTGCATCCTGGAGATCGCTCCGAACTCTCACCTGAACAACCGCGCTGTGCGCGTGCCGGTTGGCAAAGCCATCGGCGGGTCCGCGGCCATCAACGGCGGAGCATGGACACGAGGCCCCAAGTCGGACTACGACTACTGGGCCAAACTTGTCGCCGACGACGCCTGGTCGTATGACAAACTCCTCCCGTACTTCAGAATGACGGAGCAGGTCTTCACCGGCGAAGGTGAGGGCAAAATGGACCGCGACGAGCTGCACCACGGCTATGACGGGCCCTTGACCGCCACGCCCGTCCGAGCGAACTGGCCGAAGCGCAAGTATCCTCTCCGCGAGACCGTCCAGAAGGCATGGGAGGAAGCAGGCGTCAGGTACATTGCCGACGGGAACAAGGGCGATCAGAACGGCCTGACTGAAATGGTCGAGGTCTGGCTGCAAGGCGCGCGTCAATTGCCCGGTAAATTCTACGACCTTTCTCATGTTGAGATTCGAAAGCGGTGTCATGTCCAGCGTGTCACTTTTGATGATAAGTCTGGAGAGGTAGTCGCCAATGGCGTCGACCTTGTCGGAGGCGAGCATATCGTTGCGAACAAGGAGGTCGTCATCTCTGCCGGAGTCTATCACAGTCCACAAATTCTCATGCTTTCAGGAATCGGCGATCCTGCAATGTTGGAAGAGTATGGCATTCGGATGGTGGCCGTGAATGTCGAAGTCGGGAAGAATCTCAAGGACCATCTGGGTCTTGGATTGACATGGAAGCTCAAGCACCCCGAGAAAGGTCTCGCGCTGGGCTCGCCGCTGCTGATGGATCCGTCGTACTTCGCTGGCTGGCCCATGGACTTTATCGAGTTCAGCTCGCTGAACGAGCTTTCCACACTTCAGCCGCTTATCGAGGATCCTGCAGATCGCGAATTCTTGCTCCGGCAGGGTGCTTCACACATGGAACTGGTTCCACTATATGTCCCCTTGGGCAGTAGGTTGGCGGGAATCGATGCTGCCATCGACGGTAGTCACATCACCACCTTGTGCGTCTGTCTGGCTACCACATCCAGGGGATCTGTGACAATTAAATCGGCCAACGCCGAGGAGCCTCCAGTCATTGACGTCAACTCCAACGCAACCAAGTCGGACCGATATATCCTTCGTGAAGCTTTGCGAAAAATGTCAAGCATCCTGCTTGAGACTGAAACGGGCAAATCCTTCATATCTCATGAGGTCACTCCCGAAGGCTATGTGCCCATTACGAAGGAGACGCCGGATGAAGAGATAGACAAACGAATCCGGAACTTTGGAGTGAGTATCGATCATCCGATGGGTTCATGCTCGATGGGTACGGTGGTCGATAGCCATTGTCGTGTGGCAGGTGTGAAAGGGCTGAGGGTAGTCGACGCATCCGTCTTCCCGATTCCGCTTGCTTGCCATATCCAGGCAGCTGTTTATGTTCTTGGCGAGAGAGTCGCAGAGTGGGTGGCATGGGGTGAATAGGCCCCGATCTCTTGTCTTTGGGTCGATGACCATGGTAAGAGGCAAAGACGAAATCAAAAATCATGGCTCAACGAATAGACTGCGAGGGTCAAGTAGTGGAAGATTTTCTGATTTCTATGCCGCCATCGCCTAGTCTAGGAAAGAAGACATTTGACGATATGCGGCCTATGGCCAAGGATTGTAATTGCAGGGGCATGCATTAAATATATACTGGTGTCGATCTATCCACTGGATCCATCCTCCTTCCCACGGTGCGAGCACTGCCACTACCACTGCCACTGTATGTTCTGAGCAAATGCCTCCCAGGTATTTCTCTTCCCCCCCGGAAGCAAGAATCTATCACTCTCGTCCTGCCTTTGCTCAGACCCTTTGCCGAAGTAGCTATAATCGCGGATAAGGATCATGTTCTGAGTGAGTTCTTCCATAATCTTATTGCCCAACTGCGCGGCAGACTCGACGCTGGCCGGCCTCTCCACAAACTTGACTTCACGGCCTGTGATCTGAGACAACTGATCCGTGATATCTTTCGGGTGCACCCACTCACTGACACCTTGCACAAAGACCCCGTTGGCCTGAGACCCGGCTTCGAACAGCCCTGCCGTGAAGAGACCGGTATCGCGTTGGATGTCGAGCATGGGGACCCATGTCTCTGTTGGATTCCAAGGCTGGCTCAATGTCACGACACCGGTGCCCTTGTCCGGTTGGAACTGTTGTGTCAAGTTGGACATGAAGAATCCTGGCATGAAATAAGAGACAATCATATCCCCTTTGACCAGCTCAGCGTACTCGGCGACTTCGGCCTTGGAGTCAAAGTGCTCAACTTTGGAGAGTTCGCCATTGGTCAGCTTGGTGACATTGGGCAGACAGGACCAGACTAGGTGTTTGATGCCTTCTTCTTTGCATGCATCGACAATGTTCTTGCCTTGCTGAATCTCGGCGGACTTTGATGCTTTCTCCCAATAGTTGGTCACAGCGAAGACGCCATAGGACCCGGCAATGGCTGATCGAACGCTTTCAAGGTCGTCCAGATCTGCTTTGGCCAGTTCGGATCCCTTTGAGGAAAGAGCTTGAGCCGCTGGCTTTGACGGGTCGCGAGTGATGGCTCGCACTTTGTATTTGGCCGATAAATCTGGGCTGTTGAAGATCACAGAGGCAGTGCTGCCGCCTTGGTTGCCCGTGGCACCGAAAACGGTGATGACCTTTTGTGTCATTTTGAAGATGTTTCTTGCCGTGGTGAAATGGAAGGTCGTAAACGACGTCTTTGGGTGATGATGGGGATTGAGTGGTCTGCGTTAGCTGGAAGGCTCAAGGTTGATGATGTACTATTGATCTAAAGATTCTTCTCCTTGTGCGCCTTCAAACCTACCATAATATACCCCTTTGTAGCGGGGACCCAAAGGCATATAGCTCCAAAGTCCAACTCGAAGCATTAGGTAAGTGGTCCCTCGCTATTCACGGTAGGAGCGTCAGGGGGGCCGAGGTTAGTCAGCGTCTCGCGGCTCGGCCTCCAGCTGATAGGATTCCTAACTGATCAGAGGCGTCGATGGGCCGCGTCGAGAGCCAACGGCGAGCGCGAGCTCAGGCATGGCTGGCCTGAAAGTCTCGGCGAAAGACTAGCTAGTGACGAGCAAATGCTGCAGAATTGTTCGGTGTTGATGATTTGCTGAGAGGTTGAGATGACTAAATTGAGGCTGTCCTCGCTCTTTGCTGATACCGAAGCGCGCTCCATATTGATTTGTTAACAACGCTGAGCTGCTCGTCCAAGCGTCTCATATGTCAGCTCACCCATACAGAGAGCTTGATGGACTGTGTGGGCAGAACCGAAGACTGAGCCGACCTGTGTCCTGTATCGCAGAATCTCGGTGAACGGTCCACGCTGATATGAGTAGGAGTAAGTCCTTCATGGGGGAAGATTGACTCGAACCTCGAAGATCTATCAACCAAGCAAGCCGGCGAGGTTGCAATTCACCTGCCAGGCTCCTGGCTACCTGGCTAAAGATGTGCCTAGTCTCTGTTCGATAAGGAGAAGCGAAAAAGTTGCTGCCTAGAATCTACGCTGATGTTCATGGATCGCTTCTTGATGTCAACAACCTCCTCTTGACGGAGATTGCCATTTGATTGCCACCTTTTCCAATCCTACTCGCTATAGACAGGCCCGGCATCGCCTGCTAACTTGAGGGCGTCGACCATGATTGTCACTCCATGAAATCGCCAACGTAAAGCCGCTACCACAGAGGCTGTCAAGAGTCACCATTCTTCTACAACGAATAGAGAGTAAGAAGCAGGATTCTGTTTTATGATTTTTTTTTGATTTTCTGATTTTCTCTGATGACAACCACGATCGAGGTGCCCCCGGACGATAGATTTTCAAAACGCAGATTTGGCAAGTCCATCCAAAAACCGGCCCTTCAGCCTCCTGACATCCAACTCCCACCGAATCCCGCGGTTCATGAGCCCGAATTGAAGTGTCGATTGCCAACTTAAGCTGGGACCAATCGCAAGTATCACTTCCCATCCTGACAGCCTTCTCCCCTGACAGATTCCAAGCCAGAACTTCGCTCAATACCCAAGTTCAGCTTCCACACCTCCCACCTGAAACTCCATGCACATATGATCAGAGCGCTCATAAACCACCAATTTCGACCAAGCGTCTCCCAACACTTGATGGTGATGCAGATGTGACGGGTCTGCAAGCACACTATGGTTCGTCCCTCTGACCCCGTACTGTCATGATGTGTCACCTCCTCTCGCCGACAACAAGCCATGTCTGGTGGTATCCCCCAATACCCATGGTGTTCAACGAACAACCGTGCTTGTGTCTACAGACTTGGTTCAAACATCAGACCAAAAGCAGCTTCCTCGCGCAGACAACAAGCAACTGGTACCCCCCAATACCAATCGGCCTTCAGAAGTTCAGAAGAACAGCCGTGCTTGTGCCTTTGAGACTCAGCCCCAACAACACCACAACCACACCTACCAGCAGCAACATCGCACCTGAAAGATGCAAGCCTTTTCTCTCGGACAACAAGCCATGAAAAGATGGTGGTACCGCCCAATACCCATTGGCCTTCAGAAGTTCGGAAGAACAGCCGTGCTTGAGTCCAAGAGATCTAGGCTTCGACATGCCACACCCACACCCACACCGACAACCACACCCGCCACACCACATCCGCAATACCGCATCTGAAGAATGGCTAGCCTCCTCTCCAAGACGACAAGCAATCAAATTGGTACCCCCCAATACCAATTGGCCTTCAAAGGATCAGAAGAACGACCGTGCTTGTGTCCAGGAGATTCAGCTCTCCAACCTCAGACCATCCACACCTCAACCACCATCAACACCTCAACAACTACCGTGAGCCTCAATGATGCGTCATCACCTCTCGCGGAAGACCAAGCCATGTCAGGTGGTACAGCCAAGTACCCATAGTGTCCAAATGAACAACTGTGCCTCTGTCCTCGAGAGGTGATTCGCCATGAGACCACCACCACCAACTCCAGCAACTACCAAGCCCAACAACCACCAAACCCTCACCTCGTCCTCCTCTTCACCACACCCATATCCCTCCATCATCATCAACCACCACCACCACCATCAACCACCGCCACCATCAACCACCACCACCATCAACCACCACCACCATCAACCACCACCACCATCAACCACCACCACCACACCAACAACAACAACACCAAGAACCTCCATCCTTCACATTGCCCGTACCGTATGCCACTTGAGAAAGAAGTGTCTGCCGGAAATTGTCTGGCCTCAAAACCATGATCGGACCCATGTGACCACCTTGTGGACTACCGAGTCGAGGATCTCTCCGCAACGAGCAAAGAACCCTCCAGAGGAGGAGATCAGTGCTGTGCTTGGCTGTGTGCGGTATGAGATGACTGGGACAATCGGTGAATCCCGGATCGGTGACTCGATGTCAGATGTGTCCTCGAGGAACGCCTCATCTGAATCGAAGTCGCCGGTTTGGCTGCCGGAAAACACCGTCGTTGTCAAGGCGTCGGTGTCGGAACCACTGCGGCGTAGCTTTGGACCGATAACGCGGACGCGGCGTACGCCAGGGGAAGCAGTGGGAAGGCACGGGACGAAGCTACTGGCTTTTGAAAACGCCTTGAGTCTTGGCGGAGAAGGCGTCGCAAAAGCCCTTCGAGGGGACCGTGGCTTGGGGTGGAATCTCGGGCCGACGTAGAAGGGGTGGACGAAGGGACCGGCCATGGAGAACGCTTTGGGTCTAGGCGGCGTTGGGGTCTCGAAAGCTCGTCGAGGCGACCGTGGCTTCGGCTGGAACCTCGGCCCGTAATACAACGGGTGGACGAAAGGACCAGCCTTAGAGAACGCTTTGACCTTTGGCGTGGGGGAAGGGGACCCGATCAATGGGAGAGGGGAGACACTTGGCATCTGTAGACCGTCAGTCAGAAGGCTCATGAGTGTAGACGGCGTCGACCCAAGCAGCAAACTTACACGGCACGGGGACTCTGCACTCGGCGCTCGTCGATAGTGAAACGGGGCGGGCCCCGGTCTTGGCGATGGTCGGATCCGTGGCTGTCGTCGACGTCGGGGAGACTCGGCGGCTCGGAGCCAGGGACCGGCATGGCGGACTATCGGCGTGCGGAGAGTAGGAAGTCGGCGTGAAGGAGGAGAGGGAGGAGTAGGGGAGGAGGGAGAAGGACCGAAGATCGAGTTCGTGGATCGCGACGGAGATCGATGAAAATCACCTGCGACGTAGTTCAGCATGTCAGAGGAGGTGTCAGAGTACAAACCTTCTGTAGCCCAACACCACCTGGGTGCAGGGCTACAGGACGAAGAGCTCGTAGTTGTGAATGACATCGTGACCAGCACCTAAATGTTCATCAGCAGTGTTGACAGAGCGCCTTCGTCTGAAGAGAAGAAAAGAAAGAGGTTGAGAGAAGATGGCGATGTATTTGTGTATGAGCTCGAGGCGCGTGGGTTCCACCTTTCGCGATGGGATCAACCTTCCTCAGGCTTGCCCTGGATCAGGAGGCGTTCACCTGATCCCGGGCTCGTTTGTGCCTCGATGACTTACGAGATTTTCGAGGCATACGATTTGTGCCTTGGAAAGTCCCGCCATGATTTTTCCCGATGCTCAACCTCATGGCGTACGCGAAGATCAGAGAAAGGCGTCTGAGGCAATTTGTTTATATCATTTCTGATTGAGTTTCACGAACTTGAAATGACAAACAGCCAGATCAGGCTGATCAGGCGGAAACATGGTTTTTTGGTTGATCTCTCAATGGGGACGACTTGGATTTTGCTGCGGATCTTAGCACAGTGAGCACATGCCCTGTAGATGGAGACCTCTAATTTGCGTGACCTCCAGACGTATCGGCATGGTAAGATCATAAGAGGGGGAGGCCAGGCATCTATTCTGCTCGGACCCACAGCAGAGTGAGAATACGGCGATGCATCTGCGCCCTTCAAGACATATCTTTGATCTTGCATGACCACTGGAAATGAAAATTGGTTCGAAAGGACCGGGAAGACGACATGTAGATAGAGATCCGAGGAGCGAAATTCGAGGAAGTGATAATTCGCGGGCGATAAAAGATCAGGAAAAGAGGTTTTGCGCAACTTGTGAAGTGCATTTTTCTGTAGTGATCTCGTGACATCATTCTCGCCTGCAACAGCAAGAGGCTGTCCTGCGCCTTCCATCTTCACATTAACCTCTGATCCTAGGCTCGCATAAGGTATGCAAGGACTGGCGATCGCTTGTAGTATCGATGAGCCCAAATCTCTCGTTGTTGATGTCTGAATCCGACATGACTGACGAACAACTTGTTGAGAAATGCATTGGTGTTTAGCAGATCGTGTTCCGAACGATTTGACACTCGCTGCTTTGTCCTTGCAGTAATTGCGCAGATTAGCACTGGGAAACCACTGTTCAGACATATTTGTTAAGGCAAAGCTGAGGGGCCACACCACCCTCCCTCCTATTGTTTCTTTCTCTGTGTACTCTTTCGGTTTGAGCGGAAGCACCACCCTCAAGTCTTTCGAGCACGAAACCATTTGCCAGCTGCTACTGCGAGGGTCTCTGAGCAGCCACGTGCCTACACCTGTCTGTTGAGAAGGCGGACACGAAGTTTCAGGACATGCGGTGTTGCAATGACCTCCCTGAAGTCGATCAGGATGGGTTTGACTTCGAGGAATGTTTGGCTGAGAAGAAAGATGAAGGGACGACGTCGAAAAGAAGTTGCAAAGGATAGGTCTAAATCGGATATCATGTCCGAAATTACCTTTCTCTTGAGGGAAAGGTCAGTTCTTACATAACCCTCGGCTATGGGTCGAGCTTCTCCATCCTGGTCGATGAATCATTCACTCGCATTGGGCTGGCAGGAGCTGTCACTCTGGGACAGACTGGTCAGAGTTTCTCGCACTATGTCAGTGAAAGCAGTGTCTGCTTTGACTCAAGGGAACACCCAAGTACGAGTAGAGCTTTGATCCTCATCAGCGGCTCCTTGTCCGTCCATTCTCCTCATCCCAGAAGCTATGCCCACGGAGCCAGAATGGTTGCACAACTACGCTACCGACCGGCATGATTGGCACAAAACCACGAGCAGGGGCAGGACACTGTTCTTCCGCCGCATGGGCATTGTGGAGTCGCTCTTTGATAACGATGGGTCGGATTTCGAAGGACGAGCAGACTTGACGATCCATTTACATGTAGAGATCAAAACTTCCTCAACACTCCAGGTCTTGAGGGAAAGGATCTTTCAGGCATGGGGTATTCTCCGCCAGGAACATATCCTCCTCTCAGCGAGTGTGGCTGAGGCTCATGATGTTGTGCCCGAAGACTCGAGGTACGATGCACACGAGCGATTGTTCGTTTTCGAACCAAAACTGGATGTCGACGAGATGCTAGCCGAAGCAAGAAAACACACGATATTTCTGGACGACCACTATTCAGATATCAACGCCGATGACTTCTTCCTACACGCTCTGAATTCCAGTCGTGGCCTTAACGCCTCTAGTGCATTAAGTCGGTTATATGTCATGCCACTGGAAATGGACAGTCATGGCCTCTGCCAGCTTCACCTGGTTCTTATTGCTGCGCATCAAATCAGTGATGGCCTCTCGTTCCAAAGATGGATGGCCAATTTCATTGAGCATCTTAACCAAACTCCAGAACGACTCAGACGGTCTGCAAATGATCTTTGCGTTGCCTCTCCTGCCAAAAGGCTACCGCCGGCTCAAGAATCTTTATATCCACCTATCAGAGGTAACAAAGCTAGACAGCGGTGGTCTTGGTTGCTTTCACGCATCCTTCGTCATACTCGGAGACCACCACCAGCCTCGTTCCAAAATCCTCTTAGACGGAGAGAACCCTTACCCTCGGCTCAGGCTATGGAACCTAGATTTTCCAAGGTACTCAACTATACTCATACCCCGCCATTAAACACGTTTCCCATACGTGCAGTACTCGGTCCAGAATCGACACAAAAGTTAGCAAGGATTTGTCGTCAGGCTAAGATCAGTGTAGGAAGTGGATGTTTTGCTTTGGTAGCAATGGTAATGATGCTCTTTGAGGAGAGGCGCAATCCCCATGTGTCAAGTCATGAACGTCCGCCATTTGTGGGATCATTTCCGATTAACCCTCGACCATTTCTCACAGCGAGTCCGACAACTGGTAAAGAAGACAGTTTGGTACTCGCTTTCAGCGACGGCATCACTTTGCCCTACCTATCAAGTGATCTTGATTTTGAAGGCAGACTGAGACTGCTAAGCAAGCAAGCAGCAAGGCAGCTGCGCCAATACCAAAAACGGCCGAGGAACCTGGAGGAAGAGGTCCACTTGGGCTCGAAAAGTCAAACTCAATTGTTCCCTTTGCTGTACCTGTCCACTCTTGAGCGTCTCGAATCAAGAACCGACGCAGGAAGAAAGCGAGGCTGGGACGTGCAGGGTGAATACCCGGCAAAGGTTGGTGCAATACCGGCAACTTGTGGAGTGAGTTCAGTGGGAGCACGCTCTTCCGTGATATCGTCTGGTAAATATGATACAGGAAAGCTACCGCCAATGCACGACGTGGTTGCAGACTTCCGGGGGCTCAACACCACTGTCAGGGCGAGGGATGGCGAATTTCTCGTTGGTGTTGTTGGTGATGGGGATTGTCTTCGGTTCCAAGTCAGTTACGACGGATGCGCTATTGATCCCACAAAAGCGCAGGAGTGGAAGCATGTCCTTGAGACCATGTTGGATGGGAAGAAAGCGCCAACTCCAAGGCTATGATGTACGACCTTTTGCAACGGAGAGTTATATTATCAATCTAGTCCTCTACTGGGCGGCTGAAAGCGATAGCAGAGTGACAAAATAAGATGCATTAGCATATACTGATATCCGCCCGAGTGACAGGATTTTAGACGTCGCTAGGTAATCTGCTCTTCGTCCCAGTCATCCAACCAGAGTAAGGTGAGTTTGAGGATATGCATTTGCCACGGCCGTCTTCCTTGCGTGCCCAGAAGGACTTGCAGCTCGCCATTCTCCTTGAGCATGTGACTCCGCGAACGCCAAGCCTCCACTAGGTGCCACGCGAGTCGTGTCCTGAGTCGCGTCCTCTTCGATTGAAAGATGAAGTGAGTGAACATTCTCAATTCAACGCACAACCACTCTGTCATGGCAACCACTTTCAATCTTCAAGATGGAACCTCATCAACGCGCAGAGCTTGCCGACGCTGTTCAAACTTTTTCCCATGAGGATATTGGCCGACTCTATCGTGCGCTTCTTTGCTTGCAAGAAGATCAGACTGAGTTGACTCCGACCAACGTTGCGAAAGAATACATCAAAGCATGCTTCGAAGACGGCCATCCTACCAGTCCAACCGATCCATGTATCCGATGGCTTCTTTTCCTCTTCCACAGTGACCCCGAAACACCTCTCAACGAAAAGTTCCTTGATATCTTACAAGAGGCCAACATCGTCTTAACGACCGACACAACTGAGACTGAACACGAGATAGAACACGATGGATCTAGTGTCGAGTCTGTGGATGAAGATGATCCTCGTTGGCGTCAGGCAGTCGCGTTGGACAATCAAAAACTCGCGTCGCAGGCACTTTCTCTATGGCGGGACACGATCCAACAAAAACAAGAGGAAGCACGCTTGAGACAGGAGTACTATGAAGAAGCACAGCGACAAAGACTGCACCGCATCGCTGAGGAGGACGTCCCTCCAGTACAAGGATACCAGGACCTAGACATTGAACACCAGGAGGCACTTGCGGACGAATTCGCGCGTTGTCATCTCGCCACCAAAGTGATCAACCATTGGAGAGCCGTGACTGAAGAAGTGAAACGGATGGAACGAGTAGCAGACGAGTTCAGGAGGCGGAAAGACGCCAGATGGGCGCTCAAGAAGTGGATTCTGGCAGCACGGGAAAATCTCTTTGTTCGTGTGCGAAATGAAAGAGCGGCTGAAAGAGCATTACAAACTTGGCGCGTCAAGACTGCACAAATCAAAGAGATGGAGGCAGTCGCTGATGAGTTCCGCACTTTTAGTGCAGCCAAGAACACATTCGGGAAACTGGTGGCCAGAAAGAAGCAGATTGACGAACTGGAGGCAAAGGCTGTTGTCATCTACCAGGGCAACCTAGTCCGCAAGGTTCTCAACAAATGGCTTGCACAAGTGGAACACATCCGACACCAAGAACGCAGAGCGGATGCAGCAGCAGATTACTTCGCTGCAAAACATGTGATGCAGAAATTGCGTGCAAGAGCTGCGATCAAGCTGGAGCAGAAGAAGAACGAACAGGCTCGCCAAAAATACCTGATGCAAAAATACGCCTACTTGTGGCGGGATGCGGTGGAGAGGACCAAACGCGCCGAAGAAGAGGCCAAACAAGTTCAGTATGACTCAGCCTACAAGCATATGAGGAGGAAGGTGAAGGAGAACATTGCGCGTTCGGCTCTAACAACATGGCGTGAGCAAACAGCGAAAATTCAAGGGCTGGAGAGAGTGGCCGATGATTTCCGTGCACGCAAAGTCGCTGAAGGTGCAAGACGCATGGCTCATCATGCCATCGTCACGATGTACAACAGAACCATGGAACTTCGGCAAATGGAAGAGCAGGCTGACCTCCATTACCACAAGAACCTCATCAAACGCCTCGAAATCTTCGGCTCGAACTGGCTCATCCCTGCAAGACACTACGTGGAGCAGCAGAACGTTGCTGACGAATACCGAGCCACCAGGATCGCAGGCTACTCTCTGAACGTCCTGCGAAACTGGAGGAACAACGCCTTCAGGATCAGAAGGATGGAAGAGGATGCAGACATGTTGCATCAGCGACATGATAGGAGAAGGGCGTTGGGCTTCCTGGAGAAGTGGAGACGAGCTGTGACTGACAAAGATGAAGTCGACAGTCGTGAGGAGCGTTTGGTGCCGGCGACGCCCGCGGCTCGAAGGAGCCAGTTGCTTGCGGCGTCCACAACGCCAGCATACACGCCGGCACCTGGTCTCTTTGGCAGCGGCCGTGTGGTCGAGGAAGTCGACGAAGAATGAATGTGTGACGAATGTTTACTGTATGATTATGAATAACGAGCTTACGACCAGGAGATACCCCCAGCATAACGAGCTGTACAACAATGATATTGTAATGAACATCACCAAACCAAACCTAACGATATTGTCGATTCTTTTGAACCATCGTGACACACCTTTGACAGCACCATTACCCATGTTGATATTGCTCTGTCGAACGTCGATTGTAATAGGATCGTAGTCAACGGCGGTCAATCCATTGACAACAAAAGCAAGCCTTACCACAATATGGCTCTCATACGGCTGACTTCCTCAGCATTAACCACTGTGTCAGATTGAATCAAGGCAGAAGAATGATATGCAGAAGCCTGGATTTCCTGGTGTAACATCCCAAGATTCGTTGACCTCACACCTCCCCCTGGCATGATGACAATTCTGTCGCCGGCCTGTTTCACGAGCTGAGCCAGAACTTCACGGCCCTGAACTGCATTCGACTCGCCACCTGAAGTGAGGATTGTTTTGATTCCACAACGAATGACATCTTCCAGACCCCGATGTAGATCTTCGAGTTCATCGAAGGCGCGGTGAAATGTGCACGGTAAAGGAGCAGCGAGGCTCACCAACTCAGTCGTCCTGTCGACGTCGACGGTATGTTCGGTCGTGAGCATGCCGAAAACAAAGCCGTCAACCATGCCCGTAGACTTGAATGTGTTCAGGGAGTCTTTCATTGTGTCAAACTCCTGAGCTGTATAGACGAAACTGCCCCCGCGAGCGCGGATCATGACATTGATGGGCACGTCGATACCGTTTCGAATGCTGGTCAGCCACTCCACTGGAGGTGTCGTTCCCCCCAGGTCGGCGTTGTCGCAGAGCTCGATACGAGTTGCTCCTGCTTCATGGGCGATTCGGGCTGACAGAGTATTGAAGCATGCAATCTCGACGACCGCCATGGGCCGCAGATGATGATTTTTCTTCCCAGAGCAGAACAGCGGAGAGAGAGAGACACTCCTGGCAAGCCTTGGATGACGTAGCCTCCTCCAGCCATTCTGTTACGAACAAGGAGAACCCTCTACGGAGTAATAATCACAGCGATGTCCCTCCCATCACAAATCACGGCACGCGAACATAACCATAGATCAGTAAGGTCTCAGTATCACTCAACAGCGGCGATCCTACTCCCAAACCTCATCTTTGACAAACCCACAACCCCCTCCACCGCCCAAAAAACATGTCCAACATTCCCATAGCCGACATCGACACGCCCGACCCATGGATGCTCCGGCACAACAACTACTTCTACCTAACATTCACCTGCGGCAACCGCGTCGAGATCTGGATGTCCCAGTCCATGGAAAACTTCCGGTCATGCCAGAAGATCACAGCGTGGCACCCGACCCCCGGCACACCGTGGTCCATTGACCTCTGGGCTCCGGAACTACACTACCTCCACGGCACATGGTACGTGTACTTCTGCGCGGCGCACCCCGGCCAGGGCAACCCATCGCATCGGACCGTGCTGCTGCGCTCATCGAGTCAAGACCCCATGGACGCCGGCGCGTGGTCGTTCCTCGGCCCATTGCAGGGTCTCCCTGATCATTGGAACATCGACGCCACCGTTCTCTCGCTACACAACAAGCTCTACTGCTGCTACTCCGGCTGGCCGCTTGGCGACCATTCCGACACGCAGCAGGACCTCTTCCTGATCGAACTGGCCGACCCAGAACACGCACTCACAAATACATTGACGTGTATATCGCGCGCCGAGTTACCCTGGGAACGGCCCGAAGGCGGACGCAGGGGCGTGAACGAAGGCCCGACGTGGCTCAGCATGTCGTCTTGCGGGGGCGAGTTCGAGGGCATAGTCTACTCCGCCAATGGGAGCTGGACGAGCGATTATACTCTCGGTCTCTTACACTACACCGGTGGTGATCCACTGAACGGCAGATCATGGCGGAAACGACCAAAACCGTTACTCAGATCATGCCGAGAAAAAGGTGGACCGTTTGGACCCGGACACGCGAGTTTCATACCGGTTGTCGATGAGGGACCGAGGAACGAGGGCCCAGCAGGGAGCGGGTGGAGAAGTGGCAGAGTGTATTGTATTTACCATGCGACGGAGAGGGAGGGCGAAGGATGGAACAATCGCAAGGCGAGGGTCCTGTGTTTGCATGGTGGTCATTTCCATCCAAGTGCCGAGAGTTGTTGTTGTTCGATGCGTGGCATGGCAGGACTACAGGAGCGGAAAAGCCACGAGCCTGTGATGCATGCTGAACATCACGGGAGTGGCCTTCTGCATGAGATTGGGAACATGCTAAGGAAGAAGATCAACGAATTTTGAGACTTGAAGCATGACATTTTCGTCAAAGATGGCGGGCGATATGACACCAACGGCGAGAAGATGCTTATTCACCAGTAAAGCCGACATGGTGAGCAGCCACGACATTGACAGTGTCGCTCATTCCCTTGTCCTTTCTTATGGGGTCTCCTCGGAACAGCGAATGTCGAATGTGATCAAACGCCGCAGAATCCCATACAGTTGAGCTCTCTATAAGGCTATAGTGAGGGTATCAATTCGTCTCATCTCGTCACAATCGACACCAACATCAACATCCAATCAGCCGGGCACATTTGAAATCTAACATACACTCTCAGCACGGTCAAGATCCTCCCTGTTCACGACCGATCCCAGGAATCGCTCATATCACAACACCATCCAGGAACTCCACCCCTGGACTTCTTTTCAAGTCTTGACTTTCTTCGGAAGGGTATTGTACAACTACCTTGGGTAAGTTTTTCATGCCAATTTCTCATCCAACACCTGCTGATCCACGCCCCTCAGATGACTTGGCACCGTCCCTGGTGGATGAGGGCCTTGTCCACCTTGGCTGGCCCTACTGGCCCTCCTGACCTCGATGCTCTCCCTGGCAGTTTCATCAACAGACTTCCTCAAGTGCAACGCACTCGCCATGTTGTCGATCCCACCTACATTTGAAAATCCCTTGGGATTGCCGACCAGACTATCCCGCCTGAGCACCTTCTCATCATACTGCTCCTCGTAGGCTTCCTCGTCCGCGGGGTCCTGCGGAATGCCGTACACGGTCTTGGGCACGAGTTGGTTCGAAGGCTTCCAGATGTAGCTCGTGACGCTGTAGACCAAGATGCTCACGAGGAATCCGTACAACCAATCGAAAGTATACAAGTTCTTGGCGCCGCTCGTGATTTTGGTGTTGTTATTGATGCTGTACGCCAATCCGGGCAGGTTGGGGCAGACGGCAAGCAAGAACGCCAGCATGGCGCGCCAGTTGATGCCTGTGACGTTGTACCGGTAGCGGCCGTGAGGGTCGTACAATGCGGGGACGTCCATGTGCTGTCTCTTGACAATCCAGTAGTCCGAGGCGATGATTCCGGCCATCGGGGCCAAAAACACGGCATATCCGCCCATGAAGGCTAGGAATGTCTCGGCAGAGCTCAGGATTTTCCAGGGCACAATGACCCAGCCGCCGATGATCGCCGCAAGAACGCACCCGCGCTTGATGTTGATGTACTTGGGACACATGACTGTCATGTCGTTGGCGGCTGAAATACTGTTCGCAGTGATGTTGGTGCCGACTTGGGCTATGTACCAAGAGAGTGCGGCGAAGAAAGCTGCGGCGCGGCCACCGTGGCTACCGAGCCACTGGTCGATGATGTCCAGAGGGTTCCAGAGATAATCCCCGTAGACAACTTTGGAGGCAGAAGTCGTGACAATACCCATGACACCACAGACGGTGAAAATGGCTGGAAGAAACGGCAGTTGAATGTATTGGCCCTTGGACGATCGGGCGTAACGGCTGAAGTCGGGAATATTGCACGCAAGGGTGGCCCAGCTACCGGTCACGGAGGACATGCAAGATAGCCACAACCATGCGCGAGTGCTGCCGTGGACAGTCTCGGGAAGACTGAAAATGGCACCGCTGCCTCCAGCCTTGTGCACGATCCAGCCAAGAGTTGCAAGTGCGGTGACGGGAGCGGCAACCAGCTTGACGATGAAGAGCCATCGCAATTTTGTGGGCGGGATCAAAAGGAGCGGTAGCTGGATGATCCAGAAAAGGAAGTAGCTGATCATGCCTTGCGTTGTAATGCCGGCGTCGGCTGGAAGTTGGTTTTTGATGTGCGCGTACGAAGGCCAAATCGCGGTGAGCATGATGGTGAGACATTGAGCACCGTTGGCGCCTTGAATGCCGAGCCAGAAGCAAGCCAGGACACATCGAGAGAAGATGCAGAAATAGCCAAAGTAGAAACCGAAGCTGGATCGAACGATGACAGAGAACGGAATATGCAGTTTAGCTCCGATCGCACCGTTGAGAACCATGGGAACAGCAACGCAGGAGGTACCGACAACCATGATGGGAATGGCATCGCGCCAGTTCAGGCCGACAGCGATAACGGACGACGCGGTTTCCCAAGTACCTAAATTGATGGTATCGGTGGCCCAATAAGCCATCCATGTCCAAAGTGTCCATGTTTGGTACTTTGGAGGCACAGGGTCCATGTCGGCGTTGGTCCTAACGGAGTCTTGTCAGGTTCTGTTCAGCCATCGACGCTTTGTCAAGCAAACTCACCAGACATCTTTGGGAGCAAGGGCAGACTCTGTCGACGTGATTAGTCAGGGTCGAATATTTTGCGCCGCAGTGAGATTTAGTTACGCACCTTGCTTTGGAAGTTCCCAGGCACTGAGGGACGTTGCCCTCGCCTTGACGGTCGAGCCGCTCGGGACGTACTTGGTCACGTACTTTGACATCCTGGTGTGTGAGTCTCAGGATGGATCTGGGAGTTTGTGAGATCGCCCGATACCAGGGACAGAACCGGGAGACTATATCATTTTTTCGACACATAAGCGAGCACGACCATGATGCGGTGCTGGCCAGGGTATCACGAGAGGTACTACGAGAGTACAGGATCAGTGGCTGCGTCAACATGAAGATCCACTTCTGCGATCTGCTTGATAAGGCTCAGCGTCGCATCTCTTTGGACGAGACCAAAGGAGACGATCAAATCACGGTTGGCGTTACACTTAGCTTGGCCCCTAGTAAACCCTGCGGTTGCGGCTGGATGATAAGGCTCACTAGGCGCATGGCCTGTACGTATGATAACAGTTATTCCTTCGTGACAAAGTACATTTCGTGGTGATGATCTGACTTGACGTTTCTTCGCGGGAAAAGGTAAGCGATGTGATCTTGAACCCTGATGTCAAAGTCATCTCCAGATCTAGGCTCGAAGTGTGCATCTCAGAGCCAGATCAAGATTGTCGATGTTCGTGGCCTCGGTGTATTCTGTGACCATTGGCCAAAAGGACTTCGGACTTGACCTTGGCGTGTCCTGTCTCGGTACATTTTGCGCAAGCTTCGCAGGGCTTATCTCTCTGTGAAGCAAGCTTATTTGACAAGGCTAGCTGAGGCGGGACAGGGAATTGAAGGGCCTGAAATGGTGGGATGGCGAAAAGGCTCGTTGCAGGGTGGCGGCCTTCGCCTGGAACATGGGGAATCCAGGATGTGGAAGAAGCATTTTCTGTTGCTCCATATGATGCTCCTCGCCGCAAGGACAAGCCCGAAATAGAATGGTTGGTCTGGTTGTGTATCTGTCGACCTTGTCCCGCTGATTCCTTAAGGCTCGACTGTTGTTTTGCTTTTTGCTTCTCCTACCCATCGGACGTATGTAAGCTCCTCAGTATTTGCATAATTCAAATACTGTGGTAACCTTTCCGGAGATTGTGGTTTGCGTACTAGCTACACCATATCAAAATATTTCGTTGAGCTCAGTCCAAGGAGTTGGACCGCGTCAACCACCAGCAAAAGATGCGCCACATTCAAGGGTTGCCAATGACTGGCGCCAAACCGCGTCTGCAGTCTCTCGATTGTGTGTATTCCATATCTCTGCAGCCCGATAGCTCCTGGTTAGCTATCTCTTGTCAATCGACTTACGAGAGCGCAAAGGGAGCTTGGACTTATCTTTCACCCCGGAGCACGCCAACGGTTCCTTCCGGATGCTACCTTTTGGCCCGCCTTTGCAGGTATTCGTAGTCCGGAGTACCATCAGCTAGGTACGATTCTCTCCGATGCCCGGGATGCCTTGCTGGACAGCACATTCAAAACCCCTTTGAGCACGCGAGCAGCTGTATAGTCCTCGGAAACCCATTCAATCTTGTTCGAGTGTCTGATGAGGACCATTTACTGCGCCATTGGGGGAATCACGATCCATTGCTGCTCTCTCTTCCCTCAGGTCTTCTCTGCTCTCAAGGAAGGTGGGTGGCAATCTCTCCCAAGATGCCCGAAGCTGCGGGTGTTGATGAGCTCGGTCAAAGTGGTGGAATTCCAGGCATTGGTCTCTTGATCCTTGGCTGGTAGGTTGGATACATATTGAAGCGTAACGCCAGAGACGACCTCCAAAGCACCATCGCCAGCACCAGCACTTCAGCCTTACTGCCTTTCTAAACGACGACCTCATTCACTACAACTCTCACTTACCTTACTCACATGACCAGCCCAAGGCCCCGCTACGAGTGAAAGGGTCATATACCAAACACCTCGAATTCCCTTCGACAATCTGTGAACACCGCAAAATAATGTGGCTACGCGATTGTGTCCCGAGTCGTGGTTTCGCCGGCACGTCCTTCGCCTCTAGCACCGTGCCAGACTCTCGCAACTGAGCGTACGCGGTCGCCCATGGGTGGCTTGTCGAATCGACATGCGCCTACAACGAGCAGCAAGGCCAAGCATTGTTTAGCATCAAACCAACTCAAAAACAGGGGCCTCGCTTGTCTCGATCCCACCAGCCTTCGTATTCAGCATCTTCAACAACCTCAGACTTACCACCACAAGAGATGGACGAGGACATGATGGAAGGAGGTGAAATGAATGGTCTCGTCCGCCATGGCCGTCGCCGTCGCGACAATCGAGAAAATCCCACAGCTCGTCACAGCTATATCCAGCTTTGGAGCCCACACATCCTCCCTCAATCTGACCAGAGCCCCCTTCTATCCCCGCCACCAGAGAGTCTGATACGATTACACCCACTGTGCCACTACAACTTCCCGAGTATTCGAGGAGAAAGAAGCCTAGCTGTCCCATTCTTTACTCTTCTATTCCGCTCCTGGAGAGAGTTCTCGTCCAACTCTGATCGAGCATCGAGCCCCTCTACCACCAGCTGGTTACTACTTGACCTCATCAATCCTGACCTGACCTGACCTGACCTGACCTGATCTTATCGATCGATTATTTCCCAAGCCACCCAAGCCTATCTGGTGCACCATGGCGACCACCGACTACCAGGTACAGTACGTACGTCATCGACTATGACTAGACTAAGTAAGCATGTGAAAGCCAGCCACACCCTCGAGTGCCCCTCGAGCGCGCGGACGCCACGAGGAATTTTCTCGAGAGCATCTCCAACACCTAGCCCATATTTACCACCTAGGTATGGCACCAACTACTGTGTATACGAGACCAAGAAAATCAAACAGAACGAATCACTTATGCCCTGTTAATGGTGCTTGCGTAATTACAAGTGCCAGTCATGCAGCTTTGGTACTAACTTATAAGTGTATGTCAAACAAAAGGAAAACACAATGCTCTATGCTAGAATCCCTGTCATCGTGAACGAAAAGGAACGCAAAACCAACACGCTCATCCACCCACAATTGCTTCTTGCCGGTACTCGTGCTCTGTCCTCATGAAAACCTCTTCGTCGATACTTTGTCTCCATTTGTCATCGTCATGGGTATCTACAACTCCTGCTGCTCGTGCTCTGCCTTTGCCTCACCATCCATCAACCAAGAAGGGTACTTGCCGTACCATTCGACCTTTGAATCATCCTCATCCGGGACACGCTATTTCCCTGTCTTGTCCTGCGCAACCTCCTTGGCCTCCTCCTTCTTCTGCTGCAAAAAGCTGCTGATCCACTTGAGCACGTCGCTGGTCATCACCAGACCGGTGGTCACGACGGCCTTGCCGCCCGCCACAACGCCCTCGCCACCGCACTTCTTGTACTCGTCATTGTACGTCTTGAACGCCCAGTCCTTTGTGTTGTTCGCCGTCTCGAACGGCCAGTGCAAGTAAGTCACGAATGTGTCCTGGATCTCTTTCGTCTCGGACTTGACAATGGGCACTCTTTCGTCGAATTTATTGAGGAACTTGTCGCCCAACTCGTCGGCTTTGGCCACGTAGGGTTTCGCGTAGGACGCGGGAGTCTGGAAATAGGGAAGCGTGGGCTTGACGAATTTCGTGTAGCCCGCGTTGGTGATGTCGATGGACTTGGCGCCGTAGGGGTTCTCTTTGATCGTTTTGATCGAATCCGAGACTACGGGGTAGGATTGGAGGTGCTACAGCCGTTGTGACCATATTAGTGACGAAGTTTCCAGATAAGAAGCATGGCGAGCCACTGCAAGAGTTTGTGGTAGGCGCAGGAGTGGTAGGACTTACAGAGAGGACAGCCGAGTGAGGCATGTCGCCGTTAACAGTAGCCTCGCCCATGGTGTTGATCGAGTATTCTAAAAAGGTTTAAAACTTGGTGAGTAATTCTTCGAGGGATTCTCCGCGCTATAAAAAGAGGAATGAAGCAACAGGAGCTCTGTTGAGCTATTTTGTTGAGGTGATGCGCAGCGCAAGGGCAATGAGCACTGTGGAGGGTTTTGCACATGTCAGAAGCAGGAGAAATTTTGGGGCTGGCATGTGAGAATGGGCGAAGATCAGGCTTACATAAGGAGAACTATGGTGGGCGGTGATATAGTTCTTCGATTCCCACAGAATACGGAGTAAGAACAGTAGGGTAGTGTCAGGTTGAAGAAATAGCTTCGCCAGAAAATAATTGAGCTGCCTTTTCAACAAAGGGCAAGAACTTCCAAGCTGTTGAGAATGCGTGTCGCCTGCCTGGGAAGCACAGAAATGACGATGGCGCGCGGGATCCATTGGCAATAGAACAGGGATGGAGGAGGGTGATGAGAGGCCTTTCACATGCCAGTGCCATGTCCAGGATACTAACCACGTATTCTCAGCCACTCGAGCCACTGCCAACAAGCTTGATATTTGTGCTCATGCCGCTTCTTGGATCACTCAGGATGGCACGGTTCGCAATTCCGATGTTGCTCTCTACGCTAACCCACCGGTCTGTCTGTTCCGCCCCAACTAGCACTATTGCTGCATGATATTGCTACTTCTAGCTCGTATCGTATCTCTTGTTGATCATCTTACCGGGCCGTAGGCATCACCCTTTTACCTATGCTGATCAGACAGAGCTTCACACCACCTTGCAAACATCCGAACTCGTGCCTATCCCGGAACTCGTCAAGACAAGAGCATGCGGTGTCATGGTCAGGAACAGTCTCGAAGCACAGATGGTGCCACGGCCGTGCATATCTCCAGACCCGAGGGAGATATCCCCCTAGTACAAGCAGTAATAGTCAATCCTATCCGGGCCATAGCGTATAGGGAAGAACTTCACCCGCTCGAATCACTCCACATATCTTACTCCAGATATGCTGACGGATGCAGCAAGGTGAACTTGGGGTGCATCGTGGATGCAATTAACTCCGAGGCGCAGCCAGGATGAGGGTGCTTGGTGAGTTGCTGGGGTCGGCCTCTCAGTTACCATCAGTGAAGGCCAGCGGCACTTGCGCAGTCGAGCAATCATCGATGATACTAGTAATGCACAATAATGAGGAGATAAGCTCCGATGACAAGAGCATGTGAAGATGATGATATTGGGCTTCCTGGGGACCTTGCTTTATGGCCCTGCCACTCCTGCGTATTGCAACCTCGTATCTCTTCATACCTAGGTAAGTAGCATGGACACCTGTATGTCAATAAGGCATGAGAATCAAAAGAAAAGGCACACTGCCAGCCTCGGAGCGGCGCAGGTGTATCATTTACCTTGACACACAACGCACGTTCCAGGCCAACATTGCTCGAAGTCATAGTATACTGGCGCGCCACAGCTGTGATCAGCCATGCTGTCGGTCTGGTCCCGCTAAATTTGTTGAACGGAGACGATGGAGACGATCCGCTGCAGGTTAGGGAACATGCGAATGTACAACCACCGTTAAGGCGATCGCTGTGGCAAAGACAGCGACGCGGCTCCACTCATGGCCGCTGCACATGTCAACCGATTTTGATTTCGAAGCTCTCCAAGATGACATAGTCCATGGTGTTCATGGCTTGAAAATCCATGTTGAGATTTTGGTACACAGGACTGGTCTGTGGAATTATCTCTGCTCCCGTGGTCCGCTTTTCGCCCGGCCATGAATGCAATCCCAGGCACCCAGCTATTGCACCACCAACGCCATGCTTGTGTAACGCCTGAAAAGCACAGCCCCTTACAGTCATGTTGTGTCACCTTGCTCGCGGACCTAGGGCCAAGTAATTGCTGCTCTTGGTCAACCCAGGCAATTTACATGCCATGACGCCTTCTTCGTCCTACCATACTTGCATCACCCCGCACAGTCGCACTCCGCAAGCTCATTCTCTCTGAAATTTGTCGAAACCCGACGGCACTGTCCAGCCATGGTTTTGACAGGCACGGATGTAGGCTGCAACAGCTTCGCCGATACCGTAAGTGTCGTGTTCTCGTCGGCCATGGGACCGGGAAGATGCAAGTCTAGCAGGTCGTTCTTCGTCGCAGATGGACATGCGCACCTGAAGCAGGAGACTTTCAATGTTTTGAGCAGCCGTCCAGCCATTGTTGGTTAGCGCTTCCATACACATTGCTCCCCCTTCTGTGACGTTTCCTCCGCCGCCTTGCGCAAATGGCAGGAATCTTGGCTTGATTACGCGAATGAAGGGCGGGCTAAATGGGAACTGATTCGAAAACCGCATCTCCAACACAATCGACGTGATGTCGGCAGCCTTCATGTCGGTGGCAAGAGGTAACTTCGCTGGGAAGCTGTGCAGTTCCACGATCCACTGATACATGTTGTTGATCAAGTTCTTGTCGATATACCAGCCCAGAGCCGCCAGTGGAGTTTTGTCTTGCACAGACAAGGCCTCCCGTAGAGCGCGCATCAGCGCTTGAGTAGAGGCACTCGTTGCGTCTTTCGGCGGCTCCAGGAACTTGATGTTACCCACGTCGAGGGCTCCAGGGACAAATTCGGTCTCAGCAAGCATGTCCGCACGTCGTTTGAGACCCTGGCTTGGAGATACTTGGCCGGGAGAAGATATACCTGCCTTCTCTCGAAGAGCTGTCCCACAGTCATCAACCATGTCCTGTGTCAAGAAAGCCAAATCTGCGGCGTCAGACACCACACTTTCAGCATCGTCTGCTTGACGGTCAGCAGTCGCTTGATCAATCTCCACAACGCTCTTGGTCCTCTTTCCGGACCCTGTTCTTGCCATTTGGACAGTGTTGCCTGGTCTGCGAGTCTTGGAGATAGCGGCGAGCGGAATAGTAACAGACTTTCCAGATTCGCTACGAATCTGCCTCGCAGGATCTTGGGTATAAAACTCTCTACAATTCCACTCTGTGAACTTGAAGGCGCTAGATACCCTGACGAACAAATAGCGCGTCTGAATCCAGTCAATCTGGGAAACGACGTAATGTGGCGAACTCGAAACAAACGCGCCAGGATTGTTGACGACTTCATTGAGCGAGAATGCGCTGGAGATTTTTAGCATCGAAGGTTTCCAATCGTGCGAGGTGTTGCCCATTGTTTGTGAGACATGCTCTGCGTGAGAGTAGCCGAGACTGGTCGAAGCATGTGGCGACAGATAGACTCCATTGCCAAAAGCTCGGCCGTTGACTACCTCGTCAAAACGAAGGCCTTGTCGAACGATGGAATGCCAGTTTGCTAGTCGGCTGCCGTGCCATGCAAAGAGTGTGGGATATTTTGTTCCTGTCGCTGCATTTCCGGCTTGGACTGCGTCGTTGAATCTCTTTTCCTTGTCGGGCGCGCCTTGCGCGAAGCGGAATTGCATGTATCCTTCCATTCCTCCAACACGATCTTCGGCTTTAGTGCCATTCTTGTATGGGTCGTCCTCTAGCTGATCGACCTGGAGAATACACGATCGATTGGAGGCGACCACCCAACGCAGCAAATTGAGTGACGACTCAGATATTCTCTGCCATGACTTCAGGTTGCCATCACGACCCCGACCTTGAGACTTCAAATACTTGCACATTTCTCCGATGCTCGGGAGGGCGCTCAACAACGTAACAATGGCATGTTGCTGTTGTGTTGCTGTTAGATCGTCAAAACTCTTGTTATAAACGTAACAGTTGGCCTTCATCCCTTTCTTGAACGCGCTCGATGTCGCTGAGGTCGTCGGCTGTTGCTGGCCCTGATTTTGCGCCGTGAAGGCAACAAAGACTGGTTCATCCAGCTCAATTGAACTGGGCAATACCTTCTTTACTCGATGATGTGCAGCGACACGATTCTCTGTGGAAATGGTGACTACCCACTCTCCAGGTCTCAATCGCTGCAGGGGAGAGAAGTCGTCGTCCACATTCTCAAGTCGGTGCACGTCGGCGTGCCATGTGCATCCAAATGTGCTATCAGAGGTAGCTGGCGGAGTATCAGCCCTTCCGGATGGCGGGTTCGGTGTCGTAATTGCACGGGAGGCATACTGGGGAAACGGGACAGTGTAATGTGGCAGAACGGGGACTGTTAGGTTCAAACCCACCGGGAGGTCTTTCACTCGACCTGTGCTCGCTGCGACATTGCAAAAACTGACCAACAAATCCACAACGTATGGTTGCGAGCAGATGTCCCATTCCAAGCTTGGTCCAAATCCAAGCGTCATGTACTGGTATAAGCACAGTGGCTTTGAGCAGACGTACGGTTTCAGAGCCTCGAAAGAGTCGTCTACGCGGCAATGACATACCAAGCAGAACTCGGTGCAACGCACAAAGTGTCTGAGGACAAATTGCATAGCAATCAGTGGTAATGAAGCTCTCTCCAATGACACTTGGGCCATATGGTCCGCCATCACTACCGATGGTAGTTGTGCAGTCTTCTGTGCTTTGTCGTCGCATTGGTAGGCCTTCAGATTATCGACGGTGGTGTCGCTGGTAAACATTTGTCTTGCCTCAACCATCTTCTCGGCGCCCAGCCAGCTGAGTCTGTAGATATGTCGGGCTTTTATGATGTTTATGAACCGCTCTGCCAGGAACTGATTCAGTGGCTTGCCCATGAAGAGGGGCTCCAAAAGCCCAGAGACGTCTGAAGTATCGGGATCTTTCTGCAGGATATTGGCTTGAAATACTGCGTTGACGTCGCGTAAAGGAGGCTTGTAGTGTTCGCAGAGGGCAACATGCAACTCCATTCTGCCGTTGACGTCGCTTAGTTGTGTGATCTTGCTGGCTTCGCAGTAGCCTCCCACATATCTTATGAGGAAGATCAAGTATTGTTTACGTCGCAGACTCCATGCTTGCATCGCCTCCTCTGAGAGACCGAGCCTCGACACACGGATGGAGACGCATAGAATCCCTGAAGTCGCCAAGTTGCCGAAAATGCCCACACGATAGCCTGCCTCTTTGAGTGCTCTGACATCGGCTCTTATCTTTTCAATACTGACGGATGTGTGGTTCGACAGTTTTCTCGCATTCGACGAGCCAGCGGCCACGGTGCTCTTCACGGGCTGTAAATCTGCCAGCCCAAAGCCAGCATCATCTGAGTCGTATTCGAAATCAAAATCGCCGTCATCAGTGTCCTCCATTGTAGTGTCATGCTCATCCACATCATCATTACCATCCGCGAGGGCGGCCGTGAGTCGTTGCGAGACCTCTGAAAGCACCTCAGAGAGGGATTTGCCATGAGTTTGAGCTCCTATGGTTTGTAGTGTTTGAGGAATGACAGCGTCAACACGATCATCATCGGTGAAGAGCATAAATGAGTTGTCGTCAGGGTAGTCGTCGAGGCTAGTGGCGCAGGCTTGGATGTTCACGTTGGGAGTGGAAGATTGGTCCGGACAACAGTAAATAAAACTGACAACACCTTCTTCCGGAGTGTGGACGCCTTCGATATTGGCAAATGTGGGGAGACTGACTTCCGCCAGGTGTCTGAGAAACTGTCTTCGGCCCATGACGTTGAGAGGGAATCCAAGGTCGGCTTCAATAGGTCTGTGGTTGCTTGTGACGGGGGGAAGGTCTATGAGTTAGGGAGAGTGATTTGGTAGCAGGGCCTGCATCAGGGTCGGGGGTTTGGGGCGCAGAAGGACCGGCACCTTCAGATAGAACACTTGGTGTGCGGACTCAAGATATGCTGGATGAGGACAGGCTTAAACGAAGAGCGTTACACAAGGCTGTTATGGGGAAGCAGAGTCACAACACATTGGATGAGGATTGTAGGAATTGTTGAATGAAAGGCGAGGGAATACCTTCAGGCAGAGAAAGCGCATCAAAGGGCTTTCATGATGAGTAGCCAAGTGAAAGGACAGTAAAGGTGAAGTTCATCTTCTGCTTTTAGAGCCGCCTTAGGCAACAACTACTGTACCAAAGGTCTGGAACGGCAGGGGTGGAAGTTCTGCTCTTGGCGTTGTGTTCTATACAGGCCAGACGATGACAAAGTGAAGGACCACCGATATCTGTTCCAGTGAATTTCCTTGTCAATAGGCTGCACTTCGAGATTGCTGGAAAATAATTCCATATTTGCAGATGAGAAAGGAGGGAGAGATGGGAACCCGGCCAGCTCGCCAGATACGTTTTGTATATATCGGCATGACTTTGATCCGAGCCGGAGGCGGTTTCGTTAAAGAAGACATTTGTGCTGCATTTCCAATTGTTCGCTCAAGGTTTGCAAGCGACGTCGAATGTACCTATAAGTCTTTGGCCTGTGGCTCATTTGGTCTGTATGGCAGTGTCTGAGCGGACTGAGGACGAGCAACAATCATGTTGACTTGAGGATGTGTCCTCCACCACAATTCCTTTTCTCTTCTCTCTCACATACATATCTCGATGTAGTACTGCCCAGCACAGCTTCTCAAGATGTCTGCTCGAATCGAGACAGAGACACCTCCAGCTGAAACGAATGGTCCACTACTTGCGAGAATCAGCGAGCCTCAATTCGACGCGGTAGACTTTCTCAACGACCTCCTCCCGCCCCTCAGCCTGTCCTCCCAGACCCACGCACAGAAGACAACCAGATCTGGGCAGATACAGAGCGCTTCCACTGACTCACTCGCGCTTTTATCCTCCCTGAACACGGTCAACATCCGTGCGTCTTCCGATTTATCCTCTTTGACGGACGAGATCATACGCAGCGGTAATCGACTGGCATACGAGGTGGAAATTCTGCGTGGTGATGTTAGTGGTCTGCATGAGCTGCTGACGGATTCATTGCGGGAAGATATCGGACACTTTGTTCGAGATGCAGTAGACGGAGTGGATTCGGCTGGAGGCTCGGAAAGACTGCTGTCGAAGAATGAACCTGACTTCATGAGACAACTGCGACTGCTAGGCAAGGTCAAAGCACGTCTTGAAGCTGTCATTACGATTTTTGGAGAAGCAATGAAATGGCCGATGCCCCCCTCCGAGCTCTCAGTGGCTTCATCACTAATCTCGGTATCTGCGCCAGAACTAGGCATTCAAAGCACACAGGAAGACGACAAGGCTCGAGACGTGTTGAAAGGAATCCGCACCGAAATCACCGAGGCCCTTAATTCTGAGGGAGGCGGCTATGCAGGTTGGGAGGCAGCAGCTCAGAGGGTGGAGGAATACAGACAGCTTGCTTCGTTGTGGAAAGGCACCGGTGAAGAAAAAGCAAGAACCAAGTTTGTAGATACGCTGGCAAAAGCTGTGGAAGATAGGAGGAAAGTGCTCGAAAGCCGGGGCGCATCACGGAATGTGAGGGCTGACGGCTCCCCTCGATCAAGTTCCACGATGGGCAGAAGTACCAAAGCATCCAACGAAGGTGGTGCAGTTGGGTTGTTCAGAAACTTGCAGCGCTTGAAGGACGACTTGTACCTGGAGTAATGCTGATAAATATTGGCATTCGATTGATTTCAGCACCATTTCATTTGGTGTGAACAGCACTTGATCGCATCACGCTCAATGGTCTTTTGATCCTCCCATAATCTCGCACCGGGCGTTGTGCAGACATGAATTGTGCAAGGCGCAGCTGACAGTTACCAGCATTTGATTCGAAAATCTTTTCATTCGTTTTCCGATCCTTGAAATTGAACCGCTTTCTGTCGCCCGTGGGCGAGGCCAGAAATCATGCCGTTGAATCGCCATAAAATGCCAACCCCATCAACCTCGTTTCTACACTGCGCTCAAAATCTCAAGGGTGTGAAGAACCATCTGTTCTTTCCGCTCAGGTATCTCTCTTCCAGCGCCCTCTTCACGTTCTTCTTGGCATCTTCTCTCTGAGAAACCTCCTTGAATGTGTCGTTGGAGATGACGCTCTTCAATCCTTCCAATTCGAGGGTGTATCGGGTAGGCATGATGTGGTTGTAGTTGATCATCTTAATGAATGGCTTGACTTTGGATCGCTTCTCGACTCGCTTCTTGCCCATGCGACGAGTGACTTTCGAAGGGTAGCGCTCAATGCCTGCGACCAGAGCGTAGGAGAATGGGTGTTGCTTGGTGCCTTGGTCGACTGGTTGAATGATGACGACCTGTCAATTTCAGTCAATACCACCGTTCTACAATTGGACTCTTGGGTGACAATTCAGAGCCCGCTCTCAGAGTCCTTCGTACCTTCTTTCCGGCATATCGGCCTCGAGTAATGATGGCCACACGGCCGACCTTGAGAACTGTACCAATCGTTAGCCTTCACACCCTTGCGCAGACGTCGTTCGGTCGGCTTACACTTCATCTTGAGGTCAGGACTGCGTTGTGTTGTGGTCGGAAGATCGAGGTCGCTGGTCGTAATGAATTGACGGTCTTTTGTGGAGGTCCAAAAAGTTCTTGTGTGTGGTTCTTGGCAGCCAGTTCGATCGGTGTCGACTTAGGTAAGCACAAGTCTGAGGTTGGAGCTAGCGAGCTAGGGACTGCCGCATAGCACGTGACTACTAGCTAAGCCCTTTTGAGATGAGTAAACAATCGCTCGCTTTACTGCCACCAAACCCCAATACATTGTCACTCAGATCTACCAATACCCAAAACCATTGGGAGTTCATGACACTTGTGATATGTTTGCTACTGTAGCCGATCTTCCAGGCTAGCAACGGAGACACGAAACCGTACATCATGACCACAGAGTACTCTCATTTCAACTGACAGCATTCCTCTCGAAGTTCCCCACAAGGCATTGACCATGTCGTCTTACTCGCGAGAACCCTCGAGGGACCGTGCTGAGTCTCGGATGGTGAAGCATCAACATTCATTTTCGGAGTCTGGCAGAAGTTCCGTGCCCATGTAAGTGCCTCTGGTTGCATCGAACAACACTGTCAACATTATACTAACATGCCTCAGGTGGGATAGCTCAGATCCCGACAGAGCACCTCCACCGCTTCCTTTGAACCCTGGAGGACCTGGAAGTCCAATAACGAGATCTAACACATCGAAGCGTATTGACGAAGCTGCCGCCCTCATCACGGCAAAGGCTCGAGAGAATGCGCCGAGCTCCTATACGAGCAATCCTCCGCCTACCTGTATCTCACCTGACAGAAACATCATGCGGGCGCAAAACAGACGGATGCAACACATCCAGAGTCCCAGTATCAGCAGACTGAGCGACTCACTGGAGCGACGATCTCCAGACAAGGGTCTCCGGACCGCGAGGTTTGTAGATTTCGAAGACCTGCACAGCAGCCGATCATCCGAACGCACTCACAGGTCAGAAACGCCTACCCCGAGCGACAGAAGATCGAAAGAGATGGAGAACACACCTCCCTCATCCAACATGCTTGCATTGCAAAGTGTCAGGCACACACAAGACACAAATCCTCTGGGCGACATCACAAATGGCACCTTTCCGTCGGCCCCGAATTTCTCATTCGACTCCTTGTCGTCTCAGATCTTGAGCCTGACTAACATTGTCACAAATGTACAGAAAGAGATGTCAAGCCTGAACAAGCGAAGCAAAGACAACTATACCGATCTGAGAGGCCTCAAAGAAGCCGCTACGTCCAGGGATGAGGATATCCGAAAGAGCCTTCGAGAGCTTGTTGCAGGTCTTGAGTCCAAGCTGAACAATCTTGACACTCGACTACTGACTGCTCCAGAGACAAGTCGCTCAAACTCCAATCTGGGCGGCCTGTACTTGGACGATAAAGCTCATAGTACAACCCCACGGAAAAGTTTCGGTTTACCACGCATTGGCAGTCCAACCAACTTTTCACTTACACTCGACCGAGAACTGACGGCATCACCGTCAATCGCTTGCGTCGATGGTGCAGCAAGCATTGCTCTTCTGGAGAAGGTCCTTAGAGAGATGGCTACTCGCGAAGGCCAAGACAAGATCATAAGCACACTGGAAGCGGTCAAGTCTCAAGCTGTGGTAAGATCTCAGACAGTTGCACCTGCACATACAACAATTGATTCCACCATGATGTCAAAACTGGAGGATATTTTGATGTTCATGAAAGATATGAAGGGAGAATCTGGGTCCAGAGCGTTAGTACGGTCGAATGCCAACGATAACTCGAAGCGGAGTTCCAACCTCGATGCTTTCCTGGAAGAGGGTGCTTTGGCTAAATCGAAGTCAGGCAGCGAGGGAAGAGCATCGCTGTCTGGGTCTGACAATCTCACAGAAGAAGTGGCCAGGACACTGAAGAATGTGAAGCAATCTTTGGCGCAGAATGGCGGCCTCACAAACGAAGTCAAGGTTATCGTCCGGGAGCTCCGAGGAGAGGTGCTTGGGATGGGTCGTGAAATTGGAAGAAAACTGGAGCAATCCAGCTCAAACAAAGCAAGCAACCCCGACGCGCAAGCCGCCCTACGAGACGAGATCGCCATGACTGTACGACAAGGATTAGCTGAGCTCAAAGAGCACATGCATCACATTGCCCAAGAAACAAGGGGCCGATCCATGGAAGTGAGCCGTCCGGCGGACGACACTCAGGAGATTGTTCGTGCTGTCCGGGGCTTATTGGCTGAGTTGCCCCAGCCTGTACAGTCACCTGTCAGAGATCCGCTGGTTGAACGGGAAGAGCTGCTGACAGCGGTCAAGGAGGCATGGGAAGACTGCAAACCTGAAATTGCCCTGGAGCATTTCGGACTGGAACGCGACGAAATATTGGAGTGTCTAAAAGAAGGTCTGAGGTCTTACCAGCCACAACAACCTACAGCAAAAGACGCTGGTGTGACTTACGAAGATGTGCTTGAAGCCGTGCAGAAAGGACTAGCAGACTATACTCCACCGAGTCTTCCGGCTCCTTCAGCCATTTCACAAGAAGACCTCTCCAAGGTTGTACGCCAGTGTTTGGAAAATTTTGAGTGGCCACATCCACATTCCGGGCTGCCTGGCCATGATGGACTGACCAGAGACGACGTTGCTGGAGCTGTTCAGGAAGCATTGGCTCATCATGAAACTTCAACAAGGGATTATGTGGCTGAAGCAATCCAAAAGGGCCTTTCCCACCAGGAACCAGTAGCCAAGGAGGTCGAATTCAACCGCGAAGACCTTTTTGATGCTATTCGGGCTTGCCTTGAAGGGGAGCAAAACCCACTGGGTGGAATGGGCGAAAAGGTCATTGAAGCTATGCACGAATTCCTCGGCAGCATGAAGACCGAATTCCAGCAATACTCAGCTGCAAGTGGCAAGGACACCGAGCAGGTCCTGGATGCCCTCAAAGATGGACTTGAAGATCTGCGAGCAGATATTGAAAGCTATGTTGATCGCGCTGCAGACGTGACGGGCAAAGACGAAATCATTGACACGGTCAAAGCTGGATTTGCCGCGATGCAGGCTGATGTCGACAAAGGGTTTGCCAATCGCGTGGGAGGAGCAGCACCGAATACTCCCGAGCTTCTGGACGCCATGGAAAAGGAATTCGAACATCTTCGAGAAACAATCAGCAAGAACATGGCCCGAGACAATTCATTGACCGAGAAGGACGAGATATTGGACGCCATTCGCGATCTCTCCGATGACCGACAATCAGCCCTGAGCAGCAATAGTGAAGACATTGTTCGTCTGGTCAAGGAAGAGCTAGAGCACATGAGAAGCACACTTGCCGGAACATTGATCAAGAGTGGCTCGTCTTTGGACCGCGATGAGGTGCTTGAGGTCATCCGGGAGGGCCTGGAAGCTTCTCGATCCGGACATAGAGTGGACGGAAGCGAGAGCATTCTGTCCAACACAAGTGAGCTCTTAGATGCTTTCCAAGATGGTGTCGATGGCATCAGAGCAGACATCCAGAGTCTGAAAGATCGTCATGTCGATTTGAGTGCAAGCGAGGAGGTCCTAGATGCGTTGAAGGCGGCTGTTGAAGATATACGAACAGATATTTCTCACTTGAACAACAAGGAAAAGAGCGAGTCGGAGTCAGGGACAGCACGAGGTCAGGAGATGGTTGTACATGACCAAAACCGCATCTCAACGGAAATCGAAGGCTTGAAAGTGATGATCACTCAGCTGAGAATCAAGGTGGAGGCATTGGACGGCCTGGCGGCACCAGTGATACCAACCGAGACTCGCATGCACAAGGACGACCTGAATGAACTTCATGATGCAATCCAGCAGGTTGGAGAAGCTGTGAGTCAGACCAAGGTCGAAGATATTCATATACACAAGGACGATTTGGATGGGCTGTACACCGCTATCAATCAGGTCAACGACGCGGTAACCCGGGTCCGAGATACTCCCTTGCCAGAGGTGGTGATGCCTGACAATGCAGCTTCGAAAGAGGACACTGACGCAATCGAAACATTGCTTCGAAATGTGAAAGCCAAAATTGACGAGGTGCTTTCATCAGAGTCCGAACCTCTGGCGAAATCCAGCCAGTTCGACGCTGTCGAGTTCGGTCTGAAGGATCTCAAAGTGGCAGTTGAAGAATGGACGCAGCGCGCGGGCGAGCAGTCAAACAAAGAAGACTTTACTCTCATCGAGCTTATGTTGAAAGATGTGCAGAGCAGTCTAGAGGACTTCAAGTCCAAGCTAGATGGAGTGAATCGCGAAGAACGGTCGATTGACAAGACCGACTTCCAGCTCCTCGAGACATTGTGTATGGACATCAAAAGTCAGATCGAGGAGATCAAGCTTCCTGAGCTTGATGTGTTGCCCACCAAAGAAGATCTCACCGATGTCAAGAACGATCTCAAGTCGTTCCGCGAGCAATTTGAAGCCGACAATGGCCTGACTGCGCAAGCGTTCGAGGCGAGAAAGATCGAGCATGGTGGCCTCGCAACAAAGATTGACGATGTGAAGAATGTCATTGGCGACCTTCGAGACGAACTGATTGGCAAGGTGGAAGAGAGTGCTGAAGGTATTGTCGAGTTGAACAAAGTGCTCGGAATGCACCATGATGACATGAGCAAATATGCAACAGCCTCCAGCATTGCAGAGATGTCGAAGATGATCAAGACCGAACTCGACCGCCAAATGGACCACCACTCAAATATTCAATCCGAGATGGAAGAACGCAATGCTACCCTCTTCACCAAGCATGAAGAGACTGGGGCAGACATCAAATCGGTCATTGCAGAGAGGTTTCATGAACTCATGACCAAGTACGACGACACACAGCAGGCGAACGAGGCCAAGCTGAACATGTTGGAGGAGCGTGACAGTGCACATTTGGAGGCCACAAATGGCACCAAGGCAATCGTGGATGACCTGAAGCTGTTGATGGATACCCTGGGCTCGACGGTCACAGAAACCTGTGAACGAGTGTCTGAGGACTCCAAGACCGTTTTTACCTCGATTGAAGATTCGAATGCCAAGTTGGACAATCTGCACAGTGGAAATGCATTCGAGCATGGTGTCACTCGGGAAGAGATTGCGAAGACACTTGCAGCCGCGACAAGACTAGAAGGCACAGTCGCGGAAAATCAACCAGCTGTACTATCCGCAATCCGAGAAGTGCTGCAAGTCGTCAGTCAACACTACGAACACTCGCAGCAACAGACCGAAAGTTTTGCACGCGCAACTGAAGAGATCAAGTCCGGGGTCGACTCCATTCCAGCAGCTATTCCACCATTGTTACCAGCCCTGCCGGCAGGACCAGCTAGTCCAGAGATTTCGAGAGAAGTGCCAGTCCCAGAGAGATATGACGACAGCGAAGTGCATGACAAGCTCGATACCCTTCTTTCGCATGCAGCTCTAGCCAAGGAGGTCTTTGCTGGCATTGAAAACCAGCACAAGGACACTCGTGATTCTCTAGCCAGTATGTCGAAACTCGACGAAGTTCATGCACAAGTCATGGCCACCGCAGCAGAAATCGCAAGCATGGTTACCACTCAGGCGAGACTCATGGGTGAACATCACGATTCGAAAGTCGCCGAAGCCACTGAGGCGGCCATCGCGTTGGAGAAGCGGACAGCTCAAAAAGAGAAAGTCGAAGCTGACATCGTTGCCCTCACGCAAGAAAAGAATGCCCTTGCCGCGTCTATGGCAAGCTTGAGGCATGAACAGGAAGAACTTAGCGGACAGACTAAGAGGCTGACTCGAGAAGTGGCTAAGCTTGAGACTGCGCTCCAACTTCGACAAGTTGAAGTTCGTGAGATGAATGCTCAAGCGGAGGCCGTCGAACGCCGCATCCTGGAAGGACTTGTCAACCAAGCCCGGTCCGTCCAGCCTTCGAGATCCAGAGCTAGGAAGGTCAACCATGCCGAAAGAGATGCCTCAATGAATCTGAAGCGTGTACCCAGCAATGCGACTGTGACGGCCCGAACATCCATCAAGGGCGGAAATTCGACAATTGGCAGTGCTGTTGGTATGGCCATCAAGAAGAGAGCACCACTGGCTTCGAATGGAAGAGCATCCACGACGCCGAGGACATCTGCTGTTGACCGACGAATCTTGAGTACCAGTCACGTTACCGGCAATCGAGGCCGCAATACTCCTGATATGGCATTGATGCTCGCTCCAGTGCCCAAATCGACAGGTCTTGTCAGCTTGAAGCGGAGTCAATCGGTCAAGAGTAATCCGAGTAGTTACCTCAATGGACGGAAGGCGAGCTGGAACGGCGTGTCCTCGGAATTGACCGACAAGGAGAACTTCAGCGTCGACGTTGACAACAGCGAAGATGACGCTCGAAGCGACGCAAGTACAGAGCGACGAACCAGCTTGGGGACCAGCTACATGTATACGGACAGCATGTCGTACGGGACTGGCAGCTCGCTGAGCGGGCACTGTCGCCTGTCGACGGACAGTAGCATCGTTGGTACGGTCAACGGCCACGCGGACAGTATTGAGGAAGAAGATGAGGAGCATGACTTCGATCAGACGGCAGTGGTGTTGCATGAGGGAGGCGAAGATAGCCAAGTCAATTCGGGTCAAGACAATTCAATGGCTCTGACGACGTTTGATGGGCTCGAGACACCGAACGTGGTCGGCGAGACGATGTCTGATCTCCAGCCTCCGCCGGTCATGACTGAGGAAGGGTTCAAGTACCATCATGACAGCGACAGTGGACTTGGGACTGAGCCGTTGACGGCGGGGACTGAGGAGAGGATCGGACAGGCGCAGGAGTACTTTCAGATGACGGCGCAGGATTTGCAGTCTTGAAAGGACCAGGATTGGATAGGATAGGTAGGCTGCTGTTGACTTGGTTTTTGGTGTTATCGGGTGATCAACAAGTGTTGGAGTTTTGAGGATGAGCGTTCAGCGAGTCGAATCAGGGTGAATGATGAATATTATTCGAATGCGACACTAGGGGAGTGAGAGGTAGATAGTCGAGTATGATTACGAACTTCTTATCATCATGTTTTGCCTTCTAACTTGGTGAGAGGATGATGGTCCTGTGTTGTTGTTCTCGTGTCATTCTCTCGAGGCTGGCCTCGGCATCGCCAGGGGGCTGGTGTGCACAAGTGCACCTAAACTTAGGCTCCCTAGGCGTCACTAATGGGAGTCTCCCAGGCATTGAAGGTAGCTTAATTGAGTTAGTGGCTTCCCCAACAAACCGCAGAAATTGTGCGTCATGCCTGCTTGTCGACCTCCGCAACACCTCGACATCTATTGACCTGCCTGCTCACACGACACACTTCACCTCACTTCTCTACGCCATGCTCTAATCATTTTCCTTTCGTCCTCGTCCCTGGCGCGCTTTTCACCTTACTCTCGCTAGACAACCAAGAGTTGCAACGATGCTCGACCCTCTTCCCCCTCCTCCGCCTTGGCTGGTAGCGCTCGTCAAGCCAGCCTGCGACGCCCTCTCTCTGCCCACGCTCGCGTACCATATCCACGAGGTCTTATTCGCGTTTGTGCTGTATCAGACAACTCAGAGTATCATCTCTCCTGTGTTGAGCAATGTGTTGTTCCCGGACATATATCCGAAACTCAATAAGAGGACAAGAATAAACTGGGATGTGCATGCTGTCAGTTTGGTGCAGAGCTGTTTGATTAATAGCCTCGCGCTATGGGTCATGTGGACGGACGAAGAGCGGTCTGCGATGGGCTCTGATCGCACAGGCAAGGGGAGTGTGGAGAGGATATACGGCTACACAGGCGCCAGTGGATTGATTCAGGCCTTTGCCACAGGATACTTCGTCTGGGACATCGTTGTGAGTACGCGGTACTTGAAGGTGTTTGGCATCGGGATCTGGTTGCATGCTGTCACTGCCTTGAGTGTGTTTAGCTTTGGATTCGTGAGTATACCCCTGCCATTGCCTTGTGCTTGCTTTCGTGCCTTCTATCACTGAACATACTCCTCTGGGCTCCTGATCCCTTGAATGTCCAGCGCATGACCGGTTCGCGCGTGTCTTGAGACTATGCTCGAGCGCGAAACAGATCGGAAGGAATAAGAAACGGCGCACGGTAACGTGTTCGACGTGTGCATTGGCTGACGAGATGATCCGAATAGCGCCCGTTCTGCAACTACTATGGCCCGGTGTTCATCTTGTACGAACTGTCCAGCCCTTTCTTGAACGTCCACTGGTTTTGCGACAAACTCAACATGACAGGCTCGAAATTGCAATGGTACAATGGGATGTTGCTGTTGGTCATGTTTTTCTCCTGTCGTCTCGTGTGGGGCACATACCAATCGCTACGGGTGTATCAGGACGTATGGCACGCGATGCACTTGGATGCGAAGGGCCAACCACCGTTCATTCGCGAGGTGCACGAGTCAAATCTACCGGGTCATTCGATTTTCGTGCCGCGTGATGGCCAGTTGTGTTTAGGCGACACGAGCTGTATACGGGCACAGAGTGAGGTCATGAAGTTCACGGGTCCGGAGACGCTGGCGGTGCCGATTTGGCTAGCGGGCATATATCTGGTGAGCAATTTGGTACTGAATAGCTTGAACTTTTACTGGTTTGCGAAGATGATTGAGACGGTGCGGAAGAGGTTTCAAGGGAAGCCACATGATGAATTCGCCAACGAGAGGGAGAGACGGCCAAAGAGGACGCCGAGTATGGTTGAGCAGATGGCGAGCGAGCTGGATAAAGAGACGTTGTCGGGACCCGATTCCGAGGAAAAGATCGAGGCGGTGGGAAGGAGTACGGCCGTGCCGGTGGATGGGGAGCTGAAGAAGAGATGAACGCAGTGGCCAAGATGGCAGGGTATGGACGAACTCTGAAGAGGAGGTGGAATGAGACCTTGGTAGAGGCTGGCGCTGGGTCGTCAGGTTGGACAGGCTTTTGGGGAATAGCTATTTGTATTGCTGGGGGCATTCTGTTACTGGCAGAGCGTGTATCCTTAGAAGCAGGGCTTTCGATTCAGAGAGAAAAAGAAGAAGACAACACCGTTGACATCGTTATCAAGCACGACGAGTATCAATAATTTGAGAGCAAGGCTGATGATGCATCTTATCTTATCTCGTTTGTGCATCCTCAATCGCTGGTCTGGTTGCCCAATCGACGGTCAATCGACGAAGTCCAAAACATCGGAGTCAAAGTTCCCCAATTTTGCAGGGATTCACGGGTTGTGAACTGCGGCTAAACAACACTGTCATTGCACCTCGCGGGAGACTGCAGCTGGATCTTTTCCTTTCTCTGTTCACCAAAGACTGACGAATTCTCACAATTTGAGACGTCCGAGAAACTGCGCCCTTTGAAACAGGCAGGCATTAGTGAGTGTTGACTGGCACAACTTAAGTCACAGTACTCTATTCCGACTGCGGTCGCGGCCGATGTATTCTGTTGGTGCATCGTGATCCGATTTGGCCTCTCTTTACGAAGAAACCCACGACCACCTACATACGAGACGACGTCGCGCCTCCTCCCTCCTCTGAGATCGCATCTTGAGAGTTTGGACGAGATGGCCTTCCTGTTCGGCTCCCGAGGCCGACAAAAGCAGCCCGCGGAAATTGTGCGGTCTTTGAAAGACTTGCTGGGCAAGTTGGGCGAAGCCGGGAGGAATGGTGGTGGGATCGGAAAGGTACGTTGACAACTTCACACTTCTGGACACGTGGGCGTCTACACGCACGCACATACACGCACGGAGAAGAGGGGGAACGAGGCCTAGAACCTAGAAAAGAGAGGGGGCAAGAGAGATAGGAGAGGACAGAGGACTGCTGCGGATGAGGCCTTTGAGAATGAGGACGCGAGGAGAAGAGGCCTGTAGGACAGCGATAGGCCAGGAGAGAACAGTCGGGTCGATTGTTTATGCCTCCCTTCTTCAAGCTCGCTGCGTCATGTTGCGCATGTGAAAGGGCGGAAGTGTACAACTGGTGGTGGTATTCTCTGACACGGCACGGTACTGGAGGATTGACTGCTTGTGCTCTCCTCTCTCTCGACCCCTGCCTTCGCTTGGAAATCGCTCACGGATTGGGGAAGCTGGCTAACGACCGGCCGTGGTGGATATAGATTGAAGAAGAAGTCGGCAAGCATATGAGCCAGATGAAGTTGATTGTGCAAGGGACACCTGGTAGGTACACTTTTCACTTTCAACGCCAGTCTTGTGTCTTTTCTGCCAGGGAAAGCATCGCCACTCGTCCCCTCGTTTTCTTTTCCCCGACCATGGTCAAGAACAACATCGAACCGATACAGCGCAATCAGAGAGGACGATCAAGGTAGCGCGCCTGTACTGTCGGCTTCTGTGTATCAGCATGTCTAACCGCCACGGCCGATCACGAGAACATCAGCATGCCCTCGAAGACGAATAACGCAGAAAAAATCGAGAGGGCTCCTAGAGCTTATCAGCCAAAATGGGCGTATGAACTCCTGGCTACTGCCAGCACCACTCCATCGTCGCTTTCGGGCCATTATCATCTTCTCAATATGCCGACCTTCTCTCTTGGCCAATTCCATGGTGTTGATACGAGGTTAATACAAGGATGAAAAAGTATACTAATTGATATCAATAGAAGTTGAGTGCTCCCCCGACCAAGTCCATCAACTTGTATCCTGCATGATCCAAGAAGACATTCTCTACGAACTCGCCCGATCTATCCGATCATTACCCTTTGAAGCCCGCAAAGACGCTCAGATTATCTTTTCGCACATCCTGCGGTGGCGGCCGAACGGTACTCCCCCAACAACGGAACCCTCAGCGATATCATATCTTGTTCTCCAACGTCCAGAGATCATTGTGGAATTATGCCGCGGTTATGAATATCCACAGTCTGCAATGGCATGCGGCACGATATTGAGGCAAGCTTTGCAGTATGATACCGTTGCTGCGGTGATTCTGTATGATGAATCGCAACCCGAGAGCGCAAAAGACCAGGCGGTGCAACTCAAAGAAGTGGATGTCACGAAGCCGCAAAGCGGCAATGGGGTCTTTTGGAAGTTCTTCGGGTGGATCAACAAGGGGAGTTTCGAGGTCAGTGCGGATGCATTTACGACATTCAGGGTGAGTCTCATTTCTTCTCTGGTCTGCAGACACAAAAGGGGGAATGATCCTTGTAATGTTTAACGGCGGCCAGCTGTCTGATACTACGATACTACCCTGCCCTCCTCCTGGTATCATATCCCGCTGGCTGGCTGCGCCGACCTGGTGTCAAACCAGCAGCAGCTTGCCTACTCTTCCCTCGTCCGTAATGCTCGGGCAAGCTGAGTTCTCGGCCTTGACCGGCCACTGCTTTCTGCTCTACTTGGTCTGTTGCTAGATGAATGAGCACTCACCCTCTTTTCTCGCAGGAAATCTTGACCAAGCACAAACAACTCGTTAGCCAATACCTTGCGACGAACTACGACCTCTTCTTCAAATCACACTACAACGCGACACTCCTCCTGTCACAATCATACGTCACAAAACGCCAGTCGATCAAACTCCTCGGTGAGCTGCTGCTGGATCGAGCCAATTACGTGATAATGACACAGTACGTTGCGAGTGGGGACAACCTCAAGCTGACGATGAACTTGCTCAAAGATGATCGGAAGATGGTCCAGTACGAGGCGTTCCATGTTTTCAAGGTGTTTGTGGCGAACCCGAATAAGTCCGACGAGGTGAGGCGGATCCTCGTCAAGAACCGTGGGAGGCTGTTGAAGTTTCTGCCGAGTTTCCTCGATGGAAGGACGGATGATGATCAGTTTCTCGATGAGAAGAGCTTTTTGGTCAGGCAGATTGAGATGCTGCCGGAAGAGGGCAGTGAGCAGCAGCAGGGGGTGGCAAGTGGAGAGGGTAGTGGGCTGAGAGTCGGAGCATAGGATGCTGCCTTTCTCCCTTGAGTGCGCCACGGCGAATTGGACCCTTTCGGATCAGATGAGAAGAGACCAGCGTTTGGACGGCCCGGCGCGGCATGTATTATACGGGATGCATGATCCTGTCGTCTCGCTGTGCCGATTTTGGAGTTGGTGGATTTCGGGTTTCCTCAACAGGGCTCGAGAGCAGCCAGCTGGGCTGACGGTGTGGCTGCATCTATTTTCGGTGTTGGTGACTGCATCGCAGAGCATGGTATATTGGATCATGGGTACTGCCCTGCGGCAAGCGATGGACGTTAGAGAGTTCGTTGTGGCGTGACTGCAGTATTGATTAAACGAGCATACGAAGCGATGAAGAAGAACCACTTTCAAGCAAGCATGTTTGCTTAGCTTAAATTCAAGCATTGGCAACTACCTAGGCATACATCAGTTGAGACATCTCCCCGCCTGAACTTGGCTCTTCATGTCTTCGCCCTCGCGGGTCATGGCTTCACTCTCAAGAACCTCGTTCGTAACTCATATCAAGCCAATCCATGACGTTTGAAGAAGTCCACAATATCCCGCACAGCGGGGCCGACAAAATCCTCTTTGTCATAGAAGTCCATATGTCTCCCACCAGGGACGACGACTTTCTTGACATTTTCCTTGCCAGCACCATCTTTGCTGCCCCGGCTGAGGACTTCGTAAAGCTTCTCCGAATGCCATCGGCTCTCTGCCTATTCACCGACGACAATAAGAACAGGCTGCGTCAGATACAGGTCGGCAAACAGCCACGCGTCAAAGTTCATCACCAGCGGCACGGAGCGCAGGAGCATCTTGTTCTGCGCGTTCTTGTGCTGTGCACGGGGTGTGCAGTAGTACTCGTACGCATCGGCGAGGTCGACGGGAGTATCCTTGTCCGGCTTGGGCGGGACGTATGGCGCCGTCGTTCCTTCGCCGCCTTCAGCGCCACTGCCACTGCCATTGCCGCCAGCTTGTGCTTGGGCTTGGGCTTCGGACTGCAAGACCTGCGCAACCTGTTCGAGGTCCGCGAGGTGTTGCGAGGGGTCGTCCTTGCCGTACCAGCCGTGGCGCGCGCCGTCACCGATGTTTACTGCGCTGACGGTGGCGACGGCCTTGAAGCGGTGGTCCCCTTTGGCTGCGGCGGCGGAGGCATCGGTGACGCGCGCGGACGGGTCTTCAAGGAAATGTGGGAGACCTTCGGACTCGCCTTGGTGCGAGTCGTCGTAGCATATCGTGACGAAGCCCGCGCGCAGACAGGCGCTGCGCGTAGATGCTAGCGGTTTGCTCCTTGACGCCGCCACCGGGGTGGACTATCACGAGGCCCGGAGCTTTGGAGGGTTGGGTGGGTGGCTTGAAAAGGAGGCCTGCGAGGTGGACGGAGCCTTTTGGGATTCTGACTGAGGACATGATGGAAATACTTGAGGCTGGCCTTAGGATGATGAGCGTGAAGGGGTAGCCTACAGTCAGTTTGACATCCACGGTCCTTTCATTCCTGGTCGGATATGCTGCTTGTTGGTCTGCTTATTGCCGTGGGACTGGACTTAAGAGCGGGCTCAAGGTGCTTTGCAAACACAGGGTTGCGCGCCGCAGCGTATGTGGTAGGTTCCCGGGGTCAGGGTTGGCAAGTAAGTAACAAGCTGCCTGGGTGCCTTCCCAAGTTGGCAGATACCTTGGCTGGTGTCGACTGGAGGTACTGTTCGACGTCGATGTCCTTGATGCTGCATAATTGCACAGATCAGGCACTTTTCTCAACCGGCAATGGTTGCAAGGCCATTCACGATTACACTGTCAAGGTTCAGCATGCTACGGGAGAGTCGCGGCAATTAGTTTGTACCTTTTGTTTACGTCGCTGGCACTCTGTGCAAGACACTGGATGAGTTCCAGTCACGCCTTCAGGGTTCATCGGATATCTGGCTGCTTCCAGTATGACTATCCGGCAAGCGTCTTTGGCTTCAAGAGCAAGCCAGTGGACGCCAGCATATTAGTTGCACAGCTCTCTTGGACAATCAAGTGCTCTAGACGCAGGATGGAATCACAAAATTGTGGTTGTTGTAGTGGTGATAATCCTCTCAGCCTGAATTAGTAGTGAGTGTACGGCGAAACAGAAAGAGCTTTATGCGGTTTGCTGTTCCGTATTTCTTGGCAGTCGTTCTTATCTTTTTGCTGCGCTCAGAACTTGTCGACTTCCATCGACACGAACTTCCATATGCAGTAGAAACACCTTAGTATTCGATCAAGACAAGCTAGTTCTCGATACATCTACTTGCCTCTGCTGTCCCATTCGGCCGCCAGAACCACCCACCTCCTCTGCCCAGCAACTGGCTGGCTACTACTCGAATCCATATTTTGCCGGAGTTTAGCCCGAAATATGCCGTGTCTTCCAGCATCTCTGCTCGATCGTCCACATCCCCAGGTCGCTCCAACCAGTCATGACGATATAAAAGCACCAAAATTTAGCCAGCAACTGGCCGACGCTTCTCCAGTCTCCATTATGCCGTGGACACATCCACAATGTACGTCGCCTCTGGGGTAAGGGACCAGCAAATCTGCGTTCACAGCATCTCCACATCTGAGGTGGATGGCCTAGCGAGGAAAGGGAAGGAGGATGAGGATGAGGAGTAGACGTATTTATATGACCTTGCTCAATGTGCACGGGAAACATGAGCGAATTTCCAGGTCTTCTCCTGAACAGTTCTCTGAGCTCTGGCACTCTCTTCTAACACTGTCATGGACGCTATTCGCATCACTGTCAGCGTCTTCATATTCTTTTTTGGCGTCGCGAGAGCGAGGTCAGTCCTGCCTCTTGATACTCGAGATGTATCGCCACCACCTGTTCCCGGCACGCCACAGATGATTCTCAATGGCGCATTCACAAACGGCACGTATGGCTGGGAGTCGTCTCCTACAGGAAAGGTCCGGAACGGCTTGTACTGCATCACAGTGCCTGCAGGTACACCATCAGGTAACGGCAGCTATTTGAGGACTACCTACGATTTTCTCGAGACCAAGAACGACGTATATACGGTCAACTTTACGGCGAGCTCCTCAGTCGGTTTTGATGTTCTGGTGCTCACGCCAGACCCTCCATTGGACCCGAACTTCCACGCAACAGCGCCATTGACAACCACGCCTCACCCTTTCTCCTTTACTTTTAGCCCTGCAAACCAAGCTCCCAATGCCACACTGGAATTCGATCTTGGCGGAGCACCCACTCAGGCCCAAGTATGTATAGGCGGTGTCAGTATGAAACGTATCAACCGAAGCAGCTACATCCAGGATGTTGGCCCAGCAATCAAAGTCAATCAATTGGGCTACTTGCCGCAGGGCCCCAAGATTGCTACACTCGTCACCAACAACACGCATCCCATTTCGTGGTCTTTGCTCACCAGTTTAGGCGAAAACGTAGGCAGTGGGAAGACCAGTTCCCGGTCCGCGGACTATGCCTCTGGCCAACATGTCGCCATCATTGATTTCAGCAACTATACTCGAGAGGGCACTGACTATGTTCTGACCGCCAGTAATGCAAAGAGCTATCCTTTTGCAATCTCAGCCACCATATATAACGCCCTGCGCCAAGACTCTCTGCAATTCTTCTATCAGCAACGCAGCGGAATTGCAATCGACTCGTCATTGGCAGGTCCCCAATACGCTAGGGCTGCAGGACATGTCCAGATACCACCGAACAAAGGCGATGTTCAAGTTCCTTGTCAAGCCATCCACGACTCCATGATCGCCTACCTCGAGCCGTGGACATGCAATTACACTCTTGATGCGACGCAGGGTTGGTACGACGCTGGGGACCAGGGCAAATACGTCGTCAATGGCGGTATCTCGGCGGCACAACTTCTTATGGAGTACGAGCGAACTCAGCACGGCGCCAATGGAACTAACGCTCTTGGGGATGGCTCCTTGCGCATCCCCGAACGTAACAACGGCGTGCCAGACATTTTGGACGAGGCTAGATGGGAAGTTGAGTTCCTGTTGAAGATGCAGGTATGTTGCTGGATATCCGGCAGCGTACGATTTTGGGCTGTGTTGACATGCATGTGAAGGTCCCCACTCATTCACCTCCTCAGCTATTTAACGGCACTATGGTAGACATGTCTGGTATGGCGCACCACAAGATGCACGACAACCAATGGACACCTCTTCCTACCGATCCCTCCCAAGACCCAAAACGCCGCGAACTTCACAGGCCCAGCACGGCTGCCACACTCAACCTGGCAGCAGCTGGAGCCATGGCAGCCCGCACTTTCGCCAAGTTTGACACGGCCTTCTCGCAGCGGTGCCTACAAGCAGCGACAACAGCATACGCGGCAGCGAAACGTCACCCCGCGATCCTCGCGCCCGGCACCGATTGGGATCTTGGTGGCGGAGCGTACAGCGACGACGACGTCTCGGACGAATTCTACTGGGCCGCAGCAGAATTGTACCTTACAACCGGGCAGGATCAGTATTTGCAAGACCTGAGCAAAAACAGCTATGCCACAGCCAATGTCACAACCCTCTTCTCGATCCCCGAAGGGTTTTCATGGGGCTCTGTCGCAGCTTTGGGTCAGCTCGATCTTGCCACTGTCCCAAGCAACATGACGAACCATTCTGCCATCGTCCAGTCCGTTCTTGGTGCCGCAGATATGTACCTGGCAGTGCAGCGCAATACGACTAACGGGTACGGGGTATTGCTGAACTCGTATCCCTGGGGCTCAAACAGTAATAACATGAACAACATACAGATTGTGGCCACGGCGTACGATCTGACAGGTAACATGACATACAGAAACGCAGCGCTTGAGGCGATCGACTACGTCCTCGGCCGTAACGCGCTTGCGCAGTCGTATATTCGTGGGTACGGGAAAAAAGATACGCAGAATGTCCACTCGCGCTTGTATGCGCACGAGCTGGACGACCAGGTTCCGCAGGCTCCGGCGGGTGCGATGGCAGGAGGGGCGAATGAGGATGCGAGCGATCCCCCAGCAGACGATGTGCTGCCGGGATGCAAGCCGCAGCTTTGCTATGTGAGTATTCGCATTTCCCTCGCACCGCCCAGATACTCTTACAGCGCTAACGTGAGTAGGTTGATGACGTGAATAGCTACAGCACGAATGAGGTTGCGATCAACTGGAACTCGGCATTGGCATGGGTGATTGGGTGGGCGGCGAGTCAAAGCTGAAATGGGATACAGTAGAATTGATTCAAGTCAAACGTTACTTAGTAAATCATTCTCTGAACAGAAGTCCTCGGGCATCATCGTGCACGGCAAAAAAATGAAGATGAATTCTATTGTCTTGAGCTTCATCGTCGTGCCATGCTTGTCTTCCAGCTGGTACAGAAGCGCCAGGTCCTCCGCCGAGACTGATAAGTGTAATGCAATTCGCGGCCAATATAATGCCACTTGGAAATAAGGCAACCGTATCTTCCCAAGCATCTACCAAGCAGGGGCAGTGGGCACAATATTTTCAATATACTATCGGAGTCCTACAACTACTACGGTCTCATGGGTAAATCGTGTAATGAAACTCGCTTAACCGGTGTGCAAAACAGCTGCCGCTTTAATCGTCGAAGCAGCAGTTGGCATGGCATTGAAGAGGAGGCCCGCTTGCCACACAAATTGTCCTCGCTGCTGTTTGTCGTCGAATGGCACCCTAGCGCCAAATTACACGATTTACTCATGAGACCATAGTACAACGAGAAGGTAAACGATTCTTCCCCGCCTCTGAGAGTTGGGGATTAAAAAAACCGAGTCGAACATCACACCCACCTTTGGTTGTTCCATTTGGATTCGCGATGCCACTTTCTATTCATCTCTGGTGCTCCTTTGTACGCCAAGTGGAATGCATCATGCGTACTGGCACGGGAAATGGACGGATGTTGTAAGCTAGCACTTTTGCATGGCGGCTACCTCCATTGATGACGGGGATGCAATCGGCCTTGACCTCAATTCCACACGCCTTCTCGAACACCTTAGCATTGCAAAACGCCCTGAACACGACGACAACATGGTGTACTGCGGAAAGCTTAGCAGGGCATGTCAGCGCTGTCGACAGCGCAAGATAAAGGCGCGTTTTACTACTGACCGATCCTGCCACGTTCGTCATCACGACTATCTCACTGACTTGCTACTGTTTCCAGTGTGACGAACGAAAACCGGAGTGTCACAGGTGCCAGAAGTCTCAAATACCATGTCCCGGCTATCGTGACCTCAATGATGCCAGCTTCCGGAACCAGACTGCACAGATTATTCACAAGTTTCGGGAGCAGACTGTGTCTCCCGAGCAGAGCACGGCTGTAACCACTCGATTGTACTCGCCTATGCCCAATATGCCGCAGACTTGCACATTACATCTGCGTCATCCGACCAGTGATCTCGGTGCCAACTTCTTCTTTACGAGATATCTCTCCGAACAGGGCACTATTTTCAGTGATTATCATGCCTGGCTTACCGAATTGTACTCATCAAACCGGCCAGGCGGCCTCTTCAGAGCGGTTGTGCAGGCGGTCGGATTGACTGGGCTATCCAACACATGCTATGCCCCAGATCTTGCATGTAGAGCTCAAGAACAATACTCGCAAGCCTTGGCGGCCTTGAAGAGCGTCTTGAATGATCCAGCCCAGGCGAAGTCAGATATGGCTCTCCTGGCAATCACTCTCCTTATGCTACTCGAAGTGATTTCACACCATTCCATCCCCGCCGAACATCTCTCATGTGCGTACAGATGTTGAACTTCAAGACCTGGGAGCGGTATCAGTGCTGGACAGCTCATATTAATGCAGCTCTTGCGCTGCTAGAGCTTCGAGGCCAAGAGCAATTTATGCGACAACGTGGCACGCAACTCTACATGCAAGTCCGGTCCCAGATCGTAAGCTCTCACATATTTCAGCCCGCAGGGTGATACTGACCAATATACTAGCTTCTGGCCTGCGTGCAGCAGCAAGTAGCGGTTCCGAAAGCACTGGTCCAAGCCACCTACTACTTCCAAGCCAGCACTATGAGGCACTATTGGCGACAGATCAACGTAGCGAGCCCAGCTTCCATCACTGAGATATGCTTCCGTGTGGTCAATCTTCGAGCAGCCTTAAGAACCGGCGCAATCACAGACCCCGGAGTCATCCGCACCGTCGCGATGGACATCGACGATGATCTCGAGACATGGAGAACAGGTTTGACTCCGAGCTGGAGATACGCTTCGGTCGTTAGTCCTCCTGGAACTCATTGTGATGATTGCTTCAACGGACTACGGCATGTATATCCCAGTCTGTGGATTGCAGAGGCTTGGAACAACTGGCGAATCCTTCGGCTATTGGTAAACCAGATGCTCATGCAGACTGGCGTGGACTTGAGCGAAACTACCAAGAAGCAAAACGCTATCCGCCAGTTGTCCAGCGAGGTTTGCCTCACCGTCTACAACTTCGCAGAAAGTCCTCGTGAGTTTCTGCGAATGCAGACCATAAAAAATCCATCTAACTCTGTCACTCAGGAATCCTGTCCCTCGTTCAGCCATTGTATGTCATAGCTTCGGAAGCGCTGAATACTATCAACTTGCGCGCATTTGCTGTACACCAACTACGCCGCATCGATGCGTCGATGGGAGTACGACAGGCCAGCCTACTGGCTGATACAGCTGCGAAGACTTTCAACGGGTGTCCGACAGAGTCCACCGGTACCTGACCCTCTGCGGCCTGCCACGCCATCTCATATCGTTCTTGTGTCGAAATGCATATACCGAGGCAAATGCAATGCCTCGCAGTGGTACCCTGTGTCAGGCCTAGTGCAAAAGAGTGCGGATGCCACCCGGACATCTACGATCTCGCAGACTCGCAGTGGTACCCTGAAAAGGGATTAGCGCTACATGCAGAGAATACTAAGTACTATTGGCGGGCTTCCTTTCTTCAGCCTCGCGGCCTACACAACAAGAGATGTATAAATACTACTCCGTAAGTTTACACCTTTCTCAGGACCATCCTCATGTAGCTACACCGTCTGGAAAGACTCCTCATTGCCGCCGAAGCACTAAAGGACGTTTCACTTCCCGACTTTCTCTTCTCCGAACGTCAGTTTCCCTAGTACGTTGTACTCCTTTGCTCGACACCCGCCATGGCAACACCTCAACATCCTCCCGAGCCAGCACCGCAAGAGAAGACATTCAGCACCTATAACGCCGGTCAAGGTCAAAAGTACGCCCAAGTCCGGCGCGACTACCACCCAAAAGTCTACCAGACCATCCTCGACCACCATATCTCGACCGGCGGCCATCTCGATACCCTCCTGGACGTTGGCTGCGGCCCTGGAAACGCAACACGCGCATTGGCACCACACTTCACGCAGGCCATCGGTCTCGACCCGTCCGAGGGCATGATCGCTACTGCTCGCTCTCTCACATCCGCCTCCGCCTCCCGGACCAACAACAACATCCGCTTCGATGTATCTACGGCCGAACAACTGGGCTCCAATATCGCTCCACCGGTCGAGGACAGTAGTGTCGACCTCGTCACCGCCGCCAACGCGGCCCACTGGTTCGACATGTCGCGCTTCTGGCCTGCCGCCGCAAGGGTGCTCAAACCTGGTGGTTAGTCCGCTCCGCCTAACTCTGCCTGCTCGTGTCTTGTTTCCCCTGCGCAAGGGGTTTCCTTCTTGAGGACCGCGCGATCTATTCCCCCCCCAATCTCTAGAGCTCAAGTTCCTATTACTAGTATTCTTCCATCTCCTATATGATTGCACCTGGCACAACCAACGAAGTAACAAATCAATTTTCATCTACAGGCACCGTCGCCCTCTGGACCAGTGGCGCGATCCGCACGCACCCGTCCGTTCCGAACGCCACCGCCATTCAGGCCGCAATGGACGAACACCAAGAAACCCACATGGCACCCTTCACGGAGCCGGGCAACATCCTCACGCGGAACCGCTACGTCGACATCGCGCTTCCTTGGACACTCGCACCTACACAGCCGCCGGTGCACAACTTTGACCCAGACACGTTCGTCCGGCTTGAATGGCCCATCGACGAGCCCTTCTTCGACCGAGGCCAGTCTGCAGCTGGCGGCGGCGGCGGCGGCGGCGGTGGTGGCGACGAAGCTGGCGCGGATCTCGATACGTTCGAGAAGATGATGGCCACCGGATCTGCCGAGACAAGGTGGCGCCAGGCGCATCCCGATCTGGTGGGTACGGAGGGTGATGTGCTCAAGCAATTGAGGCTCAAAATTACAAGGTTGTTGCACGAGGCTGGTGTTAAACCGGGGGAGGAGAGGCTGCGAGGCGTGGTGGAGGGAGTTTTGTTGTTTGTCAAGAAGAAGAAGGACGAGGTGGTAGTGGTCTGAATTAGTTAGAGCAAGGAATGATAAGCATAGTATCCATTGATTCATAGACGAATTCCCGGCGTAGTCAATATATCCTGAACCCGTCATGCTACACCGAGTCCTGGGCCTAATGATCATCCTTTCCACACAGCGCCAAACGAGCCGAATTTCCTAAATGCATCCCAATTCGTCACATCATCACATCCACAGTATCCAACAAGCGCCGTTGCAAGAAGATCAATCCAGCTTTTCAAGGCTCACCCTCCTCAGCCTTCCCATCCAACTCCAAGCCATCCATCTCGTCCCCCAACAACTCAACCTCGACCTCCTCACCAACCCAGCCCTCAAACTCCTCCAACCCCTTCTGCACATGGACCTTGAACCGAATGACATCCTCCAAACACCTCTCGACGCCCGAGTGCAGCTCCTCCCTGACCCTTGCCGCCTCTTCGCGCATACTCTCCCACGCGACACCGACCTCCATCTCGCGCTGCTCGAGCTCGACCACGCCACGCTCCAAGCCTTCTCTCATCCTGGCCAATTCCTTTTCTAGTTTTTCAATGGCACTCGTCTGCTGCGTGTGCGTCGTGTTCTGGCTCTCTTTGAGACTGGCGTACATGCGGCTCGCCTCGTTGACCCGGTAGTTCAAATTGTCAATCTCCGTGTTCTTCTCATGTAGCGCTTCGGAAATATTGTCCAGAAAGTCCCGCGCATTGAGGTCCGCATCCGCCGCGGCTTTGCGACGTTCGTTGATTTCCTTGCGTAGGCTAATGAACGCATTGCGTACTGCTCCTCGCAAGTCGAGGTTGAGAAGATGCACAGGCGAGTATCCGACGTTGTTGTCAGCCAGGAGGCGGTCTGAATCCGGAGAACCGCGCCGTCGTGATGTCGATGAAGAGAAACTATCCGCGATATTGAGCGAGAGCTCGTAGTCGGCGCCCTTGGCATTGACGGCGGTCGACGGGATGAGCGACATCTGGTAGCCTAGAGAATTGTACCGCTTGACGATTGCTTCGAGATCCTCAAGTTTGCGGGCTGTCTCGGCTTCCTTTTCGAGGACTTTCTTGTTAACTTCATCGAGCATCGCCAGGGCATCTTCATGACTCTTGGTGAGGCGTTCACGCTCTGTGTTCATGCGGTCAATGTCCTGGATGTTCAGACCTTGCCGATCGACCGATTGCTGCAGGCCTTGTCGTTCTTGCTCGACAACTTGCAAATCTGCTTCTGTCCGCTGGATCTCGGTTTCAAGTATCTTGATTCTCGAGTCGTACTTTTCGATCTTGGCCTGGACGTTTGCATTGTACTCCTCAAACTTCTTTTTGTCGTCTTCAAGGATCTTGAAGTGCTTGTCCAATTTGGCGACATCAGGCGCGTTCCGTTCAAATTCCTCGACCTGGGCTTTTAGAGCCTCATGCTCTGCTTCGTAGATCTTCAGCTCCTCCGCATGCTTCGCATTGGTGCGTTCGAATTCATCGGTCATCGCCTGAATATGTGGCTGCAAGGCTGCTTGTTCACTCTCTTCATCATCTTCAGGGCCCATCTGAAGCCAATCTTGGTATGCGCCGAACAGGAATCGGAAGACGATCCTGTCACTTACGACATCGACACCAGCCTCCACACATGCATCGTCATAAGCGCCTCGCGTGAAATTGTCCAACATCTGCGCAAGTTGCATCATCCAATGCAGCAATCCAAGAAACCGCGGCCAATTTTGACCTCCGACCGCGACCAAGTGTGATTTCGTGATGTCTCTTTCGTATGGGTATCTCAATTGTTTCATTATAGGCGGTACTTCCGTATCAATGCTTTTCTGAAATTTGTAGCCTGGATCAATGCGCCGGTAGAGCCATTGAAACATGAAGGTGAAGTCTTTCTGGGTAGGCGATTTGACCGAATTCTGTGTCAACGAGTGTTTCATTTCCAATTCAAAATTGTTCTGTGTCAGATAGTCTAGCAACTCTTGACTCAGTCGCGCTCTATACGAAGAGTCTCTGAGCGGTCGCGGGTCTTTCGGCGCAATTCCAGGAGCAGGAGGTTGTGAGAAAAAGGATTGGTGCGCGACTGGACCGTGGCCGGATGGCCTCGAGAATATACTGCTTCGTCGCTGAAGGCTCTGTGACGCCGGTGTTTGCAATCCAAACAGCTGGTTCGGTGCCAGACTCTGTCTACCAGTATTTGCGCTTCCAAAAACGTTGCTGGAGACCGACCTTCTCGCAGTTGACATTCCCATGTCAGCTAGATTTCCTCCTGAAGATGAGCGATGGAAATTCGGCTGCGCTGGCCGCTGGACGCTTTGGTTGATCGAGGTCGATCGGACATGGGAAGCAGTGTAGGGCGCATTTCGCAGTTCATTGCTCGAGGAGACGCGCTTGACGGCAGACGCAGGTTGCGGGATTCCGGAGAAGTTCTGAATATTGCCCAAGGTTTCGCGAGGACGGCGTACACTGAACATGCCGGTAGGTTGCGACATTGCGACTGTGCTGTATGGGATTCATACGATGTAACAATGATTGCACGCGACGAGTTGAAGGCGCAAGGGATGCGAACGCAAGTAGTGGAGCGCAAGGATGATTGATCGAGTTTGGCACGAGCCGAGATGACCTTTGAAAACAGTCGCGCTTCCTTCTCATCACCACGGCGACCGCAGTCTGACTAATAGCTGCCTTAGCCAAGTTTCTTCCACGTGACCCATAGCCTCGGCTGAAATCGTGACTTCAGTAATTCACATTTACCAGCCTCTCCGCCGAGGACACTCATTGCATTTGTCGTCTTCCCAAATCCATCAGAAAGTATACACTGCCATCAACGGTGCTGCTGTTCCTGGTCTTTCAGCGCCCACAGAGCACATCAGCACAAGGAAGTCGTCTCATGAGGTAGCTTCAGAGCTCTATCCACCGCCAACATGGCTCCCCGCGAGGACCTGGTCACCTCCGCTGTGACCTTCCTCCAAGATCCCTCGGTCGCCTCCGCCCCCCTGGAGAAACGCATCGAGTTTCTCAAATCGAAGAACCTGACACAAGAAGAAATCGACCTATCCCTTGCCAGAGCCTCTAGCGATCCGACCTCCCCTCAATCATCCCTCCAAAATGCGCCTTTCTATCCTCCCACCCAACAAGGCCCCGTACGTGGCCCTCCCTCTCAACGCTACCCCTACCCCTACAACCCCTATGGCGACCAGTACCAATTCCCACCAGCTCCTCCACCCGAACCACCTCGCCGTGACTGGCGCGACTGGTTCATCATGGCGACTGTCGTCTCCGGCGCGAGCTACGGCCTGTACGTCTTGACCCAGCGGTATATCAAGCCACTCATCGCCCCTCCGACGCCTGCACAACTTGAGCAAGACAAAGCTGCAATAGACGAACAGTTCAACAAAGCCTTTGCCCTCCTCGACACTTTATCCTCCGACACCGCAGCACTCAAAGAAGCTGAGGAGCAACGCACGCAACGCCTTGATAATGCCATAGCCGACATCGAGACGGTAGTGGCGGAGCTCAAAGCGGCCAACCTGCGCCGCGAGGCCGACTCTAGCCGTCTGGAATTCGAGATACGCACGATGAAGGACAATCTTCCCCGCAGCATCGACAACGTCCGTGACGCCAGTGAGAAACAATTAAAAGAGCTAAGCAACGAACTCGGCAGCCTCAAGTTGCTTATGGGCAACCGGATGGGCGGCTCGAGCAGTCTGACTCAAGGGATTTCGCGTACACAGCCGGGCATGCTGCCTAGTTCGAACAGCGCAAATGCACAAGGGGCTCCTTCGTCATCAGAAAAGCCTCCGAACCCTCCGCGCTCGACGCCCAGCTTCTCAAGCCCGGCGAACCAGTTCAGCAGTTCGACCACCGTCCCAGCCGCAACGACAACAGCGCGGCCCGCATCTGCGGCGGCATTCGGAAATTCAAGCTCGGCCAACAAATCCGCCATCCCGGCATGGCAGATGCATGCTGAGGCGAACATGATGAAGGACGTCAACCCAGCCCCAGCCCCGGGCAGCATGCCGACAACAAATGGTAGTGCGACTGCACAACAACAAGATGGTGCCGAAGCAGTTGCTGCTCTCAACGCTAGTTAACTTGGTCTCTATACTGGATTACTTTGAATACTCAGAACTTTTGCTGTTTACTTTTGAGTTTGTGTCATGAATACCCCGGTTCTAGTCCTGGTCCATCTCCGCCTCCACAACCACTTCCACGTCCAAACCGCTGCCGGGCAATCTCCTTGAACATGCTCATCGTACGTTCCTCTTTCTCTTTCATGCCCGCCACACGGGCTTCTCTTTCTGCGCGGCGGGCTCGGAGGATTTCCTCCTTGCGCAGTTCTCGCTCGTTCTTGCGCCGCTCGTTTTCTTTCTGCATTCTCTTCAGCTCGCCAATACTATCCTCCTCGCCCATCACTTCGCCTTCGCGCAGGTCCATGTCCCCGCCACCTTCTTTACTCTCGGCGAACGCACGGTTCGTTTCAGCCTTTTCGCGCTTCTTCTCGAGTTGGCGTTCACGTGTGCCTGGTTCGGCGCGGGGTATGAGCTCATCGAGTCGGTCTTTTTGTGCCTTTCGATCAAGGATGCGGTCTTGCCAGAGAGCCTGAGCGTGTTGGGCACGGTGGGTGGACGCGTCTTCTCGGGCTTCCTCGTCACGGGACTGGAGGTCGTGCAGGGAGGGTATGGCTGCGCCGTGGCCTCGTGCGCCCCGCGAAATTTCGTGCCCAAGTGTCAAGCCAGAGCCGGGCAGGGCAGGACCGTAGTCTACTTCGTCATCGTCGTCGTCTTCGTCGTCGTCTTCGTCGTCGTCTTCGTCGTCGTATTTTCCTTGCTGTTCACCTTCTTTTCTTGAACCTGGAATGGGGGCGCGGTGATCGTGACGGGTGGCATTTGCGTTGCGAGAGGAGGTAGACGCGGAAGCAGAAGCCTGCGCTTTCTCGAGTGTTTTGGGATCATACCATCCCTCTGCGAGGTCTCCTCGATTCCTGCCATGTTAGCTACCTCTTGTCCCGTGGATTCTGTGGTACATCCAGGAGGGTGGCTGTACCATTTTCCTACGAAGCTCTTCCAACGACCTTTTACCTCGGTCTCGTCGAGCGTGTCGATGTCAATTTGTTTCTGTATGTCGAGATAGAGGCTGAACATGGGTCGATAGGTGGGGAGACCATGTCTAGAGATCTCACGGGCGGAGAAGGGTAGGGGTTTGGAGAGAGCCTGCGTTTGGTGTCGATGTCGAGGGGAGCGCTGGCGATGGCGAGAATGTTTGTGTTCGTGTTGGCGCGGAGATCGAGACCGCGATCGTGAGTGGTGGTGTTGCGCTTCCATCGAGAATTCTCAGCGTCGCGTAGGTAAGTTGGTCAGACACGGAGGATTGCAGGTACAATGGACATTGAGCGTTGTCCTGGAACGCGAGACTTGGTAAAATTCCCCGCAAATCGATACAGGGCTTGCACTCCGCCAGACTCTCGCACTTTCCAGAGTGACCAGTGGGTGACCGGTGGGTGTACGGAGTTTGAACGTGGCAACTCTGCCGAGCCAACGCACCGACGAAAAGCGTGGACGCCGGCATCGGTACGAAGCAAATGCTTGTTCTTGTTGACAAAAGAACAGGTAAACATAGACTGTGCTTATGGTTGCGACGCTACACCGCGGAGTGAAAGGTTCACGGGCAACATCTCGTGAGGTAACCCAAAGGCACGCCGGATCCTAGTTGTCTCGAACGATTGTATCTGTCAGGTGGCGGCTCTTTTTCCGTCCATGTTGGCGGTCCAGGCTGAGTGCACGTCCATTCAGTGGATGCAGGTGTGATCAGGTACCCCGTACCACAACATCAAGCATTATTGACTTCCGCGGTGTTTAGGTCAGCCTCCGTGCGTCGTTCTGGACGCATGGTTATCGAACTTTCGCAGCAGCTAGGAGAGCGATACAGACGCCACGTTTGTCCCGGTCGATCAGTCCGTCGTGTATGCTTCTTATTTTAGTCTTGACTCAAGGAGCACACATCGCCCGTTGCGGTAAGACTTGGACCTGGTCATCGAAACCATTGGACATCGGATGGTCGCGTCGGCGAGACCATTAGCTAGACTCTCGCATGAACCATATCTGCTGCAATCTGTGCAGCTCATAGTTCGATAGTGTGACAAGCCTTGCCAATGTAGAGTTCAAGTGTCGACACTGCTTCGAAGATTGGCACGAGGAATGGTTGCTCGGCTGTCGTGGCTGCTTTCACGTGGGTATAAGAACCTGCTCGCTGCTGACCATGCCAGCTCATTGCGATCAGTGGACTTTGTTAATACGACATCTTGCGTATCATGTTCTCCCAGGGTCTTGCAAGGCTCTGCCTTGTGGTGCCTCTTCTCCTCTCGGGGACGCTGGCTTGTTCGCGTGTCACCTACAATAGCGGTGCACAAGATGGAAACCGTACCGTCATCGGCCGATCCATGGATTGGTTGACTCCGACGAATTCGAGCGTTTTCGCCTTTCCGGCAGGCCTCAAGCGCAACGGGTCCGCAGGCAGCAATTCATTGAACTGGACGAGCAAGTACGGCTCGGTTATTCTCACGGCCTATGACCTGTCAACATGTGATGGCATGAACGACCAGGGTTTGGTCGCAAACCTTCTTTACCTGGCAGATGGTGATTACGGCACCAGGAATGCCTCAATGCCAGCCATGTCTCTTGCAATTTGGCCACAGTATTTCCTGGATTTATATGGCACTGTCGCCGAGGCAGCGAATGATCTTTTCAACAAAGACGGCCAGGCCAAATTCCAAGTGCGCACCAAAGACCTGATCCCAGGCGTGCCATCCTTGATGCACGTCTCCCTCAGCGATGCTACAGGCGACAACCTCATACTTGAATGGCTCAATGGAAAATTGGTTGCTCATCATGGAACCCAGTACAATGTGATGACAAACGAGCCCAGTTTCGATCAACAATTGGCGATCAACGACTACTGGTCGACCATTGCGAATTACTCGCTTCCAGGGACCGACCGACCAGCCGACCGCTTCGCCCGCCTTGCGCATTATATCGATGTTGCACCAGGCGCCACAGACTTGGTCTCAGCTTTGGCCACGACTGCTGGCATGATCCGAGCCGTGTCTGTACCAATGGAGCCCATCAACGTCAATACCCCCAACATCACGCCCACTCTTTGGAGAGCTTTTGCCGACACAAAGGACTTGGTATACTATTATGAGAGCGCCACGGATGGAAAATTCTTCTGGGTAGATCTCACGCAGTTGGACTTGAGCAACAAAGGTCATACGCTGGAATTGCCCCTGGTGGGCGTCAATTGGACTGAGAGAGTTGGTGACATGACCACTCATCTTGTGAAGTCCACACCATTTCAATTCATGGAGGCTGACAATTGATGCTGTTTCATTTCAAGGCTCCGCTGGCGTGGAGGAGTTAATTGAGCATGGTGGACTTCATATTCCGAATGATGAGGAAGAATTCCAGCTCATAATGTTTTTCTTGTCGTCCTCATAGGTGGTGCACACTCTAGGAAGTCTCCATCCTCCTTTTGGCATTCGACTGGATATTCACTTGCTGCGCTTCCGATAAATGGCAGTGGCTGTCCTGGCTGCCGTACACCAGGGAGGCCGTGCATGTGGATCTCACGTAGGCCGTGCAAGTAAACTCTCACCGCAGTGAAAGTAAGATGATGCCATCTCACTGTCTGATATCAATCCAATTGTCAGTCAATCTCATTCAGAAGGCCGGTGGGTACGGCAATTTCGGAAATTTTCAACTCGTTCAAAACCAATCGGCAATTGATGAGCACATGGGAGAAAGGAAAGGCATGGGCTTTGCCATGTCTCTGATCTACCGACGATGACATGATATGGACCACACTTTCACGATTCAAGGCCTACTGAGCGGACGGTGGCAGGGTAGATAGATATCTTCTGGTGGAAAAGGAGACGGAGGTCAATATTGGGAAGGGCCATTTTGTAGTACGGAGTATATGCTGCGGAAGTGCAGTTTTGTATCGTAGGTGCAACGTGTAATACAGACTTCAGGCCTCCTTGACTTTTCAGGTTCTTCTTCTATCCGCCAAATATCGACATGGGCATCGTGTGTTACGCTCTACCTGTACCTAGGTATACACGATATGTGAGGCAAGCGACGGCGCTGGCAGGCCGCAATTCCATGCGTTGCTTCAACGCCGCCTTGTAACTCATTTACTTTTCGTCGACTCGGCATTCAAAGATGGCACTAGAGGACGCATCGGCATTCTTTGGATCGAATCAATCGATTTACGATCTTCCCACAGTGAATAGAGCATGTCGGGCATGCAACAGGTACGCATAGAAATGACCATCGTGCTTACCAGGCACGTGTGATGGGCTATCTAAACTTTTCTGTTCTCGTCTCAGAAAGAAAATCAAATGTAAGTTGAGCGGCACTCCACCACGCTCGTTGAGTGATCTTGATCAGCCGCTGATACTGTTGGAAGGTGATATGAGACGTCCGTCTTGCGGTCTCTGCAGTAGACTCGGCGCACAATGCACATTTCCTCTTCGACAAAAGCCCCCCCGTGGCCGTCGCCAGACAACCAACTCAGAAAATCAGAACGTTCTACGTTCACCTATTTCTGAGATTCTCGGTACTCGTGAGCGTTACGCCCCTCATGATGCTGGTGCACAGTCTGATATCCATATTGCCTCGTTGGTTCCGGCTCCAGGCTCAGGTACATGGATAGGAGGGTCCCAAGATACCTTCAGCGGTAAGTACACAATACTATGGTCTCACGGGTAAATCGTGTGATTTGGCGCTATGGTGCCATTCGACGACAAGCAGCAGCGAGGACAATTTGTGTGGCAGGAGGGTTTCTTGTTCAATGCCATGCCAACTGCTGCATGTCGTCGAATGGCACCCTAGCGCCAAATTACACGATTTACCCATGAGACCGTAGTATACTCTGACAGTGCGCACTTCCTTCGGCATTGACTGATCGAACCAGTCACCGGAACACACAACAGTGTCCCCGACAAGATCGACCTGGTTCATAGCCGTCATTCTGACAATACTGTCGAGTTTGCTGGCATTGCTTCTCTGCCAACCCCACAAGAGGAAGCACATCGATTATCGCCGCAACATTTCCCATATCCTGGACTGAACTCGGTGGCTGCCAACTTGAATATCGATACCCGTACTCTTACTGGACATTCGGATTGCAGTGACAGCGGCACTGACTGGGGTATACCAGCGGATGTGGCAAACGAGTTGTAAGCTTCTGACTTCTCATACCCGTTGTCACTTGCTGGCGAAGTCTGACACCAATTAGAGTTGAGTTGTATTACCAAAACATCCAACCTTGGCTACCTATCATGCACCGTCCGCTCTTCTTCGAAAAGTTCATGCGTGCTGGAAATTCAGGACAGAGCCTTGTCAGTGCAGGAGAAATCGACTTGCATGCAGCTTTCATGATTAAAGGCATGTTCGCTCTCGCAAGCAGGTTCTCTACAAACCACTTCTTCCCCAGCACACCCATACAGAGTCCCGGTAAAGCATTTGCTTCTCAGGCCGTGACAATCAAAGACAGCATTATCAAAACTGTTGGAGAACCGCCATTGGAATTCGTCAAAGGCTGTATATTACTCGCTTGGTACCACATCACTGCGGGCGAGCTTGCGCCCGGCTCGGTGCTCACGAGCATATGTGTCCGTTTTGCCTATGACCTCGATTTAGACCAGATCGATGCTGATTCGCATGATGGTGATGGCTCGGCTAACGACATACTCGGTGATCCTGATACCTGGGTACTAAAGGAGGAGCTTCGCAGAGTGTGGTGGACGATCTGGGAACTTGACACTTTCGTGGCTACTCTGTCACGCCAACCGTACGGTATCGACAAACGCAGTGAGATGAGGGTTCTCCTGCCGGTTGCTGATCAAAACTGGATCTCCTGCATGCCGGCCAAGTCATCCATGCTTGACCATCGACCTATGTTTGCATGGAAGGGCTTGCAGAGCTGCCCGAATCGAAATCCGTGGGCGTGGCTCTTGATCTGCAAACATATCAAATCATGTATGGCGGTTGCTTCCCGCCAGCTATCCTTTATATCTTCAGCCACCATCGACGAGTTTGAGCGTGCGTTATGTTGCTTCAAGTTAGCACTACCGACTGAATTCCAACTACGGGAAACCTATCTCAACGATCAGAATTTTGTCGACGGCAATTGGATCATCTCCACACATCTGATGGTCCTATCGTAAGTACTTTCGGCCCACGCTCATCCGTCGCTTACAAATTCAGATGCGAGTTAATACTTGGAAGGCTCGTTGACCGTTGCAACCAGAGTGGCAACCCTCCCACAATACGTCAAGGACTCACACCCTCCGATCACCGTTTGACGCAATATCTGATTCACATTGGGAGTGTGTGGCCTGCTGGGTACATCGCTTTAACCAATCCTGTGATGTCCTGCTGTGTGGTACTACCAGGGTATCTCAGTCTGCAGCAGTCTGATGCAATACCGCAAGGTTATGAGGTCGCGAAATTGATATTGACACACATTGCAAGATACTGGAATCTAGGTCACGTTGTGCTTCGTGAGTCGTGACATGCCGCAGATTCGAGACATAAAAGACTAACTCGTTGAATAGGTCTGCTCTCCGCTATCAAACAGGGCCAGGACCTCAGGCGGCCGCAGCTAGCTTCTGGAGATCGAGACATTGTAAGAAGGCTTTCAGTCCTTCTCCCAACCTCATTGTCGGACCAAACGTCCAGGCCTTCAGCAACCACCATTCCTGCAGAAAGTCCCGACACCGTGGGGCCGAGGGCCGAAGAACTCCCTAACCTCGATTTCGAGGACATGTGGAACACAGACCTGCTTCAGTGGCCTTTCGACATGTGGACCTACCCTGGCGAATCTTAAGCGCGAATAGAATCGCCCGCCGACTTCAGCGACGAGTTCTCTCTGTCTGTATTGATGCCCACGTGAGCTCAGCACGAGTTTCGCGACTCAAGGCAGATGTCATCCAATACTTCTCTTTCTGTGTACGCCGTTCCTGAAACGCCTCATGGATTGGTCTTCTATGTCCATAAACCCTATAACTTGGACGCACGAGCAAGTATGAACCACGCTCTTTTCGCTATATTACACCAATGACCCTCCAACAACAATCGCCATAATCATTGCCATTCCCATTGCCCTCGCTCCTATCTGCACCGCAGAGTTGATGTTCTCCTGCAATACCACGCCCTGCGTAAAATTTGTCGCGGCGCCCTCTATCGCTACCTCAGTCAAGTTCCCACACTCCTTGTTGACCGTGGTGTTGAACTGGAAATTGGGAAGCTGGGCAAGTGCGGCGTCGAGGGGCGCGGTGGTCGGGTCAGTACCTTCAGTCGATGCTTTGAGGTATGCGGCTCGGTAGGTGGCGTTGGCGGCGACAATGGAGAGGTTGGCGACCGTGGAGTATTCGGCGCAGATGGACTGATCGGTCTGCTGCTGGCGGGCACGAAGTAGGTTGATAGGAGAATAGATGGTGCGGGCATCTGTAACTGTCGCGAGGACGGAGAGGAAGAGGAGTAGGGAAGTGATAGGAGAGAAGTATCTTATTGACATGGTTTCGGTGTAGAAGGGCCTGCTAATTTTGGTTGCAATGGCCAGCCATACAATGAGGAACGGGATGATTAGTAAGGTCCAGAGAGTGTAATCGAACAAGAGAGCAGCACGGGCTAAGATAGAAAAGGTGCGATGGAAGAAGGGAGAATTGTGTATTAAGACATGCCGTACGGAGGACATGCTCATGAGCATTGACTTCGAAAAGAAAGGGTGTCTGGGTTCTCTCAAATGGTGAACCACAGACGGTCGCGCCAATGACGCCGTGAAACTGTGACCATCGGCGCAGCTGAGATACCGGCCTCGCACAAACTGACGATTCTGTGGTCGGCATAGTCTTGACAGGCGATCCGGGCAGCGACTGGTTTGAGAAGTGTTTGATAAAGAGCATCTGAAACCAAAGCGGTGTCGAGAATTCTGACACAGGAACCGCGTTTAATTCAGCCCCTTGTCCAATAACAACGACACATCTTTACCGCGATACTCGTAACAGGTGGTGAGAGCATTATATGATGTTTCCAGGCGTCAGGACAGTGTTCACCATTGAGGTTGCTGGTAACTACCTAGGTATGAGAAGAGAGAGAACAGGCTGAGCGAAAATGGTCTGAATGAACGCGGAGATACCTGGTATGCGCGATACCTCATAAGTAAAAGCAGCCATGATGACTAACCCAATCTTATCACTGGCAGCAAAAGCGGCGGCCCTGCAAGACAGATTTCGACTTTACTGATGGCATCATCAACATCGCCAGAGATGCCAAGACCTTTTGGGGTTGAGAGGAAAAGATTGCCTTCTGCCTCGTTTTGATGTTGTTGTGCTCAGCAATTGCATCTCTGGCGTATCCCGGTTTCTGGATCTGGCTTGGATTTCCTTGTAGATTTCTAGACATGCATATTCTCGTGGGTAGTATCTGCATCAATCTGCCTGTGATCCGCTGACTCTGGACAAGGTTGTCAACGATGACGGGCCACCGTCGAATCAGTCGTCACCTTACGTTCATTCTTTAATAGACACCCTACAAAAGGCCGGTCACACCGTTTCAGTGATTCTACCTCACGTCCAAAGATCATGGATCGGGAAAGCGCATATGGTCGGCCAAACGTTGACGCCTACATATTTTCGCCCTGGAACTCTTCATAAAGATGACGGCATCACTTCAGATCGCCCGTTTAATGACGAAGGCGAGGAATGGATCTTAATAGACGGTACTCCCGCAAGTTGTGTACAGATCGGCCTTCATCATTTCTTCAAGGAAAGAGGTCCTATCGACCTGGTCGTCAGTGGGCCGAATTATGGTCGGAACACCACTGCTGTCTTTGCTCTTTCTAGCGGAACCGTTGGTGGTGCCATGGAAGGCGCAATGAGCGGCAAGAAGAGCATCGCTTTGTCATACGCTTTCGATTCCAGAGAGCATGACCCGGAAATCATCTCTACTGCGTCAAAACTGAGTACCCGGTTGATGGAGAAATTGACACAAGAATGGCCCGAAGACGTTCACCTGTATAGCATCAACGTTCCTCTACGTAAGGACGTTCAAAACAACAAAATCCTGTACACCGAAATGTTGCAGAATCGATGGCACAGTGGCAGCTCTTTCGAAGAATTGCCTCCAGAAGAGGACGACCACGATCCGAACACGGAGGAGCAAATCATTCGTGAGGGTGGAGAGGGTCACATGAAAGTTACGAGAAAAGTACATCGCAAGTTCAAGTGGGCTCCGAACTTCCAGGATGTGCGGAAGGCTGTCACGGAGGCCCAGAAGGGGGACGGATGGGAGGTGTTACAAGGCAACATTACTGTGACGCCACTGGTGGCCAACTTCTGGCACTTGCCGCACTATTCAGGCGAGATCAAGCTGTGAGTAAGTTTGCCAGCAAGGCTCTGTCCCACTTCATCTGTCGCAATTCCCACTAAAGCATGCATTGCAGTGAAAATGATGATTCGAGACTTCCAAGCCACCAGCATTCCAAAACCTTGCATGCGTTGGTTGATTATCCGGATGAATACGTGCAACCGTTGATGTTAGATGCCCTTCAATCACTCAGGGGGTTCTCGATCCAGGCCATTTCCTCCATGAGCGACTTGCAGAATCCTGCAGATCCCGTGTTACAATTTACAGCATACGAGTCCTTGGACTTCGAACATGCCATGCAGCATCCAAGAACATCTCAAGTTTGCGCATATGTGATAAGGAAAGCCCTTATTCGCAAGCATTATCTCTCCAATACTGTGTCCACGTGGCTGGTCAAACACCCCGATAGTGCCTTGGCGAATCATTTTCGTCCTTGCGTCCATTTTGAGCTTGACTTTGCAGAGTTTCTGGATGAAGCTCTGGTGGATGCATGGGATTTGAACGAAAGTATGGCAGAGAACGAGCAAAAGGAGTCCTCGGAACAAAAGAACTGGTGGATTCTAAAGCCAGGTATGAGTGACGGGGGCAACGGCATCAGATTGTTCTCCAGCTTGGAAGAACTTCAAGCTATCTTCGAAGAGTGGGAAGAAACCGCTTCTGAGTACATCGCTGAAGATGAGGCGGCGGATGGCCTGGGGGAGAGTACCCTAGAAAGCAAACAAGACACCTGGCACCAAGGTAACGCAATGACGTCTCAACTCAGGCATTTCATAGTCCAGCCTTACATCGATCCTCCCTTATTGCTCGAAGCCTACGGCAACCGGAAATTTCATATCCGGGCATATGTCCTGGCTGCCGGAGCATTGAAGGTCTATGTGTACCAAGAAATGCTAGCCTTGTTTGCAGCAAAAGCATATCAGTCACCGCGTCTCAGCGAAAAGTCGGAGATCTTGGATCTGGCACAACACTTGACAAATACCTGTTTTCAGGATGAAGCTTCGAAGAGCTCCTCGGTCCATCGATTCTGGTCTCTTGCCTCGCCCGACATGCCGGCCGATTGGAAGGAGAGGATATTCCAGCAAATCTGCGATGTCACCGGCGAGGTATTCGAGGCTGCTGCTCGAGAGCAGATGGTGCATTTTCAAGTTCTCCCTAACGCATTCGAAGTTTTTGGGGTTGACTTCTTAGTCGACAAAGATGCGAATGTGTGGCTGCTTGAGCTCAATGCCTATCCCGACTTCAAGCAGACAGGATTGGATCTCCAGGGTGCTATTGTCGGAGGCCTTTTCGCGGAAGTCGCTCACGCAGCTGTTGCACCATTCTTTGGTGATGCTGAGCATGTAACCCCCCAGATGCCGCTAGTCAGAACCCTTGACCTGGGTCGCGGTTGAAGGCCTTCCATTCTCTGCCTTGCCGATGCGGTAGCTTTTACAATGTGCGACTTTGATGGGCTGCTATGTTGTGGTCTTTGCGTATGCGATTCTGTGCAACGCAAAAGTCGTCTCGATTTGCTAAGGGCTCGTGACAAGGCTCGACAAGCAGTGTTGGAGTTTGTCAGTGCATCTTTCATGTCCGAATGGACACACACCTGTGTAATTGAACCAGACTTCGGTTCTGCGCCAGCCAGGGTTGCTCCGACTTTTGTTTGGCAAATACCAATTGCCAATGATATAGTAACACAGAATGCCGCCAGGGCGACTGTCCTTGACGGTTTCAAGCACCGCGTATTTTCTGCTTGACAAGTCCTCGACACTGTAACGCGGCCCGTGAGTTCATCCATTTCCGCCTCATTCGACGAACTCTGCAGAAGCCGAGTGACTACCGAACTGCATGAGGGTCGTCTCAGCCACGTCCAGCCGGTAAAACGTCCACGTCGGATCTATTGTTGAGCCCAATTGCTGGTTTCCAAAGTTTTCGACATGTCTCATCACGAGGTACAGAGGTACAGAGGTACATTTTCCAGAAGATCTGCAGCTGCCTGTTCCCGTTCCTGTTCCTGTTGGTGAGGTCATCGTGGTCAACCCCTTCCATACTCGGGCGGAAAGAGCAAACTAACAGATTGCCACATCAACTAGGCTTCAACAGTTTCAACAAAACACCAACACCATCCGTCTGATTTGGGTCATCGTTGTTTGCCACACCAGCCTGAAGACTCACCCATCCAAGTCTGTAAGACGCTCACTGTAAGACACTCACCGGTTGCGACAATATATCAGCCTCCCCTACGAGCCACGCACCCCTGGTCCTTCTCGTTAGGCAACCACGCTAATGTTCAGCCTCCTCTAAAGCTTAGTCGGACGCCACACCTTCTTAAATCCTCCTCGTCGCCTCCTCACCCAACTATTCCAAGCATCGAGAACTTCACAACACTGTCTCCCATAGCATGTCTGGTCATATCTTCGGTTTGAAGCTGGCACAATACATCGCCATAACCTTGACACTCGCCTACTACATCATCGCCACTTGCCATGCTTCATTCTCTGCGGCTCGGACGTCCATCCATCGTCGACTACGCAACTTTCAACTCGGATTCAGTTGCCTAGCGACCTTGTCGTCGTATGCACAGGCATTTATTGCAATCAAAAATTCTCGGCCCGAGTCGACCAACGATCCCGACGTCGTGTACGCCCTGTTCCTCAGTTTGGTCTGGAGCGTTCTTCTTTTGGGCTTCGATGATGCCTCCAAACCTGCCTCTTATCCTCATTATGGCGCCTGGGCCATACTTCTGGTCTCTCATAGCATTGTTTTTGCGCTTCAGCTGGACAACCGATCAAGTTCATACAGTATCCGTCTCGGCAGCAGCATCTTGGAAGGCGTTCGGATCAGCTCAACTGCCATTCTTTTCGGCAGTATCATTGTGGCCTACACTGGCTTCTTGAGAAAAGAGACCGGCAGCGATGAAGAGACGCAGCCATTGCTGGCTGAAGAAGCTGCACAGTCCAAGGCAAATGGAGACCACAAGGAGCCAAAAACACCCGACCAGGACGAGCTAGACCGACTGGAGATCCGCAAGCGGCCAAAATGGCAATACTTCGCATCTTTCAAGATCTTCTTGCCATTCATGTACCCCAGGTCCCACCAAAGCCGACTTTTCCTGATCGGCATGTTCGTATGCAGTTTTGCGGAAAGAATCGTGATTGTTGCCCTTCCGCTGAGTCTCGGTACCGTGGTGGATGGCTTGGGAGAGCAGCACATTCCATGGGCAGCAATCACCAGGTACGGACTTCTCAAGCTTTTAATTTCAGGTGCTGGCCTTTCGATGATACGATCATATCTATCCTGGCATATCACTACCAGCATGACGCTTTTTCTAAATCGAAACTCCTACGATCACATTATGAATTTATCTGCCGACTTCCATGACTCCAAAAAGTCCTCGCTCATTTGGCAAACAATGCATCAGGGTCAGGATGTGATCGACTTCTTCAATGATTGCGTTTTCCAGTTACTGCCGACCTTGATCGACTTCTGTGCAGCGGCTGTGGTTCTCACTTTACTGTTTGGGCCGTACATGCTCTTTATTGTCACAACAACCACCGTCTTCTTCTATTGGCTGACCTTGAGGGCTCTCTCGAAGAAACGCGACCTCAACCGAAACTCGATCGATGCATGGTACGAACAACACTACCAACTGACAGAGTCCACTATGAACTGGTCTACTGTGTCTCACTTTGGCCGAATTGCGTATGAAATGCAACGTTATCGGGACAAAGGAGACGCCTATCGAACAGCTACTTTGACTCTTTTTTTCTATGAAACATGGACTAGAGGCCTGCGCTACGCGATCCCGGCTATCAACTTCGTGGCCGCATGTTGTGTCGCAGCTCTGCAGATCGGTCACGGTCAGAAGAAAGTGGGTGATTTCGTCATCTTGGTCACATACTGGACTCAACTCACGAATCCACTGGACCTCCTCGCTTCCAACTTATCGAGAATTGCTCAGAAAATGGTCAACGCCGAGAAGTTGCTGGTCCTGCTGGAGAAATCCCCACGCGTGCAGGATGAGCCCGATCCACAGCCGTTCACCTTCATCGACGGGGCTGTCGAATTCGAGAATGTCTCTTTCTCCTACGACTCGAAACGAAAGGTGGCTGACTGTATCACATTTCGTGCTGCTCCAGGCCAGACAGTTGCATTAGTTGGTCGGACAGGAGGCGGGAAAAGCACTATCTTAAAGCTCCTCTTCCGATTTTACGATGTCGACCAAGGCCGGATCCTCATCGACGGCCAGAACATACGACATTTGAAAATGGAAAGCTTCCGCAACCACATCGCCATCATACCGCAGACTCCGGCCGTCTTCAACACGACGATTCTGGAGAATCTGAAGTATCCAGACCTCGAGTGTACCGAAGATGAGGTTATCGAGGCCTGCAAAGCAGCTGCACTCCATGACAAGATCATGACTTTCACCAACGGCTACCAGGAGAAAATTGGCGAGCGTGGTACCAAGCTGTCTGGAGGAGAATTGCAGAGATTGGCGATAGCTAGGGCAATGCTGAAGAAGTCCAACATCCTGTTACTGGATGAGGCTACAAGTAGTGTTGACAGCATCACCGAAAAGCAGATTCAGACGAGTCTGCAGAAGCTTTGCGTAGGCAAAACTACATTCGTTATCGCGCATCGCCTGTCGACCATTTTGCATGCCGACCAGATCCTCGTCATTCAAGATGGTTGCGTGGCCGAATCTGGCACACATGAGACGCTGATAAAGCAAAAGGGTGCTTACAACGAGCTGTGGTCCAGCCAACTGCAGCTAGAGGCTCCAGATGTTGGTGGCCGGTCTCAATCGCGATCCCCCAAGAAGCAGGATGCTGCGTGCTTGATCAATGACCTTAGCAGCAATGGGGAAGATGCTCAAACTCTCCTCGAGAACACAACTGCAAAAGAGGATACTGGGAAGTCACACGAAGGGGAAGAGCCACCAAGGCCGGGCAGCCGAGACCGTACAAGTCGAGACCGCACAAGTCATCAAGCCTCGCATGCTGCCGACGAGGATCGTGGAAGGGTGAAGGGGAAGCACCTCGCTCGTGCCCTGAGTCGGAAGTTGTCTCGATCTAAATCGCCCAAGGATGCTCCGCAACGTGAATCATCAAGCTCGCGTTCCAGAATCCCCCTCAAGGCTGATGCCCCAGAATTCGTGCCTCGAAATTTGCTCAATGGGACCAATCATTCTATTGGAGACAGTATTAACACGGTAGCCGGCACAACCAATAACGATGCGTCCGTGGCAGACTCTACCACCACATCTGACAAAGGAAGGACATCTAGAGCTTCCACGGCTGACCACAGTGAGGCGTCCTAGGAAGGCGTCCCCGCAAGTCGTCCGTCCGGGCTCTTTCCCCTGAGACGAAAATGGGCGGCAAAACCGCGTCGGACTCTCGCAAGCGGACTGTCTCGGCAAGGGATGGGCATGAAAGAGCCAGAGATCAAGACACGTGACGCAGAAAAAGACAGCGCATCGATGCTCGAGGAAACACAGACTGATTTACATGTTGAGAACATCCGGCGTCGGTTTGCTGGCAGCGAACCACTCCCGCAGAATGATGGTGGTGACGATTCTGACGAGTCTGACAATTCGGCAAATAACGATTGCTCCTTGGATCCGGCAAGATTCTCGAGGATACCCCAGATAATGTCAAAGAGAGCAGTTTTAGGGGGTGAGAAATTGAAGGGACATGACACAACGAGCACCGAAAAATATTAGATGAGGCTGAGCCGAACGTGAGAGCAACCAGTCCAAGTGTTGTTTCCACAGGAGCAACCCCGAAAGTACGAGCAAACCCACCAGCCTAACTCGTCTGTGCATCAAGGAGACAGCGAAATTGACCTAGGGCGAGGAACCATTTCTCGCATGAGCACAAATCAGATGTTCACGAGCAACGATACATCAACAAGCAACACTTTCAACCATCAATAGCAGCCTCCAAAGTTGGTGTGGTACGGGCATTGCACAACCAGCGAAAAAGTCATCTGTGAAGTATATCATGTTGAACACTCCAACAGTGTTGCCCCATGCCTGGAGGCTGACATTGTTAAAAATTGTGGCATCGAGGTACAGCGTTAAGTTGCTGTCCGGGCAATCGAACTCGATGCCTTCACCTGAAGACAAGAGGTAAAGCTCGCGCTGAAGATCGAGGAGCACATTGGGGTGCACCTGGTAGGGTGTTACAGGCTCCCTTAGGGCAATGATAGTGGTAATTGATGCTGTTGTTGCAACCACACTCTATCTTCTCCTATCGCCAGATGCCAAAATGCTGTCGCTCATGCCTGCCTTGCCTTCTCTACATACCTACCTAGGTACAGTAATCGAGAATACCGGGGTATGCTCACCCCCTCGACCCCCAATCGGCACCTCAAATCTTATTCTCCAAATAAAAAGTGCTCATGCGATACTTGCTTTCCCCTTCAAACTGCGACAACTCCTCCAGCGCTTGCTTACCTTCCCGTTCTATCGTCTCTTGGATCTCAGGCGATCGAGGTGTGATGCGACATTCGAAAGGCTCGGGACGCATGTTGAGGCCGTTCCTGTACAAAACAAGTCAGCCAAATTCATATGCAGCTTGGCACAACATCAGGTGCCCAATAGTTATCCTTACGTGTAACGGAAAATGTCCACGGGGATCTCATTGCCGTTCTTGTCCAGGGCTTTCTGGATATTGAAAGCCCACAGCAGCCGTGCGACGGTCAAGAAAGTGCCCTGTTCGGCCAATCCTTGACCACTGCAGACTCGCCGGCCCCAGCCAAATGTCATATAGCCCTTCTCATTGGGGAATGGACGGTGGAGGGGGTGATCTTCGAAGAATCGTTCGGGACAAAACCGATCAGGCTCCGGGAAATCCTTCTCATTCCGATGGATGGCCCAGACATTGCCTTGAACCCAAGTGTTCTTGGGAATGTACCAACCCTGCAAAAAAAAAAAGAAAATTCGTCAGAGAACGGCCTCTCGAAGCCTAACGTATGCACTCAACGGGGGATCCAAGGTGCTCACCTTGTACACATCATCCTGGATTGGAGCATGGGGCTGGCCACCAATGATTGCGACGGACCGCCATCTGAAAACCTCCTTAACAAATGCCCGCACGTACGGCAGATCGTCATCCAGCCCTGGACTCCGGTATGCACCGACAACTCGATCGAGCTCTTCCCAGGCTTTGGGCAGCACCTCGGGGAACGCACAGCACGCCAGTACGAAAGTCACCAGCGTCGAGCTGGAGGTGTCACTCCCTGCTCCAAAGAGGTTGCCGTTCAACGAGGCGATTTCCAGTTCGTTCAGCCCGTACTTGGGCGCCTCGTCAAAGATCTTCTTCGCGTAGCAGTTGCCATGGTTCTCTTTGTTCGCGGCCTCATCGGCAAGCGCATAGTAGAACGATCGACCACGTCCCTTGACGCCGAGACCATGTTTCCACGGCGCCATCCAGTTAGGGAACTTTGACAGCCCTTTTGTTTCATGGTCAGCCTTTGACTCACTCACATGCATTCCTCAAGCGACTTGAACTTTCGCGGCTCGAGCCGTCTGGATATTTGGAAACTTACAGGGGAACGTCTCCATCAGCATGGGGAAGGTCTTCCCCGGCACATTCAACTCGGCGGCCTTCTGCATCACGGCTATAACCTCGGTGATGATTGGGTCTTCCTTACTGCTGATCCGCCGGTTGAAACCGATGATACTCACGACCGACGCGGCGTACCGTTCAAACGCCATGACATAGTCTTTAGGGTTCTGGAGGATCTCGTAGGCGACGACCTTGCTCTCATTGTTCTGGAAGCCGCTGTAACTCCGGACATGCTGCAAGCCGACGCCCATGTGCGTCAATTTGCGGTGCAACCGCCACCGGTCGCCGTAGTACATGGACACAATGTTGTTCTGGCCCATGCTGAGTTCGCCGAACACGACCATGCGCGGCCGTGACGAGTAGATCGAAGCTCGCTTGTCCAGCATCTCGGACGCAGCCCACGCGTTGCAGATCCAGACCGTCGGGTTCCGTCCGATCCAGTACGTGATCACGGGCGTCTCGTACTTCTTGGCCAGTTCCTCGAAATATACCCATGGCTTGACGTCCGGCAGTTGGAACGTGTTTCCTATGATCGGCCACGGGAGAGGGCCTGGCGGCTGGACAGAGTGAAGGATGCGATGTGAGCCAAAAATACTCCGTAATGTCATAATAAAACAAAATACACATCAGAGGGCAGGGAGAGTGTGTGTGTACTGCGACGTACCATTTTACTCCTCAAGATAAGCATGCGTACATAGTCGACTATGACGGCGATGACACCAAAGAGTGCCAATCCGATGGCGATCTTGCTGGCGCTCGGTGCCGAGTTCTGGAGATGCACCATAGCACCCATTGTTGCGCTTTGGTGCTTGTGCTTATCCTTGTGCTTCAGTGTCGTTTTCGAGAACTGACTGACTGACTGGGGCGGGCAAAGATCTGCTAGTATTGATCCGAGTGTGCAGAACAGACTTCTCCCACACCAACGTCTGAACGTCTGAGGGCAGGGAATGGGCGAGTTCGAGGAGGAAGATTATTTACTGTTGCCAGCGTTCCCAGCGTTCCCTGTTGTTCCCAGTCATTAAAAACCTAACAACCAAGTCGCAACTGCCAACCGGTCGTCGGAATATGATTTGAAAGCAAGAAAGGTCCCAACGACGCGGCTGGCGAATGGTTCTCGGCATTTCATTTTGTGTGAAACTTCGTCGCCCATTCCGATACCTTTTACTGGCAGTGACTGGCTAACCTCGCAGGTAGTAACGGAGTACCGAAGTTAGACTATGTTGGATTGGGAGAATGGACCAGCCGGCGTGAGCGTGGGGCTTTCATTTCACATGCACGCTCCATGGCCCATCTTGTGGAGGGTACAACGCAAAGGTACATACCTTTTACCCCCCGTAAGGGCTTACGGGGTCAGTACCAGTATCCACGTGAGTACTGTCAGTGACTGTCCAAACGTCCCCCCCCTCCACAGTTGCCTCCGTGGGGGAATTGCCTATATCGAGTAAGCGAGAAGGAGGGGAGTTCGGGGAACTACGCATCATGGCGATGCAAGTTGGAGTTCTGATGGAGTCATTACGCTCGTATTGGGTTGGGGGACTCTCGGGACTGGGCAACACTTCTCACTTCTACTCGTAAGCACTCACGGGTGTGCACGGTCCTGTAAGTACGCACCCAGTGGCACCGCAGCCTTGATCCATGATCCTTTCACGCCGGTACATACCTGCTGATTGCTTCCGGCAGTACTGGGTTGCACGCGCCGTGACGGGCGTACAGCGGAGCATGTCCGACCTTTGCATTGTCATGGACTCATCTCGACGACACATTTCCGCAATGAATGTTCCCCTTTCGGTGGTGGAACATTTCGAGAGAGACAGTACGGAGTACGGACTTTCCTCTTCCCTAAGGGTCAAGCAGCTCTTCCTTTCATTATTGATACGGAGGACTCCGTACACCCCGGCAAGATTCCCGTTGCTGGGAGTAAACCCACCCATCTCCAGATGCATGAACGCGGCTGCACCTTTTGAGGATGTACTGTCACTACTGTGTATGTACACGGCCATGCCCCACCAGCATCTCCTGTCGACGGGCGTTCCTATCCCGGGTTTTGGTGGTAGGCTTTTCGAATGTCCGAACCACTTTACTACGTAGGTTGTGTAACACGGTAATCTGGCCTTGCTGCCCAGTGGCTATGTCGAGCACGTGCGAGTAGTAGGGGGTTTCCAGCTCCCTCCTTCCTCATTCTGATATTCATTACTCGCTATGGCGACCTTCAATAATGGGAAGAAAGCACAACGGGGAACAGTCCAGCGCTTGAACTCAAAATCCAGGAGCCTCAGCCAGGGGCATGCCGCAATTCCCGAGGCCCAGAGATCCCCTATCTTAGTGGAAGCAGGCTGTGCCTACAGCACGAGCGTGGTCCTTTGTTGCTGCGTGCGTGTTGTGGCGCACAGTTACTGAGTACGCTCAACATCCTTTGCAGTGTGCCGCCACCAGCAAGCTCCCATACCTACTAAGCCTACGTGGGCATTTCGACAAGATTCCGGCCACGTCGATGCCTACACAGCCATGGAACCCCTGAAAACAAGAGTGAACCGGCAATCGGTGCCCACAGTACGGGGTAAATCCTACAGTACATTAGTTAGCCACGTCTTCGTACCGCCGAGCTCACATAGAATCAAGTCATTCTGAGGGCAGCTCTCCACCAGCGTGCAACGAATCACTGACTCGACCTCATCCATGTTTCGTAGAATTGTATTCCAGCCTACCTTAGTTCCACATCTGTATGTCAGCGCTGCTCGTCACATCCGACGCCTGAGTCAGGTGTACTGGTACATATACATAGATTCTGGTGATACTAGTATCAGCTCCATATTGCGCTCGATTATCTCCATTGTTACTATACTAGTAGGGAGTGTGGATAGTGACAGGCTTCCAATGCGGTGCCACGATTCATCAGCAGCACCAGCCGTGTTTTCTTGCGAATGCTTCGCCTTCTGGTCTGCGGGGCAAGATCCCTCCCGTACCGCAACAGCAAGCGCCAGGCATTGCGGAGCCATCACTGCCGCGACATAATGGATCAGGGAACTTCCATGATCATCGACTCTGAATAAGATGGAATGTCTGGCCGCTTCCTTCTCCATAACATGCCGCGCCATGATGGACGCGACCTTCTGATCTCTTTGATGCTAGTCTGCGGTTGAGAGGCGTCGACCAGCTTGAGCGACATGATCCAACAATTCCATGACCAGCCATGACACAATGTTCAGGTTCCCTGCCTGTCGCTCGGGCTGGCATTCGCAGCGGGGAGAAGATCAACGGTATTAATCGAGCCAGACCGAATGGCGCAGCTTCCAATCACGAGCCGAAGTCCATCTGCACTTCAAATCCCTTGTCAAACCTGTTGATGCCGGCGGGAAGAGTCTGGATTCCGGGAGCTCGACAATCATCCAGGAGTATACTTCAATGGCAGGGATTCTCCGACGATGCCATGGCACAACAATGCGCACTCCATTTTGCCCTGCCAGAGAATGGCAGAAACCCAGCACTCTCCGAGCGCAGCTCGAGCACCCCAGCAATAAAGACGGGAGGAGTCATTCGCTGAGCCATCGCTTACCACTTGCGCAGAACATCGCGTTAGCGGTGCTCTATGCGCACTCCTCTCGGTTTGTGCACAAGAGCTTCCGATCAGAGACATCGTCATCTTCGAGTCACGCGTCTCTTTAGGACGGTGTTGCACCGTAATTCGGAGAAAATTATCCACATGTGACTGGACGACCGTAACTGGCTGGATCTGACGGCGATCGGAGAGAGGAAGCTGTAAGTCATCTCGTAGACCTCAGCGACCGGACACAGAGCTGAGCCCTTGGATGCATTCATATCTTGCCGGTCCTGGACAAGCTTGAAGATATCGTCCTTTGAGGGCGACTGTTTGAGAAAGTGTTCGCTGCTCCGGGATTGCTCGACGCCTTTCTTCAGCATGTTGAGCGTCGAGAAAGCCTGGTGGCTCACCTTCTCAACCTTCAGCTGCTTCGAAAGTTCTTCTTCTATGCGGTTTTCTGCCATGTACGTCGTAGCTTGATTCGGTCAATTTCTGGTCAGTGTGGTACTCGAGGAAAATACTCACAACCATATGTATGCATGCATTCTGGGGTTTCTGATCTCTTTCCGGACTTCGGCGAAAAAGACCTGCGACCATAGTCAGCATCACCAGGAAGAAATCACGATGGAGAAATCCAATTTGTACCTGTGCTTCCTCCCTGCTCTTGCCTAGTGCCTGAGTCATGCCGCGAAGGAGTAGCGCCTCAGCTCCAGCGTCTACATGTGCAGCCTCAAACATGCCTATCTTCTTGAGGCGTGGATTCTTGGGCCATGCGCTGCAGGGGATCTTGAATCGCTTCTCCACCACGTCTTCAAAGCCGGCCTGCTCCATCTTCTGCTTGAAAAGTTTCGCCGCATGGACGGATGCGCCCAGCCGTTCGCCGATCTCAATAAAATACGCAGTCATCTGTCGGTACGCGCTGTCGTCAGGAAGGGAGCCATCGTCGCAGCCAGGATCTGGCACCGACTGGCTCAATTCAAGATAGCCGCCCGGTTTGAGATGATCGTACGCTTGCTTGATTAATTGGTCCCAGTCGCGGACGGCCAGCATCAGCTCGCGAGCATGAATGAGATCGAAGTGGTCCTTGCGATATAGCCATTCATTTTCGATGTCGTCCAGTTCGAAGCGGCAATTGGGTGGCATAAAAGTGGGCTGAATCGGAGCTATGTCGACACCCAGAACTTCTGCTGTTGGGTACTTATCGGCCACATCGATCGCCCAGATGCCGGTACCTGTGCCTAGATCCAGAATATGCTGGGGCTCGTCATCGATAGGCGACAGGAATAAATGGTCGTTGAGTACGAGCACGAATTTGCAGTGTTGTAGATCATTTCGGTCCTGCTCGCGCTCGTCGATGGGCATCCCATACTGGTGCTGGCCGTAGGCGGGGTAGGTCCGCCCATTTTCTTCGATGCCCCTTCGGATGTCGGACGCTATCGAGGTGACATAGCTCGTGTTTGTGGATTCTGCATAGCCTTCGTCGTCAAAATTGTAATCCGCCTCAATCGATTCATCACGGGAAGCCATTTGTTGACACATTGTAGGAAGGTCGAGGACGCGGAAGGAAGAAGAGCAAAGATCGAAGTTCAGGAGTGCTGGATTTTTGTCACTCTCGCCTAACGATACCATATGTTCTTCCCGCGGCAGTTTAAGATTCGTGAACGGGTCGAAACAGGGAAAGCATGACTGGAAGATTAGCTGGTGGGCGCCAGACGAGCTAGAAGACTGCCGGCTCGGAAAGGGCCAAACCGCCCAACGGCGTGGTGTTCCTGGGCAGCATCAAGATGATTGAGTGGTGCCAGCTAAGCACGACACGCATGGAAGACGTACGAGAGGGGGACAAGGTGGGTTGCCGAGGGCTGCCCCCCAATGTTGAGAATGTCAATCTGCAGCCACCTCGCCCCCTAGCGTCGTCCACCTCAGGTACCTACTTATGCTCATGACGATCTCTAAGGACAAATTGGTCTTCGACTACCGGGTAGGTGTACAGAGTGACGACGAAACCACGATCAGGCGTTCTGGCTTTTTTCTTTTCAAACCCGGGCAAAACTGTTGGCAAGATAGGTAGGTCCTCGTATACTTCTCCCGCCGCGAGTCGACAAGGTCGACGAGGGGGTTGTCCATTTTCCACGCTATCGAGCGAGAGTTTGTCCAGCCATAGCACTTGAGTCTTGAATGGACCACCACGCGCGTGCGAGCTAACTTCAAGACGCATGGTTGGCTCGAGCTTTCAACTGTAGCTCCAAAGAATCGAAGATGGGCTTGTCGAAGGCTTGAGCCATGGCGCACGAGGCACCCAGGTACTGTGCCCTTCCAGAAAGAGGTCCTTGATACTCCGTACGGAGGTCCCCTAGGAAGTACTGTGAACTAACCTGTTACCTAACGTGGTTGATGGACTTCTATCTTGGCGACAAGCCTTCAAACCAGCTGGACCAACGATAACACAGCCGATTCACCTAGTCATTGTTACTTACTCTGCGTTTCTTGACATTTTCCACTGTGCCGATTTTCTGTCGGCGCAAAAATCGACCGGGTATCTTAAGTCAATGGCTTCCTCCATCTTTCCTTCGGCCGATGAAGTTCAAAAGCAGATCAAAGCACTCAGCGATGCTGCCAGCAGCTATGATGCATCGCCAGAGGGCCACGGTTCCAGGATGAGGCTAATTGGTCAAGCACAGGAGCTTATCGCTTCTTTGACGGATCCCTCCGACATGGGCTTCAAGCAGATCGGCCAGGTGAGTTGCCAAAATAAAGGCAAATATACTGAGTAGTACTCATTCAAATACCGACTTTCACAGGCAATGGAGCTTGTGGCAACCCGGGCATTACTGCACATCAAGGCCTTTCAACATATCCCACCCCAAGGATCAATATCATTGAGTGACCTGGCTGAAGCAACGAAATGTCAGGAGGCAGTCCTCGGTCAGCGCTGCATGTCCCTGTTTTTCGCCTCTCTGCAGCTGACACTGATACTTGTCCCAGAACGACTTCTGCGAATGCTCGTATGTACTGGCTTTGTTCGGCAGCTGCCCGACGGCCAATATGCCCATACCAAATTCTCACGTGCATATGCTGCCATGCCGGGGCCAGGTCTATATTTCCAGCTCATCTACGACGAAAGTTTCCTAAATATCGACAACATCCACCTATATTTTGACGAAAAGGGCTGGAAAGAGCCTGTTGACCAACGTTACAGCCCGTATGCTTGGAAAGCCGGCCAAGAAGGCACGACGATCTGGGAAATCATGGCCCAAAACCCTGCGCGGTTCAAAGCTTTCCAAGCCGGCATTGGATTCGCAAGCGCCTCGGTCCCCTTGACAGGATTCTATAACTTCAGTGCCCTGAACACCACCGAGGCTGATCGACCCGTGCTGGTGGATGTAGGCGGAGGAAACGGACGCTCCATCATGCGGATCCTGCAGGCTCACCCCGATCTCCCGGCGCACAAGTTCGTCCTCCAGGATCTTCCCGAGGTCGTGGAACAGGTCGAACAAGAGCTGCCGAAAGAGGTCAAGGTGATGGCACACGACTTCTTCACGCCGCAACCCGTCAAAGGTACGTGATCGTGACTCGAACGTCAACTCAACGTGCTGTAGCGAAGCTGACTGCTGGTTTGGAATTAGGCGCGAAAGCATATTTCTTCCGCTGGATCATGCACGATTACTCCGACCCTGTGTGCATCGACATCCTCAAGCAGATTGTGCCCGCCATGGCACCTGACTCTGTCATTCTTACAGCTGATTTGTTTTTCCCAAGCAAGATCGCTGGCCCCGCCGATATCCCGAATGCCACCATGGACATGGTGATCTTCAACATGGCCGGCAAGGAGCGAGCCGAGGCTGATTTCAAGAAGGTCTTCGAAGCTGCTGGTCTCGAGTTTGTAAAATCGCATCGGTTGGAAGGAGCGAGTAGTGGGATCTTAGAAGCCAGGTTGCCTACAGCCAAGTGAAGATTCTATGGCTTCCCTTCGGCGGTTGATCACATCCCAATTGCCATCTCGAATGCGGAACACGAGTCGGCACCCAATGACTGCGTGGAAATTGTCCTTTTGCCTCAGACTTCTTCGTTGCTTCCGGCGTCAGAATGCATAGGGCGAAGAGACGAATCGAACCATTTGCATTAATCCAGTTGCCGCTTCCCAGTCCTAAGTGGTTGTCGGCATTATGTGCTACAGATCAGACACAATCCCTTTGAGGAACCATACCGTGTCACCGTCTTCTCCGCCCTACAGCGTAAGCATACCGATGAAAAACATGAAGAATTGTACTGCGCCAACCACAGCGCCTTCATTGAGCAGAATCGTGGTCCGACTAAGTCCAGGTTGAGTTTTCATGCTTGTCACAATCTTAGTGTCGTATCGCAAGATTGCCTCGGTCATGCATGTGGCGTTGTTCGGATAGGCGTATCTGTCACAGTAAGTTTGATCCGATATCATTGTCGACCCGAGACCGAACGAGTAAGACGTATACGGTGGATGCTTCATAGACAGCGTGTCCACATAGAATCGGTGGCAATCGTCGTCGTCAACAGCAGAAGAAACATACTTCCGAGGGTCGGATATCATTGAGGCCGAGAGCGTAAACAAATTCGAGGCCAATGCTGGGACTCTCGCAAAAGTGACCAAGCCGCAGGAGACCGCCTTTGACAGGTCTATGCGTGGGTCGTAGACGGCGACGAAGATGTACGGGCTAAGTAGGAAGGTGTTGGTATACCCGTGCTCAACCTCCGAGCTATTGTCATGACAAAGCATCAGCAGAGCCCGAACATTCACGAAGCTCCTGTCACTCACAGTTGACGTCGATCTGCAGGCGTAAGCGATCGGAAATGTCGTTGACAGTCGAGCTGGCCTCTAGCAGCTGTCGTGGGTCGAATACGTAGGCTGTCAAATTACCAAAGGCGAGAGAAGCTATGTCAAGGTTCTGGTTCGTGGTGTTAAATGCAGGTTGTGGGCAAGTCTCATCCTTGTAGCGCGGAAAGTCGCATCTTGGCTGATGGGCCAGTACTTTAGCAAGAGCTGCATCGTTGTAATCCCCTGCGGCGAATGCGAATGATGGAAGGTGTAGTGTCTCATTGTAGCCCACATCGAACTCCCACTTTGTGTTGTCGTATTGGTGCACTGCGCTGATTCGGAAATAGAGGACCATGAAGAGAAAGCAGAAAAGGACGTTCAAAAGAGCAATGACGTAGCGGCCTGGATATCGTCAGCAGCCTCGTATACATTGCTCCCACGTCAATTCTTACTCGCTGGATTTATCACAATCTTGCCCATCCAGTCTCTACGCCTCTGCCACCAGCCACCAACCGGCCAAAAGACGGGCAGCGTCAAGAGGAGCAACGTGCCCGTGAAGATGAGAACCCAGCTGACACCTTCATATACCGCATTGTGGCGGGAATAGTCATCGATATCATATATCTGGTACAACATACTACCCCAAATAGCACAGCTTAGTGCTAGCCCAATCGCGAGGATTCTGTTGGCAGTCAGCTTGTACTTTTGAGATTTGCACCAAACCAAACCTGAGTGGTGGTGTTTGTCTTAGCTCTTGCAGTAGAAGCCTTTGCCAGCCCCCTGGCCCTCCCGGTTGTTGCGTCCCCGGTTGTTGCGTCCCCGGTTGTTGCGTCCCCGGTTGTTGCGTCCCCGGTTGTTGCGTCCCCGGTTGTCGCGCTCCTGCTGGCGCTCCCACAGCATCGCTCGCAGGACCTCCCTGTTGTGGTGGTAGCCTTTCTGGCCCTCTGTGGACCCCAGTTCCATTTGGAACACGGCCGGCATTACTCACCGGTAGGTCGGTGAGCGCATGTGCCGCTGGAGTATACCTTGGGTCTTGCCCGTTCCCCTGCGAAGTCGTTGGGGCCATAGACTTGCGGCGATATTGTGACAAATTGGAGCTGAAAGAAAACCGAGGACGAAAGCACCTATAGCACCACAAGTCGAGCAGGAAGGAAGGGTGGCACAATAATATAGTAAAAAGTGGCCAGGCATCCAACGAACAGGACATAGGCTTAGGTTGAGTAACCTGCAGTACTAGTTTAATACGAGCTCGTTCTGGGGGTCTCGTGTTCTGCGAGCGCAAGCACCACCAGAAGTCGGATGAACACGAACTTCAGCCTTACCTGTTTTTTCGACCTCTCCCAACGGGCATCAAACTTGGAAAACTTTGAGCAACAAAATGAAATGGGGTGAATGTCAGGAAGCATTAAAGACCTCCGGGTATGCCAGGCGTGATATCATGCGCAGTTGCACGGTGTTAGGAATTCATATCGATATGCACAAGTTGGATTGTGTCATGTGGGCAGTAGATGTCTTGAGGCTGGAAAATTTCTGCATTACCTTGCAGTAATACGACCGCTGGTGGCAACGTCGACAGGGATAATGAGGTCGTTGCGCAGGTTATGGCCCTGCAATGTCGTTGTTGCAAAGAGGCAAGTGTTTGCCAATAAGGAGGCTTTGGTGAAGGCATCACCACAGAAAGGCGACTAAAGGCAGCTCCAGCTGCTTGAGGATGCCACGACTCTTCGTAAATGAGCGATTTATTCTTCTCTCGACTCTGTCCACCTGAACCGCAAGGACTTCTTGGATTGTCGTGCATTGGATATTCCCTGCGCGCAGTGCTGCCTGAAAAGGTCAAGTGCAAGGTCGGTGGAAAGACTTGCCATGTGCGTTCGGACCAACTCATCCATCAATATCATCAGACGCGTCTTGCATGTTGACCTGGGTCAGATGTTCAGCTTCCCTTGTCCTGGTCCGAAATTGCCACTCTGTACCGAGTTCCTCCATAGTGCGGCGCCGGATAGGCCGTCAATGTGGTGACGCTATTCCTTGCTGCGCCGGCTGAGCTGTGGTTGGAAACTGCTCCTTTTGTGTTGAGTATCATGCAGCAAGATTGTACCAAGTCCCAGTAGGAGAGAGCATTGTCTGAGTCCATGCACAGGAGGTGTAGTCCGCTTAGGCGTCACGATCTCGAGACAACGGCTGGTGAATACAGACCTAACGACCAGCCATAAGAACCTCAACGCAACGGGAGTCCCATCCTTCTTGCCCTCCAGGATCATCCCGGCACAACAATCATATCAACTTCGGCAACCTGTCTGCCATCGTCATCATCGTCTGCATGTGTGTTGACAGCGTTCCATCTTGCCCTCAAGCCAACACCCCTTTGCCATCCTACAATTCTGCCGCCTTGCCCAGATGGTGTTGCCTCAAATGTGCGGATCCTCTGCAACCAACCATCCTCGCGTGTTTTACCCTTGCCCAGAGCCCTCGACGACTTAGATGATGAGGGTTGCTTTGCTTCGTCTTTTGGCGGAATCGGCGGTCTGCTTCCCCAGGCAAGTGCAAGTGTATTGCCGAGACCCTTCAAGCCGACACCGACTTCAGACTCTCGAAAGAAAAGCGCCAGGCTACAATGCACAAGCGTGACGAAGATGTACCAGGCCACAACAGCCGCCGCCAACTTCACCATGGTGGAGTTGAACCCCCATCCATAGGTATAATTCTTTACAGGAAAGGCAATTTGCGTCCATTTTTGGTCGGCATCCACAGGCATGGCAAAGGAGCGCATGATAGGTGTGTCATTCCTGCCATCTGCATAGCCCGAGGGTACCGAATCCGAGAGCCAATAAGGATTCTGTGCCATAAATTCGTCGTGCGTAGCGTTCAAGATTGCCCCAGCCGTGAGCGGTCCTTGGGAGCACCACTTATCCTTGTGGCAAACGAGGACTGTCTTGTTGGACCATGCGGTTGACCCACTGAAACTGGGTGCAATACTGTATTCAATGCCTACGCGCGCTATGCCATCAAGGACCCCGGCTCCTAGCGCTGCCATCTGTCGATGTGGAATAACAAGATTGGATTTCGCGGTGACTGCGTTCGTCGTATCGGTGTCATAGCTGCTGTGATTTGCGTCAGCCATCGCGCTAGCGATCAACTGGACCAGAACGCCATTTGCATTGAGTATGTTGGCCCACGACTTATCAATGGTGATTTGCGTGTGTGGCAACATCTTGTCAGCTTGATACCCATAACCCAGATAGCCGCCTGGTGTGAGTTGGAAGGTCCAGGTGAAATTGGAAGAGATCGCATTTTGCGTCGAAGTATACCAGAGCTTTGCCGGCACATATTTGGCGTTGATTGCACAGACTGTGACGTTCGGAGTTGCGTCGCCCTCGCCCGGCGAGAGAATCAGTCCAACGAGCACATTGCGATTGGGCCAAACATCATCGCGCCACTTCAGCAGATAATCAGAAGAATCGTTCAGGGTGGTCTCATTCCAAGTGTCTCTGAGATCCAGTTGCCATGCAACGTCTTCAACAAAGGAAGAACCGCTGAAGGATGGGTTCGCATTCGACAGGAAATTGCCCATGAACGACAGATTTCTTTGATACTCAGTTGCTGGGGTTGAATTGCTGCAGATGACGTCCACGATCGGGGTCAATGGTGCAGATGCACGTACACTCGCTTCAATAGATGAGGCTCCCAAATGTCCATCGTCGTATTTCAAGGACATATAGTCGTTGATCAGGCGCGGGCTCGTCCACATTGAGGCACAAGTATATTCGGTGCCCCCGAAGCCGTCCGTCCTAATCATGCGACGTCCTAAGTCCAGCTCTGCAGAGTCGATGGTGGTGTTGACATCGCGTACATCAGAGAACATTGGAGACAGGTATGCGAAGCCCGCATAAGGACAAGAGCCATTCCGGTCTAGAGACGGGTCTGAACAGTAGTCGCCCGGGACGACATTCTGGAGCAATTCTGTGGGAAAGATGTTCGTGGGGATGTACATGCTGTCCTGGAGAGGCTCAAACCGTTCCGCGGATAGCGAATAGATGCGGAAAATGTTGTGGTCCGGCCACCAGTCGAGCCGGGGAATTAACATGACAGCTGTTGCAGGACCAATAACGAGACTGAGGAACGTTGCGCCAATGACCAAGAGGCAAACTGGGATAAGACGAGTTTTCGTGAGCGAGAGAGCTAACGAGGTCCAAACACCTTTTGAAAACGGACTGGCGCCGACAGCCAGGGATAAGGCGCCAACGAATACGCCGAATGGGATCCCGTCACCTTTTACGAGCCAATGGATCAGCCAGAAAAGAACGATTTGAGATATGCTGAAGATGGCAAGCACTTCCTGAGCCTTCGAGGCCACTTGAAGAACGCTCAGTATTTCGCTGGTGCCGCCAACCATGGAAGATCGCCAGCGCATATCAGCAGCGTTAAGAGCAATGAGAAGGCATGATACAGCAGCTGGTAGGCCATGAGCTAGTAGCAACCATAGTGCTGTGCGCCATCGTGGTCTGTTCATGTGCTCCTTCGGGACGTATGGAGGATGCTCATCGTTCTCAGCGGGTAGGTCGATCGAATGGGCCATGCTCTGCTTCGGATGGTTCATGCCTTGGTATCCACGGGGTGTCATTGTGACATTTGGCAAAGGAACTGGCACAATATTTCAATCGAAGTTGAGAAACAGAATCGAAAAGAAATCGGGTTGCTGACCACCCGCGACAGCCTCGAGCTTGGCTGTACGCCGTACCGACGGCTCGAATCTGGACGCCTCCATCAGTGAGTATGCCTTGCAGTGGCCCTCACAAATTGCATGGTCCAAGGTCTGATTTGGCCCCCAGCTTTTGCCAGGTTTGAATGCCAGCATAGCGTGTTTCAGGCCGTGGCGGCAATGCCTGGCTGCTCATTGGGGCCGAGAATCATGATCCGGTCCGCCGCAGGCAGCTACTCGCACCACCGTAAACAAACATCAAGCAGATAAGGGCAGTAAGACTGCAGGGATGGTCGCGAGGGCAAAGCTTGACCACCATTGACATTGATTGAGGTTCGCAAGATGGAGACGCAATTGGGATGCGAGTTAAAAGCGGCATGTATCATGGGGCGCAGTTGTGAATTCACCGCAGTCATTGCTTTTCTCTTCGTCAACATACTTCATCATTTATTTGCTGCTCACCCAGTACACAGTGAAGGCCGCGAAAGACTGCCTTGTTCCACCTTTCTCGTCAAGAGCCGTCCATAAAGCACCGATCCTCCGAAGAGAGCCACCACACTGCCGGACTGAAGCAAGTCACACCTCGTTTGTCGAAGGGTTTCAATTGCCTGAGTTAGAGGTCCCTCAAGTTGATATTGGGTGACTCTAAAGAGAAGGGTCTCGCCATCAAACTGACAGAGAAGAGATGTGACAGCTGCGGCTTCAGTACATAGTAACATTGCGAGAGTACCTCGTTCGAATTGCACTCGTCAGGGGTTTCAGTAGCAGCTGAGGAGCCATACCGGTTACACACATACAGTCTCGCGCTGCGTCCCCCATCCGTCTTTCATGGCTTCCAAGGATCGGTAAAATTGACCCAAACCCACCACTTCATCCATCTGAAGCCCTCTTCAACTCTTCCGATCTGTCTCTGAGTATTGTTCCTCTCTCCTTCATCTTGACCGCCAGGCGCAGCCATTTCCTCGCTGAAGACATGCTCCTCCATTATACAACCCACTTCTACGCCTTGTATCTTGCCCTTCCAGTCATCATTGCCTCCTACAGCTTCCTCCCATAACTGTCTCCAGCTTTCCTCGTTGTGCCGGAACCTCGTACCCCGACCACTTGCTCGGGGAAATTCACTGGGGTTCACATTCCCAACCTGTCCACCACAAAGCAGCACCCTCTTCCTCCTGGGGTCAAGCAATCGTAAGCACCGCTCCGCCATGATCTTCTGCTGCGCCAGGTCGAACAGGTGGAACACGGCAGATACATGCAGGATCCCTACTTTGCCGTCACATTTCCTGCTGAGCTCAGTCTCCGTAGACAAGTCAAAAACATCCGCGGGCGCGATAAAATGGTCACGCGGGAATTTGTCCTCGTCCCGAAACAGTGCATATCCCATATTGATAAATTCAGGCTTGAGATCCGCGCCGTACAAGCGCGAAACGTCCGCTCCGTCGAAGATCAGCTTGCGGACATCTTGGCCCAGACAAGTCCCCAAGTCGAGGAACACCCACGTCTCGGCCTGCTCGGCCTTCTGTTGCTTTGCCAGTGGAGGGAGGACGTCGCTGCGATAAAGCGGATGGTTGGCTAGGTCGAGCTCCAAAAACCGCCAGCGTCCGAGGCACGGGTACGGATGAGTTTTGTACGCCTGGTCGCGGACTTGCGTGATATGCGCCTTTTGCTGGTCGACGGGGATGCCGGAGTAGCTTGATAGCAAGGCTGAGACGTCCGAGGGGATGCTCTTCAGGTCTGCTTGGTACATCTCGATTGGAGTAGTTTTCTTCCCTTTGTGCTCCTCGGAAGAAGACATTTTGTAAATTGCAATGAATCGAGAGTCAGTAGTAGTAATAAGCAAATCAAATCCGTAATAAAGCCCGTGGGGGAGTTGCAAATGGCCCTCGGAAACTCGCGGGGCAAGCACAGCTGGACAGTAGACTTCTTTGGGTCAATGATGGAACTTCGAGATCGGTCTCCAGGCCTGCGGGAAGGAGGGGAGAAGACGAGGTTGAGAGCTGTGAAGTTGACGTTTGGTGTACTAAGTACCTGGCTGCCTGGGTAGGTACGGAGTAGGGCGGCTATAAGGTGATGAACCTTTGGCGACGCGACTCGGCCGATCGGACAGGTTCATTCACCGAATTCTCAGAGTCACGCGAATGGACGTCAATCATCGAATTGCTGTAGCCTAGCAAGAGACTACGGGTTACAAAGCACAAAGTCCGCTAGTCTTGCATATGCAGGACAAGCCAATATCACGACTTGAGTTTGTATGTACGAGTACGGATGCCGGCATTAAGTCATGACCTTCAAGACCGGCCCGGTATTCATAGGTAGGCCACGCAAGCTGCTCTGGAGGGAGTTCATCTACCTGCTAACAGTACACATTTTTATCTCCAAGACCGGTTTGATGACCGGTTTTCACTCAAGCACCCACATCTGCTTCCTGGTCTGGCTTTGCTCAGATTTGCCCCATGAGATCTCAATCTCCAATGCCCTCTCCTGTCCTTCTCTCTTCACATATGTGATCTGGCCACTGATCTCGTCTCCCGGCGCAAATTCGTCGGCTCGCCCGGGGTCTTTGATCAAGAAAATGCCCTGCTGCCAATGCGTCGCTTCGGAATACGGACCGGTCGAGAATGCGACGAGCCCTTTGTCCTTTGCCTCGGCCGCAGTCATGCCTGCTCCGATAGTACTAGTACTCTGCGCCTTGTCCGTGGCGAAAATGATGTCGAACCAGACGACAAATCCTTCCAGCAATCTAGCCCCGTCCTTCCACTTCATGGTGAATGGTTTGCTGAACGTCAAATCGCCGACCTTGGTCTTATGCAGATCCAGCTCCAGAAACGAAACGCTCTCCGCCGCAAGTTCGTCCTTGTCCGCAATGCGAGCAATGACTTCCTCGTGCGCCCGCTCCAGCATGGCGGTCATGTCAAAGCCGTAGACGTCGCGCCAGAAATCGATGTGCGCCGCTTTCAACTCCGAGTCTGCAAGCGGGGCGATTCGTAGCGTCGCGTGCGACGGCACCATCAGTCCATCTGGCGCCAGATACTTGTCGCGCGCATACAGGACCGAGTCCAGCATCGATTCGTACAGGAGGCAATATCCCATCCACTCGCTCACGATGATGTCGACTTGATCCACAGGGACCGTGACCTCCTCGATCTTGCCCCGTAGACATTTGACCGTGTCTTGCAGGTTGTTATGGTACACATTCTCGCGGGCCTTGTCGATGATGTCCGAATTGTCGACTGCAATGACGAGTCGGGCGCCCGCTTTCGCGCAGAACATGGACAGTATGCCCGTGCCGCAGCCAACGTCCAGGACAACCTTGTCTTTGAACAGCGACTTGTTGTCGTAGATGAAGTCCCGATACGCGTCGGTCCGGATGCGGTCTTTGATCATGGACTCGTGGATCGAGTTGTATGAGTAAGATTTGAAGTAGTCTTTATCGAGTTCGTCCACGATAGTGCTAGCCTGGGCCGGCGCCTTCGCCCGAGCAGTGCTTGGACCGGGTAGTGCGTCCTGCCCTTCAAGCCGCTCCAGCATGGCGTTCTGTACTTGCTCCCTATATGCCTCGAACTGGGACTGCAACGTGGCGAGCTGTTCGCGGAGTTGCTCGACTTCGCTGGCCGGTCCTGCGCCGGCATCATCTCCGAAGACGTCGTCCATACTGTACAGCAGAGCGTCGTCCTCTAGGACAGGCTTGAGGAATTTGTCGTCCTCGAAAACTGATTTCGTGGATACGTCAGGATGGGTGTTGCCCGCTTTGACCTCTGACCGGACATAATTTACTAATTTGACGAGGTCGAGAAAATCAAGACCTGTCAAAGAAAGGACGCATTAGCATGGTCGAGTGCAGGTTTTTTCGTGGACGACGTAGAAGATTTACCAAAGTCTTGCCTTAGCTTCCAGATATCAAAACCATAGCTGTCTCGGCAGTAAGTCAGCATGCCCGTAGCGTCGGGAAAGGTCTTCTCGTCAAAAAGCGAGACGACGGTGATCGACTCTTCGTCTTGTTCGACGTCTTCCCATCCCTCATCGTTTGTTGGGTCCAAAGGGTCGGACAACGAGGATGATTCGCTGAGTCCGTCTAGCTCGACATTTTCCGGAGGCATGATCACGAAAACTCGGTACGCGAGACTAACGACACCAAATGAGACCTCGGTAGTGACAATCGGTTTTCAAAAGTGCAGCTTGTGTCTAGGTTGCAATCGAGAAAGGCTACCACAATGGAGAGAATTTGAAGCCGTGAAAAATCACGTATCCGTAGTGACTTTAAGTGCCATCATTAGTGGCTCCGGACAAACTCTTCAAACGCCAAGCCACAGATTCGGCTTCACATTAGGATCGATTGTCACGATTATGTACTACCTGTGCTTTAGCTATCACTTCCTATGAGGCTACCACGGAAATTTCCGACCAAAGATTCACGTATGCGTAGCTCATTTCCTCTTGTATGTCCCAGCATCGAGTCTGGTACGATCATGCTTTTGCAGCACCGCCGCTCTTGATCCAGTTCTCAATATCTGCTTTGAAATCCGGCGCATACAGCCAAGTGAAGTCAAAATCCTGCCTAGCCACGCCCTCCGCCATCACACCCACAAGTTGGTCCTTGGGGAGTCTTCTCAGGTCAATTTGCTTGTTCAATTCCAGGACCTTGTTGACTCGGCCTTGTCGATAATCCTGCCAGAAGGTCAAGGCGTCTGGGAAATCGACCCTGCCGGCCCTGCTGGCCGCCAGCACCAAAGCAAACATGTACACATCTTCAAAAGCTTGATTGATTCCTTGACCGGCGCTAGGCGGGATAGCATGTGCGCTGTCGCCGAGAATCACCACACGTCGCTTGGCAGAAGCCCACTTGTCGAGCTCCGGAATCACGTAGAACGGCCAAACATTGATCTTGTCCGGGTTGATGTGCTTGGTGGCAGTGATGGCCACTTGACCGAATGCGTCGGCATCTTCTTGCAGGAATTTGATCAAGGACTCTTTGTCGGCGGAGAACTGGTCCCAGCCCTCTCGACTCAGCTCTTCCATCCGCCTTTGCTTGCCGATGAGCATTTCCGAGCCATCGACCTTCTGTGGAGCGACCACAAAAGCACCCTTCTTTTCGGAGAGAATAGTTAAGGGTTTGGTGATGGGTTGTCCCAAGTGTCTGGCCGAAGCGGTGGGCACTGCCGCCGTAATGCCAGTCATGTTCGTGAATTTTGGCACAATCTCAGGGTGAAGGTACTTGCGCACAGTCGAGTGGATTCCGTCAGCGCCGACCAGGAAGGACACCGTGGAAAGCTGGCCATCGCTTGACTCCCAGACAACCCGTTCGTCGGACTCTTCGACGACACGAGCGAACTTGCGCCCAAAGACGACGGCAATCCCCTTCGCCTTGATCTCCTCCATAATGATGTCGATGAGCTCGAAACGGTAGATCCTGTTTCCAGGGTATCCGTATTTTTCCTTACTGCCAAATTCGTAGGTCTCAATCAGCTCGCCGCTGACTTTCTGAATCTCAAGTTCGTCGAAGTTGTATCCCTTGGCTCGAACGGCCTGGTACAAGTCCAGGGCGTCCAGCACCTTCAGAGCATTCGGTGATAACATGACCGCACCACCGATGTTGAGAGGGGCGGGACGAGATTCATAGATGGTGGATTTGATTCCTTGTTGGTGAAGTGCTAGGGCAAGAGTCAGCCCAGCAAGGCCAGCGCCAATGATCGCAACTTCGTCGGACATATTGATGGTTGAGGGTGTAGTGTCGATGTGGTGCTTGAGTAACGTGCTTCCGATTAGAGTTAAATGTCTGAGTTTCTTCGGCCTGTTGATCGATGAGCAAGTTCGGGAATATCAAAAGCTTTATACTTCATTCTTTGACCAGATGGAATACCATACTAGCATCCATCAAGACTGCCGGTCAGGCGTCCCATCCACATTGTGTCCAGAACGCGACAGGTGTGACCTACCATTGCGAGGCTCGGTGTTTCAGGGGGGCAATCAGCGAGCTACAAAGCTAGAATGACTAAGGCAGGGACATGGACCAGACAATATGCCTTCATGGACAAGAGCATGCCGCATTCTGGGTACCCTGCCCTGCCTATTCAACCAAACGGGCAGGGTTGGTTCGTTCGGCCAACGGTCAATGGCCGGAGCGAGGCTCTGAAGCGAGGTAATTGACATCGCTCCACTATGATGGGCGAGGCGCATGTAATTGCTGTTCTCGATTCGAATTCTACATGAGATTGAAAGTCTTAGTTCTGTTGAACCTGGGGCGAGGAAAAGCTTAGCGGTGAGCCCTTGTAACATGTCGGTCGTAACGACTTTGGATTCGGCCGAAGGCCCCTCAGAAGATCTTCACTACAAGCGAGATCAACGCGAGGGGGCCAGGAGCTTACATAACCGACCATTCCTCAACCCATCACTAACCTCAGCCTAGTAGCCTTGCGCAAGGCGTGCCTTGCCTTACCTACTGTGTAGACTCAACAAGCCCCATTGGCCCTTGTGCAAGGACTATAAGTATCACTCAGTACCCCCCATCATGGAGCTGAATGGACATCAAGAGACACATACACTTCAAGCACGAGCACCTCCTACACCTCAAGCAAGAGAACGATCAACCCGATTGAAAAAATCACTTGCAACTGGCGACCCATAACACACACCGAACAGCAAAACACAGTGTCACCTAACACTAGTACTATCAACACCACGCGAAGCTACTTACTAGTATCTGACCCGTCAACCATGCTTCCACAAATCCTTCTCATTGGCGCCACTGGCCGAACCGGCAAACTAGTTCTCGACGAAGCCCTGACCAGAGGCCATCTTGTCACCGCCCTCGTCCGCAAACCCAACAGCAGCTTGCCGCAGCATGCGAACCTCATCACGGTGACAGGAGACCCCTGCAATGCCACAGACGTCGAAAAAGCGGTCCGCAGCACGAAACCAGGCGTCCCCGTCGTCATTATCAGCACACTGGGTCAGACTCGAACATCAGGTAATCCGTGGGCTGCACCAAGTTCTCCAGCCCGATTCATGGACGCGTCAGCCAAAGCTGTGCTGGCGGCATCCGAAGCGGTCAAGGATTCCGGCATCCAGATCGACAAATTGGTCGTCATGTCTATGTTCGGTGTGGGCGATTCCTTCGCCAACCTGAATATCCTTCTGCGCTGGACGTTCAACCATTCGAACATGGACCAGACCCTGGAAGACCAGACGCTAGTGGACCAGACCGTCAGGAACGGTAACCTGCCATTTGTCCTGGTTAGGCCGGTGATATTGAACGAGGCAGAAGCCGCGCCAGTCAAGGTGTACCCAAGCTCGGCCGAGGGTGTTGGTTTCATGCCCAAAGTTAGTGTGAAGAGCGTAGCAAAGTTTTTGGTGGATGCTGCGTCGAAGGGAGACTGGGACTCTACTGCACCAGTCATCACGAACTGATGCAAGGAGTTTCGAAAAGGGCGATGTTGGGCAGCTAGTTAGTGATCTACAAGGCCAGGATGCAGTGATTGGATGGAGACCATGGCAGTATCTTCAGGCGCATGGTGTCAGAAACGCGTACACAGGTTCTTTTCATAGAACGAATAGCAATGGCGATGTATCTGTGACTTGGAAGAGATCAAATCGGGTTAGAAGGTACGAGCCTGTGCCCCTTACAGCAGGCAATGCATTCGTTGAACAGGAGGCTCGTGAAGTGATGAAGTCATGACAAGCTTCCAAACACATTAGACAAGGGTGTTAAGGTGCCGCATTGCCGACTGGGTTTCCGTCAGGACTACTACTACGTACTATTTGATGGCTCAGGAAGTTTCCATGTCTACTTACGCGACCTGTTCGGATGGTCAATATGGCTAGGGTATCCGAGCAGACCGGATCGGGAGTCTGATCACGGCAATCAGTATCAAGCTGGTAGAAGTAAATCACTAGCCAACAGGGTGATTGTTCGCATCTCCAGCTAAAGGCCCCAGGACATTCCGAAGCAGGAAAAGCTCGGAAAGAGGATGCACAAACAAGAAGGTCAAGCTCAGCATCTTAGATAGATAGTATTCACAACCGCTCTTACTCCTGCTCCTGGCGCGGCCTGCGTCCTTGAGAAGGTCGCCGCACCGTCCCTTCTGTATTTTGGGCCTGGCTTTCACTGTACACAAAATAAGTGCCTCTACAATTGTAATCTACATCTACATGCCAGTACTGCTGCAAGCCTCTCGGCCATTCTCCTTGAACCGAAGTACTTGGACTCAACCCATCTCGCCGACAGGTCCGTGAGTCTCCATTTTCAATTTCTTGAAGAGATCGTGCCTGGCCCACCAGCTTCTCATCCTCTTGCCGTAGATGTACACGGGAATACCGAGCAGAGACAGGAAGATCGAAGTGCCACCGAAGACGTACATGATTTGTGTCGGGCCATGAGCAGCGACCCAGTCATTGGCAAAATTCGAGAGACCGTAAAACATGAAATTCTGGGCAGAATTAGCGACAGATGTCCCACTATTGGAATGAGCATTGTGTACAACACTTACCTTGAAAAGCATGTTCATGATGAAGATCTCATTGCTCTGGTTTCGGAAAGAGTCCAAGCCATAAGACAACGTGGAGAAAATTCCAATCAACACACCGACCATCATGACGCCCTGGAAGAAGGAGCACAGCTCAGCAGGAGAGCCGACAGACATGGTGTATCCGAAGAGGAACATCCCTACTCCGCAGGCAACGCATGCTGGTATCATGAAAACCAGGCGGAACTCGGGTTCGCTTTTGTCGTTAATTAGCAGATGAGATGACGCACGGTGTCGTAGGAAACTTACTATACACCCTTGTTCCTGCGAGTAAGATACTTAATCACGTAGTCGCCGAAGAATCCGGTTAGGAGGGAGCCAATGAGACCGCCGACAAAAGGTCCGACACCGACATATCCAATCTGAGCAGCATTGAACGTCCACGGCGGTCCCGCGAAGATACCGGCCAGGATGATTGCAGACCCGACATACCAGCTGTTCAGGAGGCCTGAAGCAATGACTGCATAGCAAGCGGCAGGGTTGAGAAGTGTCAGGAAGGGCCCGAGGAGATATTTGAAGATACTATCGGGAGAATAGACACCAGTCCAAACCGCGAGTTCCTGGACGAAAGTCTTCTTCTTGGGGACGACGTATGAGGACTGCTCGGCCTGGGTTGTTTCACCTAGGTGTTCTTTGTGCGAGTGCTCGATAGTTGCCAACTCTGTCAAACCCTTCTCGTCCTGTTCCTTAGATAAGTCCGTCTCGTAGCGAGCATCGCGCAAATAAGTTGTTTCCGGACAGAATAAGAACATGAGGGCAAATTGAAGGCAACAGAAGATCTGGAACATGTGGAACAACCAGAGCCAGCCAAGACTTTGGAAGACTTGACCACAGATGATGGACGCCAGACTTGATGCGGAATTGAGAATGAAGTTGATGACGGAGATGCGAAGACCTCTTTGGTGCACAAAGTACATGTCGCCGACGGTTGAGACGATGAGGGATTCAAACGCTGATGTTGAAAATCCCTGGATGATACGGGCGGCTAAGAGATACTTGTAGTCGATTTTGGCCTGGCCAATTGCGGTGCCGATAATGTCGAAGAGTGTGGAAACAAGGAACACTGGCCGTTTGCCGTACTTGCGACTGAAAGCACAAACTAATCCGCAATGTCAGCTGCCGCTCTTACCATACATATCAAGTTGAAGCACGAACCGAATGGACCCGAGCATCCAGCAGCAAGAAGGTTATAGCCAGAAACAAGCACGACCTTGGTCAACGACATATCCAGTTGCTGAGCAATGGAGAAGTATGAAGCATTGAGGAATGGACCCTGGTCAGTGGTGAGAGAATGCAACTACAGCCTGATCTAGTTTCAACTCACGTTAGTGCCTGCATTGAGCATAGCGCCGAGACACAGAATAGCGGTGATGACTTCTTTCTTCCATAGCGGCCAATTCAAAGGGTCATTCGGGTCTTCGCTAGGCTGTGGCGACAGGACAATATGAGCGTCTCTGCCCTTGCCGTGCTTGAGACCCTCAGTGATGGCCTCGGAATGCGCGGCTTCGTCGTTGAGTAAGACTGTCCCAGGGACATGGTCCAGCTTCTTGTCTAGCCGCGGTCAGCTTCCTGTTGGCAATGTATCTTGTGATGCTCACCTTCTAGAACACCGAGTCCCATCTTGACGATGAGCGTGTACAAATCACACCGATGCTCGAATGATTTTGTTCTCTAGCAACTCCCTTTCTGAGAGAATCTGTGGAGAGGGTGAATGAGAAAGAAGTGCGACGACTGAGGTGGAGGAACTTAGGTATCTATAAAGCTCGAGCTCCAGCCTTTATCAGAGGGAAGTGGGACACTCCGCATGACCATCCCTGGCAAGTTCCAAGAACTCCCTTGCAGGAGATCGAGACTGAAAGCTCATGGTTTGAGGTCGAGTCAGCAAGCTACTCCAAACATGGTTGGCCTTAGTGCCCATGTTGGGTTCATGTTGCCCCATGGGGGAGACGCCGTCTACGGAGTATTCCCATCAGCTAGCCTCGTTCTGTTCTCGCCAAGACCGGCAATTGTTTCCCAAGCGATTGCCGTCATGATTCGGAGTGTCGCCTATTTCGCTTGATGCGCTGGTAATTCTGGCTAGGAAGGTGACTCTGCTAAGGGCCGAAGTGCCATTGAACACAGGAGATGCTCACCAACATCCTTGAGAGCAGGCGCGCAACGTATTGAGGAAATCACTGGCAAGGTCGTCCCCAGATGGATGAAGCACAGTATCCCGCTTACGGTAAGTGGGGATTGAAACTTGGTATCGAGACATGCACGCCCTGGGGCTCCGTTGACTCGTCTATTGGTGGCCAGAGCGCCTTGTGACACAGAAGTATATTGCTATGCATCGGTCCGGGACTTCTGGTAAAACCCCCATGATGGCCTCAATCCTGGCATGTGGGTGAAATCCCCGTAAACGTGGTCCGCGGTCGCGGATATGCAGGGCTTTCGCCTGGAGAATCCATGGCTCATCTGCCGAAGACAGACATGTCTCCGCACGTCGATTCCTGGAGATAGTCGAGGGCTCACATGACTGGTTCGTAGCTGAACAGTTCCAGGCTTGTGCATGCCTTGGCCTGACTGTTGCTGGAGACTAGATGGACGCTTTGTCCCGAGATTCTGGTCTTCTTCCTGTGATCCCCTCACGCGTCGTTGATGGCTCGGGAGAGACAGGGAGAAATCTCCTGTGGGTCAGCATGATAAGTCGAGGGCTGACGCTTCCTGGGGTCATGCTTTGCAGGAATTCCAACTGCAAGAATTCGGTTTCGCAATGTCTAGTCTTTGGTTACTGGCCATCTGGGCCTGCCATTGGGCGGTCAATATACCTGATTCGTGGATGGAGCAGTACATAATCTGGCAGAGACACTATCACCTTTCGGATGGAATACTGGCGGCTGGAAACCAGTGGCTGCCGTACGCTAGACCAACCAGGTAGGCGGGCCTTTTGTTCTTGCAGCATCCATCATTCCAAGCTTGGCCGAATTCACCGTGCCCTATCCTTTGTCTACGACAAGACTGCTTGGTATCGGATCGTGAAGTCCGGCAGATATAGAACCGTCGCAACAAAACGTATGTGCCGGCAATGTGCACTGGTCTCCGGCTGTGGCTCGGTCACTTTCCGCTCGATGTCAATGAGACCACAAGTCCAAGGGACTATCAAGGGACATTGCTGCCACTTTACACTATTGTCAATATCGCGCCCTGGTCCAAGGAAGATAGAGTCCTTTGCGGGTTCCAAAGGCTCATTGGAAGGGGAATGGATCAGCGACGATGAGCGTCCGCTTTTCCGTCATAGTACTCCGGGTACGAGTCCTGGAATCCAAAGATCAGTCTGCCGATCCAGGCTCCAAAGAAATTTAGCAACAGTCCCAGTGGCCTCGCGACAAATTGGGGACCAGGCAAGGCAAGGACAACGTTGGCTCTGTGGTTGAAGAGGAGAACCTGAAACATGCTGCGTGGTATTCCAGCCTTGTTACAGTCGTCCCGATATGTTTGCGTGTTCCCTGATAGCTCCTCAGTAAGCATTCTAACGTCTGTTCAATTCGTTAGGGTAGCGGGCATACTGAAGAATTCCTCATCTCTCTCCCTGTTCCGCGGCTCCAAAACGAATTCAACGACCAGATCATGTTTGGAGCTCGCGTTTCGAAACGTATGAAAGGCGCCTTCTGGAATCTTGACTACCTCTCCGGTAGTCGCGATGCATTTTCGACCTTCGACATAGAATGCTGCCTTGCCTTCCAGAACATGAAAGAGTTCCTCCTGTCTGGAATGCCAATGCAACGGTGGGTTCAGGGCGCAATTAGGCGGACTTGGAATCGCTTGGCTACTAGTACCATTTTTGCTGGCCGACTCATCAATTGGAGCTGGGGGGAGCCGATTGATGACTAGATACCGGTCTGAAGCGCCCTTGAATTCGATGTATGAACGGCCCTCGTCGAAAAAAATCTTGTTCAGATGAGCGACTCGAGTACGTGGAGGATGCCTCGCAAGAAATGGGATCATTGTGACCCGGTCAATAACGCCGGACAATCGCGAGTTATTCAGAAGTCTCTCCGTATGATGGTCGTAATCTCCAAGATCTTTGCACCTCCTCGAACCCTTGAAGAATATCAACACATGATGACACCAATGAAGAAGTCTCTACCCAGCAAAGCTAAGCTCGATAGGGTCATCATGGGTTCCAGCCAAAGGTTTGGCATCCTTCGCCTAAGTTACTGTCCCCGGATCAGCCCCTAATAAATCAGCTGATGTGCCCGCAACGTGCCGCAATTCTACAAAGGGTTTAGGGGCGTTAGGCGGCCACAAAGCCCGGTGAGCCTTAACAATTAGAACTCGTCCCTCCATCATGCCTCCTACTGTACTTCCTCTCTGCTCACTGACGATGAGGCTCCCAGGCATTGGAGTCGTGTTTCAGGATTGAAGGCAAATCTGACTTCGGAACCAGCGTACCACAGTCAAGACCCAGCACGATACGCTTCATGTGATCTATTGCCATCACCGTTCTCGCGTGAAGATCCAGCAATCCCTGTCGCTCTGCGAGAAGCTCTTTGACTTGATTCCTTAATGCTGTCAGCTCTTGCTCTTTCCGTTGTCGAAAAGCCGCCTGGGACATGCGATTCTGTTTTCGACGTTTCTCCTTCTTAAGAGCTGTCAGCCCCATACTCTTGAGAGGTGGGATAGATGAATTAACACCTTTGCATGCACTTCGGGGCCTGAGCGTGCGCTCCAAACCAGTGTTCCATTCGACCCAGGACTTGACGGCGACGAACTCGAAGTGGTTTGGTCTGAGGCATCTCGAAGTTCGACGCGATCCGGTAGGCTTACATCCTCCACGAAGTCGCCGAAGTCGCAAAATTCCTAAGACGTTAGCTCTAAGTCTATATTGAGTGAGCATCGATGATACCTGCAACGGTGTCATATCACATAGCGCGAGGACATTGGCACCAGCTTCACTTGGCAAATGGAAGTCGCAACTGGTTGCTTGGCCAAAAATGTCCTCAGCTATCGGAGTGATCATATCGTGGCATGAATGAACTGGAATATCCTGCTTTCCCTTGTCTGATTCTAAGCTCAGAAAATATCGACACCGAACTCGCAGGGCTTTCGCCACTTTATAGTCATTCTCACGCCGATGGACATGTGCACAATCACCGAATCAGCTCTATATCTGACAGACCCACGTTCTGAGTTCTAGGTTCAACGAAACTCCTGATCTTAACCAATCCTCGCAGCAAAACACTGCTCATACGCGGTAAGAATGCCTGCCGTCTCATATGGGCGAGCTTGTGTCTCGATCTTGAACCACCCCGCAAGGGAGAATACTAGACTAGTGCTTAGTCACTGGTCTCAGCCACCTACTGCCGCACACGGCACGAAGTAATGAGTGCGGGATGCAACAGGACCGTGAGGGCCGGTTACAATATCAACAACATGCTTTCCAGCATGGATACTTTGCAAGAGATTCGGCGAAATCGACCTCATGCGGATTTGTACATATTGCACATCGGGATGCGCCTAATCATATCATGTCTATCAGCTTCGAGGCACAGCACTCAGTCCACGAGGGAAATCCACATGGACCCTCCTACGAAGAAATCCGCTGTAGCGCATTATTATGCGAGAAAGCTTGTGAAGAAGTACTGTCCTATTTCGGCTACATTGAAGGGACCACAGGCACGAGCCGCGTTTGAGTGGATCTCTCATTCCCCTACTCGTACATCGACTTGGAAAATGCGAACCAGGAGTATACCGCAGTCACTTATGCTTTTTTATTTGCGACCGGCTGGCATCCGGCGTGCAGAAGGAGAAATCGGATTGTGGGGAGGTAAGCGACACAGCTTCTATGCAAAGCGGAATTGCAACGCCATAGGTTCAGAGTATCGAACTGGGCAGAGTCTCGAGTGCACACGTTCCTCCGACCCAACATCCATCTTGCTCTAACTGAACGACAATTTGAGACAGGAACCCCATCGCTCTGCCTTGATAAACAAGCGCTTCTTGGCCGACATGCAGCACGCCGTTGGCCACTAGTGCATATGACAAACCAGCTGCTGCGATCCCAGTTGCGGCGTCTTCAGGATATCCCGAAGCTTTGGGAAACTGCCTTGCTTCGACCTTGAGAGGTGCATTCTCGCCCTGCACAATTGCATATGGGTACAGTCCAGTCGAGCCGAGCTTCTCGCAGACATTTTTGAGCCTAGCGAAATCAGGCTGCAGGTTATTCAACGTTCCAACATCGATGATGGGTATGACGGTCTTGACGCGGCTCGTCCAAGCATTCTGAAGATTTCGACATGCCAGCTGAGCAGATCGGATACCCAAAACCGACAAAGTCTCCTCGATTAACGTCTCGTCCGAGATGTTATCAACAGTACCTTTCGGCTGCGAGACAAATAGCTGCATCTGGCCGTCCTTCTCGACACGCCGTGTCCTCACCATGCCAAACTTGGTATTGAATTTGAGCCCAGACTTATCCCTGAAGCCCAAGTTATGCATCACCCAGGCCGTCCCGACTGTTGCGTGACCACACATTTCCATCTCGTGCTCAGGCACGAAGAATTTCAAGTCGAAATCAGCTCCGGAACCTTCATCAGCTACTCGCGCGAAGGCGCTCTCTCTTTGATGCCTCATAGCGACATCTCGCATTTCGCGATCCGTAAGTCCCTTTGCGTCGAGTACGATTGGTACAAGATTGCCACCTTGCCCTTCGAACGTGAACACATTCACCAGTTGTACGTCTCGATCCGCCGGTGCCATGCCCCAGAAAATTCGCCTTGCAGGTTATGTTTCGAGAACGGCTTAGAAAGATGTCGACACGATTTTGTATCGCGGCTTATCACGGAGTTTTGACGTCCGTCTGGTCGTGCCCGCGGTGCGCCCTATGATGCCAGGCATGCAGGCTGCTTACTTAATGAGCCTAGTTAGTGAGCCCTGCAGAGATGATTTGCGACGCCGAGCACTGGTTTTTGGCCACCATCATAGGGGCATCATGGTGTGTACGGGCATTTCGATCCTCCATGCCTCGATATGAGGTCGGAATAGCTCATCACGAGTATGCCCTGACATTGAGTGGTACGCTTCGCTCAGTTTGGCACCAGAGTGAGATTATTTGGGCGATTGGTTACCTTTCAGCCCACCTTCTCTTCAACCAAGACGTCTGCTGGCTCCTTTGACACTCCAGCCTTTTCCTACCTCTCCCAGCAACTTGGTTGTTCCGTGCAGAGAAGTCACCGCCCACGCTTCCAGGCCAGATCGAACCTTGACACATCGGAACGTCAGGGAATTTACCAGGATTATTTTGTGGATGAAAATGTATGAAAGATGATGGTTTTGTGGCACCCCTCGGCGTCCCCACGCGATTGATACCGACAGTCGCAGAAGTTCGGCTGCAATTGCCGGGATCTGAACTGCCACCGATACCGCCTACTGCTACATTCGACGCCGGTATGAGTCTGGACTGGAGCAATATATGACAGTTTTCGAACCTTTTATCGCACAGGAAACAACTTTTCAAGCTTGCAAGAAACTCGTTTGAGCTCACGTCAAGAATCAGGCATCACATTCCCGGACTTTTGCCATAACAACCTCATCAACAGCAAGGTCGAAGATGTCGCCAAAAGGGCCCTACAAACTGGTCACAGTCAACACTGCCCCTGAACGAGCGAAGCGACTGATCGGCCGTGTCGTTGAGGATCTGAAAGACCAATATACCATCCAGCATATGGCCAATTGCGAAAGTAAGTCTACTCAAGTGTACAAACCGAGACGTGACAAGCGTGGTTGACAGCGCTGAAGCACTTTCGCGGTCGTAGCCTCCCTGTTTGAGAGCTGACATTGGCTAACATGATGACCTAACAGCTATCGACGCCGTCGAACCGACAGTGAAGGAAATCAAGCCAGACCTACTGGTATGTCAAGCCTGCTGATGCCCCTCGTTTCGCGCTTCGTGCGCAATCGATAAAAATGTCTCGTGCTGATCTCAACTTTAGTTCTGCGCCTCAATGTGGACACCGGAGGAAAGCGCAAGGATTCAGCAGATCGCGAAGGACAACGTTCCCGGAATCAAGACGCATGCTATACCTCAAGGCCTACAGGTGGAGAAGGGTCCTGATGCAGTGGTCGAGTATCTCAAGGAGCAGATCCCGGGCCTTCTGGGGTGAAAGGCCTCCTCTAGCGTGGAGACAGTTCAGCCTGGTGAGCCTTGTATGTGTTCCGAGAAAGGGTAGAAAGGACGGTTAGATTGGCAATGGCCTCACTGGCTTGCTTTGTGTCCTCGTCCGGGTGTCCTCCGTCCAGATGCCTTCTGGTGACACGACGTAGGACTAGCTAGACATACCATAGAAGATCAGTTCCGATCAGGGGCTTTTTGTTTCAACCTTCCTTGTTGCCCAAATATTCTATCGATGGGGTGTTGCCCCCTTCATTGCCCACCACAGGCCGTCGACGAGAGAAGATGACTAAGGTAGAGCAAGGCCGACCTCGGGAGGATTACCTTCAAAATTTGCCGGCACAGCCCCTCTTGTACTTTGTGGGGACGTCGACTCCTCGCTCGCCTCGCTCACCATTGCCGAAGCCTTGACCCGTTGCTCTGAGCGAAGGGCACCGAACCTTGACATGCTTGCGTCTGCCGCTCGTTGGCTATGGAGTCAAGCTTTCTCTCATCCCCGCAGTTTTGATGGCTGCCACTAATATTTCCCGTTTACTACCAATAAGCCAAAACAGCGGCATTGGATCTCGGCTTCAAACCACGTTCGGACGGACTTTTGCATTCTCAGACATATAAAGCAGTTGACAACGTGCGACTGATCAACAAGAGGATCGAGCCTCTAGGCAAAACCCACCGTCAACATGCATGCAGACGCCCAGTCTCTCAAAATATGTATTCTCGGTGCGGGAATGGGAGGGCTCACTTGCGCCCTTGGCCTAGCCCGTGCCGGCTTCAAAGACATTACAGTCTTTGAGATGGCATCGAACTTGGGCTTCGTCGGAGCCGGGATACAGATGGCGCCTAACATGGCACGCATCCTGGATCGACTAGGCGTCTGGGACGACATTTTCAAGGAGGCAGTCGTGCTGAACGAGACGAGCATCCGTCAAGGCGCCACGGACGCAGAACTTGGGCATGTCGACTTGAAGTATATCAAGGAGACATACGGATATCCGCACACTGTTGGGCACCGGTCGACCCTGGCAGGGGAGTTGTACAACGGGTGCAAACGGGAGTCGGACAACATCAAGTTTGTATTTGCAACGACTGCGGAGAACCTGAAATTTGAACCGAAGCCTTCATTCACGGCCGTACCTCGAAGTGGCGAGCCTTACCAGGTAGAATGCGACATCCTGTTGGGCGCCGACGGCGTCAAGTCGAATACGCGCGTCGCTATGCTTAAGGAGCTCAACGTGGAAGCCGATGTCAAGGACACCAACCAAGCTGCGTATCGGATCATGCTCACCCGAGAACAAATGTCCTCGGATCCGGAATTGCTTGCCCTGATCGATGCAGACAAGGTGATCCGATGGATTGGCGAGAAGCGGCACATCATCGCCTACCCGGTGTCGCGGAAGCAGATCTACAACATCTCGACCACACAGCCGGATGTCAATTTCGCAGCAGCCCCTTCGGCCACGTACACGACAAAGGCTTCGAAGAAGGCCATGCTCGAGGTCTACGGAGATTTCTGCCCGATGATCCATCGAATGCTGGATCTCGTGCCCGAGGGTGAAGTCTGCGAGTGGAAGTTGCGAGTCCACGCGCCACTGCCGACGTGGGTGCATGGCAGTGTGGCCCTGGTCGGTGATGCCTGTCATCCTACGCTACCACACATGGCGCAAGGAGCAGCCCAAGCAATCGAAGACGCCGGTGTCATATCAGTTGTGCTCGCCGCGCTCCCGTCGGGCGCTACGCCAGCGGATATCAACAAAGCATTGAAGCTCTATGAGAAAATACGGAAAGAGCGGGCAGAGACGCTGGTCGAGTTGGCAGCCGCAAGTGGGCGAGCAATGCACCTGGGCGAAGGAAAGGCGAAGGAGGAGCGAGATAGGCAGTTCGCTGCGCTGAAGGCGGGTAAGGGGCCTGTCCCGGATAAATGGGCGGACGCCGATGTACAGAAGATGGTGTACGGGGTTGATTGCATGAAGATTGCGGAGGAGATGGTCAAGTCTGAATTGAACGGTGCCTGAAGAGCATTAGGACCTTTGTGAATACTAGTGTTTTCTGATATCATCGGGGTGTCTTGTAAACAATGAAGTGTTACTTTATATAGTAGTCACCACCTTGGCCTTTGACCTTCAGGAATGGCCACTCCCATTCTGACCTTTGGCCGTGTTCGTGATAATAGTAGTGCTGTTTGAGTGGCCAGGAATATTGAACCCTCCCGGACACCCGTTCTAGCTTCGATTCCCTCGTCTGAGATCGGCTGCCATCAGTATGTCTGGTCGGAGAAACACCCCTGGAGGGTTTAGCGAGAAAACAAGCCCATCATAGCCTAACAAGGTCTAGACGGACGCCCGGAACAAGGCCCAACCGCTCAAAGCAAGCAAGAATTGCCACCCGAAGGCCCCTAATGGTCCCCACAAATCCAGCGAGGCCCTTGCTATGCCCTGCCTCGTCCACTTTCCCATATCTCTGCATAGTCCCCACGAATTCCCTCCACAACCAACTATCCCTCCTTTTCCCACGTCACGCTATCAGATGAGTTCGCTGACAAGCGCTGTCAGCACTGGCGAGGCTCTGTCCGGGGCCAAAATGAGCATTATGGAGTGCAAATTTTGTCAGAAGACATTTTCAAAGGGAGAACACCTCAGGGTACTATATGAAGTCTGATCCCAATGTCTGTGCTTCGCTGACTTTCGATAGAGACATGAACGAAGTCGTAAGTGAAGGCACTATAGCGACTATACTTTTGGCTGACGCCAGACCCAAGACACTGGAGCCAAACCTTTCACGTGCGCTCTATGCCGAAGGTCTTTCAGCAGACAGGATTCACTCGCCCGCCATGAGAAACTACATACTCGCCGACGTGCTACCAAAGATGCTCCTGCAACGGACACCGTTGTGAAGCCGCCAACACCTGAGAGTCTGGGGAGCACCGATATCAATGACCAAACCACCACAGCCCCTACAAGCTATGAATATGCCGGGGCAGTATCCGACGACCAGCCATTCAATCCCCTATCAACATCCGTCCCACACCCGGCACCTCAGTCGCTCGACGTGGACTTTGACCTGATATGGCCTGATTCAGAGGATCTCTTCCAGAGTATCATGTCCACTGAAACTTCCAATCAGTGGCAGATGCCCCTAGGAACCCTACCATTCTCCGCCTCTCCTACTACGAGTGATGTCGCGTTTGGCACACCAAGCTCTTTCGATGAGCGGCCTTCCTCGATAGGGACCATTCCTTCAGGCGGAAACCATCAAGCTGTACAGGATGTCAGCAAGATGGTCTCAAATCTGGTAAGGCTCACTTCTCCAGATGGGCATTGCCCTGCTTCAAAACACTCCCCAGGACTTCGCGCCTTTGCCATAATGTAGTCTTGATGATCTTGAACGGCCCATCCTCACAAACAAAGCAATATCACAAGACCTACTACTGACCTTCAACAGTCTTCCAGCGTCACTGCTGCGGCCAAATCTACTTCGATCACGTCAATTTTCCTCGACGAATGTCTGCATATGTTCTTCGTCAAGTTCATCCCCACATTCCCAGTCCTCCACCGGGCCACATTCGTCTTCCGAGACTGTGCTCATCCACTCCTCCTCAACGCCATTGCCATAGGCTCATTATACCTTGGACCGAAGGACGCCGTTACAAAAGGCGAAGCACTCTGGCGGCTAGCTCACACTGCCATGGCAACGTCGTGGCAGAATCTGATCACCCACCGCGGCCCCTTCGACGCCTGCGAAGGCGTGCAACTCATGATCACGGCTATACTGGGTCAGGTATACGGTGCTTTGTCCAAGAACCGCGCCATCCGATCGACCAGTCAAGCCTTCCACTCGCTGGGCTTCGTCTGGGCACGTCGATGCGGCATGTTCGATAGCCCGCCATATCCGCCATCCTCGGTCCCGTCTCACGACGCCGATGACGCGCACAAGGAACGGCAATGGAGACTGTGGGTGGCTCGGGAGATCCAACAACGTGCCCTCCTGGCACACTACATGCTCGACGGCCTCATCTCACAGATGTCCGGAGTTCCTACCTCCGTCCGCCACGCCACCAACCAGCTCGGCCTACCCAGCAGCGACGCCGCCTTCGAAGCGTCCACGGCGAACGAATGGATCTCCCAGATGCAGTCGCAACCCCTGCCGTCTCCCACGGCGACTTTCCGGAGCATCCTCCGCCGTCTTTTCCACCCGGCCAACGAGTCATCACGCTGGCTCGACATCGACACCCACACCAACCTCAATCTTTCGGCCTTCTCGCACAAAGTGATCCTCGAGGGTCTCCAATCGCTCATTTCCGACGACGACGCCGACGAGGTCACCGCCGTCGGTGTACCCACCCGACGCGAAGTCCGCAGCGCCCTGAACCAAGTGTACGAGAGCATCACGTTGAACGCCACGCTGTCGTCGGCCGACCGCCTGGAAACTCTCCTACGCTGGCACAGCATCTGCCTCGACACCGTGGTCGACACGTCGCTGCTGTGCCGCAACCTCTGCTCGCGCTACGACATCACGCAGCACATCTGGCGCGAGGGGGGACCACCCCCACCCCCGCAAACCTCGTCCTCCTCGCCCTCTTCGTCCAGGAATCCCGACCTGGTCAGTTGGGTCGGCACGCCGGCCGCCCGAATCGCCCTCCTGCACGCCATGGCGATCCAGGAGATCGTCGAGCAACTGCCTCGCGGCCGCGCCCACGCCATACACATGCCCAGCTCACTCTTCGCGACGGCAACGGTGTACGCGGTCTTTGCGCTCGCGGGGTCCCCCGCCCTCAAGATCCCCTGCTCGGTCGTGTGGCACGACGTCGTTCTGCTCGACACTGGTACTGCTAAAGCCGGCATGTCCAATGATTATCTGTCCCTGTCGGATCTGAACACGGGTACGAGTACGAGTATCAGTATGAGTATGAGTACTCGTACTAGTATGAACAACGAGACGGACACGGCGCGGTATATCCGCGGCGATGTGCTCTACGGGTCGAACGTGACGTCGAGGAATTTGCTGTACGAGTTGAATTCGATCCAGAAACTGTTTAGGTGTTTGTTCGCGCAATGGGGCGTGGCGTATGATATGGAAAGTGTGGTTGAGCAATGGATTTCGCTTTGTCATTGAGTTGGCGGACAAGTGGTAGGCGCAGAGTCGCTTTCGAGTTTCCAACGTGCTCACAGGCACCTAACAGGGCGTCTCTAGATGATGATGATATTAACTCAGCGTGGCGTTTAGACGGCATTGTACGGATGAGATGATGGATGAAAATTGAGATGGGACGAATTGCCTCGACCACGACACGTCGAGGCAAAAGAATGATGCCGCAATGTAGAATCTGTTTGTGCTCCACAAGCTGCCCTAGGAGAAAACAGTGTATGGACTTTTGCCCGGCAGGACAAGGAGACCACCACAACAAGACATTCGCGCATTCTCATACTTGTGTGTGCTTGGTCATTGACCGTCCATCCAAATATTTTCCCGACTCCCTCTGGTCCCTCTGGGAGGCTTTTTACTGCTTCTGCGCCAACAAAATGTTGCCCTGCTCATCGTATACAATCTCCCTCATCCTCACGGACCGCAAGTGGTCCACACCCTTGCTCAACTCACAATCGTGATAGAACAGGTACCACTTCCCCTTGAACTCGACGATGCTATGATGCGTCGTCCACCCGACCACCGGCTCGAGGATGCGTCCCGCGTACGTGAACGGTCCGTACGGATTATCTCCCACCGCGTACGCAAGGTAATGCGTGTCCCCTGTCGAATAGCTGAAATAGTACTTGCCGTTGTACTTGTGCATCCAGGGAGCCTCGAAGAAGCGCCGGTCATGGTCATCCGCGACCAGCAGCTTGCCCGTCTTGTCGTCCAGAATCTGAATCTGCCGGACCTCCTCGGCGAAAGTGTGCATGTCCTCGGACAATTTGGCCACGCGGCACAGTAAAGCAGGCACGTCGCTGCCCTTGGGCTCCTGCGGTCCGGACTTGGACGCGTCGAACTTGAACTTGCCGTTGTCGCCACTCCCACTCCAGCACTGCAGTTGTCCGCCCCAGATGCCGCCGAAGTACAGGTACGCCTGGCCGTCGTCGTCGACAAAACACGCGGGATCGATGCTGTAGCTGCCCGGGATTGGTTCCGGGTCGGGAGTGAATGGCCCGCCGGGCTTGTCGCTGACCGCGACGCCGATGCGGAAAATGCCTTGCTTGTCACGCGCAGGGAAGTAGAGGTAGTATTGCCCGTTCTTGGTCGCGGCGTCGGGAGCCCAGAGCTGTTTCGAGACCCAGGGGACGTCTTCCGCTCGGAGGGCTACGCCGTGGTCGGTCACGGGGCCGCCGAACTCGTCGAGCGACAGGACGTGGTAGTCTGCCATGTCGTATTGGTCGCCATTGTCGTTGAATTGGATGTCGGTCTCGCGGTCCTAACATCAACCAAGCCCCTGTTAGCCACGTGATGGTGTGCTCCTGAACAGATACTCCGTAACTGGGTATGAAATACTAGTAGTGGATTGGTTGGACCGAAGATTTACCAGCGGGCAAGGGGGCAAGCAAGGATAGACTATGTACTGACTGGCTTTTTATAGTGCCAGATCCGCCCTTTCCAAATGTGTGAGATGAGTCGGCAACTTACATGAGATGGGTATACGTAGATCTTGCCCTCGAAGACGTGCGCCGACGGGTCTGCTGTGTAGATATGGGTTACTAACGGCGCCGATGCCATGGCTGCTGGAGGCTGTTTGTAGGACCGTATGAGATTTGATGGGTCGATACGTGTCTCTTCAGTGACGTCGGCGACTAGATATATGAGTCCAAGTCCAAGAATTATAAAGACTGAGTTCGTCAAGGAACTGGGTGCTGCTCTTTTAAATGCGGACCATTGCCTGTATTCTGCAGAAAGTCGACTAGCGCAGGATGGTATTTAGCCAGATTTACCCGAAAGAAACTTGAACTGGAGGGGCCAGCGACCATTTCTCCGGAATGTGACGACGCCTTGAACACAGTGGCGGGTGACTTGGCATGCAGCTGCAAGTCGCGTACCGGACTGTAGGATTGGGTCACATCTTACAGTCGGGTTGTCACTGGGCATTGCATAGACGACAGACCTTGCGATCCGGTCTGGACGTCATGCCGAATTACGGCGCCATCCACTAGAACCAGGAGAAGGATTATCCTGTAAACTGTGCTGCGCGTGATTGTTCTCACCAGCGGCAGAGTTCTTCAGCAGATTGGACCTGTTCCAATCGCTGAATCTGTCTCGAAGCCGTGTCACAAGGATAGGGGGTTAGCTATGCATTCACGCTGCAAAAAGTTGTAGAGTAAAACATCCTTCAGCCCAGATTTAACATGCGATACGGCCATTCCAACCAGGTAAGCCATTTGCTTGCGAGTTGAGCACGGATGGCGCTGAGAAGCAAGACGCCCGTATTGCCAACTGCCCAGGTTTCACGATACTGATGCATGAAAACGGCATAATAGGCAAGGATGATCAGGGCTTCCGCTCTGAAGTCCGAGAGAAGGTTGAGGTATCCTTCCGACAGCTGGACAGGCCATGCAATAACAAATCGAATCGTGGAATGTAGTTGATATGGCATGCCAGCCACGGCAAAGGACCATTGCAGACGTTGGGTGGCCTTGAGGCAGGCTTCACGCGCCGGTTCCTCCATGTCAGAATCCAGAATCAGGTCGGTCAGACGTTGACACTCCTCGTAGATGCATGGTGATTGAGAGTTATCTTCAATGTCCAACAAGATTTTGATCTCGGACTCCGTGGAAAGATAGCTGTACCAGGTTGACATGACAAGGGTGCTTATACTTTGCATAAGCTTCAGGCTGTTGAGGAACTTTTGCAGATATGCTCTTGAATCCAATGCGTGACTGCCGTGCCGATCTGCCAGAGCATGTAGTGACAATAAAGACGAGAACAACATCAAGGCTGTACAGTTATCGCGACTGACGCCCTCTTGAGTGGCGTTGAAATTGCTGCAAGCGAGACTTTGGAGCTCCGTCGATCGAGTGTGGTAGTAATCCCGACGGCCTGGGTCGGTGTGGCCGATGTGAAGGGCGGAGATGGCCAGAAGCTCATACATCAAAAATGGATGAGCAAATGCCTGCTTGATGACCGTGGTCTGAAAACATTTCTGGTACTCCGGGTCAAGGCTGAAACTGGTGTGCATATCGATCACGAAATGGTGTAGCAGCTGTAGATGCTCCATGTTCAAGGGGAGAGGCGGCTGATCGATCTCTGTGGACGATGCATGACCCTCCGACGGGGCCGGCGTCAGGAGTGCGCATGGTGTATCGGAGGCCGGGCCAGTGTAGGTGCATGGAAAGCTCGATGTTCTGCAATTCACGCAGCATGGTCGTCCCTCGTCACACTATCACCGGGTAAGCCTGCGAAGATGTCCAAGAGTACTACGGTTTCATGGGTAAATTGTGTAATGAACCTCGCTTTAGCTGGGGTGTCAATCAGCTGTCGCTTGAATCGTCGAAGCAGCAGTTGGGCTTCTCATTGAACAGGAGATCCTCCTGCCACACGAATGTCCTCGCTGCTGTTTGCCGTCAAATGGTGCCATAGCGCCAATTACACGATTTACTCAAGAGACCATAGTACGCAGTTAAGTCGCCAAAAGAATACTACTGACCTTGATGTGACGCTGCTTGCATTGCTGGCAGCCATTGCGCGACTTTTTGTGAGTTCTTCGGGGCATCGGGTCGAAGCGCTCAGCCTCGGCGTTGGGATGAGAAGATTTACGCGGATCAAGCGCATGACACGCTGTCTCCAACGAAGCAAGGGCAAAGGAACAGACATGCACCGTACTTGACCTTGCTGGACATGAGATGAAGTGCGAGGATAAGGAGAGGCAAGCTGTGAAAAACCAACCCCCAGACCAACGAATGGGGAGTAGCATCTTTGGGTTGGCGGTGGCTGTCTGACCCATTTAGCGTCGTCATCCGCCTAAAGTAGGGAGTTGTCTCGAAGGGACCCATCAGACCCGTCAGGCAATACGCGTATAGAAATGGGGGCCGACGTATGGGGCGAACTAGATAGATTGCTGCCATTGCTGCTAAGCAAATTTGGCCGACAGCCTCGATATCTGCCGCTAACAAATGCTCTTTCCGCGTATTGAGATGTTGGTGAAGAATCCAAGAATATGGGAGCCTGTCTCACACAGAGAGATATATAACAAGCCTCTCCCTTTTTATTATGCTGAGGCATCGGTCCAGGAACAGCTGCTGCTCACCCAAACTGCGATGGCCACCTCAACATCGACCGAATATGTGCTCTACTCCTACACTCCTTCGCTTCCTCTGGCGATTCTAGCGATAATAGCCTTTGCAATACTCACCTTCGCCCATCTTATACGGCTGGTCCGAACTCGAGCAAAATTCTGCATTCCTCTTTTTGCAGGAGGGCTTTGTGGGTGATAATACCTGTGTCGATCCTTTGACAGATGCTGACCATATTCTCCTCAGTCGAAGCAGTGGGCTATGTCGGTCGTGCCCTGGGCCATTACCACAAGGATCAGATAGGCCCATACATCATCCAAAGCATCCTCATTCTCGTTTCGCCAGCTCTCTTTGCCGCCACAATCTACATGACTTTGTCCCGAGCCATGCGCTCCACGGCCGCCACACACCACTCGATCATCAAAGCGAAATGGCTCACGACCTTCTTCGTGACTGGCGATGTCGTATCCTTCTTCGTGCAGGGAGGCGGCGGTGGAATTATTGCACAAGGAGGGCAAGATAGCGCAAACATGGGGAAAGACATCATTCTGGCGGGGTTGTTCATTCAGATCATACTCTTCTGCCTGTTTTTCGTGTCCGCCATCACCTTTCACTCACGCCTGCGAAAGATGCCCACTTCGGAATCCCTCGATCGAAACCTGCACTGGGAAAGAATGCTCCAGGTTCTTTACGTGGTCAGCGCATTGGTCCTGGTGAGAAACACCGTCCGTGTCGTCGAATTCGTGGGGGACTCCAGTTCATACATGCGCCGAGAGGAATGGCCCATTTACGCATTCGATGCGTTGCCCATGGCAGCCGTCATGGCAGTCCTCTTTTGGTGGTTTCCTTCAATGATCTGTCCACAACCAGGAGCTCGAAGTCTGGGCCTTGTGTCCCAAGCTGAGGATGGCTATGGCCGCGTCGGCTACGAGATGAAATGAATGTATCCTAAGTTGCGTGGGATGGCGGAGAGGATTGAAAATACCTCGAGACCTGCTTGGAAACACCTGGTTCACGCATTGTCGGGGTTGGAATAGACTGTACCAATACTCCGTAGCTAGATCGTTGATAGAATCATTTTCAGCTTAGCAGTACTAGTACTTAGTCAATGGGACGATGCGTCGCTGCCCCAGTGGCATCTCTGAAGTACAACGAGGACGATGAGCATCAAACACAAATAATGAGCGACGACGGTGACCTTTGTAGGCCTGCGGTGCCAAGGCAAGCCTAAGAAGCCTCACTAGCCTGAATTTTGGCGCCCAGAGCTATCGGCCTTAACTAATCACCTCATGATGCCACTGCGATTTCACACTGTTATGACATACGTATCCCGCCGACGGAAAGAGTGCGACTGAAAAGGTCGGACAAGTAGCTTATGACAGTACGAGGCGAAGGTAGTTAGGAGCGGCAAGCATGAGGACCGTCTTCAGAAATGCCCGCGTCTTTACCGGCAACCCAGCCGCCATCGAGCATGGCAAGCACACATGCATGATCATACACAATGATATGATTGATTATGTGGGGTCAGAATCAGATCCTCAAGTAGCAGCCGCCACGAAAGATGGCGCCGAACTTCTCGATATGGATCAGCGGACTCTAGCCCCGGGTTTCATCGACGGGCACATGCACCTCTTGATGTTCGGCACGTCCCTTCAGAAAGTCAGCCTTGCTCACTGCGAGACGCTGGAGGAGATACGGTCTACGATCCGGGACGCCGCGAGGAGCGACCCAACAAAGCCGCGCATATTGTGTCGCGGATGGATGCACTTCATGACAAATGGACGAGCCATGGCAAGCGACTTGGACGGCCTCGACGAGCTCAATCGTCCTATTTTCATTGACTCCAAGGATCTGCACTCGACGTGGTGTAATTCTGCGGCTTTGCAGGAAATGGGCGTGCAGGACATGCTTGATCCTCCTGGCGGAGAGATTCAGCGGGACGACAAGGGCAGGGCGACGGGCCTGCTCAGCGAAGCGGCAGCTGTGACCATCGTCTGGCCCCATCTAGCCAAAGTGGCTTCTATGGAGGAGAAGAAGACCGCCATTCGTAATGCCGTCAAGACGTATAACATGGCGGGGTACACTGGAGTGGTGGAAATGGCCATGGACGAGAACGCCTGGGAAGCCTTGCTACAACTGAGGTCGGAAGCGCCATTGACGATCAGATTGGCGATGCACTGGCTCATCTACCCATCTGAGACCAACAAGGAGAGTCTGCGTCAAGTGGACCAGGCAATTGAACTGTGGAAGCACTATAACCTTGAGACCTCGCCAGACTTTCGGATTGCAGGCATCAAGGTCATTGGCGACGGTGTCATTGATGCGTGCACGGCTGCGCTGCTGGAGCCATATTCGACAAACGGAGTCAGCTGTGAGCCGTTGTGGAATGCCGGACATCTGAAACAGGTCGTTCAAAAAGCCGATGCTGCAGGGCTGCAGTGTGCTCTGCACGCTATTGGAGATGCGACGATTAAAATGGCCATCGACGTGCTCGAGACTGTTACAGCGAGTGGTCGACGACATCGGATCGAGCATTTAGAGCTCACGTCTCCTGGAGATGCCAAACGTCTTCAAGAGGCCGGAATAACTGCGTCGATCCAAGCTGTGCACGCCGATCCAGCCATTCTCCGGCAGTGGACCTCTCTGCTCGGGGAGGAAAGGAGAGGCCGTGCGTTTGCTTATCGTGAGTTCCTGGATGAGGGTGTGCATCTAGCCTTGGGGACAGATGCTCCCACTGCACCAAATTTACCTTTGCCGAACCTGTATGTGGCCACGACGAGGAGGTCAGCGAGGGAGCCAGACTCTGACGAAGTGGTCAACAAGCATTTCGCACTGCCCTTGCTGAACGCCTTCTCAGCAGCCACGCATGGTGCAGCCCATTCGTGTTTCATGGACAAATCTACAGGTAGGCTGGAGGCTGGGATGAAGGCGGATTTCGTCGTTCTCGACATGGAATGGTCACCGGAAGATTTGCTTCGGGCAAAAGTACTGCAGACATGGTACAACGGAAGAAAAATTGCTATTGCAGACAAATGAAAGGACTGAATACTAAAGAAACATACTGATTTGTTGCTGACGTACAGGCACGCTGTGCTAGGCTGACAACCTCGTGTGCTTATGTCGTTACAGAGATCTCGTCTTACTCACGAGGACGATGAAGACACGCCTCTCACCTTCTCGTCACCATGCTCCGCCAGTCCTCCAGCAGCATCCTGATTATGTTTATCTGTTTCCTTCGCTGCTGCCATGGCGTCTTTGCTGTGTTCCTCGACAGATGTTCCTGCTACTCCTTCTGAATCGATGTCCTTGGAACTCTCTGTGGCTTGTTGCAGCCTCTGCTTCTGAGCTTCGACGGCTTCTGTGTCATGTTCAGTCTCTTGGAATTTTCCAATGATGTCATGTATCCTCACCGTCAGCGCCAGCTTGTTTATTGCCTGAGAACATGCCGCCGACTTTTCCAGCACCAGCGCCAAGAGCACCTCCAGCGAATTGTACTGTGCTTCCGAGGCCGTCACCCACGCCCTGAACGGTTCCAGTCACGCCTTCACCGAGCGCTCCTACTGTGTTGCCGACTGTGTCGACGAGTCCTTTGACGCCACCGCCGACTGTGCCGCCGAGTGCTTGGACCGCACTTTGGGTATTTGAGGAGACTCCTTGGGCTTGGTCCTGAGGAATCTTGCCGGCAATGGCAGCTCTGGGGGCAAGATAGGCCGATTAGCTTCTGCAAGTTGGAGGGATAGGGTTTGCTCACTGTGTTTGTTCGGCGAGTTTGTCGCCTTTGGGATTACCAGGAAAGACGTCTAGGTCAACGACACGGTTCTCTGCTACTTTGACCATGGTGAGCTTCAAAAGTTAGTACCAGAAATACCTCGGAAGTCCAGCCGGCAAGCGATGAGCATGTCATAGACACAACGCATTTGTTGCTCCATCTCTCGCGTGTCTACGATGTGACGTAAAGTGTGTTCCCATTCAGCATCGAGTAATGACGATATGCTCATGGGGTTTCTTGAGCATTCAGATCAGCCGTCAAATGAGAACGGGCAATTGTAGAGCGACAGGGATCATGACATGAATGCTGGCGTCAACTGACATGCGGAGATGAAGTGAGTGATGCAACTCGCTTCACCTTCTTCGTTCCCCAGAGGTGCCCAGGCCAAAGCAGCTGTCACGTGAAAATGACTTGGCAGTTCTTGGCGAGGTTTGGATCTCAGCTTCAAATGTGACATCCGTGGACATCTTTCCTTCGATAATCTCAATGAATTCATTGCACCTGATGCTACTCAGATGCGGCACGGGCATACATTTTTGCATGTTCGTGACAGTATTACACAAGTCAACATGATGCAGCCAAACCTCTAATGAACAACTTCCACGCGAGTCTTCTCTTGTTCTGCTTGCTGCTCCGACATGAAGGGCGCTGCGAAAGCATACCTCTTGTACCCCTGCGAGTAGTCCTTCCCCTCGACACGCTCTGCATTCATCATCAGTCACTCTGTTACACAAGTCAACGAGGTAAGTGATCTTACCGCTGTCAGGAGGGAAATTCTCCCTTCGATGCCTATAATATTCTTGTCGGAGATTCTCGCCGTCACTCTTTCCATGATAGGTCGCATAAATCATGCTCCGGCTGCTGTTTGTGCGGTTTGGGCCACTTCTGTGCGCAAGATGACTACCAAATAACAAAATATCTCCTGGGTGAAGCAGGACCTGTGTCCACTCATGACTATCCTGCCATGCCTGAGTGATAGCACCTCCATGGGAGAAGTCGACGTCCATTTCATGTGAGCCGGGCACGACTTCGATACAGCCGTTCTCGGGCGTCGCTTCGTCAACGGAAAAGTTGGCAGTCAGATGCTCGATCTTCCCGATGTGGTCGTAAGCAGGAGCATCCAGATGGGCAGCGAAACCATTTCCAAATGGCAGCTTGTAGTTGATCTTGTCCTTGAACAGGAGCATATCCTACAGAAGGCACGGATCAGCGGTTCAAGATCTCATGTCACTGCCAGCCCCGTCTCAATCATTGGGATTGAACTCACATCCCCAGAAATACTCTTCAATATCTGCATGATCGCATCTCCGCACAGCAACCTCTTGAAGTCGGCATGGTAATCGACAAAATTCTCCGTCCTCATCAACTGTCGCTCACCACTGACGTTCACTTCATGATATGGCATCCATTTGCCCTTCTCAGCCGGCCATTCTCTTACTTGCTTCGTCCACTCCTGCAAGTCCTTTGGATCTACCAGGCCGTGCTCTTCAGCCCGAAGCAGCAGATACCCGTCACGATGGTACTGCTCAATGAGAGCTGCGCTCGGAACGAAAGAAGTCATGTGGAATAGGATGCTTCAGATAACTTCCGAGGTGTCGCTCGCAACAGATCAGGTTAGACCTGCTCAATACTCAAGCCTTATCTCCCCGTACACTGCTTTTTCATGTGGTTTAAGTAGGACACTCGCACCCAACTTTTTCTTCCCCTCGGACTTCGTGCCGGCTCCCCACGTGACCAGGTGGAGTGCAGGCATTGGATGCTACCAACGCAAACGACGTCGACGTTCGTGCCGATCTTCAGTACTGCATCGGTACCAGTCCGATTGTGTTCACCTATGCATCGACACACGGTCTCTTGGTTGAGTGGATCAAGAAGGATGAAAAGAGGGCCATGGTGTGAGTCGACGTGGATCTTGACTCCACCCGACATAACACAAACCTTCCACATCTGGTCCAAGGTAGTCCGACTTTATCGGCACCTGTCCCGCTTGATCTACGACGGTGCAGGCAGTCGATCGAAGAATTCAGAACACAGCCTGAAGAAGAATGCGAACTGTCAGAAAGACATATATTCAACCTTGAACCGGGTTTTCCTACTCTTGACCATACATATACACGTTTCGTCATACGAATCGCAGCACTACACCCCAACGGGCACACGCACATACGGCAGGAACAACGACCAACTCCACTTGAGTCAGACGAGAACAACGACAGACACCCCAGACAGGACAGACAAGATAGAACGAATATGCTCCCCTCCGTCGAACACCACGCGCATGAGTGCGTCCAGCAACTCTTTGCGTACATCACGGCCCAAGGCAACTCCGACTACCTTGGCGAGAAAGTCTCACAACTCCAGCACTCACTGCAAACCGCCCAGCTCGCCGTCGAAGCCGGCGCGGACGATGACACCGTCCTGGGCGCCCTGCTCCACGACGTCGGCCGTTTCATTCCAGCTGCCGAGAAATTGCCCGCCATGATCGCCCCGAACGGCGCGTACGTCGGCCGCGAAAGTCATGAGATCTTCGGCGAGAAGTACCTGCGCGGTCTCGGGTTCAGCGAGAACATCTGCCAGCTTGTGGGAGCGCATGTCATGGCTAAGCGGTACCTGACGGCCGTGGATAAGGGGTACTACGATGGGCTCAGCCAGTCCAGTAAAACGACGTTGAAGTTTCAGGTAAGCTGCTCCGCTGTCTTTCCTCACAGAACCCCAACCAGGGCTGGAGATCACAGTTGACTAAATGACGGCCCAGGGCGGCACATTCTCTGACGAACAGGTCCGCGAGGCACAAAAGGATCCCCTGCTCGAAGCCAAACTTGCAGTACGTAGATGGGACGACATGGCGAAGGTGCCAAATCTCGAAACCCTCCCATTACATTACTATGAGAGAATGGCCGTGAAGAGCCTACTCAGTCAGAACCCCCTCCCCTAACCGTTCTTGCCCCCGGCCTGCTCCACAAGCACACTAACACGAAGTTCGCAGGATCGCGATCCGAGTTTGAACTGCACGGGCGAACATACAAACTCCCCTCAAGACCCACAATAGCAATTTGCATTGACGGCTTTGACCCCGAATATCTTTCGCAAGGCATTGCCGACGGCATCATCCCCAACATGGCCAAGATGGTCGACTCCGGATTCTCGACCATTGCAAATTGCACCATGCCCTCGTTCACCAACCCCAACAACGTCTCTATTATCACGGGCGCACCGACATCCAAGCACGGCATCGCCGGTAACTTCTTCCTCGACCAAGTCACGCGGGAAGAACACATGGTCCTCGACGACTCTCTACTCCGCGGCTCGACTATTCTCGAACAAATGTCTCTGCGCGGCGTGCGCGTCGCCGCGGTGACTGCCAAGGACAAGCTACGCGCCATGATCAACCACGGTCTCGACTTCTCGCAGGGAGCGGTTTGCTTCTCGGCACAGTACGCTGATAAATGCACCAAGGGAGCCAATGGTATCGAGGACGTGGAGAAGTGGATTGGCCGAAAGACACCAACGCAATACTCTGGCGATCTGTCGCTGTTTGCGCTGGAAGCTGGCATCAAGCTCCTCGAAGAAAACAAAGCCGATTTGTTCTACCTGACACTTTCGGACTTCATCCAGCACAAATATGCGCCTGGAAGCAAAGAGGCGAATGAGTTCATGGCGGCCATCGACCAACGTATTGGCCGACTGGTCGAACTTGACGCTGTGGTCGCTGTGACAGGTGACCACGGAATGAGCGACAAATGCAACGAAGATGGCAGTCCGAATGTGCTCTTCCTCGAGACGGAGCTGAACAAGAAATTCGGCAAGGACTTTGCCCGAGTCATTTGTCCCATCACGGACCCATTCGTTCGACACCACGGCGCGCTTGGCTCGTTTGTCCGGGTGCATTTGAGCCCGAAAACCACCGCGCCCATTGAGGAGGTTCTCGACTTTGCACGATCGTTCCCTCAAGTTCTGCTTGCTCTTGATGGGGCAACGGCGGCGGAGAGGTTTGAAATGCCTCTGGACCGCGAAGGCGACTTCGTTGCCATATCTCAGAAGAATGCAGTCATTGGCAGTCGACATGAGGAGCACGATCTCGCAAATCTCAAAGGTCATCGATTGCGCTCTCATGGTGGCCTCTCAGAGCAAGAGATCCCTCTGCTGAGATCCTTGCCGGTGAAGGAGCAAACTGGTGATCGACAGTGGCATAATTACGACATTTTCGATGTACTACTGAATTACTGATTTTCATTCTTGCGAAAGGGTGGGATTCAATGTGCCTGCATCGAATTAAAGTCAAAGTCGAGGTTGAAATCTGCGCCGGGCGAGTACGTGAAGTCGTAATTCTCGAGGAACATTGCGTCTGTCGGACTGAGCCATTGATTTTCCGGCTCGAAGGAGACGGACGGGCCAGGTGGAGCTACAGGCTGTGTCGATGATCCTTCTTGGCTAGGAGTGTTGTGGGAAAATCGGTCAAGAAGCTTTTGGATGCTGCTAGCAATGCTTGTCAACAGGTGCCGAGGATGCATGCTTGCTGTTGTGTTTTTCAGCACTTTCACCAGGCTGTCCAACGTCTCGGTTATTGGTCCTTTGTCAATTCTGAGATTGGCCGGATTTTTGATCGTGACTTTGAGGAGGAATACAAACGCGAAAGCAATCATGGTATCAAAGTATGCAGGCAGGCCCTGGAGATAGGATTGGATTTCCCGGTCCGCCACAATGACTTGTAGAATCGCCGTGGCAGAATGAATGGCCATGTTTGCAAATTCTTCCAGGTCCGAATCAAGTTGCATTTGCTCGTCGTTGGGTGAAGGGGCTCGCCTGAACACGTGGGAGCAAAGGAAGAGTTTGGCGAAGTGGTAATGCAGACCGACTCCCTTGCGCGGGTAATTGCCCACGGATGCATTGTACTGAAACCGCTCCTGCCAATCCGCCCGCCACGTGTCCAGGGCGATGCTTAACCGGCGGATTTGCGGGGTCAGTTGATCGGAAAGATGGGCTTCGGGATCCAGACTGAACTGGTCGAAGACGCGAGTGTTGACGGACCAAATTTCCACCTGGCTGACGAGACGGGCATCCTCCTCGGTGGCGAACTCGGATCGAAGAAACTCGCTTGGCGGCGCGACGGAGCTGAAGTCGCGGGTCAGCGGCGGTCTTCCGTAAGTGATTGAGAAATGGTGGTCGCAGACGTAGACAAGATAGTACAGGCGAGTGCGGAGGTAACAGGCCTTCTTTTTGTGTGGCGCCTTCGGTATGCATCGATGTAGATTTAGCTCTCCGGCGAGACGGGCAGCTGTACGCATGCAGAAGTTAGTCATTTAGTCATATTCATTCACTTCCTATGGGGACAGTCAAACCGTCGAGTGAGCCTTACCTGTGCCGACCAGCGTCCACGATATGTCACTCAACCAAAAGGCCCCGATGCATAGGGCTCGCACATCATCGTGATTGTTTCTTTTCGAAAACATTCGCGTGGAGGCTAGGTTGACAAAGTGCTGGTAGCAAGCCTGATATCGGGAGGAAGGAGTGTGAAGAGCTCCTACAGCGCATATTGCTGCAGTCAGAAGTGGTGAGCTTTTCCTGACGCTGGGCAGAGAGTCGTGCTCGTCCAGAATTCTGTACAGGAAGTGGTCCAGACGTTGGTAGTACAGGGTAAAGAATGCCTCGGCGTCGACCAAGCTGATAATGCCACGGTCGACCACGTCGAGTTCGTCGGCTGGATTTTGTCGAAGCGCTGCAGGGGAAGGATCGGAGACTTCAGACACGACCGATGCAGGAACAACACCTGGACCCCTGTTGAGATCCATCACAACTTCCCAGCCTTGCTCATTGTGATGCTGCGGCTGCTGCGGTTGCGGAGGGGGCAAAGGAGCTGCCATTGCACTTTCAGCCTGGCTAGGGATTTGAACCGGGGTGCGGCTATTCTGGGGACTTGGGTATGTCGAGCCATTCGAGGGTGTGATCTGACACTGTTGATTGAGTCTGCCAATGTTATCCTCCAGCTGTCGCAGTTTCTGCTCGATGTTGGCCTTCCAGCTTGACGGTTGTTAGTCAAGGATACCAGGCTCAGCCGTATCTCGGTCAGTCACTCACGCCACATCCCCTTCCAAGAGCATCTGCAAACTTCGATTGACGACGCAGGACAGTCCGCGCTTCTTGCACCGCGTACAGGGCGGCGTAGCGTCGGTCATGTGGCATTTGATCTTTTGCTTCCGACAGGCCACGCAAGCGGTTATCTTGCGGCTGATGTCGATTGGCTTACGGTCGCCAAAGGAGTCTCGCAAGGCCTGCGCGGCCGTTGAGCCGATCTCTATCTCGGCCTCCATGGCGATATGAGCGAAACTTAGTCGTCCATTGATGAATATCTGAATATGGCCGAAGCAGTGGTTGATGCAAGAGGGATGCCTTGATGCGGGCGACACGATGGTCGTTAGGAAACAGCCAATGAGAGCTGAGATATAAGCGAGGCCACGTGCACATAAGCTATTCTTCATTGGCTGGCTGCGGGCCACGGTTTGCTCCTTTCACAAGCTCCTTTTCTCAACTCTTCCCTTGTCCAGCTCATCTAGATCCTATGGTGGTCCATTCGCTAGACCTCCGAGATTGTAATAATGTGGTTCGACAAGTGCTGCGTCTCCAGTAGCGGGCTTCGTGCCGCTCCAAAAGACGCCTCAATTTTTCACGTTTTGTGCTCCAGCATCTTAATGGTCTCGCTTCTTGGGCCGACCTTACACGTGGTGTTCTAGATACTCTCCATTCGTTTGGGACCCTGTATCTTCATATCACTGGAAGTCTACTTTGATATGGCAACGACGGCGCTTGGCCCGAGCCCAGCAAGGCTGTATGAGGTCCTGTATCTAGAAACCATGTATATTATGCACAATAAGGGATAAGATATCGACCTTCGACCAGAGCTCATCAAGCCAACGCTCCAAACCAAAGTTCATCATCATCCAACACAGACTCAAACCAAAGGAATCGCAAAGCTCGATCTGTCCGTCTCGACTACTAGTACCTTCACAATGCATACAGACTCGGCATCCTACTTTTCCAAGCTGAAGTTCTTGGCCGTCGCGGGCGTGGGTCTTTTCGGTGATGGATACTTGAACATCAGCATTGGGCTTGGTAAGGACCGCACTTCTCTCGATGCAACGGACCCTACTAACCCTCGACAGTCGTTCCAATGCTCGGCTACCTCTACTTCGAGGATAACAAGAACAAGATCCCTACCATTTCCGGAGACTTGATCAAAGCGGGCCTTGCCATCGGTATGGTCTGCGGCCAGCTAGGCTTCGGAATTTTTGGTGATGCTCTCGGACGCCACAGGATCTATGGGAAAGAACTTATCGTCACAATCTTCGGTACATTGATGGTCATTCTGATGCCTTGGGGCCATATTTCTCACCAAGATGTGGTTGCCTGGATGACGGTTTTTCGCATTGTGACCGGCTTCGGTATTGGTGGAGGTAAGATTCAGCCGCCAACAAGGGCGATATCCAGGTGCTGATCATCGTCGCAGACTATCCGATGACTTCCTCTTTGTCTGCAGAGCACACTCCCATGGGATCTCGTGCAAGACTCGTTACGACGGTCTTTTCCTGCATCGGCACCGGGAGCATGACCTCAAGCATTGTCTATTTGGTCCTTCTGGCTGCATTCAAGTCCTCAATCAACGAGAACATCTATCACCTCCAATGGGTTTGGCGACTGCTCTTTGGACTTGGCCTCATCCCTCTGGCCATTACGCTCTATTACCGCTTGACCATGCCGGAGAGTAAGCCATACGAACAATGTAGGTTATGGCTTGCCTGATTTCAGTCCGTTCCCTTGCCGACTGATGGAAAACAGACGTGGCGAAGGAGACTTCTTTGAAGCACAACGGCCAACGTGGTCTTCATCAACAATGGCATGACTTCCGAGAATATTTCTCGGATTGGAAGCACGCCAAAGTCCTCTTCGGTGTCAGTGCGGCATGGTTTCTCTTGTCAGTCAGACCGACTTCCTTCTCTCTTTCATTCTCGTCCAGTCCAGTGCTCACGAGGACACACAGTGACATTGCATTCTACGGAGTCAACCTCAATCAAAGCATTGTCCTATCCAAGATCGGCTTTGGGTCAGCCGACACACCATGGGGCACTCTGTGGAACACAGCCGTGGGCAACATCATCGTTTCTTCTGCAGTGAGTTAATCTGTCCCGCATTGTCATTCTCAAAACGCTCGTCTGACACGGTCCCGTCTAGGGATACCTCCCCGGCTTCTACATTGGAATCTTCTTGCCCGACCTCGTTGGGCGAATCAACCAACAATTCTGGTGCAGCGTGGTGGTTACCATTCTCTACGCCATTTGGGCCGGCGTCACAAACCACACTTCCACTGGTGGGCTGGTCACACTCTTCACTTTGTCTCAACTCGTGCTGAACATGGGCCCAAACACGACCACCTTCCTCCTACCTGTCGAGGTCTTCCCGACCCGCGTTCGAGGTACCGCCCACGGCATCGCCGCAGCTTCTGGAAAACTCGGTGCCATCGTCACGGCCTTTGCATTCGGTTCGCTCACGGATGCCATCGGTCTTCCCGGCGTTCTCGGTTTCCTCTCCGGCATCATGGCGCTGTGTGCTGCAGTGACCTTGCTGATCCCCGAGACCAAGGGCCGCAGCCTTGACGAGATTGAGCGAGGAGTTCTTTACGGCCAGGATACCAGTGTCGAGGGTATTCAGACCTCCAGCGCCGTCTCGTCCCCCGAATTGGAAGGCAAGGACAAGGTGTTCGCCAAAAGTGCCGAGGCATAGCATGGTTCAACGGACGGATACGGAGTACCTTGGGACAAATGGTTGCTACAGACGGTGGTTTCCCGAATACATGATGGTGGCTTCGCAAGATGACTAGAATTGTTTGGGTAGTGGTGCTCCATTGACCTCGCAAAAATTAGTTAGAGACTCTCTCTTTCTGTCAGGGACTGCAAACATTACCCTCCAGCACTCCTACGTACGGAGGACATGAGCCATGCTTAACAAGGCGGTCGCCTAACGGGTTTCAAGCTGTCTTTTTGCAAGGTCTCTAAGGCCTCACGAGCCCTCTACATAGCCGGCAGGTAGGCCTGGACCCTGCGTGGCCCCCCTTATGCGAGGACGTTGTTGAGGCTTGTACTGCCAAGCGCTTTGACGTACCATAGGTACCTGATTAATTTAGCTGGCACTTGATGCTATTGAATCTCAGCACAGCCACCATGCCACATGGTACACCCGTCGCTGGAGCGATTGCCGGGACTTTTGACGATTTTTAAATTCATTGAGTCCAATACTTATAGTAGTACTTTTGAACTGACCTCTGAATCTTGACTACTAGTATGTTGTTGTTCGGGTCTTTCGAGCGCAAGGCAACCAATACCACACATGTAACAACTTCAATTGATGACATCAGGATTCGGGGCAAAAGAGTGTGTAATATTTGAAATCAGAAAAAATAAAAATTAACACCAAATACATTTTCAGTAGTTCCCCCAGAAAGCACCACCTTTTTCCCGAAATAACCTGCCGTGTCATTCAAACTCCTTCTAGGACATATCCATCCTGAAATAGTACTATAGTTGGTAGTGGTAGTAGTCCTCTTCCTGCGCACCCTTGCTTTACATGATCTCGATCAGACCTGGTCCTGCAATCGTGACCTTGGCGACGTCCTCAGCATTCGTGAAGGGGCCGGCGCTTGTTGTCAAGGCGGCGATGGTGAGACCGTTGAGCAGGAACTCGTTGTACGGGAAGAAAACGTCGAAGGTAGCCACTCCATTGCTGACCTTGACATTCTCGATCGTCTCCACGATGGGCACGTTCTGGCTGTTGATGTAGACCAAGCTCAGACCGGAAGGCGGAGATGATTTGTCGACGCTGACGCTGAACGAGAGAGTCTGGTCCTGGGCCTTGATGGGCGCGGTGTTGACGGTCAACGGCAGGAAAATTGGCAGGTCGATCAGGTTCGCGTTCGGGCAGGTCCCGGGGACGACGACGGCTTGGTTGAGCACGGAGAAGGCGAATTCACGGGTCGACCGGGTGAGGAAGGGCAGCTCACTGGGCACAAGGCCGCCGAAGTATCTGAAGAAGCCGGTCTGTTCGCCCTCTTGACCGATGACGGAGCCGATGACGGGCACGACGCCGTCATCATTGTTGTTGGCAAGGTGCAATTGGACGTCCTGGAGTGTGCCCATGACGACGTCGGTGAAGGTCTTGGCGAAGGCGAGGGCGTCGGCAAGCGTGGCAGACGGGAATTGGTACTGGCATGGCTGGATGGGTTCTTGGCCGTTGGCTTTCAGGATGGCGTTGGCGTTGTCGGCGTGGAGTTCTTCCTGCGCTTGGATGGCGGTGATGGCGTTGATGACGAGTTGGCGCGTGTTCTTGTCCTTGATCTCGAAGCCGGACACGTTCTCTGTGAGGTTGAACAAGAGGTCGGTGAAGAAGGCAACTTCGAAGAGCTCGTTGAAGGCGATCAGGCGGAAGCTGGTGAGGTCGTCGGCAGCAAGGCCGACAGGGGCTGCGCCGTTGGGCTCGGTGCCGTGAGCTTGGATTTCTGTGGCGTTAAGCGCCGCATCACTCAGGTTGGGAAAGCCATTGGAGAGAGGGAAGCTGAAGGGGTTGCCAGACTTGAGAGGCGCAGGGGGGCCGGCTGGAGTCGGTGCGGGAGTGCTGCTGGACGCAGAGCCATCTGAGCCTTGGCCTGCCCAATCACCCCAGTTCTGAGCGACGGGGACGGCATTCGCGGCCGAGAGCAATGCGGCAGCCGCGAAGAAGCTGGATGTGAAATGCATTATGGTTGTTGGATAGTAACGAGATGTATTGATTAGATGCAACTGTGTAGGTCAACGATCGTCAAATGAGAAGTAACGTAGGTGGTAATGAACGTCCTTGTTCAACTATTAGTAGCCTTAAAAAGAAAGGAGATAATCGCTAAAGATGCTTCTTGTATAGAGAGACATGAATGGTGGTAGGTTGTAGCTGTATCTTATACCTTTGCTGCTCGACACATTGCGTGCAACGCGGGAACATCGAATAGATTGAGTGGCGCATGCTGACAAGGCTCGGCGATGTGGGCTGAAGGGACTATTCAGGGAGCCGGCAGCCTTTGATTGCCTGAGGGTGTCCTCCCTAGCTTCATGGCCAACCTTCGTACAGATCGGGAAGCTGATCAGAGCTCTGGTATAGCTTGCCGTAATTGGAAGGATTAAGGTCATGCCGGGACTGTTTGTTCACCGACAAAAATCGGTGGAAATGAACATGCTAGTAGTGATTGTCTCGAGAAAATCGACGTTAGTAATACTGGCTATCTTTGGAACATGTGCGGTGGACAGCGACATGCTGATGTGTTACTCCAGACAAATCTCGCGTACCCGAGGGTGCAAATTGTCACCGAAGGCACGCCACATACTGACTCTCATCATTGCGCCTTTGCACCCACCTAAGCCGCTGACGCTGGTCGGTCTCCGGTAAGAAAGTCGGATGTTCGGTAGAATGGCAGCTGGAAATAGTACCAAGAGGGACTTGTTCAGGCCAAAAGGCAAGTTCATGAGTTCCACGACCCTCACGGCTCTACTCATGATGCTGTGCACATCAACATGTTCAATTGAGGCGTTTCTTGTCGTACAGCAGTGGAGGAAAGCGTCGGAAGAGAAGGAGGCAACAATCTGCCCGGGAAAATCTACTAGACGTTCTTGTCGTTCCGTAGCGTCAGGCCGCCAAGGCGGCCCAGCAGCGACAATAGAATACCTAAGTATGGGTCAAGCCAGGCTAGGGAGGCTCAAGCTCACCCAAGCTTTTAAGTATGGCGCTTCACAGCCTAAATTGCGGGTATCCTGGAAGGCGAGAAAGGCTTAGAGCGCCTAAGCATTTCTTAAACGAAGAGCCGCTAACTTTGCTCGACGCTTTTCAGAACCACGTCCATGGGCCAGGTTGATGCTCATTTCGATTTGACTCTGGAGGATATGTAAGACTGTTGCTTGGTTCTGGAAAAATCAAGGTTTCCGTCGTGGCAGCATCAATGCTCATCATCCCGCTTCATTTCACGCGGAAGCATTGATGATTATCAGTGCCCGAACATCCAGAGAGTATTCGTAGTGCTGATCTGACGCGGGATTTCGTTGAGCCACCAAATTGGCCAACAACGCACATGGTCCTGTGCGCGTTCTAGATGGAGGGTTTGTGCTTGATCTTATTTCTTGTCATGATCGTGCACGTTGAACTAGTAAGCTGTCCACCTGTCGAGTCTCTGACACCCGTGCTTGGCACTCAGGGGAAGGACCTGAGACTGGGGAGTCTATCCCCATTCTACCGCGGCAACACGCCGCATCCAAACGCCCATCCGACACCTGCCATAGGCAAACTGCAACTATGCGGCTCGTATCGCGTATTGAACGGCGAGAGCGGTATCCCAATCTGGAGCAGAAGGGCACAAGCAATCGCGGCCACGATCTACGTTCGATCGAGCCTTGTCCAATCGCAGACGTACCTCCACTGGGCGGTTTCGCAGACACACCTGGATATCTGCAAGCTGCAGGTAGCGGGATCGTCGGATTCCATCTATGGTACAGGTCCGTGTCCCATTGGGTCTTATTGTTGCCCTTCGACGTGGTAATTCGACCGTGTTGTTCACAGCCCCGGCACCTAGGTGCCCGGGAACCTTTTGCGCGACCTGCCAGTTGCCCTGCATGCTAAGGTTATAGTCAAAGCGCAAATATGCTCGATATACATCGCATCTGTCTAGCGGCTATACCGGAAAGGAACGCCAGATCTCCAGGCAGCATAATTATATGTAGTCTGTAGATTGAGGACAATTGGCGTACCTCGTCGATGCTCGTCCGAAGGTCTGCTTCTGCCTCAATTTTGTATCTTGCTCTTAGCTTACCAGGATGTTATCACTCGGTTGAAAGTAGTTGATAAGGATATTGCATTCAATCTGGCGACGATTCATTGTGACTTGAACCCGGATGAGGATGTTAGGCCCAGAAATACAACCTCATACTCGGAAGAGACTGCGGGGCCTTGGAGAAGACTGCTGTGGTGCGCTGGGAATAGGCATCGTGATAGAAAGCCCCAACGGTGACCGTGATTCGTTTCATCAAGAGCTTCCAAGACTGGGAGCTTTGCCAGAGGACACTGGGAGTGACTAGTAGGTGACCGGGATGACTGGCGCAAATACTACTTACGTAGTGATGAAGAAGGAAGGTCTCGCGATGTAGCGGGAGATCTAGTCCGAGATTGGCTAGGGCAAACTCTATCTAAAGGACCGCCGGATCATCGGCCGAAGCGGAGTTTCGAGAGTCTGGACCACAACTTGCTTCATCTTCACCATCTTGCAAACACCCAGGTTTCTATCACTTCTACTAATTGTCATCTCCTTTTCTTCTTTACTTGTCCATGACCCACTGTTGCTGGTAGCTCGTTATCCTAGAAGGTCCGGGGCTGTTTGGTAAGCTCCTCCCAAAAGAAGCTGACTGGGACGTTTGCTCCAGCGCAAATCGTAACCCTGGCAAGCTGCCTAGGCAAACAAGGCCTAAAAGACTCGGGGCTGTTGGTCCTTCTGACTTCTTCACCCGCAAGCTTCCATTTGAGGAAGACAATCTTGAGCAGTCATGGCTTCTCCAGCCCTCCACCCGGTCAAACCAGGACTGGTCGACCCAAGACGACCTGGAGAATACCCCATTATTCTCGGCGACAGCCTGAAAGGCCGTGAAAGCTCGAATGGCTTTGTGAACATTCGTTACAACTGGCAGCCAAAATCTGGGTTCAAGTCGCGCGACAGCAAACTTGCAAAATCCGGCGACAAATATCAACTCGTCGTTCAAGGCGAAGACTCAGATGATGGAGAATACCAATATGACGGGACACTCGAATCACAAGAATCTGGCAAGGGCGATGAGAAACCTAGCTCATTGGCTCTCATATTCGACAAATCCAAATCGGCATTCGTCCTGGAATCGATTTCTTCGTCCCTCGACATGAACCTCAAATCCGGCCCAGGACAGTCCTCAAGAGATGCCCGTGACCTCCCACGATTACCCACGACTTATCGTCCTTCTCGACTTTCTGCACAAGCAGACTCTGATGGAGGCACCTCCCCTTCGGCGGATAACGAAACACCAGACCCTTCCAACCCCTACGACTTCCGGCACTTTCTAGCCGAAGCACGCGAAAACATGGAGAAGTCCGCACAGCCAGGAAATCGAACACCAATCCCAGGCGCAATGACTCCATTAAGCGGCATATCCACGCCCGTCCCAGGCTCAAGCCGTTTCAAGGCCACGACACCACAGTTCCGACCTACCTCGAAACCACCAACAAAGGGCGGGAAAAGCCCTGATCCCCCACGCGCCCGCGGCTCGTCCGGTCCTTCCAAGACCGGGCCAAAACGAGACACCACAAAACCCTCCTCATCTTCAGCGCAACCACTTAGTAAACCTCGCATCACCGACTCCGATGATGAAGACGACGACGAAGCAGCTAGTACAATCGACGTATCTCGGATCGTCTCCAGACCTTCTAGCACCTCGACCAAGCCGACGACAAGCAAATCCACACATCCACCAGCCCGCAGGGGCCATCATGCGCGGACAATATCCGCCAACATCGGCAGCTCGCCTCACATCATCATCAATGACGACGACGGCGACCTGCAAATCGACATGGGCAGCCCTCCGCCCGAAGACCGTGCCAGGCGCACACGTGTCGATCCGGAGATGTTCCGCAGCCACACGGGCACGCCTGTCGGCGGTCTCAGTGCAAACCACAACCGACCCTCCTCTAGACCGCTATCTCGCGCCGCCGCAGCCACCGAGAACGACAGGATTCGCCGGGACCGGGACCGAGACCGAGACCGGGACGTGACGATGAAGGACATCGAAGCCGCGTCCACCAACTCCGACGACGAGGACGGGGACGTCGAGGAATTCGAGCTCGGCAGTCCACGAGACAAGAGGCTGGGTGTCAGGGCCGGTGGGGATGTATCTATGATGGACGATAACGAGGACGCGCAGAGGCAGACTGCGGCGTCGGCGCCGACACCGCCAGCCCCGGTGGTGAAGAACAAGGACGACGACGACGATGATGACGACGCAGATCTTCTCGAAGCCGCGCTGGAGGCTGCGCTGGAGGAGGAAGATGAGCAGGCGGGGCACGGTGTCGGATTGGGGATCGGGATGGGCGCCCAGGATGATGAGAGCGAGGTCAGTGAGGAGGAATAGTGGGCTCTACCTGTCTGATCTAGATTTTTCTTGACTTTCCCATTCCGGGGCCGCGCCAATAGATATGTCCAACGTCGATGCAACATCTATTCAAGCTTGGGTGGAGTGGTTGCAAGCGATGCAAGGCTTGGATGGTGTACGCTACGAGAGGCCGTGCTCGACATGAGCACGTTGACAACTGAGGGAGATAGACGCCTGATTTCGCACACCGGCCAGGTGTTGGCGCTAACATAGCAGTAAACTCTCATGCACAGGTCAACGAGGATAAGAGAGCCATATGGACCGAAAGAAGCTTGCCGATTTGAATCTCATGCTTTTCACTGTCTGGGTATACATGGTCTTCTAGTTTCATGACACACATCAATGTAATATTACATCGATCAAGGCTGGTCGTATCATTCTTCACCTCCAGCACCGCCTGATAATCCACTCCCACCAACTTGCTTCGCACTCTTTGCGCCGCAGATATCGTCCACGCGGAGGAGCAAGCATGCACTTTCGACTGCGGTCTTGATACTCTGCGTCTTGACGGCCTGCGGTTCCCATACGCCATAGTCCTTCATATCGACCACATTGCCGGTGTCGCCGTCAATGCCAAACGTTGACTTTCCTTCCGCCTGCTTGGCACGCAGCTGGGTCAATATGCGGATAGGGCTGGCGCCAGCATTCTGAATCAGCGTCCGTGGGATGACTTCCATCGCCTCGGCAACTGCTCTGTAAGGCCACTGCATGACGCCTTCGACAGACTTGGACTTCTGTGCCAGTCGTACCGAAACGGCCATCTCAGTAGCACCACCGCCAGGAGAAAGTCGCGGATGGAACATGACATTTCGGGCGACTGACATGGCGTCTTGTAGATTCCGTTCGATCTCGTTAAGAATGTCTTTTGATGGTCCGCGGAGGAGAATGGTGCAAGCTTTCGGGTTTTTGCATTTCGTCAAGAAGGTGAAGTATTCGTCGCCAATCTTTTCAATCTCAAAAAGACCACATTCCGTGCCAACGTCGGATTCTTGCAAATCATCCACCCGATTGACGATTGTTGCACCAGTCGCACGAGCAATCCGGTTGTTGTCTGTCTTCCGTACTCTTCTGAGCGCTGTGACCCCGGCCTTGACGAAGTAGTGCTGCGCGAGATCTGACACGCCCTTCTCGGTTATCACCAGATCGGGCTTGACGGCCAGGATAGCCTCACACATCTTTTTGATCTGCTCTTCTTCAATCTGGAGAATCTTGTTCCACGAGTCTTCGTCCGTGATTTCAATGTTGGTTTGCGATTCGCCTTTCTTGTACTCGAGCGGACAATCCAAAAGGACAATTCTGGGATTCTCTATCCGACGTCTCATCGAAGCGTGTGTGATATCCTTGTTCAGCATGACACCATCTAGTACTCGCGAGTCTTCAATTTCTCCGCCCGGAATTTTCTCAACACGAGCATAACGCTTGATGTCAATCTCTTGAGGTTTTGTGGAATTCGTAGATGTTTGGGGTTTGCCAGCGCCGTTCGTCGGAGCGCCACTTGAGAAAAAGGACTGGTCTTGTGATACCGTTCGGACCGCTTTCAACGCTAATGAGCACATAAGTTCGGAATGTCTGGAAATGGTTTTTGTTCCGATGGAGGATTCGATGAGGGAGATCATGGATTTGTCGTTGGATGTGTCCACCGGCATGGAAATCTCTTCTACAATTGCCAGGGCATCTGCGAGGGCCCTCTTGAAGGCCTGAATGATCACGACAGGGTGAATGTTTCGTTCGAGTTGGGGCAGGGCTTGTGCGAGTATTTCACCGGCTGCGACGTTGTCAGTACAAGCCTCCAGTAGAGGTCATATTTGGCGTACCTAATATGATCACGGTCGTTGTTCCGTCTCCGACCTCTTCATCTTGTGTTCTGCTCAATTCAATCATACTTTTGGCTGCAGGGTGCGCAACCTCGATTTCTCGCAAAATGGCGTGGCCGTCGTTCGTCAGGACAATGCCGCCCATAGGGTCGAGGAGCATCTTCAACATCGCTTTGGGACCAAGACATGATCTTATGATATCCGCAACCCTGGAACAGTCAGTCCAATCGATTTCTGGTCTCGGGACCTGGTCGCTCACGTCTTCGCAGCAGTGATGTTGGATATTTGCGCTTTTCTTCCGACTTGCCTCTCTCCACTCCCCGTATCTAGAAATTGTTAACCAGAAGTTCTCCGGAAACATGCTGGCATTGCTCACTCATGACCACCACAGGCGCCTGCATCTTGCCTGCGCTTAAGGCCTGCGGCCTGGGACAGAACGAGATAGGACTGTGTGTTTGCGAGCGAACTTGGTAGGGAAAGAGGAGCTTCGAAACGTCTCTTTCTAGGAATTGACCGCAAGGCTAACAATCTACCATCAACAGTTTCGATTCCTGGAAAGATTTACTTGTACATGGACTGATCGTCTGCGTCTCCAACTTTTTGTGCCAAGGTGAGTGAAAGCGGCGACTGTCATCACCCTTTTTTGGAATGATGGTGCCGCCGCACTGGACTGACTTTCCCCATCTGTGCCCATCCACCATCGCTCTTAATCAATTGTCTTGTTTGATAGTGATCGCCTTCTTCGCATTCCAAGTTTGAGCATCGTGCCTCGCATTCTTCACAGACAGTTACGGGTGAGGAAAAGCCAATCGCTCTCTGCACCCAACTGCCCTAACGCCCATCGGCGGGAACACGAGCACGACAAGACACCATCATCCAAGTCCTCCCTTATTTTCAATCTCTTCGATACTCCTTACTAGCAGCCATACACAATGCCAGAACAAGGAACCGCTGGATTGATACTCACTACTGCTCCATTGTGAGCTAACGAGCCGTGCGAGCCCAAGATTGAGGCCAGACCAGTCTACCGTTCGATGCTCACGTCTAGACATGAGTAAGAGAATTGAAATAGCCCGGGGAAGCTAGGCAATTTCCCCGTAGCTTGCTCACTACTCTTGTAGTTGCTACCGCCACCAACCAACCCTTTCCCAGAAAGAACTTCAGCCCAGTCTTGACCGCTTAGCCTGAGTCGCTTAGCCTTGTTATTCGAAGGGAATGTGTCGACCTCCCAAGAGCTATTTTCCTGTCCCCTGCTTGAATGCATGCCTTCTTTCTGAGAAAAGATAGGCTGTTCATCCCAGATAACGCATGGTGGCAAGCCTTGCGTCTATCCAGGGTCACCAGAGGCTGTCCAGGGGCGACGGCGCAAGGCTAAGTTTCCTGGCCATGGACGACGAAACAGACTCGCATACGCTAGCCTCCAAGCAAGTCGCTCTTCGTGTCGCGAAAGAATACGCTCGCTTAATTTCCACTCTTCAGGTCGTTCCATGATCACACCAGACGAGCGAAGTTATGACTTAGGCGAGTTCATCCGGGAGGGTTATGGCTTGCAACAGTCTACTCCAGGCCGCTCATCTGACTTGTTCTTGTGCAATTCCGATGCGTTATATTCTGCTTAAATCTGGAGGGTTCCCCATGTTTGCCTTCGAGTCCCTCGCTCAAGGTAGCTGCAACAATGTCCTCGACTGACCCAACCGTGCTATGGATATGCCATGGCCTGGCCATGGGCCTCTGTGTGTCTCGCCTTGTACTTCGCAAATGCAGGAAACAGGCATTCACAGCCGGAGACTATTGGACAATGGGCGCACTCTTTGCCATTAGTCTTCGTGTGACGCTGAATCATCTCATTCTCCTGCACGGAACCACCACCAGTAATGCAGATTCCCCATGCGTGCCTTTTAAAATGAAGAGCCCTTGCTGACAATGACCGCCGATATAGCAATCAAGGATGATCAACGGCCTCCAGGTCGCTTGCCTGAGGGACTCCGAAATAGGATCATAATCGACAGCAAGCTAAACGTGGTCAACAGGTTCACAGTCAATACATTGTAATTCCACCCGATAAAACGTTGTGGAACGTCACTGACAAAGTCTGTACAGGTTGTGGTGCCTCAAAATGGTTGTTTTAGACTTGTGTCTCCGTCTTGTTGCCAAAACAACCCGAGAAGGTGCCATCAGATACTCGTACTGGGCTGTGTTTGGTGCAACCTATGTCGCTGGCCAGCTGTCGGTGGCATTAGAGTGCAGACCGTTCCATCTATACTGGCAGATATACCCGGATCCGGGTGCCTGGTAAGCGCACATGAGCACTCTGCCACGTCAAGGGGATGTGGTTGCTAATCCCACAATTCAGTGTCAAGGGAAACGTCTGGCTTATTACATACGGTACGATAACTCAAGGAGGACTGAGTCTATGGCACACTGACAGCTGCGCAGAGGTCGGGAACCTGGTCACGGACACCATGCTGGTCATCATGCCGTTTCCGGTGCTCTTTGCAGTCAAAACTCGGTGGCAGAAGTCAGTATATAACCCATGCTCTTGGATCCTCCACTGACTACTCTCGCCGCTTCAGGAAAGTGCAGTTGTGTTCGCTATTTAGCATCGGCTTTTTCCTCATTGCCGTCAGCCTTGTTCGCATTATCCAAGGCATCCCTAATGCCCGGGTACAATCGACGCGGACGTTCTGGGGCTCGATAGAGACACTCTTTGCCACACTCGTCGCCCAGGCGCCTACTCTTTACACGTTGCTCCGCCGGTCCACGCCGCAGAATAGCTATCAGCAAGCCGGCGACAGTTACCGGTTGGCTTCCTCTGGCTACCAGACAGATCGATCCAAACCGAGACGAATCCCCAACGACCGAGACATTGAGCTGGGAGGCGTAGGTGCTGATGGCGGTGACAAGTCTTACAGCGTGCGTGCATTCTCCGGAAGGGGCGACAAATCACCCCCGGCTTCTGCTGACGACGAGAATGAAAGCACGAAAGGCATTCTCGTCACCGTCGACATCACGAAAGTTGACGCCGAGGATGAACACCATAAGAACTCTGGGTTCCTGCGAGACACGAGCTAGAGTTGGCCCTGGACTGTATGACTTCGACAGTATGAAGCCTCAGATTTGACGCAATCTTGTGTACCAGTATCAAGCAGCAAATCACGATTTCCAATATCCAGTACTTCTCATGGCTTGGCCACGCACCCTTTCCTATTCTCGCCTTTTATTGTACTTCCCTGTTTTTATGTTCTCGTATTCAGGCACGCGCAAGGGGTGCATCCCGTGTTCCTGAAACCAGTGTTCCCGTGTCCAAGCTCGAACAGGCCGACCTCTTGTGTTCGTGAAATGGATGCCCTCAATCCTGCAAGGGAACCACAACCCGGTCGTCCGCCACGCCTAATGTCGACGCCAAATGGAAAGAGAAGACTTGATCATTTTGATGGCACTGTCCACCCGCCAAGACGCGGGGATGTACTATGCAGCAGGCCCTGTTTCACCATTGCCTTCTAGACGGCGTTAGGCTGTGGGTGGCTGTGTTAGTCGGCGATGGAGTGTTCGCTAACGAGCTCTCTCTTCTTTCCGGTCCAGAGTATCCTGATAGTGCCTGATGAATACGATGTTGGATGGGTTAAGTCAATGTGGAATGGTCCTAGACCAGACATGGGTATGGGTCTTCATCGCCGCATTTACTACGGTGCATACTATTTGTAAGTGGCCGAGTTGTTTGATTGTATTGTGCGCGCCCCCAGGGCAAGGACGTGAAGACAGCATCATCTTCAGAACGAGATGCTCCACTTCTCCGTACAATTACTGTACTGAGTGCCCAGCTCCTAGCTATGTCATCGTATCCTGGGACCGTTCCCATACGAGACGAGACGGCTCTGCGTGTCTAGCGGCGCCCAGCGCTCTCCCAATAACGTACGTACTATGTACAACGGTCAGAACATCTCGGTGCAGCAGGAGTACTAGGAAACGCCATGCCGGTGATCCTGATTCATGGTCTACTATGTAAAACCCCTCGGAGGGTAAGTGATAAGCCGTTAATCATTTCACGGCGTCGATGCCACAATCACCCAGAACCTCGTCTCCTCCTCGACCGACCCTGTACTCCCAGTAGAACCCGCAGCGAGATCCTGAAACCTCCGAATGAACAAGTCTCTCGCCGTATCCCGGATGTCCTCTGCCCCGAAACTCCTGAACATCTCCTTGTCCACGGCCTTGTCGAAAAGCTCACCCGCCTGTTCACATTTGTAAGTCTGCCTAGCGTACGGCTCCGTCTCAAAGACCCTTTCAACCGTCAACCCGGCCTGTCGCATGACCTCGGCGAGCGCATCTTTCGACTGCCAGCGCTTTGCGTCCCATAGTATGGAGACATTGACCTTGTTCTGGTCGTGATCTAACTCGCGCAGGTCGCGCGCAATGTCCGCAAAGACATTCATAACGATATTCGCGTCCTTGGTCTGCACGTCCGTGACGACTCTGCCGCCCACGGGTGCAAGGACGGTTTCTCGCCAATTTCGCACCGCGGCGACGGGGTCCTCTAGCAAAATCAAAGCGGCTGCGCATGTGATCACGTCGAACCGGGCGTGAGCGTGTGCGTGTGCGTCTAATGATCGTCCTCCTTGTGAGGGCGGTCCCTGAGGTCCCTGGGCCGGAATAGCGACTGTTTCCAGCAGACCAGTCAGGTCCGAGATGTCGTGCTTCACAAACAACACCGAGTCTTCTTCGAGAAAGCCCATGGTCGCCGCCTTGCGCCGAGCCACACCGAGCATGCCCTCGCTGATATCGACGCCGACGACCCGCCCCGACGGACCGACGAGGTTCTTCGCCCCCAGCGCCACGAGACCGGTGCCGCACGCGAGGTCCAGCACGTTCTCGCCGGGCTTGAGGTCGGCCCAGCTCAGATAGTCGCACGCCTGTCGAACGTGCACGTCGTTGTCGTCGTACCGCTCGCTTCGAGCATCGTACATGGACGCCACGGAATCCAGTCGCCGACGGTCGGAAGACATGATATCCACGGTATTGTATATGGAGTACTCCGTGCTGTCACAGTAGATGCGCGCTCTCAGTATGGCAGCACTGACGTAACCACCAGTAGGGACTACCAGGCTAGGATAGCTCGACGGGCGCAAAAGCGAACAGAACAGATGGAACGGAGTGCTGTGTGTGTGTGTGTGTGTGTGTGTGTGTGTGTGTGTGTGTGTGTGTGTGTGTGTGTGTGTGTGTGTGTGTGTACCACTTGGAGGGGCGAGCGCTTCTCACATCCACCGCGAGACGGTTTGCCCTTCTTATGACGTACTAACACAACAGCATTATGCGGGCCACTGTGCGGAGTCGGCCCTGGACCGGGACTATCCAAACCGAGCTGATTGGATTGTACTCGCGTCCTTTTGAGACGATCAGAGACTCTAACCCGACCATCCCGACCATCCCGACCTAGTGCGCATCGCGATGGCCGGAGTGGGTTATGCTTGTGCACAAAACCCATTTACGAATGCTCACTACAGCATAACGGCGCCGAATGATGAAACCCAAGTGGTCTACTGGAAGGCTCAGGTCGAGCAAAGGGGAGGTGGCAGCCTTGCCTAGCTAGCGTCGTCCACCACCCCTGCACGGGCGGGACTCTCCTGCGCAGATGGATTGCAATCTGTACACCGTGTTGGATTGCTGGTTTCGCAAACACCATGTACGACACGGGCGCGAGTCCAAGTGCATTCCCTATGGGATATCGCAAACAGACGTCGGTGCTAGTGAACCTGAACCGGGGGTGGATTTCCCGGCCACGACTTTACCACAGTACAATACTCTGTACTTCGTATACGTGATCTTTCCCGCAGCGTCATGAATTCAATGCTGCAGCTTTAGACCAAGTTACTAGACGTCAAGTCCTTTTCTTCGCGTGGTCTACACTATCATAGGTACAAACTCACGATATGTTTTCGTCGACCAAGGCGTTCGTCTGACTTTAGCTCACACGTCCTCGACGAATGGTCCGCCAGTCTCAGTGGAAGCTTTGCACAAGGTAAGCCATCAAAGACCCATTCTTCGGGGCGAGAAACCCCAACTCGAGGAACAGAAACAGAAAGCAGATCATCCACACCCTTATAATACATGTCCTCAATGCGAGCCCTAACCCCAACGATCATCACCAGTTGCCTGCCGTCTGGCCGTTGTCCTCCTGTTGACAGTGACTTCGACCTGCGGCTGCGACTGACCCTGGCCCGGTCCTTGTCTCGTCCCTGACCGTATCCCATTACTAGCACTGCTCATACTGCTGGTATGCGCGTGCCTCGCCTCCCTCCGCATCCGTGCCTCGGCAACGGGCGTCAACGTAACCGGCGTGTTCCCCTCACTACTGTTACTCTGCTGTGAGCGCACAGTCGTCTCCTTCTCGACAGAGCTCGAAGTCGACGCTGATGCTCTCGCCGAACCGATCATACTCTCTCGCGTGCTCTGTCTTGAGAGACGATGCTGCCCAGTGCTCATTCCAGTGCCCACCGTGGACTGCCGAGGCAGGCGGCTCTTATTGATATTCATCTCCGACACGGCGCTGGCGGTGTTTGCGCGAGTGAGGCTCGGCATCGCAAATGCCGGAGAGTTCTCGCGCACATACGACGAACCGTCACGGCTGGCAGGACGCATCACGTTTGTTCCATTGACATACACGCCATTGCGCTGGCGTCTGGGTGTCTGTGCCACGGGCGGCTCGTACATGTTCATGCTTGCGCGCTCGGAGCGGCCTAGCTGTGGAGACGTGGGCATGCTCATCTGCCGTTCAAGCAAGTGAGGCGGAGTCGTGGAGCTAGTTCGTCGCTGGAAGCCGGGATGTTTTCGTCGTCCGGCTGTGGCAGCTGCAGAGGCGCCTTGCCCACTCTTGATGCTGACATTATCATTCTCTTCGTAAGAGCGGATGAGGTCGCCGGCCATACTGCGGACCAGGACTGCAGAGTCTGAATAGGATAGTTCTCGAATGACATCGTACAGGCTATACTGGTCCAGGAGGAAGCAACCTCCTTCGGCCGAGTCGCAGATACTGCCGATGATTCGAAGCAGATTGAGCCGGATAGCAGGCTTGTTGTGCGTCAGTTTCTGTCCCAGTGTTTCAAACAATTCCGGACTTCTCGCCATAGATGCAGCAAGAGGTGGAGACAAACGTAGGAGCTTCTGCAGAGGTTCAAGCAGATTCTCGAAAGAGGTCGATTTGCTGCTGGTCAATGCAGCAATAATGGCGGACGTGAAGTTCTGATTCTCCAAGAGATGATCTTCAACTCTAGCAGTCTCTTCCTGAAGCCATGTGAATATGGCATCAAGCGCAGTGACCTGCCAATATGGGTCAGATAGTAACGAGACATAGAACGCCAGGCCTTTGTTCTGCCAAAGCTCTCGTCGAGCCGCTCGGGTAGAATGAGCCATGTCGCACAAGATTGGCAAGGCAAACTCCTTGACAGGAGTCTTTTCCTGCTTGACAATCTTGATGAGTATTGGGATAATGCCGACCAAGGCCGCATCTTCTTGCCGTCGTTTCGACAATCGGCAGAGATTGTAAATCGTGTTTAAAATCTGGTTCGACATCTCTCTAAAATGCGGCTTGTTCATGCTGTTGGAAAGAAGTTCGGCTAGAACGTCGATGGCGTTCGAATTATGGAGTGCGTCCAAAGTTGTCGACAGCATTGATAAGTTCTTGATGAACTTGAGCATGGTGACCTGGTGTGATGGTGACATTCGTTTGAGGTTCTTGAGGACGCGATGCAAGACTGTCCGTTCCGCGACAAGCTCTTTAACGTAGTTCTCGGCCTGCGAGAAGACGAAGAAGATGCTGGCGATCCGGCCTTCGCATAATGCTGCCAGTTCTTTTTGATCCCCGGATTCGGAAGGTTCCATCAATACTCTGTTGAGAACTAGTGACAAAGGTTCCAGCACTGAATTGCGGGAAAGGATTCTGCAAAAGTCGTTTCTTGGAGTTGATCCTTGCAGCTCAAAGACGCTCCAGATACCGTTGACTCCAATAAGAACCAGTTCGCGGTCGTCATCATAATCGTCTTCCAGAAAGTCAACCAGGACTGTCAAACCACCAGCACTGACAAACATCTGGAGAATCAGAGTCGAGGTCTGGTACATCTGTCGCACAAAGGCTGCAGCTTCGAGACGAATTTCTCTAGGAAACTTCTTCGAAGCGAATTTGTTGATCTTCGGAATGCCGCCCACGAAGCACAAATTCTCTTGAACATCCTCGTCATTGAAGATAAGCGCATTCACAATTTTCAGCAGGTTGAGAACGACATCAAGACGCATACAGTCCTCGAGAATCTCCAGGATAGGAAGCACACCGTGTGCACTGACAATCACGCTTTTCGTTTCCGAAAACAAGTCGAAGAAATTCATGAGGTCTTCAGAAATCTGCAGCAAAGCGTCATCGTCCTGCATTACCTTGAGCTGGCCCACTAGGGCTTCCACTTCTGTTCTCAACCGGGCATGCTTATCTCGAGCTATGTTGGATTCCAGGTCGACTTCAGGCAGTCCCTCTTCTAGCTGTGCAAAGGGGTCGTCTTCGTCTTCTGCATCCGGCAGCCAAGATAGGTTGGAGATCTTGGAGTTCAGCATGAGCTCTGAACCGTCCTCGCTATCGGGCTTCTCGAAGACTGAGCCCGTGTGTGCGAAGACGTCCGAGAAATCTTCGTCTTCTTCGTTCTCGGCAAATCGCTGGATTTCAATAGACGACCTCGTCCTTCGCATTGAGATTTTGTTTCGAGGTGCGGAAGGCCTCCTGAGACTTCCTCCCGGTTTCGGCGGCCTCATACTCTGCATTAAGTCCGTCACGCTCGGAGACTCTAGGATCTTGGATGGGGCTTCATTGTGCAAGCGCATCATCCCAAGCTTGGTATCCAGCGCCAACTCATTTCCATTGATAAGGTCCGAAAAGTCCTCGACTGAGTTTTCTCGGTAACGTCGTGTTGGAGGCTCATCTGCGGTGGGCTTGGGTATTGGAGGTTTACTCCTCGACAGATTGGTAGCTTGGCGCGCAGATGGTAAGGAAGCTTTACGGGGAGTCGTTATAGGCTTGCTTCTTGGTTTAGGCACTTCAGATTTGTGGCGAGCGTGGCCCATTTCTGGCTTCTTATGCATAATCGGTCGGACAGTCTTGTAGCCCTCGCTGCCTGCTAACGAGGAAGCCTTCAGGGTCGAGTCTTTGTCTTCGAAGAAGGCGTCATTTTCTTTACCAGCTCCGTTGTCCACCGTAGCAAAAGCTTTCAATTTGTCGGATGACAGCATGCCACCAAAGTTGTCATGAGGCCGCAGATGAGGCAGCTTGAAGGTGCTTGGAGATATGGCAGTTGCAAAGTCATTATCCCAGTTGTCATCGTCCTCCAATGAGCGGAACCGGGTGGTATTGTCCTCTCTGTTGAACACAGGGACGGGGGATTTTACTTGATTCTTGCTAGGACGAAGGAGATCTTTGGGTGCAGGTACCGGACTGGCCGTTGACGCGTTAGAATTCTTTCGTATCGAGTTGCTGTTAGGAGAATCCTTCAGAGCTTCGTTCCACTCTTGCACATATTTCACAGCTTGGGTGTATTCAGTGGCGTTCTTTGGTTTGACAGAATCCGTTCTTCTCGCATTCACGATCCATGGATGTTTCAGTAACTTTTTAGCAGACACTCTTAGGTTTGGGTCCTTTTGGAAACACTGCATCAGGAAGTCCAGGACACCGGGCGAGGCACCCTGTGGGAGAGGAGGATGGTCATCGTTGACTATACGAAACAAAGCCGGCATCGGTTGGAGTGTATGATACGGTGGTTTGCCATCCAAAAGCTCGATCACTGTGCAACCCAGACTCCATATATCTGAAGCAGTGGTTGCTCCGGTGAGTTCAATGACTTCAGGCGCCATCCAATATGGAGTGCCGACCACACTTGACTCATGCAACCCAGTAGTCCTACTGGCAACACCAAAGTCCGCCAGCTTGACCAGTCCCTGCTTGGTGGTGAGGATATTGGCTCCTTTGATGTCTCGATGTATAACACCTTGCTCGTGTAAGTAGACCAAACCTTGGAGCACCTGTGACATGTATAGAGCGACCAAATTCTCGGGAAAGCGGCCAAAGTTCTTGGAGATGGAATGTAATGATCCATTCTCGCAGTATTCCAGGATAATGTTCAGAGTGTCTGGAGTCTTGACGGATCCATGGTATTTGACGATGTTTGGGTGATCCAGGTTCTTGAGCAGGTCAATTTCCAGCATGATGACTCTGAGTTCACTTTTTGGCAAGTCCGTCAACTTGATCTGCTTCACGGCAACAGTCTCCCCAGTCCCCCAGTTCAGCGCCCGGTAAACCGAACCAAATGCGCCTTTGCCCAAGCAATCGCCCAGCTGGTAGTCTTTCAGTTCTGCTACATCTTGTGCTTTAGTCCTTTCTTCTTTCTTGGCTGGGCTGCCCGTAGGTTTGGGTGTTTTGGCCTTGAGGCCCAACCCCTCCACCGGTCTCGTGGTAGGTACATCGTCATGAGGGTCGGCGGCGCGAGCAGGCATTTTAGGAGATGAGAAGAGGGAAGTCAGGAAATCCACAGGCTCTTAGGCTTGATCATCATATGCTCGCTTATCTGCAGTGATCTTTGTCGATCGAGGCTGATTGGATGTCGGTAGCGTGACCAACGCAAGGTACCGCAGGTATGTTTGGACTGCGACTGGTCCTGCTGCATCAAAGGAGGCGGAGTGACGCTGGACAACTGCTTCGGCAGGTAAGACACCGGTGTTACTGGACAATGGTCAATCGTGACAGAGCGAGCCTTATGAACAGTGATGCATTATAGACATTGTACATGCAAACAAATCAACAATATCGAGGTCAAGACAAATGCATTGGAGGCACGACAGTGGCTTGGCTGAGGTGTTTCCCCAAAGGCTAGTGGGCAATTTCTTCGGCTTGTTCCTGGACGCCTCGAACGCGTCGAGCAACATTAAATACTACTACATAATCCATCGCACACGACAACCCATGTCATCTACGTGGGCACAAATCCAACTGGTGACCGCCCTGCAGGCATCTTGCTTGACCGCTGATCCGATCGTAAAATGCTTGAGTGGATGTCTATTCCAATGATACTGATGGAGATGCATATCCGACCGTGGCCAACAGCAGGTTGCCATTGGCGCCACCAAGACAAGTCAAAGTCTGCACAGACAACAAGTACCCCCGCCGTGTTATCAGCATCCTATCCAAACACACGCTCCATGATACTGAATTTGGCGACAACCGGATGTCGTGCGCCTCCCACCCCGGCAGCAGTGAAAGCCGCAGCCGCATAGCGAAGTGTGAAACTGAGCACAACGCCTACCCATGCATACCCTAAAGCTCTGGTTTTTCCTGTCTTGCATTAGAATGATTCATGGTCAGTCTGGTGACTTCTGACGAGCGCTCACGATTTTCTTTCAGGCCTATACTCCTGCCAAAGGATATGGCAAAGTCTTCGATGGTAATTGCGACAGGCTGCATCATGAAGAAGGCAAATTGACACCATACCATGGGCGAGTAAGGTTGGTTCAAAGAGCCTATGTGATGGAGTATTGCAGATACAAAGAATGCATTATAGAGTTGCAGAAGGCGAGAGGCGACGGTGCCCTTCTTGACCCTGAGTATTCGAATGAGGCACGAGTTGGCAGTTTCGAACGATCTCCGGTGAAGTTGATGCCTATGGACCTGGTAAGTGAGGCTCAGGCACATATCTAATAACAGCGCCTACCAGCAGTAACCCCAGATATTTCTCATGGTATAGCCTTTAAGCAAAGAACCAAATATTGGCGGCCACGATTGAGGTCGGGATACTCCTGAGGCAACGACGATCGCTGCCATGAGGTTGCAGCCGAAAGCTATGGTGGCTCCGCTATTGAAGGCGTTCGACCAGGCGAGCAGGACTTGTCGACCAAGGGGCAAAGAGAAGAAGTCTGGGGAGATGCTGCTGCTTACAGCGAACGTACGATGGAAGTACCAATCGTGCACATCCATCAGAGCGAAGCAATATCCTGCTCTGATAATCTGCTGAACGACAAATTGACTGTACTAATCAGACGAAACCCTGGACATGGGATTTGACATACCGCCTCGACATGTCCTTTGGTACATCGTCCACCTTTTTGACTCTCCAATTCCAGCCAATGCCTCTCCATGTCATGAACAGATCGAAGTTCCAGCGTAATTTTTGCCACAGGGTCATGTTCTGGACGTCTTTCTCTGTCTCGACTCTGTTTTCGGCTCCTACGCGACGGAAGACCCTTTCGGGAACATGAAGTACGCAGAAATCGAGGTATCTCATCACTCCAATGAAGACATTCGCAGCATTCAAATAGTCGATCTCTGGCCTGCCGCTGGAATATTGTCTGAGGTTATAGGCAATCCACAGGATTGGTGGGACGCCTATAACACTGCGAAAAGCACCCGGAGGTAGCAACAAAGTGACAATGCCAACTGAATTTGCAGCCATGACATGAAGCTCCCCTGGACGCGGAGGGCGGTTTGGTGGTGGAAACCATTTCTGGTCCATTGCATGAAGGTAGTGGAAGAGTCATCAAGGGAGTAAATGAGAAGAAGACTGGACGAGGGTTTACTTTTGCGCAAGTTATACCATAAATACGTGTCTGTCTAGGCGGACAGCAGTCAGGATGCGAATACGAAAATTTCTCGCCTGTTGGGCTTCGGCCTGTGTCAGGTGTGTACCACAACAGGAACAACCTCTCGTCGTGGAGACATCTGGTAGAGCAGCATCAGACGTGATCGCAGATGTTGTTGACTTGATTGACATGGTAGAACTCTGCAATTGAACATAGATGTCTAGATGGCCTTGATGGCACTGATGGCATCGAAGGGGATGGCGTGATTAGCAGAGAAAGTCGACAGGTCTTTTTGGGTGCATGATGGTGCCAAGCATTTCCACCCGTTGGCAACCTGGAAGTTAAGGTACCTGGCCTCGCTGGCTTGCTGGCGAGTTGTAGCTCGTACCCAAGCGAGGCCGTGCAAGGCCAAGGTACCTTGGTGACGGTGGTTACCGAGTGATGGCTTGCAGGCGTCTCGCTCGGCTCGCTTGCCTTGTTGGGTGCTTGTAGGTACATACTCTCGCCAACCAAAGGGTGGTGAGGGTGAGTTCGAGGGTGAGGCTGGTCTTGCCCGGCGTTTGCCTCGTCCCCGTCTACCTGCCCACCCTACCTTGAGGCTTGCTCCCTTTTCCGCCTCCCCCCAGAATTTCGACTTTTGACCCAGTGATTCTCTTCTCACTAACTCCATCACCCAAACAACCATCAATCCATCTGCAATCCCACCTCTTTCGTCTCATCCTAAACTCCACTCTTTGTTCATTGTTTGTCGCGTCCTTTGTTTTTCGACTCTCCGCTCACCTCTTTGCTGCTGAATTGTTACGCGCTTCGCTGCGCGCGCTGCGACACTATGGGTTTGCCGTAAGTTTGCTACCACAAAATTTCCAGTCCCGCACCCCCTTCGCAGCTTTTCCGCGCTTGCGCGTGCCTGGTCTGCCAGCATCAATATTATTCCATACCGACTCACCTCTACCTTGCACATCCGCTAACACAATGGCTTGTGTAGTATGTTCCGCGAGCCCGAAGAAATTGCTGCAGATCAGGCTGCAGCAAAACTCGATCAGATCGCGGCTACACGACGCTCTACCATCAGACGCGAATCTACCGTGCGCCCTGGCCGAATTACCACCTCCCGACAACTTCTTGAACGATTACGCTATCATCGAGAGCCCTCACAGGAAGCAGAACAAAGACCCTCAAGTTTTCCCTCGCCTATATCCGAGCGCGAGATCAATGACATCGATGCGGACCTGGACCGCCTCCGTGCTATGCGCCAGAATCGTCTCGCTCGCGCAGCCCAAACGCAAGCCGAATTGATGAGAAGGCGGTCAAATATGGACCATATCCACCCCGAACCCGACGCGCGGAGGGACATGGATCTTGACGCGCTGACCGATGCTGGTATGGAAGTCTTCCTGTCCGATTCGGAAGGAAATCTTACACAACACCTGCCACGCCCTTCCAGAGAGTCGGGGTTGAGATTTGAGGTCGCCACCACTTCTCAATCCGAATCAGAGCACCCGCGCCGGACGCGATTCCACAGTCACCGCCCCAGCCGAGTTCAAAGTTCGTCTGCTGGTCGGCGTCCAGGGGCTGTTGGATCTCCGTGGTCGGTACGCGCAGGATTCGACGACGGTGATGACAACGATAGCGAGAACGCCACGTTGACTCCTGGGTTTGCGCCTGCTCGAGGTCCATTTCAAGGACCGCCTGAATTTTCGGACGGGAGACGGCCCAATAGGGCGGATATCAACACTGTAGTTGCAATGATGGACACACCTCCACCGGAAGGTCTCGAGGCGACGTATCCACCTCTACGACGTGTCAATCACATTTCCCCACGGCCTTTGGGTATGCCGGGCTCGCGAGTGGATGGACTTGGCGATCGCCTGCGAAGTCCAAGCCCCAGCTCTGACACGCACGAAGAAGAAAACTGGTCCAATCTGTTGACCACCCTGGAGCCAGGCCGGTCCAGTGCCGCGACTTCGTTCCTCTCTTCTCGGTCCGACTCGAGATCTGGCTCCAATCGGTCCTCTCAAACCGCTGCGACAAGTTTCGGAGAGATTGGTGGCGATGATTCTTGTGACCTGGATCTGCCTTCTGGTATCACCGCGGACGACGTGCGAGAGATCCGCGCAAGCCATGGCCGATTGCGAAGGGATTCACCTATGGGACGTCACGGGCCCCTTGCTGACCGCCTGTCTCGACCTGGTGGGGGAAACGACAGACGATTGGAGCTGGAAGTGTTTGGAGTCATACTGGATCGCATGCAGAGAAGGGAAGAAATTCCGGATGAATGGTGGGCTGCTGTTGGTCTTTCTCCAGATGTGGTTCGAGGAAGTGCTTGATCAACTGCCACAATGTCTTATGTTGTGTGTTTCGACGACCAAGCTCGAATGCTTAGCTGTACGGTCGAGCTAGTCTAGCAATCTACTGGTGTGAATGTATGATGGCCGTCATCAGAGAGATTGGTGTGTCAGCAAAATCGGTCGGAGTGTGTGACAAGGGCAAGTACGCCTTGTATGGGACTTTTTGGGACCGATGAAAAGTCATCTATGTGTTATCATCAAACCCCAGGATTTATGCGCGCTGAAATTACTTCATGTGTTATGACAAGGGTATGGGACAGGACTAGGGCTGGATCCATCTGTCGGCTTAAAATCAATGTTTTGTCGTTAACGTGTCTTATTTTCTGTGAAGAGCCTTTCATCCGTGTTCCTGACATTGTTTGCCTTATCTCTTTGACTCATCTGTGCATTGCATTGGGATCGCTGTCAGGATGCTTTCTCTCGTATCTGTGACATCGACAATGCCAACGGCCAAGGGTGTCCTCCTCGCCTCGCTAGCTGAAAAGTTCCAAGTACTACATTCCTACCCCATCAGCAGCCAAAGCCGCGATACTATCCATCCTCATCATCTTCCGGCGCATCATGTCATCCTCCTGCTGCTGGTCTTCCAACTCGCCCTCCACCCGGACGACCTCCTCACTCCTCCAGGTCTCGTCGTCCACGCTCGGGATGACCTCCTGCACGGGCAATTGCTTGTCCAGGATCTCGCGGGCATTGCGCATGTCACTGGCCTTGGTGCGTTCGAGGCTCTCGTCGAACGTGGCGGTGATGCCCGCGGCGAAATTGCGCTTGGCCACACGCTGCGTGGCGGTCTCGATGTCGGTGTCGACTCGCCACACCTCGTCCATGAGAGCGTGGGCGTCGCGCCATCCATCGGCGTCGAGGGCCGTGTACAGGCCTTCGAACATGACGATGCGTGCGGTCGGCGGGATGGCGATGTCGTTGGGCACGGGGTCTTTGACCGCGTGGTCGAAGCTGGGCGCGTAGATGGTCGGCGTCTCCGGCGTGATGGGTTTGCGGAGCTGCGTCACGAGCTCGAGGTACGAGGGTGCGTCGAACGTGAAGGCCGCGCCGCGCCGGAACATGGCTTCTTCGGCGTTGGGCATCTCGGACAGTTGCTTGCGCGTCAGGTGGTAGCCGTCCAAGGGCACGACGAAGGCGATGTCAGGACATGATGTGTCGGATTCCGGACTGTTGGGGAATTGGCTGTGCCGGGACTGTCGGTGGGCTGTGTTTAGACCGTGGGCGACGCAGGTGGCGAGCGTGGTTTTGCCGCTGCCTGGGATCCCGGAGATGGCGATGAGGAGCCGTTGCGAGAGGTCACATTGGGAGTACTTTTCTAGAATTGGAAAAACGGAGTGGTCAGGAATGCGGACAATATACTTTGTGTAGGTCAGGGGAGAGGTTCGGGGGGCGGAAAGTCTGGTGTTATTTACCCCAAGTTTGGTCCACGAGGCGCTGGACGTGAGAGTCCATGATAGACAGAGTGACAGAGATATTTCCCCCCTTGCGAGAGATAGGCCAGTATGGGATGGTTAACTTCCCAGGGCAGAGCGTGTGTTAGGTAGCTTGGACTGTTCGATTCGCTCCCGCGCGCGTACCTTGGGAGAATGTCGACGGTGGAGGGAATCGACCGGCGTTGATATGCTAGCAAACCCGTGCGAGACTGATCGATTTTAGGAGTCTTTGTATGTCAAGAATCGGCGTCCATAGCGGTTGTAAGGTGTTGGGTTATTATCGTCATATCATATCGTGCGCCGAAACAAGGCCCGTGGTGTCACAGTTGTGTAAGACCAGACCAGAACAGAAAAGAACAGAATTTGTGAGAACAAGGTACTTGGATGACTGTTATCGAAACGATGCTTGCTGTCAAGATATCGTCCCTATCTATGGATTGGATTGACATTCCGATGCAAGATTACGCAAATCCATATATCAGCCGCAGTGGCAGATGGAGCGTCTGAGAAGGATTGACAAGGGACTGGCGTCATACCATTGGGGGAGCATGCAATGTCACGTGAATGGCTTGTCTTCCCCAGACTCCCTCCAGATTCAGGGGGCAGGAAACATCCAATTCATTTCAGCTTCATATTCTTTCAATTTGAATCACCCTCTCTTGGTTGCCCCGTCCGGTCTGTTTTTGTACCACTACCAAACAAAACACAGCGTTGTTTTTTCTTCCTTGTACACACACACTCCTTTGTGTCCATTCCAGTCACTCTCTTAAACATACCAGTTCCTTTTCCCACAAAAACCTGCTCGTTCTTCGCGCAACGTTGCCTGCGCCTTAACAACCCTCCACACCTCCAGACCTACCCCAATCGATCTTACGAGCTCTGCTTGCACGTTTTCATCCTTACGAGTCAATACCAAAACCATCATGAAGCCCTCCCTCGTCCTCCTCCCAACATTCCTCTTCGCCGTACGCGCACTAGCAGACGTTCCACCCGCGTGCCTCCTAAGCGCAGTCAACACTCAAGACAACCCGACCGACTTCTCCTCCCTCTGTGGCGACGAAGCCACCGACGTACAGAAAGCCATCAACAGCTTATGCACCAGTACCAACAAATCCGCCGCCCAATCCGCGTTCATCGCAACGTGCTCATCCGCCGGGTCTAGTGTCGGTACGTACTGTTCTAGTTCATATTATCCTGCCCCTCCCCCCTCGCTTCGCTTCGCTTCTCTCCTCCTCTCTTCCCTTACCCTGATAGACCACTTGGCTAATTCTGGCCCGGCAAAATCTAGCACCTTACACCGCAACGTCTGCCGCCACAACCACTACCCCTTCAGGTTCATTCGTCTACACGACCGTCGTCGACGGCAGCACAATCGTCACATCCGCCGGGACTAGTCCGACATCCGGCGCAGGTGCCTCTGCAACGAATTCGGCCGGCGAATCTGCGGCGTCAGCTACAGGAAATGCGGCTTCCGAGCAGCGACAGGTGGGCAGCTTTGCCGCGGCGGTGATTGCGATTGCGGGCGTCGTTGCGGTCTTGTAAATTCAGCTCTTGGAGAAAGAAGAGGAAGCGAAGCGAAGCAATACAATGCGAGTGATACCCCCAATCTATTCAGCGTGGAGTTGAACTTGGAAGGTCTAGTTGCGCGGGACATCATCGGACTGGCATAGCCTGGGCGGAGGGCTTAAACACCGCAAGGTCAACTGTCAGAACCATAGCAAGTGTGTAGGTCATGTTGCATGACAATTCTATCATGGGAGCCTACTCCGTAGTGGCTCTACCTTTCTTGCATGCTAGAGGACTTCCCACCCACAATAATGCCTGTAACAGTGCGTTTTCTCTATCAAAGCCAAATTGGTGTCCATACCTACCTAGGTAAGAATTCGACCTCTCTTCAATGAAATTGGTATCCCCTTAAGCCGGATTACCTCAGAATCATGTCTTCTCGACGAGGGCCTTCATAGGAATATCAGTCAGTAATCAAGAAGAATGTTTTCCGGGGGAGAAAATCGTCAAAGCTGAACATACCTGTGCCGATCCACTTGACGGGGATGCCGACCTCCTGCTCAATATACTCGACGTACTCTCTAGCCTGCTTGGGAAGACTCTCGAACGACTTGCAACCGGTCGTACTCGTCTGCCAGCCGGGGAACGTCTTGTATACAATCTTCAGCCTCTCCATGGCGTCCAGGTCTGCGGGGAAATCGTCCAAAACCCGACCGTCGACCTCGTAACCGGTGGCCACCCTGATCTCGTCAAAGTCATCCAGCACGTCGAGCTTGGTCAGGTTCAGCTGCGTGTAGCAGTTGACGGCCGCCGAGTATTTGACCAGCACGAGATCGAGCCAGCCGCATCGTCGTTTCCGGCCCGTGGTCACGCCGAATTCGCGGCCGACGCGCTGTAACCGCTCGCCGTAGTCGGCGTCGACGGGGGAGATCTTGGCATCGAGTTCGGTCGGGAAGGGCCCTGAGCCGACTCGCGTCGTGTAGGCTTTGACCACGCCGACGATGTTGCTGCCGGGCGCGGAAAGCGATTGCGGGCTCAAGCCTGCCAGGCCCGTGAAGACGCCGCCGAGTCCGGTGTTACTGGACGTGACGAACGGGTAGGTACCGTGATCGATGTCGAGGAGCAGAGCATTGGCGCCTTCGATCAAGATGTTGGGCGTCTGAGCCGCGTCTGCACCATTCGAACTGGCTGTCGCGACGCCTTTTCGTCCGACTGCCTGCGCCAGCAATGGTGTCTGGCTGACGACGTACTGTTGCAATTCGCCACGGAAGCCGCGCAGCTTCTTGATCTCTTCCTCGACGTCGTAGCCCTGTAGCGCGGCGTCGCCGTACAATTTGCGATAGTTGGCTTCCAGGTCGCGCAGGCGTTTCTCCCACCGTTGTTCCTCGTTGACAAGCATCCAAAACGTCACACCGCGACGGGCAACTTTGTCGCTGTAGCACGGGCCGATGCCTTTACGCGTGGTGCCGATCATGCCCTTCCCTCCTTCGATGCTCTTGCTCTTGTCCTCTGCCGCGCCATCGACGACTCCGTGCAGGTCGAAACAGACGTGCGCTCGATCGCTTATGAGGATGCGGTCCCGGACGCCTTGCAGTCCCTTCTCCTCTAGTGCTTTCAACTCCTTGAAGAAGCTCGGAATGTGTACAACGCAGCCAGTGCCAATGAGGTTGATGTTGCAGGATGGGTTGATCAGGCCTGAAGGGAGGATGTGGAAGTCATAGGTGACGTCGTTGACGACTATTGTGTGTCCGGCGTTGTTGCCACCAGCGGCGCGACAGACCATCGAGGCCGATGAAGCGAGAATGTCCACGAGTTTGCCTTTACCCTCGTCGCCCCATTGGGAGCCAAGTACAAGGGTGACAGGCATGGTGACAATCGGTATGGCGGAGAGGAGAGGAGAGGCGGACGGAAGAAATGAAAGTGAAGATAGGAAGAAAAGGTTGTAAGCTGGGTCAAGTGCGCATTGCGCTGAGGAAGAGGGAAGAGGGAATGTAGCTGTGCTTTTGAGAACGAACGATTCAGTTCACGTTTGCAGTTGAGGCATTTCGACTCATACAGTAAGTTTAGCTATGGAAAAAACCAAACACTGCTCCGATTGCGCAGTTGAGGGGCCGACAATTGGACATTGGTTTTTCCGGAGATTTTGCTGGATTTTGGTGGGGTTGAGATCCAGATCAAACACCACAGTAAAGCAGGGTCCATCATTGGATCGCTTACCGGCCTTTACTATGGTACAATGTTTGTATGATGGCGTTGATATGATGGTCAGGTTCAACGAGAGAACGACAACCCTGCCATCAATCATTGTGCTTCCACCTCTTCGTTGCCGTCGCCCAAAAGGACCACCATTGCCGCCGTCTTCGCGATCAATCCTCAAGGGCATCTGCTTCTCTTTGTCCCGTTCCGGCCGAGTTCTTTTCTCCTAAACTTCTTGGCCGTATCTGCCAGGTGTGATCAATGATTTCCGCCTGTTGTACATATTCCGAAGGACAGTCCGGATCCTTCATCCAGAAGGGGGTGCGATTGACCACAAGCTGGAGATCTGTGAATTTCTCATAGAGCAGGAGACCCCAGTACCACAGGACTCCCCACAGGGGAGCAGTGATTCCTATGGTAGGCACAAGAAACCACTGGAACCCCGTGACGCTGGCATGGAATGGAGAGCCCTTTGCTGGAGGTACAAAAGCCAGGATGAGCATGAAAGCGCTTGCGATGGTGTAGATGATGGCGTGTGCAGGACTCAGCCATGGGCGATATCGACGCCGCTCTTGCCAATGCCAACGTTGCTTCCTGAGCTTGACGAGCAGTAAGCCACTGGATACCCAGAGCCCAATCAGCGTCACAATCGTGTAGGAGTACAGTGAGACCAGGGCCGAATACGCTTTGCGAGGATCTCCAATTGGTAGCGTTACCAGCACCAGTAAGATCGAGGTAAACCAGTGCAACACGAACGCTACAGTAGGAGCCTGCTCCAAGTCCTCCGGCCGTACTGCACCGCGCCGGATATACCTCTTCCACAGTCCCCACGGGGTAGTGTACGAAGTGGCAATGATAAGCGATTTTGGCAGAATACCTTCTTTGGCAATCTCTTGCTTGACGCGGGCAGCAGTGAAGGTCATGACAATCAGATTGCCGAAGATCGAAATAGCGATAAGAGCAGCCATGGCCCGCCTGGCTTGATTCTGGTCCTGGAACAAATGCTCGAAAAACAAGGTTGCCATGTCGATACTGTGAGGGATATCGCCTGCTTTGGCAGGGATAATCTCATTTTTGGGCACGGCCAGAAGCTAGCAAGTGCAAGTCAGCTACAGCTTGCGTCTCAGGAGCCCACCACTCACATAAGCGATGTTGACAAGCATGAATAGGACAGCTGCGATACCGAGTGCTAGGACGGTGTATTTGGGGAAATATCTTCGTGGGCTCTTCGTCTCTGCGAGGACCTGACTACACCTGAGTAAGATGACATGATTCGACATGAAGGGGGACTAACATAGAACGGCTGCTCAAACCCAGAGTACGTGTACATGCAGAGGATCAGCGAATTCGACCAGCTGGTCGGGTCCGTCCTATTTGTGACAAAAACGTCTTTGGTGAAGTTATTTAGTGGCGCCTTCTCTGGGCCTGGAAAGGCGCCGGCAGCTTTGGCGATTCCGAGGCCAACGATGACGAGAAGAAGCATGACCTTGACAATGGCGAATGCATTGTTGATCAGAATGCCGCCTCGACGAGAGAACATGTGGACCACAACGACAAACGTGAGACCGCCGATTGCAATTCCGGCAACTTTGCCCTTGTCAGGTGCGTCGCCGTTTGCAGGGTCATAGGCGCCGCACGCGACCAGTACTTGTATGCCAAACGAGATCGCGTTTCTAGAGTAGTCAGCTTGAGAGCGTCAAGCACGTTGGACTTATCCTGGGACGAACCCGCTGAGATTATACATCAGTATAAACATGATGCTAAACGCACATGTGGTCCTTATATGAGGCAACCTTGCTCTGTCATTTGGGAACATGAATTCAAGCTGGATCACTGCATTAGAGCTATAGCAACACACGAAAGGAAGAACTTACAAAATTCTTTTCGCCACCTGATCGAGGCACACCACGGGGCTCCGTCTCACCCCTAACGGTCCTTTGAGGCATCGACAGCCCGCACTCCAACCAAACATACAAGGCGCACATCGAGAAGAGAGCTCCCAATACCCATAGAAAGAGGGCACCACCCACGCAACCTGTGCCAGCCAGAATCCTATGCGGCGTGAGGAATATCCCGGACCCAATGGTCCTGTTAAGGATTAAGGCGACGATTGTCCATTTCCCAATTTTGACATTGTTGGAAGGGGAGATATCGAGTCTCTGGTGGAGAGGATCAATATCCTCAGCTGTTGGGTTGCTGAGAAGCGCTTCTTCGTTAGCAGTGAGAGGCATTGTGTAGAGCCACTCCAATCTGTCTGTGTACTCTTGAGGGAGACAAGAAAGAACCCCTTAGGCATGTGGGAAGCAGTAAGTAGAAGAGTTTGATGCTGGAACCACGGGATTCCTGGTCGCTGGGGCGAGCAGGGCGAGGCAGAATCGGTACGCTCTTTCTACTGAATGTGGCTGGCTGCGATAGGGGAACACTGGACCTCGAAGAATGCCTGACCAGAAGCCAAGGGACGAGTGAGGCAACTCCATCACCCACTAGAGCCTCATGATTCGTCTCAAAGGGCAGTGCAGACCAACTCCGCATGCAATGTGTGACAAGGCTAGCAGAAGGCAACCGAGCTCTGTGGAAGCGAGGCAGCTTTGGAGTGGATGGAAGGCGCATGACGGTGGTTCGCGGCCAATCGACGCGAGGCTCAGCCTGATGGCGTTTCCATGGGACAAATGGTATTGCGAACTGGTCGCCTTTTCAGAACAGGCGAAGCCGCCGTGGCTTGCAGACGGTGAGACATGTCGTGTGGGACAACAGATGGCTTGTGGTCCTGAGAGACAAGTCACATCTGAGTCAATATCATCGCCATTCCTTCTTCCTACATGTATTGCTGTTGGACTTCTCAATGTTTCATGAAATACTGTAGCGACGTATTTCACTGATTCTCGCCTAAGCCAGGCTATGCCTGCTTGGGCGATCGTGATTCCAGTCACACCAGTCCAGGAACCTCGCTTATTAGTCATCCGATGTGATGTCTTTCGGTGTCGGGTGCAGCGACGTCGTCGCCGGCATCAGAATTGCTAAGACCATCTATGAAATTATTTGCGTCCAAGAGAATCGGGCAGGTAAGTGCTGTTCATTCGCTTCGAATTGGATCCTTTCTGACTATAGGTTCCTGCAGATTATCGTCTCAGAAACTTCGTCAAAGAGATACAAGACTTCCGGAAGCTCCTCGAAAAGCTCGGGACATCGCTCAACGATGCAGCCGCACGTTACGACAATGGCGTCCTCGCGTCTCAGCAGGGTGCTCATGACCCTCGCTCAGATGACTTTGAGAAAGAGCGCCGTCAGATGGTTGGCAACTTCGAAGAGACTCTCGACGAGTGTCAAGAATTTCTCAAAGACCACAAGAAGTTGCTGTCGAAGTCGAGCAACTTTGTCGAGAATGCCGCTTGGCATGTAACACAACAAGACCAGAAGATTGAGGCCCTTCGGCACCGCATTCATATGCATGCAACCAAGATCAAACTTGTCATTGACAGGTTGAGCATCAATCTCCTGACCAACCTTGATGCTAAGGTTGATGACCTGCTCGACATCTCGAAGAGGAACATTGCCCTGAGCACAGACATCCAATCAGAGATTCGAGAGTTCTATGCCCATTGGCTTGGAGCCCTGGCCGGCCATGCGCCACCCAGTTCGTTGGGATCCCGGGATACGCATCACGCCAGCGAGGCAATTCAAGCCAGGTTTGAGCAAGCAGCGACAGTCTCGGCTCCCGCTTCTAATGACGGAGAAATCCTCCTCAGCAAAGCGTTCGACGCTCTGCTTATCCACTTCGAGCAGAGCGCTGAAGGAAAGGAGCAAACACCGGAGAAATACTTGTCTCTTTTGAAAACGCGCTGGCTTCTGGGTTGGATCAAGGGCAGCCGGGGCTACCTCAACGCGTGTCCTGGCTTTTACTACCAACGTGCCGTCAGTCAGGTAGAGCAAGCTATACTTCTTCGAGTGAGGGGCACCGAGATCATATCGTACAGTGATGAAGAACTAATGGACCTTCCCGACTCGTTGTTCTTGGTCTGGCCTCCCCCGAGGGAGGAGGAAAGTGCATCACAGCTGGATCCCACATTGGCAAGAGCCAACGAACAAGAGCTATTGAGACTCTTACTCGATTCGACCAACCCCCAATCCTCGGAATCTTTGACGGTCTTCCGTCAGTCGACGAACAATTTTCGCATTGTGCTTGAGACGACCATGCCGGACGGCCGCAATGTCATTGTCCCTCAGACAGTATACACCGGAGAAGACAGGCTCATCCCACGTTATGCTCTGCCCACCATGAAAAGGCCATGCTTCGAGCTGGCAGTATTTTGGCGGAACGAAGAGACCTTGTACAGGTTCAAGTCCATGGATGATGTTTTCGCCTTTCAAACAGCCTTGACCGGATACGCTGTCTCACATGACCAGTCCAACATCACCTGCCAGTTTCACAAAGACGCCGCTGACCTGGACTGCAGAGCGCGCATCCAGCTTTGGCAAGAACCTATTACATTGCCTTCACCGCCCGACTCCTTGGCGGCAGGCTCGCCTGTGGAATCTTCCAGCACTCACAGCCCATACTCGCCCCAGAGTAGCTTTGTGGAATCCATTGGGCCAAGCACAACCATCAGTCGTGTAGGCGACGGCTGGGAAGCAGACAACATCAAGTCCTCGGCAGTAGTAATGTTTACTCGGCTGGCCGACAAGCGCGGAAAACAAACGTTCGCGATCATGTACGTCGAGCTCGATACCAGCATTCGCATCGATCTAAAGAGATGCAACTGTCATCGAAATTATGACAATTGTCTTTCCTTATGTCTGTCTCGCTCGGATGACAAGGTTTTCCCCGTACGCATCTTGCGCACTGGACCTGATCGGCAAGGAACTCCTGACCCCAACACCTTCGATCTCCTACCGTTTCAACTGCCACGAGGTGCTCAGTCCCCCAAGCTCGTAGTCAAGCGGTCAACCTATCTTCTCTTGCAATTCCTGACTCTCGCCGAGAAGAGAGAATTCCACCAGGAGCTGCTACTGAGATTCAAGGTGCGCTCCAAGCAGTTGGCAGACCAAGAGATGATGATGAAGAACTTTCGTCATCGCGCGAACAGGCCAGTCAGGACGTGCGCATCCGGTACCGACCCTTTTCCGCCTCGGAGGTCTGTCACGAGCACGACGGCGTTCAGCCAAACCTCGAGTTCTCCTCCGCGGATTGAACTGGATCTCGGAACTGATTTCGATGTTTGTTTGGTTGGTGACGGCCCTGAATCTAGCAGTGCTGCCCAGCGTCGAAGAGCGAGGATGGACAATGATGCCGAGCCTGCGCTGGAACAAGAATTGACGACCAGGCCGGCAGGTCCTATTCAGCGAAGCAACAACATGCCGGTGACCAGGAATAGACAACCAGTAGGTGGTGAGCATGGTGACATGACCAGATCGAGCGTCTCGTCTGCACGGGTCAATACCAGTAACTCATCCCAGTCCAGCAAGACGTCGACACGGAGCAAGGTCAAAGAAAGCTTAATGGGCCGGGTTTTCGAAAGATGAATCCCAGTTTATGATGTATTATGATTTCTGGACAGATATGTCGTGTATCAGTATGCCATTGGGAGTGAGTTGGAGCTCTTACGCGGGTCTTCGAGGTTCCTTCGATATGAATTTGCTTAGCTGTAGAATCGTCTGTTTCCATCCCGTTCTCATACACAAGAATTCCTGTTTTTGTACAATATACTAGTGTCATGCATCCGTTGGTGGGTAAAATTGGAATCTGCGTTATTTTCATTTCTTCTTCATACATCTTCACCCTTTGTGACACACGTTGTCCTCCGCGTAATCAAGATATCTGCCCAGCAGATCTGTTGATGTAAGCTCTCCTTGGAAGAAGAAGCTGAAGTGCACACCTAAAGCGTGAGTATCGACAGCGACGCTCTTCCCGATGGATCTAGGCAGTGTCACCGTAAGCCACTCTTCGTCCACGACATCCTCTGGAATAGGTAGGTGACTCAAGATCTCGGTCGAGTTGATGGCGATGAAATTGATGCTGAGTCGGTCGTAGTCGGTTATCCATGGTTTCGCATTGGGGGCGAACTTGTATAGATGAAGATTGTCGTCGTGCAGGTTTTCGAGGAAAGAGTAGTGGTGTTGAGCGGCGATAGCCCAGGACTGGAGTCCATTGCCCCATGTCTCATAGGTGGTGTTGATCATAGGCGTGCGACGGAGCTGTGGCGTCCTGGTCTCTGGCGTCTCTGGAAGTCGAAGCCATCTGTGGCCTTCGCGCGGTGGCTTTTCGTCATGTCGGAAGGTGTAGCCCTCTGGTCCTTGCCAGATGGGGTGATCGGCGTGTTTCCAAGACACCCGTTCGACGGCCCTAATGTCTGGCGGAGTCTGGTCAACAGTTGCTGCTGAGTCGTCTTCGGGGGAGATCTCAGGTAAATAGGGATGCACGGCGCCCATGCGATAGTGTAGCCAGCCTAGCAACGGCGAATTGATCATGTTAGCTGAGACAACGAGGTATTCGGGATGCTCGATTTTGGTGATGACAATCCTTGGGATCGCGTCGTCGGCCATCCAGATCAAGTCGTCGTCAATCTTGACATAGATGTGGCCGGGCTCGAGTTTCGACCACGCGTCGCTGTATCCCTGGTCCTTTGTCTTTTCCTGGAAAACTTGTTTGTATCGGTCGCTTTGGGTGAGAATCTCGTCCAAATAGTGCAAGTCATGCTCGTTATCGGTGTTTCGGATCCAGTGGACTTCGTCGAGCCAGCCTCCATTTTCGACAAGGTTGTGCATCAGGAAGCAGTGAAGGATCTGACTTCGGTCTCGCCGGCCATAAAATACCATGCCTATCACTTTAAAGCCGGCAGGTTTCACGAGATGCGGTCGAGTCAGAGTGGTTTCGTGGCTAGCTTGACACGACGACGATGACGATGCTGGGATAATATAGTGCAGGCCATCTTTGAGATGGGGTGAGGCGTTGAAAATGGAGTATGATGAGATGACGGCCACGAAGAGGAGCAGCAGAATTCGCCAATGCACGTTCACGTGCCAGCCGAGAGATGGGAAGGGCATTGACCGAGATGAGATGTCTTGGTGAGATATCGGCTCGTCGTGGTGGGAATTGTTCGAGGGCAAGACGGGCAAAGCCAGCAAGTCGACTCGGTGTCACACCATGTGAATTGCCGAGGTTGGAAGATCGAAGTCTGCGACAAAGAGGCTCATCCTTGTGAAATTATCTGAGTGTGTTTGAGATAAAACGACCGACGCTGGTAATGAACGAGCGATAAAGTGAACGAAACGATGTGGCCCCTGACTATTTCGCCAGATGTCCAAATTTCGGAGTTGAATTTTGAGGCAGCTTAGGCTCTGGACGTGCCTAGCACCTAGCCTAGTAGCCTGAGTTAGTGTGCCTAGTCTAACCACCTAAGGTACCTTAGGGAGCCTCGGGAGCCGGGACCTCACCCAGGGAGATGTGCTTCGTAAGGGGTTTAACTACCTAGTGAGAGTGACCTTAGGGTACCTTAGGGTATCTTAGGGTATCTAGAGTCCTAGACACGTGCTAGAGTCAGTGAGAGCCCGGATGATGGCGGCATCAGTGGCGGTCGTGCCTTCTCCAGGTTCCACTTCCAACCACCATCATCCACATGATGCCACTATCGATTTCTTTTCCCGGCTGAAGAATACCAGGTGGCTTAGAGGCTGTCGACAAAACTCCTCAGCAATAATCAGCGAGTCACTGCAGTTAATCACTCCGTATTGTGACAACAAATTGCACAGGGATCACCTCAGCGCGCGAAGATTGAGGTCAGCACGGTGGACATGGACCTCGTATATTGATACACCATCAGGAGATCTTTTGGTCCGGTTGGTCCTGATCACCGTCCCGGCCAATTTGACAAGGTCACATACCGGCAAGATAAAGTTTCGGCTCCGGGCACCACCAGGCCCCTCGCTTTGTCTCTATCGAGGGTGGTCCTTTTTCAAATATAGCATTGGTCCTGCTGAAGACTCGCACTAGGTGAATTGTGTCCATACGACCCCTCTCTGACCACCACGGGCCAACTTCACGATCTTTATGACAGCGACCACCAGCTGAGCGATCTGGCAGAGGGCTACTTCCTGCATCGGTGTTCAGCATGCATCGACTGAATCGTGTGCATCTTGTGGTCTGCGCCGTCATTGTCGTCATTTTGTTCGAGTCGCTCTCGTATTTCCACTCGGGCGAGCTGACCAAAGCTCACGGCACTAAGGGCGCCTCGGTGTCATATCAATATCAGTCAGAGGAATCCATTGTCGAAAGCACCAATTCCCCGAAATCATGGTGGCAATCCGCGTCGAAAACAGGGCTGACAAACTCTGCTGAGCTTGATGCGAACTTCGCCACAATATCTCAGCTCATCGTAGACGCAAACAACACCTTCACTGAGCTGGTTGCTAAACAAACGAGGACCTTGGAAGATGCTGCAAAAGCTTATCGTTTGCGACGTGGCAGACACCCACCTCCAGGCTTTGATAAGTGGTGGGAATATGCGACAGCAAATGATGCCATCATCATCGAAGATTTCTTTGACCAGATTCATCACGACCTCGAACCCTTCTGGAGCCTGTCACCTCTCGATATTCGTTCAAAGGCCCGCGATCTTGGTATGCACGTCCGAATACGCCAGAACAAGGCCGAAGCAGACACCGACTGGTTTTGGCATGTCATATGGGCCAACTTGATCAACGAAGTCGCGCACATGCTTCCCGATATGATCATCCCACTCAATGCGATGGATGAGCCTAGAATCATGGTCCCGTTTGAGGACATCAGCACTCGACTGGCCGAAGCAAGCAATCATCGAGTCATTGCCGACCCGGAACGAGTCACGAATGTGATGGACGGCTGGTCCGAAGCCGAAGAGCCAGGTCAGCCCCATTCGGAGACTGAATGGTTCAGATCGGCACCATTGTCCTTTGCTCGAGCAGCATGTGCGCCAGACAGCCCATTGCGAATGGAGCCTAATATGCTTCATCTGGCAACGGTCCCAAAGACTGACCGGCCTCAGGAACAGAGCTTCATGACTGGAGCCTTTGTCGGCAATTGGACCCTTGCTTCGGACTTGTGTCAGGATTCGAGCATTGGCGCGTTCCACGGGGCTCTTGTCAGTCCGCTCTCTGCATCGACCAGTGTAGATCTGCTACCAATGTTTGGTGGCTCGAAGTTCGCTGTCAATAACGACATCCTCATGCCCGCTCCCATGGCCTGGAACGGCGAGGAACGGTTCGACTCTCAGGACCCTCATGATTGGTCATTGAAGAGTGGGAAAGCAACGTGGCGAGGCACTGCTACTGGTGGACGGCACAATGCTTTGAACTGGCCCAACTTCCATCGCCACCGATTTGTCGCTTTGACCAACGGCACGAAATACTCCCTTGCGGACGAGACCAGCGACCGCATCTTCACGCCTTTGCAGCAACAGTCCGCGCTGTCTTCACTGCGCAACGACTTGCAGAAAAACCTTGGATCATGGCTCAACAAGCACAACGATGTCTCTTTCACGGATTTGTTCTGCGACATTCCCACGGAGAACAGCCAATGTTGGTATCTGTCGGACGAATACGAAGTTGTTGGAACCATGAGCTTGGCGGATCAATACGCTTCCAAGTTTCTTCCTGATATTGACGGCAACTCTTTCTCTGGTCGATACCGCTCCTTCCTACTGAGCAAATCTGTGCCTATCAAAGCAACCTTGTATCGCGAATGGCACGATTCCAGACTCGTCGCATGGAAGCATTTTGTGCCTATGAACAATCGCTTTACAGACTATTACGCTGTCCTGTCCTACTTTGTAGGCTGTGGCGAGGATATCTGCGGATCAAATGGTATGTTTGAGGGCCACGATGTCGAAGCCGAGGAGATTGCAAGAGCGGGTAGCGAATGGGCTGGGAAAGTTCTCAGAAAGGTTGACATGCAGATCTACGTTGCCAGACTCCTGTTGGAGTACAGTCGCTTGACGAACGACAACAGAGACTTCCTTGGCTGGGTCGACGATCTGAAGTCCTCTGAGCCGCCCACGTCGGACTCTTCTGGCCCGTGAGATCCAGTCTCTCCCCTTTTGATTAGCTTCATCGTGCTCAGAACTCGAACCTTTGTCCGACCAGCTGCTCGCTCATCCTCCACACCCGGTCGGTGTTCGACACGTCCAAGGAATACGAAGCCACCACTTTCGGATCGGACGTCACTTGAGTATCCGAGAGGAAGATACTCCCGTCGACTATTGTATCTTTAGCTGAGCAACTGGGCCCCAGCAACCCTCGCCGGCTGGACTCACCTGTAAGATCCGGATCGATGACTGCACGTATTGTGATCGCACAGCCTTGCTGCTGCGTCTTCCGTTGTGGCATCACGGCAGCACTCTTTGAGATGACCTCCATTCCTTCTTTTATTGTGTCTGGAGTCATGAAACGACGAAGGTTACTTGGTACACCTGCGATATGTAAGTTTTTTCCAGACATAAAAGGCTATAGACTGACTTCCAGGATCTAGGGCGAACGCTTTCAATCCCTTGCCTTGCAGGCGGCTGTTCAAGCCTACGGCCATCAGGACGTTGGCAGTTTTGCTTTGGCCATATGAGATGAAAGAGTTGTACTCCTCGCCCTCGTTGAAATTGGGATCCTCCAACACGTCAGACAAGACATTGCCATAACTTGATACATTGATAACTCTGGCACTTTGGACCGGCAGCCAGGAGCTTTGGCATGAGCAGGTTCGTCAGAAGAAAGTGGCCGACACGGTTTGTCGCAAACTGTCTTTCGATACCATCCTCGGTCTTCGAATATGGACAAGCCATTATTCCGGCATTGTTGATCAATGTATCGATCTTTGGAATACTGTCATCGTCGAGGATCTGCTGAGCACTGTGGCGCACGCTCCTGAGGGAGTCAAGGTGGACTGGGACGAATTTTGTGACGACGCCCGGGTCAATTTCCTGGACCTTGTCTATCACAGGCTGGATCTTTTCTATGTCTCGACCAAGCAAGACAATCATGGCCGGAGGTCCTTTTGCCAAAGTGATGGCTGTTTCGGAACCAATGCTCCCCCAGCTGGGACCTGTTATGAGTACTACCTCTGTCAGCAGACAACTACTTCACCATGTCAGTCAGAGAGACGTACTTCTTTTGCCCTTGAGCGTTCCAGGGAAGGCTGCAACGACATCATCACCCGTTGTTTCGAATCCGAACTCGACCATTGCCGCGATATCGGCTTGTTCCGAAGAGGCAATATTTTCGGGCTCCCACTTACTCTGCTGGTTGAAGAAGGCCTTGTATCATATTCATCCTCGCAGTTATATACTGGTGCGACCGTCAGCACGCGGCACTATTTCACAATATGCAACTCCACGGACGAGAATCACGGACTTTGCGGACAGATTGATGCCGTTCCTTATTGGCTCACGAGGCGTAAGCCACGGTGATTCGCCGTGCCACCATTCCATCTCGGGCCATTTCTGACAAGGCTGCTTCTGCAAGGCTGCGGTCTTTGTCGTCTTAACTCCAAGCTGACTGCGGCTACTGCGGCTGCTTTGCTTTCCTTCGGAGTTTTGATCGTTGCGAAAGGCAGCATCGTAGCTGGGGCAAAGAAAGCGGTGGATACATGTTCATGACGGACATGGCAGCATGACAGAGAATTGTTTGTTTCCGTCCCGTACTGTTGTCAAGGGTCTTTCCTCCGTTGTTTCGGGCTTGAAAATGTATTGAGCATGATTTGTGGGAGCAATCAGGCTAAACAATGGCCGTGGTTATATGGAGTACTACTGTACCATAGTCTGGATTGTTCAGAAGAAGCCGACCCTTGTTACATACTAAGACTGTGTTTCATCCGATCACCGCCACAACGGCCAATTTGCTTCAGACAACACGATGTGTCTTGCTTGCTGTTTGCTAGGTCTCTTTTCGCGAGGCCGAAAATGCACGGGTACGTTGCCTTCGCTTCTTTGTCCGTAGATAAAGAGAGACTGTGTGTGTGAGAGAGAAAAGACACAATGCAAAGCATCACCATCATATTGCAGAAAGCATAGTGACCATGCCATGGGCAGTGAGGGTGGCAAGCCATAAATACTAGTATTCACCTTGAGTGCATCTCTTCTGCAAGTATGTCTCCGCCTCTTCTTGCACACAGCTGAGCTGCCCACCAATCCAAGCAGTGACTCGGGAAACTGCCTTGCTTCACTTCGAGTCACTTCAAGAGAGAAAGGGTGTCTCCGATGTGTTCTGCTTTCTTTTGCATACCCGTGAACATCTTGTTTCTTTCCAATAAACAAACATACCGGCACACCGGACCAAAACCAGGACCATCAAGTATCACCACCACCACCACCGTCAGAAGAAGAAGAAGAAGGAGTCATCAATCCCCGAGACAAGAAAAGGACAGTAAGGCCAGAATGTTCCAGCGCCGCCATCACCACCACGACGATGATGACGGTGATCACGGGCACCGCCACGGCCACGGAGGGCCCCAGAATCGCCGTCGTCACGACCGTCATGACCACGAGCACAACCACAACCGGCGCGCTGGCATCCTGATCAACAACAACAACAACAACAACAACAATCTCGTCGTCACTCCCGAAAACGACACTCGTCAGCCTCCCTTTCCAAGCGCAGAAAGAAATCCGAAGAAGAATAACGACGTCACTCTTTCGAGAGCCCAAGACAAACTCGACCGAGCCAAAGCCTCGCTCGAAGATTGGCAGACCCGTCTCCGAGACAAGGCGCGCGAGATTAAAGGTCTGCAGGACAAGGTCGATGGGGCGCAGGAGGGCGTCGTGAGAGCGAGACGCGAGAGGGATCACTTCAAGCTGTTGTGCGTCGAGGAGAAGGAGAGGGAGAAGGAGAAGCAACGACGAGAGCGTGAGCGTGAGCGTGAGCTTGAGCGCGAGCGCGAGGAGAGAAAAAATACAGCAGCAGCAGCAGCAGCAGCAGCAGCAAGACAAGGGCAGGATGATCGCGGCAATGGACATGCACATGCAAAGGGGACGAATAGGGGAAGAGGACTCGGAGTGAGGGTCGAAAGAACGGAACGGGTCGAGAGGAAGCTGTACTGGAGATTTCGAGATTGAGATTGAGAAGGAGGCCAAGGCCAAGGCACGAAAGCATGAAGTCTTGAAGGCTTCGAAGGTGGAAATGCGAGTTATTGATGGACCCGATGGGACGGGTACCTAGGTACTTTTCAGTATGTTGAGTGTTGTCATGTATGGTGTGGTATGTTGTGGTGTGGAGTGGAAGCAAGTCGGGATGCGCTTTTTTCAAGGCCGCAACGGTCCATGTTCATGGTCAGGCGTTCGCGAGGGGTTTTCGAAGAAAGCAGTTCTCAAAATGGTGATTTTTGCAGTCGTGAATAACATTAGACATTGGTCTCTACCTGGGTAATTTCTGTTGTTCTGGATTTCGGGCCCGTTCATCAACCAACAAACTCCAGTATTCTCCTCCCTCCCATATCAATTCCAAATCCCAATATCCGGGTCAATCATCCCGGGGGTGCTGCAAACCGTTCCCAGATCAGGCCCTAGTTGTTGTTGATCGATCCATTCATCCATCACGCACCCAAAGCGCCGTCCGTCCATCGATTGTTTGTACAAAAAAAGTCGTCAAAGAGGAAAAATCATAAAGGGTATCATCGAATATGGAGACCATACTGCCGAGCCATATCCCGTCCTTCCATTCGTACAGGACCGCTACCACTACCGTATAAAGGAAGTGGTGAGCGAAGTCCGCATGCATTCATATGGGAATGCCTCGATCGGCGATATATTGGTCAAGTCCGCACAATGTAGTACATCGAGACTCGTCTATGCTAATCAGCCTTTCTCCACAAAAGGAATGATCAGCCCAGAAAATGCTTACCGCCCCTCATGGTCCTCAGCATCACAGGCCGATTGTTCACGTCGAAACCGTCAACATCCTTCCCGTGCGACGGGAAGCTTTGAGCATGAGCGTGGAACTGCCACGAAGGTGGGGTCTGGCTTTTCGAGGCCCAGAATTCCTCGCGGTCACGTCCGTCGTCTTCGCTCTCCCAACTTCCACGCCCGCGATAAGCGGCTTCTAACTCGGTAGGTAAGGGTATCGTATGTGAAAGAGGGGACGTTGGGGTTTGAGCAGGATGACCAGCTAGATCAGTCTGAGAGTTTGCTCGGGAGCGCAGAGGTGTCGTGCTGTCGCTGTGTTGGTGGGCATTCTTCTCAGGCGTGTTCTTTGGCTTTGACGATGATCTGGCTGGATAGGAACCGTGTCCCGGCCAGGACGGAGAAGACTGGTTGGTATCTGTTGTCGTCCGTGGTGATACTTGGGCTGGTGTTTTAGGAGACCTCACTGTAGGCGTGCCGAAGTTGAACGACTTGAATGCTTCGAGATCGGGGTGTTTCGGGCTTAGAGCACTAACGCTTTCCGCCACCATTGTTGTTGCAAGACTTGAGACGGTGTTGGTGCGTGTGCCTCGGGTTGGTGATGTTTGAGGTGTCATATGCATGGGTGGGCCTCCTGCCGTAGGTGGAGGACCAGGGGGACCTTTCGGCAGCTGCGGCGCAGGATAGAAGATGGATCTAACAACAAAGGCAACACAGATAAGGACACCCAATCCACCAAGTCCCACACCCATGAACCATCCACCTCGAATGCCGGCCATTGGATCACGACCATGATTGTTGACGTGGACCTCAACAGTCGACGCAAGTCCGAGACCAAGAGATATGGAATAGTTGATGGTAGTGCTGATCAGGCTTCCAGCGATACCCTGCTGTTGAGGAGGGAAAAAGTTGGACATGATGAATGTGGCTGCTGGCATACTCATATCCATGCCAAGTGGCATGATCAGCAGCGAGGAGAATGTCCAGCTCCAGTATGAAGTTCGGTCAACGTTTGCATCAATGGCCAGGAGGAGGGGTCCCATGGTAAATGCGACCAGAGCCCAGAATAGAGTCCACGAAGGTCGACACTTTCGCATCATCCAAGCGGTCAATATCGAAGCGACCAATGCGACGGGGACAATAGGCACGACACGAACGGCGGCACCCAGCGGACTGTCATGCTTGATACCCAGTAGGTACTTCCACAAGAACCAGGTCCAGATGCCGAAAGTTGCCCAGCCACAAGCGACAGCTCCCAAGACAAAGCCGACTTCTGCTTTCAGCATTTTGAACGGCACAAGTGGCTGCTCTGCAATCTTCAACTCCGTGATGATGAAGAAGGCAATGAGCAGAACGCCAATGATCAAAAGCATGAAGATGTACTGAGTACTCCACCCCGCGGCAGGGGCAGAGACAAGGGAAACTTGAACACAAATCAGCCCGCCAACACCTGTCAGTGCACCAAGCCAGTCCATGTCTCGAAGTTTGTCTTTGGCTGGTCGCATTTGTTTTGGAGTCGGTGGAGGTGAGATCAGCACCATTTTTGCAGAGATGGCCAAGAGACCACATACGATGGCTAGAGTATAGAAGCTCCAATGCCATGTCGCGAACTTTGTGAAGAGGGCACCAAAAATCATGCCTAAGTAAGCACCAACAGGCGCACAAAGTCCGAAGATCGTAAAGGAAACAACCTTCTGTTTCGAGCCGGGTGGATAAGTTCGTCCTAAGAGCGCCAGTCCGTTCGGAACCATCAGACTGGAACCGATACCTTGGAAGGCTCTGGCAATGAAGAACACTTCATAACCAGCATAGTGACTCAGACCCACAACGACACTCCAAAAGCCAAGGAACGAATATCCGATCAACACCATGGTCTTGTGCCCGAAGATGTCTCCCAGTCTTCCTCCCACCAGAATAAAAGTGCCAAAAGATGACGCGTAGGCGGCGACGAGCCATGGCAGGACTGATGGATTGGCTATTGCGAACGACTTTGCAATATCCCTGCTGACGGGAAAGACGGTGGTCAAGGTCGATTGTGGTATCAATTGGAGAAATGCCACCATGATGTTGAAAAGGATCTCCTGCGACCTTGACATCCGCTGACAAAGCCACCCTCCTGGAGGGCCAGGTGGTCCACCAGGTGGCGGACCTGGAGGCTTAGCTTGATTCTGGGTTCCCTTCTCCATCCTGTGAGGCATGTTGTCGGAATCCTGCTGAGAATGATGCGGAGGGATCGTCACTTTAGCCCATGGCATTGTTTGGACATTGAGGACAAGACAGTGGATTTCAACGCATGAATATACTGGCAAGGGCCGGGGTGAACTCGCTAACAGCCGAAATAACAGATTGACAAGTTCCTGGGGAAGGTGCGAAGAGGTGGGAGACTGGTAGGAGGGCGCGATACAATGATATACAAGACATATGCCAAAGCAAGACAAACGCTGGGTACTAGTACTTTTACCAGCGAAGGATCGAGCTTATGCTGGTATGGGACACAAGCAGGGATCACATCGGCGCCGACTTACCGTTGAATGTGTCTTTGGCCCGCGTTCGTGTCTTGGAGGAATCGAGGGTGCAGAGTATACCGCAGCATACCCAGCCCATGGTAAGCAGGTTCCTTTGGGTAGTCTGCGTAGTGGGGACTTTTTGATGAACGCTTCCGGGATCTGAATAGATCAGGCACAGTTGACGGAAGCCACAAGAAAGCCACATACAGCATCCCAAGTGTCCGAGACTGAAGGCGAAGGTCCTATTGGCAGAGGCATCACGAAGAACGCCATGAAAAATTTTGGGCGGACGTTGGAAGACACTGATCGGCAAGGGTAGGGTTCGAGCACACACGCTTTGATAAAAACGCACCATAGGATCTTGGATGATGTCGATGTCTTCGGAAAGACCATCCTCCACAGGCAGCAAACAATACTATTATGCCCGTAAGCATCAATGATCGTCAACCCTTCTCTTGTTGACATTATTATGGAAATTGGTGACTGTTTGCGCTACAAGGTTGACATGGAAGTAGGCTTCCCGTGGGTCCCGGAAGCGAGCGAGATGGGCGAGGCAGGATAGCGATAACCATAAACCAGGATCTTCATCAGTGATCAAAGAGGCTGCACAAGAAGTGGGCTAACGTGACGCCAGTGCAGGCTGAAACACTGATAGCGGAGAACGTGAAGAAGACATTCGCTGAAGACTGAGGAAGCACAGGAAGAAAAGTCGGCGAGTCGGTAGAGAAGGAAATTGAGGTTCAACAAAAGGTAGTGAAAAGGATTCCGGAAATTAGAGCGCCAAACCACATTCGGTAAAGCGGCAGGATACTAATATAGTATCCGGTATAGCCGCCGATCTCAACCTCGGCCAGGAAAAGTCACCTTTTTTTCCCACCAAGTCCCCCAGGCCACTCACCTACCACTCTTTTAAATTAATAACTCTTGACGCGGTTCATGAGCCATCCTCTCTCGAGCTGTCTCATTGTAATCATAAAGCACTGAACCTTATTGACGTGTTACTGTCCCTACTACGGAATTGTATTCTCCACCGACTTCCGTCATGCCTGCTCATGCATACACGCCATCGAAGTCTCGCCGGTGCGGCCTAGGGTGAACGCGTCCACGTCGCGTTTTAATCTGAATGCCCTCAGCAAGCCCCATCTTACGTTTGGCACAGTGCTCAGCCATCAACGGCCTTGTGCCAATCGATGACCGGAACACTTGACATCGTTCCTGGGAACACAGACGATGTTCCACCGCCTAGCAGGCCTGCAATGCCAGCTCCTCAATAATCGCTGTCTGTGCACTCGGGCCGATATGCTTGACAAACCAACCACAGTTGCTGTCACAACGACTCGAAAGCCGGAAAGTTCCACGTTACATGAAAGTAGGTTCACTGCATAATATCTGTCTCTCGGCCAAACTTGGCTAGGATGCTTATATGGGTAGAACACAACAGAATCCGGCAAGTCCCGATCCTGCTCGCTTGACAGCTCGGCGTCCTTCATGTGAAGGAACTTTTGTTGACACCGACCGCATTGAGGCTTACTACACAAGTAGTACTGATCTGTGCTGCTGACCTCATTAAACCGGGAATACAAATCTCTTATCTTTGCGGTTGAGCAGATACCACTGGGTACATCCTTTCCGCACCGGGTGGCTTTTCCTTCTAACTTGGCCAGGGCATCTATTAGAGTCAAGACAGACTTCTTCCAATAAAGCTAGTAAACGGAATTGACAGGTATCGACAGGTTGGAAGCTTGGCCGGTTTGTTGCTCATCTTAGACAGGTGCAGGTACGACTGGAGACATTGTCTGTTGTGCAACATACACCACTTGCAGCAGCGTGGCAGGATGTTTCACTGCATAGAACTCGAAACGGTCATACCACTACAAGCACCTGTCCCGTCCTGCTTCTGGACTGGAACACCGTCGCACAGGCTATGAAGTTTCTGCTTGCCCAGCCCCAGATTGTGCTTGCTGCAACGTCGGAGCTGACAGCACATCCTTCGTAAAGACACAAAGGTACGGATATTGACCAGAACCCAGCCTTGTACTCGTCGACTTGTCCAGCCATGTCCCTGGTATTCCCATCGGCCAAGTATCCATCAGTCCTCTGCTCCAGCCTGATCCAGTAATTTCTGCAATGAGCTGCAGGCTTGTTTTGCATACGGTTGCAAGTCGTCACCATATTTCTCCGGTCCTTTGCCATCGAACACCTCGACCGAAAGCCAACCTCGAAACCCTGTCCCGAGTACCGCCTTTGTGAAGTCCTCAACAGGCAGATATCCCCCGTCGTATGGAACCGGGCGGTAGTCATGACTCCATTGACCCCGAGGTCGCAGACCACTTTCGTCGGGCTTATCTGGTAATGGTGGATCCATCTTGTATGCATCGGAGATCTGCAAGAAGAAGATCTTCCCTGGAGGAACAGTCTTGGAGAGTTCTTCGCAACTGGACTTCCATTTTCTGTCGAGCTCGTCCTTGTCGACGTCTTCAATCAGCCCTGACTTCGTGACTGGACTGCCCCATTCACCCCCTGCGCTTTGGAATGTGTCAAGGCATAATCCGAGGTTCGGTCGATTCGCCCTTTTCACAATCTCCCAGACATCCTTCCAAGTTGGTGCATGAGTGGCCCAGCACCAATTCTCGTATGCGATTCGGAAGCCTTTCTCTGCAAAGATATCGGCGAGTTCAGCCAACTCTGCAGCCAGGTCGTCGAAATTCGAAGATATGCCTTCGGCATCCGAAGAACCAATCTGGGTCGGCTTGTCAACACTACCATCCAGCACGGTGCGGTTGAATAGCCATGACCTACCTGCATCATGTCCGTTCCCGTCGCTTCCATGATACTCATCCATCCCTTAGCCCGTTCCCAAGCATCCTCCCGCTCCTTGCTGCCTTTGGGCCAACCTTCGAAGTTGGCGAAGGGCTGCAAGATTAGGATTTTGAGTCCTTCTTTCTTGCACAGTTCGCCGATTCTCTGTCCGACTGACCGTAGTGTGGCGTAGTCCTTTGGATCGATTTCTGCACCACTCTCTGGGATTTGTCGACCGTAGGTCAGAATATCTGGCATGGAAAGTTCAATGGCATCGAATCCCGCAGCCGCAATTGCCTTCAGCTTCTTGGGGAGTGTGTGATTTTCGTCATGTCCTATTGAGCATGAGGCATAACATATCGGGATTTTTTGGCCCTTGAAGGTGGCCATCGTAAACACCACAGGGTTCGGCGACTTTCGTGGTTACGAGGTTCGGCTTGTGGTCCTCCTGCTGACAGTGAAGATGCTGTATCGATAAAATTGTCTTGATGGACCCTCTTTTGAGTGATGATGAATATTACGTTGTCGTCGTCGCTGTGGAAAGCGGAATATCAATAGCCGAATTGTTTGAATCGTTTCGTTCATGCTTTGAGGGTGACGTCAGATGCGCGTCAGGAAAGTTGCAAGAGACTCGGAATCACCAAATGCTTCATCTCGACGCGGAAGTTACGGATGAGATCAGATTCCTCATAATTAGCTGACGTTGTCTTTAAGGCGTAATAAGTTCAAGAGCACTGGCAGTTGTTCGAAACATTCATTGTTCATCCCCGGAATCTACAAGTCCATCAACGACAACAACTTCACCGGTTCAGAGGAGATCTCACAACCAGATTGGACAAGATGGGGCAAGGTGATGGACTAGAATTCAAAAAGGTACGTACCTGTTGACAATGAATTGTTGCATCAGCCACTGGGCGGTTTAGGGTGAGATACTGTAGTCTCAAGATCTCAGGGCACAAACAATGACCTTTCACTAATGCTTGGTATAGCTTGGCATGTGTGGCACGGGGAGCATGGGCGGGATGATGTCTCTACTATACGCCGAGCATGGCGTTGAGGTATTCTATTATGATCCTAGTATGGCACACGTCAACGAAGAACGTCAACCCCAGACTGACCATGCCCAACTTCAGGCGACGAGAACGTCAAGAAACTACAGCAAGAAGCCACAGATACTGGTCTGGACAAAAGCATACACGCTCAGAAAGACTACAAGGAGATGTGTGAGAGCCTGGCATCCGGCAACGAACCAAAGCTCTTCGTCTTCAGCATTCCACACGGTGGCGCTGGTGACGCTGTGCTCAAGGACCTCCGGCCACATCTGCAAAAGGGCGACATCATCCTCGACTGCTCGAACGAGTACTGGAAATTTACCGAGCGACGACAACGCGAACTCGAGCCCGATGGCATCCACTATATCGGCTGCGGTGTGAGCGGCGGCTACCAGAGCGCAAGACACGGTCCGTCCATGTCCCCTGGCGGTGACGCAGAAACCCTCAAGAAAGTCATGCCCTTTTTGCAACGAGTCGCTGCCAAAGACAAGCAGGGTCGAGCATGTACCACACCTATCGGGCCTCACGGAAGTGGACACTACGTCAAGATGATCCACAACGGTATCGAGCAGGGCATGATGTCAGCCATTGCTGAGGTCTGGTTCATCATGAACAAATGCCTAAAGATGAAGTACGAGAAGATCGCCGACGTCTTTGAGTCATGGAATAAAGATGGACCTCTACGTGATAACTTTCTCGTCTCCATTGGCGCGGATATCAACCGCACGAAGAAAGACGATGGTAGCTTCGTCCTCTCCGAAGTACGTGACAAAGTCGTCCAGGACGCAGATGACTCCGAGGGAACGGGAATCTGGACCAACGAAGAAGCCATCCGACTTCACGTCCCTGCCCCGACAATCGCGTCAGCACACATGTTCCGCTGCGGCTCCGCCGACGCCGCGAGCCGTCTGGCAGTCAACAAGGTATTCAACGACGGCGTCAAGCCAGCCATAATCAAACTGGAAGTCCCGCATGAAAAGGCCCTACCCGCGTTCATCGAGGAGTTGAGACTCGCGCTGTACGCCGCGTTCATGTGTTCCTTCATCCAGGGCCTGCACATTCTCAAGAAGATGGACCGCCAGGAGAAGTGGAATCTGGACTACCGCAAGATCCTGCAGATCTGGCGTGGCGGCTGTATCATCCAGTCCGATCACATCTCCGACGTCTTGGACAGTGTGCACGCTAGAGAGGACCACGACGACGACAACCTCCTTGCCAACCGTGAGATCGCAGAGGAACTGGGCAACTCGTTCTCCTCGCTCAAGAACGTCGTCCTCAAGAGTGTCGAGGCAGATGCTTATGTGCCTTCCCTGAGCGCGACGTTGGAGTATTACAAGTATTCCAGCTCAACGGTGTTGCCGACGCAGTTCATGGAAGCGGAGCTGGATTACTTTGGCTCGCACAACTACGAGAAGTGGGAGGAAGGACCAGGCAAGCCGGTCAAGGGCCCGCATCATTATGAGTGGAAGGCTGCGAAGGGACTGGTGGATGAGAAGAAGAAGGAGAATAAGCTTTGAAGGCTGTTCCGCAGTGACTCTTTCTCTTCTTCACGTAGATGTGGATGCTCTAAATTAAATTCTACTTAAGTCAAGGGAGGTCTAGTCGAGCTTCCGGAGATGACGGAGCTTCGTCTATTCAGACAAATAGAAATGCGATGGCCATGAAAAGCCCTCTCCTCTCCATTGAGATTCTAGACCTTTTGTCTAACTGACATTGTAAGACACTCGACTCGTCCCTTTACTCCTGCTAATCTTCCTCACGCCGACCTTGCCACACTGCTCGGTGGTGTCGACATGCGTGCCACCACAAGGATATACCTCTGCACCGACAATCTTGACGACACGATACTTCTCACCGGGTGCAAGCTTGACGCCCTCGCCGTTGGGAATGAGCCGTTCGAGGCCATTGGCCCTGAAGTCCTCGTCGGTCCAGAAATCCACTTCAACGGGCATCGCGGCGGCGACGTACTCGTCTACCTTGGCTTGGATCTCGTCTTTCCACTTTCCCTCAATCAGGCCGGCAAATTCACACGCGGCACTATCCGGGAAATGGCTCGCTTTGAGCTCGTCGAAGCCTGGCACCTGGCTTTCGAGCAGATGTCGGACAGCCGCGCCCAGAACATGCCCGGCCGTGTGGAGCCGCGAATATAAAACACGCTTGTCGACGTCGAGGTTCTGTGTGACGGGTTCGTCGAGGGCGAATGATGGCGCCGGCTTTGTTGTCGATGTCGAGTCTGCGGAACGAAAACGGCCGAGATGGAGGACGCGGCCTTCATCTGTGGCCGACATGCGGACCGCGTGCACCGAGAAAATGTTCCCAGACGACGACGAGGACATGGAGCCTGTATCTGAAGGCTGGCCGCCGCCCTGCGGGTGGAAGATCGTTTCTTTGGTGACGACGACGACGAGCGAGTCATCGTCTGGCGCGGACTTGAATAGTTGTCGGTCGGCTTCTGCTAAGGAAGGAAAGGGAGTGACAGCCAGCACCGAGGTGGGTAGACTGTAGAGTTTGGCATTGTGCTGGAACGTGAGGACTGTGCGAGAGACTAAGCCTGACATTTTGATTGTGGTGTCGTTTTGTTATTGTTGTTGGTTTTGTTTGTTGTAGAAGTATCGTTATGGAGTTGGCCGGGGTTTATATCGGTCGACTTTGAAGTATCATGGTCGAATCTGCTGTCTTGCCTACCAGGTATAGCTGCCTTTACGTCTGCTTAGCTAGGAGTGTGCAACTCATCGATGACCTCCAGCCTGGTGATGTTTGGGCGATGTCGAAAATTATCCGCCACAGATACGAAAAGGATGGAGGATCTAGAATTCTTCAATGATTACATCGAAGGGCGACGCATGGGCTACGCGTAGCCTTCGGCCTTCCTGATTAGGTAATGACCTCGAAATCCCACAGATAGACGACTCTGATGCTACAAGCACGGCAGGCTATCTCGCAAAATCGTCTGAAGGGAACGTACAATAAGCCGAAGTAACAGACTCGCTCTCTGGAGTCGAGTCGTCTTACATCTTCCTTGGTCCAAGAACGCTAGTAAGCACATTGTGGCAAGGACATGGATGGACGATCTGAAGATCTCTGTCCCATGTTTAACTCCAGTAGTCTCATGCACCAGCCATGGTCTTAGTATTTTGTTGCAAACTCGCTGTGTGTAGAGAGAGTGCTCTTAGATCATCTACAACCTCTTGCTATTTTCCTGAAATGACCTGGCATCTGGGATGACCAGGACATCAAGCTGCAACTTGCAAAGAAGAATGGCGGCGTATTCTTCCAGACCCATCCCTGAACAGATATGAAAGGGTTATTTCTCCATTGGAAGAAGGCTGTGTATGAATATGGTCTGGCCTAGAGTCCATGTGACACGCTCACGCACTTTCTCGATACCAACATGACAGCCGAGAATGACCGTTGCAATGGCTTGAATTTGGAGTCGGGGTGATCAGTCCCAATTAGAAGAAGAGATTCCAGGGCAAAGAGTCGACATACTGAGATGATATTCATCAGATATTCGACGGTTGTTGGTAAATGTCCTACCTTTGTCGCCTGTTACGACTAGATTGATTGGCCTTCAGACTAGGTAGGTTGTGCAGAGCCAAAGCAGCTACTGCTAAAGTGCAAAAGAAGGACATCAAGGCGTGAATCCTAGACGGATTCCTGCTTCTGTTGTCTCATTCGATGACAATGTAAAGTGATTGTGAGATGAAAAGAAATCAATTGCTGGGCTCTGATCCAAAGTTCCGTAAGACACGAGTCAACGCGTGTATTAAGATGGACTGAACAGAGCAAGTTTGCCGAGATATGTCTACATCTCCTGCATCAACTCAGAGCATGGACAGATTTACAGAGTAGCCCCTTTGACCACGCATCAGGCCCATTGTTAGCTTTACTTTCGTCTCACTTATGACTGCGACTCACCTTGTTTGCCGCTGAGTATTCACTGTAGCGATGGAAGCGGACGCCGAGACCCCAGCTTCGGGGTCGCCCTTGTCTGATATTGACTCGGACGAATTTCCTGAAGATGTCAAATTTAACCAGAGGATACGTTCGCATTCAAGAGAATCTACCGTTTCCGCCTCCGATGACGGTTCGGCCTCTCCTGTGAGCGTCACAGGGAGAGCGATCGAGATGCCTCCAACCAAACGCCGCAAGACTGGCACGTCGAGCTACGATCATGCAACTCCTCAATCTGCTTCTACAGCCAATCCTCCTCGATCACCAACAGGCTCAATATCGAGCGACACGTCAGGCTCCGTCCCTACTTCACCTTCCTTCGCGCACCTTGGCCCGACCCATCCTCTGTCGACTGCCTACGCGGCTGCTCAAGCCAACCCGGAAAATCCAGAATTGGCGGACTATGTCCAAGTGACAAAATGTCTGTGGGACAACTGCGAAGATCGGGAACAAGGAAACATGGACAATTTGGTTGCGCACATCAACGATGTACACATCATTCCGCGCCAGAAGAAATACTACTGCGAATGGGAGGGCTGCGCTCGGAAAGGCCAACCTCACACCAGTGCCTACGCGTTGAAAGCGCACATGAGAAGTCATACTAAGGAGAAGCCATTCATGTGTGCCTTGCCAGAATGTGACCGCAGTTTCACTAGGTCTGACGCGCTCGCGAAGCATATGCGAACTGTGCACGAAACAGAGGCTCTCCGACCCAGTGATCCCGTTCCCAGAGGTCACACCGGAGGAATCTCAAATGGAGGTGCATCTGCAGTGCCAATCAAAAGACTCAAGCTGACAATGGGCGGGAAATCCAATGGTGACAAGAAAGCGAACTTGATTGGAGAACTACCACCATTGCCGACAAGACACACTGTGGCTGCCATGGGCATCAGCCTGGAGGACGTGGAAATGGCCGACGCGGATGGAAACGAGGAACTCGCGGACGCAGTCGACGTCGACAGTGTTCCAATGACTCTGCCTGTACCTCCCGAGTACTATCCAGCCGACGTGTATGAAGACATGGACGACTACGAGCGAAGCCTGCCACCTTCTCAATATTACCGCCTTTTGCGCCGCCAAATCCACTGGGCTGAAGAGGAAGGAGTTGAGTTGCAGCGTGAATTGGAAGACTTGCGGGCTACCACTGAAGATGCACAGGGCAACCTGGTCAAGAAGGGTCTCGGTGATGAGAAAGGCGCCGACGACAATCGCAGAGCAGAATGGCAGCGCACCGAGGAGATGCTGGATGCTGTTTTGCGAGCCGAGACAGGTAAAGTGTGGGAGATGTTCACAGGCAAGAAGCCAGCAGACGGTCAGCAGAATCCATGGGAGTTGCTCAAGGCTTTGGAAGGGGCAACGTCACTGCCACAATAGTTGGAGCGAGCACCAAGCTTGTCATCGAAGTCGGACGTCAGTAGTCATTGGATGTCCTAGAAGACCTCCATGAATGCATTATGCATGGTCTTGATCTCTGATTTTGATTTTGATTTTGCTTTTGATCCTGTCTCGTGAATCCTCCTGACGAATCAATATTCGTGTTCGCGGACGTAGCCTTGAGGCTAGGGAGCAGGAACAGACGTGGATTTCCTCGGCCTCGTGGGAGAGTGAGGCCACTTTGTCTACATGCAAGGTCCCTCGGACTCAAAGCTGCCATGTTCGCGTGATTGGATGAGAGAACGAGGTCAAGCGTTAGGGCTGAGTAACCGGTGTCCTGCTTCCCTGCAGCACAGAAAGCGCACAACGATGTCCCTGCAGACCCAATGCAGGAGTTAAGTCAGCCGGCAGGAACCCCCTATGGTCGAGTCCGCGTTTCCCCGAGGCATGGCTTGCCCGGTGACAAAGGAGGGTACGGACCTGATACCAAGAAAGTCATAGTTTCAACCTATAAGAAGCACAATCTATCCCAGGAGAAAGCTTCCTCCTCTATTTGCGATATTGAGCGCCTGAACATTTCAGCAAGGCTCTAACCCGGACACAAGATTTAGCAACGTCGATCGCGATCTGCTCTGCGAGTGCTGCGGACAGTGCCACTCTTCTAGCTATCCGTACTAGTAAGTTGCAAGGTTGCTTGAAATGGTCAATCCATTGGGAAACAAAAGCAGGCCAGACTCCCCCGTCCTGCACCGTGACGTCCTCGATGTTCTTGAAATGTCAGCACCCAAATAATTTGGAGGAGATATGATAGGGCGATTAAAGCGCGCAGTGCGGTTACGGCGTTGCAGTGCATATGGAGCAGTCGGTTGAACAAGGTTCAGAGCGGACGGCACCGTCGTGGGCCTTTGTGGTGCTCCCGGCTCAAGAAATGCAGCGTGCACAGCCTGTTTGGCACGCAGCAGGTCACGGCAAGTGGTCAATCATTTCAGCCCCGTGGGGTGGGCTGCAGGTGTGTATCACATTGAATTTCGATCGGGCGATGGAACATGTAGCGAGGGACGAATCAAACGTACGGATGTGCGTTTTGGTTGGCGCGAAAAGTGGCTGGCGAGGTTATCATTTCCAAAATGCAGGGGTGGTTTTAGAGCCTCAGGCAGTGACTCATAATGGCAGATTGAGAGGGAGGCCACATACCCATTTGCGCATTGTCGTACGTACAGAGTAGAAGGCCTGGATAGGCAGACTGGAAAGTCTTCAGAGGTCGACGAAGGGGTCCTCGAATAGAGATCTTCTTGAGCAGTGCACCGCGTTCGAGAGTGCTCTCGCAATTGTACATTGGTGTTACAAGGCGTGTGCCATGAACGGAAACCTTCGGCAACGAGAACCAGATGTGGAACAGGCCAGCTGATTGGTCTCACGGCGAACATCCACATTCGGCACTTTGGACATGGGTGCAATGCACGTTCGAGCGGCTGGCTTGTTGGCGTTTCACAGAACCTCTGACTCATACTTCTCGACCTAGTCTCGACGCTCAAACCCTTCAGTGTTGGATTGCATAGTAAGGTAGATTGTTGTCTTCGCGATTTTCCGCAGACGTGGATATCAGGCCATGCGCTTGCAAGACATGACGCGAGGTTTGGCAGCTCAGACAGCCCGATAGAGAAGTGAGTGCAAGAGTGCACAGCAGGGACGGAGCAAAACGTAGTAAGGCTATCCAAGCGGAGAAGGTCCTCAGGTGGATTCACGGTTTGCTTTGGGTTCGGGTCTTTTGTAAGAGCCCTAAGATGAAGACATTCATTGCCTCGCATAGACCTACCTCGGCTTCTGGGGGTCTCTTCAAGCTCAATTCACCTCACTTTCGCTTCATTCGACACGTAGGTACTGTTATATAAGATGCATAGTCGTATAGTCGTGCGTCATGTGCGCTCGTGACGGGTAATGGCTGTACAGAGTATTATTGAATGAGAGACCATGACTCCTTGTGGCCTGCACGGAGAAGGAACTTTGGAGCGCCGAAATTTCCGACAGATTGACTATGCCAAACACAGACTAGCTCGGTCGCCTCGCCAAGGCTTACTCGAATTCGCCCACAAGACACTTAATCTTCGTCTCTCCCGCTTCTGCCTATTTTTCTTCTTTCCTCTTCTCGCAACTCCATCACTATCAATACAAACGGCAACATCAAGACTTCATCAGGACATGGAGTCATTCTAATCGCTTCGTTCGCCACTTCTATCTAGCCAAGGCAAGATAGAGTCTGTCACCCTTACAGTCACTCTCCCCACCAACTCTCAACTCACTCCTCGTCCAGTCTCCACCCGGAGCCTGAACCAGCAAGACTTCGTCGTCGCTCCCAGCGTCCCGAGCTCTTCAATCCAAACCGCAACCATTCAAGCGTTGGATTTCAACGTCTTCACCACGGCAAACCAGCAACCATGGCGTACTTCAACCCCAGCATCATCGACTGCATCGTCGCAGAACAATCTCCAACACAGCTTCAACGAAGACTTCCAGCTCTTCGCCGTCCCAGAGGCCCCGCAAGTCTCTCAGACAGCCTTGCGTGCGCAGGCGACATTGAGTACAGCCCCTAATACCCAGAGACAAATTCAACCCGGACGTCTCTCCATCAACAAGGGAGTGTCTCCTGTTCAATCTACTCTGTCACCGTCACTAGGGCATATCAATCATCGGTCTTATTCCAGTCCATCTTTGCATCAACGACTTTCCCACCAGAACTTGCGTCAACTCGCTCACTTGCAGCGTCTTCCGCCAGTTCCTCCATTCGACTCGTCTGCCACTGTTCCTCGTAGAACCCCACTCACTGTGAACGTTCCACAAGGTACTAACCGTCCGCACACAATCCGGCCGTCTCGGACAAAACTAACATCATTTCCAGGCAACATGTCTACTGCGTTCGACACTATGTTCCTTCCGGGTGGTGACTTGCTCACCACCCAAGATGAATTCTTCAACTTCGGCACCAATTTCCAGGCCAACACCGACTTCACTGCTGCTAACACCGGAGTATCCGCCACTTCAAGTGGCACCGTATCCCCATCTGAGATTTTCAAGGATGAGTATACTATGTCGGCCCCGCCATCCACGGCGTTCCCCAACTTCAGCACTCCGGAATCTGGCTACCTCGAGTCGCCAGCTATGCTCAGCAGCGGCCTCAATACCTCACCCCTGGAAGATGGTCTCCTCGATACCCAGCTAAACTTCGCCGAGCTTGACAGCATGGCTCCTCTCTTTCCTCAAGATAGCTTCGATCAATTTGCTCAACAGACCATGCCGGTCATTGAGCAAAAGGACACTGCCTTCACAGCCGTGAATGCCAAGCAGCCAACGGAGGCTCCTGCTCCTATGGTTCGACAAAAGTCTTCTCCTGGTCGCCCGCCGTCCCAACCGTACACTCACGGTAGGAAGCACTCGGATACCCATGGTATCAACAAAATGAAGGCGCGTAAGCCCCTGGTCGAAATCACTGTCGACAGTGAGGACGACAAGGAGACCGCCAAGAGGAAGAAGAACACTGCTGCTGCGCGGAAGTCTCGACAGCGCAAACAGGAACACGCCGAGGCGGCCGCTGCGGAGATCCAACGACTGCGGGCCATCATCTATCGCCTCGGCGCTGATCCTGACGCTGAATCAAGTTGAAGCAGGTGTCGAATGCAACGAATATGGGAATCTCTTTTGTCAAGGACATATGTCCTCGCTATCGTCGAAAGGCAATGCTCCGAGAGCGTTGCACCTTTCGAATCCTCGTTATGCACGTTGTACTACAATTGAACGCTGTGTCTATCTGCAGATAGACCAAGCAGCTGCATGACGCCTGGGGTTGAGGATTCCAGTGGGCCTGAGAGCCAGGAGGGCTGGCCCTTTCCCCAACCGCCACGTCAAACCTTTTTTTTTGTTTCATCGTTTCAACTGTGTTATGATTTCGACAAAAGCCATCATCGGAGTTGATGGGTATCTTCCTCACCGCGAAGAACGATCCCAGGCTTCTCCTCGCTTTTCACAACATGGCTACGATTGCGACTACTATTGCGTTTATTCATTTCTTGCGGCACCCAAGACACGATCCGACCACTCGACGACACGTGTGATAGCGGACTTCGGGGGATATCGGGTGTGAGCTTGGGGCATATTGATTGTTTTTATGACGAGAATATTGGCCGGTTCTGACTGTCTCCCAAGGGATTGACTCGTGGCCTCGTGATTTTTTCATCGTTTTCTTTCTACCAGACGATCATCACATTGCCTCCCTGGGGTTTCCGGATGCATCACAACACACTCTTTTCCATAGCACGTTATGCAAGCACTCCCTGCGAGTTCTTGCTCCTGACCACATCTCGGTGCAGGTACAAATGCAACTCAAGTCCTTACTCCATTACGCCTTTCAAGACTGTTCGTTCAATGCATGCGCTCGGTGTTCAATGCTCCTGCCTAATACTCGGCCAGGATGAGCCCGGCTGAGCCATCTCTCACTCCTTTCGTAGGACAACCTAGTTTCAGTATGCCCTAACCCATAACTGACTTAGGCGAATATGTAAAGACTCTTACACCTCGATCAAACGGCTTAAGATCAACTGACAATATGGCTAACACGATACTAGCAACCTTGATACTACCCCTCGTTCTCGAAGCGAAGGAGTGGTCTTGTCCATGAAGGCGCATTCTTGTCCAAAATTGACAATCTCCCAGAAGTTCGACATAATTACCACGCTGACTGCGTGCTGAGACCCATTACCGTCAGACCGAGATGCTCGCTTCCGTCTCCAGCTGCACGGCCAGTAGAAGTCATGCCTTGTTTGAGCATGCTGCAATCATACACCTCCAGAGAATGCCACCGTTGTTCGTACTACGTACTCAGGTAGAAATAGCGAAAGCCCTCTGCTATTGTCACGAATGGCGCCTGTCCTCACCGTTTTCTCGCAACCACGTCAGCCTTATCGTTATTGATACTGAGCTGCTTCAAGGATGGTGCGGCGACTTAAGGCGTCGGACAGCAACTTGTTGATCCGCTGGAAGTCTGGCCCGCGTTTCGCCTGTGCGATAGCGAGCAGAACGCCCTTCGCTGTCTGCTCCTCACCTTTTCCTTTGATCTTGACGCCCGTCCACGGGCTTGCGCCTCTTTTCAAGAGTTCGTAGACTGTAGCAAAGTCCTGAATCTTGGCAGCTATGTGAAGGGGGGGCATACCATGTTGGCCGACTTGGTTTATGTCCGCACCGTTGTCCAGAAGCAAAGTGATCATTGAGTTCTTCTTGCTCCAAATTGCTGCGTGCAATGGAGCGTTTCCAGAATTAGTCCTCGCATCAAGCCTTGCATTATTCTTCAGCAACAATGCGACAGCATCCACATCGTCAAACACCACGGCTAGGTGGAGCGGAGTTCGACCTGTGTTGTTTGGCAGGTCGACGCGGGCTCCATTCTCAATGAGAAGCTCGAGGATATTGACTCTGCCCGCTTTTGCTGCGCAATGCAGCGGCGTCTCTTTAACTTGGTTCTCCGAATTGACCAGCCCGGGCGTCTCTTTGATCAAGAATCCTGTGATTCTCCGTTCCCGTTCGTGGCAGCGCAATGTAAAGGTGTACTTCGATTATCGTCAACGACACCTGTTTGGACTCCAAGCTCTACAAGCAATTGCACGGTTTTCAAGTCCTCTCGGTTTACTGCCAAGTGCAGCAGACTTTGTCCGGTATCGTCCGTTGTCTTCAGATTCGCCTTGCTGAGTTTCAGGTACCTGACTGCCGCCGCCTCACCGTGTTTGACCGCGATGATGAGCGGCGTAAATCCCTTGTCTGCGTTTCCGTCACTGCGCACTTCGATGCCGACATTGTATTCTTCCCACAGCAATTGGATGGTTGGCACATCCCCACCTTTGGCGGCAGCGTGAAGAACATTCCAGCCCGATGAACTTCGACCGTCGATATTTGCTCCTCTCTCCAAAAGCAGCTTTACGATGTCGCAGCGTCGTGATTGGGCGGCTTGAAACAGAGGCAGTGATATGGTAGCCTTTGGAATCCTCTAGTGGTGACTCTTGGTTGATCTCCGTTCCCATGTCAAGTAGCAATTCGACGGCTTGGACTGAGTCCTCCAATATCGCTTGTGTAAGCCAGGTGACTCTGTTTCCATTCGGCGGCTCGAAGTCGAATAGTCCAATCGATTTGAGGAGCGAGCACGCCTGCTCGCGGCCATCCTTGAAGCCTCTGTCATACTCGGTACCACGGGAGTTCCCATCATCCCTTTCTGAAATATTGTTCGTGTTCTCCTGCTTCCCTTTTGGTGGAAAAGGTTCCGATGGCTCGGACGGAGTTGCAGCCTGTGCTAGGTCTGCATCACTGACGTGGGCTGTCTTCCCCAGCATGCCCTTCGCCGCGGGTGTTGCCGTTCCTGTCCCTTTGATCTTTTGTCGGATTTGTGACGAGCGCGAGGCTTGCTTGTCGATGCCATTGAGAACGTGCAAGGAAGGTAGCTTCGAGTCAGAACTGTAGGCAATCAGACAAAGGCGAAAGTTCGGGGCATTGAAGTGTCTAATTTACTGTATCTTCAAGACTTCAGTAAGATGCTTTAGATTCTTGTCCTGTACTACCAGGAGTTCTCGAGCCTCGTCCCAGTTCACGTCGGCGTCCGACGTTTTGCGCTTGACGCTCCTCAGATTGTAATGGATGATAAAGAGAGTGTTAGAGCAGCATCGGAGAATCGTGTCAATCCACGATTCCTCGAGCAGAGAACGGAAGGGCTGGCGCAACGGGTCATTGCGACCCAGTAGCAGAGTGAATGCATACAGGAGATGCCGCTCAATGACGGGGAAGATCTCCCACAGCTCGTTCTTTGGAATATGAGTGCTGTCATCTCCACCACTCAATTGCTTCAGTGAGTCGGTGGCTTCCGCGCAACTGACGAGAAGACGATCAATGTTCTGAGCAGCTTGGTAGATTGAAGGAGGCGCCATGACATGGTGATGATGAGAAATAGTCAGTAGATAAGTTCAGCATTGTGACTGACGTGCACGCGGGAGACATGAAGATGATATCAACTCGGTCAGGCTGAGGTCCTGAGTCAGGGTTTGACGCGAGGAATCCTGGAAGACCGGTGACCAAAAACTGCAGGTTTCTGCCTGATAATATGCACCAGCAGGAGGAGCGGCTCTAATCGTCGTGGCTGCCATCTGCAAGCCACCGTGCGGCAATGCCCAACCACGCTCGTGACCAGACGAAAGGCGCAGTAATTTGGAGGCCACATATCCGAGTTCCCTTTGGGTCGGATGGAAAGGCAGTAGGTCAGCAGAATAGCCCTTTGGACGAGATGGTTCGTGTACGCGAGACTCGTGTTCACAGCTTCCCCATGTCGCCAATAGTAATAACAAAGCAGATGGTCTTCCTGAAGAGGGGATGATGGGGTGCCTGCCATTGTTAGAGAGGGTCACAGGTTTTCTGTCCACAGTGCTCAGAGTACCGTGAATCTAGACACAAGATGAGGACGACGAGGACGAGGATAAGACATAACATATTCGATCAATTTTCACTTTATTAGCTATTACTATCCTAACTTGTAGTTGCGTTCTCGCTGGCCACCGTACTGTTCTGCTTAAGCACTTGAACAAACAAGCACTTCCACAAGACCCAGACGATTCCAATCCACATTGGAAGACAAAAAGGACTAATAAGCCTCCTGCATTCCTCTGCCAATTTGCTCCCTTTCATCCAGCAGACGCTTGCATTTGGGGGTATCTCTTCTTCGTTAAGAATCAAGACTTGCCGAAGTGGGTATCTGGTACTCGAAAATGCATCAACCAAAAAAACATAACAAGAATCTCAATCTAATGGTGACGGGGTATCCTGAAAAGCAACAACATAACGAAATGAGTGGTGTCCGAGTTTGTCGTCAATCAGTGCAGTAGGCCTCAGTGAGGTCTCCAGCGGAAAAGTGGTTGCAATTACACTTGCAGACCCAACCTTGGACGTGATCTAGGCCCAACCATGTCGTGCTACCTCATAGGGCGAGGCCAGAGGGACGAGAAGGGCTGCGAGGAGGTAGCGACGGTGTGCTGTAGCTCTTGTCGTCCCACCACTTCTCAAACTCAACTGGACTAGCTGCTCGAGACAGTCGAGATGGATGTGACAGAGATGTGCGTGGAGTCTTGTCTCTGACCTCGTCGGACCTTCAAGCAGTCGCCTTGACTTCCGGCGTGGCAGCAGGGACAGCCGGCTCAGCCTTGTCGGTGACGAGATCAGCCGGGACAACATCGCCCTTGATCTGTGATTCTCCGGCTTCAGGGACGGCGGCGGGAGTTTCGGACGTGGTTGCCTCAGTTGTGGCAGCTGGCTCGGCGGCCTTTTCCTTTTCCTTGGGTCCTTCAGACTTCACCGCTTTACTAGCGCGGCGGACGAGGTTGCCAATGAATTTGGCCGGGGTGGGAGACTTCTCGCGCTTGGGTTCTTCGGCACCCTCCTCGGTCTCGCTAGCCTCCTTCTTCTTGTTGAAGAAGAGGGAGGTTCGACGCTTGTTGTCACGAGCAGGTCGCTCTTCCTTAGCAATAGGAGCTTCAGTGGCCGGCTCTGTGACAGCAGAATGGACCGTGGGTTCTGTGCTGGCGGCGGCGACAGGGTCTTTGGCGATAGCCTCAGCTGCCTTGTCTTCCTTAGCTTCTTCCTTAGGCTCCTCTTTGTGCTCCTTCTTGCCCTCAAATCTGGCTTCGGTCTTCTTGATGAAGCCCAGCAGACCGCCTTTCTTCTCGGTCTTGGGAGCAGAGGCATCAGCTGGGGAAGTGGTGGCTGGTTCTTTGGCAGGTTCTTCAGCTTGTGGTGTTTGGACCGTGTCAACAGGAGCGGTCACGGCAGCAGTGTCGATAGGCTTGTTTTCAATTGGTTCCTCGAGCTTGGGTGCAGTCTCGGAGACGGGAGGAACATCTGTAGCACCAGTGGCGTCCTTCTCAGACTTTTCAGTGGTTGGGCTGGTCACACTCTTCTTGAAGAAGGTTCCGAAGACGGAACCACGTTTGGCCTTCTTTTCAGCTGGCGTAGCCTCTTCCTTGTCTTCTTTCTTGTCTGTAGAGGTGGCGGCGGCAGGCACTGATTTGCTGTTAGATTGCGTCACTTGAAGGGACGACTAAACTCACCGGCAGCGACAGCGGCAGCTTCAGGAGCCTCGACAGCCTTGCTAGGCTCATCGGTCGGTTTGGCTTCCTCCTTTTGGGTGTCGGCCTCAGCTTTCTTCTCCTCTTTCGCCTCTTTCTTAGCTTCTGCCTTCTCTTCCTTCTTTTCGGCGTGCTCTTCCTTCTTGCCCATTAGAGAGCCAAAAATGCTGCCACGCTTGCGAGACTGCGATCGCTCCTTGTGCTCTTTCTTGGCCTCTTCTTCGCTGCCTGCAGAAGTGCTTGCATTTTCAGCCGCAGGGGCTGTAGCGGCAGCGGTCGCAGCACCAGCATCGAGAGACTTTTTGGGTTCCTTGGACTTGGAGCGGACTGGGGTGGTCGCGATGACGGCTGGTTTAGCTTGGGCTGCATTAGTCGGCGATCCTTGACGGGACCGGATAGCTCTCCGCAAAAGCAAAAAAACTTACCGTATTCCTCGAGATTCTTCTTGTAGCTCTCACGTCCAGTAATATCTTCCTTCAATTCCTTGGCCTCTTCGATGGCCTTTTCAATAGCGACGACCCAGCTGTCCCGTTCTTCGGACTTGGTCGTCTCGAAGCGGTGTTGATGAGAACCGGCTTTGAAGGAGAATTGGTTGAAACCTTCCTTGGTGACATTAGACGCATCGGCCTAACCATGTGTCAGTCTGTGCGTAAGTGCAGATGGTGGAAGTGCTTACCAGGTTGATGATGCCAACAGGATGAGCCTTGTCTTCGGCACGCTTGGAGAAGAACAGCAATCCTTTGCCGGTCTCGCGAGCCCATGATGCAGAGGCGTGCTTCGCATCATCCTTGTCAGATCGCAGGAAAGTGGACAATGATTCACTGGTCAATGGCTCTTCGGAGAACCAGAAGAAGTGTTTGGTGAAGAAAAATCTCCTGTAGTGTTCCCTCGATCAGCTCCTGTCCCCTTAGATTGTGTCATATGCGGAGGCAACCTACTTCAAGAGTGTTGGCTCCTTGTATCCCAAGACACCCTCTGACGCTGGAACGGCCTTGACAGGTGTCTCATCCTTCTTTACATCTTCAGTGGCCGTGGCAGGAGCAGGCTCTTCGGTGGTGGCCGCAGGTGTAGGCTCCGTTGCAGCCTCAGCTGGAGTTGCGGCAGTCTCTGCAGGTGCAGTTGTTGGTGCCTCAGGCTGTTCCAGCGCAGCCTTGGTAGGTTCCACGACGGGCGTCTCCTCGACAGGTTTGGGAGCTTCGACGGACATGGTTGGTGCACGTGGTGATTGAAATTATGTGGTGTATAGAATGCAGTCAACTACAGGTGGAATGTTCTCTGAAGCTTGCAGAAAAGAGGTGATCAGAGGGAGAGTCGAGAAAAGATCCAATCGACTGTGGTAGTTGATGTGGACAAAGGCAGGAAGCACCACGAGGCTTTGTGTAGCACGGGCAGTCGGGTGTTCAACAGATGGATGTAAAGGTGCAATTGAAGAGAGAAGAAGAAGATGGACTGGAGATTAGAAGATGGGATGAGCAAGGAGGAAAAGGATTGGATGGAAGGGAGAGCGAGATTATGAGACAGGCCTGGATGGGATCCCCAAGGATTTTTCGGCGTCTTGCTCTTTTGTTTTGGGCGTGGTGTCGTTGTCCAGTCAAGAAGACGGCGCAGGGCGTTTAGTAGCCAAGGGAGATTTGGAGGCGGCCAGAGAGGCGCACTAGGCACAAAGCTCGGGCTAGTGGGCGGTGTGGCCACTCAGGAATAAGGGCAAACTGCACCTTACGGGCGCTAACACGCTCCACCGGTTTAACTAAAACTAGACCTCAAACAATGAAAAGCCCCAATGCGATCCAACTCCAGTTACTCCACTACTCGTAGGCATCATGAAAGTGCGAACCCTCAGCGACCCCTTGGTCCTTCTATTCAGGTATAGCATGCCCCAGCTGATCACGAGTGGCATTTCGCTTGACAAACTATCTTCGAACCGAGTCGATGGCCTTGCTGTTCACGCTGTTGTAGGGAGTTACGCCATGCGCTTTCTCCGTGATTAAGACTTGAGCACCCTCAACACATGCTAAGCCCATACTCCGTACTCCGTACAGTCTCTTCCATCTCTGGTCAAGCCGTCAGCCGTCAGAAGCATATCCAAGCCAAGGTCTGTACCTAGTAGTCTACGCGGCGCGGCCACTGAGAGATATCAACGATCCCGTGACAGAGGCTGCATATGTACAGTCCTGGGCAGTAAGAGTTGAAGACTGAAGATCCTTTCACACCATGGCCGCCAATTGCCCTATCACAGGCTGCTTGACTATGGAAACCCCCAATGTCAATCTGCGTATCCTAGATACCAGGTTGTCGCAAGTCAATACCCGATTCACGAAGGGTCATGTCAGGCTTCCCATCGATTTTACGACTCGACCAGGGAGTTCATGAAATGCACAAGCTTTTCTGCCCCTCCTTCACCGATGAATTCTTCAATCCGTATAGGACGGAGGGTAGAGATAGCATCAGACCACGAGGCATGTCACCCAAAACGATGTCTGGTCATGCGACACATATGGTAGCCTGCACAATGACGTGCCTCCTGCAGGCATGATTTGCCGGTTCCGTCTGCGAATCATAGCAAACCCCAGTGGTGAGCAAGAACCTATAGCGTCGATAGGACTGCCACCTACGGAGTATCTAGCAAGGCTAGGTAGTATAGGGCACTTTAGGAATCAGAAAGTAAGCGATGAAGAAGGCGTCCAAGAGGTAGCCAAGGAGTTGAATCGAGCACGCTCGTAGTGCTTGTTTGTCAGCTTGGACATCTTTGAATCCAGAATAAAGGCTGTCATGTCGCCTTTTCGCGCCATCTTGCGAAATATGAGCCGCACTCAATAATGCTGAACTGTAGTCCGTCTGCTCGAATTGGCGCAAGCCCATCGCGCGATCATTTCCCTTGCGAAGAAAATTTGACAGTTTGATAGTGGATATCTTGTTGATCCACGACTACGGAATTACTTTTCGTGCTGGGCCCATTTAGTATGCGCCGTCGATCTCTTTTATTCGCCGTGTACCCTCTGGATTGGTCCCCCTTCAAATTTCGAGATTGTCCCTGTGTGCCTTGAAAATTGAGAAGAGCGCAACGGAGACAGACGAACAGTTGAAGCTGTTTCAAGTAGTAACTTGTGAGGCCTTGATTGGCAATTCGACTCGACCCTGCTTCGAACTTGTTGGACAATCTGATTTCGTTTGAGAGTCTCCATGGCATGGGGAAGATTGGGTTTCTGGTTCTTCTTACCCATTCACGGCCCATTCGAAGTGTTGTTCCAAGTTCCAACAGCCTGCAGATTCTTCGAAACAAGTTCAAGCTGAGACCGTGGCGTAAATCGCTTGCAAGAAAGCACGGGCCTTAGGACGCTATACTATGGTACTACGGCCTAGGTCGTGGGGAATGAATAAGGGCACTCTGATCAAATTTTCGAGCATGGGTGGCAGTGGGAGACCACCGCTTCTGTGGCTTTCTGAAGGAGGGGCAGAGATAGTGTAATAGCTGATCCTTTGGCCTGCAAAGCAGGGTGCAAAGCAGGAGGGGTTGATCTTCACCTGGTTTACGAGTAGGACAATCACTTCTCAATCAAGCGCAACACAAGACTGTATGCTACTCGTACCAGGGAACAGGCCAAGCCCAGTGGAAAAGGACCCGTCAAGCAAGTCATGTTCCTGGCGGAGAATTGAATATTCCACATATTCCTCCACTTGGCGCCATGTCGAGGAAACTCCCGAGCTGTCAGACATGTGATAAAATCTGTTCTCGTTCAAGGGCAAGAAAACGGGCTCGAGGTTCATCATCCTTCTCGCGTTGCGACACTAGAAGTACGTACTAATAACTCATCATCTGGCGTATCTTGAAGATTATGCTCAAGTGAGAGCCCAACCCTCGACTTTTGGATTACCTTTCCAACGCCCTGCTTGCTTTATCGACCAGACAAGGTAGCAGTTGATCCACCCTTGATTCATGCGTTATATACATCAGCTTCAGAAACGGGTATTCAAGACTTGCAGAAGGTACCAACAACAGCCCTGACTGCCATTTTCTCTATCCCGCTGTGGTCAAAATGTAGGATGTAATCGCGTCCATCCTCTCTTTCGTGAGCTTGAGGCTGATTACGAGTAATTCTTGTGCGACGTCTGGATGCTGTGCTTGCATTTCATTCCACCGCCTTTCGTCTAACAACCACGTAACACAGTCTTTCTCCGCCACCGTCGTTGCTGTGCGTGTTGTTTGCGAGAAGAATGGTAATTCACCACAAGGTCGGCCGGCTACAATCAATTCAGAGAACTTCCCTTGTGGCAAATCGTAGTCCGCCCGTAGCAAGCCTTCCTCAAGCATGTAAAAAGCGTCGGCCTCGTCACCAACACGGAAAAGAACCGAGCCTTTGGAGTAGGACACCCTCTCAAAATAGCCCATTGCACGGTACCAGAAATCTTCGTTCTTGTCGGAAACATCTGCAAAGATCTGGAGTAAGAGAGGGAGTGGCTGCTTGAAAGATTGCCACTTGGGCACGCTCGACGTATCTTCGTCAAGGGTGTTCTGTGCAACTTGATGAAGGTGATTTCGGCGAGGAGAGCTGCCCATGAACTCGGCCTTGTAAGACTGCGAGAGTTCTTGGCTTGCTCGATTTCGAGGTACATCAAGGTGTGATGCCGCACGTTTCGTCCGTCGATGCTCCTGTTGACGGTACAGTGCTGTTAACAGTTCGTTTTCGCAGTGCACGAGCGCATCATTGAGATCTGCAAAAATCTCCACTTCTGAATCTTCTGCGAACAACCCGACATTTTGAAGGGCTCGTCCAACCTCACCCTCAACGTCCAAGCCACTTATAATCAACATCACGTCGCGCTTCTGCAACAACCGGTTGATGCGTGTAAAAGCTTCGGCAGCCGAGAAGTCAATGCCGTTGATGTGTCCCATGTCCAGGATAAGGAACCGTAGAGGTCGATCCCTAAACGCGTCGTCTGCGAGAAGTGCCCGAATACGATTTTCCACCCCCACAATGGTGCCGAAGAACAAAAAGCCGGCCAACTTGATGAGAAAGATCTGCTGGCCCGTCTCTTTCAAGAATCTCAGCTGAACAGGAGGTCTTCTGACCAGAGACTTAGCGACTTGGCCGGAGTAAGTTGCCCTGATCGCAGTCCTTCGTGATGTTTGGACCACGAAACTGACAGCAGCAAGGACAATGCCGACCAGAATACCAATCACGAAGTCCCAGACACCCATAGTGACAACAATGATTACAATCGTGGCGTACTCCAGCTTGTGTACCTTGCCCCAGGTTCCGACAAGGGCCTCCTCGAGTAGTTCAATGCCCAAAAGGAAAATCAAGGCTCCAACGACCATGATAGGAATGTAGCCAATGACGATTGGTCCTGCCAACAGAATGCCAAAGGTGCCAGCCGCCAGCATCAGGCCGGCAAGACGGTCACTACCTCCACTGTCCATGAACAGCAAGCTGTTGGTGTAGACCAGATAGTTTTGAACACTGCCAAACAGACCACTCAGACAATTCGAGACGCCGTGTGCAATAAGCTCCCTGTCGACGTTGAGGTTGTCTTCACCTGTAGAAATACCCAATGCCGGGACATTGATGGGTACATGCAGAATCCCGAAGAAAGTCAGGGCGAACATGGCGGGGATGGTGTCTGCAAGCGCACCCCAGTGAACAGCTTTGAAGTCGTAGAGTGTGTAGAAGTGATACCACGGGTTTCCAGCAGGCGGCGGGTCAAACACCCAACCCTTCGAATGTAACGTTCCCATAGAAATTCCCAAGGCAAATTTGAAAAAGTAGAACAGCGCAGCCACCGACAGGAAATAACCACCCACCAAAAGATTAGATTTCACGAAACGTTGTACAACGAGGAGAATGATGGCAAGTGACAATGGAATGACCCATAGTAGAATGGTATCGGCTCGCACCAGCTGTTTGAGGGTGTCAAGGCTATACTCGAGGTTTCCCGGAAGCCGAGCAGAGACTTCGACTCCAGTTGCAACGAGGAACCAGCCGACACCACCGATGCAGCCTATGAGGATATGTCGCGGGAAGAACCCAATCAGAGATCCCAGCCTGCAGGCTCCCATAAGGAAGAAGACAGCACCCGTAAGAATAGCACTGATGGAGAAGGATAGTATGGTAGTGGCCAGGACGGATTTGGTGTTATCCTCGCCGACTTTGTTTAAGATCGTGAAAGCCATCTTGTGGAAGAACGGGACCACCTCGATCATTTCTGATCCAATGCCTCCTCGAAACACCGATCCACCCGAAGAGTAAACCACCTGGGATATGATTGTACTGACATAAAACATGGCGATGCCATCAGAGCCCAGATTGTCGAAGATCGCGTTGCCCAGGGGAAACAAAATCATGCCGTACGATAGGGCATCAAGGATGTTCAGGAGTAGACCAAGGAAGACAGCTGGAAAGAGACTGACAGGGTGGACGACAACCTCTCGATAGATTGTGCGTGGATTCCACGTCTTCGGATGGGACAGGACATAACAGCATGACCTTGCTCGCCCAACGGAGGCTCTCCATGTCTGTCTTAGACCCCCTCTGTGCGATATCTGTCCCTCGACATCACCTAGCTGCCCATACTGCCCCGAGCTCTTACGGTCTCCCAGGAGAGCAGTTTGCTCATCTGGCACCGAGGATTTGGCCATGCTTGAAGATGTGGGACGTTCACTGCTGATCCTTTGTATGCCATTCGACTGTGGTACCTCCTCTTGCTCAGTATAATTTTGTATCATCAAGGACAGCCCAGACTGCACAGTGTCATCAATAGCCTCTTCCTCAGAGCCTTGGGGTGATACAGGTTCGGAGACTTCCTCGATGGCGTCCGGATAACCATCGTCAGACGTGGGTGAGGCACTGCGCGGAGAGCTGCCTAGGTGCGAGACATTGTCGGAGACAGCAATCGCAGCCAGTTCGGCCGTCTGGTCCCGTAGATCGGCAGAAGAGGAGTATTGGGCAGGATCTAGCTTTTCGTGAAAGGATCGGTGGTAGAAGGATCTGGCGGGAGTTCTGGCGGAAGGTTGACTAGAAGTAGAGCTTGCTCGCGCCCGCCGTGTGGTGTGAGGTCGATCCGATATCGCGAGAGGGTTGCTCTCCTCTGTGCTTCGGTCACTGTGAGACGTCCTCGAGGGAGAGGCTGGCATAGGAGCCGGCCGAGCTTTTGAGAAATTCGAGCTATGGCGGGCAAGTTGCTTCCCTTGACCAGCTGTCGACATCTTCCGAGTTCATGAGCTTATCAAACACTCCGCAGGCGCATATAAGACCAGATCCAGCTCTTTCACCGGGCGGAGACGGGATGGTTTACTGGTGGGCCATCCCGATCACGAGTGACGCGAGCGGAGCAGAAAATGAGGAAATCGTCAGGGCCGCCGATAAGGCTTCGAGAATGGTGAGGAGAGGCCGACCGTGGTAGGATCACGCGGTTTTCTCACGACGCAGCAGTTACGGGCTGTTCCCTGTCCATGCAGACGAGCACGAGCTTCCTCCCAACTCGTGGCGAAAGGAATGTTTTGCCTCGCCGCAGTTATGGAGCCGTTGCGGAGGAAATTTTTGCGTGAGGAGAAAGTATAGGTAACGTTAGATGCATGTGGTGGGATGATGATAAGAGATGAAGCGAGGGTGGATCAAGAATGCAGTACTCCGTAGACCAGCAGTCTATCGCCCCGCCCGTTACGAGTACACGAGGTCTCTAAGCAAAATTCGAACGTGCTGGTGACCTGAGAAGTCTGTATCTGGCTGATCTGGAAGTGTCGCAACGTCAAAAGCAAGCCATGCTTGTGCCTTATGCACAATTGATTGGAGAGAAGTGAGAGACCAAATTTGCTAGTGCTCAAAAGACCTACGCGTTGGGTGGCAGGATCGTCGAGGCTGCAGAAAGTGGATGTCCCCGCCTTTTACGAGTACAATCCTGGTCCTCAAATTCTGTTCCACCTGATCCCTCTAGCGGCACGGCCTCTACTCGTACGACGCGATGCACTCGAATGCGCGCTATCATACAAACAGTGGAACAGCCTATAGCTCGCATCACCGGGTGAGAAACGCCGGAGCAATCAGCGATAGTCCTTGAGAACGAGACTACCCACGAGACATCCTTGACTGCACCTGTACCAGTCGCTGAGATGTATGAACAATGGGGAGCGACGCGCAGTTAATGCTTCAACCCTTCCAGCCAAACCACCAACCTCTTCTTGATAATCACACCGACTAGCCTCCCAGTGTTTTCTTCGGTGACACACAGATGCCTCAGTCCCAGCTTGCCAAACATCTCCACTGCATACTCCATTGGGGCTCTAGCGTTGATCGTCAACGGCGTCCGATCCACAAAATGGGCCATATCTAGCTCTTGTTCATGCGCGAACACACCTGCGCCAGCAGCAACGGGCAATAGACGCACTAGACAGCCCTCTGAGAACGTCTGAGCAAGAGTTTCGAGCCCAAATTCCAGTTCTCCCTCGGCCAGATAACCTTGTAGCATACCTTTCTGAACAAGAACAAGACCGGCGTCCATGAGTCCTCGACGTCTTAACTGCAGCAACTTCTCGTTCATTAACGCACGAGGGACAACGCCGCTCTCAGGGACATCGACGGTGATCTCCCGCATTGTTTGTTGTGGAGGTATCAACTCCTCAACCAGGTGAGCGTCTTTCTGGACCAACTTCATGGCATGGTCGAGATCGAGGAATGGATGGCCCAGCACTGTCTGCGCGAGGTCATAGACGCCTTCACGCTCTAGTGCGTCTGCGGTCCATTTAGCAACCATAATACCAATCATATTAGGAAGGATGAACTCTAGCTCTCCGGTCAATTCGAACATGATGACGGCGAGTGATATCGTCATGCGACTAACGCCAGCCAAAAAAGCTCCAGCGCCAACCATTGCAAAGATGCCGGGCGAAATTGACTCTGCCAGGAAGGGTACCTGGCCTATCAATCTTCCAAAGAACGCTCCTCCATCGAGCGCAGGAATGATGATCCCAGACGGCACCTTAATACCGAATGTTATTATGGTCAGAACGAGCTTGACCATAGTGCCGTACACAAGCCAGCCTAAATACCTGGGTGTAGGCGACGCTTGTCCTTCTTGGACGCAGACATAGTCCGTTCGTGAGCCATCGGAGCAATCAACCAAGAGGTTTTTGATGATGATATCGCCTGGCTCTCTTGTCAGGGGGTTGGGATATTGTAGCAAGGCCGTTGCGACAACAACCAAGGCAACCTCCAATACCGGATAGCTCTTGATGATGTTGTACTTGCGGAAGCCACGTGACCAGAGAAAGTTGGCCTTGCAGAATGCGCCACCAAACACGCCGCCAGCCACACCTAGCAGGACAAAGACTGGATAGTGGTAAGGCTGATATGTGGTGCCGTAGCTGGTCTCAAAAAGGACCAGTCTGCCAGTGCCGGTTGGGTTGAGAGCTTTGAGAGTCATGGCTGCGAACAGTGAGCAGATGAACGCACGCCAGAGAACCTTCCGCGGGAAATATGTGGAAATTTCTTCGTATGCAAAGAGTACCCCACCGATAGGAGCCCCAAATGCAACTGACAAGCCACTAGCGCACCCAGCGGCAAGTATCTCGCGGAGTTTGCGGCCATTTTCTCGATACTTGGGGAAGCGGACTCCAACGAGATATGCCACACACGTAGAAATGTGCACGAAAGGGCCTTCCTTTCCCAAGCACATACCGGTGGATACCGCGAACACGGACCCGACAGCCTTGACGATCAGGACGTTCAGGTCAAGGAAGTGTGGGATCACAAATCCAGACAGAATGGTCTTGATCTCTGGTATGCCGCTTCCAGCGGCCATATACATGGACTTCCCAGATGGTGCAGTCTTCGCAGCAGTATCATTGCTCTCATCGACGCTCTTTGGAACTGGTCCTTTGTCACCGGAGCCCGGTGCAGTTGCTGGTAGAGCTCTTTTCGTCGTGAGAGTGACTGTGCCACTAATGATACCGAAGAGCAACGCGAAGGCCAAGTAAATTGCAAATCCGGACCAGTAGTTGTCCGTCCAGTATATCCAGTCCGAGCATGTTTCTCCGGGGTCCGACAGTGTGTCCAATGGTGATCGAGGAGTACAGCAATTTTCCTTGCTCGCAAACGGATTCGACCTGCAGTGCCCCGTCTTCCAGTCGCTGATCGTGGCGACAGCGACGTCGACGAGGAAAGCCACACATGCGGTCAGCGTGCCTATGAGGGCGGCAGCAATCCATCCTTCGCACGAGTCAAACGCGGAGACGAGGACATGCCGGAGCCCTTTCTTGCTGTGTACGGACCGATGGCGGTAGGAGTCTTTGACCTTCACCTTGTTAGAGTGATTTCTTGCCTTAGCGCAGAACGACTTACGAGGTCATGCAACCAGTCAATGGTAGTATAGTCATTGTAGGGAAGACGCTCCCCAACCGCCGTCTCACCAAGAGCTTGCTCTTCCTTGCTCACATGAGAAGAAACAACGGATGCGGCCTCTACATCACGGGCGACAGAGCCTAGTCTACTACCACGGTGTAGCAGATGCGTCCTCTCGTCGGCATGTTCATCGTCAGCGGCCATGACTGGCAACAGAGCAGTACTGAAGCTGCGTAGTGGGAAGGAATTATGAGACAGCCATTTGACCAGTGGTTCAGAAAGCCTTCAGAAGGGCTATGGCGTCACGAACAAGGCGACTCGAAGTGAATGCTGCATCTCCGGGGAACTTTTTAGCCTGCCACGCCTGTTAAGTGCCATTGGAAGTGCAGATGAACGAGAGAGATAAGCAGAAACGTCAAAAATGAGCGACTGGGACGACGCTTGGAAGGGAGATAACAGCCAGCTCGCCGGATCCAGCACCAAACATCGTCCTTATCTACCATGGAGTAGTGAGGTACTCCGTAGCTCGCGCTGATAAGACAAAGTGTAGTATTAGCGTCGGGATACTTGCCTAGTCTAGTACTCCTCGCTCTATCCACTCAGTTACGAGTGACTACATATAGCGGCCAGACTTTTCCTCTTAGATTAGTTAGTTAATCAATCTCTTCCGCCGCTACAACCACACTTCCACTGGCTGCATCTCACGTGAATGAGGGTTTAGCCGCATCCAGACCTCTTCCATTTCGGCAGAAACATAGTTGTAGAGCATAGCCCTGGAGCCTTTGGGGAAAGCTGCCTTGGCTATGGAGTTTCAGTATTCACGCCAATTCTCTTTCGAAACAAAAAGCTCGCACAGCCTCGCGAACCAAAGGGTGAGCACGTGTGAAGTCCTGCTGCTACTTAATATTCGTAGAGATAATTGAAAGTGTACTGGACAACTCCAGTAACCAGTGTGCTTTGGGTTGGTTTCGTTCCTTGTCTGACTGAATATACTTGTTCAGCCTTGCACACTGTCCTTGATAGCGCAGCACGAATCATATCGTGTGGACGCCATCAGGCATCTTTGAGCGTTCCACGCTGCGCCAGCCCCGGCTACTGCACAAGCTGCTCGTTCAGCTCAATCGTCCAGAGCCTATTCTGACCAAGGATAACAAGGGTTTTGCCCGCTAGCTCGAATTGTACAATGGCTGTCTTGACGGGGTCGCGTGTGAAGAAGTGCGCATTGAAGATTCCCAGTACTCTTCCCTCAGCGCTTCGTACTACCACGCCCTCACCCTCTGCTGTCCACACCCGACCACGGTCGTCAAGCCTAATGCCGTCTGGGGCCTGCATTCGAGCCACGGAGAAGATGCGCTTGCGAACGGGCCACATATCCTCGTCGAGGTCGTAGCGATATACTGCCGGAGCTCCAAGCTTAGCAGGTAAACCCCAGATGCGACTACGCTCCTCTCCACCAAAGTCTGTGACCCATAGACTGCGGTGATCGCGGGACGGGCGTACACCATTAGCAACCGGAAACTCGGTGCGGCTAGTTGCTGGAAGCAGGAGCTTTTGGCGCGGATCCCATCGCCAAAGACCTTGAGGAACAGTAATATTATTGTTCGACACAGGGTGTGGAAAAGGAAGTACTGTGATGAACATGTAGGACTCGTTGGTCCCAGCTTTGGTGACCCAACATAGATCGTCAATGGTATCGAACTTGAGACCAAAGTAGGAGTTGAGGACGGTTTCGACATGACCCGTGTTAGGCTCAACAGATACGACTCCGCCAGGCCAGCCTCTTGAATCGTCCCGCACACATGTGAAGTAGACGAGTCCATCGTGGAAATAGCCGCCGTTGGGATTCTCCAGAGGCTGCGACGGTTGCAGCTTGCGCACGGTTCGTGAAGGGAGATCAAGAATCTCGACATGGGTGGGACCATCGACAATCCATGTCGTGTACCAGACTTCGTTACGCTCGCGGATCCAGACGCCTGCCTCACCTGCGAAGTTTTCCTCGCGCTCGTCAATCAGTTCAATTTTTGGGCTCGAGCCAAGCAAGGAGAGGAAGTGGTCGTCGAATGAGATGAAAGGTTTGTCCCGAGCTGAGGAAAGAATATCATTGATGGTGCTGTCGGCAGTTTTTGTGCCGTCCACAAAAGAAGAGAAGATGTCCCCGTCGAACCGATTCGGGAGCAGGTACGTCAATTCAGGGTCGATTGAGGCTATCAACCCCGCAGCTGTGCCTGGAACCACCCGCGGGAGGGTAGAAGACGCAGTCGTGTGTTCCATGATCACGCCACGCCGGTTGTCGAGGCTGAGACAGCAACCGTGTCTGGCGTGGGATGCTTTGACTAGAACCCCGGCTCACCTATCTTAGAACATGGCACGAAAGGATGGTGTGTGCTCAGGGGTACGTGGGTATATAGCATCTCTAGGCTGTGAGATCGTCGAAACAGACCAAAATAGTGCAGAGGTAGATTGAGTGTTTCTCTTGTCGATCGGCGGCGAAGATAAAGTCCATGTCGGGGAGCCTCCCAAGAAGGCTTGGCCAAGACAGAATATTATGAGAAATGTGATTGGGTATGCGCAGAAGTAGCGCCTGTTGCTTTTTGGACCTCGGACAAAGGGAAGAGGCCAGCGAGTGCAGAAAGTATGTGTCAAAGCCCAACTCCTGAGTATACAGTTGCATGTCATTGCAATTCTTTACTGATCTAGCAACCTGTCAAAGCCCAGACCATGTCCAGGTCTTGGGCACGATCAATTCTCCCATAAGCCTGATGTCCTGGCTGCTGGACCCAATCAGAACAATATGTGCCTTGCTCGCATACCCACGTCTTTAGCACCTGGTCCCAGAAAGTGATTGCGTCCTTGTCGAGGGGTACAGACTTTCGCAAGGGCCGTCGCTCTGGCGTATTGAGGGAACTCCATGCCGCGGCAGCGGTGTAGTATGCCAGAAATCGAGCCCTGGAGCTAAACGTTTAGCGGTTAGAAATTCCCGTGATGAGACAGCTGTGATATTACCGGCTAAGAGCGAGACCTTCTCAGCTAAAGAAGCATTGGCGATAACATCCTCAACTTTAAAGTCAGCCGTTGTTCGTTCCAGTGGTTCGAAGATCATTCTGTCAGGCGCATTTGAAATGTTTCAAATGCAATGCGATTTATCTGGTGCCGAGCCGCGATTTCACTGAGATAGTAGTACCAGCCACGTTCAGTGGCACCAGCCGAGGAGTGACCATCAAGGGGCTGCTGCGAGGAGCCACGGGGAAATCGTATGGTAGGCCGATACTGTCAAACACCCCTGGCACGTCAAGCTGGAGCCGTATCTCGCACAGGGACTTCCATATTGTAATGTAAAGTACTTGCATAACACTTGCAGCCCCAGAATTCTCACTGAGTGATGGTTCCTTAGCGGTTCCCTGGTCAAGCAACGTGATACCATACCAAGCAGATCCGGCTAGATTGAAGTACTGCCACTCCCTGATCGGGTCCATCTCCTGCATATACCAGATACCTGCCAGACAAAGGCATTGCACAGCCTGTACCGTGGGCTGCCCTACAGTCAAGCCTAGTCTCTTTACAGAAAGGCTCCAGAACTGAGCGGAAAGATCTGGCTCAGATCCGAATGCACCCGGAGTGGACGAACTCAGCATAGGTGGTGCTCCGGGTATTGGATAGTTCTCGGGTGACATATGTTGGTCCTGATACTGTTGAGTTATGGCTCCAATGGCACACACTAAGGTCACCAAACACGTCTGTGTCGACCAATCCAGGCCATTCTCCGCCAAGTACAGCACCGTCTGATGCAGCTCCGCCAGATCCAGAAAAGGGTTCTTGTAGTGAACACCCTCGATGTACTTTGCCTCTAGACGGCACAGCTCCTCACTCCGTGTATCTGGTAAATTGGTCGAGGGCGGGCCCGGAGGGTGCTTTGTAGCGAATAAACAACCTGGACTGCCAATATACGATAGGGTGCTCCATGTCAATAGGGATTCCAGGCCTTGAGGCTGAAAGGGAGGCTGTACTCGCTTGCTGAAAGCCCGACTCCGTTGACGCTGTCGAAATCGGAGTACGGTGCTGCCGCCTCAGGGGTCCAGGTTGCACCGGTCGAAGCACCAACAACACCCGAACCATTTATCGACATAAAACTCGAGTGACAATGGTGATCTTGATGCCGGATCAAAGCAGACAATTCGCCAATAGCATCCAGAATCTGGCCGCCAACCATTGAGCACCTGGTAGGGAATAGTGTCAGTACATGACAGAGCTCAGAACGTCCCTGAGCGGCAATGTTCTTACGATGTCGAAGGCGTACTCTCCGAGTAAACGCAATCAACGCCATGCTTGGCGCAGTAGCCGCAGCGCGGACGGCCACCATCGCATCTGGTCTTGCGCGCCCGGCATTTCTCGCAAGCTGTAAAGCCCCGTGATCTTGCCTAGGGCGCTGAGTTTTGGTCCCTGGCTTGCAATGTTGGTCGTTTCCATTTGGAACTCTCGCCAAGCAGCGGACTGTTCCCGGCATCTTCGGTGGGCTCGTACGGCATGAGAGTCCGACAACCGTAGAAGGACAGGCCGTGGAGACTGGACAATCAAGTAAGGCAGAGGAGCAGGAATCAGTAAAGTGTCGGGCAGCGGGGAGCACGCCGATGGCATTATTTATTCTGGAGACCAATACCGGGTAATGTCAAGCCTGAGCTCCAGCCCTCACGTGCGGTTCAGCACCTCAGCAGTTTGAAAAGGCGCAAGCAGCGACGTCTAATGCTCCCAGACCCCCAAGCCCGCCCTCGGGAGGTTCGCGAAATGGCCACAAGAAGAAATGCGCTCTTAGACGGTTATCAAACTTTCTCTGCACCATTGGTTTCCGGTGACGGAAGCATGTAAGATGCTTGCAGACGCACAAGACCTGTATATAAGCTCTCGCACTCAAAGATATCACTTGCAAAGAATATCTCCATCACCACTGAAAGTTTGCAACAATGTTCAAATTGTTCAAACGAACCAAAGCCTCTGCTGAAGATGCGGTGGGACCAGAACTGGCCAAAAAGTGCTTCCGGCAGATCAGAAGCCTTGGTAACACACCAAACACCTTCTGCTTTTCAATTTCACATCTCTGGTACCACTCTGCAGCTCTGCTGGTGTCGGCAAAAGCCCCGACATGTTCCCAGTCGTGGCAAAGCTGATGACTTCAGGAGCTCTAATGATGAATGGTTTACAGTCGCTACGCTTTGACAAGCTACTTGATCAAGACACGGGAGGAGCAAGCTGGCCATGCAGTGCTTGCTTTCGTGTTCATCTCCTTTTCCTTTTACGATATCGCCTGGACACCCTTTCCGATCACCTACACCGTTGAGATCTTTCCGTATACCACCTGCAGCAAGGGATTGACGACAGCGCTCGTCTCGAGCTATACTGATTGATAATTGCCCAGTGATCAACTCGATCGCTCTGCGAGTTGTTGGATTGAAGTATTATTTATTTTCTGCTGCATTCTGGCTGGCCTCTTCACGACCATCTATCGTTGCTGGCTGCCGTGGCGTACGGCACACTCTATCTACTCTTTACGACGGTGACGCAGGTTTTCAGCACGCGGTACGGCATTGTGAAGGACGTCGGACTTGTGTATCTAGGCTTTGGTGTGGGCCAGTTTGCAGGGCTGTTCCTCTTTGGCAGCTTTTCTGACTAGGTGTTGAAGCGTCGCGCCAAAGATGGGGAAATGAAGCCAGAATATCGCTTACCACTAATGCTTCCAGGCAGTGCCATGGTCCCTGTCGGTCTATTGCTGTACGGCTGGACGGCGCAATCCCAGGTGTTTTGGTTTGTTCCACTTATCGGCACTTTTCTGATCGGTTTCGGCGTGATCAACGTCTTCACACCGGTAGGCACGTACCTCGTGGACGCATTTTCCGACTACGCCGCCAGTGTAACCGCGGCGAACACGGGGTTTCGCAGTATTGGCGGAGCCTTACTGCCTATGGCCGGGCCAAAACTCTACGACGCGCTAGATCAGGGCTGGGGAAATACAATTCTAGCAGCCATAAGCTTGGGATTGATGGGCATGATCGTGCTAGCTGTCAAGTATGGCGAGACACTACGGACGCATCCCAGATATCAGCTGAAACTGTAAAACGCCATCACATGCGGTCTAGTTTCTCAACTTTATTAATAACTCCTTCATCTGTCTTATGCTCGCGATCTCTAATGATATCGTGAAGTACGTTATTCGCCCCTTTGAAATGCTGTAGGACATAGCGCCGAGAACGACTCTCAAGATCTACAGGCCAGAGAGGTTTGGGCATCTCGAGACTTCAATGAGGGCCGTAGTTGTCGTTGGCGTTGTCGCCAAGAGGATACAGTAGATTCGTGCTTACATACTTCGTATACTTTCTGGAGGAGTTTGGAGAAATGGAAAAGTAGAAAGGCAGGGGGATGAGGTGGGAAAGAAAAGGGCAATTTTCTCCGAGCCGATCACCGCCAGACCTGGCATATTGCGTGAACAGGGTCTATAACAATATAATAATAATCTCATCCTCCTGCACACTTCACCCTCAACCTGTCCCACTAAAACTAGAAACTCTCCCCATCTTCACTTTATATTTCTGACCAGTCATTGTATCTCTTATCTCAATCGAATTAAGCTATATGATTGTGGGCCTTTTTCATTGAGCGAAGATGTCGCACGAGGTTGTTGTTCTCATTACGGGGGCGAACAGAGGTCAGTTCCCTTCCTTGCGTTGCAGTGTTCGTAGATAATGACTTCAACTCCAAGGAATTGGAAACGCTCTTGTGTCCAAGTACCTAGCGAGACCAAAACATATTGTAGTCGCCGGCCTCCGTGACCCAGACAGCGCTTCGTCAAGAAATATCCGGACATTACCGCATGGTATGGAAAGTCAAGTAATACTGGTCAAGCTGGACAGCACCTCGGAGACGGATGCGAGAGCGGCTGTAGAGACACTGACATCCAAACACAGCCTAACAAAGCTCGACATTGTCATTGCAAATGCCGGTGTTTCAAAGTACTTTGGAAAGGCCCTAGTGACACCGGCAAAGGAAATGTCCGATCACTTCGTCGTCAACACTATCGCGCCGTTACTGTTATTTCAGGCTACCGATACTCTTCTCAAGGCAGCACCAGCGCCGAGATTCGTGGTCGTCTCATCCGGTGCAGGGAGTCTTAGCCAGGTGGTGAAGCTTCCGGTGGAGAATACCGCTTACGGCGCGTCTAAAGCCGCTGTCAATTTTGTCAGCTGTAGGATTCACTATGAAAACCCATATCTGACTGCATTTGCCCTCAACCCGGGCTGGCTCCAAACGGAGGTCAGTCAATGTATTCCTTTTCTGAAAGGGTCTGGAAAGGCTGACCGTTCACTGTAGTTAGGAAATCATGCTGCAAGGGGAGCAGGGATGGCGGCTGCACCTGTATTTGTGGAAGATGGGGTAAACGGGATGATCGAGCAAATCGACAAGGCGACGAGAGAAGGATCATCTGGGAAATTCTTGTCATTCAATGGCGAAGAAATCCCTTGGTAAATATGACTAATTGTAGACGCGCCACCTGCCGGACGGCGGAGGAACGAAACACGAGTCACTACACGGACACGGGAGACAAGAATGGCCGTGTAGGCTCGTCGTCGCTTGTACGTATGAGATATCTCTTTATTTTCTGGAACTGGTGCTCAAGTGTCCCGAACTCGGTCCCCTAGTCGTCCACTTCTCTTGACCTAGGCCCATGTCGAGTCAGCAACACTGATTGTCCTGAAGTGGCAAAACAATGCCCCCATCATGTACGCACTGAAATAATCAGTGAAGAGGCGAGAGAATAGGTGCGTTGTCATAATGTAACGATCAAGAGATGCCCGCGCATCGAGACCATAAGGCATATCAACATACGATTCTGAACAGCGGCTTCGCCTAGAAATCCGACGACGAATCAGGTTGTCACCGTGTCCGACTGACACCGAACTCACTCCGTCGAACAAACGCTCACATCATGTGAAATCAAGTCGCCCCTTTATACGGTCATCGTCCCCGACAATAAAACTGTAGTTGCAGTAGGCAGCTATTTATGAGAAGAGGGGTTTCCCAAAGGGGAAGGTGGCCCGAGTCCCCCTGCCAGATATAATAGTGTCGATGTGGATAAGCTCGGTAGCTTCCACAGCATGATCTAAACCTGTTCCTCGGACAATCACGACCAAAATGACCGCCTCCACAGAGTACACACGAAATTGCAGGCATGATCAATCGCAGGTGAAAAATTGTTAGCATTCTCACTGTTCGCTTTTCAATCCTCGGGGACGTGTTCTCGTATGTCCTATACTCTGCACTTCGGCCGCTTTCAAGACAAGACGCTGGCCATGTCGAAGGAGTTCTCGGCTTTGCAACCCTCTGCTGCAACGGTTGCTTTACAATGCCCCGTCTGCCAATCACCCAAACGAACTCTCCCACCAGGTGACTAGTGTCCTCAGCACTCACATAGTCCCTCCTTGGACCAGAATTTGGATGATCGCTTTGACGGGATGTTCACCACCCCTAGCAGCTCCTGGCCAATGCTGTCAATAATTATGAGTTGTTCTGCAATCGTCTGCGGCCAGACCATGGTTTCAGAACGTCACGACCTCTTTCACATCTCCAACTTGGGCGACAAGCAGGCCGTGATTAGGTGCCCCTTTCATTGAAGCAGCGGCAAAAAATCAAAGATGAAGTATGCCTCGTTCAGCAAGTGTAGCATGCCGCTATATTCAAGTTGCCACGCCGTTCCAACAGCTACTTTTCACCCTGTACCATCTAGATCTTCCCCTACATATGGCGCCACACAATATACAAGTTTTTACAAGGAGTGAAAGTGAAGAGCGACTTCATCAATCCTCTCGGACGCCGCAGAAAGGAGAGAGATTATGAACGTATAGGGAACCTGGTGGCTTGGTCCCCAGCTTGCTTGATTGCCGGCATTCCGTACATCGTTTCTCGAGGTTTGGTTTTCCAGGCTCATCATTAACAGTCAAAGCGGTAGAGTTTGCCTACTTATCGACCAGCTTTGAGTGTTCCGTGGCAGAGTTGTTTGGGTTGCTCCGTCGGGAAGATGATCCACGGTTGCCTTGAGTCGATGGCGTTTTCGAATCACCACTGCCGCCTCTCGCAGACTCTTCAGCTAGCGCTGGAGGTGTTTGGGAATTCTGGTATCATCTGTTGGAAATCCTAACTTCTCGAGCATCTCGGGCTCAATTTTGTGCATGAAATCCGCGTAGCCGCTTGTCGATGGTGTTTCGTCGAAGTTCATGGGCCGGATCTCTGCTGTAGCAATGAGGTCTTCAAGACTTTTAGTGGGCTGGAGTTGGGTGACGCCTTCCTTTTATTGGAATTATGGCTGGCATCTTTTTGAGGTTCTTGTGAAGTGCCATTTTGGGAGTTGGAAGCTCTGTTGGACATGACGACAACACACAAGGCCGGAAGAGGAAGCAAAGTGCCGTTACAAAATGTGCCACCGCACGATTGCTGAGTATATACTGAAGACTCAAAGAAACAGAAGGAAACAAACTTCAATAGAGTTCGAAAGTCAAGCAGAACGGGGAAAAGAAGAAGTCTTTAGGCCAGAAGACTTATCGGCCACCCGAAACACAATACTGGTCTTCTTCGATGAAGATAGTGGACATCTCAGACTAATTGAAACCGACCAACGAGGCCCTGGTCGTCGACTCTGGAGGCTGCATCGTGCTCACATATGCCGATCGTGTGTTCGATCTGCAGATTCATGTCCAATTTGGACTTGATGGCCACTGTACAGACGACATCGAGAAGACCAGACTACCTTTGAAGTTTTAAGCTTCCAATCTGATCACCACCGCTTATTCGGCTTTCTTCCTTTCACTCTTCGGCATCTATGACTCGCTGACTCCATAGCCCAAGCGTGAAACCGACCAAACACCGAGATTCGATACCAAGCGCGACCCAGTCCTCACAGTCGCACCATGTAGGTGTGTTCCACGGGACTCCGGTCATTAATGAGTCGATATTGACACAGCCCCAGAAAGACGTGCAAGATCGTTGCAATCGTCGTCGTCCGCTTCTCGGGCAAATACTGCGGCCTGACACTAGGACCCCGCCCAACAGCAGGAACATTGAAAAGATCAGGAGATGGAGACGCATTCTCATGGCGTGGTATACGGCGAATCACACAGATCTTGTCTGCTGTGCTTCAAGGTTGAACATTGATGATTATGTCGACGTCAAGGCAGATGGAAAGCGCTATTCCTGAGCTCCACAAATTTTCTTCTCGGTGTTGAGCTGGAGAGGGAGGCAGCCATCCAAGTGTGAGTATCTTTGTCAGATTACGTTAAGAGCTTATCGGAGTTAAATTCACATTGATTTCGAGGATGAGGACGCTGTGAAGTGTAGGTTGAAACAACTGGTCAACGAAATGAGGTCATGCTTGCAATTTTGGTCGCTGGATTGCAATCGCAAATCGCCTATGGTTGCCACTCGTAGCCTTCGTGCGGGGAGAGCTTTGGTCTTCGCTGTGGTTTTTCAAAATATATCTGCCGCTGCCATCCATCGCAACTGGAGTACTGCTCAGCTTCGACGCTCTTCGAATGCCTCACTTTTGACAAGCGGAAGACCCGAGCTTTTTACAACTTTCAATGTCAGCCTAGCCCTGACCTGATTTCTCCCCAGCCATCGCATGTCTCATCCAGTGAATAGTGGGGGGTTGAAACAAACACTTCATCAGATAGGCACACGCTTACAGTATGGCCTTCCAAGTCGTGCCGCATCTCCTGAGGCTTGGATGGAAGTTCTCGAACGATCAAAGCCCGTCATACCTCACTAAAAGACTCACGACACTCTATGCTCTTGCCTCGGGCTTCGCTTCTGCAAATCTCTCATACAGTCAGCCGATCTTAGACGTCCTCGCGGATGACTTCAAGGTATCGTTGGCAAAAGTAGCTAACGTGCCTACAATGGCCCAGGCGGGGAATGCCATTGGATTGTTGATGATCCTGCCGCTGGCCGACTTTTTCCCAAGGCGCCAATTCACGCTAACGTTGATTGGGCTAACGACGATATTCTGGTGAGTTACTCTTACAAATGTTCTATCCTTGTGTGGCTTATATAAACGTACGGTAGGCTCGGCGCATGCTGCTCGAACGAGTATACTCCGTTTGTAGCGTTCACTTTTTTATCTGCGCTATTCACTCCAGTCACGCAACTATTACTCCCTCTGGTCTCGGAACTGTCTACGTCACGGAATCGCGCGTTCAACTTGTCGATAATGAGTACCGGGCCAACACTCGGCATCTTTCTCGGCCGAGTCATATCTGGGATCATTGCGGACCATACATCTTGGCGAAATGTATATTGGCTCGCTCTCGGTCTCCAGTTGCTTGTACTTTTCCTGCTCATGATTTTCATGCCAGAATATGGCACTATCAATTCTATCGCCCCTTTACAGCTGGTCAAGACATATCACAACATTCTATGGTCAATCCTCACTCTCTATTACAAACATCCAGTTTTGGTCCAAGCAGGCTTACTGTCTTTCTCAACCTTTTTTGCGGTATCATCGTTCTGGACAAATGTTACATTCTTGCTTGCCGGGCCGATCTACAACTATACTTCCAGCCAGATTGGCCTCCTTGGTCTGATTGGTCTCGCAACCATGGTCGCGGCTCCGTTCTGTGGTGAATACCTCGTTCAGCCACTTGGCGAACCGCTGTATTCCGCTGCGGTAGGCAAAAGCGTCAGTCTAGTTGGTGTGATCCTAGGAACCTTCCTTGGCCTACACTCGATCGCTGGTCCTATACTTGAAGCGATTTTCCTCGACGTTGGTCTGGTAATACTGCAGATCTCGAACAGAGTCTCCCTGCATCCGCTCGAGCCACAAATGCGAAATCGGGTCAACACGGCGTTTGTGAGTATCTTATATCTTGGTCAGCTTGTTGGAACGAAGACAGGAACCGTCGTTTATTATCGGTATGGTGGTTGGATAGCATCAGGAGGACTGAGTATCGCTGTTCTCGTGCTTGGGTACGTGGTAATTGGTCTCAGAGGACCACACGCCCGTGGGTGGATAGGCTGGGGTGGTGTGTAAATGTTATGACTACCGGTCATGGCAAGTATGACTATTAATTAGGTACAGATATGGCTACTACAAAGTAGCAGAATTCACAGTCTTTTTGATCATCACCCAGTGGGGCGGGACCTGTTCCTGACAACAAGCGCTCTCGACTAAGGCCCATCATCACTTCCGCCGACCAAGATAGTGACACGCTTAAACGATCAAGGGTCGACACCTAGAAGATACCGAATACGAAGCCCATATCACAAAGATGTTGAACCACAACAGGAAGAGGCTCGTCGAGGAGTACCTCGTCGAGTCGCCGCTGACCTACACGATCCTCCAGCCCTTTCACGGACAATTCGATCGGTCAGCTGCTCGCAAAGGGACGCGGACGCGTCCGTGTATGTGGCGCCCTACGATGCCACGGTCGTGGTCTGCTTCACCACCCTGCGCGGCCACGCCGATGCTTCGGTGGAAGTCATCCGGGAACGCCACAGGCACTTCTGCGCCACGTACCAGATCCACAGCACCTGGCCGATGGACCACTTTGAGTACGTCAGGTCGGTGGGGGACGCGCTGGGAAATACCTTCGAGGCCAAGCGGGCGTGTCGTACGGGCAGGCCGCCGAGGCGCTCTGCAAGCGCTTGTTCCGGGCCCGCAGAGTCTCGCGGATGTAGACCTCCGAAATCGAGACAGCCCGAGAGCATGCCGCTCTACTACAACACGCGAGGCATCCTTGGGAGTCCCGGAGTCCTGGAGTGGTTGATTGGGAGGAAGGCGACGAGTCCGGCCAACTTAGCGAGGTTGTTGTTGTCATCGGCAGCGGAGGAAAACAGATAGTCGATCCAACAGAGGAGCAGGTTCCTGCTTCGGCTTGACTGGATGAATGAATAAATGACTGAATCAATGCGGGAGTGAGGGCATGACAGCGACGCCGTATTGGAAAGCCCCTGGAAACGGGAAGCACATTGAGAGAGAATACGAATAATCTAATGACAAAAGTAGAAAGGTGATTAGGTCTTGAGGGGCCGTGGTCTCCAAAGGCCGTCTGTGGCAAGCAATAATAAGTTTTCTCAAGTGATAGTCCAGTGTCTTCCGGCCACCTATTTTTGGCTCAGCCTTGCGGCCACTAGCTATCACTATAGGCCATCACCCACCGCAGAAGCTGCTCTCTTTCCTTTATTCAACAATCGACCCCGTACCTTGCTCTGTCTCACGCCGTCTGAGTGCTTGAACCACACGCCCTCTTCATCCCTTCAATCCCAACACCCCTCCTTTCTGGATGCTTCTCAGGTCAATAGCATGGAATTGCCTACAGCACCGATGATTTTCCTCTGTGCATCTTCTTCAGGACAATCTCTGCTTTGCACAGCTTACGTCGCAGATCCGCAATAAACTTGGGCAGCAGGCCTTCGTCCACGCCCTCGGTGTCGACCGTGATCTCCAGCAAGCGGAGAGAAGTCAGTTCCAGAAGCCCGTCTTCTACCCAGTGGGAGTTGATGTCGAAGGTATGTCTGCCGCCCCCCATGATGCAGCCGCTGATCTTCAGTCTCAGAGTGGTAAGACCCGCACTGTCAGCCTCGCAGCTCGTCCCCTGCTCCGGGCAGCCGAGCTCATTGCACAGATCAAGCCAGCGCTGCGTGTGACCGGGACTGGTGATGCTGATGGCCAGCACATCCAGGATGATGGTCCGCACGCCTCGCCGCTGCCATGGACGCAATCTCCGCAGGAACAAGTCGCAGTACAGCAGACCGGTGCCGTTCCACTGGGCGAAGTCAAAGACGTTGTGTTGGAACGGGACAAGGCGCGCCTCACGGTATATCTGGCGGTTGACAAGGAGCAGATCCACGGCCAGCTCATGGCGACGCTTCAGTTGGAAATTGTGTGGATGCTTGTCTGGTGTCATGCAACCCAGCAGGTGGATATATATCGAGAGTCGAATCTCAAAAGGCAGATGAAAGAAGTGCGATTGTTGTTGAGTTTCCTGGTTCGGCTTTGTGCCGTCATGCTCGCATTGCTGAAGGGCCAGCTGCATGCTGGCAAGATCATTCGGGCCGTTGTGCAGGGGTAGAGGCGTCGCGTTCCCGCCAGTCGGTTGGTGGTCTGCGAGGACCTCTTCCCATGGCAAATATGTCTCTTGAGGAATCATACACGATGAAGTATATCAGGTCCCTCATTCTCGTTACGAAAATTGTCTGTTCAATCAGGAGCAAATAGGCCACTTGTACTGTAGGCAGACCTCGGTGCTTTCGAAAGGTAGGATGGATATCATCCGGTCTCAGCCGCTCTATGCATATATGTGTTAGACAGGGAATGCATTGCTCTAGAACTGGCCAGTCATCTGTCGAGACGCAAGGGGACCCGTTGCTCGAGAATTGGCCAGTCATCTGTCGAGACGCACGTGACGCTCCTTTGACCAAGGGAATCGTAGATTGACCCGAGATATGCCACAGTCGTGGAGGAGCATAATAGGGTTCTAGATGGAACAATGTTAATTACTGCCTTGATTAAAGGGTTTAGATGGATATGAGAGGGAAGGTATGCAACTCATTAGCATTGGCTTCCACAGTGGGGACTTCTGAGTTATCCATCTTTAACCGTCTCACCCAAATGGGAACTGCCAAGCACGGAGCAGGCTGATCTTCGCTAAGAGAGACTGATGTCTGAGCGAGATGCATTCGTCTGCTGCTCTTCAAGCATATATTGGCTGTGTTGAAAACGATAAGCGTGCCTGAGAATGGTGACTGTGACTGGTCAATTCGGTAGCAATGCTCCGTCTTTGCCCCGAAAATTTTCGTGTTTGCATGAAATCCCCAGCAAAGTTTCTCTCATGAGAGCCGTGGCCTTGAAACAATCTGATCTTTAACAGCTTCAGTTGCTGCGAGGTAATTGACGAACAAAAAGCTAATATTGACCCGAAAGATGAATAGGCTGGGATGAAAGCTAGTCCCGGAGGCCCGTGGAGGGGGACATGCTCCGACCATAGCGCACAGAGGGATTTGCGCCCTCGGTATATATAGCCTGACTATCGTAGACTCGCTATTGGTCGATTCTGGTTGGAATGCGACGGCTTTCTCCTCGTCCTCTATGTGTTGTTAGTCGGGCAGAAGACTCTCTCTGTTTGAGCAACGTGAACTACATACCTCAGGAGGCGAACTGGTCTCGACACCCGAACCAATATTTTCCCGAAAAAGCACAGGCATCAACAGAGCCTGTGTCCTCGGTCGTGACCATGCTAGTTGCTCACAATGTTTCCAATGGTACTGCCCTGCTCTGGACCCTGAACACATTAGTTACGGGATTTGTTGTAATGGAATGGAGTCTCTTCGTTGAATCACGTTGCCGGATCGCCCAAAATACCTGTATAAATATAAGTGATGACAACTCTGGCTTATCACTGAGCTCGAACCATTGTTCATCCTTATTCAAAGAAGGACCTTGTCTCTTGTGCACGTCCTCGTTCACCTTCTAATATGGCAACAGTCGAAGAAAGGAACAAAGAGGTGATTGCCAAATACTTCACAGAGTACTGGGGAAAGCTGAACCCGGATATCGTCGACGAGGTTTGTGCGGACGAGGTATTCCAATCATACCCAATGCATGCAAACCCGAAGAAAGGCAAAGCTGCTGTTAAGCAAGCTATGGTGGATTTCAAGGCCGTGCGTTTCCCACCGTTTTGCAGTCGCCTGATGATGTTAGCTAACTTGTGGTGTAAACCAAAGGCATTCCCGAACCTTGGCTTCAAGACCTATGGTCCTTACCCGCTCATCGCCGAGGGCGACTATGTGTTTGGTCGCTGGATCGGTGGAGGCACACACACCGGCGCGCCTTATGATGACTTCTCCGTAGGCGCCCTCACCAAGGCCAACTCGGGCAAGCAGATGTGGTTTTCAGGCATGACCATTTTCACCATGAAGGATGGGAAGATCGTCAAAGAGATCGGAGAAGAAGGCGGTCTCACTGCGTTGCAACAGCTGGGCCTTATCGAGCCACCGAAGAAGGGTAGAGAGATGTTCTATGACGTTGAAAACATGTAGAAGTCGCGGTGAGGAAGAAAATGTCTGGCGGTGACCCACGAGCTGACGATGGAGGAACGGTCGTTTTAATATAAGCACGAGTAGTCGCCGTGGGCTCTTCATTCGTTTCCATGAACCAAGGTGGTCGGTTGTGCAGTGCAGGCTTCGCTCAAATCAAGCAGCTTGACTTTCCAACACGTTTGTGGTTTCCTGGAGGACTTGTCGAACTACCGAGTGTCCCGAGAACCGTCAGACTGTATAGGTATATAGGGACTCTAGTGGTACGACAACAGACTCCACTCGAGGCTCTCGAGGGTTTTACATCCCTTGGCGCGCAAACAATCACAACCCGAGTACGACACATGTAGTGACAAGCCGCCCAGCCAAGTGCACAGGTGATTCCGTCAGCATTTGAGGTCAGAAGAGACCCTCCCATTTTGCTGTGGTTCGTGAAAGGCTCTGCAAACCTGCGCCATGCAGGCTCAACTCTGAGCCGCTGACCCTGATGGCTTTGAGGACTTACCGAGAACAATGTTTGACGAGGGCCGAGACGCAGGATGTCGGCCTGACTAACCGGGTCAGCCTACACAAGTGGCAGAAGACAGTTGGGGGAACTCTTGGCCTGTATAGTCGTGTCCTGCTAATAATACGTCCCTCGTCGCGGACCCTAACATGACTACTTAGAACGGCTCCTGAGTCGAGCCCTCTCGAAGAGCCAACAATGTAGGTCCCTATGTCACGACTGTGGGGAAATCTATCCAGCTTGGAGCACGTATCCCATCTCGAGGCGGGCAGTGGTTGGAGTAGGACTCCCTCGGGCCGCAGTCTGCGGAGAAGGCCACTGTGGGATACCAGACGTCCATTGCCAGTTCGAGGAAAGGAATTTTCAGTGTTGGAATCACGCAGCTAAGTCTTCAGCCGTCCCTCTCAATTCATTCAGCCACGACTGCCCTCCGGCGTGGCGAAGTGTTGACTGCCACTGAAATCAACTAGCTCCTCCCTCTTCTGAAACTGAATAAACAGGATGTCGTTCCAAGGTCAGACAGCCTACGTAACCGGTTCGTCGAAGCTGCCCCAACTATCTCAGCCTGCTAATGCCCCGATTAGGAGGAGCAAGCGGTATTGCCCGTGCAGTTACCCGCATGCTCGTCGTAAAAGGGTACTCAACGCATCGCCACTTTGTCAGTGCCGAGCTAATGCGAACTCAGTATCAAAGTATGCATTGCCGACATCAATAAGCAAGGGGCCGAAGCAGTCGCGCAAGAACTCAACGAGGAGGCTGGCTCTCAATGTGTTTCCGCTGTCGCTGTGGACGTGGCAGATTGGGACTCTCAAGTGGCAGGTTTTCAGACCGCAATCAAAGAATTGGGCGGCCGAATCGACTACGTCTACCCTATCGCAGGGATCGCTGAAGTCAACTGGCTTCCCAATCGACCAAAGCAAGAGGGGTTCGTAAAGCCAAATCTTAGCGTCTGGGACGTAGACGGGACGGGCGTGCTGTACACCTCTGCCCTTGCTATTCAGCAATTCCGACGACAGGAACCCAACAAGTTTGGATTCAGGGGCAAGATCGCCACCGTCTCTTCTGTACGAGGTCTGTATGCTGTGCCTAGCATGCCGATATACTGTGCCGCGAAGTTTGGCGTCGTGGGTTTTGTCCGCTCGTTTGGCAAGCACTTGCCGAAAGAAAAGATCACACTCAATGCCATGTGTCCTGCAATAGTGAAAACAGGCATTAGTATTGGCAGGAGCGATTGGTATGACAAAGCCCAGAAGCTGAATCTTATCGTCAAGATGGAAGCGCTTCTCGACGCCTTCGAGTCCTTGCTTGGTGGCTCGGACGTGTCCGGGGAGTGCTTTGAGTTTCCACCTGGGGACATTGGCAATCCCAGTGGCTGGATTCTGAAACCACAAAATGAGTACACAACGCCTGAAAGCGAAGTGCATGTCCAATACTCGGACAGTCAATTCGCCCACCAACATGAGCCGGTTGAATAAGCTCGCGGCAGTTGATAGTAGTGGGCTCCAGCTCGCACAACGGCAATGCTTCACGTCATGGGCCTAGGCAATACTCCCAGCACGTGAACTCTCGTGCCCGGGAGCATCAAAATGCTTTCCTATCTGGCATCCTTGTGCTGTAAATGTTCATTGCTCTTGTCTTCTATCTTCGCATTGCTGGCGGTGACATTCTGGTCGCTGGGTAAGATCGCCCGGACCCCATGGCGAAGTCCTGAGTCGCCTGTAGGACCCCCAGTTCTTCCCGGATGGACTGAAGCATAGCAGCAGCAGACTGTTTTTGATCTGGCCTCGTAGCGGGCCAAAATGCTACAAGTCGCAAAGGCCAGAGCAAACGGAGCCCATCCATCCAGAATCTTGGTCTTCCAGTCTTTGTCCGTTCCTCGACCCCTTCGGAGCGGAAGATGTGAGGCGCTGATGCCAGAATCTCGTCCGCCACATTTTGGATTGCAGAAATATTATGCTGAATCTGACTCGGCAGTGCGCTCGCAGTCGGGTCCGAGGATAGGTCTTGGATCTTTGCGAGAAGCTCCGAGACGCAAAGAAGAAACTTCAACCTGAAACCGCAAAAGAACGTCCGGACAAACGGTGCTTGAAAGTTAGGCTGAGGCATGGCTACTGGGTCGAGAAGCAGACTAGTTTCGTACGTTGCTGGGCGGGGAATCAAGGCGTCATAGGTGGTATCCGCATCCAGCGCTTCAGCTTCCCATAGTATTTCGAAGGCCAGAGATGGCGAGTTTGAACTCTCGTTGTCGACAAAGTTTCGTATCTTCTCGCACAGCGCAGAGGCATGGCAGCCATAAAGGGACATCTGAAGTGAGGGCATGTCCTGGCTTTCCTGATGCTTTTCGAGCTCTCGTAGCCAGTGGATGGATTCTGGTGGACATGATTGACCCGTGACCAGGCATCGAATTTGCTATCCATAAATGTCAGGAACGACTCCGCAAGCATCGAGTGGACGCAAGTGGATGAAGAAAGACTTACCACAGAGTTGAACAACAACCAGAAGAGGTTACGCCCAACGACCGAGTCAAAGCCTGCGGTACCCCTCAGTTGCAGCAACGTCGCCATACCCTGCGTGTGCAGGTTCCAGGTAGCTGGTCCAACATGCATCTGAGGTGGAGACGATCCTACAATAAGCTATGTATACCGTCAGATTCAGTCCTTCATTGGCCATTCGGAGAGTTCACTGCTTGCAACCAAGCCAGCAGCCGGGGTCGGAAGGGTGCATTCACCTCGTATAAGCTCAGCAGCCACACAGAGGTGACCGTGTCGTCCCTGGTCTGTAGAGACTGGTCTCGAAGAGCTGCATTGGTTGACGTCAAAGCTTTACCATAAGTGATTGATCGTCTCGTCCTTGCCTCTGGATCACTAGTCCTCGTGGTATGGAAAGCGCACGAGATCGCCTGCACGGCGAGTCCCACAGGGGAATCGGGTCGTGCCGCTGCTACCATGTCGGGCAAGAATCCCAGAAGTCCAAAGGCCATATTCCGCTGCAGGCGGGGCATCAGGGTGTTGAAGAATAGAGGCAGATGCCATGACTCCGCAGGAGGCTGAGGCAAGCCATGAAGCGATAAGGAGAACAGGGCATCTGCAACGATTGGGTCAAAATCGGCTCGTATCAATCCGGGGTGGGCGTACCTGTCTGATTTGGTGGCAGAACCACTTCCATTTCATTTGCCGAGAGAGAAGTCGGGGATTTTGAGGTGTTTCGAGAGACTGGTGGCGTGGCTTCCCCACGTCTTCGGCGACGATCTCGGTTTGCTCCATCCGCAAATGAAGCAGGGTCTTCAAGACGAAACATGAGGTCGGATTCGTCTCGATACCCAGGACACTTCCTGCCAAGCTTGGCGCATCTTTCGCATTCCGGCTGTCTCAAGTCACACTGGGTGGAGCTGTTAGTGCAAAAGATACTAGTAACCCGTCAACCTTCGAATGGGTTGCTCACTTTTACTCGCCTCTGCCTACAAAGGTGGCAGTCTCGACTTGGCCTTCCAACATTAGGCATAATGACTGCGAGGCATACGACTTCTGCTTCGACTTGATGCCTTCAACGAGACCGACGGATATATAGAGCCTTGTACGGAATATTACACTCCATGCTCCAGACGGGCTTCGTCTGGTGTGTCTGTTGCACGGGGCCGAAACTTGCGAGAGCGAAAGGTCCGAAGATCCTGTTCGACATAGGCAATTTTCGCGGTTCCTCGGGCTTCGCGAGAGATCATGCTTTTACCAAGCAACGCCTTGTCTCTTCCAAAGTCCGGGGCCTGGCGGGATACGGGGTGAGCTGAGGCTGAAACTGAAGGAAAGGAGAACGATGACGAAGCTCGACTAGCTATGTCGCGAACTCTTCCGCTTAGAGAAAGCCATTCGACGCTAACAGCGAGTGGATAGGCGGTACATCCAGGGAAATCGTGGCTTGGGGGCGGTGCTCAGGCGAGGCTGAGGCCACTAGGCTCACTAGCTCGACTAGCTTAGGTGGGCTTAGTCCGTAATTATGTAACCAGGCACCTAGCCAGGGTTCACTAAGTTAGGCCTACCTACAGAGCGAATTGCACTCTCTACCTTCCATCCGCCCAACCTGAATCTATCGCTCTTTTCTACCACTCACAATACCCGGTCGTGATCGTGAAGCATGCTCAATCCCTCTTTACCTAGTGCCTGGCGATGTGGGTCTCAGCCACATGGATTATCCTGAAAACCCCTCCCAAATCCTCAGCAATTGGATCCAGGGGTTCCGCATACAAAACCTCAGCCCTAGCTCGCGCTGTTCACCAAATGCAGATGGAGGGCCTGACGATCTTTGCATTCTATGTGAGCGACACTTCGAACGCGAAAGGTAAGGACACAATGGTAGGTATATAGATCTTCTTTTCTTTTCAGCATCTGTTCAAGTCAGTCACTTTCAATTGCAAGGAAACCTCCAGATCTCACCTCTACCTATCCCTGTACAATCCCAACACCAGAGCAGTCAACCCACCGAAAAGACCAGCCGTCTTCAAGATGGGTCTCTTTGACGATAACAAGAATCACACATGCAGCACGCCCAAGAGCTTCGTCGCAGGTATGCACTCAACCCGATCAACTGCAAAAGTCCACAGCTTACACATTGAAGACGCCCCGGAGCCTGTGGTTGGCAGCCTATCATTCCATCAACTCAATATGGCCGTCTCAGGCGGATGCGCTGTTTTCTCGACCCTCTCGATCTTCGTCCTCATGTTCAGACATGCCACACACTTCAGCAAACCAAACGAGCAAACCAAGTCAGTGTTCTTGCCGGCTCAATTCCACACGGCCAATTGCTAACAACGTGCGAAGAATACTGAAGATCTCCGCCCTCATCCCAATCTACTCGATCATATCGTGGATCACCATCGCCGCCCCCAACAGCTACATCTACCTCGACCCCTGGCTCGACTTCTTCCAATCGATCGCCCTGGGCAGCTTCTTCCTCCTGCTCTGCGAATTCGTTTCGCCCAGCGCACAGTACCGCGACGTCTTCTTCGCCGCCCTCGAAGTCCCCAAGAGCCGCAGAGGCGGCGGAAAGCAAGTCGACGGCCTGGAGTGGTACAGAAAGAATTGGTTCGCTGTTTTCCAATATCCCATTGTCGCCCTCCTCGTCTCCGTCGTCACGGACATCACCCAGGCAGCTAGCGTCTACTGTCTGGAAAGCAGCAGCATTCACTTTGCTCATCTATGGGTACGCTTTCCTTTTTCTGGTAGTCTCTTAGAAATCCGCTAATCCTTTCGACAGATGGAAGTCGCAATCAATATCTCCGTCTCTGTCGCCGTCCTATCAGTTGTGAAGTTCTACACTGCGCTCGCGAAGGACCTGAAACACCACAAGCCCCTGGCCAAACTTCTGGCCTTCAAACTCATCATTGGCTTGGCTTTCTTCGAAGGTGTACGTCTGCCTTCCTTCTTTCCTTTTTTTTTCTCTCTCCCATTTTCCCCCAGATCATCCCCTCTTCCCTCGCAGACTGCCAGACATCACATGCTAACACAACGTAGATCATATTCTGGATCCTCCGCTCGACGCATGCGCTCAAAGAGACCTCCCACCTAACCTACGCGGACGTCAACTTCGGCATCCAGACCATGCTCGTGTCCATCCAGATGGTCCCCTTTTCCATTTTCTTCCACTGGGCCTACGACGCCGCCGCGTACGATCTGTCCAAAGCCCGTCCCCTGCCACTGTCCCAAATGGGCGGTGGACGAGATAGTCCGAACGAGCTCGATGCCGAGACAGGATACTACCCGGACCGCCAAAACCGGTACCAGATGCGACAGTCAGCGATGCAGCAGCAGTATGACAACAACCTCCCCGAGAATGGTGGAGGGTACTACGGCGGCACATTGGGTCTGCGGGCATTGTTGACGATACTCAACCCCATGGAGATTGTGCGCGCGATTGTCTTTGGCTTTTCCATGCGAAGCGAATCGAGACGAATGAACAGGGAGGTCATCGGGGTGGCGCCACCTCCTTATGCTTAGATGCTGGACGATTCATGAAGAGATTGGCTCCCAAGGAAGCATAGATATGGATTTGAGCGACGGCGATGGTGGTGAGAAATTGCATTTCTGCACGGTGTCTCAGGATCTATGGCGACATTGACAGTTCTCTGACTCGAATTGATGAATTTTGATAACATCCCAAGTCATCATTCATCACTCATCCGCTTCCTCAGATCTCCAATTGATGTGATCATCAACTACCGTCATACATCCGTTTCAAGTCCACCGTCCCATAACGCCCTATGCCATTCTTATCTAAACAAGCATTATAACACCGAAAAATGCGGCTCAACTCATCCCTAGAGTGAATGGAGATGCTAAAGCTTCACGGCGCCGGCATGCCTCTACCAGCTTCGAGATCTGGCTCCCTATTCGCGCGAGTAAGCGTTCTCTCATCACTACCCCTCTTATGGTTCATCATCGCAGCCCCAGCACTAGCGGTACTCATCTGCCCATGATTAGAATTGTACAAGTTGCCCCCATCCCGAGGTACACCCGTCTCGGGATCGACTCTCTTCTCAACACCAGTGTTTGGATCAAACACTCTAGCCGGTTCACCTGCCGCATCTTGCTCAGGATTGACGGTCTCATGCTCCAAAGCTTTGATGAACATGTAGAAGCCGCTGGCGAGCAGTGAGCCGAGGATGGGACCGACCCAGTATATCCAGTGATATGAGTAGAAGGAGTGTAGGACGACACAGGGGCCGAAAGAGCGCGCTGGATTGAGGCTGCCGCCCGTGTAGTAAACGCCCATGAGCTCGGCAATGAAGAGTGACAAGCCGATGCCGACTGGTGCAATGAACGTGGCGCGATGCTTCTCTGCTGCAAGCATAAAGATCGTGAAGACCAGTTGAGCCGTTAGGAACATCTGTCATGGTCAGAGCCCGATATTGTGGTTATACGAGGGGTGAGTGACGGTATGTTACCTCAATAAACAGACCCTGCGTCACAGATGTGCCTCCACCCAGAGATGTGCGTACGTTGAGGGGTCCGGGCAACAGACACGATACAACAGCAGATGAAGCGATGCCGCCGAGAATTTGTGAAATGATGACAAGGCAGCCTCTCACATAAGGCATTGCTCCGACCAGCATCATACCAAGAGTGACCTGTCAAGCACGTCAGTTTGGCTGGTAAGATAAAGATACTCTCGTCGGCTGGCAGACCGCAGGATTGAACAGTCCACCACTGATTCGGAAGAACACCCAGGCGTTGACAGCCAGAGACATTCCAAAGCACAGAGATATGAAGAGCAATTTCGCCGGGTTGGCCGCGAGACTCTCCGGTTGACCTTGTTCGGGTGCTGCGTTGACGACATTGGTGCCTCCGAGTGCGAACAGTAGGAAGAGAAAGGTCCCCGCAAATTCACCCATCATGGCAATAAAATGATTCTTGATGCTCAACGGCAGGTGTCCCAAAAACGGTATCCGACGAGAGACCATGGTCTCGTCCTCATTGGGTAGGATGGCCTCACGGTTCTTCCATGGAAGGCGTATTTGACGAGCTGGTCGGTCGACGTTCATGATTGTGACTGTGTTGATTCGAGGTGTCGAGAGAGGTATCGCAAGGTAGGGTGACTGAGAAAGCTTCCGAGGCCAGAATGCTTTGGAGGTCCTTATATCTCATGGCATTTCAAAAGAGTTCTTGTGACGGCATGATACTTACCGTGCTGTCCAGACACTCGCATCGTGCGACGATGACGGACCCTAGCCTAGCGTCAGCGATCACGGTGCAAGGGTGCCAAATGCAGGCGATATGTCATTGTACCCTTGCGGGCGGAAGCGTAGAGAGCCAGTCCAAACCTGTCTCCTCGCCACAAGCGAGATGTGCTTTGACGAATGGCGGCAGTCTCGAGAAGCCCAGCCACATGGAAATGGTAATGACAGAGTTTCAAACGCCAGAAGAGGCATGGAGGCGATGACCTCACGAGGTATTTCGAAGTCTTTGACTGGGTTATCCCCGCTCATCACCCGCTGTCAGTTTCATGAAGGACAGGCGAATACTTCTCGGACAAGACTACTGCTTCTTCAATGGTAGAGGCAACTTCTTTCCTCAACTGGCGCGAGAGGCGGTGTGAGCGACATGGGGGAGCGCATGAGATACCTTGTCGTACCTTACCTGTACGTAGCCGTAGGTTCGGACGGAGGAGCATAAACAGCAAAAAAGAAAGATTTACCCATCTCTCTCAATAGTGCGGGAGGCCACAGGACTGTCCAAAAAGCTCGGGAACTCAGGTTTGCAGTAGTGGACATGGTGGTAGTGGTGACGTCGGCGTGTCGAATTGAGTTTGATGTCACCAAGTCTAGAAACCATCTCGCCCTCCAAGTTTCTGTAGGAGCAAAGAATAGTAATCTGTGCCAAAAAGAACCATGCGTTCGTAGCATAAGGTATTGGAGTCGTCCGCAGAGTGTTCTGGGTCATTGAGCTATCATGCTGTCACGTTTCAGAAAAGACAATGCTGAGTATCATTCGTGGCACAGGCCGCCGGCTGGAGGACTTCCTGGAAGGTCAATGGATGAACTCTCGGAAGAGATCATGCGGCCAGTTGTCACTTGATATGACTTGTAACAAACAACGACAAAAAGTGCAAATCCAGGGATTTCGAGTCAGCAACCCGGAGAAGAAATAGCGGGACAAGGCTGAGGTTGATCACGTGAGAGGCATCACGTGCGAGGCTCTGTTACTGCGGTCGCTAAACACCTTGACCGAATGTGACCGAGGCATCTGTCGGCAACATACGTTCTACTCTGCCATTCGACTGCTGACCTCGATGCCGAAATAGACACCAAACAATGAATATATTGACTCTAGCTACCGTTCTTGGACCTCGTCAATAAAGGTAATACTGTGCTTCGCTTATCATCTCTGTGCTATACCTAGTACTATCTCTCAATATGTGGTCGTCAGGCAATCTCGTTCCTTTCTCGGAACCCGCCTGGCTATCGGGCCTTCCATCCCCCTACTACAAAGAAACTCACAAGAGATGGCAGAAAGCATGTCGGGCATTTATCGAAGAGCATCTCCTGCCTTATGCGATGGAATGGGAACGGGAGGAGACTGTGCCAGACCACCTCTTCCACACCTTTGCCAAACATAACATGCTGATACCCAATATGCCTGCGCCTTTGCCCGTTGAATGGTTGAAGAGACTGGGCATTCACGATATCCTGGGTACAACTGTAGAAGAGTGGGATTATTTGCATACTGGCATCTACCTGGATGAAATATCCAGAACAGGACTTGCTGGGCCAGGCGGTTCCATGACCGCAGGACATACATTTGGTGAGTTGCGGAAGTCATACGTCACCATCGGACATCTCTGACAAGCAACAAGGTATTCCACCGGTGATCAAATTTGGGAGCAAAGCTCTGCATGAGAAATTTCTCCCTGAACTCCTTCCTGGCAAGAAGCGCACCTGTATCGCGATTACGGAGCCTGGAGCTGGTAGTGACGTGGCAAACATTGCCACTACAGCGGTGAAGACGCCCGACGGCAAGCACTACATTATCAACGGCGAAAAGAAGTGGATTACAAATGGTTTTTGGTCCGACTACGCCACGATGGCTGTCCGAACTGGTGGTCCAGGGGCTAGCGGTCTAAGCTTCATCGTCTGCCCTCTGAAAGGCTATCCTGGCGTGACGATGCGCCGGCTCAAGGTTGCAGGCCAAATTAGCGCCGGCACGACATATATTGAGCTCGACGACGTCAAGGTCCCTGTCGAGAACCTTATCGGCAAAGAAGGCATGGGCATGCGCTATATCATGACCAATTTCAACCATGAACGTCTGACCATCGCAGTAAGCGTGACCCGGACCTCCCGTGTCGCTCTGTCTTCAGCCTTTGCGTACGTTATGAAGCGAGAGGCTTTCGGCAAGACGCTCATCGAGCAGCCCGTTGTGCGACATAGACTGGCCAAAGCGGGCGCCGAGCTCGAGGCTCTACAAGCCTGGGTCGAGCAGTTCTTGTACCAAATGACCCAGCTCACCAAAGAAGAAGCCGACATCAGACTTGGTGGCTTGACTGCACTCGCTAAAGCCAAGGCCGGTATGGTGCTCAATGAGTGTGCCCAGACGGCTGTACTGCTTTTCGGTGGGAATGGGTATACGCGGACAGGCCAAGGTGAAATCGCCGAACGAATCTACAGGGAAGTCCCAGGCGCCAGGATTCCCGGTGGTAGTGAGGATGTCATGCTGGATCTGGCCGTCCGGCAGCTCGTGAAGAACTACAAGAATGCGACTCAGGCCATGGAGCGACCGAAAGGGAGTAGTAAGCTATGAACATTGCATAAATGAAATATAGTTCTGCCCTGGTCGCACCACTCTCTAGGTACCGGGCACTTGTTAGATACCTAGATTACTCGAGAACGGAAAACCCAACTGCTATTTACGGTTCGATACTAGAGGGTGAGGAGAATGCCGAGGGAAAAAGACACATCAAACAATCAAAAGGGTAAGCTTAGCGCGTCTTCATTGATAATGCCGAGGGCCAACGTGGTTGGAATCCATGTTTATCCATACTTCCACACTTAATGTACTGGAGTGATGAAAACGTCGAATGGGAGGTGAGCGTGTAGTAGTTCGATGAACAGGAAGTTACGTCTTGTGAACTCGCTACAACAGAGTCCCTACTCGCGACGGTGCTGGACGAGTTCCGTTGAGGTGCTTCATAGTGCAAACCGTGACACCCACCAGTGAATTGGATCAATGGCGCCAGTTGTGAGTAGTTATTGGAAGGAGGGCACCTTTGGTAGGTCAATGAGATTTCCGCAAGGACTATAACTTGCTCATCAATACCCAACAGTAAATAAGGTGGTGTTTTGCACAGGCGGATCTGGAACGATATGCTCTGGACAAGTGCGCGCACTGGTCACGTTGGGTGCTGATGCGTGTATCGTCGGTCGAAATACCGAAAAGGTTCAGAGGGTCGCTGCCGATATCACAAAACAGAGAACCGGAAGTAAAGTGATAGGCATCGGGAACGTCGATGTTAGAGATTTCAGCAAGGTCAAGGCCGCAGTTGAGACATGTGTTGAACAATTGGGAAGCATTGATTTCGTCATGTAAGTACCTACCAGGTAACGTCTCTTGCTGGGTTCCAAAATCGCAAGGATTCGCCACTAAACTACCTATACAACTCCAGAGCGGGAGCGGCTGGAAACTTCCTAGCTCCCATCTCGGATCTATCACTGAACGCGTTCAAGACGGTCATCGACATCGACTTGATCGGTTCTTGGATTACTGTCAAAGCGACCCTGCCCTATCTATTGAAGTCGGCAGAGAAGTATAGAAATGACGGTAAATCATGTACGTATACCTCGCTTTATCAACAAAATCTTTGTCGAGGTCATCAATTGCTGCCGCTTTACTCATCCCGTCGTTCTAGTATCCAACGGCACCGGCGGTCGCATTATCTTCGTCAGCTCGACGAACTATCGCAGTGCCAGAGTTGCCCAAGCCCATGTTTGTGCCGCAAAGGCGGGCGTGAACGCCATTTCCGATGTCCTGTCATTGGAATATGGCCCTCGAGGCATGACTTCGAACATTATCGCTCCGGGACCTATCGACGAGACAGAAGGCATCCGCCGCTTGTCTGACCCAGCATTGCGTGACGAAGCTATTCGCAGTGTACCGCTCCAACGGTTCGGACTTATCAAAGATATTGCCGACGCAACGGTTTTTCTCTTTGGTGATACAGGCAACTTTATAAATGGAGCATGCCTGGACGTCGACGGGGGTGCATGGCGTGTCAAAGGAGGAGGACAGTGGGGCAATAGAAGTTATCCAGACTCTATACAAACCCCAGAGTCCCTAAGTCGCAAAGCCCTCAGCAAATTATAAAACAACAAAAACAAGGGACTCGCTCGTATGTAATTTGACCAAATGGTGTTGTGCCAACGAGAAAGAATGTGTAACACTTACCCTTCTAGGGTTCCGGCGCATTCTGCGTGCCAGCGATAATGCCCCGGACGGCACATATGGCTAATATCACCGCCCCAAAAGGAGCAGCCAGAACAGTCGAAAGTGAATTGATTCCTCCAGATCCCCAGCTGTACTCTCTTGTCCTACGGTATCAGGGTCTGGCGCTTGGTTTGGGCCGCATGCCAAAAATCGAGCCCATCGTGCAGACGACTGGAAAGCTGGTTCCCATACCGAAGACATTCTGAAGTGGTCAGTCTAAAGGGTAATCTGTTGCCGCAACTCCTAGGTACCTACCTAGGTAGCTATACTGTATTCCATCGTGCTCCAGACGGCAAAGCCGGTGCCTGGCGCCCATAGACGATGTCAGGTGAGTCCTTTCGGGGTAACAGGTGCCGAACCACGTGCTAGTGATGCCTGGTGGGTCACGTGGGTGTCTGGCTCTCGGCTCGTATTGACCCAGCGTCATCGGCATTCTGCCCCGCGATTGAGATTCTGTGCCTCCAAATACTCCGAATCCGGCTTCAACACGGCATCAACGGCTGTTGCTTGAACATTTTATTCCACCTGCGCCCTTCCAAGAGGTGAAGTTCGTCTCGTTTCAGTCTTGTCTTTTCTAGCACATTATCCTGCTTCTCGCGAACCTTGGACAGCTCCAGAAGCCGCATCCATAGCCCTTTGTTTCAACTCGTCCTCTAATCCTTACCTCCGTCCTCGATTCAGACTTCCAGAGTGTTCACTGCGTCAAGAGCCCTCCTTGCTTAGAGATTGTCCAGCAAGATGGCGAGCGTATTGAAGAATGCCAATACCCTGCGCAAAGCGCTACATACAGGATCCGGCCTCTCTTTTGGCGCCTGGCAGATGCTCCCGGGTTCATACCTGTCAAGAACGATCGCAAGAGCAGGGTACGATTGGATTTGCATCGATTGCGAGCACGGCAACATTGCAGGTAAGACCAAGAGACCTCGCTCTTGCACCCTTGAGCTGTGGCTGACGCATCGGCCCTTAGACAACGAGATGCACGAATCCGTCCACGCGATTGCCTCCTGCGACGTCAGTCCCATTGTCCGTATCCCAGCGAACGAAGGTTGGATGGTCAAGCGTGCTCTCGACGCCGGTGCCCACGGCATTATCGTGCCCCTGTTGACCAGCGTCGACGATGCGAAGAGACTGGTACAGAGCGCAAAGTTTCCACCATATGGCAAAAGAGGGTTCGGCAGCCCTTTCTCCATGGGCTCTTTTGATGTGAAGGGAAATCTGTCTGGATTTGATTACATGAAGAATGCGAATGACAACCTCTTGACAATTGTGCAGATCGAGACAAAAGAGGCCTTGGACTGTGTACGTGAATGGTCTAGCTTGATCAAGAAAGAGGCCAAATTGCTGACAGGATTCTAGGTCGAAGAGATCGCGAAAGTCGACGGAATCGATGTCCTATTCATTGGCCCTTGGGATTTAGGAAACAACATTGGGCACCCTGTCGAGGATGACTTCAGTCCAGAGTTGAAGGAGGCCATTGCTCGAATTCTGAAAGCTGCTCAAGATGCTGGTAAGAAATCCGGAATTTATTGTCCATCAGGAGAGGTTGCCCGAGGGTACGCCGATATGGGATTCCAGATGGTAAGACGCAATTCTCAGAGCCAGGTCGAGCCAAGCTCACTTCCCTGCTAGATTTCTGTGGTCAACGACATGACAGCCGTCCCAACATTTATGGCCGAGTCCCTGTCAAAAGCAAAGGGATCGTATGGTCACGCCGCCGCACAAGCCGTGAAGGGAGCTGCATACGGCGCCGTGAATCTGGCTACCAAGGAGAGAAAGTAGACACCAATGGCGGAATCAAGACGAGGATTGTTCGATCTCATCAAGCGCCTTTTCCACTTCTTCGACCGTGAAGCGGTGCATGAGCTTTTTCGCCGCGTCGAGTGTCAGTCCCTCGGTGCTGTTCTTGTCGATGTGTAGGACAGGGACATCATAGTCGTAGACGTCCTTCCATTGCTTCTGCCCAGGAGCATCAATGTTTATTTCCGAGTAGTCAACGGTTCGTCGCTGCTGCACTTCCATCAGGCGCGACTTGGCCACGTCGCATAAGCCGCAGTTGACGCGGGTGAAGAGAGTCAGTCGTGCTGAACGTAAAGCTAGTGCTGGCTGCATTGCGTGTTCCGACGTCGTTGCACTACTTGTCCAATACAACAGGCCTGCAGGAGTTGTTCACAGGTTGGATAGATGTAGAAGCATTTGTACATCTCGAAACGAACAATATTCGACGACCACGGTTCAGGAGGAGCGGTGCTTGGCAGAAACGCGAGTCAGTCAAGGCTGGGCAAAATCATTGATGCCACCATCACCAGTTTTGTTCAAGGGCTTGCGAGGTTCTATCTATCCTTTCTTATTTCTAGAACGGCCTTCCTCTCTGTCCCCTTGCTCAGCATTCCCATCCGGCTCGGACGATCTATGCGCATTGGTCGCTTCACAATTTGGCAGCCCTGCCGGCCAGTCCCAACTCTTTCTTGGCTCGCTCTCGAAGTTCCCTCCTAAGCATTTTGCCGATGGCGTTCTTGGGTATTTCTTCCACGAAGACTACTCCTCCGCGAAGCTGCTTATAGGGGGCAAGCCGCTGCTTGACATAGTCTTTGACCTCTTCTTCGCTGATCTCGGATGGTTTGGCCACGACATAAGCTCGCGGCAGATCCGTGCCAGGGTCTTCAGGCAGATTGACGCCGACAACAGCTGCTTCTTGGATCCGCGGATGCGTGATGAGCAGATTCTCAATCTCGGCCGGCGCAACTTGCAGGCCTTTGTACTTGAGCAACTCCTACGGGATGCCCCATCAGTGTGCCCGGTCTCGGTGAAATGCGGAAAAGAGGACATCACGTACCTTCTTCCTATCCACGATGTAAAATTTTCCATCCCGCAGCACTCCAATGTCACCAGTGCAAAACCACCCATCATGGAAAGCGTCCTTGGTAGCTTGGGGATTGTTGAAATACCCCTGTGTCACCAGCGGACTTCGCACGAGCAACTCGCCTTCTTGTCCCGGTTCGACGTCGTTGTAATTGTCATCGACCATTCTTGGTCCGTTAGCCGAGGGCATTCTCGGGTATGTTTGGGACGGCTAGCCTTACCTTATCTCGACATTCTGCAAGATCGGACTGATACTCCCGGACACATCAGTCTGTCCTCTCGGCATCATGGTGACTGCGCCAGTCGTCTCGCTCAGACCCCACGTCTGGCCGATAAAGGTCTCTCCGGTACCGAGTCTGGAATTCGCCGCATTCTGAAGTTCTCCGTCCATTGGAGCAGCACCAGTCGACGCAGCGTCGATCGTCTTGAAATGATCCTTGACGTCGGGAGACTTCGAAATCCGGAGATATATCGACGGCACAGTGTAGAAAGCCGTGATCTCGTACTCTTTCACGTACTGAAGGAGTTTTGACCATTCGTACTTGCGCATCCAGACCACCAGGCCGCCGGAGTACATCGGCAGGACGAGATAGCCGAACAAGCCAGCAATGTGGCTGATGGGCAAGTGTGCGAGAGTACGATACGGTTTGAGTTCCTTTCCGGCCTCGACCTGCTTGACTGCCCATTCTCGGCCCGGCAATGAAACCAAGTAGGCTTCTTGCACGAGGTTCTCGTGCGAAAGCATGACACCTTCCCATTCTCAATCAACGCCGGCAAAAGAAATGCAGATTCTCACCTTTTGGCAGACCAGTCGTTCCCGAGGACCATAGGATCGTGATAAGACTCTTCTTCAAAGCTTCGGGGTCCGTTATGCGCTCCCAGTCCAACTTCTTGCTTGAAATGGCGTCGACTTTGCCATCCAAGCTCTTCAAGCTCCATGATGGACTAGACTCGAGCACTAGGATGCGGTTCGGGGGTACATTACACTGCTTGGCGGCTTGAGCAGCAAGGTCTTTACACTCTGCGCTGCATATGACAAGTCCACTTGTGCCAATGTTGATCTGGCGGGCAAATTCTGAGACTGTTGATGACGGACTGGCTGCAGAATACACCCCGCCGGCGGCAATGACCCCGAAGAAGACGGCAGGTACCAATATCTGACCATAACTGATTACCGTGACGACGTCCTTGTTACGTCCATTTGTGCCAATGCCATATTGATCGCGTAGCCCGTGGGCTATCCGCTGGACAAGGTCACGCAGCTCACTCTTGGTGATCTTGTTGGATGGGTTGGCGGCTTCAAGATGCAAGACTGTGTCGTCCTGGGCCACGCCATGTTCTGAGTCTGAAAAGTCACCGTTACTCGGAGTCTGCAAGGTGTAAAACTCTTACTTACCAAACAGCAGCGTCAGTAAATCTAACTTGGGTACATCGACGAATGGCTGACGGCTTGTATTCCTGTAGATTCGGGGCATCCTGGCTGCTAGATAGCCGGCTCGACGTGTCCTGGTCGTCAAGGAGAACAATAAAGGTCAAAAGGTTCCCGTTATCAAGCGGTAGAGCATTCGGGACAGCCATGGCTTCCACGCCGGACGGCATACCATCCAACCCCATACCTCTCCGCAGTCGAAGCGTGTGGGGTCGTAAGGTATGCGAATCACAACCGAGGTTTACTAGACCAATCATGCGCAAAAGGACGGAGCCGATAATAGCTTTGAGTGACCTGTTACCGCGGAATTGGTGTCTTCATCTTGGAAATTGTCGAGGGAGGGGTGTACTTTACTGACACAACAAGACGAGGAAGGGATATGGAATGGATTCTGAATACTCAGCCTTGCCATTACAGCCTCGCCATTACAGCCTCGCCATTACAGCCTCGCCATTACAGCCTCGCCATTACAGCCTCGTGTAACTGTGACGTCAGATTTTGTTTTTTGTCTTCGCTTAACCACTTCACCAAGTCTTTGTCCAACGTTCATTCTTTTGAAGTAACAAATGTTCGACCTGAAGACCTTTCTGCATTCTCTGTTTGCACAGTTGATAGCGTTCCTGAAGATGCAAAGCCACCGCGACAAGCGCATATCTCGCTCCATCGTCTACGCCATCCTCTCCGATGACGAGGCTGATAAGCGCTTCCGGATATGGCGGCCGTTGCGCACCTTTTTCAGACTCTACGGTCTCGTCCTCACAAGACAGCGGCCAGAATTATTTCGCAAACTGCGTACCGAGACTTGGAATCTCCCTGAAGATGAATACAGGTCCAGCTTCAAAGACGCCGACTCCCTCATGCCGGAAGGCGACATGGGCTATTCTGGCTCCGTACGTTGCCTACTAGCTTTTGCCATATATTTCCTAGACTAACTCTTGCCAGACATTCTTCATCACAAAAGACAACAAATACCTCATCAAGTCCATCCCACGACAGTTCGAGCACTCCTTCTTCCGCGACGACCTGCTGAAACCGTACGTATCGCACATGCAATCACACCCGGATTCGTTACTCGTCCGGATCACAGACTTCCTGGGCTGGCACTACCGCAGCATCGGCGGCATCCTGGGCATCGCTCCGTCATACCACCTCGTCATGGAGAACCTCTTGCACGGCCAGGCCGATGAAGACTCAAAATGGCAGACTTTCGACCTGAAGCCAATGTCATACTTCTTCCCCGAGCGGGATATTGCAGGCGGCAAACTGGCGTCGCAGGCCACAAAGTCCAAACTCGCAGATGACTTCAACGACAAGCTCCTTCTGACCAGGGAGCAGGCCGATGAATTCTTCCAAGCGATAGAAGCGGACACGGAGTTGCTCGCCCGCCACAACGCCGTAGACTACAGTCTGATGCTTGTACGTATTCCGCGAGATCCAGCACCACAGCCGGAAGACCCTTTCAAAGACCCGCCGAATTGGCGGACAGGCGTGCCCTCGCAGGATAATAAGTGGCTTGTCCGCGCGGTCATCCTGGATTTCTTCTGGGCCAAGCACAAGGTTCATGCGAAGGCGATGACAATGTTGATCAACGCTTGGAATCTAATTGATCGGAAGGGGCCCATGAGCATTACAACTGATGCACCTGAGTATCGTGGACGGTTTCTCGAAATGTGCAGAGAGATGGTTGAGATCAAAGAGAATGCCGTGGTCGATGCTTTGGTCGATGCTTGATCTCGCCGTTTCGGCTGATGGGTGTGGTCAAGCCAGTTCAGCATTCGGCCTCATTTCTTTGACTTCACGAGCGAGCGAGCGCACTCGATTCGGTCGGCGCTTGGAGTCGTTTGACGATAGTACGTGTCCTATCGTGCCCAAGAATCGTGCCGCTTGTCATTCCTTTCCTCCAGCGCACTTGGGTGCCAAGCTGAACAGCTCCCCTCATTTTCCTCCTTCCCAGCCAGGTCAACAGACCTTGGGCATCGAGATCGTGTATGCAATACGAGATTCGCGAGTCACCTGCCAGAAGTCGAGTATTGACTCCGGATGAAGTCCTCGACTTGCGCTTTCTCCTTCGCATTCATGCCGGCCACGCCACTATCGACTTCACCCATGTCTGGCTCTGACTTTTCGGCAGCCGTGGAAGGAATAGTGTCCGGCTTTGTCTTACGTGACATGTCCTTCATACTCATCCCGGCCACGCCACTATGGACTTCACCCATGTCTGGCTCTGACTTTTCGGCAGCAGTGGCAGGAATTGTGTCCCGCTTTGCCTCACGTGCACTTGGAGGTTCCGGCGTGTCACCATTTTCCGATATCGTCACAGCTTGATGCAGGGATGAATGCTGTTTGGCTCGGATATGCCTGAGGCTCTCTACACCAGCACCAACAGCCACCGGCGTATGGCCTGCATCAGTTGTTCCTGTGCTGTCGGTCTCCTCCTTGCCAGTCGCGCTGCTGTCTCTGGTGTTGTCTGGTCTCAAGCCACCATGGTAAGGCTTTCTGAACTTTCCATCCTGCCAGTCTCGGAGGCGGAACGTCCACGCTGCCACTGTATCGGTTGGATCGAAACTCTGGCCTATCTTCCTCGCCAAAGCTTCGGCAATCTCGTCACGTTGCCCCGCAGTGTAGAACAATCTATTCCAGTTCTTTCCGTCTTTGTCAGCACTGTGCATTTCTCGTTGGCCATTCTCGAGCTTTGATTTGGCGTCGGCGGCTCCTTGCATGTCCCCTCTTTCGAGAGCCTCGCGGACACCACGCCATGCTAGACGCGACTCCCAAGGGTCCTGTTCTTCAATCGGTTCTGTGGTGAGAGGTGTCGTTTTGGCGGTTTGGACGTCGTATTTCTCGATCTGGACATCTTTGCTCACGTCACGGGTGACGAATACACCATCCCAGTTGCCACTAACAGTGTACAACGGCATGTCTGCTTCGCCTTCACGGTAAACCTTCGCTTCGAAGCTATGTTTTTTGTCGGAGCTAGAAAAAAGGCCCTTGCTGCCGAATTCGATGGTCGACATATAACCATTTGTGCTTGGAATGTGGTATGTCCCTTGAAGTTCAGGATAGGGCCCGCCAGTCAGGATACCCTTTACCTTGACATTGGGTAACGGAATCAAGTATGTCTCGTTGTGACTAGCAAGGTGCAGAGTCGCATGGCCAATTTGTTGGATATTCACGTTACCAGAGAAGGTGATTTCTTGCCGAGTGTACCCTTCAGCCTAGGATAGGTGAGTATCACTGTCCGTTGCATTCCTTCAAAGAGCGGGGTTCACGTACCGAAACACCGTGCTCCTCGTTCCACACTCGACAAGCGGTCACGGGGGGGTGGTGGCTATGAGAGCGTCAGAAGTGTACAAGTGCAAGGCTTGGCTTGACCTCTGCATCTTACCTCACTTGCTCGCTGACCAGCCTGGTCGTCCCGGCCTCGTCCTCCCACCGTGCCAGGAAAATTTCACCTAGGAACGCGTTCAAAGGCTTCTTGACGCCGGCGTCTGGGGACCGACCCGCATACTGCTGGTTTCGAAGCGCCGAGATGAACCACCTGAGGACAAGAAGAGCGCGCTCTGCGGGATCCTCGGATGCAGCAGGGGCTACAAACACTGATGGTCTTTCAGCCCAGAAGGCCGGCAGTTCGACAGTTGACTTTGTGTCAAGCACAAACGGCGGCGCCGTGATGTTCGAGAGGTCACCTCGAATGACAGAAATCGACTGTGAAAACATGAAGGTGTTAAGGACTGTGTAGTATTACGCTTCCCCGGTTTCAAGCAAAGCCAGTTTAACTTACAGCAATGAAGTCTTTCAGCTTCGACCGGTTATCTGAAAGACTAGATTCGGACATGGTTCGAAGTCCGGTGAAAGATCCTTACGAGATCTACACCCCTGGGGCGGCGTGACAAAGTGACCTAGGTACCAGGTACACAGTAAAAGTACTAGGGTTTCACGCGATCAGCTGTTAGGGCAATCAGCAATGCATCCATGAGCAGTAAAATACGTATATATGCAGCTTCCATTCACGGCCTTTGCTGGGTTGGGAACTTATGCAGTGGTTAAGCGGCAAGGCTCAAAGGCCATGATATCATGATGTCGTAACTCTAGTCGATCGAGCCCGAGTATGCGCGAGATCGATCTGGTCGTCATCTCGCATCGGCTCGGCGAGATACGCGGTTCGTTGGTGGCGAGGGGTGACCCAATGGGCTTGTTGGGTGCTTGGAGTGGGTTCCTGCGCCCTCCAAGTAGCCCTCCCAGATTCTGAAATTATTCAGCCTGTTGTCGTTTAAACAGATACGGGATTTCGAGTTCAAGGTTGTTTGGTTGGCTAAAGTCACCATTTGGCGGACAGCGAGCGAGAACAAAGGCTCGACTACAGAGCGTAGGTCAAAGTCGCGTGCGAATGCGAGGAGTCGTCATGCGGATGCTGCTGCTGCTGCTGCTCTCACAATAAGATCAATATTCATACGTAGTACTCTGTATTTCTCGAAGTCCTTCGTGAGCAACCACCAGATTCTTAGGTAGTGGCAGCTGCGTCGGCTCTAAAAATGGACAGAAAAAGAAAATAAAAACACCCGGTCACAGTCAGACTCGACTGCCATACTACCAGGCTATTCTCGCCCAGAAACCTCCGGGATACTTCCTGACCATCATTTTTCTCAGCTCATCTAGACCCAAGAGTCCGACGCCAAAGGTCATCGGCAGGAACCAATACTCGACGGGCACGTTGTCGCACCCAAGGGCCTCGAGACCGGGAACGAGGGTGAAGATCAAGGCCACGACCAGTGCAAAGAGCAGTGCAGGGAACAGCAACCAATTCCGGGTCGCTTTGTTGAACAGCGGCGGGTGCTGGAAGATGGACAAATGTCGGGTCCGCAAAGCCATGACGTTGAACCACTGCATGACCACCAATGTGACGAAGTAGACGGAGCTCGCAACGGTGAGATGATGGGTCACTTCGTCCTGCGTCATGCCCGTCGGAGGCGGGTTGTTGCCGAATGCGAACCACAACGAGCCGAACGATATGCCCCTGCGCGCGAGATACCAGTAACTCATCGCAAAGGCGCTGAAGGTCTCGAGGATACCGACCAAGCCGTAGGCCTGTAACAAAAGGCGCCAGTCGACGAGTCGGTCATGCTGGACATCGCGTGGGGGCCGCAGCATGACATCGGCCTCGGGCTTCTCGTAGGCGAGCATCGTTGCCGTGATGCAGTCGGTGAAGCAGCAGATGATGATCATGAGGAAGCTGGACAGCACTTGTGGCAGGCCGAAGATGACGCTGGTCATGACGGGCCAGAACTCGGCGAACGAACCCGCGGGGAGGAGGTAGGCGATCGTTTTCTTCAGGTTGTCGAACACCACGCGGCCGTAGAGGACGGCTTCCGGAATGGCGGAGAAGGAGTCCAGAAGGACCATGTCGGAAGCCTCGATGGCGATGTCGGATCCCGAGGACGGCGCGATGCCAATGTCCGCTTGTTTCAAGCTGGGCGCGTCGTTGACTCCGTCGCCAGTCATGGCGACAATATAGCGGCGTGACTGGAATTCCTTGACGATCCGGAGTTTCTGGTCCGGCGTCGTCCGCGAGAAGACTACTTCGGTGTACTGTGTCGTCAGGGCGTGCCATTGGTGTGGAAGCAGCGTGATGAGCTCCGGTCCGGTAAGTACAATGGCCTTGTTTTCAGCTGGCATGAGGAGAGTTCTCTTCGGGGCTTTGGACCGAGAGAACCGAGAGACGGGCTTGGCCTCGACGTCTTGGGGAGGGAAACGGGGCAAGTTCTTCACACTGTGGATTTGCGCGTCTGGCACAGTTATGATACCACACGATCTGGCAATGGCTTGCGCGGTCAGTTTGAAATCACCTGTGACCATCATTGTGCGGATGCCTGCTCGGCGAAGTGTTTCGATCACGCTGGGGACTTCCTCTCGAGGTGGGTCCACGATGCCGACCAGCGCAATTAGAGTCAGACCCCGACGAGCATGCTCGATTGCCTCGGCCTCGAAGTCGTTGTCGCTCGGATCCGTCTTCACAGTGTCGCTGTACAGAGGTTTACGAGCAATGAGCAGGACACGCTTGCCCTGGCTCGACCATGCATCTTTCGTTGCTTCGATCGAAGATCGGATGCCCTCGTCAAGCTGGTGAGTTTCACCATCTTCGCCAACGTATTTCGCGCACCTGGGCAGAAGAATGTCGGGCGCTCCTTTGATCATCAAAAGCATGTCCTTCTCGACGTCGAACGTGCCGTTCTCGGCAGCGCCCATCGTCATCGCGGCAGCAGCCACGGAAACAGCAGACGATACTCGTAGGGCGAACTTGTTCTTCGAGTTGAAGGCCAAATCGAACCGTTTGCGCCACATGTCTCGAGATTCTGTGGTTGGCCCAAGGCTTTCCGACAGTCTCAAGATAGCTTGATCCGTGGCATCGGCAATGATCCTTCTCTGAGCGAGAGGGAGATGGATGGTGGTAGGGTCGAATTCACCAGCATTACACACAGCTGATGCAATGCGAAGTTGCTCGAGCGCTTGCTTTCTTGACTTGCCTTCGGACTTTTCATTGATGACTTCTTGCGCGGCTTCGATTGCTGTCATTGTGCTGAAGCCAACCAAACAGTCGGTGACGACCATTTGGTTTTTTGTGAGAGTCCCCGTCTTGTCGGACAAGAGAACCGAGACAGACCCAAGGGTCTCGACGGTTTTCAATGATTTGCAGAGGATGTTGTTCTTCTTCATGATGTTGGCGGTGATGGTGAGAGACGCCGTGAGAGCAATAGGAAGACCTTCGGGTACGAAGGCAATAGCAATGCTCACAATGTCGACAATCAAGGTCGCGACATTCATAAAGCCGGGATGGGCATGGCGGATGTAGCCGGCCCATACCGCAATCACAATGATGTTCATTGCAACCATCAGCGAGACGATGATGGTGACGAATCGAAGGACCTCTTTTTGCAGGGTGGTTCGACCGGTAGATGGTTGACTGGTCAGTTTCGCAATGTGACCAAAAACAGTATTGTCTCCTGTAGCCACGACGACGCCAATGCCGCTTCCCGATGTACAGTGAGTACCTTGCATACCAATGCATTTTGTCTCAAGGTAGTTTTGCTCCGTAGAGTCGATGACCGCGGCTAATGGAAGCGATTCTCCAGTCAAGATACTCCGGTCGAATCTGGCGTCTGAAGACACTTCAACAAAACGAACGTCGGCGGGAAGCTTGTTGCCGGCCTTGAAGAATAGAACGTCTCCAGGGACAACCTCGGATGCTTGGATGGTTTGCTGGCTGCCGTCTCGCAGGACGTTACAGTCCTCAGGTAGCATGCCGGTAATACTATTCATGACCCTGGACGAGGAAAAGTCTTGCCATGCGTTGAATGCTGCTTGGATAAGGAACACGGCAGCCAGGACTATGCCCAGAGCGAGGTTCGCTGGAGCAGGCGGTTGACCGAGGGGTTTCCAGGAGACAAAGACGAGGATACTGCCAATGAGCAGAATGGAGCCGAACCCGCCGAAGAAATATCCGAATAGTTTCGATGCCAGTCGTGATGGCGGCGGCGATGGGACGTTCCGGCCAAACTCGGCTGCTTTCTCCTTGACGCCAGCAGCAGAAAGACCGGACTGTATTGATGTCTTCAAGCGTGTGCACACCTCTTCGGCGGTGATCGTGTGCCAATCGAGGTTTCCGACATCTAAAGGCCATGAGAAGATATTCCGACACGATGTACCAGCCCGTGGACAGGAAGAGTGGCAGTGGCTAACCAAGAGCCTCTCGCATCTCCTGTCCAGAGGACCGGTAGCGTGGTACCGTAGGTCAGAACATACCTATTGCGGCCTTCTCTCGCGGATCCTTTGCCCCGGCAGCCGCTTTATCATCGGCATTGGTGATGGTGTAGCTGAGAGTGCGATATTGGACTGGAAGAACGAGGGAAGGGTCGACAACACGTCCGCTTCGCACGCTGGATATCGATTGAATTGAAAACGCCGAGCTCCGTCTTCTGAGCGGGCGGGAAGGACCAGCAGCACCCTGCGCTTCCTCATCGTCGTCAAAATATCGAATGCGACGCCTTGCAGCGAGGTCGGGCGGCAGGCTCTCATCTTCCAACTCCTTGGGCGAGACAACGGCAAAGTCCTTTTCCGCGCCGTTCTCAACATCGTCTTCAACCGCCATCTTGTCCGAGACCAAAGATAGGAGAGGGCAACTTTGGGGCAATGGTCACGTAGCGCAGGGAGCGAGAATAGAGCAGAGAAGCAGCCTGGACAGAAAGGAAGAGGAAGAGAGCATTTTGTGAGATGGAGAAGAGGAGATTTCCCTTACCTTGATATATGCAGCTCAGTACCACGTGGACGAATACCGCTGCCACTAACTGGCGTCTCATACAACGTGCGCATGATTTCCTTTCTTTTGCATGAGCTGTAAGAGAGGTCCTCCGTTCTGAGATATTTGCAAAGAGCTGGCGAGGCCATTCAGCTTGAGAGGCGCATGGTCGCCCAGCGACTAGATTAGGCTATGGCTAGATTCTCTGCGCACGATCGACGATGTAAATATAACATGGCGCTCAGACCAAGAACCGAACTCGAAACACCGATCAGGAGAAACATGGAGAACAGAATGCTCCAAACATCAGTAACTGGAACAAAATGCCTCAGTGCTTAACGTGAATTGGAAGGTCAAGGCAGCAGCCACGTCTGGTCGGGTGCGGGATGTGCACGAAAGATGCAGTGCCAGATTGTGGCTATGGCGGCGGGTACCATTGATTCCAAGATGTCTAGCTCCAGTAAATAAAGTCTCGATGCCAATGTTTCAAGCAGTCTGGATAGCAGCAGAGCATTGCGATTGGTGCTTGCTTGTCGAGTACTGAGATCCTCGTATAGGAATCTCAAATTATTGATTGTAGGCGCAACCATCTTCCCATCTGCAGGATCAAAAAAGTAATGAAGCCAGCGTTGTTTGCCTGTTGGCAGCCATGGGCAGTCTCTGCGGGCAGTCCATCGTAATCTGAGTTTCCAAGCCGGTTGTAAAAGTCTTCCTCACGCAGTACCACAACTTCAGGTGGCTGTGTCGATAATGGAGAAAGCTTGTGAAATCCTGATATACGGTCCTTATTAGGCGAGGTTCCTGCGCGGTATGCCAGATACTATGAGGCATTTATCGTGCTTCCATCGCTCTGTATCGCGGACGAAGGGCGCAAAGACAATGCCAGGTTGCCTGCAGTAGACTGTGGCACTGCAATCCTGTTACATCATTTCAATACCATGCGAAATACCATGCGAAATACCATGCTTGGGTCATATTTCTGAGGTTCGAAATGCGAGGAAGTCCTGTGTTTGTAGGGCTGATGATGAGCTGTTCAAACAGCATCGACAAAGCCGGTAAGGATTGGCGGAAAGTTTGTCCGACGAACCTCAGCAAAAAGCTCCCTATCCACAAGTTCCTCTTCCACGCGTTCGCTCGGCAATTGTTACAACGTGGACGATACTCGCTTGTTGCTTCTGGGTGCTCTTGCCCTTCCAGCTGGTCTCCAAAATTCAAGCGGTGGTAGAGAACAAGAATCAAGGACACAGCTGCCTGGAGGCTCTGAAAGAATTGCTCCAAGATGGCCTCGATCAGACCCATTCCCAGTTCAGTACCAAAGTCCCAGCGTCAAAGCATTCCTCCAGCAGCACTCTACGGCACTCCGGGTGGGGAAGTGAGGTTGCGCATTGCTACTGGTGGAGCTGGTCAATCAGGACTGCTTCAGAAGCTGGCCGAAGAGTTTATCGATGCGTGAGTGTAGCCCTCTGGCCTTGCGATATAGGACACTCTGAAGCGGTGATCGAGCCGATTTCGCCTCTTTTAAAAAATTCCCTCTCACCTGCAGTATGTAGATACACCCAGCGCACTTCGACCCCGCCTTTTCAGATCGCCTGGATTGCCACCGATACTTCACTGAGCTTCAATGCCCTTGCGACTGGTGCAGCGGATTTGAGCATCACGTACCATCCCTATGCAGAGGCGATTGCTCTTCGACAGGGGATTGCCACTCGATCAGTGTATGCCTGGCGGGATCATTTCATGCTTGTCGGTTCGTCTCTACTCGATGGCAGACTCGTCATATATGGACATGTTTTGTTCGTGTTGGAATTGAGCTCACGATGTGTGCCAGGGCCTCGGTCGAACCCTGCGAACTTACCTGTAGATCAGACTCTAACAATAAATGAACTGTTCGCGCTGGTATTCCAAGCAGCTGTAGAGACATCAACATCACCTGAACCGGTCAAATTTCTATCCAGGTACGATAAGTCAGCAAATAATATTCGGGAGTCGAATATCTGGAGCTCCATCGGCCAGACGCCTTGGTCCCATCCTTATTCCTCTTGGTATCATCGATACATTGACTTTCCATTCGGAGCTTTGAGAGCAGCAAGCAGACTTGGTGAGTACACGCTCGTTGACAGGGGTACTTGGTATGCAGTCGGAGGCGAAGTCAGGAACAAAATGATGGTTTTTGTGAGTAGCGATCTCGCGAGAGGATGTTGCAGGTTATTGATTGTGCGATTAGAAGGAGTCCTTTGATGCTCAGCAAGACGATCCCTTGATCAATCCAGCGCATGCTCTTGTCGGGTCCCTTGCGAAGGAAGGAGACCTCGCGGAAGCATTTGCCGACTGGCTTAGCCAGGCAGATGGAGGGCAAAAGGTAATCAGGGATTTTGCGACCAACGGCACAATCCTCTACTCTCCAGTACGAATGAACGCTCAGCCGCAAGACAGCCGCAAGCGGGCCTTCAAGCTCTGAAGAATTTCGTACTACAATACCAAGTAGCATCCCACCCTAGCTCAGTGTAGAGTAGAAGCACAACTTATAGCCCGATAGGGCCACGTCGATCCAACTACGTCGAAATGCGGACGCTGAGACCTTCTTGCAGGTCAGACGGAGTTGCAGGGTGACGCTAAGGCAGAGCCTCTCGGCCAGGACGACCACGGCTCTCTCCGGGATTGACAGCTTCGCAAACAGCGGAGGCCTGTCGAGCTGAAAATCGATTTATTCTCCGGATGGATTTGCAGGGAGCAAAGGCGACCACGGAACGAGCTCCACGAATGTAGTCTCTGCATGATCATGGCACGAGCATAATATCTTCGGTTGCGAGATGCTGTCTGTAGTACCTTATCGGTCTCGTGAGTTCGAGGTGAAAAAGGGTGAAATGAACGCATATATGTGCAATGTGCCGTAATGTCGGTTCTCACATCCAAATGAACATTTAAAGAAAGAGAACCCATGGTGGAGAATCTCACACTTGTGTGTAGTTTACGTGATGCGGCCTGAGATTTATGCAACCTGGTTACGGAGTCACTGGAGTAGAAGCCACCTGCAAGCAGAAAGGTGTTTCAGGATTCTCGTTCCGAGGTTTGGTGCATCAGGCTGCTGGGGCGATGGAGCTTGGCGCCCATCATCGCCTGTTCAAGACTACAGCTGGAAAGGCAAGGCGCAGAAATAATGATGTGCAGGAGTGGGAGACGCGTGGCATGAGTTCTGCATCTGACTCAACAAGGCCGCCTTGCAATCCGGACGCTGATATTCTCTAGAGGATCGAGTGAAGGCGCCGAGGACGAAATGAAATTCTACCGTGTAGGAAGGTGGAAGATGAAGGCTTGAAGCCATCCAACAAGGTGTCAATGTGGTCGACAATGAGATGCTCCAATGACACGAGATAGGCAACAGTACGGGCATGATGCATTGGCTTTGTTGATTGATATGCACAAGTTACCTGGTAGTTATCGTTGAGGACAACGGGCCTTCTGGCTGATAACTGCGGTCGATGATGCCCTTCAGCAGCCTAGACGCCTAACAGACCCCTGGACCATGTGCTTCACTTGGACCTAGCGGACCCCAAATAATCCCGTTGCTCGGGGGCAGGCCCTTGGTGCATGATGCTGCCCTGTTTCGTCTCGTCGACCGGCTGTTGGCTGTTGTGTGCCCTGCCCGCCCTGCTCCTGCGCATGCGACTCACCCATTGCTAGGGACTAACTTACTGTTCTGCGCAGTTGTTCAATCATCATCCTCCTTCACCATTCTTGACCGACTCAATCATCATCACTATCAATTCTCACCTTCGCCACTGCTTTTCAGCTCATATCAACTGAGCTCTACATCTTCCACCGCGTCCGAGACCTTTTCCTTTCTCGCTCGCTGAAGCATCAAGGCCAACCCCCGTGGCAGTACTCGGTGCAGTGTCTTAGCCACATCCACACTAAACTACCCCGAAAAGGTGCTTTTCCTGACAATCATCTCTCAACCTCTTTTACACCATCTCGTCGTAACCTTTCTTCCTTTACCCATCTTCGCGCCCTATCATCCTCTCCAACCATCCCGGACCTCCCGAATCCAACTGCTGCCTCGCATACCATCATTATTGCCATTCTCTAGACTTCTTATCTGACCAAGACCGCAGCAGCCACCATGGCTGAAATCCGTCGCAAGCTTGTCATCGTTGGTGATGGTGCCTGCGGAAAGACCTGTTTGTTGATGTGAGTACCCCTGCAAATCTAAAGCTCATTCGACCATATTTACTGACTGCTTGTTTTATAGTGTCTTCTCCAAGGGCACATTCCCTGAGGTGCGCAGCCTATCCTTCCATCTCACAGTCCAGCCGAACCGACCCTATCTCGTGCACGCATTCAAGAGTCGGTCAATGGCGATAATACTGACAAGTGACTGCCACAGGTCTATGTGCCAACTGTCTTCGAGAACTACGTTGCGGATGTCGAGGTCGATGGGAAACATGTTGAATTGGCTTTATGGGATACGGCAGGTCAGGAAGATTACGATCGTCTCCGACCTCTGTCCTACCCCGACTCTCATGTTATCCTGATCTGCTTCGCTATCGACTCTCCCGATTCCCTCGATAACGTTCAAGAGAAGGTACACAATAGCAGTTCAATGTCGATTGATGGAAACTGACATCCAAATCCAGTGGATCTCCGAAGTCCTCCATTTCTGTCAAGGCCTCCCTATCATCCTCGTCGGATGCAAATGCGATCTGCGACATGACCCCAAGACTATCGAAGAGCTGGCCAAGACATCCCAGAAACCCGTTACACCAGAGCAGGTACGTTGGCATTTCTACCCAATGGTGGCCTTCAATGGAGGATGAACCAAGAAGCTGACGATGATACATTCAGGGCGAGGAGGTTCGTAAGAAGATCGGCGCCTACAAATATCTCGAATGCTCGGCCAAGACCAACCAAGGCGTCCGTGAAGTCTTTGAGTCGGCCACTCGTGCGGCCTTGTTGACCCGGAAGAGTGGAAAGAGCAAGAAGTGCTTGATCTTGTAAACAAGCGGCTGAACTTTCAGCGACAGAACATGATGGACTCATTAGCTCCCCCGACTTTATACCAGGATATCACCAAACGGGTGCAAATATCCATCTACGACCGCACTTGCCCTTGTTCTTGCTTCGACACAGGTCCGGTTCGGTGGCTTGGTCGTGCTGCTTTGTCGGCGCTGATACATTAGTTTTGTTTTCTTATCGAGCGATGGATGGGTTGATGGTTGATCGCAATCAAGATGAGAATTGCGCAGAGGCTATGGATGGGCAAGCTCGGATGGTACTACAAAGCATGACGGCGTTCTACAGTCGAGACATGTCGAGTCATCAATCGAAATAGGAAATCCATACACGGCGTTGTGTCCTCAGGGCTTTGGGTTCCCCTTACAAGCACTAATCTCCCTTTCCCAAATTGCACTCTCTGGACTAGACAGATCCTCAAACTAAGCAATGAAACGGACTGCACTTTTATCACTCCACAGACACACTTTCCATACGACTCGGCAACTACTACCCTGTGATCTGGCTGTTTATACAGTCACTGGAATCATCAATCATGAACGAAGGTGTTGTCTTGGGACGCATTTTGAGGTGGACCGAGTTGACCCTGCGCTCGGGTTGAATCTAACAGCCGGCACAAAGATTCCGAGATTCTACAACAATTTTCAATCCATCTGAGACAGTATCACTACGCCAGGAACCTCCATCAACCGCTTCATCTGACGTTCGATGTCTCGTTGTGATAGCACGTGCTCGTTTTGAATAAGGCTGGAAACCGCCAAGGCATATCACGTGCTATGCCGCCTCGTTGTGACGTAGAGGGAAACGATGTACCGTCGAGTCGTCGACTCAATGCACGCCATTTGCCGTCCTGCACTTTTGATCGCTTTGTCGCCGTTCGCGTTGTCAGGAATGATCGAGATGGAGAGTATTAGTGATCGTGCCGAATCTGAAAAGTAGAGTCACTCTATGCTGTCCGACATGCAATTCAGGGCACAGATGCGCGACGATCGACACTCTTCGCGACGATGTCTTCCTCCAACAGCACGTCCCGTGTCGTACCAGCTCAGCTGTCCTATCTCGCGATATATAACCCCTCTCTCGGCCCTACCGACGAAACAGTGCGCGACCAGATTGTTTTCTACTACTCCAGAAAACTAGAGGAAGAAAGGGGAGAGAAAAGGAAGGAAACGACTGCAAGAGGAAGCGGGCAGGCGCATGAAGCGAAGCAAGAGGGCCAGCAAAACCGAAATGAAAAAGACGAGGAAGCACAAGAGAACGAGCGCCTGCGTCAGGTTGGACTGGCACAGGGAATGGTGGATTTCGTAAAGTAGGTAGAGAGCAATTCAATCATAATCCCAGCACCCCCTGCAATTCCACAATATCTCTGCGCATGCTATGCTTTTGGAAATTGTAAAGCCTGTCTGATTGTTTGATTTTTGACAGAAACTTCTCAAATGGAGTGCCTCTAGAGTCGATCCAGACTGAAAAGTCCCGCGTGGTCCTGAAAGAAATCGAACCTCAATGGTGGATCCTTGCTGCGGTTGATTTGACCAAGCTGCCATTGAGTACAGCCGCCTCAAGTGCAAAAAAGACGCCGAATATCGCCACCAAAGATTCGAGATCAACTGAGGTTGTGCCGGCGGAAAATGTCGAGTATTCGTCACGGGAAGTGGCTCCTGCTCAACTCCTTCTTGCTCAACTCACACATGCGCATCGCGGCTTCCTGCTACACCACGCATCCTGTTTATCTGAACTCTGGAAGAAGCATGAGAATAATAGGCGGTTGTTTTGCGAGTTACTAGAACGGTATTGGACTCGTTTTATCTGGAGCTGGGACGTGCTTTTGCATGGAAACCCGGCCACAGAGCTTTACGATGCTGTCAGGCTTGCTGGTGGCGGCGAACTTGGAATAGGTGTGGGTGAGGAAGAATGGGGTAGCGGCGAGAGAGAAGTCTTGGAAGGCTTCGTAGACCGAACTGAAGGGCTGCTCGACCTTATTGTGGGACGATACGGTGATTCACCAGTGGCTGAAAACCTGGAGATGCAGGACAACGGCTCAAAGGCAAAGCTGGTGTCGCATGACCCTGCCCCTTGGCTTGGTAACGGAGAGGACATAGGAGCCCAGGATGGGATCATCTTTTCCGGGATCGGGGGAATTTCTAGGCAATCACTCGTCACTGTGTCGAAGTGGATGGAAGGGATCTATGCACAAGGTGAAACAGCATATGGTGTTGGGGATAATCCCAAAACTCGTCCAAGACCGCGCAGGAAAAGGAGGAAAATGGACGGTGAGTCTCCACGGGAAAAGGTCCACCGAAGCCAGCAACCACAGGGGGAAGAAGTGCATCCTAGAGTGTCCTCGATACAGAACAAGGCTCCTGACCTTCGGCGGAAAGCCATCGAAAACAATGCGACACTACCGGGAATACCGCCGCCGTTGATCAGTGCGGTGGAACGGTCTCTGAACGAAGCAACGGCCAAAGCAAGTGATTCAGCTCAGCAAGCAGCAAAAGACAGCCAACCTAGGCCAGACCAGAGCCAAAAGGAGCAAGAATCCAGTTCTTTATTTGGCGCCGATAAGATGATGAAGTACCTGAGTCTAGGCTACGGCTCTAGCTGGACTTTGAATCGCAGAGGCTTCAGTGGTGAAAAGGAGTCTAATCAAAGTGCAACCGAGTCTGAAGAGGATGAGACCAAGTCGGAAGTCGAGCTTGACGCGCACTTGCACGAACTCGATCCCACGCCGGAAGTCAGCGATGAAGAAGCTCCCTTCGTGCAACGGCTCGAGCAATCAATTGGCAAATTCCTGATTGGCCTATCTGGTGATCTGGAGAACGCCGAATTCGAGGACGACACCAAGGGCGACACGAAAGGGAAGGCTTCAGATCCAAGTAAAGATGTCGAACGATCACCTTCGCCAGCATTGAGAACATCGAATCGGATCTTCCTCCGCACGCTCACCATGGAAATGTCGTCTTCACGAACGGCACAAATCTCCGATCCAGAACGAGCGTCCTCCCGGCTCAGTGGATCGGTTACCGACTCCGAAGATGCCAAGGGCAAGACCAGTGCCGCAGCATCAGTAGATGGTCCTCAACGATCGAATATTACGCACGAGAAGGTCCAGGTCGCAGTCTACGTTCATCAGCCATTCATCTTTGTCTTCTTATTCCAACTGCGTACGCCTAACTTGACCGTGCCAGGATTTTATCGTGCAATCCATCATACTCTCGGGCCTTTGCAGAAGAGTCTGCTCAGAAGTACGGATCCTAACCGATGGAGAGATCGTGTGAGAGAAGCGCTAGAGCCCGATTCCGAGTTGTCTCCTGATGAGCAGGAAAAGAAAGACCTTCCCGAGATATACGATCTCGTCTATGACCCGGCAAAGAGGACAGTACGAACGTCGATACCGAACATTCCTATTCCTGGCAGCCTTGCGGCTGAAGGTCTGCATCTGACACAAGCGAAGTCCGTCACGGTTTCTGGCTCGTGGTATACCCTCGGCATACCCATTGGATCGTCCCCCACGAGTGGCCCGGAAACGACCAGGACCTCGTCACTAGTGAAGAACAACTGGACTCGCGTTGAGGCGCTGAACGTGCACACGCATATCCTGAATCTCTGGACTGCGACCCGGTCTACCACGTCTAATCGTGGACAAGCGACGGCCGACACTGACGAGTTGGAGAGGACTGTCAAAACCGCCCGGGGGTGGTGGGTCGTGTGGATGAAAGTGTTGCCACCGGAACCGGCGACTCTTGTTGGTGCTCAAACAGAAAAAGAAGCGATGCTGGTTAGGAGGTCACAAGATCGAAGCGTGACGGGCGCTGAGGTATCGGGGACTCGCTCGATGTCTGGGTTGAGCGGCTCTACGGGGAGATGGCTACTACGGGAGCAGCCACGGAGTCGCGAGGTCAGCGGATCGAGTCAGCAAGGACACAGTGGGAGATCGGGAGCGACGAATGCGAAGGGGATGAATGAGGGTGTTGGGGTGGATGCTAGGAAGTGGGTGGAAGGCCTGGTCAGGTTGAGTATGTGAAGTCTCCTTCCTGTTGTCTAACCACAATAATATCATTAGGAAGATCCGGGAACTGTTGACGTGCAAGCATCCGGTTCCTGAATTGGCTGGGTTTGCGCCTTGCCACATCAGTCCAAGCATCCAAAGTTGTTCCAAACGTCGAACTGTGACGAGGAGAACTTGGCTCTCTGCGGGGTTCTCGCGAGGACAAGCCCGAGAAGGCTTCGTGCCGAAACTTCCAGGTCGCCGAGTTGTAACTAGAATGCGGAGTAATGGAGGGATAAAGCTCTGTGCGTTTCGCGTCTTATACATTTCAGAGCTTCAAGACACTGTTGTACCAATTCGTTCGTACGCGATCGCCCAAAGCAACAATCAGAGCCTTGCGAAAGCGTTTGTAGGATCAGGAAACAACAAAGTACAAGATGACCACCACAGGAAGCTGCATGTGCGGCGCCATCAAGTATGAATTTACCGGGGAACCAAAAGTGACAGCTTTGTGTCATTGCATTGATTGTCAAAAGGTCTGCGCATCGGTTTCTGCTGCTTCATCCTTCCGCACAGTACCCGGCATGCTGACGTCCGTTATCAATGACAGTGGACTGGAGGCGCCTTCACTTCGAATGTGGTTGTCCCCCGTACTTCCTTCAAGGTCACCCAAGGTGAGTGGCAGACATCAACCGTTACGGCTCTGACTGAAGGTGCCTCTGTCGCAGGCACACCATCGACCTGGGACGGAGTGGGCGATTCGGGCAAGATCAACAAGCATTTCTTCTGTCCAACCTGCGGGTCAAGCTTGTATACCGAACTCGAAATCATGCCAGATGTAACATGTATCAAGGCGGGAGGTTTGGACGGCGGCAAGGCGGGCCTTGGAAACAAGGTCGATGTCGAATTCTACTGCAAGGATCGCGTTGGGTACCTGAAAAATGTCCCAGAGGCCAAGCAGGAGCCAGCGTTTAGTTGAGTATTCGTTTCTCAAGAGCTGTCAAGTCAGCCTCAGTCGACCATTGGTCAACATGTTAGTAGTAGGAAGCCCTGATAGCAAGAAATGAACCTGTCTCTTTCTCTCTTGTTGGTCAAGCCCCAAGTGAGCCTACAAAGCCTGCAATTCTGGCCTGAAGGCAACTTCATGCCATGGAAATGCATCGACCCTGGGCCAGAATCCCATAAACGTCACCATCTCAGCAGGTCGAACAAGCTTCGCAAGCAAAGCAACAACCTGGGCGTCCGGATGTCGTCAAAGGATTTCGCAGAGAAAGATGCACAGTGAGCCAGGGTCAAGTTTTGCTCGAGGATTGCTACGACGAGGCTGAGCGAGGCTGCGCTTTATCACGTGCCTGGCCAAATTTGAGTTTGACAGGTCTGTACTTACCATATACGGACTAGCTTCGTGTCTCGGATCTGCAACAAAAGCTGAAGCCAAAAATCTGGCACGAAACGTCGCGCGTCTCAGAACAACGACAGTCTCACGAATCTCTTCCATTGACGAACCACGCCGGTTGCTGGCTCCGAACCTTGACACCCTTTCTCTACCTCTGGCAACTGTCAAGCTCAACCTGCGGCATCTGGTGTCTTATCGTTTCCATCGGCGTGCATGAAGATGAGATCCGGGGCACACCTTTCCCAATCTGTCCCTTCACGACTGCCATGACCTGCTACAGGGGACTCCCCTCAGGTGCTATGATTTGATCAGGGCGCGGAGAGTCTGTCGATCAGACCATGCCGTCGCTGAAAGCGTGCATCGTGGTCGGCCCGTCACGTCATACCAGTGACAAGATCGCAGCCACACGAGACGCTGTCAACCTGATCTGCCGCCAGAGATGGCGGCTCTGCTCCATTGCAATCGGATGGCACGGAATGAAGAGCGAGGCTGAATCTCAACCACCCATTATCACCACGGAAAACGTCTTTCCCGGGGAGGAGTCAGGAGTCCTGGATACCCCAATGTGACATCAAGCATTATCCAGTTTTGGTTCGTTCCATTTCGCCAATCTCTTATTTCGTCCCTTGGCTCTCTTCCCCCCAAAGTTGTTCCCTGCCCGGACGGATGTTTCCTTGTTGTCTGTTCGTCGTTCATTTATATATCTAAGGTGGACTGACCGCATTCGTTCTTTTCGCTCGTCGCTCGCTTTCCCTTACATTCCTTATTCGCGGCGCTGGCGCTGAGCGCTGGACGCTGCTATACATTCATTTCGTTCTGATACATTTCTGTGCTCTTTCAATTGTTGGGCTTCGCGGGTCGTGCTTGAATTGCAGGCAACGCACTGCCACGGGTCACCAGAAGATCAGACCTTTCGCAAATCAACTTTATATCACGCTCGCCGAAGACGCAGTCCTAACAGCGAGACACTTCACAGGATGCAGACAAGAACAACTCAAGTACTTCTTCTCGTTCTCACGTTGATTCTGGCTATATTCCTCCTCATAGCAGCATCCAAATATGCAGCTTGGAGTCACAGTATGACCACAGCACCAGGCAGCTGGCTGTAAGTTGAACTCCTTCCTTCTCCTCTAAAGCCCGACGTATGACCGATCACTGACGCTTGTCTCGATACAGACCTCTGGTATTCTATGTTGGTACCATTCCGCTCGTTTCTCTGGTCTACACCACCGCCCATCTAGCCGCTCTACAATTCAACGGCCTCCCGATCCCTCTATATCCCGGTACCCGCGGCCTTGATCCCTCGTACGACGCCGACTACACCGTCAGCAGCACGTTCTTCATTCTCACGGTCTCTGTCTTGCACTTCCTCGTATGGCTCGCCCAAGCCTGTCTCTGCACGGGCTGCGAGCTCGCGCCAATACTCTCAGGTACCCAAGGCCTCGTCCCGCGCTGGTGTCCTCAATCCCGCTTTAAAGACTCGGGCAAGCCCGGCCTAGCAGACATGCTCGGCACGCTCGCCACAGTTAAGGACTTTATGCAGTGGGTCATGGTTGTTTTGACAATCCTGCTCATCGAGTGTGCGCGACGCGAGTATAAACGGGCCGAGCATGTTCGGAGAGATATGTTCCGACGAGCAGGCCCCGGGGCGGACTTGGGAGGTCCGGGTGGAGATGCTAAAAGCCCAGCGCAGGTGCCACTCAGCAATATCAGCGGCCCGAGGATAGTATCGCCGGAAGAGATTGCAGCCCAGCAGAAGGCCCAGCAGGAGGAAGAGGAGCGGAAGAAGAAGGCAGCCGAGCAGCGGCGCATGGCGACACAGCTGCCTAGTGGGCCGGGGGTGCCGGCGAACAAGCCCGACAATTACTACGGCAATGGCATGGCGACCGGGTTGAAGAGAACGAAGACGCTGAATTATATGTACGACACGAGGGTATAGCATTCAATTCTCGGTGCGGCGAATGCCGAGAGGTGGTTTGAGAGAGGATCTGTCCGGTTGGGTCGGGTGGGGTGGATGCTAATTTGGCATTGGCGAGCAAGAGGTTGATGAGGATGGAGTCCAACAAGGAGAAGAACGTATCCAGATTTATGAAGACACGATTTGCAGGAGATATCCAGGTCCAACCTCCGGTACAGACACAGATCAAGCCAGTCCATAGGTATCATAAATTCTATGGAGAGGGTAAGCAGGAAATATGTTGCTTGTAGTCGTACTCGTGCCGGAATCTAAGGCCTGAGGATACCGGCCGAGACTAGTAGGGAGAACTCGGCCAGTATTCTCTTAGACCTCGCCCATGATCCTTGTTCTCTCGGTGTTGCTCTCTTGCTCTTTTAAGGTATCTTGGTAGCCTCAGCATGTTACGTAAGCATATACGCCAAGAGATGCAATACATCGCAATACATCCCGCCGCCGTAAGTCAATCAAGACACCTAGGAACCTTACAATCAGCGAAGACAACAAGGTCCTCAACAGTGGATGAGGCGAGACTACAGCGGCTCAAGACAGCGAAGGAGGTAGACACTGTGATCGGAACTCAACGATCCTCAGAATGGCGGACCCTCTCTACGACATCTTGAAATCCCATCTCCCAACGACAACGGTCTCCACTGCATCAACCCCCAGCCCCGAGATATCCAGATATCTGTCTCGTCTAGTCTCCCTCCGGCTCAGCGACCTGACTACAACGGAGCCGCAATCCCTGGCCCAGTCTGCGCACTCGAATCTCGTCTCGATCCAAGCACTAAGCTCCCGCTCTCACCGCACAACAACCACATCGTCCGACCACCTATCCACACTCCGCTCATCGCTGCCAACGTTGTCGTCCTCAGTCGACGCTCTTCGCCAAGCAATACCAGATCTCGACGCCAGTGCCGTCGCCTTTGCATCATCATACAACCGCTCCAAGGACGAAACGACAGGCGGCAACGCGCTCTTGAACCTTCGCCGTGAATCGGCCCTCCTCGCCCGCCAGGCCGACAAGGCTCAAGACATCCTCGAGCTGCCGTCACTATTATCAGCAGCAATCGCTTCGGCCAGCAGCAATGCCACCGCCACGTCAACGTCCGGAGCCAACTACAGCCAAGCCCTCGACTTGTTCGCGCACATCAAGCGCCTCGAGATCCTCTACCCAGACTCAAAACTCGTCAAGTCCGTCCTATTCGACGCCGAAATCGCCATGAAGGACATGACGACGAACCTCATAGCGAGTCTTCGGTCACAAAACATACGCCTTGCCGCGGCGATCCGGATGATAGGTTGGCTGCGACGAGTTGCTCCCGAGCTTGGGACAGGATCAACTAATACCGGCAGCACCGCCAACTCGCGAAGCACGCAGTTCAAGACGATGCAAACTCCTCAACTTTCGTTATCCTCAACCACCTCAACACCATCTCAGGGGGAAGGCCACTTCGGCGCGCTCTTCCTCTGCGCCCGCCTCGCCACATTCCTCAGCATGACCGAGGCCCTGGCTCCGCTGCGCGATCTGGCAGACCAGGAGACGCAAGCTCGCAAAGCGGATCATTCCACCACAACCACAAACCGTCGTGGACCGAATACGCCGGTTGGAGGTCCATCGCATCCAGAACCTCCCCGCAAGCCATCAAGCAGTGGATCGTACAACGCGCTCGCCGGCCAACAAACGGACCGCTATCTGAAGCGATACATTGAAATTTTCCGAGAACAGTCCTTCGCGACAATCAGCATGTATCGGAACATATTTCCGGACGACGAAGGCGATGGCCAAGGCACTGAATATAGAGATGGAGACAAAGACAAAGACAGTAACACATCGTTGTCGCGGTCACCATCATCATCATCATCATCATCATCATCCTCATCATCATCCTTATCGCTATCACTCCCGCCAGCACTACAGTCTTTCCCACTCCATCTCGTCGAGATGTTCATGGCGACACTGAAGCAGTATCTACCCAACGTCACCGATCCGGCGGCAAGAGAGTCTCTGCTTATGCAAGTCCTCTACACGGCGAACAGTTTGGGCCGGTTAGGTGCGGATTTCAGTCTAATGATTGCGATGCTCGATGAGGACGATGTGGAGGATGAAGCCGAGACCGGTACTGTCGCAGAGGCCACGGGCTCGGAACAGAGAGCTGAAGGAGACGTTGATGGGGAGTCGAAGGGCCAGGACGGCCAAGATCAGCAAAAAGCTCGAGACGACAATAGCGAAGTGGAAGACGGGAAAGAGGAAACGGAGAAGGAAAAGGAAAAGGAGCCTCAACCACAACCACAACGGCAGCAGCTGCCAGAACCAGAATGGATCTCGGTCATCAAGAAGCATCGTGTTCAGGCTGCGAGGCTGGAAGCACTGGCTGCCGGGCAGGATCGGGTTGTCCAGAGACGAGGGTCGAGTGACATCGCGTACGATGACATGCAGGTTCGCCATTGTCAGGTCAGGGAGTAGGAGATGACGATGATAGAACTACTCCGTAGATAGAGACAGAGAACAATGTGAAATTCCCCAGGTACTTTCCACAGCAATGCACCGTCTGGACCCCAAAATTGTACCAGCCGGACTCAGAACAAGACTGCCCCTCTTGAATTGAGGAATCCATATGCGAGGGAACAAGTTGTAAGCGTGCCACCAGATGTTATCAATTACTAGCTGTCTTACTCAGTTTTCCAGAACCCGTCCATGACCATCATGCAAGGCATAAGCGTACTACGTAGTAAAGCGATAGCTTCTTGTAGGAATACGGATTTCCCCCCTCCTTTTGACTCCCGTACATTTTGTTTAGACGCCGATACTTTCAAAAGCAACAGAGACCACTCTTCTTCAACGCATGCCATGCGCACACGTCACCCAAAAACCACACAAACAAAAGACGCAAAGCACTATCCGCTCAGATCATGGACCCGGAAGCCGAGTTTATGCTTCTTAATCCTAGGGATGACACCCATCAAGACCAAAATGGCGGCCACAATGACCGCCCACAACTTGATATGCAGAACATTCTGGTTGAACGACGTCTGCGTGGCGGCCGCGATGACAGCCAAGATGTACACTTGTATGATATACCCTGCGACTCTGTAGTTGGGGGTGTGTGAATGTCAGTCCTCTTTATACACACGCTCGGCCACAAATGCAAGAATGCATTCCTCGCATTTTGTTTTTCTCGGTGATCTTTGGGGTGATTCTTTGGCCACTTACCTATGATATTTATAAAGTGCCTTTGCATTGTCCACGCCGCCAAATACCTGGGGCGTGTAGAACTGGGCAAACCCGACCAACCACTGGATCAAGATGAGAATGTACGCGACCAGTCCCATCTTGCCGTGGATGCTCTGGAAGCGAGTTTCCGGGTGTGAGGCCTTGTTCCTTTCAATGATCACCAGCCCTGCGATCAGGCCTAGATTGATTTGTCTTCGTCAGGAAAACAGTACCTAGGTATGTTGTAACAGGGGCCGGGGGTCTCCCTCCTCCAACGGGTGGTCGGCGGTTGGGGGAAACGAAAGGCAACGTACCTGCCACGCCCAACGTGTTGAGTATAGAATGCACATATGCGCCGTTGACTTTGTCTTTCTGGGCAGCGGTGGGTTGCAGGACGAGCACGCCCTGCACGAGGAGCAGGGTCGCGGCGGAATTGAGCAAAGGGTGGTAGGAGAAGAAGATGAAGTCGTGCTCGAAAATGGCAGCCCAGACGAGCGCGGTCAGGATCCATATTCCTGCTTGGGCGAGGATGGCTGTGAGAGTGGTAACGGTGCCCCGTGGTCAGTCTTGGTCTGCATAGCTTTTGGGCCGGCAGAAATAGGTGGGTGGATGGGTAGTGGCACAAAAAAAGGCAAAGGCTGCCTCGGTGTGTCTCTCTGCAGCTTACCTGTTCCTGTGACAAAGTTGAACTGCAGTCCTTGTCCTGGCCTTTGCGTAACGTCTCCGGGTCGTCCCAGGAGAGGTTCCTCCTCTTGCAAAGCCGGGTTTTGCTCCGGGATGCCTGTTGCCGATGCCATTGCTGTTGTTGCTGCTGCTGCTGTTGCGACTTGTAGTAACAGGCCTGACGGAGGATCCGGGCTTGTGTATCTGTTTTATTTTCGATGCGATGGAGAGGACACGGAAAGGAGGAGGAGGGACGACTGCGCTCGTGTGGCTCGGTACTTTATTTATCTGATCATCATATCGGTGGGATGACTGCGCGAGGGGTGGTCCGAAGGCATCAACATTTCAATCAATTGCTCAATCACCTCGATTTGCGGAGAATGGGTTGCATGATGGCTGCGCTAGACATGGATGTCGAGGCTTGAGCTGACCAATTTCACCTGCGGATTGGTTGTTGCGCGCGGAATATTCGATGTTGATGACGCCATTCTGCGCATTGGGTCTTGATCCATAGCCCTTGCGGTGGTTCTAGGCGGGGTGGGGAGGCTGGAATGGGCTCACCAGGCATGACCTAGGCATGACCAGGCCTGAGAAAGCCCCGGCTCTGGGTAAAGGTTTGTGCGAAGCCAACCATTCCATTGAATTTCTATCTACCCCGTACGGAGGTATGGAGTTATTCTATCCTCAGAGGTCTCTCGAATCTAAGCAGGCACATCAGGAGACAAGCACAAGCAGCGGCCACGGCGACAAAATCATACGGCAAGCCCAGCCATGCTCCTCCGCCGTTTTCCAGGCCGATATTGAACAACGCAGCCGTGACAGGATAAGCTATCATAGTACTCAGTGTCTCGGCGACAGCCAAAACAGAAAACACGCGACCCTTATCCTCAGTGCTCACGAGAGCAGCCGCAAGAGCTCGCATCGTCGAAGGTAATCCGGTCGAAAGCGTCTCGATGAGCATGCCGATGACCATGATAGCGGTGTTCGGCGCCAACCCAATGACAATGTATGCTACAGCGAGCACAAACAGTGACGCTCTAGTCATGACGACGTTTTTCTGAAGGACACTCAAGGAGAAGCGCTCGTCGATGTGGTTGGAGACCAAAGGAAGGAATGTCAAGAGCATCAGCGTCGTCGTTGCCGCTTGCACAGCGTAAAGCAGTGTAGCGTTCGCTAAAGTCCATCCGTATCGGTCGGACACATACCTCTGGACCAGGTCATTCAAGGCAAAGTACACTATCTTGAACGGTAATGTCAATGCCACAAAGATCAGTCGCCAATCACTCCATATCTTCAGGACTTGTCGCATTGATTTGCGAGATGCTGCAAATGAGAACTTTCGTCCTTTTGTCGGCCCTTCGTCGTGCTCCAATGTCGTTGTCTCTCCAGTACCTTGGCTGCGCGCTGTCGACTGGAGGGTCTCTGGTATTGTGACGATGGTGGCGAAGGTAAATGCCAGGCACGCGAGACCCAGATAGACAGCATACCAAGGGTCCAGTCGCATAAGAGCCCCGGCGATCAGAGGTCCGAGGACTCTGCCGAGATAGGCAAAGGACGTCGCACGAAAGAACGAATTCGCCAGTTGTCCTTCAGGACTTATATCCGTCATCATGCACACGAAAAGCATCTCGGTGACCATTGTCCCGCCGGTCAAAAGCCCAAAGCCACCAGCCAGCCAGACGGTGCGAAGGGGAATGCCTCCCCCAAACCAGGTGACGAACGTGATCCAGACTTGCATCAATGCTATGGACAAAGCATTGACGGTGAAAATCAGGCGTCGTCCGATGCTGTCCGCGAGCATGCCAATCGGGATGCTCAACAGCAGGCCAGGTACGGCCATGAAGACTTCGAGCCACCCCTTCAGTGAGGAGACTTGGGTTTGCACTGGACCGATCTTGCAATATGACTCCGGCATAGGACCGTTGAGTGGCAGATCGGGAACGGGATGCCGTTGATACCATTGTGCGCAGTAGATGTTCTCGTAGATTTGGGTTTGAGCAGGAATCAGAATCTGGAAGCCAAGATTGACGCAGAATACGACCGCATATAGTTTCCAGGTTGTCGTGTTGTGGACACGGGATTTGGCTTTTGATTCGGGTACTGAACCATCCAGCAAAGAGTCGTGTGGGGATGACTGTGAATCAGAGACGTCTTCGAGGGCCATGGTCTTGACGCTTGCTTGCAAAGTACCGATACTGGCTAGAGAATCTCGGTAAACTATATGGTTCCAATGTATGAACCCCAGTGAAGACTTGGAAGTGTACTGTGTAAAGATCTTTGGGAGAAACGAGAGTCAGGCCCAGCTACCCAAGTATCAGGGGTTGTTAAGGCCCCCCGGAAACGTTGCAGCCTGGCAGGGGGATGACAATGGGGCGGAAAAGGGTCGACATCACTCAATTGACGAGAAGGGTACGGAGACTCCGTAGGTGAATAGCTGATGCCCAATCATGATGAATCTTCGTATTTTCGCTTCTGGCTTCGATAGAACGTCACAAGAAGGTGGAATTAAAGTACCTGTTGATTTGGAAACAGAAACATGTTCGTCTCGATTTGGACTTCTAATTCTTTGCCCAGTGAAAACAGTCTAGAACCTGCTCCATTTGCTACTCTGCCTGATCCTCTTGCCAAATGTGAAGAAGAAAAATGGCACCGGAATTAATGCCACTGCGAAGAAGGCGAATATGCTCGTCCCCCACGGTATGCCAACATGATCGTACAATGGGGTCACAATAAGAGGAAATCTGTAAATCATGTCAATTCAAGGCTCTGGAAAAGTTTGATTGTACCACTTACGCTGCGGCAAAACATGATCTCAAAAAGGCTGGGAGCTTGCTTAGTACGACCGGTCGCACACTTGGAATGGCTTGACTTACTATTGGCGGCCACCGCGCTCGCAGCATATCGCTGAAAAGTGTCGACGAGGTAGTTGAGTGCTGCTTGGAAGATTGTGAAGAATCCAAGACCGGTCATGTAGAGGCCTATGACTGGGGCGATCCAATGAAACCTGATGCCATATTGTTAGCCCTGAGGAGAGCGCGTCAAAGTGCTGGACGATGCTTACTTGGGATCTGCCGTCCAGCCCGTAAGAAACATACCTAGCCTATATCAGCAATCTGAGTCTAGCCATGAAGCCAGTACGGAACTCACCAGAGCTGAACAAAAATGACCCAAACATCATCGGTGGGAGGCGCAATTCAGGGGCCACCTTCCCACCGGACTTCCGGTTGTAAATGATCTGATTGTAGACATTGATGGCTGCACCAGAGACCGCGCCCAGGAGTATCGCTAAGAAAGGCAATAATGAAGGGAACTCCTTCCAATGCCGGTGCTCTGCAAAGATGATTGGGATGGCGCCTGCACTAAATGTTAGCACTCCACGAAGTGCAAGAAGTACTCATCGCACGCACCAAGCTGCATGTACAAGATACCGTAGCAGAAACTTGCATACAAAGCCACCAGCGCGCAGATAGGTGTCAGCAAGAGCTGAAAGGGTCGGATTAAGAACTAGACTGGATCAGCACACACGAAAAGCCGTGAGCCGCCAGCCGCGACCAGAGGGCACACCTTGCTCGCCAGCTCTTTGATTGACACGTCCCATTCCTCAAACTTGGCATGTAAAGCCCAATTTCCACTCTGATGGCGCAACCGACGAGCCTTGTAGACCAGCAGGCGGGGAGGATAAGACTCGTCAAGAAATATGATGTCCAGGAGTAAGACGAATAGTTGAATGATACCCGTCAAATACTCCGTCCACCGCCAGCGCAGACTTGGTTGGACGACCAAGGCTGCACCGACAATTGGTCCGAAGACAGGTCCTATGACTACAGCCATAGCGTACGAAGCAATGGCAATGCCTCTTTGAGATGAGGGAAAGAGGTCGCTCAAGACGCCGCCCGTGTTCGTCACGGGAGCAGATGCAAAGAATCCGGCAAAGAACCTGGTGATCATGATGGTTTGGATGTCCTTGGCTGCCGCAGTACCAAACGAGAAACAAGCGGCGACAAACATAGGCGGCAGCACAGCATTCTTTCGACCATACACTTCGGACAGAGGTGCCCAGAGCAGCGGGCCAATACCGAAGGCGAACAGGAACAGTGTCGTTCCCAACGTGGCAGTCTGCATGCCCACACCGAATTGCTCTGCCACTTGCCTTGTGCCGGGGCTGTAGGCAGAAGAAGCCCAAGTTGCAGTCATGGTTGTAAATCCATAAAGGGCCGTGGTAATCACCTTCTTCTTCATCGCCCAGTTGAGTGGCCTGTACGGATCATCCAAACCATCGAAATCTACGAGATCTTCAACTGTGGTTTTCTGGTGCTCTAATGGGTGAGAGAAGATTCCAATTGGTGGCCGTGTTCGTATCCTAGACAAGACAGTCTCACGTCGAGTTACAGTCCGAGTCAAGGTCAAGTCACGACCCGAAGTGCGCGACCGTGAAGCGCTCGTGTCTCTCCTAGTCTTTTCGCTTTGCCCATCTTGTCCCGGGTCTGGAACGAGGTCACCGTACTCCGGATTTGTGGTTTGGCGAGAAAGGTCGCGCGAGAGTCCGCCTGAAGAAGTGGTGTCTGTCGGCGACAGTCTCTGGTTGGGCGTCTCTGCGTGATCTTTTGCATGAATATCGGACATGCTGAATCCGTGGTATATACAAGTTTCGCCCTCATCGTCTTTTCCAGGAAATGAAACTGTGGAGGCGAAGGTAGTGGATTTATCTGTCTGGGGGAGAGACTCCGATATCGCCGACGTCATGCGTTGCCGGCGCGGGCAGCCATATCCGGGCCTGTTGTTGAATTATTCCCTCCGTCTGACCATTGACAGATTAGCAGATTCGCGCAGATTCCAATAGTCTTGCTTGGCCAGTCGTGGTCAGACCAGCTTGGGTGCTTTATTTCCGGCTCGAAATTGGACCTGAGCCGTTTGAAGGCAGCCAGAAGGCACTTGGGTGCCGCTTTAGCCGCCTCGCTCAAAGTACGAGTCATGACTTTTTTGTCCTCCAGATTGACAACTCCCAGTTATCTACGGACTACAGCCCTGCATCAACATGTAAGCACGAGTGGGAGGAGTGTCAACCTGTTTCTGATGCGAGAAATGATATGACGAGCAAGATGTCGGCGTTTGGCCATATGCGAGCACTTTGATCTTTACTTTTGAGGGGCACAGCAGATTCTGGGTTGTTTATATCAGCCAGTTTGAGAAAGTGGCTGTGGATCGATCTAATCATGTCGGAAGTGTAGACATTGAATTACTGTCTAAAATATCCCTGTGAGCAAGATTGTAAAAGAAAAGACGCATACGGTGGTGACATGGTCGTGATTTCGGGGAACAGCTGGGTGGCCATCGGATGTGCGGTCTGCTATTTGGTACTGTGACACTAACTTACGAAGCAGATCTCTGTCATGTTCAGCCTCACGAAGGCCCCATAGGAGCCCTAAGCCCTGGGTTGGTTGACCTCGGAGATGCGCAGGTCTTTTATGTCGATCGACTGGGTACACAGTACTTTTGACGCAACTATCACACCACCACGACCACCCTACCCACGTGCCTACCATAATACAGCCATTGACTGCCACTCCAAATCGAGCAAGCTTCGTCCCTAAATCTCCTCATCTAGAAGCTATGCCCTAACTTGGGCCTGAACTATTGCTGACGGAAGATATGGGTCACCAATGCACCATCGAAAAAGGCCGGACTACGGATCTCGTAAGACAAAAGTCTCCTACACCTCGTGAGTATCTCGTGATGGACAGAGCCAAACGAACGCCAAAAGTGCTTGTTGGTGGACTAGACCAGGCACGAGCCAGTTGGTTACCATCCCCTCGTACCCTGTGCATACCCCGACAGCCCTCAAGATCGCCGACTTCCGAGTTCAGGCGCCTGAAAGGAAAGGCTACGAACCTCACTCTACGCTTAGACCAGTCATCGTTGAGGCAAGTCTCCGCGGACCATGTCATATATATAAGCCAGGGTAGGTCTGAAGCAATCCCATGTCGTTCCCCCCCTTGCAATATCGTCAAAGCCGTCCAGACACTGAGCGGCCACCCATGTCCGAACTGAAAAACACTACATCTGGTTCCATTCAATGTCGCTAACCAGTGCCATTGCCACGAATACCTGCTCGGTGCCTTCAGCAGCTCAGCTCGGGAGAGTTGTGGCACCCCTTTACCATGCCCGCACTGCCATCACCGGGCACCGTGCAGCTCTCATAACAGCTCCGGCTCCAGCTCCAGCTCCAGCAGAAGCCTGTGCGCCTTCGAATCCCGGACAGTCTCCACGACCTCGATATCATTCAACAATTAACCTCGCTCGCCCTGCGGGCACGTTCCCCATCCGCCTAAACAACATTTTCGCTCAGAAAGCGCCATCCGCACCGGGACGATATTTCTCGACGACGAGCGTGTCGCGACTTCGCGACTTCTTCCCATCGCACGAGACAAAATATATTCGGCAGACACCGCCGGCATGGCCGCACCATGGCTACTCGGAAGATGAAATGCACAAAGTCGCCCCCGCTCACCGGGAACCAAAATCCTTTGGTGACTGGGCCGCGTGGAAATTGATCAGGTTTTGTCGGTAAGCAAACCCTGACTTTCAACCGTACCCTACACGATGGGACTCACAACGTGGCAGATGGGGCATGGACAAAGCAACTGGCTTGAAACCAGATCAGCAGTCCGACAAGTCAAAACCCACCACAGCCGTGGTGGCGAGTAAACCGTTGACCGAGGCGCAATGGGTTAGTGCAGAAGTCCCGAAAGACGTCGAGAATTGGACTGACCTTTTCCTGGCATAGCTCGTACGATTTGTCTTTCTTGAATCCATTGCCGGAGTTCCGGGTATGGTTGCTGGAATGCTACGACATCTACGTTCTCTCCGCCGCATGAAGCGCGACAACGGCTGGATCGAGACGCTGCTGGAAGAATCTTTCAACGAGCGAATGCATCTTTTGACCTTCATGAAGATGGTAAGTCTACGTGGACACTGGTGGCAGATATTGCCAGGATCTCCCTGAAGCCCTCGTCCGTCCCTTATGTCTCTCTCTCTCTTCGATGCTAACGAGACACAAATAGTGCGAACCCGGTTGGTTCATGAAGACCATGATCATCGGTGCTCAAGGCGTGTTTTTCAACGCATTGTTCTTCTCGTACCTCATCTCGCCGAAGATATGCCACCGCTTCGTCGGCTATCTGGAGGAGGAAGCCGTCCACACTTACACCAGATGCATCGGCGAAATCGAACAAGGCTTGCTGCCCAAGTGGAGTGACCCCAATTTTGAGATCCCCGAGTTGGCCGTGCAATACTGGCACATGCCCGAGGGAAAGAGGACGATGAGGGATCTCATCTACTACATCAGAGCCGACGAAGCAGTTCATAGAGGAGTAAACCATACACTGGGCAACCTGAACTACAAGGAGGATCCCAATCCTTTTGTCAGCGACTACAAGACCGAGGCCACCGGCCACAAGCCGAACGCTGTGACCAAGGGAACTGGGTATGAACGTGAAGAGGTAATTGGTTGATGGTACCTGGTGGACGTTAGAAGAACTGGCAGAAAGAGCTCGAGCCGGTTTATACGAAAGGGCTGTCCATGCCACAGACAGCACGATGGATGAACACACTTCTGTTCATTGCCGTTCTACCTGCGGAAAATACAATGAGATTCCCAACTTATGGCGTTCCGAATCGTCAGCGAGAAAAACCACGTGCTGACACCATCAGAGTGCATTTTCTGTGGGAAAGCATCCGCAACAACGCACAGGTATTGGCGGAAAGCCCTTCTGCACCATTCTTGATACAAGCGTCATGAACACTCACTATTTCTGCTCGTCCTCCCTCTGCTCCTCAGTCCTTGCAAGAATGTCTGGAAATTCACGTTAACCTTCAATCCCGAAACCAGCATCGATGCGACCACTTGCCTTTCAGCGTCACGGGCGTTGGATGCAGCTCCGAGCCGAGCTTCTTGTCCAGATGTTTGCGGTGCTCGGGGTTGCTCGTGTCCACCACCAGCACCTTCTGGTACTTGCCTTTCCCTTCTCTCATATCGTACGTTTCAATGAGCGCCAGAGCGAGCAGTGCCGTCAATGTCGTTGCTTGTGCAAGGACTCGAGCCTGGACCAGCTTTCGTGCGCCCGTCTGAAACGGATCTCTGGCCATCATCTGCAGGCTGGTGATCATCGAGACGCCCCATGTGGCGCCCAAGACCTGCATTTTGTGCTCATACAGCCATTCTCGTGAGAGGTCGGTCTTTTGGGCGCCCGCGTGCATCCTCTCAAAGAGGTCTTCCCTCTGCTCGATGTAGTCTTTGGTCTCTGGGTGGATCCGCGATTGGAAGGAATGAGATCCATAGGTTGAGCCATAACTGATTCCCATTATGGTGGGATATACCACGAAAGTGCCTCGCACGGCCGGTGACAGATGCTTGAATGGTGCATAGTATCGGTGTAGACCTGCTGTAGCAACGAGACCGACTAGAAAGCCGGCGACGCCAGCAGCTGCTCCGTTCTTACGGATGGCGCTGTAGTATTCTTGCTCTTCGTCCTTGTCGAGGATCTTCATTTTGGCTCAAGGTTGGCACAGATGTGCAGCCATGGTGAAGGTCGAACTTCGGTCCTTTTTAGTGATATCCGTCCACCATTGGCAAGGTCAGGCAGGATTCGAGACACCCCGTGTTGAATGCCCGACGCACGTGGAGTGACGTGAGACACCGAAGTACTTCGCGTGGCAGCCAGTCGCGGCGATCCTGTCTTGTCAGAAAACGGAAACTGCACACTGACGCATTGGCGGGCTCATCTCAAGTCGGCGAACTATGGTACCGCTCGAATTGAGGGGGCTTGGGACCGTCTTGAAGGTCCCTGGGGAATCCGGAGTTTCCGGCATCCCAGCCAAATCGGCACCTCGCGTAGATTGTCATTAGCCCAGCCAATAGTCTTTGTAATTGGCCCCTTTGTCTGCAGTGATCATACCATTTTGTCGCGACTTTCGTACACTGGCTACAGTCATGCCATTGAGTCGATTCGAGCTGTTGTTGCGAGTATGCGCTCTTACTCGACATGTATTTCTTCTCCCTTACTTCCAACGAAGTATCCACCACATTCAATATATCAGACTGCAGAACCTGCAACGCCGAAGACGAGCCAAGTCAAAAAGCTGGTTATATAATAGTACACTCTGAACATTCCCGATCGTGCATTCACACCCTTTCAACATGACTGGCCACTCAGCACAGCATCATCCCAATTCCAAAGCAAAGGGTGCTGCGGAAGCCAAGACCCAGCCTCATCATGGCAAAGACAAGACTGAGCATAAGGACAAGCAACATACCGATAAGGAACAGGCCGCACACCAAGAAGTCAAGCCAAAGGACGTTGACAAGCTAGAATCTAGTCACAAGGAAGAAAGTCATAAGGCAGAAAAAGTGGTCAAAAAGGGGGACAGTAAGAATGAGGGCCATACCGTAGAAGAGCACAAGAAGACCGTCGGCACAGAGCACGATCAGAAAGGAAAGGGTCACAAGCACGACGCCCACGAGCACAAAGATGACACCAAAAAGCATAAGGACAAGAACCACAAACATGAGAGCAAGAATGACACCGTCGACTCGGAGCATAACGGCAAGGAGAAGCACTCCTCGAAACATCAACCACAGAAATCCGGGAAAGGTCATGGCAATGACCATCAGGAAGCCAAGCATCAAAAACACCATAACCATCACTGAGACATTTGTGGACTTGGAAGGAGTTGTGGAAAGGCAGAGTGAAGGAGTTGCTTGGTTGGCGTTGTGGTCGATTCGTAATGGGATTCTGCGCAAGAGCTTGAGTGTTGCACAAAATGATTAAATATACCCGACAGTTCAAGTGAAGCGGACCTTCTGAAGCCGATAGTTGTCGCAGCTTGGCTTCAGACCCAGGAGCATAAAAGACTCAAATGCTAAGGGTCGAGTTCATGAATCAAAGGGCACAGCATCCACACCACGAAGAGCTGATCGAGCACACCAATATGTCTGGCACGTGTCCTTGGTGTTTGAAATATTCGGCAGCGCAGAAGTGTTTGAGCACTGAAGATGGTGAGCCTGTCATCAGGAGACATCCAAGTGTCTACCTGATTCAAAGAGGAAGAAGAAAGAGAAAGAGTGAGAGAATCCTTGATTATCTGACTTCTGCTCAATCACCCCAATGCCAAGGAAACACGGCGCTAACCATATACAGAGCTTAGCGTGTTTCTGGCAATTCGCTCCCCAGACTTGGATAGACTTGGACCGACGTGACCCTCCCCTGTCCAACTTCAACGCAATCATTCGAGCAACCTTCGTTATCTCCATCTCTTAATCGGCCCGGATTCCATGACTTCCCACTCCTCCGCCGGCGTAAAGCTGTGTAAGCCCAGGTGCATGACGGGACGAAAACACCCTCGAGCTAATGTATCAGCTTCTCTTATGCCGTTCAAGTTCCTTCTCAGGCTTTCGCAACAAGCGGGCCCCAGCTGTGGTGATCAGCTCACAGGGGCAATTGAAGAGCTTGCTACTACCATGGACGACACCCCTGGCCTTAATCAGGCTGCTCCCATATGTAGGACATGATGCATGACCGCTAAGTTATGTCAGCAACCGATGCCACCCTAAACCCTTGCTAGAAAATGGTATCACCCAATGGCACTATCCGGACCCCCTTTGCGAGTCAACCGCGTAGACATGGCGCCTCCAAAACCTAGTTGTACGGTTTAAAGCGTCTTACAGGTCGGCGCGAATCGGTCCACGGGCAATACTCAGCGTTGGTCTTTTCTGAAACGTGCCCTTTCTTTCCACCAACATCATGCGAGTAGATAGAGCTCGAGATAAGGACTTGAACCATGATGAGTATTGAACAAAGGGACCGTTTGAGAGACCGTGAATTTGAATATTTCAGTCAGGTTCGGTCGTTCTCCCACCGCGCGCTGGGACGGCCTAGAAATGCCTGAATCAAAGTACTTATTTATATACAAAGATGCCACATCCAAGTCCCTGTCGCGCAGCTATGATGACGAGCATCGGAGTGTTCACCGGCATGTGAGATGCAATAGGCCGGTTCATCGCAAGAAAAAACCAGTCTTCGACGTCAAAAAACTCAGATTGATCGCAAAGCACCAAACAAAGCGCAGCCAGACTTCACTGCCCAGTCCGACTGCTCTACAGACCAAAGACAACGAAAGTTCGCATTTGCAGTGCCACGACACTACTAGTACCCGGTCCAGGCAAGTATCTCACGGCCAGGACACGACCGAGCTCCGCCTTTCTTTTGGATGCGATGAGTCTCCGACCAACTCAAGCGAGGACTCGCTGCGACACAAAGTGGTCGTTACGCCAATCTGGTCGATGATCAGGCGCAATGCAACAGATCCATTCAACACCAGCTGCATCGCCATTGACGACAAGGTTCATCAATTGCTTCAGTATGCCCTCAACGTTTCACACCCACGCAACTGGCACGCCGAGGCACGCGCCTATCAAGGACAGTATAGATTCCGACGGTTTGCAACTGACCGCATTGCCAATTGTCTTTCAAACGAATCGAGCATGTTTGCAATGATGGCTTCCAGTGCAAGTCAAATGCACTACTTTGAAGGCATTGCGCCGCCGACGGACACAGCGGTGCTGATATGTAAAGCAATCCGATCGACGAGGCACCGGCTTCAAGCGTGCAACGCGGTCGACGTCAACCTTATCTACGATATCCACACACTCGCCAATACGGACTTCTTTCGCTTTGACGTGCAGGCCGCAAGGATGCATGTAAGGGCCGTTGCGCAATTGGTCGGTCAGATTGGAGGCTTGAAGTCACTCGACCCTGCCTGGCGCGAATGGTTCATCCTCGGAGACGAGTTCATAGCAGCCGAACTGCTTTACAAGCCTTTCTTTCAGCCCGACGACTACGATCCTGGGTCCTTGCGCGATAGTGGGCTGGCCTTTGGCGAATGCGATCGATTTGACCACAAAGCGCTTATGGAGACCATAGATGCTTTCATGACTAGTCCGCAACTGAAAAGCATCATGGTTGATCTCGTCGAGTTCAACCAAGAGATGAAGTTGCAATTGAGGGTCGGCCATGGCATGGAGCCACAGGTCGCTCACGAGCGCGTGCGATGGCGGCATCTGCGGGCCGCTGCGTTACGAAGCCGTCTACTGCATTATGCGGCAGTGACTTGGACCGAGGAGGTCTCGCGGCTTGCGCTTTTGACTTGGACGTACATGGTCACCTCTGTGGTGGGCCGCAGGAGAACAATGAAGGTCTTGTCTGCCCGGCTGCAGGCTACGTTGAAGAGGAGCTCCGGTAACGCATGGAAGAGTGATCCTGTCCTGGTTTGGGCATTGTTGGTCGGTGCATGTGCTTCAGAGGGAAATCGAGGTCGCAGAAAGTGGTATTGGAATGTAGCAGCTGCTGTCTACAGCTTGGTCTCAGCCGGAGACAAGCTGAGCAGTGACACTGTCTTTGGCTTGCTTGATCAATTCTTGTATGTTGCGGAGGTGCAGGAATCTATGGTGGACCAACTATTAGGAGAAGTATCTCTCCCGAGCACACCCTAGAAAATCATTGGACTGATGAATGGCTTGCTCCTCAACCAGCTTCGTTGTGTAAAAGGGCGCCCAAAATAGCAGCGAACCGCCGTGCTATTTCCCAATGACCTATCCGCCTCAGGAGATCTGTGAGTCCACACAAGGCTGCATTGATCTCTGCTGACGTGGGAAGTCCATGTTTATAGCCATTTGCCTGGAACAGCAGCAATGCAGGATTGACCCCGAGTAGCCTGAACTCTGGGAAATCGAGGCTTTCTGCGGCGACTGCCCTGTTGCCGTTATCTCTGACCCCGAATCGAGTGTAACAGAACCAGGCAATCCCAGCTCTAAACATCGCCCTCGGAACGTGGATGGCAGGTTCCGAACCAAGAGGCAAGTCTTCCAATTTCTTCTGAACGATGGAGCCATGTATGACGCAGCGCTTAGCATCGTTCGAGTTGGCCCAGTCTGTGACCGCCAGTCGATCCTCGCTTGAAAGTTGTGAACCATCGCGGCCGATCGCCCTTTCCAGCAGGTCGAAGTCGGCACAGATCGTCATGTAAGCCAGGTGCCAAAGAATGGTCATGTCCATACGATCAGGCTCCCACGAAGCTGTTCCCTGAAGAAAACGGGTGTAGAATGTGTTCAGGAGGTCCGACAGCTCTTCCATCGTTGATGGAGATAAACGAGCATCGATTCTGTTCTCCACGATGTTCACGCCGATTCCCTCCAGGACTGTGTATGCTGTGAAGTAGCTATTCCTTGGCGTCGACAAAATGTCAAAGTCGATGTGCGCGTCAACAGATGCGGGCGTTGAGTAGTCGGTCTCGAAATTGCTCGGATCATTGAGGTATGACTGACGCCATTCTTCAGGTTTAGAAGCCATAAACATCTGATTCGAGGCGGCCACCGGAAGTTGTCTCGAATTGTGACGCAGAAAGGGTTCATGGTGAAAGATGCTTGCGAGCTCGGCGTCGTGGATATGTACTGCCAATGCTATCCGGATGAGTTCTTCGTTCTTTGCCCATTCTTTCCATTGCTTGTCCAATTCAGCGGGAGGAAGATTGAGATCGAGTCCTCTCAATTTCCTTGTCTTGAAGGTCGATAGACGCCGCGCCCAGGAAATGAGAGTACCATTAAAAGTGTCCACAATTGATAGATGCTTAGGCTCCCCTGAGAGCAGGCCGAAAGTCTGTCCGATTATCGCCGTTTGGATGAGAGAGATCTTCTCGTCTGTTCCTCGAGCAATGAGACGGTCCCAGTTGGCCAGCACAGCCTTGTGCAACCGTTCAAAAATCTGGACTCCTTGACGGATGGCGTGTGCAGAGCCAGTAAACAAACTGCCAACGGAGCAGATGGACAAAAGAACCATGGAATTGGCCTTCGATGGACGAAATGTTGGTGCGTGCACCACTGGAAAGACAGGGTGGAACCGCGCGAAATATGATCTGACGCAGAGATTGAGGAAGTCCGAGGAGGGCAGAGTCTGCTCATGGACTGAGCGAATCTGTAGGCTTTGGTGTAAGGTCTGGCGATACGAGTCGTCGACTTCAACTTGCGATGCAGGAGGTGTTGCAGCCCCTGAAGGCGGAATTTCGTCCTGCCCATCGTCGTTTGGAGTGAACCAAAGACGTTTCATGTTGTCGACCGGCTTGTAGGCTGACGAACTGTACATGGCAAAAGGACTCTCGGGCCAGCCAGGCCTGAGCTCAGCCATACTCGTGGCCAGTGGCGTGTCAAGGATTCCGGTATGGAAATCAAGATCTGTCGGAACCACCCAAGAGGGAAACTGGGCTTCGAAATCGAGTGCGTCTAATGAAGGGTCAAAGTTGTTCGCCAACGGGTTGGAACTGAAAGATTCGGGATAGGCCACCACTGAAACAGTCTCATGATGCCCGATATCAGCGTTTTGGTACTCTGCGCCGCTATCGAATTCTAGTCTGGCAATATCCATGGTGGCACCCTCGGTCGCATTCGCGACGAGATCTTGCGCCTGGGGGATCACAGGCGGCGGCCCCGTGAAGGGAAGATCGGTAACGGGGATAGGTGGTTGAGACGTTGACAGACCGGACTCCGGGTCGATCGAAATGCTGGTACGTTGTTGCTGTTGCTTGTCATTAATAACATTCGGAGGGTCCTCGGAATGATCCTTTAGATGCCGCAATAAAGTGTCGCTAAGGTCTCATCAGCATGGTGTCGCCCTTTAATCCCAATTCCCGGAGAAGTGGCATACTATAACCTCATGTGTAAATCGTGTAATTTGGCGCCGGGAATGCCATTCGACGAGAAACTGCAGCGAGGACAATTTACACGGCAGGAATGAATTCTGTTGAGTGCAAGGTCCAACTGCTGCTTCGACGATTCAGCTCTGCCACACAAATTGTCCGTGATCTCGCCTTGTACAGGAAGCCGCCCTATCCTATAAACTGTCCTCGCTGCTTTCTGTCGTCGAACGGCATTCCCAGCGCAAGATTACACCATCTACCCATGAGGCCGTAGTACCTCTATCACACGAGACAGAGAACTGACTTACTGGCGACCATATTTCCTCCCACACTGAGCACACTTGAAGGGCTTTTCCTTTGTATGAGACCTGATGTGCCTTTCTAAATGATCGGTTTTGGCAAAGGTGCGACCGCAAGTCATGCATTGGCGAATCTTGCTCGCTCGTCGACTCTTGGGGGCAACATTGGCGCTGGTTACTACTGAGAGATCAGGCATTACCTGAATGCCGCCCGACCTGCTATCACACCAGGTGGGATTCGGTACAGCAGTCGACTGGATTTGTGTCGACGATATCAGACCACGATGAAGAAGGAGACGGAGTTGGAAAACATGGAGATTGTGGGGAAGAAGCGAACGACAAAATCTCATCAACTACAGGCAAGTACAAGCACGAACAAGCCTAGCCACTCCCAGCTTAGGGAGCAGTGCCCTTGAAACAGGACCACCATGACCACCATGACCACCTGGACCAGAAAGCCAAGAAGTCACCCCGCAGCCTACAGTACTCAGGCATTATTGTAGCTATAGCAGGGCAATGAACCGCCGATATCTACGGAGTACCTTATCCCACTACTCCGTACGGCGCGCGTCTGGTTCACCCTTGGCGTCTCGACTGAACTGAACATTGTGCTTTACCTTGCAATTAAACCCACTCCCTTCGCAGTCATTGACTACTAACCTGGACTTCAACAATTTTATGGCATTTATTGCGTTGTTGTCAACCTATTCGCTGTTCTTGGGTCTACATCAACCATACTGCGACGCTCTGCAGGCTCTTTTCACGACCTTTTAGCCGCAGCGATGCTTCTCGACCAGTCTAGGCAAGGGTCGATTCGAGCACACAGCAGAATCCGGCTCGGTCGATAGCGTCGACAAAACCACATCAGTGACCTCGGGGCCAGGCCCAGGTCTTGGATAGCGAGGATGGCAGCCGAGGTCATCTCAAGCTGCGGTCATTGAATGCCACAGAGGTCATCGTTGAAAACGTCCCACAATTGGCGTTCCTCCACGGTCCTTCCTGGAGGCAGTCGAATCACGAGCCTCCCCAGACTCTGGGCCTTTCTTCACTTTTTCCCCCACAAGTTTCATATGTCCCACAAAAGTGTCTCACAACTTTCACCCCCAAAAGTGAGTCCGTTCAGCCTTTCGGAAACCTTCAAATTGCGGGATTGGTGATGGCCTGAGGGCCCGTCAACTCCATAGCGGCCTTCCCTGAGACTATCCGTAGGTTGGTCTGTAAAATATAGAGGTGCGGAGCATACTGGACTGCTGGTTGCTTTTTGTTTTCACAAAGTCCAGCATATAACTGCAACCAGTTCTCCTCCTCCCGGCCAATCATTGCTCTAGTCTGTTCTGACCATCTTTCGGCATGTCTTCGACAGATGCGTCTCCTATCGAGGAGACTGGCGTCATCATCTGCGGTGGAGGCCCAACGGGCACTGTGCTTTCAGTGCTTCTCGGTCTCATGAACATTCCGAATATTGTCCTAGAGCGGGAGAAGGAAATCACAACCGACCCGAGAGGCATTGCGCTCGATGAAGATGGTATTCGCATATTACAATCCATCGGGATATACGATCGGATATATTCCGAGATCGGCACATGTAGGTTCTCGCGTTGCTTCCAAAGGCAGTGATCGATGGCGGCTGACCGGAAAGGCATGGAGAAATTCAACTTTGTCACGGGTTCTGGAACGGATCCGAGAAAGAAGCCATTACTATCGATGCAGTATAGGACGACAGAAGGCGGGACGGGCCATGTCGGCTTCATCTGCCACAAACAGCCGGCCATGGAGAAGGCCATCAGAGACCAGATTGAGAAGACGCCAGCCTCCGAGATAAGGACAGAGTCTACAGTCACAGGTGTTAGTGAGGACCAAGACTATGCACACGTCGACTACATCGATGCAAACGGAACAAATCATCGTATCAAAGCCCGGTTCCTGGTCGGGGCTGACGGAAAGACTGGCTACGTCCGGAAAATGTACCTCGAACCGAAAGGAATTGTTATGGCCAAGTCTGAGATGTAAGCCAGGATCGTTTGCCTGTCGCCTAATGTGTGTTCTGACGAAAAGCTAGGACAAGTTACGAGGAGACGTGGGTTGCCTTGAACTGGCAGATCACGCTGCCGGACGAGAAGTCACACCCAGACTTTCCGCTCTGGCAACTCGGCTACACTCCAACGGAGGTGTACGACCTATTCTTCCCCAAAGACTTCCGCTTTTTGTGTAACTCAAAGCGACCGTCAGTTTGCGGACGGTTCGGCCTGCCCGCAGATCGGTTATGGCGATTCGAATTTGTAGTTCAGAAGGGCGAAGACGGCAACCGAATGGCCAGTCCTGAGGAAACACGCAAAATCATCTATCCGTACATCACGCACCCTGGGAGTCGCTATGGTCTTGCACAGCCTGTGAGATATCCCGAGGACTGCATCAAGACTTTACGGTCGCGTCCTTTTTCCTTTGTCGCTAGAAGTTGCAACAAGTGGGCCCTGGGCAGAGTCATCTTAGCAGGTGATGCTGCCCACGTCTTCCCTCCGTTCGGTAAGTCACGAGCATCACTCACGACAAAATCTCCATTGGCTGATGACCTACCTCAGGCGGGCAGGGCATTGCCTCGGGCTTTCGAGACGCCTCAGCCTTGGCATGGAGACTTGCTCTCCTGCATCGCAACCCGGGGGCGGACCACGAGAAGATCCTCGCTGCCTGGTATACGGAACGCAAGCAACAACTCGACAGATCGCTCGCCGCCACTGTCCGGAATGGCGAATATGTCACCGAGTCCGATCCGTTCAAGGTCTTCGTCCGGGAATGGTACATGTGGGCAATTCAGTTGGTTCCGAGCTACCGAAAAGAGATCGAACTCGGAGCTCGAGCAGCGGGCATGACGAAATATCAACACAAGGACGGTCTACCCTTCATTCCGCAGATGGAGGGCGGCCGCCTTCTTCCACAAGTCTATGCGTACAACTTCAAGACTCGGAAAATCTGCTTCACAGACGACCTGATTTTTGCACCAGAGAAGGTGGGATTATTTCAACTTCTCATACTCCCGGAGAACGTCGAAGATGTCGATAAGCTCATGAAGGATATCGACGAGGTTGACCGTATTTCGAACAACTTGATTCAATCCAATGAAGCCACAATTCTCATCCAGTCGACCGAACCCACTACAGAAGCAGCAGCTCTGGCCCGGCAAGACCTGGCACGCCTTGCCACTGGACAAGAATTCGCTGCCGATCCAGTGTTGTGCAATAATCGTCCCGAACCCATCGGCTATGATGAACGACGGCTCCAGAGGGAAGTCAAGGGCAAGAAATATGTGATACTCAGACAGGATCGCTTTGTCTTTGCAGCATGCAATACGACTGCCGAGTTGAGGCAGGCCGCAAGCCAACTCGGCAGCATCCTATCTCTGGCTGGATGAATAGCCAACTACCGGCTAGTGAGGCCATGCGTTGTCCTGCTGGGTCCTTGTGTCTCACGCTTTGAGTGTATGAGTGAACCCCGGTACCGCCGCGGCCCATCTTGATTCGAGTATTGTCCTGGAAAGCATAGCATGGAACCTGTCGTACCAATCTCTGGTGGTAGTTGTGGGACGTTTGCGATCTGGTAGGATTAGAGTCTGCTGAGGCTTTATCGGATAATGAATCAAGATGCACGTCACTAACTTACTGCATTTGGCACACAAGGAGCCGAGACTTAAGACTTACCTATCTATCGTGCATTCTTCTGCGTGTAGAGGAATGAAAGATACCATCACATCACCAACAAAACGACCACTCTAACCAGTCAACCGCGCCCCCTTATCTCCCGTTCCATGGTGTAAAAGAGCGGTGGCCCATTCCCGGTAGTGCCAAATGTCCACTGTCAGATTCCAGCCTTCCCGTACCCTCCGGCTGACGACAAGTACGACCGTAAGGCATGCCGGATCCGGAAACTGTTCCCCCCCAGCATGTCACCCAATTAAAGTACGACGAACCAGCTCAGCCTCTTATCAAAAAAAAAATCCTTTCTACTACTAGTTACGTACGGGGTGGCTTGCCCGTTCCTTCCCGTTGGGTTCCATTCGAGCAGACACAAATGCAAACAACGATGCGCCATTTATTCACGCTGAACCTATCACGCTCCGACCTGGCTGGGTCAATGTGTGACGGGTCAGGTCATACCTTGTACAACGGCCAATGTTCGTATGCGGCTGTTTTTTTCAGCCCAAGCCAGCCTTGGGGGCGTCGTCCCGTTCACCGTTCATCGTGCACGACCCCTTCGTATTTTTGACCTTGTCCGCCCGACGCCAATGTTCGTGTTCGACGTCCCAGCTGAAGTTTTTGTGGCTACTAGTAGTACTCAACAAAAAAAGCTACCTTACTTCCACTGCAGTTTCACCATCTCATAAACAAAAAACATCTCTCCCAAATGTCTTTAGAATACTAGTAGTCTGCCTCGATCGAACGTGACTTTTGCCGCGGCTTCACAAAATGTCGTTACTCGCTCTCCCTCCCGAGATCCGCGTCCAGATATGGTCGTACATCGTCCGGCCGACAGTCATCCATCCATGCACATGCGCCGATAAGGCGCTGCAGTGTCATCAAGCCAACCACAACCACAACCACAACCACGTCGAGGACGAGGACGAGAACTGCTGTCAGAGCACCGCCTTGCCCTACACCTACAACTACTGCGACAACCAATTGCTGCGCGTCAACCGCCTCATCTTCAACGAAGCCCAACCACTCTTCGACAAGACGGAGAAGGAAAGGATTTATGTGCTTTGCAACAACCTATGCTTAGGCAACTTTGCCAAGAGCCTCACCGAGGGTGAGTGGAAATCGGTCCGACATCTTCGAGTCGACTTGTTCGTCGGCTGGGGGAACGACTGTCGAGACGATTGGTTCCTGGGCCAAAGTCACAGGTGGGCCAAACGATATGTTGCTGGAGCACTCAGCAAGTACGAAGACCAGGGGAGGCAAATAGTCGTCGTGCCGGCCGAAGAAGTCAAGGAGGACTTCAACGGCAGGAGGACGCTGACGGTTGATATTCATTTCTCATGAGCGCCTGGAGGGCAAGCAAGCAATTACTGTAATAGATCCGGCATCACAAGGGGGCTGTCACGGGCATCTATGGAGCCAGACTGAAAAAGCACCCTTCAATTTCCGTCCATTCGGAAACTCTGCATGAAGATGTCGCACTTGACGTTTTGGATCTCAACGGCGACGCCACGCACCAAGAAACTCTTCGGCGGGCTTGAAGGGAAAGCCGATGGACAAGAAATGAACGGTGTGAAGGAGAACAAGCGACAAAAGGCCTGGGTGAAACCTAGTGGCATGGACCGATAAGGACGCGCCCGGGGACACGTGAGGAGCTTATCGGCACGTGTTGCGGCTGACATAAGATGCTATCTCCAATGCAAGGCACCAGGAGACAGCCTCGACTGCCAAACACCCTCTCAGCTCAACCCGACATTGTTGATCCTCTTACTCCGAACCACTCCACACGAAGACAACATCGTGCTGACTTCGACTCCGTACCTCGCGAGTCTTGCTCTCAGACAACCTGGTCCCGTCAAGAGGAAGCAAGTCAATCACATATGCAATCGTTCTTTATGTACGGATACCCCATACTCAAAGGTCTAGAAACTCCTCACCAAATACGATATTGAGACCACTGCAAAGCATTCTAGCTGAGCACATTCCTGACGTCCCTTCTCGCATAACCAAATCGAGCCCCGCGTCACCTTGACAGCAAGGCTGGGCCCAGGTCCTACAGACAGGCAGATAAGAATTATCTCCCACCATCCCCCTCACGTCCAGGCACTCGAACCGTAGATCTGCGCGATAGTGCCGCAATCAAACGTGGAACTGCGCTTTGTATCTCGTCTCCAACGCCGCCTTGAGCGCATCACAAGTGCTCTTGGCATCGCCGAACAACATTCTCGTGCCCGGCATGTAGAACATCGGATTCGGTACGTCGGCTATTATCATTCTCCGTCAGCATGTCCCTCCCCGTTACGTTTCGTCCGCGCCTCCTTGAGACGCAGACCACTCGCCACGCGCTTCACACCTGGCTCGACGGCAACGGCAACTGCTCGGATCTTGTGACTTACCATAACCACTACTCATACCCCTCTTCATCACAACGACGCCTTTACTCTTCCACGCATGCAGCACGGGCATGCCCGCGATCGGACTACCGGGCTCCAACGCGATGGGATTCACCGTATCATTGGCGCCAATGACCAGCGTCAAATCCGTCTCGGGGAAATCGTCGTTGATCTCGTCCATCTCGAGCACGATATCGTACGGCACGCTCGCCTCCGCCAACAGGACATTGCACTGTCCCGGCATCCGGCCGGCGACAGGATGAATCGCGAAGCGCACGTTAACTCCCTTGCTGCGTAAGAGAGCGGTGATCTCGGCGATGGCGTATTGTGCCTTGGCCACGGCCATGCCGTAGCCGACGACCTGCCAAGCACATTTACGTTAGCGCGAGGCCGAGTCTAACACGGCGGCGCTCATAGTACATGCGCAAGACGAGATCCGGACGATAGGTACAGGTGGGGGAGGGCAAGTAGACGTACGATGATAACACTCTCTGCATTCGCCATAGCCTCGACCGTCTCTTCAACCGTCGTCTTCGTGATCTGTCCCTTGATCTCCTGACCAGGTGTCTGCGCGACGGGCGCGATGCCACCGAACAGAACGTTCGTCAGGGATCGGTTCATTGCAACGCACTATACACGCCTCGACGTTAGTATTGTCTCATCTTTGACCAGGCGCAATTATGAAAGTAAATGGAGGAACAAACCATGACATAAGACAAGATCGAACCGCTCACACCGATCAACGATCCTACAGTCAGCAATAACGGATTATCCAGCATGAACCCCTCCGCGACCAGGGCAAAGCCGGAATACGCATTGAGAACGGTGATGACGACGGCTATACAGTGGTTAGCCCGACTTGCACGCTCATTCCGGTGGTCCAGGGAGCCATACGCATATCGGCACCGCCAATTGCCGCCGTGGTCGTGAATCCCTTGGCAAAACTGAGCACGGTGTTCGCGGATAAACAGACTGCTGCAACGGCAGGCGCGCCTGGTGCCATGGTCAAGAACGCGCCCATGGTGCCGGCATTGGCGGCGAGAAGGCTCGAGTTAATCAAGTGTCTGCCAGGCAGGATCGTTGGACGGGAGGACATTCTGCCTGCGAGTTTGAGGAACGCGACGATCGAGCCAGTGAACGTGATGCCACCTATACAGGACGCCTCGTCAGTCTTGAATATGATAGCATTTGCGAGCGGCCGCTCGGGTGGTAACTCAAACACGTACCGATAAGAACACCGAGATAGGCGGTGACCATATGCAAAGTCGAGACGTCAGAGACATGAGCGAGGACGGATCCTATACTCGTGAGAACGGCTGCGAGACCGACGACAGAGTGCAACGCCGCGACAGTCTGAGGGAGTTCGGTGGGAGTGATTCGTCGGCCGATCAGAGCGCCTGGGCGGGGTTAGTCAACCCAAATCGACCGAGAGTTACCAGATGGCAGATGATACATACCAGCAAGGGCGCCAACAGCAGCGATTGCGCCAAATTGTGTCAACACTTCCGGCGAGAATCCAACCGCGGCCAGGGATGCTAGGATACCTGAGAGCACGCCCAGAATACCAAGGAGGTTTCCCGTTCGAGCGGTGGCTTGTGATGCAAGACCAGAGATCGAACCTGCAAAGCGTTTAGTCTTTCCCTTGGCTGCTCGAAGATGCACAAGGACCTACCAATACAAAGCAGACTGCTTACAAGATAGCCGGCTTGGACCAATCCAGCCATTCCGGTACTTGCAGCTGCAATGAACCCGCCACCGAACACCACACCGGGGATTGCATATAGCCATGGGTACTCTGGCGGATCAGTCGGTCGCTTGAACATGTCGAGCATTCTCTTGGTGATCACGAAACCGCCAGAGACATTGACGAACGCCAGTAGTACTGATAATGCGCCGAGGACCTGAGGCACTGTCTCGGGCAGATACCCGCCACCCATGATAAAAAACCCACCAACACCGACAATACCGGAGATGGCATTGGTAACGCTCATAAGAGGCGAGTGCAAGGCTGGAATGACACCCCAGACAGAACGGTACCCGATCAAGCCAGCCAGACCGGCCGTGAACATACTGCCCATGAAGAGCGGACTGGTCAGTTTCCCCAGGGCAAGTGCAGCACTCATTCCTCCGGTCACAGTAGCAACTTCTCTCGTCCGTTTCTGCCACGGCGTCAGTTCGACCGGCTTGGTATCGACCTCATGAGGTTGCTGTGTTGGGGCCGGCGGCGGAGCAGGTCGAGGCGCAGGCGGTATGACTTGACCATTGTGTGTTACGATAGCACCACGAGTGACTTCATCTTCCATGTCGATACCAAACGCATTGTCCTTGGGTGCCAGCGAGAGAAGGAACTTCGTAATGTTGTTCGAGTACAGACTGGACGACTGCGTGGGAAGCCGTGAAGGGAAATCAGTATAGCCGATGACTGTGACATGGTTATGGACGATCAACTTTCCTGGCTGTGTCACTTCACAGTTGCCTCCACCTTCCGAAGCAAGATCGACAATCACCGAGCCAGGTCTCATGGCGCTGACCATTTTCTCGGTGATGAGTTTCGGAGAGGGCTTGCCGGGAATTTGGGCCGTTGTGACCACAATGTCGACCTCCTTGCATTGGTCCATGAACAGCTTCATTTCCGCCTCGATGAACTCCTTGGACATCTCTTTGCTGTACCCGCCCGCGGCAGCGCCTTCCTCGTGAATGTTGACTTCGAGAAAATCAGCACCCAGTGACTGAACCTGTTCGCGGGCCGCAGAACGAGTGTCGAACCCGCGGACAATAGCACCCAGCCGGCGAGCAGTGGTGATAGCACTGAGACCTGCAACACCAGCCCCAATAACAAGAACTTTGGAAGGCGGGATCTTGCCGGCCGCAGTCACTTGGCCGGTCAAGAAACGGCCGAAATGGTTGGCTGCTTCCAGCACAGCCTTGTATCCGGCAATATTGGCCATCGAGCTCAGAGCATCGAATGCTTGAGCCCGAGAGATTCGTGGGATCATGTCCATCGCGAATGCAGTAACATGTCGTTCAGCAAGAGCATTGACCAGTTCCTTGTTTTGAGCCGGCTGGATGAATGAGATCAATGCTGCTCCTTCACGGATGTTCGAGATCTCATTTTCCAAATCTGGTGCGCGAATCTTGAGGAGAATGTTACTTTCAGACCAGACAGTTTGGCGATCCACCACCGTGGCGCCCATATCCTCGTACAGCTCATCTGGATATTCAGATTCAACGCCAGCGCCACGCTCCACGAGAATACGAGAAAACCCTTTCTTCAGGAGCAGTGGGACGTTTTGAGGCGCGACAGCCACGCGACGTTCTCCGGGATGAGTCTCTGCTGGGACACCGAGGGTGAGCTGCGAGTAAGGTACTGGCTCAGCTCGAAGTTCTGACTTGGGCCTCGACCATATTGTGCCGGATTTCGGTGGACTTAGTATCAGGCATTTGTGCTGGATTGTTGACGGAACGATGCCGCGTGATCGCGAATGCACATGTCTACTCACGCCCTGCCTTTCTCGCACGCAGCCGTAAATGGTGCTTGGCTTAAGTACTGCTCCATTGTTAGCATGACAGGTACTGTTGACGCCGCTGAGAGGCTGCTATCATTGTAAAGTACCGTGATCAAGACGCGTAAAGCAGCTCTTGGTAGATAGTTTAACCGATAGGTTCGAGGACCAGCTCGAGAAAAGAGCCTGAGCCATGCTGGGCGATTGGCGTATCACACCGACAAACGAGGGGCCGTAAACCTTGCAAGATCGGAACTTGAGCTGCAGATAACCGCGAGAACGTGCATGTCAAGATTGAACGCCTCCGAAGAACCCAAATCCTATCGCATGGCTCAAGCTGACGAGCTCAAACAGACACAAGACGATGAAGGTGACGCGAATTGAAAGGGAGGAAAGACAGGTAGACAACGTAGCAGACGTGCGGAACAAGCTTGATTCGTTGGCCGACCGAAGAAAGCAAACAGCAACCTCAGCAGGGCCCGGCAGCACTGGAGACGTGCGCATAACCCCGATGCGACTGCCGAGGGAGTCGATGTGCTCACATGGACAGTTGACCAGGCCACCAGGCTTAGGCACACGTTTCACACTAGACTCTGTGCAAGCAAGCCGCTGGCGCAAGGGTTGCACTGAGGATGCTCCGGCTAGTCGACACATAGGGGAGAACATGGTGCGATCACCACTGTCCATGGTAAATCTCTCAGCAACAACCCCTCCGTGGGGGTGGGGAAGGTAGAAGAGCCGGGAAGCGGCGGGGTCGGGAACTGTGGAGGAGGGGATATCGAGCACCCAAGGTACCTTAACAAGGCCGTGCAAGGCACAATGAGTCTCAAGACCCAGCAAAAGCGCGACATCCTGTGTGATGGAGGACCAGGGAAGTAAAAGAACAAACAGCCTTCTTATCGGGCTTATATATCTATTTGTGGTCCCGCGCGCGTCCATCCTGCATCTCGACGGATTCCAAGTAAACCCCCGACCCTGGTCTCAGCTGGTTCTGGTCCGGATGAGTATCACCGGGGATGAACTCAAGTAAGAACAAGCAGATGCAGATCTGGACATTGGGCCCGATATCTGGATGCTGGTCCCCTTTCCTTGACTGCTCGGTCGGAAAGGGCTCCGTCTGGTAGAACAGGCCTTTGGACGTTCGGAAATGTCCTTGACGCTGCCAAACGTGAGACTTCTCATCAGAAGGTCTCAAGTACAGCGTCCTCCTCGTCTTGGCTCTTTTCTTGATTCGCAGAGGGACGTTCATGGGCCATCTCAGCAATTGGCTCCAAGAAGCCTCGAAATGTTGTTCTGGCGATGGTCCACTCCTTATCAAGGTCGTCCCTCTTCTCGTCTGTCTCTTCGCTAGGAGATTTTGCGTCTAGATCCAAGGTCCACCTCAGACCGAACCCTAGGCTATTTCTCATCTCATAAACCGCCACCCCATGGTGCAGCAACATGACGTTCTTCCAGATTGCGTGCGCCAACATGTCTTCCAATATTTGGCTCGCAGTGTTTGTCTTATCTTCATTGCTGCCCGTCGGTAGGGTCCAAAAGGGATGGAGCCGACCATGCTCAGACGATGCACCACCACGTTCAAAGTGTTTGCAGAGCGCAACTGCGCCTGAGGACATGCGGGTCTTGGGTCTTGGAGGAGCATTGAATGTTTCGCGTAGTACGTTATTGGAGGGTGGAAGCAGGAAGAGTGTGCCCTTCGTTTTCACGAGCCCGGCGTCGCGATAGCGTCTCTCAGCTTCACTTGGGTGAGGGGACCATGGAAGGATCAGAGATGGGTACATGGCTGTGGTTAACATGCCTCATTGAACGAGTCTTTTCGAAAAGGTAGGGCAGAAAGGCACTGCGAGATTAGGAGACAGTATCGGGGCAATGACCACGTAGACGCCATCACTGCAAGTAAGGTGTCCCTGAGCTTCGATCAACCCGTGATTCAGTACATTATTTGGCTCTAGGTGGCAGTGTCAGAGAGAGTCGTCGTGACTTTGACCTCTTTTTTGAGTGAATCAAGAGCTGCAGGAGGACCATTGAGGACTCATAGAATAACAGTGTCGGTCCGGATTTACGATCTTGCGGGCCAGTGCGATTACCAGCAAGCCAGAAAGGCCAGCCCACCATTACATTCTTTAGTTCCGATTTCAACAAGAGCCTCATAGATTCTCATGAGGCCCTCCGCGAGGCCCTCCGCGAAGACATCCCAACGGTCATGTTGACTATTGTCATGAAGAACGCAAGCTAGTGTCGTTGTGACCGAGCTTGAAGCCAAAGTAAAACCAGTGGTGAATCGTACTTCCTCGCTGGACTGCCAACCGAGATCACAAATCAATTATTACTTCCCGAGGCTCTGCATGTTCACTATAGACTGCTGCAGAAAGCTAATACCGCTCCGCATTCGAGATTGACGGCTGGCATCAGTACTTTCTATAATATATCTGTGTGCCCCGACCTTCTTATGTACTGATCGGATCATCCCTCCCCAACCTTTGTATTGTAAATGTCAGGTATCCAGAATGCTGCCCGATCCAGTCGAAGTCCAGATCCCCAAGTCGTACTCGACTCTGCCCGTCAGGGACATCAAGATCTCCCACTATCCAGAACATGCCCCTGAAGCCACCGCCGTCATAGTCATTACGCTCAACCGTCCCAAACAAGGCAATGCCTTCACCATACAGATGATGTACGACCTCGAGCTAGCCTACCCCATGTTCGACCTGGATGAGCGAGTCAAATGCATCGTCATCACCGGCGCAGGGAGGACTTTCTGCGCAGGTGCTGATCTCGACATCGGTTTCCCAAGCGGCGGTGAGAGGGAGAAATTGGTCCATCACCGTGATCCGTCCGTGTCCATTCATTCCCAGAACCATCCATTTCGACTGACAGTATACATATAGTGGAGGGCGCTTGAACCTGTGCATTTACCGGTGCCGAAAACCAACCATCATGGCGATGAACGGGTCTGCAGTCGGTCTGGGCATGACCATGGGACTGTCTGCTGCCATACGCATTGCCCACACGTCGTCAAAGTATGGCTTCGTTTTCGCCCGACGCGGCATCACGATGGAATCGAACAGTTCTTTCTTCTTGCCCAAGCTGATTGGATATTCGAATGCTGTGTATCTTCTGACCACGGGCGACGTGTATCGTGGAGACTCCAAACACTTTGGAGGTTTGTTTCAGGAAATCGTAGAGGATCGAGAGGGTGTACTGAAGAGGGCACTGGAGCTGGCTACAAGCATTGCGGACAAAACGAGTATCTTGGCTGGGTTCTTGAACCGCGAGTTGATGTGGAGAGGCAAGCCGTCAGCTGAAGAGACCCATCTGCTCGACAGCGCTGTGCTGTACCACATGTTTGCCAACAAGTAGGTTGCCCTTCAAGGTCGAGAAATCCATCACTGACGGCCGTAGGGACTGTCAAGAGGGCGTGCAAAGTTTCCTGCAAAAGCGAGAGCCGAATTTCTCCGCCTCCCTCGAAAAAGACGGGCCTCCGTTCTATCCGTGGTACAGCGAGGTCGACACTGGGTCGAGACCGCGTATCGACACTTCAAGCAAGGCCAAGTTGTAAAACCAGGGCTTGTTTTCCTACCGTAACACAGCTGCAAGACCGCACTCTCACAATTTAGCCCTCGATTGTTGCTCGCTCCATCTCTTGACAGCCTCCTCTTCTCTACTCAAAGCATGCTCTTGCCTTCTCTTCATGCTGTCCAGGATATCATTGTCACTGAGCGTACTTATCTTGTCCATTTCCAGCTCTTGATGGTTGGGCGGATGAGAGAATGCTTTGGCCCAGGTGGCTTTGCTAGAGCTGGGTCCGCTACCTTGCGCGACATTGGAGCAGAATCTTGCCCATCGCTCAAAGCAATCTCTGGCCATGGGCGTGTTTACGAATATCATGGCAAAGCAATGTGGCATCCCTTCGTAGCCCGCGAATTCCACTACTCCACCGGCCTGATGCATTCTGCGTGCAAGAACGGTGATTTCATCTTCAAGTCCTTCATTGCCCAGGCACATGAAGGTAGGTGGCATTCCTTTCCAGAGTTCAGGAGATGCAGATAGTGGGGAGGTCAGAGGGTGCACCATCATTGAGGCATTGCAGAAAATCTCTGCTCGTGGGGGAGATGCTGGCCACAGGTCATCTGGAACTGGTTCTCCTTTGGATACGCCGACAGCACTGGGAGGATCCAGGTAGTCGAAGTGGGCGTTCTTATCGATGGATGGCATAGAACGTCCAATATCGACCCAAGGAGAATTGACGGCAACGCCACCTGGAAGCTCGAGTGCCACTTCAGCGCCATGAAAGTTAATGTGCGTGACACGCATTCTCTGAAAGGTCAAGAGCAGCAACATTAGCGCCATAGCGAGGTTTCCCCCAGCTGAATCCCCTGCGAAGACAATATTCCTGGCTGCTACAGGCTCATGGTACATCCCTGCAGGGGGCGATAACAGTGAGAGATAGGACACTAATGCGTCAAGCAGCTGTGCAGGGAATGGATATTGCGGTGCCAGACGATAACGAACCGAATAACAGCGCCCACCCGTCAGTTTCGCAAGCCGAGAAGCAGTCTCCCGGTGACTGGCTGGGTCCATGAGAAAATAGGCGCCCCCGTGAAAGTATAGTATAGTCGTAGACGAAGAGACGGTCTCCATCAGGCTCTTATAATGCTCCGACTCAGGTAAATCAGCTCTGGATTCTTTGGGAGGGACTCCAGCTTTGTAGCCATTCCATTCAGCCTCGACTGCCGCGAGCTCTGGGAGGATGTATGTTTCCAAGCCACTTCCCAGCTCTTTGATCGCTTTGTCCACAAGATCCCTTATAGCATCGTCACTTGGAGCGGGGATAGTCGCCTTGGACACCAGTATAGGACCTTTGACGCCAGGGTCTCGTGTCGAGATCTTCTGCAAGAACCGCATGGGCTTTCTGACTTGGAGCATGGATCGGAGGATAACAACGGCAACTTCGGTCTTTGCATCTTGCTTTGACGAGTTCTTAGACCACGACAGGGCATTGAGAAGAGCAGTCTTCAGGATCAAAGGTATGCGAGGCACGAGGAGTCGGATCAGAGCTTTTGGAGAGGGATCCATTGCGCCGAGGCAGGGAGGTGAATTGTTGAGAGGTCCTTGAGCAGCAATTTCACTAAAGTAAAGAAAGGAGCAAAGAAAGGACTGGATGGATTTAAAAGAAAGCGCAAAGAGAACGTTACCTGAGTCCTGGCATGTCCATTGTTGGCATATTTTGCAGAGGCACTGATCAGACGCACTTCGGGCATATGCAAGTCAGGGAGTGAGGTGGGTTCAAATGACACCATCATAGATTGCTTTCCAACTTCTCACCAATTCGTTTCATCTTGTGCTTCTTCATGCCTCGGCACACGGGATATGTCCCATCTACCACCTGTCGGTACCTGTGGAGTCCACAAAAGGACCGACATGTCAGCCTTGGTTGTCCAGACGCACACAATTTGGTCGGAATCGAAAGTTGTTGGCGAGGAAGATTCCAAAATTCAAAAGGGAAAAAAAGCAAAGTGAGGTACAAGTCTACAAGTATAAAACATGCCATGGTGGCGAGCCGGCATCTATTGATGAAAATGATCAGCTGTAATGGTCGAGGCTACGCGTCCTTCGGGCCTCTGTGGCACGACGAAGCAATCAGAATATCTGGTTCTGCAGATCCATGATCAGGACTTCGCTTCAGAGGCTCTCAACATCCCGGATCACCCTCACAAGCCGTTGGGTGCTGGATGCAATTGCTGACCCCGCAAGCGGCTAATGCCAGGTGAAGTCATGGGAACCTGGATTGATATCAGGGATTCAGTATCCGGATGATTGTCCCATCACGCCTCGTCTCTGCCTCATACGATTGCATGACGTTTCGCATGATATCAGTCAAGTTTCAATTACTGTGCGATAGGAGAAAGATTGCATATTCACAGAACAAGCCTTCCTGTCCTTGACTATTGCCTTCCACTGATACCGATACTCACTGTACAGTAACAAGAAAGCATCCCATCACATCAGCAACAATGTCGAGGTTGGTGTCATTGACCCGACTACCTACGTACCTCGCAACTAACTTCTACCAGCGGCAAATCAGGGAGCGACGAAAAAATCTCTGCCACCAAGATCGATCCTCTCGCTTCAGAAACCAAAGCCAGCCAACCACACGATCAATCTTCAAGAGGGGTTGTAGGCACGGATCGAAGCATTGACCAAACCCGCATTGATCCGCTGGGAGGTGCCGGTACGTATTTTAGGCCGACACCTACTGCTGCTTCAACCTCAGAAAGAGACAGAAAGAGACAACATCCCAGATCATGCCTGAAAACTTACTGCATCCTCTGCTGACCTACGGGAAACAGGTCAATACCAACACCCAGCTCCACACGCTGACAGTCAAGGTGTAGTTGGAAGAGACGAGACAATCCAGGGAGCCAAGATTGATCCATTGAGTGGAAAGGGTAATGCATCCACTAGCAAGTCAACTGGATTGGATGATGAACAGGTGGATGCCTCCAGAATCAACCCCATGGGTGAGGTCAGGGAAGAGCTGGGCTGAACGATACATGAACAATGCCTATGGTAATGAGAAAGCGAGATGCCTGAGGTTGTGAGAGGCGGCACCAACAGGCGTGAGGATGCTATACATCGCCAACGCACTCAGATAGCAACCTTGAAAGTACAATGCATGAAAATGTATGGGCTAAAACTACCAACATCTCTTCTGGGAACAGGCCTTGTGACTCGACTTAGACCTGACCTGACTGACTGGGAAGAGAAAGCCAGAATCTACGGAGTAGTATGTGAGCAGACAATTCTCATCCATGCAGTCGGATTTGAGTTCTGTGCTGCGCCATTTCTTCGTCCACCCGGTGCATGAAACTCGCTAGGAAAAGGGAAGCCGTTGCAATGAAACGGTTGAAATCGGATGTCGAGAGCCTCGTGACTAACTGTCGGTTGTGCATCAGAGAAAGGTCCCTGGAAATCCTCGTGGCATGGCATGGCATGGACGGGGATGGACGAGGATGGACCTGCTCCTTTCATCCGCGGCTGCCTGGCGTCATCAACATAGCTTACTATATACAAAACTAGTAGTAGGCCTGATGGGCCAGTCAGATTGACCGCCATCACCGCCAAACAACTGCCTTGCCCTTAACGGTCAATGGAATTTCTCCCGTTAACAAGCGAGAAACGTCGATCCTCCTATTTTTGGCGCACGACGCCCTGGTCACTGGTCACTGGTCATTATTCTCCAACTGTACGCCCAGATTTCTTGTTCTTTCGATAGGGCCGTAACTCTCACTGCTTCCATTGGCCATGTCACTGTCAACAAGAGAAAAAGGCGCAGCTCTAAATTGAACCAAACGCAGCCATCACAGCCATCCACTCCCATTGGATTGATACCGCATATCTGCGTCACATTTCTCGTGTTCACCTAGGCTGAAGGGTTACTCTGCATGGCTATCCCTTGAAACAATCAGTCAGAACAAATATACCTAGGTATGAAGCTGGAGACAAGTATGCCCGTGTATGCCTCGTGCCTGGCCGAACATACCCGAACCTGGGCTCGTGGGCTCTTGGGCTTTCCCTTCGGACAAACCGAGAGTCATTTGTGAGACTAACCTACTCCAACCTAGACTGGTCACTGATAGGGGGATGATGGGGGCATAGCCATGAGAGCTTCCACCCCAACTTCACTATTCAAGCGTGCCTAAATCCTTCACTGCCTGAAGCCGTGCTCATCACAAGCAAGATTCAGACATGACCGCAGAAACGGGTACCATTCTTTCAGGTGATAGTTTGACGCCCACCAACTCACTGTCGTCGTGGGACTTGTCGTCAGAGTCCGCTACTCTCACCCAAGAAGAGAGCGCCAAACAACAGAAGACACGGACTCTGGCACCCAACTTGACACGCCGCTCACATAAGAAGTCTCGCGCCGGATGCTTCTCATGTAAAGGACGTAAGATCAAATGTGGCGAGCAGAAGCCGGAATGTGGAAGCTGCTTACTCAAGGGTATTACTTGCGTCTACCCTACGGAGCAATCTACACGCAAGTCCAACTTGCCTTTGATCAGGCGAAATCCACCCACAGCGCCATCATTTCCGTTCCCTGGCGCCGCATTCTCCATGATGGACATGCGCTTCTTTCATCACTTTCTGACAGTGGCGTATCCTCATTTACCAGTCGGCAATGACCACGTCTGGGTCCATGAAATACCACAATTTGCAGAGCAACACGAATATCTGATGCACGCCATTCTCTCGTTGGGAGCCTCGCATCTGAGTCGTCTTACCGGGATCGACTACCGCCGCGAGTCCCTTGTCCACCGTGGGCAGGCGCTTGCCGGGCTGAATCATGCACTCAGTCAAGCGTCAAGGTCGTACGGCGAGTCCGACGCCATGCTTGCGTCGTGTTATGCCCTCACCTTCCAAGCCTCCTATATGGGTGACGGGTTGACAGACTTCATAACCATGGTACGAGGCTGTGCGCTTACTACGGACAAGATTCGACGCGAACATTCTCCCACCGCCTTCAATCTCCAACCTGACTGGCACTTCAAATTCATGGCGCCACGATTGGAGCATCTCCCACCGGTCGATCCCACGTTGCTGGAGGACGCCTACATTGCCCTCGAAGAGATAAGACCATATCTGACGGATGACACACATTTTGATTTCCACGCTGGTCTGGTCGACATCGTCATCTCATTGCAAGCCAGCTCGGCTTCGGGTTACATGCAATTCACCGAGTTGTATTCAATATGGTACGACCTCTGTCACGACTCGTTCAAAAGCTTCCTCGATCCAAACAACCTGGTCGCGCAGCTATTGCTCGCTTATTTTGTGGGCGTTCAACTCCTCATCATCCCCATCGCGACCCACGAGTTCTTACACCGCGCGGATGTCTCGAGAATTCGTGTCCTTTACGGCGTGACCGAATGGGCCGAGAGCATCTTCGAGCGTCTGGAGGAGTCGGAACTCCGGGAGCACCTGTCCTGGCCGCGGAGCATTATCTCCACGGTCCTTGCCGAACTAAACGGTCAGATTCTGCAGGCGCCGTCGGTGTTGCAGCTACATCTGACGAGCAAAGATATCGTGCCGAACACGACAATATTGGCTCCCCCATGATCAACGTGCAGGAAACGAAAGAGAACAACTAAAGTCATCACGTGTTATGGTGTGTGTACTCAGGGTGAAACTGGAGGCAAAGCTCGAGAAGGCCTCTCATTGATGAAATGAATGGAAACGCAGCGAAATGATCACTCAGATACCTCTTCTCAACTCTGAACTTCTCTAAATTCTTGACTCCACAACGCCCAAATGGCATCGAGTAACAAACCAACTACATCACAGACCAAACACCACACAAACACCCAAGTTGTAACGCAGCAGACACCACCCTCCCTGCACCCCTCGAATTGGGCGCAGGCGGCACTCGCAAGGGCCACAGTCTATGAGAAGCCCTCTCGCCATCTGGCCAACTCGTTTTCCTTCTTGATCACCTCAACTCATGATCCTGTTTATATCAGGCTCCGTCTCTTTAATCCAGCAGCACTTGTTGGCATTGCCTGATTTCGCCTGCGTCTCAAGCTTAGGCGCGATTCAACCTAGCATTCGGCCTCTTCCCATCAGGCCCAAAATTCTCCATCCCAAAATCGGTCCGTGGCTTCTGCTGCATCCAACGAGTCGGATGATACCACGCGAGGACGGCCAGGGCACAGAACATTGGTGTGCCCTCCAGGACGTACAGACACCATTCGTGGTTAAAAGGATACCCGTCGATTCCGAGGGCAAATTCGACGACACGGTAGATCGAGCGGACCTGCACGTACACACAATGAGTCAGCGACTGCGAAATCGGGTACATCCAGAAGGAGCTGTGACGGACCTGGACGAAGAAGCTGGCGACCCACGCCCCCAAAATCACCTTCTTCACACACGGATTGAATCCAGTCTCTTGATTTCCCTTCACCCTCGTCACGAATCTCCCCATAAGGAGCAGGAAGACGGTGAACGTCGCCAGTTGCAGTGCCAGTCCAACGAGCAGTACATTCGTTCCGATATCTTTGAGGTTGCCTTCCCAATTGCCTGAACTCGCGATGCCCGAGCCGGAACATTGTGTGAGGAAACTCACTACATCACTGGTGATGAAAACTCGGCCAAGCCAGCGGGGGCTGATGCGGAAGAAAACGCGGTCGGGTCCGTCGGGCAGAGTCGTGCGGATCAGACGCGTCAGGAGCAGGTAAAGCGTGGCGCAGACAAAGATGGGCGAGATGACGATGTAAGAGGCCGATATCGCATATAGGGGGATGGAGGAGTTGTTATGTATGGAGGCGATTCGGACAGACCATCCGCACGTGGATATGAGGCCCGCGACGAACAGCGGGATGGTATATTTGTGTTTGATGGCGCAGTGGCGGGAGGATATGAAGTTGATGTAGAAGTGCCACAGGGTCAGGACGGCGTAGAGAACGGAGAAGATGACGGCTGCGGGTGTGGAGGGAGAGTAGAAATACAATTCGACGTCGTCGGTGGAGGCGGTGGAGTTCGACATGGTTGTCTGGGTTTGGGTTTTTGAGGTCACAAAAGTCGAGACTGCGCCTGTCTATTCGGTATTGGAATCGGTTGCCGTTGCTGTCAAAGGTTGGATGAGGTATTGATCTGTCCTGGAATTGGTCTGGTTGTATCAGTATGGAGAGGGCAATTCGTGCTTCGGCTTTGCGTTGGGGGCGATTGGACAAATTCCACAATGAGGCCTCGGGGTCGGCCAGTATGACAATGACAATCGCAGTGATAATGACAATGAAGCCAGTTCGGGATGAGAACAATAGTATGACACTGTCAGTAGATTCGGAACAAAGGAGTCATTCATAGGGCCTATCGAGACAAAAGAAAAACAATGGAAAGGATTCAGGTAGGTCTATATATACTCTCTCGAAGCCATCAAGGTGCATTGCAAGTGCCAGTGCCAGTGCCAATTCCCCATCTCGAGACGAAGAACGGGCGGGCTACAGGATCCAAGAGTTTTGGCATGCCATGCCATGCTGTGTCGTTGTCGCGTCGTATTCGCACCGAACAAAACTGGATCGACGAAGTGATGCTAAGACATTATCAAGATCGAAGCATGCCAATGGTTTGTTATTGTGTATGAGAGTGAAAGAGGCAGAGAGAGAGAGAGAGAGAGAAAGAGAGAGAATACTTCGCAGACAGCACAGTACAGCACAGCACAGCCAACCGAAAGAGGAAGATGTACGTATTCGGGATCGTGGCCAATCAAGAAGCGAGAAGGGCGCCGTGCGAGGCTGAGCTTGCCTTTAGTAAATTGGGGGCCTTTTGGAATAGATCGTGGTCCTCGATACGGCTGCCCGTGGACTGCACAGGGTGTTTGACGTTGACGATCGCTTGTAACTCTTACAATATGATGACTCGACGGCCAAGAGTGGCTTGTACATACCTAGAGGCTGTTCCTGCGGTATGCCACCTTCCAGGTTACGTAGTGTGTTGTGTCGCCGCGTCTTATTCGTATTCAAACCCAATGACCTTCGCAGCTTTTTGAAAAGTAGTCTGTCATGGCACGACTACGTGGACTACCACAGCTACTCATGCGACGTCAAATATACAGTACGAAGTATTCCATATCCGGATTACGGACATCTTAGCTGAATTCTTGCCAGGAATCGAGTACGCCTTGGCACGCCTTTGGCCCCCCTCTGAAGTTGAAAATTTGAAGTTAGCGAGCACCAATGCCTATCTACCACCGTAACTTTCAAAGTTCCTGTACTCTGGTTTCTCACTACAGTTAACCAGCAACCCCTGGAACGACGTAGCGTATTCGTATTACCAGGCCTCACCAGCCCCTGGCGATCACCGTGCTACTTACTCGCTAGATTCTCGAGACACTTGGTTGCTTACTTACTACGTAGTACCATCATGTATTTATTCTAGCACTCACCAAAAAAAAAACAAGCGCCATCGTCTCTTTCCCATTCACTGTGACGACCGGCAATGATTGGCAGTGAGTACAGGCACATTAGGCCGACGCACAGCCATGACGAGCCGTGATTACTCGTGACTACCTAGATATATTGCTGCCTGCGAGTTCCGAGTACCTAATGGAGATCATTCAGACAAGCACGACTACCAGTACCGCATTCTCCATGGCAATCGCCGGGAGAAAAAGTTTGGAACAGCCCAGTTCCGTCGCGAAGCTTGACATGACTTGCGGTGAGAGAGAAAGGGACCAAAGAAATTGTTGTAGAGCTTGGGAGGGGAGGGGGGGGGGCCAGACAGGTTCAGGGGAGGCGATGACTACCTGTTCGTCTCTGTAGGAGGGTGTGAATATGGACGGCAGGATCGGAATCTTATGTGACAGTGCAACAAGATTCCATTCCACTCCACCACCCACCTTGAATCGCTCTTAAACGAAGAAGACCAAAACGTAGCAGACCTCAACAGGCAAAGGGTCAAGCAAGAAACAAGAAGACAGGAATGATCTCATGGTCATCACAAAAATGGCATCATTTCATCATCATGTCGGCCTACTGGCTATAATATCTTACACACCCTCAGAACGAAGTAAAGGCCAGCGTCGTGGACCACCGCGATAGACCGTATAATGCGACCGCTGCAATATCTTAACCATAGACCAACGCTCGAACCTCAATGCTTTCGCGGCCCTTTGCGCCCACTGGTGTTCTAGGGTCGATAAACGCGGTATGCGGCACTCTCTGCCCGACGCCCTCTTGGCTATCATAGCACTTCAGGAACAGTCTCTCGTCATTGTCCATACCAGACCAGTAAAAGAACTTTTGGCCAGGATTATATCGGACGGCAGCCGTCTCACCCGTGCGATGGGGATATCTGTGCTCGACAGGAACAAGATCGTTGTCATCGACTGTGTCTGCAGACGCAAAGCCCAGGGGATGTGCTTGGACAGTGCCATTTATGGGTCTCCACACATTGATAATTCTGTACCGCCCTTTGAGCAGTTCATCCGCTTCCTCTGGGTTGTGCAACCTGACCCGCCACTCGGTCGACCTGGCTGTCTGATCAACATGCACTCTGGTGACAGGCGCGCGGGGCGCATCAGGGTTCGATCGTCGGACAGTATGGTCGAAGATGGTGATTTTATGAGCGCCAGGGACATTGTCCAGTAGCAGCTTCTCAACTTCAGGATAGTAGACCTTCTTGATGTGTTCGTCGTCATTAAAATCCTTCTCTTCTGACGGCACGCCCTTGACTGCCTGGAAGGCGTCCTTGTCGAGGTAAAACTCGTTTTCCTTTCCTCTGATGTCGTTCATCTCGACTTCGACCACATTCTCGCCGAAATTTCGCTGCGGTTGTCCTTGTGGTGGCTTTTCAACGTAGTTGTGTGGTTTGGAGCCATCTTCGGGATCTTGGAAGAAGTTCAGTTTTGTTCGGACTGATCCTCGAGGAACCCAAGAGGCGTCTTGAACTCCGGATAGGATCGTGGAAGTGGCTGTCTGTGTAGTCGTCGACGACATGGTGGCGAGCCGAATGTTAGAGAGATAGACTGATTGAAAATATCCCGAAGGGAACGAGTTTCTTAGACTGATGCAAGGTGCAATATAGAGGTTGCCCAAGTGCCGTTGACTGACCTTTTATATGCGCAGTCAAAGTCGAGCACGCAATGCGGCTTACACTGGCCACGACTGGATTATTAGAAATCCGCCAGTTCACGTCATGTCGTGTGGGCCGAGGGATTTTTGGCGAGCCGGTCGTTCCCCCCATGAATCTGCGACCATCTCCCCGCATCACATTCTTTCTCGCCACTCACTCGTCGTGGCCCTGCCGTGTGCTGTGCCCTGCATCTCGAGTGCTGATTTTTCTCAAAACTTGAAAGATTACTCACAGTCCTCCGTACTCTCATGATGAATCAAGCGTCATAATTGGCCTCGGCTTAATCTGTACTCGGCAGATACTGTGATACGCTGCTTTACGCCCTGCGACTTGCACCTTTTCACACTTCGCCTTCTTCGCTTCCATAATCAACCACATCGTCAAGCTCATCACGACCGTTCTGATTCGGCGCTGGGGGAGGCGGTGGCCTAACATCGTTCTGAGTGGGAGGAGGTTGATGGGGGGGCCTTGAGAGCTCGAACTGATTGCTTTGATTATACACACCGTTGTCCCGACTGTCCGGACGGCTTTGTGGAGGTAGCCTATCTAAATGACCGTTGCTGTAGGATGGGGTTGGACCACTCCGGTTGGATCCTGACGAAGATTGTCGTCTTGTGGAATTCCCGGAGTCTGGAGGCAGATTTGAGGGCCGTCGAGGCAGATTTGCCGTACGTTCCGATGAACTGCCCACAATCTCATCAATTCGTTTCCGGACGTCTTCAGCGCTGTGTTCTGGTTCAGTGTGTATTGCTCCGTCGCCCGCGCCTGAAGGAATTCGTGACGTCGGACGATCTCGCTCCGGCAGATTGGGCTTCTCGTCTTGAGAGTCCAGGCGGGCTCTTTTAGGTGAAGGAGGCGATGGATTCTCCGTCGACGGTCCTCTTGCCATACTCGCCCCCCATTCTCCGGAACCTCGATCATCCATGGCATTCCTCTCACGCTTGGTTCCTTGACTTCCACTTCTAGCGCTGCCACCGGGTGACCGGTCGGGTTGAGGAGTCGCGGCATTTCGAGTCCTCTCAAACATGGACAGGTCCTCATCCTTAGTGTAAGCGTCTTTCTGTCCTTGTCGTGGTAACGCAGGATTCTCGTAAACTTCAGCCATTATGTTGCAACCTCGCTGTATATCCAAGATCTCGAGGCGCAGCTGGTCCCACCATGGTCTACCTCGTTCATCATCAGGTAGAGTGATGCCGGCAAACTTGACACCCATGTACAACGCGCTGCCTGCAATCGCGCTCGGACTAAGTTGCAGGCACATTGTAGTGACGAGCGAATCATTCAGAAACGCCCACGAAGTGTTCCGCAGATGCTTGTTCTCCTGGACGCCATAGAGGCGCAGGAAATCCAGGAGTATACGATAGGGTTGCTCCAACTGCAGGTCAAAGCAAAGAGCTTCCAGAAGGAGGTCTTCATTATGCAGAATTGTGTCTCGCCATTTCCAGTATTCTTTGCTCTGTTCATCCACCACCAAGTTGGGTTGTTTTTGAGCCACCCGACAACAAGCCACCACCAACTCCCTCATTTTTCGGTAGTTTTCTTCGACCTTGGTCGCCAGAAAGAGGGCAGTGGCCGCGACTGAGTAGTGATGCAGGCCCGGTTTGTTGTTCTGAACCATGGCATGACGCATGAAGAATCGATGCAGGTAGACGGACGCCGTGGCAAGGGTCAACTGAGGCAGCTTCAGCATGATACCGACTTGTGTGATGAAGTTAACGCCCTTCTGCCTGTTGGCCAACTCTTGCGGGACCGACATGCCCTCGAGTATACTCGGCGAAAGGAGAAGTTCGTCTGGGGTGAACAACCATTGCGACTGCGTTCGTTCGAGGACAGGATTCGTCGAAAAAGGGGGAGAGACATCTGGTCGAGACATCTTACGGAAACCGGGCATGGCCGGGTATATCAAACGCAGCGACGGCGAGAGTGCTGGGTCAAGGAGGGCGATGGCTAGGGAGACTGTTGGGCGCAAAGCGCGTGGCTGCAACATTCGCCGGACAAAAGCCGCAGAAGCTCGTTAAACTGTCGTGGGCATTGCCTTCTTGCAAAAACCCAAACTAGGAGTCCATGGTGGCTGAGACCTAGGGATGAATACTGCAGTATCAGTAGCCCGTCCTGCCTCGCAAATCTTTGGCGACTGTGTCATGGGAAGACAGGCGCGCAGTTGCTGGAGGAGATCTTTGATATGTCGGAATTGGTAGCTAAGCCGAGAGATATCTCTATCTGTCAGACCGGGAGTTGACTATGGGTGTCCACTATTGCACGCTATTGTCACAGATGTTGGCAAGATTGTCGCGGTCAGACAGTTCCCGGACCCGACCAAATCATTCACGTTGTCTGACATCATCTCCCTGAATCATCCCGCACGTAAGCAGAGGGAACTATTTTATGCTGGCTGCATACTAGGAATGGGCTGCATCAAGTTGCTTTGCTTCAACACAATGCTTTATCGTGGTAAAGCAGATCCGAGGCACTTTCTCACTATTTTGCCTCGCGTTAGTGATGAGAGGTCGCGCAAAAGGACAAATTTTGCATGCAAGGTACTAATAGTGTAGAGTTGATCCTTGTGACTCTGACAAGATATTCAAGAATCGACTGGTTCGAATCGATCTTAACATCCGGCGGCTCCCAGATTGTAGACGTGCAAGGCGCGTGGTCAAGCATGATGTTCGTCAATGCATGTTACGAATGTCTCGCTAATTCATGCCGTGGTCCATGTGGCTGTCATTATCTAACGGTCAACAACTTGAATCTGTGGGATTGTACAGGTATGCTGGCTACTAACTTACTAACGGCCGTTGATTGTTCCACCTCGGTAGCGATGATAACCGCGCTTAAAGACGAACTAAACAACAAGGTCTAAGGCTGTCTTGACCGAGGAAGACGATTATGCCAAAATCATCCAAGAATTCTACCGGCGCGCGCTTCCAGCTGTGCCTCTCGTATTATATGTCTGAAAGAGGTATGTGTAGGTCCAAAAGAAGTAGGAGTTCAGTGCAGATTTGCTTCTTGTGCCACCTCTCGTGTCCTTAGTCGGGCTGCTCCAACACCGAACGAGTGGTATACGGGTGTCGGATCATGGGCGAGCAAGAGCCCGTTATGGACACTCATGCATGGTGAGGTAAGGAAGTACGAAGCCAGCCCCTCGAAGGTCGGTCAGCGCTGGAATCGAACATGCGCTCGGTGTACAGAAGCCCGTCATACAGGCACCAACTCGCCTAGAATGAAGTGCCATCATGTGCTGATTGGGTGTTTGTCGGTACTATGTATGCATCCCAGTGCGAGTTTCCGGGTGTCGGCCGTACGAGATGTTCCGGGCGAAACCAACGAACCATCACTAAACTTTGTCGAACATCCATTAATCGCGTCCTCTCACACCCGCCTTGCTGGAAGACAGATTCGTATGCGAAAACAACCCTCATCTGCTGCTCCCCTGCCTAGCCCCATCAAATCTGTTTGGCGTAGGAGCAGTTGCTGTTCCTGCCAAGTGATCAGTGATCTGACTACTGTACTGACTACTGTCTACACTTTCCTGAAACTCCCTAAGCTCGACCTCCACCTATCTACCTGTCCCGAGGTTCCCAGTCTACAACACCTTCGATATCCGTTCTCTCTCATGTATTCCTCTTCATCGACTCTAATGTTCACCTTTCTGTCTCATTCCATCCATCATTCGCGTCTTTTTCGGATTACTGGCTAAATCTTCCGTCCCCCGTTCAGCCGCTAGGCATGCGCCATATTCGTCTCGTCCGGCGATCATGACCGTACCACTCTTACCTCGCTTCGCGCTGGCCGTCATGCAGATTCATGGTAAGTCATCCTCTTCGGAGAGGTCGAAATGTACTCTCCGTCCAGAGGGCATCCGCAGGTATTTCGTGGCGCCTCAACGACTCGTCCGGCTTGTGACACGCACCAATGGAGACCTCTTCCGCATCATGGCCGAGTCCAGCCTGATGAGCTCTCACAGTCGATTCAATATCAGCTAAGGTGATATACATATGCGTCCTGCCCGGAGGCAAATCTATGTTTCTCGGACAGTGAAGTTTTCCCGACTGCATCTGAGTCTCTTTCAACCCAATCCTTTCACATACAGTCAGGTTGCAAGGCCACGACTTGCAGCAAGCCTGGCAAGCTTATAAGCCTTCAAGGGTCTCATTGTCAGAGAGCGCCTGCAGCATACCGACCACGCTCCACAAGGATCACCATACGCGAGCGAGACCCCTGGGAAATCGTGCCTTCATACTGCTTGCAGCAGGGTCTGAAGTCCCAATGACATCTAGGGAAACTATATCATCAGCAACCTAACCTCAATCAGGAGAAAGCCACAACGATTCTACCAGCCTGCTTTCTGCAATCCTCCCAATCACAGTCGCAACGTCTCGCCATTGAGAACCCCTGTACCCCATTACTCTGCTACACGGTGGACCGATTTGAGCCTACCAGAGATTGCAGCCGTTACCAAAGCAGCGTGGCCTTTTACCTAATCAGAAACACTTCCGTTGACCATCAAAACGGCCTCGGGTTTTACATTCATATATAGAGCTCGGTGTCATGCCCACCAAGCCGAAGAGAACCAAGTCTCCGGACTCGCAGTTCTTGTTCGTGAATGAGGATGCCTGGACGGTCACAAGGACGACGAAGGATGCAGAACTCGACAGGACAAAACAGAGCCATGTCCAACGCCAAAATTTCGCCCGTAAACGGCGGCTTTGGGGGCAGTCCATATCGGGTCAGCAGTCAAGCAGTCAAAGTTCTGTCTCTCCTAGTCCTGCAATGGTCGAGCCCTCTAATGAGGTATCGTCGTCGACTCAGGGAGGACCATCTTACGGCAGTGACTACTTTAACATATTCCAGAATCTTGACCTTAGCGATGCTCAATTTCACTCCACCAGTCCAGCGTCTTTGCCGCAAGATCCGCTCGACCCCCAATTATCCGCGATGTTCTCAAACCCTTTTGCTTCAACAGCTTTATCGGCCCCCGTCCTTACGATGTCAGTCAGTGGCTTTGAGACCTCACCTTTCTACCGGCCTGGTCAGTTCTTCGACATGACCCATCCAAACTATACTGTCACCCCACCTCAAAGAGGGTCGATGAACATGTCCTCCTCCTCCAGATCATCGAGCCGGATAGCCAGCCCGGTCGCAAACAACCAGCGAATCTTGGAACAGTGGGCGCCTCCGCTCATCCAGCACTACAACACTGTCATACTTCCCGAGAAGTTCTGGAAAGATGTCCAAAAGGTGCCCCTTGGGCAGATCAGGCATGCGCCCTCGATTCACGCAGACATGCAAGCCTGCATGTCAGAGCCTGCGCACATGTATGCCTTTCTAGCTTCTGCTGCGACACAAATGCTTGTGCGAGAAGGCAACCTCCTATTGCCAAACCTTTATGACGAAGACCTCCAAAGAGTGCCAACCTTCTTCAAGACTAAAGCGATACAGGCTGTGAGGGCGAAGATTGCCAGCGGACAAATTGACCACCGAATTGCTGTTGACGTTCACAGACTTTACTGCACAGGAATTCATGCGAACAATCCTGAAGTCGCCGAACCTCATTTCCAGGCCTTGCTCTCCATGATTGAAAGCTTAGGTGGCCTGAGCACCTTTGAGGATTATCAACAAGAGAAAATGATCATGCTCGATTGCATGGCGGCTCTGAAGACTCTCGAAGTTCCCCGACTTCTTTCGACATGTGATCCAGGCTCGTTGCCGGACGAAATTCTTTTGAGCCTCGAATCTCAAGGCCGATACGACTTTGGACTAGGAGTCAGATTCGAAGCGATGTTTCAGGCTCTCAATGCGGCGCGATCAATGACGGACGCCTTTTTGGACTTGATTCAAGTCCTCAAAATGTCGGCATACCTGCATGATGCGGACCAGTATATCCCGGAACACCACAAGTGGTTCAGCTGGAGCTGCTTGACGATATTACACAGTCTGCTTTCTATGCCGTTGCATACCGAGATGGATGACCGGACGGAGTCCTTGAGAATTGCCGCGGCGTTCTGGGTTGCTTTGGCGCGGTCGCCTCAATTGGGCTGGAGGGCCGCCTCCAAGTCCGCTCACACACTCAGGCAGAGGCTCGAAAGTACTGGCATTGGGTCACTTTGGGGACCGCATGCAGATTGTTTGTTGTGGGTCGTGGTGCTGGGAGGCATTTGCGCAGACAACGGCGATGATCTGCGATGGTACCTCGATGTTTCCAGAGCTGCTGCAGGCGAGCTGGGTTTGAACACCCCCGCAGGATTGGAGGAGCTCTTCTCGCAGCTGCTATACGATCCCTTTTCGCAAAGAGATATGCTCCTCCAGTTCGCAGAGAGGATGTGGCTATCCGTGGAGCCGTGAGGCGACATGTGGACAGAACGGAGAACGCACTGGAAGCACAGGGCTACGTGTTGAAGAGCAGCAATACAGCACCAGAGCCGATCTGTCAACAAGTCCCTGCTTCTTTCGACACTCAAGAGGATCTCTGCGATTGGCGGCCGGACACAATTGAAGCTCCCTGACTGGCACGGGGCGTTGTCAAAGTCATGGGAATAGCCAGACTGCTTGAGGACGAAATATGCAACAAGAATGCTACTGCCCGGAGCCGCAACTCACAAAATGGTCAATCGCCACAGTGCCGCGCGAAACAGAACTTCACGGCCACTTCGTGTCGTACTCGACCGTTCTCGTATACCATATTGGAGTCGGCCAAGGTCCAAACGGTGACCTATGTTGAAGATCATCAACAGAAAGGGCCATCCTTTACGAGTCTCAAGTATGAATTGTGTACACATCCAATTGCTGAAGTCCACTCTAACTCCAAATAGCTGAAGGACCTGGACCTGTTCGATGACGTGAAAGACCAATGTCCTGTGAATAGCCGGGATCCGCGCAATCTACACCACAGCATCAGTGAGACTACTATCGCCCAGGATAGGCTACGGCAGGCAGTTGCATCCATGGAATGGGTAAGTCAGATGACCAGGCTGGTTTCTCTGTCGGAAGGTTTGTGCCGAAATCAGCGCAAGGTGCAAGTACCACGCACATGCTCTTTTCAAGAAGCTCCTTTCAAGAGACAAGAGGCTCATCGACACCTCCTTCTGGTCAGGGTCGTTGCAAATAGATTACGTTCAGTCAATGACCCTAAAGATAGAGATGACGGATAGATAACTCATACATGAAAATGATGAATATATCCTCTATTCGGATGCTCTATTCTATATACATGGAACCTCCGAGACGTCCCGAACGCCTCATGCTCGTCAGCGCTGATAGCATGTAAAAGAAGAGTCGTAACTCATATCGCACTTCCTCCGCTGTCGGAGAAAGAAATCGTCCAGCTCAAGTAGCCGCAACCTCCACGAGTAGTGGCCAATGGTCGTCATATCCGTCCTCGACATGCTAGTCTTTAGGCTTGCGCATAGTGGACTTCTTTCGAGACCCACACTGACCATATTCTGGCGTAGACATTATAGATGCGGCACTCCCAAACTCGCCAGCACGAGGTTCACGATGCTCATCACGCCCTCGCCGAGGATCAGGCCGCTGGCGAGAACAATGACCCGGGTCTCGCCTCGTCGCTTCCAGTTGACCCACCAGTAACTGATTATCCCTCCGGCGGTCCTGGCCAGCGTGAAACTCGGCGTGTTGTACATGCCCACCGCGACCGCGATACCCCCTGGTATCCACGGATGCAGTGTCCGGCACCAGGGCTTCTGGTCACGGTATGCGAGCATGTATATCCTCAGGGACGTGGTGATGACAAAAATCGCGCCGGCAATGAGGGCGACCTGCCACGCCATCGGCGGCAGACCTTTTCCCGTCACCAGACGGGCCGTGAAGATCCAGACGTACGCGGTCGGGATCTCGAAGAGTTCACCTGGGACTTGGTACACCGAGACATACAGCTTGTAGACGGCCGCGGAGACGAACGCCCCGACCACGCTGCCGATCATTTGACCGTAAAACTGGGCCTTGGGGCTTGCGCCGATGAGGTGGCCCGCCTTGAGGTCCTGGAGCATGTCCCCGGCTTGGAGGGCACCGGCTTCGCTGACGGCGCCGGCAAGCAGGTTGATGACGATGGCGTGGTTTGCGTGTTTGCCAGTTGGGGTGACGAGGGCGAAGACGAGTTGCGTGAGTTTGGAGATGCCTGACACCGGGTTCAGGTCGGTCTCTCCCAGGGCACGGACACCCATTATGGACAGGACACAGGCGAGGAGGATGGCGAGGATGTTTAGGCCGATCGGGATGTAGGTGCCGAAGGTGACGTGGATGCAGAGAACGCAGAGGATGAGGGTGAGTGGGAGCAGGATGCAGACCGTGCGGCCTGAAATCAGGTGGTGTGGTGGTGCGTCGTCGGGAGTGTCGTCCGAGGGTGAGGATTTCGCGGGCTTGCGTGGTGCTGAGTTATTATTAGAGTCTGGAGATGTGTCGAGGGCGAGGTAACCGGCAAACTGTTTGCCAAGGAAGAAGTCGGCCCAGGAGTTGCTGTGTTTATAGTGGTGTTGAGCTGTGCGGACCCAGTCGGGACCGTATTTGATGGTGGGTCGGAGGATTAGCCAGCCTAGATTGACAACTGCATCGGCGAGCATAATGGCCAAACTGACCCAGACTATCCAACCTTTGCTTCCTGTCTCCCAGTCGTCGACGGAGCCGGGTGCCCAGCCTTTGTGTTTGGCGATGGGACTGAGTACGCCCCAGCCTACGATTGCTCCCAAGAGCATGTGGAAGGTGGTCGCTGGGCCCATGATAATGCCTTGACCGACGTACGCTGGTGATGGATTCAGTGTCCAAACCCAGGTATTGGCCAGGTATGTGCCGAAGACCGGCAGTTTGTGCAGAATAGGGAGGAAGTATTGAATCAAGGTATAAGATCCAGATCCGGTAAAGGCTACCATGAGAAGTCGGATTTGTCTTTTCCAGTCGGCTCGTACATCACGCTCATCAGGCTGGCTGTTGACATCGTCTCGGTCGGTTTCGCGCAACAGCTCCTCGCGTTCCTCTGTGCCCTGCGTTGCGATCTCTCGTTCCTTGGCTTCATCGCTTTTGGCTCCGCCATGCAAGACACTTATCATCAGAGCGGTAGCGGTGCCGCTGGGAAACTTCAGCCGCTCACGTATGATGACCTGCCTCCTCAGTGGGACAGCAAAGACCACTCCGAAAAGACACAGTCCAACACCCCAGACGAAGAGCCTCCAAATGCTCAGATCTATTGGTGCGCCCTCACTCTTCTTGAGCAGAAATTCCAGACTGGGCATGACCCCTACGAAACCTAAGCCTAATGGCATGGTTCCCACAGCTCCGGCCACCGTCTGTACCAATACATTTTCCACCGGGGTAAACGGAAGTGCCAGATAGGGTGATATGGCTTTGAATATCGCAAACCCGATCAATGATGCGGGCATAGCCATCCCGGACACCCATCCTGTCTGCAACCCGAAGTATGTATTGGAAAAGCATATGATGATGCCAATCGCGATTCCTACCAAAAGACCTCGAACCGTGAAATTTGTCCCGTCGAGGGCCGAATCGGAGGCACCAGGTATGGCATAGCAGGCATGATCGGATCTCGTGGGGGCAATGTCATGCTGATACAAGTGATCGTCTGCCGGCGAAGACGCAGACAACTCATGGTCTTGAGGATCCGATACCGAAGGCGAGCGAGAAGAGGAATCCCTTTCAGGGTGCATAATGTGCCGGGGCTATTGTTGTATCACGGTGATGCTGTTAACCGTAGCCATGGAGTCAGACCAGGCGCGGGTGGCATCGGCCTGCCGATAGTGACCACTCTGTGGTAGCAGTGGCCTTGTATATGACCTGTATATAGGCCGAATGTGGGATTGTCTCTGCTCAAGCAACCATACCTTGATGATCCCAAGTCCAATCTAGGTGCCGTGCGTTGATGGTTTCCGGATATTCGGATTTGATCACCATGATTCACGTCACGTGTACGCATGGCCCGGGAGAAAAATCGAAAACCAAAAAAGCGAAAACCAAAAGCGAAAAGCGAAAAGCGCAAGCGAAGCCCCGCCTGCGACCGGTGACCTGCGACCTGAGATCCCTTGGACCTTGAACCTTGCCCATCCTCGCCCGGCTGTGCCTTCATCCACCTCGACCCGAATCGTCACTCGATCATCAATGGTCGATTCCCCATCCCTGTGGGTATCTTCTATCGATCGCAGAATCATTGATTGCCATCCATGGCTCTGATTTCCGTGGAAAGGTCGATTAAGGGTCTGGACGCATTCCTTGCCGTCTCAATGGATCCCCCCGACCGCCATTGACTGTGTCACTGTCTCTGAAATACACCCTTGACCACATTCTCCATCCAATGACACTGCCGATACTCCACGCGTTGATGCAGGCCCGTGGCCGTCCTCACAGACCCTAATCTGCCACAGGCAAGTGCTAGCCTTGAGATCTGACGTTAAGGTTCGACAGCAGCCTATGTACTGAGTCTTCACGCTGCCTGCCACCTAGCTGCCAATCCGTCATCTACCTCTACTGCATGCGGTTGACACCCAAGTCCACGATCCTCTTACACCCAAATCCTATACCCAACAAACAGCCCGATTTTCGAAGCCGCCTATGTTGACTTGTCCGCGATGCTTGGCATGTGTGAAAGTCGCATTGTAAGACGGTGAAGGGCAAAAACATGACTTGCCTGAGCATTTAGGCACAAAATCATTGCCGGGACGCCCTCGCCACCATGCCTGCCGACGGCCACCGCGAAGGCGCTCGTGAGCGCGAAATGCACAGGTTCGCCACCAGCCAAACCCCCCCCCCCCCGGAGACTAGGTTGCTGATTGCCTGCGCAGATACTACCAGCCATGGCTAGAGACCTTCATGTCCACCGAGAACCTCGAGGAAGTGTCTCATGTTCCCCCACAGAACGGATATCGACCACGATCTTCCAGAGATAAGGGTCTGACCGCTTTCGCGCAGCTAGGCTGCCTTCGATTGCACGCCAAAAGAGGTATCATCACACTGCTGGACAGTACAAGGCAATACATCATCGCCGAGGCTACACAATCTCTGTCCCTCCTTTCCGATTCTCAGCATGATGCAGGCGATGAACTCTGGTTTGGAAACTCTTTCATCGAACGTGATGCTGGGATCTCGGCTGATGCAATGTTCCCGGAGGTATACACCGCAAAGGGACCGGACCACTACTTTTACAGCGCGCCGGCTCTGGTGATAAGTGACATTGCCAGCCATGATCGGTACAAAGCGCGAGGGTATGCAGGCAATGGAGTCTCATTCTATTGTGGCGTGCCTATCACCACAAAAAATGGTCATGTTATTGGAGTTTATACCGTTACGGATGACAAGCCGCGAAACGGCCTCTCAGCGGTGGAACTGAGATTCATGGCTGATATGGCTGTCATTGTGGCCGAGCATCTGGAAACTGTTAAGAACGATCGAGCGAGAACTAGAGGGGAGCGATTGATCCAGGGTATTGGCACATTTATCGAGGGAGCCATTAGCGACGAGGCTAGTCCCACGTCTGAGCCTCCTCCCTCACCAGGTACTATGGCTCCCGACGCCCAATCAGATCCCGTTGATCTTGATCAGCATCAGACTACGACGTCTGCACCGACCGCGCCGAGCCACCCCAAGGCGAAGGAGTTCAAGGGCATCGTCATCGGAGATGCAAATACACCCATGGAGGAACACAAGCAACACGCCGAGCAGGGACCGCAGAGATCTGGGTCGGACTACTTTTCAGGCGGAACAGAAGCCAACCATGAGGGATCGAAACAGGTCTCATCCGACGGGGACGACAAAGACGATAACCAGCTGGAAGTGAGACGCCCCAAGGGCCCCAAGCGGTCAATCTCTACGAAGAACAAGGCATTGCTTGATTCTCAATACGTCTTCTATCGAGCAGCCACTATTCTCCGCCATTGTGTGAATGCTGATGGCGTCGTGTATTTGAATGCCAGCTCCGCCAATCTCAGTTCCGGATCCACCATGAACGATCCTCAGTCAGGTGTCAACTCAGTCCAACATACCAGAAATAGAAGCAAACGCCAGATTGAGCGGACGGATGATGATGAGTCGCGCCTTCTTTTTAATTCCGGTACCTATCGCGAACAAAGTCCACATGATTCTAGCGACTCGAGCTCTTCTACTGCTACGCGCAGCAACAGCGACTCTTCTACTACGCCGCACGTCAGAAAAGATGAATGTGAGGTCCTGGGCGCATCGATCGCAAAACCTTACAAAGGAATAAACATCACCCGGCAGACCATACGTCGGTTTGTTCGCCGCCATCCAAAGGGAAGATGCTTCACCTTCGACAAATTTGGCAGACCTGCTTCAAGTGATGAGAGTTCTGAATCTGCTTCTGCGATGCCTGAGAATAGTCTCCATCCCGTCGGTGATGGCCTCCAATCCTCGAATGCAGCGAGACATCTTACCACGACAAGAGCCCTGCTGAAAGCACTCCCCGATGCAAGGAACATTGTTTTCCTTCCACTTTGGGATTCTGCCAAAGAACGATGGCACTCAGCTGTCGTGCTTTGGGCAAATGACCCGACAAGACTGACTAATATTCAAGATGACATGTCGTATCTTTTTGCATTCAACAATGCTCTGATGAACGAGGTCAACCGGATCAACCTCGCCTTGTCCGACACCGCCAAGGCGACATTCCTTGCCAACATTTCTCATGAGCTTCGCTCGCCTCTACATGGCATTCTCGGGAGCATTGAGTTTCTGCACGACACACCGATGGACGACTTTCAAGCGGGTATGGTAATCTCTGTCGAGACTTGCGGCAAGACCTTGCTTGATACCGTCAATCACGTTTTGGACTTCGCAAAGATAAATAACCTCTCCAAGCAAAATTCGAAGAAACTGGGTTCCTCGCGGAATCATGGATACCACCAAGCTACAAACTCCGACGATAGTTTGACGGTCGACTTTGATATGGCTGTGATCGTTGAGGAGGTAGTGGAAGCAGTGTATGCTGGCCAGGTCTTCCGTACTGCCAACGAGGATGCTCTGGAAGGAAAAGGTCCGAGCCAGACTGCCGCGGGCCGCGCCATGGACAGACGGAAAGCCGTGAGAGCGGACATCAGTGAAATCTCGGCGTCGAATGGGGATTCCGTCCGCCTCACGCTGAACATCGATGATCATACTAACTGGAAAGTGCGATCTCAACCCGGGGCCGTCAGACGAGTCGTCATGAACATCCTGGGCAATGCTCTCAAGTATACCAGCAAAGGAAGCATCGATGTCTCACTTGAATTGGACCGTAGTCGCAGGAAAGGCCATTCGCACCTTCATATGCTTCTCAAAGTGACAGATACGGGAAGGGGAATGTCTGGAGAGTTCATGAAGAACCATGCGTTCACCGCATTCTCTCAGGAAGATTCTCTGGCAACAGGCACCGGTCTGGGCTTAAGCATTGTGCGGCAGATTGTTGATGCTCTTGGAGGCAAGATCGACCTTGCGAGTGAGAAAGACATGGGCACTGAAATCTGCATCTGGCTAAGCCTTCCCAAGAGCCAGGAGGAAACCCCTCAAGACGGTGAAAGGAACCTCATGGCAGAGATGCGGGCACAAACTAAGGGTCTTGAGATCTGTATGCTGTCACCACCCTTAGAGAAAGGCAAAGAGACGCCTTGTCGGGCATTGCGTCGTATGCCCACGGTCGAGACTTCTATGCGAAATTTGTTGTCACAGTGGTTCAGCATCAAGATCACAACGGCTGATAACATGGAAGGTCGTTCACCAAACTTTTTTCTCTACCCCGAACCACCACCGATCGACTATCTCATGAACTGCCACGGCAAGCCCGATTCAGACAGGGAAATCCCCGTCATCGTTCTCTGTACGAACGCGTTCGAAGCTGCAAGTCTGAGGTCGCATGGTTTGCATGAGCTAACTGACATTGGACGTATTATCGAGATCATATCACAGCCATGTGGACCACAAAAGTTGGCCAAAGTGCTTCTTCGCTGCATGCAACGGATGAACATGCTTCAGAACTCGCACTCGAAGAACTCCACTGATCATGTCCCTCTTTCCGTACATCGAGTACGAGACAAGTCAACCGATCAGGCTCCGAAAGACGCTACCAAGGTACAGGGCGAGCCACATGCCGAGTCAGACCAGCACAGCAAAGACACTAACAGAGTCTCTTTTGCTGTACAGGCGAACGGTCACGAGCCCAGCTCCGACGGGGCGGTCGATTCGGTAGATGAGAACTCAACACGAGGTCGACAGGAGGAGATGCAGCAGTCTACAGACGACAAGCAGTCTACAGATGGAAAGCAGTCTTCAGATGGAGGGGATATGGAGAACCTTTCCGGTGATCGAGAACAAGTGGATGAGGAGAGAACGCATTCCGACCGACACACGGACAAAAGGCCCCGAGTTCTTGTTGTCGACGACAACAATATAAACCTGCACCTTCTTGTTACCTTCGTTAGGAAAACTCATCATCCGCACAAATCGGCAGCCGACGGGCTCAAGGCATTGGAAGCGTACAAACGCAGCGTCCTTGAGGAGAAGAATGGGTTCAAGTTTATTCTGATGGATATCTCCATGCCGGTGATGAACGGGATAGTGTCTACTCAGGAAATTCGCAAGTTCGAGAAGGAGCACAACATCCAGGACAGAGCGAAGATTATTGCCCTGACCGGTCTTGGAAGCGAGAGCGCGCAGAACGAGGCGTACCAAGCTGGGTTTGATCACTTTTTGAGTAAACCTATTGTAAGTTGTTCTCCTCGTTGTGGGTGTCAACGCGGTACAGGTACTGACTCTCGGACAGAAGTTCAAAGATTTGCAGAAACTGCTCCAGTGATTGCCACGACGACTGTTGACTTAACGATGAGCGATTTTCTTCCAGATCTCATACCAACTTGCCTGCATAGCGGTGGTGCCCTGCGGGCTGATGGTTTGTCCACGACTTGAAGGCGTACAAGACGACTTGATATGGATTGGACTGGGTACTTTGCATTTAGCCTACTGAGTTTACAGGCCACCAGTCTCATGTATATATGCTCGGGAACGCAAGCTCATGACGACGGATGACCATGGATGTTGTCTCGTGGATTGGCATGATCAAGGACGGGCACTGTATCAATATACGAGATATTATGTTCGTGATGGGCTCTCCGGCTGGGCAGGACCTGATCGCCGAATGGTATGATCAATGAGGCAGTATTCTACGATTCCCAAGCTAGACGCTAATGATCGAGAGTCGAGGTCGTTATACGAGTGCCTCTTAATAGGGGGTGGATGTTCCAATTCGTACTCAGCAATGACCTTGGAAGACATATTCAGCAAGAACCTGATTGCGTGGCATTGCTGACTACCCCTTCCCTGTCCGCGTGGACTCGTCGTGTTTTATCTTTACTCCTGCCCTTACTGTATGTTCGGTTTCCTTCTTCCACAAGCCCTTCCCTCATTGTCTTCCAAACCAGAGGGCTCTCAGAAATCCATCCACTGGAGCCTTCCGTATCTTGATGACACGGCCACTCTTTTCGATCACGGTTTATCTTATTTGATCGACACTGCTTGCCCCCCCCATTGCACGGCCTCGACCAAGAAAATCCCAGTAGCCTGACCTCGTCCGATGTAGATCCAGATCCACGTGTATTCCAAGCCGCGGTCCCATTGCACTCCCAATATTAATCCTGTCGGGCATTCCCATTTCCACTCCCCGTCAACTAAATTCAAATCGCGACGAGAAAGAGGGTACTCCTCTATGTTGCCCAGTAAAAAGCCAGTATTAGACTCCGTCCAACGCCCACGCTGAAAATGTTGTGTATCAAGAACTCTGAAAGAAGAGGGTGCCCGCGAATTCGTTGCTGAAAGGGGCGAGAGAAAGTGTATGCGTAAGGCCGTGATGAATGGAAAGAATATGATGTACAGTGGAGTGTGCTTCACATCTCCACGGTCCTTTGGTCAAGAAGAACAAGGTGTTTCAAAACAAAAATTTGTGGTTTACAATCTCCACATCTTGGTCTGAAGGTCGAGTAGTTGATCGGGTACTGTTCCAGGTCAGACGGGAAAGGAAAGGAATGGCAAAGAGGTTGTGCTTGTAAATAGGCATGATGAGCCCGCGTAGGTCTAATCAGGAAGCTTTGTGTGTGACCGCAGTGCGGCCTTGTCGACAGAGGTTGATGCTGCTTACAAGCTGGGCCCTTCTTGGCCGGGATCGGCATCAAACGCCACACAGCAGAGCCAGGAGACGTTAGACAAGTCGTCCAACATCTGGAAAAGGCTAGTATATTGTGTACAGTCGTTCCCCACATGCGATGTGTCGTCAAAACTCGATAGATATATGGGGTGCCAAAAGTTCGGGGGCGGTGTTAATATCATCGATCTCAGCTTGTGACTCTTTTGATCCATAATCCAGTAGGCTGCTCATAAAAGTCCTCCCGATCTCTTCGTTTGACCACCCGATGCAGTCTGAGAGATGTCTCATGCTCTTCATTCGTGATCTCTTGTATTTCCAGGTTGAGATTAGTAATCATCTTCTCGATCTCGTTCCGTTTCCGGGCATCGTAGATGATGGCGTTCCGTTTCAATGATTCGCGCAACTCGGATATAATCTTATGTTGATTGCGCTTCCGTCGTGACAGGTCTTCCAGTCGTGCTTCTAGAGACGCCGCTTTGTTGGCAGCCTGTAGTTCGACTGGCGTTGGCGGTAGGGATTTCGTCATTGATAGGCCGGACATCAAGCTAACTGCGCGCGGCTTCTGGTCGCCGCCGACTGCTTTGCGTAGAATATTGGAACTTGATTTTCGGGCGACGATGTTTGAGAAAGGAGAAATGCCGCCGTGGTTGTCGTAACTCTTGTGACCACTGTTGTTTGCAGCCACTCGTTTGCGGAGGAATATAGGTGAGGGTACGTCTGATGTCCCAGTCATAGAGACAGGACTGCTCGTCATTTCAGCCCGGGAGAACGGGCTATGCGGCTCAACCATACTCGTGTACGTATTCCAGCTCGATGAAGTGTCCATCTCACGCTGCAGGGGATTCGCGCGTACGGTTGTCTCGAGAGAATCTTCGCTTGAGCTCCTTCCGCCAGTGAAGCTAGCATTAGACCCAAGAGTAGGACTGTCCCCTGCATAGTCCTGGATAGTGCTCGGCGCAGGGCTCAAGCTCGGAGCCGGCTCGAACATTGGTGGCGCTGGTCCGGGGCTGTGGAATGGACTGTCCAGGCCTTTTGTGTGATCTGCCGTCGTTGGTGATATGACTCTTGGTGTGTTCCGGCCTTTCAAAGGCGCAACAGGTTTGATGCTGTCGTCTGAAGAAATCGACCTGATCGTCGGAAGGGTTGAGGCAGCAACCGAGACGGCGTCAATTGGCGACCTGGGCATCTTTTCTGGTGGGATTGTGTTTGCCGTCTCACTTCTCGCCTGCTCGTCGGCCGGCTTATTCCGCTCTGGCAACATTAAAGGTCTCGTTCGTGCCGCTGGTGTGTTTTTAACCGGTTCGACAATCGCATGCCTCCCACTCGCACCTTTCCAGGCTGGTCGTTGAGGCGGATGATCAAGAGGATCTGGTTCGGCTGGTGGAGGCATCTTTCCCCAACCCGAATTTTTGACTGCCTCTCGATCCTTCAGGCCCGCTAGAATCTGCCTCGTTCTTTCCTTCAGTTGGGGATATTGTTGCTCGACAGTCGGCGTTGTCCCGGGACGCGCAGAGGGAGGCTTGCCGGCTTCACTGGGTTCGCCCGAGTATTCGTCCCAGCGTGTTTCTTCCCCTTCACTCTTTCTCAGGGCCCATCTCTTTGGGACGTCTTCATTGTTCTTGGGAGGTGCGAGGGGCAGTTTCCGAGGTATTTTGCTCTTGGAACCAGGTTCCGCCTGAGATTGTCCGGCGGACATGGGGAAGACCGATTCAATCGGAGATACTAGTGACCCTTCAGAATCGTTGGGATGTAGAGAATTGGGAGTGCTTATCGGCGAGACATTCGACGGTTCTGCCGGACTGTCTCTGGGCTGTGGGATTTGTGAGGTTGGTTGTTGAGAGTAAGGGTTGGGAGCGGAAAGGTTGACAATATCGTATGACTGCGCAGGCTCATACTCGTTCAATGGAGGCACAGAGCGACTGCAAGGGGGGTTACGTTAGTCCACGGCCATTAATTGACATTGACATTGACATTGACGTTGACGTGAGGAGGACGCAAGAGCAGACGTACAAGGGCAGTTCTGGAAGAGTTGTCGTTGCAACACTACTTCGGCGGCTGTACTGAGAGTACAAAGACTCGACTTCTGGGATTGTTTCTAAATAGCGCTCGTCCATTGTTTGCTCTGGCCAGGCATGGTAGCCCATCTGCGGTTCATTGTTTCTGCTCCTCCGCATGCTGAGCGTGATCTTTGCGTTGTCTGGAATGTTTTTCTCGATGATGCAGTGGCTTTGCAGTGCACGGGTGCAAGAGAGGTCATAACGCACGGGAGGTGGATTAAAGATAATGTTAAGCACTTGTCACCGACGGTGAGTGTACGTTTAGATCAGACGACAAGGATCTCAGTCGATGGTGCCAGGGGTGAGCAGCGTCCTTGGGACTTGTTGTTTGTTCGGACTCAGAAAGGGAAGTTCATCGGGTGCCGATTGGTTGAAACGGCGTGGCAGACCAGGTGAAACATTGCACAACATTTCAAGGATCGTGGGCGGATAAGCGGATTGATGCAATTCGGCATGTCTTCAGCCGGATTTGGAAGGATAGAGATGAAGAATCTCGAAGGAATCCCTTAAGGGACTGTCTGCGATCCTGATGTGTTGATTGACTATCTGGTATCTACGGAGAACTTGTACGTATGATGGTACCTTGCGGAGAGGCACACGTTGGTCGGGACATGGCTCATCCCGATGCGCCAGGCACCTACTCGTAGGGAGGGTGGAGTTTCTGAGCAGTAACATGTCCTCCCTTCACGCCTATTCACCCCCCTATCACCATCAGTTCCAGGTACTCGGTTGCCGGCATCCAACATGCGGATATCCCTCCCGACACATGGTCTCGAACTCTATCCTGCCCCCTAGACCTTGGATGCTGATCTCGATATGGAGATTGGTCCCTTAGTCCATGGTGTAAGACTTGTAGCCAAAAATACTCTCAAGGATACTAGCCGTGGCTAATACTTCTTATGAATGCCCGGCGTCGCTCAGCTTCTGAGACCATGCTCGGACATCGCCGCAAGGAAAGGCAAACAGCGGCAAAGACTGCAAGTAGGTGTATTAATTACAGTGGGCAAACAATATCCTATCTAGATCTTATTTATGACCCCCCTGTCGCCCGATTGTGAGGAAAGGCACCAAGAATATGGCCAGTACCGCCCCAACCAACGCCACCCAGAATGTGGTTTGATATGGTCGGTACTTCACAGCACCCGCCCCTTCGGCAGACCCTCCTGTGCTATTGTATATACTTGTTTGTATACCGAGTCCTATGGTTGCCACCAACCGAATCACAGTGTTGATGAGCCCTCCAGCAACAGACTGCTGATCATTGGACAAACTGGACATGACGTACATATTGGTCACCGTGAATTCCAGATCCTGCGAAAGGACGCTGAACAGGAGAGCTGGGAACGTCAGTGCCCAGTATGAAATCGAGTTGGAGGTTGCGCTCAATAGTGCGCAAGCAATCATCTGACTGACGGCTCCCACACCCATGATCAATTTGTTGCTCACTCTGTGCATGATGAGCGCCGCCAGGACATTGACCAGAATACCTCCAATCCCAGCTGGAAGGAGACGAACGGCAACCATCAGTGGCGACACATGATGGATTCGCTGCCACATGAGGGTCAACCAAAAGAAGTTGCCACTAAACCCATAGAACCCAAGAACCAGGACCGAGACGACGAGGCTGAAATTTCGGTCCTTCCAGACTTTCAACGGCATCAGCGGATATCGAAACACACTCTGCCAGTAGACAAATCCTCCGACAAGAGCGAGACCCACCACCAGCAGGGCAATCACATATGGTGTCCGCCATCCCTCCGGAGCGTCACTAGCCAAGCTCAGGGACGCGGTAGACATTGCGACCCCAGCAACTGCTAGAAACGCCCCGAGAAGATCGAATTTGACGAATGTCTGCATATTGAACCCGCCGAGTTTCTGTTCCGTGTCGGCCGGTGTCGTCCACCATGCGGCCAGTGTGAAGAAGGCGTAAATGACGGCCATCACCCAGAATGCCGCTCTCCAAGTCGAAACCTGCATCGTGACGCCAGAAATAAACGCTCCCAGCACGAATCCCACAGGATTGCCGGCGCTGAAACACGCAAATGCTCGATTCTTGCGCCTTGAAGGCTTGTTATACACGGCTCCTAATTTCCCAATGGCTGGAGGCACCGAGGCTGCGGAGCTGAGACCGAGCAGTCCACAGAAGATGTCCATATACATAGCGTTCGTGGCAAACCCGACGACGACCAGGCAAATGGTGAAGAATGCCAAGCTAAGCAGGAACAGCAGCCTCCTGCCGAAAAGGTCCGCTACCCTACCGAAGAAAAGCAGAAACGAGCCGGCAGACAGCAACTGAGCGGCAGAAATCCAGCTAACTTCTGCAGCCGACATATTCAGATCCTGGCCGATGGTGTTGGTCATACATAGGATGGCACCTGTAAAGATTGACGATTGACCGACAGCCACGGTGGTAGTGAGGACGAATAGACATTCCTGGAGCAGGCTGCTGAAACATTCTGGCCGACTCCCATATGGATTTGTCGAAGTAGGTGCTAATGACGCGCCAATGGAAGCAGTTGGCTCGATCTTTTCGAAGTCTGTGAGGGGGACAGCGGCTTCTGCATCGGTATTGTTGTTGACCTCTGTTCCCGGCTGGACGGAATAATCTTGTTTCTCCATGTCGGCTAGATTTACTCTGATCTTGGGTGAGGTCTCGTCTTCAGGGTTGACGCATATCCGCGTCCGAAAATGACATCAAGACTGTATTGATAGCTTTTTAAGGATTCAAAAGATACAACATCGAGGCTGAGGGACAGTATACGACAGAGTTGAGATACAGAGTGCTGCAGGGGAGATGGAAAGGAGGCAAATTACAAATGACAGTGGAAGGTCTTTGGCTGAAGTCCCGGTGGGACGAGCGATCTCAGCCCGATTCGCTAAAGATATCGCCAATGTTTAGTTAAACATCGCCTAAGTTAGGAGCACATCCAGCCATCCTGCCACCCCACTGCGGTCCGGATTCCGTCCTTCTCTGGAGGTCTCGAGGATATGAGAGGATATGCTACTTCCGTTGATAGGTAATGGAATGCCCGCTTTATGATGAACCTCCCGCCATCAAGTCCGCCAACGGCTTTGAGTCCAACCACGCCTGGTAGCTCTGAATAAGAGCTTCTTCATCCCTGACTTCATCAAAGATGAAATTCCCGACAAATTCCTGCGTCACCCTCTGTCCATTCTTGTGCCTGAACATAACATTTCCGAGAACCACGAGATCCTTCTCGTCGGAGGCAGAGGTGTAGACTTTCCGTGGCTCGTGCTTGCGGTAGGTGATAACGTCCCAGGCTCCTTGGCGGAACTTGATGAGCTCTGTGTTGAGGTTAGTTAACGCGGGCGTAGATTTGAGATGAGGAGGAGGACGGACCTTCATGCCCTTTGCAGGTGTATCCTCGTGCCAACAGCTCGCCGGTTTGTGAGAAGCATTTGCTGAATGCGATGCTGCCTTCATGTGTGGCGTCATCCGCGGACTGGAAGAATTTTTGGATTGTGGTTGGAATGGGACCGTCTTTGATGGAATTTGGCCATATGATTTGGTTGGGTGAGCGGTGGTTCTGTGTCATGGTGTTCATTGTTCTTGGATGGATCTAGGCGAGACAAATCTGTGGCTGCAATCGATAAATGAATGATTCGGTATGTCTATTTCTGTGTGGCAGTGTCTGCTATATGGAACATGGTATAGTATTTGATGCTTCCTCGCTCGGCCATTCGGGCCGCGCAATTTTGGTGGCAAGCTATCTTGGCTATGGCCTCCATGATGATACACCACGTTGGTCCACGGACAGTGCTGTATATCGGACTTAGGCTGAACTCCATGTGTAGTCCTGACCATGGATCAATTCAAGTATCGGAATTACGGGCTTTTGCGGGTCGCAGTGGTCTGGTAGCCATGAAAGACGGGCCATCACCTTGAACCTGTTCGCGATATGCTTACGGAGTATCGCCTACGACTACATTACGACAAGAAGTGATATGCCACACAGTAAATCATCCATTCAAAGCTCGAATCAAAACCAAACCAGCACTCAACTTCAAGCATTTTCTCTGATCCACCCAAGAGTTAAGCAACAGGTACAATTCCCGCCGGAAGATCCTTCAAGTCCCTCGGTCCAGCATCAATTCTCCTCTTGATCACGTCTTCATCTACCCCCTTCTTCAACATCTCAACCAATTCATCCGGATCAAAGTCCACACCAATCGGATTTTCCTCAAAGCTGTGCGACCGCATATACGCATCCGCTCCCTCCAGCCCCTCGAAATTATCGATCTGCGTCTCAATCTGATTCCCGTCAGGATCGAGATAGTACATACTTGTTGTCGGTCCATGGTTGACACACCATTTCGGGAGGATCCCGTGAGCTTTGCGCTGCGTGTAGGCGGTAAGCAGATCCTCGAGCGTGCGAAAGGTGAAGGCTATGTGCCACAGGCCGGAGGATAGGGGATGCTTGGGCTCCGTGTTGGGGAGGCCGGCGATCGCAATCCGATGGTGCTCGTCGTCGTAGCGGAGGAAGCCCAGCTCGCCGTTGTCAAAAGGCACGCTGGCACCGAGAAAGGTGCGATAGAAGCCGAGCATGGTTTTATATTGCGAGGTGCGGAGGACTACGTGCGCGAGTTTATAGGGGCTGACCACTTTGGGGTGGGAGTTGCCGTTGAGGTCTGTGCTGGTAGCATCGCTTGGGGTAGACATCTTGGTTGATAGTATTTTGAAGCTTCCGGATCTGTTGCTTCAAGGTGGTGTTGCTGGAATATGACGTATCATTTGTCCTGTGATTATGTTGTTCAACAGCACTGCCCTGGTGAAGATATACTTTTTAGCCTGGGGGCTTTTCACCTGTTCTGGGGAAACACTCATAGGTGTGGGCTCCTGGGGTATGATACAAGGGGGGCGATGTTTCCGGGTTCGGTGAACTCGGTCCGGTGTGCCTCCCGAAGAGGCATTACTCACGGACGTGAAGCACACGCTGACCGATTGCTTAGTTTAGAGGTGAGCTACTACTCGCGCACACCTAGGTGGCGCACTCATTCCAGGTTGGGGGGATGATAAGCATCTGTCGGTTAGTTCAGTGACAGTGTAGCCGCAAGTGCAGTGCCCCGCTACGTTCGGCCTGATTACGATGCCGGAATCAAGAATGAGGGATGCAAGTTACTCCTGAAGATTGGTAACGGATGCAATGGTTTGCCATTCGGGGCATGGTGTAGACTACTATGTTAAGAATCTAAACAGTGAAGCACTGAGAGTATTCTACCACGTGTTTCAAGCCGCCGTTCAATAAGCAGCTGAGTCTATCCAAATCCTGGAGCGCTGTCATCTGGTGGAGTGGACGTCGCATCTTCGAACACCATCTTGTTGCGGATCTTTCCAATGCTGCTGATCTCAATCTCCACCACATCCCCGTCCTCCAACCATGGCGAAGGCTTGATGAATGCTGCTACGCCTTCTGGTGTGCCGGTCATGATGACGGTACCTGCACGAAGGGTGATACCACGACTTAAATGCCTGATGAGTGTCGGCACATCAAAAATCATGTTGTCTGTGCCCGATTTCTGTCTCAATTCTCCATTCACATGCGTTGTGAGCTGCAGCCTGGAAGGGTCTGGGATCACTCGTGTCGAGGCAATGACTGGGCCCAGCGGGGCGAACTTATCCATGGATTTGGCGTAGCCATGTTGGCCGCTTGCACGGGTCTTGTCTTGCCAGTAGCGTGAGGAGATGTCGTTACCAACGGCATAGCCTAGGACGTAATCAAGTGGGTTGTCTGTAGCGGACAAATTCTTGCAGTCCTTGCCGATTACTACGCAAAGCTCGCCCTGTCAACACGTCAGTGGACCGGAAGTGGTGGTTCTCGTATAGTCAATACCTCATAGTCCAGTTGCCAGGCTTCTTTGTTGACTGGGATGTCATCGTATGGATTTGCCAAAGCATCTGATATGCTCTTAGTTGGATCGAATAGCTGTGCCTAGCAGATCACTCACCAGGGAACTTCACAAAGAGTATCGGATATGGTGGCAGTTTCATCTAGAGAGGGGCTGTTAGTGCCGCCCTGACGCTGCCAGCCCTATTCGGAATATTGAATCCTTCACTCACATTGCCCTCATCAGCGTGCGCCTTATAGTTCAACCCAACCCCATGTATGATGGGTGTACTCGCTAACGGACTCAGCACCTTGCATACTCTTCCCTTGCGGTTGGAAAGAGTGAAGCCTGCGTCCCAAGGCACGCTGCCATCGTAAATGTCCAGACTTTGACCTACCATCTCTGATCGTAGGTCGTCGGCAGTGGCGTGTCCATATAGGAAATTGCCATGCTCGTCCTCGAAACGCACAAGATAGTCAAAAGATGACATGGTTGCCGCGGTCCGTGCATCAGCGTGTGTTGAGCGCAGACTATCGATTAGGTTGAGACTCCAGCCTTATGGCATTGTTTCGAAAGGATCAAAGGGGACGAGAGCCTCGGCCATGCGACAGACATCGCCACGTTCGGCGAGGTCTGGCTTGACTAGCTGCGAGTATGGTTGGAAGACTAGACGTCTACCAGAGTCATGCAGCGTTGTCGCCGGGGAGGTAGTGACCGAGCTCGGGCTTGGCACCCGGGGACTGGGAAAGGGAATCTAGGAACAATATGGAGTGATGGTGAGCTGTACGATCATGGCTTGTACGGTTTCTGTGATATGGATTGAAGGCGAACCTCATGACAAATTCCGTAAGGAAATTCAACGGATGATGGACAGGGTCATGTGTAAGTCCTTCAAGCAACCTGGAATGTATGTCAATCTTACCCTCGACTTCACCTGGAGCGTTCGAAGCTTGTTTTGTCGTCAAGGCACGGTATGTCGACGTTCATTGCAGATTGACGACAAGGCCCCGAAGAGCGAGGTGAGCTCTCAGCTTGTGCAGTAACGAGAATGTTATTCAATTTCGGGCAAGTAGCGAAAGGCGAATAGCGAAGTGCAAATAGCGGACACAATGGTCGAGGTTCGCATACCAGAGGATCGTGGAGTAGACGTGATACTTGAACTCTGTACTCGTACCTTAGGCATACCTGGTAGGTGCCTGGCTGGCGAGCTGGCCCCTGCAGTGCGGGGCAGACGGGGTCTGGATGCGGAGTCAGTCCAGGCGTCTGCAGCCTTAACTTGGTTCAGTCACGCTCAGTTTAACCTCGAAATTTAGAGGGACCAAGCATTTCGTGAACGTCTGTCTCGTTCCCTCAGTTAAGAGCAACTCCAACCTTTTATATTGCAATACCATCGCGAAAAGTTTCCTAACTGCACTTGTTGATCTCCATCAATGCTAAATCTCATCATATCAGCCCTTAAGTATTGATACAAGGTCATTCAGGAACCGTTATGACATCCGAACGGTACGCTCCGAAGAGCTCGATTGCGTGCATATATTGTCGAGAGAAGAAGATAAGATGTGAGGCATCTCACACCAGTGTTCTTTGGTTCTCTGCCAGTGCTGATGCCTCCGTCTTTGCTCAGGTCGTGGAGGGATTCCTTGTGAGAAATGCATCGTGAGACATTCCTTGTCGCTATAGATTGGGATTCACTGATTTGTGTCCTTGCCAGTCCATTGGACGTCATTGTGTCTCGGCTCCTTCTCAACGCGGCAAGCGTCATCATGATCAGGATCGTACTGCAATTCTTGAAGCGCGACTGGCACATATGGAGAAGCTTCTTCGGGCTACCAACCAACCGAACGTGCAGGATCAGGCGCAGCATGTTTCTCAAGGGCAAGAGTTCGACAGTCGACATCTTTCAACAACCCATGACGCCCCTCGTGCTTTGCCAACCCCATCGCCAACAGATAAGCCTGTGCCAGAAACCGATACTGCTGCGAAAATAAATGCACTCAACCAAGATAGCGAAGGCTCTTCGAATATTGTTGCCGGCTACCGTAATTATGCGGTAGCAAATGTAGCTTCAAATCAGCCTGAAACACTTGACATGCCATCCCTCGTACCACCAGCCCCTGCTCAGGCTGATGGTTGTCCGGTAGACTCTGCCGGAAACGCAGGACTAACGGCGGGTGAGAAGGAAGATATTTCAATATCTCTTCAGAAGGTATGCATTCATGATATCTCTCTCCAATAACCTCGGTTCTATGGAGGCTGACTTGAACGCAGTCCAACTGGGAACATCTCGGCAAGTTTCCAGGTGTGTACGACCTTGGGCGCTCACTGACTCCTGTAGGACCTACTTCCTGGATAACAATCTCCTCCCAGCCAGGTATTCGATGGGTCACTGAAAGGACTGGGTCTCAAGACTTCGCTCAATGCGCCCAAAGGCTCACTTTGAGCTGGTCGGAACGTCTGAAATTCCAGTGGGATCGTAATCGACCAAGGGCGCCTGACCTCGACGCTGATACGGCTTGGTGTTATACTCGTGGTGAGTCCTCTTTTCGTTCAAACAGAGCTAAAAGCTAACCAGGACGTTTCAGCTTATTTTGACGATTCTCTCGAAGCCGTGTGTGGTGTGGTCTTTCGCCCTGAATTTGAACATCGTCTTGCAGAGCATCTGAAAGGAGGAGGCAGCTCTACGGATGATGCTGCATGGTATGCGCTACGGAATTCGGTCTACGCTTCAGGCTGTAGAGCCTTTTTCGCAAAACAGAGCTCAGTGACCTGGGCTGAGGCTCAAAGACGGTCGTGGCCGTATCTTGAGAACGCCCTGTCGGTTCAACTCGAGCTGATGTACACACCTACGGACCTTATGGCCGTAAGAGCCCTCGCTGCAATGGTAAGTAACTTTTTGCCCCTTTGGTCCGACGAGCTGACTGTTATAGAATCTTCATATAGAAGGTGCCGGAAATCCAGCACTCGAATCGATGATGTTTGCGGTCACAGTGCGGGTGGCCCAATCGAAGGGTCTCCACAGGCAACCAGCGAGCACCTGGAACTTGTCAGATGACGAAATCTTGCACCGGAACTGGCTCTTCTGGGCCATCTTCACCGGCGAAAAGCAAGTTACTCACCGCTCCGGACGTCCTTCTGTCAGTTCGAGATTCCCGCGGGCCTCAAGTGTGCCGACTAATCACATAATCTAGGCGATCGATGATGATAATATCAGCTGTCAAGTCCCAGAGAAGGTGGTGACAGGCGGCTGTCTTGACATCCAGTTCATGACAGTCCTTGTCAAGCATGCACAAATCTCGGGCCAGATTTGCCGGAGACTTCTATCTGTCTCCAGTTTCCAGCAGACGCCAGCAGCCCTTATGGACACCATGCATGACCTCACACACCAACTGAAGTGCTGGCATGACTCTCTCCCCGCATCATGGCGGCCAGACCGGCCTATGAAGCTCTCTGAGGTAACATCTACACGTGCACTCAATTGTGCTCTCTATATTCGATTCAACTACTATGGAAGTTTGACAGCCATTAACACCATATTCTTTTTTCCATGGATATCCGCAATTTGTGGTATCAGCCCACAAAGCCCGGAGCTGCGCGATCAAATTGTGCTGAGCACGAAGATTGTTGCTGATGCGGCAAGAAACATCATACGAGCAACAAAGTTCATACAGGTAGATGCAGCATCCCACCAGTGGTAAGTATGGCGGAGACCCTGCTCGGACTGTGAGCCTCTAACATTCGATGCGCAGGCTGGTATTCTACTACCCGATGGTCGGCTTGGTCAATCTGTTTCTCTACATTTTGAAGTATCCTTCTCTTCCGTCAGCCGCAGCAGATGTTGCACTTTTGGACATGGTCGTTGGACATTTTGGCCACCTCGAGGATGTCACAAATTCAGATCTGGCTTATCCGTTCGCCAGAGAGGTCTCGGCAATTGCGCACAAGGTCGTGAGTAACTCACAACCACATTCTGGAAGCCTTGGATCGGGTCCATTCAGTCCAGTCGGTAGGAATATGTCAGCCGAGACAGCTTTGCATGACATAGACTTCTCACAAGAGGTACGTACTTTAGTTATATCCACTTACCATCGGACCCATGCAAATCAGCGGCTGATTGTTTGATAGCTGGCGATGTTTGGTGATATGGAGCTTGACATGGATAGCTGGAATATGTTTTTTGACACGGAGAATATTTCTGGCGAAGGTGACATGATTTACCTGGGCTCTTGACCTCGTCAAGCTATCGCTAGCGACTGCCAGGTTCGTGAGTATTCACCCACGTCCCGAGATCGACTGGCTCGCAGAATCGTACAACGACTGCCAGTTCGCCGAACTCTTCTCGGACCGGCTCCCCCTCGGCCGGGGTGAGACGCAGAGGACAGATCCGGGGTCTCCAGATTCCACTTCATCTCTCAGAAGGGAAAGCCTGAGATCTATATCCTCTTACAGTAGCTATGAGAGCTCGACTAATCCCACTCGCCAGCTAAAATTCGGCGTTCAGACAAATTCATTGACCAATCCAGAAAGGCACATTTTGGTCAAACTTTACCAATTGCTGTTGTCCTTTTAAATCATATGGATGCAGGGGTACTTCCTTACGCTCCTACGAGCATTTTAACATCGTTGCCATGTCAGCTGCCCGATTCCCAGTTCGATCCTTCGGAAGATTTTGCAGAGGTCGGCAAGGGCCTGGTATACTCATTACACAACCTCCAGAACTGCCACCTTACTGACCTCGCAATCTGGCGAGATTTGTTCGCTCTCACGGGTTCGATCAGAACATTCTACTTACCTACTTCCGTCATTGAGGCTTGGTCGAAGACGTGTGCATCGCACAAAGCATATGATTTCAGCATTTCAGAGGAGCCGATAGTTCCAGTTATGCTGGGTCCAAAGATTGGTTGGGTCAATGTTCCCTTCACCTTCACTTGTCGTGGCTTGCCAGCGACTACTTGTTCAGGGACGTTGTCCATTGTGCGTGATCATGATGACACGTGGAAGATATGGGTAATCAGGACGATTCTGGATGGGCTAAGCGGCGGCCCGGATGTTGACTTTTTGCAGCTTGCCCCAGGAAGCCTGAACGGTACCTTCACACGGGACATATGCATCAATGGCGAAAATCAAGGCAGTGCTGTAAAAGCTACATCAGGCCCTCAGCCTACAGAGTACGACTGCATCGTCGTTGGCGCAGGTCAAGCAGGACTGTCAGCGGGTGGCCGCTTGCAAGCACTTGGCATTTCCTACGCCGTTCTTGAGAAGCATGCATCAATCGGAGATAACTGGATTACACGTTACGACAGTGCACGTCTCCATACGCCACGCGCATTCAACCATCTTCCTTTCGACAGAACCTTCTCGTTGCCATACCAGGAGTACCTTACCAAATATGACCTTGCGAAGGGCTTCCAAAGCTGGGCCGTGAAGTTTGGGATTGATGGGAATATCCGCCTAGACACGACCTTGCAGACCGGATCTTTCGATGACCAACGTCGAATGTGGACGCTCAACGTCCGACATGCTGGGGAAATAAAGACACTCACTTGCAGACATCTCATCATGGCGGTTGGTGTTGGAGTTCAGGTCCCGTTCATGCCTGCCTTACCCGGCAGGAAGACCTTCAAAGGAACTGCTTTGCACTCAGCCGAATACCAAAACTCCCGCCCCTGGAAAGGCAAGCACGGAATCGTCGTTGGCACCGCCAACACTGCGCATGATGTTGTCGAGGACATGCTAGAAGCCGGCTTGTCGCCTGTGACAATGATCCAACGACGCAGGACTTATGTGCTGCCAGTTGAGTACCTGAAGGTAGCGCACGGTCGGCTCCACAACGATCAGCTGCCCACGGCCGTTGCGGATCGGGAGGATTTGTCTATGCCCTTGGGTGTGGCGAGACTGATCATGCGCCAAGTGATGCATGACATGGCATCGAAGGAGCCGGAGCGGTTTGATGCGCTCGAAAGGGCTGGCTTCAAGGTTGAGCAATACGGCGATCCGAGCTACCATATCTACGAGAGGCTGGGCGGCCACTATGTGGACATGGGAACCTCGGCGAAGATAGCAAAGGGCTTGGTGAGTACTCCGTATTGAGTTCCCCATACGTGACTATCTGCGAAAGCTGCAACACAGATCCGCTGATTACATAAAATCGGAACGGAGTAGGTCAACATCAAACACGCGGTCCCCACCAGCTACACTCCCACGGGCCTATCTTTCTCGGACGGCAGTACACTCCCCGCCGACCTCGTCGTCTTCTGCACCGGTTTCGAGTGCAGTATGCACAACGTCCTCAAGCAGATCTTCGGACCTGAAGTTGCTTCGCGAGCAGATGACTACTGGGGTCTCGATGACGAAGGGGAACTGAAAGGTGCGTATAAGCCTAACAGTCAGCCGAACCTGTGGTATACGGGTGGCGGGACGGCGCAAGCGAGGTATCTCTCCAGGTTTGTGGCGTTGCAGATTAAGGCGGATATGATGGGGACGCCGTTGGAGGTGTACGGTCGGAAGAAGGGGAAAGTGAATGGGGTGGTTGGTGGGGAAGGGATGTAAGCTTTGATGCACGTATACGGATAGGATAGCGTGCATCGAGCGTGCAATACTAGTACTGGTCTATCCTTTTTTATAAATACACGTTTAACGACAGTATTGATTGCTCACGACGCCTTCCACATCTCACTCCAGTTTCCCTTCTCCCTCGTCTTGCTCCCCGGGCCACGCTTCCCCATCCATTTCCGGACTGGACTCGACAACTCCGGCTCTTCCACCGCTTTCTCTTGCTTAAGCCGCTCCCCATTGACATGGATTTAGGGATATCGACCTTGCGCGGCGGAGTTTGTGGGTATTACCCGCTTCATTTCATCGCGGAACTGGGCAAATGACGACGCTGAAACTCCGTCGTTAGCATTTTCTTTTGCGCGGAGCAATGGAAGAGGAATGTTAGTGTGGATGCGTAGTTGAGGTCTACTGCCTCGAGCCTTGCCTGGGATAGGACGACCGCCTGATGCATTGATATTGCTCATTGACTTACCAGCTTTCGCTTTCGCTTTCTCTTTCTTCGTTGGCATGGGAGATCGATGTGCTGGCCAGTCCGAACCCGAGGAGTATTCGTTGATTGCATTGTCATCGCCAGCCCAAGGTGTAGTTGGATCGGGAGGAGCGAGATGATCGGGTCCATCGAAGCTAGGTTCCCATGGATACAGCGACCAGTTGACGATGTCATCATAGTCACCCGTGATCGCGGAGAATGCAATGCGACCCGAGAAGAAGTATTCGGTTGGCTGTCTGGTGGCAGTAGACCTGGAGTTTGAAGCCTCAGATCCGGTGTGAACTGCTCTGGTGAATGTCTCCATTCCTGATAAAAGCGATGTGAGTAGAAAGAAGGCGTCTCTGGGTTTGAAGTTCTGGTAATGTGCTCTGTGTCGATTCTACTACCAGAAGACTCGTCTGGTGCCTTAAGTACGGACTCTTCTTCGAAACTTACACTGCCTGTCTCCAACATAGGGCGTCCAAAACACCACCTCTTTATCCATGTGAGACATCCCTCGGATTCTCTGGACCTGGGCAACAGTGCTGGCTACGTCGAGCCTTGATCCTGCTGGTGGGTTTCTCTTCCACATTTGCTTGAGCCATCTTTCTTTCATGCCCGCATTGTTCCCAGTAAAATCGATTGCTTTTCGGCTTCATTGTTCATGTGTTATCTCGGATAATGTTTTGTTTCTCCCTGTTCCAAACCTATCAACAGTTCCCGTTATAGGCTCGAGACAAGCATAAAGAACCGCCAATATCTGACTCACATCTCTTTGTTGCCCCTGTCTCGAACCGGTCATGGTAGCAGAATCGTCCTCAAGCACACCCGGCATCAGCGCCCATGCCGCTGGACAGTCTTGAGACTTACTCCGTACGCATTAGAAAGAACAACACTCATGCCAAACCAAGAATCGAACAGCCTGTGGAGGGAATGACGAAGGAGTCACATTACTTCTCGAAGGACGCGCGCCTCACCGTCTCCAACGTCGATGTTCATGCCCTCGTCATCTCTGTTTTTCATTTATCTATATCTGCCTTCCACCCGTAACCTCAATAGTCTGCCCATTCACATAGCTAAACAGCGGACTACACACAGCCAGTACTGCACTCGCGGCCTCGGTGGCGGTCCCTGGTCGACCCAGGGGAATGTCCTTATATGCAGAGGCATCATCACCCTTCTTCGAAGCCAACTGTGCCGAAGGAATGCCTAGTGAGATACGCTGTCCATCCGGCGTCGTGATGAACGCGCCAGACTCCTTGGCCTGGGTCAATCTCGTGTTGATATGGCCGAAAGCGATCGTATTTGCGCGGACGCCGAACTGCAAGTCAAACAGTCAGACACGGAAACGTCCCTTCTGTAGACACAATAGGGGATACTCACTTGCGGCCCCCACTCCTTCGCAACAGTCTTCGTCAATCCCACGACGCCGGCCTTGGCCAGACTGTAATTCGCCTGCCCGGCATTCCCATGTGTCCCGCTCGTACTACTGATATTAATGATGACCCTTTTCTCGCCGTCCTTGACCCGGAAATAAGGAGCTGCCTGCCTGATCAGGCGGAACGGCGCAGTGTTATGCACGGCCAGCATCGTGTCCCACTGCTTGTCCGTGATCTTGTGGATGACACCGTCCCAAGTGTAACCCGCATTATTCACGATGATGTGGATCTTGCCGTTGCCGAACTCTGCGGCCTTCTTGACCAGCACAGGGAAGTAATGGGGGTCGGTCACGTCGCCGGGCACGCTGATTGCCCGGCCGGGCGAGGCCTCGTTAATCGACTTCGCGACACTGTCGGCCTTGGAAGAGTCGACGTCGCAGACAACTACCTTTGCGCCCTCGTTGGCAAAGAGGCGTGCGCATTCGGCGCCGATACCTTGACCGGAGCCAGTGATCTAGAAAACGGTCAAGGTCTGCATACTGTCTAGGATTCTAAGGGGCCTTGGGGAGGGGAGAGGCTCGTCGCAGCAAGGGGGATGCACGTACAATGGCGACTTGACCGGTGAGCAAACCGGACGGGTAGTTCAGGTGCGAAGCGATCTGCTGTGCTCGTTGCGCCATGTTGACGTGTGCCTACAAAGGAGAGAGCAGAAGGTGGGATGGACAGAAGTCAGTACGTTATTGCATGAGAGGAGAGAACGAGACAGCGCGGCTGCTACGGAGTAGGAGTAAAGAAAGCTGAGGCGGTCATGGCTGTAGTCATTGACTGGATCTGCGGAGAAGCGATGTTCAGAATAGGAAAATTGTCTCTCGATTTCGCCGAGGCAATTCGGCATGGGATAGCCGACCGGGATCCAGTGTCAGTGGCACGGGTCTTCCACACACGACGAGACGTATACTCGGGGATAAGTTGAAGGTGTAATTGTCTGCTCAGTGGGAATGGAACTCTGCATCGGGCTGCCGTATATACATCTGAACTAGGAATAAAAGGCCGGGTCCATGAAACTTCATTGCATTAGATCCTTCCATCGAGGTTACAGGAACTCTTTTCTCTCCATGACACAGGGCATTGACACCCTTACAGCACTTGCCCACGAGTCGTGAAGTACCGTACCTACATCGTACATGCTCGAGCATTCTCCCCTCCTGTTTGCCAGGCCGCTCGATGTCGCCAAATGGCGTACTCCGTACAACACAAAGCCTCGAGAAGGGTCTTGATTAGGCCTTCTTCAAAGGGTCGAATAATACTCCAACAAGTTCATCCAGTATAGTGAACACCAGATGCTGGTTGAGCCGAGTGTTGTTCATTGTTGCAGAAATCCTCCTAGCAGCAGCTTGCGCATTGGCTCTTCCCACTACATTAGCCGCCAGATCGGGCACAAGCGTCGCCAGCATCATTGACGCCTCGGTTCGGGACTTCTTCTTGTCCGCAGCTGTTCGTGCCTTTGTCGCTCGCAAGGGTCCACCTCCAGGCCACATCGTCTCTTTGGTCATGTCAATGTACTTGAGCAGTGACTCCTCCGTGGTGACGCCCTTGGCAAGTTCGCGGATCTTGCGCTCGATGGTGCCACCAAGCAACTGATGCAGAACAACAATCACGGCGCGCCCACGGAGCCAATTGTTGCCTCGATTGAGCTCGAACGTCTCGAGGAAAGCATCACATATAGGCTTGACGAATGGTTCCAGCTCTTTGTCTTCAAAGGCCTGCAGTTCAGCTTCCGCCTCAGCCACAGGGCCTGGATCAAGTGGAACGATATCGCCTTGGCTCATTCCAAGTTGACTCGTAGCAGCAGAGATTAGATTCTGACCTGCTACGGATAACTGGTCCAGAACAGAGACATTCCCGAGGAATTCATCCATACCGTCGGTAACCGAGTTGTAAATCCGGCTGACGATGTCCTGTGCATTCGAGACAGTGTTTGCCTCCTTGTGGGACGCGATACTCCGCTGTGACAGAAACGATCTCAGCTCGCGGCTTCGACATACATCCGGCATTTGGAGGAGTTGTTGCAAGTAATGCTCCAGAGCAAGGCGCCGGTTTTGGAGGAATTGCTTTTGGAGCTTCATCACCACTCTTCGCCGAGGGAATTCGAGGTTCCTCGTCGAAGGATACCTTCGGCGTAACCTCTGATGCAGGTCATGAAACTCAGAATATCGGCGAGGTATCGCCCATACTGCAGCCGGCATTTGATCTCCTGCCTGCCTGTGGACTTCAATGATGTAAAGCGCGAATTCTCGACCATCATCTTCCTTACCTACAACGACTGACTTGATCGAGATACTGGAACGACCATACAAACTATTATCGCTCTCCTGCACGATATATTGCTGGCGTTGTAATTCTTTGCGACGAATTTCCCTTTGCAGACTGGCTTTGGATTTACTGAGGATTCGCAGTTCCGCAACATTGTTGGTTAACTCAGCTTTGCGGGTCAATGTGTCTACCACGGATTCCTGAGACACAAGACGCTCAATATCGTTCGTCAGTGCGGTAATGGCCTCTGCGAGACCAAGGTCGCCAGGCGCCGCTTCATGGATTTCATCCTCCCCTACTTCGTCGTCTTTGCCATCAACCTTGTCGACGTACTCATCTTCGATGAATTTCTCTTCGTCTGGGAATAGGTCATTGTCAGAGAAGACGCCAATCCGTGAGGCTGTGTTGACCAAGCCCAGAGTCGCTAGACTGGGCTTGGGCCTGTTTGCAAAGTCGCTGATCTGCATGTCAAGTGAGCCACGCGGCGATTGCTTGGACCTGATGGACTTTGAGCCAGAAACGGGTGACCCAAAGAGAGCGTCGTCATCATAGGCTGTACTTTCCTCCAGTGGATTGTCAGTCATGATGTTATTCATGGCTGCTTCCATATTTTCAATGACCCGTCGTTGCTCTACAGAATCACCGTTCAATGATTCTTGACCCAGGCTTTGTGTTGAGTGCGCTAATGGGTCAGTGTCATACCCATCGTCGAAGAGAGGAGCTGAAGACCCAGCACGCTTCACAACATCCGCATCGTCAAAAAGCTTGGAAGAGGCTAAACTACGAACGTCGGACGAAGATACGGCTGCTCTCCTCAGATCCTTCGCTCGAAAAGCGGGTTGAGAGCTCGTCCTGACCATTGATGGCGCTTGTGTTGCGGCTTTGGTCAGAAGTGGCGAATTAGCACCATTCATTTCATCAAGATCAGAAGTGCTTTGCAGGCGGGGACGTGTTGCGGACGCTTCGCTAGAAGCAAGGAACTTGTAATACAGGTCTGATTTGCGAAAGTCAGGCAAATGCCTTGTCTCGAGTTCCTCCAGAACGGCGGACTGCGCAGAGAGGATGGCGGTTCTTGCGGCTCGATATTGCTGTGGTGTAGCCTTTCTACCTGCCGCCAGAAAAGACCGGATGGCATCTTTGGATTCTTGCGGGGTCTTCAACTCGGGCTTTGACATGTAAGTCTCGCTAATTTGCGCAATATCCATTCGATCGGCGTCTGTCCATGCCTGTTGACTTGCTGGGTTCAATTCATCACCAAAGTCATCTTCTAACGGGTTGCGGAAACCGTCTACCACAACCCAGAATTGCACCAGAGGCATCTGGTGCTGACGGTCCATATACTCCATGAAGTAGGAAAGCCCGGAGGCAGTGTGCATAATCTCCACCAGGGTCCACTCATGAGGTTTGGCACTGGTACTCGGCGGCGGTGCTGGCTGCGAAGGCACTGCTTTAGAAACGGTCGTTGCCTGGCTTAATTTTCCAATTTTCTGATCGAGCACTCGTTTCGCCATCTCCAATCTTCGTAGATAGACAGGATCCTGGCCCTCAACTATACTCTCGCGTTGGATCTGACTCGCAATCGCATTCCGAAACCTCCGAGCGTCCGACAAGTTTCTAGTTTGACGGATGGCTCTAACGAATCGCTCAAAAGCCCGTTCGCTGTCATTTGGGGCCAATCGCGGTAGATCTTGGTCGCTTTTCATTCTAGGGACAGGAGAAGCGTGCTGGTCAAGAGCAGCCCTCATGCGACGCACCGTCTTCCGATCTTGGAGGGCGGTACGCCCATAAGCTTCGACAATTTGATTCCATGTGTCCGGGTCCGACAGGAGTTGCACGATTGGAAAAAGAACAGCACATGCAACAATCTCCTTGACCAGGACAAGTGTAGCCCGGGAACCTATCATGGCTGGCGAGAGGACATCTGGCAGGATGCGAACCAGGATTTTTCGGAGGTACTCTTGTTGAATTGACTTAGTGTCGGAGTAACCGAGAGAGGCTGCAGGATGCAGCTTCCCATCGTTGTATTTAGCTGCAATAGCCAGCTCGAGCTCTTCGGACTCGGTCACACTGCGGTTCAGGCTCCGGCCTCGTACAAGGCGCTCTGCCTGGTCGAAATCCCGGAGGTGTGTGGTGATTATGGGAACGACCCTAGAGACGATAACGTTGACCATATCTTCATTGACAATGCGATCTCGTATTTCAACCAAGGCTGTCCGGATGTTTTTGTCCACCTCGTTCACGAACACTGGGCTCCTTGTGATATTACGGTACCATGATGACACAAAGTCCCTGAGGGCAAGTCCAACCAAAACATCTAGTGCCTGAGAGACCACGAACGATTTGTCGTAGATGTGTATCGGCTTGTATTGGCGAGACGTTTCGAAAGTGGACAGCTCGGATCGCCATCGTTCAGGCCTCAAAAATGTGGGAGGTGTGAACGGCAGCGAATGGGAATCGGGAACACCTGATCTAGCCCGGGAGACGACCAATGTAGCAGCAATGACCGAAGAGAGGGTGACGAGACAGCCAAGTGTGAAGGCATAGCCAAGGTAGCGCAGGATGGGCAGACTGCGCACGGCAAGACCCCACGCAATGAAGGCTGCAAAGGCGGCAAGGAGGACATGTTTCTGAGCAAGGTACATTCTCGACGCATCTTTGACTCGATCGATATGGCTTAGCTTGAAGCCAGCCTACGTGTTCTGCTGGGGGACATCTAGGCCGTCGTGCACACGGACAGAGACACGGCGAGGGAGGACGACGAGAGCCGGAAGGGGAGAAATTGCGAATAACCCTGGCCGAGCATCAAAACAGCAGCTTCTTGCGCGCTCTTCACCGAAAGATGGGGTGCATCGACGCAAGTGGATGGGTGCAGATACGATGCTGGTGGTGATGTTGACAGTAGTAGTGGTGGTCGACAAGTGGGCGCAGTCCTCCAAAAAGGAAGGCATCGCCAGACCTTCCTCGTTGATGGCCATTCAAAAAGGGTATATTATAGATCTATTGCGCCATCATCACCAAAGTAACTCGTATTGCGACCTGGCACCCGCATGATGCACACATCATCGGATGAGCCCAGCCATGATTCTTCCCGCTGCATCTCCATGGGTTTTGCGACCTCTTCAGGAAATTCAGGAAATAGAATCCGACTGAGTGAACGTTGACACCCTTCTTCGACTCATCATGAGGTGCCGTCCGACACGAGGGATGCTCTTCGAGAATGCTACCCGCGACGACGTTCCCTTGTGGGCCTGTCTTTCCATATTCAAAGCTATGTCTGTTCGAATGTATGGGCATCGGTCTCAGCACGAAGCGAGCTTCTTCCTTACCGACACATGAATTTCATCTCAGAAAGGCCACCCATCACTACGGTGCTCCCTTTTTGAAGTCTGTCGACTTGCCTTCAGACAGACGTGGCTTTTTCCATGTGACTGTGACGGGGCATGCCTCCGGGAATACTTGGCCTGAACCCTGTCAAAAGCTGCGTCGTGTCATAGCTCATTTGACCTTGCAGACACGACATCGTAACCCCATGCATGACAACGCAAAGGACAGCGTATGATTGACTGGCAGACCTGCCGAGTGTTCTCTTGATGCTTGGGGGCACATCTGCAGCACACGATCCTCCAGGAATGTTACCTTGGGTTGCCCAGGCAAGTGCCGCTGGCGACCCTGACACAGTTGCCATGCGTCTCCTCTGAAGTAATACTTTTACATGTCTCAAATGTGTCCAATGACTAGTGCTGCTGGGAGATAGCGGCCGCTCTTGAATAGGTTGGTACATATTGAGGCGTCAGGGATTACTTCAATAGGTTCATATGGGCCAGGGCCATTCACTTCTCTCTATCGCCGGAATATGGCCATGTCAGCATGGACATCGACGAGACGGAGCACAAGATATCTGTATGTTGACAAGGATGATAATCCACTTGCACCAGCCCCGGGATCATGTAACCCAGTGTGGGCAACTTACGGATAGTACCGGCTTGAATGGAGTATATTGGCGCGGTCCCGCCAGAGTGAGAAGCAGTCCGAACCCGATCTCCAGGGTTGACGTACTGTGCCTGATCCTTTGAGAATCGGGACTAGTTGTTCGACTGGTGTTCAGCGTGGCTTCGGACGGATACGCGGAAGATGTGCACCTATTTCAAAGCTTAGCGTTCACACAACCTCATCGCTGCTAGGCTTCTACATTTTGCTTACTACAGTATGCACGTCGTCCCGGATCTCGGTGCATATCATTGAGAGACGTCCCCACGCTTGTGAAGTTATGATTTGCCTTCCCTCGCTGACAGTTCGCTACTGTGACCAATGGCGGCAGAAGACATGACAGTCGTCGGGCATGGATCTGAAAATATGACATTTCTCATCCGAAGCTTCAGGACTTTTCCAAGTACAATCAAGTTCTGGCGGTGAACCATGCCGACAGACAATTGGTGACAAAAGGGCTGATGACTTCAGGCAGCAATCATCGCGGTCAGGCTGCATTTTGCCACGCCGATGATCATAGGGCAAATCCCTGTCAGATCAATGCAGGCACGAAGTGAGCAGGCCACGGCAGGTCTCCGACGGGGCGCATGGCCACACTCTGTAATATTAAGGCGCAAATCAACGGGTCGCGTTCGATAGCAAGAATCAAGAAACATCCACGATAGAGAATCCACTGATGTCTGCTACTCGTAATAGTTTTGAGACAAGGAAACCGCTGTCAAGCCTGACCAACAACTCTTGTCAAAGCTGATACCCCGCAAAATGTCGATTCAATAACCCTCGTGTTTCTCAGAGGTGATTTGTCAGTGACATTTCGGTGACGCGGGAAGGGCGATCGGGCGAGAGGCAAGCACTGTGATACATGGGTCAGAAGCCCTAGATATGCCCACTGGCACAGTCTTCTTACAGTACTTGCTGAAAAGCACACCTTAATGGGCTTGTCGAGGATGCGTGAATAGCTCTTCATAGGCGCCCAGGGTTCTCAAGCGTCGCCCAATCGTTACCTCCCGGCTGCCGAATCAAATAATCATCTAGGGCAGCGGATATTCGTATTCCTACAAGCCTCGATTCTTGCAACTTCGGGTAGAGGACACTTTCAATAGTATCACCAGATCCTGGGAACACAGCGTAGGTGGCAATCAGGTGAGTGGACTGTTGATACGAGGAGATGCAAAAAGCCATAGGCATTTGGCCGAGCATCCTAGTGTGCCTCGAGGCTGGGAAGGTCTGAGGGTGTTGAACACCGTACGCGGAAGACGGACACCCTTCCGGGGATGCAGCTTCCCCGTCCACCATCCTCAATTGCAACAAGCCTCCAATGCAACGGGTGATCCACACTGGGATGAACACCAGGGATCCCTGAAAGTAAGCCTGCGCGGTGTCACCAATGTTTCCACCTGCGAAGAACATGCGATGCATCGGCAGCTGCTGAAAAGGCATCGAGCTTCGGAAGGGCGTTAAAGGGTTTCGTGTTCCTCGGTCTGCTTAGGAAGACTGTGCCCCTGTCTTTCTGCCAAACTGTGAACGAAAGAACCTTCCCGATTCGAAGTTGTCACCGCGACACCAAGGCAACTCTTGGGGCGCAGACCCCTGCTTCAATTATCAACCGCTACTCCTAGCACCGAAATCTTCAACCCGTGTCAGACAAGATCGTGCCTGAACTCATTATTGAAGGCTCCTATGACTTGAAATGCGAGGAAATCATACTCGTATAACATCGAGCTCAGATTCACAAGGAGACTTTAGGGTTCGCACGGTTCGGCACGTCCAGCGCGTTTCAAAGTTTCGACAAGAGTCAAATATTAGAGTCAATCGGCACCACCAGCATCAGACCCCATGCCTCGAACCCCAGCAGTGACTATGCCTCTTCTACATAGTATGATCGTCTCATCCTTATCGAGCTCCTCTCTCTCCCGCACAATCCACACCACCACCCGTTTCGATCATGGATGGTGCAGTAGTGCACGATGTCGAGCGGCGGCCTCGCTTGCCAATTGCGGGCTTTAGCTATTGGCTCCTCTGCTCCCTGAGGCTTTGATCACTGCGCACCAGTCTCTCTTCAGAGGTGCCTGCACAATCTGCTGCGGCCATCTGCAAGCCGGGGCTTCCAGCACTCAGCTGACCCAACATCATGACGCAGTCTCCGTCTTCCCGTTCCCCAGCTCGTTCCTGCCCCTGATTGAACTGCGAGCGTCGCGGGCAGCCCATTTGTCGCTTTGACTGCTGCGAAATCAAGTGTCGGCGGACCCAGGACGTCGGGGACTGTGATTCAACAGGGTTGGAAGGCAAGGCTGACAGCTTTCAGCGACGGCACGGTGACGAGGTGATACAGCATTGGCCTCGGGTGGTTAGTGACTGTCTTGGTTCGTCACTCCTAATCTTGCATCCTGCAGATTCCTTGCACGTACAGTGCATCGATATATCGAGATCCGTGCCCCTGCTTGGTCCTCTTCCGACAAACGCCTCTTTTCTCTGCACTTTCCCAGTTCATCATCTTTCATGACCTCTCACCTCATGCATCTGTGCGGATCGGGCTTGCGCTAATTGAACGAATATAGTCGCATACATGGGTCTCGCCGCAAAGCTGCTAAATGGGCATCAATCCCGAAGCATCGATGCCCTACCCCCACAAAGATCAACGCACCCAAGTATCTCGAAGAAAAAGGCAGCCATTTGGCGGATACTCAGATCCGCCTCTCTCGCTCAAGACTCAACTTCTTTCAGGCGGGTTTCTTCTATTTAGTCTCTTGCGTTCCTGGTCTCTCGAGGGTTGGGCTAGTCAACTGCGGTAGGGCTGTCAATTGAGTCTTGACCGGCTAATCCCTTCGGCCTTGCGCCTAAAACATACAGATCATCAGGGTTGATTGGTTCGTCTGTGGCCTTGACCGACTTGCCTGTTGTCCTTTGTTATCCAGAGCGGTATGCAAGAATACTACTTGCGTCCTCGATCAAGCTGCTGTGGATCTGGCCACATCTTCACTGTCTGCACATAACCCACAGTCACCAAACCCATCCTTTGAAGAAGGAAACCGCATAGCGGGAAGCAAACAATCCAAGTGAAGCATAAAAGCGACCACTCACCCAGAAAAGTCACTCGTGCACTGGTATTCATAGAGTTCCTTCACCCACTGTCAAAGACACTCCACTGCTGCTTCAAATATAAGCACCATTCCAACCATGCTTCTGCTTCATCGCAACGCTCATCTACCATTCTCACAAGAATCCCCAAACAACAAAAGTTGCCATTCTCCTAAAGTTGAATGTCCGCGTCCTGCTTGCTCTCTCCTCGGTAAGGCCTATCTCCAGAACACCATTTCCACTCAGCTGATCAGGGATCAAGTCACGAACACCTTCACATACGACTCGATGTCGAGTGCGTCGCCGTCAACGGTCAGTCTCGGCAGTGCCCCGCCCTCGATCAGTCCGTCCGAGACTAACAACCATGATGATCGAACCCCTGCGGTATCACACAGCAGCCCCGAGTGTACCGATCTAGTGGATGCAAGTGTTCTGAAAAGCGACGGTGATATAGGTGGAGTACCCGAGGTGGAGAGACACGTCATTCACTTATCAAGCATTGAACACTGCATGCCTCGATCTTATATTCGCATCTGTCTGGCGTATCGGCTCCCAAACAAGGAGATGCTTCCATCAGTTGTGTCGAGGCTCAACCACTTCGTCAGAAAGACTGTCGATGCGAAGCCGTATCTTAGTGGTTATGTCGTGTCGACTCAAGAGCCGAGCAAGCATGTGGGAGGTGTCGAGATCCATTTCTCCGACCGCGACTATGTCGAATACCCCAAGGTCAACATACGACATCTTACCTGCGATGAAGTTCCGTACAGTTATGAAGAGCTCAATGAGAAGGGATTGCCTCCAAGTCTCATCAAGCCCGAATTGGTGTCGGCTCTGGCTGAATCGGCTGACGAGGAACGAGCACCAGTATTTCGAGTCCAGGCAAATGTCGTTGAAGGAGGCCTCATCGTTTCTCTCTACCTGCACCATTGCATCTCGGATGGCACAGGCGTTGGCTTGCTGATCTCCGGGAGTGTTCTCAAAGATCACTCTCGCTTTGAGCGGCATTTGGACGGCCAAGGGTACCAGACACCTAGTCTGTCCATGAGATTGGATACCTTTGCCCATCAAAAGAGCGTCGTCCGACAAGAATTGTCCTACAGTTGCCCCAACCAGATCAACGACAGGGAGTTGCAATGCAAGACCTTCAAGCCAGCGTCTGAAGTCAATGGCTGTGCCAGAATCCAAGGCCGCGGCTGCGTCATCTCCATTCCCCTGGCGGGGTTGGCGAAGTTGAAAGAAGCTCTCGAAGCTCATGCTGGAGACAGCTTCATCAGTCAGAATGATGCTCTGCAGGCACTCCTCTGGCACAGCATGACCAGAGCTCGTATTCCCTCACTGTCAGCGGATGCGTCGGTCAAGGAATCAAAGCTCCTAATGCCAGTCAACATTCGAAACAAACTCAAGAAGCCCTTGTCCGAATTTTACTTCGGCGCGGCCATTGACTTTGCATCTGCGAAGATGCCATTACTCCACCTGGATTGTAGCAGCGACACTGCGCTTGCAACATCAGCCCTGGCGATACGCAGAGCCATTGCGGCCGTCAATGAGCCATACATCCGACAAGCCATCGCTTTGGCTCGATATGCTGACCCCAACACCGACGTTCGCGATCTCCAAGCGAGCAACATGGATCGGTCCAAGGGAGCTGACATGTATGTCACCAGTTGGGAGAAGCTGCCATGCTATGAAGCGACTTTTGAAATGGGACTTGGCCCGCCCGATTGGGTACGAAAGCCTTGGTCTAGAGACCCAGGGTCTTGTATCGTACTTCCTCAGGACGAGCGCAAGGACTACCTAGAAGTCGTCATCCAAATGACTGAAGATGATATGGCACGACTGCTGGAAGACCAGGAGTTTATGAAATATGTCTCCAGGGTAATTGAATGAAGAGATACCCTTCTACCAGGAGGTCATGAAAGGATTGGATTCAACAAAAGGCGCAGCGCAGGGGCGGAATCTCAACTTATGGATTCAGCAAAAACATATTCGGATTGACATTGCACTTTGGGCAATCAAGACACGGGAGCGGAGCGATGGAGTCGGCAGGTCGATGAAATTCCACGAAATGTATCATCACAATCATGACTGGTCGACCGTTGTGCTTTGGCGGGAAAGGAAAAAGGGGCAAGATTGACCATTGATGGATCCGAGAAAATAGACATGCCACGACATGCCTGATGGGTGGCAACGAGTGTACTACTGAATTTATTTATTGTTTACGGACTGAGGCTTCCAGCTCGATGATGACTTGCCTCCAATATGGGTGCCACGTGATCACGCGTCCTACCTAAGAGATTTGACCGTGTTTGATGAGTCTCCGACGCGTCTGCTTGCCACCTTTCCGTCGATCTCGACTTGAAAACTACAGCCTTCAACATCTGTTCTTCGTCCTGGCTTCTTGTGTCATTAGCTTACTTTCAAGTCGCCGATTTGATTATTTCGCCTTCTGTCCGCACTCCTCACACCGTCGCCATGACTCAAGTCGACAACTCAGATGCCCCTCAGGATGATTATGAGGAAATGCCTGGAGGACCAGGCGCTCCTATTCCGGTCTCGCAGCTGCTGGTACGTGTGCCAATGGCTCTTGTTCCTTCATAGCCTCTGCTCATACATCGAAGGGTCTCGCAGGTTTGACCGACAGAGACATCAAACTCGTGGTTGAAGGTGGCTTTCACACAGTGGAAGCAATAGCATATACGTAGGTGAGCCTGCATGAACTCTGGAGCATAGCTGACGGCAAGTCGATAGACCACGACGTGCACTCGAACAGATCAAGGGCATCTCTGAAGCAAAGGCTAGTAAGCTGCTCAATGAAGGTATGTAAGACTACAACCCCCTTGCGCCATCTCCCAGCTAACGCCCTGCAGCAATGAAACTCGTCCCAATGGGTTTCACTACCGCCACAGAAATGCACGCACGTAGAAGCGAACTTATCTCCATCACTACCGGCTCGAAGAATCTCGACCGCTTGCTAGGAGGAGGCGTTGAAACTGGCTCCATTACCGAGATCTTTGGCGAATTCAGAACTGGAAAGAGTCAGATTTGTCACACCCTGGCAGTTACTTGCCAACTCCCCTTTGACATGGGTGGAGGAGAAGGGAAATGCCTCTATATCGACACGGAAGGCACCTTCAGACCGATTCGTCTGCTTTCAGTAGCCAACCGTTATGGTCTCGAGGGGGAGGAAGTTCTGGACAATGTTGCTTATGCCCGAGCATACAACTCCGAACACCAGCTGCAATTGCTTCAACAGGCGTCGCAGATGATGTGCGAGACGCGATTTTCCCTTCTCATCGTCGACTCGGCCACGTCGCTATACCGAACAGATTACAATGGGAGAGGAGAACTATCATCAAGACAGTCGCACATGGCCAAGTTTTTGCGAACTCTACAACGGTTGGCAGATGAGTTTGGAATCGCCGTGGTCATCACCAACCAAGTGGTTGCACAGGTGGACGGTGGACCCAGTGCGATGTTCAATCCCGACCCCAAGAAACCTATTGGCGGCAATATCATCGCTCATGCAAGTACCACCAGACTCAGTCTGAAGAAGGGACGAGGAGAAACTCGAATTTGCAAGATTTATGACAGTCCCTGCTTGCCTGAGAGCGACACCTTGTTTGCAATCTACGAGCACGGTATTGGCGACCCTCAACCCAAGGACGACAAGGAGTAAGCGCCCACCACGCGAAGGATGTACACTTATCGAGATGAGATACGGATATGGGTATGGTTTATGGGTTCATGCTCGTGCATAGCGTTTGGCGTCGGTGGAGTTTTCGATGGAGCACTGCGCAGAGCCAAGATCAGTTCGGAGCAGACGGCAGCTGAGGGATCGAGCCAAGCAGCGTGGCTGATGGCCATTATGGTGGTTAGAGCGAATGGGAAGCGAGCTTTTTGAGAGCAACCAGCCAGAAACCAGGTTTTTTGGCTGGCGATGTTTGCCGATCTCGAAGCACGCAAACAGCTGGTCTTCTCGTCGTGCCGTGGTAGTGTCGGAACACAAAGCTTTCATTTGCCCAAGGAGGGTGGAAGGGTACGGTAATGGAAAGTTGTATGCTCAATCTACGCGTGGACGAGGCTCGCTGTTGCTTGGCGCCATCATAGCCAGAGATCCGTTCCGTGGCTAACGCGCAGCCAGCCTCTTCCAGTAGCACTGATTGCCCATGCACCCCCGTGCTTACGGGACATCTTGACCAGGGCTCTGGAAACTCCGAAGCAGGATTCCTCAGGACATTAATTCCCTGAATGTAGTACCTAGTTATTCATTGTTACCGTGTTTGATTCTTTCCTTTCCTCAATTCACTCGGCTCTGTTCAGACTGCTGCCGTGACGTGTCGTGTCGCCTGCCCTCCTTCCATTGTTTACATCCCTGCCTGTGCCCGACCGAGTTGAGCCTCGAGCCTTAGGCCTTTGCTACTCGCTGATGCAAGTTGACCGTCGCAGGAGGCGCTTGGTAATAGGTGGAATCCTTTGACCTTGGCAAGATGGAAGGTACTGCACTTGTCCTGCACAGTCGATAGTTGGGCCTTACTGACGCAAAACATCAGGACAGCTCGACGGCACCGCCCAGAGCCAACAGCAGCATGTATCGGAACCTCAAGCTAGCCATGGCACCGGACCTGGCTTTACAAACTCTTCCTCAGACATCGAAATCGTTTGTGGTCCTCTCCTCAACTACCAGCGCATGAGTGAGGAGGGCGCAGACGTCTTCTGGCATGGTTCCGTCCTCATTGTTACGAACCCTGGGCAGAAGACGCCTATGCTCGAGCTACTATCATTGGGCGCTTTCGATCCCTCCTCGAAAGTCAGAGCGTCCGCGAAACAGACATTCGAGGGCTTGAAGCTCTATTCTGATCCAGACAAGACTTTTTGGCGATTCAGCCTACGGCTGCCCTTGGTCGAAGCCGAAGCAAAATGGCAATATTCTATACCAAACATGCGGTTTCTCTCAGATGTGAGAAAGGAGCCGTCAAGGGAGTTCATTGTTCCATCTGCAACCGAGTCGATGCGTATAATGTTTCACTCTTGCAATGGTTTCTCGGTTGGCACGGATCTGGATATCTGGACAGGTGGGTAGTCTTACTGGAGGACGTGTTGTGCACCAGCTGATGAATTCCCGCAGGACCTGTTCTCTGGAATGATGTTCTAAGAATACATCAGCAGCGCCCGTTCCATGTCATGATCGGTGGAGGCGACCAGATCTATAACGATGGCGTCAGAGTTGATGGTCCGTTGAAGCAATGGACATCTATTGGCAACCCAGTTAAGAGGAGGGAGTATCCGTTTGACGAGCATTTGAGGAACGAATGCGATAACTACTACTTCAACAACTACGTACGCTGGTACAGCACCGAACCTTTCGCGACTGCGAACTCTCAAATTGCTCAGATCAACATATGGGATGACCACGACATCATTGATGGCTTCGGCTCTTATACCGACCATTTCATGAAATGTCCTGTGTTCCGGGGCATTGGCGGCGTCAGCTTCAAGTATTATTGCCTGTTCCAACACCACACTGCTCCGCCTTTGTCCACTTTCACGACTGATGCACCATCGACCATGGAAGCCCGTGCCGACGGCTCTGCTGGTGGAGACCCTCGCCAGCTGAAGAATACGTATGTCTATAAGAGGACTGCGGACGATCCCAGTTGGATTGTGGGGAAGCGACCAGGACCATATGTCGAGGAGAAATCGAGGAATCTGTATATGCGTTTGGGAAGGCGTATTGCGTTCTGTGGCATTGACGCGCGCACCGAAAGAACGAGAAAGCAAGTCAATTACCCCGAGACCTACGATATGATTTTCGAACGGTTGTCTTCGGAATTCAAGGCTGCACGTGGCGAGATCAAGCATCTTATCTTGCTATTAGGGGTGCCCATCGCATACCCTCGACTTGCATGGCTGGAAAACATCTTCTCCTCGCCTGTTATCGCGCCGATTCGCCTACTCAACAGGCGCTTCGGCTTTGCAGGCGGCTTCTTCAACAGTTTCGACGGCTCCGTCGATTTGCTCGATGACTTAGACGATCATTACACGGCACGGCACCACAAGCGCGAACGACGTGAACTTGTCATCCGCCTGCAACGGCTTGCAGAGGAGCACTCCATCAGGGTGACCATCCTCAGTGGTGACGTCCATCTTGCGGCCGTGGGCAGATTCTATTCTACTCCCGCTGACAATATGGACGCCCTCGAAGACCCTCGTTACATGGTCAATATCATCTCCTCAGCCATCACGAACAAACCCCCACCCAAGGCCGTGGCGAATTTGCTGGCGAGACGGAACAAGGTGCACCACTTGAGGGACGGAAACACCGACGAGACTCTGGTCAAAATGTTCGACGTGCAACCCGGCGGTCAAGAGAAAGGCGCGGACTGGAACTATGTTACTATGCCCAGTCGGAATTTTGCCTGTATCACCGAAGTCCCCGACGATCATACCGGAAACGACGCGCCAGCCAACGGCGTCAACGGGACCGTGCACATTAACTCCACTGGCAAGACTGGCAAGGCGCGGCCTCGCGCAGGCAAAGATGGACACAGTCCGCTTCATCCAGGCGAGGAAGGCACCGGCACGCAGCACCCTGCAGCCGACGGGATCAGTAGCGAGGGCCCGTGCAAGGGCGGCTTGAACGTCTCGATCAGGGTAGAGATCGATAATCATGATCGCGAGGGCAAGACAGAGGGATATGGGATGAGCAGTAAGTATTTGTTACCACTCACGGAAGTGGTGTGGAGAGGAAGTAGGGTTTCAAGGCTAACCGTTGTGACTAACAGTTCCGAAACTTGCCCTCGCATCGAAGGATCAGGCCGGCACAGTCGGACACCCACAGCTACATAATACAACAGCCGCGCCGGAGAATATGACTCAGCGTCATTGAGGTCGCATTATGGATGTTGAATTTTCGGTAATTACGCCTCTTCAGGCTGCCCAAAAGAACCCGCTTTGCGTCCTTATCCTTTGGCTGCTTGAAGAGAAAGAGAAAGCCAGGCATATTGTGTCAAATTAGTGTTTGCTTTCGGTCCTTGGGGTTGGGGAAGAGAATGGCGCCTGGACTGGAGTCTACCCGCCTGACCTAGGGGCAGTGTATTGATTAATAACTAATTGACTGCGTTAGGGAGTTGTGTTGAGATACCCGGATTCACCTCAGGCTCATGCAGCGCTGCACTTGTACTGCGTAGGGCCTAAGAGACGACAAAATTAAAAGAAAGTGGCCTGTATTCTTATCGTGCTGAGATATGTCCAGAGGACTGTGGAAAGGAGTAGGTTTGGCACCACGGGGAGCAACCACATGGCAAGTGAGTTGAATGATCTGAGAACGACGTTCTAGCTTGCTTCGATTATTCATTGCGTTGTGCTGCGCTGCGCTATCTCTCGAGAAGCGTGGATTGGTCTTCAACGATTGATCGTTCCCATAGTGGCTGCAAGAGCAACGAGTTCCAAGGTGAAGGCCATTTGTATCCACGCTATTTCATTCTGGTGTCGGTATTTATGGTGTGAACGTCTGAACCAAGGCAGTCTAATAAACGCTACCTCTATGGCTGCGTTCGTGCCTTTCCTCCTCGAGGATTTGCTCCATTTCCCGCTGTTCCCTTTCCTTAGTGCCCATGTCCAGATCAGCCTCCTCAACTTCTGCATCGCTTGGTTGATCGCCCAGCGGATCGGCCACAGCGGTCAGGTCATCGAAAGATCGACTTGGAAGGTCGCCAAACTCTCCTCTCAAGGCCCTTGCCAAAGAGGAAGACGAAAATTTGGGCGTAGGGTGGTTTCGGTCAAAAGTCTTCGGCCTAGACTCTACTTGGGGAGTACCCTCACTTTCATCGTCTGAGCCGAACGGCGAGCCGGCACCTGACCTCGATCCTCCTCCATCGCGTCCCAGATATGCCTTTAGACCGACATGGCTTGGGGTCTTCTTCCCGGGGTCCAAGGACAGATTGTTTAAAGATTTGTGGAGGTTGCTTGTAGATCGGAGTCGACTGCGGCTCTCATTCCTACTGGTACTGCTTCGCCGCGATGCATTCAAGGCGCCTGATTGTTGTTTCTCTTCGACCTCTTCCGTGATCTCATGCTCATCAAGGAACATGTCTGCGGTGTTCTTCCGTGACGGCCTCGGCAGGAGACTACTGCCGGTCGAGTCGTTAGCAGACCGGGTAGAGGTCCATCGCCTGACGGGTATCGACTCGATGTTGACTGGTGATTGAGATATACTCTTTCTTGCGGCTCGTTCCCTTCTAAGGTCCGACCACCGTCGTAGTGTGTTTTGGAGGACATATCTTCCATTCGCACCCAACTTCATAACCAAGAACTCGCAGTGGTTTATGTTGCGTAGGTCTTCGAAGAACTCGACGCTGTAGTGGTACCAAGCCATCAGGAACACCCGGCTGCAGAGACCATGCGTGACGAGAATGGCGACACTGGCCATTGTGTCTTCTGAGAATCGGCGCCACAGCGAACCATTGAAGGAGGAGACTCGGTCATAGACGTCCGCCCCGCTTTCACCATTGGGTATCCGATAGAAGAAGTGTCCATATTCGGCTCGTTCTCGCCATAGACGCTCGACCTCGTCAGTGCCGGGTTGGAAATTGCCAAAGTCCTGCTCCCTCAGTCTGGGCTCCTCGTACACTTTGATGTGTGATCTCTGGAAGGCTGAAGGCACTGGATCATTTGAACAAAGGCCACTCAATATGCCTTCAGTCGTCTCTCTCGTCCTTCTGTATGGCGAGATAAAGAAATGTAATGTGTCGTCGTTACGAAGAAGAGCACGGAGCTTCTGGCCAGCCTCTAGAGCTTGTTGATGTCCTTCACTTGTCAGGCCAACTTTGTGATCTGGTGTCGTCTGGTGAATTCTTTTGTCACGATTCCCTTCTGATTGTGCATGACGAACGAGGATGATCAACCTTGGTTTACCCATTGTCTGGCATCGGACACTATGTTCAGACAGGAATGCTGGTGCACATAGACAAGCTCAAATTGTAGCGTATGAAATGGTGTCGTGCGCCATAGATATTCCCAGGAAGGAGTGGTCGATAGGATGCACGATGGAACCCGAAGAAAAGGCAGCGTCTGACAAGGACAGGCTCCCCGCATCTATTGCGGGCAACAGCAGCATCATCTATGTCACGAGATACAGGCTACAAAGTCCAGGTGCAAAATTCTACAGTGAGAAGGCAGAGCTCCCCAAGGCTATATTCCAACATTGCCTATATTTCAGCGAGGAAGCGTGCTAGAGTCAAGTGCAGGGCCACTGGGAGTTGTGGATTGGGAATTCTCCCTGTCAGACAATGTCACCTTTCCAACATGTCGACATACCGCTTGATTGACCGCCATGTCTTTTGCCAAGACATGTCCCAAACAGGACTAGTTTGATAATTGAATCGCGTTGTCGCGAACCTCATCGTTGCCCTCACAATCTCTCACCTCCCCTCGCTTTCCCCTCGCTTACATCGTCGGCGACATCATCAATTCTCTTTCTGTGCCTCAGCGACGCCAAGCTGCTGCCACGATGAATCCGCAGATGCAAAATTACCGGCAATATGCCCAGGCGCAGGCCAGAGCGCCAGCAACTCGAAGACCTGGTGAGTGCAAAGTGACCACATCTCTTGTTTACAAGAGAAAGCTCTCGAGATGGCTTCTTCAGGCCCTACGGGGTCTCCTAAAATCTCGTTGAATGAAAGTCTCTTACAATCATTCAAAGCAGTTACCTACCAGGGTGCACCAGCACCAAACCTCCACCAGAACGCCCAGCACGCGGCACAACAAGCCCAGCAGCAGCTGGCCGATCAGCAGGCGAGGCAACGAGCTATTGCGCTTGACCACCAGAGAGCTCAACGCATTGCACGAAAGCCTACCGACCTCGACCTCCCTGACGGCCTCGAAGAAATTTGCATCGGCGACGGTGTGAAGCAGTACAATGCCTTGCGAGATGCTGAGAAGCGATTGGATGCTCTCATGACACGAAAGAGATTGGAATACCTTGACAGTGCGAGTAGGAATAACAAGCACTTCAAGACCATGCGCATCTGGATCTCCAACACCGTCGAGAATCAGTATTGGCAACAGAAATTCGAAGGAGACACGTTTTCGTTGGAAGATATCAAGCCCCCCACCTACAAAGTCAGAATCCGAGGCCGCTTGATGGAATACAAGGAGGACCAGATTGACTACAGCAGCGACGAAGAATCCGAGGATGAAAATGAGGCGCTCATGCCACAGGAGCTGAAGGAGCCAAAGAAGAAGACCCTCATTGAACCATCCCGAAACATGAGCCACTTCTGGAAAGACATGTATGTCGAATACGAAGGCGTCAATCACGATTACACAACAGACCCGAATGTCACCGTCAAGTGGAAGAAAGGTCAAAATGGTGGCGGTGATCTGGACACCTTCTACTTCGAGCGCAAGGGCGATGACAACCAAAATATCACCATCTGTCTCACTCGCGACGAACAACCTGAACGATTCCGCTTGAGCAAAGCTCTGGCTGATGCCTTGGACATGGAAGAAGCCGATCGCGCTGAAGTCGTCATGGGCCTTTGGGAATATGTCAAGTTCTTCAATCTCCAAGAAGACGACGAACGTCGAACCATTCGATGTGACGACAGTCTTCGTCAAATCTTCGGCACCGACACCATCTTCTTTCCACAAGTGCCTGAGCGAATCATTCCTCATCTTCACCCATTGCCACCGATCCGCTTGCCATACACAATCCATGTCGACGAGGAGTTCCACAAGAACCCTCAGAAAACTATCTATGACGTCCAAGTCATGGTTGAAGATCCTCTGCGCGCCTTGATGCTTAAGATGACCAATAGCCCCGAAAATCAAGCACGTAACCGAGAGATCGCGAAAATCAACGACGAGATTGCTGTTCTCATGCAAGCTATCCGCCACTCTAAGGCCAGATGGCAGTTCTTCACCGCATTCGCCAAGGATCCGATCGAAATGACTAAAAAGTGGATCGCTTCGCAGAAGAAAGATTTGAGTATCATTCTCGGCGAGCCCGAAAGAGGCGATGTCGCTGGTATGGAGTTTATGGATGAGGTCTGGCAAACTGATCTGATCCGAGAAGCCGTACGCTACAAGCTTGCGAAAACCGACGTCGCTAGTGGTGCTCGACAAGGTTGATCATCTTCAGCATCTTCTTGCTACTGGTTCTTGAACTAGTCTTCTTGGTGTGCATGTGGAAGCACTTTCTACTTGGTGTGGAATCGGAATGACTTCTCTCTTCTTTGGCAAGAGATGAAGAAGAATCATAGCATGGCGTTTGTTGTGGAGTGTACAAAATGGCACAGGATGTGTCTCAATATGCTGGGGGCTTGGACAGCTAGGCATGCCGTGGTCATGGTGTTTCTTGGAGGGAGGCGGGATGAAACACCATCCAGACTTTTGTATGATTATGAAAAGTGCCCTAGATACCCCAGTACCAATTGCTTGAACAAAATTCTAATATGAAACCTCTCCGATCATGATCAAGTGTGTGTCCGTCATCTACAGTAGTACTTGCATATTGTGCACAGAACAGCCGACTCACTTGAATGTTTCTTCTCCTCAAGACACACGGAGTGGAAAGTAGAAAAACGGAGAACCGGTTGACCTTCACTTGAATACTGTCTGTTTTCCAATTTACTATGCATGGTTGTACATGTTAATACATTATAGACAAACTGCGCGCGGTGCCTTCAGTAGGACTACGGCAACGATTACAGCCTCACACTATTCTGTCTAATGTTTTCACTGTCCAATCTTTAAACTATCCAATACGCCCGCCGAATACCGTATGACTTTATCTATACCCTGACTGTTGATCGCGGACACGGGAATGGCAGCAATGCGATTCCTCCAGCCGTTCCTGTTTCCGCTGGGATGCGCGACCTCGCCGGCCTCGACCTGTCGGACGTACGACGCGAGCTTAGTGAACTCGTTTTGCGTGACACTGGCGTCCTTGTCCGCTTTCGTGGCGATGACGAACCACGGCTTCGCGCTGATGGGCGGCAATTTGAGCGGTTCCAGCGGAGTATTCATCGGAGGAGGCGGGAAAATTGACATCTCGTCACCGGCGTCGTCGTAGAGTGTGGCGTCCGGCTCGTTGGCCTGCGGCTCGAAAGGCGACCAATTGATTAGTCGACTCTGGCTTTGCTCATTGAGTTCCCTGTTGCGTAGGGCCTCGTACTCGCCGACCTCTTTCCAGAGATTCTTCAGAGCGAGCACGGCGTCGCCGGCGGAAAGGTCGATGACAAACGCGAGCACCCTGGCGCGCTCAACGTGGCGGAGAAACTCGAGGCCAAGGCCCCGATCCAGATGGGCGTCTTCGATGAGCCCCGGAATATCGGCCACAGTGAAGTTGACGCGCGGTGGTTCGCCTTCGATGCCAGAGCGGACGAGAGGCCGGCCTTCGTTATTGTCCAGAATGACGGTGCCGATGGTTGGGGCGAGCGTGGTGAATGCCCAGTCCCCGATGCGCGTGCGGGAGTTGCTGATCGCGCGGGTAAGTGTAGATTTACCGGCGTTGGGAAGCCCGACAAGGCCTACGTCTGCGAGGAGTTTGAGCTCGAGCTCAAGTTTGAGCCGGATGCCGAGTTCGCCTTTTGTTGCGAACTTGGGCTTAGGGTCTTCCTTCGTCCCGAAGTGAGGATTCCCCAGACCGCCAACGCCGCCGGCTGCGAGGAGGATGGGCTTATCCATGGGCTCGTCGAGGTCCAGGGTGATTGGTGCCGGTGGTTGAAGGACAGCAAGATGAGATCGTCGCGGTTTAGGTGGAGGCGGGAGGTTTGAGACGACGTTCTTTACCTCAGAGTTGGTGACACCAGCATAAAGGATCCATTTGTTTCGTAGGCCGTGATCGGGCTGGGAGTACGGGTCCTCTTCGCTCATGGCTCGGAGTTCTTGGAGCCTTGCTTCTTCCTCCGCGAGAGGGTCGCTGCGCCAGATTTCTCGCACAACTGTCCCTACTGGGACTTGGACGCAGATATCTTCGCCCTTGCGGCCTCCCTGGCTTTTGCCTTGACCACCGATTCCTCGGCCCGCTTTCACGACGCCCCTCCTGGCTATTTTGTGTAGACTGGTTTGTCCGGCTACGGCTTGTATCCATATGTTGCCACCCGAGCCGCCGTCTCCTCCATTGGGCGGACCATCTGATATGTGAGCATCGCGAAGAAAAGAGACGCAGCCATTTCCTCCTGAGCCGGCGTGTACGGTCAGGGTGCATTTGTCGATGAAGACATTGCGCCCGTAGTCGTCCGGTGAAGGGTTCAGCCGTGAAGAAGCGACTGGCGGAGGTGGCTCGTAGGCGGCAGCACGCCGAGCAGCATTGATCTCTGCAAGCGAGGATTGATTCTGCCGGCGAGTGGTGTGTAGAAGCTGCCGTTGTATTTGCGATGGAATCCGATGGGAACTGCTTCGAAGAGACGGTGAGGCCGACTGACAGAGGCAAGGGTAAAGGAATGGCATTAAAGTGCCTTGAAAGGAATTCATGTTCTCAACATGTCAGCACAGTGTGGAAGTCTGCTTAATAGTTCGTTAAAGTGACTTCTGCTCTACCGAGAAAGTCCTGAATGTCCAAAAAGTTCGCGATGGCTAAAGATTACGTAATGGCTGCTCGCGTGCCAAGATTCTCATCGAATACTTTCACGCGTCTTTTACCTCCACACCATTTTCCGCTGCATTATATCATCGATGATGTACTGATATAATACCCTAATCATCAGCACATTGAGATATCTTCACCGCCGACAGCAGTAAGGATGAATTCTCCCAATGCCTCGACCTCGTAAGTCGACGTCAGGCCCGATCAAGCGGCGCACGAGGACAGGATGCCAGACCTGCCGGCACCGCAAAATCAAATGCGGAGAGCAGAAGCCGGTGTGCGAACAATGCAAGGCAAAAGGACTGCAATGTGTCTCCACGGCTGCTCTCAAATGGGAGGCTGAATATGTTTCCAAAGGCCTCAAATTCGGACGAGCCGGTGTCTGGTCAAAAGATCGCGGAAAGACTGCTCCGGCTTCACCTTCGACACCAGGAACACACAATGACTTAGCTACCTGGTGCTTTGTACCTCGCGTCTTCCCATACAGCTTCGTCAATACTACCATCGACAACATACATGAGTTGCTAGACTCGGACGATGGTCTCGAACCAGGGCAAAGCATACCTCAAGCGACTATGTCAGTGGCCAGCGAGTCTGACAACCACGAATCCACTAGTACATCCTCTCTAAGTCCTTGGATTTCCACGCAACAGCTGATCCGACCTGTGCAATCAATCGCATCACCTCTCACTTTACTACCAAGCGTGCCACAATGGGAGCTTGATGATGCGAGCTTGCTGTTATCTTATTACGTCCGAAGGGTCTGCCCGGTGAGCATGGCTAGCTTTTCGTCCACATCACCATTGGCATCACTACTCGTCCCCTTCGCCGTGAATACTTCCGCCCTCGCCCTCGAGTCGATACTTGCTCTGGCTGCTTGTCATCGCTCACGAAGCGATGAAAGCTACAAGGCAACGGCATTGCAGCGGAGCCATCGAGTTCTTCAAACCCTAAGGACTCGATTGCGACGGTCCGACCCGAGGGAGATCGCACAGGACGTCGAAACCTTGGTTGTAATGCTATTGCTGTGTATGTTCGAGATTACCAATGAGTGTGACAGACGTTGGGTTGTACATCTGAAGGGCGCAAGAGATCTAGTTCGGATACGCCGTCAAATCACTTCCCCAACATCGGCGGCCTCGGAAGAAGGTCAGCTCGTCCAATTCTGTGAGCGATTCTTCGCATTTCAGGACGTCATTGGACGTACAGCATGTGGTGAGGACCCGGTTTTCGGAAGCGATTTCTGGGAAGATAATCCCGAATGCGATCAGTGGTTGGGATGCTCTCCAGAGTTGGTCTCGATAATAAGCGAAATCACCGAGCTTGGCCGTCAGAATCGAGACATCCGCTACACTGCCGAATATCAAGCTACTACTGCGGCACTGGAACTTCGCTTGAGCAGCCTGAAGCAGAGCGTCTGGGACGTCAACGATGACGCTCTGGCTCAAGCAGCCGAATTGAAGAGGCTGGCTGCAGAATTGTACCTTCAATGTCTCCTGAACGGCGCCGAGCCATCGACGTCGTGGGTTTCAGCTCAAGTAGACATGATCCTTCGCCTCGTCGGAGTTTTGTTGGAGTGCCGGGTTATCGCAGGAATTACTTGGCCTTTGTTTGTTGCAGCGGTGCAACTCGACTTGGATCGTGATTTTCAACCTCTTTCATATGCCGGGCCTGCACCGGCACATGCGCGACCTTTCGTCCTCTACGCACTGCATCACCTTGCTGATTCCATGGCCAATGTCACACGCACGCGGGCGGTTATTGAAAAAGTGTGGCAAGCAAGAGACCTACATCGGATCTCGGAAAATGGGCGAGATCTAGAAAAGAATGACTGGGAGTATTTCGTTGCCCCACTCTGCGGCAACATGTCGCTCGCTTAAGCCTTGACACACTGGAACGCGAGGTCAACTTGCTGTTCCGCCATGCAGAAGACACTCCCGATCGATATCAAAGGACACTCGGCCTTTTGATCCAGCGCATACGTTGGCCTACCAAGCTTGACAGGCAACCAGGGAACAGATTTATATTATGAACAGATCTGTCCCACGCTTTCTGCTTATCACCAAATGAACTCGGTCATCCGAGTCTATTATCTTCCAGGCATTATTGCCACCAGCAAAAGCGGCCCAAGCAAGCCAAACATGGCCAAGATGGTCGGTTCTAGCACGCTCATCTCCGTTCATGGCTTGACCTTCCTGAAGGTTGCTACTTGCGACCAGCGAAGTCCTGGGATAGGAAGTCGGACTTCTTTATCGGTGTTCGACCATCAGAAGAGCGGGCCATCAGGGCCATTCCTCCGCTGCACAAGCGTTTGTCAGTTCTTGAGCTCAACAATCAGCTGCTTGTGATTCGCCGACGCTTCGACCTTCTCAAGAAGTGGAGCGGTTTTCGAGCTAGCGCCCCAGGTTCGCCTAGAACGGGAAACTCCCCGCATTCGATATCGGTTGCTGCAGGGGCCACTATCCCTCGGGGAGGATATAAAATGGTCCTTGTGTCCTTGGGAGACCGACCTCAGCTTTCATCTCTATGTGTATCACCCATCTGGACACTGCTCATCAAGATGTCTGGCAATGTGTTTGACTTGGATGTGCCTGGCACGGAGCAACTTGTTGATGGTAAGTCCTCCTGTGTGAGCCCGTGAATAGCGGTTATTGGATTTCCTCACGTGATGAGGAATGGCGGCTTGTCAGTGAATATATCACTAATACCCTTGCACAGTCGATCACAATTTGCAAGCAGCCCATGCCAAAGGGGCCAGCGATATTGTCTTGATCCCTCAGCCTACCAATGCCGGTGCCGATCCTTTGAGGTGGCACCAATACAAGAAGTACTATCAACTCTTCTTGCTGGCCTTGTACGCGTGCGCATTCTCCTATGGCGAGAACACCCTAGGAGCTGCATGGACGACTGTGTCTACCGACACGGGAGTGAGTCTGGTGAACATGAACGGCGGTTCGGCTTTGAACTACCTTCTTCTCGGCTTCGTCAATATCTTCTGGATCCCGACCGCTATGAAGATAGGTCGGAGACCTGTCTTTCTGGCATCTACCGTCATTTGCATGTGCGCAGGCATTTGGCTTGGGTACTTCAATGGGACTGCCTCCTGGATGCTCGCCATGACTCTCAACGGGTTTGGAACAGCAGCATACCAAGCTGTTATTCAGCTGAGTGTCTTCGACATGTTTTACACTCACCAACGTGGCCGAATGTTAAGCTGTTACCTCTTCGGACAGCAACTTGGTAGCATTCTCGGTTTGATAACTGGCGGCAGCATCGCCGATACGCTCGGCTGGAGATATTCGCAGTACATCGTCGCCATAATAGATGGCGGGGTGCTGGTACTTCTCTTTTTCACTTTCGAGGAGACGTTGTTCCCAAGATTCCTGTTCAGCAAAATCACCGGCGCAGTCCCTGGCACTGAAGGCTTGGTTACCCCTATCACCACTTCCAAGGACGCCGAAAACACCCTAACGAGCACTCAGTCACCAAGTGATCCGGTACAAGATAATGAGTGGACATCTCAGTTCCCTAAACGGACTTACGTGGAGAAATTGAAGCCCTGGGTCTTCTTTCCACAGGACTCGACAACCTACTGGCAGTATTTCCGCCGACCTTTCCTGCTGTTCACATTCCCGAACATTGTGATCGCAGGAGTGATATTTGCGTTTGGTTGCACCGCTGGTATCGTGTCTTTCAACACCATCTCGGCGATCATGACCGAGCCACCGTACAATTGGTCTACTACCTCTACTGGTCTGATTTTTCTTGCTGCCCTTGTAGGCAACTGTGTGGGCTGGGCTACTGGAGTCCTGAGTGACTATATTGTCATCTTCCTGGCTCGCCGCAACCACGGTATCAAGGAGCCAGAGATGCGATTGTGGACATTATGTTTCTCCTTCGTGTATGCCGCGGTCGGCTACCAGCTGTACGGCTGGGGAGCCAACTTCGGCATGCACTGGATGACAATAGCCTTTGGTGTGGGTTGTATGATTGCACATCAGGTCTCAGCTTGCTCGATTGCAACCGCATATGCTATGGAATGTTTTCCGGGGGTAAGCCTGCATCCTCAAATCTCTCTTTGACCAGCGGAAGTACTAATCAACCTCTATAGATTGCCGGAGAACTCGTCGTCGTGTTGGCAATCTGCTCCTCCTGCATCAATTTCGCCATCTCATACTCTGTGCAGCCTTTCATTATCGCAACGAATTACGGCTATACATTCTTGTTCTTCGGTCTGTGTGTCCTGTGCTCAATGCTGGCAGCCATCCCGACATACATTTATGGCAAGAGCTGGCGACGGAGGGCCGCTCCGAAATGGAGACGATGGTTGGCGGAGAGAGAGCTGTAGGACTTCGAGGTGGAAGCCAATCAGCAACGAGACTTGTGAGGCATGATATACTTTAGGGATAGCTGCTTCTGGCTTCGGGCTGGTTGAGGACTCCTGTCTCGGCTGCTCAACCGCAGCTGTGGTTATATCGCGGGGGTCAAGCATAGTAAGGACCATCTCGGAAGAATATTTCGAGCAGCCGTCAATTAGACACAAGTACTTTAATATATCTAGAATACGGTATCTACTACACAAGATCTGTCGAGTCCAACTATAGACGTGTTGGATAGCGATGGGTATATCTCGTTCGCAACAAGGCCGCCTGAAAGACCGTTGAACCACTACTACGGTCTCATGGATAGATCGTGTAATATAGCGCTAGGGTGTCATCCGACGACAAACAGCACACGAGGACAATTTGTGTTGGTAGGCGGGCCTCTTGTTCAAGCGGTACGCAACTGCTGCTTCGCCGATTCAAGAGGCTGCTGTTTTGCACCCCGGTTAAGCGAGTTTCATTACACGATTTACCGATGAGACCGTGGTATAGCGGTAGACTTAGTATCGAGGCAACGAATAGCCTGAGGTAGTAAGTCTACGGTCAGGTACACTGGCGACGCCGATGTTTCCGGAGGAGACACCTACGAGAAAAATCAATGTGTGGCTAGTGCTCGTGCCGGAAATTATGTACGTGCTGCTTTGGTATCCCAGGAGGTGGTCGCTGTTGGCTCCTACCGCGCCTGTTTGGACTTACTTATCACATCTTCGACAATACATACTCTCTTCAAAACCTGAACACATCTATTACGGCATCGACAGGGCACCCACACTGCCAACTGTGAAGAGGCATGCTTGCCTGGCACGTCTGGGTCCTGTCAACTGCTTGCTGAGGACCCGTCAAGCAGAAGTGCTCGGCGCGACTAGCGACGCCCTTGTTGGCAAGCCCACGAACGGGGAGAGAGTTTGACCAACAGCATTCTGAGCGCCAACATGAACCCCAACACATTATTCTTCGTCCGCAGTCGCGCGTTGAATTGTAAAAAAATTCTCAAAGAACTGGTGGGTTCAAAGATCTGCCGAGACGCCTGCAAGTTGACCATGCAGGGCCACATGGCCCACTGATACGAGGATCAACTCGGTAAATGCAAGATACCTCGGGGAAGGCAGCCAATCACAATCCCATCGCACGATTCAGCCTCGTCGGTTTCGTCACAATCTATCCGTCGTCATGATATCAGGTCTCCATTCAGTTTTTACTGTGGAGGTCGATTCTGCAGAATGGTGATTTGTAAGAAGGCCACACCTTCATCATTATGCTGAATCTGCCTCCATGACGCAAATTCGCATCGATAAGGGTGACAGGACCCCTTTTCCAGGCTAGCTAAGCCAAAAATACATCTGAAGGTCCAGACAGCTCTGTGCCAGGGCACGAATCATAGAGACCTATGGACAGCTAGGGTGGAAATTGGCGAAGCTGCCAGGTCCATACTCCAGAAAAAAAGAGACCGGGTCGAAGCCCTTGATGTTTGCATCATGGTCGCAAAATTGTCTTGTAAATCCGCAATCGCCGGCGTTGCGCAGAGGATATATTGGACGATGCCGGCAAGATTGCGCAGGTAGTTGATAACACAAGACCCCTCGCTTGCCATCCATCCTCGAAACTACGCACCTGCAAAATCCATCTCACTTAAACATGTCGACCGATTACAAGTTCCAAGGCTGGTTGGGTTTCGACCCGGAATCCGTCAAGGGTAAAATGGTTTGGAAGGAGTATGAACCGAAACCGTGGGAAGAGACCGACGTCGACATCAAAATCACCCATTGCGGTGTTTGTGGCTCGGACATTCACACCTTGCGCTCTGGCTGGGCGCCTTCTGATTATCCCGTCTGTGTCGGACACGAGATCGTCGGCCACGCTGTGCGTGTTGGTTCAAAAGTAAAAGACATCAAAGTTGGCGACCGGGTCGGAGTGGGCGCACAATCCGGATCTTGCCTGAACCAGAACGGCGACTGTGAAGCGTGTGCCGATGGCATGGAACAACATTGCCCTTCGATGGTTCAGACTTTCAACTCCAAGTGGCCCAATGGTGGTAAAGCGTACGGTGGTTACGCCCGCTATTGGAGAGGGGATAGCAATTTTGTCATCCCTATCCCTAAGGAAATACCGTCCGACCAAGCAGCTCCGATGCTTTGTGGCGCAATCACGAGCTTCTCTCCGCTGGTCCAGCATGGTGCTGGCCCAGGGAAGAAGATCGGGATAATCGGTATAGGAGGGCTGGGCCACTTTGGTATTATGGGGGCCAAGGCGCTCGGTTGCGACGAGATCATCGCCATCTCGCGTTCGTCCTCGAAGAAGGAAGATGCACTGAACATGGGTGCGACGGGATTCATAGCCACAGACGAGGATAAGGATTGGGAAACCAAGCATGCTGGGTCCCTCGATATCATCGTGTCGACGGGTAAGTGCCGATTGATCCTTCGGGTTGAACCATGCTAACAACATTGGGAAAGTGTCATCACCGAAATTGCCACTGGAAAAGTATCTCCAGCTGCTGAGACTGAAAGGCCAATTCGTTCAAGTTGGACTACCAGAAGACCTTGTGCCTGGCTTCCACATGTTTTCTTTGATCATGAAACGGGTGTCCATCTCAGGTAGCCTGATCGGGTCTCCACAAGATATCAAGGACATGTTGAAGCTGTTCGTTGAGAAGAATGTGCGCACATGGAACGTCAATGTTCCCATGAAAGATGCGAATCAGGTCGTCTTAGACATGGATGCTGGAAAGGCCAGATATCGTTACGTGCTTGTCAATGAGGACGAGTAGATGAGCGTTGGCGACGACGGACATCAGTTGATCCCTCAAGCCAGCTATATGAGACGCGATTTTCAGGGCGATGAAGGTTAGGTCTTGCAGGCATTTGGGAGAAATCATTGTCTACAACGAGTAACTGGAAGCAAGTTATATTTCCTAGTCACGTGCAAGGCTTTGGTATTCTGCCACCGCCTTTCTTTCACATTGGATCTGCCGCTAAACTCGATTGGATTTCGAACCAGTTGCTCATCTATCACTTCGCAATCGTACCTACCTAATGTAAAGCAACGATACCGAGGGTGCAGTTGAAGGTACCCTGGCTTGCAGCTAAGGTATGACCTGGGGGATATTCGTGCGTCGACCCCACAATAGGATGGCGCCTGTTCACGCGCGGCAACGTTTCTAATTTCTGACTTTGAGAGTCGATATTCTGATTCCCAGATGTATACTCACCATCCAGGATGCTCGATGTCTTCCAGCTTATTAACCCACATTCTGCAAGAGTCCGACAGCCCTTCAATCTCGACGGATGAACGGATGAACGGACGAGTCAAAAAGCGCTAAACTTCGTCACAACAGTTGTCTCAGGGCTACTTAAACTGACAAGGGTTCAGAGAAGAGGAATCGACTTCAATCTAACTCTCAGCTTCCCATTCTTGCCGCCCTGTGTCATCACTGAAGGCGGTTGATACTTATACTTTCAACATGGTGCAAGATCTGAATCCCAGGGGCGCGAAGCCGACCATTGTCATTGTGCCCGGTTCATTCTCCCCTGCCTACTTTTATGATGCGGTCGTCGACAAGCTCCGCGAAGGTGGTTTCGAAACCATCGTTGGCAATCTCCCTTCCGCCAGTCGTTCGCCTCCCGAACCAGCTGCCACCATGGCAGACGACGCTGCCTTCTTCCACGACATTGTGGAAAAAGTCGCCGACCAGGGCAAGGACGTCGTCCTCGTAACGCATTCTTATGGCGGCGTTGTCGGCACAGAAGCTTCGAAAGACCTCTCTAAGAGCGAGAGGAAAGAGGCCGGTAAAGAAGGCGGACTTGTCAGACTGGTGTATTTGACCTCGGTGGTGCCCACTCCGGAGAACTCGCTGGCGGATCTGATGGGAACTTTGCTACCGACCTACCTCAAAGTTGACGTAAGTCGGAAGCTGGCCATTCTGAATTGGTCCAATTTAACGTTGAAACAGGGCGACTACATGCGACACGAACCCTTCGAAGAAAGCGCGAGGCTGACATTCTCCGACCTTCCGCTCGAGGAAGGAATTGAATGGGTCAAGAAGATGCCGCTACACTCAGCTCCTAGCTTCCAAGGCAAGCTCACGTATCCCGGGTATAGATATGTGCCTGTGTCATGGATCTTCTGCGAAAACGATCTCATCTTGCCTCCGGATTTTCAGCGCCAGTGCATCGAAATGATAGAGAAAGAGAGCGGGAACAAAGTCGACGTCCATTCAATCAAGACCGACCATGTGCCGAACGCCAGTGCTCCAGAGGAGACCGCAATGGCTATCATGGACGCCGTAAAGGCGGCGTGATGCAGGTAGACAGATTGCTGCTGATGAAGTCAAAACAGTTTGAGCTCGTAGGGTTCGTGGAATCAATCAATAAAACAGATATCCCCATTTTGCTCCAAACTCCTTTGATATTTTCCAAGCAGTCGGATCCCATGAGGCGGCCCCAGGTTCGATAGTGAAGCTGGTCAGGCAGAATAAGTCGCCCAAAAACTCTTCCTCGTCGATAATGCTTAGCAGGGTGATCATGTTGTCTCTCATCTTGGGAAAGGGAAACCGGTCGATCCACTGCGGATGTACAGTGGTGAGCTGTAAGGGAGTCGGTCGTAAAGTATCTGGAAGCTCAGGACCAAATGGCTGGGATTTTGATGCGAACGTGACGGAGCAGGCAAGACCCATCAAGGCTCCATTGATATAGAGAGCGCCATAGACGTTGGCGGTGACAGTTGTGTGAACGCAACTGTCGGGGTTGGTCGATAGCCCGATGATGGCCTGATACCCGTCGGGAGAGCGAGGAACGGGGGTTGGGAGGCACTGCGACAGATCTTCGTTGCTGGAATTATTGGAGCCTGGAGAGTCGCTAGAACCAGGACGAGCTCCTTGGTCTGAGGAAGCGGAGGTGCCCTTCTTCGCCTCTGCTAGGCGTTGCCCTGGCTCACCGTCAGCGGGGGTGGTAATTTGGTCTTGCAGAGCAGAGCTACAGACGTCTTGCTCTCTGTGCAAGTCTGTCTTGAATTTGCTTCCTCTTACGGGGATCTTGTACCCCGTACCAGTTGTTGTCCTCGACTCTGGCTCTTCCCATACTGACTCACCAGAGCGGGCGAAATCGAATCGGGTCAATCTATCGTCAAGCAGAGTACGTGGACCTAGATGATGACATAAAGGCCGTTTGGTGTTGTTGATAGATAAGAGACCCGATTGCACTTTGGTCAAATTGATCAGAAAATAGGGAAAGTAATGGTAAGCCCAAGATGGAGCTTGGTGAAGCCTAGTAAGTTAGGTACTTGCGCGCCCAGGCCCATCTCAGACCGCTTAGAGGCGCCTTTGACGAGGACAGTAAGCATCGCGGCCTGGTAGCCCAATAGGCCACCTCGTAGGGGGAGAGGGGAGGCTCAAGCCTATCAGGTGACTAAGCAAAACCCCTCGAGGAAGGGCGGTAGAACCCCCTCATTCAACATTATCACTAGTTTCTGACATTGGCCCAAAAGGATGGACACGGATGGAGTACTTCTGACTTTGATACGCTCAAGATTCCCACGTCTTGAGTTATTGCGCTTGGTACCTCGGATATCAAAGCCTTGAGCTCGCCCAGGTCCTGCTTGACAAATGACTGTACGGGTGACATCTTTCGAGCTTTGGAAAGGCGTCAGAATTCCTTCAAGACCAAGCATGACTCTTCGTGGGAGGCTGCGCAGCACCAAATCACCTGCAGGTATTTGAGGACTCTGTTGTCCATGTCTTCCTACCTGACTACCCTAGGTCGGACTTTGACGCGAAGATGCACATGATATTCTCACCGGAGAGGACTTCAGGCCTTCTGGCACATTGAACCCACATCTCAAGCTCGCCTTCCAGCGGACAGGTGGTCTCACGGGCTCAGTGAGCGCAGTGTGTCGTATGCTGGCCCTGAAGGAACTTGAACATCCTCTGCGACGACCTTCTGACTCACCGTATTTGAAGGATCGAGGATACCCTGGATCGGAGCATGAATTTGAAGTTTCGGCCGATCGACTATGACCCCTGCAGGACCATGGGGTTAAGATTGGTTTCCCGGGCCTTTTATGCACGTGCGGCGCAGCCTGCCTCGGATCCGATGCATTCATATTTTTCGTCGACCCGTTGTGTGGCTCGTGGGGTCGACATTCCATCCCATGTCTGCTTGTTCGAATTATCAATGTTCGCTGAAGAGCTATGAGAAGTTTATCAGTCGATCTAACGGATGTCCTCGCATGCAAAACCACAATAGCGCATTTTAGGCCATTCACCCGCAGGCCTCCGTTCTTCGTTTGCAGGATTCAACGCCAGGTTGCCTCGAGTCCCGGCCTCCGGACCACCAACTTGAGAAATCATTCACAATCGTTCCACCTATCGTGCCGAGCAAAAACCGTCAATGGCAACTCCCTTTGACCCGTCACACCGTGTGCGAGTAAAATATCCCTTTGATGGGCCCCCGTTCAGAGGACCTTCGATTGCCAACCTCAGTGTGGATGCTCATGCTCCAGACACGAGCTCATGCATGCTACGGGCACCCACAGTTTTGGATGAATTGTTTACGGAGAGTTACGGAGACTCCAAGTCTTGGAAGCTGCTCCCCGAACCAGCTCCGCCATATTTTCTTCTGCAGCCATGCCGTGGGTTCGTGCCTCCCTGCCGCCTTTCGAGAATGTTTCATTCGTCAGCTTACATGCACTAACATTTCCTACTCGTATCAACTTATTCTCAGTCATGCAAATCTGACGTGGGCCTTGCGGGCGAAGGCCAACCCTTATATTGGTCAGAGCAGATCCATGCATCATCCGATGCCGCTGCGTGGCCGCGCCTCAAAACGCTCTTGTTGCGAAGCACCAATTCAGATTCGGAATCAGCCCAAACCATGGTCATCATTTCGACCCGGCCGTAAACAAGCATAACCTGCTGAGCAAGCGTTGAGCCCTCTGACCCCGGAAACGGGCACAAATTGTCTGCTTGCCCACAATTCACTATAAACCCTCTTCCGTCCCCTCCACATATTTCCTTCTACTTCTTTTGGTCCGTCTGCCGTTCCCTCATCCGACATCTGATGCTCCAGGTCTCTACCTTTGCTACACCATAACGAAGTACTCTTTTAGGAAGCATATATCTGAAGATATCCTAAGCATCATGGCATCACTTGTTGATCGTTTGTTCCCCCTCGAAGAGCTAGAAGCGCTTGGCAACAAATGGCCCGAGAGTGCCAACAAGAGGAGGAAGCTCGATGATGGTGTCGGTCAAAGCCAACCTCGGCCAGTAGTGCTTCCCAGAAGACAGAACAGTGAAGGTACTGCTTTCCTTGATCCAAGTCGCCCTCAGCCGTCTTCGTCAAGCTGGCGCAGACATTCCTCGACCTACGGGTCTGTCGCCACTCACTCGACCGCTACGAAGAGATCCATGTCGAATTCCTTACCCCGGGATACTACAACATGGACCTCGAGCGTCAACAGCAACGGCACTGCCGCAACCACAAACTCCTGGTTCCCGACATTCATTGAGCCTGCTCTCTTAAAGGTCTATCTCCAGAATCTCCATCCCAAGGATCGACCTCGCTATTCTCTACCCGGCAGCCTCCGACGCGATATGCCACCTCCAGAGTCAAAACGTACAATGGCCAGCCACCACGACAACGAAGACAGCGCGTCTTCTCCTGGCTCGTTGATAACGGATGCTTCCTCTCCACACTCTTTGGGCGAGCGATGCGCGACGCCGCCGACTGGGATCTTTGAAACGCTTCGCGCTGGCCCGTTCAGCCATTTGATTGATGGACTGCGTTTGACCGAACACGAACGCGGCTTCATGCATGATATGCTAAACCCAGCTCCGCAGCTGGCATCGATGTCTATGCCAGATTCCACCACGAAACGGAAAGCGACAGAAATCGAGGCAGATGTTGCGCCTGAAGACTATTATCACGTCGATAATAGCCTGCTCCAGAAGATATTTCCACAGTCTGGCGCCGAGATGCAGCCTCTGTCGGGATATGAATACGCAGAAACGACAAACGCCGACAGAGATAACGATGTACATTCTTCCTGTCTGAGTCCGGCCGCCGAGGAGGAAGACTACGAAACTCCTGCCGGTATCATTATGCCTACGCACGCTCCTTTGAGTGTGGATGACTTTTTCGATCTAGACGAAGCAGCTGAAGCGCCTTCACCACTGGTAATATGAGACTATGAAATTGTTCATTTTGCGTTGCCTTGCCACTTGGTGGCACCTATGTTATGCTCGGCGGCAGTCTATGCTTTGACGGAAGGGCAAAAATACATTTCACGGTTGATACTCCGTACAGGTCATTGAAAAGCATTGAGGGGCTTTGGAGCCAGGACTACCACAGTAAAGCAGATAATGAAATTGCACACAAGACCACTACCTTCTTCGCAGCGAATCTGTCTCAAACCCCCTCCTTAGGTCGCTTTGTGTCGTTACGTTGGTTGTCTGTTTGTCGTCAGGCAGCTGCTGCCGACAAGTCTGCCCCTCTCGCCATCATCATCATTACTAGTACTCTGTCGGCCAGGCGGAGAGTCTGATTGATGCTGGGGTAATGACCTCAGTAAAACATCATCGCAGAATCAGCCACATTTTTTGAGCCATTCGGACCACATCATCTAGAGGTGCACTTTCCGAGCTCCCTCCCTTGGCTGACCTCAGCTTTTCTGACTATGTCAAACTTTGCACTCTCGATTACAGTGGCATTTTTTCGATTACACATGCACTTTAAGGTACTTATGTGAACGAGAAGTGAGCATTTTACTTAGGTAGGCACGAGTGGTCCTGTTCTCATGCGAAACTCAGTCCAGTGTGTAGCCGGGCTGGTAGAGGACATGGCGGCCTGCAATCGAGCCCAATGGAGCCTAAGCGAGACCGCCATCATCCCGCCTACGCGCAACCCTTGGCGCCCGGATATCACACCCATCACACCCATCACACCCCATCCATCGTGCAATCCCATCTGGCCCGCCGAGCCCTGTCAAGAGGTTCGTATATCTGCAAAAAGAATTTGGCCGTTACCAAGCAAGGACCCCGCGCGCGATCAGATGTCATCCAGCAAACCCATGCAAGCACCAGGCAAGTGACGCTACAACCCAAGAGGAGGGAGTATTGTGATCTGACAGCCACCCCCGGAAGATGCCCCCCCAGACTTGGCTGGTACAGTACTCATAAGACTGGAAGTTTTGCGTACACCAGCTCTCGCTTGGCTCCAGCTTCGCTAGGAAGGGTGTCCACCGTCCAGAAAAAACAGCGCGCCTTTCCACGATTGAAGCATCTACGATCGCGACGATGAACAGTACACAGTACCTAGGTAAACGGGCCCCCTTTCTCATGACAAACCACACCATATGAAAAACAATCCTTCCTTTTCTAGCCATGTTTAATGCGTACGAGTACCGTAGGGCCATCTCGGCTACAAACTCTGCACCTGATTCGTGGGCAGTAAACGACGTTTTTGACGCCTGTCGGATCCGATGCTTATCTATTTCTCTGACAAGGCGCCGTGCCTCCGATGGTGAAAGGTTTGTGAACCGCTTCATTTAACCGTGGCTATATCCAACGAATCGGAGATGATCATTCCATTTCCATTCCTTCTCATTCGGTTCACTCGGTAAGCGGTAAGCGCGTCTTCTGCTTGCATCTGTGCCAGCGGGCCGTGGACCGTGGACCGTGGCATGGGGTTTCCGGGACCATAGTACACACCTTCTGGACGAGGCCGACGACCACGGCAATCTTTGCGCCGCGGCGAAATCAAGCACTGCGGTACTCTAAGGGGCTTTCGTCTCGGTGTACCGAAGAGACCGGCCTTGCAGCAGACGGGGCCTGAAAACTGCAAACCAGCAAAGAGCAATCCTACGCACGATCTTCGAAACGAATTATCATACGGAGTATCACATGTGGCAATCTTCACACAAACGCAGTGGGTCTGTGACAGGCAATGCCCGGACGCGTCCATCAATCAGTGGAAATGGTACCTCCGGATGGAGTACGGAATGCCTGCAGACATTTCATTTACTTGTCTCCATACTCCCCGTATCTTGGATAATGGTCGGTGACATGTCCGGGCAAGCTTCACCCACAGGCCCCCAGAACTACCTGCGGAGGCCAATAACTGCGAGGCCATCATCTATACATCGTACTGTTCACCGAAAAATAATGCAACAAGCACAACTACGTAAATCCATGGAGGACATGTGCAACGCAAACGGGCCCTGAGCGTGGGCGTCGAATGGTATAGTCACGGTAAGCTGTATGGAGTATGGGGCTCCGATCCAGCTGACTTCCAAGCTTGCTTTGATCGAAACTTGCGATATCGGGGAGATGTGGGATTCCGACATTGCGAAGTCGCAAAATCGGAGTTTGTACGGACTAGTGACATTGTGATGAACTTGCGGGAGTTAAGTCGCCAGACGAGAAGAGAAGAGGAAGAAGAAGCAAACACATCCGGTTAAGTATTAAGTATAAGTTGCAGTCTATGTCTTTCCCAGACACAGGGTTAGGGAGGAGATGCTGTTACGGTGTTGCCAACTTTTGGCTATCACAATCGTCGATGCCGTGTTTCGCATTGCATGCAACGCGCAGCGCGTTGTCTCGAAGCTTGTTAGGGGCTGGAAAGAATGTCTTCCACGATCTGCTGGCATCATAGGCCAGACACAGTCTGAAGATAGGCCTGCCCTTGACCTCAGACGAGCAACATTACATTTCTTGCCGTTATCTCGCGCTTTCCTGGCTCCTTTGTCGGCCAACTATCCACACAGATATATTCTGAGCTGGACGATGTTGTTCACGTCCCTGGGAACGCATTCCTTCTAGATTATCTTTATTGACTTCCGGGCCTCTAGCTTCCAGCAGTCAAAGCCAGGCAGGCGTCCACGGCAAGACCGACTCTGCCTTCCTTTTGCCGCACCACATCGTCGATGACCTCTTTGTCGAGGTTTGGAAACATGCCACACAAAGTCTCAACAATAGTCCTATGCTCTTGCCGTTGGATCCGTCTGGCTTCTGCAGCTTCCGCACTAGCCTGTCTTGCAGCAGCCTCTTGTGCATCGTAAGAAGGGACCCTGCCGTCAGTTGGCGGCTGAAATACTGCCGGACTCAGTCGTGCGCCCTGCTGCGGAGTTGGGCTTGAGGTCGCACTCGGTTCCTGAGATGTATCTTGATCGGAGAATATCCTCCCGATTGTCGAGAGAGGTTTCTGAATCGAACGTAGAATACTCGTCACACTGTCGTCGGTCCCGCCTTCGGAGCTACTATTCATTCGACTCGGATCTCTCCGTATAGGGCTGGTAGATGTCACGTCCATGGAATTCCTGGGGGTAAGTTCTGGCTCGGCAATACTCGATTTCTCCCGGTACAATGCACGTGGGCTCAGAGCCTCTGCCTCACGATTCTGTGCTGCAATCTCCGATACTGCAAGCTCGACATTGCGTTCAAACTCCTCGTCGCTTACAGTCAGAGTAGTACGATCGAGATTCTCGATAAACTGGATGGCTCCAGATAAAGACGACAAATAGTAACCAGCCTCGCCGCCAAGCTTGTCCTGGTTTCGAAACCGCAAAATGTACTGCACGTTGGAGACCAGGTTCTCGGGATTCGCTTGCAGGACGACATAGATTAGGAGTGGGACAAAAGAATCTGCCGAGGTGTCCGAGCTCTTTGCGTTCTTCAACAAGCCAAAGATCACCTTGCAGCAATTCAATATGCAGATGACCTTGTCTCGTGGCGCTCGATACCCTTTGATTTTCAGCAACTCTTGTTGGGCCAACCTCAGGAATCTCTCGCCGTTCGGACCGATGGGCGCCAGGTCCAAGTGTCCTTCTCGGATCCAGCTATAGATCCGGATCTTCTGGGCCAGAATCTCATCTCGTTCGACATCTTCTTGATGCTGACCGCGTCGACCGACCCCAAGGCTCTTTTCCTGCTCTTTTCGCCTCCCCCTTGATCGAGATCGCGCTGGCTGAGGCGGCGGGGGAGCAATGGCTGGTGAAAATGTTTGCGAATATAGTCTGTTCATCACGAGCTTCTCCATGCCTTCTTTAGCATTGTCGAATTCGTTATCCGACACGTCGCGCCAGACATCGCATATTGCCATTTTATTCGTTATAAAGGCTAGAAAGTCGCCTATGATCTTGACTTGTTCGTGAACCATCCATTGCTTCTTCCCGAACTCTGTCAGAAAAGATCTCAAGAACTTGGCCACGGGGTCGGCCGATTTGTGTCGGAGCTGCTCCAAAAATCGATGGAAATCAAAGGGCAATTCCGGTTCAGGTTCGGGAGGCGGCGGCTGATGCGGCAAAGAATTCATGGAAGCGGCACCAGTTCCCTTCAGCGAAGGACTTCTTAACGCCTCTTTCTCGTCGTCTAAAGAGCCTGATGGAGGCGAAGGCAAGGGTTTGTCCGAGTGAGATGCGACTGGAGAAGACGCAATTAAGTCCAGATCTCGTGACCGTAGATGGTCTAAGCTAGACCTTCGGGGTGGGAAGTGAGGGCCTATTCCAAGGATTGGCCCAGCCATCTCATGTCTGGGAGACATGATATCTTCCTTTGATGGCGCTATGGAGGCATTGTCAAACTGGTCCATTATACTTTGAATTTCTGAGGTTGACTCCATGTCATTGTCCTCCTTGGATTTCTGACCTGGAACGCCCAGGGAACCGTCCGGCTGATCTTGGGCATAGTCAGGATCTTTCTCATTATACTCATCCCCAGCCCTCACAGAAGGATGTCTCGATATGGTAGGTGTCTTTGGTGTCGGATCAAGGTAGTGCTTCTCACCCGGAGCCGCTGGCTGGGGCGGAGGTGTAGAGGGGAGATGTTTTTGCGGCTGGGATTGATCCTGAGGCTCGACTATGCCCTCGTTGATGTGTAAATTGTCAAGATCTTGCGTAATGGCGGTCTCCGCCTCTTTCCCTTGACCTGTAGATGCATCCTCAGATATTGTAGGGTTTGTAGTTGTGTCCTTCTCTTCTGCATCTAAGTCTATGAAGTTTGGAGTGCGCTCCGAAGAAGTGGCTTCGTTTGAGGTGTCCATCCTTGCATGACTGGTGGTGGACGACATGAACAAGGCTGGCCAAGGCTGTTGCTGAGGCGTCGGCAACTCTTTCACAGTACGAAACCGCAGGCTTCGGGCTGAACAACAGCCGGTTTGTTATGATCGCATGGTTCGTCAGGAGCGAGCACCTTTATCAAGTCGAGGTGATATTTGCTCTTCCGAGGGATGCGGGCCTATTTGAGGGGAGTAATGGTTTCAGGGGTAAGTTCTTCGAAGGATGATGAGCCTCAACTGTCTCAATGCGGTGCAGGAACAACCCTGCATAACAACAGGATTCTCGGATTTAAAGAGTGACGAGGCCGCCCATACAACGACCATATGACGCTGCTGTATGGACTACCGGGTACACTAGTCTATACTAGGCTAGTGGGCTAGGCACGCCGGGATGCGGCTGACCTGTCTTGCTGCTGCCTCAGGTAGGTAGCTTATTGGTCACAGCTGGTACGATCTCTTGGCATCGCCTTTCGCAGCAAAAACGACGGCAAAGACTTTCACTCCCTATGAACGTCTCCATGTCGTGCTGTAGCTGCTTTGGAAGTCCACGACGCCTTCATGTGCGGCATCTTCCTTTCCATAGCGAGAAACGGCCCTGTGCTGCCTGATCAGCAGATTGTGGACGCCCTGCTTGCGCGAGGCCCTGATAGCTACAAGGTCTTGCATGTCACTTGCTCCACTGATAATGCCCAGAAGATATACCTGACCTTCATCTCATCGGTACTGGCGCTGCGTGGAGAGCAGATCCAGACACAGCCTTTATTTGACGAGGCTTCCGGCTCCGTCTTCTGCTGGAATGGGGAGGCCTGGAAAGCTGGCGGCACCAAAGTCTCAGGCAATGACTCGATCTATGTTTGGGATCTCCTTCTTCAAGCCACCAGGGCTCGACGAATTGATCGCGATCGGAGGATTTCTGAGGCTCTCACCAGTATAGCAGGACCCTTTGCGTTTGTCCTTTACGATGCGCCTACTTCCACCGTGTATTATGGGCGGGACAGACTGGGCCGCCGATCCCTTCTTGTCAATCAGTGTGATGATGGTTCACTGACGCTGTCTAGTATCAGTGCTTTGCACCAGAACACGGAATGCTGGGAAGTCGCTACGGACACAGTTCACTCTCTCTCATTAAAAAGCGCAAATATTGTCCCCGGAATACTGCCGTGGCTGAAGGTACCACCTGCGATCAACAAAAATCTACTAAACGGGTCTCCACCCGCCTTCCCGTCTGCATCCAGCATCGAGGGCCTCCTGCAACATTTACGTGATGCACTCATCCTAAGGTCGATGGATATCCCAGATCACTCCCACGGACAGATGCAACCTGATTCTGCCAAAGTCGCCATATTGTTCTCGGGCGGCCTCGACTGTAGCCTCCTTGCACGTCTTGTCCACGACATCTTGCCACGGGAAGAAGCTGTCGACCTGCTCAACGTGGCCTTCGAAAATCCGCGCTCCATGGCTGCGAAAGTCAGCAGCACAGGTGGGGCTTATGAACTATGCCCAGACCGGATCACTGGTCGATCCAGCTTTTCGGAAATCTGCCAGAGTTGTCCGGAGAGGTTTTGGAGGTTTGTGGCAATTAATGTCCCTTACGCCGAAGCACTTGCCCACAAACCTTCGATCATCAGTCTCATGTATCCGCACAACACGGAAATGGATCTGTCCATTGCGATGGCACTATACTTTGCTGCACGAGGCAAAGGCGAAGTCTCAGAACACCCATATGATGTTTGCTCAAAGGCGAAGTCCTTTGTCTCGAATGCTCGAGTACTACTTTCGGGCTTGGGTGCGGACGAGCTGTACGCAGGCTATTCTCGACACGCTGTTGCTTTTTCTCGGGAAGGATTTCGAGGTCTTGCGGACGAACTCGGGCTTGACTTCGACCGAATTGGCTCTAGAAATCTAGGTCGAGACGATCGCGTCATGAGTCACTGGGGCAAGGAAATTCGTTATCCTTACCTTGATGAAGATTTCGTCAGGTTTTCCCTGAGCTTACCTGTTTGGGAAAAATGCGGATTCCGGGCGGGCAAGTCTGTGCCAAAGCATTATGAAGCATTGGGAACAGCCAGCAAGCCCGAAGATCTTGAGCCTGCGAAAATGTTGCTAAGATTAGCCATGTGGCAGTTGGGTATGAGGCGGACGGCAGGAGAGCGGAAAAGAGCCATACAATTTGGAGCACGGACTGCAAAGATGGACGTCGGCAAAGGGCGCACCAAAGGCACTGACATCCTGACATCTGCAGGCTGATCGCCGAGGATATCTGTATCCATCAGACGGGATCATGCAGGGCGTGAGAGTACAAAGCAGCACGAAAACCACATGGCGGTGATGACAACTCACAGATACTTCTGAGGTACAAAGACACGTGCTGGATGTAGTTTCACCTCCCTGAAACCTACAACCGCCGAGCCTACCCATGAAGGTGCAAAAGGCAAGTCTGAGCCACAGTGATAAGTCTGCTTACTGTCGACCCAATGTGATGTCCGACAGGGGAGAGGGAAACTGCATATGGGTCTTTGAGTAAGGCAGGCCTACCCACGGTGCGGGCGTACACATATGAAGAGTAGCTTATATATGACAGGTCGATGTTTGCAGTCCGAGCTTCAGAATCGACCAGACCGTGCAAGGCTCATGTTTGCTGGCGGAGAACAGCGTCCATCGAGTCCGTAACTGTATTCTCAAAAGGCTCGTTTGCTGCTCCACTTTAGGACCATTCCTTCCAAAGGATTGGGCTTCAAATTTTTTGGTCCGGCATCTCCACGTTTGTCCGTCAAGTCAAACTCCACCTTTCGAAGGGCGTGATGACGATTGGTGAGCAACAACATTCTTCTTATTTCATTGAAAATGCCTTCAAATCGAGTCTTCGGATCTTCCTTTCCTCTCTTCATTCGGGTCATCTGTCGCCTCTGCGCTTCATGGATGCGACTGCTGCACCCGTCGTTCAGCAAGTTGAATCGAATCAGCAACAGACCCAGGATGAACGTGTGGACGCAGGTTTGCACCAAGATTCGGATCGCTTGAGCGGTGAGGAAAAGACACCACATCCAACCGAAGCCAAAAACGGAATATATACCCCAAACGATGATGGACAGCCCGATGCTCCTGTCGACGTTGAGGCTTCCAATGGAGGTATCGGGGTCGACGACTTCCCAGACGGCGGACTGCAAGCTTGGCTTGTGGTGACAAGTGCCTTTCTTGCCCTGTTCTGCTCCTTTGGGTTCATGGTCGCGATCGGCACAGTCCAAGAATACCTCCAGCTCCACCAGCTTTCCGACTACACCTCTCGAGATATCGGTTGGATTCCGTCTGTCTTTGTCTATCTCTCCCTGGCAGGAGGAATCTGGGTCGGTCCGATATTCGACCGCTATGGCCCTCGCTGGCTCGCATTGTTCGGCTCCGTCACTTACGTTGCCATGATGTTCCTACTGGCCGAGTGCAGCAAGTACTGGCATTTTCTGCTCTGTTTAGGCTTTCTTGGTGGTGTTGCCGGCGCCACATTGACGACGACCAGCATGGCCGTGGTGAGCCATTGGTTCAAGAGAAAGCGAGGACTCGCGCACGGGATTGCCATGACCGGATCGAGTTTTGGCGGGCTCGCAATCCCTCTGATCTTGCAGAATACCTTCCCGAGATACGGGTATGCCTGGTCGATCCGAATTCTGGGCTTCGTTAACCTAGGATGTATGATCATAAGTAACATCCTCATGAAACCGAGATTACCGCCGTCACCGCAGGCCAAAAAGCAGGCAATCATCTCGTTGGGGCTTTTTGGCGACATGAAGTTTAGCTTGTTCACCATCACCGTCTTCGGGTTTGAAATTGTCCTCTTCGGAGCTCTGGGTATCCTGCCGACGTATGCGAACTATGGCGGCAAATTCCCTCCAGATACTGGGTTCTATATCATCGCCGTGATGAATGGTGTGTCTTGCGCGGGGCGGATCATTCCAGGGTATATCTCAGACTTCATCGGACGTTTCAACACGCTCATGATCATGGTCGTCGCCACTTTGATCTTGATGTTGGTGCTGTGGCTGCCGTTCGGCCACAGCAGTCTGACCGCATTGTACGTCTTTTGTGCATTGTTCGGATTTGGAACGGGGTCGTGGATGGCCTTGACGCCTGCTTGCATTGGGCAATTGTGCGAGGCGGAGCACTTTGGCCGGTATTATGGCACTATGTATTTCGTTGCGTCTCTGGCCACCTTGGTCTGCGTGCCGATTAGTGGCGAGTTGGTGGAAACAGTTGGGCCTCAGATCATGGTTGGATTCATGTGTGCCGTCCTGGGCCTGTCCCTGATAACGTTTACTCTGAGTCGATGGGCTTGCTTGGACTGGAACTGGTCATGGAAAGCGAAGGTCTGAAGGGTTTTGTGTATTACGACAAGCATGAAGCGATGGAGTTTTGCATCGTCCTAGGGATAATGAGCAGTGTGGAACTTCGATAGCGTTGATAACGCAAAGTTTCTCGACTGGCTCAAGTTGAATAAATCTGCAATAGCGAGCAATTCCCAAGTTCGGCTCTGTCGTTTTGTTATCGAACTCGAGTCTTCGCTGCATAGCTTGCACGCATTTTCTTCAGGTCCTACTCTTTAGTTGACCGTTGACCAAAAAGCTGGAACGGACTGGCTTCGATAGCAGAGATGCTGACTGGGCCGCGGCCCGCACCCTCGGCACCTGCTTTTGCGTGGATGCTTGCCGATTGAAGAAGGTGGACTTGTGATAAGCCGTTTGTCTAGCACGTCTAGACACTCGATAAGGGGTCTGGCTGGGTGGGACATCTCCGATTCTCGGTTGTCGATATCCTCTCTACGGTCTGGGATGAACATGCTATGCCGCGATCAAGTGGCACTCAGTGAGTGGCGCGGTATAACTGTATCTCAGCGCGCCTCTCGCGGAAAGAGCTTTCTTTCTTTCTTATCGTTACTGTTTACCGGATCAGAATTCTGTAGCAATGACGACTGCCACTTACGAAAAGAACGCTGCGGACGATGTCATCGAGGCGCCTCGATCAGAGGGCTTTGCGCCAACGCAAAAGGCCGAGATCTTGGAGGCACGCGAGATTTTCCACGATAATGCGGAGGGCGTCAAGTTCCGCACTGTCAGTTGGCAGCGAGCCACGATCATCTTTCTCAAGATCCAGTTTGCCATGAGCATTCTCGCCGTCCCTGGGGCACTGGCGACGCTGGGCGCCGTCGGCGGTGCACTGTCCATTGTAGGCTGGGAGGTTTTGAATACATGTGAGTCGGTGATCGCCGAGCACGATTGCTGTCCTGACTGACCGATTCACGCAGACACTGCTGTCATCCTGGGAGACTTCCGCAATCGACATCCGGAGTGCCACAGTAAGCTGCAATCTGCGTCTGGTTCCGAGGTGTCGTTGCTGACCTAGCTGTAGCTCTTGCGGACATGTGTGGTCACATCTGGGGCCGCCTTGGAAAGGAGCTTGTGTCTCTTCAAATCCTGATTGCTCAAGTGCTCATTACGGCAGCTGGAATCGTTTCTTGCTCGACGGCTTTCAATGCGCTGTCGGAGCATGGAGCGTGCACAGTGGCCTTCAGCTTCGTCTCGGCAGTCTTGATTACACTTTTCTCGTCCGTCCGCACATTCTCGCGCTTGGGCTGGCTTACATGGCTCGGGTTCACGACTTTCTTCATTGCTGTTTTCATTTTTGTCGTTGCAGTGACGCAGCAAGATAGGCCTGCTGCCGCACCGCCGACGGGCGACTTCGACCTAGGATGGACGGCAATTGCGCACCCCGGTTTTGTGGCAGGCATTACAGCCAGCGCCAACATTTTCATCAGTGGGAGCGGGTCTCAGATGTACTTGCCTGTGATCTCGGAGATGAAAAAGCCTCGGGACTACCGCAAGGCTGCGATTGTGGCTGGCATTCTCGTTGGAGCGATGTATCTGACTTTCTCGCTGGTCATCTACCGCTGGTGTGGAATGTGGTTGGCCACTCCTGCGTTTGGAAGTGCCGGCACGCTCTTCAAGAAGATCTCGTATGGCATTGCTTTGCCGGGTCTGGTTGTTGGGGTCGGAATCTATCAGCATGTCGCGGCGAAGCTCATCTTCGTGCGTGTCCTGCGAAACTCGCGTCACCTCCAGGCGAACACCGTGGTCCATTGGACAACTTGGCTCGGCAGCAACTTGGTTCTCGGTGTGCTGGGATTTATTATCGCCGAGGCAGTGCCCATTCTCAATTACTTGCTGGGCCTTGCAGGATCGCTTTGCTTTGCGCCCTTCAGCTTGATCTTCCCTGCCATGCTGTGGATGTACGACTTCAAAGGGTACACAAGTGGAAGTACATCACAGAAGCTGGTTTACGGGGCACATATCTTTATTGTCCTGGTAGGCTTGTTCATGGTGGTTGGCGGAACGTAAGTACCCTTTCCTGCTGTTATTGTCAGGAAGAAACGCAGACTGACCTTTGGCAAGGTATGGTGTTGCGGTCTCGATCAAGCAAGCCTTCGCCAGCGGATTGATTTCGAAGGTCTTTGACTGCGCGGACAACTCGGGGACAATCTCTTAGCAAGGATTGATGTTATCACCGGAGCATGCATGTGACGGAGGTGCGGAGAATCATTCTGAGTGCTTGTAGTGAGGAGGCTTTGTATGAGAATCCAGTGTGAAGTCAAGAGAAAGTGGCAGCAAAGTCAGTGTCAAAGTCGCTCATCCTGAGGGAAGGTAATCATTTCGCATCTCACCAAATATCGCGTCTGTATCAGCTGTAGGTTCATGGATCATCTGAAGAGCTGAAACGTACTGCGGCAGAAGCACTCCAAGCCGATATGCGATTAGTCTCAGCTCTAGGCTCACCTTCGGCCTCGTGAGATGGTCCTCCACGTCTAGCTTGACAATCAACATGTTCGCTTGGCTGTGATAGCCTTGGACGATTCGAGGCCGGCCCTGTCGAAGCTACCTTCCCCCTAGTCCACTTAAAGTGTTCCCGCGTACTGTGGTAGTCAAGCATAGTATTGCGAGTCACATGATTACACAGATGGTCAAGGCAACAAAGAAACCAGCGATCGTGCAGACAGTGGAATACATCGTAGACAAAGTGGCGAGGTGAAAACAAATAGGCCTTGCATGCATGTGCCCGATATCAAGGGGGTTAAAGTCCGGGAGCAGGAGTACTACGCAGGCATTCTTGGCAGGTACGCCGGTTGCAGGCTGCACTAGCCGGTTCGCGGCTTTCCTCTCTTTCACTCAAAGGTCATAACAACTTCACCTTTATCGCGATACTCACTTTCCCTTGAGTGAGACCGGACGGAGCTTGTCATCAGCCCTTTCTAACAAACGACAGGTCGCTTTACTCTGAAAGAATCCTATAAAGCGATCCATCCTCCTTCCTTTACGCGATTCCTTCTCTCCCATTCCTACGAATCTCCTAGCAAAATATCCAAGATGCCTGAAGAGTACGATATCAAAGACGAGCCCAGAGAGAGTCAAGAAGATGGTGGTGAAGAAGAAGTAAGAACAGCATTCATTCCTAAATATACTGCCCGCTGTGCATTTCGGCGCAACCACAGCTGGTGCAGTCTCATGTGAACTCGGGCTGACCGTCATTTTCCCAGGAGGAGATCGCAGCCATGAAGCGCCGCGTGGCCGAGATGGAGTCAGAAGCAGCCAAACTGCGAGAGATGCAGAGTCAACTCGAGTCACAAACCGACAGCGGCCCTCGAGAAGACCGAGAAGACGTGGATGCACGGAGTATCTTCGTCGGCAACGTGGACTACAGTGCTACACCTGAAGAGATCCAGGAACACTTTGCAAGCGGACCGGGCACGATAAACAGAGTCACAATACTATTGGACAAGTTCACCGGTCATCCAAAGGGGTGGGTTTAAATCCAAGCACTGTTCTGCATAAGGCTTGTTTAAGAGCTGGATGCTGTCCAAAACTTTGATCTTTTCATGCTACCTGGCAAGAGCTGGATCGCTAATGGTATCCGTGCAGGTATGCATATGTGGAGTTTTCAGATGCCGCGTTGGTGTCGCAGGCATTGGTTCTTAATGAGAGCGTCTTTCGCGGCCGGAATCTGAAGGTTAGTGTGAGCCCTTGCCGGTAGAGTACCTACTGACCGGACTCTCTAGGTCGTTCCAAAACGTACAAACCTTCCTGGTATGGGCCGAGGTCGTGGAAGGGGAGCCAACCCTGTGCGTGGAGGTGGAGGTGGTCGTGGAGGATTCGGAGGCCGTGGCGGATTTGGAGGGGGCTACGGCGGTGGTTACGGTAGCCCACGAGGCGGTCCGCGAGGTGGCTTTCGAGGTCGAGGTCGAGGCTATGCTCCCTACTGAAGAGGAACGATACAGCGCCACAGATTCATCTTCTCAGCGAGCACGTGACAGCAGTCGGTGTTGCAAATGACCATGCGGAAGGGGAACACGGGACAAGATTGCCTTTGAGCTCTTCGACATCTTGATCAGCTGACCGGCGAGGGACAGGATGGCTCAGAATTCGACTCTGTTGATCACACTGATGGCTTCACAATACAAAGGTTGGGAGAGAAATTGGAATTGATACCTGGACTCGAATTTAGGCACTACGCTGAGTGAAGCAGAAGAAGAAGAATGTCCTGATTGATAGGCGAATCTATGGCATTAATAATGTCCGATAAACATGGCCACAGTAGTGTCGTATACGTATGGAGTCCGTGAAGAATTCAATAATCCCCTCTTGGGCGGCCTCTGCAGTCTGATAGAGATGTATCGATGCGCCCATGCGGACGCCGTACCCAGGCCTAGTACGGATGATGTAAGGTCAGCTTTGGGGCATGACTCGAAGTGCGGAAAGCCCAAGTCTTGTCTCATTAGCCCTGTCCACCGCTGCTCAACCTCCACCTCCGGTATCCATCAATCCTCGTAACCGACCTCTTTCAGACTGTATCTATTTCCACGAGCACGGTGGCATCGTCGACCTTTATCCTTATTATGCAATCATGACATGAGCGTGAACCCCAAACGTTACGCGGCGATTGTCCTCTCTCTGCCGTTCCTTCCGCAAACTTCTTAGCGCCTCAGACTGTCGAGCTGCGCCTCGTCCTGCGGGACCACCGAGACTGGCTTCTTACGAATACGACCTAAACCTCACTCAGAAACTCCTGTGGTGAAGAGATCGGACAGTTAAGATACATCAAATCAATTCTCTTTCGGGAGGTGAATACTTCTGGCGATCGTCCATCATCGCTTCTTGTTCACAATACTACCCCGCCGCTGAGCTGCCGCAGGCTCGGTACTTGGGTCGCCTGTCGGGGGTCAAGAGATCAAGATGCCTGAAGCAAATATGCCTGCGTAGGTGTTCTTTTCAGATATAGGATGGCGAGAGCATGCTAACCTTTTGCCTAAAAGCGAGCCCAATCTGCGCGTCACGAGTATGTCCAGTCCTTTCTGGTACCGAATCCTTGAAACTGACCGCACGATCTAGTCATCGCGGCTGACGGCCTATACAAAAGAGACGTCTTCAGTAAGTCAACACTAGACGGGAACAATCCTCTGCTGTTACTAATGGAGAGCCAGGATTTCCCGACCCGTTTGCGGTCGCGACCATTTCAGGAGAACAAACGAGGACCACCTCGGTCATTAGGAAGACATTGAATCCCTACTGGAATGAGTCTTTTGATATGTTGGTGACACCTTCCCTCGATTAGCACAGTCCTTTTCCGTTGACTATGACGCAGGAAAGTCACGGAAGACAGCATCCTGGCTATACAAATTTTCGATCAAAAGAAATTCAAGAAGAAGGATCAAGGATTCCTCGGTGTCATCAACATTCGTATTGGCGATGTTATCGACCTGGACATGGGCGGAGACGGTAGGGTGTTATATACGCTTTCTGCTAGATGTTTGCTAATCCACAGCAGAAATGCTGACTCGGGATCTTAAGAAGTCCACCGATAATCTCGTCGTCCACGGCAAGTTGATCGTGAACTTGTCCACTAACCTGAGCACGCCGGCTCCAAATCCACAAAATCGACCTCCACCGAGCACTGCCTCCAGCGTCAACGGGTCTACCTCGCTTGGGAGCAGCACCAACGTTAATCAAACACTGCCCGTCAGAGCCCGAAGCCCTGCGCCATCCCGGACTGCCACATCCGGATCAGGAGACGCAAGAGCGTCTACAACCGCGGTGAACGGAATCGGTGCACAGTCTGCGGCCAACGGAGGAGGGAGAACTGGGGGATTCAGCTCATTCGAAGATAGTCAAGGACGTCTACCGGCTGGATGGGAACGCAGGGAGGATAATCTTGGCCGAACGTATTACGTTGACCACAATACCAGAACAACCACTTGGACCAGACCATCGAACCATATGAGCGAAGCCGAATCTCGCACCCGCATGGAAGCCAATATGCAGGTGGAGCGACAACGACATCAAAACCGTATGCTTCCTGAAGACCGCACTGGTGCCAATTCACCGAACCTTCAGGAATCCCGCACTGGATCTCCCCAGCAGAACGCTGTAGCAATGATGGCAACGGGTGCCACAACTGCCGGAACGGGAGAGCTTCCTGCTGGTTGGGAAATGAGGCATACGCCAGAAGGCCGAGCTTACTTTGTCGACCACAATACGAGGACCACGACTTGGGTTGATCCGCGAAGACAACAGTACATTCGCATGTATGGCAACAACCCTACGGGCAACAATACCACCATCCAACAGCAACCAGTCTCTCAACTGGGACCCTTGCCCAGCGGCTGGGAAATGCGCCTCACGAACACGGCTCGTGTTTATTTCGTCGATCACAATACCAAGACCACGACCTGGGATGATCCACGATTGCCGTCGTCTCTGGACCAGGGCGTACCGCAATACAAGCGCGACTTCCGAAGAAAACTCATCTATTTCCGCTCGCAGCCTGCTTTGCGTATTTTGTCTGGCCAATGCCATATCAAAGTTCGCCGCGGCAATATTTTTGAGGATTCTTATGCTGAAATTATGAGGCAAAGCGCTACCGACCTGAAGAAACGCTTAATGATCAAGTTTGATGGTGAAGACGGTCTAGATTATGGGGGGCTGTCTCGGTAAGCGCTTTTTCTTCTTCTTAAACCTCGGACGGTCTACTAACGACAGCACAGCGAATTCTTCTTCCTACTTTCACATGAGATGTTCAATCCTTTCTATTGCTTGTTCGAGTACTCAGCCCATGACAACTACACCCTGCAAATCAACCCTCACTCCGGTATCAACCCTGAGCATCTCAATTACTTCAAATTCATTGGGCGTGTGGTCGGCCTTGCGATCTTCCATCGGCGTTTCCTGGACTCCTTCTTCATTGGCGCTTTCTACAAGATGATGTTGCGGAAGAAGGTCCAGATTCAAGATATGGAAGGAGTGGACGAAGAGTATCATAAGAACTTGACATGGACGTTGGAAAATGACATCACCGACATCCTCGATCAAACATTCTCTATTGAAGACGAACAGTTCGGCGAAACCAAGACAATTGATCTGAAACCCAACGGCCAGAACATTCCGGTCACGAATGAGAACAAGAGAGAATATGTTGAGTGAGTCGTCATGATGCTTAAATCCATTGAACCGCACGCTAACCAACTGTCTAGGCTTGTCACTGAGTGGAAAATTGTGAAGCGAGTCGAAGAACAGTTTAACGCTTTCATTACTGGCTTCAATGAATTGATACCAGCGGATCTCGTCAACGTGTTTGACGAACGCGAGCTCGAACTGCTCATTGGTGGAATTGCCGATATTGATGTTGAGGACTGGAAGAAGCACACCGACTATCGTGGCTACCAGGAGCAAGACGAGGTCATCCAGAACTTTTGGAAGGTTGTCCGAACGTGGGATGCCGAACAAAAGAGTCGTCTACTCCAATTTGCGACCGGCACCAGCCGAATTCCTGTCAATGGATTCAAAGATCTGCAAGGTAGCGACGGACCGAGAAGATTTACCATTGAGAAGGCTGGCGAGATCAATGCTCTTCCCAAGAGTCATACCTGGTACGTATTAGTCGCTGACCTTACTATTGGAAGGTCAGATACTGATTTGAATGCAGCTTCAACCGTCTTGATCTCCCGCCGTACAAGACTTACGATGTCCTCAACTCGAAACTCTCCACGGCAGTCGAGGAGACGCTAGGCTTCGGCCAGGAGTAAGAACCGTCCATCCATGTCTGGGGTCGAATTCTGTGCTTCAACGACTGGCAAGGCCCCATCAGCATTCAGACGCTTCGCCACGACGATTGAACCTGGCCACAACCATACCTAACCATTTTCACAACAGCTGCCTGGCGAAAAAGCACGAAGCACTTCCGAAGAAATCAACAAATGTCGCAGAACCTTGCGGCGGGTGCGGCCCAGGTTATGGAAGAAGCGAGGCAGACTGAGCTTCCGAGTTGTTATTCCAGCCTGGCGTCGACACAGCAATCTCCGCCGTCATGACGTTCATGTGTCAGTGGCGAGAGGTGTTAGAGACGGTGGACCCGCCAGTGGTATTGGGTTTGGACAGTCTGACGAAACAGGGAGTAAATTGGAATTGTACGAAACTTGACATGGTTGTGGTGAGTGTTGTTGCAGCAGACTGGATGGGGGACATAAAAATGACCGTTACATAAATCCGGCGTCGGTGCGCGTGTGGGCAGCCCTTGCAGACTGGAATCGTATCCATGTTGTTTCTTTATTTTCATTCGGCTGATGATTTCCTATTGTTCTCTGCCTCCGTAATCCAGCGTCGTGGTTATACCCAGCCCTTTTCCGTCTCCCGCACGCGCTTCCATGCACGGGGGTTTCCCTCTGCTCCTTCGCCTGGGACGGTTGTCGTGGGCGGCATCCCTCGTCTCGACCGTTGTATTCCACGTCTTTTCATGCTTTTCCTTTTCCCACCCAGGAAAGGCAAAGCCTTGCCGCTTTATCTTTGATTCTTTAGAAAGGGAAGTAAAAAACGGAAGGTTTCAGATAATCCTGCTGTTATCAGGCGTTATAACGTAAACATTACGGCCAGATCCACCCATCTGGAGAGTATGGCGGAGGATCATCCCCATTTTCAGCAGGGTCAAGAACCACGGAGTCGAGTCCGGGTGCCAAGTCATCGCTTTCTGTGCGCGTCAGTGTGTCGGCCGACTCTTCGCTTGACGGTTGTGGAACAGCAGCCGCTGTGGCAGAGTGTTCTCCTCCCGACGAAAGTGATTGTCGATATTGCTCCATCTTCCTCTTCAGAGCATCGGTTGATTTGCTGAGACGAAACTTTGTAGAGTCGATTTCACGATCTTCAACGCTGGAAAAAGTACTTGTGCCGGTCGTAGTCCGACGTAATTGACGCTCGTCTGAGGAGGCAAGATCGCTGTTCAGAGTGGGTATTCTCTCCAGTCCTGTATCATCAGCAGCCAAGGAGGATGCAGGACTTTGCCCGCGATCATCTTCGCGGCCAAGGGATGATCCTCTTCGATAATGGTCAATATGGCCTTGGGAGTACCACAAGTGTAGGACTTTCCGATATTCTTTGATGCTGGCGTGAAAGTCATAGTCTTCTTGCATCGCGCTTTGGGTTTCTTCATAGGTCAATTTCTGCACAAGCAGCAGCTCGAGAATGGTAGGTTTCAAAGTACACCACTCCTTGAGTCTCTCCTTTGACATGGAGGGCACCATGGCAGTAAATGAGAAGATGTCGTCTGATTTCTCGGCGTTTGTACGTGCGAAACGCAGGCCTCCAGGGTGTGTCTGATTGAGGTCCGCCAGTTGTGGTGGCATTGAGACGTGTTTACAACGGGCCCCGATCTTCAAGACAAACTCCATGCCGTACCTCCAATATCCTCTCTTTGAGTCGTATACGCTGTCACCAGTGGGAGCCGCAGATTCACCCATGAAGCTGCGGTAATTGATGGTGTCGAGATGTCTGACAAATTGAGGGATGTCGGCATCTGGGTCGCCTTTGACTGCCTCGTCGCCTCGCATTTCTCTGCGCGACATCCGCATCAATCTCAGACGTCTGCGGTTGTATTCTTCAAGATCGGCTTGACGAGAAGCAGCATTTCTGGCTCGTGCTTCGACCATCTTCTGGTTCCAATGGTGACGAGTTGTGCCTCCAATCTGCATGGGCAACGCTCTATCGCACCAGAGGCAGATTCTCCTTCGCTCCTTATCAGGATCAAGCTCAGCTCCACAATTCTTGCCATGGCAAATGGTTTCTCCAGACGAGATCGCTTCCCAATTCTGCCGGTCTTTGCATTCGAGACAGAGCCAGCCATCGTCCTTCAGAGTGCATGTGCAATAGTCTTTGGTGCTACCGTGAGGATCATGCCATTGCTTCCGTTTCGTCACTGGTTTAGAAGAATCAAGCGGAAAAGGGTGACTTTGACTGGAATTCCCTGACTCCCAGCAAGCCTTGCATAGGTACCGAGTCCGGTTCTGGAAGGTGTTCTCGTGACCTCGAGCAAAAGATGATCGTACAATACACGCTGCACAGATTGGTCTGGAGCAGTAGCGACACGGCCTTGGAGCAGAACCCTTGGTGTGAGTGCGAGACGAGCATTCGAATGGAGCTCGACTCTTGAGTCTCTGCCAGTACATTGTGGCATGTTGACCGATCTTCAGATCTTCACGAACTCGATGAGAATGTGCAGGGGTTGGGTCAATTTCCAGCGGCCTTGCGAAGCCATGGAGAACCGCACGAAGAGTGACACTGAGCCTTGCGAGAGTAATCAAGTCCCCAACAGGAAGATGCTCAGTCAGGCTGCTTGCAACAGGCCACAGTGCCAGGAGTGTTCCCAGGTCTGGGGAGGTCTCGTCGCCCATTCTTGATCGAACTCGACCCGACACACAACGGCCACGGACGGGAGGAGAGGATGATATGAAATTAGGATAATCCTACTGTTGTTTTCTGTTAGTCATGATCGGCAGGTTCCATCCAAGTCACTGTTCCCCATGGGGCAAAGAAGTTACCATGCCGTGATGGTGGCGCACCAGGAGCCCGTTTGTGCCCGAAAGATGACATGGATGATGGATACGAGAGGTTGTGCGGGCAAGGCGGGAGTGGTACGAGTAAGCACCATGATGCAGCCACGCACCTAAAGAGTGGCACCTAGGTGAGTGGCACTGAATGGCTCGATTGGATCGAGGTCGTGAGGCTGAAAAAGCAGCAAGTCGTCGTGCTCCTTTTCGGTGTGGAGAAACTGCGCACTGGAATCTACACAGTACTAGTAATCTTTTTTGCTCCAGCTTCACCTTTCATGAGCAGCGATCGATTCAGGACGGATGGAATGCGTGAACGGATGAGTTGCTAAATTTCCACCACGTCGACTACAGCAGTCGCCATTGACGCGTCGAGCTGGTGCTCTTGCCAACACCTCATCCGTCTCGACCCTCTCGATCTCTCCCGCGCGCCCAGCACAAGCCTTTGCCACAAGCCTTTGCCATGTCTCTCCAATCCTACATTGACAGTATGTCCAACTCCGTTTACACCTTTATGCTGCGCAGTTCTGACGGAGTTTACAGAAAAGGTCCTTGTCATCACTGTCGACGGGCGGACCCTTGTCGGCACACTCCTGTCCTGCGACCAAGTCACCAACATTGTTCTGAACGACACCGTCGAGCGCATCATCCGCCCTGCAGACGACCCCGAACCGAGTTCTCAGGTCAGCCATGGTCTGTACCTAGTAAGAGGTGATAATATTACCATTGTGGGCCTTGTAGATGAAGAACTGGATCACAGTATCGACTGGGAAAAGGTCAGGGGTGAAGTTATTGGCACTACAAAGCATGTGTGATTTGTCGGAAATGTCAGAGAAGAGAACACCGCGAGTCTCTCTGCAAGAACCCACCGTTCGCCTTCCTGCCAGTGAGGCGTGAGCCACAACAGAATCTCAAACGAAGTGCGAAGACTCGGCTAAGAAAAGGGCTGAAGACAAAGGCCATGTCGGCCGCCCAAGAAAATGGCATGCAAGGAATTCGGCAAGTTGGAAAGTGAGAGTTGGCCGTCTTCATCAACCACTTGAGCGACATGTTGACAGGATGGTCCAGAATCAGGGAGCTCGACTTCACGATGTCGACCGTCGCTATAAGACGATCAGTCTTGGAGATACCGCATACTGATCCAGATCGCCCAGGAGCTCTTTGTCCTTCTTAGGCTTTACAGCGACCACCTGTCGTGGAAGGCACAACGCTTCACAGCTATGGCCTAGGACAGGTCCATCTTACCATATCGACCTGAACAACGGAGCAGAAGTGCTTGCTTCCGAACGCGGATTAACCCTGGCCAAACAGGATGGGAAATTATCCTCATCTCATCGACCAATCTATATATCTTCAACCACCTCATTCCTCTCGTCACAACCCCCGTGCAGCATCATAGCATTCTCTGGTCCGCAATTCTTAGGACTCCTTTCCGCTTGTAGCCTAGATCCTCGGGCAGACTCAGTAGGTGAAGCGGAAAGCCGGGTGGTCATCACCGAGGTTACGCTTCTCGTCTTCCGGCAACTGATACCTGTCGTCTCTTCGGCCTTCATCGCGCAGTCGATTCTCCCTTCTGATATAGAAGAAAAGTATGATGGCGCTGAGGACACATAGCCACACAAGGGCAAGACCCAGGCCAAAGCCAAGATGGTACGTCGGCGCCTGGCTTGAAAGAAACATGTTACTGCAGAAGGTCAGTCTCATTTCTGGATAGTTCTCTTTTTGGGGGAAGACACTCACGATGCCACAATGCCGCCACAATTGCCAAATCCTACCATCAAAGCACTACTCACCCCGCGCTTGTAGTGTCCAGACATGTTGTTGTTGACCCACACAAGCGTGATGGGTTGAGCAATGTAACCTCCACAGATAATTAAGTAGAGGGCGAAATAGCGAGCACCAACCGCCACATGTCGCATGTTCAACAAGATGACATATCCGATGGTCGTTACTACGCATCCCGCGAGGATGAATCCAAAACGATGGCGTAGCTTGTCGCTCAATACAGCTGCCGTGAGAGCGAAAATGGTTGCCGCCACGAAGATGGGGATCGACATCACTTGAGCATGGATCGAGGTCCAGCCCAGTTGTTTGAGGATTGTCGGCGTGAACAGTGCTCCACTGTAGCTGGTTGTAACTATTCCCAAGTACATCAAAATACTATCAAGGTCAGCTCCCAGTTATGAGCGAAAGAATGGAATGCAATACTGACCCGAGGTAGATCTTGATGTCACCAAAGACACGCTTCGCAGTCTTCTTATTCCAATGGCTCATAGTCGCGTCTTTGACGTCCAATGCAAGGCGACGTATAAGAAGCTCCCGCTCTTCGTTCTTGAGGAATTTCGCTGTCTCCGGCCAATCCGGCAGGATCCAGAACGAGAAGATTGCAACGACGACGGTAAATATGCCTTCGAGTATGAAAATCCATCGCCATCCGGCGTAGCCACCAATGCCTTCCATATGAGCGATAGCGTAAGCAAGAAGGCCGCTGAATGCCCCGGCAATGATCGACGCGGAGAAGAAGAGGTTGAACCGCCATTGGAGTTCGTGGCGTTTATAGAACCTGAACCCGGTCAGCGGAAGGTTTGGTATGCCTCAAGAACATTTACTTACATCGAGATCAGGTAAAGACAGCCTGGAAAAAAACCTGCCTCGAGCGCCCCGATGATGACTCGACAAACCACGAGGCCGGCGAAGGACTGTGTAACTCCTTGACAAACTGTCACGACACCCCAGAATACCATGACGGTGCTGATAAAAATGGACGGCCGAATTTTCTTCAGAAGGACCTTCTTTATGTTCTTCGTCCCGGAAGCTCGTGTGAACTCCAGCGTCTCCAAGAAGCAAATTGCAGGGCACTTCAAGGAGGATATATGGAACGAAGAACATGAACAGTGCAATGTTGTAATCTGAACCTTGCAAGTTGAGGTCCTTCTCAAGTCCCTGAATACGGGCATTGCCGATGTTGATACTGTGAAAACGAAGTGTTAGCGATGATTGAGCCTACATGACAGCCTGGCCTTACCGGTCGATGAAAGCACAAAGGAAGAGTAGGAAGGTGATGGGAATCAGGTTGAGATCGGTCTTCCATAGAAGCTTCTTCTCAAGAGCCGGGTCGATGTTGAGATGGGCTTCCTTAAGACTGACGGTATTGCTTTCAGCCTTTTCGACAGGAACATCTTCGATCTCCGAGCGATCACGAGTCTTGTCCGCCATGGTCACAAACAATCCGCTTGGAATGAAGAAAGCTGTGCAACGAAGGACGGAGGACTCTTGATGATTGACGACTTGGTTCCAATAAAAATGTTCACTAGGAGGGGAAAAGCAGTAATCGAGGACGCTGAGGAACAGCCCGATATGTAAATTCTTCTGTTCAGGGTCATTTGGTGGCATCGTGATTCACCACTAACCGAACAGACAGGAGCCGAGGATACTTCCCGCGAAAGATCATCCACGGTGATTCCGCCCATGGCGTCCAGTCAACTCTTACCATGCTTCTGGGGTTGCATTAGCCGCTGTTGCATCTGCGGAGTTAGTGGCAACTCTCCACGTTCGCTGACGCTTGGTTTGTAGCTTGCTTGGTCTTCCCTGGAGGGTGAGATCCGTGCTTTGTCGAGCGCAGGAGAGCATCGAACAGCAACGGCATGTCAAGAAACAGGAAACTAAATGCTCAACATCCAAATGCGAGCGATGAGCGTGATATCTGCACGTAACCGCCTGTCGGCGCGGTCCAGGAACATGTCCAAAAGTCTTGTGCAACATCAAGCATCCAAGTTTTGAGGTGGCCACGGGGACATTGGCTGGCAGTACGAGCTACTAACTAGCTCCAGAAAGGAACCATCGGAGAACCAGGTATCGATCCGGGCTCGCGGGGCACCCGCAGCAAACTCCGCAACAGTCTATGAAACTCTCCCGTGAGTAGCGAATCCTATTCCCTTCTCAGTGCGCAAGCCAAACACACGACTCTGCAGTTGGAGCTCCGGTGATTGAAAGACCCTGGACCTTGATAGGGAGAGTGTGCGGAATTGTCACCATTTGCACGGAAACGAAGACCGCCGTGTACTCGTAGTGGCAACCAATCCCAGCGGCATCATTCATGGTATCCCAAAAGGACGGGTACGCCCAAAAACACAATTTCCCGTCGGTCACTAAACCTCAACCAGCAATATTCCTGTGTGCTTCAAGGGTATACCGCAGGTACATGTACATTCCCTGATGGCAGATGCCCTTATCATAGCCCGAACTTCTGCTGCTGCCCTGGCAGGCATTTCCGGGACCAAGCAGCTATCCAGCTGGGGTTTACTTGCGCACCATGCAAGTGCCCGAAACTGCTGCCGGCCAGCTTGTTAAGCGAGAGACCAGATCTTGAAGTGACCGAGAAGCCTCGTCACTCCGGAAGAAGACAACTACATGGGATTCGGGTGCAATCTCGATAAATTGAAGGCGCACCTGGCGGATGCAAGGACAGCAGGACTACCAGCATTGGCATTGACTTATCTTAGCTACGTTGAAAGGACAAGCCCGACAATTCGACGACGATTAGCAGCAGCACCAGCTCACGATCCTATTCCGGGCTCTACTGAGACACACGTGCACACTGTACCTGATGATCATGCAGCCTGTTTGAAACCGTGGGTCTATGGTCGCGGACAAAGGCAGAGAGCTGAGAGGTGTCTCTTACTCTGGCCACGAACGAGGCTGAGCTTGATCAGAAGGGGCTCTTCTGGGCTATTCTCTTCCACCAGCTAACTTACAGTGTTCTGCCATCTTCAGACTGGTGAGGCCAGGATTGTGCCTGGACGAACGCGTCCCCAGAACAGAGCATTTGTCTTCCCGTGGTTTAGAGTAACAGCCCGCTTCTTCTGCCGTGCTGTCTTGCCGGTACGGGAGGACTCCGTAGAGTGTTTGGATCTTGGGAATGCCTCTCTCGCGATTGCGCACCCTTCCTTCGACCTCGGTTCGAGTACGAGGCTGGTCCTTGGCTCCCCGGGTTTGGGCAATTCTCATCCCCCTTTTGGACCTGGTGCTCGTTCCGAACCCCCTGGAAGGCCAAGTAAGTCGTCGCTCTCGTGTCAAAACTTCTCAAGAATCTTTCGATACGATATCGATAACGGAAAGAAGGGTGCTCTTTTCTGTGTCGGTCTATGGGAAAGGAAAGCTCCTATCGGCGCTGCCTGGCAGTCTAGGAATTGTCTGGCACCTATCTGGGAATCTAAATCTGGTAATGTAGCCCTGGGTGTAGGTGTGAATCCCCCTCTGACCCGAGTGGCAATCGCCACAAGCTGTAAATCTTAAACGTCTATTCTATTTTGCATTTCGCCAAAAGTCCCTCCCAAGGCTTCAATGGGATCTTCCCCTTTTGCGGCTTATCAGGCTGATCCTTGATATAGGTACTACAAGCCCAGAATTCCACCTTGAGGGATTCAGGCAAGGCCCATTCAACGTCCTTCCCTGAGAAGTTCAGCACTACCAGCCATCTCTCACCAGACTGGCTTGTCCGACCATATGCAAGTATGGTGGGGTCTTCGGGAGAGATCTCCTGGTAGTCGCCGTACACAAAGACATCAGCATGCTTCTTGCGGTTCTGGATGCCTCGCTGCCAGAATTGCCATGTTGACAGTTCGTTGTCGGATTCAAACTTCATCTGGTCTTCAGCGTTGATGCCTTGCTTGTAGTCATCCATCACGCGCATCCAGGGCTTGACGCCAGGTGGGCAGAAGCCCGCATTTTCCTGATTGTTCCACTGCATCGGGGTGCGCGCGTGGTCTCTGGCTTTCATATGGATGATCTTCCTCCCGTGTTCGAGCTGTTTGGGGTTGTCCTTGTATATCTGCTTGCACTTCTTCCAGTAATTGATGGTCTCGATGTCTTTGTATTCTTCCTCGATGCTCCATTCCGTCGGGGCGTTGCGCATGCCGATTTCTTCGCCCTGGTACACGAACAGTGTCCCGCCGAGAGTGGTCTGCATCAGCGCGAGGAGCTTGGCGCTCTTGTCGCGCCATTCGTCACTGTCGTCGGCATACCGGGTCACGCTGCGCGGATTGTCGTGGTTCTCGATGAACACGCTGTTCCAGCCATCGCGCTCGATCATGCAGCGCTGCCAGCGCGAGATGATGGATTTCATCTCCTTGACGTCCCATGGCTTCAGGGCCATGCGCACGTTGGGCTTGTCAATGTCGACGAGATCGAAGATGAAGATCATGTTCAACTCGCCGGCGTTGGCACCGACGGTGCGCAAAATCTCGTTCTCGTCGGAGACGCCGGGCATTTCGCCGACTGTGATGGTGTCGTATTTGGAGAGCACTTCACGGTGCATTTCCTGAAGATAGTCGTGGAGCCTGGTATCTCGTTAGTGTTGCTGTGATCAAAAGGAAGGCCTGGGCTTACTTGGGACCGTTCACAAAAAACTGCGTGCCTGGCTGGTACCGGTGGCTGGCCGGGTCCAGTACGACTGGTGCATCAGGATAGGTTGGGACTTTGGAGATCATGTTGATCACGTCCATTCTAAAGCCTGCGACTCCACGGTCCAGCCAGAACCGCATCACATCCCAGACCGCCTCACGAACCTCGGGATTCTCCCAATTCAGGTCGGGCTGTTCGGGCGTGAAGACAGACAGATAATACTCCCCTGTTTGGTTGTCGTATGTCCAAGCCGAATTTGCCTCTCCAAGGATCTGAGCCCAGTTGGTCGGCGGTTCGGGGACGCCTGCGTCGCTGACAGACTTGGGCGGTTTCCAGATATACCAGTGTCGCTTGGGATTGGTCTTGGATGATCGGCTCTCGAGGAACCATTCATGCTCGTTGGACGTATGGTTGACCACCAGGTCCATCATCAGTTTCATATCGCGCTTCTTCAGCTCGGAGACCAAGTTGTCCACGTCGTCGACTGAGCCATAGATGGGGTCGATCACTTTGTAGTCGGCAATGTCATAGCCCATGTCGGCTTGTGGAGATTTGTAGATGGGTGATGTCCAGACGACGTCGATGCCGAGCTGTTTCAGGTAGTCGACTCGGGCTGTGATGCCCTTGACATCACCCCAGCCATTCCCAGTGGTGTCTTGAAACGAAGATGGATAGATCTGGTAAATGACGGATTCTTTCCACCATTTTCGCGTGGCGTAGCTGGATGATTTCGACATGCTGGCCGTAACAAGTGAACGTGCCGGTCAAGGAGAGGCAGGACAACACGAAAGGAAGAAAGAAGAACCCGAAGACACAAGTATTTTCTCCCTGGGCGACTGGACTCACCGCTTCATGAAACATTGATGACCTTTTCTTTTTGAATCATCCATTATCCATTATTACATTTGAATTCTCCGGGAGAATCACCGACGACATGGCGTCATGGCCTGATATGGAAATGCTTGCCGCTGATCGTGTCTGTGTCTGCGTTTTCCTCTTCCTTCTCCTTGGTTGTTTCCTTCGTGGGTGTAGAAGACACGTCTTCAACGCTGGATGAAGTGTCATTGCAGTAAGAATGACAGTACTAGTAGTCAACAGTCTGCCCATAGACAGCGGTCTGGAAATGCGGAGGTCTTCTTGTATCTTTCCGTCCATAGCCGTCAAGCCGTCCACGCAAACTTGCTACAACGGAAGACGGAATTGCTCCGAGTTCGACGTCCATCCATTCCATGTCGGTTTTCTTAGATCAATTCCCACCGAGAAACAAAACATTGAGAGTCGACTTGCATCCAACACTTGAAGTGACGGTTAGTACTACTACTGAGCAAGAGATCACAATGCCGTCACTCAAGTCGTGGTTTCCAATCCCCAAGAACAGCCACTTCTCTCTGGCCAATTTGCCGTTTGGCATTATTTCAACAGCATCCAAACCAACTCCGCGGCCGGCAGTCGCCATTGGCGATCATTGTCTCGATCTTCAGGAATTTTCAGCTTCTGGGGCGTTTTCTTCGTTGGGCTTCGATGTGTCGGTCTTCTCAAAGCCTACCTTGAACGACTTTGCGGCTCTAGGCAGACCAGTCCATGGCTCAGTCAGGAAATTCCTCCAGGATGTCTTCGCTGAGAACAGCTCAAATGCCCAGGTTTTGCAGAACAATAAGAGCCTCCAAGGCAAATGCCTGATTCCGCGCGACGGAGTCACGATGCATCTACCAATGCAAATTGGCGACTATACGGATTTCTACGCTGGAAAGAACCACGCCTTCAACGTGGGCTGCCTTTTCCGTGGACCAGATAATGCTCTGCAACCGAATTATACGCATCTGCCTGTGGGCTACCATGGAAGAGCGTCATCAGTTGTCGTCTCTGGCACCCCGATCACTCGGCCAAACGGCCAAATCCTGGAGAACCCGGCTGCTACGCCTAAAGTGCCGACTTTCAGTCCTTGCAAGCGACTGGACATTGAACTAGAGTTGGGGGCTTTCCTTTGCAAAGGCAATAAAATGGGCACCAATATCCCTATATCGGAAGCTGCAGACCACATCTTTGGCTTTGTCCTCCTCAACGACTGGTCAGCCCGAGATATTCAAGCTTGGGAATATGTGCCCTTGGGACCGTTCCTGGCCAAAAACTTTGGCTCCACCATCAGCCCGTGGATTGTTCTGGCGGATGCTTTGGAACCGTTCAGATGTACTGGTATCCCGAACGATACGCAATTGCTACCTTATCTCCAAGAGAAGGAGGAAAAGAACGTCTACGATATCAAGTTGCAAGTGGATATCACACGTAAGTCTGAGTCTGACGCCAGGAGAGAACGTCTCTTTGATTACGAGTACATGCTGACTTGGTTTCAAACAGCCGATGGAGGCGAAACGACGACCATCTTGAACTCGAACGGACGAAATTTGTTGTTTTCATTCGCGCAAATGCTCGCTCACCACTCTATCGGAGGGTGTCCCATGGCTGTGGGAGATATGCTAGGCTCAGGCACTATCAGTGGGACGGAGCCAGGCACTGAAGGTAGTATGCTTGAGATAAGCAAAGGGGGCAAGGAGACCGTCAAGCTGAATGGCGGAGTCGAACGGAAGTTCTTGCAAGATGGTGACACTATCACTATGTACGGTGTCTGCGGCACAGAAGAGACTGGACTGGTGGGTTTTGGCGAATGTACGGGCAAGATTCTGCCCGCTCCTAAGCTTTGAATCTAGACGTCGTACTCTGGGACCTTAGCACGAGTGTGTCGACTTGGCCTCTCACGGCCTCTGTTGTCAGTCGGCAAAAAAGCAGCGTGAGAATTCATTCCGCTCTCTGGAGTCAGAGTCGAGAGTCAGACGATGAACCAACCACTAGTGAGATTAAATATTGATTTCAGTGACTATCCCCGGATTCGCTTGGAGAGTCCAGCTTTCTCCACGTTTGTGCGCCCTCGTTGATCAGGCCTGACGGGCACATTCCGCACTCTGTGAGATCTTCCAACTCCGCCCTTACAACCCCTCCCAGCGACATTCACAGGGTCACAGGGTGTCAGTGAGCGTCACCGATGGTAAGCGGCTGACGCGGGGAATGAGAACCTCGATGGCCGAGCTTCGTCCAGATGCCTCCACCCTGCTTCACGTTCAGTTATATCGATGAAGACGATATAATTCAAGCCACGCACCCTTTGTTCATGTAGGTCCAATCACTTCAATCGAAAGCTTTTCGATAGCATCAAGTGTTCCATTGCATTGTGAATTGACGCGGCTCCTCCATTCAGTGGAAAGAGCCCTTCAAGAGGCCGCCTGAGCAGGGAACATAGTCCAAGACGAATAGCTTGAACGCTATCAGCCAGGATGCTTGAAGCACTATCTCCCACCACGCTCTCATTCCTCTTCCTTGCATTGGCCTATTTCCTGATCAGGTTCCTGAATTCCACCGACCAACCGAAGATCAAGGGTCTGCCTGAAGTCCCCGGGGTTCCGCTCTTCGGCAACCTCCTGCAACTCGGCGAGGACCATGCTCGAGTGACTGCCGCTTGGGCAAAAAAGTACGGCTGGCCCGTTTTCCAGACTCGGCTGGGCAATCGACGTATTATATGGGCGAATACCTTTGACTCGGTTAAACACTTCTGGATTAACAACCAATCGTCCTTGATCTCACGGCCAACTTTGTATACCTTCCACAGTGTTGTGTCGAGTAGCCAGGGCTTCACCATTGGCACCTCGCCATGGGACGAGTCGTGCAAGAAACGCCGCAAGGTGGCGGCCACGGCTCTGAACAGGCCCGCCGTGCAGAGTTATATGCCTTTCATTGACCTCGAGAGCTGTGTGGCGATCAAGGATATGTACAAGGACTGCATGGACGGGACGGTCGACCTGGATCCCCGAAAGTACTTCCACCGGTTTGCGTTGAACACCAGTCTCACATTGAATTATGGTATCCGTATTGATGGCGGTATTGACCAGGAACTATTGAGAGAAGGTGAGAATCATCCTCGGATTTGTGGTTGCTAGCTGATGACAATTGTCGCCAGTCGTGCACGTTGAGCGAGTTGTGTCCAACTTCCGCAGCACGTCTAACAACTGGCAAGACTATATTCCTCTCCTTCGACTACCCTTCATCTCTCGACAGAATAAATCGGCGGCCGAGTACCGAGCACGCCGGGACAAGTATCTCACCACTTTCCTCGATATGCTCAAGGACCGCATCGCCAAGGGCACAGACAGGCCCTGCATCACTGGCAATATCATCAAGGACCCCGAGGAGACGCTCAACGATGCGGAATTGAAGTCGATCTGTCTGACCATGGTCTCAGCTGGTATTGATACCGTGCCCGGCAACATGATCATGGGGCTGGGGTATCTTGCTTCACCCGAAGGTCAGCACATCCAGCAGAAGGCATACGACGAGGTCATGAAAGTGTATCCCAACGATGGCGAGGCATGGGAGAAGTGTCTGGTGGAAGAAAAGGTTCCCTATATCACGGCTTTGACGAAGGAGATTCTCCGCTTCTGGACCGTCATTCCGGTCTGCCTGCCGCGAACCAGCATCAAGGACATCAAGTACAACGACGCCGTCATACCGGCCGGTTCTGTCTTCTACATGAACGCCTGGGCGGCAGACTACGACGAAACACATTTCAAGGACCCCACCAAGTTCTTGCCGGAGCGGTACCTGGACGATCAGGAGGGCAGTGGCACGCCGCACTATGGCTACGGTGCGGGCAGCCGTATGTGTGTTGGCTCACATCTCGCGAATCGAGAGATCTACACTGCGTTTTTGAGGATGATTGTGGCCTTTGAGTTTGTGCCGGCCAAGGACAAGAAGGACTGGCCCATCCTCGATGCGCTGGAGTGCAACTCCATCCCGACGGCCTTGACCACGGAGCCCAAGCCCTTCAAGGTGGGCTTCAGGATCAGGAACAAGGCGGCTTTGGACGCCTGGATTCGTGCGAGTGAGGACAGAACAAAGGACTTGTAATGAAGGACTGCATGGCTTTGGTGTTGAAGTGGAATGGGCAAGCACCTAGGAAGATCTTCTAATTCGAAGACGAGCGCTGGACTTTTGGTTTTTCAGCGTCACGAACAGGAGGCTGGGGATTGATCGGTTGCTTGCTTCTTTGTGTGTGAACACCGTAGCGGTTTGAGGAGCTTGTTTCTGCCTTACCACAGATCTTCATCGTTCCCTTCACGTTGAGTGGATGAACCAAACAAACCTTCGGTTAGAGCAATGAGTGACTCTTCACGAAAGGGAAGAGGGTCAAATTTTGCGCACAAACCTGAGGACCTCAACTATGTATATTATTGAGCATTTCATCAATTCCCTCTTGCGATGTAAACCTTCCAATTTTTGTACCGTGCTGGAAATTATACCTCCCACTCCTTGCACAATCTATACTTACATCAGCGACCGACGCATTCACCTACGCGTCCGACCAGCCTGACCACAGAAGAGAACCTGGGGGCGGTTACCCGCGACATTTTCGCTCGGCTTCCCTGTGCTTCCACAACATCCAGCTGCACCAAATCAGCATGCCGAGCGGTCAAGCCCGTCCACGATGCTATGCTACGGAGCATGTGCATTGGTGGGACAGAAACGAGATCATTCAGGTCACCAAGGAGGCTTTAGAGCAGTGGAGGAGAGAAAAACTGAAATATGCGCAAGGTAAGTAATCAGTTCGATGACATGCATGTCAGCAGATGTGAGCATAGTTGCAGGTTGTGTGATAGAGAGCACAAACGCACCCAGCAACGTGCTCGATAGGAGAATGCACTTCGGTGCTGCCCTACCGTGTTTGCGGCGAATTCAGATACCGGCAGAAGCCGAAGATATGGACACGAGAGCCCGTAGGTGGAAAGTGCCGTTGGGATTCCCTGCATGATAATGAGTTCTGCTTTGCCGATATCGTCGGCACTGTCAACGAAGAGTATTGTGTGGGCGTGAAGAGCCGTTCCACCGGATGTCAGGAAGGAGATGGCCGCGCAGTGGTGCTGAGATCGTGAAGCCCTGTTTTGCCACACGACCGTTGCTCTTGGCCTATGTTGCCGAGTCTCCTACTATGCCATGATAGTCGACCAGTCGACAGCGAGGTTTTCCGGCATTTGCGCGTCGATAGCCTATTTGCTGGCGAGCAGGTGACGAGATCGTCGTGTCCATCAAGTCAACAACGTGCTCCGGTTGCTTCGAGAACAAAGTCGGAACGGTGGCGATCGACTGGCGGTCTTGCTGGCGTCACTGCGCTTTTATTCTGGCAGAAGTTGAGAGGTCAGTGCTGAATAAGGCTGCATGGACATGCGTCATTATTGATTTGCTGGGTGCCATGCACAAACCAGGTGAGTACTGTGTATGCCCCTCCCGCCCTCCTCGAACACTGGGAATTTTCCAGAACGCTCAGGCTGATCATCAGGCTCGTCAGGCTCTCTTCAGGCACTCGTGGGTTGCCCCTCGGCCATGGATTTCCGGGCCAGAGTATCCGCCTAAATTCCAGGAAGGCCAGCCGCCTAGGACCCTGTGTCGTTTATTTTTGAACCTGAAACGGTGTCAGACTCGACCAGAGGATTCAGGCCTGGTAATACCACTATTGTCAGGGTGAAGCATCAGACAACACTCTGCAAACAATACTGTTCGCAGTATTGTCTTGCATGGCACTATTATTCTTTGTGCCCTGAGTGCCTGACCAAGACCCAAGACGCAATAGCGGCACGGTCGGCATCGCTGGTGTGGGCGAGAGTGTATCGCCCCGGTTTTCTGGATGGCGGGCTGCAAATCATCGATGAAGCCTGGGAAGCCTGGGAAGCAGACATGCCGCGTCTTCCAGGCGCTGGTTACGCCCCCCCAACGCCTAGCGAAGCCTCATTCCGCAACTGCGCCAGCCATCAGCCACTCACAGATTGAGCTGCCCCTCCTGATCGAGCCCTCCTTTGCGACCATCCCGTTTCTATCTTGAGTGGTCACGGCACCTTGCCCATCATCGGACCGTTCTACTCTCAATCGAGGCAATCTTCTCGCCCTCTGTCGGAGGCCGGCCCCTCCAGCAGAACCCACTTGTGCCCTGGGTCGGCGTGGAACTTGCTTTAGCTGCGATGGAGTGTTGTGTCGCCAATTTCATTCATATTCCTCTCCCCACGGAATCGATTCCCTCATTTTCCTGACCTGCATTCCGCACTCTCCTCTCTGACGGTTCATGAATCTCCCTAGGCGATCAGACGACGGCACTTCCTACCATGCAGGGCCTCAAACGTCTGCAAGAAGCCATCGAGCGGCACCGAGAGAACAAGGACATCAATATCAAGTACAAAACTCCCCTCACCAGTAAGTCTGAGTCAACCCGCCAAGTAGCCTGCGTTCTCCTCTCTTTACTCCGCATCTCACTGACATCTCGCTCACGGCAGTCCGCAACGTAAACACCTTCACCGACGAGCAAGCCATCGACGATGCCTGTAACCCAATTCGCTGTGACCGACACGTACGAATATCTGAATGGGTTCGGGGGATCCAAAGAGTGGGCGCTCCCCCAGTACTGTGCTCAGTAGGACACTTGACTGACACTCGGCTACAGGAGTGAAGCCTTAAAAGGTGCTTTGCCCTTGGCGGCGAACTCTCCCCAAAAATGTCCACTCGGACTCTACACTGAGAAGTTGTCTGGAACCGCTTTCACCGCTCCACGAGACGAGAATCAGCAGTCATGGCTCTACCGAATTCTACCATCGGCCAGTCACCAGAACTTCGAACCCGTCCCCGACTCCTCCCCAAATTCCCTCACCTCTACCACGCCCAGTTTCGGCAAACACTTCAATGCCATTCCGAATCAGCTGCGATGGGATCCATTTGATTTCGACCGGGAGTCGTCATGGATCCACTCACTGCACCTGGTGGCAGGTGCAGGTGACCCTACCATGAAACAAGGACTCGGGATGTACATCTATGCCGCTGGTTCCACAATGCCCGACAAGTCGGCCTTTTACAGCGCAGACGGAGACTTCCTGATTGTGCCGCAACATGGCGTCCTAGACATCCGAACCGAATTCGGCAAGATGCTGGTGCGACCGAATGAAATCTGCGTCATTCCACGGGGCATTCGTTACCACGTTGCACTGCATGACAATGAGCCAGTGCGGGGATATATCATGGAGCTATACCAAGGACATTTCAAATTGCCCGAGCTGGGTCCAATCGGCTCGAATGGGTTGGCCAACGCACGCGACTTCCAGACACCCGTGGCCGACTTCATCGAAGACCACGAGAATACCGAGTGGACACTCTACGGCAAGTTTGGAGGCAACCTATTTGCGGCCAAACAGTCGCACACACCCTTCGATATCGTGGCCTGGCACGGCACTTACTATCCTTACAAATACGATCTAGGCCGATTCAATCCTGTGGGCAGTATCTCCTACGATCATCCTGATCCGTCTATCTTCACTGTTCTCACTGCACCGTCGATACCTCATGGAGCGGGTACAGCGGTGGCAGATTTTGTTATTTTCCCACCTCGGTGGTTGGTTGCTGAGAACACCTTCCGACCACCGTGGTATCATCGCAACACCATGTCCGAGTTTATGGGCTTGATCATGGGCAACTATGATGCCAAAGGTGCTGGGAAAGGTGGATTCCAGCCGGCTGGAGCCAGTTTACACAATACCATGAGTGGGCATGGACCAGACATGCAGACATTCGAAAGGGCGTCAACAATGGAATTGGCGCCACAAAAGGTGGGAGAGGGCAGCATGGCGTTCATGTTTGAGAGCTGCTTGATGGTTGGCGTTACTGAATGGGGTTTGAAGACTTGCCAGAAAGTGCAAGAGGTGAGTCCGCCGCAGCATTGAATTCGTGTAGACACGTACTGATCTGCTTGCAGTCATATAATGCTCATTCCTGGGGACCTTTGAAGGTTCATTTCAAGCGACCGGAAACGTCGCGAGGTGTTGGTAACGACGAAAAGAAAAACGGCGTGGGTGATGCTAAAGATATGAGCAGCGTCCATGATATCAAGGGCAAATGAAAAGAGAGGCTATTGACTGGATGCTATACACGTATGAGATGGGTAATGTCATGATATTGATGCTTCAAAGGACCTGCCTGTACCTAATATTTGTTGGCCTTTGTGAACAATCACAACGTTCAACATGCTTTCGAGAGTAAAGCCCAGTGTCCATGATTTACGGTGATTATCACGACGACTTATCTTGAAACCCTAAGCTAAACCATCGCCAACAGGACTGTTCCGTATGATTTCTTTGAAGTCTTATGTTTCGGACAAACAACCTAACTTTCTTTTCTATGCCCCATTCCAAAGCAAGTCCATCTCAGTTAGACGCCACAATGTGCATAAGGGAGGGTAATGTCACGTGCCAGCACCCAGCACGAATAGGGCTGCATGAGTTCTACGTCAGCACGTGATTTCACAGGGCAGAATTTGCTTGCAGGAGAATATGTCAATTCAATTCATATATTTATTACTCCAATTTTTCACCATCAAATGAGCCATGGCATCATCCGACACCGGCAGCCATCAACCAGGACGCGTGGCGAAATGGTATCGCGCTTGACTACGAATCAAGAGATTGCGGGTTCGAATCCCGTCGCATCCTTCTCTTGTTCTGGGTTTCCCAGCTCTTCCCTTTTTTTTTTCTCTTTCCTGCGCAGCGCAGCGCAGCGATAGTACGAGTATATTGGTGCGATAAATAAAGCTAGTGTAACTCCTCCTAGAGATATATCCCGAGTATAGGGGAAATATGCGAGGAAACAGACCAGCGGCCGTGAAGGCGAAGGCACTACTATACTCCGTCAATATTCAGTAATTCCCTAGGAGTACGAGCTCCCAAGCAATCACGTCCGGAGCACATGAAGGGCGGGGAGACGCAGAAGTCTCTTTGGGATTGTCACGGATTGTCCTGGTGATAGTTGGGATGTCGCTCCAATCACATCTTTGTTCGGCACACGTGCTTTGCCAATTGTGCAGTGGTTTCCTTCCACACAGATTCTTCCAACCACTGACACCATCTCGTGCCTCTTCCCACCACCCAGCTCACCCAGGTGCCCCCCATGTTTTCGTGCCGCCATCTCATCCACGACCATCTCAAATACGCCATGGCCTTTTTGCTCCTATCATCGATGACCCAGGGCACACGAGGGTTCGCTGGCCTCTATCCTGGTGTCGTGTGCTCTTACACGTGCCCATATCCGACTGTCTCGGACGACGGTTTCAATTGATGCTCGACTTTTGCAAACCACCATGCTTTCGCTTTCCTGTCTACCTGCTCTTTTCCTGGCTACATTATTACATTGTGTCCCTCCCTGCCGGTCTTACCTATTGCCATGATTTTCTATCTTCGACACCCTGACCTTCTATGTGCTGTCCTGCCCTGAAACACTCTGTTCGCCACCAGAGCATCCCCTCGCGTGCCTCTGTCACCTACACCCCTTGGGCTCTCGAACTGTCTCTCACTCCGGAAGTCATCACTCTGCTAGGAGCGTGAACGGGTCTTACCTCTTCCTTTACTTGTTCTCCTGAGTTTCGACAATTATGCCCCGTCCAAGACCACCTCCCACCCCAACAGGATCAACAGACCTCAAAGCACTGGAGAAGGCAGTACAGTCTTCAGACATGGAATCCATGTTTACACTACCACCTCCAGCATTGAGATCGAACGAGAATTCAACGCAGAGCAACCTTGCGAAAAGCAATTCTCGAGAGAATACAACAGCCTACTCTCAAAGCACGCCCCCAGTCTCTCCTCAGGACAAGCCACTCGCCTCAAGTCCTCGACATAAACGCACTGCGTCCGGCGCGGTCAAGACCGGTTCTGAATCTACCGCGAGCGGGCCCTCAAACTCATCCTACGCCCTTCCTCCTCCACCCAGTCGAGCCCGAAAGATCATACAAATGAAACCCAAGTCCGCGCCCTCCCCAGACAGTGATGCCAGCTACGCCCCTCCTGCAGCTCCTACGTCTACCTCCAATCCCACCACGAAATCGGCTGGTGCTACTACAAATTCGAAGCGAAAACAACCTTCGGCCACCAGTGCTGCTGGCCGAAAGATTGCCCGCAAGACTGCGCACAGCATCATTGAACGACGAAGGCGGAGTAAGATGAATGAGGAGTTTGGAGTGCTCAAAGACATGATCCCAGCTTGTGAAGGGGTGGAAATGCATAAACTTGCCATCCTTCAAGCCGGAATTGAATATGTGCGCTATCTCGAAGGTTGCGTTGCACAGCTCAAGACAGAGAATGAGAAGCAAAAGAAGCCAGCACCGGCAGAAATGCGATTCGACGAGCAAGTCGAGGACGAGCTCGACGAAGAGGAAGAAGACGAGGAGGATATGGCTGAAGAACAACTCGAGCCCGCTCCGCCAGCCAAAGTCCGCAGCGTTCGTCATGCTGGTGCAATTCCAAACGAATGGACGTTCAGGGACTCGCGCAAGTCTTCAGTGGCCTCCCTCAGCAGTTCATCGTACCCTTCTCCGTATATAGCATCTCAAAGTCAAGGTCATGCGGACGACCAAGGCGGTAACAGGAAAAGGCCGATCCTACCGGCGGGGGTAGGCTCATATTCAGCCTCGCCATCTCAGATTTCTACGAATGTCACGTCCGCAACTCCTACCCCGACATTGCTCAGTCCAGCCTTCAATTCCATACATTTTTCACCCGACTTGGCTCGGACGCAGACGAACAGCAGTATCGGCAGGTCAACGGGTAGCGGGTCCTTGGCTGCCGCTTCGACGTCGAGCTCGTGGACGACAGTCAACCCAAGCCCGAGTATACAACCACTACCGTCGCCAAAGGCGGCAATGCACTTACCTCTACCGCATGCCGTGGCTCATTTGCAGCTGCCGCAGCCCTACAATGCCGCTCAGCATGACAGAGAGGCGCATAGCAAGTCTCCTGCCGCTTTGAGTGATGCGTCAGGTACGGCAGAGGCAACGGCTAGTGCTGCCCTGATGATGTTGACAAATGACTGGCGAGGTGCTGCTTCTGGCTCGGGTCAGGGTCAGGCTCCAGGTGAAGATGTTGTTGACAGAGGGAAAGGAATGAGTGTCAAGGATTTGCTGAGTTCGTGACATAGCCATGAGAGAGTACTGGGTGGGTTTCGAATGGCGACTGCACTATACACGAGGATGGATTTGCATATAGCTGGCATGGGCTCCGGAACATCGTTTGTATTGCCCTGGATTGTCTATCCGAGCATGTACTGACTATCATAGGATGTAAGGACGCAGGATATGTACCAATCACAGCAGAGAAATTATGTGCCAGTTTTTCATGCACCTTCAGTAGGCTGGTGAGCCTCACCTACGTGGACCTGAGTAGTGCATAGAAGCCGCCAAGGCGTCCTTGAAAATAGTCGGTCGATTTTTCGCAAACGACCTCCTATGATATATCTATCACCGTCTTGGGGTCTGTCAACTTTTGTAGAATCGTGGAGACATGAGAGGCCTGTCAGTTTCCCTCTCATTTCCTGACAATCAGGTACCATTTGTAAGTCACGTCTTCCGCCGGGTGCCGGAGGATACCCATCAAGCTGTTGTGGATAGCTTCTTGCCGTAGCCCAAACCACTCTATACTAATGCCCATGTGCATGCGAGTGGCTATGCCCATGTCCTTCTCCCTCTTCATCATGCACGAGTTCAGGCCAGTCCTCAAAGCCATCTGAAGATGTGATGTGAGATAGATTTTCCCCAACAAGCCCGCAAAAGGGCGTCGGGTGGATTATTATCTTACCTTCGAATACTTGGGCCAAGCGATCATGGACCGCCTCCTTGTCCTCGGACGACTTCATGATCCTCTCCCACTTGTTCATCTCGCGGTCCGACAATAAGCACCGGTCGAACTCGGCCGTCAGACCTGCGTGGTCGAGCTTCTCGCCAATAAACACAATCTCCTGTCTTCGGTCACCCCATGGCTCGGCGAAGTCTGCCTGGATGCTGGCGCGGGTGTCGGTATCGGTGGGCCAGTCGGCTACAATGAGAAGAAGAAGGGGATTAATGGATTTTCAGCTGCTTTCAGAGGAAAAGCAGGAAAGAGAGAAAGGAAGGACGGGAGGAAGAAGGAAGGAAAGACTTACCGTCGTCGAGGGTACAGAACCAAGGACCTCCGCCTTGCAAGGTCAGCATGGTACCGGCTTGACTCCATTCTCCGTGTAAGTCGGGGCGAGTGGCGAGCCAGAAGAAGCCCTTGGAGCGGAGGAGGCCGGAGAAAATGGGGTGGGACTTTTTGTTGCGAACAACGACCTGCAAGGCGCAATTGACGTGGTGAGTATGTCGAGACTTTTCGACGTTCTGCAGTCTCGCTGGACGGCATACATGGGAACTCAAAATGGGAAAGGAGTCGAAAGGACTGGAGGAGGCTGAAGAGAGGACCTCGGGGCGACGAGGCTCGGGAGTCAGGAAGGGGGACCGACATACCTCGGGTTTGACAGACTTGGTAAAATCTTCACTTTCTTCCTCCTCTTCTACTTCTTCGCTAATGTCTGACGGTATGTCCTCGTCGGCGCCTTCGCTATCGGCCTCGCTGTTGGCTCGTGTATCGTTGCTGCCGTCGGTCTCAGGGGAATGCTCGGCATCATCGACGTCCATTTCGTCATCGTTGCCATTGTCCTCTTGATCCTGTATCTGGCCCTCCATGATGACGAATTTGTCGTGGATCAATCTATACAAGCGTCGTGGATTGAACGGCCGGCGAGCGCGATATACGAAGCTTGATATGCCATACCTGAGAGATTTGTGCAGTTAGCGTCCGAACCAAACCCTGTTCAGGGACAGTCTGTGGCCCTTTGGGGAAGGCTTCCTTACTCTTCGGTTTCTGGCTTCGGTCCGATCTTGATTTGCCCGTTGATCTCGCGCTTGCTCAGGTCGTGCAGACTCTGGAGCCAGCCCATACTCGTGGCGGCCTTTTCGAAAGAGAACGTCTTGGTCCCGATGATCTCTTGGACGTCGACTTTGGAGAAATTTGCCTCGAAGACCTTGGCCGCGGGGTTGAGTTGTTGGATGATCCCCCTGACACGTAATCGGGTGGGATTGTCGACGCTGTCGGCCTTGTTCAGGATGATGGTGTTGGCGAACTCTCTGCGGAAGCAACATAAAGTGAGTCAAATGCTGTTGGAATTTGTGATTAAAGGGTGGCTCAGGAAGGTAAGGTAGGTGAGTTACTAGTACATTTGGTCTACCATCAAATCCGTTACGGTGCGTTCATCTTCGGGGTCAACACCCTCTTTTCCCCACCGATCCGTGATGAATTCGGTCGTCGAGAAGTTTTGGAAGAAGTTGAAAGCGTCCACGACAGTGATCAGGGTGTCGAGCTTGACGATTTTCTGGAGACCGCCCAGATCTGCTCTGTATACTACAAATCAGTCCCGATCCAACATAGGCCTGACGACCAGAGAGGCGTGTCGGCGGTTCCGGAGTTGAACGGGGACATACATCTCCTTCAAGACCCTCTCGTCGTCCTGCTGTCCCTGCATCGAGCCATCGTTGGCAGCATCTATCATGGCCTGGGCGAACTCCTCGGTGAACGTCTCGGCCACTTGCATAGGCTCGCTGATGCCCGTGCTCTCGATCAGGATGTACTCGCATTCGCCGGAGCGCGCGAGCCTCGCAAGCTCCTCGAGCAGATCGCCCCGGAGCGTGCAGCAGATGCACCCGTTCTCCATCTGGATCAGGCGTTCTTGCGTCTGCGAGACGACGTGGCGTTTGATCAGGGAGGCGTCGATGTTGAGCGCGGCCATGTCGTTGACGATCACGGCGATGCGCAATGAATGCTGGTCGGAGGTCAGGACATGTTTGAGGAGGGTTGTCTTTCCGCTGCCCAAGAAGCCGGATAAGAGAGTCACTGGGATCGGCTCGCGAGATACAGTTGGAGGACTGCTCGTGTCTGACTTGGACATTTGGCGGGTTCTCACGGCCATGACTGGATATCCGATGGGAGAATGAATTGAGGTCGCGGGTAAGTACTGAAGGCACGGGGGAAGAGAATGAGATCAACGCAGAAGACGGGATAACAAGAATTCTGTAAGAGAGAGCAAAATGCATTGCAATGCTTTGGAGGATACGGAGTACTCGTGTCCTCAATTGATTGTCAATGTTGTCTAGTTGGTTTGTTGGTCGTGGTTGTGTAGTGGGTTGTTGGTGGATCGAGGACCTTAAGGAGCATGCTCGAGTACCTACCTAGGTTCCCAGGTAGGTATGCACTTTTCTGCGACCCCAAAATCATGACTGATCCAGAACTTCAGCTGATAGTTTTGACATTGACGCAGAATTGTTACTTCTACCGTATGGACATATATTTTGTCGGATCAAGGGTAAATAGCCAATGACATTTTCACTGTCGTGTACCAATCCTCGACGCCCGGTGCACTCGGGCTGCAGTTGAACAAAATATTCATTTCTTGGATTCTCCAGTGCAACATTGCGACATCCTCAATTGGGAGTATCATTTCCATTCATGCGTTCCTTGTTGATGGCCCTCTCCTTCTTTCCCTTGATATAGGTGGACAGGTCGCCGACAGGGAGAGTTAGGGGGAAGTCGACCGCTTCGAGCAGCTGCACTGCAAGCACATACCATATCATCATCGTGAGGGCGAAGGTGAATGCTCCAGCGGCCTGTGATGATAATCAGTCAGCATTTGGTGCGCGGATGGGAGGCCAGCAAACAAACATACCACGGTCAGTCTCTCGCCGGCGTGGACGTTGCCGAGGGCCAGGTTCCAGAAGGCGCCGGTGCCGCAGCCGAAGGCGAAGATCAGCGTGAAGAGCGCGCTGAAGAAGACGATGTTGGTTCTCAAGGCGCACACGGTGAAGATTGTCGTCACCATTGCGAGGGAAAGATAGTAGAACCCTAAACAACGGCAGCACAGGGACGAGTTAGCTGGACCGACTATATTACGGCTTCAAGGGGTAGGGGGACCTCAGGGAACACTCCTTTCCGACTCAGAACAGGACAGGACGGACGTACCGAAGGTGGCATAATACCCTGGCTCCGTCATGCCTTGGAGATTGCTCCCGCTCGGAGAATACTGGAGGCCGACGCCAAACCAGGGGACCAACTGAGTGCCGGCAACGACCCAGAACGTGCCGTAGGTGAAAAACAAGCACATTGAGAACGTATTGCCCAGGATCCATTCCATGATCGCGCCGACGATTTGGAGCATACCGCCGAAGAAGATCATTGTTGGTCTGTTCAATACCAGCCATCTCAGTCAAGGTACGCAAAAGGGGAAGGAAGCGTGCCTGCGAGCGAGCCCTCGAAAGAGCTCTCGAAGCATGGCACACGGAAAAATGGGAGGGATATTCCACGCTTGTTATAGAGTGTTGCTCGAGCAGCAGCAGGACTCACATGATGGCACCTCCTGCACCTCCAGCTCCACGCCAACCCATATTGGCGGCTGCGTATGGCGTCGCAGCCATGACGAAACCGATCAGACAAGCTGGCGTTGGGTTACCGAACTAAAGCCAGAAAGCAAAAGTTATTGAGCCGTACAAAGGAGTTAAGTGACTGGCCGAAGGGGGAAAATTCTGTCATACCTTCTTCCTTAGATCGCCGGGAACATTGCGCTCGGGATTCAGGTAGAGAGCTTCAAAGACCTCGCGCGGAAGGAAGACGCTTTCTGCTGTCTGCACTCGACGGAGCACATCGTCGCGCGAGGTCGACTGACCCAATGGGGCGCCTTTCGTCTCGTCCATGGCTTTTGAAAATGGACTTTTCCTCTTTGCTGGTGAGATCGATAGATGATATCTTTTCAAATCGGGGGCGTGAATATGGATGTATCACAGTATACTGCGACGGTAGGCGTGCGGCTCAAAAAAGACCAAGCAATGGACAAGAAAAGGGGCTTGAGTACCGAGGGTTGGGTATTGGGCGGACGCCAGGGTTTTAAAAGCTTGAACTTCTTCCCTCAACCAGGTGGGTGACAGGGAATCCTATGCACGTTCTTGACGTCCTATGCAGCTTGCACGAGTGACACCTCGGTAAAAGGATGAGGCATGACCAAATACTACTGTTGCAGTAGCCGGTAGGCCCGACGATGTGGAAACTCTGGAACCGAGAGCAGGCTTTTGATTGATATTGTGCTTGAGAAACTTCTATCTTCGTTGGGCCGGCAGCTGTAGCATCGTACGATCTTTGCAGCAATGCATCACTCACGGAGAGTCACCGGTGCGGGGAGCCATTGAGCTCAACGAGGGTGGACCTTCTGGCAAGGGATTAGGCGATTCCGGGGTCTTATTGCGGGGAGCAAGCTCTGTCATGATGATTGTGTGGGAAAGATGCTGTCATAATGGTAGTTGCGAGACGACGACAACTGCTGATCGCATCCACAGCGACGCCAGGAACCCGGGTTGCGATGATACCGTGGTAGGCTCTGCACTGCTCTGGCAAGAGCCCGGATCTTCATGCGTTGCACAAGCCCGGCAAGTCCACGTTGCGTCCGGGTTGTTCGCAAACATCGATGCCGGTCTTCCGTAAAGGCATGCGTTTGTGCTGAGCATCATTGGTGCGTGTGGGAAATGCCATGATGTGTGCATCTCGAGATTCAGCACAGAAGCTGTCACACGTCCGAATGGCCGAACTCCTTTACCTTGGCCAGGTGCCGAGTCTTCTTCTCCAGGTTGGTAGCGGCAGAGGTGCGAGGCATGTGCAGACTTGTTGATTTCATCTGATGAATACCGATGGCTAGGATCACTAGCCGCTGGTTTGGCTTTGGAGGACAACACTCTGTGCCAGCCTTAGGACTTCTTCTGCTGCCTGTCTTACGCGCGCAAGATGCGACAACTGCGGGGCCGAGAGTTGCTGGTCACTGTCTCTACGCTCGTCCATGAACACAATGTTCCTTTCCAATATCTTGAGGTCAGAGGAGGCGGCCGCACTAGCAGGATTGAGCATGATGTTGCAAAACAGGTTTAAAGTTGCTGAAAGCGGATAGAATATCACCACCCTACAAGCAAACAGCCGTTGTCAGCCTCGAAAGTTCATCTGCCTTGACCTTCGATTCGAAATTCCACTTACCAGAAAATATGAGGGGTGAGGTAGTGCTCGACAGAGGTAAAGTATAAGAGCAAGGACCGGCTGGATTCTAGAGCGAGATCGAGGCTGGAACCCAGACCCTCGGCTGTCCGGTGATTGCCGGCCCAGTTTGTACAGCGACTGCTTGCCTGATGGATCGTTGTCATACAATGATGATATTCCAGGCGTATCAGGAATGTCATCATGTCGAAGTTGTCCTTGTCAAGGACATGACTTCGTTGCTGTGAGAACGAGAGGGTTGGTCGTCGCTTTGGTGGCAACGACTGTCTCCAGTTCTCCAGCATCTCATCAAGCTCTCGTATGTCTTTCAGGATCTCGGCATCAGCTTTTCGTAAGGCGTTAGGAGAGTACAATTTATCATAGGCCTTCGATTTTATTAGCGTCAAACGCAAGTCACTGGGTAAGCGAGGAGCCCCTTGGAAATCCTGTTGGATCTGTTGCCAGTAGTATTTCGGGAAAGTCAGGTCGCAAGCGGTGTCGTTGATGATGGGTGGACGACCTGTACGGAAAGTGATCTCTTTATCCAGAACGTAGCAGATCCAGAAGACATCCCTGAGATGGAGTGTCCTCCGGGTTTCGAGGCTAAGGGAATGGGACGGAAGGCTGTCTGTCTCTGCTCCTGGGTAAAGATGCCCCCCCAGCATGAAAAGAAACCTTGAGACGAGCGCGAGTATGATGTCGACAGCATGAACGTTGCCGCAGCCAAATTGATACACGGCCTAAACATGTTAGCCATGCCATCTTGCACCAAGTGGCTTCGCCCAGTTAGGGGGCTGCTGCTTGAATGGGAGACTTACGAACATCATCATGGCATCCACCACTTCAGTGCTGGGTCTAGCGTTCAATATGTCAGGTACCAGCAGCTGTGCGGCCGCGATACATTGTTCCAAATCAATAGGTGGAAGATCTTGGTCGGCTGGGTGGCCAGCCGTGGATGTAAAGGCGATGAACGAGAAGATACACGCTTTGGTCGCCAGTATACCAGCCGAAGCAGTATCGTGTCTGTATGCTCTCTCGATAATCAGGGGAAAGAGCACTTTGTCCGCAATCGGGAACGCATCTGAGAACGAGGAGCTCAGATAATAGTGAAAGTGCTTTTCGACAGATTGGCGAGGCGGTAGGACTGCCATGTCCCATTGAGTCGGATTGACGAAGGTTGGCAGGGCTGGCCAGGCTTGTCGCTGATTGTGCCAGAGAGGGCTGTCAGACTCTTCGCGAGAGTCTTCAGCAGACTTCAGACCAATCCATTGCTGGCCGTCCCGAGACAAGAAGGGAACGCCATGAAAAAGGTTGATATCACCCAGTCTATAGCCGGCGCAATAGATTCGTCCAAGCGTCGCCAAATCTGGGGCTCCATTCTCTGGCGAGCATTTGGCTTCAACTTCGATGCGGCCTGGCGTGACGTCGAGGTCGTGATTGCTCCCGTTCGACAAGTCTGAAGAGGGTGAGTCGGGAAACTATTGTTCAAAGGTTTTGTCTCTCACCGATTTCCTTCTTGGGGTGGTTCTCGGCCAGAAGCTTTTCGATCCGTGCCAAACGCTCAACGAGATTGCTCTCTCTCAGTTTTCTGCCACCAGTCAATGTTGATCTTCTTGGAGACCATAGAGCGAGGGCTCGAACCGCGACCGACTTTCTCTTTTCCGTCCCCCCTGTGATCGGTTGAACGTACAGTCCAGGTCGTGGTGTTTGCACCAATTACATTGAGGCCGGACGCCATCACATTTGATCTAAGACTGTCAGACTGTGCAGATGCCACAAAGGTGAACAGAGGTATCGTATCGCATGACGGTCTCATGGGTAGATTGTGTAATTTGGCACGATGGCGCCAGTCGAGGATAAACAGCAGCGAGAACAATTTGTGTGGCAGGAGGGTCACATGTTGGATGCCAGATGTATTGCTGTAGCCACAGTGGGCTCTTCACCACGCAACTGTCCTTGCTGCCGTTTATCCTCGACTGGCGCCATAGTGCCAAATTACACGATCTACCCAGGAGACCAAGGTAATTGCTTGATTTTCGGGGTCGATATTGGGGGTTCAACCTTTCTTCGGTGACAAGAATCACAAGCACGCAGAGTCCGCTTCGTGCTACCCTCGCCAACGACGGACGTATCGGGGGACGAATAGTGTGGGGTTTCCGACATGGGCACTTTTCAAGTTGACCACCTAGCGGTATTGAAAACGACGTGCCAGGCCCGGCAGATGTATGAAGGTCCTAGTCAAGCACCCAACGAGGTTTTTGAGATTGGCGGCATGCAGGGAAGCCAGCTTGACTAATCGGGACACTGATATTACCTCTGTGGTTGAAGATCGAGTAAGAAGCCTTCAAAACGCCATGGTTTCTACTCGCACGAGAAGAAATGCCACTAGAACGCGAAGAGATTCGTGATAAGATCAAGCATCTTTGAGTTGGTCACGTGGTTGGGACGGCCAAACCAATGTCCCGACGTTACCGCTAAGCATGTGCTCACTGCCACGACTGCTCAGGTACCACACACTCTCAGTACCTTGCACCATCGACGTTTTCTCAAACCCACCTTATCACAGTCCTTGCCCACTCAATCCAATTATTCTAAACAAAATATCTCCGCTACAGCCAAGGCCGAATGGATATGTCGACTCCGGGTTCCGTCAGCCGATCTGGCCGACGGAGGCCTTGGCAATGCGTTCATATTGCGCTTACTCTGCAGTACACCGCCGTTGCAAGCGCCATCGATGCCTCTTCTGAACAACGTCTACCCGAATCAAGGCGGCAAGCGGACGGGCTACTCCACGTGGGTCACGGAAGTATATGATATACATGAGCCCTCCTTGCTACTGAGTGTCAAGAAGCCATCTCACCACAACAGGTTGCCGTCCCGGCCCTTGTTGGGAAGATTGACTGAACTGCCTGTCTTGTGCTTAATCAGCGGCACCTTCAAACAAGCCGGCGCCGTTGTGGGGCCCTGACATCTCTCATTCATCTGTGACCCGTCTGAAGACTCCAGTAAGCACTGACTCTGACTGGCCCAACAGAAGCGGCTCCCTCGTCTTCCGTTTCATATGCATTTCACAGGTTTGGCAGGCTGGAACCTACCACGCTATCATGTCGATATTATGCAATGCTGGTTGCGGTCGGCTTCGAGTAGCGGCCGTGCACAGCATCCGGCACCGAGAGCTCAGCGTCACGGGTATTAATACGTTGGCCTATCCCCCACCTCAGGCCTGTCAGCAGAATGCGAAAACCCTGTGTGCTCCTGCCAACGATGGATGTATGTGAGGATCGATTGAACAAGACCGATGCTCCTCATGAGTCTGGTCAAAAGTCAGGTAGTGGTGAGGATGATGCCATGACAACTGCAATCGACCAAAGCAGGACCTCAAGGACTAGCGAGGCTTTTGCGGACAACTGGAAGCTCGCACAACAAGTGAAAATCAGCCATCAACGAAGCCTAGAGGCCTTTCCGAAAGAGAGAAAGCTTGGGGTTACCTGGACCAACCTTACAGTGAAAGTGATCAGTGCTGAGGCAAGCATACACGAGAACACACTCTCTCAATTCAACGTCCCTCAGATCCTGAAGGAATCCCGCCACAAGGCCCCTCTTAGAACTATTCTCCATGGTTCCCACGGCTGTGTCAAACCTGGAGAGATGCTTCTAGTACTAGGTCGACCCGGCTCTGGCTGCACAACACTCTTGAAAACATTGGCGAACAGACGCGGGGGCTTCTCTGCGGTTGAAGGCGATGTGTGGTACGGATCTATGGGTCACGAAGAAGCAAAGCGCTATCGGGGCCAGATCGTCATGAACACTGAGGACGAGCTGTTCTTTCCCACCTTGACCGTTGGGGAGACGATTGATTTTGCCACCCGACTCAAGGTCCCGTCCCATCTCCCGAAAGGTATCCAGTCACAGGAGGAATATCAACAAGCGACACGAGATTTTCTTCTTGAGTCTGTGGACATATCTCACACAAAGGATACAAAGGTCGGGAATGAGTACGTCCGAGGCGTATCTGGAGGGGAAAGAAAACGAGTGTCCATAATCGAAACTTTAGCAACCCGTGCCTCCGTCTTTTGCTGGGATAACAGTACCAGAGGCCTTGACGCAAGCACAGCTCTGGAGTACACCAAGGCTATTCGGTCGATGACGGACATACTGGGTCTCAGCTCGATTGTCACACTATATCAAGCTGGTAACGGCATCTACGGTCTGTTCGACAAAGTTTTGGTGCTTGATGCCGGCAAACAAATATACTATGGTCCGATGAAGCAAGCACGACCTTTCATGGAGGATCTTGGCTTTTGGTGTCCACCAGGTGCAAATATCGCAGATTTCCTTACTGGTGTGACCGTCCCGACCGAGCGACAGATTCGACCTGGCTATGAAGACAGAATTCCGCGAAGCGCCGACGAGCTGTTGAAACACTACGAAAGATCACGAATCTATGAACAAATGTCAGCAGAATATGAATTCCCCAGTTCATCCGATGCAGAGGCAAACACCAAAGCTTTCCAAGAGTCTGTCACCAACGAGAAAGACAGACGGCTTACACGTTCGAGTCCCTTGACAACTGGATTTGGGACACAAGTACGAGCATGTGTCTTGCGCCAATATCAGATTATATGGGGCGACAAAGCCACTTTCTTGATCAAGCAGATCTCCACCATTATCCAGGCTTTGATTGCTGGTTCGCTGTTCTACAATGCTCCCAACAACTCCGGCGGTCTGTTTCTCAAGGGAGGTGCGCTATTCTTTGCTCTTCTCTATAACTGTTTGGTGGCCATGTCTGAAGTCACCGATTCTTTCATGGGGCGTCCTGTACTGGCCAAACACAAATCTTTCGCATTCTTCCACCCAGCAGCCTTCTGTATCGCACAGATTGCAGCAGATATCCCGCAACTCTTGGTTCAGATTACGACTTTCTCATTGATCCTCTACTGGATGGTCGGTTTGGCGGCTTCAGCAGGACAATTCTTTACCTTCTGGATCATGATATTCGCCTCCACGATGGTATGGACTTCCAAGCTCTCCATTCCGCATGAGGTACTAAAAACGTCTTTAGTGCATGACTGCATGTTTTCGTTCGATTGGTGCAGCCTTCACTACTTTTGATGGTGCCTCTAAGGCTTCCGGCTTTGTTATCATGGTAGTCGTCATGTATGAAGGATACTTGATCGCAAAGCCTGATATGCATCCCTGGTTCGTGTGAGTTTTCCTCCTTCAAGAAGCCATGCAGTGTGTGCACGTGGGAAATATACTAACTATTTTCCGTCTAGATGGCTGTTTTGGATCGATCCTCTGGCGTACGCATTTTCAGGAATCATGGCCAATGAACTTCATGACCGTCATATTCCCTGCGTTGGCACGAATCTTGTTCCGTCGGGCCTTGGCTATACTGACGCTCAGTATCAATCTTGCACAGGCGTTGGCGGAGCGATCAAAGGCCAGACATATGTGACAGGTGACGCTTATTTGAAGTCACTGTCCTACAGCCATTCACATGTCTGGCGGAACTTTGGCATCGTCTGGGCCTGGTGGGCGCTTTTTGTTGCAATCACCATCGTATGTACTACAAGGTGGAAATCCGATTCCGACAGGGGAAGCAAAATGCTGGTGCCCCGAGAAAATGTCCACAAGACTGGCCATATTCTAGGCGATGTCGAATCGCAAACGAAGGAAAAACAAGTTGTCAGTTCCGACTCGTCGCTGAAAGAACAACCTCCCACCGCTGGCGACAGCTCAGAAACCCTGATACAGAACAGCTCCGTGTTCACCTGGAAAAATCTGTCCTACGTGGTCAAAACTCCCCACGGCGACCTCAAACTTCTTGATGATGTTCAAGGATGGGTTAAACCAGGGATGCTAGGCGCTCTGATGGGCGCTAGTGGTGCAGGCAAGACGACCCTGCTTGATGTTCTGGCTCAACGGAAAACTGAAGGGACAATTCATGGTTCGATACTTGTCGATGGACGGCCGCTTCCTGTCTCATTCCAAAGGTCTGCTGGGTATTGTGAACAACTTGACGTGCATGAGCCATACGCGACCGTTCGAGAAGCTTTGGAATTCTCGGCGCTACTCCGCCAGTCTCGACAAACACCGAAAGAAGAAAAGCTCAGATACGTGGACACGATTATTGACCTTCTAGAGCTCGGCGACATCGAGCATACTCTCATTGGCTTTCCCGGCGCCGGTCTATCAATCGAGCAACGGAAGAGGGTTACAATCGGTGTCGAGCTCGTGGCTAAACCGAGTATCCTTATCTTCCTGGATGAGCCAACGTCCGGTCTGGATGGCCAATCAGCTTATAATACGGTCCGCTTCCTGCGCAAGCTTGCGGACGTTGGACAAGCCGTGCTGGTCACCATCCATCAACCTTCAGCTCAACTCTTTGCCCAGTTCGATACCTTGCTTCTACTTGCGAAGGGTGGAAAGACCGTCTACTTCGGTGACATCGGCGACCACGCAAGTGTCGTAAAAGACTATTTCGGACGCTATGGAGCGCCTTGTCCTCCCGCCACAAACCCAGCAGAGCACATGATTGATGTTGTGTCCGGCCCTCTGTCTCAGGGTCGTGACTGGGCGCAGGTGTGGCTGGAGTCCGAGGAACACGAAAGAATGACCAGAGAGCTGGACGATATCATCAGTGAGGCTGCTGCGAAGCCTCCTGGTACGCACGATGATGGATTCGAGTTCGCCATGCCAATGTGGTCTCAGATTACGGTTGTCACCCGGCGTATGAACCTTGCACTCTTCCGCAACACCGACTACACAAACAACAAGTTCGCTCTTCACATAGCGAACGCTCTTTTCAATGGATTCACTTTTTGGATGATCGGAGACGGTGTCGGCGACCTGCAGCTCAAGCTCTTCACCATTTTCAACTTCATCTTTGTGGCTCCCGGAGTGATCAATCAGTTGCAGCCTCTGTTCATTGAACGCCGTGATATATTTGAAACCAGGGAGAAAAAGTCCAAGATGTACAGCTGGGTTGCTTTCGTCACAGGACTGGTTGTCTCTGAATTCCCATACCTCGTCACCTGCGCGGTCCTGTACTTCGTCTGCTGGTACTACACTGTCGGCTTCCCCAACAACAGCGACAGCGCGGGCGGCACCTTTTTCGTGATGCTGTTCTACGAGTTCCTCTACACCGGCATTGGGCAGTTCATTGCCGCGTACGCACCCAACGCGATCTTCGCTTCCCTGGTCAATCCTCTCATTATTGGGATACTTGTGTCGTTCTGTGGTACGCTCGTACCCTACGCTCAAATACAAGCGTTCTGGCGCTATTGGATTTATTGGTGAGTCTTCTTGCCATTTGAAAACTCATGCCACCTTATTAACTTGTGTGTGTCCTACAGGCTTAATCCTTTCAATTACCTCATGGGCTCTCTGCTTGTCTTTAATGTGTGGAACGACAAGGTTACCTGCAAGGAACGGGAATTTGCACATTTCGACACCCCTGGCAATGTGACTTGTGGGGAGTACTTGTCTGACTACCTTCAGACCGGAACGGGCCAACTTGCCAACCTTGTGAATCCGGACGACCGGGGCGGCTGCCGAGTCTGTGAGTACAACACGGGTGCGGACTATTTGTACACGCTCAATTTGAAGCACCAGTACGATGGATGGAAAGATGCGGCTATCGTGGTCATCTTCACTATCAGCTCTTACGCCCTGGTCTACGCTTTGATGAAGCTCCGGACAAAGCAGAGCAAGAAGGCTCAGGGTTGAAGTGCGCCCCGGAGAACAGCGACCGGAGGTTGGTGCAGGAAATCATGGCCGCGAGAAGAGTCATTTGTTGGGTTGATGCTTTTTGGGCGGAGTATCATTGCGGATATGGCACACTTATGGTGATAGAATTGGTGCATCGACACAGTAGACTTTGTACATTAATGGTGTCAAGTCTGACTGCATTGGGAGCAGTATGGTAATAGAAGATAGAAGATAGAAGATTAGAAGATAGACTGTATATTTTTACTTTCTTGTTGGAGCGGGCATACAATGATATTCAGCTTCAGCAGACATTTTCTGGGCCAATCTTTGCTGAAGTATGTCCTTGCAAGGAGACTGACCTCATGCACGATACAGTCGATTACTCGAGCGTGGGACAAATCCAGCTAACTGCCCGGCGTCGTGTATTCGCAGGCTTCGTGTCAGCCCATCTCAATTAGTCGTGCCTTTGCGCGAGATGGGATTCTAGTGCCCGTTGATCAGGCAGACTCGGGAAAGGAACGCAAGGCACGATTTTCTAGAAGCCTATCGGGCACCTGCCCGGGAACGAAGTACTATGGTCTCATAGGTAAATCGTGTAATTTGGTGCTGGGATGCCATTCGACGACAAACAGCAGCGAGGACAATTTGTGTGGCAGGGGGGCCTCCTGTTCAATGCGATGCCCAACTGCTGCTTCGACGATTCAAGCGGCAGCTGTTTTGCACCCCGGTTAAGCGAGTTTCATTACACGATTCACCGCTGAGACCGTAGTAACATCGTCGTCAGTGGCTCCGCCGAGGTCAGGCTCCCAAACATCATGTAACATGACGGGTCTTTTCGTCGAGGCGCAGCAGGCCAGGCACAAAGCTAGCCCCCTCCGGCCCCCATGATGCCCCCAATTGTATGTCAGGATCTTCAGCCTTGTAGCCTCGTGCTCCCAGCTCTGTCGACCCACCCCGAGGGGCTGACGACAGCATCTTCGATTTGTATCTGTATATATGCCCGGGGCTTTGGTTGTTGTCTGGGCGAGCAATCCCTTACCAGATTATCCTTCCGCAGTTCATTCATCTAACAACAACATCATTTCAGTCATTCACATTCCACCAAGAATCCTATTTCCTCCATTGCGCAAGGGGCGGAGCAACAGAGTATATTTGACAAGAGTCGACGCCGATCCACTGTTGCATATTAAGTGTCAGATAATGTGTTTTGGCGGAGAAAGCGATCTGGGACCACCGCCTCGACCACGAGGTCCCCGTGGCCAGTACGATCCGAAATACGTGGAAGCTTTGGAAGCCTATGCGCATGAGCAAGACCGTCTCAAGAAGAAGAGGAAGACGAGAAGACGGAATGGCGCCATAGCCGCGGTGGCTGCGAGTACGGCTGCGAGTGGAGGCGGAGGTGGCGGCGGTGGAGGATGTTGAGAAGTGAAAATGTATGCCTCATTGCGGAAGTGCAAACTTTGAGGGAATCTTCCAGGGGCCTAGAGGCTCACTCCTGTCTGGGTATGACCTTAAGGTGCTTAAGGTGCTTAAGGTATTAAGGTAGCTAGGTCCCTAAGATAAGCCTCTTAAGGTTAACACGGTTATTCACAAATCAGCGGATTCACCCGTCTCGACCATCTATCGGATGGCTTACGAATATAGTACGATGGCGGTGGAAGGCTTCGTACATACTGCAGGCATCAGATACCTTTATCCGCAATATCCGCACACCGTGACATCATTGTCGTCTCTACGTACATGATGAGTCGAATCTTTGAATCTGCTACTCGTATGATGTCCGGGTTTCGCCAGAACGTTGCATATTAAGCCCGGATGACAAACCGCTTACACGATTCGCCCTGTACAATCGCGGTAACAATCCACGAATCAGGCACATCCTCTCGTATGCTGCATGAGGCAATTACAATGCTCACCATGATCGATGCAGACACTTTGAAGTATCGTAGTCTTCAAACCTACTGATATAGCACGATGTAACCCGACAGCAAGTATCAGGAACTCCTGTCATCATTTCGCGCTCAAACAACTAGGCAGCTTGTTCGGTTGTCCACTTCGTATCAGGCGAGAAAGGTGCATCGTATTCATGACAGAACTCCCCCAGAACTGGACCAACATGGCCGACATCGAAAACCCTGACCACCATAGTCCTCACTCGCCGACAAGCTCAAGCTCCAGCGGCACGTTGTCTCGGATTCAGTCAGTAGCAGACCTTGAAAAGGCCGAAACTGCCGCCGACAGGACATACTTGCCAATTACCACGTCGGCATCCAATGCCCGAACAGCGTCTCGATCGAATCTGGCGAAAACTCGTACGGGCACATCGGTAACCGATGGCTATTCTTCCTACAATTTAGTCGACCATACGGACGACCAAGATAATGATGCTCTCGCCGTGAAGCGCACTCCGACCGATGCTTATGAGGTTCGATGGGATGGAAAGAGTGATCCGCTCTCACCACGTAACATGAGCTTTGCTCGGAAGTGGTTGATCACGAGTATTCTCTCGTTTTCTTCTTTCCTAGTGTGAGGAGTAGCAGCATCAACTTTATGAGCTCAGACGCTGACCATGTCGAAGTACTTGCACATCATCCATATATACTCTCACGTACGACCAACTCATCGACCACTTTCACACCTCAAGAGAAGTCGCTACTTTGGGCTTGTCATCCTTCGTTATTGGCCTCGCACTTGGGCCTATGTTCCTGGCTCCTCTTTCCGAGGTACTGTCACTACGACCTTAAACCGAACCATTTCCCCTACTGACACTCGACTCGCAGTTCTATGGCCGCAAACCAATTTATGTCCTCTCGATGGTCATGTTCACAATCTGGCTGATTCCCGAAGCGGTTGCTCAGGGGATGGCGACCATGATTGTTGGCCGGTTCTTCGACGGCTTTGCAGGCAGTGCTTTCCTCGCCGTCGCAGCCGGTTCGATCGTGGACATGTTCGAACCGAGCCAGATCGCCTTTCCTATGATGATATTCAGTGCAGCGCCGTTCCTGGGTCCTGCGGCGGGGCCGATCATAGGTGGCTTCATCAATCAATTTGCATACTGGTACATTCCCTCATCCCCTGGTTCCTTTGACCTTCAAAATCCGACTGCTAACCTCCTTCAGGCGATGGACCTTCTACACTCTACTCATCTGGTCGGGTTGTTTGACTGCAGCCGTAATCCTGGTCGTGCCCGAAACCTACCCAAAGGTCCTGCTCAAGCGAAAAGCTGCAAGCAAACGGAAGGAATCCGGCAACGAGCGATGGTGGGCTCCCATCGAAAAGAATGACGCTTCCGTACTGCACACCGTGCTCCATTCGTGCGTGACACCGTGTAAACTCCTCATCCTCGAGCCGATGTGTCTGCTACTCTGTCTCTACTCGGCAATCCTGCTGGGCATCGTCTACCTCTTCTTCGGCGCCTTTCCGCTCGTCTTCCAAGCCAACCACGGCTTTCAACTTTACCAAGTCGGCCTCTCCTTCTGCGGTCTGGGAGTCGGCATGATCGTGGGCGTCCTGACAAACCCATTCTGGCACAAGAACCACGCCCGCCTGGTCGCCAAGTACGAGGAAGAGACGGGTCAAAAGGGTGTCAAGCCCCCACCAGAGTTTCGACTACCACCTGCTATGCCAGGCGCATTCTTAGTTCCTATCGGCCTCTTCTGGTTCGGCTGGACCACGTATTCGAGCGTCCACTGGGTCGTACCAATTATTGGGAGTGGCGTTTTTGGGACAGGGTAAGTATCACACTTCCCGGCGCAGAAAAAGAAACTCTCTGACTCGGCCCCTATCTAGTGTCTTCCTTGCCTTCACTGGCGTTCTGACATTCCTCGTCGATGCTGTAAGTCTCCCCAAGCCCGCGCACGACATTTATGATCACGGGGCCTAACGTGGGAAATAGTACGCCAACTATGCAGCCAGCGCAGTCGCAGCAAACGTGCTCGTCCGCCTCATCTTCGCTGCAGCATTCCCACTGTTCGGAACTCAAAGTAAGTGTCACTTCTTCCCAACGAGGACGTGTGTCTGTCAGTTTGGCTAACAGCGTGAACGTGAAGTGTACGAAAACCTAGGCTTCCAATGGGCGTCTTCCCTTCTGGCCTTCCTGGCTCTCGCTTGCTTACCAATGCCGTAAGTCGTCGACGTTATCATCAGCATTGCTGACAATGTGCCCTGTGCCCTGTGGCCGCGTACTTACCTTTCTCGACAGATTCCTCTTTTTCAAGTATGGCAAGAAGATCCGGGCAAAGAGCAGGTTTACTACTACGGAGGATGAGTCGTGATGCTTCCAGAATATCTGTCGCTCATGTTGACGCTTGACGCCGGACGCGGGACGCATGACGCCATGTGATGGTCAAACCCGCAGGCCAGACTAGGGCAAAGCTCATCTTGTCTCATGTGTTGTCATAGGCCTGCGAACCCTTGTACGATTGGGATGGAATGAAATAGCCTGGCATTATATCTTTGCCCTAAAGACTGGACGTATTGGCTGTCTCGTAAAGGATAAGGTCCCGGGAAAACACTCGTCTAGCGAAATATCATCATTTTGTCTACCCGAAGACAAAGATTTCTTTTATGTGCTCTCACTCTTTATCCGTCCGGGTGCATCGACGAACCCCGCATGTATGACCTAGTCCGTCTATGCTCGAACATCAACACACCAACTTTTCAGGCCCCGAAAGCCCCCTTGTAGCAATGGAATCCAGTCATATGCGCAGATGTACTAGTCTCTGCAGGGCTACCTCCTGCTTCTCCCGATATCTGCAAGCCCACTCCACACTTCCCCAGGATGTCGAGCTGCACAGTACATATCGATTTTCCGCCAACGAGAAACGAAACACCCTAGTTCTTGGCCTTCTGCACCTCTGCCAGCCCGGCCTTCAATGCCTTCAGGGCCTTGTCAATCTCTCCTCTCGACTCATCCATGGCCGTCACACCCATGTGGCCAAAACGAATATACTTCGCCGCAATCTCCCGGTGCAGACCACCGGCGAACACGACTCCTTGAGCCATCAGCTTGGGGAGAATCTCGGGCGGAGTCAGGCCTTCGGGTAAATAAATTGCCGTCATCGTATTCGCGGCGTTGGCAGGGTCGGTGGGCAATTGCTTCAGGCCCATCTTGGTGATCTCGGACTTGACGTATTGACTGATCTTGTGATGTTGGGCGAAGCGAGCCGCGATGGGTTGCGAAAGGAGCTGCTTCAAGGCCGTGTTGAGGGCTTGCACCAATTGAGTTGGAGGAGTGGCGAAGTACGAGGGTTTCCTTGCTTCGTAGTTCTGCATGATCGGGAGCCAGTTCTTGAAGCTAGCGTAGTAGCTGCCTGGAGGTGACTTCCTGGACTTGAACACGTTCATGGCCTTTTCCGACACCATCACGATGGAGAGACCCGGTGGGCAGCCAATGGCTTTTTGCGAGGCGGTCAGAGCAACGTCAATCGACATGCTGTCGAAGTGAAGTTCTTCTCCACCAACTGAGCAAACTCCGTCAACGATGAGGAGGGTGTCGGGAGAAACCCGTCGGAGGAGATCGGCCAGAGGTTGAATGTGCGATAGGACACCGGTGGAAGTGTCGACATGCGTGACCGTGACAGCCTTGTATTTCTTCTCTTTCAAAGCGGCCTCGATCTCGGGGAGCTGTGGTCTGTCGCCGATTGGAGCTTTCAATTGCGTAGGCTTTGCGCCGTAGGTAGACAGGCAGTCCGCAAATGAGTCGGCGAAGTAGCCACTGTGGAGCACCAATACATCTTCACCTGGCTCGACGAGGTTGGCAGCCACAAGATCCCAGCCCAGAGTTCCACTTCCTGCAAGCACGAAAGGCTGCGAATTGGGGTTCTTCGTCTGGAAGACATCGCGCAGCAGGGTCAAAGTCTCGCCAAAGACATTGACGAAGGGCTGTCCGACATGGGACTGCGCATAATGTCCCATTGACTGGGCGACTTCATCGGAGATTTCGATGGGTCCTGGGATCAGGAGAGAAGGGTGAGCAGGTTGAATCGACATTCTGGCAGATGCTGACGTCGAGAACTGTCGCTTTTGGACTGCTGTAGCTGATGGTGGAGGAGGTGGGGTGTATGGCAGGTCGTCTGTCGAGGCAGGTAGAGAATCTCGCTCAACGCTATAGGGAGTGTTGATGGGAGGGTAGGAAGTCTGGTGATGATCCTCAAGATGTCGAGAGATCAAGCTCAACCGAGTCGCAGGAGAAGTGGTTGATGAGCGTGAGGGAGCCAGGTTGACGACTGTGGGGGAGGGGGATGTTGAAAGCTTTGGGATGACGGAACGATGTAGTGGCCGACGCAGGCGACGTGCGGGGGAAACACCGAGACTCAGAGCAGGAGACAGCGACAGTACGGCCTCGACGGATATGGATCGAGTGGTTCGACGCGATAACGGAGATATCATGGAAGACGATAGTGAAGATTGGGAAAAGGGAAGAATCGTCGCTCGTGCCATTATACGTTTCGACGTGTCTGGAATAGAAGTTTCCAATCTGCTCCACGCGGCGGCGGCGGAATGACAAGACTTCAGACTTCCTGCAAGAAAAATCAATAAAGGGATGTCAACGTCAAAATTTTTCAATCGGGTACGTTCCGGGGGTTCGCGAAGCACCCAAATAAGCGACAGGAGGCTCATTTATTAAGCACCAGCCGCTGACTTGGGGGGTCATATTGGGGGAAGATGCGGCCTCGAACGGACAATTGAGCGACAGGGGCACAAGCCGAGATTTGATTTGCTTGCATAGCCTAACGTTAGTGAGCCCTAGCTCGCCTAGAGGATAGTGCTAGTCTTGCGCCCACCCAGGCACCTCATGCGCCTGCACTAGTTCATTAGTGCCTGCTAGGTGTCTATGGTGCCTGTGCTCAGTGCTGTATGAAATGTCTTTTGATGATTCGCCGGGAAAAATTACAAGCGAAACGGTCTCACGTGATCACCTTTTTGACCTCACGGACTGTTCAACGACAGCCTCGTCATCACCGCAATTGCTCATCTTCGTGTCAGACTTGTCCTGCACAAATCCTGTCCAATTCAATCCATCAACATCCTGTCTTCCTTATCAGCCAGAAGATCTCCAACCCTATCGCCCGCCTTGCAGACCTCTAGCCATCGACGTCCATCTCGTCTCCAGCATCATCACCACCCTCCACACTGTCAAGGCCGCCCTCCTCTCCATCCCTATCACCCTCTTCTTCACGTCGGATCTCCTCCTTGACATCATCGGAGAGGTGTTTTCTCAGGTACTTGTTGATCATGAAATTGACGTTGTCGGGGAGGCTGCTAGGCGAGACATTTTGAGCCGTCTCTTTGTCTAACAATCGCAATCTTGGAGCCACTGTCAGGAGGATGTCTTGCAGTTCGTTCCATCTCATCGGCGGCAATCTCGCGATGTACTTGTCGTTGAACTCCTTCATTTGCCCGGTGACCTCTTGCTGTGGGACATGGATATCAACGTGTTTGGCCGTGTCACGTTGATAAATGATGGCGTTGATGCCACGCACCACATCATCGTTCAGGTCTTTTGGTCCGTACTCTTCGCCATTCATGTGTTTCCGATAAAGCCCTGGCTGTCTGGTCTGAAACAAAAGAAGGAATTCGTCATACTTGTCCATATCAGGATTCTCCTTGGTGAAATATCGCAGTGAGTCAAACATCGCATTGCGCTCGTCTTCTGGCACCTTCTCTTGTGGTTTGTCGGCTGGACGGCGGGCCTGCAATGGTCGGTTCAGTCTCTGGGTTGTTGTGAGGGGTGTTTTGCGCCTAGAACGCCGAGCAGGCTTCTTTGAGACTCCGTTTGGCTTGGATCTGACGCGTACCATGGTGACAATTGAATATTGTGGAAGGTTTTGGATGGTTCCGCAGGTAAAGAGAGAGAGACAGAGATTGAGTCTGATGTGGTGTGAGAGAAGCGTGAGGTACTGTGAACAGAGATGTTGTATGAAGATATGTCCGCTCCGCACGACACTGCCCGTTCCCGCGGCGATCCCTTGTGTTTCTCACTCTGCCTTGTCGCTGTAGCGATCACAAAGGTTGATCGCGATGGCGATGATTGTTGGATTGAAATTCACTGACTAGGTGAGACATGTCGACGATACATGGTGTCTGACCATGACAATGCCTTGGGAATGATGAGCAGAGAACAAGGCCGGACGGGAAAAGGAACATCATCATATACCACGCCACACCACACGTCGTGTCTTGCGGCAACATTGGACCCCTGGGTGCGCCATGTACTTGCTCGGGACAGGCTTTGCCGACGGTACAGTCACTTCATTTGAGGGCATCAGAGGGCGATCTCTTGAGGTCGACAAAGCCTGTCCCGAGCAAGTACATGGCGCACCCAAGGATCCAATGCTGCTTCAAGACAGTCGTGCTGATGGGAGTAACCTCAAGGCGGGAAAGTGCCGATGGAGCCATGAGCAGACCCTTCTGAGGACACATTCAGCCTCGCAAGGAGCTACATCTACTGTCTGTATTTGGCATCTCCTAAGACTATTGCGATTCGGTTACTTCCTCAAGCTCAAGTAAGCAGATGGCATGCACCAGATGGCTTGCTACACACCATTGTTCTCATATCTAAACAAGAATTACGCCCTGTATTCACCCATTTTGTTGCGTGCTCAATGGCTTCAACATCCTCGATCCCTTCAACAATGCCCAATTTCTACTTTAGGAACGGAAGAACAACCTCCCGACGGTGCTACCCCGGCCATTGAAATACGAAGTACGAAATGCATCCTCGCGCGCAGCTTTTCCCCCGTTCTATCGACCGTCACCGAGGCACAGAATCTTGTTTGGCCGATTTGGCTTGGCCGGATGGAAGTCATTGACCCTTACTCTTGCACATCGGGCCTTGCAATCCGCCTTCTGAGATTCAGGCGTGTGGACAACGCCCGTACAAAAAGCATCAGCAAGCTGAAGGCCTGATCAGGGCAGCCTTAGGCTACTTACTCACCTACCTATACACGGTAAGGCTCCAGGCCTCAGGACTGAGGATCTCTCTCCAGGTCATACTGCTCCAAGAGGACATGTTATTTCAGAAACAGCTTCAACACTGCTTCTAAGATCTCCAAAGCGTCCAGATCCGACGTTACTTTGTCGCAATGTCGACCACGAGTGCCTCCGTCACGTCAAACAGGTTACTATATAATGGTCCAACTTATACTCATAATCATGCCCAACTTGGAGACCTTACAGGGCGTTCCATCAACTTCCGTTATCTTGAAAAGCCGTCATCATCGTCGACAACAACAACAACAGTCCAATTTCGCTCGATTCCATATGCACTGGTCCCGAAGCGATTCGCCCCGTGCAAACCATTGACAGACATCCCCTCTGAATTTGATGGCCGACCGCATCTGGACTTCACACAATTTGGAGCGGCCTGCCCTCAACTTGGCGGCATGGGTCCTACCTGGTTCGACTCTTACGGTGGTCCGCTGCCTGATGACCAAGGCATTGCCTTCGACGAGTTCACTTGTCTCAATCTGACCATTTCCGTGCCGCAACAGCACCTTCTCGACATCTCCGAGGGCAAAAACCCGAAGGCACTTCCAGTAATGATGTATGTCTTTGGCGGTGGAGCACAAGAAGGCATTGGAAACGTCGATGGCCTCCATTCGAACGCGCCGCTGGCAGCATATGCGTCCTCAATTTCCATGCCTGTCATCACCGTCAACATCGGCTACCGTCTCAACTGGTTCGGCGGTCTGATCTGTAACGACATGCTGGAGGAGTACAAGTCTGATGCCAATGCGTCTCCGCATGGGCCGTTCAATTACTTCATTCAAGACCAGCGCGCCGCATTCGAATGGATCCACAAATTTATCGGTCGCTTTGGCGGAGACCCCTCGAACATTACAGCCTTTGGCGAGTCAGCCGGAGGCATCTTCTTGGTCTACCACATTGCCGGGTCAAGGGAGAGACTCTTCAATCGCGCAATCATCCAGTCCGGCACCATCCTCGGCCACATGCCGTTCGAGCAGAAGGAGATGGAATATCAAGGCCTCCTTAAAACGTTCAACATCACTGGCTCGACCGCCAGCGAAAGGCTAGAGCAAATCCGACAAATCCCAGCAGAAGCCCTAATAAAGTACCCCGGCGCCCACATATTTCTCCTTGTTGACGACATCCCAGGTCTGAGGATCCCTAAGCCACTTTTCCCACGCGGACCTGCCACATACACCAGCCAGACAGCCTTGATCCGATCCTGCGAATGGCTGGAGGACCTTATCATCGGCGACGACTTCTGGGAAGGTCACGTCTTTGCCGACTACCTCCGTCCCGCGAAGGCGCCAGACTTCGTGGCTGTTGTCAAGTCCGCGCTCCCCGAACCACACGCCACTAAGATACTAGAAGCATACGACATGCCCACGTCTGCCGATGCAGCTGCGACGGCCGACCACAATCTCTTCTATCACAGTCTGACCTACTTCGTAGGCGATATCATGTTCTCAAGCTGGTACCACAGACTGGCTGCCGACCTCGGGCGCGACAAGAAACGCAAAATCTATCGTTACGCATTCGGTCTGTCAAACCCGTTCTTTGGGTCTCAGCATAATTTCGTCACGGGGCACCACTTCCTTGAAATACTGTTCATCTTCCTCACGCTGATGGACAGATATCCGAAACATCGGGATAACTGGCTCGCTAAACAGGCGTGTGAGACAGCGAAACGGTGGATCAAGTTCGCCAACGGCCACGAGCCCTGGGACGAGTACGGCTTGAAGGACGGGCAGGATGAGAGGGAGGCGAAGATCGCGATTTGTGACGATTTCAAGGGCTGGCACGTCAAGAGGCTCGCGCAGGACGAGGAGGAGAGTAAGTCGTACCCCGCGGGTCCGAGACGGTATGCGGCGTGGAGAGTGTACAACGAGGCGCTGGATGCACTGCGTGAGCCAGGCATGAGTGAAGATGCCTGGGGGACGAAAGTGGACGCCGCGAGGACGCAGATCATCATGTATGTTCTCACCTTGACCAGCAAAGTGGGTCATTGGAAGGACAGGGAGGTCGAAAGTGGTGACAAGTTGACGAGCGCGCTGGCGGATGAATCTGTGTGAGCTGCTGATAGTCAAACTTAAGTGGCTTTTCAAATGCCCTTCTACTTGTCCAACAAGAGTCAATGCGATCTCGTTAATACAGGCTGCAACATGTCTTTTCAGCGGAGTCACTGTTAACTGTGGACCTGCTGTGTCCAAACCGGCCAAGTCATCTGAATCTTATCTCGGGGAGGATTTCCAGCCTCCCCGAAAATATACCTAGGTACCAAATTCCTCCTACACCATATGATACGAGTACGGAAGCTGGAGAACTCCCGGCTCGATATCTCTCCAGACACTTCCATCTCTGGATTCTAAAGTCCCAGGGATAAGTACCACGGTATGTGTTTCAGGATTGTCCCGCTTCGGTGACGTCGCATTCTGACTCATTGACACCTTACTCTTCTAGTCGCAACAGTCCGAACTGGCACGGATTTAATATGTCCGATCGACATGATGGACGATTCGATATTGTCGCCGTCGATCAAAAGGTAAGTCCATTATAAAAGGCAAGCACGGCAAGTCAATCACCTTGCCCTGATTCTGTCTACCGGTATCATCCACCACAGCCATCTGCAAGTAGCTCAACTTCTCCCACCAGTCTCTCGAGTCTCTTACAGCTCTTCCGCGTCACCGACAACCACACCCACCACGATGACACTGACCATTCACCACCTCCGCGTGTCCCAATCCGAACGCATCATCTGGCTGTGCGAAGAACTCGACATCCCCTTCGACCTCAAATGCTACGACCGTGCCCCTCTCCTCGCGCCTGAAGATCTCGCCTCTCTAACTCCCATGCGCACTGCACCCGTCATGGCCGACACGAACCCCGTCACTGGGCAGACCTTCAGCATGACCGAATCCGGCGCAATAGTAGAATACATCATCAGCATGCACGGTCAGGGTCGCTTCTCTTTGACCCCCGCCCACCCCAACTATCCCGATTACCTCTTCTGGTTTCACTTCGCGAACAGCAGCCTGTTGCCTTCCATCACGCCGAGAATGTTCCTCCGCATGGCGAACCCAAAACTGGACAGCCCTGTACAAGGCATGGCCGAAGCTAGGACCGCGAAGAGCCTGGCGGCCCTGGAAACACGACTGGCCAAAACCCGTGCGTGGCTGGCCGGCGACGAATTCACGGCCGCGGACATTATGAGCGTATTTTGTCTGACGACGATGAGGACGTTTGTTCGGTTCGATTTGCGCGGCTACCCGAATATCTTGGCGTATCTGGAGCGCGCGGGCCGTAGAGAGAAGTACCAAGCCGCTATGGCAAAGGGAGATCCGGGCCTGGATTGGGAGGTGGGTATGAGTGCGAAAGGGTATGAGATGCATGGTGCCCTAGCGGATATGGAGAAACAGTTCGGTGTGGGCCTGGAAGCAAAGGTCTGAACAAGGGCTGCCTCTGACAGCAAGACGGAATAGACCAGCATGAGCACGTGTTATACATGACCAACGCTGGCAACGCAAGACTCATATAACGGCTGCCTGGAGACAACAAGAAGGTGAGAAGCGCAGGCCCGGCCTATCCTGCGAAAATAGCAACAGAGGCGGGGCCCACCGTGTTTGCCGTGTACAATATCCAGCACAAGTCAAAGGATGAAAGGACGATAAAGCGCTGGAAACTCCACTCCTTCCAAGACGTTGAGTCTTATCTCAAATTGATACGCCATTCTACTCGTTCAGGCAGAAGCTCCAGCAACGCATAGTTGATACCTGCACACATGGCTCATTCGTTTGTGTCCCTGTCTCATGCTCCGATCCTTCGACAGCTTGCTATGCTATGCTATGCTATTCTTTCGGCCCAAAGATGACATCAAGCAAATGTCTCGCAGCAACATCGCGTCCGGGACTCTCCAACATCCGATACACTCTGTTCCCCGAGCGATTGCCCAGCCAATTCCCCCTATCATGTGGCACTTCGCCATCACTGTTCCTCCGCTTCCGTGGCCGTTTATCGCCCACCGTCATCCCCCTAGTCCACTGCCCAGCCGTTTCAATCCTAACATCCTCGGGACTCCGCTCACTCGCCTTCCACTGCTTGTCATCCTGCGTGAGCACATACCACACGCAAAGCGGATCATGCAAGGCCAGCGCCGCGCCCTCTCCTTCGTGCCCGGTGTGCAGTCGCTCCATTTTATCCAGCATCGGCGTCATGAACGCTGTCATCCACTCGGCCAGCGGACTTCCTCGGGCTGCCAAGCTCGACGCATGAGCATTGAACACGCCTCGGCTGAGCATGTGGAGTTCTGTGATATCCAGGCTCATGAGCGTGAGTCTGAGCTGCTTGGACAACCGTGGCGGGTATGTGGGCATATGCATGCTGCGCTCCCCTTCCATTGGTATCGGCATCGTCGAGCTCGGGATCGGCGAAGTCAATGCATAGACGCGCGCAGCGGCGTACGGGTCCGCGTAGACATTGAATTCGGCTACGGGTGTGACATTGCCGATCCCATCGACCGTGCCGCCCATGGTGACGACCTCTTTACATCGCAAGAATGTCTCCGGATCCTCGGCCGCTGCGAGGGCGAAGTTCGTCAGTGGGCCGATGGCAATGAGCGTGATCGTGTCGGGCGGGTTCTCTCGTAGTAAGCGAAGAATCTCCTTGTGCGCGGGCACGAGGCTCGGGGTGAACGATTTGATGGGCTCTTCCTGGATGTTCGTCTCGGCTTTGGCTTTTTTGGTGAGATCGTCGTCTGGCGGCGGCTCTTCGAACAAATTCTTCCAGTCCTCTTCGGGAGAGAAGTGTGGGTGCGTAGTGTGTGTGCCGGCTAGGCCGTCGATGCCGTGGAAGTAGTCGGCAGACTCGATCGAGTCTTGGAGTGGCTCGTCTGCGCCGATGGCCACGAGAGGCTTGTATTTGGTGATGCCTTCGAAGCCTGGTGACTTGCCGTGTTCCTCTCGCCATTTCAATTCCTTTTCCAGGATGTGGAATATGGCGACCACGTTGCGGAGACAGCTTCGGACGTCGACGTTGCCGAAGGTGAGTGAGATGAGCATGACTTCCAGCTCTTCCGCCTTGCAGCCGAAGGCCAACAATATAGCCAGGACATCGTCGACGCCGGGGTCTGTGTCTATGATGATGCGGTTTTTGGGGGCCATGATCGTGGTCGTCCCGCGTGTGACCGAGCGCGTAGTACTACTTAGTATTGATCGAGACACTACTATGAGTTTGACAGTAATTGTCCGCGATAAGTCGATCTCGAACGTGGGACCCCAACATATGAAACTACCTCAAAACTGGATTGAAAAAGCAGTGCTTTCACAGAAGTAAATACTGCTCCAGTGAAAGTCAGACAAAGGCCACCATTGAAGTTGAAATGTGTTACGGAATCATTTGTGGAGCGTGGTTGATCCCTTGGACGAATTACCAAATGAAATGCAGTGAATGCCTACCTATACATAGTACAGTACCATCGGGCGACTCCGATCTCTGCTTTTCGTTCATACCAATCTCCTTGGCAGCTTCAGATCGATCGCCACGGTGGTTGGACAATGACATTCTCTATACTCGGTTCCCAAAGGAGGTAAATCACGGTCATTCTGGTTTTGTCTATATCTCCCCCTCTCAGACTGTTCGTACACCAAAAATGCAAGGATTGTGGAAGACAGTCTCCCAGAAGGCGCTCAATCCCCATAAACGCTCAGTATGCTGTAAATGCCACAAGCTTTTTGGGCTGGACTCTCTGGCCCTTCGTAGGTACACCATCGATCCCAGATTCCCCGCTTAGACGCCCCTTTCTGCTCATATTCTGCATGATCTCGTACGCATCATTATGTGCTCGCGAGTAGGAATTTTCTGCCCTTCCCTATGTCGGTTGTTTCAATAGACCTTCTTTTTCTCATCCACGCTCAATTGGCCCGGTCCCATGTTCACCAATAGCAGGAGGCCGCCCATGATCGACAGAATCTGGAAGAAATCGTATTTGGCAAAGTCCTTGTGGGGATGGTTGTGATGGAGCTGTATCTCGAGTTAGCACTAGCGCAGAGACGAGACAGCTTTGCGTGTTTGCTTACCGTCCAGAAGTTGTTGACAAGCACGTTGAAGATACTGAGGAGCACGACCAGGATGATGGCACTGAGCTTGGCCTTGAAACCGACGACGACCATGACACAAGCCACGAACCCAACCATGCTGACCAGCACTCTCCAGAAGCTCCATTCACCTGCAAAGACGAAGCCGATGAAGAGGAAGATCAGAAGGACTCGTCCTCCGAGCTGAATGTACATCTTCTTGTCCTTTTCATCGATCGAGGGCAGTCCAGCAAATACTCTGGTCTTCTTGACAAAGCTGTCTCCGAGCACCATGAGCAGGCCACCAATGACGGACAGGTTCCGGAGGAAGAAGTTCAGATCGAAAATAAGGCCGTATCCGAGTGCTTGAACAACCACGACCGACAGCAGACCGCCGACTGCGTACTCTCCGTAGCGGCGCATGATGACCAACACTGAACAGACGGACATGGTGATGACATTGAAGATCAGGAAGAGGTGTGTGAGGCCCCAGGGGACTGGACAGCGTGTCAGACTATGGCTCAGCGCTTCTCTTTTAACTCTCACTCACTGTGTCTGAAATCCCGTAGGTAGGTAAGCTGATCATTCCATTGGGTAATGATCCTTATAGCATCTTCGATGAAGGTGACAACAATGAGAAATCGTCCAATAGCAGGAAGATATCTGCGAGAGTCCGACCAGTCAGCTCTTATGCTCGAATGTCTTTGCGTGATGTGCTCTGAGTGGAAGACTATAGTACTTACGGTCTCAAGGGTTCACCCATGGTGTTCAGCCAGTCTTCAATCTTGCTGGTCTGTTCTCGGATCTGGTCCAGAGGACTTGGGTCGCTCGTGGCTTCAGTACTCCGTTGAGAGCTGAATTGGTTGTTCAGACCCAAGTTGTAGCCTGCGGTTCCTCGTATTTGCGCCATCGTGGAAGCTATTTATGGAGAGTTGGAAGTGTCGGTTCGGATGGTCAGCGAGAAGAGGAGCAGTGAGGAATTCTGGTGCTCAAGGAGAGGGAAAGTCTGTATAAGAAAGGAGGACAGAAGAAAGGGAGAAATTGCGTGGGGCACAAGTGTGTTTGTCGAATGCTGTCAAGTTCCTGCAAGCGTGAGATTATATCGATCAGTGGCACAAATAATCACAGTCGCGTTTTCGGTCGGCGCACGACGATTATGGCCAGCACCAGCCGCAGAAAAGCACAGGTCGCTCTCCCTCTATTCTTAACACGCTGGCCGTACCGAAAGCCTAGCAGCCAAGGCCCCTCTACCAATTTTCCAAGCCAATCACACGCCCTGTTCCCCTGAAATCATGCCCCTTTACCTCTCGATGGTCACCTTCCTCGACTCAGCTTTTCCGTCAGCTGGCGGAATTGGTCTTTTTGCAACCACAGTCCTTCGTAAGACGCAGAGCATCTTGGCTGTGGGATATTCCTATCTTTAAGTGCTGCTCTGAGCAGCATCGGCATTTTTGGATGATTTTCATTGGAAAACCATCTATGATGGCATTTTGATTTGGCAAGGTCACTGGGGCTCAGAGTCCTTCCTCAACCCTTTTTACTTGCTTGCAAGCCTGAAACCTTTAGGTATAATCTATGCTAAATCAAACAGATGCTCCTCACCAAGAGCTGAAAAGGACGAAAGCAAACTCGCCATGCGGGCCGGTGGCATCGAAAAATATAAGTAATGATAATGATGGCACGGGCGTGCTCTGGTCGAGCTCTCAAGCCTCCCACTTGGCGTCATTCAACGACGGATCTGCCTCCTAAGCTTCCCAGCCGGCGTCCTCGAATAATGGGTCTGCCACTTGCTCAAAAGACTGAAACCGATTTGCGTTCTCGTTACGAGGCTTGATGCCATTCTCTTTGTTGCCATTAGTTGCAGGTCTGTTGATGGCGATGGTCGGTCGAGCAAAAGACGAACTTGCTTCGCTGCTGGTTTCATTGTCTCTCTTGCCTTTCTTCTTGCCTTTCTTCGACGTCACCGGTTCCCACTGCTCTTCTTGTGCCAGCTCTTTGGCCCATTTGTCTTGCTCCTCTTCATTGACCTCGTCGGCCCAACTTGGCTGAGTTTCAAGTCCTGGTCGTGCGATCTTCTCACGGCCTGAAGCACCCAGAGCAGCAGTCTTGCGATCGCCTTTTTCTTGTCGGACTTCGTTAAGGTTGGCTGTCTCAGGCACCGAGTTGGTGACCTCGGACAGTGGCTCGGAAGTGACGGCTCCGTTGACTTGCGTCCCGGGCGCGTTTGGCTTCTCGAATGTGTCCAACAAGGGACCAGTTTCGGCGTTTAAGGGCTTCTGGGATGAGTCCACTGATGCTGGCTTTCCTTGCTGCCAGGCGTTCTGCTTGGCTGTGAATGAATTTGCTTTGGTCTGATTGGAGTTCCCTTCTGCCATCCGCGCTGTCCGGAGTTGGGCCTGTTTCTTGGCCTCCTGCGTGCGGTTCGATTCTTCGATCCTAGCCTTCTCCTCCGCCTTCTTGGCTTGTCGCTGCCGCTGTTTCTTTGACAGGACAGGCTCGAAAGCCTTGGCGATTGGCTTCGTAACGTTTTTGGCTACAGCATCCTTCACATTCGTCAATCGCATGGTTGTTGGTTTCGCAGCTGGCGCTTCCAGCATGTCAGAGACATCTGCGGCTCTCACTGTTGGGGCCGTCGAGACAGGGCCTGACGATGGCGAACCACCTTGAGACAGATCATCATCAGCATCGCGGCCGGTGGTTGAGGAAGCCTCAGTTGAGATGCCAGAGGCTTCAAAGCCAGTCTGGGTGGGCTGTGACGCCTGTCTCGCAGCTCGACGTTCCTTCTTGCTAGCCCCTTGTGCTTTTGATGGTTCTAGTTTTGTGCCAGCTTGAGCTCTAGCAAGCTGTTGGGCAAATTCCTTGTTGCTCAATTCATTGTCGTCATCCCGTGCCAGATCCTTGTATTGACCTTGACTTGTCTGAGGTACAACGGTATTGTCCACCGGTGTAGACACAAGTTTCCTCCTCTTGTTGGCTTTGTCCTCCGTAGCACTTGTAGGGGTGGAGGCGCCACTGTTACCAGAGTCAAGTCGACTGGCATGTGTCCGCTTGGGTTTCTGTCTTTTGGCAGCAGGTCTCTGTGTTGCCTCGGTCGACTCTGTTCTCGTCGCTACGTGTCCGGTGAGTTTGTTGAACAGCTCAGGATTGTAGTGTCTGGTCAGCACTGCAGCCAGCGCGAGCAGCGCGACCCAAGAAGCGGCGGTTGACCACATCTTGGGTGACGCCAGGTTGTCAGCGGGAAACGCGGACAGAGTAACGGCCAAGTAGATTTATCTTTGGTGTAGATCTTTCAACCGAAAGCTGCCTCAATTGTATAATGGTTATGACTTTCTCAACTCGGTGGCCAAAGACTGAAGCGCGCAGCCAAGCAAGGGATAGTCTTGCAACTAATCTTAGAGTGCTGGCCAAGCAGCTTGTCAGGTATCAGAAGTCTCGGCGAATATGAGGAGGCAGATGTTGGGGGAGGTCTTGAAAAGAGGGTGAGAGTGGTGGTGTGGTGGTCGGAGTGGTCTTTTGTTCGAGCAGGTGGTTTGAGAACCTGGTCGAAATGTCTCAGGAGTTTGGACAGTTCGATGATTGCATACGGCGGGATTTAGAACGTGACCCGAACAGCTCGATGGCCAAATGGAGGACAGACCAGTGGGACTTCCAGGTGACCCACGTCTGCTTCCAAGCTGGATCACGACTTGTTGAGACTATTTGTTAGACAAGAAGGGTGCATGGACTGGTCCTCTGCCGCGTCATAGGTTTGCAGGGTATTTGTGATGGTACGGTGGAGAAGGCGACGGTCGTATGAGGACGGAAGGGATTGTACGCATTCACGTATCAGGAAGGTCGTTGAGGTAGTAGGGATGGAGGGACGACAGACAGGTGAGTGGTACAACAAAGAAGCGCGAGGTATCGAGAGTTGTCTGAGAGGAAAGGAGCGGTATTTGTCCAGAACTTAAGCGTGTCAGTAACATATCAGTCTCGTCGCAGTGAAGAATTTGTTGACAGAGTGGTGAATTCACTGTTACTCGGGGTCTTTAACTGGATGTCACCCTTGATGCCATCTATTTTTTTAACGGGGAATCGCCTAGTGAGCTCAGTAGCCGCTATTTCCCACCCAAATTTGACGCCTAGGGGCCCCGTAACTCTTCTCCGCACTGGTCTCCTCTGCCCAAAGTCGCGTAATTCATCCTCGCTCCGGCTCCCACGATGGCTCCAATCACTGTGGTCAATGGCGCCCATGCTCCAGACCTGTACGAGCTCGTATTAACTTATCCTGGTGGTCGGCACCATCATCCCTGCTCGCCACGCGCCTGTCACACCCTACTAAACCTGGGAATTTGATTCTGGAGATGTGGAAGGGGAGTGAAGTGGGCGAATCTACGGTCTACAACCACTAGGACTATATCACACATGCGTAAGCGAAATGCAGTGGAAATCATCTTTCTTTCTTTGTACGAACGAGACTTCGTCTGTACAACATGGGCAAGCCTCATATCAACCAAGTTGCCCTGCGTGCCGTATACCATGTCTTTGAACAATCTTCGTGTTCCGTGTTAACCAAACGCCAATTCTCCTTGCGAAACCCAGAACCCTCGATTCTCTGTTATAACCTGAACTCCTTGCTGCGAACGTAGCATGTTCGTCCATTCATCATCTTCATCGTAATCAAACAGTCAAACAGTTAAGCGTTGTAGAGAAGGCCTCTTCTTAAGAAGCCGATGTGACGTCAAAGTCGCCAGTAGTCGTAAATAGACTCGTGTCTTTCAAAAATGTTTGGAGCTTTGAATTTTGGCATAGCTTTTCACCACTTGGTCTGATCCGGAGGAACAATGCAGTGAAATTGCCAACTGTCGCTTCTTTTGGGTACAAAGAGATCGTCTCTGACTGACGCACGCGGGTGGATTGGAGGTGGCTTGATGATAGGATCAGACAAGTGCTTTGTCCGGACCGTGCTGGCTTGTTGCATGTTTTCAGTGACATCGTCTTCGATATCGATGCTGCCCACACTTGTCGTGTCACTGATGTCGACGTCTTGCTCGTCCAGCTGTTGTGTAGACCGAGTCATCTTCAAGGGGGGTTCTGAGTCAAAGAATGGGCGCTTGCTGCCAATGACACACATGGGCCATCGCATTTGTGTTTCCTCCGTGGCTTGCTTCTTTCCTGCCATCACAGCGGCGCTGGGAGGAGGTAGCAACATCCAGCGAGCTTCACCTCTCGTAGCAGGCAACTGGGACACAATAGGAGGGTGCAACTCATTCACTTCAGGGTTTCTGGCTCTTTGATAGTCGTATCGATCGCTTTCGTTTGTTGCAGCTCGTTTCCGATTTTGAACAGACGGACCCGCCACGTCCTGCGCCTCAATCTCCTCGTGATGTGATCCTGAGATTGCTCTATTCCATAATCCCCTCATTCGTTCGCTGAACCCAAACAGGACCTCGTCGTCACGGTTGTATCTCTTCCAATTCCACCCATCTGGGTGTAGGTTCACTCTCAAAGTGTCTTTGATATTTCCGAAAGCACTGGATAATCTCCGCTCTGCATGCGGTCTGCTGGGTGTAGCACCGGGTTTTTGGTCAATCGGACCGGCCACTTCAGAAGCTGTAGTGGCAGTGTTGCTGGAAGATGGTCGTGTAGAGCATTGTGTTGGTTGTGTGGAGAGCCCGGGTGACGGAGTCGGCTGCGATTGTGGTGGTGGCATCTCAGATGCTTTTGGCCCCTTATTCGACTCTTTCTCCTTTTTGGACATGTGTTTTTGCACGTTTCGTAGCAGCGTGTCGGCCTTCCAGCCCTTTGGTGGGCCAGGGCCCAGCATCAACTCATATGCCCAGGCTTCATTGGTCTCAAAGGCTCTGGGTTGTCTCACAGGTTGTGGTTGTGTGGTTATTATTTCTGCCTGTGCGGCGTGTGCGGTTCTGGCTTCCTTTGCTTCCCTTCTTCTCTTGCGCTTGTGTTGGAATTCGAGGCAGGGTGTCAGGGAGACGTAGTAGAAGATTGCAGACTGAACGCCACGCAGGAACCAATGTCCGGGCTCCGCAGCGTATGTCTCGGACGCCATTCTCGTTGTTCAGAGGTGTAGTGAGTATTTGAAAATGCTGAGATTGGATGTACTGTTCGAAAGCTGTGATTTTGGGAGACTTTGAGTGGTATGTGCAGCAAGAAGTGAGGAAGGGATTCCTCTCCTATTAAGTACGGCTGAGCCTCTTCGACAGTCCATGTTCACGGTGGATCGGTGCAAACGTTAACATCAGGCAGCGACAATGTCTCAGCGCAGAGAGGGCCGAGTACTCGCGCGAGGACCTCAGAACATGAACGTTGTAAGTGATATGAGGTTCGCCGCTGTCGATCTGCGCTGATGGTGACGAGGTGGAAGAAACACGCGGAGGTACAAAGGGCACGGGGCAAACTTGTGGGCCAGCGGGTCAAGTTTCGTCTGACAGCGGTCATTCCGTCCTAGTGCCCCATTGAGACAGGCCTCTTGTGCCGTCAGACGAGAAATCTTTTCCGAACCACGTGTTGAAGTGAAAGTTCGTACCGAGATGCAACACCACGAGGACCTCAGAAAGGACCCTCCTCGCCTCTCACCCAGCCTCCTCCCCCGTTGATAATCACGAAGCACATGTTTGAAACGAACATGAATCGGGTGGATCAAGATACATCCAGTTTGTCTGCTTTCTGTGCACCAACCCGCAGTCAAGAGATGGAGACGGTACGACGAATAGCCTTGCTGACGGCGCCTCTAGAGTTCCAAACTTCAATGGATAATATACCACTTGTGAGTCATCCACTCTGTCCAGCAATGCAGAAGATGTACTAAGGTAAACCCAATAAGAATTACAAGCTGCATGATTGACAACAAATTCAAATCCAAATCTAATCACCTCAGGATACGACGAAACCTTCATATCCATCTTGTCTAACATTCTCGAGCGTCTTCTTATACCTCGGAATGCCTCCTGCATAGTTCAAATGCTCCCGGGGCTTGCCCGGAATATTGGCGCCGTTGTACCACGAGTCGACCTTTCCTCGCGGTGTATCGTTGATCAACTCGAATACGAGTGCTCTCCAATTTTCCTCTGCCTTCCTGTTCGCATCGATCTTCTTCAACCCTTTTTCTCGCATGTCGCTTAGAACATTGACAATCCAGTCGCCTTGCACCTCGATGCATGATGGGCCGTTGGAAAAGGCGGTCGGCGCTTGAGGGCCATATGTACTGGAAAACTCACCGTCAGCGTGCTTCCCACTGGACTCCGTCTATTCCGGCCATTGGGGCTCTCGAGAAGGGAGATATGGCCGTTAATGGTCGGTAAGATGTACTTACAAGAAGAAATTAGGAAATCGTGCCGTCGAAATTCCCAAGTAAGTCCAAGTGCCCTTGGCCCATTTCTCAGTCAGTATCTCGCCATCGACACCCGAGATCTTCATGTCCTTCAGACCGCCAGTGATTGAATCAAATCCTGTAGCGAGCGCGACGATGTCAAGTTTATGGAATGTGCCATCTTCCTGGATGATGCCATCAGAGACGAACCGTTTGATAGGATTGTTCCGAACATCGACAACGTCCACGTTAGGCTGGCGGGAAATTAGTCAGACCGACCGCACATTTCGTTGAATGGATGTTTACCTTGTTGAAATGGTCATAAAAGTCCTGTTCCAGCGACAAACGTTTTCCGCCGAAGAGATGTGGACGTTCCCAGGGGGCGAGGAGTTCTTGCTTTCTCGGATCGTGGACACGTTCTCTCACACGATCGCGCCAGAAATTGTACGCTTCGTGATTTGCGGTTGAGTCGCGAGTCATGTCGTAATAGTTGTTCATGAGGAATCGGAAGCCGCCCTAATGAAGGCGGATTGTCAGTTCCGACCATGGGAGAGAAGACCCAGCATACCATCTTCCACAGTGTCCAATAAAACTCTTCCCTTTCCTTCTCATTGTGATCGAATGTCAAGTTCTCACGCCACTGATATAGGAAGCCGTTATAGTAGTTATTACGCTCCGCGAATCTTGTGCCTAGTTCATCTCGTAATTTCGCCTGTTCTTCCTTCGTCATATACTGTTGGTTCATGGGGCAGGCTAGATTGGGTGTTCGTTGCCACATTTCGAGATGGCCGTCTTCGCCGATCTCTCTGGCCCACTAAAATTGGTCCCAGGTCAATTCAGGGCCATGCATTTGGGTTATCAGCAACGTACCTCTTGAGTTATCTGAACACCCGTTGCTCCTGTCCCTATCACGGCCACCCTCTTCCCCTTCACGTCAACACCATCTTTCGGCCAAAAGCTGGAGTGGTGGATGACCCCTTTGAAATCCTCCAGGCCCTCCCAGTCTGGGAAGTGTCTCCGAGTTGCAAACCCAGAACATGCTGTCCAGAACTTGGCCTTGAATACTTTTCCAGTATCGCATTTTATGGTCCACGAACAAGTATTATCGTCCCACTCGGCTGCAACGACTTTGGTGTTGAAGACGCAGTCCTTCTTAACTTGGAGTTTGTCTTCAACATGCTTGAAATACTCCCGCAGCTCGGCGTGGTCTGGATAGTGCGAAGACCACGTCCAATCTTGGTAGACTTCCGGGATCGAGAGCGCATAGACTGGGTATTGACTGTCAACTCTCGCTCCGGGATATCTGGGTATAGTCAGTACATGGGGACATGTTCAGACGCAGGAGCGTGGCATCTGGTTTCTGGGGCCTGTCTTCGAATGTTTCCGCAAATAACGTACCGGTTCCAGTACCATATGCCTCCAAGGTCGGAACCTGCCTGGGCACAAACGAGAATTAGCACCAAGGCACAATCAAACTGCCAGGTGGATGAGAATACCTCAACTATCTTCGCATTAAAACCTCGCTTTCTCAACTGATGAAGCAAGTAGACTCCGGCGAATCCGGCGCCAACGATGAGCATATCGAGAAGCTGGGACTCATCGTGCTGTAGAAGGCCATTCGTCTCGACTCCATTTGTGATAGGGCTGTTTTCATCATTCACATTGCTGATATCGCGCTTGAGCGGCATTGCGGCAGAGTTCGATGCTGCTGGACAAGATACTTGAACTAGCGATCATGCCAAAGATGTCGCATTGATGGGAAGGTGGATTCCTGCGTACATAAAATGATGAGATGAGTACTTCGAAGCAAAAGCCGTGGATCTAGGCAGAGTGCTTGATAACGACATGGCACAGCAGCTGGAGAAGCGATGCGGGGATGGCAACATCTTGCCTCGCTTGCAACATGTCCTTTCGCCTGGGGTATGTTGGCCCTCGGGAGTCGGCTATACGGTGACGACCGTTAGGCTTCGAAGAACGGCTGGTGAGCCATTACAGTAGGGGATGACAGCCTCGCGTGCGGAGAACCCGCTGTCCCCGCAGTCCGGCCAAGGGGGGACCGTGAAAATAATGTGGGAGACACGTAAGGTACCTAACCTAGGTACTCTACTTGTTGCCCCCTGGAATGTCGTCTTGGGCAAGACAAATGACGTGAGCAGATTGCTTGCGTGAGATTGAAAGAGAAGGTACTGAGGCCTGACGAGAGTTGATCTGGACTTAACTGTCCTCTCAGCTGACGATGGCTTGCTGGGAGCGCAGGTGTGTCCCGGAGTGATGGCTAATGACGCTGCGACTGCAACGGCCGAATTGCCAGTCTTCATCAACTGAATCCCAGCTGTCGAGAGCCATGACAAAATCCGACTCTCAGTATGGATAAACCGCACACTCACTACTAGGTCACGACTTGACGAGGGACCACACGGCGCATCAAAGATGCTGTGGGCTTCGCACAGCTTCGATAGACAGATGCCACACGTGGTGCGCTAATAACGATAGTGGAGGCTTGGCGGTATCAGGGCCAACAAAAGTGACTTTTACCACCGTGCTAAATCTGTGCCCTAAAACCCTCCGAGCGACAGAGTAAGAAGTTTCCGACCTCAGGATGTTCACAGGTTGTCACAGTCAGCACCGCGGGGATTCGCACTCTACCCGGTAGAGAGAGAGAGACTTTGATGTTGAATGGTGTCTGCGATGATCAGGTAAACTACGGCCCTATAAACTTCGATGATTATGACTACCACAATGACTTGCGTTTCTGCGGGCTCAGGCAAGGTAAACCGTTTAATCGTTGACGCACACTGAAAAATGTTCGGAATCGCGCAAACATAGATGATCAGGACGAGATGCAACAATGAGCTTGCAAGACACTCGTTCTACAGGCGTCATCGAATCGATTACTTTGCACGGAATGGTCTGCCTTCCTGGTGACGCGCGACTCCGGAGACAATATCTCTGGCTTTCGGTGACTTCTTCAGCCTTTTGGAAGGATAAAGACTTGGTTGGTCGCAGCTCACACTCTTCCATTGCGGTGCTTGTCCTCACATACCGAAGGACTTATCGAATTAATCTGTACTCCCTGACCTGCATTTTCCTTTCGTGAGCTTGCTGAAGCTGAACATGCGGAAAGTCTACGACAGTTTAATTCTAGGGTCTGGCTTCGCGGGCCTTTCCACAGCGCTCACTTTAGGCCGATTGCATCGAACCTGTGCCATATTATCAAACTCGACATTCCGCAATGCAGGCGCGCATGCCGCACATGCCATTCTCGGTCATGATGGAAAGTCGCCAGAAGAGATTCGCCGCACTGGACGGCTGGAAATCGAGGCTTACAGGCACGCCGAGTTTATCGATGCCACAATCATGAAAGTCTACAAAGAGAATAGCTCTCGCCACAATCATGAAGTATTTGTTGCTGAAGACCAGCAGGGCAATAGATGGGCCGGGCGATCACTTGTTATTGCTACAGGCTCCAAAGACGTATTTCCTGATCTCCCTGGGTTTGTCGAGAATTGGCCAGATAACATGTGAGTACCCACCTCTAGCATATCCAACATTTCCGGGGACGCGAGACATCAACTGACATTCATCCTGCTCAGATATCAATGCCTCGTATGCGACGGTCATGAGCGAGCAGATCTTCCAAAGGGTATCCTCGCATATCCTCAGCTGACCATTCTCGCCTGCAAGATGGCCACAGTGGCTCATTTCGAATCACTGCCACCTGGTGCTGGCCACGATGCAACATTTCCTCCCACCCCGTCGAAGGTGACGGTCTTCACCAATGGCCCAGCCAATCCACACAATGACAAGGAAATCACTAGGGGTCTCCACATACTGGCTGGCCATGGTATAACAGTCGATGAGAGACCAATCCAGAAGCTCGTACGTGACCCCAAAGAAGGTCTCCATGTACATTTCACCAATTCCGAAACCGCCTATATGGGCTACTTGTTTTTCAAGCCCGCTTCCACACCTCACAGCCTCACACAAACATTGATTTCTCATTTCGGACTTGACACGACCAGTACGCCTTTTGGTTCGAGTCTTACAGCAAGTGTTCCTACGATGAGCACCAACGTTCCTGGTATATTCGTGGCTGGAGATGCGGGAAATGGTATGGGGAATGGCACGAATGCGATTCACACGGGTGTGGCAGCCGCAGCCGGTGTTACTCATTTCGTGAACGAGCTAGATGATGAGATTGCGTTGAAACTCTGGATGGATGCGCAGAAGCCACGGAAAGAAGCATGAACGGACCGAAATGTCTCGATGCGCATTGAAACAGTGATGGTTCTGCTAGGCTCCTAGCTTGGGAAGAATTTGAGACGGAGCTGGTACAGAGTGCATAGAGGAAGAATACTAGTAATTGAAAATGCATATCTGCGTAATAAGAAAACATCATCAAGCACACAGTGTTCCATGGAATCAGTTGACGACCACTGTCCCTCTTGTCCGCACTAGTTAGGCAACTTTGGAGCGCTTACCAGATAGAAGTGATTTGGTCAGTAAGACAGCATGTGCATAGTCGATTCCCTCATTCTGGATCCTCAAACAAAATGATCAACTCACCATATTGTGAAGGCTCACTCAGGCATCCTCAAAGGCATGTAGGCATTGGAAGGACGGAATCGTCGTGGCCTAAATCATAGAGCTGGCCCATCTCAGGAAGCATAGCCAAGTTGGATCCTAATTGCGGAAGGATTTCGAGCATAGTGATGGCTTTCATCCACAAAGGAACTCCGAGGTCGCTATCCGAGCTTCCTTGCCACACAATGCTCCTATGTTGTTGCTTTGTTTTCCTTATCTCCTTTGTTTCCTGAAGTCACGCTGCCTCGTACCTTACGAAGCCAAAAGCTGCTGTTCTGACTCCGTCTTTGTATGTCGACCACAGGTCTTCTTGTTCAGGTCTTACACGTCAGAAGCATATCGATTTCTGCGTGGATTTTGCATATTCCACAGCCAAATTGGACTCCGAAACGACTGCGGTTCTTGCCAATACCATGGAGCCAATCTCACTTTCAGAGGACCCTGACCGTTATCACCCACCTCTTAGCGCAGCTCTTTATGCAATTGGACCCCTCTCACCGATCTCTGAAGAAATGAGCACTCCAGAGACAGCAACCCCCTACGCCAACATTGCTGCTCTTGACTCGTATCTCCAGCAAGAATCGTCTGACACCCAAGGGAACACCACTCGACCAGAAGACGCTAGCCAGACTAGACCTGTTCGTATCACGTCTCCCATACTGGGTCTGCAGATTACCGACAATGTGCTGATCCTGACGGACAAACTCCTGTCAGTGACCAAGGACTTGTATTCAATCGCCGATGACCGCTTCGCCAGTGCTGAAGACATGTTGCAGATCCCACGCACATTTTGTACACAGATCGATGAAGACATCGAAGAAGAAGGACTCGCCCAGAGTACTGGCATATCATACCTGAGAAAGCATTTGAAGTTGGCGGACAATAGGCTACAAATCGCGCGGTCAGGGGTGGCGCTGGCTGAGAATCGGCTTACGCTTGCTAAGTCCCAACTGACGCTTGCAGAGAGTCGAGTCAAGTATTTGAGAAATCACATCGAAGCTGCGAAGGAGAAACGTGGTTCGATCGATACTGAGTAGGCTGCTCGGACATAGGAGATTGATTGCCATTTGGACAAAGGTGAGTGAAGGATATTGATCTGCCCCGCTTGAAGCAGATGTTCGAACCTGTGAGTGTTAAAGACGAAAGTGAACCAGACTACCATGGATAAGGGAGGCTAATATGGTCATGGTGATAGTCCGACCTTGGTCATATTGTAAGGTCAGAAAGAGCTGACAAGATGAGTACGGAGTAGTTCGGGCTTCAATGCTTCACTGTAGAGATCTGCCCCGCTTCTACTGCCAATCACTACTCCTTTTGCGAATTGTTTTTCCGTTTGCATCCTCGAGTTCCTGCCTCTTCACGCATTCGAGTCACTTACTGTACAGACTAGGAAATGGCCTCGTTCAAGCATCGAGCCGAGGATCTTACCCTTGTAATTTGTGTTCGAAGTGCAAGACTGTGATCATGACGGGGCTCCTTTATTCATTGCAAAAATCAGCAACAAGTCTGGAATGACATTCCCTTTATCGCAAAATATTCCGAGAAGGACTTTGTGAGATTGATTATATTGATTGAGAAACAGATACAAAGGAAACTTCAACTCCATCGCCAAACTCCATCGCTATGCTAAAGCAATGACGCCCGCAGCAGGCTTCTGTCATGTCAGACTTCACTACCTGATACATCAAACCATCCTCTGGAACTCCGCTTCAAAGTCAGAGCCTGCATAATCATGTTCTTCCGTCAACGTGACCAATCCTGGATGGTAAGCTTCCTGGTGATATCCCACCGGCTGAGCATGTTCATATGTGATGGCCCTTGGACCATCCTGAGGTAGATTCATGCCACTTTCATAGTATCCAAAATGGAAGTCCGACTCCGACTGTCCCAGTCGAGGGTCCAGAATGTCACCTTGGATTGACACTGCCGGAGCAGGATGCGATGTCAACAGCTCATGATGCCCAGCGTGGGGCATGCCAACGAGTCCCATGGTCGTCTGATACTGTGGAAAAGGATCGTCCAACATCTGAAACTTGATGTCGCTGACTTGACCAGCATACGGTGCGGTTGTCGTCTGGTAATATTCGCCAGACATGCCGTATGGTCCGACGATTACGGGCACTTGTCCGTATGGATTGCTCATCTCGTACGCGGAGAGGTTGCTTGCGGGCATGGGATAGGCGTACCGGGCGGCTCCCTCGTCGAAAGGAGTCGATGATGCGCTCCTGCTGTCATATTGGCGACTGCGCTTGGAACTCTTGGTCGAGCCTTCCCATTCACCATCACTGTCGCTGCCATCGTCATCACGTCTGGTTCTCTTCCCGGCCTTGTTGGGTGCGAACTTGTAGTTCGGATGGGCTGCTTGATGGTTGTCCCGTTCGGTGTTGGCTAACTGCTCATAGAACTGCCTGATTTCTTTTGGTTCCAATGGCCAGCTTGCTCCTGTCACTTGCGAAACGACCTGGTGATTGTTCTCCTTGCAGAACTGCTTCACCCGATCTGCGTACGCGGATCGGTACAGCATGAAGGAGTTCATCGGTCTTGAGATGTATCCCTTCTTTCTGTCGACCTCTGCCATTCTTTCCTCTACCGGACGGTTCGCCCACACCGACATGTCTCTCACTGGTGTTTTGTAGTCTTTAGTCAACTCGCTGAGCGGTTGTTCGATGACTGGACCTCCTTTTTTATTCGGCTTTTTCTTCAGATTCCGCCTGGGTCGACTCTGTGGCGAAGGAGAGACATGGCTGGAATCAGTCCTTGAGCCTGGGCTCGACGGTGTACCAAGCGCTCGACCGCTGCGGGTGTGAATCCCATGTTCGGCCATGGCTTGGGGACGGGTGTGCGAGGGTACGGAGGTGATCGTCGCCTGGTCAATGTTAGCCATCATGTTCCAAGCTGCAGCATGTGCCGACTCACTCTTGGTGGTGTGTAATAGACAGGAGTTGGTGCTGTATGATAGAGGGATGGGTCACCATACGCATCCTGTCAAGGTAAGTCTCCTTCTATAAATATGGAGGGATGATGGTTGTACTCACGAAGGGTGGCGGCGGTCCAATTTCTGACATGATTGACCTTCCGTGCATAGGCGGTGTGAAAGGCTCTGGAACAGGGGTGGCTCGTGGGTTGCTTCGGTTATTGTCGCTCATGTGGTAATGGCCGTCTGTTGAATGAGGTGGTGAAGGTGGTCGCCCTGTGACAATGTTTTGGGCCGTTGATGCTGGCGGTAGTCCGCAAAGCAATGAAGACGGTAAAGCTTTGTGCTGGAGATCGAAGCAGTCGCGCAGGTCGTTGGAGACGATGAGCACTGGATGGTTCGCTGGATGTTGCAGCAGCAGAAGCAAGGAATTAAAGGCGTTTGTAAGATGACTGAGAAGCAAAGGCTGATCGATCCCAGGAGTTACCCTCTAGTCTGAGCCGGAGTTCCAGATTTGTATTCAGTGGAGAGACCTCTATCAGATGGATCTCACCACCGGTCTGGCTACCAAGCTGTCGGCTTCCGTGGCAGTGGATTGCTTCACAATGGGAGGTTGGTTTATCCCTTGGGCGTTGCTTTGACGGAAGAAACAATTGGTGAAAGAGTTCCGTTGTTCTCAGAGGGAGGATGTGGCAGCCGTCAGCTTTGCTGTGGATTGTTGCAGGAACCCGACGCAAGATAAGAAAGGATGTCGTGAGCGTTGGATGTCCTGTGTCGGTATGCTGCAGGATTGCTGGCTTCCGATACTTGCGGTGAGCGAAACGATGTTCCTGATTCGAAGCCGATTACGCTTGATAGTGGTGGCTTTGTCTCAATTACCCGCTTGAGGATGGCTGAAGATGGAAAGCAATCTCAAAATGAGAGACTGGGCTGATTGAGAACCTTTGTTGGATGCAAGAGAAACAGAAACAGAAAGACTACAACAAGAGATCATATCAACCACCGACTGAAAGTCTCGAACACATGTTCGCAGTGAGTTTGAACGCTTTGAGCAAGAATCGCCGCATCCGGAAATACGATTCATCTCCGGCTTTATCTGGAGGAGCATCTTTTGTTTTCGGTCTGATGAAAGCAGTGAGTACTCCTGGGGCTATTGCAGACTGTATCAGCCTACAGCATCCGTGAAATGAAGCAGTGATGGGTGAGAGGCAGGGATTGTGTCCAAGTGGTGAGCCTCTCCTGCAATATGGCAGAAAGTGGATACTTTCTCCATGGCAAACTCCATGGTATCGACCAACGCACCGTCACGCCCATGGCCCAGCCACGGCTGTTGATCCACGAAAGGTAGAGAATTTTCTTGCTAGGGATTGAAGCACCATAGCAAGTTTCTACACTATATTGAAGGGGAACGTCTGCTTCCAAGGTAGGTGTTTACTCCACCATTCCCAAGTTCAGTGCTCGGGCCACCAGTCACATTCCTTGCCTTCGGCGGCACCGTTTTCAATAACTCCAGCAGACATGTTCACAGCTCGTGCATATTATTATTATTCGGGCATGGAAATTTGGGCCGATCCGGATCTTGACTGGATGGTGGTTTGCCAGGAGTAGGAGCTCTTGATTGGCTACCAATGGTTCTTTGTACCACGAACGACTCATATGAAGACGGATACCAGCATGATCGCCGTGGAACTGGCTGTTGGCTTCCATAATCTCCGAAACGCTACAAACCGACTTCGCCAAAGATGTTGTGCATATCGTGTCAAGTGCTGCAGTCCACATATATTGCTGATTTCGCTGCTGTGGCCTTGATCTCTTCAGATATCCATTGAGCACTCTGCAGTATACCAGGCATGTACTCAGTGTCAGCTCTCTTCCGAGGATACTTTCGGGCTGTCTACCGCAAACGGCCCGCTACCGGTTAACCTCGCTCCACGCATCCGTCCAATACCAAAGCGGCCAATTCCAACCAACGCTCCTTCTCGCTTCACGCTTCCGATCATTTTGTCGCCCTGTTTCAGATTCCAGGACGCCCAATGAGAGTATGTTGGGGCCCAGATGATGGATGTGGTCGACGAAGCTGGCATTTCGCACTACTGCGTACTCTGGTACTTCAGGACTTCTCCGCCTCGCCGAAGTTTACGTGGTATTAATTCCAAATACTTTGGCGGGGTGTCTCGTCGCCTAGATGGCCTTTCAGCCTTTGATCTTCCCCGGATTGGGAGGTCCTGCATCATGCAGGTGTTGGTGACCTAATGCAAGACAATCCACTAGCGCCAATGGGGACGACATGGCTGTGGGTTCCAAGCTTCGATTGCATGGCTCTTCCACTCTATCCAAGTTTCAGAACTTGGTGACCCCCCGGGACCATTTCTGGCTTCTGGATGACTTCCCTCCGGGATACTATGCCCTGAAATGACACCCTCCATAGGTTCATCGGTACCGAGTCTGCGTCTATTCCTTTTTGACCCAGGCTAACGTCACTCACATGTATCTTTGACAAATACTCTAGGAAGGGCGGTCCACCAGCTTACACTGCTCGCTCAATGGTCGATGGGTCATCAACAGTCGCCTCATGCCATTCATATTGTTCGAAAAGAGGTGGAATACACGATGTATAGAAGCAGCCTCGTTGATTGGATCTTCATCAACAAGCGGCATGAGACACATCACGCATTCAACGAAGCTTGTTCTTTGGGATCGTTTCATCTGGATCATTGTCACTACCATCACGTTGCACTCTGTTCACACACTTTCATATCCTATCGAAGCTCCTCACACCGCCATCTGGCCCTTTCACAACGTCCTCAACGACGCGATCCTCAACTCGTACAGCTCGATCGAGAACTCCTCTCCAAACTCCTCCCGATACAAAGGACAGTGCCTGGTCAATGGCTGTCCTCCCGACCACCTGACCCATCTCAGCAAGCAGTAGGCATGGAAGGTTTCGCCGCAGCATGCGGTGTGTATGGTCTCCGTTGCCGTTGCCCCTGCTGCTGCCATCTCACTCTCAACGTCCTCAACGTCTGGTTCTCCGGCAAGGCTCTCTTGACATATTGGGCATATATCTCCGTCTGTGGTGTTCAGTCCCATGTCGTAAAGCCCCCAAGCCAGCAGGGCTTCGTGCTGCTCATCCTCCTCGTCCTGCTGGTCCTCCTCGTCGTCATCGTGGTACAAGATATCCCGTCTGTAGTCAATACCGGCTAATCTGGAGCTGGTAACCCTTTGGAAGGCCCGGAAAAGCTGGGATCTCGTTTCCGCGCGAACCATTCTGCTCACAGTGACGTCCAGACGGCGCGAAAGGCCGTCGGTTGGGATGAGATTTCTTTCGAAGGAGATGAGGCAGGTTTCAGCCTTGGCCAGTCTGATCAGCAACAGGATGAGTTGATATTCCATCGTGGCAATCGTGTGGAGAAAGACTGCATCCTGTTTATCGCAGCCGGACCGCTCAAGCTCTTGGAGTTGGGCGTATGCACGAACCTCGGGCTGCAGCATGTCGTCTATTGCGTCCCTGATGGTCTGAGCTGGAAAATACTCTCCTGCGTAGCGGGAGATGCGTTCCATCAGCACGGTCCAGATTGCTAGACAAAAGCTGTTTAGTGCTAAGTACAGGGCGCTAGCGTCGGCGGAAGCAAGGTGGGGAGGCATGCTTGTTGATTCTCTGAGGTTTGGTGATATTGTGCTGCTCGACGGTCGCAGATGGAGACACAGATCTCTTGGACAATGTTTTTTGAGGTATGTTGACGTGCGAAGGTGTTGTCTCGCCAAGTCAGTCCAAGATGTCGGCATCGGTTATCGGGAGGGCCGATGCCGATGCTGATGTCGGCGATAGAGGTGTGCCTGGTGTTGTGAAGTTGGAAAGGTATGGTAGATGGAGCGGGCGGACAGTATGGCTGGTCCCGCACTCCGCCCAGGATATGAGGAAAACAGAGCATAGTGTTGGATGTACAGTCTTATATATATATGTTCTGATATCAACAAAGAGGTTGTAGATAGATCCCGGGGCATGAGGATCAAGCGATATGGATGATGGACTAGGTGGACGACAGGGCGTGTACCGGACAGTGAGAAGAGTAGTGGCAGGACAAAGTTTGGAGGTACAAGGACAAACACCAATATTACTGGGCGTACTTACCGTAGCCTCCGCATCAGAGTGCAAGCTGTGTCGAACACAGCGCAAGCAGCAAAGGCAGGAACGCCTTGTGAGAAGCCTTCGTATTATAGGCATTGGTGAAGAGTTGAGTCTCGGGAGGACAGTGGACATCGTGCCAAAACAAGGCTGTCGAAAAGCATCACAAGGCTCCGCACAATTCTCGTTGTTGATTGGCGGACTGTAACGCGCTCTGGATATCAAGTCTGATACTCTCCCTCCCCATTTTCCTCCTCACGATCCTTTCTGTTGCTATCAATTCCCATTCTGCTCTCCCGACAGTCTGAAGTCCATGTAGCCTGCCCGTGATGCACGGCGATCTGGGCACCAAACTTGTATGTCCTATATCCCTTCCTACTTCCATGACCTGCTCATCCCTTCGCCCCACGCTGTCCTTCGCTGCCGTCCCTATGTTGCTATCTTCTATATTGCCTAGCTCCATTCCACTCTCAGCGAACCCTTTCGTCCTCTGTCTATCTCGGCCACATGTCCACAGCATCTAGGCCCACAAGCCTGTGTTCCTCACATCTGTGCACCCACTGACCAAGAACCAACAAAGGCCCAACACGCCAAACGCACCCTCACCTTGCCCATCCTCCCACCCTATCAAACCGAACTCGTACGCTCCTGCGTGCGCGAAACGCGCGACCTCGACCGCGACGTGTCTCGACTCCTCGAACCGTACACGCAAACCGTCACGACGACCGATGAGAATGGCAACCCGGCGCAACAATCTCAATCCACGTTCAACCCGGCCGAACACTCAGCCACCGCCTGCGCGCTCTTAGTCGACCATCTCAGCATGCGGAGGAACAAGAGGTGCTTACTAGCCTACCACCGCGTCAGAGCCGAGAGACTTGAAGCACTCGCCTGGGAAGGACGGGATATCGACGACAACAACCACCCTAGCACCGGCACCGGCACCGCAACAACAGATCCCACCCCCGCCGGCAGCACGGCGACCCAGAATTCACTAAGTCCCGAAGAAGAGTCATACTACCGCAAGTACACGGACCTATTGGCGCAGTATAAAGGTCATTGGACGGACATCGACTTGACCGGCAGTCTGGACCCGCCGCGAGATTTGTTCATTGATGTGCGCGTGCTGCGGGACGCCGGAGAAATTCAGACGGAGTATGGGGCCATTAATCTCACGAAGAACTCCCAATTCTATGTCAGGCATGGCGACGTGGAGCGGTTGATACAGATGGGGTTTCTGCAGCGGTTGAGTTGACAACGCCGAAGATGCAGAGGCGTGACTGGGTCTAGCCGTGTCAAAGAATTGGATGTCATGTGTCTAAGAGGGCATGAGTTCGGTGACCCACGAAAGTAATGAGGCATGAAGACAATATGTTACCAATGTCAGAAGTCATTGTTTCTTGCAATTGCTCTGGTGAGGCTATCTAGTTGCTGGGAGGGATAAAAGCTCGTAAGACATCATGTCTATTGTGTCCGAGTCGAACAGTCAAATCCGGAGATGTATGTGTGCAGAAGTAAAGGAATAGTCCCAGCTAATTTCTACCTCCAGCCTTCAGACCTTGATCCCGTTCCTTGGGAATGAACTCGATGAATGTCTCTTGCTTAGAGCATTCCCACTACACCAGCAACCATGACGGCAGCAAAGCCAAGCCCTACGCCGGAAGCCAACACTTCAACTGCGCCCCCAGTTTCAGTGGCCGTCGGCATTGAGCTGCTTGTACTTCCAGCCGTTTGTGTTCCGTTGCCGGTGACATTCGTGGCGATTTGCTGCTTGAAATTCGCACAATTCAGTCTGGTACCATTCGCAGCATGGATGACGACGCTTCTGTTCCCAAAGAACGCAAGAGACTGAGGGTCGGTGGATAGGTACAGGTCGAGATAAGTCACTTGGAAGTTCTTCTCGCGGGCCGTGTCGGCAATGGTGCCGTGCTTGCCGCTTAGATCACCGGGCTGGCAGGTCGATGGCTGAGTGGCATCACATGGAGGGGTTTCGTTGCGACCGTAGGGACTCAAGTGGCCGCCGGCACCGCTGCAATTTCCGTCTTGAGGGACCGGAAGGACGTGGATGTGATATGCTATTCTCGGTTAGTATGGATCGGATCTGAAAGCGAGGGGTGGAGGGCGGATAGTAGGAGACATACAGAAAGGGCCAGCAGAAGCATCTGGGAAGTCGAAGAAATTGATGTTGAAGGCCACACCAGTGCCGTTGTCGTTGGAGACTCCAGTGATTTGGCCTTGGACGGGTTTGTTTTCCAGTAGCACAGCTTGGAAGGTGGCTTTTGTGGGGTTATTTTCGGTGATCGGTGCGTCTGTTGAGGATTGTGCAAGGACAGACAGAGTAAGGAGAGCACAAGAGAGGATGTACGTGAAGAAATTCATTTTGAGATAGGAAATGTTTGAGTTGCAGGTTGTTGGTGCTGCTGTTGTCGTTCAGCGTGTGAGTGTTCAGTGTGCAGGAGATGGCAGTAGTGGGCAGGAAATAGAAGAGTTTATGGATCGAGGATTTGGATCGGGTAGAGAACTCAGTGACCAAGAGTAGTGACTTGTTCTTTTGATCCGTCACGCAAACGAAGGGAAGGTGGAAGGAAACCCGGCAACCCGCAGGAATGGCACAAGAGTCGCACGTCACCGAATTCCAGTCACTCTTCTCTGTCTCATTCTGCACTGTGTCCATGACGCCTCTGTCTGATGATGTCAATTGTCAAGGTTTCATAGTAGTCATCTCGGTTTGCTGTTAGTGTTGTTGCTCAATATCGTGAAGAAGGCTGACTATTGCAGCAATTCCTCCACCATGTAAACCAGCCATGTACCACAAGACTCGTTCGTACCCGGAGTTGATATGCAGCCAACCTCGACTAGAGTCTCCTGAAAGAGCACAAATTGCCCTGGTCGAGGTGTAGGCTTTGATGATGTTGTCCTTTCCAATGAGTTTGCTGCAGACTGGTCATAGCATTGAGGCAACAGCATTGAGTCTCGCTAGCAACGCCTTCTCCTATTTCCAACTGCGAAGGACCGCTGAGCCTTCATATGTGCTATCGATCCTCCTTTCGGAATTTTTTCTTTCTTTCACAGAGCGGTTCTGACGGCACACTTAAAGGGCCATATCTTCGCATTCTTTACGTCCCACGCACCGCCCTTGGTATACGGATCCTCTTCCAAGATCTTGCGCACCTCCTCCTCACTGTCAGCCTTGATCAACATAGCACTGCCTGTCATATCCGGTGCTTCACCCTCAGCAGGCTGTTTAGACAGAGTTGCTCCTCCGAAGACCACCTTCCCCGCTTCAATGGCTGGCTTGAGGTTGCCCAGATGCGTGGGACGAGCAGCGAGACGTTTATCAAGAGCTCCAGGAAAGTCGGGAACATGGACGAGCCATTCTTTTGTGGGTGCGCTGGAGGACATTCTAGTAAAGGAACGTGCTGGTTTGGTAGACACTGAGCCCAATCGAATGGGATGCGGCGAGCCTGGTGGTGGATGAGTAGTAGTATATAGACTGAGAATGCAATTTGGCCGAGCGCGATAGCAACGGATTGCGAGGGACATGAGTCTAAGTACTTAACCTGGCCGTGGTGGGAGGATCGTGGAGGATGTAGTTGTCTTTTTCATCCCCACCCAGTGGAAGTCTAGGATGGAGGTGGGATCGCGGGATTGTCGAATGTGGGAGTCTTTATCCACACCAATCGTTCGCATTGACTTCGCTTTGTGCCGGAGAAACAGTACAGGAACAATTACAATACAGAAGTAGCTGGAGAATCCACACATATATCATCCTTCGGGGTCTATCTACATTTATAGCTTCGCTCTTGGTCTATCTCTTGCTAACAATGAGTCAGCAACCTTTCGTCGCTGTATCTTTCCTGTGGCTGTCTTGGGTATCTCTTTCAGAATCCACACTCTGCTAGGCCTCTTGAAGTGGGCCGTCCGACTACCCACGAACTCAGTAATGCCTTCTTCTGTGACGTCTTTTCCTGTCTTGGGTACAATGGCAACTCCCACCTCTTGACCGTACAACTCCGAAGGAATAGCAAAGCAGACGGCCTCTGACACGTCTGGGTTCCCAGAAATCAGATGATCCAGTTCAATAGGACTGATCTTTTCGCCTCCACGGTTGATCAACTCCTTGATTCTGCCAGTGATGATGACATATCCATCTTCATCCTTCTTTCCCTGGTCTCCAGTCCTGAAGAACCCACATTTCGTGAATGCTTCTTTGTTTGCCTTGTCATTCTTGATATATCCCTTTGTCACATTCTCGCCCCGTATGCAGATCTCTCCGGCCGTGCCCTGAGGTACTTCGTCGCCCTGCTCGTCCAGGATCTTGACCTCGACCCCTTGTCCAATGCCCACACTTCCCGGCTTCCGTTTGCCTCGGTGAGGTAAGGGATTGGACGTCATCTGATGTGCAGCCTCTGTCATAGCGTATGCCTCAAGCACCGGTGCTCCGTATGTTGCTTCGAGTTCGTAAAGGGTCTTGGGTGACAACGGAGATGAACACGACCTGATGAATCTAATCTTTGGTTTGTTATGGGGCGGAGGATTTTTGAGTAAGATTTGGTGGATGGTTGGTACTGCTGTATACCAATTGGCTTTGTGGGTGATAAAGTCATTCCAAAAGGAGCGAGCTGAGAATGATCCCGGCACAATGACTGAACCACCTGCACTGAGAGGAGCCAGTAGTCCAGCCAGGAGTCCGTGCACATGGAAGAGAGGCATGACCAGCATTGTACGGTCCTTGGGAGTGAGTTCGTACGTGTTTCTGATATTCAACATCGTCCTGGTCAGGTTGCGATGGGTGAGAGGAACTGCCTTAGGCCTTCCAGTAGTTCCACTCGTATGCAGCACCAAAGCAACGTCCTCGCGTTGCGCTTGAGACACCCGTTGAGTCCGTCTCTGGGAGAGCTCTCCCTTCTCTTTTACATCCAGAATTGGCGTGTCTCCATCCAGATAGCATTCTGCAATAGCAGCTCCATATCTCCTGGCTGCCTTGATGGCTGGTCCATCTTTTGCGTAGGAATCCCTTGGGACGATCACAATCGCAGAGGAGAGGTCCTCAATGTAGAACTCGAACTCGGCTTGTTTGTATGCAGGATTCAAAGGTGCCGCAATAGCTCTCTGGTAGGAAGTTGCGAGGAAAGAGACAATGAACTCATAGGTGTTGGGCAGGGCTATCGACACTGCATCGCCATGCCCGATCCCTAGCTCTGCGAGCTTGCTCTGAAACTCGAGGACGTCTCGTGTCAACTGCTTGTAGGATATGGTCAGAGCTTTGGGCTTCGACGGGACGATGATGGCAGTGGCAGAGGAAGTTTCTGAGAAGGAAGTTGAGAGGGTTGAAGGCATTATGACAGGCTAGTGCTATCCGGGGGGCGTGGACAGCAGGATTGTGAGGACACGAGGTCAGAAATGAGAGAGGAAATCGTTTATCTATAGGGCTGAACTGTCAATAATTGCTGGAAACTGAGAAAAAGTAAAGATATCAATCGCACATGACGTGATGGTGGATTGTCAAGCACGGAGGCCGCTATCAATAGACAGACTGAGCCTATCAGTACATCCGTCGACCTCGAGTCCTACCTGAGATTTGTTCCTTGAGACGTTCCGGCTGTGTCATCTTTATGGTCGAAGCTTCATATCGGGTGATGAAACTGTGAGAATTCAGCAAACACCCGATAAACAACACGCGAGATCATCCTTGTTCTTCCTCTTTTCTCGCCGATTGGTGGCCGCACCATCGACCTCCGATTCCTTCCATGAACATTCTCCTCATCTTCATCCTTCATCATTGTACATTCCGAGAACCATCCGACCGCAGCCAACCACGAGGTTGACAAACGTTTAAGCGGACGCCTTCAGAGACTCTCGCTGCAGACGTTGCAGACGACAGGTCATGGCCAACAACACATCAGCACCAGCCCGTGCCGGGTTGTCGCTGTATGCGAACCTGCTCGATCCAAACAAGGGTACACCAGGCACAATTTCAAGTGCGCCAGTGTCTTACACTACGCCGCCTGATCAAAATGAAGCTGCAAAGAAGCAGCAAGCTCTCGCTGGTACATCAATCGTCGTAAGGACCTAAAGGTTTGCAGAATGGATTTGCTCACGTGTGCCATGCTCTTCTTGGTAATATACAGCCTCCTTGAGATTTCAACCTACCAAGCGACCACAGATCGCCAGCCAAAAAGCAAAAGCGAAAGCTATTGCTGCCAAATTTGCTCCTCCGTCCTCTACCAGCCCTGCCCCGGCTGTCGCACAACCCGAGTCTACAGAGGACGTTCCAACAAATGCACCGACGATCCAGCCATCTGCGCCGAGAACAACAGCTGCAGATTGGATAGCAACTGCATCAGATGATGAAGATGTCAACAACTATTACGCAGCAGAGAAGCGTCAACGTGGAGGTCGCAAGAAACGCAAGAAGAACAAAGAATCTGTACAAATCGTGCAAGACTGGGACGACATCTATGATCCAAGCAGGCCAAACAACTACGAGGCATACAAGAATAGCGAAGAGAAAATCCGCGAAGTAAGGGAATGGAAAGATCTTCTGTACAGACACCGCATCAGACGCAGAGGCTCTAGCGAGTCGGAGGAGGATCGTTATCGACTTATGAACAGTAAGCGATCGGAAGGAATGTATCTGGCACTACTGATCATATTGCAGAACAATTCGCACCACCTTCAATGTCGTTTGCTCCGCCTCCAAATCTCAACGAAGAGAGCCCACCTGTGCCTGCAGAAATTCCCGACGACCCCACTGGCGAAGATGCTTACCTGCGTCGACTACGGCTGACCCAAGGATCACAGCAACCTCCACCTCCACCTCCACCTCCACCGCCGCCAGCCTCAGATCCTCCTACAGGTCAGATATCTCGAGCACCTGTCCGGTACAATCTGCCTACTCCGACTGAGGAGATCCCGTCTACAGAAACAGAATTGCAGGCGGGACTTGCTGAGTCTGGTGCTGGTGAAGATGAAGAATCGGGTGTGATACGGTCAAACAGACCTGGCCAAGCTGGATTTGCGGAGCGCCTTATGTCCAAATATGGATGGTCCAAAGGACAAGGTCTGGGTGCTCAAGGCACGGGCATCATCAATCCACTGTACGCGAAGGCCGATAAGCGGAAGAAGAAGTCCGATGCCGAAGGCGGGGGCTATGCAACTCCGGCGGGTACGGGCAAGATTTTGGGTGGAAACAAATCCAAGGCTGCTCAAGCCGAAGACGAAGGCAAATTCGGAGCCATGTCCGAGGTCATTCGATTGGAAGGCATGTTGAATGGCTTAGATTTAGACGAAGAGCTCGCTCAAGGAGAGGGTGGAATCATGCAGGAGATTGGGGAAGAATGTGGTGAGAAGTACGGAAGCGTTGAGAGAGTCTTCATTCACCGACCGGAGATTGAAGGCGACGACCCCTTGGTATTTGTGCACTTTGTCAGCCAGCTCAGTGCTTTGAGGGCGGTCAATGCTTTGGAAGGGCGCATCTTCAACGGCAACCCGATCAAGGCGAGGTTTTGGCCAAAGGAAAAATTTGATGCTCGAGACTACCTGTGAGCACGGAGTCTCTCCAGAAATGTTGTCAAGTTATGCCTTTGTAGCGTCCGATGCTAGCTATGAACAAGTGGGCGGCCGTAGTATGCCTGTCGTTTTGGCCTCACTAAGGTCTCCGTAATACGTAAGGTACCTAGGTACTTATCCGTATGCTGTCGAGAAATACCATTGGCTAGGGTCGCCGGCAAGGCCTGACGCGTAAAGGGGCACGACAATAATGCCCACGCGCCCGAACTAATTTCATCCATTATTGCATCATTTTGCGTTTCCGACATCTCAACCCCAAACATCATCGTCCAGTTCGATCTTGCAACATCATCGCCTGTGCGCACTACACAATGTCTAGTACTCCCACAGTCAACAGAGCGGCTATAGACAGAGCATTTGCTCACGACTCCTCATTACGAAAGCGAGTGTACGATGCCATTCGTATGCCTCCACTAACCCTTTACATCGGACGAACTCTCTAACAAGCCCCAGAAGAAACACCAAACTACGCAGACCTTTTCGAGGACATTGCCGAATACCATCTGAAGCACCAGTCTGTGAACGGCAGAGATGGCCCCAGTGACGAGCCAGCCTCAAAAAAACGCAAACTAGCCAATGGCTCCCTGCCCATCCCTGCTATACAGCCGAACGCCCCTCGCGAAGTCATCCTCGAAGCGCGCGACATATCCTTCTCCCTCCCTCAGCGAAAGAAACTACACCTTGGCATTGCACAGTATGGTACAGATATCGAGGCCTCATCCACAACTTTCGCAATCTACACCCGCAACCCAGCGAGCAATGATGTCGATATGGAGGTGCCGCTGGACCAGTTCGCCTACGCTCTGCGACTCCCTGTACCTGAGAAGGCAGCAAAGCAATACAACTTCGTCCTACTCCCAAAGCCTGACGCTAAGGTTTCTGAACCCATAATATGGACTATCAACCACGGTCCCTTGAAGTCGTGCCACATCCCAAACCAGGCCATCGCAGCCATCGCGTCAGAACCCGATGACGCCCTCGAAAGAGTGCTAGGTTATGTTCTGAAAAAGGTTGGGGTAACTCTCACTCTACCTTCTGCCGAGGAGTTCGCAAGCGCAAGGCCCGAATCTCATCGCAAGGGAGACAAGGCGTACCACGTCAAAGCATTCCGTGGGTCTAAGGACGGATTTCTATTCTTTTTGCCCAACGGAATATTCTTCGGATTCAAGAAGCCACTGTCTTTTTTCGCGTTTGGAGACATTGTCTCGGTCTCATATACGAGCGTATTGCAGAGGACGTTTAATCTGAATATTGTGCACAGGTCAGATGAGGACCCGGATATGCACCAGGAAGTCGAGTTTTCGATGCTGGATCAGGCTGATTTTCCGGGGATAGATGCGTATATCAGACGGCATGGGCTGCAGGATGCAAGTCTGGCCGAGTCACGAAGGGCGCAGAAGTCTAAGCCTGCGGGCGCGAATGGAAAAGGCACGCCTGCGGCAAGTGGAGAAGCAGAAGGTGACGAAGACGATACGAGGACGGAGCTGGAGAAGGCGGCGCAGCAGATGGAAGATGAGGAGGACGAAGAGGAAGAAGATTATGATCCTGGCTCGGAGGGAGAGAGTGAAGGAAGTGAAGAGAGCGAGGATGAAGATGAAGAATATGAAAAAGAGAGGAAGAAAATGAAGGGACGGAATATCGTTGCTGAGGAGCTGGGCAGTGAGGCTGAGGATGTGAGTGTCACGGAAGATGAAGATGAAGATCATGAAGGGGAGGGAGACGAAGCTGGCGACGAAGGAGAAGCAGAAGATATCGAGCAGGACCCGCAAGGCTTCGAGCTCGGCCAGCATGTCAAAGCACATGGGTTCAGTGCTGTGGCTCCAGCAGCGCATAATGGCCTCTGGGCGGGTATGCCAGACCCGGATGATGACGATCAGTTGTAAGGTTATTGAATCCAGGTGCACGACATGAGCAGGATGATGTGTCGGGATCCGGTCACCATTAAAAACCGAATATATACCAAAACCTGGAGTCGGATATGATCCAGCATCAAGCACGCGGCTGAGCTCGAGATATCGTGATTGTAAGCAATATCCTGAAGAATAGCTGGCTCTACTCTCTATTCAGGACTTCCTCACATCCCCATTTATGTCTAGCAGTCCAGTCTCCTTTTTTTCAGGTCCTAAGATTTTACAGTGACGACGGGTTTTCCATCTCCATCTGATATCAGGAGAAAGGCAAGAACGTTGTAAAGTCTGGCATTTGCGAGTCCGTCACCCACGGACATCGGCCGCTTGTTTTGTTTTCATATGTCCTAACGCCCTCCCCATGTTCATCGAAGCTTTCAAAGGAGACCAATATCCATCGCGAAGACACCATCAATGAATCCAAAGGCCGAGCCTGTGTGTAACCATGCGGAACTCAACGAGCATCGAGAGCAGCGTTGCCACTCACTACAAAGGTGCTGAGTACCACCCGGTTGGTGCCGTGCCAAAGAGATTCCAAAGCGATGTCCGTAGCCCGTAACCGCCCGTCGCGAGGAGATGGTTCGTATCATCCAACAGCATTTCCCGCATCTGTGTTCATGACCTCGTCCATTTTCCTCAGCACATCCACGGCACGAAACGGCTTAGGTAGCACAGCGTCGACCCCAACTTCGAGGGCTGAAGCAATCTGCTCAGACCGTGCGTTGGCTGTGATGGCAATGATGTGGATATGCTTCTTCAACAAGCCCTCTTCTTGAAGAACGCGGATCTGGCGTGTGCAGCTCAAGCCATCAAGGACCGGCATTTCCACATCCATCAAGATGCAGTCAATATCGACGTCCAAGCTCGCAGACGGCGAATCCATCACTTGCAACGGCTCATAGTCGTGCCACGCTCTTGTGCGAGGGAGGAAATCTAGCGCCTCTTGGCCGTGATTCGCGATATATACTGTGCAGCCTGCGCGTTTCAGCTGCTTCATCAGCACTTGCGCATTAATGATGTTATCTTCCACGAGCAGGACGCGAGCAGGAGTCGTGTTTATCGCGTGCTCTTTGCTGGGTAGCCGCGTAATTTGAGTCATCTCATGAGAGCCGACTGGACTGGGTATCCTTGCAGGTAGCTCGGACGGCTGAATAGTTTGTGTCTGATCTTTCGGTGCGACGGCTTTACGAGCCCGAATGTAAAAGGCGAACGTAGTTCCCTTTCCGGGGGCGGACTTTACGCCGATCTGCCCACCCATGTTTTCTGTCAATTCGCGAGATATGAAGAGTCCAAGCCCAGATCCACCGTACTTGATATGTGTTTTTTTCGTGGCTTGCTGGAATCTGTTGAAGAGTCGTGTCATTTCCTCTAGCTCTAACCCCTTTCCTGTATCTGTAACAGTGAACAGCAAATAAACTGGGTCTCCTGTACCCCATTCAGACCCAGTGGTTGCGTCGCGTCTGTCTTTCTTGGTCGGAAACCAAATGATGTCCTCGAGCGGAGGTGGAAGGCTGATAAATGCACGTCGGTGGACCTTGATCTTCCGCTCCGGTTCCAACTTGGTGAATTTGATCGCATTGGTAAGGAGATTGATGAAAATCTGTGTCAACCTGGCAGGATCCAAACAAACCCAGTCCAGGTTGAGACGAGCATAAGAATCGTCTGCGCCATTCTCGACAATGATGGAATTTGTGTCGAACTCGGCTTTAAACATGTTTAGCGCGGACTCCACGACGGCGTAAGGCTGAACCACGTCTGGGGAAATCGAAAGAAGTTGAGAATCAAGTTTTGACAAGGTCAGTACGTCGTCAATGACTCGCTTTTGGTGCGAGGCACAAAGTAGGATCGTTTTTCCGTTTTCCACGTTTTCTTTGAGTAGCTGAATTGCCGACTCCAGTGAATGGTCGTCCATTGAGCTCCAGTCTTCTAGACAAGCGGCAATACCATCCGCGAGTTGCGTAATGGCGGACAGAGGATTTCTCATCTCGTGCGAGACGACGTCGATGAAGGCTTCCTGAAGCTTTCGAGCCTCGGTGGCTTCGACTGCCAAGCGGCTTTGGATCTCTTCGGTCCATTTGATGCGACTGATGTCTGTGATACAGCACACAATATTAGATAAGGCTCCATTCGCAAAGACTGGAAAGGCGTTTGCGATAATCCAGCAATGTTCCTCTTTGGGGTTGGGATCCCCAGGAGTGGGTGGAGGTGTCCATTTCTGTTGTAGTCGAAACTCTTGGGACACTGGTTTGTGCTCATCAACCAACAGGGACCAGAAGCCCCTTGCGAAAACTCGATCCTCCTCATGCACAACATCCATGAAAGAGAAGGTATATCGATCTCCAGAAGGATGACCAGAAATACCGTAGTACTGCGTATTCGCCCAGATGATGTTGCCTGAATACTGGTCAGCACCGAAACGAGATCGTCATCCGTACATACCAGAGGGTGTCACGCGGACCATTCCTACGGGTCCGTGCTCCGCAATTTCTCTGATTTGTCTTTCATTTTCTTCCAGCTGCAATGTCATTATCTCGGCTTGCCTTTGAGCTTCTTCACGGTCAACGGCGGACGCAATTGCTGCTGAAGCCTGTCGACACAGAGCGTTGATGAAAGCGTCATCTTCTTGTCGGTAGCGCCGTCTGGGGTTAAGGCCAAGTACTATCACACCGAGTAGTCGGCTACTGACGGAGATCGGCAGAAGAGCCACGCTGACAGGGCTTTCATGGTAGCCCTGCCAGTCAAACCCACCGAGCAGTTCCTCTGGGAGAGTCCCATCAGCCTTGTGAAGTATAAGGGGTTTGTGGGTTGATCTGACCCTTCGATAGTAAAACAGTAATCCTGTAGGTGCCTCGTACACGTCCAGTGTTTCCGGCACAAGATGATGACCACCTGGAGGCAGGCCTAAAGTCTGTTGTAGTGTCAGTCGGCATGATGTAGCGCCGTCATCTGCCGAGTATGCAAAGGCCATGGGAAAATCTGGCCCGTTATCTCGTAGAGCTTGGAAAACATGGGACCAAATCGTGGTATCTAGGTCAGCTGGCTGCGATGAAATCGCATAAAGAGTCTTGGCTCTTCTTTCGCTCACTATCTCGTTCGTAACCTCGGATGCCCTGTTGTACCAGCCTGCGACGTAGCCGTTCCCTCCTCGAATTGGTAGGAAGGAACCTCGCCAGAAAGTCTCTTCGCGACGGCCATCGGGCTGTTGTGGGAAGATGGCCATATTTTTGACGTCGAGAGGCCGATCTTCAGCTTGCATTGCGTTGAAAATTCCCTCCATGTCCGACCACTGTCCCTTCCAAATCTCTTTGAAAGGCCTTCCCTGGATCTCGGAGCCGTAGCTAAATCTCTTGTTGAAGTCCTTGTGAGCTTGGAGATTGAAGCAACTCAAAAGTGAACGACCCCAATAGATGGCTACCGCAGCAGTGTCTGTCATTGCAAGGCCCACGAGAGTGCAAAGCGACATAGGCCAATATTCGAGGGGACCATAGTCGGTAGCAGACCAGTCGACTCCGTTCAGGAACCATTTCGAGTTTTCATTTCTTGGGAGATGGTCGATCCAGCAGCCTGCCGGATTTATCGAGGCTGGAAGTTCAGCAAGTATGCTGTCAGAAGGTTTGTTCTCACCGGGTTTGGCCACATTTCGTGGAATGATTCTCCAACGACCACTTGATGTGTCAAATTCTGCCCGGGTAGATATCGCTCCGTTGCTGGCATTCGTGTCGAGGTCGAGCGTCAACCGCTCAATGCCAACTTCGTCTGTGGTAGACGATATGCCCAGGTCTTTCAAGACTGCGGCCTGACGGAAGGATTCCCGCCTAGCTGAGTTGATACCCATCTTCAGGTTCACGGGCTCTTTGCACGATCAAGAGTAGTTGGCCTTGACATGCTAGTCGCCCTTGACGCAAAGGGTGATGGTCAGGCATCAAACCGATCAATTTACGAAATCATATTTTGCGATTCGGTAGCTGGGCCAGCCTTGGAAATCTTTGTGGCAGCGACATGTATCTGTGTAATATTTGATGACACTTTGAGGATTGCCGACGACGATACTAAATCGAGCAGCTTTCAATGTTTAGGTTGTCAGGCTGAGGAAGCCGTGACGAAATGTTCTTCAAGCAAGGAAAAGACGTATGAAAAATTGTCCGTATGCGCGACGGAAGGCACAAACTGGAAAATGGGCAATTGCCACGGGTTGCGAGGATGTTGCGTGGCGGACAGAAATCAAAAAGATCAAAGATCGTGGCCAAGTGGCAGTGCCAGTGTCATTGTCAGTGCCATTGCGGGCTACCAGGCTACGATGAGGTCACCAATTGGGTGTTAATGGTTCAAACAGAGGGCCTGTACTCAAGCGGAGCTCTTGGAAATGGGCAACATTTCAGCACATGTCAGTACAGTCGACTTCTGGCGGCCACAGAGTAGCTACTGTATGTTCAAAAAGATACGGGGTACCTGCATCTTTGAATCGGACTTCCCGGCAGTCAGATCCTAGGTCAATAAGCGAAAGATCGACCACAAGGCTTTCAAGGACGATCGCCCGAAGAGCTTGAATCATTTCCCACAGCGTTTTTGTTGGTGATCTCCTTGACTCCCGCCTCACCTGTGACGGAATACTCTTGTCGGCATATCTATCCTTGTCTGTAGAGCTACACGGCGAATGAGTCGCTCGGCATAGTCCTATGATGTTGGTAATTGATGGTTGCTGAGTCCATGCGAATGACGAACTTCTCCTCTTTGATTCAGCCTAATAGCTAAGGTATGTGCGATCTCACTCACACTGTGACGCGGCGATCGGAGCAAATGAAGCTCGTCTCTTTCAACAGTCTCATATTGCAACATGAGACATTCAAGGCCAGCCGTCCTCATTGCCATCGTGGCCTTTCTGGTAGCGATTGTGGCACGGCGAGACTGGCCTTCATGGGCAGAGGAGTTTGATCCAGCAAAGGTTGTAGCACAGGCATTCAACGCTACCTCAAGATCATGGGAATTCGGTGCACTGACCCAGGCTCTTTTGGAATATGAGAGTCCAAACCTCACGGTCTTTGCCTTCGAGCCTTTTCCCGGCGGTCGTCTTCCTGAGATCTCTCATCCAGCCGAAGTGGAGGCGTTACGGTACGCAAAGTCCGTCATATGGACAAATCACTCTGATCTACTCATCGATGGAGAAGGTAAGCGCCAACCACATGGCAATGTGTATTCCATACGGAATATGGGGCCCAAGTCTCCTTCGGAGAAGGCTGATGCAAACTCGTCTACTTATACCTGTGCAGGTTCGCCCTCCGATCCAGCCTCGCTTGGGACAGCTGCATTACTGCTCTCTGGCCATGACAGTGCATACTTTGAGGCCGCAAGACGACAAGCCGAGTATCTCGTCCAACGAGCAACAAGATTCCATCTCAATGTGACTGCTTCCGCCATATCTCACCGTGATGAGCCGCCAGAGCTGTGGGGTGATTTCATTTATATGGTTCCTCCTTTCCTTGCATACTATGGCGTAGCAACACAAGACCTGCATTTCTTGAAAGAGGCTGTCCATCAATGTCAGCTCTACAACGATGTGCTAAAAATAGATGTTGTGTTGGAGACGGGCGACATCTGCCGCGGGCTTTGGCGCCATATTGTGTCAGATCCAATGACCCTACCGACAGGAATATGCTGTTCGGATCCCGAGGTATGGCTGACGAGCAATGCGTGGGCAGTAGCTGGTATGACCCGAGTTCTTGCCACGATTGTGAAATGGCAACCGCCACCTGACGGAGGAGTTGCATGGTCTGATTATGCAAAGTTTGCGGATGCAGCAAAGGACGCACTTGTCGAGATAATCACATCTATGCTCACATGCGTTGTCCGTCAGGCTCGAGACCCGGAGTCGAGTTTAGTGAAGAACTACCTTGATGGTCCACTTTCTCGATCTGCCGAATATGCCTTTGGAGACACTGCTGGAACGGCACTGATGAGTGCGACGGTGTATCGCCTGGCGGTACTTGACCCGACAACCTTTGCACGACCAGATTTGCTCAACTGGGCTGATGTTAACTGGCGCGTGGTCTCGAAGCACATTGATCATAAGGGCACGGCTGGACCCGTTGCTGATGTATCCAACGTACCAAGCAAGGGGCCTGTACGACAAACCAGCGAAGGGCAAAGCATGGTGCTGCTCATGTACAGTGCACGACGAGATTGCGTGAGAGCAGGCTTATGCCATCGCCGAAGCCATCTGGCGGCGATTCGGGCCAGAATAGGCTCAATGTGGCGAGGGCAATGGCAATGGCAATAATGAGCAAAAGGCTGACGTGAAGATTTGTCAGAGAAGTTCAAGCGAAGGCGAGGCGATGGAGCAGTCGAGACGATTGGGACCAAGGCTGAACGAGGGGCAGCTGTACGAGTACTTGAGATCATCCCACGGGGCCCATGAATTCGGAAGTCGGGGGCGTTCGTCATCGGTGAATGTCGTTTCGTTTCTGGAGGGAGATGGACATGTTTTTGGCGGGGCAAATCCTTGAGCATACGAGCATAGCGCCTTTTCCCGCACTCATCGTCGCCGACAATGCACCCGCCTGCGCCTGCATTATTGCGGAATCCGCCATCACTTCTAGTCACAGTATTCACTTCTTTGGTTGATCAACCGAGCATCCGATAACTGTTCCTACGTTTCTCGAACCCCTCTATCCTTTCGATATACGGAAGCGCATCGTTACTTCTCAGTCTTTGCAAGCTGGCTGCGAACACTCACTCAACGTCACCTTCCGCTTCATCCTCCTACCTCTCATGCCCATAACCCACAATGTCTGATTCTCCGATCACGAATGCCCCAGTCGGGCCTCAAGAGAAGCCAATATTGGACAAATTGGTACTGGTCAGAGATAAACTCCTCCTTCTGAAACAAGACAAGAGCACATATGTCAAGTCTTCCGATGTTCTTCCCCTCTATGAGCAGGTGATTGAGCAGGTGTCGATCCTCAACGATGTCCGTGGCCCCGAACATCTCGTCCAGAACCGAGTCGACACAGTCCTCGATGACTGTTTACAGCTCGTCTCGCTCTTCTTTATGGCAGTCGGGCGAAATAACGAAGCTCCCGCATTGTACGCAATGACTGGAAACATTATGCGGCTGTGTCACCATCTTAAAGAGGCGGCCTTCTACAGTAAAAAGGACTTGACAAGCTTGGAAAACACACTGCAGAAGATGCAGGCCACGTTGGAGCATGGCAAGGACGTATACTCTGACCATTTGTTGAGGCGGATACAATATCGCCTGGAGATCTGCAAGGCGATGCTGAAAGAGCTGAGCGATTTTCTCTCCACACTGTCGCCTGAAATGGTGCCCGTGTGGGAGAAATTGGTTTCCATACTACGGGCCATTGCCGCGTTGAATACGAGAAGCAAGGTATTTTGAGAACCACTCTTCATGTCGAGCCATTCGCAGCTAACTTGACCGATAGTACGTTCAAAAAGATCTCGAGGACCTCCGAAGTGAATTACGCGCAGTCACGGCGACGATGACCGACGGAAAGCTCCCAGATAAGACTGGGGTCACTTCGTCGGGGCAAGACCTCGTCGTACCCTTGCTCAACAGATGCCTAAAGTTCACCGACATGGTTGAGGAGCGGTATAGTTCACCACATGTTTCCATTGCTCCCTTCCTACTAACATCCTCTTCAGTCAAGGCAAGATCGACGAACGGTTCAAAGACGTTTACGATAAGCTTATTGAGATCCGGAACCAACTTGAGCGTTTGACCATGACCCAGGCCTGGTCACTCCGGGAGACCGATTTGTTCATGTGGCAGAGGAAACTGGATCGCATAGACGATTCTAGGAGAGACGGCAACTTCTTTGATGCCGAAGGACATCCCGCTGATCTGCACGCACAAAGAGTAAGATGAGCTCCCTCTCAGCAAAAAGGTCGTGCTAACCCATCCAACAGACATTACTTTATCTGATTCGACGAGGATACGCGTATATTTATCAGCTTCTAATTGCATCTGAGCCGGTCTCGGAAGCTCTTCTACCAATCTACAACCAGCTCCTCACTTTGCGACGATGTCTGGTCGAGGTTAAGAAAGCTGGAGGAGTGTCGAATCCTCGGGAGCTGTATCCCTACAGCATGAAGTTGAACTCGATTGACAATATGAGAGTGGATGGGAAATTCCAGATTGGAAAGGATATACCTGAAGGGCAAGGCGCTGTAAACGATCTCCTTGCAGAGTGTTATGACTTGGCTTATGAGCTCAGGACGGCAGCTGAACAGGAAAACGGTGATGACTAGTCCTTGTGAACCCCAGTGAGGTGGTGTCTCTAGAGCAGGGCGCAACGGGTTTTGTCTTGCCTGGCCATGATTGTATGATCATGGTGATTGCCTAACTTGGTGGTTGTGCTTGTGGCTGCCTCAATAGTGCTTTATGGGAAGGGGTGTTTCTGCCTCTTGGACAGGCGGTCATTGTCGTTAGGTCACGTATGCAGATGGGCAAGGACAAGTCGTCGATATGAGGACGAGCTTCACAGCAAATGAGTCTGATAACTCCCGAGGTGCTGAATGAACTGCATGCTCTTGCCGTAGACTGGCACCTAACTGGACTCCTGGAGGCCTGCACCTGGTTGGGAATTAGATACGTCGTGAGTGGTGGCCTTGTCAACCTCGGCCCACTTTGCGCCATGATGCCCCGATGTCGCTAGCCCCAATGAAAAATGGGCCGACATAAAGCTGAATATTTTTCAGATGCTGGTCTTCACATCTGTCGCCCCATCCTTGCCTGTGAGCTGTCCAGTCATGTCGGTCCTGCTGCAGAGAAGCCCGTCTGCACGGGTGAGATGCCCTCTTGACCTCGGATCCTCCTCCATAACACGAAGAGCTGCTCGTCGTGCCTACGCCGTACACGCCCCGTCCCAACCTCACCCACGACGAAAGGCCGCAGTCCCTCCCTACCAAAAGATCCTCAAGAGATTCGAAGATGTTCGAAGGATTTTGGGCTCTCGGAAGCTGACTCTGGCCGAGAAGATCCTCTATGCTCATCTCGACAACCCGGAAGAATCTCTGTTGACCAATACCGACAACGGCAAGAACATTCGGGGAAATGCAAATCTCAAGCTCAAGCCCGACCGTGTGGCCATGCAGGACGCCTCTGCCCAAATGGCTATCCTTCAATTCATGACATGCAACCTGCCATCTACCGCTGTTCCCGCGAGTATACATTGCGATCATATGATTGTAGGTGAAAAGGGCGCAGACACGGACCTGCCCAATTCAATCGCTGGCAACAAGGAGGTATTCGACTTTCTGGAATCTGCAGCAAAGAAATACGGAATTGAATTCTGGCCTCCAGGCGCCGGCATCATACATCAGACAGTCCTTGAGAATTACGCTGCACCGGGCCTCATGATGCTCGGTACTGATTCACACACGCCCAACGCTGGTGGCTTGGGTGCAATTGCAATTGGGGTCGGCGGTGCTGATGCTGTCGATGCCCTCGTCGACGCTCCTTGGGAACTCAAAGCTCCAAAAATTTTGGGTGTGCGCCTTGAGGGCAAGCTCAGTGGGTGGGCCTCACCCAAGGACGTGATCCTTCATTTAGCAGGGCAACTCACTGTACGTGGAGGCACTGGCTCAATCATCGAGTATCACGGGCCAGGAGTCGACACTCTCAGTTGCACCGGTATGGCTACAGCGTGCAATATGGGAGCCGAAGTTGGAGCTACGACCTCGATTTTCCCCTTCTCGGAGAGCCACATCCCCTACCTGCAGGCTACTGGCAGAGGGGCCCTTGTCGATGCCATCAAAGGAATCGCGTACGGCTCAGAGCAGTACAACTTTCTGCGTGCTGATGCTGGTGCGGAATATGACCAGGTGGTTACCATAAATTTATCTGGCCTCGAACCCCACATCAACGGTCCATTCACTCCAGATCTTTCTACGCCACTGTCCAAATTCAGGGAAGCAGTCAAAACCAATAAATGGCCCGATACATTTTCGGCTGGATTGATCGGCAGTTGCACGAACAGCTCCTTTGAGGACATGACTCGCGCAGAAGATCTGGTGAAGCAAGCACAAGCCGCAGGATTGAAGCCCAGGTCTGATTTCTTCATCACACCTGGGAGCGAACAAGTTCGCGCGACGCTCGAAGAGAGTAAGACGCTTCAGAGCTTCGAAGGCGTAGGCGGGACCGTCCTTGCAAATGCTTGTGGACCGTGTATTGGGCAATGGAAGCGTACCGATGGTGTTCAGAAAGGTGAAGACAATGCTATCATCTGCTCCTACAACCGCAACTTCCCCGGTCGGAACGACGGAAACCCGCGCACCATGAGTTTCTTGGCCTCTCCCGAGATCGTAACAGCTATGTCCTTTTCTGGGTCGACGTCATTCAATCCAATTACTGACGAGATTACGTTGCCATCCGGCGACAGCTTTAAGTTCGAGCCACCTAAGGGTACTCCATTACCTGGCTCCGGCTTCGCCATCGGCAACCCTGCTTTCTTGCCTTCCTCGGCTGAGCCTGATGCGAGTGTCCAGGTCGCTGTTGACCCCGAGTCCGATCGGCTTGCACTCTTGGAGCCTTTCGATCCCTTCCCCGAAGGCGAGCTCAACGACTTGAAAGTACTGTTCAAAGTCAAGGGTCAATGCACCACCGATACAATCTCTGCCGCTGGACCGTGGCTCAAATATAAAGGACATCTTCCAAACATCGCGGAGAACACCTTAATTGGCGCAACCAATGCGGCAACCGGTGAGACGAATGTGGCGTACGATTTTGACGGCTCCAAGTCATCCATTCCAGAGCTCGCGAAGAAGTGGAAGGAGCATGGGCTACACTGGCTAGTTGTGGCAGAGGATAATTACGGTGAAGGCTCGGCGCGCGAGCATGCTGCTCTTCAACCTAGATATCTAGGGGGTAAGATTATTTTGGCGAAGAGCTTTGCTCGTATCCACGAAACGAACTTGAAGAAACAAGGGGTTGTACCGTTGACCTTTGCCAATAAGGAAGACTATGACCGCATCGACGCTTGTGATTCGGTGGACACTAACGGTCTTTGGGATGTCCTGAAGAATAATGGTCAAGGCGAAATTCGACTTGAAGTCCGAAAGAGGAGCGGAGAGAGCTTTACAATTCCTGTCAAACACACCTTGAGCAAGGACCAATGTGGGTTCATTCTCGCTGGCAGTGCACTGAACCTGCTTGCGAAGCGCCACAGAGCAGAATGAGTGCAACCTTTATTTGCTTTTCTAGCAAAAGAACGTGTACTGCTTGGCTCAGCCTCGTCGCTTGCGGATCGACTGTCCGACGATCCTCGATCTTGGCGGACATACTGGCGCTGATTGGTGACTTGCTGGAAGATTAGAGCCTTCTCGACTGTCCAATGCGTATCACAGCCACGATGCTCGTGCTCATGCTCTTGATTCTCCGGGAGTTGATTCATGTCGCCAAGATGAACAGCAATTCAAGTTTGAAACAATGGGGAGCCATTGCTCTGAAGGCCTGTACACTCGGCATCGACGCCAGCGGAGTTCAAGCATCAACAAAGCTCAAAGCCATATAAGATAACTTCGCACGGGCGCTGCGACCATGAGAACTGAGCGCCCAGATATCGTAAAGATGAAGATCGGCGCAGTCCTTCTTTTGTGCTATGTGAGCCCCTTGACTAGTGCCTGGGGTACACTTGGTCACGAAACTGTTGCTTGGATTGCCCAGTCCTATGTTTCTTCGACAACAGCGTCAGCCATCAAAGGAATACTTGACACTAAGCAGTCCGACTATATGGCCAATGTATCGACTTGGGCTGATTCTTATCGATACACAAGCGCTGGCAGGTGGTCGGCCCCTCTTCACTTCATCGATGCCAATGACAACCCTCCATCTTCGTGCTCTATGGACTACAACCGGGATTGTGGCGATTCCGGATGCTCCATTAGTGCCATTGTCAATCATACTTCGATACTACTCGACAGCGACTCGAGTGATTCTCTCAAATACGATGCGATGAAATTTCTCATTCATATCATTGGCGACCTTCATCAGCCACTCCACGATGAAGCGCTCGAAGTCGGGGGCAACGATATCAATGTGACATACGACGGTGACGACACGAACTTGCATCACATTTGGGACACAGAAATTGTCGAACAGCTTGCGGACGGTGCTTCTGCAGAGGAATTCGCCAAAAATATGACCGCGTCAATCAAAGCCGGTGCTTATGGCTGGGACGTGGCCAGCTGGCTGGATGGGACGGTCCTGAACGACACCAAGGCGACTGCTTTGATCTGGGCAAGCGAGGCAAACTCGTATGTTTGTAGTGATGTGCTGAGTGCTGGAGTGGATGCAGTCGAGCAAGGTGATCTGAGTGGAAGTTATTACGCGGCGCATTTTGACGTTGCAAGAACACAAATAACCAGAGCAGGTTACAGGCTGGGCGCCTGGCTGAATCTGATCTTCACGGGGGAGACCGCAGGGTAGGGTTGGGAAATGTACAAGGGCCACGAAGGCTGCTTGTTTTCAAGTAGAAACCTGAGGCTCCCTTTAGGTCGAACTAGGTCAGGCATCCAACAAGACGTCAAGCTGCATGTACCGGATGTTGTATGTTCGATTGCATATGGTGATGCTATTTTCTGCCACACTCGAGAGATACAAGCTGTGACATCGATAGTCGGAACTCCTTCTGATCATGCTGAATTCTGACCGCGTGATCTTAATGTCGCATTATAGGCACTGTCTCTGTTGATATAGGGCCAAGGCGCTTATTCCGCCACTCGTACTCGGGTTCTGGTGCAGGGGAAACAAGCCACAGGAACTTTCTCTCGGGAAGCCTCGATATATATGTGGGGAAGGCAGCATGGGATGGACTTTGGAAGGATTCGGTACGAGGATCGTATTCGTTGAATCGATAGAGAGACAAAGAGAGCTTTCTCGGAAACATATTGGGGCTATGCTCTGGTCGTATCTTTACACTTTCAGCAGTCGTCGCGAAATTGACCCAAGAAAGAAGTATTAATGGCCATCACCGTTATTGGCACCACTCGACGACAGTACTTGTAATCCTTGAATCCATCGAGAGTCAGCCCAGGCCTTCTCAGCCCCTAGAAAAGAGAGAAATCAAAACCAATGCGGAGAGAGCGTCTACGGATGCGAAGTATCCATGTCCGAACCTAATGCAACTCAGCGTTCAGGACCGCTCAAGGCGTACGTATGTGTGAAGACGATCATCAATATACGGTGTCGACCATCTCGGACATACTACTTTAATAAAGTCGACTCTGCCTTGAACACATAAGACGTAACACTCTCGTATTCTTTCAGATCCTTCAGACAGGATCACCAAAATATAGACGGCAAAGCAGACGCAAGGCTGTCAAATGTGACATATCAACATCGAGGTTTTTGTCTTGGTGTTTGGCCCTCGCGTTCTTTTTTTGTGGCCGCGTCGCTTGGTTGATTGATTGATTGATTTTGGCCCCGCCAACTCATTACGCCTCGTCTTCTCGATATACTTGTACAAAAGCTCGACAACAAAATCCAACTCCACGATCCATTTGCCGGCGTTTCCAGGCTTTGTTTCTGTTTACCTTTCATTAACGCCACCTGCATCGCCGAGGACAGCCTGGTCCGCCCCTATCCCGACCCCAATACGCTCGTTCCCACCGAAACACGAACCCGACGTTGCGGTCGCGGTCACAGTCCTTTTCGAGCTTCAGTTTCTCAAATAGACCGATCTTCTACTTCAACCACATCTCCATCCGTTTGATGTGCCTTCTGCAGTCCCGCCGGAGACCACCCTGCCTGCGATCGAGCTCCACCGTCAGCACTATATTGCGCTATCCAACCACCCGGCCGCTACACAATACTATCGCGCGTGCTCACTTCTCAGGGACGCAGCCGCCGGTAGGACGGCTGGCTGCCGCTATTCCGATCGACGCAGACGCAAGCCATCAGGCTTGCCCTTCTTGGCCATGCCACCCTACCCGGCGCAACAAACACAGAACGTCCTCATCATTGGCTCTACCGGAGTGATAGGAACGTACATCACGCGGGCAATTGTGGACGAAAGAGACAAGTTTGGGCGAATATGTATATTCACGAGTCAAAAGACGATGATGCAGAAGATCCAGGATATTGCTGCATTAGAAGCATGGGGCGTGGAAATATTCACCGGTCGCCTGGAGAGTGAGCGCTCCTTCAAGAGGGCCTGCGAAGGTACGTTACACACCACGAGGCAGGGCGCTGCATGAAGGTGGAGACAGCAACGAGCGTTTTACACATTACACAGCGTGTGGGAAGGTGCTGACATCCGATTTTACCTATAGGCATCGATACGATCGTCTCTTGCGTCGGCCGTGGCGGTATCGAAAAGCAGATGAACCTGATCACCTGGGCGGAACAAGCCGGTGTGCGTCGATTTTTCCCGTCCGAGTATGGCACCGACATCGAATACTGGCCTGAATCCGCTCAAGAACCACCTCATCAACTCAAGCTGAAAGTAAGAGCTCACATGAAAACGATGAAGAGACTGGAACACACCTATTTGGTGACGGGACCGTACAGTGATTTATACTTTGGCACCATGAAAGCCCGGCCAGAACTGGGCGAATTTGATGTAAAGGAGAGAAGAGCAGTTCTGCTAGGGGATGGGGATGGACCCGTCAGTTTTACAGCCATGACTGAGTAAGAGGGGACGGCCATCGATGAGAGGACGTTATGCTGACTGCGGATCTAGTGTTGGAAAGTTTGTCGTTGCAGCTCTTGTCAACCCAGCCGCATCGAGGAATACGACTCTTGTTGTTCATTCATTCACGGCCACGCCGCACGAAATCTTGGCCGAGTACGAAGAGCAAACTGGATGCAAGTGGGAGAAATCCTATACCTCTCTGGAGCGACTAAAAGAGATTGAGAAGGAGGAATACCAGGTCTATTCAGCACTCGCGACAGTCGTGACATTGCGACGCATCTGGACAGAGGGGGGCACACTCTACAAATTCTACGATGAGGGAATCCTGGGTCAGATAGACTCGGAAACACTGGAGTCCCAGGTTAGGTCAAATATCCGAAAGCAAGAAGAAGGTGAAGATCATTTCCCAAGTCTAATGAGGAAATTGAGTCTTCAGTAGAGCATGGCGCAAAGAGGTGGACGTTGTAAACAGGAGCAGTGCACAGGAATACTGTACATTTACGAAGAATTATGAGTCTATGAATGAGCATAGCCATGCATCCGCGCGGTCGTTCGGAGTGTACTCTGGCTACGGATACCAGGAGAAGGAAGTTTTTTACATTCTCAGCATTCTGGATTGGGGGCGAGGAAGAGGAAGAACATACCTAGATATATATACTACCATTGTCGATATGTACGGACACGGTCTTGTCTACCACAGTAAGTTAGTGTTAATACCTTATGCGACAGAGGCCCCAGAACCATCCGATCGACCGAGTCGTCTTGTCGTCTCTGATCATCGAATACTGATAACCGATGCCCGAGGTCTCCATCTCTCCTCCAATCTCTCCACTGGTCAAGCGAACTCCAACCTCCATTTTACCGTTTACCAACATAAAAGACCGTGAGACGTGGCGCGGGATGATGTCCAAGCCAGATCGACGACAGAATACAGATATGCTCGCGCTGATGCTGATTGCTGACCATCAAGCCCCGGTGATAAGATAATCCCCCACGCTCTTCCCATAGTGGTCATTCGTTGTCATCATAAGGGCGTGGCTGTTCCGGTGGAGATACCATTTCTGATACACTCACTAGTACTTGAACCTTTTTACCTTTTTGCGTCGAAAGGGAAAGTCACAACTTAGATAGATTCTGCGTACCTTTTCTGATCTCTGTTCTCCGAGCGCAATATCATAAAGTCGCTTGTGGGTGGAACTACCAGCTGAGGAAAACGACGGGCAAGAGCAAGAGCAAGCTCGGACTGAAGGTACTGCAACGACGAGAAAGATACCTGCATAAACGATTCCGCAGGGAGCTGTCATCGCGTTGCCCACGACCTCGACATTTATTTTCATGCTCTGCACGCCGCGAAGGATCTGGAGACTGCCACTGCCACCACTCGCACAAGTGCACAAACGACCTATCAGTTCGCTGACCACAGTGAGAGCTTCGAGACCAAGCAGCCAGACCAGAATCAGCACACCGAAGCTACAAGCCTCAGTTTCCCGCCGTGCATCAACGAGAAGGTCCGTACCATTTTCCTCTCCTCCACAACAACGAGAGCAACGCAGCCGGACGATTTCCCTTGACACGAACACGGCCATCATGTCGCCATTCCAGTCTCCACCCCCCCTGCCCCAGGGCAAGGACAAACACCACATTGTCGTCCTCGAAGGCATCCACGCCGCCATGCCGCCCTTTTCTTTCCCACACACCATTACGGTCCACCAACGCACCGCGCCCGAACAAGTGGCCGAACGCATCCGCGACGCCACCATCGTAATCGCATGCGTCGTGCCCGTCACGCCCGCGGACATGGACGCCGCACCACACCTAGGCTGTCTATCCGTCATGGCCGTCGGCATCCACTGGGTGGACAAACGCGACTGTGCCGCTCGGAACGTGACCGTGACGAAATGCCCAGCGGGCAACGTCGACGCCGTGTCCGAGCACTTTCTGGGCCTGTACTTTGCCAGTCGGAAGCGCATCGTGCAGGTGCACGAGAGAGTCACGCAGTCCAAAGAGTGGCGTGAAAAGGGCACGCTGACGACACTATGGCCAACCGGACCGCCGATGGGATGTCGGCAGGAGGTACTCGCCATCATGGGCTACGGGACACTGGGTAAGCGTATCGCACAACTTGCTAGAGCCGTCGGATTCGGCGAGGTTCTAGTCAGTGAGCGCAAGAACGCGACGGCCGTGAGAGAGGGGAGGGTGAGTTTCGACGAGGCCTTGAAGAGGGCGAGCGTCATCGGCCTATGTCTGCCCAAGGAAGATGATACGGTCGACCTTATTAGCGAGAAGGAGCTGAAGATGATGAGGCCCGACGCGCTGGTCATCAATGTCGCGAGAGGCGGGATCGTGAACGAAGCGGCCCTCGCGAGGGCTCTGCGGGAAGGCTGGATCGCTGGTGCAGCCACGGATGTGCTTGAAATCGAGCCCGCGGGCGTGGGATCGGGGCCCTTGACACCGGATCCTGCCGAAGGAGAACAGCCAGTGCCGAATTTGACCATCTGTGAGTCCATATCCCTTAACACATCAGACCGGCCGGGGCAGAGCGTGCTGGTGCAGCACTGCTGTCCCTGCTCACAAGGAGATTGACCGTCGTCTTTCCCATTGAAGGTCAAGATTGACAGATTGGCGCCTGCTATGGTCCTTGATCAAAAATGCTAACTCTGGTTTTTTTTTTCGCCAGCTTCCCATATAGCCTGGTTCACCCAGACCACGATCGAAACGTACCAGCGCCTCCTGAAAGAGGGTGTCGAAGGCTGGGTGAATGGCACGCTCCAAGAGTCCGAGGATACTGTGCACACGGTCGCTGTCGTGCATAACGGGAAGATCTGGAACTGATTCCCTGTCCCATCGCCATCGCCATCCCATGCCAAAGTCCCAACGAGAGACATGACAGACAGATCCCAAGGAGGGGCCTCACCCGCGTTGCCAGAAATTCGCTGAACGGGAAAATCGCAAACGCATGTCCCCCAATGCGCGAAGCTCGGCATACATAGTACGCCTTCTGAAGCACACCCAGGCTGAATGGTCGAATGCCAGGCACGTGTCAGCATGATGTACCTCGTCGCATTGTCGCCCGGTGTCGATAGAATCACAATGACAAGTCTCCATCGGCACCATGGCTGCAAGCTTGCTACTGCTTCGACTTGCTGAGCAGAGTCGAGCAGAGGCTTGGGGCTGCACAAAATGGACCAGACAACGGCAAGGTCACACCAGGAGTGGGGATGTGGGAGGGAGACTTGCTCAAACACATAGAAGATGATGTCCTGAACGCTGCACATCGAATCTTGGGAATGGCCTTGAAAAGAACATCTTATGATAATGGTGGATTTAAAGCACAGACCTATGGTCTCAAGAAGATAGACGGTCAACACAAACACATAGAGGACTCAGAGCGCCAGCTAGAAAGATAGACAGACGAGTAAGGACGTCGTTCAAGAATGCCGTTTCGATGTGACTCGCACGAGCGTCCTTCCAAGTATCTTCTACGTACAAAGGGCAGCCAACCAAGTCGGCCAAGCGATGCTCGACCAAAGTCCGCCTGACTCGGCCCAATTCACTGTAGGCGCCGTACCAAACAATGCAGGTTGTTAACAATCATCAATGCAGCGATATCATGCAACCCCGTCAATCATGAAACCCGTCAAAAATCATGTCAATTCACTCCTCTAGTCTCCTTTATGCAGTCTGAACCTCAGCCGGAACATGCTGGTTGGCTTGCGGCTTGCTCTCTCCGACATTCGTACTCGGTGAGCTACTTGCCTCGCCAGAAACACCGTTTTCAATACCAACGACCGGCTGTGGAGAAGGCTGAGGCTGCTTACTAGGCGTGGGCACCGGTTCGGTGCTGCTCATATTTCTCAACTGCTGAGGACTTGGTCTCAAATTCTCCACGGGCGGAAAGACAGGGGTCCCGCTGATAGTTCTCTTCTCGGCCGGACCACCGCCCGGCGTGACATTTGGCTGTAGAGGCATCAGTGACGGCGATACGTTGTTGGGTTTTTGTGGGATCATCGAAGGTGGCGGAAGTGGTTGAGGGGTTTGTTGCTTTCTAGGCGACAATCCGGAGAGAGGTTGTGTAGTAGGGGTCTGTGCAGTTTGAGGCTGAGGGCGCTGGCGAGGTGTTGCTTGTAGCTGGGTCGGTAACCCGTTTTGAGCTTGGTCTGTGTATCCGTTGGCAGAGGCACCATTGATGGTCGCGTGACCCATGGGCGGCGACTGTTGTGAAATTCCTGCTACAGGACCGACGTCCATATTCCCTTGGGTGGGAGACATCATTGGACGATTAAACACAGGTGATGGAAGACGGCCAGTATTGTTAGCTGCATGACCATTGGCTGGAGACTGTGTTAGTTGGCGTGGTGTGTTTTGTGCAGGCGCTAGTGGTCTTTGACCATGAGGATAGTTCTGGTGTTGATGAGGGACGCCGTTATAGTAAGCGGGACGCTGACCGTCTTGTGGAGGCGGACTTCTAACCGCACCATCGTTGATCATAGGCGGCGTTTGCTGTGGTGGGTATCCGGCGGATATGCGTTGAGGAGAGTATTGCTGAAGGACTGATTGTTGATGACCCCCTGCTGAGGATGGCCGATACTGTTGACCAGCAAAGCCATACTGAGGAGCGCCAGCAGCTGCTTCTGGATGGTCGTACTGATAGAAGCCATTGTTAAGGGCAGGCTGAGAACGATAGGGAGAGCTTGACGGCTGAGTGGGCGGTGAGGATCCCTGTGCAGCGTAGCCATTCATCATTGGACCTTGAATAGGAGGTCGAGCCACCTTCTGCCCAGGGACTTCCACACTGATAACTGTTGACTTTTGAGGCGGTTGCTCGATTGGAAGTAGTGGACTCGGCGGCGCCGGCGACGAAGATGTACCAACGCGGAACTTGAGCGAAATCTTTGGCTTCTTCGCATCTTCTTCTTTTCGTCTACAGTCTCGGCAGACGAAATGGAAATCCTCCTTCTCAGCTGCAGACTTGGAGATGCCCAAGCATTTACTATGCTGCCAGACGCTGCACCTCTCACAAGCTACACTGTGAGAGCCATCGTCCTATAAAGCGTCAGTCGCGTAGCCAGTCAGTAGCATAAAGCAATGCTTACCAGGTTCTTGCCATGGATCCCGCAGCCAGAACAATCAAAGGTCCAGTCTTCCTCGTTGTCTAGATCCTCCAGCTCCTTCTTGTTCTTTTCCATTCGTTGTTTGAGGTTGCGATCGGAGCCTCTGATTTCGCCTTCTTCGATCTTCTTCTGTTCAAGGGCATCTCTCGCAAGCTCTTCTTCCTTGAGAAGTCGTTTGTACTCTCGATCTTTGATACGCTGCTCTCGGGTCATCAACCGGTATTGTCGTTCTTGTTCCATCTTCTCCTGTCTCTCCTGCTCCTGGTGAGCAGCCAGTAAGTCAGCCTGTCTCTTCCGTTCTGCTTCGGCTTCTTCTGCTTCGCGCTTTTCTCGGTCCTGCTTGTCCGCCAATCGACTTGATCGCTTGGCCCCAACCATCTTTTCCATCAGTAGCAATTCGCGTTGTCGTCTCTCGATCTTTCGTCGCTGTTTCTCCTCGGCAGCCTCGATGATCGGAATGACTTCCGATATCAGGCGCTCTCGTAGAGCTTTCTCATTGGGGTCCTTTGACTTCTTCAATGATTCGCATAACTCATGGTAGTCGGAAAGACTGATGGCAAGGCACTCCCACTTGAATCCACCAAACGTGTCAACTTCCCAGGGTTCGAGATTCTTTTCTTCAACGGCTTGAGTCTCATCAATCTCTTCCTGATTGTCTTCTGAGGCTTCAGCCTCAACAGTCAGCCTTCTGCGCTTGCTCTCTCTTCGCTTGGCAGCAATTGCTTTCTTTGAGTTGGCTTTAGCTTTGGCTTTTGGGGCGGGTGGCGGGGGAGGCTCTGTACGGCGGTAGAGGCGATTGTCATCAAGTAGGTAGTAATTCCTGTCTTCACGATCGTATCCAAACTCCTCAATTCGCTGTTTCCAACTGGTCAGATAGTTGAAGAACCTGAGGAAGACAAACTCACCCATTCCAATTGATCCACCTCACGTGGGTGGTCGGGCATCCTCTCTCTTAAGCGATCGGGATTCCAAAAAGTCCATACAGTCAACTGGTGCAGTACTCGGATCTTGGTGAAGATGTCAAAGTCTCGGAATCGATTCGGCGTCTCCCCTTCGCCGTAAGGGTTGAGGTGCGGAGCTTTGGCAAGGTATTGGCGCCGAGTATATTCGTCCCAGATGTTGTAACTATATCGGGTCAGCCGCCATCTGGTGCGGGCGAAGGTAGGAGTACTGACTCAAGACCACGATGGGATGAAATCCATTTGAGGAGGGTCAACCCTATCTCCTCAAGTTTCTCGGAGTAGCCGGGCTTCAAACACTCATTTTCAAAATCCTAGAAGGCAAATATTAGTCATTCCGTGCACCCAAATTACTCCGCCGCCATTGAATTGGGAATAAGATAGGCATGTATGATTGGGGCAGGTTATACCTCGATGTCAAAGTCCTCATCAATTTTGACTGCTCGGCCAAAAATGAAAATGAACTGCATTGTAGAGGCGAATTCCCACATATTCCGTATCCTCTGAAGTAGTGAAGGCTCTGGCTTCTTTCCTTCAGGGGTGGAGGCCTCCATCTCGTCGTGGGTGCGTTTTCGCGGCATGGTGAAGGAGGGTGACGAGGAGGCGGCGACGCCTTGGGGACGGGGAGGAACTCTTCTCCTTTTCTTTCAGGTTGATCGTATCATAGACTGACGCGTTGCATCTCTACGAGGCTCTGGAAATAATAATGTTGGGATATTCCACTTGACGTGGAATTGTAGACTGCGCTTCTTTTTGCGAACCAACTAGGGTGGAATTGCCCAAATCGCCAAATCGATGCGCGACTTTTGATTTACGAACCAAACCACAAACCGCTTCGGCAAAACTCCGGATGCGGCTCCCCATCTCGCCATTCAATCAATCAATCAGTCACTACTCCGTACAGTATCAGTCAATCATTCATTCCTTAATGCCACCAACAGTCAACGTCTGGGTGTATGGTGCTTGTATCATTAGTTTGTCACTCTATACCGACAGTTCTGTCCTTTTTGCCTAACCATTCTTTCTGGACAAGCTAGCTGTAGATTGAAGCGAACGTTGGATACTGCATTCTGTGCACATAGTCTTCGTTGGACAAATGCAGTGACAGCCAACAAGAGGCCGTGAACGACAATGGCAGTAGCCTCCCAACAAGAGGCCAAGTCCTCAAGCTTTGAGTTTCCAAAGAGCTACAACTTTCCGCCCTTCTTCAGCCCCCAGCCAACAGCTTTGACCCGACAGGCTCAGCTGAAAAAATGGTCAATCCTCATTCAAAGATATTGCAAACATCATCGCATATTCAAACTTACAATCATTGATGCCCTTGAAACCCCTCTGTTTCACAATGCTACCCTCAAAAAGCGCTTGAGCTTGAGAGATGCCAAAGCAGCTATCGATTACATGGCCAGCAAAGATGGGGGCGAGCGAGCTGAGTGGCTTGGCCCTGAGAAGTCAGAAGCCTGGATCTGGTGGCGAAAGCCCGACGAATGGGCTACGGTCATCGCAACTTGGGTGGAAGAGACAGGCCAGAAGGGCACCGTCCTGACCCTCTATGAACTAGTCCAAGGAGAAACAACCGAGAAACAAGAATTTTATGGTCTCGATATGGAAGTACTCCGTAAGAGCCTCAATACGCTGGTAAAAAAGGGGAAAGCTCAAGTGTTTGGGACCGAAGACCAGCAAGGTGTGAAGTTCTTTTGATTCATATCATATTCAAGTCAACATCAACAAATCAGACATCCAGCAACCCAATGCATCGCTAACTTCGAGCAACCGTATACCTCATCACGCCGATCTGGAATTATGCCGCGAGTTCATACTGCTTCGTCGGTAGCAATAGTTGGGACATCGCCGTCTCCAGGATCCAATCGGCCGTGACGATGCGAGGAACTTTTCGGCTACCTTCGGCCATCTCCTTGAATCGAGTCCATAACGACTTGTTCTCCTTTCGATCATCGTCGTTGCTCAAAAGGTAAACCTCGTTATTGGCGTCAATATCAGTGCTGGCCTCGCTGTCGGCTCGACCCGAGGGAACTGTTGTGCCTTTGCGACCACGCCACGTCCTACATTCACCACCGTTGGCTTCCACGATGGTTTTGAAAGTATCAACCCCGCCGCGGATATTCTCCAGACAGTAGATGATACGGCCTTGGAGCAATTGACCATGGTTCTTCTGGGCGCGCTCTCGTGAGAGCTTTAGAGAAACACCAAGTTTCTGCTCATTCTCCTTGTCTTGTAGCCTGAACTCCATGGGATCGAGCAGCTCGTTTGCCTCTAAACAAGCGTCAATGTAGTCAGTCGAGATCACGATCGGAGCGTATGCCAGCGCTGTCACGAACTTCATCGTCCGGACAATACGCGGGGCAGCAAGATGAGTTGCCCTGCTGGGATCCGTGGTGCATGTAATCCCTAGGTTTCGAAGTTGTTTCTAGAAACATCAGTATCCATGTTTTCAACCATTCCACGATGCTTACCTTGTCATTGTCTTCGATCTTGGCATGACCAACCCACTTTTCATAGCCAGAGACTACGAGATGCATGGCTGGAGAGAAATTGCCGCGCTTCACCTTCTTGGACTCATTCTCATCCGTCATCTCATGGTCCGACGCTTCATCAACAGATCGTTTACGCCCGACCTCTATCCGATCCTCGTCGGTCTTGCGTCGACCTCCGTAGACAACACCACCCACTCTCTTGCGTTCTTTCTCGTATAGCATCATGTCAGGGGTCATCTCATGCAAGCGAGCCGACGCAACTTCTTTGGACTTTCGGCTGTGCGTCGTTGACGGCGTTATATTCTCTTTGCCAGTCGCAATAAGCCTCGAGGGTGCCGGAGTGCGTAGTTTTTCATTTCGGTCGTGGGTAGCTTCTTCTGCTTCGTGCGTGCGGCTGGATTTCTTTGCTGAAACCGCGTTGTTGTTGACTTGCTGCATCGGTCTTGCATTAGCGGCCTCAGTCATTTCCACATCTTCTCCAGGTGGAAAGAAGCATTTTTCGAGCACGGTACGATCTAGCTGAGTGTGGCCGACTACCTCACCGAGATTGGTTCGCTTGGGAAAATGTGTGTATCTGTTATCGGTGATACTTTGCATCTTCCACCGTGTATAACTCTCTTCAAGCCAAAGATGATTGACAATGTGGATTCCCCAGTCTTTCGCTGCAGCACATTTCTCGCTCAAGACATGTGCCGTGATTAGATGGGTGTTGTCTTGCTTCAGCGTCTTTGTACATTCAGCGCCAGTTGCATTGATGAGATTTTCCAGATATGTTCGTGCGTCTCCGCTATAGTTTGAGAGACTGATTTTCAGTCCTTCAAAACCCGGCAGTCCATCTTTAGGTATGGGATAATGCAGCAAACGTCGCATGGGAGATGTCCATTCATCAGTCTGGATCAGGTAGTACAGCCAGGCCAGATTGCCTACATCTTTGCCGGCCCTGGAAGCCATACGGTACTCTTCGTCACTTCGATATTTGCAGATGAACATATCGGCTTTCAAGACGGAATCTGTCATCTGCCCACCGCTGCCTGTGATGATCCCCTCTAGTATGTTTTGCAGATACGGCGATATTCTGAGGTCTTTCCACAACATCACAGTCTTTTTCTTGAACACTTTCTTGAGCTGTCTAGGCCCAGTAATAGCCTGTTGATCGTCTTGTGAAGGGTCAGGGTGAACAGCCCCTTCTACCTGGGTTTTCCGTTTTGCTGCTGGGGCCTTGTTGTTGGAGGGTTTCAGTATGTCTGGGTCTGGCAGTAGATATGGCTGGTCGTCGATCTTTCTTCCCAGCTTCAGGCAGTCATCCACCCAATGTGGCAGCACAATCTTGACAGGCAAATCCCTCTCTCGTGCCCGAACGCAGGATTCTGACTCAATGGTGAGGGCGATGATGTGGGTGACCTGGTTGGTGAGCTTGGTTGAGAACAGACCGCCCATAGCCAGTATACCGCCAGCAATAGCATCCGAGTCGCCTTCAGGAAGGTCTGCGACGCAAGCCACCACGTCAGACATGAAATAACGAGGATCGGGACTGTATTGTCGTGGGTTGAGTAGTCTGTTCTTCGCGAGAGAATGTAGAACCCAAGTCGGCTTAATAACGGGGATGAAGGCATCGAAGCATACATGGTAGTCCGGGAAGTCGAATGTGTCGGAAACAACGTGGGTGACGCCGTTAATATCGAGGTTGTTCTCGGGGTAGTCATCAAAGACGACTTCTCCGTTATGCAGTCTCAACTCGGATGCCAGCTAGATTAATCAGTGGTGTTTTCCGGGCATGGACACAGAGGGTACCTACCTGCATGACAGTCTCTGTAGGAAGAGTGGCAGAACGCACGATGACGAAGCTGCATTGGGCGAACAAGCCCTTGTTCTTCGGTGTGTCAACGTCCATGTTGGCGGATGGGGAGGTACCAACAAAACTGCGTATCAGGCCTTTGCAGGTATTGAGTAGACTGGTAGTCATCGACGGTTACATAACTAAGTTATTGAAATATGGGTAAGTGAGTAACGATGGACAGTGGCGGCGAACTTCACTGACCGCAGGCACGCGTGAGAGCAGGACGCGATTTCTCTCATTAAACAAAAGAACGCGCTATACGTCGAGTCATGTGACCGGCCCCCGCCGCTCTGGCTGCCCACGAGATTGTAACCTTCAGCCCTTCTTCTATCTTTTCTTTTTCCTTTCACACGAGGGCGCCGCGGATGTGGCAGATTGCAAATTCATGACCTTAGCAGCTTTAGCAATCGCACGGAAGCAATCAATGGCCTGGTAGAGCGACCCGTACCCGAACAACCCATATCGCAGATCCGGATGGGGCTGGACCTCGGCACTTCTTCCGCGATCCGCAGGGCTCGCGCAGCCGGCAATGGCAGTTCGACCATTGACCTATAAACCACCCTTCTCAGCGCAGAGCTGTCCTTGATGCATTCCTCCCCGACCTCTACTGATGCATCACTTTTGACAGTCTTTCTTTGAGAATGTCCTCTTTCCACGTTGTCGAGCACAAAATCCCCTGTCAACACATTCGAGAATACCCGCGCGCATTAGCCGGCCCACAAGAGGATGTACTATATCTGTCCGTGAAACAATACATACCCAAAGACAACCCCAATCCTCAACCTGGCGATGTTACCATCTTAGGCGCACATGCCAATGCCTTCCCTAAAGAGCTCTACGAGCCACTATGGGACGATATCCATGCGCGGTCAAAGAAGAATGGCTTCCGCATCAGGAGTATATGGATCGCAGACGTCGCTCAACAGGGCCACAGCAGTGTCCTGAACGAGCAGCTGCTGGGGAATGACCCGAATTGGAATGATCATCCTCGAGACCTGCTTCATATGATCAACATGAAAAGAGACCTGATGCCTCGGCCGTTGATAGGCATCGGTCATTCGATGGGAGGAAATCATCTGTATGACCCGCCCGTCTAGTGTCCCCATGCATCTTCAAAACTGATATAGATACAGCGTGAATCTAGCATATATGCACCCGCGCCTTCTCACGACCCTCATCCTCATTGACCCCGTAATCCAAGTATACTCCAGCGTTGCGCCCGACGTAGGCCCTAGCCCAGCTCAGTTATCCACATTTCGCCGCGACGTCTGGTCTTCACGGGAAGAAGCTGCGAGGAGCTTCAAATCCAGCAAATTCTACCAGACATGGGATCCTAGGGTCCTGGATCGTTGGGTCCAATACGGTCTGCGAGATATGCCCACACTAATACACCAAGAAGGACCACCCAAGGTCACACTAACAACACCACTTCATCAAGAAGTCTTTACATTCCTCCGGCCCAATTATGAAGGTTACGGATGGCAGGGCAAGGCCGTTAACCGTAAAACTCACCCTGATCTGAACCCGGCACTACCAACCATATACCCATTCTACCGCTCCGAAGGACCCCAAGCATTCTTCCGCCTTGAAGAGCTCCGGCCCAGCGTCCTGTACATATTCGGCGGCAAGTCCGACGTCGGCACGCCTGAGTCCTGCAAAGCCAAGATGGACCATACTGGCGTCGGCGTTGGTGGCAGCGGAGGCGCACCAGCCGGACGTGTACGAAGCGTCCTGTTTGACGACATCGGCCACTTGATCGCAATGGAGGCTGTTGACCGGACCGCCGACAATGCCGCTACTTGGCTAGGAAGCGAGATGAAGATCTGGAGGGAAGACGAAGAAGAGCACAACCGTACCTGGAAGTCGAAGCCCTTGGTCGAGAAACAGACCATAGACGAGCAGTGGAAAAAGATGATTGGAGGTCCATTGAGGAAGCCTAAAGGGCCGAAACTGTGATCTCGGAGTTAGAACTGCATTTTCACCAAACCATGCTAGAAGGTCAGGATCATCTCTGTGCATGTGTCCTACTATGCAAAATGATCGATTTGGCGACCAGACTTGCGCTGCAGCATTGCATTTAGAAGATGAGAGCCATAGAGTTGGTACCACGTTGTTCGGTAGAAAATGCCAGCAGAAGGCAGCTCATAGACGGAAACAATGTCAGCTCAGATATAACCTCAGTCTATTCCGTACCCTACTGCTTTTTGAAGGTCGTTGAGCCTTCGCTTCGCCACCGTATCTGTCCACTGGTCGAAAGTTTGTACCTGACTGAATCAATTCCACATATCTCACATATGTCCAGTATTCTACTATGCAGTTAAATTCGCAACCAGGGTATTCATGAAACGTCGTGTATCACCAGTCTCCACACAATCCTAGCCAGCGCAGCCATCGTAGCGAAGCCAGTCCTATCTTTGGGTCACTCCTCGCCCATAGCAAGCAAACAGCATCTTTAGAGACTCAACCTCCGCGCCCTCCTTTGTCTTATCTCACTTGTCGACAGCAAAGGCACTTTCTCCTCCCCATCCACCGCCGCCGCTTCCCGATACAATCCATCATACCTCCCCATCGGCATACGTCCCCTTCTATACCCCAGCCCCTCGCTCTCATCCAGGACATCGACATGGCGAATTTGCCCATCATCACCCGCACCCTGGGGTGGCACACTCCCATCTGGATCCCTCACGCCATAAATGACCCTATAATTGCCCAACTTCTCCGCAATCTCATCCCCCGTCAACAGACACCCAGTGTCACCCAATCTCTCCACAACGGGTCTCAACAACCGCGCCGTTGAGAGGTGACTCGTATCCTTGATGATGGCCTTATTCGCAAAGCCGACCACAATACACAGAATGATAAACTGTGCCACAGGTATCCCTCCCACGATCGCACCCGCAAAATTCCACTTGACGTTTAGAAACTGCGCCGGCGCCGGCGCATAGCCCCTGACATTGACCCTGGGACCCCCAGCGTCCATGGCTGCGATCGCGCCCGCCGTGAATCTCATGACCAACCCCGCCATCATGAGCTCTGTGTAGTTCCCTGGCGGACTCCACTTTGAGTCGGCCGGGTATTGTACGAATTGGAGATCGGTTGCCAGCGCGCCGTCCTGGGTGTATGTCATGACGCCGGACCAGCCGATCGCGCCTGCGAGATACTGCGCCTGCGGGTTCGAAAGCTCGTAAGTTGCTGGATCCTCGTACACGTCCACAATGGACACCGGCAAGACGTGCGACTTGCAGCTCCAGAAGCGTGGGACGGGTACGCTGTCGGTTTCGTTATCCGCCGTTTGGAGGGCGTAGATCTGTATGCACCGATCGCCGCAAGTCGTCATGTTGGCCATCCACGTCGTCGCGCCCGTCGCGACGTTTTCGACGACAAGTGTACGATTGTACCCATCGTCATCAACCCACGTCACGTCCCACATGGTGTCGGGGTCGTCAGTATTGAAGCCACCGTAGCCACCCGAAACGACCTCGTCTAGAAATCAGAAGAATCAGTCTAGAATATCCCTAATGGTACCGAATAATCAAGTGCGTGCAAAATGAGCATTCTGCACCGTGTCTAGTGCGATAAGAGCTGACTTACATGATTGACATTCTGCAGTGCAATTGATTGTGCGATCGGTCACCACGGTCAAGCCTCCTGCCGAGGAGGACTGATCAACAAAGCGATACCAGTAAGCCGACTCGTCCTCGTTGGTGTAGACTACTTGTTGACTGCCGGAACCATCTGTGTCGTAAGTGTCATACCGAGTGGGGTAGTCCTGGCCTGTGATGCCATATACATTTGCAGCAGAATATTCAGCTACTTGGGCTCGATCGCTGTTAATGTTGGTGCCGAATAGAGTTTCGGTTTCAGAATTGCCGATATAGGTCAGATCAGCAATGCTGACATTACCTATATACCGCGGCCGTGAGCACATGGTCAGGGGTTGCCAGGGTGTTACTTACCATATGTGAGCCGTACGATATCCGGGGAAACGTCAATCGAGTAGGTTAAACCGAGCAAGGCGGTAATGACTTGCAGAGCCAGATTTACAGTGATCGAGAGCAACGCAACCAGTTGTGTCTTGTTCGGATACCATCGCCCAGGAGTTCGGCCTGCCCATAGCAAACGAAACGTTTGGGTCTGACTATCGCAATTCATGACCAGCTCGAAGTCTTGTAGCGATCGGTATTCACAGGCAAGGAACCTCCACCGCATCATTTGCGCATAGCCCTTGAGCGACGAGGCAAGATTCATACCCAGACAAAGCGACAGACCAGTGATCAAGGCGTTGTAGATGTGTTTCGTGGTGGATGTAACACCAAGATTGAATTTAGTGAAGCCGTACATGACAGCGGCAAGACCTGCGCAGATGATGGCGGTAATCAGCCATTGGAAGCTGCTGTTGACAAACAATCTTTTGCGTTGCTGGCGATAGTCGAAGTAGCGAACAGTATCCGACGGATGTGAGGATGCTCCTGGCTTCTCTGAAAACTCATGCTCCCACGGCGCAGCTACCTTGGGAACATTGAAGCTCGAGACAGCTTTTCTCGTGGTGGACCATACTGATGAAGCCACCCTATACAACGAACTTCCTGTCCGTTGAAGTTCTTGAGGTTGTCAGCGTTGAATACGCAGGCAGGTATGTGATACTGACTTGGTGGTCGAGGAGGCATGTCTCCATCTGAGCCTGTGTAGGCATGACTTTCAGCGACAGTGCTGTTGCCCTGCTTCTTGACGATCGGGTCTTGACTACCTTCGCTGCTTCGTTGCGGTGGGTATTGCCCGGTTGAGGAATCGCTTATAGTGTTCGAAAATTGAATAGGTCCTTCTGGAACAGGAGCCGCGTTCGAAGTCCCGTTAGAAGTCGCGTTCAGCCCAGTGTTCGCGAGAGGGTTGAGCCGCGCATATCGTGAGGCTGTCATTAGGTGAGGTATGATCGTTCAATTCGGAAGCACGTAAAAGCAATAGGAAAGAGCGTAGAAGCAAATCAGCGTGTGGCAGCAGACGTTGGCCAGCAAGTCTTGTCTTGTGTGTGAAGCGAAGGTGACAGAACGGTGTACCAGTGCGAAGGAATGTACCAGCAGGATATATATCGTAGTAATGAAGCACAGCTTGGTGTCGGCTAGATTATGGACTAATAAAGTACATGGCCATGACTTGGAGGGTTGTGTCAGTTTGGGGCCATTTGCACCCTGTCACCGACACCATTGCACGATATCAGTTAGTGCGTCTTGTCAGCAACGAAGCATACAAGGTGAAGTGAACTGTACTATAGTCTGCAGCCTGGGCAGTGGACACCTGCCCGGAAGCTGCACTAGCCTGTTGGTTGAATTCGTTGATTGAGATATAACGAGCCGCATGGACGGGAGGCTGACCGTGAGATAGCCCAGCAGCCGTCAGGACGCTAGTTCCTTCGGAAACGTCTGGCGCCCCTGCATATCACCAGAGAAATCCTCCTGAAATGCACGCAGATGTGGGCCAACCTGATTGGCGCACTTCGCACTCAAGCAGTGGCTTAGGAGAGACATGTCACAAATATCAATAAGATGGGCTCACAAGGCTGTCGTAGCTTTAAATACGCGGCCCAATGTCATGGTGTCACGCCGTCCGTGTGATGTCGGCCGTAGTTTGGGGAAGCTTGCAGGTAACGGCAAGCAAATGGCAATACATAAATAGGCGCGGGAGTAGGGCCACGACCGAGGGTTGCATGATGGTTGTTCAGTAAACGTTCGGTCTGCCGCCCCGGTTGACCCTTGAGGCTCAGTAGCTAACCTTGGCCGTGTGAAGGGAGATTGAAGGAATGAGTGCTCCGTACGAGGAGACGAGTTGGTGAACTTGTGGTAAGCCAGTCAGCACTAATTAATAATAATTAAGGGAAAGATAAATGCTTCCGGACGATTCTGTCCTTGGCAAGGTGCCAAGAGAATCACGCCACCAAGCCACCTGCTGACTAACAACTAATTGTACATCCACCTTCCGAACATCCTAGATCTGTACTTCGTGGTACTTGTGGTCACCCTGGAATCATCAATAATGAGGGCTGCTTCAAAGGGTAGATTCTTTCCTTCTAACAAAGCGAACAACTACTAGTATTCATGGACGAACAGCATCCACTGGCTTGTACATAGTAGGAAGCAATTACTTGAAAAAGTGCCTACAATCGACCACCACTGAGCCACCGCCCTCCAGGCTGTTCACTCTATGCCCTCCTTCATTTCCACCCGCCACATCTTATGAAAAGCCTCTCTAATCAGCTCATCTTTCTCATCAGTGTCATCTGCCACAAAGGCATCCATGTATTCTCGGATCGTAATTGGGCTCTTGCCCCCAAACGCATGGTCAAGGAGTTTGCCAACAATCGCCGGCTGACTTATTTCGTACTCCAAAGCCATCCCGATGCTCGCAAGAATGTGTGAGGCTTTCGTCATTCGTAGATCATAATTGTCCAAGTGATGTCTGGCAAAACATGATGCATAGTATTGCCGGTATCTGGCGAGCTCTTCCGGCGTTGACTCCTCGGGGTCTTTTTGGTCCGTATAAAATTCTAAATTCGCATAGAAGTAGTCCTCAGGATCCCAGTCATGACAAATCCAGTCAGGATAACGAGCGAATCCGAAGGCGGCTGGTTTGGTGCACACATTGTCCCAGTCGATGAGCGCTGTGATGTGACCATTATCATCAACCAGGATGTTCTGGAGGTCGAGATCCCAAGGAGAAATGTAAAAGTGACCATTGCCATCCAGAAACTTCGGGATGGACTCAATAGCCATACACAAGAGCGGATAATAGGCATGGCCACGCTTGGTGCCGAACTCGATTTCGTCGAGAGTGTTCATCAATCGCTCAGTCGTTGAGTCGTAAGGTCCTTCGATGAGATTCACGCCCCAATCCTCCACAGGGACCGCTACTTTTCTCGAAATGATAGGCCCAACAGTTGGATGTTCTGCTGACTCCTCAAACTGCAGCATGCCCATCTTGGAGAATGGAAGTCGATGCAATTGTGACATATGAGCTGCCACGTTGGACAGGATCTCAAGCCGGGTAGATTCGGTAATCCGATTCTTATCATACCATATTGAGCTGAGCGGCTGCCCTTCGACAAAGCCAATGAATGCAAAAGGTGCCCCGAGGCGGGCAGAGTCTGTTTCCCAACAGTAAACTTCTGGAATGGGGATGGAAGTATGCTGTCGGAGGAAATTCATGGTCCGATATTCGATGCCCATCCGAGTCGCATCACTGAGATCAAATTCGAGGCCATGGCCTGGGACCCGCAATACCCATTTCTGGCCGTCAGACCACTGCAGGTAGTAGATGAGGTTGTAAGAGCCGCAGCAGGGGTCGGGGTTGACGGTGCAAGTCAAGGATTGCTTCCCACTTGCGGTTTCCTGACATTGGCGCTGAGCACGAACTGCCATCGCGGTGTTCTTGACCTTTTCCAGGTCGATCGCGCTCATGATGGGTCGGAAACGTTCAAATTCGTCATACTCGGAGTCATCGTCCTCGTCGTCTTCATCTTCATCGTTGCCGTGCTCCTCCTCCTGCCCCCCGACCACGGCCTCTTCCTTTACAGCTTGTCCAGGTACATCAGAGGCCCTCGTTGTTTCAGAGTCACTTCTCCTTACCGAGGCAGAGTCGTTGGACGACTCTAGCAGATCCTCATCTAAGGGGAGGGCGTCATAATATCGATCTTGCTCGGTCAACGAGCGCGGTTCTGCGGAGGAATGCAATGTCTCAGAGGTGGATGGAGTAGCGATGCTGGACTTTTCATGATTCGACTGATCTTTGACCAACTTATTCTGACTCTTTTCGGCTGACTCTGGCTCATCTATGGCTGGCGTTACAGGTTGAGCCGAGGATAGGGTGACAGTGTTGCGATAGGCAAAGTAAGCGAGGATGGCCGCAGTCCCGGCAAAAAGCAGCGCAACATTTTGTGGACTTCTAAGGGAAGACCAAGATGCCATCGTCATGTGGGTGATGGCGGTTGAACAGAGAGTGTCCATCGTAGCAAGAATGGCAGTAAGAGCTGATTGCAAGTGAATATGTTAAGGAAGTGAATACTGTCTGGCAGTCAGTGGTGACAATGCGTGTATACACGTATTTACGTTGAAGAGAAGTGATACACCTTACCTGGAGAGACGCAGTCTGCCTGGGCGCCCAAACAAAGAGTGTTTGTCAGGCGTTATAGTTCCATCCATCTTTTATGCCACAAATAGCTGCTTGCTGGAACAAAGCCAGCCTCGGAAGGCACCATGACCATGGTCGGCTTCTCGCATCCCTTCTGTGTGGCATTGCTTGCAATCCTACAACAGTATAGGATCGTCCTCTTCCCAGCTCCCAAAACAGGCTTGGAATAATACCTGAGACTCTGCACCATATCTGATAGAAGATGCCCGGTAGAGCGGCTGCCACCAAGTCGTTCCACGCTATACGACCTTATTTGTGCTCATCGAGTCCTTGCAATGATGCTTGTTTCCATAGATAGCCGCTTTGTCACCGTCCTTGTTCGCGAATTGTTGTAGTCCAACAGCTGGGCATACGGACAGTGACAATGAAGTAGAGGACTGCCTCGATCTATATGATGCTGCAAAGCTCATCCATCCTCTTTAATCCACCCTCACACAATATTACTTCTTCCAATCTGACTGCTCACACCCTCGTACCACAACTCCCAATATCATGGAGTAAGTCTGACTCTCGCAGCTTTGAAGAAAGTGGACTGACTGCATCAGCCTCAAACGATCTGAACAATGGCCAAAGGCACTGTCGCTAAAGGACATCACTGTCCTCACAGAGACGCCGCGACGACCCACATTTACAACCCTCGTTGCTTCAAAAAGGGCCACGGTGGGTATTGCCCTGTGTGTACCAAGATTGTAAGTGCAAAGACAGGTTGCAACGTATGCGGCGTACACAAGAACGATTTGCTGGAAAAGAAACCTGCCGACCTTGAGCTGAGCAGAAAAGCAAAGCCAGTCAAGAACATACCCACGAAAAAATAATCAGACAAGAAGGACTGGGTGACCGGAGCAGCCAGGCGCGCTTTTACAGCACAAATTGTTGTTAGGTGGAATCGAAAGATGGCATTAGCGCCGGCAGGAGACCGTCAAAACGCTGGTGCTCGAGTTGTGGTGGCTCGTCAAGCGGGCAAGCTGATATCGATGATCGATGTCCGTTTTCTCCCTTTCAAGTGACCAAATTGCGTCGCTTGGATCTGGCTGCATTTTAGCGAGGGAAATGATGCAGACGCTAATGTTGTGCAACGGGCTTGATGGTGCATGTCTTGAGGATACCATTCTTGCCTGCAATGAGTTTTTGTATCGCCAGTGTTCCGCAGAACTTGGACTAATTCAAGGACGTCTCTTCCAAATCGCTCTTCTGGTGGCGATTCGATCTGTACGCAATCCTCGTAGGTTCGTCGCCGATACCGATCCAGTGATGCTGTGGTGTCGTGTAATGCGGGCCTGCTAAAGTCCTCTCGTTATGGTCCTCGTCAAATATAGCCTCTAGATACACCTGCTCGAAGACACTTCCACGAGATACTGTGTCAATGGCTAATGGAAGGCAGCAAGCACCCAACGTGGAGGTGTAGTCCTACCGAGCTCCCGGGTTCCGATGTCGTGGCACGTGTCATCAACGAACCTCTTCATCCCGAAAGTGATCCACTGAGTATAGCAGCGATCAGGCGCAGTGGAGGAAGCAGGAAATGGGCTTCTGGGAGTGGGAGGTGCAAGATGCGTCTTTGGTTGCCGCAAACAAATAACCGTTGTGCGGCCCATGGAATGCAGAAGCTCGACCCCTTGCGGCTGACGTGTGTAGCTTGACAGTCAACCAAATCAGGCCGCAAACGCATAACTTCCTAGTACGGCGTAGACCGACCACGGAGGAATGTCCTCAGCACTTTCCAACATTTCGGCAACTCGATCCCCGTTCCTAATTCCAGATTTGCTTGCGATCAATCTTAGTTGACTGAGGACCCAAGGGCGAACATTCGATTCGGGGGTGGCATATTTCGCAGCCACATAGTATGGATACAGGAGCGTGTAGCAATGAAGCTTTCGTACAGGCGAGAATCCGTCCTTCTTGGGAGAAGCGTTCTCAGCCCCGGTAAACTGTGGGCCGGTCGCACAGATCTCTTTAGCCATGGCGTCGATGATCTGGGAGGCAAAGTGTGCACACTTGGAGTTGAACTGAGCTTGTTCATCATGCAGAGCCATCTCTCCATAAATCGTGCGAATGGTGTCATTCAATGATATCCTCATAATTCGAATGACATTGCAGGTCTGAGCTGTGAAGCAGTCCGGATATACATCGTAGTATGGTTCAAGTACGTGCTCGGTCTGTTTCTCCAGAGACACCCTTTGATAAATCCAGGATGGGGGCAAGTTGTCTGCGAGCACTTTGAACTTATGGTCGAGCTGCTTTGCGCGCTTGACCTTATCGACGTTGGACATAGCTTCACTACGCATGGCTGCTCGGAGGTTTGTATAGTCGATACAAAGGCCGGTAACCTGCCACTTCGGATCATGCTCGTCTATGTGAGGCGCCACGTCATCACGCAGCTGGAGTAATTCAACTGGCGTGGGGGACTCTGCCGCAACGCAGCTGATCAGCATATTCGTGAAAAGGCGTACTGAGAGCCGTCGACCGATATACGTCCGGAACTGATGTTGTTGGCGGTACTTGAACAGAGCCAAAGCTCCTTTGACATGGGTCATCCACAATTCGGAACATCGGGGGTTGTTGTTCATTAATTTCTCGTAAAGATCCAGAAAAAGGACGGACAGCAAGGTGGAATCACTGGTCAGCGACTCGGGTGACCTTAGAGCACTGTTCACCAGTGGCAGAGCAGATAGGTATTTTTCTCGAGCAAGGAGCGAGGCTTTGATTGAGTAAGTCTGAAAATGGAAAAAGGCTAGACTGACGGCGTCCATACTAGCGGTGAGATGTTTTTCCAATGGCGACTGGGTGTCGATGCGTTCGAGGACGTCGTACGTCCTCGCCAACCCACGAACATAGTGAGAGAAGAAAGCTCCTCTGGCCTGCTGGTCCAGCGGAATTTGAATGCTGGGGCCGGGATTTCTGGACCGACCGACCATGGACCTTTGACGTGTTGTTTGGCTCTCATCTTGAATTCTGAGCTGATTTGGATCACGGTAGCCTCCGCAAACGAGACCCGCCCTGGCACATTGACCACAAGCCTGCTTTCGAAGGTCGCACTAGCTGAGGTCAGTGAGAGGCCTGCGGATTATCAAACTTTCTCACGCGGAGCTTCCTCCTTCTGCAGTGAGCGCAAGCTCGAGAGGGTTTGCCAATGTAGACCATGTTGCTAGCAACTAGTTCGGCGTCAACGGGTGAGGAGGGCGGGAAAGGGAAGGTGTGCCTTCGTAATGGACTCGGCAAACACCATCCACTGTCCTTGTTCGCATTCTCAAGCAAGGGTTGGGTTCAGGAGATGCAAGAGGAGTGCACATCTTGATCGTTGACTTGTTTGCAGTGGAGTGAAGCGGAGAACTGAAAGGCCTCATGTCTATCTCCGACGAGACTATCCCCCATCAAGTAATGCTTACGGTACACGTGACGTCATATGCGAAGCGTGGAGTTTCCGGGGCGGAATCGCCGACAAGGCTACGCTTTTCATGGCCTTTCTACTCCCTGTCCCTTCAACCTCTGCCTTGTGAAAGTCTCGAAGTCATGCAGGCTTCACTGATAGCTGTAGCCTGCGCACCTTCAAACCACGATGGTCTCTAGTCTGCATCCCTCAATGGCTCAACAAATCTGCCAAACTCCAGGCTAAGACCGACATAAATATGAAATGGTGGATATGGGCACTGTTCAACTCTACCTTTGCCCGATGTGTCGAAGGGTACGGAATCATGGACAGTGCCTTCGCTCATAAAGGTCTGTCATGTCGCCATCCGAGCCGACACCGAGATCAAACTACTTGCATCCCTTACCACCTTCTACCTGGCCTTCTCATTTGATCTTACTGTCCTGTTCCATAAGCATTCTTCCACCATGACGACCTTTCCCTACAGACAAGTTCTTATGGTGGGTGCAACAGCTGGTATCGGGGCGGCCATGGCAGACCGCCTCATCTTAGAAGGTACCAAGGTCATCGCTGTCGGCCGCAGACAAGATCGACTGGATGCATTTGTGCAAAAGCATGGCGCACAGAAAGCCTGCGCAGTCCGGTTCGACATCAGTGACAGGCAGAACATCGGCAAATTTGTCTCCGAAATCACCAAAACTTACTCGGAACTGGATTGTGTGTTCCTCAACGCTGGTGTTCAGAGCGTCGTCAACCTCAGGGAGCCTGAGAAAGTCGACCTGCCAGCCTTTCATTCAGAAATCTCTACCAATTTCTCCGCATTTGTGGATCTCACCGTCAGGTTCCTGCCATTCTTGATGAGTAAGAAGACTGAAACGAGTCTCATATAGTAAGTCGAGATCAGGCCAAGCGATACAAGTTAATGACAATTCCAGCACCGGGTCCAACCTTGCCATTGTACCAGCCCCATCACTACCTGCGTACTCCGCCTCAAAAGCAGCGCTGAATGCCTTCGTTCTATGCCTACGCGAGCAGCTCAGGAACTCTTCCGTCAAGGTCATTGAGCTTTCTCCGCCGCCAGTCCAGAGTAAGTCACAATCTTCGACAAATACCCTCACTTGTCTGATGTGTCTAGCTGAATTGCACGATTACATGGGCGGGGAAAGGGGGCGAGCTCTGGGCATGCCAATCGACAAGTTCACAGATGCTGCATACAGAGGGCTAGCTTCAGGGCGCGATCAAATCATTATTGGATCCATTGGCCCAGAAGAGACATTCCATGAGATCATTGATAAGAGACGAACAGCATTCGAAAACCTTGCGAAGATGATGAGAGGTGGTTAAGAACCTGCAACATGGTGAAGGACATACTCGAGGATTGGCAAGCTAGCTGATTTGGCGGGTATGAAGAGGATGGTAACGTCTACTAGGAGTAACGCTTCTTTTACAAGTATCGCATTGTGTAACCACTTCGTGGGCAACCCTATGTCTTGCGCACGTCATCCAGCTTCGCAAAATTCGTCAGAGGAGAGTCGGCAACGACTATCGACCGTGCACGTTGTTGTTGCGATGACCTGAAGGAGATGAGCTGCTGCTGGCTCAGACCAAGGGAGGGGTCAAGCAGCAATCAGAATATTCCCAGTCGTACAAATCGTTGAACTCTCTCTCCTCCTCTTCGGCTGCCTCCCACTCTGCTTTAAGTCTCAACCTCTCGAGATCTAAGGGACGATCCTTACTCAAACTCATTGCATCCTTCACGGCTTAGTCGAGGTATCCCCAAAGCCGATTGCGACTCACGTCATCCAGCAACTCTTTCTTGGTGCGCTCTGAGCCTGGGTTATTGCGGAAAGTCGAAGTGTCCATCATATCGTCGATCTCGTCTTCGGAGTCCTTGCCTGCTATGGCCTTGGCCGACTGCAGTATCTCCAAAACGCCCTCGTGTTGCCACCAAGCAGAATAGCTGTGTTGCAAAATGCGCAGCATTTCCTCGAACGAACCTCGGGAGTATTACTCTGGTGGAGTGGGGAGGTATTCCTCTGCATCCAAGAAAACGTACACGTAGTACTCATTGAGGTTCCGCAGAATCTTGCCGAGGGTCAAGACCTGATATTGAAGCTTCTGGTGCACGTTCGTGAGCTCCTTGGAGCTTTTCCCCGCCCATCGGCGACTTATTGGGCTTCGAATCACGTTCATCTCGACTTCCTCCCATAACTCAGGAGGCAGATGACTTGGGATAACCTTTCGAGTGAGCTTGAGGGCGATAACGTCGGTGAGCAGTTTCAGTTTGAGCAACAGGAGTGCGGAGATATGTGGAACATCTCCGTACTTCTTGTCCAAGTATTGCACGCCTTCGAGCACATTGGCGCCGCGGACATTGAGGAAGGGCAAGTCTAGATTGCCCCAATCGTAGTCGCTGCGCTGACCTTCTGTCTGGTACCATTTGATGAAATCATAGCATTCTTGATCTAGGTCTAGCTGCAGCATCATTGGAGGAATGAGATCTCGTACGCCCATGTTGTCCCCTCTGCACAGCCGAAGCATATCTCGCATGTGGTCAAGAGCCTCGGTAACACCGTCCAACGACCCGACTCTGCGAACCGTATCTGCTAATTCATATCGTGCACACATGTAATCTCGAGTGCTCCAGATACCCCAGAAGTGACCGACGCTAGTTTCGAAGGCATTTGCAGGCGTCATGGCGTCAGGAGTTGCATGGCGGACAGCATGATCTTCTTTGGCGAGCTTGGAACGGCATTTTTTGATTTTGTTGCACACCCTATTGTGATTCTGTCGGTGCTGCACCTGATGATCCCTGGAACAGTACCGGACAACCTGGCAGCTTGCACATCTGGAGAATTTAAGACCTGGCTTGGAACAGAGACCGCAGTGGTGCCGTGATGGACCAGGAGGACCAGTGAAGTCAGTAGCAGGGCTGCCTACGGCCGGTAACCGGGAGGGATGCGTCAGTTGAGCCATGAAACAAGGCTGACGTGCAGAAGAGAGACATAGCAGAAGGTGGTGGGGAAATCGATGGAAGAGTCGAACTTGACAAAGAAAGCGCTGGCTTGCGAGGCAGTAGTTGTACTAGACCAACAAAGTGATTTTGTTAAATGCGAGGAAGTCAAGAAAGGATGAGACTACTACGTAAGTTATAATCTAGACGAAAGTAGAGGCAAGACTGAGCAAACAATGTGAAACGCCTCCACGGGAAAATGCCTTCAACCCCTTGATTCCTCGGCAGTCCAGACCAGCCTAAGAGGCTCTCAAAGATACCACCCCAGGAAAAGGACGATGGGAATCATCACAATACTATGTAGTAAGTTACTGTGGTAAATCTTCTACCACCTGAGTCGTAGGAACTACCAGGTACATCCTCCGTAGTAGGCCCTGGTTTCGTCAACTCGGATCTGGCAGATAAGACCCTGTTTCAAGACAAGATACAGGGTGGATTGCGACGACAAGCACAGAATGTTCCTGTTCACTTCACCACTCAATAAAGATCAAGCGGTGGGCGTCAGTTGACGAGCATCACAGCTTCCATCTCAGACCTCACCCACCGTCGCCCACCTAATACCCGTACCAAGGACGTAAATTCCAGAGAATTCTCTATTGGAAATAACCTAACTGTGTCTAGGCTACTAGCGCCTTGGCATGCTCAACATTATTAGAGCCTCTTAAGAGCGAATCTCGCTTCGGCATGGGACCCCGCCTTTACCTTCCACTTCATCTCATCAATATCAAATCCTTCCCCTGTTGTTTAGCATCGAAAACAGAGAGAAATCCATACTATGTAAGCTCAGCAAATTATAGGCTCTTCTGCTCAGCTGCTGTAGCCAGCAGACGCATGCCACAAGATGGCTGTGTGACATGATGTGCTGCTACGATACGTCCGGACTACAAGCCATGTCTCAGTCCCGTGGCGTACGGAGTACAGTCGTTGGAACCGAAGAGGACATCCAAGACTGACCCAACGGATGCCTCATCTCCCCACAGCCGCCGGACCATCCTTTTCAATCCGACTGGCCAGATGTCCGGGGTTCCCCTTGATGTGGATCGAAGAATGAACGCCTTCATGTCGCTAACGACACAAGCAACGCGACGGCTGGATCCGCCACGTTGGAATTGGGATGTCAGGGTTATAATCCCTATACGGAGTTAGGGAGTACTCATGCTGTATTTATTTTCCATCTCAATGCGTGCGTCTGGCTCCGTCGACCTTGTGGTACAGTAACACTGACAATCGGGTGCTCTTCGCTGAACCTTTCGTGGTCTTCATTTCAATTCTCTCGTTACCGGACATTTTTCAGCTTGAGTATATCAACATCCATCCCTTTTAATCAAGATGCAGCTTACAAGTCTCCTCCTTGCTTCGTTCGCCTCTTTGGTGGCAGCTCAAACAGCAACTTCTTCAGCTAGCACTTCCACAACCTCGTCGAGTTGCGCCGCTCAAAAGTAAGAAGCAATCGCAGACCCACGCAGGCAAGCAACGCTCACACAGTAGCAGTATCCTTGATGCCTGCAAGGCAACGATCCAAGGCCAGGTCAACTCCTGCAGCCAAACCGACTACTCCTGTCTGTGCACACAGTATGGCAACCTCCTGACATGCTATAATAACTGCCCAAACGATGCCGGCGTTTTTACAGTCCAACAGCAACGGGAACAGAATTGCAACGCTGCATCTGTGTACGGCACTACGACCACGTTGGGTACCGCCTCCGCCACCCAAACCTCAGCGAGCCTTACTGGCAGCACCGAGTCCGCCTCCGAAACTGCAATCCAAACCGGCTTTGCCAGCTCTTCCGAAACTGGTGCAGATGCAAGTGCCAGTGCAACTGGCAGCTCTTCCACCGACAATGGTGCTGCTGGCTTGGAAATTGGCCGTTGTTTGATTGGCGTGGCTCTTGCTGGGCTTGGCCTAGTGCTGTAAAAATGTTGGAATAATGTCGATGGCATAACTTACTTGCATTTTGGTTGGAACAGGAAAGAATACATTGTATTCAGAGGTCTCGGAATAGCTTGTAATGGAATCAGTAATTCAACGCGCGTAGGCTCTCAACCTGGCTGGGGATGATCATGCTTTTCGACGTGTCGTTCGCCTAGTAGGTTGTTGGGATTCATCACCGTCTGTTGCGATATCCGCCCCACGTTTCGTCCCCTTATTTACCGAAGATGTTGGTTTTGGCTGACGCTCCTTGATATTCTCGATTTTCACGTCCTCTCTTGCTTTTGGTACGTCTTCTCTGCTTTCATTGCGGCTTGAATGCAAAATGCTCTTCTTGTCCTGCTCCTCGAGCAAATCGGGGTGGCCAAGGACGTACGAGACTTTCTCCAGCTCAATAGCCTTGACACTTAGTCGCTGTAACACCGGACGCACGGCCTCCAGCAACTGCAGATACTCTTTTTGAGTATACTTCAATTTATCGGCTCTGGTGTCCGGGAAGAACCAAGCGTACATCTCGTCCTGGAAAAATGGAATGTGGACTGGATCGAAGATATTGAGTATCAGCGTTCCAGTGGCCGGACCGATGCCGGTCAACTTGCATACGGCATTCAGCGCTTCTACTATCGTAGCAGTCGGCGTCGGCTCCGGAAGACTTGATGTTGTCGAGAGCATTTCCAAAGCAAGTGCAGTCTGGGCCTGCACTGCGGACTCTTCGTTCTTGCGAACCATAGCCGGAAGAAAAGGACGAGAATGACCGTGCGTACTAGATATCAGTCAGATTGAACGGCAGGGGCAACAACTTCTTGGTGCTGGATGAGCGGACGATAAGATGCTAGCATGCGACGGGATCATTCCACAGTGAGTCCACACGATCAGACTGTCCCCGGAGCAATGGCCGTGGCTGCCATTGAAACATTGAACCAAAGCAAGGACGCGTGCGGCATGTCGGGGGCAATTGTAATGTTTTCAAAAGCCTCAAACTTTAGAGAGCACTTACATCTTCCATTGCACCAGACTCTCGATTGCTTCTTTCGTGAGGCCTCGTTCTTTGACATCAATCTTGCCCTTACCAGTCGTGACCTTGGTGCCACCAGGGCTGTTAAGCTGGGCCACAGTAGAAGGCAACTCCTCGAATCGCCACCTGTCACGCTCAATTGCGTCCGAGACCTTCTTGGCGTCTTTGTTCTTTGATTTGTATACTTTGTTGACGACTGAAGGATAACAATTCAGCGCTATATGAAATGTCTCCGATGTTATTGTTGAAGGGGAAGGTATATCCGACATGTTGAGGGGCCAGGGCTTCAGATCCGCCCGACTGGCTAAGCGTTTAATTCACGGAAGAGACTCAAAGAGTGCGAGACGAGTTCAGATGGTGAGCTACAGGTTGACGAGGCTGAGAGACAATTAAAGGTGCCGGCAGTCGTCGGGCGAAAAGGGGCTGCATCTCTCATACGGTACGCCAGATGTGACAATAGCGCAGTTTGCGGCCAGCGACCTCCGACATCTGCGGAGGGAATTCAAAGAATTGATCAAAACTATTGAACAGCAATCGCAGTACGAGCAGCTGAGAACTGCAGCTCACCATGACCACAATTCTACCGCGAGGAGCTGGTTTCGTCTGTCAAGCCTGTCAAAAACTCTGCGCATCACAACCTCCCCGACGCCAGTTCGCTTCACTAGCAAAGACTTCCTCGAAGAAGCAGCCTACTCCGCAGACAGCTCGCAGGTTTATTTCCCAGCCCTCCATACGCAGAGACGCCCCTGCACTGTCGGCTGTTGCAAACGTATCTTCAACCAAGAAGAGTTCCTACGACATCCCTCCCGAAATCGCACTGAAACCACTCAATCCTACCACCGAACTCAAAGCTCTCAAACAAGCGGTCACACGTTTGACGTCTCTCGACACCGCCGCTGACTCCAGTGAAGTGCTCAGCCTCCTCCTCGATTGCTACAAACTAGCCAACTGCCTTGTCTTCGGAGTCAGCAAGGGTGCAAATGAAGTCACAACCAAACCCGGTGAGGACCTCTCGCAAGCTATACTGCGCGATCTGGCCGAAGACAATTCAAAACAAGATTCAGTATTCGTACCGGATAAAGAACTATCAGCGCCGTTTCGCGACAACGCAGCCAGGACAATTGCCGAGCTGATATACACCCTCCTTCGAGATCCGAAAGTCTATGTCTCGGACGAAGCGCTATCGTTGTACGTTCGAATACAGTGTTTGCTAGGCAAGCCCGAATACTTGCCCGAGATCTTTCATCTCCACGCACACAAGAAAATACCGAACGGCAAGACGAAGCCGATCACCTACTCGGAGCCGTGGTCGAAACTGCCCAAGTACGCTATCCCACCAACCCTAGCGGACGCGGCGCTCGAAGCTGCCATTATCAAGAAGAACCTACCGCTGGCGATAGCAATTATAGATACGACGGTGGCGTCACCAGCGAATCGCGTCGCCAGGATAATGGGAAGGGCGACTGTCCCGGCGTTGTTTGTGGGCGCTACACCATTGCTCGCCTACGCCGGTGCGAACTGGGTGGCGCATTGGCAGAATACCATGGACGTGGAGATGAGCAAGTACACGGCAATCGCGGGGGCATTGGCGTATATCGGGACCTTAACGACCATCGGGTTCGTTGCGATCACGACTTCGAATGATCAGATGGAGCGCGTGGTGTGGCGGCCCGGGACGAAACTGAGTGATCGATGGCTCAGAGAGCCGGAGCGGGCGATGTTCGACCGGCTGGCGCTGGCCTGGGGATTTCAAGAGAAATATAGATGGGGCGAGGAGCAAGGGCATGATTGGCTCCAGCTCAAGGATGAGTGTGGGATGAGGGATATGATACTTGACAAGACGGATTTGATGGAAGGAATGCAGTAGACCTCCGATGTCGAGTACCAAGGTTGCCGCTTAGTGTAAAAAAAAGAGACTAGATATGATTTCATGACTTCTCTTCGTTAGCTGGATGATACCAGCGACTATCTACTCCTGTTTTGTCTTGGTATGTGCTACTCAATGCATCCAGAGGTGATAGTTGGAAGATCGTGAATTGACTTTGATCTTGAAACCCCAGGTGAGGCGTTCGGTGAGATATGCAACCTAATACAATCTCTTGGGAGGGCTCATGCTAGCCTTGATGGTCAAGCTGCCGACATTTTGCCATCCCTTCTTCAAGAGGGAAACCAAGTAGTTGATGGCCAACATGATGTTGGAGATGAGCTCGTCCTCGGTCATGCCAACGTTGCCAACAGCGACACCCATGCACAAGACCTTCTTCAGCTGGAACTTGATGGTCGATTTGACCTCAGTGATCTTGGCGTTGAGGTCCTCGGCGTGGGAGATCGGGGTAGGGAACTTGCCGGCCTTGGAAAGACCAGGACCCAAGAGACGAGGGATTTGCTTGATCAAGCTGTCGGAGGCGACGAAGGCATCGTACTTGCGGGCGAGTTTCTTGATCAGCTTCTTGTTCTTGTTGAGCTTCTTCAAGTCGTCGGAGGACATGGCGTCGACGCCGTGGTGCTTGGCACGGTCAATGTCATGTTGGTCACCGAGAACGCTATCATAACTTGTCAGTATGTCTTGCCCATCGATCACCACCATTTTTAGATGTGCGTTTTCAATGCCGCGGGTTCAAAAGGTGGCGTACCAGATGCTCATGCCCGGACGAGGCACAGTTGGCAACTTGATGGTGCCGGAGAAACGCTTGTCACGCTGAGGGTCATAGTTCTTCAAGCCGATTTGAAGTTCGACGGTCTCGAGGAAGTTTCGCTTTTTCTCGTTCAAAGAGTAGTCAAGAAGTTGTTGCACGTTTTGGCGCACTCCGGCTAGAGAGTTGTCAGCGAGCTGGTTTCCGGTACATGACATTCCGGAAAGGTCTTACCGACTGTGATTTTCGACATCTTGGGGACAGTCTTCCAGAAGAATTGATTAGATTCTTATGGTGAGGCACTGCGCTAAACGTTGGTAGAGGGAATGAAGAAGTCGTTGGCTGCGCTGACCTTTTTTCGCCGGCGTTCGTGGCCAAGACATTTGTACGAGCTAGATCCGATAGGGTTTAGCGCGCATTGCTGTGACTGAGTGGGCGAGGCCTTTGGGATGGGATGGTTTTCTTGTAGACCTACAGAGCTCGCTCTAGCCTCTGAGATTTTCTCCAATGTTGCAATGTGGACCAGAGCCCCGATATGCATGGCCGCATCTCGATCAGTGTCTTGCGCACACGTCGTATCCTCCGAATACGAGCACGTCTGTGAGTCATTAATACTGGAAGAGGAGTACTAGACAAGACGGACAATTCACAACGCAATCTTCAGGTGACTGTAGTACTCAACAACCTCTGACATCTCCATGCTTTCAAACTTTTGAAAAGGCGGAAAGTTTGAACATGGCTAAGTTCGTCGTTTACAAACTACCTGACCCGGCCCCTGACCATGACACGCTCCTCGAATTTGCCTCACGATTGAAAGCACTTCGACTCCAGACTCTGAAAGAGGATCCCGACAGCTGGATATCTCTTTATGCGAGGGAAGCCGATCAACCGCAAGATTTCTGGATGTCCAGACTCAAAGACTCGTCGGCTACTCATCTAGTCCTCGTTTCCGTTGATTCGAGCCATGATGCTTCTGAAGGAGAGACGACAGCGTTGCTACAGGGTGAATGGGTAGGATTCGCCGTCATACTTACTCCAGAACGCCATCAGAACGACACGGCAAACCATATGGAGTCAAACTCATCTGAGTATCTGATGGCGTCGGTCAGTGTCCGTTCTGATGTCCGCGGTCAAGGGCTGGGTAAGCTTCTGGTTCAAGCAGCTATTCAGACGGCGAGAAATAATGCTTTGGAGAAGCATAACTCTTCTTCCTGCTTGACGGCAAACGTTCGCCATGGGAACGACCACGCCTTGCAGTTGTACCAGAAGCTTGGTTTTAGGATTGTCGACCCTGATTATCAGGGCGAGAAAGAAGGAAGACCCTATACCTCGAATGTTCTGAGGTTCGATCTTTAAGGAGCCGCAAGTTTGTCCTGAGCATAGGATAGTATCTATGTTCATCAAAAAGCCGGCATGCACACTACTGGAGGCAACTTGTCTGCAGTCTCAGTTATGCAGCACGTGCTTCGTGAAACTTGCCCACCAACCATTGGCTGCAGCACTTACAGCAATCTATATTGACATGAGCAAGTCCGATAGTCCATGACTTGTTGATAGATGTCCTCGGTAGACTCAACCTCCTTACCCCTTAAAAACCAGGCCAGAGCGTTGAAGCACGGCCAGATCCGATAACCAGAGGCAAAAAGTGAGCTAAGAGGGCATTCACGCAACGTTTTGGGCTTGGCGGCTGTGTACTGCTAAGTGGCAGAATCATCCTGGCACTTCGTCCACCCCAAAAGTGCACCATCAGTCCATCTCGAATCCGGAACCCTTAATTCCATCTTAATATCGACACTCTTTTCACGACTCCGACTCGCGAATAGTGTCGTATCTCTCCCTTTGGTAAGCGAATCAATCTCATCTGCCTGCGTTTGGAGCGATGTCCACAACAAGGACAAAGTGGCCACACATGCGCCTCCGGGCTGAGAAAGGGAGACGTAGACTTTTGTCTTCACGTCCCTGAATGCCCTCAAGCACGCGACTTCCTTCTCTGCCAATATTGAACATCCTCTGCGACTCCTTTGCGCAAACATTTCGGAAAGCTAGCTAACGCATCTGGCCAGACCGCCTCCTCGAACAATCCCGTCCCATCACCTCCATCAGCTGTCTCGCAAACATGGGTCTCACATTCTCCAAGCTGTTTGACCGACTATGGGGAAAGAAAGAGATGAGAATCTTGATGGTTGGTCTTGATGCTGCCGGAAAGACCACTATCCTGTACAAGCTCAAGTTGGGTGAAATTGTGTATGTCCAACTACCCTGATTTCTCGAATGTTGAACAGCTTGCTAACAGCCGCAGCACCACTATTCCTACGATTGGTACCATAAGCGCGATTCTACCTCTTGTTTACCCTATTGACCTCTTTTGCAGGTTTCAACGTTGAGACCGTCGAGTACAAGAACATCCAATTCACAGTTTGGGACGTTGGTGGCCAAGACAAGATTCGACCTCTCTGGAGACATTACTTTCAGAATACCCAAGGTATCATCTTTGTTGTCGACTCCAACGACAGAGATCGTATTGTCGAGGCTCGTGAGGAACTTCAACGCATGCTCAACGAGGATGAGCTGCGCGACGCTCTTCTCCTTGTCTTTGCCAACAAGCAAGATCTTCCTGTAAGAGATAATGGACAACATTTGTGTGCAGCAGTCGCTAACTTCCTTGCAGAATGCCATGAACGCTGCTGAGATCACCGACAAGCTTGGTCTCCACAGTCTCCGACAACGCGCTTGGGTAAGGGTCTTTTGCGTATTTTCTTTGGCTTCGCTTGCTAACCCAAGCCAGTACATCCAATCCACCTGCGCTACTTCCGGTGACGGTCTCTACGAAGGTCTCGAATGGTTGAGCAACTCTCTCCGCAAGGCTGGCCACAACTAGGTGATCCCATCTTGAAACCCGTCACGAGTGCATGTCGCATACATAGGGTTCAAAAGGAAATACTACGCCTTCCACAGTTGGTGTTCTGCAAACCAAAGATGTCGCAAGGCTTGCAGTGGCTCAACTATTGTCATCACAAAACACTGCAGTCTCGGCCTGAAAATGCTCCAATCACGCATATGAATGATCTGCCTGTCTCTGTCCTGGGCCACGTTGGGGGAGTTTCTTCGATAGTTTTGTGCGATTGCTGGCATACCTTGGCTTCGAGGCGGCAGGATCCGGTACACTGCAGAAACGAAGCAAAGGTTGCGAGCAATGAATAGAATTGACCTTTCAACACTGTGCTTGAAGTATCATTGTGTTGTCTATTGATTTGAATAATGGCCAGCCACGTAAGGCGCATTCTAAGATGAGATGCCTGATCCGATCGGTGCCCGTCAAGCCGTATCGCTAGTTGTTGACAGATTGTGGAGAAATTGAGGAGGCCTATTTACTGCATATTTCCCTCAGAAACTCCGCCGCGTCGCATGACGACTTGCCATTCGACTCTCACCAACCACAAACTGGCAGATTCTCATCCACGCAACTGGATATTGATACTTCGGAAAGTAGCAAGGGCGCAGCTCGTTTGCCTCCAGGCTACTATTTCTTGACATCTTTTGTCGTGACTGAGCTCCCTAGTGCTGTTTGCCAGTCACGCCTGTAACCAGATGTCCAATCTCCGCTGCTGCCCAACCACTGCGACAGTGTGAACTACACCGATCTGAAGAACAATTGTACAACACCACAGGATCGACTGATTGAGTCCAAGCCGACGACAACATGCCAGCTCCTCCGCCCCCGCCGCCACCACCACCACCTCCTCCTCCGCCGCCCGGCATGGGAGGACCGCCGCCTCCGCCTCCCATGCCAGGAAACTCTCTACCTGCAGCTCCTCCGAAGTCAGTCGCAAAAGGCCGGGTATGTCCAGAACCATAGATAGTGGTGGCACTATGTTGAGAGTGCAGAGGAAAAGAAACAGAACTGACTTGCCGTAGGACGCCCTATTAACAGACATTACAAAGGGAGCGAAGCTGAAGAAGGCTGTCACGCACGATCGATCGGCGCCCATAATAGACAGGAAATCTGACGGCGGAGGAGGGCCTATAGCGGGAGCACCACCTGTCCCAGGAATGTTGAAGCCGCCTGGCGGTTTGGCGCCACCAGCACCGAGCGGAAATCGAGCACGGAGTAACAGTGACATCGGATCAGACACAACAGCAAGTGTGGGAGGTGCGCCGCAGTTGGGGGGATTATTTGCTGCGGGAATGCCAAAGCTGAAAAAGACCAGGGGAGGCATTGATACTGGCGCGGATGGACATCACTCAGATTCCGAAACCTCGCGCCCTGCGGCTCCACGATTTCCCACATCAGCAGCACCCCGTCCGCCTTCCATGCCGGCTGTTCGACCTTCAATGCCTGCTCCGCCAATACCAGGTGGCAGACCTCCTATTCCGCCTTCAGCAGACTCTGCACCAGCAGTACCGAGTCCGTTGGCAAATTTGAAGAAACCGCCTCCAAAGCCATTGTCAAAACCGTCTTCTGTGGCCAATTTGGCTGCTGGAAAACCTCCACCACCTCCTCCGTCCTCACGGAAAGTGAGCACGGCTGCACCTCCTCCTGCACCTCCCCCACTACCTCCTACGTCCTCAAGTCCAGCTCCTCCTCTGGCACCTCCACCACCGCCTTCGATAAGTCCAGCTCCGCCAGCACCTCCGCCGCCTCCGCCAACGGCAAGCCAGGCACCTCCTGCACCACCTCCTCTACCTCCAACATCAAGTCCAGCTCCGCCTTCAGCTCCTCCGCCGCCCCCTTCAGCAAGCCCTGCTGCTCCACCGCCACCGCCGCCGCCACCGCCCTCCAGCGGTGCGCCTTCTCTTGCCCCCCCTCCACCACCACCACTACCCTCTGTTTCTCCAGGACCATCATCCAGATCTACTCCTCCACCTCCACCTATTTCACCAACCGCTACTAATGGTGCTGGATCGTCATTAGCAATGCAAGCAGCAACGACTGCTTTCGGGAGGAAGTCGTCTTATGGAGTTCCAGATGGGCCGCCTTCGCCTTCATCGCCCGCCATCTCCCCACCTCCCTCCCGACAGATATCTCAATTACCGTCACGATCAACATTGGATGCAAGCTCGTATACGTTGACTAATGGCACCTCGCTTGGCTCTCCGGGGCGATCTGGCTCGTTCAGAGTTGAGGATACCAGGTGGAAATTTCAGGACGAGAGTCAACTACCGCCTCCTCGACAATTTACAGGCGTTTCAAAGAGGTATCGAGCAGGAAGGGGGAGTAGCGTTCCACTTGATCTTGCCCAATTTGATTGAGACGCCATATATTGCAAATGGCAATTCAACCCATGAGCCAGCTTGACCGGCAAAATTTGGCGGCACACACGGATGCTGCCATCGAGCTGGGCTCCGAGACTTTTCTCACCCTGATATTGATCTGGTGCCTGGCATTCAAACCCAATCTGTACTCCACTGCGAGATCGTTATCCACCGTATCAGATGTTCGTGGCTCGAGCTATGGTTTGCACCATCGTTCTGGGGGGATGCATTGCACTCTTGGATAGAAGGATGGCCATCATAGGTACGCCAAACGGGACCGCTCCCGGGGATGCTCAAGGTGCTCAATGGACAGCCTCGCTGTTCGAGGTCCGGGACTGAGTGCATCACGCACTTGGAGTGAATCGCTACCAGTCGCGTTTATGGCATGGACGATTTGAAGTAAGAGAGGCCAGAAGGTCAATATGAACTGAGAAAAAAAGCATCTGCTGGGCTTTTCGGTGTATTTTCTACCGTCCATGCCATCAGCATTTCCTCACTTCCAATTTCTGATCTCCGGCCAATCCATTAACAACCTTTCAATTCCTCCTTCACTTTATTCAATCCCACAAACACAAGCATTTCTCTTCCGGTCCAATCAGACTCTTATATCACTACCAGAGCTGTCTATCAAAGACTTGCCTCTTCCCCGTTCTTCCCGCCCATCATATACCCATCGCGCCTCGACATCTGTTCGTCCACTCCGAAGTTCGACTCGACCTTTCGACTTTTATTGATCAAGCGTCTTTCGTACGTGTTCTCTCTTATCTAAACGTTCGTCGAGATTCTGATATTAACTCTAATAGCTTCGTCAATACGAAACGATCCTAACAAAATCTTTTATACCAATCGAAATACTCTCGACAACCCAGTCAAGATGCCTATGACTTGGAATGCTGATGCTGACGCGAAGGTACCCTCCGCTGCTTACTCCTTATTTCGATTCAAAGTATCTAACTGAATCTGTTATGTAGCTTTTCGCCGCCGTCCTCGCAACCTCCGCTGTCAAAATTGAGTACGACGACGTCGCTCAACTCATGGGTCCAGGTAAAGTACCTCTGCCATTTCACACCTCACCTCACTTTCCCTCGATGTCTTCCCTTCATTCGCTGTACACACCATTCATCAAATGTAACATACATCTCGACCATCATTACTGGATTACGTTCTAGAAACCTACTGACAGTATTCGCCCCTTGTCTAGACTGTACTAAAAAGGCGGTCATCCATCGGATCAACAACATCAAATCTAAGGCGAAGGAGGCAGGTCTCGTCGACGCAGTCGGCACGGCAACCACGCCCAAGACTCCAGGCAAACGAGGTCGCAAAGTCAAGACTGAGCCGGACGATGATGACAACAACGCTAGCGACGAGAGTCCTACGAAGAAGTCAAAGACCACTCCCGCAAAGGCAAAGGCAAAAGCAAAGGCGCCGATCAAGCCGGAGCCCGCCAACGGAACGAAGACAGAGGTGAAATACGAGAACGAGAGCGACGAAGAGAGTAACAACTAGTGAGCGCGTCTTAATCGCTGATCTTCTTCACGATTCTCTTCAACATACACAGAAAAGGACAACAGAAAATCAGAATGATGGAAGTGCATAACTACATCGTGGCTCGGCCAAACGGAGGCGATGTTCATCAGAAGGCGGTTCGGTGAATCATGGCAAGGATCAAGGGTGTGCATTGATTTCATGGCCTGCTCGTGGCGATCAGATTATCCTTGAAAACTATGGAATTAGAGTTGGATATCGCTTTTTTCGTACTTGAGTACGACAGCGATAGATCAGTAGGAAAGGGACCCCTATCGTGCTACTGTCGGAGTTGGATACATTGTGTCATTGGGGATGAGAATGGTCCGCTGCTTCTTCGAGGTACCCTGAAGAGCTCACAAGAGAGCTAGCTAAAAGTGCTTGACATTGGGCAGAACAATCGAGAACTGTTACATTCGGCTTGTCTTTCTTTCCTCGCTATAACAGCCTATGATCTACGTGTAGTTTGGTCCTCGTAGAGTCTAGTTCCAAGAAATTGCTACCGAAGACGCTCAACCAGATGTGCTTCTTATAATGGCTCTCTTCGGGATTCCTATGTGCGAGCTCCTCGAGATAGTCGTGGACTCGCCTGTAGAATGCTCTCAGACGCAGTTGAATCGTCTCCCGAGTGGACTGCAAACAAAGCTCCTTGCGTCCCAGTGAATCTCGCACGGCGGCTCAGTCCACCTCAAGTCTTCACTCGATCGATCGTCCCGTTGAATACGTAGTTCAGAAATGCGCAGGGAGTACCGACTGTGCTTGAGGCCACGCTCCTCGCCTCTTCCACCAAACCTGGCAGATAGTTGATTCCATTCAATCGCAAAAAGTGTCGAGTTTCTTGAGAAATTATACCGCCTGACGGATCCTGACCTGAGTATGGATGCTGTCGGTCTGCGGCCTTAATAGGTCACGAACAGCTCCGGTGATTCCTAAGATCACACGCAAAGAGAGGTCTGTAGGAGCAGTTGTACCATTCTTCTCGTCATGGATATTGCTTTGCAGGGATACTGTGACGTCTGCAAGGCTGTTGTAGTTCGTCGCGATATGGTGAAGATAGGTTTGTGTTTCTCGGTCAGTGTCTGGTAGCACTTTAACATTTCTGTAGAGTCAAGGATCCTGCTTGTGTTCTTTCGGCAGCTCCCCGTCGCTGTAGATGATGTCGTGGTGCGCATCCGCGGAAAGCCAGCTCACATCGTCGTTGAAGGGGGTAATGACGATATCAAGAGGTCTGAGGGGCACTCTGAACGGGCGACAAGGAGGCTGAAGAAGAGACTAATGAGACGAGCAAAGAAACGAAATGCCGACCAAGGCGAGGCTGGCGAGGCTGCGAGTTCAGATGCACCCCGTGCCGGTGTCTCACCGCAGTACCCAGTTGTTCAGTAGAGCAAACCCAGGTGGCATCGGACAATCCTGCTGAACAGCCTTTGGTGGGTAAGGTATCTGATTTCGAGGTTGAAACCATTGAGTACTAGGTACGGGTTCATGGTTAAATCGTGTCCTTTGGCACCATAGGGTGCCGTTCGACGACAAACAGCAGCGAGGACAACTTGTGTGGTAAGATGGACTCTTGTTCAATGCAGTGCGTACTAATTGCTGCTTCGACGACAGCCTCTCCCATCTCAACCTTGTGAATCCACCAACGCTCTGGAAACCAGCCACCCTCCGAGCGATCACTCTCCCATTCGCTCCTCTGCAAGACAGCTGGCGCAACAGACTTTCGAAACCTTCTGCCCGCTTCGTTTCTCGGACATCACGGTGTGTCCCACTCGATGTTCAATTTTCGGACTACCGTAGGTGCCGGTAGTGGTAGTTCAGTGCTCTCAGATTTGCGAAAGGTGATTCCCACACGATTGACAAGATAGTAACAACCAAGTTCGTCCGCAAAGGCTTGGCTTGAACGGGTCTGTATCCACGCCTCCATTGTAAGCGTCCAGCTTTGTAAGAATCCCAAACGTATGGGGCTTTGCAAATACCGAGCAGCCATAATGTCCCATTCCAGTGTCCCCGGGTAGGAATCCCAGAAATCCTCGTTTCTGGTCTGAAGATCTGATTTGAGGATCGGTAGTAACCAATCTCCCGTATTTTTTTCCTGTGGCACCGTCTCGAACATTGAGACCTCACACAATGATTTGAGGTTGTGTATATGCTTGGAAAGGACATCTGTAAGCCTCCGGGTGCTCCGATGGGCAGCAGATGCACTCGTACTCAAGAATAGCAACTCGGGCCCAACTGATACGTCCAATTCCAATCGGCGAATGGACTGGAGCTTGTGGATCGCAAGCGTTTTCAAGAAGAGTCTTTCGAACCCCCCAATGGCCTGCGACAACGATCCCGCTTTACCGGGTCCGAGTCCACCGCCCAACGCCCACCAATTGTGGATCTTGATATCTACGGAACGGTAGAAATCGGGGGCAAACTCTTGATGAATTTGGCGACAAGTGAGCAATAGGTTTCCTCGAGCCTTCATGACCGAAGAGCGCTCAGGTGGGATCGATTGGCCTTTTTTCGATGGCACTGTGCAAAAGAGATCGTAGATTTGCATTCTGATCTCAACAGGCAATTCAAGGAAGCGGGACGATTGTCGGGGGGCATCTTTCTTTGTAACGATCGTCTTGTTGTGCTGCTGTTCGTTGAGGTGCTTTGTGTAGGGCTTCGCTTTCGGCTTCCCCCGACTTGTTTTGATCTTCGGCATCTTGGATTGGCGTAGCGTCAGAGGCTCGTTCGTAGGTATCGAGCTGACAGGGGTATGAATGGATTGAGAAGAAGGACAAGATCTCACGGATATGGAGGGCTGTTTCGATGGGGCGCAAGACAAGTCGTGAATGTCGTGGTCAGGACCACTGCCTGGCTAGATGAACTCACATTGTAACTTGAGCCGGCTGCTGCTACTGCACTGCTGCAATGCCGCCGCCTTTGTTGCATTGCCGCCATGATGCCGGCCGTATTGCATTACCGCCCTTCACGTGTGCCCCTTCACTCTGTTGAGGATCGATACATTTGCGACATTTCTGTTTTGCAAGCCTGTCCTGCAGCCACTCAGGACTTTCTCTGACAAGTTGATCCTAATGAACACTCATAATCACAGCAGTCAGTTCACAGTAGGGTCTGCAATGGGCACAGGCAAATCCCGCGCGTTGACACCAGGATCTTCAGCCTTGCGAATGCACCGCGAACATCAGACTGCGGCGGCAAGGCGCGTAGTCGGACAGCCACGTGAGTCGTGTATTCTTGCCGTTGTTCAACAGTTGAAAGCAGCGGCAAATTATATCCCGATTCGGTTTCACCGCCAAGCCTCCCCTCCGACTGCCATACAAATTTCGTCCTGCGCTTTCTCAGCTTTAATCCTTTTTCTTTTTTTCCTTTTCTCATCATCAGTAGAGGTGTTACATTACCATGTAAACACTTAACCGGAGCTCCACTACGGTGGCTTGCTGAGGGTTTTTCGATTCACCATGGATCTCCTTCCGTTCCCGGCTTCGCAGAAAGTCGTATGATGCATCGTCCTTTTTCCCAACACATTATGGCTTCATGCTAGGCAGTAGCGTGGAGCCGTGGAGGAGTTGCTACAAACATCACAATATCTCAAAAAAGATGAAAAGTTCCAAACCAAAGAGCGAACTGAATATCTACACCCCGTTGGCACGAAATGAGCTCGTGGCAGTGATGGAGGACTAGACAAGAATTTGGCACAGGCAAAATGCAATTGTGGGCGTGTCGCGAAGGACCTGAACACACTTTCCTGCTGATCTAGATACTTTTTCTAGCAATCGAGTTTGACGTTCAACATATAATATACATCAGAACTCCGAATTGGCAGGATTCTTGTCGCACTACCATGCGCCTCGCTATGCTCTGAGGAATTTGCTCCTTCACACAAGATCCGACCTGCAATCATCGCGTCGTAATTCCTTTTGTTGACCACTCCCCAGCTCATTCCATTTGGTTTCCTTCTGTTCAGTTGGACCGCCAACACTCCTCTTTTCAGACTCTTCCCGCCCGTCCAATCTGAATCCTCTCGCCCGTTCCCTTCTCATCATTTCGTAACGTCGGCCAGCCAGTCGCTTCTTTCTTCGCAAGCTCCATCTCCAGCTTCGTCCCCATGATCTTAAATGTGCTCTTCTCAGGCACTATCTCCGCATACAATGGCACCAGACTCGTAAACCGCTTTCCATCACTCGTCGGTAAATTCAGCTCGATCTCTGTCCCGCCTTCTTTGAACTCGACCTTTGCCCTCTCCTTGTCAATCTTCTTCAGGTAAAAGCTCACAATCACACTCCCTGTCGTCTGGTAGAAGTCGTTCCGGACGTTCTCGAGCACCTCTTCTTCCTCCGCCGGTGACCCGTCCATCGTCTTCTTCGGCTTTCCCACATAGCAGTGCCGTTTCTTGGTCTTGCACCCCTCGATCTTCAGGAACTCGTCAAACTCGAGAACCCTCCGCTTACAGCACGTCCAGCCCTTGCTGCCTTCATGGAATAAAGGCACGCCGGGGTGATATATGCACGTCTCCTCGTCTCGGGGAACCTTGTCGTCTCGGGACTTGCCGCACCCTCGTCTCTTGCAGATTGCGTTTGGTGGAATCTGGGCATGGGGATCGTCGGATTCGTCTTCAGGTGGTTCGGGTTTAGGTGTCGTAGATGGAGTAGGCTGCTGGGCAACTGTGAGACTCGTAGAGATAGGTCTTGTGACTGGGATTGGTGCAGGCATGGGCGCCGCAGCGACGATATTTGAAGCCTCAACTGCATTCGGTTTTGGAGGTGCGGGTGTGTCGTCTGTGGCAGAGTGTTTGCCTTTCGTACAGGGTGGGATCTCGAGGAATTCATCGAAGGTCAGAACACGAGGTTTACAGCATTTCCAGCCTATTCAGAATTAATACCAGATCGGGCGTATGTCTCGTGTGAAAGGATGAAGCCGATGGGGTCGTTCTCACCTTTCTGTCCTTCATGAAATTCCGGCGGTCCTGGATGATAAACACATTCCTCATCTGGGTCTGTGAACATCCTCCCGCATCCCTTGTGCACGCATTTCTGCGCCATCTCGGTTGAGTGTCCTTGCGCTCACTAGACACGACCGGTGGAAGAGATGTTGCGATTAGGAGCAATAGTAGAGGGCTGCCTAAGCAGTGCAGCAATAGACACACGAAGAGCAGAGAGACGGGTATATCAGACAACCGAATTCACAGGCCAGACTCGCGAGCTACCAGACAGCAAGCAAACAATGAGATGAGCATTTGAATGAGCCTTGGCGATTCCAGAAACATCTGACGCAATTACGAGGCCGCCCACGCTACGGTACGATTCTTCAGCCTTGCGAAGGTCCCACCAGCTTGGGGGTCAAAGGACCGAAATTCACAACCTTGGCTCGCTATGGATCAAAACACTTCATAGAGTTGAGTCTTTCATATTGAATCGCAAGCACAAAGCTTGACTTGGCACTGCCTCTATCGCTCACACATCTCGTGACTATGGTCAACATACAATCACGATACTGCAGTCCTTCTCCAGGCCAGTCACTCATTCTGTACCCAAAGGCTCTGGCTGACGCCTTACAGTCGTGCTTGCCGAGTACGAACACATACTCCTCCAGGAGACTCCGAAAATGCTGCACATAATTCTTCAAACAACCGATGTCTAGAGAATCGAAACCTCTCTGTTCTAGCGCTAGGTCCTGCGTTTTCTCCCATCTCCGCCTTGACGAGCCGTCGGAATATCCCGCGCAGGACTCGGGCTTACAAAGCTGACATGCTTCTCTTCCCGTTCCTCTCCATGCCGTCGTATAGCCGAAGGCCGTCTGACATGAGTGGTAGGTCTGGCCGGTTGAGCGCAACTCGGTTGAGTAGGATGGAACTCCGGTCCATGCAGAACACTCCGAGCATCGTCGTCGTCCCCTTGGATCTCGAATTCCACCTCCCCATCGTCGTGCTCGTCAGACACCGAGCTGCTAGTCGGAGAATGGGGTTCGTATTCTTCGTCATCATCGACGAGGCTGGGAGCTTGGTTAGACTCGCTGGTCGGCGAAGGATCCGATGGTTGCAGATCAGTGGCCTGGGGCTGTGTCATTGGAAGATGCATTCCTCTAGGACGGTGGTGAACGAGAGTATCGCCACTTCCATCATATTGCGGCAATTCTGCGCGCGTATTCGGTGTCCTTGACATGTTTGTGCTCAGCAATGGTGAAGATATTGGAGATTTGGTCGATCTTGGCGGCTGTTTGGATCCTGCGACTTGTGGATGGCGGCCTTGAGCTGTAGTTTGCATGGGGATATCCACATCCATTTCATCCTCGTCGGAACCGCAATCAGGCAGCTCGACTTTAGTTTTCGCCTCGGAAACCATGCCCTCTAGATCGATCCCCAATCCTCGGCTTCTAACCAGGTCTGAAAGGTTCGGCGTCAAAACTGATCCCTTAAAATCAGGAGACACATCTTTCGTCCTGGCCGGGTCGGGTGGAGGGGACTTCGGGAGTTGGGAACCATTCTTAGGCGGCGAAGGTTGCAGTAGCTTCGCAGAACGGATAAGTGGGTGAACGTTTCCTGTTGTCGGCGTCGCGGTAGGTTCGGCACCAATGACTGCTCCAGACTCATCAACTTCCACCGGCTCTCCACAAGCATCAGCTGCTGCATCGTGACTAGCAAAACTCCTGCCATGTCCGATACGACAATGATTGATAAAGCCCTGAGCACTTCCGAAATCATGTCTACCACAATCCGGACAGATCAGTTTTACGGTCAGGCCATCCGACTTTCGCTTGACGATCATAGGCCCTGTGGCCTTTTCCTTAGGCTGACCATATCCAGGTGGCAAGGCCTTCAGTTTCCCGCCTCGACCTGAACGCGAATTGCTTGATGTTGGGGGCATCTCAAAGCTTCCTCTCATTGACCTTGATTTCATAGGGGCTTTGCCGGCTGGAACCCTGCTCAAGGTTTCTGGCTCGACCCCGCCATCGAACCGAGTATCTGGAAGGAGCCACTTTGCATAATGACGCGAGTAAGGACCGTCGGTCACACCCCAAGGAGCAGGAGACTGAGGAAGCGGCGTAGGGAAGGCAGTGCGCAAAGCAGCACCAGTTCCGTTGCTTACCAGCAGCGAAGGCTGTTGAGTAGCTGGGTAAGGTATCTCTCTACACCTCCTTAACTGCTCCAACGACGCCTGACATTTTGCAATTTCTTGATCAATGAGGCGAAGTTCTTTGTGTTTGAGCAGGACTTCAAGGCTGATTTGAGTTTGAATGACGTCGCGTATGGATTCGAGGCGTTTGGCCGCCACAGCGTCCGTCGGAGCAGGTGTCTCCTTGCTGTCCAAACTCACATCCTTTAATTCAGTGTCCTCCATCTTGATATCTGGGGGAGTGGGTAGAAAAGAGGGTGACTCGCTCGCGCTTGGCGAAGCATTGTTTGTCTGTACTTCGCTGGACATGGACGGCGCATGGGCAGAACTTATCAGGGCAGGTTTTTGGTTGCTGCGTTCCGCAACCTTGGCCCGTTTCCTCTCTGACTGACCTTGCTGATCGCCAGACTGTTTCCGCTTGTGCTTGGAAGGCATGGTGATGGCACCGGAACCTGAAGAGTCTTGTTTGGGAACAAACATTCTCATTTCTGGAGAGGCGGCTTTGTCACAACCTGTCCAGGAAAGCAGGCGCAACATGTTTGAGCGCTCCTCGGTACAACGCGTGAAAGTCTCGGCGTTTTCAGATTGATCATCTGGACCATTTAGTCATTGCAGACTAGAAGTTCCGCCACTGCCCATATGTTTCTATCCTTCTGCCGTACGCTTTCGTCAACAATATCCTCAGACAATAGCTTCCGTTGTTTGCAAGTCTTCTGATTCACGACAACGATTCCCAACGCTTAGACAGACTGGGTTGAACTGAAATGAAGGTAGTTCGGTCTGGTTGGCGGTTCAAATACAGATATATGGGGTACAGGCGATCTCGTCGTGAATTACAAGGATTATAATGGTGTAACAAAGAGCGCGCAGCGCCAGAGTAACTGAGAATAGCGAATGTGAGAATAGTGAGACGTCAAGGGAAGGCAAGAAAGGTCGATGTCGATCGGAGTAGAGGACAGATGGTCGTTGGGAGTGGAATGAATGACGCAGAAGATGCGGATAAGCGGATCAGCGGATCCCTAATGGCAGACAGACGTTCCCGAGATTCGGAAGGTAAAGTGTACAGGTCGAATGGTGGCGAGAGATACCGGCAAAAGGAAGAGGAGATTAAAATTGTAAAGCAGGAAGAAATGGTGGAAAGAATCCGTTGTGAGGGAAGGCAGGCAGGCAGGCAGGCAGGCGAGAAGTGGTACGAGCAAACAAAGAGTACAGGTGAGTTGTAAAGTGATAAGTTTAGGGAGGTGCAGGTCTGCCGCAGAGGCGCAGAAAGCAAGAGCAAGGGAGAGAAGGAGAGGAGGGAAGGGGAAAGGCGAGGAGGAAGGGCAGGTGGGCAGGCAAGGGAGTGGAAGTGGAAGGGGGGCGGCCAGCAAACGGCCCAGAACCCAGTGGCAGGAAGAGCCTGTGAGCAAAGAGTGGATGCTGAGCACATCACCGGGAAGTGTTGACAGTCGGGGGACGATTTTGGCTTGAGCCTAGTGGAACCTTGGTCCTTGTGTTGTGGTGATTTATTGGCTGCATTGCAATCAAGGCAGCCGGCTATTGCCCTTTTGATCTAGTCCGACGTATGATTTCAGGAATGGCACATCCGTCAGCTGGTTCCACAGGTACTATGGTCATGACTACTATGGTACACTGATCACCTGACATAGGCCTCGGTGGTCTTGGAACACTTTATCAGAGATAAGGAGAAAGTGGGAGACGCTCACCCAAACACTCACCGGTTGAACAAGCCGCCCAATCACGTGCATATATCAATGTCGAACTGAAGCAGACAGCGTGAAATTGGGTATCTCCCTGGGTCTGGAGGGCTTGACTCCGTCCCCGTGTGGGTAGTACATCACGGCGGTCCGGCGGACTTTGACGGAACAGCCTTGAACAACAGATGACCAAGAGAGCAATCACGATGTAGTCTATGTTTCTATTATAACATCCGGCGGCGAGTCCGACAGCGCAAAATCCAACCTCTCAACTGCCCGCCATCCGGGCGGTAAGTGTCTTCGTCTCTCTAAATTGGAAGTCTGACAGAGGAAAATATTACTCCTTTCATCTACCGATTCGTTAAGATGCTACCTGCGACATGGATCAAACATTTAGTCAGACAATAAGTATGGACTGCCCTTCCACTACTACCATCGCCTCGTACATCAGACTCGCGCGACTCATCTGCGCAATCATCTACGAGTAGACGGTAGATTCCCGCGAGACTCTTGTCCGATACAATCAAATGCTAATCAATACTGCATAGGGCACTCGTGGCAACAGACCGACCAGGCATACGAAACGTGGTGAATCAGAAGCAAGCCCACGATTCCGTCCAAGCACATCATCTATTTCATCCCGCAGCGTCGACTTGCCGCAAATAGTTACTGAGCTTGCCGGAGAAATGCAGAAAAACACACTTTAGCCAAAGCATGTACCTAAAAATACTAATGCCTTTTGTCGCCGATCCGATTTTGCCCATCTTTAACTGACCATGCATGACCATGGAGAGCTCGAGTATGTGGGCTTGGGTCGACAAAGCGCAGGGTCAGCCCATCCACCAGGAACACTCCGGGAGATGCTGTTCCGGGCGGCCATGTCCAACGTCTTGTTCTCGTTCTTCAAATGATAGCTCTTGATCCTGGGTAGTGGTTTGAAACCCTGGAGATGTTGGTCGAGTTTTGCCACTGGTGCTTCTCTAGGTCTCTAGCCCGATAGACAGTCTTGCACCGCCACGCAGCCACACAAAACGAACCACTCACGCCACAGGAAACGAGTTGTCCCTGCATAAAGATCATCACAACTTGTCCTATGATGCCGTCTTTCTGTCTCCTACGCCCATCCAGACTTCAAATTCCCATCCACTCACATCATGAAACTCTTCCCTCGGATATATGTGATCAACGCCTGTCCCAGGATCGCTTCGGAACTATCCTCAAAAGAATGGCAATCAGATCCGGCCGGTCTGTTCCAGAACGTCAGAAGGCCATCCTACTGGCCATGATGCTTGTTGACTACCTGCTCACCATGCTTTAGCGAGCGCACCGCTGTACCATGTATCTGCCGCCCAGGGCTCCAGAGACCCTCGTGAGACCCTTGTGAGGCGTAGGCTTTACGATTGAAAGATCGGCAGCGATGCATATCAATGCAGGTAGGTGGCATGGTTCAAAAACTACTGTGACGATTGCGTCTCAAAAAACACTGCTCTTTGTTCTCTTCGCAAGTATCGCCATGGCGTGCATTACTGGTTGCTGCTGACTTCTGCTGTCTTCAATCAAACATCGTGTGCCCGCATAGCAAGACTTCATTGCAGAGAGGAGGTTGACAGGGAATCGCAAATCCTAATCAGGTTTTGAAGCATTGGTGTTGAGACAATGAAGCCTGTTACGATTTTCGTGGTTGTACCATGTCTACTACCCGTGGTCGCGGCGCAAAATGATGACCTGTTGAGTATCTTTGTCTCCGAGGCATACTCAGTCTATACGGAGGTCACTCAAATACTATCCTCCGTCGCCTCGGCAGCCTCCCAAGGTACAACAGACTCTTCCTCAACAGTCGAAGCCTCAACAACATCCGAGTCACCGACTACAACCGCAACGAACACTCCATCAACAAGCTCAGCTACTTCTGTGGTCTCGTCCTCGACCTCGTCTTCAGCCTCGACGTCAACTCTACATTCGAGCTCTGCGACTTCTTCACACATATCTTCAATAACTGCTACGTCTCTGTCACCGTCGGCTTTGGGGACATCTTCAGTAGTGGGAGTGACGGCCGAGACGAGCACGCCGCTGTCAAGAGGATCCGGAACGAACCACGACCACAAGTTAGCAATTATCCTAGGCACGGTGCTGGGCGCTCTTGCTGTTGGGCTGTTCATCTTGGCTGTACTGCTATGCCGGAGACGTCGGCGTGGCGAGTTGCCACGTCATCGTGCACTCTCCCCCGGCGACGACGAAGTTGAAAGCTGGAGACTGAACCGGCAGTCAGACATTCCCGAGAGCAAGAACTCTTCGCATCATGCGCTGGGTGCCTCTGGCTCTGCACCTCTCATGTCGGAGCATCCAGCCTTCCGCAATTATGATGATCTTGAGAATCCTTTCGTGCCCGTCCCACCTGCACCCAGGAGGACTGCACCGAACTCTCGAGCCGGTCTGACCGATGGAATGGTTCCGGGCGATGAGCCTTTTCTGAATGAGAAAGAGGTAGCAGTCGCCAGACCGACAAGCTGGCCCAAAGGCTTCACATCCAGCGCTACACCTATTACATTCAAGAAGGACGCGGGTGCCGCAGGTGTAGCTGGAGCTGCCGTCGGGGCAGGCTTGATGCATCATGACCACAACAAGAAGAACCACAAAAGGGTCGAGAACAGTCCCCGCGGCGAGAAAACCGCCGAGCCTCAAGTTCCTCGCCAGATCCATAGAAAACCAGTCCCGGTCAACTATGTGAACAACAGTGAAGCATGGCCCTATTCGCCAGTGTCCCCTGTTGACCCTGCCGCCGAAGCAGCTGCTTTACCTAAGTTTCCTGCACGGAATAGTGGTGAAAGCCAGCGTAGCTTTGGTCGGGACGCCGCCAGGGCCAATGCAACTTTCGACCAGGAATACGCGCCCGCTGGCTCTGGGCATGGCCACCACCGAAGCCTGGACGCGGCCGAACTTGCAGCAGGGGCCGCTGCCGGCGTAGCTCTCGCACACCAGCACGACCGTCATCAATCGGGAAGGCGAAGCAGCGAGCATACCCAGCCCCGCAGCCAGAGTCCTAAAGACCAGTCGTCAACAAGGCAGCGCAAAGACTCTAACCAGTCCGCGTCGTCGGCACATTCAAACAACCGCAATTCCTACAGCGACGACCTCCCGACCAATCCCTACCACGATGTCCTTGCTGTCGAACCCCCTTTGGCTGACGAACCGGAGCAACCACTCATCCGTGGTCAGCACGATTCACAACCACAACAAGCCTTTTCCGCTTTACCCCCTGCCCCGCCCGCCCGCAGCCCTCGGCGCGACAGCGGTCCGGGCACTGTCGCTCCGATGTTCAACAATCCCAACCGCCCGGCCGTTCCCAGCCCATTGTCCAGCGAAATCCGACCCGAGTCACTACGCAAGGCCCGAGGCGTGAACGCTTTACCAAGCCGCCGCTCCCGCACCCGCAGTGGCGGCAGCCCTAGCAACAGCCGTAACCGATATAGCTTCGAATACGACGATACTCCATTTGATACCTACCCCCCAGGGGCTGGGGCAGACCACTACGGCTCCTTCGCAGCCCAGAACTCGATGCCCGACAAGAGCGTAGTCGGCGATAACGGCTACCCGCACATGAATGTCCCTCGGCGTGAGAGCGGACAGTATGAGGTTGACTACGATCCGCCAAAAGCAGCGCGAAGGGATAGCACGCCGACGCCCCCGCCGTTACCGAGGGTGAATAACACGAGTTCGTTGATGTCCTTGGACGGCGCGGACTTTGCCCCTGCATTTGACCACCCGCACGACTTTGACTCGAATTGGAGGATGAGTTCTGGGATGCCGAGTGGCTGGCAGAGGCAGAAACAGGGACAGAGACGGAGTTCGAGCCCAAGGAACAGTGGCAATTATATGCGTGATTCGGGGATCGGAGGAATTGGAGGAAGCGGCGGTCCGAAAGAAGCGAGAAGGCTGAGGGCAAGTGATCTCGCGGGAGGAGACAGATATCCGCAAATGGGACTTGGCCAGGCGCTGTGAACGGAAAATTTGATGATCGAGGACGACACGTTGATGAGCCAGCATTTTCCTTTGTTATTCAGCTACTATATATACGCTCACGATACTTACGGCGTGGCATTTGAAAAGGCGGAAATGGAACGGCGATATCCAGGAGCTCGGCGTCAAGGAGTCGCAATTCTAGAGACACCATGTATGTAATATTGCAGATACTTGCAGTTTCCTGGAATATTAAATGGTCTTCCTAACTTCATTTTCTCATCGGTCGTGTCCCTGTGGCAGGACTGACTTTCCCCTAGCTGCAGTACTTTTCCGATGAACATGTTTTGTTCACTGTTTCTTAGAAGCCTGAGCCAAGAAAGGGAATGATGTCGGGTGTATATCTCGGACTAGGAGTGGTTGTAGTCCAGCTCCGGAGTATTCTATGCTTTTAGGATACTGTTGCATGCTCTGCTAAAATCCAAGCCATGCTACCATATCATCCAGCCACTGTAAAATGCACGAGTATGACTCTCCACTAGCCTGAAGCCCATTTTCCCAGGCTCATGTGTGGCCCTTCCTTGTATGCATGCAATCGCTAAAAGATAAGCCAAGTTATGCTGTCTCGCATCTCAAGACATGACAGACCATAGTATAACCACAAATACGACGTCGTTCTGCACGCACCCCTTTCAACTGCTCTTGTCAAGGGTTGCAGGTTCCACTCTATCAAAGCTCTCGTGCATCGGCACATGATGGTGGGCATGACAATCAGTTCGTGGAGCTGCGATAACTCTGAACGCCCGGGGCATCGAGAAGAGGGGATCATGATTGTGCCTCCTCAGTTCAATAATCGAACCATATCCGATGGTATCCGTCCTGTGGGAGAGATTGTTTCGCTGTTCCTCCATTCTCCGCTCATCGAAGGAGGCGTTTCTGGCGCTGGACTGACTTCCACGCTCGAGTAGCCGGACTTCTGAGGTGGAATCAGCATCTCGTTGGAATCCCGTCGTGGTGATAACGGCTCAGGTGCAGCCTTCTTGTATGATTGCGTAATCTCTACCGATACCGTAGATTTAGTGATCTTGCCACTGATGCGTTGCTGGGTCAAGAGATTTCGAGAATTCATCGATGCTCGGATTTTGGTGACTTTTGGGTTCCCGTTAAGTGAAGTTTTGGGCTTGTGGTCCGGCTTTCTAGGATTCTCCTTGCCGCCTAATACATCGGCAATAGATCTTCCAGTGCTTGCTGGATTCTTGACTTGTGCCGCTGCTGCCTGCTTGCTTCGCTCCCCAACTTTGAGCTTGATACGCAGAGGCGACGAAGAAACTGTCTGTCTGTCTTCCGATGACTTTCGGGGTGAACCGCCGTTCTGACTGCGTGGGGGTGTCATTGAGTGAACCTCGACAGAAGGTAGTAACCGCTGGACAGGCTTGTCTTTGACGTTCTTTTCAGCCTTCTTCGGGGAGGTCGGGATGACAATCTCTATTTGTCCTTGACTTGATTTGACCCTCTCCAAATCGGCGGTGGTGTAATTTTCGACCAGATCGACGGCTGGATTATCCCATTCCCGCAAGGCTGCCAGACGTGCGACCTCGTCGCTGTCGCCCTTCACAACCAGATCCCACAAATTTTCGAGATCTTTTCCTGGCGGAACCGGATCTCGGTTGATCCATATCGTGGTGCCCTCTCTGCGATCTCGGACGATCTGGCACATCTCGTGAACAATTCTGCGCACTGCCGGGATTTTCATGCTTGTTCCCACCACAACTACTGCATCAGGTCTTGTTCGAAAGTCAGCTGTAGTCACTGCTCCAATCGCCTCATCGTCTGGATTGTGCTCGTTGTAGAGAACAATTCTCGGTCGCAATTTCCCAACGCCGTGACTTCGCTTGCCAGCATGTTTCGTTCGGAGCGCATCGGCAGCGACGCACTGAGGACACAGAGGAGGGGTTGGTCCGTCAAAGAGGTGCGCCTCAAAGTCGGAGATGTGTCTGCATTTCTGACACATCATCTTTTCGAGCCCACCATGTAGCTGAATAGTCTGCGGCCATGGCGCTTTGTGATTAAGGGGTACTTGAGTTGCAAGGGGCGGAAGAGAGCTTTCTAAACCATCCACATTCTGTGTATATAGCCGCAGCAATCGCCCTTCCACTGACAGGCGTGCGAGAAAACGGTGAAAAGCAGTCGGCTTGGCGTTCTCAGACATCTTGGAGAGTTTCCGCACCATATCGTGAAAACTCGAGGTGGAGTGGTCATCCTTGTAGACTGAAGCATCGAACAGCATTTTTCCGGAGCTCTTCAATTTGTGCTCGCCTTTGAGGCTGTTGAACAGGCCATGGGAAGATCTGAAATCAGGGATTCCAGCTGAGACAGAAATCCCTGCTCCTGCAATGACAACAATCTTTTTCCTGTTTCGCAGAGCTTTGAGTAGTGTATCTAGAGCATCTGTGCGATCATAGTCTGACTGCGCAGTGTCGGAAGTGAGATCGAGGTGTTGTGTGGTTCTTGTTCTCGGTTCGATTTTTCTGCGTTTGCGAGCAGGAGGCATATCGTCACCGGCATGCTGTGAAGGTGGAGGAGTGAGAACCTGAAAGCCAGGAGGCAAGACCGGCGAACTCGGAGGAGAACTGAGTGGAGAGCTTGGTATAGAGCTTAGGGGAGAGGATAAATCTGAAATCTCGTCGGTGTCCATGGTTGTTGTTGTCGTTGTGCGGTGTGGTGAGTGATCTATCGCATGACTTGGGTAGAGGAAGGAGCGACCAACGTCGAGGGTTTAAAATTGTTAGTTGAGATGGTGACCAAATTGCGACTCGAATAAGGTGTTAATAAGGGCCCGCCGAGGTATGGGATTGATGAAGAATGAGTGAGAGTTGGCCGCCAGAGTCAAGTGAGGTGATGGTGAGCTGAGAGAAGAATGAGAGGCGCAGTTTTGCGATGAGGCTGGAACTGGGATCTGTCCAGTGATCTGGGGGACCCTGCCTTGGATTCACTTGGGAGCGAGATGATGAGTGGAGGGAGAAGCAAGCGTCAGCGGCTGCATGAGCGGGAGAGGGAACAACAGCAGATGCAAAACATCCACCAAAAACAGCCATGAACCCACAACAATTGCAGCAGCCGGACTGCCGACGAGATGCGCAACACAAAGCGAAACGAGGACTCGAAACAACAAAGGCAAGAATTGGACCAATAAGAGGAAGTCTTGGGGTCGAGGTCAGTGGTGGTTACGGGTACCCAAGAAAGGAACTGGGCTCTGGCGGGCTCTGGGGGCGGCTAAAAGAGGCTGACCATGGGCGGTGGTCGCCTGTCGACGCCTGTCTACGGTCTAATTTTTAGGGCTCCATAGGCCTCACTAGGCAAGGATGGGCATCAACTTGGTGCCTTGCATGGCTGCCCGACCGGAAACGTCACACATTGCAGTATCACGGAACTCCAGTACAAAAGTCCATTCTCTAACGTGAGCACCAAGTCTGTCTGATCAGCTTGACAAAAGGTCTCCTATGGACATATCAGCCTTTTGGCAACCATACAACGCTCTTTAGCACCAACCCGAGCATCTGCATGTTCCATATTTGAAGAGATCCTTGCATCATCTCGCAAGAATTCAGGCTGTCGACTGTTACCCCGGCTACCACCAGAACGAGCCCTGTGGCTTGCCTCGTCCGGTGCTCAGACAAGCTACTGGAGCCACGAGGCCAGCTCCACTCGGCTCCCACGACTTCCACGACTTCAAACGGAATTTCTGCCTCGCCGCCCGTGAAGGCTTCACAGTTGAAGGTGACATTATTCATATCTTCACGCGCTCGACAAATTTATGCAAGCGCATCACGTCGCATTGCCTCGCCATTGCGCTGAGACTCCGCCACTGTCTCTCATTGGTCCTTGAAAAAAATATCTCGGAAGAAAACGTGCCAAAATGGATATGGACAAAGACTCGTAGAATGAGTCTGGCCTATTCACTGAACAGTTCGCTCGAATTCGACCAGAGCAGCTAGACTGGGCATCGCTATTTGATCCTACTATCCCCGAGCAGCAGATACAACCGAGAGACGACTCCTACTATGAGTTGTCAGAGGCGGTCATGGAGCAATTGGAACCGCTTAAACAAAATCAGCTAGAACAAACGGACGACTTTGCCTCAGAGGCATTTTTTGATCAGAATACCCTTGAGCAGCAAATTCAACAACTTGATCCGACCAATGGTCTGAATGCGGCTGCGAATGTTGGGCCTCCCCCAGATCCGACTATCATCGAACAGCTGCAACGAAGATGGTTTTGCGGCTACCAGGAACGTGTAGCATGGTCGAGACTCGGACATATTGCAACGATATCAGATGATAGCTCGAAGGTTCGGGTAGGGTGCCTTCGTTTCAGCTGTGAGTCTAAATCCTGGGAACTCTACGAGCGAGTTACCTTACCTACTCTGTTCGAGGACGCTGTCGGCCTTCTTTTCAGCGGCCACGGACTCGAGCTTGCAATTGTCGATGCGAAGGGGAGACTATGCATCTACCACTGCTCCCACCTAGCATTAAATCGGTTCATGCTCGGGAAGCCTAACAACCTCGATGAGATTCATGACAGCGCTCAGATCATTGGTATGGCCTGGTTGAACCAAGACCGTCAGGAGAGACCACGAAATGTTGTCACTCATGCCACCAAGAATGACACAAGATGGCTGCATACCAACTCCAGAGCAAAACCGCTCGGTCCATTCTTCTCACGCGGTCTTGTGGTGGTGCATCGCTCCGGTACAGTGGCCTTTTGGTATCAACGAAACGATGGGCAGTATCTCAGATCTGCCGGACACTTGTCAACCACAAACGATATGCTCTACAGCCACGCAAGTCTCACCCTGACCGCAGACCAGAAAATGATGATTGCGGTGCACTCTTTGGAAGGCGAGATCTCGGTTTGCTACATGTCGATCGACTGGAACCCATTAAAGCTCAGTGAGAATAACCTTCCTGCTTTGAGCTTCGAATTCGTTTCCACCAAGGTGTTCGCTCAACCACCAGGATCACCTACTATGCCCGACCTCTATGACCCAGATTCGTGGCATCTCAGTCACCTGGAATTGATGCATAGCCCGGAGGCCGAAAAGGAACCTTCTGCACAACCAGCTGTTGTCGCGATCCTCACAGGCATCAATAAAACCGTGAATATCGGCGATCCAGGGTACCTTGCCGGCAGTATGATCAAGAAGTGGACACTCACATCTGTTGAGCAGAAACTCCATCCCCTCTTTGAGAGTTTGCCCACTAAAGGCTCTGGCATGACTGGCCATGTTCCCATCCTGACCATTCAAGCCCAGCTAGAAAAGGCCGAACAAGCCATTGTCACAGTTCATCATGTTGACGGGATACAAGCATTCGTCATAACAACGTCGGAAAATCGTACCGATTTCTTAAGTTCAGATGACTTCTCTCCTCTTTCTTATGCCGCATCTATTACAGAAACCGCCTCAATGGCGCAATCAGGATTCACTTATCCTTATACCAACATATACTCTCCGGCATTTTCGATCAACGCATGCCTTAGGGCTGATGTCGGCAACGACGACAAAACCCAGCTTGCTGCAATGGAATTCCAGGTCCAAGGCCCGACTCAGCAACCTCTCGACCCACACCTCGACGCCGCCATTGCCGCATTGAACCTCGCCTTCGCCCGTGCCTGCTGGAGCAACGCGAGCATTGACGACGTGCTGATGTGTGCACTACACACCCTTCCGCACGACACTCTACCGTCAGTGGTGATGGCCATGTACCGAACACTCTTTAGAGATACAGAATTCATCAACGAGAAGACGCAAGGGTCCGAGCTAGAGCGAATCTTCCACAAACAAGTCATGGGTCGCGTCATGGCTTACCACGCGCTCCTCGTCGCATACAGTCCCCAGCTCACATCGATCACAACCACCGACGGACGAGTCGGGTGCTGGTCGCTCAGCGCCCAGTGGGCCTGGGTGGCGAGTAACATCCGCCACACGGCGACACTGCTGTTCATGAACCTGCGCGATGTGCAGCATGCTAGCCTCACCGTGTCCCAGGACTACACGGACATGCTATGTCTGAACATCCGCTGGGGGTTGGCGGTGATCCGATGGATCATCAGCGCAATCCTAGAAGTCAGTGATCGTGAGACGAACCCTGAAATGTTCGACAGCAAGACCGGGCGGCTGGGCGATGTCAAGGGGGATGGCAGCCAGGGGCTTGTCGCGCTGGTTTTGAATATTCATTGTTCGAGGGTCTTCCTGGTCGCGTTCATCAGAGCTGTCCGCGCGTACGCGAAGAACGCGGAGCCCAAGACGCGGCATCAATTACAGGTATTGCAGACGATTCAGCAGCACACCACGGGCAAAGGGATTACCTTTCAGGCTATTGAGGCGATTTTGGAGTTTAGATGGGCTGCAGCGGGTGATGTTGATGGCGACATTGCCGCGACGACGGTGCGACAGCTCGAAATGATGGCTACGGGCGTCGTGCCGGAGTCCTACCAGGGCACGATCAAGCTTTTGCTGACCAAGTTATTTAATAGTCAGGCTGGGCTGAGGGCGAAGATGTTGCTGGACAGGTTAAAGTTGTTTACGGACCGGGTGGATTTGGACTATGTCTTCTTGAATCATGATGTGCTTGGGAAGCTGCCTGACGATGTCAAGGGGAGGAGGGTCATTTATGATGTGCATAGGAAGAGGCCCATACTCAAGGGAGTGTTGGAGCCTGGTGGGACGGATGAGCCGATTGTAAGACGGTGTCTACGATGCGGAAGTTTCAGCGCGGACATTGTGGTGCCGCCACCGGACTGGTTGAGCAAGACGGTCGGTGCGCTGCTGACCAAATGTGTCTGTGATGGCAATTGGGTCATTGAGCCTTGGAAGAAGTATAGTGGTGAGAGCTGAAGGGGAGCGTTTGGATATGGACTTGCAGCACAGCTACCAACATCTGGAGAAGCATCCTCTTCATGGATTTTGGGAACGGAGATGCTGGCGCTGCCAGGAGCAATCTGTGCTTTTGAATTTCCGGGATCTGGGGAGATTCGATATCACGAGCGATATTCATCAATGTAGTCTGGTCACCGTGCTGACACCGTCCGGCTTTCCAGTCATAGATCTGTCTCATAACATCAGCTAGACCACGAGGGGTCGTCAGAAGTTCCTCCGGTCGAAGGTAAAGCGAATGAACTGAATTCTCGGTGCTTTCAAGAGTTTTGATATTTCATGTTCTTGCGATGAAGAATTGACGAGACGCGGATACCTCGCAATTCAGCGTTCCATGGCATGCCTATTCCGCAACTATGCTGCGCAAGTTGATGTCTCAAGCGCGAATTTCAGGAATTAACCTGGCAACACCGTTCGAATTGGTCCCAACCCTGAAGTACGCACAACGGCTTGAAATGGCACCCACTTCCGTAAAATTTGTGCTATCATAGTCTTCAACTCATTTACGCCTCAGCCTTGACAGCATACTTTCTTTGCGGGAAGTGTGTCGATCTCTTCTTCTGCTTCTCAGTGGTTCTGCTGGCGTCCTTCTTGCTCAATCGTCGGCGGATGGCACGAGTTTGCTTTGGTCGAAGATCGAGAGGGAGGTACTTCTTCTTTGCGTAGAACAGGCGCAGTTGGTGTCGTTGGTTGGCGTTGATGACAGTGAGGACTCGGGCGATTGATTTGCGAAGGTCGTGTCTGTATTCCCAACCAGTCAGCATTCTGTCTCCTTCTTCCCCATCGCAGCTTTCGCCGTCCAAGACGCTCGTTGAGCAAACGTACATTCTGTTGAGTTTCGAGGATGCACCGCCTGCAATCTTCTGGACGCGGAGTTGGCCCAGCTCGGTCTTCAGCTCGTCCAGTTGCTTCTTCAAATCATCTCTGCCCTTGCTCCATAGCTGGCCGGGCTTGACTCTGGCATTGGTCGACTATACCCAAGCGTTAGTATTTCACGGTGCGCACGATTTCAGGATAGCAACTGGCGTACCATCTTGGCTGGTATTGAGACCTTGTCGACGTCAAACTTGGTGGGTGGTTGAGAAGAGGAGTCGTATCGCAAAGTCGATGCCGTTGGACGACGAGACTAATTTTCGCAATGTGTGGAACGAATGCCAAGAGTTACTTTTCCGCACGTGATGGAAAGCAGCAAGTCCTGTGCACGGATTGAGGTTAGCGTCAACGTTGCGTTTGAGCCTCGTCATTGTCCCGAACTTCACATGCAGGGGATGCCTAAAGTTCCATCCCCTACATGCAGGTTGCTTAACGGCGTCCGCCATGGAAGCGTCCACATTGCGAATGGGCACGAAGTCATAATCGCATTACTGCCAGTTCTTGTCTCGCTTCGGTACAATATTTACAATGGCAGCCGGAGGAGGATGGGCGCAACTGCGTCAACAGATCAGGACACTGGAGAGTCAGGTGGGTGCAAGTCAACCACCGAGTTGATGCAGTCCTAACAACACGTGCAGACCGAAGCCTTATTCCACACGTATTCTCAATTCGCTTCAACCCCGAATCTCCCTGCTAAACCATCGGAGGAAGAACAAAGGAACGAGGCGGAAATCGTGGAACTGCTGGAGAAGGTGAGGATGCCGCATCGAACACTCTATTAGGTTCTGACAAGGGTCGACAGCGAGACAGCTTAATCGCGCAGCTATCTAGACTTCTCGACTCTGAGAGCGCCTTGAGCACATCTTCCTTGAAACAGAACAACCTCGCCCGACACCGCGAAGTCCTGAGCGAACACCGACAGGAACTCCGTCGCATCAAATCGTCTATATCCGAAGCACGAGATCGTCAACATCTCCTCGCCAATGTCAGGTCAGACATCGACGCATTCCGAAGTTCGAATCCGGCCGAGGCCGAAGCAGAATATATGCTTCAAGAACGAGCACGGTTAGACCAGAGTCACAGTGTGATTGATGGCGTGTTGGCTCAGGCATATGCCATCAACGAGAATTTCGGCATACAGCGAGAGACTTTGGCCAGTATAAACCGACGTATCACGAGTGCGGCAGCACAGATACCTGGCGTGAATGGATTGATTGCCAGAATTGGCACTAAACGGCGAAGGGATGGAATCATCTTGGGCAGTTTCATCGCCTTTTGCTTTCTGATGCTGCTCTACTTCAGCTGATGTCCAAAATGAACGCCGTTGATGCCACAGCAACTATGGATCCCATTATTCATTGGGGAAGCCCTAAGATACTCAGGCCCGACCTGCTAAGCACAATCTTCGAGGCCACGACGCTCGGAAACTCTCCATCTTACAGCTGCCACTCACATCAGACCTTGTCACTGGAGATACGAATGTTTGGAACCGTCGTTCTTCGGGCAAGAAGGCCGAGGGGCAACAAATATTGCCCAATCTTCTCTCAGGCGACAGTCGATTAAGGCTAGCATCCCTTATCATGCAAGGAAGACTCCTTCGGAGAGGAGGCCCTTACGCAGCTGTATTAAGCAGCAGCTCTTTGGCACGCTCACATCTGACGTGAGGGCCATCTGGCAGATGCCAGCCTTAGAGTTCCTTTTGCCTGTCACCACATGTTTCACCAACACCCCGATTACCATAGCCCTCCAGCACGACAGCGTATCAATATCCTTCGACTTGTGAGGACGGAGGATTATTTGCAAACTTCACCTGCTGAATCGCTCTCGCGCCCAGTGGTGTTCTGTACAGGGATATTCCAATGTTTGCCCTTATATACCCTCTAGCATACAGTGTCTATCGGGAAACGCCATTTCGTTCGTCCACAGATATACGGTCTGCTGGTTCTACCACAGTGATCCTATCAATAAAGGCATATGGCGCATTGGTATCAAGGTAAAGCGAAAGCGTCTCTTTCAGTTCCGGATGGTTTTCAGTGTTTTGCAATCTGTGCATGCGAGGTTCTGGCACAAAGCATAAGATGAATCCAGATAAGATACTCCCTTGACTATATCACTTCTAATGTAATCCCCTTTCTACCTGTATTTGGTCAAGCGTGAACTCGACAACACTGACTGAATGGTCTCCCAATGATACAGGCCGGACGAATCCTGGGCAACAGTTTGCTTGTTCTCAAATGAACCATGCGAGAATACTTACGGAGAGACGAGCGCACCTTTCAGAACCTCAGGTACCTAACTCATCTGCACATCGCTTACGGGTACGGGTACTGCCTCTGCCATGTCCGTAGCAAGTGGTCGAGACTCGGTCAAAAAGGTGGTTGACGTTAAAAGCCGCAGATGGTCCGGGTACATTTGGCAGTCGTCAGCTCGGTCTAAATTAAAAAAGCCCGAATGGTCAATAGAGGAGGATGAGATCATGGACGGTTACATTCGAGGAAGTGTTAAGCATTGCACGCACTCCTGTTACTAGTATCTATTTGCGACGCAACGCCATTCCGGAAGCCCATTGCCGTGCGCGGCCTGCCCGGCAAAAGGACTGGCTTGGTGGAAAGCATATGGGCAATGCGGCTCCCACCTAGACACCCACGACACCGCAAAAGCAAATGCTTGGATCTTTGCCAATTCTTGTCAATGCCGATTGCCAATTGCCAATTGCCAATGCGCGCACTTGGTTGCCAATCCTGACGAGTGTCGTTTTTATCCACCCAAAATTTTCTACTCGTACATGGAATCGGACAAAATGACTTTCCACGATAGCCGGTCCAAGGCTTGGGTGTGAGGCAAATTTGACGCTTGGATTTTTGATTCTTTATTGCGGTGATTTTCTTTCTGGAGAAGACCATGTACAGTCTCCATATGACATATAGCAATACATTGAGTTGAAGGTGCCTCTCAAAACGAATCCAATCTTGTCTGTCTTTGTTCGCTATACAAGTCGGAATTTTCCCGGTCTGTTTTGTCGCGCGCTGGACCGCCGCATCCGTTCGACCCACCTCATTTGGCTTCACTTCAAGACAAAGACAAGAGTGCTGGCTGCAAGCGGCTGAACAATAAGACACTGGATCGGTGAAGAAAGGGAGTGTTGATCGTGTTATACTCCCGCCCAGACCAAGATTGTGTCTTAAAGGGCGAGAAGGGCTGAGGAATGGACTATATCATTCCTCAACATCTCAGACTTGACGGTACAAGAACCAGAACAGAACATCCTCGGCGGAGGAGGTAGTCAAAACCGCCATCCTTGGGAGACATCGAGTCTTTTCGACATTTCCAGTCAACATTCATTCCGGCAGAGTCTCTTGAGAATCTGAGCACTCAACATCGTCTTCGAACCATTCGACAATTCCAACCCAGACTAGCGAAGCCTCATGTGCATCTACTACACATATCATTGGAGCTGCTGTCCAGGTACAGCTCGACCCGCTCCATACTATGTCCACTCGAGATGTGACAAGGCGGCAGCTTCAATATCCACGAAGAGCCCGTTAAGCAAGTCATCACCCAAGAAGTGTAAAGTGATGCACGAGATTCTTGACGGAGCGGAGTCGGACGAGGCTTGTCCTAAGTGCGGGTATGTACAATCCTCTCGTCCAAAATGCCTGTTTCTGACAAAGTCCAGCACCAAACCCGAAAACTGCGACCAATAACAATATTCATGACTGTACCATCTGATGAAAGGACATCTGCCTAGGCGGCAACAGCAGCAGGGATCTCGTCGGATTTTATTTGGAACTTCGGCTTCGTTTTTGTTGAGAGCGGTCGACTTGCAACGGCGTTGGGGGCTGAGATTAATGCTGATGACGACTGTAACTTTTGCTCTTCTTGTACAAGTCTTTGGACGGCGGCGTTGAGCCCTGCGACTTCTCCTTCCCAAGCATGGCCGCTCCCGGCCCATCTGATCTTACAGCTCGAGTCGACTAAATAGACATAACCAACTTGAGAATTGAGCAGGCCCATCGCATCGCGCACATCGTCTGTGAGACCGCGGCGGATGTCGCGGGGCAATTTGATCATAAAATACTTGTCCCAGCGGTCTGGGGAGATCATCTTTCGTAACCTGCCACTGAAAATCTTGACGAGCCAGGCACGGATCCAGTCGCCTTGGATATTAACATCGATGCGCTGGACGAGACCGTTGCTTGCTTCGATGATCTGGGGCAACTCCGGGTTGTGTTTCGGGCTGAAGAAGGTGTCGACTTGCTCTTCGGCCCATTGGCCGGATTGCATGCCTATGAGTGAGATTTTGCCTGTGATCGTGGGTGTGATGTCTCGTCCACCGGTGGGACCATCGCCTTCTTTCGCAAGTGTCTGGCCCCATATGTTGGGAAAGTAAAGTGCTTTGTCGCGTCGGAAGAGTCGTTCGTTTGACACGAAGCTTTTGCCTTTGTAGTGTTCTGTACGGCGCCATTCCTGGAAGTAAGGCCGAAAGAAGGAGCGGAGGTAGACACGCCGCCGCTCGAGGGCCTTCGCGTAGCTTGTGAATTCGTCTTTCCGTTCACGCAAGGAGCGGCGGTCGAGAGGGCTGTTTTGGCCTGGGAGAGGAGGATGTTCAAGGCCGAGGGGCCGTGAGAGGACTGACGGAATAAATTTTTCCCCTCGTTCACCTCGAGGGATGGGAATGCGGGAGATAGCAGAGAGTGCATCGGGATTGCGATCGAGGCCGACATGTAGAGGGATGCTTGGTTTCTTGGGGCCGGGATTCTGTTTAGGAGGGAGCGGAGAGTTCGCAGTCGATGCATGTCGGATGCATCTTTGGTAGAGGCAGCGGCTGTGAGGGCGCACTGCAATGGAAATGAAGAGCGAGTATATGTCCTCTCGTCCCATCTTCATATTCAGGCGCGGCGACCGGACAGGACTTCTTTGTGTTGCATATCTAGCAAGGGTGGTTGGAGAGCAGCTTCGTCGGAGAGCATGTCGTGGCATGTCTACGTTAACAATTTCCTCTGGACGGTCACATGATCGCGCGTCGATACGTGTTCCGCATTGACGACCGAAGGAAAAGTCGTGTCACCCACAAACACGGCTCGTCCCACCACCCCGCTTCACAGCTTCGGTGAATTGTATGACAGCTGCGCTTTGTTGAGAAGTGAAGCTGAAGTGATGACTGTACGCTCAATGGCTCCCAATCCTCATCGCGGCAAGTCTTCGTTTCCTACTTCCAAACCTACCCAGATAGTAAGATGGGGCCACAACAGGAGAAAAAAGAAAAAGAGCAATTTTTCGAAGGTCTGTACCAGCTAGACGAATATATCAGTGATGAAGAGAACGATATCGACTCTCCAGTAATGTCGTGCAAACAACGCGGACAGAAGTCGAAGGAGACGGTCGAAGTCCAGACTGATCTAGTTCCCCAGATAAGATCGCGCGATATGGTCCGATCTCACGCGAAGCGAAAATCTCATGAAGAAGGATCACAACCGGTGCCGATAGAGATCATGGATGACCCCGAGGATGAGGTGTCTTCAGATCCAAAGTCGACACTGACGAAGAGGAGAAAGACTGAGACGGTAACTAAGCATAACATCGGCACATCTCCTAGCATAGCGCCGCCGAAGGACGGATCGAATGCAGTCAGAAGAAATGCGACAGACATGTCAAACCTAAAAGAGCGAAAGAAGCACGTCAAGAAGAGCATGAAATTGAAGCCTGCTCCTCTCGAAAAACAGTACCTTAGGGGTTTCGTCTTTTGTATGTATACAGACTAAGTAATTTGCCTGTCTGTCATCACTGACCATACCTCTAGACTTCTTTCCCAACAACGACGACTGTCCTATCCGTCGGCTCAGAATACACAAAGCTGTCTGCCACGGAGCTCTTTGGGTACACGAGTGGTATGATGATGTGTCCCACATCATTGTCGAAGATGGCCACTCTGTTACAGACGTAGCAAAATCATTTCCCTCGGGAACGGTCCCGGTAAGTCTCGTCCATGTTGCGGTCATGTTCAATGCTTACGGAAGCCTGCAGGAATGCCCTGCAATCGTGGCCGACTTGTGGCTGATTGAGACCTTTAGCTCGAAACAACCGCGAGATGTCAATTGGAAGCGGTACCTGGTACCGGGGTTCGAAAGCCGCCGAATTCAGCCAGTTGACGCTTTTGGTGAATGCACAACTTCAAGCTCTAATCGTGAGTGTACGCCACCACGTCCGCAGTCACAGCTCCAAAAAGGGGACACCACTCCTTCCAAGTCACCGCCGGACCACGAACAAGGACCTGAGGATGAAGCAACAGATTCAGAAGACGAGCTTGACTTTGCTATTAGAGAAATGCAAGACCTTGGGGACTTGCAACTGGTGCCGAGCTTCAACAGTGCTAGCGAATCGCTGGGCGATGGAGACGAGGACTCTGGCTTTGACATAGTGCCCTACAAGGAGGACAAGCTTCGCAAAGAGAATGCCGGATTTCAGTGCATGGAAAAGCACGACGGTACGACTAATACGACAAACCCAAATGCTCGAACCATTGACCAACTTCAGAAACTGGCAACGATTTACGACCGGAAAGGAGATAACTGGCGAACGACGGCATTTCGAAAGGCAATCGGCGCTTTAAGAAGACGCAGCGAGCTGATCCGCACAAAGGAACAGGCTGCGGAAATGCCTGGGGTCGGCAAAAGTATTGCCGCACTGATTGAAGAGTACGTTTCGCAAGACCGAATCCAGCGACTTGAAGAGGCCCAGAAGGATCCGCGTGATCGGACGCTGCAGCTATTTTTGGGTATTTATGGTGCAGGCTTTCAGACAGCATCAACATGGTACTCTCAAGGCCATCGTACTTTGGACGATCTTCGTCAAGGAGTGCGACTGACCTCTAATCAACTTGTGGGCATCGACCATTACGACGATTTTCAGCAGCGAATCCCGCGAGATGAAGTCGCTCAGCACGCAGCAATTGTGAAGAAAGCCCTAAGAGCCACGGACAAAGGTTTGCAAATGCTAGTGGGCGGCTCTTACAGAAGAGGTAAAGCAGACTGTGGAGATATCGATTGCATTATTACCAAGGAGAATGCCGGCATTGACCACATCCGGACATTGGTGATGGAGAGCGTGATCCCCAAGTTGACAGCACAAGGATTTTTGAAAGTTGCTCTCGCCACGGGTCATTCTCATGATCCAGGGTCGAAATGGCATGGCGCATCAGCACTACCAGGCTCTAAGATCTGGCGTCGGCTTGATTTGTTATTCGTGCCCTGGGCGGAGCTTGGAGCAGCATTGATATATTTCACCGGCGATGATCTCTTCAACCGAAGTATCCGGCTTCTGGCGGGGCGCAAGGGTATGAGACTGAATCAACATGGACTGTACAAGGACGTCATGAGGGCACGTGGACGCGAACGAATTACGACTGGAACTCTTGTTGAAGGACATTGTGAGAAGCGGATCTTTGAAATTCTGCGAGTTCCATATCGGAAGCCAGAAGAGAGACAGATTGGGTGAGGTGGTGGCGGATTGGCACCGAAGCATTAGCGACTTCCTGCTATCCATAACGTCCTTATTTCCCAAATACACACCGTGGCGTTTAAGTTCGACCTCCTTACAGCTCTCAATTAACGAATATTGACTGAATATTGACTGAATATTGACTGAACAAGCATGAATTGACGTCAAAAGGCCATTCGCTTAGAACTGCATAATCACAAGGACGGAAAGTATAGGCGGCATCCATATACGGAAAAGCGTGCCGCTTGGCGCGACACACCAATCATTGATCCGAATACACAGTCAAATTCTCACCGCCCAGGTTAGCGAAGCTGAATTGACCACCGCCTCCTGATACTGCCCGTTCAATTTTTTGAAACTCGGCCTCGGTCACGATCGTAAACATCAATGAGAACGCTCACAACACTCATCCTTCATCTGGACGCGCGACTAGTCACCACCATCCTGCTCCAAGCTGTCGCGTAGATCGTGAAGCTGGAGCTCAGCACTCTTATTTGCCAGTTCACGCAACGCTGACAACTGCGCGGCCTCATTGTCTCCGCTTATTTCCTCACTCCACACTCAGTTCGTCCTGCCCCGCGGGTAGCGACCTTGTCCAATCTCGTAAGTCGATTTCACTCGTAGCGACATCATATGCGGGCAATTACTGACGACTCGTGACAGATCACCATGGGTAGAAAGGCGAATCCTCTAATCCTCGACTACTTTGAACGAGGTGCTAAGATCGGCGACTCGTCCAACCGGTATGAGCACACATGCAAGCGATGTGGTGAATTCTTCCCAAAGGGCCGCATGGAAAATCTCACAGCACATTTAACAAAAAAGTGTGCTGTTATGACAATGAAAGAGCGTGTACAGATCATTATGCGTTTAAATGATCTTGTGGTTGAAGATGCTGAAATGCACATCTTCCCAAATGCACCTGTACGAGAGGGAGATAATCAACTAGCGAGCCGCTCCAACGATCCGCCGCGTCTTGCTCCGAACCTACCAGCACAGCAGAATGGGCTTGAGGTTCTGGCAGAAGCTTCCCGTCAGCTTGTTAGTCATCCCAATCTTGATGAGCAGCATGACTACCTCGATCAGGAGCAAGGGATATCTCATTCTCAACTGCCATCGCACCATGAGCTCAACATCTTGAGTGCAAATCCGAATCCTCTGGATCCTCAGTACGGTACCACTGGTCTAAATGGTCATCTTTCGCAAGATTTTGGACTCCTTAGTAAGGACAATGGTATGTGCTGACTGTCAACACTTCACTGCAAGGAGGTGACTAACTATAGCCAGGGTTTCCAACCACTGTCGGGGGAGAAGACCCGTCTGTGCACAGTTTCATGCCTGTCCATGTGTCAGAAGAGGCCTTTCATGGGATTGCCGTGACCGGCCCGGACATGCTGGCTTACGATTCATTCACCGGTCCTCATAGTGCAGCTATGCAGCACATCTCAACAGCTGATCTTAACAATTTTGGACTTACTGTGCCGTTCGCAAACCCGCCAGCGACTCAGCCTGGTATGGTGGGCGAATCCAACAATGCACAAACTTACGTTGGTGAATCCAATAATGAACAACCTCACGTTGGCGAAGCTTCCAGCGACTCAAGTATCTTTATGGACCCACATAGTCAATCGTCCCAGTTTATCACCGAGACTGGGACAAACACACCGCAAAGACCCAAGATCCGTCGTAAATTCGGCCCAGAACGTCGAAAGGAAGTTCTTGAGGTTCGGAAGGTGGGCGCTTGTATGCGTTGCCGGATGTTGAGGAAAGTGTGCTCCTTGGGCGATCCTTGCCAGACTTGTGCTACAATCGAAAACCCTCGCCTTTGGAAAAATACATGCATCCGCAAGAAATTGCTGGATGTCTTCGCCGGATATTCTGCTATGCCGTACGCAGTCCATCTCCTTGAAGAGCAAAAGGAGCTCAAAGGAGCCCACGGCATCAGCGAGAAGTCCTTGGCGAAGGTCGAGGCACACCATTTCGTCGAGGAAAAGCTCGTGTTCAAGAGTCGCCACTGTAAACCAAAGCGCGCGCGGAACGGGTCAGTTGTTGAGTCTCCGGATCTGCCTTTTGGTGAGGAAGGAGTTGTCGTTATCGACCTCGAGGTTCAAGATCTGCTGTCAAAGGTGCAGAGATATCTGCAAGCAATCACTCCAGTCGTGATTGCCCGAGAGAAGTCCCCAAGCATCAGAGCCACTCTTGAATTTGCACACCGCCTCAACATGGAGCAACTCGGCGATATCACTACAGGTGAACACGACATCCTCCTCCCTCGGGTTATCGAACTGTGGGCGGCCACGTTCTTAATGACGGAGCATAACCTAAAGGCACATTTTGCGATAATTGCAGATGAGACTGAAGAGCGCACGGGGATAAACGAAGATCTCAATCCTTACGTCTACGCTACAATGGACAAGCAGTTCCGAGCAGCGATCGAGAAGCGAACTGCCCAGATCTGCAAAACGATCTTGCCAATCTTCGAGCAGCGCGCTCTCGTTCGGGACAAGGGCAATCCGTTCGAGACTTTTTTGGTCGCCTTTATCCTGCTTAACTGTGTTGAGCGCATGTGCTGGCTATTCAATTGCTGGGAGAACTTTCCGCCATTCCAGTGGCCTTTCGAGACTTCCCCAGCTGCATATGCTCAGACAGGTGAGGAGTTCGCCACAACCATTCAAATGCTCATCAGCCTACGCTCTCTACAGCCGAAGCTCACTGTTGACCTCGTCAACGGTTTCATTGTTCCTCAGACCACTGAGGACTCAAGATTTGAACTGTGGCTCGAAAATGCTAAATTTGCTCCCGATTTGGGAGCGCAGGCCATCGACTGGAGGCTGAGTGTCAACGACTGCAGATGCATGGATGGCACGCTGTCGGGTCGACTCTTGGAGATCTAGACCAGCAAAACAAGAGCAAAGCATATGATAATTGGACGAACAGGAGGTACTTGGCCGAAATGGAGACGAAGGTTGTAACAGAAAGATGGCGGTGAAGACTGGAATGATACGACGAGACTTGGATGTTCGCTGTCTTTGGTGGACACGCTGTACGACTACACGATTGCACGAAGAGACAAAGACGGCATTGGACATTTGTCACGAGATTACGAGCTGAGATACCCCAGAAGAGCGAAGATGGCCTCACGATGTTAGATTGCATACAGAGCAAGCTGAGATACTCCTTGAAATTCATAGAAAAGATCCAAAAGAAAAGTGTTAACTTGAACCCGATTATGTAGACTGGAAGAACCAGGTTTCTACTATTAGCTGTAGGTTGAAGTCGTCTTGATAGATCGCGTTGGGGGATGACTGCGACTGGCTGGAACATGGCAACATGTCTCGGACGAACCAAAACAACACCCACCTCTACCAGGTTCACGACGATCAACGACGACGAAGCTCATTGAAACATCATTGAGACTTTCTGGAACTGAAACGCTAAGTAGTACTTTGTTGCAGCCCAGCGGAAGATTTCCCACAGCATTGTTGTCCGTTACAACCTTCGAGCAGCTATGCTGTCCGACACGATCGTCCCCGTACTTCTCGAATCATCCCAGCGGTAGCACGATCCCAGTCACTGGGAGGATGAAATCAGAGCACTGGGGTCCTCGGTCCAGGATTGCAAATTGGTCGAGTACGCAGACCTGACTCAAGGGGGGTGGGTGTGATGCACCAGGCAAAGAGACGAGGTTGGATTTGGGTGGTACAGACTCGATGTTTGGTATGGTGAAAGATATGGAGCCCAATAGCTTTGCACGGCGCAAAGCACACCACTTCGGCGATCTTGCATGACCCAAATGCATGTCACTAGGCGGCTGGTCAGTGCTGCGAGAGCGGCTCGCATCGGTGGCCCCGACGTGCTACCGGGCCCAAGCGACCCTGGGCCTCTGTGCGAGGGTGGCGGTCTGGGGCAGTCTCTGAGCCCTTGGACCCGGCAACCCTTGGGATGCACCCCGGATCCCTACAAGAGAGCTGCTCTGATATGGGCATGTAAGATGACTCCCAGTATGGCTCTGCGGGAGCTATCATTATCATCAAGGATTGTTATCCAACTTCGAGCAGGACTGTCTGCATCCAGCGCAGAACAGGAATGAATTGGTACAATTTGGAATGTACGGGACATACCAGCCAATCTTTGATGCAATTGTAGCGGAAGGAAGCACTGCTTTTGAGAAGGCTGGAATGATCAGAAAGAATGATCGCAGATCATGCCTGCCTGTATGCGAACAGGAATGAGAGGGTGTGTGCGCGAGGGGCAGTACCGTGGCTTTAGGGCGTCGCTTTCTTCAGTACGAGTACACCCTCATCGGTCATACCTGCAGACCTGGAGCGGGCCGACGAGTTTCAGGCTCATGAGGATCGTAAGACTCTTTAGACGTCGGCGTCAGATCCAGCCAGTGAACTACGCCAGTCACGTCTCTCTTGTACAGGCTTCCGCAAAGCCATGACCTACTTACGCAGGAGTAATGCATTGACTACGAGAGCGATTCGGTGCGGGCATGCAAGGCGCTGACCCCGCTACTCGTATTATCGTGAGCAGTGACCAAGGGACCGCGAGGAGCAGAATTGGTCTTTGCAACATCTACGGACCATATTCGTACCTTTGACACGAGCACTGGTATGTATTGCAGACAGTCGCAGCAGTGGTAAGTTGGCGCAGCAAGATGCCCTCCGAGTCAACAATGGCGGCTACTCGCGGGTCTCAATGATCAAATCGCCAGGATTCCGGTGAGACAGGCCTTGGCCACTATCGATTTGCTGGACTGCAAATAAGCGAAATGCTTACAGTCCGGGGCATCCGACGCTGCTTGTGCCAATCGCTTGACCACTTCATTATTGTGCATATCTTAGCACGCATGGGTTCGGGACGTGAACGCATTGAGAAAAGCGCCAGTGTCAGTGCAGTGACATGTGCAGTCGCGCTTTTCGAATGCCGCTGAACCCGAAGCGAGCAACATGTCTTCTGACGTCGACTATGGATTTAGTCGCGACTGGCACTCATATTCCACTTCGACACGACTGGGTCCAGGAGACGAATCAGCATATCGCAAACGGGCTTATCTTTCCTACGATCCGTGAGCAACGATGTCAACATGCGCGCTTTCAGGTCACGCCTCATCCATTTCAGAAAACACCACCAACACCACTAGGAACCATGCTCTGTGGATCAAGCGAGCTGACATACATTTCCAGGAGTCATAGCGCAATTTTCCATTCACAATGTGATCTGTCTCTCGCGCATTTCTAGCCACGCCTTTGGAAGGAAGGCCGCCATGTCCAAAGTATGCAAGTATCAACGGGATGCGGCAAGCCCTGACTGGGAGACTGTATCCTTGGAGCCAGAAGAGGCTATTCCTGGCATCAGTGCGGAGTCAAGGTTTAGAACGCTTGGACCAACACGCACGAGTACATTTGTCAACCTTCACCTAGGGAAGTTTTGTAGCCTTTCCCACTTCAGGTGCCTGGGACTGTGGCATTCTCTGAGAAAGGAAAGGTCAAAGCAAAGAGCGAGTCGTCTGTCGTCATGGCTCAGCCGACCTGGTCTTGAGAAGTAAGGTGCATCAGGCCATCCCGTTTGCGACCGTGGTTTTTTCAAGATGCGGACAGTGCCGACAGCAAAGATCCATCGATGAGAATCATCATCATCATCATCGCGACACGGGAGGACGTGGATGAACAATGGACTTCCTGCGAGTAGCCTAAGCACCACCAGGGCTCATGCCGCGCTGGCCGACGCGTTCAACTACTTTGTATATGGCCAGTGCGCGAGTGTTCGTGAGCATGAACGCACTGGATCAGGTTCTCTGGATAGACGAACCAGTTACAATGCAGAACAAGCATACCCCGAATGAGAGTCTCTGCCGCTACGTGGCCGCTCCAGTATCCTTCATCATCAGGCTGCCAATCATGTCTCGGAAGCTGAAGGGCTGTCTGTCGCTGCGCCAGAAGCCATAGGCCGGAAAGTATGAGGAGAGGGTGTGAACGATGGTGAGAGACGTGGGATGGTTGGTAGCTGATTGGTCATGGGCAACTGTATCCAATCGCATCAGCTGACACTTTCCGAGCTCGCTTGATGGCTCGACACGGGAGACACGACGCAGCGAAGTGGTATTTTTTAGCAGATGGTTTGGCGACATTGAGCCTTTTTTGGCATCGGCAGGAAGGGATAACCTCGTCAAGGGGTCATGGTGTATGGACCGGGCTGAGAATTGATACTGTTTAGGGATTCCACAACAGATTGGGGGGTTGATGGAAAGACATTTCCGCCACAAGACTAGGGTCCTATTTTGGGGATGGAGCCATCATGAGCAGATGACCTTTGACTCAAAGTTGGAGGGCATCGCAGCATCGCAGGCGCAAATGGTAGCCTCACTAGCCTGAAGCGCGTCTGATGTCGTTCGCCACTTGTGATTTGCTGGATCCGAGCGCAAAGAAATCTACTTCCTGCATACCAACTCAGTATGAAATAGTCAGGTTCTGTTCGGCTGGAAATACTTCGAATTGAAGAGCCTTGAGAGCATACCAGGCTCGCAAGTGATGGAGCGGTATTGCACATGTCGGGCCCAGCAGGAGATACTGTAACAACTCACTCTATTCGATTGCCGTGATTAGATGGCCTGCTGGGTGATTGAGGGGCTCACCAGGCCTCGGTTTAGGTATACTCCGTACTCGTCGGTTCATCGTCGGTACCTAAGGTAGGTAGTGTCGCGTTAACGGTCAATGCCTAGAGCCGCCCTGTGGGTTTCTGCACCCTCCTCCTCCTCCTCCTGAAATCAGCGCCAGCCTCACCACAGTTGCACGTACAACAGGGTAGTAATAATATCGCCTGTCTCTTGTGACTCTGCTGTGGGAACACAAGATACCAAAGGACTGAATTCCATATCGATGTTGCAGCGTATGTAGTAGGTTTGGCTCCGCTCAGCAATGGGAGCTCCATGACTTGACCTATTTCAAGCTGTTCGACCCCGGAACCCTGTCTGTCGAGGGGCTTTTGCCTCTGCATAGTTGCAGTATGCATCAAGTCTAGGGTTTGCCTAGTTTCATGCGCCTCCAAACCGAATCTCGCGTCTTGTTCAAATAGAAATCACGATTGAAGATCATAGACCTACAGACCTGAACCTGTGTGCATTTTGGGCTTCGGTTCGTCCGTGCAGGCGAGAATCCCCATCGCTCCCGGCGATCGCCCATCCACATTGCCCTCTCGTGCCTCTGTGCCCTCTTGCATCACCCAGCTTATGCTGCACATATGCTGCGAGGCTCTATCCTCTCGCCCAATCCTCCATCATCCCACAGACTCTGTCCTTCTGTCAGTGGTCCGCGTGAACAGCGGACACAAGACTCCTCTAGGCTCTAGCAGAGCACTCGATTCTCTTCCCCAAAACCTGGGGCACATCTTGCTGCGGCTTCAACCTTAATTCCTGTCGCTCGACCTTGCCCACCGATGCAGATTCGATCCACAGACACCCTGCCAGGTTGCGGAAAGAGTACCAGTAACAGAACCCCCCCAGTGAGCCAGTCCTCGTACGAGTAACTTGGTACCTCCGTGCGCCGTACGGGCTCCTTCTGCCTGCTCTGCTCGCCTGCTCTGGGCGCACACCCCAAGACTACCCACGACAACCTTACCAAGACGAAAATCCAGATTCGTCCACGCCACGCGCCTCTTCATCATCATCATCATCATCACCATCATCAACAACATCCTCATCATAATCGTCGGCATCATCACCGTCCGTGAGATTTCCCATCAGCAGCATCATCATCTCTGATACCTCATTCACTTACTTATTGGCGGCCATTATTGTCGTCTGCATCACCACCTCTAGATTAGTTGGCTGCTTTTGTCGCCACACCACCTGCGCACAAATCGCAGGTCAGCGATCGGGTCGCTCATCAGCCGCTAAACGCCCTCGGCAAACCTGGAAGCAAAGCCCTCGTACCCTCGTCATTCTGCAGCCAGCACGGACCCATTATTGACGGAGGGCCCAGCGAGACACGAGCGAGTTGCAGAAACAGACCTTGACTTGCATCTGCAAGCCCCAAAGGCGCCATCTCCCGCTCTTACGCTCTCACACACTCCCGCAAGCTTTCTCGCTCCTGCACCTGCGACCTGCACCAGAACCGGCCGTACCCAGTCCGCAACCCGATCCAACGAGCGTCTTTTTTGCCTTGAACACCCCCCAAGCTGCCATCTGCAACCCTCAGCCCGTCTACCTCCACCATCTCACTCCCTCCCGCCGCCTACGACTGGTCCAGCATCACCCTCGTCATTTTTGGCCCATTGCTGCAGGCCGACACGCTTTCGCCATTGTCGCTGTCGCACCTCAATACTCCTGTCGTCGCACGTACTCCTCACAGGCGAGGAACTTATCAGACGCAGGCACCCTCTGGAGATCTTTGGGTCACCCAGCTAGCTCTGTGCTGCCTGGCAGCTTGTTGGCGTGCTGATGCGAAGCCTGCGCATCGCGGCCACCACCACCACCACCATTTTCTCTCCTTCCTTTCGGACGTGAAATGTCCATCTATCCACCTACTCGCCAGCCGACAAATGCTTTGAATGGTATCGGCGTCATGAGCGATGGTTCAGGCACCATTAATCCTGCAGCTCTGAACACTAGTGGTACGTATCTTTCCATTGGTTCGACGGCCTGACCACTCGACAGGCCTGCCGGGTCCTCCATCACGGTCATGGCGCACTGCGCGCATCATCAGTCGAGCTCATCTTCCCCTCGATCGCATCTTTTACTGACCTGACTTGTGTGTAACAGGAGGACAATTGCAGTCATCCACCGAATCCGGTCCGCGCGGCATCAAGAGAAGTCGATCCCCCGAACAATATGGCGACTATCCACAGGCCGACGAAGACGGTAAGTCTGCTCGTCCTTCCAGAGTCCCGAGATCTACAGGTTCTGACGCCAACACAGCGCCGCGCAAACGTGGCCGGCCCTCAAAAACGCCGAGGACATCTGGAGATTTCACTTCCAATATCGATTCACTGCCCACGCCCTCCAGCCAGACGTCACCAGAACTGACCCAAACCCCGAGAACCCAAGGTATCCAGCATCCTGGCGCGACGCCTCTACAAGCCTCACCGCCGCGATCCATACCCAAGTCTACCGTCAAAGCCTTGCCGACCGTGAGAGACCACACGAGTGACGTTTTACAACCCGAGGGAGATGAATATGTGCCGCGCGAGTACGACGAGGCCGGCGAGAAAAAGGTGGATCCATTGGGTTATCTTCAAGGTGGTCGAGAGTACAAGATCCGGACGTTTACTCTACCTGGCAGAGGGCAGAAGTTGTTCATGCTGGCTACGGAATGCGCGCGACAGCTTCAGTATAGAGACTCTTATCTGTTGTTCAACAAGAATCGTTCTTTGTTTAAGATCATTGCCAGTGCCAAAGAGAAGGAAGAGCTTGTCAACCAAGAGATCTTGCCGTATTCATATCGGTCGAGGCAAATTGCGGTTGTTACGGCACGATCAATGTTCCGGCAATTTGGGAGCCGTGTCATCAAAGATGGGCGACGAGTTCGAGACGATTACTGGGAAGCCAAAGCTATCAAGCAAGGCTTTACGGAACAAGACGCTGCTGGCGAAAAGCGACCGGGAGCGGCAAGGGCTCGGGAGGCGGCTGCTCAGGATCAATTGAGCGCCAGGACAAATGTCGCAGCTAACTATGGTGATATTGTCTACAGCAACGGTCCAGGCTATGGGGCTGTTCAACCACCCGCCCTACATTCTGGCATCGCCTCAACCATGGCCCAGATACCGTCTTTTGATTCCGCGTACGACTCGCGATACAAGGATATTCCGCGACCACGGTACGACATTACAGGCCCTCCATATCAAGACCTGACACGCTCGAGTTCCGATGCGGACTTATCTAGCCAAGCGGCGCACGCTGCCGACTACAGCAAGAATATCAATCAGCAGAATCGGTATCGACGTAGTTTGGTCGAGGATTACTGGCGCAGACCACACGAGCCGCCAGTATCAACCCCTCCGCCTACCGAAGCTGAAGTAGCGACAACAAGCCATCCATTTTCCTCTCCACGGTTTCCCACAGCCGATCTCCCCGCTGCTGCCCAAGGAAGCACCATATCAACTCCAGTTCAGACTTCTCAACCGTCGATGAATCCGCCTTCGTACCCTCACCAACCGCCCCCAATCCAATCTCCAGTCCGTCAGCCAAGTCTGCAACAGCCTTTTCCTCGAGATCCCACACAATATGCTCCTCAGCATCCTCAGTTCCAGCGGTCTTCCTCGAATCTGTCCATTTCACAAACTGCTTCCCAGCAACAGCAAATCCCGTTTAGCGGCGGTAACTACTCCCCTCATGGTATGAATCCACAGCAGCAGCAACAGCAGCAAGCTTGGGGTGCTCCCCCTCCTCAACCTCATCAGTCTCCAGCTCTTCATCGAATGAGCACTCCACAATTTTCTCCGAGTCTTTCGCAAGGACAGATACCATCGCCAATGCCAGGGGGTCATCCCAGCGCCTCTCCTCATCCCCAACAAATGCAACCACCGCAAATGCCAATGCTGCATCATCAGAGCAGCTCCGGCGGCATCAGTGGCCAGCAGCTCTATGGGCCTGGAGCAGGACTGCAGGCAATGAATGCTGCGGGTTATGGTGCGATGGGTATGGGCCAGCGACCAATGTATGGAATGGCCGGACAAAACCAGTACATGCCACCAAACCCACAACATGGGCAGGCCTGGCCTGGCTCACAGGGTCAAGGCCAACCAGGTGCGCAGTGGAACCAGGGATTCTAGGATGACTCTGATTCTGAAAAACAACCGAATTTCTCCGGCTCACAAAATCCAGGTCAACAAGCGACGCAATGGAACCAGGGGTGCTAGACGGACTCCGATGCTGAAGAACAACCAAAGATCTACGTTAAACCGATTACTCGGCCCAGAATTGAAAGGAAGCCTAGGCTGCAACGGCATATAATCGTGCATACCAGTGACAAACGCCACGTCTGTTCTGTATGCGACTACGTCTCGTCTCAAGCCCGTGATCTAAACGATCACAAGAGGACTCATACCGGCGAGAAGCCTCACGTCTGTTCCGTATGTGGCCGGGGGTTCGCTCAAACCGGCAAATTAGCCAGACACAAGAAATTGCACACTGGCGCGAGATCTTTTTTCTGCCCTGTTTGTGATCGCGGCTTCATTCAACGCCACCATTTATCATGGCACATGAGGATCGGTTCAGTGTGTGGTCGGGCAAGATAGCACCTCTTGAGCGATGAGCAGGGCGGAGATCCGAGGATGATAATGTTCAGAGAGTCAAGTCCATCAGCCGAAGCCGGTCCGCGTCACCTGGGCGTACACATTGCTTGCTGTTTTCGGGGTTTCTGCAAATCACGGCGCTGATTGACTTTGGTTTGACTTTCCAAGTATTGTATTATTCAACTCTCTGAAACGCCGCTTGGAACACAGAACAGCGCATAGGCAGAGGCATATACAGTCACTATCGTGTTTTTCTTGCTGCATGGGATGGATGTGGAGGTTGCTGCATAGCGAAGCGGGCACTGGCATTGCATTTTTTACAATTGTGGATTTGAGCTGGGAGGGAGGACAGTGAGATGCGTGCAGCGGCGTGACATGGTGCATGGTGGCATTGGAACCATGGATAAAGGGGTTGTTGCTTGCTTTTCTTCATTTATGTGGTGGTCTGTACCGTTTCTTTTTTCTTTCTTCGTCTTCTTTCAGGGTTGCGGCTTGTATTCTGGCATTAATTCCGAAGCTCGTGATGAGTCGATGATGGGGGGATGCGCAAAGGGAACGGTGCGGTCAGCATCGTGGTCTGCGCAGACTTGATCGTTCAGCAACGTCGAGGCTCGTGGCTGTCATTTCTTCTTTTTCATGTGTACCATACCTTTGACTGCTTAATCTTGTTGTATTTGTCTTCCAATGTTTTGTGCATCAAAGGCTTCATCATTTTGGCACGACGCACACGAAGGATATGGCTATGGACAGGGACGTGGAATACGTGCATTTGGACATTTCTCTTTTCATGGGTATGGGCATGGGCATGGGAATGCTGAGGGCACAACGACAGCACAGCAGAGCAAGTCTTCTTTCTGATATCCGACAACTGGTCGCAGTTATATTTACAATTTGCATTTGCGGTATAATAATGTGGAAGGTGGATGTTTTCGTAACAACGTCACTTCTTTCTGGAGTGTTTGATTTTTCATCTATGCGCGATTGTTTTCTGTCTGTATTCATGGCAGCGGCGCGTCGAACATTTCCATTCACACTGAGTCGCAACAAGCTCTGGGTAGAAGCCGAAAAGAAGGCACGGAATATATCCGACCACGTGGTCGCGACCATCTCAGACACTCTAGTAAAGCGTGTACCGTCATGCCCGCGTGGCTTTCTCATGACTTGAGACGACAGCCCTGCTCCTGCCAGCCGGGGCTTCTCCAACTAAGGTCTATGAGCGCACCGGCGCATGAAGCGGGCGACACGAAACTGTTGAGTGATGGGCTGGGTAGGTGCTGGGCAAACTCGCGCCCTCCCAGGTTGTGTTGAGTTGACGTCGACATTCATGGGCTATGGGCTCATGATGACCCTGCATCGACTCTCGAGGAGAATACAAGCAGATCCAGCGCGCCGGCACTTGAGAAGTCCATCATGTCCCAAAAACATGGGCCCCCCGGGAATCATTTCGACCGATCTGGGGCTGGGTTCCGTGGGGTCAAGTACCGCAGCACACGCAACATCTGCCGACCAAGAGTCAGAGAGCGGCCCCACGATCTGGAAGAGACCACCAGGGCCTGGCAGAGCTTCGGCTCATTTGTATTCGGACGACCCGTGCTGTGAAGTGACGGAGCCTTGTCTTGCCACGATGGACGTGTGTCCCTTTTTTAAACCATTTAATCCATGCTTTTGGCAATGATGGACATCCGGATCGCAGAGAGGTATTGAGTACGGTACTATTTGGAGTCTAGCATCTTCAAGAGTTACCAGTCTAGGTACAGACTGAGCGAGGAAAATCTGGTATTGGTCCTAGTATTTGAGGATCTTGAGACAAGAAGAGGCTCTTATTGCTAGACAATTGAAAAGTGAACGGAAGCTCGAAGCGTGAAGTATTCGAATCAGGCCGTTACAGCGATCGATCATGGCCGAGATCAACAGGGAAAAGCAATATGCTAAAGCCAAGATAGCATTGAAGGTGATAATAATAGGGTGAGTGGCTCTTCTTATGAGATGATGATGATGGAAAAGACCGGCGGGAATGTTCTGACTTATTAACGCTTCTAGAGCTGGCATCGGTGGCCTCGCAGCAGCAGTGTCTCTGGGCAAACGAGGTCATGATGTACACATCATCGAGTTCGCACCGGAAATTCAGGAGGTCGGTGCTGGAATCCAATGTGCGCCAAACATGCTTCGCATGCTGGATCGATGGGGAGCGGGCACGAAAGTCCGGAAGACTGGCGTACAGCTTCGTTCAATCCATCTCCTGAGATGGGAAGGAGGGAAGATGCTCGGAGCGGTGCCCATCAATCAGCAGCATGGCGAGCAGTTCGTCGTGCACCGGGCGGATTTGCAGATGGCGCTGCTGGAGAAGGCGCTTGAGATGCCGAATGTCAAGTTGCAAACGAACACGTTGGTGAAGAATGTCCGCTTCAGTCCGGCGGCCGTCGAGTTGAACGACGGCTCGTGGGTCGAAGGCGATGTCGTGATCGCTGCGGATGGGATCAAGAGTACGGTGCGCGCGAAGATCCTGGGTGATGACAAGGATGTCGCGATACCGACTGGCGATGCGGTTTTCAGGGTTGTGTTGACTCGGGACATGTTGAAGAAGCATCCACACCTGCAGCCGTATATTGAGGAGAAGAAGGCGATTAGGTGGATAGGACCGGAGAGGCATATCATTGCGTACCCGGTGCGAAATCACGAGATATATAATATGGCACTGGCGCATCCGGACCGCGGGAGAGTGGATGAGAGTTGGACGACGGTGTCGTCGAAGAAGAATCTGCTGTCCGAGTATGAAGGGTGGGATCCAAAGTTGATTGAGATGTTGGAGATGGTGCCCGAGGGAGATGTCCTGGAGTGGAAGCTGTGCATGCATATGCCCTTGATACGCTGGGTCCAGGAGAATTGTGCGTTGATGGGTGATGCGTGTCATCCGATGCTGTAAGTGCAATCCATACCTCATGCAAGGACACTGAGACGGCGACTGGAAGACTTACATTTTGCTGACCCTGAGTGTTAACAGGCCGTACGTTGCGCAAGGGGCAGCGCAAGCGGTCGAAGACGCTGCATCGCTAGGGGTGACGTTGTCGTCGATCACGTCCAAAGACCAGATCCCGCTTGCATTGAAGGCGTACGAGAAGGCGCAGAAAGCCAGGGCGGAGCATATCCAGCAGTCTTGTTTGCAGACGCGGGCCGCTCTGCATTTGCCGGACGGTCCGGAGCAGCAGGCTCGCGATCAGAAGTTCCAGGCTCTTTCACAAGGAGGAGAAAGTGACGATAAATGGAATGATCCCCAGATGCAGGAGTTCTTGTGGGGTTGGGATCCTGAGATCAAGGCTCAAGAGGCGTGGAGACGTGAGTCATCTTACTGTTCCTAGCGGACTCTGCTGACGAAGAGATAGAGATGAGCAGATCGTCTGGTGTGCAAAGCCAACTGTGAGGTTGTTTGCCGCAGGAGATGGAGTACTTGGATTGCTCTGAATGCTAAGCAGCCACATGTTCTTGGGACGGCCCCAGTCAAGCACGGTAGCTTAGAATGAGAGGACGAGGAGTACTAGTAGCTGGCTGTCGAGCCTTCTCGACGTGAGAGCCATATCCACTGATGTAATCTCATTTACCAACGGGAACGAGGGACTTGGTGTGACAGCGAACTTGGACCCAGATTAGGTATTAGCGAAGATCTCGTTTTCCAGGGAAACGGCCTCGACTTGGCTCAACATTCGCTCGTTGAATTGTTGATGTCGTCAATCTCTCGTCAACCCTTGGGATCTTCCCGGCGAGACATGCTCAAGACATGCACTGACCTGGCAGTTGCGATGGCCCCACAAACGTCCATACGATGGTACACTTTAAGAGCCGCAAGGCAGCCACGAGTATCAGTACACCTCGTATTCCAGCAGTCAATGACGCTCAGCGATCACGCGCACCACCGCTTGACGGCTCAGTAATTCCGAGACTGCGACTGATCTTGCTCAGTGCGCAGGACATGATCTAAGGGCGGTGGGCGCTCCAGGTCGGCCTGCTCACGCTTCCCCCTGCAGAGGGACCAGGACTACGGGGTACAGGACTGCAAGGTACCCCGACCAGAAATCCAGGACAGACATCAAAGTTTCCACGTGTCATGTACTGATGCCATGGCCGGTGGCGTCGGTTTGAGAAGCCTATTCTGGATATAGTCCAGACCTTGCAGAAGACCGTGCATTATCATCACCTGTTCCAGCTTTCCAGGCGGCACTATTAGACTTTGTCTAAGTTAGGCATGAGACGGCCGCGAGATCCGTGTGGTTAGCGTTGCTTCGAAGCGACAAGGGCAGACCGATCGTGCGAGTTGGCAGCGCCTGTGCAAAGCTTCTTTCCTCCTGGCACAGTCTCCCTTTTGCGGAGCCTGATCCAAGCCTCTGGAATTGCATGAGGGATTGCGTTGCTTGTCTCTTTGTAGCGCACGTGGAATCGAGATCATCTTCTGAGAGAACAACTTACTCACGCTGACCCGAGTTTCCGGGCAGGATACGAGCACTGGGTAGAGCACTGAGCACAAGCCTGGGCTCCAGATACTAACTTAGCACGAACATCACTGTATCGATGATGGCCGCCATCGTCAGAAACCATCAACCAACCCTGGCCAGAGGCGATCCAACCAAGCTTACCGGTCATGGAAGCTGCGAACCCCGGTGGTTTTGATACTGCCGAGTGGCCATCTTCGACGTGGTGGCCAATTGAGCTGCAAGCATGCGGTTAAAAGGCTCCGCCGGCTTGTGGTGGTGTTCTTGAACCGTCTCAACAAGGGCTCATCAAGCAGGGACTGACCACGCTTTCCAAATCTTTGACGAGAGCCCACGACAGCCCCATGTCCGGTCCATGCTCGAGGGTGGAGACCCCGCCGCTCCCAGAGTGTCCCAGCTATACGCCCCACTGAGCAGAAATCGAATGTGTTGGCCCCCGGCTGAAAGCAGATGGCTCGGATGGAGCAACGGGCCCGTGGTCGAAAAGAGAATGGCCTGGCGTGAGCTAAGGGCAGATCCTTTATCAAGTGGAAGATTTTCCCAACTACAGACTTCTATCTCTCGTCAACCACGTTTCTCGTCTCTTTTTGTCCACATAGTCAAGCGCGTGGCCGGATTCCCAAATTTATTTCCTGACGCAAAGTTCGACTTGCAATCATGACGGGCCACGACCACCATGAGCACGGCGCTCATCCCGCGCACTTGAAGCACAGGTATGAGTCACACTGTTACTGCTGGCCTGTTTAATGACCCTGTTCAAGTCACGCACATGAGGAGGACATCCCAGGCACTGTCAACCTGCGAGCACAAGGTATGTCAACGCTAGAACGAGCTAGCACAAAGAATTCTTCTGACCCCCTGCAGAGGGCGATGATACAGGATACGGACAGGCTTTGTTCCCCGTACCCGCCGACGACCCCAATGATCCTCTGCAATGGCCCAATTGGAAGAAGACTATGATCTTGTGCATTTGCGCGGCATATTCATTCTTGGGCAATTCCTCGCTACTTGGACCTTCCGTCTACATTGGCATTTACGCAGAATCTTTCGGGATTTCGCCTACCGCGGCTTCTGGCTTGATCTCGTATCCTAATCTGGCTTATGGGTTCGGTATGTTAAATCACCTTGGATTCAGAAGGTCAAGCCGCTGACAGCCACAGGATCTCTGCTCTTGGTTCCTGCCTATCTCAAATTCGGTCGTAGGCCGGTCATGCTCTTTTCAATTGTTGCGTTCGCCGTTGGTTTGATTGGCGCTTCTCAATGCAACTCATTCGCGACACTCATGGTCTGCCGAGTCATCCATGCGTTCGGATCAGGCGTCTGCGAAGCACTACCCGTCCAACTGGTCAACGATATCTTCTTCTTGCACGAGCGTGGTCAACGATTGGGATACTACACTGTCTGTTTGTGTCTCGGAGCTACGGGACCCCTCTACGCTGGATACATGCTTGCTGGCGGATACTCCTGGAGACTCTTCTTCTACGTCGAGTTTGCCTTTGCATGCGTCTTATTCATCCTGGCTTTCTTCTTCGTCGAAGAGACGTGGTACAAGCGCGATGAGATGAAAGCGAGACTTGGTGCCGCGGTCGAGACATCCCCTGGGGAGAAGGCTGTCGACTCTGATATGCGTGAAGTTGCGCCAGCGTTGCCCGAGCGAAAGACCTTCTCCCAGACTCTTAAGCCTTGGGGTGTCTACGACAAGGAGGCGCCGTTCTTCATGACCATGCTGAGATCGTTCACGTACTTCGCCGTGCCGTCGGTTTTCTGGGTCGTCGCAACTTACGGTATCTATATTGGCCTCGGTGCCTTGGCCTTCAACTACACGTTCCCACTCAAGATCACGGCACCACCTTACAACTGGTCCGAGACGAATTCTGGTTTGATCGCTGTGGGCAACGCCGCCGGCTACATTCTTGCCATTCCATTCACCACTTCCTCCGATCGCCTTGCTGCCTACTTGACCAAGAAGAATGGTGGCATCCGCGAGGCTGAGATGCGCCTTGGTGTTCTCTTGCCTGCGATGTTGATTGGTCCAGCCGGCCTCATCGTGTACGGCTATACGGCTCAGGACAATCTACACTGGTTCGGCTACTTCGCAGGTGTGGCCATGGTCAACTGGTCGGCGTACTTCTACTTCACCTTCAGCCTTGCATACGCGGTCGACAGCTACACGGTCAATCTGTCCGAGATGCTTATTGCCATGAATCTAGGCAAGCAGGCAATATCCTTTGCCATGGGCTTCAAGTTGCTCACCTGGATTCTTGAGAATGGCTATGTGAACGTCATTGCAGGTATCTTCTGTGGCGTACTCGCGGCCAACGACTTGGCGCTGTTGATCTTCATGTTCTTCGGCAAGAAGATTCGCATTGCCACGAGCAAGACGTGGTTGGCGAAGATGCACAAGCGAACACACGTCAGTGGCGAGTCGCATTAAAATGCCCGAGCATGGGAGATGGAGTGGTTGTCAGAGGGTCCTGACCTTTGGTCTTCACTGGTCTGGGCTGCGAGGACATTGTGATTGAATATCTTGCTCGGTATACCTGCATTAACTGTCAGGGGCTCTCTCATTGCAGTGCATGGCCATGTCACTGCCTGTGAGAGTGAAGCAAGCGTGGACTGAAAACATGGTGAAGTGACTGCTATTGTGTTTGTCGCAACTTCATTTGCCAGTTTGTTGATACCTTTACCATTTTCAACAAAGCTTCCACAAACCAAAGCTTTCCATTTGATCTCAATCTGTCCCGCACGCGCCGTGCTCACAGGATTGTCCAACAACAACGTGCTTGAAATCGTTCAAGATGGCTACCGCGTCCTCCATCTTCGTTCTTCTCCTCATCTGCTTGGTCTCGGTCCTTGATCTCCTCCCCGTGGTGTCGGCTTCAGCCAACGTGAATACTTCAGCCAACGTGGATATGTGTGACTGGACCGTTGCTGCGCCTCTGCTCTATCATGAATACCACACCGATGATTGTCCAGCACGCTACCATCTTTTGTCAAATGGACAGTGTGAGATGGAGTGGCAGGGTCTGTTATTTGACCTCTTAGCCTGTGCGGGCTTCTGCCAAATGCGGACAACCTTCTACTACGGTCAAGAGCAACCATATGTGCGTGTACCAATGTGTCGTGGTGGTCAGTTTCTTCCTGTCTATGAACATGCCGGGTTTTGACGTTAGCGACAGAAATGACATGTACCATCGCCGAATCCATCCACCAAAATTACGCCTGGAAGGCCAAGGTCAACGGCAACTTCAAGTACAGTGCATTGACCGTGGGGTGAGTGGGATGTTGAGCGCCAATAATGCTCGTTGTTGACAAGATGTGAACAGAATCACCGGCGGATACAGTGAGAAGTCCGGCATCAGCCAATCTTACAAGTTCAGCAAGCATCTTGAGAAAGACGAGTGCGGTTACTTCACCTTCATTCCTATCGTACGCTCAGTATGTGGCACCTACACTGAAGGACTCCTGCAAGGTGCTATTTGCGAGTCTCAGTTCACCATTGGCAACGCTTGCATCGATGAGCTTGTCGGTTTCGACACCAACGACAACATTAAAGATTGGCGCACAGTCCATGGTATTGTGGCGTTTGTGTATCTGGATTGCTTGACTCTGGCGCCGGCTCCGGACGACAAGCAAGATGTTGCGTGGCTACAACCGGGGGTGCGCTTGCCACGAGGCAACAATCTCCTCGCTCAGGCATATGAGAATTTGTGGAATCGATCCTCTCAAATTTCCATGGCCTCGCAGAACGGCGATCCCGCCTGCAGTGGTGACAAAGCTGCTAACGCTACAGAATGTGTCGTGGCTGCAAACGAACTTCTCCTGGCAGGATATATGGTGGTGGACGCAGATGGAAAACATGGCACAGGTTACGCCCTCACGGTAAGCACTGGGCGCTTGTCCCAATCGACGTTACTGTGGCTCCTGGTGCTGACAACCTGGTGCGCAGATCTACAACGGCTGCAGCGTCTACCTCACTTACGACGAAGACTGGAAAGGCCAGGATTGTGATGTCTCGAATCTCGAAGTTGCCGCAGCGGCCCAGGCGATCATGGATACCTGCGCGAAGAACGATATGGTTGGAGGTCAGCATGTGGTACGGGCAGCAGGTCACTGTGCTTGCACCGTGTCATTCCGGAAACACTGATCCCTTCATTGCACGGCTTCATGAGGTAGATGAGATGAGACCTTGAAACAGAGGTTCGGTCAGTGATACACTGCATTTCCGGCCAGCGTTTGACAGGGGAGATCTTCACTTCCTGTCGAAATTGTGATTTTCAAGAATGATACCGGCAAATAAGCCACAGCTTCGGTACTCCTCACAGTGAGGGATACCCGGATGGTCACCTCGTCGTCATTGAGAGGACCATGCTGCTAGCACATAGCAGACAATGAAGATCACTCCATCATCAATCTTCATCATTGGCGTTCCTGTAAAATACTCATCTGATGTTGGGTGCCGGAAAAGCCCTAGCCTCGTTCGTTGGTGACAGGGATAATCTTCACCCAGAGTGTTGTCACTCATGGCAATCCACGGTTGAGGGGTGCTTGGGTGCCGTACCCGGGCGTCTACGATATGTCGCGATTCTCGGCCGTTCTTCTTTGGCCGACATCTCCCGCTTTATGGAGGCTCCTTTGGCCTCTCTGGGGAACTGCAACCAGTCGTACAACTGCATTTTGCCATAACGGTACCGGGGATCCAAGATCGGTAAGCCCTGGTAAAGATCTAGGCGCACAACCAGTAAGCAATGAGCATGGGCTGCTGGACCCTGCGTTGGTCCATGCCTTGCCTTTGAGATTGCCACCTCGGCTCCTCGTAGGCTCTAGGATCTCGAGGATAAAATCCATGTCATAATTTCAGAAAAGAGCCGAAGGCGATGAGGTATATCGTGAGTTCACGCAAGGGATAGGGCATGAGCTAGTCTCTGATACACCAAAAGATATTGTGTTGCTGGAGATGTGTGTAGGAGGTACGAGTAACAGAGGCAGCACAAGATCACGTGGGAATTGTGTGAACAGATCACGTGACTGACACCCCCGGCATCTCCAGTTTCTCCGGCATCCGGGCGAATCATGAACCAGAAATCCAGTTACTCTCCATCTTTTCGACTCCCCAGAATTTCCATTGGCAATTTTCTCATTCGTCCCTCCTCCTCCTCCTCCTCGTGCTCCTCCTCTTCCTCGCCTTTCTCCTCCACTCTACTCCGTACTAGTTACTGTGTCCCCTCGAACTTCGGACTCTTCCCACTTCCCACATCCGATTCCTCAATTTGTCTATGCACCTCGTGGCACCTCTACTGCTATCCTCGAACCTGTTCATCCGTCGGTTCGTTCGGTACCAGCTTGTTGCTGTCGTTTATTTGACGACTCTCCGCGGCTAAACAGACACTTCATCCTGTTAGCCCCATACTCCGGAGAGAACGTCCAGAACCTCTGACCCTGGTCCTTCTTCTCAGTCTTATCCTCGTCCTCTTGTCTCCGCAGAACGCACTTCCACCTCTCCCACATTCCTGACTTTGACGTCTTTGCGGGACATTTCCTATCACCACCTACCACACTACAAGCATGGTCTTGCGCCAGTGTACTGTATGTGGCCGCCGCTTCACCAAAACAGAACACTTCAAACGCCATGAACGGTCGCGTAAGTGCCCTTTCACCCCGCACTAATCCGATGCCATCATACTCATTAAGCATTCTCCAGATACTCGAGAACGTCCTTATCCATGCACGATATGTGACAAGGCTTTCTCGCGCAGGTTAGCGGCCTTATCCCTGCGTCGATTAATTCTAAGAATTCTACAGTGATGTCTTGTTTCGGCATATGAAGTGTCATGCTCAGAAAAATGACAAGACGGCCACCACCAAATCCACGTCGAGTCGCAGAAATACCATCTCTGAAGGCGTGGCCCCCCAGCCTACTCAGAATGAATTTAACATTAACTCCCCGTCGGCCCTGGCCAACGGGTCTCATACTGGCATTCCTCTGATGCAAATTCTCTCACCACCTCATTATCTTCCACCTCCGGGCAACGATTCTACTCAATCTGCCAGACATTCCTTGGATCTTTCTACCCCATTCCTCGATTCGAACACCCAACCAAACAACCTCAATCTGCACTTGTCCGGCGCGAATTGGACCATTTCATCTCCCGTGAACACCATGAACATGCCATCCCAGCCTGCCCTACCTCAAAAGCAATCACCTTCACAGAACAGTGGTAACGCTTCAATTTTCGAGACATCAGTCACTACTCCTCCCAATCCCGCTCAGACTCCGAGGTCAGAGATGGCGCCCAATCAATTCGCCGATAGTCATGTCGAATGGCTGCCTCCAACGGATCCAAGCCAAAACAATTTTCACGACCCTTTCCAGATGTGGTTATTCCCGTCGCTTGGCGACCTAGATCAGTCGCCAGATTTCCTCCAGACGTATGGTCTCGTCGACCCTTCCCAACAGTTTACAGATCCCAAGGACTTGACCAACGGTAGAGCGTACGACAGCGTAGACCGCCGAAAGACCATCGATAAAGTGCCCAGGGAAAGGTTCTCGAGAGTGGAGCGCTGTTGGGGTCCTCGTCCTGGTCGTGTGCACCGAATCATGCCCGTTCTATGGAAAGAAGTGGCCGCATTGCACCTAGACAACCTGTTTTCCGAATCACCAACCGCCGCCGATGATTTCAGAACGACGTCCAATTGGGGTCTCGACGTCGATTGCAGAGTTCGTCTACGAGATGCATTCCGCACACCTGCACCGTCGGTCTACCATTCACCCAAACTACAACCTGTTGTGGATCCGGCCCTTCAACAAGGCAACGAAGAATTTCCTCCTGCCGAGATTCTCGATATCGCATTAGGTCTCTTCTTCCGACGCTTCCATCCCACTGTACCATTTATTCATATGGCAACGTTCTCCGTCCGAACCACACCTTCACCTATGCTCTTCGCTATGTGCCTGATTGGCTTGAGTATACTGGGGACCACCGGAGCCACCAAATTTGTGGCCAAGATGTTTCCAAGTTTCCTGCAACGCGTCTGTAATGATTTATCTGCCTGTGCGGCCACCTCCGCTCCACCGACTCAACAGCTTGTTGTTTTCGCAACGGCATTACTTACCCTTAATCTTTCAGTCGTCACTGGCGACAGAGATTCTTTCAACCAGAGTCAGATGCTGTATGTCAGCCTGATTTCGATGGTCCAACAGAATGGGTTATTTGCCGCAGGTGACGGCCAATCTCTGGATGTCTTGCTCTCCGAGATGTCCGAATCCGATGACCGTTGGAAGGCTTGGAGTCGAATCGAGTCGGCGAAACGTCTGATTCTTGGACTGTTGCTCGTCGACTCGTGGTATTCCAACCTGCTCTCGAAGGCTCCCATTGTCAGATCGGAATCTGTCTGCGTCGTTGCGCCATGCGACGAGGCCCTTTTCCAGGCGAAGTCCGCAACTCAATGGCAGTCGCTCCTTCGCAGTGGTAAGAGCCAGAGCGCTCCCCGGTTCAAACTCGAAGACTTGCACAAGCACGATATGCAGCCGATGGGCCAGCTCGGCTATTTGGGCAGATCTAGCCTGTTGGCGTTGCTGCAGATCCAGATCCTCGAGGCGTACCAAAGGCTGATGCCTTCAGATCAATTGACGATAGGGTCATTCATTCCCTGGCATGTATACTCGGGCGACACTCGGGCGAGCACTTTGGTACCTGCGTTGCTGGCAGCAACACATACTGCCGGTCCGCTATCAAATGCCGACGACACGAATTGTACGGTGCTATGGCACAGCCTCTGCGTCATGCTTTTGTCCGATTTCCGCATGTTCGAACTGGCAGCCGGCAGGCACGGAGCAGCCCCTGCAACAGGCGCTCTGGAGAGTATTGGCCAGTGGTCACAGACGCAAGCCGCCCGCCGAGCGTGTGTCCATGCCGCGCAGAATTTCAAGTTGATGTCTGAACGCCGCGTCTCGGACAATGTCACCATTCACTCCGTCACCGCGCTCTTCGCATCGGCGCTTGTTCTGGGCTTGTACTTGTTCATGGTCCAGCCCGGCTCGTCGAGGCAAGGGACAGCCCCTGTCGAACTTATCGAGTCAGAACCCGATTGGACGGAATTGCACGATATGGGTTTCAGAGACGCATCACTCGATCAACAAGCCGAACGGAACCTCACGACGAATCGCGAGGACGAGCACTTTTCCTTGATTTATCAGTTCATCAAGCAGGGCGGCACGGTGAGCTTGAATGGTGTGGCGCATCAAGGCGGGTACGAGAGCGCGAGAAGGGTGTTGTTGGATTTTGCGAATCTGATGGACGGCATATCTGGCCGGAGGCTCAGGACGTTCACGCAAGTCTTGCATATCATGAGCGATGATTTGATGAATGTGGATCCTGGGCTGTAGATACTCCTGGAACTGATAACAAGCTGAAATGGAAGCATCGAAGAGTGTCCATACGTGAAGTGATCGGCCTTCGACGGTCAGCCCGTCTTGTTCCTGTCGCCCTTGTCAATACCTGGGACTCTGCCTCTTGGCCGCTGGCCTCTTCCTGGCTCCGCTCATCTCAAGGTCGAGATCTACACCTCCTTGATCACCCAAGTCTTTATCTGCTTTCACGATTGTGCCAAGCGTGAAGTCAATGACGCGACACCACCGATATAGCGTCCGGGTAGTCGAACGGCTTTGCCGCTGTATCGGTGTACAGGTCTGTGAAAATTCAATATCTCGGGACCTGTGATTGCTGGTCGATAAGCTCTTGTCACGCTTGCACAGGCATATGACTCTTGAGCGCACTCGTTCCTGCAACACCCTTCATAGTCCCCCGTATTACGGAGCAATTAATTCATTTACGTACTATTGAAATGGTGATAGGTCTAACGTACTTTTCTCACTAAGCTTCCTCGTCCTTGATGTGGATGATTTCAGCACGATCGAAGTCGCTCAACTTTGTACTCGCGAATTTCCTGGCCGGAAGCTTGCGTTCAAAAAGAAGATCTAGTTCCTCGAAGGTTCGACCTTTACTCTCTGGAAGGTAGAAGAAGGCCCAGATAACAGTGAGAGCACCCAGACCAGCAAATAGAAAGCCTGTCTTGGCCCCCCAGTTGGCTTCTGTATTGCTCATGGCATACGGGAGGCCAGCCGTGATGGCAATTGAGAAGACGTGCGGCACGAAACAAGCCACGCCCAAAGTCTTCCCCCGAATCTTGGTGCTTGGAAGCTCGGCAATAATCACATAGACTATGGGGCCCAGGCCGATGTTGTAGACAAAGTTGAACAACAGCAGAATGACCGACTTGGCGTACATTGCACCGGAATTGGAAGCAGGAGCAATACCAAGGAAGCCGATCAGATACATAAACAACGTTGCCAGAATGGCGGTGCAGATGTAACCGGTCCTTCGGCCCCAGTAAGTCATGACAGGCCACGACAGGATATTCCCAACGACACCCAAACCAAACAGTCCAAGCGAGAGGTCAAAAGCCTGATTGGTGGTGACACCGGCCAATTCGAAAAAGTACGTGCAGTAGCCTGATGCGATATTGATGCCGCAGAAAAATTGACCACTGTAGGCGATCGCACAGGTGGCGGTCCTTCGAAGATTCGTGCCCCGGAAGCAATCCAAGTAGGTGGCATGGCGAGACAGCTCTTCCTCCAACATGATGGTTTCTCGCATATGAGCAAGGGTATCGTCGGTGGCATCGACGTAGCCAATCCTCTTCAGGGACTTTACGGCCTCTTCGTATTGGCCCTTCTTGACGAGGAACCATGGAGTTTCTGGGGCGAAGAAGGCGCCGACAATGAAGATCAGAGGGAAGGCATATTCGGTGATGAAGGGCACTTTGTACGCCCATTTGTCCATTCGACTCTCGGTTCCACGCAGGATACCCACCCCAACGAGAGATCCAAGGACTTGGCAAAGGTTGTTGCAGGACAACCCAATGCCTCGAAGGCAGACTGGAAGGATCTCGGAGATATAGGCCGGACCAAGCACTGGGAAGCTCCCTGTCAACAGGCCGGTGAGGAGATCACCGACAAAGATGACCGCGGCGCTCTCACCCAGCACTTCGATCAGCAAAGTGCCCAGTGACAGCAAGGTGGCACCCAACAGCGTCTTGCGGGGCCCGAAGCGGTCGACGCACCAGCCACCCCAGACAGACGCCAACATGAAGCCGATGATGGGTGCGTAGGTGAAGGCCGACGTCCAGGATGCTTGGAGGACATACGTGCCTGTCCCGGCAGGATGTTCGTAGCCGAATTTCTTGCGGAACTCGGGAATCCCGACCAGGGTGCCGACGATGGTGGGATCGTAGCCGATGATGAGATTGGGAAGACAGAAAAAGGCCGCCCAGAAAACACCGCCTTTGTGCTGGAACACGGCTTGACGGACAGTGAGATCATGCTCTCGCCGTGCGGCTTTCTTGGAACCCTCGACGAGGTCGTACTTGGTATCCTGACTTGTCAAAGCCTCTCTTTTCTCCTCGGTGGTGTTGATCACCGTGTCTGGGCTCTGAGATAGATCCATCTTGAATGCAGAGACCCCCTAGGTCACGTTCGAGGAGGTGTCTTGCGAGTGCTTGCAAGTACTAAAGACTGAGTATTGGTAAGACCGGTCTTCCAACGGTCCAGGTGGAAGCAGGACAAAGTCGTTGATTCGCAGGTATTTGCAGGTCGGTGGCTATCTTACTTCATAACATTCGACTGGCCGAGGTGAAAAGGAGAGTGGGATGGCACAGCAACTTGGTCACCTCTATATATTTCCGTCAAACCCTTGAATCCTTCCTATCTAGGAAATTCGGGTTGGCGGACGAGATTGTTGGTCTTGCTATATTGTCGCATCGCATGATCCTAGTCAGCTTCATGCTATCAGGCCGCAAGAGAAATGTCGTTATCGTCTCAAGCTAGACTTACTAGACTTGGGTTTCCCCCAGACCGCGTCTTCCATGATAAGCAACCGGCCTGGGTCGCCGGCAGTAGGTTAGACTGAATGATCGACTGAGCTAGCTTGCCTCTGATCCCGAGGTGCGGAAAGATTGACAGACACCCAACAGACTTCTTTCGAGGTCGTTCAATGGAGGTGCCAGCTGATTCGTTCAGTAAGGACTGCCGGAGTGCGGATCTGTGGCCAGCGCAATACTGCCTCTCAGTGTCTGGTGCTCCTTATCATAATCCTGGGAGGTTGCGGATAAAGCCGAACAACAGCTAAATGAGCAACTAACGTTAGTTGTACATGGCTGGTACCATTCATTATTGAAGGCGGGAGCTATACCGAGAATGTCAGTCACGTATACCAACATGGTTGCTAGGGTCCTTGGTTTACGTGGTACCATGCTTTAGAGCATGCACTACCACAATGTGGAATTCTGTTAAGACTTGCCAACATCTTGAAACCCTGCACCCCTTCTCTGCTGACTATTAACTATCCACATGACTACATGTCGAGAGCGTATGATCGTCACGTCCATGCGTTGTTTCATGTACGGTCATAACGTCGCGCCTTTCCACGTACGGTAGTTGCCGCATTAGGAATCTGATAATACCTCACAGAGACAGGGGGGACTGTCCCTTTGGTCCCAGGAGGGAATGGGAAATACAGATTTTTAAAGAAGAAAGAAAGACAGCGATGCTGAATAGTAGTACTCGATATATATTGGCTCCTCAATCCGTCCACGAAGTAGTAGCCAGGAGACGATCGACAAACAAAGTTATCTGAGACCGCTGCAGTTACACGACACATAGCACAAAGAAAACAAAAGAGGGTCCAACATGGCTTCCATGGATGATGTCTTCGCGCGATACGAGAAGCGACTGGCCGTCCTCGAAAAGAGTAACAATCCATTCACAAAGGGAATTGCCTGGGTCGAGGGAGAGCTCGTCCCTCTCGCGGAGGCTCGTATCCCCTTGAAAGACCAAGGCTTTATGCATAGCGACCTGACCTACGACGTCCCCTCCGTGTGGGATGGCCGATTTTTCCGGCTCGACGACCACATGACTCGCCTGGAAGTAAGCTGCGCAAAGATGCGAATGAAGCTGCCACTACCTCGAGAAGAAGTGAAAGATATCCTGGTGGATATGGTGGCCAAGTCTGGAATTAAGGACGCATTCGTCGAGCTGATCATCACGCGCGGCCTAAAAGGCGTCCGAGGCCACACGCCCGGCGAAGAGTTCAAAAACAACTTGTATATGTTCATCGAGCCTTATGTTTGGGTCATGGACCCTGACGTCCAGCGTACTGGAGGTAGCGCGGTTGTCGCGCGGACCGTGCGACGGATCCCACCAGGAGCGGTCGATCCCACCGTCAAGAACTTGCAATGGGGCGACCTCACCCGAGGTCTATTTGAGGCGGCTGATCGTGGCGCTACCTATCCATTTCTCACCGATGGAGACGCCAATCTGACCGAGGGCTCAGGGTTCAATGTCTTGCTGGTTAAGGACGGGATCATATATACTCCCGATCGTGGCGTCTTGCATGGCGTAACGCGAAAGAGTGTGTTTGACGTGGCAAGGGCTTGGGGAATTGAGGTGCGCACCGAAGTGGTGCCCGTGGAGATGGTCTATCATTGTGACGAGATTTTCATGGCGACGACGGCTGGAGGTATCATGCCCATCACGGTGCTTGACGGACGACCTGTGCAGGGAGGCAAACTGGGACCAATCACCAAGAAAATCTGGGATGGATACTGGGCACTGCACTACGATCCGAAGTACAGCTTCGAGATCTCATACGCTGTAGTGAACGGGACCTTGAGCAACGGAACAGGGAAGGCGGCGCAGGGTATCCTCCAAAATGGAGCAGCAACCCTCGGCTAAGGGAAGGGTGCGAATGGCAAGTATTGATGCGGTCCTGACTGGCCAAACCATTTTGGAAATGGCCGCGAAACTGTGCATACAGGAGGTGTCGGAAAACTTAGCTTTGAGCAAATGGCATTCTTGGAAGAATTTTGTAGTCAGGATGCCACGCATCTGTTCATATGCGCGGACCAGGTCACGGAAGTGACAATGGCAACGGTTCCAGGGTGGGGTGAGGCCACTTGATTCCTCTTCCAAGACAAGATTCGTATTAGCCGAAGAGGAATTGCACCGTCACATCTCCAACTCTTCCAGCGTGAGTCTTTGAATCCAGGAATGACCCCCACCATTCAGGCCTTGCGTCCGTGGAAGTTATATGTTCCCAGTACTCCTCCAGAAGGCTGGAGACACTGTAAAACATGCCGTAACGGCTTCTTGCGCCCCACCAGAGACAGTAAGCGCGAACGGTATCCTGTACGTCTTTATCTCGTGCTTCCGCGCCGGCCAGGAAGATCGGCAGCAGAAGCTGCTTTTGCACCTGCGACGTCTTACGGCAGTTGCGCGAGTGCTCGATAATCTTACAAGTAAGTGGTAAGATCGCCCGTGGCCGCCGATGGGATTGGCGGTTCCACCGGAACACGCGTTGGATGTAGAGCAGCAACGCGTACCTCCAAGCTTCCATGCAGTGGTAGTCATCCCGTTGCCGAGAATACTCTCCCTCACTTTCATCTTCATCAGAAGTGGCAGAGCTTTGGCCATCCACATCCTCATCCAGCAGGTTGATGATAGTGCCATGAGTATGGCCGGGACCTACCTCGACCTCGAGGCTGTTCTTCCAATTCAGAAGCTGCCGTTCAATATCCAAGACGGCGGCCATGTCAAAGGTCAAAAACTCCATCGAATCAGCCACTTCTTTCTGTCGAGCCATCTTGGCAAGCCGGACAAGAATGACGACGAGCTCGGTAGGACAACCGGTCAGTCCATAGAATGACCAGCCATCATTTTGCTCATTCTCCAAGAGGTATCCAAAGTAGGACGAGTGGAACCTTGCGCCTTGTCGCGAAATCATAGCCAATGTGGCATCCCACCTGCTTGTTGATGAGTAGATGACAAACTTTGATCGACAATACTCACCAGACGAGCATGCTGGCTTGTGAGCGGAGCCGAGGACTGTTGAGCGCCGAAGGGCCGCCCCATGCCTCGAAAACGGTTACAGCTTTGCGAATATGGTCTGACCAATTGCCCAACGCCGATATTGTACACTAACAGAATCCGTGTTAGATCCTTACCCTTCAATGCTAAATTCTGAAACTCACATCCAGTGTGATTAGTATCAGTATGGCCTCCAGTAGACAGCTGCTTTTGTTGCTCGGTTCCGAACTTTGTAATTCTCGACTGAGCATGTCAGACACTTGAGTACGCTTCTCGAGCGCTTCAGTGGGCTGTATGTTGCCAGTGTTGACCTGATGTTGAGAGCAGAGCGCAAGGACGGACTGTAGGAGAAGCTGGGAGTCTTCGGGGGCAAATCCCCTGATCCGAAAAGGATTCAGAGGCATATCCGACGTCAAAGGAAGGACGCATAGATCTGTGTCATCTATGGGCCACATCTCAGTCAGTCTGGCGATGATACCCCAGATCCACATGATCGATGGACGGAAACAGATTGCTTACAGTATTTTAATGCCATCTCGTGCTGCTGGCGCCAGCCGAACGAGGGTGCCAACGGAAACGTGCTAAAAGCACTGTCGAGCATTGATTGTGTGTCTTCCCACTCCATGTTTGACCACTCGAAGGAGAGGGCGATATCCGAGCCCAATAATAAGTTACCAGGTGTCAAAACTTCTGGGTCTGGATGATTCGCTGCCGCTGCCGTGGAATGTAGCACCCTGGGGAGAGCGTTCTCATAGTCAGTGATTTCGTCGTTCTCTGTTTCGCGGCCTGTCCAAGGTGGGTGGGCATGGACAATGGAGCTTGTTATCGGCAGGCTTGGTGTTGGGTCGTGATCGGTGTCGCTTTCTGGATATGTCTCCGACACCAAATTGTCCAGCAAGGAATCAACATACGCCGTGTCTGTCAAGGAAGCTTCGCTTTCGATGACCGAATGCGTCACTTCTGGAGATACGGAGTGCTGTTCAACGTGGTCTTCAGTTTGAGGGAAGATCAACGGACATGATTTCTTCGATTTCTGGCTGCCACGTTGAACAAGGTGAAAAGTGCCTGCACGTTCTGTGGTTGAGTCGGACCTTCGATTACGCCATTGCTGGTGGCGTCTTGATGATTCCCTGCCTGAATATGCTCTGCTTTCATGCCACGAAAGAGGGGTGACATAGCCACCGCATTTGACCCCTCGCTCCAGGCACGTTGAGCAGTATGGTCGTTGTCTTTCGCATTTGCGATTCCCTGATAGGCAGGTGTGGCAGTCTGTCGAAGCGAAAGCTGTGAAACGTGGTCTTGTTGTGCCTGCCTCTTTCATCGTGTCGGCGATCAGTCAGACAGACGAATGCCGTAACAACGGACCTTCTGTAAGTCTGTGGCAAGGGAGTTGTCAAGGTTGGAATCGGAATCCCACGCGGTTTAGGCATGGTTATTGATCAAGAAGTCCACTGGTGGTGGGGTAGAAATAGGAGATCGCCGACGCATGGTCATAAGTGACAGTCTGCACGTCCCAGCACTTATCAGAGGCCCCTGGGCCCGGGTCTCGGAAGGCCAGTATCGACTTCTATCAGATCACATTGGCCCCGTCATCCTTTCCTTGCAGTGCCGATAAGTAGTAATACGGGTTCGACATTCAGAGGCTTCTTACTCAGATCCACCAAAGGGAACAACACGACAGCCCTCGGGTCACGGCTCCTACGCGTAAATCATAGACTCGCTCTTCCTATCACCTAGGTGCCTATAGCTCCCGCCTGATCAATCCTGTCAACAGCGCAGGAGGGCCCATGATGATCCACGCCAGAGGGCGTCAGAACTACTGACTAGACTTCATCTTCATTGGACTTGCCTTTAGTGTAGATGGCCTATCTCTGTCCCCGTCCCAGGAAGGTAATTACCAACTCTGGCCCTTGGCCGCATGGTCTGTCGCGTGTCATTCCTGGGTTCTCGTACCGCCTCAGACTTTGTAGATCTTTTGCGTAGCAGGATCCGTCCTCTATATATTCAATACTCCCCGCGGGGGAGGGAGCGTTCCCTCGGCATACTAGCCAAACTGCCACGCCATGGGTCTTGAGAACGCAAGAGCGTCACTCGACGCAGCGGCGCACGGAGTGTCGCTGACAGCAAAAGCTGATCAAGCTGCCGAGAAGTTGCACATGCCTGAAGCTGAGGTCACTCAGCATGTTTCTGGGACGGTCGAGGTATGAAACCACCTTCGCGGCTCTGCAAAATGCTTCAAATCCGTGGCTGACCGCTCCGTAAGACGGCCCAGGCCCGGCCACGGAGAGTCCTCGGCCTCAGCATCTTCCCCTACAGCCATCCCAGGATTCAGGCATGCATGCTGGGCCTTGTCCTATTTATGACAGTGGGAATGTACAACGTCTTAACATTCCTGGGAGGCGCAGGGCAGCAGACGGCCTATCTTTCCGATATCTCGAACATCGCCTTGTACACGGTCTTCAGCTTTTTTTGCCTGATCGCGCCGGCATGTCTCAACTTCTTCGGGTTACGCCCGACCCTGTGTTTCGGTGGTCTCGGTTATGCCGCATATGCCGCCAGCCTGTGGTGTTACAACTATACCGGGAACGTGCCCTTCGTCGTCTTTGGCGGTTGCTGGTGTGGTCTGTCTGCGGCTTTTCTGTGGACCGCTGAAGGAGCGGGTCTCACCTCTTTCGCATCAGAAGACAAAAAAGGACTGTACGTGTCCATCGTCTGGTCTATCTACCAGTTTGGCCTTGTTATAGGCGCAGCTATTCCGGTTGCCCAAAATTGGAACGCTGGCGATGGCAACGACAGCCGAGTGAACAACGGCACCTACATTGGTCTCATGGTTCTGATGCTTACCGGTGCATGCCTGGGAGCAGCATTGTACCCATGGCACAAGATTGTCCGGGAGGACGGATCCCGGGTCACGTTGGAGCGCCAAAAGACATTCGTTGAAGAGGTACATGCTTCCATCCAGGTCATCTCAAGGAATCGATGGATAGTTTTCTTCTTTCCAATGTGTTGGGCCGTCAACTTTTTCGGTGTGTATCAAAACAACGACTTCAACGGCGTGGTGTTCACCGTCCGAGGTCGCGCTCTCAATACCTTTCTATCCGGCATTGTCCAGGTCCTCGCACCCTGGGTCACGTACCTATTTACAGATAGGTTACCCATGACACGCCGCAAACGAGCCTTTTGGTCCCTTGTCTATGTCTTTCTGATCATCAACGCTATCTGGATTGGCGGCTACTGGGGCATGAAAAAGACAAGAGCCGGCCTTGACGAGACGCAGCGATTGGATGTGTTTGACCATAACTATGGATGGTGGTGTCTCCTCTTCACGATGTATGGCTTCACAGACGCAACCTATAACTGCTATGCGTATTGGTTTATTGGAGCACTAAGTAACGATCCTGCCGAGGTAAGTCAACGAATTTCTACTCCTACGGCAACTAGCTAACAACTTGGGGTAGCTCTCTGTGTATGCTGCACTTTATCGCCTTCTCAATGCGCTGTGTATGGTGGTGGGATACTCTTTGGACTACACCGGATATTCCAAAGAATTCATGTTTGGATGTTCGTGGGCGGTAAGTCCTCTCAGTCTCCAGTCGCAACCCTTCCTTTGGGCGGCTGGCAAATCTTATCTCGTTGTTTTGATGCTTTTTGATCATTCTCACCTGCCCTCTGGAGATATTTGCTGTATCAGCGGTGTTCGGTTTGCTAATCAAAAGCCTGCAGTTCCTTGCTTTCGGCATAATAAGCGTCCTTCCTATCATCAAATATTGGTTGAAAGACACGAACATGATCGAAATTTCGGGAGATATTGTTGCCACCGAAGTATACGACGAAGTTAAGGTCCAACATTAGAGGAACGGTTGTGGTTTGAATCCATGCTCGGCTTAAGTATGATGGACAGGAAGCAGATATGGGCCTCAGCAAGGGAACGGGGGGAAGTTTCCATTAGAAGCGCAGCGCAGCGGCATTACAAGTTGAAACTACAAGCAGTGCAGGACTTGCTCTCTTGTATAAATGAGCTTACTCGGCTCCTTACCGTTCTGCGAGGATTTCAGTACTTCCACAATATAAGGAGCACCTGTAGGACGCCCTGAGATGCTTCTGAAAGGTAACCTAGATGGCAATTGCCGAGACAACAAGTGAATTTCAGCTTCAATGGTAGTAATGTTGCGAGCTACAACGAACGTTTCTGCCGCCTACATCCTCTCACATTCTATCATCAAAGCTCGGCAGGAGTCACGTCGGATAGATTATCCCCCATAAGGCGAGTCGTACTTCCCACCTAGAATCGACGAGAGACTTTCCTTTGCCGGACCATGCGAATGCGAACTACTGTAGGCTGTCATTCGTCCCGTCCATCCGGAGCCTTGTAACACGAAAAGGGTAACTGCCTATAAGGGTTTAAAGCCTTGCTTCTCTCTTAGAGACAGAGAGTTATTGGTGGCTTGACTCGCTAGCTATGACTAGCCTAGACTTTTGCTCATGGCGAAGTACCCCGACCACATTCACCAATTGGATGGAGACCGTTCTTCCTGGTGTTCTACAATATAGCTTTCCACCTGTGGAGGTATTCGGACCTAGATGCTTGAGTTCTGGCATTATTTCTTGCATTATTTCTTCGCATGATCGACCTTGCGATGACGCTCACTGAACTTGGAAAAGAATGCTACCGGCCCGAGATTATTGGCTACGCGGAGCCTTGGATAGTGTCCCCTGGGGACTCGGTCGCAATCAAGGTAAGTACCATTGCGCAACTCAATGTTCTCGTGACAGATAGGCATCCTGAGATGGGCCTGGGCTTTGATGTTAAGAAGCATTCGAGACGCCCGTTTGGTTTTCTCGTCCTGTTTTGTCAGATTGAACATTAGGGTCGACACGGATATGCTAAGAGCTCTGTAGATATCTTGTACAGAAGCGGAATATACATATCGGACGGTCCGATTGATCCAGGGGATCGACCTCAACCATGCCCCAGAGAGACGCGAAGAAGAAGTGTCGCAAGTTCCTCGAGGCCGCCAGAAGGGCAGGATCCAAATCGCTCAGCCTGTGTCGTATGGGTATGTCAGCGACTGGAGGCCGCCAGGCGCAGCAGAAGGACTTCAAATTTCGTTCTATATGCAACCGTGGCTCGTGGATTGCTCACATCCACAGACATTGGTCTCTTCTCTGGACGTGGCGGAGCACACTGGGTTTTCCATCGTACTGAACAGCCAGGGTTCAATTGACGTCTGGATAGGAACCGAACACAATGTTGAAGTTGCTGCTACTGGAATCAGACTTCGGAAGAGGACTTGGGCAAAATTGAAGCTTGTGATTTGCGGTCGATTGCTCAAGGTGTCCTTGACTCCCAAATCATTCAAAGTAGAACCAGTGCCTACTTCTGCGGTTTATGAAACGCAGCTACACGGTGAAGCCCTGACCTTTCAACCTGGGCCACTCTTCGTTGCAGCGAGCCCAAATTACGCAGACGATCATCCTCAAGGTTGTTCAAGGCAGCGTGCGACAAACTTTTTCAACGGTCGTATTGCCGATTTGGCGTTGAAAACGTGCGAAGAGAACCCCTCTGTTCTTGCCAAATATGACTTTGCGCTTCAGATGTCCAGTGACACCATTGTCGATGTCTCGGGGCACGGCCACAACGGTGTCCTAATCAATGCGCCCACCCGGGCTGTTAAGAGTCACGACTGGGACGGGTCAGAATGTGACTGGACAAAGGCGAAGTCTGGGTACGGCGCCATCCATTTCCACGACGACGACCTAGACGACGCTGGCTGGGACACTGATTTCACTATTACGATTCCTCCAGGTGCCCGCTCTGGTGCTTACGCGGTTGGGGTGGAAGCCGCCAACGGTCGAGACAAGGACTCGATCACCTTCTTTGTGCGGCCCACCTCGTGGGCTTCCGATATCTCTAACAAGGTCTGTCTTGTTTTCTCTACATTCACCTATCTTGCCTATGCCAACGAACGCCTGTACGACACTTCGCGTCAGAACACTGCCGACCTCGGACCGGGATTCGATATAGACAAGACCCTCAAAAGCAACGAGTTCTATAAGATGCAACGCCGCATGGATCTGGGTCTGTCCACCTATGACCGTCACAATGACGGCTCCGGAGTCGTCTTCTCTTCGTCCAAACGCCCGATTCTTAATGTCCGCCCGGGCTATATCATGTGGGCCTTTTCACGCCCGCGCGAGTTCTCCGCTGATCTGATGATGCTCGGGTATCTGGAACGCGAAGGCATACCCTACGAAATCCTGACCGACCATGACCTACATCTACGAGGCGCCGACGCCCTCCACGGTTTCAATACCGTCATCACAGGCTGCCATCCTGAATATCCCAGTCCCCAGTCTTTTGCCGCTTATGGCGCCTTCGCCAGAGGAGGCGGTAATCTCATGTACTTGGGCGGCAATGGCTTTTACTGGGTTAGTGCTCTCGACGCTGCTCGTCCCCATCGTTTAGAGATGCGACGGGGAGATGTGGGGGTCCGTCCCTACACTCTTCCGGGCGGAGAACAGGTCAACAGTCTCGACGGACAGCAGAGTGGTCTCTGGCGTTCCCGGGGCATGAGTTGTAATACGCTCTTCGGCGTCGGCTTCTGCGCCCAAGGGACTGGTCCTGGAGTGCCTTACAAGCGGACCGAGGAGTCTCGAAGTCCGGAGTTCTCCTGGATGTTCACGGGCGTAGATCATGACTTGATCGGAGAGCATGGGTTTGGCGGCGGTGCTTCGGGCGACGAGATTGATCGGTATGATATGGAGAACGGGAGTCCTGAGAACGCCGTGGTTTTGGCCACGAGCACCGGTCACAGTGATGACTTCGGCATTGCCACCGAAGATCTCAACTATCCCGCCCTCAACACCCTCGGGACGCAGACAAAGCTCATCCGCAGCGATATGGTATACTATGTTGGTGCTGGGGGTGGTGCAGTATTCAGTGTGGGGAGTATCAACTGGTACTGCTCGTTAGGCTGGGATGGCTACGACAACGATGTCGCAAGGTTAACTGGTAACATCATCAAGGGTTTTCTATCAGGAAAGCGGTAGAGAAGCTAGCATAGGGCCAACGCTGTCAGGTCTTGCCCGATAATAAATCATGCGACCGATATCTCTGTGCCCTCCTATTGCTTGAAGACGTTTCGAACGCTTCATGCCATAACTACAGCAATTCATCGTTTTACCTCAATTCGCCGATAATTTGCTGTTGGACAGCGTCATTGATGCATCTGGCAATAAGACATCAAGTGATATCAATGAATGGGACGCCACGGGCATAATCACTCCTGCCTAAATAGGGACATGGCCGGAATTGGCGGTGGGGCCTGACGAGGCTGAGATGTCGTGAGCTTTTCCACGGTCTCCTGCCTGATAAGGAAAAAAGTCTGACCGTGCGTTCTGAGCAGCCCGGAGAGCACATGGCTACTACTTCGAATCAAGTTACATTCCAGATTCGGCCCGATCTGGTACGGACCACGCATGGGGCTTCAACATTTCTGTGACACCTGCGCCATGCCGCGGTTCTGCTGATCTTCTAAACAATTCCGCGGACCTAGCCAAGTGCATCTGTAGAAAGAGAAGCCCCAGCTACGATGGGGGTAGAAGCAGGATGAGTTCGAGAGGTGCGGCAAGTCCTGAGCCTTCTGGACGAGCTCCTACCGTGGCTTAGATGTGACAACAGTCGAGCTATGGCGTTCCATATATCCTCGACCCCTAAGAGCCATCCACAGCCGATTCGCACCGTGTCTTTGTGGATACCATAGGAGTTTTCGAAGTTACTCCGACGACGACACGTCCATCCAGACAGCCGATGCCCTCGATACTGAGATCCTCCTCCTTGCGAGAGCTCACCCCTTGGTCACTGATTCTTCCTCTAACGAAAACAGCACTCGAGGCGCGAAGCGGAGTAGCCGCTTCCCTCAAAGTCTGGACGCAACACTGCAACAATCGACCGTCAAGCTACCTCTCAAGCTCTTTAGAAGTGGCCTTCTATGTTCAAGGGTGTGTACGGCTCCTCCAAGAACGCTTCTTCTTCGGGAGTCAGCATCTTGCCCCTCGCGGTCAATGCGTCTTCAATTCGCTGCACCGTACTGAACCCAATGACCGGGCTGGTGACTCTCTTTAGGGTCCAAGCCAATGTCACCTGACTCATGGTCCAGCCCTTCTTCTCGGCCAGCTGCTCCACGCGTCGAATGATCTCTAGAGCCTCGTCGCGCGTGTTGGACGGATCTCCATCGCCGCTCGCAGATCGTTTAGTGCTGCCACGGACACTGAGAGGACGGGCAAGTTGTCCCTGCGCTAAAGGGCCCCAAGGACAGATGCCTACGCCGGTGAGGGCGCAGTACTTGTTCATTTCTCTCTCTTCTTCCCTGTAGAGGAGACTATAGTGATTCTGCATGGCGACGAATTTGGTCCACCCGTTCTTCTCGGCGCAGAATTGCATCATGGCGAATTGAAACGTCCACATACTAGATGCGCCAAGATAGCGGATTTTGCCCGAGACGACAAGATGATGTAAGGTTTCCATGGTCTCTTCGATCGGTGTGTATGGGTCGAAGCGATGGATCCAGAAGAGGTCGATGTATGTCGTGCCTAGACGTTCAAGTGCGCGATCCACGGCGCTGACAAGGGCTTTGCGTGAGAGGCCTGCTATGGGCGGGATAAGTCAGTCATGTCCCATCACGCTGGTGCCGGATAGGAGTTAAGTAACGCGACACCTTGGCTCGAGTGGAGGTCCAAACACCCAGGAGCGCTCGACGAACGGAAGAAGAGTAGCTCAGGAGTAGATTAGCAATGGGGAAGCCAGACCAAATTGATTGACATAATCTTTGCTGGTCCTCAACTGGTCCATAATTGGATATGCCGCGAACTGTTCTTCGCCAGTGACTCCCCATGCCTTGGTCATCAGCACCAACTTGTCACGCGGTATGTCGTATTCTTTGATGGCGCGTCCTATGAGTCGCTCGCTGTCGCCGTTGGAGTAGATATTTGCCGTATCCCACTTTGAACAATGATGTCAGCTGCCATGTCTGGCAAAAGAGAACGACTTCTGTGGCAATGACATGGACGAAAAAGCCGGAGTAGACTGCATCTCACAGTGTTGACCCCACGATCATATGCCGCTTTCAGCAACGGCAAGGCATCATCGGCGCCCAGGACCCAATTCGCCCATTGGGGATTCCCAATCGACATGCATCCTACGATGGGAACGGAAATGTACAGACCGGAATTCCCCAGACGTCTGTACTCCGCCTTGGAATCATCAATCGATTTGGCGACGCTGGGTGGAAGCATTGAGGAGGTCATTCTTCGTGAATTTGGCGGACAGTGCTGGATTCACGCGGATGATGTCCCTAAAACTCTGAGCTTGGAGGACTCGTGCATGCAATCATGTGAGAGAGAAGAAGGGAATCCAAATCAAAGGGTCGTCATTCTGTGGTTGAACAGAATTTATCAACGGTCCAGGCTATATCGGTCGGTGGGAGGCATTGGCGAGGATAACGGGCTTTTGGTTGCTGCCCATTTGGGTAATTGCCCAATATAAAGTAGTCTCGCCTGTTCCGAGGACAAGAATCACTTCGGAATGTGGAAACATGGAGGTCGTATGAACACGAACTGAGAGGCAGGTTGAGGTGGCGGACGCAAATGTCCATAACCATAGCTGTTCAGCCATAACAAATTGACATTATTATGCTCATGTCATCAAGCTCATCATTTGTTCCCCACGTCTATGCAAACCAGACGCTAAAGGTCGAAATCATTATTCCAGCCAAGTCTATCATATATATCACCCTCATCAGCGTCATCAATCATAGAATTCTTACCAAGGCCCTTTTCCACACAGGCAGCTCTTTTGGAAGAATCCTCCTGCTCATCGAAACCAAAATCTAGAGCTCGGCCATGTTCACCCATGACACGATCCATCATCCTCCCAGCGTGCTCTGGAATCTCAGGCGCATCACGGAATGCGCGTTCAATAGGGAAGTCGGATTTCTTGACAGGCGTGAACAGTACAGGGCGTTGCGAGCGGGACATGCGGAGTTCGTCATATCGCGACTCGCTCATGGGCTGAGAGGATGAGAAGCCCATATCTGACGGAGGCTGCAAGGGAAAGTCGGAATGCGCGCCATCGAGAGCCGCCCAAGGGGCCTGTGCGTGCCTCCTAGCTGGCGTTGCTTCCACGCGGATCATATTGTCGTCCGCTGCAGGTGGGTGCGTAAGCTGCACAGCAGGCAAAGCCAGAGGATTCGAGGTCTTCCGCTCCAACCCCCTTGACGGTGTCTCATGAATTGCCGACAGAACGGCTCTTTTCGTGGCCGACGCTCGGTTCATGCTACTCGAGCTATGAATATTGGACCGAGCCAGCGGCTTGCGCGTCGAAGATGGAATGACCGACATATCCTCTTCACGCCCCAGCCTCGGCATGGGCGGCAGTTCGGGTTCTGCAAAATCTACCATTTCTCGGTTGCGCCGTGCTCGAGGGGTAGCTGATATCTGTATCGTCCGCTCCTGTCGTCGTTTCTCGACATCGTCCATAAAAGCCGCTGCGACTGCAGACCTACTAGGCCGCTTAAGGGCGTCAATGGCAGCTTCGAGCTCCTGCTTTTGTTGTGCGAGTTTGTCGAGTTTGCGACGTTTAGCTTCATGCGTTTTCGAGTCGGCCACCAGATCGATCTCTCGGTTGCTGAAGCTCACCGACTTGGATAGCATACCGCCACGCGAGACTGGACGTTCTGAAGGTTCTCGCTTCAACGTCGGAATGATGGGGTTGATGGGGCCGGTCGATGAGCGTGATAACGTGGGAGGTGAAGCATGGCGACCTAGATGGTCTTCGCTCAGCACGCGCTGAAGTGTGCGCTTGACAAGCGGCTGCCCAGGTTTGGGCTTGGACAAAGAAAAGGAGGCGGAACTTTTGCGGAGTGTCGCCGGCTTCGACGATTCTCGAGGTCTTTTGGGTGGTGAAAAATCTGATCCTGCAAGCTTCCGTGACAGCGACTTCATCTGCTCAGGGAGCTTGGCCGAATAGAAAGGCCAAAGAACATCCTTGCAGAATTCTCGGAGTAGATCATTGGCCTTGACTTTGCTGTCACTCTGTGAGTTCTCATGATCGGTAATCTCGTCCATGTCTACGGAATGCCAGATGCAGAGTCGGTCGACAAGCGTTTCCAATTCGCTAGTAAAGTCGCGCTTCTTCTGAGTCGACTGCTGGGGAGTTTTGGCGAGTATACTGGCAACATCATCTTCCACCGATTCTACCTTGACATCGGCATCCGAAGGGACCGGCTTAGCAGACAGCTTCAAAGCAGCCAATTCAAGCAGCATGACTTCCAGGATCAGTAGCAACTGCATTTTGGTTTCTCGCATCCGTAAATCTGCCAGTTCTTTACGCATTTCGGCCTGGCGGTCGCTCGAAGCCGAACTCGGTTTGAACTCTCTTGCACGCCACCATTTACAGACGTAATCGTCTTCTTCCGGCCAGAGGCAGTCCTTCCCGAGTTTCTGCTTCTTCTTTCGAGACCTCTTTTTCTGGGTTTCCGGATGTTCGAGCGGCAGTTCGGTGATGATTTTGGGCAAGGACTCTTTGTACTTCAGATCAATCTTCTTCGTCGCAAGAATACTCTGCTCGTAGAATTCCAGTAAGTCTGCAATGGAAGTTGATGGGCACTCAGATGATCTAACATGTGCCCGGGCGCCACTAAGAGGACCTTTGACATAGAATGCAAGCGATGTTTTAGAGGTGTATAGATAGTCCAGATACTGACCTCTCAGACGCTCCGCAGCACATGGATTTTCGACAGGAGCAACACCTACAGGCTGCTGTGGCTCCTGGATCGGGGGCTCAGCTCCACTCGCAGACAGAGACTGGTCAAACGGGTCTGCATCTTGTAGCTGTGCTGCTGGGGTAATGGGCAACGGTTCGGCGGATATAGGTGCAGTAATGACAGGCTGTGTAACTGTAGGCGAGCTCGACCTCTGGCCAAAGACGTCCTGGCTTGTTGTTTCCTTTGGCGTCAGTATCGACATTCTCGCAAGGGCTCCTCGTCGGTTGGTAGGCTTCCTAGGGCTCTTAGGTGTAGGCAACCCTGCAAGGCTTGAGCCAGATATGCTTCTTCTATGTTCCCGTGGCACTCCGTCATCTTTCTGCAGCACCTCTTCAAGTCTGGTCTCGGCCACTTTGCCGATCGCTGCATCTTTGCAGTACTCATCTGACACCCAATTCTGCAAGGGACAAGCAATGAAATGATTGGGCCCGACTCTTTCGATCGCGTACAATCCTCCATTGGGTGTCTTTCGAGCCACTAGTACTCTTTGTTCCCATTCTTGCACCGAGGGAATTGTGGCCTCGAAAACCGAAGTGGGCAGAGGTTGTGCCGTATTGAGCCATGCCAGGGGAAGATATGCTCTAGCCAGGAGCGTCAGCGGTTCGAAAGCCCATATTTGTGTTTTGACAGAGACAAAAGTGGCTGTGAATACTTCGGCGCAGGATTCATTCGTCTCGGGTTCGTCACTCTTGCGCTTTTTGGTGTTACTGAGGCCATGGGAACCCGCATTCAGGCTACTACTGTCGACAGCGACAAGTGCTAGCCTTCCTGATGACAACGGTGATTGCATAACTTGCCATAACGAAAAATAGCTTCGAAAGGCAAATACCGTACAAAATATGTGGTATAATTGCTAATGAAAGTGAAGAGTTGGCATTGATTCTACGGAGTACGTGAGGTCGAGATCTCGACGCGGTCAGAAATTCGACGCGCCGCGTGACGTCAATGCAAGGCTACGAGGCTGAGTCCTATATGTTCCCGCGCAGTGGTGCTGCTCGATCTTCGTAGGGCAAAACATGAACAGTCTAACGTGTATGACTTGAACAGGCCCAAAGAGACAAATAAGAAAGAAAGCCAGCATTGGAACCATACAGCCAAAGGTGCTTAAAACGGAAAAGGTATGATCATATTAAGCCCATGCTGATCTAAGGCACTCAGGATACTGTATGTAGCAGCTGGAGGCAACTGGCAGATCGCTCTTCCCAATGAAATTGACCGCTGTCCCAAACGCCTTCTCATCGACGAACACTGTACAAGCACGTTCTTCGAATCAATGCGGCTTCAACCGAACGCCAGCTTCTTCCCAAGGTTAAATCATCCCAGTACCACAGCCAATATAACAATCAACAGAACGATCGCCATGATCAACAACAGACAGCATGCTTTATTTCGGGCCGCCTTTTGATATCGACTCGCACTTCGCAGCTCAACATCGGCTCCCCGTGTATCAGTCAGGGTGTTCTCAACGTTGACGTCAATTGCGTCGATCATATCGCCCTGGTCTCGGACGAGATGAGCGACGTCTCGGAAGAGTTCATTCAGTTCCCCCACTGATTGTTCAATTTGCCGGATTTCTCCTTCTCTCTCGATGATGAGGTTCTCCTGGAAATCCACTTCGTCTTGCTGTGCCAATCGAGGCTCTTCCAAAGACTGGAGTTGCTGCTGTCCTTCTCCTGAAGGTGACTGTGCTGAATGAGCCTCTTCCAAGGCGGTTTTGGATGCTCTCTCCTTTTCTATCGCTCTCCTTTGAACGACTTGGAATTCGGACAAAGCGGAGGCAAACTCTCGTGATAACTTCTGGTTTGTATATCTTTGCGAGGGCTGCAGCTGATTAGTTATGGCTTCATGTCCTGTGTCAACTACCCACATTCAAATCTTGCCATGTTTGCGCTCTCTTGACACCTTCACCAACTTCCTTGAACCCGTCTCTTGTCTCCTCCAATAGATCATGTATCCTCTCTCGAACTCGCTCGGTGTCTCGTTTGGAGATCTGGTTTGAAAGCCGGGAGATATTCGAGATTAATTCGAAGAGCCGTGTGGACAGCTGCTCTGTGAATCTCTGAAATTCTGGGTCATCTCGGTAGTGAGGATCATCCTGTCGGCGGGTGGTGGTCGGTTGCGACTCCAGCGACGATAACCTGTCGAAGGACATTCTGGACTTCTAGACGGCTTGAAGCTTTCAAGTTGGAGTGTGCGACAGATCCGGCCCTCCTCCGAGTCGTTCAAAATGCTGCGGTGTTGTTGTATTGAGGGTAGCAAAATGCTGGAAGCCTGGGGAGGCAGGATGTCGCAGGACAACCGGCGTGGTACAGGGCCGGATGCCAAGTGTAGGGCGCACCGTTCATCCTGTATGCGCAGCTTCCTTCTGTAGCTTGACTTTCTTTTTGGAGATCGGAACGCGCAGGCATTGTTTACAGACTCACGCAGACTTCACATCACAGTCAAAGACCCAACAACCCGCAGTCCACGCTGGTCGTTGACTGCTTTTCCCTATCATGGTCCTTCTCTGACACCTACCACCAACATGTCGACTATTGCCTCGAGCCCTGCAATTCCTCGTCCACGACCGTACCGAAGATCCTTAAATTCTACTCTACACACGAGATTTGTACATGCGGCCTTAATATCTCTGCTGATTGCTCTCAACAATGCTTTCTGGCTGGGCTCCAACAGAGGTGCGTCGGCTCAACTCTTTGTTCGCAATGACTCGCTGATCCTCGCAGACCTCTTCTGGTCATGGTTCCCGTTCGGACCTGCAGGCATTAAAGCCTTGCTCTTCTTCATATCCAGCCTCTCCATATTTTTCTTGCAGATTGCTACACTCAAGATAGGACGATGGATGACGACCTCTCCTTTTGCTGTCTTCAGAACAATTGCACTGAGCAAGACCACTGTATGGACTGTTTTTTGGTACTTTTGGTCGGCAATCTTCTTCACTGAAGTATACGTCTGGTCCTCACCAGATCTCAGTTGGACAATTCCTGGAAGTCACAATGCCCCCGAGATGCTCAACGAGAAACCAATCTTCTTCCGCCTGTACGCCCAGCTTCTGGCCTTAACTTACGCTGGAGTACATCTCTACCTTGGAAATTCGTCGCTTATAATTCCCATCTCAAAACTTCCATCGACACCGAGTCCAGAGGGTAATGCACAATCAACCCATCCGATCAGACCAGTTCAAATTCAACTGCAGCAGAAATTACCTGGCGCAGTCATGCGCAGTGCTGTGTGCGCAGGCCTGGTGATGGTAGCCGCGCCATTCCTGAATACCTTGTTTTTCCGACGGACGCTCTGGCATATCCACCTAACCATCGCCAAGATCTGGAGCAACTTGTCAAGGGCGAATGCTAGGCCCACCGGAATACCGCCCCTGGGACCTACATATCTTGCCCGGTGTCTGTTCGCAGGCTTTTTACTGGCTCTAACCTGGGAGCTGACGGCTATCCTTTTCTCGACGTACCTGAGTCAAGAACCTACCAAGGCAGGATTGCCTCTGTCAAACACAAGCAAGGATCCCAACGGGACATTGCTCACAGGTTTGAGAGCCAAGAGGGACGTTGTGAGGACATTTGCATTCTGGGAGCTTGCTATTATAGCTCAGAAACACAAGGATCGCAGAAAGACCATCTTCGAAGACATTGAGCGACCTACTGGACCAATTTGGGCTCAAATGTCCGAAGCCGGGCTGAAGATTCTACAAGAAATCGATACCCGTATCCTCGGACCCGCTCCAAAACAACCACAGCCCCAAGCCGATAGTACAGTAACAGGCCTACCGCATATTGTCCCAGAGGTGCAGACCCAATCGATCTTTCAGGCAAACCCAAAACCGACCGTGGGTGAATCACTGGTCCTGAGTCCTTTGCGGCACATCGGAAGTAGCAACCAGCCATGGCGTCCACCAATTGAGGAGACAACCAAGGCGGTGGAGATGAAGTTGCTTGAGTATGCTAGGCCCCCTGGCGCTGACCAAGTACAGTCACAGAGCCTAATTGAGCAATGGACTATGTCTTTACAAAAGAGTCCTATAGGCTGGTTTTTCACATCTACGAAAACAGCTAGAATCAATGTAGCCGTGCTGGGATCACCAAATGATGACGCTGCCCTTATCGTCGACGTGATTGATTCAATCACTAAGATGCTGGTTGCCAGTCTTACCGAGGACACATACGGCAAGGCAACGCCTACCGTTCCCGAAACAGTGAGGCAATTTACCAAAACACTCACAACAATTGAAGCCTTCGTTGCAAAGAACGACATCAGCAAAAGCGGAGGAATCGAAGAGGTTGAGATCATTACCGAGAGGCTCAGAGCTGGCTTGAAAGAATTACTGGCAGCCTTTCAACTTTACTTGCTTGATGTTGGTCTTGGTATTGCCGACCTCAATCAAGCGAAGAAGGCAGTTGAGCCGCCAAAGTCAGAACCTCAGCAGCCGAAACCTGTGGAGCAGCCCACTCGGAGACAGCTCTTCGCAAAAGACACGCAGAAAGAGGACACGAACCCTCAGCGAGCACAACAGAGGCAGGAGAGCCGGAGAATAGAGCCATCTCAACGGTCGTCCGGCCTGCAGAGAAAGCCTTCCACCAGCAGGAACGCGAGGCAGCAGCCGAGAAGGGAAATGGAACAGGTTAGATAAGCCTTTTAGACCTAATGGTATTGGATCTTCATCTTCCGAGTAGTTATTACTACTGGATCTCTAGTAGAACAGAGCTCTATGGTGTTACAAGCTCATTCGTAGCCCACACCTTGACTTCGGGTGCCTCCTTCTGCTGCGAACCCTGCTGACTTTCCCAAAACACACCATCAGCCCCAGGCGGCCGACCCTCACCATTAACATCATAACTGCTACTCTCTGCTGCCTGCCCTTGACCCTGGCTTTGCGGGACCTGCCACACTTCACCCGTCGCCTTCTTGCACGCCTCGCAAATCTCCTTGACCACCTCATCGACCTTGGTCGCTTGTTCGCGCATCCCGCGCCGTAACAACCCACTGATCAGTCTCCCAACCTCGTCATGGACCCCGTTCACTCGTTCAACCAGTCTGCCCACACTAGCAACGAGATATTCTTCCTCGTAGACGCTGCCCTTTTTGCCCCTGGCGCGCTTGCGTTCCTCTCGGCGCTTCGTCTTACTCGTCTTGCGTGAGACATCACTCGCGACCGTGCCGCCGAACTTACTCGCGTTACTACCGTAGCGGGTGAACAAGGACTGTCCGCCGAGCGTGCTGGCGTCCGTCGCTGCTAACGAGATATTATCTGGAATATCGGCGGCATTGGGGTCAACAAGGGACGGATCGCCACCATAGAAAGCGAGCGGGTCTTCTTCCTTCTTGCGCCGTAGATCCGCGATCCGAGGGACTTGCGACGCAAGTTGGCTCTTGCAGTCGGCGATGAGTTCGAGAATTTCGCCAAACTTCTCGGTTAGAGCGGAGTCGATGATGGCTGGGATCTCGGCACCGAGGCCTCGTAGTGCGAGAATGCGCGTGGCGTCCGCGAAATAGGAGCCGCGACAGAGCAGGCGTGCTGCGTTGGGGATGTCATCGAGGTACTCGGCGTGTATGGTTGCTGCGGACCGGTAGTCGCGGGACTCGTCGGCGCATGTGGTCGCCAGACTCGTTGCGAGGGTGGCAAGTCGATCAGAATCCAGCGGGATAAGTGATGCGCAGGTCATGGCTTCGCGCCACCGGTGCGCCAGGGCGTAAAGGGGGTATGCTTGGCTATAGTCGCCCAGGGATTCGAAAAGTGTCGCGGCAGATGCGTGGTGGGATTGGGATGATAGGTGCTGGGCGTACAGGCGCGTCATGGTCTCAAGGTGTGGTTTGTCGAATTTGTACAGATCGAGCGTGGTGGTGTACAGGGAATGTCTAACGGTGTAGGACTCTACTTCGTCGTGCGCACTCAGGGCGTGCAGGGATACCAGGGCCCGGGGGTACTTGCGCAGGTGGTTGTCGATCATGTACCTCCTGCGGAGTAAAGGTAGGGCATGTAGGGATTGCAGGAATGGCATGTACTCACGCGGGTCGCGCTGGGCGGTTTGCGCGACGAGAAGGGCAAGGTCCAGGTCGTAGAGGGAGAGTGCAGCGTCGAAGAGTCGGTTGCTGTCGGTGAGAAAGACCAGGTGTGAGATGGCGGCTTCAGCTTCTTCAGGCGAAGATGCGAGGAGCGTAGAGATTAGCGTCAGGGCCGCGTCCAGGTCGGGCGGGCTTTTCGAGACGTGCGCTGTTATTATGTTCTGGGAATAAGTGGAAGGGCGAGAGGACAGGGAGGAGAGGAAGGAGTCGGCGATGAGGTTGACTTTGGTGCCCGGTTTGGAAGGGTCTTTTTGCGCGGACGACTGATCCCGCGCGTTCAGAGTGTCCCGGTAGAGAGTTTGGGTCACGTCTTCATCTTTGAGTTTGGAAAGGAATTCATCGACGCGGCCGGGCTTCTTGAGTTGATCAATGAACTTGGGGACGTCGGAGACGAAAGTCTCGGGATTGTAGTCGTGCAGGATGTTCATGTCTACTTGGTGCGTCTGGCAAGCTAGGAAGGCTGACAGGTAGTCTCGCTGCTTGAGGTGGTGCCGTATGCCGGATAGTACGAGCAGGCGAGGGTATATCGTCTCGATGTTTCCTCGCGGCATTTGAAGGACCACGGCGTAGATTGAGGGGATGACTGTGACAATTTTCGCACTGCGTTCAACACTCCGGCATCGTTCGTCGACTTCAGGAGTATCGCCAGGAACTTGCATTTCAGAGGGAGTTGTAAGGTGGACGAATTTCAGAAGGTGTTGGGAGGTTGTAAAGATGAGGTGTGCGGATGTGAGAACATACGAAGTACATTCTCGGACGAGAAGGATGTCGTCGATGAAGAGATTTCCTTTGGGAGATAGAGAAACTTTGTGGTATTGAGCCCTATGGCCGTTGACGTTTCCATTCAGATGGCTGATGTGGGTGCTGGGAAGTGTAAAAAGGGTGCTGTTGGGCTGGCTGCCTTTGAGTCTGGTTGTCCCAGTATCTGGGGAGTATGGCAGCAAGAATGTAGCGTCCAAACCCGAACTTGTGCATGCTACAGACTCATGGAGGACGTCGGTAAGAAGATTATCGCTTCCAGGAGGTATAACTATGCCTTCGAAGTCGCTGGCCAAGAGGGCTTCGGACCAGGCAACCTTTAAGCATGCCGCTGGCACGCCGTTCTGGCCTGGAGCGAGGATGTGTACCTCGCTGTCTTTCTCGGCCACCTGAGTGTATCGAATGGCATTCGGCGACGCTTCAGAAGACGGCAGTGGTGTGGACTGTCGTTGCGCAGACGTGGTAAATCGCATGGCACCGTTATTTGCCTTTCGAGTAGTCCATCGGCATAACTCAAGCGTATGTGTGGTCAGGACAGCAATTCTCTGACCGTCTTGACTGACAGAGCAGTCTGTGATGTTGAAGTCGAAAGACACATCGCAGAACGACATTGGCGGAGGTACACAAGCTTGCTTGAGTGGTGTGAGTTTCAACGACTTGCCATCGATGACTGCGACAATACCGTCGTCGTTTGGGGGAACCGTGCTTCCTCGGGCTACCATGGGTAGAAAGCTGATGTCCAACAAATACTCAGATCTCCCCAAAGTGATCCGAAGTGGTGTTTCAGGGTGCCATCTGAGGAGAGCCTTCCCGAGAACCGATTTGAGCGGGAATTCTTGCTTGAGATAATAGTGATAATTGCCCATAGTCCAAAATTGTACTCGATCCTTGAATGACACAGCCAGGACACTCGAGTCTGTATTCCACGAAAGTGATATGCTTGAAGCCCAGTCGTCCATCTCTTCTTTTGACGCTCTGAGGTCGAATTGCCCATGTCGAAGCCCGTTTCTCTCAAAGAAAACAACTTGAATCCTATTCTCTAACCGCTTGATTCCAGCAATGAGGTTTCCCGATGGTCTCCAGCTCAGTGCAGACTCAAGACCATCCACTGCCTCAGATACACTGTCAAGCACAGCCTCGCGGGAGAAGACTCTGATGACTCGGCGATGATTAGGCACAACGCTGTTGATAGCGACGAATTGGCCATCACCTCGCCAACTGACTGTGACTGCACTGTCCTCGTAAGGGCTCGCCTTCCCTTGGTCAACGGTTTCAGGCACGGTAGGGTCTCTCATAGCTTTGGCACGTCTTCCTTGGAACTGGGTTTCCTTCTGACCCCATCCTACAGAGACTTGCTTCGAGACTTTCAAATCTTCTTCCGAAAAGCTTGCTTCGTTGAGTGGCTCGAAAGTCCTGCTCATCAGAACGAGCGTATCTGATCGCGTGACAATCGCAAGTAACTCCTCGTCTGGAGCCCAAGCAGCAGCACATATTCCAACATCCACACTGCCTACAATTTCGATCTTTTCTTGGTCTGGTAGAGGGTCTTCACGGACAACCACGACATCTCCACCAGCCAAGACAAGGCAAGATGTGGCAATATCAGCGAAGTGTTGGAGCAGAAGAATCTCATCACATTCCAGTTCCGGCAGAGGGCAAGGAGCGTCCCAGGAGGTAATGTTAGAAAATTCTCCTTCATCGGAAATTGTAGTGCTTCTTCGCTTCAGCTCGATGACTGGTTGTGTGGATGTAGGCCCAAAGGCGCAAATTATGGTATTGCTAACAGTGTCCCATGCTGTTGCTGTCAACGGCAAGTCCGCTCTCAGCTCAGTTTGACGGTATGCGGTCGTCTTCAGATTCCTCATGGTCGGGAGTCTAGTTGAGATTCAGCCTCTGCAGTAGGTGTGACTCTGGCTCTGAGAATAATACTGCGAACTATTTCGAGCCAAAAATTAAATATCACGGAGAATTAAATTTATGGGAGCAAATGTCCGTGTTCTGATTGGTTGTGCTCCGGGGTGTCCGATATCACCAGAGAGCGACCAGCAAAGCATTTGAAGTCAGGGTATCGTCCACGATTTGAACTGAGAGGTATGCTTCAGATGATTCTTGCATTCGCATGTATTTATTCTGGTTCTGTACAAATTCAGGGTGCTGGTGTGCCACTTCCTGACCCGATGCTCATTCAAGGTGAAGTCCCCCAATGCAGTCTGCAACCGATCTTTATGCCTTGTATGTGTGCCAGACTATTCGTCCTGTCAGAGTTCGTACTTGCAGTGTTCGCGCGTCATACATACCGGCCATGCCAAATGGAATTGAGAATCCGACGCCTACGAGATGTTCAGTCCTATGTTCTTCATGTTCTTGGTTGCACTCATACCCATAAACGTCCAGTACCGCAACCAGAAGAACCTTGTCTTTGGATTGAATGGTAGACCTGATCTGGGACCTTCAGGGTAGTGGAAAGGACTGTCGAATCGAGGACGGGTGGTAGAGAAGCCGCGGCGAGCGATGGTTTGGCTAGCCATTCTGGCGCGGAGGAGTGATTGAGTGTTCATCTGAGCAGTCAGCACTATTGTCGATGGTCCACCTATGTGATATTTACCTTGAGATCTCTGGCGGCAAGATTCGGTGGTGTTCAGCAGTTTGAATGTCGCGGAGCATGCTGTCAGTCCACTGCGAGACTCAATGAAGCTTCGGGCTTGGCGAGTCCGCCAGACCTTCCTCATTCGTAATCATACAATGTGAATTTCCTCCGCCGCCAAAGTCTTTTGCCAGGTCGTTCGGAGTAGTCTTAAGATTTATCTTCACATTAATTGAAATACCTCACCAGGCCGTGACAAGATGGACGAGTTGTTTGACGTGTTCGAGGACAACGCGCAGGCTCCACAGCCACCTGCTAGTCCCGCGAACAAGTCCTCTAGAAAAGAAAGACGAAGAAAGCGACAAGCCGACGGCGGGTTGAAAGATGCGGTTGACGGTGGAGAAACGACAGGACATTCCACAAACGACGCGTCTCCTGACTCAGAAATGAAAGATTTCGATCCCACAGATGGTGATGGACCGAACATCAAGCGCACACGCATAGAAAATGAACCGGAGCCAGTCGTTACGGATACTTTCGAGACCGAACAATCACGAGAGGTGGTAGCGTCCGCCGGGCTTCAAGCCTCACAAGAGGAAGAGAAGGTCATTTTGTCACATCAGGTTCGACATCAAGTCGCCTTGCCACCCGACTATGACTACGTCCCCATCTCACAGCACAAACCACCCGCCGAACCCGCTAGGACGTGGAAATTCCAGCTTGACCCGTTTCAACAAGTCTCGATAGCATCCATTGAACGAAATGAAAGTGTCTTGGTGTCAGCACACACCAGCGCAGGCAAAACCGTGGTGGCTGAATATGCAATTGCACAATGTTTGAAGAACAACCAGCGAGTCATCTATACCAGTCCCATCAAGGCTCTGAGTAACCAAAAATATCGAGAATTCCAGGCAGATTTTGGCGATGTTGGTCTGATGACCGGAGATGTCACAATCAACCCCACAGCCACCTGTCTTGTTATGACCACTGAAATTTTGCGGTCAATGCTCTATCGAGGTTCTGAAATCATGCGAGAAGTGGGATGGGTGGTCTTCGACGAAATCCACTATCTGCGCGACAAGACTCGTGGCGTTGTATGGGAAGAGACCATCATTTTACTGCCCGACAAAGTTCGCTATGTATTCCTATCAGCAACCATCCCCAATGCCATGCAATTTGCCGAATGGATCACCAAGACTCACAATCAACCTTGCCACGTCGTCTATACAGACTTCAGACCGACTCCACTGCAACACTATTTCTTCCCGGCTGGCGCAGATGGTATACATTTGATTGTGGACGAAAAAGGAGTATTCCGCGAGGACAACTTCCAGAAGGCCATGAGCTCAATCGCCGATAAACAAGGAGATGATCCTTCTAACCCGATGGCTCGCCGGAAAGGCAGGGGCAAGGACAAGAAGTTGAATAAAGGAGGGAATAAGGGTCCCTCTGATATCTACAAGATTGTCCGTATGATCATGACCAAGAACTACAATCCTGTTATCGTCTTCAGTTTCAGCAAGAGAGAATGCGAAGCATATGCGATACAAATGAGTACAATGTCTTTCAACGAAGATTCGGAAAAGGCAATGGTGTCCAAAGTCTTCGAAAGTGCGCTGGAAATGCTATCGCCGGAAGACAAAAATCTGCCCCAGATTCAGCACTTATTGCCTCTGCTGAGACGCGGTATTGGCATCCATCATTCTGGTCTGTTGCCAATTCTCAAGGAAACGATTGAAATTTTGTTTCAAGAAGGACTGATCAAGGTGCTGTTCGCGACTGAAACCTTTTCTATTGGACTCAACATGCCGGCGAAGACTGTCGTCTTTACCAGTGTTCGCAAATTCGATGGTTTCTCACAACGATGGGTTACTCCGTCGGAATTTATTCAGATGTCTGGACGTGCTGGCCGTCGTGGTCTTGATGAACGTGGCATTGTTATCATGATGATCAACGAGCAGATGGATCCTAGTGTTGCAAAGGACATTGTTCGCGGCGAACAAGACAAATTGAACTCGGCATTTTACCTTGGGTACAACATGATTCTGAACCTGCTCAGAGTTGAGGGTATCTCTCCCGAGTTCATGCTTGAGAGATGCTTCCATCAATTCCAGAATACTGCGAGCGTTTCTGGGCTGGAGAAAGAATTGCAGCAGCTCGAAGCAGAGAAATCCGCCCTGGTAATCGAAGACGAGAGCGCGATCCGAGCGTACTATGACCTGCGGAAGCAGCTCGATCTCTACGCTGAGGACATGCGGAACGTCATCATTCATCCCAACTACTCTTTGCCGTTCATGCAGCCAGGCCGATTGGTCTACATCAAGGATGGCGAGCACGATTTTGGCTGGGGAGCCGTCATCAACTTTGCGAGGAGAAGTACCGGCCGATCCACCGAGAAGTTAACCCCTCAAGAAGAATGGATCCTGGACATCGCCCTTGAATGTGCTGAAGGCACAGCACCGGCCACCAAGACCTTCCAGTCACTTCCAGCTGGCATACGACCACCACAACCTGGAGAGAAGTCGAAAGTCGAGGTTGTTCCAGTCCTCTTGAAGTGCGTCCAGAAAATCTCACACATTCGTATCTTCCCGCCTGCTGATATGACAATCTCGGAAGAGAAAAAGAAGGTGCAGAAAGCATTGATCGAAGTGCAGCGGCGATTCCCTGACGGACTTGCCGTCCTTGACCCTGTCGAGAATATGAAGATCACCGACAACTCTTTCAAGGAACTCCTTCGCAAGATTGAGATCATGGAGTCCAGATTGGTTGCTAATCCCTTGCACAATTCTCCGCGCCTTGAAGGACTTTACAATCTGTATGCCGACAAGGTGGTCCTGCAGGGCAAGATCCGAGCCTTGAAGAAGCAGATTCAGGACGCCCATGCTATTATGCAGCTTGAGGAGCTTAAGTGCCGCAAGCGTGTCCTTCGTCGACTGCAGTTCATCAACGAAGAAGAAGTCGTGCAGCTTAAGGCTCGTGTTGCCTGTGAAATTAGTACAGGTGACGAGTTGATGCTCAGCGAGCTGCTCTTCAATCGCTTCTTCAACGACTTGAATCCGGAACAATGTGCTGCCGTCATGAGCTGTTTTGTTTTTGAAGAAAAAGTCAACGACCAGCCAACCTTGACAGAAGACCTTGCCCGACCACTCCGTGAGATCCAGAGACAAGCGAGAGTCATTGCAAAAGTATCCGTTGAGTCCAAGCTCGCGGTTAACGAGGAGGAATACGTGCAGAGCTTCAAGTGGCAACTCATGCCTGTGATTTACGCCTGGGCCAAAGGAAAGTCCTTTGGCGAGATATGGCAAGTGGCATCGATCCTTATCTATGAAGACCGAAGCTGACTTGTGCTACAGCAAGATGACCGACGTCTACGAAGGCAGTTTAATTCGAGTCTTCCGACGACTGGAAGAAGCACTGCGTCAAATGGCGGAAGCTTCTAAGGTCATGGGAAGCGAAGAATTGGAAAAGAAGTTCGAGGAAGCATTGACCAAGGTAAGAAGAGATATCGTGGCTGCTCAGTCATTGTATCTCTAGGCTTGATGATAGCTTGAGACGCCTTCAATCTTCCATTGCATAGCAGCGCGTTGGAGCTTTTTATTGTGTGTACGATGATACCCATGGACTTGTTCAACGACCTAGAGATGCACAGAGGGGTCCTGTGGGTGATTCAGGTATGATGCTTTTGCCTGGAATTATGTCACACTGCAGAACCCCCCATCACACATTGCTTGTCGTCCATCCTGGGTAGAGGGTAGAGAGATTCTTATCAAACAATCCCGCTTCATGTTTATGCCTGGCAGCGGTGAAGAGCTGCTTGACAATCATTATTCCGGAGTGTTCAAAGTAGACGCATTAGGAGCTGACTCGTTGATCCTTTGTTCACTGCCTGGCCTGGGGCAAATGAGACAAGGCGTGCAGTGCAGGCAGGCAACAGAAACACAGCGTGATGAACTGCACAGACCCGCGGCAGTGGACATGGAAGATTCAAAGGCGTATGAGAACATCCTTGGGATTGGGTAGCAAAGCCTTGGATGATGTTGATGGTGACAGCCATCACCAGCTGTGGTTGGCGAATTAAAAGAGTCGAGGCTTAGCCGGCGAGCCGGGTGCGCTCTTGCTTGTCCTCATCCCGCAATTCTCCTCCACTCCTCGACTTAGTTAACTACCTAAGAAACCATCACACACAACTGCCATCCATTAACTTACCTCTGAGGCCGGATCCCTCACCGCTTGCTTTGCCTAGTGGATACGCTACTCGTGACCCGACGACTGCCTCATCTTCTTCTACAAGGCTTTGAATCCTTTCCAATACTCTCTCAACATTGCCGGCATCGACTATCATCAACCTCCCATCTCCCAATCGGCTGCAACCAACGACCCCATCGGCCGGCATCTACAGCCATCATGAATAGCCTGGCAACGCCCCCAATCCCTCCTCATTTTCACGAACACACTCGTCTCTCTCCTAGCAGGTCAAGTGAGTTTTGCCTGCATACGAGACCGATTTGTTTCTGTACTAACGCCACTCTAGTGTCAGGCACCGCTCTCTCGAGGAAACGAAAAGCCTCGCCGTCACCAGACCGAGATGATGAAATGACAACATCCCCTTCTCTGTCCCACGCCCGACTGCCTCAGACCCTAACACCTTCATCGAGAAAAAGAGTGCGTTCGAATCTGGCTGGGCGACCACTGTCGGTGGACAGACTCCTTGAAACACTAGACAAAGACTCGTTAAGATCTGTTTTGAAAACGCTATGTGATCGAAATCCTGGTTTAAAAGATGAGGTCGCCCAGGTCAGTCCTCGACCTAGCATTCAGAGTACACTGCAAGTCCTACGACAGTATTACGATCGATTGCTACAGTCGTTCCCTCTCGGTCCTAACCCCCGATCTGATTACGCATACGATCGAGTACGGCCTCAATGGCATGATTTGCTTGAAGCCCTTACAGATTTTACACCACATTTTCTGCCACCAAACGAACAGCAGTCGTCGGTGTCACTGGATTACTTGCATGGCGTCACAAATATTATCCATGACCTTCCTGAATGGGACAATCCAGCATACAACCTGGCTAAACAGAACGCTTACGAAGAAATTTCGAGAGCTTGGGCTGCTGTTATCAAAGAAGCCAGTAAGAGAGGGGGCGGTATTCAGCTACAGTACAATGGCTGGGAGGAGAAGTTGAGGGCACATAACGACAAGAGCGGTGGTCGATTAAGAGAAGCCTATGAAGCACTTGTTGATGCTCTCGGCTGGTTAAGACCTGCGCCTCAGCCAACGGCGCAACAAAGCATTCGACAACAACTGATTTCCAACACTTATGGTACCGAGCAGCCGATTATACGGACTGGCAATTGGTGAGAAGAGGAACGACGTGAAAGTTTCCTCAAAGCACAGAAATGCATCACAAACAAAATTGTGCAGCAGACGTCATCCACAACCACGTCCGAAGAAAGTCCCTTCGAGGTTGACCATGGCGGATACCTCTTGCAAGACGAACAACACATCCAGCATCTGAACGCAGCAGATCATGTCATCACGAATTTCCTTTGCCGTTGCGTGGTACCATTGAAACACCTCGCATTTCCAGCATTTACGATTTGAAACGGTCATTGTCCAACATTGAATTATTGTTTGATTTCTTCGGCCGAAGGATGAGTCGGACCAATACATCCAATTCCATCAATCCTTGGGCGTTTTTGGTAGGCAGCACTCAGCACATGGGACGGGTGGAAGTTGGGGAGTGCACAAGGCCACAACATTTTCATTCATTCACGTCAGATGGGGGTTTTGCTCTAATTCTTCAGCAAAGGATACTTCAGACCCACAAGGGAAGCACACTGTGGGTCGTAACCCTGATCAGGAACGAACAGAGTATTCGTACAGCACTCGATTTCGAGTAGATAGTTGGTGATACCTCAGGATTGAAGTGGGTTATACAGCTCGTCTACCCTTCCTGGCCATCTCACAAGTGTTGCCGAGCCCCGGTTTAGACTACTTGTGTTTTTCTAGTCCCTTGCGTGTAAAGCAAGCGATTCACGGAATTGAAATTCAGGCATGGCTCGACTAGGTAGTCCGCGATCCCCTCGGTCCATAGCATCCCAAGATTGAGTTGAATTACATTCATGTCCCTTCGAGAAGGCCATGAGCAAATCAATGTTCTTCTCCCGACTTTGAGAGTCTCTGAACATGCTAGCCTTGGTATCATACACCATCACCAATTACGCATATTGTCTGTTCTTACATGCCCTCTGGGCCATTGCCACGCGTATACTCTGTACGCACTGTCTGCCAGTGTCATCGCCACCCCATGAAGCGTCCAGCTCTCATCTTGCAGCCCTCAACGCTGTTCAATTTCGGGCGTACATCGAGATAAAAGTTCAGACTATTCGGGTTGCCATTCGGGTCTTGCTTCCCCTGGTAGAAGTCGATAACGTACTCGACCGTCTCTCCACCGCAGCGCTCGACGACCCAGTCATGCCGATCAAACGGGGCAGTGTAACCCATTAGGCTCTTCATGCGGGCTTTTGGCGATATTGCGCCGCTACCGAGGCCCTGAAAGGACTGGAGTTTGGGGCCGCCGCAGTGTTGGGAGGTGTTTCCTTCCCAGGCTTTTATCAGCGTCCAGGCGCGTTCGTTGACGGCGTTGTGGATGGGAATTATATGCGAGACTGAGGAGAGCAAGTCTGAGGGATCTGAGGAGGAGAGTGTCTGCTTGCGCATGACTGCGTTGACGAATTGAGACTCGGACGGGTAGATCCAGTTTCCGGAGTGGTGGGTGCCTGTTTCGAATTCATTGTTCGCGGGCGATGAGGGAGTGGCGGACGAGGGTAGAGCACGAGGGATGGAGGATACGGCTCGATCGTGAGAAAGGGGACGTGTGGTGCGGAAGGAAGGCTCAGAGGAGGGTGATTGCGAGATACGGTCGGAGGAGCATTCCTGTGAGGAGCCGTATGTTGAAGGGAGAGGTAGTGCATGGGGATGGGATTTTGGTGGATTAGATGGAAGAGGAGGATGGGACGGCGGAAGTTGGGTCTGAGTCTGGGGCTGGGTTTGAAAGTTCTTTTGCGCTTGCGCTTGCTGTAGCCATATTGACCGTGTCTTCGGGTCGACTGGACATGATGATGCTGAGGCGGAGGAGGATGTCGATAATTGTGAGGGTAGTGGATGAGGTGCGACTGAGGGTGTACTAGAGGGCGCTGGTCGTGGTTGAGGCGGCTCAGGAACGGGATCTGCTTTCCACCAGCCCATATTGACGGCGGTGACTAGGAGGGAAAGGGTATATTTGTATCTGGTCGAGCTGTACAGTGAAGGATATTGTGATAAAGAAAAGGCGCAGTGGCCGACGGAGCGAGGTGGATTTTCCTTTTGCCCGCATTTTCTCCAACAATGCTTTCAAGTTCATGTGCATCAATCGTAAGAGACTCACACCGCATCTACAACCGTAAGCCTCAAGCACCAAGACCGATTTCAGTCTCCTAGAGAAGTAGAAGTCGTCATTATGTCGGGTTCTCCTCAAATACACCGTGCAAGCACCACTGCTCCCGTCAACATCGCTGTGATCAAGTAGGTATGCCACGGCGCAGTCTTCTATTTCGCAGCAGTGCACATATACTAATGGCAGGACAGGTACTGGGGCAAGCGAGACGTAGCTCTGAACTTGCCAACGAACTCGTCGCTATCTGTCACACTCTCACAAAAGTCTCTGCGGACACATACGACCGCCTCGTGTTCCGAGTCCTTCTCTGGGCCCGACTCACTCATTCTCAATGGAGAAAAGGAGGACATCGAGTCGTCGAAACGTACACAAGCTTGCCTGAAACGTCTCCGGTCTTTGCGAGAGCAAGTGGAGGCAAACAATGGATCTCTCCCGAAGCTCTCCAAGCTGACTCTACGGCTCGTCTCTGCGAACAACTTTCCCACAGCTGCTGGGCTGGCTTCGTCGGCCGCAGGCTTCGCAGCATTGGTCAGAGCTATTGCCAATCTCTACGAACTACCCCAATCGCCCGAAGAACTTTCTCTTATCGCGCGACAAGGCTCTGGCTCGGCCTGCAGAAGTCTAATGGGAGGGTACGTCGCTTGGAGAGCTGGGACGAAACAGGACGGAAGTGACAGCATAGCTCAAGAAGTAGCACCCATGTCTCATTGGCCGGAAATGAGAGCTCTGATATTGGTCGTGAGCGCAGAGAAGAAAGGCGTACCTTCAACGGCAGGGATGCAGACTACAGTCGAGACATCCACACTCGCGCCGGCACGGTTTAACGACATTGTGCCGAGACGGATGAAGGAGATCGAGAAGGCTATCCAAGAGAAGGATTTTGAGACGTTTGCCCAAATCACCATGCAAGATTCGAATTCGTTCCATGCCATCTGTATGGACTCATGGCCTCCGATCCATTACCTGAACGATGTGTCTCGAGCGGCGATGAACGGTGTAGAGACTGCCAATCGCAAGGCCGGAAAGTTGGTTGCTGCCTACACTTTTGATGCCGGTCCGAACGCGGTAATCTACTACCTTGAGGAGCATACCCATCAGGTCGCTGGAGTCTTCAAGTGTGTCCTGCCGAGGTTGCCTGGCTGGGAAGGCGAGTTTGGCGAGGCTATCAAAATGAACGAGTATGGCAGTCTGGAACAGAAGACGCTGATGACGCTGAAGGCGGGTGTCAGTCGCGTCATCTGCACAGGCGTTGGCGGAGGGCCGGAGAGGACTGAACAGCATTTGGTGGATGAGAAAGGTAATGCCGTGCCTGTGGATCAATGATGATGACCACCGCCATCCGCATGTGAGATGGAGTGGTCACAGTGGTGTTATGAGTTCCTGATCAAGGCAATCACGTGAAGTAAGCTCTCTCTGTGGACTTGGAACAGGTGGAAAAGGAAGTGAACCCACCAGGTACATCCTTTCTTCCTGTGTCGTGGCTTGGATGTCATCTTCAGCGTCTCAATAACTAGAATGCGTTTCATGCGTTCATACCCATCTGATCACTCCATGGGTTATTGCTTCATATGTAGCGCAACAGTGCGAGTCACATACGAATGTACTCCAGACCTGAGAGAGAATAGTGGCGTGTTGGCATCTCAGGCCACCCAACAGATGCCCTGAATCACACCCATGTCTTCTTGGCCTTGTTCGTGCCTCTTGAATCCATCGAACCGTCGCTGTGGACTATGTTTTTCCTCTTGCGCGTTCATCTCATGTAAATATACGAGATACGCATAGACGACACGACAAGCTAGGGCGCTGTGGCCAGTCATATCGTCCACTGCCATCCATCTCCATCGGAGTTACTCCGTATTTTGCCTCCCACGAGGAAGAGTGCTGATGCCGAGGCAAAAAAACTGGGATTCTGGGGACGCTGACACCGATACCTGACTCGCATCCTTTGACCGAATCGTGATTATCCAGTTCGATTACGGAGTATATATCGTCTGATTTACGGCGCCCTCTCAGGCTAATTTCTACTACCATCCACCCCAACTCCCATCTTCGGTACGAGCAGTAGAGTCGCCATGTCGGACAACGCGTTTGACGTTCTCATCATCGGTGCTGGTATGTTTCTCCCAAAGGGCTGATAGGATTGCCTCTTGACCCATCTGCAGGCATCAGCGGCATCAACTCCGCTTACAGGCTTCAAGAGGGTCTCCCAGACTACTCCTATGCCATCCTAGAAGGCCGTGAGGAGATTGGTGGGACGTGGAGTTTGTTCAAGTATCCCGGCATCAGATCTGATTCAGATCTTCATACCGTAAGTACTGCGATATCTTCCGGCATATACAAAAGCCAGGGAATGAGCTATCGATATCGGCTTCGTATTCTCTCTGCGCCCCCGTAAAGAATGGAGCTGACCTCCTGATCATATAGTTCGGCTTCCCGTGGGACCCATGGAAAGAAGATCGCGCCATTGCCGACGCTCCATCGATCCTCAATTATGTCAAAACCACTGCCGCTCGGCACGGCATTGACAAGCATGTCCGCTACAGCCACAAAGTCGAACACATGAACTGGTCCAGCGAGCAACAGCATTGGCAACTCGATGTCACGGTCAATGGATCTGAGAAGAAGACCTTCTACTCTCGCTTCCTTCTCCTAGGAACAGGCTACTACGACTACAAGACGCCCCTGCAAAGCAAGATTCCTGGCATCGAGAACTTCAAAGGCACCGTCGTGCATCCGCAGTTCTGGCCTGAGAACCTCGACTACGCAGACAAAAAGGTCGTCATCATCGGCAGCGGTGCCACAGCCGTTACCCTGCTGCCCAACATGGTCGACAAAGTCAAGCGTATCACCATGCTCCAGCGGAGCCCCGGCTACTTCCTCCCCATCCCGCTCACCGAGCCCGTCGATCAACTCATCAAAAAGGTCCTGCCTGAGAGCTGGGCGTACACTTTAATCCGAATCAGATTCATGCTCGTCTCGTTCCTCTTCTTCCAGTTCTGTCGCCTGTTCCCCAAACAGGGCATCAAAGTCCTGCGAAAGGGAACCGAGAAGGCACTCCCACCCAACATCCCCTTCGACCCGCATTTCGTGCCCAAATATAAGCCCTGGGAGCAGAGGATGTGCATTACTCCAGGTAGGTTACACCTCGCTGGTTCACCCTTTCCCCTCTATCTTAAGGCAAGTCACAACCGCAACGTAGCACTGACAAGCGAGTAGGGGGCGACTTCTTCGCGGCTCTCCGCACTGGCAAAGCCGACGTCGTCACCGACACCATCGAGACCGTGACCGCCAACGGCATCACTCTCAAATCCGGCCAGACCCTCGACGCCGACATAATCATCACCGCCACAGGCCTGAAGATCCAATTTGGCGGCGGCGCCACCGTCTCCGTCGACAACCAGCCCTTCCAGCTCAGCCAGAAATACACCTGGCGTGGCGCCATGCTGCAAGACCTGCCCAACTTGACCTTTGTCTTCGGCTATACCAACGCGAGCTGGACGCTTGGCGCCGACGCCACGGCCCAGCTGTGGGTCAGAATACTCAAGAGCATGCGCGATAAGAACATGACCAGCGTTGTACCCCGGATGAGCGAGAATGAAGGAGTCCTCAATGTGCCGTTCCTCAATCTGAACAGCAGCTATATCCAGGCGGCGGAGAAGGATCTTCCCAGGGGTGGTGATCGAGGTGTAAGTCTTGGTCCACGCGTGTTCGTGACCATTTGCTAATTATCTCCCAGCCCTGGAAACCAAGAAGTTCGTTCTTGAAGGATATTTGGTTCGCTCGCTTCGGCGATATCCAGACCGGGTTGCATTTCACAAGAGTCTCGACTTAAACCGGTTGTGGAAGAGAGGATGGTCGAGGAGCTAGGAGTTTGGTTAGAGTACGGAACAGTCTTTTCCGCCTCGTGTGTATTGAAGCATTGTAACCGTCCGTTGCGCCGGCTTCGCACAAACACTTAGAGATCAGCGTCATGCTGCTTGACCAAGTAACGAGATGGCGTGCGTTCTTTCATGGTTTCTTCTTGATTGATAGGTATTCTGACTGAAACCGAGTGGGAGAGTATTAGAGGAGTCTCGCTCTAGCCTTAGGCACGACACCGAACCAGTTTCAGAGGAGATTTGTTATTTACTACTAGCATTTGAGGAAAGCGACTACCGTGCTGAGAGGCGGTGACCTTGCGGGACGGCGGTTTGTAGTGAGTGAGCGACGGTGGTTCTTCCCACTCAGGCGTGCCAGGCCACCCACCACCACCACCACCACAAGTGCGGGAGCCTCAAACGCGATGAACTCGATCTTCATATAGTGGATTTATATATACATCACCATGTAGGCAGACACGGTTCCTAAACCTGTCTGTACTAAGATCCCTAACCTAATAGCATAAAGCAAGTTTACGATGACTACCACTCGCACCAGAAAGATCGTAGCGACCAAGGACGGAATCAAATGGCACGTCGAGCAAGAGGGCTCTGGTCCCGACATTGTGCTGATCCCAGACGGTCTGGGCGATTGCCAAATGTTCGATAAACCAATGTCCATGATCGCCGCCAGTGGCTTTCGTGTCACAACGTTCGACATGCCTGGAATGTCAAGGTCAACGGACGCACCTCCAAAGACATACCAGGATATCACTGGTCATAAACTGGCGACCTTCGTGGACACCCTCTTAGAGGAACTGAATATCCCAGTCGCTTCTGTTTGGGGTTGCAGCTCGGGTGCTTCGACGGTGCTCGCCCTCTACGCGGCGTTTCCAAAACGCGTACGCAATGCGATGCCTCACGAGCTACCAACAAAGAACCCCGATGTCCTTTTCAACATCCACAACAAAGACCCGGCAGACATCTCGAAAGAAATGGCCGCCACCTCTCGGGCGTTCTCAGGTGGCATAGAGGCATGGGATGCCCTTGGGTTGGAGGTCCACGCCAGGCTTCATGACAACTACGTCCGTTGGGCGTATGGTTATCCGACCACAATACCCCCCTCGGCGCCTACAAGGTCAGAAGACTTGCACAAGAGACCGGTGGATTGGACTGTCGGTGGTGCCACTCCAACGGCTCTTTTCTTCGAAAACATCGTTATTGCCGCCAAAGAGGGCTTGAACATTGGGACTTTACCAGGCAATCATTTCCCCTACGTATCTCACCCCGAGGCATTTGCCAAATACGTTGTGGAGACTTGTCGGAAGTACGTGTAACAAGAGAAACTCTTATCACTTGACGGAGGTCTAGGAGAAGGTTATGTATGTAACCCGAAATTCAAGAAGTACTATGTAGGAGGTCACTAGCACCTTAAGCTCACATATATCCCCTATTACTGGGATTCTCACTCCCAACCTACAATCCCCTGTGAGCTGCAACGAGGACTCTGCGCTCACTTTGATAAGTCAAACTCTTCCCCTAGGAGATTTGCTGCTGCTTGCACCCCCATGCTTATCCTTTGCCTACTCGTGATCCAGACTGTAAAGCACGGCAGCCTCTCCCTTTCCACGACCTACCAAGTGAGGAGCGTCCAATTTTACATTGATTTGACTAAAAAAGATTCAGTTACTCCCCTCGTCTTTGTATCCAAGCCTTCAGTGGCTTCCGATGGAGGTGCCTACCTCGTCAATTTATGGTCGACGCTTGGAGTGAAAACGGCCGCAATGAAAGCCGGTACTGCAACATGTCAGAAATTAAATCGCGTCAACAGATGCAATACCTCACTCACCGCCAAAAGCTATTGTGACGAGGTAAACAAGCTTGAATGCTTGAGCATAGACATCCTTACTGGCCTCATCCGCGGCAGTAAGCACGGCGGGAGTGACACCTGCGACAGGGTCAAGAGCCGTGCTGTTGTGAGTGAGAAACGCAGCTAAGGGAGGTCAGAAAGAAATCAAACCGTTTGAAATTTCAGAGCTCATACGAAGGAAACTTTGCAATCTTGAAGCGGGCAATCCTGCTTCCATTGCTGCTGCTGCAATGGTTGGGGATAGATCACTTGCCGTCTTGTCCCGGATGATCGAGCTATAGATCGCCAGAGCGATGGCACCACCAACAGCTGTAGTAGATCCCATCAAACTGGTTGATAGTCAGTCATAATTTTTGATATTCCTGTTTTCCAATGCCACATACCCAGTTGCTAGACCGATATGTTTGTCCGGGGCACCGAATTGTAACATGAGTATTTTTAGCATGTGGGTTGCCCCGACAAACCCTGCAGCGAAGACAACCAAGACTATTGCTCGAGTTGATGTGTGTGGGGTGATAGAGGCCATGGCGGCAGTGAGAACAGCCTGGAGAAGTGTCGCCGTAGAAAATTGTATTCTCGTACAGCCGAACGTGGTGAAAGAAAATGCTGCGGCTGCCCCAAACACTGTACAGGAGTGAGGAAAAAATACAGGACCAAGAAGTTCCAGTTGTCAAGCTTACAGGTAACTGGAGTATTATATGCCACACTGTACCACCCTATCTTCTGTGGAACGGTCGTGAAAAGCAATTGAACTTCTGTATTAACGGTCAATAACGACGGAGCTGACCGCAATAGACCACCTTGATGTACTCACGCTGGGGCCAGAAAACTTGGAAACTGACCAGCTATAGACAGAGTTCGTTAGCTGGGGGTGACTGTCAAATGTGACCAGAGTTGCACCTACCAATGACCCAGACACGAAAGACACGACTAGCGGCAAGATGAAGGTTCTGAAATTGGCGAATATCTCTGGTGGGCATAGCTTTGAAACGTTGCGGGGCCCATAAACCTCCCAGAGTGGGAATGCAACAAGAAACTTTAGCACTACCTCCAGGTGAGCATTCACTTCGCTGCAGGTATGAAAGAATGGACTTACGTCCCAACAAGAGAGGCACCAATACGTGTGCACTTTTCCAGGGGTAAGGATTGTTGCCCCAGGATATTCCCAGCAGAAAGATTATGAGGCCACCACCGTAGAACAGAAGTCCTATGAAGTCGAGATCTTGGAATTGTTGTCGTCGGGTCTTGCCCTCTGGATGAAGGCCAATGAAATTGGGAGGCCAATAGAAGATGGCTACAAGCAGTAAAGCGAGTCCATTCGCAATGATGCCCACGTAGAACGTCCATCGCCAGTTAAATGTTGCGACGAGGCGATATGCTGTATATGTCGGTCACAGAGTTAGACTCGTTGAACGAGGATACTATCGTTGCCTTAGAAGACTTTACCTATGAGTGATCCGAAGCAGGATCCTGGCATTGAAGCCAGATTCAATGCAGCGATTGCTTTCCCTCGTGACCTTTTCGGGACTATCTCGTTCGCACATGCGAGTGAGAGTAGTTGGGAACCTGAGCCGGACCCCTTTTGCGGCACGATAAGCGGAACTGATCTGGAAATAGCACGCATAGAGTAGACTCACAGTGATAGCTAATCCGGCAATGATTGTGTCAATAGAACGGGCCCTGTCAGCCTCGTAAGCGCCATGAGAACGTGGTGTTCCTGCGCAGACAAACCTTGACCCTATGATGCAACCTATATGAAGTCAGAGGAACACCGTGTTTCACAAGAGGTTCAAGCATAGTACCAATCAAGCCCATGAGGTTCCCAGCCAAGGCGAAGTTCCTCCGCCCGCATATATCACTCAGTGAACCTGCGATGGTCATCACCACTCCTTGAGCAAGAGTCCAGGCAGTCGGAGCCCAGTTGAGTTGTTTCGAAGGCCCAATGTCGGCGTCGATGGTGAGCAACACAGCCACTGGTAGAACAAAAGACAGTACCACAGATTCATAGGTAACAGCTAGGGCCTAAGTGCGATTATATCGTCAGCAGCCATAGGGGGATAGACTTGTGAGAGAACTCGAGCTCGTACCACGATGGCCATGATCGTTCGTCGATCGACCTTGCGTTCTTCATAAGTTTCGGCCTCTGCACGTAACTCTGGGCCATCCGGCTTTGTAGTGTCCACGGACTCGTCATGGAAAGAGAAGGTTGAAAGTTCCTTGGGTTCCTGCATCGTATCGCTCTGTTTCTGGAGGTTGCAACTTTTTGGGATGGTGAAATCCTTCGCAGCGCAGGCCGACGCTTGAATATATCTTCGGCCAGCATCCCGATGTCTACGCGGTGAATCCTGATTGCAACAAGTCTACTCGAGGCTGGTCGCTTCGAGGTCTGTTCGGATAGTGATGAAAGGCGGTTCGTTCGCCAGATTCCCACCATCCGGCCCCCCTATTCCCCACAATCGTCTGTCCACACTCCAAGCAACGAGGCTGAGAGGCTGGCGACTCAGGCTTCAGCAGCTCTGGGGAAATTTCTCTCCGCTCGGACGCTTGGAAGGCTCTGACCATCTGCTGAACAGACAGAATTTGGCATTCGACATCAGCTAGCACTGGAACTCGTTGTGCCAGATGGCCATTTACCTTACTGGGAAACAGAGGCTACCTCGGTTGGGCTTCCTTTCGATTAAACCGAGCTAAGAGCCCTCATACCTTTAGCAGACTTAGTCATTCAGAGATTCCTAGATCCTGGCTTCGATAGAGCCGCAGAGTGACGGAATATAAATCTCTGTGGTGGTCGAGGACTCGTGGAGGCTCGCGGAGGCTCTCTCTCGCGGGCGGCACAGTGCACTACCCCTTCTTTCCCCCCTTCCCCCGATGGTTCCCCTCCTTCCGGACGCCGGACGAAGACGTCTCGGCTCTCAGCATCACGTGTGCCCAGATATCTGTCTTCTCGCAATCATCCTTGAAACACAACTTCGCCGACATCGTCGCGGGTTCAGGGCTGTGCAGATCCACAGTTAATACGGTCAGACCGGACTACTTGATCGTAAACTCCGGGTGTAATGGAACTTGGCTCCTTCTAGAGGTGTCTCGCATTGGTACGATGGCAACCACCACGCGTAGCTTCGATCCTACGGATAGGACATCGTCCAGCGTTTGGCAGTCCCAACCACAGTTGGTCGACAAGACGCGTCGTTGTCCACACTGCTCGCGAGAATTCAAGAAAAACGACCACTATGAGCGCCACCTTCGTTCACACACGAATGAGAAGCCCTATGGGTGCAGGATTTGCGGAAAGTTCTACCCTCGCCGGTATGTTGAGAGCTGATAGGCATAATGATTCGTTACGCCTAACAACATGTCAAGTGACACTCTCTTGCGCCATATGAAAACTCACAGAGCAAGGCACAATGTTGCAGGGCCTCACCCGGTCGGCGGCTGGGGCAACATGGATTCGAATCAGAGAGGAAATTCACGAGCAGCGATGAGTGACGATACGTCAACGATTCTGGGCTCAACCTTGGACTCGGATCTAGATCTTGAAGATGCTACCTTGGGCCTCACCGAGACCGCGCACAACCGAAGATCTGTTTTGCTGCAGGACCACTCGACATGCACGAGGCCGAACTCGGATGTTTTCTCTGGCGATCAGGTTATGATCAATGATCACGCTACCATGAATGTTCCGACCGCCGGGGATCAGCTGCTGAATCTTGATTTCTCGAATTGGCTTCTCGACGAGAACCTCGTGGATCTTGGACTGGGAGAATCTTGGATTGAACCAGTCAGCGCAAATGAACGGTCACAGCCAATGCCTCCGCCAATGGCCCCAGCCGAGCAGTGCGACAAACCCCCCGTTGTACCAGATCTCAGGCCAATATGGTATAATCAACCAAGGAGGACCGTTGATAGCCTTCATGACGATTATGAAGGGGCAAAAAGACAACATACGACAACTTTCAGAAGAGATATCGACGATACATATCGCACGCATATGGTCGAAGAACTTTGTACCCCGTTGCGCAACGATCCACTTCCATCCCTGGACTTCCTGGTACAGCCATTTGTTGCCCATTTTATATTCCACGTCTAATCAAGGCTACAGAATCTCTGCGTTCAGTTATTCTTCACCCGCTTCAACATCGCGCTGCCCATAGTACATGGACCGACTTTCCGGCCGAGTGAGGCTAACATTTTAACAGTTCTTATCATGTGTTGTGCTGGGACCACAACAAGTTCTTCGGCCATGTCTACCCGGGTGGGATCGATGCTCTTTGAACGAATTCACAAAGCTGGCAATGGTGGTCCGTGGGAGAGAGGGCTATCGGAACGACCGCATGTTACACCCCATAACCTTATGGGAGCCATCATCGGTCAAACCGTCGCACTGCTGTCTGCCGATCCGGTTCATCGAGCAATTGCAGACGCTTATCATGGTTGTCTTATCTCGGTATCTCCACCTATTGCCTGCATCATGTTATCGACTAACTGTGTATCCCAGATTGGTCGACATGTAGGGCTGTTCAAGGAGATCCCAGAACTTGATCTCAGGGATATGGCCTCGGCAGAAGATCTCGAGAAAAGATGGAAACAATGGGCTCGAAACGAGGAAATGAAGAGGTGATGCATACGTTTCCGATCTTCGCAAATCGAAGTTACTGACGGTGCGTATAGGGCAGCAATCGTCTTGCATATTCAAGACGCGGAAATTGCTGCTTTGTTCCACCATGAGCCTGCTTTCCGACATAACACCAGCAACTTGCCCGATGTTGCACCCAATGATCTATTTCAAGCACCTACGGCCACGTTATGGGCGATTAAGCACAACGAACATATGAAACATCGACGAAGTAATTCAACAACCCAACCGAATGAGGCTCGCTTCATTGGTCAGACAGGAAAAGGCTGGCAACAACAACGGTCACTGATGAACGCCTGGGCCGTTCTATCAGGGATTGGCGCGACAATAGCTGAACACCGGTCTCTTCAAACGCTCTCACTGCAACGCGTCGCTGAGCTTGAGAATGGCCTGGTGACTTGGTACACGTTGAGGAACTGCTGCAAGATAGAGCCCTGTCGAAACACCCACGAGCCCGAACTGCCATTTTGTCTCCGGCCGCTGTGGCATTATACCTTCATGACATTGAGTGCGGATATTGATCTTCTTGAGGAGGCGATTGGAAGGGATGGCGCCATGATTCCTGCCTCAAGGCCGGATCAGATCCGAACTTGGACTTCCTCTCCAGAATCCAAGCGTTGCCTTTTCCATGCTCTGCTATTGCAGAATCTCATCAACCAAACAACGGTAGACTCCAGCGTTGCTATCTTCACGCCGAGATTACTTTTTTCGGCAGCCGTCTGTTGGCATTGCTTCAATCTCTACTTACCATGGAGCACGGCTTCACTCGACTCCGGTGCTTCGCTATTGCTCGAAGCTGCGTCCGAGTATCTGATGGCGTTGCCAGAGATACAGCTTCTGAAGCAGGATCGCACCACAACAGGTACTAACCTTCTCGACAAATCAATGTCGGACCTCAAAAGGATACTAGGGACACCCCCCTCCGGAAGGAAAGTCAGCACTCTCTGTGTTCTCGAATCAGCTCTTCGACGACTGGGGACAAGCGGGATTTCGCAAAGATTTGCTGACTTGGTACAAGCCTTCATCACAGGTAGCGTCCAATGAACTGTATCCGGGTATATCTCGCGTACGAAGGTGACCTCAGGCCTTTCGGATTCCTACAAGCTACTTGGCAGTCTTTGCATATGAAATACCCGGTTCGTGATGGTGTTCGCAAAAAGTCAAGGGCGGTCTACTTCTCGCGGGACACCTTCTCAGCTTTGCTGCTGGCTAGCTCTCAATGAGTCAAAGCGCGGTGGGACAGTCTCTCCTCGCTATTGCCCGAGCTCTTTAGGCCAGAGGGATCCCATGGGAGTGAGACAAGAAGCCTAGGGACTCGATGGGCTTGGGCTTCTAAGACGAGTCCGACTTTGCCCTCGCCCCAGGTATTCCGTCAGTGTTCAACTCCGCCACCAAAGGCGGGGCGCCCCGCATCGGTTAGAATGCGCCCGTATTGGCCTTCTAAACGCGCATGGTGAGCGAGCTGCTTCAATCGTACGGGGGGCATGTTGACATGCCAGGAAGTAATCCCATCAACAAAGACGGAATAAGTTGCTGGACATCGTGAGAAGAGCTCTCTCTCCATGGAATATCTGTTATCCTCTTCTCGCCAGCGTGACAATGGAGCATTTGATGAGGGTAATCACGGTAATGTACCAGCCGCGGCTGGCGACGTTGGCGCTATGGCTGATAGTGCTAACAATAGCACTCTCATTGGCAAAGATTAGGGTGATCACGCCTGAATTACATGCTTTGGACAACGCCAGCCGTGCAAGACTGACTTCGAGTTTCTGTGCAGGCAATTCGACGAGCATATCTCACACCACCATCGTCCATTCCAGGTCCATCGATTGCAAGATTCAGCTCAGCGCTATTGAAATTCCACACAATTCGAGGACAGCGTGTGCAATACATCCACCACCTGCATCAGATCTACGGTCCATTGGTTCGCATTGGTCCAAACGAGGTCGATGTTGCTGATCTACAGGGCTATCATGCCATTCACAAGATTGGGAGCGGTTTTCAGAAGAGCCAATGGTACCCAAGATTTCGCACGGCTTACGAACATCAAGACGTCTTCTCAGAGACAAATGCAAAGAACCACGGGATTCGGAGAAAGATCCTGTCCCGACCATTCTCCAAATCGAACTTGACACAGAACCGGGCGGCCTTGGTGGATGAGAGAGCTCAGTTGGCAGTCCAAAAGATCAGGGCGAGGGCAGAAACTGGGACTTGCAACGTCTTCGAATGGTGGACGTACATGGCTACCGATGTCATTGGGAAAGTCTCCTTCGGCGAGTCATTCGGGATGCTGGAGCTTGGAAAGGTATGTTCGTCTGGACCATAAGTGTTGCCTGGTTTGTTGTACTCGATGGGCAGACTGATGATGCTTGGACTCTCACAGAAAACGGAGTTTGTTGAAATGTTCGAGAATTTCGCCATGATTGGCATTCTTCGATCCGAATTTCCGGGCCTCTACCGTATTTTCTGTCTTCTACCGAACTTTCTATTTGATATCAACCGGGATGAAAAGCTCATCATTCGGCATGGCAAGGAGATCCTGGCCCGCGCCAAGGAAGGTTCCATGGACAGGACAAACATCTTCACAGGCCATATTGTGGCAGACGAGACAGGCGTAAGCGAAATCTCGGAGGACAGCATGGTCGTCGAAGCCACTGGTCTGATTGGGGCGGGTGGCGGCACGACAAGTGTCACCCTGACCTACCTCGTTTATGCGGTCCTTCAAAATCCACGAATACAGGCAAGGCTGGAACACGAAGTGGCCGCATTACCGGACAAGTTCACCAATACCGATCTTGAAAAGCTTCCTTATATGAATGCTGTGATTGAAGAAGCTCTGAGGCTATACGGTCCAATACCCGGAGCGCTCCAACGTGTCGCTCCAAAGACAGGCTTGAACATCTCTGGCCATTTCATGCCGGCTGGCACTATCGTTTGCACTCAAGCATTCAGCATGCATCGAATACCAGAAATCTTTCCAAACCCAGAATGGTAAGTATCAGAGGCCACCATGTCAAACATTGAGATCCCCCGTTCAAAATGAGATGCTGACGCTCGCCAGGTTTGAGCCGGAAAGATTCCTCCACGATGCCTATACAATTCCAGAGCAGCGATCGGCCTTCGCGGCTTTTGGAGCTGGAGCACGTGTCTGTCTAGGCGTACATCTGGCCTACATGGAACTCCGTATGGCAACCGCCTTGTTCTTCCGGGACTGTGCTGGTGCTCGGCTTGCCCTTGAAGCACCTGATGATATGGACATGGTCAACTTTTTCGGCGGTGTACCTAAGAGCCAGCGCTGCAATATCACCTTGACAAGATCTGACGCACATTAGAGAGAGGCTCCTATGTGTGTCAATGGGTCTAGCTTTGGCAGATGCTTGTGGGATGGTCGCAAGTAGAAATAGAAGGTCAGAGAGCCTGTTTATAAGCAACCTTGGAGTTGCCGTGCCTGGTGTTTTCCGCAAATGAGCATCCCACTGCCGCAATGAAACCAAAATTCACCCTAAACCTATCCAGTGACTTTATTCTAGCTGCCTCGGTGTAAGATAGCTAGGCTACATAGAGGAGTGAAAAATACCTATATCCGACCCTTCCCCGACTGTATTGAATCCTCAGCAGTGGCCCGCATGGTAATGCGCGATTTCTGCGATTCTGCCGCTATAATCACTGTTTCTTCCTGCGAATTCCGGGACCAAAACTCTTGGTCTCTACTCTTACAATCATTGGAAGCTGTGGTTGCAATCTCCATGCTGAAATGGCCCTCATATAAAGTCAAGTGGGATTGCATTGATTGAGTTCTAGTTAGACGTTCAATTACATGTCATGGCAGCCGCTGAGAGCACAACTAGTGGCAGGTACACCCTGTACTACAACCCGTTTTCAATATGTTCGCTTATGGCTTTATTGACGGTTCGCTGGAAGGGGGAGCCGGTGTCACCAGAAATGGCAGTTGATATCGTTGAGGAAGAGGTGGACATTTATACCGGGGAGCAAAACAGAGAGGAGTTCTTGAAGAAGAGCTGGAAAGGCCAAGTAAGTATCATCAGAGTCTGATAGCACATTAGTGTTGATTGAGGTTTTATCTACAAAGGTTCCGGTTTTGCTGGGTCCTGATGATCTCAAGTTGACCGACAGCCTTGAGATCACCCTGTTTCTCGCGTCGAGATATCCGCAACTACTTCCTGATGCATTGCAAGGGGCCATTACGGCTATGCTGGATAAACTACACCAAGTGTGGTTTGTGAGCCTTTCGTTCACCGCCCAGGAAGGTCGAGGAGCCGGCATCATTCAGCAGATTCAGGATATAGTCGCACAACCTACAACTTCGGAAGACTACAAAGCCGCTTTGCAAAGGAAGTTACAGTAGTAAGTCCATCCTTTCGATGCTGGAATTTCAGCGCTGGAGACCCTCGACGCCCAACTTTTGAGCAACACTGGCTAGGAGACTGATGAAGAACACCACAGCTACGCCGACTCCTATCAAGCAGATCCACATGCTCCCGAAATCGTGGCACGAGAACAGCTCAAGGCGCAGACATATCTGGCAAAAATCGCCGACCTACGAGCAGCACATAATGCAGGACATGATAGCAACTGGATTTTTGGCAGCAAGATAGGACCTACTGCACTGGATGCTCATACTGTGGTCTTCATCGCTCGCTTGATTGATGCTGGTCATACCAGCCTGATCGGCCGGGACATGTTGGAGTACGGGATTCAAAATCTGAAGGCACCAGAGTGGACGGGCATTGTACGCAACAGATCTACACTACATAGCTTGTGGGAGCGGCAGGAAGCAGCTAAGGTATCGAAGGTTGAAGTTCGTTAGGAAATTGAAACTTGGGCGTATGTACTACGACGCCCTGCACGATGGACGTCGATGGTGGCGGCGGGGCAGAGGGACAATAGGCCTTGCTACAAGGGGGTCCATCTCTCAACCGTAAATGCACAACGCCAATCAATGCCTGGCGAACAGTAGTCGTCTTTTCAGAGAATCTCAAGAGTCGTCAGCATGTAAGCCAAGTTAAGCGGTAGGTAGATAAAGCTCGACATCTTTGTGTCTCTGTCTCTTCAGAGAGGCTTTACCTTGGGTACCTGCCATCATGTCTCAATTAAGAGAACAAGACACCATCTTCATCTCTGGTGCAACCGGTACGCAGGGTTCAGCAACCGTCCGAGCCCTCCTGCGTCTGTCATGCCCGTCTGCGACCCTCACCATTCACGCTCTCGTCCGTGATTGTGACAGTGCACAGGCCCGGGCCCTGGCCAATTTGTCGCCTTTGGTCAAACTCTTCAAAGGACACCATGATGACCCTTCTTCTATTGCAGCTGCGGCTGAATCATGCACTGCAGCCATGTTCATTCTCCTGACCGGCTGGGACGACCCAGGTGCCGAACAACGACATGCCCAGAATATTCTCAGCCGGCTTTCTTCCATTCCAACCATCAAACGCATCGTCTACCCAACCACTGCGGGCGTCAAAGATCCTCGCGTACCAGGCAATTTCAAAAATCTCCGGGAAGGTAGTCTCAGATACACCTATTACCGGGGCAAGTCTGCCAACGAGAGTACCGTCCAAAAAGTCGCCGAGCAGAACGGATGGGCTTGGACAATTTTCAAACCTGCAACCTTCCTCTCCAACTTTCTGAAGCCCATGGCAGACTTCATGTACCCGGAGCTTAAGGAGCACCGGATTGTGACGGTGATGCCTCCGGAGTATGAGTTTTCCTTTGTTGACCCAGACGATATCGGACGGTTCAGCGCGGCGGCTCTCCTGGGGCCCGGCAAAGGGCGAAATCTTCCTGATCTCTCTTCGCAGGTCATTGACTTAGCTTCTCAGGTGGGAACATTGGAAGATATCACGCGTGCAATGGGCAAAGTTCTGGCAAAGTATGGTCACAAGGTGAATATTGTCGTGGAGCACGTCACTGTAGAAGAAGCAGAGAGACGGGGACAAAACCTCGTCAAGATCCAGAATGAAGAATTTCTGGTTGAGAATCCTGTAGTGGTGGACCTCGCCCGAGTTAGAGATTTCGGATTCCCTTTGGGCACGATCGAGGGATTCCTTGAGAGAGAAATCGAGAGGCTCAAGGAAGTATTGGCATTATGAACGTGGAACTAAGTATAGGGAACAATCCGAAAGGTTTAGACATCAATGCATGATATCTGTATATGTGCACCCTCTCAGTTTGAGAATTCTCGGAGCGGATCTTTGTAGCATCTGGCGAACTACAACTTGATATTCGTCACCAATCTGTCACCTTGCCACATTTCAAGATTTTTTGACACATTCCCATAGTTGAGCGTCAGATAATCCGTGAAGTAATTCATCCTCCTTTTCCACGGACCGCTGTCACCGGTCTTCGGAAGATCCTTTGTCGCAGCCGAGACATAAGTCGACGTGAGGTCCATCAGTGGGCGTGCCTCGGGAGCATTGTCATCGAGTATTCGAGGAACAATGCTCGTTAGGCCATGTCTACGCATCCCTTTCAAGAGACGGCAAAGGAGAAACGCAGTAGCATCGGCACCCAAAGTCCACGACGCCATTGTGTAGCCCATGATCAGCACCGTATTGGGAAGGTCCTGTAGCATTGCATGGTGCCAGGTAAATTTATCAGCAAAGCGAAACGACTCCCCATCCACGGTTAGGTTCATTCCACCGCCAAGCTGGAGTTTGAATCCTGTGGCTGTGACGATAATGTCGGCTGGTATCTTGTCGCCACCCTGGAGGAGGATGCCGTCCTCGACAATCTGGTCAATGGTGTCGGTGACTACCTTGGCACGCCCCCGGCGGATGGCCGCATAGAAATCGCCGTCTGGGGCAAAGCACACCCGCTGGTCGAACGGGCTGTATCGAGGTGTGAAGTGCGGATCTACCGGATAGTCCTTGGGAAGCTGTTTGGCGGCATTGTCGCGGATCATAGTTCGAGATATCCTTGGAAACAGGCGGCAGAAGTAGTAAAAGAGGATGGGCATAACCATGAAATACAGCCTGTTCAGGGTGTATGACAGACGCTCCGGCAGGTAGCGCTGCAGCAAAGATGCCGACCGAGGGTTGGGTAACGACACAACATACGATGGACTGCGTTGTAACATCGTGACACTGGCCTCCTGCTGCGCCAGTACTGGGACAAGGGTAATGGCTGTGGCGCCGCTCCCCACGCAAACTACATGTTTGCCAGTAAAGTCGACGTCGTTCGGCCAAAACTGAGGATGGACAACTCTGCCGGCGAAAGTGTCCAGATTTCGGAATTTGGCTTCCAGTGGCTTGTTATAAGCATAATACCCAGTGCCGAGGACAAGAAATTTCGCGTGGACTTTTCTGATCGTCGCGTCTGAAAGAATCGTCAGGTTCCAAATTTGCCTTTTCGTGGACCAGTTCGCGCTTTGAACGCGAGTGTTGAATTGGATCTGCTTCTCTATTCCCTCGGCAGCAGCTGACGCTTTCAGATAATTCAGAATGGATGAGGCCTCAGCGATAGGGTTGGTCTCCAACCACGGTCGCCAGGAGAAGCCAAAGGTAAACAGATCAGAGTCCGACCGTAGGCCTGGGTACTTGAAAAAGTCCCATGTGCCCCCGAGTGCACCGCGTGCTTCAAATATGGCATATCGAATCCCCGGAAGTCGAGACTGGATGCGGTAGGCGGTATTGATGCCTGATATTCCTGCTCCGATGATCACGACGTCGAAGGTGTCATCAGTTGTATCTGGGCTCTGCGAATCCACCATGATCTCGGGCTTCTTCCGTTCTTAGGTAGATTTGTGATTTTGCCCTCAACTATGCGGTTGCAGTATAGATTGAGGTTTCTCAAAGGGCCATTGGCCTCTCTGCTCACAATTAATACCAGCATCGACATTGTTGGTCATGTCGCGTGTGTTCGCATCTTCCGACGCTCACACGGTCTCGCACTCGTATCTGCTAGCCTCTCCGGACAAAGGCATAGAAAAGGCCACGCACCTCATCACTTCTTCTGTGGGATTAAGAACCTCTCGAATCTGAGGAGCTGGTGAATCGCCCCGCACACCCACCGCATGTCCCGCGGCCAAATCTGTCCAAGTTAGGCGTTCTCAGCCACCTAGAGGAGCCCTAGGTTTAGAGGCTGTATAGTTAGCTTGCTCTCTAGGACGCTTAGGCATAGAACAGAGATCTCTTCAACCTTTTTCATACAAAAATCAACCATACGGGATGCTGGATTGCGGTACACACAAAAAGCGGGGCCCGAGCTCTCCCCGATCAATTCCATGTCCCTGACCTGTTCCTTCTCAACCATGTTCAGGACCCTTTCGAGTTATATTGAGGAGAACCGGAGTCAGTACACAAGCTAGGAACGGATTGAGACGTTGGGTCCTTTTCGAGTCGTCAAAATTCAATCCTGGATTCTCGGTGTCAGACAGAATGGATAATAGGCCAGAAAAGATCGATGTTCACAGCCATTTCTTGCCGGCAGCTTACCGTGAAGATTGCAAGGAGAACGGGCAACAGTGCTCCTGATGGCTTTCCCATTTTGCCAGTTCGTTCTGTCGACCCCAGCTTATGACAATAGACATCCTTCTGATATGTCAGTCTAGGAATGGAATCTGGAGGATCATTTGAGGATGACCAGAGAGATGAACATCACAAAGTCCTATCTATCCATATCATCGCCAGGAGTTCATCTCGTGCCAGGAAACGACGAGCTAGCCCGAAAAGTATGTCGCGAGTGCAACCTTGCGGGTGCCGACGCGAAGACACGCTTCCCCGATCGTTTTGGGTTCTGGGCATCGCTTCCACTGCCTGATGTGCAAGGCAGTCTGGAGGAACTTGCATATGCTTTTGATGAGCTGAAGGCAGACTGAGTCGCTGTTGAGACCAACGTCCATGGATACTATTTGGGTCACCCCAAATTTGAGCCCGTCTGGGCCGAGCTCGATCGTCGACACGCCATCGTTTTGCGCACCCAACTTCTGGGTGCACTATGCAGCAAACAACAGCTTGTCCTTTACCGGAGTATCCTAATCCAATCTTTGAATTCTTCTTCGACACCGCCAGGGCCGTGATCAACTTGTTCTATTCTGGCACGGTCTCGCGCTACTCCAACATCACTTACATTATCCCTCACGCAGGCGGGTGCTTGCCACCACTAATCGAGAGATTCTCGATATCCGGGCGGGCTATTCCCAACATACCTGTCGACAGCTCTGTCAACCCGGATTTCGTCAAGTCGAAGTTGAAGACCAATTTCTACTTCGATATGGCGGGTACTCCTTGGCCTTATCAAATGCCCGCTCTGCTCGCCTTTGTTGACAAGGATCATATCCTTTATGGAAGCGATTATCCTTTCACTCCTGCCGAGTATGTTGAACGCCTTGCTGATGTCATGGAGAAATTCATGCCGCAAATCTTCAGCACAGAAGAGCAACAGGCCATGGCATACAAAGTGAATGCTGAGAGGCTGTTTCGTGACCAGGCTGCGGGGGTCGATATGACAAGCAAGTCCGAGGACTCTCTAAGGAAATAGTGACTGTATTCCGAACTGCGGATAACATGCAAAAGGGTGGGATAATCTGAGTTCGATGTTATCCGACATTCAGCGTCCGCATTTTGTTTCCATGTGGCGATGAACTATGCAGACATACCACCACCGAACCTACCACTTACGGAGCGGGACCGAGAATCGATCTTGGGGATCCTTGCCCACAGAAGATTAGACATCTCGCGCACGTTGTGGCTTCGGAAAAAAAGGTCTAGTCGAAGTGCCCGTAGTCTCTGAGGGAATGAGTCGTCGGAGCGCCCTACCGAATCCGTGCTGTATCCCCATGAAGGCTTCGCAAAGCCTACGTACCATGTATGATTAACTGGCTAAACTACGAGGGAAATACTGGCCGCTATATAATAGTCGTCCATAACCGAGCGTAGAGAGTACGGAAGTGCTGGGTCACGTGGATTGCCTGAAGGTAGTCCGGAAGAATGTTCTTCCATCTCCGAACGTCTGCCGGCGCTTGCCCCGAACAGGCCGTTCTAGCCGCCTTCCGAAGCCTCGCTCCAGACCACGTTGCCGCCTGACTTTTTTTTCTTTTCACTTGTCAGCAACCTCCTTGACAACCACCACCAGAGCCTCCCAGACGCCTTCCAGCTTTAAGACAGTCAATTTGAAAATTTGCCGTACACACTAGGTTAGCGATCTCAAAGTTTCTCTTCGTCGAACCAGATACAGACTACACAATGGGCGGAGGCAACGGAGCCAAGGCTGCCATGAAGAGGGCCAGGAATGCGAAAGATGCCGCCAAAGACCCAAAGTCACAGCTGAAAACTGTAAGCACTCCAAATCCCTCTCAAAACATCTACATCTGCGTATTCCATGATACGGCTTGTAACATGATGGCTTTGTGGCCCCTTGCAATCAGAGGGCCACATTTCCAACATTGCCTTTTCCTCGCTGGACGGAGTATAATGTTAGACGAAAGGGCCCATCGACTACTCCGCGTCTTTGTCCCTTCTCTAGACCTCGGTCATCTCCCGACCGCCAGCTTGAGTCCATTCATACTATTCCCGTGCCTCTGGCCTCCACTCTCACGCTCTATCGGTGGGTGGACAAGAACTAATATTTCAATGTTCACAGAACGCCGCAGCACAAAGCATCAAATGCAAGACCTGCTTCCAAACGTTCCAAAGTACCACCGGACGCTCAGCTCTTGACGAACATGCTAGCAACAAACACAGCAAGAAATACGAAGATTGCTTTGCTTGAGCTGCGTGGATTGCGGTTGTTCGACGATTCGCAGATGAGTTCTGAGGGCTGAAGGTGTTGCACGGCGCCAAACTGCATTCGGACTTTTGTTGAAGGGACATCGAATTCGACGACAACGGGCTCCCTACGAGCTTCTTCAACAAATTGGAACGAGAATTAGCAGGGAGTTGGGGTTGAACTTTTCAATGCTTGTTACCGCTGATAGACTACCTTTCAATAACACTTGGATGTGACCATCGACTCCGGTGGCTTATTATTGTGCTCGCATGACAAACTCACGTTTCTCAACGAGCAGCCAGCCTTTGCCTACGCCAAATCCGTGTCTGTGAAGATGAAGCTCAGGAACCTGGGCCCTCTACCCAACGTTCCATCGAGTGCCTCACCCTCACAAGCCACAAAACCGACCATCGAAGAACGAGTGTTGTAAGGCCTCCACGTGAATCCAGGCGAGGCAACAGTGACGGCCTCTTTCCATTGCCGGACATCAACTTGATCTACGACATCTAGTCTGCTCTCATTGCGCCCGTTGCGTGAATCGTGATATATGGTCTTGTCCCCATCACTGCGCAAGGCTCAGCGAGAAACGGAAAAAGCAAACGAAGCGAGCTCGGTACTCGGTCCTGAAGAACCAGGCTAAGATGCTAGTAACAAGAGCGGAGTTCAGCGATTTGATCAACTCCGGATTATTTAGTCTACACGACAGTATCAAGGACTAGGCGCCCTGCTACATAGTGGCTCACCAGGTGTGAATCCGTTGCGTTTTGATTGTACGAAAGTAGAGTTCATACCTGATCCAGCACTCTCACGTTCCTTATCCGCCAAGAGAAGCAGTTTGTGTGCTGTACCAAGGTACATAATTAATGAAGCGAGGAATATCACTCCGGCTGTGAGACATATTTCCGCACGAATACTTCTAGGCAGCTGTCCCGGAATCATCACCATGCTCAACGAGACAAACGGCCATATCGATGGCACTTCCATCGACAACAAGACTAGTACCATTACTCCACCACCTGGCCCCCTTAAAGACGACATTCCGCCGGCGCTCCTGCACCGCTCCCTCCGCCAGGCTCCCTACCTCATCACATCCGCCCGGGGGATCCACCTGACCCTTTCATCTGGGCGGACCGTGATGGACGCGTGCGGCGGGGCGGCGGTGGCATGCCTGGGCCACGGCAACGAGGAAGTCCTGCAGGCCGTGACGGCGCAGATGTCCAGCGGCGTGAGCTACCTGCACTCGCTGACCTACACGACCGACGCGGCCGAGCAATTGGCGCACCATCTGATCTCCGGACCGCATGGCGCGGCTCGCTTCGGCCTCGAGCGCGCGTACTTTGTCAATTCGGGCAGCGAGGCCATGGACGCGACGCTCAAGCTTGCGAGGCAGTACTTTTTCGAACTCGACGGTGCGGGAGCCCAGACGACTCGTGCGAGGTTCGTGTCGCGGAAGCAGAGCTACCACGGCAACACGGTGGGCGCGATGAACGTCAGCAGCAATTTGCCCAGGAAGGTACCGTACGCGAATTTCCAGCTCGGGAACGTGAGTTGGGTCAGTCCGGCGTATGCGTATCAGTACTCGCGCTGGCAAGAGGGCGAGACGGAGGACGAGTTTGCGAAAAGGTTGGTCGACGAGTTGGATGCGCACTTTCTCGACCTCGGGCCGGAGACGGTCATCGCATTCCTTGCGGAGCCGTTGGTGGGCGCAACGAGTGGCTGTACGCCGGCGCCCAGGGGCTACTTCAAGGGCGTGCGCGAAGTGTGCGACAAATACGGGATTCTGCTGGTCTTGGACGAGGTCATGTGCGGAATGGGCAGGACGGGCACACAGTTTGCATTCGAGCAGGAGGGGATAGTGCCTGATATCATGACTATGGGCAAGGGTTTAGGAGGAGGTTATGCGCCCGTTGCCGGTGTGCTGGTACATCGGAAAGTGATTGACGTGCTGAGGCGGGGGACGAGTAGTTTCAACCATGGCCAAACTTATCAGGCGCATCCCGTTGGGTGTGCGGCGACGTTGGCGGTGCAAAAGATCATCAGGAGGGATGGCCTGATTGAAAATTGTGCGAGGATGGGGAAATTCTTGTATCCTCTGCTCGTGGAGACGTTTGGCCAGGCCAAGTATGTCGGCGACATAAGAGGACGAGGGCTCTTCTGGGGGATCGAATTCGTCAAGGACAAGGCTACGAGGATGTCCTTTCCGCCTCCCGTCCAGTTTGGGCCTCGATTTCAACAAACGGCCTTTGAATTGGGTGTGGCTATTTATCCCGGCGCTGGGACGGTCGACGGGACGAAGGGAGATCATGCCATTCTGTCACCACCGTATAATGTGACAGAGGATGAAGTGAAGAAGATTGTCGGCGTGATGAAACAAGCGTATGACAAGCTAGAGAAGGAGGTGGATGAGGCCGCCGACGATACTAATGGTAAATAGAATGACCACATTGAACACCAAGACTCACAATGAAGCCATTGGACAATTAGTTATTAGTCTTTCAATCATAGCCACGTACTCTCTGATAACAGAGGCCTGAAGTTGACCTCCAATTCCTGGCTGGTCTGCTTGTCGAAGTCGTTCAGTTTCGACTCCGCCTCTTTCTTGTGACTGCCCGTCAATGCTCAAAATGCCTGGATCCAAACAATGCATCCTTAGGAAAACGCCGGTTCTGCCGTCCCAATCGATAATTCTCTTCGTAATGCATGGCGTAGAATGATAATCGTCAACAATCAATCCCTGGTCTATCGCACGGTGACCTCTGCTTTTCCGTTGCTCTGCGGACGAGGGATGTCCTTGAGCTCACTTCCTGTGCCGCTTTGACCTCGTTTGCGTCCGGGGATTATGTGGAAGTGATGTTTGCCTTCTTCCTTTGTGGTCAGGTTCTCACCACTCGAGTCGCCGAACCGGGAGAGGAAACTCTTCTTTTTCGGCTGTTGCTTGACGTCTTCATTTAGCTTGACATCTTCGAATCCTTCCTCTTCTTTCGTTGGTGCCTCAAAGGTAGTGCTGTTGAACGTAGACCTGGTAGGAAATCTACTAGGGGCACGGGAATCTAGGGAGGACCGGGAAGTGAAGCTGTCGGCCTGTAGGATGGGCGACCGACCAGAGATATCCTATTACATTGTCAGCCTGCTTGACTGTAAGCCCTAATGTCGAACACGTACAAATGATCTTCGGTAGGATTCAAAGGACTCTCGGGAGATTGAGAAGGGCTCGTTGTCGTTGAAGCATTGACGGTGGTTGGAAACCGTTGAGGCAGGGGATTTTGCCTTTGACCAGAAGGATTCTTTCTCAGTCGGTGAGGGCTGTAGAGAAATGTCAACCAAAACGTTCCGAAATGTAGACTGCGCTTCTTACTGGAAGGTATTCACCACTATCGTTAACGGCTGAATGTGTGTTAGCCTCGGTTCAATGGAGGGGAGTGTTTGTTGGTGTCGCATACAACTTAATTTGAACTCGTTGAGGTCTGCTCGCTTCTCTTTGATCCCTAAAGCCAGTGAAGGCTTGTCTTTGTAGGGACTGGTGACAGACTGGTCCATTGAGGTTGGTCGTGCATTCTCGTCGGCGACGTCGGTTGCGACTGGGCGTCGAGAAGTAAAAGGCATACGGAATGGAGGCATGGTTGCGATGTTGCGTCTGTAAGGTCTACTGAGGGGAAATCATGTAGGGGAAAAGTTGATGTCTGTATCGGCTGTAGATACGTGCGACAGGATGCTGCGAAAGAGGATGGAAAGTTGCTCGTGCATAAAAGAGTAATGTTTAAAGACGTGCGGCGCAGCGCAGCATTGGGAAATACAGTAGTCGGAGTCGCAGTTTAAGCCTACTTCTACCACAATCGGAAGTCGCCCGTTCAGCTATAAATCCAGGGCACGCCGGCCACCCAGGCACGGGCACCACGGGCACGCCACGATGCATGCATCCATCTCAGCAGCCGAGCAGCCCGCCGGAAGTGAATCAGCCCGATGCTGCTACAGGGACATCTTTATTGGCTTGTTGGGTACGGAGGCGTGCACCAAATGTAGTTGCCGCGCTAAAGTTGAATGACGAGGACGTCAAAAGACCATTTATTTTCTTTTCCGTTGCTCCGGACGACTGTCCCCGGAGATATCGGACCTCGTTTCTCTGCCCCTAACTCTCGCCTATCCTCTACCATTAAGGCACCTAAGTAGATTACCTTCAGTTAAGACTTTAGTTAAGGCTGCCTAGAGCAAAAGAAAATCTCATGTCAGGTTGTGATCCTTCGTCATTCGATCTTAGCGCGGCATCTACATTTGGTGCACGCCTCCGTACTCCGTACAGAGTTGTTGAAGCACCGATCTTTATCCGCCAGAGTCTTTTATCTTGCGAACATCGATCCAATAGGCATTGTGGCATCCCATTCAATGCTTTGTCGAGACCCTGTCAGCTGCAACCCAAGATTCCAGAAAAATTCCTTGGGCTGCAATTTGTATCCTGTCGCATGCAAGGTACAGATTCTGAAAGTGAGCAGGATTGACAGGGATTCAATGAGCGGCCATGATGGCGGCTGATGATTCATCCAAGTTTCCTGTATGCATTTCATCATCATCGAGTAGATCTTCATCAAACCTGTAGTGCCTGTCCCTCCGCATCTGGCTCTTCTTCGACCCTTACTCGTACACACGCGTGACTCCTGATCCGTGCTTACCGTTCTCCTTGCGATCCTATTACAGCACATCTCCACACATGACGTTGAAGATTGCAGAGACGATGCTGGAATCTTTGTCCATCTGCCAAGCCTGATCGACCGCAATGCGGAGGCTACGAGTAGTGAGCTGTGTTTATGCATTGTTTTGTGATCCAGTCAGATCAACTTCATCTCCTAGCCGACGGGTTGTACAACATGATTCTGTGACCCGATGCTCTGGATGAAAATGATTTATCTTCATCCCGTTGCCATGCAATGAGAACGACGTTGGTTTGTCCGTGGCTGGACGGACTGATGGAAATGAATATCCACTGGAGGAAAAGCTGTTTTCATTAGCTTGAAGTGTGCAAAGCATCATCAAAGATTCAGGTCCCTCCTGCATGATGAGGTCGGCTGTCTGCAGGTTGCTTTTGAAGGCTCAGGCATATGCTGTCTCAAATGCAAGCACCTTCCCATTCTAACATCAGACTGACTTCACTCGAAAGAGTCACTGTGAGTTCGTGTGGATTTTTATCATCATTGTCACGACCTTCACTCCATCAAAGGAGCAGGAGCGAGCGAACATGGCAACACCTCTAAGATACACGATTCTAAGGCAAGTGCTACCAGTCTCTACCATTTCAAGCAACATCGCAGCTGGCATTTGTCGTTTTCCTCCAGTCGAGTTCCCCTTCAACCCATCGTTACCAGCTCACTCGACCGCATCTGAAACTGCTCTATCATTTCATGGGTGTTTGTCTTCATTGCTTTGCAGAAATGGGGCTCGGCCACTTCATCTTTTCTCGTCCCTAGCATCCCTACCATATGTCCCTCTTCTCAGCATGGATCCCATTCTGAGACCAGGCGCGGTCTTCTTTTTGGAATGGCCAATTTGGGCCAGATTAGCTATCGTGAGTTGCGTTTTGTTCTTTGAATGTCGGAGTCGCTGACCTTACTGTAGGTTTTGGGCGGTTTACTTGTGCGTTCGTCGATCGACTTCTCCGTCCCAGCTCACTCCCCTTAGGTAATACTCTCCGTAATCGCCGTCTGTGTCAAAATGCGCAATTGGAGGAAAAACAACCAGTTTGAAAAAAGGGCCGCAGAAGCTCGCGCTGAAAGGGGGGAGATGATTCTAGCCGGCAGAACAAGCGACGATATCCCCTTTGGCATACGTGCATTGGCAGAAGATCCAGACGTCGAAGGAGTTTGGAATTCACGAACGCATACTCCTCTTCACGGCCATACGCCGCAACCAGATCGCCCGGTTGCAAGCCTGCATCCTGCCAGTCAACCCAAGCGAGATCCTCCTGCATCCTCAATCGAGCAACCCGCAACCGCACACAACGGATTGAACTCACCAAATGGTATGGACTTTGCTGTGATTTTCTTTGTATTTTCTGACAACATCAAGAGTTGGAGCCACTTGCAAACTCAATTGCAAGACCTGATGGTTCCTCGACACCTCGAACAAGATCCAAGAAGTTTGTCATCAATTACCAAGGACCTTATTCTCGATCCGACGCTGCAGAACTTGATCCAGGTATGACAGTCTTTGCTTCTCCTCCCTTTGTCAATTTCTTACGGATGTTGCTAACCGTGTCACACAGGTCGCAATTCGAACACAACCGAACCGAGATTGAGCATTTCTCCTTCAAAAATGTACCTGCATCCCATCACAGACCGACCTCCCCTCAACGGACGCAAATTTGTCATTGGCAACGGACGCAAGACCATATATGGACCTCACAGACGGGAAGCGCAGTCTGAAGCAAACCCACTTGAGCGTATGGAAGCGCATCGGAGATTTCATGCCGCAGAAAGCGGACAGTTGCTGCCCAGATCTCGTCGTCGGCATACGGACCTTGCATTGACAACGGCTCTTGCACCATCTGCGTCTGACAGTGAAGATAGCGACTCCTCCAGCCAATATATGTCCTGGCCTCGTGGCACAGCAAACATCAACCTGGGCAAGCAACTGTCTCGCATGGCAGAAAGAATGGAAGGTCCGAAGCCTGTTCCTTTTCGAGCCTTTGTCGAATCTTTGCCCACGACGAAGCCCCCTCCATCGGCTTGGACGGGCAAGACCCAAGCCAGAGTCGACGCCAAATTGCCGGCTTCATCTAAAGGGAGTGATACTGCTTCCAAGGTCTCGATGCATACACCGAAATCGTCAATCAGCTCTGCTACAACTGCTCCAACTTCTCCCACGGATTCGGTTTCAATCGCGAATACTCGGACTCGAAAGATCAATGACGGATTTGAAGTCCTTCCTGCCGGTGCATTGGAGAAGGGGCCAAAAGTGAAGGAATTTGGATTGTGGCCAGAGAACCACAATGTTTCCAAGAAGCCTAAGAAGCTGCAAAAGCGGTCACGATCCAATTCTGGAAGCCGTCGAAGCTCAATGGAAAGTCGAAGATTTAGTGGCGAGAGCTTTCGCTTACCCGTCTTTTGAGCGGCGAGAGAGATTGAGCTTGCTGGGTGGCATTGATGTTTGAATACGATTATATTGGCTTTGGATCCACGGAAGATCGAAACACTGGGCTTGTCATGGGGAGTCGAGAACTGGCAGAGTACCGGTACGGCCGCGTAATGAGGGTGTATTGTGGCTCGAGGACGACTTCTGTTGGCATACTCGTTCGCTCTTTGGCTTTCAGGATGGTGATGGTGCCGTGTCTGCTTTGGTACTAGGACTGCAACACAGGTTACTCAGAGGTGTACAATACTAGATTGGACTATCACTGATTTCGAGGAGGGTATCAAGCCGAAACCCCGAACTCCTTTTGAAGCAGTGTGTAGCGTCTGTAGTCATCCGCTCCCACACTCGGCCTCACCTCGCGCACTGCTCGTTCGAAGTCCGCCGCAGCTATTGTCACCTCCTGAATAGGCAATCCCAAAGACGTGCAACGAGTTATAGCCATGAGACCGGCCCGCTGCAACAAAGCTTTCAAGTCAGCGCCACTGAACCCTTCACACGATCGCGCTATGGCGGCCACTGCTTCGTCAAACATGAAGTTCTTGATCTTCCTGCACAGCGTGCGCAAGATGTCCACCCGGCCTTCTGCGTCAGGCAATCCCACGAAAAGCAGCGTTTCTAACCTTCCGGGTCTCAACATAGCCGGATCAATCATATCGGGCCGATTCGTCGCCGCAATGACATAAATTCCATCACGATCAGAACCAACTCCGTCCAACTCGGCCAGCAGCGTGTTCGTCACACGCGCACTGGCTTCGGAGCTCGTACCGTCACGCCGCGGCGCTAGGGCGTCCAACTCGTCGAAGAATATGATCACCGGCACACTCGAGCGCGCGCGAGAAAAGACCTGGCGCACGGCTCGCTCGGATTCGCCGACGTATTTATTCAGTAGTTCAGGTCCTTTAACACTGATGAAGTTCGCGTGGGAGCTGTTAGCGCAGGCTTTGGCGAGCAGTGTCTTGCCGCATCCCGGTGGACCCCAGAGGAGAGTTCCACTCGAGGGCGTGATGCCGAGATTGGAATAGAGATCCGGAGTGAGGATAGGAGATATTACAGTCATGTTGAGCTCCGAGATGTGTCGGGACAGGGCGCCGATTGAGGAGAACGTTGTGCTGGGAACGGTGGCGAAGCCCTCGCGTAGAGCGGAGGGTTGGATTTTGGGGAGCGCAGTCAGAAAGTCTGTCATAGTCACGGAGATGATAGTTTCGTCCTCGGCGGCGCTGGAGGTTGAGGTATGAGTGGCGGAGGTGGTGTATTTGATCAAGCGCCGGAGAGAGGTCAACATTGGCGAGATGTTGGTTTCGAGGGAATCGTCGGGCGTGTCGACAGCCATGGTTGACGATTCGGCGTGGGCTTTGATCATGTTGAGGTGTCGTTTTATAGCGGCCGCGCCGGCCGTGGAGACTAGGTCGTTCAAGTCTGCACCGACAAAGCCGGGCGTGCGCTGTGCAAGGAGGGCGAAGTCAATGTCCTGAGAGAGATTGGTTTTGGAAGTCAGTGCGCGTAGGATTTGTTCCCGGACAGGCTCGCTGGGAACTGTCATGTTGATCTCCTTGTCGAAGCGGCCACCACGGCGGAGGGCCGGGTCAAGAGCGTCTGGGCGGTTTGTGGCTGCGAGAACGATGACGGGTTTGCCCTCGGTCTTCTCAAGTGCCAGGTCGTCCATGCAGGTTAGTAGCTGAGCGACGATGCGTTTTTCCATTTCGCGCTGGGCGGATTCTCGTTTCGGCGTGATGGCGTCGATTTCATCGATGAATATCAGGCACGGTGCAGCGCGGCGCGCCTCGTCAAAGTGTTCGCGGAGTGCTTTTTCTGATTCGCCGGACATGCCGGAGACGATGGACGGTGCAGAGATGGAGATGAAGTTCACACCTAGTTCGGCGGCAAACGCGTTGGCGATCATAGTCTTGCCACAGCCTGGGGGCCCGTGAATGAGCACGCCTCGTGGCGGTTGGACGTTGCTGGACGTGTATATCTCGGGCCGGGTCATCGGTAGGACCAGGAGGTCCTCGAATTGCTGGATGACACTGTCCACGCCACCAAGAGACGCGAGGCTGATGTGGGTAGGCGGCGAGTGGTCGATGGCCTCGCGGGGGGCTTCGCGGGCTTTGCGACGTTTGGCGGGGTGTTCGCCATTCGTTAAACGTTTGGAAGATGAAATCTCCATGGGAAAGGCCTCGGATTCCGGTGCTCGTTTGGGAGACCGGAGACCGTCGGGACTATGGGTGTCTGACTTAGCCCACGCACCTACGATGCTTTTGTTGAGGCCGCTGGATATCTTCAGGCGCTGTGAGTCTGTGGGTGTTTCGGTTGTTACGATCTCGTCCGAATCATCTTTTGCATCCTGTTGTATGGTGTCGAGGACCCGTTCAATGCTATCTTCAAGCAGCTTCTTGGGCTTGCGGTTGAGGCTGGAGTTTGACCGCTTGATATCGTCGTATACGACCGCGAAGGAAAGGCCGGTGTCTGAGTCGCCGTACTGTGACCGCTCGTCAATGATCTTGCGGACAACTTGATAAACCTGCGCAAAACTTGTTAGCTTCTTGTCTGAGTAAGGCGACATCCAGGTATACATGCCTCTCTGTCTAGGCCTTGACTCAGCGTTTGCCGTCGGTTCCCACCCCGTGTCATATTCGTGCTTGTTTCATAGGTCAAAGAAAACAGATTGAGAAATGTGTTGGAAGGCAAGAACGAAATAAAATATGTGAATGACTCGTAACAATACTTTTAGCGCGATACACGAGTCATGCGGATGGCCGCTTGTGCGCGAGTGCGGTAGTGGACAACCGCCCGAAAGCCCTACCTTTGAATACTGGGGAACTTCGGAGCAGCCTTACGTTCATCATTTCATAACATGTGGCATTCATCTTACCCAAGCCACTATTTACCTTGATACGGACACACTGCTGAATTGTCAGAAGAAAGCGTAACCTCATACTTCTACTTTTACTTCTCATCCTTGACGGTCAGCGTCGTCTTATACATTTTCCTGATGACGGCTCGATGACCTACATTGCGACTCCTAGGCGCATCGTGCCTGGATGCCCGTCCTGAACCCTTTTCTGCGCGCGCTCTTTCAGAGTAGTGTGTTAGGACATGCATTGTCATCCCAGAACTATGTCCTCCTCGTTCCTACTACCGAATCGCTCCTCTATGGCCAGGACAGGGAGACGAACAAGCGGTACGCCGATCAGGTCGAAGATGAAGATTTCTTGGGGAGCCACATCCTTCGCATCATTCCTCCTGCCGCAGGCAAAGATGGAAATGTTCGCGACAATCGTGGGAAGGCGAAGAATTATTCCACAGTCAACGGAAGATCAGTGATACTCAAGGAGAATATTGTCTATACCAATAAGGGGTTCAAGCAGTTGACCCAGGCCTCGTTGCTGACAGATCTCTTGTATTACTCGCCTGGGACTGAGATGCAGCAGTGGCTGGTCTACTATATCAACAAACCTTTGACTGGCATGTTCGAGGCGTTGCCCATCAAGCCTGCGATAATCGGCGAGAACAGACTCGCCACCCCTCCATCGGCAGCCTCCTCATCCGAGCCTACGCCCAAGAAGAAAGACATCAAATCCTTCAATGAACTCCTCAATAGCTTCCCCATGATTGCGCGACAGATGCAACACGGCTTGGAAAGGTTGTTCAATGAGTTTGGCAAAGAGTTGGGAAAGCCGCTGCCTCCTCCTCCCTCCCGCAGCTCCACTACAAATTCTTTGGACGGAACAACTCAGGGCTCTGAGAATGGGTCAATAAAGTCGAATGGCTCCCTGAAGCTGCCTTTCAACTCTGCAGCTTATTTCGAGGATGAGGAAGATCTCATGCGGCGAGCATTGGAGACAGCCGTAACTGCCGCCATCGACCTGTTCCAAGGCGTGGACAAGCAGCAGCTGTCATACCTTGGAGCAACCACCGATCTGACAGGTCCGGATGTCGAACGTTTGATCGAACGATACGTTGCCGAATATGTCCACGATCAGCTTCTGTTTCCCCGATTATGTGCCTTCTACAAGGCACCAGATCAGGAACTTGATCGACGAATCCGGCAAATGGATTGCTTAGATGTCTCCCAAGTTGGAATCTCCATCGAAGATGGAAGGAAAGGGAAAAGAGACCTGATTGCACGGATTAATCGCGGAGTTGCTGTTTTCCGCAAGATGGGGGTCGCTAGTAGTCCCCAGGAAATGCTTGATATCCTCTTGGAAACCCAAAGGGTGGTCTCTGGGCAAGGTATTACGGACGAAGAAAAGCGAGCAGCATCAATGACCATCAATGCTGATGTATTGGTCTCGCTCCTGCTCCTGGTCGTCATCAGATCGTCTGTGAGGCATCTTCAAGCGAGATTATCCTATATGCAGAGATTCATCTACATCGATGACGTTGAGAGTGGCGAGATTGGATATTCGCTGTCCACGTTGGAAGCCGTCTTGACGTATCTTGCAAGGGATGCAGCCGGTCTTCGCAAGGCATCGAAACAAAATCAAATGCTTTGGAATGCTGTCAAGGACGGCAAAGTGGACGATGTCAAGTCTGTTTTTGAAGAGTCAGCAGTCATCGCTGATGACTTTGTGGACGAGCCCGCTGAAATTCCTCTCTCCAGGAAGACTACGCAGTCTGCAGAATCTACACCTCGAGACTCACTTTCAAGGACCAACTCTAGTGAAGGTGGCCTGTCGCATGTCTTCCCCTTCCAAGCAGCCGAAAGAAGGCTTTCGATCCCAAAGCAGAAAAAGAAGGTGAAAATGGCTGCCAGAAGTATGTCCATATCCTCGGCATTTTCACTGGCATCTCGAGCCGCGACCATTGAAACCAGCCTTAGCGGCCTCGAGGGCGATACATCTGTACAGAGCCTGGCACAGACGCAAGATGGCGTTGGCAATTCTGTGCTCATGATGGCAGTCGAGAGTCAGAAGCCACAATCGCTACGGTATCTGCTGAGTCTTTCTGAACATTACGGAACAGATGATGTCCTGGGAGACGTCACTCAAGAAGGAGCAACGTTGTTGAGTGCAGCAGTTCAACTTGCCAACTCTGAGCTAGTCGATATCATTCTGGACTTTGCAGAGCAAAACACAGACGAGACCAGGTTTCGAGAGTATTTGGCAGTCAAGGACACCCGTGGTCGAAGTGTGGCGCATTATATCTTCAACACGCCGGACTTGATCAGAAGACTTGCTAATGTGCTACCCTGGCGGCAGAAGGACAAGATTGGGCACACGCCTCTCTTCGCCATCTGTCGAACATACGACCATCCCGACTATAACAGCATGGTCTCTGAAGCCTTGATCGCGGCCAAGCAGGCTCAAGGCGACGATGCCCCACTGCGTATCGAAGATCACACGGACAACAAAGGCAACTCTTTGCTACATATCGTCAATGACTCTGTGATCATGCAGCGCATCCTCCAGTACTGCGACGTGGATCTCAACGCCATGAACGACAAGAAGTTCACACCTTTAATGCTAGCAAGCAAGTACGGCCGAGTTGACATGGTGCGAATATTTATTGGTGATCCGCGAATAGATCTCCACTTGCGTGAAGCACGCGGTTTGACGGCGGTGGAATTGGCCAAGGACGACGAAGTGCGCAATCGCATCGATGATCTGACATTGTTCTCTCCCTCAAATGTGACAGACAAGACCGGCCGCATCACAGCTATTGTCCGATCGTTCTTCGTCGAGGATGGGTCGACGAGGTATATCCTCAAGTCTGGCGCGCCCAATCCGGCAGTCTCGAGCACCACGTTCACGATCACAACCAGTCGTCGAGCCCTTCAAGATTTCGAGAACTTGGCCAAGTGGTTGTCGATGGACTATCCTGCTTCGTATATGCCGAAAATTCAGGTCTCGAACTTCCGCAGCCCATTTCAGTTGCATTCGCGCCCGTCTCGAGCTGTCCTGCACGACGCACAGACGCACCTTGATCGATTCCTTAAGATTCTCATGAATCACCCTACATTCTCCACCCACGAAATGTTGTGGGAATTCTTCCTCGTCCCAGACATGCTGCAGGAACAAATGGCCGAACGAGCCCGACTCAAGGCAGAGCTGGTCCAGGAGAAGATCGCGGATGATTACGATCCGCTGACTACACGAGCTGACATGCTTGCTGTGGACAATCTGATCTCCCACTCCCGCGAGATGGTCCGACGCGTGAATAATAGTACGCGCGCAGTTGTCCGCAGGGGCCACATGTACGTTCAGGCCCAGGCGGACTTTGCGGAGTCGTTGAGTTTGTGTGCCATTGCCTTTGCGACCATGGGCGCGCCCGCGAGCACCCTACCCAAAGCCCATGTCGATACGTTCCTCAGATTCGCGGCGCTGACGCACATGGAGACTGCGTCGAACCCGTTGGCGGGCTACGTGCTGAGCATGACGAGTTTCCATTCGACGATCGCGGCGGTGCAAAGTGCCCTGATGAGGCCTAGTCAGCTCATTACGCAAATTCAGAGTCTACAGAGGGGCGTGGAGAAGAATAGGCATAATTTGGCGAATGGAGCGGTGCCGAGGAAAGGGGTTCTCAATGCGATCAATTTTCCGAGCAGTGAGGAGAGTCGGGCGAAGGCCAGAAAGGACACGGAAGGGAAGATTGTGCAAGGAGAATCCGAGGTCGATAGGCTGGGACGGGAATTGAGATATACGCAGGAGGTTGTCGTGAGTGAACTCGCGGGATGGACGACGTGGAGAGAGGAGTGGGGAAAGGAAGAGGTCAAAAGGTTGGCCCGGGGCATGGTGGTGAGGGAGAGAGAAAGGTTGAAGGGTATGGAACGGGCATTCAGGGCGTTGAGGGAAGGGTGAGGAAGAGGGACTATAAGTCCCACTGGGCCTCCTCTTTTGGGTGGTTTTCCTTGTCTGATGGAGGAATACGGTCTACAGGATTGATACCCATTGATGGAGAGAAGGTAACCGAGGTGGTGATTGGGAAAGTGCCTAGGTACTCTATAGACTTCCTAGCAGTCCGTCTAAATGTAATACCATTTCCTTTGCCTTAATCCATGAAGGATGCTCATGTTCGTGTTCGTGTTCGTGCTCGTGCCAGGTCGTGACGTTTGACAAGATTGATGTCGAATGATGTTGTTGAAGTGTCTAGCCGTGGGTGACCTTTCTTACTGTGCCGTCCTTGTCGACATGAACGTTCAATCTGTCCGCATCCAGAGTTAGTATTAGTTTACCAGCGAAAAGAACAGAGTAGGGAGAAGGTGAAGGGTTGGCCACGGAAAATATGTACTGTGTACGGCCTGGCATATCGTACCTATCAGGATTGTGGTCCATGGTCATCATGCCACCGTCGGCGTCGACGACGCGGTGGTTCTGCGGGAGATCTTTCTTCGCGAAACTCGTCTCGTCCGATGTACTATCCGACAGTTTCTTGCCCATGAGTTTGGTCATCCAGGAGTCGGTGGACGAGGAGTCGTTGGAGTTGATGCCGGGGACGACGAGAGGCATTGTGAGTGGATGAATGGGGGTTGATTTGGTACTTGGACTTGTTGAGATAAGTTCTAAGAGAAGTTCTATGGATCCGTATCGTTTGGAATTGTACCGTGGTAGGAACGTATGTTCAAGAGCAACTCTACAATCAACGAAGAGGCGGGCGAGGATAATATACTGATGCCTGGGCCTGCCATTGCCAGGGTCATGGGCGATTTGAATGGAAGGAATGACGTCGTTCGTCGTTTCTCGTTTCAGGCATCGTCACTGCTGCATGATTCAAGATCCCATGAACAGGTGATCGTGCTTGACTCGCGAACATATCTCGCCTCGCTCGCTCTCACCCATCAGGTCTTCACTACTATCCAGACCTGATGGAGACTGATGAGGGATAGAGAGAACTAGAGAAGAGCTTCGCAATAATTGCTTGTGCAAAAATCTGTTCATTCATTTCGAGAGAAGAATTAGTTCTTGTAGCAGGTTTGATATCCACACAACAGAGGCTGGACAAGTTAGCAGCCATATCAGCTCCGTACATCCAATTCCCGTGGGCCGTAACGCAGGCCTTCCGAAGCAGCCTGGATTCCCTGGCACACATCATGCCATGACCCTGTGGTCATTCAAGGCCTCCGGTACCATTCAGCTGTACAAATACAATCCATAGAAGCCCATAGCACTTTTTGTCCTGAGCAAAGTATATGCTACCCGGGGATCGAGCTGAGTTGGACCCCCGGAAGAAAAAGGAAGCGAACGCGGACCTTCTCCATTATGCTCGCTGAAAATGCTGGCACCCTTTTTTGGTCACCCATCACTTGTGCCCGAGATCATATGTAATCTCTGGCAGCCTTCTGTAGTTCAATCATTCTCCATCCTCTGGTTTCCGCATTGTTGACTTCTTCAGGCAGTCTTGTCATGCCAATGGCGTATGTGACCAGTTGAACCTTGTCTTCCATACCAGCAGCCAATTCGTTTGTCTTCGCATTTCGATAGACGTGAACTTCTTGTGTCCGGCAGGTGATGATAAACACTGGGATATCGCCTGGCTCCAGTATTCTTGCATTCAGGATGTCGACATGTCTGATATCCAGTATCCGTCCATCGGATTTCAGACCAGCCTTAGTGTACTGTTCCATCAGGGCGGAATAAACCTGGAATTGCGCTGCAGACAACCAGACCTTCAGAGTCTCCACGTCGCCCTTGACATATGCGTCCAGAACTTCAGGGAGGATATACTCGCGCAGATCTCGCAGGAATGGCTCCAACTGGAAGTTGGGATCAATTTCTCGGAATTTCTTGATCACCATGGCTGTCTCATTCTCGGCGAAGAAACCGGCGACTCTGTCCGATATTGACCGAGCTGTTGATATCAAGGGGTTTTCCGACTCTTCATATGTTTGTTTCATGTTGAACAGTCCTTGCATCAGCTTCGAATTCTCCTTGAAACTGTTCCAGGATTCTTTCCAGGCTGAGTCTTTGTGGACGGTGATGTTGGTTCCGGCACTAGGAAATCGGTCAGCAATGTGGAAGTGGGAGGACGGACCTCACTTACTCGGGATTCTCGACCATCTCCTCTACAGGTTTCTTGCCAGACTGCGCTTCTCTTAATAATTGAGCCTCTCTTTTCTTCCGTCGCTCTTCCTTTTCCACCCAGCCGCCGTATCTCGAACTGCTACCATCATCAATGGCTTCGGAAATTTCCTTGAAGGTTTTGGTCTCTCGAACAGGACGAGTCGCTCGTTCGATTCCACGACCAGTGGCATTGACGCCGGAGCGAAGGCCTTGCACAACCTTGGAGTCCCAAGTCCAGGCTGCTCCTTGTCCAATGGCCCGACCTGCGCCTTTCAGCGCTTGTGATGTACCTTTTGAAGCGGCCTCGGAGGCTTCTCGCGCTTTTCTTACGGCTTCTGATTCGGTAAACTGCTGGACCGACCCAGATAATTGCTTGGTAGATTCATTCCATTCTTTTGAGGCTTTGAACTCGGTTCGGAGGGTTTCGGTAAAGACTTGCCATGGTGTTTTGTCTCCATGAGGCGGTGGTGGTGGAGGCTTTTCATCTCTGCCTGCTTTCTCGTCTTTTGTTTGCTTCTCCTCTCCCTCGTTTTTCTGCTCTCCGCTGGCCTCTTCTGTTGGCTTTTCGTCCCGCGGCGGGTCCCGGACTTCTTGCTTTGATTCTTCCTTTGGTTGCGTTTGTTGGTATTGTGCTCTGGACGTATGTAGAGATCGTAGGAGAGGCCGGGATGAAAGAGTGAGTCGAGGAGAGAAAGGTGTAAGCGATGAAGGGGGGGGGAGAGGCGCTGAGGATGCGTCGGACGCCGTTAATCGTCTGTAGGCTGCGGTTCTCCCATACTGCGTGGCTCGCAAAGTGGCGATGGATGATGTCGCTGTCACATATTGACGGACACCATGAAGTGGTGCACGGCGCGGTACGATCATGCCTTGGGTTTCAACAACGTCCAAGCAAACTACACAGCCTGAAGCGGCGAAGAAAAAGAATCTGTCAAGCTGCAGCGGCGTTAAGAGGAAGATCAGCTCACCCAGTGAAAACTAATTGAGATGGGCCATCGGCTAAGTTTCCTCTTTCTACCTGGTAGGTATTTCGAGTACTGTACAGCCAGAATCCCCAGGATTCAGGATTCAGGATTCAAGATTCAAGATTCTTTGTCCTCGAATTATTGGGTGCGACAGACTGTTCACAAAGCACAAGCACGTCACAATGGCTCGACCTCTCGCTCTATCCATGTGTCGGTCATGTCGACAGTCATACTTCTCTCGCACATTCTCAAGCACAACCCGCAAGCAAGCTGAGGGAGGCGGCGGGCTTGCCGCACGTCGTGGAATCCGGGTCGGCGAACCTGAAAAAGAACCCGAAACCATCGATACATTTATGGAGGCCCTCCGCCAACCCCAACGACAGCAGCAGAATAGCTCATCCACCTTATGGACCGGCGAACTACGCAACATCGCCCGCAGCGCGCAGGACGAAGCCGCAACACGGCCCAGCTCACGAGTCTCGGCCGACGAGCCATACCACCTCAACGTCTTTGCACACAAGCACAACATGCACATCACATTTACGGACCCTTCGCGGAACCCCATCCTTTCGCTATCCTGCGGCAACATTGGCCTGCGCCATGCGCAGCGAAGCACATACGACGCATGTTTCCAGCTCGCGGCGTACACGTTTCGTAAGATGGCAGAGAAGCAGTGGCGTGTGGGAGGCAAGAAGATGACGCACAATCCCATGAAGACGCTGGCGGATATCAGGCGGCCGGGTGCGCAGTACGGCGGGACAGGGATTGAAGTTATTTTCAGAGGGTTTGGCGCAGGACGAGAGGCATTTCAGAAGGCTTTGCTGGGCACGGAGGGGAGGATGATTAAGCCACTTATTGCGAAGGTGACGGATAGCACGAGGCTGAAGTTTGGAGGAACGAGAAGTCCCAAAGTCAGGAGGTTGGGTTGAGCAGCATTCGTCTTGGTTGTGGTTATGGTTTTACTGTACAACAGATGTATAGAATCTGTGCGGACGGGATCAGAAGTTGGCATGGGGGGGGGGTGAGCTCCGGTCCATGGCCGTGAGCAAGAGTCACTCGAGCTTATCAAACTCGATATGGCTTGTTCATAAACGCGAAATGCGAATGGATAACATTGTGATGCGACTCTATTCACTTAAGCATACTGAAGCGAAACTTTACTATCCGCTTCGAATATTTTCAATGCTGCGCGTATCTCTATAAAACTAATACCCGCCTGGGGACGACGAAAAGTAATCGCCGCCACTCCCCGGACTCAACCTGTTTACACTTCCACCCGGACTGCTCTCGCTTGTCCTATTGCCAGACGAGGTCCTCATCTGCGCTGAAACTGTCCTGATGGGAGCGAGGTAGGTTTGCTTGTTCGTGAATCCGACGGCCGCAATGACTCGCCTTAAAGCATCGCCCCTAGGGTCGACACCGATCATGAATCTCGCCAGTTCCGAACATAATTCAAAGTCGGATTTTTGCCGAGCCAGTTTCATCAGCCTGATCACGTAGCTCTCGAACTTCCGGGCGTCGTAAGTGTCCGACTCGTCGTCTTCTTCTAACCCTTGCAGGACAATCAGATATCCGCTTGCCGTCTTTAGGTCTTCAAGTTCCAATGCCTGCTCGAAGAGGGCGAGCGGTGGCGGGAGATGCTCGAACAAGGTCCTCCAGGAGCTCAGCTCTGTCTTGCGAATACACTGGACGACGGTCGACAGGTAGGTCGTTGGAGGCAGGACAAGCTGTAGGAATGACAGGACTGCAGGCAACGGTCCTGGTGTTTCGTCTTCTGCCTTCGCTTGCCTTACCCTGTCGACTTCGTCATCAAGCACGTGGTGCAGAAGAATCTCCAGAGCATGCGGAAAGTATGATAGGTGCTGGTACTGGTTTGCCAGGCCGAACGCTGCAGCTGTATCATGTTCTTCGCACAACTGATGACGAAGAATGTACGGCAGGAAGAGCTGGGTCCGAATGCCTGACCTGAACTGGGCAAAATTGACGTCTCGTCGCTGTAGTATTTCCGACTCAATTCCCAAAACAACACCTTTAGTCAGCAGAATCGACAGCGGGTAGAAGTCGACAGACATAGAAAGCAATGCCGATGTATTCAAGTCTCCCTCGGCTGCATGGTGGAGCAAGTCGCGTACATCCGGCCACACTCTGAGTTCCTCGCCGCTGAATATCCACAGGGAATCCCTTAGCGAGTAATGGTGCTTACTCCTCGTCGTAAATGCCGAGCCAGGCGAGGGAGTTGGCGGCCCAGATTCATCCGTACCAGTGAAGTTGAAGTACATCTGGTCGCGCATGAGGATGTAGTATTCAACATGCTGAGCAATGACGCGCATGTCGTATTTAAGTTCGTCCTCCTCGTTTCGCGACGACTGCAATAACACCAATTTGTCGTCCACCAGGAAAAGGACAGAAGCAAATTCCACGTCTCGTGACGGATCACCATTTCGCAATTGCGAGTCAGGCACAACCCAGCTGACCGAGCGGACTCGACTGGGTGCTCGGACGATACCGTGGAAGGCGATTTGGCCTACCTGGACAAGTTGGGCCCCTCTTTCAGTTATGTTGAGGATGTAATGATAGAGAACGTTGTCGTGAGTGTAGACAAGTAGCGAATCTTCGCCTGAAGGGCCAACAAACACAATGGGCGTGGAAAATGCTTCGGTATGAAGCGGAAAGCGGCCAAGGTCGAGTTCGCGAGAATACAGCCGTAAGTCATATCCAGCAGCATTTTCGGTCGCGACGGCCAGGATATGATTGAACCAGCACATTCCTCCACGGACTGCGAAGGAATTCTCTGCGGCGATATCGGCAAATGTCTTCCATCGTCCGCTTTGAAGGCTGTAATGGGCAAGGCCGCGTCGGCCGGCAATGGCGGTGTATCTTCCGTCTTGCGATATGACGCATGATTTTATGGGCCACTGACTGTTGAGATACACAGGTGGGTATGGAGCGTGATGCCAAAGTGATGCCTCGTTAGAAATAGACGTCAAGTCGGGAAGTTCGTGACCTCGATAGACAGTCAATTCATTCGGTGTATGAAGAAGTGCTCGAACAAGATTAGCGCACGAGAAGCAGCCGATGGCTGCACTGCGCGAGATTTCCATCTTCCATATTCGATCGTCATCCGAGGATGTGAGGAGGATCTCGGCCCCGCTGCTAATCCAGCTTGCTCTCTGAATGGAAAGAAGCCAACTCTCATTATTGGACTCAGCGTGAGAAAGATTGGAGTGAAAGCTTGAAGCGCCTTCTTTTCCGAAGACAGACCATGTTGACCACCCATGCTCGTAGCCGGCGAAGAGACAGTATCCGTCGGGTGACCATGTCAGGCACGTTATGGCGCCTCTGGAAGACGGGGAGGTGGAAGGTTTGAATGTGTGAGAGAGGGGAATATTCCCGACGTAATCTTTAGCAGCATAGCATATGACTTCTCCCGCAAAAGTGGCGATTGCGACAAGCGAGAATCTAGCATTGATGCTGGCGAATTTGGCTTCAGAAGAGGTTTCGGGCTTGTGGAAGCAGTAACCGTCAAAGAGTCGCGTCGAAGGAGTCGTGGAGGATCGTGGGGAAGGAAGAGAGTCGTCTGAAGACGCCGCTTGGGACAACTGAGGCTTGACTCGTTGGACTGCGTATGCATGGCCGTCCTGGGATAACCAGACTGAAAGATTCATCGCGCGATCATGAACCATGCTTGATATCCCAGACTTTTGGCCAATCCAGTCCATCTTGGACAGCAACTGAGCAACAGCGCGGGAACCGTCCTTCTGCGTCTCCCATCTGATACATTGCACAGCTGCAGGCTTAACGGTCGCCACGACTAATTCTGCGTCCAAGGCAATTACAGAATGTATTCCCGCATCGATTTTAATGGCGCGCCTAAACCGCAGAAGAACCTCAGCAAAGCCTGCAGTCTCGTCTACACCGAAGCTCCGCATGAGGTTCTGGCGTTTGGCTTGACTGTAGCCATATTGTTGCTGCAGAACGCGTGCATTCGGATCGCTTTCCACCGAGTAGGTGATCAGATAGCTTTCTGTTGTGCGAATAACGATGGTCGCCGCGTCTGGCTTGAAGTTGACAGACAGATTGGTTCCGTACGTCTGCAAGGATTTCGATGATCTTGAGAGGGAGGCGAGTAAAGCTACCGGACGGGTTGACCACAAATCGAGTCTGGTGTGAGTGACTGTCGCGAACAGATGATCATTGCGCGCTGCCTGTATGTCTTTGATGCCATTATCCTGCTCCCTAGCTGCGATATTAGGGGCAGATTCATCAATGTCATGACTTGCTTTGACTGGCGCCGAATCTTCCTCGACTATCTCTGGATCCGGGCCATGGTATGCAAAGACCTGAGGCACACCACATGGCCAATACATAATTTCCTGGCTCAGTATTCAAGAACATTTTCGAATGACACCATCTCGCCGTTCTCGAGTACGCCTAAGAAACACCCCGTTCGGAATGAGAAGGATCGTTTCCGATTATTGTCGGCTGGCCTGCTATTGCTTTGATGCAGCCGTCGAGGTCACTGAGAGATGGAGAAAGAGACTCCGATGCCAAGCCGGCGAAACGTTGCTCCGGACAAGCTCCCACTTCTCTCGACGCTTCACACCTGACCAGCAACTCCCATTTGATCCCGCATATTCAGTTGCTGGCGAGACAGGCATCCTGACTCGAGTATATATGCTTTAGACAATGGGACGAACCGGGTAGCTGAAAATTGAGTCAGATGCCCCAATCAAACAGATTCTATGAGACTCGAAATTCGCCGCTACCCGCTCACCATATTTTATGGGCCTTGTTCATTTTGTAATTCTTTTATATACGGGATATCTCTTTCAACTCGGATCTACTCTCCGCTGACTCGCAGTGGCTAGCATGCTTTGCCCTGATATGGCGGGTATAAAATCATGCACCATTGATGGTGACCCTCAACCGTGACCGTTCTCACCACTTGCCATCCAAAATGCAGATAAATGTCCCTCGCGTGCTCACTGGTGGTTGTAAGCCAGATCGGTTTGCCCTCTGCCGCAGCTTGATCGATGATAGGTTGCAAAACAGCTCTCACCGCACCACGCAGAGCCGGTTTCCTTGGATCACGACCAAGCAAAGCCAGATGCCAAAATTCCTGCCCATACCTCGAAGAAATCAGCTCAATCTTGACCTTCTGAATCTCACGTTCAAAAGCCGCCAACAATGTGCCTTCCTGTCGCTCCAACTTGTTCAGATCCTTGACATCCTTCGGTGGCTGGTGTGATCCAGGCGGCCACCATGAAGCGCATGCTGAGAAATCACCTGCCTCCGCGATGAAAGCACTCGACCCAGCCCTGGGAATTAGAAACTGCTTCACGATAGAATGATACATTTGCAGACGTTCTTCATCCGATAACGCGTCGGAGCCTGTCCCGCCAGTGCCACCTCCGAAGAAGAGACCCCATATGACACTCGGAAGCATTGCATGGGACACCACAGAGGCGGTCTTTTCAATGTACTCCTCCGAGGTGCCAACAGTTATTTTAGGGAGTGGAGAATCTCGTTTCGAGATCTGGTTCTCTTGGGTCGACGGGGCGGACGACATAGTTGTTGAGTTTAATGCGTCTTTCGACATGGCGCCCTGTTGACTCCCGAAGGGTGACCGTGATAATCCCCGGTGGGCGTAGCTTGCATAGCGCAGACAAATGCAATTCGGACACAGTTCAAGTACTGAAGACTCATACCGAAGATGAACATTTGTAAGTGTGACATTGCTACCGCTTCGTTGATGACACAATCTAGATAGAATCAAGCATAGCCGGAGATCAGCTAGTGCTAGGACACGGTCGTATTAGTAGGCTATGCTTATCGGACAGCCTGGCATTCAGGTAATGAACTGGTTATAGATAGCTGGAATTTAGCGGCGTCTCCCCAATCGATAGTTCATGGATTAAGGCGTCTTCTTAATCTGATGTTACCTGTTGACATTGAAACAATCAACCTTGACATTTGGTAGTGAAGTCTCCCCCTAAATGGAGAGTCAACGCCTGGCGCCTACACTGCTGTCCAGTCTGACAATGTGCTCGTTTCCTCCATAAACACAAGAAGCCATCGGAACGAGAAGGGTATCATGGTCGAAACAAAAGCATGTCGTGACTCTTGTGATGATTGTGGAGGACAGATGTGCGGAACGCCCTCAAGTCGCTGGTGTTGACAGCACAACTCCAGCTTGGGAAATATTCTGAATTGGTTGAGATTTTCCGTTCTGTTGGCTGGCGTTGTTGCGAGCGTTCTTTGCTGCGTCGTCCTTTGCTTCGGCCGCCGTTTCCAGATTTGCCCATCTCGTAACTTCGTCCGCTCGCAACTTGCCAGGGAAGAAGGTATCCTTCATGCTGGCTCCGATATGCGGATATTTCTCCTCAACGGCGAAAAGCGTATCCATCACCTTGGGCTCGCCGATGACTTCGACATAGCTCAAGGGCATACCGTATGCTTTTGGAGAACGTCTATAGCCGGCAACGAAGATATTTTGTAGAATGCCGATGCCACCAATGGCAAGTAAAAACCAGGTATTTGTCTTCAAACCAGCAGCGGTAATGAGGAGCAGGATCCACAATGCTGCAAGGATAGTCACCATGATTCTGGTGAGGTTTGAAGCTGAGACATCGACATTGGTCTGGCCAGCTGCAAGGTCTTCGAGATCAAGTCCTTTCCCGTCACCGAGAATAACAATGGCATGTTGACTTCCATTTCCACGGGTCAAAATCACATTTTTGTCAGAATTTCTGCGGCAAGCCCACTTTTCTTCCTTCCATTGTGGAAGCCAACCAGAAGCAAATGAGAGGAGGATTCCGATAACGGTGACGAGGAGAATGCCCCAGTCACCAAACAGGCCGCATGGGATTGCCGCAATACCAAGCTGAATGATGGTAGTCGCGAAACCGATCCAATATACACGGTCATAACCTGGATATCCGATGATGGCAGGTTTGGCTTTGTACACCGACACACAAAGTCCGACCTGAGTAGGCTTTGGGGCGGTCTTATCCTGTTCCCGGCGAGTTTGAATCATGCCAGCCAGATGGTCCTTGACAGGTTTATCAACCCAAGCCTCGAAATCTCGGACAATGCGGCCAATAACCCAGCTGGTATTGTCACGCACATAGCCTGACTTGCCATTGATCACCTTGCAAGCACAGTCCGGGAGCGGCATTAGCTTGTTCTCACCGATGGCCGAGACCACCGCGGTGATAGCATATGCGACCCATCCTACGACGGTGTCAATGGAATATTTCAGATCGCTTGATCACTCACCAAATGAGAAGGCAACTGGGGTGATGCCAGAACCAGACAGCTGAGCCAGTGCACGCAAAATAACATCAGCACCGAGAATGAGTAAGACGGAAAACACGTCGCCTGGATTCTTCCATTGCGTCCAGAATTCGCCAGAAGGACGGCCCGGGTCGAAGCTACGACGGAACAAGCTCAGAGATAGAGGAGCCATTGCAAGTAAGAGGACTGTGAGTGAGCTGAGGAAGATGAAACGGGGAGTAAAGGTCGCCATTTTGTACAACTCAGCGATTGCTTGTTTGAACAGCCTTCTAACTTGCAGGGATAGGGCGCCCCCTGCAGGGCTTGGTGGGCTGATTCGCAGTGGCTGAGAGATCGAATACGAGCGGTGTGGCTTCAGGCTGCGGTGAAATGGTGATGTCGCGAAGCCGAAAGGTTTACAAGAGGCAGCAAACAACAAGATGCGGTGGTAAGTGAGTATAGAGTAATGTGTGCCCAATTCGCTGGACCATACCTTTCGACGATCGATGCTGCTCTCGTACGGATTGTCGTGATGAGAATCTCTCGAGTCAAGTTCCTGTGAGTGAAATTTGTAAGGGTTCTTGAAGGATACATACTGCGCCTAGCCGGCCTTCGTTCAATTCATCATTGGCAGACCGTGTGGCTGTTGTCCTTGTTCGAGTCTACTGTCACAGTCGAGCAGTAGACACCTAATTCTTTGGATGTTGACATCTCATTCAATCCACTCAAAATAAGGATTCGTGAAGTAATTGCTGGTGGCCTGTGACGAGTACCATAGAGTCTTCTAGATAGCTGGTTTGGTGGCATCAGTGGCCGTCGGCACCCCGCCAAGCGAAGGTCAACAGCCTTACGACATATTGTGTACCTTGAGTGGCCTCTGTGATTATCCTACCAGTTTGTTGACGGCAGCCTACATCCTCCCGTCCAACTCCTCTGTACAATTTGGCCTTCATCAACATGGTATGTCCCTTTCGGCACTTCTTATGAGCAGATGCTAACGTAGACAGTCTCTCTCCGACTCCAGAAAGCGCCTGGCTCTGTCCATATTAGACTTCCTCTCGACATCGCTCAAAGATGGCACTCTCACTGCAGACGATGCGGACAACATTGAAATTGCCAGCAACTGCATCGCAGAGGCATTCAAGGTCGACCCGACCGACAAAGCTGCCATGTCCGAGGCTGTCGGATCACAGTCCCTACTCAAGATCTTCCAAGTCTACGAAAAGTTGAACGGAAAAGGCGCAGCCACCGAGACAGCCGCTCCTCCCAAACCTGCCGAACCCGCCGCGATCAACCCAGAAGCAGAGAAACTCAAGAGCGCTGGCAATTCTGCTATGCAACAAAAGGACTACAAGACTGCGATCGAGAAATACACCGAAGCCATCAAATTCGCGCCCACCAATCCCATCTACCTGTCCAATCGTGCTGCAGCCTATTCTGCAAGTGGTGATCATGCTTCTGCCGTCCGAGATGCTGAGCTGGCCGTCGCTGCCGATCCCAAGTACACAAAGGCCTGGTCAAGACTAGGTCTGGCAAGATTTGCTATGGGCGATGCTAAGGGAAGCGTCGAAGCATATCAACAAGGCATCGACTTTGAGGGCAACGGAGGCAGCGAAGCCATGAAAAAGGGTTTGGAGACGGCAAAGAAAGAGTTGGCACGAATGGAAGCCGAGGAAGTCAACATGCCCGAGGATGACGTGGATGATGCAAATGGCAACACTCGAGGAGGTGGTGGAATGCCTGATCTGGCTGGCTTGGCCAGCATGTTTGGCGGTGGTGGTGCTGGCGGCGCAGGAGGAGGCGGAGGTGGGTTTGACTTGGGAAGCATCATGAACAACCCCATGTTTGCGTCCATGGCACAAAACATCATGCGCAACCCTGAAGCTTTGAGTGGTCTTATGAGCAACCCTACAATTCAGAACATGATGAACAGCAGGGGTGGCGGCGGCGGCGGTGGTGGTATGCCGGACATGAGTCAAATCCAGCAAATGATGCAGGATCCTGCCCTTTCCAATTTGTGAGTATTGTCAACGAAGACACGAAGTACAAACTCTTGCTAACAACGTTTAGGGCACAACAATTCATGGGTGGAGGTGCTGGCAGAGGTGGAGGCCCTGGTGCAGGCGCTGGTCGAGATGGCGGAAGATGAATAATGATATCAGGTCTGACATTTGCTGAATAGTCGACCAGGAGACATGATACACCCAATACATCGGCTGAATTTGATGTTTTTACATGTGAGCACAAACCATGATCCAGCGCAGCCCAGCTGTCAGCCTGTTTGCGACTGGGCTGCCCATCACCCTGCTATGTGAAGGATAGTATCTTGCGCGACCCAGATACTTAGGAGGATTGTCATTCCTTTCGGTGCACCTTACCTCTCGACGTCTCTCGAAGTGCTTACAGGTACCGCGCGGGCCTACATACTACCAGAACTCCTGTAGGACGAGTAGAGTTGCGAAATACCCTAAGCAATAGTAGAACGAGATCCGGCAAAAGTCTCCCACTTCTCCAGCTCTCCACTTCCATCTTTTTCTTTTCCACACATACGGAGTACTGCGACAGATGGTACTCTCGGGTTCCCAACATTGACATCATGCCGCGGCCTGACACCTCAAGCCATCCACGGACTTTTACTCGATTCGACTACTGGGCACCACAGTAAACGACAAGGCAAGCCGTTAGGCCCGGAAGCCGCACCAAAATGCAAGGGGCTACCTAGGTGGCTTCCTAAGGTCTTCCACGGTCTTGCTCATGCGAGGCATTTTGTCTACTGTGTCACCTAGCCCGATGTTACTCGTTATCCTTGTTTCAAGATCATGCCACATGCGCATGTGATTGGATCGACGGCTGCAGCTTCAAGCCCTTCAACAACCACAGGTTGTGTTTCCGAGCAATCATGATCGCGATAAGACAAACCTTTTTGACAATCGCACTACTTACGGAGTAGAACGAACCCCGCCATCATCCGCCTACCTTCAAGCCATCTTTGCGACGGACGCGGGAAGACGCAGTATGCTATCCCAGAAACAGTCATGCTCTTCGATCTTGGATGCAGAAAGCAAGAATCATGGCACCGTCGGAGCTGAAGCTGTAGCTGTCAGATAGCTCCATCAGGCTTTGCGAGCTCTTCGTACAGCAGCTTGCCTTGACCTCTTCGTAAGGTGGGAATTCCTTTCCATCTCGCATCCTCTGTACATGAAGCTGTGATCGACGTAGGGCTACCACCCTTAGGTACTCTGTCCTCCGTACACAATCACTGATATGACCCATCCACAGCTTCTAGGCAAGCTACAACTTCTCAGCTGAACGAACCAACTCGCACATCCGCTCGCTACCACTCCACGTCTGTCGCTATCTATATTTTACTGAACTATACCGAACCACTTCCAGGCCGGTCGACCTCAGTCCTTCTCTCGACATAGCCAGGACCGATTTCTAGATTTTAGCAACAATTTCCCTGCCACGATGGCCCGCCTTGCACCCATTCTTCTACTATTCCTCAGCCTCATCTCGCGAGTTGTGACATAGTAAGTCGTCCTCTCTTCCCGAACTTCTATCATGTTGAACCTCCACAGCGACTCCGGCTACTGGACACCCTCAGCGACATCCACGGTCTGGTGGACGCCCTCGCCCATAACAACAGCATGGTGGACTCCGACCACAACATCATACTGGTCCACCTGGACGCCCACGACGACCTATACAACATGCTACACCCAATCCAACGTCGTCGTGACCATAACATCCATCCTGCCCTGCCCGGAGACGTCGACAGTAATCTACTGGGAATGCTGCGACCAATGCGAAACGAACTGCTACAACACGCCCACGCCTACGACGACCCCCAATATCTGGGTCGGCACGACGACAGTAACCTCGCACACCACCATCACCCCCGCACAGGGTGGCACGACTACCACGAGTAACGGGCTCGTCATCATCTACACGTCCAACCCGGCAGCTGCGACAGAGACGCCGAGTATAGTCTACGCGGTAAGCAGTGATGCGCTGGGCCAGGACGGCGGGATGCCGAATCTCTGGTCCTACGGGATGGTGTTGGCTGTCGTTGCGACCGTCATGATTTTGTTATAGTCAGGAGACCCATCATTTGGGTGTTGCACGGGGAGGTGTTCTGAACATTGCATTGTCATGCATACCAGCAAAGGGCGGCAAATTTGAGGTTTCAGCTATAACGATAACGACGTGCGGTTAATATTTAATGAAGGAACAGAATCATGATGATAAGGAAAGCCATCTGGGAGACATTGTCAGCTTCCCAGGATCCAAGCGAGCAGCGTTGCTAATCTGCGCTGGACAATGTAGATTCAATGCATTGAAGAAATAGTCGATTTAGGTTCATCAATTTCCCACTGGGTTAAATCCATTCACAACTACTCAGGTCACAATCCGTCATATCTTTTGTTCATGCATTGTCATGTCGTTGCCTCGCGTGCTGGAGCGCTTTCTCTCATTCCCGCATCCCAGCGTTGGCGCTTGTAGGCTTGCGCTCTTTCCTCGAAGGACACGAGCAGCTCTTGTTGGAAATCGGGCGTCTGTTCCGGTCTGAAATGAAGATACTTAAGGAGATTTTCGCCAGAAATTGGCTTTGACAGCTCAATGAGAGCGGCGCTTAATGCATCACATTTTTCATAGAAATGATGATCGATTGGAATTTGGTCTGCTTGCACGACGTGCCATGCCTTGCAGAGGACTTTCTTGTATCGGGGCCATTCACCGACCAGCCGGAAACCCACCTCGCAGTCATGGGCGACATATCTCCAAGGAAGTGCTCCAACAAGAGATCCATGGCACAAAAGTTTGTGGAAGCGGGCAGAGCCTTTCCCCTCGGCGTTTGCTGCGTTGCCTGCTTTTTGGAGGAAATCGACTACATCAACTGCTTTGATGCCTCGGAGGAAAGTCACCGGTGTCTTAAGATTCATCTGTAGCTGTGCGCGATTCATGTCAACATGGCCCTCGCATTGCCAGCAACGCGACTCTGAAAATTCGAATAGTTCAATCTCTTGTACGACAGCCTCGTCTAGGTCAGCTTGGTGGTTAAGGAAGGCTGTGAGTATATCCCTCGTCTGCGATTCCGCTTCCACAAGCTCGTCGTGATTTTCCAGGAACATCCGAAGAGCGATACTCCACGAACTCTCGGCAGCTGGCGCATTTATTCCGAGTTTCGAACTTGAGCGAGGATCAGCCCCATGCTGCAACAGAATCTCGACAGACTTCCCACTGCCCCCGACAGCGCAGGCAAGAAGATAATTTTTGTAACTCTGATCAGATTCTTTCATCCTGTTGAAGGCCCACCTGGAATCCACAAATGGGCTTCGCTGGCCTACCCCTGGGAAGGGAGTGGGGACACTCATCACGAAGCCCAGAAAACCTCGATATTGCATAAGCGGGTCACTCCGATCGATAAGCCAGTCCCCTTTGGTAATGATCGCGCGTGTATCCTGCAGGGCAATGGCTTGCACCGTGTAGTCGTGCAGCACTTGCAGGATATCGCGGCCTTGAGGTTCATTGTCGACTGTTTGATGGAGGCGTGTCGTGAACATGTTGTGCACGAAATCTATGTGGATCATGAGGCCAGACAAATCCAGCGAGGAAAGACGCATAGCATATGCCGCGAAATCCCCTTTGAGCAGCCTGGTACAGACCTCGAGATCTGTCAGATCTGCATGATACAGTATCTGCTGACCAGTTACGGTGTCGCTGAGGAAATCAATGGCGGAACGGTGAACGAAATTGACCGACGTCTCGTTGTGCATGAAGTATAGCATCTGCCAGTCCGCATCTTGCTCTTCACTCACATCTGCGTCTCGTCTTAATAGACAGGGTGACGATATGTCTGTAGCATTGATGCAATCCGTCTGATCCGAGGTATCAACGGGCCACTTCGCACCACGGAGCGGACCAACTTCCAATAGGCCTGCACAGATGACGGATAGGCGTTTCTTCATACGTTCACAAGCCATCACTACTCGTCGGAGTGAGAGTAATTTGCCTGTCGTGAAGACCGTACCCACGAGATCAGGCTCGAGAGCCACGACGAGGCCAAACAAGGAGAGAGGCCAGCATACTGAATTCTCCTGGTGCAAAAGTGCAAATTTCAGCAAGTTCGCGGCCTCTCTTCGATAGAGTCGTTCGTCTTCGCCCAAGCTCGACCACATTGTGACATACAGGTTTTCAAGTCCTGACGGGAGCTTGGCCAGACGATCTTCTAGTTCCTTCATGGTATCATGGTTTTCCAAGCCTCTCAACAGCGACTTGGTCGCTAACACAACCCATAGGAAGACCCCTGCAGCCCGAAAGGTCAATCTTGCTGCAAGCTCTTCAAGCTTCCAACGTTCAACATGCCGTACCTCGCTATGTGCCATGAGCAGATCTTGCACATAATGATGCATGTCTATTTTCGTCAGGTCCTCGAGTCTGAGCTGCGGTATGTCCGCGAAAATCGACGACATCGGATTCCCAGGGCGACTGGAGAAACAAATTTTGATGTTGTTTCGAGACGAGATGTCGTTGAGGTATATTAGCAGAGTCTTGAGATCGAAACCTCCGTCTTCTTCTTGCATCTCGTCCAAGCCATCCACGAGGACAAATAAAGCTTTGCTTGATAACAGACCCAAGGTCATGTCAAGAAGATGCTTCAAGGACAGCTCGGACCAGACTGAGTTGGGAGTTCTGAGCCCCAGTTCGATATCCCTCCTCAATAGTTCATCTGCCACTCCATGGTTCAATCTGAATAGTTGGTAAAGCAGCGAGCGTAACATGCCCTGAGCGGATCGCTGAAGTGGAGAGCCGGCTTTCCAGAAGAAGAAGCTCAATACCAGTGGCTCGGTCGCGCACCACTGGCGCAGAAATTGTCTCGTCCGTTCGTCTCCATTGATGAACTTCATCAAGGTTGATTTTCCACTTCCTGGCTTACCACTTACCCAATAATTTGGGCCCTGTGATTTCAGCCACTTGGTTAAACAGTGCCACGGTCTCGAGTGATTTTCATCCTCCTGGAAAATCCATTCATACGTTTTGGTGTGCACGGACGCGATTTGCTCTTGCCGATGCCATATTTCAGGGTAGTAGAGGCTTGCAAGCAGGCTTTCACGGGATTGTGCCGTAACAGACGCTTTTTGTAGGTCGTGGGCCGTGGATTGCAGTAGAGTATGAGTGGCTGAGATGTCATCGCGGATGAGTTGACGTGAGATGGTGTGCTCGTTCGCAATCGAGCGATTCAGCGTAGTCGTCTGACGGGCGAGGCTCCGCTGAACCGCCACATGCTGTGTCACCAGAAGGTCTTTGGCTTCTTCGTGGCAATTTGTTACCAATGCCGAGATCTCGGTGACTCCTTGGGACAAGTGGGTGAGAAAAGCGCGCAGTTGTAAATCGACTTGCTCGGATCTGCTCTGCTGGAGAAGATGAATGTCTTCTTGACGGCGACTGTAAGGTTCACGTCAACTTGGCTAATGCGAAGAGGCAGGTCAGGAAAACCGGAATTTCCAACAGACCACGTACCTGAGCTGCACCAATATTTGTGTGCTCAAGAGTCTTTCGTACTCGCGTAATTTGTTGTAGACAGCTGTGACTGACCTGCTGCTCGTGACCATCTTACGCATTTTGTCGAATTTGCCACGTGGCTCTTTCTTGTTCATCATTATCTCGTCGAGCCTTGCTTGGACATCATGGGCTGCTTGGGCACAACTCTTAGCCAGCTCGAGTAAGTCGTCATCATTTTTGCCGAGAGGTTTTGGCGCACTTGCCAGCGACCTGTCAAGGCCCTGGCAAAGACCTTCGAGCTGCTTCGAGACCAAGTTGAATTCATCCAACCTGGCGGTTGAGCCACTGTCGGCTAACTGTTTGCACTCCCGGAAGATCTTCAAGCTGAAGTCAAGAACCTGGACGACGTTACAAGCAATGCTGAACGCCACGAGAGCCTCCATGATGATACCACGCGATCAGAATCACCAACGAGATGCATATCACGAAAGAAAAGAAACAATGAAAGGACGATCAGGCTGTGAGTTTTCTCGGGCTGTGATCGTGCGTGCAGCGCCATTTTGAGCCAGACTTTATTGGTTGGAATCTGCTGGTAATTGCAAGGGTTCGAGATTATTGATGGCTGTGCTGTGTTACGGATAAGAAGTAGAAGAGCCAGCCACACAGGCAGGCCAAGACATTGAACGCGCCATTCTGATGCTGGACCATCCGATAGGCTCCATTGACACGGTCACAGTGCATGGTGTTTTGCCTGTAAGTGTTGCGGTAACTGCCCAAATTCTGCCTGCCGTGTGCGAGGACGCGATTGGGAGGGCCGTCCCGGAATGGAGGGATGACAATGGAGTGAGTTCCACTTTCTGGAGGTTACATCCATCTGCTGTTCGTGATCAGCAAGAAATGTTATTGTCTCTTCTAAGGCTGAGGCTGATACAAGCAGGGCAGTCAGTGAGCAGTCAAGATTGTGTTTTGGGTGACAGCTTGGTGCGATAAGCTTATCGCCCGCATTTCTCCTGATTGGTTAGGGACACAATCCCATAACCACCCCCTCCTTCGCCCTCAGCATCCATATCTTCCTCGTACAAGGATGACAATGATGACTTCTGCTCGTTCGTCGTCCTTATATCTCTCCATTCTGCATAGGATCATCATTATGGAATTACCACTTCTGTAGCAGTCGAGATGCCGTCGAATGCAAGACCCTCGAGTGCTCGTGGTTTCAGCCATCAATTCCGACTGAATCGCCAACGGACTGAGACCGAAGCTCTGCTTGCGTCACAGCATGACGAAGAGGATGTTGCCGACAGCGATGGCCTATACCCGCCACATTGTACGTGGACCAGCGCACATCGGGAGCCTCCTCGTGCAGCAGACCCCTATGGGAACGGTAATTGCAATGTCTATGAGAATATCCATCGGTAGTGATCCCCAAGACTGAAAGCTCAGGCACTAACCATACTTGTAGCGTTCGGAGGGACATTATAAACAGCATAGGTATAATGGCCTTTCACCTAACGTGAAAGCTATCGCTGATACTCTGCAGACGATCCATACTCGCTCGAACAACTAAAAGCACCGCGCATGAATATCTCCGTGGTTCGTCCTTTGGTCGACTCGCTCTATGAAATGCAGGATCTCTCTATTGGTTTGCTATGTCCAATATCGATGATCTCCAACCTATGCTAACTCCCCAGTGTACTGTCTTCTCGTAAACCGAATGCAGTTCATCCGGGAACAATCATTCGCAACTCATCACCAGACTGTCAACCTAACCCGGGCACTGCTTTGCGAACTGCTCGCCGAGAAGATCCTTCGTCGATACAACGAACAAAATCCCGGCCCACGAGGCCTGCTTAAGCTAGCAAATATTCTTGTCGCTGGATTTGAGCCGTTTCAGGGCGCTCCTGATGAGGTCTACAAGCAGAGCATCCATGCCATGCATTGGGCGAAACGGAAGAGAGGCGGCAGGATCGAAAGGAAACTGACAGCCCTTGAAGTAGCCATTATCAGCGCGAGTAAGAGCTTTCTGGCGAGTAGTGCTTGCCAAAAGGTTGTCGACGCGATCTACCGAGGGAAGCTGGTCTACACACCTAATAGTTTCATCGACATCATTCCTGATCACTGGAAGAAGCGGCCGATCTCATTGTATGACCCACGCAGAGCGCCAATGCTGAACCAGTATCGGCTCATCGTACCTCGGACTCGAAACATCATCGAACTATGCCAATTTGCGATACTTCTTGCGTTGTATGTAGTGGTCATGGCTGGCCGTGAAAGTCGAATGAGGACGGATTACAGTATCGTCGAGGCTGTCTTTGATGTTTATGCTTCCGGCTGGGTATGTTTACCTCATGCTGAAGGCAATCAAGCTGACAGATTAGGTTCTCGATCAGTTCGCCTCGATCTTGGAGCATGGCTGGGGAGTCTACACCCAGAATCTGTGGTCGTTTCTGGATGTCATGTTCTGCTTAATCTTCGTTGTATACTTGAGTTTGCGATTACACGCTCTCCGCATCTTCGATGAAGAACAGTCTGTGATCGTGGCTCGGACCGCTCTGGATGTCCTGAGTTGTGGCGCCCCGGTGCTGGTGCCCCGATTGGCATTCAATATCATGTCGGAGAATTTGTTATTTCTTTCCTTAAGAGCCATGATGTCTGACTTCATGACCCTTACCATTCTTGCGGTCTGGTGCTTCGCGGGATTCCTGTTGAGCCTGAAATGGCTGCATGCTGGTGCTCACCAGGTAAGATCCTAGTTGTCCTCTCGGACGTGGCTAACATCCTTCAGTCTCTCACAATTGGCAAATGGATGATATGGATTTGGTTTGGTCTCGATGGCACAGGCATTGACCAATCTCCCGACTTCCACTGGCTCCTTGGTCCCGTCCTGATGGTTTTGTTTGCGTTCCTGGGAAACACCCTCTTTCTGACGATACTTGTGTCGATGTTGACCAATACTTTCAGCGGGATTGTGGGAAATGCTGTTCAGGAGATCCAATTTCGCCGAGCAGTGCTTACCTTTGAAGGTGTGAAGTCTGACGCGATATTCGCGTATTTGCCTCCATTCAATATTCTTGCCTTGCTCATCATGCTTCCCTTGAAATGGGCGATCTCAGAGCGGATGTTCCACAAGATCAACGTGGCCGCTGTCAGAACCCTCAATCTTCCAGCATTACTGCTGATTGCTCTGTATGAGAGAAGGACGCTGTGGATGTCGGATAAGAAGTACAAAAATAGGAAGATTGATTGGAAAAATGCCAATGGGCCGAAGGCGACGGCCGGACAATACTGGGCCATCTCAAGATTCACTGTCCACGGAGATATTCATGCGGTCTTCGATATCGACCCACCTCAGTCTGTCTTGGATAGGATCGCAGAAGAGGACGATCTGCAAGGAGATGACAGTATCGGGAAAGCACTCAGCAACAATTTGAACCAAGGCTTTGGGGTGTCTGGCAGACCGAGACGCCAAAGTGGTGTACTTGACAGCAACCGGACAATGTCGGTCAGTTCGACAAAGACAAAACAGAAGCGCCAGGGGGACTCTGAAGAGCCTGGAAATCTGAAGAAGGAATTTGCGGATTCTAGCGATGGTGAAGATGAAGCGGATCACCCACGAGGTTATCGAAAACCGAGGCGAGGCGAGCGTATGGACTCGATAGTGGATCTGAATGATGACGACGGCACCAACAACCGACTGCTGGAAGCCAATGCGCGCCTACACAAGATGGAAGAGTCTATGGGCAGAATGGAAGCAATGATGGCTCAATTGCTGAACGTTGGTGCAGGCGATGTCAGTTCGGAGAACAGCGAAGGGAAGGCAGAGCTGGCGGAGCAATTGCGTACCAACTCATTGAAGTAGATTGATTCCTGGAGGGCGTTTAAGCAAGCGAGGTTGGATTGAAATACAAGATACAAGATATCATTTTCGTCCCGTGTATTTGTATGCATGTCCTGAGATAAATGTGGTGAAGTTGATTGAGGCTTCAATGCCAAGTCTGCGGTCGTTGCCCTTGACAACCGATCGCAACCATGTCCGCAACTTCGTCTCGATACCACGCGTCGGGTCAACTTCACCATCACGATAGTCACCAGAATACTAGTAATACTCTTTCTTGCGTCGAACCATGGCAACCTCAATCCCGCCTGCATCATTCTCGACCAGCACATCTTCATTCCACCCGTCACAGTCACAAAATGGAACAATGTCATACTCGGATAACCCGCTCACGCAACTGCCGACGGTCGACTTCAATTTTGAAGACCTCCGCAAGCGCATGACAGACTTCACCCTCAAATTTGACGCATTCATTGAGCAGGGCAGGAAGCGTGTGCTGCAAGAGCGAAATGAGTTTCGCGCGCGGCTTGGAGAGTTGAATGGTGCGTTGGCTTGAACGAGAACACCCCGTGACTCCGCTAACAGTTATACTAGAGGAGCAAAGATCCAAAAGCACCCAGATCACCACTCTGCAATCCTCATTATCGAACCACAGCAACGTACTCGCTAGAGAACAAGCCGAGAAAAATGAAATGCACGCGCAGATATCCAAGTTGGAATCTCACCAGGCGAATCAATCCGCCTCATGCGACAGGCTAAGAAATGCCATCGCCCAAACACAACGGCAGATTGATGTCAAACTACAAGCGCAACGGGAATACGCGGAGAAGATGGATGGCCAAAGTCGACTAAATGGCCCTGAATTGGGTTTTTGGGAGACATATTTAGGCTGTCGGATTGAAGGCAGCGGTGACGAGAACAAAGTCAGAATACTCTTCATGTTTCCTCCTGTCAAAGGTGGGAAGAGCGACGAAGAAAGAGAAGCAATATTTGAATTGGAGGTCCCGCCAACTGGCAGTGGCAAGTATAATGTGGTCCATGTGAAGCCGAAGCTTGATGTTAGCAAGGTTGAAAAGGTCGTGGATCGATTGAATTCAACAAGAGAGATCGGGACTCTGTTAAAGGGTATGAGAGCGTTGTTTGTAGAAGCGATGAAATGATGGGACACTTGATGATACCCCCATATACCCCCAGCTATATGATGATGAAGTTTGGACCAGCCTTGAACAGCAGAGTAGCTTCCTGTCCATTTGGTGCTACCGCAGGACGTCGGTGGCTAATGTAGCAAGGAGTTAGTCATGCGAATGCGGTTCCTAGGACCAAGTCGCATATCCATGATGCTTTTGAGACTCGGACCTGGTGTAGGCCATCTCGCGGCTCGTCAAGGGGAATATGTTGTTCCGGTCTCGTTCACAGTCTTCTATTTCCACACTTGCTGTGCCTGAAGACGTGGAGATGGTCCTAGCGGACACGGAGAGTAATGGAGTGGCTGCATGCTTTTTAAACCCTAGCTGAGATTACCATGACCTGCTTCTCATAAGATCATCAAGAGCGAGGACCCTTTTCGATGACTTGTTGAGGTTGTTGATGAAGGGATGAAGAGTGGTGAAGCGAGCTGCGAGGCCTCGTACTTGTAGATTGGACCCTCACAGACCCTGCACCAACGTACTGGATGCGCCCACGTGGGGAATTATTGACACCTTTGTACCATTGAAACAACGACTCGACAATATTCTTATATCTCGCAACCATGTCGTCCACGAATATGTCTTCGATGCCTCAAGGAGGTACGCACACTGTCCGGTCTCCTGACCTCCGATACTGACACTCGCAGACCAGAAATCCAAGAAAAAGAAAAAGTCCAAGAAGAAAGGCAACAACGCGCAAGTAGCCACACCCACCACTCCCGTAGAGATTCCAGACGCCACCGAGGCTCCAGAACCGAAAGATGGCGCCGAAAGTGACGAGTCAGATGTCGAAGTGGGAACGGCGGCATCGTCTGAAAAGCAGGACACCGCAGAAGAAGTGCCAGCAGACTTGACTAACGGCGTCACCAAACCTAGGAATGATGAGAAGAAGGGCGACGACGACGACGACGACACGGCAGCCCGCTTTGAAGCTCTGGTCAAAGACCGCGACGCCCTTCGCCTGGAAGTCACCGAATTACGCAAATCTTTGGAAGAATTACAGTCCAAGCACGCCGTCGAGATCGAGACTGCGCAGAATGAATTGGCCGAAGCCCAAACCGAGAAAGAGAACGCAGAAGAACAATACCAGTCACTGCTGGGAAAAGTGAACACGATACGCTCTCAACTAGGCGATCGACTCAAAGCAGATGCTGTACGTGCTTTGCTGCCCTTTGCCTTTCCCTGTCCCCGTTCATACTCCCACACCCACATCGTTGATCTACGCCGACATCTAACACCCCTGATCTGCTAGGAAGACCTCGCCCAAGCACGCACCCGTATCGAGGAACTCGAAGAACAACGGACCGACCTGCAAGAACGCTACACCGCACGCTCCGCCGAAGTCGAAGAACTCTCCGCGCGCAATGCGAACCTGACATCCACCAACGCAGAACAGTCCAAAGAACTATCCACGCTACGCAACCGCCTGACCCTCAGCCAGCAGAACTGGCTCAAGGAGAAAGAAGAACTCCTCGAGTCCGAGGCCTATGTGCGCGAGGAATTCGAAAGCGCCAAACAAGCCATGCACGACTGGGAAGTGCTCGCCATGGAAGAACGCACCATCCGCCGCGACCTGACGGACCGTAACGCCGACCTTGAGGAGCAAGTGAACACTCTGAAAGAAGCGTACGAAAAAGCATCCTCCGAGCGCGACACCCAGTCGTCCACAGTCGACGGGCTCCAAAAGGCGCTCCAAGAGATCCAGACCGTGCGCAAACAGGAGCTCAAAGAACTCGTCGAAACGAATCAGGCGGAGCAAGAGAGCCTACGTAAAGAACTTGCAGAATTGCAGTCCAGCCACGAAGCCACGGTCGCGGAACTGGAAACCACCAAGAAGGACCTCGAACGTGTCCTACCGTTTGAGAAGGAGGTCAAAGAAAAGAACCTCCTGATCGGCAAGTTAAGGCACGAGGCAGTCATATTGAACGATCATCTCACAAAAGCGTTGCGGTTTCTCAAGAAGGGGAAACCGGACGACAACGTCGACAGGTAAGCGATGAAACGATAAAGCGAATGTCGCTTTAGGCCCCCACAACCCGAAGCTCTCTTTTATTTTCTGGCTATCAGGCCGCCCGCACAGCCCTACCGTAGGGCTAGGCCACACATTGCGCTCGGTTGTAATTCACTGGCACGGCTCCGACCCAAAGTCGTCGCAAGCCTGACCTGTGGTGGATTACATTTTTCTTCCTGAATTGCTGTGTCATGTTTCTATTTTCCTCCCCAGAGAGAAGATGTTTCCTTCTCGTCGCTAGCGGGTGGAGCCACTCCCCGACAAGCAAAGGCTGACAAAGAGAACCCTGACAGACAAATTGTAACGAACCATTTCTTGCATTTCCTCCAACTCGACCGGTCCGATCCGAAAAAGTTCCAGGTTCTACAGCTCATTGCGGCTCTGCTAGGCTGGAACGACGAGCAGCGAGAACAGGCCGGGCTTGCGAGACCCGGTGGTGGTGGTGCCAGCAGCTCGATGACAGGGTCACTACGATTGCCCGGGTCGCCGCTTGTCCATCGTACGCCGAGCACGCCCGCGCTGCATCATGATTATTTCGGGCCGGACAGTGCAACGAGTCCGGGCAGCAAGGAGACACTGTCGGAGTTGTGGCAGGACTTCCTCGAGAGGGAAGCAAGTGTAAACAATAGTAGGACTGGGAAGTCGAGGCAGGCCAGTCAGAGTATGAACAATCCGCCATCGACCAAATGAGAAATAAAAAGTAATAATGGGTTGAACCAATGCTATATGCCATCTCATCTGTGTGTGGTAGCATCTGCTTTCCCGTGTGGAGTAATATTTCCCTGACTCTCGTGGAAGACCGGGCTCGAAAATTCACTCAACGCCATATCACCCTGTGCGCCTGTAGTTCCTCTCGTTCAACAATCGCAGAGGTTCTTGTCAGCATCCCAGGACGCAAAAAATGTCAAAACGCCGTTCCATTGCAGACTTTTGATGATCCATTTATGGGCTTCATGGGCTCGTAGACGGGTAGCCAAAACGCTTGATCAGCTCCGGCAAGTCCTGTCCGCTTTGTTAGAGAGGGTGTAGACCATTGAAGACAGACTGACGAGTCTTACCGAATCAAATTGGGTCATATCATCCAGCTCAATCTCCTTGTCTACGTGTTGGTATTGCTCCTCGTCGTCGGGCTCCCATCGCAGGTAGAGTGTACGACGAGAGACGTCGATGCCAAACCTCATGTGCTTCAATTCGACTTCCGAAGACACTGTCGAGGTCTGAGACATGATGTCCAACATGGCTTCGGCGATTGTGGCAGCAACCTCGGTGTTCCAAGAGCCTTCGACCAGGTTCAAGAGTCTTAGGGCATTGATCGCTCGCCTTCGGGTCTCGACTTTCGGCGCGGACGACGCAGCGAGAAACATGGGTGGGATGAAGCCTAAAAACACTGTGGCACGGGAGTCCGCGGTGGTGGCGCGGGCATCGTGCTTGAGCATGTCCTCGACTTCATGCACGAGAAAGTCCCCGCGACAGCGAGGTGGTTGCAACACTTCTGTCGGCAACCCGGCCTGCTCTTTCAACTTGTCGAGGAGTATACACGCCGAGACATTGTGCACAAGGAGCATCCTCCGCTGATAGACTGGGCCTGTGGCCGTCAGCTTCTGGAAAAGGTTCATCCACTTGTACAGTTTTGCATCGAGCTCGTTGATGGACTCGATCACCTCTTCGTCATATTCCGTAGACATCAGAACGAGGATGTTGCCAATGCAATCGCCAAGGTAATCGCTGGCCATCTCGAGTGTGTCAAAGGCAGGGGACAGGTTATAGTTCATGATGCGCATGTCCTGAGGACTGAGGGATAACGCAGCGATCTGATCCTCAAGCTCTTCAACGCGTGCTACGGGCGCGAACTTGATCCCGTCTCTTATTGTCGGTTCGATGTATGTAGAGATTAGGTCGTGAGCGGGATCGTTCGGTCGTCTCTTTGCCTTCCATTCTCCTAGAATCTTGATGGCTGCTTTCATGTGGTCGAAGGCGGCGTGGCCGCTGCCGTTGAAGTTTTCCAGGACCCAGAAAATGACGCATGATGCCAGGACGACGTCGATGGGCGGTTTATCTGTGATCAAAGCTCGAATTGCCGCGTTGTAATGTGTCATGAAGGTGTGACGTGCTTGTGTCGAGGCCGACTCCGATGATATGAGAGATTGGTGCAGGTTGGCAAGTGCAATAATAGAGTGCTTGATGGCTGGTTGGTGCCATGTCGCTTGCGGAAGGAGGACGGTCCACAGATATGGTTGAGAGTAGACGGAAATGAGGTTGGCGGTCTTCTCAAGGAAGAATTGGAAGGATCGGTATTCTTCTTCTGTCCCAAAGCTGGGAACTAAAGCAAGCTCTTGAGAATGAGGATAGGAGTTGAGGTATGATTGAAGGGAAGAGTTTCTGCGAGGGAGTTCTGGGGGTGGGACCTCCGGCGAAGGGGATGGTGCTATCGAAGAAGGGCCTGTTGACGACGGAGCAGAACTGACAGGTTCGAATAACCGGATCTTGGGTGGTGCGTAGCCACTACATTTGATATTGGACTTGATACATCTGATCAATTAGTGATGGACTTATGGTGTCGAGGGAGGGGTTTACCGTTGACAAGAAGGCTTCCCCTCGTCACATTTGATTCTCCTTTTCCTGGCACAGAGTGTCAGAATGGTTCAGCACAGCTTCGTGTCTGACACATACTTGCAAGTCAAGCAACCGTTGAAGGTTTTCGGTGCCCATTTCTTCGTGCGGGCCTTTTCGCATTGCATGGTCGGAGAAGCATATGGACTTTCTGGGGCAGCTCCATCGTTGGAATCGATCATGCCCGTCTCTGATATATCCAAAATCATAGGGAAGGAAGTGTTAGATGATGATTTCTATCGAGTGGCGATGATCAAACGGAAGTCGGGACGGAAGTGTCTCGTGGCATGAACGATTGCCGATGGCTGAAGTCGGTGAAGGTCGGAGGATGGGTTTGGCGAAGTCGAAGACAGGGGTAATGCTGAGATACCAATGGGAATACTTCCTTTTCCATGCCTGTGTTGCCGACAAGATTAGAAAAGCCCTGTCCAGACATGCCAAAACTCTGGTTTCAGCCTCGTGGTTCGTGGAGTGGTCCTTGACTGATCATTTCACTGCCTTCTTGAGGCCTTAGGATATCCAACTCGGCCTGTAGTTGATCGTTATAGTGGCTCAGTGTGCGCATCGATGAGGATGTGGCAGATGAGCTAGAGCTGAAGCGAGAACGAGTGAAACGCCCAAGTCGTGTTCGGGACCTGATCGCCTTCCACGTTCTGGGAGAACAATTTGGCCTCGTGTGGGCTCGCATCTGGGATGATATATTGGCCTGGAGGGAAATGGCTGTGTATACGGCCCTATTCTTTATGGGAAAGAACGAGCCACAGGGCCGAAAGCATAGTCTGAGTGGGTTCTGGATTGGGGTCCAGACTGGAGCGCATTTGGGGACGGAAAGCAACGAAAAGAACACTTGCCGTGGTTGCTTACGTTTCGTGATGCAGGCCCTAACATGAACCGTAATCCATGTGTAAGGGAAGGCTCTCACGGTGTAAACATTGATAAGGGCAGACCAGATGGCATTCGTAGATATCTGATCGGACAATTGCGATTTAGATCTTCCATTGAGAGCCAACAGAGTCTCCACAAATGACCGGGCTGGGTCGGGGATCGTCGGGTCCAGATCTCTGAATCCATAGAAAGTTCCTGAGAAGTAGTTCAAGAGAGATATTTCGAGGTCTTGTAGACGGGTAGTAGTGTGATTCCGCCCAGTGCGTTAGATCATTGGGTGGTATTGCCGTCGGAAGCAGCATAGATTTTCCCTGATGTTGCGACAACACCCTCCCGCGGTGTCATCGTCTGGTGTTTGGTTGTAACGCTTGAGTTCAGCTGAAAGGCCTTATATGTGTTGGATTGAGAAACGATCTGCACAATAAGCCGTACCTGCTTACAATGCACATGCGGTACCCTATTGCCGGCACGCTTCGTAGGCCTGAAGCAGCCTAAGGAGGAAGAAGCGGAGGAAAAAATCTCCTTGATGCCGCAAATTCGAGAGATCTGGTGGGATTGTGCTGCCGTCCAGCCGATTCGGGAGCAGGATCCTTGTTCCTGGCCGTAAGGCTGAAAGGCTGCGAGATGCTGAAACCAGTTGGCTTTGGTCATACAATGTCATCGCAAGCATTCGTCAGACTTCTAAACGAGGTGATCGTCGCGAGCCACAAAAATACCTACCTATGCCACGCTATGCCTGACCATGTGCCCCAATCGGCAATCGATACGAATGCCGACAGATCTCGTGTCTGGGGGCCCAAAGATATTTGCCATGGCTATGCATATTCTAAATTTTTCATACAGCGACCATGACCAACCTGATTGGGTTATTCTCAACGTTCGCTTGTTTGAGCCTCCTGCCCCTTGCATATATAATGCGGCCCTACGGCGCACCAGGCTTAGCGAAGCCAAGAAGCGCCCGACAGGTCGCCACGACGGCAAAGGGTGGTCGATTGAAGCAGGTGGCCTTAGATAAGCACTGGCGGTGTCGGTATATCAAGGGAAGGCTTCTGAATGAAGTCTAGAAGTCTGACCATGCAGGACCGAGGTCAGCAAAAGCGCGGAGAGGACTTCAAGAGGTGGGATGGATGGGGGCCTGGGAGGCCACGTTGGACTTTGGACTTACATAAGATGCTCTGACGGGACAAGTTTCCTCTCACCGCCATCACCCGCACTTTGGACGCGGGTTTGACAGATTTTGAAAGGATCACTTTGCGGTCAAGATGGTCAACATGCAGTTGACGCGAGCCGAGTCACCACGCACTGACGACTGGGTGTCAGTGATGCCTGAGGTGCCTCTACCCCGTGGGTGCCTTGTGGTGCCTGTGGTGCCTGTGGTGCCTGTGATTTCCCTTTCTTTCAAGCATTTCACTAACGGGCTTGGCATCGACGCTGTTCGCCTCCTTCCTTCCTCTTCGTCGAATCAATGATTCTGCTTTTCAGCCACGAAACAATCCGGTAAGACCAAGGGGTTTGTCAAAAATCGCACAGGCACCTAGCAGGCAGCCAGGTCTGGTCACTCGAGATTATGAAGGTGCGCAGAGCATCCTCGAGCATCCTCCCGGGGGTGGTTGGCAGTGGCAGCGTCATACTAATGAGCGTGGTTTCCCTTCGTTTGGCCGTCTTGATCTGTACATCCACTGCACGATATGTAATATACCTGAGCCACTTGCCTTGCTTGCACAACACTCCTTCTGCAGGACTTCCATCGATTGTCTTGTCAATCATTCGCTCTTTCACCTGATCATCCATTCTGGCATTCTATCATTCTCTTGTCCTCTAGCCGGCGAGAAGGAAAAGCCCAAACTTTCGCCCATGGGACCATTCTAGTCTCAAGATGTCGTGGTTGAACGTACCACAAAAAAAACTGGTCAAGGTCGTTCTTTCAGTCTTTACACTAATTCTCATACTCCATTTCCTCACCACAGGCTCGAGCAAACCCAACCAGATTCAGCACAACTTCAAGCGTAAATCCTTGGTTCAGCGTGAACGACAAGATGCTGTCAGACGCGAATTCCTTCACGCGTGGACTGGCTATCAAGATCACGCATGGATGGCTGATGTGCTGATGCCATTGTCTGGGGGCAGAAGGGAGCAGTTCTGCGGCTGGTCGGCCACTCTGGTCGATGCCCTCGACACCCTCATCATAATGGGCTTGGACGAGGAGTTTCAGGAAGCTCTCAACGCGACACTCACCATCGACTTTGCTGACAGTATTGGCCACTGTAATGTTAACCTATTTGAATCCACCATTCGCTATTTGGGTGGTCTGATGGCAGCATATGATCTCAGCAATGATGCCAGGATACTTCCAAAGCTAGTTCAACTGGGCGACATGTTGCATTTGGCCTTCAACACATCCAATGGAATGCCCTGTACCATGTGCAATCTAGCAACCAAAGACGCTGTAATTGAATCGTCCGAAAATGCAGCTTTGGCCGACGTTGGAAGCCTATACCTGGAATTCGCCAGACTTTCCCAAGTAACAGGGGATGAAAAGTACATGCACACTATCGACGTACTGAGCGAGGTCTTTGCACGTTCACAGAATGACTCGAGTATACCAGGCTTGTGGCCGGAGAACCTCAGCCCAAGAGTGGTTGATGGACCCCAGTCATATGACTTTGCGAGGAAGAGTTCCCGATATGCCTTGGGCGCCATGTCTGATTCGGCCTATGAGTACCTCGTCAAGGCGCACCTCTTCATGGGAAAGACACGACATGTCTATGGATCAATGTGGGAACTTGCTTCAAGGCAGATCAAACAATATTTACTGTTTCGAGCATTCATCCCAGGCGCCAATGACACAGACATCATTTTTCCCGGCATTGCGACTCGGGATCTGGGAGTCAGGGAGACCTTACTCGAAACAAGGACAGAGCATCTGGCGTGTTTTGCTGGTGGCATGTTTGCTATGGCGGCTCGAATCTTCGACAACCCCGACGATTTCTACATAGGCGAACAAATCACCAATGGCTGCGTGTGGGCATACCAGAAAAGCCCAACCGGCATCATGCCCGAAACGCTTACCCTCCTACCGTGCTCCACTGACGACGGGCAACAATGCGAATGGAGCGATGAGTACTGGACAGTACAGAGCAATCGATCCGAAAACTGCATGAACGGAAACTGTCAGTACCACCGATTCCCTCCAGGCTTTCTGCAAGTGAAAGACCCATCGTACAAATTGCGGCCCGAGGCAATCGAATCAGTCTTCATCATGTGGCGAATGACAGGTGACGAATACTGGCGAGAAGTTGGGTGGGAAATGTTCGAAAACATCATCGAGCATACGCGCTCTCCCTTTGGACATGCGGCACTCATGAGCACCATGGAAGTGTATCAGCGCGACACATACGAGAGAGGACTGATGGTCAGAAAGGTCCTCGCCAGGCAAATGGACGATATGGAGAGTTTCTGGTTCGCAGAGACATTGAAGTATTTCTACCTGTTGTTCAGTGAGCCCAGCTTAATCAGCCTCGATGAGTGGGTCTTGAACACCGAAGCCCACCCTTTCCGGCTGACTGAGGGCATTCGAGGATTTTGATCTAGCAGTTCAACACTGTATCGCCACAGCCTGTGACCACTTTGGTCGTACCAGCCGACGACTCCGTCTTGTACGCTGATTCGCAGTAACGGCCGACGTTCTGCGCAAGGCCGTCAGCAAATCTCTCAAATGGCAGGAACAGGACGAGAACTCCTGGGAACAAAACTCACTGTGCTTCCACGACAGAATGCAACGCAGCATCCATCCCCGGGTTCTGACTCGTAAATCCAGGATTGGGCCCCGCCTGACCAGCCCACTTTGTGACTGCCGCTGCAGCGAGTCACCTGTCAGCGTCAAAAGGCAAGAAGGCAGCAAGGTTGGAAAGATGAAAGGACTTATCATACTCTTCAGTGAAAGTGGCTTGATCGCCTTGGAAGTCGGTCTTGCTGTACAGACTGATGCGATACGTGGACTTTGCCGACGCAGAGATGGCCATGAGGCTGCCGAGGACGAGCACTGAGAGCTTCATGTTGGCGTTCAGAGAGCTTGTTGGATGTTTGGATGCGAACAGCGACAGTCTGCAGGAAATTGGGATGGTAGATGATAAGATGTTTGCTTGCTGGTTCATCCTCTGCGAACCCTTTAGGACTATTTATGCTTCTTCATACGTATCAAACACAACCCGCAGTCTCCCAGAAGGAAGAAGGAACGGGTCTGTCTGGCTGTGGTACAAATTGGTCATTCCAAGCTACTTGGTCCAGCTTGGATGCTCCCTGCCAAGCAGGCGCACATGTTGTTATTATTGTTGTTGTCCATAGAATTGCTGAAATTGCCAGATGTTACACGGGCTGAATTCCGTCTAATACGTCTTGGATCCAGAATGCAGAGACAAGAAGGGCCAAATGGCAAGGCAGAATCCACGAATACAACCCTCCTTATGGAGAAGAGCAAGACTTGTGTCACCAGGAGGCACGAAGCACCATACCAGGTATTTCCGCCAAAGGTTCTGTGTTTGAACACGTCTTGGAACTCCCTCCTTGTGTGACAACTCTGCTCGGCACGTCCCTTTTAGATGTATCACTTTTCATGTCCGGCCCATTCTTTTGTCTAAACGCAAACTCGTCTTTCAGCCCACATCTCAATTCAATTCAAAACGCTCGTTCTCGTCACACATATCAGATACAACAGGAACAGGGGCTCGTTCACGAGCTCAACCAGTCCAGAAACTCCGGCGTAAAATAACTCACAACGATGCCGGCCCCAGCTCGCAGAATACCCTCAGTACTCTCAAATGCCATGGTCTTCAAGTCAAACACGCCCGCCTTCGCACCCGCATGAATCATGGCATACTCTCCACTAACCTGGTACGCCGCAATGGGCATATCCTTTGCAATCTCCTTGGCGTCGGAGATGATATCGAGATAACTGCTCGCCGGCTTGACCATAATGATATCCGCGCCCTCGTTGATGTCCCTTGCAATGGCTCGTCTTGCTAGTCCCCGTCCTCCAGGCGGGAGCTGGTAGCACTTTCTGTCGCCAAAACTGGGACAAGAGCCTGCTGCGTCACGGAACGGTCCGTACAAGCAGCCGGAGAATTTGGCCGCGTAGCTCATCAAGTTGACCTGGTGCGCCAGACCGGCCTCAATGAGCTTGAGCTTGATGGCGCGGATGCGCCCGTCGTTCATGTCGGACGGAGCGACGCAGTGGGCGCCAGCCTGTGCGTAGGCCATGGCAACGTCGGAGACGCGCTCGACAGACATGGCGTTGTTGAGCGAGCCATCGTCGCGCAGGATGCCGCAGTGGCCGTGAGATGTATATTCACACAGGCAAACGTCTGCAACGATGAAGAGGGAGGGAAAGTGCCGGCGGATGGTGTGAATGGCTTGGATGACAGGCCCTTCGGGGTCGTCGGCTGCGGTGCCCAGGGCGTCTTTGGCGCTGGGATCCAGGGGCACGCCGAACAAGATGACGGAGCGGAGGCCCTTTTGCACGAGTGGGGTGAGGAAGGGAAGTATTTTGTTCAGGCCCAGACGGTTTTGGTTCGGGAGGGATGGGATGGGAGTGATTTCGTTGGGATTGTCTGTGATGAAGAGAGGGTAGATGAGCATGGACTGAGTTGAGGTTAGTATGTCCACAGAGGAGGAGGACCTAGGAGGGTAGAGCATACCTTTGTTAATTGACGCTCTGCTTGCCATGCTCTTGAGAGTGGGTGGCTGTATCCTGCATGGAGTTGGCTGGAGATGTCGCCTGCAATGCTGACGCTCGTGGCGGCCGTGGAGGTGTATGAGCGAGCTTGCGAGGGGCGGGAGATGGTGGACTGGTTGTCATTGCTGGTCGCCGTGCTTGCGCTTGTTCGCGCATTGGACTGGGAGGAGTCGCGGAAGGCGATGTCTTGGACGAGGGAGGAGAATGACATTGTGGCGGTAGGAAGGAGGGCGATTTAGAGTGAGACCGAAAGAGATTCGCAGCAGACGTATTCTTAAATAGCAGAAGATTATGTCGAGCTCAGCTCAGACAGGGGAGGTTATAGATTCTGTGTCGAGCGAGAACAGTGAACCAGATTACCTTGCTGATGGAAGGGCGGCGAAGTTATTTTTCGTACGGAGTACAACCGTCGCAGCTTGCACCCGAGTTAGAAGTTGGGGGCATCGGAAGTCGGCAAATCAATTGTCAGCGAAAACCGGAGGCTGACGATTGGAGTTTTGAAACATTAAAACATTTCTCTGGCAGCTTATCTGGAGCCACTGCTATTCGTCGACTCCTTGCTCTCACATAAGGTAACTGGTACGTACTCGTAGTAATCTGTGCTGTAGGCCATTGTAGGCTCACGAAGGCTCTATAGTAAATAGTATAAACCCCATGCAAGACAGCACCTCTTCTCCTGTCTTGTGTCCTCCAGTACTCCAGAGGTCTATTTGAAATATATATTCCAGGTCAAGATACTCTTACCCATTTCCAGTCATAATCCCAAATTTAGCCTGCCTGTCCTGAACACTGGCATCATCGTCGATGCAAGGTCTTCCCAGTCAATTAACCCCCAAACGCCATCGCCATGCATTGAAAAGTGTCTGGTCTACAATTGGATGTCGTTGCTCAAGAGGCGAACTTCCTCGCCAGGCTTGAAAGCCGGGAGGCCAATGTAAGGACATCCATCGCATCGGAAAGCATCTAAGCGACGTTAGCATCTGCGGATGGACCAAGAAATAGAAATTTACCTCCTAAACTGCAGTTGCCACAACTCCCGACCTTGCCCTGGACTGTAAAATCGACTTCGGCAAGATCATCTGCCTGCAACTTCATCGTGTTCAAGGCCTGATCGGCGTTGTCTCGCCTAGCTCGATCCTCTGCCTCCAGCTTTTGCGCCAGTCCACAAGTACAATCTTTGCACGCTCGTCGTCTCTTTGCCTTTGGTTTGCACTCGGTCGCTAGAAACATCAGCTTGTGAGCACCACGGCAGTCCAGGAAGACTTACGAATCTTTATTGGTCTTTTGAGATCGTCCTCGTCCAGCAATGTGTCTTCGTCAATCAATTCGTCGTCAGACTCGTCCGCTCCGTCATCAAACCCTACACCCGCAGGAACATCATCCACACCCTTTCGCTTTCCATTGAGCGGCAGTGAAACAGAATTGCCATTAGTGCTCAGTCCGCCAGCAGCCCGAGCCGCATTCTTCTTGCCAAACTTCAGAGGGATCGACTCTTGCGCGCCGTAGTCTGGCTTGACAAATCCTACGCCTGGCTGGAAAGAGAGTCCAGCAAGGATTGCCTCATTTCTCTCTGCACCTTCCACACTGCCGTATTGCCCATCTTGGCTCCGTACCTGACCCCCACTCTTGAGTGCTTTCACCAATACTGCCAGCACATCGCGATTTAGTAGGGCTTGTGATTCGCGGCGGGAACCATCGGCATCGGAGAGGACTGTAACGATGTCGTATGTTGATTCTGGGAGCGACACAAGTCCGACGGCCAGTCTGTCTAGCATTTGCATATCTGTGACTGCTCGGTTGTGCATTTCCAACACATTGGTTAATTTCTCTTGGTGGGATGACAAAGATGGTGGCGAGAGAAGGAGGGTCCGCGGGGAGGATTGAGGGGCCTTTGCGGTAGGCATGACAAAGTCATCTGAGGTGTCCATGAAGATCGAGGGCGACATATTGACTGTAACAGTGGAAAGAAAATCCAGTGGTGGCGGGAGTAATTCGAACGCAGTTTGGAAGGACAGGAAAAGATAAAACGAGGAACCCAGATTATCAATCGGGAGCGAAAGAGGGGAATGGCGCTAGTCCTGCAGCTGGCACAATTCCGACCACGGCACCGACCTCTCTACCTGGTTTGCTGCCACGTGGGGAACACCAGCACAAACTATTTCTGTTCCTGAATAAGGATTGTTACCTGAGACGATAGCATGGGTTCTCAAGCAGTAAAGAGAGACACTTGGGGCTTTCGAGAGGACTTGACTCACCAAGGGAATAACAGCTCACGTGACAACGTTCATGGCCAGGCTCGCGGCCCACCGATTAGATCAGACCACTGTACGGCACTGCATCACGTTGTCGTTCTAGAATTGTCCATAGTCGCCGACACTTGTCCTCTGATAAAGACGGTGCCACCGACCGGTGGAGCTGGGTAAGCTGCGACATTAATTTACCTCTGTTTATGCGAGTACACAGTACTGTGCACAGTACGAGTACAACGGTCAGTCAACTTATCCACATAAATGTGACGGAGATCTGTTTCCCAGGTGTCGCCATTTCTCAGCTGTCAGCCAATGGGTGGGTCATGGAATGATCCCCACGCTTCTTGTTCCTCCTTGTGAGGAATACTAGGCACACTCAGGTCAGCAAATTGCCATTGCAATGCATCATATATTGCAAATGATTCAGATCGACCCAGATCCTTTTCATTCAGATCATCATCGGTACCTGAACACTACTTCGGAGGGTGGAGATTCAGGTGTTCAGGTCATTCGCAACCACAGGCGTCAGCCCCGCGCTAAACTCCCAAATGGCGCAAAAGTGGGTGCTTCCCACGGCATGTAGTCGGCAACAGGAATCCGGGGAAAAGTGCAATGACGATTGGCAGAGGAACAGAAGCCTCCAGAAATGACCTCGGAGTGGTTGGACTGGCACTGACTGATCATGCGAGCAAAACAAGTCGAAACTCTTCTCATCAGAACTAGACTAGCTTTGATATCTGGCCTCTTCTTGACGCCCCTTGCATTCATCATCGCCCAGTAGCAGCCACGCCTCATCTCCCATAAGTACTCTACTTCCGGATCTCGCTCACCCTGACTTTCCCTCCAGCAACAGTACTCGACCAGCTCAAAGACCCAATCACAACATACCACTCTTCTTTCTATCTCGCCAAAGCTATCCTAGCTACGCTATAACCCGTCAACAAATAACGTGAGTCCTCCCCAAACCCAATACATCAGCGATCATCATCTGGGTGGTCCGAGCTTCTTCCTCTCTTTGACGAGGCCTGCAGGGTCGCGTGTCTTTCCCCCTTCAACTCCAACTTCATCTCAATCAAAGCTGACTCCTATCTCAAGCAACAATCAACCACAACACTAGTTCCTGAATCACTACAACCCTCTCAACCATCTCCTACCACTTCATTGCTCCATCAGTAAGTCTTTCCGGATCTTCCTTCGACAGTGGACTGACTGCGGCGCAGTGACCCGTACCAACAAAGGAAACGACCGCAACCACAGCGCCCTGGCGGATGGAACTGCTATCGCTGAAGAGCGTCTCCCCCGTTATTTTGCCAAACATGGTCATGTCGATGCCGATCCGAAAGCTGTCAAGAAACAAGGCGGTGGTAAGGGCAACTGGTAAGGATTCCGTGACATGTCATCTACACTCAAAATACTGACAAAAAGCAGGGGCCGTGAGGGCGACGAAGTTCAAGACTACCCATACAACCTCGCCAACGCTCGTCGTCGGTCCAACAGCAGCACTCAAGCCCTAGGTGATTTCAAGACCAAGTTCGAAGCCATCGAGACCGACCCTGTCTTCGAGGAAGAGTTGCATGGACCGACTGTCGATGACATCGAGCAAGCCTCCAACCTTTCTAAGGAAGAGAGCACTGACTCCAGCACTCTCGGAGGAAGTGTCGATGATGACAACAAGATGTAATACTACAAAATCCATTCGAGATGATCTCACTGTCACACTGTGATCAATCTCCTTACATGGCGCTCAAGGATGGTGCTTCACAATGTACGCTGTGACAACACAGTGTGTGCTTTAAATAACAATGGAGACTACGAACAGGAATGATTCTATCAGCATGATTAGCAGAGCAAGAACCCATCCAAATCAAGAATTGCAGAATCCAAACCTCCTTCTGTTCGCTGTTCGTGATATGGCTTGTTCTGTGTGAACCCCCATTTCAGTCGTCCAGTGCGACTCTCATGCCTCTGTTGCTGTTCTCCCAAATCAGCACACAGTCCTTTTCTATCCCACTGCTACAACTGTTGGAAAACGAGTTCAGAAAACGTGAACCATGATTATCCGACTGTGACAAACTGCAAAGGCTGCCCGGTGTCGTAAGCTACTATGTATTGCGTTACGTTCAATGGTATTAATACCTAAGTCCGACAGGTCAAGTTGGTAGTGTTTTCACTTGTAATTCCACGCCTTACATCGAATATTTCACTTACGGGACGCCGCTCATACATTTCTAACCCTGATGCCGCACGTGATGATTGCCACCAAAGCGAAGAGGACGGCAGCAAATCCAAAGGGCAGCCCAAGCCATGCTTGGCCCAGACGGAGGCCAAATCGTAGGGCCCATGACATGCCCAATGCTGCCACAAGAGCCCCAATCCCCTCCATTACGGAGATCAGTGCGTACAGGCGCCCAATATCACTGGTTGTCTCTATATTGTGAGATTCGACAAAGTGAGGTCACCAAACTGCGGGCTGTAGGTGCAAAACCAGTTCCCAGTGTGAACAAGATGATGCCTGTAGAAAGCAGTCAGCCGCTCCCTGTCCGTCTCCTTGTCCGTGAGACTCGAGACGCGCGTCGTGTTCCTTACCAATGATCATCAGAGCAGGAGTTGCCGACAAAAACAGTAAAAAGGTCCCAAGGAGTAAAAATATAATACTTCCTCTGGCGAGCCAAAGATCTCTAAGAGACGCTGAACCGACACGTGGGAGGGCAAAAGCAGCAACCTCTGGCAAAATGAGGGCAAACAAAGCAATGTTCACAGCCGCACGCAAAGACAGTAATAGTCCAGCCTACATTGAAAATGACGTTAGTAACAAGAAGAGGCACCCAGAATTGAGCACATACCTGTGAGAGGGTCCAGCCGTATCTTTTGGAGGCATATTGGAGAAGGACATTGGTCGACTGACGTCCGACTTTCGAAATCAAAAAGGTCAACACGAGAGCTGCAACAGCTGAATCGCGTTGGACGAAACTGAACGAGTCTCTAGCCCGGCGCTTTTTGTGCTTCCACCACTTGGCAGATTTTGGATAGTCTTCTGGCTCGGAAGTGGTCGTGGCCATAAGCGGGCGCCCGGCATCTTCGGGCATAGGCAGCGGCGACGTCTCTGGTAGGATGAGCAGCATCGCGGCACAGCTCCCTTGGAAGAATACGGCGCCAAGGAGGGGGATCCATATGTTCTTGGACATTAAAACGGAGGTCAGGGGAGGAATCGCCAGGTCTGCGATTAGGTCTGTGCAGAATCGATAGAAGAACACAGTGCTCCATGACTCTGGTGGTACCATGTCGGCAACGACGGTGGTGATCAGAGTCGTCCCGACTGTTGGACCGCCACCGAGGAGGAAGAAGAGCGAAGATAGCCAGACATAGTGCAAAGGCAAATGCAACGCCCCAGCCTACTCACAAGACAAACAGGGATTAACTCGAAGCGCGCAGCGAGTAAGCTGTAGGGTCTTTTGAGACTTGCAGCAAATAAGGTCCAGATGTAAGACAGAGTATAGCCCAGCATTGCCAGGATAACAATCTGCTTTCGCCCGCGCGTATCCGCGAGATAGCCATATGGGACGGGAAGCAGGATTGCTGGAATGCTGTCGAAGAAAAGCTGCCAGCCCAACACAGAAGCGAGCTCGTCCTGCACGGGATTGACTTTGCAGAGATGTTCCGGAACATCTCCGGGTCTGTGAACCAACGAGGGATCCTCTTGCATATAGTATCGGGTGCAGACGCTGGACTCAAATAAGCGAACCCTGGGTGCAGCGTACAGGGATTCTCCTATATCGGAAACGACGGCGATGACGATGACCAGAGCAACCACGTGCATCCATGGCCACCGTCAGCGTGTGAGGTGGACAGATTTGGACGACGCGGCAGGCCCATTGGCAGGCTCCTGCGAATCGGGGACCGGTGAGAGAAGAGGTCTTGCTTCATTGGCCTCGTCATGGCCGCTCGCGGCATGGCGTGCCATCTGCCGGCGTGGACCTTCTAAATGACAACTGGTACGAAACTGTGACGACGCAGCGCGAAGGGAGAATCCAAATGATAAAGGGGAAGATAAAGTGGAAGATGACATACCTGGAACTGGGAATGAGGAACTCCCGCATGAACAACGGGAGGCAACTATACCGAGATAAGGTACGGTGTCCACTGTTACACTGAAATAGAATATGCACAAACCTGGCTGCTGGGAATAACGTACGTACATAGTAGTACTATTATAGCCTATCAGATAAGCTTATGAGGTGAAGCGTGCGGGCTTACAGACATTTTCGAGTTTGTCGACAGGGGGTCGGGTCACACCAGATAAAACCCCTGTAAACCCCATGGATTTGGGTATTGGATCCTACTACGCACCTGGCGAGCTGGTAAGTATGGTGCTAGCCCAAGTCAAATGTAGTGGATTCCTGAAGCCCAGGCAACCAGGATACTGTTGTCCTCGTTGAGGGCGTCAAATGTAGAATAGCCCGCACATTATCGTCATATTTCTCCTGGAGGCGGTCGGTGGCCAGACTGAATCATTTTGACTTTCATCGAAGACGGTTTAGAGGTCGTATGCCTGACCTACATTGATACATACCTAGGTACTCATGCTCAGTATGCCATCGTGCTCAGTACGAGTACTGAGCAGACGTCTTAGGTGCATTCGGCAAACCTTCTTTCGTCACGTCGTAGCAACGATGGTAAGTAAACCCGGAGGGCAGTTCCTTGTAGTTAATCTAGCACGTGTCTAGCACCCATCGAGCCATCTAGGTAAGTTAAGCGCAGTGCCAGCCAGCGTTGCTCCATCGGAAATTAGGCGCGGTCATAACAATCGCATTCATCCTTACAATAATTTCATAGCATCATTGCAAAGCCATCGCGCCATCCGTTTCCTTCGCTCGATGTCTTGAGCGCGTCTGGGTATTGTTCAGCATGTTCTCTCCAGACGCTTCACGAATACAGTCTCTGCGGCCCAAAAGAACGCGACCAGCGTCGGGGTCAGAAGACTCGATCAAAATACCTCAAGCGAAAAGAAAGCGATCTGCCCTGCGGCGAGACACCTTCGAACCCTTAGCTGAAGCTAGCCTGAATGAGATTGCAGGACGGGAAGCAGTCGAAGGGAAGAGCAATGGACACGTCACGCCCTCTGCGCACTCAAAAGAGTTGACTCTACGAGGAGCGAAGAAGCCTGAAAAGCGCTCCGACAGAGCAGCAGGAACTGCTAGTGGTGCATTGACTCTGTCCAATAATGACTTCTACAATGTCGCTCAGCTACCTTCCCTCCCCGAGCAGATCAGAAATCGGCCTACGATCCCCTACTCGTGCATCATTTCTCCCGAATATGGCTACGCGTTGGCCCTCACTCACAGCGACGCAATAATCTGGCCATACAACTCGAGCGCGTCCACTCCGTCATCTCGAGATGTCATTACCTTCAAGCTACCCTTCCCTCCTGCCTCGGTTGATGATCCTCTTCCCCTGGCGACCTTTACGGCCAAGTCTGCGAGTGGTGAACCGGGTATCGTGGCAGTATCTGCAAAATGGGGAAAGATTGTTTATTGGGAAACAATCACAAATGCTTCTTCTCTCATACCAGGACAAAATGCGAACGTTCAGGGCTCCATACCAGGAATGCTGAGTGGTGAGGCCGTGGAAGAGCTGGTCAATGCTGAGCCGTCCGGATTCATCCTCTCATTGCGTCATGGTCGAGTTGCCCACTTGACAATTCGTGACCAAATGGGCAGGCCGGGCATTGGTGTCCAATTCTTGCGAAGATACACAAGTGGCACTGGAGGCATTCTCGGCAGCATTCGCAATGTCTTTGGCGCTGACCGAAGAAAAGGCACACCAATTGTCAAAGCCGGAGGGTCGAGAAAAGGGCAACGCGATGTCGTGGTCGCCACTGAAGATGCTGATCTGGAATTCTGGAACACCAATCTGAGCGTTGGCAACTCTTTGGAAACATCGTTCAATTTCAAGGAGGAGATTGTGGAGGCATTGAGGACCATCATCCCGGACACGCCGCAACCACAATTCAAGGTGCTGGACGTGGAGCTCTCGGCAGGACCAAGTACGGCATTGAGTCGGCGTGGTAGTCACGGTGCGCCCATGATGGTTCTCGCCTCGGCTTCGGTGGATGACCAGACAAAATACTACATGATCGAAATGGTGGTCGATGAAGGAGCGAAAGTCAAGGTGGTGCATCCCATCAATTGCTATTCAACAAAAGTCTCGGAACAACAATCATGGAGACCTCGTCTATGTGTCGCAAGAAATCAGCCCGTGGCGTTCATTCTGTTCGAGACGGCCATCGTCATCTTCTCTCTCGCCAAAATCAAGGAATCACCATCGTCTCAATTGATGATGGAGCGGCATACACTGCCCGAACCATTCCAAGACTCTGTCACATTCCAAGATGGAGCTATCTACAGAGTCCTGGGCTACGTCCTTGAGACTTCAGAAAAACAAGCTTCGGTCGTGTTCGGGGTTCAGGGCTTCGGCATAGTCAGAATGGTCTCTCATCTTCGCGGCAATGATGAAGTGGACGTCGAAGATCTCAATGATCGTATTAGCGGCAAAAGTAAAGTCGAGCAAGCCGTTTTCTTTGGGAGTATCAAGCAGAATCCCCTCGATCTGAAAAATATCAGTCAAATATTTTCAGCCAAAGAGATCGCGGCGGCTGCCTTGGAAATCAGCTCTGAAATTCTTTCTTCAACTTCAAAACATATTCCAAAGAGCGCGCCGTCCATCGACATGCACCTGCGGCTCAGAGCGAAAGCTCTCAGTGACCTGGCTCAGCATGTGATGCAGTACTATCCTTCGGCAATTTGTCGCAATGTCCGATTCCAGCTGCTGCTGAATGCGGAGAAACTAGCCGCCGCTCAAGCAGTCTGGAAGGTACAAGAAGAAATACAGCGGAAGTATCCTCAAGAAGACCGTGAGATGCCATATCTCGACTTTACGCTCCGAGCTTTGCATGAGTCTCGCCAGAAATATCCCGATCCAGAAAAGGGAGAGAAGGACCGGGTACGACACTGGTTGATCAACAGCGTTGATAATGTGGGCCATCTCATGTCGGAATTGATCAGTTGCATCCCTGAATTGGAGCCCATGCAGGTGACAGATCCCCGGATCGTAGCCGATTATCTGAAAGAGGCTGTCGATTTATGGATTGCTTCATATACAGCCGCATTCAAATTTCGAGAAGACAATGCACTTCTATACGGGTTGGGTGATGAGGTATTCAAGGAAGGAGTGCTTGTGTCAGGCTTCCCCGTCGAAATACCTCACCCCTGGACATCAGCTCCTGAACCATTCCGATTCGGCCAACGACTCATTTACGACATCTGCAAATTCCTGACCGAGTGGTGGGACCACACCCAAGGAAAGAGCAAGAAAAAGAAGATGCCCACTGATCTCAACGGAAAACTGTATGAAGCACCGAGCAAGAGTGTGCTGAAAGAACTTGCTGCTCGATTACCAACGGAGGTTGAATTGTTTTCACGCATCACCGAAGAAGAATTTATTCAAGCAGAATGCCATTTGAAGGTGGTTGAAAAGGATGCTGAAGTGCTCAAGGATGAACTCAAGAACCTGAAGGACGAAAAGCGAGACAGATTGAACAAGGCACTGGAGGTCATTTCTCATTTCAACATGCCAGGAGCCATTCATCTGGCTGAGAAGCTGCAGAACTGTGGGATGCTTGTTGCTTTGCACTACGCATATTACAGCAGACTGACAGCTGAAGCCGAGGCCAATCCGCTATTGAAGGACGCCAACCTGAGGATAATCACTGAGATGCAGAATCAAGCCGAAAAATACTTCGACAAGTTTGGCAAATCTTGGGCTTGGGCCAGCTTCAGTCAGATGATTGAAGATGATGAATGCGGCAACCTCTTGGTCAAAGGACAAGAAGATGAGAAGAAACAACAATTTCTCGCTTGGTTCTTTAAGAAAGCTCAGAAGTTTGGCCAGAAAGTTGGGAAACTTAGCTGGATCCATGATGTTATTGGTAGCGGCAATTACGGACGGGCTGAGCGAACATTGCAAGATGTTGCAGCTGAAGAGATGGTCGATGTCTGGAACAAGAAGACCGAGCTGGCTCTGGCCAAATTGGCAGGATTGGCGGCGGATGAAGATGCCAACCGACCCCCGCGTTCTACCGAGCGGTATGATCGCGAGCTGTCCATCATCGACATCCAAGAACGAGTCTCCCAGCATATCATGGCTACGGTTGGCGCTGCTGTCGACGAGAAGGCGGCGTTCGATCTCACAACGGAGAACTTCGCGTCACGACTGGTCAGGGATACTCCAGGATTGAAGCGACAATTGAAGCAGATTTTGAAGTCCCTGATACATCAGACACCCTTGACAATTGAGGAAATGGTGGACCTGTTGACTCTGATGGACGCGGTTGAGTGGATAGGAATGCCCGAAGAAGATCCTGAAGTTTGCGGACAGGAGTTCGCAATTGCCTTGAGGATAGTCGACTTCGCAGATCTGCCGGACCACAAGCAAGATGACCTCAGAGCTTTGATCTGGAGAAGAGCGATGATCCGAGATAACTGGTTGATGATCAACGACACTAGCGGAAAAGATGACCAATGGGTGCAGAGTGAAATGCAACAGACGAGTCTCTTCAGGACTATTCAACGGGTGTTCTTACTGGAACATTCTGAAGGAGCAACGATTCATTTGTTCACGCCCCATGAGATCCTGGGTCGAGAAGCCTTTCCTTCAACACTGCAGGAGAGACATGCTCACAACGAATTGGAAGGTGTGCGCAAGGATATGGATAAAGAGCAGGCCAAGCTCAAAAAGTTTGTCGAGAAGGGGAGGCTGGAAGACCATTATAATGGATTGGTCACTGCGGCTCGGCGATCTGTGAGGGACATTGTTGATCAAGACGGAGAGCAGATGGCTCAGGAAGCTACCACTGAGAGCATTGAACAGTGATCGTAGTGCACGACTTACTTCAAGTTCTTCAGGCCAATCTGTGCCGGAAAGGGATGACCTCGATGAACGAGGCTGGAAAGCGATGACCATGCATGAATGGTTCTATTCAAAATTTAGGAAGTCACAAAGACTGCCTTGGCAGATTCATCACTTCCACTTCATCACTCTTCATCCATCCACTTCATATCATTCCATCCACCTCGCTTCATCACGTCACGTCTGGTCCTCACCCAACTGTACTTGTCACACGTTCTTTTCCACATCCTTCACGGACCGACTTGGTTTGTGCCCTCGTTCTTGGTCATCATCGCTTCTTGTTCTGTTGACTCCTCCTTTCGATTATCCTTGCTACCTAGGTATTCCAGCATGGCTATCCTCGGCGAGTGTGAGGTACAAATCATCGTTGACGGAACTCCAGCAAAGGAGTACGACGACAACGAAGAGGAGGTGACAGATAATGACAAGACTGTCACAAAATACGTCGAGGCAGCTGCTGGCTCTCACTTCGCCGTCAAGTCCGATCTTCAGGCCAGCTACAATTTCACCCAAGGTGAAGACTCGGTAACTACGTATGTCGAGGTTGACGGCCACCATGTTACCAGTGGATTGTTGCTGCGGGGCAGGTTCTTGAATCAGCGTGCTCGGGGCTACACCCCTTCGATACTCATTGCTGGCCATATTGCGTCGGAGAACGGTGCGGCAACACTGTATCAATTCCAGTTCTCAGATCTTGAGACGAGTAAGATTGCTTGCCCGAGACGAATGTTATAGCGACGTGTTAACGATTCTCAGGGGACTTAGAGAAAGCCGACGACCTTGACAAATACAAAGAGAAGTACGGCCAGCTGGGCACGATTGTTGTTAGGGTTTGGCGTGAGCAGACACTGGGACGCCGTGACTTGGATGCGCACAAAGCCCGTGATACGGAAAGTATACCGGAAAAGGCATTGAAAGGAAGACCACTTGACGTTGCGACCCGGTCAGTCAGTTCACGGCCACAACATGCAAGACATACCACTGATCTAAAAACAGGATGGTCCGCTCTAGACAGAACGTCGATGATTACATGAGCTTCCAGACGCGGGCACTGGACAAGCAGGCCCTAGCGACGTTCGTCTTCAAGTACCGCACAAAACGTAGGTTGGTCCCGGTCCCCGATCAATGGCTTTATACTCAAGACGCAGCAGGAGCACTTCAATCCTTACTGATCATTGAAAGATCGCCTACTCCTGTACCCGTTGACGAACGACCCCTCGACGAGCTCTCGAGAGAAGAGCTCCAAGACCTAGTAAGAAGACAGCGAGTAAGTGTGCTTAAAATTTTCGCAAGGGGCTGTAGCATAATTGACCAGAAGTCAGGAGGAACAAGCGATCAAGAAACAAGAAAACGGCGGTATCAAGCGCGAGCACAGTGAGACTGTGACCGTCGACTCTAGGCCGCTCAAGTCAAGCAAAGGAGTCCACGGCCAGACAATCTATCACATCGATTCTGACGACGAGGAAAGGACACCCACGAGAGACGAGGTTGAGGTTGTGGAAAACGACGTAACAGAGACTAATGAGGACATTGAGGTCGTCCAGCTCTGATGGCCCGGCAAAACTGGGATCTGGTATGAAGATCGCGATGGGACTCGCATGCGAGGGAATAGATTGGGATACCAGCTGGAGTCTGATTTTCGGGGGTGGATTGAGATGATGTGATTGTGCTCTTTCAAAGCGGAGCCAGCGAGTGAGCGTTATTGAGTTACACGAAGATACCCCTTGAATTGATTGTACGTTCTCTTTATGGCGTTCCAGATCTATTGAGTTTCCAACACATTCTTGGCGGAGAGTCCTCCAATCTCAGCCAAGCTCATATTCTCAGTTATAGCATTGATCCAAGCGGCCAACCTCCGTCCCGCTTTGCCGACCATATTATCGATGATGGGTACTGCGCCGTCGAAGTAGTCCTCGCCCAGTTCCAACCCGTGCACGTCATGTGCCAGCACGTACGAGCAGACGTACGCGTTCGCCTCGCTGGCCCATGACAGGCCGCAATCTGCGGCGTCGGAGAGACATTCCTCGGATAGAGGGCGAGTGTCATTGGCGTAGAGCCGCTGTGCCCAGCGGAATGCGGCGAGAAGTTCGTCGTCAGCATTCGAGCGGAAGCCGCTGATGGAGTCGGAGTGAGCGGTGGTGGTGGTGGTGTCGGGTCCAGCGTGTTTGTTGGGAATTAGCGTGTCCCATACGCTGTGTAGATTCGTTGCGTGATTGTCGAAGAGTACCGCGAGGTCGTTACCACCCCGGTCGGAGGATTCGGTATGGAGGGGTTGGTGTACGTCGCCAAACTAAATATTGTCAGACGCTCCTTTGCGGTAAGAGACACACCCAAGGCAAATTGATCTGGCAGGAACGCCATTGGCTTCCTGCCCTGTCAGGGGAGGCGGGGGGGAAAACCTACGAAATGCATCATAAACCGCAGGCTTTGGCCACGGTAGAAGCGCGGGAGGCTTGCATTGGCGACACGAGCCGTGTGGTTCGCAATGGCGCTCACGACACACCCGCCGTCTTTGGGCAGACAGTCGCGGGTTATATTGATGCCGCACTGGTGTGGAGGATCGTCTTGGGCGTCGATATAGTGCCATCCTGCTGTGTAGGCGAAGGCGGGCATGTGCCGGACCTTATCGGGAAACAAGGATGCTTCAGATATGTCCTGGCCGTTCAGGAGGGTGTTTGTGAAGACGTTGGATTGAGGGGTGAAGTATAGACTGGCTAGGTAGGCGACTGTGCGGTGGCCGAGGGAGCCCCATGCTGATGCCAATGGCAGGGGCAGGAGGGCAAGTGTGAAGAAGATGGTGAAGAGCATGGTGGGATTGTAGCGTGATGAGGAGGACGTAGATGGAAGAGAACAGAGACACGAGAAGGGGGAAAACAAGGTGCTGGCCGATGGTTTACATATCGTGGTCGTTGTTGTGGTCAAGTGATGCCATGAGCGGGTGTTGTGTTGTCGTGGAGAAATGGGTGGATGACCAGGCGGTCGCGAGGCTGGGACAGGGATCAAGTCCTGAGGAGGACGATGATGATGATGATGTTGATGTTGGGTTTGGGCGGCGCCAGCCTAGTAGCAGGACACAATTATCTATGTCTGACAAAAGCATTTCTGTGGATCAGGCAGTGATCAGGGATCTTTTGTAGCAATATATGTACAGGGTGTCAGACAAGACCAGAAGAACCCGCCTCGCCGCCTTGACTGCTCGGTCACCCGTCGAGCCGGACGCGCCGAGGCGCCTGCCAAGATTGTTTACTCTCACCTTCATCTCATCATCTTCATCTTCATCATATTCTCATCTCATTGTTTGATGATAGTTCTCAGTGAGAAACAAGTAGCCGCCTTCAGACAATGCCATTCCCCTGTCTACATACAGCGATATTTCACCCATGCCTTCATTGTCCTTGCCGGACAGCCTCGGAACTTCATTCCTATCAAAGTGATGACTACTTTAACTTTGGTTTTAGTATTCCTTTGATGCCGTTGACCATGTGCTGCTCTTGTATCCCATGCACTCCTCATGCACATGATATTCATTCAACTTTCTCCTTCTTGTCTTACATTGCTTTAATCAAGTACTGCTGGCTTTCTGCATTTATCTAAGTACCTGGTGCATTTGTCGCTGTGTCCTCTGCACGTAACAGTCTCCATGGCGGTCCTTGGAAATCTCGAAGTCACTATCTCAAGCCAGGGAAACACGTTGCAAGAATACTATGTTGACCCAGGTGCAGTAGCCAACATCTTGAGCGGCTCTTCGACCCAGCAGGCCGCAACGGTCATCAAGTACATCGAAGCCACTCCCAAAGCTGAGTTCCAGATCACCTACAAGACCATAGGGGAGCTGGACTTTGGTAAAGCTGACTATATCGTCTTTCGGACCTTTGTCGACGGACAGAGACTCACTTCGCCGTGTGTCGAGCAGAAGGACCTTGATAAACAAGGCTATTATGCATGTTCTAGGAGTGGAGCAGTGAGGTGCGATGAAGTTGTGTCCAAACTGCACCCATTCTGCTGGAAGGAACTCTCTATTAGTGAGCGGAGTGGTCAGTTTGCTGTTGCGGGCTGACAAGAATAGCTGATGAAACATCCACCACATCTCCGGCTGTTGACCCGAAGAATCATGCGCAAATCGGTACCATCAAGGTCCAATGCAACCGAAAACGAACCACCAGCTACAGAGGCAAGCGTACGCTTCCGTATATGCCATTATCCAATGAGCCAGTCCCAGAGAAAGCTTTGAAGGGTAGAGCAGTTGATGTTGGTACTGAGTATGTATTGCTGGGTTTGTCGTTATCGATTCTGACAGCCTCCCGGGTTAGGTCAAGGATGACCTGCAAAATCCAGGAACGTCAGAACGGGTGAATGTGTTGACAACGAACCCCTTGCCGAATTTATCTTCCTTTACAGATCCAAACGTAAGACTCAGTCAAACTTTCACTATTGCCTCGCTCACGGAGGTAGATGCGCTGCAGATCCTGGAGGTTCTGCCACGTACACCACCACCACTGCCGTTGGAGGACAGAGCCACGAATTCTTTGACACTCGAGGAGGCGACGACGATGCTGGATCGACAGAAGGTACAATCAAGACATTTCTTCTCCGGGCCCATGGCTGGCATCGAATTAAAGGCAGAGCTCGAAGCTGCACGACTTGCGATTGAACGACTGGAGGCACAGAAGCTAAAGTTGGAGGAGAACCTGGGTGCCCTACGGCGATCAGTGGCTGCAATCGTGGCTTTCCCACAGGGTGACTACGAGGAAGACGGCAACGCGAACTCCATCGTCAAGCGAGAAGCTCCCGACCGAGCAAATCCCCGTGAGAGTCTCAGCACCACCGAGCCTCCAAGGAAGAGAGTCAAGCATGAGCCAGAGGTCATCGACTTGTCGGACTGAGCGACAAATGCAAACGGGATAGGTTCTTTGAGACACCGGGAGAAGACTGGATATTGTACATAACACTGGCGACAGCCTTGCGGCTCGCGAGGGCTTGCTAAGATCTGACTGTCCTTCCTATCAACCGCCCAAACCAGAACACATCGTCCCAGATGCCGTTGGGTCTTTCAGGAGGTGGCTCCACAGAAGTTTCAGAAGCCACACTCGCAGCCTCAACATCTTTTGCTGGAATAGGAGCCACAGACACTTCAGCCCTTCCAGCCTCCGAATCTGGTTCCTGAGAAGTCTGAGACTCTCGAAAATCTTCCAATCTGAGGAATACATCCACAACTCCATCCATCCATCGTCCCAGCCTGTACTTTGAGATCTCCCTGCGTACATCCTCCTCGTCCTCGCTGTCGAATTGCGCCTCAAAGTCAAGCACACCGTACGGATCATCGTCGAACTCGTCTGCCAGATCGCTTTCCACCTGTGCAGCAATCTCGGCTTGTGTTCTTGCATCAGCCCAATCCGGTGCAGCTTCTTCGTCCACCGGCGTTTGCAGAGCTGGTGTCATTGCGAGTGATCTTCTGCTTCTCTTGCCAGTGCGACTGCTCCGTCGCGAAATGCTTGGTGTGGCGCGGCCCGATCTCGCTTGTAGTCTCTCGTCCGCCGGGCTGTGCAAGGATGTAGATGAGTCGCGCTTGCTGAGCCATGATTGGCCTTTACTCTCGCGGGAGCCTTCTGTAAGTGCGAGACCCGTTTGGATCAACCAGGACGAATCAGACACGTGGAGGTGCAGTCCCGATTTCGAGGTCTTATAACCGAAGCCTTCGCTTGTTAGGGCGCCGGAGGGCGTGAGGCTGGAGTGGAAGTGTGCGTGAGAGGCGGGTGCTTGAACAGAGACAGCGCTGCGCGTCTTTTTGCGCAGGCGGTTGCGGGAACTCGCACGCGAGTGCACGGCCGAGTGGGAGGTCAGTATGCCACCGGGAGATGGAAGGCTGGCTATCTGAGAGATGGAGGTCGAAGTTAGTAGTTCCGAGGTCGATGGATCGAAGTATGCGGAGTAATCGGCTGGGTCGATCGGGTATTTTGGTGTAAGTGGTGCGAGGGACAGGTGGTGTAGATTCGGGTGGGAGCGTCGGTGGGGACCCGGGGCGAAGGACGACGAGCGCGAGAGGGATGGAGACTGCCTTGAAGTGAGCGTACGTTCCATGAGAGAAAGGGGGGTAAAAAGGACAAAGGATGGATGTCTTGGGAGAGAGGGCAAAGTACCTCCATGGATGAGGGAGCGCGCAGGCGTAGTGTCGTAGGGCGATGAATTCGAAGATGTATGGAAAAGAACGAGTAAGAGAAGAGCCGCTAATGGATTTGCACTGATCCTTGAGCTGAAATGGGCTTCAGGGAGAGAAGAAGGAACAAAATGTCGTCGACGTCGATGTGGCGTGTTGTTTGTTGAAAGTCGACCGAGGCATGTGAAGGACTGGCAGGATTTCCCGCTGGGGAAATTTTGACGCCGCTCTATTCACCCCTTGGTCATGACAGCCTCGTCTGAGAATTTCTGCCCGTTGAAGGCAACGCTTGCACAAGTCTTCAGAATGGAAACCATCACCATGATATATTAGCCCATTCTGCCTGATCATATTGATTTTGGAATAATTCGTTGTCAAAGAACACAAGTCAACCACGTTTCCTTTAGTCTACGCCACGGTACACGTTCTTCTCATTGTTAATATCTCCAACATGTCATCGTGTCACTCTGTCATTGCCCTTGCGAGCTATGTGTAATGCGATGGGACAGCAAGCCGACCAGTGGACGACAAATCACTTCCCCGGTCACAAGCACTCCGTCGTTGGATTTCACAAGTCCCAATACCCTTTGAAACACCGTGGTCCGGCGGGCATGGCCCCTGCAGTGGTCCCTGCACTTGACTTGTTGTTCCGACAGCTCGGACATTGCAGTGCATGGATTTGACGGAACGACTTATACAGAGAAGGCGTTAGGCTATCAACATTTGAGAGTAGGGCCTTTCCACTTCTGGGACATTACTCCGGACGCCCTTCGATTTCTGGCTTTGAGCCATTGTGGCGTGCTTTGGTTGGATATGGTCAGTCTGTTGTAGCAGCTCCTCTCTGTACCTGGCCTTCCCACCATTGGCACGGACCATCTCCCGAGTCACCATAATACTGGGATCAATACTCAATCCACAGCCGGGCGCAACTGTACTCTTTGTGGAAAAGGGGGTGCTGATTGTCCGTCGCGTGCTGACCCAGGGTAGACCCGGAAGAGAATCACTTCCTTCCGGTCTGTGCTGCTAAGCTCCGTATACGAGTGGCTCTCGTGGGTCATTTGGGTGTACGTAAACGCAAGACCCGAAGCACATTTGGAGTTGGGACCGTTCGAAGTTCGCTGCTCCCTTAATACTAAGAGCCACTAGCAGGGACCCTGTCCATGTGAAGCCCTCCATCTGTAGGTTGCGGTTGTGGGTTTTCTTTCGCTGGGAAACCACGCGTAGTTGTGGCATTGATGGCTTCGTAGCCCGCCGGACATCATGTCACAGGTTCGGTAATGACCATAAGCAGACCGGCTCCAGCCTTCAGACTTTGCTATTCAAGACCGAGAATGGGATGGCTGTATCGATAGCTGCGACGCTAAGGTAATGTCTGCTTTTTTGCTAAGCTGGGAATGCCTAGTCGCTATGTTCCTGTTTCTTAGTTCGCAATGCTCGTAATGGTGGAGAACCATGTGCTCGATGCTACCATACTCCATTTCGAGCTGATTCGCTTAGCTGAAACCATTGAATGATAGCTACCTTGGGTACAATCACCGCAAATGATAGAACGATTGAGACAGAAGCACGTATTCGTGTAAGAGAAAGCCGAACGAAAACTCCAATAGCTCCCCCTTAGTGGGACAGGACAGAGACAAGGTATCGCAGAAGACCTAAAGAGGTGTAGAGGATGAACTGCCGAGTAACCGGAGAAAGGCACCTTCAGGAATGCAACTGCTAACGTATAAAATCCTGTGCTTGACCTCAATGACTAGGCAGGAGCGTTCATGATCCCACCTCGAACAAAAGAACCCCTTATCTTTCCATCTCATCCTTTGTCTAACACCGTTCGTAATACAAACGATAGTATGTCGGCAGCTGGAATTGCATGCGTTTGCATTGTAGGATTGGGCGTTGTCGGCGAGTCATTCCTTCGGGAATTTAGTCAGGCGTATGCTACCATTGGCTTCGACATCTCTGAGAAGCGGATCGAGGAACTCCGAGCCAAGTACCGCGATCATGCGGCCCTCAAACTGACAAGCAACGAGGTGGATTTGAGAAGGGCGACACACTACCTGCTCGCTGTCCCAACATTTCCAAGAACAGATTACTCTGCGGATATCTCTCACCTGAAATCGGCTCTGTCGACGGTCGTACGTCGTGCAAGCCCGGACAGCACGATTGTGATCGAAAGCAATGTCTCCGTTGGCACTACGCGAGCACTGTTCGACCCCGTCGGCCACATCTTCCACACCGGAATTTCTGCAGAAAGATTTGATCCCGGGCAAAATCCTCCAGCAGGAACGGATGTTCCAAAGCTTGTCTCAGGACTGACGCCGCAAGCGCAGAGCAATATACTGGCCCTTTACTCGACTGTTTTCCCCACTGTGCTCTCAGTATCATCCCCTGAAATTGCAGAGATGACCATGCTCTTCGAGAATTCCTATCAAATGGTCAATATCGCTTATGTTAACGAAGTAAGTGATGCTTGTCGGAATTTGGGTTTAGATCCTCGCGAGGTTATCGATGCTGCTTCCACAAAACCCTTCGGTTTTCACGCTTTTCATCCTAGTCTGGGTATTGGTGGCCATTGCGTTCCTGTCAACGCTGTATACCTTCTGGCGACGTACGAGAATCTACCAGTATTGACACAGTCAACCAAAAGCATGAGAAACCGTCCGCGGCAGCTGGCGAGAGAGCTTCATGGCCATATCATGTCGGTAAATTTGGGATCATCTGTGTTGCAACCAAGGATCCTGATCATTGGCATGAGTTTCGAATCTGGCGGTTGCACACTGTCATATTTGCCGGCTGTTGACTTTGCGAGCGAATTGGAGCAACTTGGATGTGAAAGACTTGTATACTATGACCCTTCGTTCTCTGATTCAGCACTCCTATGGATCGAGAAACTTGCCGACGAGGCTTTTAATCCGATCGAAGTGGTAACAAGCTTCGACGTCGTTGCTGTTTGCACTAGGCAACAAGGGGTGGACTATGGAATGCTCGGCAACCTTCCCTCGGAAATGGTGTGGTATTATGACTGACCTAGACTCCAATGCTCTAGATAGTTGGGATTTGAAAAGATGTGCTTGGTTGATGTGGTAGAGATGGCTGTCGTTCCGGACAGGATGGGAGAGTGCATCTCGAAGGGTGTATATCCCGCTGTCTCGCATGTCCAAGCTTGGGTCCAAGGGGAGCTCTTGGAGATACCTGCTCCTAGTAAAATGCTGTGTCCGAAAATAGTCCAAGTAAAGGAAAAGTGGCTCTTTTCCAGGCGACGGACAAGTGACTCTTGAGGTTAGCGTCTCTGGGCTCAATATTGTCCAAAGATACCGACTCGGATCTGAGGTAGGCGACTCGTCGCAGCAGCAGACGTCATGATCAAGAAGTCGGGTTCTGCTCCTGTATCAGGAAGGTTGGTGTCAGATTACCAGACCTTGTTGCACGATCCTCTTTCTCTTCTGGGTTCTACCAGACCCTGCTGGACGTTGCCTCCTCAGGATGAATGGCTCCAGGTATCTGCGACTGTGGCGTGATCAGGTCGCCAATTTCGATCATTGACTAGTAAGTGATCAGTGTGTCGTTCGCGCTCTGGCCTTTTAGCACTCGAGCTCATTCTCGGAGTCGCAGCACACGTTCGTTCACATCAGCCTGCATGCCGGGGATTTCCGTCCCAGCCAACAAAGTATGATCCGTGCTTGACGGCTCGAGGCCATGTCATGCATGCGGAGTGTGGCCAAGGAGAGGAAGCTGAGGAAGAGAGCCCGCAAGTTGGTTCTGGGAGGTCCTTACTAACAAAATTCTACTCATGGGATTAGAACCCCCACCCTCTCTTATCCAATCACTATACAGAAGTATATCCTTCGACTCCTCGAGGTATCCACACAGTATCACTCCTCTATGGGGTATATGTCTGGCAGACGTTGGCGTGTCAAATGAGCGGCTTCCAACAAGAATGCTACAACGTAAATCACTCAGGGCCCTCTCGCATGTAGAGGTTAGGGGCAGCATGCATAGCCAATCGTCCCTGTACCATTCGCACTTCATTTTCTTCGTCAGCGGATTGACACCCGCGGAATTCATCTCTTTTCAGCACGTCATCTTCTGATATATGGGTATCTACTTCTCCGCCTGTTGACTTCGCCTTGTTCAATTCTCGTTTCTTCCACCATTTCTCTTCAAGAGACGGGAAATAAACCCGCCACACCTTTACTTTTCAGCCTGCCGTATCACTCCCTTGTTCGCCACGAAACCTTCTAGAGTGGCAATCGCAGACCATAATCGATTTTGCGCCTCCGGGAAAACCAAAGACCTCTTGCCATAGAACACCTCATCGCTAACTTCCTCGGCATGCCGGGGCAGACAGTGCATGAACTTCCACTCCTTGCCAGCTCCTCCTCGGCGGGCCATTTCTTCCGTGACTTGGAAGCCCTCAAATTCCTTCAGCCGTTTCGCCTTCTCTTCCTCCTGCCCCATCGAGATCCACGTATCCGTGACGATGATGTCGCAGGACTTGACGGCCTCTTCAGGCTGATTTGTCTCGGACAAAGTACCTTGGCCCTCAGTATCCTTGATTTCTTGCTTCATCTTCCCAGGGATCTCGTAGCCCTTGGGTGTAGCAACTGCCATGTCAATCCCCAACTTTTTCGCGCCAATGCACATGTCAAATAGGACGTTGTTGGCATCCCCCACCCAAGCGATCTTCAACCCTTTCAGTTTCTCGGCTGGCTGCTTGAAGGTCTGCGTCAGCGTCGCAAAGTCGGCGATGATCTGCATAGGGTGGTATGTGTCGCATAGCGCGTTGATGACAGGCACGGACGAGTCTTTGGCCAAGTTTGCAATATCCGCGTGAGGTCCGACTCGTGCAACGATGGACGACACCATACTCGATATCACGACCGATGTGTCGTATAGTGATTCATTGACGCCCAGTTGTATGTCGTTTTTGCCTAAGAACATAGGATGTCCGCCCATCGAAGCCACAGCGCCTTCGGTGGATACTCGCGTCCGCGTTGAGAGTTTGGAGAAGAGGAGCGCGATGGTTTGGCCGGAGAGGGCATCTCGGAGCGGCCATGATGTGTCTGCTCTGTGCGTCTTGTGGTAGGTAGCATTATTGACGAGGGTCGCTAGTTCAGTGGACGTCACATTGGAAAGAGAGAGAAGGTGCCGAGGGTTGGAGGAGGAACTTGTGGAGAGAGCGCGGGAAGGCTGTTGGATGGGTCGGACGATGGAGCGAAGAGCTGCCATTGTGTAGGACCAGCAGTCGTTGAAGATGGTGAAAGAGGTGAGAGGCGTCGCCTGCGACACTCCTCAATATACGAAGTGCGCGAAACGTGTGGGGGCTTTTTGAGTCACGTCCACAGGAAAAAAGGACGCAACTGGATGATGCAGCTGGGAAATTTTTAAGCGACGGACAAACAGACAAGCTTTCCCCAGAAACACTATAAATCTTGGCAGTCGATCTCCCGAACTCAATGGATTAGATTTAGTGCGGGGATCTCAGCCTCGTGGAGGAAAATTCTGGTCTTCTACTCCGGACGTCAATCAAGTGCTCGGTCTATGACAGTCTAACCAATCCATAATGGCTACAAATCTGCTAGACAAGGATATCCTTCTTCTGGATGGTGGACTTGGCACAACACTTGAAGACCAGCACGGTGTCAAATTCTCTTCTGAAACTCCGCTTTGGTCCTCGCACCTTCTGGTTGAAAATACTTCGACATTGAAAGCCGTCCAACGGGATTTTGCCGATGCCGGCGCTGATATCATCCTCACAGCGACTTACCAGGCAAGTCTCCATGGCTTCAAGAATACAAAGACCATAAACAAGGCAGGCATCGACGCGGAGGAAGCACGGGGTTACATGCTGTCCGCCGTCCGAATTGCGCGAGAATCCTATGATGGCAGGCCTGGTCTCGTGGCTTTGAGCCTGGGTGCCTACGGCGCGACCATGATTCCGAGCACTGAATACTCCGGGGCATATGGGACGATGACAGAAGAGGACCTCTACGACTTCCACATGACTCGGGTATCGACCTTCACAAGCAGCGAGGAGTGGGAAGAAATCGACCTTGTGGCTTTCGAGACTTTGCCACGGATCGATGAAGTCCGCGCAGCCAAAAAGGTCATGTTAAGTGTGACGGACAAGCCATACTGGGTATCCTGTGTCTTTCCAAATGACGACCAAAGGCTTCCCGACGGGACCGGCATCGACGAATTAGTTAGTACTATGCTGCAAGGAGACAAACCGCCGTGGGCTATTGGCGTCAATTGCACAAAGATCCATAAAGTTGATGGACTGGTCAAAGCATTCGAGGATGCAGCACGGAAAAAATCTTTGAGACTGCCAAGGTTAGTCGTGTATCCGGATGGTGCGGGTAGAAAGGTCTACGACACGAGATTGCAAGAATGGATCGGAGATGACAGCGACCAAACGCCATGGGAAGAGCAACTCTTTGATATCGTCTCCAAATCCAAGCAGAGAGGAGCATGGAAAGGTATTATTGTTGGCGGATGCTGTAAGACAACACCTGGCTATATCAAGAAGTTCAGACAAAGGTTAGATGCCGCCTGTTGATTGCATCCGAGCAGGGGCGCTGGCGATGAACGTGTAGTAGTTGCGTCTTGTCAGATAGCCTCCTTGGTGCTCCAGCATTTCAAAGTGGTGTTGGTTCAAAAGGCGACGGATACCGCGCATATCGCCCAATGGCAGCAGAAATTGTCGCCCTTCCTCATCGTACATGCCAGACTGGGTACTTTTAGAAGCCACTACAACCGGTGTGGCCTTGTGGGATTGGATGTTGGCCGCGTTCGAGAAGCCAGTGCTCGACTCTGACGACGAATAGAAGCGAGATTCACGGAGGCGGCGCTCAACAAGAAAAGTTGGTCGTATGGAGAAAAGAAGGCCACGGTGCGTTTTGCAGCTTTCTCAATGGGCATTGTCTCGTCCGTACCACCACAAAAGTGCTAAATCAAGAGGAAGTCTTTCCACAACAGTTTCTCCATCTACATCAAGCGAAGGGCTCCGAAGGGCTTGCTGCTGTGGTCCTCCGATACAAACTGGCCGCATCCTATTATGAGCTGGGAATTTCAGCTGCGTAGAGCAGATCGCAATGGCACTTTGAGACAGGGTGGTAATGCTTAGCAGCAGGTCTGTCTCATTTAACTCTACCCAAGCTCCCTGAGCAGTGAACATTGTACCTTTGAATCAAGACTCGTGATTAAAGCACAAATATCATTGACAAAGGAGCCAACAGAAATTGAATTGAACTATTTCTTGGGCTTCAAGAGTCCTAAGGGGTGGACCAACCTATATACTACAACACTGGGACTGAAAGTGTCTAGAAGTCTGTCGTGCCTTGCTCTCCATGGATTTCCTTTCACACTCCAATCTTAAACGCCAATTATCGTACGCAATCTCGAGTCCATGATATTTCGTGACAGCATTTGGTCCGGAGCAAGGTAGCCAGACTACTTATGGCGGGTGCAACAGATAGGATGTAATGTGTTGTGTTATTGTGAGGTCCTGCAGGACTGATACATTATCTATTAAGTAAGACTTAGGTTCTTCATGGTCCCTGCCCAATGGTGCGATGAGAGTTGAGAATGAGACGTCCCTTGCTCCCGATCGAGGTAGTCATGCTGCTAGTCGATATTGGGATGACTGAAGCTACCCTGCTGGGTAGCGTCAGTCCCAAGCTGACGGGCTGCATCTACCAAACCTTCCATGCCATTCTGCTGCTCGCGATCTGATTATCTCCCTCTCTTACAGGTGTATTTGGAAAGATGTGCATTTGAGCATCTTCAACCACAAGGTCGTTTAGCCGCATAATGATCTGTACACGCTCTTTCATCGTCATAACAGCACATTTCTTCGTCAAATTCTTCATGCGCCCCTTAGGGAAGAATTCACCACATCTCTTGCAGGTGTGCTCATACCGGTTGGAGGAGTCGCCGATCTTAGCACCTCGTTCGAAGTGCCCCCTTGGGTAAGAGGCCACAGCCCCAATGGTTGGGTTAGAGGCTGCGTTCGGGGAAGCTGAGCCGTCGACAGGCCCAGCTTCCCCAGGTATAGTCCCAAGGAGGATCCATGGTGGACCAGCCATCCAGGGACCCTCCCTGGGCAACCACCTGTTGTCCCGCTGAGACTCTGAGTAACTGGTGTTTCTGACGCGTTCTAGCGCAATCGTCGTACATAGTGTATGGACCACATCGAAAGGCGATGGCACCAGTACAAATGACAGTGGTGGACGGTCCGGATGGGTTGGTATCTTCCCGCTTTTTAGTGCAGATGACAATGAAATAATTGTTCTTCTCGATGTCGTAGTCAGTTTGGTAATTCGACCTTGTCGCCACGGTTGATTCGAGATCTTGTGATCTTCTTGTTGTACGGCCTCGCGTTCCTGCGTCCAAGGTTCTCTTGTTGTTGTAGCCAGATCTCTGTGTGCCATATTGCTGGTGTTTGTGGAAGTCATTCTTTTGTCGAATGTAGGCGGTGCAATGATCACAGACAAAAACCCACTGTTTCTTGTCTGGGTCGGTCGTCGGAGGGTGGGGTTGTGCATCTGGAGATTCTTCCCTCTCATCGATCTTCTCAGGAGCTGGAGAGGCTCTGAGGACCTCGAGGTCCCGTATGTTGACACCATCAACGATCTGTTGCATGGTTCCCAAGACTTCATCTTTGTTGAGGAGGTCAAGGCTGACGTAGGTGTGGAGACCCACGTAGTCCACGAGCGCTTGCAATAAGCCCTTAAGATCATCTCTTTCATTTGTGCTGTAGTAGGTTTCCACGAGGTCAAGCAAGCTCTGAGCCTGCTGACGCGTCTGATATCCTGGAAGGATCGTCCTTCGAAGCTGAAGGACTCCATCCCAGAACTCGACGTACTCGCGATCGTGGTGATCGAGCATAGTAGGCAATGTAACTGAGTCTGTCAGGATGCGAAGCAGGTAAGAAGAGGATATTACTTACACTTGCAGAGGAGATTGAGGCAGGCTGGGTGGAGGATGAGGCCAGGAGAGAACGTGTCTAGGCTTTTGACCCTCGATTTATGCCCTCGAGGTCGCTTCTTGGAAGTATTTCAAGGCAGCAGGGTCTTGATTTAAGCGAGAAACAATGCGAGAGCTTTCATAATCAAGTATTGATTGTTGTAAAGAGGTTTCTCATCATCAATTAGTTGGTCTCAACCTTTCAGAGCGTGTTGGTTTGAGAAATTACAGTCCACTAATTCGGCGGCAAATCACAACAATACTCTCTATTCACTTGGCCGCGCCCCAAGGCCGTCCAGAGTCGGTTTAGCTCCTCCAGGCAACGGTGAGGACATGATATCGTTGCCTGGAGGGGTAAAAAAAGCGGCTGGGAAGGCCAGGTTTGGACGCAGTGAGAAGCATTTGTCATTGAGCGACCGGCTTTTGTGAGCCAAATAGACTGTTTCGCCAGCTGAAAAACCGATCATTATGCCTCAGAGACTACTCTCCCATGTCTTGACATGTGTCGATGGCCTTAAAGTGCACAAACAGGCTTGATACACCTACTTTGCGGCGATGTTTGTATACAAAGTCTGTCTCCACCTCCACACAAAGGGGCAGGCGCTAACGCCTTTAGGAAGTTGACCTGATGGTCCGTGCTCACGAGGCTGAGATCCTCCTTTCGTGGATTACATCCTCTTCTGGGTGGGTTAATATGCTCAACGGGCCACAGGCCAGTGCCAGTTGAGGTCGTTGTCGGTTCCAGAGCGGATGATACCATCTTGAAATCCCTCAATTGAACAAATGCCAACGGTACGTACTGCGACAGCAATGGCTTGACATCTTGTGACTCTGCTGACGCCCGTTATTAGGACAAAGACAGATGCTGTCGCCTACAAGAGCGGCCTGTACTTGCTTACAATGCAGTGCTTCCAGAGTATCCATATGTAACAGACGTCCGCCTCCGGCAAACCACAGCACCTGCACAGCCGGGCGGCGCCCTGTGCTGTTAACAGCCCTTACTACGTGAACGGGCAAGAAGGTGGTTGGCGAAAAGCCGAACTACCATGATGTGCGGGTGGGAAGTGTGAAGAAACTGGAAAGCTTGATCAAGAAGGGTGGCGTAATTTTCAAGGCCCAGAAGATCAAAGATTTCCTTGACGCAGTCTTTGAGAAAAACATCGCTCTTCAGCCAGGAGAGGTTGAGTATACGCTCAATGATCCCACAGCGACCGACTTCGTAGCCGGCTTACTGTCCATGTACGACCTACAAAGAGCGTGGCAAACAGGGAGCCTTCGACAGTCTTGTTGAACTTCCACTCATGGGAGTGAAGTCAGTCTGGCATGGGATTGCACACGTCAAGTGCTGCAAAGAGAATAGAGAGGAGGTACACACGGGCGTGGGAAGAGACAGGTTGCTGGGCCGTCACCGTCTTGAGACTGAAGAACCGAGCACCTACATGGCTTGTCGCCCGCCCTTGAACAATGCTCCGAGCGGATATAAACATGGAGGATGGGAGAGTAGAAACAACACTGTGTGGAAGTATGGAATTCCCACTGCTTCTATGCCTACTGAATGGCCGTTCCTCGTAGCAACATCTTTTGTTTGTCATTGTTCCAGTAAACGTCCTTCCTAGCAGGTAGACGTACAAGGCCGGAACTTGAGAATGTGAAACCATCACTGGTCGAGATCCATGGGCTCACCACCAGCGTCGTCCGTAGCCGATGTGGGAGCAACCTCTCCATCAGCATTGCCGCCTGCCTCTGTCTTGACGGTCTCGACGAAATCCTTCCTCCGGCTTCCAATCCGCTCTTGCTTGAGTTTCTCGATTTGTTCTTTGACATCGGTCGCTAGGGGAAGGCCATTAGCTATATGCGCAGATGGAGAAGGTATGTGTGGACTCTTACCAGGTATGACGTCCTCAATCTTCAGTGGCACTCGGTTGAAAGGATCGTGAGGATCGCTCAACAAGTGACTCCGGATCGTACTGCGATCGATGACAATTTTACTCACAGGCAAGCGCACGGGATCTTCCATCAAAGTATACATCAACGGGTCAAGGAGCTCGTCTGGTATGTCGCCAAGATCGGCATCTGCTGCTTCGTCCTCCTCCTTGAATTTCTTGATCTTGTCGATCAGTCGACCCCATCGGTTTAGCTCTTCTGGTGCTTTGAGGACAAACTTCTTCAAGATGTTGCCGGCCGCCACAAAGTTCTCTGGCTTGTATGACCGCCCGTCACGAGCAACTGCAAGGATGAAGTTCTCCTTCTCACTGAGATTGAGGTATACGTCGACAATTTCACTAAGAAGCGCTTTCGGATTGAAATTATACTCCTGCAGGTTGTCAACTTTGAGAGAGGTGCTCTTCGGTCCAACCATAGCGTCGAGATTGTAATCCAACATGTCCGCCAGTCGTTGCACAATTTCCGGCATTGTGAAAGCATCGGCAAGAGCTTCGGTGAACAACTTCAACATGTCCACAGTCTCATTGGTCAGCTGCATGTAAGATTTCGCTTTGCTTTTGGCTTGTTCCAAGGACTCTTCTTTCTCCTGCCGTTGTTGCTGGTCCAAAGTCGTGCCAGCAAGAGCCAATTCTTTTGATAGGTCGTAAATCGTGTGAAAAGCGGTAAAGGATTCATCCAGAACAAATGTGACGTCGTTCAAGAGAAGATTGACGAATCTCACGAAGAACTCCATATTGACCTTCGCTTCTTTGTAGAGATGGTCTCGATAGACGGTGTTTGGCCAGATGCACTTGATTATCTGGAAGATCTCGAATCGAACGTTGAATTTGTCGAAGAATTGACCATGACCACCCATAAATTCCGCTTCGATGAAAAATTTCAACAATGAATGTAGCAAATATTCGGTCGCAAAGGGCAAGCTGTTGTACTGATCAGCCAGGATGCCCCGACCACCTTGACGCCACGACCATGTGCCTCGAAACAAGATTGTAACCAGTGATGCTTTCAAGTAGGGATTCCTGATGTACTCGGAATTTCGTAAGAAAGTGATACACAACATAATCAATTCATCGGACTGAGTAGATGAAATGACCTGTGGCATATTGTACATGATGAACCCGAAATTGCCGCTAATAACGTCCAAGAAGTATTCGGGAAGATTCTTGAAAATTTCTGGTTGTTCCGCAGACAATGGAAGCGTCAGCTTCTCCTTAGGAAACTGACGGTGGGTAGAAACTTGGCGAAGGAGCCAAACGGTCACAAATCGCATGAACTGCATCGATCTAGTCTGAGCGAGCTCGTCGAGCAACACACCCTGCACCGCGTATTTGTACGACAAGCCTTTGTCATGCTGGTCTTTGTACTTCTTGAGTGCGTTCTCGAACATCTGCAACTGCATGGGATTATTGACGTATTTGTGTCGCTCGGTCTCGAATTGTTCGATTTGCTTGGCCATGTGCTTGAGCTCCCGATCCATGTCCTTTAGCATGTTCCGGGCGGCCTCGCTACCGTAATGATGTGCAGCCACTGTCAGGAAGAAACACTCCGAGATAAAATTATTGGTGCCTTCGAGCGGATGCTCGTAAAAACGGTCTGATTCATCCTGGTCTGCGTTGATCTTGGTCTCATCTTTGATGTCGACTCGTGGATGCCTCCGCAGATAGTCGATATCTACACGATTCATCTTGGAGAATTGAGCATCCATAAAAGGCTCACATAGTTGATCCAAGCAAGTGGTGATATTGATCATGAATCCATCGCTCGAGACCGTCGTTTTGTCCACTCGCATAGCTCTCCGCTTGTGATTCGAGTTCACCACTAGGGCAAACCAGTTCAGCACTTGGTCACGCGCCTCAGGCGACGCTCGTACAAGGGTGTTCACAATGTCGAACAATTCGGTTTGGTGTGATCTGAGAGACATCTGCAGGGACTGCTGGGCATTTCTGATTCTGCCAGGGTCCATCGTCTTTGGGCCGGAAAAGTATTGTTTAGTAACCTCAGCTTGGAGAGGCGAGATTTGGAAGTATGGACCGAGCAGGGTAGACACCTCTAATTGCGCGGCAGGAACAGAGTTGTCCACAAACATGGGAGATTCTGTGATGGCGATCGCGACAGGTTTGTACCTTATCAAGTGCCGCAACATTGCAGTGTACCGTCGGTAGTCGCTATCCATGGTCATTTTGGCGAGTCTCCTGCTGAGTTGTTCCACTGCACGCACAAAAGTCTGCTTGATCGTGTCGTCTTCCTCGAATCTTGTAATGACCTCGGTCAAGAAATCGTGATCTACTCCGCGATCTTCGTCCGGATCGGCCAGGAGGTGATCGGCCAGAGCAGCATCGCCGTCGTATTCTGCGCCAAAGACCTCCGGAGTTGTTACAGATAGTACACACCAACTCATGCACAACCTCCTCGCTTCAGAGATGATGGACCATTTTCGATTCTCTGGACTTCGGTCTTTAACTCCCTTGCTCAATCTCGTGATTCTCTTCCAGCATCCAAAGAGCCAGTCGTGCGGTGTCGTCTTTCCCGGGCTTCCTCCGGCCTCCATGATCGCCTGCTCAAGCAAGTCGATACTCAGCAGTAACGGCTTGCCATCCGCCTCTAGCTCTTCTCGAAGTTGCGGCAGGGTGTGCAGTGTTTGGCCATGGAGGTCCTTCGTTTGCGCAGGATCAAGACTTAGACGGAAAATGTTTCGCAGTGTGCGGTCTTCCCACTGTTCGATGGTCTCGTTTGGCCTAACGCTTTGCCTCGAACTCGGCCTCTCCACCCCATCCATCTCCCTCTTCTGCGGTGTAACATTTGCAGGAGTTGTGCTTATTTTGATGGAGGGCGCAGGTGATGGGGCATCGGAGATGCTGATAGAGGGGGTGAGCGGCTCAGTGGGCGTTGCGAGCTGAGGTGTACTGATCGGAGGAGTGGGAGGTAAAGATGAAGGCGTTGACTGGGTGCCATCATGACTTGGGACTGCGGGATCTGATGACTGCGACTGTTGTTGTGATTGTTGCAGTTTCGCCAGCCTTTTGTTGCGAATCTGCACGATGTTAGAGTTTCCTGATACCCACAGCTCTTACACACCTTGTCCGAGTCCAGTGGTATGTCTGACATTGTTGTGGCCTATCTAGATGACAAATGTGGCGGAGGAGTTCTGGTTGAAGTGGAAGATGAGAGTTGGGGTAATAAAGTCGGAGATATCTTGATACGCAGCCTCAGCCTGATCCGCGCCTATCGAAGGTAATGGAAAGGTGCCTGATGGTGCCCAGTGCGAGTCATTCAAGTGGCACCGCAGCCTTGTCATGACTTGAAGGTAAATCCTTCTCGACGACTCATTTTGCGAAAGGCATAATTTATATTCAAGACACGATCATGTCACACGCTTATGCAGTGCTATACAACGACACCTCGCTCTCAGGCGAATGGACAACGCCGCCAACACCCAACGATGATGCAATTCAAATCAACCATGCCACCCGCCTCAATACTGCCGACTGATTTTCAGGTCATCCAGCCGTCGACAACCAGGCATAGGCATATCTCTAGCTCTCCTCAGTCTATTCTCGTCTGTAAAGAAGAAGCCCGTCGCGTCGTTGATCTCCTGCCTTTTCCGGTGCACCTCTGTTTCACACTGATACTTGAGACTTGAAACATAATCCACCTCCGCCCGTTGATCGAGGCTACTGAACTGCCTCGCAGTATATCCATCCACCTGAGCCGGATTCACAAAATAGTCGATCCTATATCGTGGTGTTACCCGGTGCATTGTGTGCGGCGGAACAGGCGAATCGAATCGTACTTGCGGCCCTGGGTCGCTTGTGCCGGAGAAGAAAGATGACAGTAAGGGTAGAATGAACAGTAATAACAGCGGCAGTAGTTGTGTCAGTGCAGAGAGTCCACTCGGTGGCGGCTCTGCATTCGCTTCTCTCGGTCTTCGTCGTGGTGCGCCACCTCCCATCCGGTGTACTGTGAAACCTGGACCGCCGCCCATATTGAAAACAAATTGCGGTCCGCCGAATCCGCCAGGAGCTACGCATGTCAGTCAACTCAGTATGCGCATTGCGTGTTGGGAAGCGTACCGAAACCGAAGCCACCACCTCCCATACCTCCGCCGAAGAATCTGTTGAATAGTTCTTCGGGCGAGATCTCATCTTCATACATCGGCCCTCTCCCAGACGATCGCGCGAAGCCACTGAACGGACTGGCACCACTGGCAGCACCGCCACTTGAAAAGCGGCTGTCGGGATCACCACCAAACTGATCGTATCTGGATTTCTTCTCGGCATCGGACAATATCTGGAAGGCCCTCGATACCACTGCTACCCATTAGCATGGACTTCCATCGTTATAGAATAACTGACTCTTGAAAGCCTCATCGGCTCCGTCGTACCCATTCTTATCAGGGTGTGTTAATAGACTTATTTTTCTGTACGCCTTTTTGATCTCTCCATCGCTCGCGGTTTTCTCGACGGCAAGGATTTCGTAGAACGCAGTTGGGCTACATTTTCGTATCCGTATGACTTCGGCTCTTTGCTGGGGAGTATATTTGCGGTCTTGGTTGCCCTGATTGTGCTCGCGCGAATTTGCTGAACCGTTTGCCCTGGCGTCCGAGCCAGAGGCTGATGCGGACATGCCGCAGTTTGCTGGGGAGAGAAGCAAATCAAAATGAGCGCAAACAGAGACTTGATAGGATGTGAAATTCACAATGACCAGCTGGTGATCTTGCAAAGACGCTTCGTGGAATAGAATCTTTTGGCAAAGGTGGTCTCAAGGCAATGAAAGAGCACAGTATTGGGCGACGCTAATTAGCGGGTTGCAGGTGAACTGCCCGCATCGCCGCTGCTCAAGCGACGATTTACAATGACGCAGTTTCTCACCTCCCAAGCTCTTTGATCCTTTGCCTTCACGAATCGATCATTTCTTGAGCTACCTTGTTCTTCAGCCGCAGCCAGAAACGTCCATCAGTATGGCTGACCCCAAAAAGCAAGAAGAAGCCAAACAATCAGTCCTTCAAAGTGCTAAGAAATGGGGAGGTACGTCGAGATGGCTTTGCGCGTCTTGCATCCATTGACTGTTTCCAGAGTATCTACTTACACTCTTGATAGAGAATCCCGTTCCACCTGCTCTCCTTGCAACCTTAGTCTTTGCTCAACATGCGAGACCTTTCCAACCACTTCCTATGCTCTTCCCTCCAATGCTCCTCTTTTCCACCTACCTCAATCTTCAAGGCTACAAAATTGACAGTGCGGGTACTACTGCTGCTTTGAGTGGTGCATATCTAGTGCTGGCAGGCAGAAGACGAGTTGGTCTCATGAACAAGTTCGGTACCCGAGGAATTCTCAGGGGCGCCACAATGGGATTGTGTTTGGCAAATCTTGTTGGCGGTGGCCTTGCTTACGGTTTTGGAAGCCGCTCAAAGGAGGACGATAAGAAGAACCTGTAAGAATCGGCAAGGTCGCAAAGGGATCACCAGACACGATAGCGACAGATGTCTGCCCTTGGAAGACGAGAAGTCGGAATCTTTGACTTACACCAACCCTCAAACCGCCACTCAACAAACCCTCAGCCAACCCTCAACCTTGGCCGTAGCGGCCTTGAGAAAGGCTTCGACCACGAGAATCTATTATGATACGCGAGAAACACTACTCCCGGAGGCGGTAGAAAGGAGCGCTGCCTCTGCATCACTACAGACCATCGGCCATATTCGAGGAAGCCAGTGTCCTCCACCCTTTGACAGCAGTCCGGAAGTGGAATTTATCTGACCACCAAGCTATAATTCTCACGACCCTATATGGCTGGGGTGCCTTGAACCTGCCGCCAGCGGCTACTTTCTTTGAGGGATCTGAGTCTGATAGTAGCGACCGGCCGCCAGAGACATTGCCGGCTTCAAATCGACATATTTCGACTTGATCGAATCGATGCTGCGTCATTGTTGCGGGAAGTCTTGAGAGAGGTGAACCGAACCAATGCGCAGAGCAGCAACCAAGCTCCGTAGATCTGTTTCATGTACGGATCTGTGTTTGTCAATATCCTGGAAGATCTTTTTTACCCTATGCAGCAGGCAGTCTCATACATGCCGTCAAATGTGTATTTACTCAGATATTCTCCTACACAGACATGTGCGATTTGGAGGGACTATCCCCGTGTCTTCTGCAAAAGCCCTTCCAGTCCATCACAACCGAGCTCTGGAGATAGACAGGCCTTCCTCGCCATGTCAAGTTCTATCTTGCCTGGATGTCTGTACAGCGTGTTGTATTGAGACCAGGAATGTACTGCTCTTCTTTCTTCGGGGTCTACGACATCAGCTGGAGGCCTACATCTAACTGTCATATCTGGCGTCTGACGATATCCCTGGTACTTGCATGGTCTCAAGCACGAATTTCATTGCTGCCATGTCATGATCGACCTGTCGCCCTGCATCCATTTGAAATCTACCACCCACTTTCGAACCTTCCAGAGACCATCTTTGCTGTCTTTGACAAGTTCCAAGGTGTATATGCCGCCACTCAGCAGTCCCGGCGCGGCTGGGTCATGTCCTTCTCCCTTCCGAAAATGTTGAGCGACCGCATATGCTGTCATGCTGGCTGTGTGTCCATCTTCTTCCGCATTGATACGAATGTTGCTGATGATGTGAGTGGTATCCATGGGTCCAACTCCAGAGAACATCTTGTTGACGATATCGTCCGCTTGAATGACTCCCATGCCTGTCGCTTCCATACTGACGTCTTCGGTCAAGGCTGATTTGAACAGTGGGAGGTCATTGGTGTCTATCCCCTGCACGGCACGATACACTGCGTCAGCGATGGCCTCACGTGTGCTGATGGACTGGAGAGCGAACGGAAGCGCCATTTGTGAGTCGAATGAGAGCGATTGATGCGAGTTTCGATGTACCGATACCAGATAAGAAGGATGGCCAAGCTTTTCGAGGCTCATGGCTTGAATATGATGGCTTAGTATATGCATAGATCATTCGGACTGTCTAAACCCCTTTCCTTGCTTGCATATGCATTTAAGAACTTATCTCCGGCCGACATCTTATATCCGGAAGACTTGAGGTACTATCAGGACGCGCGGAGGAGAGAGCGTTCGTGGATCGTTCGATCTCAGCAAAAGGGTGGAGTTTGGGACAACCACACGGGTGCTCTACATCCGGCGTCTCCCGTAGCACGTTTGGAACGAGGTATAGTTGTCTGTGTACAACCTGGCTTCGCTTTGGGTCACCAGTCGGTGACCGTACAGCTATTAGAGCGCTTGTAGACTGGCTCGGGCCGAAGAGATACTCAACCAGTACGCGCTTTCTGCGTTGTGGTCAAGGTTATCATTTTCCTACTCCGACCACCGACCCGTTGCTACTCTGGTGAATGACGGGAATGTCAGTTTGGCCAGGCAGAGCAAGGGATTAAGCTTGTTCACGTCCATTTTTGCCCCACTCCCCAAGCCAACGGCCACCATGCCGCGGTTCACTCCCACTAGAAGTCCAAGAATGGCACCGGAATATTCCTCTCGAGATAATCTCTCCAGAATGGCAGACTCCTCTTTCTCTCAGTCCCACTTACCGTCTGCAGATCCTCAATGGCACTCGCCCAGCGTATCAACTCGCCCTCCGCCCAGGCCGTCTGCATGATCGCAAGCCCAAACGGCATCCCATTGATTGTCCGCACACCAGCAGGCACCGTGATCATTGGATAGCCGGCCTGCGCGGCGACTTGGTACGTCTGGCCTACATCGGGAGGGACCAACAGCCCACTCAGCGTCATCCCGTTGTGATTCAACGCCTCCTCGATGCCTTGCCTCGTTGAGCTCTGACAGAAATGTAATGCTTGAAAGTACGTCTCATCCATGACGCCTCCTATTTCCAGGGAGGCAAGGAATCCGTCCTGCCCAGAGTAGAATGCTGGGATACCTAGAGGCCAAGGATTACCGCCCTCCGTCCCGTCGTTGGCCAGGTTATACGCGACCAGATCGTCGATCGTGCGAATGTTCGTATTGGAGAGTCCCGACAGATATTTGTTGATGTTGTTGTAGAAGTCGACCTTGACGACAGTGTACTCAGACTCGTTTGGGAAGCCGCGGGTGGAGCCGTAGTCCCAGTTCCAGCCGTCCGGTGAGATAAGGGTTTCGTAGCTCGTGATCTCGGTATTGTTGACTATAGTTGCGCCAGCGGCTGTGATCAAGTCGATGAGTTCAAGGAGTTGGGCTTGTTGTTCGTCGTCGGCGTAGACCCAGAAGCTATTCCAAGGGAGGCCGAAGGTCGCGTTTTTGAGGGCATCTTTTGTAGAGAGGAATTGGGTATAGCCTCCAAGAGGCGTCTCCTGGGCGGATGTATAGTTGTCCAGCGGGTCGACGCCGTAGATGGCGTCGAGAGCGTACACGGCGTCGCGCACCGTGCGGCCGAATGTGCCGACTGTGTCTTGATGCTCGCTTTCGGGGACGACGCCGGCGCGAGAGGTCAGGCCCACGGTGGGCTTGATGCCCACGATCGAGTTGCGCTCGGCGGGATTGATCACGCTGCCGTCCGTCTCTGTGCCGAGAGCAAAGGCGATTACATTGGCAGAGACGGCGACGGCGCTGCCAGAACTGCTGCCGCCGGGGTTAGCGGTTAGGTTGTATGGGCTGCGACATTGGCCAGCACGGGCGGAGTAGCCTTCGGAGTAATTGTTGCTGCGCATGTCCGCCCATTCGCTCAGAGATGCTTTGCCGAACAAGACGGCGCCGGCGTCACGGAGCTTGGAGACAACGTGGGCGTCGCGAGGGACAATGCTGCCGACAAGGGCCCAGCTTCCGGCCGTGGTCTCCATTTTGTCTTTGGTCGCGATGTTGTCTTTGACAATGAAGGGAATGCCGTGTAGTGGACCTCGAATCTTCTCATGCTTTCGCTCGTGGTCGCGAGCGTGGGCAATAGATAGAGCATCTGGATTGAATTCCAAGATGGAGCTGCTATGTCAATCGTACCGTCCACCAACCATGACTTACTTACCTTAGGTATCTCTGAGTCTGATAGGCCCTTCGCAGATAGCAGAGTACAAGCTGCTTTGAGGTTAACGAGCCATTGTCCATCGCAAGCTGCATATCTTGAATAGTCGCTTCATGTAGCTGAAACGTGCCGCATGGTGGCATTGGAAACAGATCCGTGGTGTTTGCATCTGGCAGAAGTGGAAAGAAGTCCTGGGCCGGGAGATGTCGTTGTGCCAGACTAATACCAAAAACAAAGCTGACGGCACAAACGGAAAGACAGAATCCCGCCATGATATCTTGTCAAGAAACAAGATGAGAAGGTGGGCGTTTTCATTAGCTACCTGGAGTAGGAGTGGTGACAGCTCGAGAGACATCCATCGGAATGGACCGAGCCACTGAAGAGCTCGCTACTCACGTGCACGACATCAGCAGCGGTTAGCTTTCTCCTTTATGGAGTGGTTCAGGTTCTGCAACTGCAACTGCAGATGCATCGAGCGTGCATGAACAGCTGCACGACGATAAGATGGCAGCCTCAGCCAATGGTAAGAAGGCCACGGGGAGGAGCAGCCTTGCCCACTCCAGAATTGTGTGGCACAAGGCTGAGGTCAACGTAGCAAACATGCCAAGCGAATCTCAGACTGTGCTTGACATTTCCGACTTTTTCAAAATCGACCTTCTGCTTCCTTTTCTTCTTCTTCAAGTTGATACGGTCCTTAAATACCCTTGTTATTGCCTTGCAAAAATCAGTGGCTCTCACATATTCTCCTTGGACCAAGACGGAATGGCCTCTCTAATCCTATCCACCTGATCCTCGAGCCTGCGACTTCGGTAGTGTGCTCGAGGCCGTGGTGGTGCTGGTTCGCTTATGGCTTACAGACTTTATATCGTCCATCTTTTATAATCAAATGCTTCCATCTCCTCCCCCTAGTCTGTCTGAGGGTCAGACTTGTCCTGAAGCACTACAACCAAATGGCAACTGGTGATAGGGTTGCAGAGCTCATGTGCCGCTCTGGCAACTCGATCTGTCACTGTATTACACTCTGCCCGAGGTGATGTTGTAGAATCTATAACATGTTTCATGTGGAGGGCGAATCTAGATCAGTATTTTTAGACATCGTCCAATATCTACAGGCATTTTCGAAGCTTCATCCATCCTCACACCATGATAGATGTTGTCAAAATTTATGCCGAGAGCAAATTTTCTGAAGGTTTTGAGATTCCTTCATTCTCTATTCATGTTTCGCCCTATCTCCAGCCTCTCTGATGGCTTTATGGGAATGGGTCCTCTCTGAGGAGATACATCTACGTCGACGTTGTAGACTTTTTCACCTGCACATACCGTCCGTCCAGATGTAGGGCGATGTTGCTGTGAAGGTTGCCAGCACAATTGATGTAGACGCATTGATGGGGCTTCTGCTGACCCCTGTGGTGTTCTTGATTCGGTTTCCGATCTTGGCCACAGCAGGCGTAAGTCTTACACATCCACAGCGTCTTGGCAGACCTCAAGCTTCTCCATTCTCCTTGTCTCTCAGAGGCAACGGCAAGCCGTTGACGGGATGTCCGCCATTGAATCTTACAGCCAGTTTTGATCTGGTCTCTCGAGTTGTACCCACAATCGCACCCATTCCGAATCACCTCTTTTCTGGATGGTTCGGCCTAGCGGCTTGTGCACGGAAGAGCACTCCCTTGGAGAAAATCAACCTCCAGTTGCCTCCCGATAGATTGCAATGGCTTTATTGCTTCCCGCCGTTGCAAATCGCTCTGCCCTGTGCATCGATATAGCAGTGGCATTCTTCGGCAACCACTTGACGCTCCAAAGACCCTTGTCACTCTCACTGTGAGTGGCCACACATGTTCTTCGTTCCACGTCCCATACTTTGACCTTGCCATCGAGGCTTCCACTCAGCAAATATTGGCCGGTATGACTCCAATCAAGGCTCGTAATCCAAGCGGCGTGACCGCTGAGGTTAGCCACCTGTTCCCCCGAGGTAGAGTCATAGAGAGAAATAATGCGGGCATCGCCAGCGGCTGCAAGTAGCGTCGAGCCGGGTGAAAATTGAACCGAGCGAACAGGCTTGATTAGTCCTGGTAAGGAGTGTAGCAGGCGAGATGTTGCGGTAGAGAAGACGTAAATGTTGCCGGATTCGTGGCCGCTGGCGACAAAGCGACCATCTGGAGACTGGGAGTGTGTCAGCGCCTCTTTCGCCCACGAGAAGCATGAGACAATTACCATATCGACGCACAATCCAAAACTACCCTTGGTCTCAAACTCTCTGATTTTCTGCTTGCCGTTGTTCAAGTCCCAAACGTTCACCCGTCCGTCCTGAGTTGTCCCGGCCAGATATTGCCCGTCGCTCGACAAGGCCACAGCCCAGACTTGTCCAGCTCTTTTAGGAGCATCATTTCTGATTTCGCCGTCGTCTTCCCATTTGCCTTCTTCATACTTCCAAACTCTGACTAGGCCATCAAAGCCCACACTCACAGCTCTTGTGCCGGCCTCATCGGTGACTATATGGTGGCAGCCCACCTTGTGCGCGTCCCTGAGGACTTGGGCAATGGGGAAGTCATCGTCGGTGGTTGAATGGACTTTGATCGAAGGTTCTCCGGAACCGCTGAGGATTTGAGTCGTGGTCACAGCCAGGGCAAAGATGTCGGTCGCATGCGCTGCACCGCTGTCAATACAGAAGTCGTCGTAGCCAGAGTGTATACACTTACCATCATCTATTGCGTGCTGTGAGAGATACTGCTTCGACTGCGGAGGTCGTCAGTCACACCGTGGTGAGTGAGCAAAAGGGTAGGACTCACCATGTTGGCACGTGCGACGCATCATAGAGCCAGTACTTGGCTACGTGAGTTGTTGATGGATCGACACACTGCAGTTGTTGAAGTAGCAAGTGCTGCAGCTTCAGAAGCCTCTCGTCCCAGTCGCGTCCATCGTACTGAATGAACACCACGAGTTCTCGAAGGGAATTATATTGAAATGACGTCACTCTACGAGGACAAAACTCTCCTAAAATCGTCTCCTGAATCAACATCTTCAGCGCACTCCAACCTTTCCTGGTGGAACAGTCAAGCTCCTCTTCGCAGTGCTTTGACGTGGATAGTTCCCATCTTCTGGACATTCAGCATCCCTCTAAGGCGCGGTCAATATGCCCGCAATTCGGTGACTGTAAGACGATCTTCTCGCCACGAAAGTGTATGATTCGTCGAGAGTCGATCACTGCAAGGGACCAGGTAAAATCGTTCTACGTCAAGGAGCCCCATAATATGTAACCTTCATTGACGTCTACCATTGACACCGGTCAAGCTCAAAAAAAAAGATACTTAAGATGTGCAGTAGCGACAGGGAGTTGTCGACTACAGGGAAATCCCCTTACGTTCTTGCCGTATCAATTGAATAGAAGAATTGAGGCGAATTGACTTGACTCGACTCATTCTGACGTCAAAAGTACAGGTACAGCACAAAGAAGAAAGGAAGGCGCTCCCTACGTTAATACTTAAGAAATATGTCTTCTCCTCGAATTCTTCATCTTTCATTCCGTCCGTCAAGATCCTGTTTCCAACTCTGCAGCTCAACTACTTCCTCAAGCCTTCGTCACTCAATCACACCCTTGAAGACCTCCTGTGCCGCAAGATCCTCCATCACATCCGTCAGAATGGCATCGTCCAATCAACCCAAGTTGGACTCCGAGACCATCTCTACTATCACTGAGAAGGAGAAACAACTCACTGGTTCCGAGAACCCACAAAAGGGCGGACCTACCGCACAAGCCCAGGCTCATGCTGGCGAACCTCTCAATTCCAACACCATCTCTTCTATCACCCGAGGTGAGAAGAATGTCATCGGAGATCGTGTCAAAGGAGGTCCAACTGCTACCGCTCAATCCATCTTGACCAGATCAAACAAAGAGAACCCTAATGGCAACACCAATGAGAACTCTTCTGCCTCTGATGGTGTCCTCCATGGTGACACGATCTCCAACATCCGAAAAGCCGAGAGTAAGATCACTGGTCAGAACCAACCTGTTCGAGGTGGTCCCACCGCACAGGCGCAGAGTCATACAGGCGAGCCCATCGATGCTCAAGTCTTGAGGGACATCACCAAGGGAGAGACCAGCATCAGTGGCAGGGATCAGCCCTTGCCAGGCGGTCCTACAGCTCAGGCTCAACACGACTTGGCCAAGAGTCGAAAATAAAGCGCTTCCTTGGCACTCAAGATGCACCGGGATGAGAGCGTCACCAATCATGAATTTCATGAAAAGAACGGGGTGTGGATTTGATAGGTTCTTGGCTGCTATGCTTCATGGAGAGCCCAGACAGCATACAGTACAAAATGAAGCATAAATTTCTTACGGAGATGGATCACAGTGAACCAGTTCGGTCATCATGATTAGCAAGCGAGCATCCTTTGAAAATACACTAAAACTGGCCGAGTGCCATCGAGAAATGTACAGTAGCACAAAAATGTCTTACTCTTGATACATTTTATTTTGCCCAGTTAGAATGTTTTATCTAGTGGACTTGTTCGTTTGTGATTGCCAACTGGCGTCGGTCCACTCACTGCGGAACGGCCTTCGTGCCGGCTGATGTACGAGATCGAATCACATAGCCACTTTAGGTTGCCGCTGCTCTTGCATTGCAACACCAATCGTCTTTGGGACAATACAGACCCTCGCTCTCAGGCAGCCGTCCGACTGCCAGAGTCGCTCTTCTCATGTTTGTGTCTCCGGAACGAAACTAGCGAAATCCGCAGGCCTCGCAAGCAGCACTCTTTGCGGCACAGCGAAAAGATCAACTTGCCCAGCATAGCTCGCAAAGAGCTCGATCCTTCGAGGTGGGTATCTTGTGAGGGATGTCCGCCTCAAAGCAGCCGTCGGTGCTATCTCCCCGCGAAACCGTCGGCAGTCGGAGGCCAGCCTGTAGTATTCGTGGTGTGGACAGGGAAGATCTACTCTCTTATCCATAGTAACGGCCATCTTTTATGATTTGCTCTGCGACGCCATCTCTCGTTGTTCCGCATCCCTTGCCTTCCAGCTTTCGTATATTTCTAGCAGAAACAAGTCAGCACAAGGTCCACAGAGTTTTAGCAACAAACTCACCAGCAACGCAATACGGGCATAACGTGTGAGCCTTCTTCGGCCGTCCACAACCAGGACATTCGTTGATGGCCTTCACATCCTTCAATGCCTTGCCTGCCAGCTGTCGTTGTCTCTTCTTTCTGTGTGACGTCTTCTTTTTAGGAACAGCTTTCAAGATTCCTTCCCAAATATCTGACACCAGACCGGGGATGTTGATTGCTATGGCAGGAATAGCGATTGATGCGGAGAGCAGAGGCCGCGAAGGCCATGACTGAAGGGCTGAGGCGAATCTGGCTGCGGTTCGTCGGAGGAACAAGCTGGAGAGGGAAGTGCTGGCGGCGGCGGCGGTCAGCGCCATGGTCACAAGTTGACAAGGTGGGCTGCAGCGAGCGGGACGTTCAGCACCGTTGAAGCACGACAACTTTTTGATCGAAGTTACTTCAGACACGCTAAGTTCAATCGTGGTGCTCTATGTGGAAATAAATGTCGCCGCGCTTAGCGGAAAGGCCTCGCCGCTTTGACCAACGGTGCCTTTGCTACCTTAGTCAGCCCTCAACAGTCGCTTCTGCAGTACCTGAGGTGTTCGTAGGAGACCGAGACTGTAATTTCCAAACCAGGATCTGTATGCATGTGTCAAATGTACTGGCCTCTAGTCTTTTTTCTTGATTGTAGCAGTTTCTGACCGTAAAATATGTCGGGGTGAACGGGCCTGAAACTGGGCAGAATAGAGATAGAACGTTGAGTTAAGCACGAGGATGTCGGGCGATCAATGTGCTGGAAGGGGCCCTGGACTAACACCGATTGGGCTGGCGTAGTTGCTCTTTCCCAAACTTGGCGGAGAATTAAGGAATTAAGGAATTATAGGGGTTCGTAACTTGGGCAGTCCACTGTTCGTCTGGGGAGATTTCAACACTGCAGTCACTTCTGCTCCTGCTTGTTTGCAATCTTCGCATCCTTCAGCGCATCGCAGCCCGTCACTTTCTTCTCTTTCTCACATTCTCTTTGTTACCTCTCCATCATGGCGATGACTATGCCGCAAGGAAATGCCATCTTTCCGCGGTCTCATGTCGGTTTCGACTCGATCACCCAGCAGATAGAGAAGAAGTTGCTCAAAAGAGGTGGGCAAAGCAGTCCTCTCCTTGGCTTTGTACTGATGCAAGTCATATAGGATTCCAATTCAACGTCATCTGCGTTGGGCAATCTGGCCTTGGAAAGTCTACTCTCATCAACACCATCTTCGCAAGCCATCTTTTGGAGTCAAAAGGCCGTCTGCGCCCAGACGAGCCCATTCATTCTACTACCGAGATCCAAACTGTCTCCCATGGTCAGTTGAATTCTGTCGCGACTAAAGCATCACAAAATTGACGAATACCGCAGTTATCGAAGAGAATGGAGTCCGCCTGCGCCTGAACATTGTTGACACTCCTGGCTATGGAGATCTGGTCAACAACGATCGATGCTGGGATCCCATTGTGAAATACATCAAAGACCAACATAGTGCTTACCTCAGAAAGGAGCTCACTGCGCAAAGAGAGAGATACATCCAGGACACACGAGTTCACTGCTGCTTGTTCTTCATCCAACCGTCGGGCCACGCCCTCAAACCGATTGACATTGTGGTTCTGAAGAAGCTCTCCGATGTTGTCAATGTCGTGCCGGTCATCGCAAAGGCCGACTCCCTTACGCTGGAGGAGCGCAGAGCATTCAAAGAACGCATCAAGGAGGAGTTCGCTTTTCACAACCTGAAAATGTATCCCTATGACAACGAAGAGCTGGATGATGAGGAGAGAGCAACCAATGCGACCATCAAGGACATCATCCCATTCGCCATCGTCGGCAGCGAGAAATCCATCATTGTTAATGGCAAGCAGGTCAGAGGCCGACAGAACAAATGGGGTATCATCAATGTCGAGGACGAGAACCATTGCGAATTCGTTTATCTCCGGAACTTCCTTACACGTACTCACCTCCAGGATCTCATCGAAACGACGAGCCAAATTCACTATGAGACGTTCCGAGCGAAGCAATTGTTGGCTCTGAAGGAAAGTAGTGCAGCAAGCGGTATGGCTGGTAGCCGGCCTATCAGTCCTGCCGCAGACCGGGAGTTGAGCAGAGGTTCGCAACGCATGACCATGAATGGATACTGAGAGGTTGACTTCTGAGCCATGGGTTGGCGTGAAAATGGGATTACTGGTGAAGGATGCTTATTTTGTACTTCAAGCCTCTTCTAATGTAGCGTCTATTGAGAGCGGGTTTCTCTTCCTTAAGATCTGGGGCAGAACTAATCCTCATGACTTGTTGCCCCTTCCAGCTAAACTCCATCCAGCCATTCCGGTCTTCGTAAAATAGTCTATGTCGTCTTCTCATGAGAACACCAAAACAGACGCAACGGAATCAAGCACTAATCCCCTGCATCGCCCATTCGTCCAGTTCCTTGAATGCTTGGTCAAGATCGTCGTTGATGATAACCTTGTCGTTCTTGCCCTCTTGCTTGCAGTATTCGATCTCGTTTTTGGCTTGGGCCAGCCGCCTCTGTATGGCGTCTTCGGCTGTATCACCTCTGCCGCGCAGGCGCTGCTCAAGTATTTCCATGCTGGGTGGTTGAATGAAGCATATTCTCGGGTTCAAATCACTCTTCTTCACCTGCTTCACTCCTTCCATCTCGATGTCGAATATGCAGATCCTCTTCCCTGACGCAGTCGTCCCGTCAATGCTCTTGCCCTTGCCGTCTGCAACATCTTTTACTGCCTGTTTTGACGTTCCGTAGTAATTACCACCGAATTTCGCATGCTCTTCAAAGGCGTCTTCAGCAATCATCTCTTGGAACTTCTCAGGAGTGGTGAAGTGGTAATGGACACCATCTTCCTCGCCATTGCGGGGCTTGCGCGTTGTATGCGAGACGCTGAAGCCAAAAAGGTCTGGGTGCTTCTGGAACAGGCGCTTGATCAGGGTAGACTTGCCCGTACCCGAGGGTCCTGAGAAGACAATCGGTCGAAGGTTCTCGGTCGAGACGGGCGTCATTCTGTGACTGCGAGTGACGGTCAGCTGGCGGCTTGCCGGGCTTGAAGTCAGGTTGGATCGGGGCTTTGTTGCTTGCAGAATCAATCGCGCGACCATACCTCCAGTTTCTCAGGATCGACCGCAAAGAACAACTTAGTAGGAGCGGTGGAGAGTACACAGTAGACCAATAACGACCGAGGATACACGGTGCACGAGCACGACGCGTCTTGGCAGGGGTCAAATCGATCTTCGGTTAACCGACCTAGCTCTAACAAAACAAAACTTGCGATGTGACTCTATTCCCAATACTACGATCTAACTCCGTTCATCACGAGATGGAAGAACCGGACTTGTCCACGGTGTCGGACGCGACTCCCGATATACCATCTGCACCATACAATGATACTGAAGAAGACACCGGAGAACGAGAAGTTGCACCGACCAAACCAAAGCGTCATCGGGGTCGACAGGCGAAGGATCCATTGGGACAGTCTATCCAGTTTAGATGTAACAGAAGGGAGGACTTAGAGCAGCAACTACGTGACTATTTGGCTCATCCGACTGGAGACCCGGCACACACAACACTGGAGTTCTCCTTCCCGGTCACTGCTGCCTTCTCAGTACCGGTCAGAGAGCCTAAAGGAAATAAACCCTTACATGATCGGACGCCATACGTGTACAGCCTGTTCAACAAGACTGCCGTCACTGTAATTGATGCTCTGCAAAACATCCAAGACCCAAGGGAGCAAATGCTCACTCAGAAAGCAATCGCGAGATCTCTAGTTGAGGCTGTGATGGAGGCAGATGGGTACCACTACAGCTTTCATAACAACTGGCTCAGTCGAGAGGACCAAGCGAACAGATTCTCATATTTCTGCAATGATTCGATGTTGAACAAATGCCGAGCTGCCAACGAAGGCGCGAGGGTGAAAGAGGGTGTGAAGATCAGGAAGCAGGTGTGGGATTGCGAGGGAGGGCTCTCGGTCAAGTTTTCCCTGACGAAAATGAGCCTCGAGTTGCACTACAAGCACATCCCACTCCATCCAACCTTCGATGAAAGAGCTCCTCCTCCGCGAAATGGAAGCAAACGAAGAAAACTAATGGAGATATTCCATCCGGAAAAGTTACCCAAGCCTAAACCAAAAGGAAGGCCTAAGCAACCAACTCCCCCGCCTGTCCAAGGTCCAAAACGCCGAGTCGGACGCCCACTCGGACGCTCATGGAAGCAACTGGCGACAGAACCATTACCTCGGCCAACAATCAATATCCTACCACCATCTACGCGAGAGGACAGCTTGCAACCTCTATTTGACTTTCTTGGTTCTGCTGAACAAGCCGCAACAGCTGCAGCAGAGTCCGTAGGCGATACAGTTGAGTCTACTGTGGGATCGGAACCGCCGTCGAACGGAGCGGACGGCGCTGAAAATAATGTTGGTGCAGCGGCTACGCTCGGTCCAAGCAGGCAGTCTCAAGTTCCAGGCATGATGTCTGGCTTCATGTCCGGTGAGCAGCTTACTTGGGCCCGCAAGAAGAGGGGTCCGTACAAGAAGCGCAAGGATAGAGGTGGCCTCGCCGAGGCTTCAACGACTACCTCTTCACCATCTCTTCGAGCCCCTGCGGCAACCGAACCACCCTCGGAACTCGAGGCACTGAAAGCAAGATTACTCGAAGCGGAGCAGAAGATCAAGGACTTGGAAGCCGAGAAAAGCAAGGCTGCTGCGCCCCTGACCTGGAATACACCACCTTTGCCGCCTCCTCAGCCTCCAAGGCCAAATAATACCCCTCCCTATCTCCCGCCTCAATATCACTATCCACCAAGACAGTGGCATGATCCCCGTCTGCCTCACCCAGAGATATTGCCATCACATGGCCCCTTCACTCAGCCCACGCCCGTGCAGCAACCAGGCTCAGGCTCGATGCCTCACACGCCTTCTCCTAACCCTACGCTGCCCGAGAACCTCCCATATTATGGCTTTGTGCCGAATGTACGCGGCCCAAATGATCCTCCTCCTCCAAGGCGCCTGCAACCAAAGCCGCTAACCCCACAGCCACGATCGCATCAAGAATATGCTCCTCAGGGTCCAATGGCTATGCAAAGCCACACCAGGGGACAAGCACAACCTACCCATCAACCGCCAATGCCGGGTCAACATCAACTCCCTGAACGGACACAGAACTCTCCCCATCCACAAATTCCAATTCAGTGTCAGCATCCAGAGCAGCGGCAAGGCGTTCCTAAGACTCAAGACCAGCGTCGATACTCCAATCCAGGACAGCAATCGAGTACTTTGCAGCCGCAGACTCCTGCTCAACAGCAGCATGCAATGCCACCGCAGAGCTATGCTCAAGACCAGCAATCAGCTCCGCCGGATACTCTTGCTCAATCGCAATACCCGGAACGACGGCAGGGATCTGTCCAACCCCAGCAACAAGCTCAGCCGCTGCGAAATGCCGGGGAACAGGGGGATCTTGGCCAAGAAGCCGGTTCAGAAGGATCTGCTGATCCAGCTGGTAACGCGGCCGAAACTGCGGTCCCGCAAGATTCCAGCGGTATAGAAATAGTGGCTTAGAACAACAGCCTATCTAGGAGAAATCAGGTTTCGATTTGTGCAAGTCTAAAAAATTCTGAGCACTGGAGAAGCATCTGGAAAGGAACGGAAAACTCGGGACAGCCTTCCTCATCCACAAGTGCAAACCGATATATCAATACTCAATTGGAGGTCTTAATCTGAATTACATGGGTTTCTGTTAAGCATTCATGCACGGTGCATTGTCCTTTACCATGAGCGACAACATATCTGACTACAACCTTCCTCCTTGCTCAAAATTATGACTGGGAGTCTACTTCAACCCAAATGTGTCTCCGGTCCCGTGGTCTGCATGTTGAACTTGATGAACAGGTCGTGGCGAGTCCACCAACTGCGCATCTTCTTGCCAAAGATGTACACAGGGATGCCGAAAATGCACATGGCCAAGGTAGTGCCTCCGAAGGTAAACATGATCTCTTCCGGGCCCTTGGCGGCAACCCAGTTGTTGGCGAAGTTGGAGAGGCCGTAAAACATAAAGTTCTGTGGTTCGGATGGTTAGAAACTCGGGTCGTGACGTGGTTATGTGCAGGCGAGTACTCACCTTGAATACCATGTTCATGACAAAGATTTCATTACTTTGACTTCGGAAGGCATCGAGGCCATAGGACATGGTGGCAACCACGCCGATCATCACCCCAACCATCATCATGCCCTGGAAGAACGCGCACAAGATGGCATTGGATCCATGAGCCATGGTGTACCCGAAGAAGAACATGCCGAAGCCGGAAAAGACTGCGCATGGCAACATAAAAATAAGGCGAAATTCAGGTTCACTAGGGCGAAATGGTCAGTGCCGTGAGCATACGAGTACGGATTCGCCAAATTTGACTTACTAAGTCCCCTTATTCCTGATGGTCATCCACTTCATGACGCGATCGGAGAAGACTGCGAGAAGAATGCTTCCGATCATACCGCCAATGAATGGGCCCGTTCCGAGATATCCGATCTGTGCGGCGTTGAACATCCAGGGTGGGCCGGCGAAGATGCCAGCGAGAATGATGGCCGAACCGACGTACCACGCGCAGAGCAAGCCTGACACAATGATAACGTAGAAGCCGGCGGGGTTAAAGAGCGTCAGGATCATACCAAAGAGCCATTTGACGATGCTGTCCTGGGAAAAGACACCATTATAGACCTTCAATTCCTGGACAAATGTCTTCTTCTTCGGGATGCGTTGATTCGCCGCGGCGGCGACTGCGGCAGGCTCGCCGAGCTCTTTGACGGCAATGGCCTGTTCGCGGTGTTCTTCGTTGGCTTTGTCAATTTGCTCAAACGTCTCCGTTTGGAGAGTGTCGGTTTCGTAGATAGTTTCCCGGATATACGTCGTTTCGGGGCAGAAGAAAAACATAAGGACGAATTGGATGACCAGGAAGATCTGGAAAAGGTGGAACAGCCAGAGAAGGCCAAGGTTGTTGTAGACTTGGCCGCAAATGATCGAAGCTAGACTCGAGGCAGAGTTGAGGACGAAATTGATGGATGCAATCCTCAGGCCACGTTGGTGGACGCAGAAGAGGTCTCCAACAACCGAGATGATGAGCGACTCGAATGCGCTGGTGGAAAATCCTTGCACAATGCGCGCCGCAAGAAGATATTCATAACTGACTTTGACTTCACCGATGGCCGTGCCAACGATGCAAAAAAGCGTGGACACGAGGAAGACTGGACGCTTGCCATATCGGCGGCTGAATGCGCACACGAAGGGTCCGATGCAGGCAATCGCAAGGATATTGTAACCGGAGACCAGGACGGTGGTGGTGAGGTCTTTGTTGATCTGTTGCGCGATGGCGAAGTAAGAGGCATTCAGGAACGGTCCCTGGGGTGACAGTCAGACGCGATAACATTCGTCGAAGGCAAGGCCGAAGCGACTTACGTTGGTGGCTGCACACAGCATGGATCCGAAAGCGAGAATCCATACGATGGACTCTTTCTTCAGGAGTGACCAATTGAGCGGATCGTTTGGGTCGTCGCTGGGTTGGGGAGAGAGCACAATGTGCGAGTTCTTGCCCGTTCCATGCTTGAGGTTTCCGGTCTGTGACTCGGAGTGGGCAGCTTCATCGTTCAAGAGGACCGTCCCAGGCACGTGCGAAAGTTTGTGGTCTGGGGAAGCAAACGTCAGTATGCGAGTATTCGACACGAGAGGCGCCACCGGTCAGCTTGAAAGGGGGTTTGGGCATCAATGACGGGTAGCGACAGACCTTCCAAGACACCAAGACCCATGTTGACCTAACTCTGAGTAGAGTATTTGGTTTGATTTCAAAAAGGTCGAGAAGACCAACCGGAAGTCTGGCGACAGGAGGAGTCCGAGCAGGGTTGTAGGTGTTGTTTGAAATCGGAGTCTGTGGTCACAGGCGAGGACGCGAGGCTAAGTTTAAGTACATCGACAGGCATCGCATCTCGCTACTACCACCCAAACCTGATTGATGAAGCCGCCGCGATCGAGGCGAGGCACTTGGGCAAGGATTCCCCATCTTCAGGCCTGACCCCATATCTCCACAGAGCTCATTGGCGCAGAAGACTATGATTCCAAGCACAGATTTGGAGTCATGGTTTCTCACCATGTCCTACAGTCAATAACATGAAGCCCAGGAAAGCTTGTGAGCCTTGTCTGACGTCTAAGACATCGGGGGATGCTCCTAGTTCAAGCCACCGTCCCCAATCTGGGGTCTGCACGGGTCAGCTAGTGGTGCTTCGCAAGTCCGGGCACATCCAAGAGCGCGGGGTCGATACCGTTGTTGGAGAAATCCGGGGAAGACATTGGGATGGTTGGTGATGGTGGCATCATGTGGCAGCGATGAATTCCCAACCATGATCCACGTGCGGGTGAGCGTCCAGCGGACATGACCCATGCCGCTAAACGACCTCGTATCTGGGATTTCGGCAGTTAATTATGCTGCGACATGGATTTCACCTCTTTTCTCAGATCTTGCCAGAGTCTTCGTGTTCATCTTCTGCGACCAGACAAGGTCCCACATTATAGTTCGCAGTGGAGGATGGCTCTGCAAGGGTTGGGCGAGGATTGGGATATAGGAGGCGTGAAAGTTTGAAGTCGACCCACCGGATGCGTAGCAATAGACTTTCTATTGCTGCCGTTCGATATTGACGGAAATCTCCCACTACGACTTGTGGAACTGTCCAGACTCATGGAATGCTCTGTGTGCCAGCATGGAAAGAACCCAAAGGTGTGGCAAACATGATGCGAGGAGGCGTTCGACCTCTGTCAGTGCTCATGACTGCCTCGTAATCCTTGCCGAAAGACTTCGACTTGTAATGGAAGATGGGCGAATCAACAGAGAAAGAGGTTTGGTTGTTGAGACATCGGCTTCTCCTTGCGCTTTTAAGAATGCCTCTTTCTCCGACAATCAGGTGCTGCTTCCCTTCCCCAACATTGGCGCCTTCGGTCTCAGGTTGAGAAGGTCGCCCCTTTGCAGCCTCCGCCACATCAGAAAAGGAGGGAGAAGCATGGTTTCCCCAGTGGTCGTGGTAACACTTCTCATGATCGATCCCGGACTGCGCACACTTCAGACAACAACTCCGGACGGGGCGACACCAGCTCTTAGGCAGTAGACGAACCTACTGAACTACCAGGGTTGGTAAAGCACCAATTCCCAGTCGCAGCTAGATCTTCGTTTGCATGTATCGAAAACATACCTGCCTTCCAATGGCCTTAAGGTAAATTGAGGCTTGAATTCGTCTCTGTTATCTGTTCTCCAAGGGGAGATCACAACACTCGTAAAAGCAGTAAGAGCGTTGCTTAGTCGCTACCCCAACATTTTCCCTCGGGGCGTGAACCTTGGACCTTCGGGACCTTGCCCCATGCAGTAATCACCGCAAAAAGCTTTGCAAAGCCCTTCAGCTGTGGGAAGCACTCCCAAAAAAACAGGCCGTGACTTGGGGGGACGTGTTGTTCTAGCCCTAGTGCCGAAGCATACCCTCCGGCATGGACACTGGTGCTGGGCTTTGGGCAGCTGCTCAGAAGCATCTAACCACTGCCCGATCCCCGCACACGCCGAACCTCAATGGTGCTTTAGCCTTGGAATGGTCACAACACAAGTAGAGGTGAAAGCAGAAGGGCTCACGTGGAGGTGGCTCTGAAAGCGGCACGTTTGCCGCCAAATCCGCGGCGAGATTTTGGCCAACTTTGTTATGTTTGTTGTGTTTGTTAGATTTGTCAGGTTTGCTCTTCGGCTCCAAAAAAAATGTTTCGTACATTTTGAGATTCTCTCCGCAAAACTGCAACTTCATCCCAATAGAGATCATGTCCAAAATGGCGGGCACAAAACGTCCTAGAGAGAATGTTGACACACAAGCCTCAAAAAAGGTTAAGTCCAGCAAAGAAGGGCCCAAAAAGCCCAAGTTCGAGTCCGAGAATGCTGCAGGCCAAGAGGAAGACTTCGTTGCATTCGACGAAGGACTCGAGGAACCTGTGTCCGAAGGCAAAGCAGCGTTCACGAAGAAGCCAAAAGTGGACTACGGTTCACACAAAGCTAACGGTTCGAACAATCAAGATTCATTCCTAAGTGGTACGTCCACCTCTTGCGTTTCTCCGAAGTAAATTCTTCTGTACTTACCCGTCTCCTCTCATTTTAGGAAGTACATCTCGCGAAGCACACGCCAAACAACGAGCCCTAGCACAAGACCGGAAAGCAGCCAAACCGAACGCCGACTCCATCGCCCGGAGCAAGAAGATCTGGGAGAAACTGCGGCGCAAATCGCACGTTCCCAAAGCCGAGCGCGACGAACTGGTCAAAGAACTATTCGCCATCATAACGGGTCGGGTGAAGGAGTTTGTGTTCAAGCACGACTCTGTCCGGGTCATACAATGCGCATTGAAATACGCCACACCGGCACAACGGAAACAAATCACGCAAGAATTGAGCGGGAGTTATCGCGAGCTCGCCGAGTCAAAGTACGCCAAGTTTCTGATTGCCAAAATGGTCGTTGGCGACAATGAGAGTCGCGACGCCGTCGTGCAAGAGTTCTATGGCCACGTGAAAAGGCTGATTCGGCATCCCGAGGCCAGCTGGATAGTCGACGATATCTATCGGACCCTTGCGACGAAGAATCAGAAAGCCGTTCTGTTGAGGGAATGGTATGGCCCGGAATTTGTCTTCTTCTCTCAAAATAAAGGAACACCCGAAGAGGAAGTAACCGCAGATTTGTCTGTGATATTGAACCAGAACCCCGAAAAGCGCGGCCCGATCATGCAACATCTCAAAGAAATGACGAACCAGCTCGTGCAGAAGAAGACGACAGGCTTTACCATGCTCCACGATGCAATGCTGCAGTATTTTTTGAACGTCAAGCCGGGCAGTCCCGAGCAGACCGAGTACCTCGACATGCTCCGTGACGACGAGGAGGGCGATTGCTTCAAGAACCTTGCCTTCACAAGGTCCGGATCTAGACTCGCCTGTCTGGCGCTTGCACATGGGAATTCCAAGGCCCGTCGAACGATACTCAAATTCTTCAAGATGCATATCAAGCTCCTCGCGAGCGATGTATACGGACACGTAGTCCTGCTGACCGCGTACGAGGTGATAGATGACACGGTGATGACTGCCAAGGCTATCTTCCCTGAACTACTCAGCAAAGATCTGGACCAAGAGGCGCGGGAGCAGGAACTCATGGCTCAAATTGAGCATTTGACTTCTAGGATTCCATTGCTGTACCTGATGTCGCCGGAGCCGCCGAAGTGGCTGGTCCCTGCGGATACAGATACCGCGGCGATTATCAAGGAGGTTCGCGAAGTCCGCGCGAGTACTTCGAAAAAGGATCCTGAGACGAGACGTGTGGAACTGCTGGAGGCTCTGTCCCAACCGTTGCTGGATTTGATTGCTTCACAGATCAAGTTCCTCGCTCGGTCCCAGCTTGGATGTCAGTTCGTCGCGGAGACGCTGTTTGGCGCGGTCGGGAAAAAAGACGCCGCGCTACAGGCTGTTGCTGAATTGGTAGCGGGAGGTGATGAGTCTGAGTCGGACGAAACAATGCAGGTTCTCGCGACGCCGGCCGTGGGACGGATGCTGAAGTCGTTGGTTCAAGGTGGCCGATTCGATAAGGATGCCAAGAAGGTCGTCCTTGTTGATCCACCGTTGAACTTTGGCGATATACTATACACGCAGCTCAGACACGGAGAAAACAAGGTGGATCCAATCGTTAGCTGGGCGAATGGGCCGAATTCGTTTGTTGTGCTCGCGATGCTGGAAGCCGAAAATTTCGGCCATAAGGACGAATTGCTAGGGCTGTTGAAGAAGAATGCTTCGTCTTTGAACAAGGACAACCACGGCGCGATGATCATTCTGGAGAAGATCGGAGGTGTGAAAGCCGAGGATACTGCTGCGAAGGTGGAAAAGGGCAAGAAGGGCAAGCAAAATGAACCAGGCAGAGCAGAGGGAAAGGCGAAGGAAAAGGAAAAGAAGGCTCCAAAAGACAAGAAGTCGAAAAAGTAGATGAACATCGATGACTATGAGTATTGCTATTGCCCCAAAAGGCCCCCGTCATGGCAATGTAGCTCAATATCCTCTCTTCCCTGCTCATATGGTATCCTGTAAGCAACGTTGGCCAATTTCACCCGGATCCAACAAACGCCAATCACATGTATAATAGGTATAGATGAAGCACATTCCCCCGACCTGCACTGTAGCAATATGCACCCACAAATGCGGGAATATCGACTGATTATATATAAGCGAAGAACAGTCATTGTAAATCTGGTAAAGAGGTAGAAGCGGCTGGACCATTGCCTCAATGCCATAGTAACTTGATCCGTGCGACGTCGCGCAAGCACCAAAAGACCCACACTACGAGCATGGTCATGGGAGACCAAGGCAGAGGAATCTTTCGTCCTATGACTAGGCATAGGTCATGCCCTGCCGAAAGGCAACGTAGTGCTCATCGTCGGACGAGAGCTCGGGCGACTGAAGGTCATCATCCCAACCTTCTCCTTCTTCGTCGTCGTCAATGAAGGGATCCCCAAAGAACACATTGTCTGCATCATCAGCGCTGCTGTTGGAATCATCAATCTTCGCCATCCAAGTCTTCGGAAGGGGCCGGGCTCATGTCTAAGCAGAACGACGTGTCGCCTACAGGACGGTCCCCTGCCAACGGCACAATCTCCCTTCCACTCGAATCGAGCCGTACGGCAGCACGTTCGATGGGACAAACCTCTTCGCCCTCTCCCACTAGCCAGGCTTGGACTCTGCTGAGAAGGCATGTCGGATCTTCAGTGGCTCCACGAACAGCCCATTGCTGGTTCGTCGGATTTGCGAAGGAACCCGCAAGCTTGACATGGGGAATGTGGTAAGATCGAATCTCTTCGAAGGTATGGACCCAGCACGCTGGAGAGTTTCGTTGATGGGCTTCGACCAAAAGTAGGTTTCTAAGCACCAGTCGTCGCAGAGTATGCCTGTGATTGGAGATCAGAGCAGAGAGTTCGATTGCCTGACAGGCCATGCACCCCAACTCCAAATACTCAAGGGAAGAAAACGTTGGGTCGTCGCGCAGACTGTAGTCTGGAAGGCGGACAAGCTCACACAGCAAGAGGTTTCAGGTCCATTGTCTTCCGGGGGTTGAAAGGGATAATCAGTGAGGTTCAGCTGCAGTATCTCAAGGTCTGCAGCAGATGCAACAAGGTTGGCTAACGCTCGGCGAGCTGTATGCGTTGAATCTAGATGCCCAAAGGTACACCCGATGCGAATATCTTTCAGCTTGCTAAACACCGACCGCACCATTTGGCAGTCCTTTCTTGCACCCTAACCAAAACTTATCAGGGTCAAAAACTTCTACCCGAAAACTGGTGATAGATGATTCAGAGGCCAATGCTACGGCAAAGAGGGCGACCTTGGGCGCTGAGAAGTCCCTTGACCTCAAGGCCAAGTGCGAGTATTCGTCAAGGCTGGCAAGATTAGCAGTATTCGTGCCTATGCAGAAACGTTCGAAATAGCCTTGAAATGCGGCTGGAAGGGAGTCAGATACTCCATTAAGGTCGATAGATGTCAGTCAACCCGGGTAGTGATTGCACGCGTGAGAACAACATGACCTCTGTGGCCTGCTCATGATAATGAAGCGAGTTGTCTTCGAGGTGCCGGTTGAAGGCGGCGGCTTGCCCGGTCGCGTGTTCAGATCCCACGCTGAAATCCGTGTTATATCTCATGGAAACCTCGTAAAGAAGAATCCTTACATGCCGTGCGATTGTTGGATTGTTTTCCATCGTCTGCGCAAAGCCTTCGAGACAATCCACGTATGGAACCAATTCCACGCGGTAGAACAGGATTGGCTCGGCCATCATGGCGAATGTTTTGTTCGCAAGGCGGACGTTCTTGACATCTCGGAGGCTTTCGAGATGACGCACTATCGTCTGAAGGATCTCGTTGGGGAGCTCAGGCATTTTGCAAAGGTGAGCACCGAATCGAAGTTGACGTGAGGATGTTGAGTCTGCAGTCAGTGGGCTTGGGTGCTACTCGGTCATAATCTATGCTCGACAGGGGGCCGCCATGGGCTAGGGCGTTTCAAAAGCCAGCAGCTTTCGCTTGCTGTAACTGTTGCAAGTAGTTAGCTTCCCATGAGCACCCATGCTCGGCATGTTGCAGCCTTGCACGCGGGGCGTGATGGAACTCGAAACTCGCCCAAACATCGTCAAGCGGCTCAAAGGCAGCATGAGCATGTGCCCGAGCAGAAGGCAAACCAGGCACTCCGTATGCAAATTCTAGAAGTCTTCTCATTTCCGTGGGACATGCCGTTTTCAGGGCAATGAAGAGGAGGGTGGAAGGATGAGATGGTTGGTTGCAGATGGGAGAAGGAAAGAAGGAGACCGCGGGGTGTGAAGGGTGTGAAGGTTATGACTGGGCGTGAATGACATGCCCAGAAATTCCTCTGCCGCGGCCGCTGTAATAAGCTTAACACGGCTGCACTAAGCCTAAGGATTCACGCTCAGGCACCCACAAACCCACTGCCGAGACACCTGTCTCATTGTCCACACTGTCCACACTGTCCTCATTCACCCACCAACAGTGGCTACCATCCCGAGTTGCCGCTTTCTCCAACTTCTGCAAACAAGGCAGTTCGATTCTCATGCCATGTGAAGCTCGAATCCATACCCAGTATTCTCTCTCTTCTTTCCTTTATTCACCTCTGCAACCGCTATTGGCATTCTGTGCTACGACAGTACCGAGTTGGACTCTGCTCAGCCTGAAGTTTCTACCCTCCTCAAATTCCGCACCCTGTGTTCGCCTGCGGGTGATGATCAGCCATGGGGACACATCTCCATGCTAGTCCTGCGAATGGACATACCCCCCAACTGCAATACGTTGACCTCGCCTTTGATAGCAACGATATCGAGCAGTCTGCTTTCACGTTAGCCTACAGGATCCAGCCCAAATGGCGAGAGGGCCCGGGCAACATGGAAATCGTGAGGTTTACAGAGGGTATCACAAACACTGTATGCATTCCGCAGCTTCTTCAAGGCACGTGCTCGAGACTGACCTCGGAACAAAGCTGCTCAAACTGGCGAAACACGTCCCAGGCCAATCTCAGAGTCAAATTGACCAAGACTCCATCCTCCTGCGTGCCTATGGTAACAATACTGACATCCTCATCGACCGGGACCGTGAAGCGAAAACACATGCTTTGTGCGCGGAGCGTGGGCTAGCGCCCCCTCTGTTGGCAAGATTCAAGAATGGCCTGCTCTACAGATACATCCCCGGTCAAGTCTGTACTCCTCAGGACCTCGTCCAGGAGCCAGTCTGGCGGGCTGTGGCTAGAAAATTGGGAAAGTGGCATGCGCAGTTACCGGTCAGTGAGTTGGAGGATGCTCGCAATGCGGTCAATGGTCGTAAAGAGAATGGCATTACCACTGAGCTTCGTCAGCCCAACGGAGATGTTGCTTCCAGATTGCCCCAGCCCAATATTTGGTCAGTAATGCAAAAGTGGATTCATGCTCTGCCGAACGACTCCCCAAAGCAAAAGGCCCGCAGAGAGTTGCTTCAGCAGGAACTAGATCGATCAATCAAGGATCTGCACACTGAACAAGGTCCAGGGATGCATGGACTCGTTCTCGGACACTGCGATCTGCTGAGTGCCAATGTTATCATGCTGCCCAAGGGCTCCAGTAGTGCCGCCAACGACGACCTCGAGGTGTTCATCATCGACTACGAGTATGCAGTACCATGCCCGGCAGCTTTCGACATCGCCAACCATTTCGCCGAATGGGGCGGTTATGATTGTGATTATAACATGTTGCCTACCAAATCCATCCGGCGTCAATTCCTGCAAGAGTATCTCGAATCGTACAAAGCCCACAGCGACAACACTGTGTCAAACGACATGCTTGACGTCTTGACTGCCGAAGTTGATAGATACCGCGGCATGCCCGGCTTTTACTGGGGCGTCTGGGCTTTGATCCAAGCTACGATCTCGCAGATCAATTTTGATTATGCCTCGTATGCAGAAGTTCGCCTTGGGGAATATTTTGGATGGAGAGCAGAAGAAAGCGGCAGCCGAGCCACAGAAAAGGCCGAGATGCCTCTTCGTGAGAGGAGATGGGCAGAGCCTTGATGATCACGGGCTGGGAATAGACAAGACTATGGTCAATTTCACAACGGGGAGAATCTACCATGCTGAAGATCAAGAGATCTTTTAATAGGGGCATAGCATGGCAGCCCTAATAAAAAAGGCAAACGAGCAAGAATAACGGCATTCTATTCAAAATAGTCATCACAATGCCAGCATCAACTGCTTGGTAGACTCCAATTTGGTCTATCATATCAAAGCTGTGAAGTACGAAAGCAAACCGATCCTCGACTTAGAGCTTAGGTCTTGTGGTCAACCGTAGAATCTCGAACAGCTTGCGGCAGAGAGCTTTCACACCATTACAATTTACCTGAGGTATTCACCATGAGACATAACCTATTTGAGCAGACCTGAGCCGTAGACATGTTTCCGCCATTTCAACCTGAAGCAAGCCTTCTGAACCACCAAGGTGAAGACGAGCCGCCATGTACGGAGCTCGCTTGGCGCTGACATAATCAAGATCGGACCTTTGAAAATCAGCCTCTCCCATATTCCTGCGTTGCAACATGATCTACTGTGCTGAGTCTCGCTTCTTGGAGCGCTCAATCGAAGTCAGCGTCTGACTCTATTCTTGTTGTAAGAGCAGACCTGGGTGACCATGACAGATTCTTTGATAACGCCACTTGTCTGTCCACACCCTCTATGGACTATGACCCTCTTACTCACAATTGCCTTCGATCCGACTTGGAGGGACTAATTGGACCACGACTGTACAGATATGACGCCGAGTCCTCAGCCCAAAATATTCATCACATACAGCAACCCTAGCGAGTTCAAGAATCAAAGAAACCGCCAGGCTGCCTCTTCTTTTGCCTCGAGAAGCTATCGCCTAACTTCAAAGAAGAAGACTTTGCCAAGTTTACAGACATGGAGAAGCCCAGACGGACAATCCCCCTGAACGCCCGAATCCCTTTCGGTGTTGTCATCGATTATGGCTCTGCGCAGAACTATTTCCAGCCTGCACCAAGCGAGGAAACCTAAAGCTGCTAGCATGAGACCTCCCAGCCCGCATCTGAAGCCGATACCTGCCACTGCCCCTGTGGATAGGCAGGTCGATCCCGGCTGCGACGCACAAGGTTTGTACTGCGGGCTGCAGGCGCCCGAGGCTGAGAAGGCGTCCACCGTGCATGGTTGGTGTAAGTAGCCCTGAGCCTACAGTGCTGTGCGGTAGCTACCGAGACTCAACAGAGCTGCATTCGCGTAACACGAGCTGGGACGACCTTGATGTGCAGTGAAGTCGCTTGATCCTACCCAAATGCGTGAGGTTTTCAAAGGCTGATTGTCCGTTGGTCCTCTAAGTCGCAGTTGCAATTGGTTAATAGTCGACAAGGCTGAGCGGACGGACCAATCGCTCGATCAAGGTCCCTCTTCTGCTGCTTCCTCCGCGTTTTTCATCAACCGCAAGACGTCGCCCACGAGGTACAAACTCCCCGCGACACAGATCGGACCTTGTCCGGCAATCCTGACTGCCCTCGTTATGGCTGCTTTCACACTCCCACTCTCAGCAGCTTCCACAATGCCAGTCGTAGGAGAAGACTCTCTGACAATCTCTGCGAGCGCGACAGCATCCATGCTCTTCACCCATGGCATCCCGTCGACTTGTCCAAATGAGCAGGTGACGACATTGTCCTGCGGTCTCAGTAGAATTGACAGGATTGTCCGGACTTCTTTGTCATTCTTGACTGCAATGACCCACGTCATGTGGCCAGATGTGCCGCGTACATTGGTGTCAACATATGACGCCAGCGCATATGCTGATTGAGGATTGTGTGCGCCGTCGAGGAGAACCTTGGCTTGCGTTTGCCTGTCGTCGAGTTCTGGTGGGAGAAAATGAGGAGGGAGCGTGAGCCACTCAAGTCGTCCACGCAACGAAGCTTGTGCCAGGCGTATCAACTCTGATATCTTCTGTTCTGTCCTGTTGATATTATGCATCGAGTCAATTCCGGGTTTCGTTCCCTCCCGTGACCTCACATCTGCCATACGCTGCTCAGCGAGATAATAAGCCGTCCACGCCGTCCGTAAGTTCTGCTCTTGATGTTTTGCCAGCCCCAGTCTCGCAACGCTTTTGCTGAGAAGCACACTGCTCTGCTGTTCATCGAGCACGAATGCGCCCTCGCTGCTTCCCAACGCGGCCATCCGCTGCCGCACCACGTCCAGGACTTCTGGTGCATTACTCCCATCCACAACGACCGGCACCCCAGCTTTAAAAATTCCGGTTTTCTCCCTGGCCACTTTCTCAATCGTATCGCCCAGGAACTCCGTATGATCCAGGCCGACCTTGGCCAGTACACTGACCAACACATCTCCCTGTCTTAGGATATTAGTGGCGTCCAGTCGTCCGCCAAGACCGCATTCAACGACGGCTACATCTACCTTTTCGTCCGTGAACAATTCGAACGCGGTGGCCGTGAGGACCTCGAATTCGGAAGCACCGACGTTGTCCCTCGCGCTGCGCTCTCTAACTTTAGCCTCGGCAGCGAGGAAGCGGTCGCGTTCGACGACACGCTGGTTCAACGTGATACAGTCCCATCGGTCGATCAGATGGGGAGAAGTGAAACGACCGACACTGTAGCCTGAGTTGGACAGGAAAGTTGAAACGAGTGAGGCGACGCTGCCTTTACCGTTGGTGCCGGCGATGTGAATTGCTTTCCACGGCAGAGTATTGGGGTATGTGGTGAACAGCGGGTTGAGGAGAGCACTGATGCGTTGGAGACCGAGGTTTATCATGGCGGTGGTTGAGACAGGGTGTTACAGTATCGTACACCATTGGGAGATTCAGGTTACGCGAGGCTGGGATTTTCCAGTTCCCATGTCGACATGAATGATGGACAGACTCTAAGGCCGGTGCCTGTACCATACAAGCTTCACAGTGGTACGAAAAAGTGCTGTCGACTTCGGATTGCCTATCTGTCGTTGACGTTCGTGATCAACAAGGATTGTGAGGATGTCGGAACTAAACCCATTTTGATTTCGCCAAGAGAAGGTAATTCGATATCCAACTCACCCCCCTTTAGGACGAAGGTGATGCCGCCCTGTACACAACTCACCCCCTGCTCGCACGTGTCACGCTTGCACATGCAAGTTACGGAGTACTCCGTACTCTTAAGGCAGTTGCCCGGATAAGCAACTTAGCCAAGCGCGACCTTTATGTTCGCACTCGGCCCTGCAACACTGTCGTTGATAGCCCTCCGTATTACAATTCTATTATTTCTATGCTTGTTGAGGTCGTCCCAACTCACTCTTCAAGGTGTCCATCCAACTACTGCTCGTACAGCTGTAGTAAGATTTTGAAGCTGGACGCCAGTCTTGACCATTTGCCCTTTCGTATATCCCTCTGTATATGCAATTCGATCCTCCCCTGCCATATGTTAGTATCTAATCCTCTGTGAGATCTCTTGGGTTCAAAAGAGGCCAAGTTACCTAGCAGTGCTTTGACCCATGGCTTGGGTGCAGCGTTCTGATCAGCGTCCCATACGGTCAGAAGATAGAGCGCTGTAGTCCCGTATTCAGTCTCATGCTGGTGCGTAGAAGCGTTGAATTCTGGGTTGACTGTCATTGCAAGGTTATAGCGATTCTCCGTGGCCTTGGCTGCTGTCTCTATCGTGACGAATTGGTCAGAAGAGCTGTAATCACTCAACCCAAGGTCGTTGGCGACAGGGGCGAAAACGGTAGCATCAAAGTGAACATCATCCCCGAAGTAGATATCGTTGCGGGTGATTGAGCCATCAGCTTCAATCGTGTCGTGCCTAGCTAGGTCGAGAAGGTTGAAAGTCTCGCTAGGTTGACTTGTAGTGGAGATATTAAACTCGAACACCATGTCGACAGCCGTCTTGTAAAAGCCATCCTCGAAGCCGTATGCGTCTTGTGCAGCTTGATTGATCATGTCGTAATCAAGGTCCTTGCCGTCGTGCGGGAGAAAGCCATGGTTTGCCAGAGCATTTAGGCCAGGGCATGGCGAACGACCTGCAGGATTGTAGGTGATCAGCTTCCTGTTCCCGGCCTCCATGACAAAACTTACTATCGAAAGGCCCCGCGGCAAGGAAATCATGACCAGAGGGCGCAGGGAATGCAAGGCATGGGATTGCAAAGGCAATTATGGTAAGCAGGCGCGCCTTCATGATTTCAACTCAGCAAGCGTAATATCAAGGGTATCGCAGTGTACTATACACCATATGTCTACATAGGTATATGATAATGACCTCGAGTCGAGACAAGAGATCTTTAAGTAGATTCACCGATGGGCGAGTATGAGCACGTTATTTGAAATCAGGGCAATGTGATACGAAGAACTTTTGATAGGGTGTATTCAGCCTCCTACAAGACACTATTCAGGTCGAATCTTGCGACGTGAACTGTGGAATCAAAATTTGCGAGGAAGGCTGAGCCAGACGTTATGAACATGGAGGCGCCGTAGTCGCGAATACGCTGGGGGAACACGCTCCAGGAATGAGCTTCAGAAATACATTGCAGAAACAGCCGTATACGCTCTGGTATCCACAAGAATACGCGAACACGCTCTGGACCTCCACTACTTTCTCCTCCCCTCAATGAAGCAAGCCAAGTTTTATTCGACAAGAGCACATCCCTTGCTAGCCTACGAAATGCCTATTCCTGACGCGGCGGAGACGTAACGTTCTGATTTCCATACATATGTTTACAACCTTAGGATGTCATTATTTGGATAGTTCGTACGTTGCGCACTAAACATATTGGGAAATGCCACCTTGTAGGGATCGCTATGCATTATGCCTAAGCGAATACGCAATCATCGGATTATGAGACCCGCTTTATTAGAACTTCCTGGGAATACGATATAGCATTGCCGGTCACGACTCATGACGAAGACATGTTTTATGTCGCCGTTCCATGCACTTGCCCGCTAGCTCTCCAGTCTCTTATGGCGGCATGCTTTGCGATTCCTCGTGCATAGACGGCCGTAAAGTCAGACGTGAACCCAGGAAAAGCGCCGCCAAAGTTTGGTAGCTTCATATACAAGCTGAACGCGTTGTCGTCATGCCCGCATTGTGATGGCACCGGCTATGTCAAATGTACGCTATGTCTATGTACCCTCCCACGACCAAAAGAAGATGCGCCTCGCTAAAGTTGATGAATCAAGTCTCAATCAGCGGCAACGAACGGCGTACCAAATAACACTCTCGCAGCATTATTTTGGTGCCTCACCCATCGAGATGCAAATGCCGCCGTAGAGACAAGTACCGCTCATACCCAAACAGTTTCACCTCGATTCGCATATGGGTCAGCCACGCTTTGAGCAGTGGCCAGAAGTTTCTGGGGTTGAGGAGTCCTCCGCGTTGGCGGATCTTCTCTTTCTCTTCCTCCCAGACGGTCAGGCTTGCAAATTTAGCAAGAATCATCATCGGTCGCATGGGCTGCTTTGAGCCCAAGGATTCGTCCAGACTTCGAGTTAAATCGTTGGTTTTGAGGATCAGAAGGATGATCCGAGGAACATTTCCAAGCAACTGGACAAGCTGTTGCAAAAGGTCTTCCCCAAACACCTCGTTGATGTTCTCCTTTTCCTGCGCATCGCGTGCTGATGTTGCCACTTTCTTGTTGGTCAAGACTCGGTAATCTCGACCGGTAATGGCGGATGCGAAGAGAGGAAACTGTTCATCTGTTATGCCAGCCACTTCGTAAGCGTATTTCCGCATCTCATCTTCGTTTGCGTTAATCACGGCCAGCCATAACCTTGCATAGTCTCTCCTCAGTTTGTTATCAGGCACCCGGTAGAGGCCGTGGTCATAAAGAATAACATCGAAATTGTATGGATATCGCCTGTGAGGGTTGTGTCGGACGGCGATATTCCCTCCGTGAGGATCGCAATGGAGAGGTGCATTGCTCTGGAAGATCATGACGTTGAATATCCTTGCCAGCGTTGCCGACACTTCGTCTCTGGAGATGTGGTGTTTTTCAAAGTATTCCACACTATCAACTCTGGCCCCAGCCACAAAGTCCATGACCAAAATTCGCTTGCTCGCCGATATGACCTTTGGTATGATAAGCGGAAATTTGGTGTGTCTGGAAAAGTAATCCCTCGCTCTTGTCGCGTTTGCCCCTTCAAGCCTGAAGTCCAACTCCTGCGGCAGAGAAAAATCCATCTCTTGACTCAACCACTCCATGTCGTATTCTGGGAACGCCTTCTTCAGCGTCCGAAAAGAAAACCTCGTCAAGGCCAGGTCCAGCGGCACCCACTCTTCCAAGGTGGGATGTTGTACTTTGACGGCCACCTTCTGGTCGCTATCTTTTAATCTTGCAATGTGAACCTGCGCCAACGACGCTGCACCTATAGGCTCTCTTGAAAACTCTGCAAACTCATCCTCTATCCGATGTCCGGTGTCTCGCATAAACATGTCTTCGATCGATTCGTAGGATGAGACAGGGCACTTGTCCTGCAATGGGACGAATGTTTCGGTCCATTCGGTAGGCAAGAGATATCCCATCGAAGACAGGTGTTGGCCAAGTTTGATGAATATGGAGCCATTCTTCTCCAGTACTTTCAACGTTCGATCGGCACATCGTTTGTGGCAGGCTTTGAGGAGGCGGGTTTCTTCTTCTGGATCGCCGAGGTCTTGTTTCAATGTCGTGCGGTAGCTGGAAGGATTAGCATTCCAAATAGGCATTGGCTATCGAAGGACACCGCATACTCATTAATACACACGGCCAAGGTCGTCACGACTCTTCCGGTCCTCGCCGCAGCGTGCCAGCCATGCTTGATATCATCCGTGAAGAACAGTAAACTTCCGCCCAATGCACCACCAGCTGCGGCCCAGTAGACAGCCTTCCTGGGTCGAACCACCTTTATCGGTCGCCTGTAGGAGCTAAATTCTCGCCGCAAATCATCGAGTCGTGATTGTGAGGTCTTGCACCGAGCACACGTCCAGGTGGCGCGGCCTGCGGTGAATACACCGCGATCGAGTCGCATGAGCACAAGACGTGTGGTTATCGAGGAGGCATCGACAGAGAGTGCCTACTTTAAGGCACGGTGAAGGTAACGGGTATAAATTGTCGGCAGAAATATATTAGTAGTCTCGATGTTGACTCGTGATCTGATACATCACCCGACAAGATCAAATGGGTCGTTCTGTTCTGGGTGGGACAAAATTTCTCCATCCTTTCGGGCGATAATTTATGACGTTGGGGATACGAGCTTGACGAGAACACCATCAACATCAACATCCAACATCCAACATCCAACATCCAACATCCAACATCCAACATCCAACATCCCATATCGACATCAACATCAATATCGGCATGAACATCTCGAGTCTACCCACAACCTACTATATCAACCAGGTCTCCATACAATTCATTTCTCATCAGTATCTCTGTTCGCAGGCCTCTCTCGAATCATCCTCCCGTTCTCGAGTCTGACCCTCTCAGTCGTAGTCGGTCTTCGCATATGCAGATATTCGCTCAGAAAGCTCTTTGTCCGGATCCCCACTCTTTCCCTTCCTTCGTATCCCATCTTCCGATACAACCATTCTCCCTCTAAACTCGCTTCGATCCAGCATGGCAACATCAAAGCATCAGCGACATCATTGCCCCACTGCATCATCATCCGCCCGCACCCTTTCCTTTGATATTCCTTGTCTGTGCAGAGTATGAAACACAAGACGTGCCCTTCCGTGCATTCGCGTCTTCTCCTCGACAGGAAATCTTCCATCAACACCGCGGCATCGGCTCGCTCTTGCTCTGTTTCGAGGTATGAAAACGCCGCCTTGTTCTCTTTGTCTTTCTGTTTCTCTTCCGCCTCTCCGTCCCTCTGAGACTCTCCTGCTTCCTGCTGCTCTTTTGGCGTGACATAGGTAGGGAAGATCTTCCAATTACTGGCGCAAACGATCCTTTTCCTTCGCTCCGTGCCGGAAACACCACCTTTGTCGTCCAGCAAATTCACATCAACCTCTTCGTCGAGATCCTCAATCTTGAGAAACACGTCCGCCGGGTCCGTCTGCAGTCCAGTCATGAAAAGTTTCTTGGTGTATGCGTAAGATGCCGCCGATTTGCGTCCGAAAAAGACGTTACAGAGGTCGCCGTCGTCGAATGCTTCAAACAGCATTGGCACGACGGCGTCGAGATCCCTAGGCTCGGTTCGAGAAAGTACGAGTTTCATTCTTGCTGATCTTCGAGTATTTTGGATATCACAATTATAAGGCTCGTTCTCGGTATTGAGGCTGCGGTCTTCATCGACAACATGCACGCGTTCGACGTTTGAAGCCTTAATGCTGGTGGATGAATATGCGTCTACCCTTCCTCGCAATTTGGTGCTTACCACGAAAAGGATCATAGGCTGTCAGGTTCAGCAACACTTTCAAGTCCTATATCAAGAAATTGGTCGTCCAGGTTGCGTCCGTGCGGCAGCTTCTGACTGTGAAAAAACCATTGAGCCTATTGGCCTGTCCAACCTCCACCTCCATGTGACACATTGGAATTGTGATGTGACAACATGCACCACAGACATGCATACTCGCATTATTCCCAGTTGGGCAGCTTATTCGTGGCCACTGAAAAAAGGTGAGGGATGGCACATGCATTACTGTATCCCCTACGGAGGGAGGTGCCATTCTTTCAAGCAGGTTGCATGAACCATGAACTATCGTGAGCTAAAATGCATGGGAGTGTAGCATCAGCAAATGGTATTGCACATCACTGGGAACGGCCCGTCTTCGACTGCCACTAAGTTACTACGTAGTACAAGGACCATGGTACGAGTATATGTCGGGCGGTGCTTTCAGGCAATCCAATCCCCGAGTGATCACCAAGAACCATTTCAAGATCTCGCTTCGCTCCGCCTTCGCTTGCTCACAAATCTGTAACGACGGCTGTCGCAGATCATAAAAGGCTTGACTTGACTCGACTTGACGTTACACCACATCCCACCGCTCTTTGAATACTAGTAAGTATATGGCAACAACAGCAATAAACAAAGGACTACTCCGTACGAAAGGACGTTGATGATTTGTACCGTACGTTATATTGATGTTCCCGCCTCGCCAGATCGCTCCAGCCGCAGGCCAGGCTCTATCTATTGTCCAGAATATCGATATGCACCGAAATAAAGAAGGTAAAGTGTCGCTAGTTGATCGCCAACATGGCACAAGAAAGGTCGAAAATCAACTCCAAATTTTCTCCCGGGGGTTTTCTGTTTTTTCCGTTTGCCAAAGTTCCCAAAATTCCATGCATATGCAATGCAGTTCTTGTTCTTGTTCAGTCATGATTCTCATAAAAAGGTCGAAAGGACCTCGGCCGTTCCGTTCTCATTTGGCAGTCCAGCGCCCGGCTGGAGGACGAAAAGGCGAGTCTTTCATGGCTTGACTTGTCCTGGCCGCAGAATCGAGACCATAAAAATGCCTCCCAGAAGCATACTTGTTATTTCATGTTTTGTTTCCCACAGTTCGGGGGCTGTAAACGCATATGCCGACTTATCCAAAGTCGCATCGCACCAAATCGAAGTCCTTCCCACTCCCTCTCACATCAATGAATGCAAAGAAGCAAGAGCAGAAGTTTCTAGTTCAACCACCACTCAATCCCACTGACGCGTCCATCTCCTGTTCCATCGGTGATGGCATTGAACAGCGCGTCCGTACAATCGATCGCTCGGCCCACGCAGCCCATGCACTTATCCCCGACGGTCGCCTGGACGGTGGTGCCCGATGTTGGATTGTACAATGTCACGGAGCGTCCACAGTACGGGTTTCCATTCGACTGGGTACCCATGAATGCGAAAGGCAAGGCAATCGCCATGTCGCTGCCCGTGTTGACGGTCCAGCCGCACGCGCCGAGGCCTAGAAAAATACATTGTCAGCCGGAATTCGACGGAACCATGGCTCAACTAAAGGCAAAACTTACCACCATCCCAATGGGTAACGTCACCTTCACAGGCGGCACCTTGTCCCTCGCAGCTTGCGCTGTCGGAAGCGGCGATGTCCTTGGCTTGGACATTGACGGAGGAGGCAGACGCTGCAGGGGAAGCAGCAGCAGAAGAGGACGAAGAGGCAACCGGTGCAGCAGAGGAAGACCAGGCGGTGGCATCGGGAGAGTAAGCTGGCGAAGACACAGCAGCAACAGTCGCCATGGTTGAAGGAGAGTAAGAAGTTTGCGCAAAGACTGCTGCCGCGCTGGTGGTCGTGCTGGCAACGGCAACGGGGATCGTCGATATGGTGGAAGAGGAAGAGGAGCTGGTGGTAGCAGCCACAGGAGCAGGGGTGGCAGAAGCGGCGTCGAGCCAAACGGTGGTGGTCTCTTCGACGGTCACCCAGACAATCTCGGTGTCAGTGTGAGTGTACATGGCGCGAACGTCGAGGCGAGGAGCGGCCATGGTCAAAGGAGCGAGCAGCGATGCTGCGAGGATGATGTTCTTGAGTCCGGCCATTGTAAAGGGATTGGTCAGTGAGCTGGAAAAGGATTGGTCGTTTGACTGAGGTCGAAAGGACTGGAGATCTGGCTCTACAGTTGTTGAGTCTCTTGATGGACTAGTAACAGAAGGAATGTCGAGCAGCGTCAAGCTAGAGCTATTGTCGCGATGACCGGGTGTGTGATGGTGGAAAGGATGCGGAAGAGGGACGTCAAGTCCTGACAACAAGGAAGGGATCTGGGAGATAGTGAGCGTAAGTGAAAGAAAGAGAGTAGTCACTGCTAGTGAGCGGACAAAGAATGACCAGGTAGATAAAGAAGAGAGTGTGTGAAGTGAGTGCCGGGAAAAGAATGAACGAAGAGATTTTTTCGTTGCACCCAACAGCGAACAAAGAACGAAGATATGGTGGATGCTGGATGGCCAGGAATGGCACTCGTCACCTTGCGTCCAGGAGCAGGAGAGACTTGACTCCCTTGAGGAGGAGGATGAAGGATGGTCGATATGGACATCCCCATTGGTTACCTCCTCCCCCAGGCCGCCTGTATAGTTCTCCATCTCCTTGCATGTTGAGAGCCTGTCTGTCAAACTTCGTTTGCCCTGTTGCGGTTCCTGCTGCCGTGGGCACTGGGCAGTGGGCACTCAAAGGAAAATGCAGCCGTCGAGGCCAGGGGTTTCGGCTGAGGAAATTCGGCAGAAACACAGGATCAGGGCTAGCCCACCAGCCCCAGTCGCGAAGGCCCGGGAGCAGGGGATGGCAGCCGAAAGGACTCAGTTGGCTTTCGCTGGTGGCGTAGGGGAACATCGTGGCGCCCGCCGAAACGCAAACAGCCCATCAGAGCCCAAGCACCCGATGGCACCTAGCAAGGGGGCTTCCAATGCTGGCAAGTGGGCCTTGATGGGCCTTTGTCGCCTTTGTCTGGCTCCCACCACGCGATTCGTCCGGCCTGTGAACGGGGGCTCAGGAACACCCGGTTCTAGGCCATAACCGTACAAGCGGTGATCAGATCTTCCCCTGGTACCTGAGCCCTTTCTCGGCTGCCAGCGCGTGTGAACGTTGTGCGTGTGTGTGCCTGACAGGCCATGAACCAACTTAGCATCCAACGATGGGGTTTCTTAAGAGCTTGCATTTGCAGCTCAGTCCACCATACGACCATACGACCTGCAGTCCACAGTGTCAATATTCGACTAACGTGCGCAGTGCTCGATACTGCGCAGGACTCCCACTCGCGATCGTGGACACCACCCAGGACACCGCATCCTTCTACTCGTACGCTTTTAACAGCCGGCCACGGGAAAACCGCGCATCGAATGACAGTCCACGCCTGCTCATGCAGGAACCACCGCGTTTGCAGTGCCGAATGCGCATGTGCGAAGAAAAAATCCTGCACCACCGGGCCAGAAATCCCACGGAGAATCCAACTGCATTTTTCATCACTGTGGTGCTGCCTTCATGTGAAAATTTCTTGTTGAGGTCTCAACCGGCCTGCAACATTGTTGGGCAACACACCTACGTTCTTCGGTTTCGCCAAGTTCACGATATGTACTGTAGGTACAAGAAGTTACCAAGCCCCTGGTACACAGCTTAGAGTCTCTCACTTTGACAGAGTCTGTGCGCAACGACCGATATCGAAAGGCACAGCTGCTCTGGGCTGCGCACGGTGCGATGATCCTTCAACCCGCGTTGACCGGTAACTCGGCCACATCCGGCATCTAGAATATGCAAGGGTCTGGATTCTATACCCACAGCCCGTGCCGCTGCTGCCCAGTAGGGTCGAGGCTGTTGTTCTGTATACTACGCAGACTCAACAGACGACAATATTCCAACGGCTGCAAAAGTCGTGACGAGAGCATGCAGATGCAATTATCTCATGTTCTCGGGTTTCTCACGGTCCACAGAACAGAAGCCTGCACTGTTTAGAAAAGTCGCTGGTCGTCGGGCTCTTGCGACGGAAAGTCCAACATGATGTAAGACTGATTGCACAGGTTAGGCTTTTAATGAATCTGCCGCGTACACATGACACTATGCGATTCAACATCGCTTGAACGCAGCAAATCAGAGCAAGCAAGAGGACTCCCCAGCATGTCGAAGCCTTTTTCAAATCTTTTTCATCATGGCATGATAATCATCCAGGTGGTCATCGTGTCTTCCTGCCCAATGTGGCCGGTGCCGGCGAATAATGTCCGAATCATCATTTCCGATATTAGAAGGGCTGCGTGGCAGCACCTCAGTGCCACTTTTGGTGTCACTGCCCGCTTCAGATGCTTCGTCGGTCGGCCAAAGCGGTAGCTCTCCAACATAGCCCCTAGACGGACGTATTTGAAGTGGTGCTGGTTTGTCGAGTTGGATCTTTTCGTCTGCAAAGTCCACGGTCAACACAGGTGATATTGGGCTGCTGGTACGATCACTGCTGCCATGTTTTTCGACGTGTTCAATTTGAGGGCGAGGGCCGACATCCAGAGCAGAAGACCCAGTCGACCGCTGTGACTTCTCACGCGTCGCCAGTATGCTCCCAAGTGCATGTTTTCGGCTTCCGTCGTTGAATTTCGAACTTTCTTGGTCAGCAAGCTCTGGCAATGCTCGTTGCGTCTTTGACTTGTAGACTGGGTCCACCTGGACTCTAGCGGCCGGCACCAAGTTGAGGTAGACCGGGAAGAGTGCCCCAATCACTGCCGCGGTTAGAGGAACACAATATGCGTATCGTAAACCGTGGCCATTGCCCACAGCCCACATGATAGGAGGAAACGCCGCACCTCCGGAAATCGCCGCCGTCATGAGAGCCGACCCGGTCTTGGTGTGATATCCCAATCCACGCATTGCAGTAGCATATGTGTTGCTGAAAATCCCCGATTCGAAGAGGAATGAGAGCAACCCAACGGCTGCGGCACTGTTTGCACCTAGGTGCATTTGAAGGGCTAAGCAGGTGATGAGACCTACGTAAAGGCCCGTGAGAACCAACCGAGGCTTGAACAGATAGTCGAGAAATGCCGTCAGAAATCGACCCGCCATGAACACCGTGTGCCCTATGGTCGCAAGATCAAAAGAAGTCACATCAGTTCGTGGTTTGACTAATTGGATCAAGGCTTGTAGGCTGCCGCCAATGCATTCTTGTTCCCCCACGTAGCACCACTGGCTGAACACACCTATGCCGAGAGTAACGTAGACGACCTTCCAGGGACCAACAGTGGCGCTATAAGCAGCACTTCGACGGTCGGCCAGCTCCTCGAGTTGTTCATCGTTTGCCTCGGGAAGAGGAATGTAGTAGAAGGCCACTGCGAGGGCAAAATCAAAGATAGCAATTCCTAGGTATGTCCATTGAACGTTGACAAGCGAAGGAGCGTTGAGTACATTGTCAAAGAGGACCTTGGTCGCCAGCAGTGGTGAGCAAACCGTCCCGATGGCTTGAAAAGCTTGCGATATGTTCAGGCGGACTTCAGCATACTCCAGAGGTCCGCAGAGAGTCGTATACGGATTGGCGGCAATTTCGAGGCACGAAAGGCCCATCCCAACTAGGAAATTCGAGATAACGAAGGCGGAATACGAAGTCAGCACTGCTGACGGCCAGAAAACCAGAGTGCCGCAACCGTAAACACAGAGACCGGTGATCATCGAAGCTTTGAAGCCATATCTCTTGATGATGAAACGTCCCAAGGTCAGTGGGCCGACCAAATAACCCGCAAAATACGCAGAATGAAGGCCTACTCCTTGGCCAGAAGAAAGGTTGGCGATCTGCTGAAACCTCGAATTGAGAGTGCTTAGAAATCCGTATGCCAGCCCCCACAAGAAGAAGATCACTGTTATGACAGCAACGGGCCAGACGCTCTCTCTGTTTGTAAGTTTGAGCATGTTCCTGCTCTTGTACATCTTGACGAACCCGAAATCGGACGTGGCTGTTCTGGCGTTACTCCTCCGTGACATGCTAGTAGACATCCGAGAGAGCTGAGCCATATTTTCATCCGGAGGTTTGGCCAGCATATTAAGAAACCCCATTCGATCTCCCTCGTCGTCCCCACAGTACTCTTTCGTGGTGGGTGGCCGGAATGCAGCCGGATTATTGACCATCGAGATATTGCCCCTTGGTAGGTTGGAAGTTGGGAGGTTGACGCTGCTGTCTTGTGTCTGCGTATCTCCAATGTCCCTGATTAGACGTGGCAGAAACCGCAAAAACAAAGGTTTCAAACTAGGCACACATGCGCAGATGATTCCCGTGCAAACTTCGACGGCCGACCACATGAAGCTCAAGCTGGCATACCAAGAGAAGTCGTTCTCCTCGACAATGCGACTGCTTGAACCGCTATCTGACTTGACAAGCTTGAGCCGATTCAGCGCTGCATCCTGCAGATAGGCGATCCGCACGACGTCTACTGCAGTCACGAAAGCTCCGGCGCTGAAAGTCAAGACCAGGATTATCTTCTGCTTGAGAGGAAGTCGCATCTTTGTGAGAATTGGCATCGGTAACATCAAAAGAGCGATATCTGTGATGATGTTGACAGGAGCGGACGACAGATATAAGGTGACTATGTCGGTGCATTTGGCGTCCGTCGGCCTAGGATAGGCCCAGCCAGCAGCGACTGGCCGACACTGGAAGATGTTGTAAAAGGTGAGAGCAGCGCCAACGGCGTTCACCACGGTTAGAGTCAACCAATTGCACCATTTGAAGATGGGATCGGCGTCCCTAGACATGACCGACAAGAAGAATATGAGGATGGATGTCTTGGTGAGCATGAGAGCCGGGTTGTACAAGATCGAGAATGCATATTCGGCCTTTCGTAGCGAGTCGAATACATCGTCGGGTATATTGTCCTTGTGCTTTCCCAGACCATACTTGACGGCAATGCATATCGAGGCAGAGAATCCCACTGCGACCACCCACGCTGCCAGTATCCACCAGTCGTCTTGTTTGATGGATTTGACCAGCCAAATCCTTGTGTAAAACCGAGCGACGACGAAAAGAGTGGCCAGGATCGTTATTACAATGGTGACGGCCGATGTTGTCGGCCCGCGGTCGGGTACCATTTTCCAGATCGAGTCAAAGCTTGTCGATTTCGTCCACGACACATTCTCAACACGGCCTTGGTATTTGCTGTTGGATACAGGTGCCCATGGTAGCGCTCAGAGTCATCTCGAATGCCACTTTCTTGCAAGACTTGCAATGTTTCCGAGCGTGAGGCACGAAAGCAGTTTGGGTGGCGATATTATTGAAGGCAGTGAGAGTTGACACTCGCGACAAGAGAAGAAGAAATGGAGACTCGGTGGCAAGAGCACCGGAGAAATGCTCAAAGGTTTACCTTTAACTTTGGCGGCAATTACAGCAGTACTGCCACATGACAGACTGAAGTCAGCATTGGCCCCGAAGTTGTGCAGGTCTGCGGGAGGAGAGTTGGCTAAAGCCATCTGCTTATACGACAGCTTTTCACGGAGTTGAGAGGAAGGTCACCGGCCGCCCTTTCGCGGAGAAAACAATGATGACATCTTCGGGGTTATTGTCTGGGGAAGAGGATCGAAAGATCTGGCTTTGGTTGGTGAGAAGTCTTCGGTTCGGCGAATCTGGCGAGAGGAAGCCTGCAAACCCCTGCAACCTGGACATGAAGCGGGGAAACTCCCAGTGGTGAAAACGTGCCACTCTCGTACCCGTAGTCCCTCGTCGTGAGGACGGCTTTTCTTTGGCTACTAGAGATCGCACCATGATGCAGAGGCACTCCTCATACCCGCCGTGGCGGAGAAACTCTTTAGGTGGTTCTCTCATGTCAAGTTTGCGTACCTAGGTAAGCCTTTTTGGTAGCGAAATCGACCTGGACAAGTCCGCTGGCCAGCTACGCAGAAGCTCGCAACATCAACCAACGTCTTGAATAATACAAGGTCGAGTATCTTCGATTGTTGTGAACACTTCAATAAGATTCGCATGTATGCCACGTGCCACCTCGTGGAAGCAGAAATAGGAAAAAAGACTGCTCTGGAACATCTCCCGTGGTCCAAGTGCGCACGGACAATCAACATGTCTTGCGCAACGCCTTCAATTATTGACGGTCTTGACCTGATAAAAATATGCAGAACGCGCAACAGTTGGCTCTGACTTGTGAGCGGTGCCCAGTTGTTGTCTAGCTACCGAGTAGCCGGCTTCTTGATTGTTTCACGATGCCTCGCATCTGTATTTCATCCCATGCCGTTCCACACTGCTCAAGTGTCTGCTTCGAAAAGTCTCGTTTGCTGCGACCTTTGTGCATGGATACCGTGCATGACCTCCGTCTGTCACCGCATCGGATGAAGATACAATGTTGAGGAAGCGTACTGCGTTTGAGCTGATAGCCTGGTTCAGCTGGATGACCCTGTAAGAGATGCAGTTTCTCAGGGAATAGCGAGGCCCACGGGGAGTGTTGTGCATCGACTCTGTTCAACTCCATGACCAATCCACTCCACCTTGTCTTTCCCGGTTGCGGAACATGTTTGCCGGCGGCAAGTCATCGTAGCCCCGAGCGATGTGAAAGAGCTATGAGGATGTCGATTGAGAAGTATCATACACAGACATACCATATGCTGCTATACAGGACGTGTAGATGGCGGGATATCACTGACCATGTAGGCTTCGTATGAAGCTAGCGGATGGACGTAAACGTCGTACTGTCCACCGAAGCTCACAGCGTTTGTACGTCGCGCAAGCGATCAATTTTCTTGAGCATGTCCTTCTTTCAGCTTCTTCAGCGCACCCCGGGCACGATAGCCTTCGAGAATGCTTTCATTTTCAGTTCGAGGTGTGCCTACTTCCTCCTTTTGCTCTGAACCTAGAGGTCTGGCTTGTTTATCGGTTAGCATCTTGGACTCTTGCTTGTCCGCCGCTCTGACATCTACAAAGAGTTGCATGCCAGAAGTGCCTTCGACCTGTTCCAGCACTCCATGTCTGCGTAAGCTCTCACGTCGCATGTCAAGCTGACCACCGTCGGCTTCGCGGTGCAGTTTTGCATTTCTCTTCGCGGCTCGGATCGAGGTGACTGAGTAGGTATAGAGCAAGCCGGCCATAATGACGGCTGCGATAGGAGCGGTGATTGTCTAAGAGGAAGTGAGCTTCTGATCTTGGTCAGTCCAGGAAATATGGTTCACTTACTCGAGGGTTGAATACGGAGCCTCTAGGCTTCATTGGAGGCGCCATCGTAAGCAGACTCCTCACACAGCCAGTTCATGTATACCCTGCAGCGGATGAGAATGGTCGATGTGTATACGGAGTACCGTGATCACTATCCCGACCGTGAGGAGTGGCCTGAGAAGCCTCGTTAATTTCAAGGCTGATGATTGGACCATCTCCGCAATTGATCCTGCTGCCTGCGTTGACCATATTATGTCAGCACCGAAGGCATTATCACTTGGGTAGCAGGGCTTAGGAACTTCTACAAGGCACACGAGGTCATATCGGATATTTGCTCTGACTCGATTCTTCTGTATCCCTACCGTTGTTCTTCCTTGCCCAGGCATGTGCGTCGAAGGGTTGACAATAGAGCCCATCGTCTCCCTCCCACAGCTTTCACATACCTGCCATCACAGAAGCTCCTAGTACTCCGTACAGTATGGATAATCGTTGCCCCCATTTTGCAACTTGTCGGAGCTTTCGTCGAACTTGTGGAGTCGATTCGCCGTGGTCCTTTCCACTCGTGATTCCTGGTCTCCTCCAAAAGAGTCGGAGTTGACCAACGATTGCTTGCATCACAGCAAGTGGTGTTCTTTCAACATCAAGAAGAACCCATTATCTACTCAAATAAGGTACAACAAAAGGACCTCTCAAGGTTATGAGCTTGATGGTGGAGACCCCTGCTTCGGTTCTCGGAGAATGGGTACGGCGAATACGAGGTAAGGAACACACGGGAATGTCAGGGTCGTTGGCCTGTACTACTATGTGCCTGGTGCATTGGCCCAGTCTGACGTGGGAGGCTTTGCTGACCTCATCGTCACGCATTGCTTTGCACCATCTTGTCCCGCTATCTCAACCATGTCAAATCATTGTGTTTTCCTGCGCAAAAAGCGGATCAACTAGGAGCTGTCGAGGTATAGTCGATATCTGCCACGAACAAATCAAGCGAATCCGCTCGATAACATCACTACCTTCAATTTCGACCTTGGACCAAACAGGCGCGACCATTCTTGCCCGTCGTGTGATCCCGTCACAAAAGGCCCGAAACTTGGTCAAAAAGGAACTGGTCCTGAAAGTGTCGAGATTTCTGCTCGCGCTCACCACTACCGCTTTTGCTGATCTGGTGGCTGATTGCGCCCTCTTCAGTACGAACCTTTATCTCCCAATCAATCGCGATTATCTCGAATCTTCCCTTTCACCAAACCTGAACATATTTCGCTCCACAGCCACCTCAGGAGCGATCCCTGGTCCTTAAAAAGACATCGACATCAACATCAACCAGAAGAACCTATCGGGCGATATTTCAAATTCCCTTCTCCATTGCCACATTAAACCCCCGAACGGACTTGACGCCTATCAACCTACACAGCAGAATTGCGCTGCCTGCTACTACAGGAGCAAGAACAGGCATACCCTCGTCATCAAGGCAACAATCTTCTAGAACGATCTGAGAGTACATCGGCGTTTATCATCAGAACTGCTACTTTCTTCCTCAACAACCGTCGGTCAATTCCCTCCCACTTCACAATAACGAAACCCCGCCTTCTCCGACTCGCCCGAGGAATCGCAAACAGCAAAGAACATCAGAGGCAAAACTCCAGCCATGACGTCCCTTATATTTGGCACCATTTACATGGGCCACAAGGGCTTTGTGCACCACAGGCGTGAAAAGCAGCGAAAGAAGAACTACGAACGCTGGGAAGGTCTGAGGGACGAATACGACGAGCAAAGAAAGATAAGCCGTGAATCAAGATCTTTGGACATTCAGCGAACTGGAGATGGCTACGATCATGGTGACGGCCGGCCCATCCTTACTCTGCGTGACCAGCAAGAAGCCGGTGATGCCCGAACTGGATGGCGGCCTCAGGAAGCTTTCGATGGTCCCAAGCTACCCGCCCCTGACAACCGTCGGTTAAGTGTGGAGGTGACCTCTGGCTCGAACTTGAGACCATTGACAGGGCACAAGACTGGAGCCACCTGGGACGAAGGTCTTCCACAACCCTTGAAAGTGACCCGGCGCAACTGGGACGACCATCAGAGCCCTGTCAGTGCAGATGTGAGCCGGAGTAGCAGTCTACGACATGCCACCAACAGCGCCAATACCCCCAACGACAGGAGCTCAAGCAACACGCCATCGATAAACAGGGCTTCACCTCCCCCTGCTATGGCAGCCCCAACAAGTGCCTCTCATCCACATGCCTCGAGGAATTTCAGCACGCCAGCGAGCATCCCACATTATGAGAATACCGATCCGGTCGAGTTCGACATTCCTGGGGGTCCCATGGCTGAATTGATCTCTCCTCACAGGCCAACGCCATATATGAACCATCAGCCACCGCAGACCTATGCTGGTTATCAGTCAAACCCTTTCATGAACCAGGCACCAACCCAAGCCCCAGCACCAGCCCCAGCACCGATCAAAGTACAGCCTACCTCGGCGGAGTTCTGGGACAGGCCATGAGACTGCCTGCGGGCAAATCTCGACATGTATCTCGTCATGGATCAAATTTTTGAATAGCGATGGCGTTAATACTGGAGTTGAGCCTTTTTTAATTGGACGAAATGATGTGGTCGCTTCTGTCGAGTCGAGTCGTGGAGAGGCCATCTGGAATGCATTTTGTGAGAGGTCTTGGAGCCTAGAAGCATCCTGTCTACAAGCATTACTGCATCCTAGAGAGTGTCCACAGAGAGGTCTCTGTAGAAGACCCCTTTGGCAGGGGAAAGGTAGTCACTGCACATACAATCACGAAATAGGAAGTATATATGCAACCATCTATTCAAGCAAGCCATTGGGATTTACTTAGCAAGCACCTTCCCTTTTGTCCAGAAGTGCATATCCCCATTGATACCCAGGCAGGCGATATGAGTCGTTCAGGTGTGAGCGCCGAAAGATGGCGGTTTCGTCGCAAGATATGCTTTAATCTGCCGGGCAAGAAACGCGTCTGGCGACTGGCAACATTAACAAGCAGACGAACAGCAGAGACGAAAAGAACAGCCCTGGATCAAAGTCAAGCTGCAAGGTCGGGGCCGAGGTCGAGGTCAAGCACGTTATGATACTGTATTAGTGTACCTGATCCCATGAACCTGAAGTCGCTGTAACTGCCGCCCGAGAGTGAGAGACATATTGCTAGTCCAGAAGCAGAACCAGAACATCGACGGCGACGGTTCTTCTTTTCTTTGCAATACATGAACAAACACCAGGGACCGCCAACCCCGAACCCACCCTGACCCATAAGCTAATGACATGAACAAAGCGCTTTTTCCTTTGTTGCGACAAAATCTTCATGGTGACGTTTAAGCTGCGTTGCCTGGTTTTTCTTCCGTGTCGATGTGCTATATTACCACTTGTCAGTACACAAGTCCCGTTTATGGTGCTCACAGGCAGAAGGGTTCACGCTTCAAGACCACTGGTATGGAGTGGAGAGGAGAACAGAGGAAACATACCCAAACAACATAATTCGGCAATCCGTAGACTTTATATCCAGCTCTCTTTGCCATTTTTGCGAATCCCTCCGTCTCGGCTTGATTTTCGAACGGGTAGCATGGGAAGTTGATGCCTGCTCAGATTGTCAGCAATCCAGCCCATATACCTCTTTTCCAAAGCCATCCTTGAGAATGGGGCTTGAGAGGAAGTCAACTCACCAGATCTGTGGACATCCGCCTTGACCAGGATATTCACCCCGCCAATACCGTCCAATTCAATCTCTTCATCCTTGTTATTTCGCCAATCGCCCATACGTGCCATGTACGTTCGCCCAGTGTCATACTCCTTGTACCCTTCGGCGAGAACGACATCCTTGTCCAAACTGTTTGCTAGACGTCGACCTTTATCGGACTCGACCCACGAATTGTAATCGAATCGGCCTTCAATGTCGCGACCATTTTCGTAGCGGTGGAACCAGATATCTATTCATCATCCATTAGCTTCACTCCAGAAAGATGAGAAATTTTCAGCTTCGCGGAAGCGACAGGACAGGCTTACTCGGCACCAAAATATCTCTGTCATGTGCGACAAAGTCCTCAATGATCTTCTTCGGACTGTCCACGATGTCCACATCGCGCCAGTACACCCAGGAGTGTTCAGGCTTCAACGCTGCGTAGAGCAGATAATTCCGTGCTCTTCCCATAGCTTTCCGTCTAGGTCCCTGCGCCGCAAATCCATGTCTCGACTCAACATCCATATTCAGCTCGGAACCGAAGTCTTTCTCGACAATCGTCACGCTATGGAAAGGAATCTTATCGGTTCTTTGCTGTATCCTGTTCACCTCCGACGACAAGACTGCCAGTGTATCGTCCGTCGAGTCGCCGACCAGAAACGCGAGATCGATCAGGTCATGCGGATATGTCAGCTCGTAGATCAGGTCGAAGTACTTCATCAAGTACGGTGCGGCGTCTCGCAGGGGTGTAAGGAGTAAGACTCGTTCACGGTTGCTCACTGCGCGCGAGGTCGACTGGATCGGGTTCAAGTCGATCCGCTGGATGGTGCTGGAGTTGATTTCGTAAGGCTCGTGGTGGTTGAACAGCACAGGCGTCTGGAGGTGCTGGGTCCATGCCACCATTTCATTATTTGACAATTGTGTCGGGGGCTTCGATGGGCCGAAGCAGTAAAAACTAGATTGTCCAGTCAGTATGGAAACCACCTGCTGTTGGCATAGACATACTTTGACATCTCTCGTGTTGATACAGTGATTCCTCTCCATAATAGGACAATGAGCCCGGTTAGGGCGACCGCGACCAGGAAACGTGTGCGGGTCAAAAACATTAATATGGCTTTCCATGGTGGTAACCTGGCTTTGGCCGACTTCCAGGTCACGCCGCCTTTGGGTAGAAGCATCGTTGCAATGTAGACAATCTCAACACGAAGTGAAGGCTGGAACGAGGAGAGCGACGGCGAAATCGCCTCGCTAGGAGGACGTCGTCAAAGCCGTGGCCAGATTGAGGTGCGATAGGAGGAACGAGCGAAATGGCCTGCGCGAGGCCAAAAGGAGGAGCGGAGCGCAGGTGCGGGTGAGACGGCGGAGCGATTGTCAGGAGATGAAGCGCAACTCGATCGGATCAGGGCGATGAGGCGGCGGAGCTGGAGCCGGAGGTCTAGGTCAGCTCGCAGGACAGATGAACAGGTGAGGATTGTCCGGGATGAAGGTGTCGTTCGTTTGGTGGTTGAGGATAAGGAAATGGTATCAACGCAGTCAGTTGAGAGATGGCTCCATGGCCAGCGGTGGCCAATCCTTTTCCACGACCACATGGAAAAGCTGCCGCCAAATGCGGTTTAGTTTCTACAGTGCTTGAAAAAGGCCACCCGAGTGACCCAACAGCTGAAAGAACCAAGACACCGCACGCGTCGCCGTGTTTCACATCTTCTACTACTTACTACATCGTACTCCGTATTTCTGAACAATCATCCGATTATGGCCAGTTATAGTGAACCTATCGAAAGACTGGACCAAACAACCCGTCATTGACGCGTCGTGGACCAGCGGGATAACTGTATCTCGCTGACATGTCACCTTGCTCGTTCATTCGATCCATCATCACTCGATACGGCTTCAATCTCGAAGCACACTGGAAGCACAATCAATGACAACATGGGAAACCCCCGAGATTCTGGAACTGGATCCGGTAGGATTTGTATGTGTCCGTGTTACTGCAAAAATGCGCCGGTGCATGGGGAAGTTGTACGATTCACCTTCAACCCCGACAGCCACACTGTACAATAGCCCTTCAACGCACATCCTCCCCCTTGACATTGCCGAGCACACACCAAGAGCTTGGTGGTGACGGTGAGATGCTTCGCGACGACGTCGAGCATCCCTCCTCTTGAATCTCCTGTGACGTCTCCGTGGGCTGCTTGTGGCCGGCGTCGTTCGACTGCCAGAGCTTTCACTGCTCCTTATCCAGGTCGGCCTCTGTCCCTGCTCCGAATCACTCTGGCACCGCTTGATGCTGGCCAACGCGTTATGAGCTCTTGGGACGAACGGGTGAAACCCCCAGACATTTTGCCTTCTGCGAATGCTGCTTGTCGTGCCCAGTTGTCGGAAGAGCAGTTGCCACAACCTTGGAACAATTGCTTCTGCTCGTTTGCGCCCATCATGCTCTAATTGAACCACCCTTGCACTGAACTCGTGCGCATATATCGCCGCATAAAACTGTTCGTCTTTTCCGGAACCCTGGGCGCTTTGAAGTTTTCCCATGTTCTCTTTTGCTTCCTCCTTCTTCAGCTTTGCATGCTCCTCGCCACATCGAAAAGGGACTTCCGGGCATCGCAGGTCACTGACCCTCTGGCACTCTCGATGCCGACAGCGCCTTTTTTGTTCGATTTCGGCATGATTCGCCGACTGCTGCTTTTGTTTCTGCCACTTAACGAAGCCAGCGTGGTCCAATGCCTTTCTCGCGTCTGCTTCTTCTTGACCAGCTGGCTTACGGTTGTTTACCTTTCGAGCATAAGGGATTCGCTCGCCATAAGGTTCTCGCTGTCCATCTCGAAGAAAAATTCTTGAACAAGACCATCTCGATCGAGCCTCAAGATTTCTTGTTCTAGTCTTGTACCGTACTCGTTGCCCTTAGCCATAGGCTTATACCACCCTTGCGCATATGGTGGCGCCACGGAGTTATCGAGCATCTCGGAAACACATCGGACAACAGTGCTAATGTCGGGGTCCGGGTGATTGATGAGGTCTTCCAATCTCTCAAGTACGACATCGATATCACTGCGGTTGGGTGGTGCATGATTGACCAATGCTGGAGACGGGAGTGGGTCTTTGAAGAGTAAGGCATACAGACTTTGATCCTCAAGTTCCTCTCGGCATAATGCTGTTGCCAGTTTGCACAGCATCCCCCATTTCCGATCATCGTAGGGTCGCTCGAAACCCTGTGGTCCTGCATGGCGCGGACTTGGTGGCATATGACTCTCATCCGCCACACAGCGACGCAAGGATGGCGAGAGAGGGATGCTTCCGATTAACTCAGAAAAGCTGGGCAACGTGGGTTGCAAATCTAAGTGTGACATCGTGTGTTTGTTTTCGTATATTTTGTTGAGAGTCGTGGTCAAATATCTGAGAAGAGTATGAACAAAGCCTGCACCGTGCGAAGCTGCAGAATTGGACAGTGGCCTGCTGGTTGTGTAGAATTGTGTCTGTAGCTGATTCTGGGGAAGGTCGTGAGTAACGGGATTAGATGGTATATTCTTCACAATCGGTCCTGGAAAAGAGTATGGTGGGAAAGGAGCAAGACAGGTATCCAAGGCAGGAGCGTGCAAACCCACAACATGCGATTCCAACGATATATATGTATGAGGATTCCAGTCCGCCAGGACCGTTGCATCTTGGACGCGACTTGACCTAAAGGAAGCAATGTACAATCCCACTCCACAACTCGCCACAGTTTGGGATTCACGAGCTGATTTCCATTTCCGACACCACGGATGTCATTAGAGATCGGCCCACAGTTCCCGATACGAAGCACTTGCCGGCGTCTTCGGTCAATAACTTACTCGTCCCGCGGTGAATGTAAACTTGAGATGAACCTCTCAACTACTACGTAGGTGTGTAGTAGACGCAAAAGGACGGATGGGACCGTCATGATCCAACCCGGGGATGTTTGTACGACCACGGCCCAGGACTAGAGCATCTCGTCGGCCAATTTGGAATCAAAGTGGATCGGACTGCCCAACTTCGTCGGCTGAGTCGGGATTTGCTAAACAGGGCTTTGGCACCTTCGTTCTCTCAACTGTGTAGATCAGAGACCCAAGTCGGCAAGGACGGCGTGCCGCACTCATGGATCTCGGTCACGAAGAGGAGGCATGTTGGCCTTGTTCTTACTGGCCGCGATACCACGACAGATCGTCCGCTCGTGTTGTTGTCCTGCATCGCTCGGATGACATGCAAGCCTCTCGGCTTGGTGCAATAGTCCGGATCCAAGTTTCGCCTGTGACTCGGGGTCTTCGCATAAAGCTGCCCAATCTCTCGCCCAGACTGTACCCTGCCAATGGCCCGCCCAGGATTGGGGAGGTAGATCCGTACATGAGATCCTAGGTTACTCGTAGAAGTCGAGTTCCATTGAGCATGACAAGGGTTGATCCTGGTTCGTAGCCGGGATGGGAGCCTCATGGAACCAGTCATTTTCCAAGGCCGAACACGATACGACACCGTGCAAGCCACTCACTACTTCAGGTATTCTCTGACACACAGGGCTAACTTGGTGTATGCAATTTCCGGCCTCATCGGCGCATGCCAGCTTCGATTTGTTATTTAGAGTGAATAACCAAGGGAGCCACAAGTGGCGGAACGGACAATGATCGATATCAGTAGATTCCACGCTCAAAGAGATACAGGGTATATGCGAACGACTGTTGCAACCCGCCGAGTCCGCCTCTTCATGTACGTGAACTTTGCATGTCAAATTAACAAGAATCGTCTGGACAGTAATGAAAGTCCTGGTCAACCGTCCTGCCATCTTGGAAGGGCGATTCCATTCTCACGGTTCTTCACCATCATTGGATCAAAGAGTCATCGACGTCCGAAGGCGCATTAATACCGTCCTACTCGCCACTTTGGCCCTCTAATAGTGTTCTCGACGCATCCAACCTTCTTCTTAGGATTTTTGCGGCATGGATCTCGTGCTGTCTCTCCGCCTTCAAGATCTGATTGCATACACCCCCCACAGCTCGCAAAAGCTCGAGGACAAGATCCTTGTCGATATCTGTAAACGTCACAGATCCTTGCCCGTCGACTATCTTGAACTCAGGATCTGCAAGTTTGATCAGACTCTCCATAAGGATTTCCGTATTGGCCGGATGGTCGATCGTGGCCTCATTCGATGGACCATTGTCACCTTGAACGGATCTAGGCGACGTTGTGAAAGCCATATTCGGAGAGTGTGCAGGAGGAGTCGGTATCCCATTGGTAACCACAGTCACCTGGCTTTGAATTTTTCGTGGCGAACCAATTTGTGTCTGTTGAACTCTGCCACTCATTGGCGGTGTTGGCCATATTGGCATTGTCCTTTCGGCTCCGGGGCTTTTCGGGGGCTGAGGGAATCCTATGTCATTTCCCCATCCCAGGATCGCACTCGGCACCCCATCCTCGCTATGACCCTCTCCACCCGTATCACCCTCAGTAGCAGTCGCGAAAGTGGCGACGGTCGACACGGAATCCATGCTATTACTGCGTGCAGCCTTCATCCAGGGTTTCGGAGGTGCTTGCAAGTAAGTTGTCGGATGAGGCCGCACAAGTGGCCTAGAAAAATGTTCAACGACTGGTGTTGGTGTTCCTGAACTTTCTCCGGCGTCTCTCTCTTCTGTCTGTTCTTCATCCTCCTGGTCTTCAGGGGTTGGCGTATTCTGATCGACTCGAGTTGTGGACACGCTGCTATTGTCGCTTTCGCTGGGACTCTCGCTTCGGGTCCCTGTTCCGGTGTAATTACCCAAAGCACTGTGGAGGAACATGTTTTCATAGTCAAAGGCATCATATCGATCTTCGTGCCGTTCTGCTCCTTGTTCGGACGTCAAGAGATGATCGGGAACTTCGGGAACTTCTGGCTCGATCTCTTGCAAGCTTTCCTCCAGGACCTCGTTCAAGTAAATCTGCTCTTCGTCTGAAGCAGCGATTGGCTCTTCCTCGTCGAACTCTTGGGCTGCATCCTCATAGAGTGACTCCTGAACGACGGAACCTGATTCATCGACTGCAGGCGAGAGCACATTGACAGATTTGTGCAGGCTCGGAGTGTTTTTATCTGTTCTTGCCTCGCTCAAAAGCCTTGAATCGTTAGTTGCCGGTTGTTCGATATTGAGAAATTTCTGTGCGGGCGGGGTGACGGGTGTAACCTCGATTTCTATAGACTTTTTGTGCTGCGACGGACTCCAGCCCATGCCCGCATTCGTATTGAGCGGACTGCCTGCTTCCTTGTACTCGGGAGCACCCGCGTACCATTGTTCTGGCGTTTGCGCATTTGTGAAGGGGCTAGGGGTCCTCAAGCTCTGCAAACTGCGTCGCTTCAGACTATCGGCGTGAGCCTTCTCTTTCAGGTCCGATATCCTGCTCCGTAGATCGGTCATTTGTTCTCGAATCTCTTTCGTGGACCTGATCGACATCTGCGAGGGCGAACGGGCGATAGCAGTACTTGGACTGCTGGAGAGGATGGACAGATCCTCCCTTGAGATAGCAGCTAAAGTATTGATGCCCAGCCCTCTTGGTCCAGATGATTCAGGGGAAGTCTTGCTGGTGCTGGGCGTGCTTTGCTCCTCTTTCAGAGCACGGAGTGGTGAATTGAAACTGCGATTGCTGACGGGAGACACCCCGCCTAATCGAGTGAGCGGCGAAGAATGGGCCTGCTGCGGCGATTCTTGCCTGATTCCATATTCAAGAGCACTCGCTGACCGCGCCTCTGGGAACATAGACAAGCGCTTCAGGCCAGAGGGGATGTTCGTCTCGCTGCCGCTTCTGGAATGTGTCGAATTCGACCTCGCGACGTGGTGTAGCGTCCGAGGTTTGCGCGAGCTGGCACCAGCCAGGGAGATCGAACGGTACAGCCCGCCAGCGGGCTGATGGAGTTCAGACATGTTCGGAGAGGATCGTGGGGACAGAAGAATGCTGTGCCGAGCCTTGCTCAAATTATCTTCCATGGTAGTCAATCTCTTCCTGGCTTGGGCGAGGATCTTTTCAGCTCGTTCATTGAGTAACGACATCTCGTCCTCGGTGCTTATCCCGATTACGCTGTTCCTCTTGCTGTCGGCATCCTCGATCTTTTCATCTTGCACCTTTGCTACGTCTGCAGCAAGTCTCCCGTTCATGATCCTTGATGTGTCAAAGTTTTCCCAATCCCCCAGCTCCGAACCCGTACTCGAAGAGGAGTGGGTGCTGAGCCTGCGCGACAGGGGAGTAGGCGAGGGAGGGTCCGAATATGCCATGCTGTCAATCATCCGGCTTTTCCGTGATATGGGGGTCTCTTCTTCGCCGATATCACTCAGTGGTGCCCCATGCTCGTAGCCGTGATAAGCTGTGTCGATTGGAGGAACCGTTCGAGAGGACACGCGGATAGTTGTTGCAACACCCAGCTCGACGGGAGCTTCAATATCACGCGAACTCAATGAGACAGCAGAATCGGGTCGTGCAGGGGGAGGCGATGCCAGTAGTATGGGAGAAGAGGCCAGTGGTACCGGGCTTGAAGTCTCGAGAGGACGGTAGGGGAGAATCATATCAGGGTTCGTCAAGGCCGGTGAGGGAGGCCTGTCTTGTATGAAGAGGTCATGGGGAATCGGATGTGCGTGCGCATGGGCCATGGCTGCGTCGTTGAGGGCTCTGTAGGATTGCGCCGCTTCATCTGTCAGGTTTTTGACAGTGTGCGACAGCGGCTCGAGGAGTGGTAGTCGCCTGGAGATCTGGGCATTCAATGGCCTCGCTGCCTATTGCAAATAGTCGGAACGGGGAGTATCGTGCACTGACTCTCTTCGGGCTTGAACGCGATGAGGGCAGCAATAGTATGACAGCAAAAGCAATTCTCAGAGCCGCGCGAAAGAAAGACCAGAAGATGTCGCTGAATGTGCAGAGGATTCCACCGAAAGAACGACAGATCCGCAATCAAAATCGGAACGAGCCCAAGAGTCCAAAAGCCCCCAAAAGCCCAGCGATGGAATCAACAGTTTGCTGGGCAAAAGGCCGTTTCACGGTATCCGGGAGCTTTGGTCCTGAGATTGAGGGCTCGCTAACTAGACCAGATGTTGGATGAGCAGAAAATGACGGGGAATGGCACCCACCAAGACATTTCACTGGCTACTGCCCTGATCGTCCACCGCAGCATCCAATTCTAGCCAGGTCAGGGCTCCTCAGGCACCCCCGGTAGACCGTGCTTGGGGCCTATCAAGCTTAGAGCCACCAAAGACACGCACTTGGAAGCCCACCGGCCTGGTCGCTCGATCCCAATCACCAGTTACATAGTAGCCATCATCAGCTTACCTCCATCCACCATCCCAGCCAGCGGGTTCCTCATCTCGTTTCTTCCAACGTACCGTGCCCGCGCCGCGTCTGGCAGTCTGCAGTCTGCAGCAAATCACTTTCGCTTGTTTCTCCACCACCAGAAATTCAAGATTCGCTTGCCGCGCCGAGATCTCTGGACCTGATGCAATGATGCTCGACTGAGAGGGTGAAGAGGAAGAATAATTGCTGACTCCAACCAGAGACGACCCTTTTATAGCTTCCCATATCGTTCCGTTGCCCGCTGCAAGGAGATCGGAATTCCCAGGAGCCTGAGGATCATCAAAACATGCCTGCTTTCGTCCTGCTTCCTGCATCTCCCTCAGATCTCGAGGCAATTGCACGCGTTCAATTTGAAGCGTGCGCCAGCGACCATGGATTCTCAGTCATCTTCCCCAAAGGAGCCACTCTTGCCTCCATTACACATCTCGTGCACTCCTACGAGAACGACATGGAGAACGATCCTACGTGCTACATCATGATTGTTAAAGAGGCAATGTCTGGTGAGGTTGCAAGTTTTGCTATTTGGCATTTCTATCCTCCAAGAACCCAAGATGAGGTCGACCGAGAGATGTTGATCGATGACTTCCCGTTCCCTAGCGATGCAAACAAGGAGCTCGGGAACAGGTTGATTCATAACAGTATCAGAAAGCGTCATGAAGCCGTGGCAGCCAACGTTGGGGCACAAAGACCTTACGTCTGTGAGTCTAAACTTTTCATTCAGTACAGAACTACAGATCCTAACTCTGCCTACCAGACTTGGCTGCAGTAGGCACGAGCCCAAAATATCAGAAGCAAGGAGCGGCATCACAGTTGCTCAACTGGGGCGTCGAGCGGGCAGATGATCAAGGTCTCACCATCTACGTAGAAGCCACCCCTGCTGCATTACGGCTGTACGAGAAACATGGCTTCAGAGAAGTTGGACGTCTCCAGCTCGACCTGGCTCCTTGGAAGGCCGGTGATTACTCGAATATGTGCATGGTCCGTGAACCGACATCCTGAGCCACGAACCTCGGTGCCGACTCATCCCTGCAAGTTGGTCAGCCACCAACTAGTCCTCATCACGGTCTAGCTGCAGATCATCTTCGTCAGCGCATAGGGCAGACAGTCTGTGCAACTTCGGAACTGGCTCGTTGGTATGCATTGTGCGTGAGGGCGATTACCTTTGCTCAAGGGATTTCGTACGCAATGAATTCGGTGCACTTCATGCCAATGTTTCCGACAGCGCCTCTTCTACTTCGTCTTTTGTGAAACCTGAGCTCGGCCTGGCAACATCGAGACCCCAATCATGCATCCCATAAACAAGGCCCGCAAGCAAAATTCATCATGCGATCAGTGTCGACGGTCGAAACGGCGATGCGAATTGCCTACACATATTCAGCATGGGCAGGCACGTGTCTGTTCAAACTGTCTACATCTTGGACAAGATTGCACCTTTGATTTTGTTACGTCGCGCCTACATCAGAAACGAGAAAAGGCCTCGACTTTGGACCAGCCAGTTGCCGCCAGTAGCACTCAATGTCTGGCGGATAAGCAAATCAATGCAGTCGGTCTTTCACCAAAATCCTGTGAGACCGTTCATACTGCTTCGGATGAAACGCTCTGGGAGGAGTTCACCACCAATGTGGGACTACTCGGAACAGATATGTTTCTTGGCAACCTCGCTTCAGAGTGGGCGAACCTCATGAACGGGAACGATGAGAGCAGTCACTGTGCGACGCGGCCCGTAAGACGTGGCAGTATGCCCTCCGCAACCTCGCGATCCTCAAATATCAGTCGACATCACAAGAAATTCACTCAAGGAAACGGCAGAGGAGCTGTTGGCGCGTGGCGCGGATCGCCAATCCACCTCCTCAATTCGAGTGTGGAACTGCTATGGCTCAATCAAAGCTTGGGTGAGATATACGAATGTATGATGGCTGGCATTGCGATCAGGTACCTTGACTATAACTGCAACCTCTTCGCAGGATCTTATCGTTATTCATTTGATGCCAACCGCTCCTGCCCTTCAGTATCTCACCAAGACGCTCATAGCACCATGGCAAGAACCCTGCCGCCGGCTTGGAAACGATCTTCGTCGTCAGGTGGTCCAGCAGAGTACCAGGACCATGCCTCTGGGTCCATGGAAGTTTTGTCAACTCGGATCAACAAAGTCACTATGATAGGCATTGCGAGATTCCTTGACAACTTTAGTTCTCTATATTGCAATGTGATTGGCGCAAACACGCGGAAGCAGAACGAACGCATTCTGACTGCAGCCTTACAGGCCTTCGCTTTACAGTTCGCTCCGTCATCCCCAACGTCGGTATCGGAGGGCAAGATGTATACTCGTTTCAACAGTGCTGATGATGGTCCCACTCCGGGCTCGAGCTCTGGAAGTCAGAATACCAACAGCTCTCGTATCTTCATTACGGCCTGGCTCAATACCCATTCACTCTTGACGGAGTCGAATCAACCTCGGTCTTTTGTCCGCCTTTATGCTGTGTTTCTCTTTCTGATGACCACCATACCATCAGAAGCCAACACAAGCGGCGGAATGGACATCAGGCCTCTAGATATCCTAGATGACGCTTTGCATCAGATGCAGGAGCTGCAGAGCCTGATAGATGGTTATTGTGCGAATTTCGAGGCCAACTCTATCTACCGATTCCTCCTTCAATCCTGCCTTGGGATTTTTGGTTGGTATGCATACCTGCGTGACACAATATCCTCCGTCCTGAACCCACGTGTGTGCATTCTTAACGACGCCCCAGTGCGCCTCAAAGGTCTGTGTTTGACATCCAGGCCTATTTTCTTTTCGAGCTGACATAATGGTAAAGGGAAGGAGTCCGTCAATGAAACCGGCGAGGCTGGATGGGAGCAGTTCCCTAACTTCGATAGTGAGGTGCCATCAAGCTGCCAATATGCTGCAGGCGATCTCTTTCATCTCTTCCGACAAGTTATTCACCTCAGGGAGATGAATTCCCTGCCGAGAACGTCTCTCGATGTTGGTGACCTGACGAGTCGGGTTCAACAGAGCATTGCACTCATGGACGAGTACACTTCGACGTACGGACCCTGGCTTGAACAATGTATCATCACATTTTACAGACTTTCAGAGAGGTCCAAGCTCTCATCTGGTAAGTCTTTTCTACCTTGTAGGCCATGCCGTAGTACTGACCGAGGTGTCTTGTAGCATTCCTGCTCTTGTTCTGGAATCTTAGTGCCTTCTGTCTCGTGGAGCAGCTTCACCTCGCTGGAGATTTCCTGCCACCGGAAGAAAGGAAGCCGATACTCGGAAAAGCCCAGAAATTCCAGGAATCGGGCGTGAAATCTGTTGTTGCTACAGCGCGACGCATCGTTGATGTTTCGTCATGCGGAGAATTCAAACTGTTGAATAGCATCCAAGCACGACTACAATTCATCTGCCACCACGCCAATACGAGCCTTGTCGTCATGGCCCTTGCCAAAGCTATGGAGCATACCATTGACCTAAATATGACAAGGGAAATAGACGACACGACCATGTCCGACCAATCAACGACCCTGGATGCTCCGACTGAGTGGATTGGGTCCGTTAAACCTCTTTTGATTTGCCTTATAAACCTGAAAAGCACCATTTCTGGAACATATGCAGCAGAACCTGCGCTACAAAAGCTGATGCAGCAATATGGCGATATTTTGATGGATTGTTGGTCTCACGAAGGGGAAGAAATCCTGGGAGCATCATATCATTCGCGACATTGTGACAGGAATGATTCGGCCAGCTGAAGCCAGTCGCAGGCGCTACGTGGAGCGACCAAGGCGCGGGAAACCCTTACATCCAAATTCTTGTCTCAGTACAGACCCTCGTTGCGAAATCTCGCGAAGAGGGTTACAACTCAGATCACGTGGAGGGTCTGATGCTGAGACAACCAAATTCCGTGCCTCGTTGGTGTACTTGATGCGGCTCCGATTGCCGAGGCGTTGGTAAGATGACCTCCCGAAGACCATAACCCATCGGCCCTGTGCAACGCCCGTGTCAGAAGCAGTCCTCGCCTGGGTCAGAAAATGCCTTGTCAATGCTCTTCACTGCTTAATAATGCTGCTCCGGAGCAGATCTCTTACAAAGTCTCTTAACCTGCCCTAGGTTGAGAGACTGTGGACCTTTACAACACAAACTCACTGCGACAACTATAAATCATGCCTTACAAGTCAAAATGGGAATTGTCACCACCACATATGGCCATTCCATGCTTCATGTTTGGATGCTCGACAGCGGAAATCGATTCTTTCAAGCGAATCCTCATCAATGCAAAGCACCCAGACCAGCAGTATCTCACTCTCCACGCCTACCGGGAGTGGGCCAAGAGATTCGCGGCTGGTCTGAGGCTCGCGGGTCTCAAAGAAGGAGATAGGGTCATGCTGTTCTCTGGGAACGGCATCTTCAATCCGATTGTTGTTGTACGTATTTTTGTTCCCAAAAGCTGCACCATTTTAGCACGAGTCATACGCTCTGTTCATGTCTTCACCGGTACAGCTATCTGACTATTTTCAGATGGGTGCAATCATGGCTGGAGCAATCTACAACAGTGCCAATCCTGCATATACACCACGAGAACTTGCCCATCAATTGAAGGATGCAGACCCTCGTTTCGTTCTCGCTGCAGAGAACTGTCTTGATCGTGCCTTCGAGGCTAGTGATGTGGTGGGGATCGATAGAAGTCGCATCTTCCTCTTCAGTGATCTCCCGATCGACTGCACAGGGCGCATCCAGGTGCCTGTAGCCCGCCAGCAGCACTGGAGCACTCTACTTGCAGATCCCAAGGTCGGTAGGAATTTTGCCTGGAAGGAATTGGAATCGCCAGACCTATCGTCACGCACTGCGGTTTTAATTTATTCGTCTGGGACGACAGGCCTTCCGAAAGGTGTCGAATTGTCCCACAGGAGCATCATTGCGAACATGCTCCAGCTCAAAAAATGCCAATTATCTGACACAAATGTGACGGCGAGACGAAGCCTTTGTGTCGTCCCGTTGTACCATGCGCTGGGCTTGCTCTACTACTGCTTCACAGCACCGAAATGGGGCATGGAGACTTTTTTGATGGAGAGATACGATTTGTCCGATATGCTCGACCACATCCAAAGTTTCAAGGTCACGGAGCTGCTGCTCGTTCCGCCGATCTTGGTTGCCATGGCTAAGCATCCCTCCGTGCGTGATGGGACTTGTGATATCAGCAGCGTGCGAAAGGTCGTGGCCGGTGCTGCTCCAATCGGTATGGAGGTGACACAGCAATTTGAGGAGCTTTTCAAGAGGAAGGTGAAAGTGCGGCAGGCGTGGGGCATGTCAGAGTATGTATCGCCAGTCCTCAATATTCGAGCTGGAGCAGCAGTCCTAACAATACTGCTAGGACTCCTGCAATCACGTTGTGCTGGGATGAACGAGAAGGCCTGGGTCCATCCTCCATCTCAATAGGCGAACTCGTCCCTGGGGCTGAAGCGAAACTGGTCAAGGAGGATGGCGAAGAAGAGACTCGGCCTGGCGAGCGCGGAGAGTTCTGGATCCGGTCTCCCAATATGATGACGGGATATTGGCGCAACAGCAAGGCCACGGTGGAGACGATCACTGGTGACGGATGGCTGAAGACAGGCGACATCGCATATAGGGACGAAGCTGGGAAGTGGTATATGGTTGATAGGAAGAAGGTGAGTTCTGTGGTTTGGGATGCCTCTTTCCCAGGAGACGCTAATAAGCCGGTAGGAATTGATCAAAGTGCGGGGCGCACAGGTTGCTCCAGCAGAGTTGGAAGCTTTGTTGCTCGAACATCCTCAAATCATGGATGCAGCTGTGGTTGGGATCAAGACGTATGCCTTCTTGGGTTTCCAATCTGCTCCGTGCGCTGATCAGCTGTGTAGGCCCACCGACGACGAAGACCCTCGTGCTTATGTGGTACTCGCGCCGAAATCGTCAACCACAGCGGAAGACGTCGTCGAGTACGTATCTACCCGCGTCTCGAAAATCAAGCGTCTCACGGGCGGCGTTGTCTTCGTTGATGCCATCCCAAAGAACCCGGTAAGCTCTTAAGATGTTGCTCTTAGGAAACAGGAAAAGCTGACGGTATGAGATAGTCTGGCAAGATTCTCAGACGGCAATTGAGGGATCGTGCTGCAAAAGATACAGCATCAAAGCTGTGAGCAGTGCACTCACGAGAAGGTTTCGCTGATATGGTGCTCGTGAACCAGGCTAGGTTATGGCAGTCGACATGGCCTGGCTTTGACTGGGGTGACTGGAGTACGATCCATGCCTTGCAAAATTTATTCTCTTCTGCAGCTGGGCCATCATAGTAACCACGCGTCAATCACCAATTGGGTCAAGCTACAAATGGGGTCCGCTCAACTTCTCCAGACCCAAATGTCTGGCAACCTGTCCCAGATGGTCGAAGCCCCAGAAATACTCCTCCTGGCCATCTTGATTGACAGCCTTGAGCCATGGTACCCCAGGTGCGCCACTAGCGATACACTTGTCCGTGTGGTGTTTCAGCAGAGTCTTGATTTCTTCGTCCGTGCTCTGTCATGATGTGTCAACCTCGTTACAAGACTGTTCTACATGTGTCGCATTGAGAACGCACCGATGGTAAATGGGAATCGGTGCGGATGTGAGAAGACTCACCCTTTCAACAACCCTGCCCGCCACCTCTCGTCCTAGTACACTCATGACAATCGGCTCATATACCCCGGGCAGTTGAACGCCCTTTTTGTCCACCCAAAACGCGTGGTACAGCGCTGCGAGCAGATTGGGATAGCGCTCTGGACATTCGAGCGAGCACGCCGTTAGGACCCTCTGGACTTTCAGTGTCGTGGCTTTAAAGGGGTAATTCTCCGGCCATCCGGGCGTCCAGGGAATATTGAAGTCGCGTGACCAGCGCGTAATGTCGGATGTCATGTACTTCACTTTATCTGCTAGCCGTCAGCGGAGGGCATTGCGTCATCTCGAGCCCCGGGGGAGGCCGGGGGGGGGCGGGGGGGGGGGGGGGGGGGGGGGGGGGTGGAGGGTTTGAATGGGAGACGTACTGGGACTGCTCCAGGGTGGTTGGACGCCGATTGCTTTGATGAATGCGACCAGCAGGACGGGGATGTATGTTACATCGCATTTCCTGAATACCGGCGAATTCTGCGGTTGTTTATCATGTTGTCAGTCAAGAGAGGCCTGCGATTGTGATCGTGATTGGGATCGAGGTCGTCCGCGAGATACTCACGTGGAGGACGTAGAAGGCAAGGTATGAATAGGGGCTGTGGAGATCGAAGAAGAGGGTGAGGTGCGGTCGAGGCATTCTCGTCCAAGGGGTGTTGGAGCTATTACTGATACTAAGGCTGGTGTCCAGATGTGCTTCCACGAGCGTCTACATTGCAGGGAACGACTTACTATAACAAATGGACATTTATTCGCATGGGATGCCTGACGATGGTGGTGTTGGAGGAGAAACGGCATCATACGGAGGCATGATTTTCCGTAACCTCGGCGTATTATTATGCTGCGGTTCCGATCGGTTCATAGCGAAGTAGATCGAGGTTTTCAGGCCCCCTCAAACCTGTGAAGCTTACGATTCATCAAGATCGGTCAACACACTGGCCGACAACATGGTGTGTGGAGCGGTCAGGATAATATGACACTTGAGAACCAGCAAGGTTACCGTGAGCATGTAACCTGGATCACTGGGGAGAGCGATGGCCGAGAAAGGGACACTCTTGCGGCTATCGACCCGGCAGGATTTTACATCAGACCGCCACCCAAACCTCATGAGCTGGACGGAGACATTACAGATGACTCAGACCTCTTTCAGACCATTCATATGGGTGCCGCAGTGGTCAATGAGGACGAATGGCGACTCATCATAGACGGCTTAGTAGAGCGTCCGTTCGCGATCGATTTCGCGCAGCTCAAAGCCATGCTCAAGATGACGATCACGTCTTTTCACGAGTGCTATGGAAGTCCGATAGCGCCGCCCACCAAAGCCTTATGGAGGATTGGAAATGTGAGGTGGACTGGAGTCCGGCTGGCAGACCTGCTCAGGCTGGCTCGACCAAAGCCCGAAGCTACCCATGTTTGGTCGCAGGGACTCGACCATGGAACTTTTGCTGGAGTTTCTGCTGACAGATATGAAAAAGATCTTACCTTGGAGAAGGCCATGGCCCCTGAGGTGCTGATTGCATATGAGATGAATGAGCAACCAGTGTCCAAGAAACGAGGCGGGCCTGTGAGGCTCGTGGTGCCGGGCTGGTTCGGGACAAATTCGACCAAGTGGCTCTATCGACTTTCATTGCAGAGTTGTCGTGCTTCTGGTCCTTTTACAACGAGGTTTTACAACGAGATCGATCCCACGGATCCTGCTGGACAGAGATTGAGGCCGGTATGGACGGTCGAGCCCAACTCGATGATCGTGAGACCGAAGCAGGGAGACGTTGTGCAACGATCTAAGTTGGAGGTCTGGGGTCGTGCATGGGGCTGTGAGGAGGTTGTTAAAGTCGATGTCAGTGTCGACGGCGGACGGGGCTGGATTTCTGCAGTGGTGACGCCGCGGAAAGAGTTCGAGTGGCAGCTATATCGGTGTGAAGTAGCATTGGACAAGCCTGGGAACTGGCGGTTGTTGGTCAGAGCAACGGACAAGACTGGTGTATCACAGCCACTGACGGGACGGAGGAATCATGTGCATACTGTTGATGTTGAGGTAATCTGAGGTAAAGTGAACGCAAATGATATGATTGTCCCGCACACAGACACACCTAGAGAGACCTCGAGTATCACGAGCAACAGGGTGAAGAACGAGAAGCTCAGCCTCGCGCATGAAGACTCCGAAGCCTTGCGAGTAATTAGTGACTAGCTCGTCTCGGTCAACTTGCCCCAGCGGCGCCTTAACCCAGCAATCATAAGCTTCGCCTTTCTGCCGTCCGTTCGAGATTTCTCTATGGAAAATTCATTTCTTCTCTGCAATTCAACGTTCATTGCGAATCATTCTGAAGCGTACCCAGCAGACAGTCTTGCCGAGCTCTTCCCTGCCGCCACTTCAACTGTGGTATCCCCAAGCAATATCCTTGTCAGCCGTCCCTCCGGTGGTGGACACCTGAGTGCCACAAAAGAACTGCGGAGTGTCGCCTGAAACACAAGAATTTTGCCGCTGTTACTTGGGAAGATCCAGAACAGGTGTGCGTCCTGAAGCCTCCCTGGTCAACGGCACTCGGGTGTGGCTGCCAGTTAGACAGAGACGGACCGGGCCTGTCAAATTCTTCGCTTCATGTGGCTTGCTCATGATGGAAGTGGCTGTACGTAAATGCTTCAACACTGACAGGGCCCCATTGTCGCCCTTTGCAGCAAATATTCACCGTCCGTGACCATGCCGGTGGTGCTCCTCAGATGCGTTGTGGACCAAGATCGAATCCCACGGCGTCATAGCCTCTTCGCCCCCGCATGTTGTGCCTGTCGTGTGGGTAACAAGGGAAAGCGAGAAAACAGCAAACCATTCGCATGTTACATTTCAGTCCACAGTGGGGTTTTTTCACCTCACTTTTCGAATACTGTTACCAATTTTTACTACGAGGTCCAGTACCAAAGCAGCACATCCATGAACATGCCGTGCCTGCGCAAATGAAATTTCTGCTAGCGCAGCTCACACCCTCGTGAAGTCCAGTGCGCGAAGCCTTCGCCATGAATGAGCGGATCGCTTTGATTTTCCCGTCTGGAATACTCGTTCGTTTGCCTCGCATCTCGTCTCCAAAGCTTATGGTTAAAACCTCGAATGACGAAGTTATTGGTCCACGCCGTATGGATATTATCCCGTGGTCCGTTTGGGCCAAGAACGGTGCTTGCACCTATGCGATGCTGTGGCAAGCTTTGCAGGATCCATAGCAGTGGGTGAGGATCTTTCACTCCCAGGTATATTAGGTGAGGTTGAGTCCTGCCGCTCTCTGCTAATCTTCACCGTGAACCCACGGTGACTCTTTCTCACAAACGTCCCAAGCAACAAACCGAACGTTACTCCCCACGCGACAACCATGAGCGACACGAGTAAAGAAGTGAAGATTGTCGACGGCGGCGTTGCCGTCGACAACAACGCCACGTATCCCGATGTGCGCCCTGGCTCGATCTCTGAGAATGCCGACAGCCTACAACGTCGACTCAACAACCGTCAAATCCAGCTCATTGCAATCGGTGGCTCCATAGGCACTGCCTTGTTCGTCAGTATCGGTGGTGGTCTGGCAAGAGGTGGCCCTCTCAGCTTGCTCCTCGCCTACACCGTTTACTCCTGCATGTTGGGTTTGGTCAATAACTGCATGGCTGAGATGGCCACCCTGCATCCTGTCAGCGGTGGGTTCGTCCGCATGGCCGGCAAATGGGTTGACGACGCCTTCGGCTTTATGGCTGGATGGAATTTCTTCTTCTACGAAGCGCTCTTGATCCCTTTCGAGATCACGGCGCTTAACCTGGTCTTGTCATTCTGGAGGGATGATATCCCTACTGCTGCCGTCTGCGCCGCTTGCATCGTGCTTTACGCGTGAGAAACTTTCCCCGAAGCGACCTTCCCCTATGCGACCCGAGGCTAAATGTGTATTCAGACTTATAAATATGCTGGCTGTGCGAGGCTACGGAGAGGCCGAGTTTTGGCTTTCAGGAGGCAAAGTCTTCCTTATTGCCATTCTCTTCTCCTTCACATTCGTCACAATGGTCGGCGGTAACCCTAAGCACGACGCTTACGGCTTTCGTTACTGGAAACATCCTGGACCGATGGCCGAATACCATACCACGGGAAGCCTAGGCCGCTTTGAAGGTCTCCTTGCAGCCCTCTGGAGTGCGTCGTTCACGGTCGTGGGACCCGAGTATATCGCCATGGTGGCCGCGGAAGCCAAGCGACCTCGCATCTACATCAAGAATGCGTTCAAGACGGTCTACTGGCGATTCGGTATCTTCTTCATCCTCGGCGCCCTTTGCGTCGGCATCGTGGTGCCCTATAACGACCCTACCCTCGTGGCCATACTGAACGGCGACCAATCCGGTGGTGGCACTGCAGCCGCGTCTCCGTATGTCATCGCGATGAAAAACCTCGGGGTGTCGGTTCTTCCGCACATCACCAACGCGCTCATGGTCACGTCGATCTTCTCCGCGGGCAACACATATACCTACTGCGCGACGCGCAGTCTATATGGCTTAGCTCTGGAAGGACGGGCGCCAAAGTTCCTGACCAAGTGTACTCGCAAGGGTGTGCCGATCTTTGCGTTCATGATCGTCATGTGCTTTCCGCTGTTGTCATTCCTCCAGGTATCAAGCGGCTCGTCTCAGGTTCTGACATGGCTTGTCAACCTGATCACGGCTGGCGGTATTATCGACTATATCGTGATGAGCGTGACGTACATCTGTTTCTACAACGCTTGCAAAGCGCAAGGGATCGATCGCAACGCGTTTCCCTACACCGGATGGTTCCAGCCTTACTGCGCCTACATCGGATTGGCGTGGATGTGCATGATCGTGACCTTCTACGGTTACTCGTCCTTCACGCCATGGGACGTCGGGACCTTCTTTTCCTACTACACAATGGTGATTGTGGCGCCCATCTTGTTTGTCGGGTGGAAGGTGATCAAGCGTACCAGGGTCGTGCGACCCCATGAGGCAGACCTTGTATGGGAGAGGCCAATCGTCGATGCGTATGAGGCTTCATTCGTCACTCCTCCAGTGGGATTCTGGACCGAGATGCTGCAGCTGGTCGGCATGAAGCGGGGTATCAAGGACGTGCGGCGGGAGTCGATATGAGTTCGCCCAAATTTCAGGCCTAAGGTCGGCTGATGACCCTACAATTAGATGTTGATATCCGCAGCTGCTGGATTCTGTTGCTGTACTACGCGGCTGAGAATGCCAGCAAAATAAATCAACATAAAAATTGGGCTCATGAGACCGCGCAGTCAGTGTAAGAAACCGGGCAGAAACCCCCAATACTCGTGCATGTCACTACCTGGTCCCGGTAGGAGATGTCTGCTTTCTTCTTCCCTGGCTATATGAAGCTGTCCGCAGGCCATCCTGGATATCAAGTAGCATCATCAGTTTTTCCTCCCTTTCCCGCAACCAACTCGTTTGGACAAGGAGTTCTCTGGGGACCGTCTCCGGCTCCGCCAACCCCCCTTTTTCTAAACCTCATAGTTCAAATTAATCCGAGTACTCGAGGTCATATGCTAGCGTATCATCACAGATCTTTAGTCTGATATCTTGGACTCTGTGGGAGGTGGATGTTAGCAAACAGGTCATGCATTAGCCCTCGGTAGCCTCATGTCGGTCAGCTTCGAGTGTGTGGGTAGTGAGAACCACTTCTACTCGTACGAGCTCGTGGAAACGAAATGATTCACAAGGAAGGGTCGGTAGTAGTAGTGGCCTGGGGGTGATGAGGGACGGGAATGGGAATGGGAATGGGAATGGAAGAAGACGCCAACGCACTCCATATGAGCAGGGTGCTCGGCATAGACCTTGATATCGTCGGCCTTTTCCAGCACGGCGACAAGGCCCATATTGAAACCCTGGCCGCGATGGGCGGTCGACGGATGAGGAGTGTTGGACTCGAGTTTGAGCAGGCCCGGAACTTTGCCGACCATGGACTTGGCCGCACTGACGAACTCGGACACTTGGCCTGGTGTCACGCCTTGTTTGAGCTTGAAGAGGACTTTGTTTTGCGCGAGTCTTGTTAGCCAAGTATATCCGTACATATAACTACTGTAGCTACTAGTAGATTACTACTGAAAGTACTAGTATTGAAGGCCAGCTGGGGGTCTGCGCTTGCCAGGCCCGGCGAAAAGGCTGGCGGGCTGGTTCACAAGGGCCCCATGATGGCTTAGTGAGGCTGGCGGAGAGTGGACTTACCGATGTGGTAGATGGGCATTGTGGCTTTATCAAATGGTTGGCTGGATAGTACTAGTGCTCAGACAGGCGGGGAGTTGTTTTGCGTATGATGGTACGGAGCAAAAAAGAGTTCAGGATCAGATGAAGACGGGCTTTTCAATGCTTCTACACAGTTAGAAGGAGATGAAGATGGGAATGGAGCAGCACAATGGGCAAATGTTGGAGCGAGGTGCAGGTTAGTAGTTCCAGTAGGCTTACGGAGTAGTGAGCCCAGTCATTTGTCATCCCCGACTCGCCGATATCGCCGCGTCATACGGAGTAGGGTGCCTATAAGGTGCTGGAAGATACTAGTATGCATCGCATCAGTTGTAGAACGGCGGAGCATTTATTCCCATTAATATCAAAGAAGAGAACCCGAATAAATTAGATGTGCTATCACTAGCTTTTCAGTATTGCTTGCGTGATGTGGTTGCTTCGCGCCAAAGTGAATGAAATACGATCTAGCTTGTGCTAGTGACTGTGCCCTTCTCCCACGTCATGCGGCCTACTGTATCAGCGTTCGCTACGTACCTAGCAGGCGCCGATGGTACAGGATGCCCAAGGAAGAGGACCTGTGCGAACTCTCTCATATCAGTGTGCCGCTGTCGCACCACTTGTAATAAAATTAAAGAAAGTGTCAAGTCAGTGGGGCAGTATATTCAGGAAGACGTCCCCCGTTTTCGTGACACGAAGGGCTCGGCTCGAAAGAGTAGTCAGAGAGGTAGCAAGGACGAGATGGTCAAACTGTGAATGCCAGGAGGCCCAACAGTCTCTAAGCCCGGTTCATCCGGCTTCGGGACGTTGACAGTAAAGCCATGGAGTTGAAGTAAAGGGGAAAGAGTCTGACAGGTGGGTGAAGGGATGTCATATTCGTTCGGCAAGCAGAGGATCTGAATATAAGTACTATGTGCACCCGATGTGATACTGTCCTTGAATAACAAAGGGCTGGTGACATCTGTCAATGTCGTGGGAACAACAGAATCCTGCATATCGAAAAGGAAGACCTGACCAATCGGACAGTGTTCCATCAATTGAAGGCTGAAATGTGTTTGTTCCTGCAGCTGGTAGAGAAGGAGAAGAGAAGAAGATCCATGTCAGAGCTTCAAGTTGTTTGCTTCTCACATCTTCGCTGCAAGAAAACTTGGGCTGGCCTTTTGTCTCTTATTCCTCACATGAGTGAATCATTCCAAGGTGACGTGACTTTGCCGGGATCGCAACGACGCGTTTGCTTGATGGCACTGGACTGGTAGTCTATAGTCGCTCCAGTATAAAGACCTGACAGAAACACTTGTTCAACACTCACATCTGCGTGACAACAAGGCTCTTGACATTCTTTTGCTGTGGAAAACCAAAGTGTTGTTCCCAAGTTTATATCGGGGCTGATCGGAGTTGCCAAGCGATACATTCCGAACTGTTGAGAGCGGTGTGTACCAGGTACCAGGTACCGTATTATCCCAACTGCCAGGGGGTTTGTCTTCTTTGGCTTGTTTGCGTCCGTCTCAACTGTCGAACAAGCCAACTTCACGGTGGAAACATGATATCTCGTGTGGATGATGAGCCTGCCAACCTCAACCTCAACGGCAACATGAACGTTCATGCATCTGACATGCCTGTCGGTGACAATAAATCACAGGTGCCGCATCTCACATTGACCTACCGCACTTGGCAAAGAATCCAAAAGCTGCACCGGACTGGGAAAGTCGAGATCAATGGGCATGGTCTGGACATAGCAACGGTTGTGGCGGTTGCAAAGTACGTATCATCTTCTTGGCCAGCAAGTGAATCCCCTCGCTAACGTTCTTTCGAAAAGACTCGGATGCAAACCGTACATCGAAAAGAGCCAAAAGCTTCTCAATCGACTGGAGGAAAGTCAGAACATCTTGCAAGAACATCTTCAGGCCGGGAGCAAGATCTATGGTATGTCGATTTGTGCGGCTCATTCGCTAGTCAGTGTGCTCACATGAACGTGCAGGCGTCAACACAGGGTTTGGAGGAAATGCCGACTTGCGGACCGACCACTTCATCGATCTCCAGCGCGCTCTGACACAACATCAACAGTCGGCTATTCTCACTAAAGATGACCTCGCAACACATCCCAATGGCAACAGAGAGACGTATCCCCATTCCATGCCGACAAGTTGGGTGAGAGGGTCGATGCTTGTTCGGTGCAATACCAACATCCGAGGACACAGTGCCGTCAGCTGGAAAACAATAGATACTCTTGCTGAACTGATTCGACGAAACATGACACCCATCGTACCCTTGAGAGGATCAATTTCGGCTTCAGGTGATCTTATGCCCTTGTCATATATCGCCGGAGTTGTGCAGGGAAACTGCGACATCTTTGTGCGAAGTGGGGGAGGACGCGATATGAAAGTACTCAACTCTCAAGAGGCCTTTGCAGAGATCCGCCGGTTCCACGAGTCAGATGTCGAAGGCCAGAGGACCGACAGCTATTGTTCCATCACGCTTGGTCCCAAAGAAGGGCTCGCATTGGTCAATGGTACCGCCCCTTCGGCAACGGTGGCCACACTGGCGCTATATGAGGCAAATCAATTGGCAGTCCTCTCTCAGCTTATCAGCTGCCTATCGTCTGAAGCACTTGCAGCGAATGCTGAGTGGACTCATAAGTTCATTGCAGAAGTCCGTCCGCATCCAGGCCAGGCCGAAGTCTCTCAGAACATGCGAAATTTCTTTCGGGGCTCGAGCCTTGTGGCTGGACTTGACGAACGTATCGATCGTAAGCAAAAGGGTCTCGTGCAGGATCGTTATGCAATCAGAAGCTCGCCACAATGGATCGGTCCACAACTCGAAGACCTGCATTTCGCAGCGGAACAGCTAGTACGAGAGCTTAACTCGACAACCGACAACCCACTCATCAATAGTGAGAACAGAGACGTCCACTGTGGAGCCAACTTTCAAGCTGCTTCGGTGACGATGGCTGCAGAGAAGACTCGACTCTGTCTCCAGATGATCGGCAAAGTAAGTACTCTCATCTCTGAACGGGTGGGCAGATCAAGCACGAGCTATCGCTTTCTGACAATTTGCAGATGCTATTTGCGCAGACAACTGAAATGCTGAATCCCATGCTGAACAATGGGCTGCCTCCAAATCTGACCCCAGACGATCCCAGTCTTTCATACTGTCTGAAAGGCGTCGATATCAATATGGCTGCTTATCAGTCAGAGCTTGGGTTCTTGACAAACCCTGTCAGTTCGCACGTACAGTCTGCTGAAATGCACAATCAAGCCATCAACTCGTTGGCTTTGATATCCTCACGGTACACCATGCAAAGTGTCGAACTGGTCTCCTTGATGTCCGCATCCGCCATATTTGTTGGTCTTCAAGGCGTCGATCTGAGGGTCATGCATCGGACTTTCCTGGAAAGCTTTCACGACGAGGCTAGCAACACCATCAAGCAAAACTTTAGTGCAATCATCCCGAACGCTGCCTTACTGGAGTTGTATCATGAAGTGTGGGAAAAGATCTGCAATACTTGGTATGGTGCCGCAAATGTCGATGCCAACGATCGTTGCTCAAAGGTAGCAGCCGCAGCAGCAGATGTGGCAATAGCTTGCATGTGTGCTGGAGGACTCGAACCTGCTACAAGCTCCCAAGACCTTCTTTGCGCAATCAACACCTTCAAGCAAGGCTTGCAGCAGCGTATGTTGACCGCTTTCCTAGCGCATCGATCCAGCTTCTTTAAAAACCCCTGCACGATGTTATTTCTGGGTCGTGGCACCGGAACGCTCTATCGATTCGTCAGGGAGGAGCTGGGTGTGCCGTTCTATCGAGACCTGGAGGAGGATGTTCACAGTGGGTGCTTGATTGGTCGGTCAAAGAAGACAATTGGGTCGTGGATCTCGATCATCTATGAATCCCTCCGTGACGGCGTTTTAGCTGGTGTGATCTTCAAGTCTCTAGAAGGCTTTGATGACAACGAATAGCAGTATCGTACCAAGCCGGCCAGTTTGAGCTGGAAACAAGGCAGTTTCACGGGGGAGCTGATTGATGCCTGTAAAATGGCTAGCGATGGCCTAGTCAGCAATGCGCTTATCACAGCTCTTGCGCTTGTAACAGTTGGGCTGCGTCGAGGCAGGATCGGGTCAGGGACACGCGAAAAGCTGTCAACTCGACAGTCTCATACTTGTCATCTTTGTCCTTGTTCCAGAAAACAATCTCGTTGAACGGCTTCCCATCATACATCCAAGTGTCAACGTCACTGACGCAGAAATCATCCCATACAGCGTTGTTGTCTGACGTCGACTCATCCCTCGGTGCACCATCCCAAACGAGGGCAACTCTCCAAAGCTCTCCATCCAATTTGCTCTGATGTCGATACAGAAGCGTCGGTATGAGTTGAAGACGGAGTATATTGGGTGGCACTCCGAACCGGGTCGGGAAAGCTGATAGAATGTCTGTGCTGTTTGATATCCACCGGGTAATCTCCAGGCCACGTGCTTCGCTATACGAGAGCTCTATGGATGAATTAATATGCGTTGCCTTGTATATGCCGGTATACGATTGTTCGACTTGACTCCTGGCAATCTTATCTGCTGCCTGGATAAGTGTTTCTGTCACTATCTCTCGAATCGCGGGCAGCAAGGCGGTATTTCCGGCCGTGAGTACTGTAATCCCAAGGTCATACTCTGGGGCCACTATTATGTTCGTACTGTATCCAGGAAGTCCGCCTCCTTTCGTATAGAAGGTCACCGCCTTGTCGCTGGTGCTCAAGATCCTGTCCGTTCGGAAGATCTCCCAGGGAGTGCCGTAAAACGAATAGAGGCCTGCAGTAAAGGAGCCTGGCTGGAACCAATTCATGGCAGGTGTAATGCCGTTATAATGCGTCAATACGTATCTGAGGAATTTTGACATGTCAGAGGACGAGGCGTAAAGTCCTCCTGTGGGATTTTGGACGCCCTCATCCACATCCCAGTACCAACTTTCGTTTTTAGGCAATACTGCCACCGAGTCAGAGGGTCTGGAGAAGCTTGTACCCATCATCTCGAGAGGCCGCGAAATTGAAGTTTCGATATATTCCTCATATCTCATGCCGGTGACATTGGCAAGTACCAGGCCTAACAGCTCGAAAGCGATGTTGGAATAAGTAGACTTCTGATTCGGAGCAAAGATGGGAGCGCTGGTGCGTACGTAGTCCAAGAGGTCGTCCGTCGTGCATGGTACGTACTCAGCATAAGAGTCACATTGAGGTAGACCCAAAGATGTCGCTGGTGGGAGACCAAAAGCCAAAGGATCTTTCAATTCCTGAAGGAGATCTCCCTGGGCCCAGTCCCGGGGAATACCACTCAGTTGACTCGCCAGGGACTTGAGTGTAATGTCTTTCCATGGTAAGCTTCCATTCTGTGGATGTCGCAAGCCTGACACATATTTGTCAACGGGATCGTCGAGACTCAGGTTACCGGCAGCATGTTGCTTCAATATACCGAGAACCGTGAAGACTTTGGTGATACTTGCAATGCGGTAAGCGCTGTCACCATTGACTTGCTCAGCTCCAGGCCGCTCGGAATCTTTGTCTGAGGCGGTATGAAAGCTAGACCACAAGGTCGAATGTGACGAGGTCACCTCAACCGAGTAAGACGAAGTATTGAACTTCGGGTCGGCTACCAGATCTGATAATGCTGCCTCAATTTCGTCAACAGCTTTGAGGAAAGCCGGAGAAGATTTGTTGTAGCTTGGTAGCGGGAAAACTGGAGACTGGTAATGGCAGGCAGCAGCGACCAGGGAGACGAGAACGAGAAAGACCGCAGAATAGTATGCTTTCAGACTCATTGTGAAGGTGGTGTCGTCGGCCCACTCAATATCTCTGGTGCTCCTTCTGGCCGTAACCGGATCGCTCTTGCCAACGGGGAGGTGTATTGCTGCCACTCGAAAAAAGGTGGAATGCTCACGGCGTTGCAAACATATAAATAGCGATTACTGATCCAAGCCACTGTTCCAGGTTGTCCGTGACCGTAACGCCGAAGCAGGCAGCAGCATTCAGCAGCTCCTTACGACACCGAGGAGTGGAGGAAAGAGGGGCTTTCAATGGTCGAGTTCGACGTGGCCAGAATTTGATGGCCTGGCTAGGATTCAGCTGTGAATCTAGTACGATATATACCCGCTGAAGGGACGTTCGAAGCAAGTTGTACCTCAAGAGGGATCCTCTTGTAGCTTCGATGTCTTTGCTGTGAGTACTCTGTAGAGGTGTTGATTGCACCAATGTTCGGTAGATGTGGGTGCATTCTTTACCGAGCACCTAGTCCAGGCGGAATTGTTGCGCCAGGACTCCAATACTCTCACGTACAACCAGTACTGTGGATCAGTAAAGTTCAACCTCTGCCCAGTGCTCAGCGAGCCAGATCGCCTCCATTGACCTCGCTTCTGCTTGTTTCTAATCATATTTCTCACTTCCAACGCGGCATCACCTGTCCAAGATATGTTGCAATCATCCTGGGCCCTTCATTTGTCGGGTGAACAGCGCGGTCTGACAGCGGAAATCCACATGTTCTGGACCTTGCGTTAGAGGAGGAGTGTGCAGTCCTCACGAGGCATCATTGTCTTACAATCCTCCGCTATGGCCAACCTGGATGTCAAAGTCAGTCTTACTCTTACACCTCGTGTTGACTATTCATCTCGCCCCCACTTCCGTCGAAAAGAGGACCCATGAACCTCATTGGCGTCCCAGCCAGACATCGATCTCTGCCACACGACCCATGATGACCCCATGAATGCGGGGCTTGCCCACGAACTTACTTGTGTTCCACCAAAGGCAAGAGTCTCGCTTGCCGGCTTTTTATTGAGAAGACTTGCCGAGTTACGTGCCCGGACACGCTCTCAGCCTCCCACAAGATTATATAAACTCTGAGGGCAATCGTCTGCAGTTCCTGCCGTACCCTGAGAGCGCTTCATCCAGAACCCATACAACCATACTGTACGCAATGGGCAGCATTCTGGAACAATCGCGCCCTGCCTCAATTCAATTAAGAGATCTCGAGGTCCAGGGTTTTGTCAATGAAGCTTCGCAGGTTACAAACTATCTCGGGATACAGTATGCTACGATCCCTGCTCGGTTTCGCCAGTCACAGCCAATCGACCACCTTGGCCTTACTGGTGTGCTAGATGCGACTCGGTACGGGGCCAGATGTCCTCAGAACCCACGACCAAAGAACCTTCCACTGTTCGAAGGGCTGCAGCAGACCGAGGGTCCAAATGACGAGTTTGGGTGCTTGAGACTCAACATATTCACCCCAGCAGCTCAGCAATCTCGGCCACTGCCTGTTTTGGTTTGGATCCATGGTGGAGGATTCGTCTTTGGAGATGGAGGTTGGGAATTCGACGGCAATCACCTTGTCCAACATGCAGTTGAATCCGGAAAACCTATCGTTTTCGTGACCTTGAACTATCGACTTGGCTACTTTGGCTTTCTCACTTCCAAAGAGCTGAAAGAAGAAGCTGTAAAGGATGGACAGACTCCTTTCTCTAACACGGCGTTTTATGACCAGAGATTGGCCCTACTATGGGTAAGTAATAAATCGCCGACTCTGTAGCGCGGAGCTAAAGCGAGATCTCAAGCGCTGACTGTGAATAGGTTCAAAACCATATTCAATCTTTTGGCGGAGACCCATCGAATGTCACCATAGCTGGCGAATCTGCAGGAGGATTATCAGTCCTAGCTCATCTTCGATCAGATGTACCTGTTTGCCAAAGAGGAATCATCATGTCCAGTCCAAATCTTGACTATCCGCGACCGGAAGAGTCTCAAGCCACTTTTGACAAGCTTGTTGCCAGCACGGGAGTTTCTCCATCAGCGCCACCCGAAGAAAAGCTGGCAGCATTGAGGGCCTTGTCATCCGACGACATTATCAAACTCATCGGATTCTCTTTCTCAACTCCACATTGGGATCCGGAGTGGTTCGTCCACCAAGATGGCACTACACCCACTGCAGGTCCCGCTCCTTTGAGCCCTTGGGTAAAGGGTGTGCTCGCCGGCTCCACGAAGGATGAAGCCGCCATCTTCGGCTTGGGCATGGGCTGGCAGACATGGACATCCAATCAATTTGAGGAGAGGGTGAAATCCGTTGTACAAGACGAGAAGGATGCCAGCGAGCTGTTGCGTGCCTATGGCATTGACTCAAATGCATCTGCCGAAACCAACATGCGCGGCCTGATTGACATGGTGACGGACACAAATTTCTCCGGTCTACCTTTTATCGTCGCAGAACAGCAGACTTCGACCCCTCCTATCAGTCTCTACAGATTCGAGCAGCCGGATCCCTTCCCCAAGAGTCCGTTCCATGGCTATGCGTATCACTCGCTCGATAATGCTTTCTTCTGTCGATACCCTTCGGTCGCTGGCCCCAGCGCCTCAGAAGATGCAAGGGAGACAGCTAATAGATTCAATGGTGCCGTCCTTGACTTTGCCTATGGCGATCAGCCGTGGGAGATTTATTGGCCCAATCAGAAGATCATGGTATTCAATGGCAAAGGTAGTGGGCTTGTCAAAGCCGACCAGCCTGACCGATGGAGACGGATATTTGCAGAGAGGGACCGCACCAAGACTGTCAGGCGGTACAACCACAAGTTAATGGGCTTGGGGCATGATTCTCTTCCTTGAGCAGTAACAGCAAGATGATGTCCAGAGACGAGAGCCGATGCAAACTGCCACAAATGAGGGTAGTCTTGTTGTCGCAGATCGAAGGATCATTCCACCCTAGTTGTTTTCAAAGACTCAATCGTTCTTTTGCGATTGGTCCGACCGGCTACAATGATTCAATTGCATAGTCCCGCAGTGGTCAATTTGTTTGGCGCTTCTGAACGGGTGGCCGATCACGCAGTAACTCCCTTACAGCCTTGCCATGCATACCTCCATACCCATTGCCATACGCAGGGCCCTGTTTTCCATTTCCCTGCTGTTGTCCCGCACAGAAATCATGAGATCGATTGTCCCAATGCACCCGATCCAGCCTCCACTCTGGCGGTCAAGGTCGCCTTGTGCTTACATTACCATTCCTGTAGACGAGCGGGGTCCAATGAAACCGGCAGCTCCATACTATGCATACCCCTCTCGCCAGACCAGTTGCCTAGATCCAATTCGGCCGTGCCTTGAGCATATATATAGCCCTGCTTCTTCGTCAGTGAGTGCGTACTGCCCTAGGTCCGCCACCCAGAGCAAAACATCAAAAGCACACAAGCCACAATGACAAAGATCTCCCGACACGAATTCACTCACGACACCATCCGCTCCCCTTTCAAGACGATCTCCTATCTCGAAGCCGGCCCGTCCCATGGCCCTTTATTGATCTTCGTCCACGGCTGGCCTGCCGTAGCAGCGACATGGCGTGCGCAAATCACCACGTTCGCGGGCCTGGGTTTCCACGTCATCGCGCCTGATATGCCTGGGTACGGCGGCTCGACCAAAACCAAAGAGAAAACCGACTACTCGATGCAATCCCTCGTGACGGTTATGGTCATGCTGCTGAAGCACCTCGGGCGCGATGAGGCCGTCTGGGTCGGACACGACTGGGGCGCGGCCGTGGTCTGGGCGCTCCTCGCACACGAACCCCAAACCTGCATCGGGGTGGTGAATCTGTGTCTGCCGTACCGCACGCTGGAGATGGGCGTGGACGAAACGCTCAAGTACGCCAACCGCGAGCTGTATCCGGAAGACGAGTACCCCAACGCGCAGTGGGACTACATGAAGTTCTACGTAGAGGCCGAGGAAGGACCCGCGAATTTCGACAAGGCCGTGAAATTCTACGAAAGCGACGTCGAGAACTTGATGAAAGCTCTCTTTCGGCCACATCGACCCGAAGCCCACGGCAAGCGCGCGTTCACCAGCACGGTGAGCAAAGATGGCGGTTGGTTCGGAGGCGCCGAGAAGCCGCCGGCCACGGATCTGAAGGATTCATTGCTGGATGAGGAAATGCTCAAAGAATTGACGGAGGCGTTTGAGAAGGGAGGGTTCTGGGCGCCGACGGCGTATTATCTGAATCACGATGCAAACAAGGAGTGGGCGGAGGATTGGTCGGTGAATGAGGGCGTGGTGAGCGTGCCGACACTCTTCGTCGAAGCCAGTCAGGATCATGTCGTGGGCTCGTACAATTCGACCATCAAAGAGCCTATGGAGAGTTTCTGTCGGAAGCATACGGAGGTCAGTATCGAGGCGGGACATTGGGTCGCGTTGGAGCAGCCGGAACAGACGAATGCGGCGATTGCGAGGTGGATATTGACTGCGATTCCGAGAGCGTGGCCGTACGAAAAGGTGACGCCGCTGAAGGAGATGAAGTAGAAAATAATTACGGAGTAGCAATGACGACCTTATGAACAATCAGCAAGCCATACCACAGGTTCCAGGAGATGTTTTCGTTGACAAGTGTCAGGGACAATGCCATGTTCTAGATGCTCCGATCCCCAATACTTAGCAGACCCTGCTATCTCCGTCCTCGAGACTCAGACGCAAAAGGACACTTAACCACGCCCGATGTATATTGGCCGATCCAGGTAATCGAGGTGTCGAAGGTTTGTGGCCGCTGTTCCGAGTCTTGTACTGATGCTGTACTCCGTTACCAGATCCAATAATCATGCTGATGCCCCTGGCATGCCCAATCTAGTCCAGTCTGAAATGTTTCTCCGTTTTCCATGCCGCCACCATCAACGCCAGCGCCTTAGCAATTGGCTTCTCTTGCAGTTCCTTCGATAAGTTCTGTGGGAAAGCCACCACCGCCTGTCGTAACGCTGCTACTCCTGCCGCTCCAAAGAAAAGCACAAACCGGTCGATCGCGTTGTTCTCGAGCATGTTCTTCAGGAGAATCAGATGACTAGTCTGAACTTCTGAAGGCGGCGTGTTGACAATATGCGCGAGACTCGACCAAAAGTGCGTTGGTGGCCATGGATTGGAGATTTTAGCTCGGGAGAAATTCCGCAATGCTATCGATGCATATCCCACTCCGAGGCCCGTTTGGCGGTCGTAATGCTTGTCGTCCGTAACAAAAGCTTTCTTGTCGTCTGATATCCGATCCGTGCGCCACCCTACACGCAGCTTCCCTGCAGATGTATGTTCTGGACCGTAAATACCGAATAGAATTGGTGCTGAAGCATGGAACTTGCACATCAAGACCGAGATCAATGATTCATTCTGAGATTTGGTCGACGAGGCATTGACTGCTTGCACATTCCTGGGAAATTGCAGCTCAGGCATAGAGAATATCTGGGCCACCAACGTACCAATAGGCTCAGCAGCTTTGGGATTAACTGCACATTCACCAACAAAGGCGTTGATTATGGCTTTGCTGAAGATGGACAAAAGATACAACACCAGTGATGGAATGGTCACCGCACCGTTGTCGTTCAGAGAGAGGTGTGGAGGAAGGAAATCGTTGACAGGCATGGGTGGCGAGGGTATTTCTCTCAGAGCCTTGTGTAGTGTCATTCGAACTCGGTCATGCTGCAATCGAAGTCAGGTATGGACCACCGCAGGGTGAAGGGGGCCGATCGACTTACCGCCTTCTTATTACCAACTTTGTCGTCAGTCAGTTGACCGACGCTCGTCCTCATTGCTCGTCTCATGTCTCCAACATGTGGTTTGAGATTGGGATCTTTCTTCACCTTTTCCCAGAAATCTTTCCGGAACTGTTTCAACTTCTTATGCACTAGAAGATAGCTTCGGTGTATAGCTTCTGTAGTTACTGCTGCGGTGCTCGTTGATGTCGGCTGGCTAGTAGGAGGAGGTATGGGTGTTGGGGCTTTGGCTGCGACAGCAGCAGCGGCTTTCTTGGCTTCTTCTTCCTTGAGCGCTGCCTCCTGCTCGACCTTTTCCTTTTCTTCACGTTGCTTCAGTTCCGTAGCTTCCTTCTCTTTCCGTCGACTCTCCTCAGCTTCGGCTTTCTGTTTTTCGTAGATTGCCAGCCGTTCAGCTTCTGCTTTCGCTCGCTCTTCTCGTTCCTTACGTTCCTTTTCTTCCCGTGCTTTTCGCTCCTGCTCCGCTCGTTTTCGGGCCTCTTCTTCTTCTTGCCGTTTCCTCTCTTCCTCTTCTAGTCGTCTTCGTTCGTCTTCACGACGTCGTCGCTCTTCTTCGTCCTTCTTGAGATAAGCGTGCAGAACCGCCTCGGCTTGAAGTCTAACAACTTCATGCTGAGCATTCGCAAGATTCAATTCTGCACGATGTACTTCGGCTTGGGCAAGTTCTCTGGCGTCCAACTCCTCCTGCTGCTGACGTCGTTGGTAGACATAAACCTTCTGGCGCTCGGCTTCTTGCAGTTGTATTTGACTGAAGGTACGTTCGAGCTCGAACTGTAATTGTCTTGACGGACTGTCGTCAAGCCTTCTGCTCCGCGGGCTGTTTCTGGCCGCAAACGGCGATGAATGGAGCTTGCTTTGAGCCATAATCGAGTCACGTGATGTTGTGAAAAGCGCCGTTTTCTGTGGCCTCTCCTGGCTTAGCAAAGACCAGACTTCTGCTTGAAGCTTCGAGGCTCCCGAGGGTAGATGAGCAGATGAGCACACAGTTTCCTCAAAGCCCTATTGAAGACAGATAAGGGAACTGTGCTCAGAATTCTGCGCTCAATAGGAACCTCCTTCACTGTGATTGAGCCGACGTGACGGGCATCATTTGAACGCGCCCAGAAACAAACTGCTAAGAAGCTGCTTCACTCGTGCTCCGAGATTTTAGCTATCGAAGTTTGGAGATCTAATGCCTAGAACAGACAATCGGCAAGATTATCGGAATCCATAAGCCAGGAGATTCCTTGGAGACTGTGACTCGATTCGACGAAACCTAGACGTACGGGTTGCCGCAAGTGACGGATGTGATGAGGTGCGGTGCAGTGCGTGGCGCGTCAAGCAGGAGCAACGCAATTGATGAGGTTCTAGAGTGCAAGACAGTGAGCTTAGAAGTTTCAGGCCTGCGAGAGAGCATCGATTGTCGAGGCGGCTTCGCGTTTGCCGGTGATGCCGGGGTCTGAGCGAGAAGGCTAGCGAGCAGTCCGAGGGCAAGTTGTGCCTGGTAAGCCTACGGTTGGGGGTATGACGGGGGTTTGGGCTTTTCACAAGAGAGTTGGTGGAGTGAGTGCCTGATTGTGGTGTTTGGAAGAGGCGCGGCCTGTGCATCCGCCCGCCTCCTAGTTCTTGGCATCAACCTCGAATTCAGCCAGCCTGATGCATGCCTCCTGGGCCGAGCATGGAGCCAAAGGAGCACAATTCCCCCTGCGGCTTACGTATAGCTACCTACCTAGGTAAGTACTTGGGTTCTTCGCTGCCAATGCAATAAAATAAATAGCTATTGTGAGGACTACGAAAGAAGAATATAAGTAGGAAGGCAGACATAGGTACGGTCGTCGTCTAGGAAATACTGACTCGCATTCGGCTGGTGCACATCACCCGCAAGCCTTCCGCACAAGCTTCACCAGCAGAACATCAGTAATACCTAGGGTAGACCATACCAAACAGGGGCCAAACCAACTGGAGTGGTGGCCAGCTATAGGCATACCTACGATAGGCCTATACCAAAACTGAATTCCAAACTGAGACCTTCCGAGGGGCGACCATCGAAGACCCGTCCCTCCCATCACTCCGCACCTACAGACTGCGTATCACCTTTCAAAAACTTAACCATCTCGATCGCAGTCAACACCACCTTTTTCCCTTTCTTCATTCATCCCATCTCCTACTTCCTCCCTACAAGCTTCCTCTCTCTCTCGGTCCTTTGGTTCATCGCAAGACAATCCTTCAGACAAACAGCCCAGAGTCACTCTCTTGTGCTCCGACTCGATCTTCGGTCTCCGCTCCCCGTCACTTCCGTTTCCTGTCCTTCCCTCGCCCAGTCTCACGTCGTCAAGCCTGCTCCGGCCACCATATCAGCCAACAGCCGCAGTCGCACTTTGCAATCATTGTTTCAGTGGATACAATCAACGACTGGCTGATTCTCCATTGCGACTGCCATCAGCTCAACGCTACTGCCTCCCATCGCTTGCCTCACTTCCCCGTGCCGGATTTGACACCTTACCTGTCCCTCCCCGGCAGCAGGCCATCACTGACGCACCTGGTTGATAAATTCACAAGCATCCTTCGTGCAACCTTCGAGTTTGGAGAATCTGCAAACACTCTTCGGCATCAAACTCATATTCAACGTCATCCAATCTTTGGTACGTTTGGTGCTTCTGACGGTATCTGATGTTGAATCCCTCATCCGAAGTTCACTGCCCCACGACCGAATCCCTTCGAGCCAGTCCTCAATCCATCAAGCTTACATTTTTCACCCATTTACCCTGTTACTACAGAGAGCTGACTATCGTCTCTAGACCCGACAAGACATTCCCTCCTTGCACTCGAACAACTGAGGAAACGTTCGGTGCTTCCATCCTTTCCGCCGCGGGTCTTGCCCTGGCCGCCGAATTCGACCTGAAAGAGTCAGGACATACCAGGCTTCTGGAAACAAATATCAATCATGGCACAACAAGGTTCTACCGGAGTGCCTGGCCCAGCCGGGCGTAGACTTCATATCGCCCACCGTCGCAGTCCATCTGAGCTCACTCCACTCATGATGGAACAACTGGCTCTTCAGCAACAGATCGAATTGCTCCAACAGCAACAACAGCAAATCGCTGCTACCCATCAGCAATATGTCAATATGGGAATGATTCAGCAGCCTTTGCAGAATATGCCTGGCTACTCACCACTTCAGGGCCAAACTAACATGGCTGGTATGTCTCCGAACAATACCAACTTTCAATTTCCACAAATGCAACAGCAGATGGGGATGCCGGCCAATCCTCCTACGCAACCCGCTGCTCACCGAAGAAACCAATCTGCCCTTCCGGGGATGGCCATGGGCCCTCCACCAGCACCATCATCCGGCACCGCTGGCTCAGCTTATGGTGACTACAACCAGCAGGCCACGGGCCAAAACCGCGAGAACGCAGGAGGACGTGGTGGAAGAGGTGGATCTTCACAAGGACATGCTCGTCGTCACTCTCTTGCGCTTCCCGAGGCAAAGAAGGCCGCCGAACTCGCTGAGAAGAAGAGAACTGCTGCTGGTTTTCAGTTCCCTATTCCAGGCGCAGGCGGTGTTACCGACAGTCCGGTAGCATCTACTCCCGCCGATGACAAATTGACCACACCTACAAGCTCACATGGACTCGGCTTGCAGCGTGCTGGTAACGCCAGAGTCACTGGGCACAATCGCAGTCAAAGTATGGCCGCTGGCGGCGCACGAGGCGGCGGAGGTGCTGGCCGCGGTTCTGCTTTCCAATTTCCACCTCCCATGGCTACTTCAGATGGTGGTGCTGGCCAGGGCAATCAGTCCGACCTGCAACGTCGTGGCAGTCAAAGCAGCCACGCCCGTACAGGCTCGCGCAACTTCGAGGGCAATTGGCGTCAGCAGAATAACCAACAGAATGCAGATCAGTCTCACCAACAGATGGGCCAGTTCAGCCAACCTCAGGGAATGAACGTAAATGCTTCAGGATTTCAACCGGGCCATAGGGCAGGCCGAGGCTCTATGAACCAGTCCATTGGTTCCATGAGCGGGTTCCAGTATCCAGGACAGCCGCAGCTTGTCCAAATGCCTCAGGGACAGATGATGATGGCTCCTCAGATGTTTCCTGGTCAACAATTGAATGCTCTGCAAATGGCTCAGCTGCAGGCAATGCAGGGTGCCCAGCTGGGAGGACTTCAGGCAAGTCAGCATGCTCCACCAATGGGCTTGCAACAGCAGCAACAGCAGCGAAAGACTCTGTTCACTCCTTATCTGCCTCAAGCCAGTCTTCCTGCTTTGTTGAACGATGGGCAGCTCGTTGCTGGTATTCTTCGAGTCAACAAGAAGAATCGGTCTGATGCCTACGTGACCACCAGCGACTTGGATGCTGATATCTTCATCTGTGGTAGCAAAGACCGCAATCGTGCCCTGGAAGGCGATCTCGTTGCAATCGAGCTCCTTGACGTGGATGAAGTCTGGGGCCAGAAACGTGAGAAAGAGGAGAAAAAGAAGCGCAAGGATATAACAGATACTCGCTCTTCAAGCAATGCCCAAAATGGCAAGAACGATACCTCGTCCTCCGCCGACGCTCAGTCCATCGCACCGGACGGTAGCATCCGACGACGTGGTAGTCTCCGACAACGTCCGACGCAGAAGAAGAATGATGATGTCGAGGTCGAAGGCCAGAGTCTTCTCCTCATGGAAGAGGAGGAGATTAGTGACGAACAGAAACCACTGTACGCTGGTCATGTTGTCGCTGTCATTGAAAGAGTCGCTGGCCAGATGTTCTCTGGTACCCTCGGCCTGCTTCGACCGAGCAGCCAGGCCACCAAAGAGAAACAAGAGGCTGAAAGACAAGCTCGTGATGGCGCACACAATCGCTCAGAGTCTCGTCAACAAGAAAAGCCCAAGATTGTTTGGTTCAAGCCAACCGACAAACGTGTGCCTCTTATCGCTATTCCTACCGAGCAAGCTCCGCGAGATTTCGTCGACAAGCACATGGACTACGCCAACAGAATCTTTGTTGCTTGCATTAAGCGTTGGCCAATCACTTCGCTGCATCCTTTTGGGACCCTTGTTGAGCAACTTGGCGAGATGGGAGACCTACGGGTCGAGACCGATGCCCTGTTGCGTGACAACAACTTTGGAGCCGACGAGTTCTCTGATGCTGTCTTGAAGAGCGTGGGATGGGAAGATTGGTCTCTCGAGGCCGAGAGCGAGGAAGTTCTGGCTAGCCGTCTTGACCTCCGCAACGAGCGCACCTTCACCATTGATCCTATGCATTCAAGCGAGCTCGATGATGCTCTGCATATCAAGCAGCTTGATGATGGCTTGGTCGAGCTTGGCGTTCACGTCACCGATATCGCTCACTTCGTCAAGGCAAACTCGCTCGTCGACCGAGAAGCGAAGAAGCGAGGTACTGGTGTATACCTGATGACACGTTCCGTCAACATGCTTCCACCACGACTTTCATCCGAGATCTGCTCGCTTCTTCCAGGCCAAGGCCGCTTGACTGTCAGTGTGATCTTCAAGGTCCATCCCGACACTGGGAAGATTGAGGGAGAACCTTGGATTGGCAAGACTATCATCCAGAGCTCCGGCAAGCTGGCATACGATGAGGTTGATACCGTCATCAAGGGGGGCGACAACATCGACCTGCAGGGTGCTACCAGCGCCGACATCAAGACCTTGCACGGCATTGCCAACAAGTTCCGGGAAGCTCGATTTGGTCATCGTTCTGCCGACATTGCACCACTACGCCTCTTCTACCAACTCGACGATGAAAATGTGCCAGTCGAGCAGAACATTTTCAACTCTTCTGCTGCACACGAGATCATGGAAGAGATCAGCTGCAAGGCCAACTTCTTCGTCGCGCAAAGAATCTTTGCTGCCATGCCCGACAAAGCGTTCCTGAGACGACAAGCACCTCCCAATCCGCGACGTCTTCTTACCTTCGCCGATCGAATGACTCGAGCTGGCTACGAAGTCGATGCAAGCAGCAGCGGTACTCTGCAGAACAGTCTTTTCCAGGTCGGGGATCCTGACTTCCGCAAGGGCATGGAGACTTTGTTAGTCAAGACTTTGCAGCGGGCCAAGTACTACATTGGTGATCAGCTCGCAGAGGAGCAGCGGCAACACTATGCCTTGAACTTGCCCATCTACGCTCATTTCACCAACCCATCCCGTCGCTATGCTGATATTGTCGTACATCGCCAATTGGAGGCTGCTCTGTCCAATGGTGCGATTGAATTCGGCGAGGATATGGAGAGTTTGGCGAAGACTGCCGAACAATGCAACAACAAGAAGGACTCGGCTCATTGTGCTCAGGAACAGAGTGTGCACATCGAGTCTTGCCGACTCATGGACAAGAAGAGTAAAGAAGTGGGTGGTGACCTTATTAGTGATGGCATCATCATTTGTGTCTACGAGTCAGCCTTTGACGTTCTCATTCCCGAGTACGGTTTTGAGAAGCGTGTCCACTGCGATCAACTGCCCTTGAAGAAGGCCGAGTTTCGCAAGGAGGAGAGAGTGCTCGAGCTGTACTGGGAGAAAGGTGTCCCATCGTCAGCTTATGTCCCTGAGGACGAGAGACCACGGGCCAATGCAAGCACCAGAGCGAACGGTGGTTCCGACTCTGCAAAGGAGCGTGCCAAAGAACGATTTGAAGCGCAGCGAAAGCAGACTGAGAGTAACACCATGTCGACCGACGATGTCGATGCTCTGTTCGACGATGAGGATAGTGCTTCTGAGATGACGGAAATGGCTGCAGGAGTCTCTTTGAATGACCGCTCGATCCGGAGCTTGCCCGCATCTCCAGGCCGGAATGGATCGTCTGCGCAAGGCGCTACCAGAACTCAATCCGACTCGAAAATCGGCAGATTTGTTGGGGACGTCCCAGAGAACCATCTCACGGATAAGGAGAAGTATCTGACCTACTTCTCACTTCGTGAGGAAGGTGGTGAATACATTCAGGACGTCAGAGAAATGACTCGAATTCCAGTCATCCTCAAGACCGATATGACGAAGAGTCCTCCGTAAGTTTTCCTGATCATGACGCTGACCTGCGCAGACCTGCTGACTGTTCTGCTAGATGCCTGACAATTCGATCTATGAATCCTTATGCATTGTAATCAATGCGTAATGTCTTATTTGTAATACTTGCCAAGAGCAAAGTAATCATCACCACAAAGTTGCCCTCGAAACGAAAGGTGTAAGTCTGGGGAAGTGGGCTTTACGAGGCATCGGCGTATCAACAAGAAACAAGTATCTAATACTTGACGCGAAGCTCGCGTTTGCCTAGAGTTGGAGAAGGCATGGTACTTGGGACAAGTACGTGATTGGGTGTGCTGTGCATGGCCATGCGAGCTGGAGTGAGATTGTGCGAGTCGAAGTGCAGCAGAAGAAAGCACTGTGTGAGCGAAGGGAAGCAGACATTGATTGTGGAAAAGATTGCAAAGAGCTGTAATCAGGAGTTTTCCTATTAGCGTGATATGCATAAAAGTCTCTATTTCTTTCATTGTCAGTCCGTCTTATCATATCTGGCTCGTGTGTCTTTCCGTGTCGGTATCCTTGAGACTCGTGGACTTGGATATGCGAGAGCATCAAGTTAACTTCCTGCTTCTTGCAGGCCGCAGCCAAGCCACCTCTGACGGAGCATTGCGAACTTGTAGGAGATGCAGAATGGTCAAGTGTTTCTTCCTCTAAGCCCCTTCACCACTCCAGATTCACGATGTCGGGAAGGGCTTTCACTATACCGTCGTATGTGCTTCAGGAAAAAATCCACTCGAGCTGGCCATCTCAGTCATCTCCAGGCCCGACCTACCCTCGACTCCCTCGACTCCCTCGGCTTCTCTAACAGCCACTTTTGTCATCAGGGTTCGTCGGCCAGATTCAAGGCGAGATTTTTTAATCGCCCTTGGCAATCTTTTCGAAGACGGCCACACCATATCGTCCCAGCGCACTCGCACAAGCCACAGCCTGAGCCCCAACCTTCCGCATTCTCTCGTAACCAGCCTTATCCTCGACACCACCAACGCCGATGATAGCAACGCCTCTCGTCTCAGGCTGCCGAGTCAACAACTCGTGAAACGTCGCAACATTGCCCAGCGCCAGAGGATGTAACGCGGCACCAGCCATTCCACCGATCCCCGTGCCCGACTCGCCGTTCAAGACGGGATTCAACTCCGAATCCAACAACAAGGACGAGCCGAGCGTGTTTGTGCACGTAATAAAGTCCAGCACACAGCCTTCGCCGGGCTCGCTGGACTGGGCCTTCTGCATGGCGGAGACAACCATTTCGAACTGGGCCGTGTGCGTGTAGGGCGGGAGCTTGACACCGACCTTGGGCACGGACTCGGGCGTGGCCATACGTCCGCGGTACGTGGATTTCGAGTCGGATATGGCCTCGAGGTATTCGGCAAGCTGGACGGGGTCGTAAGCTGGGGGAGGCGCGTCTTTGATGTTGGGGCAGGAGAGGTTGACTTCCATGGCCAGGCGGAGGTCTTCGTCCATTTCGGCGGCGTTGGCGATGAGGGCGTAGGCCATGGCGATCTCATCGGGTGTGCCGGTCACGCTGAGGATGAAGGGCTTCTTGGTTGGGGTGTCGGTGCCCAGGTGTCGTTGGCCGACGATCTCGTTGATGTAGCCCAGATACTCGGAGAGGGTGAAGGGCGAGTAGCCTAGCGTGTTGAGGGTTGATATTGGGCTGGCCGCGGCGGACGATGTCTGGGCCGAGGCCGAGGGTTTGGAATCCTCGCCCTTGGGTGCTTTGGCCGGGATGGTGGTACCGGGCGTGAAGAACGTGTATTGGTGCACCGAGTCATCGTGAGTGAAACCTTCGAGGAGGGAGGTGCGGATGGTCACGGCGCCGGTGTAGGGCGAGTCGTAGAGTGCTTTGATGTCCTCGAGGGTGGTGGACCACGGGCAGGCGGAGTTGAGGAGAGGAGGGTCGATGTTCAATTTGGAGGAAGACATGTTCGACCTGAGAAGATAATTAAGTTGGTTGTATAGTAGTAGTACTAGGAGCAGTAGCTACAAGGTGTGAGGCTCGTGTCAAGGAAGTGTTAGAATGTCAGCTTGGGCGGAGCGTCGAAGCATTGAGTTTTCTCGGTGCGGCGAAATCCCAGCTAGAATTCAACGGCACGGAATCTTATCAGAATGTCGAGGCCGGTGGTAGGGGTTGATGCGAATTTGACTTGTCCATTTGGGAGAAGAAGAAAAGAAAGGCAGCAACTCTATCTACCTACGGAAATCGAGCTGACGTTGAATGTCCGGCGCACGTGAGGTGCAATGTACGACTTCCAATGGCGCCCCTCTTACATGCCATCCCTCACTCCATCATGACGGGGGCCACAACATTCCCTGTGCGTATGGCCAAGTTATTTACACCGAATCTCTGGATAGAAGAAATGGCGTTGTCTGGGCTAGGCGGACCAGATAAGTTACTTAGACGATTCTTCGAGAATGTGACGTTCGAGCGTACGTCCTCATGCTACATCGGGAGTCTACTGATCACAAGCCAAGACAACACCGCCTCAAAGGTCAAGAGGGCCCTTTGATGAGATGAGATATGCTCGAGGCCAGGCAATGTCATTTCCTTCTGCCCGGACGCTGAACGCCACTTCCAACAATTTTGTCATAGGACCAACCTCCGACTCGCTGCAACGTGTGCCCTCCAAAACCCACTATTCCTATCAATAGTGACAGCGAAGCTGAAAGAGCTGAAAGGAAGTCAGCTCATAATAACGTGTGGTTTTTGGATCTTCCGAGAAAGTCTTCAGCAGATCTCACGTCACAGAAAAAGCAGGACAACAACAGTATCCTGTGGTAGCCAACACAGCAAAAGGACTTGAACAAGGACGTGAGTTTGAACGTCATTTGGCATTTTTATGGTCATAATGCTCATCATCTATTAGGGAGGGCAATGAACTGATCGCCAATGCGAGGCTGCGGCGACAGCAGATATTCGGAATTTCGACACAATGACTGACAGACATGCGTAGATCGTGCCTTGACCCCTTAGAGTTTCTGCAGATCGTTAGTACTCGGCTCAATCTTTCGGAAAAGGGGATACTTGCCTGCATGGCGACTACATCAGTACTCTGTACGTGATCCTCGTCCTCTTCGATCTGCTGCTGCAACTCGTCGAGAGAGACCTTCTCGTCCTCAACGACCAAGTTGATTTGCAGCTTCTTGATACCGAAACCAACAGCTTGCAGCTTGTGAGCACCCCAGACCAAACCATCCTTCTCAATGGCCAACACGTTCTTAACCAGCTCGTTCATATCGGTCTCGTCATCCCAAGGTTTGACGTCCAACGTGACAAGAGATTTGGCGGCTGGCTTGGTCTTGCCTTCCTTCTTCTTCTTGTACTCTGCGAGTCTCTTCTCACGCTCGGCAACGACTTCTGGGTCTTCCTCTTCCTCGTCTGAGCCGAAGAGATCCATTTCGTCGTCATCCTCGGCAGCTGGAGCATCCTTCGGGTTGTGCGTCACAGCAACTTCCTCGGGTCCATATGTGTTGAACGGCTTGGATGGGTCGCCAGGCAGGGTAGAGAAGTCGGCCTCGTAGGACTTGATGTGGTTGTACCAACGGTAGGCGTGGGGGTACAGTTCAACCGGAGGAGCCTTGTCGATGGACTTGAAGCTGACAACGTCGGCTTGAGATGGAGTGTAGCTTTAGAGCATATGTTAGCGACCATGGTACGCAATGATCGTATTGGGCAGAACACTGCTTGACAATAAAATTCAGAGGTGCAAATGCTTGCGATTGGAAGTAGTCATTTTGCGGTGTCTTAAGCCGCCTCATCAACACGGACCAAATTGTTCTCATCTTTCAAACACGGAAGGGGATTGCAAAACAACGTATAAAGCTACATACCCAGTGATGTAGGATCGAGTTTTGAGCCAGTTGTTGAGCACTAGAGTCAATCAGCGGCGGTTCTAGAGGGGATCTGGGGCGAGGAAAACATACGGGTGAGACCGCTGTCGGAGACAAAGTCGGTGAAGCCCATCTTAGAAGATTGTTCAGTATGTGCTCTGATCGATCGAATATGTCAGACCGGTTGCAAGCGATTAAATACTAGGGAGAATAGTAGGCGCAGTTCCAAACGGTCCAAACTGAAATCCGAAATCAAAAAACTTTAGGAGTCAAGTTCGGCTTGCGCCAAGCCTGCGATGTACCCAGAACTTGCCTCTTTTACAAGGCTTTCTTGCTGCTTTTAGGTGCGTTTGACGACGGGCAACCCAACACTTGGAGAAACCTTTCCAAGGGGCCTTTCGATTGTCCTAAGCCCTTACAGTGCAGATGGCTGACTTGACTCGGCGCTCGCAGGAACTGCACGCTATTGCTCAGAAGAGTGCCAGGAGAAGGAATCTCATGAAGGTAGTTAGACACACGCGCACGTGTTCACCATCCAATATCATTCATTTACTGCTGTTTCGTGCACAGGGTATCTGGAGCTCGTGATTCGTATCCTCATATCCGTTTGGCGTGTGGTACTCCGTTTGAGTATGCCTCAACCATTCCACCCCATTCAATTGAACAGAGAGTCGTCCGATTCGTAATCATCCTCGTCCGCCTTGCCATCTTTGTCTCTTGTGTTCACCGTCGCGTCACCGACGTTCAAAAGCACATTCTCCCGAGTCGCCCCAGCCTCTTCCTCGTCATCATCCGCCTCTACATCCTGGTCCTCTTCTACCACGGTAGCCGCCGTCTTCAGCTGTTTCTCTTCGTCAAGCTTTTGAAAAGCTTCACCCCAAGCTACAGCCCAAATTGCATCATCCTCGTCAGCTTCTTCCGGAGTCTCCTCTTCTCGCTCCTTCCGCTTAGCTGCTTCTTCTTTTCTTCTCGCAACCATCTCCCGCCTCTTTCTTGCTGTTTCCTGTCTCCTTCTCGCTGTCTCTTTCTTCCTTAGCTCTTCTGCCTCCTTCTTTTTTGCCGCCTCCTCCTCATTCTTTGCTTTCTCTATCTCCATTAGCTTGTTGGCTTCGGCCTGCTTTTGCTCCGCATGCCTCTGTAGCTGCTCCTCAGTCGGGTTGATATAACCCAGATGCTGGTTTATCGCTTCGTTCTCCGTTGGGTTCATCCAGTGGTAAAACTTAGTTTTCTTGGCCCGTTTGGCTGATGGTGCCATGCTGTCGCCATCGTTCGACACGGGTGGGGACGGCTCCGGGTTGGCGGAGACCACGGGGACAGGCGCCACTGGAGTCGGAACTGAAGCAGAATCGGATTCTGACTCCCGATGACGACGCTGACCAGCAATTTGTTGACCAGGATTGGACTGCTGGGCTGGCCCAGGGGTTGAAGTAGCTCGTGCAATTGGATGTCCCAGAGCAAGAGCAGTAGCCACGGTGCATGGGACGGGCGGTGCAAAAGCAGCATCAGGGACCGCAGGTTGTGGAGCGTATGCTGGGGTTGGAGCTTGAGCCGCGGTAACCACTGTATAGGCCTCATGCTGTTGGAGGTTTGTTGAGCCTGGGGCTGTAGTCGAGCCGTCGTCGTCATCCGTAAGATCCACATGCTCAGGTCGTCTAAGCACCGGGGCCGTTAGTGGCCGAACTGTGTTTCCGTTGTTTGGTAGTAACACGTAGGGATCATTTGGTACGATACTGCCAGCCCATGCCGTTACCCGGGCTTCGTGTTGTGCTTGCGCTTCCGGGACTGGTACACCAGGCTCGACGACGGCGGTTTGTCGTGGGATTGTACCTGGCACGAGGGGACGCAGGCGGCCATCTGGTTGGATTTCGAAGTCCAAAGTACCTCGCAGCATGCGATAGTGTGCTGTTATTGCGGAGGCACGGCGGAGGAGGCCTTGGTGGTTTGCTCTGAGATTCATGTTCTCCTGGGTCACCAATTCAAGACGTTCTTGAAGGTGAGCGTTCTCCTGCTGAAGATTGGTGAGCTGCTGGTAGACATTGGCGCTTCGATAGCCCCCATAGGTATGGTTCATATTGGCGTTGGCGAACGTGTAGATGGTACTGTTCTGGTTGGCTGGTGTGGGCATGGTGCCGGACTGCGAGCTATAGTTGACGACACTGGCTGGCATTGGCCGCACGGCGTTGGTCCTCGGCATGGGCTGAGCCATGAAGTTGTTCGTGCCAGGGTTGCCCCCGTTCATAGTGCCCATGAACTGGCCATTGACGAACTGGTTGTTGACGGGTCCAAGAGAGGGTTGGAAGGTGTTTGGTGAGAAGGGGGGTGTTGCAGGCAAAAGATGGCGTGGCTGCATGCTTCTCTTGTTGTTCTCCATCGTGAAAGTGTAGAGCTGGGTAGACTGGTTGGTGGTCGAGAAGTGCACAGAAGGTAGCAACACAGAGGAGGTGTGAGCACGCTCAAAATACCTTTCGTGGCGTTTGTGGGGAGAGACTGCAGAAGAAGAGATGCAATATCTTACGATATCGAAGGTGCCCGAGTGAGTGTCGGGGTGTTGAGTGCAATTGTAGACAAGACAACTTCAAGTCAAGGAATAGATCGAGAGTAGCAGTGCAAGTCTTGATCGGCTGTGTGCAAGATCCGGCGGGAGAAGGGAATGAAAAATCTTTCCCACAACATAGGGAGATGTGTGCAGACACAATGTCGCAGCAGCTGGTTCAGATCCCTGAATCCTGCCTCGTCGTCTGCTATTCGTGTATCCAGCTTTTAGGACTTGACTCACTCACGCCTCAGGCTGGCCAATGAGCAGGTAAAACCAATTGTGAGGGCAGCCCGCTACCCGCATTGCAAAAGGTTTTCCATGGGATCGTGAGGACCTCAGCGATGGTCCTCACGATGTCACTCCATTCGACACAGTCCTCTGTTGAATGAGCATCCTGCTCGCCTGTATTCACAATAGCGAAAAGGCTATCGTCCCATTCTGGGCCCACCATTGGTCCTCCTACCATTGTGGTGAGTTTTTGTGAAGTAGTGAAGTTTTTAGTTCTGCTTCAATGTCCTTTACACTGCAAACAACACGACTGTCAAGCTATTAACAGAGATTGTTTGGATGGACGTTGACGAACAGCCAAACAGATAATATTCTTCCGATAAGCGTCTTATCGAGACTGCATTGTTTATTGGATTATCGGATCACCATCTCCGCCAATGGCCGAAGAGCAGCCGGACGACATTAGCAACACCACCAACACCTCCTCACAATCCTCCACCACCCATTCATCTGCGTCACCCTTTCACATTGCAGAAGGCTCCTCAGCAGAGCTTGAGAGACTTCTACCCGATCCAGAGGAGACAGAGAATGAGAGGAGACCTTTCGAAGACATGAGTGTCATTCTCTGCACAGGTATGCTGCCCATATCCCGCTCTACAGTTTGTGAAATTCGCTAACAACAGTTGTTTCAGCGGGCTACGACCATACCGTTCGGTAAGCAAGAATCACCTACACCAGCGACATACTTTGAGACTGACAAACTAAAGGTTTTGGGAGGCGCTCTCGGGAATTTGTTCTCGAACAATCCAACATCCTGAATCCCAGGTGAATCGACTATGCATCACTCCCGACAAGAAGTACCTCGCGGCAGCTGGCCGACACATGGTGCGTCTCTACGACATCAAATCGAGCAACCCGAACCCTATTATGCAGTTTGAAGGGCATACAAACAATATCACTGGTGTTGCATTCCACTGTGAGGGCAAGTGGATGGTGACAAGTTCGGAAGACTGCACCGTAAGAGTTTGGGACACAAGATCAGGTCAGATCCAGCGCAACTACCAACACACTCATCCTGTCAACGATGTAGTCATCCACCCGAATCAAGGTGAGTTGGTCAGCTGTGACCGCGGTGGTAACATCCGCATCTGGGATCTCGGCGAAAGCAAATGCACCCATCAACTCGTTCCTGTTGAAGATGTCTCTATGGCGAGCGTGAGCGTTGCTAGCGACGGCTCTCTTCTAGCAGCTGGGAATAACCTGGTTAGAAATCATCTCCCATTACTATCATGCTCTGGCTAATTTCGCAGGGTGATGTCTACATCTGGCGCATGTACCAGAACCACGACTCAACCAGTCTCCTGCCATGCCGTGTCTTCAAAGCTCATAAAGACTATCTCACTCGCCTGCTCTTGTCACCGGACATCAAGCTCCTAGCGACATGCAGCGCCGATCACACCGTCCGCGTTTGGAGGATCGACATGAACGAAGAACATCTCGAGGCGATTCCCCAGGCTGAAAGTCAGCCAGATACTCTCAATTCAACCACGAGTCAAAGCCAGCCAAATCTCAACGGTAGCTCGGGCAGTCCGCAGTCACCAGCCAATCCAGTCGTGCCTGGAGATGCGTCAACGTACTATCAATCCCGCTCGACTGGCAGTCTCGCTTCGGCTTCGCAGTCAATGTCGGCATCATCGTTCCGCGCTCTGACCGATTTGATCACGACTCGACGCCCCCTTCCATGTGATGCAGTTCTTGACAACCATCAGCGCTGGGTCTGGGACTGCGCCTTTAGCGCCGACTCTGCTTATCTTGTCACGGTGTGCAGTGATCACTACGCTCGTCTTTGGGAGCTTAGCACCGCCAGCATCATACGTCAGTACAACGGTCATCACCGTGGCGCCGTTTGTGTTGCTTTGAATGATTACTCCAACCCACCATAGGAAGGTGAGGCATTGGAAGATTTGATCTCTTTGTAAAGCGTGGGCGCATGGCGTTCGAAGGAGAGTGAAAAAGCAGGGTCCACACGACTTGAACACGACGTGCATTCTGAACACAGTTGGACTTTCCCATCTTCGGCTCGAGACAGGGCGTCTCTATGCATTGAGCTTTGGTCATGAACTGGAGTCAAAGCTTTGTTTGACTCCATTTAGCTTATATGGTTTTGCATCCGTGCAACTACTGATTCGGCATGAAGGTTACCTGGAATGCATTGGTGCTTGTCGATATTGCTGGAATGGGCTGAACATGTGAAGCAGCTTTACAATGTGCTATTATGAATGATACCTAAAGAGTACCTCCTATGTACCTAGCCGTGCTTTCCCGGATGCACAATCGAAATTGGCTAGTTCTGTCATTAACGAGCTGATATCAGCTCTTCTCTCACAACCAAGCTTTCTGCTGTTCCGACAACTCCAGTTCAATTTTCCCATTCGAAGTGGTACCGCTCCTCTCCAGCCTTCCGAGAATGAACAGCTCATGCTTCGACCAGTCTAAGAACGAAATTTACCACAACCGCTGCCAACAGGGCCAGCGCCAGCACGGTGGGTCCGATTCTGTCATCGAAACCGCCTTGGCCTCGGATCCGGATACTCTTTGCTCGCCAGTGGAAGGTGGACAGCGCATATATCATGGCCGCCATGGCGACAAGTGTGAACAGCCCAGCAGATATGCGGCCGACCTTGTCGCCAAAGTTGAGGAGGCCGACGGCCAGACCGCCCAGGATGACGGTGAAGTTGAGCCATGAGAGGAAGGTGCGCTCATTGGCGAAGAAGACCTTTGGCTCGACGCGCGTAGGAAGGGCAATGCGTTTGCCAGGGGCGCTTTGAAGAAGGGGTTGTTCGGACATGGTGGTGCTTGGTGTTGTTTGTTAGGTTGATGTTGTTGCACGAATACGATTGCTGCGGGATGGAGCAAGCCCACTGGGTTGTATTGAATCGTCTCGGCGGATTGATAACAGACGGCTTCTTGCAGATGGAGAAGGCGGTTTCGGATATTCCACCTCTTGAAGCTCTAGTCACGTATACACAAGCTCTATTCCTGAAGACCCGGGTATAGATAACGGTCGCTGATCGGATCCTTGGTTTCTGTACAGGATATCACTCGACTGCTTCGTGTAGACTCGGCCAATTGTGGAATATTCCGGCTCCCTTCGGCAGTGCAAAGTGAGGTCACTGGACAGTGAAGTGCTCGCTCGGTAGGTCGCAGGTAGTGAAGAACGACTCGGGCAACCGCAGATAGGCTCGTTTCGTCGTGTTTGCTTGTCTTTTCTGCCGCGCAACTTTCAATGGCCAGGAGATTTGGTGCGAATGATCAGAAAACAATGCAATTCCGCCTTTCACGGACTCGAAGATATACACACTCTTAAAGCACTGACCTAACAAAATGGAAAAAACTTTGCAACGGTTGCTTGCTTGTTGAAGCGACGAGGGCATTGGTGGGGCAAGCTGCACCATTCGCGTATCCAAAAAAGCGCACGTGCTACGACAGCTCGAAATTACGCTTGAGAGAGGAAAATGTCGACCCTACACATAATACGGAGGGTCAAATCAACCTTCAACGCAGCTCCTCCGCACCGAGATGCACAACCGTCAACAATCGACGTGCCCCCCAAGCAACTAGCGAGAAGTCGTTTGCAAAAACCTCAAGATCGTCTTCGGCAGATCAGAACCACATCGGCGTACGGCAGCAGTGACTGTCCACACCAGATCCAAGCAAACCATCCTCTGACAGATTTCCGGAGAAGACTCGCGAGAAAAGCGTCCACAATCAGTTTGCGTGCTAAGAGGTGGAAAGCGGAAGTTCAAGGCCGAGAGCAAAAGCAGGACAAGGAAGCTCGCGAACCATACGAGACCCACGAGAAAGACAGCTTTTTTGGTGGAAGCAATCTAGGCTTTGAAGAGCAGAAACCCGATCTCGTATCAGACCGCAACCACGCAAACGTACAAGAAGTTGAGACTCGGGTCAACCAGGCCGTGAACTCCTCTACAGCATCTGCGGTCACTACCATCTATCCTGCCGCACCAGCGGAACCTGTCCCTGACCAGCCAGGTCTTGACGTTACTTTGTCGCAGAAACCTATATCTGCCTCGGTCGATCCCGTCCAAGCCTACATCCTTTCTCAACAAGAAAATCACACCCGCAAAGAAGAAGCAGGCGGCATTATCTGTGTCGACATGGCCTCCGAACAAGCAGCTCCCCCTGTCCCTTATACTCGTCTGAAAGAGATTACCGAGAATGTGAGTTGTGGTCCCTTGCTCCTTCCACCTTCCCCTCTGGCCAGTTGTGGGTGTCGTACTGACTGACGATGGATGCAGGCCTGTTCAGCGGCCCTCGAAAACGTCACTGCCTACTCGCATGCAGACACCGAGTCTTGGAACACGACAATTATCAACAGCATCCTTGGAGCACTGGTCGAAGAGACCGCCAAATCGACGTCAGGCTCCACGCCGGCCCAACCACAGTTTAAATACATCGTCAACAGCACGATCATTCAGCACGCATCTAGCTCGTCGTCATCAGAAGGGAAGACCGGCGGCCGTCGAGGCATGCACGCCGCCAGCGGGGCGTACTGGAATAACGAAAAGGACGGGATGTGGAGCTACAAGTATCCCGGGGCGGAGAGTAAAGGGCTCGATGTGGTGGTAGGAATCATCTGGATTTGGGTCGGTTAGGTACCGATTGAAGTCCTTGACGATGGCCAGGGATTTCTCCCAATTAAAAAGGAAGAAGAACGGTGAAGAACGCATCAAATAAATAGGCATACTTTTGTCGCTTGTCTAGGTTAGTTGGTGTGAGAAGAGAGGTCAGCATAAACCCGAATAAGTAGCCACTGAAAGTCAGTCAAAGACAACTTTGCTTTGCCTTGCTCTGCTCCAATTTGCCAACATTTCAATCTAAAGACCAAGTACTTTCGCACGTCCCTCCGGCAATGTCTATATCTTTCTGTCACGCAACTGGAGCGTCAGACTTGAAGCCGGCTGAGACCGTCAATGCCGCTGCGAAGCAGAGTGACGTAACAGGGACGGTTGCCAAAGGAGGATACCTGAGGTTTAGGTGGATGCAAGACATGAGGCAAAGAAGCTGCGGCAGCCTCAAGCGAGGAGAGATCGACGGTTGAGTCCTCGTAGATCGAAATGTGTACACGCACATGTAGATTGCATGTGGGATCAAGAATGGATTCCTATGAGGTGGACGTGGCCTATGTGGGACTTGTACCGCATAGGAGTATCAGTTTCAGAGACAAGTAGCAGTAGCACGCAGCGGTTCACTGTCGACACAGTGATAGTCAGACCGTGCTTTAGGATAGACATTTTTGCGGTGAGAAAGCCAGATCCGGAGACTAGGTGATCAGCAACAATTCCTTTCGCAGTCTCATTGTGGATATTGGTGGAGACGAGTAGCTACCTAGGTAGGCAGATACTACGAGCTCGTAGGTATTAGCCGACGGCAGCGAATCTGGCAGATTCTAGGGAAGGTCCAGCACATGTTTTCCGTGTGCAGACGCTCTATCCTGTTCTTGAAGGTGGCGACTCACCCGATCGAATGTCGAGGCGCTCGACGATTGATCTCTGGCACGATGCAGAGTGCCGGAATCAGCTGTAGGCATCACCATCCTATGCACAAGTCCTCTGCACTGAGAAAAGTCACCGTTTGCGCGTTTCTCACTCTTTCCCTACGCACGTACTGGTCCCCACTTCCACATGAATAGTAGGAAAGTTGAACAGATGAACCTTGACAAGCACCCAGAAGTTCAATGCCACATATAGAAGCTCATTGGTCCAGCATGGAAAAACTGTTCCGTCCATGAATGAGATGTTGGCTGGAAATGTCTGAGGCTGAGATCAGGTTGTTGAAGTGCCTAATCTCGACTCCTTCGATTTTGAGATTGAAAAATCGAGAGCCAGTCATGGAGGCCAACCACCGCGATCAACGGCCACGTTGACGTACAAAGGTCGAAAGCTCGTGCGCGGAAACGTGGTTGCAGCCAGGATGGACCAATTGGGCGCGATCACAAGCATCTTAGGCTGAGCGGAGTGCAATAACGTGGCGAGAGTAAATTTCAGAATTTGGTCTTGTTGATGCCAGCTTCCGCAGGGACACAGCACCGATGCTGAAGGTCGATCAGAACGTTTATGATGTTGTCCCACAGAGATCAAGATCTCTTGCGTCCTGGACCGGAAGTCCCTGGGGCACCCTTGTGTTGTACCTTGTGTGATATCCACAATGTTCAAGGATATGTGCACATTGTGTTGTAGATCTGACATGGATATGGGCCGGGCATACTCGTAGCGAAGCTGTCCTGAACGTCAGAACGTCCAAGCGAAGGGTCAGCTCTGTGAATTTGGGAATAAAGATCGACCACACTTAGTCGAAAGAAGTAATAGACCTGGATCCTTGAGCCGGCTGACTGGTCAGGAGTAGGTACTTCCTCAAATTGTAGTTGATTATTCTGGCTTGTGGCGGAGCTTCTCTGGAAACAGAGCATTCTAGAATTCCTCGCAGCGAGTGATAATCATATGATGTTGCACTCGGGCATCAAGAGTTCCGTTTTCTCTAGGCTCAAAATATGCTGAAGCGGAAGAGATCATCGATTGCCTAACAGCGAAGGCCGCGGTTCGATGGATTGCCGGCACGAGGTAAGTGGAGTCTGCTGACATGATCGGCGAGCAGATCGAGGTACCAGTACGCGCATGAGAAAAGTCCATCCCGATGAAGAGGCCATACCACTTCTGGATTCGGACTTTCGTATACTTACCCAGAAAAGTGACAATGCGCGCCCATCTTGTTGTGATCACGCTAGATAGAGCTCTTGTGCAGTCGACGATCTCAAGAGCACTTGACCCCGACTGGATCGGGCAGATGCAGGTCATATTGAGGGGCTTTATGTGAGTGACGATATGTCCACTCAGAAGTGTCAGTGAGGCATCCGACGCAATAATTCGCATCTCCACGCAATGCACCGTGTCAATCGAAGGTTGACAGGAGAGCCGATCGACAATCGGAGCTGGAGGAAATTTTGCAAAGAGCCTTCAGGACGCTCCGACGGCAAGATCACTCAAGATGTTGTGGAAGAGTTTGGCCTCCAGCCCAAGATCCGATGCGTTCTCGGAATCCAATTGGTTTCGCCCTCTTCGATCCGCCCTCAATGAGCAAATACTGGACAATCCACATTCTTTTGCAGTCATAATTAGCTTGACAAGCGGACATTCGATGACATCGGGCAGCTGGCATGAAGTTCGGGTGGAGCCGAGCTAGCAGAAGGGGACCAGGGATGTCGATAAAGAAAGACACGCCGAGTTGGGACGCGCACAACGCGGCAGCGAGCACGGATGGGGTCTTTTGGTCCGGTGGTGGCACCAGCTCTTGGATCATCAATAACAAAGACAGCCAAGCAAGCAGACGTTCGCCTGGAAGAGCGGATTGGGCCATTGATTGGCTCAGTCAGCAGTGACTGTGGGCGCTGCACCAGTGGCTTGCAGCTTTTCAGCAGCATATGTCATGTCTGCTGCGGACCGGACGACGCCGTGAGCTGCAAGATACTAGGTACACGTCAGCGTGCGCAGTATGGAAAAGGAGCGATTGGATCTGTGCCTGGAGAGCCTAAGTTAGTGGTGGTTGCAGCACTGGCAGTGGCAGCGCAGGTCGCCTGCTCGTGCGTGCCATCGTTGTGTGTGGCTCTCTTTCTCTCGACGAGTCATACCACAGGGGTCGCTCGCCTGGCTTTTTCCGTGGTACACCATTCTTGAGAATCGTGTTTTTGTCCACTACTGTCGCTGTGTCCTCAGGCCAATGCACGTCGCGCGTGCAATTGCCTGGGATAGAAGAACTTTGCCGAGCCCCCTCGCTCTCCTCTCTTGACCCTAGTCCCTTTTCGGCCTTACGTCAGGGGCCCATCATGCCTGCGCCTGCGCCTGTGCTGTGCTGCACCCAACCTGTTCCAGTGTCTCCTCCTCTTAACACCAGCCCATCCAACCTGGAACCCACCACACCACCATGACCAGCCCACCAATTGGGGCTCGCCGACTACCTAGTACCTATTGTGTTCACTGCCCTGTCAGCGGAAATCTATTTTCGCCCTTGCACAGCTCGCTTTGCCTGTCGTGTCGTGTTGGAGCTTCCCGCTTTGTGCAACACCTCTGGATCTTGCAGTTCGTGCTAACTATCCTGCAGGCCCATCTGAAGCCCATCGCAGTCATCTCACTGGTGTTGATGGCCCCTGTCTGCTCATGTCGAGAGATCCGGCCGACAGCCGGGCTTGGAGATGCCATCATCACAGCCGTCCCCTTCTAAGCGACTGGTCTACCTCGTCCCGAGTCCACAGGCTATTCCTTCCGTCCGCCAGATGCGATCGTCCAGCTCTGCAAGGGTTGTCACCGATCTATTGAATCACTCATCACAGCCAAATGCTTCGACTGGACCTGAATCATCCCCAGACCCCTGCCTACCTGAAACTATCGAATCTGATGCCTCAGAAAGGCCACAACCGAAACGATACAATGATTTTGTGTTTCAGACCAGTATTCGCTTTCAACCTGATGCCCAGAGCAACAAGTGATAGTTGGTCAGGCTAGACAGCCTCACTTCCGCCAATGGCAAAAACATGACGCTGATTCAAGATTCGACACTTGCTTGCGTACCGTCAACTCGAGGCCGTCCATCTTCAGTAATTGGACATGCTTCTTTCTGTTCACCGTGGCTCTGTCGCCCTGTTTCGCTTGGTTTCGGTCATCGCTGTGTCTTCATCATTAGCTTGGTGACGACTCAAGCTGAACGATTTCAGCCGGATCCAGATCTCCTCCCCTCTCAAAGGCTCTCAGGTTGGATCATGTGGGCAGAGCCCCGCCAGATTCGTACACAGGCGTTATTCACACACTACTGTTTACTACAAGCACGATGGTCTTCACAATTTGAGTTCATGGAGCCTTCCGCGGCTGAAAGTGAGTAGCAACCTGTGGACCACTCGGCAAGCCAGGGCTACGTTTAGCTTGACCCCATGGAATTTTAAACTGGCGACTGATGTTGATGGATTCAGCATTGGCGCACACCATCTATTCCAGCTAGGCCGTTCCCGGTGCCCCTGTTATGCCAAATCTGAGATCCTTTAGCTCCGAAGTCTCCATCTGCGAGGGCACCTAGACAAAACTTGCCCATCTTTGACAGTTCAAGGCTTGTCGCACCCTGGCGAACGGCGGTCCCGGCCTGCGGATTGCGGCGATCTACATCTGACAATTTGTTCGCCAACTTACTTCGGCTTCGGCCCAGAGATTCGCTGCGAGGGTAAATCCTTGCTCACCTGGGCCCTGGTGTCTGTGCCAATGCCTGCTTTTCCACTGACATTTGGCCATGCTCATTTCCAAAGCGAACCAGGAACGTCTTACCGAGTCTCAATCCAGCAGTGAAGGTGCGCCATCTTCCATCCTCGGAGTCCTGCTGCAGGCCTACCGTGCCTGAGGCAAACTGGGTCTCCTCTGGGCCCATCCACTCCGTCGAACTACCAGGCCACTAAAAGGTTGTGGCTGGCAGCCCTCTATTGCGGCATTCGGAGAATAACGACCTCAGAAGGTGGAACGCATCTCTGATTGGGAATACTCTGCTTCCCCAAGGTGCATCCGGGCTGCCAGTCCTGCACACCCATCAAAGGCGCCGCCTCCCCACAAATATAGGGCAGTATCCTGCTCCCAAGCATGGTCATGACCTGGATTTAATTCTCAGGTCTCAGACACAGTCTTTGACTCGTTACCGAAGCTCAATCAAACTTGACCACACGCACATCAGCCGTTGCGCTATTATACCAAGAGCCTCGCGGCTGTCCAATCAGACCCGAATACACCCTGTGATCCAGCTCGACTCGTCTCCTGATGATTCTGAACACATTGCTCTTCCCATATCCGGCATACCATTGAGAACCCTCTTGGGACCTTCAGCTTTGGATCCTAGCGCTGTCACTGGAGATTCACTCCCTGGCTGTCAACTTGTTCCTTCTGCGGATCATCCGTCTGCGCGTCGGCCCTTACGTACTGCCGGGTCTGACAGTCACGTCAATGCCTCAGCCATCCGACGTACTTGAATGATGTCGGTCGCCACGGAGACCCTTCATCAAACCAGCAGTAAAGTCCATTTCATTACCGCAATGTCAGAGTCTGGCAGTGAAGCAAGCAAGGTAGCAAAGAAGAGGTCAGTAGTTCTTTTCTCCTTCCCTCCATGGACCACCTCTGACCAGGCCTCAGGGAATATAACCGCAATGCCCAGCGAGTCTTTCGTAGGTAGCCGCTACGGCTTGTCCATTGCCCCCTTTTCGCGAGTTCGCCTTCTATCGGGCACTAATGCGGGCTAGGGCAACGGCGCAAGGAACACTTGAGCAAGCTCGAAGCGGCACAACGTGAATTGAATAGTTTCCAAGTGGAAGAGGTCGAGCGGCTCCGTCAGGAAAACCAGCTACTTGCACAAGAGAACGAAGCTCTGAAGGCGACTTATGGCTCACAGGCCAACTCTCCGGGACCGTCGATCACTCCTGTCGAACTCAGAGCATCGCCCTCAGGATACATAAACTACGGAGCACCTCCTACTGGCTATCTCGGTCCGGTAACAGCCAATTCCTCTTATATACCCGTTGCGGGCCCGTCAGGACTTCCTCCGCCGACCTCAACTCCCCTGTCAAGCGCAAGCACAGACCCAAGCAATCTAGTTGTGGTCGTCCCTTTCAATATCAGCGAAATCCGACAGTCGCTGCACCAGATGTTTGCTCCCGTTCTGGAAATACCGGTCATCTCAAACCCGCAGACACACTTGGCTACTCTAGCAGCCCTCGAGCCAACCTTACCACCATCCTTGAAACCTACACCGTTACAACTTTCCACCCCTCATCACGCATATATAGACATGATACCTTCACCCGCCCTCAGAAACCAATTAATCACGGTTGGTCCGGCAAACTCCAATTCTTTTCTCACCGAAGCATGTACCATCGCATGCGATATTGAAGACACTGGACAAATGATCGTATGGGGTGAAGACTGGTTGAACGACTTCTCCTGGGAATTTTCTCCCGCCGTCTTTGAACGATGGGGAAGCTTCGTTCTTGGTCCCGAATGGGTCCAACGTGCAAACTTCTGGCGACGACAGAGAGGAGCACCACTTTTGCCCTTGCCAGTTTATGATTGACGAGATATGGAGGAACTCATGCCTATTTTCCAACAAGAAAGGCCTTGTCGATCCTTGAGGAGGCCATCAGACCAGAAGCTTTCTCGAAAGACGACACTCGAGGGAATATTTATGCCAGGAATAAGTCAGTTGGATGAACGATTACGGACCCACGTCTATCCCAGCGACGTGTCGAAGTGGCGATGTCCCCGACAGCGTCGTGGAAGGACGAGGTTCAATCTAACAACAGGAATAGAGAAGGCGCGGGTCGTCTCCTCGGAACTACTGATTTCCTTCACCACCATCTGTCCATTGTTGTGGGTTAATGTCTACGTTATGATCATGTACTATGATTCCGCCTCTTGCTTTTTGTTTTCACTTCCTTGCTCTGTTACGCTGGGGGACGAGTCATTGGCCCAAAGAGAGGTCGAAGACGACAGCCATCTGGTCCACAGCGTCGAGTATATCGTGGAGGAAAAGCTTTATTGCGTTTTCGCGAAGGATACCCAATTTTGATTTCGTGCGTGGCATTGTACATTGGCGCGTTGTGCAGCGCAACAACAAGCATTGTTGCACGTTTGAGACAGGAGAATGCAAGCATTCTCCTCACAAAAGACCTCCATACCATCAGGCATTGCGCAAGTGCGTCTGGAAAGACATATTTATGTTCCACTTAGAAGAGGGCGCAGTTTTTGCAGCTTGCAGACAAATGTGCGTAGGGTCAGCGAGTATTACGTACATAACCACCATTCCAACTTCTTCCTTCCCACAATGCCTGATCGACGATGGCTCGCAGAGAGCTTCGGAGTCAGCTGCAGCACGCCAGAAAGAATCTAACTCCCCCATCTACTCTCGGACCTCTTGCTAGAAACTCGGTATTATTCCACAGGGGCTATCCTTGGCTCCTTCCTGAGCAAGCCCGCTGCATCGAGGTCGGAGAGCAACTCCTCGCAGTATCTGCATCCTTTGCATCCGATCTTGCCTTCAAATAGGCCGGCTCAAGGACCCGGGTCACATCTGTCTCGATGGCCAGGCATGGAAGGTCATTCGTCGACTCTGAAGACCTCCTCGAGAGCACATGCTTGTCGACATCACAATCGTCCCAGGCAACCAACCCACCTCATAACTAACGAGCGAGTGTACCCCTCTGATTTGTCCAGAATCAGGTCGATAGGTTACTAGTTTCTTCCCTCATGACGACCTTTTGGCTTGACCGAGCAAACAGTGCCAGCCTATGCCGACGAAGCAGAGAATCTCTTCAAGCTTGTCCAAAACGCCGTACTAGCTACAGTCCAAAGCGAATGGTCGATCAGGTTGTTTTTGGACGTCCCCTCCTCCAGATCCAGGACGAGCCGTTGAGGCAGCTATGAGAGGATGTTGTACCGATTGACGAGTACAAACCTTGTAACAGGATGAACATGCCTGAGAGCCGCCACTCGTTCTCATAAGTGGCATGTCACCTGAAAAAGCCTGACCACAACACGCGAGGACATAGTGAATTTTCAATAAAAGATCTACAACTTGGCACTGACAAGTCACCAGGGTCGTCGCTCGTCGACAGATTGACATCGACGACCACGTTTGAGCAAAGCGAGACGGGAGGAGGTCATTACTTTGCCAACACTTTATTGATGGTTGGCAGGAAAGACTGGATCAGACGTATTGAGTACTAGGAGGTACTCAGCAGCCGTTCAAACTCCCTAAAGACTTGTGAATGTTGGCTGCCATTGTCTATGTAAGTAAGGTTTCTGACGAGTGAGCCTGAGAAAAAGCACCCTCAGAATTTGATACTTGGACCATTCTGATACACCTTGACAAGTCCATCGTAGGCAAAAGGAAGACCAGGCGACGGGCTATCCATACGGTTTGGAAAGACACCGGGAGCGTTGAGATGGTCCGGAGCGCGAGAGAAGGACTTTGGATACAGTATGTAGAAGTAGAGTGTACACAGTATGTAAGTAAATATATGTTCAGTGCAAATTTTTGTACATTTTCCCGCATGAGAGCTAGAAGTATATACATGGTCAACTGTCCAAAAAAAGTAACTGTACAGTGGAGAAGGTAAGAGCTGAGAGGGTATCGCTGCAACAATAAAGTGATCAACGCCCAAGAAAAGTCCACCTGCAACGCCAAACCCTATGCAATGTTCCTTTTCCTTTACTGACATGAGTTTCTGTCATATATCATATTGATCGTCGCAAAGATGTTCAGAGTCTTTGAACCAAGTAAGTACAAAGTCTTGAATTCGTCGATTCTTTTCCAGTAATCGCAGTCGAATTGGTCGCTGGTTCGCGGCGCAAGACAAGTCGACGCGAGGAGAGCGAACAGATCGTTCGGAGGTGACAGACCGTGTTAATAAGTGGCTTCGTTGATATCAAACACGGCCATGAAGGTTGCTGACATCGCTAGAGCGGCATGAAAGCGGCTAATCTGACCTTGGGACGGGAGGCGCGAGTTCTTGGGTTCGTGTTTGAGGACTTAACTAGTGTCTGTCGGACATGCGAGGCGATAGGAACAATTGGAATGCTTGAAATCCAAGTTTTGTGCTCAAGCAGTCTTCACAGGCTCCAGGTCAAGTGCGTCTCCATCTTTCGAGATGACGACTTTTGCAAGGTCACCGGTTTTCAGCTCGCCGCGGATGATCCTATCCGCCAGTTTGCGGCCAATCTCATGCTGAATCAGGCGGTTCAGTGGTCTGGCACCGTATCTCGGATCGTACCCCTTTTCGCAGAGCCAGTCTTTGACATTGTCCGAGATGTCCAGCTTCATTCTGCGGTCATCAAGTCTGGCTTGGAGCTCTTTGATACGGATGTCGACAATGTCCCGAAGCGCAGACTTGGAAAGCTTGTTGAAGATGATGAACTCGTCGATTCGGTTCAAGAACTCGGGCGGATAGCTTGCCTGGACGACTTCCATGACACCTTTCTTCTGCTCTGGCGTGACGTTCTCGACGTTGGCACCGGACCCCATCAATATCTCGGCGCCCAGATTGCTAGTCAAGACGATCAGGGTGTTGCGGAAATCGACTTTGTGGCCCTGGCTGTCTGTCAAAAAGCCTTCGTCGAGGACTTGCAGCAACAAGCTCGAAATGTCGCGATGTGCTTTCTCGAATTCGTCAAAGAGCAGGACGGCGTACGGTTTCCGTCGTACAGCCTCGGTCAGTTGTCCTGCGTCCTCGTAGCCAATGTACCCTGCGGTCGCACCGATGAGTCGAGATACGGTATGCTTCTCCTGGAATTCAGACATGTCGAATCGGACGACTGCGGTCTCCGTGCTGAAAAGGAAGTTGGCGATTTGTTTGCAGAGTTCCGTCTTGCCTACACCGGTTGGTCCGAGGAACATGAAACTGGCCAGAGGTCGGTTCTCATCGTTCAAGCCGGCCCGCTGCATACGGACAGCATTGGCCACGGCGGCGAGAGCCTCATCTTGTCCTCTAACATGCTCTCTCAACTTGTCCTCCATCTTTACGAGCTTTTCAACTTCGCCAGCCATAAGTTTGGTGACTGGGATACCTGTTGTCCGGCTGACCACGTTTGCGATATCATCGGCGGTCACAGAGTCGTGAATGAGAGTTTCGCCATCTTTGGTGGTCGTATGAACTTCCTCGCCTTCCCTGGGTAGTTGAGCCTCGAGTTTGGGAATAGTGGCGTACTGGAGTTCTCCTGCGCGTCCGAAGTTACCTTCACGTCTTGCCTGCTCCAGATCATGCCGAGCCTTCTCGAGCTCTTCTTTCGTCTTCTTGATGGTCTCGATCTCAGCTTTCTCGCGATCCCAAATCTCAGTCAGGCGATAGACTTCCTTTCTCTTTTCCACCAGCGTCTCCTCCAATTTTTGCCGACGCTCCTTCGAAGCGACGTCAGTCTCCTTTCGTAATGATTCGAGCTCGATTTGGATGGTCATGATCTCGCGGTCGAGTTTCTGGATAGAGTCAGGCTTGGATTCTTGCTGCAATCTCAAAGCAGATGCAGCCTCATCAACTAGGTCGATAGCCTTGTCTGGCAGAAATCGGTCGGTGATGTAGCGGTTGCTGTACGTCGCGGCAGCTACAAGAGCGCCGTCGGTAATGCGGACACCGTGGTGAACCTCATATCTGTCTTTGATGCCTCTTAAGATGGAGATGGTATCCTGGACAGATGGTTCGCCGACCACGATAGGCTGGAAGCGTCGGGCTAGAGCAACATCCTTTTCGATTTGGCGATACTCGTTCAAAGTCGTGGCGCCACAACATTGCAGTTCGCCACGGGAAAGCGCTGGCTTCAGAAGATTACTTGCATCGATGGAGCCTTCTGCCTTTCCCAGACCGAGGAGAGTGTGCAATTCGTCGACAAAGAGAATGACACCGCCGTGTGCCTCTTCCACCTCTTTCAAGACTCGCTTTAGCCTTTCCTCGAAATCACCTCTGAATTTGGCACCAGCAATCAACTGTCCCAAGTCTAGCGAGATGACTCTCTTGTTCTTGATGCTTTCAGGCACATCCCCTCTCACTATCCGTTGTGCAAGACCTTCGAGGATGGCAGTTTTACCTGTGCCTGCGGCACCAATCAAGACGGGATTGTTCTTCGTCCGCCGAGACAGGATCTGGATTGTTCGGTGGATCTCTCCATCTCTTCCAATGACCGGATCAAGCTTCCCATCTTTGGCACGAGCTGTCAGATCGACACCGTATTCCTCTAAGGCAGACTTTTCTGGTTCCCCTCCCATGTTCATCCTATGTGTGCCGCCCGGGGGATGCGGTCTGCCATTGGCGTATGTTCTGACGGAAGAGGCCAAAGGATGCGTAATTGATGGTATGACTGATCGCGAGAGTAAAGAGGACCTAATGTCCGAGGCTAGTAAGGGAGGTATCCGACGAGATGCAGGCGTGGAAAATGTGCGGGTTGCAGCGGCTCGCCGCACGAGCGAGGACTTCGCTACGTTCATTGTGAGGAATGATTAGAAGTGCCTATGATGGACACGTTCGACAAGTGTTATCGATGATCGAGTAGAGAGTGCAACATGATCACAAAATGAACAAGGAATTAAGAGGTACTAGTAGTCGCGTGCAATGGCTATTCTCGAAGCCTCGAGAGAAATCCTCGTATGATCTCATGTTTGATGCCAGAAGAGGAATGGTCAGCGAAGTGTGCCGTATCCAATCCAATCCGATCCAGGTATGCCACCCACAGCCTCGTCAGCCTCGTCAGCCTTGCGCTCCGTGCATCTGGTACTGTGGTCCAAACGAGCTCTCAGCCTCAATGCCATTTCCAAGGAGAGCGCCAGCAGTCCATAAACATTTGATGAAGCTCTGAGAGCAGACGATATGGGCCATACCGACATAGATCCATACACTCGACCCTATTTATCTCCTCTTCTTCCTCCCCATACCACTGCGGTTACTACCCGCACGACTCGCCTCCGACATCACACTGGCAGACCTCTTGTGCGCACGCGTAACCGCTGACAGAGGCACCGCATCTTCATGCGCAGCGCCGTCCTCTTCAGCATTGTCCGAATCTTCAGGCGCCGGGTTCAGAGCGTGGTTGTCATCTTCACCGTCGGCTTTCTCATCTTGATCTTCATCTTGATCCTCTTCATCCTCTTCTGACTCCTCCTCAGCCTCAGCCTCAGCCTCGCCTTCCTCATCTTCATCCTGGTCCTCATTCTCCGCATCACTATCCAAGTCTGGCGTAGCAGCGACTTCTGCCTCGTCTTCGTCCTCTTCGTCATTATCTACACCAAGCTGAGGCCGGTCATCATCATCATCCTCCTCCTCCTCTTCCTCCTCTTGAGCATCTTCATCCTCTTGGTCCTGATCCAGGTCGGCAACAGACTGATCAATCTCCCCGCCCTGATAATCATCCTCGTCCTCTTCCGCATCCTCATCTTCGTCAGCATCTTCTTGCTTGGGACTAGATGCCCCCACAGCATCCTCTTCATCCTCATCAGCATCTGCATCCTCATCCTGCATGTCCAGGGCCATAGTACTCTCGTCGCGCCCACCTTCGCCGTCTTGTTGCTTCTCTTGGCTGTCGTCGACTTCAGCTGCGGCGTCATTCTCTTTATCCTCCTCTGTCACGGCCATTGAACTGTCTGGCACCATGTCAAGCTTGCTGTCAATGATCTGGGACGAATCCACCTCCATAACATCCCCGTTCTGTTGGCCGGGTTGTTCTTCTTCTTTGGGGAGGCCTAATCTGATGCGTCTCTGCTCTTCGAGGATCTTGATTTCCGTCGCAATCTTCTCATTGACCTTTCTTGCATCAAGCAGGATATTGATCTCTTTGACCAACCTCTCAAACTCGCGACATACCCTCTCCGTCGGCATGAGCAAGCGTTGCGGAATGCCCAACTCAGTCAAGGCAGCTTGAATCTTCGTAGTCTGCGTCTGACTTTTTGCCATGGTAAGACGATTAATCTTCTCATGCCGGAACTGTACACCACTGGTGAGTCGCTCTTGAGGATGAGATACACCGAAGCGCGCTTCTTCCTGGGGTGTCAACACTCGAACAACCGGCTGCGACATCGAGCCCTTCTTCTGGTGACCAGAGTCTTCTGCTTGACTGTCCATAGTATCACGCCGATTGTATTGGGCATGACTGGCCTTCCGAGCATCAGTGGGCGTGGCCATTGAATGACCGGTATGAGCTCCCTCGGGTATAGGACGAGGCGGCTTGAGTCTCTTCTCCTTGGCGAGCATGTTCTGTAGAAGAATGGACAATCCCGCAGAAGTCTGATACAACGCTGTTGACTGCTCCTCGCCTCTCTCAGTCCGCCTAATGGGTGCGACGGGTTCGAGTCGTGCATACAGATCGGCCCGCAACTTCATGAAGTCATCTTCATTCTTGGTGATACGATAGAGCTCCTCAAGCAGGATTCTTTCCTCGTCGGCTTCGTCTTTCGTGCGTTCAAACAATTTCTCTGCCATAGCCTTGCGCATGGTCTCTGTCTTCGCATCGAAGTTGCGCATTTTCTCCCATAGCTGGAACTCTGCTTGCGTCATATTGCTTGCGGGAATTTGCGTTTCAAGCATTTGGGCAGTAATAGTGTAATATCGCTGCTTGAGCGCTTCCATGGTACGATCTGGATATTTCGCAGCGACCTCTGTGCCAGCCGCCTCGCCGTTCTGTTGAGACCCATTCGAGACCGCGATCTCTTTTGCATCGTACCTGTCGGCAATGATTACCCATCTCAGATCGTAGTCCCGACAGAGCTCCATGAGATAATCCGTCTCTTGTTTCGTCCAGTCGTCGGATTTCAACAAATTCTCATACTGCTCATCCGTGTACGACGGTATTTGCACCTTGACATTCCATTTGTGCGATGGGAACTCTTCTTCAAAACGCAGTTCTTGCACGGCTGGAGCAGCCTTCGAGTCATCAGTCATCTCTACATCTGTAGATCCTTCAACACCAGTAACAGCCGGCGGTCGAGCCTGCGAACCCGGGATCGAGCGCTTCCAATGTCGCAGCACCAATCCATCCGTTCTTGCACCATGCTGGAATGGTCGTTCCTCCCAATGTCTGGGCTTGAATAACTTCTGCGATATCGAGGGTCTGGACTTGTAGGATCGCTGTTCGACGATTGCAATAGGGGGAACAGAATCGCCCATGAGCGCCTGGACTTCGCGTTTGAACCCGGTGACACGCGCTTGAGGCTCGATGGCTTTCTTCTTCTTGGGCGCAGGTTGGCGTGGGCCTGCCTGGCCCAAGTTCATTATGTCGCGGATGTCGCTTGTTGAGGCCATCTTGCTTTCGTTCCCTGACAGCGTGTATTTACGGCGAGGATTGAGTGGAATTTCAGTCTGCCGTGGACTCGGCTGACAACATGCAGGTTCCGTAACACGCGTCGAGGTAATGAAAGAAGATGGCGGCACCGCCAGTAGTGAATTGCAGAGGAAGGGAGATGTCTAAGAAAGGCACCGCGAAGAATCAGAGAACGTAAAGGCGGCGGGATATCTTTTCGTTCCTCTCCGCATCGCACTCCAATTCTTTTGGCCCCTGAACTGGCAAACGCCAACATTTACATTTGACAATCGCAGTCTTAATACGCCCTCGTGCGCACCCTCAAATCATCCTGCAAGACCACTCCCAGCAGGACAGCAATGTACTCACTTCTCGCGACGCTCGTCGCGCTCTCCTCCCTCTTCACCTCCTCACAAGCACTATACTTCTACCTCGACGGCACGTCCCCGAAATGCTTCTACGAGGATCTCCCTAAGGACACGCTGGTCGTCGGTATGTACTCCCTTCACGCCTCCCTGCCAGAAATTGGTGGGAAAGACATGCAGACCGCATCGAAGAGTTCGCGAGCATCAAAAGTTCGAGGCCGGCTAAGTGACAAAACTGCGGTACAGGAACCTACAAAGCCGAAGCCTACTCCCCTCAAACCCAATCCTTCCACACCACGCCCGACCTATCCATCCAAGTAACCGTCGAGGAGGTGTTCGACAACGACCATCGCGTGGTCACGCAGACCACCACATCTTCCGACACTTACTCAAAATTCACCTTTACCGCCGCCGACCCGGGCCTGCACAGACTATGCTTCACGCCGTCCGGCCCTGCGGCCATCAGCGTGGGAGGCTGGTTCTCCAACGCTGGCGCGACGATGGGCGGCGTCAAGCTGACTGTCGACATGGCCATCGGTGCGACCTCCAGGATCGAGTCCGAGGACAAGTCCAAGATCGACAACATCGTGAGCAAAGTCAAGGAACTTAATGGGCGATTGACAGATATCAGAAGGGAGCAGGTTTTCCAAAGAGTAGGTTCCAGACCCACCCGTCATATTCTCCTTTACGCGCCGGGATGCCTTGCCCGACCAGAAGCGCTTACGAGCAAACAGGAACGAGAAGCCGAATTCCGTGATCAGAGCGAGGCCACAAACGCAAAGATTGTGCGGTGGACATTGATTCAATTGGGTGTGCTAGGCGTCACATGTGCATGGCAGTTGTCGCATCTGAGGGCGTTCTTCATCAAGCAAAAGTTGACATAGAAGATGGAAGTGCAAAAAGTTTGACCATGCCCATTCCAATGACTCTGGCCTTATGAAAATGGTTGTCTGCAGGGCTTATGGCTCGCCCCAGGCCTCAATCTACAAAGAATGTGGAACTTCTGTGATCCATTTGCCAGGGACTGAAAACGCCGCGCTATGCTGATCTGCTATGCTACCATTCTTCTGCACAGGATCTCAGTCTTCCCATACAGGCCGAAAACGCAAAACGCCAGAGTACATATAGGAACAAGGGAAAGAAATCATCTAATCATGAATATAATGCATCAATACCCTCGTCTCGCTCGTGGACCAGCGATGTTTGCCCCTGAGGACTCTAGACCCCATCCAGCTCCATGACCCTTTCTAGCGCCACCACCCAAGTGGTCGTTGAGCGAGTGGTCGCTGAGTGATAACCCGTCCATACCAAGATTACTTCTCTCAGAAGGTCGACGTTCAGGCGGATGAGGTCGATTTCTACCTGATCTAGGCATTGCCCTCGCAGATGTGGGAGGCATATCGAATCGTGGCCTGTCAGGTTTAGGCGTTGCCCACTCGGGTACTGTAGATGTCGTTGCGATTGACGCTTTGCTTTCGATCGAATCCGTAGAGTCTTGCCGGACGAGAGATGGCGTCTGAGGAGGCAGATCTTGATGAGTGTCATGATTCTGACCATCCGGAGCTCGCTGCAATGGCGCTTGTGGTATGGTCTGAGGACGGAGGTTTCCGTTTGATTTGTTCATGTGCAGGAATTCTTGTGGTAGTAACAGAGCGATCGCGGCAACCCCTAATTTGGTCCAAAGGTCATGGAAAAGCTCACCGAATGGCTCTCGCAGCATAGCAACCCCTATCAATAAGCTGGCTTCGAGGGCATATATGAGGAGGCGCACAAACTGACCCCGTACTCCATGCTGAGACAGATGGAGCATAAGATGACCGATGGGTATGCAGGCACTTAGCAAGACGACGTAGTACCCAAATAGTGTTGGCTTGAGCGTTACTGCGGCTTCAAATATCCACACTGCCGCTGACATCAGGGTCGCAAAAAAGGAGATACCGCTGAAAATCGCCAGATTGGACGGACCTGGCGCAGGGGCTGGCGACGGAATGCTGTGTAGAGCGCTCGAGGCACCCGCCAAAGGTATGGCCGTCGGTCTTCGAGTGGCATTCGGAGGATCCAATGACGGATCTTGAAGAGAAAATACGGACCCAAATATGTTCTCCAAGCCTGTATCTGCTTCCTTGGGAAAGAATTTTGGTTGTGCCATAGCCTCTCGAGTTGGCTCTTGCTGATGAACAGGCTGGGACGGTTTTGTTGGTCGGTCAAAGAACCCAGGAGGTATACCAATTGCTTCTCTGGCCAAAATGCCAGGTTGAGTGGCATTCTTTCGGACGCCCCTCGTATTGAGAGCTGGAAGAGTGCCATGAAACGGGGTGGGATCGACAGATCGGTATCGAATGTGCTTCAGCTCAGGCTGGAAAGTCTGTTGTGTTGGAGTCCAGTCCATGGAGTCCATCTGATCTTCTGGCGGAGTTGGCGGCCTCCATTCTTGATAAGTCGGCGGTGCTGCCGTTGCGAGGCTGCTAATGTTGAAAGCTTGATCCTGATTTTGCTGTTCTCCCACTTCAGGAGGAACGAACTGGGTCCTGGCCAGGAGAGGAGCAGGGTCGTCGTGCCAATTGACTGCAGCAAGATTCTTAACCTTGACAATGCCAAAGACTGACCATCCTGCGACGATGGTGATCGCCACAGTGAAACAAGCATGAAGCATTGCTGATGTTCTCGTGGAGAGGGGCACATGGTACATGACAGTCCATGCACCGAACCTTACCCCGAGAAGAGCCATTTGCACCAGATAGTACTCACTCAATCCAGCTAGGCTACCCTCACTGTGGGACAACTTGTGTTGCCACTTGGGGTTCCACCAGATACACAGCAATCCCAGCGCGAGCGAGAGACCGACGAAAGGCTCCATGACATCGAGACATTGAGAGACGAAAGGTCGGTGCTTCAAGCACACAATCGGCCCAAACCCTTGTAGGAGCGATGAATCACTGACCTGTGAACCGTACAAATGCCACGCCAGCTGCATAGCCAGACTCAGGAAATAGCCTAGTCCTGCAGTGCTAACGAGCAGACTCCTCCATCCCAGTCGGTTTCCAATCCTTCTCTGCCTCGACTTTTCCAAGACCCGCCGTAAATGGTCACTTCTTGCATTGTATGTGGCTTGATGCAATCTCGCCCTGACTCTGGGTTCGCAACGGGCACAGCATTGCGGATAACGCTCTTCTAGACCTTTCTTGTACTCTGGTAATTCTGCCTCCAATTTCTCGTATTCCGGGTGATCTGGCTCGGGGAGGAATTGAGCAAGATTATAGGTGTATAGCTGCTGGTTTTTCAGACATGTCGAGCAGAATATAGAGTCCTGCGTGGGAAAGTCGTCTTGCAGTGGATCGATGGCGACAGGTTGAGCGAAGCGCTGCGCGGGGGCTGCCTCTTCGACAGGAACGTCCGCTATCTCGCCGTTCTGAACATATCAGTAGTTAGTCCGGCAAGATCTTCTTCGACATACCTCATCAAAGAAGTTGACCGCAAGGCAGTGTTCGCATTGGAATCTGCGGCCTTGACTCTTGCTAAATTTTGATCTCCGTCCGCAGTAATGACAGTCTAGCCGCTGGCGTAGTGAGACAGGCATGATGCTGCATGATCAGTGTTGTAGAGGAAGGAATCGGAGACACTTGATAGCCCCGGTGCCATAAGCAGGAATGCCCAGGGTCATAGTTTGGTAACAAGTCAAGGCAATTGTCCTGCCCAGAGAAATCAACGGTTTGCCATAATGGGTTTAGTTCAGATCTCGGAGTGAATGTTACTTATCTCCGACCAAAAGAACAGCATCTCAGTTCACAGCACCTATTTCACGTTGATCTAAGTCAGCTACTCTCTCTGCGTATTTTACGTAAGGAAGGAACTAGATATAATCTCCAGAATATCGCTGATAGACCCCCGACGGAGGGTGTGTAGTTTTACGTTACTGGGTGGGTCTCCTAGGAATCGAAGGCTGAGGAGTTAATCTTTTACAATGATGAAGGACTAGAGGAAGCAAAGCAACGACTACAGGAATTCGCGCATTAACTGGTCAACGAGAAAATGCCTAGGAAATCTAGGCGTAGGCCTACCAAAGAAACGGAGGATGAATATCAAGAGCGCGTCGCCGCCCGGGACAAGCTAAATGGGGTGTATTTGTCTGTCTATAGCAAGTCTAACGTATTTACAATAGAGCTCTATTACGCGCGTAAGCTACTACCCTCCTATATCAACGTATGCCAACAAATCCTTATAACAGCGACGGGGGGTGCGCCGTCTAGTATTATACTAGTTCGGGGACTCCTCCTATAGCATTGGTGGACATACCTACGCGACGCCCCTCAAGGAGGATAATTGGGTGGTTAACCTAGACACCCTACGAATTCGCCCGATTTAAATGCCTTAGAGGCCTGTTGGAATGTACTAAAACAGCGTCTACGGCGAGTGCGTGTGGTGCGCTTCATGGATCGTGAAAGGCTAAAGGCTGAAATCCAACGTATCTGGAAGGAGATTTTGCAGGAGGAGATTCAAGCGCGGATTCGGGAGATGCTAGAGAGATGCGAGAAGCTTATAAAAACAGGTGGCAAGCGCATCAAAACAGCATTGTGGTGAATAATATGTCAATTCTCTCGTACATGGTAGCCTTCCGCATACAGCCGGCTAAATATCGGCGGCCAACGAATGGTGTCAGGCACTAGGTGCACAGGAAGAATTGTCAAGGCGACAAGGAAAAGTGGTTGTGGACGAGCTTTGTGAATTCAGCTTCCTCCAGACGAATGCAAGGACCAAGGAAGCAATGAAGGAAAGTTGGAAGATCGCTCTGGTTGCTGCCTCCCGCAGAGTTTCCCAGGATCTTGAGGTCGTACATCAAATATATTGAATCTCCCAACAGCCTCGCTCAATACTGAGACAACAACAGCACTGCCATCATGGATGCCCACGGGGTACACCTCAGCAAACCTCCAGAGATCTCCTCCAGCTCATTTTGGATGACCGACTTTGTCTCCCCGATCACCTCCCTGACCGCAACAAGCCAGATGCTCATTCTACTTCTGATTACGACTCTCATCTTGCTCAACATGGTCTTTTTCCGCCTAGTCACCATCCTCTCTCGCCCACCGCCATCTCGTCGCTCACAGCCATCCCCGGCCAATCCTACACACATTTTGATCGTTCTCGGCTCTGGCGGCCACACGGCGGAGATGCTCAACATTCTCTCCCAGACGCCCTGTCTGCAACTCGACTTTACATACCGCACATACGTGGTCAGTTCCGGTGACGGCTTCTCCGCCTTGAAAGCACACGAATTTGAGAAATCGCTCCTCGCCGATCTATCCTCCACTCCTGGCCTTTCTATTCCTGAAGGTACAGCGTCAAATTACAACGTCGTCACTATCCATCGTGCCAGAAAAGTCCATCAAAGTCTTTATACAGCCCCATTCTCCAGTCTAAGATGTCTGCTGGACTGCATTGCCGTACTGAATGGATCACATCGCGATCTCAAATACCAGCATTCACGCGGATACCCTGATCTCATTCTGACCAATGGGCCTGGCACGGGTGTCATTGTCGTGCTTGCTTCCCTGACTCTGCTCTTTTTCGGCTATTCTGGTCCTTCACCAGCATTCATGTCCACAAGCAAGGACTCCAATCGGGAAGTAAACCGACTTGGCGGCCAGATGCGCAGCATCTTCATCGAGAGCTGGGCACGAGTAAAGACGCTGAGTCTAAGCGGACGTCTTTTGAAACCCTTTGTAAATCGCTTCATCGTGCAATGGCCGCAGTTGGCACGATCAGAAGGGAGCAGGGTCGAGTACATTGGCCCGCTGGTAACGTAGCATATAGAGGTAGATCTCGAATGCTTACGTCTTCAAAAGGCATACAGATTGTACATGCTGATCACCCGTATGCAAAGACAGGCTCAGCTCGTCCTCCATATTTCACAACCGCGGATACTCGCGCATTCAGTTTAGAGACATGGCACAAGATCTCGGCACATCCCACGCCTATCTAGCAGGATCACAAACCATCCTCACGCCGAGAGTTCAGCGTCCCTCACACGCCCCCTCTTGCTTGCTCGCTTCTCCTCCTGCGTCCGTCTGATGATATCGGCCGTCACGTCACTCACACCCATGGCTTTCACAGTCTCGGCCTTCTGCGCGGCTAGGCGCTTCCTCTCCTCTGCCCACTCGGCCTCCGGTGTCATCACTTTTCGTTGCTCGTACCACCGCGCCCTCGCATCCTCTAGAATCTTCATCCGCACGTACTCGTCCGCATGCCACTCCCTATCCCGGGCGTACTTGTCATTTCGTAACTCATCCAGGATCCCAGGTTGCGGCAGCGGCGGAACCCACAGACTTGGGTTATACGTCTGGCTCTCGACATCGTATCGTGTCGTGTCACCTGTGTAGGCCTGGTAACTGGGCGGATCGTCCTCGGGCCACGGGATTTCGATCTCCTCGCCAGCAATATACCGCGTGTGTCGGGGCAGTCTTGAGTACGTGGGCCGCTGGATATACGGGGCTCCACCTCTCAAATGCTTGACAATGACCTCCCGTTCGCGGCCGGTGGTTTCGTCCGTGACTTTGTATACAAGTCGCACGGAGTCGAGTGGGATAGGCAGTTCGGCGGACTGAAAAGGCATTTTTTCGCGCTGGCGAGTGCCGGGCGGTAATTCCACATCAGCCTAGCATACTTAGCATCTCCCTATCTCGGTTGCAGCAGTGGGTGGTGGTGACCAAGGGGCAGTAATACATACCATATTCAATCCTTCGATTGTGATTTGTTTCCGTTCCAAATTGACGTCCAGAGCCGTTCCAATCCGGCCTCGTATACCTGCATGCCCAATGACCACGCACACGCGATCTCCTGCGATGATATTGCCCTCAGGGCCTTCGCCTTCCCACTCTTTCTGCTCCGTTTCGCGACCCTCTGAGCCGACTTGATCAGAACCGCTTCCCTTCGGTCCCTTCAATGCTCGTCTGGGAATCTCGGGACCTTGCACAAGCAGAGCACTCACAGCCCCGTATGTGTCGGCTTTCTCGGCGACGTTGCGTTTCGGCGCGAGAGGGCCGGCAATCCAGTCTTCTCGCCGGTGTTTGCGTTCGTCTTTGACATATTCCCGCTTAGTTTTCTCGGTTTCGAGTTGTCGCCGGTCGTACTCGCGCCAGTCGGCCCTGAGCTTCTTGAGGTTCTTTTTGCGGGTGGCTTTGAGGGCTTGGTTGCGGGCGAGGAGGTTGATTCGCAGGATTTTCTGCATCTTGATGGAGAATTAGGATCGAAACCACGAATGAGAGAATGCCGTCCAGTCGTGTATAGCAGAGGATGGTGCCTCGATGCAGGCGATCGACGACGCGGCGAGCTGTTCGGAGTAGGTCAGGCCATTGAGCAGACGTCGATCCGGCCGAGTTACTGAAACGAAGACCAAGCACGTCTTCCTGTTTCTGACCACACGTCTGTTTGATCGGAAACAGCTTCCAGAGAGAGAATAGACAAGTAGAGTATGATCGAAGAGCAGTCAATATGCCAGCCGTTGCACTGACAATAATTTTGGATCGAGGTGCAAATTGGAGATTCTCCAGCATTACCAGTCACGTGAGGGGTTGGTTTTCGAGTTTGCTCAAGTTCGCTTCCTGAGAGACGGTATCCGAGAGAATATCACTCAATAGGCTCACCGACACGAATCATGGACTGGACTGGATGGAGGACATAAGACATTGGATATTTCCGCGTATAAAACTTGTTCTTATTTTTCATCAAGTCCGCTAACGGATATGTCTTTCGTCAACCATGACCCTTGGGACAACTGAACAACTCATCTCCGTCGCTAATAGTACATTTCGATTCGTGTTGGGCAAGAAGAGCCTTTTCTCCTCCATCGCGATGCCTGCGAGAAACATATGAGCAGCCAGCGACAACAAAGCGTCATTTTCAATGAAACATTCATCGCCGTTTTCGTGCTGTCCTTTCTGACCTTTTCTGGTATTAGAAATATTCCCTTGTCATCCTTGTGTACAAGCACTCTGCTCTCGCATGGATGGTAGAAAATCCTCCCGCTCTTTTGAGATTTTTATGCCTCCAGCAATAATGGATTTTCGCACATACCCTCCCTTAGCAAATTCTGTGACCTTTGACAATCATTTCATCCATGACATAAGAGAAAATTTGTGAAAGAAGAATTTCCGACGCCGTACTGTCTATCATTCGGGTATCTATGAAAAAAGGTGAAATGCAAGGCGTCAAGGGTCGTGGAATCATGTGTGGACCGAGAAAGAAAACGGTGTGCATGGCGGTCCTGCTGTACTCATTTTGGGACAACAGGAGGTTTCTTCGTTGTTGTCGCCGCTCTTGAGGGCATCATCATCACCTCCTCCTCCGAGTCATCATCGTCGCCATCGGCATCGTGACATGAACGGGCCGACCATTCTTCGAGCGATGCACCAGTTGCAGTTTGTTGCGGACGACCGTGTTTGATAATGGTGTCTGCAGTACGCATGAACTCTGGCTCGGTGTCTCTTGATGAGATAAGAGTATCTCTGGGAGTCGTGGCTGATTCACCTTGGAAATAGCCTTCCCCTGGAGGTGAAGAAGCGCTAGACGTAACACCAAAGCTTGGATTCGACATGCTGTGAGATACGCTACTAGTTCCGTAGCCGTCGAGTGACGAAGCAATAGTACTTGCTGACGGCCCAGCCTCAATGGAGAACGGCGGCGGCTCATTCGCTAGACGAGTGCGGTGTTTCTCGAGAAACATGATATCGTCGGGGGATGGAGGACACTCGTCCGTGATAGGTTGGCTGTGTGCTTTTGAAGCGGCTTCAGCAGCTGCCTCGGCTTGCGACTGGGCCTCCTGGATGAGCCTCCGTTGATTGAGTTCTTGAGCTTGCTGGAAGGCCTCTTGGCTAGAGCCAATCGGTTGAACCTTTGAGTTCGTGTCCTGGACATTGGTCGTGGGAGGCGCTGGTGGAGCTGCGTTATAGTCGATTGGTGATTTAGCCGTTCTCAGAGCTTCCGGTTGCTCGATGGCACCAGCTGCCGAGGCTGTACTGACAGCAAGGCTTGGTCCTGCATGGCCATCACCCTCCGAGGAATGACGGCTTGGCGCTGGTGAGCGATCACTCCGTTGTGAGCGCCTGTCCCGGCTCCCAAGCCGTCCGAGTGTCCTCGAAGTACCTTGCCAAAGTCCATCGACCATAGCTTTGAAGGATCGTTCTCCAGGACCAAGAGGTCTTTCCAGCTCGGGCGCCGTCTCTGCATGTGGGAGTGGCATTCTTTGCATCTGCGACGCTCGAATGGTCCGGACTGACTCGGCGGTAGACATGGTTGAAGTCGCACGATCGGGCCCACGAGGCCGATTCTCTTGCTGAGGCATAGGGCTAGACACAGTCGATATTGCATCTGGCGCCTCCAGTGACGAGTTGAAATATGCGTCGCGTGAAGAATCGTCCGGACTGGCCGTCTGGCTTTGTGCTAGAGGATGCTCGCTGTTCTCGCGCGAAGTCTTCAAGGCGGCTAGAACTTCATCACCTCTCAGCGACGACCGGCGAGCATCTCGGATCTTGTCTCGGTCACTACGTCCAACGGTGCTAGTACTCGAAGGAGACGCCACAGATTCGCTCGAATGGCTTGCTGAAGTTGCGGAGCTAGGAGCTCGTCGGCGAGTGTTGCTTCGGCCGAGAAGGCTGCCCGCGATACGACCGGCCGTGTTGAGGGCGCGTTCGATAATATTTCTCTTGCCAACAGCATGAGAAATTTCCTTTTCGTCCAGTTCCAAAATCTTCTTCTTGCTTTCTTTGGCCATCTCCATGGGGCCCTTGAGCCACTGATCTGGATCCGGCATGCCATCAACGACCCATTCGTGTTGCTTCGCTTCTTCGATAGTCATACGCTTGGCGGGGTCTTTGATGAGGAGCTTGCGAATAAGGTCACGAACAGCCTCCGGGACAGGTTCAAATCTGAGCTCGTAGTCCAGCCGTTTGTTGCTGTTGATGGTTGAAGGGACATAGGAGGTTGGTCTGTCTCGTGAGGTGTCGACTGGCACCAATCGACTCTTTGGGCAAAACACTTCAGCCTTGCATACGGCTTCGTGCAGGCCCATTTCGTCATTGGCATAGAATGGAAGACGGGCATACACCATGCAGTAGAGAGTGATACCCAGAGCCCAGAGATCAAGAGCTCCAGTGATTCTTGGACCGTCTTTTTCCTCGAACATGGATGGATCCTCGTAACAGAGCTCAGGAGCCCAGAAGGCCGGGGTACCCACAGACCTTGCCAGCTCTTTCTCATCGTCCAATGCCGACACGTCCTTCTCAGTCAATCTGTTTTCAGGGTCTTCCTCCGTTGTAGGACGGCCCAAATAAGAGACACCAAAGTCTGAGATCTTCACAGTGCCATTAGCTGACACCAGAAGATTAGCTGGCTTGATATCTCGATGGATGATGCCTATATAATGCAGGAATTCAAGGCCAGCAAGTGTATCCCGAAAACCCCGACACGTCTCTTCGAGCGTCAAGGCAGGGACGAACGAGTGTTCATCATCAACCTCGTCGAAATTGAACTCTGACGACATATGTGAGATTGCGCTTGTGGCGATGCTGAATTTCCTGCCTCGATATGGCTCGGGAACATATGCACCGTACATGCTACCAGCAAGAGCAGAGTCAGCGTAGTCGTCGTGAGAGCTGGTACGGCTGGGATTGCTAGACGCAGCGTAGAAGTTTCGCGATCCCGATCGGGAAATGTCTGAAAACCCATCCTCTTCGTCATCTTCACCTCCGTGTTCAAGAGACCAGTTTGGATTGGGCTGCAAGTTTGACGTACGTGCCCTTTCCTGCTGCTCGTGACGTCGGGCGGCCTGCGCAACGAGAAACAGGTCCCTCTCAGCCGGTTCAAGTGGTACCTCAATACCCACACGTTCTTGTGAGAAACGGTTGTTGTTGACGGCTAGGACTTCTCGGACACCTGGTTTTCTCCACTTGATCTCGCCCTTTTCGACGTATTCAAGGATCAGGTAGACTTTGTTCTTGTTTGGGTCGTCAATGACCTCCAGAAGACTGACCACGTTGGGATGTCTGGCCTTCTTCAAGATGGCGACTTCACGTTTTGTTCGGTCTTCAGGGGCACCTAGCCGACCTAGTCGGCGTTTTGCGGAGTACCTAGGCACAATCTTGACAGCAACCAAGGTCCCTTTCTCAATATCTCTTCCAAGCTTGACCTTGCCATGTTCGCCGCGACCCAGTTCCTGCACGATCTCGTAGTTGTTGATGAATTTGTTTCCAGAGAAGGTGTCATGTTCGATCTCGACGGTGTGTGTTTCCTTTGGCGTCTGAAGATGGTGTAGCTGTGGTGAGAGGTCTGTCAGAGATGAGGCTGACGGCACCCGACCATCCGGGTTGAAAAGACCAGGACTGGACATCGGAGTGTTGTCGGCTGTTCTCGTGCCATGTGAACCTTGCTGCCGCTCTCTAGACGGTCTCCAAGTTGACATTTCGTTGTAGACGAGGTTCTGGGCGGGATGAGAGCTTCTCGTTCGAAGCGGTGGATTAGGACGGTGGCCAGTGAAATTTGCTTGTAAAGCAGCAAAAGATTGGTCTGGGTATCTTGGGTGATCAACATTAGTAGACAATCTTGGATGCGAAGTTGAAAGAGATTTGGAGTGTGATGGCCGGCGCCCGCGCATGTGGCCTTGTGATGGTCTTGTTGAGAGTTTGTGCAGGCCCACAGACGATCCAGTACCAGTACCGCGGTCACCTTCAGGCACAGACAAGGCCCTCAACGAATCCGAAGACATTTGAGCGGATGAAGGTGATAGCGGCCCTGGTCTGGGAGGGGCAAACCCAGACGACACAGAAATATCAGGCTGTGAGTGCACATTCAGACCACCACAAACATCCTCATCAACCTTCTCTGGCGGATCCCGTGCGAAAAGAGCCGTTGGCGTGTTGCCCTGGGTCTCAGAATCCCTGCCATCCTGACAATCCATCTCGGGCTGCTGATTTTCTCTTCCACTGTCACCGAACTGACGCACACTGACCCCATTTCTGTCCACCTGGTACCCCAGGTCATGGCGAGGCTGCTGCAAATTTGGGGCCCATTTGATACCAATGTTGTCTGACATCGTTCCAAGAACTGCTTTTTTCTTTTTGTCCTGAACTATATATGGACATTGAAGGTCTGCTGGAATGACAATGCCACACTAAGTCGACGTTTCCGTTCACAGGCTTGCACCCGAAGCGCTCCCTACACAACCATCTGAGATCTCAAGCAGGAATCGACGGTATTGTAATGCCTCCATTCGCAGACCAATAGTGGCTCGGTGATCCAGAGGCTCGATTGCCAGACGCGACAGCTTAGAGGCTCAGCGACCGGTATCTGTCGCACAGACAAGCTCGTCGCTCATCCAGGACTGTGAGGTCCGGTGGGCGATTCGAGCGCAGAGAGGTCTTCGAGGCGCAGGTCGGGTGTTGAAGTAGTCAGAAGAGGTAAAGTCCTTCAGGTGAGGTGTACGTCGATGCACTTCGACGTCAAACGGTAAGAGGGGAAAATATAAACCACCAGTCGCTACTAAACAAAAGGCTGTGAATACCGAAGTCTGAAAGATTGCAAGTCGATGTAAGGAACGAAGAAAGATATGTCGAGGACTGCGAATGGCAGGCTCGCATGAGAGGCACGACAGATAGAAAGGCAGCGCAAAGAGATGACGGAGGGGAGGGCGGAAAAGCCCAAGTGGCCAATGCAATGCTAAACAGTCCCCAGAGAGCAGGCGAACAGGCCGTCTCAATGGCCCGGCCGAAGGATTTTCGGGCACTCGCACTTGATAAGAGGATGCAGAAGCGGGCATGATGGGGCCTTTTTTGGGCCTGCCGTGGCTGCATGTTGAGGGGCGTTTTCCCAACACCCGGCCGCTTATTCTGGTGGGCTACGAGGATTGCAGTGGCTTGCTCCCATCCGAGCCATCCACTCCTCTCACCGTTGTATCCCTGCCTGCCTCTGACCCTCTGCTGAACCACCAACCGAAATCACCTTGGCTCTTGAGCCCGGAATAGTGACTGCACTGACCACCTCTTCGCTTCAAGAACACACACACAAACTGTGCATGGAACCAGCTAACCACCCGGAAGATGCCATCTGCGGGCTGCGAATCAACGGGTCATTGATTCTCATCTCATGCGAGAACTGCACCTTGTTGACGAGGCATCCAAAGCATTTGCAAGCATTGTCCAGCCTAAGAACAGGGGAAGAGGGGAGACATCTTCGCCAATTTCTCTTTTGGCCCTCCTGCAGAGGCACTTGCAGGAGAATATTTTATGTTGCGCTGTAAGGACAAAGTACCGCGCTGAGTCGGTTCTCTCGGGCTTGTCGTCAGGCCACGCTTTTGGGACACGAGGACTGTGGCCACTGTGATACAAGCAGGCCAACTTTGACATGTGTTGAACAGTCCTTATCCTGCTGCGCATGTACACCGTATCAACAATCAAGCCCATTGCGCGTGCTTGCCCTATCTGCTGTTTGCTGGTACCTGAGCCACCCTCACCCATGCATTTAATCAAGCGTGCCTTCCACGCATGGTCAGATAATCACACTAGTATTCAGCTCCACTCTCTACACGAGTGCTCGTCACACCTTGAAGCCATCCATCCCTCCTCACAATGATCTGGGTTGTGCGCAACTATTGCCGAACCTGCTGCTCTCCTTACGCTAGTGGGAGAGCGATTCTGTTACCTCCGCATTCCTTGAAGATGAGACTGAAACTGGACGCGTGCCCGCACACACAGCAGAGTGCTAGTGAACGTATGGAGAGGCAAGTATGCAACATGTCAAGCCAGGGCTTAACGGGTATGGTTTGACAGGAGCTAGCCAAAGCAAAAAGGCGAAGGAAAAATGATTCGGCCACACAAGGATGGAGACTAGGGAAGTTGAAGCCAACGGAGTCAACAAGTGTGCCGCCTCTTGCGCCTTTACAGCGGCCCGCGTACTGCAAGCTTCGATCCAACGTGCCGTTGTGTCGTCACTGGCGGCAGTCAAGGTACAATGTACAAGTACCTGATGGCCCGGGCTCTGCATGCCTCAAGTCAGGTAGCAAAGCATAAGCAGGCGACATTTTGACCCAAAAGAAGTGATTTATGGAGGACCACACTGGTCGAAACATGAGGCGTGGCGTCGTTGGGGACTTTCACATGCTTCGACAACAAAATTTGCAACCTCAATTGCTTGATCGTCCATGATCAGCAATTATTCCGGGGGGCATTCCTGTTAAGGGGCCGTCATGGGCTTATGTGATAGGACACAGGCCATGGCTCCCAATGATCATACGACACTGAGCACCGAGGTGCGAGGGGCCAGTGAAATCATTCTCCAGCCCTTGTACATAGTCGACAAGCTGAACCGAGCCCTTGGCCTTCTCAGACCTCGCCGAGGCTGGCCACCTGAGACACCCTCCAAGCTTCCTACTGTGATATTCAAGTCGATCCAAAATGTATCAGGTATGTGTGCTTTGATGACAAGTGCTACAGCCGTCACTACCTGGTGGGCACTCCGCCATGGTGCAGTGCGAGCTAAGGCTTTCAACCCACTTTTCATGCGCTGCAATGCATCTTGACCAATTCAAGCCGAGTGCCCCATCACGCTTGAGTCGCGCATCTAGAGGATCGGTAGGAGTCGTTGTTCTCGTTTTGAGATGATAGTATACACTTGCATGCAGCCAATACTACCGTGTCGGAACTGTCGGGGTCTCACATCTCTGCGGCATGCAACGGTCAACTCGGCTCTCTGGGATACCTTTGCAAGAACGAATAGTCTAGACTTGCCACCTTCTGATGAGAAGGGTGCCTCGGCTATGGCCCCAGGCGAGAGCGAATGCCACAACGACGATGATGAGTGCCATCTTGCTGCAGGCCTCCATATGCGGTTCGAAATAGCGCATCCCCCATGCCGGTTTTCAGCTCCTCTTGCGGTACGTTAGGAGGGTTCTGGTTGTCTCACACTCGACATCATTGGCATTGTTAACCAGGACCTTCAGCCTAGGAGCTTAATGCTTTTCCATCCCTCATGAGTACCCAGGACTGCATTCTGTTACGCGACCGGTACAGCCCTCCTCTGTCTCGGGCGACTTCCACTTTTTCCATGCCTCTTCGACGTGCTACAGTATACCGTCGGGCTGCCCTCACAAAACAACGTGGGAAGATTGAATGAACAGGAGGGGTTATGGGCCGGCGCTGTGAAGAATTTTGTCATTTGTTGAAGCAAAGATCGGCATGGCGATCGCACATATGGCACCGATCTGCCTTCTGTTTGACATGCACGGACATGTCTGTCCTATCATGCCCTATCGTGAAAGGCACAGAAGATCTCACGTCTAGCACTTTGCCATCTACAGGCTAGACTGCTGCGGAGTCAAACAAGCTTGGCCGTAGCTAGAACGTGGCCGGCTAGTGCTTTGTGGGAAGTCTTGGGGTATGGAGTCCGAATTCTCCTCTCCTCGTGTTTCACTGACATCTCTGACCACATCCCTTGCGCTATCGACCAGCCACTGCGGAGCAAAGAGCCGCTCTAATGCGCAACATCCCATCCCGTCCGCAGGGGTCGGAAGTTGTCAATCCGCCAATACTTACCTTACGGAGTATCAGGAACTGACTTTGCCCTCCAGCACGTGTGCTCCTTCCGACGATATTAACCCTAGTAGCCTGCCCTAGGTACTGTGGTGTGTGTGGTATGCAAATACTGGTATTCAAACGGACAGATGCCACCCCTCGTTTGCCACGTCGAGCAGACAAGATGCCGTTCGCCATGCTTTTGGCCATTCCAGCCGAGGTATTCTAAGCGATGTTAGCCAGCCTCTGGCCGCCACACGCTCTTTCCAGTCATTTGCATGAAATATGACCACAATGGCAAGCGGCCCGCCCCGGAATATCGCAAGTGCGAAGATGTCAATGAGACAGCTTTCTGGATAACTGTCACAAACGTTGTGCAATGCCCTGCATCAGAAGTAGCCCCTTCAAAGAGCCGTGAGTATCCGTGCATGCCATTATGAAAGCGATAAACTTGTTAGGGTGGCATAGACAGCCCTTGGTGGTTTGTCAGTCGAATACTTTGTGGGTGAGTGATGGAACAAGGACTGAAAGTCAGGCTGATAGCCAACCAAAACCATGACTGCGGACAGTCAGCGCCAAGCTACGGTGATGTCGACTTTCATTTCAACCACAGGTCACTTCTGCTTTCTCCTAGGCACAGTGACTTCGCCTCAAGAAGTAGCTGGGATGATCGGACTTCTGCGTGTGAAGACTTCGGGAAGTCTCGATGGGCTTTGCATTCAAATCAACTCTATTCAATGTTGTACCGTATTTTACATGATGCCGCCAAGTTTGCCGCTGACCACCTCCCTTCCTATACCGTGTAGGTACCTACTCACTGCAACCACAGATCGTTACGCGATTATTCATCTCAGATATCACTAATGTCTTAGTCAACTGTCCTCCGCTATGTCTCTTCGTCAGCTTCACATATACTACTTCACACCAAAGCGTCTTCTCAGTTGCTGACTGCTTTGCGGCTTGATACGAAACGCTTCCCCCGAACGGCCAATGTCGCCTCCGGATGAGAACAGCCTGAAATCGGTGTCCAGAACACTTTCTATAAACGGTAGCCAGCTAGTCGACGCGACAGTACTAGGCGATTTCTGGTCCGTAAGCAGAGATGATACCACCAGGCCCACTCGTAAATCTACCAATACCACTGTCCATCTTCATGGTGTCGGTTGCAATGCCCAGCCAGGCTATGAACGGAGCTGGAGCAGAGCACTATCAGGGCGGAACGGCAAAATACGACGTCAAAACCTTCACGCCTAGACGATGAAAACAGACTCTCTGGATCTGTTTGACTACTTGAAGAGCTCATGAGGTCTGGATGGCTTGACGGGATCCCACATCTCATTATCCACAGACAACTGTGAAACAAAGATTCTCAGCTTGCAACTACCACGTACATCATGAGTTCATGGACAAATATAGAAGAGGAGCACGCACGCACCGGAACGGTGGTCATAGCTGGAGCAGGGCCCATAGGCTTGCTTGTGGCCACCGTTCTCTCCCACTATGGCGTCCGATCGATCCTGCTGGAACGCAATCTCTCGACCACGCAATGGCCGAAGATGGATCTAACAAACACAAGGTCCATGGAGATACTGCGCAGACTGGGTCTCGCGTCAGCCTTGAGAGAGCAGGGCGTCCCCTCGCACTTCCCACTCCCAGTGCTGTTCTCCTCGGGCCTGACCGCCCACGAACCGATCACGCGCTGGGATCTTCCGAGCGTCGACGAGTTCCGGAGGCACATTCTCGCGAACAACGATGGTGCACAGCCGTTGGAGCCATACCAGCGTATCTCCCAGGTCATATTCGAAAAGTGGCTCAAGAATATCTGCGACAAAGACCCACTTATTGACGTCCGCTTTGGCTGGGCTGTTAGGGCAGTCGATGAAGAGCGTGACAAGGCGCAGGTCACAGTCGAAAACACCCAGAATGGAAACACGGTGATCATTACAGCCGACTACTTGATCGGCTGTGACGGTGCCTCCAGCCAGACGCGAAAGTCCATGGGTTTTGCCCTGGATGGCGGTCCGATGTAAGTACCATCAACCACCTTGACGTCCTCAATCCCAGAAGTGGAGAATATACTGATGTCCAAAAGCCCAGTGTGCGCACTCCTAGTCCACTTTAAATCACGCGATCTCGCTCGAATTCAGAAACAAGGGCAATTCTGGCACATCTTTCTCCTCACGCCGCCCGGGCAATTCGGTGGCGCCATCATCGCACAAGACGAAATTGACACTTGGACGGCCCACCTGTTCCTACCTCCTGACGCCGACGCCTCGCAGATCGACTCCCGCGACGCAGTTTACCAACTCCTCGGTGGGCTAGGCTCAAAATACGAGATCGACATCGACGAGATTCTTGTGCGGTCCGTGTGGCGGCCAACTGTAGGCGTCGCGCAGACATGGACAGGACCGAACTGCCGCGTGTTCATTGCAGGCGATGCGGCGCACCAGACTATCCCGACTGGGGGCTACGGAATGAATACAGGCATTGGTGACGCGTACGACATGGGGTGGAAACTCGCGGCTGTGATCAATGGACAGGCCGGGCAGGAACTTTTGCGATCGTACGAGCAAGAACGCAAGCCCGTGGCGGCGAAGAACGTGGAGCACTCCGGGGAGCATTTTAGAGTGCATGGTGAGCTTGCGGCGTTGTTTAAGGACGATACAGTCCTCCAAATCGACCAGGACACGCAGCCGGCAAGGGCGCTGAAGCGTGCGATCCATGAGTACTACGCCGAGCATGATGGAGAGAATAAAGATCTGGGATTCGAGGTGGATTACCGGTACAAGTCGTCGGTGCTGGTTGTGGACGATGAGGATGATTGTGCGATCCCTACTTGGACCAGCAGACACTACACGCCCAGTACTTATCCGGGTCATCGGGCGCCGCATATCTTCTTGTCTGATGGGTCGGCTCTGTACGACCACTTTGGAAAGCACTGGACTTTGTTGCGGTTCGTAGATGAGGCATCGGTTTCGAGGGTTCTTTTGGAGGCGGCGAAAAAGCAGGGTGTGTCTGTTGTCGAAGTCGATCTCGCGGCTGAGCCGCTAGCGGTGATATTGTACGAGAGGAAACTCGTGCTTGTCCGACCTGATATGCATGTTGCGTGGAGGGGCGATGCTGTGGATGGCGCGGACGCGGATCGAATACTGCGGACTGTCACTGGGAGAGGGTCTTGCGCTTGACAATGGTGCAGTGGGATCAAGGCAGGTTACAGGCACTGAGGCAGACTGGCATGGATCTGCACTTTTCCTTTTCTTCCAAACTTCCCCCAATCTCCTCTCAAGATAATGATTGTCGTCGCTGTGGGTAGGCGTGGACTTCACAAGGTGGACACTGGCTTAGCTAAGTTCGGATGACAAAATAGCGCGCAGCCGTCCTGCCGCCTGGGCGACCAAGCTTCCAAGCCTCCAAGCCTCCAAGCCTACCTGTAGGTAGGCTTACAGCGGAAATGATGTTGATTATGACGGGTTCCTGACCTAAGCATGCGCTTCTCGAATTGTCATCAAGCTCAACAACCCCGGCCCAAGTCGTATCCTCTCTCTCGCTAAGGTCCGACTGTGCACGATTAGACATCTTTCTCGTAAGACCATTGAAGTTACTGGCGCCACGGGATTTGATTTCCCTGGCCGACCCTGTTAGTCGCTATGCGCTTATGTCATTTTCTTCCTCTTGCTTTCAGATCCACGAATTCATGCGGCATGGGCGAGTTCTGCAGTCGACTCCTGATTGGATTCTACAAGCCACAACCAGCTATGAAGGTACGGAATAGCCGTACACCAGATCTGCTTTGGACCCACGAGGCTCGAGGACGCATCGAATTGTAGCCCACTCCTCCATGTTGGCCAATGATGAAGCGAAGATGCCCTTCAGTAAAGGGTTAGGCTACGAGTACCCAAGATTCCTTGCGCCTCGTTTCTGGAACACCTAGCCTCGGACAATATGGAGTCGAGATCCCATTCAATTCAAATGCTCAGCTAAGGATGAGGAAAGCGATATAGAATCACCTCCCGTTTTCTGGATGCTCGCATCAGTTCGCACAATGGTCCCCTCTGTTGATAACTGTCTTCTGACATCACTAACGCCATGGCTTCCACGGCTACTACTCTTCTCTACCATATCCCTGGGGACAAACTCATTCTTGAGTCGTATGCTCAGTCCATGTCTGAAGGAAACCGCTCACCAAATCAACCAGCACCCTTCCGGGGCGATTTCTCCTTTGTCAACAAGGATGCCGGCAATATTGATTCGAAAGACCACAATGCCGCTGTTTCGTGGCATGTGATGAACCGGTATGAGCGGTGGAAAAAGCAAGAACAAGCAAGACGATTACGCGCTTCCGCCAACGTGCCCCTTGGGCCACTCTCGCCTCCATCACAGCAACCACAACAAGCCTCCACGCCTGAACAACAGCAGAAACCATCGAGCTCAAGGACCCCAGCGCAAGCTGTACGTCGCGCTCCCTATGAAGTGCCTGGTAGAAGACGATTGGTAGAGGGTGTGCAGACTCGGCCCATATCATCGGCAACTCCGTTCAGCTTCGACCCATGGGTGGCCGAGCAGCCACTGCAGCTTGGTTATCCTGGGATAGCCGCGGGACCAGGCACCACTAGCGGCCCTCAAACATCATCCGCATCAACGCCCTCCACTCATTCCGGCATCATTGAAGATGACCCGTCGTCCGTGTTCACAACGATGAGCACGCCACTAGATCTCAGCGAAACACTTTTCGAACCCTCTGGGTTAGCTTTGAACCCGCTGGCGAGCGGTTTGATAACCTACGCCTACGAGATGTTTATTCCTCAGTTGTGGCCAGAAGAGTCGAGCCGAGGCCAGGGAGCTTATGAGATTGCCAGATGCTGGGACGACATGACTATCATGAATCAGGACACCTGTTTTGCTAACGCGTATCTCAGTCTGCTGGCAGCAGCAATGGCGGTCATGACGGACGATGATAGTCTGGCCTACCAGTCACGGTATTTTCAGGGTCAGGCAATGGTCGAATTGCGGCAGCGAGTGGCTCAACCGACTCCACCAGATATGATCACTCTTAAAGCCATACTGAAGCTCTTCTCCTCGGAAACGCTGGTCGACAACACGGCCGTAGCGCGGATGCACCTCAAAATGCTACGAAATCTAGTCAATGCAGCTGGAGGAGTCATCCTGCTTGATTCATGGTTCCGCGAAGATCTCCTCTCCTGCGACTGTTACTTTGCCTTGAAATACGAAACGCGGCCTCTCTTCCCCGCCCAGGAATGGACGCCTGGGCCGTTAAGTCAACCTTGGAAAGCACGGTTACTCTCCGCTGGGATTCTCGGAGACCATGCGGCAGGAATCGACCCTCTGATAGAGCATCCTCTGATGAAAGCAGTGATCACTGATCTGCGCGAGCTGTTCAAATCTCGAGAATACACTCGAAATCACGATGTGCCGACGGACGATCAATTGCTGAGATGGCAACACCTGCGCAGATTCGACTGCATATCGAGGCTTGCAGATCATCACGTCAACCTATCCATCTATCCTCACCTGTTCCTACACCCCATAACACAAGCATACTCCTGCATTGCTGCAGCACTGATGACATCCATGGTTCTAGGCTCGCCTGAACCTGTTCGATTCGGCCTCAAGCTAATTAGTGATCTGCGCACAAAGGTCACTGCGAGTGAGTCAGAAGCGGAAGATACACAGCACCAGCGGCTCCGGCTTTGGGCGCTGTACGTGGGATCTCTGGCAGAGAAGGTTCATCCGGTAAGCACTGAGCACGATTTGTGGTTCACAAAGAACTACCGCAATCAAGCAGCAGAGCTGGGCTTGTTCGGGTGGGAAGACGTCAAGAAAGTAATCAGACACTTCCTCTTCTCGGAGAGCTTACACCAAGAAATCGAATCTGGCCAAGCTCATCGCCTCATGGACGCCAAGCAGGGTCTCTACTCAGCGTGCGGCACGAGTTGGCGAGACCCTGTACTCAAACCCTATCTGATAGCTGGTGGACCCGAGCAGGAAGAGACCGGAAGCATGTCGGTGGTGGCTGGCAAGCAGCGGGTGGAGGAGTGAAGGTCGTTTCAAGATCAGACGAAAAGGCTCTTCATTGCAGTATCTCTCAGACTTCGACCCGTCGACGAGGCGCGAGTGCTTTGGCAAGGTCTCCTCCAGAAGTCAATTTTTCTGTCTTGATTGGTCAGTATCGTTTTCTCGATCGGGTTTTTAGCGAGCAACAGACGCTGGACCTGGAGTATTACATGCGGTGGAGAAGAGGAGCTGTGACGAGCTCATTTAAAGTACTTACCTATGGATGACCTGGGTGATGGGTGGGCGTAGTAGATATACGTTAACCTCTTGTAGGGAATAAGATCGTGATATCTGCAACTTGAAGCATCGACCAACGATATGGAGGTACATACAAGAGCACTTCTGATCCAGCTGTCTCTTAAGTACTGTGGATCTGCTCAGGCATTCGGCTTACTTTCCCGATCAGCGTTCCTGCCTCGATCCATCACCGGTTGATGTTCCATGCTCCCTTGTCAACCTGTCGTCTTTCTTCCTTGCGTCTGCACTTCACGAAACCAATGCGGACGACCTTGTCGTCTGCCTTGACGAGATTAACGTGCATATCGCATAGCCTGCGGCCGACGTTCCCCCAGTCTTTACCCATCTTCGCTGGCCGCTGTCAAGCAGCTCGTCGCTTGACCACCTCTTCAATCCGGTCATGGAGCCTTGAAGACCTCCCACGCGTCTCGCAAGAGACAAGCCCCCTAATCTTCCACTTGACCTCGGATAACCCCTACTATAACCTCTCAGTCGAGCATTATCTGCTTACACACTCCCACCCGGACACAAGAATCCTCCTCTTCTACACGAACCGACCATGCGTTGTCATTGGCCGCAACCAGAACCCTTGGCTCGAGACCGATCTTAAAAGACTCCAACAGGGACTGCCACCCGACGAAGGGAGAATCCCACGAACTGCAGATAACGCCTATGGCCAGATCCACGAGACACAACTCCGCAAAGATGGCACCGCGGTACCAATTGACCTGGTCCGCCGTCGTAGCGGAGGTGGCACCGTTTTCCACGACTCGGGCAATTTAAATTACTCGGTGATGGTGCCCAACTCCAAATCCTTCAAGCGCAGCACGCACGCAGACATGGTCGTCCGGGCTCTTTCCTCTGCATCCTCGCGCTACCAGTTCGCCGATATTCGGGTCAACGACCGCAACGACATCGTCATGCGCCGCGAGACTGAAAGCCAGTGGCTAAAGGTCAGCGGCAGCGCATATAAGCTTACACGTGGGCGAGCGTTGCACCATGGGACGTTGCTCTATTCGAGCCCGTACCTCGATAAGATCCCGGGGTTACTGAGGAGCCCCGGGCGCGACTTCATTGAGGCGAAAGGTGTGGAGAGCGTCAGGAGTCCGGTGGGGAATCTCGTCTGGACACCTAATCCGGGAAAGAGGGAGGAAGTCAAACAAGAGATTACCCAGAGCATTGTTCGCGAGTTCTGGCGGATGTATGGTGCAGATCAGGAGAGACGGACTGGTTTGAATGAGGTCACGCTAGGCTCCGAGGAGTGTGCTGAGGACACGAACCCCGACATTGCGAGTGGAGTAAAGGAATTGATGTCGAACGCATGGCGGTTCGAGCAGACTCCTCGCTTTGACTTCGCCAGTGGGACGGTGGATGGCACAGCGGTGGCTTTCCAGGCCAATCGCGGCGTTTTAGAGCATCTGAGTCTGAAAAGCGTCTCGGGAGCGTCAATGGAACGCGCGAAGAGCGATTTCAAGGAAGAGATCAAGCTGCATGATGTGAAGAGCTGGAAGGGACTGATTACTGGCGGGAACACCCAGGAACAGAACGGACAGAATAGTATCGAGAACTCGGCAAGAAACTCAGCATGGTCAGAAGGAGCCGATGCGCCAGACGCGCTTGTGAAAAGGATCGAAGCTGTTTTCCCAAGATATAGTATAGACTAGAAACTTTCAGATCCACGTTATGCTGCGAAACGTCGCACTTTTTCAACGGGATAACCAAATCATGAAAATTTACCCGTCCCACCTGTTTTCGACAATGCTTCGACTCATCCGTTCGTAACTCATACAAGTCAAACGCCCACACTCGTCAACGGCCTTTCTCATACGCTGATTCCACTTAGACACCGCGCTCTGATTGATTTCTTGCTGTAGGTTTATCATGTCCCCAGCGGTGGGTTGGAGAAGCATTCCACTTCTCGGCGTCTTGGGTAAGATGCTACGCTTCCCTGCATAATCCAACAGCGTGCGAGCCTACCAAAGGGCGGCTTGGTCTCGTACACCAAGCAAGTGAGGCTTGGAATTTTTGTCCGGGCACGCAAGGTGCTGCTAGGAGCATCGCCAATACTCGTACCGGCATGCCAAAATGGCGTCGGAGAGCACGACCCGGAGAAGTCCAGAGGCCCCACTGAGCAATGCCATCAGGAGAACGGCAAAGGAAGCATCGGCGTCGAAGGTGCCGAAGATAACAACAGCCAGGTTACGTGGGCCAGTGCAGACCGATAAGTGGAAGTTCGTCCATCTGCGATGAGTTCTTCCTAGGCCATACCGAAAACAAAATCGTGCCCTGCTGCGCTGACGGCGTTCGGATCGAAAAGATCCCATCCAGCCACATATCCCTCGGCCGAGGCCGATCGTCCATCACTAACGCTGAAGTCCTCCCAATTGAGAGTGCCCATGTCGAATGAGGGCAGTCCATCACCGTCAAGCGACCGACTCCCAAAGCGCAATTTATCCAGCTGTGAAGGACCGGGGTACAACAGGCGCAACAACTCGGCGTCTTGCGCGGGACCGAACGACGACAGCGACGGAGGACGATTCGAGAAGACCGACTCGAGCAGCGGTCCGAGCAGGCGCTCGTACACACCGGCGTAATTCGAGACTTCATTCCACCCCTGCGCCGCCAAAGCCAGGAAATTGGCCGTGAACACCTTGGTCATTTCAAAGATCTGCTGCGCGGTGAACCTTGCCGATATCGTATCAAAGCCATGCCGTAGACAGAACAACACGACCATACTATTCTCCAAGACATGATGCGCGATCAGCCATGATCGCCTATAGAATCCTGACAAGATGTGATCGCGCAGATGTTTCGCACTCGAACACGCCGCTTCGAAGGCGACCATAAGACTGCGCTGGCCGGGCATCGGCACACGCGGAGATGGACGGTGCAAATTCGTCAGGCCGTGGGCGAGGGTGAACTCCGTGAGCTCGTGTCCGTCGTTATAATCCTCGTACCACGCCTGCAGACGTCGTTCCATCAAGACCAGCCAGTCTTCCCAGCTCTGTCCCTCTTCGAGCGGCTTGCCTTGGAAATGCACCTCGACCATGGCGGACTGCAGACGCCGGAAGTGGATCCATCGCAGATTGTGTGCTTTGGTCTCGCTGCCGGTGGCGTCAATGCCGGTCGGATGGATGTGCCTGTCGTCTAGGATCGAGGGGAAGTGCGCATCGATGCTCTGGTCGGGAATGGACAGCGGACGTTGCAAGGCGGAGCAGATTGCCCGGTCGAAGTTGTAGGCGCACCAGAAGATGCGGCGGCGTAGGTCCAGCGTGAGTTGGTCGAATTGGAGGGCTTCAGGGGCTTCGCGGTGCAGGCCGAGTTCGAGACATGCGCGCATCGCCGCGCCGGTGAGCATCCATACGTTCGCTAGTCGGGGGTTGATGGAGGCGTACTGTAGGACCATAAGGGTGACTTGGATGCCGGCGAGGTCGGAGGGGATCTTGGCCTTGTCGGATAGGTGCTGAATACCTTCTTCGAAGAGAGAGCTGGAGAAGACCATGTGTTTGGTCTCGTGGCCGGTGCGGGCGCTGCCTAACGTGGCGGAGGTGGAGAGCATGAGGTAGACGATGAGAAAATCGAACGAGGGTGCAACAGTGCGATGTCGTTCCGGCAACTCTTGCAAAGTTCTGACCACGCGATCGAGTTGTTGCCAGAGTGAGGGTGCGTGTAAGACGGGAAAAATTGGGTAGACTCTGGTCATGTATTTTTTGATGAGGCTTCGGACGATGGGTGTGGGTATACTTTTCAGCATGGCACAGCTAACTTCGTTGTTCGCACGAGAAAAGGATTTTCGACGTGCTTCCCTAGGACTGCCCGATGCGATGGCGGTGGAAGGAGTCAGGCTCATGCGGACCCGTGCTATAAGATCTGTGATGCCCGGCCCTGTTGGGAGGATGGCGAAGATCATGGCTTGGATCTCGCCGCAGCTCATTATCTCATTGCGGGAGGCTTCATTCACCGTCGATGATGGCGGTGGTTCGACTGGTATTTTGGGAGTTTCGTCATGTTTAGGAAGATCGATGATGGACAGGCCGTTTTCTTCGAGGGGGATGCCATCGTTGGTCGGCATGCCAGCCAGGATATCCGAGGCATTGAGTTCTTCGAGGTGGCCATTCCGAGCGAGTTCACTTTCGACTTTGGCGATTTCCGCCTCGAGATGCTGTACGATGCTTCGTGGAATATTCGGATCCTGGTCCTTCGAACTAAAGCCGGTACAATCTGCTTTTGCGGCAATGCATTGACCGCATGGAATGGCGCGATCACATTTGATTTTGCGGCGGCGACATCGCGCGCACGAGAGTACCGAGCGACGACATTCAGTCATGGTTTTGGTTATGGTTGATTCTTCATGACAAGTCACCTGGATGACTTTGTGGCGCGAATTGAGTCAATGGCTGAAGGTGAGATGGGCGGGGATGTGGTCTCAGGGCGGAGGATGGATAGGCTATGTTAACTAAGGTAGTAATCTCTGCCTATCAAGCTCCTCAGGTGAGATTGTATTGGGTAATCAAGATTTTGTTGAAGAGCCGTTGGATGATTCGATGGATGAGTCGTGCGTTACCTAGGTACAAATAAGGGTCCAGTTTAGGAAGGGGAGAATTGGTGGTCCAGAGGAGAGAAGAGAAGAAGGCAGGACACCACTGAATGACTGGACAGGGTTCAGTTCAATTCGTTGGTGCCAGTCGGTGCCAGTCGGAGCCAGTCGAAGCCAGTCCACACCGAGGTGCCCAGTGCGTGAGAGGCAAGTCGAGGCAAGTCTTTCCTTATCGCTCGTGCCCCGCCATGATGCACCGTTGCCGTGACCGGAGACGTCGTATCTCTCTTCTCTTCCCGTCGTCGCATTGTTGTCCGCATCTTCCACCCGAGCCCAATCCATCTCGCATCCTCATACATCGACTTTCAGGCTGCAGACGGGTCATCACGATCTTGTTGACGGCTGGGAACTGACAAGTTATATACCCGTGCGAGGCTGTGCCCCCGAAAGCGCACATGTCCTTTATCCGCCTCTATTGACTATTACCCCGGATCGGACTTGGGCTGTTGCAAGACACAAAGATGGAGTTTGAGCACACGAACATCTCCGAAGTAGATCTCACGCGTCTGTTGCCGACCTGCCAAAGATGCCGTCGCCTTCGAAGGAAATGCGATACGAATCTTCCAGCTTGTCGGTTATGTCAGAAAGGCAAGGCCGAATGTACCTTTTTTGATCATGCTTTACAGCAAACTCTGCCCCGAAGGTGCGCTTGAAGTCGTCGAGCCAACCCTACGATGCCTCTGCTGACCTCTTTCTAGTTATGTTCATTCGTTACTGAATCGTCTGGGCCGTCTACGGTCCGTTCAAGCCACAGTCAACGGATCAACCGAGCCTTTGAGCACTTTTCATGTTGCCCAGCATGAACGAACCACCTCTACAGCTTCATCGCATCTCGAGCCTCAACCCACGCCATGGGGAACTTACACCAGTGATTTGTCTTTTGACAAGCATTTCATCATTGATCATGCAAACCCAACATGTTGGCAATTCTTGGGCAGCAGCTCTCCGTACGCCCTCGTGGTCGAAGTGCTTGTCCATGGTCAAGCAAAACTCGGCCCAATGGTTCACAACCCAGACTACGCCGGTCCTGAGTTCTGGTTGAATGCTCAAAGCACAGAAGTTGCAGAACCGTTGCAACCGCGCTCAGCACCGTCCCGATCTGAAATTGAGATGCTCGTTAATTTGTACATGTCAACTACAAACATCCTCATGGCCTTTTTCGATCCCGATGATATTACCCTGGAGATTGAGACCTATTTGCGACATCATGGGACCGCCGTCAAATATCTTATGGGCAAAGACGCTCATCAATTCTTTCGTGTCTCCATGATTTGTGCCATTGCTTCGGCCAACAAAGCAAGACATCATTCAGCCTACGACACCGAGTCGATGGCTTATTACGCCGAAGCATTGCAGTGCGTCGAAGAAGTCACCTCAGATGTTTCAGTTGATGCGCTCCAGGCGTTGCTGCTCCTGATAGCTTTTGGCAGCTTTCATCCGAGGAAAGGTGATATTTGGAAATTATTGGACTTTGCGTGCCGTTTGAGTGTAGAGCTCAACTATCATACAGAAACCAACGACGACTACGAGGATGAGAAGAGCAAGAAGAGGCGCCGGTCCATCTTCTGGGGCTTGTACTGTATCGAACGAACCATGGCCCAACACCTAGGTCGACCATCGGACCTCACCGAAGAAATCATCACTGCCGAGTATCCAGCCTCGCTGACAGAATCAACCCTTGCGAATCCTTCGTCATTTCAAATGATCCTGACATCGCACTACTACCGTCTCACATATCTCCGCTCTGAAATTTTCCGCGAGCTGTATCTGCCCGCGGTAGCCCCCAATCTATCACGCTTATGGTACGAACAAAGCCTCGAACAGATCTTGTCATGGAAGCGAGAACTACAATTCCTTGATACATCTCTGGGCATGGGTAGTATGACATGCGAAATTGGGTTCGATACCTCAATTTTATTCCTCTTCCAGCCTCTGCTGCTACGCGCACTAGTGGCGACAAAAGAGCCCATGCTCGCCCACGAATCGACCGAACTTATACCTCGCGAAAGCTACCACTCTGCGGTCAAGGTCGTTGAGTACTACAACAAGATACTCCGTGGTGCTGAGGGCTCTCCTTGGGGCATGTACCCTATCACCATTGTCTCTGCGCACTACATCCACCAAGCCACCATTACCATCATGGCTCACTGCTTGCTAGCAATCGATGGACGACTCCCTGTCGTGAGCTTCTCGCGTGAATTGAGTGGTGATGAGGAAGGGCCGGTAGACTTCACTGGCATCCACGAAATTTCAGGGACCTGCTTGATCCTGCTGAACACCTTATCGAAGCGATGGGCAGGGATGGTGGGCATACTCGATATCTACAAGAGTCTTCAAGCCAAAGTGCTGCCAATCATGATGCGGAGTGGGTTGGGCTAAGTCACCTTTATCCTAGGTCGCCTTCAGAGTCATCGAGAACCTGTTCATTGCTCCACCCATATTTCTTCCATTCCATTCTTTGACCTACTAGGACTTCTCTGGCCAGTAAGCTGCCCTCACTTTCGATCGGTACCGATTCGCGAACCATTCGCCCACCAGAATTTCTCGCTAGGCGGCTTGCAGCCGAGATCCGTCAGGGCGCAGCGACCCTCCCGGGAGAGGCCGGCTTTTCTTGCTGCACTATATCGGCAGCCAAGGTCTATTGAGTATGCTCATTGTATGCGGCATCAAGCGAGACTGCCCATGGTCCGAGATGCTTCGTCTGAGAGTCTGCCAGGATGTTACGTTCGAGGCATAACACACAATGAAGCAAAATTAGTAGCCTGCATAGTGTACTACGATCTCGCCGTCTGGCAACCAGAGACAACAAGCGTTCGAAGTCAGTAAAATTCTACCGAGAAATTTCCCCCCAAGGCTCACGCGATGCTATTATTACCTTCACTGTGGTTGTCCACCAACCAAAAGGCACAACTGGAAGGCAGGACAACGAACGATGACCACGAACAGGAAGCCGGCGGACCTCAGGTGTGAGGACCTCGACGGTAGTAGGGTTCTCAACCACGGTTCAGGTCCTCATGACTCTTCGTGGTCCTCAGGCGTAGTCGTGGTTCAGAACTCTATTACCGTCGAGGTCCTTGGACGGACGAGTACAAATAAAGGAGATTCCTCACCGTCAAAATCTCCCGCTCGTTAACATCGATACACACATCACCACACCACACCACACCACATAACACCAGAGTCCTTCACAAGAGCAACCGACACCATCACCACAATACATCCAAAGCCAACCACACAAACAACCGACTCTTTTCCACCAGCACCCTCCTTCCTCCAGAACCTACATCCACCACTTTCCCGACAAGTCCCTCGGCGATAAGAAAAAATGGCCGCCTTCACTCGCTCCATGGCCGCCGCCGCCCGAGCCAATTCTACTACGGGCAGCAAAAAGCCCAGACTCAGACTTATTCGCCGACGTTCGACACCCTGTCCGAGGTGGACAGGCACCAAGATACGCTTCACCATGAGGGACGGCAAGCCAATAAGGTGCCAAGTTGTTGGATAAAGGAGGAGAGTTGACATGGTGGACATAGTGGTCGACAGGACCACAAGCGGAGGTATGAATATGTTAGGACAGGCAGTGGCCTATTGTGAGATACTAGAGGCATAGACAATACCCGGACATTTACCCACAGATTTTCTCTTTTCAGAACATTTTCATTAGAGCGTTCGTGCGTGATATCGTGAGTCGAAAGCCTCGTAGGTCATCGTGGCACGCCTGTTCCATTGATTTTTCTTTATTGCATCTGCAGCTCTGGTGTACCTCACGTACATCGCTTCATGATGCACTTGCAACGATGTTCGGGAATACGTTTGGACTACGTTTGCCAGCTGTACATAGTATTGCGCTTCCATACTGGAAATCTTGACGTCCTTCAACAACGAATGAGATACGGCGCGATAAGAACTGGTCAGAAATGTGGGCGTGGGCGTGGGCTGCGGCTAGTGAGGCCAAGGCTAAAGGCTGGAATCCAAGTGATCGGGGAAATGACGAACGTCAAAGACAAGCGAGAGGAGCGTCACATCGCCAGCTGCCCGATGATAAACCAAGCACTCCACTTAACCTAGAATTCTCGAGCTGAGCATCATAGGGCTCCTTTTTCAAATTTCACAAATTGGCCTGTTTTCCCTCGTCGACTATGTGATTTTGTCCGTTTGAATTGCCTGATCCCGCCATGGCAGGCTTCTTCACCATTCTCGCTGCCGAGCCTGATGCACTGCTCACCATCCGCGAAGCTTTGTCCGGCATCTTTGGCTCAATCTCCCTTGCCTGCTGGATTTTCCTCCTCGTTCCTCAATTAATCGAGAACTACCGCAACGGCTCGGCCGAAGCAATCAGCCTCGCATTCATTTTCGTCTGGTTCATTGGCGACATATGCAACCTTGCGGGTGCGCTGTGGGCCGGCCTGGTCCCGGTGGTAGTCGCGATAGGCGTATACTTCTGCATCGCCGACGGCGTGCTGATCGGACAGTGCTTATACTACGGTATCAGGAACAAGAGGCGGGAAGGACGAGCGTTACTGGAAGCACGTGCTTCATTGTCCGCAGCGGAGCCGCGAGAAGATGAACCGCTCCTGCGCCGCGAGAGGACGAACAGTCTTACGATCCCTGGGTCTGCGGAGCGAAGGAGGCGAAGCAGTGCGAGCATGAGACGACGGGCAAGCAGTGTCGCGCAGAATGATCATCTGGCGAAGATACTTGAAGAGAGCGACGAGTCGGGCACCAGGCTGTGGTTCAAGAACGTCATGAGCGTGCTGGCGATCATGGTTGTCGGCGCCGCGGGCTGGGCTTTGGCTTATGAGTCTGGTGCGTGGAGACCGAGTGATACGTCGAGGGACACGGAGGAGGAGAAGATGGCTGCTGGTGCGCAGATCCTGGGGTATGCGAGTGCCGTGGCGTATCTGGGCGCGAGGATACCGCAGATCATCAAGAATGCGAGGGAGAAGAGCTGCGAAGGTAAGCAGTCTTTGAGTTGGACGTGTGGACGGATCAGTGCTAATGAGATGACGCAGGACTCTCGCTGCTGTTCTTCATTCTCTCGCTTATGGGCAATCTCACCTATGGCGCGGGCATTCTCTGTCATTCGACGCAGCATGAGTATGTGATGAAGAATCTGCCTTGGCTTATTGGCAGTTTGGGCACAATGGTCGAGGATGTGACAATTTTTGCGCAGTTTCATATGTATGCGGTCAAGAGTGATGTTGCTGGGGCGGAGGAAGCTGTGGTATGAAGTAATGCTTTCTATTGTACCCGAGATTGATCTGCCTGGTCGTGACGGACTGTACCTGGACGGCGGGTTGCACAAAATTCTTTCTGGATCTGGAACAGCACGAGTACACAGCATCATGTGCGAGATTGCGGGATACACCGACTACGGAAGGGAATTTGCGAGTCATCTGAGTAAGACTGCATACACTTTCTGTCGCTTTTTCGAGCCATTCCATCTTAGTGCCCACTATAAAGGTGCGAATATGGTCTAGCTGTGAGCAAGTGACCGTCTGCTTATGAAGGGTCTGCATTGCTCGTAATCAAAGTATTTTCTCCGGTGCATGTGTGGTAGACTGCCCAAGGGATTGCGAGTTGATCCTAGAGCCGCTGACTGACAGTGACTGCCATCCTGCCATATCATTTTGGGAGGAAGTCGTACAGGGTTGCATTGCGAGTGTTGCTATCAGTGTCACATGTGCAATCGATTGAAGTACAGATCTTTGTCGAGTCGAAACTGGCGACAGAGGAGGGACAGTACATAGTGAGATCGACACGTGATCGAGTGCGAGGTGAGACAAGAGGGATTGACTGCGGTTCAACTGCGGCCTGCCGATTGAAAATCTCGCCGAAAACAAACTGGAACTCTTTGCTTTGGTTGGCGTTTGCACCTGCATAACGCAAGTCCAGCAATAGGCGAAGCCACCGCCTGGGACTACCGAAATCACTCACACCATGCCCGTAACGCCCGTGTCCCTTGTTTTTCTTCCTCGTTCTGTTACTCCCATGCAACCTTGCTTTCCAACCGATCCAACTCCAATCGCCTTTCTTCTCTTTGGCTTCGCTTTGTCTTCTTTGTCTCCTCATCTTCGACTTCTTCTAGCAATCACTCTAGATCACCTTTATTCAACTTCAATTCGAAATTCGACCTCACTCAACGCCGCAATTGGCCGTTCGTTCGCCCTCCCATTAACGACGCTCGCTTAAACTGCACGTCTTTGTTTCAAGCACATACTGCGGCCAACTCGATTCATCCCAACAATCTCTCCCACTTCAGCATCTTCCTCGACTCGACTTTCAACATGCAGAAACTAAGTGTCCTTTTCCTCTCGATGCTCTTCGCTTCCGCGGTCTCCGCCGATGCCCTCGACGATGCCATTGCCCTCTTCAAACGTCAAAGTGTGGCCTTGTCCACTGGCGGCAGCGACTCTGCGAGCGACACCTCCTCAGTAACCTCTTCTGACGATACCACTACTGCCAGCACCAGCGTTGTCACCACCACCCCCACTACCTCGGATTTCACTCCGACTGTTGTTGTTTCTTCTACAATCACATCAAGCCCTACCAGCACATCGCAGTCCGTCGTCATCGTCGAGACCACTTCAACATTTACACCCACAGACTCTCAGGGCAGCACAACAGAGACCTCGGAGTCCGTGTCAACCATCACCACGAGCACTACCGCACCGTCAAGGACTTTGATAACCACTAGTTCTTACTCAGAAGTCATCACAACCATTACAAGTGTCAAAGGAGGAAGCACTGTCCATGTCACGAGCACAGGCAGTAGCGCTGTTCCCATCACCACGAGTGTCGACCCCGCTTCGCTGACAAACGGCGGTAGCAGTAGTGGAAGTTCTGGACTCAGTGAAACGGCCAAGAAAACAATCGGTGGTGTGGTTGGTGGTGTCGGTGGTGCTCTGCTTCTTGCGGGACTGGCCTATACTGCCTGGCGTATCTGGGGCAAGAAGAAGAATCTGCACGACGATGATCTCTATGATCCCAACCTCAACCAAGACAAACTCAGCGCAACGACTGGATCTGACAGCACGCCCTTTCAACGGACTCTGGATCAATATCACTCTCCTGGACCAGTCAACACCGCATCCAACTTCTAATGCGAGTGTTTGTGGCTTCAAGCACCAGCATCACGATCATTACGAATCTTGTTTGTAATTAGCGAAAAAGGGAGACACTAATCTGTCATCCACCCTGGCTTGCTAGCAGGCGTCGAACCCAAATCATTGAGAAGGGACTCACGGGTACGGGGTCTATTGTCAAATGTATTAATGCCGGGCGTAATTTGTGCTATTGCACTCGAATTGCCGGTCCATCATTGTGTTTCAGGGGTACATAAGGAAATGCCTGGTGGTGTTGTGAATTGGCTAGATAGAAACCCAAAATGATTATTTCCTCAGCTGAATGAGTTTGCCTGAGTTCTCTGTACCTGCATGGTGGCATGCCTGATGTGATTTTGGACGCACATGCAAGAAATCTGGACAGCCTCTCAGATGCGCTCGTCATCATTCGCCCAGGTGTCAGCACTTTGATTCATGTGCTGCCAGTGCAGACCCTGAAATCGAGAATGCTCATTAAGCCGAATCTGGCTAGCTCGATACGGTCGCGTTTTCGCGCCTACTCGCGTCATTCGGTGGCTCTCGAAATACAATCTGCACCTTCACGTTCTACGAGTCTGCGCTGATGACAGACGCACTTAGAGCCCTTTTGAAGCAGAATCTGATTACTCTCGGACGACTAGACGAGCATCGAGCAATGTTCTCACACTCCCCTGCACAATCGAGCCCTTTCATCGCCACCAATCGACCTCATCATTTTCATTGCTATACGCCCGTGACACCTTCGCCGCTCCGGACGTCAAGGAATGCGAATCTCATGCCTGCATCGCCCGGTCACGGTCCCTCCTCGCCGATAATTGCAAGCTCGCCGCTGGGGAAGTTTGCGGTTAGCGAAGAGCAGGATGAGAATGTCACACCAAGCGCATTCTTTGGCAGGACTGTAAATGGCAACGACGGTGCGATCGAAGGATTCAGTGGTGTGCAGAAGACGCAGTTTGATCTCTTGAGCAGGTACCGAGGTGGGACAGGAGGAGCTGGCATGCAAAAGACGCCCGAGAGTCCGAAACAATATCCAAACATGAACGGGTCTGTAGGCGGAAGTGCCTTGGTAACACCGCCGGACTCAACCTCGTCGAACTCGGCTTTGAATGCAGACCGGGACGGTCGTGTCTCGGGAACTACGCAGTCAAGGTTTCTGTTTGGCAATGAGAAGGCGACAGCGAACTCGGCATCGTTCACCTTCATTGGTGGGCAGAACGAGAAGAAGGAAGGGATCTGGGAATCTCGTGCTCGAAGTGCGAGTCCGGCTGCGGCAATAGCACGACACGCGGCTCAGGGACGCGAGAAGAAGAAATCTCAATTCCTTGACCGAATTCGGCGGAGACGAGATGATGCTCGGAGTGAAGGCGTGGGAGACCAGGTCTTGAGGATGGATTTCGTCAGAGAGAGGAGGGTGTGGGAGGACGAGATGAGGCGGAGGGCGCTGGCTGAAGGTGATGCCGACGTGCTTGAGGATGAAGTGATGAGTGAATGGGCAGATAGTGAAGGTGAAGAAGGACACGAGGAGATGTCGCCTACGGAAGAGTACGATCCGGAGGCTGAAGAGTTGGGCATCTACTACGACTACGAAATTGGAACAGACCCAGGAACGCATGCGCAGGGAAGGGGAAGTTCCAGGACAGGTCCTGCGGATGGTGAGGACTTTATTGTGGACGAGGACGAAGAGTATGAAGAGGTGTTTAGGGAGTTTATCTTGAGAGATCAGGGGCAGGGGCAGGGGCAGCATCGGGAGTCTGTTCCTCAGCAGCAGATGGAGGGGCACACGCATGGCCAGCAATCTAGGCATGGGGAGTACGAGGCTGGAATGGATCTCTCGTGATTGATTTGACACCGGTCTTGTTTTGTTGTTGGAGTCGTCAGACCAACTGATGGTCCTTCCTTTGAAGCTGGAGGTTGTTGGCAATACACTTTGAGTGCGTGCTTGTGAGCAAGTACTATCGGCGAGCTCGGGATGTTTTTATGCATTGGAGGCTCGTCCAAAGAGCCATGATGGAGCACGTCTTTTTTTGTGCCAGAGAACCCCGCGAAATGCATCGAGACTCGTGCGGTGCCCATTCTATAGTGTAAGGTATGCATAGATGACAAGAATGAATAGTACGCTGATGACAGGGGCATCACTCAGAGCATACTAGTACCTACAGGTGCCTACCTTAGCTAGCATACCTTATCATGGATCTATCATTTTGCACAGTGCTCGTCTGGGTAAGACTTCCTTGCCACTCAGTAGGCTGTTTGCTGCCAGGATTACTATGTATTTTACTCAATATTGTACCAATATAGTAACAGAATAGATAGTTTCGGAGATATTTCCCTTCTTGTTTCGACAAGATCGCGTCTCGTCTCGTCTCGTCTCGCCTTGCGCAAAGCCCGCAGACTTGGGCATTATATCAATATGACTGTATGATAGAGTACTTCGCAAGTGTTCTCGTGTGTCCTCCCTTGGCCTAAGTAACCGGGTATATACCGTCTCCCACTTTTCCACCCTCCGTGATTTTCTCGAAGCGGAGCATTACCGGCCTATGTATGGACCTCAGATTGGAATCTTCCGTGAACGGCTGGGTGTACCTTGTAACATTCATGCGGGCTTTGAACCCCATCCGGCATGCGCGGTCTGCCAAAACTCTCTCTCAGAGCCCGGCAAATGGCTTCGCTCAACAGGGTTGGGACTCTTCAAGGGGGGGTTATGTGTCTTTGGAAGCATCTTCCCCCATCGATTGGCATCCCTGCGGATGCGTTCGTGGTCAACTGCTTAAAACTCCCAGGTCATTGCGTGGGACATCCCTCCTCCAACGCCTTGTCATCCATATCCGGCATACCCATCCCTGGAAACGGGTTGGCAACCAGGTCCTCTGGCGGCGCCCCCTCTGCCTGCATAGCCTGCATCTTCTCCCACACGTACTCTCTGCACTTGGGGTCATCGTCACTGTAGCTAGTGTGCTCAAATTTGCCCACGATGTCAGTCACAATGACCTGTTGCCTCGTGAACCTTTCGTACTCCTCCGTCGGCAATCTCGCCTTGTTCTGGTCCAGCCAGTCGGGGAACTTCGTGCTGAGCTCCTTCATCGGCTCGTACAGCATGTCCTTGTTCGTGAGCTGCTCCATCATGCCGAGGAACATCTTGGACAAGTCGCCGTCTCCGTCTCCGCCTTCACCGGCGCCCTCGGAGTCTAGGGCGCGTAGCATCTCGGCGAGCATGTCCTCCTCCGACTTAGCTGATTGGGCAGTTGCGCTGCTCGCTGCGGCTGAAGAGGACTCCATGCGGGCCATTGTCTTGCGGATCGTGTCTTCGAAAGATGTGCCTGACGACTTGCCCTTGGACGACTCGGGCCTCTTCGATTTCTCCGGGCTGCGCGATTTGGATTCGCTCTCGCGCCTGTCGTGCTCTTTTGTTGCGATCTCGCCAACCTTGGTGCCTGTGTCTTCGCCGAGGATGGCTTTCAATAGATCTTCGGGTTGCACCCCCTCAGCTTCCATTTTGGCGGTGAATTCTTCCAGTTCCCTGCCCATTTTGGCGATGTCGTCGGGCGTCGCCGCGGAGACGGCTGGATCAGCGGATAGTTTGGACATGACGCTGGACATTTCGGCGGTGAGGCGGGCCATGAATTCTTCTTCGCTTTCGGAGGGCCTGGGGCCTTCGGGGATAGGTAGGTCGGACGGGAGAGTTGGAGTTTCGCTTGTTGCTGCTGCTGGTGGTCTGCCCGGGCCAGAGGAGGAGGGTGTAGGTTCCGGTTGAGGCTTGGGCTGAGAGGACGTTGCGGCGGAGAATTGATCAAGCACGTCTATTGATTGTCAATAAGATGGTATTGGTAGTGGGAAAGCTGGTTTGTACCATCTAGGTCGTCGAAGTCTGGGTCCGAGTCATCTTCGACAGCTACATCAGGAGGCGCTTGACTTGTTGGAACTGTTGTCGAAGATGAGGGTTCAGTTTGCGAATGCGCTGGCTGCGATGGCGCAGCCATGTTGAACAGGTGTAGACACGACCTGCGGCCTTCTCGGTTGCTTGAGTCAAGTAGAGGGGTCACTGGGTGTCGCAAGCAGAGGGACTGGTTTTCAGCAGCGTGGATATGAGCGACCCGCAACAGACAAACCGAATAGTGCTGTTAGAGATTTGATATATCCTTATTGGGATATGGAGAGAAGTCAGAGCGTTGACAAAACCAGCTTAAAAGCATAAGCATGAGCATGGACGAGACATGATAATCGCCCGCCGACCGAGGTACTTGGTATGACGGCAATTTGCGACGAGAATATTCCCCCTTCTGGTAGTCTATTTTCGTGGACAGCCTTTGATTTTCTCCATGAACATGATCAGGTCTGATGAAGCGACAGCTATTGAAAGCACCTGCACATTGGCGCACCAGATCATGTGCTCTGAGAAGGACAATATTTACCTCAATTCGCCTCGCCTCAACCCAAAAAGATAGAGACCACCCCTTGAGGATCCTCTTCTGTGGATCGGATTTATTCAGTGCAACCTCTTTGATAGCCTTGCACATGTACTCGAAAACACCACAGACTAATGTCGCCTCCATCGACGTCGTAACGAGAACAGATAAGAGAAGTGGTCGAGGTCTCAAAGTCATCACCTCGCCACCAATCAAGACAGTCGCGCAACAACTTGGTCTTCCGGTGCATCAAATTGACACATTCCGGGGATGGAGTCCGCCTGAATATGGGAGTGAAAATCCATACATCAACCTGGTGGTGGCAGTCTCCTTCGGCTTGCTGATCCCGCGTCGGATTCTGAACCTCGCCAGATATGGTGGCCTCAATGTGCACCCATCGATGCTTCCAGATCTGCCTGGAGCTGCCCCCCTACAATGGACAATCATTCATGGTCGACAGACGACCGGTGTCACGGTGCAGACATTGCATCCCTCAAAATTCGATCAAGGCGTCATTCTTGATCAGACGCCCTCTCCTGGATTGACCATACCCGATCCAGATCATATCACTACCAAGGAGTTGCTGACTCTGCTGGCTCCTGTTGGTGCAGAAATGCTGGTGAATGCGATCCGTAATAAACTCTACATCCCACCCTACGAAAGTCTCCCGCGCCGAGAGAATGGCACAAACCTCGCGACTGCTCCGAAAATTACCTCAGAGATGCGTACAATCAATTTTGCCAAACATTCAGACAGCGAAATACTCGGGCGAAATCGGGCAATCGGACCCCTTCACGCCTTCGCAACTAGGGATGGCCTGTCAGGAGATGCGGTGCGTCTCAAATTGTCAACAGATATGTGGTCCGTGATGGAGTCTGACATCCCGGAGGACATGAAACATGTTGTCGATCCTATTCCAGTGGGCGTACCTTATGCGATCTTGCCAAAAAATGGGGTTCCAGTGGAAAGCGACCGACCATTAATGGTTAATGTCCAAGCATCAAAAGGAGGGATCAGCCGGATTGCATTTCCTCACGTTACAGTCGCTTCTATGGAAAGAAAACCTGGGGCTGCTGCCGCTGCTCGTGCAGGATTCTTTGGGGAACCGACGCGTATGGGAGAGTACGATCTCTACGTCTTCTCACACCATTTGGCCCTGCAAGAAAATTCTAGTGACCAACAAGGAAAGCCGACGCATGACTCGGCATCATGGTCTACCGGATGACCACACCAGCGTCTACGCCTGTCAGCAAGAATGCATCTGAAAGGCGGCAAGACATACCAACTACAATCTGCTGTCCTGTGATAGAGGTGTTCTTTGCGGTCGAAATGAACGAATCTGCACAATCGTCCAGATAAGTCTGCAGCGATCATTAGCATGGTCTAGAAGAGGCTGGCAGGGCAACAAGCCTCATGTTTCAATGCGGCCGCCTCGATCGTTTGCTGTATTCGGTCTGCAGTGTATCTCATACCCTTGGAAGGTCATCAGCGGGAGCAGGCTCAATAGGTCGAGGTCCGCTTACCCAGTCCGTCAACAGCAAACCCGGCAGAATCGCATTGATTCTTATTTTCGGCCCCTGTGTAGAAGCCATGCACTTCATGAGATGGAGTGCAGAAGCCTTCGTTACAGAATAGCCGAGCGAGCTGCCAGCGCAACTGATTCCCTGTGACGGCTCAGCATAATGCTTCTGAGGTGTGGAATCTGTCTTACCGCAATCGAGGAGCAAACGAGGAATACTCCTCCTTCTGTGTTGGCGTTGAATATTGGCACCGCTTCCTGCATCAAGCACAACTGAGACATGACATTTGTGCGCCAGCACTGGTCAAGTCAGCACGAGCCGGCAGCGCTAGTCTTGCTGCTCCTACCTTGTCCCATTCTTCATGACTGAGGTCGTTCAAATCGTCAAACTTGGCAAATCTCGTCCACCCGGCATTGTTGACAATGATATCGAGCCCTCCGAGGTGCTGTACAGTCTCCTTCACCAACCGAACGCAATCGGCTGCCACACCAACGTCCTGCCCAGTGTCAGTGTATGATCATACCGCATGGAGAATGGAACATACCCCTTGGACGATTGCGACCTTGACTCCGAAGTCTTTCTCACATTTCCCGGCAACTTCTTCTGCTTTGTCCTTGCTGCTCACATAGTTGATCATGACATTCGAACCTTCAGCAGCAAACTTCGCGCAGATGACAGCTCCCAAGCCTCTAAGATACGGTCAGGGCCTGGTTTTGAGGCGTGAAGCTTGCCTAAGCTGTAGAAAAGCTCACCTTGACCCTCCCGTGACCAAGACATTGCGTCCCTTGAGAGAATATGGCATTTTGGAGGGGGAAGATGAAGTAGACAAACTTGTGTAAAGCCGTCGGGAGATCACTTTCCAAGTCAAGAAAAGATGCTCAAGGGCGATATATGGAGAAATGGTAGGCAGCTTTGGCCCACGATCAGTATTAGTATTACATGGATATGCGGGGCCGCGGCAAGTGTAAACCAGGGCAACCCGTATCTGTGAGATGGCATCGAAAGCATAGCCGATCTCCGCATCGAATAACGTTTTAAAGACCAAGACCGGCCTTTGCCGTGGTTGGAAATCTGTCCTTCAATCCTGCGCCGCAGCGGCATATGTTGAGAACATCATATTAGTCCGTTCCGGTGCGAAGAAGGAATCACAATGAGTAGCACAGGCACCTTGTCTTCTCGTCTATTCGCAACCTGCCGCCTAGGTTGCCAGCATGGCCTTCGTGAAGATTTACTGGCCGTGAAATGAGGAAGGACGGACCTGGGCTGAAGCTGCTGTTGATGAAGACGGAGAGAAGGAATACATGGCAACAGGTTCGCGATGTGAGAAAGAGTCTTCGGGCATTCGATATAGGTCTTGATGCTGGGTACCGATGAGCATGATGCAGTTGCCGTCGTGTGTCTTGCTCCTTTCCAGTGTCCTTGCCCGATGTTTCGTTCTCCCTCAACTTGTTGCAGCTGCCTGTTCTGCCAGACACACTATGTCCCTCATACCTCAAGTATTGTCATCTTGCTAAGTCCTGGGTTTGCATTCCTCGTCCCATTCGTTTCATGCTGGAATTGAAGCCTGAGACATGCCCAATGCCGAACAACCATGGTTTCGCACACTCGTACTCGAAGTAGAGGCTCTTTCTCTATCTTCTCCTTTGACAGCATTCGATCGTTCAGTCGTGCGGGGTCGCGGCAAGGTGAGTACCAGTCTCAATGTCACGTTGCTGTGGTTGACCTTGATTCCAGCTTCTCGTATCCCTTCGAAGGATGAGTTGAATGACCGTGCCGAATCGAGCCTTTCTTATCGGTGTGACCCTCATGATCAGCCGCCGGCATCGTCTGGGCCCGGCCCTACAATAGACACTGATGTCTCCGTCAAACCACAATCCCTACAGAAAGAAGAGACCCGTGCCCGGGGCACAGGACCCCAGAACGGGGGAGATGCTGCTCCAGCAACCACCAAATCCCGTCGTCGGAATCGATTTCGTCCACTCTCATGGCTATCGATTTCTCAACTTCCCTTTGCGACACACTACCCTCGAAGTCACTCTGTCCACCTCCCAAAAGCTACTAGCACATCGACCGTTGCTCGAAGTGTTATCTCTGTTCCTATACTTACCAGTACCACCAACGTCGAAGTCGCTCGTGCGGAAGGTGTCGTCTGTGGAGAAATATCTGACCTGACGTTCTCAGGGACAAGCTGGGATCCAGTAATCGGATGGGTCGCTAACACACCAGAGCAACAAAATGAAAAGAGGCTTCCACACGACGGCACGGATGCCGAGATTGTACCAGAGCCAAATCCTGCTTCGGAGTTGAAGAGTCCAGAAAACACCACAACATCAAAAAGGGGTTCCATACTTCGCTTGAGTGACACGATCAAAAGCAAGGCCAGAAGAGTGCCTGCTAGAATGCGTCCTGGAAGAGCTTGTCAGTCGCAAAAGTTCGATTCAGTAGCTGAAGACGCAGATGAACGTGCTGCTACTGATGGACGAGAAGGTGGCCTAGCACGCCGACGCGCAGAAACCGTGAATCTCTACAAAGGAAAAATCAAAGGACTTACGGGCAACGGCCATGTTAGGCGCAAATCGCTGAATAGCAGTAAGGAGTTTGCAAAGTCGCAGACAGACGCGCCTCTTCTCGGCGAATTCACAGACCACCGGGACCCTGATACTGATGTCGGCGCTGAACAAAGCGACGACGGGGAGTCTGCCTTTGGATCTTTGACCAAGTCATTCGCAAGAGCGGTTGAGAAATTGGATTTTCATTCTCCTCTTCCACGCAACATGTCCTTCTTGAGATCCAAGTCATCATTCTTTCACCCAAAGAAGGAGAGCAATGGCGACGGTGATCCGACCGAGAAAAGACAACAAGGTCGAACAATGCCATCAGCTCTACCAGGACCATCAGAACCTGTGACGATCCTTCCACCAGCACCACACCTAGCTGCACGGGTCGTCCAGCCCACACTGCGGCCTGTTCTTCCACCAGTTGCGGCGCCAGAGCCCGTTAAAGAAGCTTCATATCACTTTGGAATGCAGAGATCTGCTCCGACTCCTGTCGTCTTTTCGACGGAGGCAAATGCCTATGTGCCGGCCATACCTGCATCTGGATATCCTCGAGGAGTCAACCCACTGAGAATGCACCCGCCGGATATGTTTGCTAGTCCTCCATCGCTCACCCGCCCGTCGCCGCAAACCGGCACGAACGGCTCTCCTCCACCTCCTCAGCGAGAGACACCGACCCCAAGTGTCCAAAGTGACGATGACGATGACCTGCTGTCTCTCGAAGACGCTCCCATCTACTCCCCTTCACTGGGTGATCTCAGTACGTATGCGCGAGATACTCCTCGTTCTGATCGACGCAATGAAGCAGGACTTTCTCGAGCGAGGATTGTTGATGCAACACCGACTCGTGCTGGCACGCCGGAAAAAAGGACATCAAAGGAACAAGGCAGCAAATTGCTCAAGAAGAGTAGGAGTGGACTATTCTCTAGATCCAAGTCGAGCAAAACAATAGCAATGCCTCGCAACAAAACCCTCAGTCCTTTGTACGAACGAGACACGAACGAAAGGTTCAATACAAAGGACGAAAATACGGTGAAGAAGAGCCGGAGTCTGCAGTTTGGAGGTCTTTTCAAGAAGGACAGCCACTCGAATTTGGCGACGCCGATGCCACGCGACGCTGTCCCCTTTCAGCCAGCAACGCCTTCACCGCTTCGAAATGTCACCCGAGTTTCTCGCGGGAGTGACACGATTTGCAGGAAGGTTGAGAACAGCCCGTCACGCTTGCAGCATCCAAGACGATAGAATTTCACCAAGGGTGAAGTGAAGCCAATAAGTCGGGGTTCCTCATTGTTGCAGCAGTGTTCAACATGAAGCCGTCGACATGGACACATTCAGATAGCAATATGAAGAAACGAGGGAAGAGGATCTGAGCAGAGCGAGCTGACAATTGTTGATGGTTGAAGTGCTCGTTAGTAGTCCCCAGCGGATCAGGACAAAGAAGCCGCCGGCAAAAGTGCGGTGTACAGAGCTTTTCCCCCTTGCTGCATGGTGCCTGTGCCTGCATATCGCGGATCTGGGGTAGAAGAGAGGACGAAGAAAATTGCTCACAGAGAAGATCGTTCTGGCGGGACCAGGAACGCGAATCAGGCTCGAGAGATTTCTAGATTCCCAGAAACAATCCAAGACTCGCTTTCTTTACAGTATTTCGGTCCATTCTTTTCCGGCTTATCTCGCTGTCAAGATACATAGGACGGAGTAGGATGCTCAAAGATGCTCACACTTGCCACCACCTATAAGAGCGAGCATGTTTGATGGCCGGGACGCAGCACGGATCGGGAACAGCACCAAAAGAGAGATTATTAGAGCCGAATGGTTGTCTGGTCAATAGTGGATATAATTACTGCTCCAGAAAGCGCCGGAGAGACCTTGGATCCCTGCTAGGCCCTCCGTTCCAGCATCAAAAGAAACGGCTAAACAAAGGTCGACAGATGAGCTTGAAAAGGATCTGAGTGGATGAGCGAGGAACCTCAGGACGGGAGCTCATTACATTTGCCGTCTCATCAACCATGGAAATGAAAGTAAGTATCTGGATTACAGGGCATCCCGCCGCGGCAACACGGAGTCTGGAACTCTGGGTGGAGTGATAGTGTGATCTGTGTGTTGTGCTGTCGCCATTTGCCAGCGCAAGGGGCTAGAATTGCAAGGGAATAGGAAGTTCTCCAGCAAAGCGACGGCAATATACACGGTACTGAAAACGACTTTGGCGAAGTGCTCGAGGACTCGAGATTGATGATTGTAGTGGACAGAGGTGACAGTTGCGGTGACTTTTCAACTTCTTACTAGCCCATGACATGCAGATCGACCACCAAATCAGTTACTAGCCTCTCCTTTCAATTCGAGTGTGACCTTTCCTATTCTTTCCTGCGCTGCGTTTGGGGCTCACTAGGCTCACTGGGCTGCCTTGCAAAGCCTCAGCCGCCCGACGTCGGTAACGCTTAGGTTAGTGGTTCCCTCCGTAGCCACTGCACCTGCTCCCCCCCTGCGCCCTTAGACGTTTGCTGCTAGTCCAATTGCTGCAACTACAGCATCCCCCGACTTTTCGATCGTATCCTTCTCGCCCAGGCTTCCTTCGCTGAGTCGAGTCTTCTTTTAGTGTTCAGCCTGGTTTTATACCTCGCACGACCATTTATCTCTCAGTGCGTCGCATCCTGGTCACTGTGTGCGTTATCGTTTGGTGCAAAGGCGGACCCTCACGAGTCCGTGCTGGACAGTCTCCAGTCTCCAGTCTCCAGGCGAAGTTGCGGTTGCAGTTGTCCTTGGCAGGAGCTCCGACCCAAACTTTCCCGACAACAACTGACCGTTCTTGTCGACGTTCGCCCCGAATTTCTTATCTTCACTGCGGATGACTGCTGTTCTTGCTTGAGGCCGCAATCAATGTATGTGATCTTTCCCATCGAGCGGTCAAGGACTAGGAGCCCATACTGACCCTTGCAGTCACCGCCGTTGCGGAGGTGAAACGCCTCGAATCAAGCCCCAACTCCTCCTTCCTTACGAGATCCCTCTTTCGACGGTTATTCTTTCGCCCTTCTGCATAACCTATTCCCCTATTTGGGCGACGGAAACATGGCTTCCTCGTCGTCCAATGTTGTCGGAGTGCACTATCGCGTAGGGAAAAAGATAGGAGAGGGATCATTCGGTGTTATTTTCGAGGGCACCAATCTGCTCAACAATCAACAAGTAGCTATCAAATTTGTATGTCAAGCTGGCACAACATCTGGCTCCAGCCTCTCATTAGGATTATAGGAACCGAGAAAAAGTGATGCTCCACAGCTACGAGATGAATACCGAACCTACAAAATTTTGGTCGGCTGTCGTAAGTCTGATGGCTCCAGTTGGCGAAACATTGGTAGACCTGACACTACACAGCCGGAATTCCCAACGTTTATTATTTTGGACAAGAGGGTCTGCACAACATCCTGGTGATTGACCTGCTTGGCCCTAGTCTGGAGGACCTCTTCGACCATTGCAACAGACGATTCTCGATCAAGACGGTTGTTATGGTTGCGAAGCAGATGGTAACTCAGGCCGTTCCCGGTACTTGCTCAGGACTGACTTGTTTCCAGCTTTCCAGAGTTCAGACAATACACGAGAAGAACCTCATCTATCGTGATATCAAGCCTGACAACTTTCTGATCGGCAGGCCCGGTACGAAAGCAGCAAATGTTATTCATGTTGTCGATTTCGGGATGGCCAAACAATATCGAGACCCCAAAACCAAACAGCACATTCCTTATCGCGAACGCAAATCTCTGTCAGGTACGGCACGTTATATGAGTATCAACACCCATTTGGGACGAGAACAGTCGCGTCGTGATGATTTGGAGGCCCTTGGACATGTTTTCATGTACTTCTTGAGAGGTGGACTCCCGTGGCAAGGACTGAAGGCAGCAACCAACAAGCAGAAGTATGAAAAGATTGGAGAGAAAAAACAAACCACCGCCATCAAAGATCTTTGCGAAGGCTTTCCCGGTACGTAATGATCATTCGTCACCCCTTTCCTCCAAGCCAATGCTAACGTGGAGGTTAGAGGAATTCAACAAATATCTCAGTTACGTGCGCAATCTCGGATTCGAGGACACCCCAGATTATGACTTTTTACGAGATCTGTTCACCCAAGCGCTGAAGAACACGGGTGAAGTGGAAGACGGCGAGTACGACTGGATGAAATTGAATGGCGGACGTGGATGGGAAGCCATGAAAGCACATCCTTCTGCTGCCCATCTGCATAACGTTAATGCTCCAGCTGATGCATCAGCACGCGCCTTGCACGGCGCTTCTGCTATGCGCCAGGACGGTGGACAACGGCCGTCGCGTGATCGAGCAGCAATCTCGGCCGATCGTTTAAACGCAGCGCAGCCCCCGCCCCCAGGGTCGCCGGCAAAACCAGGAGTGGCAGCCATGGGGAAGAGCGCTCGAGATCGCACAAGCGGCGCCGCCGGGGGCAATCTACCAAAGAGGAGTAGTGGTTTAGCTGGCCAGCTTGATATGAACACGCCTCCCGCAAGCACTCAGGCACAATTCCAGAATAGCAATGCCAACCTGGTGGGTTCGCAGCCGCGAACAAGTCCAGCGGCCGGTGCTCTGCAAAGCAGCCAGGGGCGACCAAATCAGCAACAAGACCAACAACCGGGTTTCTTCCAGAAGATGATGAAAGTGCTGTGTTGCGGTATGTAAAGCAAGACGACACTAGCGGCAAGCCCTGTACTAACGCCGTTTTCCAGGCTGAGTGTCTATTGCATTCACACATCTGCAAGTTCGATCGCGTCTCATCCAGTCACTTTGAAGGAGCTGGATATACAGACGAAATGCTTCGGCTTCCTGTCCCAACGAGCCGCTATTACGACCTTTCTGCATACAACCCACGCCATAGCGCGATTCTTCTGCCAACAGATTAATCTTCATTATTTGGTTTCATTCGCTGTGGTCCGCCCAGCTAGGGACAAGCCGTCAATATTGATGTCGAGGATCACGAGCGTGGGAGCAGTTCAATACCTTTGACGAATCACGATCACTTTCTTTACGATGAACCGACACCGTTTGCGCTGTTTCCTTATTGTGCAAGGGCAGCGGGAGGATATTATACGGACAGATTTGCAGCTGGGAGCACGGAGTTGCAAGTTGGGATTGCGTATGCACGAAAAGAAAAGGTTACAAAAAGGGCTGTAAGGCTCCTACTCAGGCACAGAAATTCTGAAAAAAGGCACGATTTATTTCGTTTTGGTTTTTGGAGCCAAAAGAGTCCTTTTACTGCTGTGGTATGTAAAATAGATCAAAGCACAGCAAAGGCCAGGGAGAGGTAGTTACATGGAGGGAAGTGGTAATGAGAATCAAACAATTCGAAAACGAAGTTTCCGTCCTCGCCATATCCCTGGGACATGATCACTGCCATCGGTGCCTCGTGTTCGATATCGTCCAGTATCAGGATTCATCAGGCACAATTGCACAGCCACAGCAAGGGCCTTTGGTATCAGGCAAACAAGGTGATTCTGGCTCCACACATGTTTGAACAGGGGATATTTCAGGGAGTACCAAAGGGCCCCCAGCGACGAATCAGATAGAGAGGAGGGCAGCCGAGAAGGCAACCTTCGGATCCCATAACAATGGATTTGGGCAAGGTCTTGCCCGGGATGATAACGGATGGTGACATCTACCCTGTTCATCTGTCTTTTGCGACAAGGTGAAAGGACTCGGCGAATATGCGTGATTCGTCTGCAAGAGATAAGTGATCGCACAGGTCTTGAACGTCCTGCAGTATCCGGGATCAATGAGCATACGAAAAGAGCAGTTGAATTCAGATAGGTGAGGATCAACGTCCAGTCGAAGAGCTGGCGCCGGGGGGATTTGGTTGGTTTCAAATAAGTCATGCACTGTCATGGCAGTCACCTTCGACTTTCAATCCATCATCTCACAGACTTTCATTCCGCATCTTCTCACAAACTCCGCATCCTGCGCAATTCGTCCCTTGAATCGGGGACTTTTGTCGTTGCGACTTGAGTTGGCACCATCATCTCCGTATCATCTCTTGCTGCCCTATCCCGCCATTTATAACCTCTGCTAGCCCTACATCACTTCAATCCACATTTGTCGGCCTACCAATTCACCTTTCAACTCGACACCACCAAGGGCATTCTGTTACTGCTAGACTTGTCGGCAAAGAGGTCGCGATTGATCGAGCAGCGTCATCCTGATCTGACAACATCATTGGAGGCTCCGTGGGATCTCTTATACCCTCTTCCACCAACACAGCCTCAGCGCGGCTGAGTATGTCCTAGCCCAAAGTGATCAGAGCTCGCACAGAATATCAATGCTAACACACTGCGCCACAGGCTGACCGGCAAGGTACCATCCCAAACCACCTTCAACCGGCCCAATTGTATCATCTTCGAACCCTGGGTTGCCTGCCGACCACCGAGAATACCTACCGGTGCCTGGCTCCTGTCGCGCCATCCTTCGGTCCTATCTTGTCAATCCACATTCTCGCCCAAAGACGGCTCGGAGGGGAGCTTGTTAAAAGATGGACGCTTCCCGGGGGAGATCTCCCTCGAGCGGCAATGCGCAGGACATGAGCCCTCAGCCTTCGCCGAATCAATACCACACAAGCGTACCAGGCGTAATTCCGTCGGTACAAGCAGCGCTCACCACGGGCAAATTCACAAATTCACAATCGTTCGCCGGTCCGTTCTTCGATCCACAGCAACAGGGTGGACTTCATTCGGACCCTACAGAGCAAGCATTCTACGGAGACAATCAATATCAGAACACCTTTCAGGACAATCAATTCGCTGGCCAGGCATTTGATCCATCCTTCAACACCAGCTTTATCTACCCCGGGGGAAGCATGTCCAATGACTTCCAGAACTACTCCATGAGCACCGCATACGACATGAATCCGCAGGCAAATATCAACCCGGCAGACCTGAGCAAAGTATCTTCTCCGCAGGATCAACAATCACCAGGATTGCAGCCACCGGAGAACCTGCCTTCGCAACCTGGATCTCCTGCCTCGACCAACGGCCAGTTCTACACGCCGCAGCACTCAAGACATGCCTCTCTTGACCCTGCGAGCGCATATGGAGATAGCTTTTCCGGGCTGAATTTTCAGCAGCACAGAAGAGCGCCGTCGGATCATAGTGAGATCTCATCAGCTTCACACTCTCCATATCTTGGGCACGCAGAGCTCCACGAGTCCTCTGACTTGAATCGTTCTCCATTTCTTCAGGCGCAGCCTGATACCAACAATGCCTTTGGCATGGAGAGTTTCAGTCTTGCCGAGCAGGCATCTTATCGTTCTCCGAGACTCATGCCTCATATGGAGGGAACTCAACAAGGCCTTGGGGTTGACCAAGGCTTGACACTCAACCAGCCCATGGGTATACCTATCCCTAATGTCTACACCTCGCAAGCACCAGCCTATCCATCAATCGTCCCGAGCAATCATATGCGCAATACCTCAGTAGTTTCTGAAATTGGGCAAGCTGATCAATTTGCGCCTCCTACCATCAATATCGAGCCAGCGCCTGTCTCTAGACAGCAGAGTTTTGGGCCACAGGGAGAACTTCTAGAAGGTGCATTGAGTCCTCCTACTTCGAGTAGTGAGTATCTATCCACGGCAACTTGCACGACTGAATGCTAACTCAAGAACCAGGAGGCCGCAGTAGGAGCAAATCCGATGTCACATTTAGTAGACCATTGTCCCGAGCCGGATCTCCTGGACTCACTTCGACAAACAATCTGGCTGTCTCAAGATCTCCCGAGAGGGGCACTCGGTCTTTGTCGCGCGAATCCTCGCCTGGACCAGTCGCTTCTGGCAGGGTTGAGAAGAATCGGCGTGCTTCAACATCTTCCGTGGGCCAAACTCGAGACTACATCCTAGATCTGGCGGATCCTAGCAGACCCAATGCTTCACCCACCGCGCAAAGCACCAGAGTTCAAAAGCATCCAGCCACCTTTCAATGCAATCTCTGCCCGAAGCGGTTTACTCGCGCATACAATTTACGCTCGCATCTACGGACCCATACTGATGAGAGACCCTTCGTGTGCACAGTGTGCGGCAAGGCATTTGCCAGACAGCATGACCGCAAGCGCCATGAAGGTCTCCATAGCGGGGAAAAGAAGTTTGTATGCCGAGGCGAACTTCATACCTCCCCTGGCCAGCATTGGGGGTGCGGACGACGATTTGCTAGAGCTGACGCTCTGGGTCGGCATTTCCGGTCAGAAGCCGGCAGAATTTGTATCAAGCCATTGCTGGAGGAAGAAAAGGCCGAACGTCAAAACCGAGCTATGATGGAGCAACAGCAACAGCAGCAGGCACAATACGCCCAGAACAGCCTTCAACCTCTACCGCAACCAATGATGATTGGCATGGATCCCAGTACAAGCACGGGTGGATTTGCTCTTCCGGCAGCCCTTCTTCAACAATACCCTGCTCTTCAGAATATCGATTGGTCGCAGATATCTGCGGTGGATGATCAAGGAGATCTGAGTGATGTTGGTGGCATGGGCAGAGCCAGCTTCGATGGTTCGAGTGGTGGAGAGTATTATGATGAAGAGATAAGTGACGGCTATGTTAGCGGCAGTGGCCTGGACTTCTCCAATCCTGGACCCCAGATGTACATGTGATAGCGAGTAGACGATGGGTTGGGCTGATACCTTTTGTGGTTTGTTATGCACGATATCCTTGTTTTGTTTGAGCCGGTGCTTTATGATTGATTAACAAATGGATAGATTGGCTTTTACGATCACGACGGTGGCGAATAATGCTGAACCAGGACGAAGTTACGTACTTACCGATACCATTATGCATTGGATGCCAGCAATTGAAATCGGTTTATCTCAAATTCGCCACGAGTTCCACATGATCCTCGTGCCAGGTGCGATGGCAAGCTCGCGAAGGCTAATCTCAGCCGTAAAAGATGTTGTGCAGAGCCAGTCATCCACAAATGCAGGGCCGTATTTCTCAGATCCAGTTTTTGGCACAGGAGAGCGAGTTGAACGATTCCCAAAAGCAGTCTCAAGATACTGCGGTCACCCCATCATACCAACACACATTCAGTAGCAGCGAACAACAGGCTGCAATGACGGCCCACATCAAGGTATGTTCAAGTATTGACTTTCTCCTTGATACTATCCGTGTTCATGAACTCCCATCATAGTGGTCACACCCAGGCATCGAAAGACACCTAGCAGAGGCGAATACAAGTGGCATTATCCAGCTGCTACAAGCCTGTTTGGTCATGGTGTCTCCAAGAGCCCAATCATCCCTGACAAGGCTGAACCACGTGACATGGACCAAGACGGTCACTATACGACGACATTCACTTCTTTCATCTCCTTTGTCACTCTCAGGAAGCGGTGTATATGCTCATATACTGCCTCACCCCATCACAACATTCTCCGAAATGAGTATAGGCACCGCCGCCATGGGCGCTAACGCTTCACTCATATTCGGGGCCACCCTCAAAGTTGTCGCGCGACTATTCTTCTCCATCATCGCGACTCAGTCTCTTCGTTCACACACGACATCATCACGATGGGTCGCCGCGGCGCCAGGAAGGCTGGACCCTCAGCTCGTGCGACGCATGAATTCTTTGGCCAAGGATTGCCAGATGTCTCGGCGCCTCAAGCGACGACAACAACCCACGATCCTCAGCATCCTCCGGCTGAGACTCCTACCGAAAATCCATCTTCATCTGACCCTTTGGATCATCCACTTCCTCAAATTCCTAGTCCAGACATTACTCTTTTTGCGCCAACGGCGCTGTCAATAGACGCCAAAGCAGAGTTCATCTTCACACATGTGAGTTGTGTCTTTGTGCTCTCATGCAGCGAATGTTTGCTAACAGATCAATTTCACTCTCAGCTCTACAACGAAGGCTTGGTCCGCCTCTACTACCAATACAAAATCGACAAATTGCCCGTCTTGGATGGTTTGCTCACCAAGTTTTCCTCGAACTACAGACGAAGAGTCCCTGACCGAGACACTTACGTGTGGCACGTCGATCTCGAAATCATCAAACAGTTCGCCGAGGCCCACGTCCACGAGGAAAGTACATTCTTTTCCATCAACGGCGCTGAGTCTACTGGAGTGAAACCTGAAGATATTGTCATCACTGTGGTCGACCGTGTGGGCGAACTCGAAGTGGTCTTGTGCATTGTTGAGTTCTTCCTCGAGACTGCGCGCAAACACCAAGTGCAATACGGGGCGCCTCACGAAATTTCACTCATCAGCCTCGGATTGATACTGTTTACTTATCGACACAAGCGGCTCGCTCCGAACAACGTGAAGCATCAGAAAGTCTGGGATTGGTTCTACGAAGGCAGAAAGAGCAGGATGGATACCAAGGAGAATCTCATCTTTACCAGTCCACAGAAGATACCTAAATTGAAAGAGGGTGAGGTTGACGAGATGAGTTTCGCACAACTCAGCGTTGGTGACAAAATCTATGAGTGGATCGAAGAGACGAAGGTGGCCCAGGCAGAGGCGAAGGCGGCTGAGAATATCAATGGTGAAGGCGCAGGCGCAGTCAATGGCAGTACTGCGGACAAAACTACTCAGACCGAAGATGGCGCTCTTGCTGATATTACCAACGGTGCTGCCACCGCTCCTGGTCCAGCGAATGGTGGTTCTGGAAAAGGCAGACGAAACAAGAAAAAGAAGGAAAAGAAGAAGGCAAAGGGAAAACGCGACACTGCCAATCCTGATGTACAAAACCCAAGTTCAGAGGACGTCTCTGCTTCCGGTGTCTCTCACACTGTCGATGATGCTGCCGCCGTCGCTCCAGGTCCAGTCAATGGTGCTTCTGGAAAAGGCAAAGGGAAGGGAAAAGCTCGCGACACTGACAATGCCCCTGCATACAACCCAGGTCCAGATGATGTCTCCGCTCCTGGTGTCGCTCACACTGTCAACGATGACGATGATACTCCGACTTTGACCGCTTCTGCTGGCGTCACGGCTCTCCCTGCTCCCGGTGTTGGCACTGATCCTGGTCCTGGTCCTCGTCCCGCTCATCGTGCTACTCGTAAGTCTATCCCTCACTTGTCCTTCATTTCAGTAACACTGACAACTCCTTCCTTGCAGGCTCCTCCGCTCCTGATATTGACGCCGGCCTCGATCTCAGCCGACCAGTGACTGAGAAAGCCGCGAAAGACAATCTCCAGCGCCATTTGGAGGCCGTGCTCGACCGCATCGCCGACAAGCCGCCTCACGTCCGTCGCGCGATCCTCGCCCGTGAGCACCAGAAGATCATGCGCTCGGAGACGATCGCCGCCGCAAAGGGTACTCAGAAGATGAGACCCACTGCGATAAAGGCCACCGAGGAGGTCAAGCAGCTCGGCAAGAGCGATGCCTTGGTTGCGTCGTTGGCAGACCCGGGTGCGCCAAGCGGCGGTAGGCCGGGATGGCGAGGCCAATTTGAGATTGGCAGAATGCAGGGCTGGGCAGACGACTTGGAGAAGATGCAGATCGACGCGTTGCGTCGCATCCCCAAGCCGATGCCGAAGAAGAAGGAGGAGGAGAACAAGGACGGCGACAAGTAGGGCCGTGTGGTGTTGTGCGTGGTGTGGGGTGTGTTCGGTGTGCCTCCGCGCTTTATCGCGAGGATTCAGAGAGCCATACAAATTAGTATGGAGAGGTGAATATCACCAATGATATGGTGAATGATTACTTCATAATTGGAATAATGAGAATGTCCTCCCGCCCTCGAATTGAAGTGAAGTGAGGTGAGTGTAAGGACTCAGCCTTATCACGTGATGTCATCCTTGCGCCATGATCTCGAGGCTGCTGTGTATAGCGTCCAACAGGAGCCTGTTCGGGGTGTTAGAAGAGGCATGTGTTATAGGTATAGCGTCCGACATGAGGGTGTATAGCGGAATAGCGGAGGGGCGGAATATGCAGTCGGCGGACGGCTCGAACGTGAGAGCGAAGGGAGTCGAGGACGGGGGTGGCGTGCGCGAGGCATGCATATCGGGAAAGTCGTATGATGGGTGCGACGGTGCATACCCTGTCAATCGAGAGCGTTAGTCGTGATGGCCGTCTCGATGAATATCTAGAGGTAGGATGCAATAGGTTACTTATTGACTGCATCGAAACCCCAAAGAAGAAGAGAATGGCACTATGACTCTGGAAAACGCCTGCGTTGTATAAGCATAACTCCTCCAGCGCTATCTATGGCGGGTCCATAAGGGCTATAGGAATGAGACGCATACGATAATCCCCGACAAACTTCAATTCCTTATATCTATACTGCCTCCATACTGGCGCGAGTGGTGTCCTTCTTGTCAAGTTTGTGAAGCTCCGATCCCGTTTGGAGCGCGCCTGATGCGGAGCTAGTGGGCGTTGGAGGGACGTAGGCGCTCGACAGGCGTGGGAAGCACCATCCAGGATGGAACAGGGTCTGCATGAGGGTGGCGATTGCAACCATGGTACCGTCGAGAACAATGAAGGGAATCTCACTTTGCATGATGGGATTGCCCCAGCCACCGGCCATCTCTACGATACGGTAGACGCACCGGATGAAGACGGCGGTGAATGCGATAGTGAAACCCAGCGTGAAGAGACGGAATTCGGTGCTCCGGAGGAGAATGGCTGCTTCGGCTGAGAAGGAGGCGTGGGCGCGGCGCCTGGAGATGATGTAGATGAGTGCAGCGACGCCGAAGAAGGAGAGGGTGAGGACTTGGAAGGCGATACCGGCCATCATGAGGCGATCGCCGATTTCTTGACGGTGCTTGTTGGCCATGGATGTGGCTGCGATGCCGCCTCCGATGGCCTGGATCACCAGCGATACCAAGTCGCCCGTGATAAATATCCAGGTGTACAAGGTCGGTCGGATGCGCGAGTATTCGGGACCGAAGCAGAGCGTTACGTGCTTAAGGACGAGGTAGATGGCTGCAGAGTTCAATGCCGGGCCGAGGATGAGGCAGCAGATTTGGATCTGGAAACCGACGGTGTTGAAGGGGTTGGCGTGGAGCATGACTCGGCCAATGTAGCCGATGCCTTGGTCAATGGAGCCGAGAAACATGGCCAAGAGGTATGTCCATGTCTTGTAGCGGATGCCCGCGTAGAGTTGGAGGGCGGCCGCCATCTGTTTGGTGTTAGGATGGCCATTTCAAAAATGAATGGGCACATTCAAGGAGGGTGATGCATAGATGGTATGGCTGGGATGGCTTTTGGAGGGGCTAAGGACGGGAAGACTTACTAGGAAGAATGCAACGAAGAAGGCGTTGGCGCCGATCGAGGGATAGTAGCCGTAGATGGAGTGTTCGACGGGACATTGTGGTGTGACATCGGTGCAGAAACGGAAAGGGAGGTAAGTTACGTTGCCGGCGGTTGTCATGATGGCAACGATATTGAGGAGTCTGAAGGGGGTATAGTAGAAACAATGGCAGAGCAAGAGCGAGAGAAGATGTGAGTTGGGATGAGGAAAGGATGTCTGCAAGAACGAGGGCAGATGATTAGTCGTATATATCACCTCGCGTATATGTTCATTAGCAAGGCGCTATATGCACGTATCAAGCACCCACAGAATGAGCCTTCAGCGATTGGGTCGTATATCAAGAGTCATAAAACCCGATACGGGGATAGTGGCCGTTGGTTGCATGCTCTTCCAGTTGGTGAGCTCGAAATGAATTGAGGGCGTCGTATCCGGATACGTGGCGCGCTTCACGGCATGACAGCGGATCGGGACTCTACCTGAGAAATACTACATCGTATGGTCAATCTGAACAGTGCTTTGGAGTGTAACTCTGAAGGGTTCGTACAGCCATGAGAATTTACAGGCAAAGCCTAAGCAAGCGACAGCCCAGGACCCAGCCTGATAGACACCGGCTATACGGACTGTGGTCTGTTAGAGGAGCTGAAATCTCTCGCAACCCCTGCCCAAAGAGGTTAATGCCAAAGCACAAGGCTGGCGCGCGATATTGTTGTTCTGCGAGAAGACACGATTAGATAGCAGGCTGCCAGAGGATATCTGCCGGTCCAAACGGCTGAATGCTGCTGCCTGGAAGGGGGAATGGATATCTCATGATGATTCCAATGGGAAGATTTACGGGATGCGAGGGTGGTTGAAAGTGCCTGAGGTGCCTGTCAAGCACGACGTTGCGGGCAGAGAAATCGGCGCTCGGAAGAACATCCCGCCGCTAGCCGAGGCACATTCGCAGAACCACGCAGACCTTCACACGGAAATACAACTCGATTCATCCACGGAGCAACGTGCGCGGAGGTACACAGTATCAGCGAAGTCCATGGGAAGTCCTGATTGTATCACCTCCTATATGCACTTTTCGAAAGACATTATTCAGCAAAAGCCATTGCACGAGCCTGATGGAGACCCTTTGCCGGCGATGGGACGCCGAATCTGCTTTGACGTACGGATACGGAGTTCACTGGAGCTCGAAGTGAGGGAAAAATCTACAGGCGGCTCGGCGCATACGTCGTATTTCGTATGACACTTTGCAGCCCCCGTGAGCCCCGTATCTTCATGGCGCTGACCTCAGTGATGATTTGACCTACATGCGTCCACCAAAAAGACGTCCTTGCTGCCACTATTCCCTGCCTCAGTCACCTCAGCCTTGCTAAGGAGAGTCTAGCAGAGGGCAGCCGGCAAACAAGCTTCCCTTCTACATCAATTTCCTGATGTTAACCACTTTCGCTTCCTGGTTGATTGGCTGGCAACTCGCTTCCTGGGTATATAGATCTATTCAGGAGTCATTGTTCCGAGACTGTCAATTTGCCAAGTACTCACTCACTGTGACACCGTCCGATTGATTCCCAAGACCTGGGATTGTTGACTGCAATATGCTGGAGCTGTACGATCCCTCTCCGATCGGGTGTTGCTGTTGCGATTTTGCATTTTATGACATGCTGGCAAACAAATGATCGTCAAAACGTTTCGAGACGCGGCGTTGATGATCCGTATGCAGAAGAGTGATTCTATCACGCCTGCGAAACTTCAGAGATAGTTGTCAGGGGGCGCTGCGAACGCGGGAAGGACCAGCAACGCGAGACTACACGGTAGATGAATGAAGACATCTAAGCAACCCTTCAGCCACATTTGGCGTGGCAAGGCCGTTGCAATCTTGATACATCCAGTCAAAGGATAAGTCACCGATAAATACCGGATTGATGGAAGTGCCTGTTCTCAAAGGCAGGACACTGGAGAACGAAGTTGCTTCACTCCTGGAGGTGGTATATCCACACAACCCGTGCGCAGCCACGGAGTAGTGCGAAGGAGGTTGCTTGATGTTCGTGCGCCTAGTGGTACTGTCAGAACCTCGCATGCACAAATTTCGCGCAGTGATCAAGTCCATCAACTTGCCCAGGCGTGCCGGGCATATCGCCACTCATTTGGTACCGCTGTCTCGCCTCCAGATCGAATTTACCATGTCCGTGCAATTTAACGTCTATGGGATTCATGGCAAACATATCAGACCTCTTGATAGGCTTTCGGCACGCACGTTGCTGTCAAAGGTTAAGGGGTATTGACGGGGTCATCATGGGTTTAGGATTTGTCCCATGTCACACACTTGAAAAGGGGTAAGATCGTCCCAAGGACACCTGTCACTCCCACCTCCTCCCGTTTTCTTGATGCCGGACAATCGCCAGTAAGGGCTCACTGATCATGTCTTGACCACACTCAGACAAACAGACCCAACCAGATCAGGAAGGCGAGGGATGTCAAATGGCAATTATCCAGGAATATCAAAGGGACGATTAGCGAGGCATGCTACCTATCAAAGCGAATCCCCCATATGATCAGACCTCCACGCTGGGAAGTCCGCTATGACCCGACGAAGACTGGGAATCCAATTCATCGTCGAGGGTTATTCTTCGTGAATGATCGAGATGGGACTGTCTTTCCATCAACCGCCTCCTTGCTGGTGACAGATACAGTGATTGACCTTGGATAATTTGAGCCGGTCAAAAATACGAGGCCGAGCAAGCACGGTCGTTCTCGCCTCCACCGACGGGGCCTTCAGACCTGTTGACATGCTGTCAATGGAGCATGCAGGCTCAAATGAGCCATTGTGGCTAATGACAGGAGCTCTGTCCCTTACTTACAATCGATACAGACGCTTGATCAGCTCCCTTCATAAGGTGAATGCCTGCCACGATATGAAGTCTTGGTATCTGTGTCTCTATCCAGCTTGTTCACACAATTTCTCCTATTCTTGGTTGTGCATCTGCCAACATGGCCAACATGGAGGAGTACAGACCACTTGCAAATCATGATGACCAACATCCGGAGGTGGAAGGTGAAGACATCGACTTATCCTATGTCGATCTCGAAAAGATGCCAGAGGAGGCAAGGCCGAGATGGTATCAAGTCCCAATGAGGCGTCTCTCGGCGGAATGGACGACACCATCTAAATGGGAGCCAGCCGACATCAAAGCACTTCTATTCGTCATCCTCTCATATATCATAACAGTCTTACCTCGCTTTGTGCAACCTGGTGGTATGCGGCACAAAAGCGAACTGCACCCAACCGCTTACCTTGACGCCATGAGGGGTTGGGCAGCTATATCTGTGGCTCGATATCATACATTTGCCAACAAGACACCGTTCCTCGAATACCCGGTCATCCGCATGATTCTCAACGGTCGAGCGATGGTCGACATCTTCTTCATCATCTCAGGCTACGTCCTCAGTTATCGACTGCTCAAGATGATCCGGAATCAGCAGACAGGCTTACTCAAAGCTCTTGCGTCCTCCACCTTCAGAAGATGGTGGCGACTATACATCTCAACCGGAGTGGCTTCATTGGTCACCGCAATCATGACCTACTGGGGATGGTGTCACCCAGCGCCCCAACAAAGCACTTTCCTCCTTCAAATGTGGGATTGGCTCTGGGACTTTGGCGCGTCGAGCAACCCCTTTGGCGACATCAAAGGCTTCTGGTACGGGAACGTCTTCCGCACACATTACTTGGATCAGATGTGGACCATTCCTGTCGAGTTCAGAGGAAGCATGGCTGTTTTCTGGTTCGTTGCTGCCGCTTGTTACATGGCAACGCTCGGCCGCAGGATCTTTGCTTGCGTCGTGATCGGCCTGTGCTACTGGTGGGGTATCATCTATGTAGCGTTGTTCCTATACGGCATGTTGATCGCCGACTATCAATTCGACCGTCATCCGGAGCGACTGCAAAAGATTCGACTTCCTCAACAAGAGCCAGATTCAGAGGAGTCGGAGAAGCCGAAGACCAAGAAGTACTTTGTCCTGAACATAATCGGCTGCGTCTTACTTGTCATCGTCGGTATGTTTTTGATGGGTCAGCCACCGCCGTTTGATGGCCATTACAACATGCGACATTGGCCCTGGCAGTATATGGAGTCCTTCATCCCCTACTGGTACGTCGTCGAGCTGGGCGAACACTTCTGGCTAGGTATCGGCGCTGCCATCTTCGTCTTCGCCGTGGACAATTGTCGACCCCTGCAGATTCCCTTCGAATGGGGTTTCTCTCAATATCTAGGCGACATATCCTTTGGCGTCTATGCTATGCACAACACTATCAACTGGGTTTTGTATATCCCCATTGTCCAGCCCTGGTGCCAGCAGCATTTCGGCGATAGCTACTGGTCAGGCGCTCCTGGCGAGTTGTTCACTTCTTTGGTGATCGTTTGGGCAGCAGACTACTTTACCAGGATCGATGAATGGGTCGTATGGACCGGCAAGTGGTTGGAGTCCAAGACCTTCATCAAGTGGGATGAGTGATTGGAAAAACACCATCTCGGGGCTGTACTATATTGGGAGATGCCCCATGATCCTTTGCACTCAATGATGAGTTGTCTTTTTTGCAAGCGTTTGGCAGGGTGTTCTTGACGCTTTTCGTTTCTGCTGGAACTAGATTCTTGAAACAATTGGATGTTTATACGACGGACAGGCATAGCCCATGATTCTGATATCATTAAGTTGCAAAGAGATTGAACTGAAGCAGCCTACTTCTACAAAATGTCGGTTTTCTAAAGATGCAATTCCACAATTCCGGCATATCACTGGAAGCGGTTTCCAGGATAGCAACATAACGAGGCAGGAGCACCCGCGATGAGAAACAGGCTACTTTCCTCGCGACGATTTACGATTCAAGCTTCCTTCATTTTCACCTGTTTTCATTCACACTCAAATCTTTCGCCTTCACATCATCCGCGATCATCTTACTTCTTTGATTTAGCACCGCATATTCATCACATGTATATACTTCAAAACATCAAACATATCGCTGGCGTTGGCTACGCCCTCCTGACGTGACTCGCCCGTCGAAGAAGTGCGCGGTGAGTTGAACGTTCCTGCTCTCCCTCAACTTCATGCTAACAACCCTTAGCTGTAACAGACAGACCTGATCCGTCCAGCACCTCTTCCTCGATACCGAGATTAACTCACCTGCCCATCACGTCCTCCTGTGCCAAACGGATGGCACTCAGATAATCCCTCCACTATGGACCCTCCTGTCGCCGTCAGCCGACTAGCACCGACGGACACCGCCGATTCTGACAGGCGGGTTGACCTTGCAAAATTCCCGCCTGAAATTCTACTCATGCTACCGCTTCGCCAATCCAGTCTTGCAAGCATGATACTAGTCTGCAAGCATTACCATCGAACACTTACACCTCAGCTGTATCAGTGGGTCCGATGCAGAAGCACAGAAGAGGAACGAGGCCAGGTTCCCTCTGAGCGGTATAAGCCTCATGTTCTCATGAAGACACTTTTGAGCCACCCACCTTTAGCGACAAGGGTTCGGGGACTCTTCCTTGAAAAAAGTGTCTGGAGTGGGACACCCGACGAATGTGACTACTTAGAGCCATGGTGGAGAGATGGGATAAAGCTCTTGAAGAATCTGCCAAACCTCAAGTATCTGACCATCGATCTTTCCTGGTCATTCCTGCTTCTCATTGAGCCGCACATGCCTAAACTCAAGTGCGTAACGATCATAGACTGCGGCGAAAGAATTCTATCACCGTCATTCGCAGCCCAGCTAGCCCAGCCCTGTCTCACGACGCTCGTACTCAAGAGAGAGCAAAGCAACGCGATCCGAAACTCCTTTTGTCACCCTTTCAACCTAGGACGACAGATGGAATATAGGGCACAGTATCCCGGTCAAGAGATCATCTTGGACCGAGTTAAGCTCGGGAGCCGCGTACTGAAGAGATATGTCAAAGCTTGTAGTAAGGGTCTGAGATCTTTCATCTGGGTTTGGGCAGATGACTGCCCACACAAAGATTACGAGGACCTCTACGTCACGCCCGAGGAGGACGTCACAGCTTGCAATATGCTGCTGACAGCAGAACTCCTTCCTCCACTGCGGAATGCGGTTGCGACTCTGGAGAGCCTCGTACTCATGCACGAGAAAGGCAGATCTTGCCCATTTGATGGCACCATCTTGCCCTCGTTGACACCCTTCACAACACTGAGGAATCTCCGAATCGATGCGACTATGTTACTTGGCCGGCGGAGGTGTGAAGAATACTGGAGGTCTGCACCTGATTAGGAACCATGCTTGACACGGGGCCCTGAAAAGTTTGCAACTTTGCTGCCCGCCAGTATCAAGCGTCTCGACATTCAGATCCGTCAAGAAGAGATACTTTATGATCCCTCGTACTGCGGATCGATCGTGGACAGCTTGGTGAGAGAAAAGTGGCGCCTCGCGAGTTTAGGGAAGGTAACCATTGACGAAGCCGGGGATATTCAGTGTGTGTGTATATGCGAAGAGGACTGCTTTGAATCTTCCTCAGACTCGTGGAGGTCGGGACTGTCTCAAACCACGAGAGAAGACTTTGGGGTTATGTGGAAACAATGCGAGACGGTTGGCATTAGGCTGTACTACATCAAGCGTATGTTCGATCTCGAACAATCGATTTTCATAATGAAACCAGGAGACGGTCTTGGAGAAGTGGTAGCTTTGGAAGGACCAATTCCGAGGTCATTCGTCCAAGAGGAACAGAGAGAGTCTTGACTCAGGGCGGCGTAGTGAAGCGCAGGACAATCATTGAGCTACATTTGTATAGCGGCAAGATCATTTTGGAATTCTGCGAGACGCTTTTCGAATTCCAGAACAAGTTCTGCTGTGACTTTTGCGCCTCTTTCGCCAATAAAGAAGTGATGGCCGCCTTCTACCGCAGCAGAGAACCTTTCGGGTGCCGAGTGGAAGAGCTGTATGACTTTTCTTCCTGTTTCTGAATCCTTGTGCAGAGCGACTCGTGCCGCCGGTGAAAGACCGCCAAAGAGCTTGTATGTCAACATGAACCCCCAGGTGTACTTGTCCGCGATGGAATGTCTCAAGTCAGCTGGGCTGTGACAAGATATGGAGCACAGGAAGGGCAATTCGGAATACGACATCTCGTCAGCAACTTCGTACCCCATATTGGGATCCTCGACGAAGGTTCTTTGCTTCACGGACCACCGTACGCCGTAACACCCCATGCCGACGGGGAAATTGCCCAGGTACTCGCGCTGGTAGACGTCGTCTGGAATGATGGCCTTGCCACCGTTGATCGCGTTCTGCTCATGCAACTGCACGAGGAAGTATTTCACTGACAAGCCGGCAGCTGTCGCATATCCCGCGGGGCTGGGCTTCAAAGCAGGTTTCTCCCTCACGCCTCGGATAGCAGGCGTGGCGACCAAGGACACGGCGAACTGGATGTTGATGGACGGGGAAGCCTGTTGTCTCGCAGCAAGCACGTAGGGCTGAAGGATCTTGCCGCCCATGCTCCAGACGAGTAGGATGACGTTATTGGTTTTCAGTCCCTGTTGCTGGATGGTTCGACGCGTGGCCTCGACGGCTTGGGCGCCCCATTCTCGGACCGTCATGTCAGGACGGGGACGGGGACGGGGACAGGTGGCACTGCCATTGGCACTCGCTGGCACGGACATGGTGGCAGGGTCCGTTTCCAGCGGGTAGGAGACGGCGAGGAAGTTGTAGCCGCCTAGGCGTGGGAACCAGTGCGCCACGAAGTCGGCTGGGTCGTGGCCTGCGTGTCCGCCGTAGAAGACGCGGGCGAGATGCGCGGCGCCGGGGATGAAGACGGCGAGGGGTCGGGACGGGTCGCCGCGCTGGAAGTATGTTATACATGGGGCGTTGTGGATTGTCGAGAGCGTTTCGCCCTCGTAGAGGTTTGTTGTGGTTGGCGTTGTGGTTGTCGTCGCAGTAGGGGAAGACATCTTGGACGGAGTCATACATACCACGGCTCTCTCGTGCCCATCCTACAGTATGCCGAGATCGAAATCGGGGAGTTCAGGCTCAGGCTTAGATCAGGAAGGACTATCGCGTTCCACGAAGTGTTGGTGTCGTTACAAGAGAGGGTGTCGAGACTTACTTGTTGGCGGTTGGCTGCACCGGGCGGTTCATGTTACCTTCGATATCGAAAGTGATATTTGGAAATACGTACCTTGCAATGGGAGGGTAGAGAAAGGGGTGTATCATGGTGTATGTATCGGGGATTCTCCATCTGGAGTCGGAACCAACAGCCGAGCGATACTCCAACTCCTGTCAGATATTTGTAGACCCGGTTCACTCTGCGACTCAGCACGTCTGTAAACACAAAAGGATCTTTTGGGATTCCGGGAGCGTGACCACGAAGACATGACAAGACAAAGGGTACAGTCGGAGGCTGTTGTCATCTTTTATCGATATAGAGCTACTTGATATGAAGGATAGTTTAGACTCGGCTTGGCTTGTCCTAGGTACTCGTAGGCTGCGTCAGCCTCATTCTACCACCATCTCTAGAATCTCCATGACCTGGTCCTTCTCCGTGATGGGCTTCGCATTCGTCTGAATCCAATGATCCGTCAGACTGTTCGTCGCGAGTCCGTCCAACTTGTCTCTTCCGACGCCCACGTCCTTCAGGGTCCGCGGCATACCTATTTGTCGGAATATGGCGTCCAGAATATCACCTAGATCCACTTTATCCAAAGCCCCAGGTTCATTGCCATACTTTGCTTGTAGCAGGTCCTTCACCACAGGCGAGCGTAGCAGGACTTTCTTCGTGTATGCCTGTCTTTCAACGTTGGCGCCGACCTTCTCGTTCCATTTGCACACGGCAGGTAGCATGATACAGCTCGTCTCGCCGTGGCCCACGCCCAAGGGTCCGAGTTGATGACCGATGGCATGACTTGCGCCGAGGGGCACACCGGAGGATACTGCGCTCATGGCCTCGATGACGCCGCGCATGGTTTCGAACCGGGCGTCGAGGTCCTTGGGGTCCTTGTGCGTGCGGATCAGTGCGGGTACAAGACGCAGCAATCCCTTCTCGGCCTCGGCGTCGCCCTTTTCGTTGGACAGGAGACTGCACAATGTCTCGACGCAATGGTCGACAGCCCTGACGCCCGTGCTCAGCCAAATGCGCTCCGGCGTCGTCGTGGTCAATTCCGGATCAAGCACGACGAGGCTGGGGTTCCGCTCCGGCAGGGAGAACAGCTGTTTTCGGTCACTCCCGTCGTCGCGCGTCACACCCGCGAGCGCCTGGTACTCGCCGCCAGACAGACTCGTTGGGATCGCGACGTGTCGTATCACGGGGTCCTTGCAGTCTTTGCCGTGCGAGGCGAGCTTCTCCATGCCTTCGGAAGTGGTCATGTCGTTGGCCAGCATCCAGCAAATGACCTTGGCGGCGTCGGTGAGACTGCCGGCGCCCAGCGTGACGATGCAGTCGGGGTTCTTGGGCGCGGCGTCCTGTGCGACTTCGAGAACTTGGTTCCAGTGCGTGTGTGGGGCCAGGCCGATTCGTGTGCCGACGACCTTGTCGCCGAGGGCATGTTGGAGCCGTTTGAGGGCGTCGGTGTTCTTGGAGAGAGAGTTGGACGCGATGATGTACACGCGCTTAAGACTGAGAGTGTGTTCGATGTGGTATGCGGCTGCTTCGTCGAAGTGGAGGCCGTATGTGATGTATGGAATCGGGCGGTCGTTGAAGGCTGGCTCGAGGTGGTCGATGCCGTATGAGAATGGCATGGTCGTAGCCTTGCGGAGAAATCAAGTCGCTAGATTCTGAACGCTACTAAGTAAGGTATACACACTAGAAAATAGAATAAAATGAAGGACCTGGCTTGTAAAAGGATGCTTAGAAACTAGACAAGAGGCGTGGGGCTGGCAAATGATATCAAATGTTGGAGTAGCCCTTAAGTCCGGATGTGGAGAAAGGGACATGCACGAGGCTGAGAATTTGCATGCGGGATGCGTCCGCCTACTAGGATTGTGTGCAAATAGCTTCAAAGACACAGAAGCATGAAGAACACTACAGAGAACAATGCGTGCTTGAGGGGACATGAAGAGATCATGTACGAAACGACGCGGCAACCACACGACGGCGTGGGGAGAGCATTCCAGCTTCATGGTGCGCCAGATCCTTGCAACTTCCTAAATGGGGACGAGATAGGTTCGAGAAGACCCAATCAGACGATGGAGGACGACTCATGCGAACCAAGACACTCATCTCAGGGTTAGTAGTCTTCTCAGAAGTTTTCTCAGTCTGTCGAACACCGGCATTCGTACACAGCAAGGCAAGCGCCTCGGGACCGAGAACTTCAACGGCAAAATGCAAGCATAGCAACAAAGCAATGACAAATAAATGCCAGGCAGCGGCAAAGTATGGTCTTTTTCTTCAATGAGTTATTGACATTGTGGATCAATTGCTCGAAAGATGATTTCTGGCTCGATGTAAGTCCGCATGAGTCTTAGCATACCCTTGCTCGTCCCGGACCGTTCTTCTCGAGTTTTGTCTGCTCGATTGATATCCACAAATGTCAAATGCCTTGGAACGGATACAAAGTTCCCTCCTCACAAGAGCGAAACGATCCACCTATTGGTGACACAAGGCAGGGAGGTGTGCATTGATTGCAGGAATATTCGTGTGAATGATCTCTTTTCTCGGAAACGTCGTGGTGGAGAATAAAGGGCAGTACGTAAAACCGACGCGCTTAGTCGAAGAGACCGAAACCCATGTCCTCGTCTGATTCTTCCTTCTCTGTAGCGAGGAAAATGGTCAGTCAATTTGTGTCAATCGAACATGCAGTGCCAATCTTACCCTCTTCTTTCTTCTCCTCCTCAGCAGGAGCGGCGGCTTCAGCACCGCCAGCAGCAGGAGCACCACCGGCAGCAGGGGCGGCAGCTGCGGCACCACCACCAGAGCCAACATTCAGAAGCATGTCCTTCACATCCTTGCCCTCGAGAGCCTTCGCGAAAAGAGAGGCCCAGATAGGTTCGACATCAGCGACGTTGGCGGCCTTGATGAGGGTGTTCAATTTGTCGGCCTGCAGGAAGCAAGTCAAGTCAGCCATGCTTTCGCCAAAACATTGTGTCTAGCCAATCTACACAGGCTTTGGGAGGAGTCCCGTGGGTGGAATTTCATACAGTGATTTCAATGCCATCGTCGGCAAGGATCAGAGCGGCGTAAGCGCTGGCGAGCTCGGCGTTGGACATCTTGACGACTTGGAAGACTGTCGGTTTAGTTGGGAGTCTGTGAGTGGTGGTTGTCGAGGAATTCAAGATGCGCGCAGTTTGGAGTCTGAAGGCCGAGTTTGTGGGAGGAGTCGGCCAAGATTTTTGATTATGATCACGTGAATTGCTTGGCACGTTATCAGCCTTGCACGGAGACGAGGCTGAGATCGACCAATTCCGTCATTCATGCTTCAAGTCTTCCAATACGATGGTACCTCTAGACACTCCCATGTAAATGATAAATGAGCTTTCGTTGGGACAATTTGATGTTTAATTTTGCTATGCTGGGAACATAACATCATCTTCTGCGCCAGGCTTAAAAGCTGAGATCTAGAATCCAGTATCCTATCGCTACAACTCTACCATGTCCCACTCCCACATCGACATGGCGTCCCTTCAGACATTGCGCTCCCAATTCACCCAATCTCTAAAAGACTTCGCCTCCTCACCGTCCAGCACATTCAAAATCCTGAGTTCCATCCCACCATCTTCCCCACCCAGCTCGTCACCCATTCGAACCCTCTACGTCCTAGACTCATCCTTCAACCCACCCTCCAAAGCACACCTAGCACTCGTCAAAAACGCCCTCAGAGCATCAAAAGTCATCTCCGCATCCAACTCGCAAAATGATCTCTCCCGACCACCAGCATCCCACACGAAATCCCGAGTGCTCTTCCTCCTGGCCACGGTCAACGCCGACAAATCACCCGAGCCCGCCGCCTTCCCGGACCGCCTTGTCATGATGACCCTGATGGCGGAGGAATTACGCTCCTCGTTCCATTCATCACCTGTAGTCGACATCGGCATTACCAAGGAACCGTACTTCATCGACAAGGCGACCTCCATCGACGAGTCCGGTGTGTACACGCCCTTCTCGCCCAATCCAGGGGAGCACTTCGAACAGATTCACCTCACCGGCTTCGACACGCTGGTCCGGATATTCACCGCAAAATACTACCCGCACCACACGCCGCCGTTGTCTGCATTGGAACCGTTCTTGACGCGCCATCGCGTTCGCGCCACGGTCAGGGTCGACGAGCAAAGTCCGTCGAAGAACCTCCAACAGACGACTAGTGGTCGTGATTTGTCTAGTATGGACGGGCAACTGGCGTACCTCAGGGGCCTTGGCAATGGAAATCTAGAGGCCGAAGGGATGAAGAGGGAATGGGCGGAGAGGGTGGAACTTGTGGTTGATGAGACCGGGGAGACGGAGGGTGTTAGTTCGACGAAGATTCGCAATGCGGTCAAGGAGGGGAACTGGGAGGAAGTCGACGGGTTGGTTGGGAGAGGAGTGGGCGAGTGGGTGAGAACAAGGGGGCTGTACAAAGAATGACCACTTATATGTACAGAGTAGACGGGGTCTGGATGTTATCTAGACATGGTTATGAACATAGGCAGAACTCGAAACCACCACTGACGAGTCCATACTCCGTAGGTACGCGATGCTATGATGTGTCCTGGGTGCGTATTCTCGTCAAAGCCCAGTACAAGGCTATGAATATACATCAGAGATAAGGCGTACATCAGAGACAATGCGAGCTCGTAGAAGGGAACTTTGTCATGAAACACAGGAGGAAATCACATATCGAAAAATAATGACCAATACTTTACAAATATCTTGACCAGAAACTGCCCTCCAACGACACAACTAACGTGGTGGTGCATTGCTGCCATTGCTGTGTCTGTTCGTCCTTGACTGCTCATGACCTCCGCCCCCAGTCTGAGTATGCAATTCCTCTCGCTTCATCGAAGACATCTAAGCATCACCACCCTTCTCGCCAGGCCTGACATCTCCTGTGCCCTGACTCAATCCAACTCCTCCAGCACCAGGCTTGGCGGAGTCCGAGGTTTCCATACTCGATACAGGATCAGTGCGCTCCAAACCCTTGGGGCCCTGGTCTCTCGGGTTGTGCATCTGCTCACTCAGTTTATCCCCACCAGCCGGGGCACGAGATGAGTTGTCACCCTCGCCTGCTGTTTCATCCCTCCTCTTGCTATGCGCAGGCCTGGGAGCCGTCGTGGTCGAGTCGGTGTCAGTGATCTTTTCACCCGTAGGCGTGAGTCCGAACACGGCCGAGTGCGAGCCAGGAGCCCCAGTGCCAGTCAACTTCTTCTCGTGGTCGTTACCAATGACTGCAGGATCGCGACCCTGGCTGGTGTTTTGGTGGTGGCTCGAGCTCGACTCGTCGATTTGGTCGGAGCTTGAAGTCTCGGGGGACTTCTTGTGGTGCAGCAGGTTTGGCAGACCGTGGTGGGACTTGTGCTCGGTGGAATCGGAGCCGTGGGACGTCGTTTGTTGGGCTTGGTGTTCTTGATGGGCATGTTGGGCTTGTTGATGGATGTTCTGCTCGCTGTGGGAGGTTGCTTCGTGGGCTGGTGCTTGGTACTGGGAGTCAGTGCCGTGAGTGCTTCCATAGCCGGAGCCGGACTGATGCTCGAAGCTGGTGCCTTGAGTGGTTGGCTGGTGAGACTGGTGCTCGAGGCCCGTGCCATGGCCCATGGTTTGAGAGGATTGGTGCTCTGTATCACGGCCTTGGGTAATTGCGTCGTGGATGGGGGCATGCCTACAAATACATAGTCAGCATTAGAGATACCCAGTTGAGCGGCGTTCATACCCCCCGTGTTCGTATGTTTCGTCCCCAGTCGATCCAGTGGTGTTCGAGCCTGTCGAAGCGGCACCACGTTCATACCCTCCGGTTGCAGACGATCCAGTGGTAGTTGGACCAGTCGCAGTCGAAGTGGACGAAGCCTAAGCGCGAGTCAGTGACGGTCCGCAGGACAGCTAAGTAAGATATCTTACGTTCCGGGTGCCGGAGGTGGTATCCTCCTTGTTGCTGCCCATGATGTTGCTGATTGTGTGTTTTACAGATTCCATCTTTGCTAGGTACCAACGTTTCTCTTCTTCAAAAGTATGTCTTTGTAGGTTTGTGCTTTCAAGGTAGCAGAATTCGCAAGGTCATGTAATGAGGCTTTGGTGGGAAGATAAGGAAGAGCAGGCGAGGACATGGATATAAAGCCATCCTTGCCGTGTTACGTCTTCTGCCAGATACCGGACTGTGGGCAGGTTTACATGGTCATGGTCATGGTCATGGGAGCTGACGCCATGAAGATGCGTCATAGCGCATCGGACTCACTGGATTCGACCAGAAAAATACGTACCGTGTTCAGCACGATGATGCCGCGCACCGATCAACCAAGATTTTGGAGGGGAAAAGAAGCATCATCATTGCGGGGCAGAGGGCGCCTGGAGGGGTCTTCCATGACTTCTACGAGTACGAGATCGCCCACTCAGTTACCAAGCTTTATAAGCTCGCCAAAACTCTCCCATCAAGCAATAACAAGGTGTGGTAGACGAACCAGTGGGTGACACCCCAAGATTCCACATCATGGGAGTCGAAAAGCAAGTGGTTGTAGCCAGATACAACACAGTGAGTTAGTACACAGTAGTACACAAGTAGGTGCCACACGCGCTGAGAAGGTTGGACTTGGATTGTCCGCTCTGTCGTCATCGTGCAGGAACACGAACTCACCAACACAGGGGATCTGGCGAGCTGGATGGCGGCATGATGGCGGTTTGGAAATTCGCTTCAGATCGGATCGCATCGTTACCGGATCCACTCCATACTTAAATGCCTTAGGTACTTGGCTACTATCTTGCCATTTGGAATCTTCGTACAATCGTGAAGCACAGCTCGGGATCTCCAAGATCAAATTTGTGATGCAAGAAAGCTTTATACAAGAATTGAAAGATGTTCACTCCCATTCCAACATTCCACGTCCTACAGCACCTGTTTCGCCCCTGTCCTGTCAATGCTCGCTCATGGCTTCCATCCAGCGGGTGTTTCTGTAGCATATCTTGATACTGTCATGAATCCGGAGCTGCCTAGCTGCTGCTTCTGCGTTTCAGTGCCATTTCTGAAACTATATCCAGTCGACATGGTTGAACTACCTGTGCTGGTAGTGGTAGATGCCGACACGCTCGAAGTGCTCAGGCTCGCGCTGGTGGATGTCTCCTGAACTTGAACCGGAATTGATGGTTTGCTAAATGTAGGCGAAGCAGTAACTGTGATCGTGCTTTGGACAGTCTCGGTCATTGTGACATAGGAGATACCGCATGCACCAGCTCCATTGCCCGATCCAGCGGGAGAGGATCCTACAGCAGCTACTCCAGTTTGCGCAGCCACAACTGTTACAGTTTGCGTTGTTGTAGACATGAGAGTGATCGTGGTGGTGGCCCCTATATCGGTCGGCGTTGCACCAACTGCATGGTTCTGAGAAGCACCCACGCCAGTTGGAGATGGCTTTGTGATGGTAGCATAAACCGTGCTTGTCAGGTAGAATGTCTTTGTTTGGCGGATCGTGGTGGTGATGACAGAAGCTGATGGCCCCGAACCAATAGTCATCGTCAATGTCTTATCTTCGATACTGGTGCTGACCTCAACAGCCTCGCTGGAGGTAGCGGTGATGTCAGCTGGAATCTTCGCGCTGCTCGTAGTTTGTGCTGCAATCACAGGGCTGCCTGTGGTCGAGGTGATCTCTACCGCAATCTCTGAACTGCCACCCGTCGTGGAAGTCGAGCTTGTCCAACCCGACCATGTCGCAACATCACTGGTGGTTGTGCCGTCAGTAGCGGAGGAGGAAGTGGCGACATCCTCGATTTCAGCACTGGTAGTGGATGTTGCAGTGGACGAGGAGGTCGTGGTATCTCCAGCTCCGGTGGCGCTAGTAGTAGTCGTGGCGCTGGTAGACGAAGTGGCAGCGGCAGCCTCAACACCGGTGCTGTTGCTCATTGAAGATGTCAGGGTCGAATCAGCTGATGACGATGATACAGTACTATTGGTTAATTCAGTGGTTGAAGAGGTTGTCGTCACAGCGGCTAGTTCCGAACTGGCAGTAGTACTGTTCGTCACATCAGAGGACGAGGCGGCCGTGATAGCCGCAACTTGTGAGTCAATATCAGTGGTTGTAGTTGTATTCAGGGAGGGAGTTGTGGTGCCCGTCACTCCTGCACTGGTTGAGGTCGTGGTTGAGGTCGATGCGACATCAGCAACAGCGGACTCGGAAGTGGTAGTCGAGGTAGTGTCGGCAGCAATAGAGTCGATAGTAGTGGAAATGCTGCTACCGGCTGTAATCGTCGCGACACTGCTGCTGCTGGCTGCAGCGTCCACGATCAAGCTCGAAGTGGTCGTCATGGTCCAATCAGACCAGGTGGTGTCGTTGCCATATTGACGTCTATACAGCATGCCGTCAGGACGAGCCTGCGCCTGCGCCAACGTCAAGGATGCGACCAACAGAGCTATGGTCTTGAACTGCATTTTGGCCCCCCTTGCGTTTTCGTTTCGGTTTTCGGGTCTTCGCACGGTGGTCTGGAACGTATCAAAGGGTTGCTGTCTCTGGCAGGATCAACCCGCGCCAAATGAATGTCAAATGTGTCAAGAAAAGAACGACTTGGGGGAGGAGATGTGGAAAAGGAGCGACTGACGTCTCTAGGACGTATGAAGATGGTGTAAAGAACGACGACTCGAAGAGAACTCAAAACACAAAAAGCAGAGCGGAGGGAAGAAAAGGTGAGCACGAGGCGATTTACCCATTTTTGCGAGGAAATTGTAGGAGCATGGCGAGTTTGCCTGTGGCCACACCTGTCCCAGGCACATCCCAGGTCGCTCCCCCACCGCATGAGATCCAGCTTGAAACACAGTCGATAAACGGTGGAAGTGTGGGATGGATCATGGAGATGATTGACTGGGGGCAAGGGACAAGGAGAGTCGATGTCGCACGATGTGGTTTGGTCAGTACCAAATTCAGGGGTTGGGTGAAGAAGGAAGAAATGCTCACGGAAAGAATGGAATGCGACCTGATTGGCTACTTGCGCGTCAAATAAGATCTCGCCCTAAACCTGGTTGGAATTAGCGGCATCTGGCGGAGGATTCTCCTGACTTCTCAAACAGCGTCTCCGACACGCCGAGGACTCTTTCGTCTCCATTAAGTGTCCTGCTCATCAATTGCAGCGGAGGACATATACGCAGTGTAGTGGCAGCATTGTTGCCCTCATGCCACTGGCGAAAGGTGGTTGGAAAATCATGAGAATGACTGGCATCTGCCACGTCAGCGGTAAGTACGGTAAACAAGCTGGTCGTAGCAGTAATAATGCCTGGGCCTTGCGGCAATCTGCCTGTGTTACCTGCATATCATGCATGTCATCTCGGCAAAGTCTCGATACGCTTGAATACGCGTTCCAAATCCCTGGCTGCAACGTACGTTGCTCAAGGTTTCTCATGCACAATGGCAAAGCGACTGGGCTAAGTGAACAATGATATGTCCGATGCTCCTCTGATCTGCGAGTCCTTGCCATTCATCAACGGCCCTGAAGACATGTGCCATACAAGCATAGCCTGGCGGGAAGGGCCTCGTATGCCCCATGAGCATCACCCATGTTCCTTCTGAGATTGGACTCTCACCAGGTCCCACGAGGGCAGTATGGCAGTAGGCTGGGTGGCACATTCGAGAATGAAGGCGACGAGTGCAGATCAAGGCCGCATAGTTCTAGCACTCCAATTGCTTCAGGTCCATGAGCAGGTAATCTCTTCATTGTCAACCATTTGCTCCGTCTGTTTGCGATCTTTTGCTCCATTTTATCTAGCATTGATGTGGTTCTCCTTCATCTGCAATACCATGTCAGTATGATTGGACCATCCAATATCTGGCACAGACTTACGTTTGATCATCTTCTTCATGGCCAGGACCAGACTGACAGTCATAACAGCAAACCCGAATACGATGCATAAGACCGCAGGTATGGTCTTCCAGCTCCTCGTACTCAGTTTGATATAACACAACGGTGGCAAGATGTAGGCAAGCGCACACGCGCTGGTTGCGCCTATCAATTCAAACACCGCTCCCAAGTCACAAGTAAGAAGGCTCATCGCCATTGCGCTGACCACCAGAGCGCTGCTGAAAATCAGATGTCGATTGGGTTGATATGGTTCTTCCGGAAACCAGTAGTTGTTCATGACTTCTCTGCAGACAAAGCATTCGAGGGGCAGAGTGGTGAGCATGTTGAGACCAAAACACAACCGGGCAATTTGAACCATCACGTGTCCTTGCGAAGGAAAGTTGTTCAACACATTGCCTTTCGTTCGGTCGCCGAAGGTGAGAAAGCCCGCGAGTGCCATGACAAGGCATGCAACGAGGGAGATGAAAGTGCTGTAATGAGTGACGGTCGCAAAGCGGTCTAACGTGGGCGTCTTCAAAGAGCCATAAATGAGCAGAGAATTGTGATGACAGACAAACGCTACAAAGTCAGCAATCATTCCCCATAGATGGCAAGGGCAAAGTACCGAATGAAATGACCCCAACCGCTTGAAAGAAGCCATCGTTGACAAATAACAACCCTTTGACATTTCCTCGAAGGTCCGGGTCCACAAATGCTCCCTGAGTGACGACCGTCACAATGATTATGAGCATGCTGATTAACGCCAGTGTAGACGCTTTGGCAAGCTGCCGCCGTTAACAATAGTCCCAAAATGCATAGAAATAACACACCTTTGCAATATCCCTGTACAAGCTCAGAGGTAAACTGATCCCCAAAATGAACAGTATTATAACAGCCCTCCTGTCAGTCAGGAGCCATAGAAAGGGCACATCCCTCAAACCCGGAATCAATGATTCGAGGACATGGGGAATAGTATCGCCCACAATAATGCAGAAAGCAATCATCCCGCCAAATGCAAACGCCCATTGTGCCACTGAAATCGCAACAAGCCCGCTCCTACCGAAACAATGCTGCATGGTCGCCTGGAACGAGTCCGCCCCGGATAACTTGCTGTTGATAACGATCAAGCGTATCGTCCAGTCCACGGTTATTGTAAGGCCAACAAGAAGAATGACTCCCATCGTGAGACCTGCTTGTCTGAATGCATATGGTTGACCAATGATGCCTGCGCCGATGATCGAGTTTGCCATGTTCATGAACGCACTCTGCATGCCACTCTTTGGTCGGGCATTGGGTAAATGGTCTTCTGGCTGGAACGAGTCGGATAAAAAGGGTGACTCGGCGGGCGGAGTTATATTAGTGAGCAGCGGTGCATCTTGACTTGGGGAGTCGAGATAGTCCTCCTCTTCCATCCACCCCTCGGGAGTTTGGCCATTTCGTTGTTCATCAAGGTCGAAGCGTACCCTGTTGGTGGTTCGAGGAGTGCCATCTGGTCGAGGCTGGAGGAGGGAGGATTGTCTCTGTGCGAGAGGGCGAGTGAACTGGGAAGAGCTTATCGACGGACTTCGAGTCTGGTCAGAGTTGTCCTCTCCTGAGAATCGTGGGGAAGTGTGGCTTTCGAGGGTGCCATTCGGGGCGTGCTTGACTGAACCATCAGGATCCTCGTCATCTATGGTCATCTCGTACGGCGTTGCATCTCGTCTGTCTAGTCGACAGAATGAATGCACTTTCTAGTCCGAGTGAAGGTGTCAACATCTGGCATTGGAGGACGACGGAGGACCTCCGCCACGTGCCAACAAGGGATCTCGGTGTCCGATACGCCGATAAGGCTCTGACAAACCCCATTGCTGCTACGTGAGAGGAGCAGAGCCTCACAAGCTTCACCTTCACTACATAAGTCTCTATTGCTGCTCAACCAGTGAAGCATCTTCGGATGGCCGTTATGATGGACCATCCGTGTTGGTATTCGCAAGGAGACAAATCAGTCGGTTTTGACGAGGTAGTAAGGCAAAAATTTGACAAGGAACGAAAACCAAGAACACTTCCTCAGGTCGACTTGCTGCAGAAGGAGTTTAAACAGGGAGGCTGAGGTATGTCCATGGTCGGAAGGAGTCAACAGAGAGGCTCAGAAGATAGAAGGGTTACACATCTCAGACAAACATGCGCAGAGGGTGAAATTCAATAACATCGCGCAATACATCGCCGTTGCAATGAGTCGAACTGACCTACTCGGATAGGCATTCAAAATTCAAGATCGATGTTGACACCCGTAAATTGCACACTATCTCATGTTTTATGTGACTGGCGCCACCATATGCGCTTGAGCCCGAGAATGTACAATGCTATGACTGGAACAAGCTTCGCTGAAATGCTTTCATCATCATGAATTACAATATCAATCCAATAGTTAATGCAAGTAATACCATCGATACAACGTGTGTCGTCGCCTGTGACGCCGCAGACGAAGTAGTGTCGGAACTTCCGAATGGACTGCTGTCGCTAGCTTCAGATGATGTAGCCGCGGCAGCCGTAGATGTCGACGAGCTGCTCCCAGTAGTTGACGTTGTGATGGTCGTCGACGGCTTCGAAGCCGATGAACGAGAGTCAGAAGATGTGTGGCTCGATGATGAGGCGCTTCTCGTGGATGTTTTGCTTGTTGCTGATGTTGAAGATGAGCTGCCACTGCCACTACCTGATTCGGCTCCAAATCCAATCTGATTGTTGTCAAAGTCGAACACAGTGTAGACGTTCTTCAGAAAAACAGCGCCCAGTATCCACTCATTCGGCCCAAAAGCCTGATGGCCAATGATCTTGCTTTGGCAGCCATTGCCGAGGTTTTGGCCTACGTAGTCCTTGGGGGAGACTGCATACTGAACGCCAGAAAAGGTGAAGAAGACGTTGGCGTTACTTGAGCAGGGAACAACGAAAATTTCTCCGTTCTGAGCACTGCCCGGAATGAGGGCGTGTAGTGCCTGGGCATCAGACTTCGGCATCAGGACGTAAGATGTGCCAGTGTCGATTATGGCACTCTTGCCGCTGAAACCCACCCCTTTGCCGTCAACGCCGGCATCGTCTGCCGCGATTTCCCAGCTGGCCTCGTTGATGACCTTGGTATATCCCAGCTGGCCAGAGAATTTCGACGAGTCAACCCCACCGAACGTGAGTTGTCCATCCTTCGTCCCGTCCGAGGCGCGTTGAAGATGAATGCCGACAATGTTGTGGGACAAGCTGCCCTGTTGATCTAGTACTTCCATAATGGTAGACGTACCCAGTGCATCTGAACTGGGCCGACCTAGCCCTAAAATGCCGTCCATGGGATAGTTGTTGAAATCGTCCGACGCACTGGAAGCGATGCCGAAGCCCATGTGGACGGTGTAGTTAGCAAAGCTGACTTCATCTTGAGCCACAACCCCCTTGACCTGGCCAGTGCCGTAACTCAAACTCCACGTCTGAGATGTCGTCTTCAAAGAGGTCGAGTCGGCATTTCCAAAGGTATTATGTATTCCACAAGCGTTCGACGAGCAATTCGAGCCCATTACCCAGGTGTTTGCGGACCCGCTGTCGACCAACATGTACATCTCTTTCCCTGAAGATCCGAACTTCAAAATCGCAAAGTAGGTGAAGTCAGAGCCGTCCGAGTCGATCGCCACCGCATTTGGGACGTTAGGGTTGTTGGATTTGACTACTGTGAAGTCATTCCCTCTCTTCTGCTGCACAATGCTTTAGCATCATGGCGTCTGCGACAAACAATTCATGACCTACCCTTCTTCTCTGTATGTCGACTGTGACGCCTCCGACGCCCTCTGCAGGCCGCGGCTCAATGTCCAGTGGGACGAACCTTCTAACGTTTCCGCCATCACCATCGTGGTAGGGATAGAACGCTGAAGCGTAACTGGAAAGCAGCAGTAAGGGGAGCCATCTGCTGAGCATTGTCGTCGATATCAGCACATAAAATGCAAGTCTTTAGAGTCGAAATTTCCGTCTATTCCAGGAGCCAGTCCGAATTATAGTCGCATTAAGAATATTCCCGTTTGGTATCCAGCCAACATGAGCGATCGTGTGGTTGTAACGTATGCAGTATCGGTAGACACAGAGTTTGAGAGATACTCAGTCAAGAGATCCCTGTTTGAATGCCTGGTAGTAGTTGTATGAAGTAGTGAAGATGTAGGAAAGGAGCAGGAGAGAAGCCCTAGAGACATATGAGGACTAACATTCACGTCAGAAGCCAGTGGTCGAAGTCCTGACAGACTCCGGCCGTCGGGCACATGAAGGTCGAAGGAACGCCAGCGTCGCCATGCCAAGGGCGCCGAGGGCATCTGTGCATTTGTGAAGCGGGTCGAGCGTCCAGGGGGAAGAGGAAATGGTACCTGACGATCACTCGCGTTCGTCCCTGGGAATGTGCGCCCGAAACCAATGACAGTTGGTGGCTTTGGGCGCCCAGCCCCTCGCTAACTCTACGATGTCTTAGGCATTGCCTCATTCAGGAATGCGTCCAAAGCCACCAAGGGGAGAAAATACGGATACACCATGGTTGACCATGATGTTAGACTAGCACGACATGTCGAGATTTCGTCATACTTCTGACCTTATGTTCGGTACAAACCTCTTCAGCTCAATGACCAAATGTAACCCATGTCAACGGCTTGAATCGAAACTCGTCAGGGAAAAAGTCGGAGGTTGGGTCTGCACGGCTTGCTGCCAATCTGTGGATACAAAGTGTGGAGTCGAGCAAAGACACAGTGACGAACACGTCGAATCCGGAGAAGCAGAGCAACCGAGATTTGGAGATCATCAAGGCCAAAACATACCAGGGAGCAAAAAGTGCGCTGTGCGCAGCTTTGATTAAGAGAAATACACTCATCTCCCAGCCGCATGAAAGTATAGGTAAACACAAGACGCCGTGGGGTTGCTTGTACGCTGTCATGACCGTGTTACCACGAGTGTAGGTGAGGTGAATCATCGCCGCACAGCTCATGCTTTGGCTCCTTTCTGTGGGCCGCCGAATAGATCGTCAAGAAAACCGGACCAAATCTTGCGAATGGTCTGCTCATCTTTGTCTTTGACGGTGTCCACGAATTGCCGAGCACTGTTGCCGACCTGGTCGGTCAACGCAGTGAGCATCTCGACTGACATTTCCTTGTCATGATGGCCATCATGTAGGTCACTCAATGCACTCGCTGGGCTGCCTAAGGCATCGCCGACAGCTGAGATCTGAGGTTTCATGATCGTCTCATGACCTTGTGTATCTTGATAACCACCTGCAGCTGCATCGAGCTCTGGATACCTCTCCAGCACCGCTTCAGCCTGCTGGGAGCTGATGTCCGGGAGGATAGGGACTCGAATCTCAGGCGGTTGAGGGCCGTACTGCTCTTGGAACAGCTTAGGGAGGTAGGCGAAGTCAATGGTAGAGGAGTCGTGAACGGCCTTCAACTCATGTGATGTGTTGAAGTGTCTTTGGCCACCAGTATCGGAGGGGCTACTTCTCCATCAGTATCAAGGCCCTCCAACAAAGTTGTGGTCACATACCCAGAGATTGGCTTCTTCGTCTGCTCGACGGCGATGCGCCTCATGGCAATGGAAAAAGCCCGTGCCTGCAAGCTGTCATGACCGGCAAGGCGGTCAATGAGCTCATGTTTTGTGCCAGAAGCCGACAGTGTCCGCTTCTGACATTCTTGACGAAGATCTTGCAAGTTCCACGGTGTATAGGTCGTCTTGTGAGTAGGATCGATGGGTCGCGGATGGGCATGGACTCCAGTCATGTGGAGGCCTCGCTTCGCCGGAGTCCATCCGCTGGCCCGTTGGAGGTTGCGCAGAACTTTGAAGGAGGAGGCACGAGGAGCAGCCATGGTGTGTAAGATATAGGTTAGAGTCGAGACGTTGAGATGAGGAGTCTAGTGGATGGTATGGTAGATGTTGTGGTCGATGTAGTCTTGAGGAGGGTTCATAAGCCACTGGAGGAAGGTCGTGATGAGGGATGCAGGTTGAGGGATGAGTTGTGATGAGACGAGGTTTTGTACTGGTGGTCAAAAGGCGGTGACAATGAGAGAGTACGGGATAGCTCGGAGCCGGAATGAATGGTGTTACTGGAGATGACAGAAAGTGATCAAGATACGGAAATGCTATGCTTTATCTTGAGCTCGGCGATCAATTGTTGAGGGTAAGCCACAAGCTTCGGTCCCCGCGCCGTTGCTCGTCTGCTGAGTTGGGGAACACCAAAATCCTGCCGCTGCGGACACTAACACAGTGAATCCCTGCCTGGTGAGCCCATATCAGACCATCAATGAGTCCCTTCGCCCTTGATTCGCTCATCCCTTCCGGCGGTGTACGGGGAAGAAAGGACATCACGCGTTTCCCGGCAGTTCAAGTCTGAAGCAATGCAAAGTGCGGAGAAGCGAGCCGTGAATTGCACGGTACTTGCTCATCGTCCTCCTGTGTCTTGAACCAGTGTTCAGCATGCATTCGGCAGATCCATCTCCCAGGAACTTCGCACAAGAATAGTGGAAGGTGGCATCATTCCCGTAGCTCGTATTTCGTTTTCAGCATCGCACGACTCGAGTTCCTCCACCACCAATAGTGCTGAGGGCCTGAGGCTGAGGACTTCTAAAATTGGCCGATAGGGACAAGTCGAGAACCCACCGTGGCTCGCCCACCAGCGCTAATCTCGCCGGGATCCATCCGGATCGACAATTCCGGCATCAGCTTTTCTCAACATCATTGAACGCCTTGTCTCTGCCAACCACAACAACAGGTCCTGCGACTTGTACGTTGCCAGGAGGTGCAGAGGGTATCTGATTTGCAAGCTCATGTCCTCGTTGTAGCTAACTTGCTGGAATGATGGACTTGCCAGTTTTGGTGCATTTTCATGCAATTCAAAATCTGAGGCCACCGTCGTGTACCTTTGGCGCAGGGACACACCATCGTCAATTCTCCCTTGTCATTGCTCAATGTTTGATCCGGAGGAATCCCACTGCTCAAATGTAGAGGAGCATTGAAACACACCATCGACCGCTGGACAAGGGTATTCTCAAGGCAGTCTGGCAACAATCTCTGAGCAGCATTGCGCTCAAACCGGGGCCACAGATTGGCTTTTGATGGCTGGTCACTCCATGAGATGTCGGAGATCCTTTCGAAGAAGGAAAAGATAAATGTTGGAAGGCAAGAAGACGTTTTGGACAAATGTGCTAAGTGATGGCTTTCCTTTCTCAAAGTTGACAAGGCTGTGGTGCTCATGGCAAAACTGTGTGCACTTGATACGTGGGCAGACTCCTGTCCTAAGAACCAGGCTGACAAGAAGGAAATACTCAATGGACTGTCGAAGGGAGAGAGCCATGTCTTTGTGCGAGGCTGCACCATGAGGTTGAGTGCTCAAAGCAAAAGCCATACCTACCACATTTGTCTTTGCCTCTCATTCATCCATCCTCCTTTCCCAACTTTCTCCCAGTCCACTCGCTTCAACCAGACTTTGACAATTCGTTGACTTTGATGCTGTCAGCTGTCTAACATAGTTATTCTCCTGTCCTTCTGCCGCACCTAGGGAGACTTTGTTCACTTCTTCCATCAGCCGCACTCGCGACATCATTCCCACATAGCTACTCCCCGCGGCATGCCTTCCTTCCCCGTCCTTCTCCATGTCGACGACTAATCGATGAGCGACTTGCCAAGACTGCAAATGATCTGTTGTTGACAATCTGAATTTCAAATATCCTTCTGGCTCAAATCTTTGCCCTCGTCACAACCTCACTCATTTATCGATTGACAGCGGTCGTCGACTTAACGAGTTTCAAATCGACCTACAATTGGCGGTTCTCAGACCCGAGGACCGCAGTCAGCAAGTGCGTGCTCAGAGACGTTAAAGACCGGCGTGTTAACAGATGTCTACAGTTCTGCTTAACCTCATCTCCGTCGAGTCCTAGTCACCGCTGAAGCCTGAACATCTTTGGTGTCTCATCGAGGCATATTGGCCATCATGCCGCGTGGTGGCCGCCGCAAAGCGATGGCGCAGGACGATGACTCTGATGATGGATTGGACCCGTCACAGATGTCACCGAACTCGAAGAAAGAGTACGACAAGATGATGATCATGAGAGCAAGTACACTATTCGCCATCATCGCGTGGCGAGTACTAACACCCACCACAGGAAGACCTTGGACAAGCTACTGCCGACCACATCAAAACCAGCGACTATCGTCGAACTCAACCTAATGTCCCAATCATTCGTCATTGTCATGAGTCAGGCACGGAAGAATCGAAAATTGTTCGAGAGAACAAAGCGCAGACTAGCAAATGGTGCAGTAAGTAAGCGCTTCCCTCACCGGATTCCATTATCTAACACAATGTAGCCTACGGGCAGAGTGAAGAGGCTAGACTGACTGCATCTGGAGACCCGGTCATTGGCTCTGGTAACAGCCACCGCCACGCAATAAGTGCGGCTTTGGCAGCTGAAGAGAAGAGACTCGGCCACAAACTCACTCTAGATGATACGTATGATGAACGTGGATACCGGCGCCCAAATCCTGGTACGAATGCTGCCCCTCAGGGTGTACGAGCGTCTCAACGGTAAGTGCCTCCAAGTTTCAGCTTATACTCTTTACTAACATGCTCCTCCATCAAGACCTCCTCCACCTGTCGCTACGTCAAATCCCAAGAAGAAAGGTGGTGGCGCTACCCAGAGTCGGCCATGGCCACCACCAGCTTTGGAAGGCTCGCCAGCCTTGACTACAATAAGCCAAAAATCATCCAGCAAAGGTTCGCCTGCTACGAAGTTTGTTGTTGGAAGCACCGCGGCTGGCCCCAAGACTGGCCCGTCCAAGAATCAGAAGAAGATTCCTGCTTTGACTGCGGCGACGGCCACGACTCCGAATACCGCAGCCCGAGCACGTCCTCTTGTTGCTAATATGCAACATCTAGTGGACCCAGCTACTTTCATGTCCTCAGCTGCTCAATTTCTGTCCGCGGCCGCAAAGCCCAAGGCTCAGGCGTCAGTCCAGGGTACAGCACCGCCAACTGCGCCAAATGGTGCTGTCTCACAAGATCATACTCCAGTCACGCCCACTGCCGCTGCAGCTACAACCGATAGCAACCATGCCACTACGGTCCGGAAGGTGCCAGTGAGCGAGTTTTCGTTCTCGGCGAATGCCGCACTGGCACCCAATGATGTTACAACACACACTGACGGTGCACCAAGTCCTGGAGGCCTGTCTGGCTTCACTCCTTCTCTCGCAAGCCATGGACCTCCTATAGATGAGGATGACATCCAGGAGCTCACCGATGCCCTCGTCGGGCTGGGTATTCATGGTGCAGGCCTTGCCACGGCCAGTTCAGCCATGGATAACCAGTCTCTCGGCCCAAGCAAAACCGACTTGGTGTCCCAATCTGGTAGCTTGATGGACTCGCCAATCATAGATGACCTGGGTGGTGACGTTCTTGTGGCGGGCCAGGACAAGAAGAATGAAGTCGTTATCATCAATGGCGTCCGATATGTCAAGGAATCTGCACTGTTGGCCCTCACAGAGTCTCTGAGAACCCATGGAAAAGGTGTTGGCAATGGTGCTCAATCACCAACTGCCCCCAACGTCCGGAGTTCGTCTTTCCAGTCGGACTCCGGCCCCCAGCCGTTCCCTTCTTTCTTCGACGACGTATCCAGCCTTATGCCAGGCCCTGCTGCCAAAGCCAATCCTTTCAGTCCACGTGAGCCTCTCATTGCGGAGGGAGCAACACAGATGCCTGCTCAACAGCCTGTGGCGACTGACCAACGTGGTAGCTTGACACGAGGTGAGCCGCAAACCTTGGATCAAGCGCTGGTCGCCGCCGTCAATCCAAGACTAGCAGTACCAGCAGCAGAGCCAACTGCTCAAGCTCCACTGGCTACTGGCGCAAGCAAAATCACCACTTCTAGAGACACAATCGTGTCGAAATGGGCTGCTCCCAGTCAATCAACCATTCAAGTCAAACCTGTTGTGCTGCAACCAAAATCTACCAACGGTGCAGCCCCTCCAGCAACGCAGGTGGCGAAGGTGGCATCAGATGCGAAACTCGCTACTTCCGCTCAGGCAATGACAGCTGTGACTGGTCAGCACTCACCTTCTTCGATTATTGGTGATCGACGAGCGTTTGGTCATCTTTCCGAGTATGCAGCCAACGCGCCGATGTACGAACCTCCTCCCCCACGAACGGCACCACGGCGCAAGTATCATGCACCCGGTCCCGGTTATGCCATGCTGCTGGCCGACCTGGCTGCTGCAGGAGCGTCGTCCAAAATCTAGACTCACATTCCCTCTGTCGCATCTCTGGATCCCCAAATCGAGAGGCCAGAGGAGGAGTTGTCAGGGGTCATTTGGTCGTTATGGCACAAGCAAGCTGTCATGCCAGTGAGTGGCATGGTCGGACCGGCATTCAGTGGAGCTCTGTCCAGATGTCCAGGTGGTCCCTCTAACCAACCTAATTTTCAGCAAGCAGAAGATTGACAGGAGTCTCGACAGTGATAGTCTACCATCACTGCACTCGGCTACTGTTGGCTCGAGGAAGTTCCAAAGAATTGGAAAGTGTGTGATTAACCGGAGATTCCAGTCGCAGCCATCTACGTGCGCAACTTGAGCAAGATCATGACCTGCCACAGATGACTTATGGCCAACGTCGACTTGAGATGTTGCAGAGCACAATCGGTTCAAACACCAAAAGGGTCCCGGAGAGCTACTATTCTGAGCAGGCAATGTCACCGGTCTAGGCAGGTGCGGCGGTTTAGGGTCAGTTCCATAAAGCACCTAATTATGAACCAAGATAGATCGAGCATGGAAACAAGGACTAGCCCGTTCAAGTGAGAAATTTCTTCGGAGTAATGATCGCAAACTTCAGTCCTCGTAGAGGAGTCAACAACGTTCATAGATCTACTGATTTGATCTTTTTGACTTCGCTTGTACCAATACAACGGGCGGATTGTGCCAGCTGTAGCTCTTAAATATACTGCGAATGAGGCACGCTTCGCGAACATGGACGGGCAAGATTGTTCGTGAGTGGTAGTAATTTCGCTTCACCATTGAGCTGTCGGCGGCTTCAGACTCGCGCTGAGACATTACCATCTGTCTACTTGACTATGGGCTCTTTGGTGCAACAACAGCGACTGGCGGACGGCCTCGGTCCTGAAGCTTCCTCATCAGCGAAAACCTCTTCTCCGTCTCATCACAGGTCGCATTATGTAGCGTTTTCCAGTGCTTCGTCTTCGCGACTGTCTTTGCAGTTGGCAGTGGCCTCTTGCTCCATGACACGTTATTCATCCCCCGTGGGTATCGAACGCTCGACAATAGTTTTAGCATGTTGTGGCCGCTTCAGTCGTTTTTTGGATCAAAGCATGGGGTAGATGGACCTGGTCGTCTTAATTCGAACTTGACTAGGTCACGAACTCTGCAAAGCGGCCTTGACTCTCCCTTCAACATCCGCTCCCGCGCGCTGCCTCACCATACTAATCACCCAGTCCTGCTGCGCCTTGCGAGGTAACATCCTCAGCCGTGACACGTACAGACCCAATGTCTCCGGCTTGGATTCGAGATCCGCCAGGCCGGAGGTCAAGAGCCAGCGCTGCAGACGCTGTGGGTCGGAGAGAGCCAAGTCCTCTGCTGGATTCGTGGACGTTTGTGTGTGTGAAGTATTCTCGCTTGAAGATGTTGTAGCACGTGTCGTAGATGCAGGAACTGGTTCAGGTCTAGGGAGCACAGGAGCTGTGTGAGGAGCAGAACGGAGTAAACCGCCTTCATCCTCTGAATTTGAATCGACGTGCCGTAGCACCGCGGCCCCAGCTCCGTCATGCGACGAGCCAGGCTGAATATCGTCTTCGTCGTCGCCTTCTTCGACCATGGCGGCGTGAGGGTTGCGAGCCGGCCCGGGCGCAATCTGACTCGGCGCATCTGGCCCAGGCTCGTGATCACCCGGAATGGACTCGAGATCCGGCATGCTGTCTTCATCCTCATCCACTTCGGAATTGTTCTGCTCCACCTCCTCGTAATAATCCCACCCGCCGGCCATGCCGAGGCCGGCTGGAGTGATGGCACCGACGGTTTCGTCTCCGTCCTCCAGGTGAATTTGCAGCAACTGCTCAATCATTTCTGGCGGTATGTCGCCACCTAGCTGCTCCTGGAGGTTGCGCAAGGCGGCTTGGCCTTCGGATTCGCCGTTGGGATCGTTGGGGCCGGCGGGTGTTTGGAACCAATTCATGATTCTGGTCAGTAGGCTGCCTGTAGCACCGGCCGTGGCGCCCGCGGCATTGAAAATGGTCTGCATGGTGCCGTTACCGCGTTCTGCGCCGGCTGGGGAACGGAAGACGAAGCCGTCGGCTTCTGAGGTTGGTGGGGGAAGAACATCGTAAGATGAGGTTGGTCTGCTGGTGAAGGAGCGGGGAAGGAGGGCGATAAGGGAAGGGATTTCGAGAAGCATAATGTGTCGAGCTTCCTCGAGTGAGACTTCTAGCCTCGGCGCTGGTGGGGCAGCAGCGATGGCGTCGCTGTAGTGAGAGAGGGTCTCCGCTACTTCTGCGAGTAGACTGATTGTCTCGGGTGTATTCCATAGATCTTTGGCGCGTGTCACGTACAACTCGGTATGGAGTTTCTCGGCATCGTTTGAAGGTAGTTTTGCCCAGAGGGTTTTCGGTAGAGGGGAGATATCGAGTGCAGAGGCTAAGGCGGAGAGGATGTAGGGGTATTTGTGCATAGCGACCGCCAACTGCCTTCTAGCGTCCCGTGGTTTGCCGGCTCTGAGATAGGCCAATGACAGAGATATCTGGATGTTGGCGAGAAAATCCCATGCTTGGCCGTAGGCGCCGTCGGAGCAGATTTCTATCAGTTGTGCATGTTGACGGCCTCTGAGAGCGAACTGGTCGATCATCAAAGTGACCCCGTATGGATCGGTGATGGGATTGAGCTGGAGCAGAAGTTTGGCCCATTCAAATGCTGATCGCCAGGTTCCTCTCATTTCGAGGTTCTTGATGTACCGCCAAATAGCCAGGTAGAGTTCTCGATTTGCAGGCTTGTCGAAAGATATTCGGGCGGTACCAGTTCTAAGCGAAGCTGGGAAAGAGCTGTGGACTGACTTGCCAAATGAAAACAATGCTCGCTCGATCAAGTCCCCAGAGACTGCATGATCACCTTGATGCTTCGCAATTTCTGATACCTGGAGAAGAGTGGCGATGTGGTAAGGGTACATGGACAGGACCCCAATCATTCGTTGTGGATCCATAGACTCAACTGCCAACCGAAAGTGTAGCTGGGTCTCTTGGTACTGCTTGTTGTGCATGATGTTGTACTTCTTCTCGAAAGATTTTTTCTTCGGGTTCGACTCCGCGTCAGGAACATGTTGCATGCTAAGACCGCCACTGGTCGCGAGTGGCCATTCCTCTTTGCCTTGCACAAAGATGTTCCGCCGATGAGCGAGTGTTCCTAACTCCTTGCCTCTACTTCCCACACAATATCGCCCAGTAAGGGCAGTGGCCAGATCGACTCCTCCTTGGAGATTCTGGTCACGCCGCCGTTGTTGGCGTGGGTTGCCTCGAGACTCTTGCGTTTCCAAAGCGATGCTACCAAACAGGCTCTTCATCTCGTTCACTGGGTTGAGATTCTTCTCGTCTATCGCCAGTAACTTTGTTGCTTGCGCTTCCCAACTTGGTGGTTCGTCATCAGGAGCGGCGTTGGCTCCACGATTCTTCCGTGCCAATTCTCTTAGAGCTCGATCGACTTCGTCCCCTGAGTCATCCTGCTGTGTCGCGGACTCTGGGACTTTGCTCTTGCCCTTGGTCTTCCCTTTACCCTTTTTCTTTTTCTTCCTAGGTTTTGAGGAGGGCGCAGGAGTGAATCGACTTTCTGAAGGTGCTGGTGGTTGTGATATGGACGTGGCCGCTTCTGGTTCTGACTCTTCCTCCTCATCTTCGACACCTTCCAGCATGTCAAATGCGTTCATGGGTCGCGACGTAGTAGGTGGGCTTCCGTCGTCCTCTTCTGACTCTTCGGCTTCTGCGTAGGCCTGTTTGGCTGCCTCAACTTGTCTCTGCAACTCCTGCTCCCGCTGGAGTTTCCGCAAGGCTCTCGTAGACATCGTGATCAGTCTGGAAAACGCTGTCTGGTGCCAACAAGAGGAGGATTAAGACGAGGACCAGACGACTAAAACGTGGTAAATTGTTCGCACAAGGGCATAAATTTATGATGGCACCCTCCGAGGCTCGTGGAATGACGCATGTCCTCACTCGCCTTAAAATAGTGGGGGAGGGCTTGGAGGGCACTGAGGGATCGCACCCCTTAGGCTGATTAGGCTAGACTTCGTAGGTAGTAGGCTAGGGGCTCTGCAACACTCCAGTTGGCTGGCTGCTTGTGGCCAACTGATTTAAGACTCACCACTTATTAGACGCAGCCATGGGAATTGTTCTGTCCATGATGATCCTCTGAACGCAGCCACCCTCCTCTTCAAGTGCCAATCCACCTTTTGTATCCCAACCAACTCTCTCCATGCGGTCGTCCTCAGTGCCCTGACCCGGACCGCCTCAATGCGTCGAGCAGCTGTCTTCGCCCTTCGTACGGCTCGACGATCTGCTTTTCGCAAGCTCATCCCAAAGACGACCCTGTCCTCCCCGAGCCATGTCGCAGCGACTTCTGCATACTCTACCTCACTCATAAGAAGATACAGTACCGGTCGGCAGCCATTACAGGCATCTATGCGTTTGCCAAAACTACCTCTAGCGTTTGTGGGAACACTTGGGGCGATAGGTGCATGGTACGCCTATAGAGGAGATGGACCAGAACAGTTGCTACGAAATCCGACTTCGCCTCTATCAGCGCAACCTACGAGAAGCCTAAGCACAAAACCAGACATTGCCCAGCCTACAGCAGAACCAGCGGGTGCTGCACCCGTAGCCGCGGGTCACGAGTCAAATCGAAAAGCTTTGGTGGTCGACAACGACCAGTTTTTCACCGGGGCGATTGTCGGTGAAGGCCCGTTGGCAAAAGATACCGATGATTACGGCAGAAAGGTCCTCGAGATGATGACCCCAGAGCAGGCCACAGAGAAGCTACGCAAGAATGAGCAATCATATCTGGTAGGGCGTGGTCGCGGTGTGGTCAGATATGATATCGTTCAATTACCCAGCAATGACCCTATCGAGGACGATCACGCCGAGAAAATTGTAGAAGTTCCCAACACTGTGGCTGCAACCGAAGATGCAGCTTCTTCAGACTGGATGTTTTGGGGCGTTTTCGACGGGCATTCAGGCTGGACAACATCCGCCAAACTACGTCAAGTCCTGATCTCTTTCGCAGCACGCGAACTCAACAGCACATACAAAGCCGCTCTTGCGAACGCAAAATCGCCATTCCCCTCCCCCACGGCTATTGATCAAGCCCTGAAATCAGCCTTCGTCAAACTCGACAACGAAATCTGCCTTGACAGTGTGAACAAACTGAGCAAGAATCCCAGCAAGCGGCTCGCCGCCGAGATCCTCGCGCCCGCTCTTTCCGGCTCATGCGCCCTGCTATCGTTCTACGATTCGCAAAGCAAGACCTTCCGTGTAGCCTGCACAGGCGACAGCCGAGCCGTCCTCGGCCGGCGCAACTTGCAGACCGGCAAATGGTTCGCCACGCCGCTGTCCGAAGACCAAACCGGCTCGAATCCCAATGAAGAGGCACGTATGCGCGCCGAGCATCCCGGCGAGGAGAACGTCATCCGCGCCGGCCGGGTTTTAGGCAACCTCGAACCCACGCGTGCTTTTGGCGATGCCTTCTACAAATGGTCACGCGACACGCAGGATCGGATCAAGAAGCATTTCTTCGGCCGGACGCCGCACCCATTGCTCAAGACGCCACCGTACGTAACGGCCGAGCCCGTCGTGACGAGTACGTCGATCGAACCGGGCAAGGGCGATTTCGTGGTCATGGCCACGGATGGTTTATGGGAGATGCTCACGAATGAAGAGGTCGTCGGGCTCGTGGGCCAGTGGATCGAGCAGCAAAACAAACAAGCCAGCAATAAGTCGTCCAATGCGAGTACAGGCGCGTGGCTGACGAGCTGGTTCAAATCGTCGACCCCCAGTGCCTTGCCGGTGGAGAAAGGCGGCAACATGGATAAGACGGGGCGGATTCAAGTGGATGGGAAGGGTGGCAATGGCAATAGACCGATCCGCCAGGAGCAATGGGACGTCAAGAGCGAGAACAACAGGCGTTTCGTGGTCGAGGACAAGAATGCCGCTACGCACTTGGTCAGGAACGCGTTGGGCGGAAGGGATAACGATATGGTTTGTGCGCTGTTGACGTTGCCCAGCCCGTATAGTCGGCGGTACAGGGACGATTTGACGGTTGAGGTTATTTTCTTCGGCGAGGGCGAGAATTCGGGCGCTGTGGTGATCAATTCGGAGGCCACGGCGCAGAACGGAGGCAGTGAGGGTCTAAAGGCGAAGCTGTAAAGGCCTCAGAACAAAGGACCTTAGAGAGATGCAGGCACGACTCAATGTTGCGGAAGGCAGAGAGTGAGAAGGCTCTATCAAGGCTCAAGGCTCAAGGCTCAAGGCTCAAGGCTCAAGGCTCAAGGCTCAAGGCTTGCGGGCTCTTGGTGGAAACAGGAGGTTATAACCATCCGCTCAACGATTGGCAGCAGAATGACTCGATTTGACAAGAATTCGACTTACTTCAAGCAGAAGTGGAAGCGTCAGCAGCCAAGAACGCAAAGAAGAATCTGGATTCCGAGGGCTAGAAGAAGGAGGCGTACGCGCGAACTTTTGAGCAATTGTGTACCTTTACGTTTGTTGTCTCATTAGACACGGCATTGACATAGGGCATGGGCATTGTCAGGAGTAGGTCAGCTCATAGAGATACAATATGAGGATCGGCTAGCACTGGGTAACTCGTGCTTCTGCATCTTCGTCTGCTATATCGAGCGGTTTTTGGGCTTGTCACCTGTCAAAATCGTCCACAGCCCGGAATAGGGCTTCTGCTGAGATAAACCCGCCGCGTCGCAACATCCTTCATCCATGCGATCCAAACACAGGACGAGCATCTATCTGCAGAAGGTGGTTGATCGATTTGAAAGCCTGTCGCAAGAGGGTGGTGCTGTTCTCTAGCACGCTTTTGCCTCATGTCGAAAGCCTGTCTCTCCGATCATGCAGACCCGTGATATGCTGGATGATCAGGGGCGGCTGAAGATGGCCGTGCAATTGGTATAGACCTGCAACGCAAGCCCAACTGCAGGTTTGTAAATCCGTCTGCTCGAACGACGCTTCGATTGCTTCGATGGTCGAACGACCAGAGTTCCAATCGCTCTTCGTCCGTGACATTGTGCGGAGCGTAATCTTCTTGTTGGACGGCAAAGTACATTACTTGGTCATCCTGCGGCTGTCTCTTTCTCACCCTTGAGTTTCGGAATTCGCGTCTCCAGTTTGTCAGTGGGTGGTTTGATGCCGAGGGCATATTTGACGAATGGGCGCTGAATGGTTTGCGTGCCGACACTGCCAATCATATAGAGCACCACCGCTGACGGCAGCTCGCCTCTGATTATTAGCAATGGAAAGACGAATGCACTCGCCGCGATGAGTTGGGAAAACTGCAAGGTCACAAGTTCGCGGGTTTTGGCTTCGCCACGATTCATGCCTGTGACTTTGCTTTGCATCTTTTTGATGTCTTTTCCTACTATCTGCCAAACACTGGCTCCTGATAGAGCTGCAAAAAACAATGGCAAGCCCCAAGTCTGGTCGAACTCGACAAGGTTCGAGAGCCAGAGGAAGCTTTCGTTCTGTAATCCTGGCTCGATGGATACTATGCTTGTATCCGCTTCCTGGCCCATCTTCGTGAACACGGACAGGGCCGTTCTAGTGTCGCCCGACATGCGCCTGATGACATCTGCGTTGATGAACCAGATGGGCAGGAAGGAAACTTGAAGCGCAGCCCTCGACCACTTTCCCAAGTACTTGGTGTGCTTTCGCATGTCCTTCAATTTGGCATTCAGCTGGGTTTGCACGTAAGCTTCTGCCTTTTTCGCAGCGTCATCCGTGCCCGCGGGATATTTCATGACCGCTCGCGATTGATATGCTTGCCGCCATCCTTTCAAAATGCCGGCAAGTTTTTGTTCTTCTTTGCTGGCTTTATTTGTGACGTAGAGGACAGGTAACCATGCGAGCCGGAAGATTGCGGCTGTCAGTGGGATAGAAAGGCCCCATGATAATCCACTCAGGGCGTGGACTTGTTGGAAGGCAGCCTCGGAAAGGTGTAGGGCTTCTGCGACTAAGTGGTTTGGTCTGGAAGAATGGAAAGGTCTCGCAAAGGGCGACCGCGGAGAGTGCGAGAGCGAGTGACAGACTCCAGCTCTAGGAGACGCATTCTGTACGCATCGTAGAGTCTGTCGCGATAGCATTGGCACTGGATATAGGTATCGTTATGTACTGCAATAGTGTGGTGGTCAATTCATTGCGGAGAAAATTGGCTGCGGACTGAAGTTGAGAGCTCGCGTCTCCGGATCACCGACCAGACCGGAGACGCGCGCATGCTACAGATCTGCGTCATTGTTGGCTGGAATCCAAGAGGATACCTGGTCGTATCCTCGCAGCACTTTGCGGCCGAAACCGTTCTTCTGTCCACCAAGAATCTTGGAAGCATGTCCCTCATTGAGCTGTGGTTTTCTTTGCAGCAATGGTCACTTCGTCCGTCGTGGCAGCTTTGGCCGTAGCGCCTATTTTGCCGCCGACCTTACTATTGCTCGCCCAATTGTCACTCCGCTGCCTGGGCTGGTTTCTGCAGGCCGTGTCCAAGGACAGAAGGGCTGCTATCATCTCTCGAGTACAGCATGATAGAGAAGCCGCACTGGGACTCCAACAACATCTCCAGCAAGAAGCTGAAGATGGGTGGGAGAACATTGAACAAGCGGGTATGGCTGAGAATGGCAAGCCCTCGCAAGATGAATGGGAAGGCATAGTAGGATTTTTCCACCCCTTTTGGTGAGTATGGCTTTTTATGCGATTTTCTACAATCCTCTGATTTTCGTTAGCAATGCTGGAGGTGGCGGTGAGAGGGTGCTCTGGGCTGCCATTGCTGCGACTCAGAAACGTTGGCCTAACGCCATCTGCACTGTCTACACTGGCGACCATGATATTGACCGGAGCGTCGTGGTAAACACAGTCAAGACTCGATTTGGCATCACCCTGCAAGAGCACTCTCTAGTTTTTTTATATTTGTCAAGACGTCGATACGTCCTTGCGAGCACCTGGCCTCAATTCACGTTACTTGGACAGTCTCTAGGATCTCTAATCCTTGCATATGATGCATTCCAGCTCCTTGTGCCCGATATCTTCATCGACACGATGGGGTACGCCTTTGCAGTGGCACTCTGCAAGTTCCTGTTCCCGAAAATCCCAACAGCAGCGTACGTGCACTACCCGACGATCTCTACCGACATGCTGGAGAGTCTGGACGATACGACTGGTACGCGAGGCATACACTCCGGTGCTGGCGCGGGATGGAGAGGCAAGGCTAAGCGAGCCTACTGGCATGTCTTTGCATGGCTTTACGGATGGGTTGGTCGGCAAATCGACGTGGTTATGTGCAACTCAACCTGGACTCAGGGTCATATCAAAAAGCTTTGGGGCTCGAAACGTGCATCCCCTTCGTTTGCAGCCATCGTCTATCCTCCTTGCCCGGTCGAGGAGTTGGAATCGAAGATTGAGGTGACTTGGAAAAGTGAGAGGCAAAGGGAGGACATCGTCCTATACATTGCACAGTTTCGACCGGAGAAGAACCATTCTCTCATCCTGCGAGCTTTCGCGAAGTTTTATCATTCAGCCAAACACAAACCTAGATTAGTCCTGATCGGCTCGGTACGCAGCAACACCCCAGACGAGAAGCACATATACAATCTACGACTCGAGGCGCGAGAGCTGAAGATCAAGGACTCTACAACGTTCATCTGCGATGCACCTTTCTCGGTGATTCTCGAATATCTTCAAAAGTCCAGCATCACCACGAATGGCATGTATTCAGAGCATTTTGGCATCGGAAATGTCGAAGGACTTGCGGCAGGCCTCATCCCTGTTGTCCACAACAGTGGTGGTCCAAAGCTGGACATCGTAGTTCCCTACGAGGGCAAGCCCATCGGCTTTCATGCTGAGACTGACGAAGACTTTGCGGCGGCTTTCGCGCGTGTGGCCTCTCTTGAGCCTCAAGAGCGGTTCGCCATGAGGGTCAGAGGTCGAGCAAGCACGAAGCGATTCACGGAGGCGGTCTTTGCCAGAAAGTGGGTTGAGGAAATGGAGACGCTTGTGAGAATGAGTCTGACCAAGGGCTAGCAGGTCTGGCCTTGGTGGAGGATTGTTGAGCATGGCTGTTATGACTTAGAAAGATGATACCCTTTGTTTTGGACATTGTCATTTTGTTCCGATGTTGCCCTGAACCCCGTGTGGAAGACGGGTCGTTCCAGCCTGAATTGCGCCTACACTGCGTAGAGCTTTGATTGGATCGTCTAACATCTTTGGGTTCTTACAGGTCCTTTTGGATGAAGCAAAATGAAAGCCCGTCCGGTTGACAAGGCTCCATAGAATGACACTACCCTTCACGTGATATACAAGGCATGCCAAGCTGCAGTCGCTGGCGGCAATCGCAGCCTTGTGGCGCCGTCGCAGCCTCTCTTTCAACTCTTACTCTTTGTTCACTTCAAGTTTGCGCCCCTTCATATCAAACCCTCTAACTGACAAGCTGCCATTCATCTACCCATCACTCTTCTTTTTTATCTAAAAGTCTCTTCTGCCGACCATCTCGATTTCTCATCGAAGTAGTCACTTCTGCCAATCCCGACCTTGGCTTCACCATGTCTCTCTGCCTCAATCGCCTCCAGGAGGAGAGGTGAGCTCGCTACTCCTCAGTCGTCAGGTTGCGCATTATCTCACAAATGACACAGGAAACAATGGCGTCGCGATCATCCGTTCGGCTTTTTCGCAAGACCCGTCCGAGGCGCCAACGGCGTCCTTGACCTCAAGAATTGGGAAGTGGGCATACCAGGGAAGGAAAAGACCATTTGGGAGGGTGGCCTGTTCAAGCTCACACTCTCGTTTCCGGATGAATACCCTACGAAGCCACCAAAATGTGAGACCAATCGGCCACGCATGCATAAGGAGCGTCTCTGACTGCTTTTAGGCAAATTCTCTCCCCCTCTTTTCCATCCAAATGTCTACCCTTCTGGCACAGTCTGTCTCTCGATCCTGAACGAAGAAGAAGGTTGGAAGCCAGCAATCACCATCAGGCAAATCCTCATCGGCATTCAAGACCTGCTCAATGATCCCAATCCCGAATCGCCAGCCCAAGCGGATGCATACAACCTGTTCAAGAAGGATCGGGCAGCATACGAACGAAAGATCAAAAGCGTAGTCAAAGAAAATCCCGCACCGTAAGAACAACGGACATCTAGCATTTGGGGAGTGGATGTTATTGGCAATGATACCGACGGGCATGAATTCATGATCAACATGTGCATTAGTTACGAGCGCGGCGTTGGACTGGCTTTCAGGACAGGACCTTTTAGAAGATTTGGGCAAGGAGGACTCTCTACCTGCAGAATGCGCATGAGATTGAACCTGATGCACTCCACGTGTTGGTGATCCAGAGGAACAACGTTTGCAAGGATTGGTGCCTCACTGGCTCAGTAAGGGCGTTCGATTATTTGCCTGAGGCTCGCGACGGCGGCGACAACGCCCAAAGAGTGAAAGCGTGGGGGGCTTGGATCAGACCCTCTGCATAAGGACGAGTGCGGGGATTCGGATATCTGCAGCAAAGGCGAGCGATATTGGGTAAGCTTGCAGTGGCTTGCCCAAAAGCTGCCCAAGAGCTTACAGGGGGAATATCATCCGCCATTCAGCTTGGACGTCTGTGTAAAGCCATCACAAGAGTCGCGTGCCGAATTCGCATCGGTGGAATCCCAGGTATCGGCCAGACACAAAAACGTCAGTTCTTCATCGAAGGCGAAAAGCCGTGCAAAAATTCAATTTGCTAGTCGTAATAATGTGAGGCGAACGAGGGGCGGCATCGGCCACTGATGCTCCACTGACAGTCACCCGATTTTCCTTATCTTTTGCTTCCAGACAGTGAGGGAATCGTGGTGAGGTGGGTTTGAAAGGGCTGAAGAATACAGCGTACCGGCGGGTGCTGTGGCGAGTCATAGTAGTCATGCCATCCACCTAGCAGGCTGGAACGGGCTTGGTGAAGTCTGGGTGAGAGAAGAACGTGTCCGAGTGTTGAGGAAATCTGATCTGACCTGAGGCCTTGAGTCATCCATCATCCCGCTCAGCACCAAAATTCTGGGTCCTGCGCCGCAGACATCTTTTTTATTTATCCCACGCCCACGCCCTCCCACACTTTCTCAGACCTTGCATACACAGTCACACCCTCTTCGTCCTTCAAGCAAGGAGATTTCGTGGGCAGCCATGTGTGGTATCTTTGCCTGCCACGGGTGAGTTCTGCTCGACCAACTGCATAGGCTGCTGTTCGCCTTACTGACACAACCACAGCCATCCGTCGATAGCCACCTTCAAGACCACTGCCCTGCAGTGCGTAAAATGCCTCCGACACCGTGGTCCTGACTGGTCAGGCAACTGGATCGGAAACAACACAATCCTCTGCCATGAGCGACTCAGTATCGTGGGTGTGGACACTGGCGCACAACCGCTGGTTAACGATGAGGGAACCATTGCTTTGGCTGTCAATGGCGAAATCTACAACCACCGAATCTTGCGCAAACAATTCGACACGCCCTACAACTTCAAAACCCATAGTGACTGTGAGGTTATTATCCCACTGTACATGCAATACGGGATAGACGCTCCGAAGCACCTGGACGGCATGTTCTCATTTGTTCTGTATGACAAGGAACAAGATCGAACCATTGCTGCACGCGATCCCATTGGCATTACTTCGTTCTACCTCGGTCGATCGAGTTCAACACCAGGCGCTGTCTTTTTTGCCTCTGAATTGAAAGCACTAGCTCCTGTTTGCGACAAGATCGAGGCTTTTCCGCCGGGCCATATCTACGACTCCAAGACGGACAAACTCCACAGATATTTTGAACCAACATGGTGGGATCCCGAAAAGGTTCCTTCCACGCCAGTCGACTACAAGCTACTCAGAAAGACACTAGAAAAATCCGTGCTGAAGCGACTTATGGCTGAGGTGCCTTATGGTGTGCTGCTGTCTGGTGGCCTCGACTCCAGTTTGGTGGCTTCCATTGCGCAGCGGGAGTCACTTCGTCAACGAGCACTCATCAACTCCCAGACCAACGGTTCTACCAACGGCACAATCAACGGTGACACACCCAAGACCGGCTCCAAGCTTGTCGGGATTGATGACGAGGACGAGTTGACTACTGTCACCTTCCTGCCTCAACTGCATTCCTTCTCTATTGGGCTACCAGATGCGCCGGACACGAAAGCAGCAATCGAAGTGGCCAAATTCCTAGGGACAAAGCATCATGATCTCACCTTCACCATTCAAGAAGGCCTAGATGCTTTGTCAGATGTCATTTACCATCTCGAAACCTACGATGTCACAACAATCCGCGCTTCGACACCAATGTATCTTCTTAGCAGAAAGATCAAGGCCATGGGGGTGAAGATGGTTCTGAGTGGTGAGGGAAGTGACGAGATATTTGGCGGCTACCTCTACTTCCATGCCGCTCCAAACAAAGAAGAGTTCCACAGAGAGACGGTCCGAAGAGTCAAGAACCTCCACCTGGCCGATTGTCTGCGTGCCAACAAGTCAACATCAGCGTGGGGTCTAGAGGCTCGAGTGCCTTTCTTGGACAAGCAGTTCCTCGAAGTGGCGATGAATGTCGACCCGGCCGAGAAGATGATCACGAAAGACAGGATCGAGAAGTATATCATTCGGAAAGCGTTCGACACGACCGATGAGCCTGAAACCAAGCCGTACCTGCCTGATCACATTTTGTGGCGGCAAAAAGAGCAGTTCAGTGATGGTGTTGGCTACGGCTGGATCGATGCTTTGAAGGACAATGCCGAGCTCAACGTGACGGACGAGATGATGAAGAACCCCAAACCAGAATGGGGCGACGACATCCCAGACAGCAAGGAGGCATATTGGTATCGGACAATGTTTGATCAGCATTTCCCGCCGTACTGCGCCTCGACGGTTATGAGATGGACTCCGACATGGTCCAAGCAGTCGGACCCTAGCGGAAGAGCCATAGCTACTCACGTTGCACGATATGAGAACGGTGTCAAGGCTGATTCATGAGAAATTGTATAGAATTGGGAGCAGCATCACCCGGAGTTGGGAATGGTTTCTGAGAGGCATTGATTTTGCCCCTTAAAAGCTTGCAAAGCTCGTGGGATACTGCTTTTCCTTGTAATTGCACATAGGCTGGGGAAATGAGAGTGCTGATATAGGCTGGACATTGACCGACAATAATGGAACACATACCTACCTACATAACTCGCAAATACCCTGGGACAATTGACATATTCCCCGTATTGAAACTCAATCCGATTGCTCCCTGCTTTTGCCGAAGCGATTCCTCAAGGGGAAGCGTTCCGCAGAACGACGTTGCTGAAACGTGCGAGTTGATTGGCTGGTCCGTTGGAGACGAAAACATTGCTTGAGCTTCAAGTTCCGTCTTGATTGAGACGCTTCATCTCGCAACCTGTCGCTTTCTCCTGAACTCACTTCTCGATTCCTTTGACTATCTATCTTCTTTTCGCACCCGACTGTCATCATGTCTGGCGTCCCAGTTCCCTTCAGCGATATCGCTAAGCCAGCGAACGATGTGAGAGGCTCTATCTTGGTTGCGATGCGGAATGACTGACCTATGTTACTCGCAGCTCCTCAACAAGGATTTCTACCACACCAGCGCTGCCAACCTCGAGGTCAAGTCCAAAGCACCTAACGGCGTTACGTATGATGTCTGAATATCCATTATCGATCTCAGTCTGATCGAGATTGCAGCTTCAATGTCAAGGGGAAATCTGCCCACGATGGACCTATTTCAGGCTCGGTGAGCACAACGATATCACAAAAATACGTCAGAATATCACATATTAACGGTAGAGGAAAGATTGAAGGGAAATACTCCGATAAGGCTGCTGGTACGGCTGTCCATCATTCGATCCTATCTTATCCTGGCAGTACCGCAGGCGGGCAGACACCTTGTCTCCAGCTGCGGAACTCCGAAGCTTCAGTTCTGCTTCCCTTCGTGCGTGGACGATAGCGGCTGACACGGATACGATAGGCCTCACGATTACAAACACATGGACCACCTCCAACAGCCTAGACTTCAAGGTCGAGCTGGAAGACAACCTGACCAAAGGCCTCAAAGCCGAGGTTTTGTCCAACTATCTCCCCGCGAAGAGCACCTACGGCGGCAAAGTGAACTTGTTCTACAAGCAGCCCAACATCCACACGCGCCTGTTCACCGACTTGTTCAAGGGCCCAACCGCGACCATGGACCTGACGCTCGGCCACGAGGGTTTCCTCATCGGCGCAGAAGGTGGATACGACGTTGGCAAGGCGGCCATCACGCGCTACGCCCTCGCTGCGGGATACAGCCAGGGTAGCTATGCTGCGGCCGTGACTGCGACGAACAACCTCAGCGTGTTCTCGGCCAGTTACTATCACAAGGTCAACACGGAGGTTGAGGCTGGTGCGAAGGCTACCTGGGACTCGACTGCAGGCAGCAACGTCGGATTGGAGGTCGCCACCAAGTACAAGCTTGATCCCAGTTCTTTTGCAAAGGTATGACCATCTGACACCTATTTTTGCCGTTCCCTCATCACCTCCATTCCATCCCCTCCTCACTCTTCCCCTGCTGGGCGGTCGCGAGGGGAATGAGCGAAGGACAGCAACGGGAAGGACAGGCCGGCTGACAAAAGACGATACAGGCCAAGATTAACGACCGCGGTATCGCAGCTCTGGCATACAACGTCAAACTCGGCACCGGTGTGACTCTCGGCCTCGGCGCGAGCTTGGACACGCAGAACCTCAACCAGGCGGCTCACAAGGTTGGTGCGTCTTTTACTTTCGAGGGTTAGACGTACCGTCCTCAATTTCACTGTATCCCCAAAGCAGCACCACCGAGGGAGGGCTCAGATTGTACAGAAGAGAAACAGGAGCATAGAAGAAGGCATTCAGCAGAGATATCCATCTAGTTGGCGTAAGCTGCGTGGTCACTACGGATGAGGATCGTCAAACTACGCGTTGATCGGAATCGAACAGATCCTGGCAATTTTGTAAATCCATCTCTGCAAGTGCTGCTTCTCATTCTGTTTTCCCATCAATATTCGGTCTTCTACCCTCGGTGGTTTCTTCCGTTTACCCCTATATTCGTTCGTCTATTGTTCGAAGCGGTGATAGGGCGTCCCACGCGACACAGCAGGGTATCACCCTGTCCTCGCTTCTCCTGCCGTTATATTCATGACATTGAATGGTCCTGCAGTGCTACGTTGTATTGGATTGTCCGTGGAGTCGTCCCATAAAATTGATAACGCTTGTGCGGGCTCTCGAGGGAGCACACGTGTAGCTCCTTGCGCCCCGGCATCCCAGTCCAACTTTCTGAGGACCAGTGCGTGACTAGATTTGCGGTATTGTTTTGATTTATCTCAAGCTTTTGTCCAGTCATTCCTGGGCCCGTCCCTTCGACTCCCATCTGCCCTGGTAAGGCCACCTCGCGGCGCATTCGCCATGCTCACGACGATCGTGCCCACGGAGACACTGGCAACAATAATTGCCGAGACAATGATGAACCGACCCCAGAAATTGTCCTCCTCAGCGGCGGCCGCTCGCAACGCTGCTAATTCTGCAGCGCGGCGGTTCGCACGACGGTAGTCCTCGTGCGTTTGCGTCTTGTATGTACTTTGTGGGTCGAAGCCGGCAAATGCTGGGTCTGTGTCGGTATAGGCGCCCGCATTGAACGTACCTGCTTGGTATGGGCCCGGACCAGCTTCGGCGTGTGCTTGTGCTTGTGCGGTGGTGTTCGGCGAGGGTTTGCCGTGCGCATAGAATGATGGCGGCGGTCCTTTGAAGACGCTGCGACGTCTGGAGAGGCCTGTTGCAGGGCGGTGGCCTGCGTAGGTCTTGCGAGCGGCATGAGAGTGCGAGTGAGAGTGAGGGTGATGAGCCCGGTGCGAATGGTGGACATGGAAGACATCCCGGTCGTAGCGTTTGCGTTTTTCCGGGTTCGCGAGGACGGCATAGGATTCGCTTATCTCGGCGAAGCGTTCGCCTGCCTTGGGGTCATTGCGGTTGCGGTCTGGGTGGGTTTCTTTAGAGAGCACGTAGAATTGTTTCTTGAGTTCGGAAGGGGTGGCGTCATGGTGGATGCGGAGGACTTCGTAGTGGTTTGGAGGCGTGGAGGAGGACCGGCATATAGACGTCTGCGAGAAGTATCTAAAGTGGCTGCAGCGCGGTCGGGAGCATACGAGGCGGAGGCTGAGTTCAGGGAGCAGCAGTGTGGCAGGAGGGATTCGAGATGCGCAGGTTGGGTCAAGAAGGAGGATGGAAGACTTTATAGAGGAGAGGCGGAGAGCCGAGAGGGAAGAGAGAGACGCCGGGCGAGGGATCATCCCTCATACTTGTAGCAGCCTGGAACTCTGGGTTTGTATAGATAGGAATGGTTTGAGGATTGAGATGAGAGCACTGTCTTTGGTTGCTCGAGATAGAGAATGATGGAGCGTGACGTCTTTCAATTTTGGGAGTTCAGAGTTGCCATCCGAAAATCATTGGTGGATTCAAGTGGCAGCGATCCGAGCCCGCTTTGGAGCCTACGCCGGAAGAAAAAGGCGGCAACAGCCTCGCACTCGAACATTTTCTCTATTTATCCACCTTGAGGACTTCCCCGACTATTGCTCGTCGAAGTGTACGAGTCCGAGTATGGCAGCCAAGACGGCAGACGAGCTCTCAAAGCTCGCCCTTAACGGCGCTGCCACCACAAAATCCAACCCACAAATCAACGGCACAAACGGCGTCAACGGTCACCTCTCAGATCCGGACGACTCGGACGATGACAAAGATGACGATGCCACCGCAACTGGTGGTGCCGGCAACACCGCCAGTGGCGCCGCAAAGAAGAAGAAAAAGAAGAAGCCCAACAAGAAGAAGAAGGCCGGTGCCGCCAAGGTTCAGTCCGACCCTCCTCGTGTGCTTGTCAGCCAACTATTTCCCAACGAATACCCTGTTGGCGAAGAAGTAGAGTACAAGAACGACAACGCCTACCGCACGACCAACGAAGAAAAGCGCCATCTCGACCGCATGAACAATGACTTCCTACAGGAATATCGTAAGGGCGCGGAAGTCCACCGTCAGGTGCGCAAGTGGGCGCAGGCGAATGTCAAGCCGGGCATGACCCTCACCGAGATTGCGGAGGGCATCGAGAACGGCACCCGGGCACTCACAGGACATTGGGGCCTGGAAGAGGGTGACAACATCAAAGGAGGCGTGGGATTCCCCACAGGCCTGAGCATAAATCACATTGCGGCGCATTACACGCCCAACGCAGGGAACAAGTGGGTGCTCGGAGAGCAGGATGTCATGAAGGTCGATTTCGGCGTGCATGTGAACGGACGTATTGTCGATTCGGCCTTCACCATGTCGTTCGACCCGAAGTACGATAATCTCCTAGCTGCGGTCAAGGATGCGACAAACACGGGCATTCGTGAGGCCGGTATTGATGTAAGAGTGTGTGATATCGGCGCCGCCATCCAAGAGGCCATGGAGTCGTATGAAGTCGAACTTGATGGGAAGACGTACCCTGTTAAATCCATTAGGAATTTGAACGGGCATGATATTGTCCAGCATAGTATTCACGGTGGCAAGTCCGTGCCGATCGTGAAAGGCGGTGATCAGACCAAAATGGAAGAGGGCGAGATCTTTGCCATCGAGACCTTCGGAAGTACGGGGCGTGGCTACGTCGTGGATGATCTCGAGGTATCACATTATGCGTTACGGCCGGATGCCCCGAATACTGCCTTGCGAGTTCAGTCGGCGAGGTCGCTGCTGAATGTCATCAAGAAGAATTTCGGGACCATTCCGTTCTGTCGGCGATATTTGGACAGGCTGGGCCAGGAGAAATATCTGCTCGGACTGAATAACTTGGTCCAGTCCGGCATTGTCGAAGCATATCCGCCATTGGTGGATACCAAGGGCAGTTATACTGCTCAGTTTGAGCATACAATTTTGCTCAGACCAACAGTTAAGGAGGTGGTCAGTCGTGGTGAGGATTACTAGATTCCTTGACGGTCGGACACTGGTCACGATCGCGAAATCGAGCTTGGACTTGGACTGGTTCACACAACGCTTCGCGGACCGCTGAGGTTCCTTGCAGATGGAAACATCCAAGGGGTCGTAGCAGTGGCGAGCGCAGGTGCGAAGGGCACGTTATCTGGAGAGATCAGTTTCTTGCCTGCGCTTTCTGATATGATGAATTTTGATGAAATGCTATCGTCGTGGTCACATGTAAACGTTTGCATTCCCGGATTTGACGCGTTCTGCTCCCTGTATTCATTTGTGATTGACGCTGTCATTGGGACATAGGCTGCTAGAAGTCTACTCGTACACCCGTCGATGTCGGCCCATTCGCTGCTCTTGAGCTATCATGTCCAACGTTGCTAGTTGCGACATTCTTGGTCAATCAGGCTGTAACGGACGTCCCGGCCAGAAGTCAGACTCCTTATATGCCGGGACTCCATGCTAGGGACCAACAATGCCTACACAGGGGTTCCTGTACATATGAGCCCACTCAACAAGACATCTCCAGTCCTTGACTTCCTATGGTCGACTGCACATTGAGCGAAGACGGAGCCATCGAAGTATGTTTGAGGAAAGGCTTCAAGGCAACTCTGCCGAGTATCAGGTGATCATTGATCAAGTTCTTGGCAAAGCCTCGCCCTAGATTCTTTAGCCGATTTTATGGGGTACGAGTTCTGGAAGACTCATATTTTCAGAAAACTTCAGGTTCAGCTACTCTGGAATTTGAACGCTAGTTAAGGAGATCGGAGCTGCTGTCTACAACGGAGGGCTGGCAGAAGCTATTGGCAAGCTAAAAAGGAAATACGAAGCTCAGAACGTCCGGATCCTTGTGCAGTCGTCGGCGCCCTAGCCGGAGTCACCAAACATGTCTACATTTGGAAAATATTTTCGGGTCACCACCTATGGCGAGTCCCACTGCCGCTCTGTTGGCTGTATTGTCGACGGATGCCCTCCTGGAATGCAATTGACGGAGGATGACATCCAACCTCAAATGACTCGGCGCAGACCAGGCCAGTCTGCATTGACTACTCCGAGAAACGAGAAAGACCGAGTTGAGATTCAATCAGGAACCGAGTTCGGTGTCACGTTAGGCACTCCTATTGGCCTTGTAGTACGGAACGAAGATCAAAGACCAAAGGACTATGGTGGAAGTACCATGGATCTCTACCCTCGACCCAGCCACGCCGACTTCACCTACCTGGAAAAGTATGGCGTCAAGGCAAGTAGTGGCGGAGGCAGAAGCAGCGCCAGAGAAACCATTGGTAAGTCTTTGCACAAGTTTGGTGCCCAGCACTGACCCCATGCAGGCAGAGTGGCAGCGGGTGCTATTGCAGAAAAATATCTGTCGTTAGCACATGGTGTCGAGATTGTCGCCTTCGTGTCTTCTGTGGGATCAGAGCATCTTTTCCCGCCCACGCCTTCTCATCCGACGCCTGCAACGAATCCAGATTTCCTTTCACTAATATCAAAGATCACTAGACTAGATGTCGACACTTTCGTTCCGGTACGATGTCCTGATGCAGGTGCTACACAACGCATGACGAAGGTGATCGAAAAGTATCGGGACGCCAGTGACAGTATTGGAGGGACAGTGACATGCGTGATTCGAAATTGCCCCATTGGACTCGGGGAACCGTGTTTCGACAAGCTCGAAGCCGAACTCGCCCATGCCATGCTGAGTATACCAGCTACCAAAGGCTTCGAGATTGGTTCCGGATTCGGGGGTTGCGAAGTGCCAGGGTCGATTCATAACGACCCCTTCATTGTGGAAGTACAAGAATCAGGCGATACAAAGAGCAGACTGACAACCAAAACAAACAATTCGGGTGGCATTCAAGGCGGCATTTCGAATGGACAGCCCATCTATTTCCGAGTTGCGTTCAAGCCTCCTGCTACGATTGGCCAGGCACAACAGACAGTCAGGTTCGACGGTGAGGAAGGCGTCCTGGAAGCCAAAGGCCGGCACGATCCTTGCGTTGTACCTCGAGCCGTGCCTATCGTGGAAGCTATGTCGGCTTTGGTGCTTATGGACGCACTCATTCCTCAGTTGGCCCGAGAGACCGCCAGGAGCTCGTTACCGCCTTTGAAGACGACATTGCCGGCGAAGGAAACAGGCACAGCGGCAGACTCGAAGAAAGTTGGTCGACATTTACAGGCCGCTGCGAGCAATGGAACCAACTAATTTAGTGTCGCTTGCGACTTCAAAAGGGAGATGTAGCTGTTCTGCATAAGCGCGGACGTCGGGATCTCAAACTGGTGGTATAAATGTGTCTCGCTGTACGCCTGTGAATATTCTATCAAGTATGGCGCCGCGAGCCTTCTCCATGCCATCAAAGACAAATTACTGCCGCAAAATAGAAGGTCTTTGAAGGAGATCGTATCAAATGCTTCACATGTTTGACTTGGCGGCCCCTGCGTATCTGCCCTTGCTGCATCCACTGCATCTTACCTCGTTGTCGTGGCAACCTTGAAATCAATATATGCACAGATTCGTATTTCCTGCCCCAGACCCTTTGGCGCGCAAAGATGGCGCAAGATTCGTCTTGCGGCTCGAGATGACCATTGGATGTAATCGATAAGGGCGTCAAACTCTGCGCAACGGTCGTCGCCTGGAAACCCTGGTTCCATTCTGGTGTTCAGCGTGGCTGGCGACTATCCCGCGTCTGTTTACAATCCTTGCACACCACACTCAACCTGCCCCGCGACGAAGTACCGCCGCCAGCCTCCAGATGGCTCAGTCTCTGCAGAACCTTTGTTCGAGACTGTAAAAGCGACTGGATCCCACTCCTTTTGACAAGTGCAAACTGATCAATTCGGCGTACCGGCAGGCCGCAGATGGGTTTGCTCGTCAGTTCAGACTGTAATCACGCATTGCGATGACTTGACGACGACCATCGAGCTATGTTACTATCACTCCTCCTGCTTCCCGCTGGTCTCTTGACCTCCGTTACACCTGTGTCTGCACAACTTCCATACAATCCGACACGGATTATCCCAACGAAGAATGGCTCCGTCGCATACGCCTTCTCACCGCAGCCATCGTCCTCCCAATTCTCGCTGTACTCATTAGATGTTTCCGACCGACTCAATTCTACCTCGGCCAAGCATCAGCTTTCGCAGACCCTCCCATTCTTGTCAGAATCCGCCTCGAAACCATTCATAGCAATACATGACGATGAGGGCATCACGGTGTTGGCAGGAGATTGCAAAGACAATACAAAGGACATAGGCTTGTGGAGATACGCAACGAATACTAGTGGCGAGGACGGCACCTGGTCACAATTACCACTTTCTACCAGTGACGACTCCCTGAGACCGAAATATCTCTCAGCTGGTTTCTCATTTTCTCCTTCCGATTCTACCAAGGATGTGTCCTTGTACGTTTTTGGCGGGATGTGCCCGGATGTGGCTTCCCCAGATGCGACTGACTGGACCTCGAATGCCACATATTCGAATACTATGCTGACTCTGGCACCGAACTCAGGGTCTTTGGCTACCTCACCATATCACTTGTCATTGACCGGCGCAAGAGCGCCTCCTATCGCGGAAGCCGGACTGACAATAACACCCCTCAACCCGACCTTTTCGAATACATCGGACACGAATGTATCACAACAACAAAACTTTGTTCTACTCGGCGGCCATACTCAGACCGCCTTCATAAACATGTCCCAGCTGGCTATATTTGCCTTACCGCAAGAGTCGTGGGCATTCGTTGGGGTGTCGCGGACGTCGAGTGCGGGAGCTGGCAAGTTGAAAGTGAGAGACTCGACCACCATCGAGCCTCGATCGGGCCACACCGCCGTCTTGACAGAGGACGGCTCTAGAATTATTGTGCTAGGGGGCTGGGTAGGAGACGTTTCGGCTCCAGCCCTGCCGCAGCTGATCATACTGGAAGTCGGCCAAGGCTATGGTGGTCAAGGTGACTGGATGTGGACCGTGCCATCTACGACTTCAGATCCTTTCTCGTCGGTAGCCGGTATCTACGGACATGGAGCTACACTACTGCCAGGTGGAGTTATGATGGTCCTGGGGGGTTATACTATCGATTCATCTGGGTCGAGCCGGAAACGTGACCTCTCTGAAGGTCTTTGGTTCCTGAACACCAGCACCATGGCGTGGTCCAACGAATACACCAACCCCTATCCGCCCGGGTCGACTCTGGCTGCGGTAAGCGCAGACGCATCTTCATCAGGATTGAGGCCAGCCGAGAAAGCTGGGCTGGGTGCTGGTCTTGGTCTTGGGCTAGCAGCCGCTGCTGGGGTTGCTATAGTCTGGCTTCTTTATTCGCGCAAACTGCATAGGAAGCGGGTTATCAGGGAGAAGGAGCTGCGCGAGCAGGCTTTGGGCAGTCGATTTCAATCCCCAAGCCCACCACACGGCGAAGATCAAAAGTCTCCTGGATTTCGTTCCGCCAGCTGGGGTGAAATGCAAGAACGGCATATCGAGAGCTCGGGCAATCCCTTCCCCTGGGCTCCGGTCGTTGCGCCGGGCGGTGATGGAAGGCTTCAAATGCCTCCTAATACCACGGATAGTAACTATTCACGGTATGCCGAGCGTACCGGAGTGTTGATGGAGGTACCGAGTCCCACTCGAGGCTTGAGGAGAAGTCTAAGCAACAGAGCGCCCGCCGGATTTGGGCCCTTCACCCAGCACCCTCCCACAGGTGTTCCGGGTCCTGTCTTCCGCATCGACGAAGAGGACGAGACCAGTCAGGTGGGCTCGGCAAGGCGGACCAAGAAATATCAAATCGAAGGAGACGGCAACTCTGTAAAGAGCGACCCTTTCAAGGACCCTCCTGTGACCACCGAAAACGCCGCTTCACAGCGCAAGAAAGAAGTTGAAGGCTGGGTAGAGGATTGGCAATCAGCTGCAGAGTCCATGAGCGTGTCAAGGAGCACAAGTCAAGCCTACAGCAGAACTCATTCGAATCTGTCGCAATTACGCCCACCAACTACTGGCGGAGACCACTCCGGACGAGGCTCGCCAGAAAAGTCAGATCGTACGGGAAGCAACTTGTCTGAAAGCAGTGCTTTTACCACTGCCTCTTTCCAACGATCCATGTCCAGCACAATATCCCGAAATGTGTCTCAACGGAGCGTCAGCGCGGGTTACGCACTCTTTGCGGGTGCTGCAGCTGCCATGGGTAAATTTGGAACTCCTCGACAAGGGCAGAACGAAGCTCAAAATGTGGGTGGGCTTTCCCGAGCACCATCCAACCGCAGCGTCTCGCTAAATACAGATTCTGCCGGGCGTCCCAATGCGAATGAGGGAGCGGACAGATATGCATTTGCCCGCGAGAACCCCTGGGGCCATGTGGTTGCAGGTGAAAACCAAGCTCTACTAAGTGCTAGAGACAAGCGTCAAGATGATCGATATTACAAGACGCTGGTGGAAAACCCTGTCAGGGCCAAATACGGCAGGGCGGGCAGTCTTCCTACCCCTACCCGAAGAGCAATGAACCTGCTGGGCAGCATGAGGCGCGTCTTCACGGGGACTGGCAATGTCGACGTTCAAGACCGCGTGAACACTCTTGAAGACACGAGGGGTCATTCTAACTCGACGAAGCAGCCTGAAATGACAGAGGCCGCCCCAAGCAGAACCCTAAGCTCAGGAGCCCCTTTCTGGAGAGGCAAACGAGGTGCCAAGGACTGGGATGACAATATGCCTGGGCAAAGTGAAGCTGGATCCTCGATCCGAAGGAAACCAGTCCCAGGAGTGGTGGTGAACGACATTGATGGAGATTTGGGAGACGACGAAGATTGGGACGTTGAAACTGCTGTGCAGAAGCGAGTGGTCCAGGTCATGTTTACTGTCCCAAAGGAAAAACTGCGCGTTGTCAATGCCGACGCGTTGAGTCTGCTGAGTAGCAATAGAAGCGAGGCGGATCATGAAGAGGACAAGGAGCAAGATCAAATCAAGAGGATGAGTAGCGTGAGGGAGGGGGATGATGAAGATAACGACCCTGATGACTCCACGAGGAAGGGAAAAGGAAAGGAACAGGACTACTGACTGGCTGGTGAGAGGATGTGCAAAAGACGCTTGATTATATTCTTGTAACTAACTTCTCTCTCTGTTTTGGCCCATGAGATTTAGAGCCGATCTTGGAGTGGCAATCTGCTTTTTTATCGGATTTTGATGGGCATCTCTGTATGGCCGAGCGATGGTGCTGAGTGCTTGGATATGTACAATTGATATATGTCGTTAGATTTCTGAAATTGCGTATCCTTTGCATTTGTCAGCCAAGTTATGGTTGCTTGCAGGCGCGTAGTGGTAACATTCTGAGATCGGCCTATGGATCGAGAGAAAGCTGAGTCCAGGCGGCACCGTCACACCCCAGCGCCGAAGAACTACAGTTATGCTGCCGCATTGCTTACCGTGGCACTTTGGGATGGTCTCGAATGTAGTGGATGGATGGCTGGTCAAAGGCTTTGAGGTGGTGGAAGCAGAAAGCCGAGCCCAGGTTGCCGAAAGAGATTTATTTTGTCTGACTGAGGGTATTGGGACGAGTAATCACGTGAATAAGAGAGATCTGTGAGGATCACGGAGGATCTAGGTGGGCTTGGCCTTGTCAGACATGCTCCCGTCGCAGATTAAATCTGTGGAATGACGCAGTGGCGACATGCGTGACATTGAGGGGCCAGTCGTTCATTAAGACGCGAGAACGCGTACTAAATGGGTCTCTCGAGGCGCGTTCCTGCATATAATTGTTTTGTGATCCTGCCCTCTGCTTTGTTTCTCACTCATCTATCCCACACTCGGTTCCTGCTGCCTGCGTTCCTACAGCGACAACTCGTCAACAGAGACTACATAAAAAGGAGCGTTGTGGTTTGACCGTGCTTTCAATCATCCCTTCTCCTGCTTGCCACCCTATCTTCGTTGGCATTGGACTGTTGAAGAGCAGTTCTCTCGAACACCATCATGTTCGTCTTCAAGCGAGGTGAGAGCTCTTCCTTCTGGCTGCTATACTCCGCAAGGCACGCTCACAGCGGCTGCGGACTTCGGCTTTGCAAAGACTTTCTCGCTAACAAACTTTTTCAGACGGACGCAAAGAACGCGTACAATTCGACAAGATCACAGCTCGTGTCTCGAGGTTGTGCTATGGCCTCGATCCCGAACATGTGGATGCAGCAGCTATCACCCAGAAGGTGATTTCTGGTGTCTATCAAGGTGTCACTACCATTGAGCTCGACAATCTCGTCAGTTGCCCCATCTGGCTGTTGCTGTTGTGTAGACTAACCTCGACCTAGGCCGCAGAGACTGCAGCCTACATGACCGTCACTCACCCTGACTATGCCATCCTAGCAGCACGTATTGCTGTCTCCAACCTCCACAAGCAGACCAAGAAGCAATTCTCCTCGGTCGTTTCAGATCTTTACTATTATATCAACCCCAAGAACCAGAAGCCGTCTCCCATGATCTCGAAAGAGACCTTCGAGTGCGTCATGAGACATGCCGATGAGCTGAACTCGGCCATCGTATACGACCGAGACTTCAACTACAACTATTTTGGCTTCAAGACGTTGGAAAGATCATATCTGCTGAAGATTGGCAAGCAAGTTGCTGAGCGACCACAACACATGCTCATGCGTGTCTCTGTGGGCATCCACGGTGATGATGTCGATAAGGTGCTTGAGACGTACCACCTCATGTCTCAGAAGTGCTTCACTCATGCCTCGCCAACCTTGTTCAACGCCGGAACACCTCAACCTCAACTGTCGTCATGCTTCCTGATCGACATGAAGTCCGACAGCATTGAGGGTATCTACGATACGCTGAAGACTTGTGCTATGATCTCCAAGACTGCTGGCGGTATCGGTTTGAATGCTCACTGCATTCGTGCCACCGGATCATACATTGCCGGCACTAATGGCACGTCGAATGGCCTCATCCCCATGCTTCGTGTCTTCAACAACACTGCCCGCTATGTTGACCAGGGTGGCAACAAGCGCCCCGGTGCTTTTGCCATCTACCTTGAGCCCTGGCACGCTGATGTTTTTGACTTCTTGAACCTGAGAAAGAATCACGGCAAAGAAGAAGTCCGTGCCCGTGATCTGTTCTATGCTCTCTGGACTCCTGACCTGTTCATGAGCCGCGTCGAGAAGAACCAAGACTGGACCCTCTTCTGCCCTCATGAGGCACCGGGTCTTGCTGATGTCTATGGCGAGGAGTTTGAGGCTCTCTACGAGCGATATGAAAAGGAGGGACGTGGTCGCCAGACCATCAAGGCTCAGAAATTGTGGTATGCTATTCTTGAAGCACAAACCGAGACCGGTACTCCGTATATGCTTTACAAGGATGCATGCAACAAGAAGAGCAACCAGAAGAACCTGGGGACAATTCGGAGCTCAAATCTTTGCACCGAAATCGTCGAGTACACTGCGCCAGACGAGGTTGCTGTCTGCAATCTTGCTTCGCTGGCCCTGCCGACCTTTGTCGACCAAGCCCGCGGTGAATATGACTTCGGTCGTCTCCACGAGGTTACTCAAGTCGTCACCCGCAACTTGAACAAAATTATCGACATCAACTACTATCCTGTTCCCGAGGCCAAGAACAGCAACATGCGACACCGACCAATTGGTCTCGGTGTACAAGGTCTGGCAGATGCTTTCCTTGCCCTTCGTCTGCCTTTTGACTCGCCGGAAGCCCGACAGCTCAACATCCAGATCTTCGAGACCATCTATCACGCCGCCTTGACAGCCTCATGCGAGCTCGCCAAGGAGCAAGGCCCTTATCAGACATATGAGGGCAGTCCAGTCTCCCAAGGCGTCCTTCAATATGATATGTGGAATGTTACTCCGACAGACCTGTGGGACTGGGACAGCCTGAAGGCTGAAATTGCAAAGCATGGTGTCCGCAACTCTCTTCTTGTTGCTCCCATGCCCACTGCATCCACATCTCAGATCTTGGGTAACAACGAATGCTTCGAGCCATACACGTCAAACATCTACTCTCGACGTGTCTTGGCTGGCGAATTCCAAATCGTCAATCCATGGTTGCTGAAGGATTTAGTTGACCTTGGTCTTTGGTCCGACAACATGAAGAACCGTATCATTTCTGACGGTGGTTCGATTCAGAACATTCCCAACATCCCGGCCGACCTCAAGGCTCTCTACAAGACTGTCTGGGAAATCAGTCAGCGCAATATTCTACAGATGGCTGCCGACCGTGGTGCTTTCATTGACCAGTCTCAATCCCTCAACATTCACTTGAAGGAGCCAACTATGGGCAAGATCACATCCATGCACTTTGCCGGCTGGAAGATGGGCTTGAAGACTGGCATGTACTACCTCCGTACAATGGCTGCCAGCGCACCCATTCAGTTCACCGTCGACCAGGAACAACTCAAGGTCGCTGACACCAATGTTGCACGGGAACGTAGCATGCCCAAGAAGCGCACCTCAGTCGGTTACGGACAGAGCTACACCACTTCTAGCGTGCGTCCCATGTATGCATCCAAGACTTCCAACTTCAACGGTGGAGCAACCTCCATGAACGGCATCCCAACTCCTACATCCACGCCTCCACCAAGCGAGGAGAAGCAGCTTGCCAACAAACTGGCCCGCAGTCGTCTCAGCGATGGTGCCAGCAGCGGAGAGCCCAGTCCCAAGGTCTTGCCCACCGACCCCATCGGCGCGCCTGTTGTTGAGGAGAGTCTTGAGGACAGAGCGGCCACCAAGGCTCTTCAAGAAGAGGATAAGGACAGTGATTCGGAAGAGCGCGAGGGTGATATCTATGCACAGAAGGTGCTGCAGTGTAAGTTCTCCCTGTCCTTTCACAGCCTGAGACTAAACTAATATCCTTGACAGGCTCTATCGAGAACAAGGAGGCATGCGTGATGTGCAGTGGTTAAATTCTCCTTGGCTTGTAGTGCTGTTATTGGTAGTGGTATTGTTGGATCGCGTAAAAGGGACGCATGTGGGCATCAGCACAGGTGAATATTTCTGCTCTGGAGTTGACGGCTTTTCTGTACAGAGCTTGAGACGGAGTTCTGGTACGGGATGATCGTCGCATGGGCACACAGCATTGGATGGATGTAGTAATGAAACTTTTCCCTATTTCATTGACAGTTTGGCTAGACCTGTCTTGACGAGGTATTCTTGCCTCGACTTGATAGGATATGTACGAAAAATATCGAAGAATTCAAGTACGTATTGTGATGGTTGGTCAAAGAAAAAGATTCGGCCAGAAGGAAACAAAGACCTTAGCGCTCATTGTACGTCGTTCAAAATATGTATTTCAATCCATGCGAGTCAAAAAACCACGCAGCACAAAGCCCCTTCAATTCGGTTCGGCTGCTAGCAACAGCTACATCATAATATTGTTCATGCAGCCCAGTGGGTTGTTCTCGCATCTAGAATTGGGCTTCCTAGCTCTGCTTCCAGCTCCTTCAGCGTCGTCCTACCCGTGATCAGATATGCGCCCGATTTTCTCCCCATTGAAGGCGACGCTCGCCTCCTAACGACCTCATCTTGGTGTGGTGTGAGTCAAAGTGATGAGAACCTGGTTGTGTGCTTCGCCTGGCATCCACTGCGGCGATTTGAGTGGAAGAACTTTCTTAAGTCAAGTGCGAATTACACGCTGGCGCCGAGTATCAATATTCGTTGGCAGTACGCAATGATCAACCTTGGCAGGGAAAGGCATGGTCATGGTATCTGGTGTTCATGCAAAGCGCAATTTCCCAAGGGGCTGGGCATTGCCATCACGCCGGAGCGGGTGGTAGAATGCTCCGAAAACTCCTCCAACACCTTGCAAATGATCCAGTCGTGCGTTAAAACAGAGTATGTATGGGCTTATGTCCCTTGTTCGTGGCGTTCCTTCTTCAACTGTCCACCTCTATCTTGTGAACGGTGGATGAGGCTCTGCAGCCACTCATAGGTGAGCATCGTCGTCATGGCGGCTGGGACAGCTCGGATAAGATTCGTGCCAATACCTGCGTAGAACGCTCGCCATCCTTCTTCTTTCAGAATGACCTTGCACATGTGAAGAATGCCGGTGTAACGTGCTTTGGCTGCGAGGCCATCCGAGGTTGTAATCCCAGATTTGCGTTGTTGAGTCTGAAGCCGAGTACGTAGCACTTCGTGAGGGTATGTCGCCGTGCTGGCGCAGACCTTGCTCAGAAAGGTGGCAGCTGAGATGCCAATCCAGTTTGCGCTACTGTCTTCCACTGGATGTTCACCTATGCCGAAGCCGGTGAATTTCATCTTGAAGTATTCGTACAAGGGAAATTGTACCGCAACATGCGTCAGGCCCAACAGGGCAGGTGTCAGGCCCGAATAGAACGACCTGATGCCTTCACTGCGGTACATTTTGCGTGCAGCATCAAACGTTGAAGTGTAATAGTAGGGCGCACGCATGCCGTCACTAGCAGCTTTCGCACTTTGTGTCATGAATCGGGTCTTGATGACCCATATCGGGTTTGTCAGAATTGTCGAACAGGCACCTGCGGTCAAGGAAGAGTAGCAACGAGCTACCCACCAACTTCCGCACTGATCAAACCAAAACTCTCTTGTGTTCTCATACACGGTCAGATAGACCGCCCATGTTGGTAGATAACCCAGCAACATGGGGCCTAAACCCCGGTACATCCCGCGCACCCCTTCTTCCCGCCATATCACGCGAGCTGTGCCCACGATGCCTCTGTAGAGATGATGAGATGCTTGTGGGTTTCTATTGAAACTCGTCTGGAAGCCCCCTTGTGCCTGTAATTTTGTCTTTATCACATCCAGTGGGCAGGTGACGATACCCGAAGCGAAGCCTGCTCCAGCACCGCATATTGGACTGATCCACGCCTTCGGAATTTGTGTCGACTGTATCTGTAATCGGGCGACGAGGGAGTCTCTCGGAGGACTCGTAGGCATTGTATTGTAGTTTCTGGAGGAGGATGGATCGTCGGTTGGGATAGCATATTGGTTGGGCGACAAGATAGCTGGAGTTTGTTCCGGATCTCGTTCAAAGGACATTCTTTGAGAGCTGTTGTGAGGTCAAGAGGACAGGAGCGCATATGACGTGCTCATGGCGAGGTAGGACAAGGTCGGTTCAGATTTAGTATATTGTGGTACAGAAGGCAGTTCGCTGGGAGCAAGTTCTCAAGTTCCCTGCGTTGCCCCGTCTCTTCGGTGTCGTGGAACTGCGGGGTCTGGCCGAAGCCAAAGTGCCCTGTCAGCGATTGATAAAGGCCATGGAACAGATGACAAGGCACGATCAGTCGAAGCTGAAACAGAAGACAAGATGAAGTCTAGGCAGATTGTGCTCTTCAATGTGAATTGGGGCGACTCTGATTGAAGTGACCAACAAGTAATGCTGGGGGAGATATGATGAAAGTGGGCGAATACGAACAAAGCAATCCGTCGGTCAAGCTTCCAAGCAGGGAAGATTTGACGACGAAGCAGGAGCAGATGCGGTGGGCAGGCTGGGCAATGGTGATATGTCACGTGCTCCACCATTTGCCCTGTTTGTTTTGTTTGTCCTATTTATTCTGTTTACGCTGTTTGTTTTGTTTGCTCGGTTTGTCGTGTTTTGCTATATTCGCTTCCGTCACCGTTCTTAGCATTCATGTCCAACACTTGTCATCAAATGATCTGTTCACAAGGCTCACCCAAAGGGTAATGGTGGGAAGTCGGCAAGGGCGAGACAAGGAACCTCTCGAGTCCCGATACAAGTTGCAGAGTACTTGGCATATCAACACCTCGGTCTTCGATACAGTCGGTAGATGCATCGACGCCTGCTGTCCGCATAAACGATGTCCCTATCCAATGACAACGTGCCCGGCTTTAGGGGAACAAAGGCATGCTTTCCGTGGTACCCGTAAACACTATTGCGGGGGTACTTTTACTATCCCCAGAGTCTCTACCTCGACGTCTTTAATACCCCAAAGATGCAGGAAACGTGCTTCATGAGCGCGGATGGCGACACAAATCTCGGTGCGTGCATTCCAAATGAAAACAACTACTTGCGGCTAGCCATCTATGCGAGGTTAGATCTCCTACTCTAAGTCCATCTGGCACAGAGGCTTTCCCATTCGACCGTATTCCATACAGCACTGGTGTCTCTGCCAACACGGAACATGTCCGTACATGTCCGTTCTGTGGGTTTGATAATTCCAGAATGCTTCAAGGATGCTGCAGCCAGAGTGCGGGGTGCTGGGGTTCTCCATCTCAGTCCCCATGCAATAGCACGACAGCATAAGCAACGCCGCCTCTGTTGGCACTGACGCTTATGCGTTGATCCTCCTTGGCTGCTACCTTGGCCAGTGTAAGTGGCGTACGAGCTAAGATGGAACAAGACCGGCAGCCCAGATGGTTGGCGCAAACCTCAATTGATAACCCTTACCGAACTGCTTCTGCAGCTTCAGCACCCAGGGAAACGTGCCAGAGAACCCTGCTCAGCTCGTGCAACCATCAACGGTTACGGAACCACGGAAGGAATTTTGCTGCAACTTCGTTCGCCGAAGGCAGTACGCAAAGACATGGATTAGCTGCTGAACCAATAACATGCCTACCAAAGACGAGGCAATACACGCTTCTCCTCCCCTTCCATTACGATTCGCGCCTTGGCCCATGTGCCGCTTGCAATAATATAGGAAGGTAGGTGACAATCAATCCGTATCGTACACTGACAGCCTTTGGATATATCTACCGAGTCTGCCCCCCGGGAGCTTTTGACGGTAGTCCTGTCTCCTTCCTTCATCTTCTTCGTTCGCCAGCCTCTCTGCTACAACTCTTCATATCGCGCAAAATGCATAATCGCATGGCAGCAGGGTGGTTCTATTCCCCCAGTCAGATAACGCACTATCTGGCCACCCGGATCACTAGCCTTAAGCCTCCCCGAACCAAGTTGGGAAATCCTTATCACATCCTCAAAGAACTAGACAAGCATCAATGGCTTATGTTCCTTGTAGGATTTCTGGGATGGACGTGGGACGCCTTTGACTTCTTCACTGTCTCTCTCACCATCACGGAAATCGCCAAGGACTTTGGCGTGCAAAATTCTGATGTCTCATGGGTGAGCATTCTCCGTTTGCAATGTCTTGGGCCAGCATGCTAATGTAAGCCAGGGTCTCACGGTCACTCTGATGTTGCGATCCGTTGGCGCTTTGATATTTGGGACGCTGTCTGATCGATACGGACGCAAGTGGCCCATGATCATCAATCTCGCTCTTTTCATCGTCCTGGAATTGGCATCTGGGTTTTGCAATACGCTCCCTCAATTTCTTGGCGTACGATCTCTCTATGGTATCGCCATGGGTGGTAAGCCGTCTCCCGTCTCTGCGAAACTCGATCTAAGCAACCATAGGTCTCTTCGGTCCGGCAGCAGCAACAGCTCTAGAAGATCTGCCCTACGATGCTCGAGGGCTCTTGTCCGGTCTCTTTGAGCAAGGCTATGCTACGGGCTATCTACTAGCATCGGTATTCTACCGCGCTGTAAGAAGCACAACCCTACTTTGAGGAACCCATCGCTGAACTTCTTAGCTCGTCCCAACCACAACCCACGGCTGGCGCTCCCTATTCTGGTTTGGAGCCGGGCCACCAATCCTTATCATCGCGTTCCGCTGGTGGCTGCCCGAGACGAACAACTTTCAAGTCATGGCCGCCGAGCGCGAGGCTCAGCTCCTTGCCGACAAGGAGAGCGGCGGCCACCACCATGTCAAGTCTGCCGGCTTCAAGGCGTGGGCTAGAGAATCCTGGAAAGCCATCAAACTGAACTGGGTGCTCTTCGTGTGGATGGTTTTCTTAATGGCTGGTTTCAACGCTTGCTCGCACGGCAGGTGAGTTGACCTCCTCAGGACCGTTCCCTTTAGTTGGGATGTTGACTTCTCTCGCAGCCAAGATTTCTATCCAACTTTCCTCAAAAATCAAGTCCTGATGGGCCCGACAGATGTTACAGTCATCAGCGTCGTTGGCCAAATCGGAGCGCTGATCGGAGGCACGACGTTAGGGTACATTAGCACATTCCTTGGTAAGGCTTCCCCGTCCGTATTCTATTCTGCGGCCGAGAACACACGCTGAGTGAGAAATCTTGCAGGTCGTCGCCTAACCATGCTGATCGCGTGCGTCTGTGGCGGCGCTTTAGTGCCCGCCTACATCATTCCGCGCAGCATGGGTCTCGTGGGATCCGCCTTTGCCCTGCAATTCTTCGTGGGCGGGGTGTGGGGATCGATTCCAATATTCTTGATGGAGGTATCGCCTGAAGCGCTACGCAGCACGGCTGTTGGCTTGACGTATCAACTGGGCAACCTGGCGTCATCGGCGTCTGCCACGATTCAGGCCGTCATTGGCGAAAAATACCCCCTGCCTCCTCACAACGGGACGAAGCGCTTTGATTACGGGAAGGTCATTGCAATCTTCATGGGCGCAGTGTGGGCGTATCAAATCGTGTTTTTGCTGTTGGGACCAGAAATGAGTGAGGAGGAGCGCGCGGTGTATGCTGCGCACGCGCATGACCTGGAACGCCTCAGGAAGGAGGGAGTCAGTCTGAAGGACATCGCTGTGGAGAGAGTGAAGAGTAGGCAGGCTCAAAAACAGCAAGGGTCTGCTGAGACGGAGCAGGTCCCAAAGGAGAAGGCCGGGCTGGGTCAACATTTGGAGAGTGCTTAGTCGGATTGACAGAGGGAGGTATACATTTCGACAGTGGTCGAGGTGAGCGTCGAGCGGGAGGTAAGATACATATGGACGGAACTCTTGAGAATCTACTTGTCGAGTTGTGATCGCGGTATTCCACTGTCACTGGCGCGGAAACTTATCCTATGGGACCTGAGTGTTATGCCTTGGCAAGCTGGCAACTAGCTATCTCCCTGGTACAAGATTTTCATTGGCAACGCGAATGCCGAAGTATCAAAGTGGACCGCGTACTAGTAATGCCAATGCCGCCGCCGGATTCATCAAGGCTGCTGGAGCAAGCTCTTTCTGACACTTTGCCTTCTTCCGATGCCTATTCACTGATCGAGACATGCGCGAGAAGGAGTGAAGACAGACAGATAGCAGGGAATCCGGCGTGGAGAAGATTCGCGATTCTCGTTGGCGACGGACAGGCGATGACCTAGCTAATAGGTAACAACTGAGCCGTTTAGCACACATTCCTGCTGGGTAGTTCTGTCGGATGGTTCGACCACCAGCGCCCGCTGCCAAACAGACGACAAAGAAGGGTGTGGGAAGTCATAGAGACCGCAGGTAGGAGAATGTGGTCTGGGAGGGGGCTGTTTTAAGCACATCGCCTCACAGTTAGTCATCGCTTTGTGATACGATGGAAGGAGTATATTCGCCACTGTTGAGCGTCTCCAGAAGACCGTAAGACGTGGGCAGTGAGGGGCAGTAGTTGAAGTCACGTTCAGGGTCAGAACCCAGAACTTCATCGCCGGCAGATTGTGACATAGATATCACCACGGGATTGACAAATTGATCGAAGGCAGTCCCTTTGCATATCTCAAGATGGAGCTTGCGGAGCCTGGCGGTAGTTCTTGTGCTCGATGACTCGTGGCTCGTGGCTCGATTCCGACTCTTCGTGCGAACACAAGGCGTACAATGCTTACTGAAGGGTCCTCAAAGAGCAACGGCTCTGTTGTGATACTCGCCCTCCATCACCAATCAGATGATGCATCTGACAGCAGAGGCTTGCATTGCTATCATTTAGTCCCCCGTATTGTCAACATCAACAGGTAAAGAACTTGAAGCTCGAAGTTAAGCTGAAAAAGATCCCTTGCACGTGATCGCAACAGCAACCAATCATAGTCGGGTATTTACTACTTAGCGCCAAGACGCAGTCACTGTTTCTTTGACTGGCATTGACCGACCGGAGCTCCAAGGGTGCGCTCAACTACCTCCATTTCAACAAAGTCCACGACCGATCCCTCAAGTCACCATGTCTGCGCCTTCTTTAGCTCCATACATCCTGAGACGGCCATGGTTGAAGAGATGGATGATGCCGCTGGCCAACTGGTACGCCGAAGCTGCCGGTTACAGAAGATTGGGTACGACATCATGAGAGCTCCAACACTGGTGTGGGAGACAGAGTCATTGACCATGTCACAGGGCTTAGAGCCGACGACCTAATTCCCGAAGAAAACGATATTGTCCAGCTCGCACTCAAGAGACTGCCACCAAAAGAAGCATATGACCGGGTTTTCCGACTGCGAAGAGCTTTCCAAGTACGCCAATGATCTATGATTCATGATCGTGAGGAGGACGCCGGACTGACAGCTTCGCAATAGTGCTCTTTGGCTCATCAACTGTTACCTGCCGAAGACCAAACGAAGGCAGACGAAGTGAGAAGGACCCTAGAAAAGACCTGCGAGCCACGAATGGTTGCTGATTATTGAACGCAGGATCAACCCTATTTGAGCCCCATTATCGAAGAAATCGAAGCCGAGTTGAAGGAGCGTGCTGATCTGGAGTCAATGGTCGTGGAGCGGAGGAAGTAGAACTAGTTTCACACATCGAGTGGAGGAGACAAAGTCGATTGCGGTGCGCTGAGATGAAAGGCAGCCCAAACATGCAGTTGCGGTGACAGCCGAACGACTTCTGTACATATACAATAAGAGTCCATGGAACTGGACCGTTACACGGTGTTCATGACCTCGACATCCACATCCGAAACCCGCCACATGTACCACATGAACAAACTGCGATATGGAGCGAAAGGAGCTGATTTATCCAACATCTCCTGCTCGGACATGTACTTCCACTTCCCGCCACCTTTGGCCTTGAGCTTTTTCACGTCTTTTCCATAGAACGCTGCCATGCCACGCTGGACGCCCAGGTCGCCGGTGGACAATATGTCCAATCTCTTCAGCCCGAAGCATGCGAACATCTCGACGCTCCATTTTCCAAGGCCGCGAACGGCGATCAATCTCTCCATGACTTCTTCGTCCGTAGCTTTCATGAGCATATCTGTCGTAAGCTCCCCTGTCGTAAACTTTTCTGCTAAACCCTGGATGTATTCTGCTTTTCGTTGTGATAGCCCTGCCAGTCGGAGCCGTGCTATATCCGTTGCAGCGACTTGTGCTGGAGTTGGAAACTTAGGATTTTCTGAACCTTCCTCGTTGAACAAGGCGATAAACTTGTTCTTGATAGACTTGGCAGCTGCTCCAGATACCTGCTGACCCATGATGCCGCTTGATAATGAGCGAAAGGGGTCTATCTGTTCTGCGAGACCCCTGGGCGAGAATATCGAACACGGGTGTTTCTCGATGATTGCTTTGAACCGAGGATCGACGCAGGTCAGATGTGCACAAGCTTGATCGAGAAGTGTGTTCGTTGTACCTGTTGGTCTAGGTAATCCCGTCTTAGATGGTGTCGAATCAGGCAAGTCTTCAGGGTATGCGACTTTCTGCGTACCACCAGGGGTGACTAAAGGAGCATTGGTGATGTGAGGCCCGGCCGGGCGGTCTGGTGGCGGCGTTGCATCGTCAACATCTCCTGAACTATAAGGAGCCCGGAGGATATTCACAAAGCTGGGTGTTGGAGTCAATGGAGGATGTTTAGGCTCCTTGGCTGTGGAAGCTCTTCTTGAATTCTTCACTGGTGTGATTGGAACCTTGAACTCCGGTGCCGTTGCTTCGCCTTTGACGGAAATCGAATCGTTGGTAGGCTTAGGCTTTTTGGATTTATTCGGAGGGGTGTCGGAGGTAGCTGAGCGTTTCTTGGTCGTAATGGCAAGATTAGAGGGCCCTTCTGAGCCGGGGACAGCAGCTACTGAAGCAATTCTGATGGATCTGCGGATAGTCATTTTGAAGAAGCCGCGACTCAGCATTCGACGATGTGGAGGATGCTGTTCTCTAGGCGTGCTCGGCTCTCAGCGAGCGGCAGGCCAGCTTGAAGTTTCCTGATCAACGACAGTCGGACACGTTGTTCGGACTTCCAACAAAAGAAGCAAGAAGCTGACCCAAAACGAGAAAGGAATTGAGATACAGAACTACGACCTACACCCTCCGATGTAGCTCGTTGCTCTTTTGTCGTCATCTTAAAGATCCTTGCGGAAGGCTGCCTGTGCTTGGCCGAGCGCGTATCTGGCTGACCTAAGCCAGACGAAGTCACGTGAGAACGCGGAGGAACCAACTTTTACAACATTCTGGCTTGATCATCAGGCTCAGATCCATCATCAATACTAGTTCGATAGTCGCATATTCGAACCGTTCTGCCCTTCCCCGCAAACCGAAGGTGCGTCTCTTGAGTTAAGAGGAAGTCCAGGGTATGCATCAACAAACGTATCAAGTAGTGCAATATATGTTCTAGGCACGCATGCTCCCGTGGTGTTCCGTACTCGATCCGAGGATTTGGGTCGTGAAGGAGAGACAAACCTTGTCACAGAGATTCCAGAACCATGCCTGTGTCGCTGGACTATTGAAAGCATGGTATATTTTGAGAGATACCAGACTTGGAAGCAACGATGATTTCAATTGTGCTCATTTCGGACGATGATCATGCATGTCGTTGTTAGGCGGATCTCAATGGAAATTGAAGAGCGCTCATCGAAAGTGGATGTCCAAGAAGAGAATAGCCCTATCTCGTTTGTGGGCGTGAGCCTGGGATGTGTGATCCGTGGTTCGTAACGTATTGTAACGACAAAATGCACTACGAGCCATGGTGGAACAAGTGTGGCGGACATCTGGGCACCGGACCTAGCGCATTGGGTGACGGAGACATTGATACCACGCAGCGGTGGGTTATGGACCACTGACTTTTCCCGCTTGGAGTCGCTTGGAGTCGACGGCCGCATGTGCATTGTGGACGCCCAGAAGTTACTGTGCCAGCTGGGTGCGAGCAACCAAGCTTGATGCTGATGGAGTGACTGGGGAGAGATCAACGAGTAACCCTGGACGGGGAAGGAGAATTTCATCCTTGCTTTGTGATGACGATCAACAAGGATTGGAAAGAGATGAACTTCATAGTTGAAGCACAAGCGGAGAGCAGCTGATGGCTTGTGAGTGTGCTTTTGTCACAATTTTGACATCGGAATGTATATGCATTAAATGAAGCACGACATGACACGTCTTGTTTTGCCGTCAAGTCAAGTTTCCATCAATTCGAACCTCATCTCTCTTCAAACCATGCTGTTCTCAATAGTAATGAATTATCTCGGTTAAGCATGATATGGTCATGGATCTACCACCGTATGTACAAGTAGGTGATCGGAAGTGAACGGCCAAACAGCCATAAGCGGACATACTCCATTTGGTGGATCTGCGTTCGCAATTCAAGTGTGAAAGAATCGGATTAGTGCCATAGTGTCTGCTCAAGCGAGATATGTGTTCCTCCGGGCGCGATAAAAGGCCATCTTCTTATCACGAGCGGCGTAAGAAGGCACTAACACGACGCACAAGTCATGGCTCGAGGTGGCAAGCATTGGAGGAGTCGACATGTCTCAGATTGGAGTTCTCGAGAGGCCCGGAGAAGGTTGGCGTGCGTGGCGTGCATGCAGTTCTGGTGGGAGTGGACCATGCAGGGTGGCTGAGGCGAAAAGCTTGAGAAGGTCGACATGGCTGCATGCCTGTTGGTGGAGATGCAACAATAATAAGTTACATACTATGTAAATGCTGGAGAGGAGATGGAAAAAAGGTGGTGGTTGTTGACATGATGGGGGCGCGCAGATGGCCCAGATGGCTGCAGTGCCGGTACGGTATCAATACAGCCATCCCCTTTTACTAGGCCGTCAATCCGACTCCACAGCTGCAACAAGCTGTGCAGCAAGCGCGAGTCAACAGCTGGATGTCCACGGGTGTCCTTGGTGTGAAGCTGGTGATCCCTTGCCGTCCCCGCCTGGTGCAGCCCGAGCTTCTGCAGCTTGCTGGGTTGATCTGGCCGTCAAAGCAAGCACTGGCACGACTGGGAAGTTCTCTGGCTGGCTTTGACTGGCTTTTGACTGGCTTTTGCGGGCTTCCTCACCTGCGGCTGCCCTTTGCACCCAATCAACGCCCTCGTCCGTTGGATTCATTCTTCACCCTCCCCATTCCCGTTCCCAATCTATTTTCCTGCCATCCCCCTTCTCTTCAAATCTTCCAGCTGCACTTTATACCACACAACAGTCCATCGTTGCTGCTGCTGTTTGTTTCTTCTTCTTCAACAAGCCAAGCCACTCGTGGATTCCTCTCTCTTAAATTTACGAGGATCGTACCTGCCGTCCGGCCTACTGTGTTGACACTTCAAGCAACAACAGTACAGCTTCTCCTTCGCTGAAGCTTTTGTTTATCCGTTGCGTGTTCACCCGGAACCCAACGAATTCATTCCTCAAAAGTTCTTACGACTTGCTTCGAGCCAGCTGTATCACGCCTTTCACCTTCTATTCCCTTTAATATTGCATTTCAGGTCAGTAAGTCCACAGCATCACCTTCACCTTGCTTCCTCACCTTCTCAGTGGGGGGTGCCGCGTCATCCCTGTCCAAAAGCACATCAAACCGTTTCAGTCCTCGCGAGCAGCAAAACTTGCGAAGCAAACTCGCTGACCTTGATCACAGCTTTCTCGCTGATTCATAGATTCGCAATGGCCTTCACAAAGTTCATCCTTCCTACTCTCGCTATCGCGAGCGCCGTCCTCGGTACGTGTCATTAGCACCTTTGATCGTTTCGAAGCCCAAAACGCGCAAGAGATCGGATTGAAGCACATCTGGGAAGAAAGAGAACATGACATGGCTAACATCTGGGTTCAGCACAAAACGATGTCTGCGACGGACCTTCAATCACCATTGCCAGCAGCACAGATGCTCAGCAAATTGCCTCTTGCAAGACATACAATGGAGACGTGATCATTGATTCAACCGCCTCCGGACAAGTTGCGATCAACGGTGTTCAACAGATCAAGGGTGATCTCACTTGCAACAACGCTACACAGTTGACTGCCATCACCTCAGACCAGCTCGGCACCATTACCGGCACATTCAGTCTGACTGGCCTCACCATTATGTCAACCCTCCAGTTCGACTCGCTTACGGGTGTGAACAAGATCAACTGGGTCGGTTTGCCTGCCCTCCAGAGCTTGAACTTCGCACAGGGTGTGCAGCAAGCCAACCAGATCTACATTTCCAACACTCAGTTGAACAACATCAACGGTATCGAGCTGACTGCCGTTGGAAGTATGGATATCAACAACAACCCTTATCTTACCGATGTGAATGTCAACGACCTAGCCAACGTCACCACTTCTCTGGCTTTCTCCGCCAACGGCCGTGACCTTGAGATTAGCTTCCCCAACCTTGAAGATGCTGCCAACTTGACCTTCCGCAACGTCAGCAAGATTTCCATGCCGTCTCTAGCCAACGTTGGTGGCTCCATGGGTTTCTACTCCGACACTTTCAAGACGTTCGCTGCTCCCAACTTGACTCAGACTGGTGGTACTCTAGCCTTCGTTGACAGCCCCGATCTGTCAAGCATTTCATTCCCGTCTTTGACCCAGATTGGTGGTGGTTTCTTGATCGCAAACAACACCGGCCTGAAGGCTATCAATGGCCTCCCCAAGCTGAAGACCATTGTTGGTGCTCTGGACTTTGCGGGTGCTTTCAACAGGTAAGTGACCCGATTTCCTATCTTGATTCCGCTGCGAGACAGGACTGACTCTTTCATTAGTGTTAGCATGCCATCCCTTACCGATGTCCGTGGTGGATCCAACGTCCAGACCACGTCCACCAACACCACCATCTGCGATCTCTTCAACCAGGCTCACTCTGCCGGCGTCATCAAGGGTGTCAACACCTGCCTCACCAACAAGGCCAACCCAGATACCAACCCATCTGCCACTTCAGGCGGTACTTCATCTACCTCCACCAGCGGTAGCAGCACTAGCAATGTGGCCATCGCTTTCGGACCTAGTGCACCATTGACTGGTCTCAGCGCTCTGTTCGCTGCTATCTTCTTCCTGTGAAGCATTGGGTTTGGCGTCTCTTGTTCTTAATTAGACTAGCTTAATATGCGATGGGTGATGTCCTTCGGTCCTTGTCTTATGGCGGATTTTGAGCGAATCCTCTTCCCGACAGGACAACGAAAAAATGGAGTGGCTCGTGGCTCGATACCTGCAAAACAGAAGCGCATGCGCGTCTGGAGTGTGGCCGGTCCGGGTTTTGTTGTTTGGGAACATCTACTGGGCAGATTGTTACTGAGAGCGAGAAGTGCTCAAAAGGGCTTGCGTGTGGATAGGCAATAACAGACAAACGAATATGTTTCTTTGCTTTCATGATTCTTTCCTTATAAATCCGACTCTGCTCATGAGGTTCCTTTATCGTCTACAATTTCTTGACCGTCCAGGATGACTACGGACGGAGTCGTTGGCTTATCTCACCGTCTATTCGCCCATGGGAAAGCCTGCCAGTAAGGTATTTAACTGGCTTTGTCTTGTCTCCTCTGGTACTTTTGACTTTCGTCAGCAGTCTTGGTCATTCTGCGACACCCCCGAGCACACGCTAAGCCATACTAAGATCTTACTTCTGTAATCAGAAGTTTGCTGGTATCCGTGAATAGTGAACGTCTCTGCATTTTCGCCATCATCAGTGTGAGAAGATGGGACCGCCTTGCTGGAAGGGGTTTGGTAGGGTGTCACTCTGTCACATCGCTTTCTCGCAACGGCAAAAGATCAGTGTTAAGAGGCTCTGAAGGGGCCCTGGAGTATGACGATTCGTCCCATCTGGGACGGATTACCGAGAAGAGACGTGGTAAGAAAGTGTCTCTCAGAGGTAAGACGGATATATACAGTCGAGAGCACTCTTGAAATCCAGTCTACATTATCTCCCTCAATCCCTGCTATACCTGTACCACATCCTTTCTCTAGTTGGCGTCGCAGGCAAGGATATATGGGTGAAGGATCCCTTCCAACACGAACGAAAGACAACACACGTGCGGCGGCGAAGATGACTCGCACCGACGTCGAGTTCAAGACCTCCGACAACGTCACCCTGCGTGGCTGGTTCTTCACGCCGTCCAACGTCTCGTCGGGGACGAAACTGCCATGCATGATCCTCACGCACGGCCTCTCATGCATCAAAGAGATGGGCCTGGACCATGTCGCGTCCAAGTACGTGTCCGACTTGGCGGTGTCGTGCCTGGTGTATGACCATCGCGGGTTCGGGGCGTCAGACACGGCATCGCACGCGCCGAGACAGGAGGTCAACACCTGGTTGCAAGCGAACGATACGCGCGATGCGGTCACGTACGTCCAGACACGGGAGGACGTGGACAAGAGCAAGATCGGCGTGTGGGGATACTCATTGTCCGCGATCCACGCGGTGTATGTGGGCGCGATTGATCGGAGAGTCAAGGCCGTGGTTGCGCTGGGCCCGGGGATGGATGGGACGGAGATTTGTAAGAGGTTGGCGGCGCCGCATGCGTTGAATGCAATGCAGGGGCTTTTCGAGATGGATCGGCTTGCGAGGGCGAAGGGCGAAGAGCCGATTAGAGTGCCTGTCATCAGTGCAGAGGGTGGCCAGTGTGTCCTGCCGAGTCCGGAGAGTACGGCTTTTTTTGGCCGGTGGGTGGGCAAGGATGATGAGAGGGGCTGGAGGAATGAGCTTACTTTGAGGAGGTGAGTGGTTCTTCGCGGTGAACTTGGACTTTGTGCGCTTCCCTCTTTGACACAGGGGGAAGCTTTGCCCCCTTCCTTGGTCGCTTCCGTGTTCGAGCTGAAATAGACAGAGGCTGGGGAGGAGAGCCAGGGCAAAAATGGGCAGAGTTTGCTGACCTGTGGGTGATCGTAGTCTCGATGATGTGTCGACATATTCGACGGCCATGGCACACCTGGAGAACTTGTGCCCGACACCGGTGTTCTTTGGCGTGGCGAGCAGAGATACGAATAGTCCGGCGGACATGGTGATGAGGCAGTATAACAAACTGAGCGAGCCGAAGGAGTATGCCATCGTGGATGCGGACCATTATGAGCTCATGGGCAAGGCGAGGGACGTCTTGCATCCAAAGGAGGTTGCGTTCTTGAAGAAGTGGCTGTCTCTGTAAGCTGCGACATTTTTTATCTGATGTTGTTGCCCTGCTCCGACCGGATCGATGGATCGGAAGAGACTCAACTATGGGCCTCGCACGGCGTTGAGTGTTGGGTGGATGTAGTTTCTATTCTTCCCTTGCCTTGTATCCTGCTCTTCCCTGTAATCGCGTTGGGAGTGTTGCGAGAGATTCACTTTCGGGATGGATGGGTTCGGGAGGTCACTGCATCCTGCGTCCTGCGTCCGCTTCGCAGGGACGGCACCTCGTTCTTCCAATGTGAGGTGTTTGCAAGTGGAGAGCATGTCACGCCCTGCTGAAAAGACTATCAGTACTCCGTCCTCCGTACTTGTTCGAGACATCATGGTGGCTCTGACGGAGTTGCAAGCGCAGGATATGAAGAAAAGGTCGGGTGTTGGGACGAGGTGAGCAACGTAGATTACGTTTTCGAGAACACCTATGCGTCGACCTCTGAGGTTTATCACGGTCCCGAGGCCGCTCTCACGCCCACAGAGGCAGATGATCGGGAGATAGCAAGTGTAAGAGCGCAACCAAATAAGGGCCGCCGGAAGAACACGAAATCTAATTGGGAGCAAGTAACTTAGAGATCTCACGGTGGTGTCGTTTAAGAAGGCACTCATGCTTCGAGGTGAGTCCCTGCGTGGTGATGTCTGGACAACACGACAGACATCAGGAAGATCTTCCAGCCGGCTTTCCCAGATGTCAATATAAAGTCGGAACAAGAGCAGCAACACCGAAATGTCAGTCTGGCATACCGGTGTATCTCTTCCTAGTATTGGTACCCAGTCACCCAGCAGACAGTATCCTATTGCCTCTATACAGATCCACGGCCCTGTTGCTGCCTCTGCAGGAATCTCGTATCCTCGAAGAGCTCTTCGAGTAGCTCTTCGGATACTTTTTGCTTGATGACAAGGTAGTCACGTGCTGTCGTCTGCGAGAGAAGCAGGTCAATATAGGATAACCAGAAAGAGGAGCTACTTCAGGAACACTGCGACGGGACACTTACATCCCACTCCCATGGCAAATTGTATCTGTCCAGCGTTTGCGGTAAAAGGTACCTCGTGTGGCATTTGACGTAGACGGGCTGGCTATCACGCTGGAGTGGCCGGCTGGGGAATTCTCGAGTGGCAGTCCGACGTTTCTCTCGATCGGGCCGAATATGTACGTCGCTTTCTGGACGAACTCTCTTCTCGGGTCCTTCTCGATATTCTTCTGCGCTCCTGGGAGGGGAAGGGCGGCGCTCGCCACCCTCTAGCTTTGGGACTTTGGGGGGCTCTGGTTCACGACCGTAGGGGACAACCGACCAGTTCTCCTTGCTCGGGTCATGCTTCAGCTGGGGTGGCCTCCTGAGGTAGAATACTTTGTTACGTATTTCCCAGTTGACGTCTTTCTGTTCGCTGATTCGCCTTTCCCTGAGCTGTTTCGTTACTTCTTCTGCGCCATACTCAATTGCGACATCCAATGCTGTCTGCCCATATTTGTTTACGGCCTGAGCCTTGTTGAAACTGCTTGCATTGAGGAGGACGTCGACCACCGAACTACTCCGAGCTCTTGCTGACAGGTGAAGCAATGTGTTCCCCATCCCGTCTGTCTCGTCGATGTTGAGGACGCGCTCATTCATCAGGAGCTTGAGCACATTCGGACAGCCGCATAGCGCTGCAATGTGTAAGACTGTCCTTCCCATGCAGTCGTGCCTAAGAAGCTCTACGTCAGGCTCCTCGAGAACACGTCGCATAATCATCGGCCAGTCCCACGAAGCGGCCCAGTGCGCAATGGTTCGACGCTGTTGGTCCGCATCATTTACATTGAAATCCGAGTTCATCAGAGCTAGAACCGTGTCCGAAAAGCCCTCAATAGCTGCAAGTTGAAGCGGCGTTCGACCCTGTTGGTCACGATATCTCGCAGAAGCGCCGTGTGCGATGAGCTTCCGAGCCAGTTTGAAATTGCCGTACTCCGCAGCTTCATGAAGGGCCGTTCGCTTTCTAGAATCATAGTCGTTGACTTTAGCCCGAGCAAGTAGGATGGCCCGGACCATGACCTCCTCCCAGTCATTGATGACGGCCCAGTGAAGGATGGTCTTACCGTCATACCCGCGATGAGCCGAGACGTCGGACAGTTGCGAAAGGACCTCAAGAGTAACATCTAGCCAATCTTGTTGTGCTGCAGCAATGAGAAGACTTAATTCCCCATCATGTTGTGCCATGGCATTGCGTTGACTGCGCAGGAAATCCACAGTCGTCTGATGATCTCCCAGGGATGCAGCCAAGGTAACAGCAGTTCGACCATTGTTGTCCCGGATGTCGACATCGACGCGACTGTCGTTGAGAAGAAGAGAGCCATGTCCAGAAGTTGCTTCGTAGTGTAAGGCTGTCCGCCCTTCGGCATCCTGTGCGTTCACGTTGAGGGTTTTCAGAGCCAGCAGCAACTTCATGGTTGGTCGAGAACCTCGAAGTACCGCCAGGTGTAGAGCCGTTCGTTTCACATAGTCAGTTACATTGGGAGATGCGCCGCAGCTTAACAATTCTGCCACCACGTCTTGATGATCGATATACGAGTGCAACGCCGTGTTGGCCTCCACAACCTGACTGTTTGAACGGTATAAGATTTTCTCGTCGAGGTCGTAAGAAACGCTGACAAACGCGCGAATGAGAGCCGACCCGTACAGTCGTATAGCATGGCCGAGAGGTGTCTCGGCATAGTAAGCAGGAGCTGTGAGATGCTCTACGTTGATATGCGAGTTGTGATCCGCTTCCACGGCAGTGTGAAACGCGGCGTAATTCTTCACCATGGAGCCATATTGTAGCCACACATTGTCATCGGAGTCGACACGATTCATGTGGTACTTGAGATATGTTGCGGCATAATCGTAGAATGCGAAGTAGCGCATCAAACAGGACTCGGCGGAAGCTCTTTGTATGTCTTCGGAAGCCGCTTCCCGAACATCCGCCAGTGTCAGATAATGAATGCAGTGCTGGGCGATCTTGCTGTGCAGCGCACTGGCTTGCTGCTTCAGTAAACTCTCCCGGATAAAATCCTTCAGTGACAGGTGTACAGCTCTGATTACTCCAGCAGGGCTGATCTTGAGTAGATCCGCACAGTGTAGGTTGACTGTTGCCCGGATTGAAAACGGTACGTCTAGCTCGGTCGTACGAGTCTCCCAGCCTTTTATACCCAGCACTTGTTCAGCTTCTTCGCATGTGAGCGGTCGTGCTGTCGCTGCGACGATCAAGAAGACTGCGTGTAGTCCTTTCAACACATCTTTGTCGATCTTCTGTAACAATTTCACATACAGTGCGTATAGCCCGGGAGGCAGACTTCCAAGAGCTTTGAGGCGCTCCTGGACTGTTCCTTTGCTCCATAAGGCGATACCACCTTTGAAGTGCTCCCAAGCCAAGCTCGCCCAGAGGAACATGCCATCTGATTTTAGCGAGATCTGACTTCGAATTTGCTGGATGTCACTGTCAGGAACATTGTACTCAAGCGCAAACTCTGCAGTGGCGTTTTCTAGGAAGATCTCAATATCTGTATGAGTGTGCTCTGGTGTAATGTCAAGAGTATCAACCATATTACTCGATTGGAGTTGTTGCGAGATGGTATAGCTATCTCGGCTGGTCACAAGAACCTTCAACCTGTGCTGATCATCCACTGATAATAGTGTTTCAAGCAAGCCAAAGCATATCTCGGGAATGTCACGGGCATCAGCTTCGTCAAGAGCATCGATCACGAGGACGACCTTTCCCAGCGATCGATTGTGTAGGACAGATCGAAATGCAGCCCACAGCGCCGAGGCCATCAGGTGGGGTTCCAGGACTCGACCAGTGTGAGCATTGTTGTTGGCAGAATCGAAAGCTTGTTGGACCTGGGAGCAAAGGGTAGGATGTTGGAGGAGCAGCTGGTGCAGAATTGATCGAAGAAAGGCCACTATTGACGTTCCGGCACTGTTATCTTCCCGGAAAAAGTACGACAAAGTTGTGTGATCGGCGAGATTTGGCAAATCGTTGCGCGGCCTTACTCGATTCTTCAGATCGCGCGAGAGATTCTTTGCCAGCACCGTCTTGCCATACCCAGGAAGGGCCCTCACCAAGAATAGTCGGCTCTGTTGCGACGTGGCCCAATCTTGAAAAGTACGATTGTCCCAGAGCCAGACTCCAGTCCTGGGGGAGGCATCTGGCACGCAGACAGAATAAAGCTCATAGTCGACACAGTAGAGTTTCTGGAGAAGGTCTGCACTCTGTACCTTGATGTTCTGACTTGTCTCCGACGCGATCAGTGCAGCAATCGAAGAATATCCCTGAGACCGATCTCCGCATGTATTCGCATCTGGAGCGGCTATCTCCTTGTGGTTTGCATTCAATGGCAGGATCTGCTCGCGCGCCGAAGCCAGAATGACGGCTTCCGGTTCCACAGTAACAAATCCAGGATCCGCGAACGGAACGGTTTCGTAATAGGATAGCACGGGGACATGGTTGAGGTCCACTTGATATTTAAATGAAAGCAGAGCCAGGGTGTTCGAGATGCGTTCAAGATTGTCCATGAATGTCATTCGATACGGTTTGCCCATCAGGAGAACGTGCGCCATTCTGTATACGATTCGCATCCATTCGTCAGCATGCAAGTGACCCTGTGGGGTACCAAGGAAGACCAAGCCTAAGAGCTGGTCTCGAAGGTAGACATGCTTGGGAAGCGTAAGAGACATAGCCAGAGCTACTTTCACGATGACGCCGCCGAGTCCATGGCAGACAAAGAGAAACCTTTTAGCGGGTCGCAGCAACAGCTTCTGTAAGAGATCCAGGGCTGTATCGCACACGGATGACTCGCTTCCATTCCAGGTAAGCGCACTGTCATACCCGTACGATAAGATACATGCGTCACAGGCTTGTTTGGCAAGCCAATCGCGAAGCCATGAATACTTGGCGGATGTTCTCCAGGACGAGACGGCATCGCCTCCTAGCCCATGGACCGCTACCACACTGGATACTTGGTTAGTCTCGTGGTGCAAGTTTGGGGCCTTGCGGTGACTCACTCTACCGTGGACGCCCCCTCGGTCCCAGCGACAAGAGGCGTTAACGCAACTAGTCCTTTGTACTGTAATGGAGACTGGACTGAGGCTTGCGTACCCTCTCCGGTGGGAATGATATCCAACAACTCTTTAGCATAAGCAGCAGCAACGGCTGCCGCATATCCTTGCCATCTCTTGTTCTTATGAGTATCACAATAATCGCAGATACCCCTTATGACGAGACATGGAAAGTGATCCATCAAGCCCGCAGCCTCCATTTCGAAGCACAAGACGTCTGCTTCTTTCGCAAGTTTGTCTCTCATTTCCGCATCTCTCATCAGGCTGTCAGCGGAAGCTATAAGTCCATAGTGGATAATAGGATCGTCAAGCTCGGCTGATCGTGGGCTGCGCCGCCTGAGATTCACCCCGTTTCTCACGCAACATTCCTCACAATCTTCTTCTTCATTCTGGTGAAGGTATTGGGAGTTGAACAGATTATCGTGCTGACGGCCGGGGGATCGATATCTGGCTGCGAGCCTCGGGTTCGATTTTATGCGGTTGACGGTATCTTGAATCCTGTGTCCACGCCTCTCATGCCGTGCAATTAGATTGTTCAGCGCAGAGAGCAGGACCCGAGGAGGAGGAGCCAGGAAACCGGTCCGCGCGAATCGACGTCCTTGTATGCTCTTGCCATACTGGTAATTTATGACACCACCAGAGGTACTGGTAGGACACCCGACCACAACATCACCTAGCCTGATATCATGTCTCTTACTGGGCACACCCCCGCCTATGCCGACCATTAAGCCGAAGCGAATGGATGGAAAGCTGCGGAGCATGTCTCGAGCCACGGAGGCAGCAGAAGTGAGTCCATATCTGCCTTTAGGTAGACAAGATATAACAACATTGTGCTGTCCGATGCGTCCAAACGCGTATGTGTTCGCATCATCCTTGTAGTCCAAATTGTCCACAGTATATTCTTCGTCAAGCAGCTCGCAGACTGCGACAAACTCGGTCGCGAGGGCGCAGATCCAGCCCACTCCGAAGGCATTGTGTTCGACGAGGGTTTGGGGCATTGCTATGGAGGCATATTGAATCTATTCGAAATCAGTGTGAAACAAGAGCAAGAGTGCGAATTGCAGCGACGGCTTCCGGGCCAGAGCCGCCTTCACGAAGCACTGGAGAGGAAGTGGACATGCTGCGTGAGGCTGCAGAATGCCTGCATGATTGGAGGCTATGCCTGCAGTTCAGAATGTCCAATCCGGTCCAGGCACCTTTCAAGTTGGTCTTGTTCACCATCATGGTCATCACATCGCCGAGGATAGCACTTGGTCGGTGCGGGATTTCATACAACGGATACTGTACGCATCAATAGACATGCACAAGCATTGATATTTTGGTGAGTGAAGAGGTTGCGTTTCTGGCATGGTGACTGGAACAAAGGACAGAGCGAGGAACAGAGCAGCGTCACTCAAGTTCCCGATTGAGGTCATCAAAGATCGCTGTTGTCAACCGGTTCGGCACGACGCGAGGCACAATTTAGCAATCATCGCGCACCACATATTCTCAATCCTTGAATCCTTAAGCCTGTACTCGTCCCTACTTATGATTGTCTCTAGATGTCAAAGACAGCGAGGTGGTACGAGTACCCCCCATGCGTAATCATCATGTCTGCGCCAGCAATTGGAGAAGGACAATTTCTTTGTCAGGCTGGCTATTACCCACGTTTTCTGCTCGCGCACGACATGCTCCCTGTAACACAGGCGAACTGGGCGCTTGTGGCATTGTCTCAATCCTCGAATCATTTATGGAGGCGCAGCTTTGTGCAGGCGGGCTAATGCAGTGTGCCTCTTCACCTGAACACCGTCCCCTAGGAACCAGCCAGTCAGGCCTCGAGTCGACCCGAAACCCTGGTGATGAAGCTGTAAAATCTGCAAAAAGGCAACCTCAGCCTGATGTTCCATTTTCTATATATCATGGAGCTTCCCTGCCTGTATTCAGAATTCTGAGAATGGTATTATACTGTTGATGGAATGCTTACAATTACAGCAATGCAGAAGCCGGTCACGATTGAAGTTCGTCGCAAAGGTTCGTACCAATTCATTCGACATTCCAGGGGCCTGCTGATGACTTCAGTCAATGGGAAATTCTTGCCGCCACAATGGCCCGATGTGCAAACATTCTTCCAGGTCAGTCCCTACCAAGGTCCTTATGATGACCCTAACGGAAGAATAGACTCCACCACAGGATGGAATACAAATAGTGTATGAATAACTATTCTTATACCTGGATATGTGTGGCTGAGAACTGTCAGTTTCGCAGAGCTGAATCCATCAGCTGGAGATACGGGAAGCTTCACCGTGCCCATGACCACGGACTGGGCATATCCGTCGGAATTGTGGGAGCCTTACTGCTGGGAGTCAAACGGCTATGCAGGCAGTGGCCATCATATCCACCAAGACGGGATCAAAGTCATCAAGAGTAAGGAGCCAACTCGAGTATTACACAACAGAGTACACAACGGAGTCTGCTGACCGACCATCTCAATAGCATCATGGTTCAAGTTTCTGGTCAAGCAGCTGAACGATGACTCACTTCACCCGAGGAGAGGTGATGAATGGTATCGCTACAAATGGTATGAAATGTGCTTCTATGTATATGCCGTCTCGGATGGCACGGCGGTCGTCTTCTGCATCGACACGCCACCGATGTTTCGCGAAGAACTCATGAGCGCACTGGCAGCGAACAAGTGCGGACCGCCCACGGACGCGTCGGCTTTGTTTCAAGCCAGCATTCTCGCAGAAGTTGTCAAGTTGTATAACACATCGATCTGGTCACTTCGAGATTCTGTCCGAAAGCTTGAAAAGGTATAACTGAAGGCCGGCGTCACTGACATTTGTGCATGATCATTGACCGTCGGTTATCCAGGATCGAGACATTTCCGGCATCGCCAGGGACAGACACTTCAACTTCGCCAGATTGCACGACCTAGCGAGACACGTCATACACACTTGCGAGATTGTCGCTGTTGCGTGTGATAGTGTCACAGAGATGATTGGTGACGCCGGAAACAATCCTACTGGTTCTTGCGATTGTTCCAATGGCAACTCGCAAGCGGCCAAGCTGGCATGTCCCCACAGCGAAATGGCCTTCTCGCTGAGGTTGTTACGCAATTTCCGACGGCGATCAGAGGCACTCAAGGCACGACTGACAAACGAGATAAATCTAGTGCGTTGCCTATCTGTGTGAGAGACCGGCACTAATGATAACAAAGGGATTCAACCTTGTTGTGCAGCAGGATAGTGATTCGATGAAGACTATTGCATTGGTTACTCTTGCTTTCCTCCCGGCAACCTTTGTTTCGGTGAGTCGTCTGGGTTACTTATCAAGGATCTGCCTCTAACGTACAACCTGGTTGCAGACAATTTTCAGCATGAGCTTCTTCTCTCTTCAATTTAATGAAGACACCGGCGACCAAGACTGGATTGTGTCGCACAGATTGTGGATATATTGGGCGTTGGCGGTGCCTCTGACTATTCTGACCTTGATATGCTGGACTTATGGACAACGCACGAAATCGATGACATCGCTGAAAAACCGGCACATGAAACAGTCTTAGCCATCTAAACGGTAAAGAAGGCTCGTCGGCCACTTTTTATCGTTCCGAATACGTGCGAGCAAGAAGTCCGCGGCCTTCTGGCTTATCTAAGCTTTGTACGACCGCGGTTCTGTCTCCGAGAACATGTCTTCTTGACCAGCTATACTGTGTACGAGTCCCGTGGCGACCACCAGATCAAAATTAAACAACCGTTTGCTTACCCGAGAATCTGTCCTCTTGGTGGAGAATCTCAAGTCCGCGGCTTTCGAAAACAAATGCCTGATGAATATATCACAACCCATTCCAACTCTTTCGAAGATGATAAGCAATCAATCATCCTTAACCTCTACGAAGTCAGCATCCTCCTCATCATTTGACCTTGTGATTTGAAATAGAACTTTCTTATCTGCTCGCGGAAGATGGCAGATACATCAGAGATGCCAGCTTTGGTGTCATTCACAGAAAAGTGGCACACCGAACCATACTCTTCCATCTCCCCCAAGCGACCAGAGCTGTCGTCAAGTGGAAAGAACGTCATTGTCACCGGCGGTGCAACAGGAATCGGGCGGGGCATTGCAGTCGCATTTGCTCAGGCAGGGGCGAAGTGTGTGTCTATCATAGGCAGGCGACTTGACAAGCTCAAGGAGGCAGCGGACATTATATCAAAGGAGGCAAGCAAAGATACGGATGTTCTATACGAACAAGCCGACCTCTCGGATCGCGGCCAAGTCGATGCAGCGTTCAAGTCTGTCACGGACAAGTCTGGCAGGATCGACATTCTCGTGTCGAACGCTGGCTTCCTGCCAACGCCTGGCATGCTTGTGGGCTACGACGCGGGCAAACTCATGCAAGGATTTGAGCTTAACGTTTTGACCACTTTCAATGCTCTTCAGGCGTTCGTCCCTCTCGCAGGTCCCCAGCCGCTCGTGATCCATATTTCGACGGCAGTTGCACATTTCAGGCCCATGGCTGGAGCAAGCGGCTATGCGGCGTCCAAAGCGGCCGCTCTCAAGATCATGGACTACTTTGCCTGGGAGAATCCGGAGATTCATGTGGTCAATGTCCAGCCTGGCTGGGTGCCAACAGATCTCAATGGACACGAACCTAGAGCTCCTGATGTTGGTACGTTTCCTGTCTCGTGCTGCCCATCTGGAAGCCCTGGTACTAATCGTGTGACCAGCTGATCTGCCCGGACAATTCTGTGTTTGGCTTGCATCGCCCGAAGCGAAATTTCTCAAGAGCAAATTCGTATGGGCAAACTGGGATGTCGAAGAAATGATGGAGAGGGCCGATGAGATCAAGAACAGCAAGCTGCTCGACTGGATGCTTGAGGGAGTCCCAATGTAGGAAGTAATGGATCTCCCGTGCAAGGGTCGGTGCTTCCTTTCAGGCCACCCAACCACCACCCGCAATGGCAGCCCGATGGTGATGTGGGGATTTGTAAGCATCCAAGTCCGCGGACCGAAGTCTCGGGCAAATCATCCTTCTCCATACTTCATTCCACCATTTGTACAATTCTCCTTTAACTTTGCTCCCCATTATTGTTGTCCTGCGACAGCGGAATCACTGGGCAATTTGCATCGGGGCGTCTGGCATCCTTCGCTTCCATGTCATGGAGAGCCAAAATCGTCGGCAGGGTATTGGAAGGAGAAAGGTAGGGATTGCCATGCAGCTGAGGCTGAAGTGGCTAATCATAACTGGCGCTGAAGGCTTGCGACGTCTGCCATTTGAAGAAGATCAAGTGTGATGCAAAGGTGCCTGAATGCTCGCATTGTATCTTGTACAAGGCGAAATGTACCTACACACCACAATTGCAGAGGCCCAAAAAGAGGCAAAAAGTACGGGAAAGGTGAGCTTGACACTTGCAAGGCCATCCATCGCCCTGCTGATTGCTGCGGAGTACACCCGAGGATTTCGGGCATCTCGAGGGCCGCCTATCTCAAGTTGAAGCAATGCTCAAGGCTGGTGATCAAAGGGTTACCATCGCAGCCGTCAATTGCCATTCGGTCAACCAAAGACAGAAACCCCAGGATATCACGCTCAAAGGAGCGGTGCAACATAAACCATCCATTGACATGCGTTTACACCCAGTTCCGGATGCGCTGCCAGTCCCAGCGCTACCAGGATATGATCTGCCGGAACTCCACGTCGTACTCCCCATCGTCGAGACCTACTTCGCCTGCTTCAACAGCATGGTGCCTCTCTTTCATGAAGGCAGATTTATGCGCATGCTAATGAGGTGGTACAACATCTCGCATACACGATTCCCTGCCCCTTTTGCTGCGATCAATGTTGTCCTGGCGTTGTCTCTTTGGCAGGACTCTTCTACAAAGTCTCCAGACGACGACCGTCTTATGCGCCAATTCATCCAGAATGCCCAGTCGGTCTTGTGCAACTTGGTGACGCGAGATCAAGATCTGTTGGGGATCCAGGCTGTCTTGGGTCTGGTCATGCTGTTTATAGCAGGACCAAACCCCCGACCAGCCGCAACACTGATCGCGATTGCATTTAAGTTGGCTCACCGACTGAGGCTCCATACCAGATCTAGCAGAGAGATGTTCGACGACAGCACGGCTCTGGAAAGAGATCGGGTCTTCTGGATCATGTATGTGCTTGACAGGGAAATGAGTCTCCGTCTCAGGGATCCCTACCTCCAGCAAGACGACGACATGGATGTCGCTCTCCCCGAATTCAAAGATCTCAATGACAAATCAAGCATAATTTTTGCAGGTGACGGTCAGACGTGGCTCAACTTTCTCCTCTGTCGGACTGATCTTGCACGCATTCAAGCTCGGATGTACCACGGCATCTACTCCGTCCGGGCGGAGAAATCTACAGTCGACGAGCGAGAAGCTGCAATGGCAGATTTAGATTCCATGGTGCATGAATGGAAGCAATCAATTCCCCTGCAGTTTCAGCCGGACATGCTCTCGGACCGATCCTTCGGCACAAATCTACGGTATCTGGTACACTTGCATTTTATTTATTACCACTGTTATTACCTGGCCCATGGTATCTATGCGCATGACCCGGAATGGATGCGACGAGTGACGACCTACAGCGACAGGTACTCGGGTCGAGCTGCTCTCATCTCCGACACGCCTTGGCAGGAATCACCATTGCCAACGACCTGGGTGCAAGATCTAGAGACCGCAAGGGAGTGTATGAGATTGTTCAAGGTCGTGCACAAGCAGGATCTGGCACTGCTCGGGTACGTTGAACGCTGGAACCGCGTCCCGAGGTCGTAGTGAAGTACACCGCTAACAAACGCTTCTAGACAAATCTCCTGTGTCTATCTGACGTCCATGGTCATCCTTATCATCAACAAATTGACAATATATGAGTTGCCATTGCATAGTCACCTGGAGTCGGACGATTTGTTGATTGACGAGGGCCTCGTATACCTGGACAGAATTGCTGGGGCCATGGACAGTGACGGGCTCCGTAGCCTGTACAACGGATGTCTCGAGCTGAAGTCTCGCGCGGCGATCGCCATGATGAGTTACACCAGCCTTGAAAATCTTTGGGTGCCGGATCAGCCTACTTTTCCATGGTCTAACACCCGATCCATGTCGGCATTGTTCGATGCCTTTGCGACGGCAGACATCAAAGGTCCAGCATCATTCACCTATGGCTCCGGTATTTGGCCGCAAGATATGGCAAACCTCGTTGATGCAGAAACATGTGAATGACGACAATGTAACCGCGACGAGGTATGGTTGGAAATTGGATTTCAGTTCGCAAATTGTGCAAGCAGGAGAGGTGCTGTTGCTCGCAGACGTTTCGAATACACCCACCTAACATCAAGCACATCAAGCACATCAAGCACATCAAGCACATCAAGCACATCAAGCACATCAAGCACATCAAGCACATCAAGCACATCAAGCACATC